ATTTACTCATTCCCTACTTGGCGATTCGGTTATTATTTTCCACCCCCCCCCCCCCTTGGATCTTTGGAATCCTTCAAGATTAATCTAAGCCAATCACACCACTTCCAAAGGAATAGAAAAAAGGTTCCCCCGAAGACACAATTGCAGATCCACCTAATCACCGTTGAGCTTAACGGCAAGAGACAGCCCCCATCTCCAGGTTTCATTGCCGGACAATCAGAACCCACAGGACTTCCCACCCATTGCACATCTTCGATCGGCAAGACAGCGAGAAAAAAAAACGGAAATAAGAAGCGGAATCCGATGGAGATTTCTGATGGGCTAACGGCTAAACGACGACATAGCCACGCGACGGAAGAAATTAATCTCCATTTGCTAAATGAGATCCGCCGCCGGTGGAGTCCTAGTGGATGCGACTATTGCTCCAGTTTCTTCTAGGGCCCGTCTTCCAGAACATCGACATCTTCGGAAAATAAATTGCGGCACAATAAACGAGGTAGACGACAGGAAACTATTGAATTGCTCTTGCTTCTTTTTGCCTTCTATCCGGTACAAGCACCTGGTATTTACACCCATCGCCACTAGTATCGTTCTTTCTCCACGATTGACTTCTGCACTCCCGTGTCTAGGAATGGATATGGAGCCGGCGGGTTTTACATGGCATGGCGGTGGCAAGGAATGGATCGCTGCCCGCGGGCTTGTCATGGCATTTGTAATTTATATTGTATAGTCGGGGTCTGCTTGCTTATGATTGCATGACTCAAGAGCCTGTGTCCATTTCGGGTCGAATTTTGACTTTGACTGACGTCGGAAAGGGGAGGGAGGGGAAACAGGAGGCCTATCAAAGTAGGGGCCTGCGCAAGCAAGATTTTCAGTATATCCCTCGGTCCGGCGGAAACACAACGAGATGGCGAATCAAGTTGTTATGAAGTGCATACCAGTGGCGACAGTAGATCAGTTTCTCGCAGGCCGTAGCATGGAGCTAGTGAGTAACGAGTAACGCAAATTACACCTCAAGTAAAGACAAGGGAAAGCCACGGGGATAAGCTATCAAGACATGTAGGTACAGCGCTGGATTCGATAGAGGGAAGTCACGAATCAATCGCTCGTTACGGGGTAGTACGTTTCCATTGCCGCTGAAGCCTGCATATGACAGGCGGCTCGGATGTCCACCATATAGAGCGACGCTATCTCTTGGACTTTTGTCTACAAAGCACAGAGTACGAGGTACATATTATTATCTAGTCCCGGCCGAAAATAGGCCTAGAAATTCCCGAGACTAGGGCTTCGATCTTGATCTGCCATGCGTGTCTTATGGACCGGGATCCTTCCGCTTGTCTTTGGTGGTGCTTTCTTGCATTCTCAAGGATCTCATGCATCCCAAATTATGAGCCAGAGTCATGAACGGCAGCAGATTTGCGACTAGTAAGAGCCAATTGGTGGGCATGGATTAAATTGTCACCGTTTCATGACAAGCACAGGTTCCCCGGCAGCAAGTTGGTCTTTGCTTTCATTCTTTGATACCCCTGGTCGGTGTGATTCCAGTGTGACTTCCTAGTTACATCATCCGCGGCGTTTCTACTCACGGTAAAGTCCACATTAAAGGAGGTTTCCAGTGTACGAACCCCCTTAAAAGGCATTACTGCAGTCTCGCAAGGTAGTGGTGGGTGCTTTGAAAAATCCCTCGCCCGTTGATTACAGACCCTTTGCTTTTGGCTTCACGACTCATACGACAGGGATGTATTCCAAATCTACGCTAGTCGAATATATATATCCAATCCGTATGTTTATCTCAGTATTGAAGACGCTATCAGATGCACTACCACGTAGCTAGCATCTGATTATAGATCTATGTGGAATTAAATGGTATATGACCATCCCACTTTGCCATGTATGTTATGTTAAGAGTTACCATGAGCAAGCTGCAGATGCAGGTTTCCAGCTATTTGTTTACAGCGGCATGTTTGACAGCTGCTTATGCATGAGTGTCTGCATTAGCGATCAGTCTAGCCGGCTTTCATGTACTCCAGCGCCAACCAAACGAATCCTAACGCTGCGGCATGGAAAAAGAGGGGTTCGTTGGTCTCAGATAGGGGAAAGAATAAGCAACTAAGATGATATAGAGGCCGAAGAAACTGAGTTTTTGTGACAGCTGAGTTACCTGCGTGTCGGGATCTAGTCATGATTTGGAATCCTGCCTTAGTACCATCAACTAAATAGGACAGTTGCCTATGGTCATTAGCAAGTTTGCATTGCATGGTCCATATTTAGATACATTTAGCAAAAAATAGCAAATCGAGTAAACGGTCATACAGTACTTTAGCCAGGCACTTTGTTTAGACTATTCTTCTTGCTCTGCCGTACCTTGTCTTTTCCATCCTTTAGGTTCTCTCCGTCGCTAAAAATGGCAGCACTGAACTGTAACCAATAGGGCGACATCCACTGCGTATCCACCTAAGGTGCCCCCGTCCCGAAGGCAGGGTTGAGATTTGACTCCACAAGGAACCAAAGAACAGCTCAATTGATCAAAATAAAGGAAAATTGCAAAAAGAAAAGAACCGGAAGAAAGCGAAAGAAAAAGGTTCAGTTCAACTCCATCGGTCTCTCCAGAAGTAGGGCCACCTAGACCCCAGTGGACCCCATTCTGCTCCTCCTCTTCGACGCCACAAGAGCCCCCCTCAAATGGAGAAAAGAAGTTTCTTAGTCTCCGAAATCTCCTAGCACTAGCCGCAAGCCCCAGCATCGAGCTTGAGTTTCCTGGGAACCTATTACGACCAATGACCATCTTCGGCTCCAAGATCGTTCGCTCCAACAGGAAGGAGTCTGGGCGAACTAGTGTCCATCTGTGAAATGAGACCGATCCGTGCGATCGACGGCGACAGCACAACAGCCGAACGATCGGCAATCTTCAATCAAATCAACCAACGCGACTGGCGACTATCGACCGCTGATCCATGGTTTTCAGAAACGTCAAGTTTATGACAGCTAAACGGCTGTGGTTTTTTCAAATTCCCCACTAATGCGCTCTCAACGATAACCTTTTTCGGTAGCACTCCAGAGGGAAGAGAAACAGGTGATGATGAACAGGAAATACAAGAGCGGGCTCCACTCAGTCGAACTCCACGGAGAATGAGTCCTGCTGATGATGTTCCCCGTAATTGGATCCCCGATGTCTCCTACTCTTTTCATTTTGGTTTCTCTCTCGGCTTCTTCTAGCTCGTTCGGAAGGAAGTTGTTTTGGGTATAGTTGAATGACTCTCAATGGGAGTAGTAAAACTTGTAACTATAGCACACAGTAGTTGACTTGAAAGCTTCTCAATGCTTTACTGGCCAGCGTCTAAACAAGAAAAGAGAGGCTAGGCCAAGAAGTTCCGACCTCTTGGCTCCATTTACACCCATGTTCGTTCCCCGGTGGCTGGGTAATGTGGATGCTCATTGAAAAAACCTAGTGCGTACAGCAATAAGACAGAAGTACCACTTCGTACCCCTCAATTCCTTCACGATACCAGCACTATCAACATCGCCAGAGGTCTGGAATAGCAAAGAGATGATCTTCGGGCGGCTATCAAGTCGGTTTCGCCTCGGTGTCGGCCTCGCATCCGGCAACACCCTCGTACTTTTAGTGCATGCGATGAGTCTACGACGATGAATACCCTTTCTGTACTCCGTACAAAAGGGCATGTCATAGTCTCCCTTTAGAGAGGCAAGCCAAGGTAATATAGGACACTGCGTGTGTATTTTGCACTGCGGGAGAGACCTCAATGACTGTGCTCCGTTACTCTCATCCCAGGGTTCATGTGTCACCGAGGTCGTGTCTTGGCCAAGCTCGAGTTCACTACCTACTTACCTCCATCTTTGACCCACTAGTACCCATTTTCAACCGGAGAGGGGGGAGGGGCCATCTTCAACTCTGGAACTATCTCTAATTGTCCCCCAGTAAGCTTTGCTAAGGACCAGGGTCACCAAACCCCGAGCCTGGCCTGACAGCCCGGGCTGTCCCGCCTGGGGGGGTACTTTTGCTTCTTTGGCTCATTGGTGGCTCATTGAGGCCCGTTAGACTGGTACAACAGGGGGTGGGATTGAGGTCTGGTTGGTTGAGACTGGCAGTGGAGAGGGAAAAATGACAACGGAGGTCAATCAAGAACCGGCGGGCGCGATCAAGAAGGGCACATCCCTTTAGGTCGCGTGCAGATTGCATATGCAATGCAATTTTCCGTATGGAGCGCTTCCGGTCCGATCGAGTCCATCAGCAATAACCATGGCATCTCGCTCAGGATGGTCCTTCTGCCCTTGTCGCCGGGGAAGATGGCCCGTTCCAAAACTTATCTGCTCAAGCGTGGGGCCCTGGGGCTTGTACAAAGTGCATGCTTCCTCTTTCTTTAAGCTTTGCATGAAGGCACTTGGTGTATCTCATTTTTGGGGGGTGTCTCAAAAATATACCTTGTCGTGAATAGTGCGGTAGGTAGCCGTTATGACAGCGGGTAAGTGCTCGATCTGGAGTAGTTTGAGTGAGAGGCGTAGACTGTGGTCTAGAATGCAATTGCTCGTGCAGTACTTGTTTCAAGATTCCAGGGCGACCTAAATCGGCCGTTGTCGCTTTCTTGAGGTAATCATATACGTCTCATCAAAGGATGTGATGTGATTGTTGTAGTGAATTGCGGGTTGGCCTATGGTATGGGTCGCTTGGCAACCGGACCTCTTCCGAACTGTCTGTAAATCTCTCCCAGTTAGCTCTGTCCTAGGAGAAGAATAACAAGGGAATCATAATTTCCCCATTCAAACGAATCTCAGTATTGCAGATGGCTGCGGTTGATATTTTCAAGATAGACTCGAGGTAGACGCCGTGCAACCGTTGTCATCCACGTGACTGCTGTGTTTGTACGTCACTTTGGGTGATGGACCAAGAGTCTCTTCTTTGGCCAACAACCTCCCATCCTCCGCTCTTTCTCTTCTCTCCTCTTCTCTTTCTGCCTCATAGAAGCAAAATCTCACCCTCTAAAATGCCTCTTTCGGTTCTCCGATTATATGACATCCCGACAATATCGGAACTGTACCGAGATGTCAGCCTTGGTCAGAGGCCTACTGATCGGACTCCAGTGCAGTACCTCAATGATATTGTCTCCACCGTTCGCTATGATATCACCAAACTTGACGTTGACTGCATCGTGAATGCTGCCAATAGCTCACTGCTTGGTGGTGGTGGCGTCGATGGTGCTATCCACCGCGCCGCCGGCCGCGAGCTTGTCAGGGAATGTGCCACTTTGAACGGATGTGATGTTGGTGACGCCAAAATCACTTCTGCATACCGGCTGCCCTGTGAGAAGGTGGTGCACACTGTCGGCCCAATCTACGACAAAAAGTACAGCGAGGATTCTGAGAGCCCCGAGACCCTGCTTCGCTCTTGCTATCGCCGCAGCCTTGAGGTGGCTGTCGAAAATGACATGACTTCGATCGCATTTGCAGCTATCAGCACCGGTATCTATGGCTACCCCAGCAAATTGGCTGCGATGGCTGCTGCCGATGAAGTGCGCAAGTTCCTGGAACTGCCCGAGAACAAGGACAAGCTGGAACGAGTGATCTTCTGCAACTACGAGATCAAGGACGAGATGGCTTACAAGAGGGTTCTTCCGTGAGTACAACCTGTTATTCCTACATGGGCTGAAACATGTGAACTAACAGCGATATACAGGAAGGTATTCCCACCCACGGAGGAAGACCTGGCCTCGGACGATGAGTCGGCCAACGAGGGAGATAGAATCTCGGAGAAAGGTTTTACTCCCAAGGAAGACTTAGCTCATCAAGAAGAAGTGGCCGCGAAGGGAGATTCGGACAACATGGAAGATGTGGCTCCCAAAGAGGACCTGACTGACAAGAACAACTCGGACTCTGTCGAAGACGCGGCTTCCAATCACGACCTGCCTCCCAAGGAAGACCAAGCTGGCAAGAATGGTGTACATTCCGAGAACGATGTGTCCGCCACGGATTAACGGGCCTCACAGAAAGACCGAATTCCTGTGCTGGTGCTTCTTGATTGTGATGGCTCGGAGTCGAGGCTCCATTCGCTGCGTCGCTACGGGCACCACGTTTCCATCTTGCTGCCGCGGTATTTCTCCCCTCTAGCACTCTCGCCCCTTGTCTCCTATCTCTGATAGATAAGGATTATGCCTTTATGCCTGTATGAATAACGAATCATGATTGGACGTTCTCTACCTGATGATCCTTGGGTCTAAGGCCATCGTATTAAAACAAACAATGCAAACTTCAAGCTTCTTATCGATTTCCTGTAATCACGAAAGTCTCCGCGGTCATCGACAGTATAGTCCACGAGGATCTATTCTTACAGAGGCCACCAACTACCGACATGCATTCCTAGCTACAATTTCTCAAAGCCAGACCGCCATTGTCCTCCCCTCCGCGCATCCCCAACCCCCGCGCACCTCCGCAAACATGCCACTACCCGACCGCAAACCCCCAAGTCCAACCATGCGCGCCCTCAACCCTAGAGATGCAAAAGTCCTCGCTCAGACAGGGCGCCTTCCTCCCAAGAACGCACCAGCCACTACACCACCCCCTCAACCAGAGCCATCACCAATCCCAGAACCAGGCAGGCCCAGCCTAACCCGCAAAAGGCCGATCCACACCTTCTTCTCCAACCTCCGCCAACGCTACACGCAGCGCTGTGCAGCTCTCCCACGACCAATTCGACTTATGGGCCGCGGCGCTCGTATTTTCGTCCCACTCCTTCCTATCTGCCTATTCTTCTCGGAGCATGTCGCGCAAATAATGTGGGTCAAGGGCCCGTCGATGACGCCGTATCTCAACGAGGACTATGACCAGATGCACACGAAGAGCGATATGGTGCTGGTAAATATGTGGTCGATGCATCGGATACTGCCATGGAAGAATGATCGGAGGTTGGAGAGGGGGATGATTGTTACATTCCGGTATGAATATCGCCTTTTGTGCCTTTGACGGATTGTTGCGACGACTATCTATGCACCGTCGCGTTGAAGTTGCACCTCGAGACTAACTTTATGCCCTCAATGTCTGTTTAGGTCACCTGCCAACTCCTCCCATGTCGCCGTCAAGCGTGTCGTTGGTCTCCCCGGTGATCGCATTACCACTCGTGAACCGTGCTTGAAAGCTACTCAGATCGTACCTTACAACCATGTCTGGTTGGAAGGCGATGCGGAGGACCCAGACAGGACGCTGGACAGCAATACATATGGACCCGTCAGTATCAGTTTGATTTCCGGTCGAGTTGTTGGTGTGCTGGCTCCACGTATGCGCTGGTTAGATTGGACACAGTGGGAATCTGGGCACTCGGATGAGGCTGGTTCAGATAGTCCATTGGGACCTAATTATCGGCAGGAGGTACGCAATCGTGTAGTAAAGGAAGCTGTCAAGTTGGAGCGGCCGCCGGATTTTTGAAAAACGCACTCATGGGGACATGAGCGAGTACCAGTCTAGGGTGAGCATATTCATCCGGGGCAGCATCAGGATGCTGTCTACATTGTATATATAGAGATCTCTTCTGAGATATCACTGTACTATTACTATTCATCCGTGGCGTGTACTATATATAGATGAAGCAAAGAACCATGCCCAAAAAGAAACCAACAAGCTCCCGAAATGCTAGATGCGTGTGCGTGCTCGGGAAGAAGAAGCGAAGAAAATGCGAGAAGAGGAGGCGAGAACAGACAATGGGTATTATAAAGAGACAATCCGAATATCCTCCTGCTTCTCCTGTTGCAAACGATCAATCTCTGACGAGATACTCAAAACCCAGCGGTCCTTCTCGACACGGCTACGAGCCTTGAAAACAATCGTACGACCATGTTTGCCAAGGGCCGACACATGTCGCAAAGTTCGGGTGGCTTTACCCTTTGCGCCTCTCTCTTCAGCACGGAAGTAGCTTTTTCGCAAAGGTTGCCAAATCACAAATGTGATAGCCGAATCCTCATCTCGACTAGTGAATGTGTCTGACGCAAGATAAACCCGTGGGAGGGCGCGCAAGCCTGGGTTATTGCTGTCGAATGTCTGGTTGGCATAGAGAAGGTCGGCCTCAGTGGCTAGACCAGAGTAGATGTAGCAGTCGCTTAGGTCGATGGTAGCATCATGATCTTGGTGAATATGGGGGATTTCAGTACCATTGCGCTGACGAAGCGTGCTTCGGAAGATGACGAGTTTTCCTGAGGTGAGAATCACATGGCATTTGGTGAAGGTGGAGTGGCGACGGGGCTTGCGATAGAGTTGACCAGACATCTGAGGTGTTGTTAGACCAGAACTTTTGCAATATGGATGCTTTTCCTGTGAGAACGGCGTCATCATACCTTGATCGGCCGACAACCAGACAACGCACACATATTGTGTAGATGTGGAGAGGTCTCAGCCTTCTTAACCTCCCACTTCTGTGCAAACTGGCCCATGATCGATTCCATTTCTTCGTCAATCTCCAACAGCTTCAAGTTCCGCTGGCGCATAGCTTGGAGTTCGGCAACATCGTCGAAGCTGCGAGTTCTCCAATACTTCACCAGCGCACCCAATCGCTTAACCCATTCGTCTCTCGTGGCAGCATCATATGCCTGCAGGCGAATGACGAGACCATTCTCAAGCACCAGTTCAAACGTCCGATCATGTTCGAAATCCTTGGTTGTACCGTCATCTCGACGAGTATCCTCTGGTTCGGGGTGGAAGTCCACAGCAGGCCCTTCTGAAATGTTCGGGTCCGCAGAACTACTCCCGAGCTGCATGTTACGGACCTCGCGTACTTTACAAAGGTCAATGTACCCATCGGCCTGCCCGATATTGTGCACATTTCTCTGCAGTTGGGCATATGCCTCCTCGTCGTGCCGCTGAACAAATTCGTGATTTCCATTGGTCAGCCATGTGATTTCGCCATCCTGAATGGGATATGGCTCAATGTCCCAAGACATTGGCATCACCTCCATTATCTGGCGAGCAGAAGGAATACTCGACTCCTCCATCGGGGCTAATCTTGGCGGTGTGGGTGGATATGCTTTTGCCGGTCGACAAAATAGTAGAAAGTGATCCTGTGAGTAGAAGTACAGTCGTTTGTAGAACATCTTGTTCATACGTTGATGCAGCCCCTTTTGTGAGGTAAGTCGAATCAAGAAACCCTCGACTGGTGGAGGCTCCACTTCTTTGGCACCTGCGCTCTTTATGGTCGTAGGATAATGATATCGTGGTCGAAGCTCGAGCTCGTGTGTTGACTGCATGGCGATAGTGCCGTACATGTTCTCCTCATTCGCACCAAATATCCATTCAAGGCGATCATACCGCTTCCAGGCAAGACCCATCTTTTCTGTTTTTGACCAAACCTTGAGAACTTCGGACCACTCGGGGCGACCCTCAAGCATTTCAACACAGCCCTTGATAATAACTGAAGCTGCAAGTTTGTCTTGTGCTGCAGCTCGCCTCAATATTGTAGTGTGGCGATTATCATTACCCTTCACGCCAAGCTCCGCCTCCAGTTGATCGAAAGGGTGTTTGAACACCAGTGAAACGCCGAGATCAGGAACATTGATGGGAAGCTTGCTTGGACGCCGCCAGCCAAGTATCTGCCTGATGAAGGTGTACCACTCGGCGGCATGGACTGTCGACTTGGGACGGATAATGTGGATTTTGGTGCCGTGCCTGCATGGATGCCAGATCACAATAGTCTTGTCGAGAGCCGAATAGAGGTTGACCTTGGTGTCTTTGTGGTTGAGCCGTACTTCATAGTAGGGTTTCGATTTGTTGTGCGGGCTCTGGGCATCTGGAATCACACGGGTTCGGTACATTTGCAATGCAAACGGGGTATCTACAGTTGAACCTTTCCGACAAACGACTAGAAATTCTCGCCATTTGTCCACGGTTCGTGTTTCCATCCTCAAGGAATCGTTCTCGGTGTAATCCTCTGGCAGCGTATCTTGTAGGGTCTCTTCGACAGAAACCAGCATTTTCTCTGCTTTGATGATTTCTCCATCTTGGACTTGGCGCCGACGCGGACGGTTTGCAGAAATTGTTCCCTGGGTTCTGGCAATTCGAGAGCGCAGTCTCTGTTGCTTGTCCATGACATTGTCATCCAGGTTAAACTTTGCCATCTTCTGGGTGATCTTTCGCTGTATTGGCCCATTGCGTCCTGAATCTTCTGGTTCAGAGTCATCTTCATTTTGCGGCTCCTGTCGGTCGAGTGTAAATCGAGATACACCCGAAGCTTTGCTCTTCATCCTTTTTGTATTTCTTGGTCTGGTCTTGAGCAACTGCGTGGTAGAATCTGCTTCACTTGGCACTGCAGAAGCACTTGAGGCCAGTGGGCTCGGATTGCTATCCCCAGTAAACGTCAGGTGCTGGGACTTTTGTGATTTGGATCGCTGGCTTGGTATCGGTCTGTTTGGCTGAATAGTTGACAACGTCCGGACGGTGTCCACAGAACTTGTCATATTCTCCCTCGCTGTCACGAATGATGAAGCGGCCTCTCCATTGTCATATATATCGTCGGTTCTTCCGATGCCCATTTGCGTACTTGCTCGAGGTGTTGCATCGGAGTCCTCTTCAGAAGACGGCTCATCTTCAGACAGCGATTCAATAGTCTCCGTCTCCTCCATGGGGTGGGAGAGAGTCCGCAGCTCCCCCGTTGGCTCATCAGTAGCTTCTTGCGTATCTTCTGCACTTTCATCTTCTGGCGCAGACTCCTCATTCGTATTGCTGAGTGTGATGGCAACCTCCTCCTCCTCCGTATCACCCGCAGGGGTGTCCGCATGGTCAATTTCATGTTGGGTGTAATGGGATGTCACAGGGTCGACAGAAAACGAAAGCGTCTGAGATGTGTAGTTCTTGAACCGTAGTCGTGAGCGATACCATGACTTTCGGTGTCCATTGATCCAACCCTCTGGAATCGGTCCGATAAAGAAGCGCCGACTGGTCATGTATAGGTGATGAGCGGAGGCATGGCGCTGTATCATAGAGATGACCAGTTAGTTTGTTATAGCAGAGCCCGCTTTGATTTTTGTAGAGCTTGGAAATTCAATTTTGACCTACCAGCTTTTGCTCCGTATGGGACCCTTCTTGCAAGCCCTGGTACTGCTCATCTTGCAACGGAGGAGTGCTCTCTGTGGGCGCCGACCCGTTGGGCTGGCCTGATGTGCTCATGGCATTGGGTGTATTACCTACTTAGAGTAGGAGCAAATGACTATAGAGAGTACATTGAGAAAGACAAGCTCTGCAGCGGGGAAAGGGGGGGGGGGAGTGGACAGTAGAATGATCGTCAAGGCACGATAGGACTCAATAAGTTGCGATCGATCAGGATGGAGATCAGGACACCGATGACGTAATGTGCAAATAGTGCAAACTAGCTCCAACGTGTTTGTACTGTTTGCACCGGTTGTTTCAGGGAGCCCCGCTCTCTAATTGGCTTGCGTGGCTCACGGCGGTGAGGGAACGGGACAGCTGTTGACATTCCCCGCCTGGAAGTGGGCTGGTCCTTCCCCTTTGTTGCTTCTTCTTTCCTGGCAATTGTTCCCATTGTTCCATATTTGCGTTCTCACCATGCCTCGCACCAACGAAGTCCATGCCCCTGGCACCTGGTTCACCACCATCCAGCGATCCTTCGAGGAGGTGCCAATTGACGCCGCCAATGGCAACGCTATCTCTACGGTGGAATTCCTCGAGGCCGCTGGTGCCTTGGTCACTCTGTTCGGTTTGTGTTACCCTAGCCCTGCATGCAGAGCTAGTACTAATTCCGGATGAATTGTAGATGTGATTGGCGGAGTTGGTTTGGCTGCTGTCAAGAGCGATCTGTCTGGAAACATCGCGGTATGTTCCCCATCCATGTACGAGGAGCAAGAGGGACGACGAGACGGGATCGGATGAGGCAGTTACTTACTCCTATGGCAGAAAGTCCAAGAGAGATACAACAAGGCTCCCGCCGAGTCCCAAACTCTGCAGGACCTCGTGCGGAATGAGCTGAAGTCGGGGCAACACAAGGCTACCGAGGGTCTGCTGTGGCTGGTCCGGTAAGTGATGAAAATACACTATCTCTCCAATGCAATCGGTGGTTTCACTTATGCACGCAATGTCGTCTGTATGGGCTCTTGCTAATAACATATTTTCTGTGAATAGTGGCCTTCAATTCACCGCCTCTGCCCTCCGCCTGAGCATCAACAACCCCTCCGAGGAGCTCAACGCTTCCTTCTTGGGAGCCTACAAGGCCCCCGGTGGTCTTAGCACTCACCACGGTTACCTGATCCGCAAGGGTACTGAGGTCGCCATTAAGTCTGGTGTGCCATACCGAAAGGACTTCTACTCGAAGCTTGGCGACAACCAGGCCGATGTGTCCGCTGCCCTGGAGAAGGAGGTCAAGGCCCTTGAGGACGTCGTGGATATCTTGCTGAAGTTCCAGGCCACGCCCGAGGCCCAGTGGAAGTAAGATAGTTGTTTTCATACCCTAAGATTGGGCTGTGGTAACACGCATTGTGCGTGAGATCTACCCTGTACATATTGAATCTCTGTCTCTGCGAGTGCATGAGTTTCTGTTTCGTCGTAAGAGCAAATTCCACTTGCCCCGGTGGCTTCAGCGGTAAATAGTATCTATTTTATTGGCCGTCTACTCGTGCGCAAGGTAACCTACTTACCCTTGTGTTGGAATGACCCCAAAGGAGAGAAATTGTAGCTAGTGATAGTCCGTCATAGATATCAACCCTCCTTAATGGAGTGACATGAATGGTGCTCTGAATAGGGATTCTAAGTCCTAAAAATATCAGACCAATGACTCGACAGCAGATGCAAATCTCCTAATTACTCAAACCCTAGGCCAAAAATTGAAGGGCAAAAAAGAAATGATCTCAGGTTATTTGTAGGAATAGCCGAACGCGGGGGTCGAACCCGCAACCTTGAGATTAAGAGTCTCACGCTCTACCGATTGAGCTAGCCCGGCAGGGCTGGTTGAAGAGCGAACAGATTTATGGCTACATAACCCTGTCTTAACAATTGAGCTCAGCCGGGGTGTCCACGTGGCTGTCTTAGCTTGGCTTTGGTGCCCCTTGTACGGAGCACTATCGGGATTAATTAATTGTGAAGAAACTGGGGCTAACTTCTTGATTAATTGCTTTAGCCTCGGCTTTAACATCAATTGGAATCAGGTGGTCGCTAGCTAAGTTTCGGCGGATATATATATATTTTGAGGTCCTAGATGTGCCCTGGGACAGGCAAGCTACCTTCGCGAGCTTATTAAGTGAAGTGTGGTCCTATAGTTAAATCTCGAGATCAGTTGTCAACTCTAGTTTGAACGAAGCTCTAGAAGATACTACACGACCCACAGTGAAAACCGATTCAAATGAAATCCACAGGGTCCTTGAAAAGAGAAGCGGCTCATAGTGCGCGTATTTCCACCATTTCCAAGGCTCCAACCGTCTTGAAGGCCAGCCCAGACCAAGAACCTTAATGCCATTGTACGAAGTCGCTTAAATCATCATATCTATCTGCTACTTGGAAGCACCCCCGTTCATCAAAATTGGAGTATATTCAAAAATTAAGGGTTCCATTAACAAAATGCAATATAATGCTATTCTTCATTCTCCGAGACAAAGAACGTCTTTTGCACGTTCACACCTGAAAAAAACGTCCCCTGCTCCTGCTTCTTCGGATTAAGATCTTCCTGGCTGCTCGTGCGACTCCCTCGATTCGAGGTATGGATAGTCGTAATCACGGCATGGGTGTCTTCCGGGTCCAGATCAGGTCGCCAGTACTGAGGTCCAGCGGGATCGGAGCGAATCGCATTCACGCTCGAGAGAGGCATGCTGCCGCCGGTTCGCTTGCTTCGAGTTCCTCCGTAGCTGGGGTCGCGGAACCAGCGGAATAGAGGGCGGAGTGTAACGAGACTGCCTGCTGCGATACCGAGGCCGGCTTCGACGTTGGACCAAATGGAGATGTCGGTGGTTGCGTCTGTGGAAATAAGGAGCATTAGTCGATATTCTCTCTCTCCCCCAAGAATATATGTATACAAAGGGAACTTACACAAGAAGTCTGTGTCCTTGTAATCGTGGAGATAAGGAATACGGACGATGACCGCAGCGCTCGCAACACAGCCCATACCCAAAATACCAGCCAAGGCGGCTTTCGTCCTGGTATTCATTTGGAGGCTCCACACAAGGAAGATGGGGAGAAGTCCCAAGATGAGATCACAGCAGGTGGCGGTGACACTATAGACGTAGGCCATAATAATGAGGTTATCCACATTCATGCAGTGGCCATGGACATCCGCATTCGGGTTGAGCTCCAGTCGAGCTCGTTGCCAGAAGTACGACGCGGGTTGGCATTGCAGAGTCAACATAAACCAGAAAACCAGACCGACGACCGTGGTCACAGCGATAACTCCCCACAGGATGAAGGCATGAACCCGGGCGACGGTGAGGCGGAGGAGAGCGACGGCGATGGATATCTTTGCGATGGCGCATGCCCAGACGTAACTAGTTTGGCCGAGCCACCACCACTTCGAGTCGAGAGTTAGCACTGGCCTCGTTTTTGTATCCCACTACATGGTGACCTGTCGCAAAACATTGAAAAACTTACAAACATGGCAGTCTCCAGGGTTCCTCGCATCACGAGGTCCAATGACTTCTGACCAATTCCATACAATGCGCCAGTGATTCCGCACAGCGCAAATAGAACGTTAAGACACTAGATAAAGGGTCGTTAGTAAATCCAAAAAAAGAAACCAGGGCAACCCCGCGTAGAGCCAAGGCCACTCATTTACCATTGCAAAAACCATCAGCGCATCATCCCAGCCAAAGGCCTTGACGAGCTTGAGTCGAACAAAGCATCGTAGGCAAACCGAAATAAACGAGATTCCCAAAAAGACAGTAGTAACGATAAAGATCGTCTTACTGCGACCCTCCAATGGTAGCATTGTGATATGTCCTATTGAAAGTGAAAAGTCGTGGGTCACTTGCAATACATGATTTTCCCAAAACACAAGTATAGACGGCCGGTCTTCTTCCTGTCCACCGTCACTCCCAAAGGGCTACCAAACCGAAAGGAAAAAGTTAGGGGAAAGAAGAAAAGAAAAGAGGATAATGAATGAAAATCCACTGGCGAGAGCCAAGCATTAGAATCGTAGTCAGTGGCAAGACGGAGGCCCGCGCAATTCAAGCGGGTCGATGCGGCGCGGATCTCCGTGGGTTCGGGCAACGCGGGTTGATAATAATTATAAGATTATTCGAAGAGTAAAAGAGAAAAAAAATGAACTGTGATATGCACTCTTCGACAAGGCTAGTGGGATCAACGGGCACTTGTGACGATGCTAACGAGATAATAATGGAAGATAGTCTCCATTTATTGCCCGTGTCGGCAGTTTTAGGGGCCTTTTGGGCGTGTGAAGTTGTTAACTACGAGCCGAAGGGGCGGCTTGTGGGGTTCAAAGTTAGTTTTTGCTTGCGTGCACGCGGAGATGGTCATCCACGCTTGGAAACAAGGTGTAACTATGTACTATATCATATCTTCATCCACTGACAAACTGTTATGAACATCTTCGATTGTATCTCGCCCGTCACGAGTCAACAGGCACTGGCTATTTTATGACCAGGCGTGAGGCGTCGGGCACTATTCCATGGAATTCAATAAAATGTGGAGGGGAAAGTTAGAATCATGAGAACCCTGTCAAACCTTCCCCAGGGATAGCGAATCCGGTGAATGCCATTCGCCCCTCTCGCACTCCGTATGGGGGCGACCCATAGATTTTACTGTAACCCTTGATGATTGCTTCCTTGGAACCTCGTCAACTTTGCGGGTTGGCTACTAGCCGACTACAGTACCTTTACTTGGCAACCTGGGCTAGAATAGCTTCGACTCGAGCCGCTCAGACCTTCCTATTTTTCGCTAAAACCCGCCAACGACCCAGGAGTTCGGGGACATGACTCGAACAAGTTCTTCACGCAAAATGGCGGATTGTGAATAGGCTTATTGACCAACGAGATGTGCGCAGCGTAGCATCAAGTGGATACTATTTCTTGGCTTCCACATGCAGAGTCCAGCCGGTCGCGGCGAGCCTCGTTCTAGTAGTTGTTCTAGTCCACAAGAGAGGAAAAAAAGGAGACCGTTGCCACTGCCATGGAAGCAGTGAACAGAGCGTTGGAACGATAGTCTCACTACTGTACCATGTTCTAGGTCTGCGATCTTCGGGGGAGGGGGCGGCGCGTGTCATCTGGGTAGCATCTGTTGTACTACTATTTTGCGGCTGAGCCAGGGGTTGGGATGATACAGCGGATTTCTGAGCCATGACATTTTTCTTTTCCATGGACGCCTTGTAAAGAGGCAATCGCCTCTTGAACTCTACTTTCCAATGGGCTTGCTGCCCTGGCGGACAACCGAGGCAAAAGTGGTCAAAGCTCGTGAACATGAGGGTCTTGGCCTATAGAGGAGGGGCCATGGCGATGTATAAATTCATTGATCTGAACCACATCTCGATATTAACAAGAATCGACCCTCTGAATCGAGATCTTTCTGACTTGCATCTCGTCGGCAAGCCTGGCAAGGAGACATCCGAACAGCGGGAGAGCGTGCTTTGAGACGGCCGATCACTTGTACCCAGGGGGCTCCGCTTGTTAGAAACGAGGTGTGATCTGCAGAGTCAACGGCAGGTCGGAGATTACCTGACGATTTTGTCGTCTCCGCTTTCTCTCCAGAAGAAAGTGGACCATAAGGGAAAGGCATGAGGAGATCGGTTGACAAGTTGACATCTTATCGTGTAAAAGCCAAAAAAAAGGGGATTATTCTTGCCAAGCAACGTGGTTCTATGGTACTGGGACGTCTAGTAGAATTCCAAGTGGGAATTCTTGATACGATGTTGCATTAATCCCTGCCCCGCTAAAATGATGTACAGTGTGTAACTGTCCGGTTGGATTGAAATCAAGCATTAACATTAGGCAGAAATTGGAATGACTACGGAGTATAGTGGCTGGAGAACCGTTAGCAAAACCTGAATCATGATTCAGAAAATGGACAGTATGTAAAACAATGCCAAGAAAAGACCATTTTAGCCCATTTTCGGAGATGAATCCTATCATGGCCATTGGGCTGCTGCCGACCGAATGTTCTTCGGCATCTCCCGACCATGGAAATGTGAGCTCGACCATGTGGCTCTCTTGGCCCTATTGAGATTACTGTATAACTATAACCAAGTCTACAGCCGCTGACTCGCTACTCAGATTCTCTGCGCTCGTGTTCGGGGATTGCCGTTGCGCATTGCCGTTGGATCTGCACAAATACCGGAGCTAGCAGGTGCAAGCTGCGCCCGGCACTTTAGCGTCTAGGTAAGGAGTACGGAGTATAGCTTCATCTCATTCGGCTCCCGAAAGTGAGGACGAGTCCACCACGGGACGTGGGGCGGGATAATAACCATATCGAACCGTAGGGCTATGCACGTTTAAGGGGTAGTTGATACCGGCTGCTTAAACAAAAGTTCAATTCGGTAGACAGATATCATGGAAAAGACTTTAGAGTATGATCAAGAGTGGTTAACCATTCAATCCCTAGATAACCATTCAACGCCCAAAGCTATGCACATTTCAGATAAGGTGCTCAAAACGCCCGTCAACATGTCAAAAAATCAACCAAGGACAAGACTGGGCAGGCAAGAAATAACACGGAGGCGCAATGAATGTGCACAAGAACGAAAGTTATAAATCATGCATTGGCTTGTAAATTGCCAGTGTAAACGCCTTCAAAATCAAGTCCAGCGAGCATCCCGTTAACTCTGTCGATTTCACGACTTAGATCCTCGACATTCACCGCTAGACTGCTCACTTCGTCAAACTTGCGTCGGCGGTTCGCGTCTGCGATCATCTCGGAAACAAAGAATTTCTGTTCCTCGAGGACTATCAATCGTTCTCGAAGGGATTTTTCTTCCGCCTCGAGTGCTGATACGGCACTGCTAGCATCGCTGGCAAGGCTGCTGGTGCTGCCACTAGCAGCAATCCGATTATTATATTTGATGGAGGCAAGCGCAGAGTCTTGCGGTCGAGCCCCGGCTGGAGAGCTATTGATTGGTGTGCTCGGAGAGGACGTACGGCTAGGGGTGAGATCTCCTGCGGGCGCATGTTTAAGAACCTTGGGAAGGGATTTCAAGGGGAGCATGTGAATATGCAAGAAATTGCTGGCTTGTTGATATATAGCTTTCTGTAGTCGCTGTTGAGTGGGGGAGGGGGTTGGTAGATCACGGATCCGCCGAGCCGCAACGTCGTACTTTGCAAAGGAATCGATCAGTCGCTTGCGGACTTTCGAAGCATCGGCGAGCTGTGCCGGAGACGGCGGCCGCCTTGGATCTCTATTTCCTTTATTAGCAAGGCAAATTTCTTGGATGAAAAGTATAGGCATACTGCAATGTAGTAAGAAGCTTTTGGAACCTGGGTAAATGAAGGCGGATGCCTCTTTCGAATTGCACCAAGTTCTCATATGCTCTGACCTCGGGAGGTTTCTTGGAGACATCTGCGTCAAAATCTCGGCGATCGAAAATTGTACTTTTGCATTCTTTGCAAAGCCTCACATCAACACTGATAAGATCTTTTGCAGTGGACTTTTCTGATGCTTTGGAAACTGTATAGAAGTATTAGTAAAATTCAAATTATCAGTACCGCAGCTTCTGACTTACGAGGCGCTATGCTTAATCCAATTTCACTGGAACAGCCCGTGTTTGGATCACCACAGACAACCTGCCCGCAAGTTCTGCAGTGGTGCCTCCGGAACGAATATCCAGAGAAATCTTGCTGGCAAAAAGGGCAACGTGAGACGCTGGCATCGTCCTGCCAGCTGACGACTGTTTGCTCCAAAGATTTCCGTTGATCACTCTGCCATGCAATGGAGAACAGTTTCGTTGAACTATTCTGTATTTGGTCAGGTGGTAGACTAGCCAAAAGCTGCGTCAGACGTGTTAACCGTTTCTCGAGGCGAGAGACTTCGAGGAAATCCTTGTCAACGGTCTGCTTTCGAATCTTCTTGAATGCATCCGTTTGGTCTCTCGTAAATCCTATTGAACATAAGCTTTGGTTCTTTGCCAAACAAATCGCCAGGGCCACGCCACACTCACCAGTATGATCGTTGTAGCCTTCTCTTGATTTGTAGCATGTTTCGCAAACTCGAGCCCAAATTCCTCTGACCGGTTCATGCTGTGCCGACCTTGATAGTTTGATCTGGTACATTGTATGTTCCTCGCAAAAAAGCTTGCCACATTTCCGACAGTTCACGCAACCATTGGTCGCATTGAGTCGTTTACCGCACGAGGGCTCTAGGCAACTATCATAGAGACCAGGAGCTTGCCAATGTTCCTTTGTGATAAGATCTTCGGGATCTAGCAATTTCGGGGTAATCGAGGGCTCGGGTGCTCCTGTGTGGACTGCTAGAGGGCGACTGGCCGCGGAAGTGGTTTGATTCTCGTTCGACTCGAACACGTCCAAGCCCTTGAGCTTCTGGTTCAGCACAGCGAGAGGCTGGAAGCGCCTCGCCTTCTCCATTTGCACCTTGAACCAGTCCTTGACTTCATCTTGTCTGTCGTCTTCTAAATTCTGGTGGATGTCGTCGAGATGCCTGCCGATAGATCAATCGCCGCGCACGAGAATATCGAGGGATAAGGGGGTGAGCTCCGGGGTATTTATTACCTATTAAGCTGCAGCAAAGTCACCTGAGAGACTGTTAGTATAAAACTTCATCGACATCTAGGTAGTAATTCCAGAGCAGAGGGAAGCATTGACGTACCATCTCCTCATTGCAGATCGGACACGACAGCCGAGCCCCCGGGGCGGCCGGGGCTGCTGATATTGAAGTATCGCCATTCTCCAAAGATATGCGTGAAGTAAGGTCTTGGGTTTCGGCTGAGAACTGAGATGCGGAGGTTTGGGAGCTGAGGGAAACGCTGCTGGTGGTCGGCGATAGCACCCTTGGCTTCGGCTGCGGGGACGGGGCTGATGCGAGTGCGCTCGGAGTGCCTAGAACACGACCTCCTCCCAGCGTCCTCCTGGACATGATCACGGGGACATGAGAAGCGCTGTTAAGGAGGATCTGTTTCAGCCCAACACGAGGCGCTGGCTGCACAGGTTGAGGTGTCCGGAGAGAGATGTAGCGTAAGTTCGGGGGTGACGATGCGGTGGAGCCTTGCGCCTGCATATGATGCCTCAGGCATCAACGTCTTTCAGCCTCGGGCGATCAGTTTGAGGACTTTAGCTGAAACAATACAACTTGCAAAAACTATCTTGGTTTCACTACTTACATGTCTGTAGTGTGAATGGAACCTTGATTATAATCGATTATCGATTCTCTATATAGTTATGCTAGTTGTGCTTGGTTTCCATATCGAACGAACTAATACAAATGCGTGGGAGGCAACCAAGGTACAGGTATACAGGTATCTCGATCCCAAGACAAGCTTAGATTCCCATCGAACAAGGCCTAATTCTATCCGATGCAAAGGCATGTTCTACAAGACTAGCTAAAATGACAGTAAGAATTTGCATACTCCGTATTCCTGCTCTTTCATATATACACATGAAGATGGAGGAAACCCCTCTCGAGTTTTGTCTGTGGAAAGCCTCGGTAGACAATAAAAGAGTGTGTATTAATGATCGTGATATTTTCCTGGTTGATTAGAACAGTTCCATAGAAAACAGGTGCTTTTTTTTGTCATTTTTAGGCAGTTTTCATGTTTTTTTCTGGGTCTCTCAGGACCATTTTGCGCCTTTTTCCCGTAGAATTTCGCATCATTCTCGCAGGAGTCGTGAAGTCATGAACCTCTATACACAAGCTTAGATGTAAACCTAAGACGACTCCACCCATTATTACCATATTGATTCCTCAGTCTACCGCTCATAATCCCGGTGGTAGCTGGTACCGGTGTTGGGGTTATCGTACTCTCGGTGAACATGAGTAGTACCATCATCCCGACGGTCAACGTCCCGGTGGCGGTAGACGCCGCTGTTATCAAGTCGCTCACGGTGATGGCGGCGGGAATCATCGGTGCGGTAATCTAGATGCTGATCATAGGCACCGCTGCTGGGGTCGTAGGAAGTGGTGCCATAGCCCGTGTCATAGGTAGTGCCGTAGCCAGTGCTGGCGGCACCATAGCCCGTTGAACCGTACCCGGTAGTGCCGTATGTGCTGTAGCCAGTGGGGTCATAGCTAGTTCCGGTGGTATCGTACGTTGTACCGGTAGTATCGTAATCGTAGTTGTCGTAGGAACTACCGTAGGTACGGTTTCCGTAGCGGCGGTCGGTCATTTTCGACAATATGCTCAACTTCCTCAGAAGTCGGTGTTTTGTTTTGTTTTTTGTTTGTTTTATTGCACTTGGCTGTTCTTAACCTTGAATAGAATTCAAACTCTCATCCATGTTGAATATTTATAATTGATTTTGGTGGCGCTTTGTGGTGTGTTCGACACCACCGGCATGACTGTCCACTGACATCACTCGGCTTAATATGAAGCAAATCGCCAACATGGAGGCAAAGAAGTCGGCCGAAACATGATGGAAATCAAAACAAGGGCTTTCAGAAATTTCGATGATTAGCTCATTTTTCTGGAGAATGTTGTTCTAGGCTGTCGCCTTGGGAGGCGAAAGTGTTGAGCTGGCGGTTGTGGAGACGAGTCGCAACTAGACAGATGGAACATTTCCTGAAGAGGCAACATGAGTTCATATGAGGAAACCTTGTTGAATTGGATCTGATTACAGTTCTTGGAATCTCGATTCTTCTCTTGTCTCATCTTGAAACAATCATAGGAGGCTGGAATACTTGAGAAAACTTGACAGATCAATTGTAGCATTGGGCGAGGATTCTTTGTCGTTTCATTTGTCAATATCTACATATTGCAATCTAAATTATAACCTAGCCAACTTTGACCTACCGGGGTAGCAGGAATTTGCAGCAAGTTAATAGACTTTCCCCAGACCCGCATGAATCCAATCGCTCTTTCTCGTTGGTTTGGATTGCTGCTATAGTATAAGACGGTTCTCAATGGTGGAGTCATCCGAATATAGCTACACCCATCTTGAATGGCCGACACAAAAGCCGCTGCATCTAAAATTGTCTCGCAGTGGCCATTGATGATCTCAGCGTTTTCAGCCGCGTGGTCGCCACATTGATTCAGCAGTGAGAGGCAGACAACCCAACCAAAACTGTACAATGCCAATGCCATAGCAGTCTCAGAGCTCGTATGGGAGAATTTATCTGGCACACAATTCCAAAGATCTTGTGACTCCGGTGCTATCTCCAGAAAGGTATATCGAGGCGACGATGTCAAGTTAGAATTGCTATGGACCAGCTGGCGCCATAGCCCTTTGAGCAATCCTACAGCCACGAGGGGACTGGCCGCATTGCCGGGAATTTGGAGAAGTAGATCAACAACGAGGTCCGATAATCGCTTCTTTCTTGCGTGAAACGGCACGTGAATCCATTTACTGGATGCAAAGGCAGACTTTATCCATTCGTCGAAAGACTGGTAAATCTGAGACAAGGTTAACTATAGACCAGAGCAATAATTTGAGATCTTGTACAGTGATCAGAGATCTTACCATATATAGTCGAATAGTACGAAAAATAGGATGAAGCGTGCCCTGCATACAGGCTTCTGGACCAAGGATTTGTAAAAGAGCGGCTGCCGCCTTGATGTGCTGAGAAAAAGCCCTAGGATGGGTGGGAAGGATGACTTCGGAGTAGGCCAGGATAAGCGCCATTGATACGTTCATCTCGCTTACTTGAGTATTTGAATGTTCGGTAGAGATCATCATATTTCGACGTTGGAAGCAAAGGGCACGATGGTACCATCTGTATGATGAGGCGATTGCGCCTTGGTTTTGTTCATTGGCTCCGTAGAGAGCTAACGTTGCGGCGAGAACAGACTCCCTCCATCCGGAGAGACTCATATGTTCTGCCTCGGAAATATAGATTTCAAGCCATGATTGGCTTTGAGTCTTATTAGAGCCTGACCGGATGAAGAAGGAGATGAAGGATGCTCTGAGTTGCCTCTCTAATAAGTCACTTGGATCTGGAGTGTGTATGCCACTTGTTATTGGGGTACTAGACGAGGCTTGCTGATTGAATCTGCTTGGCTTTCTTTCGGGCTGACGGAGCTGTCTAATGTCTTGATTTTCAGGTTCGATTCTTTCGGACTTCATTGAATCTTGGCCATTAAATGCCAGAAAAACGGCACCGACCACTGAGCCGGGACATTTCCTTCCAGACTTTAGACATCGAGCGCATTCTGGCTGACGTTCGTCACACTGAACAAGTCCATTTCAAATCAATTAGAAGACTTCTTTGATAGCCAAGAATATGATTCACCAACCTTGATTTTCCGCTGCCGGCAAGTTGCACAGCCTCGGCTCATTCCAGCTCTACGAACCATGACTGATCAGGGACGTAGCTATGGGGGGGGGGGGGGATGAGTCACACAGATCAGAGTGAGAAACGCCGTTTTTCGAATTTCAAATTGGTTAAAGCTGAAATCAGAGATTTTTGCGAGATAAATGATCTCGTGGACTTTGGATTAACGATTTCATCCCCCGCTATGTAAGCTGGAAGCCGGCCAGGGCGGAGGCTAACCGGATCAGTCAATTTTTGCGAAATGGGTTCTAAGAGATTGTATCATGATTGGTGAGATTCGAACTAGCATGATGTATGTACTGTATACTGTCTCCAGGTCTTATTAATAATGGTTTTTGCAAGAGCCGTCATTCGAAGACCGAGATTGGGTATAAAAGCCCTCATGTCTTCGTCGAATTTTAAAGATTCCAGATTCAGGGTTACCAGCCAAGGCCTGAGATACTATCATCTTCTAACCGATTCGACATGAGTGAAACGCAATCTTGGAAGCTAGCTGGCGAGCATAAACGCAAGGCTTTGCTGTCTTTGATTCCATTTGAATGGCGCTTGACAGACCCTCTCCCATCACCTGCAGAAGTGCCCGATCTGCGAAATGGAACAATCCAAAGCCATCTATCCAGCCGAGAGATTATGATTACCGAAATGGATTGTCTTCTATTGTTGGAGCAGTTGGCGAGTGGTGCACTTTCCTCTCATGAAGTCACCATGGCCTTTTGTCATCGAGCCGCCGTAGCACACCAAATGGTCAGTCATATGGACTCGAGACACCTGGCACTCTCTAAACATTTATTTACAGATATCCTGTCTACACGAGATATTCTTCGACGCTGCTCTCAGAGACGCCGATGCCTGTGATACATATCTTAAGGAACACGGAAAGCCCATGGGAGCCCTCCACGGTTTACCCGTCAGCCTCAAAGACGTGGTCAATATCAAAGATGTTGATACGACCATGGGGTTTGTTGGATTAATCGGCAATTCCACAAAGATATCCAGTGAAAGCCAGATCGTGGCTTTGCTTCGACGACTTGGAGCAGTTCTCTACGTCAAGACGAGTGTCCCGACTGGTTCATTCTCGGGCGACACGTCTAACAATATCATACAATACACTCCAAACCCATGCAACAGGCGTCTCACTGTCGGTGGCAGCTCCGGGGGAGAAGGAGGGTTACTCGCTCTTAAGGGGAGCCCGCTCGGTGTTGGCACCGATATTGGAGGTTCGGTGCGCGTGCCTGCGGTATGGAATGGGTGTTATGGATTACGACCTTCAACAGGACGGATTCCTTATGAAGGAAGTGCATCTATCGTGGATGGACAGACGGCTGTTCCCTTTGTACTTGGATTCATGGCACCATCAGCTGAGGCTATTACCCTTGCGTCGAAGGGCTTGCTTAGCCTAAGCCCCTGGATGGACGATCCACTAGTCCATGAAATTCCCTGGCGGGATGACATCTATACGAAGTTCAAGGAGAGCGCGTCCGGACGTTCTCGGCTTGCATTCGGTATTATGAGAACAGATCATCATGTCAATGTCCAGCCACCGGTTGAGAGAGCGATGGATATAGTAGTTAACAAACTCGAGTCTTTGGGACATTCGGTATGCTCATATCCAAAGCGTATCATCTATCTCTATGCTAATGAATTCCAGGTCATCGACTGGAATCCTCCCAGTCATCTAGAGGCAGTCTCATTGTGGGCATGTACTCCGCTTCACCCGTTACCACTTCCCAAGACACTAATACCGAGAATAGGACAAGGCCGTAACCATAGATGGAGGCAAATCATTCCATGAGGCAATCAAGCTATCCGGAGAGCCACCACACAGAGTCGACCTGGGGCCTTTAGATGCTGCAAAGCCCGAGCCCGCCACCGTATTCGGCCTCTCGCCACAACCCGAGGCGAACGCAACCGAGATCAATAGCATCAATATTGCCATTCGCAATTACAAAAAATCCTATCTGGATTATTGGAACAGTACGGCTGAGTTTACTGGAACCGGGAGACCGGTAGATGCATTCTTGATGCCTGTGGCTCCGACGCCTGCGCCTGCACCTGGGAAGGTTCGCTATTTTGGTGAGGAGTGATGCCACTATATCTAGGGAAGGAGAAGAAAATTACTAACACCAGCTAGGATATACTAGTGTTTTCAATGTTCTAGACTTTAGTGCTTGTGGTGTGCCGGTCACAGAGGTCCAGAAGGACGTGGATCGATATAGCAATGCGAGATACTCGCCGCGGAACAAGTTGGATGGACTCGTGCATGATGACTGTAAGTTCCTCTTTTGTGGCGATGATTAAATTTCATCTGACACTCGACTGTAGATGATCCCGAATTATCAGATGGAGCCCCGGTCGGCATTCAAGTTGTCGGTCGAAGATTACAAGAAGAAAAGGTCCTCGCGATAGCAGAAGTGCTTGGAAACGCAATCAAGGGTACCTCGGATAGGGGAAACACCAAATTGTAACTATTTTGCTAGTTGAAAATGATGGTATACGTTTGTAGACACGGATGAGTGCTTGTGCTTGCATTATAAGTATGTTTTACAACCATCGAATCTACCTTGCTGAATTGGCTGCCAACGATATCTTTCACCACCCAAAAAAACGCAAAGGGAAAAGCAGACTAGGGTATCTAACTCTCCCGACCCAAAGGTGCCAACGAATCTGTCAGGAACTCGGTCGCGTTCATCAAATCCGTACTACCGTAGACGACCCGGCGACGACCAGTCGTGCGATTAGCGGATGTCGCACCATCCGCTCCTGACTGACCACTTGTCCGGTGTACCCAGTCCTGCAAGTTGCCATATTCATCCATGCTTCCACCGCCGACAGTGAAAACGATGGCCTCGTTGAAGGCCTGGCGACGCTGGCCGAAAGTGGCATTTATGCCAGGGGCCTGGGCGCCCATCCCACCGGGCATCTGAGTGTTTCGCGATGCCGAGGCAGGAGGCATGGCGCCGCGCGCATTGGCACTGCGAGGGTCGAAGTAGAGATAGTTCTCCGTCTTGGCGATAGCCGAACTAGACGCCGCGGACGGGTCCATGATAGACTCGGTGATCTTTGTTACGGTCAGATCCTTGTTTGCGGGTAGGAAGTTCTTCACGCCGGAGATGAGTGAGTCGAAATTGGCACCCAGGGCACCAGAGGTGATGCGATCGGTGAGACGGTTGGAAAGCGAAGAGAAGCCACGGAATAGATCTGAGGACTGCTGCTCTGGGGCGGCGGTGGTCATCATGGTCATCCGGGTAATCTCACGGACCTGCCGAACATAGGAAAGAGGAGTGACATCTGATACTCCGGCCGTAGTCAAGGCCTCCTCGAATTGGGTCATCTCAGCACGGTTCAGCTCAGTCTCTGTGCTGAGGAACCAGATGATAAAGATCCGCAACTTGTCCAGCGGGTTGCTACCCTTGGCGGGGTCGTTGATCAATTCTAAGAGCTGCGACTTGGACTGTTTGGTGATATTCTCCTCCAGCTCGAAGAAGTTGTCCAGCTGACGGTCCTTGATTCCCTTTAACAAGGCAGTGGCGATGTTCATGTGCATATCAAGGACGGCTTTACGCTCTCGCAATTCAGGGAGCAGCGTAATAGCCGCCTTGAGGTGCTGCGCAGAAGCGCTAGTGTCGTTCTGGAGGTCTTCAATAGAAGAAGCACCAGTCTTTTTCGTAATCTCGTTCGCATCATCCTTATACCGTGTCAACTCCGCATCAATGTCTTCCGCGACCTGAGGGAATGGCGCCCCCGCGTTTCGCTGCCAGAAGAAGTCGTTGCTGTTCAGGTCGTACGACTTCTTCGCAACCTTGCCCGAGCCCTGCTCGTCCGCATCCAACGTGATCCGATTCAGGCGCATCTGAAGTACGTCTTGCACTAGCGACTGGTAAGTCCAAGAGTGAGAGAGCATAGGGACCAGATCGACATTGCGGTCCATGATAATCAAAACGGGGCGAGACGAGGGTACTCCGGGCAAAGCTCTTTGGTTGCCCGAGAAGAGATTATCTTTTGAATTGAGAATGTGGTCACGGAGTTTGCGGTCAAGCTTTGTAGCGATCAACTCGGCCGCACCACCCTTGGGGCATCGAATGATTGGGATCGTGCCTGATTGAATCGGTTAGACAAAGCACAATAAACAAGTACGAAACCTTCAAGCTTGCCAAGGACAGCACATACCCATTGTAACGCTCACACTGAACAAGCCACTGACAACCTTATCGACGATGGCATCCAGGTCCTCGTCGCTGGTCTTGCCACTGTTAATCTTATAGTACGCATCATTTCCAAGGCCCAAGCTGAAGAGATCCGGTTCAGCGACAATGAAGTTGAGGTACTGATCAAAGACTTGCGCAATATGCTCCGATGCGCCGGAAGTGGCAATCTGCGAAGCAAAGTCCTCGAGGAGGGGCCGAGGCACGGAGGAGAGGAAGTTCACGTAGGCTGGGGAGTAGAGCCCTTGGGAGAGATCGCGAGTGATGGCTTGAATGTTGGCCTCATTAGGTTCGACAAGGTAGACGACCGGTACATCGGGAATGGGGTATCGTTGGGAGTGGATATTCCTTCGGACGTGTTCATTGTTAGCGATTCAGGTTTCTCACGATGGCCAAGGGGCTGACTGGGAGGATGCCGTACAAATGGATAGTCACACCCCAAGTTCGAAGATCATTGACTCGGAGCACACTGCTGATGACATCCCGGCCCATGCCATCGAACACCAGGACCTTCCAGATCGGGTCGCCATCTTCGTTCAAGATCGGGGTGGATTGAGAGATAAGACCGCTGTGAGCGGATGACTCGTGTGCATTGTCATCTGTAGGCTTCGGATCATGATTCAAGTTCAGCAGCTTCTGGATTGACGCTAGATTACAGGGTGTTCAGTCAGCATTGGATAATTGTCGATATGTCGCGGGGGAGGAGTATGCGGCCACTTACCGACCTGTCGGTCTCGGAGGGACATGGGATGCGCCATGGCAGAGACGAGCACCACGGGCAGCGATCAAGGACACGGTCACAGTTGAAGCAGCTTCACGACATGAGATACAGACTCAGAAAAAGGTCACAAGCTGGCTGATGTGGACACTCTGGAACTGTTGACATCGCCTCCCACTGGTCGCTCCAGCTGGCCGCATCACGGAGAGGATGACATAATACAAGAGCAAACAGTGCAAACGTGGAGATCACATGGGAGTTACCCGCGCCTGTTAAGTGTAAGGGCGTTTGGTAATAATAATACAGTAAAGTACACCCACCTTGCCTTATTTCACAGGGTAACTTACGCGCCATAAGGCGGAGATCTAGTTCTGCCTATTACCGGCGGTCTGTAGGTTTTCATTCCCTTTCACCTCGACTCCCTTTCATCAACCATCAACTCCCACATCCTCCCCCCATCCCCCCCATCCCCCCTTTTCTTTCTACGTAAAGCAAATGGCTATCATGCTAGACTGGCTCTTTGTGTAAGGAGCCTGACTCTTCTCTCACTCGACTGAGTGTTTTCTGAGACCAGTCTGAAGGAGCCTAGAAGGAGCAAAAGACCTGCAGAAGGAACGGGAAACGGACTGGAACAAGTACAAGCTCGAAAGTGAAAAAGACACGCATTTCAGAGAGACATAAGCTCTCGGGATCATTGAAGGTCTCGCGGTCGTTCTATTTCTTTTCTTCAAGAGTATTGCTGCAGGAGTGTCATCTTAAGCCGCTTAAGACGCCAGACCAAAAGACCAGGGGTTGTCGTCAGCCACGGGAAAGAACCACAAATAACCTGCAGAGCCTGAGAGAGCCTGGCAGCCTGAAGAATTTGGCATCCCAGGCCACCAGTGAATGCCTAAGGCAGAAACAACACTCTTTCTAAGACGCGGAAAACTGTGGTCATTCAGAAAACCGTGGTCGTGAATCGGCATATTTAAAGGTACGAACCACAGTACTCAGAGAAAGATTTAGCATACGCTATATTTTGTGTATCAACTCTCAGTTCTCGCGGAGCACTTTGAATCAGCTTCTCATGGTCTTTTCTTCATCACTTTTTAGTTGATCCACCCGTCTGGTCTTCGATCCCCGCAAAATCCCTTCGGCCGAAAGATCTTCCACTATCCGAGTGATTTCCATAGCGGGAAGGCGGTGACACAGCTCAAATCTATTGGATGCACGTGATACCGGGAGTGTAGCAATAAACGTCTCTGAAGAGTTGAATTGAAGTGTGCAGCCACCATCATGGAGCAGTCTTCGGCACAAAATCAGATGCCGGGTCTGCCCCATGCGGGAGCTCCACAGGGGGTCCCATCGGGTGACTATTGGACTTCCCTTGATGCCCTATACCCAGATCCTCAGCTTCAAGCTCAATCAGCGCCGCCGTCACAGCAGCAGAACCCGTCTGCACAGCAGCAAGCTCCAATGGGTATCACATGGGATCATCCTGTATTCCAACAGCAACAGCAACGAGGTCCACAACAGCAAAATCCTCTCACACCTCAGTCGGACCCTAATCACGGCATATACTCGACAATTCCCCCTCCCTCTTGGCAGTCGAACCCGTTACAGACACCAGCTCAATATGGCAGTTCCCCCCAATATCAAACCCATCAACAAACCCCTCAATATCAGCAAGGCCAAATGACCTTTGATCCTCTATCCGAGACCTCGACATTTCCCTCATACTCCTTCCAGCCCGGCTACTTCCATCCACAACAACTTCCTCTCCAAGACTCCTTCCCCGCTCGTACTCCCCAAACCCAACACCAGCAGCAACCACGGCAGCCGCAGCAGCAATCTCATCAGCAACAGCAGCAGCAGCAACCGGGATATTCCGCTAGCGCACCGCAGTCCTCCATACAATACACCATGCCCTCGGGTTTCTCTCAAGATCTCTTGTCCAATACCATCGACCTCACCAACGACGACTACACGAATGCTGAAGCAGGAGTCTCCCACCAAACAATTGATCCGTCGTTCCTCAACGAGATGGCCCGATCGTCAAACGTAGCGCATGCTCTTCCCAACAACTTTCCCTTCGGAGGCTCGGTGGACTATGAGAGGGCCGATGGGCTCTTCAATTATTTCCAGAATGATCTTTCGGTTCAGCCACAATTAATTACACCTCATAATACCGGGGTAGCACAAATGGGTATGAGCCCTATATTGAATGACTTGTTTGCCATGTTTAATTTCTTTTCTTACTAATTGACGATCTAGGCGGACTTGCTCCGAGACCTGCTGGAGTCCCTCATCAACCACTTGCCCCAGCCCCGAAGAAGGTTCCGGCTAAGAAGGCTACGCAAGCCAAAAAGACCGGTGTAAAGGGACAGAAAAAGCACCAGGAAGAATCGGACAGTGGAAGTTCTGACGAATCAGATTTGGAGGTTGAACCCGAGCCGTCTCCGCTTCCTGCGGTTCGCTCAAGTGAGCCTCTTGAAGCTGCGCACTACGACACAATACAAGCAGTCTGGTCTCCGCGTAATTTACGTGTCCCCGCTGAGAAAGTTAAGGCCTCCTTGGTTGCCTTCAAGGATGTCGTGAAAGGGCTTCGCGATGGCTGGAAGGATCAAGTCCAAGCCATGAAAACCGCAGAGAATCAGGGAGACAATGACAAGGCCACCAAAATTAAGAACGCCGTGGCTCTCCAGCGCCGCATCATGGAGAAGATTATCTCCACCACTTTAGAAACAGGCCATCCTGTTATTGTTGAGAAGTATGACCCCCTCCCTTTGAGCTTTTGCTTTCCCCGTTCTACACTTCCCCCCTGTGGTTGGCATGGCCATAGTCTTCCCAAAGCAAATCGAGAGCAACACCCACGTAATTTTGTCCTTTGTCGTTCTGGATTAAATTCACTTTTGATTAGAATTGATCTTGGCTAGAATTAAAGACTCTGTTTCAGTGTCTTGAGGCTCAATACACGGCTTTGTGTAATTGAGCCCAAGCCCGCTGGAGAGGTCAAAAGCTATAAGTGGCAATCACTAAGGAAATTCGTCCGGAATTCCTTCAGACAAGCTACTCTATGCTATCATACAGAATCAGTGGAATTGACCCAGGCCAAGCGGAATGGAAGAGCCTGTTAATGCTCTCGTTTTACAAAGACTCCCTATCATGTTGCATGCTAGCCCATGCAGTCTTTTCGCATCATCTTTGTTTTGTCCTATTTGTCCAATCCAGATCACTAACCGTCATAACTATACAGGATCGGCGAACATCCAGTGACGTTATCGGTGTTCTATTCATTCCTGGCGGATCGTTTCCAGGCCACTGATCTGGAAGGTTCGTTGACATTGAACTTGCTGAAGGTATGTTTGTACCGAGAATTGACTCGAAGTTCAACCCCATTATAGATCCACGTTTAAATGCTAACCATTCTCCAGCTTCTCGCCCGTTTTGTGACTGTAGATGAGGAATTGCTGCAGAAAACTAACATGGCCAAGCTGCTTCCCCGATTTGTCAAGAAGGGAACACCGGCTGTCAAGGATCTTGCGCAGACTATCCTAGACAATGCTGCCGCATCTACCAAAAGGAAGCAGAGTAATTCAAAGCCAGTTAAGGAAGAGTCCCCGGCGAAAGGAGACTCGCCGTCTGTGGAGATCGTGGGCGGCAAACGCCCGCGGGATAGTGAGAGCAATAGTCAACCCGCTACGAAGCGGATGATTGTCACTTCCAATCCTAAAGACACCGTGAAATCTTCCGCTGTTTCAAACGGTCCCATCAAACGTGTCGCGGAGGCCTCCCTCAACGGAAAACTTACAACTACTCCGACAGCCCCTCGCCCCAAAGCACCAATCGCTCCACCCAAGCCAACTGTGATCTTTGGTGCATTAAGTTCAGCATCCAAGAGACTTGGCACGACCAACGCGGAGAGAAAAGCGGCTCAAGCGGCTGCAAAGTCCACGTATGTAAAACCTGATTTACGAATCGATATACTTGCATCGCCTCATGAATATTCTGACATCCACAACAGGCCTCCACCTGAAACAAAAGAGAAACCGGCTGCACCGGCTCCTAAGCCTGCATTCTCATTCGGTGACCTCATGGCGGACCTTAACAAGCCAAAGCAGGCGGTAGTCGTAAAGCCTGCTGAAGAGAAGCCCCCGGAGACCGAGGAGGAGCGCCAGAAGCGCCTACGAAAGGAAGCGCGGCGCAAACTACGGGTCAGATGGAAGCCGGATGATGCTCTGACCGACGTTCGGCTGTTCACGCACGATCCTGATGAAGAGCTTGGCCCTGGAGATGGGTCTATGCGAGGCATGGGGGATGTGAAGGGTGAGGGTAGTGTCCTCAAACTTCACAAGGATCTGGAAGAGCTAGAGGAGGATGATCTTGGTGGTATTCGGGAGACTGTTCTGAATGCCTACACTGGTCTATCCGAGATTCTCATCGAGGCTGCAGATATGAAGAGCGCCAACTTTATCAAGCGTGGCGGTGATGAGATGCCTGTCAGCACGGAGAAGACCGCACAAGATCAGCGCGAGGCTACCACTCTCATGGTGTTCCACGCCTCCCCTGCCGATGTCCCTTCAACCCCGAAGGAGCCCCCTACTGCTGATCCCAATGAAAGCGTGGCTGAAGTCATTCCATTTGGCGAGATCCCGGACAATATCAAGGTATGTTCTGAGTTTTGCACTAGACAAAGGTTGGTTGATTGTTAACGATTGCAATAGGCCCGACAGGAACGCTACTTTGACTATGTCAATCCCAAGCCAGCTGCAGCTGCAGCTTCGGGCTCCGCGCCAGCTCAACCCGCCGCTGCAAGCGCTCATGGGTTCGATTTGCCAAATCTACTCAAGCTCATCAAGGCTGGAACGGCGCCGCAACAGTCTACTCCTCCTCCACAGTCCCAGCCAGCCCCTCAGCAGGCGCCTATGACCGACCTCGAGCGGACCATCAACATGTTCCGTCAGCAGCAGCAGCAGGTCCAGCCTGCAGTTCCTCAAGTCCCGCAGATGCCACAAGTTCCTGCAACACAGCCACAGGCTGTGCCGGGCGCCGTTGATTTCCAACAGCTCATGAATGTCATGCAGCAATTCCAGCAAGGAACTGGCTTCCCCCAGCAGCAGATGACGCAATCGCAGCCACAGATGCAGCCTAATTTCGGGGCCATGTTCTCGCAATTCACTGGTCAGAATCAGCAGGCTGGTCCCTCTACTCAGGGCTACGAGGACCCGGAGCGCAAGCGGATGCGCGATAGTGCTCCCTACGAGGACCCCTACGACAGCCAATGGAGTCGCGGAAAGCGCACCAAGGCTCATGATCCAAAGCCTGTAAGTTTCATTCTGACTCGGTTAAGATGGAGATGAAAGTCATCAAATGCTGACTCTGAAAATAGTACAAGGTCGGACTAGTTGCCTGTCGGTTCTGGAAAGAAGGCAAGTGCCGTAAGGGCGACAACTGCACTTTCCGGCACGACTCTTAGACTCGTTTCGATGATCTCGACTAGATAGGTCATAATCTGGTCGCTCCCGGCAACATCCCCTCCCATACGCCACGAATCCTTCCCCTCCGCATTGTATTCTTACCCTACATCATATCACGATCATGCATAACAACCCCGGGAGAACCTCTTTCAGCCAGACAGTACGAGGTGTTGGTCGAGCTAGTCTTGATAGCGCTGGCGGAGGTCTGGCAGAATCAGGTTTCCTCGGGGTTATTTCGTTTACTCTCGCAACGTTTCGCATGGCCACTCCTGTTTCCCCATCGTACATCGGCATGGGACGGGGTGGCACCAGGCGTTTTCATCTTGATCTTTCTCGTTTCTCGTCTCTTCAGTTCTCGTGGCTTATGGTTCACCAGTATCTCATATTCTTTGCCTACCGCGGGTTGCGGAGGCTTCATTCTTAGCAGGGCGGGTCGCAGATAGGGAGGTCATCTTATGGCGCATGTTTTCTTTTCCTTTCTTTTTTTTTCTCGTGGGAATAGGGGAAGGGAAGGGGTCACCATGTACATTAAGATAATTTATTCCCTGCAATGAAGATTTCGATCCGATATCTTCCAAAGATATCAAAACCATGTAAATGTCTAGCGTATCATAAACTCATCATTTTAGTATCCACCTGCATGCCCAGTAAAAGCCCAATGAATGCTACTACGCAGTGAACATATTCGCCGGCTCCCCAACCAACCGACACGTATTCAGATACATTCTCTCCAGAGTCGCCCTCATAAGCTCCACATCAATCGATTCCCCACCCCAATACCCCAGCGTCTTAATGGCCACACGAACCAGCGCAGCCCACCGCCGCGGCGGATGCAACATCCACACGCCCGTCCGACGAGCATTCAAAGTACCCAGCACAGCAGCGATGATCTGCACCGCAGCGCCAAACGTAGACCGCAGAATACTCCAGATCCACTCGTGGCGGTGATGGTACCACCAGTGCGGGATGAGTTCTGCGCAGTTATCAATCGCCTTTTGGGCTTGGCTGGAGACTTCGTGGAAGAGCTGGGTGTTGCTTTGGAGGTAGGCTGGTAGGGAGTGGTAGTGGACTGCTAGGTAGAGGATTGGTCGGTAGATCTTTTCGAGGGAGATTGCGCGGCGGGCCCAGAAGTAGAAGTGGAGGTTTTTGGAGTCTGGTTCTGGTCTTGGTGAGGCTAGGGCTAGTTTCTCTTGGCTCATGTCGTGCCTAAAGGGGAATATGGAGGAGTGGTAAGTAAGCTGTGTGTCTTGTCTAGTGGGATTATGTTTCGGGGAGCATCGGGGAGCTAGTCAAGTGGCCCTGAAGTCTGATGTATGGGGTTAGATTGACTCGACTTACCAATAATCAACGACTTTGACAGCCTCGGCGGTCCTTTGGACTACGCTTCCAACATTGGTGATCCATTCATCTTCTCCGGATCTCCACATATCGATGAGCATGTCGTTGACTGTTCGGCGGTTGCATATAGCTCCAATATACAGGATCCAGCCTCTTTCTTCATCCGACCTGTTATTATCGCTTGGTGGCTTAGCAGGGCTGTCACTGTCATCCTCCATCTTGTCCTCCGGGGAGGTCGAGTTCGCCTTTGAAGGGAATGGGTCGGAGTAGCCCAAACTTTCTAATCCACTACTCCAAAGAGGAAGTTCGCTTTGCATTTCACTGCGAAATTCAAATTGGGTAAGTGGATACCCATTCAAATAAGGAAGGACTCCCCAAAAAAGATCCAAACTTACTGTTCAGCCTGTATACAAGACCAATATAAACGTGACTCGAGATTATTATAGTCCGCGTCGGCAGTCCATTGCTTCCTGCATAGGGATCGTAACCGAACTTCCAATCTGCAAGATGCCTGCTGGAAACAAAACCATGCTTGCAACGGACGCATCACATGTCTGTGATAGGAGCCCGCGAGAAGAAAACAAGCGATATCAGTGGGCGAAGTATGTAACGAGCCGAAACGCTGTTTCGCGGCATGAAAGTATGCCTCCGCGAGTTCGATATTAGCGTCTGTCGGGGGTGGCCCGGAGAGACGATCTAGATCCTCGGGGATCTCATCCAAGGGTATGAAATTCGAGACAGTGCAGCCTAGCGCGCATGCAAGAAGCTGCAATGCCGGAACAGAAAAAATAAGTAAATATCCTGGTATGTCTTTTTCTTCTCCAAGTCTAAACTCAATTGGGGGTCTTATGGCAAGGCATACACACCACTTGACATGATTGCCCGTCCCATCCTGGCCCCTGCACGGTGACCTCCCTCGCATAGTGCTCGAGCTTTTCTCTATCCAAAACCGGGTTTCGACGGTGGATCAATCGGAGATACTTCTTACATAAACACTGGATATCATCGAGTAGACCAATACCAATCTGTCGGGGCGGGATGCCCGACTGTGGCTGGCTATCCAGCGAATCGAGGAGAAAAGAGCGGATATGTCGTTCAGATTCGGTAATAACCTTATTGAAAACAGGCCACCGGAGCATATACTCGGCGGAATTGGCGGCGTACAGTGCCATGGGGTCATGATCGCCCGGGCGATCTTCAAGTCCGGAACTACTCCCATGTAGATTGTTGCTCCCCGATAGAAGATCGTCTCGGGGGCTATTATTGCTGTGCATACCCATATCAAAAAAGGAACTCCGGAGAGATCGGGTCGAAAAGATAGTGGATCCCCGATCTTGTTTCATTTCCTCTATTAGCGAAGTGAGATGGCTCAGTTGGGACAGGATCTCATTGTTGGTTGAATCAGAACTCGCCCTTCAGGAAGTGGAGATGGTTTAGCTACTGCAGCGGCGGCCTGAAAAGCCAAAAAAAAGCAAGACAATAGAGCCATACACAAACCACTTACTGGACAGGATGCGGCGAAGTCTCGGGATAGATGCAATCAACCCCCTGAATGGCACAGTAGCTACAGATTGGTCTGGTATTGTCGCACCGGGTCTTCCGTAGGCGGCACGTCTGACAAGCCGTGGGGGCTCGTGTCCGACTCTCGCGCTTCCTGACGAGTCTAGGCTCGGCGATATCCATGATGCCCTCGTAGTAAGATCAATAGTTTACTCTATTCAGGAAGTGCAAACAAAAAAATGGTGATCATGCAACAATCTCGGGGAGCATCGGGGAGCCGGGGAGGTGATGTTCTGAGGGTTTCGACAGAAGCAAGTGTGACCCATGGACAGCGCGGCGTACTTAGAGGGGAAAAGAACAACCCTGTCGTCAAAGCCGAAGCGGACTCTAGGCTGGAAACAAAGAACTGGACATTCGATCTTCTAGCTGGATACTGGGCTTGGCGGGTGTTGACGCTTGTGGCGTGGCTGGATGAGGTGTCGAGGTCGGCTCGAACAAAGAAACGGAGGCTATAATGCTGACAACCCACGCTTCGGACCTGCAATGACCATGGTCCGAGCAGGGATCTGATATTTTTTGATTGGAGAAAGCTGGGAATCCTTGATTGCTGTTGGACAGGTTCTCGTTGGGCGTGCTCTCCCCGAACAGGCGCCCGAGCACATCCAGGGAAGTCGAATCATGGAGCGTGTGTGCTGCAGAACCCCAGAATCGGTATTTGGTCATTTTCCGAGTGATAATGATCTTGATATAGGTATCAGCGCTTCGCATTTTCCAATCCAATGTTTGCAGAGGAAGACTGGCTGTCTCTTTGGGGTTAGACCGAGCAGTTGGCTTTCAGTCCTCCGTCATAAAGAGATCAGGCAGGGTATCCCTCGGATTAGAAAACCCAATAGAGGGGCCGTGGAGAGAGTACAAGTGCGATGTACACTGGAGGATACATCGAGGGACTGGCGGATTGAAAACTCGACACTTGCATCCCTGCGCAAAAGTACTATTCGCAGAAAGGGAGACAAATCCTCCCAAATCACGCAAATACGAGGTCTTGGAGAGAACATGGCCACTACCACCGAGTGTGTTCAACTTACTACGAAATCGCAGCTCACAAATAAAAAGAGAATTCGTCTTTTCCATATCATCACTATCGCTAACGTTGCAGAAAACAGCCGCCAAAAGGGCGCTAGTGGGGGGTGGTGTACATGTACAGAATGGGTCTGCCTCAGCAGAAACATGGAGACAGAAAAACCAGGAAGCTCATAGAAACGAGTCCCTCAAACGCCAGGAAGAAAATGCTGATGAAACATGCAAGAAGGAAGGGCATAGGAAGCATCCAGATAGTAGTAGAAGAGATCACCACTACCGGACTCTCTTCTTCCCTCTAGCGGGCTGAGGTGCTTCACACAATTCGGTCCAAGCATCCTCGAACCCAGTCTTCCGCGCGCCAATCTGTCCCTCGTAGAAGTTGAGCTTGCGTACAACCTCCATGGCACCGGTACCCAGACCCATCGTCTTGCCCATGATAATACATTCCGAAACACCCTCGATAAGGTCAGTGCGACCAGCACCACCGGCGTCGAAGAGGTGATCGGCGGTCTTCTCGAACGATGCCAGCTGGAGAACGGAGTCACGCATCTTGGCCAGACCGAAACGAGTGATACCCAGGACTTCACCCTTGTAGGTCATCACGTCGGCCAGGAGCTGCATGTGACGAGGATCAATGTCCATGTCCTTCATGACTTCACTGATTTCAGTAATGATGGTGCTTCGGGCGGCCTCGATACCGAGCACCTCACGAGCCTCCATGACGTTGTTGGTCCTAGTGTGCAAACCGTCCACACCAGCAGTAGTCATACACTCCCTCAGACCGTAGCCTTCCACTAGCAGAGTGTTGGTGGTTCCCTTCTCATCAGTTCGAATAATGGCACGGGCAGCCTGTGGGTGACCCATGATCTGAATGTTGGGCATCATGCGCTTCAGATGCTTCAGACGTAAGAAAGGATCGGCACTGGTAGCAGCGATCTCGGTCTTTGACAGGCCTTGCTTGCTGGCCGGATCAAGGTCAATGATGAGGGAGATAGAGTTGCGAGTCGTTCGGAACTTGAGGTCGTCGCCCTTGAATCGCTTGTGATTCTTAATGGCGGCAAGAATTTGAGGCACCGTGATCTCGAGCTGCAGATCATCAATCGTCTTCTGGTTGATCTTGGCAGTAATGTAGGCTTCATTGCCCGTCCAAATCTCATTGATCGAGTGAATCACATCGCGGAGATAAGTCTTCTCAATGCGACCCTTGACAATACGGGCAGAAGCAATTTGATCCTTGGTAACCAGCTCGCATGCAATGACCGGAGTACTGATTTCCTTGGAGGCGTTGATAATTTCCTTGATACGGGGTACACCCTGTGTGATACTCATACCGGCGACACCAGCGAAATGGAAAGTTTTCAGGGTCATCTGAGTACCGGGTTCACCAATGGACTGGGCACCGACGGCACCGACGGCATGGCCGGGCTCGACTTGAGCTTTCTTGTACTTCAACAGACAAGCAGCGATGAAAGCCCTGAGGGTGGTCTCGGTCAACTTGCCGGTATGGTCCAGGCCCTGTCGGCTTCTAGAATCGGAGGGGTCAATGTCACCACCACGGGAGATCAGCTTCTCAGCCTTGGCCTGAACGTATTGTTCGATAGAATCGAGGAAGTCACGAGCACTCTCAAACTGATCGATACCATGGTCGCTGCGATCCATGTAGCCCAATTCATTGCCCATGAGATCCACACGAGTGAGCTTGGCACGCTCCTTCTCAAGCATCTCCGCGCAGACCTCCATAATTTCTTGCGGCAATAAGCTTCGCTCGTCATTGTCGTAGGTGGTTGACTCGGAGTGGATGAAAGTTCGGTCGAAGTGCACCGGCTTAGCCTTACCCTCCATATCCACGGGATCCAGTTTATCGTCACCATACTGGAACTGCACAATAGCGGCGGACGAATTTCGCACGGTATCATCGTATCTGGTTGAGAGATCCTCGAGTGACTTCATCAACCGACGAGACATGTAACCAGTTTCGGCAGTCTTGACAGCAGTATCGACCAGACCTTCACGACCGGACATGGCGTGGAAAATGAACTCGGTAGGCAGAAGACCAGAGAAGAAACTGTTTCGAACGAAACCCTTGGAAGGAGGCTGACGCGCGTTCTTCGGGAAATGAGGCAAGGTTCGGTCCTGGAAACCATCCTGAACACGCGAACCACCGATAATTTGCTGACCCACAAGGGCAACCATCTGGGACACGTTGATACTGGAACCCTTGGAACCGGATGTAGCCATGATCAGGGGCGAGTTGTACTTGCTGAGCTGGGCAATACACTCGTCACCAGCTTGCTGACGGACCTTACTGAGAATACCAGACAGCTGGTTCTCCATTGTCTGCAGTTCGTCGCAGCCGGGGTACTTCTCCAGTGTGCCGGCCTTGTATTTGGCAATGACTTCGTCACAAGCAGCGTAAGCCGCTTCCACCAGATCATTCTTCGACTGAACCAGTCTGGCACTGGGATAAACATCTCCGATACCGATAGAAAAGCCAATGTTGGTGAACCAGCGGGCTGACAGCTTCGACAGACGGTTCATACCTTCAGCGGCAGCTGGTGGGCCATAATCACGAAGCATAATGTAGAACACATTGTCCTTCTTTCCGGAACCAATGGTGGATTTGTCCATGACACCACACATGACTTCGGAGTTACGAATCACTAGCCAGCCATCATTGGGATCCAGGTCCTTCGGCCGGCCGTCCTTGGGCTGCTTGAATTCACGGCAAGCAGCGTCAAGGTTGACAAGCACGGGGTCCTCCTTGTTAGGGTGCATCAAAATGTTGAAGACCTGTTTACCGGTCCAAAGCATCTGGGGCTTGAGAACGGATGGGGGTGGGAGATCGAATTTCGTTTCATGACCCAACATGTAGAGACAGATCTGGGTGAATGAGCGACGGTCGAAGAAGTTGTCTTTGCTGCTCAGCAGATATGCTGCACTGATGAAATCCTGAATGGCGGAAATGATAGGCTCTCCGTTCTTGGGGGTTGCCAAGTTGTTCTTCACACCCATCAATTCCATAGCTTCAGCCCTGGCCTCTTCCGTCTGAGGAACGTGCAAATTCATCTCGTCTCCGTCAAAATCGGCGTTGTAAGGGTTACAAACACACTCGTTCAGTCGGAAAGTTCGATGGGGTCGGACTCTGGCAAAGTGAGAAAGAATACTGAGCTTGTGCAGCGAGGGCTGTCGATTGAATAGAACGATATCACCGTCCTCAATATGACGCTCGACTGTATCTCCCTCCTGAAGTTCGTTGGCAACGTGCTTGAGGTTACCGTACTTCAGCATCATCTTGAATGTCGAGTCCTTCTTCATGAGGTAGTTGGCGCCGGGCCATTTCTTGGATCCGTTCAACACACGCGCTTGGAGCTTCTCTTTGTTGTAACGGGTCACAACCTCGGGATATGTCATGTTCTTGGCCACAAGTTCCGGGACGGCGACTTCGTCAACTCGCAAGTTGGGGTCGGGGGAAATGACTGTACGACCGGAGAAATCGACACGCTTTCCGGACAAATTACCACGGAAACGACCCTGCTTTCCCTTCAGTCGCTGTACAAAACCACGGATAGGCTTGCCGAGATCAGCCTTGTTCAGGCCCGGGACATCGCTGTTGATGTAGACTGCAATTTGCAATTGCATGTAATCCCAGCATTCCATGATTGTCTGCACTGGAGCACCTTTCAGCAGGGCGTTCTTGAGATTGATATTCGACTGAACGATATCTCCAAGCTTGGCTGTGAGATCATCTTCTGTCGATGCACCTTCTTGGCCCACAGACGGGCGAATACAGACCGGAGGAGCCGGGATGAATTGCCACAGGAACATCTCTGGTCGGGCTTCCTTCGGATCCAAACCCAAGAGCTCACAATCCGTGTTGGAGATTTTCTTAAAGAGCTTCAACACTCGTAAAGCATTCATATCATCCTGGGCCTTCTTGAAATGTTTTTCGATCTCCGAGTTGGAGTTTCTTGCTTCGGCGAAGGATCCGTCAAACACCGTCTTACTGATCGGAGGCTGCTTCTTGACGGAGGTTGAAGAGTTGAATGCGCGGAACTTGTCGTGGGTGATCTTCAAAGCACTAGAACCGGCCTTTTTCACGACACCGTTGATCGCCTGACAGTGTTCGCATTGTCGAGTCTTCCGGCAACGTTCATTGATGCGCTTCGCAATTTGCATTCGCCGAAGGTTATCCAATCCAGGGCGGCGCATCTCACGCAGGAAAGCACGGCGCTCCGCCTCGGGGAGCAGGATGCGCGAACATTCCTTACAGATTTCCTGAAGGATTCCAATCACGCGCTTGAAGTAACCGACATGGAAAGCAGGTAAGACCAGCCTGACGTGACCGAAATGACCGTTACATTCTTTCAACATGTGTCCACAGGTCTTGCACTGTGCCGTCTTGTTGGAAATACCCATGCGCGCATCAAGAGGGCCATTGGAGACAACCGCTCGGTCATGATCGAGGTCGAAGAACTTGCGGTCCGAAACTTCCACCACAGCTTGACTGACAATATCATCGTTGGTCCTGCAGGAGAGAAAAAAAAGTCCGAATGTTAGCGACCGGTCTCACGCGAAAGCAGCACAGCTTGGTTCTCAAGCCGAGAATAAAAGTGGGCCCACATACAAAACGCCAAATTTCAGTTCTTTGATCACTTTGGGAACACGGTCAATGACCTGGGCCTTGCCCAGGTCGATCTGGGAGCTCTCTGGGGGCTGCATTGCGCCGTTATCAAAGGTAGGACATGGCAGGGTGACTCAAAGCTGACTTGATCGTCGCAGGCGGGTGTCAGCCGCGATCAACGGGGATCACAGAGTGACAGATAGTCAAAACCTGCGCAGTAGTGACCTGAGATAGATAGAGAGTAAGAATATCGGGCAAGATCCCGGGGAAAAGTGATGAGAGCAAAGAATTGCGATGGCCGGAAGGAAATGAAGAACACCAACCGCAGCGGGGTTGGTCACGAACTTTTTTTCTGCCGTTGAAGCTCACACCGCCCATAAGCACGGATCAAGCATGTCGCCAACCAATCAGATCACTGGGAAGTAGTTATGCCCTTGCATACTTGTCATGAAGACCTCTGGTCTAGGATCTGTCCTATGGGGTGTTGAGTATCCAAAGCAGTTTCAACGCTGAGATAGCTATTACTCTACTGAGGACATGAAGCTATGTGCTATGTCCCAGGCTAGGGTATCTTCCAGTTCCGTTGTTACCTGCAAGACTCTTGATAGTTTGGCCCGGGTTACCCAATCATCTCTACACTGGAGTAAGATTGGATAGAGATTCTCTCAGGCTACATCGCAACATTGTGAATACTTAGATGATAGATGTATTTGCTTTAAACCCAACTCCAAAGCTATGGACATACTAGTAAACACCACTTCACGACTGATTCAACCTCGAAAACCCACCCTCAGGAGGCTGCAACCAATTCCTCTCATCATACTCCCACCCCTCAGCACCCTCAATAACATGGAAGGTATAAGCATACCGGCTCTTCTGGCTAGTATTCTTCTCACTCTTATGCAGCACATTCCCATGAATCAAAACCAGAGATCCAGCCTTGACAGTCAAAATCTCCAAATCCTCATCACTAGGTTCCTCAACCTTCTCCTCCTCCATACCCTTCGGCACCGAAGGCCCGTCATTCTCAATAAACTCGGTACCCTTGCCATCAGCCCTCCTCACGAATCGGCGGGCGATGTGGCCGCCCTTCCGACCCTTGTGAGAGCCCTTCCACATACCCAGCGTCGCATTGCCGGGTCCCGAATCTTGCAGGGCGTACCACCACCCGACCGCTGATGGCGGGTTCGTGTAAAGGAATTCCGAATCGCGGTGCGAGGGAACCGCGCCGCCAATGGAGGGCTGCTTGCAGATGACCATGCTCTGGAGGACGCGCGGGTCCATGAAGCCGAGCGATTTCGCTACGGCAGCGTTTTGCTCGTTCAGAGAGATCGCCTTGAAAGGAGGCGAGAGCGTGTGCAGAGAGTGTCCGATCTTGTTAACTGCCAGGTTCTTTGGCTTGATCAGTGCGGGGCGACCCGTGAGCGGATCAGGCTCGGAGGTGAACGCGTCCGGCTCGAAGAAGAACCGGATCTTGTCGCCAGAGTTTAAGAAGTAGTCATCGCCCACGTGCTCGGCCTGGTCATCATCGCCAGTGGTGAATTGCGTAAGTGGATGCGAGTCCAACGAGAAGTCGTTGAGAAGAGTGTCGGTCTCGGCCAAGAGAGACTCGATCTCAGCTGGGCTCAAATAGTCAGGGACGACGAGGTAGCCGTTCTCGCGGAACGAGGCCACTTGGGATTCTGTCAGGCCAGCCATTGTGGTGATGTAGAAGAAGAAAGAAAAAGATGGTGGAAATGGCGAAGTTGAAAAGGCGGGGAAAGTTGATAAGCGATATGGATCTGCCGAGATTGGCGAGATTGCGTGGGCTGTCGCGGAAGACCGTCGGTATGCGTATACTAGCTCCGCGATAAGAGCTAAGACTTCTCGAGTAGCCGACCCGTCTGAAGGTAGTTGACTAATTTAAATGACTCTACCTAAATCATTATTGGAGGGATTAATAGAAAAAAAAAGATTAAGAGCCAAAGTCCAAAAGTAGGTATCATTCGTCTTCGTTATACAGAGCAGACACTAGATGAACAATGCAAAAAGGCCAGATCCAAAAACGCCGCCATGCCGGATATCCAAAAGAGAAAAAAAAGCAGTCAAATACACAATTTGAATCATAACCGTAAGTCCGGGTAAAAAAAAGGGCCACCCAAGACAATCACATAACCGTACATAATATCGTCATATGCAAATCAGATGTTGTTTGTTAGTCGTTTCTCTTTAGCTAGCATACCCCATGGTAACCGATGGCCGGGAAGGCGCATATTTACGCACAGCTCGGCTCGGGCTGCACGCCACAGATCCAATGTCGATGGTCTTGAGCTCTCGGCTCAGGGCGTCCATGCCTGGGTTGCCAGTGCTCAGATGGCTAGCGGCAACGGGATATCCTGGAGAGCCGTGGGAGATTGGTACCTTCGAAGGGATGGGAGGACCGGTGTTATAGTCGTACAATGGGGAGCGAGAGCCCGGAGAAGGAGACACGGAGCCCCGCGAGGAGCGTGGTCGTTCTGCTGAGGTTGAGGTACTGTAGCCCCGGCTGTGCGAGTAGCTACCGTAGCTCTCATGGCCCCGGTCCGCACGAGGCGGGGTCCGATCTACAGGTTCACGGGTGTGAACATGGGTTGGTGTGTACTTCTTGCTCGGGCGATCAGTCTCGGTGGTAGTGCGGAATCCCACTCGAGGTGGGCCAGCGGGGCGAGAAGTGTCGTTGCCACGGGATGTAGGTCGCGGGGAGTGCTTGAACCGGATGATAACTTCAGGCTTGCGGCTCTTTCTCTCCGGCTCGGGTGCCCAAGTGTCTGTAGGCAGGTGGTCGGATGGATCAATCTCACGGCCATCGTCGCCGATGATGGGCTGATCTGGGTCACGGACAGGCTCAACCTCAGCCCGCACTGCCGCATCTCTGGCTTGTGAAAGAGACTCATACGCCGGCGACGGTTCCCTGCTGTTAATTGACCTGGAAGAACGCGGATTGAACGAGTCGTAAGAGTCGGGGGAGAATGGGATCGAAGAGCCCCTAGAAGGTGGGGGTCGTGGACTGACGGACTTGCGTGCAACAACCATGCGCGTATCCGGGCTCACGGAACCGCCTCGACTCCTGATAGAGCTTCGATCATCGATGGGCTGTGGAGATGTTCGGAGGGGATAGATAGGTGCCTCGTACGGCATGGGAATTGGCACGGGTGCCTGTGCAGGCATACTGGCCGGGATCATGGCCGAACTGCTCGACGCTGACAATGGTTGAGGAATCATCATCTCATCCTCCATGTGGCTAGTACTGCCTTTACGGCTAGTTCGTCCCTCATAAACCCGATCTTGTTCTTCGCTTTCGTAGCCAGCCACCAAACTCGCTGGCATGGATGGAGACGGGTCCCTGGCATACCCAGGGCTGTAGGGTGTGTAAGGTGAGGGTGATTGGCTGGCGGGCATCTTCACGGGGGATGGTGGTTGGGCCATTCGAGACCTATGAACAGGAGGTGGGGGAGGAGGACCGTCCTCATCCTCATCTTCCACGCGCGGCTGCATCGTGGCGTATTCAGGATGATAAGGATCACTTCGAGGAGCCGGCAGTGCCTTCATGATGCGTGGTTGATATCGATACTCATCTGCTGGTCCTGAGGAGGAGCTTGGCCGTGAATATTGCAAAGGAGCGGGTTCGTCGCCGTGACCAGATGCCCGGGGCGAGAATGTCGAAACATGGCCAAAAGTCATCGGATTTGCGCCATACTGAGGTGAGACGACCGAGTTGTACGCATCCTCTGGGCGAGGAGGCCTGTCGTACAGTGTCCTCCCATGTGGATCAACCTCGAATGGCGGCTCTGAGGTTGAACGATAGTCCCGAGGAGGCTGGTCGTAGTCGATATGACTGCGCATCGTAGGGGTGGGGCGAGGGTCGTATTGAGGTTGAGATTGAGGTTGAGGGTGCTCATTATGATATGAAGGTTCATGGGCCGTGCGTCTCATCGTACCGGCAGGTGGCAGGGCTGGAGGAGGGGCGGGAGCGGAAGTTTGGTTGTCCCAATCTCGCTGATATGGATCAAGAGCATCGTATGTTCCTCGGCTCTGCATACTCGGGGCAGGGGGGTTGTAAGTTGGAGCGTCATATAACGGTTCGGCATGGGTTGACGGGTAAGGAATAGTATCGGGATTCGTAACTGGGGCGGGTGCGGGCATGGTATGGGCATGATCGTGCATAGCTGGTCGTGACGGCTGAGGATGTTGCAGTGGCGGAGGTGCTGAGTGTGTCTGCTCCAGCACAGAGGGCCTTGGAGAAGGGGCAGTTCCAGATGGATCGGTAGGCAGTGGGCGCCTCTTGACTTTCTCTAATGATCGCGGGCCAGATAGTCCCGAGCTTGAAGGGCCAGCGGCAGCAGCCTTGCCTTGAACCCTCTCTGCCGCTTCTTTCCGCTTCACAATGACAGCCTCATCTTGTTGGCGGGTATCATAGTATGTCATCTCAATGCGAACATCACCAGCATATTTGCCTCGGCACTGGAGTGGGTGCCAGTGGTCATTCTGGCTTCCTCCAGGAATGATCAAGTTCTGCAGGTCAATCCAAGTCTCTCCAATCAAATCTGTCTTTTTATCGTCGTTGAAGATGGAGACTTTTAGCTTGAAGTAGTCTGGTGACTCGTGTACTGTAAAACGGAGCTCGTGATCCCTAGGAATTCCGTCACGTTAGTAGTGATAAGCTTGGGAGTGGTTTGTTGTATCAACATACCATCTAGGAGTTTGTCCACCACGTAGGTCGGTTGGAGTCTTCTTTGCTTCTTTGCCTAGTCGTGCGGCACAGTATGGGTTCTGCTTGCCCATTGTCTTGCGATTGGGCAGGTTCTTCGCACGATCGATGATGGCGACCAGTGTACCAATTGGGGGGCCATCGACCGACATATCGGCGAAGATGCCCGCAGCATGGTTGATCTTGGAGAGCTTAGACATGGTAATAGGCAGAGCGATCACTCAGAGGCTCTTCTGTCTCAACCAGGTTGAAAACCAAGCTTAGCTGGGGGGTATAAATGAGGGCAATCCAGCATTGAAGATATCTGAAAAGAAGAAGAGAAGGAGGAGGGGGAAAAGATAAACGCCCTCTTTCTGGAATGTCAAAGTTGGTATTGAGGGGGCTGGGGGGATCCACGCTGGGACTGGAATGAACGGGTGTGATTGGGCAGAGCCCCTGATTCAGGCTGATTCAGGCGTCTCGGCCATGGTGGATCGGGGCGATATGACAGTACGTGACAGTACAGCGATACATGATTATCGATAAACAAACCTTCCCATTTGGGCCTTTCAAAACTACGTCAGCCCTATTGGCACTTTTTTTTCCCACTTCAACTTTTACGCCTCTCCAGCCTCGTTCGGCAGACAAAGCCCAATATGCAAGATAGATTACATAGTCTCCATTTCATTCCACATCCTCACTCATTTCACCCAACCCCAGCCAGAAATCGAGAATGGAGTGGATCGGCGGCGTCAGCTTCACGCAGATTCCCCAGCCACCGCGACCACCGCTAAGTGGACAAGGGGCATCCCACCCCTCCAGGAGGTGCAACGATTGGCGACAGGCCTAGAGTCGTGATCGTCATCCTTCGATAGCGCCGTTTATGAATCCTGTTTCATTCGACCTGCTGGCGCAGCTGTCAGGCACGGCTCTCCACATGTAAGGTTGGCTAGATGTAAATATTGCTATGGCGACGCGCAAAACACACCGCTTCCTCCCCCTTCTTACTGGATGAACGAGTCCTAGGAAAGAGGAATCGAATATTTTTTGGAACTATCGATAATACCGGCAACCTCCTCCCTTCATGGTAAGACAGATCTCGATAGTCAATCATTGCCCGACCCTCCCTGCTTCCGATGTCAGACAGTTTGGCTGTTGCCTGCCTCACTGCCCCGGGGCGATGCCGAGACTTCCGACGATCCGATCACGTAGTCGCCGGGCCATTTCTATTATTAAAGGCGATTTCGGGAAGAAAAACCCGGGAGCCTACAAGCGCGATATACTACGAACATATGATGTAGCCATATATAGATCATCCGGGTGATATAGATGTTTGCCCGTTGGTGATATCTCAAAGTAACGAGTGATATAGTTCCTCAGCAAAAAGTAGTATTTGAAAGGAAGTCATAGTTCCTCTAAGTACAGTGGATGACACCTATTTTGAGAAGAATACTCGCACTGTGAGCTGTCAATATTGCAACAATGATACAACTTCTGCAGTACGGAGTACAGGTGCATACAGCTGTCCATCCTCGATGTTGGACCCCACCTAAATTACCTAATTGAGGTGATACGGAATTATTGACTGCCTTACAGCCTTATTGCCTGAAAGCTTGGCATCGCAGTGTCAGAGATTCTTTCTGCCTCAGGCCCCAAGACCTCTCGCCGCCAATCCCAATCAGGGCGAAACTTTTTTGATCGGCAGAAAAAAAGATCCTCCAGCCTTTACGACCAGACACCTTTGCGCGCGCCACGAGGTTCTGTCTCGGCCTTTTGTGTTACTTCCATTGACTCTTACGCCTTCTACTGGCGCTTGAAATAGCACCCCACACATCACCATGGCGGCGCCCGTCCTGCCCCTGCAGCAGGTGAAACTCGCCTCGCTGCCCTCAACCCGCCTTACGCCAGAGCAACAATACTGGCGCACCTTCAAGAACCCTCTCTTGATTCCTTCGCCGGCTAATGGCCCCGTTAATCTCATCACTCAACCCTCCGCACCCTCCTCCTCTGCCGCATTCCCATCTCTGACACAACCTCCGGACGTTTTCACGGTGACCACTGGCGCCCGGGTCCAGATCTACTCGATTCGCACACGGAAGCTTTTGCGGACGATTACTCGGTTCGACGATACAGTTCGCGGCACAGATGTCCGTCCCGATGGCCGTATCTTTGTGGCGGGTGATGATACGGGTAAATTGCAGGTCTTCGATGTGAACTCGCGTGCCATCTTGAAGACATGGACGGATCACAAGCAACCGGTCTGGGTTAGCAAGTTTTCACCCAGCGACCCGACGGCGCTCCTGTCGGCCAGTGATGACCGTACCGTTCGGTTGTGGGATTTGTCTTCAGACTCGAGTGCGCGGACATTCGTTGGCCACACGGACTACGTGCGAAGCGGTTCTTATATGCCCGGCTCGATGTCTTCGTCTGGATTGCTTGTGTCTGGTTCTTACGATCGTACTGTCCGTATTTGGGATCCCCGTGTTGAAGGCCGTGCGGCCATGACGTTCAAGATGGCCGCCCCCATTGAGACTGTGCTGCCCATGCCGGCGGGTACCACTGTTCTGGCTGCTGCCGACAACAAGATCGGCGTGTTGGATATCGTTGCTGGAAAGCCGCTACACATTATTCAGAGCCACCAGAAGACGGTGACGTCTCTTGCCTTGGCCTCGAACGGAGAGCGCCTGATCAGTGGTGCGCTAGATGGCCACATGAAGGTCTTTGAGACGACTGGGTGGAACCCCGTCTCCGGATCCAAGTACCCCTCCCCTATTCTGTCACTCAAGGTCATCACCTCTGGTATGGCGTATGAGGATAGACACATCGCCGTTGGTATGCAGTCGGGCCTGCTCTCGGTCAAGACCCGTCTGTCCGGCCAACAGAAGGTCAAGGAGCGTGAACGCCAAAAGGAGATGCAAGCACTTTTGGAGGGCAAGTTGGAGGAGCACGACCGACAAGTCGCAAAGAAGCAGAAGCTGCGCGGCTCCGGTTGGGAGAAGCGTCTTCGTGGACGGGACTTTATCGGCGAAGGGGTGGATATCGTGATTGAGGGCCAGGATCGCAAGAAGCGGAAGAAGGAGCAGCCGTGGGAGAATGATCTTCGCAAGGGTCGCTACTCGGTTGCTCTCGACCAGGTCCTCTCATCTACCGACAAGATCGCCCAACTCACCCTCTTCACAGCCCTTCGTCACCGGTCCGCCCTCCGCGCCTCGCTCAAGGACCGCGACGAAGTTACCCTGCAGCCCGTTCTACACTGGATCTACAAGCACATCCGTGAACCCCGTCTAGTAGATCTGTGTGTCGAGGTTGCCATGAATGTCCTCGACATCTACTCGGGTAATCTGGGTCAGTCTGCCCAGATTGACAAGCAGGTGGAGCGTCTGCATAAGCGAGTGCGGGATGAGGTCGAGATGGCCCAACATGCATGCCAAACGAAAGGCATGCTGGATATGTTGAAGGTTAATTAACCGGGACCGTTGCTGATGTGAAGCTGGGCTTGGAGTTTTATATTATTTTGGACCGGTGTCTATTTGGGATTTGGATTTTTCCAGACGGTGTATATGGCGGGCCATTGAGCATGTATATTGCATAGAAAATAAAAGTCGACCATTTCCACATTTCCACCTCTAGCTTTAAGGTGATTTGAGTTTTGCGTACTCCAGCTGTAATCTGCGGTCTCTACTACAGGCTGTCTCCCTATTGGCCTTGTACCTGGTATGTACTATGCCCACTTAGCCCAGGACTATACATCCTCAGGACATTATATCTAGGTGAAGTGGCGGTCTAGATAATACTTATCTTAGAAATTTGGAATACCAAGATAGCTCACAGCTAATGATGAAAATAATGAATAAATTCTTCCAGGTCGTTACTGGTCCTGCACGGAGCTCTCCTTGGTCAAGGTACTTTGGTACTTTGTAAGCCGAGTTTATCCAAACGTCCTCCTCTCAGCCACCACGTCAGGTCCCAACTCGTGATCGGCCAGTTCACCTTTTTCTTTTTCCCCCCACGACAGAATCATCCATTTCGGACTGGTCATCTTTCTCCCCGCTCGCGATACCCGAAATCGTCCTCTTTGGAAATCCGCTACCGTCAAGTTTTCCGGACATTCCAAACCTCTCTCCCTCCTTTCTACTTCCTCGGTTAACCCTTGGCAACGTGCTCAACCCTCCACCCCCTCCATCCGCCCCGCCCCTCAACCATCTGAGCAACAAAAAACAGCTGTTCAGCTCCACCCTCGGTTCTATTGTGGGGAGGGTCGAGACCGACTGATTGGCGATGCTCTAGACGGGAGGAAAAAGCGCAGAAAAAAAATTAAGAAGAGACGGCACAGTCAGCAAGCCCGCTCCGGACCCAAGAAAATCAATCACGTCACGCTGGTCACGCTGTCCTTTCATCATGGCCGCCGCCCTCGACGAGGAAGATCTTTCGATCCCCCTCCCTCCCACCGACCGTCCGCGTGAACGAGGTGAACGTACGAGCAAGACGACTACGAGCTCAAACCCTTCCGCTATGGCAATGCCTCCGCCCTCGCGCCCGACCGGTCGTCCCGACCCCACGACTCAGTCCCCGGCCACCATGCGGGACATGCAGCGCCTCGATCAGTATCAGACCGTCAAGATCCTAGGTGAGGGCTCTTTCGGTAAGGTCAAGCTTGCTATCCACCAGCCAAGTGGAAGGCAAGTCGCCCTCAAGATCATCTCGCGGCGTAAGCTACTGTCTCGGGACATGGTTGGGCGCGTGGAGCGAGAGATTCAGTATCTTCAATTGCTACGACACCCTCACATCATTAAATTGTAGGATCTAGCTCCCCTTGTTTCTTTGATTCTGTTAAAACCTCCGAGGAATTGACGCCTTGTTCCCTTCATTCCCCCCTCCGTTTTAACAATTGCTCTGGTCTGTACTCGTTGACTGACCGAGTTGCCCCGCCTCCCGCTAGATACACCGTGATCGCCACCAAGACCGACATTGTGATGGTCCTCGAATATGCCGAACGCGAATTGTTTGATTACTTGGTTCGAAAAGGAAAATGTGGTGATGATGAGGCCCGCAAGTTCTTCCAACAGATTATCTGCGCCGTCGAGTACTGCCATCGACACAAGATTGTCCACCGTGATCTGAAGCCCGAGAACCTCCTCATCGACAGCACGAAGAGCGTTAAGATTGCGGATTTCGGATTGAGTAACATTATGACAGACGGAAATTTCTTGAAGACCAGCTGTGGCAGTCCGAATTATGCTGCCCCCGAGGTCATCTCCGGAAAGCTCTACGCCGGTCCAGAGGTGGATGTTTGGAGTTGCGGTGTTATTCTCTACGTTCTGCTCGTGGGCCGCTTGCCCTTCGACGACGATTATATTCCTGCTCTGTTCAAGAAGATCGCTGCTGGAAACTTCCACATTCCTGGATACATCTCTCCCGGCGCAGCCCGACTCATTCGCGCCATGCTTCAAGTCCACCCGGTTCACAGAATTACCATTCAAGAGATCCGGGAAGACCCGTGGTTCACTAAGAACCTCCCCAAGTACCTGGAACCACCAGCCGAGGAGTTCATTGCTACAGACGTGGATCTGAGCAAGATCGATCCTCGTAAGGTGGGCGCTGGAAAGCCGGTTCCCGTGAAGCATAAGATTCACCAAATTGCCGTGTCCAAGCTGGAACGAAGCATGGGATATGATCGGGAAGATATCGAAGATGCCTTGCGCCACCCGGAGCCTAGTGCAATCAAGGATGCCTTTTCGATTGTCGTTGAGAACGAGATGATGCAAACCAACTGTGAGTTAATTATTCTCCAATGGGTGAAAACCTACTAGAGGCTTCCTGGCTAATTAATGTTTCACACAGCTCCAACCGACGACAACCTGTTGGCCCAGAGTGTGTCACCCCAGCCAAAAGCACCCGCACCTGCTCCCGCCCAACGAACCCCCGCGACTCCAAGATCTCAAGAGCAACCAGCTGCGACACCTGCCGTTGCACGAACCCCCAGTGTCTCACGCCGTCCCCGACCAGAAGAGACTCAACAAGAAGACCCCGAGGAATTCGAGCCACAGCGTCTCAGCCATGTCCGCATTCTACCTACGAGTCTGCCTTATGTCCATGATCAGCTCATGGAGCAACGTGACCGAGAACAGAGAGCTCGCCTCGAAGAGCGCCGACGGGAAGCCGCTCGTGCCGAAGAGGATCAATCGGGATCTGAACGCAGAGAACTGACTCCAGAAGAGCAAGCCGCCACTGCTCGGGCATTGAAACCCCATTCTCGCAGTGTCGTCGATCTGGACAAGTTGAGGTTCGAGCCGCCGATTGGCCATCCGATCACACAACAGCCTAAGAAGTCTCGAAAATGGCAGTTTGGTATCCGCTCACGGAATCAGCCATACGAGGCGATGCTGTACCTGTACCGAGCTATCGCTGCTCAAGGTGGAGTGTGGGATATTCAGCCTGTCGAATCAGGCACGACCATCGGTCCCGATGCGTCACCAGACAAACCCAAGCCTCTGCAAAGCAAATACCCCGACCTCCCATCAGACTACTACATTCCCAAGGACCCCTGGTTCATCCGCGCCCGCTTGCTGAAAGAAGGCGTCAAAGCCCCGGGACAATCAACCAGTGTCTACAACAGCCGCAGCGACCTCGAAGAGCTCCGTCGTCGTTTCAATATCTCCGGTATCTCCGTCCCGGGCGACGACAAGGACAAAGATATGAAATCTCCCTCGTCCGATAACGGCGGTCTCTCTGCACCCTCATCGGCCACGCAAAATACCAGCATACCCAGTATCTCGCACGGCGTCTGGGTCTTCGTCGATATCCAACTCTACCAACTCGAGGAGAACAATTACATGGTTGACTTCAAGTGCGATGGATACCAGAACGTTATTCGCGCCCATGGAGACACAGAGTGGCACCCTATTAGCAAGCGCTTCATGAACAAGGAGAAGGAGGTCACTAGCCCTTACCCTTTCCTGGATGTGGCATCGGACCTTGTGGCTCAGCTGGCCGTGGCTAGCTAGATGCCCTCGAATTTTATCTTATCTTTATGATCATGACAATTTTTCCCCATCATAGTCACTTCCCTTTTTTTTTCCGGTCTTCGCCTGCTGATGTTTTGTTAATGTTCCTTGCTGGTGTATGTATGTGGAGTATGATGCTGTACATGGATTTATGTTTGCATTTGGTGTGTTATGTTTTCGAAATTTTCATGAGCAAGCGTGTCGGTGATTTTCTTTTTCTTACATGACGTGGAGTTTATTGCTCTAGTATTTTTACCTTCAATATAACTTATGATACTTCTGATCGTGAACAAAAAAACATTTTCCATTACTTAGGCTCTCGAGGTGTTCCAGTTACCAGTCCGCCTTTTATTAACTGTTAATGTTTCCTAGTTCACTGCAACCATCAAGCTGGACCCTCACCATCAGTAAACGTTTCATTGACCACATGAATGGCATCAACTAATCTGAATCTGTCTCAGTCTCCCAACAGCATCATCCATAGCCCGCGCAACATCCCGAGTAAATATCCGCTGCCTTCTCAGCTCAAAACTCGCAAAGCACAAGATTTGCTTAATCTCATTGCACTTGATGTAGAAGTAACTATCCCCCAACGACGATTGATATACCCCAATATCTTGGACTGCCTGGTCCATGACAGATGCCATTGCGTCGGGTGGGACGTAGTATGTGTTGTTTACCCATGACGTGAGGTTTCCGATGAGTTCGTAGCGTAGCTGGATGAATTGGGCGAGGAGGTGCATTGTGAAAGGGAAATTGGGGATTCGAGATGTGGAAAGTGTTGATGGGACGATGACTTGGTATTTGAGGCCTTCCGAAGAGGTTTGGTATGTAGTTATTTCTGCAGGGACGAGGAGGAAGAGTGTTATTGCAGTGGATGGCTTTATAATGCTCCTTTGACTCGAGGGGGGTTGAGCGAGTAAGCAGTCTTTCTTTGAACAAGATTCTTTGGATAGTTATTGAACTGGACACCATTCTTTGTTCAAAGGTAAGAAAGCCCATTGAATAGAAACTTATTCCTTTCCTCCTTACACATAACTTGACAACAAAGAAACCCCCCCCCCATCCCCGAACCTTCTCGACTCACCTAGTCCGCGGACTAACCAGACCATAAAAATTCAACGGCTTCACACTAAACGCCCCATTCGAAGCAAGTTTATAATCCGGATCCTGGAACTCGAACGAAACATCCTTCAAAATACTCGCAAGAGTGAAAACAGACCAGCGCCACGCCCACGCCTTCCCATAGCACTGGCGTTTACCGTTCCCAAAGCCCTTCTTCGCTCCGCTGGGGAGATTCTCCAATCTCTCGCCGAGCATACGCTCTGGATTGAAGATTTCCGGGTCTTCGAAGACGGCAGGGTCGCGGTTGACCGAATGCAAGATTGTGATCATCGTTTGGTCGTGTGGGATTTCGTATTTGCCTCCTGCCAGGAAGACGGGGCTTTTGTCTCCCGTGGGGATAGGTTCGATGTTGAAGCCCGGAGCGACGGCTGATAGACGGAGAGATTCTAGGATGATGGCTTCGCAGTATTTAAGCTCCTTGAGCTTGTCGAGTTGGATCTTCTCATCGGAGCCGATGATCGAGTCGATCTCCGCGCATGCTTTGTCTCGCGCGTCGGGATTCTCCAGGAGATAGTACAGGGCGTACGAGACGAGATTAGAGCTGGTGGCGGCGCCAATGAACATAGTCACGACCTCGTCCACGGCCTCTCTATCGCTGAGTTGTTTCCCAGTCTCCAGATCCGTATTGTTCAGGATTGCATCTAGAAGATCTTTGCGCGATTCTTCCGGCGTCTCCTTGCGTCTCTTGATAATCCCACTCGCAAAATCACGCATGATCTTGATATCATTCTCAAAGCCGCGTGCATAGAAAAGCCAATTCACGAGACCCAGACGATTAGGCCGTTTCATTGCTTCCATCGTGATGCGCTCCAGAGCAGGGATGATAGCGGGATCTGGGCCTTGGAGGACTTCGACCCGCTGATTGAAGAAACACTGCATGCAAGAGGCCATAAGTAGACGATCCAGGTCATCCGTAATCAACACTGGCTGCTTGACGGTCGTCGTCCATTTGCGGGTCAAGTCTTGGATAACGGTCGCCATGTCGTCAAAACAAGCATCCGTGCCGGACTCTGTGACAAAGGGTATCATGATCCTATGTGCGATGCCCCAGCTCGATTCGATGTCGTATGCAGTGAACAGACAGTCATTTGCGCAACGGCGCATCTCGACAATAGGACCCGTGACGCATTTTCGGAATCGTTGCTGGTCGCATATTTCCTCGAGGAGTTCCACACTGCCGATGAAGACGATTTGCTTGCCTAATGCTTTAACCTTGAAGATTGGGCCGTATTCCTTGGCGAGTTTGATCAGTGAGTTCCATGTCTCATTGGGATTGACATTGAAGATGTTCCCTAGGATGGGAATGCCGGGCGGTTGGGGTATCGGGGTAGACATAGTCTGGCTGGTAGAGAATGTAGCGAAAGTCGCTCAGCAGTGGATTAGTTATGGAAATCAAAGAATGCAGACATGGCGGAGGGGCAATAGGTATCTTATAAGTTACAAGCGACCTGAGCCCTCGAAGTGGAAGGGGACGCGAAACCCACACGGGCTGAAAAAAGCACTAAAGGTATTCTCGTGGCTTGCTGAATGTCACACAAGACATTCGTACAGTAAACAATCGCAAGCGATAGGCTTACTCCTGCCGGGAAGCGCAGATTCTCTATGGCACGTCATCCACCGTAGAATACCACTGCAGGCAGTTCAATCTTCGTCCAGACATGTCACACAAATTGTAAATTGGACTGAATATAGCGGAAGCGTACAGTACCTTATTAATGTGCAAAAGCTGAGAGGGAGACGCCTCTGTTTTTTATTTCTTGAGGCTAGACAGAATAAAGCCTAGTTTGGTTCGAGAGGCGTTCGTAGGCGCCCGGCACCCACGAACCCAGTGGATTCCGGTGGTGACCAACTGCGCCATCATGTGGACGAGTCTGCAGAATTATGCACTTCCACCGCGAGGAGGCCATAAGAGGTAACTGTTAATAGAGCTGAATATTTCAAATCTGTACACGGAAGTCATAATTTTCGGAATTTACGTAAGGCAAACGAAAATCAACAATTACTCAATCAATCATTCAGTATCTAGGTGATAACTGACTTCGAGGTAAACACAGACAGCTACTCTAGACATTGTCAATTGTACATGGCGTTTTTATGGACGCCATGGCCAGCCAAGGCCAACTACTCCTCCTTCTTGGCGGGCTTCTTGATCGAACCCCGGGAAGAGATTCGACCACCCACCTTCAGGTGCAGTTTCTTGCGGCGTTGGAGTTGGTTAGCCGCCTCGGCGACGAGGTCCTCGCCGTCTTCACTCAGGTACTCCCCCTCTTCTTCACCGACGTCGTCCTTAACTCCGCCCTCAACTCCGCCTTCATCCGCCTGCTCCGCCTGTTGGCCGCTCTTCTTCTGAGCCGACCGCCGCTTGGCATCCTCCAACACGTCCGGGTGGAAGGTTGGCAGGATTTCAATGTCGGGGAAGCGAACGAGGCTGTTGCGCTCCCGGTACGCCGCATTTTGGGCGACCTTCTTCTCATCCTTGGTGAGGTTGCCTACAGCGTTGGCCTTGGTCCGGCTCTCTCGCTTGGCGTCCTCTTGTTTCTGGATGCTGGTGAGGTAGGCCTCGATGCGCCTGACGATGTCGCGAATGTCATTGAACGAATTGCCGGCGCCGACCTCCCGCTGGAGCCAGTCAGGGACGGGAGCAGTGATGGCGGTTGGGTGTCTGCGGCCGTTCTGGAGAAGACCACTCGGAGCGGGTCTCTCACCCTGTCCATCAGTTCGCAGGGCCTCGCGGCGACGAAGTCGGAGCTCAAAGCTCAGGACGTACCCCCATTCTTCCATGCGGTCCAAGGACTGCAGCAACAGCTCACACTGATTGAAGGGCCATTGCTCAGCGCGATATCTGGCCCGCTGGTAATGTTTTCTGCAATAATAGACCCAAACTGACTCGGGGAATAGCTTTGTGGATGCCTTGTTTCTGCCAAAGAGGTGGGAAACAATCTTTCTGAAGTGGAGGCCATCCGGGCTGGGACTCATGCTGCAGGGTTGGGAGAATTCGCAGAGGGGCTTGAACTTGTCATCGTCTTCCTCCTGCTCTGTCGGTTCTTCGGGCTGAACCTGAGGCGAGTTGGCGGCCAGTTGATCGATATGCTGCTGGCTATGGGCAGGCTGCTGGCCATAGGAATGGGACATGAAACCCGGAAGAGGTGGCAGGAATGGCGATGGCTGGGTCATTTGCGATGGGGAGGAACCGTAATACATAGCCTGTGGCACCTGAGGACCATGGGGGTTTCCTGCGTTCCAAGCACCGGTGGAGAAGGGGGCGAAGTTCAGCGAGGTGATGGGAGGCAGTTGATTTTGACCGTGATTGTAAGGAAGGAAAACCCAGGTTCCAGGAGGCAGGGCGCCGTTGCCATATGCCTGCTGAGGGATTTGAGGGTACTGAGGGTACTGAGGGTATTGAGCGTAGTTCGGAGTGACGGTTTGATATGGGACGTTGTCATAGACCTGAGGGGTTGGGGGTGCGGGAGCAACCGAAGTAGGCGAGTCATGGAAGTCGGAATATCCTCGCTGGTTTCCAGTCGGGACATGGGGCTCCATTTGCATCGGATGCGCATGGGGATGAGGGTGGGCGTGGGTGGTCTGGGTGTTCGGATTCGAGCTGGTGGTCTGGCGCTGCCACGGGTAGTCTTGTCCATCAAGGTCTGCGGTACCGACTTGATCATCTGGGATGCCCGGCAGCTGGCTGCCAGAGGGAGGCTGCCCAGTATTGGATCGATCCATGGCTGGGATAGCTTGAATGATCGTGAATGAATGTTCAGATGTGGGAACTGATGTGGAAAAATGATGCTTGGAAAAAAGATGGAGATGGTAGAGAGATGGGAGAAGGATGGTGGGAGAGGAGATGAGCGGGCAGGACAGGACAGAAGAAGTCGAGGATGGATGGAGGCTAAACGAGGATGGAAATCTCCTTCAAACAGGCTACGACTCTTCCAAATTGGGAATGTTTGCGTTGGTGCCTTCACGATTTCTCGTGTCTTGGCCAGTCTCCACGGTGATTGCCTTGAAGGAACAAACATGACCACCAAAGACGTTGCTGGATGCTTCTATTGAACTAGCAGCCTGGAGAAACAAGTCCAGACTCAGCTTCAATCTCAGGAACTACTATCATCAAAGCTGATAGACCAGGACTCGAATGCCATATGCTATATGGGAGTGCTGCGATTCGCCTTGAATCAACTACAGGTGACGTTGAGATATCCACAGCCCTCTATACCTCAGACCTTTCAACAGTTTATTCAAAAAGCTAACTACATCAGCTACAGACAGTCCTTTGAACATCAAAATTCTACGGCAAGCACAGAGGAGAACATACTGCCACGGAGCCAAGCATGCTGAAGACTTGACCAATGGGTTGAAGTCCTACGAAAAGACTGCTGTGTGTTGAAAACCTCGGAAATCTTCCCACCGAGGCTGCTGGACGAGGATAGGACCATATCTCAATGACTCGCTTTCCAATCGTAGTTATAACGAGTTGCAATCATGGCAAGCAATACAGCAGCATGCCTTCAATATAATAGGCAGAGGATTCCCTTGAACAATGACGACGTGAGTAGCAAAATCTCCGGTTGGCATGAGGCTATCTTTGCGACGATACTTGTCTTGAGTTTGGTTATCTGAAAGTTTATAAACATGGCTAATGAGATATGATTCTACTAGTTGAGCTTTGGAAGTATATTCGTTTAGCCTTCCGGTGATTGACCTTGATCGGAGTCTAATCCAAAACTTCCATACAATCGTTCGAACAACTGAGGTTCCCAAGCCGCTCCAATCAGCCCAAACCTCGAACCCTCCAATATGAACCACATCTTCGATTGGTCAATAGTAAGGTTTTGGCACCCTGAATCCCAATCTGCCCAGAATCCATACGCGGGTGCTTAATACAACCAGAAAAGCTCCTGCTCAAGAGCAACTTGGAACAAGCAAATCTGAACTGTGTCATTGGAGGCTCGCATACCCGATACAGACGGCGGTCAGTACGGAAAAATTCTGAAACTCAAGGCCATTAGGCTTCCTTAAATTTGCAGAGGGTTCTCTGTGTGTAGTGGAGTCTCTCTTCGGCATATTGCCTCGTCGTCCTGCTTACTGATGACTCTGACACCCATCTCCTTATGGTTTTCTCCAAAATATCCTATCTTAATAGTGCACGGATGCACACCGCTTTGGAATATTCAACTTTGAAAGTATGGAGACCTCGATATAGACCGAATGTTGAACAGCATGGCTAGGCTATTCAAATTAGAGGAACGGCGGAGACGCAGACAAAGCTTAGCAGCATAGCCAAGAATTGTAGATCAAATTTTAGAGCCAATGAAATTCACCGATTGGAGGCGATGATTGAATATGTTTCTGGAATTCGAGAGAAGGTTTAACCGACTGTATACCCAAATTGCACTCCGAGAGAGTCTGCGACAGCTGGGTAGACTTCCAATCATGGTGAGGCACACATCAGTATCTGGGATTTAACAAGATGTAAGTCTACCCCACCACTAATGTCGCTACTGTGGGGATATTCAGGTAGCATAGAAGCGGATGTTGACGCTTTGCCAAAGTAGGATGAGCGAGGTACCCCCAGACTGACGTGGTCTCTGTGCTGCCGTAAGGAATTAGCTTTGCAGGGTTCTCCGCTCATCCAGGTCGAGAAAAAAAGTCAGCCTTCCACTAGCAATTGCCGATAGCATTATTCCTGCAGAAAACTAGTGCTTGCATGAAGAAAGTCAGCTTAGTGATCCTCAGCTTAGTGATCCTAGAGAATGGCGCCCGCGCCCAATACGAGAGCGAGGTACCCGTTGACCAATTCCCTATTCGGGTTGCAGTAGAATGTTCGCGGATTGTCGGGTAGAACAATCGAACTAGATCCGCGGCAACTCATCTCCGAGTGTAAAATAGAAGCTTTGGATTCTGGGTGGCTATTGATCCCGCTCGCAGTAGTATCGTCAGGTTACGGGAAATTGCGGGGGTGAAGGATCGCTGCGACGCTATTCCCTGGAGGGAAATATGCCCGCCGATTCTAACACCGGGGTTTGGCGTGGATCATTAGAATGCCGGCTGAATGATGGTGTTAATTGGGAAACCGATATCGTTCATGGTATCCACTCTAGCTGAGTTGCTAGCTGAGTGCGACGGCATCGGTGTGCATTGCTTATTGTAAGCGCAACTCTCGCGGGGTATATAAGGCCATACCTGTGCCGACCTTGGATGATGGAACATATCTTCTCAACAGAGCATCTTCCACTCTACCGAGCTCGTTGTGAACAATTTCACGATGGTATACGCTACCTGGACACTCCTCAGCCTTGCTGCTCTCAGCCATGCGGCACCAGAGAAGCGAGCTGGCTCGGCATCAGCTTACAGCTCCAACTCTGCCGGGAATTACAAGCTCTCTTCCATCGCAGCCCCTGTTCAAGGCAGCGGCAGCCCAGGATCAGAGTCAACCTGGAAACTCAGCATTGATGATACAAGCTCTGGTCACAAGCAGACCATTGTCGGCTTTGGCGCGGCAGTCACCGATGCCACGGTGACCTCTTTCAATACACTATCCAGTTCCAATCTCCAGACCCTTCTTCAGGATTTGATGACCAGCTCTGGTGCCGACTTCAGTTTGATGCGTCATACTATCGGAGCATCAGATCTATCTGGTGACCCTGCATACACATACGATGATAATGGAGGTTCTGCAGACCCTTCCCTGTCAAGCTTCAACTTGGGAGATCGCGGTACTGCGATGGCAAAAATGCTGGCTACGATGAAGTCATTGCAGTCTAATCTGAAGATATTTGGATCTCCCTGGAGTGCACCCGGCTGGATGAAGTTGAATGGTGTTATCGACGGGACTACGACTAACAACAACTTGAACGATGGATACTTGAGCGGGGGCACGGGAACCTCAGGATACGCCAGTGCATTCGCGAACTACTTCGTGAAATACATCCAAGCGTACGCGAACCTCGGTGCTCCTATTGATGCAATCACCATCCAGAATGAGCCCTTGAATAGCCAGTCCGGCTATCCGACCATGTATGTCTACGCAGACGAATCAGCCCAGCTCATTCAAAACTACATCGGCCCTGCCATTGCCAACGCCGGTTTGAACACAGATATCTGGGCCTACGACCACAACACCGGTAAGTCAAGTCCATACACACAAACCGTGATCTCAATCTAACATTCCCAAAGACGTACCATCCTACCCACAGACCGTCATCAACGGCGCCGGACAATACGTCGACTCCGTCGCATGGCACTGCTACGCCTCCAATGTTGACTGGAGCGTACTAACTGAATTCCACCAAACAAACCCCTCCGTCAAACAATACATGACCGAATGCTGGACTCCAGCCGGAACCTGGAACCAAGCAGCCGACTTCACCATGGGACCCCTGCAGAACTGGGCAGCCGGCGTCACAGCCTGGACCCTGGGCACCGACAGCTCTGACGGACCTCACCTTTCCAGCGGTGGCTGCGGTACCTGCCAGGGCTTGGTCACGATCAATGGGGACAGTTATACGTTTAACCCGGCCTACTACATGATTGCGCAGTTTAGCAAGTTTATGCCGCCCGGTGCGATTGTGTTGAATGGGAGTGGCAGTTATACTTACTCTAATGGTGGTGGTATTCAGTCTGTTGCGTCGGTGAATCCTGATGGGACGCGCTCGGTGGTTATTGAGAATACTTTTAGCAATGATGTTTATGTTACGTTGTCGACGCAGAGTGGGCAGGAGTGGAGTGGGAATATCCCCAGCGAGTCTGTTACTACGTGGGTTCTTCCTGCAGTATGAATATGGGGTTGAACATGGATGCCATGAGATTGATGGTACAAACTCTCGCTACTCAATGGCATCGTTGTACCCGTCTACCCACCCGATTGGAAAGACAGAGCTACGAGGCGAGCGAAGGAGGGCGGGTATCGCCAACCAATGTGAATGTTTTCTTGGTCATTATTATATAAATTTCAATCTGATTATTATACATACAAATTAAGAATGTTTGTGATCAAGAAAGCTTGTTCAACTCGTTCGAAACCCGTCCCTGGATCGTTAGGGCTAGAGAGTCACGTGCACACCCTTCCGCTGCTTCCGATCCGCAGACCAAGGCATCTTATTTTACGAAGGACACTGAACACATAGGAGGTATTGAAATCATGATGCAATGATAATATTGTGCTTTTTGTTCTATCATGGAAAGGTCATTATCGTGGAGTAAAGTCCAACTCCCTATGTACAGAATCACACAGATGACAAGAATAGGTGAGGGGGAGTTGGGTTGGTAGGGGGTCAGAGATGTAGATCTCCGACCACCCTATTTTTGTCCAGAGGGGTTTACAACCCCAAGGGAAGAATCATTGATGTCTGGGGGGAAGGAAAATCGCTAAAGGAACAATCGAAGGTGGGGGGAAACAGGTATCATCCAGAGAACGCCGAGGAGGGTATGCAAAACGAAGTATGGAAAAGACGCAAGACAAGGACAACAGATCACTGAGCAGCAGAGGCCAGTGATGACTGCAGTGCCTGAGTCAAAGCCTCTTCCTGACGCTTGCGTTCCATCTCCATCAAGTACTGAGCGTACTTGGAGCGGGGGTTGTGGATACCGCACTCAGTCTTCTGCTGGCCCTTCCAGCGACCAGAACGCTCATCCTCGTTGTCAGCGACGGGCTGAGTCGAGTGCCAGTCACCAACGCTCTTGTAGCCACGGTCGAGGAGCTCGTTGTAGGGGACGTTGTGCTCCTTAACGTAGGCCTTGACTTGATCGAAAGACCAGTTGGCCATGGGGTTAATCTTGATGAGACCAGCCTCGTCGACCTCGATGACGTCGAGGTCACCACGCTTGCCACCCTGGCTACGACGACGGCCAGTGAGAACGGCGTGGACATTCATCTCACGGTAGGCACGCTGGGCAGGCTCAACCTTGGCGACCCAGTCGTAGAGCTGGTCATCCACCTCCCAAAGACGGGAGCCATACTTGGACTCAAACTCAGCGGCAGTGTCAGCGCCGAGAGGCTTGTACACGTGCACGTTGTTAAGAGGGTAACGCTTCCGGACCTTGTCCACAAGAGACAGGGTCTCTGGGAAGTGGTGAAGAGTGTCGAGGAAGATGAGGTCGACCATCTGGGGTCGGGGCACATCCAACTTGGATAGCATGTCCAGGGTGACGAGACCAGTCATGCCAAAGGCAGTGGTCTGGAACAGGTGAGGCAGTGATGTGATGCACCATCTCAGGATATCTGTATATAAAAAAGGGGGGTATTCGAGTCAGACCCTGATCTTCCGGCAAAAGCGGGGTTCCAGGATGGAAGAAAAAGCAATATCAAACATACCTTGAGGCTCGAGGAATTGCAGTTGACGGTTCAGGAACTGAAGGTGAGGCTTGGTGAAGACGATCTCAGGGACATAATCGTCACTGGAGCCACCACTGACATAGCCAGACTCGGTGTTGGCATCCCTGGAATCGATGCCATTGTCCAGGTCGGAGGAATAGTTCTTGGCTGGCATTGTGTGAAGATTGAGGGGGAAATATGATATGCAAGGATGGATGGCAAAGCACGAGTCAAAAAGGATACAGGACTTTTAACACCACAAGGTGGCGTTTTGGAGGCAGATGAAGAAGGCGTGGAGAGGGAGACCAAGTTGACGATTGCAGGAATATAAAAGAAGAGCAAGTGGATTATTGAGCACGACATCATCTCGGAGATTCGTGCCTGGCATTTCTCATCCGGCTCCAGTGCCGTCAAATTCTGCCGGGCTTGCAGGGACGCAATCACGCAATTTTGTTGACCGCCTTTGAGCACGCCATTAATGCGCAGTTGGTCCGTGTGCGCACCCCGAACCAGCCATTTTGCTGTAAGGTTGCCTTGTAAATCCGATAATCGCTGGCATTCTCGGAGCTTCGACTAGCTATGAAGAGTATAGCGTCCAGGCAATAAGGCTTTGTTCAACTGGCTGATAAATCCATTGGGCTAAGAAAAGAAGGGCGTGCACTCCTCCCAGCATATGGGGGATCTCCGCGGCTGACCAATGCATCTTTCCTGTTGCATGGTCGCAATTTGATCTCTAATCAATGATGTTAGTGGATTTCTAGAAGATCGGTGGAATCACTAGAGGTTACCGGATCCGTAAATCAGCTTTCTTGTAGGTTGATGTGCGTCATCATGAAGAGCTCTGGGCGTGGAGGTTCGATTGTCGTTGCCCTTCCATACTGGAACCAGATCGTGGCCCCACGGTGATTATGTGACCAGTCATGTGACATGAGCAGTAGCTGTGATCGTGGTCAAGGTCAGGTGACTTTGCGGGCAGGACCCCCCACGTGCGATCGTCAACCTTTTTTTGTGCAAGAGTCTTGAAGTGTTGTACAGTCCAAAGAACGAGGTGATTCACGTTGGAGGTCCTTGACTCTCTTCCTGTAAAGTTTTCGCCATGGCCGACTCAGCAACCTCCCGCCAGCGGCCTTCGCTTGGCCAGATGCGAAGCAATTCCTTCCTGCAGGACCATCAGCAGTATAAGCCTCCCATCAACCAGACAATTGGAGAGGTACTCAGCGCACAATTGGACGAGGTTACCTTGACCAACCCAATCAAGCCGGATCCAGAGCGTGTCACGGACAGCGGTATCATCCACAGCATCTTCAACCACCAGTCCAACCAACTCCCCCAGGGTACCCCGCGCATCGTCGCAACCATCTTCTACAAGTCCGCCAATCCCGTCCACCCCCACTACCACCCCGATGCCTCGCCTGCTTTGCAACCAGGTGATAAGCTGCCCTCACCACACATCCCTGCTGGATCAGCTCCGTCAGTCGATATTGAGAAGATCCCTCGGGAACCGCCTGCGCCGGAGCCCGAACCGTTGGACCACATCTATGGGCCATACGTCTCGCAGCTGTGCTTGACCAATTTCCTCCAAACTCTCGAGTCCCTGCCCACTCCGTATCAGCGCACAAACACCTCGCACCGCTGCCTGGATCGCGAAGAACACCCCCGTGTGGTGGAAGTCACCATCTCCCCGCCGCCGAACCCGGCTTACCTCTCGTTCAGCGATCTGCGCAAGCATGAGAGTATTTGGCGGTTCGAGCGTGAGTGGAATGTCGAAGTGGTTTTGCAGCAGGAGAGCGTGTTCCGCCGGCATAAGCGGCTGGCAGTGTTCGACATGGACAGCACTCTGATTGAGAACGAGGTCATTGATGAGATTGCCAAGTTTATCGGTGTAGAGAAGGAGGTTTCGGTGGGTTTCCATGGCATAGTAGCTGATGGGTATATGCTGACCATACTGATCTAGGAAATCACCGAGCGCGCTATGAATGGCGAACTCGACTTTTCGGCGTCTCTCAAGGAGCGCGTTGGTCTGCTCAAGGGCGTCCCGGCTGATGTGTTTGACAAGCTTAAATCTGTCATCACCATTGCCAAGGGTGCCCGGGAGCTGTGCCGTGCCCTGAAGGCATTGGGCTTTAAGATGGCTGTGCTGAGTGGCGGCTTCCAGCCTCTTGCTGAGTGGCTCGCTGGCCAGCTGGGTCTGGACTACGCAGTTGCCAACCACGTAAGCGAAGCGCTTACCCTAGCAAACGATTGACCCTTCTAATGCTCTTCTAGCTTGAAATCGATCCGGTCACCCAAACTCTCACCGGAAAGCTGGTAGAGTCCAAGCCCATCATCGATGCCGCCCAAAAGCGCACTCTCCTCAAATCCATCGCTGCCGAGAACAACATCCCTCTCTCTCAGACCATGTCAGTCGGCGATGGAGCCAACGATCTCCTCATGCTTCACGCAGCAGGCCTGGGTGTCGCCTGGCGCGCCAAGACCAAGGTTCAGCTCGAAGCCCCCACTCGCATTAACGGCGAGAGCCTCACCGATATCCTCTACCTGCTGGGCTTGGACAACGAGGACATTTCCGAGCTCGGCAAAGCCACGGAGTAAGCGATTCTGTGAATAGTCTTCTTCTCCAACGAGCCTTTACTCTTCCCGTGCCATTCAGCACAAACATAAATACCCATTACAATACGGCCGCTCTGATTGGGCCATTGATATCCACTTATTTGGAGCTTGGGACGGCTTGAAAACGCGCTAGTCCCCGCGGACATTCTGACTTGCATTTCTATTTGATATACGTCCAGCCCGAAGTCATTGAATTGATTACGAAGCAGAAGGAGTTGGGGTTTGATTCGGTGCTGCGTTCATGCGTTTATAGTCTGCTTTGGGGATGAGAGAACCATCTAGCAGTGTAGGTGTACACCCAGCAGCGCGCGTAGATCACGACCGACACGTAGTCAAGAATTGAAATGAATTGCACAAGGAAACTCGGTTTATGGTATATGATGTATAAGATGAAGGGGTTTTCGATAAAAGACGAGCACGTCACGTAGTCTAAAAGTCGCAACAGCATGAATGTACAGATTGAAAACCCAGCCGTGGTGATACAAAACGAACAGGGCCAGTTGAAATGTTGAATCAGACAGAAGTAAACCCCAGACCCCAAACCAAACCGATGCAAGATCAACGCCGAACGAGGAATGGTGTATAAACCAAACAAACAAATGGTGTCAAGGTTGAAGGAATTGACATGCCATGCATATTATCATATTTTCTTTTCTTCTTTTCATTTCGAGATAGGAAAGAGATTACCTGGCAGCCTCATCAGCCGAAGCCACAGTCTGATCAACGGTGGCAGCTCCAGCTCCGGAACGGCGCTTCTTCAAGACATTCTCAATGAACGCCTCACCAGCCTTGTAACTGCTGCGAACCAGAGGGCCCGAGGCGCAGTACAAGAAGCCCATTTCAAGAGCACGCTTACGCCAGAACTCGAAGCGATCGGGCGTGACGTATTCATGCACGGCCATGTGACGCTTGCTGGGGCGCATGTACTGGCCGAAGGTGACAACGTCGACATTGACAGCGCGGAGCTGGCGGAGCGCATCCTCGAGCTGCTCATCGGTCTCGCCGAAACCAAGCATGAGCGAAGTCTTGGTGATAAGGTCAGGACGAGCCTTCTTGGCCGCATCGAGCACGCGAAGGGACTGCTGGAAAGTGGCACGGCGATCACGGACGTGCGGCGTAAGAGCCTCGACGGTCTCGACGTTGTGAGCATAGACATCCAGGCCAGACCGGGCCACCAGGGCGACCATGTCCAAGTTACCCCAGTAGTCACCAGTCAAGCACTCAACAAGAATGTTGGGTGCCTTTTGCTTGATCTTGATCACCGTCTCGGCGAAATGGCGCGCTCCACCGTCTGCCAGATCGTCTCGGTCCACACTCGTCAAAACCACGTATCCAAGTCCCCAGCGCGAAATCGCCTCCGCAGTATTCTCGGGCTCGTGCGGGTCCAGAGGGGCCGGAGCCCGATTGGTCTTGACGCTGCAGAAGCGGCATCCACGCGTGCAAGTATCACCCATGAGCATGATAGTGGCTGTGGCAGCCGACTTATCACTGCCGCCCCAGCAGTCGGAGATATTAGGACAACGAGCCTCCTCACAAACCGTGTGCAGGTTCAATCCACGAAGATCCTTCTTCAATCGCTGGTAGTTCTTCGAGTCCGGGATTGGCGTCTTCAGCCACGAGGGCAAACGAGTCATTTCCTTCTTGCGGCCGGCGGGTCCGACCATGGCGGTTTTGAGGGCATATGCCTCGGATGGATCGAGGGGCTCTTCTTTGCCCCCAGAGACGAAATCGGAGAACGAAGGACCAGCATTCAGCTTGTCCTTGAAGGTCGTTGCTCGCCGCCGGGTAGTTCCCTCGGGTGTGTTGGAGGTGGCGGAAGAAGCATCCGTCGTAGCGTAGGTACGATGGGCGATGGGGAGGATCGACGAGGGAGATGAAAGGGTCGCTCGCACAGACGACAAGTGTCGTAGACTCCGTGTTGGTACTGCCATTGTAAAGGTGTGTATATGTGTAGGATTTGTCGGAGTCGAGAAATCCAGAAACAGATCCGCGCAAGAAAGATAGCGGCCGATTGAATCCCGCGGGAAACCGTTCTGACTAAGATTGCCCGACCGGGGGATTATTATTCCGCCGGTCTCGGTGAGAGCACCCGACGCCGAGATTAAGCTTGATCCAATCACTTAAGCTTGTTTAGGGTGCGGTAACCGGTGCATAAACATAGAGATCATAGGGTACGTCTTCTTCCCTCGGAATGTAAAAATTGAAAGCCATTATGATTATGCTTTACTATACTACTACCAAGCTAATTGTACACTTCCCACAAACGACCAGAGCAACACTTCCAAATGAGCGAATCGCAATGCAAGGGTATGAAAATAAAACGAATGAACGCATGACGGTGATAACAGCATAGGAAATATTCGAGTCAATCGAAGAATGGGAATCATTACTGGGGGGATGAATGAGAGGCGAGCGAAGGCGAAGTAGACTTGAAAGGAAATGATCAAGGAGAGATGTAGCATGTCATCAAAGGAGAGATGGAGGGAGAAAGAAGGATCAACGAGGGGGTTCAGGAAATTTCGAGGAAGGATTAATATGAGGCATTGGTTTCGAGGACTTGAGCTAGAACCTCAATGGCTGACTTGAGAGTATCGTCGGATTTGCCACAAATAGCAAAGAGGAGGTTGTCGATAATTCGTTCGACATCTTGACGCAGCTCGGTACTGCGTGAGCCCAGGACGCGATCTTTGATGCGACCGGGTGAGGCGGTTGGGAGTTGGATTCCTAGAGTACTGTATGCTTTTGCTGGGACTGCGTCCACGGCATACACATCGTTTCGTGATGAAAGAGAGGGTTTGCGACGATGTAGTTTTGCAAGAGAAAGAAGGTAGTTGCGGGCAATGAGTGCTGCACAGAGGCAGTCGAGCAGATTCTCTGCGACTGTTGGGAAAATAGTTCGGAAGGGTCGTATTAAAGCTTTTTCGTCGTTCTTCCGTAGAAAGACGATCACGGGCGAAGTAAGTCGAAGCATATGGCGAGGGAAATCCTTGACCGAGTGTTCAAGCTCGCCTAGAGTCCACTCATGGTCATCTAACGTCCACTGGCGATCCCATGAGGCCTGCTTTTCATACTTTTCATCTTCCGAAGTGTGGGAGGTTCGACCCGGAGAGTGATTTGGTGGCGATGGAGATGCCTTTGGGCTGACACTGCCTGATCGAATTTCAGGTTGTGGGGATGCCTCGCGCTCGCCGAGGGTGGATTCAGGTCTATCTCCAATAACAGTAGAAGTGATACTGTCAGAGGTCAATGAACCTGGATCGGAGTAGGTATCGTCATCCTTGCTATCTTGGTAGCTATCCATAGAGTAGCCGGATTCGCGTGTACCATATCCACTATCAGACATCTCCATCGGCGTATCCAATGGGGTGTCTGGACTAAATGCAGACACCTCCTCTTGCCGCTGGTCGGGCGTCATTGGAACACACACAGTCTGACGGACTATGGGAGGAGGAAGTGGTGGTGGCGGGCCCATGGGGCCCAAAGATGGTGATGATTGCCGGGAAATGTCCACCAGCCTTGGCTTGCTAGCAACGGCGAATCTCTGTCAAAGGAACGGAAGGTTAGTATGTAATGTAGGTAATGACTATTTGGTTTCAGTGGATTCGAAACTTACCACAGGCTCGTCCAAGGTCCGCCCACCAGGAATGATATCTAGTTTCGGCATTGGTGGATCTTGTTCGATAATCTGGAATTTTCGACGGTTGAATTCTTTGGGGTTGTCGTCTTTATCTAGCGGATCTAGTGGTACACCTTGCAACCATGTCTCACAATACGAGAAGTTGCTCGGGATCCAACTGGCTTCACTCGAGACAGTCGTTGCCCTTGGCCGTTGCGGTCTCGGAGAGGTAGTAGGCATGGAAGCCTTGGCGCTATGTAAAGAGGCAGGTGATGTAACTGGCGTCGGCTCCTCCTTATCAGGCTTTTCTCTTGTCGGTGTTAACGCAAGTGTCTCTTCGCATTGTCGAATCAAGTTCGAGTGTGCCTCGTGGACATTCGTCACATCCGTTCGTCGTTTTTCGGGAGACTTGACTTGCCGATCTGGAGGACGGTAGGCTTGATAGGGTGACTTTTCTTCAGTGGCTGTTTCCTCTGTCGTGTATTGTGATACGTCCACATGATCCATGCCGTCCTGTTGCTTGACGTCTTCTATGCAGTTGGTAACCTCTGAGATACTCTCAGTGCTCTCCACGTCGTCCGGTTCGGCGGGGGTTTCCTCGCTTTTACACTCAAAGTAGGATGCCTCGGGCCCAGTACTTGCCGGCCTGGATTCGGAAATTGGAGGACTGGGCAGCAGGCCAAATGCAGCCATGCTTGCGGATGTTAGGTTTTGGTCTGATCGCCACGTTCTCAGTGCATGGCCGGCCGGCGGCTTGGAAGATTGGGGCGTGTGCCTAGTGGGAAATGGCGGTGCACCATCGCATGACACAGATACAGGCGACGAAGCTGATACTGGAGAACTCGGTAACATCAATTGGAAGGGCTCCTTCATTCTGCGGACTGATCGAAAGGGCGAGATGCAGGATGGTCCTCGATCCGCAGGTCGACGGGGCAGAGACATCGAATGGTGGTCATGAAGCTCTGGTCGAGGCAATGTTGGAGCTGGAACGAAAGACAATGATGTCGGATAATGTCTGCTTGTTCTGCGACGAGGTTGATACGTGGGTGACCACCGGCGTGGCGATGGGATGGGCTCCGCAACGGGGTCTCCAATGACCGTGACATTGTGGCTCAGCGAAGACGGACTAGATGGTTGGTTCCGTATATGAGTTTCCATTCGGGCTGAAAAACATGCGCTATTGGGCATTTTCGAAGGACCGCGGTCTATGGCGGCCATGGCGCCCGGCTCTTTGGTGAGGTGATGACAAGCCCTAGTCCCGGGTTGAATTGAATAGCCTGTCCCAAAAGCAAAGCGGTTGCACAAGAGTGACCCAGATGAGATCGTGATACAGCAACAATCAAGGCCGTCGTATGTTGTAGAGAATTTTGGGATCAAAACAAAAGCAAAGGCGAAACCTTTGCCTATGCAGGGGCTTGAAATGTCCTTATACAACCGGAGTGGCGCTAAGGAACGAAAGGAACCAGTCGCCAGGTGGATAGAAGGGTCACCAGGGCATTGAAACTGTGCAAATCCCCCTTGACAGGACTAGATCATCACTCCCGTCATCAAGAATCCCCGGGCAAGTTGAACAGATTACAGGGTGGACAGTGAGCGTTGCCCCCCCCTTCTTCTAGGAAACCGTTCCCCAGGTCCCTCCCCTCCGGCACGAATCTCAGCTTGCACCAGGCACGGGCCATAGTAATAATAGTGAGAATGAGCTCACGCCCGTCCTTGCATTCCCGCCAGAGGTGAGATCTAAGCCGGGGAGGGTTCATGATTGGCTCTAGATCTACCATCCAAAGAAGCCAAGGGTCTGCAGGAGCCCGTCAACGTGGAAAGGAACCTCGCTCATCGCTTAAAACCGTCATAGTTGGGTGGTCGAGCGGAGCCCAGGAATGAGACAACTGGGATGGAGGGAGGGGGGAAAAAGCGACCGTAGCGAATCAGCGCCCTTGACAAGGGCTATAGGATCGACCACAGGGTGTTGATGAGCGGGCCCCAATTGGATGTATTGCATGTTGTGTCTCGTCGCAACAGGAGAAGGGATGCCCCTTGCATCGGAGCTCCTCATGCCTGGCCGCAGTCTGAAACTTGAATATAAAATGCTTCGCCATGGCGAGAATTCTTTGCATAGGCTCGGCCAAGGAAGAAGCTTTCGTTCAACAATTCGCCTCATTTCTTCCACAGCCTTGTGACTGTCGTAGGTTCTTCTGTGTTGACTGTAAAAGTGTAAAATTATTGTCTACAGTAGTACGGTTAGTTCATACTTTCCTAGCTTGACCCTAATTTCCACTTCTTATCGTGTCCCTTTCCAAACAATGACATGTCCAACTCGGGATGCTAAAATGATAGATTCCACTTTTATGGCTTTCTCTGTACGATTGAATAAATTAAAGTAACCTCCGAACCCCATCTTGTCAGATCGCGTCGCGACTAGAGTTTGGGACTCATCACATTGCGGAGGAAATATTAAGTACCGTAGAGGTACCTGCCTTAGGTACATGTCAAGTGCAAACAGTGCAAACTCCACCTTATCAATCGGACTTATCGCAATGAGAAAAAAAAATGGACGCGGCTGGAGAATGAAGAAAGCTCTCTCTGTCTCTTTTTACTAAACCCTCCAATCCCCTTCATGCACTACACCCCCATTCTCCATGCTTTCCGAATCATTCGTCGCGTCGACGCTGTCTTCTGCGAAAACTCCGACCGCCACGCTACGTGATGTCGGCATTTGCTTGCAGGAATTCCAGCCTTCCCCTCAGCTGCGATCGACTTTCAAGAAGAGCTCCACCACCACCAATTGCCTGGCTGTAAGCCCGTCGCATATCTTCTCCGCCCAGGCAGACAAGGCTGTGGTCCATGTATACAGTCGCGAAAAGGGAAACCAGGAGGCTTTAGTGCCTTTTCCGGAACGAATTCGCAGCATTGCGGTTGCCGGCGCAAAGTATGGAGATGTGCTGGTGTTGGGAACCGAGGGCGGCCGATTGATCCTATGGGAGGTACGACCAATCTCTTGTTTCGGATTACTTGTGGAATAATCTATCATAGTCTGGCCAGCTAACATGAACTACTGGACTTTAGACATGTACCGGACGTCAAGTGGCTACCACAGCTTCTCACCTTCAGCCCGTTACCTCTATCGTCGTCGACCCCACCTCTAATTTCATTCTTTCTGGCTCTGACGACGCCAGCATACACGTCTGGTCCATTCCCAACATTCTATCCTTCTCCAAGCCCGCCCAAGGCCGGGATCGCCAGCCTTCGAACGCACCTATCCGCACCTTCTCCAACCACCGCGCTGCCATCACCTCTCTTGCCGTTGGACACAGCGCTGGCCGCCACAATATCGCCGTGTCGACTGCCAAAGACAATACCGCAATTGCATGGGACTATCAGACTGGACGAGTCCTCCGAACATATCTTCTTCCGTTCTCCGCGACATGCGTGGCTTTGGACCCGGTCGATCGAGCCTTCTACGTCGGATATGAGGATGGAAGCGCACAATCAATAGTCTTTTATCGCAGCAACTCGGCACAGAACCCTCTCCACGACCCGTCTCTACAGTCTACACCAGCTCAGGTGTCAGCCGAAGATCGATGGCTCCCTCCCTCTGCGGACTCGGGTGCCATCAAGGCCCTCGCCCTCTCCTACGATGGGACCACATTATTGTCTGCTCACGAGAGCGGTAAAGTTCTATCATGGAATATTGCGCGTCGGAAATTCACAGCCTCCATCGCCGATTATACGCATCCCGTCACAAACCTGGTCATGCTGCCACCAAACGGCCTGCCGCTCTCTTCGCAGGACCTCAAGCGGACGATACATACAATTGTGAAGCCACGCGTTGACAATTCCTTTGCCGATCCCGCTCATGCGCCTGGCGCAGTCCCAGCCGAATACGCATTCAACACACACATCCTCGCATCATCAACACAACCAAAATCCCGCAAGCCCTCTCAATTCTCCCAAGCTCTCACCCATGCATACTTCCCCGATTCCATGATCGAGGAAGGCCTTGCCGAACTAGCTGCATTGCGTCAACCAGGTGGAAGCGATGTCATCCGCGTCGCGGCTACCAGTTCCTCCCATGCAGATACCTCGGTCCCGGCAACCACGCAGGAGGATACCCACGTTGCAGACCTTGAGGCCGAAGTAGCCATGCTGAAGAAAAGGGTAGCAGTGAACGATACCGCGCGACACGCGAATGCCAGCGAGGTTACGAAGTTGCGCTCGGATCTCGCCCAGCTGCAAGATTACATTAATGAGTTGCATGAGAAGCAGGAGGCAGCTCAGCAGGACAAAGTACAGCGTCAAGCTAGGAAGGAAGAGCGCGAAACCAAGCGTCGTGAAGCTTGGCTTGCTGCGGAGAAGAAGGGTCGCAATGGTGATGCCGTGATGAGAAAGATGGAGATTGACGATGGCATGCTGACGAGCGAGTCTGATGACCAGAGTGATGAGTAGGGGGTTGTCTTTCAATTAGAAAAACATTTTATCTTGCGGTTCCATGTTGATAAAATCGGGGGCTTGGCGTTATAGTGTCTCTATGCATTGCGGCTATTCCGGGATAAATAGCCATGAACAACAAACGTAAACTTTGACCATTCTATATTTTTATGTACACAAATAAACGTCCATTGTCTAATTGCATTTATCTTCTGATTTAATCTCGAGTGGAAAGGGAATTATTTTCTCTGGCCCGATGGTGACCTCAAACACCTGTTCTCACCTCCGGGCATGTAGTTTTCACACTGTTGCCTAGGTTTAGACGCTATACAATTCCAGCAAAACAAGACATCGTAGTAACAGTCGTTTTCTTAAATCCTTCCGTAGATTAGGTAGGTAGATACATATTTAATTAGTCGCGCTCCTTACTTATCCCTAGTTCCCCATCCTCTCAGCCAAGCTTGCGGACATGTAGGTATACCGCCATGGCCAAGCAAATATATATAGACACACACACACACACACACACTCTCTCTCTCTCTCTCTCTCTCTCTCTCTCTCTCTCTCTCTCTCTCAAAGGTCGAGATGAATATCCATCAGCGAGGCTAAATAGATGAAGATTCCTATTCCTGGCACTGCATGCCTCTCCAAACAAAATAACAGCAGAGGCATCAAGGGCCCACGATATCCATAGAGCCAACCCTGTCGGTGCTCGAGATAATCCATCCTGATATACATTTCAGACTATGACGCAATGATTTTGTAATGTACAAATCCGATGTCTGCGTAATTCTGTCCGCCATTTTTGTTAAATGACAGGATAAAATATTGCTCATTAGTTTTTTATCGAAGAGCTAGATTTTAATTTTCATTTCAGGTCACCGGTGTGCCTTGAATCGAAGTAGCAGGGTCGAATGATATCAGGTCCGGGTCGCGGCTATCATTCCGTATTGAGCGTTCATCTGTAACCATTCATTTCGTTCCACGGGAGAGTAACATAGTAAGACAGGTTTTCTGTCCATTGAGTATGGACAGCGAATAATGTAGCCCAGCCAGCAAGTTCTATGATTGGTACCACTTTCCACGTTCAAGGGGCGTATAGTGTTTTGCCATAGTCAGGTCCGATGCAAAGACCGAGCACGTTGCACCGTCAATGCTGATTCGATATCAATTCAAGAACAGACCCGTGTCAACAGCTGCCTTCTCTAACTGGTTCATTGCGGTGGTTCTTCCCCAGAATCTCATTTCGCCTCCGCCATTGAACTAGCTTGCCGCATCAGGGGATGATGTCAAGTTTCGCCTCGATCCTGGAGAAGCACCTCAACTTTTGCCACGAAGCAAATATATATGACTGGGACTGCTATACCCTCGCGCGTGCTAGACTCTTACGATTCTTACGACCAAACGCATCGTATTGCATTGCATTTCCAATATATCTAAGCCTAACGGGCCCAATCTAACACCTTCTCGACATCTATAATACTACCCTCCCCATCCAAAATGTCCGACTCGTACACCAGTTCATCCTACTACTACAGCTCAAGTCGCAACGGCGACAACGGCCCAACAACAACCGGCCACCGCTACTCAACAACCTCCCTAACCGAAGCAGACGGCACAACGATCGTCCGCACAGCCCGACAAGACCTCGGCCAACCCCCCGTCGTCGAAGAACACCGCTACGACAGCACCGGCCAAGAACAACTCGCCCTGCCCGGTCCAGGCGGCTCCTCGGCCGGCGGCGTACGCCGAATCACAGACCTCGACGAAGAAGGCTCGTCCGAGTTATCCGCCTTCGATGCGGAAAGTTCGTTTAGCAGCGGTGCGACACCGCAGTTTGACGGGGCGGCGGTCCCGTTTGGTACGAGGGTCGTTGATGTAGACACCGGTGCTTATGATGAGCATATGCATTATTTTGGTGATAAGTCGATGCGACATCATCGGGAGTTGAGGGATGCGGCTGGGAGGAAGTTTACGAGGGATGTGGATTTTGATCCGTCGGGGAAAGGAGGGACGGCGCATGAGAGGAGGCAGTTTGAGAATCCTGAGACGGGGACGAAGGTTGACAAGGATGAGGATGTGGAGGTTTCGGAGGTTCTTTAGGTTTGTATGGGAGGACTCTGTGGGAACTAGTAAAGCGAATTCGCTGTATATAGGCGGTATGCTAAATTGATCATGAAGTGATGAGATGTGGTGAATCTACTATCTGTATATGTTCAAAGAGATGTATTACCATCTCCATCTTCTCGCCAGCTTAATCTATCGTAGACGAAGACGTCCCTGTGACCAACGGTTACGCGCCTTTTCCCACCACTTGGGAATATCGTAAGCCCAATTGCACAGCATGCCAGCGATAAAGCCAATGGCATCATTCTTAAATCCGACCAACAGACCAACAGTCACCATCATAACTGTCCAGCGACGCTTTCTCTCCTCGTCGGTGCAAATGGGGCCCAGATGCTGTTCCGCAGTACCTATCACGCCAGAAGCGTGACTGAGGTCTCGAGCGCCAGATGTGTTGAGGCTCTCGCCAACACTCACGAGCTCCAGTCCAGCTGCAATGACCATAACGCCGAGGAACGCAGCCGGGAAACGCTTGAGAAGATCAACCAGGGTCTCTCCAAACAGCAGACCGATGATGAGTTTGAGGACTCCCAGGAACACCACACTCGCGCCCGAGCGAGCGCCGAAACGATACTGTGCTGCCAGACCGCCCGATCCATGACAGACGGGCATCGCACCGAACCAGCATCCAAGAATATTCATCCCAGCCACACTGAGACCGATATGAGTAATAGAAGGAGTCTGAACGTTGGGCAGTAGATCATTCGCCAAGTGAACGACAGCCACGATCGAGTTGAGCGTCGTGAGGGGAATCTGGCCAATCCCCGCATCTACGGCACCAACCCACCACTGATGGGGAGTCGGCACGACCAGCCAGGGATGCCAGATACTGAAACCAGGGAGATGAGCCACCAGCGCGGTGCGAATAATCGCAAAGACCAACCCAATGACGAATAACACCAGCGCATACGGAATCTTGCGATAGATACTGGTAACAATCAAAGCGAGGAACGCAATGATAGCCCAGATCCGATTATCCGCCCACGATGGACCGATCCAACCCAATGGGTGGAGCATGCTGGTACAAGCGGAGATAATCAAGGACAAGCCCGCGCCAACTTGAATTCCCTTGATCACCGGGATAGGGATCACATTGGCGAACCAGCGTAGCAAGCCCGTTACACTGAAAATAAGAATGCAGGTACCGACAAAGATACCCGCCGCAGCGATGGAACCATTGGAGAAGTTGCGGGCGATCGCGACCGCGGCGATGGCTTTCATGGGTTGTACGGGGAGCGGGATACCGAAGAATAGACCCGTGAGGATGTTGTAGACTCCCGAGAAAATCAACGTGCTGGCTAGTGAGACGGTGCCATTTACGGCTAGGGCAATGGCGATGGGGAGAAAGGTGCCCAAGTCGCCCAGTGATCCGGAGATTTCAGAGACATAGTTGCGTTTGAAGGTGCGCAGGTTGTGTGCGGAGACCTCTCGTAGTGTTTGGACGGTCATTTTTCAAGGTTCAGTTCGAGGTCTCCTCCTTTTCAGACCATTTACTAAAACCAGGACCAGCCACGGCTGATATTTGAGAGGGGAGGTGAAAGTTGACCAGGAAGTTGGAATACTGGAAGAGTGAAGTAGTCAAGGAAGAGGGGTGAGCTTATCAAGATCGCCCGCTCCGGATTGCGGGGTGACGGGGACTGGCGGCTGACGCGGTGAAGAAGATGCAATTGGTTGGGAGGGACAAGTTACACTGCATGAGAGACTTATCCTGGTTAACTTTGAAGCTGAATCTAGAGACTCGGGTCCTGACAGATGATGCGACACGACATAAACTTGTGTTATGCCCCACTCGTTATCTAAGGCAATCTAGAGTGTGGACATTCCCGCGGAGCGCGGAGTTGTCCTGTTGATAAGATCCAAAACAATGCAAGATACAGCTCTAAGCTGAGCCCCTCTTGATCTCTTTATACAAATCTACCATGACAATCACCCAAGCACTTCTACGACGATATTTCTAATTACCTGATAGTGAAACCACCATCAACGCGAATATCCGCCCCGTTAATCATCCCACTCGAGTCCTGATCAAGATTAGACGACGAGCCAACAACATCCAACTCTCTAAAGAACAAACATACCTGACAAAGAAAAACAACCGCATCAGCAACCTCCTCAGGAAGCGCAAACTTCCCTACAGGAATCGTCTTCAAAAACGCCTCTCGCACAGACTCCTCACCCCACGCCTTCCTGCCCAAATCCGTCCACGCGACCGTTGGCGAAACCGTGTTCGCAGTAATCCCCCGACCAGCCCATTCCGAAGCCATACTCCGAGTTAACCCCATCAACCCTGCCTTGGAAGCACAATACGCCCCATGCCGATGCAGCGCAGCATGCGCAGCTTGACTCGAGATACTAACGATTCTCCCGGGAGGCGGGGGGCTAGTCGAGGACTCGGCTGTCTTTGACGCGGCAAAGTACATGTTGGCAAAGGCCTGGGAGCAGAGCATCGGCCCAAAGACGTTGGTGGTAAGATGTTTCATCGTTTCTTCCGGTGGTGTACTCTCCATATCGCTTAGGGAGACGTAGCCAGCCGTGTTGATCAGGATACTGGGGAACGCCCCCTCAGTTGGAGATGAAGAGTCCGGCACGACGAGATCCTTGTGTAAAGAGGAAAAGGCAGATTGGACTGATTCGGGCGATGTGATATCGCACTCGTAGGTGTGGATGTCATTCACGTTGGAGTCGCCGCCATACCCGGCCTCGAGTAATTGATCTCGGCGGGCGGATTCGAATGAAGCGTAGAGAATTGCGAGGCGTGCGCCTTGTTGTTGTAGTTTATTGCCTATGCTGGACCCGAGGCCGCCTGTAGATGGAAACTGTGTTAATTAGGCCTTGATTATGCTGATGATAACCCTATCCTACCTAGCCCGCCTGGGAGAATGGCTAACCTGCGCGCAAACGCCATTTCGGTTGTGTATCGAACACCGATGGAGATGAATTGTATATCGTTATATGAGGAAATACAACACTCTTGAAAAAGAAAGCAAGCACAGTTAGAATTGTTTATTGAGGGGGTCCTGGCCAAGACGTCTTCCCCTCACGTCCTGGGCCGACATTGCGGGCAAGGATCGACATCTGACGTCAAAAATCCCCACATCGTGTCCTTGTTGATATTACGAAGATGCTCCGAGATGTTGATACTGCGAAGGTGCTATTACTGGTTTGTTGCCATGTCAGAAATCTGCAAGATCGAGATGCTACGAATTAGGGTCAAACTGTGGCTTTGGTAGGAGTTGTCGACCGGCTACTATTAGCCAGTCGGTCATTGGAGACTCGGTTGCTGAGATACAAGCAACGAAATCCCCACTACGATCAGAATTACGAGACTACAGCGGTTTGCTGCTAATCCACCTCTCATAGACTCCAACCGTAAAGGGCCACTTAGCAAACGACCCTACGCAGTGAAGGAGGTGGCGGGCACTCTCGACACATCGAAAGATGTACGAGATGGACAATACATCACTGGTCAGCAATGCTAGGTCGACCGCGAGATACCCAACAGGTTGGATCAAGCAGAGAGTAGTTCCAGACGTACACCAACCAGAGCCTGGAATTGCCATGCAAAAGTGGTGGGTCATAGACATACTCACCAGTGGCCAGCAGCAAACCGCAACCTACGAGGAGAAGAGTCCCGTCAGTAGCATCTGCCCCAGGCCCAGCCATGAGGCAAGACGCAAAAGACAAGGACAAGGAAAAGGAAAAAGGGAAAATGAGGCAGGCATGTCCTTTCGCTGGTATTGTCCAGATCAAGTTCTAACGGTAATTCTCAGAACGAGGTTTACTTTGCAGTAAAACCTCGAACACCCGTCATGCGTGCTTCCTATCAGGAATACTTACGCAGGCCCCTCAAGAAAACGGGAGCCGAGTATATCCACCAAGCCCTGTCCTAGTTCCAACATGTAGTTCCATCCCACCCAAAGTGGGCGAGAAACTCATCGTCCCTTAGACAACAACAACCTCCTCCTTACCAGATGGGTTGATTGTCACATCTTGCTCAACGGTGGTCTCAGTCTCCGATGACGAATCGCTGACCTTCAGGTGCTGGAACCAATCGTCCTTCGACTTGCGCCACCACTCGAACACCGCGATGATGGTGACACCGCCCATGATGACAATCGCATAGTTGAACAGACCCGAGTCCTCATCAATCGCAGCGTTGGAGTACTGAGGAGCACAGAGCACGGCGAATGCGAAAGTGTTCCAAATGAACGTGACAACGGCAGCCACAACTCCAAACCGACCCATGTCCCAGAAGCCAGGGCGGAAAGACGTCCGTGTAATAAACGCACGACCAATTCCAACGAGACCGTAAGCGGCGATCGATCCCGCAGCGGAAGTCGATACCAGACTGGCAAAAGCAACCTGAGATGGGAGCTGCGTGCAAAGCAAAAGTGCAGCAATAGAGGCAATGAAAATGACCGCATTGTGGGGCTGCTTGTCCTTGGAGACGCGCGAGAGAACGTCGCTGAAGGGGAAGACACCGTCACGGGCAACGGCGAAAACAAGACGTGAGACGGCGACCAGGGAGATCGAGGTGTTGAGAATGGCACCGATCATCGAGATGATAGTCATAACAACGTGAGCATGGGGACCAAGCGCGAGCGCGTACATGTTGATGAACGGCTGAGGCGCAGTAGTGTCGTAGAAAGTCTCGATAGACGGCATGCAAAACAGGAACAGGATGATGATCGGGAAACCACACGCAGCAGAGGCAACGGTCGACCAGAAGACACCCTTGGCAGCAGCCTTCTTGGCCGAGATGGTCTCTTCCGCAACGTGACCAGAGGCATCTTCACCGACGAGACAGCTCGAGACGAGGAACCAGGACAGCACCCAGTTCAAGCTGGGAGCTGTTCCTTCTCCATTGTACTCGGAAGTGAAGACGAACTCGGCGGACTGGAAACCATAGGTCCTCGACACGCCGATCGGCAGCCAGATGAAGTTAAGCAGCATATCGATAACAATGACGGCGAATCCCGTACGGAAGACCCAGGCGTACATGCGCGGCGGCAAGAAGTTCAGCGCCGTGGCCAGAGCTAGGAAGCCCAGCGATAAAGCCCAAGCAATGGCACGAGCTTTCACGTCAGAGGTGCTGATGGGGAAGCTGGTCTCTGGGTTGAAAATAACAATCTCTGACACAAGATAGTTGGCCACACCGAACGAATCACTCGCCAAGAAAGCAGTCCATGCAACGAGAGTCCAAGCAGCGATCAGATATGAGACAAATCGTCCAAGACGGCCACCACCCCACGACCTGAAAGCCCAGTAGTAGATAGAGCCAGCCGCGGGATAAGCAGAACACGCTTCAGCGAGACAAGCAGCGGTGATAATAGATAGAATACTACCCGAGACCCAAGAGCTCCATCTGAAAGGTTGTTAGCACCTATTGAATCCCTGAGCGAAAGACCTGAGAAACTTACAAAGCAGCAGGTCCTCCATTGCTAAGGGCAATGTAGAACAAAACTCGAATCCCACCGATACAATACAAAGCCGAGAACGAACAAGCAAAGTTATCAAAAGTACCCCAACCACGCGCCAAAACGGCACGATAGCCAAGCTTCAACAACTCGCGATCATCCTCCTCAGTCACAGACAAGAGGTGGTCTGTGTTCTGACTGTCACGCTCGGTCTTGGCTGCATCCGAGACAGCCTTAGCATCGGCAGAAACCATCTTAGCTGTTGACTGCGAACGAGTAACGCGGATATCACAACGAAAGAGGGAGGTTTCCTCTGTTTTTTCAAGAGATAGCACTGTGCGAAAGGGAAAATCAGGAACAGACTGTCTCGCAGAGTTTTTTTGTTTTCGCGCGGTCGCGCCATCACGTGTGGACTGATTGGTAAATGAGCAAGTGGACTCGGCCACCGGTTTTAAAGTGGGGATGAAAGCTTAATGGGATTTGGGATCGGACTACGGAGTACTTGAGTCCGGTGAGAAGACTGACAGGGGATTATAGAATAAGCATTGTCATCATCTTTGGTGGTTGACCTTGTACTAAACAATGTCCGTTCAAGTCCAGGTCCAGGCTTAATTAAGAAGAAAGGAAGACAAGCATTCAATCAACGAACTAAGAAAAGAACACCTACAATGAACCCCTTTTTTCAGGGACCAACAACCCTTTCATAGATTACATCGTGACATGGTTCCCCTTCCCAGTTTGCAAGATATCTTGAGACTAGCTTACTAGAAAATCGACTATTCCGATATCCGGAGCTATTGCAATACGCCATGCCACTAAATAACCGGCAAGGTTTCATGAAACTTTTTCTTCACGGAATAGAAGAAATTATCACAAAAGCGACAAGTTCGATCATGTCTCACTTGCCAAATCTCATACCAAGATGCTTCCCACATTAGATGACTTTTCTACACCCAAGATGGATAATAATAAAGGAGCTTGGTTGATTCGACATCACCGCTGACTATATGCTGACCAGGTTGCGTTTCATAATCAAATAGAAAACTGCCAGCGCTTTATTGAGACAAGAGGTACATCACTCTCAGCTTCCATTCATACCACAGAGCTCCAAGCTAGCTTCTCAAAAGCGCACGAACTCAATACATACTTAAACATGTATTGCCTTGGAGCCTCCATACACCGACTAGGGTGTACCCTAGCTTCGTTCATTCAAACATAAAATCCATCGGGATCTCTTTCAAAGAGCCTTTGAGACGAGCTCAGCGAGCTCCTGAGCCACAAATTCTGGGGCATCCTGTTGGATGAAATGCCCTGCGGCAGGCGCAAGCAGAGGGCCCTTACTCTTCTCCGGCTCCGTGATCTTTACCAACCCTTCGTTATACTTGTGCCAGTAGGGATTCGTATATGTCATAGACAGAAGCTTTGGGAGACCCATCCGAGCCGAATGCTCTGAGAAAGTCTCAAAGTCATGTCCGACGACGGTGACAAAGGGATGGCCCTTGGGCCCTTGAAGGATGGGCCGGTTACTTGCAGGCAGAAGCGTCCGCAAATTCTTTCGACTCAATCCTTCCTTATTACCGACATCTGGGTGGAAAATCCGTCGGGTACGCTCGCGAGCAGCACGTAAGGCCTCGGGTGTGATTTGAGAAGGGAGACTTTCGGCATCGAAGCCTTCGACGTCTGGATCGGGGAAAATAGACACAAAGTCGGAATTGGCCAGAACACTGTCGAGAAGCAAGAGACCGGCGACCGTGCCGGGATACTCTTGCGCGTAAAGGCGAGCGAGAGCACCACCAATTGAGTTTGCCACCAGAACCAACGGTAAGCTATCCAGGTCCGTAATTTTCAGCCTGTCTTCCGCAATTTGAGAGAGTAGCTGGCGAAGATCCCTCACGACCTCGAGGCAATCGTGACCATGAGTGGGGTCCGTAGCTCCCTCGTTGGCTGGATCGGCATCGGTTGTTTGTCCCTGGCCGAACCGGTCGTAAGTGAGGATAGCTGGTAATCCAGTTCCCTGGTGTTTTTCCTGAAGCGATTTGATGGTTGCCCCCCAAGCAGCCTGTGGGAGCCCCAAGCCGTTCAAAAAGACGATCAGGGCTGGACTGGGTGTCTCGGTAGACTTATAAAAAGTGTAGCTAAGCTTAGCACTGGGCTTAGTTGTGAGGGTGATGAATTCGAGTTCGGCCATGGTGAATTAGGGTAGTGCTCAGTTACTGCTAGTAGATGAGGATCTCTGGAGGAACTCCAATTTTGGGGGGTTGCTTTCAGCTTTAATAGCGATGGCCCTTTACAAGCCACGTAATTATTTAAAAACGATACCGAAGATATTCAAGCATCTATTGGATCATTAATGCACCAAATAGTTTCATGATTTTAGTGCTTATTTTCTGACTTACTGGTTTTGTTCACAAGGCTGCGATCCGGTGCGGCTGGAGTGTGGTGGGACTAGAATCAGACCCGTTCTGCCGACCCCCATCATGGAAGATATAGCTTGGCACGTTAGTGTTTATTTCTCACCTTGGAAATGAAGATGGTCTGAGCGGGCAACTGAAAATTTTGCTGCCGTTGTTTGTTTCCATGGAATATTCTGTAGTTGGGCGATATGGGTGAATAAAAGGACCCTGAAGAACACAGAGGATGGGTCTATGAAGGAGAGCCTAAATAGGAAGGAACAGAAACAATGCCTAACCTTAATCAGGATAAAAGACTCAGGGCCTGAGGCACCAAGGCCTCAATAGCTACATGTACATACATCCGGTGGCATCCGAGTACATAATCAGAGACTATGCTCGCTGCTGGAGCTGGGCGTCACCTTCGTGATTTTTTCTTCATTTGTCCAAAAGTAAACATCACCAGGTGAGGACAATCTCCCACTAATCAGCTCTTAATTCATATGGAGCTTCACGAAAGATCTCGAGCTGAGATGTCAGTCCCTAGTATGATCTATCATAAAACCAGGAAATATTAAGACTAAATCTCAATCCCTTGATACTAGCTTATAACCAAGATTTGGCTTTCCTTGAGGATCTTCAACTGTAGAAGTCGATTGAAGTAAATTCTTTTCGCCGCTTTGTCGCACTTGAAGGTCAATACAATACATACAATCTCAACCTTCACATCGAGCTTCCCACATTCCATCATGTCGCATTTTTGCAGCAAGGAGGCCATGACTTTTGGTCCATGCTCAGGAACCCGTCTTCTTAGCTATGTGGGACCTGAAAACTACTGCATACCATGCTCTTGGTTGGAACATCGCATTCTTCGATCCACTCGTTTATTTATCTCCATATTCCACGTCGCCAGTCTTGAACTCTGGATAGTCTTAGGATATTTTTACCTCTCCCCACCTAGTGATTGTGTCGAATACAATGTGCAAGAAATCCCAGTTAGATTTAGTGCAGCCCTCTGTAAAAGCCACTTCCAAGTCAAAGAGGACATTAGGGCGTCCAACACTGCGGAGGCTCGGACTCCGATATTCTCGTATTGCTGCCTTGATTTTGCTTTTGATGAGCCAGTAGTAGTGATCAGCTACCCTGCAATGTCAAGTGCCAAGCTTATTGGACGCCCTACAAGGGGGGTGAGCTGAGGCGGTGTTCTTGGTTACTATCGTGGGAGAACGGGAATGGTTATATCCAAAGTCAAACCCCCTCGTGGAACACGGAATTTCTAAAATTCTTACGCTCCAGTCTGAACAAAGTGGTGTTTTTCGATGGTGTGGTGATCAAAATGCATTTATTCTCGGCTTCCAGGTGTCTTGCACTAAGTATCGCTTCCACAACTTTGTTTTCCACGGCTTTGGCTACGAAACCGGTCGAGAACAAGCCTCCGAAATCACTATTCACATTCGATGAGCTATGGGAGCTTGAAAAAGGGTTCTGGGATGCTTTTCTTTACCCTGCGAACACGAAACAGACACAGGGAAATGAGTCAACCATATTCGCAGCCGATGTGAGGAAAATTATCCCTAGTGATTCCTGACACGGAGACTGATCCGCAATTATGATAACTAGGTGCAAGGGCGCGTGGACATAACTCGTACTTTCGATGGTGACGAGCTCAACCGCGAGTACATTTTCGGTCTCTTCTCAGACCCGGCGCACGTCAGCCTCGTTGGGGTTCCGATCTCTTATAGTATTACTCAATTCTCTGCCAATGACAACATCGCCAGTGCGACAACGGTAGTTACGTTCAACGCGACGACCTTTGGCGTTCTTATTCCCGTCACTATTGATACATGGATCGAGTTTAACCCGGACGGAAAGATCGCTCAGTACGATGCCACATTCCGCTGGTTCGAATACCTTCTGGATTTCCTGCTTGAAGGAGTTGCGACCAAAATCAACGCAACTTCCCCGGATCAAGCCGTCGCATATGTGTCAGACTTACTGGCGAAAACTATCTGCGCAACCCATGACGAGTACTGCACAGGATCCGACCAGCAATATACCGACAATAGCGCTTGCTATGATTACTTGACCAAGTCGATCCGCTTTGGCAAGAGCTATGAGCTTGGACGGAATACTTTACTTTGCCGCGAGGTTCATGAGCATATGGTGCAGTATCACCCGGACGTCCACTGCCCGCACATTGGACCAACTGGTGGTGGTTACTGCGTGGATGATATGAGTTATGGCCAGACTGTTCTGCAAAAGTATTTCAATGACTCGTGGATTCCGTATGGGTATGGGGTAGATCAGGATATATGGCTGGACAACTAAAAAGGATCGCCAGCTGGAGTAGGCACTAGTGGCCCTTGTCACGACTAGCTATGTATAGCTCCAACTTGAACTTCAGTTGACAATTTGCCGAGGCTAGTAGATATTGAGTATGCACGATCCATTAAGGCGAAATCGAATGAGTTGAAAATTATTATCAGCCTTGTGATGATGTCTGCTAGTGTCTATAATTGCCTCGGGTGGTCACTATCCCGACCATTATTTAGTAATAGTGATTATTGGTGGCTGCCGGCTGCCGGCTGCTCCGGATTCTCCGATGCCAGAAGGCTTCTGGAGTCCTTGGCAGTCTCGCGCTTTTGCCCTGAATTAGATCGATCCGATCCCGTTCCACCTTTTGGCATTGTGGCCGCGTGCTCGGTCAAGGAACCCTTTTTTTTCGTGAAATGTAACAGATTTACATGATGGCAATGGCTTGCTGCGGCAGCAAACTCCATGTGATAGTATAACTAGATCACCATCATTATTGATAAACTAGCCCGACATGACAATCAATTCCTTGTCCTAGTGCTGGGCAGTCGCTCGGTCGCATAGGTTGTAAAACGCCGAGTGACCGAGCATTTTTAATAGAAATACTTAAAGGCCCAATTGCTTCAGTTAATACAATTCAACAAACTTTAGGTTACCGTAGCATCCCCAATCGTCCAAATCACCAGCATGAGTCAAGTACATCACAAATTCGACGGGGGAAACCCGGAACTCGCTATCAACCGCCGGTCTCGGCGGCTTGTGGCTGGCCCGATTCCGGTTAAGTGGCGCTTTTGCAGGTGCCGAAAATCGAGTAGAAGGAATAACCTTCCGGCATTGTTCTTCGCGCCGATGTTAAAAAGTCTATTCATGAACCCGGCGAGAACTGTCAATCATGAACAGTGTCTTCTTTAGCCAGCGATCTAAATCAATAGTGTCTATATAAGAATCCCCCCAACATCATTCTATCCCCGGATTTCCATTACTATTACTCAATCCTTTTACTGAACCGAGGTATCCGCCACTCCCCACAGAGATAATTGTGGGGAAAGACGGTGAATGCTCGAGAGAAATGGCTGGGACGCTTTTCGCTTGCCCGTCTTAGTAACCCAGATGGTCACCAAGCATTGACTACCGTTCATGAAAACGTTAGACCTACTCAAATCTAGAAGATAATTCGTCAATTCAAAGCGAAACTCGGGGCTTTCTGCAAGCCAAGTATCCCAAGTAGCCGCATGGCGTCCTAGTCAAGTATGGTTTATGTGGGGTAAAACGCTGGTCCGCCGAGGGTCAAAGTTTCGCCAATTTTCTGATGATCAACGGGGAGCGGCGACCACCGAAAAGTCCTCGTCGTACTTAGACTTGGCTCGGCGCAAGCGGTGGCCAACCAGTACAATATATCGTCATCAGCCTTTTCTTTATGAAAGAATAACACACTTGCCAATATCAACCTACATTTTTGGATTCAACATTCACTTTGGTTGGAATTTCTAAACAATCCATCTAACAGTTCCCGGCTTTTTTGATTTTTTTTAGCCGGGGGCTCTATAATATTCTCGCCACCATGGGTTTGAAACCATATTTCGGCCTGCAGGGCAATGCACTGCTGCGAGCATGCGTCATGCTGGTAGTATGTCCTACATTTACTTGTTACGGATATAATATGAGTGTTGCTGGTGGTCTCTTGACGCTGTCGGCATTCAACAAGCAATTCCCTCGGATGGACACTATCAACACCACCGGCGCACAGGAGGAGGAGAATTCACAAATACAAGGTGAGTCAATGAGAACGATACCAGGGATCTAAGGTGTCTGGAATGCCATCAATAATCATCTTCGGACTCATCTTTCTAATCCATGCATTGCTATATCAGGCACTGTCATTGCACTATATACGGTCGGCGGTATTTTCGGCGCTCTTTCCTGCGTCTACTTTGGTGATCTCTTTGGCCGACGCAAGGTCATCTTCTTTACCAACCTTATTTCAATCATTGGTGCCATTCTCATGGCTACCTCCTTCAAGTTCGCTCAATTCATCGTTGCCCGTCTAGTACTTGGTCTCGGAACTGGAGGCTATGTTGCAACAGTACCTGTCTGGCAATCAGAACTTTCACCTGCCCACAAGCGAGGATCAAATGTCGTGACTGACGGTATCTTCGTTGGTATTGGTGTCACTCTCGCGCTCTGGATTGACTTGGGATTCTACTTTGTGCAAGGTAGCTCCGTCTCATGGCGATTCCCTCTCGCTTTCCAGGTGGTTCTCTCCGCGATCGCCATGATTTTCATTTATAAGCTGCCCGAATCACCTCGCTGGTTGATCAAAACCGGGCGAATTGAGGAGGCCCGTGTGGTTCTAGGAGCGTTACTCGAGGACGAACCCGAGTCTAGTACCGTCACCGAAAGCATCGAGACTATCGAAGCCTCTCTCGCCTACTGCGGATCCGGTAAATGGACCGATATGTTCACCAACGGGAAGCAACGACTCTTCCACCGTACCTATCTCGCTGCCACTGGCCAAATGTTCCAACAAATGTGCGGTGTGAACCTCATTACCTACTACGCTACTACGATTTTCGAACAATATCTCGGCATGGACCCCGTCCGGGCTCGAGTTCTCGCTGCCGCTATGGGTCTGATGCAGCCTATGGGTGGCTTCCTTGCCTTTTTCACAATCGATCGTCTCGGTCGCCGACCTCTTATGCTTTGGAGTGCAGGAGCCATGTCTATCTGCATGGCCGGTCTTGCAGGAACAACATCCGCCACGGGTAACACCGGCGCCCTTGTCGTTGCTGTTATCTTCCTCTATGCTTTCCAGTTCATCTTCACCGTCGGCTACTCGGGTCTGACGTTCCTCTATGCCGCCGAGATGGCACCGCTCCAAATTCGAGCTGCCGTCAGCGCAGTGTCGACCAGTACTGTTTGGGCTTTCAACTTCCTGCTTGCTCAGGTTACCCCTGTCGGCTTTTCGACTATCGGAAACCGCTATTATATCATTTTCGCTGTGCTCAATGCCGCGATCGTCCCATCTGTCTACTTCTTCTTCCCTGAGACAAAGGGCCGTTCCTTGGAAGAGATTGATGAGATCTTCGCCCAGTCGAACAGTATCTTTGACCCACCGCGTATCGCCCGTGCCATGCAAAGGGTGCACGTTGGTGAAGTCCACTCTGAGAGTGGTGAGCAAAGTAGGTCGAATGATGATGTCCTCAAGGAGGATGTCAAGTCATGAACGAGGATTACGACATCATGATTTTTATTGGCCTTGTATTGGCCGAATATGACATTGGCTCTGCTGGATTCAGAACTCCCCCTCATGTTTGGATCTCCCAATTCTGCTAGAGCTTCTCCTCGAGCACGGGTCACTCGGGGATTATTGAAAAATAGACTATACCCTAGCTATCACATTTTGTGCATCAAAGGAATTATCACATTCTTCTTCGCTCAAATCAACTTTCAGTCGTAGCTATCTGGCCATCTAAATCTGGCTTATGGGCGGTGGCAACTTGTCACTCTTTGAATAATTAGATTATCCCAATTGGAGGTTCTTGTAATTTGATTCATTCGTGTACAAATACATTCAACTTCAACCCGTCCTCTTCTGAGGGCCCAGTCTTTCGTATGCCCTCATGGCACTTTTGCTTGTCGACACAGCCTGAATTGCTCGCCGATTGCCCAATTTCTCCGCCAGATCTTGAGGAGTAAGCCCATTCTGATCTTTCCACCGCAGGGCATAATCGAATTTCTCAGTGTCAAGCAAGAGTTGAATTCCAGCCCCATATACCACCGCTGAGTGCAGCGCTGTCCGGCCTTCGTTATCGGTATAGGTAGCATCGAAGTCGGATATTGTCAGGAGTAGATCCAAGGTCTCTGGTTTCGGTCTACATGCAATGATTCTCTGGAGCAGACTCTGACCATCGTAATTCGTCCAATCCAAACTAAGATCTTGCCTCATTGGGCGAATTTCCTCTGAATCGAAAAGTAGTCTGATTATCTGGGTCGATAGTCGCAGGGCACTGTACTCGAGCGGCATCCGGCCGTCGGAGTCGGTCACATTAGGGTCCACCTTTCCAGAGGCAAGTAGGATCCTGGCAACAGTGTGTTGGTTATGCCTAAACGCAAGATGAAGAGGTGTAACGCCATTTCTGTTCTGGTGATTAGGGTCAAGGTCTTCGTGTTCAAGAATGCGGCGGACCAGGTTGACAAGGCCGTTAGCCGCTGCCGTATGCAAAGCTATGCTTCCGCTCGAATTTTCGATTCTGAAATCCACTCCAAGCTCTAGGAGTTCACAGGCAAGTTTTTCGGATCCATGATAGACTGCTCGGTGTAATGGCGTGTCTCCGTTGTGATCTCGGTCATCCACGTCAACCCTCCGAGACTTCAAAATAATGGCGATCATCGTATCATCTTTCTGGTTTATAGCATTGTGAAGAGGGGTGTTGGGGTCGATATCCTTGATTCAATGTCAGCAGTGTCATGTATGAGTGGATGAAGAGTTGCTCACTACCACATTGCCAAATGACGCCGTCTGGAGGATAGGATACATGTAACTACTATGTTCCCAGTCGTCTAGATTAACATTCACTCGATTCGATTTGAGCATCACTTGTACTACCTTCCTGTTCTGGACTTCAAAGGCTCTTTGGAGGGCTGTCAACTTATTCGGATCGTGTATGTTAGGATTAGTCTTATATCGCCGAAGAAGCATTTCCACAATCCCTGCAGTCCCAGAGTGCAATACGGCACTGTGTAAGGGAGTTTGGCCCGTCTGAGAATTAGGCTCATTGGTGGAAACCTGCTCGCATTCAATCAGCGCTTCACAGACCGATTCGGGCGCAAAATGAATCGCAGTGATCAATGGTGTCCAGCCTTTGTCGTCCTTGACGTTCTTGTCCACGGTAGGATAACTAAGTAGCTGCTTGACGGCAATCTCATTCCCAAACATTGCTGCCACGTGCAATGGTGTCCGGCCATTTTCGTCGAGTATGTTCAAATCTATACCAGTATACTGACATGAGACCTTCAAGGTTTCTTCGTGGTTATATTCAGCAGCCCAAAACAGCAAATTTGGCCCAGCAACACCAACTTCAAGATTCAATTTTTTGCGATGGAGCAATCGGAGCAGCAAGTCCTTGAGCAGTGGACCTTTTGCGGTATGGCTGACGTGGAAGAGACATTGCTCCATCGCGTAGGAGAGGAACCGGAAATGATGCCCGGTCTCCTTTTGAGGTAAAAGGTTCATTTCTCCCAGAACTTTACCCATGTCAAAACCGGGCTTCTTCCTGGTCCTGAGAAGTTTCACTGCGATGTCCTTAGCCGTGCCTGAGAACCCAAGACTCGACTGAATTATCGTAGATGGTGCCAATCCAACTCTCAAGTTGAGCGGTTCGGGACGCTTAACGAGTTGCTTTTCAAAGACACCATAGTTCAGGTATGTGATAATCACATCTGCCATGTGCCTGTGCGCCATATCGACAGTCAATGTCCAGTCTGTCCGAGTACCAGGATCGATCAAAAACTGCTTGACACTGCTGTGTACGAATCTCACGGTCATCCCTTCTTCATCTACCATCAGAAGGCTTCCACAGCAGGCCAGAGTATCGAGAATACTATTGGGAAGCCGTGAGGAGTTCCAAGTCGTGTCCCCAGGGGTTACACTTAACGCTTCGCGCAATTCATCGAGGGTCAACGGATGGTGAGCCACTGCAACAAATTCGAAAATGGTCTTCCGGTACTTGAAGCTTGGGCGGCGCATATCATCTGCCTCATTGAGAACACGAGAGAACGTGGTGGACAGGTCAGGAGGCAGGTCTGCCAATGCTAAGCGGATTGCCTCATCGGTGTCCATAAAGCATAAGCTGTCAATCTGGAGAGCGACCCAAAGGAACATCCCTTGTGAGCCTTCCAGTAATTTGTCTTCGATTTCAAGAATAATAGCCGGGTCTCCTACAGTCAAGCTTCCGGACTCGATGCGAGCTTCGAGTTCTTCTGCGATGAATGTCTCGATATCGGCCGCGTTGTTGGGAACGGATGCAACAACAACCGATGCCAACTTGTTCCACCCCCAGTTGATAGAGAGAGGGTATCTCGGTGTCTGGCGAAGGGTCACACAAATCGATACCGAGAAACTGTCCTGCAAATATCGCATGTCTTCGATCAGGTTCCTCCGGTCTTCAGACGTACATTCATCGAGACCATCAATGACCAGGAAAGCTTTGAAGTCAGAAGGGAGGCTTAAATTCAACATGCGACGCATCGTCTCCCACTCATCGAGGTTTGCCAGATCCCAATCTTCCAACTTTTGGGCCGAAACTGGCCCTTGCTCCAAGAGTTGTCGGGTTAATGAGCCAAGTACAACCCGTCGTAGTAGGCTTTCAGGCAGATCATGGCGGGAAAAGAAGAATATAACGGGAATGGTCTTGGGAGATTGTAGATTGAGGTAATCCACCATGTTTGCCATTAAGACAGACTTGCCTGATCCGAGAGGACCAGTTAATATGAGGGTGCCTGAGGTATCAAGGTCTTTCCATCTCATGAATTCCGGACACTGGCAAAACAAGGTCGTATGTCCTGACTTTCGGGCTTGCTTCCATGGTGTGATATGATCATAAGTAGAGCAAAACTTAAGAGCACGGAGGTATTCTCTCATTCGACGTTGATAAGAGTTTGACTTTCGCGATTTCGTTGACAATATCCTCGTGTGTACATCAGCCTGTTCCTCGATTCTTTGAGCCATGAGATAGTTGACCTCGCCCTTGATTTCTTCGGCCCATGTCTCCAACTGCGACTGATATTCCGGTAGCTCTGGGTCATTCAGTGTTGATCCCAATTTTCCAAAGGCAGACTTCTTTGTAAACTTCAATATGTGGTGACACAGGTGGACAGCCACGATGAAATATTCACACAACGAGGACCGCAAAGTATTTGATCGAGGATATAAGAGAGCGAGTTTTTCATAGCGCGGTGCAGATCGACCAATAGTCATAAAAACGTGTGAAAGCTTTTCAAAATAGTTCGAAAATCCCAAAAGCATCTTGCAGCGCCCTTTCAGCTACGTCCGGTAAGAAAATCAATCACAAAAGGACAACTCACTAGCAGCGACATCCGCACCAGAGTCCAAACACCACATGCGATCAAATTCTGTGAGCCTCCCACCAGTATATCTCCAAGACCCGCAAATTGTTGAACGGATTGCAGAAAGCTTGTTGTCCGAGTGCCCAGACATCGACGGTGTTTTCTCGAAAGCTGCTGATCAATCTCTGCGGTAAGATACATAACATCGTTCGTAGAAGGAGGGGCTCTGCACGCGCGCGCCGTATGATTATCGAATTCCGCCTTTTGATCAATAGACAAGTCGGCTTGAAACTCCGCAATCGCCTGAGAGAGTCGTATTTGTGGTTTAAGGCGCGACGCAGACGCCAACGCCTTTGACATGGTGATGCGATGAAATACTCGGCTCGAACCAGGCTTGCGCTGGTAGCTGGAGCTGGAGGAAACTCGAACTGGGACATTGACAAGGACGGCGCTTAACCCGGGTGGTGATTCGTGAGGCTGAGGTGCTGAGTGGGTGGAGATCTGCGCCACAAAAGGAATCTGTAAGTACTGGCCTATGAGCAGAGCTCGCGACGACTCACTAGAGCAGGCCAATCAGCTGGCGCCATGAATACATGTAATTAGCGATACGATTCAGGATCAGTATCCTCCAAATCTCCCAGGCTACGTAGATCCTATTTACTCGCATCGCAAAGTCAGCTCGCACGCTAAATCGATCTTCTTAGTATACTTCCTTCACCATTATTTGCATTGTTCTCCCTCCATGACTACATAGCAACTTATTCCTCTATTAAACTTTTAGCAATTCGGGGTGTCTTTTTTAGCAATTCTCTAATTTTAAGCTACTTTCGTCGATCAGGACCCAAGGGATCGCTCGAGAGATAACTCTAAGGCCATCTAGGAGCGCCCTGTAGAAATATCTGCCCGAGAACTGGTTTTTGCATCGTATCCAACTACACTTTTCTAGATCTAAATTTCTACATCAAGAGAAAACCAAATCGATCAAATTGAATTCAAGCTAGCTACATTAAGGTACATTTGCGGAATAGCATCCATGCCCTTAGGGAACGCCATCACCCTCCTCCCCAGAGACTGAACAAGGCAACTTTGAGGAAATAGATTGGGGGAAAACGGCATCTTAGAAAGAAAACAATTTGGGAAAAGCAACATGATGGAAACAATGTGGGGAAAGCAATGTGGTAGAAACAATGTGGGAACTTGGAAGGGAAAAAATCGAAACAGCTTTGGGGGGAAAAACATCACCTTGGAACGAAAACAATTTAGGAAAAGCAACATGGTAGAAACAATATGGGACTTGGAACGAAAACAATTGAAACAACTTGGAGAAACTGGTAACGCTTCGACTGCGGCGGTTTGCTGTCTCGAGGGAAAGCCCACTGTAGATAGAACTGTCTTTTCCAGAATTCCGTAGAGGGTGCTTCTACCAACCATTTTTGTGACTAGTCTGCGTATCGGTTTGCACTGAATCTGGATCGATGGTCCATTCGGGGTTGAGGGTGGAATTATTAGAGGCTGGTCCTCTCTGGACTGTTCTTGCATCAGTTCCCTTCTGGCAGTGAGGAGTTGATGAGGCATAGCCTGGGCTCTCTTTCTCTTTGTCTATTCTCACTTTCAAGTCATCAAAACGAGAGTCGTGAGCGGGCAATGAGGAGATAACTGATGTAGACGCATCATTCTGTACGTCCTCATCAGCTGAGTTGCTTGTCAGGGGTGGCAGTCCCTCGAGTTGTCTCCGGGTTGCAACGCCCCAATCCCGAAGACGTTGTTGATGCTCTAAGCACCAGAGTAAGACAGGCCGTGTCGCACGGGCATCCTCCAGCGCGCTGTGGCCGTCTTGGCCTGCTTGGATCTTCTCTCCAATGAACGTCTGGGTTAAGTCTTTAAGGGCCCATGTACGGGTCGGCTTCCGGTCAGGAAACACGGCATTGCTAGTAGTCAAGATTGCAGTTTCGATGATTTTGTGGTGGTAAATACCCAAAACTTTGAAGTCGTTCGACAACGCATGCCCAATCAAGAAGGTCTCGGGCCCCATATTGTGCCAGAGGCACTTGCGGGCATTGTGCCACCTTGAACAATCTTTCCATTTCGCTGAGCGTCATTGAGGGTTCTGGGAGTGATTCCACTTGTCCGGGTTTGCCAGTTTGAGACTCGCTGGGTCGGTTGCACGCGACAGTCTATTATGATATGTCTCTATGGCGCTGAGGTAGCCAACCTCAGTGGGTCTCCACAGACCACCATTTCACATTCAAGGACAATTCCTAATCTTACGCCAGGACTGGGCATGATAGGGATTCCCGCACTCGAGTTGTCCGGGAGCTGAGAAGAAGATGGAGTAGGTGTGGCCTCAAATTCCTGACGTCGAACGCCTGGTCGGATTTTGTACTGAGAGCCATCGGCTCTCAGGTCTAGGGCAGCATGGCCCCTATCGGACTGCAGCTTGCAGCCCGCACCACGGAGGGTATTCTCGTCATGGCAGAATGCCATGAGGGCTGTATGGAGGGATGATAGTGTTTGTGTCCCGAGCGTATCTGTTTACAGCTGTCAGTCAATACTAGCTCATGAATTAGGACGATACCCACGACATGGGAGCTTTGTCTGCTAGGATCAAAGGGTTGTGAATCCGAGTGATGTCTTATGACTGAAGTCGAAGCCATGGGTACCGCAGATGTTTCTAAGAAATGACTCCGTGTATTGTATAGGATGTCAAATTGACTGTACTTACCAGGGAGCTGACTTTCTGTTTGGCTTCCGTTGGCGGTCTCTTCCTTTTCCTTGGTCTTGCTGGTCGACTCGGAGCCATCGTCGATGTATTCCGGCCAGTCTGATCCAACCTTCGAATCACGCACCCCATCAGCAGCGGCAGGGCTACGCTGGAGGGAAATATCATCTTCCCACCCCGTTAGGGTGGGCAACGGCGTCTGAACACCATGGCCCTCGGTGGGTTTTGCCGGGCTGCTCTGCATATCTAGGATCGAAGAGATGTTAGAGCTTTTTAACCGCGAGCTTGATGGACTGGAATCATCTACCTTTGGCGTTGGATGACTGTATGTTGGCACCGGAAACGACCTTGGCTGGCTGGTCGCGACGAGATGATGCGGATGCCATGATAGAATCTTCGGGCATGTGCTGTAGCGGTTTCGGTCTTCTAATTAAATTAGTGACCTTGATACCGGGATTCCATTCGGTTCAGACTGTACCTTTGCGCGGATTTTTGAAGAAATTCTTGCATGGGAAGAGAAGTATCTGCAACTTTCTGGGGGTGGATGGAACTTTGGGGTGGAGCAGGAGATACGGCTAAGCTTGATCTATCCCTTTTCGGCCATGATAATTACTCTGATAGAGGGCAGAAAGCTTATCTAATGTTACCTACAATGTTTGCCGCCCTTCTTCTGTCCTCATCCTTACTAGCTAGACTAGAGGGGGGAAATCTGGCCGGGCATCGAGGTCAGATGGCCCCCGTAGAAAGACGAAAACGGGTGATAATTGACCGAAAACTCGGAGTCAGTATCAAATATTACTAGTAAGTAGGAGCTATGTTTTGGAAATGTATTAGGGAGCAACCCTTGGCAGCTTTGAAATGGATATTCGCTCTAGACGTGCAGGGAGCAGCCGAGTATGATCATGGATGGCGAATTAGGCAGTTGACATGTTCACAGCTTTGAAGAAAATAGCTTCAGTATACAAGGAGTTACATATTACCACTCTTACCTTACATGCATTCAATATTTTTGAACTAAACTCCCATTTTGGTATGTAGATCAGATAGATAGGTTAGATTGGTAGACACATAATTGATATCAGTATGGCCATGAACATAAACTTTCCGTGAGCTAGATGTCTTCGAATATTCAATGGGAAATTGGCGTTTTCTTCACAGCTTCATGCCCGGCCTCGTAGATCTTGTACACGATCATCATTCTCAACAGAGATTCGCTCTTTCCTTTCTTGACAGACAGTGCATCTGGAAAGGGCTCACATCTCTGACCCCCGGCAGACGAAAAGCCTACGACCCATCCTTCGGCAGACACCACTGATGATCTCTCTCAACAAAGTACCGACGCATCAGAATTCCAGCTCCAGCACAGCCCCGAACGTGAGTCATCAAATCTTCCCACGTGTAGGTCATTTGACAACGACCCGCGATGATACGTTTCACCCTGGCATCAGACAATTTGGGGTTGATGCCCGAATACTTGAGCAGGGTATCCGAAACTTTATTCCTCTCACTGAGCCATAGACATCCACGGCACATGTAGCGGCGGTCAACTTCGGTCTTTCCCTTCGGGATCCAGGGGAAGGGAGCGCTCATAATGCTGACGATTTGTGGAGGCATCACGAGAGTGGGACTGTCGAGTTGGGTAGGGTCGTCAGGGGTTTTGATCTGCATGTTTCGGAGAACCCAATAGGCAGCAAGCAGCCCGTCTTTATCAATGTCTGGATCGTCGCGATGACGGTCGTCGTCATAGACGGAGGCGTAGCGACACATGGTCTTCCGGTTACCCCAAATATCCATCGCGGCGATAAAGGCGCCCTTGGCGGAGACGAAATCCCCCCGACCAGCCGGCAGAGGGTCGAGGATACTCCACACGTTCCAACAGAGTTCCTTCATTGTCAAAATGGGTAATTTTCGAATCTGTCTCTCGTTCATGCAAAAGATAGCCATGGCGTCTTTGACAGATATACACCAGTAAGCCGGGTTGCCCGCGCTGCAGTTGACGCAAACGCGTTCTCCGAGAGGCAAAAAGAGCCTCGTGCCATGGCGGCCACAGCATCGGCAGTATGGGTACCTCAACTCTTTGCCAAGATCGTTAATGTTGTTGCAAGTCTCAATCCCGTACTCACTGTACAGCTTTAGTATGGGCATGGCGAACTGCAACAGGGGTTTGTAGGACGGGTGGTTCTGGACCAGGTATCGGGACATGCGAGAAGTCTGACTAAAGACCACTGCGGATTTAATATCGAGCTGATCCATGACTTGGAATATGATCTCGAGAGGCAGCGCTGACAAGGTCCCTGGGCCTGAGATCAGGGTATCAGGCGCGGGGGTGACGTGCAAGCGTTCGGGGAGCTCGAGGATAGCTTTGAGGGCTGAGGCATCATCATCACCGTCCAAGGCAACGGTGTGACAAAGCGCCTCTTGACTATGCCAGTTGGAAGGATTGGTGGCCCAGGCCCACTCCTTGGAGCAGATCAGTGCTTGTTCGTATTCAGCACTCTGCGCCATTTTGAAGAGCAGAGCTCGGGTGGTAAAGGATGTGGTCAAAGCGCAGGGAGGTGATCGAGAAGTTGAGAAGTGGAGAAGTTCGAGTGAAGGGGAGTTGTTGTGGACGAGAGAAAAGGAGAAGAAAATGAGGGACAGAAACTACGTTTGTGTCAACAATCAATCCTGTGGACGCGTTGACGTGTTGAACACAAACACGACAACTTGAATAGCGTCATGGAACTTTCCACTACACACTAGTCACAACTACCAACAATATCGGCGGGCCCTGAGATAGAATGACAAATATCAAGCCAGGACAAAATAGCAAAAGAACCAATCAGGTGTAGTATGGATATGAGTTAAAATGAATGCAGCTAATCTAATTATATTGAACATAGCCATTATATTTATGTCTCAGAATAGTATCTTGTGAATGTGGTTTATAGAATAGAAATAGCGATCCTTTCACCTATCTGAAGCACCTGTGGCCAAGTGGTACGGCGTTTCTCTCCTATTTTCCTCTTTCAGACCAGCTCTTAAAGCACATTCTGGAAAAGAAAAGATCCTGGGTTCGATCCCCAGCAGGTGTGTCATAAATAATTTTTGTTACAATGATATCAATGTTTTCTAGCTATGCCTTTCCTACTAAAGTGAACTGTTATATTATTTTTTATAATCTGATATCTTCTCTAGTAGTCCCCAAAATAAAAATATTTCTTAAAATAACTCTATTAAATAGCGCCTTAGAGTTTTAATTCCGGCGGGCGGTTAGCCTTACTCCCTTAACTCTACTAACGTAATTCCCGCCCGAGTGAAACACCCGGTCGAGTGAAACACCTAACCCTACTAAAGAATTTCAAAATCGATTATCTCAACCAACACCCATTAATTCCACTAGATATGGCGATTTTTACATACATTAATCCTGTGACCAATCTCCCTACACCCACTACACCTAGGTGGTGCCCTCTTTGCTGGCATAATTGGCTGACTAGGCAATTCAACCTCTGCATGCGAATCTACCACATCATCTTCCTCTGGCTGGTTTAGCTACTCAGCTAGCTGTATAGCCTCTTTAATGGTTAGACCTTCTGCGCAGGGTATCCTCCTAGTTGACCGATTGCGCTTTTTGATTATCTTCTGTCGGAATTTAGGCGGTGACCATAAAGTCGTAGTAATGCACACAAGAAGATAGTGTGTACATAGGTAGGTAAATACTCAATATAGTGTCTGAATACACGGTTATGAGTCTATCGGTCGTGCGCACTTCTTAGAAAGAGAAGAAGTACCACGATTATGGAAGAGTACCACCGATCTAGAAGAGAGATCAAAAGGGATGATAAACTTGATTCAATATAACTAGAAAACAGGGCAGTATTTATCTTAGGAAACATAGTAAAAGATCACATGAAACAATAAGAAATTGGAGTGTTGAATAGTCTCCTGCCTAGGTAGGCAATTCAATGCGAGATCGTTGAAGATCAATCTTGATAGATCTTATAGAGAAGATCTATAAGCGATGAGGGGTAGTGGGTCTTCGTCACATGACCCCACAACATTCATATATTGACAAGAATCTACTAGATCAGCGATCGCATAGCCCTCCTAGCCTAACTAAAACCGTGGTAGATCAGATTATTAAGGGTAGCTATCTATCCTTATACGGCGCTATATTACTCGCAGAGGATAATACGAATTTACGTATAGCGAATGAGAAGATGATCAAAAAGCGTAATCGGTCAACTAGGAGGATACCCTGCGCAGAGGGTCTAACCATTAAAGAGGCTAGCTATACAGCTAGCTGAGTAGCTAAACCAGCCAGAGGAAGATGATGTGGTAGATTCGCATGCAGAGGTTGAATTGCCTAGTCAGCCAATTATGCCAGCAAAGAGGGCACCACCTAGGTGTAGTGGGTGTAGGGAGATTGGTCACAGGATTAATGTATGTAAAAATCGCCATATCTAGTGGAATTAATGGGTGTTGGTTGAGATAATCGATTTTAGAATGTTATAATGGGGTTAGGTGGCCAGGACGGCCGGGAATTACGTTAACTAACTAGTTAGTTAGGACGGGAGGAAAATTTCTGGCACATACTGAATGAATGTGTCAAAAGTGGGAGGTTTATATGGAAAAATCGGTCGTGCATAGAAGATACCCTATTTATAGACTATAGACTATATTACCTTAACATAAATTGGAAAAGGGGTTATTATTAATAATAAGATTTTTAATTTTATAATTTTGTAAAAGGCTCCTGAGGAATAGGAAATTAAAGAGTCTTTTAGGTCAGGTTAGGTAGTAGACTTGTAAAACCCTCTTTTTATAAGGAGCTAACTCTAAAGTAACTAGCCCTGAGCTAAGCTAACTCCAATCGTTTGTTATTTAAATGTACAGTACGTGATATTCGGCCATGAATTTATCCAAAATACTACCTAGCCTAGCTACTAAGCGAAGAGATTTAATACACTCATTTTTCATACTAGTAAGGGCTAATAGTATCCTACCCTCATTATTAGCCGATTTAAACGAGGGTTGAGCTTGAATTAGTAGCATACTAGAAAGGTGAATTGGGTACCCAGGTTCCGCAGGCTTCAGGCACCAACATGGGAATAGTCTCATAACAGGTTGGTATATCATAACATGTAGTATGTACGAGCCTCCTGCCTAGAATTTCTTAAATATGAGTGATCCCTCCCCCAGTCGAGATCCATTAAGGCTCTTAGTCGACGCCCCCCTTTTTCAATAAAACAGCGTGCAATTGTTCCTCGGCAGACGTGATAGTCTTGGACCATCTCCACACCGGGATTTTGCGTTCGTAGAGCTCGTCTATCTCAGCCGCAGACCGACTACAAAATCAGTTAGTCTCCAGGCGTCTCATTCCTATGTTTCCTTGCTTGCAGGGGATAGGTTGTTGGGAGAGGGGGAAGTAGGATATTTATCGACTTACCCCTTGGTTTCGGGGATGTAAAGCCACATAAGGATACAGACAGGCACTGAGAAAGCACCAAACACGAACCCGGACTTGAGATTCAAGGCCAGGAGCATGGGTGGGGCGGCATAGCTATGGGTGTTAGATGGAGGTTCTCGCTGAGAAATAAGATGTGGTAACATACCCAGTTGCGATACCTAGCACTGATCCGACGCAGAATGAGACAGGGCCGGTCTTGACTGTTCAATTGCCCGTGTTAAGACATAGAATTGATTGAGAGACACAAGGACCGTGAACTTACCTCGGAGGATGGCAGAAGGAATCTCAGCCGCCATCAGGTAGTATGCCATGGAGTTGAAGGTGAATGCAAAAGACCATATGCAGCAAATGACCAACTAAGATATGTGTCAGAAAGAGATATTACCTTATACCGAAGCGTGAGGCTTAGGGTTGGAACAGGGACATACTAAGGTGTGGCTGGCGGCGGCGTTGCCAGTCGTCGCTCCTGTCCACCATAGACCACCAACGACGAAGAGAATGACGACAACGATAGTCTCGAAAATATTCATGAGAAGTCGACGACCAATAAAATCAGTGCTTAATGCCCATATAAGGACGGCGAGGAGGTTGCAACAGCTTGGAAGAAGCATGATGATTAGCAATCCATGGTGTTAAAAAAAGAGCTGTGTTACTCTTATTGGATGTAAAACTTACGAAATAATCACTGTGCCGAGGAAGGGGTCGCTCAGGCCGGCCAGCGAAAAGAAGTCTGCATTGTTAGCAAGTCTAGCTTCAAACGAAGTATAGGTAACATACATGTGGAATACGTATTGATGATTGTAATACCACCGAGCTGGCCCATAACGGCGAGCAGAGTAATGGTAAGGGTACGTTTCTATCAACAAATTAGCCTCGACCCTGTCAATTTTGCATTAAAATAAATTGGACTTACCAAGTTGACGCCCTGGATGAGATGAATATACTTGGGTTCTGCTGCTAACGCCTCCCTCTCGTGCTCGATGGTTTTGGCGATAATGTTATACTCTTCATCAAAATCATAGCCCTCAACATTACCATAGAGCCACCTCAAAGACTTCATCGCCTTCTCCTTATCTCCGCGGCGGACATAAAACCAGGGCGACTCTGGAACGAAGATAAAGAAGAAAATCATTAGTCCAATTGGGGCCCAGATGATTCGCACGGCTGTAATATAGTTGTCGGGGTGAGACTCGTTAAGCTGCTGCATCATAACAGCGCTGATGATGCTGCCTGCATTGCTCCTATTTTTCCCAAGGAAAAAAAATATATTAGCACAAGAACAGGATATGATAGCACGGAGTGCAAGGGAAGATACCAGACAGCCTGAAAACTAATCATGCCTCCTCTGATTGTATTTGGGCAAATCTCCATGATGTAGACCTGGCATACGACCCTTCAAGATTGGTTAACACCAAAGTCGCTGTGTAGTGTTGGCTAGTAGGGAAAACACATACTGAAGGACACCGACACCTGCGCCATTGCACAATTTTCCTAGGGCCTGTGATAAAGATATTAACCGCAGTCTAAACAAACCCCAGTATATCATTATTATTTGAGCTCACCCATATAGCTGGTGTTTTCGCCGCATTGAGAAAAGCACACCCCTGATCAAATTAGCTCTGTTTTCGGCTTGGCCCTAGTGCTTCACCCCCTGGAGCATCACTCACAACAACCAGCCAGAGCCAAGCAAGATAGAAGCATGGTTTGCGACCAAACCTTTCGGCGAACCTACACAGGTCAGAAGCTGCGGCTGGATACCTCATAGTCGTCCCGATCCTTCCAAGCCGTACCGGGATTATGTACGCCATGCTTGACTTACCAGGAGATGTAGGTCAATGTAACCAGTTGCCCGACATTCTGAGTCGTTAATAAGCACCCAGGTCAATTATTGGGAGGCGGAAGATCGACGTACGAGGAGAGAGCTCCAGGTGGACACTGATCATCGTGGTGAGCATGGGAAGGATCTCCGGTCATATCCCCAGGTGCCTAGCTTACCCCAAGTAGCATCCAGTGCGGCAACGCCCGAGGCATTCTTGTTCCCAAACTGCTTGATAAATCCGGCATTGGCAACAATACTGTTTCCTGCTTTGAGCTTTGTTTTTCAAACAATATATCAGCGTCTGATGTTGAAGACCGATCTTGGTTATCGGCGGACTCACTTCGAAACCCTCGCAGACGTAGCCGGTATAGACAGCGAGCGAGACCAGAGCGACGCGTCGAAAGACCCAGACAGTCCGGCCAAGGGACATTTCATCGAACCGCGACTTGACGAGATTCTCCGTCAGGGGCTCACCTTGACCTCTATCGCCATCGGGGGAGGTCGATTCGATCAGTGTCGCCACAGGCTTCTCCCCTGCTTCATTGTTGATCTCAGGCTCCGTCATTATCGGCTTGTCAAATGCTTGCTGTCTGGAATTGAATGGAAAAAAGTTATCGTGGTGTGGCAACTTCTCTCTGGGCCGAGGAAGGGTTTATATACATGAGTTGAACGAAGTCTCACGAAGCGCCTCGCCTCCTCAGTGTTGCTCCACGATGCCCTGAAAGCGAAACATGGAGAAAACCTGGGGGCGGGCGAATATAGCACGCTATGATCAGGTGGGGAAAGTGAGAGCCGGGAGGGTACGAAGTCGCCTAAATCTGGCCCAGATATTCCAGGATATTCCGCGGACTGGAACGAACAGTGCACCAATAGAATACCCTGTAGCACGCGTTCCACGGCATGTGGCGTCCGTCCCTGGGATACCTCCCCACTCGGAACTCCGCGGGCAGGATCGTGAACAACTGCTTATTCCCCTCAATGCTTCGGTGTAGTTTTCAGCGAGATCATGGTTGTTTCTCCCAGCGCACGATGGTTCTCTTTCTATTTTTCTATTTTTCTAAAACGGCATGGCAGGGGACCCTTGATACTTACCAACGCTCTGGTTCTAGGTGTTCTCTCGCCTTGGTGCTATTCAAGGCCCAGATCGCCAGGGCAGCTTCAATTAGTCCCGTACAGCAAATCTCTCCTCCTTTGAGCATCACCTCCTACCGCCATGTCTGCCACTTTTGACCGAACCTGGATATGGCATCCAGCTTTCCCTGAAAACCAACCGGACACGGCAGGCTTGTTGGTACATTTCCGGAGACAGTTCACACTCGGCATCGAGTCGCCCAAGTCGTTGAAGATTCACATCTCGGCTGATACGCGGTATAAGCTCTATGTCAACCAACAGCTAGTATCCTTTGGCCCCGTCAAGGGGGATCAGAGCATGTGGTTTTATGATGAGGTGGATATCGGTCCGTTCTTGCGGACTGGGGAGAATCACGTCGCAGTTCACGTCCTCCGGATCTTCTACGCGACCCAGTTTGCGCCTTCCTTCCCCCGTTTGCCTTCTGGTGGCCTGCGCGTCCTCGTGCCCGTCGACGAGGGCGAGTATTCCGAGCTCCTCCGCACGAGCGAGCAATGGGAGTCGGCTATCGATCCCTTCGCCAGCCTGCGCGTCGATGAGCCCGAGGACGTCTTCCTCCACACCTACGAGTCTCACCAGCGGCAACACGCCGAGAGCCCGCTCGACTGGAAACCCGCCAAAGTCCTGGAATTTAAAAACTCGACAGGCAACACTCCACCCTAGCACCTGTCCCCGCGCCTGATTCCGCCTCAGCAGATTCAACCCACGTGGTTCACCGAAATCCACAATGTGCACAGCGATGTGCCGCTCGAGACGTGGCGCGCTGTGCTCCTGGCCGGACCCCCGAGCAGGGTCGTGGCGCGGACGTGTGTCTGGCGCCAGGCTCCTGTCATCAGTTTGAGCTTGAGGTCGCCGCGCACACAACGGCGTTCCTGCGCGTCCGGTTCCTACGCCCTACCAGCGGCGGCAGCTCCATCCGGCTCACCTACGCTGAGAGTTACGAGGATGAGCCGGACCTCTACGTCGGAGTGCGGCGCAAGGCACACCGCCGCGACATGACAAAGCAGTTGATCGGCCCGCATGATAGTTACCAGCTCCAGGGGCCGACTAAAGGCATCGGCCCCGGTTACTTTGCGGATGAGGAAGTGACGGAGGTGTTCGCTCCGTTCCATTATCGCACCTTTCGGTTCATCAAGATCGACATCGCCGTTGAGGGTGCGGAGCTAGTCTTCCAGGGGATCGACGTCGACTCCTGCCACTATCCGCTGGATGTGCAGGCGCAGATCACGGCGGGCCCTGGGAACGCCACGGTCGACTCTCTGTGGACGACCAGCCTCCGGACGCTGGTGAACTGCATGCACGACTGCTACGAGGACTGCCCGTTCTACGAGCAGCTGCAGTACGCCATGGATACTCGTAGCTCGGCTCTGTTCACCTACTGTGTGTCAGGCGATGACCGACTGGCGCGCCAGGCGATCATCCAACTGTACAACTCCTTCCAGCCCCGGCTCGGCCTAACAGCAAGCCGGGCTCCCTCGCACCGGCAACAATTTATCCCGCACTTCTCCTTGTACTGGATCCGCTTGCTTAGCGATCACCTGGAGTATTTTGACGACCATGTCTTTCTTTCCCGCTTCCTGGCCGTGGTCGACGCCATCCTGACGTCCTTTGCTGCGCGCATCGATCCACACCTCGGGCTAGTGAAATGGGACATTCGACCGGGCATCTGGAACTATGTCGACTGGACAACCCAATGGAAGCCGTATGGCTGCCCGCCAGTCTGCGAGCGTACGGGTTTCTCCACCTTCACCAACGAGATCTACGCCTACGCCTTGAGTGCTGCTGCTACCCTCGCCGGTGCGCTCCAGCGGCCCGCGGTGGCCGACGAATACCGCGAAAGGGCCCGACATATTGCGGTGGCCGTGCGGAAGCATTGCTTTGATGGCGAATTCTTCACCGATAGCCTGGTCTCGGCCCAGGCCGACGACATGTTGACACCGCGCAGCCAGCACAGCCAGGTCTGGGCCGTGCTCGGCGGCGTGGTCCGCGGCGCGGAGGCACAGGAGCTGCTGCGCAAGAGCATTCGCCAGACTAAAGCGGGGAGTTTCGTGCAAGAATCGGTCGCTATGTCCTTCTATACGCTGCGAGCATTGAGCCTGGCCGGGGGCAGCCTGTACGATGACCACTTTCACGCGTTTTGGGAGCCGTGGCGCAGCCAGCTCGCTATGGGTGTCACGACATGGGTCGAAGATGGGGACGCTCAGCGCTCAGACTGCCACGCCTGGGGCAGCGCGCCGCTGTACGAGTTCACGGCCGAGGTCGCCGGGGTGCGGCCAGCGGCGGCTGGGTGGAAAGCCATCCAGGTACGGCCGCGGATTAATCTTTACACGGAACTGGACGCACGCCTGCCGCTTCGCATGGTGGATGGGAAGATAAGTGGCATGGTCTACGTCTCGTGGGCGCGCGGAGCCACTACGACGGATGTACGGGTCCGTATTAAGGTTGAGATGAGGAACGCTGCTCGGCCGGTGCCCGTGCATATCTACCTTCCTGGCCAGGAAATTGTTTTGGAAGTGGAAGGATCGGAGGTTTGTTTCTCTACTAATTTATAGAATTCTGTCGAGATATGATGTTTTATAGAATTTTTACTCCAGACATAGATGAAGGCACTGTTGGCAGAGGGAGTCAATAACTTTGTGAATTGTAAGCTCAGTATCAGGTAATCAAAATTGTGCATTGAGTATATAGAGTAGCATCTGGATTTTCGTGCAATCAACTCGCAAACTGGGAGAGTTAGCAGTGAGTATATAGAGTAGCATCTGGATTTTCGTGCAATCAACTCGCAAACTGGGAGAGTTAGCAGTAATTGCACGGCTGGTACCACGTGGCAAGACCCTCGATGGTGGAAGTGAGCGTGCCATTCGCGGTGAAGAAATTTACCAGCGCGTCGACGCCAACGCTGAAACCCCCTTCACTGGTGACTTTATACCCAGTTTCCTCCGGGCCGGTCGAACTAATGTTCGAGAACCAATCTAGTACGGTAAAGGTCAGATTAAGTTGATTGCTGGTGACCTTTTCGAACCCAGACAAGACGTTCAGCCCGTCGTCGCTGAAATCATGGTACCCCACCGCCACCGACTGGATCGCGGCCGCCTCGGCCGGGTTATGCGCGATCGACACGGCCGCATGTCCGTTATGCTGGCCATAGAGCGTGTAGTTGCCCTCAGGGATGATAGGTAAACTGGGAATTTCCATCCCTGGCGTGTACGGTAGTCCCCACGGCACGTAGTCCGAGATCTCTAGCTGCGGCGGGTCAACAAGGGCGAGTGGTGTGCGGGCGGTGAAGGTCGCCATCATCACCCGTGCTTGTCGGCCGTCTGGATACGGCGATATCTCACAGGGCAACGGGTTCGTACCTCCACAGGCCGGAGGAATCGACAGCCACTGATAGTAGGAAACGCGGGTGCCATCCAGGCTCCAGCGCGGATCTGCGCCGGCATTCCAGTTGGGATCGTTGACGGCACCTGAGCTGCCGTTGCCCGCCTCGTTTATCTTCTGCCCAAAGTACAGGCCGCGGTCGCCGGCATAGTCTAGCAGCCATGGCTCGAAAAAGCGGCGGTTGCCATTATTGCGCACAGAAGACACTGTGGCCGTCGCTACGATGTCGATGATCGGGGGCACGTTACGAATCGCCGACATAAACATCATTCTCTGTGTGTCGCGCGTGTCGAGGACAACCTGCCAGGCATTGTCCGGGGATACGCTGATAGGGTCAGCGTACTCTGGGTGAGCTGTGATCCGTCGCACGGCGCCTGTGGCCAGACTGACCGCGAAGAGGTCGATGTTGCAGGATTCCCAAGGGGAGCCAACATAGGTGATCTCCGTCCCGGTGCCCGTCCACCCGCGTAGCTCACCTACGGAGATGGCAGACCTGTTGATGAAGAGCTCGCGGCCATCCTCCGACACCGAGAGAGGTTGCGGGAGGTACGGGTTGCTGACCACCGTGACGTTGACGAGGTCGTATCGCAATGCTGTCACATTAAATGATAGCCGTGCGATTCCGTTTATTTGTCCGAGCGTGCCGCTGCTGCTCTCGGTGAAACTGTTCCATGTGATGTGCTGGTTATCCGGGTGCAGCCGTATCTCGCGCAGGCTCATCCCCGCGGTGGTGCCGTCGTCCAGAAAGAGCGGGTAGATGTGCGTCTTGTTGGGCGTGCACACGTCACTTCCCAGTACGGCGGCGCCGCAGTCGATGATGTTAATGCCCGAGAGAGCGCGTCGGCCGTCAAAGAATGTCTGCGGGTACGAGGCCAGATCGCCCATCACGCCGACCCTATTGGCGGCCGGCACGCCGCATGTCAGACACTTCCATCCGTCGCCGTTAGAGAAGGTGGTTCCGTCCGCCTTGAGCAGGATGACTTGGGTCCCGTTGAATATGCTGGCGGGATTGGGCGGGAGCGGGGCGCCAACATATGTGACCGTCGCCAGGACATTGAGCCCGTCGGAGGTGAAGTCGCCACTTTCCGAGCCCATCGGCGCGATGCACCCGGTGCCGTGCGGGTTGACCAGCGTGGTGCACGCACCGGGGCTGGTATCGGCCAAGGCTGGGGGAAGGGGCAGCTCAACGACCTCGATGGGCTCGGGGAGGGGCGGCGGAGGATATGTTGTGCTGATCGTCCCTCCGCTGGCGAAGCGGTCGAGAATGCACAAGGTAACCGCAAAGACCTTCAAGAGGGCCGTCATCCTTTATCGGCAATTGGCACAGACGTCTCTACTGAAAGTTGCTGGTTTCTCCAAGAGGAAGGATCTTGAATGATAGTCACAAAAGACTCTCGTAGTTGAAGATGCCGCTATTTATGCTGATTTTTCCTTTAAGAGGGTCCCCCGACATCTCCACAGAACGCTTTGGGCAACAGAAAACGGTCAATTTCTCCGCAGAAAACGTCTACATATAAAGAGCCAATTAGTGAGTCTGTTGACTCGACACACGGAGTGCCCGACGGGGGAGGCTAACAGTCCCCGTGGGGCAAAGGACAAGCGGAATTGGAAAAAAAATAATGCAGGAAAAATGTGGGGGTTCTGCACCATTCCTGCATCAATGCCAGGGAGTATTTAGATTTTGCAAATATTAGGATAGTCGTATGTTAATACCCTTTTATGCTACGTCACTTGTTTCCTAGTAAGCCCTCTACAACAGAATCCTAAATTCTAGCTACTTTCTATATATTGACCAAATTTCTATATATTTTTTTATTATTATCTATTTACGGGTAGGTCTATAAAGGTGTTGAGTTTAGATAGTATAATGAACACTTTACTGAGATGCAGGGGCTCGTTACTAATAAAGACTATCAGATTCAGGGATAATTCGTTAACAGTTAATAAGCACTTAGAAATCGAACATGTATTGAAATATTGGAAGTTTTGCGCTCTGCTATTGAGCTAACATGAGTCGAATATACAGGAATTTGTGTATTTATTTCAGAGTAATCAACTTTATTCTTAAGTGGTATACAAGCAGAAACTGAATAATGTAAACAGTCTATTATGAAAGCTGCATAAATACCAAGTGCGTAACGGAATTGAAATCGCTTAATGTAATTAACATATAATGAAGATGTGTTATATTTCTTTCATTGAAAGGAGTAAAGACTGATAAGCCTCAGTTCAGGCGTGTGGCCCCTAGTACAATACATTCCGCGGACTGGATGTCTAAATAGGGTAGAACCGCAAAAGCTTGATCATCCCGATCTCTGCCAATCAGGCCTCCACTAATCGGCGGTAAGTCTATTTTGTCATTTTACAGGTCATGATTGGTGGAGCCAAGCTATAGCATCAATCCTCTCCGCGGAGTACAAAGTGGGCCCATAATATGGTCGGCCGGGTTGTGTTGTTGGTACACACCATCGATTTATAGCTGTCTACCACCTTGCTTCTCACAACACTAGACTCCTAGCAGACCAAGCAACGCAGCAGTGGTATCCTCGGTGTTCTCTTCTAAAGTCTACTGCCAACATGCCTCTGGTGCGCAATCCCATCCTGCCAGGGTTTCACCCCGACCCATCCATCGTCCGAGTGGGTGAGAACTACTACCTTGCCACCTCTACCTTTCAGTGGTTCCCCGGCGTACAAATTCATATATCCACCGACCTGGCCAACTGGGAGCTGGTATGCCGTCCGCTGAGCCGCAGGAGCCAGCTCGACATGCGCGGCCATCCGGACGGAGGCGGCATCTGGGCCCCTTGCCTCAGCCACGATGGCGAGCGCTTCTGGCTGGTGTACACCGACGTCACTCGCAAGGAGGGCTCCTTCAAGGACACACACAACTATATAGTCAGCGCGCCGGAAATTACCGGCCCTTGGTCAGATCCCATCCATGTCAACTCGTCCGGGTTTGATCCCTCGCTGTTCCACGACGATGACGGTCGCAAGTTCTTCATCAATATGCTTTGGGACCATCGCCGCCGCCCGCAGCTATTTGCGGGAATTGTGCTGCAAGAATTCGATGCATCGACCGGCCGACTGGTCGGAACCCGGAAGAACATCTTCCAGGGTACGAAGTTGCAGTATACCGAAGGACCGCATCTGTACAGACGCAACGGATGGTACTATCTGCTGACCGCGGAAGGCGGGACCCAGTATAACCACGCCTGTACGCTCGCGCGTGCGCGGGATATTTGTGACCCATACGAGGTGCATCCGCAAGAATATATATTGACCTCCAAGGACACCCCGCTGGCGGCTCTGCAGCGTGCGGGTCATGGCGACCTCGTCACCACCCCCACGGGGGAGCACTATCTCGTCCATCTCACGAGCCGGCCGGTCACGGCGCGCCGCCGATGCATCCTCGGACGAGAGACTGCTATCCAGGCGGCATACTGGGGCGACGATGACTGGCTGTACGTGAAAGACGGGCCGGTACCTTCCCTCTACGTGGACTTGCCTAGAGCGAGGGACGAGGCAGCATACTGGGCAACGCAACACTACGTTTTCAAGGCGGGCCATGAGCTGCACCAAGACTTCCAGTGGCTGAGGACACCAGAGCCGGACCGCATTTTCTCCATCGACCCGGACGACGGCGGGCTCACTCTAATAGGCCGCGAGTCGATCGGATCGTGGAGCGAGCAAGCGTTGGTCGCTCGCCGGCAGATGCATTTCTCGTTCAACGCCGAGACCGTCCTCAGTTTCAGCCCGATAGACGAGCGGCAGTTCGCCGGTCTCACCGCGTACTACGCACGATTTAACTTTTTCTACCTAACTGTGACCGCACACTCGGATGGGCAGAGGGAACTACTCATCATGAGCTCGCAGGCGTCGTTTCCATATGGTGACCTCGATCTTGAACATCTTTCCGAGCCCGTGCGCATCCCCAACGAAGGTAAGGTGCGTCTCGCGCTGACGATAAGTGGAAATCAACTGCAGTTTTTCTATGCAATGGAGGGGGAGAAAGAGACGAAAAAGATCGGGCCTGTATTTGATGCTTCGATACTATCAGATGAATGTGGAGGCCCAGGAAGCTTCACTGGGGCATTTGTTGGTATGGCGTGCTCTGACCTGAACGGAACCCATATTCAGGCGAGGTTTGACTACTTTACGTACCAGCCTGTACATGATGAGAGCAATGTTTCGAATTGAATACAGTGCATTCCGTGTATTTGAACCAGCCCCACCTAATGTAATTGACGGATGAGGGATCTCGGGAGAGCTATCCGCAGTGAGTGCAGGCGCTTTAATGCCGGCTATGAGCAATCATACATCACATAGGACCTGTTGCGAGCTCGTTGGATGCCTTGGAGTCGAGCCTTGTCAGGAAATCCAGCAGCTGGTCAAATTGGAACCGGGCCATTTTCTGAACCGTTTCGTTATTGGCATTATGGACAAGCTCCAGCAAGGTACTGCCCACACGACGAATGCGCTCCACCTTGGCAAGACAATATGATTAGCACTGGGAAAGATGAATGGGCGCTATCTAGGGATAGATGGCGGAACTTACCGCGGTTTCCCCCTGGACCTTGAAGCAAATAAACGGCACGATCTGCATTTCGTGCAGGAAATCCTGGGAAATTTCGGTTTTCCGTATCGCCCACGCCAGAGAAGAGTTATCGAGGCCCATGATAACGGTACACTGATGGTCGATGCAGGTCTGCAGGATAACCAGCTTCATGCAGTGGAACGCGGTCATGATGTTGCTCCTCTGCGTCCAGAAACATGTGCTGTGGAAAGCAGCCACTTTGTCGTCGGTGACGCCCTCGACATGGCCCGGTTGACGTAACCAATCTGGGAGCCGGCCGGCCAGCCCCGTGAAGAGCAGATAGGCTTCAGTGAGATGTGCCAGCGCGAGGCCCTCTTCGGCAGGTGACACCAAGCCTTGCTTGATGCGCAGGGAAAGTGCTCGAATTTCGGCGATCAGGTCGGCTGCGGCAGACCAGATGCGTCGTTTGAGATGGAATCCAATGAAGATTCGGCGTTCCAAGGTGCGTTGATTGTTCGTGTCTTTGCTCTGATCGAGCATCGGCCCCTCATCGTCACTGTTCTCGAGCAGGCTGAACTCGCAGCTGAAGAACATTTCGTTAAGGATCGGTGGCCGTGTTTCTAGCACAATTGCCGTCTTGTCCGCCAGAAACAGCAGCCAGAACATCGCGCGCAGTAGGTTCGACTCGAGTTTGAGGTCCCGCTGCACGGCATTTTCGTTGTACAGCCGGAGTCGTTGGGCAAGGTATGCGGCTTCGGCATGGTAGTGGTGAGAGGTGCCCACCCGGCCTGTCCGATTGTGCATGGCAGCCGAATACCACATCCGGATAGCCAACGAGGTCGAGTTCGGGTGTTCCAGGTCGTATTCCTCGTAGAGCTGGAGTGTCGCACGCGACGCGAGCAGGAATAGCCGCGAGAGCTGTATCATTTGGGCCAGCCGACTTTCCGACATGACCGCCGTGACAAAGGCGCAGAACGCGGTAATCAGCGTAAACCTGCGCAGACATTCGACCTGGTGCTGTGTGTCGTAGGTCGATGACGCGAGTTTGGCGAGCGTGGAATGGCCCTCATGTGCCAGCAATGTCGCCGCGTCATGAAGCGTCGGCTCGTGGGCGATTGGCGTGTTCGGAAACAGGTACTGGAAGAAGTAGTCGATACATTTATTTACCAGGTCCGCGATAGACTCTGGAGCGAGGATGGCGTCAACCTCGGCAACCAGATGGGCGTGGATATGCCCGGGATCGTGGTGGAAGCTGCTCACGCTAGACGCGCCACCTCTGCTTCCGGGATCCAAGATCAGGGCGCTTCCAGGCTCAAGTCTAGGAGCAGTAGTGGAATCGGCAGCGTGCAGCGCGAGATCCTGAACGTTTTCAGGTGTCGCAGCGGCCACAATGCCTCGGACAGCTAGGCGCTGCCGCCTCGGCGAGCCACGGAAGACGCAGCGAAGGCCGGAGATGCCGCAGTTGGCACACGGCTCCACTCCGTCGCATTTGACTTTGCGTCGACGGCAGGCGTCGCAGGCGTGCGATGGGGGCATTGATGCATCAAACAGGCACACAGCGACTGGCAGGGTTTATTCGAGGATGCTGGCAACTCCTGCAAATTATTATCTATCCCGCGGAGTGGTAAATTCGAGGGCCTGTGGGGTAGTGGGCTTTGTACCTCCTGATTGGTCCCCGCATCCTGAAAGTGGGACCCTCGTTAGTTTGTTAGGCGGGGCAGGGGGACTGCCTTATATAACTAGCCTATAACTAACTAACCTAGTTAATTGTATACACTGACTAATAAAAGATTCTTAGTTACTTTATAAGAGATTCTATTTTGAATAGTATGAAAATAATGCGAATAATAAATAAATCAAGGATTGGCTATTGAGAGTGCTATGCGGCTATGCGGCATTTAACATGTTCTTTTAGCGTTGATCTCGGGCTTCGCTATTGAATTACACCGACTCGGTAGACTAAGAACCACAAAGACCGTATACTTGTCGTTCTCTGTTTTGTTAACATGTGACCACTCAGCATAGCTCAAATCTAGGATGCTTAATAATGTAACCCATGCCCGGTCAAGCGAGCGGTGCAAGCTGTATCCGTATTAAAGGAACTAGAATTGAATCTTTGTAAGGGGCCGGTTAATATGAGAGTAATCTAATGTAACCTGGAATTTTTGAAAGATGCTCTAATGAATACGCAATGTGTGTTAATTTTAAGTGAAACTATAGCCTAAATAAATCTTTCTTGTAATAACGTAATTCGTAACAGAGTGGATCACATACTCCTATTACACAGTTTTCAAGACAGATCATATCAACTATAAGTCTATTACTATTGAACTAGCGATTCTTACATTAACCAATCGCTATAGCGGATTGCTTCATATGCAATACTACTATATTATCTTTAACAAGATAAATTAGCTGCTAGGTTAGCTATAGGCCATCTATTGGGTTTTATGCTCAGCATGCTTAACCATTATACGCTAACCGGGTTTCAGTTCCCCAGGTGATCAGCTGGATCAGGCACCCGATCACCTCATGGGCTTTAGTAGTAATTATATGTGATCAGGTGGGATTCAGTAGGATTAGGAGAGGCAATCTTTGATCCAAGGTAAGGTTACTCTAGGAGTCACTCTCGCCAATAAACTTCTCCTAGAATGGAGAAGAAAATTAATGTCGTGAATCTTGTATGTTGTTCATTCTTTTTTAAGCTTCCAGATTAAACCAGTAATAAATTCGAGAAGGTTCTACTATATACTATAGGGGATCAATAGCCAGCCCTCCGTAGTTCATGAATTCAAGTCGAGTTCGTTGGGGTCAGTTGCTTTTGTTGATATTCGCGGAACATAAGATAGTTAACTACTGTCCGGGTTTGAAGTGACGTAAGCAGGTCGGTTTGCCAGTGTAGTCGTCTTTAACCTGGAGCTAGGTTCATTCTGAATTGCTAGTATTCTCTAAAATCTGGGGATTGAGAATGTGATTGGCATTATTGAGGTTATCGTAACATGATGTAAGGAACGGCTACGAAATACCCCCAAAAATGCCCCGTAGCATGCTTTTGTGGCACAGAAAACATCCCTAAACGGTATACCTATCAGTAATTTAACCTCCTCACCTCCCACATAGTCGGTTGTGTCAACAATTATCAAGAAATAAATTCGATATGGAGAAAATCCCGCACGTCAGAAATTCGAAGCGAACTAACACTTACGTGGCAGTGAGATGGTGAGAAAGTACAGACAGGTATGTATATTCTTTCCCGTGGCCTCCACTCCAGCATCTAATCCGGCATGATACAAAGAGGAATTTACAACCGGACAGCTTATGTTTTCCCATGGAATTGCCGACAAATGCCCACTCCCATGGAGCTCAGCTAAGCACTGCTCGTGGCCCAGTGAATGCTGCGGAAATGACTTAGCACGAAGCCCTAGAAATCGCATAATGAAGAACTTACTTTTCCTGCCACAAACCCCATAGTAGAGCATACTCAAGGCCATGAAACCACAAAACACCACAATCGCGTAGTTCATGCTCTCTTCAGTAGCAGGCAAAACTGTTGGCATACTGAAAAGTATCATCTGAAAAGCAATCCAAGCGAGGGCAATGATGTTGAGGACTAATCCAAATCTTTTCCCACATGTCCAAGCAGCAGTATTGACCTCAGACCGTTTGTAGTAAAGGGATAATGCAATGGGGATTGCATAAGAGACTGCTAGAGACACAACTTCGACAGATACAAAGGCCAGGAAGGCTGATGAACTGACAATATTGATGAGTCCTAAGAGCATCTCAACAACGGTAGTAAGGCCGATAGCCAATATAGGAGTTTCGCGCTGCCTATTGACTTTTGCCCACACACTTGACAGCGGGATCCCTTGATCCCTAGCAAACGCCCAGGTGCATCGACTCGCAGCGACAGTAACGCTGATGCTACAGAAGCATGCAATGCAGAGCACAAAAAATGTCAGCACCATTCCGCCTCCTGGTGATCCCATAACGGCACCAAAAATGTAAGGAAGAGCCTGACCATTGCTTCCTGTAATTATGTCGTTTAATGGAGGCAAGGTGGCACATATTGGGAGTATCTGTTACAGGTTATCAGCAATATAAGATGCATAAAGGTGAGGAATGACCTACAAATAAAAGACCAGCAAGCCCACCAACCGGTATTGAGAGGCTTAATGCTTTGGGAAGTTTGACGTGCGGATTATCACACTCTTCCGCCATGGAAGATATCAGTCCAATTGAGGAAAACCTTCTTCTTGTCAGCGCGAGCTCTTTCCCATGTTCTGAGCAAATGCCTCACGCGTAAACTGACGGAAGAATCCCAATCCAGAAGGAAAAGCTTCCCCAACCACTCAAAGTCTTGTCATAGTAGCCCTTCAAGCCCGTCAGTATCCCCAAGTCTGGAAAAAAGATTATGGCATATTACCAAAGTGTCACCAATTGAGTGTCTACCGGCCTTAGCTTTTGTTGATAGGCAGATAAGCGTAATCATGATGGTGGCGATGGTGAATACGGCACAGACGGCATCGACTATTGGCAGGGAGCGATTTCCGAACGAGCATGCGAGAAAAGTTGCGAGACAAACACCATAAAGAATTAAGAGCAGTTGCCAGGGCTCAGCAGCCCATTCCGGAAGGTACAGGCTGATTGCCGCAGAGATCAGCGATGCAAATCCAAAATTGACAGAGAGTGTGATAGTCCAGTTGCCTATCAGCCACGTCCAACCAGTGAAAAATGCTACTATTACTCTTCTTTTTGGGTCAGTGAGCTGGAATGCCCAGAAATACGGACCTCCAGAGACTGCATACCGCGAAATCAGCTCGACAAGCGAAATAGCCACGCATTGTTGAGTAAAGAGCACGATGATCAATCCAAGGAACATGGGTAGTTGACCTACAGAATCATCCACGGTCAGTTCAACTACCATGACTTGTACAGTTACCATGACTTGGTATCTGCACAGCATACCTCCGCCATAAATAGCACTAATTAATGGTGAGCCGAATCCAAAAGGAATCTGATTGCCATATTAGTTAACAACCGAGCACTGCTTATGTTTCACGTAGGCGGAATTTACAGCGGATATTGCCAAGGATTGAAACAACAAGGTCCACAGAGATCGATTGCGGTGTAGCTCAGACATGTAGCCAGCCTCGAGCAGTGCCAGGTTGTTGATATGCAACGTGTCTCCAACATCTCCAACATGGTCGCCGTCACAAAGCTCTGTGGGAGGCTTCTCAATTGGTGCCTCCATCATGGACGTGTGTGTACTAAAAGCGGGAGAAGAATGTATTCTAGATGATGCATGCCTATCACTTATATCTTTCTAATGCTTCCATTTGAAGACGTGTTATCGCCAGAGCATCCATCTTCGCCCAATTTGTTATCATATCGAAGGCGAGATCTGCATCACATCTAGCTCCAGACTTAACCCCACGCAAAGCTCCATAGGTGAAGCACTCTTCTCTCCTGGGATCTAGACTTGTTAGAGCCCTCGAATGGGACATAGGGAACATCGAACATTACTGATTGGTCAAATCACAATGGGGATCTTTGATATGCGACAGAATTCTCTCCTTACTGCACGGCAGATCTAATATGGTACCGATAAGAGGATACTCTTATCGGCGAGAGATAACCCAAGCGCGTTTATCTCCCTAGCCTCCGGTCCGACCGGCGCTGACAGTCGCCATTGGCTACTTACGGGCACATACGTTCAACATACATTTCAAGTAGGTAATCCACCCGTGCTGTGGAAAGCTGCTTGTCTCCAACCCTTGATCAGTGACTTTAACTCCCAAGCAAACCACTAGTAGTATTAAGTTCTTGTTGATCTAGCTCCTTGAATGATCAAACTTCTATCAAACGCCTCACGACGACAGTTTTTATGTACCTGTCTTCCGCCATTTCTCTTGAGCTGGATTTCACAGATGACGCGTAGCATACCGTTCGTTGCAAAAGGGTCAAAATTCAAGGATATTACTATCGACAAACCTCAGAAGTGCAGGGGGGAGATCACGCCTCCGAAAATATGTAGTCATGCTGGTACGAAGACTAGCCTTTTACGTCCAAAAAGGTGGAGGTGGGCAAAAATGAAAATCGTAGCGTAAATTTAGCCTTCTAAAGATGATCCTATTAATCAAAATTGATGCTAACTACAACTAGACCGTCAATACTTTATGCACAAAATCCCCCCTTAGTATCAAAAGAGATCTCCATCCAGATATTCCCCGGGCTCCAGAAGCAAAGCTCGTGGATCTTTGAGGTCAACCCACCCGCCAAAGGGACTAGAAACAGTGTATCCAATCATCTTCTGCATTTCAACTGGGTATCTCTTCACACTCTCGAGCGAATTAGCGAGGTATTGGTTCTCTTCCTGTTTGTTGTGTCAGAGGTAGATAATCTTCTTGCGTGCGGAAGAAGGAGAAATACCTGTCTGAGAAAGCCTTTGGTCATAAAGCAGGAGAGGACAAGTCGCTCCTCGTCAGTGGTGGTGTTTGCACTGCCTCCGTGGAAACAACTGGCGAGCATGATGAAGCCATCACCGGGTTCGAGTTCGGCATAGTAGGTCAGATCTTCGTTTGGCGGGGTGGTCTTCGCCCACAGATGGCTTCGGGGGATAAATCTGGTAGCCCCATTGGCCTTGGTTGTCTTTTTACCTGCCACGAAAAACCCAATGTTGGTGTCACGGCCAATCGTGTAGTCTTCGTGCGAAGCAAGCTCGGCCAACTCGTTATGGAATATCATGTCGTCGCGGTGAAGTTCCTGGCGTCTTGCGCCGGGACCAATACTGAAGACAATAGTGTTATTCAGTTGTGGCTTCGAAACACTGGTTTCGAGCGTCTGGCCCAGCCAGCTTTCGTGAGTAGATGTCAAAAGGGTATCGCACACATCCCGGTACAGACGGTTTCCAGGGATTAGATCAGTGAAAATTTTAGACTTCTCGACCAAACCCATAACCCGCCGAGTCTCGGGAGGGAAAAAGTCACCTTTCCAAGGACAGTCCTTTTCGATCCAAGGTCGAATGTCGTTCTCAATGAGGGCTAATTGGTCGGTATTAAGAATTCCGCGTACTACACACCCTCCGTTTTTGATCAATGATGCGACAAGCTCAGGTGCGGTCACAGTACTGGCATCGAAGGCATCGATAACGGCAGCCTTAGAATCCTCAGCAAGGTGCTTTGGAAAGTCGCTGGTCGGCGCATCGGGGGCAGTCATAGGGGTTTGGGCTTGAGACATGAAGATTGTTCGCTTTGAGTAAAAAGACTTGAAACGAGAAAAAAAAATAAATACGGACAGAGAGAAATACAAGTGGGTGATGAAAGTAGCATGCGTGCCGCTAATAAATATAGGAGCAGGAAAGACAATCTTCTGGATACATCTTGTTTCGGAGAAAATGGAGCAGGCCCACTCCTAAGCGCATTTATCTGTCGAGGCAGCCTCTATCCGTCCATCAAAATAGAAGCCGCGGGGAAAATGATACCGAAATATGGTTCATGGTGACCGACCGAGCTGGCGCTGACTAACAATAAGTAGGATTCCCTAAAGTGGAAATCGAATCTGGTACTAATCTAACCAATAATTTCGCTGTTGGATTGGTCCTCCACTGCCTCCGATAAGCGCGCTTCCAGGTTTCTCAATGATACCGGCCACCCAATGAGACCCATCTGCCACCGCAAACTGCTTTGTGCGTCATTCTTGACCCTCCCCACCGCGATATCGGTCTCTCGATAAAATCCCTAATTTTGTGGTTTCATATCATCCTATTCCTAGAGATATGGCTGAAACGCAGAGACGGACTCGTGATGGTTGTATTGTCTGTCGGCGACGGCGAAAACGTTGCGATCTCCAAAAACCGACATGCGGAGGTTGCAAGCGAAATGTCTTGCTCTGTAGGTGGGCCTCGACAGCAAATCCGGACGATCAATCGCCAGTTGAGGCCGAAGCTCTGATCCCTACCCCCGGAATTTACGCCTTCAGGTGACTCGTATGGGTTTTGGCGTTGCTAGCCATGTTCTCAAGGCCCCAATCTCCTCTCTACTCTACGAACATTATTTGCATGAGACCGGGAATGCCATATCTGCTCGCCGAGGGCCACTCAACTCCTTCACTCGACTTCTCCCTCGCCTTGCTATGTGCTATCCGAACACGGTGTTACAGAGTCTCCTTGCTCTGAGTGGGGTACACTATGGCAGCCGTGTATCCAATGTTGAAGTCAATACTATGACGTTTACTCACCTAGGCGTTGCTCTACGATCATTAAAGCATAGCTTAACAGCTTTTGTTAGCACCCAGATCCATAGCGACAGCCTTCAACTGCTAGTCACTACGCTAATTCTATGCTTCCTCGAGGTAATATTACTCTTTTTCCTTCGCATACCGCTACTAACTCGTTTCTCAAAGACAATCAGGGCCGATGAAGATGGTAACTTTGTACATCATCTGAAAGCGGCAGATGTACTTTTCAATCGACTGAAAACTTCACGGGGGCAAATACCCGTCGACGAGGAAGTATTAGACTTTCTGACCGAATTCTATGCCTATATCAAGAGCATCTCGGTTTTAGCCGGACCATCCATCTCACATGCTTCATCCTCGAATTTTATTGAATCAGCAACCCCTCTGCTCGTTGGTCAACATAGCCCAGGAATTCTCGTCGGCTGCGCATACGAATTGTTTAATTTAGTTCCGCAAATTGAGGCCCTGTTAACCCGAAGGTGGAATTACCCAGAGACCACACCAAAACACGAATTAGATGCAGCATGGTGCCGATATTATACTATATTACACGCCCGTTTGTCTTCCTGGCAGCCTCCGGAATGCTCTTCGACAGAATTTGCTTTGGGTGGTTGCATGTACCAGCAAGCTCTACTCTGTCTTATCGAGAAAACATCACCATTCATCGCCGCCCAGCATCTTCAAACCGCGATTGCTTCTCGGGTGACTTATTTTCTGGAAATTTTAAGTTCGCTTCCTGTCGGAGCACCTGTTTCTTCGACTATCGTCTGGCCACTGGTATTTTTTGGCGTCTTGACAAACAACCAGACTCATCGCATCTTGGTCTACAACCGTCTCTCCCACATGCAGGACATGTTTGGATTCGGAAATATCCAGTCCTCCATGCATTTTTTGCGGTTATATTGGGATCAGCAAGGCGAAACTTCAGGCCTCCCAGATTGGCGAGTCAGTAAAGGGACTAACGACTTGAGTTCTATCATGAAACAAATGAACCTCAATATTTCATTTTTGTGAAATGTAAGTAGTATACTTAGACCTTCTTCTCACCGCTCACGCACTAATATATAAAGGACCAACGAAAACACTGAATTGGAGGGTTTGGCAGGTACTTTCTCTAATGGAACTGAAAGGACGGCGTTTCTTAAATTCCATCCCGTATTTATTCCTCCTACTTTAAAGTTCAAATAAAGACACTTGGTAGGTATCAGAACATATTTTTTGCTAAAACTCTCTTAAGAGGGATTATAGGCTGTCATGACGATTGGAAGTAATTACCCTTATACATTCATTACTTTCGAATTATATGGTTTATGTCTGTTTTTAAACATCGATGTCACTTTGATTAAAACAGAATAGGAAGATTGGGAAATAGTGTCTAGGAACTTCAAGCGAGGAATGAAAATGGAGCGTGTGAAGTATAAAACATAGTATACAACCGATCTTCTGCTGTTTTCGAACTTCAAAATACATGGTAAACTTTATTTTTACATGCCATGGTCCAGCAACCAATCCCTTAGATCACCGTCTTCTCCACTCCGGGCGTCAACCAGCACGCCTGATACCCTTAATAGAATTCCCTATACCCTCTATACCTAGCTATATACCTACTTAGTATTATTTATTTATAGTCGTTTAGTTAAAGGCTTTAATCTAACGTAGTTTAATAGTATAGTTAGGTTCTATAAGTTTTTAATATATAACCCTATATCCGTAGTTATATAATATACTACATTCTTTGACAAAAACACCAGGAGGGTATCCATTCAAGTTACTTAGTAATATTTATACACCCTATTAAACGCATAGTAAACCTATGTTCACGGTAAAGTGTAAACTGTAGCCGAGGCAAATCATACCAGGATCCCCTACTCAACCTCTTCCATAGGATTGGCAAGGTGTCCAGTGCGAACGATATAATCCTCCTCATCCTCATCGTCCACTTGACCGTTGGCCATTTCTTCATCATCACCCTCCAGGGAGGCATCGGAATCACCACCAACATGCGAGCCCTTGCCCTTCTTGCCAGCAACAGCCTTGCCTTTGCCTTTGCTGCTCGTGGTTGATTGACCACTGGCACTGCGTACAATACCACCAGGCCACTGCTTCAAGCCCTTAATGCGGCCATGCAGACTGCCGACCAAGGAGCCATCTCCATTGCTCGTGGGAGTTCCCACGGGTGACGGCGACGCTGCGTCCAGATTGAACGCTTCCATGGCTTCAGCAATCGTCTGCGAGCCACCGTTTCCACTCTCCTGCTTCTTATCGACAGATTCGAACGTTTGGCGGATCCGTTCGAAATGCTCCAATTCCTTGGCACTGCGAGAAGTTAGTCTCATTCATTATTCAAACCTCTCTTTTCGCACTGAGTGGTTCATTAACACATACCTGACACTAGGGACGAGTTCTCCTTGTGCGGAGAGGAAGTCTTCCTCCGTCACCGTCACCGAAACGTCCTCGGGGGTTGCCAGATGATCGAAGAAGTAAGCCGTGGTCACCGGACCTCCAGGCAGCTGTTTGATCTTCTCGTCGACAGCTGTAGATTTCCGTGTAATTGCCTTCAGCATGGCATCGGAGCAAAGGGCGTACAAATCAGCACCGGTGTATGTCAAAGGAAGTTTATCTGCCACACGGTCAAGCGAGACATCGGGGTGAAGAGCGAATTTCCTCGTAAGTGCCTCCAGAATAGTTGCCTGCTTCCTGTGCGTATCTGACACACCCAGGTAGAGCATCTTGTCGAAACGACCAGGACGCAGCAGTGCCGAATCCAACAAATCCGGACGATTGGTTGCGCCAATGACGAAAACGCCTCCGCTGTTCTCCTCTCCGCCGTTCATACCATCCAGCTCGGCCAGCAGTTGACTGACGATACGATCCATAACACCACCGCTGTCTCCCTGGTTACCACGTTTGGGTGCCACGGAATCCAACTCATCGAAGAATACAACGCACGGCCGGGCATCCCGAGCGCGCTGGAAGACTCTGCGCACGTTCGCTTCGGATTCACCAATATACATGTTGAGCAATTCGGGACCCTTGACGGAGAAGAAGTTGAGAGAGAACTCGGTAGCGATGGCTTTGGCAAGTAGCGTCTTGCCGGTTCCGGGTGGACCATAGAACAGAATACCGCTACGCTTCTTCATGCCCTTGGCAAACAGCTCCGGACGTTCAAGAGGCAGTTGGATCGTCTCAATCAGAGCGTCCTTGACGTTAGTCAAACCACCAACATCATTCCAGCCAACATTGGGGATCTTGGGTGCACCAATCGAGTCGGCGAAGTTCTTGCGGGCGGCCTCGACAGCGAAATCAAAGTCGGCTTTGGTAACTCCACGAGCGCCATCTCCACCGGCAATCAGAACATCCCTCACGCAGACTTCAGAACCGGAAAGCTGCTTGCTGGCAGTCTCTGCCAGTTTCTCGAGGCGGGCAGTTCTGGCACCAGCAGCGCGTTCCACCACGTCGACCAGATCTCCCGCGACTAAAGCGGCAGTCTTGAGCGCCACGGTTCCGAGTTCCACATCGGCCGACAGCTTGATGCCACGCTCCGCAACCACATTACGCAAGATACCCTCACGTTCCTTCTCCTCGGGGGCTCCCATCTCGAACTCGTGGGTGAAAAGGCTGCGAATTCCCTCGGGAATCTGTTCAACATCGGTAGTCGTCGCAATCACGACCCGGGCCTCACCAAGAATATCGTTCATGGCAGTCACAATACGGTCGGCTGTCAATACTTCAATGTGCTTGATAAGCAGGGCAGTGCAGTTCGCACCACAATGGAATGCCCGCTCAGCACGCGCTTTGAGATAAGCCTCAGTCTTGACATCACCGCCGTTTGCGCCGCCCTCTGTGAGGATATCATAGGCGTCAATGGGGAAGGTGTGGAGACCGATATCTGCACAGGCACGCGTCGCAACGGTTGCCTTGCCGATGTGTCGCTGTTGAGACTTCAGAAGGATAACGACGGGCTTCATGCCCAGCTGGATAGCCCTTGGACTCGTTGCTGCCGCCATCAAGTCGCGGATGCGCAGCTGCAAGGGGGCAATAAACGACTGTGGAGGTTCTGTGGCGATACCATGAGGTGCTGAAGCGTCACCAACGGTCTTGGGGATGGACTTGACGCCGAGCCAGTACTCCCAGCCGTTACCCAGAATACCGGGCACTCGGCTGACATCGCTACCGGCCTGGACCATGCGAGTGCTGCTGGGGTCAATGACCGCAACACCACCCCATTGATCCTCGCCCGTCTCCTCCATTTCCTCAATGCTAGTAGGAGCCACTTGCCCGACACGGAACCAGGCGACGCCGACCTTGCGAGCTTCCGAGCTCTCCGGCTTAGAACCCTGGCCTAACCGAGCGGTTATATCATCATCTTGGTTCGCGCCGTCACCTCCAGCTGTGCCAGAAAAGACCGCTCGGCCCAATCCCTCGTCGACACTGATACCAACAAGATCACCACTCTTCAGTATTCTCCGGCGAGACTCAAAGTACTGCTTGAGCCCGGCAAAGAGAGCTGGCTGGAGGACTCGGTCCATCGACAAAGGCGTGGAGACCTTGAGCAGTGTGACTTCCTTCGCCAAGGGAGGGTTCTTCACAGCGCTGTTCTTCATGTGATGCAAGAGGCCAGGCTTCGACACGCCGTTGGCAGCTGCAAAGGTCATCGGCGAGATACGGAGGTACTTAGGGTTCTCAATGTTGCTCAAGAGCAATGGAGGCACGAAAACGGAAGGGGTCAATCGCGTCGGAGCCAGCTGCGAGAAGCTCGACCGGCGAGCACCGGAGTGGTTGATTGCATACCGGGGCTTAGCAGATGGAAGCCCTGGCAGTCCGAAGACCTTGACAGGGCGCCAATCTCCAGCATCTTCGGTGGCATCGTTATTGAAGCTACCAAACTTCAGCGATGCGAACATGCCGAGTTGGGGCTCTTCGGTCGCTTCGATTCGCACCCAGTCGCCCGAGAAGCAACCAATCTTGGCAAGTGTGCTGATATCGACAAAAATGAACGAGTCCACGTCTTCGTCATCGCGTGGACGGGGATGAAGAACCTCATTAGGCACCTGTTGCAAGAGTCCTTCGACCTTGAAAACCTTCCCACCGCCGCGGCCAGGCCGCATAGTTGCCGATGTGAAGTTTGACGCAACTGAGCCCGGGGTATGGATGCCATCCATTCGTCGACCGCCTGCCCTGGGTGTGGCGGAGGTGATAGAAGACATAACGCCGGATGGAGGTTGAGGAAGCTCGGGCGCGGAAAGCGAAATCATGTCTTCGAGAGAATCGTCAGAGTCATCGCTCATAGATCCAGCTGATCCTTCGGTCTCGGATTCTTCGGCGGCAGACGTTGTTTCCACCTCAGTGCCACTCTCTCCAGCCTTATCCTCGGCCGCAGAGTAGAACTGTTCATTGGAGGTATCGTCGGCTTCATCTTCGGCCACTTGTTTCAGGAGCGCGGATCGCGGTGGCAGTGTTTGTGGTACCCGGTTACCCTGCTGCGAACGAGCTTGAACAAGAACCACCTTTGTCGTCGGGCCCAGGAGACCCTGTGAAACTGGCTCGCAGAAAGAAATGCGAGCGGGTGGCGCGGGCGCATATGTAATAGGATGTGGAGGAAGAGGGAGTGGAAGAACGTCACCCATATGCACGAGTCGTTGTGCAGTCAATGCCTCGCGCACGGCTGCAGTCAGTCGTTGCTCGGCGTCGGCCGCTGCCTTCTTCGAAGGCCGTCGTGCGTCGGCAATCTTACCGTTCTTGGACCACACTCCATTCGGCCCATGAACGTTAGATGAGAAGCCACCGCCAAACTTGTTCTGTACATCGTCGTGATTGCGGAGTAAATGGCGCTCAACGGTCACAAAGACGGTATCAAGATGCAACGGGGCGACATCGAGGAGCCGGATCTCCACGGCCCGGTGAGTCTGTAGCGAATTCCGGGATGGGTCGAGCTTCCCGAGGGCCTGAAGGAACGGTTGCAGGGTATCGGCGGAATCGGGAAAGAGGACGGTAGAATGTGAGATTGGCGTTTGCGAGCGCTCCGAGCTGTGAATTCGCACAGGTAGAATCGTCCATGCCTGGTCCTCCACCGAGGAAAAGGTCGGGGAATGCGGGGAAACGGCTACATAGTGAACACCGTCATGCGTCGCAACGTCTGATCGAATACAGCATTCCAGTTAGCGAGACATCCTTTTGCCAATTTCAATTGTAATCATTCGACAATAATCGTCTTTGCTCTCGACTCACCCTGAAGCGACTGCTGCGGAAAGAGGTCCTTCGCCAAGTCCTCCGATAAGAGGCCGACATTGCCACGGAGCTGAGCATCCAGCGCCAGACGAGCAGCGACCGGAGGCTTATTACGAAGTCGCCTTTTAGCGACACGTTTCCGCCGCTGCCGAGGCTGCTGGGAGCTCTGTCCGTAATGATCAAAGTCCATTGGCGCGGTGACTCCAATTGCCGTCGGGAAAGAGCGCGGGGAAGGATTGGAATAGGAGGGTCTCGCGAGAAGAGACGACGACAGAAGATATCCAAGCCTAAGCAGGCCACCGGCTCACCATTCGATCAGGCCAGGAATGTGCAACTGCAATGTGGAAGCGCGGGGGAGAAGGACGAAATGCGCCGGATCCAGAATCCGGGGGAAGTCAACACGCGGGCAACTCGGCACCGCCCGCATTCTGCCAGTCGCCTGTTCCGAAGCCGAGGTTCATGATGCTCTGGTTGGGCCAAGGGGCGTTCGGCGCTCGGCTTTCTGTCGGGGTCAGTCACATTCTATGTGATCAGTCTGGTGGTTGCTCATCTCTTTAGATCTCATTTTGCTAGGTAGTGGTGAGCTCCGCAGCTATTGTATCCTATGCTCACTCGTCACCCCCGGACACCATCCATTATGTGGCAGCCCTCGGCTTGTGATACCAGAAGGAGCAGTGCACTGCAGCATCCGGTGGAAGGCCGATATAGTTTACATTTTAAAGTTATACATCATTCGGGAGGACAATCTTAATTTGTCGTGTATTTGGACGCTATAGAACTTCGATTTTGTAAATGTGGCTACTAACGAAACTCGACGCTAGGCATATAATGAAGGTGTGTGGCGAAGATTGACTCCAGCGTGATATATATTCCTTGCACATGATAGTGCTGACGGTAGTACATCTCTGGCAGCAAGAACATGGGGAAGTCAGTCCGGTCGAACACTAGTACAGATTCGTTTAAATTCCTACTGGTCAAAAAATCTAAGCACTTTGATGGAACATGCTGATATTACCAGCGCGTGGTTCGAAGAACCTTATCGGAGTCCACTTGGAAGTCATCCTGGGTCAAGGTCCCAGTCAAGCACATCTCTGCCAACGCTTATCCACAGCCCCTATAGTGGAGGTGGATAGCCCTTGTTTCAGATCATTTGATCTGGGATACAACCTCTCATGTCAAGATATTCTGGGATTACCAGACGAGGCAACTTGTGGGGGCTATGCCTATGCTCGACGACTTGGAGCAGACCAACACCGTGGATCTCCGTTTGTCCAGGGTCTTTCCCTAGAGCGCGCCTAAGACCTGCCATGTGGCATCTGATTTACACTCAGGGACTGTTTACATCCAAGTCCATATAGAATTGATCATATGATTTGATTAACCAGGAGCTACTACGATATATGGGAGCTGTAGTGTTACAGATTCGTCCGAGCCAACCAGATCAAAGCTGGCCACTCAAGTCAGCTGACTCAGAACCTGGATGCAGATACTCAGGTCTAGAATTCGCGAAATACTGGTTACAGGTTGAGTAGGAATTAGGTAGTTCTTTATACAAATCGCTCAGAATATTCTTGTGAGTACAGTATGGAGCCAATATTCCAAAGTGGACGCTGGCGCCTACAACCCTCACTGCCGCCTTGAGGATGCCTAGCGCAAGACCCGCTACAGCCTAGATGACAACCCTCCCCAAGGCGCCCGTGAAGTTAGGCATGGGGCTTCTTGGGAATATATAATGGCGAGGTGAGTCCACATTCTCCATTTACACCTTGACCTCTACTCGACTGTCCATAACGACCGAGACGGAAGACACAACAAAGTTCGCAGATACTCTTCACCGCCACATTTCATGACTTACACTCAATACGACCCTATCAACGGGCCAGATTGGGGGTTGAAGTGGCGGAGCTGCCGCTTGGCACGCAGGGAAACGCGCCCAGGCCGGACGATCTGAAAAAATAACCCATGTCAGTTTCAAAATGCCAGGCAGACAAGAAACACGAAAGACACGGCAAAAGAAAAATGGTAAAGTGCCAGTCGATACGAGCCTACGAGAATACGAGGAAGAGGGGCCAGCGTAAACGGCCGAGCCATCCGCGAGGCTCTAATTCACGTGTGGCGGGTCAACCCAAAGAAGAAGGCCGACTTTCCGACGGCGATTTCCGGTTGGGTTTGGGTCGTCAGGGTCGTGAGGGTCTTTGTGATTGAACAATTGCATGATTCCCGGTCCATCATTCGTCCGTGTGGAATTGTGGATGTGGAGATCAGCGGATCGGATGTGTTCTTCCCCCGGACGACTGGCCTGGCAGGGCTAACTTGCTAAGCATGTTCTGCTCGGATGAAAAGAAATGCTTGTGGCCTGTGAACTAAAAAGACCAACACTGGGGTTTCGTCCATTATTTCTGTTTTAAATGTGCCGTCTTGCGAAATGGCGAGAGAGAGAGGGAGATATTTTCCGCTTTTCTCTAGGCGGCCAAATATCTGACGTCGCCCTGCAGAAAGACCGGTCTGGCGAGAAGCTGACGATGCAGGCAGTGATTTTTCTGGCCTTTCGAATGGAAGCAGAAATGCACATCCCTGGTCGCAGGGAAACCTTGTTCGAAGGGGGGATTTGAGGCTCTGGCTTTGGGCCAGCAAAAAGAACCAAAAGGACCGGAGCAATTCTTGCTCCGCGGATCCCGTCGTGTTCCATTTTAGGAGTCCGTGGTGGAGACTTGTATTTTACAGTTCATGACGGGATGGGGCCATGTGTTCGACAAGGCGAAAGGGTTTCCCATAGTTTTTGGCCTATCCGTAACCCGTTGGCCACGCTCTTTGGCCGCCCCGACGGGCTGAGGGTGACAATACCGTACCATTGGCAAAACCAATCAACGGCATTTGAATCTGCTCAGCCATCGCGCACGATACCCCTTCGGGGCTAGCGTCTTGGTCCCATCAGGCAGACATCTAACGCGCAAGTCCATCTGCTCAGTCTGCTCCGTCATCTTTCCTCCTGCTCCACGATTCCTTTTTCTCTCCTCGTATCTGCTTCTTGCAATAAGCATCTCGTTCGCCATCGTCTGCGCCGTGTAGAGTCCTCGTCGTCGCCAGTATTCGTTCGATTTAGGTGGCCGAACTGCCCCTCTTCGCCCTGAAACTCCCTGGTCGATAAGGGTCTATCGTCGACCGTTGCGATCGTCGATCCCCTTGGCCTCGCTGGCATCGATATCTCTGTGATAGATTGTGTCCTCGATTCGTGTAGGCTTCTCAAGGCCCCTTGGAGTGCGCTAGATCGGTTGATCCGTTAGCCTGCCTAGCGACGAGTGCCTCAAAAGCCCACCTCGTCCTTTAGTCGCCTTCCGTGGTCTCCTGTTCCTGGATCCGTATTCCAGGGCTTGATTCCATCGTCACAATTCTCCAACGTTTGTTATCTCGTCAACACAAGAGGGCACAGGTGCCCTCTAAATATAAAGTCCCGGTTCGAAATCTCTAGTTGGACCAAATCTGGAGTCCGGACTTAGTCTCTGACTCGACCGTACGTCACATCGCGCATCAGCCGGACCATCTATCTGGTGAGTCACTGGGGATTAGCCAATCATTCGGAAGGAACTGTCCTTTTGGGGCATTGAATACGGTCGTACTAACGCTGGCATCGATGCAGAACCAATCCATCATGGTGTCTGGTCAATTCGAGTCCGCTCGGGTGCATCCGCGCCGGCGGCCCGTCATAAACACCTCGCTGGCCCCCGAGGGGGAGTCCAGTTCTTCTAAAATGCAACTGAAGAAGGGCGAGACGTTCAATACCCCGACCAGTCCGCCGTCGAGTGATCGTGATCCAGTGCTGAACATTCGATCTCTTCCTCGTCGCTCGCCAACTTCTCTTGACGCGATTGCCGCTAGTGAGCAGCGTATGGCGTCTATTCTTGAGCGCTTGACCCTTGATGATCAGCCCGAGGACAAGTCGTCCTCCGTTGATGCGCTCGAAGGTCTTCGTAGTGTGGACGAGGTCAATGCCGAGTCCAAGTCTGCCGTATCAACTCCCTCGATGCCGTCGAGCGAGGATGGATATGACCTGTTCCCTTTGGATAAGAAGGAGCAACCGCATCAACAACAACAACGCGACCAAGACCACGGCCACGAGTCCGATAGTGGCCTTGGGTCCTCAGTCAGCAGCCGGGACTCGCTGGCTGACCCAACTGAGAAAGGTGAGTGTAAGCATGTGATGATTATCAAAATCCCCATAGCAAACAAATCTTGCTTCCCTTTTGGGCCAAAGGCTAACCTCATTTTTTCCCTTTTGGGTAGTGAATCATGATCTTCACATGAAGCAATCCCCATCTTCCATCAATTTCCTCCAAGGCACCAGCGCTCGCCGGCAATTGTCGTATGCTGCTTGCAAAAAGATCGAGCGCTTTATTCTCGTCCCCATTCTCAAGGAACCGAAGCTTAAGCCGTTCCACCCTCTCGTCAGGAGTATTCCGACTCGCATCGTTAACAAGCAAATTGTCTGCCTCCGAGATCTCGAAAAAATCCTCTTGTGGCTGGCTCCTGTAAGTCCAAATCTTCCCATTGTTTGTCTTCTCAATCTTCCCATCTTCTTCTTCCATCTGCTTTGCCTATTGCTGCCTTGGGTCTCCCACCTCTGCCTTTTTCTATCCGTCATCCTTTTCCAATTCTTGTCCTTTACCAATCCTCCTCCTCTCCCAACCCTTCTCCCTCTCCAACTCTCCTCCCCTCTCCAACTTTTTTCTTCTCTCCCCAACTCTCTACCACTCTCTACCACTCTCTACCACTCTCTACCACTCTCTACCACTCTCCACCTCTCCCAATTCCCAGACTTCCTCTCCCACCTTACTTTCTCTCCTCCTCCTTTCCTTCTGGCGTTCTGGTTGAAGCTCATCAAGTCTCCTGCTTCAGAATTTCTCGGCGTCTCGGTCTTCATATCTCGGCTTCAGCGAGTTTACCATCCAGTGTCTTCACACTTCGGCTTCTCATCTCAACGCCCGGGATCAACGCCTTCCCGCTGATCGCCCTTACACTAACGGTTACTTCCTCGACCTCGTCACCCAGGTTCGACGCTACGCCGCCATGATTCAGGCTAATCGCCAGCGGGTCCAAGCGACCCAGGACGCTCAGGCTCAGTCCACCGACAAGGACGAGCAGTCCTCCCTGTAAGTTGACCTGACCCGCATTTGCTCCCAATTCTCACCATGCTGACGGTCTCACAGTATCTCTTCCGCCTCCCTCGAGGGTGGTCTCTCCAAGAATGGCCGCTCTGTTGAGCTGGTTTTCGTACAAGATGGTCAGCTCATTTCCGCGGCCACCGGCCTGCCTTACAAGGGAGATATCCCTACTTCCATCAAGCGCACCATCGATCTCAGTGATGAGCAGCAGCCCGACGAAGGTGTTCAGCGTTCCATGGCTCGCCGCAAGAAGAATGCACCTCCCATGGACATCAACCAGAAGTGTGCCCACTGCGACAAGGTCTTCAAGCGTCCCTGCGACCTGACCAAGCATGAGAAGACTCACTCGCGCCCCTGGAAGTGCACCGAAACCGACTGCAAGTACCACCAAATTGGATGGCCAACTGAGAAAGAGCGTGATCGCCACATGAACGACAAGCACTCCGACACTCCCACCATCTTCAGCTGCACTTTCGAGCCCTGCACTTACAACTCCAAGCGTGAAAGCAACTGCAAACAGCACATGGAGAAAGCTCATGGCTGGATTTACGTTCGCTCCAAGCACAGCTCTCGTGCAATGGGTGCCAGAAGCAACCGTGGCACGTCCATGCGGGCCAGCCCCGCCCAGGCCAGCTCTGCTCAGGCTACCCCTGCCGTTCCTGCCACTCCAAGTGTGTCTACTCCTGCTTCCGGCCCAACCGACTTCAGCACCCCCAGTGTGGGCCCGACTCCCTCTCCTTATGAGGCTGCCATTGAGTTCCCCGAGAACATGGACTTCAACTTCTCTGACCCTCCCGTGCCCCTGGGCAATGGTTTCCCAACCTTCATCGAGACCTTCAATACCGTCGGGGCCGCTGATGCCGTCGAGACTGTCGAGACCGGTGTGGAGAACTACATCGGCTACAATAACTCGCCATACCATACCTCCTCGTCCGGAAGTGTCGCAAACGACGGTAGTTTCGAGAACTACGGGTTCAACCCCTCTCCCCAGCCCGTCACCTATCCGGCTGGTATGAGCAATGACCAGGTCCTGAGCAATGACCCGGTCTTCACCACCATTGACTTCGACGGACTCGCAGGTCTCCAGGCTCAATTTGCGGCCGCCGATCCCGAGGGCCTCATCCCTCACCTGGACGGCTTCAATCCGTACCAGGTGCAGCAGCCCACTGACTCCAACATGGAGGGGTTGCCGCTGGGTATGAAGGAACTCACCGAGGAGGAGTTCATGATGGGCGTTCAGAACGTCGAGAACCAGTACGTTGGGGCTCCTGCCCACTTGTCCGGTCTGTCCCCCGGTGCACAGGGGAACATCATGTTGTTCTCCCCAGAACTCGGTATGTCGGGAGGCAACATCTCCCAGGACTTCCCTTTCGGCGTCGCCATGGCGCAGCAACATGGCACCGACTTCACCCTGTTCGGTGAACCCGTTCCCGCCCCCGGCCCTCAGCTGCAGGGCACTCAGCAGCCCTACGGCCAGGGCCAGTATCTGCCCACGAACTAGGCGTCCGTGGACGATACAATTGCGGAGATGATGGCCGAAATTGACATGGCCATTCTGTCGGAGCAGCTGGGCATGGAATGCTCACCTGACTCGGCGCTTGGCCTGTCAATGCTGTAAATGGCGTACCTGGCGCTGGTCTGGTCTGGTCTGTTTCTTTTTTTGTTTTTACATGCAATCTCGCATGTAATCTAATGACGGAACGTTTCTTTTCTTTTTTTCTTAGTTGATCTACTAAGATTTAATCTCTCAAATCTGATCTCTGATCTTTGTTTCAATCTGATTTCATTTCATAGCTGAGGAACTCTGATCTTCCTCCTTGATAGATATCACTGTAACGATTCGATCGAAATAGACGGTAGATGTAGCAATCCTTGATTAGTCCCCTGCGACGGTAGTGTTATGAGGTTGTTAGTCCTGTTTCCTCTGGGTACTCGCCGGAAATCTTGTCTTGCCGCTACGACAAGCACACTTCGCCCGTCGTCCTTGTCTAATTCTCGTCCTTTTCCAAATCTCTCCAACTCTCGACCCTCTCCCACTCTCCACGGCACAATGGGGCACACAGAGTCTACATGCAGCGGAGTATCGAAGCTTCTTGTTGATGACACCCCCGCCGACCCTTGACCTCAAATATGCATGAATATAGCCATATGCGTTTCTTAGAGAATCATTCCTGGAATAGCGAAGAAGATGATCATAAAGACCTTTGAAAGATTTGTCGAAAGACAAAAGCTTGAAGAGTATCTAGTTCAAGTAGAAACTGATCTGCTTATCACTAGCTGGGGTAATCATAAATGCAGAACCTAAGAGAATAAGTAGCAATACAAGGTACGATACTCCGTACATACTCCCAGATTTGCCTCCCTGACGCGGCCAGCTCCACCCGGACCCAGCATTGGCATTCATTGGCACTGCAGGAAATTGACGCCCATAGGGCTGAATATCATGCTGCCTAGCATGTCTGCAGGGCTGAACGTTGGCAACAAAGTCAGGCCGCCCGTGCGGACTTGGGAGAGTTGCATCGAGGGAAGATGCTTCGAAATGCCCAGTTATGATAATTGACCCCCTATTATTATCGCTGCCCAGTCCCTTGGCCGTGTGTCCCCATAATACTAGCTTTAACCATGCGTGGTCTGCCAAGTTCGGGAGAAATCGTGATCGTCGTTAGGGAGAATGGGTTTCAAGATGGTTGCACGGAGTAGCAATAGTATGATTCCAGATACAACAGAGGAATAGCTAGAGAGAAGGGATCTTGTGGATCTATCATGTATGTAAAATCTAAATTTAAATTAAACCTATGGGCTAGCCAGATGATCGAAATGCCATGTCATTCCTGATCAAACACGGTGGCTGTTCATCGACCGACGATCATCCAGTCGGTCGGGAGTTAAAGGCAGCCCGTGAACGAATCTCCAGTGGATGAAAAGAGGACGCGGCACAGGCCAGTGGCCCAGTGACGACATCGGCTCCTCCACCCACTTTCTTTCGACCACAACATCTTCTGGTTTTTCTCATCTCTACTAGCAATTGCTCTCTATAACAGAAAAGACTCCCAGATTGCAGTCGCACATAATTTCTAATTCTTCCCCTCAAAAGACCTCTATCCCTCCACAAGCCTCGTTAGGGAAACGCTCACGGGGGCTGTGTGGGTGGTGCCCGGCGACTATTGAATCTCGGCGACAAGCCGCAGCCCAGACCTGACCTGTCCAGACCAGGCAGACGAATTCTCCTTTCTCCCATCTCACCACAACCACTTTCTCTTTAAGCAGACTCAGTGTCCGATCAAGACCAGGACTCTGCAACCTTTCCGACCGCAGACTCGCGCCTAGCATGTCGGCGCTCGATGAGAAGATTGTCGCCAACGGCGGTCAGACCGGAGCTGGTCAATCAGCAACCCCGCCGGACGGACAGATCCTGACGGGCAAGCAGGAGCACTGTAAGTGGACGAATGATACACGCTGGGATAGAGGTATTGTCGCCCGCAAATCAACGATCACTAACGTCTTCTGTGAAATTGTTCTGTAGATCTCAAGCGCGAGCTCATCTCTCGACAAGTCCGCGGCGAAATCTCCGAGCTTAACTCCCCAACTGCCTTGCAACGCTTTGGCGCACCCTTTCGATCAGATTTCGGCGAAGTCGCCCCGGTCGACTCGGAACTGCCAATTTTACGATACATCTTCGTGCATCATGTCCGGAATTTCCCATTCCTCGACCAGGCGCAGGAGAAGCAGTTTTGGCAGGATAAGCTACAAGTGGTACGTGTGACCGTTTCCTAGGGATGGGTGGGAAGAGGTCTTGCAGGCGGGTGACATACGGTTCTAACACGCTCTCTCGATTCTAGTTCCTCGAATCCTTTGCCAATAAACATGTCTCGTCATCGGAAGATCGTCTAGAGGAGACCAAGCGCCGGAAACTGGCGCGTAAGAGCGAGAAGCTCGTGGAGCTTATGATGGTTTCCGGCGTGCCGACCGCGTCGGGCTATGAGGAGCGTATTCAGTTCTCAGAGATGGAGATTGTTGAGCGCGGTGCGAACGAAAAGGGTCTTCTGGTCAACATGCCCGAAGGTCATGCCATCAATGGCTGGGACGTTAATGTGGCGGCGGTGCGAGTGACTTCGGTGAAGCGGACGGTTCGGTATCACCCTCACGCGGTGAGTATACGCCTCGAGACATTCACGTTGGAATGAATATTGTTCTAATGGTATAAATCTACAGGAATTCATAATCCGTGTGCGCAGAGAAGGCAAAGAAGAGATCCACATTGGCCGGAGATATGGCGAATTCGTCAAGCTTCATCGCAGACTACGAACCGAATTCCCCGGAAAGCACTTGCCACCCCTCCCCCGCAAGAACAAGTCCTCAACGACCTCCAGCTGGTTCGGCTCCACTGACGACGACAACGAATCGATTTCCTCCGTCTCTACTCAAGATGCTAGCGCATCAGACGAGGCAACCCCAAGCACGGGCCGAACACTGGCCCCCCCGTCCGAAAGTATCGTCCGCCGATCATTATCAAAGAGTTCTTTGCGGTCTTCAAAGTCGCCCCGTGCATCAACGGAAGTTGTGTCGCGGCAGACGGTTCTGTACCGCGAGGAACAGCGTGTTTCTCTTCGTGCGTTCCTGCGCACCATATTGCAGAACAAACGGATCGCCGAATCCAAGTCTATGGAGGAGTTCTTGACTTCCAAGCCTATCTCATTAAACGAGGAGGAATTGATTGACGTGAAACGGCGTAAGGAGATGGATGCAGTGAGAATTGAGGAGCAGAAACGCTTCTACGAAATCGCCCGGCAACGTGCTGCCGAGTTGGATGTCTACATGGAGCAGTTCCGAAGGGACATTGTGGAGAGCAGTATGTTCACATTCCCATCATCGATGCATCGAGGGCCACGCTAACATTTTCTTGCTAGATGGACTAACGAAGCTTTTCGCCGAGATCCGGGAGAAACCCTCCATTGCAGAACTCAGCCCGCAATACCAGAAATTTGCCGAGTGGCTGCGCATCGAGTGAGTTGCGATTTACATTTCTAGGATTTTTCCTTTGACTGACTTAACTAGGGTTGCTGCAACCGTATACCACCTGTTCCTTGCCGAAGATAATTCCCCCGAGATGTTCGCACAGGCCAAGCGGATCCACGGCCTTGTCCCTTACACCTTGATGAAGAATGTGATCCGTATCGCTAACCCAGCGGCGGTCATGTCTAGCGTTTTGGACCTATTCCTAGCTCAGCCTTTCGGCTCACGCTCTCTCTTGCAGCGCATCTTCTCCATGACGCTGAACGAGGGTATCAAGGATTTCCAGAAGCACATTAATTCTCTGGTTGCCAAGGTTGAAGACACGGTGTTGACCCAGAAGCTGAAGAGTTTCGTCGATGCCGAAGAGGCTATCAAGGATATCATCCGAGAGGAGGCGGAGGCCGAAGACGTCGACATCATCGTCGCCATTCTTCGCTCCGAGCTTATCCAGCCCGAGCTGACCCCTGAGCAAATTGGCAAGGTGTTTAACAGCTGGGTGGCATGGAACCATGCGGTCGACAATGTCGACATAGAGATGCAGCAGGGTGCTCAGTGGTTCGCCAACATGAAGCAGCTCCTGAAGCTATACACCCGCCAACGCGACAAGGCCATGATGCTCAGCATTGTCGAGGAGCCCGTCACCCTCCAGCTCTTCCGGGATCTGTTTACCATTTTCTATGAGCCTCTCGTTCGGGTGTACAAGTCTGCGAATGTGTATAGCAGTATTACCGACTTCGCCTTGTTCGCCGACGACGCGATAGCGGTGATTGAAAGCGCCCAGCGTCAAGATGCATCGGCTGATCCCAACCAGACCGTGCAGGCCTTTATTGACCTGTGCGCGCGTCATGAAGACAGCTTCTACAAGTTTATCCACGAAGTGCACTTGCACGACAACGGGCTCTTCCAGTCATTGATGTCCTGGATTGAGGAAATCCTTGAGTTCCTCCGCAAGGGTCCACAGGGCGGTAAGATGGATATGAACGCGTTGTTCCAGGGTGCCGTGGGTGTTGGCCAGATTGACAAGGAGGTTGCCCTGGAAGAGATCAACGCCTTGATCAAGTGGCAGGAGGACCGCAAGAGATGGCACTTGAACAAGACGCGGCAGAAGATGGCCGCTGAAGGCGCCGGAGAAACAATCCCGGGTACAAGCACCTTCAACAGCAGCGACTTTGGTCTTGATGAGGTATGTTGCATCCACTTTCCCTACCTTCCCCCGACACAATCCTAACTATTTACTTCCAGGCCGACCTCGAAGACCTTGCTATCTCTGACGAGGCTTCCGACTCCGAAGACGAAGACGAGGAGGATGACGAGGACGACCCGATCGCAGTCGAGCGCCGTCGCCGCATCAAGAAACAAGATCAACTCCGCCGCACAGCCGGCGAACCCGTCAAGCCCGAAGTGACCGAGGTCTTGAAACTAATGGATCCATTCGTGGTGATGCTACGACACGTCCTGGCTGATTAGACTCGCTCTATCTACTTCCTTTTTTATTCTGCAACCCGATACCACGAATACTTTGCATGTGTTTTTGCTTCGTGATGACTCCGGCCTAAGGAAGGGCTTTTGCATTGTTAGATTTTGATTGGTTGATTGCATTTTATGAAGACTTTGGTTTGCATTACATCTCTGGCACTATGTGGTTTTAGTGACAGTGCCAGTGCACAGGTAATACGGGTAGACATGCTTATATCCTGGCGAAGCTGGGTAATTCACAGAGTGGAGAGGATGGCTTGCATGTTAAATAGAGGGGGTGAATTACATGAATACATTCTAATTACATTGCTGCGACGCTTTTCTGTCTTGATAGTATACTTCCAGGTCATCTTTTATCAGTCCGATGCTTTGTTTCTCGGTATGTGAAGGAGTTGAATTACCGGCATACGGTCAGGATGACACCCTTTCATGTCGGATTTGTGGTCTCTTTGCCAGTGCAGCAAGACACTGCTCGTGGGGGTACAACCTAGATCGAGTACTTTCAGTCTAAAAAGCCTTTTCCTATTGGATACTCAGAGTTAACAGCAGGATTTAGACTCATTTGACCTTTAGTCGCTGCATAAACACGAAATATCAACCCCCATGTCACCGCCACACGTCTACAACTATTCACCATATTCCGCGTCGGAGAAGCCCATTTCCAGGACATTTCCGGGCCAAGACTCGGAAAAAACAACATCTTGGCAACACGGAGAAAGCCCGGAGAAGGTTAAAGTTGTCCTACCCCGCAAGAAGCAAATAGGCTTGGCCCGCGCTAGACTGCAGGGTATCTGAGCCCATCCTGCCCATCCACGAGACGAACGAAGCTCTGAGTGGACACTTATCCGTCCCCGCGGACCACGCGCGACCGCTATTTTCCATATATGATACCGGAAGGGGCTTGGATTTGCGATCGTCGTGTGGAGAGAGAAAGTGTTGTGGCCTCTGTCCCCCGCGTTTTAGGTTATCGGACCCACTGGGTGAGATGTTTGCCAAGGCCGGGGTACAGAGGGTTGGATGACGGCTGGGGTTGGAAGCTTGGACCCGATGGGCTGTCAAGCTCAAGTCATCCATGCGAGAGAAAGTCGTGGCATGTCTTTGCCAAGAGGGCATATCCGACATGGTGTATATATACCACCTCCCGCTGCGGTCGACTGGACTGTCTTGGAGATATCTACTCTGCGGTTGTTGACCTTTCTGACAGGTGGATCAACTACGTTGTCAACTCCACATATATCATTTTGCAGCCATGGGCCCTGGATCAATTCGCAAGGAAGATGTCGAGATTGTCGATCAGCCTTCTCACGTCGAGAATCTCCCCAAGCCTTCGCATGTCACGGAGATTGACACCTTCCGTGTTGTCGGGCTGACCACTGACGATGAACAATTCTATACCGCTTTCTCGGAGGAGCGTCGAAAGAAGGTCTTTCGAAAGGTGGATGTTCGGTTAGTCCCGATGCTGGCGTTGCTATACTTGATTTGCCATATCGATCGGGCGAATATTGGAAATGCCAAAATTGAGGGCATGGTTCAGGATTTGGGTATGACGGGGGTCCAGTACAATACTGTGCTTTCTATCTGTGAGTGCTTCTGTTATTAGCTGTTGTCGTTGCGAAGGACTGTTGTTGACGGGCTGATGTTCGTGATAGTCTTCATTCCCTACGTGTTGTTCGAAGTGCCTAGCAACATCCTTCTCAAGAAGTTCAAGCGCCCTTCTACCTACCTCGGCGTTCTAGTTGTTAGCTGGGGCATTGTCATGACATGCACGGGGCTGGTCAAGAACTTTGCAGGTCTCATGACTACCCGAGTGCTACTGGGTATCTTCGAGTACGTATCTCTAATCCTCACGCCTACAGTAAACATCACTGATAAACAACAGGGCTGGTTTCTTCCCCGGTGCAATCTACCTCTGCTCTTACTGGTACATGCCAAAAGACCTAGCCCTCCGCATTTCATACTTCTACTGCGCCAGCGCACTGTCCGGTGCCTTCTCCGGTCTCCTTGCTGCCGCTATCGCTAAGATGGATGGCACCGGTGGCCTTGAAGGCTGGCGATGGATTTTCATTCTGGAAGGACTCTTGAGTGTCGTTCTCGGCGTGATGTGTTTCTTCTTCCTCATAGACACCCCGGCGTTCTCTACACGCTGGCTATCCGCCGATGAAATCCGATTCCTCGAACTTTCCATGTTCATCAAGCAAGGTGGAACAAGCAGTGAGGAGACAAGCTTCAAGATGCGAGATCTGAAGAAGGTCCTTCAGAACTGGAGAATCTATGTGCAAGCTTATTTCCTGCTTTGCCAGTCTGCCCTGTCCTACGGTAAGACTCTTGATTAACCTCGCTCTTTAACAATGAACTAATCAAACTATGCGTGCCCAGGAACCAAATTCACCCTTCCCACCATCACCCAAGCCATGGGTTTCAGTTCCACCAACGCCCAACTAACCTCCGCCCCACCATACGTCGTCGCAGCCATCTCAGCCATCATATTCGCCCGCCTATCCGACCGCTTCTACTGGCGCATGCCCTTCGTCGCGATCCCCATGATAATCGTCGTAATCGCCTACGCAATCCTCTTCTCTCCTCAACGGCGCCCTCGACTCCAAGCGAGGAGTAGCCTACTTCGCCGTCGTCCTCGGCGTAGCCGGTATCTACCCGATTCAATCCGCGGCCGCATCATGGAACGCGAATAACATTGCTCCATCGGCGCGACGAGCCATCGGTATCGCGCTTATGAACTGCGTTGGAAACGTCGGCGGTATTATCGGGAGCTTTATGTATATTGAGAAGGAGAAGCCTAAGTATCCTACTGGGTTTGGGTTGAGTCTTGCGCTTGCTGGGTTTGGGTTGTTTGTGGCTTTCTTCCTTGAGTGGAGTTATAAGAGGGGGAATGAGCAGAAGGCTAAGGTTGCGGATGAGGCCAGGGTTAAGTATACTGAGGATGAACTGTTTGACATGGGAGATAAGTCTCCGCTGTTCAAGTATGTGCTTTAGCTGGGGTTTTTACGACCGAACGGGCGAGGTATGAAGAGAATGACTTATGTGTTGTTTGTCACTTGAGGAGGCGTCATGATTTAAATAGCTTGTGTCAATCTACTGCTACGAGTAAAGGTTTTGGGCATCTTATTCTCTCAATTTATAATATAGTCTCTCGAACCGTGGAGGGAGAAGTTTTCATCATATGTCGCAAAAATTACGTTATTTACATTCGCCCTGGAATATCGCTAAATCGTAAAGTTGTCCAAGATCTTGACCACCTCAGTGTTGTTATGCATGGTTGCGATACGCTTAGGTGTCACGCCTTGCGAATCGGCTATACATGCATCAATACCCTCAACCTCGAGTAGCCTCTGCACCATTTTTGGCTCGCCACGTATTGCCGCATGCCACAGGGCCGTTACTCCAGTATTATCGGTGAGGTTGACGTCTGGGCAACGTGAGCCGGAAAGAAGACACTGGACGACCTCAAGATGACCCTCCTCTATAGCAACCATCAAGGGCGTCATGCCATGAATGTTGCTCAGGTTCAAATCTACCCGGTCATGCTCCTTCAGGATGGAAACCATTTTCTCAAGACCACGATCTGCTGCACGAAACAGAGGTGTTTTGTGCTGCCAAGTGTCATGTTGGTTTGGGTCAGTTTTGTCCCATTCCAGAAGGAACTGGACAATCTCCTGAAGATTGCGTTCAACCGCCACTGTGAATACCGCATGATCTGTCCCTGCAATTCCCCTCGCATCTCCATTGGGGTTCAACTTGGCACCATAAAACGACACCATGTGCTTCATAATATCACATTGGCCAAAAATGGCAGCGGAATAAAAGACCTGTTGACAATGCTCTCGATCATCGAATCCATCCAAAATGAGACGCAAATGAGCGGCAAGAATCAATGGGGTATCTGGGTTTTTCTGCTGCGCAGCTCGCGAAAGTGGAGTGCGACCGTTCCTGTCTCCGACTTGTGGATTGACTCTGGCGCAACCTAGCATCACGGGGATCAAATCCGGCTGGTTGATTACAGCAGTCATCAGTGCTGTCTCTCCGTTCTTGTCCTGCAGGTTGACATTGACACGCTTGTCCTTCAGTAAGAGGCGAAGAGCAGAGACTTGATTCTTTTTCACAGCCCACGTAATAGCCGGACAGAGGTACATGCGATCCCGTATATTGGGATTGATATCTTCTCTGGCAAGGAGAATATCCAGAACATCTGATGAACCATGGTATGCAGCTAAAATAATCGGAGTAGCGCCCCGAAGGCGAGACAGGTCGGCTGTGATCTGTGGATCGGTCTTTGCCTTGAGAGCTTTGGTGGCAGTCTCTTTTTGGTTATGGATTGCGGCCCAGAAGAGTGCATGTGGCTTCTCACGCTTCGCGTCGTCATAATACAATGTACTGTTCAATATCGCATAATGAGCTCTGCTGACTCGAACGAATGCGTTGAAATCGCGGGCGGTCGTGAGAAATCGAGCAACATGGAGGAGGAGCTCTGGAGGCAGGAAGAGCGGAGATTGAGGATATGTGTCACTCATCTTGCAGAGAAGACCAAATGGTTGGACAGGCGTATTTGGAAAGATGTTTTATCGGTTTAGTCAAGGTATAATTGGGGCAATAATTGCTGTTAGTTGTACTCGACCTCGGTGTTGGAGACACAGTGCAGGTCGAATATACAAACTCATGTTTTCAGCCTGTGCTATAATTAAGGCATAGGACTATAAAAGCATGGGATCCTTAGATTCACTCGCTGGACGAACACGAGATCGGCCAGTCATAGATCTTCAAGCTAATTGATAGCCTATATGGGGGAAAGCGCCTAAGCCGGGGCTGTCAGCCGATCAACGAACAAATTCGACTTCACCCAAGAATCCAAGATGAAAGTTCAAAAAGTGTAGACTGTACGCTTGATAAGATAAACTTACCCAAATAAGAAGTAAGTTATCGTTCGCGCTAACTGGTGGTACCCCGTTTTGAGCGTTGCAAACGGATCAAAACCGGTCCGTTCTGGGGTACAGATAGTCCGGGCAGTTTTCCACAGCCTCAACAAACAGACGGCTCTTTTGATCTCAGGGACTCCCGGCTGTCATATTGGGAGATCCTTCCCAAAAACGAATGTCGAGAGAGGAAAGGAGGGGAAAGGAATGGCGTGGGGTCACAAAAAGGTCCGATGAGCCGATAAGATAAGATAACGCGATAAGCGCAGATAAGGAGTTTCCATGGCGACCATCCAAGAACGGACGTACCTCAACTGCATCAATCAACTCCAGCGCCTGGTAGTGCTTCCACCGGCATCCCTTGGGGCATACGATAGAATGTTTTCACCAAGCAAGATATTTTCAAAATCACCGCACACAGCGGTGCCTCTATACGGCCTCTTCAAAGACGGGATCTGGTGCTGCAACTGTCCTGCTCGGCCCCCCGCAGCTCGGCGCCAGACGAAGAACGGCGGAAAGAACCATGGACGATGGTGTAAGTTTACAGGGGAGGAATCATACTGGGCTTATATAGTTCAAGCTAAAGACTGACTATCCAAATCCCCAGTTTATACCTGCGAACAGCTACCCCCAAAAAAGTGTGGCTTCTTTCTTTGGGCCGACGAAGCTGAACCCCGCGAGAAAGCCGTCGTTCTTTCAAACTCCCATTCCGAACTCGATACACTCGATTCAGTTCCACGAACTCCTACCAAATCTACACAGCGCGGTCCGAATGGCTTGCTGACACCACAAACCGAGCGCCGCGTAATCGATATTCCACCGCGAGAGTTCAAGACACCACCCAAGAGCGCAAAGGCGAGAATGATGGCAGAGGATTCTGATGAGTTCGGCTGGAACGATGACTCTGATGACAATGACGAAATTGCACAGGTCTTGTCATCTAGTCAAGTGAATGACACTATATTATCGCAACCGGGTTTTTACCCAGACTTGCCATCGAAAGCACCGCGCACACCCAGAACAACATCCCCCGGCAAGCGCAAGCTGTCGGAGTTTGCGTTTGACCGGTCCAATAGCAGTTCATCGGCAATAGCAACACCTACTTCAACTCGCGCTACCCAGTCATCTCGATTTCCCCCGTCCTCAGCCGAGCTATGCATGACGCCCACGCCAGTCAGAAATCATGATGCACTCAGTTCATACACGAGGCCCGATGAATCTGACCTGTCAAAGGACGCCTGCGCTATCCTAGATAAGCATGGTGTCGTGCTGCCGAATAGCGCATACGATGAACTTGTCGAGCTTTTGAATCGCCACGATCTAAAGATGAGAGGAGTTAATCGTGCGCGAGATATTCTACGAGTGGCGATAAAGAAGAAAGATGATGAGATATTCCATCTTAAGGAGAAGAATACAAATCTCCTTGCACAAAACGAGATGGATCGAAGTATCATCGATAGTATGAAGCGTTAATATTGGAATAATTTGGAAAGGCTGGTTTAGCCTATGACGACCTGTTTTTACTGTCGTTCTTGTTTATTGTTTCTCTTTCCCCCTCTCTTTGGATTGGTTGTTTTATTTCAAGCCCAGCGCTGAAGGACTATTTTTGCCCGCAATAACGATGTGATGATTTTTTTAATGCAGCAACACCGACTCTTACTATATATCACTTCCGAAGTATGAGGTTCATCACATGCCCGACTTTCTATTGATTTCAGAGATAGGTCGGGACAGCATAGAGTATTACTTAGGATCTAAGAGTAAGCATCGTTGAGGGAAAAGCTCTGCATGCCATGCCCGTTCCAACCCGAATGATGAAACTCAAGTTAGGCAATCGCCATGTTTACTATCGGGAAGCAGATTCCCTATAGAGATGAGAACGAGAAACATCTTGATAAATCAGCTCATTTAATACACATTATTGAACCAGCCACGTTATATACAGGCTTCCTTAGAAGCATCCCTCATCTACAGCGACAGAACCAGCTCCTTCAACTTCTGGAAGTTGGGGGTACCCAGGCCAGTAACTGGGTCCCAGCCCTCAGTGGCATTCCAGTGAGCACCAGGGATGACCAGACTGCCGCTGACAGCCTCGTCGCTTTGGGGGTCAACACCACCGCAGCCGTATGAGCTTCCACCAGTGATATCGTTGAGTGCCTTGTAACCCTCCGAGTACAAGAAGGGGTTCAAGAAACCCAGAGTCGACTTGCCAGCGCGCAGACGAGCATCGTTCAGGAGACCGACAATACCAGCGAAAACGGGGGCGGCGGCGGAGGTACCGCCAGAGCGGGCCTTCTTGCCAGTGTAGATGACCTCGTAGCTGTAGACAGTTAATATTGGACTGCGGTATGGGTGAAGGAGGGAAAACGTACTCGGGATACAAGCTGTGAGCAGAAACGTCGGGGAATCCACGGCCCTCAAAGTCGGCATACTTGCCGTAGTATTCCTTAGTCTCTTCGCTGACCTTCTTGAGGTACTCCTCGATGGCGGAATCCTGGAACCAGGCACGAGAGAAGTAGTTGGAGAAACCACCGGAGGAGGCATTCCATGCGACTTCGGGGCTCACGTCTGAGGTACCTCCAACTGCGGTCACGTAGGGGCAAGTGGCAGGGAAGATAGGGTTGAATTGGGGAGTGACTCCATCGGTAGCTTGGCAGGCCGAACCGACACCTAGTTATGTTAGACCATATAGAGGGTTTAACGGGGTATAGAGGCTATCTTACCCTCATCACCGGAGGAGTGGATAATAGTCAGACCACGCAGCGTGTTCAGACCGATCAGGTTGCAGACACGGCGAGCATATTTCTCAGGAACAGTCTGTTCGTCATCACCGTAAGAGTTGGAGATGACCTGGGGAATCTCAGAGTTGGCCTTCGAGAGCAAGTACTCATAGTAGATCAGATAAGGCTCGTTCTCGTCGTCCGATGCGGTAGGCTCATCAGCATCGGGGTTGAAGGGGCTGTAGACAAATTTTTAGTAAATATCGGGAATTGTAAAGACGTGGTTGATACTTACGCAACACCACCAGTGATGAACTCGTGGACAGGCAGAGGGTGGGAAACAGCGACAATCAATTGCACGTCCAGGTTAGCTTCGCCGAGATCCGACTCGCTAGCATTCTGGTTGTTCACACCACCGTTGAGCAGTTCCACGGTGAAAGACTGAGAAGCAATGTCAAACAGCTCCTCATACTGCGTCAGATCGGATTCCGAAGCAGACTGGTTCAGGAAACTGCCGAATCCAATGCGGCTACCAGCAGAAGGCTCGGGAACGTAGTCGCCAACGTTGTACATCTCCTTCAAGCACGACGGGGTAATGGAAGTCTGGCACGAGGCAGAGACCTCAGTAGACGAGGCCTTGCGGGCCTCGACCATTCGAGCCTTCGAAGGGGCCGGGATAGCTCCACGGGTCTTACCAAAGAAGACGGTAGGCGAGATGACATCGATGTCGTCGGTCAAATCGCTTGGGATGGAGTACTCGGTAGTACGCAGCTTGACGGAATCACCGCTCTTGTAGTACGCAAAGGTAGTGTTGAGCAGCTTGTTGGCGGTCTCGACAGTACTAGTGAAGTTCACAACTGCACCGTCGGTAGCAATGTTGGAGATTCCCGCGCTCTTCAGCCATTTCAGGACTGCGGTGTCATCGACGACAGGGAATTGGGTATCAATGTCGTCCTTGCTCAGCCACTGTCCGTATGAGCTCTTACCGGGAGTCGAGAGCTCGGTGAGCTTGGACCCAAGCTGATCAAGGTTCTGGCGACTCAAGGCAATTGACAAGGCCATGGTCGAGCTGGCAGAGGGCTCATCGACAAGGGACCAAGTGCTTGGAACTCCAGCAGCCAAGCTCTCCCAGACTACGGCCATAGATTGGCCGGCCAGGGCGCAGAGCAGCCCAGCGTAAACGTTAGAGTGCATGATAGATGCTCTAGAAGTTCAAATTTCTTCTATGGATGAGGATGAAGCAAGGAAAGGGAGAAGGGTAGGGATCGGCAGGTCTATTTATCTATTTGCAAGCTTCGCAATCACGAAATGAAATTAGCTAAATGCATGTCTTAACCGTAAAAGTAAGGTGTGTTCACATAACGCGATGAGGAGATACTATCAATCTTTTACCAATCGACCGGCGGGGCTCCGCATTTCAGACGTTACATCGTGTGCGGAGGGGGTTATCGGTGGTGCAAATGACCCCATTGCTGAGCAAGCTTACCTTGCGGCATTTAGTACCTTGCGAAGATGATAGACAGTCGGACTTGACGACTCTGGACTCGATATCTGCGAGTATTGTGGCCAATTCGGGCCGGAGATTCCTATCAGTACTGCGAAACGAAAGCCATTCCATATCTTCTCCTACCACAAACAATAGCATTATTATGATTAGATGTGGGGGCTCGGCTGCGATCGAGCGAGAGATAGCGATCGTCAGGGGATTACTCGCTTGGGTAAACTCCGGAGTCCGCCGGCGAATCCTCTCCACGAAGCTTGGCCTAAAGAAGCTTTGCCGAGACTCATCGCTGATTGCTTATATCCAATTAGGCGACACTTTTATGACCACTTTGGCGGGTTAACCCGGGCTTTCCGGTCAACGGAAAATCGCCAAAGTGGGGCGAGGCTGTCAAGAGCATAATTCATTTGCTGTCTGCTGAAGAGTGGGCGCTGGCTGTAGCGCGAAGGAAATTGCTTGTGCTCCGAAGACCTTTTCACTATTCTTAAAATGGCAGTTGATGTTACGATGTGGCGCGTAAGTACTATTCTTTTTCAAGAAGGTGTGCTCTAGGGATTCCGGGTATCAGCGTCTTTGAAGTACATCCATGGGCGGGATATATGTAGCTAAGAGGTGTGTACTTCCAAGGTTTTTGCACATAATAAATGAATCGAAGCTCGAAATTTGGCCCTAGACAGACTGCGGTCACTGAAATAGCTCGTAAACATCTAAAAAAAGATAGGCTAGTTTTCTGGGTATCATGTTTAAGCTAAGTCTGATGGCTGGATCGTTGATCGCGGTTGACTGAGGTTATCGGGCGTATTTAGCGTAGGTACTAGCCAATGGTGTCATGCTATCCATGGATTGTCTTTACAGTAGCCGATATTAACGAGTCTATGTCACGCGTCTATCCTCCTCATTGGGGATGGGAGTGAAAGCATAGCGCTTTTATGATTAGAATAGCGGCTGGTTTGATGTCTAGGCTTTACTGGTCTAGGTACTAGATATGTGTTGGCCCTAGGCAAAGCTTTATTCCTCTATCTGCTGTGCGTTGATTAGCTTTGCAAGCCAGAATATTTCCTTGACTCGGCGTGTCTTGAGAACAAAGCACATAATTATGCTACTCTTGGCCTCTAGGAGCCTCCAAATTACATGTAGCGTATTCGTGTCCTACGTCTTTGATTCCATCGAATTTCTAAATGAATCGCCAGAAAAGAAATATTGGAGACCACATATAACCTTTCCAGCCCAACATAGCGGTAGGTAAGCCGGAACACTGGTTTCCACCTAAGAAACAATATATATAACCACATAATTTCAAGCAGCAAATACGGAATGAATTATATATAAGCATGGAATTTAAGATAGAATAAATACAAAGACTAACATGCTCTTACGGAGTCAATTGAGGGCAGATGCCTCTCTCGACCATACACGTTTGGGAAGAGATAGATGAGTGGTTAGATGAAACAGTGCTGGGTGAATTAGAAATACAATTCACTGGGAATATAGACTGGGACATCACTTTGATTTAAATGATGATTTCGCCTCGGTAACGTGTTGTCGCACACGGGGGAGAAGATGAACGATTCGCACAACTTCCCATACGCTGTTATGCGACTTAATCACTATACTGTAGGTAGCTTGTTCAAAAAATCGAAATAAGAGATGGAAGACATAGTCTAGCCAGAAACGCTTCAACTTCCTCTGCTTCCAAAGATATTTGGGGATATCTTTTGAATTGTCTTTCTGGATAACACAGGTACTATCTCTCGATTGATCTTTGAAGGCATGGCTGATGATTTTGGCCTTTGGTCGGGGGTTCAAACTTATGAAACTCCACTGTACCTGATGTAGCTGGCAAGTTTTCATTATCGTGATACTTCTTGCAAAAGTTCAACTACTTTGTGTTTCACACAGTAGCAGCCCTGGAGGTCACCTTCAATTCCATGGTCGATTTTGTGACTTGCGCTACAAAGCGGACTCTGATTTGTATACGATTTGAAAAGTGCAAAAAAAAGATATCAATGTTCCCTCGAACCGGAATCGAGCCGGTGACCTTTCGGTTATATGTGGATCCATTACAGCCGAACGTGATATCCAACTACACCATCGAGGGTTTAATTGATGCCATAATCATTTTTAGTTTGACTGATAAGCCAGAATCACGTGGCCGATAAGGACCTGCAACGCAAATTATCTCCGATGCTTAAATCGCAACTTTCTTCCAACAGGCACTCACTCTGACAATACGCCAAATCCCCCCGCAAGGTGCTGCCCTTCCTTGTCAATGGAGTCAGGCAGAGAGAAATTCCAACCAGTTCCCCGCGAACTGCCCGCCATGTTCCGCCCACCCGTCAACCGCGCGATGAAGACGCTCGACCGATCGTTCTTCCGCAAAACCGTGTCCATCGCCGCCGCGAAGATCTTCGAGAAGTCGCAAATTTCAAATGTCCGACAAGCGCTCGGCAAGAACCGCGATCTACTGGTTCTACCCCGCCTCAACGTTGTGCGCGATTTCAAGGAACAAGATGGGGCAGTCCGCAAAGGCCTTTTGCTACGGGAGGATGTCAAAGCTGATGGTGGGTGATGAATGAGCTCTAAATGACTCTGGAATTTTGTTCTTGCATGGATTCTGATTCCTATGACAGACAAGACGACTTGGTCGCCGGTGATTAACGAGCTCGTTGAGAAGGGTGCTGTGGACGTGGCTCCGTATGATCTGGAGTTGGAGTATGACTACTGGAGCTATGGTATGGCTAACTGACTTTACATCTTCCATCTGTGTCCTGAAACTAACTTTTTCATAGCCGAGATTGCCAGCGCGATTCTCCCAGAGGAAATGGAAGAGGTCCCCCAAGGGTTCACACAGGTGGGGCATGTCTGTACGTTTCTGCCCAACGCACCATAACCAAGCGAGGCGCATTGGAACTAACATGGAATTACAGTGCACTTGAACCTCCGAGAGCATTGGCTCCCATATAGACATATCATTGCCGAGCTTTTGATGGACAAAAACCCCTCCATCCGCACTGTGATCAACAAAACCGAAGATGTCGGCTCGCACAGCCAATTCCGCACATTCCCCTTCGAACTGCTTGCCGGTGATAACGACTTGAACGTCATTCAGCACGAACAAGATTGCGAGTTCCGATTCGATTATTCCCGCGTCTACTGGAACAGCCGCCTGGAGACCGAGCACCGCCGGCTTGTAGAGAAGTTCGGGCCTGGCCAGATGGTTTGCGATGTGATGGCAGGCGTTGGTCCCTTCGCCGTGCCTGCTGGACGGAAGCGGATCTTTGTCTGGGCTAATGACTTGAACCCCCATGGTTACGAAGTGATGCAGGATGCGACCAAGCGCAACAAGGTTCAAGACTTTGTCACCCCATTCAATAAGGATGGACGCGAGTTCATCCGTTTCGCGGCGAAATCGCTCCTCGAGACTGATCCCATGACTGTCACCATCCAGCCCAAGCCCAAGGGAAGGAAGGATAAGAAGAGCAAGGGCAACGATGGCACGGCGATTAAGCAGGATCCGCCGCAAAAATATATCCGCCCGCAGTTTGTTGACCACTACGTCATGAACCTGCCCGCGACCGCCATCGAGTTCCTGGATGCGTTCCAGGGTCTCTACACTGGCAAGGAGGAACTTTTCACACCCAATACCTCTCAGACTCTTCCGATGGTGCACGTCTACTGCTTCTCGGGCAACTCCGATAACGAGGTGGATGACCACAAGGATATCTGCGAGCGGGTATCGGAGCGCATTGGATTCACCATCACTCCCGAGGACCGGGTGGGTGGCACTGGCAACCCAGCGATTGAACTCGATATCTTCAATGTCCGACTTGTCAGTCCCAAGAAGCAGATGTTCTGCGCGAGCTTCCGTCTCCCTCCTGAGGTCGCCTTTCGCAAGGTTTAGAGGTGTATAGTTGGTGCATGAGCGGCGTTTAAAAAAATCTCTTGTTTATAGCTGGGGAAAAGAAGATAGACAAAAATTCACCACTTGATACCCTGAAATAATCCGAACTAGAATGTTTCTCCTTTGAAGTAAACAGTACTTTGGTATCCCTCACAGGTATAAACTTCAGGTGATGGTATACCTGATTAGGAAACCCAAAGGCGGTATACTCACCGCCCCCAAACTGCCGCGAAAACCTGCACAGTTTCAACATCCCAAACTGCCTCAAGCCCACCAAGCTCCTGCCAACGACCCCGCCATCTCAAATACCCTGTCCGCTTTGCTTAAGATCCCTCTAACAACCGATATTACGCCTCACCACTTCGTTGAATCTCCACGGATACAGGGACAATGAGCATCCAACTTCCCCCCGCAACTCACCGCAAGCGCGCGCTCCCGCAAGGCGAGCTCGAGGCCGCCTCCACGCTCAAGCTCGGCGCTGATCAGAACACACATACCCTCTCTCTATCCGAAGCCCGTCTCGTTATCCACAAGGTCCTCGAGAACAAGCGCCGCGGAGGAAGCAAGTACGAGGAACCAGAGTACGTTACGTGACTGGCCAGACCAGACCTACCAACCCAACACAAAGACAGGCTACGATGCGATTGGAGCGGAGCAACGTTACTGACTGTGTGGTTGTGTCAATTGTACAGGAACCTGACCAAGACATTGGACTACCTGGATATCTTTGCGCGATTCAAGGATGAGGAGAATATCAAGGCGGTGGAGCGGTTGTTGAATTCGCACACGGAATTGGAGATGTTCGAGCGGTCGCAATTGGGTAAGTGACATAAGTGACAAGTTGAGAAGCTTAAGCTTGAGTCTGGCGTTTCGCGTCTGGCGTGGTGCTGGCCGGGTCCTGGGCTGGGCCATTTCCCGTAAATGGCCGTTATCGGAAGATTATACCCCTGGTATATTCGGGAACTCTCGTGATGATTGTGGCTATGCACATATATACCTTGTCAAATTGGTCCGTGAGGTTGTACTGACCAGGGTCCGTTTTTTTTCTTTCTAGGAAGTTTGTGCTGTGACAATGCCGAGGAGGCCAAGTCGCTCATACCGAGTCTGCAGAACAAAATCTCCGATAGCGAGTTGCAGGAGTTGCTGGATGAGTTGACCAAGTTGCGGAATTTCACCGAGTAGACACGCCTTGTCAGGGTGTTGAAGGGGAAGGAAAAGGAAGGCACTGTCAGTACCGTTTGGGCCCGTAGCTTGTGGCCAGTGTCTTGGCTTTCAGGCATACATGTGTGGCCGTTGATATCTCATTTACATTTTTCGTTGGGCATATGGAGTTATTTTTTGGGCGTTTGGAAATGATTCATGGGGTCCTGGAGGATTTCCGGGCGGATGGAGGGAGCGTTGCACATAGAGCCGATACCATAACCAAATCATAGTGCCTGTTGAGCCAATTGCAACCGGTGTTCTTGAATAGAGTCCCGTTGTACCCTTTTGCTGGGTATAGTATGAAGTACGGAGTACTCGGGGAGAAGTGGGAACGTGCATGGAGTTATTATCAAATCCGTTGTCCGTACTATAAGTACATATTGCATGCCTCTTTCCATAGTACACACTCTGTAGGTGATTTCCGACACAATTCTACGCAACTTATGTTCCATGCGTCCGAAATGATGGTGTTTATGCCATCCTCTGCGCATATTCCTCATACTGCAGTGTATAAATCTCAATTCCGAGCCAATTCATGCCCAACCAGGACCATCGACCATCCCGAGATCACCCATTGCCACTCGGGGCTAAGCGTTTTACAGGGAAGGCGAGCACATGGGCCGGGGACTAACTGGCCGTCTCCGTGGGCCCCTTTAGGTTCCACCGGGCGGGTCTCTCACCGTTAAACTCATTGCAGAGTATGCCACCGGAGCACAGTGTGCCTGGGCATAGGATGGACTCTATGGAGTACAGAACACGCCCTTCGCGTATAGTTATGTAAGCATAATAATGACCCAAGAGTGTACACCTAGTAGTTAGTTTAATTATAACTATTCACGCGAGAATCCGCGTCTCCAGTCTGAACTAAACAAAAAGAACACCCGTGCAGACGACACTACCGCAACGGTGGCCCCATCGAGTAAGCAGTTGAACCGAGGGTTCCTATAGGCCCGATCAGAAGGTGTATGGTTTCAGAGGTTGGAACTTGGGGTGCATCTTCCCCCCCGTTGATCGGTGGGCTCCCCACAAGAAAGATGTGGTTTTTGACTTTGTGGGTTTGGGCTGCTTTCTGCAATGCTCATCCTTTGAGGAAGTCGTGATTGGCTGTGGAAGTAGCCGTTATCAGAGATCTGTGATTGGGTGGGGATGGGGACTTGTTCCTCAATATGCTCATTGAGGCAAAAAGGCCTCGGCTGCTGGATGGCAAATTGAGTCAGTCCTGAGTCTGGGGATTGGATTTCTTGGCTGGGGAAATGTCGGGTCGGAGAAGACTGGAATGGGATGGGATGTCTTCCTTTTGTCCTTTGGTTTACTCTTGATCAGGCTGGCGTTGTTAGGTATTGTATGATTCACGGGATGGTGCATGTGAGTGTCGAGGTCTGATCTAGTCAGCTCATGACTAAAATAAGTACTCCGTACATGCAGGGAAATCAAACTCGGCGATAGCACGGAGGAAAGCATAGAAATCATCATCATCTAGTATGTAGTACTGACTTCTCCGTACTCCGTGATGGACAGAGAATATGAATCAGGTAAACCAGATCCAACCCCAGTGACGGAGTAAGTCGAACCAATCAAAAGGCCCGGATCCACGCAGAGGATTAGGTAAGAGGGATTCGTCGTACGTAATATGATGGCGGCTCATCTCCTTTAACCAATCAGAAGCAGGCAACTTATCAGAGATGACAATTGCGCCCGCCTAATTATTATTCATCGTTATTCCTCTTATTCATCGGGAGCTGGCTGGGACTGGCTACAGCCGATTCTTGTTACGAAACCGAAAAGAGGATCGTCTGGGACTCGGAAACACTGCACGGCTAACTATCCCAATCATGAGACGAGTATATACTCGAGTCGATGTCATCACTTGGTCTTTTCTTTCCACTTTCTCTAGCTTCTGGATTACAATCTACAAGACTACATTTCTACATTTCTACAAAACTACCACCACTACTACTACTCTTCTCATGCCCGACAGCCAGCAAGTTGCAACCGGCACACTGCATCGACCTAGCTGCTAGGTGTAGGAATGACGGAGCGAACTATCCGCCATCTCATCTTGTTGCAGTCTCTAGCGGGCTCATCGGCCTGATAGAACTGGTTGAAACTGACTGATTATTGCTTATTCTCTTTTTCTTTTTTTTTTTCTCTCTCTCTCCTCAGGAACAAGGTATATACTACTTTGCTACTTGAGAGTATTGAACCGAATAGTTTATACTCTTCTTTTTTTTCTCTTCTCCGTCACCGGAGTCCTCTGATCGTCGGAGATAATCCTTCCTTCTTTTTTTCCTGATAAGCTCTCGTGTACGCGGACCCCCTTCCACTTTTCCTTATCTCTACCCTTCACCTTTCCTCCCATCATCAATGGTCAATCTGCCAATTCCCCATGGCCCACGAATGACGACGATTCACGGCCACCGGCTAACTCTCGTAGTGGCTTGGAGCTGTTCCTCTTGCTTCTTCCTTCCCCCCCAATCCCAGCTGTCGATTCTCCCCAGTCCGGCCAGATTGTGGAGTGACTAGAAGGTCCAGTCCCTTCTCTATTTCCGCGCCTCCCCGGATCCTACGCCCCCAACACTGGACCTCCGAGGACCCTTACGTGACGAATTCGATTTCACGAATCGCAGCCTATCAATTATCTATCTCTGTACCCCAGCATTCCCATTATCTCTGGGAATACTCCGCCCAAGCCGCCCCAGGCCCCCCCCAGGCCCGTCCCGCACCACCCCCCGGTACCTGACAACCCCCCCAACTACGCTATTAAACCTTTTTTATCTATAAACTACTTGATTCCCACTACCCACCTTCCCATGGCCACCGTCATCACTATCCAGCCTTCCCCAACGGCTGGCTCGGCTGCCTCCCCAGCCTATTCACAGACTCACCACTCGCCCCCCGAGCATCTACGTCGTCGTGCTCACCCTACCTCGACTGCCACACCCAATACTCTCTCACCATCCCCGGTTGCCGGTCAATCCAATCTAGCCCGTATCCCAGGACGGGATGGAGCGAGTTGTGACGCCTGTCTTCGTAGAAAGAGTCGTTGCGCCATGAATGACATCACCAACAAGTGCTACTCGTGCGATTTCCACCGCCAGGATTGCACGTTTACTCTATCTGGGGGCCCCGCGGAAGCTCCTACGAAGAAGAGGAAATTGGACGACTCTGCGCGGGAGCATGGAGAATCTGTGAAAAGGTATGCGATTGACGCTGATCTCACATTCCGGTGCTACTCTGGGATTGGGAAGCCTTTATCAACAACATCTCGCTAACTCGATATCAATTCAGACCCTCCACTGTCCAATCAAACCATTCTATCTCTGAAAGTGATGCCCCTCGCCCTCAACACACTCAAGCCATGATCCGTTCGGGCTTCTTCAACCAAACCACTCAGCACATTGGCATGACCACGGAGCTGGAGCCCACCTTACTTGAATACCTCCCATTGGATGAGTACCACGAGTGTACCGTCTCCGCCTCGCGCATCCGTCGGTGCGCCGACGACTGTACCTTTATGCGGGTGGTCAACACCGTGCCTATCGGCGACTCGCAGGCCGTGTCGCTGGACGCTATCGAGAGCCTGGTTGCTCCGTACGGGTCAACGTTGATTGAGAAGTTCTTTGAGCATGTGCATCCCTCATTCCCCATCCTCATGGAGGATGCGTTCCGCCAGTCATATCGTGAGCGTCGACAATTGTCGCCGCTGCTGCTCGCTGCCGTGTACGTGTTGACATTGAAGTTTGTGGATGTCGGCGTGACGTCGCAAACAGCACGGAGACCCGATGCTTCGCGATTGGAGAGCACGGCGCTGAAGCTGCTGATCGAGTCCTTGCCTTACCCGAGTATCTCGACTATCCAGGCTGGTCTGCTTTTGACACAGAAATCTACCTTGGCGACGGCGTCTTTAAATGGCCAGCTGGTTACGGCCTGCTTCGAGCTGGGTCTGCATCAGGACTGCTCGAACTGGCGAATGAAGACTTGGGAAAAGGGTCTGCGGAAACGTCTGGCCTGGGCGTTATACATGCAGGACAAATGGTCCTCGCTTGTGCATGGTCGCCCTTCGCAGATCTTCGCATTCAACTGGACCGTCAAGGACCTCGTGGAGCAGGACTTCTCAGATGCCTTTGCGTCCGGCACGGACTCTGCCCATGACGAGGGAGACGTGGGCCATGGCCCCCTTCTCTTCTGCCATATGGTTGCATTGACGACCATCCTCTCCGACATCCTGGACCGTTTCTACACGCTTCAAGCGATCGAGGACTTCCGCGCTGCAGGCAATCAGCGCACTCGTATCATCCTGGATAAGGCGAAGCCGGCACAGATCCGGTTGAAGGAGTGGTTCTCATCTCTACCGGCGGCGTTGAAGATGGAGTCCTCCAGCGGCGAGCTAGTTGAGACCATCACCGATGAACACGCCCGCAACGGTGCTCTGCACTTGGCTTATTTCGCGACCGAAATTACCCTGCACCGCTGCATCGTGCGCTCACTGGCCGGTGACGGTACGGACTCTTACCTCGCACACATCTGTCGCTCTGCGGCAAAGACACGGCTTATCTCGGCCATGGACTTTGTCAACCGACTGCGGCCTGCGCACCTGCGCTCATTCTGGCCCGCCTCGGCGCGCACGAATTTCTCATTGATCGGTTCGTTCGGCATGCTCCTACGCATCACGGCGCCAACCAATGAGGAGGCTGAGTTTTACCGTGTTCGGCTGTGCGAGTACCGCTGGACACTCAGCGTGTCTCACAAGAACGCCGAGTTTATGGGCTTCGCGCTGGAAAGCCTCGACCATGCGACGATGCTGGATAAGCATGTCCCCGCCAAACCGAGTATCGACGAGCTGATGGCCACCTCGGCCAAGCAGCCTTCGCGACCGATTATGGGCCCCGGCGATTATGACGATGCCATGGGCGACGTCGATATGCATGGAACGGCAGCCAGCTCGTCTGTTATCTCTGGGTTGGCCTCGCCGGCGACTAGTGTCAGTGATATCGAAGGCGATGAGACGCCTATGCCACCTCTTTAAATGCCACTGCCTGATGAACGTTATACCCCCTACCTCTTCTTTTACCCTCTATGTTCTCCTCTACCTCTACATCACCTTTGTGTCCTTGACACACTCACGACATCTTCGGCGTTCACGGACTTCCCTCGGATGAAAGCGCATGATCGAATACCTCTTTGCATATTTGCATCTACCTTCCACATCACCCTGCCCGATCAAAGCGCGAGCAGGATCTTCACAATTACGATGTTGGAATCTGTTTTTTTTTAAACTGGTCTCATTTGAATTTTAACTTGATATGCCCGGGATATTTTTGCTTGGATATTTGGATATTTGGATATTTGGAATTGGATATTCCACTGGATATGGGATTAAGTGGATTGTATAGACTTGGACAAGCATAGATTAGGCTATGGATGACTTATGATATTACTATTGAACTTTGATTTGTGCTTTCTTAAGGTAAAACCCTAGAAAAATGACATCTCCTGGCCAAAGGCGAAATCCTCGAGTATCGAGGGATCGACCAGGTTTGCGAGCATTTCCGTGCGTGTTCGGTCTTGTGGCTGGTGGGGATCTTGGCTGAAGAGCGAGAAGAAGAAATCCTCCTCGTTTGAGCGATTGTCTAGTCCCTCGCTGGTCATGTTCTCGAGGGGGACAGCTGACGAGTGATATGCTGGTGCATCCACCTCCATTCCTGGGAGTGACGTCCCAGTCGTAGACGGAGCAGAACCCCCAAACGCGAACGAAGCCGTCCCCGTCCCAGTCAAGGCACACCCACACCCACCCGACAACCCAGACACCTTCGCCCCAGAACCAGACACAGACCCAGAACCAGAGCTAGCGATACCCAGTCCAGACCCCCTACGATTCATCTCCCCCCGCCTCCTCCTCAACAGACACGTCCCCGCAACCTCAAGTACCTCCCTCAACATCTCGGCACACCGTCTCGCAACGATAATATCATCCATCGACTCGAAGATCTGCAGTGACTTCTCCACGTCCTCGAGGAGTTCGTCGTCCGGTAGATCTGGGTAATTCGATAGAATGAGGTGGAGGAGGATCATTGAGCCGTACAGTGCGTAGGTTGTGTTGTACCACCTGTGCCGTGAACGGGTTAGAAATTCACCAAGCACATTATGAGGTTGGGGTTAGGGATGAAGGAAAGGTTGGAGGTAGTCGACTTACCAGGTTCGAATGTAGATTCGATGCATGAAGGATTCGTATTGCATCGTTATACTATTCCGCGCTGCTTCAAGGCAAATATGTAAATGTTGACGGAACTCGGCAGAGTGCGTGTTAGACGTTGCCGCGACGAGGAAGGGTCTATGAATTAGAATGCGGGTATTATAGTATCCTAGACGAGACCAATAAGCAATGAGAACCCGAACTGACGAGTTCAATCAAAACTATAGAGGACATACGCAGTCTCAGGACTAATTTCTGTTTAAACGCCCACTCGGGATCATTTAGTGTCGTTGCATCTGGATTAAGGAACGAGGGTATATTCGCCTTCCATTCTAGGAGACGTGCGTCGAGGGCCATGGCGAGTCGGGACTTTTCGCTCATTGAGCGTTGCGTTGAGTGGTAGAGTTGGTGGGAGGCTTCGGACATTATTTGTGCGAGGGAGACCATTGTCGGAATCATGGCTATGTCGTTGTCTTCTGCGTCGGGGTCGAGGGGACCGACGTTTATCTGGAGTTTATTATTAGAAGGTTATTACTTGGATGTGAAGGGATAGTGCATGTCGGAGACTGATTTACCTTGAGCTTTGGGAGGGAAACTTGATAGTAGTGTAACTCCTTCATGCTGTCCAGGCGTCCGGAGGAACAGCACATTTCGCTAGATAACGTCAGAACATGAATATCTCGACCCTGGTAGAATTACTTACATCTCATGAGAGTAGATGCACCTAAGGAAATGTTAGTAGAGACTCATAGACGGGGATATAGACCGGCATACCACCACGTGCGCTTTGCTTCCTTCCTCATGGCCAGAGGCAAAGAAGACATACTCGAAGCCAACCCAATAGCCGCCGCCGTTCGCACAGCCATCCCGCTATACATATAGCAACTATGTGGCTGCAATGAATTCTGACGAAACACACTCTGAAATGATTCCTCAGTAACTGACTAAACCCAAACTCCATCTCGAGAAACCATACCATAAGAAAAAGCGCCTGCGCAGCCTCGAGACAACTACTCTCAAACAAATCCCCAAGTGCCCGCTTCGCGATGTCAAAGTAGAACTTTGCAAAATCCAGAGCCGAGAATCGTGTTTCAGACGGAAGTGTCTTTTCTGGATCTTCGAGTTGCTGGGAGAAGTGGTCGAGGAGAGCTGTCTCGTTCGGACTAGCATTGATCGCGCCTAAGGCTACCACGGCAAAGTAGAGGCCAGCAAATTTGATAGCACCACGGAAGAGACCGGGTCGTCTGGAGATGGGCCATGCTTCCCGTTCGCAGCGGCGCATGAATGGACCCTTGGTCAGGACGGGGTGGATATAGTGTTTGTTGGTGAAGTAGCTGCTGATGAAAATCTTTTCAATCTCAAGCTGGGCTGTGTTTGTTATATTGGAGAAGACATCGGGGAGACTAATATCTTGGGCTGATTGGAAGAATCAATAAAAGTTTTTGGTGAAGGAGTTGACCAGACTTACAATTGTTGACAGCATCGGCATCAACTTGTCCACTGGCGAATGAAGGACTACTATTCGTTGCACCCTCAACGCCGTTGAGCGAACGTGGCGAAGGATGACCAGTATAGTCTGCATTGTACAGCAAGTTCACAATGGAAAGCTGTGCCTTGCTAGTCAACGGTCCTGCTCCGGGGCATGTTGCTGGCGAAAGCGGCTGTGGTCTGTTTGTAGCAGCTGCCGTATATGGCCCTGTAGGTGGATATTCGGGAGCACGTGTCTCTGCTTGGTTCTTTGCTCTTGTGTAGAGGTTTCCTAGGAATGCTAGGTTTGACGAGTTGCCGTAGAATTCAGTTCCTTTGGTGTGGAGGTTTAGTCCACTCAAGCCGTCTCGAGACGCTGCGTCACCGATCTCTGAGTGTACAGCTGGTAATAGGATGGGATTTTAGTATTAGGATGACTCGAAAAGCCTACAATAAGCTCTTACTGGTAGTTTCGTCATTATGTATCGAAGAGACAGTTGGTGTGTCCGGAGCGGCAGGATCCCGCTCAGCTGAGTATGACCCGCGAGATGTGTCTCTCAAAAAATGATCAGAAGACCCAGAAAATCCAGATCCTCGAGAACCTGAGTTTTCCTGGGTATTGCTCTGATATACTCCAGGCCATGGCGATGGGCGCCCAGCTTTATCCTGGCTTGATGGAGCTCAGCAAATGGATACAACCAGTCATATGCACCTGAATGGAGTTTTTAGATACCATACGTTTGATTAGAGCTCCGGACAACCTTCTTTTTCTCAGATAGAGATGTTCTAGCTGGTCCTCGGCCACTAGGGGAGGTGCGATAAATGCAGTCAAATGAATGATCTGCACCACTTGTCAGACTTTGACTCTATTGCCATGTCCGTTGCATGTATACTGCAATTTGCCACACTTACAGGCACAATATGAGCAAGGCTGTGCTTGGTCACACTGCACAAATAAATAAGTATGGGTTGTTATTCACCCGTGATCATCGAAATGAGTTCGGTGGATATCACATACCTTCGTTTTCCGGGAGCGGCACGTCTCGCACGCGCGTGAAGCTCTCGGCACGCGACGTTGCGAGGCCCATCGTGCTTTGCGCTCGACAGGGTCCATAGTGCGTGAAGAATCCGGGACTATCGTGATAAAGGGCTGTACCTCCTGCTCCGTCGGGGGTTGTTGTTGGGAAATAATTGCGACGGAACGTGGAGGTCCAGCAAAAGCGGCAACAAGGACTGCCGAAACCGACCGCCACTCTTTCTCCGATGAGGGTTGCTCCTCCATGATCCTCAACGCGGGGTCTTGCGGGGTCCGGGGTAATTTCTATCTACAAGCATTTTGATTTATTGTAATTAATATATTGGCCATAACCATCAATGTTTTCTATTATTTTCCTGTCACTGCGAGCGAGGGCCCAATGGTTGCCGTTTAGTACTTCGGCTAGGAAGTATGGCCCTAAAAACAGACTTGTTCCCTACATGCAACGCAATATATTGATGTCTCTAAGTACGATACTATCTGAGAAGCTCATTCCAAGACCTAAATTATGTATTAAATGGGGTTTCCAGCAACAATTTGAGAGGGCATCTGATTATCTATGACATAGAGGCTCCGGCTTCCGACGGAAGCTGGGATCCGTCGGGTAGGGAATGGTATCCACATACATACTGTACTCATCAATGAGAACTTACCTATCTGCGTAAAAAGAAACAGGGAATGCAGGGGACATATGGTTCGAAATACATAGTTATTGTTCAAATCTCAACATAGTAGACAGTATGAATAGACCGAAGAACGCACATATAAAGCCGTCTATCGAGAACCAAAATGGACGATTCAACAAAACGTTTCAATCCTCTTCATCATGTCTCTCGCCACTGAAAACAAAGATCCCATCGAGGTTTCTGCACTTGATAGTGTCAGCGATCGCACCAAAGCGAAATGGGCTGCTGGTTCCCCAGAGGACATTGCGGCTCGCCTCCCTCCGATCTTGGACTTGACCATCGAGAATATCACTGAAAATGTGATGCAAATCAACTCCATGTGCGACAACCCTCGCCTTCGATATCTTATCACAAAGCTTGTGAAGGCTTCGCATGACTATGCCCGGGACGTGAACTTGCAATTCGATGAATGGGAGCAAGCCTGGCAGTTTCTCACTCGTGTAGGTAACCTAGCGAAATTTCCCTGGGGAGCATTACATTGACCAGTCGTCGCAGGTCGGCCGAATCTCCACCGATGTCCGTCATGAGTTCGTCCTCCTGTCGGATATCCTAGGCATTTCAGCTCTTGTTGATGCCATTTCATACCCCGCTGTTCCTGGTGCGACCGAATCATCCGTGCTAGGTCCATTTCACGACGAAGAGGCTCATTCGTTTGAATATGGCGAGTCTATCACTGCCGATGGGACTCCCGGTGAGCCAACAATTGTTCGTGGCTTCGTCCGCGACACCGATGGTAACGTAGTTCCCAAGGCACTGATCGACGTGTGGGAGACCGATGGCAACGGGGTATACGATCTCGAATACGCGGGTAGCCAAGAGCCTAATTGCCGTGGCAAAATCTTCACTGATGCTTGTGGTCACTATCTCTTCAAATGTGTCAAGCCAGTGGCTTATCCAATCTCCAACGATGGTCCGGTTGGAGAGCTTCTTCGCAAGTTGAATCGACATTGGTACCGACCTGCTCATATGGTACGCGAACGGTTATCATTCTCCTAGGACAGATTGCTAATTTTCAATAGCATTTCATGATCATGCATCCCGAGTATACCAAGTTGATCACTGCGGTCTATTCTAGTGATAGCAAATATGTGGAGAGTGACACAGTTTTTGGCGTCAAGAAGAGCTTGATCGTCGACTACCAATGGTCTGAGGATCTTGCATTGGCCAAGCAGCACAATTTAGTTCCCATGGTGAGGATTGTGGACGGTCGTGAATCTCGAGGATTCTGGTTTCTCGATCAAGACTTTGTCCTGGTGAAGAAAACCCCACCTCCTCCGCGTAAGATCCAAGATGATTGAGGGAAATAGAATGGCTGACCTAGTCTAGTTTGAGTCAGACGGGGATATTGAGAACTATTTTGCTTTACAAATTTCAGATTCTCTGTAAAAGCCCTTGTTTTAGAATTAGCTATTGATTGAAAAAGACAAAGTAGTCGAAAGTAGTAGATCAACAGAGTATGGGTCACAAGGTGTGTCTATGTCTCAGTCTCCGTCAGGATGTGCAAAAAAGCCTAGCTCAGCTTCTAGACTTGATCAAATAGTACGTGTCCATCTCGTGATATGACCAGTATGTATGAAAATCGAGATTCTCAAAGTTCAACGTTGCATCATTACATGCCTAATTCGAGAGCAGGCGCTCTGACGAGAAATCAAAGTTCAGCTCAGGGAAGGTAATCATGACACATCGGCGACCCGGCGATTATCGGCGATAGAGATGCACGGTCATGATCGTTTCCGACGGACCTACATCCTATTGGCTTGCAGGTCAGATAGTATCCCCGCAAAGCGCCTTGCTTCCCCAAGACATGCTGTAATAGTCGCAACCTTCTTGGTTGTATTTCGTAATAGAAATCAGATCAGCAACATATTCCCCGCATGGGCGAGAGAATGCCGAGGGTAAACGATGCGAGTTCTATGGAGGGTCCGGATTAGAAACAAGATAACAAGCCACCCTGTTATCGGCTGCTTCCTAGTGATATCAGGTACAGTATCTTATCAGTGACTCCGACGGGAGGCATCCGAGAGTTCGCGGATAAGGACGGCGAGGGCGAATGGGGTTATAGCCGGCTATTTCGAGGGTTGTTCGATGCGATCATATAAATATGGTGACACATGCCTCGTGATAGTTGACACTTTCCATCTATTCCAATTTCAGACTTCTGATTGTCGCTTAACTATCAAGCCACTAAAGCATCTACAACTATACGACACTCAACATGGCTATGGCCTGGGATCAGAATGCACTACGGGCAGACTTTTGTCATGCATTGTCAGAAATGTACAAGAGTGAGGTCCCACTATATGGGGACCTGATCGACGTTGTGTGGGAGGCGGATGCACAGGCAGTACGGGCGAGTAAGACGCTAGGAGGAGCCAAAGCTATCAATCCAGACGACGTTTTGCCTTCTCGCCATCGAGTCGAAAGACACGGAGCTATCAGACTTGGCACAGCATACGAGTTGAGCACGATACGTCGCATGTTTTCAGTCATGGGCATGTATCCCGTGGGGTATTATGATCTGAGCCTCGCTGGCTTCCCTATGCATGCCACAGCATTTCGGCCAAAAACACAGGACGCATTGTCACAACATCCATTTCGGGTCTTCACCACAGTCCTACGGATGGAGCTTTTGACAGAGAAGACGCGGAAACTGGCACAGAAAGCATTGGCACAGCGAAAGATCTTCACTCCCAGACTTCTCGAGCTTCTTGACTTGGTCGAGAAGAACGGTGCCTTAACGCCAGCTGAGTCTGCCGAATTTATTCAGAATGGATTAGAAACATTTCGTTGGCACTCAAAGGCGACGGTGACTCTTGATGAATATATGCAGCTTAAAGCTGAACATCCTCTTATCGCCGATGTCGTCTCATTTCCCAGTTCACATATCAATCATTTGACACCTCGCACAATCGACATCGACCTCGTTCAACGACTCATGGTGGACCAAGGGATGCCAGCGAAAGAGCGGATCGAAGGGCCTCCAAAACGAAGTTGCCCTATCCTTCTCCGACAGACAAGCTTCAAGGCGTTAGAAGAAACGGTCTACTTCCGAGATACACTCGATGAGTACGTGAAAGGATCTCATACCGCACGCTTTGGAGAAGTGGAGCAGCGAGGGTATGCTTTGACACGAAAAGGTCGTCAATTATATGACCGGATTCTAGACCAGGTCAATATTGACGCAACGAAGAACAATCTCAAGGGAGGCGACTATGAGAAGGTGTTGGAAGGCCATTTCAAGGCATTCCCCGATAGCTTGTCGGAACTTCGCGACCAGAACCTCGCTTATTTCAGCTATCGAGTTACCTCAACCGGCGAAAAGCTCACGGAAGATGGCGCGGTTCTGTCAAAATTCGGGAGCAAAGCATCTATCCAAGAGCTTCTAGACCAGGATATTTTGGTCTATGAGCCTCTCACTTACGAAGACTTTTTGCCACTGTCTGCGGGTGGCATCTTCAATTCCAACCTTGGCAGCGTATCCCAGTCAAAGCAGCTTATTATGAGCGCGGAGCCGGATCTAGATGGGTTCCAACGTTGTTTAGGTTCCTACATCGCAGATGAATTTTATCTTTACTCCGAGATGCAAAAGGAGTCTATTCAACGTTGTAAACATCAGCTTGGGTTGGAAATCATCGTCTAAGCCTTGCATCCTCCTAGCAAACGAAGTGCCTTGCTGCCTCATTGCGTTCCTTCTCATCGCATCAGGCTTCGGTAATTTTTACAATCCTAATCGACGTCATGTCACCCTACTATTGTCAAAGTCATGCCATTAACGAGATCTTTCTAATTTGATGACTTCATTGCTTCGTATCTAGCTATCGAATAAGTAGGTATCTTCGCATCTTCCTTGTAAATCATGCCGTTTCGGCGGAGATTGACTTCACACTCATATCATCAATGCATAAAGCCAAAAATATGCACACAAGTGGTTATTTTAGTTCCTTGAGCAGACTTTGTATCAAACCATTTACCAAGATTTGACAAAAAAAAAGAATCGCCGTTTAGCCGTTGGGCAAGTGGAGAAAGTTATCTCCTCATACGACTTCCCCAGAGTCTACATTCAGCTGTGGGTACTTGGGTAGATATATCGGAGGATACCGATGGACCGACTCGCGACGAAACAATACCCTGATTAGGCAGGCATAAAAGCAAGTCGACGACATCTTCAAGTTCGGTTCTACTCCAACTCCCGCGTCTTCAACCCGTTTACCCGAATACGACTAGCACAGTCTTACCAAGATTCATACCATGATAGGAACCCTATATACGTTTTGCTCTATATGGGAGACATGGTGGCGACTCTGCCTCGCTTAGCCCAATGCGGCCTTCGGCCGGGGTAATGTCGTCCTTGGAAGCGCCCGGTACTCGGCAACCCGATCTCTTAGCTATAGAAGGCGGTTCCTCCCGCCTCCCGGCCGGTGTGATGCCGTGCGAGAACGAAGAATAACACGAGGCTCAGCGAGGTGGCTTAGACATCTCGGATCCGATCTATTTAGATATTTCTCCAGATTTTCAATAAGAAAAGTTTCAAAACAAGTAAAATCTATATAAATAATGGGTGGGCTCCGTTTATCAAACGTCCCATCGTGGAGATTACCCAGATCATTGAACTGCATGGCATCAATTCAGTATCTACCATCTGATGATATCGCTTGGCGCATATATGTTGGTACAATCACTACCATTGTACCTGCCACTATCGTAGTGATCCTACGATACATCGCTCGATACGTTGCTAAAGCTGGTTTTTGGTGGGATGACTACATTATTGTAGCAGCGCTGGTAAGTCCATAGGCCTTTTCTAGTACTCGTGCTGTACAAGAGACTAATTCTACTCTTGGAACAGATAATCAACTGGGCTCTAGCAGCGACAAGATGGGCCCAGATCGCAGATTATGGCTTGGGTCAACATTATGCACATGTAACCGATCAAACCGAAGCACTGGGCAAGGTATGAATATAACCCTGGTTCTACCAAGTCAAGCCGTTCGCTAATTAGCTGATAGAGTTTCCTAGCTACGCAAATGTTATACTTCACGAATGCCGTTCTCACCAAAGCCTCCTTGCTCCTTCTATACCATCGAATCTTTGGAGTCGTGAAAGGATTCCGCTGGGTTCTCTGGGCATCTGGGGCCTTGGTGATCGGTTATTACGTTGCCTGTGTGATCGTTTTAATGGCCGGCTGTAGGCCAATGTCTAAAATTTGGGATCCCAGTATTCCAGGAACATGTATTGACTTGATCGCCTTCTTCCGATGGAACGGTGTTGCCAATATGCTTCTCGATGTTTTGATTCTGTGCCTTCCATACCCGATGGCGTGGCGATTGCAGACGACTTTACGACAAAAGTGGATTCTTACTGGCATATTTCTACTCGGTGGATTGTGAGTCTTCCTCCCATCTTTATCATTGTTCTTTGCACTTGCTGATAAAGAATAGTGTCTGTGTTGTTTCCATTCTTCGTATTACAAGCTTCGATTTCAACACTCTGGACAATCCCACCGATGTCAGTGTTGTACCATCGACCTGGTCCTCCGTCGAGCAATCAGTTGGAATCATCTGCGCATGTCTTCCAACTCTCCGACCTCTTCTCAGATGGTTGACTGGAAGCTCTGCCAGCAGTATCCGCAAAAGGGACAGCTCTTCATCCGAGTTTCCTCAACGAAGCCCACTATCCGGTCAGCCATCACAGACGGATGAGGAGAATCCTCTCGAGTCTTTGACATCTCCCACGTCTCCTACTCCTCTCGTGTCCCAGGTGAACCTGGAACAAAATCGTAGGTCATCGTCTCCAGAGATGGGTGCTATTGAAGACCAGGACCGTAGCTCGTGGGCCCTTGAGGAATCTTATGGAGACCCTGAAAGGCATATTCCACGACCTGAGTCCTTTGCATAGGCAGGCTGGTCCTTTCGTTTCGATCATTCGTGCGAGTTTTAGATTTCATGATACCCCGATCAGTCATAATAGCAATACAGATTAATTCTTTGAATACATTCCAGCAATGTAGGGTATTCAGGAGACTCTCATCGTATATCAGGGATGAAGCAATAGTATTGATCGTAATTGAACATAAATATATGGCGAGATGAGGGTGCGTACTATACGCCATCGCCTCCTCATTTGTTCCAATAACGCTCAGTAGTCAATGGCCTGCAAGTAATTTTGGAATCTGGGCTAGAGTATAGCACCGGTCATAGCGAAAAATTGAAAAGTTCCATTCTGGATGGACATAATTTGAAAATAGATATAGAATACAATGCACGAGAGATCAGCCCAAAAAATCCCATCTATCTGTACAAAAACCATGATGCAAGATATCAACGCATCATCTTAGCAAGTCACGAGTCACACCCGGAGCGCCGCAGGAGAACAGTTGTGTCGGCCATGCACAGCCTTGTCTCTCCCCTCCAAATCGCCTTCATCATATCATGACCGAGCCTCAATTTTAGGGGTATCCTCGTTATCCTCAATGACAACGGCGCCCTCCTCCAACAACTCCTCGGGAGTCTTCACCCGAACTTCCATCACCCGCATAACCGTATAGCGGTGCTTGCTCCGGGCCTGCTTGGTGTGTCGCTGTCTCCGCTTCGTCTTCTCCTTGATGCGCATGGGCTCCGACTCGACACCAGTGACGCGGACTCGGCACTCGAACAGGCGTTCATCGAGATGCGGCGAGCCCTTCATTGTGAAATCGCGCGAACCAAGGGCGGTGGCCCGGTTGAAGCGGAGAATGTCTCCAGACTTGACCTTGGGCATGAGGAAAGGAAGACGGACGTGGTCACCCTCCGTCAAGAGGTAAGGCCGGGCGTGCAGCTCTGCAACGATATAGTGTGGCGATTGACCAGCCAGGTGCGGGAGGCGCGACATGAGGGACTTGGTCACTTCGAGAGGAGAATCAAAGGCTGGTGCGACCGGTTGTTTGGCAATTGGGACATCGGCGCGCGTCTGAGGGATGGAGGAGGGAGAGGATGGGTCGTAGGAAGGCACCTTGGGTGCGTTCTTAGTCTCGGGCTGGGAGGTTTGCGCACGAGGGGTAGCACTCAATGATGATTCGGAGTTTGGAGAAGAAGATTGAGGCTGGATCTCTTGTTGCTGTGTTCGGAGCAGGGCGGTTTGGTGCAAGCAAGCTCGTTGCCGAAGGGGAGCTGCAGAGGAAATAGAGGATGGAGCAGACAACCGCAAGTCAGCGGCTAGGCTCCGGAATACTGAACGTGAGAACATCTTGAGAGAACCTTTTCCCGTTGCGTAGAGCGAATTGCGGGAAATCAATGGTTCGTCGTTTGGTCGAGTTATTGACAAGAGCGGCTCTCCGTCCTTCGAGAAAATCATCAACTGCGCTTGTGGCCGCATGGTTCCCCGTAGAATCACGTGCCTTCACACGGTACAGGGTCAGTCACTCAATAACCATCATTTGAATATAAAATTTGTATTCATTTACTAACAATCAATCTGAGTGTCAGTTTGTATTCCTTTAATTCTAAATTCAGCAATCTGGTCATCATTGCGCATTGTAATGTGTGTAGCAAAATCAATCATATTGGGGCTGGTCGATAAGGAGATCACATGATCTGCTATCTTTGCCGCAGAAACAACTTTTTCAGTCTGCGATTAGATCTTGCAGGCCAACCCCATCTTACTATTTTCCTACCACTTGTGCTCATTTTTCGTTCATCATGGTATGTCTTACAGCCTTAAGCTTGCTAAATCCCGTTGGAAGAAACCAGCTAATCGAAATTTACCCAACAACAGCCTCAGAACGAGTTCGTCGCACCCCCGCCCCAAACTGCCCCCGATATTTCCGCCTCCCAACTAACACATTCCCCTCTAGGTATATCGAGCGCTGGCAGAAGCAGCATGGTAAGCGGCTGGATCACGATGAGCGTGTCCGCAAGCGCCAGGCTCGTGAGGGCCACAAGCAGTCCTACGATGCCCAAAACCTGCGCGGTCTGAGGGCCAAGCTGTACCAGCAGAAGCGCCACAAGGAGAAGATTCAGATGAAGAAGCGCATCAAGGCCCAGGAGGAGAAGAACGTCAAGTCTGCCGCTCCCGACGAGCCATCCAAGACTCCTCTGCCCCAGTACCTTCTCGACCGATCCCAAGCCACCAACGCCAAGGCCTTGTCCAGTGCTATCAAGGATAAGCGTGCAGAGAAGGCGGCCAAGTTTGCGGTGCCTTTGCCTAAGGTTAAGGGTATCAGTGAGGAGGAGATGTTCAAGGTTGTCAACACCGGAAAGAAGACCCACAAGAAGTCCTGGAAGCGTATGATCACCAAGCCTACTTTCGTCGGTAACGACTTCACTCGTCGGCCCGTCAAGTACGAGCGATTCATTCGTCCTATGGGTCTGCGTTACAAGAAGGTGAACGTTACTCAGTATGTCAACTTCTTTCCCTGGAGAAAGTGGAAAATAGCCACTGTCCACCATGAATCAAGGCTTGGGAAATGCTAACAATGAATTTACTAGCCCTGAACTCGGTGTCACCGTTCAGCTGCCCATCCTCTCCGTCAAGAAGAACCCCAACAACCCCCTCTTCACCCAACTGGGTGTCTTGACCAAGGGTACCATCATCGAAGTCAACGTCTCGGAGTTGGGTCTCGTCACTACCACCGGTAAGGTTGTCTGGGGTAAATGGGCCCAGATTACCAACGTGCCCGAGAACGACGGTTGTGTCAATGCGTAAGCGATTCTTCCACCCCTATGACTTTCTTTTCCCCCCTTACTAACATCATCAAAGTGTCCTCCTCGTTTAAATGCTGCCTCACAAGGCCGCTACTATTTATTCCTCATTCCTGGCAGACAGCCCCGTCTGTCTTCGATACCACCCATGCTCTCCAGGCATTACTGTGATTGGTTTTTTTTTCTCGTGGTTCATATGGTTGATAGAGAACCGCTCTTCGGTGTTTCTGGCGCATACAATGTTGTTGGTTCCTTCACGAAAAAGTATTTTACCTGCTCGACCCTTTTGGGGGGTGTATTTAACTAGATGAGCTTAGCTACATGCACACCAAACAATGAGTTCATGATAAATCAGTCTGTGGCAGAAAGGAAAATAGAAAAGTCGCCTAGAGAATTAAGTTCTTGAAGGATGGTACTACGGTTATACAGATCCTAAAGTAGGAACTTCGTAACTTCGTTGATGGTGGAAAAAGATGGTCATATTAAACGTGGTCACCATGACGGCAGCCAAGTGCTCGAAACTCCGAGAAACCCAATGCTTGACTCAAACATGCCAATCAATGCAAGTGGATCAAAAAAGGAACGAAAGGAAGTTCATGAACATAAACAAGTAGAAATCCACGAGCAACGCTTATGGTACTTCGACAAAGAGCATCACCCGTATACCACCAATGGAAGAGGCGGGCGCATTGAAACCAAACATGGCGAAAGTGATGCAGGAAATAGAATGTGGAAGGAAAGAAAAAAGCAGTCAGATAGATGTCAGTCAGATCAGCTATGAGATAGCTTCTAGACAATGAAACTCCGAATTTGTGGAGGGACAAAGAATGAACAGAGATAACACCATTAAACACCGGTCATGAGGTCATAGTAACAAGAAGGGATGGATGAACAAGAGAGGTATAAGAAACAAAGGAAAGTATGTAAAAGGACCGGCCGAGCACATCAAGTACCTTCTTCTTCGAGTGCTGCTTTTATTTTTGCAAAGAAGCCCGCAGGCCATGCAGCCAACTCTTCTTCTTTGGGAATGCCACGGGCCCTGCAGTGGTTGACAACATTGGCCAGAATGCGGCCCAGCATGTCCTGCGTGACAGGCACGGCACCCTCGAGTTGGGCATCGGGGTGCAGGAAGGGATCCCGCGGGCCAAGCATTTCTTCAATGGTTGGACGAAGAGTCTGATCGCGCTGAAGGCATCGCTTCAAGGTCTTGATCAACCCAGGTGGCACCGGAACACCGCCGACACCATGCGTGGGGAAATCAATCTGAACCCGGGGGTTGGGAATGGCCATTATACGCTCGTAGTATTTGGCGATCTTGGCGAAAGGCGGTTGACCGTACACCATCTTGTACAGAATGCAGCCCAGACTCCATACATCACTGGGTTTGCCTAATTTCATCATCTTGCCCACACTGGCCGGGAGGCCCAGTGATGCATTTGAATCAACCAAAGCCTCTGGAGACATGTAGTTCGGTGTTCCAACTTGTTGCTCCCGGTGGACGTTGACAGTGTTATCTTGAATGGCATTGGCAATGCCAAAGTCGATCAATTTCAATCGGCCCTGGACCATCAAAAAGTTGGCTGGCTTCAAATCAGAGTGAACAATGTTGAAGTTGTGGACAGCTTGAACACACTCCAGCATCTCCTTCCAGTAAAATCGGACGAAATTGATATCGAACACAGCATCCTCGGCATTGAGACGGTATGTGAGAATCTTCTCCAGATCAGATTCACCAATCTCCATCAAAACACTGAGGCAATGCTTGTCCAGGTTGAGTTCCCAGTCAAATAGGCGCACTACCCGATCCACATTCTCGAGCTTCTTCAAGAGATCAATCTCACCCTTGTAACCCGTCAAAGTCAGGGGGTCGACGTCTTCCAGGTTGACCCGCTTGAGAGCAAAGATCTTGTAGTTCTCAGCCATCACACGGTACACACGGGAGCTTCCACCGCGACCAATACAGTCAAGACGGGTGAAGTGCTTGTGGTTGATCGAAACCTGGGTGCGCTTCTTTCGAGACTGCGACGTAGAAGCACCACCGGTAGCAGTAGCAGTTTCAAGAACAGACATCTTGGGGGGCGGAGGGGCCGGTCGGTGCGGAGTGTTGTTGCTTCGACTCGCGAGGATCTTCCGGGGGGAATCGCCTGCAGGTGTTGCAACCGCAGCATCCTTCTTGTCCGTGTCGTACACAACCGCATACTTCTCGGGCTTGTCTAGCAAATTGAGGCCCTGTGATTTGGCGCGCTTGAACGTTGGTGGAGGCTCATTCTCTTGATCCCTTGCAGAGGGAAGTGATGGTGGTAATGACGGTACCTTGAAAGCAGGCTGCTCCTTAGCACTCGACGATTTGGACGACACTTCCGAGGACCCCGGCGTGGACTTGGACTGCGACACGTAAGATTTTGGTGACGAGGATCGAGAGAAGAGTCCCTCCCCACTAGCCCGGCTCGCAGGTCGATCTGGAAGAGAGCGATGCTGTTGTTGATCACGTCGATCGTCATCATGGGAGGGGCTGGGCTCTGCCCAGGATACCTTGGGTGATGATGGTTTCGTTGAGCGTGGAGGCTGATAACGATATTCAGCATTGGAATCTTGTGGCTCGTCATGCTCACGAATGATGTCTTCATTCAGCAGATAGTTATCTTCGTTGTTCTCTTCACTTTGCCGGCGCAACACACCTCGCCGTGCAGGTCCATTCAGGAATGTACCAGTGAGTCGCCCAACTCGCTTCACTCGCAGAGAGCTGTGTGGCGCAATATCCTCTCCAGTGCGACCGCGCAGGACTGATGAGGTGCCGATTCGCGAGACAGGGTCATCATCGTAACGCGATTTCCGGTCACTGTCCGACCGATCACCACTACCATACTCCTCGCCTGTCTGGCGTTCCGTTGAGCGTTTCACCGATGGCGAAATGGATGATGGAGAGCGGGTGCCGCTTCGCGAGGCATTAATTCGGACACTCCGTGGTCGAGGAGCAGGTGTGATAAAGTCATTCGGTCTATCTTGAGCTTCGGAGTCGGCACTCTGGCTATTCGAAAGCGGGGAGCCTTCACGGGAGAACCTCGAGGAGGACGAGATAGCACCAATTCGAACGACCCGAGGCGCAGGGCTTCCATTGGATTGATCATGCGGGGATGCATTCCGCGGCGATTGGCTATGTTGTCGCGACCCCGTCGCTGAGCGGCGTTGATATGACGAAGATGGTTGATGTTGGTATTGATGGTGTTGTTGAGCTTTGTGCAGATGTGGCGACGAACCCAAGCCGTCTCCATCTAAAAGCGCTTTCACCGAAGCGCTAAACTTTGGTTCTGGGACCTCATCATCGGAGCTGTCCCCAGTGTAATGTCTTGAGATGGAAGGTTTGGCGTCGGCGTATTGGAGCGCTGGAGAGGCCCGTCTGGAACCCGAACGTGAAACCGCGGATCGGGACATGGGTCGGGTCGATTGTTGATACAGGGCGTTGTTGTAGGCGGACGAGAGGGAATTCGGAGAGGCCATAGCGAGCAAAGCACTACATTGAAGTCGTGTATCAATGCTGGCCTCGGGGTGGCCCGAAGGTGTCGAATGTTTGTTGTTATTCACAAAAGGAAGGTCCGCTCATCTCGACCCGAGGATCCATCGCGAGTTGTGAATCGGCGCGCTATGTAGTCACGTGATGTGATGTTGCCATGGTGACGGCCACAACAAGGAATGCCTCGATGGGTGTGTATACTCCAAAGCAGATCGAGAGCTGGCCCTTCCTTGCTTGTTGGTGGTAGCTTTTACAAAGCCTAGGAATATTTCTAAGTTGTTGTCTTGATTGTGTAGTATATTGAGTATCATTTCCAATTCATTCCGTCTGATGTAGGTTTGTCGGAGAGAACCTTGATCCAACACCTATCAATTCATGGAATCAGCCGTAAACATCTCCCAACAACGCCTTAGGTAGACGCTATCATAATTTGGTTGTACCATGCTGTATTAGTTATATACGTTTGATTAATCATCTTACTTGTGTAACGACTTCAACAACCTAAGGCAAAGGTAAGTCTATGTATCATTAGTTGGCGAGCAGACGGCATAGGTGGAAAGTCAGCCTCGATATATATCTTCAACCTCCGCGTATTTTGAGCTTTGGACCCAACAGCTTCCAGGAACCCACACCTGCCTGGAGTCCACCATCTTAAAGCTCTAGGTCAGGTCCAGGGTTGTACCAATTAGTTAAAGATCAAACAGCCATCATGGCATTCAAATACAAATTAATTAGGTTCTTCGTATCTGGCCCGATAATATCCCCCAGAATTGAAGTTTCCACAGTGTTGACGATACTCCCAGGGCACTCTGCACCCAGACCTCGTACAAAGTGCGAACGGCAGTATGCAGAGTAAGATCTAAACTGAAGCACTGGGTACAGGCATTAGCAAGGCTAATCATGATCGCCCTAGTCCCAGTTACCCTTCAATCGCATGACTTTGCGTCACAGCAGCAGCCCGGTGTACACACTTCGTAGAGCCTAGAGCACCTCATTCCAACAATGACCCAATAACTCGAAACTCAATTGGACAGCCCCTGACAACTTGCATCGGCTAAGATGACCACAGATAAGAGTCAGACTGGTAAGACTACAGGTACGAATTTTTAATTCCATGACTCCCAGCCTGCATATGAGCTATCCAATTTAGACATGGAGGATTTCCTACATGAAATCCCTCGTTCTTATGCGAAAGCGGACCTGACGCGTCGTGTAGTGCATGGCTGCATATCATAAATGCTTCGAAAAAATTACACTTCATCCTTGTACTACTGAAGGGAACGATTTACCCCTGCGAACGATGCGGGAAATTCTTGGCGAGATATGCTCACAACCTTACCAGGAGTACATGTGATGCCGCGCAAAGATCCACTTATTGAGAAAGGGAAAATATGATCCTCGTGATCGGGTCGCTTCTCGGTCGCATGGCCGAGGTAGGTCAGTGCAAGATTAATTGCTTTTTGAGCAACGAGATAAGATCTATAAAAAGATGAGGCTGTGAAAATTGAGGATCGTGAGAATTGATAAGATATTTAAACTAGCGCGAATGGTTTTTGACGACTTTACCATGGTTCGCAGATTTCAGATCATCAGGCCATCATCAGATCATGAGATTGGAGTAGCGAAGTCCGGGCAGGAAGAATAGGGGTCTATAGTCTAGCGGTGAAAACCAAGTGCTCAACGGACAGAATAGTGAGATTAATCTTGTCATTTGGGCATACAGCGAGTCCACGGGACAACAAAAGAAAGGAAGATATGGTCAGTGACAAATTGGTTCCTGAACTGCCCGGAATAAGCAACCGGACCCTCGAGCCGGATAGCGACCACATGGCAACATCGCGGACGATACGACATCATGGGTTAGCTGCAACCAAAGTTAGGGACGGAGCAGCCAATTTGCATCTGTGACCTGTTGGAAATCGGACTCCTCGCAATCTGACCGAGAAGAAGAAAAGGGAGAAGGGGAAAAAAAGAAAGACTATTATTCGGATATCTAGCGAAGTCGGAATTTCAGCGTCGGCATTGGAATACTCCTTCAGAAAAAAAAACACGGACAACGATCGATCGAGAGTGTTCTTTTTTTAGTTCATTCACGAACCTTTGTGGACGAACCTCGCGGAGTAAATAAGCTCACACCAACACTATATCTGCGACGGTTCACGTCGCGATATGTCTTTGAGCCCTGGAAGACCTAAAGTATGGAACGATGGGCAGCCCTGAAACCGCGATCGCCTCACGATCGCCTCCAAACTGGATCCCTCTCCCCTTCTTGGATTTCGGGCTCAAACGAACCGGTTCTCCATCCGAAGCGTTCGAGGGGGGTTTGCGCCAATGGCGGCGCGCTAGTTTCATTCGAGCATGGGTAGTTTGTGGAGTCCAGTAGGAAGCCACCAGGGCCAAGTGGAAGAAGCTTAAAGAGTTTTAGTCAATACGTTGGTCGGAAAAGGAGTCGAAAAAGGTTCAAATTGGCCCTGCTTTCGAGTAGCACGACGCCGTATTCCGCCTAAGCAGCCTCGCCGAGGTACCCGTTGCGTGGAAGATCCGGGTAACGGGACCCCTGGCCATCGGCGGGGTTTACTAGAGGCCCCAATTTTAGGGCAAATCATTCTGAATCCATAATAGTTGTGACTTAGCTTTTGATTTTGTTAGCTACTCACGTACTCTTCTCTCCTATGGGTCACTCTGCATAGCTGCGACGAAGATGCGAGTGGATATGTTTCTGGGCGAACTACGTACGAAGTTTTGAGGACCTGGCTAGGTCACTAGTACTATTGTTGTGATGCGGGCGGTGGCTTGCTCTAGTTTAGCTGTCTAGTTTAGATAACAAGCAAAAGCATCGAGTCTCGAGCCCAACGCCAAAAAAGGATTGTAGAGTGGTTATGATAGAGCCTTTTTTTCAGTCCAGCTTAGATAGCATACTCGCCGTTGATTTGGTCGATGGAATTCCCGAATCCCGACAGCTGCAAGATCTTCGCTATTTGGGTAATCTTCGGAAAATCCGCTGCTTCTCTCGTATGGCGATACACATGGAGATGGAAATAGATACACAAATAAACAATAATTGAACCGTGGCTACCACATAGTACTGCACTCCATTCCCGACCATGGGTTCCTCCAGATCCTCCCTGATCCCGTTTTAGGTTTAACCCCCAAGCTCAATAGGACGTTTCAGAACCCGAGCAGCAAACCAGGTCGATGGAAAAATCACGTCGAGCCTCCGAAAGTCAATTGCTGATGGGTTCCTTGACACATAGTTGGACTTGTCTCCTTACTGTTTGTATGTGGCCTAGTGGAATTGAAACCATTGAAAAGTGGCCGAAGCCTCGGTTAGCCTATACCTAATCACGTTTAGGCTGTGGATTACATGCATTGCGTGCCTGGTGCCTGACCCAAAGTCTTAACTCGCGGGAATTGGCAAAAAGAGAGACACAGGCATAATACTTGATACCGAGGGCCGAAGTACATGCAGTAGTACAGTACTCTGTACTCCGTATATTGGACTCGTTCGCAACGGACAACTCGGAACTGTTTCGGATAAAATTGCCCCATTCTCTCGCTCTCTACATTGTATCTTCTGCAGAAGCTCGTAGGAATCGTAAACAGTTAGTAGCTCCGAGAAACAAGTCTGTTGATAGAACGAAGTAACCACACTACCAAGTAGTGATACTCCGTACTCCATACTGACTCTAAACTTGAAGCAATAGACTTACAGTTACTAGGCTAGACTACTTTTGAGTGCTAAAAAAAACTCCTCAAACTTAAAAAAAGGGGGAAAAGAAAAACAGTCGAGGATTACAACATTTCGGGTTGTGGGCCGTCAACCGTTGGTGGATACCTGACGATCTCTTTTCCCCTGGGATCCCCTGGGTCTAACTGGGAATAGTCCGGCCATAGTCCGGGCCATGGCCAGTTCTAAGATGACCGCATAGCATGCACAACGCTCCATCGTCCAAGCCTTGTTGCTCCTCGCCTGTCAACCATGCTGGGATCCTCGCGATGACTACCCCTTTGAGTCTTGGCAGGAGAGACCCGCCCAACCGGCTCTCGTGCCTCTCGTCAACACTGAATTTCGACCGCCAAAATAAGGAATGAACGCCTTCGATCAGTAGTCCCGAGGCTGAGCTGGCTCGATTGGCTTGAATTGAAGGCCCTTCGTTCCTGGCTAGTGACCACGGACCACCATTATGGCTGGGAAAACCCGTAGCAAATCTTGCGGAGATTTCGGCTTCGCAGTCGGTATGACAATCGCAATTGATCGTCCCGTCCATCTGACACCGTCTCTGACCTGCCTCGCCACACTTGGACGGCACGACCGGCTGCAGATGTTCCCACTCATGCTGTAACCAGCCTGCCCGTGGTGATCGTTCACTGGCGAGTTGAGACGGGCCTCGCTCCACTCAGCCTGGCAACAGATCCAAGGTCTCTTCCAGTCCCTGCCCGATAACCGGGAGGCTAAAGCCAAGTCCCAAGGGGGCGGTGGATCTGTGGACGTGGAACATTGGATAGCTCGAATTGTGGACCGAGGGCCTTTTTTGCTTTCGAGACCGGGGTAACCAACTTGTGCAGGGCTCCAGACTCCGGTCTATACCCCTTCAGGCCATGGTCTATCTGGTTCCGCTGTGAAAGGCAAAGAAAAGAAAAAAGTGGAGAGGCACTAGGGCGTCTCATGGTGTGTTATTCTTTGCTACGGAGCCCACGGAGCCAACGACTCGACTGTGCCTGACTATCACTCGCTCATGGCTGACCAGGGAAAACCCCGAGCCATTACTGATCCGTGATCCTTGATCCATGATCAGGGGTATATAAACATCAAGGATCTTCGCCTGGATTGGCTTTTCCCTCCCATCTTCACCAGTCTATCGCTAATTGCTTCAAAGGAACGGCTTCTGGTCCGTCCTATACTGTCCCTTTCTATTCCTTTTCTTTTCTTTTCATCTTTTCAACTCTTTTGGGATATCAATTCCCTATCCATCCATCTGTACAAACTACAATCTTACAGCCATTGTTGCTATACACTCGTTATCACACGTTTGATACCCTCCATCAAAAACCGAACACATTGATCACCAACTATGCGTTCCGACCTTCTTTTGCTCGCCACTCTGGCGAGCTCTGCTCTCGCTTATCCTACCGAAGTCGCTGTTGAGCGTCGTACTTTCGGTCTCCTGGCTAGCCTGATCGGTGACGCTGCCTCCGATGTCATCAGCCTGGTCGACTCCCTGCTCGGCCTCGGTGTTCACGGTTCCACCTCCGTCCTGGCTGGCTTGAGCGCTCACGGTGCTGCTGCTCTGGAGGGAGGTGCTTTGGGATGTACTGCCGGCGTTATCGACGCCAGTGCTCGTGCTAAACTGAAGGTGTGGCTGGCTGGCCAAACCCACATTTCCGGTTCCCTGAAGACCTCTTTGCTCACTTGGTGTGAGGGCTCCGGCTCTGCTACTCTGAGCGCCGACGTTATTGCTGCCCTATCGGTCTACATCCCTACTTGCGCCGACATCGCCGCTAAGGAGTCGATCTACGTTACCGTCGATGGTATCTTCTCTTCCACCGAGCTCTCCTCGACTCTCGTTTTGAGCGCCTCTGCTCAAGCTACTCTTTCTGCTTTCCTTGATGTCCACGTTAACCTTGGTGCTCACATCCAGGCCGGTCTTAGCGTCTGTGCTGCCGGCGGTGTGATTGCTAGCTTGGAGGCTGAAGTTAAGACTTCCCTGATTGCCTGGCTTAACGCGTCCGACTGCCCTCTGGAGGCCGCTCTTAAGGCCTCTATCCTCGGCTGGTGCCACGGGTCGCACGCCAGTGGCCTTGTCGAGATCGGTGCTATTGCTGATACCGCTCTTTCTGCTATCTCCGTCGGCGCCTCTATCGGTGCTTACGTCGAGGAGGCTGGTGCTCTCTCTGTCCACGCCCAGGCTTCTCTTGCTGCCTTCCTGAACACCAACCTCGCCGTTGACATTGATGCTGATATCCTGGTTTACCTTAAGGCTTGCGCTGCTGGTAAGCTCGCCGCTTCTCTCGATGCCGATGCTCGCGCTTCTCTTGCGATCTGGCTGTCCGGCTCCAGCTGCTCTCTTGGAGTTGAATTAAAGGCCGTCGTCCTGCTCTGGCTGTCCGTTGCAGCCTCTGCCGAGGTCTCCCTCGACCTTGTTAGCGGCCTCCTCGTTGATATCACCGGCTTCCTGACTGAGACCATCATCGCTTCCTTGAGCATCAACCTCCGCAGTGCCCTCGGCCTCCTCGCTGGTGGTGAGAGCCTCGCCGTCCTCTCCTGGGACGCTCGTGCTGAGCTAGCTGCCTTCCTCGGTGGCTGCACTGGCATTGACATTAGCATTAGCATCCAGCTCATCATCATTGAGTGGTTCACTGGCTGCAGCATCCCCGGCGCCCCCGCCCCGTCCTCCTCTGTCCCCAGCCTGCCCTCTGCCACCCCCATCGGTGTCTCCAGCACTCCTCTCGTCCCCTCCGGTTCTCTCCCTACTGGCTCCGTCTCTGTCAGCATTCCTGCTGGTGGCATCCCTACCGGTTCCATCCCCTCTGGTGGTGTCCCTACCGGGCCTGCTGGCTCTGTCTCCGTCACCGTCCCCTCTGGCTCTATCCCTACCGGGCCTGCTGGTGGTGTGCCTGGTAATGGTGCCTCGTCTGTCATCCCCGGCGGCCCCGAGGGTTCTGGTGCCATTCCCTCCGGCTCCGTCCCTACTGGCTCTATCCCCTCTGGTGGTGTCCCCTCCGGCTCTGTCCCTACTGGCCCTGCTGGCGGCGTCCCGGGTAACGGTGCTTCTTCCACTCCCTGCGAGACCGCGCCTACTGGCACCTCTCCAACTGACACCCCTGGCTCGGGCTCTTCTAGCTCTGGCTCGGGCTCTTCCGGCTCTGGCTCTGGTTCTTCCAGCTCTGGTTCTGGTTCTTCTAGCTCTAGCTCTGGTTCTTCCGGCTCGGGCTCTGGTTCTTCCAGCTCGGGCTCTGGTTCTTCCGGCTCTGGCTCTGGTTCTTCTAGCTCTGGTTCTGGTTCTTCCGGCTCTGGCTCTGGTTCTTCCAGCTCTGGTTCTGGTTCTTCCGGCTCTGGCTCGGGCTCTTCCAGCTCTGGCTCTGGTTCTTCTAGCTCTGGTTCTGGTTCTTCCGGCTCTGGCTCTGGTTCTTCCAGCTCTGGCTCTGGTTCTTCTAGCTCTAGCTCTGGTTCTTCTAGCTCGGGCTCGGGCTCTTCCGGCCAGGGCTCCGGTTCTAGCTGGTCTGGTTCTGGTTCCGGCCAGGGCTCTTGGACTTGGACTGCCGGTGGTGCTCCTGCTCCCACGGCCGCTCCCACTGGCTCGGGCTCTGGCTGGGCCTCCGGTTCCTGGACCGAGACCGTCACCGTGTACCACACCGTCTACGCCTGCGAGTAAGCGGTTACATGCCTTGTCAAACCATATGAAGAGATGCCTATACCTCCTCTTCTCCACGCGATTGTCTTTGCACCATTCTAACGACACCAAGATGACCCTTTGACACTACGTGTACTGGTGTGGCCCGCAGTATCTGTTCTAGATGCGGGTCGCCCACTCCCAACCTTCCCCCCGTTTCCCGGCGGTGATTTGTTCAGTGACTCTCTGTCGTTCCTGTCTGTAGATATTTAATTATAATTCTAATCTGCTGTGGGAGATTCAAATTTGGCCCTTGTCCTTTTCTTGTGTCTAGTATAGACGTATTAATTGTGTTCCGGCTTCTGTATAAGTTTGTGGCTTTCGGGAAACTAGTTCAAAATGTTATTTTATATGAGGCGAATGGCAAGCACTATACCCCAAAATACCGTACTAAATACGATTTTTCAGGTCATAGGATACCAACGACCAGAAGCAATTTTTACTTATTTTTTAGCAGTATATAAATTACTAGCATTATAGATAGGATAGCGTAATTAAAATATCCAGTCAAAGATTATAATACCAAAACACGCTCCGATCGAGCGATGCAGATTCATATATCAACAATATCACCTCCTCGGATATTTCTCAACCAAATAAGAGTACTTAGTATATTAGCGTAAGTGTTGAGCTATGACGCTATGAAATATTGCATTTAGTATGATGTTTTAAGGTGACCAGGATGGCCATGAATTACGTTATATCGTACAGGTAGTATAATACTCAAATTCTCATATGGGTTGTGACGAAAGTGGACGACCGGACGGTTAGAACGGAGTTGGTAACTAGCGAGTGCTTGAAATGGCTGATGCCTCGGACATAAAAGGGATGTGAAAGGTCTATCTCCTGCCACGCATCATCATCTTCTTCTCCTTTTCCTTCTCTACACTTAACAGTACCGAATAAGACCTTTTGCCAACGGTCGCTTGACTCGTAACATGGATTTAAATATAGGTTAAGTTAAACAACAGGAAGTAGTTGGGGAGAGAGAAGAATGCACTGTGGCAAAACAAGAGTACGTCTTATCCTGGCCTTCGCTTTCAGAAACAATGGAAGTAGGCAGCAAGCAGTGCGTTTATCGGAGGAGGACTTTAAATGGAGACGCAACATGAGATGTGTCGACTAGCCCGAGCATTGGGGTGAGCGACCAGGTTGCTCACGGAGCTGCTCACGGAGCTGCTCACGTTTGCTTCACGAACTGTTCAGGCGGCGGGATGACTAACTCAGCCTCTGCTGCGGGGGTCGATCGCTTCCCGAGGTGACAGTTTTACCGTCACCTAGATTATATACCCAAACTTCTTCGGGGCTTTGGGGGTCTGTTCCAATTAATGTATCAGTTATATGGGATATATCGTTGTCTTGGGGGTAACGGGAATGAAGTGAGAATGGGACTCAGCAGACATACAAATGAAATGAGAACATGTTTCTTGTAACCACTGCTTTGGGGTTTACTTCACTCACTTACCAGTGCGATCTTGGCCAGGATCTTGTCAACGGGGGTGGTCGTTCGGGCCCCGTCATGTGCTCCCACACGGCCCTCCACAAGGGAGATCGTCTATATTGGGCTGTTGCTCGGGCTGTTTAGGCCCGGCAACCTTCTCATCCTCACCAGCTATCATTTGCTGGTCGAGGCAGCCGCTCGACGTTCCTCTCGACAAGGAGGGGGGGACGTATATTTCGAGAGATCACTTTCGAGCCCGCGCCTCGCAAGGGCTGCGAGACTCGAAGGCGATCTGTGCGGGGGATTTCTGGGGGGAGGTAAGCAGGGCGAAAAAGAGAGGGGGAATAGATCCTTGTGGATCATTGAGAATCGTACATGGTCTCTTCTCCTTGCACTCTGGAGATTGACCTTGAAGGCAATCGCCTGGGGGAGTGCGAGATGGGCGACGCCGCTCAGGAGAACCAGAAGAGGAACGAGCGGGGGGAGGAGTGCGAGACGGCCGACGGAATCGAGGACGCGAACGAGAGGAAGAGCGAGGAGGGGGAGTGCGAGAGGGACGACGGAAGCGAGGAGGCGAACGAGACGGAGAACGAGCACCAGGAGGAGTGCGATCGGGTCGGCGGAATCGTGGAGGAGAACGGGAGGGAGAGCGGCCGCGCGGGGGGAGTGCGATCTGGGCGTTCCGAAGGGAAGGAGGACGAGGCGTCGCGGCGAGGAGGGGATTCGCGATGGCGATAGCGACCGTATTGAGGGAGCGGTGAGCGAGAGCGGCGTCGATTGTAGGATCTTCTTCCTCCAAAGCCGCGGTCGCCTCGTTCGGCACGCTCTCGGCGTCTCAGATCATTCAGCTCGCGCTCTCGGATGCGCTCCTGTTCTTTCTCGCGCCGAGCAGCTTCGGCAGCTCTTTCCGCCTCAATCTATGTATACAACTGGTCAGGAACAGCTTTAACAATAAAGGGGATGTCCGTTTCACCTTCTCTTGCATGAGCTCCAGCTTCTTGGCCTCTAGAAGCTCCTTCGGCACACCCTGAGGGTTTTCCTGGCCGCTAAGGCAGAGGGACCAGAGCTCCTTGCAGAACTTGGGGGTGTCCTTGTCGAGGAACCCTGTGAGCTGGATTTGGAGAGCTTTGATGTCCGGCTATTCAACAGCGAGTCACAAAGTCAGCAAGAGTGCATCATATGGGAGTGGAGACCAATATCGCATTTCAGCACACAGAGCAAAGAGACAACATACATAGCGAGAGCCCTCAAGAAGGTTGAAGCACAGCTCGATGACAACGTCATCCTCATTTCCGAGGATATCAGAGATGCGCTTGGCGATCCATCTACAGCAGTCATGTGTCAGCCTTTCGACCTCTTGGTGTCGTCCAAAATCCGAGAAGATAGCTCACTTCTTCATGACCTCGATATTCACTTTGGTCATGTCCACCTTCTGGTTGAACTCGGGAGGGAACTTGGTTTTTTTGAGGAGCTTTGCATCCACAGGGGTCGCCATTTTTGGGAGCGAAGAGTGTGAGGGGGGAAGTGCGACGCGTCGTGGAACAAGAAGTGAAGAGGAAAAAGGTGCGGTGGACGAGAAGCTATATTATAAGGCGGTCTAGTACTGCTGGATCTACATGGAAGCGGTCTACAGGGCGGTCTAGGGTGTCCAAGGTCCAATTGGAAGTGTGGGGAAACGATCGGGCCATTTGGAGTAAGAAGAAAATAGAATTGAGTGGGAGTTTCTCTAGTATGAAGGATACATGGTCTATAGTTGGAAATTGCTTTTTATATGCCGGTTGATCAGGTAGTGGGAATACAGGATAGCTTGCAATTGATCGGCGGATACGCTAGACAGATACATGATCGATCGCTAGGCTATGAGTGTGCAGTACTGAAAAGTGCGCTATTGGTACGACTGACATCTTTACTAGCATTACAAGAGACAGCTGTTTGAGCCTGTGAAGTACCTGGTCATCAATATACATCACTGTTCATTCACATTCAACGGCGACCCACATGGAAACGCCACAAAGTGGAGAGACAACACCTCTGTTGTCGATGATGGACCATGGAGAAATGCGGCTGGAAGATAGAAACAATTCAGATATCATGCATCTCACTTCCAGCCATACTTGTGAGTTCAATATAGAACAGTCACTATAGATTGTGTTCATTGCGACGTTGGGTCTAACACCTCTCGAATCCATTCCGCAAAGGGCGTAAAGAAGAGACAGTTTTTGTATTGAGGTCTGTCACAAAAATCAATGAGCGCTTTGTATCTTTGCGTCGCTGTAGCCCCTGTGGCATAGGTGAGTTTGGCCAGATCCACTGGACAGAGAAAAGGAGGTTGTCGTGCATCTTCACGAATTGAACCTGTACCCTGCATAGCACAGGCATAATAGACGCAATGATCGATACCAAAACAGTGTCCAAGCTCGTGTGCGGCAGTACGACATACTCGGCCCAACCAGAGAGTTGAAAGGGCCGATGGAGACGGATTGATGGTCTCCAAGTCCCGATAAATGGACATTGCGGCCATGAGGGGTGAAGATGAGTTGGAGTGTGGGTCTTTGGACTTGTTTGGCTTTTGCAAGTTTGATGTCTTTTGTCGCTTTACATTTGACCGTGATTTGGTACAACACGTGGAGATGTATTCCTCGCAGTGCGATGCGGGCCAAGCATGGAGTCTTTCAACCGATTGGTGCTCGTCCAACGCCGGGTTATATCTTGAGCTGGAGACCACTGCAACCCTGCTCGCACCATACGCACGACCGCAAACGAATTCATCATCTTCATCCTCGTAGAGATCCTGATTAACCAGGAGCAGAAGTGCATATGCATCCTTGGGCAGCATAGCGATAGCAGCATCGAGTAGATCATCAAGATTCAGCTGACCACCAGAGATACCGTCCGGCGCTGGACGGGTACGGATGCGAATACATTCATTTCCAAACTTTAAGGCGACATATTTTGGCCGGCGACATTTTCGATTGCTTTTGAGCTCCTCATCCCATACGGTGAAAGCAGGGGCTAGTCGAGATAAACCCTTGACAGGCAGGCCATGGTAAAATGCTTGTAGATAATCGAGGATCGCCTGAGGTGACGGTTTCGTGACTTGATGTTCTTCGTCGAACTGCTTCTCCCATGCTCGCATGAATTGAACTTCATCCTCAATTTCTGGTGCAGTGACTACATATATCGTTTTTCGTTTCACAGACACTGGGTTGCGGTCTTCTTCATCAAGCCATTCTTGGAAGCTCTGCGGTGGATACTCAGGGTCTTCACTGAGGTCGTCACCGGGTAGTAGCAAAGGCGCCGGAAAGGTCCAAGGATCATCAATTGATATTGATTCTGACTCAGCAACCTTTGAGGGCTTCTGGGGCCTTGTTGCTGCTAGGCGTTGTTTTGCATCTGGTCTTTTGAAGCCTGCCTTCGAGGCATTTTGTGAACAAGCCACAGAGGCTGACGAATGTGTGCACCGAGGAGTAGAGATTGAAGACATATTTGTGTAGAAGGAGGGTGCAATTTTGACCACACCACAGCAGCAGAATTTGCTTGATAGAAGTTTGGCACAGAGTGGATAGAAGAGAAGGTTGGAATTAGGTTGAATGTTTTGGGGCGAGGGGCGGGTGTGGCTACGATCTTGGCTAGCGGGGAATGCCCTATAGAGCCAATCGTGAAATTAAACGCCTGTATAGTCAAGAATCTTTGGGAATTATATAGCATACGAAGTTCATAACCGCATTATCAGATCATTTCTTTGAAATCAATGGAGAATACCCCTAAAGAGTGGCGTTGCCAGTTCACGAATCAAAAGGCATGATCATCGAGTATAAGACATCAGCGCTGAGAAGGGGAAAGCAAACAGATGGCTGTTTTCACTTGCTTCAATTGGTCAGGCCTCAACTCTAGAGCGCGCTAACAGCGTCAACGGTTATAAAAGGCACAAATATAGAAGGGTACTAATGTTTGATTGTTTGCCCGCTTTGATTAACCTTCCTGCTCTCCAGAGCTAGTGAAAGCCGACGGGCGGAACAAGAAAATAGGGAACAACACGTCAGCTCGACAGGGAAGTCCCCAAAAGAACATGGAAATCGCGGGTACTCGTGCCTCCGAGGAGCTAGATACCTCTAGACGCCCAATATGGAGTCGCCAAAGGTAAGTCCATATCCAAGATGGGAGCAGAACGGGACCCAGAGTGCTGATGCGGAGACACATTCAGATATCTAGGATCTTTGATGTTCAACTTGGGAGCCTTCTTTCTTCCAGCACTCTACAGCACTCTCAGTAAGCTGTGGGTCGCCAATATCGACTCGAGCCAGGTGGTCTTGACAGAGATCTACACGTACATTGGCATCGTCGCCGAAGTCCTCAACGATGCATTTCCACGTTCTGCTTGGCACATCATTGGAGATAAAAGCACAAGATCGGTCCGTTCACGGTTCAATCTGGCATACACCTTGATGATAGTTACTGCGGCCCAAGGATTTATCCTGATGATCGTCTTTCTTGCATATCCTCAAAGCTTAGCAAAGGCCTTTGTTCCTGAGGAGGTTCAAGGAATCTCCCTCACTTATGTGAGGCTGTCTTCGGTTCAATTCTTGACCTCTGCAACGGAAGCTGCTCTGTCATCATCAACTCAAGCTCTTGATAATCCTGATGTCCCTTTGATTTTCAGCTCTGCCAAGTTTGTTATCAACATTGTGCTAGATTTCCTGGTCATCTCCAAATTTCACGTCACGAAGCAAAACCCGACAATTGTCTCTCAGGCTGTCGTGAGACTTGTTTGCGATATTGTCTCCGTTGTGGCCGGTCTATTGTACTTTTCTCTCATGGTTGCACGGAAAGTGCAGAAAGAACCAGACGGGAGAGAGCACTTGAGCATCGGGTTCTCGGCCTTCATGACTCTTCTTAAACCTAGCGTCTACACCTTCACAGAGTTTGCGATCAGAAACGCAATATACCTCTGGTATATGCTACCGCTTGGGGTGTTTTCAATACGATCCGCTGGGGAGTAGTTATGGTCCCAGTGCAAGCACTCGAGTCATCGACCCTTGCGTTTGTCGGTCATGCATGGGGAGCCTTCTGTGCATCAAAATTTACAAGTCACCCAAGAGCCTCCCGAAAAGAGAATAAGTAAGTCCATGCCGGAGAAGAATGATAGTCACTGACATGTTGCTATAGAAATAATCCGACCAGCGCTATTGTCACGTGTGATCGTCCTCATTTTTGAGGCGGTCATTTGCATTGCGCTTTCCATACGAGGAATAGATGGACTTGCCTACTATTCGTCTAATTCTAGCGATGTGGCTGCAATTACGCAGAGAATGTGGAGGGTAAGTCTTTAGCCTAGTTGGCTGACTGAAAATTCGTGTTAATTCTGGTTTGTAGGCCATAGATTGGACGTACATATTCTACGGGTTGAACTACCAGCTGGCAGCAGTGTTGCTTGCTGCTTCGCCTCGTTGGTTTTTGTACCAAGCACTGGGGTCAAATTTCCTTTGGATGCTCCCATGGGCGATAGTAATGACCAAAGTGTCACTGCCAAAATCTCAAGCTTAGTCATATTACGCCATCATCTTTGGCGGAGCTATGGTCTTTGATTTCTTCGATGTTAGTTTGACTATTCTTCTCTGGGTTTACAGACTATCCAAAGGCCGAGTCAGACTGTAGGCTCAGTATGGGTTAGAAGGGCTTTTAGGATATTTGGGGATCTCGTGAAATTCCAAGGACCTGGGCATGGATGAAGCAAATAGGAAAGAATATGGAAACTTATCAGTCTAAGTGAATTTTGAACTCCTGCTATGTACAAGGGGAAATTTAAAGCAGTAATGCATGGCTTGCTACCTCCCAAGTATATGATCGCGATGTTTGAATCTCCCATATTGTTTGATCTGGTCGCGGAAGTCCTTTGCCCATTGCAAGTGATATGCATCCCCGAGTTCAGTGAACAGCCTCACGGAAAGTTCCTGATCCTCCAAGTCTTCCGAGTGGTTGAATGGCGAGTAAAGATAGCGCCGCTGGATATTAGGGAGCTTTTTATCCCAGCCTTGTTCGATCGTATACCTTGAGACTGACAAAGCTTTTGCATCTGTGGCGTAAGCCTCAGGTGTATCTCGGAAAATATTTCGAGGTACTTGATCGAAAAGCAGGATCAGTGCCAATGCACCCTCTCCTTTACCTACTGATCTCCAGTGATCAAGATCACCAGCCTTGGCTGCGCTGTAGGTTTGACCGAGATGCTTGCGAACATATTCGTCGTCTGCAGGGCTCCCATACCAGAATGATTTTTGTCTCAGATAATTTCGCGAGGATTTGTTACCAAACCAGAAATTGAGAACACCTTCGTATGTTTTTGGAGTCGTTGTCTGTCTCATGACAGGCAGAAATGCTTTAAAATGAATATGAAGTTTGACGGACGCTGAAATTAAAACCAACGAAGTCCAAAATAAAGTACAGCGCGCCGCAACACTGAAATGACGTCACCGGGGCTCTGCGTGCGACCTCGGGCTTGAAGCATATCGAGACAGAACATTGTCTGCTTTTTATAGTGTCGAATTCAGTCATTTAGCCCTCCAAGAGCGACCCGATTAAAGCCGTGTGCAAACAGGAACCTAGGCCCAGGGTTGAGTTTAACATGTACAAGTCCGCCATTTGGCGGTAAATCCGTCGCGACCTTCAGCCTTGTCACATACCTCCGACATCAAGCTTAACTCCGGCGTTCCACTCTAGATCGGCCCATCGAGCGGACAATACGAAAGCCGAATGCGCGAAACCTGGTAAGCGGTTCTTTTCCCCACTTCAATCAACTTAAACTCTCACATGGACGGAAATTCACCTTATTGGGATACTCTCATTCTTTTGAACTGCATATCGTATTAGAGGGGATCAGAGGTTGATCTTGCGCGCTGCTCAACATGCCTTATATTCTTCTACAAAGCGCGACTATCCTAGTTCCCTCGGACAAGGCTGATGACTATGTTGTCCCTCTACGACAGCACTCCTTATTGATCGAGGGCAACAAGATCGCACAAATTGCTGCTCATATAGCCCCTCCAGATGGAGCCCATGTAATCGACTGCACAGACAAGATCATTTCACCCGGCTTTATTGATACGCATCATCATCTCTGGCAGACACAACTCAAGGGCCGCCACGCTGATCAATCTCTCGTTGAATACATGCCGAATGGAAACAGCCAATCGGTCAACTATCAACCAGAGGACGTTTTCTGGGGGTACTGGGGGGATGCCTTGAAGCGTTGGATGCTGGAACGACGACCGTTGTTGACCATGCTCATGTGAATGTGTCACCAGCTCACTGTAAGCTTACTCTTTTAACAATGGCCTGTATGCTTTGCTAATCAAAAACTCGCGCAGCCTCGAATGATATTGAAGCGACTGTTGCCTCTGGTATTCGCTCCGTCTTCTGTTATGCACCGACCCTGAGAATCAAGACGTGGAAGCCAGAATTCACATTCGACGGAGGTCTATTGGATGACTGGGTCATTGAAAACTTCGAAAGACTTGGTGCATCGGCCCCATTTGGCAATGGGCGAGTTCAGCTTGGCCTGGCATTTGATGGGTTTATGCTACCCAAGGAACAAGTAGTCTCGCTATACGAGCGAGCGCGCGCTATGGGAGCCCAAGTTGTCACGTCGCATTATGTGCGGTCTTATTTTGGTAAGAATTTCAATCCACCTCAAAATGAATCATTCCTGACGAGAGATGCAGGATCAGGCTCGCTCGTTGACACACTAGAGGAACTCGGCCTTCTTGGTTCAGACGTCCTTCTTTCACATGCAGGCAACCTTACATCGAGTGATATTGAGAAGCTCAATGAAGCAAAAGCATCCATTTCCACTACTCCAGACACGGAGCTTCAAATGGGACATGGCGATATTGTCTGCTTCAGAGAAGGTTGTTTTGGAATCGGCTCCTTGGGTATAGACTGTCACAGTAATAATTCCGGGGATATGGTATCACAGATGAGGCTTGCTTTACAGCATGAGCGGGGTACTCGCAACGAAAAGCTCATTACCAAAGGAAAGGCCCTTAAATCGCTGAACTTGTTCGTCCAAGACGTCTTCAGCTTGGGCACAATCAAGGGAGCCCGGGCTATCCACATGGAAGACAAACTGGGCTCTATTGAAGTTGGAAAATTAGCAGACTTGGTCATATTCGACGGCAACAGCCCTGGGATGATTTGTGCAGCCGAGCAAGACCCTGTTGCAGCTATCGTCCTCCATTCTTCGGTCCGCGATATTGATACGGTAATTGTCGACGGGGAGATCCGCAAGCAGAATGGAAACCTTCTACCAACAGATATCAACCCTTCGCTCCCCGATGTGACTATTGCGAGGCAGACAGTTGAGTGGAGGCAGGTCGCTAAGCAGCTTATTTCAAGCCGGGACGCGATTGAGGATGCGCGAAAGAAGGCAAATGCCGATGATCCTGAGTTTTTGGTCCAGGAATTTATGAAACTGATGCACTTGGAAGAGGACAGATTTGTCAAGATGTAGTTTATGAGACAATTTTCTTTACAGATTGATAGTCAATGCAAATTTGAATTCTCCTCTCCGTCATTTATTCCAATCTTTGTTTGGGAAGGATTGGGTTTCCACCTCTTGTTTGGGGCTTCAACTGTCCAGAAATGATCTGCATAGCCCTCCAAGCTTCCCAGTCCCTAACTGAACGAGTCTCATCTTGCTCACCTTCTCCGAGCGGGGGAATTATCCCCCCTTTCAACCTTGACATTGATGCGTTGCGACGAGCTCTGACGAGATAGGCGACACTTTGACGAGGTACCGATCCCTGTTCGCCCGGAGCCCTGATGACGCGGTGCAATGAGCTTCGAAGAAGCCCTCCTGTCCATTCCACCGTAGTGTCACCAACATTCACAATTGCACACCCTGGACAAGGCCGAATGTATCACCAATTCTCCAATGTATTCTCACTGCCAGCTGGGAGGACTTGTAGGCCCCCTAGGACATTGAACAGTAGTGTCATTGTTCCAAAATCAGTATGGCCGCCCAACGTGATTGAGCTTTCCTGTTGTGCAGGCTGCTGGTGGCTACGCAGAATGCGTACTGAAGTGTCGGATGTCTCATCTAACGGATTCAATGAGCCGAGTGTGCCGGGACTGACCCCTAGTTGCTCATCCAGACGGTATTGGATCGTCTTGATGACCGTATGAGAGTGGAGAATGAATTGTTTGATATCATTTCGCCGACTTTCGATAGGCTCGGCATTCTTGCGTGGTGAAACATTCCCGACAATATCGTCCTGGTTGATGCCATACATTTCCATCAAATCCTGTTTCCCATCGTCCGTCTTGAGTTTACCGGTCGCTTTGTATCTAAGTAGGTAAGAAAAAGGTAATTTTGATTAACTCCATGGTCATGAAATGCATAACTTACCCAGTAAGATCCCGTGGGGGATCATAAGCATGCTTTTCCAAAGTCTCCGAGCCAAGTGCAAAAGTCTCAGTAGTGAGTTCGAACATCTTCTCTGCATCCTGGAGCAAGGTAGCGCCCTCGTCGGAATGGATCAAGTCCAATAAAAAGAACCCGTATTCCCTGCATGCTTCAAACATGCTCACGGTGGTTTCATGGTTACCATTTTGTAACTGCTGGAAGGAGATTTGAGGAATCTCAAGAACAGGAACATCCTTGGGGAATGGTGGGCATGGATCGAAATAGCGAGAGGTCGGCATCTTATATTTGAGAATCACGCTAAATTATGGACGATAAAGATTGAGAGGCATCTGTTAGCCTTTAAGTATGTTCATGTACATAATGTCCAGCATTGGCCCCCAAATTCGGCGTCTTCTCGACGCGAAGCGGCTCAGGCCCCCTTCCAATACAAAAATGACACGATCCACATCGAAAGCTTGAAAGGACGCCTAGCCTTAGACCACTCAGCAACACGACCATTTTATCTATGACGATGTATGGATGGTTTCCTCCGCAAAATGTCTTTCAGGCCCCCAAACCACTGGGAGAATAGTCTCGGGTTGAGGCCTCCACCATTGTCGCAGCCTGTCCGCTCGTCTGGAACATTGCCCGCATTTGTCGGTCAGAAATATGGGATTGGGGGGCCTATATATTCGAAGGGGCAGATTGTAACCTGACAGTGAGTCCGGGAAACACAGATTATGGGAGACACGCGATCAGGTTGGGGTCCTAGTGAATGCAAGATATTGTGGCTGCGCGACTCGGAAACCGACCCGACCAGCATCCCCGTTTTCACATCATAGGCAGTACAGTTCGTACTTCTGAGATTAAAAACCCCCGCTCTTATTGGTTTATAGAATATTAATCTATACAGCAATTATACAGCCACATGATGAATTGATGCACCGCATTGTAATACGATCACGCAGGCTGGCTGACGCGGGCTGCGCTAGCGTAGCTTGTGTAACCCTTACTAGTCACAACGATCACGACTAGTTAGCAGCCTATTGATGATCCCTACTAGGAGAACTTGATCGAGACTCATGCATTGACTGATCCTTTAAGCCCTGCTATTCTATCATGTAGGGTTTATATAGATGCCCCTGCACAATACCGAGCTGAAAATGCTGTGGCTAAGTCGGTCGCTCAATAATTATTCATGTATAGACGAAGATCTAAGCCGGTCACTCTTCCCAAGTGTTCGGTCTCGCCGGAGGTGATTCCAGGTATACAATTGACCAAAAGTTGTAGTGAGATGAGCCTCGGATGGAGCTTCAGCTAGCAAAAACTCAAAATCGTTACTTGTCACTAGAGATAAAGCATGGAAACCAACAAGTTCCTTCTTAGCCGGCAGACGCTTCAAGTTCATAGGGGGCGATACTACCTACAGTACTCATGGCCGTAAGGGGCAAATGAAAAAGCACAAATGATGCATCAACCAATGATAATTGTCAGATGCACCTATGAAATCACTCTGCGCGGTGGATCACCCAATTTGCTTTTTTAATCTCTTAATAGCCTTGCATAATTGTCTCTGCTTTTTCTTGTCTCACGACCTCGCCCTTAAAACCTCTAGACTCGCCACATGTCGTCCATCCCCTTCAACAACACCAATCTATCCCCAGGATGTGGAAAAGCAAGAACTGGCTAGATCGCGATTATGGATCGATAATGCCTGCGAACGAAAATGAACGGAATAATGAATATGACGAAGAAAACCTTATCCCCTTGACGATATTCCCAGATCTGGAGGACCCCGACGAGGTCAAGCCGAAGCATCTGCTCCTCTTTATTCTCTCTATTCTGTGCTTCATTCTGACGGGGATATTCGTTTTGGCTTTGATTAGTGTGAGGATGTCGGATGAGCCGGTCGAATCATGACATGAACAGGAGTTGAATGTTTGTTGCTCTCTGTCATTCAAATCATGTCTCGTTGGTCTAACATGGTGTTTTCATTCAGATACATCCTTATCTCTTCTTCCCTGCTGGCGGGGTCCACCTTCCCTATCCCTCGTCTACATGTCGACTTCGACCTCGATATTATACGAGAAACTGCGATTCTTCGGCACTGTTGAAGTTTGTATCTGGGAATTTGGCCGTTGACGAGATGGAGGAATACAAACACAATATCTCAGTTGCTGGGAGGGCTACATTGATTTGTAATATAATTTTTTGGTACTATTTCTTGGAATTCATGTAAATATGCAACACGCTATTTCTAAGTGTTAAAAGTTCAGCCACTGCGCGTAGAGCTCGAACCTGATCACAGTTAAATACATGCGAGAGCAGATTCATCGTGTAGAAGACCCCTAGACCAAGTCAGATCTACGTCACGAGGTGGTTAACCGAAGATTTACCGATCTACATATGTGATAAGAATTAGACTTTGGTCAGGAACATAGAGCATGGTCCGCGAGTCATAAGAAATGCGCGCGTCTTCGGGAATTCGATACTGTTTTTCCTCATCGTGCGGTGGTGCTTCCTACCCAGCACACCCGAAAATCGTTCCTACCGTCCACAGAACAGCGAACAGCAAGATTGAGCAACGCCTGAAATAGATGAGATACGTTGGTATAGACTTTCAAACCACGAATGCTTAACAAATGAATATATCTCATCGCGCCACGTGCATGGTAATATCATAGAATGCCTGACATTTCTCTCAAAAGTGCCGAGTGGATCACAGTAGTTGGTACTGTACCCGCGGAGAGATATCCCAATAGTTCGACGATAAAGTTGGGAAATTGAGTTTCGGGACTTGTTCGGATTGTTCTTCGCTCATTGGACTCGGTTTTACGCCGGGCAAACCTAAAGTATATCTAGTACAGCACTTTCCCTCCGAACCCCCGTGTTCTGGCTCTGATAAAGTCCCAAATTTGAGTCTTTCGCAACAAACGTGTTTCAACTCAACTTTCAGCAATATTCCCTGTCGCGAGTTGGTACTGACACTTAAGTGCCATGCCATGGTATACGATCGGTGAAATCCGTGTTGCCGAGCTGGTGATCTGTATATTCTAGTGGTATAACTGATCGACAGGGTAGCGCTGTCAGTGGATCAGACTCCCTTCGACCTACTTTGCTCAATAAGGGACCACACGGCAATTAGCAAGGGTACCACCATCCTATTCAGTGAAAGATAAGAGGCAACAATGTCCGTGTAACCCATCTCATCTGACGAACTCTGTGGGGCGATCTCGTATGTCTCCGGCCTGTCTCCAGCCGTTTAAAGTGCCCAAAACCCAGATGAATCTCACAATGTCCCTGTCCCGTCCTCCTTTTCCTTCTTTTTCACCAGTCACCCCTTGGCCCTTTCAATATGGCCCCATCGCGGAATATTCTGTTCCTCACCAACAGCGAATTAGGTCAATGCAATGTCGCCTTCGCAGTAGCTGAGGAGTTCTTACGTCGCGGTGAATTCGCCGTCCATCTCGGCTCGTATAGTCCACTGGCTGAGCTAGTCGACGAATTGAACAAACGCATTGATTGCGGTCGATCAGCGGAATTCCACGAGATCCCAGGTCCTTCAATGACGGATTTAGCGGTTAGCAGTAACGTCGGTCTTCTTTTTCACCGACCGGGTGTGAAAGGTGCAACGCAGGGTTTTCAAAAGGTCGCTACCGCTATCAAGACTTGGAGGCCGTCGGAGTATCATAAAGCCTACAAGAGCTGTATAGCTATGATCGAGAAACTGTGCCCGGAAATTGTGGTGGTAGATCCGATTCTTCATGTTGGACTAGATGCATGCCGAACTGCCAAAGCTCGAGTCGCTATACTTTGGCCTGTTCCCCTTAAGGATGTGGTTATCGCTATTCAACCCAAGGCGGGAATATTCTGGAAATACCCCGTGTATGTTTTCCATCTTGGAGCCTATTTGGGGATGCAAATGCTGACTTGTTCCCCTAGTACTGGCTCGGGGTACCCGTTCCCACTACCATGGAAACTCATATTCAAGAATATCTATCTGGTATTTCGCGTGGTTATGGCACTAGCAACCGGAAAATTAAAACCTGATGAACTCCAAGATGGCAAGAAACCGGAAGGACGAAGTCCATTCCCACTGGTGAACGCATATTCGAAGGACTCTTTGAGCTTAACACCTGCCTTTGAAGAACTCGATTTTCCACTGCACGTCCCAAACAATGTCATCAGTTGTGGTCCAATTATCCGACGATGCCCACCACTCTCGACATCAGATCCTGGGCTGGAAGCATGGCTCAAGAAGCCCACTGTTTTTATCAGTCTGGGGTCACACGTTCGACTATCCGAATTTATTGCCGTTCAGATGGCGATGGGAGTCCGGACAGTCATTAAAGAGCGTCCTGATTTAAGAGTTCTGTGGAAACTCAAGTATGAGTGGGAGAGTTCAGATGAGTTTCAAAGAGTTTTGGGCTCGTCCATCACCGCTGGATCGGTCAAAGTGGTGTCCTGGATCCAGGCGGACATCATGTCTATTTTGGAAACTGGGCGGATCGCCACGTATGTCCACCACGGTGGAGCCAATTCCTACTTTGAAGCATGCAAGTAAGTAGTCATCGATCCTCTGGGCGGGGGAATCTTCAAATTTTCTAATCGTTTGTTCTAGGGTCGGTGTTCCTCAAGTCGTACTACCCCAATGGCTTGACACCTATGACTGTGCAACCCGGGTTGAATGGCTGGGAATCGGACTCAACGGCAGTCGAACTGCAGCACCCGGTGTTGAGGCAGAGGAGTTCTCAAAGGCTTTGCTCCATGTTCTGAGCGATGAGGGAATTCGGGCCAAGTCAGCTGCAGTCAAAGAGCTCTGTAAGGGCGAAGGCCGTATAGAGGCTCATAACCGCATTGTCGAGTTTTGTATGACATAGCAGCCACATATCATGACATCCTTTGATGTATATACCCAGTCGCTTTCCGTTATATCGCAAAGCATTCTCTCTGCACGTTGAGAATGGTCGGTCTCTGATGTAGACACCTCAACGCCGGTAGGAAACTAAACCACCGGAAGACACCATAGCCTTGAGTAAAACATGCGTAAATTTTCAAAAATGATATCATGGTCGTATATTTGATGAAACGCTTCAAAGACAAAACAACAGCACGACGAGTCCCCACAAACTGAGCCCACTCATGCCAACTCTCTCAGAACTCGATACACATCCTCCCTGGCTTGACGCAACTCATCATCCACTTCACCATTGACATGCCGAGACTTCACTTCATAATGTAACTGGACAAGCTCTTTGGCGCGTTGTAAGGCTTCTTGCTTGATAGCTTGACCATCCGAGGTGGCAACCAGCTCACTCTCAGCAGACGTGTCTTTAGCGGAAGCTAGTGGAGCACTGACAAGTGCAAGGGCCTCATTGTGTCCCTGGGAGATGTTAGTGTCCATGCTTTGATCCCTATCAGACCCTGCACCGCTGGCGCGTGTGTCGGGATGAATGGATGGTGGGGCGTGTTGGAGATGGTGGCAGGAGTGCCAAGACTTACACAGACGCGGAGCGAGGTGAGATCGGATAGTATTTCCGCAACCTGCATTGTGGATGAGGATGTCTTTGAAGATTGAGGATGAATTCTTTTCAGACGGTTGACGGGAGGTACGGTACAAGGACGATCAGGGAAGGAGAGGGATAGAAGTCTTGGCATGGGTTGCCACAACACGTTAATTCGGTTCGTACCGAGTATCCGTCCACAACCACATACCAACAAGTTATATTGGCTAGATACTCCTTACTGATCAATAATACAGAGACAACGACACCAAAAACTGATTTGTTAGTGAGTCGATGACTGAGGATCGGTGCACCGATTATCTACAGAGCACCCTGTCGTAACTGTCAGAAAGTGAGTGGCATACATCGATATTACTGAACTTCGAAAAAAGATATAACCGACGAGAAGCTGGCGAAAAATGATTCGCCCGGAAGAATAGAATTCACGATAATCGGTGCGAGGGAAACGACAGCAGAAATTTCAGTGCAAATTCCAGAGAGACCACCGACCAGCTGCAAACTAGAAAACACACTAGATTTCACTCCTTAAACGCCGCAAAAAAAGAGGGTGAAAAAGACGACATGAAGAAAACGAAAGCAAAGTCCTTGGGCTTAAAAAAAAAAAAAGAAAGCTCCGTATCATCCGAACTGCTGAACCGTGCGCCGGGGGCCAGAAACCGAAGGGACAAAAAGCACCACGGAGAGAGAGGAAACAAGGCGAAGCGAACAACGGCACCCACACCAGCGACTGAGAATAGGCGGAAGGGTATTGATATTGATGATGTCCTGGTGTTTGAGATGGGTGGGTGTTGATCTGTTGATGTGCACGAGGTGGCGGAGGCGGTTATGGAGGGAAGTATCAAGGGTTCGTGCAGGTGAGGTTCTCTTCACTGGTGACCGGAATTCGACGGTGGGAAACAGGCCGATCCGTTCACTTCTCATCAGACTCCAGGTCGGAGTCTGTCAGGTCTTCCTCGGTGATGGGGGACAGCTTGACAAGCCGGTACTTGCAGGTGTTGTCCGGCATCTCGAACGAGCCATCGTCCTTGACATGGTCCAAGGCATAGTTCTGCTGGTCCATGTACTCCTGCTCGTAGATGAGGTATTGTACCTCACGAGTCAGCCAGGTCCAGTACCAGCCGTTCTTGCGCAGGGCGTGGGTGAGACGCCGCCGGTACAGGCTGTTGTCGCACCCAGCCAGGAATGCCTCGATGAACAGAGAGTCATTGGCCTGACTCAGGCGAATCTGATCCCGGCGGAAGTTGTCGGCCTCGTCGAAATAGCCCCCGAGGGAGCGGTCTTCCTGATGCATGACTGCATCGAGCTTCATGGCGAGGGCGTCATCCGGCGAGAGTTGGTCGTCGTTCTGGTCACTTCCCGTGGTTGACTCGGGGCCGCTGCCCTGTGCAGACCGAGGTGACTGAGGGGAGCCATCTGACACCGCGCTGAGAGCAGACGAAAGTGAGGAAGCGGCATCCTCCTCATCGCCGTCGGAGAAGAATCGGGGCTGGTCGTACAGGGCCGCAAGCTGAGCCATGCAATCGGTGAGAACTTGATTGCCTAGCTTGAAGCGGGCGTCGTAATGGTACAGAGGTACCAGGGCCTTGCAGACGAGACGGTGCAGACGGCGGATGCGATGCTCAGCTCCATCCGAGTAACCGGTCAGGACAGTGACCATAGACGCGACAATGACGATGAGGTCATTGAGGAAGTTGGAGAGTAGCTCAGTGAGCTGCTCACCTTGGTTCAGCTGGTCCTTGATATCCAGCAGGCGGGAGGTAAGAATGCCATTCTGGCGCCGGAATTCGTACAGCCAGAGGAGGGCGAGAGGGGAGGCAAAGGTAGGAGAGGACTGAGACGTGGACATGGCGATGGCGTAGGTTTTGTGAAGTAAAGGAAGGGTTTAGACGAATGGGAGAGGAAGAGTGAAGAAGGGTGGTTTGTGAGGACTGTGAAGAGTTGGAAGAGGTCGAAGAGATTGAGAACGATGGAGAGTTCAAGAAGCGTGGAGGAAAAGAAAAGAATGAGATAGAGCAGAGGGGACGGAGTATAAAAAGGTTTAGGACGGCCAGGGTGAGGTGAAGGCAGCGATGGGAGTCGAGCAACTCACACCCTCGCACCCTCACCCCAAGGCAGACTTCCTGCGCTGCCTATTCACAGAGAAAAGAGCAAACATCAGTTCGTCTGCCTTCCTAGCCTCCAGTCAACCAGGCTACGATCATGATCTTCACATGGGATCGTGATGCTTCACTCACTTCCTAAACGGGAAAGTTAACGGATAAAGGATCGAATACACTAGGCATTCACAGCAGTACCTATTGAGAGATTGTAAACAGTCTATTCTATACCACACAGATAGTTGAAAAGAAATCATATGAAACCGTGGGGAAAAAGTCACATTTTGGCCCGATCTATTTGATTAAGTACGAGAAAGCGGCATTCTTAACCAACCAGAGCGAGCTAGATACAGAGGAAAACGGAGAATAAATGCGGGAAAAGAAAAAACCGCGACAGCACGAGGGAGCATAAACATGTCACATCTCCGTGACGTGTAAAAGGGGAGACATAGGAAAAGCATAGCAGTGTCCCCTGGAAGTGGGCCGACATCCGTGATCGAATCATTCTGATCAAGAGGACGAACCATCATCCTCCAAGGGACAGAAAGCCACTTTTGACGCAGTTTCTGCGATCATAAATCCGCATCAAGACATCATGAAAGGTGGAGGGGCGTTTAGATGAGGTCGGCAACGTTCATGGGCATCTCCTCAATCTGGGTGCTGTAGAACTGCTCGATCTCACGGAGCATGCGAACATCGTCGGCAGTGACGAAGTTGATGGCAACACCCTTACGACCGAAACGACCACCACGACCGATACGGTGAATGTAGTTCTCACGGTTGGCGGGGAGATCGTAGTTGATAACCAGGGAAACCTGCTGGACATCGATACCACGGGCCAGGAGGTCAGTGGCGATCAGGACACGGGAGGAACCAGAGCGGAACTCCTTCATGATAACATCACTAGATAGAAGTCAGTCAAGAAATTCCATATATGAAAGATATCAAGTAAACACATACCGCTGACCCTGCTCCATGTCACCGTGCATGGCGGAGACAGTGAAGTCACGAGCAGTGAGCTTGTCGGTGAGCCAGTCGACCTTTCGGCGGGTGTTGCAGAAGATGACGGCCTGGGTGATGGTGACGGTCTCGTAGAGATCGGACAGGGTGTCGAGCTTCCACTCCTCCTTCTCAACAGCAATGTAGAACTGCTTGATACCCTCAAGGGTAAGCTCCTGCTTCTTGACCAGGATGCGGACGGGGTCACGCATGAACTTGGTGGTAACCTCGAGGACGTCCTGGGGCATGGTAGCGGACAGGAGGGTGACCTGGGTAGACTGGGGGAGGAGCTGGAAGATGTCGTAGATCTGCTCGGTGAAACCGCGCTGTAGAAAGAAGGAATGTTAGTATATGGGGAAAGCCCTATCACAACATCATCGGGGTTAACTTACGGACAGCATCTCATCAGCCTCGTCGAGGATGAAGAGCTTCATGTGGTCGGTGCGGAGGACACGGCGCTGGATCATGTCGTGGACACGGCCGGGGGTACCGACAACAACCTGGGGACCCTCACGGAGAGCGGTCATGTCCTCACGGACGTTGGTACCACCGATACAGGCGTGGCACTCCAGGGTCATGAAGTCACCGATGGCAACAACGACCTTCTGGATCTGCTGAGCCAACTCACGGGTGGGAGCAAGGATCAGAGCCTGGCAAGCCTTCAGGTTGGGGTCGATCTTCTGGAGGGCAGAGATGGAGAAAGTGGCGGTCTTTCCGGTACCAGACTGGGCCTGGGCGATAACATCGTTACCTAAAGGAGGGGGAAAGGAGGTTAGACCAGATTCTTGTGTATTGACATTATTGTAATGCGCGATCGATCAATAAAACTCACCCTTGATGATGGGCATGATAGCACGCTGCTGGATAGCAGAGGGACGCTCGAAACCGTAGGCGTAGACACCTAATCAGTCAGGTTAGTGAATTTTCCACTGAGCCCCGCCACGGGCGGGATGATTTCCCACCCCACGAAAGGATTCACATACCGCGAAGCAGCTCAGGCTTGAGGTCCATGGCATCGAAGGAGTCGGTAACCTCATCGTAGTTAGACTCGATCTGACCTGTAGTGAGCGCGAACGTGCGATGTCAGCATTTTGAGTCTTTTCACATTTTCCACATTCCCCTATGTTTCATTGCCACACCGAGGGGTCGGGCGCAAGGTGAAAACTGTTTTTCACCAAAGCGACACATGGCGCTGAAAGGAAAGAGCCGTAAGAGCAGTAGAACGTACTCTCCTGGAGGTCCTCAAGACCCTTATCGTTCGACATGATTGCGGTTGGGTGATTGATCACAGACGACTCTCCGCTGTGACCGGGTGGGGTGAGTTTAAGCGAACGTGCCCTGTGGGGGAAAGTTCGCGAGCGAGGATCGAAAGTGCTAGTATCAAAGGCTCTTCAAAGGTGAAGAGCGGAGAGATACTAGAAAAAAGGTGTGATATGAGTTGGTGGTATGTGTTTCACAAAAAGGGTGGGAGAAGAGAAAAGGAAAAAAATCGTCGGCCGTCCGTGCCTTTTGCTACAACGCTTTTTTTTTTCACAATGCCTCACCGCCTTCCCAAAGTGGGGCCCATCGCACGGGCCTCCAAGCGAGTCAATCGAGATTGTCTTTGGGACGTTTCTTTTTCTGTTACTGTTCCTGGTTGACTATCATTCTCATTCGTCTATTGGGGCTTTGGGTGGTGGTGCATATTTATTCAATTTGGGCCGTCGTTCGTTGCCAACGGGGCTGTTGGGGGAAGTGGGCAGAAAAAAAAATTCCTTGAAAGCCCTAAAGATCCAAAGTGGCGGACAATGCCTGACATCACACTGCTACCAAGTTATCCACCGGCCGTGGATGGCCAACAGGGCGACGAGGCCATTCCCAGCCATCCACTAGGTGTAAAACCCAGTGGAAATGCCCTGCTAGCAACATGGAGTCTTCGCGACGCGATAGGCACTTTCCGGCTTTTACCCGATGAGTTGATTCTGTTGTTGCTAGAACACTTGGACGGTTCGAGTCTACTGGGCATTGGGCGCACCTGCAAGGCCTTTTACGCATTTACTCGTGCTGAAGAGTTGTGGAAGGCTCTATTTGTTAGGTAAGATCCTTTCTTCATTCTTACTGGGAAGATCAGGTCTGAATATTATTCATTGTGGCGTTGTTGTGTGTTGATGGGCATCGAACTATATTCGGTATCTATGCGGCCCAATAACTGCAACGAATATATACTACCCAAAAGTACCCGGTGACCAACTAACTTTCATCGCAGATCCCCATTGGACAACTTTACATGGCGAGGGACATGGCGATCAACATATCTCAACCTGCCCTCATCAAAAGTCCCCATGATTGATTGCTCCCACCTCTACTCCGACGTACTATACCGCCCTTTCAACTGCGCGCATATCGTGCTTGACCCCTATGTCACCAACATCCCAGTGCGCAACCAGATCCCGCGCTTGCCGGATCTTTCTCCAGAGGATTTCCATGCAGAATGGGCTGATCGACCATTCGTCTTGACTGAACCCGTCAAGGCCTGGCCAGTCTACAAGGACTGGACCATCGGGTCCCTGCTCTCTGAACATGGGCAGGAGAAATTCCGCGCAGAGGCTGTCGACTGGCCACTGTCTACCTATCGTGATTACCTGGCGGATAATTCCGACGAGAGTCCATTATACCTGTTTGATCGCGCGTTCGTCCCAAAGATGGGTCTGGCTGTTGGCCCTCCCGAGTCGACCCCAAATGCGGCATACTGGCCGCCATCGTGCTTCGCGGAAGACTTCTTCTCAGTACTCGGTAAAGACCGACCCGACCACCAGTGGCTGATTGTCGGCCCCGAACGCTCGGGCAGCAAGTTCCACAAGGATCCTAACGCGACCAGTGCCTGGAATGCAGTGCTGCGTGGGCCAAAGTATTGGATCATGTTCCCATCAGGCGATAAGCGAGCTCCACCACCGGGTGTCTTCGTGTCTGATGATCAGAGCGAGGTAACATCGCCATTGAGCATTGCCGAGTGGCTGCTCAACTTCCACGCAGAGGCTCGACGCACACCGGGCTGTATGGAAGGAATCTGCGGCGAGGGCGAGATCTTGCACGTCCCATCAGGTTGGTGGCATCTGGTGGTCAACTTGGCGCCGTCTATTGCGATTACACAGAACTTCATCCCTCGTGCGCATCTATGCGCTGCACTGGATTTCTTGTCCAACAAGGCAGACCAGGTCTCTGGGTTCCGGAAGAATGTCGAGAACCCCTACGAGAACTTTGTGAATGGCATGCAAGACAAATATCCCGATCTTCTGGCACAGGCCCAAGAAGAGCTACAAAAGAAAGCGGATGGGAAAAAGCGCAAATGGGAAGACATCGTTCATGGAAAGACTGAAGAAGACGAAAGCGCCACAGGGGGCTTCAGCTTTGGGTTCGGAGATGACAGCGACGTTGAAGTCCCTTGATATATTGGGTCTACATATAGTAGAAATCACTCATTGGTGAAAAGCCCATATGAAATGAAAGTTACGAAGCCTATGCAAACATCCCATGCTTTCCAATCACTGATCCAGAAACGCCGATATGAGCCCGCCACCTTAGTGGCAAGCAATAGACTTGGTAGCTGGAGTGCCATCGGCTAAAGCCAAATATCCAACAAAGGCACCAACCGCAACAGCCAGCATCACCATGCCATTGTATGTCATGAAAAGAAGCCTAGTCAGAGGAAAACAGGGGGATCAGAAGCACTCCCAACGAGGTAGAGGTGAAATATCAACTCACATGATAAAGAAGCTGTAAAAGACCTGAATGGCATACAGCGATGCCAAAGTAATTTTCCCCCGGCGTGCAAGCGCAGCCCTAGTATCCCGTCCTACAAGAAGTGGTGAGCCCTCGGAATGGATAGCATCGTGGACGTTAGCGGTGACCGGCTCGGGAATACCATCAACTGCAGAGCAAGACATCAATGAGAGAGCTCGCTCAAGCAGGAAGTGCACAAGGAGGAGCAACGGGCCATGTAAACCACAACCTCAACCTCACCCGCCATGCCAACGCCATACAAACACCATGTGTATCGCCGCATAGAAAAGACACTTGTTTATGGAAGAAGAGAGATTCAACATACCTCCACCTGTAGTCGATGTTGCTGCAAAAGCATTCAAACGCTGGTTATGGGCAGCTTCGTATTTGCGGGTTATTTGTCGGACACCCTCGTAACCAGCTGTGAGGAGGACGATAAGCACCAGGGAGAGGAGGAAAGAGACGGGTCCGGTGACGCGCCACTGGCGGAAGATGATGCAAAGGTTCTTGGAAGACCATGTAAAGAGCATCTAGAGAAGAAGACGTAGTCAGTAAAGGTAATAGAGCTATAGAGGGAGTTCCATGTGTACTTGCATTCATATCGCATTGGCCCATGTCCATATCGCCATGGCCCATATCGCCGTGGTCCATGTGGCTGTGATCCATCATCGAGTGATCCATAGTGAAAAAAAGGTTGGAACAGTCTCTTGAAGTAGCGCGAAGCCCAGTAGACTCGAACCAGATATCTCGAGCTTATGGTCCAGTGACACGAGGGGATCAACAAGGGCGTGATGGCGTGAACATGCAAACGATGCAAACAGCGATAAGAGCGGGCTCTCGCCAGCTTCGGCCGCCTCGCAATCCCGCCGCTTGCAGTTCCTCTTTCGACGCCCGCGAATTCCACCATTCTGGCCCGTGTATACGCTCTTTGCACATTCTCAATCTCTTTCCTTGAACCAAAAACTCGTCTTCAAACTGATATGGCGGACACAGCCCCCGCCCAGGCCGCTATGCCTGCGACTGGCGCACCCGCACCAACGAACGGCGTCACCACAGGAGCCTCGAATGCGCCCAGCGATCAGAATACCGCAAACCGCGGCCTACCATACTACGAGAAGTTGCGACGGGAGCTTCGGGATACGATACAGAAGAAGCGCCTGATGGACAAGAGCATGGTGAGTCGCGTCGCGCGCCAAGTCGCGCCGGACAAGCACTGCACCCGGCGGACCAGTCACTGGAAAACCACTGGGCGCATTGAATCTGGATCGCATCCTGCCAATGACTTGGCATTTAGCCTATGAATATCGTATATACTGACCCTTTCTCCGCACAGGCCCAACTCGAGGACCAGATCTTCCGATTCGAACAAACCTACCTCGAAGAAACGACGGCCGGCAACATCATCAAAGGTTTCGACAACTACATCAAGGGCTCATCAAGCGGCTCTAGTCTCGGTGCTTCCGGGCTAAGTCTCGGATCAGGCGTTGGCGGGCGGCGCAAAGCACAAGTAACAGATTCCGACCGAGTTTTCTCACGAAGCTCAGCAAGCTACATGCTGGTAGGTCTACAAAGCTGTCCATGAAAGAAAGATCCCGGCTAACAACGCTAATTTCTGTTTCTTTTGATAGGAATCCCCCGGCCCATCCTCCGCACAAACGACCCCCTCTCACGCCGCAACACCGACCTCCACAGCGGGCGGGAACGCGCCTTCAAACAAGAGCACTGGCGGCGACTCTACGACGGCATCTAAAGCTGGCGGTGGCGGCTCGTCCAAAAATAAGAAGAAGGCTAGTGGTGGCTCGAAGAATACCAAGGGCAAGAATCAGACCGATGATCTTTCAGATGATGCAGATTCTAAGCCACCTGTGAAACGATTGAAGATTAGCTACGGACGAGATTAGTCGGTTGCGCTGAGTTCCGGCTTGCATCTTTGTTTCTTGATGGGTTGAATTTGGAGTTTGGGAGGTTATTGATATCATGGAGTTGACACGGTGAAGGGTTAGGCGCTGATAAAAATGGGGGTTGTTCGTCTCAATTACCCATCATGTACATCACGGCTTTGGAGACTACATTATACGTTGCCATACACTACTTGCTTCCAATTTATCATGCAAGAAAAAGATGTGCATTTCCATAATAAAGACTGACCGCTGAGTGCTAGCAACATGATACCCCAGAATAAACCAACGGGCTGAAAAAGCTTATAGCTGGAGCCGATAGGTAGCAATCTCAAACGCTCGTACCTCGATATCCACTGTGAGGGATCCCTCTTTGGTCTTCTGGATCTCCAATTCCTCTTCGTCATCTTCAAGGACGTTGCACTTCCAGACACGCTTGACAGGCAACGAGCTGTGAATAGAGGCACGGGCCTTTCCACCGAGGGACTCGTAGACGCGTAGAATGACACTCTTGCCAGGGCGAGCGGGAATGCCACCCGTAGAGACGTCCTCGTCATCCTCACCACGCTTGACAGCATCCAAGACGATGGACGAACCGCCCTGAATGGAAACCGCCTTGAAGGCAGCGTTGTACTTAGAAACCTGGGAGCTGCCCTGCTCGATGGCCAGCGGATGGTTGAAGTTATAGCCGGCACGGACAGTGCGGGCATCAAGATTACCTGAGTGGGGAAGAATGGCGTAGCGGATGTGGTGGCGGCCCATATCGGCATGGGCGTCTGGGGCTTTGGGAGCACGGAGCAGCGAGAGGCGCATCAAGTTGCCGCATGTAGCGAAACCATACTTGGAGTCGTTGAGAATCGAGACACCGTATCCGTGCTCAGAGAGATCGGCCCATTTGTGGCAGCAGACCTCGAACTTGGCCATGTCCCAGCTGGGAGAGCATGTTAGAGGATATAACAAGAAGTTAATACGGGATTCAAAACGTACCTTGTGTTATAGTGAGTCGGGCGTCGGACAATACCATATTGGGTTTCGTAAGACGCCTCAGTGTTCGTCACATCAACTGGGAATTCAACCTTGAGGAACTTCATGGTCTCATGCCACTCGACTTCGCTCTCGAATTCGACGATGGAAGGCTCGGAAGAGACAGATGCAGAAAGGCTGATGGTGGTTTTCACCCAACTCTTCTCACTAATTCTCGTCTTTGTAACGACACTGGCTCGGTTCTGATCGTCTTCTGCAATGAACGTCTTGCTGACGGGAAGCTCCTTTCGCGATTCCAGGTGGAATACCTCCACATCCCAGGCTTGCCAGTATAGAGGCTTGTCGTCGAAGATGACCAGCTGACCCGCCTTGCCACCCTTGGGGATGACCTCTCTTTGGGCATCGACATCGAACAAAGAGATGATAACGCCGTCTTGGACGTCGATCTTGAGTTTGCCATTCTGCAGCCGGAATACACCAGGCTCGATTTCAGATACGGTGACTCTAGTGGTGGCCTTGAAATCAACTGGCTGGCATGCAATAACGCCAGTCGAGCCATCAACCAGAGCATACTTAGATCCATCGGAAGCAACCAAGGGTGCGGGAATCTTCACAACTTCTGAACGAGGCCAAGGCAAAGTATTCAGAGCCACGAGGCCAGTGCTTCCACTGACTCCCAACGCTGCAAGGGCGTCCTTGCGCAGCTTCTGACCCGTCTGGAAAATTCCAGCGTACAGCTTGTCGGAGTCATCGTAGCACATCTCAATGGAGCTACCGGGTAGGCAATCATGGAATTGGCAGAGAAGGGTTCCCTCCCACATTTCATCGATCTGCTCCTTAGGGTACTTGTAGCTCTTGTCCGAGCCACGAAGGGTAGCCAGTGTAGCCAGAAGCTCAATCTCACGCAGAAGGAATTCTGACTTGCGATTGTTGCGCTTATTGTTGGCCTGAGTCGTGTAGGTGCCGCGGTGCAGCTCAAAGTACAGCTCGCCATACCAGGTCGCGAACTCGGTACCGTTGGCAGCTTTTGCTTCCAACCTTTCGAAGAAATCGTCAACCGATTCGCCCATCTTGACCTTGGGGAGAAGGCCGATCTTATCACTGATGCCTCGGCATCGGCGCAACTTCTCTAGATGCTCGAAGGTCGGGCCACCGCCACCATCTCCTTTGCCAAAGACGAGCAAGGATGATTTGTCTTTGTCCATTGACTTGTGCTGAGTGATACTGCGCTTGACATCGCCGAAATGGGCCTCGGCCGTATACGTCTCCGAGGGGGGCATGTGGCACAACACTTGGCTACCATCGAGTGCAACCCATTGAAAGGTTGTATGCGGGAAGTTGTTGATGTTATTCCAACTCAGTTTCTGAGTGAAGAAGCGGTTCATCCCGGCAAGTCGGCAGATCTGTGGAATCTGCGTCGAATATCCGAACGTGTCGGGCAGCCAGAAAGTATTGACTCGTTTGCCAAAGTGGCTTTCAAAGAATCGTTGTCCATAGATGAACTGGCGGACAAGTGACTCGCCACTGGGCATGTTGGTATCATGCTCGACCCAGCTACCACCGATAGGCTGGAAATTGCCCTTTCGAACCCATCGCTTCACTCGGTCAAATACAGACGGGTAGTATTGCTTGAGCCATTTGAACTGCTGGGCCTGGGACACGGTGAAGCGATGCTCGGGGTACCGCTCCATCAGATCGCACTGATTTGACCACGATCTTGCAACCTTGCGCTTGGTCTCCGCCCAAGGCCAGAGCCAGCAAGTATCAATGTGGCAATGGCCGATCGCATAGACAAACGGATCTGTGTCGGGTGCGTAGACATCCGCGGAGTCTACCTTTTCGCCGAGGTACTTCTGCGCGATTTTCCGTGCCTCTATGATAGACTCTTGACTTCCATCGCCCGCAATGAAAGCGTCTATCATAGCATTGCCCACCATGTTAGCCTCGTGAGCCTCCCACGAGTCACCAGGGAACTCTCGAGCGGCATCGCCAATAATCCAGAAATCGTAGTACAGTGCCCGCGCTTGCAGATTTACCGCCACGATTTGCGCTTTGCTGAGCTGGTAGTACTTGTCCGGTCTCGGTGGCTGGATCGAATCGCCGCCGGGGGCGTTACCGAACATGCCATTGCAGGCCATTTCGATATAGAACGTATGCTGCTTCCCATCACGCCAGGCGTCCGGGATGATCCATTCAGTTCGCTCTCCGCCACCGGTCAATCCCTGCAAAGGGTGTCCGTCCTCGGTCCACACCAAGCCTTCGTTATTAGCATCCCAGTGGAACTCCAGGCGCTCCTTCTTCAGCAAGTCAGAGGGAACCGTGAGCTGAATGCGGAACCAATGTGTCGACCAGCTTGGACCGAATGACTCGCCGACGTGAGTCGGTCTGAATTCATTGGAGGTAGCTTCCTTGAAGGTCGGGCGTTCGAGGTTTGGCACCGAGTAGACCGACAGCTTGACATGGTCGCTGTCGGAAATGACTGCTTCGTAGTATTTCGCAACGAGATTCTGGCCTTCATATTGACCATGTGCTGTGATCTGGCGAAGCCTATCAGTATAGATCTTGGTGATGCGCTGGCCAACCGGCCGCTCGGCTAGTCGTGGCAGCGATCGCGAGGCTGGGGTGGGGGCAAGATGCGGAGCTTCTCCACCCATGATTGTGATGGCGTTAGTTTTGGGATTTAGGAGAGTGTGTAAAATGGCAATACAAGTGAGTGTTTTAAAGCGAAAGACTGTACAAAGATAGAGCTAAGATGTAGGTAGGTAGAGCAGCGAATTGGAGGAAGGAAGGAGGGAGGAATGGAGGAAAGGATGGCTTATGCACAGAAGATGGCTGGATGCGGAGAAGATGACCTCACCCCGCGTCCAGTTACGATCGGCGGGGGACAAACTATACTCGATCAAATGATATACAATGTTCAGAAACAACCACTATTTACATATATCAAGATTTCTATGTTTTCGATCGAACATGTCTATTCGTCATACATGAAAGGACTAATATGATCAGCCCACATAAGTAGCATACTTCGCCCACTCCTCGTCCGCCTTTAACCTCTCCCAATCTTCATCTCTAAGACAGATTCCAACCGCCATCTCTCCATTCGGCGATTTAGGCATAATATACATCAGAGACTCGAACGGAACAAATGCTGGCCGGCGAACAGCCTCCGGTTTGCCAAGCCCCAAATTAAAATCGAGCCCAAAGGTGTTGATCTTAGCCCAGGAGCTCAACATAATACCAGATGAAGTATCCACGCATGCTGTAGCAGAAGTTTTCGTCTTGTCTGCTGATCGGGATTGGAATGTAGCGAGAGCGCGGGTGTTGTAGGCCAAGTCGACCACTTTAGGATCCAGCTTTCGGCGAAGCTGAGACGCAATTGCTCCCAGTGGTTGCTCGGCGAGATGTTGCAGGTTGCCTTTGCTGTATGCCATATTTTGGAACATGCCTAAATAAGTGCTAGGGATCCCCATACGTTGGCGAACATCAACTGCTCGTGCAAAGGCAGATTCAGTACCGGAGTCGAGACGGTGCAGACGTGCCCGAGCTGTGCATTTCCAAATGAAAGCGCACACCGCGTCATCGGTCGAGACGAAAGCCCTTGACGAATCTTTGGTCTGGGTTGCTTGTGTTTTGAGAGCCTCTAGCGAGTCTTCTGAGAAGGCGACGTAGGCCCATGAAGACGGCGGTGGAGTTGTGGTGTCGCTAGTCTTCTTGTCAGGCGATGGAGGCTTCACCAACTGATGCTTGAGCTCCACGGCAGGGTCAAATGGTTCGTCCAGAAGGGTGATAGTCTTGCTCCTATCCATATTTCCAATGGAAAGCTCCTCGGCTGTGAATGCCTGATTGTGACAAGCCTTGGAGAGCAGGTCGATGATGTGTCCTTGTCCCGTCATATCCATGACATTGTGCTGACCCACTATCGTGAGCATGAGGCCGCCAGTGATGAAGGTCGCCTGTACGGCAAGGACGGGCGCAGATGTTGCAGCTAACCCAATTGTATTTCCAGGGAGATTGAGAGTCAAACATGGAGCAATAATTTTCTCGTCGAGCATAGTGAATGGGTAATTTGACTGTCGAAGACTCTCCAGGATCGGGGCAGACTCGTCACCACGAAGGTCCTTCACAACCAAGGGGATCTTTTCGTTTGAGGGTACAATTCTGTAAGTACCTGTGACCCCTTCACTGGCGCCTTCATTGATGACTTCTCCAGCAAGCCATGGAAACCCTTCTGCGAGTCTGTCAAGTCCATCTCTTAGGGTGTCGGTAATTTCCGATGATGGCTCGGATGCGGCGAAGATAATGCACAGTTGGGTGTATAACCTGTGCAGAAAGGGACTGTTGCCCAGGATGTCAATGCTATCGTTTTCCAGCATGTTTGATGGTGATGATATTTGCTTGCCTCTCCAGCTCCAAGGGAATTGTTCGCGTCTTAAACAGTCGCCTTCTGATATCCACAACGGGCAAGTGGAGATGCACGGACCCGCTTCACGCGCGGTCGGAGGTGAGTCAAGATGACTCGGAATTTGTCCTCTTTACATCACTGGAAGATGAGGCAGTCGAAGGTAAATTTCTACAAATTTGGGGCAGCGTTTAAATAATTCAAACCATGTCCAAATAATTTGAAGGCTTTCGCACTTTGTCAAGCTCAATAGGTACCTTATCGAACCTAGGAAGTCTGGTCACCTCAGTTAAGCATATATATATATCCTTGCTTCGCTAGGTATATATCCTCTGCGGGACATCCATCGGATGGTATTAGGTAGGCGACCGCCCCGTCCAAATGAAACCACCACCACCTAGTAGTATGTATTGATTCCACATGAAGTATATGAAACGAGATGAGGGTTATCTTTGATTGAATACTCGGTAAAAATTTCACCAACCAAAAGATCTTGGCGTTTAGGTACACGAGAATCCCATACGTAGACTACTTCCTGTCCAATTCCAAACCACCTTAGTACATTTCATATCGCCAATTGAGTTGCACCATCTCCTCGGTAACACCGCCCTTGATAGCCTTTGCAATCTCATCAGGATCGCCAGAATCCAATCGCCTGTTCTCACGCAGGACCAGCCAGCGATAGGCAGTGATAGTCACGCCGAGCAACAGCGCAGAGGCCATGAGAGCCCCGAACGCCGCATAGAAATGCGGCGACGAATAGTACAGATACGATGCCCAGATGTTCGATGTACCTCCAATGGCGTTGACCAAGGCAGAGGCAGCCGCACGTTTGGAGATGGGACGTGCAAGATGAAGGTTGATGGTCTTGTATAGAAGAAGCTGAGGCCCCACAGAGGCAAATGGTAGGATGACCATTGAGAAGTATCGTGCACCCACGTTCAGTGTGGTCATCGAGATGATGTACATGGCGACTGATATGGCAATGCACATCAGGATGAGTGGGTAGACGGTGTTCTTGCGATCGGAGTAGTACATGATCACATAATAGACGGCACCGGCGAGGATGTATGGTGGTGCGGTCAAAAGCAGACTGATAGTGTGGGAGAAGTTCAAAGAGGCCACCAAGGTAGGGAAATAGTTGGCAATGGACCCCTGGACTTGGGAAAGCATGTTGCAGAGAATCAGGAGAATCAGCTTGGGGTCGGACAAGGCTTTGGCAAAGCCTCGAAGCACACTCTCCTTTTCAGTTCCCTCAGCTGCACCAGCTTCGGATTCGATACGCCATACAGCGAGGGCACGCTGTTCTGAAGAGAGGATGCGACTGTTGTGAGGGAACTCTGGCATGATACAAGCACAGATGACACCGATTCCAACCGTAGCGCTGCCTTCAATGATGAAAAGCCATCGCCAGCCGCGGATACCATGCACACCGTCGAGCTGTAAGATAGCAGCAGCGAAGAGGCCGCCAAAGGCATTGCCCACTTGCTGTGCAATATACAAGCCAGCAATTCGCTTGCCGAGCTCGACCTTTGTGTACCAGGCAGAGAGATAATAGATAGCACCGGGGAAGAAGACGGCTTCGGCTGCTCCAAGAATGGCTCGGACGGCGAGAAGTTGACCATAGCTCTGGACAGCAGCTGTTGCAGCAGAGATGCAGCCCCAGAGTGCCACGGCAGCACATATATACATTCCAGGGCGAGAGATCTTCGTGATGAGCAGGTTGCTGGGAATCTGGAAAGGCAGATAGCCCACGAACAGGATACTAACGGCTGTCGCAAACTGTTCGGTTGTCATGTTCAGGTCGTCGGTGATTCCCTGAAGTTTTGCAGAGGCAAGGTTCTGCCGGTCGATGTAGTTGAGAATATAGAGAATACCGATGGTAGGAAGGACGAGGAGATCGATCTTTCGGACAATCTTCTTGTTCAGCCTGGCAATCTCATCCTCACCCAGTCCCCGAAGGGATTCAGGCAGTCGACGATATGCAGCGCTGGTAACATCGAATTGTCCCTCTGCAGACGATAGATTATCATCATCAATAGTGTATGCTGGGTCTTTCTTGACCTCCATTGTGATAGAGAAAAAAAGATGAGAAATAGAATTGATCACGTCTTCACAATGTGATTGACGACTAGTGCACTCAGAAAGGGCTCCCCTCAAAGGAGGGCCTGTATAATAAGAGTCCGGAGCTCTATCTCTCGAGCCTGTGCTTCTGATGACCCCGGTATCTCAGGTATCAGCCGACTAATGATCACTCCTTCTTTACAAAGGATCGTGACTCATTGATTCGTCGACGCAGAGTGGACCCATCATGAAGGTTGGAGATAAGCGGAGGGAGGAGCGCATAAATAAGCATTATCGGACCAATTGAGATCAATTTCCCCAGACGACCGACGGTCTGATAGAAATCCGGGGTACATGGGGCGAGGGTTGCATGGATTTTGGAGTTGGGAGGAGCTAACGGGCGGAGTGGAGGTCTGAGAGCCGAGAACTTTGGGAGGCAAAAAACGAGTGAGCTCCTCCCAGCGGAGTGGGGCTCCTCCCACGGGAGGAGTATAGCGGAGCCTTTCTATCATCTGGAGGGCTTTGGAGGGAGGAGGGAACACAAATGATGCATGAAGACATCCCCAGTCTAGCAATGACCAAATTGAAGACCAGAATGTGCTCTAGGTAAGTTTACGTTGATAAGTAGCCGATATTCTTCGATTAGTTGGCGTATTCTACATCTTTGTCTCAGAATCTCTTCAAGGCAATTGAACTATCTCTATCTCTATCTTTTTGACTTCTTTTGAATAACGCCAAAATGACTGTCGCAATGAGCTATCCCACTCCTCAAACGACTAAGATCGAGAACCCTCGACTGAGGCTTCTCAATAAGCTTAAGGCTGGCGAATTCCCAGTTTTGACCTTTATGGCTATCCCTTCCGTCAGAATGGCCCAGATCGTTTCCTTGACCGGCCTCGATGGCATTGTGGTCGATGCGGAACATGGTCATATCGGTGATGATGCGATGCACAACTCGGTGGCTGCAATTGCTTCCCTCGGCGTTTCGCCCGTTATCCGAATCCGTGGACCCGCTCATGACATTCTCAAGCGCGCTCTGGATACCGGAGCCCATGGCATTATGGTCCCTCAAATTAACAACGCTGAAGAGGCACGACAGGTCGTCGCATCTTCCAAGTTCCCGCCTCAGGGTGTCCGTGGTCAAGGCTCGGCCTTCCCTGCCATTGGTCATGGTCTGACGACACCTGAGTACATGAAGAGCGCCAACGAGACTATCATCACTATGCTTCAGATTGAGACGAAAGCCGGTGTCGACAATGTGGATGAAATTGCCGCCGTTCCCGGTGTCGATCTGCTTTTCATTGGACCTAATGACCTCGCACAGTCCCTGCTTGGCTATACTCCCGCTCGTGGAGACGAGCCGGAGTTCGTCGCTGCCATTGATAAGATCATCGCCGCCGCGAAGAAGCATGGCAAGTGGTGTGGCCGTATGACGAATGACGGAGCTGCAAGCAAGGAAGGAAGGAAGAAGTACGATATGGTTTCGATGACTGGAGACACCAAGGCGATTCAAAATTGGTATATTGCAGAGCTCGAGGTTGCTCGGTCATGAGGAATGAGTTGGTCACAATTTTGAAAATACTTTATAGAGATTCATGTACTTTGACGATATTCACATTTCCAATTTATAAGGCTTTTAACAAAGATCCACTCTTAATGTAGAAAAGACGAAGTCAATTGGCCTGGTAAAAATTGACTTGAAGGTTATTTTAACCTTGGTACTAGAGATTTGCCCTTCAGAACAACTGTGAAGGGAGGGTCAAGAATCAATCAGCGACATAGTTGGTAGTTACCTGCGGTTGTTCGATATCTCTGATAGAAAGGAACTCCACAGCAAAGGATACCAGGTTTGAGACTTGGAAAGCTCACAGTATGCAAAGTCCTCATAGTAATAAAAATGGACCTTTCCCTGATTATTACAGTTGGATCTCATGAATCGATATTATCAAGTCATAATGGATGTTGGTGGGCTGTTTAAATCAATAAGACCCAAGATGAGGGAAAATTCCATCAACATAATGTTGGTTCTACGAGAACTGGCAGTTTGACTAGAAGGACGAAAGTTTACGGAACTTGCTTTGATTAAAATAAACCATATGAAAATTTTGTGCTTCTATTCTATTTATTCATAACATGTCATTCCTTAAACCTGAGCAATGCACTCAATCTCAATGACGGTTCCCTCACCAGGGGGAACAGCCTGAAGGCAAGAGCGAGAAGGCATGGGCTTGGGCAAGAAATCAATGTAGACCTCGTTCATGGCGGCAAAGTCCTTCATGTCGGCAAGGTAGACATTGTACTTGACTACCTGCTCCAGAGAGGAGCCGGACAACTCGAGGACCTCCTTCAGGTTCTGGAGAACAGTCCTCTATTTAACGCGATAGTTGAATTAGCCGGTTATTCATTGCATCGGAACTTGGCCAGACATACCGTAGCTTGCTTGATCTCTCCGGTGGCTGTTTGGCCTGCACAGAAGACAAGACCCGGGATCTTGGTGGCAGGGGCTGCAAGTCACGAACATTCTAAAATTAGTCGACGGTTCAAAAATGGACAGGGAAGATAAACCGACAGTTGTGAGGCTTGGGAGGGAACTTCTCGCTGGAAATAAGTTGGCGCGACATTTTGAGTGTGAGATGTGAGTTTTGACAAGAATGTTCAAACACGAAATGGGATGGAAAGGATGAATCTGTTGAAATGATTTCCTTCCCAAAGATGGCGATTTAAATCGTCGATATACCCCTCCCCCACCTGAATTTTCCATTCAGATAACATTACCCCGCCACCCATCCCAAATGAAAGCCATGAGTTTGTAATGGAGGAGCTCTTGGTACTCCTATCACATCCAAACTATCATGGCGAGCCGTTATCAAGTCTGCCCCACTTCTGGGAGGAGCTCCTCCCCGAATTTAGTACTGTAGATTAGATCCACTAATCTACAATGATGAACGTTGGCAACTAATGCGTTCGATAATATTATCTTGTCTTGATAGGAGGAGCAGCTGGAGAGTTGGGAGGAGCTGACCCAATGGGTATCAGGCCCAGAAGAACTGGAGCACTAAGTTTGCGTCAGAGGAGCATCCCAGAACCCGGTATGATTAACCGCGAGCCAGCAAGTCCGAATGGATCAATATGGCGCTCCTCTTGATTGTACAAGCGAATGGCAAGATCTAATGAAACGTGATACAACCATCTCCAACACATTCGCGACCGCTTATCGGCCTCTTGTAATACTCGTCAGCCCACACTTGGACACAACTTATATAATACCCATGGCAATTGACTGTCCATAGATCGATCAGATTGTCAAATTTCATTCCAATCACACTACAATATGGAACCCGCAGCTCCCTTTAACCCACCTTCGACGGATCTCCCTGGAAAGCCCGTTGTCCCGGAATGGGTTCCTCCTCCAGTCACACAAGAGAAGCACAACTTTGCTCAACTCAAGTCTATTGATCTTTCATTGCTTGATTCCGAGGACCCTGCTGTCGTGGAAAACCTTATTCAACAGGTCAAGACTGCTATCCGAGATGATGGATTCCTTTTCCTCGAGAACTATGGTGTTTCACTTGAGCAGGTAAGATTCAGAGTCAATACCAGACGAGTGATATCCAAAACGCTAACACTATTCGCTTTGTATAGCTTCACCGCCAATTCTCCCTTGCCCAATACCTATATAACAACATCAGTGAGGAGGACAAGCAGCGCCTCCTTTTCGAGCCCGATAGCGGTAAATGGTCAGGATATAAGCACCCATACGGCTTCAAGGTAAGAGAGCATTGTCCACTTTCAGGCTGTCCTAATTCCATACTAATCAATACTATTCTCCATGTTTAGCGCCACCGTGGACCTGCCGATGGTATTGAGCAGTTCAACTGGTATACCGCCGACTGGCAAGACATCGAGAACCGCGTCCCCAACTGTCTACATCCCTTCATGGACGAAATCGAAGCTTTCGCCAACTACCTCACCAAGTCCGTGAACCGACGACTACTCACTCTATTTTCTCGCGTCCTCGAGCTGCCAGATGATTACCTCTGGGATAACGTCCAGTCGCACGGTAGTCCCACTGGCGAAGGCTACTTCCGCCACGCTCTGTTCCGGCCAGTCAAGAAGGAGACTCAAGAGGCATCCAAGGGCCTGCGGATGCACGGTCACACCGACTTCGGATTGACTACACTACTTTTCTCCGTGCCTATCTCATGTCTTCAGATTTGGGGCCGTGATGAGCAGTGGTACTATGTCCCTTACAAGCCCGGTGCCCTGGTGATCAACATCGGTGATACTTTGGAGATTGTCTCGGGTGGTCACTTCAAGGCCACTCGCCATCGGGTCTTCAAGCCTCCAGTCGACCAGTTGAATGAGGAGCGCCTATCTCTGGTGCTTTTCAACAGCTCTCTTGGTGATATGCGCATGGCGCCAGCCGTTGGTAAGTCGACAAACAGTTAATGTGACTATGATTCTTTTTCTAACATCTCATCCAGAATCACCACTCATCCAGCGCGAAGGCTGTGTCGAAGAGCAAGGCGTCTACAAGGAGTTCAAGAGGCTCACTGATGAAGGACGCCTTGTCCCTACCAACAAGCAATGGAGAGAGATTCAGATTGCTACATGCACAGACCCCACAGATACAGTCAACAACCGTGTTGGTGCACACCAAACGATTGTCGATGGCAAGGTCATGCATCAGCGAGAATACATGGGCGTCAAGGTTGTCCTTCCAGTCTAAATGACCCAAACTTTGAGAATGATCTGGATACTTGCCGGGGCGGAGTTATGTAACCTTTTTTGTTATTTTGTTATACAAGCTTTTCGATTTAAATTCACCAAGACACAATTATCTATCCCGAGAAAGGCTGCGTGAATTGCACAGTAGATTTTACGTCACAAGGGCCAAGCTAAAATTTAGTATAGCTCAGTCCAAGGCTTGGAGAGCCCGAGAACCCTCTGGGTTTGAGTCGGGCGGTGCTCCTCCCAACGGGTGGAGCCATGTCCTCCAACCACAGATGACCCACTCGTGAACTAAGAGCCTTGGATCACCGGAGCTATAAGGTAGGCTGACTGGATCGCCGTCGGCTGCTATCGGCAACGGGACTAAATTAGTTTGGAGCTAAGGCTAGCGTGGTGTTTGTTGTAGTTGTATCGATTTCTCAAACCTCAGAGCTTTGAGTTGCGGGGAGAACGAATCCTGAGAGAATAGTCATATGCACACTTCAAAAATGGGGCTTTCAAGCGATTTAAATTCGTAATAATACAGTAGACGTAGTGTCACAAGCTCAGGTATCGTTATGAGCTTCAAGATCATCCAAACACGAAAGAATCATCTGACCCAGTCTCCACCGGCTTCTGCGTTCGAAAATAGTTCTTGCCCATGATACAGCTCCAGCGACATCTCCATCCGCCACGCCAACCACTTGCATAGCGCCTGAAACACCACCGTGGACAAGCTGCCAGGCAATAAGGAATGCCTTGTACGCATATATTGTGATCCATGGAGCTTCAGAGTCTGGCATGATTGTTTCATCCAGGTATTGCAAGAACCATTGAACATGTGGTTCGATAGCTTTGGCAGTGTCAACGTCGCATAGGAAGTCATACGTAGGGGCCAGAGCAGTTGATTGGCTCAACATAGCATCCATCGTTCCTCCAACAATACCCCCAGTATGTGAAGGCGACCACATCTGTAGCTCGAGCATAGCTGTCTGCCATGTAGCCATACACATTGCAGCATGTGTTGACCTTGATGGTTCGACTTGAGGATGTATGAACGGCAGGAGGGTGACGAGCGAGTTCTTCAAGCATCCAAATCTCTCCATACTAAGCATACCCGTCATTGTGGACCAGCCTGATATCTCGCGGGCGCTAGAGATCAAGAATTGCGCAACGTTAATCGCACCGTAAGGATCGAAATCAGGAAGAGCGGTCAGATCTGAATCCGGGGACAGAAAGCGTCGGACGGCATCCGCGTATTGTACTGGAGCGCCAGAATTGTTGGCCACAAGGCGCCGATGGGCCCATTCGGCAGAGGACGAAGCCGACCAGTGATCATCGGGAGAGGGCAGGTCATGTTTGATCTCAAGATGCGAGATTGAGCGAGGAATTGACAGAAACTGGTACCAGAGTGCATCGATTTGATGAACAGCAAATACCGTTCGCTTGTGAGACTCGGATCGGACAAACTCCCGCCATAATGAGTCCAGATCGGTAGATGCGGATGGTTCTTTGGGTCTTGGCTGCATTATGCCGCTGGCCCGGGCCAGAGAAATCATGTTGGAATGCATCTTCAGCCCATACGTCGAATCCGTACCACAAAGGTACATCATGGCACAGATTTGAAGGAGCAGGTAAGACTGAACAATAGCTAAGTTGTATGAAAAGTCTTCCGTGCTCGCCTCCTCCGAGGCAATCATGGTTCGAGCTTGATGGAAGCAGCGCGTGGAAAGGCTAGCACCCGATCCTTCTTTGTCTCCCAAATCTGGATCCTCCCCATATTGATAGCCAAGCGAAAGCATGCCGAGAATTAATTCAGGCGCTGCTTGCGAAATGTCGAAGGTCGATTGATGTATAAATGGGAGGAAAGCCGAAACGTGCGTAAAGAACAGATCACAGCCTCGTGTAACTTGAAATGGAGATAAGGATGTTTCTTCTTGAGGTGGAGTCAGACCGGTCACCAATAACGCATTGGAGATGTCGGGAGGAATGCCGAGATTGGCGAAAGAGGGTTGTCGGGATTCGTTGTGTGTTGTGGTGGTGGTAGATCTGAAATGAGGATCATGAAATTGTTGGGAGTTGCCGAGCAGAGCGGTCTCTAAAAGTAGATTCCGCTCCAGTAGACTCGCACTCTGGACTATCCTGTCAATAGCATGCGGATCGCCAGGTGAGTGCATTTCATCATGGCTTCCTTGCTGGGAGTGGTATAGTCCATCTACCTCGCTCTCTGCAGGGGACAATGAACCTGCAACGTCGGATCGCTCTGTCCATCTCTCCCTGCTTTGATTGGCAGTCGGACGCCGTGGCCGCTTTGGAGGCTGTCGTTGGTCTTCGTGTTCTGGGTGTTTTCTCTTCATATGTCGACTTCTGAGATCCGCGCGAGAAAATGTCACCGGGCATAGTGGACAAGTAAGCGATCCCTTGTCCTGAGACCGGTTATGTACGGCGGCATGGCGTTTGAGGTTCTCGCCTCGACTAAACCGCGCCTGGCAGATGACACATTGAAAGGGCCGATAAGGTGGCTCTCTCCTGGAGGCTGTCGAGACGGACATGGGTCAATTCTGATCTGGGGTATCACGCTGTCACTGAAAGAGGCGATAGTTGTAGAGGAAAGATGGTTGGACGAGGAAGTTGAGAAAGTTACCGACACAAACTCCCCGGACTCGGACTTTCCCCGCAGAAACGCCCCGCTTGGGATCCAATCAACTGTCAGCCAGAAAAGACTATCGCCTCAGCCCTGATCCAGAGTAAGTTTGGTCAGGAAGATGTGACTATCTTCGGTGCACTATGTCCTATTTTGCGTTGAAGCGAGACATCTCGAGAACAGAATTGTGTTATCGTGTCTTCTATCTTGCTATCTGTTATCTTGCATCGGAAGTCTTGCCGCAGAATCAACACTTCAAAGTGGCTCTTCTGGGGCATAGTGGGTCAGACCGGAGGAACCGCGAACGAATAACAAGGGCCCAACTTATCAGCCGGTCACTGTCCGGCAATTGGGTAGTTTGGCGGCTATGGGACCTGCCCATGCGTTGATGTTCTAATTTCGATAATCTCGATATCAAATAACGAGCACTGAACTCCAACTCTATACAGCAAGGAAGATCCAATTTATCGACCGTCATGTATTGATACTCGTGAATTTCCGATCTGGTCTAAATCCACGTCAAATATTAAGGGGTTTACTCGAAAGGCATTAGCTCGCATCCAAAACGACTAGGTTTATTGTGTCCAATATAGGATAGAGTCAAGATTTTAGCCATACTGGTCATTGTATCACTGTGGGCAGAGATAATCTCACATACTAATAATGTCCGTACTTTCAATCCAGCCATGTTGTAGAACTCCGAAATATGACATACCTTTTAAAAGAAAATTAGTAGGCTTTCCTGGATAGTGCTCAAGATTCACATATTATCTTCTCTGCCAAGGTCACTCTACTCCCGCATCCAATGGTACGACTTGGTCCTCAAGGGACTATCAAGGTAACGGAGGATACCATATTGGAGGTGACTAGGAATGTTCACTTCCACATGGGCGAATACAGCCGTGCCACCGAATGGTGAGTGCATTTGTTCCTCTATCACAGGCAGATAGACTGACTGAGGCCGAGAAGGGAGAGCACCCATTTGCAAAAAATGCAAGCTGCGGCTTTGAATGTTCAGGTACCAAACCTCAACTATGCCACCTTTATAGGCCCTTTATCCATCAGAATGACCGATGGCCGAGGGCATGGCTTATTTACAACGGCCCCGGTCAAAGTGGGTGATCTTTTACTGTGTGAAAAGGGCTTTGCGTGCCTTGGTGGCAGTACGGAAACTATACCAGACGAGCCGCAGCTTGTTTCAATGATTACTCAAAAACTTCGCCAGAACCCGTCCCTAGAAACAAACATTGGCCACCTCGATTGCAAGACGGAAAGTCCCATCATTATAAGACGTCGTGATGGTAGTACCCTTGTTAACCTGAGAGAGGCTTCCATCTCTTGGTAACATGGTGATTACCCGAATACGTTAATAGACCTTCTGGGCTAGATCAGTGGTTCAACAGCTTGTAGCTATCAACTGCTTTGCCTCGAAATATTCGACAACCGAACATCCCACCACACCCACAGAACATGAGGTACAGCGACACTCACTAGGCTTTTAGCCTGTGGCAGCTCTATTTAACCACTCGTGTGTCAACAATACTTGGCGAAGCTTCAACGGCGATATGATAATCATTCGTGTATCGAACGATCTAAACGCAGACACTGAAATCACTTTATCCTACATACAACCAACGGAGCAATCAGATGAGCGTCAAATTTGCATCGAAGCTGGGGATTCGAGTGTCGTTGCAACATATGCAAGGACTACATCTCGCTAGATTTTAACTAAAAGAAGCGCAACCGCGAGAGAAAATGTGGGCCCTCCACGAAGGTCTTCTGACGCCAAACCCTTCCACGAGTGAAGAAGGTCTGCAGCAGCTAGGCGCAAACATACACCCACCCAGCTTCACGGGTACCCTGACTGAGCATTGCAGACTGTCATTTGGCCTATGCCCAGTTCTATGCTACCCATGGGGAGCCAATGAAGGCCATTCGATCAATGTTGGATGCTTTGCAGAGTCTGGGTCATAACATTGACCTCCCCGAGTCTTTAGGTCGACCCATCCAAATCCGAAAGTGGGGAATGATGAACGCCGACCTGATTCTAGACTGAATGACCCTCGTTTCTGCATATAATGTGGTGCTACCTGATCTCGCAGCCCAAGCTAAGGGTTATGCCAAGCTTATTTGCAAGATCTCAGTTCGGGAGGATCAGACTTTCGAAGAGGCGTATCAAAATTGCCGATTCTAGCCCGAGCATCAGCGCTAGATAATAGGAGACCTGCATGACTGAGAGGCTACGTTTTACTGTAAAGGATTTTGGTCTGTTTAGAGGGCAAAGTTCATGCTTGTAGATGAGGATTGTCGCCAGAATATCTCTCCCAAGCTTCGTGCAGCGAGAAGAGGAACAAGGAATCTAGTTTCATTGATGTCCGCGTTTCCTCTAACTGTCATCTCGCTTTGCAAGTAGACGATCACTCGATTCAACGGGCCTAGACTCAGACGTGTCTTCTCAAAGAAAATGTGGATACTCGAACCCCAATGTCAACCCTCCCTGCTATCCACACGAATTGATGCCGAGGTTAACCGCATCGCCGGTGTCCAAAGCTCCCAACGCCGATAAAATCATTTCGCCGTGACGAATGATCAATTGTTAAAGGATATCGGTAGTGGAAAAGTGGCAGTGCCTTGAACACCCCCTGCAAATAGCCTGCACTACTCTAGCGTGCAAAAATTCGCGCGTTAGGGTGGAATATCCCAAACGGGTTGTCGGTTGTGGGTCAACGCTCGTTTTTGCGGGGAACGCCGGCCTCCGGACACGCAGACTACAACACACGCAATTACTTGATGACATCTACTCGCCGAATATTTGTTTTAGCTGTTATTTGGGGATTGAATCTATTTATGTTATGACATGCTCAAGGGAGTTGCTGTCCTATATGCGTTGCTAGAGACAATGGCCGTTTAGTCTTTCTCGCAGTGTGGAGAATGGAGAATATGGAAGTTCATATCATTACGTTAGAGAAGGTAATTCAGCCTTTGAACCACCGGTTCGGCGCACCCCATTAGTTTATGGCTTTCTGTTAGTTTCCACTTTACTACCCCGTCTGGGGAAAAGCCACGAGAATGAAAATCTCCATGAGAGTAAATAAAACACGATTTCACAAAAACCTTCAAATTGATCATGACACGCAGCAAGAAAAAAGCAAGATCACAAGATCTTGTACGCTACTCATGTACCGTACTTGAAGAATCCTTTCTATATAGTTCTAGCCCTCTGCTATGACCAATAACCCTTCCAATTGACGCGATAGAGTTCTCCTGGATTGCGGCCCTACCCGTGATCCCAGTTTTCCGGGCCCAATCCCGATCCCCGAGTCCCCTGAAAGGACCCAATTGTTCAATTTCCATGAGTCACTAGCGGGAAAGAAGCTCCTTGACTGGTCAAACGTGCTAGCTGGGATGTGCACATGACGATATATCGGCCCTCGCCGTGTTCCTCTTGTCTAGTCCAGTCTCTGTGCGGTAAGGTGGCGAACCGGTTTCCTAGTTTTTTTTTCTTGCAGATGACCAGGTCTGTGTATTCGGTCTTATTTGGAGAGAGATATTTACCCAGAATGTCCCAGGCCCAGGAGTACTGATAGAAGCCACACTTATTTCCTTTTCACAGGCGGCCTGGCCTCCTGGCGGGCTCGATCCACGCAGTTCGATCCAACAACCCCTGACAACAGCCAAGAAGCAAGCATCAATGGATCAATTCATCGAGACAATGGAGATCAAGCAGGCTCAGGCCGAGGCCAAGATCTGTAGTCACCCAGCAGTAGACTCACAAAGTCCTACACCCGTTGGCTCACAATCCGGGCATGAATATGCCCTCGTTTCACCCGGCACACCAGTCGGGCGACCCCCAATCCCAAAGCCAGAAGAGATTCATTCCATTCCTGAAGTGCGCAAGTTTGCGAATCCTGCTCCCTTGGGTCTGTGTGCGTTTGCGCTCACGTCGTTCATGTCGAATATCATGAATGTACACCTCGGTTTGACGACTGCTGCGGAGAATGTTGGCTCTGCTTTGATCTATGGCGGTACTGTCCAGTTACTTGCTGGCATGTGGTATGTCAAAAGACATTTATGATTTCAATGGTGTTGCCGTTTATACTAATAATGATCTGTACTAGGGAAATGGCTTTGGGAAACACCTTTAGCGCTACCTCCTTCTGCTCCTACGGTGCCTACTGGATCACCTTCGGGGTCATTTCAGACCTAGAGGGAACCAAGATTATCGCTGCTTCTGACACAGTCTGCCAGAAAGAGATTCTCATGGGCCTTTTCCTATTGGTAAGTCCAATTTCAATTGTAACGTACATCATCTTGTAGCCTCCAAATTAACACGTAGTCTCCTATTCCTAGGCATGGTTCATATTCACCACGATGATGCTCCTTTGTACACTCAAGTCCAGCTTGGCAATGTTCCTACTGTTCTTCTTCCTCGATATGAACTATCTTCTCCTTGGAATTGCCAATATGCAGTGCGATCAAGGTCAGGTCGCTACCTCTGTGCAGAGGGTTGGAGGGTACTTTGGCTTGTTGGCAGCTTTTGCAGCGTGGTATAACGCATTTGCTGGTATCTTTGATAAGAGCAATGGCTTTTTCAACGTTCCCTTGGGTCACTTTCCTTGGTCACCTGTTGTGAGGGCACATCATGGGAAGTTTAAAGGGGTTTAGCCTTGGCTGCAGGAGGTTACGAGCGGATTTTGGTGAGGAAAAGTGTTCTATGTATTTCAGCGTTCTTGGCACAGCATAGCGAGTTGGTTTTGCATGTATAGTCTCTCCATAATTTAGCAATTTTTACCTATTTTCAAGTAATAATCCTTGAATTATTCAAGAGACTGGTAGCTTATCGTAGTTTGCCGTAGATAGTGGGAACCTAAGTGATTCATAGAAGCTAAAGTACTCATGACCATAAAAGCCCATCAGCGTTGCAGCCCATCCCAGTCAAACGGTCTAGCCCCAACAACACTTTCTCTCGGTTCCGATGTCCAGACTTCCACTTCACCACTCCCAATCGCCATCTCACTAAAATAAACTTCTCGAATCTTATCTTTGATCGGTTTCCCAGCCTCAGTAACTGGAATCTCACCGAAACTACTAACGACCTTCAATAGAGTAGGGAATTTGAATGCCTGGAGACTGCACTCCGTCGAAAGTCTGTGTCGTAGCTCTGCAAGGCCTAGCCTTCGTTCTTGATATGGTTGCCGATATACCACTACCGCAGCGACACGCTTTCCACAACCCGAGTCTTTGACGCCGAGCACAATTGCATGGGCAACATCGTCGATCTGCGACAGCGCGTTTTCGACCTCGGACGCATATATTCTCCATAAATAGTATCGGATAACTATTTGAGCTGCGTTAGTCATTTCACAGAGGGTATCGTAGATTTATCAAAGTAATTGAATATGAAATACCATCTTGAGACGCTCGTCCGAGGAGGTATACGATGTCATCTTCGATTCTTCCAAGATCACCAGTTCGAAAGAAACCCTCCGCATCAAAGGCGTTTTTCGTAGCATCTGGATTAGGGGATATGTATCTAATCATCAAGAATTAGCACATTTCCGTCCTAGACACTTGATATAATCGAAGGCTAAGAACTTACCTTTTAAACAGAACAGGCGACTTGATACAAATCTCGCCATGGTTGTCAATTTTCATATTAACATTCGGCATGCGCAGTCCAACGGAATCCTACCGATAGTCAGGTCAAACGCCAATCAAAGACTAATCAAACAAATACAACACCTCGGGCATGGTATAGAAGTGAATAGAAGCACTTACCATCGGATACGCCCCCCTCTTCCCATAATCCGTATACGCCACAACCCCAAAGCTCTCACTCATCCCATACCCAACAAACAGCGGTTTTCCAAACAAAGCCTGCCACACAAGCCTCTGCTTAGGCGCAACAGTCGAGCCCCCCGAAGCCAGGACTTTCAACTGTCTAATGCCCCTCAACACATTACCATAAAGTTCCGGATCCCTATTTTCCAAATCCGCAAGCTCGGATGCAACCCCATTCAACAGGGGAGGAGGTAAATGCAAAGACGTAACTGGAGGACAGTCTTCATCCACTAATCTCTTCAAAAACCACGTCGAACTAAAAATATCGCTGCAAAATTCAACGCATGCTTTGGATAGTATCCCCGAGAAAAATGTCATAAACCCGCCGGCCCAGTGCACGGGCATATGATGTAGATAGACATTTCCGCTGGATAAGGTAGATGGTTTGGGGAAACAGGTTAGAAAGCCGCCAGTCGTGCTGCTGCGGTCGTGGAAGACGCCTTTTGGAGGACAGGTTGTTCCGGATGTATAGAGGAGGGCGAATCCTTTGGTGGAACTGTGGGGGGGGGGGGTGGTGAATCTGAGAGGTAGAATTTGATATCGGAGGGGCTGGTGTCTGCTTTGTGTGGTGTATAAGTGAAAATAGGAATATTGGTGTTCATGGCTTTGATTATATTTTGGACTCGGTTTGCAGTACTCGGAACAGCGCAGATGAGTGAGGCATTGCATGTTTCGAGAAAATATTTTGCTTCTTCGGGGTGGACGCGAGGTGCTATAGAAGGGTTAGGATAGAAGATTAGTACGAGTCTTTCCACTTCAATTGACAATCCACACCTTTGAATTCTGCTCCTATACAATAAATAAAGAATAAACTTACATATAGGAACAATAACACCCCCAATCCCATAAATAGCCACCACCAAAACCGCAAACGCATAACAACCCCCCGAAACAACCGCAAAAAAGACATCCTCCCCCTCTGTCTTCAGTCTTCTTCTCTCCTCAACACCCAATTCCAACCAAATACACCGACTAACCAGACAAACATCCCTCAAAAACTCCGCAATACTCCACGACCCAACAACACCTCCTTCAACACACCATTCCCTTATCAAAATTACGGCTGGATCTTCGATCAAATTGCAAAAGAGATCTATTAGGAACGGTTCTGGCGGGATGGCCATTGGGGGAGCTGAATTAGCGATGCTACCGGTAGAAGTGGTAGTATAAGCCGAAGGCTGGTCATTATCCGTGATTGGTTCGCTCGGTAATTCTGTAGGAATTGTAGCCATTTTACTCGGTAAATCCATCGAATAATCTGTGTGAGCATACGCTTCGATGATAGGTCAACGGCGATGCCGGGTCGTCGGCACGATATGCACGAAATCGATAGTGCGGATGCGAGATAAGGGCTCGACAGTGGGGGGATGTGTCAATGCGACGCGTAGGCGGAAGCTAAAGGTGGAGGGGGTGAAATGTCGGTGACGGGAGGGTTTAAATGGGATTTACAGTGCATGGTTGGGGAATTTGTTAATTGGTTAGCTGTTTTTATTCATGGGGTTGGGGGGTGGTAGGACAGCACGGACAGCGCAGGAGGAGACACCGCTATTTTCATAGTGGGAGACTGGGTGTGTATTATGGAGAGGGCGATTACTTCGTTGAGTGTTACAAGGATAGGGTATGACGAGAGGTCTTTGTCCACTCAATCTGGTGGCTTCAATGGCTGGACAAGGGATGGGTGGATTGCGTTTGTTCCGCGATTGGATCGGAGGTTCTGGTTGATGTATATGCAGTTGAGTGTGTAATTGTGAGACGCAACTGGCAAACCGTAGGGTTTGAAGGACCATACAAGTATGCAATGTAGATAGCATTGATGCATGTCGTTTGTATGTCTATGTAGCCGTGCGACGCAGGGCAAGGATGGCTGGTCAGGGGAGGTCAAGTTCTTTACGAAATAATTGATGAACGAGGAGGAGATTGTGTCAATTCTTGCTGAATATCAAAGCAGCAGATTCCAGACTGGAAAAAATAGATTGAAAAAAGACATAAGAAAAGTATGTGGTGGATCCAATCCAAGTAAAGCCGTAGACCAATTCCAACGGTCCAGATGGCTAATCAAACGCCCGCAAAAGATGCTAATCAAGAATTCCCAATCCATGTCCAATCCATCCAAAAATGCTTGAAGAACCCGAGTATCGCAACGCTGAAGTATGAAAAAGCAGACGCAGAGTGTGCAGTAGATCCAAACCAAGGAAACAAGAACTCCAAATGAGCGGTCATCAAAATCATAAAAGGTGCACTCCAAAGCCACCAAGTATTACAACGCATAAAGAAAGATAGCAAGAGGCCAAACAAAGAAACCAAGAAGTAATCAAACCCAAGGATTGTCTTGCATATACGTATGCGGATTCACCGGCCCGATCAATTTAATCTGAGCCTTCAACTGTTCTCGCCGTCGCTCATCCTTCGACTCAGATATTTTCTTCTTCGCCCCGTCCAGCTTCAAGAGAACCTGGCTTCTGCCGCCCTGGATGACACGAACTGCCTCCCGCGATCCATTCTGCAATTGCAGCTTCAATGGTGGAGAGAGTGGTGGCGTGGGATTCGCAATTGAGAACTGTCCCACGGTCGGCGAAGTAGGGTTGGAACGTGTGCCGAGATATATCTGGTTCTGCGAAGCCTTCTTCTTGGACTTCTTGGGAGATTCCCAGATGGCGGGTCCATACTTTTGATAATTGGACATGGGCACGGCTAGTTGTTTTTGACGGGGCTGGAAGGAGCGGGCACTGTGTGGGCTAGCCGGGCTGGGGGGCATTTCGCTAGCTGTAGAGGCAGTCGAGATGGAGAAGGAGCGAAGTTGAACGTTGATATCGGAATGGGGAGCGACCATGATATCCTCCGGACGGTGGAAGGCGAGAGCTGCCTCGAGCTGTTCGACCGGGGCGGTTGACGGCCGCGGGGCCTCCTTGGCTTTGGCATCGGTCGAGTCGCGAGACCACGTACGATGAACGTACGTCTTAATTGAATGACGCACACCATATGCCAATCCCAACCCCGCCCGATCAAGTGAATGCCACCGGCGACTCTTATTAGAGACGTTCAATCGACCATCCTTCTTGCGAGATTTCCCACTGCGCGAAGCCAAATCTGGACTCGTCCTCCCCCCACCAGCCTGCATAGCGGACGGAGTCGCCAACTCCGGGAAGAAATCCCACTTCTTCTCACGGAAATAATGATTGGTCCCAGTGCGATTCTGCGACCACTGTGACAAGCGACCATACTGAGCATCGGACCTCTCGGTAGTGGAATTATTAGCGGACTCGTATTCACTCTCCTGATCGCTCGCATTCACCGACTCGACCAGGGATTCGACCTCGTCCGTGCGCGAACGACTTTCCTCGGCGATAGTCGGTGGAGATGGAGAGCGGAGCGGAGTCAAACCCAAACTAACGCGTTCTGGGTCTGGTCTTTGATCTGCGGGGGCCGGGTGATCGACCAAATCGCCGTAATCATCGGAGCCCGAGCTGACGAAGATAGGGTAGCTCTCTGTCGAGTTACGTGGTTCACTGGGGTCGCCGACCGTGAAGCTGTCGACGGTGAGTTCGCTGTCGGTGTCGCTTTCGTCGTCGCTCGAGTCGCTCCACATGGCGGAGTACTCGTAGTCGGGCGGGGCGTCCGGGAGGGGTCTTGCGGGGAGTGGCTTGTTGAGGAAGAGGTCGGAGCGGGTAGGTGAGAAATGAGGCTTGTAGAGAGTTGTGGAGGAGTAGCCCATAGTGATTGAGGAGGTGGTGTATGGAGAAGTGGGTGTTGGTGGAATGACTCGCTCGAGGCCTTCCAGCGACCGTGAGGGTCGGACTGGAGGCGGGGAACGAGCGTGGGGATAATTGGGGGAGAGCATTGAGATTGAGAGTTCCAGGTGGTTGTCGGAATGTTGGTAGATGAGGACTCAAAAATGAGTCGGATGGTCGAACTCGGTGTGAAGGATAAGAAGGATGCAGGATGTAGGATGCCGTGGTGAAGAGGTGAAGAGGGGAGAAAGAGGTGTAGAGTGAAGGAATTGGGCAGACAAAGAAACGAGGGTCGACAAAAAGAAGACCGTTAGCAGGACTCGAGGCCCAATGGGGGGAGAAAGTATACTAAATATAAGGAAGATGCGAATCTCCGGTATGATAAAAGAAATTAAATTCCAGGCAGGATTTATGCTTTCATCCTGCAGATGCAAAACAGAAGAAAAAGCCGTGCCTGGCAAACCACGCGAGGGGGAAAAGGGAAAAGATAACCTGCCAGAAGTGAACGAGTCAATGACTTATCTAACTAACTTAGTTACAGTACGGTGTACACTCCCTTTTGGATAAAGCTGGGGATTAGCCAAGCCTCAACTCCAGCGATCGGCGACCCCGTCGTTTGTGCACGGACACTGCAAGGGGGTTCGTGAGGAGTCAGACGACTCTGTCGTATTAGCATTCGTATTTAGATTTAGAGAGCTAAGCACGTACAGCTATGCAGTGGGAGTTCTGCGAAGTATATAGTCTATCCTAACTGTATACGACCTATACTTGTATACTATGGATACTCCTAGATGAATAACACCCATCCCAACTACTTCCCAACCAGCCCAAGGCAAATAATCCCTGCCCAAAGACCTGAGAACTTGAGAACCTGAGAACCTGATGACGCCACGCAAGGACGCCAACTCCATGCAGGACGCCGGATCGTCACTAGCCTCCGAAACCCTTGCACTACTACAACTCCACCTGGAGAGGGCCCAAGTCCTACTTTACATTACGCTACGGTAGTTGACCACACTAAATAGTTCACTAACGGGAGGGGGAGGATACTAACGGGTCCTGCATCGGCTCCAATGGATCGATTGGTCACTGGCACATCGCTGAGCTCTTCTAACGTCCCACTAGACCGGAAACGGAGTGCGGACAATCCAGTTCCTGTCAGATATACCCGATGGGAATGATCGTTCTGGCCCCGATACACATGGCTCAACTATTCAGTCTAACCTAGTCTGGTTATACTAAGCTAGTTTTCCATTCTTTCTTTTGCCTTGGGGCTAGCCTTGTGGAGTTATCAATGGCTTAGCTGACTAGAGTACCTATCGTATCGACTATGTCCAGTCTAGACTCCAGTTCTCAAAATATACACAGCCAATGTATAAGCCAATGTATACAATTCTACCATGTTAATCTTGGGTTGTACTGTACTCTGCACTTTATAACCATCTAACTCAATTTGGCCGCCCTCTCCATCGTCTCCCTCGTCAATTCATCCCCCGGCCGACGAACCTCACTCAACCGGCCCAATCGCCTCAACTTGGCAATCATCTCCTCGTCCCCGAAATGGCTGTTATGCTCGAATTCCGGCTCCCGCGCGAACGCGACCCGAGCCGCGTCCACGATAATCCGTGCCGTCATTCCAAACACGCGGTAATGCTGGACTTGGCCTGATTCTTCTTGTTGGGTCAGTCTGTCCACGGCGGCGTTTTGGGCCTTGTTACCCGTACTGCGAGGCTTGATGGCGTGGTTGGCGCTGCGGACAAAGAATTGGTGCACTATTCCCGAGGGAGGAGTCCCCACTTGGTTAGTCTTTGTTTTTCTTTTTTTTTCTTTTTTGTCTTTTATCTTTCCTGTTCAGGTTGGGGGCTCTTTTTCTTCTTTTGCTGGGGTAATCTCTAGAAGGATCGAAAAAGCAAGGTGAATCCATAGAAATCAAAGAAAGGGGGCAAGGGAAACAAGGTGCTCTCTTTGCCTTCTGGCGATCTCCACCGGGAGCATGGTTGGTGCGACACGGCGAACTGGACGGGGATATACTCGCAGGATCTATTATTAAATCATAATAGAACCATACTCCCGACTTGGTTTGTTTCCTCGCTTTGCTGTCCCTGGGGAAAGCAAATATGAAACCAAGTGGGTCTGGCGTTGACGGCAGGCCCACCCCTTTCCCACGCTTGTCGCACCGAACCATGTGGTGTGTGTCTTTGATCAACCCGTTCGTTGTGGCTGTGGAGAAGGGAAGGGGGTTCGGCCTGCAGGAAGATGGAGCCGAAACACCAAGGGCAAACGCTATGAGGCGATAGAGGAATTATGAGGCAACGGAATGTATCCTAAACAGGATAATGGACCGCCAGGGACTATGTAGGGCGGAAGCCCTGCGAGTATACAACTCACAACGGAATCAAAAGGGAAGAGCCCCGAAAACACCAGCATGGGACAAAAAGAGAAAGAAACAATAGAAAATGGAAATCTTGACTTACTCCTCCAATTACTATTATGCCACAAACTCCAAGACCCCCGATACCAATCCCCTTCCCCCTCCCCCTCCGAATTCCCCAATCTCAAAAAATCATCAAACCGCGCCGTAAACACGGCCGCAACCTCGCGCGCATCCAGTCGAGGAATCAACTCAGTCTCCGGATCCGCATTGGCCCCCGTAGCCGGGTCAAACGAGTGCAGCAGCGCAACGCACGGCCGCACCACCAGCTCCGTTTTGGCCAGGTTCGCCGGTAACTCGCAGAGATGCTCGACCGAGAAGGGTGGCGGCAGTGGCTGGGCGATATCGGGTAGCCCGATTTCTTCACAGGCTTCGCGGCGCGCGGTTTGGAAGGCTGCTTCTGATAGGGTGTCTGCTTTGCCTGGTGGTGAGATAGTGGCTGTTAGTGAGGTGTAGATTGCTGGATAAGGGTGGAGATATCGAAGCCACGTAGAATGATAAACGGGTAAGACCGATATTGTGAGGTTACACAACTATCTCTGGCATGTTGATCTTCATGTTCCCCTTTTTTCTTTGCTTCTTTTTACCCCGGGCCTCTTGAGATCCGAGGTTTCTTTTCTTTTTGTTTTCGACCTCTTTCTAACTTGGGGAACAACGTTGCTGATCTCAATTCCGGGGGCGATCTTGCATTGGTTCCTCTTTTGGGCAAATCTTCGTGCAAACTTACCTCCTGGCAAAGCAGCTTCTCCTGCGTCTAGATGCAATCAGGAAGAATCAGTATTAGCGTTCTGCGTATGCAATGTCGTGCAGCATCGGTTACTGCACACGCCTTGGACCTGCAAACAAAGCTGTCCATAGGCAGGCATCCCGTGTCCAAAACCATGCGAGAACGAGACCGAGACCAAGGCCAAGGATTAGGGTCATAGACCATGTACCAAGTACAGTCAAGCAGGACCCAGGGGAAATATCAGAGCAAGTACCTACACGAACTCAATGTCTTGGCCCGAATCGTAATCACGACTCTAAGGTCGCCCTGGAGATCGGCATACAGCAGAATCAACACCGCAGCCCGCCTGGACAGCGGGACCTCTCCATACGCCGTTGGCGGGGGCGTATAACCGCGTAATCGATCGATAGCTTCCTGTACCTCGGAATTAGTTTTTAGAGTTCAATCCATTGCCCGTATTATTCGCTAAGCGTTTTGCTTTGCTTGTTCTTGTTTTGGTCTCTCCTCCAGACCACGCGACACCGGGTTGGGTCTCAGCCATTGCTTTCTTCTTTTGCGTAGAGGTCGATGGGGATGGACATCCACGGGTGTTGGGAGGAGGTTTCAATTCCAAGGCTGTGTCTTGGTAGCGGTGGCGGCCCAATGAATCTTGAAGGGTGAGACTTCAAGGTGAGACTGGAATCCCCAACACCACAGTAGTCCTATCCATAAGGAACAAGGAAGGACAACGTATAAGACAGACACCCCACAGCTCCTCGTATCAGAGTCATGTCTCTCCGAGCGGATATCGACGGCCAAGAAGAAGCAAGTCAAGCATAGCTGCCCTCTCCAAGCGCAAAGGTGGCAAGACACCATCCATGCATACATCGGCTAGTCACAGAAGATCGTTAAACGTACCTGCGAAGCAGCATTGAGGGGTGCCATCAGCGTCGACGGTGTCGATCTCGTTGGCGTGCAGCCCAAACCGAGAAGTTGCGGTGCACTAGTAAACCTGCGAACGCAAAAGCGGGGACTTGTATGTCTGGAATCTCGTACACTGCTGCGACGGATAGTTTCAAGCAGCTGGAGCTGTCGTTGTCGCATCCCTCGGGATGTATAAGTGGGAAAGTGTAAATCGATCTCGCAGAGTACCCCGGTTCTATGAGCCCCAGAGTTCCGGACTAGTTTACTGGTCGCGGGGAAGTGCCAGCGTCGTAGCCGAGGTTCGGTGACTAATGGGCTGCCGAGCATGCTGAATTAGACCGATGGATTTCCCCTACTTGATGTATACACAAGGGCAAGTAGTAGTGGTTGAATACTCCGAATCTACCGTGTGAAACACTTCCAGAATGCATCATGTAATTTGTTATAGTTTCTATCAATACAGGAATGGAATGGCGCTTTTCGCCTCCAACCACCCACGTCACTGGGGGGAGCATGTCTCTCTTCCACCCAACATATACCAGACATTTCAATTTCAGTCTTGCCCATCTTGGAAGACAAGTGGCAGCCGACCTGGGATGGCGGTATAGCCCATCAAACATGAAACATGGAAATTGAGACAGGAAAGGAAAGCAGAGCGAAAGAGCGTGTGTCCAGCATCAGCAAAAAGAAGAGCCAGCCAGGCGCAAGCCAAAAAGGATGAATGAGATGAAGGAATGGGGGGAGATGTGAAGAGGGGGAATGAAAGTCTATCGACATAGCGGAGAGATAACACAGATGAGAACCGAAGAGTCGCCAGCAGCCAACAGAAAATATGGGAAAGCAAAAACATAGTGTGACAAAGATCTATAGTAACAGGACCGACCCAACCTACACCCCATCAAAGCAAAACTATTTCATAAGTTTACGAGCTCTGGCCCGTCTTGGTCTCTTCCTTGGCGGCAGGAGTCTGCGCAACCTTTGCGCCCTCAGCCATCGCCTCGGTAGCTTCGGATGATTGCTTTTCGGCAGCGGCTTCCAGCTTGTTGTGCTCTTCCTTCTCATCGATATCTTCGATATCCTTGGGGGCAGCAACGCCCTTGCCCTCGTTCTCGCTGTTCTGCTCGTTCTCCTCCTCAATCAGCTCCTCCTGCTCCTTGATGACCTCCAGACGCTGCTTGTTGGTAGCAGCACCCTCGGCGTTGTGCACCTCAAGCTCAATCTCGTGGAACAGCTCTTCGGGGATGCTGGAGAGAACCGACTTGAGCGCATCAATCTGCGAGGCCATCTCGGACTCCTTACCACCCTGAGTATACATGTACGCGTTGCTCAGGACGAGCAGGGTAGAGGGAACGCCCTGCTTGAGACGCAGGTCCAACCACATGGACAGGTCCTCACGCAGACGGGCAGGGGAAACACCGTGGGTGCGAATACCACGGCTGGCAGAGGCCATCTGCAACTCAGGCACGGACAGCGAGGTGACACCCTCGTAGGAAATAGCCCGGTCGTCACGCTTAATCTGGCGCATGCGGTGGCGAATGTTGTAGCGAAGCATGGCATCAGTACCGAACGAGTTCAGGTTCATGTAGCGGCAAATAGCGACTAGCTGGGGGCGCGATAGGTTGTCGAGAGTCAAGTCATCCTTGAAGATCTTGCAGACCTTGATGACGTCCTCGGTGGAGGGAGACTCGCCCGTAGTGCGAATCTTGCGGAAGAAGTCTGCAAACTCTTCGTTCTTGACAGTAGCAGCGGTCAAAGGCAGACCAGTCTCACGGAGTGTGTTACGGAGGAAGGCAGAAACCTCCTTGCGGGTCGAGCTCAACTTGAGAGCCTTGGTCTCGCGGCCCTTCTGACCCTCGTAGGTGCTAGGAAGCATATTGGGGAAGAGCTTAAGGGCGACTGGGAGTAGGAGTTCGGCAAAGGGAACAATGACGAACATCGAGAATGGAACGAGACGGCCGAGATCCTTGACGGTACGTTGAAGCTAAACGGCAAACTAAGTTAGCAATTGCCATAGGCCACGAGTGTCAGCTTGAATAGGTAACTACATACCTGACGGTGCTCTCTCCGACTGAGCTCATAACCACCGGCCATCTTCAGCGCCAACCGAGAACTAATCTTGACCTCGGTGGCAAGCAACTTGGTACCATCCCAGTAATGCTGGGCCTCCTTCTTAATCTTCTGACCGATGGTCAACTTCTTAGTCTCCTTCTTCTCCTCAGCCACACTCTTAGTACCCTCCACTGCAACGGCCTTGGTAGCCACATCACGAGCACGGGTCTTGACGACGTCCGACTGCGATGAGGCAGCAGGCTTGACAGTCTGAGCTTGATCCTGGGGAATCGGCTTCTTTGCTTGTTCTGCATTGAAGCCAGGCGGCGGGTATGACTGGGGCGACGAGGTCGAAGTGTTATGCTCGGTAGCATATCCGCGCTGGGGGAGGAGGATGGCGAGAGCCGACACCTGGGCTGGGATGCCTCGGCCATTGTAAAGCAGGGTGTTGGCCGCGGCCAGCGAGGCCGGGCCCAATGCGCTAGCGCGAGAGCGAACTATTCAAGAAGAAACCCAAGTTAGACAAAAATTATAGACGTTTATCATCATCTTTAGAACTATCTTACCGGTCAGCGCCGGTCGCAATGCGGTGGTATGGCGCACCAGGCGGGCTGATCTCATTGTGGCGGACATTTGCGGAAATGTTGGGAGGAAGGAAAAGGGAGCCCGAAGAATCGAGCAGGCGACGGCGGACTGGCGCAACAACGACAGCGAATAGGGAATACGATCACAATATCACGATGATTCAAGAAAGACTCAAAATATGAATGGTGATGGATAAATGTAATGCTGACATTGGGAGTGGCCGGAAAAGATGTTTGTGACGCCCGAGACCATCACGTTTGCATCACGTGATAACATCCGGCTTCGGGCTTTTGGTGTCGGAGTTAATTGGATGGCGGTCCTTCACTGAATTAGCGCAGCGATGGTTGCCGATCCCGCCAAGTCTCTGATGGCCGGAGTCCCGAACGGAGTTGCGTGGACCCGCTCGGGCTTAAGGTAAAGATGGAGGGGAAATCGACGAGTCTAGATAAGTGATTGGTTTATATTATCGATGTGTGAATGTTCATATCATTGTGATCGTGACGGTTTCATTAATGACAGAATATGCAGTTGGCCCTTCCATTCCTTTCGCAAAAAACAATATGTATAAACTTGCCCGAGCATATGACAAAACACGCAAAATTCAAGGATCCGAAAAAGGGAGGATTTCAAGACGAATATCAGGCATCCAAACCGTGCATGCTAAACTCAAAAATTATATCCGGGGAAGAAGAAACGTATGCGCTAGAGGGGTATCATGGGATATTAAAGACAGAAATGCCCTAGCGGCTAAGATCTCTGACGAGCGGTGGTATCGTTGACCTCGTGGGCAGTAGTTGCTGCCGCCGAAGTGGGATCCAGAAGCGGAATTCGATCGATGCTGCCACGCTTTTCCAGGGGAGCGGGAGCACCGAGAGCGCCACTGGCAGGAGTGTAGCTATCGGGGAGAATGAGCGGGCTAGTAGCAAAGTCGGGGGAACTCTGCCATCGCACGACATCCTTCTTCAACTGCTCTAGCTCCTTCTGGAAGCGCTTGCCAAAGACATCGATATAGTATGTTGCTCCATTATGGATGCTCCAGATGAACAGGGCAGACATGTAGACACCACTCGCCCATCGTGACCAGAACCAGATGGGGCAAGGAATCATGGTGGACAGGGCAAAAGTGTACTGAATCAGCATGAAAGCTGGTTCCTGCAGCGCATTCGGAAGGCCGAGAACAAACTTGCCAATCCAGGCCTTAGAGTATGACTTGCGAAGCCAGGTAAAGCTAGTCGGACGCCCTGCAGCGATTTTGTCGGCGCGGCGAATGGTGATCATGAAGTGGTACATCAGTTGCCAGAACAGATAAGGCAGGGTAGCCCAGAAAATCATCGCACCCAGAGAATAATGCTCTGGATCACCGGGCTGACTGAACTTGATGGCGTAGACGGCTGGGAAGCGTTCCTTGAGCATCTCGACCGGGGTCAAATGGACGATACAGTGCAGTGTGACCGGCGGCATGATGTGGATGAATAAACTGGATGAAGAAAATCGAGAATGTCAGCTGAATATCCCACGCGAAGACCTTGGGTTTGAAAAGGAGAAAACTCATACCTGACCACCTTGTCCATGCTGTGGAAGACCAGAGAATTACGCCACATGGCGATGGCGGCCGCGTTATTGCCAAAGGTCAAGCAGTACGTACTGATAAATAGCCGCTTGGAACCCGGGAAGACCCAGATCGAGAGCATGCAGAGCAAGTTGACAAAGTAACACAGATCGGCCAAGAAGTAGTGGTACCCCTTCGCGTGGTAGGTATAGTAGCGGATGGGCATAAAGTAGGCCAGCTGCGCAGTGAACCAGTAGAAGAAGAACTGGGGGCAGGCGCCAATAAGATAGCCACTGAAGAAGATGTTGAGCACACCGGCGATAAAGGAGACCTTCTCGCGCAGGGTCACGGTGGCCGTTTTGTTCCACTGTTTACCCAAACGCTCGACACCTTCCTTCATGCGGCGACGGTATTTCTCGAGCTGCTCGTCGGCAGTCGGCACTCGACGCTTGAACTCGCCCACCACTCGTTCCCTCGCGGTCATCCCCGTAAATCGCAGCCTCTCCCGTTGTTTGCGAACCCTCTCGCGCTGCATGTTGAGCGCAAGTTGCCATTTCTCGAACCGCTGCGACAGCTGAATATTGTCGAGGAGATCGAAGATGGTGAGCTTGTCAAGTGGCGGAAACGTCTCCCAGTCCTCCTGGTAGGAGCCACTGTTTGAGAAGGACGGGTTGCGAGAGTGCTTCCCGGGGGAGGCGGGCGGCGAGTAAAAGTCATCGTGCTCGAAGTCGTCCAGGAACGGGTTGTCTACCATCTCTTCGATAGAGGGCGTAGTAGCCAGCGAATCCGCCCCTATGGTGGAGTCGGACTTGCGGCGCTCTCTGGCGCTGGATTCCTCCATGAGAAACTGTTGTTGGAAGGAGAAGAGGGTAGGACCGTCCCGGTAATGGGGGTAGGGTCGGCTGAGGAAACGACTGAAGGTTAGCATACCCATCGTAACAACAAGAAGTTGTTTTTTGGAACAACAGCGAAGTAGCGGCCAGAGCGGCTACTGGGCCTTCTTATCTGTGCGCATCTTTGGTGTTTTCTTTGCTTTGAGGGGCAGGGTAAAAAAAAAGATGTACCCTACCTTATCGGACCGCCAGAGCCTCGGATAGTATCACGCGGGAGTTGTAAGCGCGTTGTGGTTGGCGAGCCAAACAAACCGTATGCAACGAAAGGTGGATTATCTCACGAAAACGGCGTGAGTGTGAGGGAAAGATGGCAAAAGAGAAGAGGATTTTGGAGAAAGTTAGCAGCCTCAAGGAGCAACCAGGAAGCTCCATCATAACACACGCCCTGGTGGGGATCGGCCATTGGACCATTTGGGAGCCAATCAGATGGGCCCGTTCGAGCCACATGCTTGGGGGTGAGAACTTACTATACACGGCTGACGGAGTCGTTCTTTTCAATATGGACATAGCTTTTGACAGGTTAAGTATATAAACCGTAAGTATCATTTCTATCGTACAGATCGGTAGAGTAGCTCCGCTGCCTTCAATGTATTTTAATCTTTGTTCGATAAACAGTATATGGTGGCGAGAGTGTCAACCCAACAACCTAAACTATCCCCAACGGAAGTCATGAAGGTATAGTACTTCGGTCCAGTCCGATCAGATGACCGGGGAGATGACCGGCCATGCTCATCCTAGGCTGCCACATGGACATATCTAGATCATGATATGACAGCTGCGGGTCACTTTCTCGGCGCAGTTTATACTACTGACCACCTTCAAATATAACGCTACGCATAACACGCTAAATTCAAATTCGCTCAAGCTGGCTCCAAAACGTCTCCGGATCACCGGTCTGATACACAGATGGTCCCGACTCTTCCAACAGCCACGGCCAGTCAAGTGATGGTTCATCCATAAGTCCATACTCTGATCTTGTGGATTCCATACCGTTTGTATCTAATCGAGGCCCCTCTGCTAGACTCATTGTATGGGGGACAGCTGACGGGGCAGATTGCATAGGCGGCGACCAGCCCAACGCACTATTCACATCAATAGCATCTAGACGAGGTGAAGGTGCAACGGTGTGAGCAGCCGTGTCTCCGTCTACCCGATACTCGAGAAGCACTTCATCACCTCCGCCGATAGCAGCGGATCGAGCACCGCGGCGGATTCGTTCTACTTTTGCCCATCGGAAATCGCGAAAGTCGAATTCGGCTGGATCTTGTCCGACTAAACGGTATCCACTGAAATAACATGAGACATACCCGACACTAGTCGGAAGGTGGAGGGAGAAATACCTGTGAAATGCGTCGATATCGACTTGGTTGAGAAATTGCGCACAGTCAAATCTTAGCAATCGATGAACGGCCTCGATATGCTGGATGATGTTAGCATCATGCTCTTGAGCAAAGCATAATCACTCACCAACTGCCTTATCCCTTCCGACCGACGCCCAAGCTCCCGAATCACAGTCAACAGGTCAGGTATTGCTGCTATGAACTCTGGAGCTTTGGGGTCGACATAAGGATCAATCTCAGCCAAGCGCCGCGGCTCAAAAAGAAGGACTAGTACGACCGGGTCAGCCCCAACCCACTTTGATCCAAAAGCCATAACTTACTCTCTAGAGCAACATAAGCCTGAATGCCTAAATGAGGGTCCAAAACGATTCCCGCCTTCAATCCCTCCGCGAGTATACTCGCAATGGGCAAAGCATGCGAGATCCTCTTTCGGCGTACATGTGCCACGAGATCTGCTTTTGTAGAATCTCGCTGGTATACCAACAGCGCTGTCCGACCAAGAATAATAAACAAATTATGTCGCAAGACATGTAAAAGAAGAAAAGTCAGTAGTCGATCACGATGGATAAACAAATTGTCGGTATTGAAGTGAAACCGCTTCGGGAGATCCGAAACGATTGATTCGACGTCTGCTTCAATGATAGCAAGCTCGGCGATCATCTCTTCAACTGTCCGTTCACGGTGAGAGGCGCGAAAGGCAAAGTGGAGTGCACGACGCCGAGCAGCTGCAATTCGTAAAACGTAGCCCCAGATATCCAGCGGTGCATGCTGGATATTGCCAGTGCTCGCTCGAAGTTCGGTATTTGATTCAGGAAACAATGTTTCTGTCATCACGTTCTCATTTCCTAGAAAGCTTGCTTGATCGCAAGGGAGCTGTAGGCGATATGAATTCTCATCGACGGAGTGGAAACCGTATCGACCTCCATCAATCATGGAGTCGAAAAAGAATGTGCTCCACGCAAGGCGACGGAGTGCTTCATGAGATAGAAGAGGTGAAAGTTGTAAGTGAGAGGGAAATTTGGCTGGGTAGGTTCGATCAAAAGTGTGTAGGGACATCATTTGCATCATTCTAGGTCGTCAGGAGCTAGCCAAAAAGAAAAAGACGAGATATCTGATCTTACCTCGTACAATTCGCCGATAGCAACCAAGCAGACGTAAAGTTACCCCGGTTGAGTTCATAGTGTTGAGCCAATAAAATGCTCTGCTTGCTTTAGCTGACTATCATCAAAACAATATCGAGAACGTACCATAAGCTGTACCGCTCCAAACCCCTGATAGATCCGTGGAAGCAGAGCTTCGAGAGCGGCATCGGCCCAAGCATCTGCCTTGGCTAGGTTTTCTGGAGAAGGGTCTCCGGCAAATCTTCAAAAGAAATTAGTCTCTTGTTTCAAATAGTGAGCACTACATAGGGATGGGGCTGTTACCTCGTGGCACTAGCGATCATCATAAGAGTCAATTCGCGAGGGGCTTTTCCTTCGGCGAGGAGTCGATTGAAATGCAGTTGATGAATGAATGCAACGAAACCAAAATCTATATCTGTTAGTTTTCTTAAAACCAGCTGGATCAGAAGGATACGTACGATGCACGGAAGCAAAATACAATTGAATTAGCTCTTCTAGTTCTCCCCCCGTCGGCAGAGGACCTAGTGGAGTTGTGTGCTTCAATCCTGGCGTCTGATCTGCGGAGACATGAAGAAGTGACAAATTCTCGATACTTTCGTGACTGGCTGGTGAAGGAAATGCATCTTCTGAGATGCTTGTGTGCTTTCTGCGTGGTGAAGATCGCAAGCATTCGACGCCCATGCTAGTGCATGTTTCGCAAGCGCTGTGGGCATCCCCAATACACTTGAGCTATATGACATTCTTAATTTTATTTCCATAGACCCTTATTTAGGAATACATACCTTCTTCTCTCGACAGAGGACACATGCGGTGGAATTAGGACGTCGAGACTGCCTTGCTCGCTTTTGATTTGGGCCTTGCCAACGACATTCCCTATTGCCTTTGCAACATCGAGAGCAGACGGGCTTCCTCTCGTCACATTTAACCTAACATTCTCAATCGTTAGACTTGATATGCTACTAGGTATGGAAAGACTCACTCTTCTTGACCTACAGGTACGACAACCAGTTTGGGTGCGGTGGATCGCAACTTTTATTCCTGAGGACGGATTATCCTGCATGTGCGGTCTTATATCAGGCTGACCTGCTTCGGAAGTACTCATCTTCTAGATAGATGCCAGAATTCCAGAAGCTGCAGCTCTTGCATGTCCTTAGCAAGACGGCATGAGAGAACTTTGAAAGTGGAGAGGGGGCATTATGTGGTCATTGAAGCGCGGTCTCACGCCATAATGCGGGGGCCCCACTTGGACGGGATGACTTCGGATGATTGAGATTGAGTGGAACGCCCACAATACTCCAATAATAGTCACGTTTTGGTCCGTTCTACGGCGGACGATAGAAGGGACTTCCCCAAAACTCCTAAATCCTACTAAGTGCCTTTACCGCTTTTTCCACCGGCCTATACGCTCTACCCGAATATCCCAAATCCTCTTGCCTAGGTACATATATATATAGCTTACTATGTCGTAAATCACACCGAAATATAACTATGTAACTTCATATGAGTTCGTTGATGAAGCGTTATCTATAGCCCTATCTAATAGTCTCATATATACTAACGTGGGTGATTTAGGAGATAAGGTTAGCTATCAGATTATTAGTCTTGAGATTAGCTATGAGGTTATAGATTAGATATATTTAATTTCAGCTTAAGCAATCTTATTATTCGATTGATTTTCTATTTCAATCGGCTTGCTGTGGTAAAATCGCTTTCTCTAAGGGATGTAGGAAATTCATATATTATATGGGACAAAAAATGGCTGAAATGGAGATTCTGCCGGTTTGAAAATCGCCAACTAAGAGTTTTGGGGAAGTCCCCTCTATCGTCCGCCGTACCGTTCTTTATTTCCTTATTCGGCAATGTTCATTCTATTGATATTTAAGGGTCAATTGATAGGCTTTATTACCGTATCTATGCCATGTCCGCTAAGCATCAAGCATATTCATCGATCTATAAACGACTCCAATTTCCCGATCAAGAGATTATTCACAAACAACTGGACAAGAGCCCCCCTTGGCACCCATCCACGCCTTCTGCAGCTCTGTCTCATCCTGCCATAGTTCTGGCGCCTCGTCTTTTCCGAGCCCAGGAGCCATAGCACTCTCTCCCCAGACAAGACCACACTCGACAACGTACTCCTCCCAGTGCTTCATTAGTTCAGCCAGCTTCTCCGGCTCGGCATCTGCCAAGTCCTTTGTCTCTCCAGGATCATTGGCAACATTGAACAATTCCCAGCCATCATCTCCGTCACCCGCACTTCCCCGGGCTCTGGAGATATGAACGATCTTCCAGTCACCTTTTCGCAATGCTCCCTGAGCAAACAGTTCCCACCCGATGGGCTCAGTGGATGAGTGAATGTGCCATGCCTCATTAGGTTCAACCTTTTGACCCTTGGAAAAGAATGGGATCCAAGACTTTCCTCGTACGGCGTGGACATCCTTGCCTCGGAAAGTAGACATTTTCCGAGTCGCAGTGATGTTTCCGGCTGAATTGATGACTTGTGTTTTCTCTACAACGGGGGCTTGGGAAACTCCCGCTAAATCGAGGAATGTCGGCAAGAAGTCCATTACAGTCGTGAAGGAACGATTATATGAGCCTGGCGTGAAGGAAGATTGGAAAGTGTTTGAAGGAGGCTTGACGATGCATGGAACCAGAATGCCTCCTTCAGATGGGAAGCATTTGAATAGTCGCGATGGTGCCGTCGATGCCTGCGCCCAAAGTGGCCCCAACCTAGTACCTTTCAGTTAGACATCTTCCAAATTATTGGGAATCGAGGAGAAATTACCAAGTGAACGAGTTGAAGGCACCGATGTTATCGAGCGAATTGTCGTAGTACTTGTGAATCGCGTCTGTAATTCGATCGCCCATGACGGCTAAAAAGGTGTCAGAAGAAGTCCAGTCTGTCTTTAGCGGTCAGTTGTGACTTACGGATTGCTTCAAGCCTACAATCAGTTGTCAGTCAAAATCCAAAACGGCATTCAAGGAATCTTGATTACTTACGCAGCACCCTCAGCTCCATTATCGCTCATGAACACGACAAAGGTATTGTCGTACTCGCCGGTCTTCTTCAAGTATTCAATCACCTTGCCAACATTGACATCGACCGTATCCACCATGCCAGCATATGTTTCCATAGCACGGCTGGAAAGTTTCTTCTCCTCGGGGGTGAGATCTGCCCACTCTCCAGCGTTGACAGACTTTGTCTCAACCCGGTGTGGGACGACCGACTCATCGATGATTCCCATCTCAACGAGTTTCTTTAGGCGACGTTCTCGCAGGGCATAGGGGCCATCATCGTAGATTCCTTTGTATCTGTAATCTCGGAGTAAGTTCTGCTCTCAAGCTCATCTTGTGTTCCACGAAATCTTACTTGTCGCGCTGCTCCTTGGAGCACTGCAGCGGCCAGTGTGGGGCAGTATATGGCAGGAACGCAAAGAAAGGCTTTTCCTTTTCATCTTCCGACCGATTCTCGAAATACTGAATCAATCTGTCGGTATAGTAGTCGGTTGAGTAGAAGCCCTCAGGATCTGCTGTTGTGTTGGCAGGCCTTGATAGGATATTAGAGGGGCCCTTTGTACTAGATGTAATAATTTAACTCACAGGTCAACCTTGGTACCATTCTCCGTATGCAGCGGGGAGCCTCCCATGGGGAATCGCTCCTGCACAGGCTCCCAGCCGTAGTGGTTGCAACAGCCAGGAAGCATCGCAAGAGCTTTCTGAAATCCCCTCTCAAAGGGTCCTTGACTAGCGCGCAGTCCGAGGTGCCACTACAAGCGAGTATTAGCCATCGTTCGTGCTGGATGAACGGCTCACTAGTATCAATCACTGTGTAATTTCCTACCTTGCCAGACATGATTGTGAAGTACCCATTGTCGCTGAGAATTTCAGGCAAAGTTGCCACATCATTGTTAAGATACCCCTCGTACCCAGCCTTTCCACCGAATCGTTGCGCGCCATGCTTACTCTCCTTGTATTCAATCAGGACACCCAATCCACCGAGGTGAGCATCGGTTCCACTCATAAGCATTGCGCGTGTTGGCGAGCAAGCAGCGGCAGCATGGTGATTGAGCATTCGCAAGCCCTCCGAGGCCAGCCGGTCAATGTTAGGTGTCTGGATCTCACTTCCATAGCAGCCGACGTCGGAGAATCCCTATCATCAAGACATGTTAGCGTCGTTTGAGATTCGGGTCCTGGGGAGGGAACTTGCCAGGTCATCTGCAAGGATGAAGAGGAAGTTAGGTCTCTTGGACCCCGATTCAGGAGCACTACCCATGGTTTGATAAAAAGTGACTGGCAAATACCGGGTTAACCTCTCGACAGCGCGGAATAGCTAAGCTTCATCAATCGCGTGATGGGGGGCATCCGCACTATTTAATGGTGACATTTTGTACTACGAACGCGGTGCCCCGCACTAAAAGAAAACCACGCATCATGGGAGGCTTAGATTTCGAAATCATCATTCCCACGGCACAACACATTCCCGGCATTCCACGTGTGGTTCTGTTCTCGTCCTTAGCGCTGTCGTAATTCACAAGTGCTGGTGGGTTCCGAGCGAGGTGGATCCGGACATGGAAGAATGTGGGTCTCGCTCGGAAACGCTTCAAGCCCCTAGGCATTTCTACTCCGAGCGCGGCACTTTCCCAAGGGCTAGACCAGCGTTGAATCAAAGTTAACTGGCTTTTGCTCTCGTGATTTCATAGTCCGATGATGTACCCCAGATGTGGGGAAGTGATATGGGCATCCTTGGCACTATCTCAGGAAGCTCGAGGGGAAACCTTGTGCAACGTTGTCAGGAGTATATAAGCTCGACGGGGTAAATCATGTCTAAGAAATGTCACTTATTACGATTTTTCTAGCATATATCATTGACTTTGATCAATATATTGGGTCGCGGTAGCTTTTTGAACAAATTTTGGGAGCTCTGAAATAGTGTATCGCTATGGATGGTTCCCCTTCTGCCTGGTCCATGGTGACGCCGATGCTTCTATTTTCTTGTTTCTGCCTTTTGGTTGGAGATATTCTCTTTGGTTATGATACAGGCAGCTTTGGTGGAATTCTCGCAAATCCAGTAATTATAATACCCCGCCAGGTTTCCTAGTGAATGGCCACTAATATCTTTTCAGAGCTTTGTGAATCAATTTGGCACCTATAGTCCCCAGACTAGAAAGTACTCCATCGACTCCCTCCATACATCTCTTCTCACATCGCTAGCATTCATTGGCAAATTTATCGGTTGCCTCTTTGCCGGTCCAGCGATTGAAAAGTATGGCCATCGCACAGTGTTTTTTGGCCTGTCCATAATTTCTGTGATTGGCATTATCAGTGAGTTGACAGTTTATCAAGCATGCATTCATCATTGCTTACTGCTAGCAATCAGTCGAGATAACTTCCGCTGGAAGTGCTGCTGGAACTGGACGTCTTGCGCAGTTCATCGTTGGTCGGATAGTCGTCTACATCTCAGTTGGTTTGGTGGAAGTCAATGTAACGTGAGCTTTCTACACCCTTCCTCGTATATCACGAGACTAACATTTAATATCAGAATTTATCAATCCGAAATTGTGCCAGCCTTCTTCAGAGGATTTGTCATTGTCTCGTTACAATTGTTTCTCACTGTTGGGTCAATCCTTGCCTCGGTCGTCAATAAGGTTTTCTCTACCTCTACGGACTCCGTTGGCTGGAAGACTATTACAGGCATCCAATTCGTTTTTCCCGTTCGTAAGTGTCTCGTCCATTTAAAATCTGTTCTGTTACTGATCAATATGTACAGTGATTATCGTGTTTACATTCTTCATACCCACCTCTCCCCGATGGCTTCTGTCCAAAGACCGTAATGAGGAAGCCGTGATAGCGTTAGGTCGTCTAAGACCCAAAGTGGACACCACCAACGGAAACTGCGAGATGGAGATCCGATCCATTCGAGAGGCTCTTCAGCAGAATGTGCATAAAACTCCATGGTCCGATCTCCTGCGTGGGACCAACCTCCGCAGAACTATAATCGTCATCATATATTACTTCTTCCAGCAGGTCAGCACACTTCCTTGTCATCAATCAAGATGAGGCTAACATTGTGAAAGCAGGCTACGGGCCAGGCCTTTGTTTCAACATACTCCGTGGTTTTCTACAAAGCAAATGGATACGCCAAGTACGCCTTCACTTATCCCCTCATCACTGCTTGCCTTGGCTTCCTTGCCATTTTACCAGCGATGTATATGGTTGACAGATTCGGGTACGTAACCCGACCTCAATTCCTTGAAAGCTTTCTAAATGTCAGGATTCTATAGACGTCGCTTCGGCCTTATGTTCTCATTCTTCTTCCAGACTTTGTGGCTTTTCATCCTGGCTGGGATAGGCGAGAAAGGCCACAAGTCTACTACGGAGAATAATGCCGTTGTTGCAGTCTTCATACTGTATGCAGTCTCCTACAATGTAAGTCTCATCCATTAACTCACCTCATTCTCTTGTCTAATTCGCTTGAACGACATCTAGATGGGCGGTGGGCCGATTCCCTACCTTATCGGGGCCGAGGTCCCGAACGCTGCAGTTCGTGAGAAAACGCAAGCAATTGGCACTTCTTGGAACGTTCTATGGGCCTTTGTGACAAATTTCGCCCTTCCCTATATGATCGACAGCATCCATTTCAAGGTTGGCTGGGTTTTTGGCAGCCTTGCCTTATTGGGTCTTCTGTTTACATTCTTCTTCCTTCCAGAGACCAAGGTGATCAACTCAGATGCCCCAAACGCAGATATCAAGCTAATGTGGATCATGGTTTATAGGGCCGATCACTCGAGGAGATTGACGCTGTCTTTTCAGTCCCCTTCAGTCCATTCCGGTCAACTGACTCGGAAATTGCATGGCGATCTCCTCCAATTGAGGGCAAATCCTCCAATGTCCCAGACTCGACAGGGAAGGACACATGGAAGGGATTTTCTCTAGCTGCATCATAGATTACTATTCTCAACCCGAAATGCCGTGATTCTCAAAGGTCGTACGTGTGATATGAAGGTTACAAGGGGCCACGGCTTCTTATTCTAGCGATGTAGCCGGTGAGGTGACAGAGTGGATGAGCAGAACGGCTTGAAAAAGACCACAAATCCGTTCTCAAAACTCTTAGGGTCCTTAAAATCCCCAAGACTTGCGTCCCATATATTGCGAGTGCCATCATTGAACTTTCCTTCTGAATTATCCCGGTAATTTTGTATAGTAATCTGACTCAAGATAAATGACACCAAATAGAAAAAAGAAGAGTGCAGCCCAAAATATGTTCCAAACAGCCTTCCCAATATATGCGGTCGCTCGTACTGTATTCGTGTCTCGTAACCTTATCCAAAATTCCAACGTGTGCTCAGAACGAAAAAGAAAAACGAAAATCCCTCCAGATCTAGTTCAATATCCAAAATGTGAAACCTGGGGAATTTGAGGCACACCAGGCCAGTAGCCCCCAGGGGCTGTCTTTTCGGTGGGCATGAATTGCTGCCCGTAGTATCCTGGTAGGTAATTCGGCTCGGTGGGGATGTGCTTAACAGCCGTGGGAGATGCTTGCGGCATCACGCCAGGGCCCATAGTGGCTGGGTATGCTCCAAAAGTTGGGCTATGGGGACCACTTGAGTCGCTGGTAGTAGGAGACAGTGGCATGCCCTGTGAGCTCGGGTGTGCCACGGGGGCGTTGTCGTCTAACTGCAAGCTATGCTCAACTCCAAAGCTCGGCGTGTCTTGGCCATCCGACTCTTCATCCAGCGCCGTGATTGGGGCAACATAGATACTGGAAGATAACTCATCCTCCTGACATATGGCCTCCGGGAGATAGGTGTGGATGACCTGAAGGCGAGCTTTTGCGTCTACTTCCAGTCAGCGGAGTGGTTTGGAGACAAGTCTCGAGGGCATTGATGTACACACCTAGATTTCCATCCAGATACCTTTCTTCCATCTCTCGCACGAAATAGATCTCATCCAGTACTTGAATTCGGTGTGAAGGTGTGATTTGGCGGCGAACGTCTTGTCCAGCTTCGCGCAGTTTGTCTGCAGTGACACCGTGGCTATCCTTCAGCTCACAGAGTATATGTACAAGCAGCTTCAGGCGGTCTATAGAGAGTGAGCTATGGTGGTGACAATTGGTGTTTTTTGTCTCTTCATTGCTTACCTCTCTTAAGGAGATGATCTGGCTCTCGATGCAGAACACCAATTGGCCACCACGCTGGCTTGGTCTGTTCCGGATCCACGCGCTGCGATACACCGGCAATGACTTTGCGTCCATTATAAGGAAAGTGAACTTGTTTCCTCGGTTCCACGAGCTTGATGTATGACTTGGCAATAGCTCGACAGTTCAATTGCTGAAAGTCCTCAAATGCCTTCTCGTAGTACCGTCGTAGTAGATCCTTGTCCCCAACGCGGAGCATGGTACGTCCCGGCCGAGGAGTAGGCGATGGTGATGTGGATTTGGGTCTAGCGTTGGCCGTGCTCGCTCTTCTCGTGTCGCGTCGTCTCCTCTTGTTCTGATCCAGGAACTGACATGGTATCAACTCAGCAGGCCTGGTCAGCCCGGCATGTACCAGTCCCGGGCTAGGTTGAACGCCGAAAGGCGACCGATCCGCCAAGTGGCTAGTATCTATGCGAGTTTAGATACCAGTCAAGATCCGACGAACGGAATGTGTCTTGGAAAAATCGGCTTACTGGGATTGAATTGGATGTTGGCCATGGGGCCAGGAGCGGCCAATTTCACAAAGTTGTCCGTCACCTCTGGTGTGAAGATAGCTCCACCACAGCCAGCAATTGACGCAGATGCTTTGACTCGAAGTTCACCATTGTGATCGAGATAGATCATGGCGTAGTGTGGGTGAGGAACTTCCATTGCTGGGGCTTGCTGTACAAATTCCAAGAGTTAGTATCCGTGTTTCGCCTTTTTATACGACTTGTAGATCTCGCAAATACCATCTGAGTTACTTGGAGCAGGGATGTGTCAGAATGCCTTCGCTCAAGAGCATCGCTAATGCCTAGATGTGGTCGATTCATATCCATGACATATGCTTGGGGAGAACAGCTGGTGGTTTAGTCGAACTCCTCCTTGCTCGAGTTGGAACAATGGCGAGATTTCACAGCACACGGTAGGAGTCGCTTAGACTTTTCCTTTTAATCGGCGATGCGCGGCGCTTCAGGGGTATATGAATTTTCTTTTTGAGGGCCGCAGAATTATCTGGCCGTGTAGAGAGTCGGGGGGACACTGCAGGACGCCGATGGATATAGATTCCGGTGCCAGTTGCAAGGAAGGGGATGGGATGCACCATAGTTATACATGGGGGAAGATCATGGAAACGCGTTAGGAAGAATCCCGCCGAGTCTAGTTTCAACAGGTACCAAAGTACTGTAACCTCCATGTAGCCCCAGTATTGGTAGATCTCCACATGACGGCGTTTCCTGGCTATGGGAATCGCCGGCGTGCTAGCTAGTTGATGCAAGGACGAAAGCAAATATCGGCGGGGCTGAGCTGGTGGCAATAAGCCGGCTTCTCCGGTTTTTGCGTTTAACAATCTTTGTACAATTTGTACATTTGTACCTTTGTATTCCGCCAAACAATGGACCTAGAGCCTTCGATTGGATCACAGTGCATATCTTTCCTCTTCCAATCCTTCCATTGATGTTATTTCTCACGGTCTCGGTCATCTGCGGAGAGAAGTACGGAATAGTGCGCAATGACAGCGATGAAGGTACGAGCGTATAATCGCTCTGCGCTGCTCATTTGTCGCGTCTAATTCCCGGTACCCACGGTTCGACGCCTCCAAGGGATTCGAGATTGTCTACCTCTGGATAAAAGGTAGACGATCTTGCGCTTGGACAATCCACAAGCCACAACTGGACGAGCATCAACCCTGCAGAAATAGTAACCCATACGCCATTGTACACTAGCCACGGTATTATTATTGGCAGTGATGAAATTTGAGAAACTACAGTATAGTTTCTCCAGAAATTGACAAAAGCAAACAGGCGTACAGACAACGTCAACCGTAGAGATGGCGGTAGCTTGTCAGGGGATATACTGGTTTAACTCAAGCACCCAAATGTACAGAATCGGAAGATCATCCAATGAACTATGAAGGGAAACTGTTTACTCGCCAATCATGATGTCAGATCGCCGATCGCAGGAGTTGGCCTCAAGTCATGGCTGTAGGATCCCAGTCAGGCGGTGGGTGGGTCAGGGCGTCTCCGGCTGCACAACCTAAGAAAACATTCTCCGATAGAAGATGCATTATACTCGACATCGTTGGCATCAGCTGGACAATTCAAACAAAAAACGCGAAATTCTATCTTGCTCCAACAGCGGGCAACGCGTCTGGAACCCCGAAAGCGGGCACTCCAGGTTAGCAGTGGGTACGTGCATGATCAATCGCAACCCCATTAGGTTTTTGCTGTGTAGGTTTCCATACAGGTCAATAATACGATCGTCTGTGCGCGCATCAAATCGGAGATGAAGGCGAAATAGAACGGCCCCTTTCTCCGCTTTTCAGGGCCCATCCAGGTCCAAAGGGTCTAATCGCCAAACGGCTTGGGGAATGTGTGTAACCAATAGTTGGGCGATCCACGGTTCCTCAGATTAAGGTCATTGCAACAACCATCGAATCTTGAGCTTATCCAAATCCATGGAACTTCGGACTCGGGCCGCTGGGTAGACGCCAACATGGGTAATTACTCTGTTTGACATTTTTTTTGACTTTAGGGCTTGAGAGGTAAAGGTGGAGGTGGAGGTTCGAGTTCAGGACCAGGCCACCTCCTCCCACGACAATCACCATTCTTTTCTGCGTTCTTTTTTTCTTCTTTCTTTTTCTATCATTGCTTTTCAACCTTGACAAATACCCACAGATCTAGTTACATCCCCATGAACCCTTTAGTGCCGCGCACGTACGGCCTTTTCTCGACTGAAAATCGCTGCAGATCGAGAGCAACCCGAGCAATGGCCGAAGGTTGACCCAAATTCAATGTTTTCGGCCGGGTCAGTGGCTGAATGAGGGTACTATGACTTTCATGCGTCCATTAGGAACGGTTCCTTTGTCCCGGATCGACAGTCAAGGCTCCTTCAAGTAGATGGGGACCTGCGGATCACGAACGAAATACCTGATCGTCGCAACCTACGGGATATGGAGAGAGACCAATTGGAATCAGCCCTTTTATTCGCATATGTACTCGCTATGGTGCCTGAAAAAGACGCAATCCGTACCACTGAAAGTCTATTTGACGGTAAAAGGTACGTTTTCCCTTCATACTGAATGCTATGAAGCCTGCCTTTTTCTAAGATAGGTCTTTGCTTCTTCCTGTTATGTAAATTGACTATTGCCAATCGGACTGGCGCCATGTACTGACGGAGAAATCACCCATGTAGCATCATTGGAAGGGCTCTGGTGCCGCCCGATGGGCTGAGGGGTTCCCCACTCTAACGCCAGTCGAGATGCTTTAGACCGGCATAACAATGAAAGAGAACAGGCTGTGGAGTACGGAGTAGACTACTATAGCGGCCGAAAAGCTACCTTTGAGCACGAAAAGAGATACTTCCTAATAGAGAGAATGCCAGTATACCAAAGTTAGTAATTTGATGACACTGGTTCGCCCAGTCCAGTTCCCAGTTTCCATCAGCAAAACCTGGATATGTACAAAGTACTAGTACTGACTACTAGTCAATTTGTTCGCATTTAGCAGATAGCACCTCCCTCTGCCATTTTCTCACCATCCGCGGCATAGCCTTATCTTGGCAGAAAGCCAAAAAGTTGGCGACCTAGCACGGATATTCTGCTCGACCAACGACCCATCTTCCTAATTATTCTCTGTGCTGTACGGAGTACTCCATACTGAGTCATCATGACTGAGCCATGTCTGCCTTCTTGGCAATTCTAACTAACTAACCAGAAACACATTGACTAAAACTATCCAGTCAGTGGAGGTGGCTTCGAAAGCGCGGGGCCTCATCCCCCTTGCGTAGCAGCGGGGCAGGCGACACATACACCCAAGCGGCCTCGCCCTGTGCAACACTGTATCCGAACGCCGATGCACCCTATCCGAAGATCCAAGCGGGTCTGAACGCGACCACTGGTACTTTGAAAACTGTGCATATCCATGCTTGCTCCCGCACTTGGCCGGTGCCACGAATCCCGTCAGTTTGGTAGGGAGTTAGTGGCCCCAAAGTACAGTCCAAAGCGCCTGGGTTCCATCGGTGTTGCAGCCTCGATTTCCATTGTAAGACGATTGCAGGGCGACGAATCCTACAACCAGAGACCAGGAAATGCGTCCCTTGGCTTGCATTCAAATCGGATCGGCGGCTCCACTGGCGTAGGTGGCTCGGATGGCTTGACGAAACAGTCAAAGTACTCATCAGCCACAATAACACCGACCATTATCGACGAGTGTATACATTGGCTTGGTACTCGATATCGGGTTCACACTCGGCTCGGCGATATTTCGGATGAAATTGAGGATCATAACCATGATGTATCATTGTAACGCAGTGACGCTGATATGTCGAGGCTCTGCAAAACGCAGCGAGGGAGCGGGGGCGCTGTGGTCGGGATTTGGAAATGATGGCGGGTCAATTTTGGTTTGTTCTACACAGTCGAAACAGGGTGAAGAGAAGTCTTCTAATGCCAAGACTCGTGTTCAAATCAACAAAAATCGATCATCCGGGACCGCTTTACCACAATAAGTAGTATTCCTCTTTCGGTAGGGCCGATCTCCTCCACGGCAGCTCCGAAGTCTACATTGTATGTTTGTCTTACTCTGCACTTAGCCCATTCTACGGCAGGCTTTAATTAATTCAAACCCTCGTAACAGGTTCAACATCATCAATGAGTCATCAATTGAACGAAATAATAACAATTTGATGTCTGTGCCATTCATGTAGATGGTTCAAGATTCTTTTAAATGAGAAAGAAGCAAAGCATATCTGGTTGGACCGCTCCCTAGTCCCAGCATCCAGACCCTCAACCTGCCCACTGAACATATATTCATGATTTGATCATACCAATCATCTATCATATTTCACACATACCGAATGGATCCGAAATGACTCGCTACTCTCCCGCTAAGCTTTGTGCAAAGGGGATCCCCTGATGGCCCCCCAATCTAGCGGATATCTTGCTGTGTCTGACCTCCACCCACAAGCCACAGCAATCCCTCCTTATCTATACGCTAATAAAATTCACACTAGAGGTTTAAAATAGCACCACTCGAGAACGGCAACTCCACTTCCACCAACCCCTTGGAATCCACCTGCACAGTCTGGCCAATGGTGACATTCAACAACCGAACGGGGCTACCACCCTTCAATTCGTAGTTATATGACCAACCATCCCAGGTAATACCCGTGATAGAATCGGTTCCATTTGCCGACAGTCGCTGCACTGATAGGGACTTGCTCGACGTTCCAGACAAATGGAACTGGTAGGTGGCGGATGGTCGCGAGGCCGAGGCGGAATCTACACCCGTGTAGTTGTACTCCTGCATGTTGATCACCGCGATACGGGCAAGTTTGCCATCAATATACGCTGCGTAGGCAGCTTCCGTTTCATGAGCCATTGGGAGGTTGATCACCTGAACGTTCGAGTCCTGCTTGTTTTGTTTGCCGTGCAGCATAGCTGCGACCATGGCATTGCCGTAGTATGGTGCCTTGGTACCCATTGCTGTCTTGTTGGTTTCAATAGGTTGCCAAGATGCATATCGATAGTCTGTACCCTGATGCATGTGAGTGCGACGAATGTTCTGGGATGCACAATAGAGGTTAAAGTCGACGCCCCAAAGGGCGGCACCAAACGAGTTCGATAGACCCGGCTTGCCCTGGTGGTAGAGGGAATTCATTTCACCCAGGATATAAGGAACTCCTTTGGCCAAGTTGTTTTCCTCCAGGTTATTCATCACAGCGACATGATTTCCAACGCTGTTGATAACCGCGGTATGGTTCATCAGTGTGTGAGCAAGAGTGACACCTGGAGAGTCTGCGCCTCCCATGTAGCTAGTACTTGTCAGGGCTGGCATTGAACATATCGCTTCATATCGCAACTTACTTGTGCATCGAATTCATCCCAATATCATGGTCAGAATCCAGACCAGCCTCCCAGGTCTTTACAGGATCTAAACGATTCGCTGTACCCGCGAATGATGGAGCAATATACTTGTACTCTCCATGAGTCAACATACTAGGGCAGGCTTTGGACAAGTGGCGCTGAATAATGCGCGTCTTGGACAACCATTCACCGACGTAGTCACTCGCTGTCCAATTCGTCGGACGAACTGCTCCGGAGAACAAATCGGGTTCATTGCCCAGTTCCCAGTGGGCAAATTGGTCATTGCTAAGGGCCTTGCATGCCAGTGGAACAGTTGAAACTAGAGTATCCATGGCCTCGGTCGTGTTCTTTCCAAGGTTGAATCCGTGGCTGAATTTAACGCCTGGCCAGGTGTTGTACGCCTCGAAATAGGAAGGGCCGATTGAAATAATGTATGGATAGTCACTAGACACGGATGGGACCACGGTGCCATTGATTTGAGTCTTGAGGTTTGGATCGTATAAAGCAAAGTCCCTTGATGAATATTAGTTCAATAGTCTCCTAGATCCCACGCTGATTGATGACTACTCACTGAGTATTTCCGCCAACTCGGATGTATGGCTTCACGCCTTGTAGCTCAGCCAGGTTGTCCAGCAGCTGGTTGGAGAACTTATTTGGCTTGGATTTGTTTCCTGTAAAAGGTCAATCCAAGCTACTTGAGGTCTATTTCGTCTCATAAAATACCTGCAAAGTCTGGAAAGGATGAAAATTCGATCGAAAATGAGACAAATGGAGCCAGGACTCCTGCAGCCGCGTCCTTTGGCACCGTCTTGCTCACACTAACCGCGGAACTGGACGGCACAGCGGCCACCGCGGCGGCACTAAAAAGTAGCGAAATTATCATGGTATCAACGATGGATAAAGGCACCCGCAATGGCGATTGTTGGACCAGTTTCGAGTCGATTAGATAGATTGTTTCAACCACTGATACTTCTGTACTTGGATGTCGGCAGCGTGGGCACAATTTATATGTACAATCCAATAACTATAGCCGAGACCACACGAATAGGTTAATGAGCTTGGACTTATTCAACCCTTCAAAAGCCGTCATCACCGGCACGAAGTCCAAATAACAGCGGAACATGCCGTCTGTCAAGATGGCCATTGGAGCAAAATCCGGCCTAGTAGGGTCTCTAGTGCCGGGGTTATCGGGATGACGATGCGGGGGTTACATCTGGGGTTATGGAGAGGCGATCGTTGCACTTTTTATCAAGCTTCGGCTATTGACATCAGATGCCTTTCTCAGTCGGTGACTAAAAGGGGATTGTGCTATATCTACATCCCATCATCATAGCACACACTGTACAAGGTTGCATGTGTGGAAGGGTAATAGGAAGATGAGGCCTTTGCCCTTCTGCAGATTTAGCTAAAGCCCTTTTGGTACGGCCAATGATGAAGAGTGGAAATGAAATCGACTACTCAAATAGACTGAGAAACTTGGTATCGATTAACAATGCTGGATAGATACGACATAGGCTCGGCAATGGAAGCCAAGCTGCCGCTCCACCTGTCACCGTCGCTTTGCGTAAGAACATAAGGAGACTTGAGCAAATCGATGAGGCTAAGAATAATCTACACGAGCGAAGAAAATAAAGAATGTGTCATGAAATCCATTTTGACCCTCCTCAAAAGGCTTAAGTATATTTGCGGAGCTATAAGAGAAGATGTTAGTCAATCCGATACAATAGTGCTGGGCATTTACAACGGGTAATACTCACATCAAGGGTCAAAGACTTGCTGCTATTCTCCACCTGGTCTCGGTAAATACCAACGAGAGCTTCACTGTTTTGGAACAGTCCAGTCTTCAAACTGATGACAATGAACTGCATGCCAGGGGCGGCGTGATCTTGGATGTAGTTGGCAATGCGAGCGACATTGGTGTTGTCGAGAGCGGCGTCAACCTCGTCCAGCACGAAGAATGGTGAAGGTTGGTAAGAGTGGATGGCAAACAGAAGAGCAAGAGCTGCCATGGTCTTCTCTCCACCCGACAAGTGCTCCATGTCTCGGAAACGCTTGAGGGGAGGCATGGCGTGATACTTGATACCATCGAGGTACGGCTCGTCGGAATCCTCGATATCCAAGTATGCTTGTCCACCGAGGGGGTAGTTGGTGCTTCGGGTCAGCTCGCGGTAAATGGGGCCAATCTGCTCGGAGATGTGCGTAAAGGCCTTGTTGAAGAGATCGGAACGCCTCTTCATTATTGCCTCGAAATCATCCTTTGCCTTTCGAGCATACTTACGAGCATCCTCAAAGTCTTTCTCGGTGCTACGAAGTTTGTTCTCGACACTCTCCAGGCGTTCCATGGCTCTCGTATTGGGGGCCATCTTGTCAAGTTCACTATTGAGAGTGCGAACCTTCTCAAGCAGCTCCTCCTCAAGCTTTTCATCGGTACCCTGGAGAAATGGTTAGTTGTACTGAAGATCATCCCCGGTTCCAATTTAGCAACGTACCTCTTTGAGTGATTCACCGAGAGAATCGAAATCGACTTCAATTCCGTAGTCTTGCACGACAGGAGTCTCATCCATGTCATCGGCCTCGTCTACGTCCATAGCATCTGGGTCGGCGGCCTGCACCAAATCATCGATGGGGAGCTTGTCAAGGCTATTGGACGAGTCGGTAAGCGGGATGTCAATATCCTCAAGCTTGCATCGTCGCAAGAGAGCGTAGCGACTAGACGAGTTCCGCTGGATTTCAGCTTCGAGGGCATTGATGTTCTTGAGGGCTCCCTCAACGTGCTTGCTGCGCTTCTGAAGCTCCCTACGTTGCTCAGCCAGGTTTTCCGCAGACTCTGCATAGATCTCCTTCTGCTTCTCGAGATTCTCGCGCAGCAGTTCAAGCTCAGCATTTGACTCGTCCAGGTTGTTGCGAATCTCTTCTTGCTCGCCCTTGAGCTCTTCGATCAAACTCATGTCACGCTCATACTGAGCCTTGAGGCCACTGATTCGGTCATCCGTGGCTTGGATTCGCTGCTTTTCGAAGCTCAGCTGGTTTTCAATACGGCTCTTTTGTGTTGTGAACTCGAGCTTCTTTTGGGAGGCCTCTTCTTGCAAGGAACCCTGTTGGGCTTCGTATTCGCGGATATTCTCGAATCCCAAACGCTTGCAGAACTTGCGATAGATTTCATCTTCGACCGTGCTGACGGAGGCTTGCGTGTTTTCGATAGTCTCGTCCAACTCGTCCAGATTCTCCTTGCGCTCGGTGTACTTCGGTCGTAGGTCTTCGTGCTGGCGTTTCACAAAGTCTAGCTCGCTGCGCTTGCTCTGAATATTCCTCTCCAAAGCCTTCAGCTCCTCTTTGGCATAGCTCAGCCGCTGCTCGAGGCCAACCAGCTCTCCTTGAAGAGTCTCCTCCTCAGAGCCCCGTCGATGGCTCTTGGGGAGGTTTGCAAGGTCTGCCATCAATTTGTCTTTGAGCTTGTAGAGATTCTCAACTTCAGAGTCCTCCCAGCGCTTGGAAGAATTCTGCTGTGGGCCTCGTCCACCGGTCATAAGACCGCCTTTGTGAATCACAGTGCCATCCAGAGTCACTGCCTTGGCATCGACATTCCGCTCGTAGCACAGGTATTTCGCAGTTGCGAGGTCATCACAGACGATAGAGTTGCCGCAAGCATAGCTGATAGCTCGTGCAACAGAATCATCGTAGTCGATGGTCTCAATAGCAGGACGCATGCCCCGGTGCATACCCTTCAGGTTCGAGTTGAAAGCCTTGACTTGGATCGTCTCCAAGGGAATGAAAGTGGCTTGGCCGGCACGCTGATCACGCAGATGCTGAATGCATTCCTTGGCAGTCTTTTCATTGTCCACGACAATGGCGTCAAAGTGACGGCCTAGAACAGTGCTGACTGCATCGGCGTATTTCCTCTGCTTGGGCCGGCAGAGGTCACTGACTCGCCCTTTGACACCAGGGAAGATGCGCTTCAGAGTCGAGACCAGCTCCTTGGCCCGAATCTCCCGCTCATTCTGCTTCTTGCCATCATCGGCTTCAAGCAATTTCTTCAAAACAACCTGAAGCTTCTCTTCAAGCTCAGTCCGCATCTGAGAAATCTTCAGGCGTTCCGATGTCAAGGCGTTCAAATCTTTCTTCTTCCGCTCGATTTCCTTGGAGGTGGTCTTGACGGTATCTGTGAGAGTCGACTTGCGTTCATTCATATTGAACGCCTCGGATTCGAGATTCTTCAGCTGCCATTCGGTACTTTCGAACTTGCCCTTCAGGCTGTTCACTGCCTCTGCTTCCGTCTTCCGTTGCCGGCGAAGGTTGTCGAGATTGAGCTGGTCAGCGGATGAGCGCTTGCTAACCTCTTCCCGCAACTTGTTATATTCCTGCTGGTCGGCTTCGCTCATCTGGACTCCCTGTTTGCTCATGGTCCTCTGCCATTCAGCTTCCCATTGGGCTTGGGCCTTTTCAACGAGCTTGAGGTCCTTCTCGAGCTGTTTGCCGTTGTTCGACTGTGCTGTCCGTTCTTTGCCAATCTCCGTGATTTTCGAGGAATAACGCTCTACTTTCTTCTGTGTAATGTCGACCTTCTCGTCAATCGGTACCAGGGAGTTGTTAAGGTCTTCGATATCTTTCTCCTTCTTGACGATGTTCCTCTCGGCCTTTCCGACATCTCTGCCAACGCGAGCATGGTCCTTCTTGGCCTCCTCGACGTTGTGTTCGTACTTTTCCACGCCGCGGCGGTATTCCTTCAGCTCATCCTGGTATTTCTGGATGTCGGCGCTGGAAGCATCAATGAGACGCTGGAAGTGGAACAGCTTCCACAGGATGTGAGTGATGATGGCCTGGTCGCGCTCTTCGGCCTTCTTCGCGTAGGTCTCTGCCTCCCTCTTCTGTTCCTGATACTGCTTGACCTCGGAGTTGATGCCTCGTCGGCGGTTGAGCTGAACAGTCTGCTGTTCCGCAGCCTCTTCCGCCTCTGCTTTCAGCTTCTCGTATTCAGCCTTGTACTCGAGACTGCCGGAGATCTGCTCAATCAGACGGGTGAGGTCTCTCGGGGACTGCGAAGCGATTGCCTCGACATCACCCTGGAACACCAGGAAGTTGCGAGCGCGGATCAAAATATTCTCCTCCTCCAGAGCCTCGTTGTATTGTTGAGCGGTCACGATTCGGTTGTTGATACGGTACTCGCTGACACCTTGGCTGGTGATCGATCGGCGCCATTGCTGCTCCTCGCCAGCATCATCCTCGTAGACGGCCATGACCCAGGCAGTCTTGGGATCATTCGCGCTGCCTGTATCCTGCGACTCGTCCATCGCATCCGCATCCTCCTCCGGCTCGGCATCATCTCCGTTTGTGGCGGGTTCTCCATCAACTTTCGACGTGCGTAGGACGCGACCACGGTAGACAAGGTCGCGGAGGTTGGTAGATCGCAGGTGAGATGACTTAATTCCTAGAACGAACGAGATGGCATCCATCCTGGCGCGGGTTAGCAACAGTGTGCGTATCTTCAAACATCTGGGGGGTCAACTGATCACATACGAGTTGGATTTTCCAGACCCGTTGGGTCCAATAATGGACGTAAAGTAGGCATCTCCAAATAAGAGGGTATGATGGCCCTTGTAAGACTTGAAATCTGGAGAAGCAAAAGTCAGCTAATACGCGCGGCGCATTCGTTTCACAGTGGGATGCATACTGAAAAGCTCGAGCCGAATAAGTTTCCCCATCTTGAGAGACGAGTAAGCTTCCAGGGGAAGCAGTGCACTCGCAAAGAATCGGGCAAATCACTTGCGAGTGGTGTCGAGCTCTGTGATTAACAGGCCTGGACCGGCAGATGGTGGGAGGGGCGCGATATGGGGATCGCGTCCCCGACGCGCCGGGGCAATCACGTGGCCTCCGTTGGCCCAAGTATACTTCCTCGAAGAACTACACCTCAGTTCTCCATCCTGGGGAATAGTCCATGATGAACAAGATGGAGACAAAAATAACCGACCCAATCGATATTTGCAGGCAACTCGCCCCTATATTTTGATCCAAGACTCGACAGCGAGTAATCTAAGAATACCTGGGCGTACAGTCTACTAGCGAATCTCTTGACCGCAAAACAAAAGCAACGCCTTGTATGAGACTCCACAACGTGACAAACAATGATCTGCTGCAGATCAGTCTCGTCTTGGCTACAGCGCGAATCCTCGGTTACAGACATCTAATTAACTGCCGACGAGTCACTCCTTTGCATCAAAGACGAATGCAAGGGGAATGAGGGAAACTTAGAGCATTATTTCTCGCTAAATATGATAGGATCACTTGATGAGGTCTAATGCAAGATCTGCCACGGTTAAAAGCTGGCTCTGATTCCATCTATCTTCCAGAAGAGTGCTATAAGGTGGACTCTCATGGCAGCTGATTCTCATTTCATTCTGGCCATCGGTGGCCTAACTCTTACCGGGTGTCCTCCTGTGCAACTCTACCTGCGAGGCCTGATCTCTGCATGCAGACTTTAGCGATGTGCAACCACTGCCCGAGATGTCCTGACCGTAGTCAGTATTCACTGGCATCGAATCTCTCGTTGCCTTCGCCTGTACCTTTCGACGCCGATTCGGATATCGTAAATGACATTAATGGGCCTGAGAGTCCGGAAACCTACCAAGTCTTCTACAGGCTGGTGTTTGGGTATGAACTACCTTACTCTCTACATTTATCCCAGAACACAATCCGAGAAGAAGAAGTTGCTGGATATCATTGCCACTGTTATGGAGTATCATCTCACCTATTCGACACAGGTCGTAATCTCCTTCTTCGTCTATGCCACCCTTACTTTTCTCCTCGCATTCTACACGTATCTTTTCACGGACAGCGTCGTGCCCAGCGACTTGTAAAATCATCTGGATCTGCTTATTCAGGGCAAAGCTCGGCGTGTTTCCAGTTTTACCTCACGTTGGATCAATATTCCAAAGACTTGGAATCGCTACGTACCATGTCTTCGCCCAAAACAACTGCAGAAGATATGTCGACTACATGCGGACACTCAGTTGGTAGTCGGTACCTCAATTCTAATTGCTCTATACTCAAAGCATTGCACTATCACGCAGTACTATTTCTACATCGGGGCGGAGCTTGCAGACCTCTCTCGTTACCTTCCAGTCAGTCCTCATGGCCGCGGTGGGAGTTCTACGCCAGAGCTTATTTTCGCGAGTTTGGCGATATATATGGGTGTCTGCCTTATTCAGTACCCTGTTGACTTCGACGTTAATGCAGTGGAATTCTTATTGTTTATTAGATGGTCTGTATGGGGTCCCCGTTCAATGTATTTTGGGCGACTCTCTCCAAATCAGATCTTACACAGGTCAAAACTTGGCTTGTTTGGCTGTCAACTGGGTTGTTCTCATCTGGAGCTTGTACTTTGTTACTGTCTTGCTTTTCCCAGACGTCGCCGGCATGTGGCCCTTCGTACATCTGGAAGGTTTGATCTACCGGCTTTATTCTCAGCCAGCACGCAAATTGATTGATGCCCAAATAACACGTTCCTCGGGGTGGAAGAAGAACAAACCCAGAGTGGCCATCTGCATTGTCGTCCTTTTCGCTGGTCAAATATCTCGTCCGGTATATTCCATATATTGAGGGTCTATTTGATGCTTGCGTATAACGCATATGTTATCTTTGATACGAGAGAATACGCTGCGTTTGAAGGACGGCAAGGTGATGAAAATGAGTGGGGCTTTGGACAGATACTCCCACTCATATTGCTTCCATTGCCACTATCACAGGTCGCGGAGGGGCTTCTGGGTAAGGCCCATATAGCCCTGTTTCAGTCAGCGAAGGCTCGCTAATTCAGATATGGTTCAAGAAGAATATTCTTGGAAAACGAGGGCGCCATCTAGCGAGGGTGAAGCTAGAACCGATACTCAGAGTAGCCAGGGGAATCAAGTCGAAGTAAGAGGACTTCAGCATTCCTCAGGACTTGAATTCAGAAGTACGTTGGGTTCAACCTTGGGCCAGGGCAAGATATGGCGATGGATCTGGTTCAACGACCAGGTGACTCTGCGTCAACTATCAGATGATAGGCTTCGAAATTGGCAGGAAAAGCAAGATCTTCAGCAGCGGATAAATAAACTGGAGGTCAGCTTCCTGGAGACTAGCTCATTCCAGTGGGGTATTACAACACTTTTGGTGATCTTATTTGGTATTGGGAGCGTCCTGGTTTTTGTCGAAGAGATACAGATTTAGCGGGACGATATAATTGTGAACGGCACTTATGTCTCTCGATCTGAAAATAAAACCTTCGGGGTCAGGTATCCTTCATCATCGGAGACTATCAAACAAGCTCGCTTTGTGATTGATGTTACAGTGTTAAACAATATAGATACAATGGTGGGTGAACATGGTGGTATCACCAGGAAAATCAAAGCCACCGTATAATGCCTCGGATAAAAGCCAAGCTCTCAAGTAACTTTAAGCGTTCTGACCTCTCATCCTCACCGGATTGCCCAGGAGGAGGAAATCGCGATCGACCAAACCATTCGAGTCCATCCGGAAAGTACCCTTGCGGCCATCAATCTTAATGAGAATAAAGTCTTCACTGGTGAAAATTTGCCGCACAGACAGGAATATCCTCCAAACTCCATGGCTCAATCTCGCAACGGGGGCCTTGAAGAAGCTCGGTTTCGGCTCGTTCGAACCACCAAGAAGCTTCCTGCTATCATTCTCAAAGCGCGCCACAGACTCCGGTGATACAACGAGCTTCTTGGAGATATGAACTTGAGAGGGTGCAACCTCAAACTCATACTTTCTGAATGGCAGCATACCCCGAACCTGGAAGCGGATACGGGGTTGGCCTTGGGAATGGACTGCCTTGATGCTTCGGATCATGTTACCAGTCCGAACAAGGAAGATAGTGCCCATGACACTCATCGACACACAGATACCGCCGAAGAGGGCCTGTTGCCACATAGGTAGGACGGTGACGGGGTCTCGGAACACAGCGTTGGAGTTGTAGACTGCATAGGCGAAGCAGAATGCCGACAGGCCGTATGCGCTGAAGTAATAGCTGCGCTGCGAGTGCGCCTTGAACAATGCCACATCTCCTTCATGGGCAACTCTGCTGAATAACCTTCCAAGTCCTCCTGCCTTTGGTTGTAAATTCTTGGGTAGTTCGGCGTATTGGGGATTTGAGGGCGCGGTGCGTCTTTGAGGCCTAGGAACGGGCGAAGATCGAGGAGCCCTTGTGGCAAAGGAGCGCCATGATGGTGAAAAGTATGTCTGGAAGCTGGGGCGTACTGGGTTACCAGCACAGGTACCAGGGCAGCGATGCCAGATTATTCGGAGGGTAGATGGTCTGGCGGACATGGTTATTGCGCAAGCTCTATCCACATTAAGGGTTAGCTGGGCGACCTGAAGAGTGACATAACATAATGCGACAACGAATCATTTGATTCAATTGAAGCACCAATGGCTCAATAGAGAGGAATACCTTACCCAAATCTCCGGGCCCTCGACGGTTGTTCTCCTCGGAAAGCGCCGCCAGATCGAAAACAGCCGTTGCGGCAGAAAAATGTTCCCGTCCCGGCCGCCGGTGAAAGCTCCCAACGCCCTCAACGCCAACCAGCATTCTCTCTTCAGTTCGCTCAATTCACGCGCAACTCCATTATCTATACATCCGGAACTAGCGCGGCTTAACGCGGTGGTGGGCTCTTGGTCACTCGTGTTTGTCTCTGCCTACCTCTGCCGACAATCCAGCTCCCTCGGAGAGTTGCGGGCAATCGCTTGAATATCTCCGCCCCCCCCAACATCTACATCACCTCCCCCGGCGGAGCCACATACATTCATACAAAATGGCTGCTCGACTTCCTGTGAGCCAGGTACCGGCGATGTTCGCCCGCCGGCAGCCTCAGGTGCTCCGTGCCTCTCGACGTGAGTTTTTCCGGTGACATTTGGATGTTATGAAGCTCGTTGGAAGCAAAGCCCGTCTTATCGGAGCCAATTGCTCAAGACCCAGGAGCCTTAACAACTCCATACGAACACAATGCTGACTTCCAATGTCTACAAGGCCTCCAATCCTCCTCCGCTCCTCAAACTCAGAACCCCGCCTACCCTCTCTACCCCTCCGTCATCCAGCTCCTGCACGAGAAGAACATTCCCGAGTCGGAAATTTCCAAGATCCCCGCCTCCGGCCCTAAGGGCCGTCTCCTGAAGGGTGACGTGCTAGCCTACATTGGCCAGATCGCTGCTGAATATCCGGCCAACCAGGCCGCGACGCTGGCCAAGCTCACGCACCTGGACCTGAGCAACATTAAGATCGCGGCACCGGCCCCGAAGCCCGCCGCGCCGGCCGCGGAGGAGAAGAAGGAGGTCGCACAGCCCCCACCCATGTCCTCGATCGCCATTTCCATCTCTTTGTCGGCTGTGCTGTCCGCGCAGAAGAAGATTCAGGAGAGCTTGGGTGTGACGGTTCCTCTGTCCCGCTTCCTGGCCATTGCCACCGACCTTGCCAACGACGGCCTGCCTCGCTCCAAGAGCGAGAAGCCCTCTTCGGATGAATTGTTCGAGGAGCTTCTCGGCGCCGAGCCCGTGAACACGTCGCGTGGCGACTACATCCCCGAGCTGAACGCTTTCGAGGCCTCCGAGGCGCGCCAGCCCGAGCCCGTGGTTGAGGATATCATTGATTTCCTGAGTGCCAAGCCCGGCAAGAAGACCGTTGCTTCCTCAGTCTCTGCTGTGGAGGGCGGTGCTGCCCAGAACGTGTTCAGCTTGACTGTCCCCGTGGGCGAGGAGCTGCGTGCCAAGACCTTCCTCGAGCGGATCAAGACTCTCCTGCAGGTCGAGCCTGCCAGGCTGGTTCTTTAAAAATTGTCATTTCTTGTTATAAATCTCCCCAATGTCTTGGAGCTTTTTTTCTTTTTCAATCTCCCTTTGTCCACTCATGTCATCCCAAAGTTGGGTTCAAGGCTTCTGTATTTAGTATAGCATAGATAATCCGATACCGCCTTGATCGGCTTGATAAACACTATGTTGTTAGGGAATTGTAAATGTATGTCCTTTTTCAACTATGGTGGTCTCTTGGATGATTCCATTGTTTGACTTTGGCCCAAGACATTTATCTATCACGTTGTGGGTCCGGGATCTGATTATATGTCTCCTATGATCTCACCCCTATCAAATCCTCCAAGAATCTACATAATCTCAAGAACAGCCCACGTACCGAATTTCCTACCTAATGCCAGCTCCTGGCCATCCTCGTCCATTTTAGTGCTCACACCCTCGCCGCTTTTGCTCATTGAGTATACCTGAGCACATCTCTGAGTGCTCTGATCTGCTCACAGTGCATAGCCTGACTAGTACCCACTTGATATCCGGTGTTTTGCTTAGCATAAGTGCGCATACAGTCGTTTAGTAAGAGATCTTGCGCGTAGGCTGTTACCATACATACGGCAAGAGTGATGTTGTCTGGGTATACCGTGCATCCCAAGAGCTCTGCCTTTTGATAGGAGCGACAGTTGCAGAGCACGATGCTTCTTAGGTAGAAGGGCACTGATATTCGGAACGACTTCCCTCCTATCATGCTGCATTGTAGACAAAATCGTTGCCTCCAATTGACATCGAGGTATGGAGACCTTGCGCTCGGCAAACACGGCTGTCCTGGTGCCGGCTAATCAATACATTCGGCTAATCCCCTTCTTCGCCTTCGCTTGTCAACGGCATCTTTTTAATTTCTTATAAAAGCCCGCCCCTACATTTTATTGCACTAGTCTTATCGCTTTTTTTAAACCCAAATCGCCTGCCTTCCTGTCTCCGTTCCGACGCACAATGACATCTGAAATAAGTCATGGGGATGTGCATCTGACATTCCTTACGACTGGAACAGTCCGCATCAGACCATCAATGCGCTCCCAACCCATGAGCAAGCTTGGTATCTTCCGTCGGTTAAGATCTCTTCGCGATCGGGGATGGACGCCGCCTCTTCCAGTTGGAGTGTTCCTCATTCATCACCCAGAAGGCCTTTTTCTATTCGATACCGGCCAATCCCCTTGCTGCAACGATTCTGGATATTTTCCTCTACTTGCTCTTTTCAACAGCCTCCTGAGCCAATTTACTATTGAGCCTCGAGACGGTATTGTAGAGCAGCTTCTTGCGATGGATATTCGGCCAACCGATTTAAAGGGAGTTATCCTGAGTCACCTTCACAATGACCATGCCGGTGGCTTAGAGGACCTGATTGCCGAGGCACCTGATCTGCCAATTTATATCAGTCGCGAACACTGGGAAGCATTTGGCGAGCATCCTGTTTTTGCAAGCGTGGAGGGGGCAACTCCCAATCATTGGCCCAAAGACTTTGCACCAAGAATCGTGGACCTTCAGGAAAGGCCTCTCGGGCCCTGGAAGCAGTCGTATCCGCTGACGGCAGATGGGAAAATCTGCATTGTGGATACCTCTGGCCATGTTCCCGGACATATCAGTTTGGTGGTATACAGTGACGAGAACACGTCCCGCGATGCCGAAAAACAGCGTGTCACTTATCTTTTGCCCGGCGACGCAACATATGGTCTTGATCTTCTCGACAAGGAGGAGCCGGATGGTATCAATAATGATCCTATGCGTGCTTTACAGACCCTGAAGACTATCAAGCAATTTGCAATGGAGACAGACGTGGTCATCCTGCCCAGCCATGATCCCGATACCCCCCAGCTACTGGCTAAACGACAAACATATCGGCCTAAAGATCGCCGATCTTGAGAGTTCCTTGTTTCCAGCGCGGTATACGTGTATATTATATGATTCAAAGTAAGAGATAGACTCCCTTATTAGAATACTGGACTCCTTCTGTAATATCTCAATACACTATTGGTGGGAAGCCTCGTTACTGCCCGAAAAACCGCCCCGGATAAACTTCTGGATATATAGTAGCATTCTAGTAAAGTAGACTGTTTTGAAATAAATCCAGTGGACGTTGATCTTCCTATATTCAACTGACTGGAGCGACTTTACCATCAAAGGTAGCATATGTGGCGACAAAGTGACTTTACCGAGCGTGCCAGGTCAACCTGTGTTACAGAGCTAAACAAAGCAATGCCCCATGTGAAAAGTCAAAAAATAAAGTTAACCTGTTATCTACTTTAGTTCTAGCTAGAAGGAGGTGTTCATGTCAAATCTCGGGGTTAGATTGCAAATCTCGGCAGTGGACACTTCGGTAACATGTTCACTCTCGGCAATGAAGAGACTGCTACTTTTACTCTTCCCGACGGTAAGGTTGGTGCTCGGCATTCGGCACATCGTCGAGGGAATGAATTACACCGAGTATCAACCCAGTACGAGTTGCTGTCTCGAGGATATGGATATATGAAAGTGCGAACATCAACAGAGACAGATTGCTTTCTTTGGTTAAACTTACCTTTTCCATATAATTCCCCGTCTCAAGACCCTACAACACCGCCGCACTCGAAATGTCCACTCCACATACTATGAAAGCAACTATTCTGAACAATCCCGGCCCCGACTCTGAACTCGCTACACTAGCTGCAACTCCCGTTCCCGCTGTTCCTGATGGCTTCGTCCTCGTCAAAAATGCCTTTGCTGGCATAAACTATGTGGACATCTACGTCCGCACTGGCCAATACCCAATTCCCAAATCCAAGGATGTGATCATCGGACAGGAGGCAGCTGGAACCATTGCGGCGGTCTCCCCACTGGCATCCTCGCAGTACAATCTAAAAGATGGTGACCGGGTGGTTTGGCTCTTTCAAGGAGGCTATGCCGAGTACACAGCCGTCCCTGCCCGCCAAGTTATCAAGATCCCCGATGGAGTCAAAAACGAAGATGCAGTGGCTGCATTTCTCGTGGGTTTGACGGCGCTAAGTCTCGTGAACGATGCATTCCCCGTACAAAAGGGAGACAAAGTGCTGGTGCATGCGGCAGCAGGGGGTCTAGGACTGTTGTTGATCCAAGTCTTAAAGCAGAAGGGGGCGACGGTCATCGGCACAGCTGGGGGAGCGGAAAAGTGTCAGCTCGCTAAAAGATTTGGGGCCGACTTTGTGGTAGATTATAGGTCTGAGGTGAATTGGGTGGAAGAAGTGACGAAATTTACTGCTGGAGAAGGGGTCGATGTGGTAAGTGTTTTCATGGGCACGATGCTACATTGATTTTGATTGAAACAATACTGATATTCAGCAGGTATATGATGGTGTCGGCAAAGATACCTGGGCTGGAAGCCTGGATGTAACCAAGCTGTTTGGACGGGTCGTGTTTATTGGAAATGCCAGTATGGATCGACATGAAACGCGATGAGAAGCAAAACGAAGCTAACCATGGACGAACCCAGGTGGTCCTATTCCTCCAATCAACACCGATCTACTCTCTGAGAAGAACATTACAGTGATGCGTCCAAAGTTGCGAACCTACCTCGAAGTTGGAGATAGATATGTGCGGTACGCACAGGAGATTCTCGCCCTCATCGAGACAGGAAAATTGACGGTTTTGAAACACCACAAAATGTATTCACTTGAAGAGGTGGCGCAAGCCCATGAGGATCTCAAAGGAAGAAGGACAACTGGCAGGTTGCTGGTCAAGATATGATGGATATATTTCTATAATGAGTTGATCGGCTGAGAGAAATACTAGTGCTATACATCCTTTGTACAAGACCAGTAAAGGTACAATCATCGGGGCCAGTCAAATCCATCCACATCTATCCATAGCTTGGGATCATTGAACGACCATTCTTCTAGCGAGCCTTCGACTGGGAACAGATCTGACAGATCGATTTCATGGGAGCTCAAAACTTCCTCCCCGAGCAAGTCGAGGTTCGGAAATGTCTCCGCAGGAAAGGGGAACAATTTTCGTGAAGCCGATAAGAACGGGAGCTCTCCACATGTTTCCAATACCTGCCGGTCATCAAAGAGCAAAGACTTTGAGGGTCTGCCTTGCAGCTCCTCATCCTGCAACCGGCAGATCTTGCGGAGCACCATATCACATCCACCGTATTTGATGCGAAGTTGTGCCAGAATCGTACGAATGACACTCAACTCTTCTTCTCTGAGCCGCTCTTTCGCCTGTGTCTGTGGATGATAGTATATCTGAGGAATGGCGGCAAGCATCAAGAAAAACCCGTTAATCGGTAGTAGTTGTGAGATTTGTTCATGATGGTACAATTCCTCGAAAAGACGAATCATGCACGATGAGGCGACAACGGTGAGCAGGGTCGCCCGCGATCGATTGTCACTCGGCCTACAGCGAAAGATCGTAAATATAATGGCCACAAAGTACATGATGTATAACTGGTTAGTCAGCTTGCAGTACGGTCTCCGTTGACCATTAGAGTCGTATAGCACGAGATCGACTGGTAAGCTCTCCGTCCAGTTGTGAAGCATCGCGACAATTGGTGATAAATCCTGGACATCGAACTCGATAACGCGGCGGACGATCTGTGCAAGATGCACTGAGTATACGAAATTGCGCAGTTTGAATTCGCCACTACTACTGTCCACTGTGGGCAGCAGCACATCCATGTCGATGGACCGGATCATCAGTGGGCGACCCCAGCACGCCGCCTGAATGCCATCACTCATCTAAATTTAAATTATCAGAATGGAGTACAGGATAACATTATGCCGGAATATTCTTACCACAAGGTGCCACCACGCCCGGCGAAGGGACTCCCCATCTCGTAGACCACAATATGTCTCTTCCCGGTGCAATCCCATCTGTATCGCCAATCGAATCGCCAGCCCTGTCCAATGCCACGGCCCCCCCAACGACACCACATAAGGAGGTCTCAGGCTCCAGCATGACATAAGACAAATCGCCTTCAGTAAGGCCACATGATCTTCCTCGTCGCCATCCTCCTGCAGCGAGATCAGGCGCTTCACCTCACGATATAACGAATACGATAGACGCAGCTCTTCTGTGGACGAAATTCTCCTCATTAAACTCCCTCCCAGGCATATCGCTGATCGCAACACTGTCGGCATCATATTCCTATCCGGGTCAAGGAGCTCCTCTGCCCCCACGATCGGATATGTGGTGTAGACATGCTGATGGAAAGCATCAAACAGAGCGCGATGTAGAGGTTCTTTTAATGGAAGAGAAGTTGGCAGTGACCGAAGAACCGCCTCGACAGATTGCCACGATTGGACCGAAGTTTTCTCATGGCAACTGCTTATTCCCAGCGTTGAGCGTTGTTGATCTTGAGAGTTTAGCCCGAGGTCTTCGGAGGATGCTGATGGTTCTGCTGGTGGCTCTGCTTTTGATGACGCCAATGTAGCAGAGCCAGAAGGGCGGCGAAGAAAGTCATATGAAAGCACCGAGTCTGTCGCGATGAAGCTGTCACGCCCAAATATGTCGCCGACAGAACCCTGTTGAGAACTGTTGTCTGTTGTACAAGGAGATGGGAGCAAATCCAGCGGCTGTTGAGGAATGGGTCTTTCACCTGGTCGCTCGGGTTGTTGTAGAGTGTCCTGGCGTTGAATGTCTACACTCGTGGCGCGCATAGCTCCTTTTCGAGGCTTTCGAAGGCTTTGCCGTTGTCTTATTACATAAGTTGTTAGTGCAAAGATAAATAAAGCAGATCCTCCGTATGATGTTGTCGGTGGGATTATTCACTTACACGCATTGTTGACCCATTCGGCGACAATTACTGCATGTTTTGTGGAGACTATCTTGAAGATCACATCGTACCTGAGGGAACGTACGGTCCGCTTAGTTTGTTTCTTTAAATCCAAGAAATCAAGAAGGCCATGGATAGCGGTAATGATAGATGTGACGTACCTTTCTGTTGTGGCATTGCACGCAGATAACCCGAGCACGCGTATGGAATTTGGTGACCGCTGAGGAACGCTCCATCACTTGATGAGAGAATTGAGTCAATTGGTCGACCTGGTCACTGCGGTGGATTGAATCTGTGCTCGTAGGCGAGTTCAAGTTAACAGCTCAAGAAACTGAATCAGGATGGCCGAGGTCGAAATCGTAGTCGTCGCGAGTCGCCCAAAGCCGAGGCGGAAAGATCGGAGAGGATCATCCAATGCGGGGTTTCCGGGGCAGACCCGTAAAAACAAAGTGGATTGAGGGTCATGTTGACAATGGTGACAATATGGAACCGGTTACAGCATGTCTTATCCACTATCGTAGTTATTATATTTTTGTTTCTGTTCTTTATTGTGTATGCAAGGAAGGATAGCGCTATCTATGCACAACACCGACAAGAGTAAAATCCATGCACCTTCTACTTGCAATACAAAATAGCGACTGCCTAAAATCTGCCACCTAAATCGTACGGACATCGTTATATAGACCATCTCAACACTGACAGTGTCGAATTCAATCACAGCCATTCAGTAAATGAAGGTCTAAGGAAGCTTCAGCTAGACATGAACAAAACTATCGAGTATTGACCCTACTGGAGTCAAGATCATGGCATATATAGCACTGGGCCAATGCTGCCCCCCTTGGTACAAACAGGGCCAGGAATGGATGCTTTTCGACACGATTGATAGTTATTTACGTACCAAAGATGTCTTTATCATGAGCTATCCGCAAACCCAGGAAAATAGGGTATCTTTTTTTTTGAGGTAGGCAAAGTATCTCCGCGAGTGGAAGGAACATGAGATCTACCATGCATTCTGTGTTAAGGTAGTCAAGCTCGAGGCCAAACATCATGGAGCCAAGTTGCGAACTTGGCTCAGTGAGCCTGGGGATTACCGAGCCATCCGGAGGGGGACGCTGTTTGGAGGGTTGAAGTCGGCACTCGGTTCTCGGCACTGAGCTCTCGGCACTGAGAAACAAGACCCACCAGTAGAGGCTTTGGGTCATTTCATGACTATTCTCATCGTGATATCCAGGAACGGCCACACCGTTAAGCAAAAGATAGGTATTTAAATTCATACAGATCACACCACATTCGTAGACAAAGCACTCAACAAAATCGCAATTCATATCGCTAACCCACATCGACACCGTCTTTATCCACAATGTCTAAACTCATCGTCGTTCTAGGTGCTACAGGTGGCCAAGGCGGATCCATTGTCGAGTCATTTCTCAAGCTACCAGGTTGGCGAGTTCGTGGTTTGACACGAAATGCTAGCAGTGGGAAAGCTAAGGCCCTCTCTGCTAGAGGCGTCGAGGTTGTGGAAGCCAACACCGATGACCAGGCTAGCCTTGAAAAGGCCTTTCATGGTGCAAGTGCAATTTTTGCCTTCACTAATTACTACGACTATTTCTTTCAATTGGGACCCGAGAAGTCTATGGCTCGAGAGCTGGAACAAGGGAGTAACTTGGCTCGAGCTGCAGCAACCGTCCCTAATCTAGAACGATATGTTTGGAGTACTCTGCCCAACACTGATTTAGTGTCAAAGGGGAATGCGGTAGTTCCGCATTTCCAGGGCAAGGCCAATGTCGACCTGTTCATCAAGGAGAATCTTCCCGATCTCTACGAAAAGACTACTTTTGTGATGTTCACAATCTTTGCGGCAAATCTGAGCCTTTATGAGATTTTCCGGCCGATCTATCTAGTAAGTCAACATTGGCGATACTGTTGATGAAATGATGAGAGCTGAGAAGCTTGGATTTTCTTTACTAACTAAAACATAAGTCCGGTGCCAAAAAGTGGGTTCAATTCTACCCTGTTCATCCCGATACACCGTACCCGTCAATCGGTGACCATCAGGTCAACAGCGGTATATTCGTTCAAGGGGTGATTGAGAACCCTCCTCCTCCTGGAACATATGTTAAATGCCAAGTCGAGGAGCTCACTATCGGCTCGTTTCTTGCTGCTTGGGGCCGAGCCAGTGGCCTTAGCCCAGAGCCGAATTCTACAACGGTTGTTCAACTCCCAATGAATCAATATGTCGACATCTGGGGGGAAATGGGAGAGGAACAGGCCAGTCAATGGCGTTTCTTCCAGTATTTGAAGGACGCGCAGATTGATCCCGCCAAAGTCGAAGGGTACAGAATCGTTGAAGGGAAGGACATCTTGTCCGATCAGGCCAAGGCAGCACTGGTGCTCACCGAGGAAGGAATGAGAACTATGGATTGGTCAAGTTATCGCTCGACCAACTAGTTGATCTAGGGTTACCCAGCTACACGGAGGGTACCATCAGAGGGCCGTACTAGGTTCGAGTTTTCTGTGGAATGATCAGACTATTATTATCATACAGTATCAGTTTCCTCAATCTTCTCTATTTGGCCTTTAGAATTTTTTGACTTTTTAGTCAAACATATAATTAAATAACTATGAACAGGTATACTGAATAAGTACATGAGATTGAAATATAGAAAATTGGAAGATTTTGTAATTTACATCATTTGCCTCACATAATCACCAATATCCAATGAACCAGCACATTAAAATCTTCCCAATGATAGGAACAGCCTCCTCCAAAATGATATGACGACCACCAATTTTAGTCCTGGTTCAAATACCATGTGGAATCCGACCCATCAATCTCCTTGGTGGAAATACCGTTTCCTAAATAGGAAAAGCGGTTTTTTCTGGTATGGTAGACATAATCCCAGTCTTCTCCCCTGAATCGCTCCAGCGTATGAAAGAAATGAATTCTACTTCCAGGATGCAGAGCTGTCACAGGACTAGTTTCCGTACCATTCTTGAACCATGAAGCGCATGGCCCAGCCCAGGCTGTCCGCGGCATAAATGCTTGCGTATGCTCGTATAATTCGTTCACTGCATCCTTGCTGGGCGCAACGGCTTTGATTCGTTCTGTCTGACATTTTCGGATAACATTGGAGATGTAATGAGCGAGGAGTTCAGTGATGGTGAATACACTTCCATGGCCGATCGGTGCATTTAGTCCGAGAAAAACCATTTTCAGTGTCAATAATGATGATATGCGAGAATTGGGACAAGAGCTATAAACCGAGGAGCAGATGGAGGCTTGATTCTTGGGTTCATTATCTTTAAGTTTATGCAGATGACTTACCGAAGTAATTGGGCAAATCAGGGACGGCACACGACATGTATGACCGTGGAAGAGTCTTGGTCCAAATATCCTGAAGATTACCTGATCTCCCAACGATAGGGAATCGCGGACAGAAGGAAACGTTAAAGCCAGTAGCGCAAACAATAGCATCCACCTCAATAGTTTCTCCAGACTCTGTAATCAGGCCCGTTGATGTGATGCGCGTAATGGGGTCTGAGATAACCCTGACGTTAGGCTGCAACAAAGACTCGAGATAGCCCACTCCTGGTGTCATTCTGCGACAACCCAATGGAAATGAGGGAATGAGAGCTTTAGTTAGCTTCTCGTCGTCTTTCAAGGCCGCTCGCATGTATCTAATAACTGCTTCAGTTGTTGCCTTGTTCGTCTCTGAATCTTTCATCACCTAATTATCTGTTAATGCGACCCAGGTAGCACTCCAGTCCCATTTACGGGTGACCGGATTAAGCAGGAAATTCATACAATAGAGAAGTTGCTGTTGACTTGAATCTCAATAGCTTTAACAAATGTCCTGTATAGCTGGGGGTCCGCTTTGAATCTCTCAATCTGGGCTGGCGTAAATCTTTCGTGCTCGTCAAGCTCGATCTGTTCGAGGATTCCGCCGGCTTGACTCATAGCCAGGCTTTGAATGCGTGGAGGCACAATCCAGGTGGCCTCTTTGATGAAGTGAACAAGCTGCTTGGCGCCTACTGACATGTTAGCCATGCAATATGCTGTCGTCCAATTTCTGTGGTATTCTCGGTCACTCCTACCATTTTGAATCTCTGGTACAATTTGTACGCCGGAGGAGCCATTGCCAATAACTGCCACCTTTTAACCTGTCCAATCAAACCCTTCGGTCCAGTTGGCACTATGAACCAGGGTCCCAGAGAAGTCATGGAGGCCTGGGATCTCGGGCCATTTCCAATGACTGGCGTGATCACGCGAATCAGCTCTGACTATTGCCGACAGGTGCGCCATAATTTTGGGAAAGAAGAGTTAAATCGGAGATTCACTCACTTTAGAATCCCACTTGCGTTAAGAAGGAATTCGCAATGATCCTCGAAACTATTCCCAGTTTTCAGGTTTTTGATTGTGACCTGCCACCGTCCAGAATTTTCGTTCCAGTACGCGCCCACGACTTCATGCTCAAGTTTAATATGATGTTGCATGTCCTCTTCCGCATACAGGTTACAGAGATAGCCTTCAATCTCTTCAGCGGGGGAGAAGAAACTGCTCCATCCATGGTTTGGCTTCCACGAGAATTGGTAGTTATGTGATGGGATGTCACATTTGCAGCCTGGGTATCGATTCTCGTACCACGTTCCGCCAACTTTAGGGTTTTCTCGTAGATGACGTGCTCATAGTTTGTGAGTTGCTTGCGCAAAGTCCGGATCACATTCAGCCCGCTGGCACCTACCCCAATGGTGATGATGCGGATTTTGCTTGCTGTTCCAAGGGGCTGCTCATTCACTTTGTACAAAGACTCAGCTGAGCCATTTTGCTCCCTATCTTCGTCTTCGGCATTGCGAAGTTGCATAACGAGCTGGGCTAATCGCGGGATTGCCATGATGTCCGACCTCGTAAAGAGTAAGAAAATACAATGGTGATAAGAGAGGATAGCGACGCAAAAGTGAGCGTTTTCCAGGAAATGTATAGATCTTCACCTAGAGTTACGCTACCTTTATAATAATGCTAAATTTTCAGTCCTACATGGTGAAAATTTAGTAATGGATATAGACTAGGTAGCTGTGGTAACTTCGCTGGAAGGTGGAAAACACATCAAGCTCGGTAGTCGGCAAACTGTCGTCGTCCCGAAGTCCCCTCGCCTCGCCCTGTCGATGAGGCAAGATCCGGGGGAACCCCACTGTCTCCAATTCCGGCGGGCGCGAATAAGCGTTCTCATTCATAATGAATGGGTCTTCTGGTACGGTGCCGATCTAGGTCTCGCGTATCAGTAGCAAAGGGGTCATTGTCTACTCAACCCGCTTACAATTGTTTGGATCATTGCAAGGCGATAGGATGAATCTAGGCGTAGTACGTCGTGGGACGGTCATTTTGGACATTTCATTAGCAAACTCCTTCATATTATGGTTATTATCCTATGCCAAATCTACCTAGAGTAGGCCAATAATGGGTCGCATCTATTCCATGACCTTGTGAATATTTCCTGGTATTGATCAAGATATCTTCTTGGCTAATCTTCCAAATCCTTCGTAAAAGATTCTCTAAATTCCAGATGTATAGAGTACAAATGTGGAATGAAACATCCGATTTGCTAAGACAAGAAGTACGTTGTAATAATCTACTAGCGTCCTCTCAGGATTTCCTGGCCAGTCCATGATTCTTCAACTGAGCCATATCACCTTGACATTATACCTTGGACTTGCTCTTCACCGACGCCAAAACATCACTAGCAATTGCCAACGCATCTCTGCCTGCTGGAACCCCACAATAGATCATAGCATGCCTGCAAGCCTCGCAAATTTCCTCTTCTGTCAGGCCGTTATGGATCGCTGCTGTGATGTGAAGTCGTAGTTCCGGTCCTCGGTTCAAAGCCGTGAGCATCGCGATATTCATCAAGGATCGTTCTCGAAACTTCAGGCCAGGACGTGCATAGCTCGAAAAGCAAACTTCTGCAATGTATTCCTGGCTCGTCTTGGTAAAAATGTCGTCTCTCTGGCGTTTAATTAGAAGCTAGTTCACATTCAATGCCACGGAATGCAAGTGACTCACGGTGTTCTTTCCTAACTGAGATAGAAGATCCTCACCAAGGAACTTTCTCGCCATGGTGGCCCCAAGTAAAACTTTCTCGGAAGGTGTCTGGGCCATTGCAATAAATGTTGATGGAAACTCGATTTATGATCCAAGTTGATGGGTGATACTGAGAAATAATTTCTTCGTTTTATATTCTGGACAGGGGAACAGTGTACATAATATCGCGAGGTCGGTCGTACTTTTTTATAAGAATGGCGTTCGGCAAGACTATTTGGATCTAGAGGCTTCGGTTACTGCCGAAGAATCGGCAAAATCATGAATAGAGCTAGCAGTCTGCATCTCTTCGTTCTCGCCGGTAGTCGGTACACTCGGTGTTTCCTGGTTTGTTGGATAATTACTGGCTTGACCGGGGAAGTACCGGAATACTAATGAACAGCTACTGTACCATCACCCCAGCGCGTTGATCAAAGCGGAAGCTTCGGCAATATTCTGTCGGGTCTCGGCAAACCTCCTTCCTTTCATTGCCACCCTCCATTAGAACTCATCCTTGCCCTCAGAATGCCGAAAGTGCGCTCTCCACATGCGCAGCGTCGAGCACGTGCCGTGTGTACCCGCTGTCATAGTCGCAAAGTGAGTTCAGCGTGAGAACATATACATCGGAGGTCTAACTTGTGATCGAAGGTACGATGTGATCTCGAGACTCGGCCAAGCGGCGTTTGTAGCCGTTGTCAACGCGAAGGTTATGAATGCCAGTAAGCATCACTTCTAAAGTAATAATTATATTCTTGAAGTTGACCATTTCAGACCCCATATTGGACCACGGAAACAAAAGGCACGTTGCACTTCTCAGGCGACGGCTCTGTCAGAAGTCACACACCCGGAACTGCAGGCTTCATCCACAACACCAGTGACGCCTTCTCAGACCGCCCTACATCCACGACATAATATCGACTGCTCCGGGTCAAATAACGGCTCTCCTCAACATGAGCCACACTTTGTCAATGGCGACAACATTATATTGCAAGCCAGCCAGGCGACCCTTCTTCCACCTCCGGTTATCATTCAGGCGTTGAGTGATTTCTATTTCAGTGAGCTTTTCCCATTAGTACCAGTCCTCGATCGTCAACAAGCAGAAGTTCAAAGCTCTCTTCTGCTGCAACAATGCCTGTGTTTTGCTGGGAGCACCATGCGCCAATCAAGCTCGCCAGTCGAATGGTCTTCGTCTGTGATTTATGGGCGCATCAAAGTATTACTTCTTTTGCACCATGACGCCTCCCCGCTAAATACGCTCATATCTCTCTGTATTCTGGGTACTTGGCTTCCATACACGCCCGAAGCCAGAGTTCTGGATAACCCTTGGCAATGGACCGGCATGGCAATTCGTCTCGCACTCCCTGGAAGGGTGCGAAGGATATGGTGGTATCTTTTCAACAGTGATACTTTGCAAATGGCTTGTTCTGGATGCCCTGGAATGTTTCCCCTGCAGGAGACTCAGGTTCGTTTCCCAATACCGAGTGACTTCGATAATCAAGACATTGGGGCTTGGATGTTCTGCAAGTTTACCTCTCTTTGCAGATTACTCAGAAAGGTTCTGGAGCTTGGCAAAGCAGATAAGTCGTCACAGGACGAAGTTTATTCAACTCTGGATGAACTCGGCCTATGGAGGCAAAGCTTGCCTTCATCCCTGCAACTCTTTGATGAATCCAGCAAGACCAGGCAGATATATAATCGAATAACCGTTGAGCTGCATATCTTCTACTTGGTGACGACCATTTTAGCCAGCTTCCTCGGTCGGCGTGACAATCCATCGTTATTTAAATACAGCTCGATGGCAGCTTCGGCCTGCATCGCCCGATTATACGAAGAGATTCTCCTCCACGAAGAGGTCACATATCTCCTTCCAATACACTCTTGGGCACACCTGGTCGCGGCTATTCCACGAGCGTTTAGCGACGGCGATCTATTAAACCCAGATCGAGCCTATGAGATTCAAATAAGCCAACAAGTTTTGGAAATACTAAGCAAGAAACACACTTCAGCTGCCGCAGTACGAAGCCGCATCGATGCCCTCGGCGGCTGCAGTGCAGGAACGTTTCCTCCACAGGTGGGCACCATGTGGGATTCACTTCCTGCGCCGATCCAAGACGAGAAGAAACAGCGTGTACTTTCTCTCTTCCATTTTCCTGTCAACTTTTGTCCAATGTTGGATTTACTCAGATCCACAGGAAGTCTCGGAGGAGTGCCGCTCCCCCATTCGTCGCCCATTGACAATGATGCTGATGACTGGTCCATTGATTGGTCTTCATTTTTATTCGACGGCGCTATGAGCTTTTAGCAAATTCACTAAAGAATAATCCGTTTTTGCGGGCCATTTCAAAGTTAAGTGGCTGCTGAAAAGCTCCAATCGTGGGGTCTAGGGAGAGAATGAATACTACGAATTGATGCAGAGCTTTGTGATGATTTCCACCAAACCACCTATATACTCAACATATCAACCTCATACATCCTAGGAAGACCCCTCCCTCAAATCCCTTTCCCATCCCCAATGGGCTGTATAAGCGAATAACTCCCCATCCCCCCGACCTCCTGCACCCCCGTCGAAAGCAACACCGGCCTCATCTCTCCATCCCCACTAAAAAACAAACTCGGCCTCTCCCTCCTAAAATAATCCACAACGAACCCATCCTCAAACACAACCCTCGTCGTAAACGCCACACTTGCATTATTAAACGTCCACGGTCCCGCCCACGATCTCGCAAACGCATGACGCCCTACATTCGGCCCATCCCCGAATCCCGCATCAGCCAGGAGAGAGTGGACCAGCATGTGGTAGTTCCCCCGTTTATCTTCCCAGATGAAGGGGTCTTCGCTGGGAAAGGGGAATATGGGGGAGTCAGGGTGGAGACGTGTGTAGGGGCCTGTGGAGACTGATGCGATGGCGAGGTTTATTTGTTCGGCGCCGCTGCAGTTGTAGGGGCAGCCGCGGTAGGCGAGGATTGTTTGGGGATGTGAGTTTCTGGTCTTATGGTGGGAGCTGAGATGAAGCGGTGCTGGGTTGGTTATATCAGCGTCCCAGGCGTTGTTGTTCGTGCCTGGCATAATCTGGCCGTGGGAGGTCCAGTTGTATAAATCTGGAGAGGACCAGAGGCTGATTCCGCTCTCGCCGTTGAGGGTGTTGCCCGGTCCGCAGGTGAAGTTTACATTCTGGCAGGTAGACGGGACATTTTGTGGACATCCTATATTATACATCAGATATTTCTGGTCCGTTTCGCTCCAGATGACGGTTGGGTTATGCGCGAAGGAGGGTGCGATATCTTGCTTGAAGGTGTATGGCCCGAGGGGTCCCGTTGTAGATTCAGCTCGGATGATACGGCTGAAGGGGGACCAGTAATCCAGGCCGCAGCCATGAGTGAACTCGGAAACGATTAGATGGTAGAGGTCTTTGTTTAGTCGGTCTTGAAGGATTTGGTTGCACCATGATGATGTCCCCTCTTCCGTGAGGTTGTAGCCATTTGCCCGCGGGCCTGGACGGAGGTCGAGTCGTCCGCAGTCGTTGCCTGTCCAGCCAGGGTCACAGATACAGGTATTGTGTGAACATATGCCGTTCAAACCGCAGTCTTCCTCGTTGGTGCAGGCTAGAGATGTTGGAAGAAGCCCGAGAGTTGATGCCAAAAGAGTGAGTTGAACAAATTGCTTCATAATGTTTAGTATTATTCGGTAAATGTTGAAGTAGCTATGAGAATCTGTATAACGTACTTATATGCTAACACTAGAGGATTATCATTATATGCAACTCGTCTATTGACTCCATTAGTCAATCGACCATTCACCCCGCACTCGGAGAGCTTCCGGCTATACAATGCTCGAGCTTGGGCGCGGATAGTCCCGACAATTGGGGAATGTAGAGCACTTGCAAACCGGCGGCTAATTTGATCTTGAGAAGACGAGTAAAGATCGTCATTTTCCCGCTAATCTGCCGATATCAAGCTTGGATAAGAGGGTAAGGTTGCAGCACTCCGTAGCATCCATGAGGGGAACACTCCAGATACCCGAAGTTACGACTAATGGTTGATGAAGGATCTAGATCCAGTATTGGTGTACAGCAAGGAGAAACGGGAAAAATCAACTTGAAACCTCATCTGCATTCTCATTCTCAGCATGACTAGAAAACCTCCTGCGCCAACTAGATGATATGCTATTTGTAGACATTGAAAAGAAAAGCATCAAGAAAGCTCAGCATTAAGCACATCGTCGAAGTGAAAGGGGAAAGGGGAATGGGGAGAACAGCAAATTTGATGTGGAATAAGCAAAATCGTATCGTCGTCATGGGAAAGGGGGTAATGAGCAATAATAATAAAACCGTCCACACGTTGTCCTAACGCCGCGGGAGCAACCGGCGCATCCAGTCGCTTGATTGAAACACCATGAGCGCCACCGCTAGACCTGATGAAAGTGGATGAACCTGCGCCTGATGAAGAAGCCTCTTGTACAGAGACTGAAAACCGGAGGCAAGGGGAAGAACAAAAAACGAAGAAAGAAGCAAGCAAAATCAGATGGCACGCCAGGGGATAAGAATATGAGAAGCAAGGTCCCAGTCGGATGAAAAGAACCAAACAACTCTGAATGTTCTGCGAAGAAAGGTGTGACCCGACGAATCGGGTCAAAAGATGCGATAGATGGGGGAGGATGGATGAATGATGATGCCCATAGAAATGCAGAAAGATCTTCCCCGGAATCCCTTGATATCGTTATCATGAAAAAATGTGTCCATGCCATGTAGCCAAGGTCCGACCGAAACTCCATGTCGAATGCACTGAAAATCAAATGTGAAAGGCTCTGGAATCCAGACCAATCGTCTTCTTTTGGCGACGCAATTAACGGATGGTGCTCCATTCCGTAAACTTGCTAACCCCTCGGCGCGAGTCACGGTTAGCCCGCCTGTCATAGATCTTCCAGAAACGGAGAGTCTCGTCGCCGGCACCAGTCACGACGGTCTGACCATCGGGGCTCATGGCGAGATACAGAACACGGAACGTGTGGCCGGTCAAGGAAACAACCTGCTCCATGCGCGGGTACTTCCAGATGACGATCTGGTTTTGGCTGTAGCCGTGGGTACTGATGATCTCGTCGGAATTCTTGGACCACGACAAGTTGCAGACCTGGCTGCCCGTGTCCACCTCCTTGATAAGTGCGCCGGTGGAAGTGTTCCAGAATTTAATAGTGCGGTCTGCAGTACCGCCACCCGAAGCAAGCAGATGGTGTTGGTGAGGGGACCAGGCAATGGCCTTGACAGCGGCACAGTGGTCGGAGAAGCGATAAAGGGGAGTTTCGTTCAGCTTGTCCCATACCATAAGCTTGTTGTCATTGCCGCCAGAGGCCAATTGACCATCTTCCGTGTTCCACTTCAATCCACAAACCTCTTGTTTGTGGCCAGACAACCGCCGAAGGTACTGATCCGGAGAACGAACGTCACGGTGGTAGATGAGGCGGTCTCGAGAACCGGATGTGAGGATGTGGTCGTTCCAGGCCAGAGCACCAACCCGATTGGTGTGGCCCACCATGGTTCGCAGTCGTCGACAATGCTCTGCATCCCAGATCTGCACGAGACCCTTGCCCGTGCCAATTGCAAGGTGGGTACCTCGCTGGATCCAGCTAACGCTGGTCACGGTGTCATCCTTCAGCTCACAGAGCTTGGTCACTCGGCTAGACTGCGAGTTCCACATGTAGACGGAGTTGGCTAGCCCGACACCCAGCACATTGGAGCTGCCCCAGTCAACCAGATTCAGGTAGAAATCATCCTGCAGATCAGGAGCATCGAGGACCTTGAAGGGAACCTTGTTGATGTATCGGGGCTGCTTCCGCGGGGTTTCAAGGATGCGCTGACTCTCATAACGAATAGGCGAGGTACTGTAGAGCTCGGAACGGACATTCAGGTTGGGTGCATGGGCGCTTCGGGGAGTCTTGGAGGGAGTAGGGTGACCAGATCCGGGACGGGTCGGGCCGTAATTGAAGAGGTTCTTGTGCGGAGTTGAGGGGGTGATTCCAGAGGAATGGAGATTGCCTATCAGGTGGGCCGGAGGTGTGTGGGACCGAGTCTTGTCATTGATCCCGTTGCCAAAGCCCAGCAACGGATCCGATGGAAGGGAGTCGAGATCGGGTTGAGGAACGGTGCTGCCGAAGAGTTCACTGCGCAGGACTCGGGAGAATGTGCGATTGGCTTCTTCCGCTGTTTATTTCAGAAAGGTTAGCAGGGAGATTTCCTCGCGGCGCTTGCCAAACGGGATAGGACGAACTCTTTTGGAAATGCAATTCAGAATGCGGAGCGCGCCGCTTGGACTTGGAAGGAGTAGTCGGACATCCATCCTCATGAAGCAAACTGTACGTCGCTTGCAAATCCTGGCCGTCACGATTTGGAATGAATCTTCGGAGTCCAGTCAGTCACATGCTCATCAAGACCCGCTTTGTCAAGGTTCCCCAGCATCTTTCCACGTTGACACTGAATTGAGACTTACCGATCGCCATAGACCCGCTGCCGTTTGCGACAAGGGCTCATCCCAGGTGTCCTCTCACGCTGGCGCCCAGCATCCTCAAGATCTTTCAAGGCCTTATCGAGCGCATTTGCATCCACAGGCTCCGAATCCCTGTCCGTTCGTGAATGGTTGCCCAGATTATCCGGGTAAAATATGGTCTTCTTCGCGGGTACACTCGGGGGTGTCGTGGAAGCAGGAGGGGAGATCATATTAGCAGCAGCCTGCGCGCGAGCTGTCCCTCTGGTGATCCGTCCACCACTGCTCACACCCGCCTCTGTGTCCTGAGAGCGATCCCCCATACTGGCGGCAGGTCCTCAGGCCCCAGAAGCAGATTGTGTGATGACCGACAGTCCAGGTTGTGCATGCGCCAGAGGTACCGGTTGGATGGGAATTCGAATGAAGGACGCAATGAGCCGGGGTCAGAGGGGAAATGGGGGAGGAACGATGGTGATATTTGAAGGCGGTGGGTGGCTTGGTGATGAGATGGGGAGATTCAGCGACGGGCGCTTGGATACGGTGATAGCAGGCACAACCCACCACTTTGACGGGCTGGACGAGACACCACTGAGTTTCAGCAGGACAAAGAGAATGGCAGAGAGCCAGATGGGGGGAGGAGAATGGATTGGAATGTCTCCAAGGGAGGGTTGTCTCTCTTCGGCATCCCTCTCGCAAGTCACGCGTCGGAAACGCTAAGCCTATTTGGGCGATGATACTGGGGGAAGTCAAGGAGCAGTTTGGACACTACGTAAGTGCTTCTTTGATGATCTTCTTTGAATGAACTACTGCTCCACCCGTTACTCCGGCGCAATTACCCTTATTCTTGATTTGTCCGGTGGCTCGGTTTTACTTTGGTCGGAGGCCATTTTCATGGTTGTGGGGGGATCGTGGTTCTTTGTTATGGTGGGCGCCACCTTTTTCCTGATGCTACTTCCTACAGTCTCAGGGTTGTTTACATTTGATGTGATCTGACACGCGTGGAAGATGCAGAGGAGCAAGAGTTCCACAGCTAAACGGAACTTGCCAGAGACAGTGGGGGATGAGAAACCCGACGCGACTGGTCGCGCTTCCACGCGCCTCGGACGCGCAGAGCTTGGGCCATTTGACTGTGATGGCTCAAAACAGACTAACGAGACCATAGCAACAACCCTTGCCAACCAATCCAGCCCTGGTCAATTCGGAGAATATGGTCAACTCTAGTCCAATAGATATTATAGAGTCTAAGACCGATCCATGGCTCAGTAAATGCTGTTAATCAACAGGAACATGCGGTAGGTGTAATTGCTGTAAAGGTGGTAATTGTTACCAGGCATTCTCTACGATTAATTATTTACTAGGTAGTATACTAAGAAAAGAAAAGGACGTTCTCATGCAGTAAGTTGTAAGTTGTAGTTGTACTTTGCTATACAGAGTTAGAAACAAGATAAGGTCACTATGGCTACTGAAGCTAGTACGTTGGAGTCGGCAAACCACACAAATCAACCGCCACCCGAAAACCCTGCCTCCTTTCGACACCTCCACCAGGTTGACTATGCCTGCAGTGCCTTATAAATCTACCTTTTCACTGTCTTCCTTGCGCCACACTTTCTTTCACCGAGCTTACTATTCCTCTTACCCTAACACGATGGCCTCTAAGCAGCCTGCCAAGGACTTCCTGTCCTTCGTGAACGCCTCCCCCACTCGTAAGGTTCTTTCCGAACCCCGAAAACCCACCGGGAACCTGTCACTGACTAGGTCTAGCCTTCCATGCCGTTCAGTCTGCCAAGGATCTTCTGGCCGAAGCTGGTTTCCAAGAGATCAAGGTATTTTCTGAAAGCCCCACCCTTCTTCACCGGCTAAAGAGGCCGATCTAACTCACTCTTCTATAGGAGAAAGATTCTTGGGCTAAGACCTGCAAGCCCGGTGGCAAGTACTTCTTGACTCGCAACACCACCACCCTCGTTGCTTTTGCCATTGGAAAGCAATGGCAGGTATGTTTTTAATCTATCATGGCTCTAATGTATGCTCTACTGCTAACTACTAGACTAGCCGGGTAACTCTATCTCCATGATCGGTGCCCACACCGACTCTCCTGTTCTTCGGGTTAAGCCCGTGAGCAAGAAGAGCGGCGAGGGCTTCATCCAGGTCGGTGTTGAGACCTATGGTGGTGGTATCTGGCACACCTGTATGTTCTATTACCTTCCTCAATGTTTGATCAGCTACTAACAGTGCTTAGGGTTTGACCGTGACCTCGGTGTCGCCGGCCGTGTGATGACCCGTGCCAGCGATGGATCCATCGTGCAGAAGCTGGTCAAGGTCGACCGTCCCAGTACGTGTTTCCAAATTCCCAATTGATTGACAATTTACTAATCTGTCGCAGTCCTTCGTATCCCTACTCTGGCCATCCACTTGGACCGCCAGGAAACCTTTGCCTTCAACAAGGAGACGCAATTGTTCCCAATTGCTGGCCTCGTGGCTGCTGAGCTCAACCGCACTGGCGAATCCAAGCCCGCCGGTGATGCCGCCAACGGTGCTAATGACACTGAGAAGGTTGATGACTTCTCCCCTCTGAAGGCTGTGACCGAGCGCCACCACTCCCACTTTGTCGAGCTCGTTGCTGCCGAGGCTGGCGTCAAGCCCGAGGACATTCTGGACTTTGAACTGATTCTGTTCGACACCCAAAAGTCCTGCCTTGGTGGCATGCTTGAGGAGTTCATCTTCTCTCCCCGTCTGGACAACTTGAACAGCTCTTACTGTGCTACCGTCAGTCTGATTGACTCCGTCGCTGACAAGGCTGCGCTGGACAACGAGTCCGCCATCCGCCTCATTGCGCTGTTCGACCACGAAGAGATTGGTAGCCGTACTGCCCAGGGTGCTGACTCCAATGCTCTGCCTGCCGTCATCCGCCGCCTGTCGATGCTCCCTTCATCCTCTTCCTCGGATGTCGACCTGGCGACTGCCTATGAGCAGACCCTCTCCACCTCTTTCCTGGTCTCCGCCGACATGGCTCACTCCGTCAACCCCAACTACGCTGCCAAGTACGAGCAGGACCACAAGCCCGAGATTAACAAGGGCCCCGTGATCAAGATCAACGCCAACGCTCGCTATGCTACTAACTCTCCGGGCATCGTCCTGCTCCAGGAGGTTGCACGTAAGACCTCGGCCGAGACCGGTGAGCCCATTCCTCTGCAGCTGTTCGTTGTTCGCAATGATTCCAGCTGCGGTAGCACCATTGGCCCTATGCTGTCCGCTGCCCTGGGTGCCCGTACCTTGGACTTGGGTAACCCGCAGCTGAGCATGCACAGTATCCGTGAGACTGGCGGTACTTATGATGTCGCCTATGCGATCCGCCTCTTCACGGGATTCTTCCAGCACTACTCGGAGCTGTCCAAGACCATTTTCGTGGACTAGACAGTATAAGTAGAAACCTGAGAAAACCATATAAATCAGAACTGCATTATTTATGTACTGAGATATGATCAAGGTCTCTCTAGTACAAGTAAACTGTGCTGTATACAATTGTAAGCCACTATCGGCACGTGCTCGGCCCGAGCCCAAGCCGCCCACCCCCAACTCCACAGCTTCTTATCAGACGTAATCCACCCCCGAACCGCCTGGACACTCGATTGCCGAACCTCGTCCATGCCCCCATGACCCTCTATGACCGACGTCGATGCCTTTAGGGATGCAGAGCACATCGCCGACGTCTCTGGCATTACCCTCGAAGATGTGGAGTCCGGATCACCAGTGCCAACGAGCAATAGCGGCCTCCGCAATCAGGATAACGGCCGCGTGAAGAAGCTCCAGTCTGCCGCAAAGGTTGCGTTCATTGATCGATTACTACGCGACCTTGATATATTGATATATTGCGAATTATCGGCGCTGTATTATATGGAGTGAGTTTGGCTTTTCCTTGCCCTAGAACATGATGTTATGGGGTTATTGAGTGTGGGGAGATCCTCCGTCTTACTCCCGGAACCACCACCGTCACCCCCATCACGAATACCGAGCTAACCCCTTCGCTTCCATAGCTGCTCTGTCACTTTATTTGCCATTCGTGCCATCGTCCAACTAATATGTTTCACACCTAAATCGCCACCTTTTGACCCCACGCGCAATCAGCCCTTCGTCGGCGCCATCCTGGCCAGCAACCTAGTCTGCATGATCTTCCATGCCTTTTTCATCCGCCCAGAAGCCGGCGAAGCTACACGGGGATACCTACATGGCGGACTATTCATCGATTTCATTGGGCAGAAACCCGTCCCCGTATTCCGACTGCTGGTATTCGATACCCTAATCCTGCTAGTCGATGTTGTCATGCTAGCATTGATCATTGAACGGGTGAAGACGGTGGGTACCAAGGGGCAGGCCTCCTTGAGTCCAAATGGAAATGCAACGACGAATGCAAACGCAGACACGAATACCGCGCAAGCGGGACAACAAGACCATGATGCGGAGGAACGCGGGGTACGCACTAGTGAAGACGGGGGTGATATTAATGATTCTCGCGAGAACGATACTACAAATACCTCGCCAGTTCCTGAGATTGACGATGATGTACAAGATGAGCGCACGACACTACTTGCTGACCCCGGCGAAGGCGGTACGGGACCGATTCCGCGGGGAGGCCATCCATTAGACTCGTTCTCGACGGGGCAGGCAGTCATTATGGATATGGGCTTTTTCACTACGATACGCGATCAATGGAGACATTCGAGTACGCCCGTTCGAAGAGGGGATGCTCGTTATGCACCCTCCCCGCAGGCGGCGACTTTTCTTCGAGAGCGCTTGGGGCTACAGGTTGGAGCTGATGGCCGCATTGTACGCATAGAGCAATGACATTTTGGACATGCATGGCATTCTTCTGTTTTACATGATATGTATTCTACTTTCCATAATCCACACTCCGATGAAGTGGACCATGAGACGCCCGCGTATACAACACCCGTAAATCTAGGGGTCGACCTATCGCAAAGCCGTAGAGGAAAGAGTTTGGATATAAAAGTAGAGCTGATCATGATAATTATACAAATCGAGCACCTCGAACATGAACTATCTCCCCAAACCTCCAATCCACATCTACCACCCTCTAAACAGCCGGCGGCTTCCTTCCCCTTCACCACCATTCCCCTCACTCTGAACCCTCCTATCCAAAATCTCATCTACAATGCCCAACTCCAACGCCTCCTGCGCCCCCATAAAGTAATCCCTCTCCATCAACCTCTCAATCTCGTCTAGCGACATCTGCTTCTTACCAGTCAAATGGCGCTGATAGATCTGATTGAGTTGCGCGCGCACACGCAGGATTTCCTTCGCGTGGATTGCGATATCGGTTGCTTGGCCGAAGTAGCCGCCCGAGGGTTGGTGGATCATGATCGAGCTGTGGGGGAGACAGTATCGTTTGCCCGGTTGGCCGCCGCAGAGGAGGAGGGAGCCCATTGAGGCGGCTTGGCCGACGCAGATTGTGCTTACGGGGGAGGCGATGTAGGTCATTGTGTCGTAGATTGCGAGGCCTGGGTTGAAGAGGGGGGGTGTTAGCGAGTGGCCTTGTGTAAGCTTGGTATAGTGGTTGACGAGGATGTACCTGCTGTTACTGAGCCACCGGGGGAATTGATGTAGAGGTGGATTGGTTTCTGGGGGTTGTCGGCTTCGAGGAAGAGGAGTTGGGCGACGATTGAAGCGGACATGGTCTCGTCGACTTCGCCATTGAGGCAGATGATGCGCTCCTGTGAATGGGCATGTGAGTGTAAGTTCAAAGAAGGTTATATACAAAGCCAAGTGCGTACCTTGAGAAGTCGCGAAAAGATATCATCTAAGTTGAGCGAAGAGATGCTAGTTAGCTATATGGATTCATGTTCGAGTTCGACGTCGCAACGTACAGGTGTGCCAGCCGCCTCCCTAAATATTCAGTCAATATACAGTCACCACATATAGCTTCCGGTATAGCAATAAGGACTTACCACCGTCTCTGTCACGAATGGGGTGGGCGTCCAGCCCCGCGGGGGAGTGCGGTCAAACGAAGCTATTGAGCTTGAGAAGGGCCGCGTGCGAACAGCGGATTGTACACGAGAAATGGAACAGCGAGGGACCGACCGCCCTAGTCGCTGAAGGCTGAATGTGGGCCTCATCTTCAATTGCGGTTCAGTATGTGCAGCACTTCCCACAAGAGCGCTTTTGCAGGAGTTGATGATCAACGGAGCAGTCTTGCGCTTGCGGCCTCGAAGGCGGAGCGGAGATGGTGACTGATAAGCGGAATCTGTTATCGGCGCTAAGATAATGGCCCAGCATTTTCCTTCCACTTTCATGCACTGCGAACATCTTCTCAAAAAGATGGAGTGCACACGACGCCCATTGTCATATGCGAGATGGCGTCTACGGATATTCCGTCAGCTACTAGGCCCTTCACTCGCGCCACCATCACGCCGGCACCTCTCAAGCTCACTAATTCACGCCGATGAAGCTCCCTCAGACGCAACAAGTCTTCCTCCATCAAAGCGCCTACCGCAATCACCACTTGTCACGCATCCTCGATCGAGCCATAATAAGCTCCGAAAGAAACTCCCAACTTCACAAGATAAATCTGAGCTGAAGAATAATCCATGGGCGGTAGCACTCGCGTCGCCGGTGCGGATGTGTTCCGTGACAGGAGCCCGCATACCACGCGACCTACTAGGAGAATGGGGTCTCGTTCGGAAACCAGATACAGAGAATAGCTACTTGCTTCCTGTGGACTTGATCAAGGACTCATTACAAGCTCGGCAAGAAGTAAAATCTACGGACGAGGAGAAAACTCCATACCTAGATCCAGCGGCAATGGCTGCCGCTGCGCCGCTGCCGGCGAAAGCGATTCGCAACGAGAAACCAGGACATCAGCTCCTACTTCGAATGATCAACTCGCTGCATCTGCTCGAAGAGCTGGCAAAGCCATTGTCTAAGAACGCTGGCAAGAAACCAGCCATTTCAAGACTCTTGCCATTCCGATGGAAGCATCCACTGGGTCCGATCACGTCTCGTGTGGAGAAGCTATTGCTCTGGAGACCAGATATGGCGGAATATGTGTTGCAGCAGCGGCGCAGTGACGTGGTCAAGAAGCTGGAAAGGACTCGGCGGAGATATACACGCCTGGATATTCCTGGCGGAGCTTGGAGTGTCCTTGATATTCAGGAATCTTCAAATAATGGGCTGGTGGAAGCCTTGGAACGCCTCGGGTCTTTCGATCGAATGGCATCTGGGGCAGTTCTTCTCCTTGCGCCGTTGAGTAATGGCGAGTCATGCCCAGAGGCAGTGTTCAATCCATCTACCCAGAGCCAAGTTCCCGTGTTTGACTTATCGACACTTCTGTCTGCTTCAGACTTGGCAAAGCTCCGTGATACGGAAGCTCCGCATTTTCATAATGTGGCCCTTTTCCTCAGGCCCGATGATCGTATCGGAGTGGAGGCCATACTGGCTCTATGGAAGCTTCAGCGGTTTATGACAGAAACACCGTCTTGAAGACCTAAGAGGAATGAAGCTAAATCCATTGGATGTGTGACCTGGCCCTTGGAAACCTGTAAAAATATGCAACTAATAACTCAACTCCGTGCTAAGGAGTACTGTACATGTCCTAGATTATAGAATAAGACAGACTGGATGGGGCTGAGGCTTTTCCGCATGCTCAGCCTGAAATGGCCGTTGGTCAATATGAGGATGATGAAGACGATGATGAATCTCTGGACATCGGTGAGGAACTACTTGCGGCGCTCGATGCTATCGAGTCTGCAGGAACTTTTGCTTCAAAGGGCGAACTCCCATATCTGGACCCACAGATCAAGGTCAAGGACGTTGGCACAATTACTTTGCCCCTACAGGAAGCACAAGCACGCCAGATGATCGACCAAGCCCATCAGGCACCTTACGGCAAAGGCAGTGAAACCCTCGTCGACACTGCGGTGCGAAACACGTTAGAGCTCAATCCTGACCAGTTTGAGTTGGGAAACCCGGAGTGGGACAGCTACGTCGAGAAAGCCTGCGCTTTTGTTGCTCGCGATTTGGGCATCGATGCTCCTGTTTCAGCAGAGCTTTACAAGATGTTGATCTATGAGAAGGGTGCGATGTTCAAGCCCCATACTGAGTGAGTTATTTTCGTAATGATATACCCAAGACTGTTCAACCAACTGGCCCTGCCCACACAGTACCGAGAAATCCGCTGGCATGTTTGCAACTCTTGTGATTGGCTTGCCATCACCCCATGAAGGAGGCGACGTCGTTGTCAAGCACCAAGGGGACAAGATGACCCTGGAAACACAGAAACATGGATTCTCATATGTCAGTTGGTATTCGGATGTTGTCCACGAGGTCCTTCCTGTCAGGTCCGGATATCGATGGGTTCTCACGTACAATCTTTGCATTGATCCTTCACAGCAACGCCCAACAGCTTGTCTTCAAACCGAGGGGGCGCGCTATCTTCATGAAATCCTGAAGACCTGGATTGGACAAAAGGATCGTGATATGAGCCATGCCTACTACAGGCTTGACCACGAGTACACACAAGCAAACATCTCTCTTAATGCCCTTAAGGGTCGGGACATGGCCGCAGTTCATCTTCTCAAAGACATTTCGAAGACGCTCAATGTGGAGATCTTCCTTGCCTTGCTAGCCAAGTCGGAATTTGGTTCATGTGAATATTATGGCGATTATCGCAGAAAACGGTATTACTACCGCGCGCGTGACTATGGTTTCCGTGATTTTGATGACGAGGATGATGAGGATGCGGATTACTATGGTAGACGTGGCGCACGCCATGAGCTGCAAGAGGTCTTTGAGACGTCATACGAAATCACCTCCCTGGTTGACCTAGACGGTTGTCGATTGGTGAAAGATATGGAACTGGAGAAAGACAATGTTCTCCAAGAAGAGTGTTTCAAAGAAGTTGATCCAGAGGAGGATTACACGGGCTATCAGGGGAACTCGGTGAGATGACTTCTACTTGAGCTTGCAATAAGCAGTTGCTAATTAGTCTCGGTTTAACAGGGTCCGGAAGCAACCCACTGGTATCGGGTGACGGCAAGTCTTTTTGAACCAACATGTAAAAGCCACTCACTAACTGTTCACGCAGGCTGTGGTTATCGTGCCTCGAGATTCGATTGCTGATTTCCTCGCGAAGTCCTGGGCGAGAGAGAGTATTTACATGTCCATCGACCAACGAGAAAATGTAACTTCCGTCATTGGCTACCTTGCCAAAACTCTATTGCACACCTCTGGCAACCAATCTGTCATCGAGCCTTTGAAGGATCTCTGCCGAAAAGTCTGGTCTCCGGACCAGGGTGAAGAGTTTGGCAGCTTCCGTGAAAGACTAGCTCTTCCCGAGCCCGCAAATACCAAAGTCCTTCAAGCCGCTATCACCCTGAAGGATCAAGACTTCATCAAAAATGCCGCCGAGCACCATGATGGAAACTTGTCTCTTGAGTTCTTCAAGTGGACTCGAGACCAGCTTGATGCTGGAACAACCAGTTTTGATGATATTAAAGACAGGTAAGGCCCTATCATCCACATCGGTTACCAAGCTAATGATGCAGTTTGTTACGTGCAATTCGGGGTTTCCCTGAGCTTTGGAAACGACAGGTTGCTATCAAAAATCTTGTCCCTCCCACTGAATCCATGCCGGAAGACGTCAAGTCGTGGATCAACACAGTACATGACGGAATATTGGAAATGATCCTGCAACAGGAATTAGGTGCAGAGGATGGATACGCCGTGGTCGACATGATTCCAGGATATCACGACTTTGCATACCTTTCAAATCGGTACGTTTTCTAAGCGTCTCACTCCTTTCATCACCGTTCTTACATTTCCTAGTGTCTTGCCTGCTGTTGAGGGAAGACTTGCGGCGCCCTCTTTCCTCCTTGCATTCCTATCCCGACTTCACCAATGCATAACTGAGGGCAGTTTCTCTTCCGACAATGGTACAAACTTGTATAGACAAGTTGCCAGATCCCTGGTTGATAAAATCGACATCTACACTCTCCATGGCGAAGTTCGTGACGAACGGCCTGCGAAGCTCTCTCCGTACTGGGCCCCTCGAACAACACCACCGCCAAAATCTTTCGTGGTCACGGACAAGACACTGGTTGACTTCATTTCGACCCTCACTCGCGTGTTTCCTGACAGCGACTCCATCATGGGCTTCCTCTCCCGAAGGATCTGTTTCCGTGCTCCCGCAATCGAGGCGTCCAAGTTCCATTTGCTCTGGCTCCCATTCCTGCACTCTCTAGGTAAATTCTGCGAAACAAACTCGATACCTTCATCATCGCCGGACTACCGCCAAATCTTCGCTGCAATCCTGAAAGCCTACTTCAACACCTACGTCGGCGAAGAGCCCACCACTGACGCCAGCTTCGCTCGGTCCTCCGTCGGATGTTACTGCGGAGACTGCACTTGGCTCAACGAATTCCTGAAGGACCCTAGCCAGACAGTCTGCAGGTTTCCTATGGGCAAGCAACGCAGGCAACATTTGCATAACACTCTCGAGGCCGCTCAAATCGACTGCACACATGAAACTGAGCGAGTTGGGTCGCCACACACCTTGGTAGTGACCAAGACTTTCCGTGATCACGACAAGGCCGTGGCAGAATGGAAAAAGAGAAAGGCGGAAGCAACAATCAAGGTCCATGATTTCAGCAAGAGCGAGTTGACTGTTTGGCTTGGGGAGGACTATGACCGACTTATGAAGATGGTTGATCCTAGAAGCTCTTCCGGTCGTTCAGCAAGAACCGTGCCGCCATCCCAGCGTCTCGCACCTATCAAGCCGAATCAGCAAACGCGGCCAAGTATCTCAAGAAACGAGGCCTGCCCCAACCCTGTTGCTGGAAGAAAGAGAAAGGCAACAGATACCGATGTGGTTGATTTGGCGGAAGATGATTGACGGGTGCTTTCTCCGTGACAAGAATTTTTTTAAAATATGATTGAGAATTGAAAGAGTAGTTGCTGTCTCCAGTGTTCATAAGATTCATTGTAGTTGGCTAATCAAATATCAAGCGAGTCACTTCCTGTTTCTCTTGATGAGAGCTGCGAGAATTTGGAGTTCCCAGAATCATACCAATTATCTGAGGCCCTTTGCGAGCCTTGATTCGCTCTAGAGCTCGCACATATCTGTAAAATAGTTACTTTGACTTGGAAGTTCAGCTTCCTACTAGACAGAAGATAAACAGTAGAGAGTACAAGGAGAGGGATTTGGAACAAATAATTGGGTGACTGAGCAAGTACCAACGCTGCTGGCCAATTAAATCAGTGAAAACTATGTGGAATCACAGGTCCACCTAATCAGGATTCCACATTGTGGCTCCACACTAAGATTCCACATCATGATTCCAAAGTACATATCCTGGTTTCAGTCAGATTCTATAAGATGCAGAAGTGCGATTGTAAAAAGGGACTGCATGCTCCGGTTAAGAATTGTAATAAGAGAGCAGCATTCTACACAGCTTTCTTTTCGACTGCACGGCACAGAATTTCCCAAATATACACCCGCATCTATCTACTACAACAATGGAGTCCTGTTCTTTCCAAACTTCTCCCAATTCAGTCATACATGCCCACATCACCCGCCCAGCCAAGGAACACTCTAAGCCCCTTCTATTGTTTCTGCATTACTGGGGCGGCAGCTCACAAACATGGCACAAACTCACGGACTTGGATTCGTCGACTTCACTGAGTGTGCTTTACCCAACAATCGCAATCGACCTACGAGGCTGGGGTCAATCAACCGGGCCGACCGATAAAAGCGGCAAAGTCTACTCAATTAATGAGATGGCTAGTGATGTTGCTACTCTCCTTGCACATCTCAGCGAAGACCATACTAAAGAAGACCTCCTCGAGCATGGCTTTCTTCTCGTGGGTCATTCAATGGGTGCAAAAGTTGCGCTCGCAACGATCGGATTGTTAAACAACAATCTTCAGGGTCTCCTCAAAGGACTCGTCCTTGTCGGACCAGCACCACCAATTGCGCTAGATCTACCCCCCGAAATGAAAGCCCAGCAACTCCTTGCATATGAATCAGAGGACAGTGTCCGCTGGACGGTGAACAATGTACTCGCAAAACCCGGCAATCTCTCTGAGTCTGATATCGAATTGGTGGCCCAAGATAGTCTAAGAGGCACCACGTTCGCCAAAGTAGGTTGGCTTTCTTATGGTATGCAGGAGGACATCTCACAGGATGTCCAGAAAGCTTTAGCTTCTCGGCCTGGTCTGCAAGCTTGTGTGATTGTGGGAGAGCTTGATATTGTCGAGACTAGAGAGAGGACTGAGAAAGAGGTTGTTCATTTCTTACGTCAAAACGGAGTCGAGGTCCCGTTGACCGTTGTGGAGGGAGTTCAGCATTTGATACCTCTAGAAGATCCCGAGTCGATCTACAAGGAGATCAGTCGATACTGGTAAATTGCTATGTTCTTTGGATGACATATGATATAAACTTCTTTATTCAGCTTCAGTATCAAATATCTTTCTTCAAGACGGCAATTTCAACCGTAATAGCTACTCAACATGAGCCGTCTCAGCCTTCTCACTGTCCTGGTGCCCAGTACCCCGATCCACCACAGGCTCATCAACTCCCTTGCCCAAGAAGCGCTGCTGGCCAATCTCAGCCAAGCTAACACCCTCGGCTCTAAGTCGCTCCAGACGCATCGAGTCCTCCGCTTCCTCATCCCTTTCTTCCTGTGACATTTCAGGTCCCCAAAACAGGAAGAAGAGCATAAAGGCCCAGACAGCACCCATAAAGATAGCAATGACCTTTCCATAATCGAATCTCTTCTTTCCATGCGCTCCTGGTGGCAGAGGGAATTGCTCCCCGATGATGGACTGAATTGTCGCAGATGCAGAAGATCCCAGGTTACCAAGCTGGTAAGTTAATCCCACCATCACGGTGCGAAGTGCGATTGGCGATAACTCAAGCAAGTGGATGGGCATTGGGCCCCAGACACCGCCGACACAAAACTGTTCGAAGAACACGCTAGCTACCAGCGACATTGATCGAACCATTGTATAGGCCGGGATTAATGCACCGCCAATAACGCATACCACGAGCATGGTGAGACGTCGTCCGAAGAACGTACTGATGTAGCCAACTGTACAACCACCAAGCAAAGCACCTATCTGCCCAACAACCGTGATGATTGTAGTGTTCGTAGCATTCATTCCAACTTGATCCTTGAGGAAAGTCGGGTAGAAGTCTTGACTACCATGCGAACAGGAGTTGTATCCCGTCATCAGGATAACCAAGTAAACGAAGAGAACCCAATTCTCCCGGAGCGCACGTCCAGCATCACGAAGGAAGACTCGTAATCCTGCAGCTTTGGTGTGGTCGTTACCCAGCGCATTGGCTCGCGCTTCTCGCTCGGCTTTCATGACCTGGAAATGGTTTGTCTCGGGCAGACACCAGCGGAAGATGATGATCAGGACAGGAGGTCCGGCGCCGAACCAGAAGAGACTTCGCCAGCCATGAGAGGTAGTTGGGACAAGGGCGCGATAGAAAGCTGCAGCAAGGAGGTATCCCATGGCATAACCCATTTCGAACAATCCGGAGAGTAAACCACGGGCCTCGTATGGAAGATCTTCAAGAGCAGTGGCCGCTGCTGGACCAAAGAGACCTGAAGCACACGATGATTAATATCAATCATTCATGCACCAGGCTCAACGCATAATTGCTTACCTCCCATTGCAATGCCGTATAGAGACCGGACGCCCAAAAACTGAGGAAGGGTAGTGCAAAATCCAGAACCCAACTCAAGGATTATGAACAGGCCAAGATTGATTATCATGGGCCATTTGCGCCCATATCGATCTGAGAGGATACCGAAAATGATGGCACCGACGGATCGAAGCATGAGGGTCACGGTCATGCCCTAGCAAAGAACATATATCAGTATAATACTCATGGATATTCATTATTCTTTGTACCCACCCATGACACATCGGAGTAAGAGACTCCAAAGTCAGCTGAGATCTCCGTAATTGTCATCGACACGGTGAAGAAATCAAAGGCATCCCAAGTCCAGCCCATGAAGCCTGCAGCAAACATAAGCCATTGGTGGGTAGTCAACTCCCGAAGGATCTCATAAGGGTTTCTCAGTTTGTTCTAACGCCCAGCGCTATTAGACTTGGTTTAATCGAACGAAGTATTCGGGGGGCATACTCGAGGAGGTTTAAGACTGGACACTCGCGTGGCAAAGTATCGAGAGATTTGACTTGGGGAGTAAAACCACCCCGCTTGCATATGGTTTCTCATGTTGAAAACAGCTTCTGCGGTAGTCACTGCGTGCTCTAAAACGGCTTTGGATCTGAGAAATCTTGCAACTATATACCTTGCCAATGCCGCGGCTCTGCGTTAATCTCATTGCCGAGTTTCGGCGCAATTATCACTGCATTCTCGTCGATTAACTGTACTCCATCGGATCCGAAACTCTGAAATGCTGCGTTCGCTTTACCTTAGGGATAAACTGGGTCCAAATAAGCCTCTATCCCCGCTCAAGGGGAACGTGCTTTTCTAGGGTCGGGAGCTAAGCTCAGCCTTTGGTCTTGGAATGTGCTTCACAGAGAGTACTGATCAAACTAGGCCTAGGGTTCTAAGAGAACTATCAAATTTCGAGGAACTGAAGACAACACAGTCAGCTTTCTAACAATACAGCACATCTTAGATACGTATGGGATAGGAGGAGGAGTAAAAACGAGGTCGTCAACATCTCAAACACTCGCGATCGGCCGGGGAGATACATCACTGAACCTGTTTCGAGAGCTATTCAGATAGGACAGGAGCTTAAATTAAGTTTATGCCTAGAAAACGAAAGCTCTACCGTATGTACTTCCCCGCATTATACGTGAAGCCAAGACTTATGATGGCTGGTAGTTCCCTGGACGGCAGGTAGATAGCGAGGCCTTGTCGCTTCGTAGTCAAAGCGGGCATTTGCCTCGCAGTTAGTGTCCATAATCAGATAGACTTGGGGTAGTATCGGGAGTTTGGGGTACTTTGATTGGAGTATCTTAAGGTTCCCTGCAGCTAGGAATATCCCGAGCTCTACTACATAATATTCTATTATTCTACAAGTGAATGTATAACCGAGCCATACTCGACTTCGTACTCGACTAGTCATCAGTTTCCCATATTTCAAATTCAAAACTCACATACTAGTACCCATAAAACCCCTAGAATACAGCAGCCTACGAACTCCTCAATCAAGTTCCATGTTCGGTTAAGAACCGCTCTGCTATCCTCTAGCCAAACCAAGAATCCGGGGTCTACATCTAAATGCGGGGGTGGCGCTAACCCATTAGTCCTCAACCCGATCACTTCCCGTTATGTCAACAGTAGCAGGATGTCATCTGGTCCAATCAAGGAACTTTGGACAAGTGATACCACAGGAACTCCGCGGACCTGTGGCCTGTGACGTGATTTACGAGTATCAGCGAGGAGCAATTAAACGGGAACTTGCCGACGGAGTGGCTGAGACTATGCATGCTACTCTGTCGGCATCCTACAGTACCTTTCAATTATACGAGGTAGCCTGTCCACCAATCAGCCATAGATACAAGACTCTATTTAAGAAATAGCATTACCCCACACTAGCCATAACCCGAAGCTCGGCTAAGCAAATAACCTTAATTATCTTTCTTGTTCCTTTGTCCGGCGGAGTTTGAATTAGCTTCCGAGGAAGGACATCCTTCTGTATATGGACTTATTGGTCGTGCTTTATTCGGCCGATATGTGATGAGCTAAATTCTGATATTCATCGATTGTGGCTTTTTAAATAACCATGCCTGAAAGCCGGCTTTTAGAGGGATGTAGATGTGACAGTACTTCCCAGGGTTCAGTGACACATGACTTGGACAGTTGTTACTTAGACTGTTGCCCTTTTATGCATCCCCGAAGGAGCCAATTAGAAAATAGTGGGAAATAGAAAGAGAATATCAGGGTATCATAATCATCCTCATTCTCTCAAATAAATGGATACGTAACGCCTCAATGTGTCAAATCCAGCCAAACGCCATCTATGCATTTAGTCAACCTCGTTGTAGATCCCATTACCCCCGATTAAATACCAGAGGGAAGAAGATAAACCACGGAAGAGACCACATGCTTAACCCGAAGAATCGTTTTTTATATCCCGTTGCAACGTCGATCACCCGCGCAAGATATTAGCAATGCGCAGAGCCAGATCCAGCACAGACAGATGCTCATCTGCACCATCGACCAGCCGCCTATCCAGTTCCGAGAAGACCATAACGATCTTATTCTTCTGGATATCGGGAATAGCCTCGTTAAACACGACCCGTCGGTACAACTGTCATTGTCAGCACGTCTGTCCATAAAGAATCAATCCATTAGAATCACAAACCTGGGTAACAAGTTGCGTAGCACTCCACCCATCCGCAACAAGATCCGTCACCACCTTGGAAACAGCCTCATACGCAGACCCCGACGCCTTCGGCTGCATAGCCTGTACCAAATTATCCAGAATACCCTCCGGAATAACACCTGCAATCTCCTCAACAGTCCGAACGGTAATAGTATCCGACCCCGAGCTCCCGGCATCCGTCATCTCAGCATCGTCATCAGCGTCCTTCGCACCCGCACGTGTAGCACCCACCAACCGCGCCGCACTCTGGAGGTACGTAATAGCACGGCGCAGATCACCCTCACCACACCGAATAAGCGTATCCACAACACCGTCATCAAGCTTCAGATTCTCTGCACGCGCAATCTCCGCAACCCGATCACCCGCTGCGGCGTTATCAAGGCTCTTAAAGCGGAATTTACTGCATCGACTGGCCAACGGCTCGATAATGCGCGTGACGTAGTTACACACCAGGCAGAAACGGGTGATGCGGGAGTACTGCTCCATCGTGCGACGGAGCGCGGCCTGCGCGTCTTGGGTCATACTATCCGCCTCATCGAGGATGATGATTTTGAAGGGTGGGCAAGGATATTGTGCGCGGTAGGCGGCGTCGAGGCCGGTTGATTGGGAGAGTTGTGCGCGGGCGAAGTTTTTTACTTTCTCACGGACGATGCCGATGCCTCGCTCGTCGGAGGCGTTTAGTTCGAGGATGCGGGAGCGGTAGAGGGCGGGGCCGAAGAGGGATTTGGCTAGGGCGAGGATGGTGGAGGTTTTGCCTGTTCCTGGGGGTCCGTAGAAGAGCATGTGAGGGAGCTTTTGGAGGTAGTGTTAGAATGGATTCTGTGGGTGGGAGTACTCCGGGGTGCATACGTTGGAAGCTTGCAAGGTGCGCTGAAGGACCTTGGTTGTGTGATCTTGCGCGGCGACATCATCAAGGGTTTTGGGGCGGCTGTCATGTTAGAAGATATTCTTGCGGGTATATGGGTTTGGGACAATCTCACTATTTTTCAACCCATGGCTGTAGACGGGTTGTATCTTCCTTGCTGTCGGTTGCTTTGGTCTTGGAGCTGCTGGAAGCAGCAGCGGCCGCAGCACGGGCCTTGTTGTTGAAGAAAGTAGATGCCATTGCAAACTCACACTCGATGCGAGCACGGCAAGGAGGATTGGTGCTTTGAGAGTTGTGTAGTTGAGTAGTCGGGACTTGGGTGAGAGACTGGACGCCCGCCGCGATTGAAGAGACGCGTCTCCACGTGACACGCGCAGCACTTAGCTGAGAGCCAATCAAAAGACTCAATTATACTTCTTTGGGGCACGTCCAAAGGAGAGGATTTGAAAGTGGTTCGTTTTTCCCAAGCAGTCCATTTCGTTAAATTTTGTATAGATTCTGTATAATGTTCGCTAATGCTTCATAACCGACATAAACTATCATTACACTCAAGTGCTTGACTTTCTAGAGCTCATCCCGTACAACTTGCTCCTCCTCATACATGCGCTTCTTCGGGTTGCGAGGTATCTCATCTTGCCTTTCCATCTCTTCAGCCGAGATATCGTCAATATTAGTTCCATCCCACTTCCCATCCTCGACCATGCGCCCAATCTTATCAATGACGCGATCTTGCTCGGCTTCATCGGGCTTATCGTTATCCCACGCAGCATCAGCACTCGGCACCGTTGCCCCCGTCACGGCAGTAGCAGCTTGTTGAATGGTCGCAGTTATATCACTAGCAACTGAGCTAGAAGCAAGTTCATTTGACCCCTTTGAAATCCCGACGGCCCCCAGGACAGCGAAAACGAAACGCATGGCGAATTTGAAAGGAAGCCAAACTAGCCACCACATGGGGCCGTAGAGAACGCGGCGGAAAACGAGCCATGAGATAGTTCCAACGAGAATATAGAACGCCGTCTCGAGGTACCATGTATCCGATTTTTGAGAGCGGAGGAGAGAATTCGCGAGGCTGCGAGAGTTTGCGAGGAGCGTATCAAGGCTGCTGTAGGACTCCGACAGGGAAGAAATGGCGGCCGTTGATTGTTCTAATCACACAAATGTCAGAAGATCTGCTGTCACCGGCAAGAAACTTGCGGGATACCACTTACCGAGTGTCTCTTGCGCAAACTGGCTCCGAGATAGCTCAGCCTGCATCAAGTGATGGGTTCTGCGCAGAGCGGCGGTCACATCATTCGAAGCATTCAACACAAGATCGTCCTGCGTAAACTTCTCTGAAGGATTCCGCTTCGCGGATGAATCTTGCGACCTCGACAACAATAACTCGCGCTCCTTGCGCTTTGCAAGCTCGGCGTTCCGCTTCGCTTGTAATTGAGCATTTCGAAAATCTCCCCGAGTTCTATCCAAAATATCAGCCCAAGGCTCCAAAACCCACACAGATCCACTCGTATTGTTCAAAGGCATACCTTCTCAAATCATCCACCAATCGCCCCGCCATCGCAACCACCCGCTCTTTCTCAGCCTCCTTCTCTCCTCCATTAATTGAGGGTTTCCTCCTGCCCTCCGAGCCGGTATCTAGTGCATCGATGTCCCCGCGCAAGAGCTCCAATTCGCCCTCGGCATCTTTCAACTGCGAGTGTATTTCGGCTCCGAGTTCCACACGCGCCTCATCGCCTTGCCCGATAGAAGCGGTAAAGTTGCGCAATCGGTCAACAAGAGGTTGGATCTGGCCGAGTGTAGTTGAAAGCTCCTTCAAGCGGGCTTGAAGAGCGGCCGCTGTGGACATGGTGGGTAGGAAACCGGGACAGTCAAACAGTATGGTGCATATAACGGCGGCTTGGTGCAAATTTTGTGGGGGAATTTGTCAAATTTGAGAGACTGAATTCAATATTTTCCCTGTTCAATCCTAGGTGTGTTCCAGCTAGTAGCTGGTTTGTCGAACTGGAGACTTCTTGAAGCGCAAGTTGACCAGCTGGCGTGGGCGTCACTGCCATACCGACCTGTTTGCATTTTCGGCAAACACCGGACATCTCCCTCGGAGCCCGCAACCGCAACTCGGCGTCAACGTTTGTTCGGACTGTCAATCGTCATTTCCCTCTGCAATTAAGCCATCCAGAGCCAGGCTACTCTCTCTACGGCTGATTCTCCGTAATCCCACTCTTTACTGAGGACATCGCCGATACCCAGAGCCCGAAATCCATCCAACCACTCCGCCGCAAAAAAACTTCGGGGAGACCAACCATCGCGAATTCAATCAGGTACACAACTACTAGAGGCACCAACGGACTATATCCTCAATGACTCAACCACTAATACAATAAGCAGCGAATCATTACCTATACACTTCTCATCTCGGCTATAAAATACCCTCAATCTCCCCAATCCAACCACAATACCAATCAAAATGTCCATCCCAATCCACACAATCACCACCTTCCGCACAACCTTCAACCCCTTCGCCCACTCCTCCCGACCCTGCCGTCTCCTCCTCTCTCTGCTCCGCACCCCCGCCACAGCCTCCCCGGCCAGTCCCACTCACATCGACATCAAGGTCACGCAGCTGCCGCGCAACTCGACACAGCAGCCCGTGATGACGGTCGGTTTCAAGGGTGGTAAGGAGGTTACCCTGGAGGTTGGCAAGCGAGGGATGAAGATTGGGGATGTGGTTGAGGAGATTTCGCGGGTTGGGCGGGCTTTGGAGCGGGAGGCTAGTTTGAAGGGTTGAGTGGGTGAGGCATATCATATTGCCATGTTCATATGGATTACATGGCTACTGGCTGTGTTGTGCTTGGGTTTTGTGGTTTTGTATTATACTTCTGTCTTGATATGTTGTTTTTTGGCGCGTTGGAATACTCAATTGCATGTGGTGGGAGTGGTTGATACCGTGCATGGGTATGTCTTGTTGTCCAGCTCTCTGGATGTACTCCAAGAGTAGATATACCAGTCTCATGAATATCTGATCTACACTATACATTTTTGTTTGTCCCTATTCAGTCCAATGGTATCTGATAAAGGGTGGTTGCAAGCAAGTCGTGTTTGGCGGGATCACACTACAGTGGGATCCTGGTCGGAATCTCAATTGAAATATTATACCCCACCATCTATGTGATAGCGAGCACTCTGACATTTTTGTTCTGGTATTTCGAAAAACAGCGAGAGTTGAGACATTTTACACGGCAGCGCCGGAGATGAAGAACCACTTGTCAATGCTGCCGTCAATGGGAGCAGGGGCCAGGTTCTCGTTGCGGGGGAGGGCAGCGACCTGAGCCTGGTCAGCGCGGTTCTGGTCGAGCTGGGTGTTGGCACTAGAGAAGTGAATTAGCAAAGTTTTCCAGAGATGGTGATAAGACGTCTTTTAAAGGAGAGGTAACATACAGGCTGATGTCGCCAGCGTTGCTCTTGCCAGAGATGAGCTTCTCCCAGGCCTCAGAGCACTCCTTGATGACCTCCTCGGCGTACTTCTTGTTCTTGCACTCGCCGGAGAAGGCGAACTGGTTCTCGGGCTTTCCGTCGGGGATCTTGTAGATGCGGAACCACTCGTTGGTGGCACGCATGAGACCGGGCAGGTGACGCTCGACATCCTCAATGTCGTGGAGCTTGGCGGCCAGAGGGTCGTTGACGTCGATGACAATGATCTTCCAGTCGGTCTCCTCCTCGTCAATCAGGGCCATGACACCCAGAACCTTGACCTGCTTGACCTGGCCGGGGTAGCCAACCAGCTCACCAATCTCGCAAACGTCGAGCGGGTCGTTGTCACCCTTGGCCTTGGTCTCGGGGTGAATGGAGTTGGGGTCCTCCCAGGTCTAGATCAATTGAGTTAATGGATGTGTTCTTGATGGCGGGGTAGGTTGTTTATGTTGCAGATGTTGCAATTGGGTTGATCCACTTACGCGGGGGAAGGCACCGTAGTTCCAGAGGTAGCCCTTGTGGGGGAAGCAGTTGCGGACGAAGCGCAGCTTGCCCTTCTTGGTGTCCTGCTTGATGGGGTTCAGGAACTCGTCCTTGGAGATCTGTAGTACATCAAAAAACGAATCAGCCATCGGACGCATAAAATGACGAGATCGAAATGAGTTATTTGGCAATTGTATGATCGTACCTCCTGCTTAGCGTTGGTCCAGCGGGGGATCTCAACGACCATGTTCAGGATAGTCTGCTCCTCGTTGGCGTAGAGGGGGATATCGTGGAAGGGAGAGACGGGGACGCCATCCTTCTCGATGTAAACACGGTGCTCGAGCGTGTAAGGCTGAGCGATCTTGCGAACGGTATAAACCATGTTGGGGGTGGAGGAAGAGAAATGCCTGGTGATCAAAGCAGCTCGAGAGAGAGAAGAGGAAGAAGTCAAGGTAGTGGGGGGAGAAAAGGAGGACGGAGGGGCTGTCCAAGTGGGGGGCGCCAGCGTTGCTGATGTGCGCCAGACTCGGCGGGAGGCGGTGGAGGCAGAAAACGAAAATCCCAGTCGGGCCAAGGGAGAATGCGCCAGGGCCATTGGCTAAGGAGAAGTTGGCTTCAAAATGGAGAGTGGTCGATAAACCTGTCTGGACTCTTGAGTAGGTTGATCCTGTCCAAAAAGAAAAGGTTGACCCAATTGAACGGGATTGCGTGGACGGCAGTCCAGGGGGAACACGAATTTGTTGTTTAGCTGCCCCTGGTTGAGTGGTGTAGTCTCTCTACGAGAATCGTGGTCGCGGGTCTCTTTCGGCGGGTCCTCCGAGGTCCGGCATTGCGAATTGTCTGGTCAAACTTCCGAAAATTGGCATTCCGCCCGCTGTTCCAGACCGAAATAGTGTACAGTATGTACTCCTATAGTACATAGTTTGTACGGAGTCTGTATATCTTGCACTTATTGTTTCCAATGTCATAGCTTCGATAATTGCTACGCCCCAGGTCTCGTGCCCCTCCCCCTATATGCGTGTAATGTACTGCTACTTGTTGGTACCTACAGGATAGACGTACTCTGCAGGTACTCCTTACTCTTCATACTTTCTGCTAACCCGATATCGGATTAGCCCACGACCGTCAACCATACTCTAGCTATGCTTTTCTATACCAAACGATCCATGATATAGCTATAATTTATTCCCCCCTAGTATCACTACTTACGACTAGAAAGTGTAAACCTTGGCAGGACGTGTTGCTGAATAGCCCAGTAACGTGGCCTTGAACCACAGTTGAGATGAGAACAATCCACTTTGTCTTTGGGTTAAATCAAGGCACCCAATCAGGCATCAATCAGGCATCCAGAAAAGTCAAACTAAAAAAAAAAGATTATCGCCGCTATCTGCACGTGACCGTACGGATGTGGCCGACGAGAACCCCAGAGAAGTGCGGCATCTGCCATTCTCCCCTCCAGACGAAATAACAAAAAAAAACGATTCCTCCTTCCCTCCCATCCCAGAATGCTATGATCAGATTCCTCCGCTCCAAAATGTCCACTCTCGCCGAATCCATCTCCACCACCCCGGCCCAAGTCCCGCGCGTGCCCATCCCACCCAAAGGCGTCGACTATCGGGGCAAAATCGTCCTCGCCCCGATGGTTCGATCAGGCGAACTCCCCTCGCGCCTCCTCGCTCTCCACTACGGTGCCGACCTCGTCTGGGGCCCCGAGACCATCGATCGCTCACTCATCGGCGCCGAGCGCCGCGTCAACCCGCGTAATGGAACTATCGAATTTACCCGTCTACCCTCCAATGGTGGCCGTGTCGAAAAAGCCGCCAAAGCATCAGTCATCTACCGTCTCGATCCTGTCCGCGAAAAGGGTAAACTCATTTTCCAAATGGGTACTGCCAACCCCGATCTCGCCGTGCAGGCGGCAAAGGTTGTCGCTGGGGATGTATGGGGTATCGATGTCAACTCAGGCTGTCCCAAGCCTTTCAGTACAAGCGGTGGCATGGGTGCCGCGCTGTTGCGCACCCCCGATAAACTGGTTTCCATTCTGGAGACGCTGGTTCGCGAAGTCGGTGAGCCTTATCAGATTGGTATCTCCGTGAAGATCCGCATCCTCGAGACGCCCGAACTCACCGAAGCGCTCGTCACCCGCCTCGTCCGCACCGGTATCACGGGTCTGACCGTCCACTGCCGCACAACTCCCATGCGACCCCGGGAGCGTGCTATCCGTGACCAGCTCCGCATGGTATCCGACATCTGCCACAAGGCCGGCGTGGCATGCCTGATGAACGGCGACGTCACCTCCCGCGACAACGGACTGAAGCTGATGGAAGAATACGGCGTGGACGGCGCAATGATCGCCGTATCCGCTGAGGCCAATTCATCCTGTTTCCGCTCCGAGGCAGACGGTGGTCTCGACCCGTGGCGCGACGTGGTCTACCAATATCTCAAGTTCTGCATTGAAAGCGAGAACCGCTACGGCAATACCAAGTACCTCCTCAACATGTTAATTCCCGGCAAAGTTAAGGAATTCAAGGACGCCAAGCTATCCAAGACCTATTCCGATGTTTGCCGTCGTCTGAAATTCGATGACCTGGTGCCTGCGGCCATTCAGCTGGATGAGATTCTCGACCTCACGCATAAGCAGGAGCTCGGTGATGGTGAACAATCCCAGACTGTTTCAAAGGCTGTGCAGAATGCCAAGGAAAATAACGAGTCTGCTCGTGCTGCTGGCGGTGGTAGCACCAGACCTGCCAAGTCAAATTCCTCTATGAACAATGTTGGTCCCATCCGCACCTCGTCCATCCCACAGCCAGCTAAAGCAGCTCACCCCGCATCTGTATCCGAGCAGGCCACCACTACCGTTGATCCGACCGTCCCCGCTGCAGAGGTCTCCCAGCAGTCCAGCGTGGCAGTTTAGACTTGCTCCCTCCCTCCCCTCTCAATATCCCCCATTATCCTCTCTTCTCTTTCTGCATAGCCTGGTTATTGGACTGTCGAGGTCTTTCTGCATTTGGGAAGTGGTTCCCTGGTTTTTGTTTTCTTGTTTATAGATTCCCCAAAAATACATAGATAATATACAGTACATGGGTTTACGATATACAAGACTACCAAAGTCTCTAGCTTTCTGCATTCTAACCCTTTTTTTGCAAAGCAGTTCGTATATTGAACGCCTATTCTTCCACGGTCCCATCGACAGGGCAATCAACTCTCAATACTCTACACCGAACAGGCCAAAGTAGAACTCGCCCGTCATCAATACGAAGTGCTCTCTAACTTGAAGTAAATCACAAAAGAACCTTCATTGTCGAAGATTAAACTTTATTTGGTCTACTCTAACATGCTGGTATGCGCTATGCATCTTGAAACCGAACCGTCGCAAAAACGTCAGCGACATGTGTACAAACCAGATCGCGCCCAGCTGAATATGCAAAATATCTCCCCAACACCAGAAAATCCACGACACCTCTCCCACAACATCCCTCCCTGTACCTCCCTACTTCTCCTCCTCCACAGTCTCCTTCTTCTCAATGTCTGCAAGGACCATGCTCTCCACGGCCTTCATGCCAGCTTCCTCAGTCTTCTTGCCGGCGCCATCGTCATCGCCTGCAACGGCCTGGTCAAGTGCCAGCTTGGTCTGGCCGAGGGCGTAGATTTGCTCCTCAATAGTTTCGCGAGTGACGAAGCGGAACACCTCAACATCGCGAGTCTGACCGACGCGGTGAGCACGGTTCTCAGCCTGGACATCCTCCTGGGGGTTGAAGGAGGAGTCGAAGATGACGATCTTGTTGGCGCAGGCCAAATTGATTCCTGCACCACCAGCCTTGGTCGAGAGGAGGAAGACGGGGATTTCCTTACGGTCGTGGAACGCGTCCAGGATGGACTGGCGATCTTGGACATTGGTGCGGCCGTCTAGGCGGACAAAGTCCATCTGAAGAGTCTCGAGGACGTTCTCGAGGATGTCCATGACCATGGTAAACTGCGAGAAGACCAAGGTGCGGTCACCATTCGCGACGAAACGGGTGAGCAATTCACGGAGCTTTTCGACTTTGCCCGAGTCCATCCATTCCTCATTCTTGAGCTTGTATTTGCCGAGCGAGTTTGGGTTCTCCAAACACATGTTGTGGCATTCGTAGTCGTTGTAAGCCTGCAACTCCTCTTCGATGACGGCTGGATCGGAGAGGGCCCATTTATCTTCTTTCAGACAGCTCTTAGCCATCTTCTTAAGAATGGCATCAGTGTAGTGACGCCGGGCGAGCAGGGGGTGGATAGCGGCTTGGCGGAGCTTCATGAGGATATTGGCGGATTTCGAGCCAGTCTTCTTGCCAGCAGCACGGTCCTCGAGGAGCTGGCGGACTTGATCTTTTTCATGGTCATAAATGTCCCGCTGCGATGGTTTCATATCGCAGTACTCGACGTAGGAGTGCTTCGCGGGCAGGTCAATAACCTGTGTCTTCTTTCTGCGCAAGACAAAGGGCTTCAGCATGGACTTCGCACGCTCAATACGCTGTGCGGACAGGAGAGTTGCGTGCGATTCGTCAGACGTCTTTGCTTTGTTGGCAAAGACCGCCTGCAAATCATCCTTGTGTTGTCTGAAGACTCCCGGCAACATGAAGCCCAGCAGGGAGGCCAGCTCTTGCAGGTTGTTCTGCAGCGGGGTACCCGTAAGGAGCAATCGGAACTCGGCCTTGATGCGAATGAGTTTGTCGTACATAAGGGACTGCGAATTCTTCAACATGTGCCCTTCATCGTAAACGCAAACACTGAAATCCATCTCACGAAGGAACTTTGAATCCACCTTAGCCTTGGCGATGGTGTAGGTAGTCACCACCACGTTGATCGAGTCACGATCATTCTCCAGCTGATCGCGAAGGGAGGCACGTTCATCATGACGTGCGTAGTAAGGCTGGACCTTGAGCTTCGGAGAAAAGTTTTTGAACTCGCGAAGCCAGTTCTCAAGGGTGGAGGAAGGGACAACTACCAGGTGAGGGCCCTTGATGTCCTTTTCGTAGAGGTGCGAGAGGAAGGAGATGACCTGAACGGTCTTGCCAAGGCCCATTTCATCGGCGAGGATGCAGCTCATCTTTTTCTCATACAGCAGCGCCAGCCAGTTGAGACCGACGATCTGATAATCCTTCAAGACCAAGTTCTTGGACATGATGGATGGCTGTGAGATGAGACCAGACTGACCACTCGATTGAGACTTTCGAGATTTGACCACAGGTCGAATCTCATCGTCCGAATCATCCTCGTCGGGAGATTGGTGGCTTGAGGAAGGTGTTGCAATCCCCGAATCGTGAGAGCCACTCAGGTTCATGAGCTCCAGCTCAGCATCACCTCGCTTGCCGAAGATGTCCACACCCCACTTCTTCATCTCTTCGGCCACCGGCTTACCCAGCGCCTCGCATTCCGCGACGAGGGCGTCGATTGCCAGGTACCCAGTCCACATATCCAAACACTTGTCGACGATCTTGTCGCCGATGGGCTTGGGAGGCTTGCGGCCGCGGCCCTTGCCCTTGGGCTTGGCATTCTCATCCACGGGGGCACTGACCTCGCGCACCTGGCCCAGACTGGTGAATGGGCGCTGCGAGGTAATGAGCTCGGCGGTCTCTTGAGGGATCGAGGCAATATCGGCGAGATCGTGGGGTTGGCAGGTGTTGAAGAATCGTAGGACCTTTTGGTCCAGGTCTCCAGCAGATGCATTTTCGTCGATAACATCCGAATCATCCGAATCTGTCAGGACAGCTTCCGGGGTGAGAGACCGGGCGCGGGGAGGGCCATTCTGGAGACGTCGTGGCTTCTTCGTTGGGAGCGAGTCATCGTCCGAGTCGATTATGATGGCATCGGAGAGGGCTGGAGAATTCCGTTTTCTGCCACGCATGAGACGACCGCGGGGCTTCACCTCGTCTTCCTTCAGAAAAGCACCGGGCAAACTTGAAGCGGCCCATTTATCCTGAATGGTACCGCGGGCCTTGATATTCTGCTTGGCCGTTTGTCCCATGTTGCGGACAGGCTCGGCATTCAGCTCGTCATCCGAAGACTCAATTTCAATAGCGGCATTTCGGGTTCCATTTCCGTTTGCGCGGGCAGGTTCATTGGCGAGTAAATCCAGGGCCATATCGTAGTTTCCATTGGCCGCCATAAGAGCCTCCACGCACTCTGGTACAGACTTTGTGGGCATGACCTTGAGAATGCGCTCCACTTTTACTCGGATCCGGAAATCGGTAATGTCCTGCACGGTCGAGATATGGGCAGTCACAGGTTGTGCGCGGGAGGGAGCAGCTTGTCGGAGCTTCTTGGTAGCAACACCGCGAGGGGCGTCGGCTGGGCTCATCTGATCGGCAGAACGCTTCATACCCGGCGCAGTTGGGTCGTACATGGCAGATGAAGTGATTTCCTTGAAGCGATCCAGGGAGCGAGATTCAGCGCGTACAGGCGACTCGGCAACTTTTTCAGGGCTTCGAGCAGTCTTTTCAAACATGGCAGGTTTGATGTCCATGCGGTTCTCGTCGTCGTCAGAGGATCCGCCTCGGTAAGTGGGACCGTCATCCATGTCGAAGTTTGGGGTTCTTTTCGTAGGGCGAACAGTGGTAACTGGGGGACGGAAGGATGTGCCAGAGGGAGCCATGAGGGAGCTTAAAAGTCCTCCGCGGGGGGCTCGGTGGGTGGGTGGGGAGGCAGCAGGGGCCATGGGTGAGGAGGCAGCGACCTGGATTACCGTATTGGGATGAGAGTAAGGCATATCAACAAGCTGCGTTGCCTGGGTCAATCGTTGGGAAGGAGTCAGGGTATGCGCCGGCAAGGTGGCGATTGTCTCGTAGTCCCCATCTTCGTCGGGGGTGCCTGGAGCAGGCTTCCTTCCTCGAATGGGAGTATCAGGCACCGAATCATCCATTGTAGGCAGCTTTTGTCCCTGTCTGGCAGTCGAGGCCCACCCTCCTGTCATCAGGTCGTGTATACAAATCCACTTTTACTACTTTCGCCAGGAACGTTTTTTCTGCCGGCGGAGACGCGATCCCGACGCGCGCGTATCACGTGATTTAGATTGATTCTCGAATTGGGTGTCTTAACTGTGTTCAATCATACGAATGGATGGTAGTATAATGAGATTAAGTATAATGACTCGAAATATGATGTCTAGATTTGTCAATTGGATCTGTAGCTCCCTAAGGCTGAAATTGCCGACATTTGCTCTGAGTCTCTGTGAACCATGTGACCGGGGACCTAGACTGGCTCCGCAATCTAAGGTAGCTTAGCTTTATCAACCTTGATATCTCCTGGCACATGCTTGACCTATCAACCATCACAAATTCAGCAAGCTTTGGATCAATTGGGAACAGTATTTGAATTTGTATACTACAACACTCACATCATGTCTGCCCGCCGACCCCATGGACAAAGCTATGCCGATGTTGCGGCGAAGCCTGCCCCAAAGAGTGATTCTGACATCACCCCAGCTGTACCAGCGTACGTGGGCTTCAACACCATCTCAACCTAGACCCAGAATCATATATCTAACACTATTGAACCATCAGAGATGTGATTTACAAGCTTCTTGCCTTCACGGCCGCCATGGTGTTCGGCCCTATCGGCATCTATTTCTTGACAGTGAACACGGTCTTCAGAGGTTAGAATTGAACGACTTTCATTTCGCACTTGCAGTGTCCGTGTTAAGACTCTTTACTAATTCACATAACAGGTAACTCAACTTTTGCCGGCATTGCCGCTGCCGTTACTGCCAACGTGGTCTTATTTGCGTACATCTACGTTGCCTGGCTAGAAGACCAGGGCGACAAAAAGGAGGCCGACAAGGCCGAGTCCAAGAAAGCACAGTAGTGCAACCAAGTCTCCACATGATATGATCTTCCCCTCTATGTGTATTTTGGTTTTTACGGCGTTGAAGGTATTGTTATCCCAATTGATCAAGCAATTCGAGGATCGGGCTCGAGGAGCTTGTTGTCGGTCATACCGTATTCTCAGCTACAAAGCAAATTTTGTATTGTTGTTGGATATCATAAGACACATTCCCATGCCTGGCTCCAGCCCAGGGCTATTTCACTTCACACATGTACCTCGAGAACCCCCCTTTCCATTCCGACAAATGTTAAAGATGTCATGTCCATGTTGAAGGGGCCCATATGCACTCCGGGAGAACGAAGATAAGAAAAATTCCCAATGCCCAAATCCCTCGGAGGACGCCGATATGCTTTGCTCCCACATTGCAGAGGCTTTGACCATAAGTCAAAGATTCGATTATATGTCCTCCCACTCACGCCGGTCGGCGCTTGACAAACTCCTCCAGATCGGCCTTGGTCGCGACACCGAGCACGAACTTGCGTGTCACGTCGGTCACAACGGCGAATTGCTGCTTCTCACGCTTCTCGCCGTTGGGACCCGTCTCGCTCTCGAAGAACTGCTCCAGCTCCTCCAATGGCGTCTCCATGGTGATCACCTGGTAGATGCCACGCTTGCGGTTGAAGCGCTGCATGGCCGTGGCAACTGCATCGGTATCCTTGACTGCACCCTTCTGGAGGAGCTCCTTTAACCGGGGAATGCTCAGGTAGCCGAGGAGGGATCGCTTCGCCGCGTCGGTGACGGTGAGGTGGGTGTAGTCGCGCTCGTAGGCGGCCATCAGGGCAGCAGAGACGGGGTCATTGGGAGAGACCGACAGCGCAAGAGGAGGATCGAGGTCTTCAACGGTAGCCTATAATCCGTGCAAATTAGTATTCGGACAGCTCTAGACCTTTAAGGAGGGGGGGAGGGACCAACCCCGCGGTACTTGTCGGCCCAGGCAGCTTGCGGGGCCGCGGGGGCTGATGTTTGGTTTTCGCGAGTATAGGCCTCGCTGCCCGTTTGGTAGGAAGCCATTGTGTATGTAGGAATGTAGTTTCAAGGTCGTTGGGAGGTGTGGGGGGAGAGGTCGTTCAAGGTCGCAGGACAGTTCTTTTTGACGAAATTCGGCGCTTTTCCTCTTTTTCGCACGCCAAGACCATCTGACCCGATACGTCATTCTTGGGGGTCGGTTTCGATGGTGAGAGTCGAGTCATTTCCCAGCCTTGTTTGCCGGGGAGTTTCACTACTTTTCATTCAACTTCACCTCTTTCCTGGAAATCACATTTACGCTGTTGTGAGACTCGATCGGTTCGTTGCCAATGCCCTTTCCCTCCAACCACGTTCGACCCAGCATCTCCGATCGCTGTGTCTCCACTTTTGAGGACCCGCATTAACAGTGTACATCCTTGGATGACAGATCAACATGCTGCCGGACTCGATCATTTCGACTTTTGCGGCTCAGCACCCTCTCGGTGTGCTGGGTAAGCAACAGCCGTCACTTTCAAATGAATCCCTCCAGTCGACCTCCAAGAGACACGAGTCTTTCCCCGCTTGGAGTGCGATCGATGACGTGAAGAAGAAGGCCGATTCGATTGCTCAAGAAGCCGCTCGAGAATACAACATTGCTAGCCACAAGGCGCAGGAGAAAGCTGGCAAGATTGAGCTGTGGACGCCCAAATACTATGCTGCCTGTACTATTGGTGGCTTGCTCGCCTGTGTCAGTATAAATCATGACGGATATGCCATTGACAGACGGGATCTAGATTGCTGATACGGTCCACTATAGGGCCTCACTCACACTGCAGTGACCCCTCTTGATCTCATCAAATGTCGCCGCCAGGTTGATTCTAAGCTCTACAAGAGCAACATGCAAGCCTTCCACACGATTCGCGCTGCCGAGGGTTTCCGCGGTGTATTTACTGGTTGGAGTCCCACCTTTTTTGGCTATAGTGTAAGCTGACCCCCCAATGCCTTTGTTCTCGAAAAGTCACTCATACACACACATGAAAGGCCCAAGGAGCATTCAAATATGGTGGATATGAGTATTTCAAGAAGTTCTACAGCGATCTGGTCGGACAGGAGCGTGCTGCTGAATGGAAGACCTCTCTGTACCTGGTTGCCAGTGCTTCCGCCGAACTGATTGCCGACGTTGCCCTCTGCCCATTCGAGTCCGTCAAGGTGCGCATGCAGACAACCATCCCCCCTGATCTCCGAGGTACTTTCAGTGGTATTTCCTCAGTTGTCGCCAAGGAGGGCGTATCCGGGTAAGCTATCCCCACAGGGAAACCGTTGTTGAAACAAGGTTGTTCTTTTTCCAGAAGCATGTTGACAGTCTCCACCCAGTCTGTACAAGGGTCTGTACCCACTCTGGGGTCGCCAGATTCCCTACACTATGATGAAGTTTGCCTCGTTCGAAACTATTGTCGAGATGATCTACAAGAATCTGCCGGGCCAAAAATCAGACTACAACAAGGGTGCGCAGACTGCGGTTGCGTTTACTAGTGGTTATTTGGCCGGTATTCTCTGTGCCGTGGTCTCACATCCGGCCGATGTGATGGTTAGCAAGCTGAATGCCAACCGTCAAGCTGGTGAGGCCTTTGGTGCTGTGATGAGCCGTATCTATGGTGATATTGGATTCCGTGGTTTGTGGAATGGATTACCTGTCCGTATCGTGATGATCGGTACCTTGGTGAGTAGTCACCTCTAAATTTCTACTTGGATCAATGCTAATATACTATTCCAGACTGGTCTCCAGTGGATGATGTATGAATTCCTTTCCCTTCTCCCTTGAATTTGGTCTCCTATTTTTCTGTGCTAACCTTTTCTCAGCTACGACTCGTTCAAGATCTTCATGGGACTTCCGACCACCGGTGGTGGCCCTAGCGAGGCCAAGAAGAATTAGGCAGAGTAGAGGCAACTGCAACCTCTATGACCTCTACCGATACACCTATGCTTTGCGTATCGACCAGGTCTAGGGGTAGAGGATATTGACTAACTAACCTATACTTGACATGTGAATAATTCTTTTCTCTATCGTAGCACATAACCAAATTGATCTCAACTCCATCGATTACACCATTCTTACCTCCATCTACTCCGTACAAACTCTGCCAAGCACGCTATCAGCAAACCGATTTAGTCACCGCACCCACCAATCGCGGGGCCTTATCTTATCAGTCTCGACGTCACCAATCGCAGACGATCACCCGAACACTCTCCAGATAGAACAACCTCCTCCATAGGTCTAGGGACAATTACTCCCATCATTTAATATTTTCCTAGCCTCAGGCCGCAGATGGCGAGATCAACAGCCCCAGTCTAAACGTTCAAACAACTTGCTCTTCCCGACTCATTCTCGTATTTGACCCGTCTACTCTATATTATTCCAACCATCATCCAACCCATAAATCCTTTCTCCCTTCTACATATCCAACATCCAACATCCAACTACCCCTCGCTCATACGCTACACGTTTGAACCCGGTAAGTTTAGAAGATCCGATCGCGTACCTGCATCTGTTATCGCAGTCCCACCCATCCCCGTCCGACTATCCCCTCCCTAGCCACTGTGAACATACCTAGTCCCAAGCCCCCAAATCCACGCCTATCCAGTCCAGCTCATCCTGCTACGACTTAAAAACGAATCCAAGCCCCCGAATTAATCCCTGTCGTTGGTTCCGTGATAAGAAAAAAAGAAATACACACCCCCCCCCCCCCTCCTCGCATTTCCTTATCACTCTGCAATATTCCCCCCGAGCTTGGAGCTTACATTCACCCCGCACATACAGAATACATTCTGCAGTCTTTTACAATGGGCGAGCAAGAGCAACCAATGGTCTCCCACGGCCGTGGAGGTAAGAAAGAGAAAGAGATCGGGAAGAGTCTATCTAAGTAAATGCGTTAATGAAACTAACAACTCATCGTCGGGACCAGGCCAGGGCAACATCGGCCATGATTCTACGCAGTACGAGCACATCTCCCCCCACCACCCACCCTCAACTCTGAACTCCAGTATACCCTATCCTGGACAACCATCACTAACGAAATACCCCCAGATACGTCGACGGCGAGATCGTCCGCGAGGGCGTTTACGGCGACCAGGGTGACGGTGCATACTCCGCCGGGGTAAGTAACACCATAGCCCCGCGCCTACGCCTCCCACTTCCATTCCACTTTATGAATCTATAAAACAATCTAACACTCTTCACAGCGCGGCGGCGTCGGCAACATCGGATCCCCCGCGTACGCCCAACCTCCAAGGTCCCCCACGACGCAGAGATGGTCCCAGAGCTCGCGGTCCGCAACTCTACGGATGAGAACTACCATGTCGGCGTAAGTGTCCCCCTCTCAGCTATCATCCATCATCTTCCTAGTATCTCGATTATGGTACGTTTTATAAGTGTGACTATGGCTGACAATATTTCCTATTTCCAGCGCGGTGGCCAGGGTAACGTCCACCTCGACGACGCAACCCGCAAGGAGAAAGAGGAGAAGAAGAAGGGTCCTGCGCATGAGGGGTTGGCGGATAAATTGAAGCATAAGCTTATGGGGCGGAAGTAGAGGGGTTTCCCTATCTTTCTGACTCTTTGCGGGGAAGATAGATATCTATTCGAGGTTCCGTCCTGGGAGGAGGGAGATTGGAGTGGATTGGAAGGGGTGGAAGGGGTGGACGAAGTAGTTGGTTTTTTGATTCCCATTTTTGCTTTTGATTTTTTTTTGTTTTGGGTTTGTTGGAGGGTTCTTTAGAGGGGGGTTGGTTGGTGGGTTATTCGGGTGGATGAGAGAGGGTTGACTAATGATATCTTGATGTTGACTTGAATATGTTGTTCATATAACTCTAGTCGTAGAGGGGCTTGTCGTAAACAGTAGGGGCGGGGTCTCTATGCCGAATCCGATAAATAAGAGTCCGGTAAAAAGCACGCTTTGAATAGCGTCAGGTGTAACCGTTTTCGGCACGAAACTTACTTGTAGTATAGCCCAAGTCCATCCTTTATACTAGAACCACCTACCCACCTTGAGGAGGACAGAGAACCGCTCTTGCAATGGCAGTGCTAGCAGTGCCTAGTACATTCACACCGCTGTCCGGCAACACAAAAAGAGAAGAAACAGCTATCCATGTGCATGCAATATGACCAGGAAAAGAATTCATAAAAAGAGATACTTCCACACCCAAAAAAAAATAAAATCAACCCCGTGCCAAAAAGTAGGAGAACCCCCAAAATTCCCATATCCCATATCCCATAAACAGTCCCATGTATCATGACCTCGTAAAGCATGAACTCGAAGCGAAAAAAAATAAAAATAAAAAAAAGACATAATCCAACAAGCAGAAAGAAAGAAAAAGGGCAGACATGAAAAGAAACATCGAAGAATGTGACCGCATATCCCAATCGTGGTATATCCATGCACATAGGGATAAAAAGCCCGGTATAGGACCATATCATGGAATGAGAATCAAAACAACCAACAGGGATGAAAATATCCAGGAAACGCCAGCCCCGGGAAATAGATGAGTCGATGAATGGATGAATGGTGGTACATCTTTTCCTCGAAGCGAAAAGATCTCGAGTCGGGGCAAGAAAGAGGACAGGCAGAGAATAATACAACAAATCACTCTGTCTATCCCTTGCTAAACCGCTTCTTGAACCAACTCTTCCTCTTCTCCGGGTTTGCTTGTGCCTGCGCTTTTACATTCGCCGTCGGAGTCTTCCTCAAATGTCCATTTGCAGGCGCCGCGCCACCCCAGTTGGGATCCGCGGCGGCTGCCGGCGCAGACGGGAGATTCTTCCCATTCACGTTCATATTTGGGCTACCGCCGAAACCCTGGAAGCCATACTCGGCCTGGGCGCGTTCATCGAGTCGCTGTTGCTGCAGAGCCTGCTGCTGCAATTGATCCATTGAACTGTTGAGGCTGCTCGGGTCTGTGGATTGTCCGTAGGAGTCGGTATACCCGGAGCCAGACATGGCGGTGACATTGTCGTAGGAGCGTTGGTGGTTCTGTTGCTGGTAGGCGTATTGACCGCCGTTACCGTTGGCATATCCACCCTGCTCTGACTGGCGCGGGTTCTGGCGTGGGCGCCGACCGTTGCCGTTTTGGTTGTAGGGATAGTAGTTATCGGGGGCCTGGCTGGAACCGCCGTAGGCATCGATCATGCTGTCCGGGCGGGATTGGGCGTTGCGTCCGTAACCGTTCTGATCGCCGTATGCGCGGTTCGAGTAGCCGTTGTTCTGGCCTGTACATGGGTTGTTAGTGATCATTTCGGCCGGAATAAACACCCCATATCAAGAGCGAGCAGATCAATCTCTCTTACCTCCGTAGTAACTTGTCCGGCGACTGTAGTCGCCCATCTGCGAAGCGGCGTCATCTACAAGCGATTGATCAGAATTGGGGTCCCTGCGCGGAGGGACGGAGGAGGCGAACGAACCTGTACGGGCGTACGAGACGGGACGTTGACTGGTGTAGGTGCCATAGATGGCTGCTTCGAAGGAGCGGATGGTATCCAGCGGGCGCTCGAAACGTGGGCGGGTGGGGTTTGACCAGTCGGGATCGGCTGATTTCACGCAAGGAGAGTTAGTTTCATTGATTGCAGTTGATCAACGGCCAGGAATGTGTCAGGGGAGGGGACGCACTGATAGGATTGCCATATTGATCCTTATGCTCTATTGCGCGGAGAGAGCCCATATTGGACTTTTCCAGAGCAACCGCCACTATAGAAATGTGTCAGTCAATGTTGAAAAATGGTGATAATGCGACCGCGTGGACCCGACCCACGTGGGGACGAGAGAGGGAGGAAAGATAAGAAGGGGAGGGCGCAATTGCGAACGTACTGGGCTGCAACTCGTTCATCGCGACCGTAGGATCCGCCTTGGTATGTAAACTGCGTCGGGCCTTCTCCTGGGAGGACTCGGAGAGATGGGATTTATGGGAAGACTCGGATTTGACACTAAACCCACGACTCCGACGAGGAGAAGTGGCCGACTGTTGGGGGCCTGCCATCTTATTTAAAAAAACCGGATGGATCCAGTTTTCTTTTGCTTTAGCGTCCGCGATTCAAGGCAGCTGGGGCGGGTTTCTGAAACGGTTGTGATCTGCTCGGTGCCCTGAGCTTCGTGCTTTGGCGGCCGTTGTGGAGTTGCGATTGTGAAGGGTGGGAACTGCCAAGGCGATCGCGGCGTGGAGGTTCAGCCGGTGTAGATTGGATTCACTAAGGTAGTGAGACAACTCTGGGTGGTGGATGGGCAGGATTGTGTTCGGTAGAGGGAGAATATGGGAGGGGAAGTGATGGGATTGTCCACGAAGAAGCAAAAGGTGAAGGCTGGGGAGGGAAAGTCGGTGGGTGGTGAGGTGTACAGCCCGTAGTCTAGGACTAGGAAGTGGGATCAGAGGCGATCGAACGGTGGAGAAAAGTCGTTAGAGATGGGCGGATGTCGGAATGTGCGAGAATGGGTTTTTAAAGGAAGAAACAAGTGAAAGCCATACCACAGGCCGAGAAATTTCTGGTTGGCGACACAAGCCACGCAATGCTCGGACAGGCAGAACTCAAGAGTGAGATCCGCGGCATCTCGTTGGTGGCGTGGGGCAAGGGCTATCTATAGATCTGTATAGATATCGAGAGATCTATGGAGTAGAGATTTTATTAATTACAGACTAGCACAATAGTCTTCTCTATTTACCTATTCTATTTACCATGAACATCCCTCTAGTATCACACAATTATGAAAAGTAGAAATTCCCTTCCGATCCAGTGCCTGAACACCAAACGAGCCGTGGTACACAGCCCGTGCGATTGCGTGGACGCGATTGGTGGTGTTCTTCCTTTTGTCCCAGCCCGACTAGCACTAGGAACGATTGACTCACTTACTGAGTACTAGAGTAGTAGGTGAACAATCTAAAGTGCATTAGTGGTAGACATGGTAACATTAGCATAGTGGTCATGACAGTTCCCCACTCCTCTACCAAGAGTATTAATAGCCTCCAGAACCACTTCGTGATGCGCCTGCTGAAACGAACTCCGTCAGGGACTGGAATTCTAATGCCGGAGTCCCTGCTGCCAAGGAACCTATTTAATCATTCAGTCCCTTAAACATTCTATGACATATTCCATCCAATACTACATCTAGAAACAAAAATAATAGCTAGGTACATATACCAGTCAACGCATCACCACCCATTGTCTCCCCCCTCTCGTCTGAGACATTCCACCCCCAATTCCAGCGATCAGACCTGGGGTACATTACGAGAACCATTCACCTCCCCCTCCGAGTACTAGTCAACGCCTCTTTCCCAGATTCCATGCCAGAAAACAGAAAATGTCACCAGTCTGACCCTGAACTTAACCCTCTTCCTAGCTCTTCCGTCTTTTCCCTGGAGTGTTGATATTCTTGATCCTCTCCCGTGATAGCCACACATCCGCTGCCTTCCAATTGGCTGGTTCGAGGGAGATGTGCAGTCCTCATGTCGCCTGCATTAGAGAGGGTGTCGTTCCTTATTGGTGTTGAAGAATAGATAGTATCAGGTTTTATGCATGATTAGTATTTATTTGAAATCTAATTGTGGTGGTATAATCGGTTTGGGTGTCATTCACGGATGGTGATCGGCATCCGAGGCGGCTTCGGGAGCCAAGATATATAACGGATCGAGTTCATTCCGCTGACTTGTCTTGAATCCTTGTTGATGCCATTTGGGCAGATATGGTAAATAATGTTGTGCCCAATGCTCCATTAGCTTGAGTATTGACTGTTTTATGATTTATAGTCTTTTCTTCAATCGGAATCACATCAAGGGCCCAGCAGAGGACAACCTTATCGGAGCAATATACATATAACGACGAGTTCAGCACATTAGGTGCCGCAACGTTAGCTTATCTCCAAAGCTCACTGACCCTACTCTTCCACCCTTTACAGGTACATTCATCTCATAATTAAGATAGCCCGACCGTTAAAAAAGTAGAATGCATATGTAGAACCTATCAGGCGCCACCTAGTATTAGAAACCCCAGAGATAGCTGCTGATGGGAAAGCCCCGAGGAAAGTAGGTGTAGATAGGAATGCTACATCGAATTGGTTCAAAATACAAAACAAGTAAACAAGTACATTTCCATCTCCAATGTAGTAGAAGTAATACAAATATCCAATTCCCTGGTGGCTATTGTGGCTGAATGGATCCGTACAACTTGCGCCACCCGCACTGTGGTTGATGCCAGAGCCCTACGCAATCAGGAAGTGGGGAGGATCTAGATCTCGGCAATTACTCTCCACAAAACACAGAGTTTCTGATATCAGGCCAGGAAGAAAGCATAAACAAAATTACGACCAGTACGAAAGTACTGGCAAGGGCAGAAGTATGGGCAAGTTACGGGGTACTACATTCATTGGTCTTCCATACAAGCCGGGGAATCACTGGCGCATTCGGGGTACTCAGTCGCATTGGGTCATTTTGCACAGGTCGCCGTTCTCGTAGATCTGGTCCAAACATGCCATGGTGGAGTAGCCAGAGCAAGATAATGCAATTCGTCTATCACATAGGAAAACAACGAGCGGGACAGAACGGGCATTGGCGCACGCAAAGAAAACCTCGAACTCGATTGGACCTGGAAGAACGGGCGTTGAAAGATGAACGGTGGTATGAGATATTTGGCGTGTAAGAAATCGTGTCATACGCAATGGGAGAGAAGGGGGGAAGAGAGATGAGTTTGACGCCGAAGACCAGAGTATCGGACCAAGAAAAACACAGAACACAAGAAGATAAACGAATAGAGACACGGAGGGGAGGAAACAGGAGAAGACCGATATCATGCCTACAATAGAGAGAGCTATGGTTGATACCACACTCCCTACTATTGTAGACACAACGCAGTCAAATCACCCATTTCCCCTACCCTCGCGCTCTTTCATCCCAGACAGTGAACGTTGTTAAATTTTTTTTGATTCGTAGGGCTGTGATAAGTGGCCCTGCCTTCTCCCACGAATAAAACGTTATCAAACCGCCAACTCCCATCACCTTGCCATCAAACATCCGGCTTCGATCCGTCTCGACTTTTTTAAAATTCCATTTTGCCTGACACCGAAGTTCCGTCTGCGCGCAGAAAGGATCGGGGGAATTCGCCCACTAGATACAACATAGAGAAGCCGTTTAGATGTTGGAGGGGTAGAGCATGATGCGGACGGTGGCACCGAAGGACTTGGGGGGAGGTTGTTGCGGAACTTGGCGCGCACAACACCGGAGTTGCCTGGATGGAGACGTTAGTGGCGGAATTTTTGAAAACGAGTCATGCAATCATGCTGCTCGGAGATAGAATGTCGATGCAGAGAGTCATATAGATGATCTGCTGCTCTCATCAGAGTCGATGCGTACCGTGGGGGCGGGTGACCTTGCCCCAGATCACCCGAATGTTGGAGCCGCGGACCTCACGCTTGGCCCGGTAAACGAAAGCGACCTTCTTGCCAAGGTAGAAGCTGGCGGCCTTGGAGTCGTCAACGCCCTCAATCTGAACCAGACTGGTGTTGGGGTTGGTGTTACGCTTTCCGCGCTGGTAGCTCAGGTGGCGACCCCTGTAAAAGAAATCCGTATTAGACTGCTGATTCTCATCGACGATGAATGCGTTGTGTGGTGATTCGTGTGAAGTTTTCCTCCATGGTGTTGCGATGATTCTTTAAAACAAATTCGACCGATCCCCATTTTCGACATGTGTAGACTGGATTGTGTGCAAAACGCGATGACGGCGAGAAAAGTGATAAACTTACTTGACGTAGACTAGAAGGAAACGATATCTGTTAGCATGACAAGTTCAAAGAATAATCGCAGTTCGTGTGTGCCCCGATGCGCCGTGTCCCGATGTCCCCATTCGCGATTCCCTCCATCCTTCAACCTCAACTTGACACGGCGATCGATAACGGGCGTTGGTTCACTGATTTTGGGAAAGCACTCACGTCGGTGTCCCTGTTCCGAAGGCATTGTGACGGCTTTTCTCTGAGCAGCGGGCAAGAATAACAAGTCGAAGGAATGACCCGCAAGAGATCAGAAGTCGTTGCCGGTTGTCGTGGATGTCGTCGCTGATAGAGTCGAGCGCACAATCAAATTGGGAGGTGTGGTGGCCGGATTTCGCCCTAATCCTAATCGGGACCTTAGCGACAGGGTAAGCGAGGTCCCGTGATGGAGACGCTAGTCCGGATGGGAGTGAGCTGGAAAAATAGTTGTTCCAGAGGTTCCACTCTTCAGGTCACATGGTGATACCAGTCCCCTCATCCTTATCAAGTCTTATCTGCTCCTTATCGCTGGGAAGGTCAGATGACCCTTTTCCTCGATCACATCATCTCTTCACCGCCCCAATTGGCCCGTGGTTTTTCTGCCAGCCGGGCGTCTGTCCTCCGAACGGTCCAGCGACCGGCTACGACTCCGTAGCCAAGTTACAACTGTAATGGAAGGAGTTACATGGCTGGGCCCTGGCTGGAGCCTCCTGGCTGACAAACTTCACCATGACGTTGCTCCCTGGCGCTTAACACTTCCTTTTGATGGCTCCCGAGGTCCCGGTTACGTCGGTCTTTGACCTACACCCTTCGGCACGTTGCTCGGTCTTGTTGGAGGGGACCTGGTGAATTGGCCGAGTTTGATTTGCTGATCAGGATAAAGTTGAAAGAATTTGATTATTGTTCGTTACGAGATCACTCTGTAAAGTAACGATGGAGTAGTAGTACTACTGGAAAATTGCCCATTTCATACCCCGTGTCCGGATACATCTCCGGTGCAGTACAGACCGAGCTTCTTCATTGGGAAACCTACTCTCGACCTTCTCCCCTCAAACCCCCGCCCCACCATTTCAGGAGCCGTGATCGCTGTGACTTTCATAGTAGTCTAAGGGAGAATGTTCGACCGAGATCTTTCAAGACGGACTCACTTCCATACGAATTATACGAGTCGTCCTTACAAGGTACGCCCACTACATATTTAAGAGTATATATACTTTTTAGCAGGAACGTCTCTTGATTGGCTGGCAGATCCTGGCCCTGATACACCCTAATTCTGTCTCCGCGGATCTGTCGACTGTGACTAATATGCAAAGTACATCAACATTTAACTATCGTAAGGAGAATACTTTTTTTCAACGGTTAATATTCCGAATCCGGCATACGCTGGGCCGAATGGCTCGAGGGGGCCCGGAGTAAGTGCGACGGGAAAATAGAATCCGTCTGGTATGAGGGATGACAAATGTGCCGATCGCCTCCTCCACGATTTCGGTCACCGGTAGCATTTCAAGGGCCTTATCAAGGTACAATACCAGAAATCGTGATGTATGGGTCCTTGTATCTAGCTGTACAGACGGTTGTATGGATTAATTACTTCAATTCTATGTTCAAGTGTGGTGCTATAGAAGTAAGTGTTGGTTGTAGATGCTGCTTGATTACTCCTTGATTATGTACTTTGTGCTACAACTATACTTCGTGCTTATATCCCCCCCCCCCCTATGGGTAGCTTCGGTAAAATGCAAATCAGCTGTCCTCCATGTTCTTTTCCAGTGGAGCTGTAACACTCTGCAACACTGCATCTAGTCCACCAGGCTTCTGCAGCTCATCAGTGCATCTCATTCAAGGAGCTCATCATGCATTTGCAGTGCCGAAAGGGGTGCTCCACTATTTGGAGTCGCCTCTCTGACCGCAAAGTTAGGAAGCGGTTTTATGAGAATGATTAGAATCTTGATAATTCTCGAGTAAGATTATGTGATGCGCTTGTCTCGTACTTGATGTGTATACAAAGTTCCCATGGGTAGTTTGGCCACGTACTCTACACCCAATGCTTTCAGGCTGTTTCCTGTGTCATGGTTTTACCTGTAACGAATGGGCTTATCAGATGACCTGGTAATCAACCTCAGTGGTAGAACTAAATATTCCTTTTGCTTTCCAGAACAACCAGGGGGTTCGATTGGAACCGACCGAGGGGTCTTTGCGAGGGGCTGGATTAGCGTAGCTCACGTTGCACCAAACCTCCGAGCGAGCAAGCCGTGCCAACGCGGGGGTGGAGGGTCAGCTGGGAAGAAAATTGAGTAAGCTCTCGTCCGAATTCGCAGTTAGGACTTGGTGGAAATAAGGGAAGAAAAATAGGCCGTGATGACTCTGGAGATCCGGAGTTAAGTGGAAGCCAGGAGGGAGGAGTATAGTAGACGAAGTCGTTCAGTCGAAGGTACTACAGAACGAATAGGTCTATCGTGATGATTTATATGATTGTTGAGGATCAATCATATAGCATTGGTGCAATTTTAGCCAAAATAATTATAATTCTTTAAACTGATTTATCCAGATAAATAATAAATGACCGAGTAAAACGATCGAAACCATAAATTACCACCGGGCTACACTCCTCCAGCCCCACCGAAAAGAGCTGCGAGAGAGACTGCCCATTAAAAAAGTACTCCGCCGGATCCTGTTGGAATTGCTCTTCTCCCCAACAACTCCTTTTCCTCCTAATTAATCTTTTCTCTCCTTTTGTACCTCTTCCATTCCTCCTTCCATCCCATTGTATATTGTCGTTGTTGCACAAAAATATGGCCAGTATGATCAACCAGACCGATGAGCGCCAAAATGCTGGGTGAGTTTTTTTAGTTCCTCGTCTCTGACATCACCTCCCCTCCCCTCCGGCAGCGGAAGCGCGCCGCCAACTTCACCTCAACACCTCCCCTCCTCTCCTGGTCCTCCGACAATAGCCAGTTGATTGAGCGCGCATCGTGACACCGTTTCTCGATCGCTTGAATTTACTTGCTCCGAGCCAATTTGGGATCGCATTCTTACTGCCCCGCGATATCCATTTCCTTTCCCCCCCCGCCACAGCCCCTCCGTCCAGCTCGTTTTTCAAGACAGATTTTGCCGTCGTCAACCTTGACTCTCCACCCCATCTCCGAGCTAACAATGTCTTTCCATTCCAGCACCATCGAGTTGAAGGATGACACCGTCATCGTGGTGCTCGGTGCCTCTGGTGATCTTGCCAAAAAGAAGACGGTTCGTGTTTCCCTCCAATTCATCTGCTTCCGATGACTCCTCGGTGTGCTCTCTCCCGGTTCCAAAGCTAACCTGCCGACACAGTTCCCCGCACTTTTCGGCCTTGTATGTGATGATACCAGCTCAGCCATTGGGAAAGACGACGAATTCCCCATTCTAACAGACAATTTTTCTAGTTCCGCAACAAATTCCTCCCCAAGGATATTAAGATCGTCGGATATGCGCGGACGAAGATGGACCATGACGAATACCTCAAGCGCGTGCGCTCGTATATCAAGGTTCCCACAAAGGAGATCGAGGAGCAATTAGATCAGTTCTGCCAGCTTTGCTCTTATGTTTCTGGCCAATACGACCAGGATGACTCCTTCATCAACCTCAACAAGCACCTCGAGGAGGTGGAGAAGGGTCGTCAATCAAAGGAGCAGAACCGCGTCTTCTACATGGCGCTCCCTCCCAGTGTTTTCATCACCGTGTCAGAGCAATTGAAGCGCAACTGCTACCCCAAGTCCGGTCTCGCTCGCATTATCGTGAGTCACTACCCCAGCACTTTGGTTTTTTAACCGAGGCAACGACCGCGCTAACCACCCCGCGCCCCACGTCACAGGTCGAGAAGCCCTTCGGCAAGGATCTTCAGAGCTCGCGCGATCTCCAGAAGGCTCTGGACCCTAACTGGAAGGAAGAGGAGATCTTCCGTATCGATCACTACCTCGGTAAGGAGATGGTCAAGAATATTCTCATTCTGCGGTTCGGCAATGAGTTCTTCAACGCGACATGGAACCGTCACCACATCGATAACGTTCAGGTATGGTCAATTACTGCAATTGCTACCATGTTGCGATGATAAATGATCTCTGACGTGGATTTTTTGGACAGATCACATTCAAGGAGCCTTTCGGCACTGAGGGCCGTGGTGGTTACTTCGACGAGTTCGGTATCATCCGTGATGTCATGCAGAACCACCTGCTGCAGGTGCTGACCCTGCTCGCTATGGAGCGCCCCATTTCCTTCTCCTCGGAGGATATCCGTGACGAGAAGGTCCGTGTTCTGCGCGCGATGGATGCCATCGAGCCCAAGAACGTGATCATTGGACAGTACGGCCGCTCGCTCGACGGCAGCAAGCCCGGTTACCTCGAAGACGACACCGTGCCCAAGGAGTCGCGCTGCCCCACCTTCTGCGCCCTGGTCGCCTACATTAAGAACGAGCGTTGGGACGGCGTTCCCTTCATCCTGAAGGCCGGCAAGGGTATGTTTTCATCTGGAAGTTTACTTTCAACATCGATTCTAACTTTTATTTTCTAGCCCTCAACGAGCAGAAGACTGAGGTTCGCATCCAGTTCAAGGATGTGACCTCTGGAATCTTCAAGGACATTCCACGCAACGAGCTGGTCATCCGTGTCCAGCCCAACGAGTCCGTCTACATCAAGATGAACTCCAAGCTGCCCGGTCTGTCCATGCAGACGGTGGTGACCGAGCTGGACTTGACCTACCGCCGCCGCTTCTCCGACCTCAAGATCCCCGAGGCCTACGAGTCCTTGATCTTGGACGCCTTCAAGGGCGACCACTCCAACTTTGTGCGTGATGACGAGTTGGACGCCTCCTGGCGCATCTTCACCCCTCTCCTGCACTACCTGGACGACAACAAGGAGATCATCCCCATGGAGTACCCATACGGTAAGACTGAAACCCGCCATGTGACCTGCTGCTCCAATGATACTAATTTCTATCCCTTCTTAGGCTCCCGTGGCCCCGCCGTCCTCGACGACTTCACTGCCTCCTACGGTTACAAGTTCAGCGACGCCGCTGGCTACCAGTGGCCAGTGACTACATCTGCCCCGAACCGCCTGTAGAGCATTTATGGGCGAATCGGGTTAGGCATTAGCGCTGTTTACGACGATATGGGACGCGGGATTAACGAAGGCGAACAAAATCCATCTATTTCTTTTTTTTCATGAAGCTTGTTCCTTGTCTCTCTGTTTTCTTATTTATTTTTTCTTTTATCTCTTCTCTACATCTTGATCCCTCTGTTACTGACTGTCTAGACTTGAGGTTATACGTTCAGCCAGCTGCAGTTTGTGATGGATTGAAATGTGTACTGGGTATCTCTATTTCGGGTTCCCTCTGCGTCGATTCGGGTACCTAGAAACGGGCTTTGAGCTCGCAATGCTATGAAAAGAATATTCTATCTTATTGTTCCAGTAAACCCCTGCCTTGATTGAACTAGCAAAGAGTTAAGAGGGCACGCGGTAGATAAGTACTTGTAGTTACAGAGGGGGTTGACTAACCTTCGGAAGAGGTAGAAAATTAGCGCCGTTTTTTTACCAAGGCCCTTTTATAAGCGATGTCCTAGGCTACCTAGAATAAGAGATGTTAGAAGAGGTATCAATAGAGGTAGGCCTTTCTCTATATCAAAATGAAAATCCTTAGTAAGAATGATTTACCCTCGATACTAGATTGTAAGAAGGATGTCTATAAATCGAATAGAAAACTGCATAAAAAGGTATAAAATAAATGATTAACACGTTCTCACAGTGCAAAAGGACCAACGGGGTCGTTTGTCAGGGCACAATGATTCAATGGGAGTTCTCTTCTTGTTTGATGCTGGAACATGCAAAAGACTTAGTTTCATTGTTTGTTATTGTCAGCTGCTGGCTTATAAATTGGATCCCACCTTCACATCTTCAACGTTGACTGACCTTCCTCTTTCTCCTCCTGACCTGTCCTTGATCCTGACACAGGCACCTCTATATCTCTGCCATGCCGACTCTACAAGCTATCCCTTGCTCTACATTCTGTCAACAGCCAGTCTCTATTTCCTCTATATAATCCACATCTTTCTTTCCTCCACACCAGGGACCACTCCAGTGGGCTTGGATCTTCGGAAAATCCTAGGCTTCGGTGCTTCTCACGCCTTTTGAACTAACGGCTACGCCGTGTTATGAGTAATTCCCCTGCAATGTTTCTTCCTTCCCTTTACATGTCCTCTTGCTCACATCTCCCCTAGCAAAGAAACCAGGCTATGCCTCATTCACTTTTCTGGCACCGAGCAAACAATCTGGAGCCGCGGCTCTTTCCAGCGTGGGCTGTCACCCGCCCTTATCCGGGATCGGCGCCCAACAAAGTATGTCGAAATTGCAACTGGGTAGACTTTGCGCTCTCTAGCTGCGCTCTCTAGCTTGGCTGAGAATACTTTATCCATGGACTGCTAGTTCAACAAGTCCTTTCTCAGGTCAAGTCCTGCGTGGAAGGACATTTGACTCGGTATGAATTCATTTTGATCAAGAGCTGGTCCCAACCCGGAGACTCGGTACAACTCCCACTTTGCAGCAGGTGTTCCAATTGGGTTGAGACATATCCTAGCTTTCTCCATGAACAAGTGGCCTACCTTGTGTTGAAGAATGTCCCACAGACACTCGGTCTCTCATCATCTCCCTGTTTGTGTATACTCTATATCCGTGTGGTCTCTCTCACGTTCCTGGCTTCTCAAGCGAATTGCGTGATGGCTACAAAGCAAGGGGACAGCATCCACACCCAAATTGATGAAGCTCACAACTTCTGGGACCTGATAAAGATGGTACATGCATTTGGGGTGTACCAGCTATTACAAGTTCAAGAGAAAAACTGGGGAGAATACCATGGGGTAATTATACCCCCGCCACCAGCGAATCTATCTCACCCATCTTACTGAGATTGCTCGAAAATCACTACAAACCAAGATGCCAAAGCACAGCATACCCTGGGTTGCTGGACCAGACGATACGAATACCGCGGCCATGCTATGCATTTCGTACCGAATGGAGCAGAAGCTCATGGTCGCCATGTTTTACACACTATCTATGCCTTTCCGAGCATCATGGATCGTCTCCAAGCTACTTTGGTCACACTTCATTTCTGTCTCCTCCAACCGCATCATCGATTTAGTCGTTGGTGTGAGTTCTATATGCCATCGTGAGGTGCTTTGTAGTATGCATAGCACCAACTTGAAGAAGGTATGTTTGTTCGTACTGTAGCATAGATAGCAATGCTAATACTGGCTTCATTCAGCTAGGACTTCGAGAAAAAAGAATTTGCAATTTTAGGCGTTCGTGGCACATCACCAGCCTTTCAGAGCCCCCTTGGATGCCACTCAGAGCAATGAGAGAGACTTTTTTGATTACCGCCCCCGTCTGTTGCTCAAATCCAATCCGCCAAGATGGATACCCTGGGACTGTGAGTAATTTCATATCTTCCCCGACACCTCCATAGACGTTCTTACTACTTGTGATCTGGCTTTCATGATAGCTGGAAGTGTCTGAATGATTTTGATTGCTGAAGTCCGCATTGACCGTGTTCCTTGTGCTAATCTGGATGACAGTACCTAGAAGCCTTTCAAGCTCGCCCATCCAATTCCGATGTCATGCTTGAATCTATTCGGCGTCGTATATACAATGGCATTGCAGCCGGTCCATGGGCAATCCTCTATAAAATGCTATATGGACAAGTGTTGAGAGCAACCATGCATTTGGCATTTATGGAGTCGGTACAATCTCGACCAAGGAGTTTCCTTCTACTGTCATTAGTATCTCATGATATGTGCGGGCCTTCAAAGTAAATGACGAGCGCAATGTGCAAAAGACCATTGATTTGGCATGAAAAAGATTTTCGATAATTCGACAAAAACAATAAGCACATCTCTGACTAGTGAAGATACCTTCATGTCGCCTTTTTCATCGTCGGAAGGAAAGCCTTTCTGATCACGATCGATCGAAGAGACCCGTGTGAGTATTAGTCTGGGTTGCCGGACTGCACTGAGACTTGCAGTATGCCCTGTTCACAACGGTCAACTGGTTATATACGTGCTTAGTCCATAATGGAGCCCACCCTGTAGTTTCGCACGCATTCGGAGATGCGTGGTCTGCTGACATACCATGGTTATCAGGTATGGTGATGAGCCATGCCATGTGGAGTCGTCTTTCTGAGCGGAGGTTTGACGTCGGTGGATGATTATCAAGGTGATGGATGAGTCGGATTGTGTGTGGTCTGGGCTATATACTTTCGATCATGATGAAGAGCAGAAGCGTTAAGCTGAGCGACACCCGAGGTTTCGCTACATTGCCTTCAACACACTGATGTGCCGCCAGGCCGGGTTCTTCGTCCGCCCGCAACCAGGCCAAGCCAAGGAGGCGCTGCATGGGGCTTTCCAGGCCCGTACCCAAGAACCCATCACTGATTTCTTCGGCTCTGTTCATGGCACTCGCCCCTATTGGTTTGGCCATCGTCGTGAGTTACAGGCTATGGTCCAGCTTCTCGGGGCGGCGCATATCTTTGTCACCCACTCGGCTGCGGATTTACATTGGGATGATCTGATGCGCCATCTCCCTCGTTATCAAGAGTGGCTGAAGAGTATAACCTACAAGCAGATCCGGATTGCCATGGAGAACCTTCGCGATAACCCTCATTAGTTCCACTACCGATTTCAACCATTCTTAAGGATCTTAAAGCGCAGATTCAAGATCGATGACCACTCGAAGGAGCTGAACACGGCGCTACCTATGGCAAAGGAGGACGATGTTGGCTGATTTTGAGTATTTCTATGGCCCGTGTTGAGAAGTTGAACCTGAACGGCGGAGACCATGAGGGATGATTGAAAGTACATAGAAGATCACTCCATACACCCCTCGACTGGATCGCCAATCCGACCAGATATGAGCAACCGCATCCATTTATCAAATAACAAATATCTACTCTTGATTACGTCTGTCCATATTGCTTGGCTCAAATGGTAAAATCAATGACACCATGCCAATCACTACAAAAAGCCCGCTGCAGACAAAAATTGGAACCGAGGAGTACACGTTTCCCCACGTAGCGATAAATGGGGATGTGAGTGAAGCGACTCGGCCACAAGCCAGCGTCAACCCGCACCCGATACCCCGGTACTTGTCGGGCATAACTTCGGGAGTATAGCTAGAACAGGGTTAGCCTAAAGTAGGTTTACATACGCTATGACTGTGAAGCAAGTACTCACCCATAGATAACACCGTACATAGCATTCAAAAAGAAATTAATCATGCATGAGAATCCCACATTCTGAGCCTCATTCTTCACGGTGGTAAATAATCCCGCAAATATCGCACATGCACATGCTGTCAAAGTGATTGTACGACGACGACCGAGGAATGGGACTCGAATTAGGTACCCGCTGAGCACAGGCCCAAGTATTCCCACTACTGAAGAGACTGACCAGTCGCGGTATGTTTGGTAGACGCTTCCATCGCCAATTTTGGCACCGTGTGCTTCGAGATAGTATGTTAGGAAGACGATGTATACGGGGTATCTGGAGCAGGTTAGCATCGTGAGATGCATGAAGGATAAAGGTAAAGAGAGAGAGATACGCTATCCCGACAAGGAGCCAGATAAGGATGAGGCAGATCATAGAGCGGGCTTGTCTCTTCCCTTGGAATAGCCCCGCTAGCATACCAAAGGCCGCCCTCATGGATTTGTGAGGTTCTGACTGCTCCTCGTGAAGTTGAGAGCTCGACATCCTATACGCGGACTTGTTGATTCGACTAATCGTGTTAATAGATACGACAGCTTCTTCTCTCCGACCCTGCAAGGCCAGCCATTTTGGTGACTCGCTCATTCGTAGAGAGAAGGAACGGAGAATGGACATGAAGAGACAGAGGACTCCGAGAATGATATAGAGATATCGCCATCCCATGTTGTCGGATTTTCTGCATGTAGCTGGCGTGGCGCCCTGTGGGCAGCAGAAGTTTACCACTAGTGGCCAAGCTACTAACGTCAGTTATGGAAAGTAGAAAATAATCTTCAATAATTCAAGTCACCTATTAGGCCTGTGATAGTGCTTCCCAGCCCCCAGAGGCATGCAAGGCCGGTTAGGAGGAAGCCCCATTTGCGAGGGAGGCTTTCAGCGAGCACAGTCAGGTCAATTGCCACTATGTTTTTATCAGCCATGGTTTCGACAAATAACAGTTGCTAACTGAGGATTGACGAGAAGCTCAGAGGAGTGGGAAGGAAAGAAAGCAAGACACTCACAATTTCCACCGCCAAAAAACGCTGCAATGGCCACGAATACATTCAAGACGGCCCAAGTGGGCGAGGCTGCGCCAACAGCTGTGAAGATCGATACTCCAAAAATGGAAATCTGCCATGACAGACGACGACCGGTAATATCTGCTAGCAGTCCGAAGGCTATTGCGCCAATTGCCAATCCTGCATACTGAGAGGCAGAAAGTAGAGTTGCATACTGCGGTGCAAATTCCTTGGATGCTTGTGGCATCACGAGACTGATGGAAACTAAAAGCATCTAGAATCTAGTTAGACGTGCAAGTTATCGGGATGAGCTTGCTCTTACCTGATCAACGACGAAGCCGAAACCGCATGAGACCATCAGCCGCCATTGGTAGCGGCCCATGCCTATCGCTTCAATTGCATCTTGAATGAGAGTCACATTGGGAGTTGGGATATGCTCAGTGGTGTGATGACATATTTCACCCTCTGAAAAACTAGTGGTGTGGGTCAATTCGGGTTTCTTTTCGGGTTCCATGTTTGTGGAGATGGTCCTAGACATACACGCGTGGATCTTAGCGTATTTATATTTCCCCAGAACCTCGAGTGTTTGATAAGCAAAGCTCCAATGAGAGAGGGTAACTGGTTATTATCAGTATCATGGACAGAAATCGACTCGTTGGGCCCGTACTTCAATGCGGGGAATGAGAGCTTGTATACAGTTTCACGGACCCGGCCCGCTTCCGCGAGAGGGGCTGCTTGATGTATGATGACATTATGCAGGCACATTGAGAGGGCTAAGATAAACCAGATTAAGTTCAACAACTTTGTTGAGTAAACGATATTGACCTTATCGGCGCCTTTGTATTGCTTGCACTTGCCGGCCGGGAGCGGGCCGGGTCATCTAGATGCTAACTATCTCGATGTCAGTCGCCTGAACATTTGGACCAAGGAGATGATAATCAACCAGTGGCCATAGAATTGAATTCACATATTGAGTATCAAAATGTGGGAGAAATATGTGTGGAACCGGCCTTTCACCAGATTTTGGCGCTTCGATCTATACAATCAGCACTAGAAAGAATATGCTGAGAGGATACCACCGGCTAGTTGCTAAAAATAAGATTTAGGACAAAGCCATAATTATTCTGCCCTTTTTTGAACACGTGAAGTCTTCATTAGTCGGTGCCCCCTGAGGCAAGCAATATTAAAGTGTGGAAGTAGATGAGGGGTCTCAACTTCTCGTCGCGCGCCCCATCTCTTGGTCTAGATCGACGGCCATGTTTGAGCTTGAAAGATTGCGGCTGATATTGACCGCTATAAGTGAATTATGGCCGTTTAATTTTTATCTGATAGCTTCGTTACTCAATATGTCCCTAGACAGCTGTTTAGTCCCTCCCTGTTGTAGTTTCTCATGTCAACCCACTTGGTGCTGTTCTTTGAAACACCCAAACAGTTTTGTTAGCGCCCGCCCCCACAAGCTGATTCTGGCCCCCATAAAGGGAACCTTTGATAGGTGCCAGCATATTGCGTCCTTCAGCCGCGCGCTAACAGTATTTGGAATCGTTTTTCTGACCCCTTATATTTACATCTCAGGGCCCTCTTGCTCTCTTGTTGATCGAAAGATCTAAGAATTGCTTGATGGCAATGCTCTGCCACAATGAAATCATTACTCGGTAAATTTCAACTCGCGACACCGAACAAGGCTAAATTTTACTAATTGACAATATTCATAGTTCTCTTATACAGCGCGACACTGCTACTTGGAATAACCAACGCGACCCAATTCCAAAACTTCTACCCATTCTATCGGACAACCTTGACGACTGAGAGGCCTGACTGCCACGCATACTACGATGCCTCGATCGAAGCCCACAATACATCCGATCCAAATACCTGCAAGCACATGGTCAACTGCTTACTCGAAGGCGGTGGCGAGGTGAATAAAGCCGACTGGTCATCTGCAACAGTGCTACTCGGCTTGACACCATCTATACTGGGAATGGTGGCACCTACGATTGAGGAACGCCTGCAGCTGCTCAGAGAAAGGCCTATACTGGGGTTTTTGAGCATCCTTGCCGCCCCGTCGCTTACGTTCTCGAGACCCTGGATAAAGCCAGACAATCCCAACGAAAATAAGATTGACTGGATTCGACAGTATGCCTTTGGAAGAGGCCCCAAAGCATATTGGATTGTAGTGCAATATCTCTCCGTGGCTCTTGCCACTGCGAACGTTATTGAAAACGCAATCAGACTTGGGAATCAGACAATCATTAGCTGGAAATGCAACATGTCATACCTTGAGCTTGCATGGGTTTTGCTAGCACCCGTACCCATTCTCATTGCGTTGATACGGTACATTGGACCTCTCTCAAAAAAGCCCAAAGAAGACGAGGCGACAGAAATCAGGCAGGGTTCGACAACGACGGAGGGATCGACAACGACAGAGAAGTCGAAAACGCCCACAGTGGACTTTTGGGAAGGGCTCCTTGATTCGGTTGCGAACATTCACGGCCTTGTCCATGTTGTGTTTGGGACGATAGTGCTTTCCTCAGTCCAATTCATCGGCACTTTGGATGCACTAGGGGTTATGGGCCGTTTCGCAGCATCCGCACTCATTGTCCAATTTGTTACAATGACTCAGCTCTATGGCAAGCCCGATGATTTGGCGAAGCTGGAGCGCTCCGAGCGGCTCAAACAGAAGCGCGATCTTGAAACCCAAGCTCCCGTGAAGGAAGATAGGACGAATTTTAAAGAGAGGGTATACGAAATGGTCGAACGGTTTGATAGGACGAGTTTTAAAGAGAGGGTATACGGAATGGATGGCAATGGTCTTGACAAAGGAGCACAAGTAGAGTGATGCTACGGGGTCGTCGGCATTTATTAGACGGTGTTGTGATGCTGCCAAAAATTCTTATATTTGAAGAGACTTCTCGAATAGTACCCCTGTTATATCCAGCAGCGACTGCTAGCTCCGATACAGATAGTTAACTAGTTCCCCACTATGGATTATGTAAAGATAAGCTCATGGTTGGAGGGAGCTAGCTTTAGGGCCATCTTTGGTTCGACTACTTGTGATTGATTCTTGGGGCACGTCTCCCGAGAAACACTATTTTGGAGGAGGGGTATTAAGGGGGCAGATGTATTGAACTTAAAAGGGAATACTTGTTGGTAATTAATGTGTAGTGCCATTAGTATGGTCTTTATTATTATCAGAATAGTATGTATAGCTATCGGGAAGTTAATGAACTTGAACCAAATTGATCTCATCCCTTTTCTCAACTTTTTTCTCAACTTTTATTTCCAATCAATATCGCCCATATACCTAAGTCTTCCTGGAAATCCCTAGCCACCTCCTCATACATACGATGTATGTCCGGAATAACCTGCCGCACCGTGTATATGTGGGCCCCTGGTAGGCCATCCATGCCTGCATCACTGTATAAAAGCTGAGAATAATCATCAATCCATGAATAACTCTATAATAGGCCTACCATAGCCTAGACAGGAAGGCCTGTGTATAACTGTATAAGTGTATATCATTCTGTTCCTATAAAAAGATCACGATGCTTACTCAGCGGAGGCAAGTCGGTCCCTTCTTTCCTTCCGCGAGGAACCCAAACGATTAGCTAAGGAAAAGTTCTTTCCAAGCTATCATTATTATTATGCCTGAAGAAGAGTCCTTTGAGTAGCATCATATAGTTCAAATTCAATGCAAGGCCTAGACCCAATCTGTCATTCCGCGATTAATCTGAAACCGGAAATTCGATCGGCATTTCACACAAAATACCCCTGGGCCGCACTGGGCGGGTCCGACTTGCGCGGCGATAACTCGATAAGGCGTCCCGGGGGCCCGCAATCAACGCGGCGCTGGGGCCAAGTCCTTTTTTCTCTCCTTCCCCAAATGCTACTCTACACTCGTTTCAACTCTGCTGGCGAGTATACATCTCGATATATAACGACAAAGGCCTCACGAGAAAGCCCACGGGCAGCGAGCGAGTGAATTGGACCGACTCCGCGGACTCAATTGACCCAAACGAGAACCCGGTCAACAAAGAAAAGCCCCGACAATCACGACACTCGGAGTCTTGTGCGCGTATTCACCCTAGTCCCCTTACGACCGACACGCTTTATCTGATCGAAAAGACCCCCTACGCGAAAGCCGATCCTCTCACCATACCCCGAACGCAAGACTGAACCTACCGAGCCCGACTTTCGACTGCGCTTCTTCGAATAGGTCGGCCCTGAACCAAGTGATTGACTCGACCAATTCCGTTTGAGAAGAGGGGGGAAGGCGCATGCACCTACGCGCGACATAACCATGCCACAGGCTGCACGATGGGCGGGCACGCCGTCCATCAAGGGGAAAAGCGAGTCGACGCGCATGGCGCTGTTGACATTTAGTCTAGTGGGGTTACAGTGCGTATTGCCCTGGGATAAGACGCGTGGGAGGCAAATTATGGTGGAGGATCTACAATTGGGGGCTTTGAGTTACAGTCGCTGACTTGACGCTTCGTTGAGAATAGGTTTACTTGGGGTACTGAGATGACCTGTGCGTGACCACCAGCCCAGCAGTGATTGATCCATCTTTGAACAGGAGGACTAACCCTTACGGCCTATAGATTGCACACCATATCTCCTACAATTGGGCTTGACAAAATCCAAAACTTCGTTGGTGTGGATTGCCGGACCACTGTCCGGACTGATCATTCAGCCTTTGATCGGCGTAATTGCCGACCGATCGCGTTCGAAATGGGGCCGGCGGAGACCATTCATGGTGTTTGGTTCATTCGTTGTGGCGTTTTGTCTTATCGTACTTGGTTGGACAGCCGAGATTGTCGCCATGTTCGTGAAAGAGCCTGAGAAGGTGGGTCATGAAGCTTATGGTTCGAGGCATAAGGGTATGGATCTAATGACAGACATTAACAGGCTAAAAATGTCACTATCGCGTTGGCTGTGTCCAGCATTTATGCAGTTGACTTTTCTATCAACGTCGGTGAGTAGAACCTCTCACACAAATGGAGCGAAGCTAACATCATTCCAGTACAAGCATGTTGTCGCAGTTTGATTGTGGATACATTGCCGATTCCCTTGCAACAAGCCGGGTCTGCCTGGGGTATGTGATTTCTCATAGGTCTTGGAAGAAGAGATACTAAACTTTGTAACAGCGGGCAGAATGTGCGCTATTGGCCAGCTAATCAGCTACGTGATCGGCTCCATTGACATGGTCAGCATCTTTGGCAGTCTTTTGGGAGATACGCAGTTCAAGCAGATGACAGTGATTGCCGCTATCTCATTGATCCTCGCGGTGGCGGTGACATCCTACTCTGTCAAGGAACGCGTTCTGATCTCGGCGAGGTTGGTCAATTCCGGCATGAGAATAAGTGACATCTAACTAATCGAGGGAAATAGGGACTCTGACGGCAAGAGCGGTGCCATTCAAGCCATCTCGCAGTTGTTCAAAACCACGATGGAACTCCCACCTCGCATTCAGGCCATTTGCTGGGCTCAATTCTGGGCTTGGATTGGTATGAAATTTTTGGCTGTCCTTAGAGCGAGTACAGAACTAACACGATCCAGGATGGTTCCCCTTCCTCTTCTATAGCACGACATGGGTCGGCGAAACCTACTTTCGCTACGAGGTCTCCAAAGACCAGGCCATGAAAACCACCGACATGCTCGGTGAAGTCGGCCGTGTTGGCAGTCTTTCTCTGACAGTCTTCTCCTCGATTACATTCCTAAGCTCCGTTCTCCTGCCATTCTGTGTTCAATCCCCAGATACCAAGCGCACACGCTTCACGCCTCGGCCACCACCTGGTGTAGCTGCGATTCTGAAGAGGTTCACGGCCGTTCGACCGGATCTCCAGACAGCCTGGTTGATTTCTCAGATCATGTTCGCCGCCACTATGATTTTTGCACCGCTCGCGCACTCCCGAGCGTTCGCAACCTTCCTCGTGGCAGTGTGTGGAATCCCCTGGGCAATCAGTGGCTGGGCTCCATTCGCATTCATGGGCGTGGAAATCAACAAACTGACCATGAACGGCGGCCCGGGTGCCCCGGGCATGGCAGCGCAAGCTACACGCTCTGGTGTGACGATGATTACATCCGCAGGTCTGCGCAGTTCCGCCGCTGATACCGAGCTGGAAGTGCTACGGTTGAATCACCGTGACTTGGACAGTGACACCGACGAAGAAGACCAAGCCTCGAACATTCCCTCCACGGGTGAATTAGCTGGTATTTATCTCGGAGTGCTGAATGTGTATACCACGCTTCCGCAATTCGTTGGCACGTTCATTAGTTGGATTGTGTTTAGCCTTCTTGAGCCCGGCGCACAACCTAACAAGGACAGTGATGCCTCGGATACGCAGTGGATGAATCTGGATAAAGATAAACCCAACGCGATTTCCATCTGTCTGTTCATCGGTGCTATTAGTGCCCTTGTTGCCGCTGAGGCGACCCGCCGATTGCGGTATGTTCCTTGAATGTCTTGGACTCTTGGTAGTGTGATATCAAGGAGACTGGTAAGAAAAAGAGAAGGATGGCGCACCTTATACCCAATGCATTGCATGCGTGTTTCACCGTATGGAAAAGTGAGATTTCTACAGACGGCCGTGATTGGGCTCCACATTTGCAGCGTGTGTAAAGGACTTCGATGATACTAGTAATAATATTAATGACCATTTCATTTCTTTTCAAGCTAATGGACAAGATTCCTCTTGGGGAATCAACAGTCTCCACCGGAACAGAGGAAAAGGCTTTTGGGTCATAACGGATAGTTGATCCCGAAACTGCAACCTGGAATATGATGCATCTGGAGCCTTGGCCACTGAAAGGGTTAGCCTTCGAGCTTGATTTCGAAGCCTGTCAAACTGACAGACCTTTTACTGTTAGACAATCTTGACACTTCCAGAGAGGTATAGCTATCTTTAGATTTTCTATTTTGTTACGTTCCCTGTTGTGATAAGCGCCAGTTATGTACTTAGCACAACAGGTCGAGATCGATATCAATGTCCGAGGTAGACTTGCCAATTCCCCGGCTATATATTTCCACCATTCATTCTATTTCTCAATTGCAATTCCTCCACGTGAAAGCCCCTCCTACAGTACCCCTCCTACACCGCCACTTGAAGATAAATAAACTAGAAAAGTGGGTCCGCCAAGTGACGACATGATGATATTGGCAAAACTCTGTTGCAGAACTAACAATAGCTTTAGGTAGCACCCAGGGTTTAGTTTACTAAAGCTTTTGTTTTCCACACTTTCTACCATCCCTTGTGAAATTACCCCTGTTCCAAAAAACGATACTATCTCAATTCAACTCTCAACCATGACTCCCAAGGTTCTAGTCGTGCTTACCTCGGCGAACGAGATTCCCAAAATACAGAAGCCTACGGGCTGGTATTTGGTATGCAACCCCGTGAATCGATTCTATCTATACTCGAACCCCTCCATCAACGCAAGCAAGGACTTTGCCAGATCAGCATAAACACTATGAAAGAACAATCGCTAACTATATGTCCAGCCTGAATTCGCCCACCCCCACGAAGTCCTCCACAACAAGGTCTCTCTAACCATCGCCTCGCCGAACGGCGGCGAAGCCCCCTCGACCCATCCTCAGTAGAAATGTTCAAGTCCGACGCAACATCAACAAAGTTCCTCGCCGAGCAAAAGGCCCTGTGGACAAATACCCACAAACTCTCCGACGTCCTAGCTCGCGCCGATGAATTCGACGCTTTATTCTACGTCGGTGGTCATGGCCGTACGTCCCCTCCCCTACAATCAACCAGTAAAACCCAAATCTAACACTCTACGCCTTCCTGCAGCAATGTTCGACCTAACAACAGACCCAACCTCCCTATCTCTAATCCAAACATTCGCCGCCTCCAAGAAACCAATCGCAGCCGTCTGCCACGGTCCCTGCGTCTTCCTAAATGCTACTTCCCCCTCCGGCGTACCCCTCCTCTCCGGCGCAAGCGTAACGGGTTTCTCCAATGAGGAAGAAGATCAGGTCCAACTCTCGGATGCGATGCCTTTCATGCTAGAGACGGAATTGCAGAGGGTTTCCGGTGGTGGGTATGTTAAGGCTGAGCAGGCTTGGGGGGAGAAGGTTGTTGTTTCGAAGACGGCTGGTGTTGGGGGTGTTTTGATTACGGGGCAGAATCCGGCGAGTGCGACGGGAGTTGGGGAGGCTATTTTGAAGGCTTTGGGGCTTTAGGTGGTATTGTTGAGATAGGGCTATTATGCAATGACTGTCGAAAGTCGCCTTGATCCTACTACCCTCAATCCACGAGTGTTACTTATCTTACGAATCTCCAATCCTACATTCAAACCAAAACAATCAACTTCAATCCGATCATATTGATGTAGCAAACTTCACCGGTATAAAGGAACTCAGTAGCGAAAAGGGGAATAGAGCAAGAACAAACAAAAAGCATAAAAACACAAAGCAGAAGCAGAGGCAGAAGAGATAGGTAGTAGATAATAAAGAGATGCTCAAGCTGGCATAGATGGGAGTCCAGATGGAGGTAACAAGCAGACAATAGACAATAGAAGGGAAAAAGGAATAGGAAAATAGAGGTTTGAGAAACCCGGATATCTTGATCCAGACACGGTCTGGACATTGTGTGAAGATCAAATGAAGCTCGCACAGAGTATTAAATCAAGCGTAAGCATGAATCGAAGGTGTAGAGGAGAAAAAAACAGGTATTGCGGGGGTAATAGCACAACCAATAAAGAATCCGTTATTCGTATCGCGGCGTTTCGTCGCTGTGGTTCTTCGCTCTCGCTTTCGTATATTCCCTTGGTAAAGGGCGAGGATGCCACTTCCAGAGGGTCCTGGGTGAAGAAGAGCATCAAATCAGGCATATGTGAGGAAGAATTATCTCCAAGACCCAAGTAGGCAAACACGAAGAAACAGGGTTGACAGCGTAAAGAAGGACGGCATGCTGGAACGAGGAACGGTGGAAAGAAAGAAGGCTTGCGACATCAAGAGACGAGGGGAGGTATTCAAGAGTTAGAACAAGGTCAAGTAATAAGAGGACAAAAAGGAAATGACAGAGCTTCTGTCAACGGGCTTTTGGGGGGGGGGGAGAGATTGGTTAACGAGCACCCTCCATGTTACCGGTCAACTCAGCAACACGGGCCTTGATACGGGCGACACGCGACTCGATAGTTTCCTCGCCGCTAGTATCGCCCTCGTCGGTGCGCTCGGACTGGCTGGTCCGCACCTCGGGCTCCTCGCTAGCAGCAGTGGGGGCATCACGACGCTCAGCCGCGTTCTTGCGGATCTGAGCCCAGCGGTCCTCCGTGCTGGTGAAGCGTCCGGGTTGGGGTTTTTCAGCTACAACCTCGGGCTTCCCTTCGTGGCTGTGACCGTTGCCGTTGGTTGGTGACTTGGGGAGCACGTCTTCCTTAGGGTGCGCCTCCTCCACAGGAGAGTCCTCGGGGACAAAGGCGGGCTGCTCAACGAGAGGACCCTGGTCGAACTTGGAGAACTCCTGGTCGGCGGCATAGGCCTCGTTGGTGCCAACGCGAGAGAGAGCGTCGTACTCAACGCCGCGGCGCGTCTTGGGGGGACTACCGCTACCCTGGATCACTTGAGAGGGGGCCTGGGGCTCCTCGTAAGCGGGCTCGGGGTTCTGGTGAGGAGTCGAGGGTTTCTCGGCCTCCGGCTCAGGGGCTGCAGCTGAGATAGGGGCGGGAGTGGCCTCGGCCGCGGCAGCAGGAATGGGCTTCTTCTTGATGGCACTGGGCTTGGCGGGAGAGGATCGGGCGACCGCGTCCTGGGACTCCTTAGCCTTGGCCTCAAGGGCAGCACGAGCAGCGGCCACCGCGGAGGTCTCCTTAGCACCGGTGGTCTTCAGGGGCGGTTGCTGCTCCTGCTCGAGGGTCTTCTTCTTGCCGCCAAACATGTTCTTGAAGCCGGCATTGCCAGTCTTCTTCTTGAGCTTCTTGCCACTCTCGTCAATCGATTGCTTGGGCTGAGACTCGGCAGGGTCCTCGATAACCACAGTCTTTGCAACGTTCTTTTTCTTCTCATCGGCGACAGGCTCCTTGGCAAGCTCCTGGTGAACAGGTTCGGGGGAAGGAGGAAGAGGCGTGACCAAAGCACCGGTGTCCTTCGGGGGTGGGGCAGGGCCATTCTTAGCAGTGCTGGTCGGGAGAGGAGCAGGAGGAGTGATAGGCCGCTCGACATGAGTGCCATTGGACTCGCCGTTGGCACCCTCGCTCACAGCACCAGTGCCAGCGCGGCTGTTGCTCAAATAGGCAGCACGGAAAGCATTCTTGTCGTAGTTGCTCGCCCACTTCATGGCCGAGGAGGCCTCGTTCACAATAGCAGGCTGCAGCGTCATAACGGAGTTAGTCTTGGTCGAGCGAGTGTCGTTACCGGGGCCATTTCGGGCTTGGTTCGCCTCGGCTTCCTGCTCACGATGCTTCTTCTGCAGAGCGGCGGCAGCGGCCTGGATCCTCTTGTGCTGGTCGGGCCCAATGCTGGTCTTGCTCTGTTGAGCCAGGTTGTTGGGTCGCTGGTAGGATTCTTCAATCGAAGAGGAAATCTTCTTGGCTGACGACTTGCTACGGCTCAACTTGCCAGCACCCTTGCGGCTGCCGAAGCTGAAGAAGCGCTTCTTCTCGACAATCTGGGCACCCGCGTCCGGCTCGGGGGCAGCACCCTTGATCTGCTCCTCCAAGACGAGCCACTTGGTGTCACGAATACGAGTCTCGACAAGGGCGCAACGACCGAACACAGCCTTGCGAGCACCGGGCTCGTCACCAGAGAGACTAGTAATCCAGACCCACCAAAAGGAATCATCCATATCCAGAGAGCTGATGCTGGCCAGCTCAGCTGGCTCAAGAGAGGGCTCGGTATTCAGATTGCGCTTGTGCGACTGCGAGCTCTGGCCACGGGTGGCCGCAATTGGCGGGAGGACCTTGTCTGGCGGTAGAAGCAGGGGGCCAACTCGGCCCTTGAGGTTTGCCTCGTCCGTAAAGCCAGACGACATGAAATCTGCCCAGGACGGAGTCGTAGGGCGGCCCAAGTCTCCACCCTGCGACTGGGGAGCGGTTCTCATACCGCTGAGCGGCTCGATCTTTGCTACCGAGGGTCTGTTCTCCTCATCCTCCCCGTCCGACTCGATGGAACCGCCGAAACCGATATCTTCGAAGCGGGACCACGAGGCGTCGCGCAAGCTGGTAGATTGTTTCGAGCTCGACACGCTAGACTCGTTAGTAGAAGAAATACATTTTAGCACACGCAGACATTCATCCGTCAGGGCCTTGACGGGGTCTTCGTAGTTGGCAAACTCTTGCAGGTGCCAGTGCTCGTCGCGGTACTCAAAGTTCTTTGCTCGGCGCAGCAGAGCAAAAGGCGTAGGTGAAACGGTATCGACGATCATAACAACTTTAGTGGTGGTAACCTGGAGCAGAGTCGGGGTTTCGGGAGGATATTCGGTGGCCTCCACGAGAGTCTGAAGGGAAATAGGCAGCGACGAGATACCAGTCACGCCGCGAGGCATATCAGGGGAGAGGGAGCGAAGGTAGGCAAAGAACATGTGGCTTGTGGCATCGGCAGCACTATCATAAAGTCAGAAATGGGCCCATATTTAGCAAAAGGCGAGAGTGTAATCATACGCAGCCCAATTCTTATAGGAGGCCTCGAAGCCATTGCCAGTGTCGTTGTGCTCGAAAGCCCACCATCCAGCATATCGAGAGAGCTTACGGCCTCCCAGACCGTTTGATTTGCCGTGGGCTGCAATGGCAGCCAAAAGATCGAAGAAGTCGAAGATAATCTTAGTACGGGCATCGGAGTCGACACTGATGGGGATAAACGTGGAGAATGCATCACGGGCCAAATCCGAATCTAGCATGGAAGAGGTCAGCACATATCACTCTTGTCCATCATGGTCAGGGTTCGTACCTTGTTCGCCGACCTTGAACAGTTCATAAGCCTCCCATGTAACCACACCGCCGGGCAATCGGCTCCAGCACCATTTCATCACACCGCACAACACCTATCCAGTATCATTAGCCATGGGCTCGTGTTTCTTGTCTTGCTGGAGACTGCTGTTCGTACCATCGGCTCCGTAAGCCGCAACTCCTGCATCAACTCATCTCCACTGACGGGGGCTCCCTTGTCAAAGGACTGGTTAAAGTAGTTTCGAACGAACGTGCGGGCGGCGCTAGGATCGGAGCTTGGACGGAATGGCAGGAGGAGGAATGGGGTATCGAGAGCTAAGGAATCGGACAAATGATCAGCAATCCGGAGAATGCGCATGGCAAAGCGTTGCACCACCACCACCACATGGTTGAGAATGGAATTTCCAACCCACCTCGAGCTTTCAATTCATGCGCACAGCCTCGAATGAGATCCTGCACCTCCTCGGGGGCCACTTCTGTCCGTAGCCAGGCATCGGCCCATTTGGGCTTCGCGGGAATCAAATCGGTGGCGGTGGAGGGTTTGGACTGCTTCTTGGAAGCATTGGCATCCTTGTTGCGAAAGACTCGCGAGAAAAAGGCCGGCATGCTGAGTTGGGCGGATGCACGCGACCGCTAAAGCTTCGGATTTCCTTTAAGACGGTCAGGATCTGGATTTGTGCTGGGGGGCTTTTTCGCCTTTGGAAGTTTTTTTAGGTGGTCTGGCGGGCAAGTAGGTACTTTTTTTGGCCTTGGGCCTTTCTGCAGCACGTCAACAAAACCAATTAGCTGCGAAGTTCTCCACGAAAGCTAAACTAGAGGGCAGAAGCAGGAAACCGACAGTTAATGAAATGACCAGAAGCTGAAGGGAAAGACGAGAAAGGAAAAAAGAAGCAGCCAGGCCGGGATGTCCTGCAGCCCCGTAGCAGGCTCAGGCCAAAACACGAAAGGATTCCCTGGTCTTGGAATCGGGTCTGTGCTCTCGGGAGACGGAACGAGAGTGTGGGAGAGATCGCGGGCAATTGAACGAGAGAAACGAGCAAGGGGGAAAGGAAAGAATGGAGGGGGTCAAGAAGAGGGAAGAAGAAGATCGCAGAGTACCAGAGAAGCCCCAGAAAGGGCGAAATTCGGCAGTTCAGCGAGAGGGTTCAGGGGTAAATCTGAACGCGGGAAAGCTGGAGAGGAGCAACTTACTCTTGGGACCGTTTGGATTGTTGGGTCGAGACCGCCCGATGGGAAACTAAAAAAAAAAATAAAAAGAAAAAGGAAAAAAAAACAGAGACAGTATGCCCCCACTAAATTGACTAAAAAGAATTGGAAAAAGATTGCAAACAAAGGAAATGATGGGAACGGGAAGAAAGAGAAATTGAATTGGAGGAGATAGTGTACGATGATTTACAAGGGCGATTGGCGAGGCCGTTGGACGAGAGAGTGGATGATACCGATGGCGATCATCATCTCCAAACTTGGGTTCCGCGAGCCAGGGTTCTCTGGTCTTCAATAGGCTGCCTGTGCTGTTTTAGCGGGCTTTTAGCTGTTTGAAAGGTGATAGGTGCTTGAATGCTGGTTGGCATGTGTTCTGACAGCTCAGTATTACTATTTCCTGCCATGGCCATGATGACAAGCATCTCTGCCTATTACCATCTCCAATGCCCGACCATCCAGGCTATCTTGGTGAAGTGACTGGTCCAACGTGTCTGGGCCAATCAGTTGGCGGGAATGGCCCGTATACTTGGTAGACGGAAGGACTAGCCTGCTAGCACGGAGGTTTGATTTGGAAAAGGGGGAAATGAAATTGTACACATGAGAACAACGAAGAAGGTTGAATGTAAAGATCATAGAATTGAGCTTAGTATGAGCGAGAGTTAGATGGCTACATACTTGGTAGCTCCTCGTACATACTAGACATACAGTTGACCTTGTAGGTAGTAATTAAGTTAGTTAACTAACTTTAGGTCGTTGTTAAGTGAACTATTAGTAAGGTAACTTCCGGCAGTGATGATTCATCAAGTCAGTCAGGTGGTTTACAACGCACCAAAGCAGATTGAACATTGACAACATACTTTATCTATTCGTAGTTCTCTACTAAGCAAATATCACTACAGACTCGGAAAATCTCCCTCAACTCAAATGCGACCACAATCTCACATCGATCCCCCAAAGCTCAGGCCAGCTTCCCCAGAGATCGGGCCTAATGCTCTGACCCGACCGATCAATCAATAGATCGATCGATCCAGTCGGCAGACTAATGGACAAGTTTTGCTCCCGCGATATGACATGTTCCATTATCCTATCATCTACACGGAAAGATAGAAGTCCATGATAGCTGTCAAGTAATAACAATGATGTTCAAATTTACCCTCATGACAAATGTCAAAAGGTGCAGGAAATAGCGGTTCCACTCTACTGCATCCAGCACCCTGAGCCCGCTTCTCGACTGGGCGGCTACATACCAAGGACTTACTTGCTATAGAGATCGCTTCGATATTCGAGAGACAAGATTTCTGTTTGAATGTTGTTGATGTAGTCAAAAATAGGTATATTCAGAAATAGAATCATGAACAACCTTGGGAAATGACAATGGTATGCTCATGCGTAGACAAATCGCTAGAAGTATATATTTTGCGCTTTGTCGCTATGGGGTGAATGCCCGAAAACAATCATATTGTGAATGGAATCCTTCTGAAACGATGACTTGAGATATGCCTTTGAACTTTCTGAAACTCTAATATTTCTCACTCTCTTATTTTCTTTCGTCTCATAACCATGGACACTCGATCTCCTCTTTATAGCCTCGCTTTGTGTGTGACTTGAATTGTGGAGTGTGACGGGAGGTGCCGAATGTATAAATAGATCGCCTGAGGCAGGAGCTGACATAATCACGTTCCCTTTTGTTCCCCCTTCGAAAGGGACTTGATTCTATCTTTAGAATCAACCTTTTCTGCATCGTCAATCAGCCCCTCCGCTCAACTATTTACTCCACGGTATCGTGCCGCTGGTTCCTGGCCCCTCAAACCTATCCTCAAGACCCTGTCGATACTTTCCCCCCCCCCTCCATCATCTCTCCCGGGTCACTCCTTTCCGGCCATCCCTCTTCGTGCGCCCTTCTCACTCTCGTCGAGGACCTATTTCCATTCCGCGACCCTGAGCGGCGCGACCATATACTCGACGAGTTCTGCCATCCATTTCCGCGCGGTATACCTTTGCGCGTGTGAATATCCTCGAGAATTTTAGGGGCTGAGGACTCGAGGACTTGACCCGCTGGTACCCGTGAGACACGCGGTTCCGAGTCGAGATTACTCGCTCGTAAATCTGACACCTCCCGGCGCGCGCATCTTGCGCCCACTACCTGCCCACCATGGGTCGTAGAAAGATCGAGATTAAAGCGATCAAGGATGATCGCAACCGTTCAGTGTAAGTTCCCTCTATAATTCGAGAGGTTTTCTGATTATGATGCTGACTTTTCTATCGCAGGACATTCCTCAAGCGAAAAGGTGGACTGTTCAAGAAGGCTCATGAGTTGGCCGTCCTTTGTTCAGTCGATGTCGCCGTTATCATCTTTGGCCATAACAAGAAACTCTATGAGTACTCCTCGTGTGACATGCACGAGGCTCTCGGTCGCTATCAATATGTAAGTCATTTCTGATCGCACGTGGTAAAGGGAATTTGCTGGACTAACAATCTTCTTTCTTTCTAGTTTGGCCCACCCCATGAGCACAAAGGACCCGATGATTTTGCCGGTAAGCGCGACGACGACGACGATGAAGATGAGACGACCCCGGCACCCGAAGAAATTCAAGCCCAGCAGCCTCACCCCATCGTTCCACCCCATCTCCAACAGCCCGGTTTCCAGCATATCAATCACGCCCCGTCCGCCTCTCCTCCAGTCGTGCATAATGGCCTTCCGATAACGCGACATGGTACACCACAGTCGCAAGTGTCTCGTCCCTCGTCTAGAAACCACGTTCGTCGCGTCAGCTCAAACCTTGGACCACACGGTCATGCCACGCCCCCGCCTCCTCCACCCCAAAATGGATACTACATGGCAAACCCCTCGATGTATAACCCGAATGTTCACTCTGCAATGAATCAGCCTCGCCCCGGGCAATACGCGCAATATGGTCATCCTCCTCACGGTCCACAAGGCACACCGCCCCAAATGCACCACCAGCACGCACAAGCTCAAGTCCATCATCCCCAAGCTCCCCAGCACTTCCAACACGCACAAATAGTTGCGCAACAACAAATGGGGATGCCACCAGTCTCACATGGACCAGTACAACAGGTGCCGCAGCAGCCGTATATATCGGAGCCGGGTAGGGGGTCCATGCCACCGGCCTTCGCATCAGAACCTCAATCAGAACGAACAGTACCGGTTCCCGAGAGCTCCCAGGATAACGCAGCGGGTGCGATGAAAACAGAACATAGCCAGTCACCCCCGCAGCCCAAATCCCTGTCCAAGTCTCAGTCCCGTAGCATCTTTACTCCCATTGATGACCGTGGGTCTGTGCTTGCGCGCCAGTTTGGATTCTATGATTCTCCACCGGGGCAAGGGAACCAGTTATTGAAGCCAGAGCCTCCCCAGGAGAACTTGCGTAATTCAAAGACTTCTGCTGCTGGCACGGCCTCGGAACCCCCGCGCCCACAGTTGATACCTTCTGCAGCCGAGATCAAGCCGCCTTCACGCACGAATAGCGCCGCGCTTACTTCAAAGCGGCCGCAGCTGAAAGTCCAGATTCCCAGCGAGAGCTCTGATCGGGGTAGCGCAACGGGCGAATCGTCCTCCCGAGACTCTGCTGGTAATAAAACGGTGACTCCAGCCAAGGACAATCCTCCAGCAGGAGTGGTGCTACCGCCGCCATCGCCATCCGCGGGAGCTATTCTTAGTGCTGGCGCGCAAGGACCACCAAATCCGTTTGCTCGGCCACCCCCACCAGGGGCCACGGGGCAAACGAACTACGGCAACAACAGCACCAATGCCGGGAACAGCGGTAGTAACTCGAACAACATCGAAACTCCAATCTCCGCTCTTCCGAGTCGATTTGTCTCGGATAACCTCCTCCCATCACCTTCCAGCTTCTTCCCTGAATGGGGCTTCGGTCGTTCAGGACCAGACTCGAACCTCTTGCCGAGTCCACTCACTTTCCCGACGCCGGCGGTTCCTAGTGGGCCGAGCTTCTCGCGGGAAGATGAGCAGGATAAGAAACGCAAGACCCCCGAGGGCGGGCTCCCTTCTGAAGGAGCGAGCAAGAAACCGAAGACCTAGCGAAGGGATGGAGTTATGATGTTGATGTCGAAGCTGTGCCCGAGTCGCCGAACTTCTCTATACCACACGACGAGGACATCCTGGTTGATGTCCTCTCCCTCCCTTCCCTCAACCATCTACACACTCTCTGCCATCTGAAATCACTCCGTCTCCCATACTTGGTTGAGTCCAGGATCTTCTGCTCTATATACCCTATCTTGATACCTCGGAATCTTTTCTATCTTTTCTACTTTTTCCTTATCTTTTTCTTTCGTGTGGCGTGGTTGTTCATGCGTCACTTGATCGTTGATCGTTGATATGGCCTCCTTCTCAATTTCCTTTCTCTGTCATTATGTACTGATTTTTTTCTCTTCGTCTTATCTCTTGAAATGTTTTGAACTTGGCGTTGACGCGTTGGGTGCCCGGACGATGTACATAAGGCCTTTTGACTCGAAACAGCAATGACAAGTATATTGATGTTTAAACTGGTTCTTTCCTATAGCAAATCTTTCCACGTTATTCCTCAACTTTGATTATCACCTGCACTCCTCGGCAACCCCTCGGAGCGCGGCCTTTGTTACACATCACAAACTCAATCCAGCCCTGCAATCCCCGACTTTCCATTTCCCAGAGCAGGAGCCAAGTAAACTTTCAAGCCAGGAAACCTACTCCGTAAGCCACTCCCACGGTAGCTACACAAGGCGGTCTCAATTCTCGGCGATTGAAAGTGGGGGGCGGGGTTGGTGAAGAACAGCATCGAAGGCCGAATAGAAAGACTTAAAAAGACAGCTTGACTGCACACGAGAGTTAATCTGTTGCCACTCAAACCTTTCGCATCTTCTACCTTCTCAATTGGAATTTCCTTTTCTTCTCCCTTTGATTCCACCAAGGTCCTCAAACTAGTTACGGAATTGCAGTCTATATTCGCAACTATGACTATCACTGGAAGCTGCATGTGTGGTGGTGTGACGTATGCCGTTGAAGGTTTGTACTTGGAGCTTCGTTTTGCTTTTTGGAATTTTATGTTCTTGATGCTGATGCTGGTGGGTTTGGATAGCTGAGAACTATCTCGCTGCGCTGTGCCATTGCATTGACTGCCAGAAGGTAAACCATCGCTTCAACATTTCTATTACAACATCATAGAATTTTATACTAATTGATTATCCTTACAGTGGACCGGTGGTGCTTTCACCTCCAACGCTGTCGTCCCCCGCTCTAGCTTCAAAGTCACCAAGGGTAAGCATTATACCACTCCCGTCTCCATCTTCCTCCTCTCCCTCGTCCCCATTCGTTTCCCTTATACACTCTTTACAACCAATTGACCCCTCTAACCCAATCCCCTCTTAAAATAGGAACACCCACCACCTACGATGCCGTCGGCGCCTCCGGCAAGATCAACAAGCACTTCTTCTGCCCAACCTGCGGCTCCAGCTTATACACCGAGCTGGAGGTGATGCCGGACAACACCTGCATCAAGGCCGGTACTCTGGACGGTGGCGAGGCCAACCTGCGGGGCAAGGTCGATATTGAGTTTTACGTCAAGGATCGCCCGAGTTATCTTGCTGCTGTCGAGGGTGCTAAGCAGGAGCAGGCCTTTGGTGCTTAGAGTGTGAATGTAGTAGTTAGTTAATAGTTGTATAGAATCGGACAGAGTTTGTTTTGTTGAGAGCTGTTTACTGTAGGATGGAGGGGGAGTTCGGGGTTTGGTGGGAGGTGGATTCTTCAGGATGGGTGATTGGGGGATCAAATGCCGAAATGTAGCTTGGGGGTTAGTCTATGCTTGAGTATATGGGTGGAGTAGTTTGTGAAGTAGATATGATCATACAGTTCAATGAAAGAACCGATGGGAAATAGAAATGTCCATCATGCCTGTGTCAATCTCAAAAGTGCATTAATCTATAGCTCTTCCCAGATCCTGGTTATCGACATGTCATCGATAAAGCTCCGCTCCGCTTCAAACTCAGTCGTGGCTCCACTCCCGACCCTCAAACTCTCGCTGGGACGCCCGAAGATAGCCGAGACTTCAAAGCCTGCATTATACGGCCTCCAACAGGGAAAACCGTGAGTCAAGACCTTGATAACGGGAGCCCAACTCTGACTCATTACCGGCAAAGATAAACAACGACACTGGGATCTATAAGACCCCGCACCCATCAGCCTTACCAAAGCGGCGTAAAACTCTTCCTATCGCATTATCTTGGCAGTTCAAAGTCCAAAATGGCACAGCAAACGGGCTCTACTCTCTCCATCCGTGCCCAAGATGCCTCCTCCTCCGCAGCCCAGAACCTCATGTGGGACATCCTAGTCGACATTTGGTGCCCATCATCCAACCCCAATGGCTACATCAATGTCGGCGTCGCTGAAAACGCCCTCATGCACACCGAACTCTTGCAATACCTAAACAAGAATCCTCAATTACCCGCCGAATACCTCACCTACAATGACGGCGGTGGTGGCTCGAACAGACTCCGACGCAGCATCGCCCAATTTCTGACCCGCCACTTGAAGCCCGTTATACCGCTTGATGCGGAGCAGTTGGTCGTCACGAACGGCGTCTCACCCGCCATTGAGCATGTATCATGGGCCTTTGCGGATCCCGGCGAGGGCATTTTGCTCGGAAGACCGTTCTACGGCACATTTATCCCGGATCTCTCGACGCGGCCCGGTGCGACGGTTGTCCCGGTGAATTTTGGCGACGTGGATCCATTCAGTGTCGAGGCTGTATCGAAGTATGAAGACGCCCTTCTTGCTTTTCAAACTTCGAGCGGGAAGAGAGTCAAAGCTTTGATGCTGTGTCACCCGCATAACCCGCTGGGCCGATGCTACCCCCGCGAGGTGATCATCAAATTAATGCAGCTATGCCAGAAGTATCAGATCCACCTAATCAGCGACGAGATCTACGCTTTATCCGTCTTCGAGAACACAGTGGACGAGCACCCACCGCCCGCCACCTTCGAGTCCACGCTATCAATTGACTTGAATGGGATCATCGATCCCAAACTCGTGCATGTACTTTGGGGCATGAGCAAAGATTTTGGCGCAAACGGTCTCCGTCTCGGCGTGATTATTTCCCAGTCCAGTCCGGAATTCCATGGCGCACTCCGCGCGATCTCGCTCTACTCTTATTCCTCAGGAATAGCAGACCACCTGGTCGCGGGTCTATTGGAAGATCATACCTTTACCGATGGATATATCCTAGAGAACCAGAAGAGACTTTCAGAGTCCTACGCATTTGCAGTGGAGTTTTTGAAGAAACACAATATCCAGCACGCGACTGGGTGCAATGCTGCATTCTTCCTTTGGGTGGACCTGGGGAAGAGATATAGGGAGGTGCATAGAGAGATTTCTGCCGAGGAGGAGGTTGGTGAGAAAATTATGCAGCAGTTGTTGGAAGAGAAGGTGTTTTTGGCCACTGGGGCGCTGTTTGGGTCGGAGAAAGATGGGTGGTTTAGGATTGTGTTTACGCAGCCGAGGGATTATTTGGAGCTTGCACTGAAGAGGATTGTTAAGGCCGTGGAAGAGTGATTCTTCTGAATTAGCTTCGAAGAGAGCATCACACAAAGTATGGAAAGGACCCCTCTTTACTGTCAAATGGGACATATTTCTTAAACTTCTATGTAACAAAATACCACCGACCATCTCCTAGTCGAGGTCGGCTCTTTGGCCAATTGCCCGGTGCAATGCCTCGAGGGCATCTAGATCCTGTTGTTCACACTCTGGCCATTCAATCCCTAGACCAAGATGAAACGGATAAAACATAAATTCACTAACGAAAGGTAAGTAGCGGTCTCGAGCCAATTCAGTCACGGACTCAAATTCTCTTTCAACTGGCATCTTCTTTTTCTTCCAAGATGGACTGTTTCCGAACCCGAAACAAGAAAGCCGAGGAAGGCCGTTTTGGAAAGAAGCAAAATAATCATGCCATCGACGCTGGTAGTGGTGAACCAAACACCCAGGGTGTTCTGGAGTAATTTCCATATCAGACTCCGTCAGTGGGGTCCTTTCCAGAACGTCTCCATGACCAGGAATTCTGACATAGAAAACCAGAAAACAGCTGTCTAGGTAAAGCTCCTTGAGAGTGGACGAATGTCCTAGTATCCAATCCAACTGCTTGTCCTCGTAAAAGGTAAAGTTTCCTAGCGTCAACGACTGAAGATTAGGAAAGTGGATATCTTCCATGTTGACTCTGGGGAAGAAGCCCCATTGATGTGATGAATAGAGCGAAAGCTTTCGGAGTGAGAACATGCAGGGTTTCAACCAAGTCCACCGTAAAATGCGGTTGTAGAAATCATGCATAGGTTGGCTCTATATCATCATATTAGAAAGGAATTGTCAAGAATGGTCTCAATTCATTACCTCGATTTCCGATTCAGGAGCTGCAAAGTTGCGTTCATGTACCACGTTGAGTTTCAAAGATTCCAGCGTCCCCAGAACCTCATCCATCCAATTCGAGAAGTTGCGTGATATGGGTCTCACATGCGATGGTTTTGAATGATGAGCTCTTTTAGTGGCCGAGGCAAGTCCGTCAAACCTGCAAATAGCCATCGCAGGAGAGTTGCCCGATAATTTTCAGTCTGAGGAGCATATATGTAGGGACAATCCACGTCTGTGGCACATTTCTTGTCGAAGCGCAAAGCTACGCTTTGAAGATTTGGTAGAATTGACAGGTTTTCCAAGATCTCCTCCCATCCCTGCGGAGGATCGACTTCGTCTTCTTCGTCTGTGTCCTAGCCAGTTGTGTTAGCTAAAAAAATGTGCATGTAATAGTTTCAATGCATAGAGTTAGTAGCGAAAGACTCACGTAGTCATCTTCTACGGTATTCAAATTCAGTTTGACAACCTCCTCTCGAAGATGAGGTTGGGCTAGAATGGACTGCAGATAGCGGCAACTCTTAGGAGTGTCGTACAATGAGACGGATCGAAATACGATTTGATTCGTGAAGCCGCTCAGTTTCTTGCATGCCAGTCGTAGATTCTTGATAGTTTCCTTGTCCACCATCGAAATGATGCGTTCAAGAACACCGGCTGGGAGATTGGCTAACTCGGACATTGTGGTGACTTGAGACATCTTCTCAGACACTCTCGTAGGAAAAAGTGCAAAAACCATAATTGGAGGACGGCTACTGTGTGGACTTTAAAGGGGTTGAGCCTATGAGTTGCGGCGCCAAGTCCTAAGGGCTGGTTTATTCCGGGTAGCTCCGTTTTTGATTAGGTTGAGGCTCTGTAGTCCGAGCCCCGAGGGTCCAAGGGTCTTTGCCGAGCTTGGCCATCGGATGCTTTCATTATGGGTCTCCACTGGAAGTCCACTCATGTTGTCTCCTTCTTAATGGCTCTTATGGGTACGTCTTAAGAGCTGGATTTCTTATCGTCTAGTAACAGGATCCATTTATACGAGTAAGACTTGGTGCCAAAACTAATTCTTCAATGATCTTTTGCCAGCAATCCAATCGAATATTTGGAGATGGGTGATAAAATCTGATTAAATTGGTATCGGCTGGTCGGGGAGATCCCCAGCAGGCCTCTTGAGCCCGGGCTGAGACCCTGGCTGTTCAGTAGTTTGACTTCTCGCTCCTACCGCTAAATGGGGTATTTACCATTAGCTTCGCCTAGACAACGTGGTCATTTTACTTACACAGTTGACGTGGTAGGCGGACTTTCTCGTTCTTGTAGATAAGCAAAGCGCTCGCTAAAATAAAGGCGCTACATAGGAAGCAATCCATGACCAGGATAGCTCTGCTTTCAAAAGACCATTCCTCTTGGGAAGCGTGGGAATATGCTTCATTCAAAAGAAACATCTGACATCCACTGACTAACGTTGCAAATATGATAACCACGGGTGGAGATGTTGAGTCGTAGAGCCATTTGACTAAAATGCCCAAAACCAGAACGGCGATTCCTTGAAGGTTGGGTCTGTGTAATAAGGGGATCCGGAGAGTCATGTTGTCGTTGATGCTTCGATTTAGGAATATTTCAAAAAGAGGAGTTCCTGAGTATTCAGTATGCAGCTGGAAAAAGAGTAGAAATGCAAATTGTCCGAGATGTGAAATTGAGGAGAAATCCAAGATTGGGGCAAGGTTGAACCCCCAAAGGTCTTGGCATTTCTGACATTACCAAGACATCCCTGGCAAGTTTCTGATGAAGTTGTTGGAGAAACTCGATCGCACACGCATTCCCACAGTTGAAGGTCCTTCAAAACCGACTGTCACTGAGACTATTCAAGATGGTTCCCTTATCCAAAAGACATGCACTTTGTCAATCGCCTCTTCCGACCTGGCGATCTCATCCTCACAGAAACCGGTACTTCATCACACGGTGGAAGACTTTTCAAACTTCCCCCGGGGTCACGTCTTTTCGGTGCCGTGACTTGGCTGTCAATAGGCTACATGCTACCTGCAACTCTTGGGGCTGCACTTGCTAGAAGAGAGCTGAGTCAAAAACCCGAAAGCTCTCGTGCCATTCTGTTTATTGGAGACGGCAGTCCCCAAATGAGTGTGCAGGAAATTAGCACCATCATCAAACAGAAATTGAACGTCATCATCTTCATCGTCAATAATGATGGTTATACAATTGAACGTGCTATCCATGGACGAAAGCAGGCTTACAATGACCTTGCAACCTGGAGACATGAGCTTGCACTTGGATTCTTTGGGGCGGATGAGAAACAGTCTCATTCTAGTGCGAGGACTTATAGTGAGCTTGAGGAGGTGCTTAACGATGATAGAATCAAGAATGGGCGAGGGGTGAGAACTATCGAGGTATTCATGGGTAGGGAGGATGTGCAAGGGGCTCTCTTGAATCTTATGCAGAGCCAAGTTTCCAAAGAATAAGCCCTTTGGATACTATTGGACAACTCTCCTCTCTGGAACTTCTGCTGTCTACATGTGTCACATTGGCCCTGTACTGAACAATAATTGTCTTCTGACTTAAAGGAATTTTGTTTCGTACACGAAGGTAGCTCTTCCTGTTCCTTTCACTCTCCTTAACTAGACAATGCGTCTTCCAGCACACCACGAATTGTAGAGTTCCATCTAGGTATAGGTATGGTGACTTGTTATCTCGACGGGAGAATTCAAGCCGTCGTGCCCAGAGATTCCCGGGCTGTTCTCGGCATGCCGGTCTCTCCTGAATGATCAGTTATGCTTGCTCCAGTCAAGAACATAGGACTGGCGTGAAATACCTTGAAAGTTGGGTATCCTTCTCCCTGTTTCTCGAGCGATGAGATTGAAATGTATTTCGCGGACCGTTCGCATGTAGTGTAGCTGTTCTGATGATGGAGATCTAAATGTATCTTTGTCTGGGTTGAGAACACCGAATATACCAGCAGCTGTAGCCACAGATCCGAGGGCGGATATGAGCACAATCACGATAACCGCACTTGAACTTAGACCCATTATAACAGGTTGAGATGAGAGACCAAGAGGAATATTTTCATAAAAGACAGAATTAGCTGACTGTCTTATTTAAGGTCTGCATATCACGACTTTCTTATTCGGGTTGCATAGTGGGGCGCGCTCGCTTTGCTCGGATTCGAACCGAAGTGTATTATCTTGATCTATGCGGCAAAAGAACGCCTCGATTGGTCTAATTCAAGAATAGAATTTTGGGGGATCCATTGAGTACCAGTCAATCCAATCAAAGTCCGATGAAGAGACTATTTTTCAACTGCCACTGTTTTTTCAACCGTTGTGGTTGTTTGGAGCCTCATTCTCGTCGGTCAGTGATGGAAAATACTCGAGAAGGATAATCTGGTCTCCTACTTCTCTTATCATGTTCGGTGCCACTAACTCGGCCTTTCCCAACTTTTTAAATCTTCAGTCACCGGCTCGCGATAAAAAATCTTAACACGAGCAAATTCGTTCTTTGTAATTACTCTAGTCCTGCTACCTCCACTAGGACTAGTTAAGTTAAGTTAGCTACGGTGGCCAGAGCATATGACTAAGCAATCTGTTGCCTGCCTGAGGCATTCGGCCAGTGAAGTCAAAGGTTATTCCATCTCCAAGCCGATAATCCATTCTACGCATTATCCTCAAACGAGGATCCAAACCTGTCAAAATGGCAGGACTTTTCCGCTTACTCAAAATGCAATATACACCCCCAACAGACCCTCTCACCTCTTTCGCCGGCAAGACGGTGTTGTTGACGGGCGCGACCTCGGGTCTGGGGTATGAAGCTGCCATCAAGCTGCTCAATCTCGGCGTGGACTCCCTGATCATCGGCAGCCGTAGCTTAGAACGCGGCAACAGAGTAAAGCTCGAGCTTGAGAAGTGCACCAATCGCCCCGGCACCATTCAAATCTGGGAGCTCGAGATGAACAGCTTCCAAAGCGTGAAAAGCTTTGCCAATCGCGCAAACAGCGAGCTCAAGCGTTTGGATGTTGCGTTGCTGAATGCCGGGCTATGGAATCGCGAATACCTCCAATCACCCGAGAAGTGGGAAGAGACTCTACATGTGAACACGTTATCAACGTCGTTACTGGCGCTCCTGCTTCTCCCAAAGTTGAGAGCGAGCTCCTTCGAGACTGAGCCAACACATCTTGGTGTGGTGTCTAGTCAACAATTTGTGCGCGTGAAAGCCGAGAGTCTTCGGGCGGATGGACCACTACTGGAGCATCTGAATTCTCCAGAGCAGTTTCAAGGGCCGAAACAATATGGAATTTCGAAATTGCTTCTGGAGTATGTAATGAAGAATGTTGCCAATCTTATTCGCAATGATGACGGGACATTGCCCGTCATAGTCAATACCATTAGCCCTGGGCTTTGCCGGTCGTCTCTCGGGCGACAATATGACCGGTTCTACGAGCGATGGCTTGTCTGGATCATGTACAAGCTTTTTGCACGGACGACCGAACAGGGCAGTCGCTTGCTGGTGACTGGAGTGCTCCAAGGTGCAGAGGCGCAGGGCAAATGTTGGCGAAACGATGGGTATCTGGAGTAAGTGACCCGCCCAAAGGAGGTAAATGATGAAATCTCTAACAATCCCTAGTGAATCCAAGGCTCTCACAACTGGAACTAAAGGGAAAGAATTCCAAGAAAAGGCGTGGGAGGAGATTTTATCTATTCTGGAGCAACAGGCAGCAGAAGTACGGACGATTATCCAGCAATCTTAGCTGGAAGAAAAGAAATTGGTCGGCCTAATGGACGTGGGGCTCGTATACTCGTATCCCAAATATATCACCCAAGTGGATCCTAGCGCAGGTTAATATAGAGACCCGTGGGTTTCTAGTGACCTTACAGGGGTGTAGTTCCTCGGCCAAGTTAGATTCGCTGTGGCCTTGCGGCTACTTGCGAACCGGTTGGCGAGCCGCGCGGCGATAGGGCTGAATGGGCACTGGGGGCGGAGGGGTTCTTTATTGGTAAAATTGTCGAGCAAGACCACAGGCGCATTTAATTTTGACGTATACAATTGGGTCGACAAGTGGGGGAAAAGGGAAAAAGGACGCAAGCTCCAGTTTTCCCTTGGCGGATAGTTCGCTGGGCGCTGGGCAAAAACACTAAAAATCGTCTCGAGCCCGCCCCACGGCTCCGCTCAACGTGAGCAACCTTGTCTTGCTTCTTCTTCCCCCTCGAATTTCTTTCATTTTCCCCTTGACCCAAACCCTTTGATCTTTCCAGTTGACCACCTATTGGATCGTGGTTGATTGTTTTGTCTGATATCGTGCCCAAGGTGATCTCATCCCTGGTTGTGCCTCGCGCTCCACCCGTTATTGCGTCAGTGCTAGGTGACCATGGCCTACAACAAGAGCTATAATCCCGATGCGCTGCCAGCGTAAGTCTCCAGCTCAGACCTCTTTCAAGGAAAAATGTTCCAATCGCTAATCTTCGGTATGGCATAGGCACGCTGAACCAGAGCAGGTAACTCTCCACGCCGCGCCAAGATGTTGTTGCGTATCCCCGCCAAACTAAACCCTCGTTCGCCAGGTCGCGCAGATGATAGGGAACATGCAGGTCTCTGGAGGCCACAATCAGAGTCAAAAGCCCCTTCCCTCTCGTCCACCACCACAGTCAGCCTCTAGCGGTGGAATGCCCCCTCGAGTCCCCGTCTCCAATGCTCCCCCGTCGCATGCATACAACAATGCCCCTCCTACGAACTCGTACAACGGCCGACCCTCTCCCGCAAACGCGCCTCCTCCAAACCAATCCCAATACCGGCCTCACCCATTACATCCCTCACCACCTCCCCCGAACTACGGCTTCGGTCCCCCTCCATCTCAGCCCCAGCGTAATCGACCCCCACCTGCTTCGCGCCCGCCTCCATCCCCCCACCCGCCGCCTCTGTCCGCGCCTAGCAATGACCCGCAACAGCTCTTCCCTCTCTTCCGCGCCGCAAACTCCTCGCATAGCGGTTCGCTGACGGAGCACGAGCTCGGTTCCGCCCTCGTGAATGGTGACTATACCTCCTTCCACCCACGTACGGTGAAGATGATGATCCGAATGTTCGACCGGGACGGAAATGGAACCATCAACTTTGACGAATTCGTCTCCTTGTGGAAGTACCTCGCCGCATGGCGAGAGTTGTTTGACCGATTCGACGAGGACCGGAGTGGACGCATTAGCTTGCAGGAGTTTGAAAACGCGCTGGTCGCGTTCGGGTACCGTCTCACGACCAAGTTTGTCTCGGTGCTCTTTACTGCGTTTGAGAGTAAGACGAGACAGGTTAGTGGGCCGCCGCAGAGGAGTCCGGGTCAGAATGGGATGAGCTTCGATCTGTTTGTGCAGGCTTGTATTAGCCTGAAGCGGATGACGGATGTGTTTAAGCGGTATGATGAGGATCGGGATGGGTATATCACTGTGAGCTTTGAGGAGTTTTTGACTGGTAAGTTGTGGTTATTTTCGAGTTGAAGTGGACGGTTCGAATCAGGCTGGTCATTGAAGTAGTTGCTAACCGACGCTTTTTTACAGAAATTATCCTGTTGCAGGATTAATATGCTTTTGCTACGGGATGCTCTCATATTTGCATATGGTTTCCTACTTCCTTCTGTCTTGCATTTCCCGCTGCGCTCTTTCTTTGTGGTGATTCGCTTTGGATCTTGTTTCTAGTTCCGGTTCTTGAGTTGTTGACCTTCCCCCATATTATACCCATACCCTCTTCTCTTCCCCATCTGCTTCGTGATAGAGCTCCAGCCGATGGCCATTGCATGCTGATTTGGCCTTGTCTAGTCTATTTATTTTGCAAGGAAACTATCCCTTCAATTTAGAAGCTTGCTCTTTAATTTCCCGGCTTGTTGTAGATTATTCCTAGGAGACGTTGGGACACTTCTGATCCAGGTGCTATCCGGCCTTCCATTAGAGCAAGATTCATCTTACTATCCCCCTGAATGTCTAAGATTTGCGCGATAGAACACCGCATTGATGTTTCTAACTTCTTCGTTGCGGAGCTTCTATGTTATCATTTGGGTTCTCCTGGACATTTTCAACATGACTATTGGACCCCATGGAAGTTTCATCTTGGGATGAGTGATTCATGATAATCTTGTATCTGATGCCGGATAACCAGATAGACCTTAGACCACGTTTACATTCATGTATGGCCACGTTGGCTTCGTACATCGTGTTATGCAGGTGGCGCCGAAGTAAGCAACTGGTTCTGGCCTTCTGACCTATCACCTTAAATTGTCCGCTCGGACATCCATCGAGTTAATAGCGAGTTCAGTAGTTTCATTTGATTACTCTTTGTAATATACATTGAATTTCTAATCATGTCATGGTTACTATGTTTATAATACTATGTTTAAAATCTTGGGGTTACAGCTTTTGTATACATCGCAGTCCGAGTCTTGGCGCCCCTTGCTTTTTTCCCATCGGACCTTTTAGCACATGGCAAATGCACGATTCATCACAACAACTTGACTCATGCAAACAATATCCCGCAACCAGAAACGATCCTATTTTACACCGCTAGAAAACAAATCCCCGATGACTCCCATTTGGACACATCAGCATTCTCGCTATTACTGCATGTACCATTGACGTACTCCCTTATCGTCTCGGCATTTCGGCCTCCAGAACTTCCGCAGCCCGATTCCTTTTGGGAGCCCCAGAATTAACTCCGAGCTTCCTACCCCGACTGACTCTTCAAACACGAGCGCCAAGATTACATTTAAACCAGAGCATGCCTCCCTGCCCAATTCTCTTCCAGCACTGCTTGTTCCCATACGACTCTCCAGCCTTTTCGAGGGCTCTGTGGTGATCGGATCCCTCGCAAAACCTGCACGCCGATCGATCGATTCTAATCGCCGACGCGCTACCGGTTTCTGGCTGCAACTACCTTGCCCCCGCCTAAGACTTTTACCTACCGATTTTCCCTTCTTCTGTCGCTTCGTCACAGTGAAAATTCGTTTCAGTTTCGCCTAAGCTTTCTCTACCACGATGACGAGCGTGCATCAGAACCACGACTCGGCCAGCGGCGACACGGTCGTTTCGCAAACCTCTGCGGAAAAAATTCCCGTCGAGACACCCTCTCCCGTTGCGCAAGAAAAGGAGCTAGAGCACAACCAGGAACTGGATACCTCTGCGCCAGCTGAGGATCTGGAGAAGGATGACGAGGATAATGCGATCAAGAAGCAACCATCCGGTGCGCCACTAGACCGCACGGCCTCTCAAGCAGCCAGGATGGGCAAGAAGAAGATCATCGTCGTTATGACTGCGCTTTGCATGGCGCTGTTCCTGGCTGCGCTGGATATGACTATCATCTCGACGGCGTTGCCGACGATTGCAGCCGATTTTGGTGCTTCGGAGAGTGGTTACTCGTGGATTGCGTCGTCGTACCTTCTTGCGAATGCGGCTTGTATTCCGCTCTGGGGAAAGATCAGTGATATCTGGGGTCGCAAGCCGATTATCCTTTTCGCCAACGTGTGGTTCCTGGTTGGCAGTTTGATCTGTGCCTTGGCTAAGAACATGGCCATGATTCTGGCCGGTCGTGCCATTCAGGGTGTTGGCGGTGGTGGTATTATCATCTTGGCTAATATTAGTGTCACGGATCTGTTCAGTATGAGGTATGTCGAACTCTTGGCCGTCTCATGGTCGCAGAAATACTAACTTTCCCCTTCAGAGATCGCCCCATGTACTATGGCCTCTTCGGTGCTACTTGGGCTATTGCTGGTGCCCTTGGACCTATCATCGGTGGTGCCTTTACCACTAGCGTTACCTGGAGATGGTGCTTCTACTTGAACTGTATGTCCACCTTGCCAACCCGCTGGAAATCTAAAGCTAACAAGCCCTATAGTGCCCATCGGTGGATTCTCGTTGCTCATTCTGTTCTTCTTCCTGTCCATCGAATCTCCCAAGACGCCATTCCTCGCTGGTCTGCGTAGCATCGACTGGGCAGGAACCTTCCTCATCATCGGTGGCACTCTGATGTTCCTATTCGGCCTCGAGTTTGGTGGCATCAACTATCCATGGAAGTCAGCCACTGTTATCTGCCTCATTATTTTCGGCATCTTCGTGTGGATTCTGGCTATGCTCGCTGAATGGAAGCTTGCCAAGTATCCCATCATCCCCCCACGCCTGTTCAACGAGTGGTACAACATTCTGATTCTCATGGTCTGCTACTGCCATGGATTCGTCTTCATTTCAGGCGCCTACTACCTCCCCCTCTACTTCCAGACCGTTCTGCTGGCCTCCCCCATTCTCAGTGGTGTCTACACCCTGCCCATGGTCCTCTCGCTCTCCATCGTCTCCGCTGGAACGGGTATCATCATGAAGAAAACCGGTCGCTACCGCGAGATGATCGTCGCCGGTCTCTTCTTCATGACCCTCGGCTTCGGCCTGCTGATCGACCTCAAGCCCTACGCCTCCTGGCCGCGTATCATCCTCTTCCAGCTGATCGGCGGTATTGGTGTCGGCCCCAACTTCCAAGCGCCACTCGTCGCCTTCCAGGCCAACATCCGACCTGCAGACATGGCCACTGCCACCGCAACCTTCGGTTTCGTCCGCCAGCTGTCAACCTCCATGTCCGTCGTCCTGGGAACAGTCATCTACCAGAACGTGATCGGCCAACAAGCCGACAAGCTCATCGCAGCCATCGGCCCCGAGCTTACCGCTGAAATCTCCTCCTCCTTCGCCGGTTCCTCCAAGGACCTCATCAAGAGTCTGACCGAGTCCCAGCGCGAGGTCGTTCTCGACGCCTTTACTTTCGCTCTGAGCCGCATGTGGATTTTCTACACTGCCATGGCAGGCCTCGGCTTCATCCTTTCCCTGTTCATTCGTCCTCGCGAATTGACCAAGACGCATACTATCCGCAAGACTGGTCTCGAGGAGCAAGAACGTGCCCGCCAGGAACTAATCGAGTCCCAGCGTAAGGCAGAGGGAAAGCCCGAGGTTGAGGCTTGAGTTGGCTTGGTTTGGTCTGGCCTAGCTTCGCCTGGCTGCCCTCTTTTGATACCCTTTATCCCTTTTTTTTATTTCTTAATCTTGGCTTCTTTGCCTGGGGCATACCACTCTTCTGGATCTGTGACTCCGCTCTTCGCTGTATAAATATTCAGTGGCTAATGTTTATGTACTTAATTCAATTTTAGCATCGTGGATGGCCTACTCGGTAGGTTTGCTGCGCATTGCATTTTTGTCGTGAGGGATCTGGCTTTGAACTTCGGTTATGAGGTTTGTCGAGCTTTCGCGACATAGAAAAAGTATGCCGTTTTTTGCATATAAGGAATAGAATGACCTTTTTTCGCTCTTGCTATGTTTGATATCGTGTTTGTAGACTTGAATATTTCATCTGACTAGCAGATTGTAGGTCACGGCTAGCTGGAAGTAGATTACTTTCTCCAATACCACACTTCAGCCTCCGGACAGTATGTGAAAGCGGCTGATCTACCAAGTGCTTTAGTCCCAAACCGGGATAGAGCATTCTTTGATCGCCAGTACACAGGTTCTTTTTCTAATTGATATGCGATGTCCAAAGATCGCTGGTCAACCCTGGAATTATGAACTGTCGATTTTGTCCATGTTTGTCAGTATCGGTCGGACATCTGGCCGAGTGGCTCCACCTAGATAGGTGGAAAGATGGGACCCATCTGCCCTTTTGATCAAGCATAGTTTACGCAGATCCTAATAGAATATAGAGTCTAGTGATTTAATTCTCGTCATATCCTTGACCCTCTCTATCCGGACTGATTGATCGAGAATCTAGCTTTCTTGTATAATTTACGATAACACTGCATGGCGATATCCCGGTCGAACTTCGGCCACGAAGAACCTCAAATATCGGCCCTACGCAAGTGACCCACATACAAATGTCGCCGATGGCCTCGCTGAGTCAAGCCCGACTCGATTTATCAGCAAACGACGAAATCAAGACCGATGGTGCGAATACAATAATTAAATTCTTATCATATCCACCGTCAAACATCGCATATATCTTCAAATCCAAGCCTCCCTCCCTACCCAAGAAGAAACCAATCATTGGGAACACCCACCGGTGAGAAAACAACCCATCGCGCAAAAAAGTTCAGTCTAATCCCGAGATTGTGAAAAAATGCAGTCCTATCTGCAATATCGTCGATTGGGAGATTCCGTCCGCGCACAGCTGGACCACGCATACGCCCAGCACAATGCCAATTCCACCGTGAAGAAAGACCCAGCGCCGGCCACTGAGTCGGAGTCGGATTCATCCAGCTCGGCAGAGAACGCAGATACAATCACCAACGATGATCTCGTCGCAGTAACGTCGAATCCTGAACCGCAGCCACTGGAGAAATACAAAACGCAGCGCTCGGAGAAAACAGCTCTGGCGCATTCCCTTGCTGGCGTCGATATTCAGAAACAACTTGCGTCGACGGACCAGCCGGCTGATTTGTTTATTGTTGGATGGGATGGACGAGATGATCCGCAGAATCCGATGAACTATAGTTTTTCGAGTCGGCTTGTTGCGACGTTGCTGGTGTCTGCGCTGGCGTGGGTTGTTGGTGCGGCATCGTCGATTAATTCGGGCGTTTTACCGCAGAATGCGGCGGCTTTTGGCGTGAGTGATGTTGTGGGATCTCTGGTGACCGGTATATAAACTTCTCAGCTTCGAGGTTATTGATTATTATCAAATGGGGACTAAGAATTCTATTACTCCAGGTCTATATTTGCTCGGTTTCGCAGCTGGATCACTTGTCAGCGGTCCACTCTCTGAGATTCTCGGACGCAATGTGGTTTATACAACCTCATTGACCCTGTTCATGATCTTCATCATGGGCTCTGCTCTCGCACCCAATATCGGCGCTCAGCTAGCCTTTCGCTTTTTAGCTGGTATATTCGGATGTCCACCTCTTACTTGTGCAGGCGGGACGATCGCCGATCTATGGAATCCTCTTGAGAAGACGATCTACTTCCCCATGTACGCGATCCTTTCATTCGGCGGACCAGTCCTTGGACCAGTGATTGCTTCGTATATGGGCCAAACGGGTGTTCTTTCATGGCGCTGGACTGCGTGGATTATTCTCATTATGTCGGGCGCCATCCTGGTCTTGATCATCCTCTTCCAGCCGGAGACGTATGCGCCACTCCTCTTGAAGTGGAAGGGAAAACAGCTTCGCAAAATAACGGGCGACCCTCGCTTCCGCTCGGAGATGGATATGGAGAAGATTGCGTTGTTCAGTCGTATCAGCGGTGCAATGAAGCGCCAGGTTCTGATTACCATTCACGAGCCGATCATCTTGTTGATCTCGCTGTATATGACTGTCTTGTATATCGTGCTATTCACTTTCTTCGATGGGTATACATACATCTTCACCGATGTGCATGGTCTATCGCAGGGTCTCACAAATATTGTTTGGGTTGCGATGTACGTCGGTATTTCGCTGGCTACGTTCCTCGTCTTCCCCATTTACAGGTGGACAAAGAAGGAGTTTACCCAGGCGGCACAAGAGGTCAATGGTACTGATCCAGCCGTCGACCGACATGCTCTTGATGGCGTGCACACACAACCTGAGATTAGGTTGTGGTTTGCCATGTTCGGGGCCCCTGCAATCCCGATCAGTCTCTTCTGGATGGGATGGACCGACTTTGTAAGTGTCTCAGCTCCCTCTCCAATATCAGCATTTCTAACCAGCGCTTTACGTAGGAGTCGATATCAGTTTGGTCACCTATACTTGCCTCCACGCTTTTCGGCTTCGGTACCATTTGTGTTTTCATCAGCTCGTACATGTATGTCATCGACTCGTATAGCGTCTATGCAGCCTCAGCACTGGGTTTCATGACGGTCTCCCGGTACTGCGCTGCGGGAGGTATGACCATTGTCGGGATCCCGTTTTATCAGAATATGGGTGTCCATTGGACACTTACTATCCTTGGATGTATCAGTGCTTTGCTGGTTCCTGTGCCATATGTGTTTTATGTTTATGGTCCCGTTATTCGACGGTGGAGTCGGTATGCTGTTGCGGAGGAGAGCAAAGCCTAGGATGGATAAGGCGATATATGTGCAATGTATGGAAGAATGTATTTACTGAAGGGACTCATTTCTGACCAAAGAAGCATACGAAACATATGGTGACTATGGGCTGGTTATGGACTAATCCCATGTCAATGTAATTCATTACTCGGCTTTTCAAATCTCAACTTTTCATGACAGAAGCGTTTTGCTCTACCACCACGCTTAACCATGATTGTGAATGATACGGAGTTCGTGCCCTGGGAACCGTCAGAGAATAACAAGCTGTGAACGGGTCGGCCACTCCTGAACTGAGGGCCGCCAACATGCTGATAATCAAGAATCCAATCCACGTTGTTTCCAACAACACAATGGCCGTATTGTCTTCCGTTTGGACCGGGTGGAGTGGTATAGAACAGCACCAAACTGGTCCAATTCGGGTATTCGTAGCCTCCATAGTAGAACGGGACATCAGACATGATAAATCTGTCTACCAGGTGTAATCGCCTCGCGTTATCCAGCAACCTTGCGATCTCATGCTCCAGCATACCCCCCGACCCGTTTCTAGGCTGGGGTATCCCCGTCAGGCTCGAGAGCTCGGGTGCAGTCATACCAAGCACGAATGCCAGAGAGACAAAAGACACAGTTATCCGTTAGTGCCTGAGGGTTATACCAAGACCCTGCTCCTGTTGACGAGCTTCCGTAACAGACGGAGGCTATACGCTTAGCGATGGCAGCTGTATTGGTAGTTATGTTGGGAGCCACGACGTCAGGCTTCTTAGAAGCTGGCTTGCTCGAAACCTGAAGCTATCATTTAGCAGGTCGGGCTCTTAAGTCGGGTCTTGTAGCATGGCGGGTGTTACTAATCCTCTTCATTCGACAGGGCGATTCGTGTTAAGTTAATCCTGCGCTTGGGTGCCTTATCCCTTCAGTTGCAAGGGGTTCGTGTGCCCGCTGAGATGCCTACCCTGTTATTTCACTGGTTGGCTGTTGACAGGTGGCTGTATAGTATTTCATAACAGGCTTGATCGAAAAGTGGTTAGCTTCTATGAGACAGAGCAGAAGCAGACCGGCGGTTAGTATTGGTATTTGTTGGTTATAGTCTGAAACAGGCCGTGATATGTATTGACAGTTGTAATAGGACTCGGAGAGCGGACGATAGAAACGCACTGGGGAGTTTATGACGACTGTTGGCGCAGACTCGGCTCTCCTCTAGCTCCCTGGCTATGTAGAGGATAAGGTGCCGCTATATGTAGATCACTCGATGGTACATAGTTAAATTCGACACGCGTAACGCGGCCGGGTATCGAATAGCGCTCGATAAACTACGGTAGTTTTCAAAAAAAGCGCTATTCGATACCCGACCGTGTTACGCGTGTCGAATTTAACTATGTACCATCGAGTGCATTACTCTAGCGTCTATTTACGAGCTAATGGGAACTATTCTTGGTGTAGACGCGTCCGACTAGAATCTGACATATACTTACCTAGTTCTACGATAGATTCTAAGAGTATCTGGCAACTACACTATTACTATAGAAAGACTTACTATAGGTTTAGGTCCTATTAAGTATCAGCGTCGTTGTGGGATTAGACAATAGTATATAATAGTATTTCTACAGGAGTATGGGAGAACTGAAACTTTACCTTATTCCGGACTAGTCTATCGCCTACTCTCCACCCCGGTTAATTAGCCCTCGCTCTTCGCCACGCTACCCAGAGTTAAGAGTGGAGTACCGTTGCTAACTTTCCCCGAGTCATACAAGCCTCTACCCCAAAGTGGCCCGAATCTCTCACTCTTATTAATCGCCAGTCCACCTCGGCGCATTTTTTCATCGTCACTGCAACATATCCATCCCCTGCAACCCCGGAACAGTTACTTCTTTTGGGATAATGACCCAATTCGGTATTGCCTGCAAGACATGTCGGCGAAGAGGGCGAAAGTGCGATCGAACCCTGCCCAAGTGCATGAGCTGCCATCGGCGCGGCGTAGAATGCGAAGGTTACACTCTACGTTGGGTCGGCCTGGCAGCCAGGGGAAGTATGGCCGGCCGGACATACCAGTCCGCTACTGATGACTCGGCCCTGCGAAAGGAGCAAGCCTCAAGCGGCGATGGGTTGAATTTACACCTTGTGACCTTACCGCGCCGACCTACATGGGTCATGCCCGCCGCCTTACTTCCTCCCGACAGTCTGCAGGTCTTTGTCAAATATTGTAAGGAGATTTTTTCATCGCGACATTTAGGGCTATCACTCATGGCTTGTAGACGCACGCGAAATAAGTACAGCCTTCTATCTGGGCCATGGTCCTGCGCGAACTCCCTACACGCAGCTTATTCTACCAATGGTCAAGAACGTCCCCTGCATTCGGTACGCCGTGGGGGCGACGGCGTCTTGCCATATTGCCAACAGACTTCAAGACAAAAAGTTGAAAATGCAAAGTCTCTATTTGCGGCTGCAGGCCACGGAGGCGCTCAGACAGCAATTGAGAAATGACACCGAGGAAGCAGACATTTCTAGTATTGCCTGTATGGTTTTACTTGCCCAGCTCGATGTACGTGCCCAGATATTTATTCAAGGTTACTATTCTAACAGATGTGACAGCTCTGCTCTGGGGACTGTCTGGAATTTGGAACACATTTAAAAGCAGCAAGTGACATCGTGAAGCGGCATGGTTCGGACGGAACTGAGCGAGCCTTTTTCCAACAACGTCTTGCATGGTAAGTTAATATGTAGCTGCATTCTATGCAACGCTTACATTTTGTTAGGCTAGATATCATGGGTGCGACGACGTCGTCTCGAATGCCGCACCTGAAGCCTGAACATGTCACAGCCGCCTTGAACAAATTCACAACCCCATCCGGTCGGAAATGGGGATTCGACGTTTTTGACTGCCCTATCGATCTATTTGAGTACATTGCAGATATTACTGTATTGCATAAACTGCATAGCTCTTCAAAAATCCCATCCGATGAAGCTTTAAGAAAAGCCATCGTCCTTGGCAATGCTGCTAGGACGTGGAATGGATCTGATATCCTGTCCGATCGACGAGGAGACATGGTCGAGATCTGGAGATGTGGGGTCCTACTCTATCTCGTTCGCTCATTCCAGCTATCGGAGGAGACATTCGGTACTTCAGAGTTACTAGGAGATGTCTTTCGGCGGGCTGAAAGACTATCTTCAGAGCCGAATCGGAAGTTTTCAACGTCATGGCCGTTGTTTCAAGCTGGTTTATGTCTACATCAGAAATCTCATGAACGGAAACAATGGTTACGCAAGGAATTCGCAACCCATTTTGCGACACTTGGATGTTGCAATCCGAAGCTTGCAATCGATGTATTAGAACAGGTTTGGCAGACTGGCGATACACAGATTCTTGATTCGCAGACCTTACTGTTTTAGTCACAGAGGATCGAAATGTTACGATTCGTAGATGCGGAAAGTCTTGCGAACGAACTGGCGAGAAGTGTTTGCATAGGAGTTGCCGAAAAGGGAGGGCCCTATAAAGGCAATCCCTTTGGGTGGATTAGAATCTTCCTTCTCTTCTTCTTTCTCTAGATTTAGTTGCCTCGTTTAAACAGTACCGAATTGATTCATAATCTTTTCGCTTGACCGTAACATACAACTAAATCTCACCCTTTATCTTTCCTTCTAGTCACTGGCTAAGCGAAGAGACGCGTACATACGTGCTCTCTAGCTACCTAGTGACTACACCACTCAACCGAACGAACCTACGAAGAACCGTTGCACCAAGATAGCTAGCAACGTGACCGAACGCCCCCGCCGTAGTAGCAGAAGATCCCTAACCCTCGATGAGCAGCCCGACGCTGAGAAGATCGAGGTGACCGATACCGACGAGCTGATCCGTTGGATCCAGAAAGACCCCGAGACCGCATAGAAGGTCTTGTGCAACCGCATAAAGGATATCGAAGACCTAAAAGGCCAGATTGCTACCCTGACCGCCGACCACTAAGAAGAGATCGTCGACCTCCGTGAGCAGATTGTCTCAATGACCGAACGAGAGGATTCCGTTGCCCGTGACCAGTAGGTAGAGGAGGAGTACGCCCGAATGCGAACTGAAACTAAAACCCTCCGGAAGGAGCGTGATAGCCTATTGACCGTGATGAATATGATACGAACCGACGATAACCGTGTGTTGCGAGAAGCCTCGGTGACCCCTTCTACTGCTAGTAACAGGAAGTCGACCAAGATGCCTAATCCTCCCATGTTCAACGACGGAAAGGATGTGAAGTTCAAGGATTGGAAGACCGAGATGAAGCGTAAGCTTCTATTAAACGAGGACCACTATCCAACTTCTGCCCACTAGCTCGCGTACGTGAGTAGTCGCTACGAAGGAAAGGCACTCCGACACATCAACCCCCGAATGCAAGAAGACGCTACCGCCGCGTACCGAACTGCGTAGGACGTTTTCGACCACCTATAGAGTGTCTTCCACGACCCGAACTATTAGCAAGTTACCCGTGACGATTACCTCGCCCTAAAGATAGAGCCTAAGCAGGATTTCGGTGATTTCCTGGCCGAATTTACCTACCTTGCGGAGGAGGCCGAACAGCCTATAGATCTTCGAAAGCGTGATCTATACCGGAAGCTTCCTGCCCTCCTCCAGAACCAGGTGATGATTGATGCAGGTTAAGGCTCTGTTACCCTTAAAGAGTTCGTGCAGAAGTGTCAGATTGCTACCCGTTTAATTTCGCAGCAGATCGCCAATCGTGCAAGTAACCGTAACCCGAACCGTACGAACCCTTCGAATCGTACTTCAAGCGACCCACAGAACTCGAAACCCTCAAACCGCCCTGATAACAAGGAGAAGGCTACCCTCCTAAAGGAAGGACGTTGCTTTATATACCGCGAACAGGGCCATATCTCTCGAAACTGCCCCACCAAGAAGTCCACCCCTATAAGTACTACCGCCGCCGCCGAACCGAAGCGAAAGGATTCGAATTTGAAGAAGACGGACGACCTGAAAGCCGCGGAAGAGAACGATAGCGATTCGGGAAAAGAGTAAACCTAGGGCAAGTCTCTATCCCAGGTTTGATAGTGTCAAAGGTGGATTTACGGAAACTGTTGTCCTCTGCAGAAGATAGTTTAACCTTTTAAGCTAGAGTAGCTATCAATAGACGAATAGTGAGCGTTTCTTGCCTTGCAGATACCGGAGCAGATGGGTATATCTTTATCGACTACGACCTTGTGAAAACAATGATTAATGGCCTAGGCCTACGGACCAGAAGACTCCCCCGAGAGTGTCCGATCACTAGGTTTAACGGATCCTTACGAGAACCGATTACCCACGTAGTGAAACTCTCGTTAATGATTGATGAGCGCGTACAACAACGTCAGACCATATTGGTGACGGATCTTGGAAACCATGACCTGATTCTCGGAAGGATATGGTTCGAAACCTATAGGATACTTCCTGATTGCAAGAACCAAAGGCTTTTGTGGCCAGACCAGCCCTCGCTACAAGACCAGGTAAAAACTGGCATGGTGAAACCTATCCCGAGACAGATCCTGAAGCGACCACTAGTCAACGATCTCCACCAGAAGGACGCAGACCGGAGAGACCAGTTAATAGAAGCCTAGATCGTGAAGGAATCCCGAAGAACGATTCGAATAACCTATGGAGCCTCCCACCAAGAAGACTCAGTGGGTAAGATAAACCGATCTCTCCGAGACGAGTTAGTTATTTCCCAGAAGAAGAGACTTGAGGTCGACGATCTTCCCCGGAAAGGTATCGAGATTGCAGCGATCGGAGGAGTCGGCTTCCACCGTCATATACAACGTGAAGGAACAGAGACGTTCGTAACCTCGATAGCCTAGATTGATCGAATTCTCGAAGAGAAGCAGAGCCCAGAATATACACTAGAAGCTGAGGAGATTCGTGCGCGTGTCCCAACTGCCTATCATCAGTTTATCGATGTCTTTTCTAAGATCGATTCAAATACTTTGCCACCACTGAGAGGTAGTCCCGATCACAGGATTGAACTCGACGGATCTGTCTACTTAAATTACTATCCCTTATATAAAATAAGTGAAGAAGAACTACGCTTTGCTAAGGATTACATCACGCAAAACCTCGCGAAAGGGTTTATAGTACCCTCCACAGCACCGTACGCCTCACCAATCCTAATAGCCATGAAACCAGGTAGAGGCCTCCGATTCTGCGTGGACTACCGGAAGTTAAACGAACTGACTAGGAAAGACCGTTACCCTATCCCTTTGATTGACGAACTACTATAAAGAGTAGGGAGGGCAAAGCGGTTTACCAAGTTAGATATCCAGCAGGGTTTCCACAGAATTCGGATACACCCGGAATCCGAAGATTTAACGACCTTCCGCACTCGATATGGTTCGTATAAATACAAAGTGATACCTTTCGGATTAACGAATAGACCCGCGACCTTCCAACGATACATAAACCATGCCCTCGGAGATTATCTAGACGACTTCTGCACCGCGTTTATCGATGATATCTTGATCTACACAGAGGGTAACGAGCAGCAGCACGTTAAGCACGTTAGAAAGGTCCTAACCAGATTGCGAGCTGCAGGCCTATAGGTAGCTATCCAGAAGTGTGAGTTCCACACTATGGAGACGAAGTTCTTAGGCTTTATTATCGGAACGAGCGGCATTCGCGTGGACCCTGCCAAGATTGAAGTGATCGACGCATAGCAGTCGCCGAGTACAGTCAGAGGCGTGCAATCGTTCTTAGGAATATACAACTTCTACCGTCGATTCATCAAGGACTACAGTAAGATTTCCAGGCCTTTACACCGATTAACCAGGAAGGAAGTGCAGTTTAAATAGGACGACGCGTGCCAAGCAGCCTTTCAGAAGCTAAAGCACATACTAACGACCACGCCCGTACTAGCACACTATGACCCTTACGCACTCACGCAGATCGAAACCGACGCCTCGGATAGTTGTTTAGGCGCTGTTCTTTCGCAGAAGGGAGCGAACGACGGTTGGCATCCAGTGGCGTATTTCTCAAAAACCATAAATCCTACGGAGCAGAGCTACTACACCCACGATAAGGAGATACTAGCGATTATCCGCGCACTAGAAGAGTGGCGAGCCGAACTAGAGGGCTTACAACGTACAGATCGATTTAATATCTGGACTGATCACCAATCCCTCCAGTATTTTATAACTACTCGAATGCTAAACGCAAGACAAGTACGCTAGGGAGAGTCCCTCTCACGGTTTCACTTCCAAATCCGCTACCGCCCAGGGAAGGGCAATATGGTGGCCGACGCACTGTCTCGAAAGGACCGACCGACCGGCCAGCGAGCCGAACAGATCCTGTTACCCCGAGAAGTACTAGAGCAGGGTACCCATCCAGATGATCCACTGCCCGTGGAGCTCACCCCCGTCTCCTGCGGACTTACGGGATCATTTACTCCTAACGGAGCTAGTCCAGCGACTCCGAGACACACCGAGATTTTGAAAAGAACGGTGTTATCCCCGGTGGTCGAAAGGGTGATATCAGCGAACCGCACAAGCGAGAGTCTTCTCGAATATCGTGACTTAGTGCATTCTAATCAGAAATAGACGATAGAAGAAGGACTACTGCTATATGAAGGGAAGCTTATAGTTCCCGACGAAGGCGACCTACGCGCACGATTACTAGATGAAATCCACCGACAACCGTCAATCGCTCATCCCGGAATCGAAAAGACGAAGCGTATACTTACAGCCAGATACCACTAGCCAGAGATGATTAACGACGTGAAACGATATGTGGATAACTGCCAAATCTGTAAGCGGACGAAGGCATAGAGAGACCGAACCCCAGGATTACTACAACCCCTACCGATCCCTAGAAGACCGTGGCAACATCTCACGATGGATTTCCGCTCGTTCCCGAAAGACCGCAGAGGATATAATACCGTCTGCGTTTTTGTGGACAGACTGAGCAAACGGCCAATTTCGATACCTTATCACGAAGATGTTAATGCAAAGGAAACAGCCCGGTTATTCGTGGACCATATCTATCGATGGGTAGGATTACCAGAGTCGATTGTTTCCGACCGAGGGCCTCAGTTTGTATCAGGATTCTGGAAGGAGTTCTGTCGAATCCTCGGAATTGAAAGAAAACTATCAACTTCTCATCACCCCCAGACGGACGGTCAAAGCGAGATTATGAATCAGTATATAGCACAGCGACTACGACCTTTCGTGAGTTACTACCAAGACGACTGGTCAGACTATCTTGCAATGATAGACTTCGCTTTCGCAGCTTTACCCCAGGAAACGACGGGAGTCTCACCCTTCTTTATTAAACGAGGGTATAAACCCCGGGTGTCCTTTGATTGGAAACCGGCGGAAGCCTTAGACTGGCTTAGTCAAATTGTACCTCGACAAAGGAACGAGTCGCAGAACGAAGAAGCAAGCGATTACACCAACAGGATGCAGGAAATATAGGAAGATACGCAGAGAAAAGCTACACATGCGCAGGAACGTCAGCGTCAACAGGCGAATCGGCACCGTAGGGCAGAGGATTTCGGTGTTAGTAACCGAGTATTTGTGACGACAAGGCACTAGAAACTAGACCGACCAGGTAGGAAACTTGCAGACCAAGCGAGTGGACCTTACATGATCGTGGAGAAGGTTGGTAATGCGTACAAGCTAGACCTCCCAGAATCGATTCGTGTGCACCCAGTTTTTTCGGCAGAGAAACTCCGATTAGCGGCACGAACAGAACCGTTGCCTAGGCAACTACAAGACCCGAAACCCCCGGAAGTCGTTGACGACGAGCCTGAATAGGAAGTCGATGAGATCGTGGCAGTGCGCCTACACTACCGAAAGCTTCAGTACAAGGCGAAGTGGATCGGCAACGACGATGACAATTAGTACTACGCGCGCGATTACAAGAATACGCCTGAAAAGCTGATGGAGTTTCACCGAAAGTACCCAGATCTGCCAGGTCCGCCAGTACGATTGACTGCATGGATTGAAGCTACATTAAACGATCGCTTTGAGCCAGATCACCCAGATGACAACAAAGCGATCTGATTGGTCGATTCAGAAAGGAAGACCCGAATGCACGTGACCTGGAGGGCCAGGTCCTTTTAAACAAGGGGGCAATGTTACGATTCGTAGATGCGGAAAGTCTTGCGAACGAACTGGCGAGAAGTGTTTGCATGGGAGTTGCCGAAAAGGGAGGGCCCTATAAAGGCAATCCCTTTAGGTAGATTAGAATCTTCCTTCTCTTCTTCTTTCTCTAGATTTAGTTGCCTCGTTTAAACAGTACCGAATTGATTCATAATCTTTTCGCTTGACCGTAACACGAAATTTGACATGTCGATAAATACTCCAACTTAGACAAGGTCTAGATCATAGAATATCAAAGACCCGGATTTCTAGTTCTTTCAATGTGGATAGAAGCGTTTATAGACATCGTCGATTTCCTGAAGAATCTTCTCCTTGGTCAACTGTGCTGCCCAGGAGACTGTGACCGCGTTTCGGGCTAACGTTGCGATTTCCTTGTCGGTAAAGCCAAAGTGTTTTGTGAGTAGCAGATTGTGTAGAATCCAAGCGTCGTCCATGAAAGCCGGGTCATCACTGTTGATAGTGATTCTGATCCCTGCATCGAAAAGAAGACGCATCTTCGGTCCGAGCTCGGCGTAAGTCTGATATCGCATGTATGCCCACGGGCAGATGGTCATGCCTATGTCTCGCTTCAGGATCATATCCACCAGCTCTGGTTTATCAGCAGCGTTGAGGCCATGATCGATTCTATCGGCCCCATTTCCGCCAATCTCGGAAGCGACTTGTCGGATATGCTCGTGGGTATTGTCCTGTCCCACATCGCAATGCATCGTGATCCGGAAGCCATCTCGTCGGGCCAGTGAAAATACCTCCTGGAATAGTAAAGGGGGTCGATGGTATTCGTTTGAATCAAGTCCAATGCCGGCGATCATGTCGCGATATGGCAGCGCAGCCTTATAATGATCCATTGCGTCCTCGGTGGACAGATCGCGTAGTAAACACATGATCCAAGAAGAACGGACCTAATCATTTTGTCATGCTTTGAATCTGCAATTTATGAGAGTGCGGTACTAACGTTGAGTTCACTCTGGGCTTTTATTTGAGCCTCTTTGAAGCCTCCCATCATAACATCCCAGGAGATACCTCGGCTAGTATGCCCCTGAGGATCAAAGAAGACCTCACAGTAGCGAACATTCATGGATGCAACATGCTCGAAGTAGTTCATTGCCAAGTCGAAGTAATCCTGTTTGGTCTTTAACGTGTCAAATGCTCCGTAGTATGACTCGAAGAAGAATTCTCGTTCCTCATCTTCCGTCTTAGGTTCCGCGCTGTTCATGGCATATCTCAGCTCCTCCATACTGTGTAGTTCCGGACTCTTGCCAAATTTGACCTTGAGGCCGTTTCTCTGCGCTAGCTTCCATCGTAGCTCAGGAGTCAGGGTCCCTTCGATATGCACATGAAGCTCGACTTTGGGAAGGTCGCGCACAAACTCGTCATTCGCGGCCATAAAGTCTTCTCTGAGCTTCCTGCGAAGCTTCCTGGGAAGCGCGTCGGCGATACCCATGGTAATTGTAAGTGATCGGTGTTGGGATTTCTGGGAGGTGTTGAAAGTTTCGAAATTAGAAGCTGTCGTGTGAATTCTAGGTGTGCGAGGGAAGCCGTTTAAATAGCTCGCACGACACCCATAATTTCCCCTTGGGGTAGAAATTATTTCTTAGCTTGGAGTAGTGGATAGCTATATGCATTTATTTCCTTGGGACCTTGCCGAAACCAGTGGAAGTCTCAGTCGAGGGGAAATTAGGTGTTCCCTGTCGTCATTCCTAATCGAGTCATAATTTCAGTTCCCCACAGAGTGTGGGGTCATATGAGGCAACCTATAACTATAGCTTATTTTTTTCAGATTACCAAGTTCAGCTAAGAGGGTCAAGGCGGTGGGGCGCACATTCGAGGGTGATTCTCACCCAGCTTCAGTCTATTGCGCACTCACCCTTTCTCACCCAAGTGCGCGAGGCTAAAGAGGCGCTCATCGTAAACTCACCCTGGCGGTAGCCACCTGAATCTTGTCTGCACGCAAGCTATGCGCCAGCAAAGGAAGCGGGGTTAGGCAGCAATACGTCACATCTCATTCTTAGAGTAGAATTGACAGTCTGGGAACCACCCACTTATTCGAGTCTGCTTCTCCGTGTGTAAAGTCCGCTAGGATTGACTAAATTTTCCCTTCCTCCCTTGCTTCTAGCCATGAAGAAGAAAAACAAAAGCAAGCCGTCATATTACCCCGAGGAATCCAACTTGTCGCCACCGGAGGCTCGGAATAGGGAAGATCAAGACACCATTCTTGGGCTCATTGCGAGGTCAGAATTACCCCATCTACACCTATTTTAGCATAATATAGGACAAGTCAGGCACTAACATAGCATAGCTTGCACCTCAATTCGGACTACAGTGATGTGACTATAATTTGCAAAGATGAGACTCTCTTCGCACACAGGCTTGTGATTTGTCCTAGATCAAAGTATTTCCAAAATGCTTGCTACGGCGGGTTTAAGGTATAGTAAGTTCTCTACCTATTAAACACCACTGAAACTAATAACGGAGAGAAATTGCAGGAAGCTATACAGCCAATTTGCCTAAACGAGAAAGACCCAATACTTATTCAGAAAATGCTAGAATTCCTATATACAGGAGACTACACTACTCCATGCTCTACGCAGACACCGGAAATCACACAGGCCAAGGGCGGAGACGTACCCGAGATAAATAGCAAGCCTACGGAAGAGCTACCTAGGAAATACCGACCAGAAAGTGATATCACTAATGAATTTGATATGCATCTACACGAGCATTTAACTGAATCGGCCACAAGAGCCCTGGACGATACACCCGAAACCCTTATGCCTAGGCCAGAGACGAATGACAACCCAGCTCTAATCGACGAATCCCCCCAAATTACAACTAAGGACGGAGATGAAAGCGTCGTTACAGAGCCACTCGTTAATTCCATACTCGACTGTCATCCGTCTTACTTCCATTTACGCATGTATGGAGAAGCCGACTACTTCATGATCGACGACCTGAAAAGGAAAGCAGAAGCACATTTCTATGCTTCATTCATGAGTTCCCCCAAAGCAGAGTCTTTTACAGAGACCATTGAGGAATTGTATTCGACACGAGCCAATTATCTCGAGTTGAGACAAGCAGCGATCGAAACGATAATCGCTAATCTGCCTAGTCTCCGAAGTGGACCTATGCCAGTCATCACTTCAGAACTAATGAAGTCGGTTCCTGATTTTACATATGATTTGCTTCAAGCTACTCTGGATGAGTATGTATGAGACCCAGGTCACCATGATTTGGAATTTGATTACTGGGGCTCGTCAAAGAAGTTCTAGTTTATTGGGATAGGGTGTGTTTTTTGTCATATTCTTCACACCACCGATTCGCAAGATAGTTGCCATGTCAATAAGCCTTTTTACCACGTTTAAATTCATATCATTTCATGGCTTACCGCGTATGCTAGCGCGCGTCCTTATTTTATTACTGTTCATGCAACACAGGGCAGCTTGATAGGTGTCTTAATCCCGCGAGTCAAAGAGAAAATTGCGATATACGGAGAACAAACACTGCAAACAAACGGGGTGATTTGGATTTCTCAGCGCCCACCAGAAACTCGGTACATACATCTATACTGCACATATCGAGGAGGATCATAAATTCCGAATCCTCCCTCTCTCTCTTCAAATATCTTGTGTCGATTGTGTCTCGCCGATCGGTAAACACTCGGAGTCGCTTAGCCATCAATCATAAGCGTCCCCTCAATAAGCACACCGCCAGACAGGTATATCTCGGCTCGGCCAAAATGGCGGCTATTTTGCAGGGGCATCAAGTGCATCCCGATGGGCGAACGTGGAAGACTCACTTTCCGAAGGGGGATCTGTGGGTATTTGGATACGGGTGAGTTGATATATCCGCTGGATGATGAACTTGGGGCAATGCACCATATAACCAACAATCTGGCCTCTTTGCCTCGGAGAAGAAGAATCAAATGCTAACTCCGACATTAGAAGCTTGATCTGGAAACCACCACCACACTACGGTATGAAACCACTTTTTACTTTCATCCAGAATAGAAGAGAGCCCCCCTCGTAACGAGCCTATCTACTGAATCCGTGGCTACATGTACTAAGTACATGAATTCACGACCAAACCGGACTAACCACGTCAACATCCAGACCAACGGGTCCCGGGATACATTAGTGGCTATGTGCGGCGATTCTGGCAGGTATGTGGGATCTTTGAAACCCGTTTCCCCCGGCGCCAACCAACTCTACCTCACATGCTTCTTCCCCAAATTGTACCATAGTGGGGTTATTGGCGGTATTCCAGTCTAGAGCGATCCAAGCTGACACAGGCCCGGGGTGGCGTTCCCCTTTCAGGCTAGGTATATTCTATTTTCCCAAAAATTGGGGCGCGGGGCGCCTGGTTGATTGCGGCTGTCTACAATGGCCCTAGTTACGATATCAGGGCAAACAAAAAAGAATGCAGCCCGCTAACGTAGAGTGAATTGATAGTACCGACCATCGGGGCACGCCCGAGCAACCGGGGCGAGTCGTCACCGTAATCGAGCGGGAGTTTTGGGAAACGTTGGATGATCCGGTACGTGTGGCTGCAGTAGCGAATCCCTGTTTTTTTTTTCTTGTCTGCTTATCTTGCGCTCGGATGGACGACTTGCAAGTGCCGAGGGGGAGGGGGATTTTCCCACTTTCAGCCTCAGCGTTTCGCAGTACAATACACAGTATCACGGCCAAGCTAACAAAGTACCCATGCTCCCCGACGCAAAACAGCTAGCAAGCCTGGAATCAGAGTCTGCATCCACAGGCAAAGTCTGGGGTGCAGCGTATCACATCCCAGCCTCTCACGCCGAGGAAGTCCACGATTACCTCGACGAGCGGGAAATCGACGGCTACAGTGTACACTTTACCCCCTTCCACCCTACGTCGGGCCCGTCTGCGGACCCGCAGGAGAATGCGGATCATGCCACGCCGATTACTACTATGGTGTATATCGGACGGCCGAGTAACCCGCAGTTCCTGCGCGAGCCTGAACGGCGTGCGCCGCAGGATGTTGCGCAGGTAATCAGCGCGGGACATGGACAGAGTGGGAAGAATACCGAGTATTTGTATTTGTTGGAGAAGGCGTTGGAGGGACTTGGACTTGGGACTGCGGATGTGCATGTTACTGATCTGGTGAAGAGGGTTAGGGCTATTGAAGAAGCTGGTTTGGCGGAGAGAGAGGAAATGGAGGCTGAGAGGGAGGTGAAGGAGTACTTGGCGCGGTCGCCAGCGGAGCATGTGCATGGGGATAAGATTGAATGAGACTGATGGCCTGCTCTCCCCATAGTGATGGAGTCAGTTCATGTCAATAGCTGTAGCATAGAACGGAAGGGATAGAAATAGACATGAACAATGGCTGGTGCAGCTGATGAAGAGTGAATAATGTGACAGAGTACTCGTAGCTGGCCAGCTCAAACCACGAATTCGATTGCAAACAAAGGCATGGCCCGTCGGTCACCAAGACTGTACCATTCTTGACCTCGATTAAGAAAGTTATCCTTCTTCAATACTGAAACAAGCATCACATCTTGTGAGAATACAGAGGAAGAGTATGCAAGACAGACCGTAGTTTTCCATAAAAAACGGCATCATAGAAACAAAACAAAAAAAAGCCATAGTCATAGAATCATAGACGACACATTATGAACCAAACTAAAGGACATGGAAAAAGACCCCCATCGGTATTTACCCATACAGCCTCGAAAAGAAGAGAGATTCACGGTGCCTCATCGCACGCATAGTATGAAATTAAACGGAGGAAGCATCCAAAAGAGACAAAAAGATTTAGAACGAGGATCCGTTGCATGTTCCGCATTAAAAAAAAGTGTCATAAAAAACCCAGTTCTCGCCGCATCGCATTTGATATCCCAATTCCGGTCAAATTTCAATTCGTCACTCCCTTCGTTTCAAGAAAAGCAGTCGTGAGCAAGTTTTGCGTGTGTAAAGAAAAAGGGAAGAAGAAAAACGTCAAAAAGAGGGGGTATGCCGAGCATCTGGTCGTAGAACTTTAGTTGCCCTCGGGAGCCGGGGCCTGGTTGTTGTTTCGCCAGCCTGGAAGAGATAAGTTAGTTTATATCAGACTGGTAGAGGAAGTCAGAAATGGAGGCATAGAACTAACCACCGCCACCGCCGTAGCCAGCATTGGCACCGCCGCCTGTAAACGAAGTGGATTAGCTCGATGTTTTGATTCATTGTTTGTTCGGAAGCACCCCCTAGGTCTTCCAACACCAAGCCTCGTCACAACAGATGTAAATATCAAAACTCACCATAACCGCCGCCGTAGCCACCGCCGTAACCACCGTTACCACCATTTCCACCGTAGGGCTGCTGCTGCTGCTGCTGATAACCGCCGCCATAACCTCCACGGCTGTAGCCACCGCCGTTACCACCGAAGCCGCCACCACCACCGCCCTGGTATCCATTACCGGGCTGCTGGTTGTATCCACCGCGACCCTGGAAACCACCATCGGGACGGTTGGGGCGGTCAAAGGCCTTATCGACACGAATGACGCGACCATCGAACCTACAGCGATAATGATTAATTGACCGAGCTTCTAGGGGGGAATTCAAGCAAAGTCTTACTCCTGGTTGTTCATGGCGCTCATGGCGGCATCGGCCTCAGCATCAGTCGCAAAACGCACGAAGCCGAAGCCACGACTGCGCAGAGTTGCGCGATCCTTGACGACGATCTAGACAGTTCTGGGTTAGGCTCTGCGACTTTTTGCAAGTTTCGGGGAGGAGAAGGGGGGGGAGTGCGGGGCGCTGGGTCGCGCAATAATTACTGACAGCTTCCTGGATCTCGCCGAACTGCTGGAATCCCTCACGAAGAGTATCATCATTGGTATGCCACGAAAGGCCGCTGAAAGAAAGATCTCGTATTAGTTATCAACACCATTTCAAATCCAAGGTCGAGATGGATTTTGGTATGGATATTTTTTTTTCGAGAGGACAGGTCTCGGGTTTGAGGGGCCAAAACAAAGTCCGAAGCGGGGGGTCAGATTCGGGGAGGAGAAACGTACTGAACAAAGAGCTTCGACATGATGGCGAAAGTAGCTCTTGGAAAGCGTAAGTGACAGAAGAGAGAGAGAGAAACCTTGAGGGGGAAAGAAAGATTAGCCAAAGAGTGAAGAATCCCGGAAAAGGCGACGCACGGAAGGAGGGAAGGTGGAAAAAGCGCAACGGGCGAAAAGTAAAAAGAGTAAGAGTAGCAAAAGCAAAAGCAAAAGCAGAGCGAAGAGAAAAAAGGTTGTGCTCAGCAAGTGGCCGAGAGGGAGGGAGATCCTAGTGGTTGCGAAACGAGTCAGCAAACCCGTGTAACAATCACACTGCTTTAGGGCTTCCACATCCTTGGGATTTTTGCTAGCCACCAATGATGATACTGGGATGGGAAATATACTGCTTACTTGAGGGTTTTTGTTTGATGGCCGACCAGTGAGAAGGCTGTCGGGGGAACCAGGTAGGGGGAAGTTGAGGTTGAAAGGTGGCTAAGCTGTAGAAGTGGGGGAAGTATTAAAGTAGTCTGTACGTATTACTGGGAATCCTGTACAAAACTACTGCGGATTTAGCTTCCTGCAGATACGTCAAGTTCATACTGTAAAGTAGTCCTGTAGAAGAGTACTAACTGAAGGATTTATTTTTGGTAGTATTCCTCGAGGAACCAACAACTATCTAATGGATACTCCTCTAACCCATCAGTCCCACCTAAACTTTGAACTGTTGATTTGTCGGGTCCCGGCGGCGTGTCCTTGCATCCTCTCCGTCAATCAGATGTTACCCGAGGCTGGATCTGGAGACATGGGGAAACGCTAGCAAGGCATCGGCTGATGGTCAATGTACCTGCCCCTCATCTGCATTGTATCATTTTTTTCTTTCTTTGCACGGAGTCCCGACAAAGTCCTGTCCGGATCTACTGTTGCAGAGACGGGTCCAAAGAAGCAAAAAAGAGCTGATCCTTTTTGCCCTCCATCAGCGGATTATCTCGGAATCTCGCTTGGATGGAAGTTGTCCGACATAGGAGATAGCAGTGTTAGTGTCCCTGGGCGGACCACAAAGGTACCCTGAAAGCCATCGCGGGCTGGGCGGGGCACTTTCCATGTATTGCAACCCGTGGAAACCAAGACGGGACAGTAGAAAAGAATGTCAAAGAGGAGGAGGGCATGGCATACTGGCAAGAAGTGTAGCCAGTGTAGCTAACTGTAGCCAACTGTAGCCATGACGCTTCCAAGTTTCCACCCCCTCCGTACCTCACAGTTTGTCCATGCATTTCGGGACTGCAATGTTGACTTTCTCGCCCCCCATCCGGCCGGGGATTGGCCCAGTGCCAACCATTCAGCATGGTCTAGCCATCATGCACCATGCAACCACCTTTGGAGGTGGGCTTAGCCCTGCCAGGCCCATTTGGGATTCTGTCCGACCACGATCATCCGTAATGCTCGCCCGTGTGTGCAGAGAGGGGCATCAGGACCCACAAGCCGCTTGGGCCGTATTCCGTCCTGTCGGGTGGAACTGCGGATGTGAAAGAAGATCCGCGCATGGATCGGCTGGACAGCGCCGACGACGATGATAGAAAAATAATGTTAGTCTGGAGTCCAGTGGAAGGAGTTGAGGTAGAAACCTTGTAAGGAGGCGTTGTCCCAGAAGTTAATTTAATCCCTTGCTGCTGCCAGCACGATTTGGACTAAGTGTTGCTGCAGAGTATCATATTCTGGAGCTTGGCATGCATTCTTGAAGATGACATTCAAATGGTGCCATTATCGGAGATGATCCATAATTGAATTTTAAGGAGGATGCAGAATATTAGAAACTTGATGAGGATAGCGGAGGTGAGGAGGAAGTGGTGGAGGAGGGATGTTGTTGCCGGAATGGGCGTGACTTCCTCAAGTTGGATACCTCGGCGGGCAAGTAAACTCCCAGTCGACTAGGTGCATTGAAACTGACCACTTCGCTTCTCCTCACTCATTTCTGCCCAAATGGAGTCCAATGCTGAGCAATTGATTCACCGGTGGTTGGAAAAGGTCTCGGAAGGCCCTCCACCGGAGCCGCACTGTGGTACGTTTCCTGGACCAGGCGAATCCTGATAGATCTACCCGTTCACTGACAAAGATCTATGTGCAGATCGCTTGGATACCACAGATTTAGACCTCCATGGGGGCCTTCCCATTGCTCTCGAGCCAACTGATACTGGCGCAGTCATTCGTTGGCCAAGAATCAACAAACGACATCGAGAAGGAGACCCAGACTCTGGACAACAGATACTCCAGCAGAGCACGGGCAATCAGTACTCGAAAAGACCACGACGGAAGACTCGAGAAGACAAATATGAGTACAAGCGGCCAGGGTCTCCGAAGAAACGAGTTGCGCGATCACACAAGGACAAAGTGAAACGGACGCGGACGAGTAGAAAGCATACGATAAGCGATGCGTTTCATGCATCTAACGTTGCTCGAGAGAGGCTCACAGTAAGTGGTCCAACCCAGCTTCATTTGATACCTCTGACTTTGGCGGCAGCTTCACAATACTATGAACATGGGTATATTTAGTAAAGGGAAAGCGTCATCTCCGATCAAAATCTGTGATGGTACGTCAGTTCATGGAACGGCAATCGACCACGGCTAACAAATTGTGACACAGTTCCTAAAATTTCCTTCTCTGAAACTCAATTTCTGACTCGGCAAGATCGAGGGCCATTAGAGACAGGGACGGGTACGGGTATGGCTTTTGACAAGTCCCCTCTGCAGAAGAAGCTGAGTGGTCAACATCCACGCCCGAAGACCTCACATTATTTCTTCCGTGAGCCCCCAAAGCTGGCGAGCAACGAGCCACCACTTGTCTACCACGAAGAGTCACCACTGCACACCACCCTCGGAGATCAACTGTATCCCTCAAAGTCACAAGGTATTGTTCCATCTCCTTCGACGGCAGCACCTGCTGCTCAAGACAGGCTTCATGATTTGCAGAGCCAATTACCACCACACTCTGTTGAGAGATCTCACTCTCCAACACCTTATTCTTGGTCTATCAGTGATAGGCGGGGGTCACAGCAAAGCAGAGAGGTTGAGGATCGGCTGCTGAAGATTCTACATACCGGTCTATCTCCACGACAACTTGCAAATTCTAGAGACTCTGGAGGCTCCAGAAGCGGATACTGCACTATTCAGGATCTGAGGAGTCTTCTCGAAAGTCAAAAGGCCTATTGGCAAACACAGACGAGTCCGGAGATCCAGTCCCTTGATGGAGTTACGACCCATCTTGCTAATCGCGAGTCGAGTGTGATGGTGACCGGCACTGTGCAAAGCCCCATAAAACCCGCTTTGTCGCAGTTCAAGGACTCAGAGACCGGTCCAAGGAGTAATAACAGGGCAACCAACCATGAAAAGCCCTTGGATGAACTATTTCGCAGCCCGCAGCCCAATCAGCTTCACAGCCACGAGGGCAATGTGTCAGAGAAGGATTTCCTGGCATCCCAACCGCCTCTTCCAGCTCGCGTTGGCGCAGAGTCAGTGGAACCGGGTGCTGAGGACGACTTTATATTTTTCCAGGAACTCGATGCAGCATATTGCGCTATACTCGAGCCGAAGGGTGCAAACGATGGCCCTTTGGGACAAACATCAATGGTGGAGAATGAACCACATCGACCACAAGTGCAACATACACAGAGGGAAGACCATCTTTCCCATCAAAAAAGACATCTATCGCTTTGTGGGTCAATTGATACATTAGTGTATGGCCAGCCTGGTCTTGATGTTTTACCTGCATCCGCCAGCCGTTCTCTTCTTCCACCAGAAGATTTGGGAGCGTGTCCTCGAAACAACTCCACAATATCGAGACCCTCGGAACTCATCTCGTCTCTCTTGGCACCTGTTCCTCTAGTGTTACCCAAGCCTTGGTCGAGGGATCGACAGCCTTCAAGGACTGCACCAGCATCGTGTTCCCCAATCCCGCCTGGATTCTGGAGACAAAACAGATTGTATTGATATATGACGTCGGGGATTTGAGGGTGTTAAAACTCGCTTACTTTTGATGGAAGACTCGATGTACATCTTCTGCCGAGAGACTGTATCGCTTTGGATTCATAACCTTGTCAATACCCAACCACAAAAGACACATTCATACTTGAAATCATCCATCATTCTCTGGAGCATGAAAGATCGCAGATCCAGACTGTACACCTTGAAATTCTAGTCGAGTTCTCATGTTTTAAAACAAATACACAGGTCTATGCACCCGAGTCAAGCCATGATTTTTTATAACCTCTTTTCAGTCGTTCTTCCATTTACAGTGAGAATAATCATTACAACGCGAGCCTCATTTATCCGGTCTTAAGACAGTCAGGGCCCAATTGACCGAGTTGGCCCCCACCAGGAGACAACGACTACAGTAGGTGTGTATTACAGTGCGCTTACGTGTCAGCGAGGCTAAGGTGTTCCAGTCCGAGCCGGAATAGAATTGAGATCTTATCACTGGACGCGTAAGATTCGTTCCCAGAGGGTGAGAATGGCGTGTTTCTATGCACGGACTCGGAGTAAATAACCGATCAGTGCCAAGGTATAAATATAGTTGACGTTCCTCAACATGATAGACCTAGCTCTAAGCTTTCTTAGCCTTGAGAAGCACCGCGAGCCGCCGATCATCCATGTCATCCGAAAAGCCCACAATCCTCCTTATCCCAGGTGCATGGCTTCCCGCCAGCGCCTTCGAAGATGTAGCCACCATCCTCCGGGCTCGAGGGTACCCCGTCCAAACAATGACATTACTATCAGTCGGCGGGCCAACATCAACAACAGTAGCCGACGATGCGGAAGATATCAGACAACGTTATCTAAACCAACTTATCACGGAAGGCAAAGAGGTCATCGTTGTCATGCACTCGTACAGTGGTATCCCCGGTGCAGAAAGCGTAAAGGGTCTCGCACGCAAGGACCTCGCAGCGCAGGGTAAGAAGGGTGGAGTAATTGGATTAATCTACATTACAGCATTCCTGATCACAGCCGGTCAGAGTGTTGCATCGATCCTTGGTGAATACATGGACATTGCCATGTCATTCGATGTACGCAAAACCCTTCTATTGTGTATAACGCATGTCCGAAGATATGCTGACAAGAACAGGGCGACAAAGTATACCCCAAAGATCCGCAGGCGAAATTCTACAATGACCTCGAGGACGAGAAAGCAGCTAAACATGTTGCGGAACTGGTATACCACGCCAAAGCTAGCTTTTACACGCCGCTCACGTACGAGGCGTACCGTGACGTTCCTACGACATTCCTGCTCTGTAAGAGGGATGCATCTATACCTTTCGAGGTACAGCAGGGGATGGCTGCAGCTGTGGGGGAAGGGGTGGTGCGGACGTATACCTGCGAGGGGGCACATTGTGCTATGCTGAGTGTCCCGCAGGAAGTTGCTGATGTTATTGATGATACTGTGATTAATGGAGTTTGAGTATAGGTCTCTTGCATTGTGGTGGAATGTACATGTGTGAAGGGAAGTTTTATTCTAAAATGGGACAATTGATTGGGTATAGAACAATCTTGGAGCAAGATTTGTAACGGAATCTGTCCACGCCGGGATAGATAGGTTGGAGATGGTGTGGAGAGTGAGGTTTCCGCTGTGACTGTCCATGGCAGGCTGCCTGCCATTCAAGGCATGAAAGCTGTTTGGAACCTCGAGTTCCCCATTGGCAGTCCGAGAAAGTATACCAAGACACATGGTATTGATCTGCTGCGGTTTGGGCGTGGTCTTGGTGTAGTAGGGATGAGCGGGTTGTTGGATTGGGCCATTCGGGCCCAGAGGGCATCGTCAATGCAATACAAAGGGTAATTATAGGCTTGCGGCTGCCTCGATGACACCGGCGCCCTTGAAGAGACCAGGGCTCGTAACAGCGACCTCTACCGGGTACTTCCATTGCATGAATCTTGTCCAACCTGTCAAGCTCAAGATTAGCTGGGTATTCTGGCAGCGAGTTGACTCCATTTCACATACTCCAGTAGGCACAGCGGCGGCCTAGATATTTGCCAACAAACGGCACCAGAACCATTGTCAGGAGCAGCTCTAATTGCTCAATGCTTTCCCGCCATTCCGCCTCGGCATCGGAGTAGTCGTCGGAAAGAGTCTCCAAGTCGGAATCTGTTGTTGATTCTGAGGGGAGAGAAGCGATATCATCGTCCGTATCGGATCCGAAGGAGTTCTCGTGCGAAGGCATCATGTACGCGGACATGGAGAAGGAGGGATTGGACTCGGCAGGGGGAGGGGCTGCCATGATGAGGAGCGTCTATGAAGAATAGGAACCGGAAAGCGATAGAGAGAAAGAAAAGTTAATGAGCAGCGGCCTGCCTACTGCCCGAATTATGATAGAAGCATCTGCTGGCAAGAACAAGGTAGTGGTAATGTTAGTTGATGTTGTTTGGGACTGGCTGTTGACTTGCTCGATCCCAAACGTAATGACCGACACGTGACTTTTGTATGATGGTTGAGTCACGGTCACGTGCCAGTGTCCCGCGATAACAGGCTCGCCTCCTCCAGCGGCGGCGGAGATCTCAGAATTCGATCAAATTCGACATTGTCGACCTCTTCACGAACTACGCGATCTTCTACGGACCCTGCAACCTCATACTACCCTTGGTGGTGAAGTGATTCGAATCTTACAACCACCCAACATGGCGGACGCCGTACGTTACACCTGGTTTCTTTTTTTACCGACGCTCCCACATTTTCTTTGAAACTGCACAATACCCCCCGCCCCATATCCTTACAGCTCGCGCGGAAGCAACATTTCGCCAGTTTGAAGGAACGACTGTTTTCTACCTTGTGGGACCAGTCTCTGCGATCATTTGAATCTTTTCTGCCATTTTTTTCTGGCCTCATAGCTAATCTTGGGCTTTACTTGTCCCGAACAGGAAGTCGAGCAGAAACAGCGCAAGTCGGTCGCCTTCAGCGAAGGATCCGTCATCATGGACACCAACGGCCAGGTCACAGATGCCCCGGCTGCCGAGAAGCCCGCCGGTACGCAAATCCATCCTATATCGCCCTTTATCCCATCCCCGCACAGTTCGAGCTCCGCATGCTTTGTCGAAACCGGACCCGCTAACGGACCATGTCCAATTTTAGATAAGGAGGTCGACGAGATGACCGATATGTTCAAGGGCCTTTCCAAGAAGAAGAAGTCCAAGAAGTCCAGCAAGGAGACTGGTGATGCGGAGGAGCCCACCGCCGACGGCGAATTCGATGCCTCCGCCCTCAAGAAGAAGAAGAAGAAGACCAAGAAGGACGCCGGCGACTTCGAGGCCAAGCTCGCCGAGGCCGGTATCGATGAGGAGGGCGACAAGGAGCAGGCCGAGGAGGCCCTCCCCGAGGGTGACGCCGAGGCTGGAACCGGTATCTGGGCACACGACGCTACCCAGGTCATCCCATACCCTCTTCTCGTCTCCCGTTTCTTCACCCTCGTCCAGAGCCACCACCCCGACTTGCTTGCCAGCGGCACCAAGGCCTATAAGATTCCTCCACCCCAGTGTCTTCGTGAAGGTAACCGTCGTACCGTCTTTGCCAACATTGCCGAGATCTGTGCTCGTATGAAGCGTTCCGATGAGCACGTCACGCAATTCCTCTTCGCTGAGTTGGGTACAAGCGGTAGTGTGGACGGTAGCAAGCGCCTAGTTATTAAGGGCCGGTACGTGATGTCGCTTATACTCGACCTCAATCTTTTCTTTCCGGTCCCACATGACCTCCTAGTAATTGATTATCGCATGCTAACTATTCATTTCCTCAATGTACAGTTTCCAGGGCAAGCAATTGGAGTCCGTTCTCCGAAAAGTGCGTATCTCCCAATACAGCCCATTTCTTCCCTGTGAAACACCCACTAACTCCCCTGTAGTACATCGTCGAGTACGTCACCTGCAAGACCTGCCGCAGCCCGAATACCGAGCTCAACAAGGGCGAGAACCGTCTGTACTTCATCACTTGCAACTCCTGCGGATCTCGTCGTTCGGTCGCCGCTATCAAGACCGGTTTCCGAAGCCAGGTCGGCCGCAGAAAGCGTGTCGGTTAAATGGGGGGTTTGGAGCTGGCTGGTTCGGCATATTGTGGAGGAGGGAGTTATTTTTATCTCTTCTTTATGGCGTGTCACTTACTAGGACTTTGGTTGATGAAAAAAAGACTCCCTGGTATTGTATCTTTCTACTGCATGGGACTTGAAATGAGAGAACGATATGAAGGATAGAGACAGTTTGGCATGAAATGGACCGATATGACCTCTTAAGCTTTTTTTTGGCATGCATTTTTCCAACTGCAGGTTTTTTGGGCTCGTCAGGCTCGAGAATTATAATCGACCAGGCATATGCCCCTAATAGAAGGTTGTAATAAGCTGGCACTCGAAGCAGGCGTTGATTCTGTAATGTATAGAGGCATGACTCCTAGAGTTCCATTTACTCATGCACTGCAGACACTAGACAGGGTACTAATGAAAAAAGGGCTTCGCAAAAAGGCAAGAGGCTTCTGTACATGATAAGAATGATAATAGTGCCAATGAAAAAGTCAAGATGCCAACAATGACCTGCGCATATCCCACAAACATAGAGAGTAAATCGCATCAATCTCGAGTAAAATAGACGGGCTAAATCTTCTCGCATGCTGCCATGTCCAGCTTGGCAGTTTTATCGATCGATTGAAATATACTAACCACTCGCTGTACTCATCTTCATCTGACCAGCGAACGCATTCAAGTTCCTCGTTTGCAGATACACCGTGCCAGGTCCTTCAAACTTACAAGCCAGACCTTCACCAGAACTGAGTCCAGAAATGATACCACCCGAGGCAACACGCTCAATCTTGTACTTGCAGTTCCAAGCAACGAGATGACCATTGTCAATGTAGTATGTCTCACCATCCTTGAGCTAAAGAGCATCAATCCATATCAGTATAGAGTCCCAATGAAGCTTCCTAAGAGTCGGTCAAACTTACATCTTTCTTGATAATTGCACCGAAACTCTGCATCCAAAGCAATCCATTTCCGGAAATCTTGTAAATGAACAGACCCTCTCCAGAGAAAACTCCCTTTGCAAGACTCTGAGCTTGGTATTTATGCTTCACGCCTGATGTAGAGGCCAAGAAAGCATCGCGTCCAATCTTCCACTCCTGGTCACCATTCATTCGGAGAACAATGATATCACCCAGGACCGAAGGAGCCAACAGGAGTTCGCCGGGGCCGGTATAGTTAGACATCGACATTTCGCCACCTGCAATGAGCTTCTTCCAACCGAAGCTAACGGTACCTCGAAGCGTTATGGTAGTAGACATTGCAATCATCACACCTATTGAAAACCTTGTCAGAGAGAAGTGAAGAAGCATCTCTGATCAGATGTAAACATACCGGGCTTAGCAGTTAGGGGGCATCCCATTGCAAGTTGCAGAGTCAAAAGGGAGTTTGAATCGCGGTGGCTGATGCGATAACTCCCTCCATTGAACGTTCCAACCATATCTTCATTGGTAGCCGATGCTCCCACGAACTGTCCAGGTGGCGCTGCTCCAGGAATTTGTGGTTGCACGATAGGAGCTGACTGTGGTGGTGATGAGGGGGGTCTCATGATGGCAGCATTTTGTTGATACGATGGGACGTTCTGCTGCGCATACTGCTGGTACTCATTGCCGATGGGGTTTCCTACTGGAGGGCTAATGCTAGGCGCGGGTGGGCTGACGGACGAAGGAGGCCCAGGGTACGCTCCAGCTGTAGGGGGCGATTGCCTCGGTGGAGGTGGATAGCTGAAATTTGGCGGTGCGAATCCAGGAGATGGCTGTGGAGGAGGAGGGAATGCTATCGCGGAGTTAGTCAGTATTCACTCGGGGTATACAGGCTCTATTCACATGTAACGTGTGCCGGCGCTACACAATTGATTGCATGTTAGTCTTCTAAAGCAGTTATTACGCGGAGATGATCGTTGCTAACTTACCCGACATGGGCGGCGGAGGATAATGCGCTTGCGACATTATGTACTGCTACAGCAACTGGAAGCAAGCTCTCCGTGTTAGTCATTTGTTATCCATCTTAGAGAACGAGAATACCCTCAAACTCACAGCTGGACTCGATGCGGGGGAGGGGTACCAAGACGGTCGGATCGAGGCACTAGGGATGTGCTGGAATGATAATCAATTTGGTGTTATAGTGCTAGCTGCTCGTGCGAGAATAGTTGCTCAATGCATTGAGGTCAAGAAAAAAAAATAAATGCGATACAAACTACGGAGAGCAGAACCCAGCGGATGTCTCGTATTTGAGAGAATCGAGCTCCAACTCCGCACGCGGGAGCTTGCGGCCTATTATTAGCAGACAAGCGTAGGAGCCCTTTTCGCAGCCATTGGAAGCGATCCTCGGGTGTAATAATGCATGGATTGGCAGTCCGTCACCTGCTGCCGTATCACAGTGGACTACTGCATGGTAATCCCAGCCGGCGCCTAAAGGTCGGAACTGCGCAACCTGATGGGCTGGCTTCTCTAGCGTCAAGGTGGATCTTGAGTCGTGATTGGATGTGGAGAGGAGGCGCCCAAGAAGCCAAGGAAACTTTGGTGTGCCCCACGTTGCGAGTCCGTTTCAGCCCACGCACGATGTACTGTATTCAACGGTTGATCTGGTCGAGAAGGATCATTTATAATTTTATTGACTGTCTACTTTGTAATTGATGAAAAAAGAGCATGGTGAGCAATCCCGCGATGTTTATTTGGCTGCTGTCATTTCGTGCAGACTGATTAAGGTTACCCACTATCCACACTTCTAGATCCAACCTATTTACATGACACCTTTCTCCATATGGAAAGTACATTGTTTCTCGGTTACTAGAATGTCGTCAATATTCGATTCGCCTCTATATCATTCCCAAAGCGTAAAGCAGACGTTTCATCCATGGTATTTTGTCAGCTGCTGATCTAACCGAGATACCGGTCAGCTTATAGTAATCCGGCCGATTCTTTCTTCCAGCAGGGCCGTCATCTCTCGATAGTCATTCATTCTGGCCCAGTCAAGAGCAGTCAGCCCTTCGCGGTCGCGAAGCTGGGGATTAGCTCCGTTAGATAGCAATAAATGGGCAGTCTCAACAAAGGAAGATCTCGCTGCCAGTATCAACGGGGTTTGTCCCGAGGTTCCCTCTGGCATGTTGACATCTGCCCCGTTTTCAAGAAGCAGCTCTGCAATAGGGAGCTGGTCTGATATCACTGCCAAATGAAGAGCAGACTTTTCATCCGATCCAAATCTGTCTACCTCCGCACCACGGGACAAGAGTAAGCGAGCTGTTTCAAGGTGGTTTTCCTTACTAGCCCAATGAAGAGCAGGGAGCCCGACATGATCCAAAATCTCGAGCGCAGCACCGTAATCCAAGAGTAGATCAACCATCTCTGTGAGGCCCGCATGAGCCGCTAGAAGTAAAGGCCTACGGTTTGGCGCATGCTCGCTGCCATTGGGATTTGCACCGTTGTCAAGAAGTGTCTTCGCAGCTTCAAGATCACCAGTGGCTATGATCTCAACCAATGCTGACATCTTGCTTTGAGTGAGAACATCAATATCTGCACCTTGTCTTCGGAGTACTTGAATTCCCCAGTAAGAGCGATGCTTGGCCGTAATGATATACGCATGACGAATGAGCATGGGGTTCTCAGCGCCAAGCTCTGCCCACCTAACCAAAAGGAAGTAAAGAAGACCATACTGCTTTCCTTTGAGGGCCCATTCAAAGCATTCCTCGTCGTCATTGCCGTAGAAATCACGCTCGAAATCAAGATGACTGGACATCAGCCATTCCTGCATAACTCGGATGCCAACTTGGCTTTGTTCCGGGTTCATGGCTACGTCTTCAGGCATTTCCAAGTCTTTGGTAGCCTTGTATTGCTTCAAATATGGTTGCATCGACCGCAGCCCGAATACATTCGTGGTGATCTGCCACGCAACCCATCCCATCTGGTTCGAAAATGAGAGCCACCATTGTTGAAATTCGGGTGATCTTGACCAGCTTGAAGGCGGCGATATCCTTTGTGCGCAAAGAAACTCGGACTTGATATCTGATTTGAGAATCTTGCAGATGGATGAGAACCCTTCTTGGTGGGCTGTCTTGTCATTGGCAAGTAAAGCTCGGCGGCAGAGATAGCCAAGCTCGTAGACTGATCGCTCAAACTCAGTTCCTTCACACCTTTCACAGATCCACTGCCCTTGACTGAGGGCTCCTTTCCAGTCATTTCTCGAAATTAGACTGTCTATTTGTCTTTTAAAGGTGGGCGAGTCAGCTGAAAATTCAGGCAAAAGCAGTTGAGCTTTCAAAGCTGGAACTAAGCACAGTAGGGCGTCTTCACGGGAGCCCATATGGCAGTCTTCAAAGCATTGGACAAGCTTATCCAAGTGACTGTTATGAGCAAACAACGTGTTTTGAAATCCAGTGTCGAGAGATGTCTCTCCGCCAAGATCAATCATGCACCCAAAGGCGACTTGAAGAAATTGGATGTAGATATCCTGTGCGATCATGGTTTCAATCCCATTCTCGGTTCTGACTATGAGTGTGTCTTTGCCGTGAGGATATTCTTTGCTGTCAAAACCAAAAAGACGTCGCGATGAATCGATCATATTGGAAGAAACCAGTTTTGCCTCAGTCTGCCTGAAGATCCATTTGTGAAAGAGGAGGTACGTCTCTTCCTTGCCTGCCTCTTCTCTAGTCAGCCCAACCATGCGATTGAGTGGCCGACGCCAGGATTCGTCAGATTTGTATAAAGACCAAACCCAAAGACCAAGAACGGCCTCTAGCTCATTTTTGTCAACTCTCCACCTGAGTGCATCGCCGCACCTTTCGGGGCATATTGAATAGCTGCTTCGAATAGGTAGATTGTATGCTGCAATCGAGGGTCGGCATTCGATATAAAGCTGAAATTTGAAGGACTTTCCAAAATCAACGCCCCAGCTAGACATAAGATCCATGCTCGATTCGATCACAAGGGCGAGGTTCTGGGCTACTTTTCGAATCGGCATATTGTCCCATTCCACCACCAAGCCGTGACTTGAACTAGCTGTCAACTCTGCCAACTGAGCTCTTGTTTGTATAAGTTGATCGACCAAAGGCGGATGTGGTTGATAGGCTCCGTTAGATGAATCCGTCGAGGATGTCTCTGTTGATGACGGGGCAACGACTTCAAAGGACTCAACATCCTTAAGATGAAAGGCAAAGCAATCCAACTCCTGTTGCTTGTGTGATGCGAGCTCTCGCTCATCTCTCATTTTGTTTTCGTCCTGCGGCATTCGCTCAGTCCGAAGACATGTGCGCAAAATAGACATGACGAAGGTTGACCCCAGCTGGGCAAGAATAACCGAGGCGTGTAATCCTCTAAGCCCAATGAACTGAAAAACAAAGCCAAGTAGGGTGGATAGAAGCGTCATATAGATCTCTAAATGCCTCCCATCATATTTTCGAACCCGCACCGACTTGATATACTCCATTTCCATCGTCATGGTTGACTTTGATCCCTCTTTGACTGCCATGAATGCATTGAAGACTTGGTCGCCGACGTTTTGCTTTCCGGGCTGTAGCCAGAATATGTTGCTAGGTTTGTTAGGCTTGAAGTGATACTCTTCTGAAGAGCGCTCAATGATGATTGCACAACATAGCATTCCCATGAACAGGAATGTAGTGCCAACAATATAAAATGGAAATGCATAGCTTGGAACAGCTTTTCCATCCTTTTTGAAGGATCCGGGGAACAAGAATACGGTGAGGGCAGCATAGCTCAGCACACCTGGAGATATGTTAGTATAAAGTCAAGACAGAAGGCTTCCCTAACTTGAACTGACCAAGTTGCAGCAAAGCACCTAGTATAGCAGCGCAATGGAACCAAAACTGGTCACGTCTCTTGATTCCCTTATTCAAAGACAGATTGGGAATATCGAATTCAGGCAGATAAGTTGGATCAGACCAATCCTCATCCGAAAGGCCTGAACCTTGAGCAGACCAAGCGCGTTTCTTGAGAGCATCGCGTAGAGTTCCAATCTCTATACTTTTCTCCCCATCTTGCGAATTTTCCTCTTCCCACATTACAATTTCCACAATCTTAGGTCTACCAAAGACCCGCGATATGCCCCCTTCATTGAAAAGTTCGGCTGTAGATTCCGACACACATGATAAGAGTTCACTCTCGGCTTCAGCGGGACCTTCTTGCGCTCTGCCGATGAAAGCACGAAGGGAGGAACCACCGCATACTCGAATCACGGAGACGACGGCCGTCAATACGCCCAGCGGTGATAGCGCAAAGATTATGTTGTCTAGGAGGCTTATCGACTCGGAAAGAAATTGTTTAGTGAGACGTTCGCCGAAGAGAGTAATTAAAGGGGCCTTGAAGTGTCATAATGTCAGTTTTGCCTGAGCCGCCGCAATATTTTAAGTGTCGCAGAGATTAAACATACCAGGTCCGTGGCAAGATTATTAGTAAAATCCTCCCAACCATCAGCCAAAACACAGGGTGCCAGAAATAATACACATAATATAGTCAAATGCATTATGACCCAAAAATGTGTCACGGACAGACAAAAACATGGATAGACAATAACATTGTTGGACGTATTATTTTGTTGCGCTGTTGCGGCTCTCCTTGGGTCTTAATAGCTGCGCCCCCATTGTGATTTTGCTGATCCCTGTTCAAAAGGATGGCTAAAGTGGGGTATTCGTCCGTTCGAAATGCCTAGCGGCGCTATTCCTGTCCAGTCTTGAAACTACTCAAGCTGCGCCTGCATGTGTGTAAGCGCCGTGACAGATGACCAGGAGTGTTGTCTGCTTAACACGCTAATAGCGGCCCGCATTGCGGCTGCGACCTGGAGGTAGGGTTAAAGTAGCAACTCGACAGATTGCCCCGATCAGACTCATGAAGCCAATCATGCATAGGATATCCCGAGACAAGATGTCCGGTAAATCTAGAACAATGGGTTGCATCCAGTCGAATATCCCTCGGAAGAGGAGTGCGAAAGGAGCATATTAGGCCACGCCTTTCTTGATTACGGAGTCTTTGATAATAGAAGAACAATGTGCGAGTCGATATGTTCATCAAAATTGTGCTTCAAAAGCCAAAGAATATTAGCAGCAAAGTAAGGACTAAGTTCACGAACTTGACGATACCCATCGCAGACAATCAGCTGAAGAAGGAGCTTCATTTTAAGCCACAAGCAAATCCATCCAGAGAAAAACAAATTCCACCAACGCCATTCCAATGATAAGAGAAAGAGACTATGAGCGGCCAAACAAGGTATCTCAAGTCCACACAATATGAGCGAGATATGCATGCTGTTTAGAAGATACTGTTCACGATGTTGGAGCCGACAGTAGCACCGGCACCGAAGATTGCTGCAAACATGGTTAGATTTCCTCATCAGGATCAAAGAATATACTCTCGACATACCAGCATTGCCCAATTTCTTGCCAAACTTCTTGCCATTCTGCTCAAACTTGCTCTTCTGCTCCGGATCATTGGTAGCAGGGTTAGATCCGCTCTGGCTAACAGCCAAAGGCATATTTCCATAGTTGGTCGGCGGGGGCGGCGTATAGATGCCTGCCTTCTCATCGACCTCCTTGACATAGCTCTTCGGGAAGATACCCTCCAAGCCGGTACGCTCGTTACGACCACGCCACCCTGCACGTGCATGTTAGCTATCGAATCTCGATAAGATCGGCAGTTTTCCGAAACATACAGTCAACATTCATGTGCTCAAGAACTAGGATACGATCATTCTGCACCAGCGCTAGGTCGCCCTCATCGGTTGGAGTGTATGCCCACATTGCAGTAGCGTAACCCAAAGATGGCGGCGCAGCCTGAGGGTATGCTGGCGGTGCCTGCGGAGGCGGGGAGGCGTATTGGTTGTACACCGGGGTCTTTTCGTTCAAGGGGAGGGTAGATGGCTGCGTCGTCGGGGGCGAGTATGGGGCTGGAGGAGGTTGCGCTTGAACGGGCTGGGGCAAAGCTTGAATCTGCAATGGTGAAGGGGGTGTCTGGTTCTGACGTGCGGCTGCGGTACGAGCGTCGGTCTCGGTGGGCAGTTGTGCGAGAATAGCATTGAGCTGGTCGGGCTTGATTACATTTGAGTCGGCGAGGAACTCCAGCTCCTAGATTATCGTGAGTTAGTGGCGTTTTGGCTTCCAGATACCGGGACGCTGAGGGGGTGGATGAGCATACATTCTTGAGTATGCGGAGCGACCGGATGGTCATGGCGGACTGGAACTCGCTCGCCATGGTGGGTTAAATCGCGGGATATGGGAGGAAGACGAGTACTTTGGGTACTGGAGGATAGAAAAGAGGTCTTTCTGATCAACGCGAGGGGTTTAGATCGAAAACTAGGGGAGAAAAAGAAGCGACTGGCGAGGGAGGAGAATCGGGGAGATGCCAGGTGTGGATTGCCCGGAACATGTCTTGTTGCCTTGGGGGGCCAAGACTTCCGAATCTCCAGGGGACAAGACAATTTTTAGGCATAACTCGGAGATCCATATTTAGTGAATAATAATACGCTAAACAAATAACTAGCCGACTCTTCCTTTACGTGAGGAACTGATCTTAAGCGACAGGTCTAAATACAGCACAATACTCCCCATCTTTTGATCTCCAATTACCATCGCTGGCCTCGTATTCGTATTGGTACCTGAGACCCGGCGGGGAATGTTGACAATGTTAGAGTGTAAACGGGAAAAGATCCGGATCAAATTAGGTTTGATACTCCTTAACGCTCTTAAAGATGTTCCGAATTTGATTCAAATCTGTTCTATAGATTCTCGATGCGGGTATATTCCAAGTGTCAGAGAAGCCCTACTATCTCGCAATGTTCATTGTATATCCTGCGTATCCTGCGACTCGGTGACTGTCTGTTACGCAAAGAGTTTAGCGTGTCTATTCAGGTTTAGCACCTATCGTCATGCATGTTTCTATATGCATTCATCGCCGCTTCAACTTTCAACTATTCTTCGCTCTCAGAGCTCTCTGGCGCAGTCTACTGGTCAAAGAACACATTCGAATTAGATGAACCGTGATCTGAATCATCTATTCCATTATACGAGTCAAATAAGAGGCTTTCTGGCTAGTTCCTGAAGTCCCGACTGGGACATCGAAGAAGCGATCTCACGGATGTCTCGAGGCACAAATTCTTGAACTTCGTCGCCCATCCGCCCCCAGAGATAGAACGTATTGCCCGACAGGAAAATTGTGTGCCACCCGTTGATATCTTCCATAACCGGCTGTCCTGGTTGCAGACCGTAGGATCGAGCAATGATTTGACCTTCGGAGTCGGCGCCTATCCACTCTTTATGGTAAAGAGGATTTGATGGACTCGAGTTCCAGCCAGGGGGATCGGTAAACTGGAAATCCTTGGCGATGTGACCAAAAATAAGAGGGAGTTGGCCTGTACTTACTGGTGGTAGACTGGAGGTTTTCGTAGGTGACTCGATCGAGACCACCTTAGAAGGTGGAGTAGAGACTCCGGAGGCAGACATTATCACGACGATAGACAAAGTTTCGGGGGTACGCTTTTTAGAATCTTCAGTTAGTGAAAGAATCAACGACCTGATTACGGGCAGGTCTGATGTAATTGTTAGCCACGCGGATGAATGCAAAAAAAACAAAGCAAGCTACTATTATGGTTCTTAATTTAAGGTTAAGTATATCTCTTTGGGTAGGTCATATTAAAGAATATCCGGAGGCACCATCAGCGTGAGCTTTTAAGCGCATACAATTAGGTGAAAAGACCATGATTCTTAGTTACTCCATTCCCTTTTGCACAGCACCAGTCGATAGCCATCTGGATCCTCAAGGGTGACACCCCAAGTATTCCAGTACGGATTCGGCGCTTCCAACCGCTTCCCTCCCGCATCGACCAAGGTACTGACCACGGCAGGATCAACCGGTCCATCTAGATAAATCACAAGGAGATCCTCCTCCGTTGGGCGTGGCTGCATGTCCACACCGTCCTGTTCATATACCTGAACAAGTTCTAGGTGCCATGATGCGCCTGGCCAACCTAACATGAGGAGCTCATGACCACCTTCAACATGCTCCGGGGGCCCAGAACGCCAGAGCACATGCAAGCCTAGTCCGTCCTTCCAGAACTTTTCGGCAGCGGCAAGAGATCGAGACGGGCGTGCTATGCGAATGTGGCTTCTTGGTGATGGGCGGTTGCCCTTGCCGGGCTCTGTTGCGAGAGGTGACGATGGTGGTTCGGAAGCTGAAGTCATGACTTTGGATAAAGGATTCGACTAATTTTGGAAATGCAGGTTCTTGAAAGAGCGATGGATCCAGCAATGACTCAAGTTATATACCTCTGACTCTAAGATTTCTAACTGGAGTGCTGATATTTGTAATTCGAGGCAATCTAGAACAAATAGATCTAGCCAGACGCATCACTGATGAAATGAAAGCGGGGTCGCGGTTAAGGTTTTGAAGATTATAAGTAGGATGAGCTAATTATAGGACTACCTCGGAATGTCAACTTTCATCATAGATTGTTTTCGCTTAAACTATCCGTTAATAACTGGTGTGTTGGAATGCTTCAGTAGTAAAGCATAAAAGTGGTTCAAATTATCTTCCATGCGTAGGATTTAAGTAGAAATGAAAGGCTACGCTCAAGATCCTGAAAAAACGAATATTTAGAATGAAGAGAACTTAGTAATGATTCACTAACTAGCGGCGTAGGGTAGAACAACTATTTCAAATTCTTGAAAATCGAAGTATAAGAGTGCGGATGTATGAATGGCTCTGAGAAACAATCCGGATTAGAACCCTTTAACCCTTGACCTCTCCAACTACCTTGGTAATCGCTAGTCCATCCTATAGATCGTCAGTAAAATTGTCTCGCAAATTTATCAGTACCCATGACATACCTTTCCCCAGTCACTTTCGAACATCGGCACTTCGGTCTCATAAATCAAGTTCGGGTTAGGTTTGAGAGACCCCGGGTTCAACTTCGCAACCATCGCACGTTTCTGCTCCGGGCTGCCCTTCACCCACTCCAGATATTGAGGGGCACCCGGCATGATAACATTGTCCGCAATCAGCAGAGTCCTGTCCTGAGCGAGAACACCCATCTCTTCCAGCAACCACAAGTCAGGCAGATACAGTTCTTGCCAATGATCGATGAACAACATCTCGATTTGATCAATCTCTCTGCGCTCACGAACAAGTTCCACCAATAGCTCATCGCTAGAACCGATCAGGATGTGGACGACATCACGCAGACCGGCGAGCTCGACGAGCTGATTCGCAACAGCGGCCATCTCGGGGTTCTTCTCTAGGGTGTAGAACTGCTTTCCACCATTTGCGCGGACTGCATCGCCAAAGAGAATGGCCGAGTAACCAATGTAGCCACCGAGTTCAATCATAGTTGACGGCTTGTGCTCGGCGATGAGGCCGGTGATATGCGCGCCCTTGACTGGGCCGATGTTCATGAGCATGTTGTGGTTTGAGTGGTAGTCATCAATGGCAGCGAGGACTTTTTGTGGATTACCACGCAGCTCCTTGATGTCGGGGCGACCATAGATGTAATGAAGGAGGTCAACCTCTCGGCCATCCTGTGAACTGTTAGTAACTTGACTTTGTAAACAATCAAAATAGCTTACCAAACACCAAGATCGGGGCTCAGGCGCGTGCGGCTTCGCAATGGTGGACATTTTGCAGAGTAGGAATAAAAGAACAACAGTAGTAAAGACTCGGATTTTTGATTGAGGTAATTCTCGTTGGCTGTATAATTCTAGTTAATCGTTGATGCTGTCGCTTTTTTATACTTCATTCTTCGCGAACTATACATCTCGGACTTATCAGGAGATTAGCCATCGTCTCAAACAAGAAACCCCGAATCTTGTTCGGGGCTAGACTTGGTAAGTCTCGACTACTCCGAACGGTCGCAAACTCCGAGACACATAATGCAAGGCTGCACTAAGCCTTAAAGCTCCACATCAAAGACGGATCCGATAAACATACTGAGGAAATCTTATTAAAGCCGTAATCTACGCTGAGGGCGATGTCCTTTCATGCAATTTTCCAGGGTGAAACTGACTAGTATTATGAGGCACCAAGGCAGCAATTTATAGTAGTGCGGTCAGCCTCGTGGCGGGGAAGTCGGGAACCCGAAATGGACATCGACATATGTAGTCCTGCCCGACTAGCAATTGTGATGGGATATAATAATGAGTCATCTGTAAAGTGAATAGATACTCGTGGTTTTAGGCAATGCCCTTCTCCATGTTTCATCCGGCCTGAATTTGGTTGAATTGAGGATGCGACTGGAGACAGAGTTGGTATGACATCAAGTGGGTCGGTGAGATCACTCCAAATCGACGATCAATTCACTAAGATGAGAGAGAATATCATGGATTGAGCCGATAATGTATGAAAGTGTGGCTAGAATAAGATATGGATGGTAATGAAAGCCTTAGTATATACTATGTAGAGACTCAGGAATGATGGCTCATGAATCTGGCGGTCGTATGGTGGCGAGGGTATCGCGTAAGCGCAATTCCTGTATCAACGATCAAGAGGAACCATATACACCAATAGGTGTTTTATCACACTGATATGCCTAGAAATGAATGGAACAAAGAAAAATCTGATTATATTCCGCCACAATAACCAACAAGCAAAAAGACGGAGTTAACCCTCGAAGCCGATGCCCTCGATGGCAATGCCCGCACTAAGCCTAAACGGGACTAGCGCGTGACTCCCCTCCCTCATAACTCGAGAAGCTTCTGTGCAGTATAAATTGCATCTTCAACCTCACGCGAGCATCGTCATATCCCCACCCTCTCATCCACCACCAACACCTCTCTTACCACCCCAAAGCATCAACTCATCCGTCAAAATGAGCGACTGGGACACCGTCACGAAGATTGGCAGCAAGACTCGCGGTGGCGTTGCCCCTCGCGAGACCGTTGTCAAGGGCAAGAGTGCCTTGAACGCCGCTCAGCGTTCCGGCCTGGTCCTCGGCACGGAGAAGAAGTACACTACCGGCAACATCGTACGTTCAATCTCACTTTCCAGAAACCGTCCACGGACAAAGTGACAGCCTTTGCTAACCAAATGATTCTCCTACAGGCCGCTAAGTCTGGTGCCCCCGAGGGCCAACACCTGACCAAGGTCGACCGCAGCGACGACATCATCAAGCCCAAGACCGTTGGCTACGCCGTTGCCGATGCCATCAAGAAGCGCCGTACCGAGGAGGGTTACAAGATGACCCAGAAGGAACTCGCCACCAAGTGCAACACCACCATGACCGTCATCCAGGACTTCGAGCGCGGCACCGCCACGCCCGACCAGAAGGTCCTCGGTGCCATGGAGCGTGTTCTCAACATCAAGCTCCGTGGTTCTGACATCGGTGCCGAAAAGTTCCCCAAGAAGAAGTAAACTCGAATCGGGGGTGAGCCCGCGACTTGTTGCTTTGCTTCTTTTTGGGATGAGATCGGGACAAATTAAAGTTCTGCATTCTTTCCTTTCCTGCGTTTCATTTTTTTCGTTCTTGATGATCGTCATGTCCTCCCTGAAGTTTACGTCTCGATGATTTGGGATGTTTTACTTCTGTTCTCCCTTGTGGGTTTCTTTTTCTGATGGCTGTATTAGCGTCGGCCATTGCATGGAAATGGGCTTAGAGAAAATTATAAAAATGTATAAATGAGATACCTCGAAGTCTTGAGTGATGTTTAGCCATTTGAACTATGTAGATAATTGTAAAATCCCGGTTCATTTTAAGCCCAACACCCAGTAGGCCGCGCAGCAAGTCGACCACTTCCATGATACCCATAGTCCTGTGGATATGCCAATGGATTCTTAGGAGTAAGTTATGGCAGCTGGACTTTCGCACAATTGTTTCTCGTACGATGTCTGCTTGATACTGGACGTGTAGTATATTCTCGCAACATATATTATTGTGAAATCCTCTACGAATATTGCTAGATGGTGGCTGCGATTATATATCACGACCCCGGGCATATACATGGCTTTGGTGGGGTCCATAGCAACACTTCAAGACGAACTCTTTGCAAAAATCCCACTTGAATTTTTTAAACACGATCGTTTCAAGTAGAATATATGCACTGTGGCTTCGAAAGCGGATTGATTTCCATCTCAGACGGGATGGGGCCCTGGCTGACGAGATGTCATGACCCAGGACCCCGAGAGTTCTTGGACTGGCACGAGGTGTTATCATTTACTTCCAGTTGAAGTCAGTAACTGATCCTGCCCGGTAGCCTAGTGGGTTAACTCCCCGGCTGCTGTAGCCACTTCGGTGGGTTCGGAGGTCGTAACTGCGAGGAAGCTTCTGTGGAGCAGGTGCGGCTCTCCGGCGGGTGAGGTTTTTTATATTTGACTTCTATCTAGGATGTCTCCCTTTTAAAGTATTTTTATCATACTTAATCTATATCAAATTAATCACTGAATCTTATAGAATAGATTAGTCCCTTTTAAAATCATTTAAAAGGTGGTCTGGTGGTTATATCATATGTTGTTTGTTAGGTGCGGCATCGATGTGAAGCCGTGGGCTGTACATGGAGCATCGCCATGAAGTACATAGGGAGCGAGAGGTCGCGGGTTCGATTCATGGCGAGGGCGACTCTTTTTAAGACTAGCCCGTAGTACAGTAGTATACCGGTGATCATTTCGTTCCATAAGATAGAGCAATCATCTACGTACTTAAGTGTCATCTTTGTATGGTCTAGATTGAACGTTTTGCAAAACTTCATATTGTCTATTTCGCGATATGCATTTCCCCCAGCTGGCCACACCAGCAAAGAGGAACGAGAGCTACCCCGAGAAAACCCAGAATGTGAAGCATGCCATCTTTCATTAGAAACCAAATCAATAACAAAGGGGGGTACCAACTCCGGTTGATCATGTAATCAAGTAATGAAATGAGAAACCGTGCCTTGAGGAGGGTCATCATCTCATTCCGTATGCCGGACTCGGGGGAGCAAAGCACAGAAAAAACTGCCCCCGAGTCTCTTGTTCGCATCGTAAAAACACATTCAGACAGACAGCGCAATGATTGAAAAAAAAATATTCAATCATGTTTTTCCTTTTTTTTTCCTCTCCGGGTTTATATTTCCTTTCATATCTCTTCGCCATTCCGTCGCTTACTTCCGCAGCTGCTCCCGCTCAACCTCGTACATGAAATCGAAGTAGGGCTTGTCGAAGTGGTGAATACGGACGTAACCGTCCTCACCACCCGAGGCATATGCGGTACCGGCGGGGTGCACGTCGATGGTGTTGAGGGGACCGAAGTGGCCACGGACACGGCCGATCTCGTCTTCGAAGACCTTGTGGTAGAAGCGGGCCTCGAACTTACCCTGACGGGCAGAGGTGGTTGTGACATCCATGGCGGCCTGACCACCACCGAGGATAACGTAGTCCTTCTTGGCGGTAATGGAAGCAGAGTTGAGGGGGGGTATCGGCGACGTAGGTCTTGAGGATAGCGAGGTTGCTGGCAGCCATGAGCTAGAAAGAAAAGTCATGTTAGCAAAACGATACCGAAACAGTATAGATCCAACGGCGCATACCTTGGCAGACTTGTCTTTGGAGGCGGTGATGAAGTAGGTGCGGTCGGGAGAGAATTGGAGGTCGTTGATCTGGTGGTCGAACTCGTGGGCCTGGACGTTCTCCAGCTGGTCACCAGTCTATATTGGAGGTATATTAGTATTCCGGCCAACATTCCCGTAATTTAGTCGCGCAAAAAGATAAAAGCTCGGCGTACCTTGGGGTCGTATTGGCTGACGCTGCCATCCTCGTGTCCAGCGATGATGTACTTGCCCAGATAACTCCACCCCGCCACGGTAGCCTTGCTCTCATTGCAGGTAATGCGCAAGCTAGGCTCATCGGCCTGAACGTTCAAGTTGTTGAGCTCGCCGTCACCGTAGGCAATATCGAAAACCGCAATTGTACCGAGGAAACCCATGCGCTTCTCCGTCACGGCCAGCAGCTTGGATCCATCGGGGGAAAAGGCCACCCGCTTAACAGCCGTCGGGAAATCCCAGGTCTTCACACACTCTCCAGTCTTGATGTTCCATAGCCGAACGGTGTTATCTGCGGAACCGGTAGCGAGGAGGACGGTGTTGGGGCTAACGTCGACAGTCCAGACGGCACCCTGGTGACCAGAGTATGTTCCGAGACGCTCGCCGTTGGCGGACCACCACGCGCACACAACCTTATCCTTGGAAGTCGAGAAGAGGAGATCGCCATCGGTGTTGAACTTGATTTGGGTCAGGGACCGTTCCTGGAGAGACGCCGCACGGCTACGGTTAGTTTCTTCGAGAACCCAAACGGGGCAGAGATCGCACGCACATGGCCCGACAACAGAATAGGCCGCATCTTGGGACGGTGCGACAGGAGTATTCGAACCGAAGGAGAGGAAATTCGAGGTGGATCGGCGTAGGAAGGAGGGGTTCGAAGAAGGCGGGTATACCGGAGGGGGTCAATCTCGTCAACCTCACTTTCTTTGACTAGTGAATTTCATCGCACACTCGGCCACTCAGCGCCAAGACCTGGCCGTATCGAATCCCGCTTTCCGGAGAAAACAATATTCCGGTATCTACACGTGACTGTACCCCTCCAGCCCTAACCCTACAAAGATATCAAGGGGATACATTTATCCGTTCCGAGGTGACTCATCGTGCTGCAGTCGGGACGGGACCAGTGTCTCGGCATTGGATGCCTCAGGCTACCAATTTCTCGGTGCAACCAGCCTTCCGTTGGTATTCACTCCGAGAGCCTCCTATGAGACGACAAAGGAAACGAAACCCAGCGAAATACAAGGAGCACGAGGTGTGTGAGGGGGACCAAAAAGCTACAGATGAGAATGTGAAGCTTTTCCACTCCGATCTTTCCCTTCATGTTTCCCGGAACCAATCCTCCCATAGCCCCCTTTCCTTGTGATCCCGAAGGTGCAGCAAAAGTAGCTCCGAGGGTTCTCGCCCCTAAAGAAGCAATAATTATTCATGCCACTCTTCCCCGCCACGGGACCCCGCTGTCGCTTTTCCTGCGCAGCGCGAGCGGCCAATTTTCGTCTCCGCACTCTCTCTCCGTGGTTTTCCCTTCCTCTCAACCACTTTTCCTCCGCACGAGGGGTTCGAGGAATTGCTGTACCGTCCTTGTCTCTATTGACTAGTCGGTCTCCACTGAGTCCAGCTTTTAAAACCCCGCCGGCCGCCTCTTGTCATCGCACGTTCGCCAGCTCCGCGATCATGGCGTCTAAGATTGACGGCACCGCTATTGCCAAGAGCATCCGTGAGGGTCTCAAGGCTGAGATTGAGAAGACACAATTGACAAACCCTCGGTTCAAGCCGAATTTGGTGATCTTCCAGGGTAAGCCTCTTGTACAATGGAGTAGTGATGGGATGGCGGTGACAATGACTAACCTATATTTTTGAACTACAGTTGGCAATCGGTCTGACTCCAGTCAGTTCTTCTAACTTCTGTACTAGGTGAAATAGAAAAAAAAATGAGCTAACTAGCCCATAGGCACCTATGTGCGCATGAAGTTGAAGGCCGCCCAAGAGGTGAGATTGCCCCTCCTTCAGATGAAGCCTAAACCGATAAGCTTACTGATCCCTGTCCCCTCATAGGCCAACATCATCTGCACCCTCATCAATGTCCCCGAATCCAGCACCGAGTTGGAGCTTGTCCAGGAAATCACCAAGGCCAACAATGACCCCTCCGTCCACGGCATCTTGGTGCAATTGCCCCTCCCCGGCCACATGTCCGAGCATACCATCACCTCGACCGTTGCAGATGAGAAGGATGTGGATGGATTTGGTGCTGTCAACATTGGAGAGTTGGCTAAGCGTGGTGGACGTCCCCTGTTCACTCCTTGCACTCCCCTTGCAGTCATGGAGCTGCTCAAGGCCAGCGGTGTTGACCCCGCCGGCAAGGAAGCCGTTGTTCTGGGCCGCAGCGACATCGTCGGCAGCCCCGTCAGCTATCTGCTCAAGAATGCCGACGCTACCGTCACCGTGTGCCACTCCAAGACCCCCGACATTGCTCGCGTTGTGAAGAATGCCGATATCGTTGTCGCCGCCATTGGCCAGACCGAGATGGTCAAGGGCGATTGGCTCAAGCCTGGTGCCGTCGTGATCGACGTCGGTATCAACTACAAGCCCGATGCGACCAAGAAGTCTGGTGAGCGTCTTGTCGGTGATGTCGACTTCGAGTCTGCTTTCCAAGTGGCCTCGCAGATCACCCCCGTCCCCGGTGGTGTTGGTCCCATGACCGTTGCCATGCTGCTGAAGAACGTGGTCTCCGCAGCCAAGGCCTACTTTGAGAAGCAAAAGGACCGCCACATTACTCCTTTGCCTCTGAAGCTGCTGACTCCCGTCCCATCTGATATTGCCATCTCTCGCGCCCAATACCCCAAGCCCATCACTACTGTCGGTTCCGAGATCGGCATTGCTCCCCACGAGTTGGAGCCCTACGGCCACACCAAGGCCAAGGTCAGCCTCGAGGTCTTGGACCGCCTCTCTCACCGTCGCAATGGCCGTTACATTCTGGTCTGCGGTATTACCCCTACTCCTCTCGGAGAGGGCAAGTCTACTACTACTCTCGGTCTGACCCAAGCTCTGGGTGCTCATCTGAACCGCATTGTCTTTGCCAACGTCCGCCAGCCCAGCCAAGGTCCGACCTTTGGTATCAAGGGCGGTGCTGCCGGTGGTGGTTACAGTCAAGTTATTCCCATGGACGAGTTCAACCTGCACTTGACTGGCGACATCCACGCCATCACTGCTGCCAACAACCTTCTCGCTGCGGCCATTGAGACCCGCATGTTCCACGAGGCTACCCAGAAGGATGGAGCTCTCTACAAGCGTCTCGTCCCCGTCAAGAAGGGCACGCGTGAGTTCAAGCCCATCATGTTCCGCAGATTGAAGAAGCTTGGAATCGATAAGACCAACCCCGACGACCTCACCGCGGATGAGATCCGCCGCTTCGCTCGTCTGGACATTGATCCCGAGACCATCACTTGGCGTCGCGTTCTGGATGTCAACGATCGTCACCTTCGTGGTATTACCGTTGGCCAGGCTCCCACCGAGAAGGGTCTGACCCGCGAGACCGGATTCGACATTTCCGTCGCCAGTGAGTGCATGGCTATTCTGGCTCTCAGCAACAGCTTGGATGACATGCGCGAGCGTCTGGGACGCATGGTTGTCGCTACTTCTCGCAGCGGTGACCCCGTTACTTGCGACGATATTGGTGCTGGCGGTGCCCTTGCCGCTCTGATGAAGGATGCCATCAAGCCCAACCTGATGCAGAGTCTCGAGGGTACCCCCGTGCTGGTGCACGCCGGTCCCTTCGCCAACATCAGTATCGGCGCTAGCTCCGTGATTGCCGACAAGCTGGCTCTGAAGCTGGCCGGTACCGAGCCCGATGAGGACCACGACGCCAAGACCGGTTTCGTGGTCACCGAGGCCGGATTCGACTTCACCATGGGCGGTGAGCGTTTCTTCAACATCAAGTGCCGCTCCTCGGGTCTGTCTCCCGATACCGTGGTGATTGTGGCTACGGTCCGTGCTCTCAAGGTCCACGGCGGCGGTCCCGAGATTAGCCCGGGCGCAGCCCTGCACGAGATCTACCGTACCGAGAACGTGGATATTCTCCGCGCCGGTTGTGTCAACCTGCGCAAGCACATTGCCAACGCCAAGCAGTACGGCGTGCCCGTCATCGTTGCGATCAACCGTTTCGAGACTGACACCGAGGCTGAAATTGCCGTCATCAAGGAGGAGGCGATCGCTGCGGGTGCGGAAGACGCTATCCCCGCCAACCACTGGGCTGAGGGTGGAGCCGGCGCCGTTGACCTGGCCAAGGGCGTGCTCGCCGCTAGCTCCAAGCCCAAGGACTTTAAGCTGCTGTACGATCTGAACGGCAGCATCCAGGAGCGTATTGAGCGCATTGGTAAGGCGATGTACGGCGCCGAGAAGGTCGAGTTCAGCGAGCTGGCCCAGAAGAAGGTCGACACCTACACCAAGCAGGGCTTTGCCAACCTGCCCATCTGTATTGCCAAGACGCAGTACTCGCTCAGTCACGACCCCGCGTTGAAGGGAGCCCCTACCGGGTTTACCGTGCCCATCCGGGATGTCAGACTGGCCGTGGGTGCAGGATATCTGTAAGTTTCTTTTTCTCCGGGGACCCCCACACTCTTTTAATCACAAAGTATAACGGACTCGATGTGAGATCACGTGCTAACCTTGATGATTTCTAGGTATGCTCTGGCCGCCGATATTCAAACGATCCCCGGTCTGCCCACCGCACCGGGTTACCTGAATGTGGATATCGACACCGAGACCGGGGAGATCGATGGACTGTTCTAGAGTCATTGAATTTGACGAGGTACAGTTCGGTTTTTTATGAATAGGAATGGATAGAATTGGCAGGTTGTATATACAAAGGCGAGGGTTGCCTGGGTTATTCCTTAGGAGTGAACTATGCAGGGAGCTTCTTCTTTTTCAACACATAACATTTACGACGATAATCTGGCGTCCGAACGGAGCAGGTCTGAATTAGACGGGGAAATATTCAACACTGGAAGCCAGATGATTTTCTTTTCACAAGGGGATATGAGAGGAAACAATATAATGAACAAATTCTTTCTATATGTCTTGTGCGGAGTACATACGAGTATGATGATGGTCTGTTAACTATATCGGTCTATGATCGCTGGATGCCGAGTCGCCTATTTACCTGGTCACATCATCTTATCGCTTAGATGATCGTATTACTCGGGCGAATGCTTCCCGTGCCAAAAGGTGGCCCCTTCGGTGAGAGACCGCGGAGAGACGCTCCGAGCTCCGGCAGCGCGACCGCAAACCGCCCAGCGGGTCTCCGGTGGGTAGCGCCTCTCGCTTTCTGACTCGCCCAGGGACCGCGATCGTGACTCAAGCTTGCTCGTCTTGGACTCTGGATTCTGAAAGGGGGGGGATTAAAGATCAGTGATTTTTTTTTTAAAATAACCTCCTCCACCGGGCCATAAATAAGGACCCAGGGTGAACCTAGGAAGAATTCATACGAAACTCCTCCGTGCTGTTCATAGTTTAGTGTCCCGTCTCGTGACGTCCGGCTTCGGCGCTTCTATCCAGCGGAGTTCGACAGTTTTAAAGAAGAGACATACTTTCAACCGGACAAGGCTTTTTCCTCCCTCTTCGCTGCTCTCAACTCGTTGCTTCTGCCCACTCGGTAATTCCCCCAGTCCCCATTTGCCTTGTCTGGAGTTGTCCATTATTCCGGACTCTCCCGTCTTGCCCCGGCTTTTTTCCACTTTCTCCAGGTCCTTGGGCAAGGTGAGATATCCTAGTTCTCCAGGCACGGAGTATCCGTGTCCTCCATATCCAAAGGGTATTTGGATATTCTAGTCGGAAATACCACGTCGGGGTGTCTGCCGTGAGTCTTATGACAGTGAACGGACAGAGAGAAGACCCTCGTCACAAGGAAATACTTCAACGATACGGCAAAGCCGGGGATAGGCGCTTCCGACTCCACTGCCGCAAGTTGCCATCCTTTCTGCCGAATATCGTTGCCTTTTCCCCTCGGTTGTTCGCCCCGACAAGTTCCCTCCGGTTTATCCAATTCCCCCACGTCCAACTCGGCCAATCCCACCAAACAGAAAGCTCCAATTGCAACCCGCAGTACTGACTTCCCGACCCTTCACTCTGCCAGTGCGAATCGCTATTCCCACACGATGATGAACTCCCACTCCCTTCGGTCCGCTTCCGCTTTCGCGCGCCGGTCCCTGGCGACCCCTCCTCCGTCGATTGCCCCTCTCTCTTCTTCTTCTCGTCTTCTCTCTTCAACTTCCTTTACTTCTTCTACTTCTTCTCCTCAGAGATCCTTCTCCTCTGCCCTCCGTCTTCCTCGCACTACCCGTATCGCTGCGTCTTCCCGCTGGTCCGGATCGACTCCTACTCTATACCTCTCTCAATCCCGCAACATGGCTACCGAAGGCCCCAAGATCAAGGTCAAGAACCCAGTGGTGGAGCTGGATGGTGATGAGGTATGGGTTCTCCTTTCCTTTTATAGTTCAAACTCTTCTGGCCTCGGCGCGTGTGTCACAAGCCTCGCTTCGCTTTCGTGCTTTCTCGGGTGGTTATCGTCCTTCGGTTCCCTGTGGACGCGGGGAAATACGGGGGTGGGAATCCACTCCCCTTTTGTATCATGTGTCAAAGGGAAACAAAATCCACCCGAGAATCGAATCAGCCAGCCAAACGAGAGTGACTCACTTGAAATTGCATTGAATGTGGTGCTAACCGGAGGGTGTTGATTGTAGATGACCCGTATTATCTGGCAAGAGATCAGGGAAAAGGTAAGCCTCGGGAACTTCCCCTCCTTTCTTATCAATCATTCAACTATACCCTTTTACACTTTTGCCCCTCATCGGCCCGCCCAGTCCTGCATGATCGTCCCGAATTGCGGTTCCGCATGCAGGATTGATGCATCACATTGGCTCATTCCTTCTTGATTCTGTCCGAGACTAACGCTGTGTGTCCCAATAGTTGATTCTGCCGTAAGTGCCGCTTCCTATGTTTGCCGAAAGTGATCTTCCCTGGCATGTCACTAAATCTTAATCAAGTTACCTCGACATTGATCTCAAGTACTACGACTTGGTAAGTTCCCTTCCGTAAGCCCGCATTGATGACGTCTCCCAAAGGAATATCTCGGGGCTAATCCATGTCCTTGTTATAGGGTCTCGAGTACCGTGACCAGACCGATGACCAGGTCACCGTTGATGCCGCCGAGGCTATCAAGAAGTACGGTGTCGGTGTCAAGTGCGCCACCATCACCCCCGATGAGGCCCGTGTTGAGGAGTTCAAGCTGAAGAAGAGTACGTACCTGCTCCTCACCGACTGTTTGTATCACCCCTGGTCCGAATACTAATTTTTGTCCCGATAGTGTGGCTGTCCCCCAACGGTACTATCCGTAACATCCTGTAAGTCAAAAGCTAACCTCCACTTTGAACTTGACTCTCCCCCCCCCCCCCGGAACCAATCAACTAACAATCCTGTCCAGCGGCGGTACCGTCTTCCGTGAGCCCATCGTCATTGACCGCATCCCCCGTCTGGTGCCTGGCTGGAGCAAGCCCATCGTCATTGGCCGTCACGCTTTCGGTGACCAGTACCGTGCCCAGGACCGTGTCATCCCCGGCCCCGGTAAGCTTGAGCTCGTCTACACCCCTGCCGGTGGTGAGCCCGAGCGCGTTCAGGTCTACGACTTCCAGAGCGGCGGTGGTGTTGCTCAGTGCCAGTACAACACCGATGAGTCCATCCGCGGCTTCGCCCACGCCTCTTTCCAGATGGCCCTCATGAAGGGTCTCCCTCTGTACATGAGCACCAAGAACACTATCCTCAAGCGCTACGATGGTCGCTTCAAGGATATCTTCCAGGAGATCTTCGAGCAGGACTACAAGAAGGACTTTGATGCCAAGAACATCTGGTACGAGCACCGTCTGATCGACGACATGGTCGCCCAGATGATCAAGTCCGAGGGTGGCTTCGTCATGGCCCTCAAGAACTACGACGGTGACGTCCAGTCCGACATTGTCGCCCAGGGCTTCGGTTCCCTCGGCCTGATGACCTCCACCCTGGTCACCCCCACCGGCGAGGCCTTCGAGTCCGAGGCTGCCCACGGCACCGTCACCCGTCACTACCGCGAGCACCAGAAGGGCCGCGAGACCTCCACCAACCCCATCGCCTCCATCTTCGCCTGGACCCGCGGTCTGATCCAGCGTGGCAAGCTCGACGAGACCCCCGACGTCGTTGCCTTCGCTGAGGAGCTCGAGCGCGCTTGCATTGAGGTCGTCAACGACGAGGGTATCATGACCAAGGATCTTGCTCTCGCTTGCGGCCGCAAGGAGCGCGAGGCCTGGGTTACTACCAACGAGTACATGGCTGCCGTTGAGCGGCGCCTGAAGGCCAACATCAAGTCCCGTCTGTAGATCTTTTCCCCCTTTCATGTTCATTGATGCATCTTTTCTTTTTTTTGATATCTGCGTTTTACCCCCAATGTAGATATGGGGCTACAGCGCGATTCGCCTGGTCTAGCCTGAGCTATGTACAGCTGTGACGAATAAAAAATTGTTGTTGATATCAATTATATTCCAGTGCGTAGATTTGAATAGTTGTACTGATTGTCAATCGACGAAGCCTGGCGAGAACACATTTTGTAAGATACAGACCCGGAGATACGATGAACGTTTCCAAGAGCCAAATAGTCTTCACCATTGTCCCGTATCTCATCTCCTTTCCTTTCTATGATCTATATCGGGTGAAATCACCAAACTAGACACTCACCAACAGCCCTCACAAACCCGTCTAGACCCAATTCTCAAAATAAACTTCACACTCGACTATTAACCCCCAATCTCATCTCTAAGCACGCCATGTCCTCTGCATGACATGCCCATGGCAGGTTCTGGCCCCCGCCACATAAAAGAACCGACAATCACCCGATGGCACGAGCAATCTTTTCTCCAGCAATCATCAACAACGTCTTCGGTCAAGTATCTCAGTCTCCAGTCGGCAACAAGTACTCCGTCAGCAACAAACTCCACCGTCGATCATCGGCCTCCCCGAGTCCCACAAGGGGAAGAGGACCCCCCACGGCCGAAGTAGCCAACTGGCCAAGCAAACGGCTATGATGATGTTTTCTCAAAAATCCGCCAAGGGTCCGCCACACACGACTCGCAAAAGTACGATGGACCAGGTGACCAGGTATACCTTGAATCGTGCGTTACCCCGTTCCGGGAAAGATTAGCGTGAACCCGTTATTAGGTACGGAATCCGAAGACAAGGTGGGCTTTCTGATTAGAGGTCCAGATTCTGGTTGGATCTGTAAACGAGTGCTGATGGGGTGGATTTGGGTGTTTTGGCTGGGTCGATGGGGTATAGACTTTTATTTCATCCGAAGAATCAGCGGGGGGACAATCAAATGGTGTGACGGTGGGATGGGCCTAGAGTTTTCTCGAAGAATGATTCTATTGGGTCTGGGTCGGGGGCGAGGAATATACTTCGAGTTTCTCGGTAGTTAGCATTTCGTATCTAGGGTTATCGGGCAAGACTCGGTGGGTGGAAGAAGAAACCGGCGTCTTAGACCAGTGAGATTGGAAGTACAGGGTTGCACTTAGATCACAACCCCACAACTTTATTTTGAACTAATGCAATTGGCAGGTCGCAGATACCATGGGCCTAGTTACTGTCAGTCGTAAGGTTGATCCGGTCCCGACTCTTTGACGCAATCGTCCACGACTTTCCTAATGCGGCCAGTGCACGGGGTTTGGAAAGCCAACCAGATGCCTCGCTCGTGAATCACCAGATCTTTTGGAAGGGAAGTGCGAGGGTCCCTGATAAGAGAGTGAAGAATTCTTTATTCTTTGTTCCGGGATCTCCTAGTCTTAGGATCTACTTCTTAGAGCTCCGGATTTTAGATATCGGCATTGCATGATTCAAGATCTTGCGATACATATATTCCGTTTATCGAAGTCTCAAATCTCGAAATTTGGTTTATAACATTCGTTTTGCTAGTTTTATCCCTCGCTCGATTGGCGTTGATTGCGTTATTAAGTGATGGTGGTTGTGCTGAGATCTGGATCTCCCGCTCGACTTGATCGACACGCTCGCCTCTTACAAGGCCATTCAACTGAGATATTCGGTATATTATTCGATGGACCCGACGACGTCGCAGATCATCTTCCCTGAATATGCGGGTCCTCGCAATTACCACTACCTTCACCGTTTTTGCGGCTGTGTTTGTGGCTATTCGTCTGTGGACGAGGTTCAGGATAGTCAAGAGTCCCGGATATGATGATTTACTGATCTTTTTTGCATTGGTATGTTGATCGCTTCTTGTTGGGCTATGATCGAGTTCACTGGGGTAGACTAAATGCTTACCTGTTTAACCTAGATATGCTCTATTCTTTTTTATGCCTTCATTCTCGTCGGTATGCTGCCCGAGTGCCTTGATTGAATTTCTAAAGCTGCTAACAAGGTCTCTTACAGAGCGCCATTATGGTCTCGGCATCCGCAAGAAATATCTCTCCGACGACACCATCCAGAGTCAGATGCATGTACGTCTATGTCCACTCAAGCAACTCTCAAGTGCTTTCATCCTAACCATCCACCTGTAGTACCTCTGGCTCTCCATCCCCTTCTACAATCTCTCTCTCATCCTCGCAAAGCTCTCCATCCTAGTCCTTTTCACCCGCATCTTCCGATCCAGAAAATTCCTCTTCTGCACATACGCCACCATGGCCTTCCTGATCATCGCAGGACTGTGGATGGTCCTTAGCGGATTCCTCTTCTGCATCCCCGTGCATGACTTCTGGAATATGAATTATAAAACTCATACCGGGCATTGTTTGCCAGAGGGCCCGGTTTGGTATGCCAATGCGGCGATGCAGATTCTTACGGATGTGGTGATTTTGATTCTACCGATGCCTTTGCTGTCAAAATTGCATTTGCCGCGGAGACAGAAGGTGGGGACTATGTTGGTTTTTGGGGTTGGTGTCTTGTGAGTACCTCTCTATCCAGAGTGGCAAAGACTCATTCCAATTGCTAATTCGTTACAGTGTGATTGCGACGAGTTCAGCACGACTCTTTGAGCTCTCTGAAATGGTCAATAGTCACGACTTTACCAGTGAGTTATCCTCCCGCGTCATTCAAAATACCATCCACTAATCATATCCAGAAACCAACTCCCAAGCAGCAGTCTGGTCCTCCCTCGAAGCAAACGTCTCCATAATCTGCGCCTGCCTCGCCCCCCTGCACCCTCTACTATCCCGCATCTTCTCCTTCTGCTTCCGCCCACAACCCCTCCACTCCTCCCCAGCCACAAAAACCCACTCCACAATAACCCACCTCACCTCCTCCCGCAAACACTCCATCTACGACCAAACCAATCCAGACGGGAGTATATACTACAACGATTTCTTCTACTCCGGTCCCGGCGCATACACGGCTAGTATATCCAAGACGAACACGCATGAAGACGAGACACATCGCGAGTGCGAGGATGAGGATGGGATTCGTGTTGTTAGGGAGTTGAGAATGGTTTCTGATGCTCTGGTTCCTGGGGGTCCAGGGTTTGGACTGGGCTTTGAGAGTACGAAGGATGGAGCGTTTGAGATGGAGATGGGGATGGGGTTGAGGAGGGGTCTGCGACTGCTGGGGATGGGAATGCGGTCAGGAATACGAGTATTGAGTGGGATTTGGGGGATTGGGAGTTTCCGGATTATAAGGAGAGGATGAATTCTCCGATTTGAATTATGAGATGAATGATTTGTATATATTGGGCGTGCATTGGTTGGTTGGGTTGGCATGGGATTGGATGCATATATACACGGATATCATGAACACGATGCGATGCTTGGATTTGGATACATGGAAATGAGCTATCTTCTATAATGTGGACATTGGACCTGCCAGAAACAGACGGGCGTCACCGTAGTCAGCATGCGTTATACCTAAGAAGTATCTATCAAAGGCTCGACCGGGCAGCATCCCTCCATCGCATAGCTTGCTCAATCGCCTTTGCCACAGACACACACTTTTCCTCCCCAAAGCGTCCGCCCACAATCTGTAGTCCAACAGGCATGCCATCAACCAGATCGATATCATCTATCATAAAATTAGCACATGATTCAATGCCATATCTGCGGTGAGACTTACACTGCTCTTTATTAAACTTATCGCCAGCATTACGCGGGACATGGTCCAACCACTCCTGACAGGGGATATCCTTCTCCCTTGACACAGTAGTAGCAGGAACCGCCAAAGCAGCATACCCCAACAAGTTCCAGATACTGGTATATCCCACATAGGCACTGGATTTGACCCATGTCCAGGGCTTGTATCCGACCCATGGTGTGTTAGGCATGATGAGAGCATCAATGCCAGAGGTTGTCCAGCGGTCGAGGTATTCACTCTCATAGAGATATTTGTCCGCATTAAGCTGGAAGTAGTCAGCACACGCTCGCATCTCGGAGTATAGATTGAAAGGGGGATGACAGTACTTGATGAGTTTCGGATGTAGTTAGAATATCCTTCTCCGTTCCAACAAGCATACCCTCGATCAAAGGCTCCCCCGTCATCTCGATCTTCCTGCGACAGCCCTCGCCGCCATCGGAGAGAATGGCCTTTTCCCAAAGTTGATACGCATACCCATGCGATGATGCATCCCATTCGAAAACTGCATTCACTGGTCAGATCATACGACAGCGGATAATGATGCGATGGACATACCTTCATGGCCAGCTGCCTTCAATGCAGCAATGACTTCCTGCACTGCCCGTGCAATCGGGGGCTGAACCTTGACCACGCCATCATCAACCAGGAAGCCAATTCGAAGCCTCTTCGCTTTGAGTGAGGCCACGCTTCGTCGCCACGGTACGGGAGCGGTATGTTGATCGAGTTCCCACGGTGATGCACAAGGTAGAGCTTCCATATACCGCTCAATAGTAGCCAAACTGCAACTCATGGGACCCGCGACCGAGCGAACAATATCTTGACCGGGACTATACAAGATCAGTACTTCGCAGATTTGAGTGGTGACAATGGGGTAGCCACTTACTTTCCACGCTCATATGGATGCCGTCCCGGTGTAGGCGACAGTCCGTATAGTCCACACAGACTTGCCGGGATTCGAATGGAACCACCGAGATCCGTTCCAATACCAAGTGCACTTCCCCTAGCCGCAACGAGCGAGGACTCGCCGCCCGAACTTCCGCCAGAAATGAGGTTGCGATTAAACGGGTTGACACATTGCCCGAAGACGTGGTTATAAGAGTCGGACATCATCATTGACTGAGGCAGGTTGGTCTTTACGTATAACACAGCGCCGAGACGTCGTAGTGTTCGCGCCACTGATTTATCTGCGGGAGCAGGGGTGTTTGTTAAACCGACCCATCCTGTACGAGTATTAGTATATCGCCATGAGAGAATAGGCTTGAATGGAAGCACAGTTCCTACCGATCGACGTATCCACCCCCTTCACCGAAAACAAATCCTTGATAGAAACAGGCAGCCCATGTAAAGGTCCAACAGTCGTCCCCGTCTTCGCTAAATACTCATCCATCTCCTTCGCCGTCGCAAAGGCCTCCTCGAAGAAAATCTCCGTACAACATATCGTCAGCTGGTGAGCCAATGCCGCGCGCTTAGCGAACGCTCTCGTCAATTCTAGTGAAGACAGCTCCGCGGAAGACAATTTGCGAAGAAGAACTGTGATATCCGTTTCTTCCGTGAGTGCGTGTTCCGCCGGTGTGAGGATGCGTCGAATGTATGCTAGAGCATCCGGGTGTGATTCTACCAGGGGGACTGGAGAGAGTCGCCACTCGGGTGGAATGAGGGCGAGTTGGTTGGCGCGCTTTTCGGCGGCGCGTTCTTGGTAAGTTGGGGTTGTTATGGTAGCTGCCATGATGCAGTCGCTATGAATGATTTGGACTTGTAAAGACTTGAAACAGGATGTTTCTTGGGTAGAATCAGGCCCCTCGGATATTTATGTTGGAGAGTACTTGGTATAGATAAGAAATGCGGAGAAGTGGTAGATTACCTTCCGCATTCGGCAAGTAATCAAATGCACGCTAACAAAGAGACATGCGGAGTAGTTGATTAGTACTACGGTACTTGTTCAAATGCCCATCGCCAACAAACAACCGAATTGGTTCCTCTTTATCGCGTTAGATAATCCCCTTCTCCCTCCATCTCCGCTCACACTGTTCCTGACCATCCGGATATCTCGGAAAGTCGCACAACTGGCAATTCCGCCAATAACCCCGCACCACCTCGCACTGATCTCCGGTGCAGGCATGCATACCCGTCAGATAAGCAGATGTCGCCAGGTGCACGTAGAATCGGGATGAAGTAGGCATTTTGGATATTGCATCGCACACTTTATCCACCATGGAGGAAATTACGTCTGCATGTATTTGTGTACTTGGTGATAAGCTGCCCTTTGCTGTGCGGGCGAAAGAAATTATTGCAGCCGAGCCTCGGTAGGCCACGTCTGCGAGACTCACATCCGTCAAGTTATTCGTGTTGATGCGTAGAATTTGTTGCATCGCTCGGGAGCTGAGATCGATGGGATCGAGATCATGTTCGCCTTTAGCAAGGTACACGAATAGCTCGAATGTATCTGGCGGGCATCCCACCCAATCCAGGAAGTCCTGAGTTAGAATCTTGCGATGCCAATTATCAAAGATTAAGTCATTATCCCCTCGATTCAAGGTGCCCATCACGTCAAACCAGACCAAGTAGGCTAGCACGTCCGCTAGACCTGGTATTCGTTCAGTGAGAGCGTCCAGCTCGGCTTTGTTCGTACAATGAAGGTCCAGTAGTGAGCGCGCCCCATGTAGATGGCGCTGCCAATTGCCAAAGGATCCGCAGCAAACCTCGAACATGGCGAAGGTCCCTATCCCGAATAATGCAATAGGATGTGCGGAGTCAATGACTCTGCTGAGGTTCGTCAATGCGACCAGATGCGATTGGATGGAATCGTCGTCATTCGCGCCTTGAAGGCGCAAGCGTGCATAGCTTAAAGTATGTGATATAAGCTCGATGGTCTCGTCCGGAAGTTCTTGCTTGCTGGACTGGATCTCTTGGTAAAACTCGGAGAGAAGATCGATGAAACCATTCAGATTGATGGGTATATGCTTGGTGGATGGTACCCGAAGGGATTGAGGCTCCTGCGATGACCGATCTCGATCTTGCGATAAAGGCGAGCTTGAGGATGGTGATTTTTGCGAAGTTGGTTGTTCTTTTCTCCGCTCTTTATTCCCCATCCAGATGACTCTTTGCGGATATTGGCACGTCGCTCCACTTTGTACGCATGGTTGACAGCGAGGGCGATTCAGATCACACTTGATTCCGTTATTCCGGCATCGCTCACAATGGCGATCATGGCGGATGCCTCGGGGCTTTTTGACGCCCGCCATGAGGCTACGAATTGATTGATGGGAATGTCCAATCTTATAGAATGCCGGCCAGATTGCCGGGAGATAAGAGTGCGGGGGAAACGGCGGGTTCCCCGTTTGGTATTGGCCGGGAAATACACATCCCCGAGACTACAGTGACCCTAACGTGCAAAGGCGGAGGATTGGTCCAACAGGAGATTGAATTTGTCTTCAAAAGGAGCGTAAAACTGGCAAATGCCACTCGGTGAAGCCGAGACTAAACTACCTAATGAAAAGAAGCAACATAATCATGTGCAGGGCGAAACGAGAACGCCACGATAAAGCAAGACCTGCCAGACATGGCAAGAGAAGACTGGGGTGCAAGGATTGGATAAACTCGACAGCAGTGACAACGCCCAGAAAAAGATCAAAAAATACAGAAAGGAGCGACGAAACATCCAAAACAGGAGATCACACGAACGAACGCCAGATATATGTACAGCGACGAACGCAAAAGACGAAGGAAGGCAGTGCAGGACAAGGCAAGACAACACAAGACTCGCGAATCACTAAGCAAGGAGCGACCAAGATATATACAACGATAAATGCAAGACTGAGCACGAAAATACCGAGACCTGCAACATGAACCAAAGGAGCGACAAAGTGCAGAAAGTGACAAGTCCAAAAGAAAAGACATCAACCAGGCATCAGAGCCATGAATGAAAAACGAAAGAAAGGCGAATGTGCTTCGAAAATCATGTTCAAGTCCCATCCCATCAAATTCCAGCCCATGTCAACAATTCAGCGACGAGGGATCTCAGGCCCGTTCTGGGTGGCCGTCATGTGGGTAAAGCGACTTCGGCTTGGGGTATCCTTCTTGCCCCTGTTCAACTTCTCCCGACGCTGCCGTCTCTTGGTGGCAGAGTTCGGCTGCTCAGGGCTGACCTGCTCGGGCTTGGACTTCTCAGGTTGGGGCTCATCGTTGACTTTTGATACACCCGGTTTGTATTTGGCAGGCTTGTCGGCACGACGACGGCGATGACGAACACGAACACGCTTCGAAGTAGCATGGAAACTTGGAGCCCGTGAACGCGCTGTTGAATCCCCCTTGAAGCCAGTACGGTGGAGTCTTCCGATATCAAAGTTAGATGGCCGACGAATCTTGCCTTCAGCCAGCAGCTGCCCGAGTCGCACGACCGCTGCTGTAAGGGATCTAGTAGAAGCGATGCTCTCATTGATGACTGTCATTGTCTCATGAGCGTCATCCTTCGGTGCCGATTCCTGAATGCGTGCTTTCAATTCAGCGTCGGCGTCAAAGCCGGTCCGAGAGTTGGGACTGGAGACACGGTCCACTCGGGGATCTGGGCTGTTGACTCTTTTGGCTTTATCAGGGACGACCGTCTTGTCAGATCGCGAAACCGATCTCTCTGAATCTGCATCCGATCCTGAGGACTGATGTCCACCTCGAGGATACGTCTTCTCGAACAGATCAGACCCGATATGGGAACAGGTGCTTGCAATGTCGCGGGCCTTTTCCATGGCTGCAGGTGTTCGCATGACAGATGGCATCACATTGGAGGAGATGGCTGGAATTTGAAACATGTACATGCCATGGAATGGACTCTGAACGGATGCTTGGATAGGAGGTTGACTCATGACGTTGATCGGTTGAATCACTGCTTGAAAATCGCATTCTGCAGCCTGGGTGAAGAAAGCCCCAGGGCAGCTTCTAGTCTGACTCGAAGCTGACTGGGGAGACTGCGAGTCCGAATTCCGCTCAGACGTGCTTTGATGCAAGGAATCAACGCTGCTGGAGCAATTTTGGCAGATCACATCGTACTCACCCTCCCGTGGGATGAAGCTGAGAGAGACTGGCTGCAGAGCTGCATTCAAGTCTGGCCCAAAGTTGCCAATATGCAACCATGACGGCAATTCATCCATAGGGATCAAAGGGGCAAGCAGACCGCCAGGCCGGAAGATACAGAAGCGAGGACGTGGCGGAATGTGTGAGTATGAAAGAGAAAGGGGTGTTTGGAGCATGATGACGGCTGAAACACGGTACTAGAGGAGATGAAAGATAGTGGAGGAGTTTGGGGTATAAAGACTGTTGGAATAAGGAGTGTACTTGTGCTTTCAGAAGGAGAGACAATCAAGCTTGCAAGCTGGGAAGATAAAAGCAGATGGAGATGATGGGGAGGAGGGAAGAGAAGAGAAGAGAGAATAAGAAGGGGGATGTTGATTGTTGCTTGTTTACATGGTCTATTGCTCCTGCCATCTATAGATTTTCCTAGTCATAACATACAAACGGAAGCAGAAACAACAGAAAGAGCAGTTAAGAACAAGAAGGAACCCGCTGTATCTATCTTCATCTATCCAATTAGGAAGGAATGAACGTGCCATTCTTGCAGTCAAATCCAAGATGCGGGTTCAGTTCGGCAGTGGCATCAATGCAGACTACGGTCGGCTCAGCCATACTCTGCGGGATGACTTGGATGTTGCTCAACTCGAAGTTCTTGCAGGAAGTGTTCGTGTTGCACTCAATAATGACTGCCTCGGTATGCTTCAAGTTCGGAAGGCCGAGATTATACCAGCAGGGATCCGATGCGCAAGATCCATCGCCAGGACGATACGTATTGACCGAACCCGTAAAGTCAGACCAGGTAAAGTTTTCCATTGCAACAGAGGCATTGTTGACTCGTCCAGTAGTCACACCATTGCCGAGCTGAGTCTGCGAGGATCCCTGGTTGAAGTAGCTCTGCGTCACAAAGATGGGGAAGGTCACATTGTAGACGCGGATGTTCTTCCAGCTAACATTCTTGACGAGTCCCTGGCCGCCAATCCACGACTTGAATCGGGCAGCATAGACAGCATCAATCACTGTGACATCTTCGAAGTGGATGTTGGAAACATTGGCAAAGGCCGTTTGATCCTGACCCAAGGAGCCAATGCTCATACCATGGCTCTGGTAGCCGATGGTGTTGTGCTCAAAGAACACGTTGTGGGAGCCATCTTGCACCGCAATGGCATCATCACCGTTGTAAATGACACTGTCCGTAATTCGAATGTTTGTGCCAGTGACATCGAAACCGTCAGTGTTGAAGGGGAACGATCCAGTGGACTCGGCATCGATAAAAGCGTGGCTAACAGCAATGTTGTCACCCTTAAGCTGAACATTCCATGCGATTGGCTTTCGCGACTTGAAGTATTTCAATGTGCCATCGGTAGTCTTGAAACTCATCAAATGAGGCCGAGAGGCAATTCCAGTGCCATTGACGGGGTTAGCATCCCACCAGGCTTGGCCGTAGGAGTTGATCCATCCATTGTTGATGTTGGATGAGCCAACGTAATCGATACGTGGGCCAGAGAAGGTAAACCAGTATTGGCCATTCGAGTAGAGAGATCCGCTTGTTCCGTTAACGATGCGCTGGATCTCGGTAATGCTTTGCGGCAGGTGAAGGTTTCCTTTCACTTGGATTTCAACATTGCTGAGATTTGCACTAATGGGTTTGAAGATGTTGTAGTCCACGCCTTCTTGGAAGACAATCACAGAGTCCGTGGCGCACTTGGCAAAGACGCCATTGACAGTTGCAGAGTCATCGGAAGTACTATTCGAAGCCGGAATAACGCAGCGACGAGGTCGACTCGAAGAACCGAGTGCGAGACCGGATAGTAAAGCAAAGGCAACTGTGCTGGAGAGTAACATTGTAAACTTAACTTCAATGGATGAACAAGTACTTCCTGTAAGCATCCGACAGGAATTGAGCTTTATATGTAGCGGTTTCCAGTGACCATGTCTACATCATGGCAATGCGATCGCCTAAATTCCAGACTAATTGAGCCAAGCCTTCTCCACAATGCGGGGGTATCTCCGGGGGAAGTAGCGTCGAGTGGATGGACTTTTATTTCAGCGGTTGCGGGGTTAGACGGCTATTGGTGGAAATAAGTAATCCTCCTCCCCCAGGGTCTATGACCCCCTGAGGTATATACATCTAGGCTGGGGTTTAGAGACTTTTGTTGAGAAAAAATGACGGAACTGCAGTGCCTCCGGCATTTACAACTATGAGCCAAAACAGAACGCCTCTTTGCTCAACTAGCTTGATCCTCGTATGTCTGCCAGACGTATTATCGGCCTGAACACTTCGATACTCGCAAGAGTCTGCGCCTCACAATTAACCCATCCGAGAGGACTCATTGACGATGGTTAATCTTTGCATTGCCACTTAGATTTACAAGGACAGCCAGGCGGGTACAAATACTTTTATAAGGAAATATCCCTATTATGAGCCAGTAGAAGCCGGGGAGTTGCACGAGTCTACTTCATCTCACAATGCCAAACTTTACCGTCTGGAATCTACGCCAGATGTTGGTTATGGCTAAACTTACCCCCGGAGCATCGCAAACCGGAGTGGTGGGAGTCCAAGACCTTGGTCGGTTTTATTATAGGGCGGATCAATGTTTGGATCGGGGCCTCGAGCTAGCAAAAGCTTAACAATTGCCAGTAGCCGAGGCCGAGTATAGGGCGCCACCTAGCGCCGTAAACTTTTGTCCTTTGGTTGAAATTTAATTTCAGCCCCCTTTGGCAGTAACTGACCTATGTGCTCTTCGTTCCCTTTTTTCGCCACTTACAGAACCATCCACTGAATAGATTGATCGTATGGATCGATTTTACGGGTAGAGTCAAGCTGCTTATTCGGAAAACTCAAGATCGAGATGAGTATGGGACAGTTCAGATTTGATTGAATATACGGAAGGACAAATGCCCTAACAGTTTTACAGGCCTAGCTTTAGAAGGCAGGTATAGGGTTTAAAAAGGGCGAACGACAATTTAGTGCTTCACATCACCAAGTTTTTCACTGACAAGTACGCCTAGATAGGCTAGGTTAGATAATGACCGGCATCCTGCTTCCAGTCGGCCGAGGTTAACCCCATGGGAACTACATACAACGACTGTAGCATTTCTCTAGCTAAATAAAGCGAGTAAAAACCTTTGGATAAGCAAGGATAAAGATCGTTTAGCAGACAAGTAGTCTCCTTGGAAGATGACAAAGGCAGGAGCGCGCATCAGACGGAAATGAACAAGACAAGGAAGACAGAAAGATATTGGGACAGACAGAAGGAAGGGGGCTGGGCCTTGAGGTAAACAAAGGAAGACTGAGAGGGAGGCACCTCTGTTCAGGTGCCTCTCACCTGGCCATTTTTCATTAAGATCCATATTTCCAAAACGATGGAGGTATTTGTCCAATCAATAGTGATTGCCTCTATGCTAGACTATGCCGAACAACATGGCATTCACTCTATGGCCCGACGCCCCCTGGCCAGTTCTGCAGAATCGGAGTTTGAGACACTTTCTCAGTTTCTCGTAGAAAGCAGACCAATCCTGTAAACAAATCAATGACCAAAGAAAAGACCACCACGCCATCCAATCTGGAAAATCCTCAAAGTCCGTCAGCAGTTTTCTGATTTCGTATGATCTGGTTGATTCGGTAGGATTTCGCCACCTTGTTAACCAGTAGAAATAGGCAATTTAGCGAAGGTAGCCGATTTTCAGTGATCTGAGGTGGTTCAATGTGATCTCTATTGATCTCAAGGGCTTCTGGAGATTAAAAGTGATGTATATACTGATCTAGCTCTTGTATCTGCAATACCACCAGTCGGTCAAAGCGGCATTAGCGATTTTATTGGGCAAATCTGTGACTAGAGAGTGTACATGTCGAGCTTCAACTACACTTCGACTCGTTCGACGCGGGATGTTTTCTCCTGCCTAAGGCAGTAAGTTTGTTCCTGCAAAAGGATAAGATCAATAGTTTTCACCATCAAGCCTCAATTCTCTTTCGTATCGCACAGACAGTAGTTGGCAACCGAAGCTCCTCAATATTCAATTTCCTCTGTCTGCGAGTCACCACAACACCATGGCTCACATCTTCCACCTACCGGTCGAAATGCACGAACCCATAGCTTAGCAATTGGAATACGCTTCAGACGTCAAAGCGTTGGGTAAAACCTGCTCAAGTTTCTATAAAGTAGCCAATCGGCGAGTTTATGCTCATTTCTCCAAAGATCGCTCTCCCAAGGGATTTCAAAAAATCATCAAACACATGTGGACGAGTTGCGCAAATCCTTCCTGTTTTCCTAGATAAGGGGTACGAGAAGCAAGAGCTTTTCGTAGACTCCGGGCGATATCAACAAGTGAATACAAAGCTTGATCCAAGTGACCGCCTCAAGGTTTGCTACTGGACTTTACTACTTGCTGCATCCGAATCCAATGCCGAAGTCGTTTCATTTTTCCTTTAGCATGTCTTCGACGGAAACGGCACCTATCGCTCTCAAGCTGTTGGTTTTGACAAATATACATAGACCGGTCCCTCGAGAAGACACCAGACGACACCCTCCCGATTGGCCAGATTTTTGATCGTCATTATGCTTCAGCGCGCAAGAGCGCAGCAGGCCCAGACCATGGGAGGGATTGGTCCCAGTTCTTTGTCGAAAAAGCGTTGAAGCAGTTTCATTGGCGAACGGTGTATCCTGTTCCAGCATAGATAGTTTTCTCTGGGTTATGGGATTGACGGTCTGAGGAGTGGACGAACAGAATTCAAAATTGAAGAATAGCTATTTAGGGTCGATCACAAAATTTCGTGTCCAAATATCTAACGTAATCCACGGCCGACCGGATCACACGGCCGACCGGATCACCCCTTCTAAATTCGCGTCTTTCTACCAACCTGATTAATTCAACCACCTACCATGCCACCAATTCGCAGTGAATCTAGCCATAAATTGGCCAACCAAGAGGGAAAGATCCTATTGGCCCTTTCTGATTTAAAAGAGGGCCGTATCTCTTCTATCCGCGCAGCAGCAAAGCTATATGAGATACCCTACACTACCCTACATGCGCGCGCCGATGGCCGAGTCTCACGCGTTGATAAGCGCCCATCTGGTCATAAATTGACCCAAACCGAAGAGGATGCGCTTGCTGAGTGGATATTATCTATGGATTCACGTGGAGCAGCGCCTAGACCGGCTACTGTGGGAGAAATGGCTAATATCCTACTTGCTACGCGCGGTAGTAACCCTCCGCCTACTGTTGGTGTTAATTGGCCATCAAGCTTTATTAAACGCCGCGATGAGCTTCGGTCTCGCTTCTCGCGAAGATACGATTACCAAAGAGCCCTAAACGAAGATCCGAAATCGATTCGGCAGTGGTTTACGACCGTACAGCGCACAATCGATGAGAAGGGTATACAACCGGAGGATATCTACAACTTTGATGAGACAGGCTTTGCAATGGGCCTTATATCTTCGCAGAAAGTAGTTACAAGAGCTGAATACTACGGTCGGAGGTCTCTTCTACAACCAGGAAATCGCGAATGGGTTACTGCGATCGAAGCAATCTGCGCAGATGGCTATTCACTACCGCCATGTATAGTCTTTAAAGGCAAAGTGGCTATTGCAGGATGGTTTAACGAAAATCTACCGAAAGACTGGCGAATCGAGGTCTCTGCCAACGGTTGGACTACCCATGAGATTGGCCTACGCTGGTTACAAAAGATCTTTATACCATATACGAATTCGCGCGTACGAGGTCGGTTTCGGCTATTGATTCTTGATGGTCATGGTAGCCACCTTACACCCCAATTCGACCGAATCTGCACAGAAAACGATATTATACCTCTTTGTATGCCTGCGCATTCATCGCATCTACTACAACCACTAGATGTTGGGTGTTTTGCAGTGGTTAAGCGCGCGTACGGTCGCTTCGTTAGCGATCTTGCGCGTAGAGGATATAACCATATCGACAAGCACGATTTCTTAGTGGATTACCAGCACGCGCGGCTAGAAACGTTCCAATCAACCAATCCCACTATCAAAAACAGCTTCGCAGCTAGCGGTCTAGTACCATTAGATGCTGAGAGAGTGCTTAACAAGCTTAATATCTCTCTACGAACTCCAACACCACCAAACAGCCGGCCGAGCAGCAGATCTAGCGAATTCACACCACAAACGCCTAGAACCGCTACTCAGCTATTTAAGCAAGCTTCTATGTTGAAAGATCTACTAAAACGGCGGTCAAATAGCCCTCCGAGCCCATCAAAAGAGATCCTAGACCAGATGATCAAGGGGTTCCAGCTCGCGCTTCACAGCGGTGCACTACTGGCAGAGGATAACGCGAATTTGCGCATAGCGAATGAGAAGATGGTCAAAAAGCGCAATCGGTCAACTAAGAAGATACCCTGCGAAGAGGGTTTAACCATTGAAGAGGCTATACAGCTAGCTACGCAGCTAAACCAGCCAGAGGAAGATGATGGGGTAGATTCGCATGCAGAGGTCGAATTGCCTAGTCAGCCAACTAGGCCAGCAGCTAGGGCTCCGCCTAGGTGTAGTGGATGCAGGGAGATTGGCCACAGGATTAATGTATGTAAAAATCGCTATATCTAGTTGAATTGATAGGTGTTGGTTGAGATAATCGATTTTGAAGTATCCCCATGGGGGTAGGTGATCCGGTCGGCCGTGTGATCCGGTCGGCCGTGGATTACGTTAGTTCTTCGTATACTTCACCTTGTCTCCACCGGAGCCAGCCGTAGAGACCAACGATAAGATAAGATTAAGCCCACCGATAAGACCACCCTGCTTTATCGGCTCGGATGCTCGCAGTCTCCGAAGTACGTAACGCAGCTAACCTCAATTCCCAGCGCTAAATTCCCCCAGACTCTAAACTCCATCCCTTCTAGATACCCCCATTGCCGCGATATCGAATCTACTCACATAACAATGGCAACTATCGAAGACCCCACAAACTCCACGCGACCAACCCCCAGCATCGCCGTCGCGGACGCAGTCTGCCAATTAGGCAGCTCCATCTTCATCGCCGCGCCTTCTACACGAGTCTGGGAAGCTCTGACCGACACATCGACATGGCCTGAGTGGAATACCTTTATTCCGCGCGCGACTATTCGCGAACAGCCAGATGGGCAAGGCTCTGATCCTGCAACCCTTTCTCCACTGCTTCGCAAGGGTACCAGAGTTACCTTCCACGTCCGCATGGACCCTACCTCGAATAAGCCCCAGGCTGCGAATGATGTGTACCTCGTTGTCACCGAATACACGGCGCCAAACCCCGAAACGAAGACACCAGGGCGGATTGTGTGGGTTGTGGATCGGGAGGCTCCCGGCGCGCTGTCCCGTTCTCTGTTGAATGCAGAGCGGGTGCATGAGATTACTGATGTGGAGATTGGGGAGGGTGAGAATGCTGTTAAGGGGACGGAAGTGCGGAATTGGGAGTTGCAAAATGGGTGGTTGGTTTATGCTGTGAAGTGGATGTATGGGGCGAAGTTGAAGCATAACTTTGAGCTGTGGGTTAGTGATTTGAAGAAGTTTGTTGAGGGGAAGGAGAGTGGTTCAAATTAGGCTATGTGATATGCAGGAGATAGCTTGGAGACATGGGTCTATTCAACAATTCAAGTGGCTGGGCTCTTCCTTACTAAAAAGACGGATCTTGATACTTGAGATACGTGATTATCAACACAAGCTCAACCAAGCTTATCCGTGAAGTGCTCAACAACCATTTATTAACTGCGCCTGTCCGCCAGCGCATTAAACCCGTCTTTAACAGGAGATAAATTAAGTATAAAGCTATGAAGGGAAACAAATTTCCAGATTCGGCAACGAAGGCCGTCAACTTCTGCATCGGTGGTTCTCATCATGGCTCGGTAGGTATCTCTTCAGGCTGCTTTCTGTCCCCTGCAAGACTGGCAACGGTCTCCGTAGATCTTTCTGAAATGGTCTTCCTGTTTCATCCAGGTCACAAGTAATCCAGTCCTCCTCGATAATATCCATGACAAAAAGATTTCATAGTGAGAAATATCCATGAAACAAAACATAACCGCGGGCAGGAGGAACCTGAACATGTTGAGACCTTTCCACCGGGTACAACCAACAAGACATCAAATTCGGCAACGAAGCCATCGCAGCCACAGTGTACTGGCATTCAACGATCTGAGAGATGTGGCTAGAGATATTCACCTTGGTCATATCCACAACATCAGGCTCAGAAGCAGTTTTCAGTTCGAGTCGAGCGATCTCTGTTGCTAGGCTCGTGGCACCGGTAACAATCGCTCCAGAATTGGGAGATCGAGTCATTCAGAGCGAAGAGGTTCTCCGCTATCATGATGATACAGTCAGTAAATATTAATAGCATAAGAGAAAGGCAGACATGACATACCGTATGTCGAGATAGGTTAGGTATTCTACTATTTTCCTGTTCTGGGAATTATCACTGGTTGTCCAGAGAGTCCGACAATGGTTCACCTTCTCCTGCGAGCAACAATCCTAGCTCGGCCAGTGTGGTGAGAACAGAGGCGACATTCATAAAGTGCTCTTTTGCACTATCCCATTAACAGACGCAGTCGAGGTTGCGGTTGAAATGGTACTGGTTAAGAGTTCACCACCCATATATTCGGTATAAAGTACATCTGAGTCGCCAGACATGCCGCTCTTCCGCTTTAATCCGCATCTTTTCGTCTTCATGGCAACAGCAATAGCTCCTTGGGAATCGGGTTGATAAACCTGGAGGATTGTTTCGGGCAGCTAGTCTTGTTCCAATGTGGGACAAGTGAGGCAGCCAAGTCTCCGCGAAGAACCAGGTTCCAATTTATCTTCCAGCTTCTCGAGGCAGTCCAGGATTTCTGCTTTCGCAATGCTCTCGAGCAAGGGACTTCATGTGGTGAAGGCATAGTAGTAGGCCAGTGTATCGATCAGTGTATCGGTCAGTGTCTTGGTATATAACGTTAAGACCGTCGTTGTAGACCACGGCGTGGATTAAATATCTCTGTTCGAGGAGATTTGGGTTGCGTGAGATATGCTCGTATCAGCGTATAAGGAGGTCCGGTGTCCTGAGAAGAGTGGTGGTATATAGATAATGAGATGTGGGTGGGTGAGAAGAGAAAGTGAGAGAAGGTGTAAGGTGAAGAGAAGAGTGTCATTTTATAGAAGCCAGTGGGGCAAATGAAGCAAACAGGAGTCTGTTGATTGTGACGTTTGATAGCAAATCTATCAAACATACACGCGTGGAACATGCCATGTGCCATGTGCCACGAAAATGAGCTTATTTACTTCAAGGAACTTAGTCTTCGATATTTGAAGCCTTATTTCAGCCTCAGCTAGATGCACTAAATAGTTCAAGGACGATCTGACTTCGATAATAGTTTAATCACATGAGTAAAATGATATATGCAAAATATCTATCCAAAACTATCATCACAGTATCTTCGACAACTCCATCTAGATTTCCGGGTATCTTATATATGCCAAGCGAAAGAATGGCCAACCAAAACAATGCTCCCAGATGCAACTGTATCATGCCAATGAAAAGGTACAGAAAGAAAGAAAGAAAGAAAACAATGAAGAAGAAAGAAGACAAAGAGAGGAAGAAGAATGCAAACGAGCAACAAGCAACGAGTGTATGTTGTACAAATCGCGGTATATCGCGAGAAAGATGTTGAACAGATATAATAGAGAGAAGTTTAAATCAGGAAATGGAAAGGACTTCACGAAGAAGCCAAAGCCACCCAGTCGCGGGTCGAAATTCGCTGCGCCGGATCCTTGAAAACAGCCGGTTGAACAAGCTTCTCAACGAAGCCATTCCGCGGCACGCGGCAGCCATTCGAACCAGCGCGAGTAAAGTCCAGGATTCGATGGCCGTCACGAGCCATGGCCAGACGCTGCATATTATTCGAGCCCGGGTAGAGAAGGAGATCACCCGTCGCAGCAGCCATAAGGGTAGCCGCGAGGGAAAAGACATCCGAGGCGGGCGTTGGCGCGACGTCACCAGACTTGAGCGACGCGAGCGAGAGTAACTCCGGTGCTGTGAATGGCGGCGTGAATGCTGACATGGCAGCTTGATTTGCATCCGGGGCTGGCGTAGCGTCTGAGGGGATATCAAAAGCGGAAGAGAAATCCGCCAAAAGAGGTTCGTAGGGAAAAGCGCCTGCCTCGAGACCAGGTTCGTCGGTGGCAATTGGACGCAGGAGAATATTGTGAGGCTTGATATCCCCATGGATAATCCCCGCTGTATCATGCAGCCAAGCAAGACTCGTTATCAATTTGCGCGCCATGTCGCGCCAAGCTTCCGGTCCTTGAACGGGATCGAACATTGTCGCCGTTGAAGGCTGTTGCTTTCGTAGATCAGCCTGGTCTTCGATGTATGTTGATAATGACAAGGGCACGGCGGACATGACCAGTGCGTCGGAGTCGGATAGAAAGCCGTGGAAGGGGACGACGTGTCGTTCAAAGCCCGGGGTGAGGTTGAGTCGGGTCAGCGTTAGTGCCTCGCTCTGTAATACCTTGCGCGCATCGCGGCGCAATGGTGCTTTCACGGCTAGTACCCGGCTAGTGGTGACCGGTGAGCTGGGCGGAGTATGAAGATGAGTGGTTGTGACGTTTGGAGTTGAGCGCGCCTTGTATACTATACTCCAAGCGCCACGACCAAACTCGACGGGGCAGTCCTCGCCATCGCGACAGATTTCGATTTCGTCGGTGAAGCGCAGAGGAGTGTTGATGTTTCGCTTTACTTGCGCTGCTGTTTGTTCCGGGGATGGTTCCTCCAGTGGACTTGGAATTGACCGTTCGGCGTCGGCGATTTCCTTTGCAATCGGGGTAACCGGGGGCGTCAAGGCCGAGCCCGAGGTTGGAGTCTGTAATGTGAGGTCCTTCTCATCATGCGCCGTAGTAACCGACAAGCGCAATGGCGGATTTGAAGGAGTCATCGCGACGATGGGTTTGTAGAATAATTGCAGGTCGCAATTGCAGTGGCAGTCACAGCCGCAAAAGGTTATTGCGAACGGCTATCAAAGCCGATCGACCCGAAGCCCGGCGTATGAGTCTTGTAGATAAGTGACCGGCTGAACTCCGAAAAAGCAAGTAGCGGCACCTGGAGACCCTGCGATTCGCACGAGATAACAAGGCAGCAGAAGATAAAGTCAAGGGTGTGACTCCCCCACGGAGACGCAGGTGAGATTACTTCAGGGCGATAGTAACGCCACTCAGAGAGAGAAAAAAAAAGGATCAGGGCGCGTGAGTCTACTGCCTTTTCATCATCCACGGGTTAGGGCTCGGGTATGACGTGGTGGGCGGCGAAAAGGCGACGAGTCGAATACCTTTTGTATGGGTAAAACTCGGGGAACTCGGGAGTTTCGAAGGTTGAATTGAGTTTATATGGGCATCGTGAATTGAAAAGGAAGAGAAAGGGAGGGTTTGGTGAAAGAGAAACAAAGAGGCAGGATAAGGAGGAGGAGAAGGTCAAAGTGGTGAAAGGTCGTGGCGGCGCGTCGCATTCATGCTGGGGATTGGGGTGTAGAGGATAGGATAGGTCAGGATGAAGGAGCGCAAGGACCGCTTGCTATTATCAGAGAGTAATATTAATAAGAAAATAAAAAATAAAAAGGATATCTACAGTATGGAAACTACAAAGTACAAACCCCGAGTCTGGAGAAAAAGAAGAAAGTCAAGCGTGACCAAAGGAATCCACCAGGAGGGTCAATTCGTCCGGTCTCGACCAAGTGGGAAATGACAGCGTGACGAGCCAAATATGAAGTAGTCTCGAAGACGGGATCCAGAATTCAGAGAATCGTCTAATACTGTAGGATGTTAGTGTTCCCCGGATGGAGACTCGTTGAGACGCATTGATACGACGGTAGTAGTTAACCGCGGGTCTTGGGAAATTACCGGAAAACGATGGCTGGTTCGTGTGGGCTGGTCCACTGGTTCTTCCTAAAGTCGGGTAAATGAGTGGATGAGTCAAATGATACATTGGGTTAACTATTGGTTTTTACTTTTTATCTTTGTTATTGTTGTTATCTCGTTATGATGGTACACACTCCGAGTCTCAGCTTCTTTCTATATCTTACTATTCTTACTATCCTCCAATTCATTCTATACCCCAAACGAGGCGTCGATCTAATAAAGGCGAGGGTGCGCCGCGCGGCTCCACCGCATGCGTGTCAAACGGCTATCTGGGGAATGCCAGCCACGCTAAACATAGACAAAAGAATACAGGAAATAAAGATGCTCGAGTTAGAGATTATGCAGAGGATTCGCTCATGCAGCATTAGTCGAGACTTGGCCTTTCTTTCATGATACTCCGGACAGTAGTTGACGATACCAAAATAATACCACATCCCTGGAAGGTGAGGCGGGTTCTTGCAGGATGCGCCGGGCCCGCCCTTTTTTCGTTTGAGCCAATCGTTTGGCCTCGTGCCCCGCCGGCTTTAGTTGATAAGGCGGGTCGATGCTTTTATCGTCGCTGGTTGATTTAGTTTAGTTCTTTCTTGATTCTCTGCAGGATTCATCCCGGAAATTAGAGGGAAATAGGCGGAATTGATCAGGCGCTGGCTGGTGACGTATTATGCACGTGGGGGAAAAAAGGGGGGGGGGAAGATGCTAATCGTACAAGAGTCTAGTTCTAGTATAAGTACATATGGTGGCGTTAAGTGGATAGAGGCAAGCGCGCAATGATGAGCACATGTAGGCAAAACCTGGGGTTTTAGTGCATTCGCTTCGGCACCACCATAAGATTGCGTCCGGCTCGGAACGAGGTCAGCGTGCCTCCAATCATGCGGCTGAATTGGATGGCCGTGATGCCCGGCGCATGCTTCTGGTACTCCAGGAGAATATCCCACATCACCCCGCCGGGAATACATCGAAGGCGCACTTCGCTCACGTCGTAGTTGAGATTCTCCTGGAAACAAGTATTCGAGTCTACAGTCGGGTCGGCCAGTGGCACGGGCCCGTAGCCGGGCTTGAGACGCTTCATCGCAAAGGGTGCGAGCGCAGGAACGGCCTTGATAATATCGTTTGTGGGACGATCCACGAACAGAATCTTAAATAGTTCGCCAAGAGTAATGTGATTCCGGGGACCGAACACGGAGGACAGAGCCTCGAAAAGGCCCTCGACATGTTGCCGCTGCTGCTTTGATAGATGGCTGAGCTTGTGGACGAACTCGGGATTGGCATCGGGCTCAAAGTACACGATGGTGCGTGGCTCGCGGGGGAACAGCTCGAATTTATCGATGAGCATTGGTTCCGATGGTCGTCGATCATACAGCAGGACCGACTTGTCAAAATTTTTGGATGCATTCATCGTACGATAGTCATCCACAAGGCGATCCCAGCTTTTATACAGACGATGATGCAGGCTCGCGATCTCATCAGTCAATGCCACCTTCTGAGCGCCAATATCGCGATCAAGCTTCTCAAGTTCCTCGACCGTCTTGCTAGGATCCGCAGCGGCTCGTGATAGAGCCTCTGACGCCCGGTCGATCGCGATTTCAGAACGAGCCAGCCCGTGTCGACTGTACGAGATCGCATTCTCCTTGTGGAGAGCAGTTTGAGCTTTTTGGCGCGCCGTTTTGGCCGGCGATTTCCCAATAGGAATTTTCGGATCCTCTCGATTCCCCGCCTCGATGTCATCCAGGAGGGTTTGGTGTCGCTCGGTAAAGATTCGGGGAGAGTGAGGTACGTCTGATCGATCTCGCTTGAGAGACACTGGAGCTAGCTTGAAGGGTGGAGGCTCGCGACCAGCCGGAACGACAACGCTCTGCGCTGCAGCTCGTTCGGCGACTCGCTCTTGGCATTTCATAGTCACTTCTAGTGGCTTGATGGTGACCCAAGAATCCTCTTCTTTATAGCAGCCGGCCACTTCAAAGGCATGCAACGCGACGGTCTCCGTCAACAGGGCTGGCCGTCTGCGCTCAGCAACCGTCCGCGGCAAGATACCTTCCACCTCTCCGGGAGGAAGTGAGGCCAGGATTCGGACACTGCCATATTTGTGTACACCTCTCTGCTGCATACAGCTTTCCATCATCGCACTCCACCATCGCTGCGGCGTGTAATGATCTGCCTTTTGGGCTGGAACGGGCGGACTGGCCAGAATAAGGAGGGTATCATTTCTGGGCAGCGATTGGCCGGCTATTTGTTTCTGATGAGAGCTTGCTTGCTCTGGGAGGTGTTCTTCAAATACGTCGGCCCAATCTCGACGGGTGTAGATTTCCTCGGATATCAGTTTGTAACTGGGATCGCTGTCGACGAGTCTCCGGAGCCAAGGCTCGAAGGAAGGGAGGTCGGGCTCGACGAGGAGATGGCGACGAGGGCGGATGTAATTATGAATTGTCGAGGAAAGGACTCCGGCATTTGGCCAGAGGTCGAGAATATCGATGGGCGAGGTTTTTTGCAGGTAGGGAGATACTCGTTGGAGAACATCGGCTGCGCGAAAGGATCGAGTCAGTATGTTTCCTCAAGCCTCAATTGAAATCTCACAATAAAGCTTCATACACACCACAGAGTTTGTCGCTCACAACGCTGGCCTGGAGGATAGTCCTTCGTTTCAGCTTCTTAAGCACATGCGAGTTGATAGCTTTCGTGAGCGGGTATTGATCCACGGGCAGCCACCGCTGCGCAAGTAGCTTTTTGGGTATAGACATGGTCGCGAATATAAATAGCTAGCGTAATCGTCATGAGATACACGTCTGGAAGCAATGTCCACAAGCCTGAGCCATGATTGGCCGTTGGGTTCGGAATTGCAAAGGATGAATGTTTGCGCCGGGATTTTTTTTCGGAGTTTGAGATTCTTGGGGAAGCGGAGAGACCTTGCGGGTTCCGCGGTCATCCCACCTCCACCTCCCTTCGCATTCAACCCACCAAGCTTTCGCGTCTGCCTGCTACACATTCAGAATCTCGCCGCCTGGATGCGGTGTATCTCTCATCGATAGTACTGTTGTCATTCGTGCTACCCATCTGAAATCACCTCCCTTTAGCCCAGTCAACCATGCTTATGTGGACTCGTGATGTGTGAAGAGGGGTCGTGATATTGAACGACCACTTCCTCAATCAGCAACTTCAACTTCTTCAACGCCAGTTACTCCCCGATGGCGTCCCAAGTCAAGCTTCCCACTGCTGGGGAAGCCCTCCGCAAAGTGTAGAGAAGATCACCCGCATTGCGCAAGACTATTCATACACTTCGACCGTCGCCCTCCGATACTGGCTGCGGACTGCAGCCACTCTGACGCAAGAGGTTCGGAGCTTCTATGCAGGCTTTCATTACACATTAAGTCAAGTCTAACTTTCTTATGAACTCTCCAGGCGCAAATTTACGAACGCGAGGGACACGATGAGCAAGCCTACCTCCTCCTCTTCCGACACGCCCAGCTAGTCCTGGTACACCTATCCAAACACCCCGATGCCCAGAAGAATGGAAAAGACCGCCAACTCCTTCTCCAAGCCGAGAAAGAAGTTGAGAAGAATCTTGCCAAGTTGGAAGCCCTCAAACCGCGGATAAACAAACGTTACGAACGGTACACGCAGCTGATGCGCGAGCGTCAGTCCCGGAAGCTCTCTTCAGAATCCAACACACTCCCCGAATCTCGCGAGCGACCCGCTGATCCCGCCCTGGCTGGGGTCGCACAGCCGTTAGAAGCAGGTGAGAACCGCGATCTTGCGGTTCGACTTGCGCACTCGGAGCTCAACCGTAGAGCTACGGTTCGCAGTCGGCGTGCGGCTGGTGATTGGGGTGACTGGGAGAATGCCTATAAAAAGGAGCCGCAGTCCTCTGACCAGGATCTGAGCCAGCGAATTCAGAACATTAGAATTAACCTGGATAATAAGGGCCCCGCCAATCAGTCGCAACATCGGTCGCAGCCTACTCCGCGTGATTCATCCTCTACCGCGGAATCGACATATAAGTACCCCAGTGTACCGAGGCAGAAGCCATTGGAGGCTGCCATTCCCCCTGCACAGATCGCCATTCGAGATAATAATGCCGAACGCCATACGCCCCCAGTATTACCTCCGAAGCAACGTATCGAGCCTAGTCAGGCTTTGCTTGTGGATGGTGCGATGGGTTCGAAGCTTTCATTGTCATCCCGTTCATCAAAGGTTTCCCAAGGGCCTCAGTTGCCAGAGAAAGTTCGAATACCTGAAGATACTCCACCGGCAAACCCAGATCTGGATCCCTCCAGCTACACTTTCAAGCCATCGGCCTACTTGGAAAACGGTACTCCCTTTGCGCTCGGTATTCCTCCCCGCCAGCCTGCGCACTCGGTTCCTTTCGTTGGCAGCTGCCAACACCAAGAACAATCTTGAAACCTGTGGTATCTTGTGTGGTACCCTAGTCTCTAATGCACTATTTATCTCGCGGCTGGTAATTCCGGAGCAGATTGCCACGTCTGATACATGCGAGACAACCAATGAGTCCGCACTCTTCGACTACTGTGACTCGGAAGACTTGATCATGCTCGGCTGGATTCACACCCACCCAACCCAGACATGTTTCATGAGCTCTCGAGATCTCCACACCCACTCTGGCTACCAGGTCATGCTCCCCGAGAGCATTGCCATTGTCTGCGCGCCCAGTAAGAACCCAGACTGGGGCGTGTTTCGTCTGACCGATCCTCCAGGCCTGAAGACGGTTTTGAACTGTACTCAGACGGGTTTATTCCACCCGCATGCCGAGGAAAACATTTACACGGGGGCATTACGACCGGGTCACGTCTTTGAAGTCAATGGACTGGAGTACGAGACTGTGGATTTGCGGCCCAAGGGGCAGAATTGATTTACTCATGAATAGTCTATGTTATTCAATTGCATATGATACCCAATCTTGATCACGCCATTGACATGTCAGAATCTAATGAAGTTAATTTCCATCCTATATCATCGAGGTATGCCACTCCTGGGGTTGATGCGAATGCGCGTTCTTCGACGCGGTGCGTCTCTTCGTTGCAGACCCCGAACTCGCCCGCGCCTTGTTGGATGTAGTCGGTGAGCGGCGTCTTTCCTGCTTATTACGGCTTGTTCTCGGGTTTGTCTGTAACGATTAAGTTTTAGTCACTCATGCTTGCCCAATAGATGCGATAAGACATACCATAGATTCGTCAAAATCAGCGCCATCGTACTTGTGGCCATGAGAACGGCCTTTGCGCCCGACTTGGGTAATTTCTTCGACTGAATAGTCGCTGTGGACGCTAGTATTGACCATTGTTTGCAGTGAAGAAAGTGGATCAAGATCGTATGAAGTAATTGGCAGTCGAATTGAAGATCCAACTACGATGCAGTAAAGATGTTGTGCAGACGTTCCACTCGTTTTTATACTGCATCTAGATCCGCCACAGTTTCGTCATCGGCTTCCAAGAGGCAAAGGCGGGGCAATAGTCCGTATCAATGGAATAAGAGGAGCTCTACAGCTCTTGGATAGAATCGAAAAAGCAAAATACTGGAGCAAGAACCTGCAAACATGGCTCGTGTTGACCTCCGAATACTTGGCTTCCGAGCTTCCATCGCCAAGTTGTGCAATTCTTCTAGCGCCGTACAACATGATCTTACTGATCAACTCCCACATGTCCATCTCTGGACATGATGCATCTATACCTGATTCAATTAGGCTGGAAAATGGCAGAAAACAAGCTTCGTATTCGCATGGCTGGCAGTTCCCCCCACATGATAAGCGATAAGTTGGGTTTTGGTTTCACTTTTGACTTCCGCCCCATAGTTACTTACCTCCGCTATCTTCAACCTTCAACCACCTTTCCAGCTCCAGTGCCTCATCCTTATACAGTGTGTCCTCCAGCTATTAATTCTAATTGCCTACATGTCGTCCTCATCACAAGGAGATCTCCCTTCCGACACCCTCCCCTCCTCTACCACCACCACAACTTCCAGCTCCTCCACTTCTACCTCACGATCCGGTTCTCACACACCCCAGCAAAACTCAGGCGCCTCCTCCTACAGTCAATACTTCTCCTACCCAGTCAGCCACGTCGTCTCAGGTCTCTATCGGCGCCTGACAGACCCCAACGTCCCTACAACCGCCATGCCCTCCTCCCTCCCCTGGTCAACATCATCTTCCTCGTCCGAAGTATTCACGCCGCGCCGAACAGCCTCACCCTTCCAACCTCCACCACTCACCCCGCTCACTCTCACAATCCCTCGAGGCGCAGACCTCCTCCAACAGCAACTCCTCACACGCGCCCTCGCCGAGGAAATCCGCCTCCTCGTCCCAGCCCGCCTCCAACTCGTCGAGACCTGGCGTCTCGCCTACAGCCTCGATCGCGACGGCGCCTCCCTCCACACCCTCTACGACCACTGCCAACAATTCTCTCACCGCAGCCCGCGGGCGGGCTACGTCCTCGTAATTCGCGACTCGTCCCCCTCCGGCGCCGTCTTCGGCGCCTACATGACCGACGCCCCACACCCGGACTCCCAATTCTTCGGCACGGGCGAGTGCTTCCTCTGGCGCGCGAGCGTGCTACCACCCCCGGCAAGCTTGGGCCTCGCATTCACAGGCGACGGTCCTCAGTCTGAGGAAGCGCTGGAGCGAGCTGGTCTGCCGCCCCCGCCTTCGGCTGATACTACCCACGCTGGACGTTGGAGTACTTTCCGCAGTGACCCGCGGGCCAAGGCGAAGACTGAGTCGTCGCCGGCTCATAATTTGAATATGAATATCAAGACGAATCTGGCTGCGGCTAGTGGCGGTGCGCTGGCGCCTCCGTCGCCTTCGTCTATTGATACCCCGTCACGGAGTGGGGCGAGTACCCCGGAGCGTATTCGTTTCAAGGCGTTCCCGTATAGTGGAGTGAATGATTATATGATATTTTGCGAGACTGGATTTTTGAGTCTGGGTGGAGGGTATGTATTGTCCCTTTTTTGGAATTGGAAAGTAAACTGACGACGGTTCTAGTGATGGACGCTACGGTCTTTGGATGGACTCTGGCCTTGAGAAGGGAGTTAGCTCGCACTGCCAGACTTTTGGCAACGAACCTCTCTCTGATGAAGGAGAGAAGTTTGACGTTCTCGGTGTCGAGGTTTGGTATGTGGGATCGTAATTAACCCTATGCTCTCGAGAGATCCGGTATTCTCGAGTTCAGACGTGTGGCAAAACAAAAGCATAAAACAAGTATATAACCAAGCAGACCAGCACGTGAGAGAAAAGTCAGAGGAATACCCAGTGCTTGAATTCTTATGGCTGCTGGAGAGAAGAGGCACTTGCCTTGTTGTTTCTGTTACGTGGGCGCATTCTGTAACGACTGCATTTACTGTTAAATACCCGATTAGCGATGCCATGCTGAATGATGACATCGTTGAACTCGTCCTGTCCATTCTCCTCTTTAATGCCAGATCTAGCATTCACTTGGCGAGTTGAATATGATGTGTCTTGTACATTCCCAGGGGATTTATATCATACCTTTACTGGATTCCTAACGTGACGTTGAATTGCATTCCAATTCCCCTACTTGCTAGTCTTCTAAAGTCTAGACTTAATCTGAGACTCTCCACAAAAGTCCTTCAAAAAGCATCTCAAAGCTTGAAGAAGACGATCAATCGAAGCCTCGGTATGCATAAGATTCAAAGAAAGAAACCCACGCCGTCCAATAGCAATTCCACGGTTGAGCAACGTAAAGTAGAAGCAATCAAGCAATGAACCAGCCTCATCCCCTGTAAAATGAACACCAATCGCACTACCATACCCACTAAACGACATCCAATCGACCCCAGCCTTCTGAATCAGGATATTACCCTGTTCCCGAAATCTATCACCAAGCCGATTCAACCGCTCCAGTTCAGCGGGTGTAATCAATTTCGACGCAGCAACTGCAGCAGTCATCGTGAAGATATTGTTGTTAAACGTGCCCGAGTGATGAATAGCGACACTCTTATCGGACGAATCAAACCGATCCATGATCTTGGAGGAACCACCAAAGGCACCGAAGGGGAATCCTCCTCCGAGGTACTTCCCCACGGTAGTCATATCGGGCTTGATATTCCAGGCCCCCTGGATACCGTTATAGTGTAGCCGGGATGTGACTACCTCGTCGAAGATTAACACTGCTCCTATCTTGGTTGCTGAGTCTCGGAGGAATTGCAGGAACTCGGGGGCTGCGGGGCGCATTCCTCCTGCGGCTTGGAGTGGTTCGACTAGGATGGCCGCGATGTCGGGTTTTAGGAGAGGTTTTGTCTCTTCGATGCTGTTGTATTTCGCAATGATGAATTCATGGGGTAGATTCATTGCGTTTTGTGTTGCGCCGAAGCTGATGGTTCCCCCGTGGTATCCGTTATCAAAGACAACGATCTATACCAGGCCATATGGTTAGCTCTATATCTCATAAATATGAGATACTGTTACATACCTTCCTCCGTTGCGTATACGCCACCGCCGTTGCAAGCGCAAACATATTCGCTTCCGTGCCAGAATTGCAGAAGCGAACTTTCTCGAAAGAGGGAAATCTCGTCGTCAAGATTTCAGCCAACTCGGCTTCTTTCTGTGTAATTCCACCAAGGCTGAACCCCGTCGCCAAGGCTTTCTGAACGGCATCGTGGACCACGGGGTGAGAGTGCCCGTATATCCCTGCCGAGAAATCGGAGACAAAATCCTCAAACTTGATACCGTCGATCGTAGTGAGAGATGCGCCTTCTGCAGATTTGATCAAGAATGGAAACGGCGCAGAGACAAGAACCGATCTAGTACTGCCCGCCGGTAAAACATTCTTGGCTCTGTCGTGGGCTTCCTTTGATCGTGGATGAGTGCGCTCGTATTGACATACGAGGGCGCTGAGCTTTTGGCTGACAGCCATCATGTGTTTAGATGGATCGATGTTAGGAGCGTGCTGTTGGGAATTGACTGGCAAGCCGATGATCTTTATTAGCTTGAAGAGAAAGTGAAAGAAAGAGCTCTGGGGAAAGTTGAGACGGCTTTATGGAAGCTGCAAGGGGAGGGGTCTTATCGCAGGTTGTTGGAGTAGTGGAGTAGGTACTTAACATCCTGAGTGGAGAAGCTCCTCTAATTGCCCGTCGGCACTTTCGGTCACTCTGGCGCCCGCTGGTGAATTTTGGATCTTAGATAAATTCAAGAATTAGATAATATTCATAGAGCCAGGCATAGGATCGAGGATACGACTAAGCGGGTCATTTGAGCATTCTACAATCCTGAACTTCAGACTTATTGCAAATGGTGGACAAGTAACTTCAATTTATTTTAGCACTATGTAACAACAACCTTATAGACCAGCGCTCCAGTACATGATATGAACTATAGCTTCGCCTGAGGTGGAACAATTTTTTCCACTTCTGCAAATTGGTAGTAGAAGTCAAGACTCTCCGGGTTCAAAAGTGTACCAGACGGTTTAATCTTCTTGCCCGAGACAATCTGCTTCACTGGAAGCTCAACCTTTTTCAAGTTGACGGTGACCTGGAAGAAAATACTTTTAGTTGGCCTGAAGAAATAACTCATAGGGCTTTAGAGAAGAGCTACCACATACCGGAATAGCAGGAGTTTCAAAAATATACTTGGGGACATGACGAGCACTTAGCGATTTGCGAATGGCATCTTTGACGCGGGTCACCAGCTGCTGATCAACCTTGAAACCTGGCCGCATGAGAAGAAACAGGATAACCGATTCATCTGCATCTTTTGGTCGACGCTGTCCAACACAGATCGAATCGACAATTTCTTTGGTGAATTGAGTGTCGATGACATTATAGATCTCTGCAGATCCGAACCGAACACCGGAGGGATTCAAGACACCATCAGATCGGCCGAGGAAGAGAATTTGGCGAGAATTGGGGTTAATTGCGATGAAATCACCCTGGGTCCAAACATCTATGAAGAGCATTGGTCAGTCACAGCGTATCACGAGGTCAATCTAGATGGCATCCATTAGACTTACTGTCATAACGTGCAAAGTAGGCATTGAAGTACTTCTTCCCCCCTTCATCACTCCAGAACTTGACCGGCATACTAGGAAATGGGGCAGTCACAACGACCTCCCCGGGCTCGCCGGGTATAGCTTCCGACCCTTTTGCTTGGCCAGCCTCTTCGTCAACTTGTTCATAAGCAGCGATAGGCATTCCCAGACTTGGGCCTTGACATCCACCGACATACAGTGGCGAGATAGGATTTTCCAAGCCCAAGCATGCAGCCAAATCTGTGCCTCCTGATATATTGGCCAGAAGAGTGTGAGGTTCAAAGCCTTCGTCGTAGAACCATTCGAAGAGAGACTCGGAGAGGACCATGCCGGTACTAGTGACACCCTTTAGCCTATGGAGGTCTGCAATCTTTCGTGGACTGAGTTTATTCTTTCTCATTTCGTGCATCCAGCGAGGCGATGTACCGAAGTGCGTGGCCCTATATTGCTTGTTAGAAACCTTGCATCAAAAGGGCCTGGTGTTGTTATGGGAAATGCCTCGTACTGCTCGAGTATACTTACTTATGCTTTTCAAGGAGCTTCACGAGGACTATCGGGTCTGGTTGGAATGGACTTCCATCGTATAGAATAGGCCTTGCACCAAAGACCAGAGCCGAGACGCAAGAGTTATACATGATCCACCCAGTAGTAGTATACTGAAGAGTGATTGCATCCGAGTTCAAGCTTCTGTTGAGGCGACCTTCTTTATTGCTGTTCATCAAGACTCCTCCAACAGAGTGAACAATGCATTTAGGCTCTCCAGTCGTGCCGGATGAAAACGCAATCAAGAAAGGATCCCGGAATCGAACACGAAGAAATTCTAAATGGTCTGAAGGAGCTCCGGCGAGGAAGTCTGCGAGGGTGCGAGTTCGTGGAATGTGCGAGATATCTGCCGGTCGGTCTCGGAATCTGGGCACAGAAATGATTCCTTGGAACTCCTTGATAACAGCCATACCCTCAACGACTTGTGCGATCTTCGGGCGGAGATCAACAGTCTTGCCGTTATATACCGCGAAATCATCCATGAACACCCATCGAGGCTGAATTTGTCGAATACGATCCAAAATACCCTTGACACCTGTATCTGTGGACGCAGATGAGAAGATAGCCCCGAGTGCAGTTGTTGCTAGAAGAACCGTCAGGGTATCAATGCTATTACTAGCAACCACTGCAACTCGGTCCCCTTTCCGGACACCAGCAGCTTTCATCGCCTGTAACAATCGACCAGTGCGTTGTCGTAGCTCTCGCCAGGTCAAATTCACTGTTGGTTCATGATCACCCTCTCGAACCTCGGTCACGGCGAGCTTGTTATCTTCTTTCCCAAGGGTCGTCACAGTGGACGGTGTCTCACCGGGAGTAGCTGCAGTAAACAGCAAATTCTCGGCGTAATTGAGATGAACTCCAGGAAACCAGTCAGGAATACTATCGATTCGAGCATTTTCATCCGTGACTCGATCATAGGTTCCTTCGTGGATGATTGGGAAATACTTCCAACAAAAGTCCCAGAAAGCGATGCGGTTCTGAATAGACCATTGGTACATCGAGTGGTAGTCTGGCAGAGTCACGCCTTTGGCTTTCTCGAGACTTCGCTTAAAAGCTGCCATCTGGGTTGATTCGGGGTCAGGGTGTTCCCAGAGCTTTCGAGGTACTATTGAATGAGTAGACATTGTGGCGGCAGCTAGAGCCGGATGTTCACAGATTGATATGGTGTGAGAGTAACACGGTAGCACTGAATTATTTGTTCACAATTAGCTGTCTAAAAGATGAAGGAAGAAATTGGGCAGGTTATCGTATGGTTCTTCATACTTAGCGAGCTCGGCGATTCGACCGCGGTCTAATCTCGGGTAAACAGTGCGGGGTTGCCAATAAAGACCAGCCTGCTTCTGTAGCTTCTATTGCAGATAGACCTCGGCGATCTTAATAAATAAGCAAACTGGTCTTGTCCAATTATCGTTCGTGGAGCTCGAATAAATAATTAACTTGGGCTTGGACCAATGAACAAGATTCAAGCTAGCTTGGATCACTATCGTTTGCCAGACGGGATTTCATAAATCAGGATAGCTCTAGCAGAGTCGAATCAAGGGTTACAAAATGTCGCTTAATCCAATGGTCTATTGAGAGTATTATTGCTATGTTACACAACAGTTCTATCATGCACAGTGGTGTCGCCAACAAGCCAGATCACCAAAGACACCGCTAGCTCCAATCTATACAAGAAGCTCGGTATTTTCAGTGCCAGTAGTTAGGCACAGCTCCTTTCACCAATGACCAGGACTCTTCCACAGCCTGAACTACTTCATCAGGAAGCTCTCCCTTCTCCAGATCTTGCAAATTAGACTCGAGATGGCTGACCCGACTAGCACCCACAATAATGGCATCGCCCAGATCTTGGCTCAATTTCGAGTGATACTTCAGCCATCTCAATGCAATTTCGGCATCGGTCAGAGCATGCTTGGTCGCGACTGAGTGAATGGTTTCGAGAGCATCGAAGTAGGCATCATTCCAATAGCGACCTCGAGCAACCGTTCCAGAGAGAATCTTGGGGTCAAATCGGGATCCTTCCTCGAATTCCGTTTGATCCCTCTTGTAACGTCCAGTGAGGAGTCCACCGGCGAGAGGTTGGAAGCCATAGAGTGAAATACCGTATTTGCGGAGACAGGGAATCAGTTCGGCCTCAATGCTGCGCTGAAGGACGTGGTAGACCCCTTGGTAGACGGTCGGCAGGACCCAGTCGTTCTTTATGCAGATCTCACAAATTTGAGCTACCTCCCAAGCCATGAAGTTGCTCAGTCCGAGGCGAGAGAAACGACCTTCTTGGTGCAACTTGTTGACTTCGCGCAAGGTATCCTCGAAAGGCGTATTGCGGTCTGGGGCATGGAGGTAGAAAATATCGATCTTTTCTGCTTGCAGCGCTTTCAAGCTGTTCGTCAACCCGCGTCGAATGTCCTCGGGTCTATGGGTATATCCGTCCTCAAAGGCAGCGGGCCCTCCGGCATTAGGATACAGTTTTGTATCCACGATGAGACCCCGATCTTTCCATGCGAGATCAGCGATCATCTCCTCGGAAGATCCACCACCATAGATTCGGGCTGTATCGATCTCGTTGTGGCCATGCTGCTGGAATAGATCAATGATCTCGGTGGCTGTAGGTATATCATGGACACGGGAGCCGAGTGTATCTTCATCGAATTAGTTTTCGTTTTTGACAGCAAGGATGTATTTATGGCACATACTTGGCTTTCCAAAGGACATTGCCCCAAAGACAATCTTCATTTGCTCGTTTTTCGCCATGGTGATGCTGAAAAGGCTTCGATGGTATTTGAAAACGTAGATTGGAGCTTGATGACCTGGCTTGATGTTCTTTGATATTTACATACACCGATCATGGTGAGTATTTCTCGAATTTATATCTGCTTGCAAACTGAGTCCCGGTGATGTCACCGAAAAGCCTCATGCAAGCTGCGCCTTCAGGGACCTATTTCCGAGCCTAAACACCGACCCAAGCTTACGGGTCCCCGCTAGTCATCCCTAAACGAGGATAAAGCCCGCACTAGATGCTGGATCATGCAGGTGTCAAAGCCCCGGGGCTGAGAAAGTGGCAACAAAATTTTCATGATATGCAGGTGCGGGCATTTTGATTAACTCCGCTGGGCGTAGAGAATAGACTCCGCGGATATCCCCGTTGATGACAACATTTGTTCCAGGTCAAATCCAGCCACAAAGGGCAATCTCGTAAGCAATGTTCACCATCGAACCGTGCAGGGTTTTTCGTGTCAGATTTTGGACTGTCTACGACACCAGGACTAAGCCTAAGAGGCGTTGCTTTAGTTCATACGCTTCATCCTACCCAGTTCATGTCGTCCACATTAGAAATGATGTCCTGGTCTACAGGATAAAGTGATTACCCAGAACTCCAGAACCTAGGCTACTTAGAGAAGAATTCTTGTTCATATCCTCAAATTTCTCTTACTTTTGGATCTTCCTCTTAAGTCAATCTTTAATTCTCTTACTAAACATCAGCCTCACTTCCGGGAATATTCTTGACCCGATTTTGATTAGATCTCTGCCTTACGGCACACCATTAGGATAGAATCAGAAGGGAACTTGCCCTCTAGCAAGGAGATTTCAGGGGAGTTATTCCATTTGGGACTATGGAAGTACCTAGCTAGCAACCTGCGTAGAAAATACAAGCCTGCACCAAGGAGCAAAAGTACAACTGCGTAAGGAGAGACTAAAGGCACCACCAGTGTAACCATTCCTTGATCTTGTGAGAGATCTCATAGAGGAACGAGATAGAGAAAGTAAATAGAACAGAAAAAAAAGCATCAACAACAGGGGGTATGGGTAATGGTACAAAATCAAGAAAACCAAAAAGAGATAAAGGTCAAAGAGGGAGGTAAGGGAACGTCAATGAGCCAGTCTAATATGGCGAGTTGACAATGTCGTCCTTTCCAAGACGGTTGCTCCATCTGCCGCTCTTACGCATAGGTGTGAGCGGTCCAGCGATACTCTCACGAGTGGGCTTCTGGAAGCTGCGCTTGGCGACCATGTTGACCTCGTTGGGAAGGGCAACGATCACGTTCTTGTCGGAGCCAAAGCGGAAGTTGTCAGCCATGACATTCTCGGCGTAGCGCTTGATTGTGTACGGATCCTTGCGACCATTAATGATCTTCTTGAGGCTCCAGGTAACTATGAAGGGACCTGTGGCAGTGATGATCGACGTTTCCGTGGAATCGACACCGGTGTTGAAACGAGCGGGGGTGAAGGCCAATGGCTGCTTCGTCTCGTGCTGGAACTGGGCGACGTGCGCAGGCTGCAGACCAAGGCGACGAGGTTGAGGCTTGGCATCCTTAGCGAATGACTTCTCAAATCCAAGCTTGCCCTCGTTCTTGCCCTCCTTCTGTAGTGAATCGATCAGGAGGAGATAGGTTCGGCAAGTAGCCAGAACCCAGCGACCGTCGGCAGACACATCCAGACCGATGATCGGCTCACCAAGAGCAGGAATGTGAGTCTTCGCGTTGATACCAAGACGGTCAAACATGCGAATATCACCCTTGTTGGAAGCCACGGCCAGATAGCCCTTCTCGGTCGTAGCCATCGCAGAGAAGTCGTTCTTGCTGGCATACTGCTTGAGATCGGAGTCGACAAGCTTGTTGCCAGCCAGACGAGGATCGATACGGAAGAGCGCATTCTTAGACGCACCAACGAACGACTGGGCGGCGGTCATTTGAGAGAATTTCTGTCAAGTGGGTTAGTATATTTCACGCTAAAAACAACGTGTGAAAAATCCAGAATGAAAACTTACGTTCTCTGGAGCAAAAGTCTCCACGGGGATATCGTCGTGCACCTTCCACTCATCAACAACCTTTCCGTACTCCAAGTCCATCCTGAACAGAGAGTTGGGGTCCTCGCCGTTTTGGAGGATCAAGTTGCGATCCTCTGCATGCAGCATAACCTTCTTGGGGCTAAACAGCTTGCCTCCGGGGGTCTCTACTTTAGAGATAGTCGTGGAGAACTCCAGATTGTTGTTCGGGGTATGCTTGAACACGCCGATCTTTGATCCGCGAACGACAAAGGAGCGGTCATGCTTGTAACCAACCGCCAGTTGAGAGTTCTTGTTTCCGTCTTCCTCGCGGACATTGACGTCCTCCTCCTCTTCATCGCTGTCGTAGTGTTCACTTCGCTGGCCATCATCCTGGTCACTTTCTTCCTCTTCTTCTTCGGGTTCTTCTTCTTCTTCTTCCGGCTTGTCATCAGCGTCCTCCATAGTGAGATCTTGGAATGCGTCAAGGACATATTCCCTGTCATTTTCCTTGACCTTCTCCCACTTCATCTCATTGAGCTGTTCCCACAAAGCCTGCATCAGACCCTCTTGGAATCGCTCCTCAGAAGCCTGGTCTTTGAACCGCAGAAGCCACGAGTAGGCCGAGCCATCTTCCGCATAGTGATTAAAGATGAAAGATAGGTACTCAAAGTTGAAAACCGGATTGATGTCTCCAACGACTGCCTGGCCCAGCCAATTCTTATCTTTACCACTGATCTGCAGCCAATACTGCCAATTGCCAATTTCTGAGACGGTTGCGACGATATCAGGATCTTGAAGCACGAACGTTCCCGAGGGGAAGTCAAACATGTGAAGCTCAGCCTTCTCCTTGGCGAGAATTTCCTTGGACTCGGGCTGGGCAGCGGAGGGCGGGGCGGTGGTCGGCTCCTCATCGGGCGCAGCTGACTTGACTTGCCCCTTCGACTGGGCGTACTTCACATCTCGTGCCATAGCAGCTGCAGAGTCACCTGATGTGACGGTGCGCTCGGGTGATTTGGTGACAGGAGAGGATACGGGGCTCGCAGATGGGAGCGGCTTCTCCTCTTGGTATGCGAACTCTTGCAACTCGTCCTCGGAAGCCTTCTGGGCGCTGCGACGGAATTTGCGCTCGTACTGGCACTGCAGAGCGGCGAGCTCAAACGTGGCAACTTTATCCGATGGAACAGAAGGGTCACAGATGAACTCGAAAAGATCACCCTCGTCACCGCTCAGATCATCCCACGCGAGAATCTTGCCACCCTCACGAACTTCGGAGCGGAAGTGCAGAGTCTGGTCGAGCAGGAACACCTTCTCGTCCTTGTCCAGATTATCCGCGACCTGCTCGTCTTCGTCGTCCGCAAGTTCCTCCTCGCCTTCCTCGTAGGCTCTCTGGATCACGAGTTGGTACTGGAACTCTTGGCCAGTGCGTCGGATCGTCGCGGCGGCGTCTTTGAAAATGAGCTCCGAATAGCCCTTGGGTGACAGGGGGCGGACTAGATAGAGCTGGCCCTGAGGGATTTCGATGATGGATTCTTTCGAAGTATCACCGAAGAGAAACTTGCCCACTGAATGTTAAATGGAAATATTAGCTTGATTTGTTCGTTTGTGGCGAAAAATGATGGTTGGTATGGAGGGGTTCGTGGCGGGGCAGGAGCGTGTTTGCTTACCGTTGCGGAGCATAAACATGGTTGCGAGGGGTAGCGAGCAAGCAACAGGGATGTAAAAAAAGTCGAAATATGAAGGAGATGAAGGAGAGAAGGAAAGGTAAAGGGAAGGTGATATAAGAACGACGGGGAAACTTCAAGATAAATGGGAAAGAAGCTTTCTCTGCCACCGTCGGGGAGTAAAGAAATCAAAGAGAAGCTTGGGGAAAAAAAGAAAGAAAGATAACTGCATCATTAAGAAATCGCCTCCGTCATCGAGTGTGGCGTCCATCCACGTGTGGCTAGTGGCTTATGTAATATAGGCTCGTGCTTCCACCTCCCCTATCACGTGCCGATCAAGATCACGGGAAGTATACGAGCATTGTTCTGATAGTATAAGGTGCTCTTTGATCACATCCAAATTAGTTGAGCCTGATTTAGAAGTAACAATAAATCCCCTACTGTCAAGGATTTGATCTAGTCTGCAAGAGGTCAAAGGTCTTCCATACCTAACATTAAGCAGGTAAACGCCATAGGCAATGGCCAAGATATATTTCGGTCCGACGCAGCTTCTGGAGCTCTTTGAGAATAATTCCATCCGTAAAAAAGTAGGCTGTATGCATCATCCATTAAAGGAACTTTGAATCCTCCAGGGCTGGTTGTTTTCACCGAGAGCCCTGGAAGATTATTGCCTCAATGCTGCACATTGTCGATAGAACGCTACCTAATCTACTTGAAAGTGCTTCTTGAAATCCTAGCGTGCTGCCTCCCAAAGATGGGGCAAGGTATTGTTATGGATTGGTTATGTACTTGTCATGCATCTCCTTCATCATCATGATCATCTTCTTGTTCAGCCTCCATCTCATTTGCAATCTCCTCCAGAGTTGGCTCAGGCTCATCGTCTGAGACCTCCTCCGCAGCCTCATCGCCCTGCTGCTCCCGCAACTTGCCGCCCTTTCTGGGCGGAAGGACTTTCATGAAAGCTTCTCCCCAATCGCCCAGTTCCAGCCACTTCAGCATAATATCGACCACGTGGTTGGTGGTCAGCACCTGACGAGAGGACATCTGGATATAGTCCCCAATGGGCAGCTTGGCAGTTTTGATTCCCTTTGCAACAGCAGACTTGTAGCAAACTGCCTTGTAGCGGTTCTTATCCACGAGGCCGCCAATGATATAAGTGCAGTAGGGCTTCAGCTCCGTCAAAATATTATCACTGTCGCTGCTGAGGTAGATAACCTCGCCATCTTCCGGCTTAGCATCGGTCTTTTCGGCAAAGGGTCCAACCAATTTCCCGCCCTTGGGAGATGCCATTTGTTCCTTGAGAATCTCGGAAGCATGCACGAAGTCTTCTTGAATGATTCGAATGCCCTTCCAGTTGCGATAGGGCGCGAGCACTTTGTCGAATCGCTCCTTCAGTTGTTTATCGAATGAGCTGAACATCAGATTTGAGCGCCAAATGGCACGGGTGTTCTCCGAGTACGACCGTGTGAGTTGACCTGCGAGCGAAATGCGCTCGTGAGGGTTCATCAACTCGTCATAGCCGCAGTCAATCACAATCGAAACGGGCAGCAGAGTCGACCGCCGAGACTTGGACCGAGTCGTCTCCCATTGCTTGCGCAGAGCCTTAACAGCTTCCTCGCCACCAGTCTCCCTCGCTTGGTCGACCATAAGCTGGCGACGTTCCTTTTTCTTTGCCATTTGTTCCCTCCGCTTTTCCTTGCGCTGCTCGCGTCCTGCCTCCCATTGCTCTCTCTTCCTGAGTTTCCTGAGCTGGTTCTTCGAGAGCGGTGGAGGGGCGTTCTGGGTGGCTACACCCTCAGGTAGCGCAGAGTCACTGGTGGGAATCGAATTGTCGGATTTGGGGAGCTCTGCTTTTTCTGATGGTACATTATCGTTCGTAGGCGCGACGGTTTGCGACGGCTCGTCGGCAGCTGCCACAGCACCAGTCATTGCGGGGCCAAGTTTATCGTTGATAGCTTGGTCATCATGCTCAAGCTTCGCAAGTTTCCTTGGTCTCTCTTCTTCGTCCATTGTGCCGGTCAGGACTGGGTTCTTGTGACCAAAATAATCGAGTGGGCTGTCACGCAGTCTTGTACATCGCCGGGAAAAAAGCCCATTCACCGCCGCTAGCCAATAGCAACCGCCACAGCCCTCATTACTGTACACCTCACGTGACATGCATCACCAACTTCTCCATCCAGCGACTCCTCGTTACGTTCACGGAGCCTCCAAACCCCCCCAAATACCGCCACCATGCCTCAGGATATGCCCCCAACGGGGGGCTACGCTCAAGTCCAGTACAAGGTATGCCATTGATGAGGACTGGCACCGAATCAGACTCTCCCCGGCAATCGCACAGCGACATCAGCTAATCCTCACTCTCTCGATCTCCAGCGGAACCTCCCTGCCCGTGGCTTCAAGCCCTTCTACTACATGGTCGGCATGCACATGATCATGGCCTACGGTTTCTACAAGTACTTCCACGGTGTCCGCGAGCAACGGTACGTTTTCCGCAATGGCAGAGTTGCCTGGCTCCGATGATCCCGATGCGTCGCAATTGCAACTCAGTACCGCGGCAACGCGGTCTATGGACTCGAAATTGACCAGGAACTGACATGGATCTGGTTTTAGTGAGCTTGCCCGTGAGAAGATGTGGGGTCGTCTCTACCTCACCCCTCTCCTCCAGGCCGAGGAGGACCGTGACCAGGTCCGCCGTTACTACGCCGACAAGGCTCGCGAGAAGGAGCTCTTGGGCGCCGAGCAGAAGGTCTACAACTCGGACCGGTACGTAATCTTGACGGATACTCCAATCCGAACCTCAATCGCTGCGTTAATGACACTAATGCCTTCTCTATGTACAGCTTCGTCCGCCCTACCTTCGCCTACACTCCCTCCAAGGTTACCCAATAGACAATTTCGTCGACGCATTCATCGATCCCGTACCACCATTTGTTTCCGCTCGTGGTTGGCCACGGCACTGCTATTTTATGGGCACCCTCCTAGGAAAGAGGGTTGGAGTTCGATTCGTTAGATGAGCCGGAGCGAGTGGAAAGATTACTGAGGCAAAGATTGTTTGTCTCAAAGGAGCCAGGGGCTCGAGGAAAACATTGTAGATATACCGTTACTACGAAGGGCCTAGTTTTGTTTTACAACAAGTCATTTTTTCTTCTGTTTGCATTGGTGCAAATTAATCCAGTCCTAGACAAGTAAACCAGGAGCTTAATGTCACTAGGGGGGGGGGGGGGGGGGGACAGGTTTACAAGATAATGCGAGTAATCATATGTTTAATGTGCATGAGCACGTTGTTATTTGTTTTAGCCGTCTATAAATGTATAGCGGCCTGTCTATTCTGTTGGTCTCAAAGCGCCGCCGCCAGGGGGTAGTCCGTAAGGTCGCAAGCGAAGAGAAACCCATGCTGCAAGAAATATGAAAAACAAAAAATGAACATCAAGAACGTACGCTCAGGATGCAATCGAGAACTTAGGCCACAAAACATAAAAGTAATGCGAGATCAAGCAGATCTCACGCGAGCATAGAAATCGAAATCGAGAGCCTAGTACCGAGAAGCTCTACACCAACATATCAAAAAGCTAACCAGGAGCGTCAACGGCGAGCGATGTAAATCAAATCGCAAAGCAGTCCATAGATAAAGCCGTCTGATCGTCGAGAGCATCACTCTAACCGAACATATCGGCAACACCAGAGAGATCGGGACCATCATTGATGTCAACACGATGGGTCTCTTGCTGTGTCTCCATCTCGTTGGTCATGTACCGGTTTTGAATCGCGGTCCTCGCCTTGCGACGCTCCTCCCGCGAGCCAAGGATCTTGCCTTGCTCGGCAATGCTAACACCTCGCAGCGGTTCCAGTAGCTCAAGAACCAAAGCCCGCTGCTGGCGGGGCGAGGTGCATCGCTGGAGAGCAGTCTCTGTCTGGGCAACCTTTTCTGGGGTGATACCCGGCAGTGAGAGGAAGACGGACCGCGGCGTTTCGCTGCAAAATCCGTACAGGACCCAGATGGACGCAATTAGCTGGGCCAAATCCTTCTGCATATCAACGAAATAGGATTCATGGACGGAGGTAATGCAAGCCTGCAGGACGTCTGTGCAGATGAACTCGCGGATGGTCACAATAGTTTGACTGTTGTTCGGGGGCGCGAAGTCGGCCAAGATGGATCGAACGACGCGAGTAATGATGCTGCAGCAACGCGTATCGCGCATGCGAAGAGCATGCGTGCAGAAAAGCATGACGGGCTCGAAGATTTCGGGCGAGGATAGAACAAAGTGACGGATTGAGTCGGCCAGCTCAGGAGTCGGTTGCGGTGCACTAGGGTCTGCCTCTGTCCGATCAGGATCTGAAGAAACAAAACTTATTAGTATACTCATGTGAACGTTTCGGCTGGTGGGAGCCGCCCATAGACGAATGTCTGGGCAATGGATGAGGGACTACTATTATAGAAGTTCTTACCTCCTCTCTGCGGGTCGAACAGGCTGGCAACCATGATGACCGCAGCATATGTCAATTGACGAAGGACGCTTTCCGACTTCATCTCGTCAGTAAGGTCACCATCAACACCGCCACTCTTCCGCTGCTCAATCAATTCCCACTCAGTGGTGATCTTGCGGTCGATGCTGCGGAACAAAGTAGCGAGCATTGGCGGCAAGAATTGTGCGCGGTACTGAACAGGACAATCGTCAATTAGGCAGCGCGAGATGTTGAGCAGGACTGAGAATTGGTGGGAGGAAAGGTGCTCTGCATCTTTGAAGAGGGCCTCGGACAACGGCCCTGGCAGCTCCGCAAATCCATAGAATTGATGGCGCATTCGGCTCATGCTGAAAAGCATCGAATAACCTGATTCACGAACTGCTCGAATCTTTCCACGAACAGATGATGCGAAACCTTCGAGGGTTGACTTTGATGCAGTGATCTTAGCATAGAAATCATCGCGGCTACCACTAGAAATACCGGCTTGCCAGAACCGATCGGTCAAAATGCGCTCAACCACTGCTCGCATATCGTCGCTAACGGCCCAATTAGCCGGGTTGTGGAAGGCATGAGCATGAGTGAGAAGCTGGACCAAAGTGGGAAGAATCTGAGGAGTTAGGTCTTGCCACATATCGCAAGCAACTTGATACGCAGGTGAGGTTCTCTTTAGCTTGTCCGTTGACACAGCTAGCATGGTCTTGGTACCACGCAACGGTAGCATCTGGAATTTCCGGGTCATTTGTTCCTGGACGAGCTTTCCCTCATTGTCCAAAGCGACTGAAGACCAATCTTCGAGCTTGTGCGCTTGCTTGGCTTGCATGTAGGACCCCACGTTCTCTAGTCCAAGCATGGTGCAAAAGCCCTCGAATGATGAGCTCATACGGCGGAATTCGTCGTCCTGCCATGCCTCTCGAATGGGCGCAAGGAAACCGGCCAGCCGGCTATGGCGGAGGGTCGGATCAAGGTTGTTGGCGCGTTGCATAATAATCAGCAGGATGGACGTCAGCTCCATCTGGAGTTTATCGTCCACACGGTTGGCCATTGTGATCTCCCTGATTTTCGGCTCGAGCAGATCGTAAAAAGTGGAGAAATAGTCAGCGTAGCGGATTGCGAGGCGCCGGAGTTCGTGACTGGCCAGCCCATGGAGCTCCTTGACAGCATCGGCATAGACAGGGTAATCGGGCTGGTCTGGAAGGCGTGTCATGAGAATGTGCTCAAGGACCTTTAGCGCATATGCAGGGTGGTTGTCCAGTGCTTTAGACGAGATGTCAACCACCAATTTGATGACCTTCTGCTTTATCACAGGATCCTGGAAAGAATCCCAGTTAGCTCAGGCTGAATCACCGTATAGTTAATAGGCGCACGAACCTCGAAATTCCTCTGCATGAGCTTCGAAGCCCAGCTCTCCACCGCAAGCTCCAGCTCTTTCCTCTCCTGCTCCTGTCATCGGGGTAAGCGACGATATGTTTAAATATTTGCAAGGGAGACTTACATCCTGCTGAGGTGCCTTGCCGTGGGCTTCAATCCACTTGTTAAAACCCTTGATGACTGCTTCAACAACAGCGAATTGAGCGTCCGCGCGCATAAGCGGGATCGATGATTTACTGTAATTGTGCACTGTTTTCTTGGGTTAGCGCAGGAATCAATCATGAAACACATCAAGACATACTTTGAAATGGTTCAGCACCACCGTACAGATTGTCCAGATTCTCATCAACCCGTCCAAGGATCTCGTGCACCGCCTCTTGAGCACGCTTCTGGGTAATAGTCTCAATGATCGACGAGCAGTATCGGCGATAATTGCCAAGGAATGCATGGCGCTCCGGGATTGTGTCAATGTCCTCCACGAGGAACTGGATCGTCGGATCCTCCGACTCTGTCGGAAGGGACTCCCACCGTATCAAACGCTGAGTACACACAGTCAGGAAAGTCGGTGTCTGGTTGACCACGAACTCTGAAGTGCCAATCTTTTGAACACCCAAAAGCCTTGACCACAGATGAAGACACGGGATAGATACAGTCAAGCTTTGGTGCTGCATGATATTCAACATGAAGTTGAAGAAGGGCGGGAGATCCAAGCGGTGCATGGTGTCTCGGAGGAACCTCTCGTCCTCCAAGCAACCGGCAACATAGGAGATCATCTATGAATTGTCAGCCTTGTGAGGTCGCGTATCTATTGGGTGGTGAGATGCTTACCTCTGAAAGCTTCTTAGAGATCAAGTACTTCGGCTCATCCGCATCCTCCGGGCCAACGATGGACCACTGATACAGATTTTGAAGGGTATTGAGATAGTCGCTCTCAAATATCAGGCAGACTAGACCGTGAGACTCGTCATTTCCCATATTGTTCCGCCCGTAAAGCGAATGCAATGCCTCAACCGCAGCCTAGAAGAACATCGTTTAGAATCAATCTATGGCGATACCTACAAATCTCACAACGCTCTCTTACCAGCAACACTTGTTCGTCTTGGCAGGTCAAAGCCCTAAAAACACTTGCAACGACCTGTCCGGCGATCACGGCTTTGTAGATTGACCAGGAAAGCGCAGATCTCAGCGTCGTTAGAGCCTTGACGGCCGCATCGCGCGCTTCACGCGATGTCGAGACATTCTGTACGCAACTGTCCAAGAATTCGCAGATTCGAACTAGCCAACCCTCCTGTCCACATCGCAGAACAGCATTGGTGGATTTATCGGGATTGATCTGCTCAACAATTGCGGCAGGTGTGAAGATCTCGACGAGCGCACGATTGAGCTCGGAGCCACGCAAAGAGGAGACGGTATCCTCACGGAAGAAGACGTCTTCCGACAGGGTTTCCAACACAGAGAGCACCAACTCGTTATGTACCAGAGACACGCCCCAGAATTTGACAAGCGCCTCATCCATGTCCGCCCAATCCAAGCCCCAGCTCTTCTTAGCGGCCTCCGACCATAGCTGCGGGATCTTGTTGCGGAAAAAGCTCGGGTCCTCGGGTCGAATATTCTCGGCCAACTGAAGGATCATCGATCGAAGGTTCGTGGATTCCTCGGGGTTGGTGAAAGATAAATGGCGCAAAACGTGGTCCAGTAGGGTCAGACCGAAGTACCGCACGACAGCAGCATGATCTGCGCGTGAAGCTAGCAGAAATCCATTGCGAGCTGCTGCCTCGTTATCTTTCAACGCCTCGACAAAGGACAGGGCCTCTTTGCGGAGTGCATTGGTGGACGTTGGGCTGTGTATGACCTCCAGGGCTCGAATGATATCGGCCATTCCGGCCTCCGACAGCTCTTCGGCAGCCATCTCGTGCGCAACACGTGCAGAGTGCTGTGGGATAAACGTGAAAGGTATCTGACGGGCGATCGAGGCGGCGCGGTATTTTTATGCGAAATGGGAACGCGAACGCGGCCTACAGAAGTCGTGTCTTCTGCAATAAAACAAGGCAGAGACAGATATCGTTCTTTTGAGGGGTCCAGCTGCCGGATCAGAGAGGATCTCCGCGGTGATTGATATGGCCGTTGACCCTGTCCGTGAGATGTTTAGCAGTCGGACACAGCAGCAACGGCCATTCCAAAGTGAGAGTTTCTCCGCGCGTGGTCAAGCAATGTATAATGGGATGCGCTTTGAGCGGGATTAGTTGCAGGAGGAGTATCGAGGTCGCGGTGGAGAGGGAGGGTTGGAATTACGCGGGATTGGTTTGCTGAGGAAGAGTTGCGGAAGGCAGCCGATGGGGAAGTTTGGGAAATGCCGTCCCGGGCTGAGAATTTTCAATGGGCTTGGTCCTTTAAGGTACACCGCTCACCCCTGCTCATAGGGAAGAGATGTATAGCAGGGGCAAATTCTGTTATTTGAAAATGCTCTTGGAGCTCGTATAGCTACTGCCTCAATCTTCTCTTATCGGTTTGTTTTCGCGTCCAAGGGCTGCTCGCCATCATAGCTGTTGCCCCTCATCGTCACCGGTTGTTTATCTTATCTCCCTGCACACGATCCATGGGTCCTTACTAACTAGTAGGCGGTTTAGCGCGCGCTTTTGGCGGGTTGAAGAAGCAATTTAATATAAATGGATATGCAATAAGAGCCCTAGAACGCCAACGAAAAAGAAAACAAAGAAAACGAAAAGAAGAACAAAAGCAATAATCTCATTATCACATCACATGACAAGACAATCGCCCTTCTGGCACTGTTCAAGATATGTTACGTCGTCCCCAGATGGATTAGAATACTCTCCTGCTTTGCGCTTGACTCCCTCGATTTTGATGCTCTGCTCACCTTCGGCGTGCCACCATCGTAATCGCTGGATCTTAATCGTCTTGATTTCCTGGTAGTCAATTTCCCACTTCCCCCCGCTTACCGCGATGACAGTCACACCATCAGGGAAGTGGAACTCGGGCAGGTATATCTCTGTTGGGGCTTCGGATGGGGTAGCGACCTTCGCCGTCAAAGTCATGGTGAACGTACAACTCCGAAGGTCAAAGACATGGCTGCCCAGTGCTCCATTCACATAAATTGGACTTGGGCGAAGGAAAGCCTCGGCGGCCCGGTAGCCCTTGGGAGTTTGAGAGCTAACACTGGTGATTGATGGGTTTGTGAGTGCGCGCTTGAGATTGCGAGGATCGACTTCCGGCTCGTCTCCACTGCTATGGCTTTCAGAGTAAGCCGGAGACTGTGGATTCAGGGACGTGTACGTGGCTTTGGTCGGAAGCTCCAAATCGTCTCGGGAGTAGATAGACAGGTCTTCTCCATTCCAAAGATCGCCCCATTCGTGATTGTTCTGGATCAAAGTTAGCACCACGGAACGAATTCTCGTCACAAAGTAAGAGAATGAAGAAAAGGCATACCTCTGTCTGATACACCCACAAGGTAAAGCCATTCGAGGTACTGCCTTCGAGAGCAAAGTGGTTGGCATCCATCGCGCTCGTTTGACTACTATAGTCTCCAGTCTCGTAGGCATGCTTGTTATCCATATCATATGGAATGCCAATTTCGGTGAAGAGAAGTGGATGATTGCCCATGTACTTCAAACTCTCTTCGCGGAGGAATTTGAGTTGGTCACGCAGACAATTACGGATCGCCGATTCTCCAACCTTGACAGCAAACGCCGGTGCCCAGTACTTGCCTCGAAGGACACCAATGACATCCACATTGTAGAGGCGGTTCCAGTGTTTAGTCAAAAGAGTTAGACCATCGTAGTAATGGACAGCATGGACCATGTTTGGGTCATCGTCCTCCGTTCCTTTCAAGTCAGGAGGCAATTCCATCACGGGTGGCTGACACAGCAGTATCGCCGCAGGCCAGATGCCCCGAATCGCATCTCTGTATTTTCGGTAGTGCTCCAAAAAGTATGTGTTGGTGAATATCTCGTAGTTCAAGGGTTCTCCAGTGCTAGGCACCTTTGAGAAATAGTCTTTCTGAAGTAGGGTATCCGTGTCTGGATCCCAGACTCCATGTTGGGCCCAAATGCACTCTCCGAGTTTCCATCCGGAGTCTCGTTGCCAGCCATATTTGCTATCATCATGGCCGGCAGGGAGCCAGGCCAATTCTCCCTCGGGGTCCACAAGTTGTCTGCCTGTCTGGTACGGGCCAAAGCTGCCAAAGCCCCAGGTAGTTTCCTCGCAAGCTCGTCCAGCGCCTGTGAGCATTGCTTGGAAGGCCGTTGGTGAGGTTCCAAGCTGAAGCTGTTGTTCCGGGGGAATGATAGAAATATCCTGCACTCCAATGAGGCCTCGATGGGGCTCATTCATACTCTCCCAGCCAATTACTACAGCATGTTCAATATCCCCAGCCTCGTGAATTCGTTGCGCTAGGTGCTTGCATGCGGCGATGAAGTGAGTCTGTAGATAGTCTTGAATATTCATGCCATCGATGATAGCTTTGTGTGCAAAGTCCTTGCCTGCCCAAAAGAGGGTGAACATGGTCTGGCATACGAGACGGGTGTAGTTCGTGCTCCAGATCATTTTGGGGAAATCGGCAGGGTTATCATATGTATTTTGAACGAGTGCAGCTTCTGTATTTTTGAACCCTTTAGGATTTAGACCTGCCGCATAAAGTGTCCACATTGGTGCGCCTGATCCTCCAGACAATCGAGACCACTATTAAGGTTAGCACCGTGATACGAAGATGAGAATCCCCAAATTTACTGACCACATCCTGATGCGGGTCCATGAAGACGTAAAACTCATATTGCTTCGCTATTCTCAGAACCTCAATAGTGAATGCGATCCACTCTTCGTCGTAGATGCCGGGACCGGCATGCTCGATTGCCTCCCATGTGAAGATATATCGGATCGCATTATAGCCCCACTTGCGCAGTCTTCTGAAGTGGGCGTGCGAGTCTTCCAGCGAGAAGGGCCGCCCGACAAACGAAACATCATCTGCATCGAAGAACTTGTCCGAAACAAACGAAGGAAGATCGGGCTGTTTCGGGTACTTGGCATCCCCTGCAACGTTGATACCCCTCAGAACAATCTCTCGATTCTGAGGATCCCGAAACACCTTCCCATCGATGTGAAGACGCAGAAGACCCATCTTGGAGTATGCGACAAGAGATGGCGGTGTCAGACGGTTGATCCAGCCATGCGACGGTTTCGACCAGCAAGAAACCGGAAATCAAGGCGCGGAGAGTGAAAAACACTAGGAACTAGAAAACTGCGGTCAGACGCATGAAGTTTCAAGACCCTAGCTAAGCTTCGCTGAAGTTCAAGCAGCCCTAGTCCAGGATGATGCTCGCCTGCCGGGAGAGCCGTGATCAGGCAGACATACGTACCTCGACTTCACAATCTGGAGGACCTCACCAAGAACAAGATAAATGCTTGCAGAAAGATTCTGAGATGGCGTGCAGGTTTGAATGCAGGCAAAGGAGTTGACACAAAGTGTTGATGTTACGAGCAGGCTGCAGCTGACCCAAGCTGGGGTCCCCGATAACCGATAAGGCCGTGACGTATCGGCGCTAACCGATCAACCGCTTCTTCTCCACCACACCGAGAACCTCCCCGCTCCTTCAGGCTGAGCGCGCACGGGGATCATGTCGAGCAAGGCCGCATTGAAAGCTGTTCGAACAGCTTTAGACGCCAAAGATTTTGCGGCTGCTGCTGAAAAAGCCAGGGCGCTGGTACAAAATGATCCCAAGAATTACCATGCGTGAGTGCTAAAGACTCCTCATAATCTCTTGGACCCTAGCTAACCGCCTCCTTCTCTCCCCTCCAGAAACGTTTTCCTCGGACTTGCCAATGACAAATTGAATCAAAATGAGGCGTCGGAGGAAGCTTATCTTGCTGCGACGCGGATAAAAGACAATGATCGCACTGCTTGGCAGGGCCTGATTAGCTTATACGAGAAGCAAGGCGGGTCGAAGCTGGATGCCTATCATGAAGCTGTTCTCAAGCTCGGGAAAATCTTCGCCGACAGGTATGAAGCTCAGATGGATCTTTACGCGTCGCTTTGAGGACCGGAAAAATACTGATCTCGTCTTTCGCCCCAGCGACGAGAAGGAACGATGCCAGGATGTTGTCGACAAATACACAAAGCTTGCTCGGAAGAACAACGACAAAGCCAAATACAAGAAGGCCCTCGAATTACAACTCCCTAGCTCCCCTCTCTATTCCTTCCTCGAAGGCCGGCTACCACACCCATCCCTGACCTACCTTCGCATGATCGAAATCACCGAATCCGAGGAGAAAGAATACATCAATCGTGAAATCGGTGAACGAAGAACCCGCCTTGGTGCAACAAAAGAGAATGTCACCCTTGAGGTGAAACGTGACGCGTTCAGGCAGAGCAAGCTGGAAAATCTGTACCGGGGTCTCATCGACTGGACAAATGATGATGCCGTTCGTCGCCAGTACGAGGAGAAACTGCTCGAGCGTGCATGTGAAGAGCTTGAGTTCGTTGCCGTAGGCAAGAAACCTACGAAACGAAAGGAAATCCTTCGTTCTGCCCAGGACATGGTTATCATCAAGCACCCCTTTGAACTCGCTTGGAACATTGTGCTCGAGTGGAAGGACGTGGAAGATTACTCGCAATGGGATGTGGGTGTTCTGCGCGAGTACATCGAGTTTTTCCCTGACACTGGATTGGCAAAGGTTTTGAAGGGATTCTTGACCTGTGAATTATCTCCATTTCCTCAAGAGGACTCCGAGTCAGAAGGCGACGCGGGTGCGACGATCACCGGAAAAGACACCGAGACTACTGAGATAGCTGAGGCAGCAGATGACACTGAGATAATTGATGCGGGCGCTGCGGATAGGCTGATTTTGATGACCGAGGGTCTAGAAATGGCACCGTCATCGATTATTGCGCATCGTATCATGGCAGATCTCTACCTCCTCCTTGAAGAGTACGAGAGCACCGTCGATGTGGCTCGGAAAGGACTGCGAAATGTTGCGGAATTCGTCAGATACACTGGATGGAAGTCTCAAAACACAACGGACGCCATTAACATTACCCTCGCCAACGCTTTAATTCCCTATCAATCACCTCGACACCACCCAGAAGCCAAGATGATCTTTGAGAATATTCTTCAACAAAAGCCCACCTCCACCGTCTGCCTTCTTGGTATTGGTCTGGTCCTGAAAGTCGACCAGGACTATGAGAATGCTGTCGAGTTTTTGGAACGTGCTCTAGAGCGCGATCCTAAAAACATCAAGATTCGTGGCGAGCTTTATTGGTGCAAGGCGTTGAACGGCGACCTGCAGGCTGGGCTCGATGGCCTCCAGGGTGCTCTTGAAAATCTGAGAGCGGAACAACCTCAAAACAAGTCTTTCAAGTCTGAGCTGCTTTACCGGGTTGGCTACTGCCAGTGGGAGCTGGATTCATCTGTGGCAGCTCGCAAGGACCGGAATGGGGCTTATTCAAGCTTCCTAGCTTCTATCAAGGCTAACATGAATTTTGCGCCTGCGTACACAAGCCTTGGCTTCTACTATGCGGACTATAAGAAAGACAAGACCAGGGCACGCAGATGTTTCCACAAGGCCTTCGAGCTATCATCATCGGAAACTGAGGCTGCAGAGCGTCTTGCTCGAGGTTTCGCGAACCAGAACGAGTGGGATCTGGTCGAAGCTGTTGCACAGCGGGTTGTGGACTCGGGATACGCCAAGCCTGCTCCAGGTTCTAAGCGTAAAGGGTACAGCTGGCCATATGCGGCTCTTGGAACGGTTCAGATCAACAAGCAACAATACTCAAAAAGCATTGTCTCATTCCAAGCTGCGCTACGGATTAGCCCCAGTGATTACCATTCCTGGGTCGGTCTAGCGGAGAGCTATCACCACTCTGGTCGATACATTGCTGCAACCAAGGCATTTGAGCATGCACGGGAACTGGAGTCTAACCTCCGGGGCGAGGAACAAGATCACATCTGGTTTGCACGATACATGATGGCCAACGTGAAGCGGGAGCTTGGCGTCTACGATGACGCTATCGCTAGCTACGAGGATGTGCTGGCTACTCGCCCTAACGACATCGGCGTCACAATTGCGCTTCTCCAGACTTTGGCCGAGAGCTCGTGGAAGAGTCTTGATTCGGGCCTATTCAATGATGCTGCGGAACTTGCCTGCAAGGTCATCCGAGTAGCTGGGTCGCTTGTCACTGTTCGGAATGACATTTTCAACCTGTGGAAGTCGGTCGGTGATGCCTGCTCGAACCTTACCTATATAAAGAAGAAGATCGGAAAGATTGCAGTCGCGGACTGCAAGGCTCTGCTGCTTTCTGGCGTCGACCCCATCGCCCTTGATCTCATGACCGAGGTTGATGGTGTGGGCCAAGACTGGCTAGACGCAAGTGATAGTGACGAAGTTGTCTCGCCTGATTTTTGCATTTTCATGTCCATCCTGGCATACAAACGTGCCATTCACGTTTCTACGCAAGACACCCACGCGCAAGCCGTTGCATGGTACAACCTAGGCTGGGCCGAGTACAGGGCGTACCGGAGTGTACAACTTGGCTCCGGTACTAAGAGCAAGAAGCCCCGGAAGTTCCTGAAGGCTTCAATGCGATGCTTCAAGCGGGCGATCGAGCTAGAAGCTGGCAACTCGGAATTCTGGAACTCGTTGGCCGTTGTCACTACGAGCATGAGTCCCAAGGTGGCTCAGCATGCCTTTGTGCGAAGCTTGCATCTGAATGATCGTAGTGCGCAAGTCTGGACGAACCTGGGTGCGCTGTATCTCCTACACAACGACATCCAGCTTGCCAATGAGGCGTTTACCCGTGCTCAGTCAACGGATCCGGACTATGCTCAAGCATGGGTGGGCCAAGGCTTCCTTGCGCTTCTCTATGGAGATTCTAACGAGGCACGGGGTCTTTTCGAACATGCATTTGATATTTCCAACTCGTCCTCGATGCTTCCAAAGCGTCAATACTCTCTCACCCTATTTGACCACCTGCTAGCTGACTCCTCTGCCTCGAACGAAGTTTCGCAGCTGATCCAGCCATTCTTCGCTCTCCACCAGCTCTGCGCTCAAGATCCATCCGACCTTCCATTCATGCACCTATCTGCCCTGCTGGCTGAGAGAATGGGCGAGGTTCCCGACGCCGAGTCCAGCCTGGAGGTCGTTTGCTCGGGCATGGAGGCGGAGTTCGAAGACACTGAATCGCCTGCATCGCTCTCACGGTTTGCCCAGGCCAACGCAGACATGGCTCGAGTGCTTCTGGCGAACCACCGCTACGAGGAAGCTGCGGAGAAGGCCGAAACTGCCATCACTCTGTCCGGAGAGGAGGACGCAGAGAACTTCGACCCCGAGGCATGCAGCAAGCTCCGGCTGTCGGCGCATCTCACAGCAGGCCTAGCCTACTACTTCACAAAGTCCATGGACCAGGCAATTGATATGTTCCGTGACGCGCTTCAAGAAGCCGACAACGCGCCTGATGTCGTGTGCCTCCTCGCCCAGGTCCTCTGGGCAAAGGGTGGCGAGGAGGAACGCTCTGTTGCTCGCCAGCAGTTGTTTGATTGCGTAGAGAATCATCCCGACCACGTCGGGGCTGTGACCCTCCTGGGAGCTATCGCACTTCTCGACCAAGATCGAGATGCAATCGAGGCCGTGGAGGCTGATCTCCACAATATGATTACACGGGATGACATTGACATCCATGACCGCGGCAAGGTTCTGAAACTATTGGCTGCCATCTCGGCAATGGGATTCACCGAGAAGGCCAACCTTCCAGAGGATCTTCGTCGAGTTGGCGAAGCCACCGCTGCCGTCATGCTGTCTCCAGGTCAGCCACAGGGCTGGATGGAGCTGTCCGCTGTCTCAGACAGCTCATACCCAGCAGAGATGGCCATCCAACGGGCTCTCCGCTGTGTGCCCCCTCACAGCAACCTAGATGCCTCGGATCTGAGCCAGGCATATGCTCAAGCCGGCACGGCTACAGATGCCTTCCGGGCTATTATGGTTGCGCCATGGAGGAAGGAAGGCTGGGAGGAATTAACTGATGGTGTATCTGGCCTGGTGGCATAGTTAGCTAACAGAAGTACGGATGTAGGGGATGTGATCGCTTCATTTGCAGCAGATCACCATCACTTGTTATGAGTACATAAACGGAAATATTGCATACCTTTTATCACAGCCTCATTCAGTCTGTAGATTCTACCATCACAACTTCAAGCCATTGCTTATTCGGCACGTAGTAAAGCAAGACCAAATCTTGCCCTTCGTGGCTGGTCTTGGACCTGACAGGCAGCATGACTACTAGCCATTTCGATTGCTTTAATTAGCCTCACTGCCCATAGAATCGATCCTCTGCAACAATCTGGCCTTCCTTCCCTCCTTCCAAGGTTTATCCAGAGCTTCAATCTTCCCGCCGAGCAGCGTATAGCAATTGGGATTCAACAAGACCATACCGCGCGCCACAGTTGCATTACGCAAGAGAATCTTCGCACCTATAGGCAGCTTCTCCAGCGAGATGCCCTCAATGCACTGCATCTCAATCGCAACCGCCTTTGTGCCATTAGCATCCTGTAGAATCAACCGATGCGGTCCAGATCCACTGCTCCCAGACGCGCTGGGAGCTCCAGCAGCGCCAGTATTATTCGAGCTCTCATTTTCTGTTCCTTCATTATCGTCGCCAACGTTCACTGTTCGTACAATCTCCCGGCCTCGTATAGCTTCGCCGCGCTCGACACGCTCGATTGCTTCGACTTGGCTCCAGAGACTCGTGCCGATGTCTTCGATATCAAGGACTTGGACGGGAATTGGCCCGGGGATGCGCCTTTCTTGAACAGCGGGGTCGGAGATGTCAATTGGGAAAAGGGAAGTTGGGTTGGTCGCTAGAGACTGGCGAATATCCGAGGCGAGTACACGAAAAAGAGCTGTCTTGGTGAGTGCGGAGGCGGGGACGTTGCGCTGCGACGAGGCGAGGAACGTGTTGAGCCATGAGGACGAGACGCAGAGGGATTTGGTGCTCAGTATTTGAGCGGCGATCTGCTCTGCATTTGCCATTATTCATGCATGTCTCTGCCAGCCGAGCGATGGACGGATCAGATGTAGGTAAAGTAGGTAGAAAGCAGAGTGAAGCTCCAAAGCTGTGGAAAACGCACCAGCTCGGACCACCGCTTAACGCCGATGGTCTGGTGGTCTTCCGCGCCGCCGTTGGACTGCTCCTCCTCCATCAACCACCACAATGTCCACGCTGTCTTCTCCTCGACCTTCGATTGCCTCTTCACGCGCTCATTCCCCAACCCCGGCATCCTCCCGGCCATCTCTCGATGCACTAAACACTAATGTCCCTGGCGGGCTCAGCGCCTCGTCAACTCCATCCACCGCACGAGCGATCTCCCCCAACCCACGCCGCAATCGCTCCGCCCTACGAGACTATTACAACCTCAAGCCTCCAGGTGCAGACTCTGGCAGTCCCGGTGGAAGCTTTCGCTCCCGCAGCGTCCCCCGAAACACCGATGCAGGAGATATATCCAACCCATCCACCCTAGCTTCGGGGACGGAGCTAGACAATGCGGACTTCGATCCACAACGCTACGTCGACCACCTCCTTTCTACATCATCTCTTTCTACCATCCTCAAAGCTGAGAATACTCTTGTCGGGGACATTCGTACGCTCGACGGCGAGCGGAAAGCTTTGGTCTACGATAATTACTCCAAGTTGATCCGCGCTGTGGAGACAATTGGCAAGATGCGGAAGAGTATGGACGAGCGGGGTGCTCCTTTGACCATGACCAAAACTCTCGGTCCGGCTATTGCGTTCGTCGCTGAGACTGCGGGTGGGCTGATCAAGGAGGGCGAGGAGCAAAGACGGCGGATCAAAGAGGAAAGGGAGGTGGAACCACAACAGCCTAGGAAGGCTGAGAAGGAGACCGTGAGGTGGGTGCTTGCTGCGCCTGATCGGTTGGAGAAACTTGTGGCAGAAGAGAAGCAGACCGAGGCGGAGAAGGATTGGGAAGAGGTTCAACGCTTGCTTGACGCTTGGAGCGAGGTCAAGGGCGTTGCAAAAGTGCGGGCAGCTTGTGAGAAGGTCATGGCCAAGCCTACCAATGACGACTGAGCCAGGAGTCAAAAAGAAAGATCACTGGCTTTGGTAAACACACGGCCCGTTTTCGGTCAATATCCAACCTGCTGTCAAGCTCGAGCTGCCCTGCCTCGCGAATCGCCCGATCGTCTGACACCTATACTCCAGCGAAGCAATGCCGGTTCCCCGATCCGCTACGTTCATCCATATGGATGATGCGAACAAGCTACTCATAGTGAGCCTATTCTTCTCCGCCGAGAGCCTTCTAGCTCCTGCTATTCCTTGACCGCAGATGAACATGTACATATAAATAGATACCCCACGCATTATAATATCCGATTCTCATTGAGCATCTCTTCATCAATCATGACCCTTCTCACTCAAACCTTCCCAGTCAACACATCCCGACTAGAGAACAAACTCGCCTTCAGCCCATAGGCATTATTAGACTTGATGTCCAGATGGGTATACGCATCACACTTGTAGTAAATCGGCCTCGCCTCTTCATCCACAAGCCCTTTCTCAACCAGACTCTTCAGCACCCTCTTCACATCCCCCTTATCACTAAAGTCCTCCGTATAGACGCAGATCAGCCGCGCCTGCCCAGACCCGTCGTCCGTTGCAACCTTGGCCGTGTTTCCTAGTTCGTCTTTATCAAGCGCCGTCACAACAGTCTTCCAAACGGAATCCACGTAGTCCACGGAAGGGAAGAACATCCACTTTCCAGACGTCACGCCAGTTTCTTTAGCCAGCGCAAAGATATTCTGCTCCAACGCTCGGCGAAGCGGATTCAATTTGCGTGTTAGGGTGGCCGTGGTTTTTGCACCGGACTTGTCATGCGCGGCGCGGAGACTGGAGGCTTCTTCTTCGTAGGCTTGAAGTAACTCATTGCCCTTTCTCAATAGCGTCGCGACGTCGCCTTCTTTCACTTGGGATTTGGGCTTCCACATCCAGATCCAAGGGCCGGCGTTGGAAAAGGACGTCCTTGATGGAGGAAGGCGAGATGTGAATGTAGCGATGGACTCTCCAGGCCCGCGCCTGTCCTTGGGCTTGTATGTTGAGAGTCCATCTTCCTCTTCCTGCTTAGTGGGGGAATCAATCTCCATTTCCATAGGCAAAGGCGGTGCGCTCAGTTCATGTTGCATCGTTGAGAGCAAGCGTGGGTGAATTTCCGCCCAGAAAGGCTCCGGGTCATATGTGGCTGCTTGTTCTTCGAGCTGCGCTTGCTCGCTCTCGTCGCCTGGGATAGGTTAGTGAGATGTTTTGAGAGGTCAGGAGAGCGGGGTTTGGCGTAGCTGGAATTACCATAGAAACTGGACTCATCTGAGAATATCTCTTCAAGGGATGCCTTATTGGACGACATGATCTTGTTTCCAAACTCTCGTGTGCTGTCGTAAAAAAGATGAGTGGTGATGAGGCTGAATGGTGCCTAGGAGCGTGTGGAGTTAAAGCCTGACGGTTGTGGGGAAGCTACAGTGACATGACACCCCCCAGGCAATAATTCCAGCTTTGTCACTGCAAAAGCTGCCTCTAGTAAATAACATGATCGTATTGTCTCTGCCATTTGCTGTTATGCAGCTAACCGATCTAGAAATTTGAAATGCGCATGTGTTTTACTGACATCCGAGACAAGATTCTCCTCATATTGTTGCCACAACATCTTTGAGGTCCTGATCGAGGCGCCGCCCGTCTAAAGCATGTGCTAAACAAAGTAGACTCAAGAAATACCTGGCCAGACCTGTTCCACAAATTTGGTCAAATCGGTTTTCAGAGCTTCCGGTTGCTCAAGCGCCGCAAAATGTCCACCCTGAGGGATACAAGTCAGCTATCGGACATTCGTTTCCCTAGATCTATGACGATACCTTCTTATGTTGCCCCCAGAACACTAGGTTTCCAGTAGTCTCAACCCAGGAGCGAGGTAAGGGTGCCAACTCCCTAGGGAAAAACGAGAAACCAAACGGCTTATGAATGTACCAGCGAGGATCGTTCGTAGCTGGAATAGGGGGAGGTGGGTAATTCTAGGGGCTTCAGTTAGAGGTATTCAAATACAGCTAAAGCACTCCGTCAAAGATGCTGACCTGGCGATAAGTATAGATAGAACGAGGGAACGTCTCTGTAAGCCAGTATAGAGTGATCGACTCGAGGATGTGTTCCGATGATAATGGTTCATCCACCCATTCCAGCCATTTTTCTCCGATCCTATATTCGTGAGCGAGATGTTCTTTCGTTATCATATCATCCAAGGTTGTACTTACCAAGCCAGAAGAGCTACCGGGTTCGTTGCAAGGACGTGGCCAATCGTACTTGGTCTAGTCCCATGCTCGATGGCATACCCAGAACCCATCATTCTAAACTCTTCCATTCTCTTGATTCCGTCCCTCTCAGACGCATCCAGATGGTCATCCGAGATTCCTTCGGGACGGCCCATAAAACACACATTGAGATGAACAGCTTAACTGCGGTTAGTTTGGGTATATTACAATGTACGAGATAAAAGGAAAACCTTTACCTTTGCAGCTCTCATGATCTACAGCTAGACCTCGAGCAATTCGACTACCGATATCGCCACCTTGGGCGACATAGCCACTTTCAAATCCAATATCCTTCATTAATTGGTCCAGAACGCGGGCGATGTCCGCAGTAGTAAAGTTGCGATCCACTGGAGGGCCCGAGGAGAACGTATAACCAGGCAGAGAGGGTACGATCAGATGATAAGGCAGAGTGCTTGGCGTGTATTCCTGTCGAAACTTGTCAAGGATGGGAAGAAATTCTAGGAAGCTTCCTACTTGAAGCATTAGAATCAAGCTTCCGCAGTATATCCTGGGTTGTCTCACCCGGCCAGCCATGAATCAATATAATTGGGATGGCATCTGGCTTCTCGGAGAAGAGGCCAACAAAATGAATATTCAGTCCTTCAACCTCAGTCGTCCACTGAGGAAAGCTGTTGATTCGATCTTCGGTTTTTTCCCTAGGTACTATTAACAATACATCCCCCGTCTGAAAGAAGGGTTAATAGCTTACCAGTTGTATGATTTGAGCCACTGGCCTTTCATGTCAACCAGCCAATCTGTAGTGACACCATATCGCATATCTGACTGTGAGTTCTCATAAGTTTGTGGGGCAAGCTTTGACAGCCTGATGAGAGTCTCCATGTCAGTCAACTGCTCTCTTGGAATGGCGACTGTGAAGGGCTTGGGTGAGACCCTCGCCGTAGCCGGCAGGATACTGAATGGTTGCGACATTGCTAAGTCAATTTTCCGAGGGGGTTGACCTGTAATGTCTGGACTCTCTTTATTTAAGTGGATTCGGAATTAGAAGAGGTATCTCGGAATAATAGATCCAATTTATAGTGTATGTCGTGCGGGGTCTGCGCACTACATTCGACAATTAATAATACTTCTTTGGCCAGGCAACGATGTGACGCGCGAGCGGCAGGGCCTTGTAACCTTAAATGTAAAGGACTCTAGTGATCTATTCAATAACAGAACCGTCTATGTGGACAGTAAGTAATTCATATGCACCTAAAAGAGGTATCATGGACAGCCTACTTAACGGAAATTATGAACATGAACATGGAACATACTACCATGCCGGAGAACCCGACTCTGAATGTTAGGAGCAGTGGATTCTCATTTCACCGCCCCACTTACCATCTCGGGGATTTTTCTGGCCATAAAAACCATCATTCACTGAATCATTAAAGATCAAAGGCTCAATTTCATTCCTTGGGGTTCCAGACCGAAGAAGTTTCATGCACATATAGCGTGAAGTGTCAATTCGACTCTCCTTTGTGACCCAGCAATTCCATTCGAGCCAAATCAATCACCCCTCCAACCCCACGATAGATTGGGAGCTCTTCCTATACAGTCTACATACGATGGCAGAGATCCAGCAGCCCAAGTCGGCAACGACAATCTTTCTGGATCAACCGCCCAGCTGTCTCGAGTTCTGCCCCGAAATCCCAGATCACTTCATTGTGGGCACCTACCTCCTCTCAGAAACCAAGACTGAAGACGACGAGGTTCAGCAAACGAAAACCGGCAGCGTGCAGATGTGGAGATTAGATCCTAACACAAATGACCTGTACGTTTAGTGCATTCAAACTTACTTTAAGCCAGCCTGCTAATAGTCCAAATAAGGTCATTGGTACAAAAAGTATCCCTTCCATATGCGGTCTTCGATCTGCACTTCCACCCAAGAGATAAAAGCAAATTCGCCATTGCAAGCAGCACAGGCTGCATTTCTCTTTTTAGCGTATCTACTACACAGCCAGGCATCCATCAATTGTGGACAAGGCAAGTCCACGATGATGCTTCTATCCCGGCTCTCTTCTTTGCCTGGGCCCCTGAGAACTGGTTCTCCCAAACGAATGCCGATGGCTTTGCCGTGACGTTCTCAGATAGTCGAACGGCTGTCTTTGAGACCACCAAAGGTATCACGGACGAAAGCGCCATTACTGAATGTGGTTCTTTCGAGGCACGGCAAATGATCGAAGTATGGTTCGTTGCACTGGCTGCGATGCAGGTTTTTGAGAACGCTGAATCCAAGCAGGATACTATCCCCTTTATGTTTACTGGAAATGACTTTGGGTCTCTTCACACACGTCGATTCGAGTCTCACAATACCAAAGAGCAAGACGACGATGAACCGCTCGCAAATTTACTCCTCGAGCACGATGATCGAGCCCGTCACCACACTGCTGGTGTAACATCTATTCTTCCTCTACCGGTGTCTCTTGTGGACGATGCTCCAATCTTATTGACTGGTAGCTATGATGAAGGACTGCGCGTGTACCATGCTACTCGACGGGGCGAAGTTCTTGCTGAGCAGGGTCTTGGTGGTGGTGTCTGGCGGCTGCAACTGCTCGAGACGAAGGAATCTGGCTCGGACCGACACTTGTTGGTGCTAGCTAGCTGCATGCATGCTGGCACGAGGATCGTAAAAGTCAGTCAGAAACAGCGGGATGAAACTGTGGAATGGGGAATTGAGGTGTTGGCAGAGTTTACAGAGCACGAGAGTATGAACTACGCGAGCGATGTGTGGAAGGGCTCGACATCATCTGAACTGCTTTGTGTTTCGAGCAGTTTCTACGATCGTCGTATTTGCGTGTGGAGGGCCAATGTATAAGTTGGAGCTGAGTTGTCTACAAAAGTCAAATATCTCACTCGGAATCATTGTTTTCATAAACACGCTAGAATAAACCACAATGCAACCGCAAGAGGTATACAAGTACATCTGCACTGGAGAACCAAGGACCGAGATAAGAAGTTAAAAGGTAATAGGGTGTATCCATTGATATCCAGTGGTGAAATAGCCACCATCGCCAGCATTCCACATTAAACAATCGTCTCCAGCTCCCGCGCGTAGCCTAGTGTGTTCTCGATAACGGTGCCGCTGGCCACCAGGATATCCTTCTCGGACCTCGTGGCCGCCTCCGGCTCGACAGGGAAGTGTATCCGTCCATCACGAAGAATCCAACCACGCTGCTGAGCAAACTCGATAACTGCACCCTCGGAATCCAGGAAGAGGAGGTTCTTGGCGTTGGAGATAGGGAGGGAGGGATAAGCCTTCTCGGAGCAGTCTGCGATCTCGCTACGGATGGTGCCGATGAGAACCTGTAGGATGAGTATTAGTCAGTGACTGCAGTCGTCATTGATACTTGAGCAGTTGTAACACTCACGTTTGAGAACAATCCAAAGTCCTCTGACGGCACACGCTCCGACTTTGTTTCCCGCCACACCTTATCATAGCTACCCTCCATCAAGTTCCGCTCCAGCTCAACAGGGTACTTGATATAAGCATCATCCTCAATACGACCGCCCTTCAAACTAGCCTCCTCGACCAATCCCTCCAACACAGTGTGGAAGTTGGCACTGTCGCCCATGCTTAGCAAAAGAAGCAAATAGAGTCCTGTGATCTTGCTGCGCTGGCTAGTGCTAAAATCAACCTCAGAGGAGCTCTGTCCAGGTAGACCGGCGTGTCGCTCCAGATCGTAGAATGGCTGAAGCTGCTGGTAGTATCTTGTGAAGGTCTGCGCGTCGGTTTGCCGAATGGAGGCGAGGGCGCCGAGTTCAAGGACTTGTCGGGCAAGGACAACAAGCTGTGGTGGCGTAGAGGGAGTCGGGATGAGGGCGTTTTGCATGAGAAGAGCACGCTTGGCTTGACTGAGGAGGGTGTTGGCAGCATCCAGCTGTTTGCGCTCCAGAGCGTTCTGGAGCTCCGGGACAAGGGACTTGAGGTCCGACATGATGTGTGATGTTGTGGGATGACGGGTTTCGGGTATAATCAAGTAGATGCCACACAGTCAGATGGAATAGATGACTGCAATAGCAGGAATGAAGGTATTGGATGGTGATGATGGGAGTTGGTGAAGGTCCGCCATGACGGAGCTGCCGCGGTGGGCGGTCAGCTCTCGATAATCACGTGAGGCAAATCATAGGAAATGGCATCGTAGACGCGTTCCAATACTATTTGAGAATTTAAACGTTCGGCTTAACTTTTCCCTCAAATTTTCTAATGGACTAATATGATTTCTCTTTACTAAATACAACATATTTTGTCCATGCCACCTGGTCACTCGACAAGGCCAGATCAGCCAACGTCTGGAACAAAGGTGTCCCCAGCCCTGTCACCGGGTCCCATCCTTCCATGGCATTCCAACTTGCATATGGAACGAAAGCACCCTCTGCACCGGAATCAGTATTTCCAGTGCAGCCTCTGGAACCACCATGTACTATATCGGTAAATCCTGATTGCTGGAGACTGTATAGCCAGGGGTTTAAGAAGCCCATTCGAGGCTTCCCATTTGCAAGTCGAATCGCGTTCAATTGGGAAACTATGCCGGCAAATACAGGCCCGGAAGCACTGCTTAATATTAGTCTATGACATGAATCAATCGACCGAAGCAACAAACCTGGTGCCGCTAATCTTCAAATAGGTCTCGTGGTCTCGAATGATGAAGTTCTTCGCTTGGGAGGCGACGTCGGGGATTGCCCTTCCATGACGATTGTATAAGCCATGCCATTGATCGCCCAAGCGATCCAAGTAACTGCTCACTGCCTGGTCTTGGTATTTTGGACGAGGAAACAGGTCGGAGAAGCCGCCACTGGAGAAATCAAGAGCGATCTCGGGATTGATCCCTTCTACTCCTCCAACTGCAGTGACAAATGGACAAGAGGCTGGGAAGATTGGCTGGAACTTGACCCGCCGCTTTCCATCGTTGCTGAGACACGTCTCTCCAACGCCGGAGTCCCCGCTACTATAGATGACTGATACGCCCCGGGCGCCGAGTTGCGCAAACAAGTTGCACACTGATCTCGCATACGCTGCGGGCACACTCTGTTCGATCTCCCCGTACGATGTGGCGAGAACCGATGGGAGCTCACTGTCTGGAAGGCTGATGAGATAGTGGAGTTGATCAAGAAATGTCTCATTCTCTGGGCTCTCCAAGACTGGTTGCCCCGTGTCAGAGATCGAGGGTGTTCTGTCGCCAGTGGAATAGAATGTGACTGAAGCGTTGTAGGCCAAAGCAGCCGCATACTGGATATCCAGACTTGCTTCGGTACTGCTGGCCGGAGAATCTTCTGGGTTAATGCCCCCATTGATGGTCACCACGTCGAAGTTGGCGTCTGATGCCCCCGGAGAGAAGCGTTGCATGAAGTGATGAAAATCGCTATGGCGGGCATACTGATCTAGGAAACCAGACACTCCTAGTCGGTTCCGTGGATCAGGCTTCGCTCTTGTGTCGTGTAGACCATATAAGTCTCGAAGACAATCCGGCCTCATCACGGTCCCACAGTCCGCAGTCAAATCTTCCGGGGTGGCCACAATTGGCTGGTCGACGGGTAATCCATGGCGTGCGTATAGTCGCCCTTTTCCATGTGCATAGGGGGTTCCGAATCGGGTTGTCGGTTGAATTAGGTGCACATGTGGGTGTATCTTGTGGGGTAAGGAGTATCCAAGAGTCCTGAGGAGGCTCTTTCCGCTAGGATCATGACGGTAGTGGGAAAACTCCGTCTTCAACATTTGCTCGGCCTGGAATACAGTTGCACTGAAGCTGATCCAGTTGCCATATATGTCAATAGTGTGGTTGGAGATACCCTCCGAGCTCAGCCAGGCCAATACCTGGTCAGAGACGGCGGAATTCGGGCGCAAAAGGCCTTCCACCTCTTCGCGCTTCATATGCTTTCCGTAATTTGGATGGCCCGGAGTTGACAGGTCAATTGCCAGTCTCTCTAGATTGATACTGCCTGCCCCGCGTATTTCCAACCGGAATCGTACAGGTGTCGATGGGTTGGGCTTGATGCCTTTTGACCAGCCGTCCGGCACGTCGTGTAGTTGTTCGACTATCTCGTGGCATAGCCCAAATGCCATGCACAGCTGTATAAGCCATGCTGCAACAAGCAAGGCTTTTGTTTCCATGAAAATTGCTCCGGTATATCAGTTGTTCCACACGAATTTCCAAGTAGTCGACTGTAACTGATCAGTTTCCCATACCAGTACTTGGGCTATTCTTGGTGATCTGGTCAGAGTTATGTTGTTTTCATATAGGATGCCAGTTCCGTCTCCTATCGCAGAGCATAGAGCTAGGAATGATTGACTTCAGGCGCTGGAGGGTGTCAATCTCGATATGTGGCTTTCGGGCGTGCGTTTCAACCCAGAGAAAGAAAAGTTGGAGAAAAGCAAAGCTTCGGCTTCAATGAAATGAGCGAGATAATCGTATCAAGCTAACTCGAAGTAGTCTTCAATAGAAGGCCAATGAGAGTTGAGGTCTGTAGGCATTGCCGCCCGGAGTTGGCCAGAGCCAAGGGTTTCTTTGTTTGGAGCCTCGAGATCCCTGATTCGACGGCACAAGCTTCAAAATGGATTTAGCATGTCCTCGGCTCAGCGTTAACCTCCCAGTCCGTAGCTTATCCATTGAGTATTCGAAAATAATCTATTCAATATTTGTGACCTGGTTTGGCTCGTTTCTTCACCCGCGTATGCGAAGTCAGGCATTATAACTACTTGTTCAGTTATTACATGCTTATCTGATGAGCTACTTATTTGAGGGAGACAGATGATACCAATCGCGATAAATGATTCCAAATCTTCGAGTCCTTCTACTCAACGATGGAACTGCATCAACATGGTCGTGGGACTTCAACTCCGGAGTATACAACTTGAACGCCTTGTGGCCTGAGGAACGCTCCCGGATTAACTAAAGCTCCGAAGTCCGAGAGTGCGGGATGATCGACGTCACCGTGAATGGAGGTGGAGGAATTGTCCGCGAACCCCATTGTGTCGTCCGTATCGTTCTCCACATTATTCGAAACAGTCTTGCTTGTACTTGAACAGCTACCGAAGATCCCGCTGGCTTGTCTTCTCACCACCACTCCCCTCCACCACTATCTTTTCCGGGCTATTGATATTTCTGTGTGGAGAGCTCCACGCTGACCTATTACGCTCGGAGCTTTTCTCGACCCCGCCAGTGCGTGCATATTATCCATCAGTTTCAATCCCTTGGCTGGGTGCCACTCCTTTCTCCTTTCTCTTCACTTGCCTTGACGGGCAATCGACTGGACCCTGCCACTCTGGACTGCAAATTGAGCTCTCTTCTCTGTGAGGGTGGTATGATCCTCTTGAGATCCTACCGACGTCATTCCTACATTCCGTCGACCACCTGATATCCCTCCGTATTCCGGCCCCCCAGGCTGGTATCTTCACCTATCTCACCTAAATCACGACTGATTGATCATGGCTGAGCTGGAGCCTCAGCAAGCTCGCCGACTTTCGGCTGACAACCAAACTATCTCCAGATCCGAAATTCCGCTGAAGGAACGGTTCTTCCGTTACTTCCAACATGAAATCACCGGTAGGTCTAGATCATGAAATGGAAGCAGTTGTTAACTATCATAGTCAAGAGGAAATACAATTGGCTAACCTTCTGTACTGTAGCTCTGCAGCAGGAGATGGACCGGCTTGCCGATACATCGCTCGTGGGTGGCGAGCGAGCCGATGCTACGGATCACTGCCTTGCCGGCATTGTGCGTCTATCCAATGAAGTCAAAGATGCTGCAAGCTACATCCCTACCTATGACCAGAGAGTCTATGCTGAGGTATGAAACTACACAGTGCTCTTGAATATCCGATGCTAATGCCCGTGTGATAGGCGATCAAAGCCTTGCAGGAGAAATTGAATGAAACTAGAGCGGCATTCGAACCCCGAGCCAAGTTCAGTTTCAAGACAAAGAAGAACGCCTCGGCTATCTCTCTGTCTGATGCCGCCGTCCTCGCTGCCGAAGGTCGTCGCGGTGTTCCTGGCTATCGCTCTCCTGGGGCATCGTCAGTTGGCTCGTCGGCCAACAGTACCCCGAACTATCCATCCACCCCGTTGAACGAACCGGATAAGCAGCATCAAGAGCGGCCGGAGATTGCACCGACTTCTTTCCCGGCCATGTCTGACGCAGATATGGAGTCAAAAGCGCCGGCGCAGTACAAGGCATCCCATTCGTTCGCAGCCCAGGGAATTTCCAATGTTTCCGTTGACAACCACTACGGCCTTCACATAATGCTACCTGCTTCCGGCTCCACCTCTACAGTTCCTGCCTCCATCACTTCTCTACGGCACTGCGTCGTGGATATGTCGATTCCGACCGCGGATGGCAAGCCTTATGCGAGCTTGACGGTGAAGAACATCGAGGAAAGCTTGTTGATCTGTGGCCAAGTCAATGGACCAGCACATATCACGGGAATGGATCATAGCGTCATAGTCGTCTCGTGCCGACAGTTCCGCATGCACAACTGCAAGGACGTCGATGTCTACCTCAGCTGCTCGAGTAATCCCATCATCGAGGATTGCTCCAATATCCGGTTCGCCCGGATACCAAAGGCTTACGTACGTTCTGCTCAAGGTTCCCCGCGTGCCATCACTCATACTGATCAATTTATCCAGGCCTTGGACCATGATCGCCTTGATCACGAGGATCGCTGGAGTCAAGTGGAGGATTTCAAATGGATCAAACCGGAGCCTAGCCCCAACTGGAGTCTCCTGGATGCGAGCGATGCAGTTCCGGAGGAAGTTTGGGCAGAAATTGTTCCCGGTGGGCCGGGCTGGTCTCTTGAGGATATTTTGCATGCCATCAAGCTTGTGAAAGGGTGAACAGAAACAACGTTCTTGACTTTGATTTACCTGCCTTGACATGATACGGCGTTTCATGTATGCTTAAGCAAAACACGGATGTAGCTTACTATCTTTCAATTCTATCTTTTTAATAATCCACTTAGCCTCTTCCGGTTACTACATCGTAGGCTTTGGGTATTACATCTATCCTAGAGAATCTTATTCCTAGTTGCACCCCGGGAAATTTCACCGGCAAGGGCAAAAGAAGTAAATTGAGAAAAGTGATTGAGCTATAGGCTTATTCGTCGCGCCATCAAAGCTATATACAAGAGAAAGTAATATGTCCAGCAATGACCCCCTCTTTTATCTCATATATCATCTCATCACAGTCAGGAAACGACTTCATATAACACACGACCTAATTTTTACGCGAGCTTCGAGTCACGAGGAGCGCTGTCCCTATATAAACGAAAAAAAAGGTTTGTTTAGTCAACGATTTTTCAATTTCCAAATTGTGCGACAGATCAATTTTGGCGAAAGAAGGCCATGGATATACAGGAGAAACAAATGTACAACCCAACAGATGTATACAACAAAAAAACAAGAAAAAGAAAAGACGCCAATGCCATAACCCATGAAGAAGAAAAAGGGATCAAAACGCTTACATCTGCTTGAAGTACTCTTCAAAGTTCTCCTCCGCGACCTGGGTACAATCGAAACCGTAAATCTCGCGCTGAACATCAGCATCAGCCCACTTATCCGGAACGGGACCCTTGCCCGCACGCAGAGCAGCGAATTGACGATCACGCTCCTCCTTAGCAGCACCGTCACCCAAGTGCAAGGCACGACCAGAGGCAGCAGCCATCTCGACGAGAGCCTCGGCACGGCCCTTGCGGACCTTCTCGTAGACGCGGAGGGCCTTGTTGATAGACTCCGGGGTGGTATCGGGGAGACGGGAGAGGACGACGGCAATAACAGCACCGTCTTCGATGGCCTGGGCGGCACCCTGGGCCAAGTGGGGGAGAGTAGGGTGGCAAGCATCACCGATCAGGGCGACGTTGTCGTAGATCCAGGTAGGGAGGGGATCGTGGACGCGCAGCTTCCACTCGCAGACCTCGCCCTCGGGCACGTAGTCCAGCATACGCTTGACCATGGGGCAGAAGTCTCCGAAGACGTCCAGCATGGCCTTCTTGGAACCCTTGGTAGTGTAGGTAGCGTTCGTCGCGGCGGCGAAGTTAGTGTCGGGCTGGGTGGTGGAGAGGTTATAGATAGTGTTGTTGGAGACGGCGTAGGCGATGATGTGACGCTTAGCACCGATCCAGCGAGTCACGCGGGTGCTGTTGATGAGGGCCAGCAGCTCCGGGTCATCCTTGATCTGGTCCTTGTGGATCATAATACGGTAGGCAGCCTGGTTGGTATCCTTGACGCCGACGTTGACATTCAACCGCTTGAGCATCTCCTGGCGGGCCAGAGACTTGATTCCGTCCGCAGCAAGGAGGATGTCGCACTCAACACGGTAAGAGGGCTTGCCCTCGTCGCGGGACACGGCTGTGAAAGAAGGGCGGGAGCCGAAGTCGACATCCTCGGCGTTGACGGCAAAGTGGAACTTGATAGCAGACTGCTGCTTGCAACCCTCGTAGAGACCGCCAGCCAGAGAGGCGCGGTGGCCGACCATGTGCTTGTAGCCGTAGGTCTTCTCAATATATTCCAACTCGACGTGTGCAAGCTCCTTGTCGGTAGCGCCCTCTGTTATATGTACTGTGGTTAGCAATGATCCTCTCTCCTATATCCAGTTTGACATCTACATACCTCGCACGGAAGTGTCAGAAATGTTAACAGCCTCGGCCTCAATGCCGCGCCAGACACCCAGACCATCGAGAACGCGGGCCATGTTGGGCGCAAGCTGGATACCAGCGCCCACGAAGCCAAGGTCGTGCGCATTCTCATATACATCAATATTCTTGAAGCCACGCTGAGCAAGAGCAAGAGCAGTGGTCAAACCACCCATGCCGGCGCCAATAATGGCGATTTGCAAATCCTGGGGAGCCTTTGCCATTGTGTCGGATATAAACGGGAATAAAAGAAGGAAGGGGAGAATATAGGGATAGGAGGCGAGAGAAGGGGGGAATGAAGAGAATGGAATATACAGAATCAATCCAGAAAAGTTCAAAGCGACAGGACAGGGCGATTCGCGATTCTTTAAATTCCCCCAGTCCTTCACCGAGAGCGCGTGCCGTCACCGTTCTGCTTGGTTCAACTGGAGTAGAGCGGGAGAGATTTTTGCCGCGTTTCCCACAGCTCCCCACACGTCCGCGTTGTGAGTGGCATGTTGGAGAAACTGCAACTATTGGAGTGCATCCACTACTGGGGCTCTTTTAAAGAGTCTCGTACCAAAGTTAGGGTCGTCCGGTTGCAAAATTATCCGCTTGAGCAAAAGATATCATCATATTATCATCAATGGAGGCGGTTTTGTTGCACTGCAGCGGCGCTATAGATCCGGCCAATCAGCAACGTGGATTTCCAACTATAGACCTAATTTGTTAAGGAGCATGTTGAGATCTAGACATTCAGTCATGATATACAATACTATGTACGATAAATCACTATGATGATATCCCAACTACGTACATATCACAGCATATCGCTCCTCTCTACAGCAGTACAAGGCCAAACTGACTTTTTGTCTCGGCGGACCACTGCCCCGCTCCCCAGACGCTTCCCCACATTTCGCCGTCCGAACTGGTTTCGACTCTTTCGCCCGAGGCCACTCGGAGTAAATCTGGTTCCCGCCACCATCTCAAACTGCCGAATCTCCTTCCTTTTGCCACTACCACTTGCTCTACTATACACACGTAGACACGCACCCCGTCTCTCTATGTGACACTCCAAGTCTCCATAGTCTTGATATTTGGTGCCTATATGCTCTACCAGTGTCACAGAAGCATTGTCCATGGAAAACATTATACATAACTCGTCAGACAGACCTCGGGCCTACCAATCTGGGCCCCATCGAGCCCCACTAGAACAGTCCGAAGGCATTGAATGACTTTCTCACAACCATCCTGCGCCATCGCACAACTGGTACGTTGAATTTGCATCATAAACCACTTTCTAATCGACCCCGGCTGTGATAATCGAGCGCCGATAGCCAGGCACCAAATTAATGCCCCGGGAAGTGGGCCCCAGAATCCATCAATATCTGTCTGGTGCAGCAGATGTTTCAAGTGGGCAATGGCATAAGCCATGTAAGGGTTAGCTTCGGATACAAAATTTGACAAGTCCAGCAAGTTCCGTGCTTGATGTAGGGCCGATATTCTCGGGTCATCGTCACTCGACTGTGGGCTGTGATCCGATTGCTCTATCGGTATGTGGGGTCTGGTTGGAGTTGTAGGATATTGATAATATTCAAGCTGGAGGGCTGCTTTTGCGGATGAAGCACAGGTTGCAAACTGCATGACCGATTGGTAGAGATCTGTGAGTGGCTGAATGAATGGCCGAAGAAAGTCATCGGTATGCGACCCGAGTTTGAAAACACTCATGTCTATTTGCGCAAATGGAAGGACGGTGAGGTCTTCAGGTGAGCAGGTCTCCCAGCTGTCGAGGGGACTTTTCACCATCCTCTGAAACTGTGCAATCCTAGTACAGTCAGCAGAGGGCTCGCCTTGAAAATACGGTTCAGGATGATAATCCGTACAAAAGCAAGCTCTCGCCCAAGCGTCCTTCAAATCCTAGGCGTTCAACACCTCCACGAGCGTTGACAATGCATTCAAGACCTGCCTTATCATTTTCAAACGCATCGAGGTCAAAATTGACCAACTATCACTTGTCAGTATCGAATCAGAAACTGCTTCAGGGTCGAGGTTGGTACATCAAAAAGTAGGACTGCTATCAAAGCCGCGGTGGTCACGTCACTAAAACATTGGTCTTGATGTGCCAGTGACTCATTCAATAATTGTCTGGTAATATGTGATTGCTGCAGTGTAATAGCACTAATATGCTCTGTCGAACTGAGATCATCCCATGCCGACGCATTCAGGATCTTCGCACTCATAAGCGCCGGATGGGTGATCGCCGCATATATCACCGATGAAAAGAATCTAGGAAGTCCAGCACCAGAATTGACATATTCATACATGACTGCTCATAAATTTAGCTCGGACATAAGCCTTCAGTGACGGCCGAAATCCGCACTTACATCTCTGCATCCTAGTATAACCAGGTATTGAGGGTGACGTCGGCGGCGGCGTTAATAAGAGGCGAATATCTCGGGGAACAGCATGTAGTGCACGATGCAACGCTAGGGCTTGCTGAGCTTGTCGAGTGCTCGTATTTTGTGACCTCTTTTTTCCATGGTATCTCCGTGCAAGGTGCGATCGTGCCTGGCTCAGCCGCGCGCCATGTCCTTGTTGCGGGTCTCCGGTGATTACCACAAAGGCCTGATCGCGTTTGTTTCCAGCCATGATACTCTAGATGCATGCTATCCTTTCCCGAAGAAGCGATTGCACTAGGCACTAGGGCGCATTTAAAAGAGAGGTGTGGCGAACTCGAAGGATCAAAGGGTCCCTTTGCTGATGGGGTTGATTAAGGTCAGCTTTTGCCCCACTCGTGTAAGCCTCAGGGTTTAGTGCACCTTCCAGAAAAGGTTTAGATTATATATTTAAAGGCTTTTGATTGGCTGGATACGCCCGGGCAATCTGTAACTATTTCAAGGATTTAAAAATTGCATAGAAGCATGCTTGCCTTCTGTCAAGATATAAAAAGGCGACAAGAATTCAACTAAATGTTGTTCATTCTAGCCATCAGTCTCATACAGCTTTACCAACAATTGCTAGAGACTAAAAAAGAACTCATTTGCAAAGTTCAGCAAAGTTCAACTACAAAAAAAACATAACACCATGGCATCATCACCGCATGTACTAGACACTAATGCTGTGTGGTTCGGTAAGAATCCTTTCCATCAAAACCAACTAATCGTCCATTATCTAACTATATCCAGTTACTGGCTGCTCCTCTGGCATCGGCAAATCCCTCGCAAAAACAATCCACAACGCAGGCCACCGCATTGTCGCCACCGCACGCGACGTGACATCTCTTTCCTATCTCCCAAACAGCCCAACAGTTCTCAAACTCCATCTAGACGTAACGCGTTCAGAGACAATTACCCAGGCAATTGCAGACGCAGTCGCACGATTCCACGGAATCGACGTCTTCATCAACAATGCCGGCTATAGTTTAATGGGTGACATGGAAGGAATTCCCGACGCCGATGCACGACATCAGCTCGAGACGAACTTCTGGGGTCCGGTCCATGTTACTCGTGAAGCGCTCCGAGTCTTTCGCGACGTTAATAGCCCCGGCCGAGGTGGCACTGTTGTGCAAGTATCTTCCATGGGAGGATGGATTACCGTCCCGGGTCATTCGTTCTATCACGCTAGGTAAGAATGATATCCCCACCCTGGACATCGGAGCACACAAACTAACAAGAAACAAAACAGCAAATTTGCACTTGAGGGTTTCACGGAATCAGTGTCCAAGGAAGTCGATCCCAGCTGGAACATCAAATTCCTCCTCGTATCGCCAGGTGGTGTCCGGACAAATTTTGCCGGATCAAGTCTCAGGCAAGCACCCCGCCATCCTGCATACGACGATCCAAGCAGTTCATTCAGCCAATTGATCAAATATGTCACAAACCCCGAGTCACAGTCTACATGGAGCGATCCAGATATCTGTGCGCGGGTGCTCTTCGAGAGTGTGGTTGGACAGAATGAGCGTCCTTTGCCGATGCGTTTACTTATGGGAGCGGAGTCGATTCCTTTAATCAAGGATGATATTCAACGAAATTTGAAGGATATTGATACTTGGGAGAAAGAGACGGTGCGATGTTCGCCGGGTGGGGGTGCAGTGCTTAATATCTAAGAGTAGGAATGGGGATATGGGTTTGGGGATAGGCAGGAGTTGCGGATGGATAGAGCCTTTGTTTCACATGTCTCGGTATTTCTCTCGATTATGTTACACTTTCTAGACGAACTATCCCTCCACTCTTATATACGAACTAATGAACTCTTGAGTGCTTCGTTTACTACTAGTAAAACCTTAATTTCCCCGTTCCAGCCACATACCACAGTTGCACTACGGACTACTCCAGATTTTCTACCATCAGAAACAGCGCAGCACATGAAGCAAATAGACATTACACCTTGATGCTAGGTACCGGTAAATTCGACGCCGAAAACGGCTACTTGTGACGGTGTTTTAAGCGTCCCTTTGACCAAAATATTAGTCGCTGGGCTTTCATGTGATCCGTTCCGCCCACCCTTCCCGTATGCTCCTGAGTGATCATGAATTGCTCCCTGGGCACTCATGGTGGCTCAGGGTTGCTCAGGGTAGGCAGTCAGGCATGTCGTTATGAGGCAGACCGTCAGGGACCTGCGGGGGACAACGACAACCAACCAAGCCCGCAAGAAAGACGACACCTGCAGCAGTCATGTGCGACGAATAAGAAAGATTACACGGGTGCTTCCCTGGAGCAGGAATCGGACAAATGCATACCGGAGCAGTGTAATGGGCCCAGGGCCGTATATGACCTCGGAATCGTGGCCTTCCACGTTTGGTAGTATGTTTTAATCGCTCTCGCAGTGAACGGCTCACTTCACGTTTTCCCTTCTCAAGATGGATGGAAATAGGGTCATGGCCTTGTAAGATTGAATCAATTCCGCAGCAGCCCTTCAAAACTACAAAGGAGATTTATTTAATAGGTTTCTATTCAGACCTACTTCCTTGGTACTACTGGGCTTGATTGTTCGAGTTATGCCGTAACTCAGATCGTTGGTACATATCAGGGCCTTGAAAGCCTGTGCAAGCCCTTCTGTAGCATCGCTCAAATAAATCCTTGCGGTGGTTTAATTTACAGTTCTCCGCAATTCTTGCGCTCTCGACGTCCTTTATCATATTTTATATCATGAGGCTAATAACAGATTGTCAGAACTACTGCTAGAGGATCATGGGGTGCACCATGGGGATATCAACAAGTCTGAATTGCTATAATGCCCCTAGCTGGCAATTTATGTAGGCATAATCATTACTAAATAGCGGATCTATGAGTTAACTAGATAGTATTTCCATCTTTCGGGTATCCACCAGTGCTGCTGTTCCGTCACAAATTGATGCCCGAGGCGCCCGAACAGATGTGTATATCATACAGTTGGCGATAAACTATGACTTCTTTACCAATGCCTCGCTCGACGATGTAAGAGTTTCCTGGCTTATCAATGACCTTGATTTGCCAGGAAAATTGCCACATGAAACGTATCCTGGGCCTTTTTTTGTTGCTGCACTACGCTAAGGATGTCGGAAACTTCCATAAAGTCCAATAGGCAGTAACCGAACTTTGAGTCTTTTATTACTTTCATGGAAGTTGAATCGAATTCGATGAACAAGAAAAACTTGGGAATCATAAATGGCTTTTAAAATTTGATGCCCTCCAACAAAGATGCTGCAGAAATTGTCAGCTTGTACCGGCCTACTATACACACGTAGATTGTCTATCTGCCCATTGCTTCGCTCCACGATAGGTGCAATTGTAGTCCATAAACTCAGCGGGGCTCCTAATAAGCAGACCAGTCAGCAAAATCATGAAAGACTCAGGACCTGGAAGCACATGCATAGTAACTGTCTTCTCCCCTTTAATTGTACCGGACTTAGCTGCCTGGCGACTGCCTTTCTGGATAAGACTGACTCTCTCATAGCGAGACTGGAAGGTTTGCTATCGTTTCGGTGAGGAAATGAACACACTCGAGCGGCAGGATATTGAATCACCTTGAATATATGGTCTATCTGGCTGAGGGATGGTGCTTCTCGAACATCCTCGAAGAAAGCACCCAGGGCTTCTGCATCCTCAATTGACTGACTCGCACCTTGTCCTTGGGTGGGTAGCATGGGATGCACAGCATCTCCGATAAGAATGACGCGCTTCCGAATCCATGCTTTTAAAGGATCCTATCTGCTGTCAGAGAACAATCACAAGGGATCTCTGATCAATCATACTCACCATATCGCGTAACTGCCATAGTCCGAGATCTGGTGAATGTCTAATTGCAAAGCCTCAGTATCCTTTGAGTTAACAATAAGGGCCAATCTTACCTAAAGATTCCGGTAACCCAGTCTGGGAATTCTGCAAAAGTCTCCAGCAATTTGTCCATACTTCCTTCTGAGACCCATGATTGGCCAGAGTTCGGATCCTCGTTCATTCTCTCTGCATAGTACTATTAGTGAGCTGTTTGGAGGAGTAGGAGAATTCTCTTACCGTCTGGAACTAGTGCTGTAACACCATAAATCTCGCCTTGTCTGCCTGGACCCATGACGAGTCGACATTCATGTGCTACCATTATTGAAGTAAATGAGTCCCGAGGATTTATCCTACTGCAAAATTGAGGTTCCCTTTCTTCGAGGATTGCCGAAGGAATCTAGATTGCGTCTGTGAGCACTGTTGCGTCTTCAGAAGGACCAAACTAAAAGGTCTTACCATGAGACGATAAGCTGTTTCGGGCTGTCAAAAAAAGTCTTCATAGAAATTAAGGGTAAAAACGTACCTGAAACGCCAGTTGGCATAGCTGCAGGCCCATCACTGAGCACAAAATTTCGCAAAACACTATGGCTAATATCGCAGTTCTCTTTCAGAACTACGTTGCTTCAGACAATCAAAATTCTCAAATACTTACATTCCATCTGCACCAATAATCACATCGGCAGCCAAAACCTCACCACTCTCAAGAGTGACATTACCCTCATCCGGATTGCAACCGACAACTCTCGATGCCACTCGAATGGTCGCCGGGTCTCCCGTTCTTTTGGGACATTTCGCGGCTGACTTGAGAGCATTATGTAGATCATCGCGATGCCAGACGATTCGATCACCGCCATATTCAGCCTTAGATAACAGCGGAACTTCTTTAACCAGCTTTCCGTCCACATCGTAGATCCGGATGCCCTTATCAACTAAGCCACGCGCTAGTTCCAACTCTTTGTCGATGCCCCACGTATTACGCAAAATACGGGAAGCATTGGGTTGCAGGGATATCAGTGCACCGATTTCGCGATTCATACGTGACTGTTCCAAAACCGTGATTCTCCGATTTGGTGCTCGTAGAGCGATTGCTGCGGCCAACCCCGCAATACCGCCACCAACAATAATGATTCGCAATTGATCTCTCTTTGTCATCTTGTCTAGAAGAAATGATGAGATTAGTTTCTTGCCTACTGTCCAAACAATCGAAGGTCTCCAATTTGTATTCTGAAGCTCTTGAGACTCTATCACTACGGCGGACGCCTCCACATACTGCCCACAACTCGCTTACAACTCGCCCACTTCAGACTGAACATCAAGCTCGACTCCCTTCCCAGATTCGTCATTGTCCAATGAATCTCATGAGTACATTGGATGTGGCCAATCAGCTTATCCATATTTACCATACGACTGTGTTCTTTTGGTCCGCTCGCTGTCCAATGACTCCCCCGCCCACTTGGAAAGTGGGCGATGTCCCATCACCCAAATTCAGCAAAGTGCCGAACCATATCCATAAACTTATTTTGAGTAATAATACCTCAAAGTATCGCCTCTTTTGAGTTGCTCGCCTCAAGCAGTCTCGACAATTTCGAGTTCTAAGTCATGCCGAACGTGTTCAGCCGAGACATATCTCAAGTTGACCGGGCGTCTTTTCCCTACATTTTTCATCAGAATGTCTCAATCTCACTTAAAGATGAGCCTGGAGTAATCAGAGCCAACCTCTACCTGCCGAAAAATTTGGAAAAAGCCCCAGTTCTTGTGACGTACGGCCCTTATGGTAAAGACATTCATTACAAGGAGTAAGTCTCTGTGGCCGCATTGCTTCTCTAGATTCTCAGGTTAACAAAAGCGGCGAGCCATAATTTTGTGCATGAGAGCTCACACAGGTATAGCTTCCATGGAAAATCATACAGCGAAGTCAATCCAGCACATCACTCGGAGCATTCTTCGTGGGAAACCCCGGATCCCGCTTTTTGGACCGCACATGGATACGCCCTTGTTCGAGCTGATGAGCGTGGTACCGGCCAATCGCCCGGCAAGTTAGACACAATGTCTCGTGGTACAAGTGATGCATTCTTTGACGTTGTTGAATGGTCTGCCGAGCAATCCTGGTCCACCGGAAAGGTCGGACTCCTTGGAATCAGTTACTATGCCGGGAGCCAATGGAGAGTAGCTGCAAGACAGCCGAAGGGTCTCGCCTGCATTATCCCGTGGGAGGGAATGTCCGACTACTATCGTGACCGATGCCGCCATGGAGGAATTCTATCTAACACCTTCATTGATTTCTGGTGGAATCGTCAAGTAGTCACCAACCAGTATGGTCGGCCCGGCCGTGCTGCGAGCAATTGGGGTCCTGACACGGTCGAAGGCGACCTTTCCGAAGAGGAGTTGGAGAGGAACAGAAATGATCAGACAATCGACAATGCTCAACACTATTTCCGTGACGATCCATATTATGCGAGCAAAGAATATACGCAGCGTGACATCCAGGTTCCGCTTCTCTCGGTCGCAAATTGGGGAGGTATCCTTCTACATTTGCGAGGCAATATCGAGGGCTACATGCAAGCAGGTTCGCCCCTTAAATATCTTCGCTTCATTACCGGACGTCATGATTTGCCCTTCTACTACGATGAGGAAGTAGCAATCCAGAAAAGTTTCCTTGACGCGTTCCTGAAGGGGGAGGATGATGTCCACGGCTGGTCTAAAGGCAAAGCACCTAAAGTCGACCTCCTTCTTCGCAAGGGAAACGTTGGTTATAATAATTCGGAGGCTGAGAGGACCTTTAAGCGTCGAACTGAAAAGGAGTGGCCTATCGCACGCACTCAGTACACGCGATTCTACCTAACTGGGGATAGAACGCTTACTGAAGCCAAACCCGCCTTCACCGGTTACAATGGGAAGCTATCCTATCGTGCTCTGGGAACCCTGGAAAATCAGCAGCTAATTCAGTTTGTGACCGAGCCCTTTAAGGAAGAGAGGGAGATTACCGGCCACATCGTCGCTCACTTGAACATATCAATGACTCCAGATCCCCAATTTTCCTCTTTTGCAAATGACATTGATATATTTATCACATTGCGCTACATATCCCCAGAAGGTGTCGAGGTTTTCTACACAGGCACGGCGGGAGACCCTGTTCCCCTGTGCAAGGGTTGGCTGCGTGTCAGCTTGAGAAAGATAAACACGGAACATCCTAACAACCGTCACTGGCTACCCCATCGAGATTACTTCTCGACCGATGTGCAGCCCGTTATTCCAGGGGAGATTTACCCAGTTGATGTTGAGATTTGGCCCACAAACGTGGTGGTTGAGAAAGGAAGCAAGATTGTTCTAGAAGTCTCCTCGGGCGACACCCAAGGCTGCGGCTTGTTTAAACACAACTCAACTTCTGACAGGTATATATCTGCAAAATTTACCTGTGACGGTTGCGATTCACTGACTTTTCTCATCTTCAGATGTCCCAATAAATTTCAAGGTCAGAACAACCTGCATTTTGGTGTTGGTCTTGATAATTACGTTACTTTGCCAATCGTTCCCCCAGTCAGCGAAGATACTCAAAATCAGTGAATTGTGGTCTAAGATAGCATAACTCAGGGAGGAAAATCAGTCTACAAGGACATACTAGCGGTAAATAGCCATATATACAGGAAATAGAGGGTATAAACACGCAATCTTCAATGAACAATGTCAGATTCCATGTTTTGTTGATTTCAGCAAATCTGACAAAGCAAAAAATATACAAATCTCCTACTAGTCAATGGGAGCCTTTTCAAGATCTAGGAAGTTAGTGGTATTCATGCGACTCCGGTATCACATCGGACTCCATAGATCAGTAATTTCCCCAGGTTGATCCTTATCCCACGATAAGCTTACGAATGTACGTGATAAGTATGGGCTGAAAGGACCAAATCTGTTTTTTCAAAACCATTGACTAAAGATTATATATGCACGCGTAAACATCTTCGAACAATTGGAGACACCAGACAAAACACTAAACAAAATATTTCGTTTCTCCTATAAGGATGAGAGCATGTTCAGCTCGAACTCTTACACCTTGATGTAAGGGATGCCGGTCAACTTGAAAGCACGCTCACCGAGAACAGGCTTGTGAAGAGGCTCTAAACGGTTGTGAGGACAATCTTCACCGTCACGCTTGGCACCTAGAGGAGCAAAATCCTTAGTATTGGGCCAGTGACTGGTCAAACGCCAAGTGAGAAAAGCATTCTTCTTTCTCATAAGATCTTCCTGTGTGGCAGAAGAGACTGGCATATAACATGTATAAATGCAAAATCGAGCCTGGTCGCCGGAGGGACTCAGGTTATAATGGGGGGTACGAGAGTCCCACAGAAGCAAGTCACCAGGCTCAGCGTCGATTTTGACCCACTCACAGCCATGGTCAGCAAGCCATTTCATACCAGCTTCGGTATACCCAAACCATTCGGGAGTCCACGCTGGAATGCGAGGCTCATCGGCAAATTCCCGGTGGAAGTCCTCTGAAAGAAGATGAGCGCCCTTGCAAACGATCAGGCCGCCGTCCTTGGGTCCATTTGGGAGGATGTTGACAAGGCCCTGCAAACAACGGAACCCTGACTTCTTGGGATCTTGATCTTGATGGGGCCAGGGCTTGTTTGGGGGCATATCGGTGCGGCTTGAGTGTGGTTAGCAACGACACAAAACCCTCAAAGCCACAGTATTTAGGGACTTACTTTGGAAGTGCGAAGTTTACTGCGTCGAAGGAGACAATCAAGTCCTTATCATCATAGACCTTCTCAAAGGCGTCGATTACCCCGGGCTCGCTTCGAACATTCCAGACAAAATCTTCATGTCCGACACAGTAATGCATACACATCCCCTTCTCGTTAATGACAGGAAGTGTAGCCTTGGAGACGGTTAAAGGATCGTCACGCTTGTAGCCCAGCTCGCTGTGAAAATAGTTAGCTCGACCTTTGCAAAATATGAATCACCAAGTTGGACGCACAAGCCTTCCAGATATGAATACATATCCTCTGCGTATTTGATAGCTCGCTCACGTGGCACAGCTCCCTTCACAACGGCATACCCGTCTCGGGCGAGGTCATCTCTAAAGTCTCCCCACTTGGGATCCAGGCCGTCCAGGCGCATAGCATTGGGGCCACCATGACAAGGTCTGCGCAGCTTAATGTTTGGCTCCGGTGTTTGAGTGGTGGTTGCAGTGGTAGACATGATGGTGTTGATGATAGGAGACTGTGTAGATCGTTGGTCTATGTGTTTGCGTGATTTACGTGGAATCGAGTAGTGGGACCTAATGTTGAGACATGACCCTTATAATTGACAGCATCGAATATGGAATGTTCTGAGTTACAAGGATTAGACAAACATAACAGGGCCGAACACGCATCCATCTACCCAGAGTGGGGGAGCAGGTGTAATGTAGAGAATGTGGAGAGAGTGGGCGCCCACATATACCTCCCACTTAGCTGAGATCCTTGATAAGGAGTGACACGCCCACTTCGGCGTGTGAGATCCACAATCCTGACGCCGCCAGTCGGCTCAAACCATGTCGGTTTCTCGGATTATCCAGTCACTGGAATGTTTGAGCCCCTTTGGCCCCGCTTTCTCGGAGCCGTGGGAGTGGAGTCTTCTGCGCGAGGAGGAGGGGAAAATGCGGGGACGCTAAAGCACCCCAATGATCACATGACCCTTCTTGCGATCCTACACCGATGGGTTCGAGGACTCAGTCTTGAGCAAGATTTTTCACCCTCCAACGCACAGAAAACATGGTGATCAGCCAGGCTTCATTTTCATCAGCCTCGGGTCCCTATCGATGTCCTCATTGTGAAAGATCCTACGAGCGCCAAGATTATCTAGCTCGGCATCTCGACTCGCATAGCAACAAGCGAAGCTTTCGGTGCCAGATCTGCAATCGCGGGTTCAATCGCCGGTAAGCCTGTCCTTGACAATTGACACTCCAATTACTTCTAACTCCTGGGCTGAAGGGATGTTTTGCAACGCCACCAGACGCTCCATGGCAACCTTTCCGCAGACGATGAAATGATCATCAGGCGACGGAAGGACCGTCTTCCTGGGGCTCTAGCTGAATGTGGATCGAAGGTATAAACAATATATCCTGTGAAAACCGAGGTGCATGGTTACTGTGCGAATACTGACACCCAAGCTAGCCCGTTGAACAACAGCACAACTCGAAGCGTCAACAGCAATGTCTGCGCCAAGTTCGTCTCGCCGAGGTATCAGAGCTGTCGTGCGAGACTACGATGTATGCTTACCCACAATCACCGATATCGAGCGACAGACAGTGCAACACGGGTGGTGTATCATCAGATCTGCCGCCCGATCCAGAACGTGAAAACCTCTCCACACCGCCAGCGAACTCGGTCCTTATAACTGCAGACTTTAATAGTTCAAATGTACTAGTTCATCCATTGACTGTTGATCCTAACGTCATAACCCGGCAAAATGAACTACCAGAGATATCTTCTCAAACCAGTCCCAATGGCTGCCCGGCATTTTTCGAGAATGTCATGCTTCTCGACCTCGAAGGAGCTCAGTCTGGACATACCTTTCACCAGCCATGCCCTACTACATTCGATCTTCTTCCCGACTTGGATTTTGAAATCTCAGAAACTGGCTTGTTTGGAGAGAACTTTATTCCAGACTTGGAAAGGGTTGTCCAAAATGACTTCTTGCTACCTATGCAGGACGATGGCAATCATTCAGAGCATGGGTACCTCGACTCTACTAAGAGAAGGGTATATGCTTTCCAACGTTCATTCTGGTAAGCCTGTACCTTCGCAGACCTATTGTGCTTGAATCAATATTCACCCAACTTTTTAACAGGAATCTCTTTCAGGATAATACGCGAAATGCTACCAATGAGGATGGTAGGTCGGTACGAAATGAAGAGCTTGAGCCCTCTCTTTTATCGCCTTGCTCCATTCCTACTAACCTCACCATTCACGAGAAACTCTCATCGCGATCAAGGGATCAAATCTTCCGACTCATTGTTAAGACTGGGGATGAAAAATTATCGATACCAGAGATTCCTACTGTCGATCATCTCGACATCCTCATCAAGATTGGCCTGGCAAGAAAGTTAGACGTCAATCCTTGGATTCATCTTTATACCTGCTATGATGATAGCTCAAGGCCAGAACTCCTCGCGGCTCTGGTGACAGCAGGGTGTATCTCATGTCTGAGCCCCACAATAAACAAGACGGGTATAATCATGCAGGATATTGTCCGAGTGGCATTGCATAATCTAGTATGATCCTCCCCCATGCATTCAAAAGGAAAGGCGTCAGAATACTTATTTTTCAAACCGCACGTAGTCTGAAGCAGATAATGATGCCACACGTGATCTTCAGTATTTACAAGCATCGATGATCTGGCTGGAAATCGGCTTCTCGTGTGGTTACAGGAAGAATATGCGGATGACAGAAGGTGCCGTTCAAGCTTTAGGCATAGTAAGTTCATGATGTTTGGCTCCAATATTCTTAACCTAACAGGTTATGCAGGCTCTGCGTCGAATAGGGGCCTTGGACTCATCCTCGTATAAGCCCATCAATCCGCGTGAAATTTCTGATGATGATTCGGGTGGCTTGGATCATATATGGAAGCAGTGGATTAAGCAAGAATCATTAAAGAGGTGGGTAGATTTATCAGGGACTTCTAGTCTTTTCATTTCGCCCCCAAAAAACGCTCGCCTAATAGCTTCCAGATTGGTGTATCACTTTTTCTGTCACGATATAGAGGTGGCCGCAGCAATGAACCACCCGCCGACAACATCATTTGCGGAACTCACTCTTTCTATACCAGCAGCACGGGATCTATGGCTTGCTCCAACGGCAAACGCTTGGAAGGTGATATGGATGGCCAAATATCAATCCCCAAGACCAGAAATAAGCCTTAGAGACCTACTGTCAGATCCTACTCTATTCAAAGATCTTCCCACGCATTTCGATAGCAGAGTTGCAACTTCTGCCTTGCTGCATGGGCTAACAGGCAAGATCTGGGACGTAAGGCAGCAGATGTTACTCGGTCGAAGCAGGGCGCCTAAACCGCCGGCTCGTAAATTGCTCTTGCTTCAGAGTAGACAGGAGGATCTGTGAGTCACTTGACAGTGACAATGAAGCGTCTGTGCTGATGATAACTCAGGTACACAGATCTTAAGGAAATCCAGAATTCCCTTGCAGATTCACCTCCTGTTACTGTCATAATGGCCGAGTTCGCCATTATGTATCTGCACATCGATATAGACGCTTTACAACGTTTTGCCGGCAAGATGGGCGAAGAAGAGGCAAGACAATGCTATCCTGACCTACGTAATTGGAGCATGACGCAAGATGCTCGCATTGCAGCCTGGCATGCTGGTCAAATATTTCGTGCTGTGAATCAAGTGGGCCCTTACCACCTTCGAGGCTTTGATATCTTCGCCATTTACTACGCGTCTTTGACCCTCTATGTGTATGGACTGCTGCTTTGTGCCGAGAAGAAGCCCACAGAAGTTGTCGAGACCTGGAACGCAGAAAATCCTGCCTTTGTTTTTCTCGATGGTCCCAGTAGTCGGGCGACGGAAGCTTTCGTTTCACACGATCGGGGTCAGCCGGGGTTGGTATACTTAGCAGGTACCGATGTTGAAGCACAGAAGACGTTCTGTAGTCTTCAACAGCCTCGTCTGGTTATGCGGGTCGCGTTGCAGGTCCTGAGCAGCAATTTCTCAAAGTTTTCGTCGGCCGATCCCACAAAAAACCCTATTCCACCTTTGGTCATGAATCTTCGTGATCTCCTTCATGATTTGGCGAATTTGCCATGAATGTATTATCATTGTCTGGTTCATGTTCCTATACAAGCCCTTCAAATTTCAGTGACATAGCTTTTAAACAGCAAGACTTGGAAACTGAGCAATAGAATACATGTATTGATATTCACTTTGGTACAGATTATGCTTTCCAGTGGTCCCTTTTTTCTGCCTGGGTGAGTGAGACTGTCTTATCTGGCTTGTAACCCAGCCGCTGTTTGTCACGACAACGCTCACTCACTTGGATCAATCGTCGAAAATTACGGAAACTCCTACCTTAGAACAAGGGTATAAGGTCCACATTTTTTCCATTCATTCCCATGATAATATCTTTTGCCATCCGACAATGATTCGGTTATCAAGCATGGATAATTTGCGGAGGGACGCGATAGTAAAGAGGATATAGTTAAAAGACGTTTTTGACCGCATAGGTCCACATGGAATTACGGAAAAACGCACTTCTCACGGCTCAGAGAGTCTCTTAAATGCGCAATACCGCATCTCATCACACGATTTTAGCTGATGTACAACTGCATGGCGCGGTCAACAATGTTATGTGGGCCTCCAGTTCCACCCACATGGCATGTGGAGGATAATGCAGCTGTGGTCCGCTCGGGCCTCCGCTAGGTATAAGCAAGGCAAGATTGCTCCGCTCATGTTTGAGACCGGGGTCCTTTCAACCACTATTATCACATTACGGCTTGTCGATATTCAACTGGAATTTCAGACATGAGTATGTAGGCCGCTTCACCGCGTTGGACCCCTGACTAACAATGAAGCAGATCCTACACCAGTCCACTTCTTTTCCCATGGCTCGACTATGATGTTGGGTGAGGAGTCCACCTCCGCTGATTACTGGAAAAGGTGTGGCGATGACGCGCTTTCTCACGCCATAAAGGGTGTCATTATTATGGTGAGCCCACACGTGGTTGTTAGTTTCATTTGCAGAGGGTCTAATATGATGCGTCAATTGGCAGGGAGCTCATTGGGACACTTTAGGTGATGGAATTGAAGTTGCTATGAATCCTAGGCCTGGAAAGAGTCCTGTCGCCTACGTGAACCCGTCGAAATATGTCGACTACGAGCTTGTCCCAGACCTCGAAGCTGGTCAAGAATGTATCGACATGCTCGCCAAAGTGGGTTTCAGTGTCTCAGCAAATACAACATTCAATTGGATCCACGACGTCTATCTGATTCTCATACGGATGTTTCCCAAAGGCTGCCCACCAACTACTTTAATCTCGATGAACGCCCGCTACGACCCGCACTTTCACATGAAGATTGGCGCTACTCTTCGTCCGTTGCGCTGCCGAAATTACCTAATTATTGGTACCGGAGGAGCAGTCCATAACCTATATCGAAATCACTGGGCTCCTATGTTACGTTTCCGAGATAATTTTGCTATGGAGAGCCCACCGGAAGACTGGGCGTTAGAGTTCAGACAGGCTGTGGAAGATGTTTTCACGAAGACTTCAGGTCCCAATATGCGAAGAGCGGTCACAAGACTGATGAAACATCCGAGGTTTAGAGATGCACACGCCACCGACGACCACTTTATGGCTGCAATGTTTGTTGCAGGGGCTGCGGGAGATTGGGAGGACAAGAATGTGAAGGCGGCTTTAGGGGCAGAGAGCTGGGAGCTTACCAATATGTGTAACTCGCAATTTACGCTAGGGTCTTGGGAGGCGCCGCTAGTACTTTAAAAATGCTATCTTTATGATTCTTTATGCATGTTGAGAGTTACAGATAAGGGCAATTTAACAATGCAAAGACATCCGTACGTCAGGCCCGGGTATCCAAAAAATCTTAGTAGCTTAAAGGTTATCTGAAAGAAGATAGCGACTCAATATCTCTTCATTAGGAAGGAAGTCTTCGCGGGGAGTGGAAAAGTCTCGCGTTCCTAATATCTGACACTATCTATACGCGAATGATCGCTATGCCATCGAACCTAACCCAAAATTCAACATGAAGTAACCCACGATGCCAGTCATACCCACCACTAAAGTCAGAGTAACGACTCCTCCGGTGATAATTCCTTGCTCAAAATGTCCAACATTTCCCCCATTTCCTTGCCCTGTTGGCTTCAAAGGGGCGATAGCGTCTTCCCAAATCTTTGATGATTCTCGTGTTGGCTTTTTACTTAGCAAGTGATTTATCTTCAACGATAACTGTGTCTCTTTCACAACTTGGGACCTCAGCACCTCAAACTCAGCCGTCGAGTACCTTGTCTTGGGATTGAGGGAAGTATTTCCCTTCACCATAGGACCCACTGCGCTCGTTAGCTTTGAGCAATCCTCGAATTAACTGGAACTCACTTAGCATTTCAGTCGGAATGTGATTTACCCAAGAGAGGTGTGCGTCGGTGAAGTGGGCTAGGTATTTGGCGGACTGAGGACTTGCGAATATGTATGACGCAGCGGGTGAACCATCTCTGGATTGACACTTGTTTAGAGTGAAAGAAAGCACCGGATTTGGCGATATCTTACCTCCGAGAAGCCTCAATAGCGTCGTCGAGACTTGTAAAAGAATGCACGAGGAGAACCCTCTCATTCAACTTCCCTTGTAACAACTCCGATTCCCTATGCACGTTAGAAGGCAAGTATTCATGATAAAATCGGGACTTGAAGCTCGGAGAAAACATACCGACACTCAACTTTTACTATTCCCCAGCCGGTTCCAGAGACAATTACCTGCGCATCGGGGGACCTCTCTGCCTTACTGAGAAGTCTTGGGCTCACGCAGCTGTTGGTAGCTGCCTTGATGTCCACAGCACAAGACTTCCCACTCATTTGCACGGCTGCCTCTAGAAATCTCGTCAAAATAGCCTCGTGGACCATGACAAGGTCAGGCGCATAAGGTGAGGTTCCACCAAACGCAAAACGTACAGACATTAGCTTATTTGCTGCTTGAACAACATCAGCCGTATGATCCACAACAGCCACAACCCTATCATGCTTTGAGTGTTCTTGATTTATCAGGAGGGTTTGACTGAGGAATGCATCATCGGGCATTACTTCGCTGATTGCAAATATGTCGCTATCAAGAGCCTGACACAAAATTTTCCGCAATAGCTCAATAATCGGGAGAGTTCCCGCAAGCTGTTTATGACATGGATTAATTCAGAACAATTGAAATAGAGCAAAATATGACGCACCTGCAAGATGATGCAATTACCAGCTGCTAGAGCGGCAACCATCGCGGAGATGGAAGAGAAAAAGATTGTGTGCGCAATCGGTATAATGTATACTATTCCGACACCGCGTCTACCTTTTCGATGATCCTTTCCATGGGCTATTCTATACTCCTCTTCAAGGCTTTTTTCAACATTCAAGGAGTCATAATGAGTACGAATCTCACTGAAAGTCAGAAAGATCTCCGCGCGGACCTCATCCGACGAGTGTTCAGACCCTTCAAGGAGTGCCTTTGTAATCTCATTGAGGTTTTGGAATAATGTTGATCTCAACCGTCTAAATTGAGATTGACGGTACTGAATATTGTGCACGCGTCCGTCAATATTCGCCGCGAGAATATGAGGGAATAGCAGTGCGGCACTCATGTTGAATATTGAAAGCAATTTCTCCCCGGCGGAACATTGGACACATCTACAGGTCAAAACTCTTGAGAGTTTCTCGCGTACTTTACTATTCAGTTATTCCCTAACTCTTAGTCCCGGCGCTTAAAACCTCCCCACGTATGCCCACTTACGCGCGACGCATATATGTGGGCATTTCAGAGGGCAGTTCTTGCCTTGAGTTTCTAGCAAGATGCCAGAATTGACATCACTTCCCGCCTGCTAAGTCTGTACCATCAATCTTTGCTTTCGTTTAAGTCTCCTTCCTTGTAGACCAGTTGTCACTACCTGTCTACGCTACAATTCTGAATTACTTCCATCATGTCAATCACGACTACTCAGGCTCGCATTCTGATATCCCCTTTGGGGGACTATGAGCTCTACCACAGTGTGGCCTCAGAAGAGACTCCAGGGCCATCAGCTACGCCTTTCACTCCATCCTCTAGCCAACCAGTCTCTTGGCCAACCCATCATCGTAGGGTGCCTCCTTACCGACCAATCAATCACAACCTCGATTACGATGACCGACCAACTGGATCTAATACATTTGAAAGTGCTTTTATCTTTGTGATGATGCATGGAGTCTGGTTGAACGCGGTAGGTGACTTCGATAATGGGCTAGTGTCCAGAAGCTGAACATGGCAATTCCAGTCCGCAGCTAAATTATGGAGGAAAACAGGGGGGAGGTTGAATGACCGGATATTCCGGTATAAAGTGGGAGGGGAATGGTAATCATACTCGGTAACGATGTTATCTCGCCAAGAGTCTCCCAATTTTGTTTTCTACTACTGTTCCCGAGTGGATGCGTATTTTGTGGAGAAGTGGGAGTGGATTTGGAAAGCGGCCAGAAATTTTCGGGGATTGCGATGCCCACTTCATGGAGTGCGGAGAAATCCATGTTGGTGAAGTTGTCATCATAGTACTAAAGAATGCCTAAACGCCACCGATGTAGACCAAAATCGAATGTCAAATTAAATCTTCTGGGCAACATTTTTTCCCAATCAAATAAGCAAGAATTACGCCTACAGCACCACAATGGCTTCGTCAGCCCGTCCAGAGAACCATCTACCCAAATTATCCAGATTCATTACCACGCACGATGCAGCCGCCAAGGCAGTCTTCCATGAAGGCCAGTCCGAAGACATGCCTGTCCAGGTTGTCGGGGCCGGCGAATATACCTTCTGTCTTGCATACGCGACTAGCCACTTTCCTGTACGAATGCAAGGAGACGAAGACTTGAAAGTCTACTCAGAATACCTTGCCAACCCTCCAGGCTTAGTCAGCATGTCTGGAACCGTTTGCCGCATAGTCGATTTCGAACCATATTGTCAATGTGCGATGCACCGAACAGTGTCTCTTGATTATGGAGTTGTCCTTGAAGGAGAAGTTGAATTGATTTTGGATAGTGGAGAGACACGTGTGTTGAAGAGGGGCGATATTGCTGTGCAGCGGGGAACGAATCATGCGTGGAAGAATGTATCTCCAGACAGAGAGGTGGATGGTAAGATGATGGGGAGTTGGGCGAGGATGCTTTTTGTTTTATCCCCATGCGAGCCTTTGAAGGTGGCAGGAGGAGCTCTAGGAGAGTCAACTCGCGGTATTGATGTCAGGCAAAGCTCGTGAAACGTTGAAGATTCTTGAAACCCAGTCATGGTCGGCGGTTCACATACTAGAAGCGCATGGTAGATCTAGCTACCGACACCCGAGATATTCCTAGATCCCACCACAGTTTTCTCTGAATAAGATGATTTAGGTTTTCTTTTTCAGATTACTAACACGAACCCAATAAAATCTCACAAGTGATAACTTGGCACGCCAGTCTGTCTTGCGTTGGCAGCAAATCTAAAGGTCATTTGACTGGAACTGATGGGTAATTCCTTAAAGTCCTGAGGGTCTCGAATCCCAATTGGATCATACTTTCTATGAAACAGTCTCATACGATGGACAATTAATGATATATTAGTGAGCAAAGTGATGAAGGAGGAAGACCATGTGGATTCAAGCCAGTGAAATGGAACTCAGTGGAATCTAGCTTGTTAAGAACAACACACAAAGAGCAGAGAAGAGGCAGTGCATCCCAACAAGGGAATCAGAGAGTCGCCAAAAATGCCCCGGGAGACCGATGTCAACGAGCTGGCTAACTTGTGACCATGCTTCCAGGTGTGGCCTTCAGCAAGATGTGACTAGGTCTATAAACACATGAACGCGCGTAGCTCCTTATTATCTTAGGCGGACTCAATGGGCCTAAAACTAGATATTTAATTGCCTAGGTTACCTGGGGAAATTCTACATAGATTCTATGGTTAGGGAACGAGATTTTATTAGAAGCGTATGCTTAGAGAGATTGACGATGGCTGATCAGAGTAAATTTGAAAAGGGAGAGGAGTCTATCTAAGCTACCAAACAACGTCACATGATTATCTTGGGACTTTCCATCAACAGATTAGACGTCAGAAAAGCCGACATAAGGAGTAACTACAACCTTCGGTCGAAGATGAAACCGGCCAATAACCGTTACATTGCATACTACCTCTTCGGGGAAACATGAGTTCGGCCCTTTGCCATCTTTTCCGCAGCTTCAAGGGTCGACCAGGCTTCTAATGTAATACGTGAGCCAAAAAATGGTATGAAGGACTATGCATATCCTGAATAGAACGTGTTCGGACTTAGCTGTGTAGGTACTAGAGAGAGATAGGGAGAAGCCAGAACACGGCAGAGAACAGTCCGATTGCTTAAACTTCATAAGAGACCGACTTCAAATATCTATACCACTAATTAAAATATGCCCTGATACCAACAGAGATAACACCCTCTTTCATCATCTCTCAATTACATCTACGACACCGTGTAGAGTGTAGGACTGTGATAATGTCCCAGGAGTGTTCAAGGGGACCCAGCAGTGGTTGCCTGAGCCACGGCAGGAAGGTCGGTCCCGGGTGCTGCTGTTCTCCTTAGGATGGCTTGACCTTTTTCTCCATATATCGCCGCCACTTTGAAGCTATTAGTATCATTACCCAAAAGTTTGAAGAGCATCATGATTACATACCACGGGGTTGAGATAGTAGACGGGAATACCGAGCAGGAAAATAAATGCAGAAACACCAGCTAGCATTCCCATGCCTGCAGCGTAGCTATACTTGGTGACCATCGGGATGAGAGCGTAAGCAATGCCGAAGGAGACCAGGTTCTTTGTCCCAACAACGATGACCAAGGCAGGACCAGCATTGTGATCCCATGCCTCAGCAGCAAAGGTCGTTGAGATAATGAGTACCGCAACAAAGGCTACTTCGAAGATTGCCCAGGCCATGTACGGACCACCCCAGGTAGATCCGCCACCAGCAGTAAAACCATAAAGTAGGAGCGTGAAAACAGTGATAACACCGGGGCCAATCAATAGCAGAAGACGATGTTCCGGGGTATGAGCACCACCGCACCTCTTGGCCACTTTAATAACGAACCAATCACCAAAAATTCCACCGTAAAGGAGACCGCCAAAGCTACCAAATACGCCACCAAGGTTAATGAGACCAACATTCTTGGCTTGCCACCCGTAACTCTGCAGCACATTGTCGTAAGTCAGTCCCATGCCAATCGCAGCGGCAAGGACAGCGGACGAAAGCAAAGTGGCATATATGATGCCTGGGGATGTCAAACACAGTAACATTCGCCACCAAGAATCCAGCATAGTCTTGAAGGGAGGATTCTTCACTCCTGACCAAGGCTTGAGTAGCTCCAGATAGGTTTTCTTAGGGATCGAATCCTCGGATTGACCATTCTGATCACCTTCAACTCTTGCATTGGCCGTGATATATGTTTGCGCTTCTTCGCGTGTTAGAACACGAGTCACACCATATTCGTCAGTGGTGACGACGTTCCCGTCAACGATCTGGATAGAGCGAGAGTAGGCGGTCTCAAAACAAGTAAAGAACGTGATCAAACCACCGACACCAACGGTGATCACGAAGATCCAGTAATACCAGCGCCAGCCCAGAGCAGCCGCTTCATAAGAGCTGGCGATGTTGAAACAGCTATTGATGATATTCTGTGTCGACCAGTATAAGCCGTAGATCTTGCCTCGTTGGTGCACGAATGTCACCTCGGCAAGGATTAGCGGGAGAAGCTTTATGGAAAGCGCATGTTAGAAATATCCCCACCATCAAGAGCTCAATATTGTCACTCACTGACTCTGTGGCACCAGTGGCCAGACCTTGGATGATTCGCAAGGCAAAGTGCTGCGTGTAGTTTTGTGAAAGAGCACAGCCAATTGTTGCAGCTAGAAGCACAATAATTGCAGCAAGAGTGACGGGGCGTCTACCGAAAGCCAGCCCCAGCGGTAAGATGAAATAATTTCCTTCAGGGTCAGATTAGCTTCAATTTGCGGTCACCATAAGCTGGAATTCTGGGGCTTTACCTATGCCGATGAATAGGGAGGGAAAGGTGGTAAGCCAGCCCACTCTGGTTGCATCAACTCCCTCCTTAGCATAGAGATCAATAAAGATAGTCAAGATGGATCCTAGGCCCCCGACCACAGACAAGGACATGATAGCTACTTCCTTGTGAGCACATCAACCCAGAGTATCTGGAGATTAAGCGGACTCACAAAACCAGCAACAACTGACAATGATCCCCAATTTAGCCTTGAAGGAAAAGTTCAGCGGATCGTTTGGGTCCTTGCTAGGGACTGGTAGCAGTTGGATTCTTCCATCGGCAGAGACCAGAACGTCGTCACCAGGTGATTTGCCCACGGGGCCGACGTCCTCCACCATGTCAACACATCCTTTCTCGGCGTTGGATAGCGACATAATTGACTATATTTCTTTTGAGGTACGACGCTTTGTTCGAGCCTGCAGTGATCGACCACGAGCGATCTCCGTGGATCAGCTATATAGCATCCATATTGCAAAGCTCGCCCACACGAATGTAGTCACCCCCACATTTCCCCCGGAAAAAAATTGCCTCTAATATGTGGAGAAGGTTCGGTAATCGGATTTCTGGATTGGGGATTGGTCGTTGAGTAGTCATCAAAAGGCATTTTTAGCCGTCCGCCCTTACAATACTCGATACCCCGCAATGAAGGACCTAGTAAACCCCAGGAAAAAGTGGGCATATCCGACTAGATATTGATCGATTGGAAGACCCTGGATTTGACGGCTTGAAAAATCATCTACGACCAATACCATGCCCAACTCCTCCTCAAGCTCGTTTACTATCGAGAATATTCCTTTTGGAGTGATTTCAACCGCTGACCATCCCACCCCCCGATGTGCAACTGCACTTGATCACGATGCGATTGATCTCAGCGCTCTAGAAAGTGATGGCTTCTTTAAAGACGTTCCCAAATTTTGAAAGGGATCTATTTTTTCCAAGGTCAGTATTTCACAGCCGAATGCTCCTGAAAGCCATTGGTGTTCCGGTTTACTTTTTAATGACAGCTCCGCTGACTCGGAGAATCGCAGCCTTATTTAAACGATTTTGCATCTCTTCCCATTGAAAGCCGTCGGCAAACTCGGCAGCTCCTGTGCGCCAATTTGCTTCAGCTTCAAGAAGATAGAACCAAGGCGGATCGATACTTCATTCCGCTAAATCGTGTTAAGAACCACTATCCCATGCAAACGGCCAACTTTTCAGATTTCTACTGTTCTTTAGAGCATGCTCAGAATGTATATCTACTAATCCATCCCTGGAGCGACAAGAATTAACTGATCGGGTACAGTGTTGTGCGATTCTCGGTCTACCAGCGTCACCCAACTGGCGCATCATTCCAAGCGTGTACAATGGCCGTACATCCAGCCTGAATGTAGAAACTACATTGACACGCCCGCACGGTGTGATTCAAAACGAGTTTGGGCATTACGCCTTCACTCCGACCAAAAAATTGGATATGGAACTGGAATTGGGAGTGTTCATTTCGAAGCCTTTGGAGGCTGGGCAAATATTGGATATTAAGAATGTCGCAGATCACATCTTCGGCTTTGTTATCCTCAATGACTGGTCAGCTCGGGATATCCAAAGTTTCGAGATGGCACCTCTTGGTCCGTTCCACAGTAAAGGGTTTGGGACTTCTATTTCCCCGTGGATCGTGACTACGGATGCCCTGGACGCAGTTACGAGTGCGGTTATGGTTCCGCAGGATCCTGCTCCATTGCCTCATCTCCTATGGAAAGGAGATGGCGGAGCTGCGACATTCGACATCAATCTCTCTGCTTGTCTTATAAGTGAGTTGCATTCGTTTAAAGCTGCGGATCCCTGGCTAATAAATAAAGGAAATGGGAAATCGTACAATCTTACCGAAACCAACCTGAATGAGCTCTATTGGACTCCATTTCAACAACTTACTCATCTTGCAAGTGCAGGCGAGGGTCTCACGACTGGAGATATTTTTGGAACGGGAACTATTTCCAGTGCTGTATGTCACTCTCTCATTTACGATGCCCAGTCATGCTTGATGGATATTGCTAACATGCCTGATCTCAGCGTATAGATGAACACGGAGAAAAGATAGGACTAGCTTGCCTTGTAGAGCGCTCGCTCCCTCACACTTCCCTCTCGGCTTTGAAGAAAGACGGTATTGTCTGGTTTGAAGACGGCGATGAGGTTATCATGGAAGGAGTTTGCATCAACAAGACAACGGGGTCCAAATTTGGATTTGGGCAATGCCGGACAACTATTACCCCGGCCGTGAAGCTGGCTCTGTGACGGAGCTTCTCGTCTATATCCGGTATACACTGCTTCAGAAGTAGCTCAAATAGATGCAAGTTAACCTGGCTACGGGAATATTAATTACTACAATGTCGAGATTGAGTATGAACTGGCTGTATGTACTACAATCTTGCCTCTGGTCTCACTGCTCAGCAACAACATCCCCAAACTCCCCAATCTCATACAGCAGCGAAGGCTTCAACCCCACAATCTTCCAGCATCCATGGATTTTGATATATCTCTGTTCCATATATGACTTTCCATCGCTTGTTCTATCCACTTGCTTTTTCAGGGGGTGGGAGCCTTCGATCCATCTCCCGTGACCGGCAATCTGCTGCCACTGGACCACAATCTCGCTTGCCGAGACAGACTTGAAGTAACATTGACCCAGTAGGTGCTGTGTAAGCAATTTTTCATTGCCCAGTAGCCCGGGTGATAGGAATTCGGCGATGAATTCCTTCGGGTTATAAGTCTTGTTCGGGATTGTTTCTGAAACGAGTCGGTAGTCAACTTCGATGTGGGGGCCAACTACGGCGCGTAGACGCAACGCATCCTACAATTTGTTAGAATTTCCAGCGTGGTATGCTTCAGGCTGCCAGGGTCGTCACCATCGTACCTTCATATCATACCCGTCGGCAAAAGCGCGCGCCGTCTGGACGATGGCGATATAGTCGCGGAACTCAAGGTTCTCGGGGATACAAAGCTGAAAGGTCATCGTGGTTGAGAAAACTGATCATGTGCATGGTTTTCTTCTGCATATCGAACATGAGAAATAGAGAGAGTACAAGTACACACCTGAGGTGACCCCAATCCCATACGTACCACGTGGGACCAATCCTCGTCGGTTTGGCCGGGTAAGTGGGCAGTCCAAAAAGTGGGCAGTCCAAAGAGTGAAAAGTGGGCGACAGTTCAGCCACAAGGCGCTAGGCCCCTGCACGAGGCTCAAGAGACCGCAACCAAGACCCGCGCGAGATCGCTGGGCGCGCCCTAACCTTTTGGGGACAGCGATCCTACTTTTTATTAGGTGCCTCATGTTTACTCCGCCGAGCTGCTCAAGTAACTCACCTCGTTGATCCGGGAGCCTATCATTTCCCGACGCGGCAGTTTTACCGTCACCTACATTACAAAGTCAATTTTCCAGACCAGTGTCAAAACTCTCAAAAACTTCACGCTTTCACGTATAGTAGGTACAAGGCGAATAGATGACAAATATAAAAAAGGGGAACTCCTCATGTTCAGTCGTTTTTGCTTGCATAGACTCGATAATCAAGCTATAGCAGCAGAACTCTCAATACACATCAACAGAGAACCCATAGAAGCGAACGATGAACTCCCTTCAAGGGTAACCAGAAGATTCAGCTCATTTACAGGAGACCAGCGGGGACGACGCTGCCAACAGTGGAGGTCAGGCTGGACAGGCCGAGCAGGGAGAGCAGGCCGGTGACAGTGCCCTCAACCTTGACGAGGAGGGCAGAGGTGCCGTCCTGACCGAGGACACCGAAGAGCTGGGTGGGGTCGGCAGCGACACCCTGGGCAGCAGCGGCGAGGCCAGAGACAGCGGGAACCTCAGCAACGACGGTGCCAACCGCACCCTGGACGTTGGACAGGTCAAGACCACCGAGGAGGGAGAGGACGGTAGGCTCAACCTGGACGAGGAGGGGGTTGCCAGCGAGGTCGGTGATGGTCATGACGTCGGAGACGGGGTCACGCTTCATGTTGCCAGTAACGCCGGAGGCGACACCCTCGAGAGTGCCAACCAGGGAGCCAACGAGCGAGCCAACCTCGGGGAGGCCCAGACCGGAGAGGAGACCCTCGACGGTGGAGGTGAGCTTGACGAGAGCAACAGAGCCCTCGCTGGTAGCAACGGTCAGGAGACCGCCGGTAGCACCGTTCAGGTTCAGGGCGCCAACGGTAGGGGCAACCTGGATGATCTGGCCAACGGACTGGGTGACGCCACCCAGGTTGAGGCCGGACAGGAGGCCAGCAACGGTAGGCTCAAGCTCGACCAGAACGAGCTTGGAAGCCTGGTCGGTGACGGTCAGGACACTGTGGACCTGGCTGGTGACCTGACCGGTGACCTGGTCAGTGGAGACCTGGGAGTCGCCAACGCTGGTGCCGACGCTGGGAGCATCAGAGGCAGAAGAAAGGCAGGTCGGGATGCCCGAGGGAACGGGGATACCAGAGGGGATGATGCCAGAGGGCAGGCAGGTCGGGATGCCAGAGGGGAGGACACCAGAAGCAGCACCAGGGATGATGTTGGTGGGGAGAGCAGCGACGGTGGATGCCAGGATGGCAGCGGAGATGGCGAAAGACTTCATCTTGTTGTAGAGAGTGACTGGTGCTTGAGAAAGCTGTAATGAATGGACGGTATAGAAACCGGAAAAGGAATGACTGGAGGTAGGAAACGAGGAAAACGCGAAGAGCTTCTTGAGAGAGTATAGAAAAGAATCTCGAAAGTCAAATGGCACTGGCTGCCCTTTATACGCCGCTCATCATTGCTCAGGGGGGGGGGGATCGAGTAGTCCCTTGGTTCAAGGCATCTATCAGACCTCCCGTATGCTTGACGTTGCAGAGCAGAGTATACTCCACATCTGACCAGGCGAGGTAACAGGGATGCTGGAGACCCGTCGAGAGATTTGCAAGTTGAAGTCCAATGGAGAAGGAGCCAAGGGTGGATTGTCCTGTCAGAATCATCCAAATCCTGCGGAGATGACATCCACTTTCTCAAAGGAAGGTATCAGAGACCGGGCATGGGAATTGGAGCCCGCGGATGCCTCTTAGTTCTCTCATAAGCTTCGCCGGAGGTTCATCTTCATTAGCCACTCCGCAGATCTTGACCAACTCGGCCGTTGGGGTAATTTCGGGGATCTTTTGCAGACACAAGTCTTCATTTCAAAGGCACGCAGAGTGTCATTGTTGATTTGGCCTTGCTGAAGTTGTCGTAAATATCAGAAACGTGGTGGTCGACGATACTCTCGTGTGAGCCAGGAACAAGATTTGCCACATGGTTCGAGCTAATTCATCACTGCCGAGGCGGTGTTCAGGGTCCTCGAGTCCAAGCACACGGTTATGCTGCCAGAGAACCCTTTCAGGAAGCGCGTTCAGACCCTAGCGATTGGCATTAGCACCGCTTGACTCCACTGGTGGTCGCCAATGGGTGGAGAGATGGGGAAAGGAGAAAGTGCAGAGGGCGCCGAGGATCTGCATTGGTGTCCCGCTCCAAACACGTTTTTGGTTACTTCCAGGAAGAGCGTTGGACCCCACACAACGTTGGATTTTGCACTTGGACTATTCTCGTTAGGACTGTAGCTAATGTCAAGTCAAATAGTCGGTCGGGTGGACCTGCAGCTGCTTTGATTAAGAGTGCGAGCCAATCCCGGTTGTACGAAGGAACGGGACGAAGAAGCAAAGGACGCAGGGACACCAAGCTTAGATTGCTGGCTTAGATTGCTGGCTTAGATTGCTTTGTTATCATGATCGTCGTAATTCAGCGCGTCATAGCTTAATCCCTCAGGGTAACAAAATTGAGATAGTTAAAACGATAGAAGTGGTTCTCTCTCCACTGAAAGGGGGCAAATAACACCCCTGACGATCCTAGTCGCGAGTCATCATCATCAGGGTCCTTATTCGGGGAAACTGAGGAGCCTGTCAAGTCCCTCGAAATAAAGTTCGACGGGATAACCTTGTCGGCGCGGGGAACCCCAAAGAGAAGGTAATTCCATAGGAGACTTTCTTGAGTAGACAGCCAAGTACGAAGTACAGAATACGAACAGCCCTACCTACCTGGTGCTAGCAGCATACTTCGCGTCGGAGGATATCTAGAAACAGTTAGAATGCTTAATTAAACGTTTTCCACTATCGACAAAAAGGTATCAAAAGCCAGATTCAATTCTCAATAGTGCCATTCACAAAGGGATTCGGAAATTACCCAAACGCTCTTGATTTACCTACTTCGGTATCAGGCGACAAAGTTAGTTAACTAAACCCCCAAAACACAAAATTCAAGGATGGATTCCACCCCAGTAGCTCTCCCCGTTATCATCGTACGGACGCGAGGCCTCTCTGCACGTTGGCTTCTCATAGTCGGCCACCGATCCCATGGGCCAGATCGGCACCACGCAGATCTCATGGTCGGCGCAGCCACGGCACTCTTTCCAGCTCGTCCAGTCCAAATAGTCAACTAAAGCTTGAACCTTCTGCACCGCAAACTCAAGGTCTTCCTCCGCCCAGGCCTCTAGCAGAGTCGAGCAGACATGGTGTGCAACCCTGTGCACAGCTCGTGCTGCTAACACCTGCGAGTCCTGTGTTGCCAGGGGCAGGAACTGCGTGGCGCATCGCTCGGCCTCAGACGAGTTGTCTCGCTCGCTGTAGTCGATGAAGGGGGACAAGGTGGTTTCGATGTGCTGGTGCAGGGACTGGATATCGGTGAACTCGCCAGATGCCAGGTAGGACAGTTCGTCGCTGTATCGCTTCACGATCATGTCCGTGATGGCCTGCCAGTTGCGGGAAGTCTCGCCCGCGCCGTGAGCCAAAATAAGTGCATTCAAATCCCGGCGTACGACGTCTAGTTCAGCGTCGGGGACTTGTCCTAGACGTGGTAGGGACGAGTTGTCCTGGAAAAGGTCCAGGTCGTACGCGAAGGCAGTCACGAAATGGTCATAGTTGAGGGAAACCCTGTCTCCTCCGATTCCACCATACCGCGCAGTCACTGCACGCATCCAGCGAGCGGAGTTCATACCGGGTGGACCTCCTCCTGGTCCTCCTGGTCCTCCGGGAGGACCCCGTCTCTTCCCATCATCATCCTTCCTCGGACCGCCAGTTCTATCATGCATCCGACCCTTGGGACCACCTTCCCTCGAGTCCGGCTTGACCTGAATAATCCGTACGGGAGTCAAGTCACGCTCGAATGCACACAGGATAACCTCAAAGCCAGCCTCCATGCGAATTACACCATCGATACGGCCACCCCACTCGTTCTCTGACATTTCGCATGCCTTTGTCGCGCGTTCAAACTCTCCCATGGGCCCACGTTCGCCTTCCTTCGGTGTGTCATCCAGGGTATTGTTGAACATGAGCACATCTTGCGAGTCGAGGGTACCCTTCTTCGTCTTGGCTGCAGACATACCATCAATGTATACCAGACGAAGATCCTTTGCGGCGGCATAGGTGTGAAGATACCCAGCCTCCTTCTCCTCGAAGACCTCGAAATCCTCAAATGGTGGCGGCGGCCCAGGTGGGAAATGCGGTGGTGGTCCTGGTGGCCTATCACCGGGACCATGATGCTGGCGACGACGAAGCTCTTCATGGTGTCCACGATCTATATCTTCATCACGACCATCCTCTGGGCGTCGATTCGGCGGGGCCATATGAGGCCTGGCGAATACCATCGCATGCTCGGGTTCAAAGGCAAGCCATTCAGTGCCATTGACTGGAGTCGACTTCGAAGTACCGTGGTATAACTGTGTACCCGCTGGAACATTGGCCAAGAAGAAAGAAACGCCATTGTGATGAAGCGACGATCCCCATTGACGCATGGAATCGTGAATGACATTGAAAATGTGGTTGGCGTTTTGGATCACCGCATCAGAGTCTGAAGATGCTGCAGATCCACCGGATAAGCTCAACAGCGAGCATATCGCCAGTAGAGACTGCGACGAGCGCATGTTGGTTCAGAGACGTTCGACTTCCAGGGTATGATCCCAAATCAAATGGCGAAGCGAACAGTGCAAAAGATATCTTTTGACTGAAGAAAAGCTCCTGCCTTGATCATGATCGTTAGCGCCTGTGGTTATCTGATGGGCATTTGAGATTTGGACTCGGATGCTGGAGACGCGTCATCACGCCAGACGCTAGCCACCATCCGCTTTCGAGTAATTTTGCCCGAAGGCGAATTGTGGATTCGGTATCCGGTGGCTTGGGGCTTGCCAGCTTCGGGCAAAATTGACGTGGCCATCGCCTGCGACTAAACTATAAACCCCTTTGTTGGTGATGATAGGAGGGGGAAGTCCGGGTAAATTCCAAGTTAGTGATGGATTTCGGTGACTGGCCTGGCCTTTCTTTCTCCCGTGGGGGATTTGACTAAATCTTATTCGAACTTCAAAAGTCCGTTTTGATGCCTACATAGATTCAAGGTGCGTATACATTCTCCGATGGGGTATGTATCTAGCCAGTATAGTGCTTCATAGTATCTGCGCATACTAGAAGATGACGTCGATCTATCTTGCGGGCAATTTCTGCTCAGTTGGGTTCAGCACTCCAGTCGGGAATAATATCCAAGTCTTTTATGGAGACCTAGCTCAACCAATCTTTAAAATTGAATGATTCTATAATCTCTACATCCTTTTACACGGGAGTCGCTTAGGCGTAGTTCCCCTGTAAATTGCAATGAACAAGCCAAGCCCTTCGGGGAAACAGCCAGCGAGATAAGATCGCGACCGCGAGGTCCACTATAATCAAACAACCTCCCCTCCCCTCATACAATGCCCTCCAATCCACTCCACATAGGTGCCCGCTCCATCACACAGAGCTCAATCCGCCGTCGCAGAACTCTCCTCCTCACATTCGACGCCTTCGAGACCCTCTTCTACCCACACCCGCCAGTCCCCGATCAATATGCGACAATCGGCCACGAGTTCGGACTCTCCCGAACAGCCGTAACACCAGACAAGCTCAAGGCCGCATTCAAGGACGTGTACCGCCTAAAATCCAACCAGCACCCGAATTACGGTCGCGCAGACGTACTCAAGGGTCGGTATGGAGGGCCAAAACAATGGTGGGAGGAGGTTATCCGTGGCAGTTTTGGACAGGTGCTAGCCTCGGAGAAGAATGGGGATCATTCACAGACGGTCTCTCAGGATTATGGGGATGTTGACCTCCCCAGCGGTATGGTTGAGACTCTGCTGGATCGGTTCGCGGGGGATGGAGGTTACACGTTATATGACGACGTAGCTCCGTTTTTCGCCCGTATGCGTGACCACCGAGCGTCTTCGAATACCACTCCCTTTGATCGGATCGTGCTGGGTGTGATATCCAACTCTGACGATCGTGTTCCTGCAGTGCTAAAAGCGCTAGGTCTACGCGTTGGGAATACACGAGCAGATCAAGACCGGTCGAGTATGGAATTGCCGGGTTTCGAGGAGCAAGACTCGATCAACCCGAATACCACGAACCAGGAGGGTCGGCCAGATGCTGACTTTGACCTGGTAATTACTAGCTACGAGGCTGGCGAGGAGAAACCGAACAAGTTGATCTTCGATGTCGCGAAGCGGCAGGCTCGGTTGCTAGTCCGACATGATGCACAACAGGGCTCGACTCCAGCTGGCCTGGAGGACACTGATGACTGGACGTGTATACACATTGGGGATGACTACCAGAAGGATTACGTCGGTGCTACTCGTGCGGGTTGGCAGAGCTACTTCCTTGAACGTAATGGTAGTGAAGAACGCCCTTCGAGAACTATTCGCTCGTTGATGGAGTTGTTCACCGAGTTGAAGATTGGTTCGTAAGATTTAATGAGATAATCATCCAATACCTTAATAGCTCCATGCTGCAAGTAGATGCAGAGGACGAGATATGCAAGCAATTCTACTCCACTCAAAGCAATGATCTGGTGGTAGTGTAGTTGTATAATCCGTTCAAAGGCTGTATCACTCATGACTACAATTGAAAAGCTCCATGGATGACCGTAATTCATTTTGAATAAATCTCAAAATAGTTAACAAAAAGTATAGACCCGAATCTTACCAATTGATCACAACGCCGAGACATTAAAACGCTAGCCAAAATCACACAATACAGAACGCCCAAAGAATTTCATTGACCTAGGCCAAGGGCGGGCCAGTCGCTTAATCCCACTGGCCCTTACCAGCTAGGGCACCCAATCCATTACCAGCATGCTTTCCCAGCAGCTTAGCAATGTTAGCACCACCACCGCGTTGCTTCATGCGGAGCTGCTTCTCACGCTCCTTCTCGCGCGCAGCGGTGTAGGAGTTGATAGCACCACCCTTCTTCGGACCAGACGGGGCAGGCTGGGCAGCCCGATTGGCATTGGATGAGGTTGTGCTGGAGCTTGATGAAGAGGAGCCCGTGGTCACACGGCGCAGAAGCTGAGGTGGGCGGAAACCGATGGGGCTGTCGGAGTTACCACCGTTATGGAAGGCGAACTTGGTGTTGGCAGATGCTCCAGACGTCGTACCGGAGGCAGAGTTAGATGAGGCTTGGCGGAGGAGGGCAAGGCGATCAACGACAACGCCGCGGGTGCGTCGGGGGTGACTCGGCACAGCGAAGCCATCTTTAGATTGAGATCCTGCGTCTTCAGAGTATGCTTCTTCGTTGCCGGTGCTCGAGTCATCAGCGTCTTCGATGGCTTCGTCTTCGTCGACAGACGCGTCTTCGTGGAAGGAATCATATTCGGGGGTCTCGGTTAAGAACGAGAGCGTCTCTCGAATTTCGGCAAGGGTGGCTGGCTTCTTGGACATGGCACTGGCAGCTGTACGACGCAGATGAGGTGGAGGACGGTTGGTGGCATCTTCAGTGGATGACTCGAGCGGTCGCTTGCGCTTCTTGCTATCCTGTGCTGAGTCGTCTTGCTCCTGTGCAACATTCTGAGAGGCCTCGTTCTGAGAGTCACCTGCGTTATCCTCAAGGAAGTCCAACTCAAAGTCATCCTCAACCTCTCGGTCTTCGATGGCCTTGAAGAAGGCAGCCTTCTTGGGGTCGTCGGCGAGTTGACCAATCTTGTCATCCGCAAGGAGGGCACGACGCATCTTCGCAAACTCGCGTTGCTTTTCGCGTTGACGGGCTAGGCGCTCATCATCCGAGTCGTCAAGATCAAAGTCATCGTCACCCCCACGGCGACGACGCAAGGCTCCAGTCGTAATATCCTTGTACAGCTTCGCAACGTCTTTCTCGTCACGGTCTCGTTGGTGCATTCTAAATTCAACATAGTTAGCAAAATATCCAACTTGGAGTAGCATGGAAGTCGACTTACGCATTCATCGCTGCAAGTTGCTTCTCATCGACCACTTCGCCGCTCTGGTCATTGATCATCTGCTGATCGTAGGCATCTTCTTCGCCTTCACTGTCATCACTGGCACCTCCAAGACCAGCATACTCATCCTCGGATTCCTCTGCAGCTTCATCGACAATATTCTTGGCTTTGCTGTTCTTCTTGTCGTATGGAACAGATTCCTTCTTAGATGCCTTCTTCATAATGTTAAAGGCATTAGCGTTGATTTCGAAGTCGCCCTCGTGTTCATCCTCTTCCACCATGGACAAGTTTGCTGCGCGGCCGCGGCGAAGTTGTCGGCCCTTGCGTTCCGCAATTGGCGACTGAGTCTGGCCGAGGAGGACGGTATCAACGGTTGAAACTGGTGGTGTTTCTCGGAATCGCTTAGCCGGGTCAAATGGAGAATAAACGAAGCCCTGATCTTGACTGGGATCGGGAAGCTGTGAGAACTGGGAGAATTTGTGTGCAGCAGGCGATTCCGATACTCTGGTCACATTTTGATTGTAGCCGGTCATGAAGTCGGGCTCATGAGAGTGCTCCTGACTATCACGAACGAGAATCTCCGAGTCCTCAGCGCGAAGTCTTGGAACGGGGAGACCGGGATCGGGAAGGGAGAAAGGCATTGTGGAATAGCCGGGCTGGCTATTGGCATCTTCATCATCGGCCAACGTGCCAGCGAATGCTTGAGTAAGCCCCAAAGACATGCCGCCAGGGGTCTCCATGCCGGGGAACACTGGTCGCTCCACCGACTGTGGGTCGTGAGATGGTGGTCTGATTGGTGTGGATGGCACTTGAGGTTCCTCCTCGTCGTCATCGTTGACCACACGAGCTCGTCGCTTCCGCCGGGCACTGGCAGCTTCGACCAGCATGTCTACATCTGACATTTCATCCTCGGCTTGGTCGTCAGCAGACTCATTATCCTCGTCTGCTTCGTTATCGAGGAATCCGGGGTTCTCATTGACATCATCGGCCTCTTCATCTTCGTCATCGTCTCCGTTAGATCCATCTTCATCTGAGCCTGAAAGCGCGTAGTCGTCGTCTTCGTCGTCCTCATCGTCGTCTCCGATCAGACCTTGCGCCTTCTTCTTGGCAGCTCGTTCCTGTCGTGCAATCTCATCGGCCTCCTCACGCGCCTTGTCCATCATGTTTTCGATGTCGTCTTCCATGGCGGCACGCTCTTCGGCGGTCTCGATGACTATGCCCTTTGCCCGGAGCTCTTCGATACGCTCGCGTCGTTCCTTGGCAGCTTGCTGACGAGCTCTATACAACAAACTTGCAGACAGTTCGGCCGAGTTCATACCCTTGTGCTTGCGGCTTGGTGATGTCAAATGGGCCAATGCCTTCAGCGTAGTCATCGAAGAGGATTCTTGTAACTTTTTGGTGGGCAAGTTCTCGAAAGCAGCAATGCGGCGAGCCTTGGAGGGGGATGTGACAACTTCCAAATCATCACTATCGTAATCTTCTTTCTGGTGCCGAGCAACTTCTTGTCGAGAGAGGAGAACACGAACTGGAGGCTGGGTTGGCTTGCGAGGTACTTTCTTTGCACTCAAAATAGTAGACCCCTTGAGCCCATCGAGTGTGTGGAAAGCGGGAACATTGGCTTTTTCGGGTATCGCTGCGCTAGTGTTGTTTGCACCGCTCTCGTCGAGCGTAACGGGAACTTCAGCATCAATAGCCACGGGCTTGTCTGCGTCGGATGGACCCAGTACAGGCGAAGTGTGTGGCGTCTCTTTATCTTTCTTGGGACTCTCGCCATCGGAAGAATTTTGGGAACCGGCAGTTGAAGACGAATTTGCAGCTGCGGGCTCAGCGGAAGAAGGCGCCGGCTGCATGAAGTTGAACTTGGCGAACAAGCTCTCCTTGGTAATCTTCTTCTTGGTTTGAGCCTGATGAGCCAGTTGCATGTTTCGACTTAGGCGTTGTGTCTCCTGTCTCATCTCCTCGAGAGCCTTCTTGCTTGCCTTTCGAGGTTGTCGAGTTTTCTGGCTCAATTTCTGACCAGATGTAGCCTCTTCACCCTCGCTTTCCTCGCCAGACATGATTTCCGAGCTAAAGTGCTCCAATTGAGCGCGCCTAGCTGCCTTTTGTTCATCCTCAATGCGTTCACGCTCCTCGCGCTCTTTGCGCTTTTGTGCGACGAGAGCGAGGAATCTCGCGTTAGACTTTGGGTTATCAACTGGTCCGTCATCTGCGACGTTATCCGAAGCAATGGCATTATTTTGTTGAGAGGCTGGCGAAGAGACAAACAAGGGCGAGGCAGAGCGTGCGCGAGAGGGTGACTTTACGGAATCGTGGCCTGCAGAAGCAGGAGATTGGGTGGACTGCGCATTGGCCCTCCTCCGAGGAGCAGCTGTGGGCAGATCATCCTCACTGGATTCGTCGACAGGTGAGGGGCTTCGGCGTGTTGGCTTTTGTGTCTGTTCTCTCTCGGTTCGCAGAGCCTTGGATAATCGGGAAAAAGCGGATTGTTCTTGGGGTTCAGAGTTTGCTGAAGCACTGATATCGCCCTGCATGCGAGCAGCCATGCGGCCCTTTGGCTTCACAATCTCATCTACATCCTCTGAGTCGTCTTCGGAGTTGTTGGACTGTTCCAGTGCGCGCATACCGGTTGATGTGCTCTTGCTTCCGAAGTCCAGCTTCGGTATAGATGCCTTGGAATTTGTGGGTTGTGAGTCGGAATCGGAATCGCTGTCGAATTGGGCCATCATGGCTTTGATTTTCTGACCCGGGGTCAGGATGCTTGGAGAATTATTGGCGGGCGACATGGAACGCGTTGACCGTGCCGAACGCGGTGTAGAAGTTGTAGACATTGTGAATTGGTGAATATTAATCATGCAAGATGAGAGTTGGGGTTTCAAACAGGGGTGTAGGTCATGGCATGAGGAAGTCAATTGAGAATACTGAGTAGTAGAGACGAGGTTGGAAGGGCTGAGTGTGCGGATCCCCTCTCAAGGGTGCATCGTCAAGACGCGATGCGCGTGCCTCGCGTTGCCCGGTCGTACCCACGTGATGCTTATCTTATCGCCGGTTTCACTTAATGAGCACCTTAAGTATCAACTCATCGATTCTACGGTTTGCAACAAAACACTCGGATATTCGATAATATTGATTATCTACTAAACCAGGCGACCGATTTTTCTTCTCTCCTTTTGCTTGCTTAGATAATAGCTCACATACTCACAAGTATGGGTGACTTGAGTAGTTGCGACAGGCCCTGGCCAGAGACCTTGTTACTTTGATAGGAGTTAAACGGGTTTGAATCGCTCGTCCATGATGGTTCTTCTGATTCAACAACCTCTTCCAGGCTGCTCATGGAACTCCCTCGAAGTGGCGGTCCATTTCCTGCGTTGGAAATCTCAGGTCGTCATATTCTCAGTCTGGACATCTTCTGGAGGATAGCGATGATTCTTCTCCTTTTCTCCCCATCGACAGGGTGAGTAGACACCCTTATGGCCGAGAGCCATGAATACACAGTCATGTCATTTGAGTAGCTGTCCAGACAGTCCACACAGCTAAAGAGGCAAAGCAAGCTGTGGGATCGTTTGTGGGATTAAGGTTGCTTTCTCGCGGACGCTCCGAAGAATTGGCCGGTTCGAAGTATTCGGTACACGATCACCTAGGCGTTTGACTTGGCACGCCTCAGCAGAGCTTGTTTGCATAAGACATTTTTTTGAGATGACGCTTGCGGATCTTCTTTGTCCTCAATTATGGATAGATTTTGCAGTAGTACGAGAAGGGCAAGGAATCTCGTTGGTGTAGGTAAGCCTATCCATCGGCATGGTTCTTCGTCTACCTCATGAGCTTGTCACTATTGGTTTAGCATATCAAGGAAGGTGGCGTGTATGCCGCAGAACCGCTGACTGACGGCTCTCATCCGCCAGAGAAAAAATGAAAATGAGACTCTCGTCATCAGAGAAAGCGGGTCGACGTGTTGGTCGACGTGTTGGTTGACGGTTGTGCTTTTGAAGCTCGCGGGAGCGTCCCTCCTGTTAGATTTGATGTAGTGGAGTGAAACGCGAAATCAAGCGTATCAGTACCTATATGTGTGATCCTAGTCATTTCTCCGGACAAGTAAAAAATACCAAGTCTATCAATGAAGATACCAGTAGACATCATCTCCTTAGATCGATCGACGTGTTATATCGGGCGGCATGAAACCAGGACTGCAGAATATAGGCAGTAGTCGGGCAGTTCATCCCTGTACCAAGCATGCCTTTGGGCCGACCAGAAATCCATTTGAACTTGACTTTTGTGTATTGAGCCCAAATACTGTGAAGAATGTGTATACAGCTTCTTGAGGACGCAGGAGTAACAGCGACTACAGGTCATCCTGACTGCATTGAAGGAGAGCGAAGTAAGAAAATTGTAGAGTTTGAGAATGAAGAAAGTCATCTAGGTAGACATACCCAGCTAGGAACAAAGAACCAAGTACGACCATTAATCTTGGGCCGGTTAATGGGATTTGGCAATCCCTTGCTTTGTGAGGTCAGTTATGCCTACCTCTTGGAAGCAAACACTCATTGCCTAATTCAGTTTGATATTCCTGCGTAGCTTTGCAGGAATGCTTTTCTTTGGCTCCTCAACGAGCCTTCTAGCAACGATCTGTAGTCTCGGCGCGCATCAAGATTGTTGAGGGCATTAACACGTCAAAAACAGACTCAAAAGAAGACGTAGCTGATCATTCAAGCGTGGGACGCCATGTTGTCTACATTCAAGGCTATGGAATACAGCTACAGCTTCAAGGTAGAGTGTCTTTGTAAATCGATTTATTGTACTGCAAGTCTGCGCTACTTACGCTCCATTTCCATTGTGCTCATGATACAGATTGTTTGTCCCGTAAAGATTTTCTGGGAAACCGCCGCAAAATCCTGCGCCATCCCGCGATGAAAGACAAGAAAAGAAAAGAAAAAAAGAAGAAAGGAGCGCAGCACGTCATCTGTAGCCGCTGCTAGCTAGATCCTCTTATGTGTACATGATTGGTGGGACCTTGAGACCGGGGGTTCCAATCGAAAAGCAAATCGCCCTATGAGACAAAATGCAGCAAGGAGAGCCTGCCATCTAGATCTCGATATCGATGTCCATATCCAAGGCGGCAATATTCTCATCATCCGTGTTACGGTAGCTGATCATGAAACCGCTCTTGGGCTTCTTGGGTGTGACACCAGTGGCAGCGACCGCACGCGCGGGGCTATCACTGTTAACCTTGGGCGACTCCTTGGGGGTATCAGTGGGTGTGCCGTCAGTCGCGGCATCCTTGGGCTTGTCGGAAAGGTCGTGGTGTGTTTTAGCAACAGTGCGAACGCGCATGAAGGGATCCGGGGCGGCCTCTCCGCGAGCCACGGCAGCGGCACTCTTGCGAGCAGCCTTTCGCTCCTCGAGCTGAGCACGGCGCACGTTCTCGTAGTTCAGCTTTTGGTTCCGGAGGTTGATCTGGTGGACACGTTCGGCTTCGGAGAGCTTCTTCTCAGAGCCTGACTGTGGCTTGATCAGGGATGTGCCCCAGGAAAGCTTGGGGTTCACAATTTCATCCAGCTCCTTTTGGAGCTTCTCAGCTTTCTCCTCGTCACTGCTGGCGCGAGCAAGCTTGATGTCGCGCTCGAGATCAGCACGTCGGAGGATATTCGTATCTTCGTCCAGAACACCTTGTCTGCGCAACTTGCGGCTCATCTCCTCGGGGGTGAACACGTGGTTAATGAGACGGTTGATGTCTGCGACCTTGGAGGCCAGCTTGCTCTGCGTAGCCATCTTGCAATCCTCGACTGCCAAAGTCTTGCGGTAACGGTTGTATTCGGCCTATAACAGTTAGTCTCAGAACCTATTGTCCGGTATCAAAATGACATACCTCGGTGAACGAAGAGTCGGAGCAAGCAATGAATGGGAAGTCTCGCACAGCCTTGCCATGGGCCAGCTTGGCATACTGGTCGGTAATGAACGGACGGCCATTCTTAGCCTCCATCGCGTAAGACTTTCCCGTGTTGAAGCCCTGGATCAAGCAAAGGCGGTACTCGTTCAGGCCAGTCTCGTGGTTAGGGCCGATGTTGACACGAGCATAGCAGCCAGTAATGGCATCCTCGAATCCGGGGTAGAAGCAGACCTGAGCGAAGTTGCTGCGGCCGACGCGAGCACGCTGAATGTCACGGAGCTCGGCAGGGGGATCATCCTTAGGAATTGAAGGTGAGCGGCGATCCTCGAGGTCACTCTCAAGCTCGCCATCTTCGTCAGAGACATCAGAGCCGCGAGAACGGGAGCGACGGCGCGACTGCGTAGGGTCTCGGCGGCGGAGTTCATCGCGCTTCCCCTTCTGCTCACGCTGGCGCTTGTAAGCCTCGATGGCATCAGAGGTTTCTCCAACTTTGCGGCCGCCCAGGGTGGTCTTCTGTCGGGAACTCTTGCGCTGGGTATCATCGAGGCCGGCGGAGCCCGCCTTGCGCTTCGCCTGTTTGGCGGCGGCACGCGCTTCTTCGCGCTCGCGAGAGGCTAGAAGACGGCGCAGAGCCAGATCTTGGTTGTGGCGGTCGACTTGCTGAGCACGTTCTGATAGCAATTCCTCACGTTGGATTTCGGGCATGGCCATAATTTCTTGCTTCTCCTTTGCAGAGTAGTAAAGCTTATCGTACGGAAAGATGGGTCGATCCTCATCGTCGCTGGCCTCGCCAGCTTCAGAGTCGGACTCGGACATGGGTGCAGATTGGAGGGAGTCGTGGGACTCCGCTTCGGACCTGGAGAGTGATGCAACGTTAGTGAGAGCTCTCTCATCGGTGCCTGGTGAAAATGATAGGCAACGTACACTTCACCGTCCTCTTCGTCTCTTGGAGGTTTCTTCCCGCGGCGGGAGGACTTTGCGGTTCCTTTGCGCCCCATTGTTTCAGGTGATTGATCGCGGTCGGATGAGCGTGGGGAAGGAGAAGGCTCTGGGGAATCATCTTTTTGAGGAGGAGGTGAGTGTTCTTCCTCAGAATCACCGGCCAGAGCCAGAAGCTCCGCATCCAAATCGTCCGTCATTGTGACTTCCTGGTGTGCCTTTGTACCAGTTTCACCGACCCAGTAGTATATAATAGGCAGCCTAGAAATGGTTCTTCTCAATCGAACCAATCTCGATGCCTCGGAAGGATGCAGGCGAAATTCCTCCTGACAAGGAGTCGCGAATCCTCAGAACCCCAGAGTCGTAGAGTCAAGGCAACCAGGTGACGCCTTTCTATCAGTTGAGGCAGGACCCGCGACACGAGAAGGCAAACTGTACAAACGGCGACAAGCGAAGGAGGCGAAGGGATGGGCTGAAAAGCGAAGAACTTCGTCGCAAGTTGGCCTTAGCCGTCGGTTCATGACGTTCGGGCGCCAAGACCGCAAGCGCGCGGCTGGCGCCAAGATCATTTTGCCCAGTGGCGTGAGACTCGGGTTTCCGATAGCTACGGGCAATACGGTGCAACTGCAGGCCATGGAGGCTCTACCTACACTACGAAGAAGTGCTCTTGCACAGTTTCGACGCCCAGCCAAATTATCATCTCCGATTTACCTCGATTTCCTCGCTCCGACCACCGTCCAATGCCAGCGCCGACCAGCTTCCACAACCGGGTCTACCGGGACCTCCAAGCCGCGATATGTTCTAAGCAAGAGGCAGCGCGAGTACCTAGACAGCGCACTGCGTGTCAATCAAGCTGGTGAACTCGCCGCGACCCTGATCTACAAAGCGCAAACCCCGCAAGTCGTCCGATCCCACCCACACCTTCGACCCTTGATGAAGCACATGTACGACCAAGAAGCAGGCCACCTGAAGGTCTTCAACAATCTCGTGGCCAAGCATGAGATCCGCCCAACTGCGATGTATCCGATATGGGAGGTTGCGGCCACGTTCTTGGGATGGTCGACTGCGGCCCTAGGTCGCGAGGCGGCAATGGCATGCACCGAGGCTGTGGAAACCGAGATTGGAACACACTACAACGACCAAGTGAGGGAGATCCTATCATGGGAGGCAGAAGCTGAGCGGCGAGGGGAAGAGCTTGATGAAGAGCTCAAGGAGATGGTGACAATCTTCCGGAGGATTCGCGACGAGGAGTTGGAGCATTTGGATCATGCCGTGGCCAACGACTCCAAGGAGGCCAAACCATATGATCCCTTGGTGGATGCTATTCGTCTGGGATGCCGAACGGCGATTAAGATCAGCGAAAAGATCTAGGGAAGGAAGAGTGCCAGTCTGCGAAGTCCCAGAGCGTCTTCGGGTCTCCAAATCTATATAATAGATATGTACCATATCATGTAAACTATTTTCAATATGCATTTGCTTCTATTCCATAGAAAGCTCCCTCATCTAGTTTGCGTTTTGTCCCAAAGCCATCATAATGTTCATCAAATGTCGCGTCTTACCAAGAGCAGGGTATCGTTGTAGAGAGAGCTCCCACCTTTTGGTCTAAGTCTAATATGTCCACGCCCCCAGATTTGAGACAGTCGATCTGTCACACAGTCCATTGACCTACTCCTGGCTCTCAAGGTAGTCGATAAAGCCTTCGGAGAATCTCACGACCTGCTGGTAAACCTCCTCAAACCCATTCGCGCCACCGTAGTAAGGGTCTTCAACGACTTCACCACCGCCAACACGGGCATGCAGCTTCCCGCCTTTGCCAAAGTCACCGAAGAGCCGCACCTCGGCGATCCGGGCATCCACGCCCTGTGCGCCAATGGCCGCCTCTGATGCAGCACGGGTGTTCTTCGCAGCGGACTTGGGGCTGGCCTTGCGGCGTAGCGACGCAATGACCGACTCGCGCACATCCAGCAGATCGCTCAAATTTGACTTGTCCATGGCGAGCAAGTAATCGAAGTTTAGGAAATCATCCTTGGTGACCTTGCGAGCGGCGTGCTTGTAATTGGTGATGCCGTGGCGGCGCAGGGTGGACATGGTCCGACTGTCGGGGCCCTCGCCGCAGTGATAGGCACCCGTTCCGGCGGAGTCGATTTCGGCGATGATAGGATGGGCATCGGCGACATTCCGGAAGACACCCTCGGCCATAGTCGACCGGCCTGAGAAGAGATGCGCGTTAGTCGAGCAGAAAGACCATGGACTGCCTTGGCGGCCGCAGCGGGGTTACGTACAGATATTGCCCAGGCAGACAAATAGGACGCTGACGGGGCGCTGTTTGGTGGAATTGGAGGACATGGCTGGAGGCTGTGCAAGGGCTTGGAGAAAGAGAGTGACTGGTACGGAGCTTGAGTACTTGGGTTTTATCCAGTTAGAGAGCACGCGGGGCTGTTATCGATAGGGCAGGCCCTGCCCTTATCGTTCCCTCTCTTTTAAGAAGATCCGCACCTAGGACCGAGCAATCAGGATTTAGGATGAATCGATATTTCTACAAAAGACGAAGTACTCATTCGCCTATGATAGGAGTATTAGTATCTTGAAAAGGTTTAGGCTGGTTGTTTTAGAGAGTAGTATAGTGTTAGGTTATATCTGCATAATGTCGTGTGGTGGCTCAGGGTTATGGAGATATATCGTGCCGATGTAGCTAATCGGGCAATTATATTGTGTACCCTATCCCGAGCGCAGTTACCTATAGGGATTTGTTGGATAGGAGATCACCGAACTAGATGATCTATAGTTGCGACATTGGCAAACTTGAGTGACGTATGGCTAGTTCGACATTGGAGAAATCCGGGGTAGAATCTATTCATAGCGATGTGAGACAGGTCAAGAACAGGCAGCGACGTTTTTGCTTGACAGCGAAGGTTCCGTCAAACGTAAAGACCAGCACTTTGCATATGCATACTGCAGCCAATCTCGAGTGGCTCTCAACTAAAAAAAGAACATAAGAATCTGCCATTTGCCCTGCTTGTATGGACCGACCCCGCCACAGCCAGGGGCGCAGTTGATGAACCGTGGCGGAAGTGTGGCGTCCGTGTCTCCCGTTGGCCCAGTGATGGCCGAGTGGAGAAATCCTGTGATGAGCTCGGAGGGGGTGAAGGCCCGATACTTTCATCACTTCAGCCGTGGATCGTGTGTTTCAGTTTCGGCATTCAGAAGAGCCCGGTCCTTGCAGCCTGTCTAACGGCTATCGACAGCCCTATCGATTGCTTCTGATTGCTGATTTTCTGATTTTGGTCCCCCCGTCGTTGTTGGCTGCGATTATCCTCGCTATACGAGCTACTTGGGGCCCTGCAACTCGGCGATTATCCACAAGGCAGTGCGGGTCTGCGCATGAAAGCCTATTCGTCTGCCGCCCACTCCACCGTCATCGTTGCGATCGGCCTTGAAAGCGTCGTAAACACCAAACAACAGAGGGGATCTTTTTCGTCTCGGCATTTCGCCTTGTCTTCTTCAACTACTGTACCCCATACTCAGTACTACTCCCTACCTCCTCCAGTCCTATCGTGCAGCGAGGATCCCACCTCGTTCTACAGATCTGCTTGGTCCTCTCATCAATTTCGCTTGGGGCTAATCGTCCATTCTGAAACGCCGCCGAGAGTTCGGGACCGTCGCTCGGGCTAGGGATCCCTTCACCACTCGACACAGGCCATTCCACCTGGGCCTCCTGGCGCAATCTCCAGCTGACGAAGCCTCCCCTGCTAGCAGCCTTAGGGGCGGGATCTTTCCCTGAACTCAAAACCGAGGCTTAGGTGTTAGGCGCCATGGCCTACAACCGCGTTGGTAGGTCTCTCCTTCTTTTCTTTTCAATCTCTCGACTGCTACGTGTTGCGCATTGCTCCAAAGAAAGAACGTGTACTGCGGTGCTGGCCATTGATAGTACACATCGTTTGCCGCGCAGCTTGAACGATCACGGGCTTGCGATTGAGGCTGTGCTATCGAGCGCCGTGGGAATAGAACGAAACTGACATGCCGCATCCAGACCCCTTTGGGGACGAGAACCGCTCGCCCATGATGGACCCTCACCATGTGAACAGCTTCAACAATCGCACACCGTCCCCAGGGCGACCACTAGAGAGTTACCAGCTCCATGACAACCCTTATGGACAACAGGGCCACCTGCCTATGCCGTCGAGCGATCGACTCGCCGAGCAACCTACAGTGAGTTGCGGTGTTTTCATGCGCGCAAAAAGCAGACAATTATACTGACAAATCTGTCCAACTTCTTAGTACTCTGTCGAGAATGTTCACAACTCCTACGGCCACCACGAAGCCTACGAAGGACATGCTGCTGCACAGCCCTACGGCTACCACCAAGATTACACGGTTGACCCCGAAGCCCACCATGACGCATACTATACCCAACCATACGAGCCGGCGCACACGCCCCATGATGATTATGACCTAGGCCAGTACCCGGAGGGTGGCCACACTCCCTTTGACGATAATGCGCCCATGCTACAAGCCGAGAATCCCTTCGGGCCGGACCCGTATGACGGACAGTACCAGGATGAGCCGCGGCCCACCCCCAGCCCGGCTCCTATCAAGCGATGGAAGACGGTCAAAGAAGTTCAGCTGTTCAACGGCAATCTCGTTCTCGATTGCCCAATTGCCCCGAAACTGCTCAGCCAGGTGCCTCACGCAGAGCCCCCTGGTCGTGACGAATTCACCCACATGCGTTATTCCGCTGCGACTTGCGACCCGGCGGACTTTTTCGAGGAGCGATTTACGCTGCGCCAGAAGCTCTTCGCAAAGCCGCGTCACACTGAGCTTTTCATCGTGGTGACCATGTACAACGAGGACGACTTCTTGTTCGCCCGCACAATGTCCGGTGTGTTCAAGAACATCGATTACATGTGCTCGCGCACGAGTAGTAAGACCTGGGGCAAGGATGCATGGAAGAAGATTGTGGTTTGCGTGATCAGTGACGGTCGTGCGAAGATCAACCCCCGTACCCGCGCCGTGCTGGCTGGTCTGGGAGTGTACCAGGACGGAATCGCCAAGCAGCAGGTCAACGGAAAGGACGTGACGGCGCATATTTACGAATACACTACTCAGGTCGGTTTGGAGGTCAAGGGTACTCAGGTCCACCTGAAGCCTCGGTCGGGCCCTCCCGTGCAGATGATTTTCTGTCTGAAGGAGAAGAACCAGAAGAAAATCAACTCGCATCGTTGGTTCTTCCAGGCCTTTGGGCGTGTGCTGGACCCGAACATTTGCGTGCTGCTCGATGCTGGTACCAAGCCTGGCAAAGACTCGATCTACCTCCTGTGGAAGGCGTTCGATTTGGAGCCCATGTGTGGTGGTGCTTGTGGTGAGATCAAGGTCATGTTGTCGCATGGCAAGAAGCTCCTCAACCCGCTGGTCGCTGGACAGAACTTCGAGTACAAGCTTAGCAATATCCTTGATAAGCCTTTGGAATCGGCCTTTGGTTTCATCTCTGTCTTGCCTGGTGCTTTCTCTGCTTACCGTTTCGTTGCCCTCCAGAACGATAAGAACGGCCAAGGTCCGCTCGAGCGGTATTTCCTTGGAGAGAAGATGCATGGTGCCAATGCCGGTATCTTCACTGCCAACATGTACTTGGCCGAGGATCGTATTCTCTGTTTCGAGATTGTGTCCAAGCGCAAGTGCCGCTGGCTCTTGCAGTACGTCAAATCGTCCACCGGCGAGACTGATGTGCCCGACCGCATGGCCGAGTTCATTCTGCAGCGTCGTCGTTGGCTGAACGGTAGTTTCTTCGCTGCCGTCTACGCTATCACCCACTTCTACCAGATCTTCCGCAGTGATCACAGTTTCCTCCGCAAGTTCATGCTGATGATCGAGTTCATCTATCAAACCATTGCGATGATTTTCGCTTGGTTTGGAATTGGTAATTTCTTCCTGGTCTTCCACATTCTTACTACGTACCTGGGCAGTGATGATCTCCTGGGTACTGCTGGTAAGGTTCTCGGTATCGTCTTTGAATGGCTCTATCTCGCCACGCTGGTCACTTGTTTCGTTCTCGCTCTGGGTAATCGCCCAGGTGGTTCAAACAAGTTTTACATGACCATGGTGTACTTCTGGATTTTCATCATGATATACCTGTCCTTCGCGGCAGTGTTCGTCACGGTGAAGTCCATTCAGACTGAGGTGGCTTCGAACAGTTTCTCGGTCAGCGACTTGTTCACCAACAAAACGTTCTTCTCGATCATCGTGTCACTTGGTTCGACCTATGTTATGTGGTTTGTTGCCTCGTTCATCTTCATGGACCCATGGCATATGTTCACCTCTGTATGTTTCCCACCACATTCTTTCTATATGGCTGAACTTTACTAACACCCGCTCCTAGTTCATCCAATACATCCTCCTCACCCCGACTTACATCAACGTTCTCAACATCTACGCCTTCTGCAACACCCACGATATCACATGGGGTACCAAGGGTGACGACAAGGCTGAGAAGCTGCCTTCTGCTACCTTGAAGCCCGGTGGTGGTGTCGACGTCAACATTCCTCAGGACGATGGCGATCTGAATGCTCAATACGAGGCCGAGCTGGCAAAATTCGCCACCAAGCCTCCCAAGGAAGTTCAGAACATCTCGGAAGAGGATCGCCAAGCCGACTATTACAAGGGATTCCGAAGTGCTGTCGTGTTGGCTTGGGTGTTCTGTAATTTCGCGCTCGGCGCGGTCGTACTGAGTGCCGCTGGTCTGGAGACCTTTGACGACACATCATCCACCGACAGTACCAACCAGGATACTACTCAGACCGAGCGGTCGATGATTTACATGGAGGTTGTCCTATGGTCCGTGGCCGGACTTTCAATGTTCAAATTTTTGGGTGCAATGTGGTTTTTGGTGGTTCGGATGGTGAGTCTCACTGGTAACTGTATTACTGGGTGCATGTTTACTAACTGGTTACAGTTCCGCGGCGTTTGATTTTCGGCATTTTTTCAAGTTTGACGATTGCGCTTCGTTCAGCCTTGCTTCCATCTTGTCGTTTACAATATATTCCCCCACCTTGAGTTGATATGGAGCGTTGCGTTGCCTTGATACCACGGCGGGTCCGGTCTGGTACGGAAAATGAAGAATGGGAAATGGAGATGAAATTGGACATGAACTTGGACATGAACTTGGACATGTAATATGTGTGTGATGAAACCCCTTTTACCTACCGGCAGTTCGTTTTTTTGCCTGGTGGTTATGTACTTGGTATGTTGTTTTTGTTTTTGCTTTTTGGCTTGCGTCTGAGACCGAGATATGAAGTACTGGGATGGATCCGGTCTAGTGTATATGTAGATATGAGACCTTTACGGTGGGATTTTCTTATTATCCCATTCTTTCTTGTCTACTATGATGGTGTGTTGAACGGTGTTAATATAGAGGAATGGACTTGTCGAATGAGATGTGCATGAAACCCGTAGAAACTGCCTGCAAATGTCCGAGTCTAGTATGTTGAAGATGCTGTATCTATCAATCAAACTGTCTGGTTCTTCGAGTGGACACACAGAGCAATTCCACCAAGGACCAGGATCAAGCCCAGCCATGTCTCCTTGGCAATGACCTTGCGCTCGACATACCACTCCCCAAGCACCGTGAACAAAAAGGCACTTGAATTGGCCAGCGGCACAGTAAGGGAGAGTTCTAAGCAGCAAAACGGTTAGCATGTAATAACTCGAAAACGAGAGAAACAGCAACGTACCATGCTTCCCAACAAGCAAAAAGAACCAGATACTCCCCGTCAAGTTAATCACCAAGGGAATCGAATACGCCGGCGTCCGAAGAAGATTGACAACAGTCCAAAAGATCGAGACAATCTTCGCCTTTACCCAAGACTGCTGCTGACCCGAAGACTGCATCCACGCCGGCGCAGGAGTAGCATCTACATCCCCTTCCGGCCCCTCCCCAGCTAAACGTCCAGCCTCCTCACGCTGACGACTCCCACTCCTCCTCCTCACCCCCTCGCCATCCTGCTCATACTGAGGAAGCAATTCCTGCTCCTCTTCTTCCCCATTCAGCGCCGACTCGACTGGGGCTTGTGTATGCGACCGCCCGCGGTCGGAGGTGGAAGTCGCGCTGGCAGATTGTTTCTCCTGTCGCGCGTTGAAATCGGCGGCCGCGCGGCGGATAAAGGGGGTGGTGAAGCCCCATGCGACGCCGACGAGGAGGAAGGAGAGGACGTAGTTGAAGACGGAGGGCGCGGGATCGCCGGGGATACTGGCGTCTGGATCCATTGTGGGATGTGATGGGAGCTGGTCAGAGCTGTTTAACCGTGTCTGAGTCCAGTATACCTGTACTGTCGGTTAGTTTCTCGTGGAGGACGTCAGGGATACTCCCGTTGGTCCGAGCGTCCCGATAAGAATCAGCCGGAGATCGATCGGAGAGCGGGGAGATATTGGATGTTTCGACGGGAATAGCCTTTTCGGGAGAATGAGTGCGAGCTGTTTTGAGCTTAGTGAAGGGATAATGATTGAGTTTACGCAATCTAATTGCCATTATTCATCGGACGGAGTGCGAGCCTTATGGTCATGATATTGTGGAAGTGTCCGAGACTCGGCCTTACGCTCGTTGACCGGACACTTTATTATTAATGCCGGTGTGGCTGACCAACCGCGTCATGACTGGTGGCGCACTGGAACTATAAGCTGCTCCGGCTTACATTCGTGCATGAGGCTTTGGGGGCCAAAGCCACTGGGTTCATGACTATATAAAGTCCGGAATACCACGTTAGCAAGGCAGAACGAGAACAAGGACAGCGCTTCAGCAATAACACTTCATTGTAACAAGCATTCCAAACCTCAATAATCTTCTTCACTATGGCCATTCCATCGGACCCCAAGCTGAATGGCTTCGACATCATTCAGACCAACTATAAGCACATTGGCGACCACGGTATTCGAACGGATATCTTGATTCCTCAAACTGAATATGCCGGCTCAAGACCCCTGATTGTCCGCGTTCATGGCGGTGGCCTGGTAAGCCAATTTCTCCTCCAAAACTCCCCTCAATAAAGCATCTATATTAATCAACATTTAGATGATGGGCGACTCCCTATACATGGACTGGTGGCCACACTGGGTATCCGACCTCGCCCTCCAGAAAAACGCCATCATCATCAGCCCCAATTACCGCCTCTTGCCCGAAGCGACCAGCGCCGACATCTACGCCGACCTGGAAGACTTCTGGACGTGGCTGCGCTCTCCAGCTCTCGCCGATCTCCTGTCCAACCACACGACACCCACCAAACTCGATCTCGACCGTATCTTCGTTACTGGTGACTCTGCAGGCGGCCTGCTCAGTCTGTATCTGACTCTTGCGCACGCAGGTGAAATCCGCAGTGCATCAGCTGCGTATCCCTGCCTAGCTCTGAATGCGGATTCTTTCACAAAGACGCGCGAGAAGCCGCCGTTTGACAATCATGTCCCTGTATCTGTTGTCGAGGAGAATTTCAAGGCCGCGGTGCTGGGGACTTCCAAGTCTTCTATTACTTCGCTTGAGAGTTTGATGTTTATGCTCGGTGCTATCGAGAATGGATATCTGGCCAAGTATTATCAACGCGATGCTGAGGGTGTGCCCGCCGAAGTGTTGTATCCCATGGCTCGATTGGAGCAACCCGATTTTAAGATTCCTCGGGGTGGGATTGCGGTGCTTCATGGACGGCAGGATAGTGTTGTGCCGTTGGGTGATGTTGAGAAGTTTGTTGAGCGGGCGAATGAGGTCCTCAAGGCTGGATCGAGTGAGGAGGACGGTGTTACTCTGACTGTACGAGATGGCGAGCATGGCTTTGATGCGCCGGCTCGATTTGAGGAGGAATGGGTTCAGGATGCCATGCGCAAGGCAGTCAGTGTCTGGTTAGAATAAATAGCTCAATGGAAATTAAACAGATATAATAATAAACTTCACACGGTGTCACTGAGCTCTTCCAAACTACTGGCAGAGAGGGCCATGCATTTGAGATACATTATCTCTCTTAACGCCATTTCGGCTGATTGTATCCATTGGCTAGTTCTGTTTTCGACAATTAGAGCAATAACTGTCATAAGAGAGACTCATAATCAAGCAATAGCATGTCGAAACCAAGCTGTTGATAGCTAGCAAACAGTAGACTCCTCACACCTCCTCCCCCACCACCATATGATATCCGTAAAATTCAACCTCCAAAAACATCTTGGTGTACTTCTGAAGTTCTCGCAGGATCAGCTGTCTCAACTTGAGCCAATTGGCATGACTGGAAGGTTGGACTGCCACGACGACCGTGGGGACGGGTAGTCCATACTGACGAGTAAGGTATGGAACCAAACCAGACAACTTACCCGGGAAGTACTCTTCAAGGATTTCAAGGACTTCCAGACGAGCCAGCTCAATCGCCAAATTCACCTTGGGCATTTGAGAATTTGGCTCACTGGAGAGATTGACATTGGTGGAGCTTGAACCGTAGCTAAGTTCGATGTGGACGTCCTTGTGCCCAAGGCTTTGAAGCATGTTCCAGATGGCATCTCTGCAGGTATCAAGCTGAACTGGGAGGTAGTTGTAGCTATCGAGATGGATACGGATGAGCTTTTGAGGGGTGTATTCCGTCGGGTCATGATTCTGTGGGTCGATGCACTGGGACACGAGGCATGCAGTCTTCATGAGTGAGTCGGGGAATCCGTGGGATCTCAGAGTGGAACGTAACTCGGGGACGATGCTAATGAGCTGGTGCGTGAGCGCTGGACAAGTTGTCTCTATTGGACGTGGAGGCCAGTCAATGAGAGTGGTTGACAATAGCGGGTCGGTGGTGACGAGGTATTCGATCAGCGACATTGTTTTATCAAAAGTCTCGAACTCGCGGTACTGGCGACGCCTTTCGTAAAGTCTGAATGACACCAGTGGGGGCAGAAGCCTATGGTTCGTAGTGTCCATCTTGTCGATGGATGTAAAAGTGATATGAGGTTGGCTGGCACTGCAGATGAACTTCGCGTATGAGATAAACAAGGAGAGAGAGGTCTAAGCAGGAGGCAAGTTAAATATGCGAGATCCTAAGCATTACCTGGAAGAGTAAACAAAGCTCCTGTTCTTTAAGGTCTGAAAGGGAAGTTCCTTCTATCTCTGGAATTTTATGTGTACCGAGTGATCTTGCTTATAGCTGAACGTACCTCATTACTAAGATGAGGAGGAGCGTAAAGTAACTACATAATCTAGATACCAAAAGATTCTGGAGGACGAGAAGAATGTCAAAACCAATTAGATCTCCTATATCAAAACAATGTGGTTCCGAAATACGTTACATGCCTCCGTAGCTAGACAATCCATTGACAATTTACTGTGTAGATCACCCATCGCACCTCAACTGGTCCGAGTCGGCTGCATGGGATGGAGGCTGTCTGGGTGTGAAAGCATAAAAAGTGCAAAAAGGCTGTAGGGGTCCGTTGATGATGAATCACTTTGCAAATGGCAGTCAATTATCTCGATAGCCATCAGCCTCTCTCTCTTTTATGATACAACCTACTAGAGACTTATTTGGATAACAAATTTATTTATCTATTACAAATTGAAGCCTTAAGGTCTTCAATGGTGAGGAGCGAAGCCCTATAAAATGATCTCATGGACTTTTCTGCTGATCAGCGCCCTGGGCAACTTATCCTTATAGATAGGCGCAACATATGATTTTTGTGCGATTTCACTCCACTCTCTCATATCCGTTGGCTGTCATGTTTCATTTAAAATTAAATTACGAACCCTGCATGCCAAGTTCGTGTTGATGGGGGCCGGCCATGCTGATCGATGAGCTATCGCACTAGCGACCTCGTATTTCGCCTCTTCCTCTTTTAGCGCACAAAACTTACGAGCCTCAAAGAGTATTTAGGGGGTCCCATCCATCTGTTTACAGATTTTGATCTTTCAAGAGTCTCTCCTTTGAATCTCCTTCCCACTACATTATTACATTCCTTCTTCATTTCAATCACCAATCGTCCAATATGGATCAATACAGCGCTCCTTACAGCTCACCCCGCAAGACCATCTCTAAGTGGTGGTGCATTGGATTCTTTATTTCTGCTGTTATCTTCTTCATCATCGGTGGTGCTCTTGTTGGTGCCTATCTTTCTGCGGGATACAAGACCTGCACATCTGCTCTCTACTATGGCGACTATACCTACGACTACTCCTGCTTCGCGGGCAACATTGGCATGTACAATGGCGGTATAGCCATGCTTGTCCTCGGCGGTCTTTCGAAATTCATTGCCTGGGTTCTGTTGATCGTCTATTGCGTGCAGCGTCGCCGCTGAGATTGCTGTCACTGGGCTCCACATATTATGACCCGCATGGCACTGCAATGTTCTGTCATACTTCACCATCGGGCGACACCGGCAAACAAGACGCCACCAAATCACCTCTGCTGGAAAAGGTCGATATTTTGATATTTGATACCCTGGGAAAGGATAACAGTATTTGAATCATTTCTACGATGTCTTATGTTATTGTTGGAAGAAATCGTGATACGCTGAGCCTCTTCAAATGATTTGGGAGCTTGGTCAAGATCTGGGGCGTTGGAAGCACAGTCATTTATGTTTACGTTTCTTTTTTTTGGTTTGCTTTTCTACAAAATTAATCATGTCATTTAATCACCTTATAAGAATGAAGTAGCAAGTGGAAAGGAGACATTCTATCTATCTGGCCATTTGCAACGTCATGAAACGACACATGGGACCAAGAAGTCAAATACGAACGAATTAGGGGACTTGTGCCATTTCTAGACGCCTCCGATACATGGAAATCCTACGCGGACACGGCCTTGGTTTTGATCATTTATTTCTTACATTATCGATCATCAAAATATGGCCAACTGAGTTGGCGCCAGACAGGAACCCGATTAACCTTTCCGCCACAAAATTTCTGGAACCGACCCAAAGAAAATACGAACTTCGGCTGGTGGCTTATTATGATACAAAAATACACAATCTCGCAGCATTATTCCGTTTCTAGCCAGCCCAGGCTGGTCAATAAGGTATGCAGGGTCCATACATCTCCCATTATAACCTCTGTACTCCGTGCCTGGGGCGGGAGCCTTCGACCCACTCGGGAAGGATGGCTCCTAGTTCAGAATAATGTCCTATTCCCAGATTCAGGGTACTCAAAATGCGACAGGCAAAAAAAACATTAACTTTATGAAATGTCTAATCCTCATTGGGCAAAAACTAACGTTGCACCTATCAATGCAGAGGCAGCGCAGACGAGCATATTGGGTAGGATACCAGAGCTGCTGGCAAAGGTTGCAGCACCCTTTGATGATTTCGGTGACTGGCCACTACCGCCTGATTGAGATGGAGTTGGTATATGGAAGCCAGTAGCAGTGTGCGTGTAAGAAAGATGCCCAGTGAATGTCACAGAGGCGAATAGACCTGGTTCTTCCGGCCGACCGGTCGCCGTCTGCACAACACTGACCGAGCTGGCAACGTGCCAGGTTGGGGTAGCTGATGACCCAGGGCCACCGATTTCCACGATGTTTGTGACATCACTGTTGAAGACTGTTGGGGCAATGGCAATCTCCTCACGGTCAAGGTCATACACCACGTATGCTGAGCGAAGGAAAGTGTCTCCAAATAGAATCAGGGTATCATCCTGAGTCGGAGCAAGTCCAAAATAGCATGCGGTGTTGCCGTTATCAAATGATAAAGGGTTACCAGTCTCATCTGTATACGGGTAGGATAGCTCTGAGAAGGGTACCGAGATGACTGGTCCTCCGGAGCCAACAAAGCCAAAGTCTAGAGTGCCCTTGTATTGCTGCATGGCCTCGCACTCGACAAGTCCCGTGTCCATTCCCTCGAAAGACATCACGTTGGCAAACGAGGCGAGTTCGTTGTACAGGTCTGGAGGGATGTAGGTAAGTGTAGTTCCTGAATCGAGCACGGCTGGTAGCGCAAAGCTGCTGGAGGTGAGGGTTTGTGTGCCCTGGGTGGGATCTGTGATTGATAGAGATGTCCAAGCGACAGTCATTGATGTGATCTGGCCGGACTGCGCGTCTGGTTGGATTGGCATCGCGATCAAATCGCCCTTGAATTTACCCTTGTCATAACCACCAAATAAGATGTTTCCGGTTTCGGCACCTAGAGGCAACAAGTTAGCCATAAATCGGCCTATTGTCTCATATGGGACCCTCCTTTCCTGACTCACCAACGTCATTGAGCCACAGACTGTATGTACGAGAGTTGATAAGGCCTTGTTCGACCATCATACCGACGAGATTCTTGTATGGTTTGCCACCGCTGCCGACTATCGACTCGCCTGAATCAAAGCCAATGCCCATAACACCAGTAGTAGCGTCTTGTACCTCTGTAGCAACCGCGAGAGTCATACCCTTGACAGTGATATCGCCGATCGCAAAGTTATCCGCGACATAGTCTCCAATGACTCCTGAGTTGTCGACATAGGAAATGCTGAATCCACCACGATCAATCACCCGACCGGTCTTCGATTGAGAGCCGTCATCTTCGAAAGTAAAATGTCAGCCTGAGTTCGCCAAGTTCGAAGCGAATGCAAGTAGAAATGACAAGATTAAGGCATTCGGCACTTACAAAAGCCACCAAGGCACCCCGATTCAGACTCGGTGCACGAGCGTGCACCAAACACCCAGATATCACTGCTTCCAGTGTCTATTTGAAGCTGCACTAGTTGGCCTGGCGTTCCAACGGTCGCATTTACCCAGAATAATCCGTCGATGTAGTCGTTCTCCAAGGAGGCGGTTGCATGACTGCGCTTAACGATCGAGCGACGCTGGCTTCTGTGAAGGGGCAATGAGACGACATTCGGCTCTGCGGTTACCGATGCCAGCAGCACGCAACTGGCAATGAGAAACAGTTTGGTGAGGCTGCTTGGACAAGTCACATCCCACCATGCCATATTTTCGGGAATGGTTTCAGCAGTTCTACCTGCTGGGAATGGAAAATTCCAGAAACACAAAATGTGAGGAGCACAAACTCGCCCATATGTAATTAATCTTGGAGATGAGGCTAAAAAGATCGACGAGGCAACAGAATTAAAAATTACTAATTAGGGGTCCTCCAGCTCAGATCGAGATCGACGACAGCCCCGGTCGGAAATACGAGAACTAGAGAAAGTATATGGTCGGGGTATCCAATAGGAGCCAACGCCCACTGGAGGCTTGTGTCTCTTGGTAACTTTCTTAGATAAATCAATCCATTCGTCCTCGTGTTCCTGAAAGTAGGTGAGTAAAAAGGGTCCAACGCTGTGGGTCTCCTCAGACCCTGTCCTACAGCAGGCTCCTACGTAGCATTGTGTAACAGCTGCGGTTAGCATTCGAACCCCATTTGGTGGTAGTACAGCGAGATTCTACTGGTCACTATTTCCCTCAATATGTACCGTGCACACCGCTATCTTTCTAGATTACTTCCCTGTGGAGATCATACTTGAAACTGGCACATTTCTTGCATATGAACCGATCATCTTAATATTCGCGTGATAGATCGGGAGACGACGGGTCATAAAGAACCAAGCAATGCTCAAACTGACAAAACACTAAGGTTATAATACATGGAGCCGACACAATGACAAATATGACCATCGAGGCGTCCGAGTCACAGAAGACAACGCATACAGTGGTGACAAGTTTCCAGCTAGTGGACTATAAGACCCCAAGAACTTCACGGTAGAATCATTATTATCAATAATCGATAGGAAACATATTATACACGAAGACTCTATGTATTGAAATTATAATAGTCATAGCAAATCAGGATGCACCTTTGCTCTTGTACTGTCATATCACAGAATCACCATGCCGGCCATAGGCATCTTACAAGAAGAATCCCAGAACCATAGCGCCCAGGATTCCACCAACGGAGATGCTTCCGGCAGACGAAGCGCCGTTGAAAATAGGAGAAGCCGAAGCCGAAGCAGAGCCGGAACCAGAGTGGCCAGAGCCAGAGCCCGAGCCAGAACCCGAGCCAGAACCAGAGGCCGAAGCCGAAGCACAAGGAGTCGAGCTCTTAACAGGCTTGGTGCTGCTTGGGCGAGCAGAAGATGGCGGGGTGACAGACTTCACGGTCGAGATAGTGGCAATGGAGGAGCTGCTAGCAGTGGTAGTCTGCTGAGTAGGCTCGCTGCTGATAGTGGGAGGCGGGCTAACAGGAGTAACAGTAGGAGTAGCAGTAGGAACAGTGACACTGGGAAGAGTTGGGAAGACGCCGCTGCCAGCCTTCTGGCCAGCGCAGGTGTGGAAGAGAGGGCAGCAGCCGGGAGAGTTGTCCGGGTTGACCCAGCAGTTATCAGTACCACTGCAGCCGATGATTTCGCCGTTTGGAGCAGCAGGGCAGCAGACATCGAGGGGACCGATGCAGGTAGAGCCGCAGAGGGTCAGAGGGGCCTCGCAGGCGGTTTCGCGCTCCTGGAGAGGAGTGACCAGGCCGGCGAGAGCGGCGGGGGCGAGGAAAAGGATGTGTGCAAGCTTGTACATCTTGATAGATTGTTGTAAATGAGTGACTGAGATCAGCGATAGTCTGAACGAGTGGACGGTCTGTGAAAATCTCGAAATTGAAAAGAGTGTATGGCGTTAAGAGACCCAGATCACAGAGGGAGCGTCACCTGCGAGCGATATATAGTCTTTGATAGAACGGCGCTCCGGCGCCGTTCCTGACTCTCAAAGGGTAAATCCCCGAGAAATGCTTAAAGTTAAATTTGTGTCTAATTCTCCTCGTGTTTTCAGCATCGTGAATGGTTCTCGGAGACCTTCAGCGGCTACATCTCGTATTTCGCGGAGTGAACCACAAGTCGACGAAAGCCACCAAATATAAGCGAACGGGGTGAGAAATCCAATAACAACGATGGACTCAAACCAAGCTGTTCTCGAAGTAAAGGCGGTCGTTTCCCATTCGACAAGCCCCGAGTCTATTCAGGCACCAGTCGCTCGATCAGGTCGTAATTTGCGATAGAGTTTTTAGGGTTCAAGAAGACTAAATTCTGACAGTCGAGTCGAATCTACTCAGAGCCTCATACATAGGAGCGGATAAGGTATCCGAGACCCAGAGACTGTCACAGGAATTCATGAGTTTACCGGAGTATGTCACAAGGGAAGTATGTGTTTCCATGGCCAAGCCCGGCGTTACCACAAATGGCTTGGCTTCAGGGTCCATTAACTTTTAGAGGCTGAACGGGGAAAATACCAGACCTAAGCGAAGAAACAACAATTAGAACACCCAATTTGATTGGAAAAACGGGACAGTCTCTGTGCAGGAGTACCATTCGACGGAGAGTGCTTGCCAAACTCCAGTCTTAATCTTTACGATTCTTGGTCATTGCCTCGCAGTGCTCCATTCTTCAGGGCCTCCATCCAACCTCAGAAGAGAGACAGCACCCACTCAGCAAGACAATGCTTGGTCACAAAAATAAGATTTGGCCCAATTTTATCGTCGGCGAGAGTCTTGCTCATTGGCTTCTAATAGGATAAGACAGTTGATTGCTGCCAGTTTCCCACTCGGACTTTTAAAGGACTCGAACAGTTCTTCCTAGGCCTCGGAGATGCACGTTTCAATGAGCGGTAAGCATTCGCATAATCGAACTGGGAATTGCCCTGATGATCTGCCACACGAAGAAGGCCGAGTCGCGAGTTGCCGTGGTCTGGTATTGAAGGGGACGTGGGGCAACATCTGCAGCGCCGAGGACTGTATTGACAAGTGGAGCGGGATAATTTACTCGGAGATACTCAGCCACCAAGTCATGTCCATTGGTGATACCACCTTATACAGGAGTCAGCGAGAGTGAAAGAAGGACTCCGTCCACGTCAGTACATACCGCACATCCAAAGGTTCCCATCGCGTGTAACCCGCAGGGTATCATCCCAGAGTTTGGTATCCGGGAAGGCCTTTCTCAGGTATGGAATCAGGAATCGGGGCGAGGTGCCGGTCTTGCCCTTGGTGATGCCTGCGTGTGCGGCGACCAATGCACCAGTGCAAATAGTCATGATGGTTGTCCCCATTGCATTGTGCCTCCGAATGAACTCGAGATACTCTTCCGCGGGTGGCATGACCCGGGGAGAAGGACCTGGCAAGAAAAGGATGTCCAGATTGCCGGGTGCGACGACCGAGTCTTTCATTGAGCTATTGACTCGGATGGAAAGTTCTGATGTGACCGCGGCCATTGTATCCGGGCCATCGCGCGTGATGTAGTGAATCTCGCATGGGCGACCAAGGTCAGCAAGATGCTTGGGCATTCCAACATCTTCGAGCCATTCGGGACTAGCCATGTAGAGCAAGTCCAAGGCAGCCAGGTCCAGCAGTTGAACGCAATTGACGAGAAGGACGCCGATACGGAGTGGCTCGGATGCCATTGTGTTAGAATTGTTCGGGACTGAAGAATTCGAGGACTCGAGGAGTAATGATAGCTGGACTTTAGGTGAGATTTTTTGGGAGGATCAAGGGAATTGGGAATGAAATGGCAAGACTGGTTGCTTTCCGGAAGGTACGGGCTCAGAGTGGTGGTTATATGGCAGTCACGATGATGAAGGTGACGACATCTCCAACCTAATCTTTTCGTTTTTGCCTTCGATTTGCTGATTCCATCAGAGAAAAAAACCCCCTGGGAATCCATCCATGGACCCTGAGCGAACCATCGAGTAATGCGCGCAATTGAACGCAGTGCAAGCAAGCAACCGTCGCACGATCTGAGCGGTGTGATGATCAACTGGACTGTGTACACGGAGACGTAATGTATGGACTCAATGGATGATTGTGGTACTTGAAAAGTACGCTCAAGTCATACGAATGAGCTGTTCCAATATAGTCAGCTAACATATCTGCATGTTAATCCCGACCGCCATCTTTGCCTTTTCTCTGCATACCACCCACACTCAGCAGATGATACTACCGCACCCAGCTTTGAGCTGTAAAAGGTAACCAGAATTATGATATATTCCATATATACTGGTCACTGACCCCTCGGACAGGAAAATGGCCAGAGGCCGCCCAGCTCGGAAGATTCCCGACCGCATGTGAGGTTGGCAGTGCTCGCTTCATCCTGGGGGTACTTCCCCCAACTTCGGCCTTCGGAGGCCCCCCACAATATTCAAGGAGCGCTCCACATCTCGGTGGCGTCCCGAGTCTTTCGGCCTCCGGGCCGGGGATTCTCTTTGTTGAGTTTGGAGTAATTTGCACTACTCTCTTTCATCACACCGATCTGGATTGACGAAGGAGCTGGGTGGCGCAATCCCGGCACAAGGTAACCGACCTTCTTGTGCGACTCCCGTGCAACTGCCCGTGGCACCGTTGTTGCCTTTCCTTGTTAAGGGGGCATGTCCGAAGAAAGGATTGAGGGCACGAGCCTAGCTATAGGAACCTTCCCCGCATCGGCATCACTTTAAAATCAACTCGGCCTATTCAGCGAATGATCACCTCCCGATCATTCCTTCCCCAGTTTTTGTGTCGTCATGGTTGGTCGGAGCATACCGCTCCGTCACATACTACTTACCCCGAGTTGTTTTGATGGTCATGCCCTCAAGGCCTTGAGGCCATAAGAACATGAAGTTGGGCATGGCAGATCGGAGGAGACAACTCCGTAAGACACTGACTCCAAGCCGTCTCGATAGCGTTGGAGTGACGAAACTACGAGGTTGAACACAGCAAGAACGGAGCACTGTAGTCCTGTCAGCATCGCGGCCGACTCCCATCTCTCTGTCGGTGATCTGCATGGATTTCAGGAATGAGGGATGAGTATATATAGGCGCCAAGTACCCAAGAATTCGCTCATTAGAATATCCGAGCTTCAAGCGATCAACGGAGTGATATCGATATCGATATCGTCGCAAGCATGGTTTCAGACCTGAATGGTGCGCCGAAAGGCGGGTTTAGTTTGGTGATGCAGAATCCATACCTCTGTGGAGTAGCTTCGGTAAGTTCTAGATGTGACTGATATTGGTCCCTTTGTTGACATGGGAGGCAGTTCTCGACCCTCGGTGGTCTGCTATTCGGTTATGACCAGGGCGTCATCAGTGGTGTGATCACTATGGAGTCCTTTGGGGCTCGTTTCCCTCATGTCTTCTCTGATAGCGGCTTCAAGGGATGGTTTGTGTCGACACTTCTACTAGGTGTGTTCTCGTGCCATTCGAATTCTCGTATAGGGGTTGTAGAAGATTGACTCTTTTTCAGCTGCGTGGGCTGGGTCTTTGATCAACGGACCCGTTGCTGATCGCATTGGACGGAAGCTATCGATTAATGTGGCCGTTGTGATTTTTGTGATTGGATCTGCTATTCAGTGTGGTGCAGTCAACATCCCGATGCTATTTACAGGTCAGTGTACTCTACATCTCGAAGCATAGACAGCTCGGCTGATAGAGTGAATCTACAGGACGAGCGATTGCCGGATTGGCCGTGGGAATGCTTACCATGGTCGTTCCCTTGTATATCTCTGAGGTCAGCCTCAAATTGAACACAGGCTCTCCTAGACAATATACTGAACGAGATATAGGTTTCTATTCCAGAAATTCGTGGAGGCTTAGTGGTTGTGCAACAGTGTTAGTTTCCACACTTAGACGCGGAATTGGAATACATGCTGACCTTGCCCAGTATCTGTCACAATCGGTATTCTGGTCAGCTACTGGATTGACTACGGCACCAACTATATCGGTGGATCTCGATGCGCACCAAATATTCCCTATACGGGTGGCACGGCCTCCAAGCCCACCTTCGACCCGTACCACGATGTACCAGCTGGAGGTTGCACTGGCCAGTCTGAAGCATCGTGGCGACTTCCACTAGCCATCCAGATTGTCCCTGCGGTCATATTGGGAATTGGCATGCTGTTCTTCCCGGATTCTCCGCGATGGCTGATGATGAAGGAACGTGACGATGACTCGCTTTCTGCGCTTTCGAGGCTCCGTCGACAAGATCGCGATAGCCCAGTTCTTCAAAATGAGTACCTCGAGATTCGCGCGTCTATTATGCTCGAGAATACCTTTGCCCGAGAGCACTTCCCGAATTTGTCGGGGTGGAAGTTGCATGCTGCTCAGGTATGTACCATGGCATGTGGCTCTATTGACCGAAGCACTGACAATGATGATAGTATATGTCGTTCTTGACAACCTGGGCCCGCTTCAAGCGTCTGGCTATTGGATGCTGTGTCATGTTCTTCCAGCAGTTCATGGGTTGCAACGGTATGCATTTGATCTTTCAGGAAACGGTGCCTCGGCATTCTAACCTTTGATAGCTATGATTTACTATGCCCCGACCATTTTTGGACAGCTCGGCCTCGATGGTAATACCACCTCTCTCCTCGCTACCGGCGTGTACGGCATTGTCAACTGCCTGAGCACCCTCCCGGCGCTGTTCTTCATCGACAAGATCGGCCGTCGCCCATTGCTCATGGCCGGTGCCACTGGTACTTGTATCTCGCTTGTTATCGTGGGTGGTATCCTCGGAGCTTATGGTTCCCACCTGATGGATCACAAGTCCGCTGGCTGGGCCGGAATCGCGTTTATCTACATCTATGATATCAATTTCTCCTACTCTTTTGGTGAGTAGCTCTTTCTTCCCTGAAAGATTCTCCTTCTAACGACTGTCCTTCAAGCCCCCATCGGCTGGGTCCTACCGTCCGAGATCTTCAACCTTTCGATCCGTTCCAAGGCTATTTCCATCACTACATCGGCTACCTGGATGTGCAACTTGTAGGTATTTTCTCCTAAACCTGTCGCTACGAAAATCTAACCCGCCTGTTCTAGCATCATTGGCCTAGTCACCCCAGACATGCTTGAATCGATCACTTACGGGACCTACATCTTCTTCGCAGCATTCTGTCTGCTGGCACTGGCATTTACGTTCTTCTGCATTCCGGAGACCCGTGGAAAGGTACGTAATATCCTGAGCCGATGCACCTAAATTCAGCCACTTTAACTATTTACTGATTAACCTCCTTTTAGACGCTCGAAGATATGGACCTTATTTTTGGAGACACGGCTGCGCACGAAGAGAAGGAGCGCATCAAGCACATTGAGACCGAGTTACGGAGAACGCAGATTGATGAAAATGATGATTTGAAGCCGGTGGACCAGCATAGGGAGAATGTCGATGTTGTTTGAGATCTGGGATGTTTTGTAATGATTCACAAAATTACATTCTTGTATTACACAATGTCTATATGAGACTGAATTCTAGGAGGAGAAGAGAAGATTTTGTCGTTTCCCGAATATTATCGAAAGCATCAAGCTCAAGCGAATTAATTGGTCTCAATGGGAAAAGGCTGGTATGATTGAAGAGCATCCATAGGTCATCAGCATGGTATTTCATCGAGACTTATCTATAGTACTTAGTCGATTAGGCATGTGAAATTAATTTGAACGCCCTTCAAAGAAAGAATTGCAAGTTAATTGAGAAAGAAAGAGGAGATGCGGCTCTTGGCAAAGAAGTGGCCGGATCGTCGGCCTGTGGAGCGCCGGGGCTTATCAGCCCCCCGATAACTCCACCTCATCAACTGCCATCACTTTCATTTCCTCAGTCCATCATCCACCACCGCCATGTCGTCGCAAAAGTCCCGACCGGTATATGTCTCGAACGGACAGGCTCTTTCGAGGTGCGTATCTTGATTATAAGTTAACACGTCCATTTTGAAAGCCCCCGCTGACCCGCTGCGACCCGCACAGCCCCCCGTTGACCGTTCGCCTCAACCGCTTCACCGAGAGCGTCTACCTCTTCTTCGGCCTGTATTTCGTGAGCCTGTTCGCGGTATGAACCTTATATGAGGGCGGTTGTTGCGTTATCGCATATGGCATCTCTCTCCCTTAAATCTTGATTTTTCCGACATGCTGACACCCAGCCCGCTCACAGTTCGACTCCTATGCCTCCGCCCAGGGTTCGCAGTTCAACATCCATAACCGAAATACCGCGTCCAGATCTTCTACTGAATGGGGCGCGCGTACCAGCTCCTCCAGTTCTAATATCAACCGTGGAGGCGCCGGGGGTGGTGGCCCGCGCATTGGCCGGGTGGACGATGTCCGAGGGCCAGAGTGCAAGAGCTGCCGCTAAATGGCGCTGAACATATGGCGAAATGATTATCGAATATTGGGGGGGCCAAGGAGGACTTGGCTGGGCAAAAACGCCGTGAGGGTCCTGATTCACGCGTTGGCTGGATGAGTTGTTGGCCCGCACGATTGAATATATGGGCAAATACAACGACTCCAATTTGGATCATCTTCTTTGAGAATAACTTACCTGTATCTCAGGCCTCTTTCCTTTGTTGGACCAGATGTCGAATTTACGTTTAGGCCTAGAGAATATCTAACCTACACAGATACCCTCGATATCAGCTTTCCGTACTTTGTTTATTTGTTGATTACTGTAAACTCTAACACCAGGCCCAATTGCCACTCCCCTTGCAGCCACCATACCGAGTTCTCTGCGCCACATCCCCTGACAATCTTATCAGCAACGCATCGATGAATTCACAACTCGTCATGATGGAGGCTCTTAACGTCTCACGTGACATGGACCCCCTCACGGTTTGTCAACGCGGAGTTGCCGATGTCACCTCACCATCCTGGCTGTGTGGAAGACCTAGGAGCAAGAACCTCCGTGGAGAAGCCCAGCATGTCGTCCATCCCATCTACCGACGCTGAATGGGCCGTGGCGATCGCATTGTTGAAGGACCGCGGGCCGGCAAGGCCGCTGTCGCCGCCTGCATGCCCTCTGGGAATCCCGGCCATGATCGACCACACCCTATTGAAAGAGCCCATCAAGCCAGAACAAATCGATACGCTTTGCCAGGAAGCTCGCGACAACGGCTTTGCGACTGTCTGCGTTCGACTGGGGTTCGTGGCCCAAGCTGCCGCCAACCTCAAGGACAAACCGAATGTGGGGGTAGCCTGTGTGGTGGGGTTCCCCGAGGGCACCCACGATACGTCAGATAAAGTGAAAGAAGCACGCGAAGCAGTCGAACAAGGCGCGAACGAGCTGGACATGGTCATCAATTACCCGAAGTTGAAGAATGCCGAATACACGGCCGTCTATGACGACATCCTAGCGGTGCGCAAAGCCGCGCCCGCGCCCATTCTCCTGAAAGCGATTATCGAAGCATCCGAGCTCGACAGGGACGAAATCATTGCTGCTACTATTATAAGTTGCATGGCTGGTGTCGACTTTGTGAAGACTAGTACTGGGTATAAGGGTCCTGCGACTATCGAACATATCACGACGATGCGAATCGCCACTCAGGCGGCTGGTTACTCCAGTGTTGGGATCAAGGCTAGCGGTGGAATTCGTAATGCGACGGATAGCCTGAAGATGGTGAAAGCTGGCGCAACGAGGATTGGAGCCAGTGCGGGAGTCCAAATAGTGCACGAGCTTGAGGATGGAGAGCTTCTCGAGCAAGGCGCTAGTCATGCTGTTTACTGAGCTTTCTTCCGTAATAGCTTTGTGGGAAGGGGTGCGCTTGTCTGAGAGTTTGTCAACGGTGCGACCAAGTGGCGACGGGCTAAAACTGGCAGGGTTAGATAATGGCATGGATCAAGGACGTCGCTTGAAGACCATGTCTGGCCTAGCGGTGACTTCATACAGGATGTTGCCCCCTTATGTCTACACAATAGCGACCTGCAATAACATCAAGCATCGATCATAATGAAAATGCGATAAGTTTGTCAATATCTGAATTAAAGGGACACGGATGTCCTATTACATGTTCCATCTGAAGGTTAGGCCAATCACCTTGGAAAATATCTGTATACCAAACATTCAACTCCTAACCTCGAGATGGCTATTCGATATCGTCACCCAGTGACCCTAGTCAATCTCTGCCTTTTTGCCATGTTCCAACTCACACTCCCGCCACCGCCATAATGCTGCCAACACAGCACCCGGTCCAACAAGAATGCAAGCAATGAAGCTGCCGAATAACATCACAAGTGGAGATTTCGTTGTCAGGTTCACTCGTCCCATATCCCAGATCATGAAACAGCACCATGCAACGACGGAGATTGCCAGCGAGACGAGCTGCACCAGCTCCACAGATGGTACTGTCATAGCTTTGAAGGCAGTCGAATCAGAATATGATATTAGTCTGCCAACGAGCACCAAATGAGCGGTGCTTGAGAGAACCAGAATGATGCCAAAGAATCGAGAGAGGTATTTCATGTCTCTTGTCGAGTATAACAATTGGCCGACAGTCAACTTCGTGGCGCCGGTTTGGTAGAACAGCTTGCCAATGTGAAGTATTATGGGCAGAGCGATATAAACCATAGAGGGTGACCATCCAGAATTTGGCAGGCCTCCTCGACCACTCCAGCTAGATGGAACCAGAATCTTGAAAATACAGGGCGTGTAGGTTAATAGAGCCACCGGCAGTGCTCTTGCTGCCCAGGGATTGATACCACGAGGGGAAGGGTGATAGAATGATCGACGTCCGGTGAGGTAGATGTGGAGGGCGAAGTAAATCGGTAAGATAATCTGCCACCCAAATGCAGTCGAAGCGATGATGAATGGGATCGCGCTGCGTTTGTTAGTCAATTGCCCAAGGACAGACTCAAGAGTGCTTACCTGAACAGAGGTGAAATCAGAAAACTTGAGCGATACGACTCAACAGTCCATAGTCCAGTGATCGAAATTGCAGTGACAAAAAGGTAATTGTGCAATGGTACAGGGACAGTGGAATCTGGGCTCGGTGCGAGACCCAAGTATCGAGATAGAAGCGGGCCGAATAATGCGGTCAATAGCATCAATCCCACCCAGAGGGCAGTAGCAATAGCTGGTCGGTCGTGAGGATTCGCCTTGACTTGTTCATCCAACGGTACCACCCCGCGTCTATACGTCTTTGGCAAGTATTTCAAAGTACGAGCCGAATTTGAATGAGCTGTTAAGATAGGACCGAGTTGTTCTCCGCCAAGCTGGCCGAAGACTTTGAGCTGTAGAAACTCCAGGATAGGGCTCTCGAGTATCTCCATCTGCTGTACCTTCTTCGTTGTCTCCATAAGGCTGGTAGCCCTAGGACATCTCTCCTCTTGAAATTCTTGGAAGATCCGCTGAAGTGTGTCGTTGTCTGGATGCGGGTTCTTGTCGAGGGTGCTCTTTAAGAGATCGGCCAAAAGACCAGCTGATTCGATCGCTGAGTTTCCTCCTTGGCCCAGAAGTGGGTTCATCTGTTAAACTGTCAGCTATGTTTAATAAACCAAATTATGGCGTCTCACCTTGTGGAAGGAGTCTCCAATCAAGATAGCTCGCTTAAAGAAGCATGTTTTCAACACAAACTCCTCAAGTGGCACAAGAACGCAGCTCATTCGATTCTTGTAGAGATCTTTGAAGGTGACATCAAGGAAAAGGGGATCGTCCGCAATTTCAGCTGCCAGATTTTCCGCATCCTGGGCCTTGTATCGAGGGATAGTGGTATGGATGGTGACTTCAGGGTTTTTGACAAAAACAAACCAATAGAACTTGCCATCCTGGCCGCCAGAACACAGATAAGACCGACCCTTGTGGTAGCATTTGAAAGATTTGTTGTCCGGAATTCCTTCGACGCGCTTTGATATGCCGAACATGCATTTGTACTGGCATCGGATGGCTGCCTCGTTGTTAGTGATGAAGAGTAGGTGTATGCGATACTCGGAAAATTCCCACGATGATGCTTACATTGACTCATTTCCGAGACCGGGTAATCTGATGTCTCAGACCGGGCAATTCTCCAGAGCTCGCCCCTTATGCGACTATGCACTCCATCGGCCCCGACCAGGACATCTCCACGAATAATGGAACCATCCGTAAGGGCGACTTGCACACTATCTTCTAGCTCTTCGATTTTGACGCATTCACTGTTCGTATGTATCTTGGACTTGTCTTGAATCCCGTCGAATAGAACTTGAAGTAACTGCTGCCGATCCATAAATCGCATCCGATAGCCGAGCCTGCTCAAAATTTGTCAGTTTCGCCTCCTAGTACCAGTCGTTTAGAGTTGAAAACTGACAGTTCCTCCAGCAAATCACCAAACGGCTCAGACAAGCCCAGTGCGACCCCATCAGGACCCAGGTTCTCAGTTTCATGCACCGGCATTGATACATCCTCTACTCGAGAGAAAATACCAAGCTGATCCAAGATTCTGGCTCCGTGAGGAAGTGTTGCAATGCTCGCGCCGAGCTGGGGTGCGATGGTGGCATGTTTCTCAAGGACGATATAGTCGATCTTGTACCGCTCGAGAATATTTGCAAGAGTCAAACCAGCGACACTTCCCCCAATAATCACGACCTTGAACGTGGACATGGTTTGAGAAAGTGTTGGTGTGGTGGAGTTGATTTTCCGCAGCCTCGTCTAAAGGGGGGGGAGCCTTTCTTTTAATGTAGCACGACTAGTGCTCAATTTGGGAAGCTCCGCTGCCATCTCGGTAAGGTAGAGCTATACGCTGACGACAGCTCCTGCATAATTTGTTTGACATCACTGCTCTGACTGTGAGACGAAGAGTTTACCAACTAAGCCTATGAGGAGGTTGATAGTCCCTAAGTTAGTTATGGGCGACCTTTGGGTTCCGCTTAGTAAGCGCAGCTGGTGGGTCCCGTCCCGGGTACCTCAGGTGTCCAGGACTCCAGGACCCCAGGACTCCAGGCACATTTTCCATCTCCGAGGTTTAGCCCACACGAAGAAGGTGTGGCCCATGCACCAAAATTAAACCGTGCCTGGCGGATCAGAGCATTGCCATATCGGTGGCCGGGATCGGAACCCCGACTTGCAACGCCTCCTCTAGTCGGGGCCGGACCGTTTGGATGCCGATCTCATTATCCTTGGCGCTGGCGCTGGTAGTGGAGGGGGACGAATTTTCGGCGGAATCTTTCTGAGCCGGGCTTGGGGAATAATAACCTTGAGCTCCGCCCAGAGTTGATTGAATGGTTACATTGTTGATTCCAGGATCCAAATTTTGTGCATATATGACTCGACAGTGATCTAATCTTTACCAAGGTTGGGCTACCAAGATCTAGCAAGGGCACACAAAGTCTTTCATGACTTAGACATGATGATTTTTATGCTCATCTTGATCTACCATGCATACTTTGCGCTTCATGCATAATTGTTAATGTGGGTCGATTCTACTAAAGTCTGTTAGGCCTTGGCTATTCGGTAATCTCGTGGGTCGGGAGTGACTTTTATTAGAAGATGCTCACAATATGATGCGTTTTTCCTTGTATAAAAAAACAATGGCGTATTTAAACCCTAAGGCCCATATTAACCCCTCTCTCTCGAAGGGCACAGTACTGGTGCAGCCACAGCCACAGCGTCACCACTCAGTAGCAAATTAGGGAGCTATTTCGAAGAATTAATTGCAACTTATGAATTATTCTTGGGGGTTGATGATTGCCATGGTATATACCTTGGGAAGACAAGACATCCTTGAGTCCAATTTCTCCTAAAAGACAATTTCTTATCTCCTAATGTACAAGTCCCTGTCGGATAAATACCGCTGAGTCAGCGGAACCTTGTTGGAACCCTCGATCCGGAAATCTGAGATGATCGACGCATTCCAGCGCCACGATTAGTCGGCTGAGGAGGATCCGAAGCCAATAGAGTGCCACCATTTAGGAGACCCGGAAAGTTCTAATGATTTTCAACGAGGCTACGGCTGGTCTAGTCGCCGGCTCAGATCTCTTTCCGGCCCCCGAGATCTCCACCGTTTCAATAAACATGGCCGAAAACACTGGAACCCTGCCCGAGTTGACGTAGTCCTGCAGATAGTCGCAGCTCCATCCGGGGGGCACGTTGTGTTCATTGATTTTAGAGTTTTTTTTGTTCGTAGGGCCGATGGTACCTTACTATTTATTACTGGCCATATCCCCCTACTTGACTCTGGAATACCACCCGAATTGTAATCGTCTAATTCCAGACTCCTTTCTCGGTACCTGGCCCGAAGTCCAGCGACCAGCTTTCCATTATGTCTTCGGACACAGCTAGCGAAGACAAGTCTTTGCACGAAGATGATCAGCATGAAGATGATCAGCCAATCTACGAACCCATCAATCACATTGAACAGAGTGAGGTCGAAACCCTTACTCGTATTGCGACCCAACAATCTCGTCGACAATCTACCATTGCTCATCGCCTCGCCTCAGTCGCCAAGTATGACGAGTCCTTGAACCCCCAATCCGCCACATTCGATCTGGGAAAATGGCTGAGGGCTGCTATGAACGATGTCGCTCGCGACGGTCCTCGAGGTCAGACCATGGGCATTGTCTTCAAGAACTTGAATATCTACGGATCCGGAGCTGCTCTACAATTTCAGGAGACTGTCTCGGGCCTCCTGACTGGACCCCTTCGGCTGCCTCAGATGATCCGAGAGTCTCACTCCCCTCGCAGGCGTATCCTCAAGGACTTCAACGGGCTTCTGAAGAAGTCTGAGCTGCTCTTGGTTTTAGGACGACCCGGTGCTGGCTGCAGTACTTTCCTCAAGTCCCTCTGTGGAGAGCTCCATGGCTTGGATCTTGATAAAGAAAGCGTCATTCATTACAATGGTGAGACCCCCGAAGCAAAGGCCCCTCTCAAGTCCCTTTCCACTAATGTGAATGCCAGGTATCACCCAGGAGCGGATGACAAAGGAATTCAAGGGCGAATTGGTATACAACCAAGAGGTATGGTATTGATCACCATTCTACTCATCTCATGACGTTGCTAACTGTTTACTATCTAGGTCGACCGACACTTCCCTCATCTCACGGTCGGTCAAACCTTGGAATTTGCCGCAGCTACTCGTACTCCTTCCCATCGATTCGAGGGCATGTCTCGCTCGGAATTCGCCAAGTACATGGCTCAAGTCGTTATGGCTGTCTTCGGATTGAGCCACACCTATAACACTCGAGTGGGTGATGATTTTATCCGTGGAGTCTCTGGTGGTGAGAGGAAGCGAGTCAGTATCGCTGAGATGGCACTTGCGGCTTCACCCTTGGCTGCCTGGGACAATTCCACCCGAGGACTGGATTCTGCTACCGCGTTGAAATTCGTGGAGAGCCTCCGTTTGCTGTCTGATCTTACCGGCTCTGCTCATGCCGTCGCAGCTTACCAAGCCAGTCAAAGCATCTATGATGTCTTTGATAAGGTTGTAGTCCTCTACGAAGGACGGCAAGTCTTCTATGGCCCTGCTTCCAGAGCCAAAGCCTATTTCGAGGAGCAAGGCTGGGATTGCCCTCCACGACAAACCACTGGAGATTTCCTGACGTCCATTACCAACCCCCAGGAACGTCGAGCCAAGGCCGGCTTCGAGGGTCGTGTTCCACGCACACCCGAAGATTTCGAGAATGCATGGCTTCAATCCGCCGATTATCAACAGCTACAGCGCGAGATCGCAGCATATGAAGAGCAGTACCCGATCGGCAACGACCAACGAGCCGCTATTGAGTTCCAAGAGAAGAAGCGTGACAAGCAGGCAAATCATACTCGTCCAAAGTCCCCATACATCCTAAGTGTCCCAATGCAGATCAAGCTTAATACGGTCCGTGCCTATCAGCGTCTATGGAATGATGCCGCGTCGACAGTCTCGACTATTGTCAGCAACATCATCATGGCTCTGATTATTGGCTCCGTATTCTACGATTCACCCAACACCACTTCCGGCTTCTCGTCCAAAGGTGCCACCCTCTTCTTCGCGGTCTTGCTTAATGCCCTCACGGCAATGAGTGAAATCAACAGTCTCTATGCTCAACGTCCGATTATCGAAAAACACAATTCCTACGCATTCTACCACCCAGCGACCGAGGCCATAGCAGGCGTGGTTGCCGATATACCGGTCAAATTTTCTTTGGCGGTCGTGTTCAACATTATCCTTTACTTCATGGCTGGTCTACGACGTGAGCCAGGGAACTTCTTCCTCTACTTCTTGGTCACATTCCTCATCACATTCGTGATGAGTGCTGTGTTCCGCACATTGGCCGCCGTGACGAAGACTGTGTCTCAGGCAATGGGTCTAGCTGGTGTTATGATCCTCGCGCTTGTTGTGTATACTGGTAATTATGACTCTTTCACCCTGACACGTCATGTATAGAATGAAATCGTGCTAATATCTTGTCAGGCTTCGTGTTACCCGTTCCGTCCATGCATCCCTGGTTCGAGTGGATCCACTACCTGAACCCGATCTACTACGCCTTCGAAATCCTGATCGCTAACGAGTTCCACGGAAGAGACTTTGCTTGCTCGCAATTTGTGCCTAGCTACGCCGATCTGTCAGGCAATTCATTCGCCTGCTCTGCCTCTGGCTCTATCGCGGGTGAAACCACCGTCAATGGCGATCGATACATCTTGCTCAATTACAAGTACAGCTATAGCCATGTGTGGCGAAATCTTGGCATTCTCTTCGCATTCCTCGTCGGCTTCATGATCATCTATTTCGTTGCGTGCGAGCTGAACTCTTCGACCACCAGCACCGCAGAGGCTTTGGTATTCCGCCGCGGTCATGAGCCTGCACACATGCGCCGTGGTAATGGCAAGTCCGAATCAGATGTTGAGAGCGCCGAAACGGTGGCCGTGAGACAATCTTCTGCCGAAGAGGAGAATGGAAAGGGAATGGCTGCCATTCAGCCTCAGACTGATATCTTCACCTGGCGCGATGTGTGCTACGATATTAAAATCAAGGGTGAACCCCGTCGTCTTTTGGATCATGTTTCTGGATGGGTCAAGCCTGGTACCCTCACGGCCCTGATGGGTGTTAGTGGAGCCGGAAAGACTACCCTTCTCGACGTGCTGGCACACAGAACTTCCGTCGGTGTGGTAACCGGTGATATGTTTGTCAATGGCAAGAGTCTCGATGCTAGTTTCCAGCGAAAGACAGGCTATGTGCAGCAGCAGGATTTGCATCTCGAGACCGCTACCGTACGTGAGTCTCTGCGTTTCAGCGCACTTTTGCGCCAGCCTGCAAGTGTTTCGATCCAGGAGAAATACGACTATGTCGAGGATGTGATTGGCATGCTCAATATGGAATCTTTCGCTGAGGCTATCGTCGGTGTTCCCGGTGAAGGTCTGAATGTCGAGCAAAGAAAGTTGCTCACCATCGGTGTTGAGCTGGCGGCGAAGCCCAAGCTTCTTTTGTTCCTAGATGAACCTACCAGGTAAGATATACCAACTAATTAGTGCTAAAGTTACATCGCTAACAGGTTTATGTAGTGGTCTTGATTCTCAGAGTTCCTGGGCTATCTGCTCGTTCCTCCGCAAGCTCGCCGAGCACGGTCAGGCTGTACTCTGTACCGTCCACCAGCCAAGTGCCATCCTTTTCCAGCAATTCGATCAGCTCCTTTTCCTAGCTCGAGGCGGCAAGACTGTCTACTTCGGACCGATCGGAGAACAGTCACGAACTCTCCTCGACTACTTCGAATCTCATGGCGCTCGCAAGTGTGGTGACAGTGAGAACCCTGCCGAATTCATGTTGGATGTTGTGAACGCCCGCACCAACCCCCAGGGAGAAGATTGGTTCGATGTGTGGAAGCAGAGCCAGGAAAGCCAAATGGTCCAGGCCGAGATTGACCGCATCCACAAGGAGAAGGAAGGCCAGAGCTCTGATTCTGAAGATCTATCTGCCGCCACCTCCGAATTTGCTATGCCTTTCTGGTTCCAGCTCTATCAGGTCACCTATCGCGTGTTCCAGCAGTACTGGCGTATGCCCTCGTACATTATCTCCAAATGGGGCCTCGGTATCGCCGCGGGTCTTTTCATCGGGTTCTCCTTCTACCAAGCGAAGACGTCACTACAGGGAATGCAGACCATCATCTACTCAGTCTTCATGCTCTGCACGATTTTCACTTCCCTTGTTCAACAGGTTTGTCTTCTTTCCTCTTCTCATTACTATAACTCAAACTAACACTCCTATAGTTGATGCCTCTCTTCGTCACACAACGCTCTCTATACGAAGTTCGCGAGCGGCCTTCAAAGGCTTACAGCTGGAAGGCCTTCTTGATCGCCAACGTCATCGTCGAGATCCCCTACATGATCGTGACCGGTATTCTCATCTACGCCTGTTACTTCTACGCAGTTGTCGGTATTCCTAGCTCCGTCAGCCAGGTGACCGTTCTTCTGCTTTGCATCCAATTCTTCATCTACGCCGGTACATTCGCTCAGATGGTTATCGCCGCTCTTCCCGACGCCGAAACCGCCAGCGCAGTTGTTGTCCTTCTTTTCGCCATGTCTCTCACTTTCTGCGGTGTGATGCAACCCCCATCCGCCCTGCCCGGATTCTGGATCTTCATGTACCGCGTCTCCCCCTTCACGTACTGGACCGGTGCGATGGTCTCGACCCAAGTCCACAATCGTGAAGTCGTCTGCTCTTCAGCCGAGCTTTCCGTTTTCGATCCCCCCTCGGGCCAAACCTGTGGACAGTATCTTGGTGAATACGTCAAGCTTGCAGGTGGTCAGTTGCTTGACTGGAATGCCACTTCGGATTGCAGCTATTGCGCTGTCCAGAAGGCGGACCAGTACATTGCGCTGTCTCAAATCTACTATTCTGAAAGATGGCGCAACTTTGGTATTGTCTGGGCCTTTATCGTTTTCAACATCTTCATTGCCACTTTGACTTATTACCTGTTCCGAGTGAAGCGCTGGGATCTCGAGAGCATCAAGCAGAAGCTTCTTCCCTCGAGATTTACCAAGTCGAAGGAGTAAAGCTTCTTGGAACTACCCACTTCTGTCTTTCTTTATTCTTTTCTTATCGCTTATTCTATTCATCATCTGCTCATAGCACATCTATCACTTTGCACACTACATTCTTTTTCTAATATGTTACATTATTCAACCATTGTTAGATTTCAATACTTGCCATTAGAATTGATATTGCCCATCATCAAGTGCCCTCGGCCATAGGTCAAGCGTAAATGCATGAAGTAACCACGGAGCTACCTAAGCAAGGGCTGATACATAATGTCGGGAAAAGCATGCATATACTCTGACAAGTTTGCTTGTGGACTCAAGGCCATCAAAGGAGCCTTGTGGAAAGCGAAACGCTAGATCCCTGACAAGCCAAATTTGCTAGCAAATAAAACATTTCGAAAATAAAAAGGCCAATATTCTGCGGTTTGCCAAGGAAATATCTCTTCTTCTACATATTTCCATATTTCCATAGTCATTGACGTCGATAGTCTACCATTCTTTTAAGCCCCTGTCAATTCTTGTCTTGCTGCGTCGTTCCTGGCTCCGTGGCCTTCAAGGATAGCTTTTTTGGTGAGTCGCCGGTATACCATAACCAAGTTCTTTCCTATGTGTCTTCGATAGTATATCCTTTGTCTACATCTAATATTGTGTGGTAAAGAAACTCTAACATCATTTCTATTGATAGATACCGAGATGAAGCACCCAGCTTCATGTGATTGTTCGAGATGTCTGCCCTTAACAGATTTCCTCCAGATGCCAGATGCCTCGAATCAGCTTAGCGGTCTTACTGGAGACGAACTACAAGATAAAATCCATACTCTTCGGGAGCAACAAGAAGAAATCGCGCTAGAGTCCATGAATACTCGCGACAATCCATGTCTGCCGGATGCAAAGGGTGATTACTCCCCTGCCATATCCTCGCTTGACGAGGTGCAGACTCTTCTCCTCGACGTTCTTCGTCGATTTGAGCAACGCCATGAATTCTTCAGTCCTCTGGAAGTGCAGATAGCCTGTGTTGAAATGAATCATATCATTCAAAAAGGACTTACTCCACAGCCACGTCTGCAAATCTTTCTCCTGGGTGCTTTTGCGAATTTCATCGATTCGAATCACCATCGTGGTGAAATCCTGCGTCTTGTCAGGGGAGGCTTCGATCAAGAGGAAGATACCATATCACAGCTTATGCAACATGTGCAGCAAGCGCATGAGCGATGGTTTTTCCGCATTGGACAAGGTCCTGGCAAATACCTGATGCAGTTCGCATCGAATGGAACCGCCCGACTTGTTGATTTACTTCAAACTGGCGATCCAGCGTTGACCGGTCATCAAACAGCCCTTTCGGGCTTTCCCGCAGGACTGCAAGAATGGGACCCCCTTCCGGATTGTGCGATTCGGCAGATTATGCAGAGAAACTTAGCAGAGGAGAAGAGGAAGTGCCCAGTGGTTTTCAGCACGTGTAAACCTTACAACGTCAAAGTCCCATATTGGCCTGTCGCACTTGCAACCGACGAATTGGGCTACCGGTATCTCTCCGAGGAGACTTTGGACTCTGTTCTACCAGTTTGGAGAGCTCTGCTTGCTTCTTCTCCAGAAGTCATGTGCAAGTACCGCAGGACTTGGCAGTATGTTGCCACCAAGTGGGCGGCCTGGATTCATGCCGAAAAAGAGAAACTAAAAAGTCTCAACATGGAATGGCCTGCGTCTTGGCGTGATCACGGTCAAAATATGGGCAAGACAACAGATAAGAGCCAAGTAATGGTGGAAGTAAGGCTCAGAAGGCGAGACTATCGCGGGCCTCGGAAGACATCCCGGCCTGTACCTTCCCACCCCCTCAGACGGTCACAAGGCGCAGCCAGAACTCAGCTGAGTGGACCAAGGAATCGACGGTGGATTCGCTATGACGAGCATCGCGCAAGTGGATCAGAGAGCCCGAGATCGAGTTCTGCTCCTCCTAGCTCGCCTACCACATCCAGCCATGCTCTCGAAGTCATGGAGGGGTCAGAGGATGCACGCTCTGGAAACGAGAATGATGGTTCCGAGTCCAGTCTTGACAAGTCTGCAAACAACGGTGATACTGACATCACGAAACTCTGCCAAGTCATTGAGTCTATTTCAAACCAACTTCAAGGAGTGGAGGTTGGTATGAAAGCCCTCCAAAGCCAGCAAGCCAAACTGGAAACAGACATGCAGGAATGGCTTGGTACCAGCAATGGCAGTACTACCTCTGATGAAGATGACCATGTGGAGCAGGGTGAGAGTGATGATAATGAGGGTGAATCACCATGGCAGCCAACTCTCTTCAACTTGAATCAAAATCATGAAGATTGAGGTGCTTCTGTTGGGAGTTGTTCGGGGTCTTTGACTTGACCCACGGGGTCTTTCTGAAGGGAGTTTTTCTTTATATCTAGACCGTTCTCTTTTTCTTTTCCATAGGATGATATTAGAATGTCTACAGCAATGTCGGAAAGAGAGGGGAAACTGCTTGAGCTACTATACGAATATGGAATTCTTAGCTAACCCAGCTAATTTGAAAAAAATGGAAGCTGTGTTTTGTTCATCAGTGCAAGACCTTAGGAAGCAAGGTAGATGATTGTGATTGTCTTTATTAGGAGCATAGATATGCCGTCAGCTACCGAGGGAATAGTATAAGCTACATTCATGCTTGTTCGAATATACTCCGAAACTGCCCATCCACGATGAAAATCACCCTTAACGGCTCCCAAGCCGATGCTGTAACTTGAGAACCCCCCCCCCCAAAGAAAAACGAAGATCCTTCTAGAGGGGCAGGGGAAACATTCTCCGTCAGGGTCACAACCCACACTGATAAACTTTCTCATGCATATCATGACTCCAGCCCCTGATAGTTACCCAAATACCCGGGCAATAGACAAGCGACTCATCAACAGAAAGCGAATTCGCCCTCAAAAAAGCCTATACTATACGATAAATACCTCTCGATATCCATATCCCCACTTACCAGTTCCCGCCCTACGCCTCCCGAGTCCTAAATCCCCCTAAGCCCTACATCGACGTCATCCCGAGACCCCTCTTCAGCGAAAACGCCCACCGACGAAAACCACCTACATACATTTCCAACGAAGATCATTTCACTCCCGCTATATACCCCCTCCGGCCAGGGTTGAGAGTATCCTACATGCCAACCAAGCTCTCAATCTTGGTGTTCGTCGCCTCCCCACTCGACTACGCTAGATACAGACACGCATCGCTGTATTTGGAATTTGAACACGCACACGAAACCGAGGCAAAAAAAGCCAATCTCAAGCCCGGTGACTCAAATACAAACACGGAAGATGATATCAAGTCTTCAGTGATGGAGGTGGTCGGGTCACCGGGGTATTTTAGCTTTTATGAGCGAGTGAATACTTCGCCCGTTGCGGCTACTGGTATGTAAATTAGCCTGGTTGATGGAGAATAACTTGACGAATACTTCTTTTCACTGTATCTTTGTGTTGTATCTTGCTGATGGAGTACTATAGGCCTTGCAAAGTCTGTTTATGTGGCCTCTATACCAGACAGTGTCCCCGTGTCGTCATTGCGGGCGACGATATCAGGCACCCCGGTCGCGGATCAAGGTGACTGGAATAGTCAGAATTGGGTTGGTGATGCACTAGGACGATTAGTTACCGCGGGCTATATGGATGCCGAGGATAAAGATCGTGGGTTAGACGATATGGTGGATGTTATACTAGAGGCGAAGGATGAGGAGATTGCATAAGGCTTGTTGTAAATAGAGCTGCTTTTTAATTACGTCCTACTGTATTTTATATCTAATCATAAAGACACTAGAAGTGTGAACTTGGATATTTGTGTTGAAAGGTTTCTCTGATAAACTTGCAGCTTTGCTTTGGAGCTCGTGGGAGAACATAGACAGCAAGTGTCCTTGGATGGAATCATCCTTGGAAAACAATTTGGAAGTTTGGAATTGTGGAAGAAATCAAAGGGCAGGACAAATGCTCGGACCATCCATGCAACGCGCTGCGCACCACGCTAAGAAGACAGTCATCAAGGAAGGCCGGTCAGAAAGGAAGAGGGAAAGCTAAAGGATTTCGAAATCAAATGACCAAGACTGGAGGTGGGACGTACGTCCGGGGGCCAGCTTCGGGTAAAAGAAGAAGAAGGGGTTGAAAAATAATAGAAAACGAAAGGGCCAGGTACAAAAGTAATAAAGACGCCAAGCCCAGGTCTCATGCATACCACATGCGAAAAAGACACGAGAAAGATAATAGGAAGAAGGCCATGCCTAGCGGGATCGTTTTCGCGTTTCCTTTTTGAATGGAGTTCGTAGCTTCGTCATCATCATCTGCGATTGTCGTTCGGTTCCCAATGAATCGGCTCGAAATCTTGGTTCCGGAAATGTGCCTGGTTATACGGCGAACTTTGATAATAATGTCAACAATTATATTCACAATCTCCGTTCAACAGGCTCACTTACTTCTTAAAAGGTGCCGTCACTGGCAGGTGGTTCAAATTTGGTTTCATTACCAAGGGATTCAAGCGAATCTGAGGCCCATCCGATGACCGACTTGGCAGAGAGGTCATGGGAGGAGGCGCCGCAGAAGGCATGGCAGGCGTAGGCGAAGACACTGGTATAGATGGAACAGGTGCATGGCTTTGCATGGGTGACTGGTACATATCCTGGGTAGGTGAAAGTCGGTATGGGCTTGCTGGAGTTGGCGAGACCGATGGTATTGGCGACATGGGGGCACCGCCCATACCAAATGCCGGGTCGGCCATCAAGTTGGGTATAGACATCAAATGGGAGTTGACGTCGAAGGAGAGAGCACCTTGGTCCCAGGGAGAATAGTTAGAAGTCATTGCGTATTGATAGTTGACAACGGGTGCCATATTCACAGTCTGTTCGGCGCGGTAGATGATATCATAGTGGCCCCTACAGAGGTTAGTCATGCGGCTCTGTGCAGGGAGGGTAAGTGGTGGAATAGTCGTGGGTGGTCTTACGGTCGGTATAGCAGACGGATCGTTGCATCACTGGGGCAAGTTGGCGAAAGTTGGTGTGGTGTCACGGCATCTCCCTCACTTCGGTCGAGATAGAGGATCTCAACCCCAAATCCAGCACCCTGAATGACACCATCGACCAAGGCTTGCAAGCCGACTTCGTCGATTTCAGTTCTCACCGTGTCGATCTCCGAGGCACAATATTGTTCCAAAGGGACAGGCAAGAATGCTTGATACCGTACTGCGTTGAGCTTCATCCAGGCGCTGGTCAAAAGCTGCGAGTCTGTCAGCCATCAAATGGTCGGAGCCCATGCAAAAGGCGACTTACTCTGAAGTGCATAAGGATGGAATTTGACTTGTATTCGTTATTGAATGCATTGACCAGGAATGACTCGTCCTGGTCGCCATTCTGGATAGCCTCGGAAGTCTGCGCAAAGACCTCTTCCGTGGCATCAATAAACATCTCATACAGATGTTCTGCATAGCCAACGCGATCCAAAGTGTAAGTGAGGGACTTGATGCGAGCGAGCTCCTGCTCTACACGCAGCATATCTCGAAGGGAAAAGAGAGTTTCAAAGTAGCCAAAGGCCACAGCTAGATAAAGGTTAGCATTATGCTTCACTCGGCTCATATGGAGATATTTTGTTCTCGTACCTCGCCAGCCACAGTTTCCATCGCCCTTCATAGTGCGACTCATAGGGTGTGTGACGGCAAGTGCCTATAGACCATGAGTATTCGGAGGCACGCAACTGATTCCAAGTAAAGACTTACGGATGTTTTTGTGGCGAACGCGGGGTCTGCATTAGCATACTCCAAAGCGATGTTGTGACTTGATTGTTTCGGCGAGACCAGCAGTCCCTGTGGTCATACTTAGCCTCACATCCATCATAGCCTCAAACAAGATCACCTACCGGTACATCTGGCTCGAATTCATTGGACAGCTTCTGAAAACGCTGCATCTCGTCGGGGGAGAGCGTGTTCATGTTGCTTGAGTTGCTCATGGTGGATGGCCCGGGGGCAAAGGCTGCCGATATTGACAGACCTAGTGGGCGAAGAAAAGCTGGCGGGGCAAGAGCGTCCTGGTAACAGCCGTGGAACTTCTGTTTTTCCGGGAACGGATGGTGAGGACCGAAATGATTCCAGGATAGTTTTGACAAGGACATCGCATACAACCGGGGGGATTTTAACAAGCGGAGTGCTTTGTGTGGCTTAGAAGAGTGGTTTCGATCTCCACAGAGTAGAATCAATACGGTCCAATGATCTGATTCTCCATGTTAGAAGAGAAGAGAAGAAGAAACTCGATCAAGGAGGTGGAGAGGATAGGATATAATAGACTCACCGAATGGAAATTGTCATCTCCCCTTAGGGTCTTTTTTCCCTTCTGAGACGGAAGACGGAAGTGTGCCCTGCGATTGTTGTACAAAGCTGCAAGGGGACCCGACACTCTGGAAACTAAACTATTTTGTCAGTAATGAAGACAACGACGCGAACACATGAGAAACAAAACCAAAAAAAGAAAACTATGCAGGTAATGTGATCATTCAGGGTAAATCCAACGAGAGCTTGTCGAATCGGCAGGCTACCAATGAGGATGGCTTGTGGTGGATTTGAAGCCGCTTCGCCACGATATGAAAAGATGGTGGGCAGTTTTTTGTTCCTTCCAGAGCAGCAGATCACGATCTGCGATGTGATTGGACCGAGTGCACTCAAATAATGTTTTGTGATGAAGGGCCCAGGCGGTTCCAGTCCACGAGAAGATCCGAAAACAGCACAGACTCTGTGAATGGGAGGAGGGAATTGGGGATTCAAGAAGAGGAAGGGACGAGGGACCAAGAATCGGGGAAATGGCAAGGAGGATCACATTATCTGATAGTGACAGCTTGGCTCTTGGAGTCAGCTCCAGCGAGGCCGTGATAGTAGTGATAAATGATGTCAGAGTGTTCGAGCTGACGACTTTCCAACGGGCTGCCGCGTCGACGATGGTGGTTGGTAGCAGCGACAAGATCATCCCCCCTCTGAGAGGGTGCACGAACCACTCAGGATGCTCTACCCCTCAGTTTTAGGAGCGTTGACCGCGAATCCCAAGCAAAGACGAAAGAGCGTGAAGATAGCAGACGGAGAAGGTTCCCGGGAGATTCGACCACCAGAGAGTGTGTGGGAGGGGGAAGGCCAGCAGACCGCCCGACCATCCGAGTTGACGCCAGACCGGGTCTTGGAAGATGGAGTAGCCAAGAGCCGCTCGGAATCGGGCAAGGGGAATTGGAAAGAAACAAAAGCAAAGAGCGATCGGGGAGGAGAAAAAAAAAAGCAGGGGGGGGGGAGAGAGAAAGCTCAGACCTTTGGAATTGGGACGTTTGGGCTTCCACGATTAGTACCGGATACACGTGGATGATCTAATCGTGGAGGGGGGAGAGAGACCAGTCGATGTGGATATAATCGGGAGTGGTGGAGAAGGATTGAGGGCGGAATATATGGAACAAATTTGATGAAGAATCAAAGTCGGAAACAAAAAGAAAAAGAATGGAGAGAAGAAGTAAAGAAGAAGAAGAAAATATTGGCGGAGTTCGTGGGAGAAGAGGGGGGGAAAACGTCCCAGCAGATTGGTACTCCGGACAGTTGTGAGGGTCAAGCAAAAGGTAAGAAGGATCGGTGACTATTATGGATTGTTTTTTTTCGGCTTTTAGTTTTTCTAACTGGATAAGACACCGAATGAGTTGACGAAACACGAGGCCAATGGAAAAGAGTCGCTAGCGAGGATGGGGAGCTCTCTGACAGGTGAGGAACCCGCGGGAGGATTGAGTTAGTAGAATAGGATAGAGACGATCTCAAGGGCACGGAGATCTCCCGAGGGAAGAGAAACGGGGAGAGGAGCAAGTAGTAGCAGAGGAATAAAACGAGGAAACAAACCTATAAGAATAGTAGGAAACGTTAGGCCCTCCAGGAACTAAAGTAGTTCGGTAGCTCGTTCCGTACACCCAACCACAATCTTTCCAATAGTCGAGAAATTAGCCAACTCGATCATAATAATAATCAAGCGGGACTAAAGTCCTAGGGATGAAGTAACGATGCACCGTGCCCTCGTGGCCTGACCATTCATATCTTTCCGATCGGAGATGGGATAGTGGCCCCCCCCTCTCCTCGTCGCCCATTCAATCAACATCAGATCCACGCCTGAAGATGCTGATCGTGCCAACACAACCCTACAGCAGCACCCCCCTCTTTCCCAAGCAAACTGCAGGGGAGAATTGGCTGCCCGTCTATACGGGTTTCAAAAATTCTATACAAACAAGTACTGGAGTATCTGTCCTAGCGCTGCTCTCCCCTAACCATGTAAATACTCTAGGTTCTATTAAACTACTTCTCCCTCCATTGTGGACCACTATCTAGTTACTACCCACTCTGTAAGCGCGGCTTCAGCGCGTAAACCCATCTCAAAAGTACAATACACAAAGTACACTGTAAAACAAAGGGAAAGCTTCAAACCGCCCAGCCCCACAGGGTAATAGGACCCCCGATCGTTTCCACTCTACCCCAATAACCAAGTTGGTCAACTACAAATTATGCCGTCGGGAAACCCATCTGTAGGGACATCTCGTTGCACCTATCATAATTCCGAGGTGTGGTTATCATAATCTCTAGGCGTTTGTGATGACTCTGACCTACTCGAATTGTTTGCTACTGTGACTATGAGAGATCATAATCTCCAGAGTACATCATACATCATATATCATCCCACCATAACACGACTATTATCGTTTGACTTCCCAAGAGTGGAGGGCTCTTCAATTCTACCTTCCGGCTAGATCTCGGACAGCCTCTCCGGGTCCCCCCCTCTCTCCCCATCCCTACCCTTTTACCCGTTCCCCAAAAAGCGGGGGTTTTCGAATCTTCCAGTCGTGAAATGCACCCACAGTAGCAACCAGACCTCACGATAGGTGACAACAACACTCCACACACCTCCAACCCTCGTCTCACTGGACCTATCTCGGCCCTAGTTCCCCCAAGTGGGAAAAGCAAAAACAAATGTTTGATCGGTTTCCAACGGGTGACAGGCCCCGCCGTGATTCACGAATGATCGATGGTCCCCATGCACCGGCAGACTGGTCCCCGATGCGCGATGCGCCCTGGGAGGGTTTTCGTTCGAATCAGATTCGTAATTTATCAATCGAGATCGAGATCAAACTACTGGGGAAAATGGTGCACCCCCCAAAATAAAATAAAAACATTAGCAAATAAATCAGCTGGGATTTCTGGGCGTTGGCATGGCTATGGAATGGGCATGAGCCCCTCTCATGATGCGTCTTGCTCGGCTCGCATCGTTAGTTGGTGGGTATTGCCGATCTATCTAGAGCAGCTAGTGACTACTGCTAGGTACAGTGGAGTTTTCAAAAGTTTGAAATCCCGACCAAGCTTCAAAATCATCTCATCGCTTGTGCTTTGGAAGATTGAATCGAGAGATATTACCTGGGCTATCCGAAGAGACAATTCAAAAGATATCCTGCAAGGTTTTTTTACAAACAGAGGAGGCTGAAGCATGTCTGGCTACATCTCTTGTTTCAAATGCTCAACTACAACTGTACAGGACATACCAAATCCCGAAAAAAGAATCCACTTCCTTCCTCTGGTCCGTTCGGCGATCATACTCATCCTAGAGAGTAGATACGGATAAACTTCAGTCAACAATCGAATAATCAGGCATAACCCATCGTCCATGATAGCCCGAATTCAAAATCCAAAATCCAAGATTTCAAGGACTTGGAAAAGCCCAGGGATCGGGCCCACTTTGTATCACATCAGCGCTGTGGCACCTACTATGCAGAGTGGTAGGATTTTAACTTCCTTCTTTGCTTGAAACTTAGTTTCTTGACAGCACGGTTCTTAGGTTCTAAACTTTTCTCTCCTCTTTTCTTTTCTTTTCTGGCCCTGTCCGTCGTCCCAGTATCACCTGGCGCGGCGCTAGGACTCGAATGATAGGCCGAGAGTGGCTGGGGGGGCCATCGTAATCCTAACCGGGGACGTGCGCCTAGGCGAGCCTACAGCCTGTACTGTACCGAGTAGCTTTACTTTGCTGTGCTATCGCTAACGGTTAGGGTTTGGGGGAGGGTAAGCTCTAGGCAAGCTGGTCCTGGTATAGGACAGGTCATGTTGGATGATGTGAGTGTTTAGGCCTTATTTTCTTCATCATCCTGACTATGACGAGGTAAAAGTATCGAGGATTAACATCCTTCCCAACTTCCCTGCCCAGCTTTGCAACCACACACACACCCCCTCCTATCATCGTGAGGTGGGAGGCCTCTGATCACGCCGCGTTAAGAACATGGGTGCGGCTGCTCGTGCGGTGATCAGTGCGGTGCAATCAACGCAGTTGACAGGTCGCCTTCCTTGTGTCCGTGGTGCTGAGCTGAAAAACACCCACACCCCCTAGCAGACCCGGTGTTTGATTTCGATGGGTATGTCAAAGCCCGGGAATGAACTAACTGCGACTCTCCTACCTCTGTGGAGTCAGTTAGCACCAAATCGATTATCAAAATCGATTATCCAGAGTATTATGTGTACAATTTGATTTCCAGTACTTTAAAAATTCGACCTCTCCTCGTACCTGCTGCGCTAGATCAGCCCTCGACTGGTGCATGACCTCGCAAACTCAGATAAGGTCCAAGTCAGCCCAGTAATAGCATCATAGTCCCCCAATGAGATACATATCCGAACTCATGATTCAGGATACCCAAGCCAAGGGGACTATTACTATATACTCTTTTTTCACTATTTTTCTTGGCTCCTCAGCCCCCATCTCTAGTCTAGTTAACTAGACAAATAAAAATGCATTTCCATGAACTACTACCCCATACATACTTTCTTCTAATAATCCTATTCCTAATTCCAAGGTTTCCCCTAGTACACATAAACCAAAAATTCAACATCTTCACATGCATCTCTCCATAACCCTGCCACTAGCAACTAGCTAACGGAGTCTCCTCCGTTTTCCGCCCCCAGAGCCGGAGAGGGGCTGACAGAACGGCCCTTAGGTGCCTAGCCCTGCCCTTTCTCCCTAGCTCACCACACCCAACCCCGACTCCCGTAGCCCGCAGCCTGCAAGACCCGGGTAACCCGGAGCTAACCAACCATTCCAGTATTACGAATCAGTCCGACGCACGATGAGACCGACATGCGTGCCGCACTGCGCGTCGTCATTTGTCCAAGTGCCGGAGGGTGGGACATGACTAGCGAGGGCCCAGATTCCGGGACGTGGGTTGCATCGCTGTTAAGCGCCTCCAGCTATAGGAAGGTAGAGAGTTGGAGGAATGGAGATGGGGGCTGCTGTACGGTACTATGTACAAGTACTGTACATTTGCCGTGGAGAACAGCCTCTACGTCTAGAGTCTAGACAAAGATCCCGCGTAGCGGCGGTGGACTGTGAATCTACTACATATATCACTTTGCACTATGCATATGTACTCGAAAGTCCCGTATGCGGGCTCTGCTGGACGGGAGATATTGCTTTTTTTGCAATGGGGATGGCATGCGCTAGCTGAGGACCGGTAAAAAGAACAAGCAATCAAAATGTGTCTACTAAACTCCGGGTTGAGCAGTGCGGGGAAATCCCTCTACTACGAGGAATTCGAGCAACTTGGTAAAAACGCATGGCTCAGCAGAGCTCGGAAAGTCAATGTTCATCTTATCATGAGATTTTAGCGCCTATGTCATAGCAACTCTAAATTGCGGGGCCTGGTTCGGGTTGAAGTGATGGGCTGTCTGTCGGGAGGAAAAAAGGAAAGACAAAAACGGGCTCTAAACGATGACTGCTCAAGCACAGGCTCTCAGTCATCGATTTGTCGTGTTACACTTTGACCGCTTGCAAGTGTCATAGACTTGGGGGCGCCCGATGTTCACAAGGCTGCAGGATGCACAACAAAGAAAAGCGCGGTGTGAGATGTGACGGTGACCCAGACCCTCTTCCACGTGGACCTCCTCCAGCTCGGCTCCTCGGGTAGAAAGCCATGGTGATGAGGAGAGCCGAGAGATCACCTCTTTCTATCCGTCCTTTTCCACAAATACGAAGCGATGAGGAGATAAGGGAAATCGCGCGGCTCAACCGCGAGAGCGACATGAGAATCCCGCAGGTACCAGACACATGCGGTGGGGACAAACTAGATTAGGGGGAGAAGCCGATGCTAGCGTGGAATGGGTGGCCCAGCTAAGACCGGCTTACACCGCGCCAGCCACCTTTCCCCCCAGAATCCGACCTCGGTGTTCCCTTCGGCGCGCATTGATCGATCTGAGAGCGCTAGGAGAGTCGTCGCCAAAGCTCGGGGTAAAGACGGGGCCGCTCTGGCCGTGACCACCTTCATCGGGACGGAAGCCCTCGCCGTTGAGAGCGGTTTGCCAGAGACTCTTGAGGGATGAGCTCCACTCCTCCAAGGCACACAGTCGTTCCACATCGCTCGCACTCTCGACAACTACCGTGCCGTTCTCTTGGTCGATCTTTGCGTTGAGCTTCTTGTCGAGAATCAGGAAGCTCAGGATCTCCAGTACCTCGTGCACGGAGATCTTGATATGCTTGGAGATGAACTGGAGCGAGAAGCGGGTGTACGGCGCGATCAGCTTCAGAATGGCCTTGGTGCGCATGTTCCGGCTGACCTCATCAATGTTCTCCGCAATGAACGGGTCAGCCAACACGTCGGGGTGCTTGCTCAGGACGGCTTCGTAGGCATGGATGTCGTCGCGTTGGAACGCATCCACCAGGTCAGTCATGGCGGAGATCCGAGGATCATTCTTGTAGGGCTTGGTCTCTTGCGAGTCGAACGGATTGATGTCGGACTTCATCAACATGGTGGTCAGGACCAAGTACTTCAGCACCTGGATTCGTTGCATGGAGCCGGCCTCGTCGTAGTTGCGGAATGACTCGAAAAAGTCACTCTGGGCCTCCTCCCAGTTCTCCTCGCTCATATGCATCTTGCCACCGCACTCGCGAATGATGCCCATGATCTTGGGGTGGGGAACAGCGGATCGAACTCGCAATGCTCGCTGGTAGAGAGCCTTGAGGCGCTTATTATTCTTCATCTCGGCGTACATCTGGATCTCCAGGGCGTATAGCTCCAGCAAGTAAGTGCCCTTGCTGCTGTCGTCCGTTCCATCCTCCCGCTGGCATGCCCGGTGCAATTCCTTCACCTTCTTGGCCAGCTGAGTGTATTCTTTGCGGTCCAGCCATAGCCGGGACAGCTTGATGTTCGTCTTCAGCCACAGGCGTTCGTTATTCGTATTCTGGAATGAGTCGAGTGTGAGGGAGTAGAACTGTTCCATGCATTGATATGCCTGAGCGTCGTCGGAGCCCTTTTCGATGTAGTCGAGCATGTTGTTGATAGACTTTTCGGAGTAGTTTCGAGTGACAGCGGACTTGACATATGTGAGGAGTTCGCGATAATGCTCGACAGCCTAAGGAAAAAGGGTCAGCTCGCAGCTCCGTTGGGGAGCTAGATCGCGTTGCCTACATCACTGTAGCGTCCAAGCTTGAACTCCAGCTTGATCGCTTGTTTCAATCCTTTGAATCCCCTGTAGGAGGAACGGCCAGTTAGCTACTTGGCGATATGGTCCAGCTGCTGAGAGCCTCGTACCATTCACTTTTATCTTGTTCCATCGGAGGCAAGCCAAGGAATTCATCCACAGCCTCCTCCGGGTTATCCACCTTCATCTGCTTCGCATTGTAATATTTGTTTTCGATTCCAATATCGGCGGATTCGTCATCTTCATCATCTTCGTATTCAAAGTCGTAGCTGCAGTCAGATAGGTTAGCTCAGTCTGAGAGAGTGGTGAGCGGAGACCAGGCGCGGGGGGTCTTACTCCTCGTCAGCCGAATCTTGCATGAAATCGTCGTCGTCAGACATTTTGTCGAACTGAGTTTCGTGAGAAAGGCGCTAATAAAACGAAAGAATGAGGACGTGGTATGGAGGAAGAAGAGAGAAGGGTGGTTGTCGCGGGGTGTTTGGAAGGAGCTTTGAGGTTGGTGAACGATAAACTGAGGTCCGGAGAGCTGCGAGAGGCTCCGCCTTTGGATATCACTCACTCCCCGCCTGAGGCCACCAATTGAATCTCCTCGCAGCCCTTTGCGTTTAATCATTTGGTTAATTTATTTGGCTACGAGAGGACTTCTTTCTTTCCATCTTTATCATGCTGGTCGCCTGAAATACGCAATACATTGCGTGTCTAGCAAACTTATGGAGCAGCAAAGGATTTCGGGGGCCTGTTACTTCTGCCACGGAGTATACATCGTAGGGCCAGGAAAGCATGGAACCACCCTGTCCCCAATTCCAGAGACCCTAGTAGCTCCAGTCCGTACTGTACTTAATTCTAATTGACTACTCCGATGACATTCTCTGGTACTCGAGGGATAGCAAGTTGCAAATCAAACTAGCGATAAGCAAGACTGCACAATCACCGATTGGTGACCCCCTGTCCCCAAACTCCAAGACCCCGTCATAGACACAAACACACAGAGCAGTAGAGAAGCAAAGACATTCAATTAGATTTTTCCCCTGGAACTGCCCGAGAAAAGAAGTCTGCGGCAGCCGAGCAAAGTGGACCAGAAGGGGTGTGTGGAAGGAAGGTTGGAGGTACCTTATTCGCCGATCCCTTTTCAGGGCGCGATGTCATCGACTCGGGGCTGGAATGGCATTTCCTCTTCCCCGATCCAACTTCCCCCTCCTCCTCCCATTTCGCCCTAACCACGCGCCCGAGATTATATTCGTCATACTGGTCTGATTCTTATTATTGAACTATATTCACAGTGACCTTGACTATTCCCCCTGAATTACGCCAGTCGCAATGGAGCTATGCGGGCGTCAGAAAGTCGTCCAGCGCAAGATGGTGCTACTGTCAGTTGGGACCTGAGTTCTTTGCGCAATATGATCCGGTACTAATGGATATATTCTACAGAGGTGACGGTGCCTGCGGCAAGACTTCGGCGCTGAATGTGTTTACAAGAGGGTGCGCAATCTCCAGAACCCCCCCCCCCCCCCCCTTCTCCCCCTCTCCGTCCAGCTTCCCCACACGTACTCGAGCAGGGAGCAGACAGCTAACACGTCTTGACTATAGATTCTTCCCAACGGTTTAGTAAGGATACTCCAATCGAGACTCGACGGTTATATACCATCGTTCGCCAGCTATACTAACCGCTTTTTACTGTCGCGCAGTGAGCCCACTGTCTTTGGTATGCGCATAATCACCATGGTTACGAAGGTACAATCTCGTCGCTAACTACTATATCTATAGAGAATTATGTCCACGGTATGAAACTCGCCGAGTAACCCATTCACCACGCACCACATACTCATGCGCGCAGATATCTTTGTCGATAATGTACATATGGAGTTGTCGCTATGGGACACGGCCGGACAGGAGGAATTCGATCGGTTACGCGCGCTCTCCTACGAGGATACGCACGTCCTGATGTTGTGCTTTAGTGTAAGGCATAAGACAAAGGAACACCGTCGGAGGATTATGCTCACAGCTGGATATAGGTCGACAGCCCGGACTCCTTCGAAAACGTCGGGTCCAAGTGGATTGCCGAGATCAACGAGAATTGCCCTGGCGTGCGGGTCGTGCTGACCGCGCTCAAGTGTGATTTGAGGAAAGATGAGGAGATGAATGATAACCCGAATACTATCACGTTTGATCAGGGTCTGGCTAAGGCCAAGGAGATTGGCGCTGTGAAGTACCTGGGTATGTGGTCTGCAATCTGCAGAAGTATAATGGCGAGACTTGGAGCTAACAAATATGGCAGAATGCTCGGCCGTTCAAAACCGCGGCATCAGAGAGAGCTTCTACGAAGCGGCCAAGGTCGCTCTAGATGTCAAGCCCGCCGGGGGCAAGAGCGCGGGCTCGTCGTGTGTCATTCTGTAAAACGTGGTGCGCGGGATAGCTCACTATTTTTGGCTTTACCTATGCGTCTCTTACTGCCCAGCACACGCTCGGCAATATTTCGTTTTCCGTCCTCCTTCCCTCTGTTCTTGCTATTGCGCTCGTTGATTCCCCTTTGCATTTCATGTTGATTTCCGGGTCAACCATGACCCTTTTCTTTCTGGGACCTGGACACATCAGATTATTGGCTGAATAACCAGTGCTCCCCCTCTCCTTTGCATGGCTCCGTCCTCTGGCTTATCGAAGCATTTCAGCGAGGTTGGCTCTTTACCATTACTCTATTATCTACCCTCCAGATCTACCTATATAATGCTTATTGAATTGATCATTCCTCCAATTCACACTATCCATCCTCCCACCCAATTCGCCTGGTTCATATGGCACTGTCATCAATTCCGATATACAATTATAACCGCACACCATCATCTCATAACCTCAAAGCAGCAAGTCCTCCTCTTTAACAGGATAAACCTCCTCAATCTTCTCCCCATCCCCCTTTTTACACGCAAAATCCTCATTAACCCTCTCCACAAACCTCTCCACAAAAGCAGCCGCAACCTCATCAATCCCAACCCCCGTCACACCAACCCCCTCCAAACTAGTCGCCTCTTTCCCTTCAAGCCCACACGCTACAATCTGTCGAAAATACCACATCGGCTCCTCGGTAACATTCAAGCCAATTCCAAAACTGCTAATATTCCGTCTCAAATGCACACCCACCGCGGTAATCTTCTTCGGTGGTACCGAGCTCGACCCCGAGCCCGTCTTGTCTGATACCCATACACCGGGGTCTTCCGTGACGAACCCGTTTACCCCGTATTGCTTCAACAAGTCGATGACGCTGTTTTCTAGGACCCGGATGTGACACCGCGGTGTGAGATTGAGCCGTTTCAGATCTAGGATTGTATATGCGACCATCTGCCCCGGTCCGTGGAATGTAGTCTGGCCACCGCGTAGCGTGGGGTGATACTCCGCCTTCGCCGGGTTTGGCCCCGAGGGCGTGAGTAGTGCGCGAATTGGTTCGAGAGGCGGTGGCAGCGAGAGGTTTAGTGGGTCGGGTGGAGAGGTGTTCGAGGGGGGGCAGGTCGCGGCGGCCGGTGGTGTAGACGGGGTTTGGGGTGAAGGTGATGATAGTCGGGTCTGGGGGTGGCGGGGGTGTTTGTTGTATGGAATTGCATGTGCGGATTGGATCTTGCGGGGATGGTGAGGACAGTCTTTTGTGTGTGAGGAAGCGGGTTGTGAGGGCTTGTTGGAGGGCGGAGACTCGGGTGAAGGGTGTGGTGTTTGGGAGGTGGAGGTGGGCGAGTCTCATTTTTGCAGGTGTGGTTGAGAGATTGATGGATATTGAGGGTTCTGGGGTATTGTCGGCGGTAGTTTAGAAGCTGTCGTGGTTCATTGTTGAGCTGGGAATTGAGATATGGGTTTTCCTCGGAGATGTGAGGTCAGTGGACTTTTGGGTTGCGGAGAAGCTGGGAGCTCCGGGCTGATAAGGTTTGATAAGTGTGACACCCGCTTTACTCCGATGGTACATTGAAAAATATCTGATCTGGTAGAGTAAAAGTCCGTTACATGACGATAGATCTTATGTTCATATTGCTTCATTGCTCATTTCATCTTCTTACTCCTTCCATAATGGTACTTGTATCTTTGCAACACGTGAACAGGCTAAATGAAAACTGGCTTTTGCAAGTCCGATGTCTTGCGAATTGGACCAAATTCAACATTTCAGCTTAGCATCGAATGGAACAAAGTGAGAATCCCTCACAAAAGAAACCTCAACATGACTTGACTATGTCATGGCGAGTCTAACATCCCGAAGGATGCTCTGACTATACGCCATTGACCAGACCAGCCTGCGCATCCTGAGGCAGCAAAACCCAGTCACGGACTCCACCCTTCCAATCCGCAATGCGGCCCTCACGCACTTGCACCGTAACTACCCGTACATCGCCATCAATGGACATACTCGGGCGGCGGGCACTGGGATCATTCCGCTGTTGCTGCCCAAAGAGGTTGATCTCCTCTTCCTCGAAGGTGTTGTTCTCCAAGTGACGCTCCTTGCACCAAGACTCCTCCTCGGAGCCCGGCTCAAGGAAGCGTGCCTGACCGGTAATCGTGGTCGAGATGCTGGACAAAGCACTGGTGTTCAGGTTGAGCAGGAGGCTGGCGAGCGAGGAGCGGGTGGCCGCGGGGGGAGGAGAGCCTTCCCGTTCTCCCTGGGCATTGGGAGCCCGGGTAGGGGGCCGATGGGACACCCAGTCGTGAACCAGGAGCGAGACGCGTGGGTTGGATAGGAGGTGGTTGGTCTTGCGGGACGCGGGGTTGGTAGTCATGATGATGGTCGGGTAGGGGTCGTAGGGAGTCGACGGGAGATAGGTGTAGGACATGAGAGAGATGTGCGGGGTGAGGTTATCACATGTTGCTAGATGCAGCTGGGATTATAGCTCGAGTTAGCTTTGCTTTTGCCCAGATGGGATAGATTTGGTCTCGAGTCCCGGGCAATGGTGGGCCACATACGAAGCGGGAGTTCTTCAAGCAGGTCACGACCTCGGAGGGCAGGGAAGTTGCCTCATGAGGATGAGTAGTCGTGGCTGAGGCCTCATAAGAGAGGGGAGGGTTAAGAGATTCCGCCATGATTGTAGGAGAAGGGATCAACAAGAGACTCGAGATCGAACACTGGACATGGGCCAGGTCTGGAGGGTCTGGATGTGGGATGCTCGATTTGCCGGGCGGTGAGCAGCGGGTATCGACGTCATGGAGTGCATTTTGCCTGGAGAGACAACATCCAGCAGTCAGTAGCTTAAGGTTAGTGTAGTAAATGGGGATTGATTGGCTATTTACTCTAGAGATCCCAAGCAGTGGAAATGACACGGCCGTAGATAGCCGAGTCTAAAGTCTAACTGTCAGGGTTCTTCACCTTACAGTCTTACACAGTGTATCACTCTTAACGCGACAACCTCCAGGTCCAATTTCCAGCGGCCCAGGAATGTGGAGTCTGGCTGGATCCCATTCGTCATGATGGCGAAAAGCGAGCGATACCAGTGACGATCATCCGTCGGGGGGAGGCAAAGGACTTTGAATCTCCGATTATTACGAGCAATGCAGGGGATAAATCGCCGATGTTCGCAAGTTTCCCTGTTTCCACGGCCGGGAGATAAGCCGGTAGCAAGAAGAAATACATAGTTCGAAAGTACTTGGAAAGTAGAGTAAGTAGCTGGGGCCTAGTCCTCGACGCGTTGATATGAGACTATCACTGTTTAGGAAGCTCAGCCACATGTATAGATACCGTATTTCGATGTCATCATGACCTTTTGCCCTTCCTTCCTCAGAAATACTGGAGATAAACAAGTGGCCCTCCTACTTATACGAAGGACATACCTCCATAACTATTCCTAAAAACTGGTACCAATTAACTACCAAATCTTAAAGCTAGTCGGGTTAGTCAACCACTTTTGACCCCCCAAAGTACAGAAAGTACTAAAGTACCGGACCCGAAAGCTCACCTTTTTCCCCGCACCAACTCCAGCTCCTCCCCCAGGTCTCTCTTGCAGACCGGCGATCAAATCAGTTCTCTGCTCATAGTCAGCAACGGGCCCTAACACGGAGATCTGCCCTCCGTGACTGTTGAAATCATTCCGCCGATACTCGTTTCCCCCCGGATTTCACTCGGGGCACGCACTCGTCGCGTGCTTTTACTTTCGAGCTTGTAGCTTAGTGTTTCCCCAATCCCACCACCACCACCACCCCTGCTCTTCTTGCCTAGCAATCACTGCCTCCTCTTTTCCTCTTCCTGCCCCTCTTTCCAATTCAACTTGTCCTCTCTTCGATCTCCTCTCCCCACTTGTGACTATCCTTCTAAACTCCTTCAGTCCCTTCAGTCGTCTGATTTCCACTTCCCCACTCACCAAGGCTCCGTCCTTGCCACTTCCCTCCCTTCCCATTCTTCAACAACAAAGCAAGCTCTCTTCCTCTTCTCTTTGCCTACTCTAATCTACCCCCATTTCCCTCCCTTTCTGTATCAAATTCATTCCATCCTTTTCCTCTCGAGCACACCTTCCACCATGCTGGGTCCGCGCTTCATCCGCCCGGCAACCACCTCGCTGGTGCGGCCCTTCAGCTCCTCCGTCGCGGCCTGCCGCGCCCCTTCCATCAGAGACCTCACGGCCGATTCGGCAGAGTTCCATCGTCGACAGAAAGAGTTTCGCGAGAACCTCGAGGAGGCCCGCAAGAGAAAAGAACTGCAAGAGAGTCAGTCCGTCGCTGCTTCTACTTCTGCCCCCTCATCCTCCACCTCTTCTATTTCCCGTGAGTCCGCTCCCACTGCTCCGCATGTGAGCAATGCGAGCACTTATGACCGAGTTCGTCCTGCTTTTGATGCAGCTGAGACTCTTGACCATTCGGCATTGGGCTCACTCGCCACGCACCGTTATCTAGGAGAAGAACAAGCCACGGAGTCTGGGTCCAAGCGTGGCCCTTTATCCTCGCTGATTTACGGCACCAAGGAAGGTCAACATTTCGATAAGGACATTGAACGGTCTTTCTCCCAGGTGCTCGCTCGCGGCAAGTACGTCCACTCGATCGTGTTCCATGAAGTCAAGCCCGACAAGGTCGACGAGTATGTGGAGCTGGTGGGCCAGTGGTACCCCCGCATGGCGGGCACCGAGGAAAACCGGGTCAACCTAGTGGGCAGTTGGCGCACGCAAGTGGGTGACAACGACACCTTTGGTAACCTTTCTTTTCCCTTCGTGTACTGTTTTGGATAGTTCCAGAATGAGTGGCTAATCCTTGTCCCTTTTTTCTTTACCGTTTTTACAGTTCACATCTGGGAATACCAGAAATACGAAGGATATCATGCCTCCCTGCACAACATTGCCAGCCACCCCGAGTTCCCGGCGTTCGATCGTAAGCTCAAGAGCTTGATCAAGAGCAAGAAGACGTCTCTGATGCAAGAGTTCTCGTTCTGGCCTACGACTCCACCTCGAAAGCTGGGTGGCTTGTTTGAGCTCCGATCGTACACTCTGCACCCAGGCAACCTACTGGAATGGGAGACGCACTGGCGTCGCGGTCTGCACGCCCGTCGCGAGGTGATGGAAGGAGTGGGCGCGTGGTTTGTCCAGATTGGTGACTTGAACACTGTCCACCACCTGTGGCAGTTTGCAAACCTAGAGGAGCGCAAGATCCGCCGGGAGCAGTCATGGGGTGTGGAAGGATGGGCTGAGACGGTGCACAAGACGGTTCCTCTAATCCAAAGCATGCAGAGTCGAATCCTTGTGCCGATGCCCTGGAGCCCCGTGGGTTAAACAAACTTGGCCAAGATTGTGGGAACCACCGAAGCAGGGGGACGGTGGAAGATTTTCCCTGGCTGCTTTTCCCCCACGCCTATATTGTTCTTTCTATCAGGATCTTCGAGGTTTTGCAGACCCCGGATTCTTGCACGATGGCCGCGGCCCTCCCGCGCAAACGTGCCAAGTTGTGTCGAGGATGTTGAGAAGTCTGGCGAAGCTATTCCCGCTGTAGGTCTATAGTTCTGTATCATGTACCTAGGCATGGTGCATCAATCCAAGCATACATTACAACTTCCATCTTCCAGTCTTGATCCTGCCGCTGTCCTCTCTTCTCGTGACGGACCGTGTTCCCATGAGTCTAACCGAAAGAGCAAAGGCCTCGGGTAACCCCACCTCTTGGACCTCCTGGACGGCCGATCACGTCCCTGCGATGCTTTTCATTGGCACCGCGGTGAGTACCACCGCAACCGCGTCTCGCTATGGCACGTGGGCTACCGAGCGGTGCTGAATGTATATTCTGAGGTTCTTCAGGGGTAGGTGTATATAGAGAGAGGATAGATCTGTAGATTCTACATATGATGGATCAATAATAAATCAAAAATAACCGGAGTTGGTATCGCCGAGAAAAAAATATATATATCCAAAAAGTAGGTGGTTGTTGTTGTGCTGGCCTCTCTGCAGCCAAACAGAAAAAAAAAAAGGCCTCGCCGATCTCGACGTCGCCCAGCGCCCCATCTTTTCCGGCCTTCGCTCCGCTCCCCAACAGCGGGGCCCTTTAATTTAGTTTGACCGTCTCCTGCCTTTTTTTTTTTCCCTTTCCTCCTTCCAGGGCCTTCACCTGCCTAACGCCGTCACGAATTTCCTTCCCTCCTACACCTTCCAAATAACCCTCCTCCGTCCGCTCCGCTCCCCTTCGAACGACGCGTCTGCCGCTACGCCTTAGCCTAGCCGCTGCCGAAGCTTGTTTGGCTCAAGACCCACGCCCGAGCTAGGGATATATGCGTTGAGAGAAAGAGAAAACGTTGGGTTACGGACTACAGACACGCGATACAGGACATAGGACTGCTTCCCTTGGGCACTGCGGTGGAATACACAGGACGATCGAAGGACAGATCTAGGACAGAGAGTCCACGTTTTCGCAATGGTCTACATTCGGCAACATGTTTTGCCAAACTTGCGTAACTACAAGTACGCGGGTGTTGATCACTCGTTGATCAGTCGCTATGTCCTTAAGCCGTTCTACAGCAAATGTGTTATCCATTTGTTTCCCATGAACATGGCGTGAGTGTTCCTCTTCCTTCTCTTCCTGCGCGAGGCCCAAGCTGCCTCGCTCCAAGCTTCAGGACAGTTGTCACTGGCTTCTGGCTTGGAGATGCCAGCTTGCGCGCAGCGATCTTGATGTCCGGGACAGTCTGGCTAACGAGCTTCTTCACTTTCTCGCGCGCAACAGACCCAACCTCGTAAGTGTCCTGCTCCTTGTTCTCTTCTTTTACTGTTTTTGGCAACACGCGCTGCAAAACATAAGAACCTTAATTAATGGCCCGGCTTCTAGATCACCCTGACCGGATTCCTGTTCGTGGTACTTAATTTCCTTACCGTGATGTGGTACAACCCCGGCATGGACACGGATTGCCCGCCCTGGGTGTACGCAAGCTGCGCGATTGGCATGTTTTTGTATCAGACTTTTGATGCGGTGGACGGCATGCAGGCGTACGTTTCATCCGATCCGGGTTGGAGTCAAAGTACTCGTTGCTGATCTGATATAGGCGGAGGACGAGGCAGAGTGGGCCGCTGGGCGAGCTCTTTGATCACAGTATGTTATGAACTGCTTAGATTGCGAACAGTTGATCAGGTGAAGAAAGGATGAACTAACTTTGTCTAGGCGTTGACGCTTGTAACACTGCCTTGGGTGTGCTCATTTTTGCCGCCGCAATGAACCTTGGAAACTCTTGGATGACCATCTTGAGTCTTTTTGGATGTAAGCTGCAAGACCCTCGTCAGGCTATCGAGTCTTCCCATCTAACAAGGCTTTTTTTTCAGCGACTATGACCTTTTACGTCCAAACTTGGGACGAATTCTACACTCAGGTGCTGACTCTCGGTGTCATTTCGGGCCCCGTCGAGGGAGTCCTGACTCTCTGCCTCGTCTACGCCATCACCGCTTACATGGGCGGCGGCAGCTTCTGGCACCAACCGATGCTCGAGACCCTCGGTGTCGCCAAGCCTAGCTTCGTCTCAGACCAAGTGTATCAGATGCCCTTTACGCAGTGGTACCTGGTGTACGGTGCGTTTGTGCTCTTCTTCGCCACGGGCTCGAGCGTCTGGCACGTTATGCAGGTGCGCCGCCAGCGCGGTCTGGACCCTATCGCTCCGCTATACGGCCTGCTGCCCATGGTCGCCATCTGGACCCTTGTCCCGGCCTATCTGTACCTGCAGCCCGCGATCCTGGAGAACTACACCATTGCTTTCTCGTTGTATGTTGGTCTGGTTAACGCCTACGCGGTGGGCCGCATGATCGTCGGCCACTTGGTGCAGTCTGGATTCCCGTACCACAACATCCTGCTATACCCTCTGGCTCTCGGTGTGCTGGACAGCGCCGGAGCGGCAGTCGGTCTGTGGGCAACCCCCGTGATTGGACAGGGGTCCAACCAGGTCATGTTTGTGTTTGGATGCCTTGGACTGTCGATCGGTATCTATGGTAGCTTCGTGGTAAGTCTTGTTGTCGCGTGTTGTTCTTTTTGAGTTGTTTTTTTCTGATTATCTTGTTTAGTTTGACGTGATCACTACCATCTGCGACCACATCGACATCTGGTGTTTGACCATCAAGCACCCGTACGTCGAGGAGACCGAGCGCAAGGACGGTGCGGCCATCAAGGCTCACGTCGAGGGTGCGGCGAAGAAGAACCTATAAAGCCGTCATTCGCAGACTGGTGTGTAGCGTCGTGCATTGTTGGGTGCACTTGTAATTAGACTCGTATGTGAAGGTCAGTTCAACCTGGATCACCATGAGTCAAATACCGAAAAAGCATTTCGCTTTATTTGGTGAATTGCGGGGAGACGTCGAGACCACGATTGGTGGGTTGGACTCGCGGTCGGAACATTATTTGAGGAGGCGGCAAGACCAGCGGGGATGTGGTCCTAATGATTCTGTTTTCAGCCAGTACATAAGCTTTGCAACATCGGTTTGCTCGGTGTTATAGAATTTTTAAGTGTAATGTGAGATGTTTCAACGAGTGTATGTGATGTGTATGCATAGTAACAAGTATAGATAACAGCCAGAATGATCGATTGTTGATAAGCACTTGACTGCTTGCCCGATTGTCCAGGCAGACCCTTGGAACTGGCGGGCAGAACCAAAGCGGTGTGCCCTGGGCGGTACAATTGGCGGAAGCTCATCCACCACGCCTGCCCGAAACGAGCAGTCAAGCGAGGGCACAAACCCTACCCCATCAAATCCTCTCAAACTTCTCCTACCCTCCATTCCGTGTTCACACAAGGCCATCGCTATCAGCGCCATTCATCAACTCCCTCGCTGATCAAATACCGTCAAGATGGTGAGTTCTGCACCCACTCTCGATTCCCTGCTCGTCCGGCTCGATCTCGATTTTTTATCCCGACCCTTGACCGTTCGAACCGATGCATCGAGATTTTTCCCCCCTTAGCCATCAAACTCTTCTTGCTAACGTGACCTTCGTCGATAGGTTCTCGCGGTCGACCTCCTCAACCCCACGCCTCAGGCTGAGGCTCGCAAGCACAAGCTGAAGGTACGATGAAATCCGGAATCCGATGGAAATGGGAGAAATGAATATTTGGAGATGAAATTGGCAAATGATGGGGAGCGCGGATGTGGAATAAGATACTTCGGACTGGGGGGATTCAACGACTCGACCTCCAAACATCGACCACCAACGACACTCTTCGACCACGAATCCGCTCCCTATTATTATGCTAGAAAGAGATGGAATTTTCGATATCATGATGGAAACTTCTGGATAGATGGGAACAGTCTTTACTGACTTCAACTCTCCATCTCTACAGACCCTTGTGCCCCAGCCCCGCTCCTTCTTCATGGACGTCAAGTGCCCCGGCTGCTTCACCATCACCACCGTCTTCTCGCACGCCCAGACCGTCGTTATCTGCGCCGGCTGCTCGACCGTCCTCTGCCAGCCCACCGGTGGCAAGGCCCGTCTTACCGAGGGCTGCTCGTTCCGCCGGAAGTAAATGAGACGCGCAAATGAAATCTCTTTTTTATTTTATGTCTTGTTGAAACGCACAGAGGATAGCATGGAGCAATTAGGATGAAAATACCAGTCCCGGGTTTTTGACCTCCGCTTCGGTTCGGTACTTACGGAGACCGCCCGTCAAAATGTCACATACCAAATCAACCCTTTTCTCTCTTACCCACACCTTTTACCGAAATTTCTTTTTCTTTGCTTTATGGGATAACGATGGAGGAGGAGGAGAGAGGGAAGATGGGGGAAAGCCGCCTTGGAAATTCACCAGACAAAAAGGAAACAAAAACCCCCCTTTGGATTCGATTCGATATAAAAGCTATCCCATTTCGAGGGGGTGGTCTTTTTTCTTTTCTTGAGGGTTTCCCAAGGGCTGGCTATGATATGTTTACGATTCATACCACCTTTTTTCCTTTTCTTTCTTTTTTTCCTGTTTTCCCATGGAAACACCGCCAAAAAAATTTGAGATGTGACACTTTTGACAAAAAACCAAAACTCCCGCGCTGCTCCCACTTCCTAATTGCCTTTTTACTTACCTTGATGATGCTGTTTTTACAGCGTTCGTTTTTTTATATCTTGTTTTCTGTTGCGGATTGATGACAGATAGAAGATGGAATGACTCGTGCCACCCCCAAAAAGCGTTCGACGGCATTCTGCTGAGGGAGTTCCGGATATCTGGCACAGAGGCACTTTGCCTGACCTTGGTGCTGTGCTTGTTTTTTGCGTTGTGTTTTGATGTATCTTGCATTTCTTTGTAAATGGCGTCATACTCTAATCGAGATGTCCCCGATACTTGAGCTGCCTGCGTAGAAGACTTGAGTAAAGATTGTAGATCTGGGAGGTCAAAGTAGACATATCCCATTGTCGATTCTAGATTCTAGATCTTGGATGTGATGGATATTCATCGTCGCGAATCTGAGACTAGAACTCTTCTAATTACAGCCTAGAAGGTATACAAGCACACTACATGTTCTATCTATCCTGCCATATTCAACCACTCCAGCACCTACTAATTCCAATCAATATTCACAATATCCTCGTCTCCATCTTCCAAATACTCAACGTCATACCACCCCCAAGCCCTCCTCAGCTTCCCGTCCCCACTGCCGACGTGCATTTCCCCACCCCAACTGCCAGCTACGTAAAACCTTCGTGCACGGGTGACAATTCTTGTTCAGGTACAGCGTTGGACTTGCCATTCGATGCATGACATCATTTTTGATAGGGATCGATCGAAATATTTACTTTATTCTTGGTATATTCTATGACGTGGTGTAAGATAGGATGGTGGAAAGTATGTTTTTCAATGTATTGGATTGAATAAGTGTCTTGCTGGTTTACGCCCGATCGTTAGAATACAGGCATATCGTAGAAGTGGGCATTAGAGACTACCCGTAGGTACCGGGTGATATTTCCTTGTACCTTGCTATTCGGATGATACTATGGTTACTTCTGGATATGTACAGGGCTGGAAATATACTTTCGATCGACCCGCATACAACGATCAACTTTTCAATTACGCAGGTGGAAAAGATAGTGTGCGGGGGTATGACGTTTTTTTTATTGATGGTACAGATGAACGAAAGGCATTATCGTCATGAAAAGAAAGAAAGAGATCGTTAGAGATATGGCGGAATTAGTCTTCAATTCCAATCGACAAGCGACTGGAAGGCGACCTGAATTCCAATGCGTACCCAAATGTCGTTATGGGTGTGAAGGTGTGAATGTGAAGGTGTGAATGTGAAGGCGTAGAGAAAGGAAATCAACGCTGCCAGGACGAGGAACCGAAGGGCCAGGACGTATGAGATCATTCCCCAGGCTTAGATATCAGCCAGCTCCTTGGCCTTGGCCTTGATGGTAGCACCAAAGTCGAATGGGCGGGATGGGTCGCCGCCAGTCATGAGGGCCAGCTTGCCGGAGGAATCGTTGATCAGGACGCTGGTGAACTGGTTGCGGCCCGTGACTTCTTGGATGGCGTCAAGGGCCTGGCGGTCACCGGAGGCGTACCTGGCAGCATCGATCGTTTGCAGGGTGTTGTAGGTGTTTTTGACGAAGTCGAAGAGGAAGAAGGCGGTTGGGTTGGGCACGGGGGAGGTAATTTGAGGGTTGGCCTCAAATGCTCTGTTTTAGCTGGTGTTAGTATTTTATTGTTATATTGGAAGGGCCTAGTGGGTTATAGGGATTATGTCGTCCATGTGCGGTATACGAAGAGCCTTGTCTGCGGCGTCGCAAGCTCACAGGAAAGGTGCTTTTCTTCAGGCTTTAAGTGAGAGGCGGGACGTACTCAATCAGCTCCTTCATCTTGGCATCGAGAGCCTCAAGACGGCCACTGTTCTGCTGGGTAGACATGATGAATGATAAGGTGGATGTGAGGCAGAGATGTTGGAAGAAAGAGAAGTTGGAGAAAGAGAGTTTGTTGATTTCACGGGATGGGCGCCAGGAACGAGCTGGAAAAAGAGTGCGCGTGGGGCGCGGCCACCGAAACGGGTTACTCCGCCTGGCCTTATCGTAGCCTTATCGACATTATCGCAAGTCCCCTCCCAATATCCTCAGCTGCAACTTTCCATTACCTTCTTTCTCTTCTATACACATACTCTCCCTTTCCATGTCGAGAGTTGCCTCTCGAAGACTGTCACTTATATCATTACATTCAATTCCCACTAGCCGTTCCCTTACTACCATGGCTCCAAACCCGTCAGCCTCGGCGCGCCAACCGCTGAAAATCCTCATGCTCCATGGCTACACCCAGTCCGGCCCCCTGTTCCACGCAAAGAGCCGTGCCCTAGTCAAACACATCCAAAAGGCCTTTCCCCTACACGAAGTTTCCGCAATCTACCCCACGGGTCCCCTCCGCCTGAAACCCAGCGATATCCCCGGCTACGAGCCCTCCGAAGGCGGAGAACCGGAAGATGAGATCGAAGCGTACGGCTGGTTCCGCCGATCCAATACAGCAAACCCCCCTCTCTACCAGGGCCTAGAAGACGGACTTGCCGCCGTGGCCAAGGTTCTCTCGGAGGAAGGCCCCTTTGACGGCGTAATTGGATTCTCGCAAGGCGCTGCCATGGTGGGCATGGTTGCGGGGCTATTGGAGAGCGAGCGGAAAGAGGCCTTTGCGAAGTTTGAGAAGGATGAATCCGAGGGAGCGCCGGGGATTCCTTTCCCAGCTTCTTTCGCTGGATCGGGTTTCCAGCATCCGCCGTTCAAGTTTGCGATTGCGTATAGTGGGTTCCGGTCTCCTGGGGCGCGGTATCGTGGTTTCTACGAGAGTCCGCCGGTTCAGACGCCAGTTTTGCATGTGTTGGGGTCTTTGGATGCGGTTGTGGAGGAGTCGAGGAGTCGGGCGTTGATTGAGGCTTGTGCGGGGGAGCCGGAGAAGGATGGTTTGGTGGTTTGGCATCCCGGTGGTCACTTTTTGCCCAGTCAGCGGCCTTATTTGGATGCTGCTGTGCGGTTCATCCGGGAGCAATTGGAGAAGAGCAGTGGAGGCAAGAAGCCAGATGAGGAGGAAGATGTGAACGATATGGATGTTCCTTTCTAGTCGTCAAATGTCCCGATTGATGAGTATATATATAAACAGACGGGAGTGGCTCACATAGATCACATATATATAGACAGCCTTACTCTACACGAAAAACTTATTTGACTTCCGATCTTATCTTCAAATGTCATAATGTAACTGGTTCAATAAATCCACTTATTCAGTGGCTGGTTCTTCATAGCAGGTCTACCGGCGATATTTTACACACGGAGCAGCATTCCCACATCTCCACTACCCTCAACTCAACGAGCCTTGGCCTTCTCCCCACGAGACGGCAGGATACGAGCCATCATCTCCTCCTTGGTGATCAGATGATCAATCCGCTCCAACAGACCCAACAAGCTCTTCATATCACTGCTCCACTCGTTGAGAACGTCATCCGCATCCCGAGGCTTAGCAAAGTTGACTAGCCGCGCGGGTCGGTCAATCTTGGCATAGATGGTCTTCGACGTGACCAGCTCGCTAATGTACTTCTCGGTCTCCTCCTCGGTCAGATCCAGAAGCTGGGTCAAGCGGGGCATCTGAATGCGAGTGTAGTACTTGGCCACCACACGCACGTTGTGCTCAATGACCCGCTTCCGAAGATCTTGCCATCTGCGGTGAGCCTGGTTATCAGCCGACTGCTGCGCCTGAGCATCGAACACGTCGGTCTCGCAGAGGTGAGGGCCGAACTGCTCGGCGACCATCGGCCAGCGCATCAACTCGGGGATAGTGAAGAGCTTGACCAGACGGGCCTCCACGGGCACCTGGGACAACCGGGGGTCTTGTTGGATGCGGTGCAAGAGGTCTGACTGTTCGTTGTCATAGGGAGAGAGGACAATATAATAGACGATGCGCGCGAGGGACTGTAAGTTGAAAGTCGTTCGTTAGCATATTGTCGATCACCCCACTCAATCCAGGGTCAGACTTACCGCACGCAGCTGTGCTGGGCTTTTCTCGACTGCCTCGGTGTCCAGAACCTCTCGGTAGTTCTTGCAGACATCAAGGTACTTGTAATCGTGGTTGGCCAGAGCAATCTGCTGGTCGTAGTACCGCAGCTTGAGATCGGTCACATCGTCGTCCACCTCCATCGGAGCCTCATCCGGCCCACGGGTCTTCTCACGCTCCTCCGCCTGCTTCTTGAGCTTCTCAATCTCCTCGGCACTCTTCTTGGGTTTCCGGGCGAAGTACCGCTTGTTGATCTTACGGATGAGGATCGAGGCCTGTGTCCAATCTCCACGCTCGATGCATAGCGCAACCTGCTCCAGGATGAACTCGGTCTTTTCCCTTCGGGTCATAGATCCGAATGTCTCCACCTGCAACTCGCACAGAATGTCGGCCGCGGCATTGAGATCGCCTTGCGACTTCTTAATGTTCGACAGGATACGTGTAACGCGGGCTCGCTCAACTTCGACGAAAATCTTTGAAGAGGTGATGTTAGTGTCTAATCCAGACGAGGATTCTCCTTTAACACATTGATTGTTGGTATCTTACCTTGCCTTCGGTGACTGTTCGTAGAGTCTCAATGACCGAGAGCTTGACATCAAGGTTTGGCGTATCATCCAAGAACTTCATCACTTCCTGCACCATTCGCGTCGTCGCCTGCTTGAGCTGGGCATGTTTCTTAGAAAGGACGAGCACTTGGTCGTTGAGAAGGCTCCAGTCGCCGGAGTTCTTGCTAATGGTGACGATGGTGATCAGGAGGCGGGAGGTCGTAGCGAGGTCGGAAGCCTATCGTATAGCACCCGTGGTTAGTTTTCGGATGAATTGGAGGGATAGGTGATGAAGAGATGGCGTACCTGTCGGGCTTGCTTCTCCAGCACCAACAACTTGTCGATCGCACCTTGGACATCGGTCTGGATCGGGGCAAAGTCAGTATTCATAAATCCAGTGTAGGCGGGCTGGGTAGTTCGCACCTTGGCAAGGGCCTCAGCTTCCGGGATCAGCTTGTCGGCGTCCTTGGTGAAGTCCTTCTCGGGCTTCAGCAGGCCAGCGGACATGATGACGAATGTGGATGGGAGTGTCGTAGATCGGTTCACGGGCGACGAGGTAAATAAAGGCGAGTAGAATTAAGTAATGGCACTGCGAGATAGCAGTACAGCGATGGGAGGGAGAGCAGAACGGGAGATGATGGATGACGGTGATGCTGGAGCTCTGGGGGACCGCCCTTGAGGCTTGGAAGCTGCAAGCTCCGCATCACGTGACTCCATCAACAGAGTAACCAACTGACCGTCCGAATAAGATGAACTGAGATACAAATTACAACAGAGAAATCGATTCCTTTTGCATATTGACATACATAAAATATATTCTTCTATATGCTCTCCTTGCCGATTTAGCATATAATATTTCCTAGAAAGTATTGAATAATGGAAGAAAACTATATCTAGTTGAAAGATACTAATGATCAGCCATGGGGCTACTAGAACGAATAGATAGGCTAATACTTGTCCCCATGAACTTCCAGGACATGCGCCGGAATACATAGTCAACTGTAGCCCCAAGATCGATCTAGAACCTCCAGCGTTTAAGTGCGAACTGCCAACTGGAGACCCCAGAGCCGGGGGATATTAGGTAAGCCCCATCGCAATCACGGGAATTGTTACACACACAGCAGCTTTTGCTAGCCGCACAGCAATTATGTAATATCCCGCATCACATAATCAATTTCGCCAAGAATCCTTACCATACATTACCGCAGCAACTGCATTACTTACCACTATAGCAACTGCATTCTATCAACTACTACTATAAGAGGCTCTCTTTCTTCTAATCAATCTTCATTCAATTGATCATTTCATATTATTTACATAGCCTATTATACCCTGCAGGAACGTATTGTATGGCCAATTTCTCCACAATTTGAGCACTTTGATGGCGCTTTCTTCTTGATAACCCGTTGGTCTGATGTTTTGTTGATTTGATATGATGTATCTTTGGTTGATTTCCTTGGTGGCAGCGGTGGTAATAGAGGATTAAGTATTGGCAGATACTCTGATTGCTCATTGCCAAGGCCAAGCCTCCAAAATTGATGTATATCGCTTAGTGGAATCGGCTGATACGTTGACAATAAGCTAGCGATTCGGTGGGCACATGGAAGGCCCATTGTCCTAGAGAATATATTAGTACAATTAGATAAAGGGGCTTCGGGAGTAGCTCTTTTAGCTATAGAAGCTTGCTTATAGATCTGGCGAAGCGAGTATTGTGATGCTCTCTTTGTAATATTCGAATAGAGAAAGTGTGAGCAAAAATTTAGCGTTTTAATCCGATCTTCTGCAAGATCGGACGAAAGGGTATAGTGCTGAGCTTCTAATGCGATATTAATTCGTTCAAAAACAAAGAGGATATCACCTGTTGATGACCCTATATACTTTTTTAAAATAGCATGAGAGCCTTCTACTCGTGAGGTTGCCCAATTACCAAGATGAAGATATTGGCCTATCCACGCCCTAACGAACATTTCTTTATAAGTTAGCCAGGTCTGTTTTATATATCGAAGAGCAGCAGGAGCAATTTGACTAAATCTAGTCTCAAACTTAGCGAGTTGATCTTCGTATTCAACTAGAGTAGATGAATTAATAAGCGATTTCCAAGACTGTATAAAAGCTTCAAATTCCTCATTCGAAGAGAAATATTGCTTTGTCTTTGCAAGCACATTCTTATTAATATGCCAAACGCATAATAAATGTGGGCTTCTTGGATAGATAGATTTAATTGCACCTACTAAAGCAAGATCTCTGTCAGTACAAAGAACTGGAGAAAAGGATAAGGGGTCTAGCCATGAGAAAAAAGTATATAAAGTCCACTTATAGCTTTCCTCCTGCTCATTTTGCATGAAGCAGAAAGCAATACTATAAGATGAATTCGATGGTGTAAGGCCGATAATATGTAAAAGGGGCATCTTATATCGATTCGTTTTATAAGTGCAGTCTAATAAAAAGACCCTATTATATTGATTAGCATACTTAATTGATGTAGGGTGAGCGAACATAAAGAATTGAACATGACCTTCAATATCTTGTTTGAATGCATATCTCCAATTATTATTTTGAAGGGTTTCCCTTAGAAATTCAAGCGGTGTAGAATTACCAAGTTTCTTTTGCCTTGATGCTATTCGAATATTATAGATATCTCTTGGCTTAATCAAGATTTTAGGATCTTTTCGCATTATACTTAGTATATATTGTGGCTTTGACCCGATATCAGTAAGATCCTGAATAGTTTGGTTTTGATCTTCGGTAAACTGCCGACGTCGTGCTATAGAGTGACCAATCATATTATCATCAGCCTCATGGTTATGAATAGGATTTCTAACCTGGATTTCCCACTGATCGCTTCTAAGCTTCTTCGCATAGAGACGAAAAGGGCAGCCAATTCGTTTTGTACTAGTTTTCCGGCGCTTCGCCCCATCTGGGGCATTGACCTGATCGTGATAGTAACCACCTCTATCACATCCAAGAGTGATGTTTCTATCTCTACTTGATGAGACAGTAGTTATCGCATATCCATGAGCAAGAGCATGCTGTTGGATAGAAGCAAGGAGCTTCTCTTTACTCTCAAAGACTTGCTCAGCTGGTGGGTTCATGATTGAATGAAGAAAGATCAATTGAATGAAGAATGATCAATTGAATGAAGATTGATTAGAAGAAAGAGAGCCTCTTATAGTAGTAGTTGATAGAATGCAGTTGCTATAGTGGTAAGTAATGCAGTTGCTGCGGTAATGTATGGTAAGGATTCTTGGCGAAATTGATTATGTGATGCGGGATATTACATAATTGCTGTGCGGCTAGCAAAAGCTGCTGTGTGTGTAACAATTCCCCGCAATCACGCAATTTGGCCCTAAGCCGCTTCGGGATTTGCAGATGTATAGAAAAATTTCGGCCACAAAATGACTAACAGTGCGTTCGAGGGCACTCGAGTCTAAAATTCACTTCTTATCCTTGACTAACGACCTTGCCGCCTGACTCTTTCTTTTTCAACTTGGCCAACTTGCTTATTCTGCGCGGTGGCGTTGCGATTGCTCATCCGATAAAGTGAGAGGGTCCTTATCAGTGGCTTATCACCAATCGTGACTGGCCATTTACTCAGTCCGGAGTAAGTTCTCGATCTCCGCGGAACTTGCAGCAGCGTGCATATACGGGACCGGGCCTTTATCGGACTCTATTTCATATATCTGAGCAGTCAGAGCCCTGTCATATTATCCTGTGGCCGCCCTCTGCACTCCCTGCCCGTACAGCAGCTTCTACAACTTTCTGCCTTGAACCGCCACTATCTGGAGGGGTAACCCGCACTTTGCGGCACGATACGACACAATGAAGGACGCCTCCAATGGATTTGGCCCTGCGCCATTGATGACTGCCTGGAATGTTGAGTCGCAAGTACACTTGATCGTCGGTGCCAATCCTTTGGCTGCCGCTCGATGCGCCAAAAGTCTTGAAGCTGGCGCAAAACCTATCATCATTGCGCCAGAGACGGCCGACGTGCATTTCACTCTTGCCGAGCAGATTTCCAATGGCTCGGCGCAATGGGTGCGTCGCGAATTTCAAGATGATGACTTGACTACATTGGGACGAGAGGAGGTAGACCGTGTGGTGGACACAGTCTTTGTCACTCTGGGTGGTAGTGACCCATCGAGTAAGTTTCCAGTCATTGGTCTTGGGATTGGGATAGGGATATCGCTGACCATTTCTTCCGTAGGCACACACATCTCAAATCTCTGCCGACGCTTGCGAATCCCCGTCAACGTATCTGATGCACCAGAGCTGTGTTCGTTCACGCTACTTTCTACCTACTCCGACGGTCCTCTGCATATAGGAATCACAACCTCTGGCCGTGGCTGCAAGCTTGCGTCTCGTCTGCGTAGAGAGATTGCTGCTTTCCTCCCAGCTGATCTCGGATCAGCTATCGACCGACTTGGTAGTGTGCGCCGACGGCTCTGGGAAGAGGATAACGATGCCGGTCTCGGCGAATCAAATATGGACGGCGATGACGATGACGCATCGGGTCAGAAACACACATTCAACACTTTAGTTACGGAAGACGATGCCTCTGCGGCAAAGACCAGGCGTATGCGTTGGTTGTCACAAATTTGCGAATACTGGCCTCTTCGGAAGCTTGTTTCGATCACCGATGAGGAGATTGATGCAATTCTCAAAGCATACTCATCCACCAAGGACGCCGAGCTGGAGACCAACGGAGTTAACGGAACCAACGGTGTATCAAAGAAGGGCAAGATCGTGTTGGCTGGCTCTGGCCCTGGACATCCAGACATGCTTACTCGCGCCACATACAATGCCATCCAGAGTGCTGACATCATTCTGGCTGACAAGCTTGTTCCGGCGCCTGTGCTGGAACTCATTCCTCGCAGGACGGAAGTTCACATTGCACGCAAGTTCCCCGGCAATGCCGACCAAGCACAAGAAGAGTTCTTGCAGATGGGTCTTGCATCCCTGCGAAAAGGACAGCAGGTACTCCGCCTGAAACAAGGAGACCCATACCTCTATGGCCGAGGCGCCGAAGAATTCGAGTTCTTCCGGGCGGAAGGTTATACTCCCGTTGTGCTCCCTGGTATTACCAGCGCCATGAGTGCGTCTCTGTTCGCCGATATTCCGGCCACCCACCGAGGCGTCTCAGATCAGGTACTGGTCTGCACTGGAACTGGCCGGAAGGGTGCTGCTCCAGAGCCTCCAGCATACGTGCCTACTCAGACCGTTGTGTTTTTGATGGCTCTTCACCGACTCTCTGCGCTTATCGAGTCCCTTACCACATACTCGGCTGAAGACTCGACCCGCTCACGCACTCTCTGGCCAAAGGAGACACCCTGTGCAATTGTGGAGCGTGCTTCTTGCCCGGATCAGCGTGTTGTTCGGTCAACACTGGAGCATATCTGTCGCGCATTTGAAGAAGCGGGCTCTCGGCCACCGGGCTTGCTCGTTGTCGGCGCTAGCTGCCATGTCCTGCATAGGCCTGCGGAGGGCCAGAAGTGGGTGATCGAGGAGGGATTCCATGGTTTGGACGGACTGCACAGCGACTTGGATGCTGCAATGGCGCTGACTGAAGAGAAGTAATTGGAAATGTTGCATATACAAGGCGATGGAGTTATGAAGATTTGTACATAGACAGGATCCAGATACCCATGAGCATTTTGAAGGCTAGAACATGATGACAATGATTTTGATATTGAGTATACTTCAAGCATCCAGATTTACAGTCATCTTAAAGTGTAAATTCTCAAGTTACCCCAAGAACAGAAATCACAATGGTTATTGTTGTAAACCCCCGCCATCGGATTTGCCAAAGCTATGACGCCATACTTCAGTAGCCCCGACACCGCCTCCACTCCATCTCCACCAGATCTTCCAGAAGCATTCAGGACAGTAAAGCACTGCACAATGGCACCTACATCCCATCTTCCTTTATTTGGCGGAGTCCGGTATGTCTATCGAGATTAATTGCGCCCTCACCTTCCTCACCTTCGGATCAATGCTAATCAAACACACCTGCATCCAGCGCCTGGTCCCAAAACGACTGGACCTCCTCCGATGACCGCGTCCGTGGCGGCTCCTCTCAATCCGAACTGACCTGCTCCGCCTCTTCATTGATCGCCAAATTCCACGGCACCCTCGACATCAAGACCCTCGGCGGTGCCGGTTTCGCTTCGCAACGTACAAGAGGGGAAGACCGGACATGGGATCTCTCCGCGTACGACGGCATTGAACTAGTCATCGACAGTGCAGACGGCAAGCTGTACACTCTCACATTGAAAGATGAGATTCTCCCCAAGCGCCCTGATGGTCGGGAGCAAAGCACGATAAGCTGGGAATTTGATTTCCGGGCTCAGGGCCGTCGGACGATTTTCGTCAAGTGGAGCGATTTTAGGGCTACGTATCGTGGGAGGGATAAAGATGATGCTGAGCCGTTGGATTTGAAGAGGATCAAGAGATTCGGTATCATGATTAGGAGGTATGTGTCGTTTTCCTCTTTTTTGGTTGGGCTGGGCACATGTTGACCTTTGGTTTCTAGTTTCTTCGGTGACCAGGAAGGCGCGTTTGCACTTAATCTCGTTTCTATTGCGGCACTTCGGACGGAGCGATACCTTGACGAGCCCGATGATGAGTACATTGATGATTTTCTGTATGAGAAATCGGCAGCCGAGGCCGCTTCTTCAGAGCAGGCTGGAGGACGTCGAGGGTGGTTCAGCTGGTTGACTTCATGCATTCTCTAAAGCCTGTTCACTGAGAAAACCTATTTCATTAGGGCTGGAGTAAAGCGCGGATTTCGGCAGATATTTCGGTTAAGTAAAAGTATGACTACCATGCGGGAGAAAAGTCCTATATTCAAATACAAATTCTCATATACATTCCCCCGTTCAAAGTCTTGGAGTAAATAAAGGATGGCAAATCACTCGACACCTGGATAATTAACCCATTCTGAGAAGTCCATGCCGCCTGGGCTGGGCATATGCTGCTCCACTGGGAAGAGACTGCCTCCGAACCCAGGGTCACCAAACAACTGTTCCGGGAACGGCATGAACCCTTGCTGCGGTTGCTGTTGATGGAAGGACTGTTGGTTGTTTTGTTGGTGCTGTGGGAGCCCAGACATGATAGTTGGCGATGGGCCAAGGAGTCGGTTGATAACCTCATAACAGCGGAGGGCGAGTTGATTGTGGCCAAGGGATGGGTGTGTCAAGAGGGCTTTGGTGGTCTCGACGTCTTGCAGCCATCTTGGGGCATCTGGATTTGAGGGGTCGGTCATAAGGAGGACAATGGGGATAAGGCCAGCCTGGAAAAGGAAGTAGCTGGAGAACAGAGTTAGCTAGCGATACGAGAGCTGCTGTCGAAAGCGGAATTTGGCAACTTACAGCATGTACCATGCTCCGATTCTGGTGCACATATAGTTGTCCATGTACTCAGAGATGGAAGAGATAGTGAGTCGTGCATTTTGGAGGCAGCGTAAGCGGCATTCCGTCTCACAGGGATCTTCATTGCCTCCTTCAGATGATGCAACGGATGATACGTCAGAGCCACCGCTGTGAGGACCCCAGCGACGAGCGGCCCAGCGGAGTAGGATTGGGCGGTAAATAAGAATCGTCAGATTCCAATTTCGCCATAGAAGTCGATTGCGAACGAGGGCGAGGTTGTCTGGATCCGGCTGTGTTGGATGCACGGCGAGAGGCTGCAGTGGATAGTGCATATAGGACGGCAGACCACTATACCACTCTTCCATGGGCTTTTGAAGACTCAAGGTTTCTTCGGGCGTGATACTAGGGCTAGAGATAAGGCGCTGATACACGCTGTTGGTAAGGAGGTGGAATTGGGCCTGTGCAATCAAGCCGGAATAGAGAGTGGGCCCGGGTGATTCAAGAGGTAATGTAGTTGTTTGTGGGGTCAAAGCCTGGAAAATGACATGTTAACTTGAAGGGCGTCTTATATTCCCGAATGGATGTACTCACGTCGTCATGAATATTCAAGACTTGTTTACAGTCCATGACACACTCTTCTGGAAGAAGAATTGGCCGACCAAAGGTTTTGGCAGCACCACTGTCAAAGATGAACACGCCCCACCATAGTCGACGACGGATTTCTCGCTGGAGAAGACTAATCTTCCAGCCTGGGAACTCCTTGTGTAAACCCAGACTCATAGCCATGCGGACAGCCAGACCCAAATAGTTCCAGCCAGTGTTAGGCTTGTTCCGCTTTTGAGCATAGTTGCTCAGCAATAACAATGCTTGGACTAAGGTCAGGTTTCCTGTTTCAAAGACAGATGCTTGCTGTAGACAGGCTCGGGCTTCCTGGTAGAAGGTCACGTCAAGGTCCGAGCTGTCATCTCCGATACTCCATGCACCAAGTGCTAAGATAGTATTGAGTAGGATTTGCCAAGCAGTACCATGAGGCCGTAGAGACGGCTCATTGAACTGCGCTCGGAAGGTGGGTTCGTGGACGAACGGGTAACTTGTATGGTAATTCAGGAAATAGGCATCAATGAACGCTTGTTCAATCAGGCCAGATGGAGCGCTCTCAAGGAGCTGTGCTTTGAGTGGTACGCCACCAGATCTTGATGCGCGAACCGGTATGTTCAAGTCAAATCCATGGTCAAAAAGCGCTCTCAGCGGAACGACACTGGACGAAGCTCCTGTTCAACTAGTCAGACTTTGGCCGCAAAAATCACAAGAACGGGCATTGACGAACCGAAATAACCGGCTCCTTCTGGCTTAATAGACAGCGCGGCCATTCCATCAGCGAGATCGCCCAGTACGAGCTCCTTCTCGGCCCAGTCGAAGCCATCTGCCTGCTGAGGTAGAGCCTCGGGTGCGGGCTCAGTCCGCTCTGCCTCGGGCTTGGCTGGGGTCGAATGTCTTGAAGACGATTTGGATGAGGGTGCTTTGGGAGCCTCTGGATTCTGCAAAAGAGATCGAAGAGTGGCATCTAGGTCACCTCCAGGGAACAGTCGGCCCAAGGCTGTTTCAAATGCATGCAAGCGGTCTTCAACATAGGTCAAGTGTCTGAAGTTTACTGTTAGCCTGCTATGTTTTGAATTCTTAGCATAGAAGGAAGATGCTTACTGCCGCGTCAACGGACTCCGGGTGACCTTCGGACTGTACTTGCACTCCTTGTTCAACTGCTGGCATTGCAAACAAACTGGCCTCTCCTTTGAGCACTAAAGCAAGAATGAGCACCAAGTTTATAGAGTACTAGGCCATTCTTTGGATCGAGACTTACCCTCGACTTCCGGAGTCGGCACTCATCGCACTATTTTCGTATTAGTATCTCCAGTGTCCAACCATGCGAGGCTTCTTCGTCTCTCCTCGGGAAGTAAAATACATACAGCGAACGAATGGGAATCACGAGTGCTTGCCATCTTTATCGATGCAAGTTGAATCGTTTAACTCGGTTTTTTAATGCGCTCTGATCATGACACAGCTCGGGAGTCATCTTTTCGAAATGGTCAGTAAAGTGAGTTCTGAATAATTGCGCATATCATGCATCAGAGTTGATCCTGCAGGCAGCGTGGAGGGGCAGATGTATAGCACAGCAGGCCGGCTTGGATGCATCAACTATAGATGCGGAGGGGCCGGAAGCGAGGCGAGGTATTTAAACAATAAGATGTGGATAACTCACGATCGGCGCTAGAGCAAACATTGATCAGCTAAGACCATCCAGACTCACGATGCGTTGGATGAGACGCCGCATTCAACGGTCCCCTCGATAGTGGGGAAATGCCGATCATGTGATGCGCTGAAAAAATCACAGTGTTGCCTCAGGCAGCAATTCGCTTTGGGCATCATCTCCGCGGAAGCCGTTGAATTGACTGGGCAGCGAGACTTTATTAGGTAACTGTCGATGATTGAAGATCATGATAAGCATTTTTTTTAGTTAATTTTGATCTACCTAATGGATGGTGGCGCAGCCTCACTCTAATGCCAATTATTTTGGGGGGACTTGTACGAAGCCTAGAAATTTAATGTCAGATGCTTAAGACCCAGATGTATATTTTGGCTACAGCGTAAGGTCAGATCTAGAATCTTACCAGGATGCATGAAATTGCTTCTTCAGATTATGTTCAAAATTTAAATACACACTATGCCATACACATTAAAATTACCATCTTCTATTCAATCAGGTAGAAATAGAACCAAAATTTGAGAACTCGAATCGTCAGGTCGACCAGCACATCAACACTTTGATATTCTTGGCACTGATGCGAAAGCGGGCCAATCACATCACCACTTCATTTTTTTCCACTTTACATCACCAGCACCACAACCTCAAGAAAGAGCAAGAAGAGAATCTCTATTCAGAAATCTGAATCTTCGAACTATCTAGGCCTGTATTCAAAAAGCTAGCCTTCTCAGAGATTGAGCAGGTCGAGGCGCAACCATGCCTTCTCAACCCCCACTACCGCCCCTCCTCACACCCTATCTATCAAACCAGCCCGAGTCTTCACTCACGCTGGTGTCTTCAATTTTGGGCGCAACTTCTAACTGGCTCATCCTGAGGTACCTGCATGCTGCACTGGGTACATCTTCAAGCTCTAATGTCTCTGTTGGATTCGATGAGCTCCCCAATGGTGCTAAGAGGAAAGTGGTGCTCGTGAGCTTCTTGCGAAGCTGGGAATTCTGGAGGGCAGAGGCAAAGCGATTGGTAAGTCAAGAAGGATGGGTAGCATTCAATCTAATGATTGTCATACCGTCGCATCTGATTGTCCCCAAGGGACATCCTACGTCAATTCAAGCCTCATGTAATACTGACAGCTCACCAGGGCCTGGATCTTGCACGCTTAGCAGACAAGCAACAGTTCGCCTTTGTGGATGGCCTGTCAGAGCTATTCACTACCCCTAGCATTACCTCTAGTGCACCGATGAACACAGGAAGCGCGGTGCGCACAACCCTTCCTATGCGATCTCATCCTGGCGCTGTGCCTGGTAGAGGACCACCCTCAGCGGTGACAGCTGAACGCCCTGGAAATGGAAGTCTTCCTCAGAGAGAGTCTGGCAGCACTAAGAAATTACATCTTACTGGGCATGGAATTGCCGCGCTGGATGCCATGGAAAAAGACATTATCTCTGAGATCAATCGACAGAAGAGTTCCATGACCGAGGGCGATGAGATACTGCTGGTTATTGATCAACCGGATTTCCTTCTGGCCGCTACTGGCGCAAGCATGGGCATTGGAGCCACTGAAATGGCGGAGTGGGTGACTGGATTACAGCAGGTATGGTGTTCAACTGATACGGCCAGCCTTGGTACGAGTACGAACTAACTGGTCTTATAGCATGTGCATGCAACTGTCTTGACCATGGCTGCGGATTCCCCATTGATACATAACGCGTCTACTACTGGGAACCAGCTATCTACGCCCATCGAGACAGAACATGCGGCATTTGCCATTGGCATGGCTCATAGAGCCCGGTCTGTGATGCAGCTCCGTACGCTCGAGACTGGTGCTGCAAGGGATGTGAGCGGGGTGCTCAGAATCAGTCGTGGCGGTGGCTGGACTGCCGAGACAGAGGACAACCTGGACGAAAGGGAGTTGCTGTACAATATCCAGAGAGATGGCGGAGTTCGAGTATTTGGGCGTGGCGAGTCATGAGCTGTTTCGATTGCGGGGTTCCCTATAATGGTTAATTATGGCTCTGGTAGAATCTAAAAATTGAACACCCGTGACGAAGACTTGGTTCTTTCCAGCCAAAACGACTGCCCGTTCAAGATAGACCCGGAAATAGAAGAGAGATATCTTCGCATTGTTTATCTGCCACGACATGGGGATATTCGCCAGTCATAAACGAGGAGAAAATAAAGGAAATTCATGCATGTTTTCCAAGACCGTAGCCTTGACTTTTATGCCGCTTTGTCCTCCTCGCACAACTTTTCATCCTCTCGAACCGTTTGCTGTCCCCGAGGCTATGTGCAAGTGACGCAACAAAGGACGAGATTGACGATCGTAACCACACCAACTCCATGAGAAAAAGCGATATTTTTTTTATTTCGGAATTGCCATTTGCATTTCGAGTAAATCTATCTCGCAATGCTAGGCCATGTCATGCCAGGATGTCCGACCCACCCCTCATTTCTTTTCCAGCCTCTCCGAGCAACGAAAACGCGACGCCGAATGGGAAAACATTGTTGATTTAGGAGCTCTGGGGGCCACGAGCGCCCTTGGGGGTACCGGTCTGGAAGCCGTTCGTGAAGCGGCGGTGGACGTCGCGGAGGGAGCGCAGGCGGCCGGAGCCGGTGGTCTTGCGGCGCTTGGCCTTCTCGCTCCAGTTGTCTGTTGTGTAAGAAAATTCCGTGTAAGCCTCTGATAACCAGCGTCGTATCCTCCACAGAGCCGTTCTGCATTCTAATCGCATGTTTCATCTGAGAGAAGGGGGAGTATGCGTACACTTGCGGGTCTTAGCAGCAGGGTAACCGCAGTTGGCGCAGGTCGACTTCTGGATGTGGAAGGACCGCTTGCCTGTCAAGTCGCAAAAGAATTCCGTCAGCAATTTGTTCGTAGATTACTGCATATCATCCACCTGTCGTTGTCCATCGGCAGTTCCAACTCGTATCAACCCTTTGTAGAGAAACGTTCAAACTTCGGACCGAACAGGTGGATCGAAAAGAATCGTGGGATTATGGGAAATACTAACCACAACGACGGCACAGAGTGTGAGTCTTGTTGTGGCGCTTGCCGAAGCTCGAAGTACCCTTGGCTGTTGGAAGTTGTTAGTCTTTGAACGGATTCGATGTTGCCGACGATTGCGCGGAGCGAGGATTCGATATTCGACGTACTCATTTTGAATTAGGGGAACTGCCAGAGACAATGGGATGTTAGTAAAATGAAGAAGGGGACGACGGTGGTGGTGTGAAAAGGGGGCAGCATGCGAGCGTACCTGGCAATTCCGTTGAAGGGCTGTTGTCGGGGTCGTCGTCGCTAGGCGTATCGAAACTTCCCACGAGTGGTGATGGTGTCGGCTAAGCGAAAGCTGTGGGCACGTCACGGGATCCAGGGCACAAGCCCTGACCGCGGTAACGTGACCAAAATCACATGACATCTACATGGCCCGTGCTGAACCAACACCACGTGATCATATATTATATGCCTGAGGCGCCACACACTAGACCCATCCAGACCACATTTAAGACCCATACTGTACATTTCCTCCATGCTGTTCCTTTATAACATGCAGTATCGGGAATTTGGACGAAAATGAAAGTAGCCAAAGATTTAGATCTACTACATCTTTTGTTAAGATCCAATCGTAGGAGAAATTGTAATGGGTTATCTCTTTTGTACAGATTGTTCATGCAATATCATGGAGGGGTATTATAAACTGAAACGCCCAGAAATGGAGAAGAAGAACGGAAAGCCCCTGTTGAATACTCTAATCAATATCCTTTCCGATAAAATTTGCCATCGGGTCCTCGGCAGCCAGCCTGCTTCGCTTGTATGACTCGAGCTCTTCCTCTGTGATGCCGGACTTGATCTCCTCCAAAGTCCGCTTTTTGCTGTTATTCGCCGTCGATTCTTGGACCTCATCCCGCTCGGACTCGCGGGTAACATTTAAGGGTTCTAAAGCATCGCCGGCGGCATCGCCATCTGTCTCTGCTAGCAGCAACATGTTGCCTTCTTGCCGGAAGGCTTCCTTGCCATCTTCGCCCGTGCAATAGCTGTTCTTTACGGTCGAGAAACAGCAAGCATAGCCCCACTTGAATTCATACCACCAACTGCCCCAAACCGACGTATGATTATTGACCATAATGTCTTCAGGGTACTTCGATTTCGTGGCCTTCTTGGGGGCGCCCTTGATGGCACCCGACTCATCGTATTCCACGAAGCGCTCATTCTCGACAACCATCGTGTCACGCAGTGGGGTGGCGCCTAGATGGTCGTTGCCTCCGTATTTGTCCAGGAGGGCCTTGCGCTGGGCTTGGCGTTTAGCCTCAGATTCCTCCTTCTCTTTCTTCCGGAGGAATTCTCCAGATGTTGGGTTTGCTTGCAAGTGGATCTGCGCCCTGCCTGCTTCTTGCGCATCCCAAGCATAGCGCTGAGCCTTTTCAAATTCGGCAGCATCGCCAGAAGCGCGAACAAAGTTTTCCTCTGCAACCAGCGCAGAAGCCTGATCCTCTTGAGCACCCATGTCCACCATTCGACGAGTCTTCGGATCATATTTGGCGGAATCAAGATCCAGGTTCAGAAGATATTTAGCGGTGTCTTCTCGGATGCGGAGGTTGCGCGTAGCAGTGCTCTGTTGTCTGCCCATGTCGGATTCTTCGGCGTAGCGAATATCCTCATCTTGCGCGTCGTCCCCGTCGTCCCCGTCTTGCAATTTCTGAAGATCGGCTCCCTCTTTTGCCGCTCGCTTCATTGACTCAAGCTCTTCGTATTCGTCAACGACCTGGCGATATTCACTGGCATCGTAGCCGTTCCAGCGGTCTCTCTTCGCGTCCCAACCCATATCCACCTTCTGAATGACCTCATCCGCCTGGATATCCTTGCCGGTCCACTTGGCACCCTGTTTCCTCGGTCGGCTGAGACACTCCTTTGTCTTGTGTGTCATTGAGCCGCAGTTTTCGCATGCACCTTTGCGATATTTGGTCGCAGCTGGTCCGGCGCGCTTTCCTCGGTCGTACCATTTTGACTGATCTTGCGCTTTCTTTTGTAGACGCTGATGTTCAAGGTAATCGTCGTTGGATTCGTCGTCGACATAGAAGGGCTTTTTCGAGATGAAGGACGGAATGTATTCGTTGCGCTCCTTGGACGCCACATCGGCTGGCTTTCGGGACGACATATTGCGGGAGAAGAGCGCAGTAAGTAGCTGCAAAGGTTCGAGCAAGAGTCCCGGGGATAATTTCTGACCAAGCACCCAAGCACTCTGAAGAAAGAAGAAAGGATGAGGCGAAGTTGACGGGAAGGCCAGGCCCGATGTAGTGATCGACGGAGCTGGGATTTACCCGCCCCCACGTGACCAGGCGTCCCACTCGCGCTCCGCTGGCGCGCGTTTGTCATGCTGGGGCATATCTCACGTCTCCAATAATTATCGGCGAGTCGCGCGAATCATCCAACGACGGAGTTGAATCCACATGGGAACACAACTGTTTGGCGCTTCTTCGCGCGATGTCGCTGACACTTCCTGGTGAAGCCATTTCAACCCGATGGAGCCCTTTCGCGTACGCCTTAACTGCATCGATCACTACCAAGCGACCGTGTCGGAACTGGACCCTCCTTTGCCCTTTCGGGATGGAGTCTCAGAGAAGGATTACAGGCCCAGAGTGCCTGTGATCCGAGTATTTGGAGCGACCGAAACTGGACAACGTATTTGTGTCCATGTACACGGAGCATTTCCATACCTGTACATCGAATACAATGGGTCGCTGGCGCCCGAAGCTGGTGTGTTAAGAACCGGATGAACCCGATGCGCGATTGGACTTTCTTTGCTAAACGAAAAAATCTCTGTAGTAAGCTCATCAATACGTACTCTCCACCTTTCGATCGATCACGCTCTGGCGGTTAGCTACCGCCGCAATGCCTATGATAGGAAGACCGCATATGTAGCGCACATTACCCTGGTTAAAGGGATTCCATTCTATGGATATCATGTCGGCTATCGAACCTTTTTCAAGATCTACCTGCTTAACCCATTCTATATCACGCGCTTAGCAGACCTGCTACATCAAGGAGCAGTGATGAAACGACCACTTCAGCCGTACGAGAGCCACCTGCAGTATGTCCCTCAATGGATGTGCGATTACAATTTGTATGGGTGTGGGTATATGAACTGCAGCAAAGTCAAGTTCCGAGCACCGGTGCCCGAGTATTTGGAACTCAACAATCTCCATCATCGCTGGCACGACCGTTCCATCAGCCCAGAAAGCATCCTCGATGACCCAGCTCTACAGAAACAGAGCCACTGCCCTTTGGAAGTCGACGTTTGCGTACAAGACATACTGAACAGATTTGATATCAAAGAACGTCCGTTGCATCACGACTTCACAGAGTTTCTAAGGCCGGCTGCGATCAACGAGCGCCTGGTTCCCAGTGTCGCCGGGCTTTGGCAGGATGAGACGAAGAGACGCAAGAAACAGATGGGGCTCACGGATCCCGACTGTACCCCTTTTGGCCCCGAAGACCTGGTCTCCATGTCGGCTGACCCACGAAATCAAGCCAAGGGAGGCTGGGTTCACGAAGAGGAATTTCGTGAACTGGTACTTCAAGTCGCGGCGGATGAAAGATCTGAAGATAGCGGGAGAGAGACAACCTTTGAATCGTTTCTGGGCCCCGATTCCGAGAAGGCGGATATTAAAACAGCTTTAACCAGTGTCCAAGATTTCTATCCGGATAGATTGCACGAGTCGACTTTGAACGATCGTCATCATGCACGGCAGGCTGTCGACGAAGTGAAGGGTGAAATTTCTGTTGATGAAGGCCTCGCATTATCTTCTCAGGCCGATGAAAACTATCCTTCAGAGCCGGAACTAGACCAGTCAAGGACTGATGAGGAAGGAGAGGAGGAATTCCAGGATCAGCCACATCCCTATGAGAATCCAGCCCTGGAGGAAAGCTTCTATGACGGTATTTTCGATGAATTTTCCGAGCCAAATGAGGCCCAACCAGAGCACGGACATCAGCCCAACGTGCCCTGTCTGCATCCGAATGAAACCTTTACCAAGGTACCCCCATCTTTCGAAATGGGCCTCAAAGCTGATATACAAGCGCAGCGCCAGCTTAATGAGAAGGCAAATGGTTCCAAACGCGCACATAACGAAACCACCTATGATGAAGCAGCACCACTAGTCAAGAAGCCGAGGTTCTGGACAGAGCCAGACGAGATCAATGCGCAGGAAAATGGCACAGAAGACGCCGATGATCTAGAGACCGCCAAAAGGGCTAATTGCCCCAGCCAGAATTTGGCGGCATCACAATCATCCGAGTCGAGGTCATCCTCATCCCAGAAGACAATTCGTCCATCAAAGGCGACTGCGCAAGTGCAGAATAGCAGACTAAATTTCCCCGTCGTCAAGGATCCAAATGATCCTATGACAATCCTACGCTTCAGCCAGGACGACGGGCATTCTTCATCAAAGAAAGACCAGGGCTGTCAGCCTATGCCGAGCTCGTTTCCTTCCGGATCGGCCACGAGTGCTACGCCGGGCGATGCTAGCGGATTGTCTTCCTCACTCCCCCGCTCATCTTGCACGGTGGGAAGATCCGTTATTGCACTCGATCCACACATCGCTGCTCTCAAGTCAACAATTCACGATTCGTTTGATTTCCAAAAAGACACTATTTTATGTCTTCCTAGATTCCCTGGCCCCGGAACCAACGAAGCAGTCTCAACCATGACCGATTTTGGCCGCCCTTCCGTCGTTTATCAGAAAGCATATTACAGTAATGAGGCTGATGTTCCGGAGAGACCGCGACAGTACGCTGGCCGAGAGTTTCGACTGGAAAGCGACACAATGCACTTTCTTCCTGAATTTGATCCATCAGGGAACATACCTGCTATGTTTGGCGAGCAGCAGCCTTCAACTCTCGTTGACCGAGAGAAACAAGAGAAAATTGATCAGCAACTGCGCGAATCGTGTACCGCCAGATTTTGGGAGTTTGCACCAGTGCCGCCCAGTCGTTCCGAGGTGGTCGACTGGTTTGAACAGATTGAGGCGTCATCACGCAAAGCCAGTGCCAACACCACCACCCCAGTCAAATCTAAATCTCGTCCCGTCAAGAATGTGGAAGCTTTGTCACAGATTGAAGGCCCGACACAACAGAACCCTTACGGCTTCAAGCACTCTCAGAAAGCGAAGAGCACTAGCGTGGAACATCAGACCCAGTACATGAGCACGATGAGCTTGGAGGTCCATGTGAACACTCGAGGGACGCTATCGGCCAATCCAGATGAGGATGAGATATCGTGCCTTTTCTGGTGTCTCCAATCTGAGGATGAGGACCTTGAGGTCAATAGCCATCTGCCAGGCGTTCATGTTGGGATGATCTACCAAGGCGAGGGAGATAGACCAGAAGCCAAGATTTCGAAAGCTCTCAGGATAGAGGTTGAGCATGAACCCACCGAACTTGACCTGATCAATCGACTTGTTGACATAGTTCGCTACCATGACCCGGATATCATCACGGGCTATGAAGTTCATAATGGCTCCTGGGGATACGTGATTGAGCGAGCCCGGAAGAAATATGACTTTGATCTATGCGCGGAATTATCTCGAGTCAAGTCGCAGTCGAAGTCGAAATTCGGCAAAGAGGATGATCGCTGGGGATTTGAACATGCCTCGTCGATCCAAATGACAGGCCGACATATGATCAATATCTGGCGTGCAATGAGAGGCGAGCTAAACCTCTTGCAGTATACTATGGAGAATGTTGTTTTTCATCTCCTGCAACGCCGAATCCCCCACTACTCCGCCAAGGACCTCACGCAGTGGTACCAAAGTGGCAAGCCCCGAAACATGCTCAAAGTTGTGGAGTATTTCACGTCGCGAGTGCAAATGAACCTGGAGATCATCGAGGCCAATGAGTTAATTCCCCGAACCAGCGAGCAGGCGCGATTACTGGGAATTGACTTCTACTCTGTCTTTGCCCGCGGATCCCAATTCAAGGTCGAGTCTTTGATGTTCAGAATTGCTAAGCCCGAGAACTTCTTGCTTGTCTCCCCAAGCAGGAAACAAGTTGGACAGCAAAATGCCCTCGAGTGTTTGCCTCTGGTCATGGAGCCGCAGAGCGACTTCTATACAAGTCCTCTTCTGGTTCTCGACTTCCAGTCGCTCTACCCTAGCGTGATGATTGCGTATAACTACTGCTACTCGACCTTTCTTGGCCGAGCTGTTCAGTGGCGTGGCAGGGATAAAATGGGGTTCCTAGACTACAAGCGCGAACCACGACTACTAGAGCTCCTGAAGGACAAAATCAACATCGCACCGAATGGTATGATATATGCGAAGCAAGAAGTCCGCCAGTCACTGCTTGCCAAGATGCTCACGGAAATTCTTGAAACTCGTGTGATGGTCAAGACTGGAATGAAGGCCGACAAAGACGACAAGGTCTTGCAACGGCTGCTCAATAATCGACAGTTGGCTCTAAAGCTAATTGCCAATGTGACTTACGGATACACATCTGCATCATTCTCTGGTCGGATGCCCTGCTCCGAGATCGCAGACAGCATCGTACAATCTGGGCGAGAGACCTTGGAAAAAGCAATTGCGTTCATTCATTCTGTCGAGAGATGGGGGGCCGAGGTTGTCTACGGAGACACCGACAGTCTGTTTGTATATCTCAAGGGCCGCACACGAGATCAGGCCTTTGACATTGGCGAAGAGGTTGCACAAGCAGTGACGGACATGAACCCGCGCCCCATCAAACTCAAATTCGAGAAAGTCTACCACCCCTGCGTTCTTCTAGCTAAAAAGCGTTATGTCGGGTTCAAATACGAACATCGCAAACAAGCCGAGCCCGAGTTCGATGCCAAAGGTATCGAGACTGTGCGACGTGATGGAACGCCTGCGGAGCAGAAAATCGAAGAGAAGGCTCTCAAGCTTCTTTTCCGGACTGCAGACCTCAGTCAAGTGAAGTCTTACTTCCAACGACAATGCAGCAAAATTATGCAGGGCCGTGTCTCAATTCAAGATTTTTGTTTCGCTCGGGAGGTCCGGCTGGGTACCTACAGTGAACGCGGCACTCTCCCCGCTGGGGCGATGGTCAGTACCAAGCGCATGTTGGAGGACCCTCGCCTCGAGCCGCAGTACGGTGAACGCGTCCCGTACGTAGTCGTTACAGGAGCACCTGGATCGAGACTTATCGACCGATGTGTGGCGCCAGAGACACTTCTCCACGACGCTCAGCTTGACCTTGATGCCGAATACTACATTACTAAGAACCTCATCCCGCCTCTCGAGCGAATATTCAACCTTGTCGGTGCCAATGTGCGGCAATGGTATGACGAAATGCCCAAGGTGCAACGAATTCGCCGAGTTGACGCATCGTCAACTTCAGCCCTATCTCGCTCGAATCGGGAATTTGCAATTTCGAAGAAGACTCTGGAATCTTACATGCGATCCTCTTCCTGCATTATCTGCCGAGCTAAGTTATCAGATGCCGCTGTACCTGTATGCTCCGAATGTTTGCAGCAGCCGCATCTCGCTCTTCTCAATGTGGCTTCTCAGCTGCAGCGGGCCGAAAAGCGCGTCCTCGACTTGGAGGCTGTGTGTCGGTCCTGTATGGGTGTTGCACCGGGGGACACCATTGCGTGCGATAGCATGGATTGTCCTGTTTTCTACTCTAGAACTAGAGATGCAGCTAGTTTGCGGCATACAAAGGCAGTGTTAGAACCTGTGATGGAACTACTGGAGAAGAAAGGCGATGCAGGTTTGGATTGGTGATAGGAAGGTCGTCTACAGCAATGAAGAATTTTCTCACCGAGTCTGATTAATAGTTCAATTTCGTTGGTTCTAAGAGGCACTTAGTTCTTCTGGCAAGAACATGAATATCAAATTTGCTTCAATCTTAATGAATACATGACGAGGATCAGAACCTGCTGGCAAACGGAAGACTTGAAAAATATTGAAAATAGTGTCTCAGCAAATTCTTTCCTTTCCCTGGTATTTCATCCTGAAATTGACGTCGAGAAGTTGATGGGATCACCAGTCGTCTTCATCGTCAGCATCGTAATCGTTCCCTATCAATGCAATCAACTCGTCAATTGCAGAAGGCTTCACATCGCCTTCTTTCTCAACGATGTGGAGGTCTCCATCATGCCCATCGTCATCCTCATCGGTAGCTTCCTTGGTAGCCCCCTCAACATCTTCCTTGATATCCTCTGGATGCAGATTGGGCAGCACGGGGTATTTGTCGATGGTGGAGGCTTTGCCATCCTTCGCGGTCACGAAATCTCGGTCCATGTCTTCATCCGGTTTCTGTTCTTCTCTGTGGACCGAAGAACCACCTCTTGATGTCTCTTGGTAGAGATCTCTCTCATAGAGGTCGTGATCACCGAAATAACCTGGCTCACGGCGTCCAAGATCTTCCCCTGTCTCTGATGGTAGTCCTGTACCAGCTTCATTTGTCCTGTGCTTGGCCGTCAGCTCAGACTTTCCATCTCGGCCAACCATCTCCACGACCTCGGCGTGTGTGAAGATTTTGGACGAGCCCTTTTTGGCATCGAAGGCTTGAGCTTCAGCCACCGCATTCTGCAACTCATCGACGGGGGTGGTGACAATTTTAGAGAGGACTCTGTAGAAAACCCAGGGGAAACTGATGAGAGGGAGTCTGCTGATCTCAATTTCACGCTCGTCAGGCAGCCCCTCGATTTCATCTTGGTCATCATAAGCACTTTCACCTTGCAGAATGGCAAGTGTATCCTGGACTTCTTGATGAGTGATGCGATACATGGCGACTGCCAAAGGCGCAACATGCCCAAAGTCTCGCTTGCCTCCGAGATGCTTGTAGCACTGGTCTTGGATGCTTGATTGAAGGCCATTCGCAACCTTGCCCAGGTCCTCGTGCAGTTTATAATCCCTACACATGGAATTGTGCTTGAGAACGAATGTTGACCAGACCTCAAATTCGGTTTGAATACCATACTGTGCCATGATCCGCCGCATTGACGTGTCGTAGTTCACCTTTAACTCGCTGGCAAAATGCTCAAATCTCTTGCTTTCTTCCATAAGGCTGCATTCGAGAATCCGGGCGTCGAAGGGGTTGCTCAATTTCGGCGAGAAATCCTCAGTCTTGACGGCATCATACAGTTTGCCCAGGATTCTCCTGGAATGATAGGTCTTCTTGTTCTTTTTGTCCATGAAATGTGGCCAGGTGTGTGGCTGGAGAGACCTCTCCATGACAGCAGGGATTCCTGTCTTGTTGTAATCCACAGCATCTGAGTGCAACTGCGCAAGGCGGATGCACTTCGGTTCGGATACGCCGTCTTCAAGCTTGTCCCCATGTGCCATATGAGCGTGAGCAATTCGTGGCAAGCTGTCATTCTTCATGTACGTGACATAAAACGAAGTAATATCGTTGATAGTCACATCACGGTCCAGATCTGGAGCCCGGCGGCTGACATAGTTCAAAGGATTCACAGACCAGTCCTGAGGAATCAGGTCCTGGTCCCAGATGACTAGATAGTCATCACCATCAAGATCACCTCCAGAGCACATGCTCGTGACATCGCGATCACCGGTTTGTGGGAACACGACCACATCGACCAAGTGTCTGAGTGCCTCGCAATCAACGGCGTGCACAACACGAATGTCGCCTACATGCAATGATGGGTTGCGAGCGACGATGCATACACCCTGGATAACCCTGGGGCGGACACCCTTCTCCACACTGCTGATCTGGACAAAGATCTCTGGGAGTGCTGCTATCCTCTTCTTCTTCCTGGCCATACCTTTATGTGGCACTTGGTGCTCGAAGTGACCCTTGAGAGTTCCTGTTTCATCGAGAACACCCAGAAGTGATGCACCCTTCTCAACCAAAATTTTCGCTTTTTCCTTGAGATATTTCTGGTGCCAGGATTTCCACAGAGCGAGCAGGGAACTGACAAAAGGCTCATTTGTCCTTCGGAACCCAGCCGACACCATTTCCGCTAATGCTAGCGTCTTCCGGTTAGGATCGATAAACTTCTCAAGCAATTCAATTGCCTGCCTGTCACTACCCATGGCATATCTGATGCTCTCTAGCATGGTATTGAGCCTATCGAGAAAGACTTGGCCTCGAATGCGCAGCGCTGATAGAACCAAGATCAGTTGGCGATTGAGAGTCGCAGCAGAGAACTGCGACCATCGAATAATCTCCAGTCGCTTATGTTCGGCTTCAAACTTGATTTGACTTGGACGAATGTGCACGTCGTAAGCGATTGGGTCGGATGAAACTGTCAACATGCCCTTGCACCCACCCAGCCGAAACTGGTAAGCTGAAGGAGGCTCGCCATAGGGATCAGAGATTCCCATTTCCGCCGAGAGTACTCTAGTCGTGAATTTCGAGATCTTTCCAATGCCATCAGAGAAGCAATACCCATTGCGGTTTATGTCAGGAATTTGTTTGACGGTGACCATACATCCAGCAAGAGCACGTGTTGTTGAGAAACATTGACCCAACCGTGCAGCATATCGTGCGACATTACGGATGTGATTGAATTGACCCATCCAGGCACGAATATGAGCAGCTGTGAGATTGGCAGTTGGAGCGAAGAAATAAGCACCGTGCTCACGGAATTGAGAGTTACCAAAGGCCAAAAACTCATAGTGACGGTCGCCGATGATGATACCGTTTGTCAAGGTTCTCTTAACCCGAGCGAAGAGCTCGTCATTGGACTTGAATGCATTTGAATAAATGCGACCGTGAGTCTTTTCGTCCGTGAACCGAACGCGGAGAAAGCGATCAAGGTACTCCTGGTAGTTACGTGTCACCCGATTCGAGGTGTCGATGGTGGGAGTGTTGTAGTGAACAGTCGTTGGCGTGATCCGCGCGGTGCGCATGAAGCAGCAGTAAGTAGGAATCATGGAGTCAGAGATACCTTTCGGATAGCGGATCTTGAAAATCTCCATTGGGTCGAGATACTGCTCTTTGTTCGTGGCAACGTGCTCTAGGAGTCTTACAGCTGAAGCAGCTCCCAGTCCCTCGAGACTCAGAACGAATTTACGCGACATCGTGAACTCAGAGAGATACCCATGAGAAAGACAGACTTCCAGTTGGTACCGAACATTGAATGGAAGGTAGATATAATCGGTATGAGCCATTTCTTCCAGGGTTGAACGGAACTGTGTTTTGGAGTCGACCACGTCAATCCAGCGCCAGACAGGGTCAGGGCGCTCCGTTATGGTTCTGAAATGTTTTCCATTCTTGATGAAGATATTGTGGTCTTTCAACATCTCAATGAAGAGCTTGTAGTCTTGCTCGAGGAGGCTTCTGGTGGAGAACGTAAACTTGAAAACGTTCCATCTGCCTAAGAGGAGCACGAGAAGTCAATAACTAAAGAGCTAGATCACGGAATCAGTAGAAGAAAACCTACCGAGATCGACAATTTGACCTGATCTGCGTAGATTGGTTTTGGCCTGGACGTGAGCCCCGATGTTGTGGGCAATGCATGTTTGACGCTGCCACAAATCCGTGTCTCGCCAGCTGGTATTAGTACTAAAAGTATCCAGAATATTCGTGGACTGTCGATGATAGATTGGGGGAGAGTCCAGGATAATGATGAGAGACACTTCATCAGAGTCTGACTCATGAGTCTCCCACACTTGCGCGAGCTGGAGGAAGGGGATCTTCAACCTGAAGGTGGACGGACTGACTTCCGGTGCGCCAGAGACAAACGGTCGAGTTTCATGTACGGTCACGCTGAAGTAGGCATGTAATACCTTTGATCGAACATCCACCACCACCTTAGTATTTGCCTCCTGGTGGAAAGTGCGCATCGCGCATGTGGTGGATTCGTCCAGGAGGACCCCAACATCAAACCTCTTGCATGGCAGCTCTTGCTGCAATTTTGGAATCAGTCAGTGCTCTAATTATGCCAAACGTCAAGCAAGAGATATTTAGATCAACCTACACATTCCCTGGGATACAGTGCATCCTCGCGGCTTGGACTTCTCAGGAAATGACTTGGTGGGCTGAGATCCAGTGCCACGACCAGAGTGGCGATGCGCCTGCTGGGCAGACGGATATCATAAATCCCACTTCGCCAGAAGGAATCTGCTGGAGGAGGTCTAGTTTAGAGTCCAATTTATTAGCATAGAATATCTTTAAGATACATAAGGACAAGGAATAACGAGGGCAAAATGAATTTAAGCGCCTTGAAGAATGAGAACAAACCTGAAACGGATCCGGCCTTTTGAGCCTTGGTTTCCATGGCGGTCATCGAAGATATCGATGGAACAGATATTTCCTTCCTTCGAAAAGGCTTGCCATAGGACTTGGGTATTTGCTTCTTCAGGTACCCGAGATATATTGACACCAATGGTCTCCCACTGCTTCCAGGGCAGCCAATGGACCTGCGGCGTGGACGTAGGTGAAAGGCTGGTCGATCCAGACGAAGTCGACATCGTGGGAAATGTAATGATATGAAGAGAATGGGAGAGGGAAGAAGGAGGAGAAGTTTGAGAAGAGGAGAAAAATGGAGGAAGAAGATACGTTGTACTTGCTTAAGCAGCAAATAAAGGAAATTGACGTTAGGGTTGTTCCTCTTGCAAGGATTGCTTTCTGTAGATGAGACCCAGTGAAGTTTGTAGAGTAGATATTCTGGTAGCCCTGCTGGATGTAGCACCAAGTGAGCTGCCTTTGTCGTGTGTAAGAAAGAGAATCAGTAGTAACGATGAAAGATTAGAGAGAGATATAGGCCTGCGTCCTTATCATTCTTCGAAGTCCTGGGAAAAGAGCCGTGTGTGGTTTCCTGACCCCAATGTGACGTCAAGAAGAGAATAGGAATCTCCAGGATTAAAGATGGCCTAGGGCTAGAGGGATATTGGTTGTTCAATTAGCATAGCAACTACATAGGGCCGTCTGCCAGCTAGAAGAAGGATACCTATAGATATGCTACGAACATGGCGATGACGGCCTTCTTGAAAAAAAATACAAGGTCATAAGTACGTGGTGATACTACCTAACTGAATTCAAATTGAGGGCAAAACAAAGGCCAACAAACAATAGAAGTGACGTGGTATCAATAAGAAAAGTGCAAGAATTATTGGAATCCCCACTGCACATGTAGGAACCTGGGTATCAACTAATTATTTGACGCAGAAAAAGCCGTACTGGTAAAAATAAAGTCCTTCGAGAACTCCAGATCCATGTCCAAATCCAGATCCTGCAGTCGATTTTCACCCATGTTACTAGGCGAAGCAGCAGCAGCAGTATCATACTGACTGCCCTTAGAACCAGGACTTACTTGTGATTTAACGGGACTATTAGTGCCAGCGTCAATCAAAGGCTGCCTGGGGCATGTTTTGGGGACATTTGCCTTGCTCATTGAGCTGCCGACTGCAGGGGTCTTCGGGACGGGTGCTTGCAAAGGGTGCATTGAGCGACCGTTACCCTTGGGGCGTTTTGGTGTTGGACCCTGCAGATTGGATGCCAGAGATTCAAAAGACTCTGCAAAATGTATATCATCATCGTCGTCGTAATATGTGGTTGACTGTCGGCGGCTAGGAGTCGGGGCGATATCGGGGTCTCTGCTGCGTTGAGGCTTGCTGGAGCTCTTGTCAGTTGTTTTTGCAGAGAAGCCCATTACATTCATGAGCCGGCCGATATGTTGCTGGGCTTCTGAAAACTCCCTAGCCTTCGCTGCTCTCTCATCACGGAGGGATTGGATCTAAGGAAGAATGTTAGAAATTGAAGGAACGAACCAACGAGGTCTTTGGGGATGACTGCTGACCTTTTTCTCCAACTGGTGGATGCGCTTATCCTTAGACTGTAGTTCTTTGGACGCATCGCTTGCGGCTCTTTGCATGGCTTCCTGTAGAAGCTCGTTCCCTTCCTTTTGTTTTGTCACCTGCAACTCTTTGTTAGAAAACTCTCTCCCTCTGAATAGTAGACTAATAGACTAAAGTGACATACTTCAGAAGCAATTTTGGCAATTTCTGTTTCCCTGTCATGATTCAGGCTTATTATATCGGCCTTTGCTTGTTCCTCAGCTTCTTGCAATTTCGAGTAGAGCTGTTCAATTTCCCGAGTTTGATCTTCCACCTGTAAAATGGTTAGCGACTATGATAGACGGAATGTATGACAAGGACAAGGACACGGATTATTGAGCCATTGAAGGCCAACTTACCATTGTTTGAGCAGTGCCAAGCTCCACCTGCAGACCATTATTTGCTTCTAGCAGACGTTTGACTTCATCTTCTTTTTGGCTGCACAGTGATGACTTTGCTTCCAACAGATTCCTCAATTCAGCAATTTCATGCCCCAAGGCTTCCGTTGCTTCGGCAGAGGTAGCCCTCTCATGAGAGGATGTCTGCACTACCTGCTCGAGGTGTTCCTTCTGTGACTTGAGCTGTCGTACTGACTCCTGTAGCTCCTCTAGTTGATCATCCTTCTCGGTAGATGTCGCAATCAACTCGAGTTCTCTGCTCCGAGCCCGGTCTTGCTCAACTCGGAATGCATCTTCTGCGCGATTCTGTTGCTCACTCAATTCTTGCCGAGCCAACTCAAGCGCTTCCGACAGTTCTTCGGCACGTGTGCTTGCGATGCCAGCATGTTCTTCAAGTCTGGCCAGGTCTTGTTGGAGAGTGACAATATCCTGTGTGGATTGGTCCAGTTGTTTGGTCAAGTCCTCGTTTCGCTGTTGCAACTTCTCGGCTTCATATTTTTGTCTGTCCCGCTCTTCCTCGGCGGACCGTACAGGGCCTTCAATGTCGTAACAGCGATTTTCGAGATCAAAGCAAATGTCCTCGACCTTCTTCATAATGGCACTGTGAGATGCCTCGGCATTTTGCATATGCATTTCAGTAATACTAGCGCGCCAATCTCGGATCGGCTGGCGCTTTGTAGTGAAATCCTGCCTGTTGCGCAGATACAGCGAGCTGCGGAAGGCGTCGTGCTCAGATTGCGCGAAAGTACAGCTGGTAGGGCCGAGCGACTTGGCAGTCCGCTGTAGGAGGGATTTAATTATAGCAATGTCAGCTGCATCCCCATTATGTGACAGAGCTGCAACGAAGTAAATCTCGAATAGACTGAGCAAGACCTTATTCTGCAAGCCGCTGTAGGCACAGTGGCAGATCTGTGAGTCCTGGCATTGCAATTGAGCAGGGACTACAGGATACTTTCCGAAAAGGCCAGCTATGGTATGTTTGGTAGAAGCCGAGTTCAACAAGGACGTAATGATAGGTCGGGACAGATTGGCCTGGAATCCAGTGAGCAGGATATCTGAAACATGGAGATTGACCATGGAATCGCGACCAACGCCCTCCTCTTTCAGAGCGTCCGCGGTGAAACGTAGAAGTTCATACACGACAGACTCGTCGTAGCCCTGATACACGTTGAGTAAAAAGATTTTTACGTCATTTCGGGATATACTCACCACCAATGAATCTGTTAGGCGTGAGACAAGCTCAGGTGACATGGCTCCCAAGATTGCTCTGCTGTCCTTGGAGACAAGCAGGCGGAGGCCCAGATCCCCGATATGAGATGGCAAGGCTTTCAAGGGCTGCAGAGAAAGCAAAAAGGTTACGCCCTAATAATCGGGGACACGAGAGTGGGTCAGCTAATAATTAGAGAGGAAGCCGGAGGAGATGCCCTTACCATAACCTGTACCTCTCTATGTAGATTCTCCCTGGCTACCTTCTCGCATAGCTTAGCAATCTTGGAAGAGCTTCCCGACAGCCATGACTGCTTCTGATCTGGCTCAACAGCATCGGCGATGGAGATTGCAAGACGAATACTTTCAGCAGCTTGAGCCGGGGTGAGATTATTGCAGTTCGAGGAACAAGCCAGGATGACTCGCAGAACGACTAGATCTAATGTCTTCATGCCCCGTTTTGGGCCAAAGAAATGCTGGATGTTGAGAAGCCAAGACGGAGTGCCTATTCCATGATGCTGGGCAAGTTGTTTTCGGTGGGTCATTGATATCTGCGCGAAAGTTGCCAAACCCAAGAGGTTTCCCATGTGGTCGTCCAGATTGCGCAGTGTCTTAGTTAACTCCAGCTGCAGGTTCGATAAGACCTCTGTTGGGACCTCGTAGATGAAGTTGGGCGATCTTTGAAGCCCAGTCATCAAGGCATGCAAGGGTGCTATGGTCTCAGCCCCGGGGTTAGCGGCCACGGTAGATACTAGCTTCGTGATAAAGTCGGCGAGTCGAGCAGGGAGCACAAAGCCCAACGTAAGAGGCGAAGAGAGCAATGCAATGCATGCTAGATGATACTGTGTGGGTGGTCAGTCAATAGATCTAGTGGATCTTCCACTGATATCGCTGTATAGGATCCACCTACCTCAGATGCTCCGGCAACGAGAGCTTGCTCCAGGAACGCATCCAAAAGAACCGACCGGCGATCTAACAAGACGTCTCTGAAAGTGGTAATATGTGCTAACCTATTGTTACCACTGGCCATCCTCCAGATGGAGCAGAATCGAGCTACTCACCAAAAGCCGCGAGCAGTGGGAGCGCGACACGCGATCGAGACAGGCTTTCTGAGAGCACGTCGGCTAACAGGTTCACTTGGCAGGGTTTGTGGAGAGCCCAAAACTGCAAAGTTGAAGAAGAGCTGGTCTGGACCAGACTGTACAAATCCTATTCATGGCTGTTAACTATCGCTGTCTTCTCTCTCGGGAACATTGCACATGTTACCTGGAGGGAGGGGATATAAGGGGCTGTCACGACGCGTTCAACCTCGCGCGTGAGGCGAGTAATTTCCTCAGCTATCATGACGACTTGCCATTCGAGGAGGTCGAATTTTGGTGCGATCGTTGTCGTCTTCGTCCACCATCACCATGGTCGAGAATTGTGTTGTCGTCGTTGCCCCCTCAACGGGCGGTGATATACTTTGACCAATGAGAATCGCCGCTCAGGTCTACAGTATCGGGAAATCTACGATGCTCTTCCATCTTACTAATTTATGAAGAAATTCTATGACTAGGAATAAATTGCTAACTCTAATTATTGAGGTGATAAATGTAGTTCATGAATCAAAGAGGGCAAATACTAGCTCATGGCCGTGTTATTAACTTCTTATAGAACCCCCCACGCCCCCACGAGTCACGCGGAAGTCACCCGCACGAAAGGCTTCGCGTCTCGGCCGAAGTCCGAAGCGGGGGAATTCATCCTCGCGGTGGTTTTTCCCGGGGCACACCATCGGAGCTTGTCATGTCGTGAGCGCTTAAGTTGCCGAGATCTGTTTTCTCTTCTGTAAATTATTCCATAGCTGACAGCCATGCAATAGGGCTTCTTAAGTCACTCTTCAACCCTCCTACAATCTATAGATATAGCATCATGCGAGCAGCGTTCTCAATCCCTCGTGGATTCCTCCCCACTCCCCGCTTGTCCTATTGCCGCCCCCGGGTCTCGCTGTCTCGGCGTGTTGTGGCCAGCGGGGCGAGTCGAACGATTTCCACAACCAGTGCGAATGGCAACCAGCACCAGGATAGCTCCTCCAGCTCCAGCTCCTCGGCCAATTCCTCATCTTGGACCGCTAGTCGCACCTTACTTGTCTCTGCACTCGCAGCTGGACTCGGCTATGGCTATGCTTCCTATGCGCAAGAATCCCCACGGGCGGCGAAGAAGCCACAGTATGGTTCTCAAAAGGATTTCGAGAAGGTATGATCATCGAGCCCCTCGAGCATTGCTAGTATCGGAAATTGACAAAAGTAGGCAATCGCTGAGCTAAGAGCGAAATTGGGCGAGGACACTATTAGCACTGATGAAGAGGATCTCCACCAGCACGGTTACTCGGAATGGTCGAGTCTGAATGCCGACCGACTCCCCGTCGCCATTGCCTATCCCACCAGCACCGAAGAAGTCGCCGAGATTGCCAAGGTCTGCCACAAGTACCGCATGCCAATGATTCCATATTCGGGTGGTTCAAGTCTGGAGGCCAATTTCTCGGCACCTCACGGCGGAATGACCATTGACTTTGCGTTTATGAATAAAATCTTGGATATCCACCAGGATGATATGGACGTTGTCGTACAGCCTTCGATTCAGTGGATGGATTTGAATGAGAAGATCAAGCACACTGGTCTTTTCTTCCCCGTGGACCCCGGTCCTTCTGCGATGATCGGCGGTATGGTTGGTACGAATTGCAGTGGAACGAATGCAGTACGATATGGCACGATGAAAGACTCTGTGATCAACTTGACGGTCGTCCTGGCCAATGGCGACATCATCAAAACACGCAGACGCCCTCGCAAGACCTCCGCTGGTTACAATCTCACAGGACTGTTTGTGGGCTCAGAGGGGACATTGGGAATCGTGACGGAAGCGACGTTGAAATTAGTTCCAATCCCCGAGCTGACTCGAGTTGGAGTTGTTGCATTCCCGACCGTTCGCGACTGTGCATCTACTGCCATGCAGTTGATCAAGAAGGGTATTCAGGTTCAATGCATGGAGATCATGGACGAAGTGCAGATGGACGTGATCAACAAGGCGGGTGGAACCGGTAGAACCTGGGGTGTCTCTCCGACTCTATTCTTCAAATTCAGTGGAACGACGGCAGGTGTCGCTGATAGCATCAACTTGACGAGGCAGCTTGCTAAGAATAACGTAAGTCCGCACATGGAAAAGGCTGCAATCTCCAACGTTACTGATTTGAGTCATAGAACGCTGTTGAATTCACATTTGCAAAGGATGAGAAAGAAGCGCACGACTTGTGGTCTGCTCGTAAACAGTCTCTATGGAGTATGATGGCACTGCGCAAGGAAGGCTCCGAGGTATGGTCAACGGATGTCGCTGTGCCGCTCTCCAGGCTGCCCGATATCATCGAAATCTCGAAGAAGGAATTGGACTCCCTAGGTCTCTTTGCCAGTATTCTGGGACATATTGGCGACGGCAACTTCCATGCCAGCATCATGTACGATCGCCAGGACCCCGAGGAGAGAGCCCGAGTTGAGAAGGTTGTCTATGACATGGTCGATCGTGCGCTTGAGATGGAGGGTTCTTGCACGGTATGACAGGCATTCGATGTCAAATTATAAGTGGACTTTACTAACAAAAACTTACAGGGCGAGCACGGTATCGGTCTAGGTAAGAAAGGATCTTTGAAGAAAGAGCTTGGCACGGCTACAATCGACGTCATGCGAAACCTGAAGCGCTCCCTTGATCCCCATTGGCTTTTGAATCCTGGCAAGATCTTTGACCCAGAGGAAGATTCATGAGACTTCGTTCATGTCTGGTAATGAGGACTTGTAGATGGATTTGTAAATAGCCTAGAGACAAAAAAAACTTCTGCTATGAGACCCTCTTAAGTCTTTCTCGAACTCTTGCTAGGATGGTGCACCCTAAAGCCACGAGTTTCGCAAATCGTGCTCCGAATCTAAAACTTCAAAGTATCTCTCGAAGATTCCCGCACTCCATTGGCAACCCGTTCCAGCACTTGGGACTTCTAAGCTTTGTGTGATGCCACCTTGCAACATGGGCGAAGTGACTTCCGATTGAGTGGCTGGTACGCGCTGGCCTGGAGATCCCAATGCAATTAAATCAAGGTGGTCAGAATCACAAGCATCAACTGGTGTTGCCACAAAGACGCTAGGCTCCCTTTGCACCAGGTTCCTAGCATGCAAAGCCTGGAAACGCAGTTCTTCGATGTTTCCCCAACGGCGGTCGAGAAACATGTCGCTGCGGTTCTTCCAGTACTCATAAATGTCACTAGCAGCGCTCCATGCTAAGTTCACATCATCTCCTACTGGCACTAGCGACAAGTTGATGAATAGATAGGACAGGGCGTCCCACTCAAGGTATGTCTGGAAAAGCCAAAGCCATTGCTTCCCCTTTTCATACTGACGCAACATGCGCGCACGTTCCAAAATCTCGACGCAAGTCCTTCGGAAGCTTTTTTTGCATTATGAGGTGTTGATTCTGTCTCGTTCGCGGCTTGGTTACCGTAAGTTTAAGTTTGACGAGAATGAGGCGAATAGATGCGGCTGTGATAAAGTCCAACGGGATACTCTTGTCCAAATCTGACAGATGTTGCTGCTCGATCTGCTCTCTAAACCCGTTGATAGCCACGCATTTCTCAGAAGCTGTCAAGATCTCGTGGGAATTCTCTTGACAGAATTTTTCGGAGAAGACTATTCGGCGTGCAAAATTGCTCCCTTCAAATCTGGCCAGGGTGAAAGACATTTCTGTTCTTCCGAGAGTTGCTTGAGGCATCTCACTCATGTCTGGGTGGAGGCTCGCGTCGTTGACATTGGAAGGGAACCGTGTGGTGAAAGATGTAGAGAGGATAAGTGGATCTGAGCCGTTGTCTTCGGCAGTCCGCACATCTAGAATACAAATCTGCCACCATAATCGACGTCTGATCTCAACCTCGAAGGGAGAAATGTCGAGCTCCAGACCATCCCGATGCAGCTCGTTCTGAAACGCGATTTTGACCGCGACCTCTGTCAAGCGCTTTGTATCTGGCCCTTGCTTGTCGCATCTGCCACAGACCTATCGCAGGGACAGTGAATCGCTTGTCATGTGTGTTATGGCAAGGGCGACTTACGATGTACAGCACAAAAGCTTGGAGAATGGCTATATCCGATGTGTTGAGCAAATCAGACCGTTCTAGGGACCTCTCTAGCTCGTCCCGAAATCTTTTGTAATGAGTAAGATGCCTAGTACAATGGGTGCGGGATTGTTACCTTTTCAAAGCTTCTCCTTTCGAGTGCTGAAGCTCTTCCCCGCATTCCTCTTCTGATATTGTGATCACAGAGGTGTAGTAAAGGGCGAAGAAGAGAATATGACGGGTTGGGCCAAGATGCGATTTGTCTCGTATAAATCCCATAATGTCCCGTTGCACAGTCGGGGCATGTATGATCTTCAAGACTGGATCAACTCTCTCAAGATACATTTGCCACATGAAAAAGATGGTTCTCGGTGGCGGGTGAAGAGAGTCTATACATGTCGTAGGGGATAGTTGAAACGGTGATCCTGTTCGGTCATGGCTCGATAGGACCTGAAAGCCATGATCATTTTGTGATATGCTTGACCTTTCTGTGTCGAAGGTTATGGACCCCTAATGCCTGATCAGAATCATATAGTCGAAGGAAATATGAATCGCTGAACATACACTACCAAGTATTCTCTCTACTGGCAGAATTGGTTCATTCGCCGGACGTGTTTCGAGGCCCTGGCTATGGTTTTGGCCAGGCCTTGAAGGTAGATGAGACTGTTGCAACAATTCCCAGATTTGGGATATGCTATTCCCAAAGGATTGCAATGTACTCTCAATTCGATCAATCCGAGCACCCAGAGCTTCATTGCTTTGACTCAAGTTCCCATCCTTATTTGAAGTTGACCTTGGCGCTGGGTAGCAGCATTTTATCTTGACCTTCACACAATATGAGCAAGGAATAGACTTGTCACATTTAATTTTCCGTCGACGACACTCAAGACATGATTTTGCTGCTGCAGCCTTAGTTATAGCATGACTCATTATATCTCGCAAAGCACTCAGTCTCTGTCGCGGATGAATCAGGCAAGTTGATTGATAATGCAGTAGTATTGCGATGGTCGAAATGACAATTTCTCAGACAGAACGGCGCACCTGGTTGGTAAGAGCGGACAAGCGGAGAGGAATGGCCGCATTTATAACAGTGAACTTACACAGCCTTGTGAAAGGAGTGGAGCTTAATAATTAGAACTCTGCCTGGAAAGGCCATTGGTCTGCTCTTACAGGAAGTTTGAAATCGCATCCTCGCTTTGTTGATTGGCTACGGCGGACAAGCGGCTTCAAAAGTCCGCATTGCTAAGCACGTGCCTCAGCAGCCATGCCTCGCCATGGTTTTATTACGGATTCATTGTAATTTCATGAAATTTCGCAATCTTTGGTTTCAATCGGCTCAACCCTCGCTGCTTTTGTGAGCTCTGTAATCGAGGACGCAAAATCAAACTAGTCATCTGGCACCTCGATAAAACAAGACAGTCTAGAGTGCAAGGAAAAGCGGGTCCAGTCTCTGGAATGTTTGATGCATCAAAGTAGTTGGAATAACAACAGAGGGACCAACGACATTCTGCAAAGTTACCGCAACAAAGCGCCCTCCACTCAGTGAGTTTATTGTCTTTGTTTCTACCAAGGATGAAGTTGAATATTTTCGAAGGTGTTTATGTCGATATTCAATTCTACTCCCTTTTCAAAGCCAATGGCGGCCGTATAACTACACGATATGCAAATACGTCTCTATAGAAATTTGCTTAGGTGTATAACGGTCCTTAAATTCGAATTTTTGATCCAGGAGGTCACAATATCCATTTCATCGCAACGAATGAAATCGGTCCCTTCCTTCTTTGTAGACTTCCACAAACAGACTTACGCCCCACTACCTAGATGCTAGCAAAAAAGAGCTCCTACTTTGGGCCATCTCGATATCAAGACTTATAAAGCTTCATTTGTCATTTCCATAGAACTAAATGTCATCAAATTGCGATAGGTTGCTACTTAAACGTTGTTCACGCCTTCACAATCTGCTGCAGCAGATCTACCAATCGGTCTGGCATGCTCAAGAACGGCGAGTGGGAGCTTGGCAGCCGGTAAGTATTCTCTGGTCCACCCATCTTAGAAGCAAAGAACTCCTGGAACGGAGGAGGAAGCGCACGATCTTGTTCACACACAACATAAGCACATGGGATCTCTGTCCATGGCTCATACGTAGACTCTCCGGAAAAGACTGCGCGCGAAGTATGCAGCGCCATGGCATTCCATTTCTCCTGGCTTTCAATGGAAATATCCTGCCATCCAACCTCTCCAGCTCCATCAGCGAGAACATAATCGCCCTGTTCTAGTGTTAGCACCTAGTTTGAACAATACAATCTTGCTTGCAATGATTGAAGTGTGCTGGTAGACCAAGCCTTGGGTAACTTACTTCAACTTTCATCCAGGGCAGATAATTTCCTCCAAGCATGCCGAGGAGACTCTGTCCCTTATCCAAGGCAAATGCAGCAAGATAAATAACCTTCACAACCCCACCAGTCTGACCTGCCTCTGTGCGGGCAGCTTTGCTCAGTCCTTCGACGGCAGACGAAGCAACAACACCGCCATAGGAGTGAGCCACGACAACCACGTCTCGTCCCTCGTCGGCAAAGGCACTTAATACGCCACGTAGAGAAGAGACATCATCGGCCAGTGTCTTGGTAGGTGGTTCAGCGCCAATTGAAGGATGCGCGGGGCAGTTTGAGGGGAAACCGAGGGCCTCCAACCGAGAACGAGTCGCATCAAACACGGCTGGGACGACCCAGGCACCGAGAGAGAAGATGAATGTCGGGGAACTCATTTGAACCAAAATATCGATTTCCAATGGTCGAGAATGCACTTTAATGAGATTGATATTGTCCCAGTTCAATGGCGGCGAAGAAGTTCAGGGGAACGGAACGATCGGCATCTACCAAGTGTTCCCCTCTTCATGGAAGGATTCAAATAGCCGCTATGATTAGTATTGACCACCAGTGTACAATTTAAAACAACTACTTCTCCATTTGGATTAACTCACGTCCCATAGCTTCCTCCCCGGGGGAGCTAAACGACCCGAAGTGGGTCTTGGGGCCAAAATTACGCTCGTTAAAGCACAAATCGGTCAATGAACGCTGATCTGGTGAGCCACACCACTGCACTGGGATTTAGTCTCTTCTTTGTACCTATCATAACCTTGTCATGGGCCGTATGGGAATCCGGCAGGATTCATTATGGTCTTACTTGGAATCCCACCTAATTGGGCGGCCGGAGCATGAAGGGAGTACCCTCTCGCTTGCAGTTCTTCAGTGGCGCGAACAGCAGCTTATTTCCCTGAATACTCCCTTGCAATCGATCTCTGACTCTCTTGTTTTTTTTCCTATCATGTCGGAGCCATGGCATCCAGCAGGTCTGAAGAGTCTACTCAATCCAAACAACGCACAACGACGATTGTGCTGGCTATTCTGGCCATTATATTCTTGATTCTGAGGCTTGTCGCCCGGCGCATGAAACGCATTGGCCTTGGTGTGGATGACTGGACCCTGATCGTGGGCTTGGTGGGTTTCCTGTCAATCTGGTAATATTAATGTCAAATGAATTCTAACAACGCCTTTAGATCTTTGTTTTAGTTATTGCTGGAGTCAATCTTGCTTGTGAGTACACATATGGATAAAATCCCAGGCAATCGGTCATCTAACAACACTTAAGGCATCCAGTATGGCATGGGACGGCATACTGACACAATCCCTCCAGTGGAGCTGCCCATATTCTTCAAGGTATGAGAACAGAACCTGTACAATGGTATTACTCTGCAGAAAGGTTAAAGCTCTAACTAAACACGTCCATAAAGTTGAGCTACGCATTCGAACCACTCTATATTACCACTGTCGGTATCATCAAGCTCTCCGTGTTGTTCATGTACCATCGGATTTTTCCCGTCCGTCTCATCAAAATCGGTGGCTATATCCTAGGTGGAATCACATTAGCTTGGGTCATATCGGTCGATCTTGTGGCCATATTTCAGTGTCACCCTGTGGCCAAGGCATATGAGCCAACCCTTCCCGGTCATTGCATTCAACTCAAAGCGGCGCTGATTGGAAATGGAGTGCCAAATTTCGTGACAGATATTTTGATTCTCGCCTTACCGGCCAGACTCATCTGGCGCCTACAGGCAACACTGTGGCAACGAGTATCGATCATCGGTGTTTTCTTGACAGGTAGCTTGTGCGTTGACCCTCATTCACCAGACAAAGGCGACCACAACTTTGAACCGGGCTGATTTGGAAACTAGTGTCGTCTTTGCAAGCATCTACCGCTTTAGTCTTATATTCATTTTCAACGTGAACGACGTTGCATGGACTCTTGCCGATGCACAGACTTGGTGTGTGGTCGAGACCGCAGCGGGTGTTATTTCCGCATGCCTGCCTACGACTGCCCCCTTGGTCAAAACCTGTACAAAAGGATTTATCTCGACCGCACGCTCGCTTTCCAAATCTAATTTTACGCAGTCAGGAACCAGGACTTTCTCCAAGGGGGATGCTGGTGCCACGGGGTCAAATAGTGCAGGGAACAGGATGACGGGATTGCGAGCGGAAGGCACTCACCGCAGCAATGGAAGCTATGGGCTATCAGAGTTGGGACCAGTAAGCCGGGATATCCCGCATCTAAAGGGCAAGGGTTGGACAATAATCAGCGCTGATGCCGAAAGCGACTAGATCTAAGTATTGTTGGCGCTCTGGGCTCTAGACTCCTGTCCACCCCCAAAGACCGAGCTTTACGAATATCCCTGCACATAAAATATCATCATATTTTGAACGGCTCTGTCGGATTTACCTTGTAGTTTAAAAAATTGTAGTTGACGCCACCTTGGTCATTCCCCTGCGGGTACGAACTACTTTTGTCCGGAATAGTCATAAGCTGCTGAACCGGTAGTCACCTGGTTTACTAAGAATGTTTTCGTAACCATACAAAAGAATGATATCCTCGTTCTCACAGCTGGGTAAGATTACCTTGAGCGCCATTCAATCTAGATTCACTTTGTTGTGGCTGGGAATCTGTCGGTAGAGCCAAATATTTGTTCTCGCCTGGCGTTCTCAACCGAATGTCACCGAATGCATTGCCTAGAGCTACACTAGTCTATGTTCCGATGAGAATCAGAGTTATTCTAATTGGCTCATTACTAGAACCAATCGATAATTAAATTCTTGAGTCGCGAAGATCTGAAAATTTGTTAAAAGCTGAGTGATTCCTCCTCTAGGCCGATGTTTATTTCAACACTCTCGTCTCTCTAAAAAAATACTGAACGAAGACTCTTGACAACATTCTTCAACATGCACTATACAACCTTGCTTTCTATGCTTACTCTTGCAGGGACGATGGCTAGCCCAGTCGCTGTGGCTGCTGTGGAGAAGAGATCTTGCGCCTCATATGGCAGACAGTTCTGTTGTGCCGTGGAGGAAACTCCCGATCTAGAAATTCTCCCTAACCTCTATCTATTTGTACATGGACTTGGTTGCAGTAAGTCTCTGACAAGCAGGCTTACATTATCTGAGCTCTCCCTTGCTGGATCGTATCTACAGAGGAGATTCCTGACACCGAGAGCTGCGACCCAAATTCGTCTCAACCAAAGGGTATTTGTTGCACGGCCTCTGACACTCAGGTGCGTTTCCCATGCCACAACCTTATTCTTCCTCAATAAGCTTAACATGACTCTACGGTACAGACCGGCCCATTCGGCAGCGTGTTCTGCTACACACACCACGCTGGTTAGCCACCCAGAACATGCAGTACTTGGCAGCAGCCGAGCAAAAAGTGTACCTCATCTATAATTTTTCTACAGCACTAGTATCACCAACCCAAATTGATCATAGTAATTCCCATTATTCAAGAAGTACTTAGAAGAAACTCGTTTGAAACTAATCATGCATGGGAGAGTATCCCCGAGTTACAGCGAATCATGGATACTGGACGACATGACCGTCGCAGCGATCTAGAACTTCGCGAACTCTCTGCATTGAGGTCTACGAGACTAACACAAGTGCGGAAGCAAACAAAGATCTGAAGAACTATAATATTGGTAACCTTGAACTCTTGAGATTCAATTCATTGATATTCACGGCCCGGGTCAGACCATATCCTCTCATGTCTTCATGGTTGGTGGCTTGGTTTTGATACCGTACCAATCTGTTACTTTTACCGCTTCTGGAATAGCTGAGCTCGACTGGCCAATAATTACTTCCGAAACTCAAACATACCATCACGGGGTCATCAGGTAGGCAGTTGACCATTCTAATCGGCCACTACTTCGGTCTAGCAATCCCTGATGATGTAGAACTGGAGCGCCTCAGGCAGAAGCGTCGCGAATGTCGTACCGCCTCTCGGTCGCCTCATTTGCAATGTTATTTCCTTGGTGTATGCCATTCGCTTGAAATAATTACGTAGATCGTATGCAGTCTAACGCTACGAGGTATCTCTGATAAATGAAGCTCCAGTTGAAGGACTTCTCAACTCTGGAAGGCTCAAGACCATTCGATTTAGAGGAGGAAAGCAAAACTCGACTGCCTCAGGACCGTCTATCAGCCACGCCATGACTAGCCCTAAAGGTCTGTCTCCAGCACTAGATTGGCAGGGTATATGACCCAGTCGATAGGGTCAAGCCAAAGCTCTTGGAGTTCATGGGGGTTAAAGCGGCGACCATCTGTTACGAAACGACGTATGTTTGTATACGTTACGGGTAAGATACGAATATCTGTAAATTTTCATTCCATATCGGTAATTGCGTGACTACTCGGAGATGAACAGTATAAATATAGTCTCGTTGGCCTCACAAATGTTTGTCCAAGCAGAATACGAACGCAACAAACAAAGCTACAAATCTCGGAGCTTCGAAAGTCCAAGGTCACAATGGCAACTTTGAAGAATATCGCACTTGTTGGTGTATGTAACTTGGGCCTAAGTGGCCTCTAATAAGCATTGCGAAAGTTATTGACATCCTTCTAGGCAAGCGGCAACATTGGGAAAATCATTCTGGATAGTTTGGTAGTCTCACCTGACTTTGAAATCACTGTTGTTTCGCGCAAGGAAAGCAAGGCAGTTTTTCCCTCCGGTGTTGCTGTTCATAAGAGTGACTTCTCGGATGCGGATCTGGAGGCTGTTTTCAAGGGCAAAGATGCTGTGATTTCAGCACTGGGTGCCACTGGATTCGGCGAGCAAAAGAAACTCGTAGATGCAGCCATCCGTGTCGGTGTTAACAGATTCATTCCATCAGAGTTCTCAGCGAATAGCCTGAATGATACGGTGCTTCATCTGCTGCCATTATTTGGGCAGAAGAGAGAACTCATCGAATATCTAAAGACTAAGGAGGCCGATGGGTTCACCTGGACCGGTATTGCAACTTCTGGCTTGCTGGATTGGGTAAGTACGTGTTCATTCCTGGGTTTATCAGTGACTGATGCAAAGGGCACACTGTGACAGGGTCTGGCGAACGGTTTCTTGCAATTCGACATCGCGAATCGTACGGCTACCATCTGGGATGGCGGCCGCAAGAGTTTCTCCCTCATCAACGAGAAGTCCCTTGGTCAATCGGTTGTTTCTGTCTTGCAGAATCCTGAGCAAACCAAGAACAAGTATCTTTATGTCGCCTCCGTCGAGACCACTCAGCTCGAGATCCTTGCGGCCCTGGAGAAGGAGACTGGAACCAAGTGGACATTCCAAGAAACTACAACTGAGACCCAACTTAGTGAGTCAGCCAAGAAGCTCACTGGTGGTGATTTTGAAGGCGCCTTCATCCTGGTTAGAGCGACTGTGTTTGGCAACACCCTGGGGCTCAACGCCAACTATGTCAAGGATACAGAACTGGCGAACGATATTCTGGGGCTGAAGCTAGAGAGCGTGGAGGAGACTGTCAAGCGGGTTGTTAATAAATAGACGATCTCATGTACCGCAGATACAAATGGAGGGTTTAAACACCATATCATAGCGTCCCCCGCCTCCAGTAAAGACAATCTTCTCAGGCGTGGTAAACTTAGTTGGTCGCCGTTCGGAGACAATCAGTCCAACTCCGGCGGCGAATGGGCCCAGGGGATGAGAATGAGCCAATCATGTGGGGTGAAATTTTTGCCCGCACCAGGGGTGCTGAGTCAGCGCGGGGCAGCGATAATTGGTTGCGATATCGCAGGTCAATCGAAGGTTGCCACAAGCAATTTATCTTCACCAACGAGTCAAAAAGGTGAGTTCTGGGTGTTTCTCTTTTCCTTGCGTGCAAGAGTCCTCTAGATGGGTCTCTCATGAGACCGATGATGCAATTGAGCTCGCGGCGCCCTGTTATCCACTCTGCGGGGCAGTGGTCGGGATCTTGACTCATAAGATCTTCGAAGCAGGTGCTTCTCAATTTGATACAGTACATCAAGAAGAGATTCAATCACTGTGCTCAAAGGGCTGTCCGAATAAATTGAATCTACAGAAACTGACTGAAAGATAAACAGTCACCTCCTCGGCTTCCAGACACCCTGTACAAGATGGCAGCCTCATATCCCAAGAAGAAGTGCGGTATGACACCAGCATAACCCCAGAAAGCCCAGAGAATATTTCCATGTATACTAACAGAGATATATAGGTATTCTGGGTGCCACCGGATCTGTGGGCCAGCGCTTCATCCTTCTGCTGGCTGATCACCCCTTCCTGGAGCTTCATGCCGTGGGTGCCTCCGAGCGCTCCGCCAACAAGAAGTACAAGGATGCCGTTCGATGGAAGCAGTCTGCTCCCATGTCCGAGACGTTGAGCAACCTCGTCCTTCGTGAGTGCAAGGCAGAGTTGTTCACGGATTGTGATCTGGTCTTCTCTGGTTTGAACAGTGACATCGCCGGCGAGACTGGTAAGTGCCTCTAATCCGATGTTATACACTTCAATATTCCGAGCATGGCAAATTAATTTTTCAAAACAGAGATGGCTTTCATCAAGGCGGAGATTCCGGTCTTCTCTAACGCGAAGAACTACCGCAAGGACCCCATCGTGCCTTTGGTGGTTCCCACTGTCAACCCCTCTCACATGGATCTGATTCCTCACCAGCGCAAGCACTTCGGTCTGAAGAAGGGCTTCCTGGTCTGCAACTCTAACTGTGCCGTCATTGGAATTGTCATCCCCTTCGCTGCCATTCAAGCCAAGTTCGGTCCTGTTGAGGAGGTCGAGGTGTTCACTGAGCAGGCCATCTCCGGCGCTGGCTACCCCGGTGTCCCCAGCTTGGACATCGTCGACAACGTCATTCCATTCATCAGCGGCGAGGAGGATAAGCTGGAGAACGAGGCTCAGAAGATCCTCGGATCGCTGAACGGCGATGCCACCGCGTTCAACGAGCAGGCTGGCCTGCGTATCGGTGCTACTTGTACCCGCGTTGGCGTGACTGATGGTCACATGGCTTTCGTTTCGCTCCGCTTCAAGAACCGCCCTGCTCCCAAGGCTGAGGAGGTCGTGCAGGCGATGCGTGAGTATCAGTCTGAGGCCCAAAAGCTCGGCGCTCCCTCTGCGCCGGAGTTGGCCATCAAGGTGTTCGACGAGCCCGATCGCCCTCAACCTCGCCTTGACCGTGACATTTCCAAGGGTTACACTGTGAGTGTTGGTCGTGTTCGTGATGGTGCTGAGGGTGGCTACTTCGATATCCGTTTCGCTGCGCTGTCGCATAACACCGTCATCGGCGCTGCTGGCTCGTCTATCCTCAACGCTGAGGTGGCTGTCATTAAGGGTTACATCTAAATGTAGATACGAAAGGAAAAGTGGAGTTTTCAGCGATGTCAAATATTTTCATTCCACCAAAATTCTAGATGAAGCATAGCTGTCAGGAAAGGTGTATGCCCTTTGAAAGCTAAATATAGTAAAGCATTACATTATTCCTCATTGATGGGGCGAGGATTCAATATGACTTCCTAATCGGGAGAGCGATAAGCGCCGATAACATAAGCGGGTCACTGATGTTCCTATTTAGGCCTAGCGCTCGCTAGGGCACAACCCACAATCACCGAGCTAAGCGAAACGCCCTTGTTAATCTACGCTATCCGTTTCCTCAATCGTTGCGACTCTTTGACAACCCAACTCCGGTCGACAAATTCATCACAATGGCTCGCGGACCGTAAGTGCCCTGCAAATGCCTCCTCTCGATTACTTGCAAGCGGCGAAACTGGTTTCCTTTCCCTCACACGAGGACTCCAAATCGTCGCCTCCGTTCAAATATCGAGAAGCAAAATTTTCAACTCCTCGAGAACCCGCAAAACTGACCGCAATGCCTCTACAGTAAGAAGCACCAGAAGCGCCTCAGCGCTCCCTCGCACTGGCTGCTGGACAAGATGTCCGGCACCTACGCGCCCAAGGCCTCTCCCGGTCCCCACAAGCTCCGTGACTGCCTGCCCCTGATCGTCTTCATCCGTAACCGGTACGATTCGAACACTACTCCTGCGAACCACAGTCAATCTGTGATGTTTCGGAACGACATGGACTAACGATCTTTCGAAATAGCCTGAAGTACGCTCTCAACGGTCGCGAGGTCAAGGCCATCATGATGCAGCGTCTGGTCAAGGTTGACGGCAAGGTCCGCACCGACACCACCTTCCCCGCTGGTTTCATGGACGTCATCTCTCTCGAGAAGACCGGCGAGCACTTCCGTCTCATCTACGACACCAAGGGCCGCTTCACCGTCCACCGCATCCAGGCCGAGGAGGCTGAGTTCAAGCTCTGCAAGGTCAAGCGTGTCCAGCTTGGCAAGGGCGGGATCCCATTCTTGGTTACGCACGATGCGCGAACGTGAGTGCAAACTCTCCACGAAGTTCCGTGTCATTCAGTCGTTGGACCAAGCTTTGGTTGATCAACGGGGGATGAATCGAACTTCTGTAAGCTTGCAACCTGTACAGGACAAAGTTTTGCTAATCTGGGCTTCTCATCTACAGCATCCGCTACCCCGACCCCGCCATCAAGGTCAACGACACCGTCAAGGTTGACATTGCCACCGGCAAGATCTCCGACTTTGTCCGCTTCGACACCGGTGTCGTCGCCATGGCCATCGGTGGTCGTAACATGGGTCGTGTTGGTGTCATCACCCACCGTGAGCGCCACGACGGTGGTTTCAACATCCTGCACATCAAGGATGCCATTGACAACACCTTCGCTACCCGCGAGTCCAACGTCTTCGTCATTGGCCAGGAGAAGCCCTGGATCTCCCTCCCCAAGGGCAAGGGTGTCAAGGTACGATATAGCACTGTTTCTGCCCACTCGTACATGTTTACTAACCTTTTCGATAGCTCTCCATCTCTGAGGAGCGTGACCGCCGCCGCGCCCACGCTATCGCCAACTAAATGTCTCGTGACGTTGGCGAATAGCATGCTGGCTATTGTCAGATTCCGACCTTTGGGTTGGGTCTGATGGTGACCAAGCAACCCCCAAAAATTAACCACAAAACAGCAGCTGGGAAACGGCGTCCTGTCTTGCTTAATGGGCTTGGATGGTGCTTCTTTCCGTAGATTCGAACCATAGCAAACAAATAAGGGACGGGATCACCGTCCTGTTTCCGAGTGATATGATACCTATTTTTAACGTTGTCTTTTCTTGAATGATTCAATGACCGTACTTGATTCCCTGGGCTTGCCACCTCTCCTCCGCTCGTTCGTTGAACCTACTCTGTCTTGTGTTACTGGATTCATGTCTTCTGGCTATCGTCAAAGCTACCCGCTTTCATCTGCTACGTTCCCCCTCGTATGTACATTGTCACCATTCACCATGCGGCCCGGGAATTTGTAGATTGTTGCTGCGAGCCTTCCAAGTCACATATCGACATGGATACCAGACGTCTCTGTAATGATAGCGTGGCTATCTAATGGCAATTTGTAGGCCTGGACCTGGCTAGTATTTCCTCCGGATTGTAATTTGTAGTTTTGACTTCTAACGTCAAGGCTCAATCAACGATAGTTGGACCTGTATTTCCTCCGGATTATAGTTTATAGTTTCGACTTCTAACGACAAGGGTCAATCAACGACAGTTGGACCTAGATCAGTCTGGCCTTCGTCGGGAACCAGATCGACAAACCCCCAAATGCCCGACCATCCTCACATGCCCGCGATAAGCTCAGGCGACCGATACGCATGACTTCATCCTCTTAGCTCCCCACCACCAGCTCCACCGACGTCAATGCACATCATCGTGCAAAAGAGAAGCAAAAGGGTCTAGACTTGACTCGAGTTACGCCCCAGGGGGCAACAAGGACTCCTCCAGACCGCTACATCGAATTCCCCGACTCGCGGAACACTCGCGGAACGGAGGATGTGCCAGCCAGACTGCGAAAAAAAGAAAAAAAAAAAAAAAAGGCAGGGATGAACAACCCAGTCTAGAACGAGGGCGATCCTCCCCTCTCCCTCCGGGAGGAATAGACAGTCCATCGAACGCCTGAAGAGCGCCTTGGGCATTGAATAGAATCACCAGTACATTGTACGGAGAGCAGCCTATCGCGAACTTCCTCGCCGTCTCAGCCACCCCCTGCAGCGACGTCGCCTTCGCATCTGCAGAGCAGAGTAAAGAAGTACTGTACAGCAGTATGACGGAATGCAATGCCTCGTTGAATATTCAGAGTGCCTTGCAACCTGAGCTGACTGTGGCCAGTACTGGAGCGATTGGCCATTGCGCCACCATCAACGCCCATCATGAAGCCCCGGAGACTTTGACGGTGGAGTATGTACGGAGTCAAGGAGTATGGCCTACTTCTCCTAGTAGGTTGGGCTCCGAGAAGCCCGGGGGTATACTACACCTGTGGAGGGTGATGGAGGTCTGATCCTCGTCTGATCATGGCCACCCCCTCGGCGTTTTTCCCGGGTGTGTGTGGGTATGTGTGATTCCTCCTTTTTTTACGCTACATCGTGGTTAGGATCGGGTGGGAAGGCCGGAATGAGAGGAGTCCGAGGGATTACAGTGATAGAATTGTGGTACAGGCCTTTAGACTGGACTCCCAGCGTTAAGGGGACTACATTTAGTGGTGGATGATGGATGATCGCCAACGCATCGTGTGAAGAGGCGACGCTAAGAGTACTAATTCCCTTAGCCTAATTCCTAGAGGGTTGGGAAAAGATCGGGAGGGGAATATTCATGGAGGCGACAAGAGTTAAACGAGAGTATCTCGTATAGATTTTAACCAATACATTATTAGTGTTTAGGGGGAGGCAACTGACAAGGATCATCAAGGGATCATCAAGACTCATCTCAGACGAATATGACACTCTGCTATAGTCTCCATCTCAGCATCCACATTAATTTCCTCAAAAAACCCAACAAAATAATCTACATTCCTCCCATGAGCCGAGGATGATAACCGGGGTTGCAAAATATCGAACCCGTCTGACCGCGCCGCAGGTTGTCTCACAGCCCACTCAACAATTCAGGTTGACTCCCTGGTAACCGTCGTGATTTTTAAACGATCGCCGATGGTGATATTCGCCCCCCGGGTCAAGTAAGCAACCCTGTCAATCCTATCTGTGAAATACAAAAAAGGACTAGGACTCGGCAATGCAATAAGGCGACTCCCGAGTTACTCGTGCGTTCTGCACAGATACTTGGGCCGGGAATTCGCCGAAGCGGACATCAGTGTCTCGATCAGGTGCGTGGTGCCCCTGTCACAATGGAAACTTCATCCGGTCGCCCCTTGACTGGAAAAGCGAGCGGGTATTTCGGTCGGTGTAGTGGGTGGTTGGCTCCTACTCAGATAATAATGTTACACATGCACTGGGGGGTTTAGAGTACTACAGCATTGGGAGAGTTTAATTAGAAGCTGTCTCTATGGATTTGAGTTTGTGCGGCGGGTTTTTTTATTTTTTTTTATTCATTTTTTTTTCCTCTTCGGTTTTAACGGTACACGGATTCTGGATGGATGGTCAAGGCTTTCTTTCCAGAACGTTCAAGGTATGTGCTCGCATGGGCGGGTTTAGATGACGACAAAAACAAAAATATATATTGGCGAATTGGGCACAACCCAAGTGCGCTATTTTACATCCGTGCTGCTGGTTGGGGTTTCTGGAGCGGGTTAAAGTATTCAAGGAAGGGCGAGGTCTAAGAAGGAAAAGATGGTTCAATATTATGTAGATAGCGAATAGAGGGCACGCGGGTGCAGCGGTGAGTCTGTCTAGCGTTGATGGAAGAGTCGAAAGCATCAGCCACTCCTGTGTCTGCAGAGCCACTGCCACGTCAGCCACACTTGGCAATCTGCCTCGCTGGTGGCCTAGGGTTGAATCGTTGATAGTACATATCTATGTGAATTCGACCAGTCTAGCTTTTTTTTTCTTTCAAATGAACTTAATTTTGCAAATTACCATGGGTTTTTTTTGGGTCGAACCCGCCGGATGCCTCTTTTTTTTTCTTGCCCTTTTTTTTCCACGAGGGGAAAACCTGGGCAGTCACACGGCCCTGACGTAAGACGTTGAGAGCCCTGGCGTTGACCCTGACCACCCGATGGCCTATGCTGACCAGCCAATTATTATTACCAGAGAAAAATTTGCAGTCTTCTAGAATTGGAAGCAGCCGAGGAAAAAGAAAACAACATCCTGGCACCGCTGGGAAGAACCTCTCCCATGGAGTCCTGAGGATAGTATCCGCAGGACTGATACCCCAGGTACACCATCCGGGACCCATGCCCCAAGTGGAGACAATCTAATTCCGATACCCTTGACATGGATTATTTTACCATTGATACAGCATGCTCATTCTGGGATGGAGCTACAAAGTGTCTACTCACGTAGTCAGGACTGCTCCTTCTGGTAAGTCCGTGCACTCTCGTCCAGGCACCCCCAATTGTTCATGGCCCTAGAGCTAATTGCTGCATGTCTCTGGATCCGGCATCTTGATCGAGCCCATCGAAACTCATCTTGAGATTTGATGGTTGATGGCTGGACAACCCCCTTTTTCTTTTCCCCCCTGGAACTAGCGTAGAACTCAAGCGCGATTCCCTGAATAGTTACCTGTGCCCCGGGTCGTGGATCCAGCGGCGGCGACGTGGACGGTGTTGATTGCTTGCGGAAGGTGTGAGTCAAAGTCCTCCGCGTAAAGCCCCCTGGCTCGGGGGTTGGGTGTTTCAGATTTTGGGTAATTATGGCATTGTTGGTTGGAATGTTGGGCGTGGTTTGTATAGAAATTATAGAAAGTCGTTGGGAACTTTGGATAATTTGCCATTTTGGATGTCCATGTACACGATACCGGGCAGGTAAGGGAGTGCCGCTTTTGTCAGACTAACTGGAGTCGGGTCTCGGACTAACTGGGGTCGGGTCTCGATCGCGACCCTGACCTCGCTCCATCTATCGCATGGGTTGGAAGGTGGATTTTGCCCGATTGAAGTGGGTTGTGAACTCCACCGATGATTCGACTTGAAAGAGTATGGTGGGTTTACGGGCGCCCCCGGGCGATCATTCTTTGTGACTATTGACTAGTTCCAGCTGGTGGAATTGTCACACCAGCCATATGTGGCTGATTTCCCATCCTGAGGCGACTAGGCAACCATGTAGAAAGTACGATTCTAGTTACTGCTTTATGGGAGGGAAGGACGATCACTTCCATCACAACCGTGAAATATTCGTAAGGGTTTTGTCGTTCTGTATACTTCGGGTTTGGTTACACTGGAGGGGCGGTATTGATAGTTTAACTATGAAATGCCGAGAGATCGTAGCACGGGAAGGTGGAAGCAAGAGTTAGTCCAAACCCTTTTTCTTAAACAAAGAAGTTGGAATAACATCAATATTGATTTGTTGTCGCCGCACCGGGATTCATTTCCCTTGTCCTCCGAGCTGATCGACCGCACACCGATTTTGACAGACGTCAAAGTCTTCTTGAGCTGCCTATATGTAAGGTCCGATTGGAGGAGCAGGAACTGCAGATTATTCCTGCAAGAATTTTATTCCAAATTGACCCTCGAGATCATTGAAAATTGACGCCCACGGAGATCCAAAGAAAAGCGGGTCATTGAACTATACCATGGCCATGGCCATACTACAGAGCAGAGACACTTCCATAGACTTCCCTCGTTTTTCTGCTCTTAGCGGGTATTACTCGTTTTTTTAGTGTGTATTGACCATACAGGATTACAGCTCTACTGTATATGTCCACATCGATTGGTTAAACAAAACAACCAATTGCGATTGTGCTGGCTGCCCCCTCACAACCCCGCTTGATGTCCTCTGTCTTCCCCCTCTCCAAACTCACCGTTTCCCGTTACCCTTTTTCACCTTGTTCACCCTGATGCTCTGCTCTGATTATTAGGATTTATTAATTATTATTATTATTATTATTATGATTATGATTATTTTAATTTTCCCCTTTGCACTAGCGGTACCTTACTTTTTTTTACCCTGCTTCCAGAAGAAACGCCACGATGGTTCCTAGGCTCGCACCCGGCGAGCATCCTCTAGGATTGCAGCGAAGCTCTACCTACTGGGGACTCACCCTTTCTACGAAAATCAACCCTCTTAGCTTTATACCCTCCGTTATTCACCCTTACGAACCCGGGTCTTGCTATGGCAGCCTACGATTGACTTGATCGTGTGTATCGAGGACGAGGATATAAGGTCCTTCACTTGCGCTGCGGCGGGAAGCTGTTGTCCCGCCACAATCCTCTTTGCACCATTAGAAGTTCGCTGTATGCAATGCTTCCCCCGGGTTGAAGTCATTGACTGTCTCCCCTTTTGTCTCTTGTTTATATAGCTAATGTTCCCTGCTATAGACTGCTGCTATCCACCTGCATCTATTCATTCCTCACCATTACCATACCTATCACCAAGATGAGCTCCAACAAGTAAGCTAGCTCCAGTTCCTCGCTGTGGCAAGCACACTGTACACACCATCGCCTCTCTACGTGTTGCATTGCTGTGAAATACCACTGTCATCGATCTCATGTCCACCTCTACATCCATGTCCCCATCTACCTCTACCTCCACTCCCACCTACACCACCTACATCTCCTCCACTCCCATCCCTAACCCCAAATACCCATTAACCCTTTACCTCCACATCCACCTCGCCTCCATTCTACACTACCAATCCTCTAACCAAGCCCTTTCCTTAAAAACTATAGTCTCAGCGGAATTGGCTCTCAATTCAACGGCATCGAGACCACCGGACACCCCGACGTGCTCGATATCACCCCGAAGCGTACCTCGACCAAAAGCTCCCCCCCTCTCTCCACCACCCGGAACAAAAGCAAGAACTCGCCGCCATGGAACGCTCCCCTCGGCGCCCCCAAGCCCAAGAGATCGTCGTAGCTTCGGCTACGCTCTACATCTACGCACCTGTTCTGCAGGTGCTTCATTGTTTCTCGCTCCGAGGGGCCTTGTCTTTTGTTCTCTACTAGGGACAACTATGGCGTGATGTGACAATATGATATGGGCGCTCGAGGGGGTTCGGATCGATCGGACTTGGTTACTTGGATTCTGGATTTGGGACTTTGACTTTCGGACTTCGAAAGTTTTCTTTCTTTTCTTTTTTGGCTGACTGGGGACTGGGATTGGATTGGTGTTTTGGGAATGAGGGTTCTTCATGCACACAAGGCGTACACCAAAAGTGCTAAATCGGTTGGGCCTTGCTGTCTGCCTCACCGACACAAGCTGGAGTTTGAAGACTTTGGGGATGCACATGGATCCGGGGAGTTTGTATGTCTTAGACTTGTGATTCTTGTTCTTTGTGATTCTTGTTCTTTGTGATTCTTGTTCTTTGTGATTCTTGTTCTTTGTGATTCTTGTTCTTTGTGATTCTTGTTCTTTGTGATTCTTGTTCTTTGTGATTCTTGTTCTTTGTGATTCTTGTTCTTTGTGATTCTTGTTCTTTGTGACCTTCTCTCTGTGACCTATGTGTTTCTACATCTCCCTCTTTGTTGTATTATCCCCCCAAACCTATATAGACGTACAACATACACCGTGGCTTATGCATTGTAATTACAATCATCCCTTTCAAAGCATGTGTAAGATTATACAATCTCAGCCGTAGATGTTAAGCCCCTACTATCAAAAACCGGAATAAAGGAAAAGAAAAAAAATCTTCAATAATCCGAAGCGGCTATACCACCATCTTGCAGTCCCAACCCGACCATCCCAACGGTAAAAGAACCCACCCGAAACAACGAGAAAAGACCAGCCATATTGCACGCTCAGACCCCTCTAGAGACTCGGGAATAGCATCAGCCGTGAAATCTCTGTCGAGACAAGGCATAATAGCATGCCGTAACACAACCGAGACAATGCAATTAAATTGCGAGGGACAGAGAAAAAAAAAGCGATAAGGGGAAAAAAATCAAAATCAAAATCAAAATACATTAATTCTACAGGCCCCCGCATAGAGAGAAAACAGAAGATCCAATCTCCCTTCCTGCCCGTTAGCATGCAGGGTGGAGATTGGGGAAAGAAAATCATCTTCGGATACTAGTACTACGAGGAAAGATCAGCCACAAGACAAGAAGATAATCGAATACAATGAAAATCATCTCATAATACAAATGCAGCCATGACCAAAGACAGAAACCAAAGCAGCCCTTCACTTTTAGCCCAACCTGCAACAAACGAAAAGCTAAGGAAACCCTCCAACCCCACTCCCGCAAATCATTCACAGCGATCTCCGCCTCTCCCTGGCCGACTACCCTTTTGTCCTTGACAAGGTTGTCTTCTTCCTTGTTGTCTTTTTTTGGCCCCCCTCCCTAATCTCAGCTGACCTGCTGGAAAAATTTTTTCTTCATAATCTTCAAATTTTATCATGTCATATTTGCAAATTTTTTTTCTCTATTTTATCCCTTTACGTCTGATTCTCGCGTGGCTATCCCAGTGGGAGGGGACGAGCTTGAATATCCCCCCTCTTTGCCAGGGGAGTCCGTAATAATAGCCAATCAAGACTAGAGATACCGTTATGTGCAGCAAGTAATACGCAGTCTTTGCAGATAGTCTACTGAATTCGCGAATCTTATTAACAATAAAAAAATATCTTTCTAATGCAGTGTTTGACAGCGGAGGGTCGAGTTGGGCGTTTCATTTATTATTTTTTTTTCTTTAAAAAAACAGAGTACCCCGTTCGTCTCAGTACGTGGTCCGATCAGCTGACGCTGATCTTCCGTTCGGTTTAATTTGCTAATTCCAATTTCTGGTCCCCTCTGCCTGGTGTTATCCTTTGGAATCGCTCTTGAACTCTTGGTCTTTCCTTGTTTCCCGGGACAATGGGTAGTATATGGCCAGGAGAGCTTTAGCTGTAGTCCGATTTCCATTCCTGCTGCATTGGCGTGGCATACGCTGGGTCGTTAGCGTAAGGTTGCGGTACCATACTTTGGATCGTGGGAGACCCACGGTTTTGAGGGACTTCGGTGGGTCGTGGCCGGGTAGGCACCGTAGTGGAACTCTAGTATACTTTTTGTTTACTTTGGATACTCGTGGGTACAATAGATAGGGAAAAAAAAGGTGTGGAAGCTTGGATACGGGAACGACTGAATGGGTTTCTTTGTGGGAGAGATCTCGGTTCTGCGTTTCTTTTTTTTCCCTGCTATTTTTAATTTTTTGGTTCCTTCCTATCGGTGAAATTTACTTTGGGGGCTTCATTTTTTCCTTGTATGCGTCTCTCTTTCCTTTTTCTTCTCCCTACAGGGTCGAAGCTAGCTGACCCCGGAAGTCAAAAAAAAGAAAGGCGAAAACATGGGGATGAAAAATTCTTTTTTCCTCACATAGCTAATTCTTTGTTCGCATCGCCTAGTATCCCAGTAATCCCCGATCGTACGGAGTGTACGGAGAATTCTATACATTTATGCATCGTCCAGCTGTAACCAAGACTCCGACCGCGCGTACAGTGACGCTCCCCCTTTTTCCAGCGTCATGTGTATGCATGTCTAATATGCCAACGTTGATCATCATGCCCGATCGCGAGCCGGTCGTGCCGGATAGAAAAAATCCTCCCGTACTGCGCGTATTTCGAATCCAAACTCGGCAGTCCACGCCCACCACCGCCTCCGCGTCCTCTCGTGTGCCAAGCCAGAATTTTAAGCCTCTTAGAGGCCCGTGGAATGCCGATCCGTCTCACCTTGCGGCCTCGTGTCAGCCCAATTTGTACGAATTTATTGCCAACATCCAATCCTGAAGGGTGATTGGTTTCCAGCAACAAACGCCCTACGAAAAGCAGCGGCGGGTTCAAGGAGGCTGATCTATCTCCGAGTTGGCTTTCCCTTAGAGTCTGCCACTGGCTGCGGGGAATGCGATGGATGCTTTCTCCGGATCGTCCACCGTTATTGTCAACTCGCATCATTGCCGCAACGTCCGAGCTCGCGTGAGAAACGCCGATACTTTCGGGTGTCATGTCAAAGTCGTCTGGTGTCTCCGTTTTGGGATGTTCGGTGTGCGACGAAATCCGGGGATCAACTGTACAGAGTAGAATTGGGGGATGAGGAGAGCGAAAACAAAGAGGGCTGAAGGCGAAAGTTAGTGCTCCCCCGCTTTTTTTCCTCTGCCAATTCCTCCACCATTTCTCCAAGCTTGATCATTCGGACAGTCGCCTCACCGTTTGCAAGCACCAGAGCTGTCCTGACCGGCCCTGCGCCAACCTGCTCTGCCCTGCAATTCCCTATCTCTCGCTTCGGGAATAACCATCCGCCCATCGCGAGTTTCCGCCCCACCTGCTTTGCCCCGATGAAGATCTTGCCCATTTGACTGGGTGTAAGGGATGCGCCCGCTTGACATTTCCTCATTCCCCGGCCATGTTTTGGGTCGATACGGTCGGGGAATTGGAGAGGGATGTTCCGCGTGGAATTTTCGAATCTTCCACAAACACTGGAGTCGGGCGCCGAACGGGCGCGTGCATAGATAACGTACTAGTACCTAGATCCTAGGCACGGTGCAGGTACCGGGATTTTTCTCCAGCCGCTTGCAGTAGTTCAGATGGCAATAGGGGGGACAAGATCTTTGGTGTGACACAGACATGTCGATCGGCCCGGTCGCAGCCTCCATCTCTCCATCTTGTGAGACCCTAGACGATCCTTAGAGAGGAAACCGGAGCGAGGTAGCCGCATGTTATCGATACCTACCATAATCGTGGCTGATGTCATGGGCGTGTCCATTGGCTCAGGGTGATCGGCAGGGAGTCGCTTTGCATCGGAGACAGGGTCGCGAAAGGAAAGCTTCCCTTCTAAGCGGTGATGGCCCCCCCAAAGCGGGTTACGGTCGATTCGGATGTGGGAACCGTTTCGCGGTAGTCGATGATGCTGGACCCGACGACGCATTCCCTCTTCCTGACTGGTGAGTATGGTTCCACTGGCGAGTGCATCCTCCAGTGAGACCGGCGCTGGGCTTAGTTGTCGCTTAGGCCTCTTGTCAAGACGCCTCCAGCAACGATCACCGTTGGTGGATTTCACGGTTGGGCGAACGGGGCTGGTGTGGTCATTTTGTCGCACCTTCACCCCCAAGGCTTTTCTGAATTAGCGAATGGATGCGCGATCCAAGGTCCATCTCAAATGACAGCTTGCGCCTCTTCCGAGCACCCGCAATGTCGAGGGAATTGGCTTCATGGAGATGATGATGCTGAACATGTGAACCTTCCCCTGCTTTGCGGAGGAGAGATCGCGCGGCTGTTTGGGTCGCTTGATTTTGGTGGCTCCGATCAGTGCAGTAGTTCAACCAGAGTCAGATCCCTGTGCAAACCACTCCGGCTCGGTCATGTACCTGATCTTTGACCCTCTGGAACCCTCTCGGACGAAGCAACCCGATGAGAGTCATTGCACCGTGGCTCATCTGCGGCCGCTTCGGTCCGGTACCTAGAGAGAGAGAGTGATGCTCTCTCCCCCTCTGGGATATCTTCCCGAAACTGACAAGCATCCGCGCTCGCAAACTGAACGCGCTCGGGCATGGGCCTCTAGGTAATGCACAGGGCATTGCGTATCTTCCGAAGTCGATGAAATTGCAGACCCATGATCGGATGTATAGACGGCTGTAGAAGGTGATAGACTGATGACAAGTCTAGAAGGACAAAGGAGGGGAAGAATTCAGAGCACATTCCTGAATTCTTGGCTCGGTCCCTAGTATAATGGTTTAGGCGGCGATCTAGAGCCTAGAGGATGTCGTCGGGCAGACAGCGCAGAGAGGGGCGCAGCAGCCAGTAGATGACGACCAACGGCCAAGGCGAAGCAAAGGTGTCACGGAGTTGAATGTGGTTTGGTGGTCCCCTTTGGCCGCCTGATTTACCAGTCTAGCAAATGACGGATGCGCACCAATACTATGACTCTATCGTCATTGGTTTCTAATGGGGGTTTTCTGCTGGCTCTGTCTATAGTAAACCCCCGTTAATTCCTTTACGAGAAGAGTATATCCCTCCTGCGTCCTCCATTTGCTTAGATTATGCTGCACTGGCTGGGATCATTACTCTTTTAATTCGTATGACAATCCTAGGGATTTCTTGCTCACTACTTGAGAGAGATTAGCGCCGTTGCCTTTTGTTCTCTCTCTCTCCACCGCCCCTTCTCTCTCTTCTTTCCTTCTTGACGGGGTGTATAATATCAGCAACAATCCCTATAGTTATCTGACCCCCCCATTATTCTTCACTCCCTTTGATCCTTTGATTATCATTTGATTTCCTGATTATTATTCTTCTTTTTCTTTTTTCTTTCGGCCCGACACAAAGAATAAACTCCTCTTAGTTCACATCCCTCCCTTTCTTTTTTACTTTCTCCGCAGTTTCATCCCAATTCCCCCACCTCTCTGATTTCCCCTCCCTCCAATCACTACACTTTTTGTCCCGACTGTACCTTTTGTACCTTTTGCCCTCTTACTGGTTCCCAAACACATCCTCCTCCCCTTGACCTCAACCCTTCAACCCTAGAAACCCTACAACCCTCTCGCTTTTGGGATTGTCCAGTACTTAGGCTTGGGACCTAGCTCCCTGGCCTTGAGTCCTCGTAATCCTATAAAGCTCCTCTCGTTGCCTGCCTGATTTCTTTTGGCCTTGCTTTTCTTCGCTCTCTCCTTCTGTCTTCAGGGTTCCTTCCCTTCCCCGACCTTTCCGTCCGGTCGGGTCTTATCATATTGTCATCATGTCTGATCGATGGGCTTATGGGCTTATGCCAGACCTTACCGAACAAGACCTCGACGACCAAGACCTCGACGGCTCAGACCCCATTCTGTTTGGCAGTGGAAATTCCTTTCCTGGTCCAGCAGAACGTCAGAGCTTTGGGTTTCATGCGATCCCAATCGGTCCTCCGTGGCCTACCTTTGCTGCTCCACCCTATAGTCCAATGATGCAACAACAACAACAACCATTCAGCACCCTGGCCACTGGCGCACCCAGTGGCCAACACACCGTGAGTGCCATTGAATAATAAGTTCATCCTCCAAATCATGAATCAGGCTAATGCTCCATGTCACCGCGGTAGACTCCATATTCCTCTTACCCAACAACTGTCTACTCGAACCCTCCCCCACCATCTGTCCATACGGATCTGACGTCCACGTCCGATCCATTTAGTGCAGGCGTATCCAATACACAGCATCTGCTTCCCAACTATGAGGAGAAAGTGCTTGTCGACCCACACCCTCAAGTCCACCCGTTGGAGGGTATTGATGAGAGGTATCCCAACCAAGACATCCCTCAGGAGCTGCCTGCAAATCTCAAGGCACCTCGTAATGGGAACTCCCAGAATGTAGTTCCTCCAACTCCGAATCCGGTTCCACCGGAGTCAGCCTCACAGAGGATGCCCACGCCACCCCGCATGGGTGTTCAGAGTCAGGAACTTGACGATACCTTGGCCCTTGCCCAAGGCACCATCAGCCGGCTGCTGGCCCAAAACCCGAACCATCAAAGCCTGTCTCCGATCAGCCAGGGTCGTCTGGACAGCATCCGTGGCGAGATTACTGAGTACTTCGTTGTCTCTCGGCGCAGGGAGATGCCCCCTCCAGACTCCCCGTCGGACAAAGAGTCGGGTGACAAGAAAACAGTGCTCAAAAGCCAGCTGTACTACCGCTGTCCAAGGCCCAAGTGCACTATGAAGGGGCCTAATAAAGCCGTCTTCAAACGGCATGTTGATAGCAAGCACTTTCCACAGTGGGAGTACTACTGTCACCATAAAGAGCTCGGTTGTCCCGTCGCCGTGAAACCTCTCTATCGCCGTGACAAGCTCGTCGAACATTACAAAAATCACTTAGAGCGTTCTACTGATGAACTTGGAGTTATCATCGACAAAAATAGGGTTCTACGTCCTTGCGAGCGCGTTTGCATTTGTGGGCGGTCCGTCAATGATTGGGAAGAATTCTACGAGTGTTTTCTCAAACACTGCGAGTGCGAGCCACCGTTGGATGACCCTGGTTCATCTTCTCCTGAGCATCGACGTAAGCGCCGCCGAGATGACTCCAACGATGACCCATTCGACCCCAGCACGGGCAACGGAGGTCCTGCTCTATCCAAGCAAGGACACGGGCGTTCTGGAAATGTCAATGGACGTGGCCAGCACCAGTCTTTCTCTGGTGCAACCGGCAACCAGCTGAGAAATGGCGATTCAAAGCCTTTTCTTCGTGCACGCTCAGCGTCCGACAGTTGTGACGGAAGAACGAAAGGCTCACAGCCTTCTCGGGCAAATGACGCTGCTCCTCCCACATCTAAGTCGAAGCCCTCTGGCTCTGGCAACGACCAAAGTGGCCGATCCAAGAAAAAGAGTGCCCGACCTCCACTTGACCTGCGTAACCTGCAAAGTCAGGCAGGCTCTCAATCATCGGTGAACAACTGCAAGACCTGTCATCATGTCTTCAATATCTGCTCTACGTGCTGCGAGAGTCCACCGTCAGCAGATCGGTGCCATATGTGTCCCCCTCTAGAGCGCACTCTAGCGGTGCAGGCCGGCAATCCTCATGCGGACTTAGCTTTGCGTCAAGCTCTCCTCACTGGCCAGAATGTGGGATTTGCGGACCATCTTCAATTCACCCCACAGGGTATTCATGCTGGGCCCAGCATTCCCACGACGGTCGATCCCGCACTCCTCACCGCGATGGATCAGCAACATTGGCAGGTCAACCAAGCTCGACAACCGTATGCTCAAGCCCAGGGCGTGATTCCGCGCGGGAGCAATCAGCAACGCCTTTTTGGAGGAAACCAGCCCTATATGGCTGGCGCGGTGCATGATATTCAAGTGCGCGGCATGTCTGAGCCTGAGATGGAGTTCTCTATCCTGGACTCCAAGCGCAAGTGGGACTCCAAGAAGTCGCAAGACTCGAGCTCGAGTACATGGTCTGTCATCCTGCCTTTCCGAAGTTCGCCGCCGCCTCGCCCAGTGTCGCCGTTGCCCCTCTGCAAGCCGCTCACAGGCACGGGCTCGATTTCTGTCGGTGGTAAGCAAACCCCATTATTCGTCTATCCCCCCCCGTTTCACTTATTGCTTGCCACAATACTTTACTATAGATCCACTGACCTCAATAGGGATGGAGATCATCGCTCGGGAATTCATCGGCCCTCTTTCCTTGAAAGCTCCTTCGTCTGGGTGCCGGTGCCCGTGTCGTACCAGGCCTTCAGCAATGTACTTTGCTCGTGGCCGCGTCGATATCGCGCCCGGTAGAAAGATCGAAATGGACTTTACGATGGCACGAGAAACCCATAACACGGAAGCCCGTGGCATGGGTCATCCGCTGCGGACTCGCATCCAAGTCGTTGTGAAAATGTTAAGACTCAGAACCGCCGCCAAGTCCGCGAGCGACAAGCACAAGAAGGAGGCGTCTGCTGCCTTCAAAGGAGCCCGCGAGGCTACTGTATGTGGCTCTGACGCTACAACCACCACTGGTCAGGACGATGCCAAAGTTGTTGCTCGAGACAACTCAGGCTACGACTGGGAGGTGGAATCTGTCGCCGAATCTACCTTCACTGTGTATACGCAGGCTTCAGCTTACACCGACATCACTGTGCCCTCTGCACCAAGCAGCCCACGTCCACCGTCCTTGATATTCTCGAGAACATCCTCTTGCACTGACCTCACGTTACCATCTCGGCCTTCCAGCCCGGGATTCTCTGGGTATCCCCGAAACTCGTCTTGTGCAGACCTGAGGCTGCCTGCTCCTGCACGATCCAGATCACCCTTGCGTTGGATCTTGGACGATGACACCCTCGGCAATGAGGAGCTACCAATCCAGGACGTAGGACTCTTCGAAAAGGAAGGAGAAGAGAAGGAGATCGACCTCGGGCTTGGTTCGGGTCTGCAGTCACTCGACAGGCTCTCTCGTGGGAGAGGCGGAGTGCCGGCCGATGAACTTCGCTCTGGAGTAGGATCTGCCTGGGACTATGACCGGATCTCCCAATACGTCATGGGACTATCACTGTCTCATATATTCTCGCGGGCCTCGCGAGGCAATGGCTTCAATTCCTCCTGGGACAAGAAACCATCTTCCTAGTTTGATACGTTTACTTTTGCTGGCTATTATTACGATGATACCCGCAACTCCCTGTTGATTTTTGTTTGGAGTTCAAAATACTGTTTGAAAGACTACTCGAAAGACTTTTCAAGACTTGTTTGAAGAAATCGTTTCCCCCGAATTGTCTTCTTTTGTTTTCCATTTTCCCCTCGTGTGTTTCTATTGCTTCCTTCATCTTTTCTCATCTCCACTCCCACCATCTACCATGCGATTTCATTTCAGATTTTCTGCTTTGAAGCATTGTTCAGTGTCATTCCGAGAAGCCTTTTGATTTACTTCGATTTGTGTATTCTTGCACATTGTTCATCTCTTGCGCATTATCCATCCATCGTTCATCTTGATTTTGTCCTGCCAAAATCTCGAGCCAAAAAAATCTCCTTCTCCATGCGGTTCACCGGTGATGTTCATCGCCCGGTCTTTGGATGGGTATTTCACTTTGGCACTACATACCACTTCCTTACCCGATTCTTGTTATCTTGGGGGAAAACTGTACATTCTGTACATTCATGTACCTGTATGTATATCACCAAGACTAGACCTGGTGGGCTTTGCACATTTTCTCGTCCTGTCTTTTTACCCCATTATTCTGCCCATTGTTCTTCGTTTTTTTTTGGTACTCATCACAGGGAGGCTGCACTGCTTATGGCGTTATGTTTTTACTCCTTACGCGCTATGCTGCTACGGCTTGATGATCACGATCGCATCGGAGCACAAGGTCAGATAGACAGCATTTACAATTTACACTATTATAGCTATCATCTCCCTTTTTCCGCCTTGAAGAGTAGTCAACTCAGAGCAATCCGCATTAGGCTCAATTAGTCTTTGCACAGCCTTCGCGTCAAGAGTCGGTGAATGAAGCTTGGACCCGGGTAGACTCGGCGCAGCAAGGCTTCTTATGTGCGCGAGTCATGTAAAGGTTTAAATCAGGGTCGGTGTGAGGCAGTGCAAAAGCAGATCCACTACAGCTATCACGTACATGGCGGATACAGCACATACATAACTCCGCAAGTCTTAGTGCCGGAAAGCATCATCTAAGTTCTCTACGGGTCGGCCCCTCCGCCACCGACCCATCCATCTTGACTCCGCCTCACGGCCCTAGGTCCGAGCTCATGAGGGAAAGAGCGAGGTTTTTGATCAATTTGTGAAATGAGTCACCTACTTCGGTTGGGCATGACCTGTTGTTGATGCTTAAGGCTGAAAATGCGGACCATGATCACTCGGTCGCATGGATGTCCTTCGCCATAGACTTGGCGGTGCTTCATTCTCGAGTACCTACAACACCGACATACGCAGAGGCCAGCAGAACAAAAAAGTGAAGCAACAATCTCATTCAAGCATTCATGATTCACCGCCTATATGACGATATCCAGGCGACCGATAGCATCAAGCCAGCTACCATCCCTTCCCTTTCCCAATCCAGACTCTAAGCCGCAATAAGAGCCTTAATACCCGCCTCAATCGCAGGCGGATTCGCACCCACAACCTCGGTAGTCTTCTCCCCCTTATCAAAGAAGTAAATCGTAGGCAGGGAGCGGACCCCAAGTTCCTGTGCGACGTCGGGTACGTCGTCTACGTTGATCTTGTAGAACTTGGCTTGTGGGTACTGGGTGCTGAAGTCGTCGACTTTGGGGGAGATCATTCTGCAGGGGCCGCACCATGGGGCCCAGGCGTCGAGGACGACGGGGCCATCGGCGTTGATGATCTTGTCGCGGAAGTCTTGGTTGCTGAGTTGGTGTTAGTTGTGAGTTGTGAGAGGGTTGGGGAAGGGAGAGGGGGAGGTATGTACCTGGTGATGTCCTCGACAGGCATTTTGGTGGGTTGGTAGATATTTGGGTGGTGGTTGGAGATCTTTGAGGAGGCAGGAGTGTTGTTAGAGCTGGGGGGGTGGGAGTTTGTGAAAGAGAAAGAAGGGAAATGGTCGGTGGTGGAGATAATATGCTGCTGATCTTCAAGCCGCGATGATGACGAGAAGTGGGGGGATCTCGGCGGGGCAACGATGGTCTGATGTCCGTGCAACATGAACAGAGTATACGGAGTATACTTTGATATTAAGAACAAACAAGTCTAGTTGACTATTATAGATGGAGCATTGATTTGAGTAGTTCTTCCATTGATTGATTAATCCGTTGAATGCTGATATCTCTCGAGATATTCTACCGTATGGCGAAGTATACCTTAACAAGGGTATGGAGATTCCCGAGCGTCTTGGAAAAGGTATCCCCCTCTATACTGTGTAACACTTGATTGGTAACCTCGGCCAAAGGAAAATAAATGAAAACTAGTTTATATTTAAAAATGGGAATAGGGTGTGACAATGTATATACAGCGGAAGTTGCCGAGTGCAGTAAATACTTGATCTCTATACGAACAGTGGACGGCTATTCCAGGATCAAGGCTCGATAGTTCTTTAGCTCTAATTAATCAGTCCAGTTACCAATATATAATGCATTTAAGAGCCAGGTCAATTGGAAGATTGACCAATACAATTGAAGCCAAAAATCCATGGTTCTCTGGCTATTATCAAGGACTTTGTCATTTCATTCAGCTGGTCGGACGCTTCCAAGATACTCCATCTTCCGTCGATCTTTTCTTGTCCTTGTATAGCCTCTTATTTTCTGCCGGATTCAATCAAAGCCTATGGTACTGATGTCTTGGTGAGCACATGGAGGTTGATTTCGATAAGAATAAACCTTATGAACGAGCACATCTGACTTTGCAACCCTTCGAGATCCTAAATACGCTAACCCCCATTTGAGTCTACCATCGCTGAGTCATCGTGTTATTCCTGGAGCCTGAGGCTCAAGCTGGATTCGGAGCGATGTCCTGCGGTCTGAAATGCCTGGTGCCTGATGCCCTGAGGAACTATTTAAGGGTCCTCGTAACCAACAACAAAAGTCAACTTTACCCACGATCAAACTCTTTAACACAATGGAACCTCTCATAATCAACGTCAACGGGGAATCAAGCATCACCCGCCTTGCCGACCAAGGTTCCCTCCGACTTACAGTCGAATGCGAGGGTTCAGACCTCGAAACGGTATCCAAAGATGTCATTTCACGGTCTAACAAACTCAGCGAACTCTTCAAAAAACTATCCCCAAAATCCAACGACGGCACTGCTACCGCCGACGCGGCGGTAACCAAGTTCGCCTCTACTTTCCTCCGCACGAGGAACTACACTATCCACGACAAGGATAACAAGCCCTTGCGCAAGGTGTACCAAGCCTCCATGTCGCTGACCATTGTGTTCCGTGATATCACCAAACTCAGCGAGGTGGTGGGCCAACTTGTGACATACTCTAATGTCGAAATCAGTGCGATTGACTGGAGTTTGAGCGAGGCTACGCAGAAGGATCTGCGCGCGCGAATGCGCAAAGAGGCTATTCATGATGCGATTGCTAAAGCCAATGATTATGCCGAGGAGGTGGGGAGGGAAGTGTATCCTGTGGAGATCATCGACGGCGGGCAAAATGCTGTTGCGCAGTATGCTCCTCCCGGGAGATCTCTCTTTGGTGGTGGCGGTGGTGCCGTTGCCATGAGGAGTAGTGTGAAAGGGGGAGGAGGTCTGTTTGGTAGTAGTGCTGCTACTTCTAACCGCCCAGAGCTTTCTGAGACTCTTGATCTTTCTCCTCCGGATATTCAAGTTACGAGCTCGGTGTCTGTTAGGTTTCAGTCTGTCCCTGACAAATGAGATAGGAGCTCTACATTAGAGGCTTTTTTTGACTAATTCAGGCCCATATAGTTGTTTGTCGAGAATCTACTTCATAATTAAATTGAACCACGTTTTCTTCGTGTCACCTTTTGAAGTTGATAAGCTGCTGTATCGCCCAATGTAAACACATCCGTAATGGCGTAACAGCGCATCAAACTGAAGGCGAAGGCCCAACTCGAATAGGCGATTTACAAACCCGCCTTACGGCTTCGAGTCGATGGATTTCCCCGTGCCCCATTGAACGTAAGATACAAATATAAGAAAGTCCAGTCCGAAGATCACAACCCACCCGTATAGTACAACACCGCCCAAGCCAAATAGCCAAAACACCACCATCCAATATAATACATGCCATGAAAGCGGATGAACACCTTTGAATTACATCTAGTACACCAGAAGAAGAAGAAGAAGAAGAAGAAGAAGGAAAAAACATCTCGAATCCCATTCGAGCCTAAACATACCCTAATAAATTCATCGCTTCTCTTTCTTCACTCCCCGGTCTCGATCAGAAGCAATCAACGAGCGAGTGTAATCCGAGAGACCATGTGAGGGGAGATCAGAAACAGAAGGGACGAATGAAGAAAGGTAAACGAAATTCTCTCTCTCTCTCGACGAAAAGACAACAAACAAGACACCTCCGGGCGTAGTCCCTTACTCTTGGCGACTACGCTTGGCGCCGTGGGGGTTCCAGGTGCCGTCGCCCCCCTGGTTACCCCCGAAGAAGTTCTGGTTGAATGCCGGGTTGGGGCCTTGGAATCCTGGCATGGTCCAGTTAGCGCGCACGTCCATCTCTCAAGAATCGTAAAAACGCCAATATAATATCTCTAGTCTTTTTTCACTCACCCTGCATTCCCATGTTTCCGCCCATGTTCCCCATCATGGGGTTCATGCCTCCGGCCATGGCGTTCATGCCCATGCCGCCCATCGGATTCATACCGGGCATCATCATGCCCGAACCAGCCATGTTGCCTCCTCGGCCGCCTCGCATGCCACCGGGACCGCCGCGCATGTTGTTCATCATGCCGCCACGGTTGCCGAAGCCGTAGCCCTGCATACCGCCCATAGGTCCGCCTTGGAAGCCGCCCATCATGTTGCCGCCGGCGGGTGCAGCTCCGGCGCTGTTCTGGTAGCCACCCATGTTGTTGTAGTTATTGCGGTTGTTGAAACCGCCCATGTTGCCCATTCCGCGGTTGTGGTTGTAGCCGCCGCGGCCGCGATAACCGCCCATGTTCATGTTGCCGCCACCTGCGCCAGTGCCGCCGAAGTTCATGTTCTGATTGCCGGCAGAGTTGTAACTGGTGCCGCGGGTGCCATCCTTGCGCTGCTGGCCATCCTTGGGGTGCGTCTTGAACGGGTTCATTTGCGGGTTGGCATACTGGACCCCGTGCTTCCGACCAGCTGTGGTCTCAAGGTAAAGCTTAGTGGCCGCTGCGGCCTGGGGAGTGGTGAACTCCACAAAGGCTTGGCTGCAACCGTAGAAATAAGGACTCTGGTTAGCTGCCTGGCGTTGACAAGACGTGTGAACTGAGAAATGATAAGACTTACCCCTTGCTCTTGCCATTGACCTTGTGCTCGTTAAAAGTCACATCCTTGAGGTCCTCTTCAGCTTGGGCCTTGTTCGCCCAGCCGCGGATATCGTCGTCGGTGGTCCACCAGAAAAGGTCTGAGATGACCAGCGCAGTGGTTGCTTCGGGGTCGGAGGGGCGATCCTCGTAATCCTTGCGCTTGACACCGTGAGGTGCAGCCATGGTATCTTGATGATTGAGAGATTCTTGCGACATGGAGTGGTCGCCGTTCGCAGAGTGTGAAGACATTGTGGGATGGATAGGTTCGATCTGAGGTTTTGAGGAGGATGGAGATTGATGTGAGGGAGAGGGTTGAAGAGTAGAAGGGGACGTGGACGTGTTGTTTGTCGTTGCGTGGACTTCAGGCTCTGGGATATCTAGGACGACATCATCGCCTTCCGGTTTCGTGTCACCCTGGTCGTTGGCATTGAAGCCTCCACCGTCCCCGTAGATGTCGATATCGAAATTATCATCCTCTGTCGCCATTGTGCAACTAGAGCGGTTGCCGATTGACCGCAGGCTTCAGAGAGAATGAATTCGATTGAGTTAGAGGTGATATTGGACAATACACAGGCCCCTTTTGAATCCTCTGGTGGTTGGTTGACTTTGGATTCAAGAGTACGTGTCTGTAGAGACAGGTGGTCAATTAGCACGGAGAAGGATTTCCCAGGGTCTAATAATCAAGGAACTGGCAAAGCAGTATGAAGAAAGCAGGAGTGGTGCTTAGTAGAAGCGGGTGATTTAGAGTAGCAGCAGAGAATAGAAGCATAACACTATCGCGTAATGACAACGAAGGAGAAAGACACAACCATACGTACAATCCACAGCGGCCAATGATTCGCCCCCGCAAGAATAAGAACAGTACCAGCTGATGAGGCACGTACAGGTGATTTCCCTTTCCCTTGAGATCAGGATTCCGGATACAGGAAGAAAGAGAAGCGCGCGCCGGCCACAGACAGGCAACGGCTATAGCGGCGAAGAGACCAGGGCTATGCCTTAAAAGACCCCCCAAAGAAAGGAACCAGGTCAATCCCTCCCAGGTTATAATATTAGACAAGACCCGATACCTTCGGGTTGACTGGAGCAGAACGAGAGTCGAGATAATTGATGAGAGGGAGTTACGGCGAAGGCGCGACTGAGCTCCTAAGCTCCGCCCGGCAATATAGTTATTCCGGACCCGGACTCGGAGTGGTCCCCCCAGAAAGGACACGCCAACCTTCCCGGTGGTATTTCCCTGTCCTTCCAATTCCCCCAGACTTTCCTTCTCCCCATCTTTACTCTCTTTTCGCCCATACTCATCCACAATGTCTGAGACCTTCCAAGAGCTTGCTGATATCCCCAAGGACTTTGTCCGCGAGGGAAGCCTCTTCATTCGCCGCTGCACCAAGCGTAATGTCGATCCCCCCATGATTGATCGGAGAGATTACTGACACTCTTTGCAGCCGACAAGCGCGAGTTCATCAAGATTAGCCAGGCTGTTGGCATGGGCTTCTTGGTTATGGTATGTTACGGCTATCATCTGGAGCCTCGTCGAGGAGTGCCAGCAATGGTGGAGGAATATCGCTAACACGGACATTCAGGGTGCCATTGGCTACTTTGTCAAGTTGAGTAAGTGCTGGCTACAGAAATGCGCTATGTCGCTGGACTATCGAGCATCGGAACATATAGCTGACGTTCAATTACCTTCTCCAGTCCACATCCCTGTTAACCAGGTCCTGGTCGGTGGCGCATAAATGACAAGAACCCTTACCATTCGATGAATCGAGAACCGAATCAATCAATGAGCGAGCGGATAGGAGAGAGAGAACCCATGCCGCAGTCGGAGATGGATATCTGTTGAGCGAATTGAATGGATCGCATTGATGCCCATGCTCGCGTGCGCATTGGACGAAAAGGGGGGCGAATCGAGCCCCTCTGTTGCGGAGCACATTTGAGAAGCTTCATCATGTTTTTTTGCCTTGTCGTCCGGAGTTTACAATCATTGGCGACCGCTTTTTTTTTATTTGGGATGCGATGGGAGTGCATCATCGCCACCCTTGAGATACCACATACCACTTACCTGTACCAATAGGGGTCTTTTCTTTTTCTGATCAATCAACGACCCTCCATACCCATCTTCATACTTTCGCATATCAAATCTACGATGCAAGGATCTAGTGATAATCAAACATAATCGTGTATCTTCGTTAATATCGTCGCTAAGTACAGCACATGCAGGAACCTTTTTATGAGTCAAATGCCCTCCCTGAATACCGATCCCAGAGAATCACTTTTCTCGCATATGTACCAAGTCGATGCTGAATAGCGTACACTCCGGTCCAGTTCACCAATCATCGTCGTCATCTTCGTCCGTATCCAACCGAGCCACCGGCCTGCTGCGCAGAGTGCGGCGTGTGCGTCTATGCTCTGGGCTGGGCGAGGAATCGTCCTGATAATGGTTGTATTCGGGAAGGGGCCTCAACTTATGATCGTAGCACCGCCCAATTGACCGATCGCCCTCATCCTCGTCGGCGCCGTCGTTCCATGAATGAATCGTGCATGTGCCGCTAGACAATCCCCATCCATTCCAGGAGGTTGCTAGAGAAAGTGACGATGTTAGCTCACATGATCGAACGAGATCGAGTAGTTTACTTGACGAGAGTCTCAATGGGGCTCACCTGCAATCATTGGCACATTAGGATGCCAACTAGCATCCCGAACACACGTTCTCCACTCCATATCGCCATGGAGATCCCACATGTTAGTAAGGATATCTGGCCCACGAGGCCGAGAATTCATTGTCGCGGCTTGAACATCGATAGTACCAGCCAACGTGGCATCGATGTTGTACACATAGACCTTACCATCGGCGCTACCAGTGTAGACATAGCGCGAGTTTGTGCTGCCAGGAGGCGAGAAGTGGCAGCGAACCAGGGTCTTAAGAACGCGATGGCCCCGGAAGGTGACAACGGAGTGGTCATAAGGATGCGCCACACGATGGGACTCCGGATATTCCTGGAACCGATAGTCAAAATCCGTGGAGTAAGCGTTCCTTTCAACCGCATCGGCTCTGGATGGCGGCATCATTTTTCTCAGGTCCCAAAGCTTCATCGTCTGGTCTTTACTATTGGACAAGACGTAGCGGCCATCGCCCTTGCTATCAATGTATGTCAAGCCTTCTGTATGACCGAGGAACACGCCGGCTTCACGTCTGTCGGCCATTGAGCGTCGGTCCCAGACCCGCAAAGTTGTATCGTCAGAGCCAGAGTAGAGAATGTGAGGCGACGAGGTGTCGCCGAAACAGACCGCATTGACGTGGTGCTGATGACGACCTTTTAGAGTAAGAACCGGCGTCCGTGTTTCGAGATCGACCACTATGACTGAGTTCTCTGACGTGCCAGCTACGACCTCTCGGCCGTCTCCAGAGAATCGAAGTGACCAAATCTATCAGCACAAAAGTTAGTTCCGTATCAAATTTCAGAAGGGACTGGGACTGGCATTCGTGTCCAAAACCTACACCAAAGCGCGAACGTGAAATATCAAGACCTTGGGTTATCGGCTGATTCGGTAAAGGGAGAAATTCAGTTCCTTTGGATCTGAATCATCGTCCGGGTCTGTTGGCGCCAGGTAGGCAGCACTGCGGATAGAGCTGTAGGCGAGAAATCGATTGTCCGGGCTAAGCGAAGCATCTGTGATGGTCCATTGACCATATGGATACTCGACGGTCTTAAGGTATTTCCATGCGAACGGGTTGGATGTATCGTACATCCGAACCCTGAAGTCCTGCTCACAACAGAAAAAGAAGTTCCCATCATCAGAGAACTGACCAGAGTAGCTTCTGGAATCGTAGTGGATGATGCTGTCGGCGCGAGAGCTAGGTATCATAGTCTGCAGTCCGATGAATGGCCAAGTTAGTATACATACTGCATATACTGGTGGGCGCCTTAGGGTTGGCATATGCGGCTATCCGTCCTTACCTGGGAAATGGACTGATCAGCTCTGATCCGTACTCCATGAGAATCAATGCCAAGCTCCCGCCACATGAGACTTGTGGCAAAGACCTCTTTGCGCTTTTTGATTCGATCGACGTAATATGGCTCGGTGCCAAAGTGCCCGGATCTCATCAATTTGGTGCCTTCCTCGCTGGGTACTTTGGGCCACACGAACTTCGGTCTGCGCCGTCTTCCTGCTAATCTAGCCGTCATGGCAAGGATGAAGTCTTCATCGGGCTCTTCCAGGTCGTCGTCCTCAAGAGGCGGGCCCGGATCCAAACCATTCGCAAGGAGAGCCTCTCGGAAACCACCGGAAGCCAGTAACTGGAATAGATAATTCCGCGCAACTGTAAACAAGTGGTGAGAAGCTATCCAACCAGAATCTCGAAAACAGAAAGCAAAAAGAAGAAAGTTAGGCATATCGACGTACATGTGGGATCGTTAGGGTCTGCTCTTATGAACCTCTCAGCTCCGAGGTAATCGTCATCATCGTCCTCCAAATCCTCCAAATCATCGGGAGGGTCTGGATAAGGAGGGTCTTCATAACTCTCAATGCCACCCCACTCGTCGAGTACCCCGAATCTGCGCTCGCCCTCGGATGGGCTAGGCTGGTAATCCGGGTCTGTTGTCGTATCTGTTTCATCCAGGTGTTCATGGGCTGGGTGCCAAACGGGCTCATCCTCTATCGGTTCGCCTGTCTCCTCGGACGACATTCCTGCGGAGGCCATGGTGAGGGGAGTTGAGGTGTCGTTTGTAGAAGATGTTTGTAGGACTGTCAAAGAGATCAAGAGATGAGGAGACGGGGCTTATCGATAGCGTGATACCGAACACCGCCAAGTGAGATTGTTCCTTATGTCATACCCCACGCTGACCCACGATTAGGTTATTATCTCCTTTTTAACTCCGCAAAGGTGGGGCACTCGAACGTTTAACTAATTCTTACGATTGAATTGAATGGATACATCTAAATTCTCCAATATAGCCCAATCTACCCTCTCTATCAGCTACCCCGACTCAGAACCCTCCTCGTGATCTTAACTTTACACTCGCTGTTCTTCACGAAGAATCCCTCGCGCACTTCCGTATCCAATGTGGTAGCTCTTTCAATGCTAAACAGCTTGAAAAGCGTACCCAATGTCTTCAACATTTCCATCCAGGCAAAGCTTCGAAAAATTAGTATAATTAACCAATTTTGGGATCTTGAGGGACATACTTTCGCCCGATGCACGCTCGTGGCCCAAGGGAAAACGGATAGAACGATTCGAGACGGTTAGATGAATCCCCATTCATCCATCGCGATATATCAAATCGATCTGGGTTCTGCAGAAGACAATCAGTCATTTTCTCACGCAGTTTCATTTGTCTTACGTACTCTGAAGGCACTCTTGTCGTGATGAATGTTCAAGGTCGGGACGCTGACTAGAGTCTATCCAATCGTGAGCAGGATGCTGACTTTGGCGAAGTAAATTCAACGAACAACGAGTACTCACACCTTCTGGAATGAACATTCCCGCAATTATTTTGCCTCCTTCAGGTGTGACACGCTCTAGGCCCGTCGAGCTAGTCGGCTTGAACCGCATCGTCTCTCTTACCACGGCATTCAAAATAGGCAATTGATTCACAGTTTGGAAATCCGCAACCCAGCCCATTGGCATAGGTCCGGGAAACACACGGTCTAACTCCAATTCCAGCTGTTTTTGAATTTCCGGGAAGCGCGAGACGATATCTACCACATTGGTCATAGTAGAGCTCGTGGTATCACTTCCACCGACAATAAACGAGATTGACTCGGCGATTATCTCTGTCTCGGATAATGGAGCTCCGGTATCTGGGTCCTTGGCGTTGAAAAGAAAGCTCAAGAGATCCTTGCGACTGTCTTGCTGATCTCTGCGTTGGTAGTAGGCATCTTTGCCGATTGATGCCAAGTCGGAAGTTGCCTGCAGGCCTTTCGGCCAGAATGAATCTAGATAAAAGTACTTCATCAGTGGTCTTGGACGTCCAGGGAGATGACCAAGTGCATTGAGCACTTCTCCACGAGCATCAATAGTGTTGATCAGATTCAGGTGGTCCTCTTCCTTTTCGAGGAATCCGAATGACTTTCCAAACGCGTAATCGCCTATATGTCATCCCAGTTAGATGAAGCGAATGCATTCAGTAAAGACGAACAGACCTATAACATCAAAGGCGAGATAGTTGACTGAATGAATTAGATAAAAATCTCAGTTGCTTTGATGTGGGTGCAATCTTACAGTACTCGTTAAAATCAATTTGGACACCTCCGTCAGCTTGAGTGTGACGATGTATGCAAGTCATGAGCTTCCCAATCTGTGCGGACATGTGGGGCTCATAGTCATTCAGATTCTTTGCCGAGAATGCTGGACTGAGATACTTTCTCTTCCTTTGGTGCACCCGTGGATCTCGAGTATTAAACAATACCGGTTCTACCTGATGAAAGGGTAAACTGGCCTATCGAGTTAGATGTGATCATAATTCGACAGCAACAAGGCACATATCTTCATAGAAAGGACCCTTTAAGAAACCCGAATGGTGGCCATATATTGTCTCCAAAGCCGAGCGATCCGATATTGAGATGTGATTAGGCGCAATCCGAACGAACGGTCCGTATTTTTCATGCTGCCGGAGAACTGACATGGAGCGTCTGGCAAGCCGGCATTGGTATACGATCCATAATGAAGAAAACTTCGCCGCAAAGGGACCGGGGATTTTGGACAAGGGGCCAAAAAGATATCTCAAAAGGGTACGTAGTATTATCTAGATAGTGTCAGGGAAACTAACAGCGGATTTGAACTGCATTTCAATCTGGGGGTAACTCACTAATACAGATATGGCCACTAGAATGGCGTATGGGGAGATTCTTTCAACGAGACCAAGGAGAGCCGACATGATGAGCTTCAATATTACAAAAGACTATCCGCTATGATTTGATGCATCCGGACTGTCCGCGGTTTTCCTTTTGTGCTCCAAGCCGGGGGCACATCGGAAGGCAGTTAGATTAGGCGACTTGCCGAGTGCGTTAATCCCCGCACGCGACTTGGGGGTGCAACGTGGGGAAGAAAAGCTTTTGCGGGGATAAATTCAGGGTCTCTTCCAATGTGAGTGATCATTACTACAAACAAATCTGCGGTGAAGCCGCATAGATGGAGACTCTGGCATTATGCTCTGTAGCACCGGGGGCAAGTCGGAATTGGGCGACGCTGCTAGAGGTTAGTTTTTTTATTTCACCTTTTGGGAGACGATGCGTTCCTTCCATGACTTGTCATAAGATCGAACTTAACGTACGGTCCAAGAGCATAGGTCTCCAGCGCACTGGGAGCACGCAGTTTTCAAGAGCCTAGGGGTATGGCGAATGGTCTCTCTTGGCTGTTCACCACATCTTATAGTAGAGATCGACATGTAGTAGATGATTTAAATCCGCGGAAAGCTCAGATAGCGGATTATGACTCCATAGTTACCATGAAATAACACATGATTTTCAACATAATTTCCATAAACTGCCGCTGTTGATGGTGTTGGCCCCCGAGGCCAATATAGCTTGCATACTGCACAAGCCACAAGGTAGCGATGGAGATGGTTAATTGATTGATCCAATTAAGCTTAAGGGTTACGAAGATATGCTTCAGTTGCCGCTGGGGTCCAAAAAACAAGACTGTTTTCCAATTAACCAAAAGTTTGGCTCAATAGTCTAAGCAAACAACCTGCATGGTTCACTTGTGGATGAACAATTTATCTTATTGAGCCTCGCCGAATCCGACTCAGTTCGACTCGATAATCATCTTCGATATTCCCGAGTAGTCTAAAATACCCTACCGGTTTCTACATTTGTTTCACAACACCTCCTGCTCTTTCGCTGCGCATGGCCCTATGAGGCCGTGGGTGTTTTCCGGCGCTTGAGGCCGCCCCGACGACTTTCACGAGCACTTGGAAATCGGCCTTTTGAGACAAACACCCACGACTAAGCGATTGCCTCAAACTCATCACTTCAACTCACCACTCTCCACACTACCTATCCACTTCCTATTTTACTTCTCGCTCGTCGGTCTCACAGACGAACATCATGAAGCTTGTCCTGGCATGGCTTGTCGCGGCACTCGTGTCTCCCATCAGTGCGCACGCTCTGTACAACCTCACTTCTGAATTTCCAGATGACTGCGCGGTGAGTTCTATGGTCTTCTCAGGGTTTGCGTCGACAGTACCACCCGTTCACGATCCAGGCAACACGTGACTAATAGAATGGGATGATCTAGATATTCTGTACCGCTACTGAATATGTACACGGGCCGTGCGATGTCGATAGCGTGGCATGCTGGTGCCAGACCCCGGACTTCGTCTCTGACGTGGGCTGCTGCATTGCGTATGCGTGCGATAAGGATCTCAAGAGTGAGTTAATCATTTCTTCTGTTCTTGCAACATACCCTGGCTGACGCCTGTTTTCTGTACTATAGGCGTGAAAACCACCTTCAAGAACTGGTGCTCCGCAGCGTCTGTCGAAGGCCCTACCGACGATACCACAAAGTGCGGGTATCCGTACGGAACCGGCACGCTATCTGGGAGCTCGCAAGCCAAGTTCGGCTCCATTCCCGGGAAAGTGATTGGGGGTGCTGTCGTTGCCTGTTTGGCTGGGCTAATCCTCTCATTGGCATTGGTATTCCATTGCTTCCATCTCAGCAAGAAGCAGAAGCAACAGCAGGTATCACCACCAACACAACGCATTCCTACGCCAAATCCACCGTATTCGGAGCCACGGCAGATCCCACGCCTGAATCGCAGCACGGAAGGTTCCCAGGCACCTATGTGAAGCGGTTCGACCACGTCGATGTGATCATCTTCCTCATAACGCAGTTTTCAGTCTGGAAGTCGAGCTGATATCAGCCCAGTGAAACGAGACTGTCGTTCTCGAATCGAAGCTATTCAAAACTAGCAGCGAACCATGCCAATGCTTCATTTAAGAGATATCCCCCGTTCATTGTAAATTGTACTCCGGAGTAGAGTGTATAAAGTGGAAAAAGCATATCTCGGGCCCGCTGATAACCAGGTCAGGGCGGATCAACCATTTTCCCGCCTCGTCATCATCGCTGGAAGATCCGAGCTCAATCCCCGCTCCTCCGCTCTCTTTGACGCGGTGCGGAGACTGGCTAACCTCCTGCGAATTTGCTCTTGAGGACTTTTGATATTGCTATCCTTCTGCTGAATAAAGCCTGCGCCTGCATCTTCGACGATCATCCGGCTCAACTTCGCAGCATCTCCGAAGTACCCCGCCCATCATGCAGTCTGTCCCGGAGTCACGCCAGCAGACCTTCGAGGAAATCTATGGCCCCCCAGAGAATTTCCTCGAAATTGAGGTAAGTCGCATACCTTTCCAGATGAGTTTTGGCTATACGGGAACCACATTCCCGGGCTATGTCATGCTCAACCCCTACCCCTCTACCCCGCGATCCAAGCTCCAGCGACATCCCAAACCCACACACGACCCGCACACACATCACCCACTCCTTACTACAGTTCTAACCCGATCCTATAGGTGCGCAACCCTCAAACCCACGGAACATCCCGCAACATGTACACCTCCTACGAGATCGTCTGCCGAACCAACATCCCCGCCTTCAAACTGAAGCACTCCGTCGTGCGCCGCCGCTACTCCGATTTCGAGTATTTCCGCGATATCCTGGAGCGCGAGAGCACGCGCGTGACTATTCCCCCACTGCCGGGCAAGGTTTTTACCAACCGGTTCAGCGACGACGTCATTGAGCACCGACGCGAGGGGCTTCAGCGGTTCCTGCAGATTGTTGCGGGTCACCCGCTGCTGCAGACGGGAAGTAAGGTGTTGGCGAGTTTCATACAGGGTGCGTGCATACAATATTCCACCCACACTCTCAACCCCGAATCTAGCTTCGTGTATGAGCTAATGATGTTCTTGGTATTTAGATCCGAACTGGGACCGCAATGCGTGGTAGACTTGCAGTACATTACGTTCCCGACTTTCCCTTTGTGATTATCTCTTGTCTTTTCCATCTACTCAGCAACTTGAGCGATGTGTTTTTTTTTTGTTTTCCCAAGTTTTTTCTTCTTTTTGTCCTGTTTCTATCGCAGGATTGTTGTCTCCGCAAATGGAACTGACAGGTGTATGCTATTTGGTCACTCATCATGCGCTTTGGTTCAATAGTTTGATATCCGATCTGGTTCCGCACTTGTCTATTCTTTATTCATCGTCCTGGTGTCACTGGAAGCAATTGAAAGCAGCCTGAGCCTTGGGATTTATCTTTTGCGGGAACAGGCTTCGAGGCTGGTAAAGTGGATTCGTTCCGAGTATCTGATGTTCCCTCCGAGTGTAGTTTTTGTGGGGACGTTTATTCTGCATAATTGTTACTGGCAGCAAGCAAATGACTACGCTGCAACCGAAGAATTGAGACCGATTGAATGGTTGAAATCAAAATCGAGTGCCAACTTTTCCAAAACGTAGGACCCTGAAGGAGAGCCATCGTGTATTGCGGGATATCAAGTGAGAAAGAGGAAGGACAAATTAACACCCAACATGCGAAGTGGAATCATCACTAATCAAAGAACTTTTGTGTCAGAAAAGAAATACCGTTATGGATTTTTCTCAGCCGAGATCATCCCAAACCATGGGCGCAAGCGTATTATCCTCCCATGGCGACGGAGCTCCTGCGGCATTATCATCCGACGGGAATGAAAGCGCGCCAGGTACCATGTTGGTAGACTGATCCAAGTAGCCCTGTGGCGGGGGTAAGAATGCCGAATCGAGTGGTCCAGCGTTGGCATTTGAGATACTAGATGCATGGCGGCTATGAGACTTGGGTCGACGGGGGCCTGTCGGTGTTGACTCGTTACTTAGATCCCGGCTCTGAGAAGAAGGTCCCGGTGTCCCGGCTGCCGGGGCCTGGGCTTGAGTTTGCGAATTGATAGCCTTGCCACTAACCGAGCCTCCATCGCGGTAGGCGTGTGGAAACTTTGTTCGGAAACGGTCGCGCAGATCGGTTGCTCTGCGGTGACCGAGGTTCAGTCGCTTGTCTTGTTGAATGAGAGTCCACTGAAAGCCGTGCACTGCGTAGCCTTTAAGTAGTGCCTCGTCCTCGGCGGTAGTGAATGGGCGGCGCGAACGTCTTTTGAGTTTCGTTGCGACATGTGCTTCTGGGAGGCCCAGGGATGCTAGTGTTGATTGGGACTGCTCGGAGGCTATCGACGGGCTCTTCCCTGGAGGTGAACCATGCTGTGGTGTGATGAGGCCGCCGTGTTCTGTGTCTGGAGTGCCGGCTGACATGCTCGATGCGGAGGAAGTATGCGAGCTGCCGGGGGTACTTCCGTGGCTAGAGCTGGGCTCAGACCCAGCAATGACAATATTCCGGTCGGGCAGCTGAATCTTTCCAGGCTTGTTGGTAGATCCGTCTGCTTGAGCTTTGAGGAGAGCGTTGGCAAGCTGATCTCGCAATTGCTTCGTGGCTTCATTAGGATCAGAGGCACTTGTTTCGGGTTAGTCGACATGGTCTATAGATTTCTATTGCGGCCGACTTACCGATACGCCCAGGGGCAACAAACTCGAAACCTGTGACAAAGTCAACCAACGGATCGACATAGCAGGAGTCAGGATAACATACCTGTCTTTCAAGTTCGAGGCTGTTCTCTTATTGAACTTGAGTTCTGGCTGCGCGAGGATTGCTGTCCAATTGCCAATGCCACATTTGACTACACCTCGGAGGAGAGCCGTCGTCTCTTCATCGGTCCATTTTCTCAAATTTTTGCGAGATCGGCCACGCGTCTTCGGAGACATAGGCTCCTCATCGAGTATCGGAGCAGGATGAGGCATAGCCCCGGCATCCTGAAGAAGCTCTGCTTCCCGGTCTGGTTTGGATGTATCTTGGTTATCATATTGGTTGAATTGTTGCATGTTGTCATGATCATGGTCGTCGTCATCATTGTTATTGTCATCAAGGGTTGCGTCAAGAAGCTCTTCAATCCTAGCTTCTCTTCTTTCTACAGTCTGCACTTCGACAGCCGTGCCAATAGTACCACTTGTGGATATCGGATTGCCAGTATCCACGGCCGTACCGTTGCGCTGAGAAGGCTTTGTCAGAAGCTGGGAGATGGAGGAGCCAGCCTCAATTGGCGGCAGAAGGGCAGCATTTGGCGGGGGCTCATTCAGTCCATTTAGAATAGCAAAAGGTCCAAATGGCGGTGGGCGTTGTTCTTTCTGGGCTTGAGGAATGGGCAACTGCAAGTGTTCGCTGAAAGACTCGGCCTGCAGGTCTAAGCGCCGACGCTTGCGCGGCCCATGGAGGGCATCGTCGTCGAAGGATGAGGAGAATGGGAAGCGTTCTAGAGCACGGAGGTTTACAAATGCCGGGAGGATAGGTTTGGGTGGTGGTTCCACATTCGATTGGGGATCTGTCGTGGCGGACTCGGCCTTTTTAGTCCTCGCCGCGTTGAGGAACTCCTTCACCGTCGGAAGGCCCGCCTTGGTATTTGGTGGGAGGTTTCCACCATTTGGAGTAGTCTTGGGAATAGTACTTGATTCCCTTGCGCCACTGGCGTTTGGTTCTAAAGGAGATGGGATGCTGAGAGTTCGCGAAGAGACTGGCTCTCGCAAAGGAGCGATACGCAAGGGTAGTTGAGGAAGCTCTCGAAGTAAAGATTCGTCGAGGGGGCGCAGAGCCCCAGTAGGATCCATCTTCGGAGCTCATTCAACGGTAGACCCCCTCTAGAATGTTGCACATATCCCGAAGGATAGATAATTGATTCGATCATCCATATTGGGCGTGCCAGGCGGCTATTTCTTTTTGTTTCGAGCAGACGAAGTTGGATCTCGATAAGTCCCGATAACGTTTTGTCCGGGCGGTGAAGACGGCCATGGGCGCAGCGCATACGTCAGCCAACAATCCTCCAGCAAGATCCACCGACCGAGTTCTTTATTTCTTCTTCTTCAGAGTGGTTTCAATTCTTTGATGCTCCGTGTTGAGGTAATTGTTTCTGTTTTCTAAGCCACTCATTCACCCTATCTTATTCTGTTACTGCAAAGCGCCCAGTGAGTCCCCGCTCCTCTCCTCTCCGCGGAGGTTAAAGCTTCCCCCAAAGCTTCAATCGACCAGCTCCAGCAAACCTCAGTTGTACCACAGCTAAAGAAGGCTAACCGTTGTCAGATATCATACAAAATGCCAACCATCCTCCCACCCTGGCCACACCTTCTATTTGGTGTTCTTGAACCTCTCTCCCTGTAACTATACACCTTGCCCGCCTTCTTCCGCTCATCCAATGAAGTCACTCACTCATTCTCGTCTCGTTACAGGGTTCTCGGAAGCCTCGCCCCGATATATGACCTGGACAGCTTTATCGCCGGTCAAACACCCCAAGCAGACCCTCCTTCCGCCCATCCCAGCAGCCTCTCGTTGGCCTACCAACTTGGCAACCTATACTCGCTCCTTTTCCTTGTCGGAGTGGCCGTGTTGCATACCAGCACAGAGCCCAAAGTCGTGCGCAACTACCTGATTGCTTTGGCTATTGCTGATGTCGGTCATGTCTATGCCACGTATCTGGGGATGGGCTGGGCTGCATTTGCGGATTTTGGCGCGTGGAATGCTCTGACTTGGGGGAACATCGGCGCGACCGCATTTCTCTTCATCAATCGTTTGGCTTATTTCATGGGTGTCTTCGGGACTGCGAAAGCGCCGAAGGTGGCCGGGAAACGAGAATAAAATTCGCGGCGCTGTTGACCAGCTGTGCTGGAACGGTACTGTAGGGTCGAAATTTGGGCATCTAGTCCTGCAATAACTGGGTCTTATTATTCACTCTCGGATTGTATAGGAATTGAATGACATTTCAAGGAATGAATATTCGGGCGCTTCGGGCGCGATGGACTTGATATGATTTGTAGGTTCCTTGAGCATGAAATACTAGTAGTCGTCCCGGTTTTTCAGTCTCATTCTGGGTCTCAGTCGTTCACAGTTGCCTGTCACAGTTGCCTGTCACAGTTGCCTGTCACAGTTGCCTGATGGCAGATGCGCGTCCGTTTTGCTCCAATAGGCCGGGCTGGAATGCATGTCACCCAGTCTTAATAGGATCTATTATATCCCCCCCCCCTGCTCCCCCCCTCATCTGGTGTGGGGCAGAAAAGGAAAATGAAAGGAGGAAGAAGATGAAATAAAGAGACCGGTCATATAGACTAGATACCGCAACGCCAGACGCCCAGCACTGCAAATGTCAGCAATGGGTATAGCGTAGAAGTACACAGTTCCATCAAAATCCGAAGCAATCTAAAACAGCAAGCCCAAGTCACCCAAACAAGTTTCATCCATGATACTCCCAGCGCCATAGACAAAAAAAAATCAGAACGGCCCCATGTCATTAGCCAAGATACCATGACCACCTGCAGCCACCTTCAGCCACACATAAAGCAGAAGCAGGTCAGTTCATTTCTCTCACCGACACCAAGGAAAGGTATGGATTAGCGTCGATCAAACGAATCATGTCTTGGTCGACATTTGGATTTGCAGATACTGGAGCAAGGGTTGGATGGCGGCTTCCCCATGCTGTTGATAATCGCGAAGATGGGGGATGAGAAATGGGATTCCAGGATGTTCACAGTACTGTTGGCGATAAGACGCATAGTTTTCGGCAGGGTTGGTGGTGTTGACCACCTCAGGCGGAAGGAGAGGATCCAAAACGACCATGCCGCCAACGGTGCTATTCAAGCCTCGAGATCGCGCTGTAGCGGTGTTGTGTCGGTGCAGACCAACGGTGAGGGCCGTTAGGGAATGGTAATTTTTAGCGTTAAGGAGGGCCTGTGATCGTCCCCGTTAGTCTCCAATCTATACCTGAGACACCGTCCACGATGGACACTTGATAGAGGAGAAATACTTACCTGCGCACACTCTCGCAGGAATGGGACAATGTCTGGTAATGCAGCGCAGCATTCCCACACTGCTATACTGAGATCGTGCCAATTCGTCAGAAGCCCTCGCACGAGGTTGTCGTTTGCGAGGATGCTCTGTCGGGACAATCCGGAGAAATCGAGCTCGTCAGTCCCTGTCATCGTCCGGGCCAGGTCTTTGGGCGAGGTCGAATTCAAACAGTCTTCTAAGAATAAAATGGAGGTGTCCAACGGTACATGCCATTCCATTTTGGCAGTATGGATATATTGACGTCGGAACCGAAATGCCAAGACACTGAAGATCTTGAGGATGGTGGTCAAGCTTGGCGGTTGGTCCCTAAATAGCACTTGGACGGGACCTGCTATAAATTCGAAGCCTGGAGTGAATTTCTGGGGCATATCGCAAGCTGATTCTGGTTGTATGGTGCGAATGCAGTGCATCAAGGCTCGATGGGTAAAGGGGCTTTGAGTCCGTAGATGCTTTGATAGAGGATTAGAATAAGAATCGCGATTTGCGAGTGCTGTGCTATAGAGCTGGACTCACCTTCTCCGCTTCTATATAGAGAGGGATTTCCTCTGGATAAATTTGAAGATGGTTGTAAAGATAGATGTATAGCACGGTATGCTGTAGGAGAAACCATTCGACCGAAACTGCATTATATCCAAGAGAGGCACGCACGATCTCTTCGAAGGAGATCTTGCGAAACTGGTGATGGCTTTCTGCCTCGATCGCATCGGCAACTTCTTGAGCGCTCAAACCATGACCCGGCTGTGGTGGAAACCACATCCAAGGGACTGCCTGGAATGGTTGGATCCTCGAACGGCGTAGTATTTCTTCCACTCTTTGCAAATGGGAGAGACTACCCAGGAGTTGATGCTCGCGTGGGTCCGACAGCGCCACGAGAAAAGCATCGATGGTATCAGCGTTGCGACTCAGAAGCGAGTTCCGTGGAAAGTTCTCGTCTCTAAATAGTCCATAGCGGATCACTTGACGGATCTCGGGGATGTTAAATGCCCACAGGACAGTAGTTGCCTCATCTTCCCACCAGCGATAAGTAACCACAAACCGTGGAAATTCTGCGCCGATCTGGAATAGAGAGGGATAGGATGATTGAGTGGAGTCTGGTGTCACAGCATGAGGGGATGTGGGTTGCGGCATTTCGAGCCTGCTCATAGGTGATGGCGAAGTATTTGTAAGATTTGATGATCGCAATTTGGAAAGCTGGTCAAACCAGGGTCTCTCAGCACAGATTGATTGCATTTATGCGTTTACCACACCTCCGGGGCTAGTCATGGATACCAGTGCATCAGGCAAGACAAGAGGACCTGCCGCATAGACCGCGGCGCTTGTCGCGTAGGGGGAAAAGGCCGACGAGGAGCGAGGTCCAAGGCTAGAAAACAGAATCTAAAAGTCTCTAGAGTAAAAGGAGTATAGAGGGGCTAGGGAAAGGGAGGTAAGTAACGCAGATAGGTAGAGGGGGAAAACTAATGAAGTAGAAAATGGGGGAGGCGATGTAGTAATACTCAGTAATCTCTGAGGGAAGAATAGAATCTAACAAGGTCAAGGATCGGAGTAATCGGAAGGGTCGAGATGATTGGATTTTAAGAAAGGGCAAGGCAATTTCCTTTTATCCCTGCTGGTCACTGTGCTGCCCCGTTAAACATATCACGAGGATGATTATAATGGGAGTAACAGAAAAAGGATGGGCTTGTTGAAAACGGGGGAGGGGCGCCAATCTTCCAGCCTGCTGGAAGACCCGATGGGCAGGAAAGTCTAGGAGAAAAGGGGGCAAAGATTGACAGTCGCAAAACACGTATGCTTCCTTGAAAAACGCTCTAGATGGGCCGGGGAGGTCTTGTGTGTCTCCACCGCAAGGAATGGTCCCCTGGCGGCGAACTACTTAGTTACTGCGCGCTATCATTACGTCCGTAGGTGACTCGCTGGGCTGCTTCCCGAATCCCATTCCCGTTTACTATGCCGAGCACCGGTTGGGCCTGCAAAGCAGTCAAGTTGACAACATGACAATTGGTTTTTTGAATTGTTTATACTCCTCGTCTTCTCTGCAGAAACTTCCTTGGTCGCGGGAGAAATCGGTTGAGAAGCGGTCAGTTTCGATGCCATTGTTTGACTTTCTAGAAGTATATCGAAGTGCCCGGGGTATTTACCTACTATACAATGAAGGTTATTCAGAAAAAAAAAATATCAAATAATCGGATTATTTCTACCCCTGCCTGAAGTATCTAGATAGTACTTGTGAGACCTATGTAGCTCAGGCATTCCACAGAAGTGTGCTATTTCCTTTCTCTTTTCTCTCTGGGCTAGCGAAAACCCATCCTTTTTTGCCACCACCGGCAATCTTTATTACGGGTTTTGCATTTAGACTACCCCATCCTAATCGGGTTGGTGGCCCATTATTATTAATTTATTACATATATTTCATAGAGGCCGAGTGTGCACCAGACCCATAGCGCTAAGCCAGAGCGAGGGGCAGGAACGGGCGATCATGATGGAATCCAAATCGGGGACCAGTCTGGAGAGTGAGGCGGTCACACCTAAGGATAATAAATATATTCGAATTTATGTTGTTCTCTGTTTCTTTTTGATGGTTTCATGGAAATGTCCTATTGGTTGTTTGCTCCAATCAATCCGGATCAGCCCAACGGTACCCTAACAGTTTTGCGTCAACCCCTCCCCCCCCCACGCTCAATCGCATCTGATAATTGTTGCGGTCTGGAGGGACATAAGATGGTATAGGCAAAGTGGTCTGATCCATTGCTAGAGTAGGGATGGTAATCTTGACCTAAAAAATGCAACTTGTTCTGAAAAATATGAGCAGTCAGGCGTTAAACTTTTGGCCTTGACGCTGATCACCAGGCGATTAAACATATTAGTAGTCGGTACTACGGAGTATATTTCGGATCCAGCACAAATACAGATCAGGCCGGCCTCCGAGATTTCCTACTTCTCTACTTTGTTTGATACTAGTTATCACTCATTACAAAATTCCTGCTTCTGAAGTGCTAGGCCAGGTTGTTTACTTTTTAACCAGTCGATAGTCCTACACCGCCGGAGTCCGCCGTCTTTTAAAGCAATTTGCTTCGAAAGTAAAGACTAATAAAAAAGTCAAAAAATAAGATAATGTAGAATTTATTAACTAAAACTTAATAGATATAAGATCGGCAGTCACTGAGACATGAATGTAAGACGCTAGCTTGGGTTAAGTCATTCCTGGTCATGTTCTGCACGATAATTCGCTCCGCCACTGATGGATTCACCCTACATACTGTATCACAAGGTGCTGTATTGATCGAAGCCCTTCTCACAATAATAATAGGTGCCCCCTCAATGTAATCTGCGCCGGCGCATGATGCACAGAAAACGTCATCTAAACTCTACCGCCACGTGAATGTCGTTGAAGCTCCGGAATTCTCTGGGAGCGGCTCCAAGAACCCAGGTCCAAGGCACTGGGATTCGGATCTCGGTTGATCCACATGTCCCAGAGCTTGGGGTGGATCTTGAGAGATCATGACAGTTGCTTGATATTCAATATCTATACCAACGTTTATGATCGACTATATGGTCAATTAGATTGAATATTTTGAGTCTGCAGCGACCAAAGTCGCAGGGGAGGCCAATAGGCAAGTCGCTGCTTCTCCTCGTCATACGAATCGAGAATGTTCTGGCCCCGCCAGCCCGCCAGCCCGCCAGCCCGCCCGCCAGACAAGGTGGCTTCTCCGAGAGCAACAATGACTGTTCTTGATGCAGACTACCCTCCCTCGGATATCTTAGGTTTTGATAAAAACTATGAAATAGTTTCCATGGAGATCAGCCAAATATATTTGCGTTTATTAGTGGTCGATCCGCTCACCCCCTTTGCATTTATAGCGCTGCGCAAACGGCTCCGAACCAAGGATTTCACGCTAGGAGAAGGGAGGATGAAATGGTTGGGCGGACTCGAATGATCTTTCTCTCTTCAGAAACGACGCTAGCTCCCCTCCACCATACGTCTTGTGTAGCATGCACAGATCTTCAGTTCCAGGAAATCAACAGGCGAGGCATTCCGCCACTTAGAATGCACAACGAAAGAACCTGATAACCAGAAAAACGGCAAAACAAATCATGTTCCTGGACTTCATCTCCGTAAAGAGTAACCTCAGACTTACACCAGGTGGCTATGTTGCATGGACCGAGATCCCTGGAATTTCACCAGTGCAATGCTGTCGTGCATATTCCGGCATGGTGGCACTGGAATCCGGATACATTTTCCCTAGTGGGGACGAGTGAGCGCGTCGGTCCGGCCAAGAAGTGATACATCAGATTCCACGTCGCATGACGAGTGATCGAGCGCGATCATAACGCCATCGGAGAAAAGCAAAACAATAGCATAGAACGCTCGACGGCTACATCGTGATTTGAAGCATTCTGTTGGATCTTACTATTCCGAGGGCCGACCCTAGATTACATCCAGAACCCCACAGCGGAGACATAGCCCTCTCGGACAATCTACATGGCAGGTAGAAATACTGTAACAAATTTTCAGGAGGATCGGTTTGGGAAAATTACTGGTTCAACCTCCGACAGTGTCTTGGCGGGCGTGCTATCCTTCCTCTCTTCTCATACGTCGATCGGTCGATCGAGGATGCTATCATGGCCCACGTCGAGCGCACTTAAGGCTACGCAAAGGGGGATTATCTTCATGTATCAGCACCAGCAACTGCGTTCAGGGGGAATAATTGGTGATAACACTTGGTCTTGAGCACAGTGGGCTTTATTTCCTTTTGCATCATTAACTTTTGCCTAGTACTGGCCGGCGTGTTTTTCGTGACCTATACAGCTACGGCACGGAGTACGCCGTCAGCGACTTCCCATCTCCGTAGAGGAGGCTTGTGCCGATGGATTGTGTGGATTGGGCCGGACTTTGTCTAATCTTTTGGTTGAACCAAGTCAAGTTCCTATATGACGATTTCACAAGCCAGTGCAAGATTAGGGCCGGTTGAGGAGAGGGTCCAAGCAACTAGGAGGGGTGCAAAAGAACTGATTCCCTTGTCTTGATACATATTACAACATCCGAAAGAACCGTTCTTCTATTTCTTTTTTCCAGTATGCAGCGAGTGGCGGCACCCTAAGGGACCTCTGCCCCCCGCGTATCCCGATAATCATGGGAGGGGGCTGGCTACCCATACATATCAATACAAGCTAAATTTCGGTTCTCCACGGTCAAATCAGTCTTTCTAGTCATGTCTATTTGACCTGAAGTTGGGAGAAATATCCCAATCAAAACGGGTTGAATGGAGCAGTTAACTTTCGGGATATGTTTTAAGCCACGAGGTAGGTTCTGAACATGAGTGCTCGGAGGTTTGAATTTACCAAGACCCCTGAGCTTGACAGAATTGATAATAGTCGTCCCATTTATTATGGATTTGCTTTTACAACTCAGGTCAAAGCGTACGATTTGAGAATTGGAGATGAGTTGGCATCAACTCATGTAAATGAACATATTCAATGGCTACGTGCGGCCCCAGCGTCGTTACTCGACTACATACATTCTGGTAGTACACGACCACATATCCATTGCCATCGGTCGCATTCCTCACAATTCTCCAGAGACAGGATCTCCAAAGACAGGACACTTTCAGCAGCATTTATCTTACCGCCGGTGACTTTATTTGATATCCATGAACGATATCAGATTTTTAGATGAAAAAGCGCCCCAGATTGCCCCAGGAACCGCTTCGTTGGTAAGTTCAATGCAAGGAACTCCATGGGACGGACCCTCGAAACTCTATCTCCAGAAACCCAGTGCCTTGGTGCCTCCCGTTATTTGGAATTCCATTTGGGGCTTAATCCGGTAAATACACCCCGGTTAGGAGAATGCTATCAGGTAATTGCTATTGCCCTTGATAGTAATAGGAGTCAGCCTACACCGTACCCTCTTTTGCACACCATTACTGCAAGCCAGGGCAAGGACCCCAGGCTTAATCAAATGTCGGTGAATTGATTTGCTGCAAATAGAGGGCAGTTAGGCAAACATAATACGAGATCTTGAAAAGTTGTTCAAACTCTCCCCCAGACCCCATAACCTTATTGTTTCTATATTTCTCTACCCGAAGTAATCACCGCTCGTTCTGTTGTCTGGCTCCGTCGCCCTACCTGGTATCGGTTTGCCTTCTCCAGACCCGTAATGGCTGCCCGAGGTATACTGTGCAAGACCATGCATGAACAGGAGGGTCGAATCTCTTGGCATGTGTCTCCTCGGTGCCTGAGTCGCCCAACATTAACTGCATCGACACTGGTCGACACTAATTGCTCCCGGCATCTGCGAGCCCCGGTAGATAATCAGGCGGGGGGTACGATGCTATAACACTGGGTCCATGCATGCTCGGGATATGAAATATTGTTGATGCCGAACTTGGACCTTTTCGTAGAAACCATAGACAGCTCAGCAGATAGCAATGCAGGAGTAGGAAGCAGCATATAGTCTTTGCATCTGTCGTGCTCAAACTCATAGAGCTACCTAATCAGAAGAAGCTGCGTAAATAGTAAATGACATCTGAACTAAGGTTATGATAAAGCACCGACTTCAATAAGAATGATCTTCGCGAACCCACTATTGGGTGACACTGTCCTTTCGACTCTGTAAACTTGGCTCAAATATTCTATCAGGTCTATTGTCTCTTTTATCTTTAGGTTTTATGTTGCTCGCTAGGGGGTGTCAAATATTTCCGTGCTATCGTGTCGAATCGGCAGCGGGACCTTCCAGATATATATTCCAGAAACTAACATGTCCAGGCTTATGACATGCCGAGCAATTGGATTGTGCAGGTGGTTGAGTGCACCAATGGAAGTACCTACTAGCTACGGTGTATGATTAATCTAAGCGTTGCTTATCCCTTGGCCTCAATGAGTGTGACGGAGCGTCACATGGATAGCTAAGATCTAGAACGAGCCTGCAGGCTGAACAAGGACGCCGAAAGAGGTGATTCGACCCACATGAATGGGTTTCCTAGTTTAGTCCTACGAAGGAACAATATCAAAAGGCCGAGCCTGGTGCTTGTAAGTGCAATACTGGCACGTTTCCGCTGTTGCTGGCAAGCCTAGACCCAAGGACCATTGCAGGACCAGCCTCTCAACACTAATAATTCATGAACTCGGGAAATTTTTGATTTTGTTTCATTCAGGGGAATCTATGCAGAGGCTCGAGATTGTGCCAGGGCAATCGGAAACCCTTCACGCGTCGTCTCATGCAGCCAGAACGGTCCACCTTTCCACCCGACAACTCTCGAAGAAGAAAGACGGCCAGAGTAAAAACCCAGTTTTGTAAAAAGAACAACACCAAACCCAGTAAAACACCAGACGGGCGAGCCGCTTAGATGTGGGTGTCGTAGGCGATGGGGACAACAGTCTCGGGGGCGTTGCCGGCGGAGGAGACGAGGTGGCCGGAACGGGGACCAACGGCCTGGCGCTTCAGGTGGACGTGGACACCCTTCTCCTTGGCCTCACGCTTCTTGATGGCGTTCTCCTTGACGCGGTTGATGAACTCCTCGCGGGAGCGGGAGTGCTGGACGTGCTCAACGCGGACGTTGATGCGCTTCTCGAGGTAGCGGTTGCCGACGCGCTTGTACAGGAGGACACCGACGGAGGACTTGGTAACGTTGTAGACGACACCGGTCTTACCGTGGTAGACCTTGTGGGGCATACTATTGGAAGAAGGCGTTCAGTCAATATTTCTGAGATATCGCAAAGATTGGTAAAGGCGAGCGTCGGAGAGAGTAGAGAGATGAATTATCTGGGTGACTTTGCAGGGAAAATTCGGGTTGTACTGACCCCTTCTGGACGGCACCGTTAACCTTCAGGTCGACAATATCACCGACACTGTAAATTGAAAAAATTCGTTAGTGTTCCATGTCCTTATAATTCGGCTTTCAATATTCCGTCATTGGAAAGGTTTCGATCGTACCGGTAGGTCTTCATGTAAGTGGACAGGCGGATCATGCCATGTTCCTTGAAGTTGCGGCTGAAGGCATACTATTGAATCCATCTCGTCAGTATGCTTGTGTCTCTCTCTCTCCGTAAATCCAACTCTCCGTCTTGTCCACCACCAAAATGTCGTCGAGCAAGGGTTCGTGTGACGGGGAAAATCGAGGAGCGAGGAATCGTAGACGTACCCGAGTGCCGGCGCGCAGACCGTACGAGTGAGGCATGACGGCGGTGTTGTGGTTTGGGCGTGTTGAAAAGTGTCGACAACGGCTACCTTCTTCAAAGCCGTGAAAGTTGAACCGGTGGAGATTGTGGAAGAGTTGCGCAATCACGTGAGTAGGGTTAGCCCTTCCACCACTTCGATCAGACTCCCTCCCCTTTGGGACTAGCGTCGCTTAGCCGAAACGCTTTGCATCTCGGGCTGACATCTCAGTGCGATCTTTCTCCAGTGTGCTTTCGACAATCCCGCCAACCCAGGACACCCAGCAGCAATGGCTCCCGCTCCGTGAGTGACAACGACCTCAATTATTGATGTCGCATTATTCTAATCGATTTTCTTTTATAGCCGTGTCTACTCCAAGACCTACAAGGTCCCCCGTCGCCCCTTCGAGTCGGCCCGTCTGTGCGTACTCTCCGGCCACTGATTAGAAGCGTGCTTCTAGTCATGTCGTGTGTTCCATATTAATTCACCGTTCATAGTGACTCGGAGCTGAAGATTGTCGGCGAGTACGGCCTGCGCAACAAGCGTGAGGTGTGGCGTGTCCAGCTTACCCTCTCCAAGATTCGTCGTGCTGCTCGGTATGTTGATGAAAAATTCGAGATTGAAGGATCGTGAACTCGGGCGCATTGAGACACGGTCCTCCACATGAGAACAGTAAGGGCTAACGTCTTTCTTCTCTACAGTGAGCTCCTCACTCTTGACGAGAAGGACCCCAAGCGTCTGTTCGAGGGTAATGCTCTGATTCGCCGTCTCGTGCGCATCGGTGTGCTCGATGAGTCCCGCATGAAGCTCGATTACGTCCTGGCCCTCAAGGTCGAGGACTTCCTGGAGCGCCGTCTCCAGACCTGCGTGTACAAGCTCGGCCTCGCCAAGTCCATCCACCACGCCCGTGTCCTCATCAAGCAGCGTCACATCCGCGTCGGCAAGCAGATCGTCAACGTCCCCTCGTTCATGGTCCGCCTCGACTCCCAGAAGCACATCGACTTCGCTCTTACCTCGCCCTTCGGTGGCGGCCGTCCCGGCCGTGTTCGCCGCAAGAAGGCCGCTGCCGCCGCTGGTGGTGACGCCGAGGAGGAGGAGGATGAGGAGTAAATTACTCGCTTACCACAAAAAGTAAATTAGGAGTACGGTCGGGTTTCGCTTTGGGCAGCTCAAACACTCTGGGTGGTTCATGGTGAATGCAGCATAAAGCGTTTCATGTTGTATGATCATGCAAAACAAAATGAATCAATCAAACAGCCTAATTGGCTTCAATTCGGAACCCGAATCTCTTGTGCATTCGTATAATCTCGGTCGGTCTTTCAACGCCGTAGCGCGAACTATGTACAAACTAATAATATAATTCCCTAACGCCATTCCCCACCCCCACGCTCCTGATCGCCTGTCATGTAAATCATTGCCGAACGCCTAGGTAGCATCCAGCCTTGTCGCTAAACACCAACCATCTCTTTCAATGTTTCTTCCGCACCTCTGTACCAGCGACCCATTTCCTCGAGCCCGTCACTCTCACCCTGCTGCTTTTTGCGCTGGGCCTCTCGCGCCTGTGTGGTCGCCTCGACCTTCCGTCGCTCAAGCACAGAGCACTCCCGCTCGATAGCTTCGGCTTCCCGAGTTTTGCGAGGCAGCGTGTTCTGCACAGCAAGGATTTGACGGTTCAGCGCGGCCAATTCAGCCTCCCGTTCCGAGAGCAGCGCCATAGTGGCAGGTAGTGGTAGGTTCTGGGAGGATCGAGGGTCCGAGGAGGTCATACTGGCGACCTGTTTCGCGCGCAGGCCCGCGATAGTGGACTCGAGGTTCTCGATTGAGTCGGGGAGAGTCGAGAGCTGTGTCATTTGGACGTCGACATTCTTGTAGCCTGTCATGGATGCGATTGACGTTAGCCAAAGGCATGAATCTTTAACTCGGCGGGAGACACTCACGGCGCGCCAATTCTCGACCCATTGTCTCCATTTCCTCGATCATGAGGCGGGCTTCCTCCTTTCGTGACTTGAGCTCGGCCTTTACCTCTGCAAGCTGGGTCTCCAATTCGACATTCTCATTGTGTCCGACCACGAGGGGTGGGTCTCCCACGATTGCGCGGAGGAATTTTTCTTTGGTCACTTGCTCGAGGTAGGAGAATCGGAGTTTGGAGAAGAGTTCCTATTTGGTGGAGAAGACGTAAAGGGTCAGTTATTGTCAACATGTCAGGCTAGTACGCAGTTTGTCCCATACCTTGTAGTGGGTGAGATCGGCCTCAAGGGATGCGGGCGTTGGATCGTTCAAATTGGATATAGAGACATCGGAGCCACGCTTCGAGGGAGTGGGATTGGAACCGCCGACATCAGAAATGGGCTCGCTGATTCGAATGATCGCGAGCTTCTGCTTCAGGTCGCCCTGATCTTGCTCGAGTTGCTGGAGCACAGCATATGGGTCGGTCGTGTCGGTCATTGTAGGCAGTCAATTGTAGCCTTGCGTGGCTGTTTCGAGAATTGACTATACTCGTGAAGAGTGCGTGCCTGCCGCATTGAGACGCGGGTCGTAAATAACTATCGCGGCCGATAACAGCGGGGGCAAAGGCGGTCAACGACGATAGCCGCAATTTTGGAAGTAGCTAGAGAGTCAACTTCCCTTTCTGCTACTTTCGATTGGGAGGAGTTTTGTTATTTTCTTGGATTGGAGTGAGGTTTTCGAGTGTATTCTTCTTCCATCTCTCATCCCAGCCATCATAAACATTTAGATTTACCCCGGTATGTGAAGACTAGACGACATGGACGACGACTACGTTGCGGAGGTCCTTGCCCGAGAGGCGCGCGATAGCTCTCAGAGATATCAAACAGATGGACTAGGCGCATATATGCCACGAAAGTTTGTTTTCACCCTGGATCATGTTCCTCTAGTCTGCACGTCACAAACTGACCTGACTTTACTTCTAGACCTGCTGGCAACGCTCCCAAGCCAAACACTAGATTCCTGCGACACCTCATCAAAGAGACCGATACTCATAACACCGCCCTCAAACGCAAGGAGGAGAGAGAGGCGAGAGATCGTCTTCGGCATTTAAAGGATCAGCCTCAAGGTGACCGGACCTCTGAACCTTCTCTCAGCACCCGGAGACATGGCCATCGATCCAGTACGTCGGACCTGGCACGAAGCCAGAGAGAGGAGCGCCGGGGTCGTGAGAAACGAGACGAGCGTGTGAGTCCCCTTTCTCAGCGGAAACACCGGGCTCGGGAATCATCTGCCGAGAGAGATCGATCACGGCGTCATCGCCACCGAGGCGAGTCGCACGATCGATCCGAGAGAGGTCACCGAGAGCATCGAGGCCGCCGTGAGTCTCCTCGGAATCGTCGTTCGGGCCGTGACAGATCCCATTCACCCCGACGAAGCCAATCTCCCCGGCGAGACAGGAGTTCAGAACGCCATCGCAAGCACCGTCGCCGATCAGAGTCCCCCTCGGACAAGCGGTCGTCCCACTCACGGCGGACACGAACAGAGCATCGATCAGACGGTGCCGAACGTAACTGCCGTCACCTTCCCCTCAAATCCCGTTCCCATTCAACTCGAACATCAACCGATCCGCGCGACAAGACACAATACTCGTCATCGACCAGAGCCACAGCTTCCACAACGCTACAGCGCAATTATTCCGATGATGAGTCGGATCCCCTGGAAGACCTCGTTGGTCCGTTGCCTCCACAAAATGATGGCGAGGGCGCTGTCCCTCTTCGTTCACGTGGCAGGGGTGCCTACAAACCTAGCGCCAGCAACATCGATGCCCACTTTGCTCCAAACTACGATCCTGCGCTTGACGTTCAGTCTGATGACGATCGGATTTCGTCTCTAGACAAGTCTTCCCGCCGTCCCGTTGCAGGTCTCATGACTGCAGATGACGATTGGGACATGGCCCTCGAGGCATTGCGCGACCGACAGCGGTGGAAGCAGAAAGGGGAAGAGAGACTACGCGCTGCAGGAATGAATGAGGAAACCATTGATCGGTGGAAGAATAACTCGGCATTCACGGGAGCAGCCAGTACTGAGGGTAACCCGGAGAATGTACGGTGGGCAAAGAAGGGCGAGGGTCGAGAGTGGGATCGGGGGAAGGTGATGGACGAAGATGGACATATTGATGTCCGAGCCGCCTGGTGATTCTACGGCATGCAAATCTGCTTTTTTTGAGCGTGGCGTTGCATGGTCTTTCGTGCATTTATGTTCTCGGCTCTTTTTCTTCTTGATACCGTGGGATCATTTTTGCATTTAGTGCGTGGGTGATATGAGGGATCAGAATGGGCACCGATGTATTGCGTGGTGCCCAAAGCTGTACTCTTTCATACTTCCCCTGATTGAATTCATCATCCTGTTTGACAGGCCTTGCACGATAACCTTAAATCGGTAGTACCATACTAGCGTTGTAGTGATGAGCGGAGCTTTCGGAGTGCGGAATAGCCCCGCACCGGCCGATGATGATTCTTCAGCCAAACTGACGATATCCGTCATCCACTCTAAGGATTGCAAATTGCTTAGAGATCAACTGATTGATAAGGTTCTTTAGACCCCACTCTCACCCGGTTTAAATCTCCAAAATACCCTTGTCTTTGTCTTACATATGTCCCTCCCCTACACCCCGCACAGCATTGTTCTCATCAACCATCAATCAATCCCGTTCCGATCTACGGTAGACTGATTCCGATAACCGCCTCGGCAGAGACTATACAACAATGACGGATCAATTCGCCTTCTCCTATCCATCCCCGCTGGAGGGTTATGAAAACCTCGAGCCCTTGTCTGAGTTAGTGTCACGCGAGTCGTTTGCGATATACGGCGCAATACCCACGACTAGCATGCTAACCATCCGGAAAATCAGAGAGCGCAACGACGATGGCAAGTCCTTTAAGAACCCCCAGCACGGTGTTCTCAGCAAAGCCTACGAAGAATTCCCCGATCCACTGTGCAAAGACCGTCGCGGTGGCTTCGACATTCATATCTACCATTTCCAGGTCGAGACTCTACCTACTTCAACTTTGATCCGTTGCAGGTCCAACTAACATCCGCCCAGACGAATCCCGATCAAGTCGCATATGCCAAAGCCCTATGGGAGCGCATCCGACGTGAATGTAAGTACCCCATACGCAAACATACCAGACACAATCTCCCAACTCCCACTCCTCTCCAATCAGTCCAACTAACAACCCCCTCCAGTCCCCGAACTCCGCATTTATGCCTTCTTCGACAGACCCATCGGCCCGCATCCGGTCGCCATGTTCGAAGTCAACCTCTTCACGCCGGCACAATTCGGGGCTTTCATCCCCTGGCTGGTGATTAACCGGGGACCGCTTAGTGCGTTGGTACATCCAAATACGGTGGATGAGGAGGAGGAGCGGAATCATACACAGCGGGCGACGTGGTTGGGGGATCGGATTCCGTTGGATTTGAGGGTTTTTAAGTTGATGAAGGAGAGGCAGAAGAGGGAGGAGGAGGCGGAGAGAGTGAAGGCGAAAGAGAAGGAGGGGAGGCTGTAGCTGTATGTGCGGGTTAGTGGTTAGTTGGGTATTTAAGGAGTTTTTGAGCGTTTGTCATTTGAAACGTTCGAATGTGAATCATGAGCATTTTATCTTGTTTGGAGAGTGTCGAAAAGGTGAAGAGGTATTTTGTAAAGGTAAACCTGTCGAGGGATCGGATAACAAGGGCCGGTATCAGGGCGGACTGTGATTGGCGGGTTGTAAGAACATCAGCTCGGACAACCACAGGGACGATTAACCGACAGCCCCTACTCTTAGGAAGGGCACATGTAAATGACCTCGATTGAGGAGAATGTAACGAACAACAAGTCGGCAGTAGTACTACCACTAAGCCCTCCACATTAGACCCGATCGTTTACTTCCCTCGAATGACCCCGTCAGGAGCACATCACCAGATCACCAGGTCCAGAACACAACCCTCCTCAAACTAAATTCAACACGCTAATCAACCCAGGCCAATCAAACCAACCAGCAACTAACCGTGTTCTATGCACATGCAGGCCATTTACAATAAGTCAGATCTTCCCTCGTCGAATCATCAGCTCCAACCACTTCCCGCCTGGTTCCTGATGCCCAGCGATCATTTACATTCCAGGCCATCCCTTCTTTCCCTGAACATGGATATACACCGGAGGGGAGGGGCGATGTTACCCTCTCGATCTCAAGTCTTTTCTCATGCAGGTTCGGCACACCGTGATCTTGTATCCTGATCAGACTCGCTGGGCTACTCGGGTTGAAGACTGCGGTCCTGCTGGAAGGTTGGGGTGTGATGTGACTGATAGTCTCCCCGAGGGAAGGTTCTTAAAGGGATGATATCCGGCTAAAAAGGAGCATCTGTTCTCTCGTTACTCGGCATTTTTGAGGTATTCCTCTGTCCAAGTCACTCACTGTAACCTGCCGTCAAGGTTCTCCTGGTGAACAAGCACTAAACCGACACCTTATACCTGTACCAGGCTAATACTTTGTATAGTTAAAGGCGCAACCAGAATAAATTTCTCAACATAAACATCTTAAACATAATCCGATAAAAAAGGCTTCGCCAATACAAGCTCTCCACAAATCAGCGCTGAACCATGCGGCACCTAATATCATACATGGCGGCACTCGCCCCTCTAACAACCCCTCTAGTCCAATCCACAGCGACCATCCCCTCATATGTCTACGAGTATGGTATGTACAATTCTATCCACCCGTATTCACATCCGTTCTAACTCCCCATCAGCCCCTCTGGTCTGGCTACACAGCCAAGACGCATACCGACCCGGCGACCTACAAGCACAGCTTGACCATACCACGCCCGATGTCAATTGGACCGCCATCCAGGGCGCACCATCACCACTAACACTGAACAATCTTGACCAAGTCAATAATCTGGGGAACACCAGCGTATACCTAACATCCCCTGAGGGCATCGATGCCAGTCCCGAGCCAGCTTGGTTCCGGGGTATCACTCCAGATGCAGAGGGGCGGATTGGTGATGGTACCGGGTGTGCGATTATCGTTGTTGATCATGGGAAGGGGAATGTTGATGCGTTTTACTTTTATTTTTACCCGTGAGTCGCGCACAGAGAGGGTATCTGCTAAGTTAGAGACTGTACAGTTTGACTAACATAGATCTCAGGTATAACAAGGGTGATATAGTGCTTGGCATGGAATTTGGTGATCACATCGGTGACTGGTTCGTCTATCCTTGACTTTAGACATTGTGCTGCTCTTCTATTCTAATCAACGACTAGGGAACACAACATGATCCGCTTCGCCAACGGCACCCCCCAAGCACTGTGGTTCAGCCAACACGCCAGCGGCCAAGCCTTTACATACAACGCCCTCGAAAAGGAAGGCAAACGACCCTACGCCTACTCCGGCAACGGAACACACGCCAACTACGCCGTAAAAGGGTCCGTCTCAACCCTCCATCCCATCCTATACTGATCTACCTTCTAACCACAGTATGCATAACAGCCAACACGACCACACAATCCCGGGCCTAAACCTCCCCACGGGCTTCCTCCTCGACTACACAGACCGCGGGCCCCTCTGGGATCCCACCCTCAACGCCTACGCCTATACGTACGATCCCAGCACCAGTATTTTCACACCATCGTCTTCGGATACCCCCGTTGCCTGGCTGTATTTTAATGGCCGGTGGGGTGATGACCAACCTCCCGGGGAACCGACGATTTTCGGAGAGGCAAAGTACGTTGCTGGACCGGATGGGCCGAGATTTAAGACGTTGGATCGGAAACATGTTTGTCCGTCGACGCCGTGTGTTGTTTTGCCGTTTAGGATTTTTGCGGAGTGACAATCGTCAGGTGGGAGATGGGATTATATTGGATATGTGAGATTGTGGGAGGGATATGTTGGGAGTTTGAATGGTTGTTGTGATATTACCCGATTTGGTAATTGGGTAGCACTAGCAGGGCTAAGATATATATATTCGGGAGTTTCCTGTGGCATAGGAACAATCAGTGGCAATATTCTATTTATCACTAATCTCTATTAAGAATAACTAACTAGATAAGATGGAGGGGAAATCTCCAGTTCCGCCACGTACCTCAGGCTTATACCATCACGCCCAGGATACATGGCAGTATGATATAGCCCTCCTACGGGCCTAGCTATATCATTCTACGAACATCCTTGAACCCTCACACCGCAGAGCTAACGGAGCAGAGCTATCTAGCATGGGTTATCGTCCTTCCGACTCGGCAATCTCTCATCCCGCCAAGGTAACTCCGGCACGCGATGAAATTGGAAGCCCTGGACCCACCCCAAGCTCCACAAGGCCGTGCACGGATTTTCTGAGCGCAAATTACAAGATTCTAGGATTCTAGGTGGCTTTGATTGCAGGAGGCAAGGGAAAGGGTTTGAAACCCTGCAGATGTTCATTTCAATTTGAATAAACGTATTTGGTTAAAGTTGTCTGGACATACTTGTGCCTGGGTGACGCTCTCTACATCGGTTCTTGCGGTTTGATAGCTTCGGGTTAAGCTAGTTCGCGGTGCTAGACGCGTCCCAGACGCGAATGTTCCGTGGGTTGTTTGCCCTACGGTGTTTTAGTTATAATTTTGTTTTGTTTTCTTTTTTCTTGCTCTTATCGCGATAAAGGGTTCGGCGCGGGTAATTGATTAAGACTGTATGGCGGGGATGATGGTATTTAATAGGGTTGTTGAGTTTTACAGTGAAGGGATCGGGATCCCTTTGTAGAGGGCAGAATATATATATATATATTCGAGTCGTCTAGAGTTAAATAGGCCAAGTTGTTCGAAAGAGAGAAACGTTTTGAATTGAATCAATCAATTACATTCTAGTCTATCAATCTTATCCTCGGCTAAGCAACGTGGTGTTCATGCAGCCATGGAGATCCATCGTGGCCATCCCACTTTCTTTTCCTGGATTTCCACGTGCCGAACTTGGTCGTGCGAACGAGATGAACGAGTCTAGTTTAATGAGGCTCGTGGGGACCCGGTTCTTCCTAGCTAGAGTAGGCTAGCGCTGAGAAATTGGCAAATTGGCAATCTTATTGGGCCCTTAGCTTCGGAGTTGGGTACCGGTGAGTGGCATCTGCTAGGACGAGGAGGTCTGGTTGGGTGGGTTAGTGTTTAGTATCTGATCCGCCGGCTGCGACCGGGTGCGAATCTAGGGAACGGTAGATTGTGTATTGGTGGTTGAATTGATTAATTGAACCTGAATCATCGTGAGTAATTATCTTAAAATACGGATGATGATAATCTTGGTAAGATGAAGAAAGAGAAACAAAGAACAGTGCTGATCTCGAGGTGGAGAAGGGAAACGGTCCCGTTGTGCACGTGCCAACAGCCCTTCAGGGGGAAGGCAATACGCAGAGAGAGAGAGAGAGAGTTATATAACTAGTACTTAGTTAAAGAGGTATTGTATAGAGAATATATGATAGAGTATAGTCAAGATGATGATCTCTGCATCACAAAGTTTGGATGTATCCAGGATTCTAGAGAGTACTCTCTATCATTATTATGCTAACTGGAGTCTTTCTCTCTGTCAGCTCCGGAAATTCATCGACAAGCATGTTACCCCGTTCGGGCCTTAGCCGCCCGCCAGCGTGGAACGAACCGTCCAGCTGTCCACACAGAAGCTCCAAGTGGGGGACTCGTCTCCCTCGGGGGCTCTGGACCGCGCTCAATGTTTTTTCTTTACCCCTGAATCTGAATCTTGGGAACTGAAAAACTGAAACCTGAGACCGATGGAAATGGAGGGTCTGAGAGGGGAATTGAAGCTTGGGAGAAGAGATGGTTCATAGTTCATTATTATCATTCGCATGCAAGTCCTGCACGATACTTCGAGTCTATCACATTTAGGATTGACAGCGCATTTCCCAGAGAGCGTTCCCCGTACGAATCAAAATGTCGTGAGAATAATTAAAACATTAAACTTCAATGCACGTACTACGCAGTCCTCCATCAGAAACCTAGCAAAAGTTCCCCCCTCCTAATTGAGCTCTCGATTGGTCCGTGGCTGGCGTCCCTTTCTGGTCTTCTTCTCGCCCTCATCTCCTCTTCCTCCTCCTCTCTTTTCTCTCTCCCACCCTCCCTTCCATTCTTCCATTCTCTCCAAGCGCCGCGAGAATCGGACGCTGTGAGCAGGCCATTTATCAATTCCCATCTCATCCCCGAAAAAAAATACAATACCGCCAAAAAAAAGAAACTTGGAAAGGACGACCAATTCGAACAATCGGCCCCTCTCCTTATTTTTTTCCTTCTGCGCCCCGTCCTCCAGTAGCGACGTGCCGCAGAATCGACAACCTCACACTGGCTGGGAGCAATTGTCGCCTTTGGATCTCACTCTCGCTTTTTTGATTTTCTTCCCCTGCCGTTGCAGCCCGAACTCGCATTTGCGACGAACTTGGACCTTTGGAAATCCCGCAATCGCATTCGATCCCCGCCACGTCCAATCTTCCCCCCGGTTCGACTCGCATCGATAACCTGTATATTTCGAATTCCCCCGCTCGTTTCCCTTGTCGACTCGTATATCCTCGGAACAATCTAGGATATCAGCATTGATACATTCCCCTGATAATTGCAATTGGCATCCTAGCTCGTGTATATTCCCACGTGAGTGCACATAACCCCTTACATGGCGGGGATGGTCATCGATCGGAATGGTGGACTTTCCCGCAGACTCCGCACGCGGGGAAAGAAAGTCATACTTAAATCCGGATTTGACTCCCTTGACAAGAAGAGAGATTTAGAGTGAAAACTAACAGAAAGGATGGCCTGAAATTACAGTGTATCAGATATACAGCAATTGAACCCCACCTGTATAAAGCCAACTCTCCATCAGTACAGAATCATACCACATTGAGTTACGCGCAAATCAGCCTGAAACAACAAACTGCCACACTTTCCCAAAATGGCAACGCCCACCTCCAGCCGCGCGCCTTCCGATGCGCTGCCCGTTGAAAATGGCCAATCTCTCGCCGCCCGTCGCACTTCGCTCGGTTTCCTTCGTCGTTCGAAATCTACCGAGCCGCTCGGTGAACGCAAGCCTTCCGGCAGCCGCAAGAAGATGTCCAAGACCCAAGCTATGGAAGAGGAACTCCGTCGTCAGCGTGAATCTTACGCCCCCAAGAACGCCCCCCGTCTGCCGGATCTTTCCCCCACTCCCCAACTCGAGACCTTTGGTGGTGAAGAACGTGATACCCTTGCCCCTGAGCCTCCCATGCCTCGTCCTCATTCTGGAATCGCCATCCCTACTGCATCCATGAGTTCACCCGTCGATGCCGTTGACCCCTACGCGCGTACGGAGAGCATGACCCATCGTGGTCGTTACAGCTATGCCAGCAGTGCCATGAGCACCGTCAACAGCCCCCGTCGTATTCGTCGCCGGAAGGATCCCACCCCTTACAAGTAAGTGGAGACATATACATCTAACGATTGCCTCAAAAACATCCTTACTGGAGTCGCCTTACTCTACCCAAAGCCAAAAATCAATTACTGATCATGCTACAGTGTGCTCGTGGTTGGCGCCCGCAACTCCGGCAAGACCTCTTTCCTCAACTTCCTGCGCAAGGCTCTGACCATGCCCCCACACAAACACCCCTCTCGCAGCCCGGAGGAGCTGGAAGAATTGGAACGCCAAACCTCTGCCTACGAAGGATTCACCTCGCAATACCTAGAGACTGAGATTGATGGAGAGCGCGTCGGTCTGACCCTCTGGGATTCCACCGGTCTCGAGCGCAACATTGTGGACCTGCAGATGCGTGCCGTGACTGGTTTCCTGGAGAGCAAGTTTGAGGAGACCCTCGCGGAGGAGATGAAGGTGGTGCGTTCTCCCGGTGCTCGCGACACCCATATCCACTGCACCTTCCTGTTGCTGGACCCCGTTCGCCTCGATGAGAACATTGCCGCGGCCGAGCGCATCGCCAATGGCACTGCTAAAGCTACCGACGCCCCGGTGGTCGGCATCCTGGACCAGAATCTCGACTTGCAGGTGCTGCGCACCATCCTGGGCAAGACCACCATTGTCCCGGTCATTAGCAAGGCGGATACCATTACCTCTGCGCACATGGGATACCTTCGCAAGGCCGTGTGGAACAGCTTGAAACAGGCCAATATCGACCCCCTGGAGATCTTGACATTGGAGGACCAGGAGGAGTATACTTCATCGGAGAGCGCGGATGAGGAGGAATCCGTGTCAGGAGAGACCCCCAAGACTCCCACCGAGCCTACCGAAGAAGGCAGTGAATCCAAGGAAGAGCAGCAGACCAACGGCCCGACCGAGTCAAAGAGTCAGGAACAGTCGGAGCAAGTCATCCCCCAGTCGCCCTCGCAACGCAGTCAAAACTCCCTCGGTGCTTCACCCGCCAACCCGCACGTTCCCTTCTCCATCCTTTCCCCGGACCCGCACTCCTTGGCCTCTGGGGAAGAACCGGTCGGACGTCGATTCCCCTGGGGTTTCGCCGACCCTTACGATCCCGAGCACTGTGACTTTGTGCGCCTGAAGGACTCGGTGTTCAGTGAATGGCGGGCGGAGCTGCGTGATGCCAGCCGTGTGATCTGGTACGAGCGCTGGAGAACCAACCGGCTCAACCGTAATGGCCAGCCTACGCCGCTGCCATCCAAGAAGTCATACGGAAGTCGCATGGGACCAATTCACGACGGTCGCCGTACGCGATAAATGGACGAATCAACCTGCCTTTTTCACCTTTTGACTCCGATTCCTACCCCTCCTCCCTCTCTCTGGCTCGGCCCGTGTATCTGACTTTTGCCCTTTTTTTTGTTTGATTCCCGACCCTTTTCCGCCTGTTCGCATAGCTTGCAGTTTTCGCACATACCCCCCGAATTCTTTTTTTTTTTCTTTTCCATGGTCATGTCTATTCGACCGTGGACTTTCTTTCCTTTCCTTTTCGTGTCTCCTTTTTGTTGGTTTACAACTACAAATCCACTTCCTGACCTTCCTTTTTCTGCCTCTTGACCTTTTATCCACTTATATCTTTCCCTTCTGACAAAATGTGTCACGCCGTATCCGGAGTGAACGAATCCTGTATTCAAGGCCTTTTTTTCAAAGTTGCTTATGTGCATTGCTTGCAGTGAATGGCTGTTTTAGCTGGTGACTGTGTATTCAGTATGATACGAGTATGATGGGACTTTGGTAGACTTGTAGAGAGTAGAGTGCTTGTAGTTCTGTAGATATCCTTTCTTTTCTACCTCTTGCTTGATAATTCGAATTTCCCTGGTTTGGCCTGTTTAACAATCACCTTTCTGACGAGGAAGTGGAGTGTATCCCCTCGATGATGATATGTGCTTACTATGGATCTGTCCGGTCCTTGGCTAGATTTATCACGTCCCCGCTGCATTGTCACAACGAATCTCTGAGCGGCTGAAATACGCCACGCAAACTGGACACAGCGATCGCACGCCCAGTACTCTGTCCTCAGCCAATCACCCGGTCAAATACGCGGCTACTTTGGGGGCCATTCACATTCAGACTGTGCAGGGGGTTGCAGAATTGCCAGGATCCGTCGGGCTGGCCGAGGGCTGCTGCATAAGTTCCCCGCAGGTAGGGCAATACGAGAGGCTCACCACTGGGCCAGTGGGCTTTGCTTTTCCCCTGCGCTACTTGACCTTTCCTTTTTGCTTCTCTTTCTTACTTTCCCACAGACATTTTTCTCTTTCTTTGAGCTTCATGTCTCCGTGGTAGTTGATCTAGCTCCTATCGCGCCGTACACTAGGTGGGCCACAACCTTTTTCTTCGTTCCCGGTTTATCTTCCCCGCTCTCTCGCACAGATCGACAAGGGCAGCCTCGCTGCGCAATTCGAGCTAAGCAGAGCGAGAGAGACCTTCCTTCATGCTGAGACTAAGAACTGACCGTCTGAGTTTCACAGACCTCCTATATCTTTTACACTCACCCAAAGCTAGCTCTGCTATACTTCACTGGGTAAACACATCTCCAATTCCGGCGGCTCACCCCCACCAAGGACCCTGGATACACAATGTCCCTCCAGGTCAACGACCCACGGTCGCGCACCCGCTCCAAGTCCCCCGGCCGCTCCCGCGAACGCTCCCGATCTCGCGACTCCCGCGCACCAGATCTGCTGGAGCTTGAACCACCACGGTCAAGACAGCGCTCCCGCTCTCCAGCCGTCGAGATCGCGCCCAAATCATATAGGGAATATGATCTGCCCCGCTCGCGCTCGCCGGTCGTTGAAATTGCGCCGCGCTCGGCTAAGCCCAAGGCTAAGTCTTCACGGGAGTATGACTCGGATGAGGAGACGGAGATTGATCGGCAGTATAAGCTGTTGAAGGAGGGGAGGTTGAGGGAGGATGGGCTGGGGAATAATGTTGTTGCGAGGGTTCCGCGGAGTCAGGGGCGGTATGATGTTGAGAGGGAGGAGGATGAGGATGATGCGAGGTATGAGTTTTCGGAGGAGGAGGAGGATTTGAGAGCGCGGATGAGGGCGAGGGAGAGGGATCTGAGGGATTCGAGGGATTCGAGGGATCCGAGGAGTTCGAAGGATTCTTTGAGAGACTCACGCGATCCAAGAAGCTCTAAGGATTCTTTGAGAGAGTCGCGGGACTCGCGGGACCCGAGGAGCTCCAAGGATTCTTTAAGAGACTCGAGAGACTCACGCGATCCAAGAAGCTCGAAAGACTCTTTGAGAGATTCGAGAGACCCTCGTGATCCGAGGAATTCGAAGGATTCCTTGAGAGAATCGCGCGAGTATGCGCCTCGGTCTCATCAACGTCGGCCTTCGTCCCCGCCTAGTCGGGATGGCAGGTTGGATGATTCGTCCGACGATTCGGATGATGGACTGGCGTATGGTGATGCTCTGGGTAGTCATCCGAGCTATGCTCGCCCGGGCAAGTATCAGTATGCACAGCCTGGTGCACCGCGCCAGCCTGCCCGTCCAGATCCCAAGTCGTCGGACTGGGATCCCATTCCTGAGTGTGAGCGTCCGGGCTTCGTGCCTCCTGCTTCGCACCCGTCGTCGCAAGCTGGAGTGTCCTCGACCATGCCCGGTGGCTTCCCTACGGCCTCGACGTATGCGGATCTTCCCGCAACGACTGCGCCCTCGTTCCCAATGCCGCAGTATGCCGGGTTCCCTGCCCAGCAGCAGGTTCCATACGCACACGCTTCTTCTGGTCCTTATACACCATCGCATTACCGTACTGCCTCTGCTACTGATGCTTCTCACCCACTTCCTGGACAGTATGCGCAGCCGGTTCAGTATCAGTATGCGCATGTCGATCCCAATGTTCGATATGCTTCCAAGGCGACTCCTGTTCAACCTTATACTGCCTCGCCAGATGACCAGTTTGCAAAGCCACACGAGCAGTTCAACAACAAGCCTCGTGACGCTCAGCCGGCTGCGTACCCGTACAGGTATAGCACTGAACCACAGTTTGTAGACAAGCAGCCTGCACCACCACCACCACCGCAACAACAGCCCCAGCCCCAGCATCAGCATCAGCAACTACAGCCACAGTATGGGCATGGCCACGGTCATCAACAACAGCCCCAGCAACTGGTGGAGATTACCCCTGGCGGCGGACGAGGCCGGCCGCATAGTCTGTCTGTGTCATCTGCGAATAATCTTGCGGTTGCAGGCTCTCACAGTCTACACGCCGGTCACCCTCCGGCTAGTCCACTGCTGGAGGCCTATCACGGTACCTACCAGTCCATCTCGCCTATGCCATCTCCGATTGTCATGCCAGCGCGGGACGATGACATCTCGGACCTGGAGCCACTCGATGGTGGTAACTCAGGCTCTGAATTATCACGCCGTAAGAAACACGTCCGCTCCAAATCATCAATCAGCGAAAAGGAAACCCGCCACCGCAGCAGCAAAGAGAAGATCAGGGAGAAAGAAAAGGACCGCGATGATCGCAAGGACGACAAGCGCCGCCTCCGTCACGACCGCCACGATTCTACCACGTCGATTGACCGTGACCGTGAGCGCGATAACATAGTCGTCATCTCACCCACCACCGGCCGCAAGCGCGTCTCCTTCTACGACGCCGGCGCCGACGCAGTCGACATGCAAAACGCCCTCAACCACCGCACAATCGACAACAAGACCATCATCCAGGTCCTCCCGAGTTTAACGAGCGACGAAATCCTCCTCCTACGCGCGGAATACAAAAACCGCGTCAAAATGCACGGCAAGGGCATCAACCTCGCCAAACACCTCCGCCTGAAACTCGGCAACTCCTCCTTCGGCAAGGTCGCCTATGCCACCGCCCTCGGCCGCTGGGAATCAGAAGCCTACTGGGCAAACTGCTACTACCAAGCCGGAACATCCCGGCGCGAACTCCTCATCGAGTCCCTAATCGGCCGGTCCAACGCCGCCATCCGCGAAATCAAGGCCTGTTTCCGGGATACCCGGTACAACGATAGTCTCGAGCGGTGTATGCGGGCGGAACTCAAGGCTGATAAGTTCCGGACGGCGGTGTTGTTGGCGCTTGAGGAGAGGAGGCAGGATGAGAGGGAGCCGCTGGATGAGAGGTTGATTAGGCAGGATGTTGGGGATTTGCATCGGGCGTTGGTTTCGAGGGAAGGTGGGGAGACGGCTATGATTAATATTATTGTTTTGAGGAGTGATGCGCATCTCAGGGAGATGTTGAGGGAGTATGAGGCTGTTTATCGGGTGAATTTTGCGAGGGCGATGATTGCCAAGTCGAGGAATTTGGTGGTACGTTTTGCTTCTCTCTTTGTTTCATTTTGGCTATTCGTCTTTCTTGGGGGTTTCACTGTCATTACGGTTGCTAATATTCTGTTCTTCTAGGGTGAAACACTAGCCCACATCCTAAACGGCGCAATAAACCGCCCCATGCGCGACGCCCTCCTCCTCCACCAAGCCGTCCGTGAATCCCGTACCGGCCGTGAGCGCTCCGAGTTACTCATTTCCCGGCTTGTGCGGTTGCATTGGGAACCGCGGCACCTGGAGCTGGTCAAGAGTGAGTACCGGAGACGGTATAATGAGCGTGTGGAGGAGGCGATTGCGGAGGAGGTTATGAGTTCGAGTGGGAGTAGTGAGTGGGGGGAGTTTTGTATTGAGTTGGCTCGGAGTTCGACTTGAGATGGGTTGGAAGGGGGAAGGGAGATTATTTTCTAGTGTATATGGAAGGCTAGTTCATGTGTTTTACAGAGAAAGGGATATGTGCTATTGTGTGTTTTGTATATCTGGAGGTCCTACGTTGAACTGTAGTTTATCGTGAACCTCAATAGAATTACCCTAGTTGGGCATCTGGGTTGAATTCCATGAGCGAGACTGAATGCTAGGTTGGAATATGTTCTGATTACATTTTGAATCAGAGATATCTTGATCAGTGGCACGTGAGGTTGTGCCCGATCTATTACGTACTGCCTCTAGTTTTCTATGAATGCCGTCGTGGTAGTCATTTCTTGGTTTTCCATATCGAGATGGCCTTGCATATCTGTAGCTTTCCACTTTACTTTGGAACCGAGGGATAAAAGACGGTAAAGGGAACAGAGTTGCAATCAAACGAAGCAAGTTGTAGCCCTTGATAGGAGCGGTGAACATAACCTTCTGTCTGTCAGTCATAGACATGTTCTGATTCTATTCTCTACATTTGTATCTCCGCATGAGGTTTATCCCCCTTACACCTCGCTGTATGACACAAAGAACTCACAAGTTCGAGGCAACAAAGGCAGCAGTGATCTACTACGAGGATATGACTACTTACTTACAATCCTAAATCCCCTCGGTACAGCACTGGTGTTGGTTCCCGGGTTTAGACCTCCGCAATATGCACGATGACTTCTGATCACTGGTCATCTATGCACGAGGCCGATGATCAACGAAGCCAAGACGAAGGGATCGGCATAGAACATGGGGCAGTCTCGTGCCCTATGCTCGTGGCAAGAGAATGACAAAATGCAGAATAGCTGCATAATGATATAACCGGACATTGTGCGGAGTAGTTTCTATACACTTCACTGGTTGGAAGTACACCGTACTCTGCTAGTACTCTAGATGGGACGTATATGATAACCACGTTCTGGGCATGGAAAGATGCAGTGGGCAAGGGGTAGATGGAGATGGGGGGTTGATTGCTACCTAATACAAGGATGGCTAGGATGTGTATTTTGTGAAATCGTGGAAATCTGGGGTATGTTGGGCGAGCTATGTAGGATTCGTTCATACTCTGGGGCTCGGCAAGAAGGGGGGATGGCTGGGCGGGCTTGGCCTGTGCTCTTGGCTTTGGGGGTAATATCAAGGGTAAATTTTTATTGGAATATTCCTGGTCACTTTAAGATTAGATGTTGAGTAGTGTTGCTACTGTGATATCGTCTTGCGGTTTAATATCGGTGAAAGTAGACCTGATCTCGTGTTGGACGTCGGTGACATGCAGAGGGATCGGAGCCATTTCTACTTCCCCCACCTTGTTACTTCTTAGCCTGCGCCGCTGGAGAGGTTAGCTTAGTTTTCTGAAGACTTGAATAATTTTTAATTATATCGGTTAATTTAGAAGAGCGAATATAATCACTACGGTCCTAATCTACCGTATACTCCGTTCCAAGAGAGTCCCAGCGCCGCACCTCCACACTGTAAATGTTACATCGGTAGTCAGCCACATTTGCCGGCGCCGTCTCTTATTTAAACTCTCTACCAATGACAAGCCCAAGTCAACTCTTCAGGAACGCAGTGCAATCGGATATACCTCTAGAAATGGGATGGTTAATGATGGGTGGCAAAGCACTGTCGCGCTGCTCCCTTATTTTCCCCTGAGGTCGAGCAAACCTGACCTATCACAAAGTTGGTCCCAGCAAGGAGTGTCCTAATAGACTGGTGGATCTGCGGTGATGTACCGGATACTTGGGTACGCGACACAAGCAGGTCAACCGAAACAGGGGATTTTATGTATTGAGTACTTACAGTCTTACGCTGTGGTCTCCGATCGGTGCTTCTCCCGACGGGACGCGTAGTTGAGAAGTCCATCCCTGCAAGGGGAGGGTTTTTGATTTGAACGCTCCTGAGAAGCCCTGTCACCGCTTATCTATACTGCTGCAGGTCCGCGATTTCAATGTTTTGTAGTGCGATATCATGATTCATGCGATATTTGGTAGACAGTGGTGGACTCGTTGTGATCGCCTCATACTCTGTAGTGTATCCTCCATGGTTAATACCAAACTCGGATTATTGGACCTGGTGGTATCATACGGGCGCCTCTGCTGATCACCAATTTCCCCGCAGACCTCTCGGGCACTAAATATTGGACCCGATGGATTTGGAGGAGATTAAAGAATGACGGTGCTGAGCCCTTAAGGCCGAGAGCCGACCAGGATAGAGAATATGAGTGTAGTAGGGGGAGTATGAAGTATGATAGGCGGAAATGATGGTTATTGCTCCTTTGTAGATGTTGTATTGACTACCATGTTCTTGCCTAATAATCCCGAGAAGAGAGGGTGTCGCCTGATGCCATCACGGAACCCCAACGTGCTTTCCTCGGGAACTATACAACCATAATATTCGAGTAGAATAGCAACTGTGAATATGTTATGGAAAGAGTATAGGGGGCATGACTCTTCCTCTTCCACCTTGTTCTTTTCCTTCCCTCCATCTTCTTCTTCCCACTCCTCATTTTCTCCATAGCCCACATTACCCTCGTTAGTCCACAGCCTTATTCCTTTATTTCTTATTTGCGCCATCCCGTGGACTCACTCGTTCAGTCAGCTGCAAGATTGCGGCCAACCACTAAACTTTCTCCGGTTCCTCGAGCGCCACTAGGTCGATCCCGCATGGGCCGCTGCTTGTTCTATGCGACCTGATATTTCTTGACCGCGTTTCTGGCTCGGAGTTACGCTCGATAGTCTGATTCTAGACGGGATCATTGCATGACTGCATGCTTGTATTGCTGGATTTGGATGTCTAGAGTGGGTTGTGTCGGCCTTGCGACTGGTAAATCCCCCGGATTTCCCCTTTCTGCTTTTGTATCTGCCCTGTCTTGTTGGCCCCCTTGTCATTCTAAGCCCTAACTGGCTATCTCTCCTCCCTGTCCACATCCATGAAAGAAAAAAGTGATGTCCACTCAATTCCCCCCTATACCACCCCCCTCACATCTGCATTTCCCTCCCTTGCCATATGGCCGAATTATCCGCATGGCTTTCTTTTCGGTCCTCGGAGTAGTTGCTGACGATGATCAGCCGACGTGCTCGCTCGGAACTTTGCTCTACACATGCAGGTCTGCTGCTCGATGCAATCCCCATCTTCCACGCGCTAAACCTCCTCTCGATTGTGGGAGCATTCCGGCATGCGGGCCCGGGGCAAGAAGCTCTGGGCGCGACCCCCTCTCTTCCGAGTCTCGTTGGCCCAGGGCTCGACTATAAAAATGTCCCTGACATTCCAGTAAACACAACGTCGATCTTTTCCTCGCGCCCCTCGTCTCTGAGCTAGTATACAGTCTAGCTTGTCGCGGTAGCTTTTGGAGTCTCTTGTCTCTCCTTACTCTCGACTCTCGACTCTCGACCGTCCTTTTTGTTTCTTCTATTCTTTGATTCAGTTTTTTTTGTTGGCAATTCCATTCTTCCATTGAGCATATGCTCATCGGTTGATCATTTTGATCCCGTCCAATCCTTTCTTCGTTTCGTTTGAACTACCGCCACGATGCAGCTGTGGCATCTCGGTGTCTTGGTGTCGACTTTTGTCGCATCTATTGGAGCCCAGTCGACCTTTTCTCCTGCTCGACCTCCAGCTCTCCCACTGGCAGTCAAGTCCCCTTATCTGAGCACCTGGTTGAACGCAGGTAGTGATGGTGGAAATGGCGGATACCTAGCGGGCGAATGGCCCGTCTTCTGGGCGTACGTTTCATAGCCAATTGGATTGTGAATGCTCACTAACTATTGACAGGAACCAAGTCACTGGTTGGTGTGGCTTGATTCGCGTCGATGGTACTGCCTACACTTGGATGGGCCTGCCCGGCACGACCACTGTCACCCAGACAGCTTTCGAGTATACTTCAACCAAGAGTATTTTCACCATGGATGTTGGTGGAAAGGTTGAGATGAATATCACTTTCATGTCTCCAATTACTCCCAATGATTTCAAGCGCCAATCTCTTGTTTTCTCCTACTTGAATGTTGAGGTGTCGTCCTTGGATGGCAACGACCATGACGTGCAGGTCTATGCTGATATTTCTGCCGGTAAGTTTGGAACAAGAAGAGCAACGCTTGGGCTAGCTATGCGTTGAAAGTTTTCTAACTTGATCTAGAATGGGTTTCCGGAGACCGTGGTACCACTGCGCAATGGGACTATGGTACAACCGATGGTGTTGCATACCATAGGGTTTACCGACAGACCCAGCTCGCATTCTCCGAAATCAACCAGCAAGCCGAGTGGGGCTACTGGTACTGGGCTACTGATGCCACCAATGGCATGACCCACCAGTCTGGTCAAGATACCGTTGTGCGTGGGCAGTTCTCGTCCAATGGTGCCTTGACCAATGGAGCGGACACCAACTACCGTGCCATTAACAACGACTGGCCCGTCTTCGGATTCTCATCCAACCTGGGCACTGTTGATTCAAACCCCGTCAGCACACTTTTCTCTCTGGGTCTGACTCAGGATGAAGCTATTCAATATGCAGGTTCCTCTGGCTATGGCCCCGTGCCGTCCCTGTGGAAGAGCTACTTCGACACGGATGTGGACGCAGTTACATTCTTCCACAAGGATTTCAGCGAGTCCAGTTCTCTGGCAAGCTCATTCGACAGCAAGGTTGCAACAGACTCTATGGCTGTCGCAGGCCAGGATTATCTCACGCTTACTTCCCTTTCGGCCCGCCAGGCATTCGGTGCGACCCAACTGTGCGGCACAGAGAGCAAGACGTATTTGTTCCTGAAGGAGATTTCTTCTGATGGAAACATGAACACCGTTGATGTCGTGTTCCCAGCTTATCCCATCTTCCTGTACTCAAACCCCGAGTTCTTGAAGCTCGTTCTCGACCCCCTGATTGAGAACCAGGAGGCTGGTTATTACCCCCAGAGCTATGCTATGCATGATCTTGGATCGAGCTACCCGAACGCCACGGGTCATAATGATGGTAATGATGAGGCCATGCCCCTGGAGGAGTGCGGAAACATGATCATCATGGCCTTGGCATATGCTCAGAAGGCCGGAGACACTGCCTACTTGAGCTCTCACTACAATCTTCTGAAGAAGTGGGTGAGCTACCTCATCGACGAGGCGCTATACCCAGCTAACCAAATCTCCACCGATGACTTTGCTGGATCTCTCGCGTGAGTAGCCGAGGCCCCTTTCTCTCTAATGATTTTCGGTAACTAACCGACGTGATTAGCAATCAAACCAACCTGGCCCTGAAGGGAATGATCGGTATCCAGGCCATGTCCGTCATTGCCAAGGAGACCGGCCATGCGTCCGATGCTGCCAACTACTCTAAGATTGCCCATGATTACATCAACAAATGGCAGACTCTGGCTATCAACAAGGCTGTTACCCCAGCCCACACTACTCTGTCGTACGGTGATGCGAGTAGTCACGGTAAGCTGCAGCCCCACGAGATGATCCCCGTGTTACGACCCGGCTAAATTCTTGAAGGTATTCTTTACAATCTGTTTGCCGACGCTCAGCTCGGTCTGAACTTGGTGCCTCAATCTGTCTACCAGATGCAGAGTGACTTCTACCCGACTGTCGCCAATAAGTATGGCGTTCCGCTGGATACTCGTCACACCTACACCAAGGGTGAGTCTATATATGGAGTTTTCACTTTATAAAGACAATACTGACTCGGAATTAGGCGATTGGGAGTGCTTTGCCGCAGCTGTTGCCTCCACTGACACCCGTGACATGTTCATCAAGACCCTGGCCACTTGGGTTAATGAGACCCCGACCAACCGGCCCTTGACTGATCTTTACGACACTGCATCTGGAAAGTAAGTCATTCAAGAATGCTCCACTCTCTCAGATCTCCACTGACAAAACATAGTTACCCACCAACCACCTTTGTCGCCCGCCCTGTCGTGGGTGGTTACTTCGCACCTCTCCTCGTCTCCTAGTAAACGAGGCCCACTTTCGCTTCTTGTGAATGCATTCTTATATACTTTATTTTATTCCTAAAACTTTACCGTGACGCCATTACCGTTTGACTAGATCATGTCACTCTTGAGCCGAATCCTTCTTTTCAAGCAGTACTTGAGCCCTGACTCGAAGGCGGCCGGATTATGACGCCTTGGTCGTCATCCACTCGCTTTGTTTTGGTACTATAAGCCTGCGATTTTCTTACTGCGCGCGCTGATACCCATCCATAGAGCTGTTGTGCTGTGTCGATGGTCTTGCGTTGCATGTTTGTGTTGAGGTCTTGCATGGTGATAGGCTGCGTTGGAGATTGTGGGGGGTTGTGTATACGTACTTAGTACCTACCCCTTCGGCTTCGTTCTAATCGAGTCATTGTTACTGTTCAATCTTAGTCAAAATTATAGTAGCTTGTATGTTAGATGAAGACGCCAACTCCGTTGCCTATAAGAAGATGACTGGGGAAATTTGACGACTATACGAAGGTGGGACCGTGCTTGGTTTTTAGCTGGTCACTTTCGAGAGGATAATTTTCTACTTCATCTTAGATGGAACGTTATCTGAACGTAGGTAGCCCGGCTCAATTGCCTAAACCATAATTTATTGAGGTTCGTGGTTGTCATTAGGGTTGTCGAGCCTTCATCTCCAATGAAAGTGAATTCTTTGAGCGTCAATTTTGCACTTCTCTGATCTAAATCGTAACCAGATGCCCCATGAGATAACTACGATGGCCATATGTACATAGAACGGTCACTTTTTACGCAGACTCCTCGTCCCAGTTATCAAAGGAGCGGATAAGATCTAGATACGAATAATGTTAGCAACAAGCTCGATATAACGTAGACTGATAGGATAAGGGAAACTAACCATAGTACAGCATCATACCCTCCAGATGCACATCCAATCGAATCCGCTCATCGACAGTGTGAATATTAAACGCACCACCCTGGCGCGACGGGCTCCAGCGGTAAATGTTCTCGGAGAGAGACCAATAGAAGCGCGTGTCGGTGTTACCAGTCATGATATCTCCGGTAACGACGACAGTCGGAGTCGACTCAGACTCGGTGCTCAGCGGGTTAGAGTGTGATTCAAAAACACTCCGCGCGACGCCCGAGAAGCGCGCCCAGGTCTTGGAGGTGAGCGGGTCTGTTGGGGAGATGGGCGCTGGGCTGAGGGCCTCCATGAGCGGGGACAGTGTGAGGGTGCGATCGCCCTCTCCGCCGAATTCATCGGTCGTTTTGGAGACGCCGGGGAAGTCGATGTTCAGGGTGAGATTGTGGGCTGCAGCGATGGGGCTGATGATGCGGACGGCGCGGTCACGGAGCTGGTCCGGTGTCATGTGCAGTGCCACGCGGTAGTTTACTACGGCGGAGATCTTCTCGGGCAGAGCGTTCGTCTTGACGCCGCCGTTGAAGAGGTCGGCTGCTTGCGAAGTTTGCAGGGTGTAGCGCACGGCTGGACCGCGCGAGGAGGCTACTGCTTCACCGAGGGCTTCGGCGTCACCGTTGGCTAGCTTTTCGGAGAGCCAGGGCTCGACGAAGTTCGGCGAGTACCGTGCTTGGCATTCGAGCATGCCGTATGAAGGGTGCGAGGGGTCGAGGCGAGGAGAGAAGAGCTCTTGTCGCTCTAGTTCGTAGATGATCTCGGCCATCATGCCGATACCAGTGTGCGCGGGGGGAACGGAGCTGTGGCCACCGGGCACGGCGAGCTCGAGAACGAGATCGAGACTGCCCTTTTCACCGACGCCAGGCAGGGCATACAGAATGTCGGTATCATCACCCAGGTTCTGCAGACCCATGCCACCCTCGTCGAGGATGAACTCGAAGCTATCCTTGCCGTATCTCTCCTCGAGAGCGGCGGCGATCGAGCCGGCACCCAAGAAACCGTGCGACTCCTCGTCGAAACCAAAGGCTAGCAGGACGGTGCGCTGGGGCTGCCATTTCTGCGTGAGAAGATCCTCAATGGAGGACAGCAGTCCGATCAGGACGTTCTTGCAGTCGGAGGAACCTCGGCCCCAGATCCACTCGCCGTCGAACACGCCCGAGAAGGGTGGGTGTGTCCAGTCGGAGGGATCGTCGATGGGGACGACATCTTGGTGTGCCATGAACAGAATAGGCTTGCGGGTGGTATCGGCACCCTGAAGCGTGAAGACCAGACCGAGACGGTTGATATGCTCGACCTTTGCCTTGGCATGACTAGATGAAATCAGTATCGTTGCCATTGCAAGGTAGTCTGCTGCATGATGCTTACATCAAAGGGAAAAGCTCTTCCAGTAGTGATTGGAACTCTACAATTGGCTCAAAGGACTCGTCGTAGGGATCCGTTGCAAAGTCGCCAACGGTGGTGGGCACTTGCACCGCCCGTGATAACCGCTTGGCCTGGCGGGCACGGAAGGCCTCGTCCTTGAGGAAGGTCAAGGATGAATGAAGTCCGTCATTGGGAGAGGCCACTTTGGGTGCCTGTGGACAAGTCTCGCGGGCAGATGGCTTGAGTGCCTCGAGACCGTGGGCGATGCTGCTGCTCCCAGGAAGCAACACTTGCTGGGGAATTCCCAGCGCCAGTGCTGCGGATGGCAGCGAAGCCAGTCCGAAGAGACTCAGTCCTTTCATAATTGCCTGAACACTTGAATTGAAATCTTGACAGGTTCACCAGACTCGGTCAAAGTAGATGAAGAACAGGGTTGTGCGATGGCGTTATTTTAGCACTCGATTGGTCTTTTATCTTCAACTTCCTCTTCTTATCTTTTTCCCCTCACGCTTTTCCCTCGGTCGGGCGGGCTCAGCCGCGTTTTACCCCAATTGGAAGCCGTTTCGATGGAGGTTTGCCGACCTGGTCGGCAAGAGGATACGATGATGGAGAGGTCATTTTGAAACGACCTCGTACATTCTGATGTTCTCTAGTTGTGGTATACTGAAGAACATCCTTGGCTGACCATCCTAGCATCAGCAGATCACAGACCGAAGAAGGGCCAAGCAGCCAACCCGGTGGAACCAACGGAAGAAGCTAAGAAACAAAAACGTGGATCCCCAGGAACCAGGGGCTTGTCCCGAGGCTGATTATTATTCAATCTGCTTTTGAATTCCCGTACTTGGGAGAGTCAGAGAGCCATTGCGCTGTGGCGGCCCTACCAAGACCCATGATTTTGATAAACCGCGTTAGGGGCGTTTTCCCTGCGCCATTAACGAACCCCTTCGGAACTCCTTGACTGGTCGATCACCAAGAGGGCTGCCAATACAGGAGGAGGCCAGGGGTTGAAGCTCAAAAATGCAACGCCCCGAAATCCCCCCCACACTGCGCCACCATCCGCTCCTCCCCGAACGAACATACAAACAGCTTTCCGGTGGCAAAGAGAAAATCCTCCTCTGACGGGGTTTCAGGTTTGCACCATTGAATGATGACTCGTCAGGGGAGACCCGTCAACCACCTGCCGAGATACTTGAATCAGCAATGGGTTCATCCACTCGTCCACTCCGGGGATGTCGATCACAGCGATCAACGCCACCACGGCCAATGAGCCGCCTGCGCAGAATCAATAGAGCATTCGGTTAGCGTTTCAGAGTCGATCGCGCGGGTTCACACGATGTCATCGTTCTCTACAGTACTACTACTGTAGTTGTGTCGTGTGCACTGTGTGGCGTCTCCATAAATTAATGGACCCCCGGAGGGTTCCCCGGGGGTCCAAACGAACGAATCTGTCAGCGCAGGGTTGCAGTTTCTTAAGTGAAACGGCTTGGACCCTTTTTTTTGTCTTTCGTGTGTTTATTCGGATTACCAACTCTCGCTCGTTGTTGGATTTACTTCGTCCTTCATTATAACCCTCTCTCGCTCCATCCTCGACATTCCTTCGCACGCGCAACTTTGCTCAAAAAATCAACCTTCAGCCTCCCGCCTAGTCTATCGGACCCTTGATACCCACTCCTCCACCGAGAAGGGCCAAAAAAATAGAACACAAGTGACTTCGACCTTTTTCATTCACTCTTGTCCCGTCAATCGCCATAATGCACACACAACACATCCTCGCTATTCTCGCCCTTGCGCTGCCCGCGTTCGTGAGCGCAGACGCCCCATACACCAAGCTTGGCTGCTATTCCGAGGTCCCGGATATAAAGAGCTACACCACAACTGCCTACCAGGCCTATGGCGCATGCCTGAATATGTGTTCTAAGGATGGCTACAAGATTGCCGCCCTGAGCAAGGGCAACCGTTGCAGCTGCGGCAACGCCGTACCCCCAAACTCGGCCAAGGTCAGCGATGACCAGTGCCAGACGCCCTGTCCCGGATACCCCACGGACCTATGTAAGTTTCTCAATAAAGCCACGCCCGATATTTCTGGGTCCTCAAGCAAATGTACAGCAAAGCTAATCAATTCTTCACATAGGTGGCGGTGATAACGCCTACATGGTCCTTAGCACCGGTCAATACGCCGTTGTTTCCCAGTCTGATGGCGACGCTGCGGCGACACCAACTGCTGCCACTGCCGCTGGTGGTATCGTCGTTGCTGCAACCAACGTCAACCCCTCCACCGTCCCAACGAGTATCCTGACTGCACCGGGCTCCATGATTTCCAAGGCCGGAGTCACCGCAGCCTCCAGCTCTGCAGGCGTGGCCGCCACGGCTGCTAGCTCCAGCGCTGCGGCCTCGCATACCGCCAACGCTGCCGTTTCTCTGCGCGGGGGTTCATCCATGGCTGGAGTGTTGGTTGCTGGTCTGGGTCTGCTTCTGTAAGGAATGAGGGGCCAGGGTGTTCTCTTGTATTGCTTCTTATTCTCTTGACTGTACTGAATATTCAATGATTCCCTTGTGTGTCCCCTTGGTGGTGAAAGGGTGCCCAATATTACCCGATAGTCCGGCGCAACCTGCGAGCGGGCCTCGAGAAGGTTGCGAATGGCTGTTTGTTGGTATTGGGCTCGTTTCTCATGCTGCGTGGACAATTACAGTAGGCATAGACTGCCCCGAATGGACTTCGATATCCTCGGCAATTTATCAAATACTCCTTGAACCGGACACAGGATGTCTTGTAAAACTGCCGTAGCTTGAATTATGAAAGAGCAAAAAGCCCAGAATCAACTTCATGTAGATGCAGGATCCACATATTCCGTATTCTTCGCGTCGTCTTTCTCATTCGTAGCCAGTGCTTCGTCATATTTGTCAAGATCCGAAAGGTGGTGTTCCTTCGCTACTGATCGAACTGAGGGGTTTATCGAGGTTCCTAAGATGTTGATAAACGCCATTCCCGGGGTTCAAACTTTGCATACATTGACTGAGACAGTCACGAGGTTCGAGTATGCTAACTCGAAAGCCTCGCAAAAAGTGTCGACGCTGATAGTTCAGACAGCTATACATCTTCAATTGAAGTATTACTTTGGACTCAAGACCTTGCTGGATTAATTGCGTATTAATCAATAATGAAGGAAGCGCTGAATCAGGACATTGAATATGTGCGATGGAAAGCCCTAAGTATAAATATTGAAAATAAAGACATGTCCATAAGCCACCGTGAACGGGAAAAGGGTATATGAGTGAACGGAATAGGAAAAAAAAACAACTATCGACACCATAGCCAATCCGTGCCACCGATAATAAGCGTAAACTCGCCAGGCGCCAAATTCAAACGACCAAGTGATTTGGTTCAGCCACTGACACGGTCAAAATTGGGTGGTAACGGCAAACCGCTCCTAGATGATAATGTTAGTCACATGCACGATAGGCAAGGAGTCTTGATGAATGTACCTCTTGTATTTTTGCTTGATGGTGCGTGCCCGGTCTTTCATATTGACTTGTGTTCGACCGCTGAGCTGTGGGCCTCCATCCGTAGTAGGACAAATTTGGTCCTGGCGCTGAATCGTAGCCCATTGAGTGCCATGTCGTGCTATAAGCATGATAAGGCGGTCATCTTCCTCGTCGCTCCATCTTCTCCGGCCAGCGGTATGGATGGCAGGAGGTGGATGTGATGCTCTCGAAATGGAGTTTTCTGCGTGCCAACGAGACTCGCGTGGAGCCGGGGCCGTGTTGGGAACCACGAGTGATGTCACTTGTGACTGTTGTTGGCTGGCGGCTAGATCTTCCTGTAGTTGTCCTGCAGGGCTAGGTTCCTCGTTGCTCACGCGCTGCCGCTTTTCGCTCGGGCGTGCTTGTTCGGGAATCTGAGATCTGCGCTGGGAGATGTTGTGATCGCGGGTATCCCGGTCAAAGTCATCATCGTCGCTCGCCTCATCGTCCGAGTCTCCACGACCACGCTTTCGAGACGGTCCCTGGCTCGTTGGAGGTGGTGGCATGCTTGGTCGCTTGGCAGGCTCGCGAGGGCTCTCTCCACTTTGAGATTCCTCGGAGCCTCCAGGCGAGAAAACGACCCTCGAGGCAGTTGCTTGCCGATCGAAAATCGACCGCCGTGGCGATGAGGGTTTTGCCCGAGCCGCCGAAGGGCTATCAAAGAATCGGCCAGGATAGTGGCTGACTCGATTGATTCGCTCAGAGCCACGAGGGCTGGCAGACATAACTGCCTCATGTGGCTGATCAAATACCAAATCGTCATCGAGTGGATTAAAAGTAGGCTGGTCATCCTGTGTACTCGACCCCGTATGTTGAGGGGACGCCGGCTGATTAGTGGAAGGCTCGGGTTCCGGAGTCCCAGCGATTTCGTCACGATCAGCAGTTACACTCACGCCCCGAGGGGAGTCCGGGATGACGGCGGCTTTTCCTTTTTCGGAATTTACGGGCTGTGGTTCCAACGTAGCCGAATCTGCCTGACGTGTGGTATTGAGAGTCTTCGCAAGGAAGTCCATGGCATCAGCGGTACGCCAGATACTTCTCAAAGGTTAGCGACATAAGAGACAAAGATCAAGATTGTGAACATACCCTTTGTTCGATTTCCGCCTACTTGGCACTCTTTGTGGCGATGGCTTTGGTGCCGACTGTTCAATCACTGGTTCTTCATGGGTTTCTTCTGGACGCGCTAGGTCTTCGCTTGAGCTCTCTTCAATTTCGACTTCTTCTCCATCCTCAGGTCTTTCAACTGATATCTCGTTCAATGTGGTGGAGGGTCCTTCATGATAAGAGTTCACGAGCGTTGCATGATCCGGCGATTCAACAGCGTTTGGATCCGCTCGACGATGAATCGCATTGACCACTAACACTTGCACGTCATCAATCTTGGGCTGCGAAGCGATGGTCGCCTTAAATTCCTGCTCTCGAAGCTGAACGAAGCGTGCGACGCGCAGACAGAACCGGCGCCAGCTGAAGATTGTCTTAAGACCATGCAAATCGAGATTGTCATCATCATCAAAGAGAGAAGTCTCCAGTTCGTCGATGCGTACGCTGACCTCATCATGCAAACTATCAGGAAGAAAGCCGTTTTCGTCTTCAAACGTCGCTGGAAGATTGAATCCTCGAAGAGAGCCGGCATCCCGTGCAGGATCATGGTAAAATATTTCCTTCAGAATGGACTGGGCGTCAAACCCTTTCTCGCCTTGACGTTTCTCGAGCTGCGAGATGAAGTACTGCGTTCGAATTTCAAGAGCCAGATCAACGGTGGCCCTTATCGCAGAGCTTCCACCGCCTGTCAGTTTCTGTTTGGGTCGGATCATTTGACTCATGAAAGGAGCAGGGAATTGCTTATCGAGATTCTCAATAGCTTGGACCTGAGTTTGAGAACCGATAGCGGCGGAAAGAGTAGTTAGTGCTAACCAAGCATAGTTTGCTCTGTAAAGGTACGGCCTTGGGTCCCAGGGATCAGGAGCGTCTTCCGTCGTGACAGATGGAATCAAGTCAGAAACACGGGCGGCATCGATGTAGCTTTCATTGGTGAAAACTTTCATGCTGTCAGCCAGCTTTTTGTAGACGCGCTTGAACCGCTTATTGTCGGCATGAGCGGGATTGGCAATCCTCTTTGCGACCTCGCAGATGCCCTTAGCATCAGACGAGTTCGTGCCGACGAGCTCTAGCAGGCGGGTGGACGCTTGTTGGAGGTCTGGCAGCTCATCTGCCATGTCGATAGCATCGATGCCGCCATCCTCAGAGCCGGAATCTGAGTCGTGATCCGATTCATGAGCTAAAAAGGTTGTGCCAGAGATGTTGGTATTGCCCTCCTCATGGGTTGGTGTATTTGGCACTACCGAGGAGCTCACCCGTGAGGTTGGGGTGTGATGGGAGCTGATGGGCGATTGTTCAATCACCGGAGGGAGGTCTGCTCAGGTTAGAACTTTGTACTCTTTTCCAAATGGAGCTGAAGAGGCGAGGGCAAAGAGTAACAAGTCACGGGCTGCATGAGCCCGGAAAGCACAATAATCAAGTGCTGTTGACCAGGAGTAAGGCCAAACATAAGCAAAGCCGATTTGCCCAAGCCCAAATATGAGGGAAGAGTAATTCATGTAGCACTCACGTTTTAACTGAGCCCTGCCTTGGACCCCAGTACGTTGAACAGTCTTGGAGGAGGACTGTTTTCCATAGTTCGGATCATCGAGTTCCCGACTCTGACTCCGGGTCACTCGCCGCTGGGGGGTGGTCCCCGCTGACGGCATGCGGGCGGTGTGTTGTTCCCTGGTGCGTGGAGGTGCAGGCGGTGAAGTTGGTATCACGCGTTTGTTGATACTAGGACTTGCACGTGTCTTTCGAGTGCTCAGAGTGGAAACACTGTTCTTAGAGATTACCGGATACCTTATACCATGTGTGGGAAGGTGAAAAGTAATTTTGACGCGAGGATGGTGTCAGGAGAAGATTGTTTTTCGGGAGGCTTAGGGTTGTTGGGCTTGTTGACCGTTTCGGAGTCGGGCGTTAGATGTTCCGACAGCGCTAGTCCATTTCCAGGATCCTCGTGACGCGTATACCTGAGGTATCAGGCATAAAGGCCCCATAAACCTTAAACCCTTCAGGCATCGATAACTTTGGATCAAGATTGTCAGCTGTAAATCGCTTCTTGAAATATGAAAAACATGCAGATATATTTCTAACTTCATTTCAACTTCCTATTCCATATCTAGCCATTTCTATTCATCTTTGACGCGTGGAGAGCCGATTGAAAGTTTCAGGCAAAAACCCTAACCCTAAAACCCTACGGGAGATCTTCAGGCATCGACTGTATATATGGCCCGTGCGGTCTATGGACCTCGAGAGGACCTTCTCGAATCCAACTTTCGCAGTCTATCGACATGCTGGTACAGATTGAGTGGTATGGGTCAGAAAAAACTGATGGGCAATCTCCCTCACAGCGAAATCAAGCCCTACTCTCGCGGTATACTGTCTCCAGACTAGCTTGCGGGACTCTCTCGGGCAACCCTCTTGCCAGACTTTCTCGCGCAAAACTCTACTCGCTCAAAAATCTCGTGCGAAAATCTCGCGGGACCCCCTAATTCAATCGGGTCTTTAACAGAATTCCATACTGAATCAATATACATCCGAAAAGCATCCAGCAACTCTTGACATCTCCTACAAATAAGACAGTCTTTTGAATAAAATCCTTCCTGCTACAATCTAAGATGTCAACAAAGAAGTGAAACGTAAACAGAGTGACCCGATGGGAAAATTTACCTCGCGGCGAAATCAGACAAAATCACGTAGACCGAAGCCTTGTCTACACAATGAACGAGGATGGGTAGTGCTAGAAATGAGCCACGCTGTCAGGCCAGACCTGCAAGATAAGACCAATACTTTAGGAAAAGCCCTCTCTCTGCCGTGGAAATGGGTTTCATAATCAAGCTCATACTGCAGACGTAGCTTGGTATTTACAATGCTGATATCAGCACGGTATCGAAGATCCCGACATATGCAACGATACTCAAAAATGCCAGACATACGGGATATGCCTCCTAGTATGAGACTCGATGTGGTTTTCTTGATTTTCGCACGGGTTCGTCTGTGTTTCCTTGATCTATCAAGCTGCTGGACTTTCCAGGCCAAACTTGACGAGACTACATCTGCGAGCTTACCAGTATCACGGTTAACAAGTCTCTCTGTATGGCATGCTTCGGGGACGCAGGAACTGGACTGGTGGATCTGAAACTGGTAGAATACTTAATGTTAAATGTATTATCTTTGCATGTCTTCATGGCGAGATGGCTGCTGAAAGCTAGATTTAAAGATGACAAGATTCGTAAGATTGAGAAACAAAATTCTGGCTAATCATGCCTGCGCCGGTCACAATATTATATCATTAATATAAAAGTATTTTCACAAGACGTCTCTGACTTTACACCAAGGTAAAACGCCAAGAAAAACAGAAAGGACGTAGAACATTCGACCGCCCAAATGTTGAGGTGTTAATACATAGCTTCTATGAAGTAAATGATACCGAAGATGAGGAAAGCCGTAGCACCGCCGAGAGTCACTGTGATTGAAGATTAGAAATTGGAAAGATGAAAGTGGGGGTTCAAGAAAGTACTTACCGACGCGCATGCTGACACGGCCAGCGATAGCTCGGCCACCGATAACAGCCGCGGCAGTGCAAATGGCATGACCGGTGATCGCACCAACGGTCACCCACCAGTAATCTTGACCGGCAGCCATGGCGATGGTGGCGATCTGGCTACGGTCACCCCATTCGCCGAGGAAGGTCATGACGAAGGTCTGAACCCACGCTGGGCTAAGCAGAAGAGAGAAGAGGTTGCTCACGCCAACCATCATGTCGTTCAAACGACGGCGAGGGTGGGGAGATGAGCCACGGGAGGAAGACGAGGAAATGCTCTCAGGAGGAGAAGGCAGTCGGTTTGTAGAACCACGCGATTTGGGACGACCACCAGCACGACCAGCTTCGAGCGAGTGGGGAGTGACTGAGGAGCGGCGACGGCCCATGCGGCGCTGCTCCTGCTCCTTCTCTTCCAGCTCCATCTCGACCTCGCGCATTTCCTCTCCGACGCCCTCATCTGGAGACATCTCACGGCCTTCCTTCAGCATCTTACCACCGAAGACGAGGAAGAGCACAGCCGCCATCAGCTTGGTGAGTGACTTGGGAATCAGAGTCGGAACGGCGTGGCCGAGAATAGCGGACAAAACGGTCATGACGAACAAAGCACAGAAGGCAGAGGAGAATACAACCAATCGTGGGTGTCTCATTGCCATGAGTGCCGCGACGAGGAAAGTCTTGTCACCAATCTCAGAAACGATGATCATGGTGAATGCAAAGACTAGAGAGTGTAGTCCATCACCGTCATCCGGAGAGACCTGAGTCGATGTCTTGTCGTAGGTAGACGAGCCGGGGTATGATCCCGAGCCAGCGGAGCCATGCTGGACAGCCAGAGGGTCGTCTTTGGCTTGGGAGGGTGACTTGGGGTGGGGGATATCGTGGGGCTTGTTGGGGAGATCGGCCGGTTTCTAAAAAAAAAAGAGGATTAGCATCTGCCACCAGAAATTCCGTCCGTAGATAGCCCAGTAGATCATACCTCCAGCATTCCCAGCGTTCCAGCCTCGTCGGCGGTGCGACCACCACTTCCCACGGTCGCATCGCTATCAGAAGATTGCTTCTGCTTCTCGCTATGCGGCAACGGAGGAGCCTCCTTGGGACTTCCAGGCACTTTCTCAGCGTTGTACTGGTTCTCCTTTCCCTTTTCCGAAACCCCTCCCTCGGTGCCTCTGGTGCCTGCCTTGGGGCCAGCCCGATCTGGGTCATCCATCACACCGCCGTTGGAGTGCGGGATCACTTTGCCTTCTTCGGTGCTGAGGTGCTCCGAGGAGGGAATTTTAAGGTCATACTTCGTTGAAACCAGGTCGATATCGTCACTGCCCTTGTTGGTCTTGCGGTCGCGCTCCGCATTGGTTTCCACCCACGGACCGGCATGCGGCCGGCCATCCTTGCCGTCTACTGGGGCGTCCAGCGACCCTTTGACAGCATTGGTAGATGCGATCGAGTCGGAATCGACGTAGCGGGAGTTCAGATCGGATGACGCACCGGCGACACGAGCACCCGGTTGACTGGCCGAGTTGAGATCTGCCGCCGCAGTCGTCAGGGCGGGAAGGAGGAGAAGGACCAAAGACGGGGAGAATTGGATCTTCATGGTGAAGACGGGCGGTTTCTACCGCAGAAAGGAATGACTCGTGGAAATGTCTCGGTCGTAATTGTAGAAGATATCGGGAATTGGCGACCGTTTGGTCGAAAGAAAGTAATTGGAGTTGGAGGGTGGAGGAATGGAAGGACACGAGTGTCTAAAAACCGTTGCGGACGTGGCAGTCGGCAGTGCACTCGAATGACGACGCACTCTGACGGGAGCGCGGTGGCCAAGTTCAAAAAATGTAAACAAGAAGTATATTAGAATCGTTAATGCAGATAAAAACAACGCAGAACGAAGGAAGACACGACCAAGAGGGCAACGAAAAAAAGGGCGGCCGTGTTGTTGCGTCGGTCTGCAAAGGGGGCGATGCACGTGACCCCCCACCGCAAGCGGGCGGACTGCCAATCGGCCAACGCTGATTGATCGACCGATCGACCCGTAAATAGCACTGGTCTGGCCTAATGATCAAAGAACTAATCTGGTTCGTGCACAAGAGATAAACTCTGAGCTTTTCGACCTTGATGACATCTAATTGACCATCGAACTTCTATACTAGGCCAAGCTCCTACGCATTGATCTGGCTTGCTTTCTGCATAGTTATACTCGAAGCTGACAAACTGACAAAGAAAAGGGCAATGTTGGAACATCATGAAACGGACCCAGAGATACTCTCTTGATACCAGGTGAGGTAAAAGCGCATATTTGTCGAGGCTAAGTACTATTAAGAAAGGAAGACCGCCCCAGAAGCAAGGCGGGCTCAAACATACTCTCGAAAATGGAATGGGCCAACTAGAAATGATCATGTATCCCACGGACATGCTGCTTGGGGGTATAGATGGGTATGCGGCCATTCTATCCTGGCTACAGCAAGTTTATGTCAATTATTGGGGCTAGAGGCCAGTTGGGGCCAGGGATAGAGGATCGAGGCTTGCACACAAAGCAACTCTTCTCTTCAGCTGTTGCAGCTTTATGGGGCCGCCCGAAATAACGCCACCAGGCACACCACAGAGCTGGCCCCTGTCAGGGCTGACCAGACTCAACAGTTGTTGGGAATAGATCCTTCCCAGTATACGAGAGATCTCGACCGCAAAAATAACCTATACACGAGGAAGCAAATATGGCACTCTTCAAATAGAAGCAAGTGCTAATTCTTCATGCAAGAAATAGACCGTGTCGTGTTGGCACCCCACCAGATGCAAAAAATAGCATCATGCCAGGAACGACCGCCGGGGGTGGGGGCCACCCTATTGGCCCCCCCGCGACTCAGCATCTCGGATTCGAGCCGCCCCGTATACATCTCGTCAAAGCCTCTATTTCCCGTGTTCGTGTTCTTCCCACACCTTTCAGGGTCCTTTTTTTTGCCCAAAGATGGATTACTCGGCCCCCAGGAACGATTCAGGGCCAAAATGAGTTTCTTTGATCCACAAATAGTGTCGTATCCAAATACAACTCTGTTGCTAGACCCTGCAGTTCTCGTAGTAGGCATTTCCGGGGCCAAATTGAATGAAATGCCCCATCCGGGGGTATATAGAGTAGCCACTTGTCCTTGATCGTGGTTTTGAATTGTTATTATCTACCAATAACTTTCAATCCAAGCGAGCTGGTTCCTCTGCCTGGTTATTCTTTGAGCGTTTTCGGATAGATTATTTGCTTCTTGTTTTGTTAACGATACACTATACATCATGGGTCTAAAAGGCTTCCTGCTGTCAGCTGCATTCGTTGCATCGCTGCAAGGTGTTCATGGCTCTATCTTTGCAGAGTCAACTCCAAAAGTCGCCGCCTACTTGAGTAAGAGGTTTCCACATCTCTTACAACAGACAATCCTGACATGATTTAGACGGTGGTGGTCAAGGTCTTGCAACCTTTTGTCAAAGTAAGTTGGTTCTGCTAGTGACCGCCATTAACCTAAATCTCTAACATGACTTTCTAGATCCCAACGTTGATGTATGGAGCAGCCTGATATTCTTGAATATAGTCTAGAAGTCTGACGAGTATCTAGATCATCCAACTAGCATTCGTGGACCAGCTTGACACCGAGCCCCAGTCTACATCTCTTTCAGGCATTCAAGGGTATGTAATCCTACTCTGTCTCCTGATAGTCAGAAATACCGTCATTCATTTCTAACATGTCGTCAGTTGGGAGATTACACAATGCCAAACCCAAGGCAAAACAATCCTAGTATCTCTCGGAGGAGCAACCTACCATCAAGCCGATAAAAACGGCGGCTGGAGCACTCCCGAACTTGCCTCACAAATGGCCGACAAACTATGGAACAAATACGGCCCCGGTTCCAACGGCCAAGGCCCCTTCGGCACCGCAGTGATCGATGGATTCGACTTCGACTTTGAAGTCCCTATGACCAATCTCCCCGCCTTTACAAACCGCCTCATCACGCTCAAAAGCCAACTGACGAAGCCCTTCTACCTGACGGCCGCACCTCAATGCCAATGGCCAGACAAGAACCTCCAGACCGTCCTAGACACCAACATGGGCGCTTTCGATGCAATCTTTGTTCAGTTTTACAATAATCAAGAGTGCGGTATTGGCGCTGGCTACCAGCGTCGCTCCCAGGGCCCATCTGCGCGTCGCTCTGGGCTCCTTGGTAACTTCAATCTTGCTCATTGGTTGACATTGGCTGGTGAGAGCAATACCGAGACGAACAGTAACTTCAAAGTTGACGCTGTAACGGCCCCCGGGTCAGGCGGCAAGTCAAACAAGCCGAAGATCTTCGTTGGTGTTCCCGGTGGCACCGCGGGAACTGAGACTCCTAACAGCGGGTATGTCGATGTGAATACCCTGAAGCAGGCTATTCAGGCTGTGACTTCTACTGGGAGTGCGAACTTTGGTGGTGTTTCGATTTGGAGTCTTCAGGTTGCTGTTAGTAATGGGAATTTCCTTGCGAATGTGAAGAGTATGCTGAATAGTTGGACGTCATGAGTGTGAGAGATTGGTGTTTGATCACGGCGTTTAGGATGCATGCTACTATATCATGGACTAGAAATGGCGTTTTGAGGTTGCTGGTATTCAAATCTTCCTGAGACTTTCTTCACGTAGCGTCTACTCTCTCAAACTGGTAGACGGTCTAGGAAACTCTTTTCATATTGCCGACAACATTCCGAAACTCCAGATACTCTCAAGATCGCAAAGACTCAAACTGTCTTGGGGAGGTCTAGTTGAACTGTTGAACACAGATGGGGCACAAGACCGCTAGACTAGAAATGCACCATGGGCAACAGGTTTAATCATATCGGTGCCTTAACTAACTAGTTAACTAACTAGTTGTAGTTACCTTAAAACTCTTACAACTTCCTTCACGGAAAATGAACCCGAAATACGAGAGCCCTGATAGGATCTGTTGGTTAAACCCTGGGCACCACACAGCTTCCTAAAATAGTATTAGTATTCCACAATACTGTACACGGCATGAGACTATAGTTTGTACAGACAATTCAATCAAGGCCACTTTTCAAGCGAAACAGCCCACTTCTCGCGAAACTCCTTCGCTTTCTCGTCTTTCAATCCCCAGGCACATATGACTTTCTCCTCCAATTTTAAACCCCACTCTGTCTGAACTTGTAGCGTAACCATTCCGGTAGAAAGATCTCTCTTAAAGCGCAACCACTCATGGCTCCCACTCTCGCCAACTGCGCCTCGGAATGAGTGCTTCAAGCTCCGCAATCGCGGCATTCGCTGTACCGCGAGACCAATGGACTCATAAAGCTGGTTGACTGGGTCGCTTTTGAGGATGCCACGCCTGGCATAATGATCGAGATCGTATTGCCATCCATCGTACGAATCATCATCCAGCTCTCCTTCCCAGTCTGTTTCAGGATCGTTGTCGATTATCCATTTGCCTTACATATCAGGTTAATAATAATGCTGCAGATTACTACCCAGAAATGGACATACCGTCGGGTGCATGCGGCGGGACCTCTAAGACTTGCAGAACCTCCAATTTCGGCCAGACAAGACACGTCGGGTCGACCTCCTCTTCCAACGTGGGCCAAAAAAACGATTTGCTGATTCTTACCTCGTCGAGGCGTAGCTCTCGGAGTCTTAGACTGAGAGAGCGAAAGGAGATAGAAAATTCGTCTAAGCCTCGTTGTGATAGATAGTTGGCGGCATCACGAGCGGGATTTATGGAGAGTTCGCGGTTATGTCTAATTGCAAAGGTGAACGTTTCCGTTGATTCCGGAAGAATTAGAAGATGATCGGCAACCTCTGTGCGGCGTGAGTCGTGGTTATAACGTCTATAATATCAACATGACAGAAAGTAATTACCGTACCTTGTCGTTGATCAGTCAAACCCCGCAGCGCTCTGGGCTGGAGTGCCCCTCCCTCTCCGCCAGAAATATGCCGAACATGGGGCAGGCGACTAAGGATTTGGAGGAATGATAACGGTCGAAGATTGGTGTTATCAGCATGGAGTAATATCAGGCTAGTGACCTGCGGTAAAGGAGGTAGCTTCTGGATATCCTCGGTATTCAGATACACCTGATGTGTGGCGTTACCTGTTTCCCACAGTTGGTGGTAATCCAGAGATTCCCATTGTTCCTGTGTGATATTGCTAACGCTGTCCTCTACCTGATTGTATATATGATCACTGAACCAAAGCGATAATTCGATATTAGTTTGGCTATCTTTCCACGTATGGAGAAGCTCAAATAGATCACGCAAGGAGGCTTGACATTGCCGGTTATACTGCTCGGAATATATTTGTGCATTGTACGCTCCATCTGCGACGGCCTTTTCGCGTAGTTCATCCCAGTTTATCTTGGGCTGCCAGAGAAGGCGTTGAATATAAGCTACTCTCGCGCGCCGGTCCGCGGTCCCAGATGTAAACGCCTTCAGCTGTGCAAGCCGACAACCAGCGTCATTGATACGAAGCTGTCGCTGCCAGATTAGGCGCTCCACGATTGCCTGCCACTGGCGAGAGACGGTTGCGTATGGGGCTAGCTTAGCACACTCATCGTTCCTAAACACACTTCGTTTTTTCTTCGGGGGTGGGATATCTCTTATGATGGTGAGGATAATATAAATCACGTCTGATGGGAGTGATAACATCTTGTTTGCAAAACGTCCAAGCGATAGGGACTCTGCGTACTAAGCAGGCAATCACAATCCTAGAGCACCTAATCAGCTTATTGGGAGAGCCTTACTTGTGATAGAGCTCGGGAACGAATGAAAGTCGAAGTATTTGACACAAGCAATGAGGAAAGAAGAACATCTTTGCATACCGTGGTGAGCTCTTTACTGCATACGAACAGCCTTTGTATTATGACTGGCGAGCGACAAGGGCTGCTGGAAGAAGGAAGGAAATAGTGGCTGGAGACTACTACGCAAAAGTTTTAACAACACCCCGAGGACCCACTTCCCTACCGCCCACGCTAGTATATACCGCTTTCCTAATAGGCGTACATAGTAAGAAACCACGCTAGGATATACGCAACGCGATATATCCCCCAAAGAGATCCTCAAAAAGGCAGAGCATAGTGTTATAAGTAATGCAGGAGGATACCTAGGGTTATGGGGTATTCACTAGACAAGACGCCTGGCTTCGATGGCTGTAGAATGATTGTCGTATGGCCTATTGCGTTACGTGCCTAGGAGTCCACTAATTGTATATTGTTCGCTAGTAAATCTGGTTCTGCTTATTTTATCTGTAATCTCGGTGCGCGTAAAATAGTAGCCATTTCCTACGTCGTGCTAAGTATCTTAGCGTATAATCGGGTATTATTTATGACGGTTAGTCGCAGGCCGTTTCTGGCTCCAGTTCCGAAATGCTTTCCTCGGAGCTTCTACATTGCATAAACCTGATCGGATCCATAGGCGAGCTCATTCCAGTTATTGATGACATACTCTCTTGCATATCTCTTATCACCATGCCGGTAGGAGATCTAGCTCCACGATCCATGCTGGTTGTATTGGTAGAGCTTCCTCCCCTTTGATTGCAGCATTCACAAAAAGGGTCTGCGAGCCCATATTGAGCGGGCTTGGATCAGAACAACAATGGCTGGTGGAGAAAGCCCCCGCAGGAAACTGGGCTACCTTTTTCCGCATTGTAGATAATTTTTCTATTGTTATAGATTTCTCGTTGTCGATATCAGTTAAATGCGAAGGCTTCGCACTCGGTTTCTGGCGCCAAGTGATGAGCTTGGCTCCCCAGCCTTCATGGATGTGACCAAAGCAGTGCATACGAGGCCGAGCTCGGGCTATCGCTTCGAAAAGTAAAGGGCACCCTGCTCGCTCAGCAGAGTGAGTCATATCCATTACACCTTTCGGGGGACCATGGGTAATAGCAACATCGACATTATGAATTGAAAAATCGTGGCCTTGATCAGGGTGGTATTGGAATCCCCAATCACCTAGCGAGGGCGTATATGGGCTAGCATAGACTCTTAACATTGCGCCATTCCTTAATCGAAATTCGTGAGTCCCTTCGTCAAGGAAAGTAATTCCAACTCCTCGGTCAAATAGTTTCTCGCCTCGCCTTTATAGCCATACGTCTGTTGGACCAGGGTAGGATCCAAAGGTGGTTTAACGTCAGCCACTTTCCTTTGGAAGGCAGGGATATCCATGGTGAAGTCGTGGTTTCCAGCTATTGCAATTTCGAGCGGTGCGTTGATAGTATGGAGGAGTCGAATAGAAGCTTTGTATTCCTCAAGCTTGGACTCTGTGGTCAGGTCTCCAGAGTGGATGACGACGTCTACCTGATGGTCCGGGGTGGTATCCTTTGCAAGCGTCTCGAGGCCATGTGTGTCGGAAATCACGAAAAACCGTGTTTTAACAGGGCGCTGGCGATCTGCCATCGTGAAGTAAAATATTGGATAAGTTAAGCGACGTGAAGAAATTTAGGGTATTCAGGAACAGGAACCACTTCTGGTAAGTCACTTTCGAACTTGAATGCTATAGCGGCAGCAAGGAGCGCGAACTAGCGTGTGAAGAGATGAATGGTAAAGAGCGTGTATTGTGAAGGAAGCTACTCCGTTCATACCTGCTACTAGCTAATCTAACTAAGGTAACTTCCGTAGTAGGTAGTTACCTAACCTTAGAGATCCATGACAGGACGGGATGACTCAGACAGCACTCACTTGCAACATTGAAGTCTAAAGAACTGGCCATTACATGATGCAGCATCATCACTCCGTTAAGGGACTAGTACTAGGTATCTTCCCCCAAAGAGAGATACTTACTATGGATATGTAGGAGGTGCCACCAACAGGTCAGCCCATGACAAATTAGAAAACAAATAAAATATCTGAGTAGTGACCGAAATAAAAGATAGTAGTATTAGAACTCAGTGGGTGAGAATAGACATGAGAAAGAGTGAAAGCTTTTTATTTTATTACTCAAGTACATCGGAGTGCCTTGTCTATTCTTTCCCTATTAAAATCTACGAATGCATGTCAGATCTGATTGTAAGGAACACTATTTTAGTATACATTGTCTGAAGCACTGCCCTTCTTTCTCTCCTCCTCCTCCTCTCTCCTCATATGTTAAATTTATCAACAGAGAATGCTCCGCCCCCACTCAAGGCAGACCAGCAGTAATGGACAGTAGTGGACCTTTGCGCTGATCAGGCCTCCCGTCAGCCACCATGATGGTTTTCAGGGTCTGATCAACCGTCGTCATCGATATCATCATGGACAAACGATATAGAATATTCGCCTTCATATTTATGCTACGTCGAGAAATATAGTTAGGTTCAATGGCATGTACTCTTTAAAGTACAAGAACAAACGTCACTGACACCTTTTTATGACCTGTGTTGGAGTGATATGCCCAGCCAAGGGATGCCAAGACAATAACAAGATAAATCTTGGAAAGATCTACAGGTGGCTCCAATCACAACAAACAGCGCCCCGTATCCCCAAATATGGAATGGAAAACGTGTTGGGAGAATTGGTGAGATGAATCACGTAGAGCTGCTGATCTTGGTTATAATAAATATTGTTTCCCCCTTCTCAATTGACATCCACTTCATCGACGATCTAGTGACTTGGAGCAACCTCCATTGTTACAACATGTATCGTGTACAGAAAAGCCTAGCTTTATTACTGAGCTTGGCAACAGCAATCGGCGGTTCCGTTGTTCACGATGATGACTCTTTCCAGCCGGATCATATCCTCCGAGTAACTGCCCAGAACTACACGGAAGCATGCAACACTAGATATTCAGTCCTTGTCAACGGAACCTCCCCCGGGCCCGAATTGCGTTTGAAGGAGGGCCAAGTGAGTTGGATTCGTGTCTATAATGACATGAAGGATGACAACACCACAATAGTAAATTAGCAAAAAAAATGATCGATTGAAAACTTCTCACTGATAGCAATTGATAGCACTGGCACGGCCTTACCGCGTTTACTGCCCCTTTCTCTGATGGTACCCCAGCGGCTAGCCAATGGCCGATTCCTGCGGGCCACTTTTTCGACTACGAAGTCAAACCCGAAATTGGTACAGCAGGGACCTACTTCTACCATTCCCATGTCGGCTTCCAGGCGGTCACTGCAAAGGGCCCCCTGATTGTGGATTCGAAGGATGACCCACCGTTTCATTACCATGAAGAGCGTACGATTATACTATCTGACTTCTTCAACGAGACTGACAAAAAGATTATCGATGGATTGACTTCCACTAACTTCACATGGAGTGGAGAGACCGGCGCCATCCTTGTAAATGGAAAAAGCCGCCAGGCAACCAACAGCACAGGCTCATGCCAGTTGGCCTCGATCTGCATTGAACCGGGCTTGTCATATCGCTTAAGGTTTATCGGGGCTACTGCTCTGTCATTCGTTTCGCTTTCCATCGAGAGTCACGACGTGTCGATTATCGAAGCAGACGGGCATTATACCAAACCGCTCAACACCAGTTTCTTGCAGATCGGCAGTGGCCAGAGATACAGCGTACTCCTCAAGGCCAAGTCGGAGGCGGCGTTGAAGAAAGCTGGGAAACGGCAATTCTACATCCAAATCACCACACTAGAGAGACCTAAGACCCTGACAAACTATGCCGTTTTGCATTATTCAGGCGGGACACCGGCAGATCTAACGACTGTTCCTTCGTCCCCGCCCCTTCCTACAGCGAAGACAGTCCAAGGGTGGCTTGATTACAAGCTAGAATCTCTGCACCCAGACCACGCCTTTCCTACTCTGAATGAAGTGACCCGCAGAATAATAATCGACGTGCACCAGAATGTTAGTGACCATGTTATTTGGCTGCAGAATGGATATGACTGGGTCCAAAGCTTCCCACAGTCGCCATACCTGGTTGATATCTACACGGGGAAGCTTAATACGGATGAAGTATACCAAAGAGCAATTAGCCGGGGCCATGGATTCGACAATATTACACGGACATTCCCTGCTCAGATAGGAGAAGTCCTTGAAATCGTCTGGCAAAACCAAGGAACATTCACGAACGGAGGTCTAGATGCTCATCCATTCCATGCGCACGGCAGACACTTCTACGACATCGGTGGAGGAGATGGAGAATACAACGCTACCGCAAACGAAGAGCGATTAAAGTCTTCTCGCCCTATGCAACGCGATACTTCCATGCTATACCGGTACCGCGAGAAAACGAAGCCTCTCGCGCCTTCTGGGTGGCGCGCCTGGCGGGTTAGAGTGACTGATGCCGGCGTGTGGATGTTCCATTGCCATGTCCTTCAACATATGGTCATGGGCATGCAGACTGTTTTTATATTTGGGGATCGAAATGACGTTATTGCTCAATCTGATCCTGTTGATGCTGGGTATTTGACATACGGTGGCTCGGCATATGGGAACACAACGCATTCTCCTGTCGTGCGGCATTATTTTGGTTGAAGAACTTGGATGTATATACATGAATAGCATAGGGCCTGGAAATTAATTTAGAAGGAACGTATACTATTTTATCACACGGCTCTGGAACGCTTCTAAGTCGTACATATCGGACAACGTCAAAATCCACTGCTTCACTAGGAACTCCTTTTTCGCGTCGTTGCTACTCGAGTCAGCCTATTAGGCTACAGTGACTGGCTAGTTAGGATTTCTGGTTGGAGAGGTCTCCCGTTGTGATTATGAGGACCGAGAACCAAGGTTGTCTTTTTAGGGGGTTTTTGGATAGGATAATAGGGTTCCGAGAGGAGCTGGTCATGTTTCAAATCAAAGCTTAATGCATGAGGTATATACTAAAGCCGGTAGTTCGCCGATCGGTATCCTTGCCCAACGGCGGCAACAGCGGCGGCTCTTCCTCGACCCTTGTACGGGCTTGCAACCCAATCTCAGAATTTGATCGAGGGCGTTGAGTAGTTACACCGCGGGGGGAGGGGGAGTATCATGTGATATTGAATTAGTATCAAGGTTGTTCACAGCCCCAGGAGTTGTAGCGCTGGCAGGCTTGAACTCAACTGTGACCGTTGTTCGGTATAGCACATATCTACGGAGTTGCGCGGGTAGATCTACACAGAAATAAGAACCAAAGGTGACGCCATAAACCGGGTTCAAGCACATGGCGCGGAGCAATAGCCAACAATCTCCGATGCTAGTGGATCTTTAGTTTTGACCGCGACCGCTCCCCGCGACGGGAGAATGCATGATGACGGCAACCTGCACCGGACGAGTCAGCTGAGAGGACTCGAAAGCAATCATCTGAACAGCATCAGACAGCTCAAAGCCCGACAATCAAGCCCGGTGAGACCACAGTACGAAGACCAAGCACGGCCATGGCGTCGCGAGGCGGTTCCGACATTCGAGTGTGTACCCAACCGGAATCTGGGGATGGCATAATTATGGCTTGGCTTGTCGTTTCAGGAATGGGCCGAGTGCAGATGATGAGGCCCCGCTGGAGCTTTCTTTTGCTGGGCAGTGCTGAGGGGTGAGTATTGAGTAGATCTTGGGGCCATTTGGGATGTGCGATCGCCCGTTATCTTGCGTCTGTTGCGCAAATAACATGGATCGCCGCGTGAACACTTTCTCGTGACTGGACCAGTAAGACATACACCGACGCCATTGTGCTTGGAGAGGGTCGGGTTGGCTGAAAACGTGCACAAGCAGCATAACCATCGGACTCCGAGAGTGTGGATCGGTGGAGATGCGACCGGTCAAACCGTGTAATCTGGGGGCTGTGGCTTAGGATGGGAGGGGAAGGAGGATAGGAGAGGCAAGAGTTGAAGAGACAGATATTCTTCCCATTGATAGAAGAATAGCCATAGAATTGATAGAGAGAGAGAGAGATCTTGCGTGAACCAGAATTGTCGAACTTCCTGCAGGGATTCTCCGCGACCGTTGAAGAGACGAAAGGGGAAAGGAATGAGTTGATTTGCGAGGCTCACCGCCTATTGGATCCCCGCAGCCACATGGAGACGATCCGCGACTTTCTTTTTTGGTTTCGCCCGTGACTTTTGGAACGTCTCATCCTTATTGATGACTTCCCTCCTTTCTTTCCTCATATAAACACCGCCGTGGCTGTTTGCCCCCTTTTTCTTTTCCCTTGACTTAGTCCCCACACGAGCTATGCCTGCGACGGGTGCCAGTCAGTTGCCATTGCTTGGGTTCTACCGCATGCGCTGATTTGCCCCCCCCCCCCCCTTCCCCCCCCTTCAGACACAACCCTGCCCCTTACCTGGTCAGCTTATTGAAGAGAATCCGAGATCCCGAAATTACGGGCCTCGATTTGAATTTTGGGCGGCATTCCCTTTGCATTCTGGTGGTTCCTTTCGGAGCTTATCGAGGATTATCTGTGTGGTTTGGATCCGTGCATTAGCTGGCGTTGATTGGGGATAGACGTGAGTTTTGTCCTTATAACAGCTTCTGTCCTTTTGTGATAGAGCTCAGATGAACAGTCCAGATATGAGAATAAACTCGGACTAATCATGTTCTTATCACAGTTGCGCACCTACTTTCATCACTACATACATCGCATACACTTGTTCTGGGGGTCTTCGGAAATGGAGTCCTCGGAGGAATCGATGCCTTCTACCATGGCTGAAAACAAAGGAAGGAATCCGGTGCCCCGAGAAAGCGCCCCTCGATGGAGACGTTTCTTTGGCGGAAGATCCAATGACGATGACGACAATGAGGAAGAAACCTACCGAGCAAGGTCGACTTTGGGAATTCTAAGTGATAAACAGACGGACGAAGTACCTGGTAAGCAAAAGTCTATCAGTGGATCATCTCTAAATCCAGCCCGAGGAATCATTGCTGACCTTTGACCCTTTATCACAACATAGGAACGATTCTTCTGCTGTCTTCTAATCGCAATGAGCCTCTGGGAATGAGGCATCAGCCCCGACGAACATCAACCTCATCAATTCACTCCTCCGCTCCCCCTTCCCGATCTTCCTCTCGGTCTGTCGCTCCCCAGAAGAAACGAACGGCAGATGGACAGATAGTCCTTGAACCACAGCCGGACGACTCGGTGAACGACCCGCTCAATTGGCCTGTGTGGCAGCGAGACGCGGCACTGTTCTCCTTGGGCTTTTATTGTTTGATGGGAGGAGGTATGACCACGATCCTGGCGGCTGGTTTCGACGACGTGGCCAAATCCTACGATGTGACCAAGCAGAAGGTGGCATACACTACCGGTCTGTATATGATGGGTCTTGGCATTGGATCCGTCATCATGTCCCCAACGGCCATTCTGTTCGGCAAGCGGCCCGTCTATCTGTTGGGCGCCGTTCTTTTCATTGTGTCTGGCGTCTGGTGTGCCCTTTCACCCAATTATCCAAGCCTGGTCGTGGCTCGTATCTTCCAAGGAATCGCCGTCAGTCCGGTGGAGTGTCTTCCTTCTGCCACGATTGCAGAGATCTATTTCCTGCACGAGCGTGCATACCGGGTTGGTGTCTATACCCTTTTGCTCCTCGGTGGAAAGAACTTGGTTCCATTAGCTAGCGCCGCCGTGATTGGCAGTTTAGGCTGGCGCTGGGTATTCTGGATTGTTTCGATGATTGTCGGTGCATGTTTCTTCCTGTTGTTTTTCTTTGTCCCAGAAACTTTCTGGGATCGCACCCCTCGGCCACGCAAGCACCACAAGCGCCCTCACATGGGTAGAACCGTGTCTGGCCTTGTCTCACATGGTTTCCGTGGTCGTCGCCCACATCTTGAGCTTCCCAATGAGTCTACCGAGGCCAAGGTGGAACCTGCGGCTGATGTGCCACCAACTCCAAGAAAGGAGAAGCATGCTCATTTCACCTTTACGGACGAAGCAGGTAACGAGAAGGAGGCCCATCAACCGATGGAAGACCCTACAATCCCCGGAAATGTTTTAGGTCCCGTCGTCGATGACAATATTGTTACCGAACCATCTACCCGAGCCGCCGAGCGGAGCGATGGTTTTCTTCAGCCACCTGCCTCAGCGTTCGTGGCACCCCAAAGCCCAGGGGAGATCGAAGCTGCATGGCGAGCGGCCCCGTCACCTTCACGTAGCGAATCTCACTCACCGGGGATGCAACTGCCGGCCACCCAGCAGTATACCAACAGGCTTCGCGATCGCCCTAAGATTCCCTATTCCCAATTGCTGAACGTGTGGAATGGCCGTATTGCCCAGGATAAGTGGGTCAAGGTTGCTATGCGACCTTTCATCCTATTCGCTTATCCCGCCGTGCTCTGGTCATCCGTCGTGTATGCTTTGTCAGTCGGCTGGTTGATTGTGCTTTCCGAGTCCGTTGCAGTGATCTACGAAAGCTCCGACCACTACGGTTTCACCGCACTTCAGACTGGTTTGATCTATATCTCGCCGTTTATTGGTGGCCTGCTCGGCACGGCCGTGGCAGGCAAGGTGTCGGATATCGTCGTGCGATTCATGACACGCCGTAATGGCGGTATCTACGAGCCCGAGTTCCGTTTGATCATGGCAATTCCTATCGCGCTCTCTACGACTATCGGATTGATGGGCTTTGGCTGGAGTGCACAGCTAATGGATGCATGGATCGTGCCTACGATCTTCTTTGGACTCATTTCGTTTGGTTGCTGTCTAGGCAGTACTACCGCCATCACATTCTGTGTCGACAGCTATCGCCAGTATGCTGGAGAGGCTCTCGTTACTCTGAATTTCAGTAAGAGTATGTATCACCCCCCTCGGTTCCCTCCTCGGTGCCATTTCTAACATGTGTTTCAGATGTCCTCCACGGCCTTATCTTCTCCCTCTTCATCGTCAGTTGGCTCCAGTCCGATGGTTCACGGACTGTGTACCTGGCCATTGGTGGTATCCAGCTATTCTGTCTCTTGATGACAATCCCGATGTACATCTACGGCAAGCGGGCACGCATGTGGACTGTGCGCAAGAGGCTGATGGAACGTTTTTGATTTACATGGTTGATTTTCTTAAGATTTTTGGCATGAACCGCATTTATACAAGACCTATCATGAGGGATGATTAACAAATTTCCTACTATCCATTTCTTACCAACTACAGTATCTTGAATAACTGTAACTACTGCCAGCGAGGAATGTGGATGTCATTGACGCGCACCACTTTTGGAAAAGTTCAGAATCCCCCGGCGCTGTTTCAGTTGCTTGACCCGCATCTTCAGAGATATCAGATCGGATGCCTAAGCTGCCGCACGCGCATACTGTGCGGACTCTGCGGAGCCGCTATTGCCATGTGGCCTGCGCAGCTTAAATCCACTACTGAAAACATTTCGGACCTTGTAGACATTCTCGGCCACAGCCAAGACCGGGAATATTTTCGTAACGCGCGAGCAATCCCGTTATGTTCTCATGATAAGTTTTCTTGGCACGGCCCATGGATTTCTCCGACATTATACCGGTCCCTCCAACTAAGCCTAAGGTGCTAATCCTTGCGCAGATTAGGTTAATGCGCCGGCCCAACCATCTAATCAGATCGAAAACTCCGCTATGCCGAGACCGGTGAGCTGTGGGCGTTGGAGCTCTTACGTGTTTTATTGGAAGAGTGTGATGTCTTGCTCCAATTTAAGGTTGTCGGACGATGGCCGTTATCTGATCTTACGATCCACTTGAGCTATTTTCTCCCTTGCTGGAATTTTTCTTGGCTTGCGTTGGGGTCTTACTGGTAAGACTCTTGTATAAGTAGTGATGGCGGGCTGATTATTTTTGTCTTTGAACCCTCTGCTCCCTTTTTTTCTCCTGCCAATTTGTGGACAAGATTTTCACGGCTAGACGTGATGGCAGATAAAGAGATGGTTTCCAAGTCGGTGATGGATGTGGTGTCGACTCCTGCCGTGGATGAGGACCAGAATTCAGCGATTGTCTCGGATAAGGGGTCGGTCACTCAATCCGATGATGGCAAGAAGGCACCCCCGTTGGCGGCGAAGCTCTTTGCTGTACTGTTGATTTCTTGTATCAGCTTTGGATCGCATTGGAGTTCTGGCGTGACGGGCGCTATGAAGAGCACGATCAAGAAGCAGATGCATATTAACAATGTGCAATTCTCGCTTTTGGAAGCAAGCGAGGATTTCATGGCAACTGTTTTGCTGATTCCGAGTGGTTTGGTGACTGATAGGGTTGGTGGTGCTGGTAAGATTCACTTCCATGACCTCAGAAGTTCCAGGGCTAATCATGGTCGAAGAAATGATCGTGTATGGAAATATTGTGTATACGATCGGATCGATTCTTGTTGCTGCAGCCACGACTGTGCGCTCTTTTAATTTCATGATTGGAGGACGAGTGATTCTGGCGCTTGGAGATATCGCCACGCAGATCGCACAGTACAAGATGTTTTCATCCTGGTTCGCGCCTAGTAATGGGTTTGCGTCGACTCTTGGATTTGAATTGGCTATCGGAAAGGTCTGGTGACACATTGGCGATCTGGAATGCGAGGACCTCCGGCTGATATTTGATTAGATTGGCGGCTTTGTCGGTAAATCCACGGCCAACGTGATCGCAAAGGTGAGTTGATTGCATCTGCAACCCGAGAATCTCAAATCTCGAGGCTAATATGTTGTAGAAAACTGGAAACTTCGCTTGGGTCTTCTGGACTGCCGTGTTCATGAACCTGTTCACCAATGCCGCCACGGCCGTGTTCTGGTTCTTCAGTCGGTATTGCAACAAACATTATAATGGACGTCGCGACACTGCAACCAACGAGCAGTTGACCGAGAAAAACAAGAAGTTCGAGCTCCAGAAGGTCTTCCAGCTACCTTGGATGTTCTGGGCAGTGTTGGCTTTCTCGTTGTTCCAGACTAGCACTGCTTCGACTTTCAGTCAGAATGCGACTGAGTTGGCAGAGCAGCGATTTGACGTCGGCTCGATCCAAGCTGGATGGTACAGTTCTTTGTCTCAATATGCTGGTATGTCGGAACAGACTGTGATTGCAATCCGAGCCGAAACTAATTCATTATCCAGGGTTCTTCCTCGTTCCTTGTCTGGGTGTCTTTATTGATGTTCTCGGACACCGTGCTTCTGTCTGTAAGTGGACATGCATTTTCTCTGCTAAACCTTGCGACTAGACATACTGATTCGTATTAGTGTTTACCTGCGGATTGGGTATGTTTTTGAGTATGGTCCTGCTCAATTTCGCGCCGTCCAGAGCGGGCACTGGTGCATCCTTTGGTATATACGCGATCGCCGTGTCTATGGGCCCGACATCCATTATCGACAGTATCCGAACGACTCTTTGGCACCAGTCTGTCTTTGGATCTGCTTACTCGCTCAAGGTCACCATGAACAATGCGTAAGTCAGGTTCTAACGTCTGCTATCTGCGAGAAACCTCATCACTGACACATGGCGTAGCATGAACATTATCATTCGCATCATCACTGGCGCGTTGCAGGATGCAGATGACAACTCGTATCGTCGTGTGGTCCAGGTCTACCTCTTCCTCGCAGCCGCCTCCGTTGTCGTCGGCTCCGCAATTCTGATCGGCTCATTTTTGACGAACAACCTGGGCATGTTGCAATGGACGCGACACAAGCGCTTGACATCCGGTGCCGAGATCATTCAGGGTCTTAAGGAGCGCAGCCTCGTGGCGCATGCCCAGCGTACCCGGCGCGTGTCCGTCGGATGTTTCGGAGCCCTGCTGCTCTTGATACTTGGGGGTTGGGTGGCGTATATCTGGGGTGCCGTGACGGGACATAACTCGTAGTCAGGCGGCAAGTGTTGTCTCTGTATACAGCGGTCATTTGGCGGGCCTTCCGTCATTTGACGAATCCAAAAAAAGACTTTCAATGATGAACCACTAAGCGAAGCCCTAATGTTATATACTTTCATCATTCATGAGCCCTTTCCCCGTTCCATTATCCACAAGTGGGGAGGATCGCCTTTGCGTTCGTAGCTGCGGTACCTGTCCCGATGTATCCTAAAGTGGTGGATGTTGCCACCGCCACCGCGTCACGACTGACATGCGCCACAAGCGCCGTCCCGCGAATGGAAATCGACGTTGAAGCTGTGGGATGAAGCATCCTGACCTCTCAATGACGCCTATGACCTTTGAACTGGTCTGTCAGCGAGATGGAGAATCGTCATACTACTCTCGAAGCAGGCGGAAATAGTTCGAGTAGTGCATGAGCGCCTCTTTACCGCGTGGCTGGGATTTAGCCTTCACGCCTCTATCGAGGGGAAATATCAGCCACAACGCCCAGGTCGTTCATGACTGGATACACCATTTCAAGGAGGAGTCGATGTTGGTCCACCTCCAGTATCAAACTGGGAAAATGTGGAAAGTCGTGCCTGGGGGATCAGACCGATCGATGGCCTGAGGCCAAGATCTCCAATGTGATTCGCATTTGATTCTCATCGCCACTCCACCCCAACCCACGCTTCCCTGCTGTGCCTTCCACCTCGTCGTCCACTGCCAGTCCACTATCAATGCATCGCCATTCCACTGCCCCTTCACAGCTTCTACGCTCGGGCTATGGATCGCCTCCTCCCCCTCCAATGGCGCCGCGCGGCCAGGGTCCAACGCTGATGCTCCCACATATGCCCTTTCTGGGCAATCGATGCCCCGCTTCCAGGGCAGGGAGCCTCTAGCTGATGGGAGCGGTGGAGAAAGGATATACAACCGATCGAGTCACATTGCAAAGTGGCCCCCTCTCACAAATCATCTCATCTGGACTATTTCTCCCCTTGCTGGTCGCTGCCATGGTCAGTCCTGTCTCCACCTGACACTTCTTGAGATCCTGTTTGCCGCGTGCTTGTGGCCGAAACAACCCCCTTCTCTGGGTTTCCCTTGGTTCTAGTCTCTCAGCGCTGCCGCTGCTATTTATGAGAATCTCGTGTCACATGGTGCTGGTGGGGGTATATCGTCTGGGCTTGTCCACTTTTTTTTTCCTGTTCCAACAACTCCCTTTTTAGCATTCGATCGTCGTTGGCCACCGCTCAAGGGCTGGCCCATTCGTGCCCGGCGCACTTTGTCGGCTAACAAACTTTCCAACAGTCGCCCACGACGTTGCCTCGCGAATCTTCATCTTTGCTTTCAACCCAACACCTTCTTGTCGTTGCGACTTCGGCCTTGCGCACACACAAACGCGAATAATCGGAGTTGTGATAGCCCCCGCTCCTGTCCGGTACTCAGGGACCCCGGGTCCAAGGATGTGCAATTGTATCCTGACTTCTCCGGGGTTAACGGTACACCATGGAGCCCTCTAGGACACATCAGAGTGTTGCGCACAAAGCGGATCGCAGGGTGAGAGAACTTTACCGCTATTATCAGCCTGCTGGCCCCTCCGGCTTGATTCCCTCTTGGCTGCCCCCGGGTGAAGATTTACCGTCCTCTGGCTCTGCAGGGACCCCGAGCACCCCGGCTGCTGGCGATGGCTCGACACAAGGCAGCAGTAGTGCCACCTCGCGCCCATCCACTGCGGTAGGCCCAGAAGCGCTCGTGCTGGGTTCGACCAACAATACCTTGACTTCATTTGCGCAACTTGCGGCACTGCGTTTGAACGCAGAGCGCGCTTTTATTGTCGTTCTTGATCGAGACCGCCAGTATATTCTTGCGGAGGCTACGAAATCGGTCAATTTAAATGATAAAAATGTACATGACCACAAGGATAACCTTTGGATTGGATCAACCGGAAGTCGCAGGGCATGGAGCTTATGCCAGGTGAGTATCAGGGATTCGGTGATGCGCTGATCTTTCTAGAGCGCCCCCACCCTTCGGAAGCCCTTGAATTCCATTGACCGCTGACTTAACATTACAATTTTATAGGAAACTGCTGCTTTACCCCCATCTGATCGCGAAAACCCCCATTACGAACATCTTATAGTCAATAACCTGGCGGAACACGACCGTTATAGCCAGCTACCTTTTGTTGCAACCGACCCGAATTTTCGATTCTTCGCGGGAACGCCGTTGACGACGGACAATAACATCAATTTGGGATGCTTTTTCGTGATGGACAAAAATCCCCGAAATGGCTTGACATCGTTGGAAAAGGATACCCTCGGATCGCTGTCGACATTGGTGATGGATTATATGAAAATTTGTCGACAGGCGTCCGAAGGCCGACGAGCGGCACGCCTTTCCAAAGGGCTGAGCTTTTTCGTTGAAGGAAGCTCGAGCTTCATCGACAGTGTCGATTCATCCCGCGCAGATAGTTGTCCTCCGCATTCTGTAACGCCAGCGTCCACAAATAATCGTATCAGCATGTCCGGGGGATCTCGTGGGAGTCACAATTCTGACCGGCCTTCCCACGAGGTATCGCATAGCCCACCGAATGACCGATCTCTCAGCAGCGATGCCCGATCCATGAGTTCCGGTGTTTCGGGCGCGTCGTTCTCGAAAGAGAATACGGGAACTTCTGGCGCGGCTAGTTCGCTCCCGGAGTGGCTCACTAGCAGTAGCCGCAATCGACTGCCCCCTGACGATTCGCATGGTAATTCGTGGTGCTTCCGTCGTGCAGCGAACCTCCTTCGTGAAAGTCTCGATTTGGATAACGATGGTGGTGTTATCTTCTATGAAGCCACCAACAACAACTTCATGGATGGGGATGGTGGAAGTGACTGCTCTGGTAGTGATACGGGTGGCCCTGCAACGATTCTATCCATGTCTACCAACGAAGATCCTTTCTCGCCTCGAGCCGGATCGGCGGTTACGTCTCCAGCGGCAAATCTGGATCGGTCATTCCTTAGCTTGATCCTTCGGCGATATCCAAGAGGCAAGTTGTGGTCTTTCCATCGTGATGGCATGATCTCAACATCCGATGATGATGATCAGAAGCCTCGCGATGGGGGAACACCGTCTACCAATCGTTCGCCCCCTGGTGCTCCGGCTATCGATGTCACAAAGCCGCTGGGCAAGAAGAAGAAGGCTGTGGAGAATTCTTGGCTCAATCAGTACTTCCCGGGCGCTACGCAGATCATGTTTGTACCCCTGTGGAATGCAGTAAGCTCACAGTGGTTCGCTGGTTGCTTTTGCTATACGACTCTCGAAACCCAAGTGTTCTCTTCTTCCGTTGAGCTAAGCTCCGTCCTTGGCTTCGGCTCGTCGGTTATGGCTGAGTATAGCCGCGTGGAATCTCTTATTGCCGATCGACAGAAGGGTGACTTTATCGGCAGTATCTCGTAAGTTGACTTCTCTCCGTCATGCCCTTATTGTTGAATCTGTACTGAATTGTTTTCTAGTCACGAGCTCCGAAGTCCACTTCATGGTATCCTTGCGGCAGCTGAGTTCTTGAATGGCACCCATCTCAACGAATTCCAAGACTCTCTTCTCGAAACAGTCAATGCTTGTGGCAGAACACTCCTCGATACAATGAATCAAGTTCTGGATTTCAGCAAGGTAGTCTCTCTGGAGCGAACTTGGCGCTCTTTGAAACGGAGGAAGGAATCCCCCCTTGATTTCAAAGGGAACGACAAGCTCGCATCTCATCTGGACTCGTACGTGGATACGGATCTTGCCATCCTGGCCGAAGAAGTTGTGGAGGGAATCTGTCTCGGTCATGCATATGGTCAAAGCTCTACCGCGTCTGCCGACCTGCCAGTTCTACTCTCTCACAATATCACGAAACATGCGGGCGCTCGCAATAATGTTGACGTGTCGATTGATGTTCAACACCAGGACTGGGTATACCGCACTCAGCCAGGTGCTTTACGTCGAATCATCATGAATATATTCGGCAACGCGATGAAGTATACCGAAGAAGGCCGAGTCTGTCTGACCCTAGAGGCTGTCAGTCATTCCGAGGGTCGTTCCCGCCGACAGGGCCTAGAAGACATGGTCACTCTGACAGTGTCAGATACCGGAAGAGGCATTTCGGAGGAATTCCTGCGCGGCAAGCTGTACACGCCATTTGCCCAGGAAGATTCTCTTGCTGTCGGCACAGGGTTGGGCCTTTCTATTGTACGCAGCCTTGTCAGGGCGCTGAACGGCCACATCCGCATTCGCAGTCGCCCCGGTGAAGGTACAATTGTCCGCGTAACCTTACCCTTGGCACGACCGGTCGGTGAAGAGAGTCCACCAGTTGAGCCGCATACCTATAACGTCCAACAGCGCGAAATCCTGACCCAAACGCTTACGCTTCGGGAAGGTTACCCTGGGAAACGGGCTGCCATTTGGGGCATCGACCCTGAGAACCTCGACCAGAATGAAACGTCGGGTGGAATCACCAAGTATCTTACTGAATGGTTTGGTATTGAGGTCGTTGCCTGGCCTTGTTCGCTACCATTGGACATCTTGATCATACGAGAGATTGATCTCCAAGACTTGCGAAAAGTTGAGCTTTCTGCAACCCTTCCTTCTCTTCTGATCCTTTGCTCCAAACCCGTGGATTACAGCATGGCGCAGTCTGAGTGGTTGCCTCTTGCTTCCTCCGTGGACATCATCAGACGCCCGTGCGGTCCCCACAAACTGGCTCGCAGCGTCTTGAAGTGCCTGCGAAACTCTCGATCTGCGGTTGTCACGCCTGCGTGCGTGGCGAAAGATCCCATGGATTCTATGGATCTCGTCATTCGACCTCCACCAATGACTTCTAGCCTTCCCTCTCCGACCAGCCCCTGCCCTATTGACGACTCTCTCCCGGATATTGGGCCTGAGAAGACAATCGGTACTGGCCCGACATCTCTGGGCGAGCTTCCTCCTGACGCCCCGTCGGTCATTTCCGCACCACCAGAAGTTATCGCTGCCGCCCCTCTCCCTCGACCACTCGGCGAAGGGGCCATTGAGACAAAGCGCCCGACACAGGTCCTCGTGGTGGATGACAACCGCATCAATCTCAATCTTATGATGACGTTCATGAAGAAGCGTCATCTTTCCGAACTTGTTGCGGCAGAGAATGGCAAGCTAGCTGTGGAGGCAGTCGAGCGGATGTCGACTGGCTTTGATATCATTTTCATGGATATGTCGATGCCGGTTATGAACGGGTTTGAAGCAACCCGTGCAATCCGCGCACTGGAGCGAGAGAGCGATGGCCGCAGGCCGGCAATTATCATCGCTCTGACTGGACTGAGCAGTTCGCGCGATGAATCCGAGGCTTTGGCTTCCGGCGTGGATTTCTTCCTTACAAAACCAGTATCTTTCCGGAAGGTTTCCCGCCTTCTGGACGAATGGGAAAGGGATGGTCTTGAAAAGGAGCGGAAACAAGAAACATGAGACGTCTATCTGATTTGATGGGCTGCGCGTGTTCCTTCGTTTCGAGGCTAGATGTGTTTTGCTCACCGTCACTCGCTTCCCAGCCTACATTGCTCTTTTTCTAGCCTTCTCGCCCAGTGGTTTCTTTCTTTCTTTCCTTTTACCCTAGGACTACCTCTATGCGTCCACCTTTTTCGGGGCCACGTTCTTTCAGATTTGAGAACCGTCATTTGTGTTATTCGGCGATTAGCTTTGATCATGTTACTATAACGTCGTCAAAATAGTCGTCGCAGACAATGCCACGGATCTTGTCATCTTTTGAACTCCCCCCACTTCTAATTTGTTCCCCCCCCCAAATTTTTATGTTACTTTTCATGATTTGAAGCGTATGATACACGACTGGGCGCATTGCATCAAGGTCGGCAGCTGGGTATACGGAAAGCTCCGACCGGCGTTATTTTGATTTCACATTTTGATTTTCTTTTTCTTTCTGCCGGGGTATCTGCTATGGTATGGCGCTTGTATGTTACGGTCTTGTTGTCCCTCGAGTTTGTTGGTATTTTCGATTTCTTGGGACTTGACGTGGTTCGGACTACACTCTGCTGAGTGTTCCATGTGTATACGATGAAATGGAATCAATGTGGATCGCTTACCCATGACGATACACTGATTAAAATATGCATTAATGCACATATTGCTTTCTATTGATTACGGGATACATGATTGGAGGCTTGCATAGTGTGGCTTCTCAACTGGATCTGTTCTGAACAGTTTTGTACTGCTAAACTTGTGTGCGGCGGACGATAAACGCCAGTTGCTCAAAACCCATAATTGGTCAGCTTATCGACCGCTTTCATAGCCGCCTTTACCCTGATGCCTTCTTCTTTAGGCCAGGGCGACGCTGTTACTGTAGTATCGATTTGACTATCCCCTTCCTTGTCGTTTCTCTTGTCGTTTCTCTTTTCTTCTATCTTCTGTAGGTTATGTGAATTCTGCCGGACTTTCTGCCTTAGAAAATTGGGTTTGAGCAATTGGCGCTTATCTTCCACCTCAACTTGTGATTAGTAGGGGAAGGACGTAGGTATTCTGGGCGCGGTTACAACCTTGGCAACATTCAAGGAACTAGTTTTGATCACTAGAAATGGCAGGGGAAGGATTCTTGCCCTTGTCAATTTGCTTGGTCATTCGTAGCATACCATGTCAATCATCCTGTCATAGTTCGCTCATGAGTATGAAACAAGTTCCTGAGTTCTCGAAGCAGCCAACGGGCTCCAAGCTGGCATGTCAAAGCTTCCCTCCCTCGGTGTTTCCATCCCAATCCAAGCCCACTCCATCTCTAGGCAATTTGACAAGATCCCAGCCGCAAAGCCATCTCGAGTCCCAGGCCTTAGCTTGCTCGCCACTAACGGGGGTCCAGTCTCGGAAACCAAAGAAGTAGCTGTATGTATTAGTGATAGCATCTTCTAAACAAAGGTACTGGCACATACACGACTTTCTTCTCAGCATCCCAGACGAGCTTCTTGGGTCCAGGAAATGGTGAAATACCCATCTGCCGAATTTTCCTGATTGTCTCGAGATGAGCTTCCATGTCGAAACCTCCAGTAAAAGTAGCCTACTTACAAGAACGAATCGTTGAAGGCTGCCCGGATTTCCTCTCGCTCGCCTGCCTCTAAGTTCCAAAAGGCCTTCGCCCCTGAATAATCGCCAAGGAGAAGACCAGGAACGATCTGCCATGCAAGGTAGATGATGAAACCTTCTGGTACATGGCCTTTCGAGTCCTGCTTATCTTCTTTGTATCCGAGCAGTTGAGGCGTGACTTTCGAGCGTTTTTGACTGAATATCTTGAAAGCCACAACTTCCGCGGGCGAGAATGTGGTTGCTCGAGTAGCTCGCGAGGACGGTGAATCATATTCAGTACCGATGTATGGTATCTGCATGTAGACGCGCAGGATCGCTTGTTGACCGTAGACATCTTCACAGGCGTGGAATTGGTACGCCTATCTATCTATATTGCTCCTTCAAATCTTCAGGTTCGATTAACAGCATTTCCAGGGCACCTCGCACGTTTCATGAAGGAGGAGGACCTCAAATATGGATACCTCTCCAATTACAACCAGACGGTTTTCCTACGCCAAGTCTCGTGCCCAGATGGAATAGGCCTCGAATATTCCCCAGTTATCTATCACAACGAGACCTACGATGCCTCCCAAGGAATAGTTAGCTTGAGACAGGCGTTCTTTTATGTTGCGACATTGGCTATGAATGACTGGTGTTTTACCCACGACTCTAGGCTTCGACCTCGGCAAAATGCTTGAACTGCATTGAAGGAGTGTATGTAGGGAGGATTATTTGTTGACAATACTTTAATTGCTTCAATTTCTATCATGCCTAATCCCTGATGCCATCTTGTCGTGCACTGAGACTCCTCCTTCAAACAGCTTATTCGAGCAATACATTTTCGCAGCAAGATATTTATGACCTGGCGAATCCCTGCATGAGTGCACGAGCGCATTCCCGTAGTCCAGTATTTAGAGAGTAAGTCAGGAGATAATGCCTTTGAAAGATGTCTCCAATGCCTTCCTTAAGCTTTCTATGGCACATTCCCCATCGGCGTACCCGTGGACGAACTGGGCTCTATCGAAGAAGTGACATAGATTCAAAGCAATAAATGACCATATAGACTAGGAATGTCGCTCATGAAGCCTTTTTGGTCTAGCGGCATTTTGCCCTAAATTTCGTGCGACACATGGTAATTAGACACAGTCCATGGGTCCCCTGGAAGGCGAGGTGACAAACCTGTACGAGTATTTGGGCCTGGTGTTGTTATAGGCCTTGATAGCACCTGCCCACCCGAAATCCTCTCGAAGCAGAAGTTTTACTGATATCAAGAGCAGCGATCCGCTACTACTAGAGACATATCACGGCCCCCAGGATGTAATCCAGTCTGGGTGTGGAAAAATAGTGTTCCAAGCCTGGTCAAAATCCACATTGCAGTCTCCGAAGATACTTGGGATTATTAGTACAATCGCATTGGACCAGACCGTATTGAGGCACGCACCGATTATGAAAATCATTAACAGCGTCCACTCCAAGCAAGGAAGCATCGAAGTCTTGCAGGCAGTCCATGGGATCGGCACAGTCGGGGAATAAAGCCCATTCTGTAAGCTCAAATAAGACCTCGGAGATCATTGTTTCCCCGAACCCCGTGGTTGACAGCGATTGAAGGACCTTCAAGCATTTTCGTATGTTATCAAATTGTTGCTCAGCCTTTGTGAGTGCAAAAATGCAGATGAAAATCTGTAAAATATCCAATGCGTAATAGAAGTCTAGCGCAATGGTGTTAGAATGGAGGTCGTCGGTGACCATCATATGCATGATCTCTAGCATTTTCTCCGCAGAGGCGGTGCAGATATCTGTGAACTGGCTCACGGAGGGATGACACTCGGCCTCTCGTTGTCTTTTCCAACATAGCAGCTGATATAACAGAAAGGGTCTACCGATTAGCAGTCGCATGCTGTGGTATCTTAGATGGAGGACTGCGATAGCTCTGCGATGGAGAGGCGCGTTCGGGACTGAGATATTCAGATGCGATGGTATTGAATCCATCCAACCTTGCAATAAACTGAGGGTGCCCTTGACCACTGCCATTTTTGAACGATGATCTGGCATAAGAGGGTCTCTGTATAGTTGCGTACGGATACTATTTCCTAGTTGACTGAGAGTGCTGCATGTAGAGAGATACCCAGGTGGGCAGTAGGGACCAGAAGGTAGTATCTGTAGAGAGTTGTCAGAATAAATTGATATTGATTTCACGATAGTGAGATTGCCTTACCGTCTCGGACGGGAAGGGAGGAGAGCTCCAAGCATATTCCGTTGAGGACGGCTTTCCGAGCCTCAGCGATAGATCCTGATCGAGTATTGCGAGAGACCACCAAATTCGACGGGAGTGTTCCCTTTCGACGCTGCCATATGTAGAGGAATATTTGTCACAGTGGATTCCGAGTGAACATGCCATTTGAACTGCCAAGCTGCTGTACAGATAGGCCGGATTGGAAAATCCATGAGACTGCATAGCCGTTGCCTGTACATGATCGCTTGTTTAGTTGATATCAATACCGAGGCTGATAACTAGAGCTTACCAATAGCATCATAGCTCGAATACTTTCAAGGCTTGCTTCATCGCATGCCTTAGGTACAAAAGATTTCGCGTGCTCAAGGTAGTCTTTTGCTGTGGCATTCTCGTCAGAATTGTCCGTGTCCGTCAATCTCAGTTTTGCAATCGCCAAGATGGAATAGAGAGCGCATCTCCATGAAGCCGTCAACATCTCCTGTGAGACCTGATAACTTTCCTCCAGTTGAGCATGAAATCTCTCCGACGAGTAGAGCCAATAGAGACAATGAACGTCTTCAAAGTATTTCGTGGTGAGCCTCAGACAAGTCTCCCATGGCGGCAGGGCTATGGTTTGAGATGCCGGGTGTGATATTGGCAGTGGCATTGTCACTGTTACCATTGCAGGAATTAAATCAGGGCTCAAAGATGTTCGAAGACCATTTCTTTTGAAGCACCGAATAGCCGCATTGAAAGGTAGCCCCGATTCAGCCCCCATGTAGCCTATACATGATTTGAGTAACACATATTTCAACTCGTAGGTGGAGACTCACGGTATTGTCCCTGAGAGTCCTCAAGGAGACACCCTAGTTTGTGGTAAAGGGAGAGCACCTGTTGAAGTAAATTGTCTTCTGCCTCCTCATCGCTGCTATAAGTAACAGGAATACTGTCAAAACACAAATTGGGCTGCCCAATGTCCACTTCTTCATTGACGGCGGCGCTTATTGGGGGCGATAACACGTTTGCCGCATGTGGCAGGTCAACAAGGGTTCTCTCGGCGGTTTGACATTTCAGGGCCAGGGATCGAAGATTTTCAGGATTTAGGTCGGTATCTGGTATATAGTGCTTGAGAATAGTCTGCATATTTCTAAACTCTTCTTCAGACACAAAATAGTAGGGTCTCTGGCGTCGCCTTTCGGGGTCAATGCGGCACTCTTCATTAATGCTGCGACAGTAGTCGCATGGACCAGGAACTATAACCTCAAACTCAGTCAATGTCCTCAATTTCAAAAATAATTGCTTTCATGAGATATTGCTGTTTTGGAATGTACCTGGATTCTTGCACTGTGACCATTATTAACTGCTAGTTAGGGTCGGATACAATCGATACTGGCTGACTTACTTTCGTCTTTCGACCCCTGCAACGCTCGCAACTCATTGACGTTCGGCTTAGGCGCATGTCTTTCCGTTGACGAGCCATGATGATTGCCACGGATTCATTGTAGGGGAGTTGAGGAAAGTCAATGTATGGAAGAACTGTGGTGTGGGGCTACTTGCTGAATGGAACCTGGGGAAAGATGCGGGGTTTGCGGGGAAATGTATTTTAGTACCCTTGTGGATATCAACGTAGCCTGGCCCTTACGTGGCCCGGAATACATGGGTGTAAAGTGGCTTGCTTTGCTGATCATTCAAGTGTTAAAAATCACTCTCCCCATACGTAAGACGGTAGCCATAACTGCAAAGATATGTAGGAAAATAAATCTTGGTATGTAAATCTAGCAAGATAGAGGCCGTGGTAACATGCAATACTGTATCTTGGATTTGCCCCAGTTGCTGACAATGAGTATGCCCCGGAATTGCCAACGTATCAGACACCCCAGTCAGTGATAGTTCGGGCAGGTGGGGCAGTGCTGGCTTCCTCGAGCCATTTTGGCGCTTGCATATCCTCTTCGGCCACTTCCTGACCCGTGATGGGGTGTTTATAATGGAATGGAACAACACGAGTGTCAGGCCAGAGCGAGAAATCAGCGAGAAGCTCGTCGGGACCCAGTGGGTCTGCTGGGAACTGCTCCTTGAACATGGGGACGAACTCCTTTGCCTGTTTCCAACCCAGCTCAAAAGACCCATGCCAGAAAGGATAATAGCGAAGTCGTAGAATTTTCCACACACCATCCTGCAGAATGTACTCGTTTTCGTATACTCCACCTTCCCACCATTGTCGGTATCCACCAGGATAGTCAGCTGAAAGAGATTCATGAGTGCCCGCGCTCATCAGGGCGCGAATTCGAGCCTTCGCCCTGCCGGTCTTTGGGTCAAAATCGATTATATCTTGTGCCATGAGGTGGTCGAGGAGCCATCCGTCGATAGGACCATTTCGACCACCGACGAATCTCTTCGCGAAGCGCTCAATATACAAGCGGTCGACTCCTTTCTTCCCGATGAAGCGTCCATTCAGGAATTGGACGTAGGTATCAGGATGATCAGCGAAGAGTTGAGAGACCTGGTAATTGTTCTGGGTTACCATGTAGTCATCGTTCGGGTTTCATCGCGACTTACCTCTTTATATAGGCATTTGTCAATATAATAGCCATACTTATGGTGCAATTTGCGTACATCGGCCTCCCCTAGCTAAATTAGCGCAGATGAAAATACAGGAGCTTGCTATTGACTTTACCCGTTAGTTTGACTAACGCACTTGACAGCTTCTTCACCTGAGCTGCCAAGCTGGAGACATCGGCCGTTTGGGGTTCACCCGACATTGTTTTAAATGAAACTGAGCTCAAAATGAAGTTGATTGATAATTTATCAAGTAATTTGAGCGTACAAAAATTGATTTATAGACAAGTGAGGTTGTCACGTGGGCCGTCCGTGTGTCAATGTTGATGTTTCCGACAAGCCTCTTTCATCGGATGATTGGATCCGATAGCTATCTGCTGTAAAGTCCAAAGCCACATGTAATGAGAATGACGACTCCATACAGAAAGAGGGGTTTCTATATCTATAATTATCAAGTCAAGGGGCCGTTTTTGTGGGGTCTCCACACGACCGCCAGAAGTATCAACTCAGTATGAGCTCATTCTCCATGTCGCGCTCTACAAGCCCAGAAGATATATTCACCCTGATCCAGGGTGAAGCAAGGGTTATACTTATATCTATTTTTATTGCGTTCTCACAGTTCCAGTACGGTTATGACTCCGCTGCAGTTTCTGGATTCCAGAGCATGCCTGGTTTTCTCGCTGTATTCGGCTATGTGGATGTAAGTGCCGCATCCTGACAAAAGAGAAAATTCGACTAATATCTCTGAAGCCTACAAACTCTTTAGGCTTCGGCATTCGCACGTCGGTCCAAACTCTTATCCAAAGTCTTCTACAGCTAGGCGGCTTCCTTGCGTCCGTTTTCATTTTCAAATTTGGAACTCGCATCAGTAATCGGAGAGGACTGTGGGCCGGATGTGGGTTCTCCATTATTGCAATCATTCTTCAAATGTGCAGCGTTCAGTTCGCTGCTCTCTATGCGGGAAGACTCATTCTCGGAATATCAAATGGTTTCTACCTGACGTATTCGGCTACATATCTGGGAGAGATCGCACCTACCCATCTACGTGGCTCTGCCGTGGGCCTTGTTACATTTCAAACATCATTCGGCGCCTTGATAGGTGTCCTGATCGATAACTATACGACGAAATACCTGTCTCGCACTGCATATTTGATTCCCTTGGGTGTCATGCTTTTTGTGCCGGTGTTCTTATCGATCGGGTTGCTTTTCCTCCCAGAGAGCCCACGACACTATGTACGCCTTGGATCTGACGCGAAAGCCGAAAATGCGCTTCGCATTCTTCGGGGTATCAAGGACCAAGATCAGCTTGTGGCTGAAGTTGCTGCAATACGCGAAGCCTGGATTTTGGAAAACGCCCGCAGCGAGAATATTCGGCTCATCGACGCATTTAGAGGAAATGACCTCAAGAGAACGGTCCTCAGCCTGTGCTGCAGTATCGGCCAAACCGCGAGCGGGGTCATATTCTTTTCTTCTTATTCCATCTACTTCTACGCCGAAGCGGGTGTTAAGAATGAGTTTATTTGGGTCATGATGAGTTTGGCAATCGCTCTCACCGGCAACATGGGCGCCTTTTTTGTCATGCGTTTCGTTGAGCGAAGATTCCTGTTGAGTATATGCTCTCTCGTCAACGCCATAGTCATGTTCGCTATTGCAGGCGTATATACACGATTAAGCACGGGATCCTACACTGCGGCACAAGTCCTTGTCGCAATGGGAACATTGTTTACCTGGGTCTATGGCGTAGGGCAGGGTCCTGTGCTCTGGGCACTGACGGTGGAGTTGCCGTCCCAGCGACTACGATCGAAGACTGTGGGACTCGCAACAGGCTGCAACTACATATTCGCATGGCTCGCGACATATTGTTCTCCCTATTTCATCAACCCGACCGCGTTGGACTGGGGACCGAAATATTGCTATATTTGGGGGACGAGCAATCTAATTCTAGCAATCTGGGCCTTCTCGGTGATACCCGACGTGAAAGGCAAAAGTTTGGAGCAAATAACAGGTTCAATGATAGGGCAGTCCAAAAAGACGACTGATGAATCAGTGGTGGCCTCGTGATATTGTCGCACATTCAAACGTTGGTTAATGTCCTAATCTGGTCTGTCACCTGTTAAGCTTCCGTAGGACTCAAAGTGAACAGATAGGTACCGGACACCGAGAAGACCCCTATTCTAGAATAGTTTCAATGGCAGAATACCACAAGGTGAAACACAGCTATCAATAATTCTCACGCTTACACAATTCTGGATAAAAAAGGCCTCGAGAATGGGGAGAAAAGATTTAGCATATAATTGATGAAGCTTCACAGCTCTGAGACGAGCCTGCTCTTAACTCCTATTTTCTTCAAGCCTGCAACGGAAGCTTGAAAACTTTAATAGCGTTCCTTCTAGCGATCATCTCCTTTGTCTCAGCTTCTATGTCGACACTTCTCCACCATTCCTGAGCTTCTTGAATCTGATCATAGGGAGTATCTACTTTGATGTGAGTAGATTGCTGCGCTGTCAAGAACCGACACAGGACCTACCAATTGAAAATAGACACCGATCTGCACCAATTTCTTCAACACAAAACTTCAATCCGGGCGTCGAAAAGTTTCCCGACGTTGTGATGAATACATTGTGCTGGAAATAATACTTGTAGTCATGCTGTGATGGCCGGGCTACCTTCTTACTAGGCTTGTTGTACCAGTGGCATGCTCTCCACAGATTGAATGGAATGCTGTCAATGGATTAGCAATTTGTCCAACAAGTTGGATATTCATGATACTGACTTCTCTCCCAAATGACCAACTACAATCTTTAATCCAGGAAACCGATCGAAAACACCTTCGCAGAATTGTGAGTAATACTTTTCGCTGACAAGAGATAATAGAGAAGGTACCTACCAGATGAACACATTGCATAAACGTGGAAGGAAAGATCCAGATGAAACTGGACTCCTGCTCCCAATAAATGCATGCGAGAACCGTAGACAGAACTCTCGGTTTGAAGCTCCTTCGCAGACGGATATCGAGGATGAAAATACACAGGCACGTCAAGATCCTGAACCATTTTCCAAAAAGGATCGTAAAATGCGGTGTCATAGTATACTTTTTCTAGGCCATCCGGTCCGGTGAGTTGGTAGTCATTCACGATCCCACCGTAGAACCCTAGCTTCTTCACTGCCCGCTCTAACTCGGATGCCGCTTGGGATGGGTCGTGCATGGAAATCGCGGCGAGCCCACCAAAGCGGCTTGGATTTTTTGAAACTTCACCTGCCAGCCAGTCATTAAATTCGGTGGCTGTTTTCTCAGCCAGCTTCTGATCAGGGATGCCTTGGCATCCCGGCGACGTAAGGGACAGTAACATGTACTCGACACCCTCGGCGTTCATCGTGTCCAGACGCGACCCGTGAATATCCAGAAGACGGGCTTTATGAGCCTCAATCGCCTGCTTTCCAGAATTTCCAGGAGTCAATATTTGCTGTGACTCCTCGAGTAGCCATGCGGTATCGGGGCTGATGACTGCCTCCTCAACTGCAACGGTGCCTTTGAACGTCATTTTGCTGCTGGCGGTCGGACGAGAATATTTTTCAAGACGAAAATATACGTATTATTATGATTGAATGTAAGTTGGAGCTTGTAGGCAAAAACTTTTAAGAACTGAACAAAGTTATCGACTTTCGGCATTTGCGTTGTTTTGGAATTCCCGTCTCTTGTTCAAATTTCGGAAGCATTGAGCCGACGACTAGATGAGAGAAAGAATAGCTCTAACATCGGTGTCAATACACCGAAATTTATCACACCTCTTCGATAAAAGGAAAAGCTGATAGATTTAGAACCTCTCAATAGGAAAGGCTCATTTATGCTACTATCCACAAGATGGCTCACCTCTACGAGATTGCCAACTCGGTCGAATATCCCTATGTGGACGGTCGGAAGAAGGGAGATCAAGTCAAATTCCCCAACACTCCAGTATTCCAGACGTTCAATGCACCATCCCGACTCGAAGGCGATGTATTTGATCTTGAGATTGATGGAACCATTCCACCAGAAATTAATGGCACTTTCTATCGGATCCAGCCAGACCATAGATTTCCTCCCATGTTCGAGGAAGATATTCATTTCAGCGGTGATGGGAGTATCACAGCCATTCGAATTCAGGACGGCCATGCGGATTTTAAACAACGCTACGTGAAAACAGATAGATTCATAGCAGAGACCGCGGCTAGAAAGAGCTTGTTCGGCAAATATCGAAACCCATACACTGATTCTGAAGCCGTCAAAGGTGTTATTAGAACAGTGGCCAATACCAACATCACCTTTTGGCGAGGAATGCTCTTAGCATCGAAGGAGGACGGCCCTCCATATGCACTTGACCCGACCACTTTGGACACGATTGGCCGGTACGACTTTGAGGGCCAAGTGCAATCTCCTACATTTACTGCCCATCCAAAGTTTGACCCGGATACGGGTGAAATGGTATGTTTTGCTTACGAAGCGGGTGGGAATGGAAATGATGGATCTTGCGATATCGTGGTATATACAATTGACGCCAATGGAAAGAAAACTGAGGAGACCTGGTACAAGTCTCCATTCTGTGGGATGATCCATGACTGTGGAATCTCAAAGAACTATCTCGTCCTTCCCTTGACACCTCTCAAATGTTCTGTCGATCGTCTTGAAAAGGGAGGCAATCATTGGGCATGGGACCCGAATGAAAGCCAGTGGTACGGAATCGTCCCTAGAAGAGGAGGAAACCCGGAAGACATTGTCTGGCTACAATCTGATAACGGTAGGATTTCTTCTATAAGATAATTGTCAGATCAGCACTAACAAACCATCGCAGCGTTTCACGGTCATGTCGCTGGCTGCTATGAGAACGAGGAGGGACACGTGGTCTTCGATCTGACGGTCGCCGATGGGAATGTTTTCTTCTTTTTCCCGCCTGATGGACAAGATGCGAGCACCTTGAAGGCCAGAAATCGCCTGAAGAGTATTACCCACCGTTGGGTATTTGATCCCAAAAGTAAAACGGGATCTCACGTCATGCCAGAGACCCAGTGGGACACCAGTGGAGAATTCTCTCGTATTGATGATCGTTTTGTCACGAAAAAGTACAACCATTTTTGGCAGGCCAGGATTGACCCAACTCGAGAATACGACGCTGCTAGGTGTGGCTCCCCAGCTGGAGGTCTCTTCAATTGCTTAGGCCACTACACCTGGGATGAGAAGGGCGAAGACGTGCTCTGGGCAGGCCCGCGAGCAACCTTCCAGGAGCCGACTTTCATTCCTAAAAACGGTGGTGGGGAGGGTGAAGGGTGGATTATCGCCCTCGTCAACCGCTTAGATGTCCTTCAAAATGATATAGTGATCGTTGACGCGAAGAATTTGAAAGCAGGCCCACTAGCGATTATACATCTGCCTTTGAAGTTGAAACTTGGATTACACGGAAATTTTGTTGACCAGCGAGAAATTGACACTTGGCAACGTCGTCGAGAACCAGATGGCGACATTGGACCAGCGTGCCCAGCTCAGAAGCCTTTAGCCTGGCAAATGAAGAAACTTGCCTAGTTTGGGAGGAGCATGTTCATAGCTTATTCATTGTGGAAATGCACGAGTTATTTTTTCCTAGCCTAATTGGGCATATGCATCGACGACGAAGCAGTGTAATTCGCTCAAGTTCTTCTGCTCCAATGCTTTGGTTGAAATCAAGTTCTCGCCCGCTTTCAGCCAGGGAATACTAGATATCGATGATCTTCAGGCGTCCAAGCGTAGTTCCACCTTTTATCACCTTTGGTGAGCGGGGTAGGGCGGGCAATAGCGGCCACAGACTAGAACCTCAGTTTCAACAGGTAACCGACCCTATCTATGTAATATTTGTAAGGGGCCGGTTAGAAACCGCCAGGGTAATCTTGAAAATGACGACTATTATCGCGTTCTATCTCTACCTTGCTGTCTCGTCGGGCATATATTTGATTCCAGGCTTCTAACCAGTTAGGTCGATTTACACGCCCTGATTGCTACATCTTGACAGCTCAAATCTACCAACGATTACCTTCGCCCCTAAAGTTCTTCAAAATATATGATCCTATAAATATTATGTCAAACACGCGGCTATCCAGAAAAACAATACATAACAATCGAGGGTCTCTCAAAGGGGGGAATGCCCAATCATAAGATTTCGATCGGTGGCCGCTATTGTCCGCACTAGGCGGGGCTTCCGCTTGATCTCGCCCCAATACAGTACATAATTCAAGTGGGATCGGATTCATCAAACCGAGGGAACGGGAGACTTTAGTTTGGAAATGCCGTGTGTGGCGGCACAGGAATGTTGAATTTGCTCTGAACTTTCTTTTAAACCCCCCACCTCCGCACTGAGAAGTACTTGTTTTTTTCTAGCAAGTCACAACACTCCCCAACATTAAGACCGACTATGGCAATTAAGCAAGACCCTAAGGTCAAGTCTTTTGAGACTCGACTGTTCATCAATGGAAAGGTTTGATTTGCTGCTCTGTGCATATTGGTACTTTTGAGAGCAGGGATGATTCTAATCCTTGCCACAGTTCGTAGACTCGTCTGATGGCGGTAAATTCGACCTCGTTTCTCCTACCACGAATGAAAAGTTCGCAGAAGGTAAATCAATCATGCCTCCTACTTATTTCGACTATGACGGTCTGGTCTAATGTCCTTCGCTCCAGTCTCTGAGGCAACCGAAGATGATGCGAACGCGGCTGTGGCAGCAGCAAAAGCTGCATTTCCCGCCTGGTCCGCTCTCTCACCCTCTGCTCGAGGTGTCTACTTTAAGAAACTGGCCGCTTTAATCCTCGAGTCTCACAATGATCTGGCTGAGCTCGAAGCTCTATCCATGGGCCGCCCAGTCTCTGGTTATTTCGAGTCCTATGCGGCTGCGGATTCGCTAAACCACTACGCTGAATCTGGTTATCAGGCTCTTGGAACATCGAGCTTGAATACGCCTGGGTTTGTCAATATGACCATGCGGCAGCCGTATGGTGTCGTGGGTGCCATCATTCCCTGGAATGTACCAGTTTTATTCTGTATCAACAAAACAGCCCCTGCGTTAATTGCCGGAAATACGGTCGTTCTCAAGAGTAGTGAGAAAGCCCCACTTACGGTGAGTCTGCCCTTTAACGAATAATGTGGGGCTACGTGCTAACTGCTCCCCAAGTCTGCCAAAATCGCAACTCTCGTGGAAAAGGCCGGGTTCCCCCCTGGTGTTTTCAACATCATTTCAGGCCATGGCCATATTTCCGGCAATGTCTTGTCGCACCATATGGACATTCGTGTGATCAGCTTTACTGGGTCTGGAAGGACTGGTCGTCTCATTCAACAAGCGGCTGCTAAGTCCAACTTGAAGAATGTCATTTTGGAGCTAGGAGGGAAATCTCCAGCGATCATCTTCCCAGATGCAAATCTCGAAAAAGCCGTACAAGAAACCAAGCACAGTATCCAATGGAATTCGGGGCAAGTATGCATGGCAAATTCGCGCATCTATGTTCACGAGTCGATTGCTCCCAAGTTCATTGAACTATTCCAGAAAGGTTTTGCCGATATCAAGAGCGGGGATCCACTACTACCAGAGACAAATCACGGCCCGCAGGCTGATGCAATCCAGTATAAGCAGATCCAGTCATATATTGAAGAGGGCAAGAAGACTGGCAAGATGGTACTGGGTTCTGAACCGCCTCAGCATCAGAGTGGATTCTTTGTTCAGCCAACGGTCTTCCTTGATACACCAGAAGATGCCAAGGTCATGAAGGAGGAGATTTTCGGACCAGTTGTGAACATCAACACATTTAAGGACGAAGACGAGGTTGTGGCCAAGGCGAACGACACTGAATTTGGTCTCTATGCCGCAGTTTACACGAAGGACCTCAGTCGAGCTTTACGTATGGCAAAGAAGCTGGAATCTGGCAACGTTGGAGTGAACTGCACAAGCCCTACTGGCGCCCCGGATATGCCTTTCGGGGGCTATAAAGCGAGCGGTGTTGGTCGTGAGGGTTGGACTGTCAGCCTTGATAACTACCTAGAGGTCAAAACCGTAATCATACGAGTTGATGAAGAATGAGGCGTCAGACGGGCGTCCTTGTCACTTGAATGCCAATTTTCTCTCTCTCTCCCTGGGATATTACGCAAAATTTCAATCTTATCCCGTCATATTTCTGAAGATATGTTCGCAATGTGTAGTTAACTCTTGCAATAAAGAGATCTCCATATGGGAGCAAGTTCAACTGTCATTCCCGACCAAGCCGCAATTTTATGAAGTGTCCATCCACTACTCGACAAGCGTAGGTCAGGAAAGGCCTTCCCTCAACTTAAACCTCAAGATGATGACTTCACAATTGGGGTCTTATATCCAGACGGATAGAGGTTCGAGTAATCGTAGTAGAGCTCGTAGACACCGGTCACGTTGGTTTCCTTAGCACGGAACGAGTCCGACAAAGTGCCATCATCATACTCCCACATCAACCATGTACCATAGAAGATGAAATTGGTGGTCACGGCATCAGAGGGCGCGGTGACACCGTTGCCAGTGAAACCCACGGGTAGGACCTCATCCTCAGTGGGACGAATGTAGAGCAGGGTATCGGAGTCGAGAGTCACACCCGAAGTGGTGGCTGTGGTGATCATTTCCGTGTCCTGGATCACGACTAAACACCCAGTGAGCAAAAAGGACGTGATTTCAATGCAACTTAAGACAGGCCCTGAGGCTACTTACAGGTGACATCCGTGGTGACAGATCCGTAGGTCCACTTTGACGAATCACCGGCATAAGCGATACCTGTAAGATTAGTATTAGAAGATTTAATAACTGTAAGAGGTAATCTAGACACACCATCAGAATAGAAAATGTCAACGACGCTAGAGTCAAGGCTGTATGCGACGAGGCTGAAGGAACCACTTGGGTTGCGCTTCAAAAGCGGCTTCAGCGTTCCCGGGGCAGCCAGCACCGAGGAGGCCAAAGCCAAAACCGAAGGAAGAATGCTGAACTTCATGATTTACAATAGTTTTGTTAAATCAAGTAGTTTTATTCTGCTGGATAGGCTCCCTCTTAACATCTTATATACTCTTTTCTTCAAGCTGACAACCTTATGTTCGGCAATAACCTAGTTTTGGGACCCACTTGAGGATGACGCGGCCGGAGGATTGTAAGATTGGCAGGAAGCTGACACGGATGCCACTTAAAAGTAAGCACTCTGAAAACATTTATCGTTTCACGAATGATAATAGGCTCGATTTACCGGGAATCAGGTCTTCTCATTTTCTGAATTATTATAATTGCTGGAATTTCTGTTTTGCCGTAAGGTCATTTGCGATCTATTGCGTGTAACAGGATAGACACACATTCAGATCTAGATAAGATACGAACTCCAATATTTAAGATTAAGGTGCAAACCATGAGGCAAAAGGGTTCACGACTCATCCAGACTCGGGGATCGACATCCCGAGAAGAAAGGCATCTTGGAGCGATTGGGTATGAATGGATTTTGGCCAGACTGTAGCTCAAGCTAAGCTGGGTTGCAATGCTAAAACACTTGGCGAGCGGCTCTATGACGAATAGTGGACCACATCGGGAGTAACCGCCCTTTGAGGATTTGGGGGCCATGTATGCTCCCAAGGGTAATTTGTGAATGGGCAGACTCTGTCGAAGCGAGCGAGCTAATTATATGAAGGGTAAGGGAGGAATTAGTCAATGATGACAGAGCCTCTAGGCGTGTTGTCTGAGTCTCCGTGACGGTCTACTAGATGTTGGAGGGTTTCCCGACCTTCAAAGACTACTTGAGTACAAAGAGATCGAAATTCATCTTTGAGCAGATTGACGACAGCCTATATAGTATGGGGGGCCAGTGAGGCTCAATTATTAAGACCCGTAGAAGAAGTATAGGTATTGTGACCACTATTCCCAAATTCTAATAACGCTCCAGCAACCATAATCGACGTTCCTCGTCAGCCATACCCTGCAAGCGTTTTGATTCGGCACGCTTGACACCAAGGTAATTCTGTACAAGTTCCTTGCCCAGGACGCTTTGCAGCCCCTCATTTTCCGAAAGAGCAACCATACTCTGGTCCAGAGACTTGGGGAGAGGGGTCGTGATGCCAAGCGCAGTTCGCTCAGAAGAAGTCAGGTGTGAAGCATCCACTGCAAAGAAGATTATTAGTCCATCATGAAAACATCATTCAAAGTGGGTCATGTGGCGCTAATCTTACCCGTGCATTCCTTCACTGTCAGGGACAAATTCTTTTCCAGTCCAATCAACCCACCTGCAAGCAGAGCAGCCACAGCCAAATACGGATTAGCAACACCGTCAAGGGACTTAAACTCCCAGTGGCCGGGGCTTATCTTCCGCACGGGAGCCTCGCGGTTCTGGAATCCCCACGCGACCCACTCTGATCCAGACCAAATACCAGATCGCACGCGCTCGTAACTTGAGTCTTGGGACATCGTGAAAGCCACAATAGAGGTGTAGTGCTCCATAATACCCGCAAGGAAAGCATCCTCGCGTGCTGGTGGAGTTATAGAGATATGAGCGTGCGCAGCAGTCCCAGCTCCTTTCGCGAAGGGACGTGGGTAAAGAGTAGCTCTAAGACCATTACGCTCAGCAACGGCTGTAACGGCTTGCCGAGCGGCGATGAGGGCATCGATGGCAGCGAGGGGTTTAGCAGGTGGGAGGATGAATTCAAATTGTCCGAGCGCAGACTCGGCATGGAATTGTTGGAGATGAATGCCCATGGATGCCAGTGTCCGATTGATCTCCTCCAAGATTGGGATCATTTTCCGCGTTTCGGCGGTCATTTGTGACCAGGAATGGTTTTTAGTCGCGGGTGCATAACCTCTAACTTCGCCCGTTTGTTGGCTTGTGAGTGGCTTGAGGAATACGACCTCGATTTCGAAGCCGCAGAGAATATTGATGTTGTGCTTGGTCTGCAGCTTCTCAACAATATTTCGAAGAGTAGTGCGAGGACAGCCGCCGAGAGGCTTACCCTCTTCTGACTGCCAAAAGGTCATGATAGTCGCACTGGGAGCGGCTGGTGCTGCGATGCCTCCATTGAGGTAGAGGCTGGAGAGGTCTGGCTGCATGTAGAATTGCCCAGTAGGGGACCCTCCTGGGATAATTGTGTCATCTTGCAGCATCCACTGCACCGCTAGCGCGATGCCGATGCGCCGTTCATTTCTGGCAATGCGAATAAACTCCTGAACAGGGAATATTCGAACCCGGGTGGTTGCTGTATAATCGATCCATTGCATCCAAATGTACTCGACCTCCGGGTTCGTTTGCAAAAATGCATCTAGTGGATCGGACGTAAGGGAAAATTGAGTGCCACTGAGTAGAGTCGACTGCTGAATAACCCCATGTGTATAATGCGCTGTCTGGTTCAGCCCATACAGCTTATTCGAATTGTGAAACAGGATGTCGGCGGCGGCTGCCTTCGCCTGAGAGATATTGTAGTCTCCATGTTGGACATAGTCAACAAGAACCTGTATTAATAGCTAGTCAGCATGAACTGGGCTTGATTTCGTCTCAGTTGTCACGTACAGTCTCCAAAGTCTGCCGGAACTGCTTATTGGCCAGCCAAAATGTCTCCGGGAAAAAATGACCGTCCGTACTCCAAAGCAGACGACTAACTGGAGTGATCTCTAAGCTCTCGCGCAAGATCTTCTCCTCGGCCTCACGGCTCACCATCGGAAAAACTTCACCAAGATCAAGATAGATGTTAGGATATACACACGCAAGATACCCCGCATCTCTTGTATACGGATATGATGAGTGCAGTAGCACTATCGGCGCATCTGGATACTGAATGATGAGAGGCTGCAGGTAAGCCGGGTTGGCTTTGACGAGATTGATGTCATTATCGCCGAGTCCAGTGTGAAACTGGAGCGGCTTGACCACGCCAGCTCTCTTCCGAAAAGTGATGATCTTGAGAGTCTGCTGAACCAGCCAGTCATTCAGTGGCTTTTCCTCGATCCGGTAGCCGGATCTCCTCGTCCCCGAATCAAGGGTACGATGGAGCGAGGCAGTCAGCAGATCCTCATCCAGTGAATACGGATCGACGTCCAGTCCAGTGCGATAGCAGATCACAGATTTGAATCCGACAACGGCGGGGTCGTCCATGGCGCGCTCAAGCGCGTCAAGGAACTTGGCGCGGAATGTGATCCACACGCTTTCGCCAGGTTTACGCTCTTCACCCATGATATCGCGCAACAGGGAGGCGGCGACAGCCTCAATGCGAACGATACGCTTTGTCGGCGAGGATGTGAATTGGTCGTGCCAGTCGTATAACTCGACATCCTCGTCCGATAGTAGGTCATCTAGCAGCAAGGTGTGCGTGCCTTCAAGACTGCGGCGGACCAGCCCCTCGTAGTCCTCCTGCACCCAGCGCGTGTGCGCCGCGAGCACGTCATCCCAGTTTGCGCAGGGAGTGCCATAGAGCTCTCCCAGCTGGTTTACGGCGCGAACAAGTGGCAGGGCGGTACGAGCATTTTCTAGCGCGCGACCGTGGGCCTCAGAGGTAATCGACTCGAACGGGTAGCTATCGTAGTCCGTAGCCACGTCGCGGCTTAACAGATTGTGAGCATGATTGTCGATAAGTGGGTGATGTTGGATGAGATGGCGGAGGGAGTCAAGAGAATCCATGGTGTAGTGGAGAGTGGGAAGCGGAAGACGTTCTATTTCATCGCAACCCTTGAAAGACGTGGTCGGTCTGTCCAGCGCAGCCAACAGACCCTAGTAGCAAGCCGCTTCGGGGACATGCGGTCAGCGGGGTTCCCTTGCAGAATTCAAGTGTTTCTCCGCGGCCCTTGAACTGAGGCTCTTGGAGAAGGTAAGGTCAGTTCCTCCATAAATGGTAATCTGATAGGTCAAATGGCCACAATAGCCATGCAGATCTACGCTTGTGTGGATATCGTGAATGGGGTGGAAGTGGCAGTAAGCGCCGCACATGCAGTCTAACCTTTTATTCACACGCCCGTGCCACAGTCAACTATACTTAACCAGGTCAACTAGACGAGGTGAACTCCACCAGCAGCGAGCCTTTTTACCAATCATATCCACCAAGTATCATCCAGCATCTTTTACAATACACCTTATCCCCACGTCGAACTCCCTGGGGTACCCTGCGCATCCTCTATGTCTTGAATGTGTCCTTCAAGGCCCTTGGTAATAATGTAGGCGGTACCCGTACTACCAAGCTCTATAGCAGAAACCCTTGCAGTTCTCGTTACGGGATGATAAAGTGATGCTTCCAGACAACCATCTGCCTCTTGACTAGAGCCGAATATGTACAGGTGAAAATTTGATGATTTGATGTGGGTCCATAAATCGAATCCACTATCCCTAAACACTGCCGAGGCCTGTACTGTACCCAGTCAAGTCATTACGAGCGTGTTTGTGAAGGCGTGGATATTGGGGACACCACTTTCTAGCTATAAGCTCAATTCAATTTCTACGATCAGTGACTGTGATCGAGGGAGTCTAGCCGATAATTCAAGTGTGTGAATACGACGTCCACGCTCCAACGTCCTTTCTATAACCTAAATCTGATCTTAAATATATCTTACATCGCCGTTCGGGCAATATATCCTTGTCACAATTCATCGGTGATTATTTTTCAGCCTGGCCATTAGGTTCAAGCTTTTACAACCCCACTGTTCATCAGATGTAAGTGATCAATCGGGTAGGGGTCCCTGGTCTGGGGTCTGGGCCCATCGAGACACGCGACACCGTACCTAGTTCATAGGTATCATGTGGAGAACGGAAATCACCCTCATCATCTCATCGTCGCTTTTTCTTTCTTTCCCCATGCTTTAGTTCCTCGCTGAAATGCTCTTACTTATCCATCGACATGGCTGGTACACAAATAGGACATGGAACTGCTGAGTGAAAGACAACGTGAATTTAAATATCGTCAGCTATACTATTTAGCTAACATTGATGCCAATCTCGTAAATCCACATTCAATAATTCTGTCCGATTTCATTACTTTGGTCATTATACCCGTGCTGTTCACATCAGAAAGCCCCCTCTATCTCCCACTCCGAGGTAATCCCGGTCTAAATCATCAGAAACTATGATAATTAAACAGCCTCAGTCTCCTCGACGGCCTCGCGGGCCTTCTCAGTCAGTCCCATCTCATGGGCAAAAGTATCATGAGGCTTCCAGGCAGACGAAGTACGGGGAGTAGTCTCCTCGAGCATGCGATCAATCTGCTCCAACGAGAGGCCCTTGGTCTCTGAGACGCAGAAATAAGCGAAGAGGAAGCAGAAGACCAGGCATCCACCCCAGACAAAGAACACCTTAACCTTAAGGTTACCCTTGTCCTCGTCAACCATATAGGGAGTGACAATAGCGATGATCTATACCAATATGTGTTAGTAAACAGTCCTTGCCTTAGACAACGAATGGAATTCTTGAACATACGCAGTTCCAGAGCCAGTTTGACGCAGTCGACAGAGCGACACCCTTGGCACGGATGGGCAGGGGGAAGATTTCACCAACCAGGACCCAGCAGGAAGGTCCCCAAGTCGAAGCAAAAGCAGCAATGTAAAGGCAGGTGAAGACGATCAGGCACATGTTGGCAGCCTTGGAACCCTCATCGGCAGTACCGACAATGGCCACGATGAACTCGCACAAACACATCACCACCGCTCCGTACAAAAGCAGAGTACGTCGGCCAAAGCGCTCGATGGTCCAGAATGAGAGGGGGGTGGACGCGACGTTGACAATGTTCATGATAGTAGACATCAGGAAGGAGTTCGACATGCCAACAGACTGGAAGAAAGTAGTTCCGTAGTAGACTATTGAAGTGTTAATTTTGGGGATAGAACAGGTTTCAGGGAAAGGGTCAGGGGATTCATACAGATGAAGTTCACACCAGTCCACTGTTGGAACATCTGCGCGAAGATACCAACCAGGACACGACGGAGGTTGCCGCCAGGGTTGCTAAGGCCACCCTTGAAGCAGTCCAGCCACGATGTAGAGGTAAGTTGAGACTCGTATTCCCAGTTGGCCTTGATCTCAGCGAGCTCGGCCTGGATAAGCGGGGAATCAGCCGGCTGGCCACGAACACGCGACAAGGCGTCAGCAGCCTTCTCGAGCTCCTGAACCTTGACATAGTAACGAGGTGACTCGGGGAGGAAGAACAAGCCCGTGCCGAGAATAGCGGCCCAAACGAGTTGGATTGCGATAGGAATACGGTAGGAGCCTGAATCGTTCCGGTTGGAGGTACCCTGAGTCGCACCCGATGCCGTAAGAAGACCAATGGTAATAGCGAACTGGTATAGGGAGACCAGCATACCACGAATCTTCTTAGGACTAATCTCGGAAACATACAGAACGACGGTGGCAGAAACACCTCCGACACCAAAACCAGCGATCAAACGACCAACAACCAGACCAGCGACGGTGTGCGAGGCCACCTGGCCAGCGACACCACATGCGAAGATGAAACAAGAGATCATGATAGTAAGACGACGACCAATCCGCTCAGCGGCCTCGCCACCAATCAGGGCACCGAAGAAGGTTCCGGCTGACAGGATGGAGGTGATCAAGGACTTCTGCCAACTCGCAAGCATGTAGCCCGACACGTCAACACTAGTTGGCACAGCGTGACCAAAATGCTGCTTGACATAGGCCATGCCCTCGACGCCGCTAATGTATCCAGAGTCATATCCGAAGAGGATACCGCCAAAGCATGCAAATCCACAGATCAGGTAGGCCCGGAGGGAGATGGGAGCTTCGATGCTGCTCACATCGGAGCTTCCTACGGGAAGCCGCGCCATTGGATTGGAGTAGTGCGGAATATCAGGGACTGAAATTAGGCCAAAACGAATAGTATGGACACAGAGACGTTCAAGAGACTGGTGAGGAAGAAAGAAAAATCTTCTCTCCGGGGTCCGTGACGGTCTTTAAAAGGTCCCCATCTCATGGAACAACGGACTTTGAGACCCGACCATTCCCCAGACATCTTCGAATTGCTCTCGGCAAAGATGACCCCGGTCACGCATTCGAAAAGGTTTTTTTCTGGGGCTCCAGATGTCCAGGGTTCGCTGTGGAAGATCCCGAGTAGGTGTCTCCAGGAGGAGCTGACGACGCAATTGACCGAAAGATCTGGAGCCGAAGCGGGATATAGTCGGGATTAGAATATGGTGGTCGATGAATCCGTATTCTCGTGCCTAGATGCTAGTCTTGGCTTTTTGAGTTGGAGGAGCTAGCCGAAGATGGCAAGACTGAAACTTTGTTTGGTGGTGCGCCACAGCCCATGTGACGCGTCGTCATTCGGCTTGGCTGGTTAGGGTTCGGCACCATATCGGTCGGCAGTAGTCTCAATGGTCTGATGTTAGTAATGTATAAGGTTAGCAGACGGCTTCTTCGTTGGTTCGCTGCAGGCAAAACAGGTAGGGTGCCGAAATACCAGGCCCGAGCCGTTTCTCAAAAGCCACCATGAGACTCGGCCTCCCGTAGTTACTGTTAGGTCTCCTAACAATGACCCACTACAAATAAAAAGGAATTCAACAAACGGTATCTTTTCCAGGCTTCTTTCCTATTGGTGCTCCTCATTTTTACCTTGCGGCCAAGCTTGGGGACAAGGAATAATGAACTAATGCCTCGGACTTCATTTGCGCCCCGGAAACCCTCCAACCATTAAAGTTACCAATACTCAAGCATCACAGCGGGGAAGGAAAATTCTAGAAATTGGTATCTTGCGCCATATGGTCCCATGCATACCCGAGCATGTGTGCTGATAGAGTGGACCCAATCACGGAGATTTGAGCGCATGGACTTGTCCGAAGGTGGCTTGAAGGCCGGCATGTTCAGAGGCTAGGCGTCGCGCACAGATGGATTGCAAGGATTTGTATGGAAAGACAATATCTAACCACTGCCTGAAAGCGGCATGATCAAGGAAGAGTACACAGACTCCGAATTGGCACCACTAGCGCTGAGCAGTTGAGGGGTAGCCACTAAACAAGTACACTAGGAGCAAATGCATACCTCATAGAATTGTCGATACACTAGAGTCTTTGAGGTGGATAATCTTCTAGGTGGACAATCACAGTCTCTAAATCCTCCAAGATTTCTCACTTGTACTTAAACGGCTCAGTATCAGAGATTATATCTAGAATAGGAAGTATCTGCCTATGAGTAAGCGGAATATTGTGGAGGTTTCCAGAATGAAAGACCCCGTAACGACCCCACGGGGCAAATTCCCCACATCTACGCTCGAAGCTTTTCCCCACACGGTGTGCTCAGACCTTTTGTAAAAGAAGTTAGACTGAGGAGTAGGATGCACCTGGTTTGGCTTCTTTTCTTCCATTGCCAATAGACAAAAAGCCTTTTTTCTGGGCAAACCTCAAGCCCCCGCGTTGCAACACTAACTAACCTGTTCACGGCGTCACGGTGAATTCTGACCGGACTCCGTCTTTGATGGAGGTCCGGGTAAAGTAACTCGCTAGCAAGGAACAACCCCTCATTTCGGGGGACATTCTTCGGTGGTGGCTTGCCAAAAGCTTGTGGGGATCTGCCGATGTATACCCGATGGGTCTTGAGCTCGCGAGGGAATTTACAAACGGGATAGACGGCACGGCACAACAGTCAACAGGCGATATCGGTTCATGGGCTTGTGCGTCTTCCTGGTTCAGTGTGCACAAAATAAAAGTATATAAAGAGCGGGGTTTCCTGCGATTGTCCAACATCCACAGTAGAAACAGACTGCAATCAAGATAATCAGCTTTTTCTTCCATCCAGGATGTTGACTTCGTGGGGAAAGGCAGGTCTACTGCTTGGTCTTGCTTTGAACAACGTCGCTGTAGCCGATGACGTTATCACGAGTGACACCTACTTCTATGGTGACTCGCCTGCTGTTTACCCATCTCGTACGTTGTCATCACCACGCTTCTCTCCTCTTGTTTGCTCGGCGTTATCATACATGTCTGCTAACACGCTGAGTAGCTGAGGGAACCGGCGCCGGTGATTGGGCCTCTGCGTACAAGAAGGCCAAAGCTTTTGTTGGCAAGCTCTCCGATGATGAGAAGGTCAACCTGACTGCTGGTGTCTCTTCCAAGACTGGCTGCTCTGGGTACATCCAGGCTATCGACCGCTTGGGATTCCCGGGTATCTGTGTCAGCGACGCTGGAAATGGCCTGGTGAGTGATCTAAATCTGCTTCTAACTCTTGCCTACATGGTTCCTGTATTGATAAAAATATCTCTATAACAGAGAGGAACCGACTATGTCAACGGTTGGTCATCCGGAATTTCCGTCGGAGCCAGGTAGGTTTTATAGAGGTCACAGGATCATGTGAAAACTTGCTAACCAACTATCCCTGCAGTTGGAACCGCGATCTTGCCAATGATCGAGGTACTTACATGGGCAAGGAATACCGCAAGAAGGGTGTCAACATGATCCTTGGCCCCGTTGTTGGTCCTCTCGGCCGTGTGGCACTCGGTGGTCGTAACTGGGAAGGATTCTCGACCGACCCTTACCTGAGCGGAATCTTGGTCTCCGAATCAGTCAAGGGTCTTCAGTCCCAGAATGTTGCAACTTCTCTCAAGGTATGCCTAATCCAATATTAGCTGTTAAGCCATGAATCTAACCATTGATCAGCACTTCATTGCCAACGAGCAAGAAACCAACCGCAACCCAAGTACGGATTCGGAAGGAAATACCATCCAGTCGGTCTCTTCCAACATTGACGACAAGACCATTCACGAGCTATACTTGTGGCCATTCCAGGATGCTGTCCTTGCCGGTGCTGCCAACATTATGTGCTCGTATAACCGCCTGAACAACTCCTACGGATGCCAGAACAGCAAAGCCCTCAACGGCTTGTTGAAGACCGAGCTGGGCTTCCAAGGTAGAAACCACTCCAAAAAGGCTGCTCATTCAAAAAATCTAATTATTTCATGAATAGGTTATGTCGTCACCGACTGGGGTGCGCAGCATGCTGGAATCGCAGGTGCCAATGCAGGCCTTGACCTAGTCATGCCCTCTTCTGAGACCTGGAACAGTAATCTTACGACTGCAATTGCTAATGGAACCATGGAGGCCTCCCGTTTGGATGACATGATTACGAGGTAAGTAAACGCGAGCTGCCCATGCAGTTTTGATGAACAGACACTAAAATGTATAAACAGACTGATGGCCACCTGGTACTATCTCGACCAAGACTCTGCGTTCCCCAACCCCGGCGTTGGAATGCCCAGCAGCGCCAGTGCAGCTCACCAGGCTGTCATTGCCACCTCTAAAGAGGCAAAGTCAGTCCTTCTCCAGGCCGCGGTCGAGAGCCACGTTCTAGTCAAGAACACCAAGAATGCCCTCCCTCTCAAGTCTCCAAAGTTGATCTCCGTTTTCGGTTACGACGCATATGGCCCGATGACTCTCAACCTTGCCTCCAGCTTCAGCTTCGGATCAACCCAGACGAGATCCGACCTCTATAAAAACGGAACTCAGTGGGTTGGTGGTGGCTCTGGTGCCAATTCTCCTGCTTATGTGGATGCTCCTATTGATGCCATCCAACGCCGGGCTTACGACGATGGCTCGTCCGTTCTTTGGGACTTCACCTCTGAGAGCCCTTCTGTGGACTACACTTCCGATGTCTGCCTGGTCTTTATCAACGCCTACGCCACGGAGGGCTATGACCGCGAGGCTCTGTCTGATTCTCACAGCGACGCCATTGTGACCAACGTCGCCAACAACTGCGCTAACACTGTCGTGGTAGTTCACAACGCTGGTATCCGTACCGTCGAGTCGTGGGCTGACCACGTCAACGTCACCGGTATCATCTTGGCCCACCTCCCTGGTCAAGATACCGGCCGCGCTTTGGTGGGGATCCTCTACGGAGACTCTAACCCCTCCGGCAGACTGCCTTACACTGTCGCCAAGAATGGATCTGACTATGGTTCCCTGCTTGAGCCGACGCAACCGGAAGGCAAGTACAAGTACTTCCCTCAGTCAAACTTTGATGAGGGTGTTTACATCGATTACCGGGCCTTTGACAAGGAAGGAATTGAGCCTCAGTACGCCTTTGGATACGGCCTTTCCTACACTACCTTCGGCTACTCCAACTTGAAGGTGTCCAAGAAGTCTGCCTCGCCCTCTACCTACCCTGCCAAGGCAGCCATTGTTCCTGGTGGAAACCCCCGTCTCTTCGATGAGCTGGTGATCGTGACCGCCACTGTCAAGAATACTGGAAGCGTTGATGGCAAGGAAGTGGCCCAGCTTTACGTTGGTATTCCCAACGGCCCCGTTCGCCAGCTTCGTGGCTTTGACAAGGCCTTGATCAAGTCTGGCAAGTCGACCACTGTTTCTTTCAGCTTGACTCGTCGTGACCTGAGCACCTGGGACACCGATGCGCAGGAGTGGCTGCTCCAGCGGGGAACTTACAAGATCTATGTTGGTCGTAACAGCAGGGATCTGCCTCTTGAGGCTACTCTGATCTTCTAGGTTGAAAGACATTGAATGGTCATTGGGGATATATTTGACATGTATTGAGAGTGTCTGAGATGTATTAGACTTGGAATTTGAATTTCATTTCACATGGTTCACATTTTTGTCGATTTTTCTAAGGTTTGGTTGATGCAAAACTTGTAGAAATTTCATCTGTAGAAATACCAAAACACCCATACAGTAGTAACCTTTGATGCACAAAGAATGTCGATCTCTCTAAGACCCTGCATACTGTGGGCCAACTGCTGGGAACACAGTGGATGGGATCGGCCGACACTAGTGAGCGTTGACCAGTTTGAGTAGTCACTGTGTCTCTGTTGCCACGTGCAGTCGTAGCCTAACGCTGAGTTGCGAGAGTAGAAGCCTGACTGACATGCTCTTTTGCGAAAAATCTTTTTAACTCAAAGTTGAGTTTTCCTCTTGCATGATCAGGTATCACTTGAGGTTTAATGGTTAAACTCGTGACTAATTAAATGATTTTGAAGGTTTTCAGTGGGTTTAAACTTTATGGTACCTCATTGTACCGGTTATTCATCGGCAAGATTCAATTCCACCCCATGTCGTGCATACACACAAACGCCTTGGCAGCGCCTCTGCAAGGGGAAAAAATCATCATGCGAGGAGAAGACAGTCTAAGGAACCTACATTGCGGAAAAATCTGCACCTAATTCTACCCTTTGCCTAAAATCCTCGTAGCTTAAACGCCATAGCTTCTCGCAGAATACAAAATAACCTCTACAGTAGCCATTTGATTACCTACCCAATTAGGCAATCAGTCAATCCGCTTATGTCAGCTGAAAAGTGGATCGGAAGCCAAAGAACTTTGCGGGCGAATCCCGAAATTATACTTTCCAAAATTTTATTGAGCAACAAGCCCGAGTCTTGCGATTCGATTCTGGGCCTTAACTAACCCCTGTTAACCCCGTTCTAGATTTTTATTATTAATAGTCTTTTTTTGCATTATATTAACATTCAGAGAAAGTATCCACACTGCTCAGGGGACCATGGAGAGCTAGAAAGGGACCTTTAGAGTCGGCATTCCAGGTGGACGTGTGAAGTGAAGTACGGAGTAAAGCCTACCGAGGGAAAACAGCTCAATTCACATAGTGTGCACAAGAATGGCAAAGATATCTTCGCTTACGTGTTCATGACAGAACGCTGGGAGTATTGTGGCTTGTTAAGGATGTGTCTATGCTCGTGCCGTAGCAACAAAAAGGTGTAGTAAGTGTGTGTTTAGTGTTCACATGATTGTTATAGTGCGATTCAAGCCAGAGGAGAGGGGCAAATACGGAGGGACCTATCGATCTACGGAGTATGTACAGTACAATCCTTAGCATTAAAATGCCTCAGTCCCAAAGTGAATGGGCACGGTCTAATTGTATGAGTAGCTAGTATGTACCGCTCGGGTCTAAAGGGCCGATACCATGAAGTATATTAGAACAATTGCTTGTTACTGCCAAGCAACGACCTTAGCTCGATTCGGAAAACAAAGCGGTTCCCTACAAATACTCCTTGATCGAAACGAGTTGTGCACGCGAACACAATTCAAATTCTTATTCACCTAGGCTAAGCTCGACTATACTTTCTCCCCGTCAAGCCAGTCAGCCGCTATGGGGGCCACGAACGTAAAGTATTGTACTTCCCACAGCTTAATACTGGCCTTCAATAGTTAAGGTTCCCGTTTTAGTCACCAAATACTCGTTCACAGCGACATCCTTTCCACTCTCCTTTCCATATCCAGACTCCTTAATTCCGCCGAAGGGCGACTCGGCGGCGGATTGGTTACCTGAAGCGGTGTTAGCTGGAATCGAAACAGTTCCCATTGGACTTCGCCAGGGGGAGAAGAAACATACCTGTGTTCATTCCGATCATGCCGGCCTCCAGATTCTCCAACAGACGCCACATGCGGTCAATGTTCTTGGTGAATGCGTAACTGGCCAAACCCATGCTGGTTGCATTGGCCAACTTCACAGCCTCGTCTTCACTCTCGAATCTATACAGCGCAGCAATAGGCGCGAATGACTCCTCGTGGGAGATTTGCATCTCCTCCGTCATACCAGACAAGATAGTTGGTTCGAAGAAGTACCCCTTCTGCGAGGCCAAAGGCTTACCGCCCATGAGCACCTGCGCGCCGTGCTTACGAGCATCTTCCACTTGGGCAATGGCCTTGTCAATGCTACGAGGGGTCGTCAATGGACCCATAGTAGTATCAGCCGAAGCACCATGGCCAACGACCAGAGCGCTGGTACGCTCCTTTAGCAGCGAGGCGAAGCGATCGTAGATACCGGCTTGGACGTAGATACGGTTAGCCGTAATACAAGCCTGACCGGCATGGCGCCACTTAAGAGCCATAAGCTGGTCCAGAGCCTGGTCGAGGTTTGCATCGTCAAAGACAATGAAGGGGCAATTGCCACCTAGCTCGAGAGTGAGCTTCTTCAAGCCCTGCGCACAGTGGCCAGCGACCAACTTGCCCACCCGCGTCGAGCCGGTGAAGGTCACCTTCTTGACGAGCGGGTGCTTGCATAGAGCCTCGCTAAGGGGCGGAGTATTCTCCAAATCCGTGGTCAACACGTTCAGGACACCCGCCGGGATACCGGCGCGCTGGGCCAACTCTGCCAGGACCAACGCCGAGATCGGGGTCTCCGGGCTAGGCTTAACCACCATAGTACAGCCAGCTGCCATCGCAGCACCGACCTTGCGTAGCACCATAGCAACGGGGAAGTTCCAGGGCACCAGCGCGGCGGCCACACCGATCGGCTGCTTGATAGTGAATAGACGGCGGTTGGGAGCCGCAGGGACCGACACGGTACCCTGGATACGCTCCGCTTCGCCTGCGAACCACCACAAGAAACCGAGAGAGTAGTCTAGCTCGCCGTATGATTCTGCCAGAGGCTTTCCGGTCTCGTGGGTGACGATTTGGGCGAGGTCGTCCCTCGCCTGGGTGGTCAAGTCGTGCCACTTGAGCAACCACTTGGCACGCTGACGCGGGCTCACTTTGCGAAACTCTTCGAAGGCAGCGTGGGAGTTTTGAACTGCGGCGTCTACATCTTCGGCGCTGTTGTTAGGGCAGCTTGCCCATGCCTGGTCAGTGCCGGGGTCTTGATTAGGCAAGAGTATTAGCAAGAGGCACAGATATATATCGTGGGACGATTGCAACCATACCAAGTACTTCGAATCGCTTCCCACTCTTTGCAGTCACCCATTGGTTACCGACAAACGAGTCGAAATGCAACAAGGTTGGGTCATTGAGCTAGATTGCATCAAATAATTGTTAGTTTTACTGTCATGTTTCTATCGCAATACTTTTGCAGCTCTGCCCAAACACTTCGGACATCTTGCCGAAGCCCCCCACCACCCGTCCCGTAACACAGCGTAGAGAACGAGAGCTTCCGACATAAGTAAAGAGAAGAGAAATACCTTGAATGGTAGTTGGTATTGCTGTGCCATGATGGGTGATATACTCTGGAACAATGATGAAAGAAAGGAACCAATTTTGGGCGGGGATGTTCTTTATGAGGGGAAGAGATCAACACCGAGGTTGAACCCCTCATCGCACGGCGGAACACGGTCAACCCAAACTCCACCGCGTCGGTGACAAAGATAAACTTCAGGATTCGGCTGTATGCGCGAAAATTGGAATCTGACAAAAGAGATTTCGTCCGAAGAAGGCATTATGCGTCATCTACCCATTACTAATTAAATCTTTTTTTTTGTACAAAGGAAATATTCCCTGACCCCATCGAGGTCAACCACACAAGTACCAACCACGCGGTAGGCATGTCTACACCAGACTGTCCACGCTGGCATGCTTGCCATCCCGCGACCGATCATCGGGAGTCACTTCACCAACGGTATACTTGACAGACACATCGGTGGTCTTGACAATACCAGCAACACCATCCTCGCTGCCACTGCTGATACTCGGACTGTCTCCGCCACGGCGATACTTGCGCATGTCGAAGCGACCATTCCCGTGGCCGATATCCACGGTATGTCCACCATTCGGGTCCGCCATCTCGTATCCATCGTCTGCGTGAGAGTGCAGCTGCGACTTGTTTGTCGCGAACAGCTTTGATCCGGGGAATCGTCCGCGCGAGCCACTGGTGCCGGCGCCGTAACCAGAGGTTTCGCCGCGGGAGGTGCCGAGGAGACGGGGTAGGTATCGGCTGGCGATGGCCTTCATGGAAGGGCCGCAGGCAGTAACCACGGCGACGTTTACTTCGATGGCGGAACTGCAGAAGCCAATGGAGTAGGTTGGGTCGGGGTTCGGGGCGTGGGTGAGGAAGCCTTGCGCAAGGATGACGATACGCCAGACACCGATGGCGGTTGCACTGTTGAATGAGTGTTAGAGTGCCAATCAAGGGGACGGAATCGGGCTCTATGGTATGTCAGATGCGGTAAACTTACACTCCACCAAGGCACAGGATGATGCACACGGCGATCTTGCGTCGCAGGGGCATCTGCAAGCCCCAGGTGATTATGATGGGAATTGAGAGCACGACGCAGTCGGTGAAGAGGTTGAGTGCGGCGGTCGAGACATAGAAACCGCCTTGGTCAATGCATTGGCCACCTGGGATCGAGGTATCGTAGACGTAGGCGACAGGACGGCATTGGAAAATATCAACAAACAGTACGGCGAGGAAGAGGCCAATGACGAAAGCCATGGCGCCCCAAATCAAGACATTGACGACGCGCGACCGAGATTCCAGTCTGCGCAAGAATACCAGGATAGACAACTTGATGACCGTCAAGGTAGGATTGTAGAGGAGCTGGTTGGCATAGTTCCACTGTTTACAGTCATTAGGGTCAGTTGGTGCGTGGATCTTGAGCAGTGGCTTGGATACTGACGATTAAGCCTCTTTTGACATCGTAGTCTTTAGGAATATCGGCGTAATGGATACCGACATAGTTGGTTTTGATATCTAGGAGGCTCTCTAGTCAGTAAACGATTCTTCTTTGCTCTTTTTTGTTTCTATCGGGATACCCACAATACCATGAGGTCACGGATTGACCGATGGCCAGAATCTATCCCAACAACGTCAGTTTTTCGATATCCTATCCGTAGAGAAAAGAAACAATCCCATACATATCCTGCCGTGATTAGATAGTCATCTAAGTAAACTCGTTAGTCGTCTGTCGATCACTGGGGGGCAAAGGGTCCATGCATACCGCTGGTGAGTGCCGATCGTGATAATTGACGACTCCAGAGCCTTAAGAGGACGGACAGTCCACCCAGAATGGGGAACGCGACCACGATCCCCAGCGCAATATTTTGTTGGTGAGTATCAACCATCGTCCAGCATTCCCCAGAGGCCCAAATCGAGGAAGGGGGGAAAAAGGGGAGGGGAGGGAATAGTTTCAGGCCAGAGTCTCGGGGTTATAACGTTTCCATGCAGACTAAATGTTTACAGTGTACAGGACCAAACTACACCAACAGTGTAGCCGTGTAGGGTATCCGGTACCTTTGTCCCTTTTCAGGTTCCTGCCCTCGTGCGAAATAACAATTACCATTTTCCAGAAATTTACTTAATTCACAGCACCAGGCGCTGGTAGTCCGGATCCCAATTGGCTGCCCATGGCCCTGGAAATCCCGACGAGGGAGACCGACTGTGGATAGTGGGCGAGGCTAGGACGGACTCCACCGGAGGATTGATATGAGAGAGACTGGGAAAGAGAGCCTAGTCCTAGAGGACGAAGACCGTTTCGTGGAATCCGTACTCCGGAAGAACTACGGGAGATGCCCTTACGCACGGAGAAAAAAACAAACTCTATTGCGTCGGAGCCAACAAAGAGGGTCGAATTGCCCAAAAAAGCAGTCTGGAATCCACAAACTCTAAGAAAATTTAGGGTTCTCCGTCCCAAAGAGTACATAACGTTGGATCAAAGTATGTACTTCGTACTTTTAGATAAACACCCATGTTTCTTCAGACGCACAAATGTGCCAATAATTACGGGAGGAAAAAGCCTTGCAAGGAATGGGGGCTAAACTAGCAGAACAGAAAATTCCTTACGGCTTCGACGCTATCGCGTGGGAGATAATTATTTACTTGGCACTGAGTAAGTGTCTTGTCGTAGGCTAACCACAGCCGTACTGGCGCCGTTACATCTGAGACAGTCATCTCGCTTTTTTTCGTTCTCAAGGCCGAATGCGCCCCCCACCTCCCCAGACCCAAAAAAGAGGCACTCCGTACAAGCACCCTTGTACAATTTCGGGCGTAAACCATGCCTGGTGAGGGAGTACGTTTCCCCTGAGTCAATTGTACCTACCAATCAAAACCGTTGAAAACAAAGTTTAACCTTTCAAAGGATTTGACCACAAAGGCAATTGCTGGTGGTGGGAAACAACAGGACACAGTGGACTAATATGGGGCATTACCGTTGATTCTAGATCTTTGGTACAAAAAAGCCACGGCCGAGTGGGGAAAGTTGTTCTGACAGACTCAGTCAATGGGAGAAAAAAACATTGAGGATATACCGGGTTATGCTGGGACCTTTAATTGCTTGTTCATTCTTGGCCACTTATGCAAAGCAAAACAAAAAGGAGGTAAATATGAATGTTATTCACGTAAAAGAAATTCTTAACCGAGTACGATCTACTGAGCCGAAGCTTCCAGTCCAAGCGTCCTCCGATCTTTGTCAATCCGGCCGATTCGGAGAAAATCCCCTGTGGAGCGCAAGTGTTTTGGTAGGTGGGGGGTGGAGACCTGATTCCTCCAGGGCCGAGAGAAAAAAGGGCATCGTGGATAATGAGGTGGTTGCATAATTACACAAGACCTTCGTGCCTGGATGTTTGTACGTACAAACCTCTAGCTTTGTATTTCGTCCTGTGTCCTCCGTAATCGGCAATGGGTGTGAACTATAATTTTCTACTTCTTAGCCGGGATTCTGATCCGTGGATAGCATTCTACAGACTAATTTCACCAGGCTGCAGGGGTATAATCCCTCAGAGGCGCCTCGAGGTAGCCTGGCCACGTACCCCAGTAATCTTCAAAGAAGTTTAATAAGTACGACTTCCGCAAAAGTCAGTCCCAAGAATGAAGATAGCGCGAAGCGTGGCTGTGTGGTTGCATATCTGTCGCGCTACTCTTCCTATCTACATAGTAAGCCGGTAGACGTCCGTATTCTGTAAGCGAGGGGGTATACTCCAAATACAGAATAGTATAATCCGTAGAGAGAAATCAATAAAGCCGGGCGCTCCGTGATTTAGCCCGGAAGTTGAGCAGGGACCAAGTCGATTCTCCGACTCCATTGATTATACTTAGTCTTCCACCCTGTGTCCAGTACGCAGTGGGTCTCCCGATCGGGAGATAAACGGAAGCGCGCCTCCACCATTGCGGTAACAAGTCCGGCATCCCAAACCCGCTGGACGTTGGCCTAGAGCGCTTGTCTGCCACGTTGTGGCGTGTCCGTTTGATTATTGTTTGCGCGTAGCGTCTGTATAGCGTTGCGCTACGAAGAAATAGTGACGGCCGCAGCACAAAATAGCAATTCCCGCGTGGTTGTCTCGGTCAAGAATGGTCGGCGTGGTCAGTCAGACTCGATAGGATTGGCCCATCATCAGTCCATAGTGGAGCGGATCAGGGCTTCGCAGAGGAATCTCCGAGGTTTTGCTCACCATTGTACCTGTTTAGTCTCTCTCCCCTGGCAGTGTCTTGCCTGATAGGGCATAGAACAGATTGCAACCTCGTGGTCAATGGAAGCTTGGCCATGTCCGGAATCTTCAAGTGCCGAACGTTCGCTGGACGTTGGCTCCTTTTTCAATCTCGCACGAACTGCTTTAAAGCACGTCGTTCCCACTCCATCCCGGCAGCTCTTTTGGAAACCATCTCGCGGAATCGTGGGAGCAATTGAGCCACTTTTTGAGTGTTGATCCTTGGTTCTTTCGACTCCATTGAAAGACAAAAAAAAGAAAGGCACTCAATCTACCTTTCGATAATTTCATCGCCATGGCGCCCCGTTCCATCATCAAGGGTGCCTTGCTGAGTGCTCTCGCACTTTCAGCCCCAGTTACAGCTCAAGTGGCGGAACAAGTTTCGTCGACTTCAGGCGCTGGAGTCCCACTCTTCACGAGTGAGACCCTTCAATTGACCGAAGATGCTCTGGCCAGCCTCAACCCGAACCAGTCCGTTCTCTTCCAGTTCGGAAACTCCACCAACTCCAGCTTGTCTGCCCGCAGCATCAGTGGATGCAAGGTCTACCCTGGCGACTTCTTTTGGCCCTCCAAGCTGGTTTGGTCGCTCTTGGACAAGTTCCTCGGTGGTGCTTTGATCAAGACCGTGCCTCTGGCTGCTTCTTGCTATTCCTCTTGGGACGAGTACGATGCCGATACTTGCGCCAGCATCACCGATGACTGGACCAACTCTAACCTCCAGTAAGTTCTGTGAACTGAACTTTATATATAACAAACTTCCAATTAGTGCAAGCTTTTACTAACTCTAGTCTCTTAGTGCTGCCGATTCTGCCTCGGTGATGTGGCCCCTCTTCGAGGGTAGAACTTGTCTGCCCACTACCAATGCCTCCGCATCCTGCACGGTCGGTGGCTACAGCAGCTACGCTGTCAATGTCAGCACTGTGGCTCAGATCCAGCTGGCTGTTAACTTTGCTCGTAACGCTGGTATCCGTCTGGTTGTCAAGAACACTGGCCACGACTTCAATGGCAAGTCTACCGGTGCCGGTGCTCTGGGTATCTGGACCCACCACCTGAAGGAGATTGACTACATTGAGAACTACAAGAGCAAGAGCTACCAGGGTCCCGCTGTCAAGATGGGTGCCGGTGTTCAGGCCTTTGAGATCTACGAGAAGGCCAACGAGCTTGGCTTCTCCGTTGTCGGTGGTGAGGGCAAGGTAAGAACTGCTCCTCGAAGCTTTATTCATTCAGTTAGCTAACATATACTTTAGACTGTCGGTGTTGCCGGTGGTTACGTTCTTGGTGGTGGCCACTCGCCCCTGTCCAGTATCTACGGTCTGGCCGCTGATCAGGTTCTCGCCTTGGAGGTTGTCCTTGCCAACGGTCGCTTTGTCACCGTGACTGAGGAGAGCGACCCCGATCTCTTCTGGGCCATCCGTGGTGGCGGTGGTGGTAAGTTTTAATTCTCAACAATTCAGCATGTCTTTTTATCTAACATGGTCACCAGGTACCTTCGGTATTGTCACCTCTGTCATCTCTCGTGTCCACCCCAAGGTCGGCGTGACCGTGACTACCTTCAGCTTCTCCACTGGCACTGATGTTTCCGCCGACACCTTCTGGGCCGGTGTCCGCTCCTACATGGAGCGCTTCCCCGCCCACGCCGATGCCGGTACTTACGCCTACTTCTGGATTCTCAACACCGGTACCGACTCGTTCGAGTTCCTGATGAACCCCTTCTTCGCTGTCAACCACACTCTGGCCGAGTACACCGCTCTCGTCCAGCCCTGGTACGACGAGCTCGCGGACCTGGGTATCTCCATTACCCCCAACTCCACCTACTACGACAACTTCTACGATGCCTGGAGCGCCGGTTTCCCCCTCGAGACCGTCGCTTCCTCCGTGATGATGACCGGCTCCCGTCTCTTCCCCCGCGCTAACTGGGAGAGCGACTCTCTGTTCAACTCTACCTTCGACGCCCTCCGCTCCACCATCTCCGAGGGCTACGTCCTCCTCGCCTTCAACCTGAAGGCCGAGCTCGTCGACGGATACCCCTCCAACTCGGCCAACCCTGCCTTCCGCAACACCCTCCTGCACGCTATCACCTCCACCAGCTGGGACTCCGACGCTACCAACGCCGAGATCCTGGAGAAGATGGATTACCTGACCAACGACGTCCTCGGCCAGTGGCGCGCTACTTGCCCCGACTCTGGCGCTTACATGTCCGAGTCTGATATCCAGGAGCCTGACTTCCAGCAGGCCTTCTACGGATCTAACTATGCTCGTCTGTACAAGTTGAAGCAGCTTTATGATCCTACTAACCTGTTCTATGCTCCCACCGCTGTCGGCAGTGAGAACTGGGAGGTTAAGAGCGCCGATGGTCTTCCTGACCAGAACGGCCGTCTGTGCCGTGTTTAAGGGGTGTGGTGCGATTAAGAAATTTCTTGTATATTTGAAAAATTTGGGAGGGTTGTGTATATTTTGTATAGTAGTACCTAGTGCTGGGATTGCACTACGTTCTTTATAGAGTTAATCGGATATTTTCCTTTTTCAACTTTTTCTCCTCCTCGGTGTGGCCTTTCTCCATTGATAAATGATTGTGTGATGTGACTAGATATGAATTGATATTCCTTGATCTCGAGGTGAAGGAGACCATGACTCTTAACTTGATGTACCCCGCGTGGGCTTCGTATAGACTTTGTGGCATGCTGAACTCAGCAAATAGCTTTCTCCACCAATCGCGCTCAGACGATGTGGTCTTTGAGGACTATGCTATGGCAGAATGACTATAGAGTATCTCCCTATCCGATCTTCCCTTCAAAGATATATGGAAATTAAAGGTATATTAAAGCTATGATTATTTTTTTTTTGCAATCATTTCCTTGTTCACATGGTTGAATTCCCACGTTCGTATTCAGGTACCGTGTAGAATAGCCGCATCGTGCACATGGCCAGAGCGTCTCCACGGGAGTCCCAAGAAGATGACTGATTCGTTACCATCCAGTCACGAATCAAGCTTCACAGCCAAGCTATTGATCACAATGCCGATCAGAGTGTCTGTAATTAACTAGAAAGTATTAGCATAATCAAATCGTAACGAGTCCCATTTCCAAGCAATCAGGCAACGGTCGAAAGCAAAGCGGAAGGTTAAGTTGAATCTCCAGTCCATCCAACCAATCAGCACTCGTGAATGACCACATGCCCGCACTGCTGGCTTCCAACTCTCCAAATCCCACAGGGTCCCAAGTCCAAAAGCTCCATGACCACTCGAATTCCCCAGCATGGCGAACTTTGTTCAACGCCTCCATGTGCTTTTAAAGCTGCCAGGGTCTTCTTGTGCGCCCCCCGAAAATTCAATCTTCATGTCACCTCTGCGTTGACATACTCCCTTCGGGGGAACCCCCAGTCACGATGAAGGTTACTACTCACTATGCGCTCATTGCGGTATTGCTCTACGCGGCACTGGGCGTCGCGTTACCTTTCCAGCTCGTCTTGACTAGCGATACTCCGACAATTCGCTTCAAAGATAGCAGTTTCCCGCAGAAGGGTCTTCCCGAGCCAATCCCCGAGACCAAGCCATCGTTCAAGCAGTATATCGAGCAGACGCGAGAAGAATCGCAACCTCCGACTACTGCGACGCCGGATATCGAGTCCAATACGTCCGAGAAGAAACCAGAACACAGAGAGTCCAACTCCGAGTCTGAGAACGATCACGACCGCGCGTTCCGAGATCACTACGGTGCCGTCCTCGGTAAACTGGGCAAATTCATCCCCAACGAAGACATCTCCGACGCGCAGCCAATCCAAAAGGCGAAGATTCAGCACACCAAGCATATCACGCCCACATCCCGGATAATCACATACCTCAAACCGGTCGATCTACTCGACATCATCGACCAACATGGTCCGGAGTGCGTCGCGCTAGCTATCTTCGTGCTGGTCCCCATCGCATACTTCCTTCTCGAATTGCTCGAATTAGCCATTGGCTGTTGTACTCGTGAGCGATATCCCCAACGTGGTCGGGATCGCGTGCGACTCATAGGCCCGGAGAGACAATTACGGGCGTGGAGTAACAGGCAGCGTGAACAATTCTTGGAGAGCGAGAAACATTGGTGGCAAGTGCGGAGGACTCGGTGAAGTCATCTGCGCACCTCAGTCGAGGCGGATTACTTTCATATCTCACTATCTTTTGTCCTTCTTTCTCGACATTTTCATTTTTATGATCATTCCTTACCTTGATACCCATTTACTCTAGCCGATCTTTGCAATGATATTTTGATTTTGATTTGAAGTTTGGTTTCTTAAGGCGAGCAGCTGCATCTCGTTAGTCCGGAGTAATCCCCGCTAAGGCTGTTAGGCAGCTCCTAAGCGCTAAACATAAACAGCCTTGGCGTAGCAGTTCGAGCCGCTCACCTGTCTTCCTTTCGTACGGACTCGACAATAAACTTGATTGAGTATTCAGCACGCAATGTCCAACGGGTTCTCCAAACTACCAAACGAGATTCTAGACCTGATTCTCGGTCGCCTCAACAAACATGATTGGACCATGCTCACGAGGTGCTGCCAGCATCTCCACAATCGGATCAACCCCGTGCTCTACCAATCCATCGAAACACCCTGCTACTGCATCGGCATCCACAAAACCCTAGTCTACACCCTCCTCACCCACCCAGAACTAGCACGATCAGTCCGCAGCCTAAAAATAGGACGTCTCCCCTACGGAGCTGATCCAAAGTCCTACGCCAATCATCAGCATGAGCATCACGACTCCCTTAGCTCCAAACCGGGTCTTTTCCAGCTTCTCCAAATCCCCGGTTCCAAGTCCTGGAAACGCAGATTATCAGATATAATCCAGAACCTGGCGGATAGAAAATGGGAACGAACGCAGTGGATAGAAGATCTGCAATCCGGGACCCACAGAGACCCCTGGCTCGCCATCTTACTTTCTCTCCTCCCAAATCTCGAAACGATAGAACTCTTCTGGGGCGGATCAGGTACCCGATATTCCTCATGGGTTCTTTCCAAAATATCCCAACGCTGCAAACCATTCGATACCCGACCATTCTGGACAAACCTGCACACAGCAATAATCAAAATTCCCGAAGACGAAGGCGCAGACACGAATTTCCACCGCTTAATTCCATTCTTCATACTGCCCAGTATCCGCACATTCAAGGGCCAACTCTTAACGGATAAATACCTCGAACCAACTCTCAACATTGAAAGGTCACCACTTACAAACCTGGAATTTATCCAGTGCAGCAGCGTCCTCGGATTTAACTATCTGATCAAGATCTGCCCGAACCTGCACTCGTTTAAATACATGCAGCAGGAGGATAATTGCCTGCACCGCTCACCGGGATATAATAATATCTATTTCGATACACTGCGCCCGACGCCTCTGAAAGATGCACTAGCGACGCGGAAAGATACGTTGCAATCTGTGACGGTGGATGTATCACGGCGGTCGTCGAATTATGGAGGGTTCTACTCTGATGATTGGATTGGGTGTATGAATGATTTTACACAGTTGAGGTCTTTGCATATTCGCGCGGCGAATTTTGTTGGTCTGGGGAGGAGTCGGAGGTTAGATGTTAATCCCTCGCCGAGGGTGCCGTTGGTGGAGTTTCTTCCTGGTTGTATTGAGGAGGTTTGGATTTCGGAGGTTGAGGATCGGATTTTGGGGACTATTACGGGGGAGTTGTTTGGATTGGTTTGTTCGGGGGAACGGTTTGGGAAGGTGAGGAGGATTGATGTTGAAGGGAAGAATTGGTTGAAGGGGCGAGTAGAGAATATTGGGGAGGAGGCTTGGAGGAAGTTATATCCTGATTATGGGGTGTTGTTGAGGGAGGATGTTTTGGTTGCGACGGAGGAGGTTAGAACGGCTTGTTTACGGAGGGGGATTGAGTTTCATGTTAGAGATATGGAGGTTGAGGTTGTTTTTGAGGAGTATGATGACGTGTTTTTGTTTGTTAGAGGTGATGATGAGGAGGATTAGATGCCACTGTTACAGGTAACACATTCAATTAGTTTGATGGAACTCGTCATATCTGCATCTCTTCGAGAGTAATAACAAGATCCAATTATGAAACCATATTTTGAAACCGAAAAAATTATAAATCTGCGCGCAACCATTAAACAACACCGGCAAGCAACAACGCCTTCAACATTCAAGCACCCCTCCCAGGAAGATAAATCACTCATCAGCACTCTGCTGGGTGATCTGTTGAACACCATTCTGCATAGCATCGAGATGAGCAAACTTATAAGTATCCTCACCGAGAGACCAAGCCATAACACCACCCAAGTTCTTAGCTTGCACGATATCGGAGAACTTGCGAGTGATCAGGTCAGGAGTATCCCACGACCAGAAGAGGTTAGTCTCCTCGTCCCAGTAGTACTGGCCACCTTCTTCCTCGTCGGTCTGGCCATCCTTGGAGGCACGGCGCCAGGAGTCGGTGATAGAGATGCCCTTGCAAGTGCCGTAGTCGGAGAGACAGCCAGCCTGGCAGAAGTCGTCACCGGAACCGCTGGAGGAAATTAGAATCTGGACTATACGATGAAATACTGGCGGGAATGTGATAAGACTTACCAGTTGCCGTAGGCACTGCAGCAGGATCCCTCGGGGCACTTGGTTCCCTCGGAGTAACCGCACTTGCCATTGTAGGAAGTGGTCAGGTTGGCGGGGGGAGGATCCATGACACCCTTCTCAAAGGTGAAAGCACCAGATTTGCCGTTGTCAGAACCATCATCATTCTCAAGCTTGACAACCTTGCAGCCGAGCGGGTGCTCCTTGCAGTCAGAGGTAGGGTCGGTAGTAAACCACTTCGCGTAGTAGGCAAAGCCAAGGTTGACCTTCTCAGGCTCAAGACCGAGATCAAGGTAGGCCTGGATAGTATCGAGAGATCCCTCGACGCTGGTGTGGTGAGAGGTGACGTTGTCACGGCGGTTCATCAGATCGTATGTCATAACGTTGACCATGTCGACGGACTTGAAGATCTCAGGACTTTGCTCCTTGGTGAATGCGATCATGTCCTGGCGTCGGCCGGGGACGGCGATGGAAAGAGTCTTGTTGCCGATAGCCTCGCGGACAGCCGCCAGGAACTTGGGATAGGTCTCGATCTCGTCGACCTTGGCGGAGTTGGGGATTTGCTTGTAGTCCTGGCCGTTACCGCCGGGGTACTCCCAATCGATGTCTATAAAAATCAGAATCACGCCTTCTTGAACTACAAGGCAAACAAGATCTTACCAACACCGTCAAACTTGTTGGCATCAAGCATCGCAGCAACGTTCTTTGCGAAACGCTTGCGGGTGGTGTCATCCTTGGCTCCATCAGAGAAGCCGGCCGTGTCACCCCAGCCACCAATGGCAATCATGACCTTGGTGTCAGGTCCGAAGCGCTTGCGCATGGTCTCCACAGGCTCGAATGGCGAAAACGAAGGAGGGGAGTCGGAGTTGAACAACTTTGTCGGGGCAAAAGCCATGATCGCGTGATCAACCTGCCCTGTTTGATCACTTCCAGGGAGATCGGTAGTATGATATCTAGACCAATTAGACTAGACTAGACTCCCGTTCTATTGCTCCTCATCGAATACATACTCATCAATGTACATAGCGAACCGCGCCGCAGCGGCGCTCTGAGCGGCCAGTAGGCTAAGGGCAATATTCATCAACATGGTGAGATCGTGTCACACGACTTTGATAGCGGGGATGATAAGATAAAATTGAAGAATAAAGAAATGTCAAACGATTGACAAAGAAAGAAACCCGGAGGGACAACCCAGCTCACGGAAAGAAAGAGGTCAGCACGAAGCTGCAAAATCAACACGGCAGATGGGATAAAGGAGAAGAAACACAAAAGGCTCCGATATTACGCCCTAATAAGCTCCAGCAACCAACATAACACAGCAAAACATACCTAGAATGATCATCGGCCCCGAGTTTGGACCACCTGGCGGCCGAAGGGAACAATGCCCTCCGCATCCAACGACATGGTTCTTCGACCTGTGAAATGTCGTACATAGGGTCATTTCGCGGGGCGTGTGTATTCCATCCCTGCGGCAAAGTGGATCACTTCTGTCATAGGCAACGGATCCCCAACAGTATGGGGAAGGGGAGCTGAAGCCAAGGAGGGCACTGGAATGTCGGGCACACCGGGTGGCGCCAGGCTTGATAGCCTGGAAATAGGTCCTACTGGGTAACAGCTCGGCTCGATTTATCTGCATGGCAAGGCAAGTGAGATCCAACAAACTATAAATTAGTGAGGTATAATCCGGGAATCGAAACGGTTGTTCTGCGGGCTGGCGGGAGGCTTGTCATAGATCGCGGTTGGTGTTGGCATGCCAGACCGGCGACATTCATTCCACTCCCACCTACATTCCATCGGCGTCACGGAGTATTCAACTCCAGGGGTATAATCCAATCATGTGTTAGAACATTAATTTGAGAGATTTAACTGATGGCTTTGGGACATTGGCCTGGACGAGTGTCAATTTCTCGCGCTCCGGGTATAGACTGGCTGCACTACTGTGTGACACCTGTCAAGGCAATATGATGAAAATGCATAACACGATAGCAGAATAGGTCTCTTCGGACACAAATACAATAATCTAGGGGTATAAGATGGAGGCACAGAAACGCCCGGTCTATATGACAGTGGCGAAAATTATCCGCGGAGAAAGAAAACGTAGAAAAGCCGATCGGCCTTCAGTTCCAATGTCGTCGAATGATAGGACGTGCTGGATCCCAAGGACCGATGACCACATTCTTGTACTTCTGCAGACTGATCAGCCACCAGCTGCACCCACCCATGGAGAACGCCGTCAAGAGGCTTCCAAGGAAAGACCCAATGACAGCGGAAGCCCAGCCGCCACCCAGTGTCGTGCCAACAGCTCCCCCGGCAATAATGACCAAAGCAAGTGTTAGCATGACATGGCCAGTCCAAGATTTCTGTCGTAGCTGGCGGCGGAAAATCGGGAATAGCCCGAATACTTCCATAGAGAACAGCATCAGGCTGAACACGTGTGTCGTTGAAGGCAACCGGGAGGCAAGCACTGTCGATGCCATCACCGCAGCATTCGTGGAAAGAGAAGCCGGAAACTTGGTTGTGGCGCCAGCGCCCTCCCCGCTTCCGTAGTCAAAGGAGAATATGTTCATGATTAAAAGCCAGCAACTCAACGCCCAGATTGAGTCGCTCGCGGTAGACTTGGTGAGTGATTTTAGAATGGGGCTGAGTCCCAGCAAGGAAAAGTAGATCAAGAACGCCGATTTGACAGTTGATAGGCGTTGGCGATTGCGTGATGAGAAAAGCGATGCTCGCTCATTGTCTTGTGCATCTGTACTGCCAAGAGTAATACTAGGCGTGGTAGATGAAGATCCAAGGCGTAGAGCCGGATCCCCAATTCCTTCAAGGCTGCCATTGAATTCTGCAGTGAGTTGTGACATCTGTTCTTTCGACTCGTTTACAGACATTGTCAGTCCGAGGCCGTGGATTGGACTTCCTTTAGTGCCATTCGGCCGTTGTTCATTGCTTGACGGGTTGGCCGCGCTGGTCATGGAACTCGAACTGGACCCGTCATCACCAGCACTCGCAGCATTGAGACTCTGGGCAAGTTCGGCTTGCTCTTGCCATATCCAATTGTCCCACAAGATCCAGCCCATGGCGGTACCGACGCTACCCCAGCAGACGATCGAAACGGGACTCACACGGTCCTGAACAATGCCGACAAAACAGCAGACAAAGATAACCACGGAACAGACATGTTGAACAATGACAGTAGAGTCGGATACAAGAGGCCAGAAGTCGTAGGGTCGCACTCGAGGGTTCCGTTGCAGATGATCCAGGAACGTTTCGGTATCGGTATAGTTGTCGGGATCTATCGTAGCTCCGTTAGTCACTTCTTTCTAATCCAAGCGTTATACAAGCCGATTTCCAATAACATACAAGACTGTTTCACCCATAACAACTTCTTCCAAGCACCCTTTCGCCTTCGTCGTGGCCCAGCAGCACCCAATTTCCTGCCGTCCTTGCGGGTCAAATCCGCGCCAAGCGACCCCCGCGTCGGCCGCAACGTTGCAACACCCGAGCCATCCCCATTCAAGGAGCGCAAGCTTTCCTCATAGTTCGCAGGCGCCGAGCGTACTCGGGACAGAGACGGCGCAAAGTAAGCGTCCTCCGGCGCCAGACGATCAGGGTCAGGGATGCGGTCGTGCTCAGGAGGCCTTGATCCTGGGGCTCGATTGGGATGCGTGTCGACGGGGATGGGCGGGGGAATTGGCGACAGCGATGAGGATGGTGGAGTCATCGAGCTGGGGTGACTAGCATCGACGCATGACGTTTGTGAGAGAAGGGCGGACGTGGTCGTCAGACGATCGAGGTCGTCGGGACTTTGTAGAACACGCTATCCCACGTGTCACGACTTAAGGTCATGTGACAGCCAGGAGCCCTGAATCTACATTCAGCTGATCAACCGCGATATGGCAAATGACTTGGCTCACTATCTTAATATTGGAGAGATCTTGTAGTACAAATTTGAAATTGGTTTGCTATCATATCAATTTGGCCTTCAAAGGGCTACTCTCAACCGTGGTTTTTCAGGTCCTGGTATTCGGCGAACCAACTCGGGTCACTTCGATGATTCGATCTTTCCCTTCATCAAGACACATCTTCTTGACTTCTTCGCAAAGAGTATCAAACTCCTCCTTGCACCCCTCTCGAAGATATCTCTCCTCTGGGATACCTGGGACCCTCAGATGAAGTGCCATTTCGCCATCTGCTTCAGCGCTGTGGTAAAATTCCCTTGCCTTCTGGAAGATGGTGTTCACACTGCATCCAGCCATTGGAAAGACTCGGCCCACGTCTCGGTCACAAGAGAGAAGCTTGAATTGGGCTTTTGTATCGATCGGTAGCGAAGCATTCTCACTGCACTGGGCAATATTTGACTGAGACAAATCATCTTTTGTTTTCGGTCTCTTCGTCCGCGGTCGCTGTGTTCTGTCGTCGTCTCGCCTTTTGCGAGACGCGTTGTGCTCCAATGTGGTCAGAATATGATAGCCCTTATGCACATGGGCTGCCTTGAAAGGCTCAGGGAGACGCATTGTGCTCCAATGTGGTCAGAATATGACAGCCCTTATGCGCATGGGCTGCCTTGAAAAGCTCAGGGTCAAATTCTAGGCGCTCTTTCGATTTCGTTTCAACCGCACAAACTTCAGACTCCCAGCCTTTCTTCACTCCTAGCCAAGTGACGAAGTAATCCAGCCGCGTCACTCTCGGGGCCCCTTTCATTTCAAATGTATCACAAGTCTGAACTTGGAGTGCTTTTGAGGATCGAACTAACCGAGGCTGGTCTTTCTCCGAGAAGATAACAGCCGCAAAGTATTCCCTATGCAGGAAGCGTATATCCATACCGACACGGTAAATACAAAGACACAGCTCCTCTCCGCTCTCACTGAAAACTTGGCGTGTCAATTCAGTTGAGGAAGCCCTTGAATAATTCCCCCTGAACGATGTATTCGAGCATGGAGCCTGAACATCTGGATGAAAATTATGCCATTCCTGGAGCATCTTCATGAGATGCGCGGGAAAAGGGCGACCAGCGCCATAAAAGACAAAGAATTTCCACAGTCGTCCACCGTCTGAGCGACAATCGAACAAAGTTTTAGCTCCTACCCAACGGGGGAAGTGTGACGACTTTAGATACGTATATTTGACTAAAGAAGTTGCGAGACCACTGGGGCATGTCGATGCTTTGGCCGTCTCAACTTGAGATTTGGAATATTGATCCTCATCATCGGTGTCATCTTCAATGATGATCAATTCAGAGAATGCATCAGGTGCCTCGGATTTGCCACCCTCTACCTTAGGACTTGCCTTTTTGCCGTCTACGGGCTCTTCTTCCAGATTTACCACTGGTACCTGCTTCCTCTTTGGCCCCGCCGTAGTGATAATTGGCACTGGTTGAGGGGGTTTCAGGAAGCTGAATGGTGGCCGAACCTGCCCTGTGTCCGGCACACCAGGCTGCTGCTTAATGTCTCGCTCTTTTTTGATTGACGACTGTACTTTGGCCATGGATCGAGTGACAATTGATCTGACCCGTTCCGGATGTTTTGAAGTTGGACCCTTGGTCACCTCGTTGATCGCACCTTGGGAAGGGCTCTCTTCCTCCGAGGGTTCAAGAAGCGAGATTAGCTCAATCTTGACCTGACTATCCACGTGTTGGCCCGGTGGGGATATATCGGTAGCGGACTGATCGAGTGAATCAGTTGCTTTCTCGGACTTGATACTCGTGTTGCCATTTGAAAGGGATGCCTTGGACTGGTCTTGACTGATATGGAGTGATTTGATCGGCTCAAGCGTAACATTCACAGACTCCGACTCGGCAGGGAGAAATGGAGCATCAATTGAATCACCGCGTGTAACGGTGATACGCTCAGCAGGAGACAATGGAGTATCGATTGGATCGGCACATGTAACAGCCACAGACTCCGGCTCGGCAGGGAGCACCGGAGTATCAATGGCATCGACATGTAGAGAGTCAGCCGTAGGTTCATGTTTCTGAGTCGATGTAAATGACTCGTCAACACACAGGAAGACCTGAGGATCAGTCGATGAAGGTGGGTCCGTCATCTTGCACTGGATCTGCGGGTATGCGATTCGAATGGAGGTCTAGGTCTTTCTTCTTGTTGTTGGAACAAGCTGCTTGAAAGGAGGATGTATTATGAACGAACCTGGAAAGTTGTCAGAGCGGAGCTGTGAAAGAGAGTGCATGCGGGGGGAAGTGCATCAATATAAAGCAGGAATGACCTCCTGACTCTAAATCGGCATTGGGCAAACAGCAAAAAATATTTGAAGCAAATATTCATACAGGATTGCTATAGGCTGGGAAGTAGTGTAAGTATCTGAAAGCAAGTCCGTATCATGAATGCACGTAGTAGATCTGCCATTGAGGTGCTAATTAATACAGGAGCAGGATGGCAAACCAACCGTCGCATCCTGTTATCATTCTATCTGGCAAACAAGTCTTCTAAAATGTCATATCTGGCCATGCCGAAGGTTTCCCATGTAATATGATTGGTAAAGGTTTTTCATGCAATTCAAAATGCGGTGTGCCCTTCTGTAAACTGGAGCAGAAGGTATGTAAAGATTATCGTTTGTGGAGAGGTGGGGTTGTGAAAACCTCGACGAGTCAGATGAAGTGTATATTCCAAGGGGTATCGGTTGTTCCTCCAGATCTGGAGGTGAAGATAGAAAAAATGGAATTTTTCGCCAGTGATCATGACGAGCTGGGTGAACCATTCTGTTCAGGGTTCAAGCCAGAATTCATGACGATATTTCGGACCGCCTGCGGTGCCGCCACCTCGTCGATACTATTCCTGCGCCCCCAGTTCTGTGGCTGGCGTCGAAGAAAAGCACCGACGGCACCCAGGTAGCCCTCGTGGCGCAGGAAGTAGGCCTGCTTTTCGCCCTTGGACCAGAAGCGGATGGCGTAAGAGAGTGTGTTCATAGTCTGACGGTGGCCCCGTATGAAGGAACCTCCAAAGTAAATGTGCTTGACTTGATGCTTTTCCGACTGCAGATAGGCAATTTGACCTATATTGTTGCTGTATAACGAATTAGTAGGTTTCTTTCCGAGACAAGAACATCCAAAACATACCTAATAGCATATAGAAGACTTCGACTCATATCTTCATGTCGGAAGTTGACCCCGCCGTTGCTGCGCTCGAATTCCTCGTCGTGGATCAGACCCTCGCCATCCTCGGCGCCGCGCTCAGCAGCATTCTTCAACCGGAATACCTTGCCAAAGGTACTGGCAATAGCTGTGCTCTTGAGTCCAATCTTGGTATAGTCCATGCCGTAAATATCCCCCACCAACATATCCACTCCGGCGTTATCCCCGCGATCCGCCATGGCCAGCATGTCGTCAAACGTTCGCGCGCCAGTGAGCAAGGACATGAGTCCCCAGAATGTGCCTCCACCAAGGTGCGTTCCACCTACACGTTCGAACTGCCTGGGGCCAGAGACCTTGATCATGGACACGCCGGACCCTATATTGACAAGGAGGTACGGGTAAACGTCCGGTCGGGCCTCGGCAAATTGCATCGGTTCGGAATCGGTATCGCTGTAAGTGAAGACCTCGTTGGGAATTTCGGTGATGAAGAAATCGAGACCTAATTGCGCAAAATAGAACAACGCGATTAGATAAATTGCCTCGAGTGTGTCCATTTCCGGTCGTCCGAGCACCTACCGATGATCAGGCATTCCATCTCCTCCTCCCGCAGAATATTGACGTCCAGCGCCTCCTTCAGCTTATCGTAAAACTTGAATGCACCGCCTCCAGTAGCGACGACACACAATCCATCGGGTACGGAGCCATTGCGCTTCTCGTGTTCTTCCTTGAGTTGGCGGATAAAGTTGATGCAGATGTCGATCCGATGGGTTTCGAAATTGATAAAATTGAGGCGACCACCATTATCAGCGGCATCGAGCTCTCGCGTAAAGTAGACCAGTTTCGCCAATGATCCTCCGATCTAAAAGGAACATCAATTCACAGTCAGTCATGCTATTCAGGGACCACTCGTGCTCAGTTGCCTCCCCGTCGGCGGGATTGCGGGGACGGTCGGGGGGTGCGGGGCAACGAGCAGCGACGAGAGAAAAAAAGAATGCAGGGATGAAGACCAACTCACATCGACGGCGACATGGCTTACGACGCCAGTGTGATGTGGCAGACGAATGTCCTTGTTCTCGTAGTGAACGCCCTCGGCCTCGACGGGGCTGCGTGACCGAGGCTCATCGTCGACGATAAAGGCGCCCTTGACATTGATCTTGACGGCGCCGGGGTTGGAAATAGCCTCCTCGATCCGTGGACCCTTGCGACGGATATCAGGCTCCGTCGTAATATCTGAGGGGGCCATGGCGATTGCGGAAAGCAGAAGCAACGACAGCAACGGGCAGTGGAAGGGTGCAAGAGGAAGCCCTGGAGCTCCTGGCGGTGGTTGATCCCGTGCCCACGCTTACGGCGTATATTTCCTTCTACCCGCACACTGGAAACGGGGTTCCACTCCTCCCTTTCAATGCTCTCGGTGGACCGCATTTAAGTCAACTTGGCCGATTTTATCTCTCCAGGCCACCAGCAGGGGAGGGGCCGAGGATCATAGCTTCCGAGGTTCAACTGGGGGCAACCCATCGTAATCTTCCCGATCGATTGTCCGCTAGAAGCCGAGCGCACAGGAGACTAGAATTCTATGCCGATTAGCCTACCTAGCCCGGATTTGAGAAATTGCATAATTTGAGATATACTAGGTGACAGTGTGCTCGAATTGAGCATATTTCTGGCACATTGTAGTCGTAGACATTGGTTGGCACGATCAAATACTCGCTCGGCTACAGTCGGTGCAGAGGGACCTCAGAAGATATATTTTTTGGACAGAGTGGACCCTGACCCTTACCCCAGGTACTGCAGTGCCGCCAGGCCGAATTCTAGGCTTAATTAAAACTTGATATGGACTAGTAGGTGTCCCTAAAATAAAGTTCTGATCAAGATCTTGTTGAATACATACTACTCAATAGATGGACGTTGTCTATTCTTATGCAAAAGGGCGGTCTCGTGCGTAGAAAATCTCTACATTAACCAGGTATTTGGGTCAGCCTAACCCTAATCTGCATCGAACTATATGATACTGGAATCAAGGATTTACTTACGAGCGCGCATAGCTATTTTAGTATCAAAATACTGATTCAAGTTTATTGATCAAGTTGTCTGACTTTGAAAACAACTCTACTGTATCTATTATCAGAATTGGAATCCATATGCACTGGTTGTCTGAGTACTGGGCGTTGAACCCTTCGCAATCTATAGACAGCACCAGCAAAAAGCCTCAGAGCCTCAAGGTGATACATCGCACAAAAGAGACGCCGAAGCTGATTCCCCTCGGCAATCACCGGGACTGATCTTCAGCATTCATCAACCTCCAAAATAGGAAAGTACCACCATGTCGCCCGAAAAGGAAGGCACGCCTGCATCAAGGCCCCTTTGTTTACCTTCACGTCTTCTCTCCTCGTGATTCTCTTTTTTCTCTTCCCTCTTCCCTCTTCACCCTGCATCTCCCATTCCAAATCTCCCATCGGGTCATCCATTCGCGTATCTGTCTTCGCACATCCCCCCCCAAGCTGATATCACTGACGGGCTCGCTTTGCGTCCTGGACGTTCCCCTACTTTATCTACAAGCCATCAAATTCCCCAACTATCATCCTTGCTTCGTCTTCCATCGTCATCATGGACTCCTGGGGTGAAGTCAACGACGCCCTTCAGGATGTCACCAACAAACCTGATGAGCCCGTCGCCGACAACCACGACGACGACGATGAGCAGATGCCTGCCGAGGTCGACAAGCCAGCTCGGAATCCTCGCGATGCGGGATGGACTGAGCCCGTCCCGTTTCGCTATGAAACCTGGACTAACAAGGACTTCACTGGCTGGGCGAGCGCGGCGGCTCGATATGAGTGGAAGGACGAATACGGTGATGTTGGCCCTCGCAATGACGAGTTGGAGAAGCAGCTGTTCGGCGGTGAATTCATGTCTCGAGCGGGCCATCGCTTTGAGGAGTAAGTCCAACCCCCCTCTACCGATAGACTCATTGGATATGACGCTTAACCTTATACCCAAACCAGCCTAAAGCAGTCTCGCGAGCCGGAACCATACTCCGTCAGTATCGAGAGTGAGCTCAAGCTCCAGGCTATTGCAACGGTAACTACCCACTATTCCCAAAAAATTTCGATCGATTGCTAATATTATCTAGTTCGACGACGCCGGCCTCCACCCAGTTCTGCGGCAAAACCTTGAACTCTGCATGTACGTATGGCCAACGGCCATTCAGTGCTACACTATCCCGGCCCTCAAAGAAGGGCGCGATGTCATTGGTATCGCCCAAACTGGTAAGCATCCTCGATCAGAGTATTTCTGATGACGACGCGACTCACAAAATTAGGATCGGGAAAAACCGGTGCCTTTCTCATTCCCATTCTCTCCAAGCTCATGGGAAAAGCCAAGAAGTTGGCCGCCGCTCGACCCAACATTGCAGAAGGTTGGAATCCAAAGGAGCATGCAGTGACAGCAGAACCGCTGGTCCTGATCGTTTGCCCGACTCGAGAGCTCGCAAATCAGATATTTGATGACGCACGGAGACTATGCTATCGCTCCATGCTCCGTCCTTGTGTCGTTTACGGCGGTGCTCCAGGTGGCCTCCAGCGAGAGGAGCTTCAGAAGGGATGTGACATCCTCATCGGTACCCCCGGGCGTATCCTGGATTTCATGCGTCAGCCCCGGGTGCTGTCTTTGCGCCGTGTCCGGTATGTGTGGATCCGTGATATTGAATCACTCGCCTATCGAAGTGACTAACCGTTTGCGAAGATACACCGTCATCGACGAAGCCGATGAGCTTCTACAAGCCGACTGGGAGGCAGATTTCAACAAGCTTATGGCTGGAGGCGGTAAGCTATGACTCCAACTTCTGACCGTTGAGGTTTACCGTTTCAGGTGTTTATAAGCTCTCTCTCTAGACCTGAACGAAGATTCTGATCACCGTTATCTCATGTTCTCGGCCTCTTTCAACAAAGATTGCCGGAAGTTGGCTGCAAAATTCCTGAGCAAGGATTATGTTCGAATTCGAATCTCTCGCCCAGGCAGTGTCGTCCAGCACATTCATCAAGAGGTAAGTTGGTACCGATTGTGAGAAAATTCAGGCCGCTGACATTTTCCCATCACCTAGGTCCTCTGGGTTGACGGTCACAGGAAGAAGGAGGCTCTATACGACCTCCTTGTGGATTTGAGGCCCACTCGAACGCTAATTTTCGTGAACAGCAAGAAAGACGTTGATTTTATCGATGACTACTTGTTCAATCACGGGCTTCCCACCACTTCGATGCACGGCGATCGTCTTCAACAAGAGCGAGAAGATGCTATGTAGGATCTTCCCTCTTCATTTCAGATTCTTATCGATCCCTTACTAACTTGCATAGTCGTTCGTTCCGAACTGCCCAATGTCCGATTATGATCACCACCGGCGTCTCTGCTCGTGGCCTGGACATTGTGAATATCATGCATGTGATCAACTTCGACCTTCCCCGTGCCGCTCAGGGTGGCATTACGGAGTACATGCATCGTATCGGTGAGTATTATCATCAATCTAGCGACGTCTTGATGTTTTCCTAACGTGACCAAGCTGACGATATACCTTGCTCATTATAGGTCGAACTGCGCGCATCGGCAACGAGGGACTGGCGACCTCTTTCTACAATGACCGTGATGAAGAGTTGGCACCGGACCTTGTCAAATTGCTGATGGAGAGCAATCAGCCCATTCCCGAGTTCCTCGAATCATTCCGGCCCTCCGAGGCAAAATTGAGCTTTGACGATGATACCACGGATAGCGAAGCTGAGGATGCCAAGGAAGATAACAACGGTGCCTGGGCTCCTGACAGTGATGACGATGAGAAAGGTGACAACAACAACGAGGGTGATGATGCTCCATGGGGCTAGGATGGAGCCACCGAGGTGTCGGCGTATGATGAGCCTGCTGAGGAGGTCGCCGCAAGAGAGTCTGGATCCGTGGACAAGGACAATGTCGCCTGGTAACTAAGGGTGACAATTACCCAGTGATGATTCTGCTTCTGTTTGTCTTTGTCGAGTCCAACGTCCCTAATAATTCGCGAACTGGTGACACATCTTAACGGCAACTTCATGCGACCTGGAACTCATGCACGAAGGACTTCTATGGGAACCCTGCAAAACAAAGTGATGGAGATTCCACTTGTCCATGCGGCGGGATATGGAGGTTTCCTTGAGCATATTCGGAGATGGGTCTAGAGGGAGCTGTTGGATGTTTACTGTCAAATCTACAAATGGTTACTTTTTAATTGACCAATTCTTTCAAGGTGTCGAACGTAGAATTCTCGTAAAATTCTCGTAGATAGCAGGGAAAGAATGCGCTTTGCCAGTCGTAACTGCATCGCACTTTCCGTGGGACTTCACCTCCAGGACCTTATCCAAAGCACTGGCATTTCAGATTCATGTTGAAGTACATTGCATCCCCTTTTCCTTTCTGCATACCGACCCAATATTCGTTCTTTTATAAAGCTACATCATGCGACACTCCTTTCCCTTGATCACGCCAGTGCTGGCCTTGATCTTGATCCTCCCGACGGCGAGAAGTCTATTCATCCGGCCCTTTGATCAGCGTCCTTACGAGCAGCAACACTGGTTTGAAACTCGCCAAGATACCCTCCCAGATCCAGATCCTTCAAAGTCAGCCACCTCACTGATTATCGATACCTTTCAGAACCCCCTACACAATGATCTGGGGTTCTGGCATGGTACTGGCGAGAACTTGACCCTCCACCATGAACCGGGCTTCATGCGCCTGTTCCCTAATGACCCGGATCAGAACTTCCATACGCAGTTCAACACACACGAATGCTTCAGCTTGATTCCTTGGGAGGACCAGTATCTACATGTTGTGTTTGAGGGCAACGAGGAGTTTACTGTGTCGCTGAATGAACACAATGCGGAGTGCAATCCGGCTCGCTCGCCTTTCCCTGGTGTACCGGACAGCGTACAGGCATCGAGATACATCATGAGGACTCGATCGGGGAGTCTAGATAATGGAGACGACGACTGGGATGATAGTTCCAAGTTGGGGAGACCGAAGATGCCTGTCAAGGACGGGTTCAAGAATGACACTCGTGATGGTGGTCATCAACATCCTGCATGGGCAACGAGAACCGAATTGTTCATTCCTTTGTCACATTTCCGAATTAACAAGAATCGCGTTGTTTCGGTTTCTTTCACTGGCTTCTATACGGATGAGCCCATCACCCTCTACCGAGTTGAGTTCGTGCCGCATGTCCCTCATCCATCCGCGTCGAATAATTACTTCACTATTCCTGAAAAGCTTCCGACGGGCAAGTTGATTCTCCGCTGCAGTCGGCCCAACTCGTTTGCTTTTGGCATCGACGATGGCCAACCGCAATATGCACAGCAGGTCATGCGAATTCTGGATGAGGAGAATGTCCGGGTGACGTTCTTTGCGGTTGCTACTGGACTTAGGGATCGGTCGACCAATTTTACCAATTTCTACCGGGAGATGATGAGGAAGGGTCACCAGGTTGCTCTGCATTCGAATACGCATCCCAAGTGAGTCCTAGTTCTATCAGGCAATTTTCTACTCCCTCGAGTATTGATCGTTGACAATTTTGAAGGATGGAATCCTTGCCCACCTTACATGAAATCGACGATGAGATCGTCCAGTCCATACGAACCTTGCGGGATCAACTGAACATTGGCTGTACATTTAACCCTCCCATTACCGCGTGGGCATTGACACTGACAGTATCCTCAACAGCACGATACTTCCGCCCTCCCTTCGGCACCGTCGGTGTTCGCCTTCGTCAACGGCTGGCCCAGTACATCGACGACCCGTACATTGTGAATTGGAGCGTTGATGTGGAAGACTGGCTTTGGGAGAATACCACCACGCCGGAACGACAACTCGGTGCTTTCTACCGTGATGTTGCCCGAGGTGGAAATCTGGCTGTGATGCACTACCTCAATCCCATCACGGCTGGATACCTCCGGCATTTCATTCGGCATGTTAAGGGTCTTGGGCTTAATGTCATGCGAGTTGATCAGTGTCTGGAGGATCCGAATAGCCCGGCGTTGTGAGGGGTCTGCGGGGATGCGAGGGTGTCGTTTGTGTAGATTAGGTGGTGCGACGTTTTATTCCTGTGTGGGATATTCTTAGTGTATGCCTAGTGTGTATTGCTGTTCTTGATTCGACCTGTGCGAGGCATTATATAATTTTGTTTGACTTGACCTTTGCCCTGAAACGAACGAAGTGAGAGAAAGGGAACAGAACCACCCCCGAGCGCTCCACCAAACATGGCTTGCACCCCCACTGCAGAAAATCGCGCCAAGCCTGCTGCTGGTTCGCTGCTCTCTCGCTCGCTTGGGTTTAGCGTTACCGTTCACTTCTGGTTTAGCGTACACATTTAGCGTTCACTTCTGGTGTCTCATGCTTTTCATCCGATACCATGCTCTTTACGTACGTCTTTTGATTCTCAATCCTACATCCCAACAGATTTAGCTATGCTTGGGGCTCGTTCTTAACTTGTGTCGATCCGGAGGGTTCTTTACATCTGATTTTAAACGCCCATGAGGTTGACTGGCAAGATACCGTACCATAAGTGCCACACTTGTTTCCTCGTCGCTGAAGGTCTTCTTAGCCATCCTGGTGACTATTCGGATCCTCATGCATACAATATGCACTGCCCGGAGGCTGCTCTCCCCTCAGTTAGCTTACTAGGACTAGTCCGAGATGGAGGCGGGCACTTGAATACCGGGTCTACTCTGTTGCATTATGACCTCGAGACTACGCTCTATGAAATTTCCAGAAAGTCGTCTGTGACTTTTACAGTTTGCATGTACTTCAGGAACGGGAAACGTTGGACCAATTTTCCCATTCTTGCTATGCGGTCCCGAATATTTATTGACGGACGCATTTTCGGCATCACGACTAACAGGGCTGGCTGTTATACCCTAAAAACCGCATCTACTGCTGCAAAAGAACGCCCGAGTTTAACGGCGAATCAGATTGGACTCGAAGCCCGATCATACGTCACCGCCTCGATACAGATCTGGATAAAGGTTTCGTTGAATTATTGTGTAGATCAGGGCCTTGGCGGTCGAGACTTAGCTTGACCGCTTGCCAGTAACTAACGTAATTCCCGCCCGTCCCGAACACCCGCCCGTTCCGAACACCTAACCCCATTAGACTACTTCAAAATCGATTATCTCAACCAACTCCTATTGATTTAACTAGATATAGCGATTTTTACATACGTTGATTCTGTGACCAATCTCCCTGCACCCACTACAACTAGGCGGAGCCCTAGCTGCTGGCCTAGTTGGCTGACTAGGCAATTCGACCTCTGCATGCGAATCTACCCCATCATCTTCCTCTGGCTGGTTTAGCTGCTCAGCTAGCTGTATAGCCTCTTCAATGGTTAAACCCTCTGCGCAGGGTATCCTCCTAGTTGACCGATTGCGCTTTTTGATCATCTTCTCACTCGCTATACGTAGATTCGCATTATCCTCTGCTAGTAAAGCACCGCTGTGTAGCGCTAGCTGGAATCCCTTGATCATCTGGTCTAAGATCTCTTTTGATGGGCTCGGAGGGCTATTTGACCGCCGTTTCAGTAGATCTTTTAACATAGAAGCTTGCTTGAATAGCTGAGCGGCGGTTCTAGGCGTTTGTGGTGTGAATTCGCTAGATCTGCTGCTTGGACGGCTGCTTGGTGGTGTCGGTGTTCGTAGAGAGATATTAAGCTTGTTAAGCACTCTCTCGGCATCTAATGGTACTAGACCACTAGCTGCGAAGCTATTCTTGATAGTGGGATTGGCTGATTGGAAGGCTTCTAGCCGTGCGTGTTGGTAATCCACTAAGAAATCGTGCTTGTCGATATGGTTATATCCTCTACGCGCAAGATCGCTAACGAAGCGACCGTACGCGCGCTTAACCACTGCAAAACACCCAACATCTAGTGGTTGTAGTAGATGCGATGAATGCGCAGGCATACAAAGAGGTATAATATCGTTTTCTGTGCAGATTTGGTCGAATTGGGGCGTGAGATGGCTACCATGACCATCAAGAATCAATAGTCGAAATCGCCCACGTACACGCGAATTCGTATGTGGGATAAAGTGCTTTTGTAACCAGCGTAGACCAATCTCATCGGTAGTCCAGCCATTCTTTGAGACCTCGATTCGCCAGTCTTTCGGTAGGGTTTCGTTAAACCATCCTTCAATAGCTACTTTGCCTTTAAAGATAATACATGGCGGTAGCGAATAGCCATCTAAGCAGATTGCTTCGATCGCAGTAACCCATTCGCGATTTCCTGGTTGTAGAAGAGATCTCCGACCGTAGTATTCAGCCCTTGTGACTACTTTCTGCGAAGATATAAGGCCCATTGCAAAGCCTATCTCATCAAAGTTGTAGATATCCTCCGGTTGTATACCGTTCTCGTTAATCACGCTTTGTACGGTCGCGAACCACTGCCGAATTGATTTCGGGTCTTTGTTTAGGGCTCTTTGGTAATCGTATCTTCGCGAGAAGCGTGTACGAAGCTCAGGGCGGCGGTTAATGAAGGTAGATGGCCAATTCTTACCAACGGTAGTTGGTAGCTGGTTACCACGCGCAGCCAGTAGGATATTAGCCATTTCTCCCACAGTTGCTGGTCTAGGCGCTGCTCCACGTGAATCCATAGAGATTATCCATTCAACAAGCGAATTCTCTTCCAATTCGGTCAGTTTATGGCCTGATGGACGAGAATCAACGCGAGATAATTGGCCGTGTACGCGGTCGTGTAGGGTAGTAAGCGGAATTTCGTATAGCTTCGCTGCTGCGCGTAGAGATTTGATTCGGCCATTTTGAAGATCACTAAGGGCTAATAAGATCTTGCCCTCTTGATTGGCTAATTTCTGCCTAGATTCAGGGCGTATTGGTGTCATGGTAGGTGGTTGAATTAGGTAGATGGGTAGAGGGACGCGATTTTGAAAAGGGTGTTCGGAACGGGCGGGTGTTCGGGACGGGCGGGAATTACGTTACCAATAACGGGTGTTACGTCATTATGCAGACGCGGAAGACCGCCTCAATGGCCGACAATTTATTGACTGACGGGTGCGGGGGGAGAGTCAATTAGGAGGCTTGGGCACTGGGCAGTCACAGGGGGCATTTAGGAGTAGGACTAGATCGCTTTCTACCCTGGGAGCTGTTATCAGCGGGAAACCTATTCTTTCCGTCCAATGGCTGGTCTGATTCCACCCCCACCAAGTGGACCAAAACAAGCCTGCACTGGCAGTTCTGGATCGGCCCATCGAAATTCTAAGCCAAATGAGTAGCGTCGACTAACTTCGTGACCTCATTCAGCTCATCTGTGCTAATGACAGTTCATATGGATCAAGAGCATATCCCATGAAGTGAGACTATGAAGCTCACCAAGAAGTTGGAAGATTTGGCCTAGACTAGTCAATGACGCAGAACTCATCTAGCTGTGACGCTGCAAGCAACGGCTCGTGTGTATCTCGGTGGTCGGGTTGAGCTGTAAGAGTTTGGCGTGAGCAAAGCTATCTGTACTTTTAAGAATAAAGATGGGCAGGTATTCGTGTCTCCACGTCTACTCCCAATGCTTCCCGATAATTCACTTCCGCTAGCTTTCGGTTCTTACTCTGCTCTCTAGCCAAAAAAAATACTTGGCAGTGGCCTGAAAATACGGCGCGTATTGTAGTGTCTTTTGGACACGACGACAACCTCGGAGTTTCCAAATCTCATGTTGAGTGGAGGAGAACCTGCATGAGGTTTATATTGATCTATATACTGAAGTTTCCCAGTGTTAACTGAGCTGGGAAAATTCGTTCAATGGCTGGCGCCGACACGAGGCTGGCAGCCAGCGCTCTGGCAATCGCACTGGTGGCACTACTCATTGCACTCTGTCAGCTTCTGCAGCAGTATTTCGCAACCGCAGATGGCTATAGACGGTGCCAGAAACGTGTCATGGGGCCCTGGGCATCCAGAACTCGTTTACATTTTCGAAAAAGCGAATTTCGGTTTGAGACTCTATTTACCACACCAGAGATCTACTTGACTGGCGATGGTGCACCTGGAAAGTTTGGAGAGTTCATTATCGACGGTAGCCCTGAATCTCGAAGGCGGACTTTCACACCAACACACGCATTCCAGAGTGAAGTCTATACGAGAGGACTACCTGCTTGGAACAGGGCATGGAGCTCGCACACTGGCGATGCGCACCCCGGCTCTGGACGCTTCAATGACGACGTAGTATGCTGGCTGCCGTTTCTTTATTGGATTCATAATACGTCAGAAGCGGCTATGCCTCCTGAGCAGCGCCACACTTTCGGGCCACCGCTTCGTGTCAGGATTCCAGCTCTAGTTTTTCGCGAACGATCATGGGATTTTCAGCCGCCAGATGTTGTCCGTCCATTTGCAAAGAGCACGGTCTCCGATATAGCAATCATTGCCCGGCGTATGGGGATGAAATGGAAGGATTTTCGTCCTGCGGATGGTATTATGAGGGCTGAGGGGCACTCACATATTATAACTTCCACGGTGATAAGATCTCTCGGGATTTTGCTTCAGTACAGCTACACAGGGCAGAATCAACGCCTCAGGTATGCTGAATTCAACCTGGGTCGTATAGCCCCAGGATCTATCGACAAAGAACAGGAGGAGGTATATATCCCCAGAGCAAGGGCTGATCGACTTGGGTGTGGGGTCATTCGTCCCGAACCTCAATTGTGTGTCCCGGATTTCACTGTTGGGACACCACAAGAAATTGCCATTGCCCTCGATTCCTTAGACACATCTGGTCAATCATTTGCCATCCTGAGGGATATGCAAATAAAAGACCCTGATCTTCGGTTTCGGGTTGCAGATATCGTTGCAATGTCAGCGAGCATGATACACCATCGCGGATCAGATCTAGTCCAGATACCTGCGCCAAGTGACAATGTGAATGGTTTTACTACAAGTCCAGTGGGTCGCCGTGCTTTCCGGTCATGCCTTGAGAGCTACGTGAAGAATCATGCGCACGTTGGATTAAAAACGAAGGAAGTTTTACAGACGTGTCGTGAACTGAAAAATAGGTATACGGAATGGGAGGGCCAGGGTCAGTCGTGGATTGTCAGACAACGTCCTATATATCTGGACACTCTGGATAGTCAAGTTGAATCTTTGACGACCTACCTCGGCAACCTTGCGCGTGATAAAGCACCCTTCCTCTACATTAATCTTCTTGGCGCTCATATTCGCTTTGCCGTTTTCCGTTCTGATGGAGAAACGTCTCCGATGAAGGCAGAGGCGCCAAACTATAAAGAAGACATGAAAGGTTATTTTGACCAGCTACCCGAAATTGTGAGGCACATGGAGACCACTGGGGTCAAAAGCTTGGATGCTATAGATGCGTGGGCTGCGATGATGTTGCGGGCATGTTGCTGGGGTGCCTGCCACTTCTTTGTCCCTGGCGAAAGAGTCCCAATGGCGTACTATGGCAGTCAATTGCCTGTATACATTGGCTAGTTCACAGAGTTCAAGTTTTTCTATGAGATCAGGTTTGTGCACAAAACTGGTGCTAGCTACCCAAAATCCCACAACTGAGAGATATGGTTACTATGTACTTTAAGCAAGTTGCTGTTTCTTCAAAATAGGGGTTTTCCGAACCATAGCTGCTATCATCATGTCATCTTATTGGTGGAAGACATTCTATGTTATTGGAGAAAACTTATACCGAAAAGGACTCTTGTTATTTGTTCCAAGTCCGATTCGCGCTTCTGCTGTCAAATATATCCTATCGGGTTCAGCTGTTTTCTTCCGGAACTTTAAATGAACTAAGATTCAACTAGGGCCGATATATTGTGCTATTACCTCGCTCTCTTGTTAATTTTTATTCCTGTACTACTTTTGTCCCGTAGAAGCGGGCCCTTTCTCTAGAAGTTCATTCATTAAGGGCTCTTAGTCTGCTACCTTCAGTGACAATCTTCACTTACAGTGACAAGTCTAGCTAATTTCTGCAAGGTTACTTGTTGGACTCTTCGTGTTCTTGTACTTGTGAGTGTTGCTATCTTTAACTCGTTAGCTTCATGCCTACCTTCCACCATGAAGTTATTCTCGCCTTGCCTTATTATTAGTGTCGGGCCGGTACGCGCCGCATCAACAAACTGTGACTTTACCCTTTTCACACTAATAAACATTCTGTTATTTTCTTATTTATATGCACCTTACGGCTGTATCCAATCAAGTTACTTTTCGGGTATCAAGCTTCATTCCGTTCACTTGCCGTTTCAGGGCATCGGCGTGCGGAGCTTGCGGAGCGCGCGTCACTAGTTTTCAAGTGTAAACGGTGGACCTGTGAATTACTGCATCTGGTTAGTTTTGCCGCTCCCGGACTAGCGCCCCAATACAGTACACTGTCATGTAAGCTCTCTCCTCCATTGCTCCGACATAAAAGACAAGGCCTGCCCTCTCGACCTCTTATTCCCTCCCCCTCCGACCTTCCCACCACAGATTTCTAGGTTTGGACCCACCTCTCTAGAGCTAACGCCCTTCTGGACGGAATTCCACGGATTATTTTACTAGGGGCTTTCAAGCACTAGAAATGGGTCGCCTTCAGCCCGAAGTGCACACAGGCCGAAAAACAAAGCTATGGAGGCTCTAGGTACTCATATATGTAACAAAAGTGTCTGTTATTGATCCAAAACGTGGCTCAATGGGTCGCCGAAATTAATGTCATTCTCTCTATACCCTTCGATAATGTCTCTTCCTGCCCTAATATATAGAACGGCTTCTCCTCTTTTAGTAGGAGATCTAGGAGTAGTGATTCTATATTCGTAGCGATTGTCAAACCGCACCTATACTCAAAGTCGACAGCCAGATTAAGCAACTTCTCGGTGAATCTGATGTTGAAGGATGTGACACTGATAGTTCTACTAATAAAGAATAGGAGCTATCTACCCAGGAGTAAGTTCCACAAGTACATAGCAAGAATGATGAATTTAAGGTAAATCAACTATAGACAAAGTGACGAAAATGCAATTTGTGTTTCACCTGTGAGAATATTAGGTCATGCGGCAAGAAAGAGTAGTAGGATAGAGTATGATAAGTGGGTAGTAGACATGCCTCGACCACGCACACAAATACCAAGAACCTAGACAAATGAAATGATTGGCCCGAATCGTCCTAGCTTAGGACCCACCAGAGAGATATGGCTCAGAAGATTTATCCTCGGTTGTGTTCTCGTCGCCTGAGGAATTGATAGTAGCCCCCTTGTTAGAAGAAGGAAGAAGAAAACCAGCAAGGAGAAGAGAGATCTTAAATACACAGCAAACGAGCAAACTATCCTAACCAGGCAAAAGCTACGAACTTTTTCCACGAAGCAGACAGACAACTAAGGCCATTCTTGGTCCCGAAACGGCACATTCGTCACACTCTAACCCCCATCACGGTGACGTAGAATGCCCTGTGTAATGAAACAGCCACCAGGTATCTGCTCACTCGAGCACTGTCACCCCCATTCTACACGTCGGATATCTCCTGATCGCAGGAGAGAATGATAACCATTCCAGCTTACTATTCGATATCTGTTCTTGTGCAAAGATTACAAATCTTTAAGTGGCAAATTACAGGACCACACATACTACTAGAAAATCCGCTGTTTACTACTACTGACGCCTAGATATTTCACGGAAACGTCTGGGATGGATAGAAAAGACAATGTTGCATCCATCCGTCTACCGTATAAGCTACACTACTCTTCTATATCCTCAGAATCATTCCACTTGGGAATATACCGATTTAAAACAAAGTATCGATAAGGTGAATACACGGGATAGATACAGTACAATCCTGTAACATGATGTATGAAAAATACTAGTGACGCTAAACGCAACAGCCGCCCCACAACCCTGATAGCTTTATTGTGCGAAACTAAATCAGGAATCACGAATCTGGACTAAAACGCGACAGCATCAACACACCAGAGAAGGTACCCGCTTGATTAAACTCGCATTAGGGAATCTCTAGCTGTGAAGGAAATCTCCAGCTTCTTTACGCAGAGCCATCAACTCAACCAATCGAGTACCACCGTACCCATCATCAATATCATCGCCTATGTCAACTGCGCCCTCAGGAACGATAGCAATTGCGCGCCCTAATAATTGAGTCAGCGGTTTTATGCTCGTCAGCAATACAAGATTATATAAAGAGAAAGTACCCGAAATACTCTCATCCACGGTAACTCTCGCCAAAGCCTGCGTCAGCACATCGTGCGGGACCAGGGTGATACCTTTATCAGGCAAAATCCCAAAATCTGCCATTCTTTGCAACGCTCCCTCTATCATGGGTGTTTTCATTGCCCAGGGACAGATTGCATTAACACGAATGTTAAGCTGCTGATGGGCCTGGGCACGGATAGCGCGGAAAAGACCTCGACTCCCAAACTTAGAAGCTGTATAGGCACTGCTATGGGTGTCGTCTATATAGCCAGCCAGTGAAGATACGATAACAAGAGATCTAGATGCCTTAGCACTGTCTCCAGGAGGCCCTCCAGACCCCAGTCGGAGATAATGAAGAGCAAGGGTAGCCGTGTAAAACACGCCCTTGAGGTTAACTTCGATCGATACAAGATTGGGAATCGGAGGTGGTGGCCCATCAAGCAAAACCTCAGTAGGAAGAACATGGTCAACTAGATGGCCAGTGACATCTATGCCTGCAAAGGCGGCGACCATGTCCAATGTTCTCGTGGGAGAAAACTTGAGTGCGGCCTGGAACGCTCTGACCTGAGAGTCCCAGTCCGTCACATCACAGTGAACAAATTGGACCTTACAGCCCTGCCCAGATAGCTCGGCTGCAATATCTGAGCCGTCTTGGACATCAGCAATTGTGACAAAGGCTCCTGACTTTGCAAAGAGTGTTGCGGAGGAACGGCCCAGACCAGATGCTCCACCCGTGATCAGGATGGAGAGGCCCCCGAGCTTTGACAAGTCAGTGGGAGCAAACGGAGAAATGACCATCTTGCTCTGAACGAGGACGTATATTTCGGCTAAGAAGATAGGAGGCGTATTCTGAGGATGTAGAAAACCAAGTGAGGGGGTGGGGGTGGACTCGCACCTAATATATCTTCCTCCGAGAAATAGAAGCGATCTCACCCTTTCACAGCATCTAGATAAAAACCGACCTAATGAAGAATACTTTCACGCTAGCTCCACTTTCAGCACGCCACGATAGAATCAAAATAAACGACTCAGCAGCGTAGTCCAGGTTCAGGAAATGTCAGCATAGATTAACAATTTTTGGTACCTCTCTTGAACCATGATAAATTCGAGCAGTAACAATATTCCCTGGCCACGCATGTCGCGGAATCTAACCGCAATAGGTAAAGCTTATGCATGTGGTAGATGCTTCTTGGAGCATTTGTTTTGCGACCGTCATCCTGGCTACACCTGACCCCAATCAAGCAAAGTAGACATATTCTAATGCTTTGAAGAGAAATTCACGGAAATCTCATTTCTAATTGGCTGGCCACGTTGTTCAGTAATAAAATAAACTAGGAGCAATTACCCCGCTCTGGCGATCGACATCCTTGACAATCTGACCTCGTTTCAGCTACTCCACCTATTCGGTTCCACATAATTCTAGGCTGAATGACTTTACGTGAATGCCTCTTTGTTCTTGAGGATTCTTCAGGAATCAGACTCTGTTACTATTCATAGTACTGATTGAATCTATACCTTTTTCTCTTCCATCCGATATCTTGCCCAACAACAGGTTCTAGCCTGCTCCAAAGTACCACTCTTAAAATATCCAACCGTTATGCACAGGCCTTGCTTACTGCAGCCTCTCGAACAGCTGCGGCTGAAGTCGTGCAAGACGTGACTTCACAATATATATTCATGAAATTGAATGAACGTGTAGATGAGTACAGCTGTCGCAGAGATCAGTCGCTCATAAGATGGTCGGGGTTCCAGGGCGCAGCAATGGCTGCCAAACTTGCCGGAAGAGGCGGCTCAAATGCGGTAAGTTAAACATAAGACAAGAAGATAAATTGCTGAACGATAGCAGATGAAGCAAGACCGAGATGCCAACGCTGCGAAAAATCAGGATACAAATGCGCAGGCTACGAAAAGCCACTCCACTTCCGCATCGCGGTTTCTTCAGCAACTGAAGCGACCAAAATCAGCCGAACTGCAACCACATTGCATTGCCGGAACAATAGTCATTCCGCAGTTCCCATGACACTAAGCCTGGTATCATTCGAGTCCGATATTTGCAACGCCTTCCTCCTCGAAAACTTCGTCTGGCGCAGCTATGGGTATAAGTGGCTGCACCTCGCAGTCTCCGGCAAAATTTCCCTCCTAGCTCTCCAAGCCAGCTCGGCACTCTCGCAAAGCAACTTTGGTAGTTTCCATCGCCAGTACGATCTTAAAATTAATGGCTCGATCCTGTACGGCAAAGTCGTCCGATCGCTAATCCCGGTACTCTCTTACCCAATAAAACCAGCCGTCGAGGCCCTGATCGTGCCTATCATGATATTACTGATCCATGAATCTTTGCTTGCGGATCAGACGGGCTCAATATCACATGTTCGGGGCTTAATACAGCTGATAATGGTTTGTGGGCCGGAGAGATTTCAGCAAGAGCCATTAAGGAGTGCATTCGAGAGTTGCCGTGCCACATTGATAACTATAGGCCTGATCTCAAAGAAACGGTGTTTTCCGGATGAAGAAAAGTGGCATTCAATCCCTTGGGCAATCGAGCCGAGCTCTAAATCACCGCAGAATTATCTCGCGGACATCCTGGTTACCGTTCCGGGGATGCTTGAAGATGACGCGGTTTTAAGGCGCCAATATGATTCTATGGCGCGTGCGACTTTAATTGATCGACTAAAGTGCCAGCTTATAAAGCTGTTTGAATGGCGCTGGAACTGGGAAAAGCTGAACCAATTTTCTGTTTGGGAAGTGCCAGTTAGCTTAAACCCAAACCGACCCGCTATAACCGGCCAGGATCGTATCTTCGAAAGTATATTCTGCTTCTCCGCATTTGAGCTAGCAACCGAGATTATGCTTTACAACGGCGTCCAGATGTGGCTTGTCGGGCTACTCCAGGAATTGCTGCCATTGAATTCGCCCGCGATTATCTCTTCCGCGGCACGAATTTCAGCAAGCCGAGCCGGCACTCTTAGGGACACTAATTTCACCCCTCTGGTGCTTCCAGGTACATCATTTTCGCTTAGGGAGCCAGCTATCGAGATCTGTAGGGCCCTTGAGTACCAATGCCTCAATTTGCAGCATAGCAGAGGTGCTGCACTATTCTGTCTGCTCCCTATTGGACTTGCGTACGGTACTTTGGAGCAGGAACCACAGTACCGAGACTGGATCCGATCGATGCTGGATCTGTCACCCGTTATGAAAGGATATGTGCTTGGACAGAGTGTGAAAGGCTTTGGACTTTATTATCGATATTGGAGATTACCTGGGATTACTGCATAGATTTTGAACGGAGGAAATGTAAAGTATTGGAGTGAAAGAGCAAGTCAACATTCACGGAATGAGAATACTTCGAGACTATCTTCTGCTTGAAGCTTGAAATAGAGTCATTAAGACCGTGAGAATGCATTGGACTGAATACCGCAACTTATACGGATATCAGCAAGTAAGGATAACCAAGGCCTAAAACGGGCTTATAACGGATTTCTCAAAATAGTCCTTTCTGGCTGTCTCTCGAGCGTCGGTTGCTAAAGTTTTTCAACGTTTGGCTATTTCCTTTTTGATAGCTTCGGGCCTTTGATAAAAGTGCGGGAAAGGCTCTCGAGTATTCTTAGCAGTGCCGGCGAGGGATCGTATCTCCGCCATTAGCTCCCTCTGCTCTTGTCGATGCTGCAGGATTTCCGAGAGTGAGTAAATAGCACGTTTATGCGTATCGGTGACCTCGGATAGTGGTAATAGATCCCTTTTCCTGAGTACAATTCCAGCCTTTTTGAGACGGCTAAAGGAGAATGACATGCTAAAGATCGCGACTAATGAACTGCGATTAGTAGTGCTTTTCGAAAACCGCGACACCAGACTGACTAAGCACCCTTTGCCGCTAGGTTTTGGCTGGTAAAAATCCCTATGGGATGACGGTCAGACTCGATATAATGCAAAAATGAATTTCATATATTACGTTCAGCGAGGGACATACGATTAACTTCATTTGTAGGGTGATGTTTTGAACGATCCCATACCAGGATGCCAGAGTTAGAGTGACGGCCACTCGACTAAAATAATCTAGCACCTCACAGGACAGAGCGAAACCGCGACAAGCCTCTCCACATCACGCCTCGGCCGAGCAAAAAGACACCAAGAAAATGTAGTCTAACAGAAAAAAGACAGCACTCGAAAGAAAAAGACACCCCGTGCTAATGCCATGCATATAGATATACGCCCCTATCAAGACCAACCCATTGCAAATGCATCAATCATAAAAAGGACTTCATAACAAGGCTGTAATACAGAGACCAACATAAACAACCAACCCAAAAGCAGAACAAACACATTCAACAAATATTGCTGTTAGCGGTCTATCCCGCCCCGAACTCGGGCGCCTTGCATATCCCGCTCTTATCCATCTTCTCACGAATACGGCTCGTCAACCAGCCCGACGAGGCGTTGGGATTCGCCGAACCAAGTCGTGGATTCGAGCTTGTGAAGCAGGTATTATCGCGGAAGGAGAATTGTACACATTCTTTTTGGAGTTCGCAGATATCGCGGCAGTCGTCGTAGGAGGATGCGAAGGGTTGGTCTTCGGTGGCTAGGTTATCCCAGTCAGGTCTTGTGGGGTGTGCGGCGATTTCGGGGTAGAGGTATTCGCGGAAGACGTCGCTGTGCAGGAGAATGCGCTTGTTTTTCTGTTTGGGGGCCAGGGGTTGTCAGCAATTGGGGCGACTTGGTATTGGAGGCCAGGGTCTTGGCCTAGGACAAGGGAAGCGGGGGTCACTCACATCGCGCCAGCGCTTTTGTTCAAAGTTCCAGAGGTCTTGGATTTGGCGTGTGTTGAGGTGGTGGAATGCCACTGCTAAGAAGCACCATGGGAGTCGGTATAGTTCTGTCGTAAATTGGTCTAGTTCTCCCATGTTGGAGTTTTGTAGGATCGGCCAGGAGAAGTGGAGGTTGACGCCGGCGTCAGCCAGTACCTTGCCCAGGACGCAATCGCCAGCCCAGTGCTCGTTTGTATAGTGGTGAAGCTCGGTGCGACGAGCGGCGTATTCGTTCGAAGCGAGTTGCAGGGCTGGATTCGAGAGCATGAAGCCCGAACCGCCATGGGCGAAGATGACGTCTGCGATTTGGGTTTCCGTACCCAGATACCACGGTTTCTTGTGATCAAAGTGACTGAGCCAGGCTAGCAGAGTCGGCCATGAGACATAAGTGTCCGCCTCCATGAAGACGAACCACTTAGCATTGGGCTGATAGCGCAATGCCTCTTGCGCCATCGGTAAGAACTTCCATTTATCCAGTTTCCAGCCCGGATTGTTTGGTTTGCCGATGGCGGAATTGGCCTCGTCCGCGAAATCGCCCTGCTCCAAACCCTTGCGCCCGAGTTTCTTGATGCGATTATAGATGTCAAAGTCGGGGATTTGCTGCGTAACCTCCGAATCCATACTGCGCAGCACGTCATGGATCTTGACGCCGTCAATCTCCTCCTCGAAATCGGAGTAGATGACATAGTGCGGGATACAGCGCAACGTGCTCTGGAAGTGAACCGGGACCTTATCCTTGGCCTCGGTCACGCCCGTCTTCATCACAACCAGGACATCCTCGATACCCGGAAGCGGGGGACACACCGGGGCGGGTTCACCGGTTATTTCGGGGTCGGGGCGGCCAGCGCTGTTCGGGGCGGGTGGTTGACGTCGGGGTTGGAGATCGGAGTGGAGAGTAAAGATGTGGTATAGGAAGAGGAGGGCGAGGATGGCAGCTAAGGCAGCGAACCGGCGGCTAAAGCGACGGCGGGGGACCATGCTGGAGGGGTCGAAGATTGGAAGCTGTCAATCACCCTCGAGCGTTGAAAGCATCATATTTCTTTGGAGAGAACAGGTCGCCTGCAGGGGAAACTGTAAAGCAGCTCGGCCGCGTTTCCTTTCGGGTGCTGACACACCGGGACGCGTAGGCCTGTGCGCCGAGGGCCTGGACTACGTGGAATGTAAGTATGCTGATGTTTCATTTAGAAAGGGATATAATGTTAACCAAGGTATACAAGAATCAGATCTAGGCATTTGCTTTTGATTTGTATTTTTTTTTTTTTTGAATATATCATTAATACTCACAATTTAGTGGTTCTCTAGAAAGAAAAGCTGCATACATAATATACTTCATCGAGGCCGTGCCCTCTATGGATCAGCCCCCCCCCCCCTTAAGCATGAATGCCGATCCCCACGATCCAAACCTGCTGAACCCCTGAAAATCCACAGAATGTAGAACTGTAGAACCGACCATGGAATTGAGTTCAACTCTAGGATATGGCAGGAATTGTTGATGTAAGGTACACAGTCATCTTTGTTCCGCAAAATTACCTCGTGCTATGAGAACTCCTAGTCTTTAACAGGAAACTTCAACAATCGTCCTGTGTAAAGGGATATTTCTTTTCTACACTGTCTACCGTATTCTTCCCTATCTCGGTTATGGTACAGAGGGGGTATATATTAATGAATTCATTGTGAATTAATACCATTTTCATGCAGTATTCTCCTCAATTCGTAAAGATCCTCCTTACAGACCTGTATCAAGGGTGAATTACTATTACTAAGGAGCTTCCTTTTGATACAAAGAAAGCCCACCTCCTTTGACGCCCCTTTACAATACTTTGCCAGTCGGTGGTCTCGCCGGGCGTTCAATCGAGCAGGTTTCCTCTTAGTTTTATATATCAACTTTAATCCGATTGCCCGTGACTCTCGAATACTATAGCTGGGCGCCATTATAAATGTCGACAAACACAACCAGCGTGGTACGGTACCATCGATGATTTGAGTGGCTGTAAGTAATTAGGGGTTAGATGTTAGAAATACTTATTTCAACAGTCAGACCCTCAATTTCTATTGAGTGAAAAGTTTTACCCAAGAATACCAGAGGAGCTCTCCTTATTGCATTCATGAACTAGTGGATTAAGAAACACAGTTCAGATGGAGAACTGAAGGAATTTCTCTTTTTCGAGTTATTCACCTGGCCATGTACCCGGCATTGACTCAATTGGACGCTCCACCAGAGTCCAGAAATCAGTGAAATACTCATTCCACTCATACATCCATACAGACCAATCCTCCGGACACGCGCCATACTGGAACCCAATCAGCCTCCAATGGTATCCAATTTGTCTTTGTTCCCATCCTTTACGAACCAATTGCCGCTCCATGGTTTCGCTCTCCCAAGCTTCCGTCTCTTTTCGGCCGAATTCAAGCAAGTCTATACCCAAAACTTTGAGATCCCCCATCCATGACTGCACAGCTAAGTCCCAATCTCGTATCTCGCGGCTTTCATACTCCGACTCGTCGATGTATCCAGCAAGAAATGCAACGAATGGACTCTTGCCTTTCCAAATTAAATGACCATTCAGACCAGTATCAAGCAGGTCGCAGAATAACTGGTTCCAACCCTGCGAAAGCGATAATAGCAGTTCAGCTTGCTTGATGTAATCCTCGTCTAGGACGGAATCTCCATTCCGGTAGCCGTGTCGTCGCATTGCAGCCCGGCAGCTGCCGATTTGTCCCATTACAGAATGAAATAATGGGCTGCGGGCTCCCGTTCCAGTCAAGTCAGAAACGTCGATTTCCCGGACATCTCCACCGATCACGGTCCGGAGTGTCTCAGGCAAGTAGAAAGCATTATTATTCGAAATGTATGCGATATTGGCGGCCACTTCTATGCGCACCCGAGTTGGAAATGTATAGAATGACGGACAGCAGTGCTGCTGTAAAAGCAAGAAGTCTTCTGGAGTCCCACAGAAGTACTTGAAAATGCCCTCGATAACCTCTGTCTCAGAGTCACATAACAAGTCGTCGGACTTTTGCAGCAAAGACCTCAAAAATTGGTTCTCGGACCGCGAACGCAAAACTATTATGCCGCCATATTCGAGGGCCGTTAATGGAAGGGACCTTCCGGTTATTGATGGACCTAGCATGGGATCACATCCTTGTTCAAGAAGGAAAGAGACAACCTTCTCGTTATCCCGCGCACGGAAGGCATGCTAAAGGGTTGTTTTGTGACATGTCAGCTTGAGACGGCAGGGAAAAGATATCAAGGAAACCTACGTGCAGCAAGGTCATATCCCCATGCATAAATTCCCCAAAGTGGGGGTCTCCAAAAAAGTCACTTGGAGATGAGCGATCGAACGGTGACGCTTCTTTGGATGCGAAACATTCTCGCAGCCCTTCAATGTCTCCCTGAGACACTAGATCAAATACCTTTGAGTTGGATGGGATCAAATTGTATACTCGAAAGTACCAATTCCAACCAGCAGGAACTTTCGTCCCCGCTAATTCCAGTGCTTTGGAAGACATCCACGGAGGAAGTGACAATCGCCATATATAGCCTGTTTGCCCGCGGTAAGACTGTATAACATCTTTTGAAGACGTTACTCCCATTCCGTCGGCTTGTTTCCGAGTCTCTTTTCGATGGTCAGCACACCAGTGTTAGTCTTTCGTGTTATGAGATCAATTCACCTGGTTTTGGGTTCACAGTATGGCTCGGTGCTAGTCGTGCAGCAATTAATTCAGGCTGAACTTGCAGTAGTGCTCTAAAAGAACGGTCAAATAAAGTCCTAACGGAATCAACTGCGAACAAACCTTGTATAACATTGTTGAGACAGTTGCAGTAATTGACCTGCACCTTGAAGTCTCTGTTTGAGTTTCTCGATCTTGCCTCGCTGCAGAACGATTTTGATCGACACATAGGACTTCTTCATACGACTGGGTGACAGGAAGTCCTGAGCCAACCCTTTTACAATAGACTCCAATTCTTCAGCAGCCTGTTTGCAAAGATTGAGGCTCTTCGTGGCGTGTTTGCTCCGCGACAAGGCGACTGCGATTTCGTCTTCAGCAAGGTCCCCCTCGATATCGGCCAGGATAAGCCCGAATAGTTCAAGCTCATTCAATAGGATTCGAAGATCGTTTGGCGCATCTTTAATCTGACTGCAATAATCATTGATCGCGATGATAGACTGGGTGACTTGAGCCACCACGGTTGCAAAGGTGATGGCTCCCGACACGATCCCGATAAGTTCGGCCATCGGGGCCGTCTTCAACTGCGTCACTTGGACCTAGATCGACCCAGGGATTAGATAGGGAAATGTGCATGCTAAAATAAAGAGACTCCAGGTCCTCCAAGGAAATGCGGCTGCGGCTTAGCGTCCGCTACTGCGTGTCTTAGTGCGGTTGGCTGCCCAATGTCGACTAGTCTATCTTACCTTGGGCAGTGGGAACCAAGTTGCCCAATTTACGCCATCGTTTATCCGAATTACCCTGTTAAGATCATGAATAAATTATAAGAAGCTTCCTTTTTATTAAATATCATCACCGAAAAATGCACCGCGCCGGCAGACCGTCCAGCGACACATCGTTATGAAGCCTGCGTCCGCTTCTGAATCATATTTTCATGTAACTCGACCAACTCCGGAATAATGATACTTTCAATCTCAAGACCATCCCCATGGCTTTCTGAAGGTGGCTGTTCGGCTTCTGCGCCCGACGCAGAACCGCCCTTCTTGATCTCAGCAAGACCGACTTGATCCTCAACACCAGAGATACTCTTGCTGCGGCGAGCCTTTGGCACGCGAATCCATCGCTCGTGTGGCGGGTCAGGCGTGATGAAAACGACCTCCCACTTTCTCGTTGACAGCAGGTTACCGATGACGAGGTGGTGTGAGTACCGCTGGAGTGCGGTCTTGGCCTTATACACAAGCAGCGAGGGATCTGTTTCCAGCTTGAATGAAACGACCATGCTGCCCTCCGGAGCCCAGCCATCGACGAGGCGGTGCAGGAATTTGGGGACTGGGTCGAGGTTGATGACCAGCTTCTTGCCGCTCTTCGGCGGCTCTGGTGCATTCTCGCCGGTGTAAATATCGTCTGATCCAACAGCACTTTCATCTGAAAAGTTGGCAGGGATCTCAGAAGACTGAATCTTATGCTCAGCCATACGACTCCGTGGAATGAAGAAATCGCTCACAGCCGCCGCGAGATAGAAAAGCGCATTGGGTCCCAACGGGCGCATCAGCTGCGCTAATGACCGCAGCTCGAACATATATTCCGAAACCGTGGTGAAAGGCAACAAAAGGAGCAAATTGTTCTGCTTCGCAAATCGGTACTTGCGCAGCACGTCGCGCATCTCATCCTGGTACTCGCTGCGTACTACGATACGGCCATGGTCGGGATTCTCAGACTCGGAGGTAGGAGGGGCTTCGTCCATGAAATCCAAGAAACAATTCGTGGAGTGGCTGTAATGCCGCGAGTAGGGCAGGAGACTGTACTGGCGGTGCAGGAAAATGACTGCATACCCTTGCTCGAGGAAGTACTCTGCAGAGGTAGCACCACGGGTACCGGCGGAGAAATTGTCGATGAATCGCACAGTCTGCGTCTCCAGGGGTACCGTTGTTCCACCAGAGGTCACCAGTACCACGCGCCGGTTGGCTTCCACATGGCGCTCGATAAAGGCGCGAGCCAGTGCTTCGTGTTTAGGGAGAGCCTTGGGCGGTGGGTATTCGTTGAAGTAGGCGGACTCGGCCTCCGCAGGCTCCATGTCGCCGATTGAAGGGGTCATGATGTGTGTGATGCTTGAAAAGGAGATTGTAGAGGTGAAAGTGGGAGCTCGGCAAGCTTGCGACAAACTGGAGGAGCTCGGTCGCAAAGAATCCGGCGGCGCAGATTAGAAGCCGAGGGTGCCGCTGGCAATGGAGGGGTATATGAGGAGGATGCGACCGGGGATGTCGCCGAGTAGCTCAGCGTCGCGCGATTGCCAATTAACTGATCACATGCGATGCACGAGTCTGCGACCGTCACAAAGCTGAAATCGATAGCTTTATAGCACTGGATTTTGTCCCGGTGACTTGCTGAAGCTCCCAGCGATCAGGTTGAATACCCCGCCATCAATTTGACGGCGGCGAGGGTCGGAGGTGCTATTTTGGTGCTAGCGCTGCCGCTGGACCGATGCAAAAAGGCGGGTACAACTGGGAACAAGTGGGAGGCACTGGAGATCAGTTGAGAAGCCGCTTTACTCAACGAGCGGGCTGGCTGGGTGGACTCTCGCAGTGACTGGTGGGCACCGCCGAGGCCGAGGCACCGCATCCGTTGGGGTCACGTGAACTTCACCGGGTGAGGTACAGTACCGAGTACATCACAGCACTCTTTCGGTCATACGGAGATTTAGGTAAAGAAGAGGATGTGTAAAATGCTCCATGGTCTAAATTGACGGGTAAAGGTAGTTGTTGCAATATGTGGGGGTGGATGTAAAAAGAAAATGTCGACGTCGTCGTGAAATGGTTCTGTCCCTCACAGCCGAGCCAAGGAACAGATCTATAGCTCAACTTCGACAGCAGAAGGCAGATGTGATATTGTCGGACACCGAAGAAACCCACTATCCAACTGATTCAACTCAATTTATATCTGTCCCGAGAGGTAAAAATAGTACGAAGATGGACCCCACTGGCTTCTAGGTATACAAGAAAAAGTGACCTCTGCGATGCAGCTCTCAGCTACCAGGCACGATGGTTCACTGCAAATAACGACTACGCAAAGCCTGGCTAATCGTACTCATGCGACTAGCCATTCCCCCATGCTGCATATTGCTCATAAGAGCCTCCTCCAGGGCAGACTGTGTAACGCTAGCATCTAATGGAACATCCAGTTAGTAAGGATGGCATAATAGTCTCAAGAGCACGGAACTCACCATCCAGGTCACTGAAACTACTTCCCATGCTCGGCGTACCATCGCTTGCCTCTCGTCCAGACGCATTCGACTTGCGAGGGCTTTGGCGAGGTGCTTCCCCAGCGCGATGGGGACTCAACGCAGTAGCAGGCTGGCCGAGGCGCCGGCTATCGCTGTTAGTCAAGCTTGCTGGGGCACCGGAGCTCATTGAGCTGGCGGATGACTCCGTAGCTACAGGGTGTCTGTGACCAGCCCGCTCGGCTATACGTCGCCGTGCTGCTGCTGCGCGTTCTGCGTCCAGGCGTAGAGTTGCGCTCAGCTCTTCGCCGGGTCGATCTCGCGGAGTGTGATCATTCTCTCGAGACAAGGGGAGGAACGAAGGTGTGTATTCTTCATCCTCATCTGCATCATCCTGCATTCCGATGCGCTGGGTGGAGAATTTTCCGAATTTTCGGAATCGCGGCACTCTTCGGGTAGACTCTACTTCCGAGTCGGATTCTGTGGAGCTGGAGCTGAGATCCTCTTCTGCGAGTGTTGGGGACCGCGGGAAAGAGGTTGTCGATGGCTGTTCCCGTCTGGTAACAGATGGCCGTCGCACAAAGTTCTCCCAGCGCTGTTCTCTGCCTTCCGTGGGCGCTTCGTTACGAGAGGAGTCTCGCGAATGGCGAGCTTGGTTGACGGTAGTCGTGGATGTAGAGCTTCTACGGCGGTCACTGGGCGCTATGGGGACTGTAAGCGTAGTCTTATAGAATGGGATCATAAGACGAGACTTACCTTGCTGAGAGATTTCCTTCTGATGGGAGACTTGTCGGGATGGAGCTCGAGATCCTGCATATACACGATGAGCCAAATAGTAAAAAAAACATTGATAGATTGAGAACATACCACTAGGGGCATGCCCCTTTTGTGGCTGTCCGCTCAAGGCTGTACTCCCTGACACAGAGCCTGGTGCTGGCGATGACGAGCTCGATTGGACTGGAGGTACCCTCCGCATCTGCGCTCGGACCTGGGACAGCTGTCTGTCATATAGCCATGCTGCTTGTTGGAGTAGAAATTGAAAAGTGACATCAAAGTGTTCTGCCCTGTAGAGATCTAACGTTAGCTTTATGCAATCTGCAGCGGGAGTAACCGGGAGGCCGGGGTATAGATACAAGTCTTTCCCTGTTGCAATATTAGCTATCAGAAACGTGGCAAGAAGGCGGGTGACCAGCGTATTTGAAGTCTTAATGAACATACAGTCTATATCTCCCTTTGAAGGCCGGGACAGAATGTCCCATAATGCTTGCTCTTTCGCTGCATCCCATTCCACCTGATGAAGTCAGTTCACGGCGCTTGACCGAAACTTGGGGGATCTGGGGCACATACGGGCGGTGGATCAACAAAGTCACCCCTGGGGAATGGTAAGCGAATGAATACTGTGAAGTTGGTGTGGCTAGGATCTGTCCTGGTCGCCATGGCGAATGTGGTTGATGATAGCTTGTGAAAGCGGAGTTCAATCCACCGGCAGCCGCTAAGGGCACGGAACTGCTACTGCTAAGTCGGCGCCAGCTCCCAAAGGTTGGCTTTCCAGGGGGCTTATGTCGACTTCTTCTGTTTTATGTCGAAGGGTCACCTCTTTAGGGATCCAGGGCCAGCCGACCATGAAAGGATAAAGTGAGAGCAGGTGATGAGGGAGAGTGACGACAGAGACTGTGGAGTCTGATTGGTGGGAGAGGTGCGTGTCTCAGTCACGGGCTGGGCTTGGCTCTAAGGCCACACTCTTCATTGGGGGTAAGTTATCAGGCAGAGATCCCCTAATTCCACGGCTCCGTGAAACGTCGACGCACCATAGCTTACAGGTAGTGTTACACAGATCAGCTAGATTGATAGTACAATTTGAACGACAAAAAACAACAACAAGAGAGGTTCGTTAATCGCTCAATGGCTGACAACCAAGAAAAGGCACCCCCACACGATCGAATGAAAGCTTAATTCTTGATCGTTAACAGCTGTCTCGATAACACATTCATTATCATCATTTGATTTAGAAGCACGAAGGTGTCGATAAGGCGACTATGTCCTCTGGCTGAGTCCCAGTTAAGGAACTTAATCTATCTGACTTCATAAGGTGAAAGTTTGGGGCAATTTGGGGCCTTGGTTTAGTGCACCACTCTAGCGCTTGACTTATTTACCTATTCCGGCACCATGGGGCAGAAGCCAACGCCCATGTTCAAGTCCCATCAAGTCGATTGCGCCTTTTCCTATCAGTGTAGAAAGAACAGCACCCGTGCCTGTAAAATAGAACTAGCAGAATTGACAGACTTTAGAGAAAGAGTTACTAGCAACATGCTATTCCTTTCAAGATAAAGAGCCCCTAGGCCTTGTCTACCATGCCTCAAACCTTTCAATGGCTATTGCTATTTTTATTATTCCCTCGTCCCAAGTTGAATAATGAAGGGCATCTTCAGATTCAAATCCAGACCATGCATTAAATATTGCATGGGCTGGCCAACATCGGTCAGGTTAAGCTCATGCCTCAATGGAATGTGCAGAAGATCGACATCCCGCACTTGGTCCCGTTCTCAATGGGTCTGCCTCGGCTCAATCTACTTACTAGAGCCAGCCATTCCCCGGTTGAGCAGCGCCCCCTCTCTTCATCTTGCTCACCAGCATCACCATGTTTTCAATCCTAACATATTGCTATCTCAAGACACTTGCGGTTCTTCTGCGATCCATCATCGCCCTGGGTAGCCGCATTGCAGGCCGCCCTGTACCCCGACCGGATGAAGTTCAACACATCGCATCGCGCGATCCAGGGAGGACGATCAAAATCTATGTGTATCGCCCTGCCAAATCAACCACAGGGCCGAGTCCGGTTCTGATCAACTTCCATGGTAGCGGGTTCCTACTCCCCATGCATGGCAGCGATGTGGAATTCTGTCAAACTATCAGCGACAACACTCAATACACAGTGCTAGATGTGCCGTATCGCCTGGCGCCAGAGAATCCGTTCCCTGCAGCGCTGAACGATGTCGAAGATGCTATCAAATATGCCCTCAGTCGCTCGGAAGAGTTCGACCGCTCCCGTATTTCTCTCTCTGGATTCAGCGCAGGGGGAAACCTCGTGCTGGCAGCGTCGGCCACACTCTTCCCTCCTAATACCTTCCGCTCTCTCATTGCATTCTATCCCGCGTTAGATCTGGCCTCCGACGCGGCTACCAAGGTCGCCCCAGATCCCAGCGGACGCGTGATTCCCATCCCCATTGCGCGTTTCTTCAATCGCTGCTACGTACCTCCCGGCGTGGACAGACGGGATCCCCGAATCTCTCCCAAGTATGCCGATCTGGAGAGATTCCCACACCGAATGCTGATGATCACTGCCGAGGGCGACTCGCTGGCTCTCGAGGCAGAAGATCTCGCAAAGAAGCTTGAGCAACTTCCCGGGCGACATGTGGTCAGCGAACGCATGGCAGGGTGCAACCATGCGTGGGACAAGCGCACGCGGGCGGGAACCCCACAGCGAGAGGCTCGGGACCGGGCATATACGATGGCTGTGGACATGTTGAACGAGGCTTAACTGGGATTTTTTGCTTTTTAATTTGACTTTTGGGTTTGTGGCGGTGTCTATTGTTCCGATCTTGAAGATATGATTGATATCAGATAACTATTATACTTTGTGCTTTATTCTATACTCTATTCTTTGTTTTGCCCCTGTCCCTGACCCGTTAGGTTACTCCCATGGCTCTACCACTTGGAGCCTTGGAACTGGGAACCGCTGAAGACCGCCCCCTGCAACCCTAAGCCCTATGCTGGCTAGTAGTTCTGCACGATGGCGCTACAGATTAGTCCGAGTTGATTCGTACGGGGGTTGTATGTATCTGCGGTATATTGTCTGTTGTGTATTCCTTGCCTATACATGTCTCCAACCTGTCTCTGCGCTTATAGCGGCCCGTTGTATCGGCCCATTCGGACCTTCCATCCCGCCTATAGTCGGCTTAGTAGGGAGGTGAGCTCGTTGGTCAGTGGCTAATTTGATGATCCACATGAAGCATGAGACGTGGGCGGATTGCTTCAGGATTGCCCCGTGGGTCATCCGGTTTCATTAAACCGTAAAAACCACATGGCAAGCGGAAGGGGCAAGTGAGAGAGGAAAAAAAGGAGGAACCGAACGGTGGATCGGCTGCATCATCTGGGCAGCTTGTTTTCCTTGCTTTTTTATTTTCTCTCTCTTCTCCTAAACCTCGTCTTCCACCAGCCTTTTAGAGTCCTTCCTCTGTCCTTACCGTGTCGTGTCTCTACCAATCCACCGGCTGGAAATTTTAATGTATTAACCAACCGTCGCCAACCGGAGTTATCGCCCCTCAGCCCACCACTACTTACTACCCCCATTACGTTTCCCTGTTGTCTCCCCCCACCCATCCAATAACCCCCCCCCATTGCTCTCGCTCCCTACCAGCAAGGATACCTCCCCATCTTGACCGCATATCTCGCCTCCAAGACAGCCATACGGTGGATGCTGTCATTGTGCATCTTCTCCTCGTCCACCGTTCCCGTGGTGCAGTGGACGAGTCCGCTCGACTCGCCCTCCGCGTGAATCCCGTGCCACTTTTCCTGTCCCTCTCCGCCGTCCGATTCCAGTCCATGCGCGCCCGCTGGCTCGGCGCTCATCGCCAATATCGGTCCGGTCTATAGAATCATGGACTCAACGACGACCGGGAGTCCCGTCCCTCTCGACCAGGACAAATATCGAGAAGAGGTCCTCGGCCTCTCTATAGACGCAGAAAAAGCGCGGGCGCAACAACTTTTGGATGATGCGCGGGCGTTGGGTCTGAAGGTTCCGGAGATCGAAGCCTCGGCACCACTGGCCGCCTCGATCGCCTCTGGAATGTTGGATCTGTCTTCGCCCGTGCTTTCGTCTGGATCTTCAACTGATCGGAATTCGATCTGCGAGGGGTCAATCACCCCTTCCCACGAGCCGCTGTCTCCATCTCGGCTCGACGACGTCGTTTCCTCCCTATCGGAAATCACAATTGCATCGGAGCGTATCAAGCCTGGAAGTACGAGATCGCTGGCGTCTCTGTCTACAAGGCCGACGTCATACTGCTCGAGCGAAAGTCGAGCTGTGCTGGGCAATTACGGGAATAGTTATGGAACGCTGTCACCTACGCACCGAAACTCCGTGTTGAGTGTTGCGTCGGCAGATAAAAAAGAGAAACGCAGGTCCAGCTTGAAGAATGCCATCGGACGGATATACTTTCGCAAGAAGCGCACACCGTCGAGTGTACTATTGCCGCCCAATGCACAAATAACGATCACGAAGGACGATGGAGGAACCGTTGATCATGTTTATCTAGAAACACGGCCGCCTACCAGTCTCGATGGCGATGCAGTTTCAAATAGTACGGCAGAGTCTCTCCCAAAGCTGGAAATTCCCATCTTTGATAAAGAGGCAGTCCAGCGAAGCTTGGATGATCAGGAATTGACCGAACTGCTGGAGCGGCATCGATTGGAAAGAAACAAGCACGTTGCTTTCCAAGAGGCGGCACTGAGCATCCTCCGGCAGCGACACCAGACGGCCATCTCCGAACGCCAGTCTGATAATGAGCGCCTGGAGGATGAGAAGCGCGAAAAGGTATAGTCTGAATTCTTTCGCACAGGATTTCATCTACTTTTACTGATGAGGAATTGATAGAACCTCGACGACGCCATTCGCATGGAAGAGCGCCAACTCGCCGTAGAAATGGAACAGCAACGTGAATTCGACCGCGCAAAGCAAAACTCGCGCACTCGCATCAAGCATATGGAGGGATACTTCAGAAACGCCAGTCCTCCGCCTTCGCCGGCGCCAGCAGCCCAGCGTTCCTCTGATTCCTTCTCCGGGTCCGAGTCAACCACGCCACCTGCGCGCCGCTTTACGCGGCAGCAAAAGGAACAGCTCGAACAACAGTACCACGACCATGAGACCATGGATGCACTCCACGAGTCCCGGATCAAGGTCTTGCGCGATCGTCAAGAGCTCCGGCTACAGGAAGCTATTGCGCGCATGGAGCGCGAGCTCAATGTTATGTGCATTCAGCATAGCAAGAACGTCACTGCCTTGCAGGCTGAACACCGCATCGAGGAGACATCTATGATTCAAGCTTTGGATAACAAGAAACTCGAACTGCGTCATCGCTGGGACCTGGAAGAAGCTATCCTGCGCAAGCAGCTCGAGGTCCGAACCGGTCATCCATACGGTCCATTGCCGCCTATTTCTTTCAGCGGCGTTAATAACGAAACCCTCGACTCGACTACCAGTCTCCCCGATCCTGCATCACCTTCTCCACTTGAACCCCAGACCCCGCAGTGAGAACTCAACCCAGCTGCATTGATACCCGCCGGGTGTCTGTATAATGTCTTATATACACGCATTCTAATACTTGCATCTGCGACTCTCGTTTTAAGCGAGCCTCGTCTTCTTTTATACCACTTGATGCCCCACTATCTTTCTTGTAATCACCATTCTTTGTGCGTCGATATTGGAATGTTCAACACTGTCACCTTTTCTTTGTTTATACATTACGCATGGCGGCTCTTTGGGTTTCCACCTGTGCATAGCCTTTGATCTTGGGATACTCCGACTCTGCGAAATAGATACCTTGAGTTATTACATTTACATTGAGATTCTTTACTGATCAATTTGACTGCGTCATTGCTTCCATTAAGTGGGGGTATCATGTATCCATCCTGCCATCCTTGCTAATATCAATCGAGCGCCAGCATGCGCTACCTATGCTATAACAGCACCACGCTCTCTCAGTCGCTCGAGGAGAGTCTCCACCCTCCCGCCGCCACCAGTCATCGCATCTTCAATCTGCTTATCTCTTCCATCATCACCGATAACAACTGCGCGCTCCACAATCCCAGCATTAGACAACTTGAACCGTCCAACACGCCCATCCTCCCATTCCAAACGCACATACCGCGCCTCCACCGCAGTAGGCGCAAGCGCGACAATCCCCCCTCTCGACTCGGGCGACAACCGCTCCGCAGGATCAATCTGCGACTCGTCACTCAACCCCAATTTCTCACGTAGTAACTCAACAGCATCACCACGTAAATGCCACGCCACAAGTTCACGGCGCAATTCCCGAACAAATCCACGTAAATCCTGTCTCCTCCCACTATGCCTCTTCGGCTTCAGCGGTTCACCCTGCTCCTCCTCATCAGAATCAGCCTCCTTCCCCTGTCCTCTTCCTTTTCCAGGGAATGGCAAATAAACCCCCTCAACCCTCCCCAAATCAATAAACCCCGGTACAGTATGCCGATGAACCCTGAGCCTAACTTCCTTCCCCTCTCGCCCGCTCCCGTCTCAACAACACATAATACGGCTTCGCAAATCGCCCACCCCGTACGCAAACGTCAATCCGCACACCGAGAAGATTTGAATTCTCCGGCGACGCGGTTGGTGCGGGATCTTTAAAGGGGAAGGCGGTTGTGCCGAATGCGATGCGGTGGTGGTTTGAGTCGGAGTGGGCACCTGCGGCGCGGATCAGGGGGGAGACTTCGTTTTGGATTGTGGTTAGGGCTGTGGTTGATTTGCGAAGGTGTTTTTGGATGGAGTCTGAGGAGAGGAGGCTGGATGATAGGAAGCGTTTGCGGCGTTGGAGGGTGCGGACTGGCGGATGTTAGTTTTGATATAATTTGGAAGGGTGGAGGATTCCAAATGTATGCGCTTAGGGTTGGGGTTGAGGTAGACGTACTCTGTGCGCGAATGGTTTGTATATCCGTGTCTAGCTGTTGTTCGTGCGGGTCTGGAGATGCCTCCGCGTCGCGCGCGGGGAAGACCATTCTTGGAGGTGGATTTGTGGAAATCTTGTTGAGTTGTATTGTTGCTGTGTTTGTTTGAGTCCTGGTATAATCTTGTGGCTCGTAATTTCAATTGTCTTGGTCGATTGCAGGTGTGGTGATTCGCGGGGAGTTGCGATGTTTTTGTTTACATTGGCTCGCACGTGACCTGACATCACCGAGGCGCCCCAGTCTCTACTTGCATTCCTTATTGCTCAAGTTTCACAAGTCAAGTACCGTTTTAATACTCTCATCACTTCAGCGTGTCAACTCTACTATTTCCTCTACTGAGAACGGCCCATATTTTCATTTCCTAACGTGCAAGAGAAAATACACCATCACGTACTGTGTAATCTATGAACTCTGTCACGTGAGTAGACAGGGAACTGTTTTTGCGCGGGCACGTGATACGCCAAGGGTTCCCTGCAGGACTGTATACAAACCGATTTCTGTGTTTGATATCAACGAAGAATGAGATTGAGCTACACCTTTTTTCCTTGGTCGATTAAGAGACAGTATAAGAAATCTTATCGACTTATGCCTAGTAGGTCTTTACCCGTCAAGGTAATCTCTTTTCGAGTACACCGCGTCGCGTGAGTGAGCCACTCTGTACCACACACTGATATCATTGATGGCATGGTTCTGTACAACTTGATTATACCCTCAAAAAACGTCGTCGAGTAAGCCTATTAGAGCACAGCGCTAAGGGATGCGCAGAACCCTGAAATAGAAGCTTTTCCCTTTACATACCAGATCGACTTCTTGAGTAGTTCATGAAAGACCCCACAGTCGGAGAAGTACCCGCTAAGGCCAGCTTGCCTCTCCGCGCCTGATCCGATCCGCGCTTCCCCAAATCTGGCCCGAACTTTGGATTCTTCCAACCAGCATGTCTCGCGCCTGAAGGACTGCCCACCCCTCCTTGTTGCCAACTTGGCCTCCATGCATTGGTCACTCGTTTATATCTCCCCATCACCGAAGCTGTCAACGTGGTGATTACAAGCTATCTAAGCCACCGCGAGCCATTCTTCGTATCCTGATCTGGACACCCTCCCTTTGATCCCTCCCAGCGCCTTACTTTCTCTCTCTTCGACAAACTCTCTACATTACCAAATTTCCATAACGACATACCTTTGACGGACCCCTCTCTCTCAAAATAACACCTACAATTCTTTCAACTACAACCCGAACGAATACCTTCCCTCACCATTCTCCGCCACCCTGGCTCCCCTCGCTGACAGACTTCAATGACACGCAAGAACGCCACCCTCTCCAAGCGCCGCTCCAAACCGAGCCTAAAAGTAGCAACCAGCCAGAACGGCTATGCGAATGGAAACGGAAACGGCAAAATGAACAACAATATTGAAATGCGCAAGCGCGACACCTCGACCGAGTCCTCCGCTGAGCGTACCTCACGCGTCCTTCAAAGCCCCCAATTCTCCCTCGACAATGAACCTGCTCTCGTACCTCAAACTCCTGTTCTCGCGACGACTAGCTTTCACAATCTCCCGCGCAATGACAAGCGGAACTTTCTGCTGCTATGCGTGTTGTACTTTTTGCAAGGCGTGCCGATGGGCCTAGCCACAGGCTCGGTACCCTTCCTGCTCAAACCCTACCTGTCTTATGGACAAATTGGCGTGTTCTCGCTCGCCTCATACCCATACTCGCTCAAATTGTTCTGGAGTCCCATCGTGGACGCTGTGTGGAGCCCGCGGTTCGGCCGTCGCAAGAGTTGGATCACGCCCGTGCAGGTGATTGCGGGTCTGGCGATGATTTATTTGGGTAGGCACATTGGCGATATGATGGAGCAGGCGGGTGCCAATGGCGGCGAAGGTGTCTGGAACTTTACCTATTGGTGGTTTATGCTGGTCTTCTTCTGCGCCACGCAAGACATTGCCGTGGACGGGTGGGCGATTACCCTCATGTCACCACCAAACATCTCTTACGCCTCAACGGCCCAAACTGTCGGTCTGACGGCAGGCCATTTCCTCTCGTACACCGTGTTCCTGGCTTTCAATTCCAAGGACTTTGCCAATCGCTGGTTCCGTGCTGTCCCCGCCGAAGGCGGCTTGATGTCTCTGGGCGGGTACTTGACGTTCTGGGGATGGACATATCTCATTGTGACATTGTGCTTGGCCCTGCTGAAGAAGGAGGACCGCACCAAAGAGCGTGACAGCATTATGGATGTGTACAAAAGCATGTGGAGCGTCCTCAAGTTGAAGAACATCCAAACTATCATCTTGATTCACCTGATTGCCAAGATTGGCTTCCAGGCCAATGACGGCGTGACCAGCTTGAAATTGCTGGACAAGGGCTTTGGCCAGGATAACATGGCCTTGGTGGTGTTGATTGACTTTCCCTTTGAGATTATGCTCGGCTATTATGCGGGCAAATGGTCCACCGAGTATACTCCGATGCGGCTTTGGGGCTGGGCCTTTGTCGGTCGCTTGGCAGCAGCTGTCTTGGCCCAGTTCACCGTGATGATCTACCCCAGCGGCTCGGACGTACCATTCTGGTACCTGCTGACCGTGATCGTCGAGCATGTGGTCTCGACGTTCATGAACACGGTCATGTTTGTGGCCATCTCAGCGTTCCACGCTCGTATCGCTGATCCTGCCATTGGCGGAACTTATATGACACTTCTCGCAACGTGAGTGACCCTCCTCGCTTCTTCGCACCCTACTTGCACCGTCTATCAACTCCTAGCCCCTCTTCTCTGGTCAAAACTAACCCATTCAATTTAGCGTCTCCAACCTGGGCGGTACATTCCCCCGCTACTTCATCCTCAAGCTAGTCGACCTCTTCACGGAGGCTACCTGCATTCCACCCACCGTCGCCCCTCCCGCCGACACCTTGAAAGACGCCCTCGTTACCACGGCCTTTTCCTGTGCCCTCGAGCCGGAGAAGAACCGCTGCATCAACGGTGGCGGCGTGTGCGAGGTCGGCCGCGACGGCTATTATATCACCAACATGCTGTGCGTGCTCATCGGCACCGTCACTTTCTTCATGTTCATCAAGCCTGCTGCCACGAAGCTGCAGGGTCTGCCGCTACGGGCGTGGCGTCTGGCACCTGGCTCGAGTGGACGCGAGTAATTTGTCCGATGGGGACTTTTGCTCGTGATGATGATTCGCTCGTGTCGTCTGGTCCTGGGCTTGTGTACTGTAATTTGGCATTTGTATACTCCGTACTTGGTCAGGATATAGTCATAGAGTGACATTGAAAAGAATAAAGATAATTAGATTGATCTGTGATGCTCTGCTTGTGATTTTCCTTCGGTTATTTAGGACTGGGATTTTATGCTTACGGTCCCATCCTGAGTCCAGTGAACGCTGGGTCATCACTTTTTCCATCTTGATGGAGAGTATCGGGTATTAACTGGTGGCTCAGTGGCGGAGCGGGCCGGAAGGTACCTGGACATTCAAGCAGGATCCTAGTTAATCGTGTATGCTAGAAGTACTGTAAAGAGTCCTTGATCAGCCAAATACCGCACCTCTACTGGCTTGCCACTTCTACTTCATCTCATCTCAACCATCACATAGCTTAACCATAACGTTACCTATTCATTTCCCACTGAATCCATCTCACCAATCCATCAATCAATCACACCACGCCACCCTAACCCCCGTCTCAGGTTCCAAATCGACTCAACTCGTGTCTGCAGAACGCTTCTCCACAACGCAACAAACCCACACCCAATACCCCACGCTCATTCGCCAGGTTCCTAGCCCAAAAGCAAATCACATCCAATCGACCCCCGGCCCCTGACCCGTCTGACTCGTCGCGACGCAAAAAAAGGGTCTCGCATCCAGTACGGGGATACAATTCCAGGGACGGCGTGTGAATAGGGCCCAATGGCGGGTTCTCGTGGCCTTTCGGCTGGGCCGAGCCAAGAGGGATTCTTATGCAGGACCCCCTCTCGCGGAGCAGAGAAGAGAGTTGCATTTTGTCTACTCTCGAGCCTGGACTGGTCCGAATCTTGAATCTTTGGGCTTTGATCGGGGTGGGACTCGATCCGGGCGGGTCGAGGGGCCTCGATTTTTTGCAGTTTGCATTGCATCGGCGTGTCAGAGCTGAGCTGGACGGGTTGCAGATTTGGTTATAAAGAGGGCGAGCCCTGGCATGGGTTTCTGTTTTACTTCTTTTTTTTGTCTCTGTGTTTCTTAGGGCGTGCCATTCGTTTTTTTTATTCTTGTATATAGCCAGCCCTTCGTTAATATTCTATTTCACCCTCTATTCAAAATGCGATTCACCGTCCCACTCGTCGGTGCCTTTGCCATGGCTGCCGCGGCTGTTCCACACGTCCCCCGCGAGGTTCTCGCATATAGAAGTGTACGTCTACCCTATAAGAGATTAACGCTCTTGTATTTCATCCGAAAGAATGAATATCTAAATGATGCCGCATGATACAGTGGGACCTCCGCCTCCTCAACACCGCCATCCCAACCTGCAACCCAAACAACTCCAACCTCGACGCGAGTATCTACCACCGCTACGGTCGGTACGATTCGGCCTGTCAAATCCTGGAGACTGATTATAATGCCACGAATGTGAAGAGTGTGTCGTGGAAGAGTCCTAGTGAAGATGACTGGCATGATCTGTGCATGTTTAGTACGGAGGATTGCTCGGGCGGCGAGGCTACCCTGTTAGGCTCGATTACGGATGGGTGGGAGGTGTGTTATCCGTATAATGGATTCCGGGGTTGGTCTGTTGTTGCGCATGGAACTGCTTGTGTTTGATATGGGATTGTGGATTGGAGAGTACCTATGGGTGAGTGGTCGTGGGAGGGGTATACATAGTAAGGTGGAAGTGTAATTATGGAGTTGGGAAGTTATTCATCTTACGATATCCATATAATATACAAATCATGATGGATATGGACATGGTTATAGTCACCTTCCAAAGAATCATCCTCGAGTATTCGCCTTCTCATAGTAGTCTACCACCTCCCGCACCGCCAAATCAAGTATCAACCGCGAATAACCAGCATGCAACCGCATCACCCAAGCAGGAATAATCTTCTGCCGAACACCTTCCTCCTCAACAATCTCATAGTCATGAGCTGCCGCAAACCTCACATCCACAACCCGTCCTTGCCCGGGGACCTCGTACGGCTGCGAAACACTCATCTCATGTCGACCCCCAGACATCAGTCGCCACGGATACCCCCATCGAGCAATCTTCTCGAAGAATAGTCGCGGCTCATCCGCCATATACCAGGCAATCAGCAACCCTTGACTATCTGCATCAGCACCCGGTGCACGTTGGGTATAAGCTACCCCGTTAAGTAACTCCTGCGGCTTGTCATCTGGACCGGCTCCAAAGCCCTGCGCGCCAATGTCACCGGGGCTAAATGACATTCTGCTGAAGAGGCCGAGAATAGATGCTTCCGTGCGAAGTACCCGACTTCCAAGTACAGATCGTGCCCATGCTTCTTCAAGACTGATTTGGTCTTGCTTGCCGGCGGGTTGAGTACGCGCTTCCAGGGCTGACATGGGGATTCGCGCCGCGAAGATATCGGCATACGCGCAGTGCTGAGTCTTGGGGTTCTTAGGTACCAGGAGTGCTTTGCTTGCACTGTCTGAGGCGGGGAGGTTGGGGTATTTTTCTTCTAGGTGGGATAGACCGCGATGGATGCCGTAGAATGTTGCGCCGGTGGGTGCGGCGATGTAGATAAGGCGGGTGATGGGGTGTTTCATCATGAATTCAGGTAATACCACGGAAGATTTGTATGTTGGGATAGTTGTACACTGGTTATTCGGGGGCTTTCAGGATGGTTTCATACGAGAGTGAGATTTCTGTAGCTTCAGTCAGGATTAGACCGTCATAAGATGGGGGCCGAAATGGACCGAGTCCGATGCCTTGGGCAATCGCATAATGCTGGCTACTCGACATCTATAGCTGGTAATCAGTTAATACGACATGAAAGTCATCATATTGATTGTTCTCATGTAACCTTTTGCGCCTTGAATGTCCTGGTCTACATCTCAATTGCATTGATAGTAGCGGTGAGCCAGGAACAGAGATCGGGCCACACTCCGTAGTAGGCTTTAGCCCATCCCGGGGAGATTTACTTCCCGGTACAATAAATAACGCAATGAATAATTAACAAGTTAGTGACTAACTATAACTCAGATAAATGCTGTCATTAATAGAATATCAGTATCTAGATTAAGGTTTCTATTTTGCCGTGCTCTCCAACACTTTGCGGGGCAATCGGACCAACTCCGAAGGATATTCCAAGCCAAGGCATCGGCCAACTCAACTCCAATCAATCCCTTCTAGCAAGTGGAGAAGCGGCAGGGCTCACCTCCTTCATTGGCACCAGACCAACATCCGACATCATCATCGACACAGGAACGCCGTGAAGACTCGCGGTTCCCCCACGCCTCTCCGCGACGCCTCCACGCCTTCCCCCGCTCTTGATCATACCTTAAATACCCAAGCTTTTTCCGGAAGAATCGAGGCGATGTCTGCAGAGACCAAAGCACAATCTCCACCTGTGACAGGTACTCTTCACGATAGACACTGGGTTAAAATGACTGCTGCTTCTGTTCTCGTGGCCGGCCTGGCGCTTTTAGGACCTTCGCTCTTGTCTCGGGTTGAAGGGAGCGAGCTTCCTGCCCAGGCTCAAGTCATTAATCAAAGAGCTTTCAATGTTCTTAATACGACTCAGCCTCCGGCTGAATTTAATGCGGATAATGTATGCGATCAATGATCAAACCAATTCTCTCTCTAAACATGGCTGATACTATCAATGGCAGATTTTCGTGCCTCCGGGACACTCGGAAGATAGTCTTACCAAGCGTCCATTCCACGTCTATGACGACGAATTTCTAAAGGTCATTGGAAGCAATCCGACTCTGACGCGAATTGCGCACTCACCAAAGGACCCTCTGTTCCACGAGGCTGTCGTCTGGTAAAAGATCCAAGCTTGGCTATAAGAATTACTCAAATGCTGACTTAGACGCTCCACATAGGTCCAGAGAGACAGACGAGATGTTCTTCGTGCAGAATGCAGGCGCTAAAAATTCCAGCACTGGTCTACACAAGTCGGCCATCATCGAGAAGATATCTCTAAAGGACGCAGCTACCGTCTCTAACAAGAGCGATGCTTCCGGTCTTGTCAAAGTCACCACGGTACCCTCGTCGCCGATGGTGATTAACCCCAATGGTGAGTAGCCATCCATCCCAATCAAGCATATAGCCGGTTCAATACTTACTTGTGATAAACAGGTGCCACCAACTATCGAGGAGAGATCATTTTCACCGGTGAAGGTCAGGGCAATGACACCCCTCCTGCATTGTGGTTGATGAACCCGCAGAAGCCATACAACACAACTGGTACGTAGCGAATATGGTATCCAACAAAACAAGTGACAAATAATTGACACCTATCCAGTCATTCTGAACAACTACTTCGGTCGCCAGTTCAACTCCCTGAATGACGTATCCATTCACCCAAAGAACAAGGATATCTACTTCACCGACACTATCTATGGCTACGTGCAGGACTTCCGTCCCGCTCCTGGTCTGCAGGATCAAGTCTATCGACTCAACCCTGATACAGGCGCTGTGACTGTTGTTGCAGATAGATTTGATCATCCTAATGGTATGTCATATTACCCAGTCTCATTAACTGATAGCATCATTCTGACTTGTGTTGAAAGGGTTCACGTTCTCGCCCGATGGCGAGTACGCGTACGTCACCGATACCGGTATCAATTATGGTTTCTACGGCATGAACTATACTACCGCCGCTTCGATGTAAGTTCATACAACTGAGCCCCGGACAGAACTCGTGGATAGGAGCAATACTAAATATCTACCAGCTATCGCTTCGACGTGAAGAAGGATGGTACTCTGGATAACCGCAAGGTCTTCGCCTTTGTTAGTCCCGGTGCACCTGATGGTAAGTCAGCCAAATCCCACCGTTCAAACATACTCTTTTCTTCTTTAATATGATATACTTATCAACTCTTGGTGGTAATAGGCATCCACTGTGACTCCCAGGGCAATGTCTACGCCGGATGTGGCGATGGCGTCCAAGTCTGGAATCCCTCAGGCAAACTCATTGGCAAGATCTATCTGGGAGCTACTTCGGCAAACTTCAACTTTGCTGGGAAGGGAAGAATGGTTATTTGCGCGGAAACGGATCTTTACTATGTTACGTTGGCTGCTGAGGGGAGCTTTGTTGAGAGTGAGATGTAGGGGGGCAGCCGTATACCAGGATCGCTGGGAAGTATATACGAGCTAGTCTGAGTTGAGACCCTTGATTATATCTAAAGGATTTCTCGTCGTATTTTTCCTTTCTCCACCACGCTAATATGAGTTTGCTTCCTCTTACCTGTGTGACTTCTACGATTGCCCTTTATTCCAGACATTTGAACGCGTTTCTACTCGCTATGCTGAAGGTCGGACGGGCTAACTGTAAGTTAAACACCTGATAAGTATACATACTCGGGAATTAACCCAGTTCGAATTTCTCTATTCCCGTCCCTTTTTGTCCGCTACCAAAAGGTCTGTATGTGGGCACAGGAGTATGATCGGACCTATTCCTTAGATATTCGGCTCACCTATAACATTTACCAGGACAGAATGTTTATCGATGACCCTAACCTAATTAGGCTAAATCTTGCAGCACTAATTCTAGAGATATAATAGGGGACTCGTGATAGTTATTACTCTTGATTCTATACTGACGTCACCCAAAATTCGGGGCCCAAATGTGGAGCCGCTACCAGCCGATCTCGACTTTTTTTCCTTATCGCACCTCCCACCACAATCGTCATTTCACCATCAACCGTTGGTATACACTCAGCAGTCTCTCTGTTCAAAGCGATACACTGCGTACCTGTGCAGGCGATGCCAACCTCGACAAATACAGATTCCAGCTGTGCACTTTCTGCCCCAACATCCCCCGCCACAACCATGAGCTCTACACACAGCGATGCCAACCCCGCAGTCGACAATTCTCTAGACGACATCTTCGGCTCCTCGCCACCGCCAGAGACCAGAGAGGTGCCATCGGACTTGCGGGATGAATCTACGTCTACGGCTGAACCTTCCGATCTACCCTCTCTACGTCGTCAACACGTTACCGCGGGGTACCGCGACGGAGTCTCGACATCCAAAGGCGAACACGTCCAGCGCGGCTTCGACGCGGGCTTCCCTGTTGGAGCGCAATTGGGCATGCGGGCTGGAACGATACTTGGTATTCTGGAGGGTATTACGCGAGGACTAGAGGACCGGTCCGTTTCGGGTGTTGTGAAGAAACCCGTTGCGCGGGGAGCGTCAGGGCCATCGGCGACTGATGAGTCGCGGTCGGCGGAGACGGCAGAGTCGCGTCGTCGGTTGAGAGAGGAGGTTCTCAAGATTTATCTGGATGCTACCAAAGCATTGGATGTGCAGTCTGTCTTTGCGGGTTCCGATGTAGGGGCTGGTTCGGGATCGTTAGGGTCGAATGCGCCCGGTACGCAAGCAGGGGAGCCCGCGGAAGCTCAACTCGGACGGAAGGGTGACGCGGTGGTCTCGAAGTGGGAGGGTAAGGTTGCAGTGCCGCAGTGGGAGAAGAATATGGAGGCTTTGGAGATGAAGGACAGTCAGGGAGACAAGGGCGCGGCGGTCGAGCGGAGCTGAAGGCTGAAGGAACAGCACTACTCAACCTAGAAATTCTACCCGGTTATCATGAGTGGGTATTTTTCTCTGTGCCAGCTGTTTACCCGAAAAGGAGCTCTGCTTGCTGGCATCCTGGAAGGGACTTTGCGCTGATGCACGCTGCAGTCGAGCGGGCCACGCTGTCTTCGTTAGGCCGCCCGTTCTGCGTCCCTGCACGGTCGCCTTTCCCAGAGACCTGGATGGCTTGTTGCAGAGACTGCAAGGAGGATATGCAGGACTATATACGCAAGATGATATTCGCGGAAGGCAGTTCCGGCGGGTGTGTCTTTGAAAACAGTCTTATTTCTCCGAGACACATGGTGGGGCACACGACTCCTTTCCCGTGCAGGGGAGGCGTTGCCATTGACTTATGAGAAGTTATTTATGAGTGGCATTTTGGCTGTTGAAAGGCAATCGAGTTTGTGTGGGAAGATGGCTGGGGAGTTGAATGGATGTATCAATTCGATTTGTATAGAGGGGACCCACTATATGGGTCAATGGTGTTTGCCCAACTCCTCGAGGCAAACACACAACCCTGCTCTTCGGCTTGCTGCGGGATTTGATTTGTTATGCCGAGGAAACTTGGGGCCGAGCAAACGCCGATAGATCTGAAACTCCCAGCTCATCGGGTTTCGGGGAAGTCATCCTACGCCCGGCGGACTCGTCGTGCCTTGCGTTTACGGGCCGATGAGTCCGGCTCAAGGAGAGTAGAACTTTTGTACTGCCTGTTATTATGCTCTAGCACATGGAAACCTCTACTGTAAAGGTTGTGATCAAGTAATACATTTGTCAGGAATTTGTCAATGTGAGATTTGAGCAAGTACGAATGCAAATGAGTAAATCTGATATCAACTCTAGCTATTTGATCATATTCCATCAAAAACTCTACGACAAGGCTTGCTCCCCCCCCCACCTTCTAGCTTCCATTCGAAAAGCTAATTACAGAACCTAAACCCTCTAGACCGAGGTAAATAAGTACAGGAAAAAGTACTGCATGGCGTAAGTCTAGATGTCAAGAGCGATGCAAGGGGGCCGTTTAGTCTAAACTCACTAGTCGTCCAAAAATGGAAAACTAACAACACGCGAAAACAACGCGTAACATGGCATTGATTTAGTGTTAACAACAGCATTTCACGTCGATAAATGTCTGGGATAAATTGTCACTGAAGAAGCCGGATCCTCGAATCGATGGCGAGGTAAAGTGAGCCTCCTGGCCATTGCGCTGCTAATAACTGCCCATCACGAAACAATAAGTATTTGAGGGCAATGAAGCTTTTAGAGGGGCAATTGATGGGCAAACCATTCCAGCCACATCTTGTTTAGGTTCTTCATTAATAACAATAGCCTGGGTTATTTGCATAGGGCGTAAAGCCGGGTATAATGTACATGGACTATTCTGAAGCTATAAGGATCAACATCGATGAAAGCAAAATAAGAGTAGTCAAGAAACTCTCCTCCGCACAGTGCAGAAAGAGCCCTTACTCGGAAGAGGAGAAAACTACATTGGACTCTCGAAGAGCTAACCCATCGTCCTACAATCCATCCTATCCAACCACAACCCTAAATGAAGCTTCCCAAACAAGCCCCCAGAGCCCTATGAACACAAGTACGAACGACGCGTTCACCCTCCCAACCCCCTCACTCTAGAACCATATCCCTATGCAAGAAAGAGCATGCCAGATCTGACACATCCGCCGTTCTTCTTCAAACCCCCAGTAGCAAGGATGACCACCCCTGCACCTAAACAATATAGGAAAGGTCTTACACACAATATCCAGGAAAAGCCCATAGCTTGGGATGGAAACTGCTGCAGTGTACTTTGATGCGGATCGGCGGCTTGTCAGACCCGGCTCTGCAAGAAATCTTAGACATGCGTCTACCGCAATTAATGGGAATAGTGGCAGTACAGGACTTGTGGTGGAGATCTCCACTGTGGACTCGGGCTTGGCGAGTATTGAATTATGGCGAACCCCCCGTGCATACCGAGGAATCGGGGTGGATCCCGAGTGAAACAATAGTTGGATAGCTGGAGATATGATTAGAAGGGGGTTGTAGTTGTATTGGTACATGCTGGGTGACATTGATGAATACTTCGACAGTTATACTGTGGCTGTAGGGCAGACCTCCAGCATTCCCTGATCACCAAGACGATCACCTAGACAACGACGTCGCGGGGTATGAAGAGCAGGATGAATTATGGAAGTAATGTTTCATTTTCTGCATTTTTGTGCAGGAGATCATATTCGTGGGAATCAATGTGTAAACAATATGCTTTTGATGCGCCAGATAGAAACCAGGAAGTGAAATGCAATCTTGAGTAGCCGTACACCGTATCCACTTTATAACATTATTGTAGCAATTCAGACAGAAAAGAGACAGAAACCTGGAAAGGTTAAGTGTAAACAAATCAAAAGGAAATGACGTGAGACAAGAGTCGCCAGTGTAAGAGGCCGTTCAACACTTTGTGACAAGGTTAGGGAAAACCGATAGTGTACAGCGCCGGATGGCGCAGTGAGATAAGAGCAAATAGTTAGAGATAAAACAAGTCGAGGTAAGTAAATGAAAGAACGTGAGGCCCGAAGGGCGAACAGTAAGGAAATCATAGCCAGAGTAGTTTTGCTGGCAGTGTGGATCATCCGTGACTTCGTGTTTGTAGAGTCGCCGAGAACATGGTAACATTGCAATCCGGGAATATGTCCCGGGCAATCATTAAGATCGTTTTAGGGTGGGTTGAGAGCAACCCGGAAGCATCAAAGCGTTAAGCGAGTGTGAGACGTGTTCGTCATCATGGAACACATGAAAACATGAAACAAAATAATGGGTCCGTTGGGAGAATCGTTGAATGTAAAGGCCGTGGTGATAAATTCTTGAAAGCAAAACGCCGGGTCCCCAAGTCCACCAGAACTCCCCGTGTCACCAGCCGTGAGGGTATCAATCAGATTGTAGTCGTGGTTTTGGTAGCTGCTTTGTGGCAGCTCAATGAGCGAAGGGAATCGAGCACCCGCTTGAAGAAGGGTCGTTGGTCGATGGGGTCCTCGAAGGGTATAGGGGAATGTTGCTCATAGCACATCGAGGTTAACTTATCGGTCTCTTCCTTGATGTACTCGGAAGAGTCTGATTGCTGACGGCGCCTGGAGCGAGCCTGCACAGCGGCTGCAGTTGACCGGTCGATATCAGAGTCGCGCAAGTTACCATTGCTGTTGTTGCGAGAGCGGGGTTTGAGAAGGGATGTAGTGGAAGGTGCGACAAGGCGGAGGGTTTGAAGAGGGTGATTAGGTCGCAATCCATCCCGGCTGGTACTGGGTCGGTCGAGGCTAACACCGCGGTATGGTTCGGGCACAGGGTGACCAACCGCATCATCGGGCATGCAAGGGAATTTCTCTGGGGCCTCGTCGTCCAGCATAGCCTGGTGCAACCTGGGCTGAGACTTGGCAGCACGAAGCTTAGCACGGCTTCGAACCTTTCGCAGCGTGTCGATGGGCTTGCGGGAGAGAGACTTGTGTCCAATTGACTCGTTATCAGAGTCGGACTCCCAAACGGAGTGCTCACAGTAAGCATCCATGGTGGAAGTTGATGGTCGCTCCATGGATGTGGCAGTCCATTGGCGGGAAATGGGTGGAGAGCTAGCCGATGGACTGGGGATAGGGCTGGGGCAGTCATTGGCAGGGATGAACAAAGCCTGTTCAAAGTGCGTGGCATGGGGCTCCATAGTCACTGGGTTGATCAAGCTCGGTGGTGAAATCATTGATGGGTCCAATGGAGGTCTGGTCCCAGGGCTAGATTGTTTCCTCCGAGAGCTATGGGAGCTAGGCCGACGCGAAAGGTTGGGCAAGGTAGGGTGAGGTTTCCGCCGACGAGATGACGATGACATACTGCCCGATAGCTCGTACTTCATTGTGCTGGTTGAAGGGGTATTCGCGCTATCGGCAGATGGAGTAGTGGGTCGAGTCTGTGCCTTGGGGAGTGCAGGCACAGGCGGAGGTGGAGGCAGTTGCGTAGGAGGAGTGGAGGCAGGAAGGTAGAAAGCACGACGGGGCTCCGATTGTGCTCGCTTTGCGTGGTGGTATAGCTTCTCAGTCGCCTTGATCACCGCGTCTGGGCAGGAAGCGGAGTATGTGGAAGAGAAAGAGCTGCTTGGTGTGAGATCGGGGGTAGTGCTGCCAGTCTGGACCGAGCTGAAAGACTCGTGGCTGCTGTGAAGAGGCCTGGTCTCTTCCTCGGTGGACGATGTATAGCGATGGAATCTCAAGTTGTTCTCCAGTTCCAATTGTGCGATAGTAGACCGGTCAGGACAAAATTGGCGAGACGACTTGTGTAGATCCGAGGTGCTCCTCTGGTGTGTCAAAGAAAGTGAATAGTAATTGCTATTGTCGTCGCTAAATCTCTCATCGCGGATTGCTGGATTGTAGGAGTTCCAGGCTGATGGGGTGGCAGCTAATGACTGCTCGAGGTAGAATGGATCAGTGTTGGACTCTTCCAGCACCTTAGGTCCTGCTTTGGGGAGATATGTCGATGCTCGCTTCAGTGGGGATGGTGATGGCAAGCAAATTGTAGATCCTGATCTGTTCCAATCGGCGTGTAACGCGTCCAACTCGCCTGGACAGTGATTATCTCCGCGATCCATGGACTATGATGCCAAAGCAGGGTATGGGATGTCAACGGAGACTTGGACGCGGGGTCCTAGGAACAATTGATCATGGAACACGAGAAGGAGAGAGGAGGAGAGGGGAGATTTGAGCCGAGTCAGGGGATGGTTGCCAGAGAAGGAGGAAGAATGAAAGCATCCAGGGTGAAGGGTATAGGTTTATAGACAAGCCCAAAAATAGGGCTTGGCAAACCCCGAGAGAACCGCAGTGGCTGTCTGTGCTTTGGTGGTCATCCCAGTGGCCGGGAATAACAGATGCATGCCAATGCAGGTAAACAAAAGCACCGAGGAGCACGGACGATCATGACCTATCCGACCTTACATGACGTTCCCCTTTCCGCTGTGTAGGGATGGGGGATGCAGCAAGGACCGGCCTGCTGGGCAGTTCCAGCAAGGGCGGCGGGACGGGGGATCCGGACAAAAGAACGCAGTCAAAGAGTTTGGTGCTTTTGGAAGATGGATGATGATGATGATGATGATGTTGAATTATGGAAGTACTGAATGTACAGAGTTGATGTTCAAGGGAAGTCTGGTGGTGGAACATCTGACACCACCTGACTCGGCAGACTTGAAATTCGAGTTTCTCATTTTCTCCTCCACTCTCGACAGGTACCGTCATATCCTCTTCTTTGTCTTTTTACAACACCTCTATATTACTGTCTCGTAAACTGACTGATGGATCTCATCTCAGCACGCGTTCATGTACCCGGTTAGCAGCCTCGCCGGTACGATACATCGAGGAACCTACACAGACCGCGGTGCATTCGATACAAAGCCCACGCCCGCAGCCTGCCAGCGTCACCAAAATCCCATGCAGAGGCTGGGTTGGCGGGAGAATGTGAGATATCAGCCTTGCCCGTCTCCTGGGACCAGACCAGTCCCGGGGAGGCCTTTCCGGATCAGCCACTAAGCTCATCGAGCCCCACCGATCGCCCTCGTCCGTGTCGACTCGGACTGGCCGCCTGTGGCGAAGGTGGCCGCTGTCTCGAACAGCCACAAGACGACTCCTGGACCACCAAAGGGTCCCTCCCCTCGGTGCCATTCCTTAATTCCCCATTCCTGGGAACCGTGCAACGGCGTTGGACCCGAGCTCGAGAGCCTCAGATGGCGCTCGACAGCTTTTGCAACGTTCCATCTCTGGAATCGCTGGGCTTTTTGGGTTCCCCGCACTGGATTTAAATCCTACTATCGTCATTCGCAATGCCCAAACACCCAATTCCAAGCCTAGTACGCTACTCTTCCCGTCTGCTTGCTTTTTAGCAGTGGCTAGCTCGAGTCCCACGTTTACTTTTTCCCTAGCCCTTGTCACCCCTCACCCGTCGCAACACCGACCGGCTTGCCCCTAGAACCTGTTCCACTTTGCGTGGACGGGGTTTCAACTGTTGTGTGTCCATCAGTTCTGGACCCTTAACTGGTTGAGCTTTGAGCTCGACTTGCTCCGTCCGTGCAGAACTCCCTTCGGGCCCTTTTGCCCTGGGAGATCTCCGCAAGTCGCCGGATCCAAGTTCCTAACTTTGATGGTGCATCAAGGGTTCTCTAATCTTGCCGCCTTGTCTGGTTCCCGTCCCCTTCGTTAGGGCGGCGCTCCATGCCCGTTTGGGCAACTTGTACACTTCGTAATAGTCGACAAATCACATTTGCGAGCCGCGGATAGTCAAAGCCGCGATTCGTGCTCCTATTGGCTCTTTCTCGAGCCTGTGCTCGAATGGACCAATCGAATGTGGCGAGTTAGAAAGACAACGCGACCTTTTGAAGTGTAAGCTGTCACCAACCTTAGTACTGTAGTGTCGTTGGCTGGCAGTCTGGCCATCGGAGCCGATGAGCGTAGTTGTATATATGATATCACTCTACCACTCTCAATCTCCACGGCCCCATCAATCTGAAACTGGATCTCGATCTCACATATTCGATTGACTGGGACGACTCGTAGACGAGCCGATGGGGCTTCATGCACTGCGCATTTTGTACGAACTAACTTGCAGTATCCGATAAAGTGTACACTAGTTCTCTTCTTTGCTCTATCCTTTGCTTCCTTTCGAAAAACCAATTCTTCAGCCCAAGCCACTCCCCACATTCCAATGAAAAGTTTGACACGCATCCCATCCCGTCATACATACAGCGGAACAACAGACGGACCTGCCCGTCCCCCCTGCACCGGCTGCATCGCCAGATCCAGACTCGCTGCAGCCTATGAGCCCCAATCGAATAGAATCACTGTTTACATGTATATATATCTACGGCCTGCGTCTATAAACCCCTGATTGTCAAGGAAACAAGCTGTCTGCGGCCTTATCCTCCGAAAATCCATGCACCCGGCGAGCGATTTACCAGGCCAACGCTCGTCACTGCATCGCCCTCGCTTTATTCCGCTCACATTCTTCTTATGCTGGGTATATATTGAAGTTGTAGTGCAGTTGATGACTGTTGATTATTCATGACCACCACCTCCATAGGAAGATTTGACATTCGATCCTAAAGGGCTCACCGTGGACTTATTCCATTATATCGGGTTTACCAGACCCTCGCTGCGAGCTTTTCTCCTCTAGGAAGGGCACCTTACTCCATGGTTGTGAGCACGTTGGATGTCACTCAACTAGAGTAGTTGACATAGATACGGGCAGTACCAAGCAGGCCTTCTTCAAATCAGCTACCTATCTCCCTGTACCCCTAGAAGAACAAGCCTATACCCAGACATAACAAACCTTAGACAATGAATCAAACCTATCACCCATCTCCATACCATGTCTCAATATATTCCCACCATCTCCCACCTCCCAATTGGCACGGACAAGATCCGGAACCCCGAACCAAAGCACAAAGAACCTGAAACACTCCCGTCTCCCCAGAAGGTCCCGGCGGAATAGCCTTCCGTCCCGATCTCGCGATGCCCTGCATCCTCCTGCAAGCTCCTGCAAGGCATACGTGAAACCTATCTCGACATTGGGACGAATGGGTCCGATCAACTTCTTCTTCAGCGTCTGCATCCACCTCTGCATCTGCGCTGTAAGAAAAGAATAATACCTAGATCTGATCTGATCGTCCTTTTTTTCTGGGAAAGGGGGCGTATCCAATCCGCTAGGCTACGTCCGCGATGCACCGGGTGAAGCTTCCCCGGTCCCCTCGCTCTAGGTTCCAGGGCGTTGGGTATAGTATCCGCGTCAATAAAGCTCCGATGAGGATTCCTTGCAGGGGAATTTGTTCTGGGGCAGGGGTCTAGACTTGGTTGTCTGGTATATAGAGAAGACGCGTTGCTAGTGTAGTGTTTGTTTAGATGTAGGTTGTGCCAGGGGCAACCAGGGAAGGAGGTTCTGTTTGGTGCTGTTGGTTGAGTATAGTTCATTTACCCCTTGGGTTGAGATGACTGATTTGAATTGACGGGGACCCAAACAGAGTCAAGCAGAGTTGGCCAGAGTTGACTGGATTTGAGTTCATTTGGTTGGCTTTACCCCTGATCCAAGTGAGACGTTCGATCCAGAATTTGCATGTGGGGTGCGGAGAAGTGGTTATAGTTCAGGTCAGTAGAGTTTTTATCATGGGGGTAGAACTAGAGCGATAGGTACTTGCTCTACCGTTTAGATCATGCCTTGAAGATGAGTGCCTGGATTGCTCTAGCTTTGATCAAAGCTTCGGCAGTTCCTGGTCGTTCAGTCCGTAGTGGGGGGTTAATCTCCAAAGTGGGGAAGAGCCGAGCAGTTCGTCCCATCTTTCGTTCCTTAAATGTAGTCCCAGTGGAACGACTGGGCCCGATCCCAATGGGTTTCGTGTTTGGGAAAGAGTATTCTTTAGTCAGTAGTCCCCCCGTTGTTTTCTCCTTTCGCACTGACTGAATTTCTGACAGGAATCGGGGCCTAGAGGTGGGGGATTGTTTGCCTCGGGATTCTTTGGGGTCCGATAGATAGGATTCCAGGCTAAGAGACTAAAGATGTGGCTACGTAGTTAGTGCCCGATTGCCAGCGCATCATTATTATACAAGCTGACAGGGCTAAGTAACCGAAGTCAAATCTGGGTCTGGCTACATCCATACATAGGTACTGCCTCTGTGTAAGTATACCATCTGGATACACTACCCTCCGTATGTGACTATCGCAACTAGCTGTATTGTATTTCGTCGCCTAACCGTGGCACTGGGGATGGAGTCTAAGATCGGCACTTTGAATGGCCCAAGTAGTCCCATGGTAAATAGTCCAACGAGTAATTCTGTACAGTAGTTGTTCGTCGCTCTTTTGTCGTGTCCAGTTTGCGAGTCGAGATCTGCCTGAGGATTGTGGCCAGACTTGCTTCACTTTCTATCCCACTCCAACTTGTCTGCCTTCACTAAGGTACTAACTATACACTCACGAGCCTTGAGTTGCTTCTGGTTATTCACTTCCTACCTTGTCACTCTTTTCATTCCGTACCTATGACGATTCTTCCTTTGCCCGTTCGTTCAATTCCCGATCGTCCGCTGTGCGACCGAGCCAGTTCCGGTGCAGGCAATTATTGAGCTCGTGCTTCTCTTGCCTTGTGCAAGATCACTACTAGTAGTGGTCCCTTGCAAGTCGAGAGACCCTAGTTGACCTTTATCTCTCTCTTTTTTTTTCTGTTCCTAAAGGAACAAGAGAATTCTCCGAGGGAGAGAGGGACCAACATTCCTGCTGTCATCGCCGCGGGATCTTCCCCCAACTTCGATTCCAATTATTCCACAGCCTCAATCTTTCGCCCAATTCGTCCTCATATTTTTCCCTTTTCCTTCCAATTCACTTGATTTCATCTGGGACTGGCTGTTTCTGCGCTGCAGCGTAGGCGCTGGATGGTCCGCGCGACACGTTTGGTGCGCTGCAGCTCGACCCCAGCCATCTCAATTAAACCAGCCACCACGACTTCCACTTCTCTCCCCCGTTCCCTCTTCCCTCTAGTCTCCATTTCTCTCGGTAACTGAAAAAAACCCCCCCATTCCAACCTTTATCCACTTGAGAATCTCTTGTCTCTCAATTGCTCCGGGGTTGACACACTACTGTCGCTGTCCACAGCCTCACGGGCTGCTTGTTCACAACCTTGCGCGGAAGTGCTTGACACTGCCATTGCGATACGCCCTTAGGGCTTGACAGCCTCCAGCTCCTGGAATTCAGTCAAACCTCACATTGTCTTCATCTCGCCCATTCCTTCAACCCGCACCAGAAGTGTCTCACCACACTCGCCGAGCATCTCACGAAGTCTACGACCGTCACGACCCATCTACGTTTACGACCTTTGCGCAGCAGCGCCAGCAGCCATCTGCCCCCCGTCCTTCTTCCTCCAATTCAGTTGATTACCGTCCACCTTCGGCGACAGATTCGCAGCGCCCTCTGCGTCGAGTTCGCCGCTCACCCGACGTTCGCCAATTGCCGCACCGTCGCACTGTCTCGCACGACGCATCGAGTAGACAGCCGCCCCAACCACAGCCAGCACAGCAAATCCCAGTCCTTGTTCAGCCGAGTCTAGAAGGCGGCGTCGCAGGAGTACCGCCGGCTCTCTCCGAAGCTCATACTGACGAGAACGGGTCGACCATCGACGATCCGTACGAGCTTCTCAATTCCTCGTACTGGCCGCGGAGAACCACCGGTGTTTCATCGCGAACTGCCTCGGCCATTCTCTTTGCGCTTGAAGAGGCCATTCGTCGCCCCTTCGCTTTCACCACAGATTGGGACGAAGCGAATGCTTCTATGTCCGATATGGTAGGCGTTGCTGGTCCCGCCGCGCCTGCGGGCAACGGCCGTGTTTCAAACGGTGGCTCGCGGGTGCCTCAAGCTGCCCCGGCTCCGATCCCAGCTGCAACTTCACAAGCGCCGAGTGGCGTTCGCACCCCGACAGACATAATGAGACAACGTCGAGATCGGGAGGCTCGTCGCAAAGCGGAGCAAGAGGCCCGCGAGAGGGAACAGGAAGAGTTGGAGAGACACCAATTGGAGCAGGAGCAACAGGAGCAAGCTCAAGCTCAAGCTCAACAGTATGCTGCTGGCGCTGCTGATCCAGCTACACAGCGCCGTGGCCAGCCGCAACGAGCTCCCAGAGGCCCTCAAGCTCAAGTACCTCCAGAAAATGTGGCTGTCACAGCTCCAGGGCCTACTCCTGGTTATCGTCCTACCACCAGTACCGGACCGACAGCTCCCAGGCAGGACTATCAAGCTCTACCTTCCCAGATAGGTGGTCATGATATGTCCGGCCAACCGCCACTGGCACCTTCATCAAGTCAACAGCATCTGGGGCCAACTGCTCAGCATGCTCGCTCGCAGAGTGCAGCCGCGGCAACGGGACTTCAAACTGGGCCAACTGCTTTCTCTAAGTCTGCACCGGCTCCTGCCAGCAACCAACCTGGTGGTACCTCACAAACACTCCAGCAGCCACGCCGATCCGGTTTCCCACATGCCTTTGAACGGTGGGAGACACTTTCCTCCCATTGGGAGGGTCTCACCAGCTACTGGATCCGGAAACTCGAGCAGCATAATGAGGACTTGGAACGTGATCCACTTAGCCAGCAACTCGCTCGCCAGATCACCGACTTGTCTGCCGCGGGTGCCAACCTGTTCCACGCCGTCGTCGAACTGCAGCGGTTGCGTGCTTCTTCGGAGCGCAAGTTCCAGCGCTGGTTCTTCGACACTCGTGCCGAGCAGGAACGCTCTAAGGAGGTCCAGGCGGACCTTGAACGTCAACTGAAAGCCGAACGCCAGGGCCGCGCGGACGCATTCGCCGCCGCTCAAACGGCCGAGCAAGACAAGACCCGTGCCGAGGATCTCCTCCGCGAGATGCGACGCGAGCTCCAAATCTCCAAAGAGGAAGCTCGGCGCGCATGGGAGGAACTTGGCCGTCGCGAACAAGAAGAGCGCGACAGAACCAACTCCCTTCGCAACGGTGAGCCCACCCTCGTCGGTGGTGTTCAAGTTGTCCCCATGGTCCAAGGCGTCCCCAGCCGTCACACAACCCGTCCACCAACCCGTGAGGGCCCATATCCCGGCGGTCCAACAGCAACCTCCATGGGTACAGACTACCCGGGCAAACCGACAGCCCCCAGCACGAGCCGCACATACTATGACGAAAACACGCCCATGTCCCCAACAGGCTCCGATCCATTCATCGAGCCTAAGAAGACGGATCCCCCGGTCTCCAAGGCACCCTACCCACCCACCAGCCAACTGTATCCGCAGGAGCCCACCACGGCATCCTATCCAGCCCCAACCTCCGAGCCCGACGCACACTCGTACGTCGGCAGCAGCGAGGCCGAGGAAGAATACACCGGGTACTCACGCGACAACACCCATCCCTTCAGCTACCCGGCCGCACCACCCTCGGAGGGCAGCGACGAGTACGACCACCACTACACCACCGACGGCGCGTACACGTCCGGCGGTAGCTCAGCGCCCGTCCACGCACCCTACCCACCGACTACAGCCGACTATAGCGGCTCCGGCTGGGGTGTTGGTACAGGATGGGAATCCGTCACGCCGCGCCACCGTCACCCGACGCGTCTGAGCGACGTGCTCGAGGAAGATGAGCCTAGTCGTACGAGTCCCAGTCGTGCTAGCCAGGCAAGTCGGAGTATCCAGGGCGCAAGATCTGACTTGTGAAGTGGGAGATTGAAAACCTCGATAGATAGAGTCTGAGACGGGGGCGATTGTGTGTTCTTCATCAGTTCCTTGCTTTGCATCTGTGTCTGCGTTCGAAACATGCATGCCTGCATCAGATCTGGATCGGGGTTGCGTTGCGTTGCGTACATAGAAAATGGGGGGCGGCGAGGCTGCTTGCGCTTTTCTCTTTTCTCTTTTCAATTTTTTTTTTTTTGTTTTTCATTTCCTTTCATTTTCTTTGTTTCCTAGGTTTCTCATATCACGAACGAGCGTCTCTTCTCTTGCGTTTTCAATTTTATCCTCTTAAGACTGAGCGAGGTTGCCCGTCTTCTATGTGTCCCTCTTTCTCATGGCGTTTTGTATTTACCTGAAGCAGCTTTTTTGCTTTGTTTTGTTTTGTCTTTGGTTTTGAGTTTTCAATGGTGATAATACCTAATTGTCCATTCGAGTGCTTTGCGTATTTATTGAAGGTCTAAGTATGACGTATGGCAGTGACGCCGTTGGTAGGGTTAGGTTACCACTCGACTTCTAGACTTTAAAATATCTTGGGCATTTCTACCTAGCATTTGTTTTAATCTTCAGCGTAGAGTTTTAAGGCTATGCCCGACAGATCGTCCTTGGGCACCTATGTCTGGATAGCGCGATCTAGGGCTAGGTTAACCCTTGAACCTAACGATAATTCACTGTTTAGAGTGGATTAGGTAGCACTATTGTATCTGCAGAATGCAGACGAAACAACTATCTTGACTATATTTCTAAATCTCCTCTTCGCAACATATTTCATTCCTGGCATTCGTGTTTCCATAAAAGTTGTATGGGGCAGGGAAATGGAATGAGGGGATGGTTTGGCGATATTTATCGCGCAACCTCGGCAGCCGTACTCCCTTCGAAAGCTTAATGTATATTTTGCCTACCTATCTCCTCTTCCTCGGATCAGAGTGGTAGGTACCTAGGTACTGCCATGTACCTACAGCCTGTCCAATTATTGGCTGAATGGCATGAATTTGTTGTTCTAGCATAGTCCGTTGGTGGTACCCACCATGCGCAGGGAGAGAGGAATGCCGCTGTCAGGACCTCGATTCTTCTTTCAGAACATCATCCGTAAACTGTATACCTTCACTTCAGACCTGCATTTGACTTGAGACACTGAATTCTGATGAGTTTGAAAACTTTCGCGTGATTTAGGATAAAGCTGTGCATGATAGGTATAGATGTCTCCTCCGCGGTCTATTTAATCCTCCTCCCTTGCACTACCCGACTCAAGACCCTCATCACCTCGATCCCCAACAACAGCACTACTCTCAACCTCATCACCCTCATCCGGCGAATGATAATCACGACTAGCCATCTTCAACTCCCTCTCCAGCGCCTCAGTCAAAGCATTCAACAACCACTCGACCTCGCTCTTCTCACCCAACAACGGATTCTTCTTATCAATCCAGCTCCAATCCCGAAACTTCTTTTGTCGTTTCAAATCCTGCTTAGCCTGCTCTGTATCCGACTCATACGGTGGTTTGTGTTGTCCCGAGATAAGAGCAAGATAGTATTCCCACTCGAGATAGTCGAATTCCTTTGATAGGTTCTTGGTGGCGAGTTCCATCATTTTGCGAATCTCTCGGAAAAGCAGGTAGTGGTAGTGGTGTACGTTTTCGGCGGCGATGTCGCCGCGGCGTCGGGCGGATTCTTCTCTTTTGTGTTCCTCGGCTTCGACTTCGTGGCGGCGGGCATTGAAATCATTTCGTTCAGTGCCGTTGCCCGTGTCGGTGAGGATGTCTTGAGAGGCATTCTTCTCGCCTGTGGTTTCTTGGAGCCATTTGTCTGTCCAGGAGATGTGGAATATGTCCTTGATACGGTCGTGGAAGGGTTCATCGCCAGGTAGGATGGTGAGTTCACCAATGAATAGAGTGATGTCCTTGACAAACCGGATAAGGGTGTCACTGATGTTGGAGATGAGGATAGTGATGGTTGGAACGGCAAGAAGGGACCAGAAGACAAAAAATGCCTTTCCTAGACTGCTGACCGGGTAAAAATCGCCAAATCCGATGGTGAGAAGCGTTGAGTAGGCAAAATAGAGAGCCTGAAAGTACGTCCAGTGACGATGATCCTCGGAACGCCAAAAGATAGCTGCACCGATGAGCCACAGTGCCATCCAGACAAGCATAGATGTGATTAGCGAGAACCACTTGTGTTGCACGGTTGCTAGTTGTCGAACACGTCGCATTGTGATAAACTCTCGCTTTTGTCTCTCGCGATCACTAAGCTCATTTTCCTCATTTTCATCAACACGCAGGTTCGGCACCAAGCGATTATTCCGTTCCGAGAAAGCCTGCTTCACTAGGAACTTGTGAGTGCGTGCAGTGAGAAGATCGGCAATCTTTTGTCGTCCATGCTCCAGCATGAGCGTCCGAATAGAAGAGATAATGAGACCGAGAATCACAATACCCCCAACTGCGTAGGGAAAGAGGAGCCCGCGACCAAGATGCGTAATTGGAACAAAGTTGCCGATACCGATTGTGAGTAGAGTGAAATCAGCCCAATACAATGCATCCATGAACTTCCAGCCTTCGATTCTGGCGTAGACGGCTGAACCTCCTAAAAGGTAGATGAACAGGATGATAGTCTGTAGCATCAAAGTCCGTTGACTGGTAGTCAATTTGTACTCGCGACTGTAGTGTCCCTTGTGGGCACCCCACGCGGTGACAACCAGCAAGGATGCGATGATGAAGTAAAGCCCAGCAGCAAAGGTCCCATAAAAGTATGCCTGCGTATACATGTGCCCAGAATTTTGCGGTTCGTACATGAGTACCCCCAAGCCGATCAGAATACCGAGCAGCAGAAAAGATGATATGTACCATCCGATAATAATGATCGGCTGAGCGACCTCGAACCGGATGCGCCGTGCCATGTTCAACGAAAGCGCCAAGTTTGCAATGAGTGCAAAAACAAGAGAGACTGCATTGAGCGCGGTCACCCTGAAAAAAAGTATCAATATGCGGCAAGACAAGTTTCACGGCGACAGCGTACCATTTTGGATCAGTGATATCTCGCTCTCCGCCACCGGGGAGTATTTCCATGCGCCATGGCTGCGATAGAGAGCAGATACTGAAAGCGCTAGACATTGGCCCGAACGTGCCCTGGGGATGGGTTAGATCTGGGCATCTATTCCTACAAGGAATAAGGATTGCATACTGCGGCCAATGGATATGCTGTACTTGCAAGCCACCATCGCGCTGCATGGGGATGCGTTGCGTCTATCTCACGGGTATCACTCTTTTCGTCATGAGGTAACGTATGATCGAGAGCGTTGGCCTCGTCCGCAATGGCATCGTCGAGCCCGGGGTCATTCATGCTGTGTAGTAGTGTCCGAGAATAGGTCCATAGAGACGGGTCGTTGCGCCACTAGCGAGAGAACATCACGAAACAGGAGGTGAGATCGAGCGAGAACGCATGGTTTAATGTGTGGCTTCTCTAGTGAGAGTGGAAAAAGCATGCGCTGGGAAGTTAGTGGCGCTTGCCAAAATCAAGCTTTGTGTCAACAGCACAAGCGTGGCCGTCATGATCGGCGGAAAGCGCGACGAGGCCTGGACTACTCTGGCCGACGTCATATCACGTGCGGTGCGGAACCAGGAACAATGTTCCAGGTTCTATGAGCGGAGAAGATTATACTGTTGAAAATCCCTATTTATGGGGATGCAAAGGAAACGGTTTTGTAGATTCGGGTGATTAAGGGACAGATTACCCAGAGAAGCTAGACGAATAAGAAAAAAGGGCGGAGCATGGAAATTCGCACGAGGTGCTTTTCGTGTTAATAGAAAAAGGAGAATCAAGAAGAAACTAGCCAGTATGACATCGGACTCTGTACATCACGTCAACCAACTTCTGTACATGTCAAAAAGGAGAAAACAACTAGCATATGGTGTACCAATACTTAATTGAAAAGCAACAGTCGTGTACTTCGGGATCAGTGAGAGATCGGAGGGTGCAACGGCAAAGCAAGAAAACGAAAGAAAGAGCATTGAGACGAGAACCGCCAGGTAAGATCGTTAGACACCAAAAACTCCAATCTCCATCCGCATTGCCATGATGTTAGGGAGAAAATTCAATAGTCGTTCCAAGAAAACGTAGGTAGTAAGAGGATTCGAAGGGGTATCGCAGGAAAAGATGTTAATGTCGGTGGAATCGTAGGGAGAGCAAAGAGGATGAACTTGTTCATCAGACTGAATGTATGTCAGCAAAGGAATGAAACTGGTTATTTGCCTGCCGACGAGACTTACAATGACCACCTCCGGGGGTGAGAGAAGAAGGAAGCGACGAGTTCGGCTGTGGTGAAGGTCGACGGGCAAAGCGTGGGTCCACGTCTTCGTAATAGTTGGTGGAAGTTTTCCCAGCACCAGCGTGGACGGGCGAGGGAGACGGGCGTGGAGCGAGGCTGGATTCCTGGGCACCCCATCCAGCACGAGCAGGGACGTAGGAGCTACAATGATTAGCTAGGGCACAAGATAATAAACTCTTCAGGAAGAAACTTACTCAGTACGACTGTAAAGACTTGTTGGGCTCTCGAGAGGCGCGTGGGCACCATCGACGGACAACGCGTGCGGATGAGACCCATTGCCCATCGACGGCTCCGATTCATACTGGTCATTTCGGCGCATTTGAGGCTGCATTTCAATGGCTTGACCCACATTATCTGCAGACACAGCCATACCAATCGGTCCCGGTGATGGTTCGCGCATTGGGCCGCCCGGCGCCATTCCGGGTTGATCATAGTGGTCATCCATGGGCCGGCCATAGGAGTCAAAGCTGCGATTGGGACCAGCCGAATAACCAGGAGCACCGCGGGGGCCTCCACGGCCGGGCATCATGCCGCCACGGCCACGCGGTGGTGGGCCTCCCATGTAGCTGCCGCGGCCACCAGGAGGACCCCGAGGCGGTCCCATGTAAGGGCCACCACGTCCGTAAGCACCTCGAGGAGGATATCCTCCCCGGCCGCGCGGGCCAAACCCGGGCGGGCCTCCACCGCGTCGAGAACCCATGCTTCCATCAGAGTACTGGGGGCGCAATCTGGGATCCGAGGGGCTGCGCATCATCTGGGGATTACCATACGGGCCCGCAGGGGGCATACCGGCGTCTTCCTGAGAGCGATACGGAGACCCATATCGATTGGGAAACTGGGAATCTGGCGGCGGAGGGACGTCTTGCATTGCATTGGCATTGCGAGAGTTAAGCGGAGTACGGTCATCGTCGCTGGTCTGGGTCTCCGTACGGAAAGTGGCGAATGTTGGCCCTGATTCCGAGGTGGGAGACCCAGAAACCATGGCCTCCTTGGTTTCCGTCGCGACTGGCGCAGTAGTTATGGCGGCAGCCGCTGCATTCTGTCGATTGTAGTAGTTCTCGCCGCTCATCTCTGCGTTCTCAGCAATGCGACGCTTCCGTGCCTTGCGACTGACGAGGGTACGGCGCATGGCGCAAGTCACCACTCCGCACGAGACGAGGATAATGGTGGATGCCAGTACGATCCATCCACCCCATCGCAAATGTGGCACGAAGAGCAAAACATCAACCAGGAATGCGAGCAGAGTCACCAGAAGGGTGGGCAGGAGCAGAATGAGCAGAGCAAGCAGGAAGCGCGGCGAATGTGACGGAGCGTGGAAATGCGCGGCAGCGGCAAGGCCGAGGCAGACGAGATTGAGGAATGCTGCTATTGGATGGACGATCAGGATCGAGGAAAGCGATTTTCGAGTGCTAGAGGGAAGGTTGAAGTCGCCGCCGGTGCTATCTATATTGTCTGCAAGGATGGTTAGCTACGATGTGGAGCAGGAGCAGGCAGAAACGATATCGCGCCATGAACTTACTCCCCGTGTATCCCACATGAATCTTGGTACATTGATCGCCTTGGCAATAGCCGAATACACCGTAGTCGACATTCTTAAAGGTCGCCAGTGGGATGCCTTTGACGATGGGGGTGGATAGGCACGTCAATAAGAGGAGGGCGAATGCGATCAGCAGCAAGATGGTGAGGGGTGTTGCGGGTTTGAGCAACATGATGAGGGGAGGGTGCCAACTGGGGCCCCGGAACCTTGTCTCTTCAAGCTGGAGTAGAAACGAGTGAGTTCCAGACTTGTAAACGCGCACTGTCGATTAAGCGGAGAGCGATTTAACGGAGCATGAGGTTCGTTTGGGGGGGTCTCATGCGACCGGACTAGGAGGGGGACGGGGGTTGGAATTGGGGGCTGCGGGAGGAGGAGGATCGATGGACGAAAGGAGTGAAGGACAAGCACTGGGAAAAGTGAGGGGAAGCGAGGACGCAGGGTTAAAGGTTCGGAGCTAAAGCCAGCTAAGGCTAAGGCTAAAAAGAAGGGCAATTAAAAGAAAGACAAGAAGCGATAAGCCGCCATTGCGGAGGCGAAGGAGGAAACCGTGGGAGTCGACTCGTGCTGGGGAGCCTGAGGCATGGATTTTGACCAGGTGATGATAATGGGATCTTTACTCTCCTACCTCCAGATCTTTTAACGACTTTTAACCATTATACCGATGACGATTCCTCTTGAAACTCTACACTGTCTGAGATTGACTGCTTCTATTATTCTAGAACCCATCATCAGGCTGATCACCATTGCTCTCTTAGCCGGACTGCAGCAGCACTGATCCCTTCTGGCGCAGTCAGGACCGGGTCTCTCATTCGCTGTACCCCCGGGGGCGTCCTTTCGGGGTTCCCATGGGACCAACCGTGCCAAGCCTCATAGACAGCCGTTGGCCGAAATGATCTCTCAAAAAGATGGCGCAGGCGCACGGCCTAGGGCCCCGACAAATTTCCCAGCAGTGACAGACGGGAGGAGGACTATGAACGCGTCCGAAACCCCACATTATTCCGTCTTGTCTTGCGTTGGAAGACCGGGGCTCTGAACAGAGCTATTACTGTACGCGCATCGTAGAACGAGAGGTTTGAGGACTTGTGTTTGTTGGTTCCGTCATTTGCCGTCCCAATAAGTGCTGGACGCCCCCGACTTCCTTGGAATCTTAATTGGATAATTGATTCGGATCTAGACTACAATTCCAAAACACCACTGATCATTTATCATTTACTAGCGACAGATTTAAACACGATGAAACGGGATCTGCGCTGTGGAGATATTTCCAAATTGTGCAGAGAGTGGTCGCAAATTAAGGATCTGAAAGCTTGCAAAGCAGGATTTACCTATGCTCTTTCAGGGGTTCAACTCCCTTTGACTAGTCCTAAGTGATAGCGCGCTCGAGTCACAACAAATCGAAGAGCTCTGCTATCATTTCCCTGATATTATATTGAGCAGTGCCTGGACTCGGTCGACCGTCGGGGCCTGTCGCGCCATTCCACGTTTAAGATGAAACAAGCCGCGCTCCACTTATTAAAGCCAGGCTGATTGGGCATAGCGACTCTTAACTAACCTTCCGCTTGGGGTTAGATAAGGTTTATCGCACTGGGCAAGATGGAGAAGGAATTGCGCGAAAGCTTAGGGTAGCTGTGGGAGACAATCAAGCTCCATGAATTTGCTTCTTTCAATCCCAAGCTTGCGATCTCATCTTGATGGGTTCGGTGGTCGAGCCTAATTAAGCTTATGCAGGGAGCCACCCGCTTAACAATACTCCGTACGAGCAAGGGAGGTAAGATAGGTAGAGTCGAGGTTGCTCTTTGTGTTGCCAAGCCAGAGTTTAAATGACTCCATCGGGTTGAAAAATCAAGGATAGTAAACTCTACCAGCACTCAGACCCTGTCTGTGGGTTACACGGACACTGGGACCGTTGCAATCCCTATTCAGCAGGATGAGGAAATGTCACAAAAGTAAGGGTCTTTCCCTCCAAAACGGGCTGTTGGGAGGGCTGAATCTTTGAGATGATATACGTAGGCGTCTGAGGTAGCAGAGCCAACTAAAACGCCTGCGTAACCCAGCGACAAGCATTCAGACACTTAAATAGAAAAGTTTCCCCAATGCGTGCGATGGCCGTTAGATAAGAGGTTAATGGAAAGTATCCGACCTCCCTACGTTGTGATCCCATGCAAAATGTGAGTCCTCTAGCCCCATACTCCGCGACTCGGATAAAGAGTGATTCTGACCAACTTCTTAGAGATACTAAGAGTGTTCAACATGCGCTGTTTATGGCGACTATGGCCCTGGGCTAAGCGGAAGAAGCCCACCGACGAAGAGAATCGCACGCTACTACCAGGAAGGACCATCCTCTTACAACCCTGGGAAATGAGTACTAGAAACGAAGAATCGCGCCATAGACCATCATCGAATATGCAAGAGCGATATGTGAGGTTTGGTATTGGCGGGGCTGGGAACATGCGCAAGTCCTGCTGCCTTCTCCTAGGGTCTTGACTGAACTTCGCTTTCTCGATCTAGAAGTATTCTTACTTGCTATATACGGTAGAATTGTGTCGCACAATGGGCATACTGTTCAAACAATCACTCGATGATGTGTGGATGATTTGTGGGGACCTGGATCTTTGATATGACTGCGGTCTTGCCTTGAACATCGGGACAATAGGTGTCGGAGGAGTAGCTTGTAAAGTTGAAGTAAGGAAGGAGGTTTCATAGGTATTGGCTGTAAGCGGGTTCTTGGTCATTCAAATATCTACTTCTTTAAGAACTCGGTGTATGCATGATTCCCTTATGTTTCTTCCTTGAATTTCTCCGAAGATGGCTGCTTCAAGCTCGACTAAGGCATCCCTTGCTTTCTGCATGCTAACCACCACGCGACTAGCATCAATGACCCTCCTTAAAAGTAGGAGCAAATTCAAACTGGAATTTTCGCTCCTCACAGGGCACAAGATACTTCTCCAAAGTCGTCGGGCCACAAGCACCAGTTCCCACTCCGCTGGACTCAGCATCAATCCGGACAAGAACCGTCTTACCAGGAACAAGATCGCAAGGGTGTTTGGCAGTCTCAATTTGCTTTGCGCTGTACCGGGATGCGACCCATTGGAAAGCAGTACCAGTGTCCTTATCCGTATCCACCGAGTTCCGAGAGACTTTGATGCCCCAGCCACGGTTGTCGCTAAGTTGTAGCCAACGGGTATCGGATCGGTTTCCGCCTTCTTGGGGCACTTCGTATGGGGTCTGGAGCTGTGCCGTGGTAGCCTTGTAGATTCCCAATTTTTGAGAGCGCTTCTTGTCTGGGTAGGACTCCCCAGGACCCAGACCGAGCCATTTGGCATTGTCAAATGCGTCGGCGAGGCGAAGGTCTAGACCCAGTCGAGGAAGGTCTGCTGGCATTGGACCTTGAGGTTTGAGGTGCACGGAGACAACCAGATGGCCGTCCCCACCGATAGTGTAGGTCGTGGTAGCCACGAAGCCCCATGCGAGGACTGGTGGGCCCAACCACGACTCTGTCGTAATCCGAATGCGATCATCACCCAAGTGCGCAACATCCATGCTGCGCAGCTGTACTCGCATGTCATCCACTGAGTACCGGCGTCGCTCTCCAAGAGCCCAGGACATGTCATTGTCGGTTGGAGGACGCCAGAAGCCTGGAACCAGGGCCATGCCAGTTTTGGAATCGGAGTCAAGGAGTTGGTAACCTTTCACCGTCCAGCCGGTCAACCCTCCAGTGGAACGCGAGAACGTAAGGCTGAAATCAGAGCCACTAACGGTATGAACGGCTCTACTAGACTCCAACTTAATGGAAAGATTGGCGGGAGGATTGGGCCGCACAGCGAGGGTCTTGAGCTGGTGTTGGAACCAAGCGATTTCATGCCCACTGGCAGCCCAGGGCTTATCCTGCGTAGTCTGGAAGCTGACCGTCAGCCAGATCTCCCCTTCTGAAATGGCAGGAAGATCTGGGTTGAATTCCAACTTCCCAGTTTTTCCAGCCTCGATGGAGGGAAGGCGAAGAGTACCGCTAGCAATGACAGTGGATCTAGTCTCGTCAGTATGTGCAAGAAGCCCGTGCCTTCAATAGGAAACTTACTCGGAGTCCAATACTTCTACGCGGTAGAATGCATGCAAATTCTCGAGACCGGCAAAGTCATACCGGTTTTCGATGCATATCGAACCATCGGCATACCACGCGTGTACAGGTGAATAAGCCTTGTGCAATTCAACCAGACCAGGAGTGGGGGTATGGTTGCTAAAGCAAAGACCGTCCATGACAAACGTGCCGTCGTTAGGGTAGTCGTCAAAATCTCCACCGTAAGCGTAAAAACCGCGCTCTTCATCCCATAGACCATGGTTTGCCCACTCCCAAATCCACCCGCCTTGCAGGCGTCGGTACTTCTGGAATGCCTCCATGTATTCTTCTAGGCCGCCAGGGGCGTTGCCCATCGCATGAGCATACTCACAGAGCACGATAGGCTTCTTGAAGTTGTCGCCTTCTGCAACGGCCAATTTGGTTATCCTGTCCACTGACGGATACATATAGGAGAACATGTCGGCCGACTTTGCCTCCGGGTCTCCCTCGTAGTGGACTGGTCTGCTGGGGTCGGTAGCCTTGATGTAATCATACATGGCCTGGTGATTTTGGCCATAGAATGCCTCGTTACCAAGGGACCAAATGACGATGCAAGCATAATTCTTGTCCCGCTGGACCATTTGGATCGCACGATCGACGTAGGCATCCTTCCACTCCGGGTTGTTGGTGGTGAATTGAGCAGCCTTCTCAAAGGTTAATTTCTTACGCTCCTCATAGTCCATGGACTCTGGGACGTCGAGAGGACGTGCGACTGCGTCATAAAACCCGTGGCATTCTAGGTCTGCTTCGTCCATAACCCATAACCCAAGCTCGTCACAGAGCTCGTATAACTTGGGATGGGACGGGTAGTGACAGCACCGCACGGAATTGATATTATGGCGCTTCATAAGGAGAAGGTCTTCTCGGAGAAAGGACAAAGGCACAGCTCGACCAAAGAGCGGATGATGATCATGGCGGTTGACACCTCGGAATTGCACTGGTGTCCCATTGACGGTAATGTTTCCATTTTTGATCTCGACCTGACGGAAACCAACCCGATGGTTGATCTCTTGTAGTGGTTTACCTCCGTTTGATGAAGAGCCCAAGGTGATCTGGAGATCATAAAGGTTTGGTGTCTCCGCGGTCCATTTCTTGGGGCTTTTCACTGGAATTGTCAAGGTGACCGATCCATTCTCAACCACAGATAATTTTTCGTATCCGATTGTGTCTTGTGTACCTCGCAGACTGCGCAATGTCGCTTCCAACAGCACTGATTCCGTCGCAAGCACATTTACTGTGACTTTCAACACAGCATCGGTGTAGGATTGATCCAACTCGGTCTTCACGAAGAAGTCTTCAATCCGAGCTACCGATGGGAAAGCAAGTAGGGTGACGTCGCGGAAGATACCTAAAAGAGCCATGGTGAGAACGAGTCTAGAATTTCCTACGGGGGTAGTAGTCTTTACCTGACAGCCACCACTGGTCCTGGTCCTCAATGTACGATCCATCTGACCATTGATACACGCGCACGACCACATCGTTCTCCCCGCGATGGCGAATGAGCTTGGTTATATCAAACTCCGCTGGATTGCGACTCCCCTGGGCGTATCCCACTTCTTGTCCATTCACCCAGAGGTGATACGCACTGTCCACGCCGTCGAACCGAAGACGTACTTGTGCAGAAAGATCCCAGTCCGATGGAACCGTAAAGGATCTGCGATATGTACCCGTAGGATTGTGGCTGGGCACACGCGGTGGGTCGCAAGGGAAGGGGAAAATGGTATTCGTATAATTGGGACTTCCATGCCCCTGAAGTTGCCAATGGCCTGGAACGGTGATGTTCGTCCATTCATTAGTATCAACAGAAGGGTCACTTTTCCCATCGCTACCAATTGCAGGTGCTAGCAGAGGAGATGGCGCATAATGGAAGTCCCAACTGCCATTCAGTGACAACGATGTGTTCGGGAGAAAGAATGCACGAGGAGGGAGCTTGTTCCGCTGGAAGATGTGCGGATTTTCCCAGTCATTGGTGCTGGTCTCGGTGGCGGGCATGGCGATTGTCTCTTTAAAATCACCCATCCTGACAGACTTTGAGGAATTTGATTCTCTGTAGCTCTGACAGTGGGTGACAGCTTATGTATCAAGCAATGCTCGGCTTGATGAGAATGACGCACCAGAAAGAAAAAGAAAATCTTGATGGAAGCGGGGATGGCAAAACACCTTGTACTTGTCCCCCCTCCAGCACATTTTTGCGTCAAGGAGCTTCAACCTTCGCCGCAGGGTGGAGCGCACCGAGTTTCTCAACACGCGACTTGCCAATGCAAACATCGGAGATGGACGCGTTGTGGAGACGATTGGTTGAAGTGCAAAGGTCTTCGTATAGGGAGCTGGTCATGCCGGCCCACCATACCGAGCAGATGCTATCTCTCGACATCCAGGGTGCGATTTCCCGCTCGGATCTCATCCCAGATCCCCAGCTTTCGGGCCCGGTACCCGCGAGGATAAGAACTTGCATTTAGCCATGTACGTGGCACCGGGACGAAGGAATTAGTTGAGCGGGGGTCCCCATTAGCGTAGGATTTGAAGGCTGGAGGTCTGCAAACCAGATGCAGCTACCCCTCTCGGCATGATGAGGGTCCGGGGGTAACGGAGCCGAGAAGTGTCTGTCTGGTCTGTGCGCTGGGCTTATGGTGGAGATGTCTGACCACTGACAATGTCTCCGTTCTCAAGGTTCGCAGACATCTTTGGAGATCTCGATCATCCCAGATGACTACTTGCTCGCACGGAGACCCCTGGAAAGGGAGACCCTATGAATTGGGGCCAACTCTAGACTTCCCCGCAAGTCATCCTGGGGATATTCTCGGCCCGGACAATTCAATCCTCCTACTTCGTAACTCTCGATCGGCAGAGATCCGGCTAAATTACGTTAGGCCCAGCTTGACGATGGGTTTCTGATCCCCACACCACACCATCGTTTCGGGGATCTCGGTACCGAGACGAACACAGTCGGGACTCGCAACCCTGAGACTGGAAGAGCCCGTGACCTACCTGGGCTTTGGGGGGCCATCTTCCGAAATTGATGCTAGATACCCCAAGTTTGATTGGAACGGGATCCATTGATGGCCTAATGTGAACACTCGTGCCGCCGTGCCACCGGGAAAAAGTTCAATTTAGTTCAACGCCAGAGCTAAACTCCATGCGACCCCAGATTCTGAGCATGGCGCGATGGATATGCCGAGCAGCTAGTCCCCAGAGAATCATAAATATCACCATGTACCGCCGATCATCCCCCGACCCATTCGAGCTCTGTATTCTAACCAGCGGCTTGGGATCAGCGTGGTTCAATTCGAGCCCAGTTTTGCACTTTTGAGATTTCTCCGTCGACATGACTACTGAGTCCACCAAGGCTACCCTCGAGCAGCTCGAGGTGAGCAAGGATGGGATGGAACGGGGCGAGAAGGACCTCCAGGAAACGAGCGATGCCATTCAGCTCGCCGAGGCGGTTCAATCGATGAAATGCAGTCCATGGACCGCCAGCATGTTTCGCCTGTACGGCTGTCTGGTAATTGCATATCTGTGTGGATGCTTGAACGGTTACGACGGCTCCTTGATGGGAGGACTGAATGACATGACAACTTACCAGCAATATTTCCATATGTGAGTCTACCCGGAGACGAGTGAAGTTGCGTTGTCTGACCCGAGAGTAAACTCCAGGAAAACCGCCTCTTCGTCGACTGGCCTGGTATTTGCCATCTATAACCTTGGCTCTATTCCAGCGGTTATTCTCTCCGGCCCCGTCAATGATATTTTCGGGCGCCGCAGGGGCATGTTCACCGGAGCCGCCATTATCATCATCGGAACTTGCATTCAAGCACCCGCCACTTCCCATGGAATGTTCCTCGCTGGTCGATTCATCCTTGGTTTCGGGGTCAGCTTTTGCTGTGTCAGTGCGCCATGCTACGTCTCAGAGATGGCACATCCCGTGTGGCGTGGAACCTTGACTGGGTTGTACAACTGCACCTGGTATATTGGCTCCATCGTCGCCGGTTGGATCGTCTATGGCTGCGAAGACATCCCTCACGCGTACGGTTTCCGGATCCCTATCTGGTGCCAGCTTATCTCGTCCGTGTTTGTCGCAATTGGCACTTGGTTCATGCCTGAATCGCCTCGGTGGCTCATGGCGCAGGACCGCACGGAGGAGGCCATTCAAATTCTCGCGCGCTATCACGGAGAAGGGGATGCCTCGCACCCAATGGTCACCCTCCAGGTCAAGGAGATGCAGCACCAGATTACCGTCGACGTTGCGGACTTCAGCAAGAAATGGTGGGATTACCGCGAGTTGTTCAACTCCCACTCTGCTCGTCGCCGTTTTATTTGTGTGGCTGGCATGGCTTGCTTTGGTCAACTCTCTGGTAATAGCCTTACCAGCTACTATCTCCCGGTGATGGTCCAGAATGCTGGCATTGGATCGGTCAAGACCCAACTCATGCTCAATGCCATCTACAACGTTCTCTGCCTTATCACAGCCGTCTCCGGTGCTGGTCTCACAGACCGTATCGGTCGTCGACCTCTTATGATCTACTCGCTTCTCTTCTGCTCCGTTGCCTTTGCCGTCATCCTGGGAACATCCAAGCTCTCCGTTGATGATCCTACCAACTCCAACTCTGCCAATACTGCCGTTGCGTTCATTTACCTCTTCGGCATTGTCTTTTCATTTGGCTGGACGCCCCTGCAAAGCATGTATATTGCCGAGACACTGACGACCAACACACGCGCCAAGGGCACTGCACTCGGCAACTTGCTATCCAACATCAGCAGTGCGATTATCCAGTACAGCTCTGGGCCCGCTTTTGAGAAGCTGGGCTATTACTTTTATGCCGTGTTCGTTGGGTGGGACCTGATCGAGATGGTTGTGATCTACTTCTGGTTCCCGGAGACTAAAGAACGGACCCTCGAGGAGCTGGAAGAGGTCTTTGCCGCTCCAAATCCGGTGAAGAAGAGTCTGGAACCCCGTGATATTTCCACCGTGCTGAGGACATTGGAGGTGACGGAAGTCGAAACTAGTCGTGCGGATGTTTAATTGTGTAATGTTGGGTCGAAGGCGTTGTATGTAACGTGGAAAGGAGAAAGGGCCAGGGCACAGATCAGGCCATTTCCTGTGCATAGTAACCGCCAGACCAAGGATGTATCCATAGGCTACATTCTCATTTTCTTGGCCCATCTAGGTATTGGCCTAGGACAAACCACCTAATGACAGACTGAATACCCAGCACACTACTCTTCCATAAGGTTGTTCTTCATAATCCGTTGCAAGATAACCACTCATATCTTCGTGGTAAATATATTTTGACAGCGCCTTCTTCAACAACCATAGGTAGGTAGCTAGTTAGGTAGGCATGGCGCGGCGGCCGTGTGTAATTTAACGACAATCTTCAAAGAAGGATTAAGATTTATGTATAAGCGAGCCTTGAGTTTAACATTTTACAGACTACATGTAGTCTGCACCTCGGTTAAATTAGCCCCCTGCATGCGTGATGCGGGGCCCCGCACCAACTCCGATTTGATTCAACCGACTTTTGTACCTCCCACTTCCCTCGCCGTACTCCACAATCTACCACAATGCTGTCTCCAGGACACCAAAATGAGAGCCATAAACGTAAAAGAACTTCGTTAGCGGTAAGGAAGATGCCAAGCAGAGCTCCCGCGACACGATGCTAATATCTGCCTCCTAGTGTGACCCTTGCCGGAATCGAAAAGTGAGGTTAGTCCCCATCAGTTGGGGGGTTTCCAATCGGGATCTGCAAGTTGACATCAGCTAGATGCGACGGTCGCCGACCCTGCACTACATGTGCCCAAATAGGGACGGACTGTGTCTATGGGTCTGAGACCATCAAGTGCGTTTCGTGAGCTCCGGTCCTTTCACCTGACCCCCGTAACGCTAACAACCCCCATGCAGTAAGAGCAAGAGCGACTTAATTCTGGATGTTGCCATTCGGTCCGAGAATCTATTGCAAGAATTATTCACTCAACTGGTTCGTTGCCATCTCATGGAATGGGATCAATGCCATGCTTCGGTTACTTAAGCAACAGTTTCAAACCAACAGGCTGCCCGCCGCAGTCCAAGCCAAAATCCCTCTGCGATATCGCCTCATGCAGTCATTTCACCAAGCGCTGTGAGCAACGCCCATCGCGGTGAAGGATGTCCTGATCATATCTCCAATGCCACGTTATCCCCCTTTCATGCATCAACCACCGAGTCAATCTTGTCATGGCCGCAATTTGCCGGATTCGGAAACTTGATCAAAGAGCGTGGCTTTTCCGTTTTCCGCCTTGAAAGTACCCGCGCACCTCTCGCTCATCGGCAATGCATGGTACAGCCATATATGCCTAAGCAGGAAGTAGAGAGTACTGTCCGAAGCTTTGAGCGAGGTATTAACTTCTGGTATCCTACTATGGCCCGAGCCACAACAGAGGAGTTGCAAGCCCATATCATAGCGGGTACATTTGAAGAGACTACACGGTCATGTTTGTCCCTGCTGATGATGGCTTTGGGATGTGCTTGCCAACTGGTCCGGTGTTTCGCGCACCGGGATTCATCCAAGGCAGGCGAGGCAGATAGCCAGAGACAGCGGCGGCTAATGGGGGAGTTGTACTTTGATAGTGCTTTCAAGAAAATCTATTTAGCTCAAGCAGGGTTTACGGCGGATGCAGTGCAGTGTTTATTCTTTACCGGGTGAGCAACCTTCCAGTCCAGGTCAATCGATCAATTGGCTAATATGGAATTACAGGCTGTATTTTTCATTTTTGCAGCGACCCCTTCAAGCCTGGTCATTTATAAGTGCAGCTGCAACTAAATGTCGGCTTCTGTTGTCTTATGAAGTCCCGGGGCAGACACCTGAGCAGCTAGAATGCCTTCGTCGGATATTTTGGTCCTGCTATATTCTCGAGAGGTGCGTTTCTTCTTCCTCTTCTGTTTTTTTCCTTTCCTTGGTTTCCGTTTTCTGGGTACATCTGACCCCATAATCCAGCGACTTTCTTGCCGAACTTGCCGGCCTTCCTCAAACAGGGATTGCAGAAATAGAATCCTCCATTCCCCTACCGGGTGAATACTGTACACAGGAGTCTGAAAACGACCAAGAGCAATCGTCACTCTATTTCCTCGCCTGCATATCCATGCGACGACTGCTCAACCGAGTCCACGATCTTCTCTACGCTCGCGACGCTGGTGTCGGCTTTGACAATCACCACTTTCCGTCTGTCGTATCAGAGCTGGCCTACCAGCTGGATGAGTGGAAAGACCTCTTACCATTTTCTTTCCAATTTACTATCAATTTGGATCCTACACGCACAGAGGAAGGCGCATTTCTTCGCCAGCGGTACCTGACTTGCAAGAGCGTCATTTATCGGCCCTATCTAACCTGGGCCCTGTCCAATGGCGATGCCGTGGAAAGATGCCCTCCGATTGTTTACGAGGGATCCAAGCTGTGCCTTGAGGCCTGCTGGATGCACGCACAAAACCTACGCAGCCTGCCGCACACTATCATGGTCGACACCTGGATTTGCTCCCTTTCGTAAGTTTCTCCCCCAAGCTGACGGACTACCAATGCTAATCTAGCAAATTACCTACAGGATGGCGTCGGTCATACTCATCACGTTAGCTGCATCTCGTGTCCGCACCTTGCGAAGACTTATGTCATCGAATGTTCTCGATATTGGGCCGCATCTCAGTGACCTGCTTACTCAATGGACGCATATTCCAGGTGGGGGAACCTCACCCAGTGTCATGGAAAGTATTGGGTTGATTGCGAATGTGTCCACTTTGTTGAAGATTACCTGGAATGAGCGGGCACTCGGCGAATAGCTATCTAATTGGGTCATTTACCCTATGAAAACATAAATTCAAAGTCTCTAACTTTGTGTATCAAACGCTTCTTGCCTTTTCGGCCTAACGTAATGGAGGGTCTGTATGAATTATCATCTCGAGCTACGGCGCCTATCATATCGATAAGTGCAAAATTCGGAGTTTAGGCCATAGCTACTTTAATAGTACACATATATGGTTGTATAGCGAGTGATATCGTAGGCAGCTAATTCCCCCTGGAAAAGTCAATTAGGTTCCCTTCTCGAGAGCAGGTTTAAACCTCAGAATCCCCAGTGATTACCCCCGCATTCGGTGATTGTAGCGCTAAAACAGGATGCATCAGAGTGCACGTATATGCACTACTGGTCCACCTATAGGATAATAGGAAAAGAACTAGCATTGAACGCATTGGTGCCCGATGAAGGGGATTCAGCAGCTAACGTCCACTCCAGTAGCAAGCAGCAAATAGGTAATATAGTATGTACCTTTCACCATCACAGGCAATGTACATACTCATAGAAAGGTTGTTCTCTTTGTCTTTCATCCCCGCTCGTGATACAGGGGCTAGTCAGCCACCCATAAGTTTGTCAAGGATCTTTCCGGGGAATCTCAAATCCGCAGCGTTTCAGTCGGGGAAGTCGGATGCTCGAACCTCAAATTAGCGGGACGGAGTCTCATCGAGCTATTGCGAGGCCGTCTGCCACGCTGCATCATGTGCATTTTATCAATCTCCTCCGGCGGGGTCGCGGGGCCCCGCAATGCGCTAGACAGGGCATGTGGCTCTACGTAGGATTAAATTGACCAATGGCCCAGTGCTAGTGGGCAACTGTGCAGAAATCTGCAGAATCCCCACCTTTTCCCCTGTCCCGATATCCCCGAGAAGGTTACACTGATTTGGAACCCATAATTCCGAAGCATTATGCTTGGAGATAAATCTCCTGGGACCTGTCATGGCTGTCACTATCTCAATCCAATGACTGCTGTTGTCTTGTGATCAGGATTTTTTTTCTTGAAGTGCTGTCCTCTTTATCACCATCATGAAGCAGGCGATGAATGGTGAATGGCTCCTTGGGCTGGCGTTGATCGCCACCACAATGCCCACTGTCACAGCCGACTTGACGACAACCATCAGTTCCACGACGAATTGGGGCACATGGGAGGGCTTTGGCGTGTCTCTTGCATGGTGGGCCAAGGCATTTGGTACCCGAACTGACTTGGCCGACATCTTCTTCTCTACCAAGTCAACGACCTACAATGGATCGAGCGTTCCCGGGATAGGGCTCACTATTGCACGGTACAACGCCGGTGCCTGCAGCTGGAACACGTACAACGGCTCTTCGATGGTGGTGTCTCCCGACATGATCACCTCGCGGCAGATGGACAGCTTCTGGCTGGACTGGGCCAGCACTTCGCCGTCGTCTTCGAGCTGGAGTTGGAGTGTTGATGCCAACCAGCGTAACATGTTGTCTCTGGCCAAAGCCCGCGGCGCAAACATCTTCGAGCTCTTTTCCAACTCGCCCACGTGGTGGATGTGTATCAACCATAATCCTTCCGGGTCGAACGGCGGCTCCAGCAACAACTTGCAATCGTGGAACTATGACCAGCATGCGGTCTATCTTGCCACTATTGCTGAATACGCCGCTAGTAACTGGGGTGTGTCCTTCCAGTCTGTGGAAGCCTTCAACGAGCCGGTCTCGGCTTGGTGGAACGGCGAGACTGGAACTCAGGAAGGCTGTCACTTCGACGTCAGCACCCAAGCGACCGTGATTGGGGACCTCCGCACTGAACTGAACAGCCGGGGCCTCAGCTCAACCTTGATCGCAGCCTCGGATGAGAATACCTACGACTTGGCAATTTCTACGTGGAATAGCCTTGGAAGTACTGCGACTGGCAAAGTTGACCGCATTAACGTCCACGGGTACCAATATACTGGAGGAAGACGAGACACCCTGTACAGCCTGGCCTCCAGTGCTGGAAAGCGACTGTGGAACAGTGAGTACGGTGAGAGCGACGCAACAGGCCAAGAGCTCGTCACCAACCTGCTTCTCGACTTCCGCTGGCTCCACCCCACAGCTTGGGTGTACTGGCAAGCAATCGACGGCGGCGGCTGGGGCCTAATTGATGGAGACAATGACGACTTGACGCTCGGTGCCGTCAGCCAGAAGTACTACGCACTAGCACAGTTTGCCCGTCACATTCGCCCTGGTATGCAAATCCTGGACGGTGGGAGCAACTACACTGTAGCGGCATACGACTCCTCGGCACAGAAGCTGGTCATCGTTGCTGCGAATTGGGGTTCTGCCCAGTATCTCAACTTTGATCTCTCCAGCTTCAGCTCGCCTGGGGTTAGTGGCGCCTTGGTCCCGCGATGGAACACTCAAGTCGGATCTGGCGACCAATATGCCAGCTACAGCGATACCTATATGAGCGGCAGCAAGTTTTGGTCGTATTTTCCAACTGGAGCGGTGCAGACGTTCGAGGTGTCGAATGTGTCATTGTAAAACGTCATGTCTATATAGGCACCGTTCAAAATCCCCTGGACTGCGGATCAATGGGACTTTAGTGCAATGGGATCTCCGCAAAGGTGAGCGTGATAACATACGTACAGTATTATGATAGACTTATCGAACAAATACAGTCTATTTGCTATGAACATAATGTCTTCATATTCAAAGCGTTTTCGTTGATGATGGGTATTTGGACTCGGAATCAAGTTGCGAGTAATCTTCCGAGTATTAAGTCGTCAACTTTATGAGCGCATCGATTCATTTCTATGTATTTTATTAGTCAAACACACCACTTCCAGGTTGTGATCCTGTGTTTTCACAATTGACCGAGATCTCCTCGCGATATGTTTCACCCAGCCACGATGGACACCCGCAAGGGGGAGGCAGTAATACCGGCTTGCCTACCACTTAATTGATGATCAACTGAGTTGACTGAGTAATTGAGCACGAATCAATTTATATGATAATCATGATCTAGGAGCATGATTATTGACCCTGCTCATTGATAAGGTGCCTTGATGAGGGTCATCGTTTGTACAGCTACACCGCAGGTTGCTGGCCCGCTCGGTGATATGCGCTACAATCGATGGCTACACCGCTACCTAGAAAGATAATTAATCCAAAAGCAATATGGCAAAAACATTTCAGGGCCGGAAATTTCCGATTTCTGGATCTCGTAAGAATAAAACTGAACTCAAGGTTGGACCTTTCCATGGGATGGTGATGGGGCGGGGATCGGGCCGCGACACGCTTCAACCAACTCAATCAGCTCGACCACAACGACGTCAGGCCGATCGGACACCCGCCCTTTCTGATTCGCCGCGAGGGCTGTGATTTATCGAAATAAAGCAAAAATAAAGATGTCTGACTTGACAACCTCTCATGTCTCAACCCTTCCTATTGGCCTGTTGGTTGGGAGTCGCGGCGTGGGAGGCTGGGGGAGGCTGGGAGTAGCCCACCAGCACGACGCTATCCAAACAAAAGCCTGCTGGGCTCCAATTCTCGTCCATTCCATATTCTTATTGACTGCCCAAGCTCCGTTACCTCGCCGAGGAATGCTTCCAGAGTAAAACTCTTCGAGACACTCGAAGATTTACCCACATTCCGCGGCCGTCATGTCGGACTCTCCTACACCTCGCAATTTTAGTCTACGAAGCGTGAGCAGTATGTACAAACAACAGTGTCTTTAAGTATAGCTTGCCGGTCCAGTTTGAAATGGATCAAAGAGCTTCGGTTTTACCAAGTTTACTGACTCTTCCACAGCAAGCAAACCTCAAGTCTACCAGACAGAGTCGCGGCAATCTGTCGCTGCATCAGACGACTATTATTCTTTCTCGGACCGGACGGCGTCATCTACTCCGGATAGTCGTGTTACAGCAATGCGTTATGAAACTGCCGACTCACACCACTCTTCTCAACCATTAGCTCCTACAGCCCCTGCGACGCAACAGTCGCAACCTCACGCAATGCCCCAGTCCACTCAACACTTCCAACAACAGCAACAACTCGCGCCAGAGGACCTTGGCTCACCTCGCCCAGGTACAGCCAGTACAGTCCGATTCGGAGAAGACAGGGTTGTCCATCTTAGCCCTAGATCAGATGATACTGTCAGACAAATCGCAGACGACTATGCTGGCCCAGCACCCACACCCGGCCTAGACGATTCGCCCTATGTTCGCTTCGCTATAGATCAACTTACCCGTGATGAGGAAGTTGGGGCTCCTCGAAGACATGACTCAGTCTCCACCAATCAAGACTACCCAACTGATCGACTAGTATGGGATCAAGGGCTGGGATACTTCACTCGCGCCCGTACACCTCTTCGACACACGGAGACACCACCAAGACCGAACTTCCAATCGCCATCCCCTCAAGCACTACCCCAGCGGCCAGACTCGATTGACCCAGAGTCTTTTGTTGCTGTTGACCCACCAGAGCAGAGTCTGCTTTACCCACCTTTGGATTACCTTCCTATGGTCTTGCAGCCCTGGGGTTTGCTCGGTCTTATATTCTGCTGCCTGCTCATGATTGCAGGCGTGGTGTTTTGCAACATCTGGCCCCATCGCCACCAAGGTCTCTGGGACTATAATGGCCAGGGAGGTGCTCGGTATTTCGTCATGCAGTTCCTCCCTCAGATTTTGGCAGCTCCCATTATAATCTGGTCCTTTATCGTCCAAGCTGCTGTATATCGGATTTCTCCATTTGCGATGTTGGCGGCGGAGCGGAAACGAGGATCCGTCTCGCAAGGGTTGCCCATTCTTCCAAGAAACTTCGTCTTCCCTGATTTTTCCCATTTCCGGTACGGGGAGCCTCTGTTTGGATTCTCACTCTTCACGATTTGGCTGTCAAATTTCTTTGCTATACCCCTCCTGAGCTGCATCTTCCAAGCCAAGTACTATGTCATTGATGGGCAAGGTGTATGGAGATGGACTTCTGTCCAGGCCCTCGGCTGGACTTTGGTGGCAGCTTACGGTCTTCAGGTCATTGGTTTGCTACTGCTTGTGATTCGATTCATTCGAGGCTGGACTGGTCTGATGTGGGATCCAATTTGCCTGGCAGACCTGATCTCCATCATCCAACGATCCAACATCCTCCATGATTATGAGCATTCGGAGACTGTTCCTTCCGTGAAGCAAACTCTGGACCCTCGTGTCCTGCGACTTGGATATTGGAAATTATCTATGAAGCCCGAGATCTTCTATGGAATCGGTGAAGTGGATGCTCCCATTCGAACCCCATCGCTACACCAGACCGACAAGAGCCGAGAGAAACAGCCTCATGGCATGGCTAAAGTTCGATTTGATCTCGAGCACAATGGTGCGTTTGCCAACGATCCCTTCGATCACCACCTGTACTCTCCATTTACTCGATACCGCTGGACGCCTTGGTTCCTTCGCAAGCCCTCCATCGTGGTATGGACCATCATTGTGTTTGCCCTCTTCATTGCCTTCGTCACCGTCAGCTTCGTGAACAATGCGATCAAGAGTGGCTTCCCGCCCAAACTCCCAACCCTGCCATCCATAAGTGCGTTCTCCTCTTCGAACTTCCTCTACAGCTTCATACCAGCGGTGATTGGAAATATCCTATTCCTCGCCTGGCAACCGATTGACATCTATTTCCGCGCCCTCCAACCCTTTGTCGAACTCTCTGCTCCCACCGGCGCATCCGCCGATAAGAGTCTCCTGCTTGCCTACCCATCCTCCCTCCCCATCCAAGTGACCCTCCAGGCCATCATCAACGGACACTTCAAGGTAGCCTGGCTCTCATTCATGAGCCTCGTCTCCGTGGCGATCCCCATCCTGGCCGGTGGTGTATTCATCGCTCTCTGGTACCCAGATCACGAAGACGTCCGCATTTCCTCACTAATGCCCGCCTACTACGCCCTTATCGTATTCTGTGGCCTTTACGCCGTCTCCTTCCTAGCAATCTGGCCGGGTCGTCGCCGCTACCTGCCACACGATATCACCACCCTCGCCGATCTGATGAGCTACCTTTATCAATCCCCCCTTCTTGCGGACAAACTTCTTCGCGAACCGCGCAGCAAGACTGATCTTGTGACCCGTCTTATCGTTGCGCCTCCTTCCGAGCGAATGTTGCCTACGTATGGCTTTGGAATTTACGTCGGTCGCGATGGAAAAGAGCATCTTGGTATTGATCGCTTCCATCGACCTGGCCGTACGGATATGTTGATTACGACTGGAACGATGAAAACCTGATCTTGATGCATTCTGAATCATGCTCCCCACTATGATATACGATTTGCATTGCTTCGTTATGAGCGTTTGTTTGTTTTTTCCCCGCCTTTTCGGACGTTATGATTTTGCTCTGTGATTTTGTACAGCCAAAGCTGCGTTGATGATCTGTTTGCGATGTTTTTCCTTTCGATTTTGCGTTTGAGTCGCGGCATTCCTGGCGTTAACTGACTTTTCTTTTCCATTCTGGCCCTTTTGATGTCTAGAACTCTGAGCGATGAATCTCGAGGTAATAGAATAATGATATAGATAACGACTTCAATTTTCTCTGATGAAACACCCCTATATTCTAAGTTCTAGATCAGTTGTTGACGCACTAGTAACTGATATACGCTTCCAATGCACAAGGAAGGGTAAGTAGGAAGAAGGGTCGGGTGTGTTTGGAGAAACACGGCAACCTAGTCTAACAAAGCAAACAATGTCCTTGATCTGACATTACGGGCTGAAAGAGAAGAGCAATAGCAGAAGAATATTAGAAGATGACCTTGGTTTGCTCGAGATAACCATGTCAATAGACAAATGTCTTGTCAAGCTTTTTCAGGCAGCTTCCCGCTGATCACCACGACAAAGAAGGAAGGACATTCCATCAAAGATGTGCTTTCGGGCTCTTGCTGTTCTGAAGTGCTACCCGAAGATGCCTTCTCAGAGTCTTCCCACTGGGACTCTTCGGAATTTCCTTGACAAAGTGAATCCCTCCACGAAGTCGTTTGTGATTGGCGATTTTAGGGTTAAGCCAGGAGTGAATGGCAGTCGTTACTACCTCCAGAGATTCCCGGTTCGCCAGACCTTGATCTTTAAGAACGACGAATGCAACAGGAACCTCGGTTGCTCGCTCGTCCACCCATCGACCAACCACGGCTGCGTCCTGGATATCGGGATGATCAAGCAGCAGTGCTTCCAACTCACTCGGAATTACCTGGAGTCCGTTATACTTGATCATCTCCTTGATGCGATCGAAGATCGTGATAAACCCCTCGTCATCAATTATCCCGATATCCCCCGTTCGGAACCAACGTGTCCCATCCACCTCGGTGTGAAAAGCTTCTTTTGTCGCCTCGGCATTCTCAAAGTACCCCGGAGTCACGTTGGGTCCATGTAGCCAGATCTCCCCAGTCTGCGTTGAGTCTACATCCTTCAGTGTTTCGTGATCGACGATGCGCAGTTGCATATTGGCAGCAAGACGGCCCACGTGAAGCATTCTTTTATCTCTGCGATCATTTGGAGTCGCCGAAGCCAAGGGAGACACTTCCGTAAGACCCCACGACTGGTAGCAAAACACTTCCGTTTGGAAGAGCTTTTTGAACTTGTCTTCAAGTGCAGACGCCAGCTCGCTACCAAGTGGCGCTGCCGCGGACATAATCAATTTCACACTGCGAAGATCGTAGTTTGCCAGCCGGTCATCCTTGACCATCATCAATGCGACCGGCGGGACTATCGACAGTTCATCTGGCCGGTATTTCTCGACGCAGCTCAGGTACAAATCGAGGTCAAACTTTGGCATCACGACCGTCGTTGTTCCCCATTGGATGCTCTGGCAGAGGAAAAGACTCAATCCGTAAGCATGACTGAAGGGGAGAAAGGCAAGCCCGACTCGTCGTTGCGGCCGTTGGGAGGGACGACCGGAGTCTACCATCAAATCTCGCATTTGCTGGAGATTAGCAACTATGTTGCGATGCGTGACGATTACTCCTTTGGCTGGGCCGGATGTACCCGATGAGAAGCAGATGAACGCAGGCTTGGAGGCTAGCTCGCTAACGGGGATCTTGACGAAGTCATCCGGTGGGAACGAGGTAGCCATAGACTCGCATGTCAGCTGGCCATCAGTGCTGGGAGAGCCATCCAAAATAATTATTTTGGCGGCAGTTCCTTGAACTGCTTTCTGTGCAATGGCGAGCAGCGCTGAGTGTACAATGATGAACCGGGCTCGGCATGTCACTAATTGATCGTACAGCTCGCTGTCTGTCAAGGATGCACTGATTGGGGCGACAGTTGCTCCGGACCCAATGATGGAATGGCACACAATAGCATATTCTATCGTGTTGGGGCTAAATAGTGCCACTGTATCATCCTGCTTGAGGTGAAAGCTTTGTCGCAGGCCAGTTGCTAGGGACTTTGTTCGTTTGGATACATCCTGGTAGGTGTATTGCTTTCCCGAGATGGCATCAATATACAACGGATGATTGGGATTGGTGCCTGCGGGGTTGGAAAAAAGATACGACAGCAGATCGACTGGCTTGATATCCAAGTCTGGATAGAAAGATGTATGGATCTTGGTCGACATCGTATAGGGCTCTTGGCAGGCTTGTGTCTTGGGTTCTAGGAAGAGACAATAATTATTAGTGATTTTGGGGGGAATGGAAGGATCATACATAAATATAGCTTTCAGACAGGCCAATCACGAGGCTTGGTGTTCCCCAGGGTGAAAGCTGTTCAGCCCTAGCGGTTAGGTGTGTTTAACTTTGTGCCGCGCGTTGTCACTCAAAGCTGATGCCATTGGCTGTTTAAATCTTACTCGCGGAGATAACGACCAATACTTTTCGAGGCTGTCAGAAACAAGCTCTAGTCGCTCGGCTGCTTATTCACTTTCTAGTCTCGCATAAGCTGCCACCATCCGTTCTTGGAGGGAGGGCTGAAGGGCTGAAGGGCTGTGAGCCTGCAAGGCTTACTCTATAATACTTTTCCTCTCGCCGTACTTAAGTCAGGCCACTACAAGGGACGGTCCCTTGCTCAACACGAAAAAAATGAATAACAACAAGAAACCCAACCATGTCAGAATATGAGAAGGTTTGCTTCTGTGGTTTGTAAGTTACCACACTGGCCTTTCAAAGAGTTTGGGTTGCAGAATAGGGCAGAAATAGTTTATTGTGCGTGTTCGGCGGCGTTAGGTGCTCATCGCTTAGCCTACGGCTGCATAGCCAGTGCAAAATGAGATCTTCCATAAAGCAATGGAGCAAAAAGATATTTTAGAACTAGTAGAAGAAAGAACGAAAGCACCGCGACCCAAAAGGTAGAAGACGCTTACGCCCCATTACCAAGGAGCCGCAGCCGAAAAGAATTAGCGAGGAGAATTCACCGTCGGACTAGACGTCTAGATAAGCGGCGAACACAGCACATGTCCACTGCTGAACGTAGCGTACCTTCATTGGGGCTGATTTTCGAGCAGGCCGTTGGGCAATAGGAATAGCATTCGTAACGGCATTCAACTTCAGTCGAGGTCTTCCACAACATCTGTCAACTTCGAAACTCGCCGACAATCCAGCACTAGGCGTTCAGCTGTTGCCAGTTCGTCTTGGTCGACATTGCCCCAGTCAAATGTTCGCATCAATTCAACCCCTCTTTGTAGTTTCTTTTGGAGAGGCTCATCGCTCTGTTGCAGTTCGGGAGGCGGATCTCGAACTATGTAGTAACCGATGAACCCTAGCAGGTCTTTTTCAACTCGAAGTCGGCTACTGTCACGAAGGGGAAGTTTCTTGAGATGGCGTATCAGGGACAGCATGTATCGGGTAGGTAGCGGGGTCAAGATACGAAGCTTAGGGGCGAACATGGAAGAGACGTCGATGGTCTCGTCAAGTGTAAGCCCAACCAAAGAGAGCGGAAGAAGGTGGACACGCATCCAGCCTATGCTATCAAGGCCATGTCTCCGGCATCCAGTATCCCAGTATCCAAACTCGGGGCGCACACCGTGGTGGAGGAGAGGGAAGTTGTGTTCGAGGAGAGTTTGCGACGCATGCTGTAGTTGATCATCAGGCACTGCCCACTCGACGACCTGGAGATCATTGTTAATGAGAACACTCCTTGTACTTCAAATCGGCATTAATCTTGTTCCTGGGGACTCACAACGGGAACTTCTTCATATCCACATCTGAATTGAACCTGAGCCCCATACTCCACAAGAGTAATGTTGTTGTTGACCAGTGCTTCCAGAGCTGTCCTGATTGGAGAATCGCAGAATGGCTCACGCGGTATTTCATCTTCCGGATCTTGCCCTTGTCCATGCCGTTGAAGCTCTTCATAGTGCCAGTTCTCTTCAAGCTCGATCGGGGCTTGAGGTGAGTCGGGCTGTTGCGGTTCTCCTAAGTTCTCAGTGATATCGGTATTGACTTCAATTGATCGACCTGTTGCGGTTTCAGCCCGGGTTGGTTGACGGGTTAGAGGCTGGCACCACCCCCAGTCATCATCCTCATCTTCCATGATTCAAGTTTCCAGAGAGCGGAAGGTTGAATGTTTGTGAATAAACTAGGGAGTTGAAAAAAGATTAATAAAGAAAAAGACTGATGGATAAGGGAAACTACCAGCAAACCTCCTTCGTGCCTACACTCTGTCTACCATTTCCCTCTCTTTCCTACTTCTCTCCTCCTCCACCTTCTTTTATCCTCCATCCTCTCCATCCTTCTTTCATATCTCAGCTTTCGTATTCGTAATCTTTCATCTCTTGACCTCCCAACTCTTGGCTATTTAAATCTTCACCTCTTAACGTTACATCTCTCTTGCTCTTAACATTCTAACTCTCCTCTTTGCACCTCTCTTCTTTGCAACTCTTAATCTATTCCTCTTCGAAACCGAACATATCCAGCCACACACTTCTTTCACATCCCTGTGATATCCCAGCACTTGCCTCGATCACCTTCACGGAATCGATTGGACACATATCTGCAAAATGCCGGCGCCTTTTCCAATTGAATACCGACATTTGGACATAACAGCAAGTCGCGTGGCGGCCGCCCTGCGTGCGAACAATATCGGTCATGTCTTCTGCGGTGGGTTCGCAGCAGGACTCATTGGCTCCGAACGTGTTACGACTGTAATCTCTTCTGTTTGTTATCTAACTGTGACATAATGCTAACATGCGTCCAAGATATCGATGTCATTACTGACAAAAATCCCGCGGATGCGTTGAATTCCATGCCGGAATTCACTCGTATTTCACAAGGTTACTGGGAACATCGCTGGGGCTTCAAATTCTGCGGCATCACGGTCCAGGTGGATTTTATGAAGTCTCCCTTTAATAACAAAGAACGGTGGATCCCAAGCCCCAGCGATGCACTTGTAATCAATGCTCTCCCGGCAAATTACCCTGGTCGTTCCCTTCAAGTCCCTGGTATGTTCAGACCTTGGACTTCCAGCCTGACTTTTGCTTACAAAGTCCTATAGTGAAAATCATGTACCCGTCCATGCTAGTACTCAGTAAGCTGGATGCCTGGAATTCTGTTAGGAAATCTGACAGCCCGAAAGACCAGATTCGCACTCAAGCTCATCTCATGGACATCATGGCAGGGCTGCGATGGCTTTGGAAGCTTCTCTATTCTTGCGAAGCTTTATCGGGATCACAAGGAGTCGCGGCCTCTGCTCGCCGCGATTCTCCCACCTCATGATCTGAAACGCGTTCTTGAATCGGATTCCATTGATGAATCGGATTCCGATTGCTATGATGAAGATGATTCGTCCGATGAGTCTTGATGACCAAGCTCTCTCCGGATGACAATGCTTTTCCCTACTCTTTCTGCACAGAACTTGCTTGCCCGAGACTTTCGGCTTGATTTTTGCATGGTCACTTGCTATTTGATCGAAAATTTGTCTCGAGCAGTTTTTACGCCGAGATACCTAAAGTCCGTCGCAACAGCCATAGATTAATTGACTCGTTGAAAGCTATCATCACCCTTGAACGCCTTGCTTCTCTTGACCATTTTCATAGCGCCCGAATGGTTTGCTAGCTTCATGGACCACGTAGCTATGAATATCATTATCCATCATGGGAAGTCTTGTCGTTTAGAAAATTGTAGATGAAAAGGTTTCATATGTACGGAGAAGCAGAATTCATCTTTGAAAGTATATAACCAATATCCTCTCCATCTGCTCTTTGAGCCAGACCTGCTGGTCCAGAGGCAGACCGAGATCCGCGTTTTGAAGATTTCTCAAATACGCGTACATATGCCAAGCGCCCATCAGAGGAGCCGACTGCTTATGGGTGGAAGTGACCGGTCTTGTTTCAGCATAGGGGTACTCGACAAGACCCGACTTCATGCGAATTGACTCGACCTGACTACCAAGAAAGAACGGAACAGTTGCACATATATCATCTGCGACTTTGCGAATAGTATGTTGAACCGCAGTTGCCCTTCGACCGTCGGGGTCTTGAGAGGAAAGTATACGCAGGCAACTGAGCATGATGCTTTGTAGTAGAATGCGGCAGTCACGGAACGTATTCCAGGTGGCGGCGACCCACATGTCGGCGTAGCAGTCGCATCGATTGCGCCAGAGCCCGGCGTTTCGGACAGACTGGGGGATTATCGTTGCGGCAACTGGCATCCAATGTTGTGGGACCCAGTAGGACCATGAAACGAGCTTGATGTCGATTTCGTTGGCTTTGGCGAGAATTGCCATAGCTTCTGCTTCCTTGGATGGCAAGGTCATCATCTGTTCCCATGCGTGTCGTAGGTTGACAAGCTCAGAGGCGGCAGAAGAAAGGAGAATACGGGGTGAGGGAGGAACGCTAGCAGTCTGGGACAAAGGCCAGATTTGTGGTGTTGGAACCATTGGACTATCCAGGCCTCGAGTAGTCTTGATCTGTATCTCGATTGATTAGAACCTAGTGGGTCATTTTTAGCACCGAGAGAGAGAAAACTTACAATTTGTGATTCAACCGCATTGTATATTGTTGAAGATTGAGCCTCTGGTATTTGTTTAGCTCTCTTCTCGTTTATCAGGGCTATGGCTCCTCTCAAATGAGCTTTCAGTGGCATTTCCCAGTCTTTGATAGCCACAAATTCCTACCGCCCTCAATCAGTTTCCCTTCCAAGTCAAACACCATAGGAATGATTAGAGACTTACTTCGTAAGTAGACAGTAATAAAATAGAGACAAGAATATCGTCAAATTCTGAGTCCTCGTTTGTGCGCAAGGCATCTCGAATTTTGGGCAAGGCCTTTGTAAAGTACCGCTCCGATGCACGCAGTAATGGAGCTTGCCCGGTCCAAGCTGCCACAGTAAAGAATGCAACGGCCAAAGTGCTCGTATGAAGATATGACCCAGGCTGTGTATTTGAAAACATGCTGGGTAGAATCTCCATGAACCCGTTGCGAATGTGAGGGTCTTTTGGTAGGTACAAGTAAGAATTGAAGAACAATGGAACAATTGTGTCTTCCATAGGCTGGTATAAATCTATCGGGCCGAGCTTTGGTGGCCATGAGGCCACTACTTTGATCGGCCCCGTGGGTGAACAGGACCTTGAAGTAGAAAGAGCCTTGCTCTCTTCTGGGGTCGACGTGTCGGATTCAGTGCTTGTTTTAGCCGATTGTTCGCTAGAGGAAGGAGAAGATCCCTTTTTTTTCGTGAAAGATGACGTTTGATCTCTCAGGATCACATCAAATGGGTGCAGGTATCCAGGACAGGACCGGCCTGTCCGAGTACATGCCCGACAATGTGGACGAGTCTCATCGCACTTTGAACTTGTTAGCCTCAGCCTTACCGGATCGGGGCGGGGTAGTTCAACACATACCTTGATATGCCTCTGCCGACAGTTCCGACATCCTGTACTCGGCTTCCCACTATAGACCATAGCGGGCCACACAGCTTGATCTTGTTGTCCTGTCTGACGTCCTCAGGCGATGTTCGGATTGGTTACGGTCCGACCTCCGATGCGCCACTTGCGATAGTATACATGCAGGCATGTCCTAGGTCATCCGCGGAGCTGATATTTCCCGCTACGAAACATCAACAAAAGTTCCAACCCTTCTGCTCACGGGCTAGGACATTTGTTTTCGTCGTCAAGGACACTGATGTTGCGTGAATGTCAAGGTCTGGTTGTTCAGCAAGTAATCATATTCCCACGTGACCTGGATCGGCAGGGCTCCGTCTCCGCAGATTTGCGGCGGCCGTCAGCACTCTCCGCCTGAAGAGACAAGTCCCCTCCTTGTTTGATTCAATCCAACGACCATCTTCTGTGTGGTATCCAATCTCTGCTGCACGGACTCTCTGCAGTATACTCCACTTAATTGCATTCATTTCTAATCAATCCTGTCCACCCAGAACACTCCCTTCTCCGCAAACGCACGCGATTCTCCAAGCATCGCCTCCAACAATGCTTTCCTACTTTGGATGGGGCTCCAGCTCCAAGTCCAACGCAGACACACCAAACCAACAAGCACAAGAAACACCCAATTTCGACCAAAATGCCTCATCACCACCCCCGTCCCAACAGCCACCCTCCCAGCCATCACAAATAGTGCAGCAATCCACATCCCCCGATAGAACCAACCTCAAACTCTTCTGCGGCGGCATGGCCTTCTTCGCCCTCTCCGTATACATCACACGCCGCGCCAACATCAGGAAACGCCTGGCTTGCATTCCTCCCTACTACTCCAGCTCGATATACTTCCAGCCACAGGTCAATGGGGCGATGGAGGCATTCGAGGCCCTGAACCTGGCTACAATCAACGTGATCTCATTCAGTATGATGGCCACGGGTGGTGTCATGTGTGCTCTGAATGTCAATAACCTCGAGGATATGCGCAAGATCATGCGTGGGTCTTTGGAAGGGGTTGCGGCTGGCAAGTCTGATGAGGAGCTTGAGAAGGATGTTGCCGAGTGGGTGTCCAGTGTGCTTGGTGATCGCTTTGACAAGCAGCTGGAGAAGGAGAAGGCGAAGAAACGGGTGGCGGGTCAAAGTGAGGAGACTAACTGAGTCAATTGGAGGATTACTTTTTTGTTTGGATACACTCTGCTCATGGATTTTCTACGATATTACCCTGTACATTATTATGCATTCTGATATACTTGAGCATGGCCATCTGGCGTTGACTGCTGTGCTGCAATGGCATCATGACTGACAAGAAAGGACTGTTCATCACTAGTACTTTACTATTTTCGGTGTAAATCCGATCGATTTGGGGATATCATTATTGTACAAAACTCTCCATCTCGACGGTGGAGGCCCATCACTAATTCATCTGATCATAGCGTTGGCGGGCTGTCTCCCTGGTCTTCTCCAAGAATTCATCATATCGTCCCCTAGTATTTCGGCCAGCCTCTTCCACAGCATCGCCGAGCTTGCTTCCTTGCGCGCCCAGGCCCACACCCTGCGCATAGACCTCTGTGGCGATAGGAGCAGTGACACCGGTACCTTGCGCACCTAAACCAGAGCCTGCTGACCAACCCATCTTGCTCAGCAGCGACGCACCCTTCGAGGTGGTTTGGAGAGGCGGTTCTTCCTCTTCCTTGGGTGCTGCCGGCTTTTGTCGACCTCCAGTCTTACCACGTCCAAACGCCTGGCGACGTTCCCGAGCACGATCACGATATTCGGATGCTGATTGCTGGATGATCCCATGCTTGGCCAGCTTGGCCATTCCCCGTGCTTTTGCTTCCTCGTTCTGTAGGTTGTCTCGGTGGAGCTGGCTAAGGCGTTCGTGTCGGTTGACATTCGCAGAACTTTTAAATTGCCGCATACAGAGATAACAACAATTTCGATTGAGATCAGCATATGATTGAGCAGGCGGTGCGCTTGTATCTGTAGGTAATCCTCCTTTTTCAGACTCGTCGTTCACGGCATTCTCATCGCCGTCTTTTGCAATGCCGTGAAGCTCGGCATGGCGGTTACTCCAAAACTGCAGGTGGGACGGCATGGCAAGCTTCTTTGCACCCGCGTTTGCGGCTGCATCGGCTTTTCTTTTCCTAGCCTTTTCAGCGTCTCTTGTGCCCTTATTTTCACTCTGTTCTCGCTGGCCCGACGATTTGGTACTCTTCGGTTGGTCTTGACCAAGATCTTCTTCGCCCGATGTTAGCATCAACTCAGTGACATAGCCTTCGTCATCCCAGTACATGAGTTTAACAGAAGGGTTTGACAGCGGGCTGAATGTGAAGTGGGCGGTGCTGGGCTTCGGGTCCATGACTGGTACGAAGACACCGGCGTGGATATAGCTGACCATGACAGGCCTGGATGAGATGGTGAACTTGTCGAATGAGTTCAAACGCGTCATTGCCGCTTGTGCGTCCTGGAGGAAATCTGGTAAGCAATTACCATGAAGAAGTAGAGCGATAAATGCATACCAAGACGTTAGCGAACTCAGCAAAACCAAAGCGCCAGCTTTCGTTAGTGTTCCGGTCGCGCACGAGTAGTACACGCCTAATAGACCCTTCGCGGGCTCCGAGATTAGCATCTCCAGTGGTCGACGCAACTTTGGCCCCTTTCTTCTGATTGTTTGACGAAGGGCCGTCGTTGTTGCCTCCGGTGGGCCGGTACAGCTTGGCAACACCTTTGGCCAAAAGTTCCTCTGTTACTGAGGACTCTAGTCCTCGGAAAAGAAGAAATTGGGATGGTTGGTTTTCGGGGGCAGCGTCATTATCGCCATTGTTGACGACCTTGGGGATGGGAACGCCAGGTGGACCCGCGGGCATCATCTCTGCGCCTGTTTGGTTAGCGTATTGGTTGTGCTGCGATGGGAGTGCAAACTGACCTGGACGAGGGGCGTTACAGCGGAAACACTTCGGTCGAGTCGCAAAGTTGACAACAGCACACTGGATCTGGTCGTCAGACTTGAACTCATGCCCTGTGGAAAGAACCTAGTAATCATACCATCCGACAAGTCCAATCGCCTTCTCCTTTGGTGCGATTCCTATCTTCCCTCTCCCGACTGTATGCTATGCGAACTTTCGTGCTCCGATCGTTATCTCCCGCGGATGGTCCGTATAAATAGATGGATGGGTGGTTTCGTTCCAGGAAAGCTCTGGATTCATTGATGGAGTGGAATCGAAGGAATCCCAGCTGTCGCGATACCTCTGGACGCAATATCAATTAGTATAGAGAAGCTTGATGCCAGGAATTGAGAGCTGCCCTCACTGGTTTGTCGGTCTCGAATCACTCGGATTTCCTCCAAGCCGCTGACATGGTAGGCGTTCTGAAGCTCATCTGCAATCTGCATTCCTCGAAGGTCAGTACATTGCACTTGAAGCTCAACAGGTTCCAGTCAGTCTTTTCTTCAACTCACATCGTCCTCTGTCATATCCATAGGGAAGCCTTCCATCATAATCTCCCGACTCTCAGGGCCAAATCCAGACTGCCCACGCCGGGGACTGCGGCTGCGACTGTAGCTCCCACCATGGTTATAATCCGGTGATCGATATCCCTCGCGATCACGATCACGGTATCCTTGTCTTCCTCGCCGCGGAGGCGATCGATGCCAATAGTCCTCCCGATCCCGGTTATCATAGTGCGCTCCAGCATCTCTGTCCCTGGAGTATTCGCGCCTGCGGTCTGCTGGTCGTTGGGGAGGCGAGCGAGAATGGTCTTTATTCCCAAAATCCAATCGAATAATATTAGCCACAGCTCAAAAGATATCAAGGCAGGACTCGGGAATTCTCCGAGTTCACTGCCCATGGCTTAAGCGCCATTTCCATGCGGGGAGGAGCGTATACCGCCAGGCGACCGTGAGCGTGAGTGATCATCGTACATGCGGCCGTCCCGGTCGTCTCGAGGAGGGTACATCCGACGAGATGGACCTGAATACGGTCGGCTTTCGTCTGAGTAAGGAGGTGCCATCCTTAAAGGTTATTGAGAATGGTGAATGGTGAATGTTGAAAGCTCAAGCTGTGCTGATGAGTGATAGCTTCCGGCAGAATTCTGACCGCCTCCATATCTATTGCTCGGCACAGCTTCCAGGGATGAAGTCTTGAGTACTTGAGTACATTCTTATGGCTCTGTGAATCGAGTCGTGGAAGGGTGGAATTTGTAATTCAAAATTACTGTTGGATTAGCTAACTTCTAGGTATGTCTAGCTCATGCCGAAATCGAGGAAGATCTATTTGAAGCTCAAGCTAGCAGATGTTTGAACATCAATTCACACCAAAATATACATCTGTTTCACGTCCACGTCAAGGCCACACAAACTAACTACCTAACATGCCCAGATAATTGCTTCATTTCTAGAACATAAGAAGTACAAATGGATACGAAAAGTACCTGCTTATGATTACCTATAGAGCTGGTAGCCTGACTCGGATCGATGATCCGTACCTGCTCCCAACACCTACAGTGTTGCATCATTGTTGAGGTGGACGGGCCATTGCCCCAGAGGTGGAGGCGATCCACTATATGCCTGAGGTCCAGGACATATCATTTGTTCAAGCCAGCAACTCATGTTGCAGTAAAAATGACGGATGTACCTGGTAGGCACGGCCATGCCCGATCGGCGCCAGATATCATCTATTTAGAGGCGATTCTCCACACTGCCCCGCGGTGGGATGCATTGTGTGAGCTGTGATATGGGCGATTGGCTACTGCCCTCCCAGTCCCTGATACCACGGGCCTTGACTTACCCAGGTAGCTAACCCCTCAGTTTGAATTTGAACCTTTCCAACAACTTTTCTACACTCTCTGTAGCATTGAGACTTATTTCAATACCTACTGTTACTATATCAACACACCCCATGTCGTCGTCCGCGAAACCAGTCCATCGCGCTTGGTGGAAAGAGTGCTCGGTGTATCAGATCTGGCCAGCATCATTCAAAGATTCGAACGATGACGGTATCGGTGACATTCCAGGAATAATTTCTCAACTCGACTATATTAAGAACATTGGGGTGGATATCGTCTGGCTATGCCCCTCGTACAAGTCCCCGCAGGTTGACATGGGCTACGATATCGCCGATTACTACAGCATCGCCGACGAGTATGGTACGGTCGCAGATGTCGAGGAGTTGATTCAGGGTTGTCATGAGCGTGGAATGAAGCTTCTCATGGATCTGGTGGTTAACCACACTAGTGACCAGCACGAGTGGTTCAAACAGTCTCGGAGCTCTCGAGACAACGAGTACCGGAACTGGTATATCTGGAAGCCAGCCAAGTATGATGAGCAGGGCAATCGTCATCCTCCAAACAACTGGGTTTCCCACTTCCAAGGTATGGAACGGTGCTTCTAATTGCTTAGATGGATAAAATAGATTCTTACTATGAACTTATAGGTAGTGCTTGGCAGTATGACGAACTCACCGATGAGTACTATCTGCATCTGTACGCCACCGAGCAGCCGGACCTTAACTGGGAGCATCCTCCAGTACGCAAGGCAGTCCATGATATTATCCGTTTCTGGCTCGACAAAGGTTGCGATGGATTCCGGATGGATGTAATCAACTTCATCAGTAAAGACCAGGCATTCCCAGATGTACCAGTCAAAGATCCGCGAACCCCCTGGCAATTTGGAGACAAGTATTACGCCAATGGGCCTCGTCTACACGAGTACTTGCAAGACATTGGCAAGATCCTCAAGGAATACGATGCTTTCAGCGTCGGCGAAATGCCTTTTGTCAAGGACGAGAAAGAGGTACTTCGAGCCGTGCAATTCGATCGCAACGAGATCAACATGATCTTTAACTTTGAGCATGTGGACCTTGACCACGGTGAATTCGATAAGTTCGAGCCGGGCAGTTGGAAGTTGACGGATCTCAAAGACTTCTTCCAGCGATGGCAGACCTTCATGTATGAGAACGACGGTTGGAATGCTCTCTATTGGGAGAACCATGACCAGCCACGATCAATTGATCGCTACACTAATGCTGACGAGGAGCACCGTGTTATTGCGGCCAAGATGCTTGCAATTGCACTGGCCTTGCAGTCTGGCACACCCTTTGTGTACCAAGGACAAGAGCTTGGGATGCGCAATGTTCCTGCCTCATGGGGCATCGAAGAGTACAAGGACATTGACTGTCTGAATCATTGGAACAGGTGAGGCTCTTCGAGCACTCTACAATTCCACAAAACCATCGCTAATAATTGCTCTATAGATTGATCAAGAGTAAGCACTTTGATACCACAGCCCAACAAACAGCCCTTCGAGAGTACCAGAAAAAATCCCGCGACAACGCACGAACTCCAGTTCAGTGGACCGACGATCCTAATGGCGGCTTCACTGGTCCCAATGTCAGACCCTGGATGTCCGTGAACGATAACTACGTCAAAGTTAATGCCGAAGCGGCCGTGAAAGACCCCAATTCTTCCTACCACTTCTGGGCATCTGTGCTTAACCTGCGCAAGAAGCACCTGGACCTTTTCGTTTATGGAGATTGGAAGATCGTGGATGCGCCCAGCCAGGAGGTGTTTGCTTATTCTCGCCAGTACGAGGACCATAAGGCTCTGATCCTCTGTAACTGGACTGATCACAGTGTTACCTGGGATGCGCTGAGCAACGGAATCTGCGCGGTCAAGTGTGTGCTCTTGAATAACTACGAACGATCGGCGGAGGCATCGAAGCGCTTCACCGGGGGCAAATATGCTCTTCGACCGTATGAGGCGTTTGTCCTTCTTGTGTAGATACACAGGATCTCTAGTGGTACAATAGTGATAGTCGATGATAGACCACAGAATATACGGAAAGAATATGCTTCGCTCTTCAAACTCCGTAGATAATTTCATTCCGCACCCCTTCGGTGGTCTCCGCGAGACGAGGCCGCACTTATCCACCGGTTCCCCGCAATCGATAAGAATACTGGGCGTTCACCAACTCAACACTCAACCTTGACACTCAAATCTACAAACTCCTTACCCCTCTATATACATACACACACAATGACAACCGAAGAAACCTCCGTCCCAGCACACCTGGACCCATCCACCTACCCACGCACCCACTACGATGCCACCCAAAACATCCACCTCACACTGACCTACTCCCCGCTCGACCCCAACACGTACCTGACGCAAACATCCTCCCCCGCCGCAGGAGCAAACACTCTCTTCCTCGGTACGACACGCGATACCTTCGAGGGCCGCTCCGTCTCGCAATTAAGCTACACTACATATCCACCCCTCGCGCTGAAGACGTTAACGGCGATTGCGGAGGATGCCGTCAACAAACACCAGCTCAACGGTGTGAGTATTGCGCATCGTCTTGGGGTTGTGCCTATCGGAGAGGCTTCTATTGCGATTGCCGTTAGTGCGGGACATCGGGCTGCGGCTTGGAGGGCGGGGGAGGAGATTTTGGAGGCTTGTAAGGAGAAGGCGGAGATTTGGAAGAGGGAGGAGTTTGTTGATGGGGGGATGGAGTGGAGGGCTAATGCGGATCGGGATGCGGAGGGGAATTTGGTTAAGAAGGATGGGTCTTGAGTGGGATTGGAGGGGATGTACCTAACATGAGGCGTTTGGGGAATTGGGGTGTATTGGCTGTGGTGGTTATGGAGCTGATTTACATTTGCAAATCCCCCATGAACTTGGTCTATGTGGGTTCAGCGAAGGAGTTTATACCATGAAGCATTGGATGGCCGTGGACGGAGTCCAGTGAGCAGGGTATTGGTATTGGACGGTGATATAATACAGTTTTCATACATGCAGCTCGAGACGTTTACTCAAGCTTCAAGGGCTTTCCTTCTCTCTTCCAGTCACTGATGTGCTCAAGGATCACCTTGGAGGCAGACTCGGGGGTATCCTGTCGGCCAATGCACTCGACAAAGTCGTTATCGGGATCTATATTGAACAGTCAGAAAAGATGGTTAAATGCTCAGGGAACGGTCAAGTCTTACCCATCAGGTAGAAGTAAATGCTGTGGTCCACCAGATAATCCTCGCCAGGCTTGACATCCTTGGGCGTGCTGAAGTACACGCGGTACTGGCGGCAGACGTTCTTGACCTGCTCGTAGGTACCAGTCAAGCCAACGATGCCCGGGTGGAACTCCTTCAAGTACTCGCGCAAGACCTCTGGGGTATCACGGGCGGGGTCGCAGGTAATGAAGACCGGGAGGAAAACCTTGTCGTCCTTGGTGGACTCCTTGACCTTCTCAATGATCTCGGCCATCTTGTCCAGCTCGTCAGGGCAGATATCGGGGCAGTGGGTGAAACCAAAGTAGACCTGTTGCAACAGAAGAAACAAATTAGTGCCGACCCCAAGAACGAAGCTATGATCTAAAAGCCAACTCACAAAGCTGTATTTGCCCTTCAGATCCTCCTCGGTGAACTCCTTTCCATCCAGATCCGTCAGAACGAACGGACCGCCAACCTTCGGCCTCCCAACGCCCTTGCTCATCTCCGCAATCCGCTTCCGCTCTAGACGTGCCTTTTCAACGCGGAAGTAGATCATCATACCCGCACCGGTGAGCACGAACAACAGCGCAGCCTTCCACGAGAACGGGCCGGTCGAGTTGCGCTGGCGCAGCTGGCCCATTGTCTTGCCACGAGCTCGGAAAGCAGTCGTGGAGAAGTTATTGCGTGCATTGAATGTGCATTGGAGGTTCTGATTGTACCGGGGTCGCTGCGCTTGCGTGTAGGCGCGGCATTGTGGTTGGCTGGTGTTGCGGAGGGCAGGGAAGATGCGATGCGAAGGGGTTGACTCAATGGCGGCCAGGTTGCGGGTGGCTCGGCCGAGGATTCCGGTAGCCATGCGCATTGAGGATGGCATCTTGATTAGTGATTGGGAGGTTTGTGTCGGCGGAGAGAAGCACAGGTTAATGTCGGATGACAGAGCGAGAATCTCCAGATCGATACCTGATCGGGACTAGCGTTTGAAGCCTCAGGCATCAAAGTGCCTCGGCGACGAAGTATAGCTGGAAGCTAGAAGCGATCTACCACAATTCTAAATTGATGAGGAGATTGGTCGACCATGAGATTTTTCTTCATTTGAATCTCAGAAGCAGTTAGCTATCTATACCAAAGTCCTTTCCATTCTTGTTTCATGATTCCTTATGAATCACGTCCTCCATCTGCTCCATTTGCTTACATGTTGTAGAACCATGAACGAAATTTACTCGTCAATATTCTGAGCCTAGCATAAGATATGAAAGTAGTGTATATTAGAGGTAATTTATTGGCATGTATAAAGAAAAACTAGCAAGAGTTGTATCGCAAAATCAAAGTCAAGTTCAGCAGTATCCAACAACACCAAGTCCATCGTCAACCAACACAATAGCAGCAATCAAGTAGTAATCATGAGGATTTTGTTCTCATACTCCGGAGTCTTCTTCAAAATGAGATTCTCCGCGATCCATCGCCCCGAATCCTCCCTCGAAATGAAATATCCGATCGCGGTAGACTCCCGACCAGTCTTGGGATCTTCAACGCCGACCCGAACGGTCTTCGCAGTCTCCCCATCGGTAAGGATACTTCCCCGAAGAATCGTAAAAGTCTCCCCGCTAGCAATGAATCGATCTTCCATGATCTCCTTGTCCTCATGGGGAGCCTTGAGCAACCAAAGATAGATCGGGAACATGGCAAGAGGATAATCGCGGCCAAAGCGCGACATGCCGGTGGTGCTGAAGGGCACAATGTAGGGGCGACCAGTTGCCCCTTGGCTTCGAAGTTGAGCGATTGCTTCAATAAGGACGGCTGCGCCTTTTCGGCAGCATTCTGGGTCTTCGATGGTCATCTTGTACCAAATTGGTCGGCTGCCGATAGTGGTGATGATCATGTCGACAAGGTTGCCATCCGAAGTACGAATGCATTGGGTGACCGCGGTGATATCGTGAGCGTCGCCTTTGATGATCTTCAGATTGGGTGTAGAATCCGCTGGGAAAATGGCCTCGAGCTTGGAGGGAGTCCGGCAGAGCGCCGTGCATTGAAGACCTGCTGCAAGGCTGTGCTTGAGAGCTGACAGACCGACGCCAGTGCTAGCGCCGAAGAAAGCCACCGTCTTGGTGGTGGAAGTCATGTTGAGAAGGTGGTTTTGTTGTTGAAATGTGAGTGAAATTGTGAGAATCTGAGGATGAGGAGGCAGGATTGTCTGTGAATGTAATCTTTGAATTATGTCTGGTAGAGCGGGCGTCTTTCGACCCTTTTAACTACATGGTGGCTGTCAAGTCAACCTTGTATACGAGCCGAAAGTTGACCGAGTAGGGTGTGGTCCGTGCTGTTGTCCGAGTAAGAACTAAGCTCGCCTTTTTTTCGCCCTCTTCTTTTACGGGCAGGCTTACCCTTTTTTGCCTCCTGCCCCGCTCGCGCGTTTCTCGGGCTTGCATAATGCTTGACTTAAGCGTCAGACCGCGCACGGAGATTTCTTTTGGTCAAGTTTACACTTAGACCGCCAGGACCAAGCAGGATGGAAGAATCTGGCTTCATTCTTGGCCTTTCCAGAGCGTTTATTTCGATAGAAAGTATCTATAGTTCGTCCTATCGTTAGAGTATGATCGTCATGAAGATGCTATTAGATGCCAGTATCGGTCTCTAGGTTCGCGAGTAGACTGATTCACGATACGATAATGACTTAGTTAATTGTAAAGAGCGTCATGTATAAGCAGAATGCGCTTGCCGCTAATCCCAAAGGGGAAGGTTGCCTGGAGGATGACCCGAAGAGAGCAGCTCAAACGATACTGCGATCCCAACGACAGGCTCCTCGAGATGAGCGACCGGCTATTCTAGGCGAAAAATTCAAACGTCCACAGTAGTTCACGCAGCAACGATGTCGCAGGTGCCCATGCCGACCGTTTCGGCGTCGAACCCAACGGTCGCGGGCGCCTCGGGCTCAAGTGCCGAGAAAAGCGCGAGATCGCCTGGAGTGAAGGGTGAACCATCAGCGTCCACACCGGGGACCGGGCGCACCACCAAACCGCGCAGTTGTGTCGTATGTCGGAGCCGAAAAGTCCGCTGTGACAAGCAGTCGCCATGCTCCAACTGTCGCCGCGCAAATATTGCGTGCGTACTTCCCTCCAAAGACCGCCCTCCAAGATGGGCCCGTCGCCTCGTGCAGCCAGCCCCGGAAGATGTTATGGAGCGAATTCGAACACTCGAGAATCTCGTCAAAGACTTGAGTCGCCAACTGGAAGAAGCAAATGCCAGGACCGACTCTGTTGGTGTTTCCTCGGCGGCTCAGTCGCCTGGAAGCTCCACTAACGATGCCACGGGTACATCCTCGACATATTCCGACCATGTGCAAAAACAGTTTGGGAGATTGGTCCTTCGAGATGCTAACCAGAGCCGCTACATTGGTAGTGGATTTTGGTCGCGTGTTACTGACGAGGTACGCTCAATGCGCTGCTATTGAACGAGAATACTTCTGATCGGTACCATAGCTAGATGAACTAAAGATGGACACCGAAGGGCTGGCTCAAGATGAGTTTGATACCTCTGATGAAGAGGACTGGTTTGTTGGGAAGACCCCATCTACGCAGGAGATCGAACGTACACCCGAAGATCGAAATGCATTCATATTCCGACATAACTTGATGCCTTCCACTCCAGACCTACGGGACTTCCACCCCCTGCCCTCACAGATACCCTTTCTGTTAGATGTTTTCTCAGAAAACGTCAACGCATTTCTCCAGAGTGTGCATATACCAAGCACCTCGAAAATGATTCGCGACTTGCGTGGTGACATGACTAGTCTGACACCTGCCAACGAGGCCCTCATGTTCTCGATCTACTATGCGGCAGTGACTTCTATGGAGGAAGAAGACGTGAGGATGAACTTTGATTCCACCAAGGCTGAATTAAATTTAAAGTATCGCCTTGGTTTTGAGCACGCTCTCGCCAAGGCCGATTTTCTAAACGTACCGGATCTGGTTCTGATTCAAGCTCTTGTCAACTTCTTGGCTCTTGCCCGTCGTCACGACAGCCCCAGATTTGTATGGATGATGGTTGGAATTGCAATCAGGATGGCAATGTCACTAGGCCTTCATCGGGATGGATCCAATTTTGATAACCTATCCCCCTTCGAGACAGAAATGCGCCGGCGTGTTTGGTGGGCCTTGTGTCTGTTTGATGTCAGAGCCTCAGAGGATCAAGGAACTGAATTCACTATTGCGGTGGATAGCTTCGACACAAAAATACCACTGAATATCAACAACAGTGATATACAACCAGATTCAAAACAAGATCCGGCAGAACGCGAGGGGTTGACTGACATGTCCATCTCACGCGTGTCGATCAAAACGTGCGAGCTCTCGAAGCGAATGATGGTCCGTGGACCCAAGGCACCTAGCCTGGAAGAGCAGGACCATATGCTGCAGAAGATTTACCAGGAATTAGACGAAGGGTTTCTTCGTTACTCAACCGAGTCGAATATATCATACTGGGTTATTGTCACCGTCGCCCGTCTCATGGTCGCCAAAATGACATTGTTCATTTACTTACCAGTGCTGTTTTCTTCTCCGGGTGAGCAATTGTCCGAACAGCTCAGGACAAAATTGCTCATCGCCGCGATTGAAGTTGCCGAGTACAACCATTCACTGAACGCTGAACAGGGCTGTCGCCAATGGCGGTGGATTTTCCAGACTTATACTCATTGGCATGCCATTATCTACATTTTAATCGAGATTCCTCGTCGACCGTGGTCTCCCCTTGTCGAGAGGGCCTGGACCGCCCTCCACAGTGTCTGGCTTATTCCGACCCAATCCAACATGCGCAAGAATTTGCGCGTGTGGTTTCCGTTACGGAAGTTGATGAACAAAAGCACACGACATCGGAAGAGCGAATTGAATAGGCTTGCAAATAACCCGTCAGCTGCGGAAAAACTTGAGATTGAATATTTGACGATGACTCATCCTTCAAGTGAAGCTCATTTTCCAGCTGGGTCTAACGCGGCGGCTCTCTTTCTCGAACAATGGAAGCAATTGGTTCAATTCCCTACCGAAGGGATGCCAGTTCGCGCACACGTGGCTGCTTCATCTGACCAAGGCCATTCGACGACTGGCAACTCGAGGGTATCGCTTGGAGTACAGCTCGGTACAGAAGCGAACCTCAATTCCATGACGGTACCACAGGTCCAGCAATGGCAACATGGTGTTGAAATTGGCCGGAACCTTAGCGTAGCTCCATCTACGACTCTTGATCTACCTCCCAACGCCGGGAATTCCGAAGCAGGGCCATTCGAACCACCTATCCAACCGGCCACTCAGCAACCAAATTCCGCATATCTGGATACCCTGCTATCTATACAGCCTGTAGAAGGTGACGTTATGCCTTCGCTGTGGACTAATGAACTCTTCGAACACGTGGACTTGGGGACACTGGATAATAACATGGATTTGGATAGTGATATAGACTGGTATAACTGGGTGGAATCTGCCAAGGGAATGGAATGGGACACAGATCCCAAGCGCATCGCATGATGACAATGTTGTCATGATATTGGAATCTTCTTGCACAAATTTTGCATTTGCCGTTGATTCTGCGTTTCTTACCATTTGGAAGGCCCGAAGATTTCTCCTTCAGCAACTGTCTTTCGAACAGCAGTGTAGAGGTAGTCCTGTCGAAGGGATATTAGCATGGCAAACCCACTGGTTACGGGGGAATAAGTACCATGGTCTCGAAAGGCGCAGTATTTCCCCACCAGTTCGGGGCAGAAACTCCGGGTAAGGTTATGGCGAAGAATATGACAATTGTCGACAGGACCAGGCCGGTGTCAAGTCCTGCAGCTGTGATGTAGTTATAATTCCTCCACCAGCCACCCCAGCGACGATGGATCCAGTAATTAAAAATGAGTCCAAACATGACCCACGACGTGAAGCTCAAAGGCGTGGCTCTGCTATCGTTAGTACACATATTGGGGAAGGATATCAGAGAGCACTTACGGAGGTAACCATGCCATAGCTCCAAGCATGCTAATGATAATGTTAGCAATTTTCCAAAAGAGGGCTTTGGCGACTTACACTGGCGCATTGAGCAGTCTAGCCTTTGATCGTGGGAATAGTCGCATTAAGATGTAGAATGCCACAGGCAGGAGAGCTCCGAGCAACCAGAAATACTGGATTGATTTATAGATCCCGTCAGGGCCGAACATGCGATTTGGTCCAATTACACCTTGCCACACAGGTCAGTACGTGAGCATACAGCTGTGAAGTCCGGAAATCCACTTACCCCACACGATACTGGAAGAGAAGAATGTCCTTCCGTTAGGGCAAGTAAAGTGAGCAGATTGATCGCTGGATTTAGTAAAGTTAGTAGATACATAATGTATATGGGTGGAAGTTGATATACGCACGTTGTGCAAACACCTTCGATGTTGCCCAAGGTCCAATTCATGACTGCAATTTGAACAAAGCTAGCCCAAATGGTCGCAACAATTTGGCACATGAAAGTGACACGGGGCGGAATCTTCATGTAATGCGCAATCTAGAAGAGAATGTTAAGTCATGAGTTGAACGCGTAAGATTATCTCTAGGCTCACCTTGAGATCTGCGCAGAAATATTGACTAATACAATGGTTAGATCTAGCAAATGCGAAAAAAAGGGTGGCTTACGCTTGTCCCAATGTGATGGTACTAAAGACTTTGAAGACCATAACTCCGATTGGCTTCCCGGGGATCATGAAGCCAGCCAAGAACGGGGATAGAACATTAAGGGCTATATTCGTAAGCTGTTGTCCACGAAATGGGAGATGCAGCGAGACATACAAAGTTGGATGTTGGTTATGCCGAGAAGCATACAAGTCGGGACCTGTCAATAGAAGTCAGAGAGCTCCTTCGAATTGTGCGGGAGAGGGTGCACGTACAATGAACACAGCTGCGACAATGAGAGAGACGAAGAATGCCCACCCTTTGGAGTTGTCAGCCAAATCTTACTCATGAGGTCCAAACGGAGTTCACATACACGGAAGTTGAGAATCATATCCCAGAATACCACCTAAGCCCAGGGCCATAGAAGCCAAAAAGAGGACGGCGTACCACCACTCGGGCACCTCTTTATATTTCTTCATTAACATCAAGTGAATATCTGGCTCTTGGTCTTGAGCAGCCTTGAATCGATGCCAAATCTCTTTTCGATGGAAAAGAATAACATGAACAATAACAGCCGTCAAAGCCGCAAACGAAAGTCCGTAGTTCAAGGCAAAAGTCGGGGCGAGGAACATGGGTGAATAGGCCTTGTACGCCTCCTCGTCGAAAGTGAAGCCTGAACCCAGAATCTTGCTCACGTTATACGAATTCTGTGTATTGTCGTAAGTTGTGGAAGTATTGATAGGGAGATATTCGGAATACCTGATATTTTATTAGCTTTGAGACATTATGGTTAGCATGGCACTCACAAGGCTCCAGTATATGCAATTCCAATTGTCGTAATCAATACAAAGATGACCAGTCCAATGAAAGTGTTCATGATGGCGTGCACAGGCGAGAGGAGAGGATCAAGGAGATATGCGGAAACGTATCTGGGCGTGGTTAGTTCTATAATTCCTTGTTGTCTAGAGAAAATGCACGTACGTCCAATCAAAAGTGATAGGGATCAATGACAGCCCAGTAAAGCCTCCAAAGAGCTGATTGAGAATAACATTGTTCGGTTTGATCCCTAACGGAAAATCAGCACAATTGAGCAGAAGTAGGCCATTACGATCTTACAGGTAATGAAGGCGAAAACGGAAAGTCCTTGCCAAATGACACCAGGTATCCTGTGATACCGTCAGTATACACGACATGATTGTAGTGTAGATTCATAGTCTTACCAATACCAGACAAACGCTCCGGCCATGACATACATGAAGTATCGGTACCGGGAAATTATCCAGCCATTTGTCTGTGCAGGGTCCGATCTACTCTTATCATGAAGGGCATAGAACAGTGCAGTGTTGGCGAATTGACCTGGCCATATCATAGCAGCCGGCCTATACTATTGTCAGTAGTTGCCAAGGCGTCTGAGTCGAGATAGACTAGGACTTACCAGACCAAGAATCGGCGGACGAGTCCAGCAAGCGACATTCCAATGACCTGGCTACTTAGAGCGAATAGAAGCTGGAAACCCCAGCCGACGTCACGGTTGTACAATGCTGCATTATTTTTCAGCGCGATTTCATTTCTTTAAGAGGATTTTATTCACTTACGCTTCGCTTTGAGTGCGAGTAGTGCGTCTGTGCAGTATGCGTAGCCAATGGAGACACTGATGCCTTGTTAGCTACAGGTTCAAATTATGATGGAGAATAACCTACTTTGCCATGATCTAGGAAACGTCAGCCAGGCTAACTAGTGAAGCAGAGAATCAATATAACGTACCGTAATCACTGTATGTTCCTTGATGTTGAAAGGGCCCGTATTCAAAGTCCAACGCACCCCAAACGTATTGAATACTCGAGTAGGCATATACCTAGCCCAAAGGCAGCCCAACGGATAGACGAGCAATTGAACAACTATAGCGGGGAAAGAAATAGCAGGACTCCTGTGATACGGTTAGAGGATGGATCCGGAGGTTTGAAAGATATCGGCCTCCTACCTCATACTCAAGAACATGTTTAAACCACTTCCAACGGTCGTGAAAAACATTCCCAAGATCCATGCGCGCACTGTGTTCGCCGGTTCTCCCCCGTCAGTGTTTCGAACTGCCGCTCGCACCGATTCATATTGAGAGTCTTGCACGAAGGACTTGTCTATTTCGGCAGCTTTCTCATGATCGCCCGTCTTGACTGCCTCGTTGATTTCGTCAAGCGTATCTTGGGGCAGATTTGGATCCCATTGGTGTGAAAGCTCGATGTTATGCAGCTGTTGTATATCATCGATTGCTCGCTTATCATTGTTCGAAGACATCTCTAACTGTGACTGCGCGAGGCAATCAACAGTATTTTGTTGGGGAAATTTCGTCTTGTGGAACTTGGCTCTAGTTGTTCAAGAGATCGCCCGGAGACAATACTATATATTTCCCGCGTGGCCAACACTTCCGGGTGGCCACTTCCTCTCTACACGAGCTCTCTCGAAGATAAGCCTTGCGGAAAAATAGCAATGTAACCCTTGACTATCCCGCATAACACCTCTAGGGTTCAAGGGGCACTTGGTACCGGTTACTTGGATCGGCAATGGGCGAAGGCGCCCGCATACCGATAACGCCCCCCGCTTTGGGTAAGAACGCGGAGTAACACTCGACGCTATCCTCTAAGCTTCAGCCTGGCCGCGATTGTGGCACTCACACCGACACAAAAGCAGCCATTCGGATGACCCTGCGACAATTAGCTTATTGTCGGTTGGATATCCCGACAACGTATCATCCCGTGGCATTCCCTCGTTATCGCTACGGGCTGCCGCATAGTATTTAGCCTTGCAAGCTCCTATCTTAGTTACTCAATTGTCAACGACGACGCGTGTTCTCCGCACTTCCGATCAAAGCACAAGCCAGCCAAGCAATCTCTGTAACCGAGGACCGGAAAAAGCCCGTCTATTCACCTATCATGGTCCTCTTCACGTCTCCCCGGGGTGTCGCTATTCGACTTGCCCAAACGGAGCCCATTCGCGACAGGATCGAGCGTGTCACTGCTGACTTGAAGGAGCTCAAGGAATTCCTTCCGATCGAGTTATCACCACGACGGCACCAGAGACTGCAGGACTTTCTGACCTCGGAGCTGACCGAGCTCAATTCTTTCCATGACCTGCCGTTTGCGCTCTATGACCAAGAGGCAAAGGTTGATTATCTGCTGCTCAAAAACTTCCTCGAAAGGGAAGTTCGCACATTGGACCTTGAAGCCAAGCAAGATGAAAAGCTGTCTCCGCTGGTACCATTTGCTAATACATTGGTGGATCTCTGCGAGGCTCGCACCTTGGTGATGCCAATGGATCCCAAGGTGACTGCTCAGACATTATTCGACTGCCAAACGACAATTGTATCGGTGATAGAGAAGGTGAAAGCAAAGTCCGGTGACATGGTTATACCGAAAAACAGCGCCTTTCGAGCAGCAAATCATATTATCGCTCTAAAGGGCCACTTGAAGGAGTGGTTCAGCTTCTACACTGGCTATGATCCGACATTCGACTGGTGGGTGGCGCATCCATACGGAGTCATTGACCAGAGTCTGCAGGACCTCGCAGCTACGATCAAGGAGGTTCTCGTTGAGATCAAACCGGGGGATGATGACGCCATTGTTGGCCAGCCGATAGGGCGTGAAGGACTGCTCTTTGAGCTCAGAGCCGAAATGTTCCCGTACACGCCAGAGGAGATCATCTCCATCGGCGAGAAAGAATTCGACTGGTGCATCACCGAGATGAAAAAAGCATCACGAAGTATGGGATACAGTGACGACTGGAAGAAGGCCCTGGAAGAAGTCAAGAATGATTTTGTTGAGCCTGGCCAGCAGACACAACTTGTTCGGGATCTCGTTCATGAAGCCGTGTTATTTGTGGAAGATCACGACCTTGTTACAGTCCCCGAAATTGCTAAGAACAGTTGGCAAATGTTCATGATGTCCCCCGAGAGACAAAAAGTAAACCCATTCTTTCTAGGTGGCGATTGTATAATCGTGTCCTACCCTACTGATGCGATGGACCATGAAGCCAAGATGATGAGCTTGCGTGGGAACAACATTCATTTCTCGCGGGCCACTGTCTTCCACGAAATGATTCCCGGGCACCATCTACAAATGTATATGAACGCCAGGCACAGGCCATATCGTCGCGTGTTTGACACGCCCTTCTGGATTGAGGGGTGGTCCTTGTATTGGGAATTCTTCCTTTGGAACGACGAGCGATGGATCAAGACACCTCAAAATCGCATTGGCATGTTATGGTGGCGGCTGCATCGATGCGCCCGGATAATTTTCTCCGTCAATTTCCACCTTGGTCGAATGTCCCCCCAAGAGTGTATTGATCTCCTTGTGGAGGATGTTGGACACGAACGCGCTACGGCAGAGGGCGAGGTCAGGCGGTCGTTAAACGGGGATTATTCGCCCCTCTACCAGGCTGGGTACATGTTAGGAGCACTGCAAATATTCGCTTTGCGTAAAGAGATGGTTGACGCGCGACGCATGTCGGAGAAAGAGTTCCATGACCGATTCCTTAAGGGCAACCGGATGCCCATCGAGATGGTGCGGGCACTGATGCAAGACCAGCCCCTTTCTCCGGAGTTCCAGCCGTCCTGGAGATTTTACCCACTCTGAACTCGATTCATATGATGGTCCACCGTGATTTTCAGCATCGGATTGGTTGATTCTGTCAAATTAAAGCAATATCCACTTATAGGGCCAGATTATGGAATAAGCAACAATGGACATTTGTATTCCGCTGACCAGAGTTCCGCTTACACCTGAGCTTATTACCGTTCTAATGCCAAATAAGAATCTTGTCAGCAACACATCATCAGCAAAGTGGAGCCGCTAAACTACTTCCGGACTAACGCTGCTTGTGGACGATGACTGGCGATCCCTAATGCTTCCATAATCTTTGAACAGTGGATCACGGACCTTCTACAACCCTCTAGAGAACCTTATCCAAGCTTTAAATACCCCATTCCCACCCGCTCGAAAGCCAAAAAGCATCCTTTTATTTACAACCACCCTGAAACACTGCTCCCACCTCTCAATATCATCGAATCATCCACATTAACCATGTCTGGTCCTCTCGCCCACGCCAAGATCGTTCTCCGTCGCTCCGGTGAGCGCGGATATGCTGAGCACGGCGGCTGGCTCAAATCCTTCCACACTTTCAGCTTTGCCAGCTATTACGACCACAAATTCCAAAATTTCGGAAGTCTGCGAGTTTTGAACGAAGACCGTGTTGCACCCCGAAATGGATTCGGAACTCATCCCCACCGTGATGCAGAGATCTTCAGCTACATTCTTAGTGGAGAGCTCACGCATCGTGACAGTATGATCAAAAAGGGAGCAGAGGGTGAGCAAGGAAAGGACTTCTATCGTATGAAACGAGGAGATGTTCAGTTTACCACCGGAGGAACCGGTAAGTGCCTTTAAATCAACAGATCAATTGAATTCAAACTGATAGCAGTATAGGAATCGCTCATTCCGAGCAAAATGAATCCAACAAGCCGGTGCATTTCCTTCAAATCTGGGCTCTCCCATGGAAGCACGGTCTTAAGCCGCAGTATCATACGATGAGCTTCGACGAAGATGCCAAGCGAAAGGAGTTCGTCCCCATTCTATCGCCACTTGCCGCCGGTCCTGAGGCCAAGCCAGCGGATGAGGATGCCGCTATCCCCAAGATTCCGGGCACCATTCCTATTCACGCTGATTTTGTTATGGGCGCTGGAATTATCGCACCTTCCTCCACATTCACATGGAATGTGGGTGCTGGGGAGGTTGTCAGCTCCAAAAAGAAGCGCAATGTTTACATTCATCTTCCCATGACGAAGCAGGGCAAGATGAAGATCAAGCTTAACGGAAGTGAAGATGCTATTCTCGAAGAGGGAGATGGTGCATTCATCACACAAGTCAATGCTGGGGACTCGCTTCGCGTGGAGAGCATTGGCGAGGAAGAAGCGGAGGTTATTGTGTTGGACAGCAACTGAGATTGATTGAAATCAAGCATTGAATATGAATGTAAATAGTTTAATGGTGTTAAAAGGGTTGAGTTATCGGTTGCAATGGGAGTTGGACTTTTGAGAACAAATTGATTAGATCAAGCGATCTAGATTGGAAAAACGAGTGTTCTAGAATGAAACCGAATTCAATTCCAATTTGTCAAACCTAACTAAGACTTGCGCAACTTGATAGATTCCAAATAAAGATAAGCTAACAGAACATAGGAAAGATCTTCCAGGATTCCAGATCTAGCCTTCACAGGCGAGCGAGGTTCACAAACTCTCCTGGAGCCTGGTAAGTGGGTACCTCCATCTTCAAAGCATCTCCGGAGTAGCCCAGATCCTCGGCAGTAAGAACAGCACACTTCTCACCAATGAGCAGTGCAGTCTGCAAATTTGCATTAACATCGATACTTGTGTCGCGGGAAAAGAATAGCAACTTACGCTGAAAGTGTTGCATCCAACGTTGTCTGGACAGATAGACAAGTCACAAACCTTGAGGCCTTTCACGCCATGGACATTCAGGCGCTCATCCACGACACCACCATGAGGTGCAATGGAGCTTCCCTCTCGAGGCGCCATGCTGCAAGTGCCGAGGGAGTGCCACGTAGTTTCAACATGGCGTTTGACTGCGAAGTGTGAGCAATTGACCAAGATATCCGAATCTGCGTTGACATACCCCATTTCTCAATGTGTTCAACATCCTCTTTGCTATATTTCAGCTCATCGCGGGCTTCATGGCGATTAGAGCTGAGAGTTGAAGATGAAGGCTGTTTTCCTGGGCCTAGGGGCTCAGACCAAGATCCTACCGAGCTTATGTTAGTATCCACTTGACAACATTCAGAATTTGTACAGTGCTCTCACCATGCTGAATACCGGCAGTGATATGGTTTGGACCAGCATATGCCTTGGTTGTCTCCAGGTCAAGATCACGCGCACGAGCCGGCGAGTCAAAGGCAAAATGGGGATGCATTCCAGTCACCTCGCCCGCATAAGCTCCCATTCGTCGAGCTGTTTCGCGCGACTTGATATAGCCCCAGACCATGGGGGCCATATCACGCTTGTCATTCATGAATCCTGCGTCAAAGTCTGGAACGGCATATGGGTCGGGCGACTGGATATGGGTGGAGCCTCGAGAGAATGGGTATTCCTATACCGTTGAGTGAGCAAAGAGAACAAAATTAAATACAATTGCGGAAGAAAAAGTGGAAAATTGTCTAGAGTATTAACGTGTCTTTCTGATTGCAGCACACTTGCGACACTCACCAGGAAATGGAACATGGTGAAGAACTTGCCCGGAGGCATGAGCATGTGGTCACCGAACCAACTGAATGTAATTAGCGTCGCATATATCTAGACGTGGCATTGTGTTACTCACCCAGCGATAACCGAGTAGTGCATGACAGGCTTGTCCGGCTTGTTCTTGAAATAAGACTCCCATCCACTGTTAAACTCCGGAGTCGGCCACTTCTTCATCTCTTCCAGCTCGCGCGGAGTAGGTCTAATTTTGACACCCGCGTCGATTCCATTAGTTGCCAGAGGACCTGTGCCCTTTTGGTTCCATTCCTGGAAGACCCTCTTTTGAACCTTCGGGTCTCCACGCACAAAGTCGTCGAAGGTATCTGTGTCTGGCTTTGCACGGTAGACCGAGAACGTAAGATAATGATCTTGGAAGTTCCGGCCGACACCAGGCAAGTTCACGAGAGGCTTGACGCCTACTTGCTGCAGCTTCTCTGGGTCACCAACACCCGATCGCTGGAGAATGAGTGGGGAGCTTAAAGTGCCGCCGCTGATGATAATTTGTTTTCTCGCCCGGAAGATTCTGCGAGGCGGGTCGACGCCATCAAGAGGCTTAGTTGGAACGGTCGCAACGCCCACGGCGCGACCATTTTCGATGATGATTTTGTCAACCTTGGTGTTGCACTTGAGATGAAGGTTAGAGTGCTTGGCTCTGGTGCTGTGAACATAGGCATGAGCTGCATCGCTTCGTCGACCTAATCACGGCCATCAGACAAAAATACCTTCCAGAAGCTAGCAGGCTGCTTACCTGTGTCCCGGTTGATCCATTTCAACCAGTGCTCGGCACCATGTCTGAAAGAAGTTAGATTTTTGACAAAATAGCAAGAAGAGTTACAGAAAGGGATATGTCATACGCAGTCTGCAAATCCTGAAGGTCATCCGTGACTGGGATCCCTTGAGTCTCAGCGGCTCGAAGGAAGTCCTGCGCGATCGGGTATGTGTAGTTTCCAAATGAAACTTTGATCGGACCCTCAAAGCCATGCACATCCCGATTGTTACAGGAGCGCTGATACGTTTCGTGTTTCTTCATCAAGGGCAGCAGCTCATCAGTTGTCCAACCCTTGGCCTGAAAGTCATCATAGTCGGATGCTGATGCTCTGGTGTACATCTACATCACACTTAGCAACTAGCACTTGGATATCACCGACATTTGGCTCGAGGGACTTGCCATAAAATTGATGGAGCTTCCACCACCGAGAATGTTTGCACATGGAACAATGGCCTGGCGCCCATCCAAATGCTCCGAGGGCCGAGAGTGGTAGAACGAGGCCGTCTTTGAATCTAACTTCATGTTCCTTGGATATATGCCAGGACGATAAACCCTAGAATTATAATGAACATAAGAAGACCAAGCATTCTCGGGATGATATAACTACCATTGATTGTTCAGGTTGTCCTCTCCAGCTTCAATCAATAAAACGGAAAGGCTATGATCCAGATTGGCGAGGCGGCCGGCAGGCACGCATCCTGCGCTACCACCACCACAGATGATGATATCAACTTCATCGGGGATAGTCATCGTGACTAGATCAAAAAGTTGTAGTTCTTTACAAAAATTTAAATTGAGTTGACTAGCAACCTGGCGAGGAGAATCTGAATGTGATTCAGATATGGGCCGAGCAGAAACCTCGCGCTTTATATAACGCAACACCCAGCCTTGTACTGAGCGACTGCAGCCAAAGACCAAGTTGAGTCTCATTTTCCTGTCTAGAGCCATTCCAGGCATAAAGACTATAGCCCCTCATGCGGAGACTTGGTCTCTGCGTTGGAGAAAATGACCCTAATCAATTGACTCCCTGGTTGTTTAGTACGATACAAAAAGTGTCATGACTGGTACATGTGCTTTTTTCACGGCTTTCAAACCATAAACAGCTACTTTGTAGCCAACCTTAGAACAGAGGAAAGGATAGCAGAGAGACTGACGCATAGTTTTGCAGGTTCAGGTGTTGGTGTAAAATCATACATTCACCATAGTCTGAAAACATGCACTTACTGATGTTTAGATCTGAACTTTGAATTTGAGACGCAAAAGGACGTAAAAGACATTTTGAAATCAAAATTATTGACTATCATCGCTCCATTGATTCATTACAGGTAAAAAAGATTTTAAGATCATGTATCACCGATGTAGCATGCTTGTCAATATCAATGCCAAGCAGTGCGAGTGGCGAAGCTGTCAAAGTACGACATCCTCTTGATCCGCCAGCCCCCGCATGCCAATACTCTTGGACCACTCTCGATGGAAGACAGCAACCATTGTATACTTGGAGCAGGAGGTTGCAGGCGGGGTCGACGCTGACAAAGTACAAAATAAATGCTCACGGTGGGAGGCGCAAATGCTAGTAACATCATGTTTGGAGTCGGAAGCATAATCTTCCTGCCCTGTAGAGTACATGTAGTGAGAAGAGAGTAGTATTTGCTCAGAATAGATGCTAAATATGTCAATACGAGCTATACAACCAGTTGGTGCAATCTATTTCTCTCCGGCAAGGGGGGTTTAACAGGTAACTGAAGTTCTTTTCACAAAATTCAGTCTCTATCAGGATATGCCATGTCAAAGAAACTTCGGGATTTGGTCGAAACTGACTCGAGACATTGAGTTCTCGGCACGTCAATTCCGTGAACAACCCTGCCCTGAAGTAATAGGCCGATCCTAAATTTGGCAAAGTGCAAAAATTCAGTATATGCTAAGTATTTCCATGTCGCCCTCCGATTATCCCTGATTGGGTGTTAAGAAGCTAGTACCCCATAGAACGAGCTCCAGAGCCACCCAAAAGCAGCTCACTAGACCCGGTTGCCAACGCATGAAGACTGATTAGCACCATGTAGAGAAATTCAGAGCTCCTCGGGGATCCGAGGGGATTTCTGCGTGTGGGGTTGTCTTCCGTCTGCATGACGGTGATGTGGAGAAAGCTCTTTTGGTCAACGGGTAGACCATTACAGCAGAAGACCCCTCTTTCTCAGTGCTTAGTGGACAAGGTACATGGTACAGTGGTTAAGCACTCTTAGGTGAATTGTGGGATATGATTGTAGGAGTGGTCCTATAACGTTATATATTCAACATATATCCCTTGGAAATGGATTCCGGGAGCGTAGGAACAAGCTCCTGTAAGACCTGGTTCAACGGCCTGTTTAGATAGTGTTAGTGTGCGTGAGGATGAGCCGTTTGTAGTACCCAGAGCCATACTATCTGGAAAGATTATGTACCTTGTTGTGTTTCTCACTTCCCTGCCCCACGCACTTCCCCGCATTAGACGTCGTCTTCTGCAACTGGCAACCTCTTTTGGTCGCCATGCTCAAGCCCACCGGAGATGACCCTAGATCCGGAAATTTTTTAGAACTTTCATACGTGGATTTATTTAAGAATGATCTCGCGAGCTCTCCGTTCGAACATGGTATGTACCCGTGAGGATAGCTTCGGCCAAACCAGGAAACGTCACCGGCTCCAACTTATAACCGTAACTGTAAGAGCTGATGTGACGCTTGATGTATGTCTTACTCATCCTGACACAGTTTTATCGGTGTCTCCCTCTCATATGTGACTAGTAGCCTACTCTTGCAGAATTGCTGCGTCGGTATGCTAAGCCAGGGTAATCATCCGGAACATCCCCACATTTCAGATTTCCTCTGCGGGGTCCTAACCCCCGCATCAACCACTATTTGACCGGCGTGGTTTCGAGATTTGAAAAGATTAGGCTAACCTAGAGTAGGACCCTCTTTCTGTGTAACAAACCAATCTAAAGCCCCAGCGGTAGATAGGCTTCAGTGAACAGATTATTACATCATATCCCGAATGCTCATTTTCACAATTTCGTGACTGTCAAGATAATATACCGCCACAAATCGAGGGAAATTTGACAGAATAATCTTTCTGTTTCCATGGAATGGGGATGGCAACCACAAACAACGATTTTATAGTTCTGTGATCTCCAGTTGCTAAGTCAATATTTGCTATGACTGAGCACCTCCGGCTTTGGATTCAATCCAAATTGGAATGGACATTCTGAATTCAATGATTTTAATATAAATATTCTCTTTGAAGCATACTGAAATGTCCTTCATTAGCTGGACCAGATAACTCTCAGTCAGGTATTATGACAGTGATCCTTTTGCACGTCACTTTTGACCCGTCAGCCCATCATTTTATTATCTCTCTGCCCGCTAAAGAGCTCAAGCACGCTCAACTGCAGTACATGATGCGCCTAAGTAGAAGTGTTGTGCTGTACTACTGGATACAACGCGTTTGATGACTGAGTGAGGCACTGCTTAGTAGAAGAGGCGTAAGGAACTTGTATTCGCCACCACGATATTGTATTTGATGATTTACCCCATAAATGTTCCTTGACCCACTAGTAGAGTAGGGCCAGTTGTGGCACAGTTTGCACTGACCTAAAAAAAACCATCCGTATATAACGCTATTCGATGATTTCATGAGACACATCGTTTTCGAACCAATCGCAAGAATATGCCCTCATAGCAGTCGGAATATATCTCGAATTATATTGACCATGATCTGCAATTTACTGGGGGTTTTGATCTAACAAAGCAGCTCGCAGTGATTGGATCAGATCTACAGATAAGCCTCCAGCGCCTGATTATCTAGAAAGATAAAGGGTGCCAACGAACCTTCAAATCCAATCACCATGATAAGCATACATCGTCTTTGAGTACACACCCAATTGCTTCAAAGCCGTACCGGCACTCTTGAGACCTCAAAAGTCTACTTCAGATGGATGATTTCTACTATTTGACCCTTGACATCTCCCTATTGAACCCCCACAAAACATACTCGTTTCTTCTTCTATTCTTTACCGCCGAGCCCTACTCCGAATTTCCCGAGCAAAGTCCATCCACTCATGATGAGTGTAGGGAACATTAGCAAGATCGACAATATTACAGAAGATGAGAGAGACCTTGGTCTGATAGAGTCCAGGGGCGTCGGCAGATTGCCAATGAGACGAAACGAGGCGTATGCTCCCGCCATATTCAAATGATCGCCATTGGTGGTACTATTGGGACGGGTCTCTTCGTCACTTCATGACCCTCACTTCATACTGGGGGTGCTCTTTCTTTTTCCTACTAGCGTACACTCTCTTGGCGATGAGTATTTTTCTCATCATCACCGTTATCGTCGAATTCTCCTCTTATCTGCTGGTACCCGGATCATCTATCCCAAACTACGAAAATAGATTTTTTTTCACGAAGTATGGGGTTCGCATTGGGGTTGTTCTACTACTATACCTTTGTGCTCGCCGTTCCGACTGAGGCCACGGCTGCGGTGGTCGTGATCGATTACTGGAATCCCCCTGTCAACGCTGCTGTCTGGGTCATGATCTTGATCTTTGTGATCATGGCGCTAAACTTCGCGCTAGTCAATGTTTACGGTGAATCTGAGTTCTGGTTTGCATCTATCAAGGTCATCAGAATTGTTGCGTTGCTGATTATGGCGCAGGTGATTACGTGCGGTGGAGGTCCAAATCACACCTCTATTGGATTGCGCTATTGGCACGATCCTGGGGCAATGAACGAGTATCTAGTTGGTGGGACTATTAGAAGATTTGTTGCATTCCTCGGAACTCTGCGTCTTTCGGTTTACCTTTTTTGTATCTACACACGCGACCTAAACCTCCACATTCTATCTGATACATGTATCAAAGACACTTGCCAAGGAAGATTCCTTTTGCAAAGCTATAGTTCATCCCTGAGACGGTCTCAATATTCCTCCTCTTTGCCATTGATTGACTCAAATTATAAATGCTATCCCCTCTTCCGCCTCCTGTAAGTTGATAAACTCTATAGCCCCCGATATTACCTTCATTGAAAAATCCATGATAACATGAGCGGAACCCCGGTTTGTGACAGGTCCCACAGGATTCTCGAGATTGCATGCCGCAATGTGCGAAAACAGTCGATCTGGCTCTGCAACCCCGATGGTACTTCCCATTCCTTATCAGACAGTTATCCATCTGCCCATCCAGGTGCGTGTGATTTCCTTGGCTTCGTCGACTAGACCCAGCTCTATCGTGAATATTGAAGTTAGCAACACGCTTGAAGAATTCCAAGGATAGGCAAGACAGTACCTAGTAGAAGTTGAACAGTGCCACGAACGGCAGATTCCAGGCCGGAAGCGACTATCTCAGGTCAGTTACAAGTACGGAAAACATGCTTTGCTATCAACTTACTCCACGAGTGGGTGTAGGAGGTATGCTCGCCGATGAAGATCATCTGCCCGGGTTGGTAAGTACTTTGTAGTTTTTGATCCGACATGTACAAACTCACGTTATTCTCGGTGTTGAAATAGGCAGGGATGTACAACTTGTGCTGGCCGACACTTGGGAATGCCCAAGAACCTCCGGCATTGGACTCGTCCTCCAGCCAACACTGACGCTTGAACTTTCCAGTGTACTGCTCGTAGACAATGTCACCATGAAGCTGGGCGAAGGCATCTAGTACGTATTGCGCATTTTCTTCCTCAGGTGTAGAAACCCAGCGGTAACCATAGTCATCCTGGTTATAACTGCCGAGGATAACTGCGGGACCAGTACTGTTGACATTGAATCCAGGATAGCAGACGCTTCCAATGCCGGGAACGTCAGTCTTGGTGTTGCAACTGCCGTAGATAGGGCGCTCCAAGTGTTCCCAGAATCTTGACTTGAATTCCAAGGCAACCTTACATAGCGAATCAGCATACTCCCCTTCAATAATGGTGGGTCAGCAACTTACCTTGCAGGCTGACTGGTAGCCAAGGTCGGCAATGGCGTGAGAAAGTGTTGTAGAAAAGTCTGTTTCATGTGAGCTGCTAGCCAATTGAGAATATTGTCAGAGCACTATACCTGGAAGTTCCCATTTCCGAGTAACAGTGAAGGGCACAGCAACAAGAGCGTAGTCGTAGGTGGCAGTCTGGAAATGACGGTCGGTGAACTTATTTTTCCAAGAAACTCGAACCTGCTTGTCACAATCCAAATACTCAATCTTCTGGACTTTCCTATGATATTTGAGGTCATCTTTGACAAGTGGCTTGAATGCATTTGGAAGGCGGCTCATTCCTGGATACAACGTTAGTCATACTGATTGCTTGACACATGTGTAATTCTGACCTTTGTCAATGGTTCTCCACTCCTTGGACGAGAAGAAAAGGTTATCATACCTGGAATAATTCCGCGTAAGCAGTTGGACCATAATGATAATAGATGAAGGTTCGTGCTTACAGGCTGACCCAGAAGGGAGTAGCAGCCGCGGTCAACTCGCCCGCAAGGTCAGTAGTGTTCAGATCAAAACCTAGTACATTATGTAGATAACCTGTCTGAGTCCAGTCATCGCCTCCTCTGTCGTTAAGTCCGATATCTGTAAAATCGTAAGCAATGGATCCAACGTGGCGAAGGTGATATATTCATACCAAGGAATTTCTTGTGGGCCTCGTAAAGGTTGCTGGCGACCAGCTTCATGGTAGGAGGGTCATACATAACCTCGCCGAGCTTAGACATCAACTCGTCAAGGGCAGGAGTGTGAAGAGTGGTAGCGCCGAGTGAGCTATTCTTGGCGACATCGCCAATGGTTGGGATAGAACCATCGGGGTTGCGCTTATTCTCAATGAAAGAGAGTGCATTATCACTGTTCTGAATGAAGGGAATCCAGTCGATGCTCACGGATTCGTGATGACTGTTGAGCTTGTTCAATGTGTCGGCCAGTTGGAAGACAATCTCATGACTGGTGAAGTTCAACGTCAGAGTATCATTGCCCAATGGGAAGGTTGCCGTAAGGGGAATGCGCATGGCTCCCATCTCTTGGTATTGGTACTTCGACTCGGGGAGATCAAAATACTCAGTTCGGATTCGGCTGCATAAAATTAGCTTCAACTACTCATAGCGTGTAGCGGGTAACTTACCCTCCAACGCGATCGGTTGATTCGGAGATTTCGAGGTTGGTAAATCCGACGCTTTGGAGTAGTAGCTGTGGAAAATTAATATCGCGAATCTGATGCTGCGTCGCACTTTAGGTAGAAATTTCATCATCTACTCACGTAACTCATCAAGCCCGAGATTCCGGCACCGATAATTCCAACCGCTAGGTAATTCATGAGAAACGATTTCGATTTGGATGCCCGGCGCGCTTACATTTGCTCTTGGCTTTCTTCACATCCACAACCCCAACCTCTTTGTTCTTGAGAAGTGTAACACCATTGAACCAAGGACCTTCGGCGTCAATGCCAGAATCATTTGTCATCGGAATAAGATCGCGTTTTGCCAGGCCCGCATGTATAATACTGTCAAGAGACAACGGTGCACTCTGTCCGATGACATACTTCTGCTCCCATGCGAAGATACAACCTCCGGTGGAAACATCGTCAGGAACTACCCAAACCAATCGAGTATCATTGCCATGAGCATCGCTGCCGGAAACCTCTGCGATGGTGTGATGAACGTCGTCAAAGCTAACGGAATCGCACTTTCCGTAGGTGAAGACTAGATCCTGGTTCACAGCGGTTGCGTAATGAACGTAGACATTGACAATGTTCGGAGCAGTCACATCTTTCACAAAAATCTCGAGGCTTTGGGGCACAGAGGCACCTAAGGCCACATTAAGGAAGCTTGTCGCCAAAATGGTCCAGTGCATTTTTTTAGTAAAACACAACAAAAGGCGATGGTGTGGAATCCTGACATCTTGACGCACCGCGCAGCCTTTATATGTGTATCGAAAACCCTCCTATTGATCATTCTAATATTATCCTCGGCCGTAGCAGGATTGCACTGAACCCCTAAAATTAATATCCTTTTCGTTCATCTTCCTCCGTCCGCAACCTGGATCATGCGTGGAAGGCGATTGGCTATTTCGGCCAGAATGGATTCCGGGGACGGACAACTTACGGCCGTAACCCCATCATCACCCAAGAAGAACATGATAATCAGCTTCAGCCACATCCAAGGGACCTGAAATTTAGAAGGATTTTTTTTCTTGGCCTTTGGGGGCCATCATCATTCTCAGGGGTTCTGAGAGTTTATTACTAGGATGAGGGACTAGTCGTGCAACATACTGCGCGAGTATTGTATATACTATATTTCAGTAATGTCAATTGTCGTATGCATACATTTGAGCTACCTAATCGGAATTTCAAAGGTTTGCTGTTCAGTAGAGTTCTCAGTGACAGCAGTCCAGCTGCCGTCCACCATTCTTAAATGGCGTAAATCATGCGTGGGATCGTAGCATGTTGCGCCGACGGCAACGCATTCCAAGCAAATATCATAGTCATCATCGTTGCAAAAGGCACAGTGATAATGCGTGTCATACACGGAAATCGCAAGAGAGCAACTATCACAAACCACCTCCCCACCGTTGTCCCCTTCTGCCGCCTTTGACAAGCCTTCGAGGTTATCAAGATCCACATCGATATGGGACGGGTCACGAAGGCATGCCAATATTGAGTTCATGCGCTCTCTATCGGAGTTTGTCGGATTATTACTTTGGTCTTGGGCAACAGAAAGTGCGGTCCTGCCTGCACTGGTTGCATGATTCATCGCAGAGCTTCCTCTACTCAACAGGACGCGCACGACTTCCTCGTGCCCATACAGAGTCGCAAGGAATAACGGGGTGCGATTTAAAGGGTCAGTGGCATCAATGTACTTCTCCCATCCAGGGGTTTTCTCTCCATAAGGCGTGCCACAATTATTGGTGGATGCTGTTGGTGGGGCATAGCCGTCGAGCAAATCGAGGACAGTTTGAGCGTGACCATAATGTGCCGCGATGAAAAGAGGACTCAAGCCATCATTGTCGATTAAATTAGGATCGGCCCCCTGTCTCAGAAGATAACAGACAGCTTTCGAGAAACCCCGACACGCGGCAATCGAAAGCGGCGTTTTACCGTCATCATTTTTCTTGTCCACGTTCACATTCTCTTTCAAAAGCAGCTCCACGACTCGTTCATTCATGGAGAGTGAATAACATGCTCGACATAACGGCGTATTTCCATGGATGTCGGACAGGTCAGCAGTAGCGCCTCTCTCGAGTAGAAGAGCCACGACAGGCTCATGGCCCATATGCGCAGCCCAGTGAAGGGGGGCTTGGCCAAAATGAAAGAAATTGGGGTCAGCACCAGCATCCAGCAACTGTCTGACTATCTCCAAGTGACCGGCCCGAGCTGCCCATATTAGTGGAGATCCAGGCATTCCATTCCTCACGCCATCGACCGCGGCATTTCTCTCCAAGAGAAGGGCCACCAGCTCTTCAAACCCCATTCGCGCAGCTAAACGTAGTGGAGTGTCGTCTTCGATCAACTTGATGTCTATTGAAGCTCCCCTATCAAGCAACAAAGCAAGAACATCGGCATGGCCATTGAAAACCGCCAGAGATGAAGGAGTATACTCTTTGTCATCGATGGAGTTCAAGTCTGCCCCTGCCTCCAACAGAATCCGAGCACATTCCGGATAGCCATAAGTAGCTGCATGGTGCAGAGGCGTTCGTACGCAACTGTCATACGTATTGGGGCTAAAGCCGTATTCGATAAGCACATGTAGGATATCCGCCCGTCCATGTCTTGCTGCTGGATCGAGTGGAGACAGCCCGTCCCAATTGGAAGCGTTAATGCTGGTGTTTAATAGTTTGTGTAATGTCTCTACCGGGCCATGCTCAGCGGCCCATTCGAAAGCGTCACATTGGTCTAAGTGATGGATGATGTATCGGTAAAGGAGTGGGTTGAGGTTGTCATAACAATAATGGCATGTTCGCACAAGAGCGTTCATGTCACTAGTCGTGTCCAAGGTATCCCAAATGTTGAGAAGCAGTTCATGAGGTAGGTCAAGGAGCAACATCCTTGAGGAACTTGGACGGCTAGTATTGAGAGTTTTAGTGAATCGGTTCTCGGCTGAAGAGGCGATCATTATTAAATAGAAATTGCAACGTCAAAAAAGCACGCTTATGGTCGGTATCGTATTGGTGTGCCAGGATGGAAGTTCAGAAGGATAACTTTATAGAGGTAGTCAATGCACTTCTAGTGAGCCTTGAGGCATAGAGTTGGGCTATTCTCAGGCAATCTTGGACCAGCTAGCGAGTCGTTGACTTACCTAGTCGAGTCTCCGCCAAGGTGACTCACACTAGGACGTCAAACAGGGTGTTTGCCCAGGATAAACGCCAGTCACTTGAGGAATGCCCCACAAAAGGTACGCCAAGGAGGTTTTAGCTGATGGGGAGTTCAGGGCAGGCTGGACCAGAGATCATGTCAGAATCGCAGTCAAAGGGGCGCAGTCGATGGGGAAAACAACGTGGCGCAGCCTTGTTATGGCCTTAGGCAGAAATTCCGCCCCGCATGAAAAGCATTGATCAGGACAGGACTATGATCGGCAGGTTTGAATCTCTGCTGAACTCGATAAATTGTGCTTTATTAAACGTCAAGCTTATCCTATCCATCAATTCGTTCATCATGTTAAAACTCCGGATTCTTTTCCATGCGTTGAGCTCATGCAATCATAAGCCTAGGCCCGGAACAGGAAACGGGCTTGCATGATATATATTTTCGGTTCCCGTCTACCTACTGGAATCATCGCAAGCAGGTTGCGAGAACTAGACGGATACTCGTAGCTAGCAGCACTCTCTGGCGTCGATGTCAAGTACCTATCCAGGCTGCAAATAGATGGAATCACTGAACAAGGAACATTCAGTTACCCGAGTTAACTATCAGGTCATAAAGCCATGAGCGGTCCCTAATCCGAAGTGATGCCCAGCTCCGCCAGTGACCAGTGACCTCCATCGCTCACAGGAGAGGTTTTATCCGTGACAGGAGTTGCAAATTCCACCAGGAACCGAACCATCCATTGATCCATGCAGAAACTTGTATCTGCTGACTCTCTGCACGCTTTGTGAAATGCCATGAGCCTATCCATGCAGACGTCCAGAGTGGGCCATAGGGCACAGAGCTGCGTGATGATGCAAAAGTTCTTCTCCAACCTCTTCTTCGCCAGAGTGACATTCGTCTCGTTCGATTCGAAGAGAAGGCTATGGATTTGCACCGTTGACGCGATGACAAGCACATGCCCAACCATATTGTACTTTGCGTCGCAGTTAGGCACTGTCTCTGAGGAGTAGACAATATCGCATAGCCTGCCCGCGTGCTCCTTACATTTAGTAGCGTAATGCCGGCTGGGGATACTGGTCGATTGCGAGTCTTCGTGAAGGAATCGGTAGAAGAGCATCTGTCCGAAGTGGTAGTACCCCAAATAGATCGCCACGAACATACGCCCGAGGCCTAGAGCAGAAAACCGTTCGAGATTCTCGCGAGTATCTCGAATATGATCTGGTAGTTCATCAAGCCACCTGTCAAGCTGCGAAGAAAGGTGCTCAACGTCACTTAGAATATCGATGGCATCAAGCTTGGACTCGGCCACACGGATATTGAAATCGTTGATTTGTTGCAGAATATAATTCAAGCGGACCATTTCGGCAAGGAGTGATGATTTTCTGTTTGTTTGAATCGTACCATCAAACCCAAGGTCGCGGTTCATCTCGAGAAAGACAACTTCGTCCATCGGCAATGGGACGTTCTCTCTCGGGGCGAGCAGCCTTGGTAGTCGCACGCCAGTAGAAGACCAGACATCTATCATGCAAAGACTCCACCACGCTTCAAAAAGATTTGGTCAGTAACTGGAAAAAACGGCTCAAGGGTTGAAGAGACAACAAACTTCGAATATTGACCTCCCGTTCTACTCGGCTCTCGACCTTGCAGTTCGGAAGGTCTAACAGCTGCGCCATCCTACAGGCCAAGGCATAGTAGACATTTTCAACAGCCGAATTTCCATCTGTGATTGCAATCGCACCAAGTAAAACACACGCTTGAATGGTTGTCAAGGAGATATCGTTCCAATCAAGGAGGCGCGTACACTCCTTAGCGTAGGCATTACCCCTTATCCGTGGATCTGTATCATGAAAAGTCGCGTTCTTCGAGAATCTAGTATAGACGAGCGGCATGAGCATTATCAAAATGAGAGGGATGGGTGCAATTATCACCTTGCAGATAGGGCCATCATGCCATATAATAGAATCCGAGGAGCCTTCCCTCGAGCCATGTCCTTTTCGAAGCTTGGTTGATGGAAGAGGCTGTGAAATTGATCATGTACATAGGCAAAATAGAGCTGCACCAACTCTGCACATAGCGATTGAGGAGGGGATTGGCTGTTCTGTGTTCCCTCCTTTTGCAAGGTGGACGATCTCCTCGTGGTTCCATCGGAAGAAGGAGACAGGCCATGTTCAACATTGGCAGGATCCCCAGCCAGCAGGCTTGCCAATGTACATCGGAGACCTCGAGCAATGCAGAACGTGCAAGGAGACCCTGATGCACGGATCTCGCATCTCCGGCGGCGTTCACTGTTGATCTCATCGTCAGCGCCGCTAAACAAGACCGGCAGTTGCGAAGAGCGGCATTTTTTGACTCTGACTTACCGGCAAGCTGCGCATGCCTTAGCCTTCCTCATCCTGGCGTAGTTGAGGAACATACATGGCTCCCAGAAATGAGGCGGGGTCAAGAAACCAATGGCCTTGACTGGGTGGGTTCCTTGGGAGGACTTTCCCCAAGTTTCTTGGCAAATTGACGTCGCGGCGGGATCGGCGTAACTCGGGCCAATAGAAACGGGCCAAACCCGCCGCTAACCAACTCGTCTCCTTCGCGAACAACTCACAACACTCACGACTCGCTGCTTTGTCCCTTCGAGTTCTCCGCAACTTCCGCTACTTCATGTTGCACCTGCAAACCCCGCAGCATTCAGATACATTGGCATCCATACCCAGGGGAAATACTACATTATGACCTGCACGCAAGCAGACAAACCGCCAATAATTGGCTGATCTTGCCGGCATCGGGTTGCCGCGACCCCACGCATTCCCCGAGGGGGCAAGTATAAAAAAGCATGGGGTATTCTTCACCGGTCCTTCTTTCTTTGCTTTTTCTTAACGACATCACCTTCTGCCCCTGTCTCTGACCGTGTCAACCATGAGTCAAATCATGCAGAAAGCGGTTGCGACCGCTAGCTTGATAGCCCTGCTCGGCTCAACGTCGGCAGTGGCAGCTCAAAGCTCTTCGAATGGTCAGTTGCCCATCCTGGGTATTCTTACTGACACGCTTGCTCATATTCATTCTTCAGCGGTTGTCGTGGATGGCACTACTTTTGCCCTGAACGGCGACAACTTCTCATACCGTTTTCATGTCGATAATGAGACTGGCGATCTTTGGTCAGACCACTTCGGTGCGAGCGTGACAGGAGACATTCCCTTTGAGAATGTACCTGCTGTCAATGGCTGGGTCGGCATGCCAGGCCGAGTCCGTCGGGAGTTTCCTGACCAGGGCCGGGGTGACTTCCGTATTCCTGCCATTCGCATTCGACAGTCTGAGGGCTATACGGTCTCCGACTTGCAGTATCAATCGTACGATGTGATTCAAGGCAAGCCGGAACTACCAGGACTGCCTGCCACTTTTGGTACAGATAAGGATGTGACTACCTTGGTCGTTCACCTTTATGATAACTATAGTACTGTGGCAGCGGATTTGTCGTATTCCGTATTCCCCAAATACGACGCCATCGTCCGCAGCGTGAATGTTACCAACAAAGGCAAGGACAACATTACCATAGAAGCTTTGGCGAGTATGAGTGTGGACTTTCCCTATCAGGACTTGGACATGATCAGCTTGAGGGGTGATTGGGCCCGGGAAGCTCACCGTGAACGAAGAAAAGTCGAGTATGGAATACAGGGGTAAGTCCAAAATACACCCACCATCTACGAATGTGGAGAGAGAATTGACATGTGCCGTCACGGTATTAGGTTTGGCAGCTCTACAGGATATTCTTCACACCTCCACAACCCATTCCTTGCTCTTGTCGATCCAACTGCCACAGAATCTCGTGGCGAAGCGTGGGGCTTCTCGTTAGTGTATACCGGCTCATTCTCCGTGGACGTCGAGAAAGGCTCTCAAGGCTTCACTCGTGCCCTACTTGGACTCAATCCCAACCAGCTCTCATGGAACCTCGGTTCAGGTGAAACAATAACGACGCCTGAATGCGTGTCTGTCTATTCCCAGAGTGGAGTCGGTGGGATGTCGCGTTTGTTCCACGGGCTTTACCGCAACCACCTCATCAAGAGCAAATTCGCCATGAAGGATCGCCCTGTCCTGTTGAACAGCTGGGAGGGTCTTGGTTTCAACTATAACGAAAGCACTATCTATAATCTTGCTCAAGAATCGGCGGACTTGGGAATCAAACTCTTCGTCCTGGATGATGGGTGGTTCGGTGATAAGTATCCTCGACTGTCTGACAACGCTGGTCTAGGTGACTGGGTACCCAATCCTGATCGCTTCCCAGACGGTCTGGACCATGCAGTGAACAGTATCACCGCGCTGAAAGCTGCAAACACATCCACTAAGCTCCGATTCGGTCTCTGGTTTGAGCCTGAGATGGTCAACCCTAATTCCAGCCTCTATCGTGAACACCCTGACTGGGCCTTGCATGCCGGATCCTACCCCCGCACAGAAAGACGTAATCAGCTCGTTTTGAACGTGGCTCTTCCAGAGGTGCAAGACTTTATCATCAAGTCTGTGTCGAGCATTCTTAGCAGCGCCGATATCACCTACGTGAAGTGGGATAACAATCGGGGTATCCACGAAACGCCCTCGCCGTCCACTGACCACGAGTACATGCTGGGTATGTATCGAGTATTCAACAACCTGACCACTCAATTCCCAGATGTCCTGTGGGAGGGCTGCGCTTCTGGCGGCGGTCGCTTTGATGCGGGTGTACTTCAGTACTTCCCTCAGATCTGGACCTCAGATGATACCGATGCCGTTGAGCGTATCACCATTCAAATGGGAACATCACTCGTTTATCCCCCGAGCGCGATGGGTGCTCATCTTTCCGCCGTCCCCAACCAACAGACAGGCAGATCACTACCCGTCGCATTCCGCGGCCACGTTGCCATGATGGGAGGGTCTTTCGGCCTAGAGCTAGATCCCGCCGAAATCCCGAGTGATGACAAGGCTGCCCTTCCTGGCCTCATTTCACTGGCCGAGAAGGTCAACCCAATTATTTTGACCGGGGATATGTACCGTCTGAGTCTACCGGAGGACTCGAATTGGCCCGCCGTTCAGTTCATCTCGCAAGATGCGTCGCAGGCGGTACTGTTCTACTTCCAGATTAACCCCAACATCAATCACGCACTCCCTTGGGTCAAGCTGCAAGGATTGGATCCCAAGGCCATCTATAGTGTGGATGGCAATGTTACCTATTCCGGATCAGTCTTGATGAATGTTGGGTTGCAATTTGTCTTTGAGACAGATTATGGCAGTCAAGTGGTGTTCATTGAGAAACAGTGAAATTGGGAAGGAATTGCTGTGCATCGTTGTCATCCTGTATAGAGCTGTTGTGATTCGCAAGATGCTAGTCTAGCTAATGAATAAAAGATGATTTCAATCAATTTGGATCTTTGCGGGGGACTTTTAGCCTATATGTATGCGATAGAAATAGGTTCAATAAGAATGATCAGTTCGAGGACCCGCCAGGCTGTGTGCTATTTCCATCAATATAAAAATCAACCTTTGATGAAGCCATCGGTGTGCTCCTACTGTCGCATCATCTACATCGGATCTAGTTTCACTCCTTGACAATTTAGCTCCACGATCCTCCAGCTCAGTCACATCTAACAGCACACAAAAAAATGAAATGAAAAAATGAAAACAAAAATGACAGGCAATTTATCCAAAACTCTATGTCCAGATGGGTGGCTTCCAAACGCTTGGCTTTCTGTTCAAATTTAGCCGTCCCCGGCCTCAGAGGAAGGCACAGAGAAAGCCGATGAAGACGACGCAGTTGCAAAAGTGGACATTCTTGCTCCTCCCTGTCCACCAGGGGAGTGCCATCCCCCAGACGGTCTGGGATGTCTCGACGGAGTTGGCCGGGCTGATATACCGGGATCGCCTGAAGGGAAAGCTGACGCACTCGGGTCGCCTGAAGGAACGGAGATGGACGTCTGCGTCGCAAGCCAAGACTCATATGCTGCCACTTCCGCCGACCAAATATTGTCGACATCCTTCTGGAGCTCCTCCTGGGATGCGCCCTTCTCCATGTCATCGTAGAGCTGCTGTTGGGCTTGTCTGATGGAATCTGGCACGTCGTCGGAGCCACCATCACCCGAGTCATCCCCGGGGCTAGTTGTTGGAATTGGTCGACGACTAGGTTGAGGAGTCCAGGTTGGGGTCGGTCTTGGTGTCAGACTGGGTGCGCTGCCAGGCTCGGTGAGATCGATGGTCATCGTGGGAATGTCTCTCTGCCGCTGGCGGTTGGGACCATTGTGTCGGCCTGGCAGGGCAAGTGCGCAACCCACAAGTCCCAGGGCAGCCAGACTGGTCAATCTCATATTGGATAGATTTTTTCAAGTAAAGACAAGTTGGGGAATGTTCTTTTTTGATATTTATCAATTGCCGGTAAATGATCAGCTTGTCCCGGATATCGAAAGTATTCGAGGTCTCAGAGGAGTTCGATGAAGAAATATGATTCACTTGGTGGCTCTTCACAATACGTGCAGACATCTACACATTATTATATTTACTGTATGAAGGGGCCATCTGTTCAAAATCCGTATAAGTGGAGCCTATGATCTCAAGCCTTTGGCCGTGAAGGTACATAACGCCGATCATTCGAGCGGCCCGTAGTACGACGGCCCCTGTCAAGCTTCCGTAAAAGCAAGTATCAACACGCAGGCTGACAACTTGGGGCCCTTATTACTACCCACGGTGCTTGAAAGAGGGAACTTGCACTTTTGATTCGTCCTGGGAGATCTTAGTCGTACGCGTATAGTGTCGCAGTCGATCGTCCAGGCCCCCGGGGGCCAGCCCCCACCCAATAAGCAGCTCCACAGACAGGCGTAGCTATTTTTGCAATACGGGAATGAAAAGAATATCGATACGAAATAGAAGATGCCGATTTATGAGCCTTCAGGCTGTCAATATTAGCTAGGTCAGTAATACGATGCAGAAGACGCGTCCTTCTTCTGGCGCCCTTCGTATATTCGCAGCATCGAGGGCATCCTCGCAATGCTAAGATTCTTGGCCCCCCGCCACCCGAAGTCTTCAATTAAGGGTCCGGATCAATCCTTCATGGGGGCCAGTGTCGAATAGAAGATACATCAGATTGGTCCAGTAGTGTTAAGCTGCGGAAGCCCGTATGGCATGCAGGCTCTTGAAGATTTCGGTCCTTGACCAGTTGCCCAATCAACTTGGTAAAAGACCCAGGCCAGGGCCAGCCGTATTAATTGGGGATAGAATCTAAAAAGGAATACGAAAAAAGGCCGCGTACGTTGAGCCGTCCCTATGATGTGACGCTGTAGTAGAGCGTGGTCACAGAAGGCCATGGCCAGTAGAGGGTGCAAGGAACGAGTGCCTCAAACTGGTCAAGATCTTCCTCAGTTCTATATTTGCGCCTGATTTAGGATTAATATGCGACGGTCGGCTCAATGGTTACCAAACTACACGAGTTATCCGAGGTTCTGGTCCAAATTTGATTGAAGAGGCAGCTATTTCAGTCTCTACTCGTATTGGTGCGGCTCGTATCCAATTATAGTCCGTATTTAAGCATGATCTACTCAGAATCTTCAGGTTCTGCAAGGAAAACATGCATACACTGAAAGCTAAGAATTAATAGAACGTTCATTTCCATTGGTCGGTGGATTGACAGCAACTTGACAGGGCCACAGTGGTACCATATTATTTGTCGATTGTGACCAAAGTCATTAAGATTATACTTTCGTTCAATGCCAAATTGCATCGAACTAGAATCGTGCGTATATTGCGTACAGAAAAAGACCTCGCAAGTCCGAAAGGAGTTTGCAGGCCGGACAACAGTCCATAACAACCCAGTCCCCTATGAAAGAAGTACGTGGAAGCGTTCAATTCCCAAGAAGTATGAAAACAAGAAATATTATCCCCTCGGTAGTTCGTAGGCTTCGTCGCCATTCAGTAGCAGCTGAGTTGTCTGTGGCGCAGCCGTCGCACGATCGAAAGGCCAATCTGCATAATAATTTGTCGATTGAATGTGTTCTAGGCATAATGGGCCGTTGCGTGAGGGTTGTTCGATGGTGGAGCGTTGGCATCCTTTTGGTTGTTGTACGCCGTATCGGGATACATAGGAGTAGGCGCATAAGCAGGAGCTTGAGGAGGATAATGCGGCGAATACTGGGTGGAGTATTGATTTCCAGGTGGAGGAGCGTAGTACGCGCCGTATGGCTGTTGGTTGAGATCCATAGGAGGAACAGTCTGGTAGTTGGCAGCGAACTGATACTGGTTGTATCGGCGACGCTGAACGCAGTGTATGATGAGAAGGGTCCAAGCGATGAGTTTAAAGATAACGGCGACAACGAAGCAGGCAAGAGCGGCGTAGTAAGTTGCGTTTTTCTTTGAGGCGCAATTGGTGTAATCGCTCCAGCTCTCGTCTAGGTTGGCCAAGTAGCTATTGGCACAGCCCGAGGCGTGGGAGTACCATGAGCCGAAGAGTGCGCCACCAGCGATGAACAAGATAATTGCTCCGACAAAGAAGATCAAGTACCACCAACGGGGTAGAACCGTGGGTTGGTTGGATTGCTTCATGCTCGGGGTTGCCAGTATAGGCAACTTGTCGGGTGATTATTATTATGGGAAAGAGAGAAAGGGAAGGAAAGAGAAGAGCTCGTCCACGAAGTGGGCGAGCCTGACCATTTTGAAAATTAAGGGACCCCTTAACTAAACGCCAAACGCTTTCTGGCAAGGGTCCATGTCAGAAAGTAGGCTAAATACTAATTCCGGCCTATCACCGTGTAGTAAACCTGGCGCTATGATGGTACTAAGCACTCAAGGCGTGGGATGAGTTTTTTTCGCCCCATACTGCTTGAAAAAGGGGCGATCTTAGCCGAGGAAGGGTTTAGCCGGGGTCCCTTTTGAGATGAGGCTCAGTCTCCGCAACCAGGTGAGAAGTTGGAGAAGGCATATTTCCAACATATATCTCAATAGTGACAAGTTGTAGTTCCTTCAGTCGCCAGGAAGAGTTGAAAGTAAGAATCTTATAAAGCCATTGTTGATGCCTGTTGTTTCAATCAGGACACATTATTATTCGGTAGTTCTTATCTCGAAAACGCGAAGCGGAATCCTCCTATCACCGTAGTTTAGTAGCACTTCAACCATGAAATCGTTCTAATATGTCTGCGAATTCACAACTATCCTCCAAATTTTGCTCGATTATTCAATGCCCCAATTCTCCAAAATAAAGCTGGAGAACAAAAACCCAATCGGCACGCACATCCACAAGCGATCCACCAGTGCGATTCGTGGCCAATAAGACTAACGGGAACACTCCCGGTCGGCAACTCGGGGGCAAAGGGGACAGGAATTTTCTGGAGCAAAGCCGTCGGGATTTACATTATTCAAGGATTCGGGCTCATAGTGCAGGTTTCTTAAATTGGTAGGTAAGTTGACCATCTTTTCAAGAACCTCCAAGCAATGTTCATAATCAAGTGTCATTCAATTGGCTCATTATCATTGTTCTTGCGACAAACAAGTCCCGATGGCGTGACGAGGACTAACTTTACTCTGTAGATAAACTGGACAATTGGGACAATCTTCGGACTCCAGACCTCGGCCGAGAAATTCAAGTCGCGGTGAAGAAAAGCGCTGTTTCGATTCTATTTCAGTGCCCGGCTTGCATATTCAGACCATTCCACACTCTATCACAGCCATGCAGTTGATCAAGAGCGTAGCCGTCATCGGAGCTGGCCCTGCCGGTGCCATTGCCGTCGATGCGTTGATGCAAGAGAATGCATTTGATGTGATCCGCGTGTTTGAGCGCCAGGAGAAGGCTGGCGGCTGCTGGTATGTGCATCCAGTGCTATGCTCAAGCAAATGCAGTCAAACTAACTTCCACCAGGGTTTCGAGGGATGATGATCCACCACAAAAGTTCGACTTGGATGGGCTAGCTGCACGCACTGCAGACGCTCCCTTGAAGATTCCAGAGCAGACGCCATGCTGGACACCGGTTGTCGCTCAGGATCGCTTCACAGATTCACCCGTTTACCCCGGGCTAGAAACCAATGTTGATGTAAGCGCAATGTGCTACTCCCGGGAGCCTATACCGACAATTCGTTCAAAATGGTCTATTGAACGTCACGGAGAAGATACTCCTTTCCGCCACCACTCTGTCATCAGACAGTACATCGAGGATCTCTTTACTCGGAAGGGGCATGAAAGTCTCGTTCAGTACAACACCACTGTTGAACGGGCCATTAAGGATTCCACAAGCCAGAAGTGGACACTCACTCTTCGTCGCACAGAAATTCATAATGGAAGCCCAGCAGACTACTGGTGGACTGAGCTATTCGATGCCGTTGTTGTGGCCTCCGGTCACTATGCTGTTCCTTATATTCCCGCGATTCCTGGCTTGAAAGAGTTTGCTGCAAGATATCCCGGTAGTATTGAGCATACGAAACACTACCGTGGCCCGCAAAAGTATCAAGACAAGGTGCGTGCTTTTTTACCCTAGCTGGTATACTTGCATCTCTAACAGCATGGCAGAAAGTCATCACAGTCGGAGCTTCTGTTTCTGCAGCAGACACTGCCGTCAACCTCATCGGCAGCGCTCAAGCCCCAATTCACGCCGTAGTTCGTGGTCGGTATAACGTGTACTTCGGCGACGATGCATTCAAGCACCCAAAGATTTTGCGTCGTGCACCAATCTCTCATATCTCGACTGATGAGCGAACAGTTCATTTCGAAGATGGCACTTTCGAAACCGGGGTGGATCACATTATATTTGGAACTGGTTTCACTTGGACATTGCCCTTCTTACCTCAAGTCCAAACTCGAAACAACCGCGTCCCTAACCTGTATCAGCATGTCTTCTATCGAAATGACCCAACGTTGACGTTCGTTGGAGCGGTAAGTTCACAGAAATCCCACGAATACTATCCAGGACGGCGACGCTAATTCAAAATGCGTACCTAGGTCGGCGCGGGGCTTACCTTCAAGGTCTTTGAATGGCAGGCTGTTGCTGCTGCACGTGTTCTCGCAGGCCGGGCCACCCTTCCTTCTGTTGAAGAGCAGGAGGCGTGGGAGACCGGTCGAATTGCGGCGAGGGGTGATGGACCGCCATTTACCGTCATTAATCCTGAGTTTAAAGCTTATTTTGAAGAACTTCGACAACTCGCAGGAGAGCCACGCGATGGGATACCCGGGCGGCCATTGCCGCCATTTGATCAGAAATGGGTGGATGACTTTAATGCAGGGCACGAACGACGTAAAGAGATGTGGAGGCGGCAAAACAGTTCTGCTGCGGCGAAATTGTAAAGATTTATGTTGGCGTGCATCAATAGATAGTTCTCGACTCTTTGATCTCATCACTCAAACAGTATCTCAGCCTTTATTCAGCTACTATATAAACCCATTTTCTCAGCAAAGCATTCTCGAGAACAGCATAAGACATGACATCAAATCGCGTGACAAATCTAACAATTGGTTATTTCGCAATTGCAGATATCCTTCATAACCACGGTAACCCTGTATCTTCAACAAAGTTTGACCAAAGATAAAAGCATGATTCTTAAGTATCCAACAATGGCCTACTCAAAATCCCATGGCCCATTCCGAACAAGAAATTCCTCCCACGTTGTCAATTTATCCGCAGGATCTAACTGCGCGAGAGTCCAATCTAGGTCTCGGTCACCATTGGGGCCGAAATACCCGTACCTCAGGAACAGAGGACCTGGACGTAGTACATCTCTCTGCAGGGGATGGGTAATGAATTGTTCGACTTCATCACCAGTAGCCAGTCGGACATTCTTGCCACTAACTCCCGACCAAATATCCACTATCTCCTGAGCAGAATAGAATGCCGTAGCCGAGACCAGCTGGGCACCGTTGTATTTTGCCGGATCTCGCAGTGCAGGTGCGAGATATTTTCCCGCATCGCCAATGTCGATCAATGGCATGCGCATATCCGGGGGCCAGGCAAATGGGAATAACACTGTATCTTCGGAGATCTGAATGGGGTTAGCGGCTACGTTAGACTGGTATTTGAAACAGATGTTTGCCTACCATCTTTGGCTTTGGAACGAAATTATCCCAAAAGTTCTGCATGAACCAACCAGGAAGGAAGAAGGCACTGCTGGGGAAATTCAGGCTTCGAATGTAATCTTCTACCTCGGCCTTGCTATCGAAATGCTCGACGGTGGTGAGCTCTCCATTTGACATTTTTGTAACATTTGGCAGAGAGGACCAGATCATCAGAGACACGCCAGCTGTTAATGATACATCGGCAATGGCCTTTCCTTGAGCCACTTCGGCCTCAGCACTTGCTTTGTCCCAAACTGTTTAATATGAGACAGTACGTTTTTTAGTACCTGTTGGAGGTGCTTAACATACAGTTAGTCATGGCAAACACAGCGTATGCTCCCTCGAGAGCTGGTCTAAGTGACGGAGGATCATTCATATCGGCCTGGCAGAGAGCTCCAGTCAGTTAATTCAGAACCTCATTTCAGGCCCGTCTCCTAACATACTTCGATAACCTCCACGCCGCGCTCTTTGAGCTGGACTGCTTCCGGCTTTGAGGCTTTTCGCGTAATCCCTCTTAAATTGAACTCTTTCGACAAGGCCTCATCTTGGAGAATGAAATTGATTAGGGCCCCGCCTTGCTTACCAGTAGCTCCGAAAATAACAAATATTTTGCTCATTCTGTCCTATCTCGAGGTTGGTTTTGGATTGAGCTGGTAGTTTCGGACACTCTCGAGTCATAGAAGTTTTTTTAACCTCGATATATATATTTGCTGGATCCTAAGGTTCTCTACGTCTATACGGCTCATATTTGACACAGCTAACCTTAGTAACCAACAGGACTTCCATTGATACAAGTGGTGACAAGTTTTCAATCCAGGAGTGGCGGAATATATATTCCACGGGAGTTGGAAGAAATCCTAAGCCAACCGCCGACGGGGTTCGGTGTAATTATTTTGTCTAAAAGTCCGAGTACCTAACGTGATGCTTTGGAAATCGGTCTGTTCATGGTTCCACCTCCGAGAACATTAGACCGATTCCTTGATTGTGATAGAGCCGATGGGAGGCGCGTGGACAGATGATCATCTCTCTGGCTTGGTACCAAGCTTGCTACCTTCCATAAGCTAGATTAGGTTGCCGGCAAAGGCGAAGACCAGGCCTAGGTTGCAAAGCAACTCCGTATTTGCAAAGTTCTAGGTGGTTAGTTACGTCTGAAAATTTCAGTGAAACAGCCTATGACAGGTCTCTGACTTTCACTACTGTAGTATTGACTCGACTGCAATGCAACCCCTCCACGCAACCAATTTACCCGCGCCTAATTAAGTACATTCCCAGAATGGCAAATATCCGAATGCTCCATCACCACATCCCAGCGTGTGACAGGCTCAGAAATGGTTCAATACGATGTCGATCCGACCCCGCCGATTGGCAAATCTTGACTGGTAACAGATAGCAACCTTCTTACAAACCAGCACTAGACACATAATCATCTCTTTTCTTCCTCGGCCAAATCTCTCTAACTCTAAGACCATACGGTAGCAGCTCTATATTCACCCTACACGATGGACTCCTTCCAAAACAAAGTCTACGCAATAACAGGCCTAGCCGGCATTGGCCTCGCAGTCGCAAAACAGCTCCACGCCCGCGGCGCAAACCTCTCTCTCGCAGACATATCTCCTTCAACACTCACAGCAGCCATCACTGCCATCTCCCCTACAACACTCAACCCCTCGACCATCCTAACCACAGTCCTCGATATAAGTTCCTCAACCGCCGTCAACGACTGGATCACATCGACAGTGAAACACTTCGGCCGGCTCGATGGCGCAGCCAATATGGCCGGGACGATCGGTGCTCAACACGGTGTTGGCAAATTCGTAGATCTGGAAGATGAAGAGTGGGATATGCTGGTGCGGGTGAATTTGTCCGGGATGATGTACTGTCTTCGGGCAGAGGTGCGGGCGATTATGGAGAGTGCGCCGGATGGGAAGGGGAGTATTGTCAATGCGAGTAGCATACAGGGGATTCGGGGGTTTGCGTTTCATACGGCGTATTCGACGACGAAGCATGGGGTCGTGGGGTTGACGAGGTCTGTTGCGAAAGAGGTTGGGCCTGGGATAAGGGTTAATGCTGTTGCACCGTGAGTTGATTTCCTTTTTTATTTTAATATCGAGAGGAGGGAATCCTGGCTGGAAAGGTTGAGTCGTGCTGATGGGGGTGACGTTGTGTAGGGGATCGATTCAAACGCCGCTTTTGGAGAAGGCGACTTCAATTCAAGGGGGAGTTCCCACGATGCCTACGGCGATTCCTCGGATTGGGACGCCCGAGGAGGTGGCACAGACTGTCGTGTTTTTGCTGAGTGATGCCGCATCGTATACTACCGGGCAGGTGTATAGTGTGGATGGAGGGTGGGACCCATAATCGTAGGGAATGGCGGGTGTCGTAGTGCAGTTGCAGTATATTACTATCAGTAGTCTAATTGCAAGGTGAACGGGGAAAACTAGTCTTGAAAATCTTGATTTGAAACATTCAAAGGCTATCGGTGGATATCTAAAGCAGAAAGAATCAAAGTCGCCATGCAAGAGGTATAACATCATCGACGCAAAGCCATGATCATCAGTGCTCGCTGAAATGAAGCAAAAATAAATTGAATCAAACGCCGCCATGCCGTCTATAAGTGTAATCGCTTGACAAAAAAAAGCAGATAGGGAATCATCAAATCTACAGTAGTCTGGAGCAAGCCAAGAAACTATGACAGCATGCATAGCCATAAACCTGTTGAAAGTATCGAATCAGCAAGGAAAGTCCCCCATGTTAACTGAAACAGGGACAACGATCAGGGTCCACATACCGGACAAAATCATTAGAGACCACCAACCAGGCAAGCGGGCGATGGTCACTGCGCCGCTCTTAATGGTGATCCCGTCCAAGACCACGGGCCACCCATTATCGTATTTCAAATAATTGTAGCCCAATTGTGCTTGCTGTAAGACACAGTCAGCGTCGCAATCAGAACCCTCCCAAAAGGAGCAAATGTACATACCTCGTCCGTGAACCCAATCGAAGTGTTCAGGTAATGATAGTAAAGTATATCCGGCGTAGAAGAGTTTCCAGGCAACACGCCAAGCCCGCCAGGGGCATAAACCAGCCCATGGTTGGAAGCATAAACGATCGTCCCACCCCCATCGAGAAGCAACTTTCCATCACGATCAAGAAAAGGTCCCCGCACGGCCCGCGACCGACCAACGCGAATATTATACTCGTCGCCGCGCGCAGGGAACCCCCGCACATCAAAGCTGCAGCACTTGCCATGACTGAACCACACATAGTAATACCCATCGTGGTAACTCATCCACGAGCCCTCCTCCGGTCGAAACGTCTCGTTCGGGATAAAAGTTAATTGCTTCGCATCCGGCTTTTCAGGACTCTCGATCGACAACCAGTCATCCGACAGTGGTATTTGCCAGATATCGTGCCAGTAGCTACCGTAATTCAGGTACGCTTTGCCGGTGGCATTGTCACGGATAAAAGAGGCATCGATCGCATTGCTTATCGTGAAGGGCCACACGTCCGAGCCATTACCTTGACCTGTGCGAATCATCACGCCGTGGTCCGTCCAAGGTGATCCGTCGAGCTTGGTACTTGTCGCAACGCCAATTGCGCTGTTTTGCGAGCCGTGCGTGCTCAGCGTGTAGAAGCAGTAAAACGTCCCGTTGCGCTCGACTGTCGTCGGCGCCCATGGTCGCGACCGATTGCCCTGGTGGATGATACTATCGCCATCCAACACGGTGCCCACTTGCGTCCAGGGCCCGCTCATGTTGGCGGCTTTGTAATACAGTACATGCACACCACCCTTGAAAAGGTAGTAGTGGTCATTCCAGTAGACCACGTTCGGGTCGTGTACTTGCAGATTGCCGACGTTGGGCAGCGGTATCGTATCGGTTGTCTCGTAGACTTGCGAGAGTGTGGGGGTTAATAATCCCGATGATGCTGGACGGGCTCTCGCCAGAGCGACCAGCGCGGCGAGCAGCAGCAGGAGGACGGTGCTGCGATACATGTCGAGTTATATAGCGGGGTTTGTTGAGATCGGCGCAACGGCTGTCTATGTACAATGCAATGAGCCCCGCGCGGCAGGACTTGCCAATGGCGTATAAGAGTTTAAAGAAGAAGGTGAGGAGTTGTGGCATAAACAGCCATCAGAGGAGGGGTTGAGAGTCAATGGTTATCGTGTCGCGCGATACATGTCTGTTGTGTACAGGGAAATAGTCGAGAAAGACGAGGAGCAGTCGTGGACTTGGATATGGACAATGGGACCAAGCAATGGAATAAAAGAGATGCCGGGGATGATCAACTAGTTATGTAGCGCAAGGGACAGCAAGAAAAATCGAAGACAAAGAAGAAAGATGAAATGGAAAAGCTAAAAAGAGAAGAAAAAAAAGCACAGCCATGGAGCCTTGTGCAGGGTCCGACGATCGACCGACTCTAAACCAAAGCCAAGTGATTTAGGCGGCCATATTTGTAGACTAAAATTGAGGGGGCCAACTGCAGTGCCGACCAAAGATAGTCCACTAGGAAAGGCTATAGTTAACTACAGTTTGGTACCCGATACCGTGGTAATCAGACTGACAACTGTACTTAACCATAATCTTAGCATTGATGTATTTACAGTAGTAGACAGTTGACTGCGCAAATTGGGGGCCAGGTACTATTCTACTATCTCCTACTTCCTCCCCTCCCCTCCCTTAGACTCGTATCTCGTTTCTCATCTCCCGCCAAGCTAAACCCACCGACCTGTCAGAACACGAGTTGCGCTCACGCAGAGGCGGCCAGTCCGACCGTTGATTGGGTCCAACGGGGTCCGAACGGGAAGCGTCCAAAGGAGCGATTGGGTTGGAACTCCTCTCGTCGCTATCTTTCCCCTTTCCCCTCTCTCTTGGAGGTCTGGGTTCCTTGGGTTTATTCCGTCGTTCTCCACCAATAGCAACTACAGCTTGGATTTAACCTCCTCGTGGGCGGATATTCTTTTCGTTGGATTCTAGTCTTCGCTACTCCGTACGGGGGGTACCTTGTCATATCGGAGTACCATTTACCCCCCGCAAAACTTAATTCCCCATGACCACCGTGTCTGTATCCTATTTGCCCTCTTTGTACAACAGTCCTACTCTGACTGCAGCAGCCCCCATCGCTGACCGGGGCTGAACCTTCGCCAAGTTGAGAAACAAAATGGTTACACAGTCAGCCCCATATTTCATCGCCCCCACACCTTTTTTCTTTCTCTCTCGCCCAGGTCCACTTTCCCAAGGCTTGGTCCTTACAACCTCAATGTTAGCCGAGAAGGCTGGCACTAGACATCTTCAAACGATCCGTCGCAAGGCTTTGCCAAAAATTTGCATGAAGATGAAACTAACGCTCATAGTTCGGTTCATCGGTGGGTTCGTTTCTTGGAGCTGCTCGGTGTACGGTTTGACCCTTGCAGGAAGGAAAGGGATCGTCGCGGGTCATGATTGTATGGTGACATGCGTCGTGTGATCGGAGGGTATAATTCTTGATGATAGGGGAGTGTGGGATGTAGCAATTGCTAGATATTTGAAATATCTTTTGAGAGTAGAGTGGGATTAGCATGATGTCGCTTTATTTGTAGTAGGGTGGATTGTTGCCCCTATGATGGAGTCATGGAATTAACAAGGCTGTGGTTGATATTGTGATGGAGCAAAAATGATGCCCTCGATAGATACAAAATATGCAAAGACCCCCATTGATCGCTACGCACAACGAAGCTATCGTACACCTATAAAATGCATGATCATCGTCTGATCTTTCTAGTTGCAGAGGGCAATACCCGTCAAGTCTTCCCAGTCAAAGACATCCAAGAAAGGATCGAAATCGCCCGGTGGCTATAAAACAAGAAGATAAATTAGTCGCAGCACAATTTGAAAGAGCCCGATCATAGAATAGGATTGCTTGACGTACCGTAACACCAAGATTTGGCGGTGGGAGGATGGAATCAAAGTCCGAGGGTAGCACCGGTGCCATGCCGGGAGTCGCAATGAACGACGCAATCTAGCAAAGGAAATGGTATGTCAGTATCTCGCCAAATGCCAAGTCTGATGAGCGAGGTAACAAACCTGATTGTTTTGGAAACTACCCATCCCCGGTTTACCCAGGTGCTCGCAATTCGCATGCCGGGTGAAGAGCGTCTGTGCAAATGACAAGATTCGCTCCACCACTTGTTGTTTGTACATGCCTGCCTGGGTGGGCCAGATTTTGGCTTTGACCAAGGCTACGATAGTTGAGAGGAAGAAGTAGTCTTTCGCTCCCTTGACTACTAACATGAATCGAGCTTCGAGAGAGATCAGGACCGCTTCAACCAGGGAAAGTAGTGAGTCTGGAAGGCCGGGTATAGTATGCAGGAGGAAGGCGGAAGATGAAGGGTGGGAAGAGTAAGCTGTGGATATTGAATTAGCTCATGTCAATAAGTTGGCACGGGAGAGGATGCTTACAGTTTTGATGATCCGAATTATGGAGCACTTGGCACATAGAGATGTACGCCTGTAGGGTCCATTCACCAAGTAGACATAGTGACAATGGCCGAGAGGTTTCGTGAAGTCGCTTCTGGGTCGAGAGAATCATGGTTGCGGCATCCAGGCGAGACCGTGCCGAAGGTGAAAACAGCGGTTCCTTCCTTGATTCGATGGCGAATGGGGTGTGAATGGAGAGCAAGCTTTGCGCCAATTTTGTCTCAATGGTAGCTTTCCATAGCGTGATCTTGTGCTGAGTAACGAGGTCATTTGCATCATTCGTGGTCCACTGAGGGATCCGAGAAAGTTGTCGATTCAATTCCCAATCTAGGCGCTGAATCTCTTCGTAGCGACAACTGACCCGAGGCGAGTGCATCAAGTGGCAGGCTTTAAGTCGAAGAGCAAGAGACCGGCCCAATGCACTCTGGAAGGATGAATCTGTCATCTCGCTCAGCGGTCGGTCTGCGGGGGTTTCAGTTGAATTTTCATGAATCTCGTCGTCATCAATATTCAGAGGAGGCAGTGTATCATAATCTAAAGTTTGGACCGAGGGTGGCATGCCTCGGTCAATAGCCACTTGCAGGTCCAATTCCACAATGGTCATCCAGATGCGCCGGCGCATCTCTTTGTTGAAGATTGAAATCCGAGCATATTTGTCTGGGTCGCGATGATAACCAGAGAGCATTGCCTGCTTAACCAATGTGCTAGTAGCAAGCCATGCCTTACTGCGTTTCGTGCCAAAGCAATTTTGCGCCATGATCAGCAGAATGTAGAGCCGTAGAGAAGTAAGATCAAGCCGCTTGATATGTGCATTATCGATCCACTTTTCTGCATGCAACACCCATTCCACTGCGGTATAGCATTTGAGTGGAGTGGCGCTCTTCTCTTGCAAACTAGCCACATCGGCCAGATTCCAGGCACAGGCAAGCACCAGGAGCAGTTGCACGACAAACCCAGCTGAGACGGCGCCAGGGTTATCCATTATCCTCCAGAATTCGTCCACCTCTTGAAGAAAGGTGGGGACATGGAAGACGCAGTGTGTGGACTCGATGTATGTCAAGTAGACTCCGATCAGCGCATCAGCTACTGGCTTTGCCGGCAGAAGGGAGATCAGAGAAGTAATCGTGGGTTCGGGAAAGGGCTCATTGAGTGGCTTGCGCTTCCATAGTCCCCGTTTCACCCGCTCCAGGTCGGGTCGCACCCGTGAGAGGATTGGGTTGGCCAGACGAATTTCCTCAGCAAAAGCTCTGATGTCAGGAAACTAGAGCGATGGTCAGTGGAAGAGAGCAAAAACGCAAAAAAATAATGAAACATGCTTGAGTCGAGGATCGTTATGAGAATAACATACCTGAGCAACCACATTGGCGTAGATACCCGACCCGCTAAACCGAGTCTTGGTCTCGCGACCTCTCATCATCATACGAGGGGAAAGATCCAATTGATGCGATGGAGACAGTACATCGTCGATTTCCTCATCACCATCATCGCCCCGGTCCATTTGTGACGAGAAAGGGGTCGCCTCTTCCGGCGCGGGACGTTTTGGCCGCTGCAAAAGGCCAGTATTCACATAAGGCTCCTGATTCACAGCAGCCTTGGGGGCTCCAAGAACCGTCTCCAGGAAGCCCCTCTCCTTCCCCGAATGCCGTCCCCTGTGGTGCGGTCCACCCTCTGGACGAGCAGTTGAGCCCGAATCGGGCGCAATAGTCGAAACGAGAGTTTCCGACCGAGTCGACGCTGCTCCGATCCCCGAGTCTGGGGGAGTCTCAGTATTAATAAACTCGGCCTGCTCGGTCCGGGGAGGCATAGACATGATCGAATGTCCATTTCCTCGATCTGCAGCAAAGGCTGCAGCAGTCACGGTGGTGGGCTGCTGCCACAAGAAGCCGTCCTCGTAGGTGCATTTGGTCGGGGTTCGGCTCTTCAAGCAGCGGGTGCACGTTGGATATTCGCGATCGCAACGCAATTTGCGACTGCGGCATTGCGTGCAGGCCATCGTGCGACGGCGCCTTTTGCGCGGCCGATCTGGCAGCGGCGCATTGTTTACACTTTCCACATCGGCCATGTCAGGGTGAAGAGTGAGAGATGATACTTGGCATGAATATACCAAGAGTGTATACTCTTGGGGGAATCTCGTTACCTCCGAGGTGGACTGGTTCAGGGTGTGCTTCAGCTTACGTAGTGAGGTCCACTTGCACCTGCCAAATGCGGTAAGTCTGTCCGAAGAATCCGACCGGAGATGTTTTCCCCAACTTTTGAGTCTTTCCCGTTTGTTTTCTCCAGATCTTGATGCAAATCACTTTGGCATATCCTTTGCATAGCTGGCCACAGTTTGGGCTCCTCTACACTTGACTTGTTTTTCACCTCCCTCGTATGGCAGGTGTAAAAATAGTTTCCACCCTGCTCAGCCTCGGTACCTTCCGCCACGGCCCACTTTGCTTTAGCGATCTGACGCCGTGCCCTTTCGAGGACTGCTCGTTTCAAATCGTGTCAGCCCAGTCTACATCTGGACATGTCCGTTAGACACGCCAAGCGCAGAGGCTTTGCGGGTATTGGTTATTGCTGCTGGGATGGAGTATCTTGCATAATCGCAGAATAAACATTCCTACTGATGACGGAATCCAGTGTTTACAACGTGACCTGCACCCCGATATTGGTCAATCGATTAGGATATATGTACCTAGACAGGGTCTAGAGGCTGAAAACCGGTCTCCCGCTTTGTTAACAAATTTGTGGTCAATTGTGGATTTAGTGCTGGCTGCCAATTCCCTCCGAATGATGCCAACACAACCGATATCATGGCCACTGCTGATCACTGAGATGCCACGTCTTGGCTTCTCCTTTCATTGACTATACGACAGATGGCGTACTGGGTTACCATTAAAATCGGAGGCGATCCAAGTGCCATCACCAAGGGCTTGGAAGCCATCGATCTCGGTGGAGTGCGCTTCAAAGCGACCGAGTGGCTTACCAGTGCGCAAGTCGACCTGATAATAGTGGTACCATTCCTCATCATTCAGCTCGCCCGTAATAACGACAACCGCAATATCGGCGTTGAGAAAGCCGCCGCCCCAGTCCACAAATGAATCGTCCTCTTTGTCCTCTTCGTCATCCTCATAACCGAAAGCGGTGATCGGCAGCCGCAAGATTTCCTCACCACTGGGAAACGTGTGAAAGGCGACATCGTACCGACCGTGGTCGACGGTCATAAAACATTGCCCATTCGGCGCGATATCAATTAGGGCCCGGTCGTCCCAACCGTAGGAGTGCAGGTCTATCCCACCACTGTCGGCGAGTGCCGCGAGGAATAGTTTTACCCCGTCCTGGCCCTCGCCCACATCGAGCATGACATGACGCCCGTCGGGATGTTGCACGAACTGGGCTGCCTGTCCGACGGTGTCTAGCTCTGCCTGTGCGACCGTCTCCCCCGTACTCGCAAGCAAAACAACCAATCGGTCGGGACCACGATCTGTCATCGCGTCCGGCCGGTACAGCCACAGCAAGTTCCCATCGAGGGAGAATATGCACTCGGTTCTGGGTAAGCGCTCGGGAGTATGAGGCTCTAGGTTGTAGCACCACAGCGGCCCACCATCCTGGCCAACGCACGTCACCTTGTTGCGGGTCGTGTAGACTGCGCAGTCGAGGTTTGGAGTGGTTGCATGACTCTGGACTTCATCGTTGGGCTCAATATGGTAGGTCGCTACCGGTCCCAGGGCCTCGTCTACGCTGTCGGGTATCTTGTAGGCACGTAGTTCCCTATTCCGATACCATGTGATCGTAGGCTTCATGACTGAATTCTAAGAATGGCGGAGTTGAGTGGGAAGTCGGAGGGTCCGTGTTTGGATGGATAGAGCGATGATAGTAAGATGGATGGTGAGAAAGATCGAAGCGATTAGGGGGAGATGACGAGATACTTGATCTGGGGGTCTCAGTCATGTATTTCGTCTGTGATAATGCGAAAGCCCAGGCAACTGGTATTTCCAGGATACGAGCATAGATCAACACCTTCCGATTAAGCAACAAATCAATGAAGACACTCCGTTGAGTATTCTTCGAAGTCTTTGAGCTAAGTAGCGGGGCCACCAAAGATTACGATCGCCTAGAGAATACGAGAAGGCCGCGAATCAAGAGTCTGCCCATTCTCTGTACATCCAATTCGGCTATTTTCCGTATATAGTTCTCCAAGAGTAGCTAACAGTTTTTATTTCTAGAAAGACTATATTATGTCAAATGATAATCAATTGAAGAACTGTTTAATTTAGCACTCAATTTAGCACTCTCATTGATCAGCGCCACAATCTATCGACCTCACACACCCCAACCCAGGCTCCACTCACGCCGATATCCCACTCTCATCATTACCCCACACTGCCGCTACAGCGAGCAGCAAAGCCCCAAAGCTCGAGGACAAAGCAGCTGTATTACAATGAGAATAACCGCACAAGACGCGGGCGGTATCGCCGACGAGGACGACCAAGTTCTAGAAGCAGGCTTTTCACAAGGGCCTGGTGATTCGAACTTATCAATGATATTCCAGCGAGACCTTTTCGAGGAAGAACCGTGGAAGGGCGACCCTCAATCAACCGATTACTTCTCCGATAGCTACTGCATAACTCTCGGAACCGGCGAAACGGTATATGGAGGACTAGAGCAAGTCTCCTTCTCGGGAACTCAGGGAACGTTCGACTTCTCCGGTCGTGCAGCCAAAATCCTCGGTATAGGCCGACAACTCGTCGTTGATTTCAAGGTTTCTGAGCAGGACCTGCGGCTCTTTCAAGAATTCTTGAGAAAGGTAGTCACTTGGGGTGTTCCTAGTCAAGTCCCTCAACTGCACGGCTTTACTTCATCTACTTGTGAACGGCAACAATGCCAAGGTTTTTTTATCTGAGAGCTATACCTGGGATACCTGAACTTGGTTCTGGGAAGGGGTTTTGAAGGTTGCTGGGTTGGATAGTGGGCCTCAGGAGGGCTATGATTGCACTCCCAACTAGTGATAGTTCCTGCAAGGTCTAACAACTCGAAGCGACGCCAATTCTCAGATAACAAACTTGGTTGAAGCCTCGGGAAGAGTCTACAAATTTGCTGGCAGTGTCAACGGCGTCTCTGCCTTCAGGGGACAAAGAGTTGCTACCATTACCAGTTCAACAGCACATTTCTTGGACTAAAACCTATAATGACACAAGGAATCCATGTTTAAGAACAGTTTAGAACAGGAGACCACTGTACAGTACCTGTGTATGAATCACAATTAAAAAGGCGGTCTTTGCCTTGAATCGGTTACCATGTTGACACCACCCACGATACTATGAAGTATTCAACAGGCCAAGATCTTTGTTAACCATCTACAAAATGTTAAAGAGGTTCTAGAAAGCCATTTCCAAGGACAATCCATACTGCCCACAGACTCTAATTGAATACAGTTGATTAAATCTTGAATGTGCTCTCGGTGTCTGCTATTGTCCGACGACATATGGCGTCATGTTATGCAGTGGTGAGCTCAAGAGAGGATGGATCAAACATGCCCCTCAGAACGTCGCGGCAATGCCAAGCGCGGTGAGTCCTAAATCCCATCACTTTGATTGGATTGGCCTGAATCTTAGTCTAAAGTCAAATGGCAATCGCGCCTGATAAGTTACAACAGTGAATGTTGGTGGACCCTCTCCTCTCGGCCTCATCGGCTTTAACAGCTCGGGGAAAAGTTTCTCGGAGATATCCTCCTACACAGGACTATATCAACCCAGGCAGCCACAAAGTTCGAAGAACAAGCATTTAAATTTACAGCCAGGAACCAATTCAACTCTCAACAATCCACAGGTCTCAATACGCAAATACACCCTCATCGCGATCGCGACCATGTTACGCTCATTGCTGTCCATCGCCCGCGGCTCCGAGCCCGACTATGTTTTCCCCAAAGTGAATCCCGAGGAAGACGGACCAGACTGTCTGAAAGATTGCGCGGATTGCACGACACAGTTCCCAGCGAAAGTGAAAGTGGAAAATTCCATGCCACTATACGGCCACATCAAGGAGTTTCACTCGCACGTCTTGGTCGCGACGGGGCGGTCTGACTGGAAAGAGAAGGTCGGACAAGAGAGGGGGAGTCTCATGGAGGCCTTTGAGGATTCTTCGGCAAAGTCAAAACGAGGCGTATGTTCGATTAACTGACGTTGATTTTTTTTTCACTGGCTAACTCTACCTTCCAGCGCTACATGGTGTCCGCATCCAATATCCAACCAGCAGATCACGATGGCAAGGAGATTGAGGCCAACCAGCCAACGTCGGTTCTTATCTTGCCTTCGTTCACATTTGTGGATTCCGTCTCTCAAGCAGATGTTCCCAACCTGGTTCATCGATTTATCGACAGCTCTGCCGGTGAAAAGAACAGTAGTGGCCAAATTTGTCAAGAGGCAGGAATGACCACACGACCATGCGAGCTCGACTACGTGATTCTACTCTGTTCGCACAAGCGACGAGACGCGCGATGCGGTATTACAGCTCCTTTGATCAAGCGCGAACTCGAGCGACACCTTCGGCCTTTAGGGTTGGACCGCGATGCTGATGACTCGCGGCCTGGTGGCGCGGGCATCTACTTTGTCTCTCATGTCGGCGGGCACAAGTTCTCTGCCAATGTGCTCATTTATCGAAAGAAAGATCAGCAGATGATTTGGTTGGCGCGTGTGAGACCGGAGCACTGCGAAGGGATTGTGAAGTATACGATACTGCAAGGGAAGGTGGTGCACCCCGAAACGCAGCTTCGGGGTGGTTTCGATCGAGTACGGGGGTTGACGAGCTGGTGATTGGGATTTATCTTGGAGGATACCCTCATGGTGGCTTACCAGCGAGACGAAGATTATCATCCAAAACGTTAATTTATGGCTAATGTCCAATAGACAATTAATGGAAGACATTTTAAGGTATCACGATTCACTCCGCTCAAACCAGATCTTCTCCTCTTTCAACGCAGGCTCCAGTCTCAGACCGATCTTCTTGACGACTCCCGACACGTCAATGTAGAATTCAGCAGCTGCGGGCTGCATCTCAGCAAGATTGCTAGACTTCATTTTCGCAACAAAGAATTCACCGCTAGCATGCGTAAGAGTCAAATAACCGGGTACAGCTCCATGAGATGCATCAATACCCAGCTTCCCATCCTCGCCTAGAACGACAGGAACCCAGTTGCCGGTAGGGTGCCTGTACGTGCCGACATACTTCTCAAGTGGGAGAGTATGAGGAACGGGAGGATCAGCCAAAGAGGGAAACATCTTTCGCTTGATAGCGTCCATATCTTCAGGATGGTACTTGAGAGCTCTCTCCTTGACCTTCTCATGCTGGTCATAGAACTCTTTCATTTTCTCATCGTGCAGTGGATCATCAACCGGCCCAAGTAGCTTATCCATGAGAAGAACAGCGAGCCTGAAATGAACAAAACGGGCGGAATTGGAGTTTCCCATAATTGCAAAGCCAAACTTCTTCTCTGGCATGAATGCCACGAAGGAAGAATAGCCAGGCCAACCACCTGAATGCGCATAAAGGTGCTGGCCTCGGTAGTTATCAACAAACCAGCCCAAGGCGTACGCGTGATACGGCGTGGGGAGATTGATATCCCCAGCGTCGAAAAGGAAGGTCCGCGGTTTGGTCAGCGAGTCGTGGCCCTTTAATGGCCCAGTACGATAGATCAATTCGCGCACCCAACGCGAGTAATCTAGAACACTGCTGACCATCGCCCCGCCGCCCGTATTCGGCCTCCAATTTGCCTCTGGTTCTTCAAACCAATGTCCGCCAGTTTCCTCGGGGATCCATGTGTACCCCTTGACGACCTTGGCTGCACTCGACGGAACTTTCTTGGCCTCTTCGGTAGAGAAATAAGTCTCTTTCATACCAAGAGGATCCCAGATGCGCTTTTTCAAGAACGAGCCGAGTGGCTCCCCAGTCTGCTTTTCGAGCAAATGCGCCATGACAATGAACATATGATTAGTGTATTGGAATGTAGTCCGAGGGGGAGCCGAAAGCGGCATATGCCTGTACGAGCGAACGATATCGGAAACTGTAGTATCTTTATCGCCGTAGGTGAGTGGCCACGGATGACTGGGGAAGCCCGATCGATGAGAGAGGGCATCTTCGAGAGTAGTGTTCTTTGTCGCATAGTCGTCTGATAGAACAAAGTCTTCTGGGATGACAGATGATACTGGAGTGTCCCAATCAATTGGCGATGGAGTGTCTTTGCTATCTTGAATTGCAATTGACGTGGCCGCTGCAGTGAATGCCTTGGTGGTGCTTGCGGCTGGGAATATCGTGTCCGTGGTCATCTTTCTGTCGGGAAATTCGGCGATGCCGTATGCCTGATATGTGGTCAGCATATGAGGGAGTAACTGACTGAAAGTTTGATCTGGGTTCATTACCTTTGAGAATGTCTCTTCATTATGCACAACTGCGATAGATAGTCCAGGCACCTTCCATTCTTCTAATGCATCTTTGACCCAGGTATCGAATGCTTCGTCGAATGGAGACTGCGCGGTAGACATGGCTTTTTGATTATTTGAAAAGACTGTAACTCCAGATATGAGTGGTAACAATCTACATTCAAACAATCAATTGCACCATCGAGGAACTAAGCAGGTATTTATAATGCCGACTTGGGCGTATAGAGTCATGGAACGGCATACTGTTCCCCGCGTGGAGTGAACGCCACGTTTCTAACACGAAAGCCCATTGGCGTTTGAGTTAGGCCACCAACAATTCGGAGACCAAATCTGTCAGCCTGGTTGACACATTGAGTGTCAGTTAATCAAAGGAGGGGGAAATACCAGTTTAGCCTGAATTAATTGGTCCAATCCCTCGTGTCAGCAACACTACTTGGGGTGGTTCCTTGGGTGGGTTGCGGGCCGAGCACGCGACGTCACCGCGTTAATTGATTTTCGCGTTTCGCGTCGGTTCTTCCTCCCTTCATATGCGTCTGGCCGCATCTTCTGCAGCAATGGCCGACCACGTCCTAAATTCAAGTGCCGAGGTTGCGTCGAAGGCTATCAGCCTCCGTGCGGAATTGAAGACTTGGGAGAAAGAGTTTGCATCCACACATGATGGCCGGAAAGCTGGTCGCGAAGATATCAAGCAACATCCCGACATTGGTAAGTGACGGCTCTTTGGGCACCAACTTTTAGGTTATCGGATGAACTTGAGGTCGCTAATATCTGTGGGGTCTGTTCTAGCCGCGAAATATAAGGAATACGGTAGACTGAAGGCACTCGAGTCTTCTTTAAGCCGGCGCGAGAACCGACAGGAATCATCCGACGCCCAGTCTAGAAAACGAAAACATGCTTCTCCCACAGGGCCAGATTCGGCGCAACCAGTCGCTACCCCACGAAAGTCGGCTAAGGGACTTTTTGCGACACCATCAAACAACCGCAACAAGCATATCAACCACGTAGACGAGTTTGTGTCGCCTTCGACATTCCGCAAGTTATTCAGCCCTAGCGCACATCGCCAAAGCGAACCAGCACCGTCACCACTCAAGGCTGCAATCGGACCAACACCGCAGCGCGATGGAAAAGCCCTCGGGCTATTCGATATGCTGTCAGAATCGGGAGGAAGCAACGCGACGCCATCAGCAAAAAAACAAAAGGACTTCTTAGCCGCGGGGTTCCTTACGCCATCCAAGCCGAAGACCTCTGAACCTATGGCCGAAGTTCCAGAAGAGGAAGAAGAGAGCACACGGCTTTCCCGCACGCCCGCATCCTCAACCAAACAATTCTACTTGGCCAATCTCTTCGCAACTCCAACGACTATGCGTTACGCTGCTATGGTCGAAAAAGACGATGATAGAGAAGATCAGGAAAACACGCGCCCAACCAGTGAGGCACCTGCATCGCCAGAACCGAACACCTCCGAAACCCCGTCCTTCTTACGGCGAACCAATTTCAACAGACTTCCACCTCCACCTTCAAATGATCAGAGCGCGGGACTGAGTCCTATCGCATCCCGAAAACCACTGCAGTTTGCAGGGAAGGGATTGTCGCATTTGGTCCAAGGCCTACGGGCCATGGAGGAAGAGCGCGAGGATGATGAGTGGGATATGCTCCGGGAAATCGAAGCGGAGCAAGAAGCAGCGAACCTCCAGGTTCCTCAAAGTCAGGTCATGCCAGACAACCAGCGGCCCTATAAAAAGAAGGGACAGAAGCGAACTACGCGAAGAGTTATCATGCGTCCAGTTGCCCCTCGGCCAAAGCTTCGCCCGAACTCCACTCTGCCTCCTGTCGAGGAATATCCAGAAAGCGATGATGAGATTGTTGCAGTTCCTGAAACTCAGCTCCCAGCAGGCTCCGAAGTCGTCGACGATACCTATCATGAAGAAAATATAGGTGACGATGTGGCTTCCTTGCATACCATGTCTGATCCAGAATCTGATCCAGAGGAGCCTGATGCAGACTCCGACGATGATCCAGAGTATGGCGAACCATCCAAACCTTTGGCCAGGGCGAAGAGTTTCTCCGAGCGTATAAGGGAAGCCGTCTCGATGGCCAAACCTCCACCCAAGGAAGAGCCATTAAAGGCAGCGCCGGCTCCGGAGAAAGCAGAGAAGGCACCCAAGACCCGGATGATCAAGGCCAATTCCCAGGCCCATACGAATTACCGAAGTCTGAAGATCCACCACAGAGGAGGATCTCGTGGCCGTGGGCGGTTCTGCAAACGATAGAGGCTGTTTTTGGGGTACTCTAATGTTCACGAAGAGACGATTGCATTCATAATTAGCATCAACGGGGCCTGGTCGGTCACAGCAATCAATTTACACATCTAAAATATAATTCAATCGTCACTTGATTTCTGTCAAATGTAGGAGAACCCCACCTAGTGTACAAGGCCAGCCCATTGTTATACTGTACTATGCTAGTCGGGGATATATCGGTCTAGAAGATGCCGATTCCGCTCTGGCCATGGAGCACGTAGATTTGAACCCCGATTCCTAGATGCAGCCCCTCTCCGTGCAGACGGCTGCGAACTTCCAGGCCTTGAGACCCGGTCAAACAAGGTGCGATCATGTTCACGGGCTGGCGATGCGCTACGGGCGCGAGTCGAGCTAGGTCGAATAGAGTCACCACCATGATAGTTGAGATCTCGGCACTCTCTGTCGCGGGATGCGGGCCTTGAGGCAGGATACTGCACATGACGGTCCCAGTCCTCCAACGAATTGTAAGGGCTTCGCAACCACGCCAATAATTCATGAAGGAACAAACGAGCGTTGTCCCTCCCGAGAAAATCGCGCAGTAACTCTTCCGCTTGCCCGGCACTCCCTTTGATGTCCACTGTACGCAGAATAGCGACAACGTACTCGAGCAAGAACTCGGCATTATTTGCCCTCCGCTGCTCTAATCGCTGCTGTCTCGAGCGAGGCACGGGATCCCGCCTCTCTTCTGGCGCATCCTCTGCCTCCGGATGCAGAAAGCTGAACACTTGCAATTCACGGCGAATCCACTTCCGGGCGCGCGAAACTAGCGCTTCATCGCGGTTGAAATCTTCCGGTGTCACCTCGGTGTATTGCGAAAGTCGATTCGATCCGACCCTCAACGAGTATAGTTGATTGCGATATACATCGCGACGGACAGAAACCGGGTTACTAGGCGAAGGCTGAGGTTGGTGCAGACGGGATCTTTGTCGACGACGTTGGTGTCCTCTGAATCGAAGCTCATGCGGTAGAGGGGCGCGGGCTGTGGTCCCGGGAGTAGTAACGGGAGGTACGACGTATGTCTTTGGGCCCTGGGGGCCCTTCAGGTCATACTGTACAGCGGTGAGACTTGCCTTGCCTGTATAGCACTAACAGTCAGCTGCGATCCTCGAGTATGATCCATGCTGACATACATAAAGGGCAATTCGGTTGCTGCTCTAGCCAACTGAGCAGGCATAAATAGTCGAAGTTGGCATGATGGCAGGGTACTCCAACGCATGGCTCTGTGATGGTATCCAGACAAATAACGCAGGGATCAGCACCTTCCGCCTCCTCGTCCGCTACCTCCTTAAGGGTTTTCTGGAGGATTTGTTGCTGCAAATCTCCATTCTCTGCCATGAAGGCCGGGGAGCAAGTGGCGGACAGGAAGTAGCTGTCGCATCCCATTCTTTATCGCTCTTATCGCTAAGTCACGTTCGAGGAAGGCGGGACCGCCCGCGGCAAAAAACCCTCGATCGAAGCTTCCCAAGCTTTCCAGGATCCAATAACTCGCAAGCTACTTCTTCAAAACAGGATCACTCCTCTCGGTTGCAATCTCAGGATCGACGCGATTCTCGCGAGATGAACTAACCCTGGTAGATTCCGGACTGCTTCTACCACCTTGAGACCAAGACGCGCATTCGACAGACACTAGAGATAAGGACGCCGTGATAACCCTCGATGCGTTCAGCGAAACAAGTCATTTCGGAGAAATTTGCGCGCCTGGGACCTCCAGCCTCAACAATGTCTTACGGCACCGCGACCTCTCAGCGGGGTCCTTCACATACCCTGACCTCGCTCAAGCGTTGGTCAGTCGCGACCAGAGAACTCCCAGGTGAGAGGACTCGACGTGCTGGCGGAACCTGAACTCTTCCGTGAAAATAGAGCTAATTGGTGTACGGGATTTAGCCGTCTCACAAATCAAGGCCATTCATGTCTACGACTTCGACAATACTCGTGAGGATCATACAGTGTCTCGTCATCCTGCAAGATCCCAGATCTGACTTAACCCTTTTCCCTAGTGTTCCTGAGCCCTCTCCCCAACCCGCAACTATGGAACGGCTCGACCATCGGGTTCCTACAGGCCTGGGAGAGCTTCGCAAACGGCGGGTGGTGGCATGACCCTAACATTCTCACTGCTACCGGCAAGGGTATCGAGGTCGAGGAACCAAGAGCTTGGAATGGTTGGTGGAACGAGCAAATTGTGTGACTCCCGGCCTTCATAGAGTGGCTTGATATGGTACTTTTGGCTGACACCCTTGAAAGTTGCGCTTGGTTAAATTGAGCATGGATCAAAAGGATGCACTGACCGTGCTCTTGACGGGTCGAGGTGAAGCCAACTTCGCATCTCTCATCAAGCGCATGGCAACCAGTCAAAAACTGGAGTTTGATCTCATCGGGTTGAAGCCAGAAGTTGGGCCAAATGGTCAACAGTTTGCATCGACCATGAAATTCAAACAGAATTTCCTTGAGGACCTTGTTTACACTTACGACCAGGCTGATGAGATTCGGATCTACGAGGACCGTGTGAAGCAGTACGTATCCTTGTGTCTGGCGGTTTGTGTGTCATAATACTTATACCAATTACAGCGTGAAAGGATTCCGAGACTTCTTTGGCACGTTGAACCGGAGCTTGCAAGCTGGCCATGGCCCGGTACCTCGAAAGCCCCTCAATGCTGAAGTCATCCAGGTTACCGAGGGATGCACATACCTTGATCCTGTCACTGAAACTGCCGAGGTGCAGCGAATGATAAACTCCCACAACCTTTCCCGCCGCAACTCGTCCTTGGCAAAGGTCAAGTCACGATACTCACGGCTGCGCATCAAACGCACGGTATTCTACACAGGCTATCTCATCTCTCAACAGGATTCACAGCGCATCATTGATGACCTACTGAGTCCAATGTTGCAGCATACAGAGTCAAATGACCTGAAGTACATGGCTAACAGCATTCTGATCACTCCACGCCCTGCCACTCAGTCGATTCTGGGTAAAGTTGGAGGCATGGGGAAGAAATTAAGCTGGCAAGTGACTGGACTGGGAGTGTTTGAGAACAAGGTTTGGGCAGCTCAAGTAGTGCCCATGCCATCAAACGAACCCGTTCACACGGAGAATCACACGCCATTGATCGTTCTGGCTTGCCGCAGAGGATCTCGTCCGGCCGATGCAGGCAAGATTCATAATTGGCAACCTATTCCAGCCGGACTGGCCATAGCGATTGACACAGTCGTCGGGGAGAAGGTCGTCTTGCGAGTTGAGGAAGACAATCCGTACGACGGCGAGTGGGACAGCCAAAATGTCAACAGAAGCCATAAGAGACGCCATCAGCAGGAACGCGATGAAGATATTCTTTACCCTCACATAAGCCATGGCAGCGGTGGCTATGAAGCCGTGAACCAAGGACAGACACATGGTTATCACCCATACCAGCGTCCAGCCGGTGATAATCGACACTCCAACGATGAAAGCTCCCGGCGAGGTTCTCACCGAGGTCGCGGTCGTGGAACTGGCCGGGGTCGAGGCTCTGCTCGTGGAGGTCGTGGACGTGGTCGTGGGGGTCGCGATGGTGGCTCTAATCCGTACTACAAGTCTCTTGATGACCAGGGCATTGGCGGGTACGATGGACCTCACGACAAGGGTGGCAATGGAGGCGGAGGCTTCCCAATGGACTACTAAGGCCTGGGAACTGAATTGTTAGTGCGAGATTGACTCAAACCTGTATAAGTTAACCTCCCTGTCGCGTTTCTATGGCTTCTGCTGCATCGGTTATGGCGTACATCGGATATGGAGCCTGCAATCTGCGGTCATTGTTGTCTCTTCAGGCGTTAGTCTATCTTTTTGAACAAACATACTATTATCGTTCATAGCAGAACAGAATCATATGATTCTATGCCACATTTTACACTTGCTTGTTCCATCCCAAGGCTCTACCGGCTCGTGTCGTGAGACACCATGGAGGATCTAGTTGCTATTCATGGGAGTGTGTCCACAACAATAGGCCAATAGTTCGAGAAATTGTAAACATACGACTGAAGGATAGTTTGGCTAGATGGTTGTCAGGGACGTACTATAAGCTTTGCAACAGCGAAACTGAGAAGTCAATTTCTGGTAATGTGGCTCAATAGCAACTGGGGATGATATCTTACGTGGAAGCACATGTATTGGTATGAGTTATTTAAGTTTCATTCTCGGAGATTCAACTATCTAGAACGCGTCAAATCGACGCACCATCAAACCATATTTTATGCAACAATAACCATAAATCAAACTAGCCAAAGGCTAGATAAATTCAAAAGATCAAGCAGGAGCGAAACATTGATTTATACATGGATGAAAGATGAAACGCCAGAAACCCAATCCCACAAGGCAGGGTGGAGAAAGCGAGAAAAAAGCGCGACCAAAAACACCGGCCGCGAGGCTGTACAAGAAAAAGAATTGACATCCAACAGTTTATGACATTCGATCAAAGTTTGCTCGGCATATTGCCAAGCCCATTGCATGACAAAAATCATGGGGTAAGAGGATCCCTGATCCTCTGATATGTGCGTAAATCCCAAATTGTCCAAATCCAACCATTTCCATTTCCCATTGCGGGAGTTATCATCCCAGATTTCGTGTTCCGTAGATTCCATTTCGTGTTGCGAGCCATTGTCTTTGGCTCGTAGAAGAGATATTATTCGTGTCCCATGCGTGTCGTTCGGTTATAAGAGCGTAGAGATATGTGTAGCGTGTCGAGGGGGGTGATAAGTGCAAGGCGAACAAGTAAATCAACAAATGATGAAAAAAAAACAAATAGCAATCAATCAACAAGCATTTAGTCATCGTCAGTCAGTTTTCTCAGCATACTGATGCTCAGAATCATGATCAGGAGACCGATGGTGACGATCACCAATAGCACAAAACCGAACCAACCCAATACCATGGCGGAGGTACCAACACCGCTCTTGACGACGCTGTTACCAAAATCCTGGGCTATCGTGCTAGCTGCAACCGATGCAGTATGCTGCCATAATACTGAGACGAGCACGAAGACGGAAGACACGAAGATCAGGGCAAGGGCAGCTTGGGAAACGGGTCGAGATGGAAAGGGCTTGACTTCAACGGCAGAGCCAGACTCGTCAGGCTCCTCGTGCCAGCCGGGGAAGGTTGCGAGGAGGATGAAGCAGAAGAAAGCGAGAATGACGGCAACGATGCTAGATGCGGATTAGCGACATCCAATAACACAGGGATATGTATATGAAAACTTACAGAAGGTATGGGAACACAACTGCATCCTTGAATGTTGACGCAACCCAGATCAAGTTGAGTGGGTCTGCGTCGACATTGACAATCTCGGCGAGCGCAGTGGCGTTGGCGTTACAGATGAACGAGCCACCATCGGGCTGAATGCAGATACCAAAGTATCCCACGCGAACTTCCAATTCGGCGCTTTGTACAATGTTTGACATGGCCGTAACCACGCCGGGGTCGACTTGCGCGAGATCGAGAACGGGCTTGTACTTCTCATAGTACATGGAGATAAGGAAGATATTGGGTATTTGCGGGGATGATGAAGAGCATCCAGCCAACAAGAGTGCTGTAGACGGTTAGTAAACATTCCAATCTGATCGAGAAACGTGGGAAGCAAGCTAAGGAATGTTGTCAATGACGTACATAACAAGATAATTGCGACGGCAATAAGAATCATCAACACATGGTGGTATCCGACCATGGGAATGAATCCTGCGAATGGTATTAGCAAGACTTGTCTAGTGAGTTCAAGAATGGTATATAGGGTCCAACATACGGCCAATGCCCTGCGCGAATGCAATTGCCATCGTGACTGGTTATGGCGCACAAGCGACCACCTCTTTTCTAGATCGTCAAATAGACTCACTTCTCGGGTCTCCGAGAAGGAGTTTGAGAAGCTGAATGCAGAGTCAGAACCTCCGCTTAAACGCCCTTTGCCGGCGCCGGGATGATTCTCGACGAGGATAGACGGCCGTCAATTGACTTTGAAGATAAGATCGTTGGTATGGAATGTGGAGGACGGGAGGAGGAATGGAGAAGATAAGATGCGAGATAGGTCGAAGATCGAATTGATTCTGGTCGTCGAAGGTGGAAGTCGAAAGCACACCAGAATAACAATCGAGTTGAACAAGGCGGTTCTTCGGATCTGGGTCGCACCTAGATAACAGTATGGATACTGGTCAGAAGCTTTGAAGCTTTTCGAAACAATGGGTGTGAGATTGAGTTGTGTCGAAAGAGGAAGAATGTGTAGAAGGAATGGAAAGGGGGGAGGGAAGGGAAAGAGAGCGTAGCTGCAGCCCAAAAACCAGGTCAGTCTCGAAATCGACACAATGAAGCCCTTGGAGGCTGGGGATGGAGACGAGAGTATGGGAATCTGGGAGGCTGGGCCAACCGCCATTGTTTACTCTCCCGCTTCCCGGGAAACCAAAGGTGACCGCCTTCAGTTTTGGGTGTTCTGCCAGGGACAACTGGGTGGCGCCTGATCCTGACTAGTCCCAAATGGGGTTAGCCTTGATTGTCTTAAAGTTAGCCCCACCGTCGCCCCCCAGCCTCCAAGTTATCTGCCCGACCAACACATCAGTACATACAGTGCTCCATAGGGAATGGATTCTATGGAGTCAAACAGGGTCTACACACAGAAACTGGAGTTACAAATCATCCACAATGTTAATCAAACAGATTATGTTATTAGGATTAGAAATGCTTCGCCTAATCCACACATGAGAATAAAACATGACTCCATCAACGCCGCACCCACCTTCTGATAGAAGGGGTCCCACAACCATGAAAATGCACACCTCCAAAAGGTTATTGTCCAGTCCAGTACTCCATACCCAAAATCCAAATGCATGGTCCTTAGTTCACTGCAAACGAGAATCGCTTCAGATCCAATGGTGTGGTCTGTCCAGAAATTTTATGCTCATCCTCTCCGTCCTCGTCACTGTCGGGGATGATCAGATCTTCGCTGCCTTGAATAGAGTTGCGGGAGGATCTCGGCGCAAGCAGAGACTCTCCTTCACTCTGCGAATCCATAGAGTCGGCCTGGCGAAGCTTAGTTGGGAAGTTGATAGACTGAGATCGAGTCAAGGCTGCTTGCCCCATACGCTGCAACGGGGTCAATCGCTGGCGCTGTGGGGCTCTCTGAGCAGTCACTTGAGGCGTCCGGGGCGATGCGAGTAGCGCAGGCTTGTTACCGGATTGAAAGACCGGAATTTTGGTCATTGGAGACCGGCTAGAAGCAGCCTTGGAGCCTGCATTAAAGGTGTACTTTGAAAGGATCGACGAATTCTGTCGTTGAACATGATAGCCTAGAGCTTGATCGAACTCATGATCCTCGGATGCTTGATCTGCTTGAGCTTCGTCTCTCGGCAGTGCATCACTGCATTCAGTCTGTCGGACAGATGGGCTATCTTCCTCGCCCCGGACATCGGCTTCTGCTGGTCCTTGCACTCTAACTGGAGTTTCCATGGCATCTTGGACATCTTGCTTGGAGCCAGGGTCGGGGATCCCAGAGAAGATATCTTCAGCCACCGAGTCATCAGAGAAAACATCCAACCCCGACTTGCGTTGTTTCTTGGTTCGCGAGACCTTTTCTCCGCTGGGGCTGGCTTGGTCTGTCTTGGGGGCAAAGAAGCGGCTCCGAAAGTCAGGACGCGCTGGTAGCTGATCATCCTCGGTCTCAGAGCATAGTCTCTGTCGCTTAATGGGCTGAAGGGTAGATGCAGTCGCGGTTTGTGCGAGGAATGAGTTACGCTCAACGCTACGGACCATCGGGCTGCGGCCTTGGTCAGGCAGTGCCCGGAAGGAGGTCGATCTATTCGGTGTCGAGCGATAGGGCGAAAAGCTGGCTTGCCAGGAGTTGTTCGCATTCCGTTCCAGAAGTATCTGCTGGCTCGGGGACGGGGTGAGACTGTTCGGATCCAGCTCGCCCAGCGGCATGCGCTTCGGGGTGAAGATCGAACTGATGGGCTTGCTGGGCTTCAGCTCGGAAGACGACCCCAGAGTCTGACGGCGAATAATCCCCCGGAATAATTTACCTGGAGCCACTGGTTTCAACTCAATCGGTTCCTTGGTTGTCGGGTCCAAGTCACCGCAGGCCACTCCAGCTGCAATGTCCGCCACCACGTCCGCGCCGATGAATGGCAGCTCGTCAAGGTTGATCCCATCTTCGGGAGGTGTAAGAGTCACCAGCTTCTTAGCATTGGGGCAGAAGACTCGCTGGTAGAGGAAAGTAATCTCCGCCTGCTGGAACTTGGCGAGATAGTCAGCGGGAACCTGAAGATGGTTCTCAAATTGCAGCATGCGCAAGGTCTTTTCCACAGTTCGGTGCTTGCGAATGCTGCGATAGGCAGTCTTCAATCCCATTTTGGGAATGTTTGCCAGGTAATCACATCCACTCAGGATACACATCCGTCGGAAATCTGCGTCACTCCAGCCAACCAAGCTAACTTCCCGACAAGCGGTAAAGTCTGCCCGGTCAATTTCGATGCAATCCCCATGCTGGTCCATTTTGGACAATAGTCTCTTCGCACCAAACACCAGCAAATCCGAGTCCTCGGAAATGATTCCATGAATGAGACCCTGTTGCTCAAGGTACACCAGCTGGGCATCTGCTTCATATGGGGCCACCACATATTGAACGTTCATTTTCTTCAATTCCTCAATCAACTGACGGGCCATGTATGGGGTAACGTCGACTGCCTTCTGGAACTCTTGGTAGGCTTCCGCCAATCGACCTTTGCGTTGTAGATCAAGCCCCATTGCCTTGCTCTGCTGGCGGCGTCGATATCGGTCCTGCTCAGTGCCGGCTTTGCTAGGGAGATTGTCGCCATCGAAAACGAGATATGGGGTGACGCCGAAGAAGAGGAGCATGCGGACTCGATTAAGGACGAAATCAAGATGTCTGCGAGTCCGGTGTTAGATCAACACCGCACATATATATGATGAGCCATGCAGATTACTTACTTTCTGGTAGGTCTATCTAGGACCAAGTCCACTGAGCAGGCCACTGTACCGCGGTGGAGCCAGCCATAGGCATCGACGCCAAGGGTCTGTCCACTCAAATTCTTCAAATGACATGGTTTTTGTATGGACTTGAGAAGCCCGTGAAGTCCTATAGCTTGTCAGCGTCCTCCAACCCTCCCCCTGACTCGATCAAGAGCATATAACGCACCCTTGATACCCATGGCGGGCACCGTTCAAAGGACAAGCGGGTCCTCGTTATCTACTGGAGAAGCAGTAACATGTATGTTCAGAAACGACCGATGTTCAGCAAGTTGGAAAGCAGAGGGGCATAAACAAGACCAAACGAATGCAGAATCACCGAGGAGATCACCCCATGGTAGTCTGCTGGAATGTTTGTCCTCGTTTGTTCCCCTCGACGCGCAGACGCGATGCACGGTCGCGATTGGGAAGGCGGTGGCATTGTCGCGACTATCATTGACCGCCCAATTCTGCATGCCGCCCGAAAAATAATTATCGTTGCTGCTCCACTAGTTAATTCAATAGTTTCAAGCAATCGATCCAATTTACCAAGAACCGCCACCATGCCGAGTGTATCCCTTTCCAAGGTGCATAAGCACATTTCCAAGAAGCGCGGCGCTATGGACTCCATGCACGAGAACAGCCGTGACGCCAGGCGTCTGCGCCGCGCAGGTTCCCGAGAGGAACGACTGTCCCACCATGCGGGCATGACATTGAAAGCCCGCCAGCCATACAGTTAGTACAACGGCTGAATTTATGAATCGCATTGTGTCCTCTAACCTTTAATTAGTGGAGCGCATTCAATATTTCCACGATGCCGTTCAAGCTGTTGAGGAACCCTTGTCCGATGCCCAGCTTACCGAGATGATCCTAAAGTACGTTCGCTATCATGGATTTTTCCCGTTGAGCCTCAAGACTAACAGACTCTAGGTGCATCCACCGAGACGAAGAAGAAATCGCACAACTCAAGTCTGAGCGCCGAAAAGGGCGGCCGCCGACCCGACGAGAGGAGCTTCTGTCACAGCGGACCGAAACGGAGGAGAAGGAACTCAAGACCGGTTTCTGGTTGCCCGACATGGGAGATGCAGATGTACTGCACGCTCTGAAGCACTGGAACGGCAATTGGGCTGGACTCAGCTCAGTCAAGTTCATTCGAATCACACACGAGGGAGTGAAGCAAGCCTCGACCTTCCCGCCCAAAGGCATGTCATAATTACGGATATTTCTCTATTTTGATGAGTGTGGGACGATTGGCGCATACGGAGTACATTTGGCCCTATTTGTCCTGTCGTATATAAAAGTATTTGCATCTGCATGAAATATGACACTATTCATAATTTACATTCTATATATGGTTCCACTATAAATCGTTGATTCAATCCCTCGCTGTTATCATCAAAAGTCCTCGGCAGATCTGCAGACCAAAACTTGGGCGGTGCCAGAAAAAGCGTGGGTCTTGGCGCTAGCATCATCGGTTGAGCTCGGCCGCCTCTTTTTCTCCTCGAAAGCTCTCTCCATTCCCAGAACACATCCCCGGATCCATACTCATCCACCCCTCACAATGCTGTCGCTCCGTGCCCTTACTCGCTCTGTCCCGCGCTTCTCGCGCTCCGTCGCCCGCACTTCTCTGCGCCCGACTATCCTGGCTAAACCCGCTATTGCGCAGCCCTGGAAGCAGGCCATCAAGCCCGCCTACGCTGCTTTCTCAACTGCCAGTGTTTTCCGGGAGCCCGCTGGTGAGGGTAAGTGAATCAATCAAGTTCTTCTCCGCCGTCTATTTCGGGGATGCAGATCCGATCTTGCCGTACTGTGTTTCATGTATGCTAATGCCTGGTGTTTTGGTTTTTTCCAGGTGACATCGAGCTTATCGCCAAGCTCGAGGAGGAACTGAAGCACGAGAAGGCCTCCGGCCAGGAGGATGCCAAGGAGCAGCAGGCCAGCATTGACTACACTCTCGAGGCTGGTCAGTGGCAGGCCAAGGATGTCGAGGGTGAGCAGGAGGTTGTCCTGACGAAGACCTTCGGCAACGAGACGTGAGTTTTTTTTCGCAATTCCATCATCCAGTCATCAATCATTAACCGGTCCTCATTTCCTAGCATCCGCGTCACCTTCACCGTCGCTGACATCAACAACCTCGCCGAGGACCCCATGGACGACCTTGCCGACGATGCTCTGGCCGACGAGGGCGACTACCAGAACAAGCCCGCCGAGGGTGAGGACGAGATCCTCCCCCCTACCTTCCCCGCCCGCATCAACGTCACCATTGAGAAGCCCAACAACGGTGCTCTCCTGGTCCAGGCTGTCATCCAGGATGGTGACCTCCAGATCGAGGAGATCTCTCACTTCAAGAACGCCGAGATCGCCAACGCCCAGACTGCCGAGAAGGACTGGTCCCGCCAGAGCTTCTATGCCGGCCCCCCTGCTGAGAACCTGGACCCCGAGCTCCTTGCTTTCTGGGGCCGCTACCTTGAGGAGCGTGGCCTGAACCTCGAGTTCCAGAACATGGTCACCGACTACATTGCGTTCAAGGAGCAGAAGGAGTACGTTCGCTGGTTGGACAGTGAGTTTGCCTGCGCTACTTCTACGCATGGAATATATGCTAATCTTTTTTATAGACGTCCGCAAGTTCGTTGCTGCTTAAATGATTCTTGGAATCTAAACCTCCCCCTTCCCTCCTCTCCCCGTGGAATTGTCGCCCACAGCGTAAATTTTCGTGGAGGGACATTTCAACCTTCTTACTCTGTGTTACTCTCCCCTTTCCCTGTGATAGCTCGCCTAGTGAATCGGTCTGCCTTGGCGCTACCAGCTCATACAGTCCGAACATGTACCAATAATTTCTTATCATATATGAACAATCGACATCTTGAAGTCATCAACCATTTGCCTCTTTTAACTATACAATTTACAAGATTTACTGATAAGGACCCCATGTTCAAGTCACCCATAGGTAGTCTATCTGGTGTTTAGGAAAGCCTTTCCGCTGCTGTGGTATCAAAGGTCCTGGATGTCAACAGCAGCAAAACTATGGTCTTGAAGAGAAACTATACAAAGAGCCTCCATAGGGTGTGAACCACCCTATTTCTTCCACTGCGAATTCATTCAGTCAACCCCGCCCCAACTTGCTTTGAAATTATTCCCCTTTTCTCTCCCGCACTCTGAGAACAGGACATGTAGCTGGCCTCCGCCCTGCTCCCGCTTGGATGTGGCATAGAGCTTGCACAGAATCAACGGGCAACCTTATCACATCGATTTTGGAATATCCAATATAGCAATGATCTCGATGGATTCGTCCCTTGTCAGACAGATATTTTTTTTAAAACTTAATCCTAGACCAATTTGCCCTGGTCACGAAGCCCAGGCTGGGGCGGAAGATAAACGCCAGTTGCTCAAAACCCATAATTGGTCAATCTATCGCCTTTACCCTGATGCCTTCTTCTTTAGGCCAGGGCGACGCTATTACCGTCGTACCGATTTGACTATCCCCTTCCTTGTCTTTTCTCTTGTCTTTTCTCTTGTCTTCTATCTTCTGTAGGTTATGTGAATTCTGCCGGACTTTCTGCCTTAAAAAAATTGGTTTGAGCAATTGGCGCTTATCGTCCGCCTCACCCGGGCTCTTGTCGGTGTTTGTTCTCGTTGGAGCCGAAAGCGGAAACTATATATATCCATAACACTAGGCAACTTAAACTACGCCCTGTTGGTTGCCACACAGATTCTTGGGATCAACAAAAACAACCGAGACAGATTTGGAAATTAGAATAAGTTTACAGTTCAATTAAAATTGTTCTTCCTTCAGGTCCCATGAGACTAATCGGAACCTAAAACTGGCCATGAATACACTCGCCATCCAACCAATCACGGACCGGATACAGCGCATACTCTGCACCCGCGTCCAACCGTGAAGAAGTAGGCCTCATCAAGGAATCCTGCTCCAAGACGGCAGACTGATCATTCAGAAAGCATTCGAGTTGGTGTTCTAACAGGATTGCTCGACGCTGGGCCCACCAGCAACGGCCCGGTGGTAGTAGACGACCAACCGCGCGGAAAAAGTGTAGCAGGAGGAACAGAGCTCGTCGGTCATGCGCCGCTACAAGTGACCGGAACGTGTCGCAGAAGTGAATGGGATAGGAGAAGAGGTATCGAATGATATCAGAGAGCCGGACTGCAGGATCAGAGGAAGGATCGGAATCGCTGCTAATAACTTGATCATCCCGAACGGCAACTGAAGAGGATTGCACGGCCAAAATAGGTGCTAAGCGACCTGCCGACTCTGAATATGCTGCAAGGGCCGCTGTGTCGTTGACCAGACTGTCTGCGGACAATTGCAATGTAGCTGTATCCGACCGGTATCCTCCCAGCAGATACGACTCCATTTGGCCCAAGACGTCATGCCCCTGTTGCTGTCGTCGCACGGCCTGGACAATCCGGACACGAGGTCTCTCACGTGCATACTGACGCCATGGACTTTCACTATTTGGAGCAAGAGCACCCATTTTCAGGAACAGATACCGTAGGCCAACCGATAGATTTAGTAGTGGATCAGCGGCAAGATTAAGACTGCTGGTGAGCTCACGAGAAACAGTGGGCGAGTTTGGTAAGGCAAATAAAACCGCGGCATGGTCTACGCTAGACCACGCATAATGATACAGTAGTAGCGAAACGGCCATGAGTGCATCTGCGGGTGTGCTTGAGATGGAATTTGACAAGGCATCTTGAAATCCACGCAGCGTCTTGCTCAGATATTTACTCGCTGCATGGTGATATCGATTCTGTCCAGGGTCCGGGGACGGCTCGAGGACAGATCGATGCGTCGCGGCAATCATAAGAATGGCGTTCTTGAGATATTCCACCTTTGATAGATATAGTGTGAGCGTAGCCCCCCTTGTGAGAAAAATAAAAGCCTACTCTAGTTTAATGTACATACCTGCAGGGATAAACGCAGTAAGGGACCTCGCCAGAGTTCTGACCTGAAAATAAGGGTCGTGGCCGTGTGCAGGGCGAAATGATGTATGAGTTCCCCTTGGAGGCCATGCTCCCCCGCCAGAAATAAAAATTCTATGCTAGGGGCTGCCTTGGGTGGGATTCCTCTCTCCGGGGGAGCTTTGCTTTGTGCTACTGGCGGCGATGCACATGAACCTTGAGACGAATCTGCGCTATGCCGAATGCAATCCTCTCCTCTTTTCCTGCAGTTAGCACATGCCGGGACTGCCTCATCGCACTACAGTCCATATCAGCATCGAACTGTCTAGCTTCAGAAGAGAACAGAAGTGAGAATACTCGCCTTGATACGGCGTTTTTTGCACGTCCGACAACCGGAGCGAGACTTTGTATGTCGACGTCGCAACCGTGGGCCTTCGCGCAGGTTATCTACCAGGTCTATCCGCTTCTGGTGAAGAGTGTCGTGGGAAATATTCACGAATAGCTCACAGGAGGAGTGATTCACGCTCATATTGAGTACTAGAGATGACATCAATCTGTCGCATTTTTCTGTAGAGACTCATCCCATTCGCTTTTTAGGTCCGGGGCTGTATATCTCGAAAGTCAAGAGGGGGTTCGATTAGGCATCCACGATTCCATTCTTTGGCGGCCCGGTATATTGTATGCTTTGCATGAAATGGGCAGGTTGGCCAGCATGAGATCCATGAATGTCAGATTGCTTACGAAGAAGTAGACGCTGAAACAGGCCAATGGACGACCCCTACGCACGCCAGAGGCTAAGCCTGTTAGGGAATACGAGGGGCGGTGCAGTCAGAGTCTCCGAAATTAAGTACATATGAACACCGCTCACCTGTTGGGGAATACGAAAATCAGAGGAGAGAAGTGATGCCTGTTTTTGTATTGATGTGGTTCCAAGAAAGGAGTACTGGCCTCCAGAAGAAACACCCGTAATGAGAATCCCCGAGACCCAGCCGTATGCCCAAAGGGGAGTACGAAATGACGGCGGCTTGAAAGGACTATATAAACAATAGTAGAACGAGCATCGAAGTAATGGAGTCTTGGAAGAATCTATTCACCAGCGATATCTCTCGTAAAAATCAAGAAAGTGACATCCATATCCGGACCGGATGATGGCCGATGCAGAGTTGGCTAAACCTGTGGATTGGCCGCCATGCTCGGATGAGGAGCGACAACGTATTGAGAGCCAGACTCGTATGGTTACGCAGGCAAAGTTTGGATACTTGTGCCTCTATCGGTATGCGAGCGCCTCTGAGGTCGCTGCTATGATTCTCTGTTCACTCTGTGCGGTGGGCGCCGGCGTAGTGATGCCTCTCATGTCGGTAGCTATGCCCGTCCCAGCACAAACTATGGAATTTCAGTTGCGCTAAACAGAAACAGATTGTCTTTGGCAATCTATCAAGCTCCTTTGTGGGAATCGAGAGCCAGCCAGTCGACTTTGCCGACTACCAGCATCTCCTCAATCGCTATACGCTATACTTTGTATATCTTGGTAAGCTGCAACCAACCTTTGAATACCATCAGACATGAGTTGATAATGGATTCTGACCATATACTAGGTATTGCCTCCCTGGCTACAGTAACAGCCAGTACATTTGGATTCAGCTATCTTGGCTTCCGCTTGACATGTAAAATCCGTCAAGCCTACTTCGTCAGTGTCCTGCGTCAGAACATCGCATTCTACGATCACACCGGCGCCGGTGAGATTGCTGCACGCATGACCGTGAATATCAACACTATCCAGGAGGGAGTATCTGAAAAAGTCGGGCTTACTCTAACGGGGCTGGCCACATTCGTGACAGCCCTGATCATCGCATTCCTGCGATCCTGGCGGCTCGCACTGGTCTTGCTCTCCGTCGTCGCAGCCATCATCCTTACCATGGGGGGGCGTCGGTAAAGTGATGAAGCGGTTTCAGGCTCAGGCTCTGGAGACATCCTCGGCTGGTAGCACGATTGCGCAGGAAGCCATGTCCTCAATGCGCGTCATTAGTGCACTAGGTGCTCAGTCTCACTTTGAGAAGCAGTTCACGTCGAGTATGGCTGCTAGCGACCGATTTGAGCTGAAGTGGCGGGCAACGCTGGGAGTGCTCGTTGCTCTGATGATGTTCATCATGGTGACCCAGTATGCACTTGCATTCTGGAAGGGCCATCAATTTTTAGAGAACGGCGAAACCACTATCTCCAGGCTTCTCACCACGATAATGGCCTCCATGATCGCTGGTGCCTCGTTTGGCCATATTCTACCACACCTGGGTAGCTTTGGTGCCGCTGCAGAAGCTAGTGGTAAAGTCTTCAGCCTGATTGACCGCGAGTCGCCCATTGACCCGGGATCAATGCAGGGTCGCCAGCCCTCCCAGATTGACGGGACCATCACTTTCGAAGACATTACGCATTGGTATCCTTCTAGCATGGAGGGTCCCCCGGTGTTGAACCACTTCTCATTGCACATCCCGGCTGGCAAGACCACTGCAGTCGTCGGGGCATCTGGATCAGGCAAGTCTACATTAGTAGCCCTCCTGATGCGATTCTACTTACCGGCCAAGGGAGCCATTCTGGTAGGTGGAAACGATATTGAGCAGTTGAATGTGCGATGGTGGCGGCAACAGGTTGCCCTCGTCAGCCAGGAGCCAGTCTTATTCAGCGCCAGTATTTTCGACAACATCGCATATGGACTGAAGGAGGGTGAAATTGGCGAAGTATGCGCGAATAATCATTTTGAAGGGGTTGATGAGTGAATCATTTGCTGACATACATCTAGCTGGACCGTGAATCGCGACGGCAACGAGTGATCGAAGCGGCTACGGCAGCTAATGCACACGACTTTATCTGTCATCTTCCCCAGGGCTATGACACAGTGGCAGGAGAGGGCGGCATGCTACTGTCTGGCGGACAGAAGCAGCGAATTGCAATTGCACGCGCTCTTATCTCGAACCCTCGCATCTTGCTTCTGGATGAGGCTACTGCGGCACTGGACAGTATTTCAGAGCTTTCTGTGCAATCTGCATTAGACAAAGCGGCCCATGGCCGGACAACCGTCGTCATTGCCCATCGTCTGTCCACTATTCGAAAGGCGGATCATATCGTTGTAATGGCTGCTGGACAGATTGCCGAGCAAGGCTCGCACGATGAGTTGCTCGGGCAGCGTGGTATGTACTTCTCCATGGTCCAGGCCCAGCAATTACAAGAAGCCCAAAGTCAAGAGCATGCTGAACCAGATCCCGTGCCTGTGGCACTACTCGGCATAGAGGAGAGTAAGACGATCGATGGATCCCGTATGTCTATTCTCGATAAGCCGACCAGCATCATGGAGAAACAAGCTGTCGACGAGATGGATAGTAATCAGGCCATGAGGTCCCAGGGTCTACTCTCTTTCGTCTGGAGCATGAGCATGCCAGAACTCTATATAACTCTGGGAGGCTTCGTGAGTGCTGCGTTTGCAGGATGTGTCTATCCAGTCCTGGGAATCATGTTTGGAAACGTGGTATTCGCGTTGACCCCGACCAGTCGTGGCGGCAGTACTTCAACCGTGAACTTCTGGGCGGGCATGCTCTTCATGCTAGGCATGTTGGCGCTTGTCCTTTACACCCTGCAAGGTGTAGCGTTCGCTATCACAGCTGCACGGCTGATCAGTCGTAGTCGCAGCCGTGCCTTTGCCGCAGTGCTCCGGCAAGATATCCCCTTCTTCGATGGCAACGAGGAGACCTCCGGCGCACTCGTTTCATTTGTGACAACGGACATTCAGGCAATCGCAGGAATTAGCGGTGCGACGCAAGGCGCTGTCGTGAACTTTGTCTGGACCATCATTGCCTCGATCGTCATTGCCTGCTCGTTCGGTTGGAAACTCGCTCTCGTCTGTACCTCTACCATGCCGCTACTAGTCTTCTGTGGCTTTCTCCGGACATGGATCCTGACACGGTTGGAGCGTCGCACACGCCGGGGTACCTCCGCATCGGTGTTGGCTTGTGAGGCCATCAACGCGATCCGGACGGTTGCTGCTTTGGCGCGAGAAGAGGCCTTGTCGCAGTCATATCGCGAAAGTCTATTGAGACAAGAACCGAAGTATCTTCGAGATCTGCTGCAATCGGCTTTTCTTTATGCGCTCTCGCAATCCCTTTCCTTGTTTGCGATGGGCCTGGCCTTCTGGTACGGCGGGACTTTGATCTCGCATGGGGAATACACGGTGAAGCAATTCTTCATCTGTTTTGTATCCGTTATTTGGGGCTCACAGGCAGCCGCGGGGATATTCTCCTTTGCCAACGAAATTGGATGTGCGCGTCAGGCAACGGAGCGATTGCAGGACCTGCTGTCTCGAACACCTCCCATCGACTCCTGGTCGTCCACTGGACTGCAGGAAGAGATAAAGGGCGATATTGAGCTGCATGATGTGCATTTCCGATACCCAGGGCGTCCAGAACAGCCCGTTTTGCGCGGAGTCACCTTGAAGGCGAAGCGAGGCCAGTTTGTGGCTATAGTTGGTGCTAGCGGCAGTGGGAAGAGTTCGATATTCGCTCTGTTAGAGCGATTTTATGACCTCGACTCGGGAACTGTGGCGGTCGATGGTAGTCCAGTATCTCAGTACCATCTCCAGCACTATCGCCGTCAAATTGGCCTGGTTAGCCAGAATACTGTGCTCTTTTCGGGAACGATCTGGGATAATATTGTGGCTGGATTGGATAACGTCAACCGAGACGAGGTGATTCAGGCTTGCAAAGATGCGAATATCTATGATTTTATTGTCAGTGATAGATCATTGACCGTTGCTGATGGACTTGACCTGTTGATAATTTCCGGGGACAGATTTCACTCCCAGAAAACTTCTCGACATTCGTTGGATCAAAGGGCTCTCTGCTTTCTGGCGGCCAACGACAACGACTCGCCATTGCTCGCGCATTGCTGCGACGGCCCAAAATCTTGTAGGAACCCATCTCATCCTGTTTTGTTGCAATTGCTTACTCACATACGCGGCAAACCTATAGATTGTTAGATGAAGCAACTTCCGCACTAGACTCGCAAACGGAACTTGCAGTGCAAGCAGCAATCGACCGAGCGGCTCATGGACGCACGACGATCGCCATTGCGCATCGCCTCAGTACGATCCAAAATGCAAACTGGATTTACGTCTTAGATGGTGGACGGGTGGTGGAACGAGGTACCCATACAGAGTTGATGAGAACTCGAGGGAGATATTGGCACTTAGCCCAGGCGACAGCCACATCTTCGTAATATATGATCGAATTAGAATGATGATATTCAGGTTCATGCGCAAACACCAAAACGCCCAGAAAGCTACCTATCCACCTAAAAAAGTACACGTATGAGATGAGTCTCGATTGTTGACAGGGGCATAAGTTCATTAATCTCGATGATCCATCGCAAGAGAAGTAGTATACTTCAAAACTCCATCGGATCAGCCTTAACTGGAGGGACGGTTTCTTCACGCTCTCGTTTGACCGCACGCTCTTCCTTGAGAAGGTTCGCAATGAATGATCGGAAGAACTCGATATAGGGCTTCAGGCTAGTCTTCTCATAGTCTTGAAGCTTGCGGGTTCCCTTGATATCTGAGCCGTTCATTGCACTGCCCTCGGCGTCAGGCATTTCTGCGTCTTGGGTACCAACAGGATGCTTTGCATCGTAGGCATCAATTTCACCTAGCAGTTCCATCACTGTCGGGACAGAGAGGGGGTCAAATTCATCTGCTTTCCGGGGATCGATAGGCACACAGATGCGTCCTGTGCCAGGGTGGATGACGAATGGACTCTTCAACAAGTGAATCATCTTCTTACTGACTTCGGCATCAAGGCGAGGGTAAGTATACTCGAGGACAATATCTTGCTTGGCATCTCGCAGAGTAGTGGTGTTGAGAGTACTGCTTTTTCCGGTCTTAGCAAGGGCATCGATATCAGCCCACTTGCTAGTGCTCGGGCGATCCGGAGACGAGTCCCACTTCCTCTTCAGAGCCTCATTCAATGACTTGTCTGGAAGCAATCCTAGAAGTTTCTCCGCTTGCTCAGAGCCAGCAAATGTGTCTTGATCAACGAGGGTAGTCTGAGCGAAATAGTTTTTGAGGAGATCCAGACTGCGGGTAACGTGGGGGTGGAGCGGCCGCTTGATGTTCACTCGCTTGCCGCTTTGAGAACCACCGCGCAGAACCTCGAGGTATCCAGCAATCGCCCTTCTCCGGTCATCTGGTAAGTTACGCGCACGTGGATCGCAGACCCACGCGTGAGCACCACGACGACCGGAGTACACCCATAGAATATGCTCAAATCCAAAGTCTTCTCGAAGGGCGCTGTCGATGACCTTGATAGCCATTGTCACAAATGCCCAGCACTTGTGGCAGATACTAGCTCCCTGACAGCACGTTCGAATGTCGTCGTAATCTGTCATATCGATATCGAATACCAGCTCTTTTGAAACTGGTTTCATCTGACCGCCTCGGAGAGTTTTGCGATCGCGGGGGTTGGTGCTATACACAGGTCCGATCTCAAATCGAGAAGGGTTCATCTTGAGAATGTCTTTCCGGAACCTGGAATGCTCCACGTTAGTCAAGGATGTCGTTGTTGCGAAATTCCCAACTAGAGGGGCTGTCTCACAAATCTGCGGTCGGGTAAGACTGGTATCGAAGATATGCGTCATTTTGCAGGGTCAGCGCAAACTCGCGGTTGCCAAAGTCCTTCGTGGGGATGACTCCGTGGTTGAGCCATTGGAACAAGTATCGGAATGGGAAGAGACGTTGATAGAACGCGAGCATGACATCCGTGTCGACACCAGAGGTACCTGGGGCAGCGGCACTGCTGTGTCGCTTCTAATTAGCACCACAAATCCATTCCTCTATGCAGGCATTACAGGAGCTTACGCTGCTGGTGCCGGGGCTGGAGAAGATTCCATCTTCACATCCTGGGCACTAGATGCTGGGAACTCCTCGTCGTCATCGTCATTGAACATGTCCTCCAACTTGACCCCACCAGTCTCCGTCGCACTGTCCACAGGGGCATCTGGGAGCTCTCCATCGTCTCGACTAGGCGAAGCAGCAGGCGATACTGAGTGCGGCATGGTGATTAATTGATCTTTGGAGGGTCGCAATAATGCAATGAAGAAAGGCCCGCACGGATACGAAGGGACGCGTGAAGACGCGTCGCGCCCTAACCCTAGGGTCGACATCACGTGATAGATATCATCTTGCCTAATCTGGACGAGTCTCTACTAACCACCTCGAAGTTCATCTCAAAGAACCCTTCAAAAACCTACAAGATTCATGCTGTGAAAGCAGAGCATGAGCGTTGTGTCTGAGGGTTTCAATCGCGCTAAGGCAAGCCGTCTCCATGTTCCTGAACTTTCAGATTTTTCTTCCGTTACCGTTTGCGGCCTTTGTGGCATTGGTTCCTGTGCCCTGCTGGGATCCTTGGATGACAGCATGACTTACCACTCGAGACGAAAGCTAACAGCAGTTTAGGAATGATCCTACCTACCAATTCTTGCTTCAAGCCTCTCAAGGTCTCCATCGGCCATGGTAGCGGAGAACAGTCCTCCTAGACTCCTGGGTAGTGGCAACTCCATCTTTGCTCATTTTGGGTGGAGCTAGTGTTCAATCCGGCAGTCAAAGCTCGATCTTCTTGTCATGGACAGCCAATCGCTACTTCTGTGATTTCCATCAAGCACGGTCTCAATCAAGTGCCACGAATCTGGTCACTGTTCGATGCGCGATATCCATCGGCGGGGAAGCTACTCAACCATCCCACCCACATTCCTCCCATCGGCAGTCACCAATGGAGAGTGATTATCCGCACTCGAACGTTATGATCTACATTCTTCGATGCTGGAGGAAGCCCTCCGATTAGCAACTCTCCTCTCTGGCTGTTTCTGAACGCCGAGCCTCACCCTTTGTCGCATGGCTTTGCAGCCCTTGGAACATATACCCGAGGCTCAAGCCCTGCTATGATTGGCGGGCACTCTCTTTTCGCTTTCGCCTGCAGATGATCGTCTTCATCTGTGTGGGGCTTTGTGTCTCAGAGATCGCATGGTGACTACTCCGCTAGCTTTGAAGCTGACTTCCGGATTCGGTCACATTGAACTTTTTTTCTGGCATTCCCTTGAAGCTTGCTTGATCGGTCAACAGCACTCAGCTATTGTATCACTAACATTTTATGGAATAGCCTTGACCCCGAATGACATTTTTATCATGCCTTAATATCCCATTCTGATCTCTTGATCTGCCATTACAATCTACAGCAGCGGTCTTGTCCACAATGTGTCTTGTAGATCACAGATCTGATGGCTGCCATCTTCTTTCCTGAAACTAATCGCCGCATTAGGACTTGTGGGCCCATAATGGACTTTCCCCCCAGAAATGACACTACAAGATGTCACGTTTGCATCGTATACCACCCTATGGATATACACGATCCATAATTTCCCTCCTATACTCGCCCCGCGGATCTCTTGACTCCCAAAGCTCCACTGTCGCAGTACCTGCTTTCAGGTAAAGACAGCGAGTGGTGGATCTAGGTCAACCTTTGCGTCTCCTGGACACTACCATGGAATCGCCTTGTCCGTCATGACTTACATGAGCTCTCTTCCACTGAAATTGGATATAAAATGCACTCTCGCTGTCCTGCCATCGCAATTCTTTCCCCATCCTTCTTCAGTATTTTCACTCGTTTGAATTTCCCAAGTTTCTTGTTATCAAGCACCAAAAAAAACCTTTCAATTTCTCAAAATGGTCAACGCTCTGGCTCTTCTGGCTCTTGCCGGCCCTGCCTTTGCCGGCGTTATGCAGGCTCGAAGCGCCGACTACATTCAACCTTACTCTTCTGTTGGTGAATGGGTTCACCAGAGTGATGGCCACTCTTCGTGGTCTACCCCGTGCACCACCTCGACTAGCTCGACCAGCACCCACTCGACCAGCACCCACTCGACCAGCACCCACTCGACCAGCACCCACTCGACCAGCACTAAGCACACCACCACCCCGTGCACCACCTCGACCAGCACCACCCACTCGACCAGCACCAAGCATACTACCACCCCGTGCACTACTTCTACCAGCACTAAGCCCACCACTACCCCGTCCACCACCAGCACCAAGCCTTCTCACACTCCCGTGAAGCCTGGTCCCACCACTAAGACTATCACCATTGTGACCACGACCTGCCCTGGTAAGCCGCTATAACGAGCATTGCATCCACCAAGTAAACAACCTGCTAACCAGCTCTAGTCACCTCGTCGACTGTCACTGAGGGAACTACCACCTTTACCATCCCTGTTACCAAGACCAGCACCATCACCCTGACCAAGACCACCGTCTGCACTCTGTGCGAGGAGCCTGTCACTTTCCACAACTCCACCGTACCTGCCACTAAGCCGACCTCTGCTGTCGTTGTGCCTGTCACTAAGCCAACCTCTGCTGTCGTTGTGCCTTCTGAGTCCAGCGTCCCGGCCCAGTCCAGCGTCCCGGCCCAGTCCAACGTCCCGGCTCAGTCCAACGTCCCGGCTCAGTCCAACGTCCCGGCTCAGTCCAACGTCCCGGCTCAATCCAACGTCCCGGCTCAGTCCAGCGTCCCGGCTAAGCAGCCCTCTGTCGAGTCTGCTGCTCAGCCTGCTGCAACCCAGCCTGCTGCCACGGCTGCTCAGTCCACTCCCGAGGCCAGCTCTACCGGCGTCTTCACTGGTGCCGCCTCCAGCGTCAAGCCCGCTGCTGGCCTCCTGGCTGGTATCGTCGGTCTGATGGCCCTTCTGTAAATCAACAGTTTGGTCATTGTGGATGACGCGTACACTATGAATCCTTTCTAGTGATACGCCCACTCTCCGTTTCTGAGTTTCTCCTCGATCTTCGTGGTGGGGATCACAGAAAGCTTCAGTCTCGGTAAACAGATTTCTTTTTGTGCTTTCAGGCCATGGGTGCAGTCGATTATAGACCCACTTGACTATCCCCTCGCTGGACAGGGCAGGGGGGATGAAAGAGTTGCTCGGTCATTTCGAGATTTTGTTCATTGTCCACTCGTATTCGGCCGATCTCTATAGGTAATAATAGTAATACATAGCTTTTGCTTGGGATTTTCATTTTCGTCGTAACTTTCGATCTTTCTTTTAGAATTTCCTTAAAAAATATAGGGGAATGTCAGCACAGGGGTTTGTTCGGTATTTCGTGTGCCTTTTGGTGGTGCTCGAAATCCCATGAAAGAATGGAGGGCTGACCGTGGATCATCCTGTGAGGCATTGTCAACAAGCAACTCATTGATCATCCTACTGAGGTTAAGTGAATGAATATGGAATATTGGGGCCTTTCAATCAATCTTCGAGCAAATGCTAGGAGTATTGCTCTTGCTATGTGCGAGGCAATAGTAATGCCATCGGGTTTCTACTTGCTAACAAATTTCCATTACGCTTACCCGATTTGCGTCAAATACTGATCTTTGATGACTATCCGATACGAATGAAATAGTGAACAAACAAGACTTCTTTGATTAATGTGACTAGCTATTTGCCAGGATTCTCCAAAGTTTCCCGGGGATGGCTTTCTTTGATGATATCGTTTGACTGCCCCATGCGGTAAGGACTTCTCATACAACGAACCGACGAAGTTGAAAGAAAGTCACAAGACCAGTCATCTGCCTTGGTGAATAAAAAGCGCAGTCTTGCCCGTCATTTTTTTCCCATCAATTCTCCCCATCTCTTTCCACTCAAAACCTGCCTCTTCTGTCGCTGTATCCTACCCATCACCAACATCCAACCATCATCATGCCTCGCCGCAAGGAAAAGCGAAAGAAGGAGGATGCTGCCATTGATTCTGTACCAGAGTCACCTCCTAAAAAGGCCAAGAAGGCTGCGGGCCCGACGGCAGAAAGACCCAATATGCCCCTCTCTTCTGCTTCTATCAAGAAGACCATCAAAGGGACCAGCTGGCATGGCCCACCTCCCCGACTGAGCAGGGGTCCTCACCAAGCTGCTGAGGAAGCCAAGAAGAAGGAAAAGAAGAAGAAAGAAGAAGAAGAACACGATGACGAGGAAGATGACGAGGAAGATAAGGACGAGAAGGACGAGGAGGTGGTGGACTCGCAGCCACAGCAGGATCAGCGCAAGGGAGGACTTTCACCCAGGACCCGCGAAAAAGCGGCCTGGCTATTCTTCGAAAGGTACACTCCATTTACCTCCATCCCTACACAACCCCCAAATCTAACACACACACACCCAAAATAGCGACGGCAACGAAGGGAACCCCAGCCAAACGGGACACGAACTCTTGGGGCTCGCCACCCTCGAAATAGACGCAGACAAATGCATCGAATTCCAAAGGAACTGCGGCATGATAACCGATGAGTCTGGGAAGTTGACGTACCCAGTGTTAAAGCAATCAGACGGAAAGGTAGTAGAAGGACCCTCGGCATTGCGAGCGATGTATATCAAACGGAATGTTGTAATGGCGAATACCGGAAAGAAAACCCTGGACAAACCTACTATGAACACTGCAATCATGCTCTATTACCGATATAAGCTCAAGGGGCTTACTTGGCCGAGAGATGGGACTGTTACCTATTGGTATGATGGAGGGCAAGTGTGTGAGCCGAAGGTGTATGATCCTGAGGAACATAGGAAGCTTGCTGAGAAGTATGGGAGTATTTGGGTTGAGGGGTTGAGTGTGCCGTTTTATGTGGTGCCGCGTCTGTAGGACTGTGGTTTTGTTCGATGCTTTCTGGGGTTTGGCGCTTTCGGGACTTTTAAGTGAATCATGGTGAAATTGCAATGTTATTATTTTCCTTTTACATCGAAATTATCCTCCCACTTTTGGAACCATAAACATCATGAATATTGTAAGTCGCGTCTCCTTCAACGAGACATAAGGAGACTACCTATGTGAAAAGAACTTTTCCTTTTCCTCCACAAGCATATAAAAAGCCACAAATGAGTCTATATCAACATGCAATCAAGGAATGTGAATTAATTCTAACGCAGACCCTCAAGCTCCTGCTCAACCTCGGCCTTGACAATCTCACGGACACCCTCCCAGCCAGCACCGTGAGGAACGGCCGTAACGCGGCGCTCGCGCTGCTCAAGACCAACGAACTCCTCGGGGAGAACCTCGCTGAAGCTGTAACCATCCTCGTTGCTCAGCGCCAGGTCAACGGCGCTAGCGAACTTGGCAGGGTGGGCTGTGGACAGCGAGATGTGGTTAACACCGGGGTTACGCTGGATAGAGCGGCGGGAAGCAGCGACACCAACGGCGGTGTGCGGGTCGAGAATGTAGCCGCCGGTCTTGGAGCTCTTGGGGCTACCTGCGGGGAGGTCGGTGGGGAAGCAGGTCTTGTAGGTATCGCGGATAGTGGTGATGGTCTCCTCGTTGCTGACACGCTCACTCTCGAACTCGGCCTTGGCGGCCTCAATGACGGCAGCGGGGACCTGGAAGCCGCCCTCGGTCTTGAGCTTGTTCAACCAGCTGCTGACGCTCTCGCAGGCGTGCTGGCGGCGCTCCTCGGCGGTGCTGGCCTTGTCGGTCTGGAATGCGAAGAACCAGAGGAGACGCTCGAAGTTGCTGCTGACCAGGATGTCCATGGCGGGACTGTGGGTCTCCTTGACGCCCTCATCCGTGACTGCGCCGAGAGGCTTCTTAGTGTAGTGACCTTCGGTACGGAAGAAACGGTCGAGAATGCTATTTCATAATGGTTAGAGGCATTATGAAGGCAGTTGATGGGAAATTAACTTACTCGTTCTCGTTAGTCGCGACAACAAGCTTAGAGACTGGCAGGCCCATCTGCTTAGCGAACCATCCAGCCAAGATGTCGCCGAAGTTTCCGGAGGGCACGACCATGCGGACTCCAGAGCCCTTAACGTAGTTGGAAGACTTAGTGAGGGAGAGATATGAGTAGAAGTAGTAGGTGATCTAGGGATATGATCAATCAGTATACTTGCGATCAAAAGCGCTCGACTTCAGACGAAAAATATCAAACTGACCTGTGCGAGAATTCTGGCCCAGTTGATCGAGTTAATAGCGCCAATGTTGTGAGTCTTATTGATATCAGGGTCGGCGAACAAGGCCTTGACAATATCCTGGCAGTCATCGAAGGATCCCTCAACAGTGAGGTTGTGCACATTGGCATCAAGCACACTGGTCATCTGAGCCTCCTGGATAGGGCTGACCTTACCCTTGGGGAAGAGGATGAACACGGAGACATCCTTCTTGCCACGCAGACCGTAGATAGCAGCAGAACCAGTATCGCCCGAAGTTGCGCCAACGATGGTCAAGTGGTGGCGGTCCTTGCCAGTCTTGCCCGCGTTCTTGCGCACAAGGAAGTATTCGAAGAAGTTACCCAGACTTTGAAGGGCGACATCCTTGAAAGCGAAAGTTGGGCCGTGGAAGAGCTCCAACAGGTACAGGTTGTCCTTGGGGTCCAATGCGGCGACCGGGGTGCGCTCGGGGTGGCGGAATGTGGAGTAGGACTTGTCGATGATGGTCTTGAGGTCCTCGGAGGGGATTTCGGAGGGGGAGATATACCTGTTGTAGCAATCCAATTAGTGATGACCCTTATCGGTGGAACGAGAAGTGCTTCGCCAACTTACAGGGACATGATACGGTGGGCCAGCTCGGCGAAGGACAAGTCCCGCCATTCGGACTCCCACGAAGCGGGCAGAGAAGGGATCTCCTCAGGAATGAACAGACCGCCATCTGAGGCAAGACCCTTCATCACAACATCCTCAAAGGAACGCTAGACAGTCCAATGTTAGCCATGTACATAGGTGGCGGAAAGTGTTATAGAGCGGGCGGGGAGGTGGTACATACTCCAGACTCGCTACCACGAGTACTAAGATAACGCTGGGACATGATTGCGTATGCTGCCGAGTCAATTGAGTAAATCAACTGCGGAAAAGGGTGGGTGTAATGGAGAGGGAGAGAAAGAGATGGCGCGATGAATCACGGCGGGGCCCGTGAATCATTTCAACTTTTGATTATATTCGCCGCGGGGGGATGTGCGCTATCCCCGATTGGGACTAGTGGCTCCGAAAGCGGCCTCACGTGGGCGGAATCGATTGGCCCTACGCAAACTTGTTTTTAACGCTGGAGATACGCTGTAGATCATATCACAAAATGAATATCTTGGTTAAATTTTTGATTCTATCTCTATTTGTATTGCCTTGTTGTTCTATACATTCAATTCATCAATCGTCGTCTCATCCTTGCCTCGAAATTTCACTCGTTAACCAGCACGTAGCGGTAGCGCGCCTTGCCGTCCTCCATATCCACAATGGCCTTGTTAGCGTCCTTCATGGGGATCTCCTCGATCCAGGGTTGAATGTTCTTCTCAGCAACCAGCTGGAACATCTCACGGATCTCGTTGGGGCTGCCAACGAGCGAGCTCTCAACCTTCAAGCGACGCATGAGTTTACGCACGGGGGCGTAGAGAGTGCCGTCTTCGGGCAGACCAACTTGCACCAGACTTCCATTAGTGCGCAGGAGACCCAGGTAGTCATCCATGGGCATCTAAAGTAGAAATAGGTTAGCGTGAATACATTGACGTACAATCAGCCTCTAAAAGTCTTGTCTTACCTTGGTGGAAGAAACGGTGCACACAATCAGATCCAAAGACCGGGCATGCTTCGTCGCCCAATCCGGCTCATCATCAGTCGCAATGTACAGATCAGCGCCCATCTTAATCGCATCCTCGCTCTTAGCAGTCTTGCGAGAAATCGCAACGACCTTGTCGGCATTCATAGCCTTGGCAAACATTACACCAAAGTGGCCGAGACCACCAACTCCGATGATACCAACGCGCTTGCCGGGACCACAGCCATTATGCTTGAGAGGGCTGTAGAGCGTCACACCACCACACAGCATAGGAGCAGCAGCTGCCGAGGAAATGCCATCGGGGATCTTAATAGCAAAGTGCGCGGGCACACGGTTGTACAACGCATATCCACCGTAGGACTTGTCGCCATTCTGGTGAGTGCTGTTGTAGGTACCAGTGAACTTCTTAGAGCAGTACTGCTCCGAGCCCATAGCGCACTCTTCGCAATCACCCTGGCGACCCTGGCAAGAGTCACTCTGTGCGCCGACACCAACACGGTCGCCCACCTTGATGCCGTTGGTCACCTTAGATCCCACGCGAACCGCAGTGCCAACGATCTCGTGTCCAACACAGCAAGGATAGAGAGTGGGTCTCTATCAAGTGAAGTTAGAAAACACCATCCGAAAAAAAGCAAATAGATCTAATTATGTATACTCACCCAGCCACTACGCAGAGTGTGCAGGTCCGAGCCACAGATACCACAGTGGGAGATCTTGATATCGATATCTGTCTCCTCCCACGTCTTGGGCTTAAACTCTTGCCAGACCATGTTACCCTGGCCGGAGCTGGGATCCAGGCCCATCCAGCCCTCGAATTTGTAGTCGTTTTCAGCCATGGCGATGTATAGAGGAGTAATTGGTATACTTCCGAGGAGCGTGCAGGGAAAGCATTATCCCCTCATCGGGGCCACCTCCCATTTATATCATTTTCAGGGCCCCGAGGGGGGATCCAGGAACAACCAGCGGGACAGACCCAGAGTTCTCACTCTTGCTGGTTATTCTGGTTGGAGAAGTCTGGAAAATTCGGCACGGTATGGAGAATAATTGGTAAGCAGGCACCGGGTTTTCAGTGCGGATCGGGAAGTTGTGCCATCATTCGGAAGCTTAATGTTGATCCTGCCTTGGAACTTTAGTTTCTATTACGGACTGGTTTGATCTCGAGTTTAATCTCGAGTCTATATCCGAATCCCTGGGCGATTAGCATGGATGACCTGGATGATAAGCACAATATCACGCCTTCTAACAATTGGATTCTGCGAGAAATTGTGGATCCGTCACCTTCGGGAATTCTTCGGTCGTTGAAGATTCTTCGTTATCGTCTCGGCTCTAACGAGTTTATCTCCCGCTGGCTCCGAAACGACGCCCGCCGCTGACAAGCCGGACGCCAAAAAGCTCATGTTGGGCCCACCGTCAGACGCTTGATAGCACTTCGCCACAGTGGAAAGAGACCCCACAATGGAATCTACCCTTTGAGGAGGTGGCAAACCTACACGGGAAATGGCATATTGTAGTCGGAAACCACTCGTTTTCAACAGTAAAAGAAAAAAAAGATGTACATGCAAAAGGCCTTTTGAAAGTCCGGCAGGGGAACAATGCAGGGACAGAGAAAGGAAAATTAAACACATAAAAGGAAATAAGGAAACCGTTCTATCTCGTTCTGTTCAGATCCTCGCTAGCGAAACACCTGGTTATAAAAAACAGCCAGCCTCAAAGCAGGTGGCTGGGAACGCTATACCGTAACATAACACTCACCCTTAAAGGAGATCCATGATATCTTGGCTGGATTTCTGGGGTTGGCTCTGTGTGGGAGGGGAAGCGTGGCCAGAGAGATCGAGACCGGAGAAACCATTCATCAAGTCAGCTGCAGCACCGCCATTGGCCCCGCTGGACGAGGGTTGGGAAGGACCAGAGTCGCCAAAGACTCCCAGGAGATCGTCGAGGTTGTTGCTGGCCTGGGGTGCAGGAGCACCAGCCGCGGGAGATTGCACTCGGACAGGAGTACCTGCCAGACCTTCCAATCCGGACATCTCGCCAGAAGGCTCCTTGTGGGCCGAGGCCGGGGCACCGCCGTCGAAATCGATGTCCAGCAGATTCTCGACGTTGCTTTGCGCCTGCGCAGGTGCGGTGCCGCTGACAGCGGCTGCGGCCGCGGCAGCCAAGGGGTTCTCGCGCGCGTTTTGGAGTTGTTCCCTGTGATGAAAATATTAGCTTGAAGGACCTTCACAGTGAATGAAATATGATTTGACGTACTCGATAGCGGCCCGTTGAACAGCATCGGCACCGAAGCGGCCTTGTCCAACGAATTGCTCTGGGGGCTTGTGGTACACGGAAGAAAGGGTAGAGAGCTCCTGGAGGAGTTGTTCCAAGAGAGTGGGCGGTAATGAGCTGATGGTAGTGACGATGGGGGCTTCTCCGAGAGGACAATGTTCTTGGTAGCGTTCTGGTCGCTTGTGTTGGAGAGCAAACGCCAGTAGATATAGGCTCGGTCACGGACATCAGGGTTATCATTCTCGGCGGTGGCAGCCTGAAGCACGCGCTGGACGAGACCCTGTGCCTTCTCGGGCCGCTTGAGGAAGAGTTTGACCACAGCAGTAAGGATCTGCAATTGAGTTTGCGCGAACTCTTCATTGAAGCCATCCACGAAGCCACCGAGAATGTCACCAGCATTGCTGATCTTCTCGGCGTACTCACCCACAATCCAGATCAAAGCGGCGCGGGCATTAGGCTCGTCCAACTCGTCAATGCACTTGCACAGAGTGGGGATGATACCCTCATAACCAGGGTATTTCCGGAAAATATCCTTAATCACAACGATAGCCTCCTGAACGACGTAGTTCACCTTGGTGTTGATCAAATCCAACAAGGTGTTGACGCATTTTTCGCTAGCACTCTCAATCTTAATGGCAACCTGGCCAATCGCTTTGACGGCGCGACGGACAAAGTCCATGTCAACCTCCAGAGCGTATTCCTTCAACTCAGCCAGAAGCTGATCCACGTTGCGATCGTTTGCTATCCGAACCATAATCTCCAGCTTCTGGAACTTGACATAAGGCGGGTCGTTGTACTTGCAGAAGAACACACGGAGTTCCTTATTCAGAATATCAGGTTGTTTCTGCAGCAAAAGGTCGATGTTTCGCAAAGCCACATATTGCACCTCGGGTGCCGAAGAGACCAAAGTCACTTATAACCTGATTAGCAACTTGAAACCCGGCTGTGACGGAAATGAAAATTGTCTGACATACCTAGCGGGGGGGCCATCTTCTTAAGATAGTTCTTAGCTAACTCGGGTCCGACATACTTCATGTGCAAGAAGACGACCTTGACAGCCGCAAGAACAACACTGGCGTTGACATGCTGGAACTGAGGCGCAACACGTTCACAAATGTGCTCCGACTCCTTCACATCGGCCGCCCGATACTCTGCTAGCGTTGAGAGGATGGTTACCCGACCCCACTCCGTGCACTCGTTCAAAGCCATGAGCATTTTCCGTAGTGTGTTGGCAGTCACCTGCAAAGCTTGCGTCTCGGGGGCCGTGTGGTGAATTTCCGATAGCGCAGTCACGGAATTGGCCACCACCATGGGGTTGGGGTCACCGATCATCTCCTGCAGCATCTCCAAGAATCCGTTTTCGAGGCACATGGAGGGGTTCAGGTCGAACAACTTGGCAACGCAGATGGCAGCGGTCTTGCGCACGTAGGGCGACTCGTCGCGAAGGGTCTTGCGAAGTGGTTCCTCCATGTAATCCACCATCTTGTCCACACGAATGCAGCCCATAGTGCGAATTGCCAGGGCTCGGATTAGGGGGTTCGGGTCTTCCGAGTCTTGGACGAAGGTATTGACGGCGAGAATGCAAAGATCGGGGTGTGATTTGGCGTAGTTCCTGAAGAGAATCCATCTGGTTAGCCCATGCGCCTCTCCTCCCAAGTCGCGGGGAATACTCACATGAGGTAGAGGTAGACGAGTTTCTTCTGCTCCAGGTCCGCAGTAGCAATGTTCTTCAGAACATCGGGGAAAAGAGCCGAAACATCCTTGCCCAGGGTCATGGCCATGATCGTCTTCTGAATAGACTCTTTCCTGTTGAACCGTCAGCCTCGCCACGTAACTCCCTATTCCCATCGACCGCAATGGTTGCGAGCTTCGCGAACACCGACGTACCGTTCGTAGGCATACTGAGACCTATCCTCATAGTCAGTATCATCAATTCTTCATCCCGGCCAAACGGCCATCTGTTCTTAAAGTGCGGTGGGGGGTCATACACCAGGCCAGCTCGCAGTTCAAACGTCTCTCCTTTCCGGGGCACCGCAAAGGCGCCGCGGATCTTATTCATCGCCATGCCGGAGGATTATGAGCTTCAGCAACGACCGAGTCGTGCCTCCGCCAATGTCAATCGGAGAAGGAAGTGGACGTAAGTCGAGTCAGTCGGGCGACTGCGGGGGAATCGAGAGCTGTCACGGTCGCGCGACACGGGGTTTAGGGACGGAGACAACGATCGGAGACAACCGTTAAACCATTCCCTTCTCTTGCAGCGAACTGAATGGCGAAAATAGGAAACCGGTGGGTGATCGAAAGTCGAGGAGAGGCGGAGGATGGGAGGTAGAGAAAGAAAGGGTGTTTGGGCGATCAAAAGTTGTCCACAAATGGCGGGCTCTGGACCCTCCCGGACCGCTTTATGCTTCGGACCAACGGGCTCACTACGTGATCTCAACTTTCCCCCTTAACTTTGACTTCTTGAACCACGTACCGACTCTGCGCGAATTACGATGGTAAGTATCCAATATCCGACACCGACAATGCTGCACGAGGAGGCCAAGACTTAAAGCATCTGCAGGCTAATCTCCCCAACTTGCGTCGCCTCTTCGTCGAGGCCCGAACGGAGGTCGAGGAGAACGAGTACTCTCGAACAGCGGTATGGGTCCCCATTGCTAATATCAATGCTCAACGCAATTCCTGACTGGCAGCAGTTTTACAATCTCGTCCTATTCATCTCGTCGGTTGCCGTCTTCAGTCTTGCCGCTCAGCGCATGAGCGGTCATAAGGCCCGATGAGCGCAGTACATGCTACTCCCTACGCTTCCAGTGTTACAACGACAAAGGGCATGGCTAGGGATATCTTGCTATTATAAGAAGACGACGATACCGAGACTGGCACAGAGACCCCGCCAGACCATCGCTCGTGCATACAGACCTTAATCGCTCTCTTCTCCCTCACTTTCCAAAAACGCGAGCGCTTGACGTCCACGAGCCGCGCGGCGTGACGGTGCAGGCCCATCACTACCCTCGTCTCCACTGCCTGTTCCCCATTTCTTCGCACCTTGCTGGATCTGTTCAAGATCCGCCTTGAGTTCCCGCTCATCACGGATTTGCCGAGCTTTCTCGAGGGAATATCGTCCCTTCATTCCCGCGTCTTCCAGCATCTGTTTGAGATGCTTGATCTTCGCCTTTGAAGTTTCATATGGCTGTAACTCCCGCCACCACATCTTGCGGATTCCACACTTAACCAGCCACCCTTGTAACCGCTTGATCTCTGCTTGATCCGGGTCGAGGTCCTCATCCTTGGCTTTGGCGGCTTTCTTTTCTTTCTTCGGGGCAGCCTTCTTTGAAGCGCCCTCGTTGCTTTTACGCTTTCGCGCGGCCTTGGGCTTCGGCTCCTCGTCTAGCACAACGGACATTTCGCTCTCGGAATCATCTTTGGTAGCTTCTGCACTGCGGTTGGTCGCAACAGCCTCCTCCTCGCCATGGGATATTTCAACTGCCTCCGGCGAAGGTTCTTTGGGCTTTTTAGTCTTGGTAGTCTTTGTCACTTGTCGTGCGGCCTTCCTGGGCTTTGCGACCTCTTCCTCCTCGCTCTCCGCATCAGGTAGTTCCGATAGCTCGTCCTCTTCTTCCGAAACTGGTGTTTGTGTCTTTTGGCGCTTTCTCGGCTTCTGTGTGCTTACGGCCTTGTGTCGCTTGTTCGTTGGGTTCTGACTCGGTTCTAGAGGGGGCGATGACGCGGCTGGCTCAGGCTCAGGCTCAGGCTCGGATTCTGGCTCTGGCGCACTCGTTCGTAGTATCTCCTTTGTCGCATCCTCAAGTCAGCAATTAACTCTTAGAGTAACCCGTATTAAATGGCATGCAAAATCTCACAAATTCATCTTTGATAACCTCCTCGCTTTTCACTTTCCAGTCGCCAGTATTCCTGAAGAAATCCTGCTCAAGACCCAATTTCTGCTCGACGGCGTGGCGCACGCGCTTCACGGTGAGTTCTTCGAAATTTTTCGCCTTGTATTTCGCCGTAACTTCCTTGCGCAGTGCCTTTTCCAATGCCTGGTCGGAGGGAACGGCAGCCTCCGCCTCTGATTCCGAGTCCGACAGTGTATATCTCGGCGCCATGGCTATACTGCGGCGTCGGCCTGGCGGGTGGGTCGCGTGCGTGAAACGCTTGGTTTCAGGGTGTTGTGAGGTGGTAGAGGGTAGTAGGAGCGCGTCAATAAGATATAAGTCTATGCTGAAATCGGGATTTAGGAGGAGATCGCATTAGACGTATCAGAAACGTGTCGTCAGTGATTGATGAGGAAGTCGCGACTGCCCAAGCCTTGAAGATGCGGCTAACACCTGACCGCCCGCAACAAGCATCCCTAATCGTCTCATCTACAGTCAGTCAGTTTGCTTTTGAGCACACTCGTATGACGAAACAATGAAAATTAAACATCATTTCATTGGAATATATGAATGGACATGAAAATCACCGCTGCAGTTTGAGCAAAAATTAGGTATGTCGTCTAACCACCAAGATCAAGTCCGTTACGGTTGTTTATTGACAGTAAGTAGAGCAAATTTCATCGGCGCAAAGTTAAATTCAAAGTTATACCGACTATTGAATGAGAATCCATTGGCGTGGTACAATAGTCACAAGCTTAGCATCGATGCATTGGCATAACTCGAGCCTTCAACTGGTCAATCTGTGCCTAACAGCTAGCCCTATACCAGTCACGGGTCGACAACTGAATACGAGAAGATGTTTGACAGGGCGATCTATACGAAGTGGAGACCCTAAGCTTCTCCCACTAACTACCCCGCCTAGCCATGGCGTCGTCTAAGACTGTCAGCTCAAAGGTTATAGACCTTCTTTCAATACTCTTGGTACTCTTTTGCCGGAAGGATTTCATCTGGGATTGTCAGACTGGCTTTCCGTCACCAAGCTAACCAAGATGGATCCCATCTCTATCACCGGGCTGATCATAGAAGTCAGCAACGTGCTGTCCTGTGTGATCAATTATGCCAAGGCCGTCCAGGGCGCCAAGTCCGACATGCGCAAGTTAAGCGAGGAACTATTTGCTCTGAAAGGTATTCTAGAGCATATTTCAACGGGCATAGGCGACAATACACCGACACCTGAGAAAGATATCGAGTCGGAGCAGTCCTCGGGCGTGTTCGATCGAGACGTAATGTCACGAGTCCTATTCACGGCGAACGAATTCCTCCAAAGCCTACTTCAAGAACTCGAAGAGCCTGCAACTAAATTCAAAAAGTTGAAGCAGAAACTAGAATGGCCCTTCACGCAGGATCAAGTCAATGCGCATCTTATTCGACTCGAGAGGGTCAAATCGTGGTTGATCTTGGTTATCACAGCAGATACTGCGGCGGCGGAGAAAGATCTCCATCAAGAGATAATTAGCTTGTCAAGAAATTTGAAAGAGGATTTGCGCATTCGAGAGCAAGAAAGGGTTCAAAGGGACAATGAGGCGCTTTTCAAGTGGATTGCACCGGTTAGTCCGGCCGATTCGCATCTTCGAGCATCCAATGGACGTCGTATGGGAACGGGGCGATGGTTTACCAAGTCGCATTTGAAAGGATGGCTTCGAGATCCGTTGGATGGGAAAAGAATTCTCTTTCTTGTCGGTAAATGTATGGCTACTCTCCGTACACTATCAGAAATAGTTCTCAGAGCTAATGTGGTGGCTCAAATAGCTGGAACAGGAAAGACGACACTTTTGTCAGTTTATGATGGACTTTTCGATTTCATGCTTGACTAATGTTCTTCTAGTGCTCAAATCGTGGAAGAGTTAACTTCAATGGCTTCAGGCGATCCAAGTCTATGCTTTGCCTATTTCTATTGCACAATCAGCAATACTGCATCTCAAGCTCCTGGCAACGTCTTGGGCTCCTTGGTGGCACAACTTGCCAGATCGAACCCCGCTATACTGGAAAATATCCGATCGCTATATGATAAAATCCCCAAGTCGCAAACCCACAGACTTCCGGTTGATATCTCGGCTCTTGAAGATGCAATCATCAAACACTCTACTGGAAACTCCCGAATTGTCATTCTCGTTGATGCTCTCAATGAAAGCTCCGAGACGGATCATATCGAATGTTCTTTGTTGAAACTGGCGAGGTTGTCTTCGAACATTCGCATCCTTGTTACCACGACATCGACGAGAGCTTCTTCTAAAGAAGCTAACTTTTTGAACATCAAGGCTGGAACCATGAAAGAGGATATCAAGACATTCATTCAGTACCGCTTAGAGCATGATACTGCCCTTCGGAATTTGACACCAAAATTGCAGGCTGAAATTTCGGAGACCTTGCTCAAGGATGCAGATGGATCGTCAGTACACTACCACCTTCTTCTTTTCTTTCTTCTGACACCGCCATAGATTCAGATGGGTTCAACTCTCATTGGACAACCTTTGCGCTCAAAGAACTGCTAAAGCAATGCGAGCCTCCCTGTCCAATCTCCCCGGAACGCTTAGGGAGATGTACGCAAATACATTGGAACGTGTTAGCCCAGAAGATATACAATTCGTCCATGAAGCTCTCTTCTGGCTCAGCTTTGCGAAGCAGCCCTTGACACTGCGAAGCTTGAACGAGGTCGTGGTTCTCGATGAGACCGACACAATCCTAGACGAGGACATGATGCTCGTTCCGCGGGACATTCTGCTCCAACTTTGCCAAGGGCTTATCTCCGTGGATCAGGCCGGACACGTCAATCTCGCGCATTCATCAGTCAAAGAATTTCTGACCTCTGAATGGATCCGTACTTCTCGAGTGAGCCACTTTGCCTTGGACGCTTCGACCGCAGATACCACAATCATGCGAAAGTGTCTGACATATCTGTGTCTCGACAATTTCAAACCCGGATATAGTGAGTTCAAAAAGCGAACTAGAATACGCTGGTTCCTATACTACGCAGCCTACTTCTGGCCCACCCACGGCACTCACTGCAAATTCGGAGAACGCGAGCGAAAATTGGTCAACAGATTCTTTGCTACAAAAAGCCTTACCCGTCGGGGTAATTACGGTGTCTGGATAGAAGCTTTGATCCCGGGCGTGGATCATTCTATCATTGAAAATACAGAACCACTTTACTATGCCGCCTCGTTTGGCATGGCCTCCGTCGTCAAGGCTATTCTAGCATCTGATCCCGGTATAGACCTCAATGCTCCCGGTGGTCGTGTTGGAGCTACGCCTTTGTTTGCTGCTTGTTGGCGGCATAATTATGAGGTCGCGGAGATTCTTCTCAGGGCCGGTGCTGATCCGAAGATTGCTGATCCTGGCACTGGTGTGAACGTGATTGGACTGGCCAGGATGGGTAATTTCCTCTCCGTTCGAGATCTTCTACTTCGCTGCAATGTGGATTTGAAGTCTTGAGGTGATTTTGAATCCGGGCAACACATGGTGTCATCATTTTTTGAGAAATACCTATTTGATGCCTTCCGTTGTACTTTGCTCTTCGCCACTTTTCATTCCAGGTCGCCTTGGATATTACTTGGGTTGGAAGTTCGTGTTACAGATGTTCTTTATTAGGGTCATTTGGCTGCTTTTGATATTTTGTGTTCGAAATGTTGTATCTTTCCTCCCTTCTCGACAATATTTATGTACCATACGTAGAGCCTAGGGACCTCAGTCGTTACTGGCATATTGCTTCAGCAGTGGCAGATGCTACGGTGTATTGATGACCTTCAAACCTACCTGAGATAAACTTATTCGAGCGATATTATTGGGAAGAGGCTGCTAGGCTTCTTGGTATTTCATATGCCAACTTAGAAATAAATAACTCAAAAATCTATAAGGGTTTCTAAGATTGATGATAAACATCTCCATCTATATATCTTAGTGCCTGAAATACATGTTATGTTGAGATGAGGAGAGATCGGATCTAAAAGGAGCGACAGTGTACACCAGCAATTGAATGATATTGAACCTTAGATATCTAATATAACCCCTAAGTAGAAGCAAGCTGTACACTTTACCATACAAGGCTTATTGTGTCTCAGGACGGAATTCAGGTAGTCATCAAAGCCTTAGCTCCATTGAAGACGCCGGAATCTGAACATATTTCTCGGTATGTGTCAATTACTTAAGGCCTACTTACATTGCTCTATGCAGTAATTTGTGCGAGATTCTCATTTAAGTAGATAAAATTGAATTAGTCATAATTTGCAATAATCGGACCTTCAACACTACAGAATTGACACATTCTTGTTGTGTAATTCTGCAGCTACTAAACTTGCTCCACCCAGTGGCATAATATTAACTTTATTAAGGTTTAGTTTTCACTAGTGTTGATATTAGCATGAATATTGAGCTGCCATTGAAAATAAAGCTTTCTGATTAGTTAATTATTTAGTAACTATGGAGAACTCCTGTCAAAGCACTATGACGAGCAAAATGGAGCCTGTATTGACAAAAACCTCCACCAAGGGGTCCCTTTTTGGCAAAGTGGTAGTTTAGTTCATCATTTCGTCAATCTATTTATCCACCATTGCGGAGTACTCTAACTGTGTACGGAGTACGGAGTCAACTATCATACGAGGCTGAGCTGAAGATAGCCGATCATCGCATTGTCCTGGCGATCGTTTCCACCACTATCTTATACGGCACATGTGGATTCAATAATAATACTGGACTTAGTAACTAGCCTTCAAGAGCATGAGTATGGCCTATGTCCCGCCCGCCGGATTTTACTTGACTCCCAAGCGTTCAGGTCTTCAAATTATTTTGGCTACAGCTGCCTGTCACCACCTTCAGACAACCAAGACAATTCAATTTCTCAAGCATCTTTTCTTTCTGAACTACATTCTAAGCTCCAGTGCTTGAATTTACACGTTGAGATCTTTACTGCTGATTATCTTTGCTATTCTTGGGTATGTGATTTATAGCTCTAGATTGATGTGAAACAGTTACTCACACTATTGACTAGCCTCCCATTTTCTGGTTAGTTTAGTTCATATTCCACTGAAATACATGCTATTAAGCAAGTTTAGATGCGAAGGTCGACTGCCGTGATTACCGGGATGGGCATTGTGTTGCACCAGGCAAGCGATGTGCTCCTGGCGAGACCGCCCAGCTCTGGGACACGGGTTGTAAGAACGGTCGGTACACCCTTCCACCTCTTGAGACTAACCTTCGAGATGCCATAATCAACGTAATTTCTTGCCACGCCCAAGAATTCCTTAACTATGATGGGAGTATCGCGATTAAGACAGATTTACCGGCGATTACCACTGCGATATTTAAAAAAAGTTGATGAATATACTATTCTCTAACTCGAACTGCAGAGGATGCGAGTGAGAGGGAGGTTTTAACGTATATCGATTGTTCGTTACAGACTTGGACGATGGTTTCAAATATACTCCGTACTTGGTACTAAAACCGGAAATGCTTGTAAAAGTTGTATCTAGGCGCTCTAGCAGAATATTGACTTGACAGACTTTGCCATTTGCAGTATCTTCAATCCTACATAGCGCATTTGGATAGCATTTGGATGGCATTTGGATAACAGTGCGAGATTGGATGCTTAGTGTTTATGTTTTCTCAACAATAAACGAACATTGCAAGCCTTTCGGGCGTAGCCATCAAGATGGCTCGCATGGAAGACCTAGGAAGAGAGCTCCCTTAGGCTTTTGCCTGTTGCAAAAACATGATTGGCCTATCGTCACTCCTGGCTCCACTTTGGAGTGCCATAACTTGTCTCCCTACTCCGTACAATGATCTGGACAATGTTTAGACAGGTAGGGGCCAGCCAATAGTAATGCTGAAGTGCCTCAGAAGGAAAGCGTCAAGACATCTTCATTGACCACCAACGACTGTATAGACGTATCCCATCTATCTTCGGCCGTCTCACCAACAAGCTCACCTGTGATTTGGGCACGCACATCAAATCGCAATTGTGAAATCATCTCATTGCAAGAGCCCGCTCAATAGCATCCTCCAGGAGCGACCCAGTCACACTAATCTACACGTCCAGTGGAAACCGTTAGCCATCCTATAAATACTTTCCTTCAACTGATTCATCCGACCTACCTGAGGTGGACTCATGATAGACTCATGGTCGCCAGTAACGACATGACATTCCACAGCACCAGTGAGTTGATCCCATCCACACGGCCCAAAAGACTGACGTGGCTCTGTCTGCCATTCCCTCCCCACTCCCTCCCCCAAAACATAATCCTTCGACAAGGTGCCCGCCTTCTGAGCGGCAAGCAATTCCGACGCCTCTTGTAACCGCTCCGGAAGCTGATCATACTGCCCCATGCTAGCCCATATCTGAACCACTAACCGTGGCCTCCGATTAGATTCTAACGGTCTGGGCTCATATTTTCGCAGAGCATTCAACGATCCAACCGTATGTTCTTTGAGATGCAATGGCATGTCAATATCGGGCAACCCTTTCCTCTTGACCGGTGCATACAGGCCCGTCAGCTCAACCGCCTCAACAGTGGGAATCGGCATATCGGGTATCGGTGTAGGACAAGGGCTGTCGATCATGACGATACATAGAACGTCGTCTTGTTCGGTAAGGAGAAGCTGGCGGGTTATCTCGTACGCGTACATGCCTCCTATGGACCATCCGCCGAGGAGGTAGGGTCCCCGAGGCCGCACGCGGCGGATTTCTTTGATGTAGAGAGACGCTGCATCTTCCATCGTCCAGCCTTCTGGCGGTATCCGTTGAAGAAATGGAGACTCCATGGTATAGATGGGTACTTTGCTCCGCAACTGGGGGAGATTCATGTAAGATCCAGGGTAGCCTGACCCAGGAGCAATGAGAAACAATGGCGGAAGGGCAGAGTCTGGGTCGCCCTGGAGAAGGCTAGCAAAGTGAGAGTACGTTTGGGGCGAAATTAATGCTGTTGATGCTGATGCCGGCTCACTCTTAACAATTTCTTGGCGAGTCCATGCGACGTCCGATCCTGAAAGAAGGGTGCGCATTGATCCGATGGTGGGATTGTTCTGGAAGACGGATGCAGGAAGAGCTTTGCCTGTAACATCTTGAAACATGGATAACACGGCAATAGACAAGAGGGAATCTACACCCAGTTCCTCGAATCGAGTATGCGATTGAATATCAGCCAAGAGGATTCCTGTCTGGCTGACCAATACGGTAAGGAAGTCGTTGAAAAGCGATTTCCCCTGACTGCCGTGGTTGGACCTGATGCTAGGGGTTGATGACGGTGTGGATAAGGTACTGGAGCCATTCGAAGTTGTCGGCTGACTGCCCTGGTGTTGTCGGAGATAGCTGAAGATATGGGATAGACTTGACTTCCCTGCAAAAAGGCTCATTGGCAGCGCGATGCCTATGGTGTCTTGTACTCTGCTCGAAATGGACGCAGCAAGTATGGAATCGACTCCCATTTCTTCCATTAAAGTATGTTCTTTCATCGCATATGCATCGATGGCAAGCTCCTCTGCAATGATTGCGGATACGCTGGCTAAATAGTTCGTTGATAGAGGAGAAGAAACGGCCTCCAGTGGTACTATCTTTGATCCATGTTCGTATTGGCCCGGGGGAGAGATTCCTTGGTGATCCGGAGTGTTCACCAAACTCCGAAGGACAGCCATATTCATTTGCCGAAATGTCAGCTTGAAACAGGTCGCTATGATCTCATCGCCATCAAGGAGGTAAATATCTCCGACCCAAAGTCTAGATTTCTCCTCCTCGCGCATGCAAGCGTAAATCTTGTATGTCTTAGCCTGAAGCCGACTGGGGATCAGCCGTAGACTTTCCCATCCGGTAGAGATATATGCCGTGTCTTTAGGTCGACTCAGAGAGTTGTTCAGAATGAACCCGGCAAAATGGATAATACCGTCGGTACAATATGGAGAGCAGGTGAACTGGCCGTGTTCCTCTGGCCCAGGCAGTTGGATCGTCCCGCATGCTTCATTTCGTTCACAGTCCATGAAGATCTGTCGGATGCTGTGGTATTTTGTGTCGTAGTCGACAATGTCTGCGAACATCCGATACACCAGATCCCCAGGCATATGGCAGATTCCGGGGTGCTGGGTGAGGTCCTTCAGCTGCTCGATTCTGGTACTCACAAAGCCAGAGAAACGTTTCCACTGCGACAGCTGCTTCTTTGTGTCTAATAGGTGAACGTGACAGGTTGAATGGGTGGCACTGGTACCTGTTTCCTGTTCTGACTTCACTGTCACAGTGACAGTTTTGGATGCTGCTATGGGTGTTGTTTCGATGACCACCTTTGTCTCTGGCCCAGCATCCGAGACAATCAAGGGATGAAAGATTTCAACATCCTCGACGCCAATTATGGAATTTACATCCCTCTTGGGAGGATCAGTGAAGGAGTACTGCATGGAGGTGATGGCCATGTCCACATAGACCGAACTTGGACATAATCCTTGACCATGTACACGGTGACCCTCAATAGCAGCCAACAACTGAGGGTCCTTCGCGTCGGAAACAAACGTCCTTGTAAGAATATCTTCGCTTTTGGCTGTTTTTGGTTGTAGATATTGGACACAGGTTGACAAGAACGGAATTTTAAGTGCAGCAGTGGGCGATGACTGTTGGTCCTCCTTGACATGATCGATCCAGTGCCGCTGATTTTGGAAGGCATAATTTGGTAGCTCCAGCAACTGCGCCTTAGGTTCCCCGTCGCATTGAATAGAAGGCCAGATGATGTCATGCCCTTGGCGATACAAATGGACAAGTGCCTCTGAGATGCACTTCCAGCCATCTACGCCTCTTTTCATGCTGGGAAGCAAATGCGAGCTAGGGATCTTTTTGCATGACCTGATCATACTAAGACATCCCGATCCGGGGCCACATTCCAACCAGGAGATGCTGCCATTCTGTGCCACCTGTCCGACGCCACTGTCCATTGCCCCCACAAAGTTGACCGGCTCCCTGATGTGGCGGACTAAGTATTCGGGGATGATCTCTGTATCTTCTGGGAGCATCCTGCCCAGTAGTGGAGACAAAATCGGGATCCTCGGCTTCGCAAGAGGAATGTTTCGGACGATGGAAGCAAAAGGCTCAAGTACCGGGTCCATTTGAGCTGAATGGAATGCATACCGCAGCGACATTTGCTCAGCCCGGATCCCGTCGGAATCCAATTTCGACTGAAAGGCTTGGATTTGGGCCTTACGCCCACTAATTATCGTTGAATTGGGCCCATTTGTACAGGAAATCTCGCAAGTTGGAAATAATGAGCACAATTTTTGGGCCGATGCGATGGATAAATTGACCATCAGCATGCTGTAGGCGTCCTCTGTGCATATCTCCTCCATAAGCTGTGCTCTTTTGCCGACCAGAAACAATGTATCGCTGACAGAGAGCGCTCCCGCAATACACAACGCTGAATATTCTCCCAAGCTGTGCCCGAGAAGTATGGCGGGACGGACTCCCCAGCTCATCCACATATCCGCCATAGCAATCTCGAATGCAACGAGGCACAACTGTTCAACTATCGGTGATGCAGGTTTATGCTCACTCCCATGGCAATCATAGTCGTTGATATAGTCTAGGAAAGATGGGAAACCAAAGGCACGGGTTAGATCATCCAATCGGACCAGCTGCTTCTGGAATGTCGGACAATCATCCAGCAACCTTCTTGCCACCTGCCTGACACTCTGCGATCCTTGTCCAATAAAGCTGAATGCAATTTGACGCTTGTCATGGACATTGGTAGAGAGACAAGGTGAAACAGGCCCATTGGATATCTGTTCCATCAAACCTTCGACATCCGCGGCGAGATAGGCAGCGCGAAAATGATGATGCAACCGGCGAACAGTTGTTGTATATGATAGGTCATGAATGTGGATACGTTTTTTATTTTGCTGCAGGTAGTCCAGTAGTCGTTGTTTGCAGTCATGCAGAGAAGCTCCGGTCTTTGCTGACAGAACTATAGGATAATGCCTTGTCGTGGAATCCATCCTGTCTGAAGTCCCTGGGGAAAGGAATTCTTCCAGTAGCAGACTGGTATTACCGCCCTAAAGGCCATGATATATTCAGTAAGCAGGGTAGGCTTCGGGGAAATGGCACAGATAACTGGGTCCAAACGCACTGTTGCATTGAAGCTATTTACCAAAACTCTTCTGCGTCCACCGTTGGAGCGTGAGGTGAAGGGTACGCGGGCCAAAGGCACTTGGATACTGGTTCCCATTGCCTGAGATATATCTTTATTGATGCAGTTGGCAATCCCAGTGTGAGGGGGGATGTAATTTTCTCGAAACATCAACAAGGCTTTGATCAGCGAGGTGATTCCCGCGGCCTGGTACCGTGAGTAGGGGCTTCCACGAAGTCAAGAAATAGGCGAAAGTTACTTACCGCTTCGCCATGGCCCACGTTAGCCTTCACCGAGCCGATTGGCAACGGTTGGCCCGTTGTCGAGCTGTCCCGAAACATGCGAACAATGGAAGCCAACTCAGTTTTATCGCCAACCTGTGTTCCTGTCCCATGCAGCTCCACATAATCGACCTGCCCACAGGAAATGCCTGCTCGTCTGAGTACCCTCTGGAACAATCGCTCCTGCGTCTGCTGGTGTGGGTGCGTAATGGATATAGCCTCTGCGGAGTGGTTGGTCGAAACAGCCTTGATGACACCGTAGACATGATCATTGTCGGCAATCGCCTTATCGAGACGCTTCAAAATAACTACACCCACTCCCTCACCTCGACAATATCCATCAGCCTGGTCATCTAATGTTTGACAGGGGCCAGTTGGTGAAAGAAAGCCTCCCTTCTGCAGTCCTTGGAACATCCTAGGCCCCGTCAGGACGTTTCCACCACCAGTAACAGCCACATCGCAATCTCCAAGACGTAAGGAGTTGCATGCAAGCTCAATTGCAGCTAGACTGGATGAACAAGCTGTATCAATGCTATAGGATGGCCCGTCCCATTTGAAGAAGTAGTTCAATCGTCCAGGGCCGAATGCTCGGATGTTTCCCGGAACATAGTAGATATCTGGTGCCTGGCCAGCGTTCGCCTCACGCCAGTCATCAGTCGTCTGGCCGAAGAAGGTACCGATGCGGTCATTGCAATTGGCGCTGTAACCGGCAGTCTCGAGCGCTTCATATGTCACCATGAGAAGAAGCCGCTGTGTAGGATCGGTCTGCTTTGCTTCCCGCGGACTCATGGAAAAGAAGGAACAGTCAAAGTCACCTATATCGTCCACGAAACAACCATACATCCCAGGCCCTGATAGGTCTGAGTACTGGTTGACGTTGAACCGATCCGTTGGGACTGGTTTATGCATTCTCCTGCCCTTTTGCAGTGTTGTCCAGAACTCTGTCAGGTCCCTGCCGCCCGGAAAACGGCCACTCATGCCGATGATTGCGATATCATCGCTGTCATTGCTATCTTCAGATGCAAAAATGTCAATTGATTGATCTCGGGCCAGTGATATTCCCACAGTAGCCAGATTCTGACGTAACACATGGGTGCCGGTTGTCGGCCCCATTATGCGGAGGCCGTCGCGAATGTCATGACAAAAAGGTGCGAGATTCGTTACCACAGCGTCGAGACAGATTGCCCTTTGGAGAATGTCGTCGACTGCCTGACGAAGAACGTGGTGCAAGGAACCCCCATCATATGCACAGCCAGTCGATGGCGAAATGAGTGTCGTGTTAGGCCGAATGTCCCGGCGGATACATGCCACTGGCTCCAAAATATAGTCGGTAGAAGTGGCCGCAAGGTGAGCTGCATGGAACGGCCCAAAGATAGGTAATGACAGTGAATTCGATCTCTGGAGGACCGGAGAAGTTGCAAACAGTCGCTCCAAGATACGCGGGGGGCCGCTCACCGTGAAGCTATTAGATGCCCTGGCGCTGATGTACACCTTGTGATGAGGAGAGCTTACCTGCAAGTAAAAATCAGTGTTCATGTTACATCGTAGAGGTGGAACTTCATCCCACATTTGTCTGTTCGAAAATATCCAAAGCATCTTGAAGCTCTTCAAGGGAGACGCCGCGAACTGCCTTGGACCAGCTGCCGTCTTCAGTGGCAATGAGTTGTGACCGACGATGAACATCAAGCGCAAGGCGAAGAGCTACACAAACAATACGAGGACCCAAACTAATCAGTTCCTGTAAATTTGTAGCCGCTCCGGTCAGAACGGAGGGTAGAAGCCCAGTACACAGCCCGAGCACACGACGCTGATGTCCCTGATTGCTCGATAGGAAATCAGGATTGCGGGAAGTGTGGCTATAGAGAACCGTCAGGTAAACCAGTTAGTTGTTGATAACAGCGCAAGCATCACCACGCACTAGGATCTTACATTATTATCGACGCTATCTGCGCCATACATAGGAGAAGAGTCGATGAAAGGACGCAATATCTCTCCTCCCCATTCTCATGGCTTGAGAGGAAGGCGTCGACAGAATTTAAGCTTCCGATCAACTTTCTTTCGTCTGGTGCTAAGCTGCCTGCTTCCTGGGCTATCGCTTCCAGGGATTCCTTCAAGAACGGATCAAGGATCTTGGCGTTCTGAAAGGAGCCGACTGCTGATGCCAGGAGTTGGGTAGAGCATTGCGACTGATCTGTAAACACTAAGAGTTCCATTCTGTAAAGTAGATGAAAGGTGACACTAGAGCATGGGAAAGGTCTGGATAGAACAGATGGAACACGAATCAACCGAAGATATGTGACTGAAGAAGTCTAGATGATCGTCTATCCTAAACAGGCCTATAGGCCCTATCTTCTGGGCAGCAATACCAATGCTGCAGAATCCTGACCGCTCTTTTTTAGTGATGGGTACGCGCTACACAGCAGGAAATAGTCCCATTACATGCATGTGATGCTCCATATCTACCCTACTGCATCTAATAGTTCCGTATTTGAAAATGTTGAGGTGTATGGGCCCCTGGTAAGATTACGAAGGATACATATGATGCAGGACAATGGGACAATTTATTACCGCCAACCCAGCTATGACGATGGATCAATTCCACCTTTTCCTGTCTCTGCGCTGATGAAGGCTTCAAGGAGTCTCCTGGCAATGAGATCTAACTCACGCACCACAAATGCAATGTCCTCCACCGTAGTCTGCGGATTAATAGTGCACGCTCGTAAATACACTTTCCCATATATTTGGGATGTATAAACCGCAGCCACCTGACGGCTCTCCAACTCTCGAGAAATACAATTGTTGAGTTTGTCCAAGGCCTCCTCGCAGAGCATGTCCCGTTGGATTCGGGGGCGAAAACGAAAGTTCACAATCGCCAAACTGTTGTATGGAACCTCCCAGTCTCGGTGCAGGAGCTCCTGCTCCATCTTTGCAGCTAACATAAAACCATGGCTGATCATGCGATCAATGCAATCCAGCCCGAGGACCTGCAGGGTCATCCAGAAACGCATGTAGCGAGCAGGCTTCGTCAGCTCGATTCCGTAGTCCCATGAACTTGTCACGATGTCCATGCTCGACCGGGATTCAAGCAGACCTTCGACGTCCCGCACGTACTCCCCTGTTCCTGAAAAGCTTTTCAGGGCCAGAGTGTTATTGCGGAATAGGACAAGGCCACAGCCATAAGTCTGGAAGAGCCATTTATGCGCGTCCCAGGAGATGCTGTCGGCGCGACCTAGTCCTTCCACCCAGTGCCGATGGGACGATGATAGCGCCACTGACGCACCATACGCAGCGTCGATGTGCAACCACATGTGATGGTCCTTCGCGATGTCGGCTAGTTTGATGATGGGATCGACAGCTCCCGTACTGGTCGTCCCGCAGGTGGCAACAACGAGAAAAGGTCGGAGACCCTTGTTCACATCCTGCAAGATAGTTGACCGAAGATCTGCGAGACTAAATCTGCAATCATTATCACTAGGGATCACCCGGATCTGGTCGCTAGTACATCCGATGATGCGCAGTGCTTTTGCAACAGAGAAATGTGCCTGGTCCGAGATGTAGGCTACTCCCCGGTGTCGCATATCAGTGTTCAGTAAGTGATCACGGGCTACCGTGACTCCCGTCAGCGTTGCTATGGATGAGCCTGAAACAAAGTGCCCGCCTGCCGTATCAGATGGTAGCCCAAGCTGGGTCGATAGCCATGAAACCAGAGTTCGCTCAACTTCAAATACCCCCGAGGCTGCCTCTGCACTCCCAGCAAATGTGTTATATGCAGATGTAATAACGTCGCCCACCCAGGACACAGGCAGCGCTGGCGACGGAATAAACCCAAGAAAGCGTGGATGTCCAGTTCGTGACCTATAGGAAAAGATATGGCGTGCATCTTCCAGAACTGACTCCAGTGGTCGCCCGTCCCTTGGGGGTATGGCATTGCTCCCAATCGCAAAAGCTTGGTCGTCTGTGGCTCGATGGACAATGTTTCTGGAGGGGCTGAAGATTGGTGGAGATGACGATAGCTCTTTCTTTCCTTCTAGGCAAGAAAGCAGGGACAGGGATTCCTTCAGAGTATTCCATGGCACCTGATCTAAAACGACAGGTGGCTCGTTGGGCGCCGGTTGAAGAATGCTATGGTCGCTTTGAGCGGACATGATGGCTGGATGAGCTCAAGAAACACCCAAGGAAGATCCATTATTTATCTCGATGGTGCCGGAGACACCGCTCAAACTCTAGACGATAGACTCCCACATCATGCCGCAGACTCAAGGCTGCATGCAGATTCTGGACCTGTTCAGGATCCTAGACATGCACTCCTTAACTACGTTGGAAATAATACGCCTCAGGACTTGAAGTATCTTCACAATGAACGAAACTCAACAAGAGAGAGCTCTCATGCAGGTGGCTGTATTTTTCACATTCCCGCCATTCTATCGGGATACCAGCTGAAACCCCACTGGTGTTATTGTATGTGAACTATCCAAAGAATCATACGTGGTCATGCATGAAAGACCCAGGTCATGAAACTCATTAAGCTCCCCTCTGGTCGATAACACCGCTCAAAGACCAAGCGACCATCCACGCTGGCAACTAGTTTCTGCGTCTCCTGCAGCGAGCGCTCTTTACCGGCAAACATCCCATACATGGCGAGGTCAAGGGCACGGATGGCCTTCTCAGAGAAGATGGAATCGGTTCCTGGCTCGGGAACAATGGTATCCATAATAGCAAGCCGAGCTCCCTTACGTAGACCGGGGATTGTCGCCGCGATGATGCGTTGCGCGTCCTCGTCGGACCAGTCATGGATGATGAGCCGAAAGAGGAACATGTCTGCCTGCAACAGCTGGGGCTGAAAGAAGTCATGCGTCATAAACGAAACATCCCCAGCTGTTTGTTTTTCACCTAGAACGTTATTGGTGTCCTGGACAGTGCATTTTATATGGGCATTCGCGTCAAAGATCGCCCTGGCAGCATGTCCTTTGCCTCCACCCACCTAGCCAAGCGGTGTCAGGGAACAAGGACGAAGTGGAAGGTAGGAAATCAGGGTTGGTAACATACGTCGACAAGTGAGGTAATCTGCTTCCAGTCGAAGGAACGCAGAACGTGCTGCAGCGAGAAAATCGGCTGAGCAATCTGCGTGGCCATCAAGTTGTCGAAGCCCCGGCTCAACAGTGGACGAGCAGCATGAACCTCCCATATTGTCGGATAATGGTGGCCCTCATGGTACTCGACACTTACAGCAGTCTTTTTACCATCTTCCCCCGTTGGATCCAACTGTAATGCTTCATACAGTCGGCCCGAAGAACGGAACCCGACCTCCAGCGTCCACGTCGCTCCATCGGCGCTGCGGCTATCTTTTACAAAGATAGCTGACTCGGCGCTATGTCCGACGCGGCCATCACGCTCAGTCAGGAACCCGCAAACGACAGCAAATCGTATCATTCTTCTGAGAAGTGGCTCATGGGTTCCAGACTTGCGACTAAGCTCAGGGTAGGTGGCCCGCTCGTGGAGAGGAATCATGGAAGGAATACCCAGTCGAATCAGGGCCCGAATTGTACCAATCTCAAAGGCCTTGGGAAGTCTCCGTCAGTTGCATAGATGTGCTGCTCCGCGTAGGGTTCACTTACAACATCCTGGTATCTATTCAAGTAGGTGAGCGGGCCATGTGCTAGACGAAGGAGTTCTTCTGCTGCTGAGATGAGTTCGGCTTGCGCAATCGAACCCGGAGCACTCAGAAGGGGAAGGTCGAGGGGGGCGTTAGGATCGCTGAAGGAGTATTCCGCGAGCCCTTGGCTTTCTAGCTCATTGGAAAGATCATTTGCACTTGCTGCGAGTTTCTGGGCTAGAGCACGAATCTGAGCCATTGTACAGATTTGGGTAACCTTTGATGGGAGAATCGTATTTCACCGGGGTTTTGTCTCCCTCAGCGTGAAAGAAATTGTTGAGAGTCCTGCTTCTATAGGCCTTCCTGGACACCCAGGCATGATAGTGGCGAGGTGGACACGAGCAAGAACTTTCCCATAATCATCCAGCGCTTGCAGGACGCGTGATTTGTCTGTACATAGTAAAGGATTGGCATTTACATGCAGCTGCAGGGAAGCCTTTGCTTGCTCGCCGGGTGGACCGCTTACACCGCTATTTGCACCATTTTGAGTGATATTAGCATTAGACTGTAATTGCAGCTGAAGCTGTCTCTGTTTCCACAGTCTGGTTTTGGGATACTTGGCCGTACTCGCCGCAGTTCTTTGCGGTGTCGATACGAGGCTTAATGAGCCGTTGGTAATTTAAGATCTTCTAGAGCTACTCCGCTGGTCTGCGATTCTCTTCTCTCCCATTCATTACCAACTCTCGACGATTCCGAGTGTTACGGAAACGTGATTCCATACGTACCATATTCACCAATAGCAAATGATGGCGAGCGAGGATGACCTCAGAAGGATTTGGACATGGAATTCAACAGTCCCTCTCCCCGAGCATGCCTGCTTTCATGAAAAGGTAGCAGAACAAGCTCGCCAACGACCTCTTGCCCCGGCTATCCATGCCTGGGATGGCGACCTCACATACTCCGAGCTGGATAACCTGGCAACAGCGGTGGCCCACGACCTCATCCGACAAGGACTGACGCCCGACACACCTGTCCCACTATGCTTCCCAAAGTGTTTCTGGATGCCCGTCTCAGCGCTGGGTGTAATGAAGGCCGGAGGTGTTGCAGTGAGCATGGACACGACTCAGCCGGACGAGCGACTGCGGTGTATAGTAGAGAAAGCCGATCCTGCCGCCTCTTCTATCATCCTCTGCTCTTCCGAAACCGAACAACTTGCCCGCAAACTCTGCTCCGACACTCCTCGAAGGGTTTATTTGATAGAATACGCAACCTTGATGACCAGCGTGAAGCATCTACCTAGTCCTCCATTGCCGAAAGTCCATCCCAGTCAACGTCTCTACATCGCCTTCACATCCGGAAGTACAGGAACACCCAAAGGCGCAATGATCACCCACACAAACCTCATGACAGCCATAAAGCACCAGCGAAAAAAACTTATGATTCAAAGCACTGATCGGGTATTTGCCTTTGCCTCCTACGCCTTCGATGTCTCATGGTATGAGTTCCATCTCACCCTCCTTGAGGGAGCTTGCTTGTGTATTCCGTCGGAAAGCGCAAGGAGGAACGATATCAACGGAGCAATCGCGCAGATGAATGCATCATATGCAATTCTCACACCGTCCACGGTCGCAGTCCTCAATCCAGAGAGGTGTGCCAGCCTCCGTGTCCTTGTGTTGGCGGGTGAGCCCATCGGACACCAGCTTCAAGCTGTGTGGGCCCATCGGGTGAATCTTCTCAACTTTTACGGTCCATCAGAGTGTGTAGCCACGTCTGCGAGGCTCATCTGTCCGCAAGATAAGGATATTGCGTGTATTGGAAAGGGTCTTGGTTTGGTCACTTGGGTTGTGGGCGTCTCTGATGCCCCAACGGACGATGAGAAGACCGCAAGCTTGGCACCAATTGGCAGCGTCGGAGAACTATGGCTCGAGGGACTATTAGTAGGACAAGGGTACCTAGGTGACGCTGAAAAGACTGCAGCGAGCTTCATCCAGGATCCAGATTGGTTAACTCGGGGTGGAGGAACTGGCTATCCAGGCCGCCGAGGATGCGTATACCGCACAGGAGACCGAGTCCGATATAATGCAGATGGAAGTCTCACTTTCGTGGGCCGAACCGACGCCCAGGTCAAGATTCGTGGCCAGCGGGTGGAGCTCGGAGAACTAGAAAATCATATCCAGCGTCGTTTGGAGGCCCTCGCAGTGGCGGGCAAGCTGAGCCATATGCCCTCAGTTGTGGCTTCGCTCATTACGCCGAAGCAGTGCTCCAACAGCGTGCTTGTGGCGTATATCAGCTTTGACGACCCGGCCGAGAGATCACTCTTGTCGGATTTGATAGAGGATGTGGAGCACACGCTGGCCCTTCAGCTACCACATTACATGGTCCCAAGAATGTATATACCCATTGATGTGTTTCCCATGACGGGTACTGGTAAAACGGATAGGCGAAAGTTGCAGCAGATGGGTAGCCAAATGACTCTCCAACAGCTGGCAAGCCAGCAGCCGCACCGGAAAGACATGCGTGCCCCGAGGTCCCTTGTGGAGCAAGAGCTCCAGACTCTCTGGTCGAGTATCTTGGGTGTCAACGTGGACACTATCGGTATCGACGACAGTTTCTTCCGTATCGGTGGTGATTCCATCGCGGCGATGCGCCTTGTGGCGGCGGCTGGTGATGGAGGGCTCGCATTCACCGTGGCTGATATATTTACTCACCCTACCCTAGGTGATCTTGCACGTGTTGCCAGGGACAGCATAGAAAATTTGGGCCCGGCTGTTGACAGCTTCTCTTTACTTCGAAGTGAAATCGATCATGGAGAGGCGTGCAGGCTTGCAGCAGTGCGGTGCGGGATCGCGGAAAAGCAGATAGAGGATATTTTGCCCTGCACGCCATTGCAAGAAGGGTTCTTAGCAATGACTGCGAAGCGAGCGGACAGATACATATACCGGCATATTCTGGAGCTCGAGGGGCACATCAACGTTACTCGTCTGCTTACTGCATGGGAAAAAGTCGTGCAGGCAGCCTCCATCCTGCGGACACATGTTGTCGATATTCCACGCGAGGGTCTTGTTCAAGTCGTTATGCGTTCTGGAGTGGATGATGTGTTACAGATCACTGGCAGCCTTGAAGGTTACTTGGCCAGAGACTCTCAGAAGGATCTCGGACTAGGGACGGACCTCTTCCGTGCAGCCTTGGTGACAGATAGCGACACCCAGTCAACCTTTTTCGTGTGGACTCTTCATCACGCCGTATTCGATGGATGGTCCCTGTCGTTACTTGAAAAAGCCGTGCAACAGGCATACCACGGTAGTGCTCCTTCATCATTAGTTTCGTTCAAACCCTTCATCAAGCACGTCCAGGACACCGATGTGAAGGAGATGCAACGCTTCTGGACAGCTCAATTCGCAGGCTCAGAATCGATTCCTTTCCCTACATTACCAACACTAGGCTACGAACCCGATCCCCGGAGCGAGTTGAGATACAGCGTATGCGGCCTATCATGGAGGCAAAGCGATGTCACTGCCTCAACGGCGTTAAGAGCCTCATGGGCGATCCTTCTTGCACGACATACTGATTGTCCGGACGTTACGTTTGCAGCCACCGTGACAGGAAGGCAGGCTCCCGTTCGAGGGATTGAGCGGGTGGTAGGGCCTACCATTGCGACGGTGCCATTGCGATTATGTTTTGATTGGGATGCGAGCATCGACAGCCTGCTCAGTCAGGTACAGATGCAGGCGGCCAACATGACCCGGTTTGAACAGGCGGGGATCCAATGGATCCAAAAATTGAGTCCATTCGCCAAAAGGGCCTGCCAGCTCCAGACACTTTTAGTGGTGCAACCGGTGTTACAGAAAGATAGCAGCTCCGAGAAGGACGCTGTCTTCAAAGCACGGAACCATGAGCATCAGGAGAAGCACATGGGCGGCTCCAACGATTATGCCTTCCTAATCGAATGTCAATTGCAGGCCCAAGGAGGACTTTCATTCCGTGTGAGCTTTGACGACCAGGTGATTCCAAAGCCTCACGTCCAGAGGATCATGCAGCAGTTCGAAAATGTCCTACGCCAAGTATGCTCTCCTTGCCGCGACTCCTCATTAGCTGTGAGGGACATCCAAGTCACCAGCGCTCACGATCTTCAAGAGATATGGCGCTGGAACGCGACGGTTCCAAGTCCATCAGACGGTTGTATTCATACTCTCGTCGAGCAGCGAGCGTTGCAAGCACCAACTGACCCATCTATTTGCGCCTGGGATGGCAAACTTACATATCAGGAGTTAAATCTCATTTCCAGCCGGCTGGCAGCCCATATGCTCCCTTTTTGTGATGCATTCCGACCTGGCATAGTCATCCCGCTATGCTTTGAGAAATCCCTCTGGGCTGCGGTTGCAGCACTCGCCGTAATGAAGGTGGGAGGTGCCTCCGTCATTCTGGATCTCTCCCAGCCAGTAGAGCGATTGCGACAAATTGTGAATGAAGTTCACCCCGTGCCGTTTATTATCTCGTCCTCACATCACCAAGACCTGGCTCGAAGGCTCTGCGAGAAGATCATCGTCCCCGCCGATATGCATCTCAAACAATCACCTTTGTGTCGAATGGAGACTGACCTCCCGGCTGTCCCCCCATCCAGTTCCCTCTACGTGGTATTCACCTCCGGCAGCACAGGCAAACCTAAAGGCGTAGTGATAACCCACGCCAACGCCCGGTCCGCCATTCGCCACCAACAGACTGCCATTGGCATCAGGCAAACTTCTCGCGTATTCGACTTTGCCTCGTACGCCTTCGACGCCTCGTGGTTCAATCTGCTGCATTCGCTGACATCCGGCGCCTGTCTCTGCATCCCATCCGAGTTCGCCCGTTTCAACGACTTAGCTGGTGAGATCAATCGACTCCAGGCTGACTTCATATTATTGACCCCCTCCACGGCCTGCGCTCTTGATCCTGCCTCTGTCCCTGGTCTCAAACGCATGATTCTTGGTGGGGAACGCTTGACGCCCAAGGCCATACAGCAATGGGGTTCTCGCGTCCATCTGAGCAATGCGTATGGGCCGGCCGAATGTACTATCGTGGCTACTCTAGTAGACGTACGGCCCTCCACCGTCCAGCGGGCGGCTCGGATTGGGAGAGGGCTCGGGGTCGGGACGTGGGTGGTCGAGCCCTCGGGGGACCGGTTAGCCCCCATTGGGGGCATTGGAGAACTATGGCTAGAAGGGCCGCTGGTCGGTTCAGGATATCTGAATCGACCTGATCTCACGGCGTCTAACTTTATGGAGGACCTCCCGTGGCTACTTAGTAGGGGCTCCGGGCATGCCGGGCGGCAGGGCCGACTGTATCGAACCGGCGATTTGGTGCGCTACGAGCCCGATGGATCCGGATCGTTGCTCTTTGTCGGGCGCAAGGATGCGCAGGTGAAAATCCGAGGACAACGCGTAGAGTTAGGTGAGATTGAGAATCAGATCTATGCCAGCCTGGAACCGCAGGAGATCGACTACGTGAAGGGACCTGTGGCGGAGGTGATTACTTTGCAAGACAGTTCCAACCCGGTGCTTGTGGCGTTCCTAGCTATTTCGCAGAGGGTAGATAGCTCACCTGATGGAGGGTTGAAAAGGCGCATGTCTCGTCTTGCAATTCAGCTGGGTCGAGCGCTCGCCATCCACCTCCCGGCACATATGATACCCTACGCATACATTCCGATTGACACGTTACCCACGACTACCAGCGGCAAGGTTGACCGACGAAAACTTCGTGAGATGGGTGCGGCCATGACAATGGAGCAGTTGGCTGAGCTGCAGCCTTGTGAAGTTGACTTTGTGGGAGGCGACCCACAGACGACGGCGGAGTGCGCGCTGCAAGCACTCTGGGCTTCTGTGCTGGACATTACTCTCAGTAGGATCCGGACTACTGACAGTTTTATCCGGCTAGGTGGCGACTCTATCATGGCCATGCGACTCGTGGCCACTGCACGAGAGCGAGGATTTACCTTCACCGTGGCTGACATCTTGAAGGGGAGGCCACTGGGTGAGCTAGCTGTACAATTCACAGCCGATTATGAGACAGCATGTTCCAAATACGTCGGTCCTGCGCCGTTCTCTCTGGTCTCAGAGGCGGTTGTATGCCAGTTGAGACTCCCCAAAGCTGGGACGGGGATGTATGAGGTCGTGGATGCCTATCCAGTAACCGATTTTCAAAAGTATTGCATTGCATCCCTACAAAGGTGGCCACTCGGGTTTTGCTTTCACTTTTACATTGACCTGCCAGCATACATCAGTGTCTCCCGTATAGAGGCCGCCTGCCTGTGCCTGTGGCAGTATCTGGATATCCTCCGTACGGTGTTTGTGGAGCTGGAAGGCAAGACCTTCCAGGCGGTCCTTCAAGGCCTCCCCCTGCCATGGGATGCTGTTTATAGAGATGTTGGTGATCTCGACGCTCTCTCCCAGGAGATCTATCAGGACGACCTTCATTCCCGCCTTGCGCTGGGAACCCCATTCAGCAAGTTTATTGTGAGCCAGATCCGGGGAGGACCTGCCCGGCTGACGGTGCGACTGTTCCATGGGCAGTATGACGGGATCAGTATATCCAAGATCTTCTCCTGTCTGGCAGCTTTCCTAACGGATGCGAAGGCCCCACCAGCAGGTCCTGCATACTCTGGTTTCATCCGGCATAGCATGCAGACACAACATGAAGGGTTCCACTTCTGGAAGACGTTGCTACGTGGCGCACAGATGACTCGAATTGTCTCCACACTACCGACTCCTCCCTTACACTCTGGCAATGTACTCGGCAAATCCACGCCCTTCCAACCCATCTATATCGAGCGGAGGATGACGCCCCCACAGAGACACCGGGAAAACTACTCCCCAGCAATCACCTTCATCTCGACCGTCTCTATAGCCCTCGGCAAAGTTACCCAATCTCGAGATCTCCTCTTCGGCCTCGTCGTATCCGGACGATCCAGTCTGTCCAACGGTCTCGAGGATGTTCTGGGACCCTGTCTCAACCTCATGCCTATCCGTGTTCAGGATCCCATCCATCTCTCCCACGTTCTCCCCTCCGTCCGCGAGCAGTACGCCCAGGGACAGAAATACGAAACGAGTCAGTTCTGGGAGCTGACGGACCACTGCAAGGACACGGACTGTGCGCCCAGTCTCCACAGCTTTGGGGTGGCCGTACAGTTTCAGAATGTGGACGAGAATCCGACTCTGCCCGGGCTGGATGCTTCGCTGCAGATCCTGGACGGGCAGAGCGAGCCGCTGCACACGGATACGGTCTGGGTAGTCGCGAGGCCCGTGGAGGATGGGAGGAAGTGGGAGGTCGGACTGGCTGCCAGCCCCGAGTTCCACACTGAGGAAAGTATTGGGGCAGTGATGGAGGTGCTGGGGGAGGTTATTGAGGGGACTCATTAAACAGGGACATGTCATGCAGAATATCTGGCTTTCCCGCCCGATGCGCCGTAAGGATGGATGGCAAATGCAGTAGTCCATGCCCAAAGAGCAGGAACAGGGAATCTGTGCATCTCAAGGGTTAACCCATCTGTACGCAGATTCATCTTGTCTACACTACTTAGGACTCCCGAAGATACAATACTCGAAGCCCTCACGAATCCCAGTACACCGTCCCCTCAACAACACCAAGACAGCAATATGCCTCGGGTCCTCATCTTAGGCGCAACTGGCTACATCGGCCTGCGCATCGCCCGCGCTCTCCTTGCAACAGGTAACTACACCGTCTGGGGCAGTGCCCGCAGCGCCGCCAAAGCCACGTATCTCCTGCAAAACGAGATCTACCCCGTAGAGTCCGACATCACCGACCCTTCCACCCTCGCCGGCACGATAGCAACCTTGAACATCGACATTGTCGTCGACGCAACAACCGCTTACGACGCCGCCGCCGCCATCCTGGAAGGGGTTCTGACCGCCGCCCAGACGCGACGCACCGCGCTCTTAGCCGATAACATCCACCATTTCCCGAAGCTAGGTTTCGTGTATTCCTCTGGTGCCTGGGTCTATGGCTCCCCCAGCACGCGAGTAAGCGATCTCTCGCCTGTGGGGAGTCGATTGTCCCAGGCACAGCCAGCGCCGATCTATGCCTGGCGTCCGAGACATGAGCAGGCTGTTCTTGATGCGAGGGAGTTGCTGGATGTGGCCATCTTGCGTCCCTGCGCGGTCTACGGGGGGTCATCGTGGGTGTACGGCGTTTGGTGGAGGGATTTGCTTTCGCTTTCCCCTTCTGCCCCGCCGGATGGGAAGACGGGACGGGACCCCGCAACGGGTCAAGTGAAGGAGCAAGGACAAATCAGCGTCCCCGCTCGCCCGGGAGCGAGGGTCGGCACGGCGCATGTGGACGATATTGCGACGGCATTTGTGGCAGCCATCGAGCGGCTGGACGGTCGTCTGGGGACTTGGCCGTTGTTCGATCTGGTGACGGAGATTTTGTCTGTGAAGGAGATTGTGGAGGCGGCGCGGACGGCATTAGGGAGGGAGGAGCCCGTCATTTTGACTGGTCCCGGCGACGATGGATTTCTTCAGGGGATGAGTCTGGTTGCGATGTATGATGCTACACGGGCAAAGACGGTGTTGGGATGGAGTCCGAAAAGGGGGGGACTTTTTGGGGAATATGGAGGTTTTTGTGCGGGCTTGGATAGCCTCACAGCCTTCTCCTTCTTGTTCTACTTCCTAGTTGGTGCAGGGAAGGGAAGAGACGGTCATTCCGTTGGTGATCAATACATACCCAAGTTCACATGGATGGATATGTATGAATTCGTCGCATTGAATCGCCCCTATGAACAACGATATACATCTCCCAGGACCAAACACCCTCTAGTCTGCCTCTATCCTCTGCAATGCATCCACAAACCTCCCTTTCAACTCCTCCGCCTCCTCCAACCCAACACTCACCCGAACAATATGCCTGGGGACTCCGTACTGTGCCGCCCACTCCCCCTCCTCCCAATGCGCCAGCACCGAATACGGTAACGCAATCGTAGAATTTGTCCCGATACTCGGACCCTTCCACACGTTCAGGGCATCAAAGAACGTCACCGCGTGCGCCGGGTCCTTAAATACGATGCTGAGGAGGTATCCATACCGTTCGCCTGGTCGGCGGTACCTGTCATACTGTGACCGGGAGGGGACAAGGGTGGGGTAGTTGACGGACTCGATTAGCGGATGGGTCACGAGGAACTCTGCGAGTGACTTGGCTGTTGTGCTGCATTGTCGAACTCGAGAGGCATAGTCCGCGCTGTTGTGGCTGAGGACGATGGCGTCTAGCGGGAAGAAGACGTCTTCGTAGGTTTGCTGGAGGGTGGTGTGGATGCGAGTGTAGTGGGAGGAGTTGGGGTTGATGATGAGGCTGAGTCGGTTAGTGAGCTCTGCTGTCTATACTTTGTCTTTGGATCGTAGTCAAGGACTACTACCCGGTCAGGAGAGAAGTCCATACCTGCCACCCATCACATTACAGGCACCACTGAAGATCTTTGTCAGGCTGGTCGTGACGACGTCCGCGTAGGGTAGAATATCCACATTGATAGATGTGCCGATGGTATCATCGATGACGACGACGAACCCGTATTCATCCGCGAGTTGCTTCACGCGGTGGAGGTTCGGCGTGTACAGCTGCGGATTCGAGGTGATCTCGCAGAATACCACCGTGATGCGCGTGCCTGCGGCGAGTATGGCCTCGAGCTGATCCAGCTCGTCCTCGGTGCCGTGCCCGTACATCGTGAACTCGTCGTATCCGCAGTCTTTGACCAGTGGACCGGTCCCTGAGTACACCCACCCGTATATCACCGCACGAGCTTCTCCCGATGCATGTTCCTGCAGGGCACGCGCAATCGTGCCGATAGCCAGCATGCCAGTCGGATACAGGAAGACATCTTCCACACCGACTGGTTTCATACCAGGGACCGGAGATGTAGTCGATCTTGCGAGTGTCCATTTAATGGAATCCTTTTCTTCCTGGGACGATTTACACGTAGGAAGCGTGATGGCCTCCATATCAATATTCGACGCCGAGCCCGACGTCTGGAATCCGTTGTGATGAGGCTCACACACTGAGTCCATGGCAGATATCGACTCCAGACAAAACTGGGCATGTCGATTGGAAATACAGTCGCCATGATTCAACCAAAAGAGAAATGCATCGGTCGCCAGGCTTTGGGGGAACAATGTCGCCACAAAGCGGGCCCATTTCCGGACTTCTGGGTGGTTGACATGGCCACTGCGTACACGAAACTCGACGGCGTAAACCCGTGCACTGGCTTCTTTCTTCCTGAGCGTCTGGCCCAGGCGATTTGCAGCGTCATGGGAGGGGGAAAATCCAGCATCCCAGGCCGGGGGGATGGCGGAGTCGATCCATGACGGCATCGTGGAGGGCCTTGACGGAGGGACAATAGCCCATTCTGCGCACCTTGGACTCAGTCATCCTTTCCACGGTCAGTGCGGAATCAGAGAGATAGAACCCACCGCGGGTATGTTGTTTGCTTTGCATGCTTCACCCAATCCTCCCCGGCCATGTTCGCGGCCACCGATGCCCATGTCGGGAGAGAGACGCTGATGGCCTGCACTCTCCGATTCGGCCTGATCTCAGTAATTTGTCCACTTGTTTATCGTTGAGAGTGTGGGGGAAAGAGAGACACCCACATGAGGGTCATTCGGCGGTAGTGAAGTACCAAGCGGATGCGCGCCAGAGACTGCTTGGGTCAGATCAGGCCGGTAATCTCCCATCTTGCCGATATTCTTCAGAAAGTTTATCAAGTGCCCTTGGAGTGTGTCAACGTGATCTGACCGTCCCAACGGACATGTCTAGTCCGCTTTATACAGAAATCCGAACCCCGCATGGAGCGGGACTCGAGGCACGGATGTCATGAAGCCACAGGGCCTCCTCTGGAATTGAAATCCGTCTCTATTGAACCTATGGGGTCGTGGGGACTTCGACGCAAGCGCGTAGGCCGCGAAGCCCATGCACTGCTACCATGACGAGGAGGCTGCATAAGGACGATGTGGGTAGGGCCGCTGCAGAATGACCGCACGGTCCTATCTGTCAGCAACTTGATCCTGATGCCGGGGTGGACGTCCAATCTGGTTCCATATCGATGATAACTCGCTTTCAGCGGAGCGGCCCTGTACACATATCTATGGAGTTTTAGCAGCCTGATAATGTGCGGAGGCTCCCACGGCGACCTCAACAGATATGACGGCCTCTTAAAACGGCAAGGGATAAAAGACGAACAGCAAGATGGTTTTCTTTCGGGGTGTCCAATCAGCATAGTGAGACCGGGGTCTGAGAAGTAAGGTGGAGCAGCCAAGGGCCGAAGGATATCGCCCGTTGCGCGACCTTAGGGCGGCGCTGCTCATCTACGAGAACCAGAAGGGCAGGCGTCGAGGTGCTCGTAGATTTTTGCTCGGTAGGAATGCTTGCGGACCTCACAGGAGGCCCAAGTTGCTCACAAATTCCATGCACATGAATGGGCCATGAACTGTTCACATCGATATCCGGAGGTACTGTACTTTTTAGCACAATAAAGTGACAAAGTCAGAAGCATGAACAGCTATCAGCAGGAGGAAGCCGTCCTAGGAGGAGCGGCCTTTATCAGGTCGGCTAGGATAGCTGTTACTGATCCTGCAGGAATAGGGACTCCCAGCGGACGACGAGCCCCGACTTCCACGTGGTGTCCGCTGGGAACTCCCCGAGAAACAGTTCGGCTGTCTCTGGGTGCTAAGAGGAATTCAACATCGCGATCATCCCCCTTTCGACGACGCGCCGAAACCCGAGCCTCCGAACCTCACGAAACAACAAACATTACAGCCCCAGTATGGTAGATGGAGTTGTGCCCACCTCATGTACGCCCCGCGATAGAGAGTGGAACTTGAGTCACTCCATTTGTCCTGCCCGCCACCGATTTCGAGATTGACGAGGACGCGTGGGGGCCAGGACGGAGACGGTTGAACGATTCATTGCTCAACAAATGGACATCACAACAACAACACCACCACCACCACCACCACCAACAGCCCAGAACTTCAATTCGGAACATACGTATTTTGCAACTTCACAGTTAACCTATGTCCTAGCAGACGGTTACTCCAAAAGACGCGCCCCGGAGCCATCTTTTGTTGCGAGAACGTCTACACGGCCTCAAGTCAACACAGACCTAGAACACATCATGGAGCAAGCCACAAACACTTCTACTGCCACACATATGGTACCATCGCCACTCAATGTGGCGCACGCCAACATACGGAACCGACAGCCAAGACCATTACAGGACGGGCCTTCCGGGAGCCCTTCTACCGTGCTCAATTTACCGCAGACAAGTGATTATTGTCAAACAGAAGCAGAGGGCCAGCAAAGACCTGACAAGTCAAAGATACAGAACAACTATTAGAACTATGAGTAGGGTGCAACTGCCGGGAGCAGAATGAGGAAGTAGCTCTGGCCGGAGCGACTTGATTTCTGAATGCAAGAAGCAGGAACATATGTCCGTAGCTGTACGCTGGATAGCTGCCAATTATTGGGCGGCTAGGACAGTCTATGAATAAATCAATCAATCAATCAATTAGCTAGCCAGCGATACTGGGAGCTTTCAAGCTCTCTCAGGAGCAAGCTTGCCCATCCCGGGGACCAGGAACGTTTTGAGGGAGTTTAATAAAGCTTCAGTTCAGTAGCAAGCCGTAAGGATGTCTGGATCAATTCCAGAAGTATTCAACTCAATCCTCGGAGCAGCAAAATCATAGTAGCACGACAGCTCTCAGGCCAGGTCATGCTTTCTAGAGTCGCCAACAGGAGATATCAACAGGAGAATAGGCCCAATACCGGTAGTAGATTGCATCTTCCCGGAAATAGGTAGCCAGGCCCAAAAGTTGTACATTTGGCCTGGCTCTTTGGGTCGGTCTCCCCACCATTGCAACTCCTAACGGGCTCCATTACCACGAAGGATCTATTAACACTTTATTCTAATGGTACAAATTACTGTTTCGGTTTACTACGACGTCCCTTTTCTTTGTACAATTATATCTACCGCGCCACCAAAGCGGAAAGATGTATTCAAATAGCAAAGGTCTTGTAAAATCTGTGGGTTCGATCTAGGTGAGGAAGTAACTATGCGCACATTGTGGCTTGTTGATTCCCCTCGCTCGTAGTTCCAAGGTCGCCTGTTGACCGAGCATAGCAGATGTTTAGTTGTAGCGCTAAGAATGCCCCAACAGATTTATCAGTTGAGAATGCGTCTCTTCGCATAATCAGACGATCTATGAAGTATGTATTGCTCTTGCAGGGAAGCCGCGCGAACGAGAGCGCATCACGTTGGAGTACGGGAACCCTATGTTTACTGAAACTTGTACTCTAGTATATAATATATACCTAATTCGGCTGGGTCACTATTGGCAACATCAAGGAAGACACTACGGAGTACTCCGTAATTGCTTCAGCATTTTGTAAAAACCAGGAAGAGAGAGAGGTTGAGTTCTCCGGCCAAGCGTGAGGACTAGGAATGGTCAGACTTGGCAGCCTCACCTACTATAGTGTAGGTCGAAATAAATTTCTAGTCAAGACCTGGGAGATGTGAAACTATTAGTAAATGCACGGACCCAGGCTTTGAGTGGGGAAGGTGCTTTTTTTTAGGCAATCCTTTCAATTCACCAGTCCTTTTCCTGAGGCCAGAGGTGAAACCAGCAGCTTTTCACTGTTTTCACCGTTTATTTCAACGATTACTGAACCTTCTGGTTGATGCTCTGATTTGGACTCTCAGATTAAAGTTAAGGCACATTTTCACCGCCCACCATGCTCTTTCTTGACCTCACGTTGAACTCACATTTGAAAGGACCAATACGTTTAATTCGATCAACCAATACAGTAGAAAATAATGGTCAATTAATCGAGTATCATCTATGACAATCCTCCTCACCCATCGCATGTTGGGCCTCACAAAAGATGGGGGTGGTAGTGAAACTGCACTGCTTGGGCTTTGTGACTTGACTGAAAGGCACGGGCGCTATAGGCCATCTGCTATGGTTACTCGGCACAGTCGAATTATTATCCGGATAGTTGCCCTGTTCTGCAGAGACTGACTCGCCTTAACTCTGCTGAAACCGAACAGTTAGAAATTCTCCACGCAGATAATATCGTGAGGACAGGAATATACACCAGTCATTCTCGAAATCGGCTTATGCAGTACACTCTTCGACTCTCTTTCTCCGCCCCACCACCAAGGTCTTAGCGTCCATCATTTATTGGGCCCGCCACTTTAAGTTACGGTCCGGTGTGATCTCCCCGAGCTTGCATGGTGACATTTAAACTGCGGGGCCTCTCAGCTTGATGCGTCCAGCCCAATAGATGTTCTGCGTTAAAGTCTTGGCAGCGGGCCGAGAAAGATAGTCGAAGAGTGTACTGGTCAAGCCGATTTCGAGAACGACTGTACACTACTTCTGATTTTAAGTCAACATAGAAGTTAGCCTAGTGCTGAAGTTCGAACTACTTGGAGTATCCGGTCTTCCAATACATATTACCCTGCGCTAATTCTTCTATTCCGAGTATTTTCTCTTGCTTTTCTTGCTGCTTACATACATGGCTTTATGGTTAGGCTGGAGGCTATCCGTGACTGCACACGGCCATTGACAACGTAGACGAAATAAGATCTGTTTTGCGTTTTAAGCATGGCAAACAACCTAGTCCTTCGAGAAGAGAGTATGCCGCCAGGGGAATGAACTTAAGCCAGGTCGACCAGCTTTACTGGAAGGGAACACTTGGCTACTCAAATGTGGAGAAAGGAGTACATAGCAGTCAACCAATACGATTGATTCGTTGTTCCTTTCTACCCCTTGGAGCCACTCACGGTTCGCCAGTTTATGGCAGTCGAAGAGTGCCAAGATCACCATAAGTCAACGCTAGGTTGTTCATGCTCTTCAGCGTGTCGGGATGGTCTGCGCCGAGCGTTCTCTTACTCGTCTCCATGACCTGCACCTGGAGCTGCTCAGCCTTCTCCCTCAAGAATCTAATAGCCTGTGTAATAGAATGAATTTAAAGCCACTTTGGACTCAAGGGGTTTAGTTGTTGACTTGAACAGCCAAGGAAAACCAAAACTCGCTTACTCCGAGCACCGTGGCTAAAATGTGCCTGGGGAACGGCTTCTGTAAGTCAGCGGGAGAGGATAGTTCATCCTAACAAGAATCGCTAGATGCGATACATAATTAAATGCAATATGCACACCGATCAATTCTAAATTCATGCTATTAGACGGGATAATGGTAAGGATTCTTCTTAATTAATTATTCTATAGATTGAATAGTTATTAAGAGTGTGTGATAGACTTCACCCCCCCCCCCCCCCCGGTAGACTAAGGCTAATTAGACTTATTAGACTATGCCCCTCCGTCTATCGTCTGGAACTATGAATACGAAATGAGTTCGAAAGCATTATTATTGCATGAGACGACTCTAGAAAAGTCCTGTTGGATAGAAACAACGAGAGAGCGAGCCTTCAACATTCCATTGAATAATAGCGCCACTTTCGTGACAATTTTTGTTCAAGAAAGACTGAAAATGACATGGCTTAGGGCAGCTTCCACGGCTGTCCGACTGGATTGAGTAAATTGCTCCTGTATCTGCTGAAGCTTCATGGTTCAACGTGAGTTCCCTTGTCGTCCTTCGTGACTTGAGATACTCTTCAATCTTGGTTCTCGAGCTTGTCACTTCAAGTTGTCGAACATTGGATTCCTCGAGCCTGGAATGACTCATTATTTCAAGGCTTTGTAGAACTCGGCTTGCGATGCTGAAAGATGCCCCTCGCACAAACTTTATGACATTTATGTGCTCATTGGCTTGAGCCTCTTGATTCAATTGGGATGCAAGAAGTCGTAGAAGTTTTCTGGGGTTTCTCTGAACTCAGGTCCTCGGTATTTGCCGTTCCCGGAGGGCGAATTTGCACAGTTCTTGAAAATTGGGATGTTTTAACAGCGATGCAGTGAAAACGTCAACACCGGCTATGACACTGGGCTGACCAAGCGTCGTGCTGGTCGAGGCACTTTCTACCAATGAAAAATTGCTAATTATCGACCCTGAATCCGAAAAATCAGAGGCTGGGTCGGCGAAGTCGGACGTTCCCTCTGGGCACTTTCTTTGGGACAATTGGTCAAGGAGCTTCACGACATGCAGCGTTTCCGGGTGCCTCTCTCCAAATATTTTCATTCGGGCATCTTTTCCTTTCCTCTCAAGCGTTTCGGGGTTTTCCAATGGGCTTTGTCGAAGAATAATAACGCTAAGGTTTCCATGCTATTCAGCGTGTCGGAGTGTTCTGGGCCCAGTATTTTCTGACGAGCATTCTTCACTCGCACAAGTATTTCCTCAGCGTCATACCAATGCCCTTGCATCCTATGGATTAAGGCCAGGTCACTCATGTTTGAGAGCACTCTTGGATTCCCCTCTCCGAATACCTCTTGCCCTATTCCGAGTGCCTTAGCCTGCAGGGCTTCAGCATCCTCAAATCTGTCCTGCTCAAGGAAAACGGAAGCCAAATTCCTCACGGAACGAAGCGTATCTGTATGTCTTTCACCGAGATATGCTTGCTGATCTTCCATGGTTTGCAGCAAAACTTTCTCTGCCTCCGTGAGTCTTCCTTGACTTTTGTAGGTCAATGCTAGATCACGCATGCTCAAAAGCACATCTGGATGCTTGGGACCAAGTAAATTCCGAGTACTCTCAATCACGCTTGTTAGTAAGACTTCAGCATCGTCCCATCGACCTTGGTTCCACTATGTTGCTGCTAAGTTGGCCAAACTTTTTAATGTATCAGGATGATCTAGACCCAGAATCTGCTCCCGAATCGTGAGAACTTGTGCTTGTAGTGCTTCTGCTTCGGTCCATCGGCCTTGATTTCGATAGAGTGAAGCAAGGTTGTCCATGCTACCAAGTGCGTTTTGATGATCTCGTCCTTGGAGAGTCATATAGACCTCAAGCACTTTAACGGATAAAGATTCTGCATCCACCAATCGGCCTTTGTCGCGGTATACCAATGCTAGATTATTCATGCTAGTCAAAGTGTCTAGGTGCTCGCGTCCAAGTAAGTCAATGCGAGTATCGAGGACTTCCTTTCCGAGCTTTTCTGCGTCCTGCCATCGCCCTTGGTTCCAGTATGTCGTGGCAAGATTATTCATGCTGGTAAGGGTATTTGGATGCTTTGGTCCAAGTAACCGCCTTCGAATATCAAGCACTTGAGAGTGGAGTTTTTCTGCTTCTTGCCATCGGCCTTGGTTCCAATACGTCAAAGCTAGATTGCTCATACTCGTAACGGTGTCTAGATCTTCTGCGCCAAGCACGCGCTTTCGTCTCTCGAGAACTTCCAAGTCCAAGAGCTCTGCCTCCTGCCATCGGCCTTGATACCATTTGGTCAAAGCTAGATAAGTCATGGCAGTGAGCGTAGTCGGATGCTCTGCTCCTATCACTCGCTTGGATACTGAAATGAGCTGCTCCGCTAGGTCCTCGGCCTGTTTCCATTGACCTTCAAGAACATAGGCCCGGGTAATTGTCATCAAGGAATCCCTGGTTTTTTGATCATCTCCGCCTAGTAATCGCTCCCTCACCTCCATCGCCTTCATAGCCATCTGCTTCATGTCCACTGTCCTCCCAATCATCATCGCGTACCATTCGCCTTTCTGAAGAAGAGTTGCATCTGAATCCGAGCTTGGAGGCTGCGACATTGCTGCCTTTAGGTGCGGGAACAAAGACTGGCAGTTTTGCCTCTCGATGTCGCTCGTTGGAAAGTCGTTACAAAGATTTCTGATGGATTGTTCCTTCCAACGCTCACTCTGGCCGTGATATTCAAGCCAATTTCTCACAGCAAATTGAACCAATCTGTGCATCGTAAATTTTTGTCCGCTTTCGTCGAGGTTTGAGACCAGTGAGTAAGTTCGCAACGCAAGAACAACACGTAGCCAGTCAGTAATCTGGATTTTAATACCATGTGCCTAGGTTTGTTAAAGGAATAAACCATAAGTCTATTACTGCAATATATTTAGACACCAGTAATAACTGCCACCACGCTTTGTTTGGCATTTCGGTCTATCATGTTAAAGTTCGTCCAAAATCTAATTATAGGCTTAAAGCCTGCAGAATCTAAATTTTAGGGGGTGAGAAGGCCATCAGAGAAAGAATATCTACTACATTATACAATATAGAGCGAAAGGGCTGATTATTGGCCTTCGTTATAAGAAAAGATAGAATCGTCTTTGAAAACTGGGAGACTTAGAATACAGTGCAGTATAATAATATAGGATTTGCGTATGTACCACAAAAGAAGGAAAATAGACCACCCTTAAACACATACAGGAATAGGGAAAGAAGAAAACAGGCTATTGAGATCCCATGATAATGGCATACTTCAATTAGCCGGATCTAGTTTGGATATATTGGAAGTTCTGAATTTGGCGTAGTTCATTCAGCGTTAACCTTGATGCCAAATCTGCATATTAAGGTCACAATTCGGTAAAGTCGCAGCAATCCTGTCATGGTTCGTTCCGAAGCTTTCATTCATTCAACCAGCCATTCGAAACGCAGCATTTGTTTCTCGAATATGAGCCCGTCCAGATATCTATTCACTGGGCTTCAGCCCTGGCGGACAAAATCCTGTGTATATTGGCGCATTCATGGAGCTGGCACTTGCACCCAGACTGCCGCCCGCCCGTATGAGAAGTAGCCCTTAATTTGAGGTGAAGTGTCTCATTTATAATGTCACCCTTCTAGAAAAGAACCACAAACCACTGCCTCCTAGTTTCAGAACCCCCAATTTGTCTCTAATTGTTAACATTTTGACTTTCTCGAATGATAGCTTCGGGGCTTAATTAAGCTGCCGCAGATCAGCGACCTCCGAAAGCTCCGCCGATGAAGTCTCCGCATTAGAAATCAACACCAGAAACTCGGAACTTCTTCCACCATTTTCTCTCCCAACCCAACCCTCACACATTCTCCAACTTCCCCCTCTAATCCAGCCTCAAATCATGGCCGAGGTTCCACCAGAGCAGTTGGATGCGCAATTCCGCACCCAACCACACGCCTTCAACCAAACACCTCCCAAGTCCAAAGAATCGCAAGACGGCGACTCCAAAGCCCCATTGCCCAAGGGCGTAGTCCTCGACAAAGATGGCAAGCCGTAAGCGTCCTATCCCAGCCTAACAAACCTACCTATGCCCAACAACTAAACATGTCACTGCAGCTGCCGAACCTGTACATCAATCGCCTCATGGCGCGCCCTAACAAAGCAACAATCGCAAACCTCCCCCTCCTCCACCGCAACATCATCAACCTCAACAACAATCTCCACACCAGCAACAACCTCCCAATCCACCCCCCAACCCACCGAAATCCCCTCTGACTGTCCACCCGACGTCGAACAACTCGGCCGATCAACCTGGACCCTCCTGCACACCATGGCGGCTACGTACCCCGAAAAGGCGTCCGCGCAACACCAAGAGGACATGCAGGGCTTCCTGAAGTTCTTCTCCAAGCTTTATCCGTGCTGGGTGTGTGCGGACGATTTCAAGACTTGGATGGCGCATCCGAGTGGGCGCAATCAGCCGAAGCTTGGTGGGCGGAAGGAGTTTGGGTGGTGGATGTGTGAGGCGCATAATGAGGTTAATCGGAAGTTGGGGAAGAAGGAGTTTGATTGTCGGCTCTGGGAGGAGAGGTGGAGGACTGGGTGGAAGGATGGTCGGTGTGATTGAATGGGGAGGATAAATGATGATAGACGTGTGCTTGTATGTGTAAGATCATGGTTGATGTACAGCGCAGTTTGGGATCGTGCGTTCTCTGCTGTAGATAATATAGACTTCTCCCTTCTTGTATTAATAGAACTATGGCATATTCTGACGAGTCAACACGAGACTTTGTTTATCTGTATTTGATTCTTGGGAAGACAAGCTTCGAGGCAAGTTAAAACTATCTCTAGGGTTTCTATACTTGGGATAGTCCATTTTGAACAAAATTCACATACAAACTAAGACCGCTAAGCAATTAGAATCTCGGGTACAGAAACATCTAGACAGGGTGTGAAGAGCCGGGAGATGTCGTTCTCCCGAAAGAAAAAGCGCCGCCAAACACACGACTTCATCTCATCGCAGGGAGAAAAAAAACAAGGGAAGAGGGAAATGAAAAATAATATGCCCCATTTTATAACTTCATGTCAAAAGGAAGGAAGAAAAAGGATGGGAAGAAACCGTCAAACTTCGTCATATGCAGAACGATCAACCTAATATTGAGCCGGAACGAAGAGGCGCAGGCCACTGGCCGGCGCGCCAATCTCGGTCACCTCGGATATCCGGCAGACGCTGCCCTTGTATTGCTCGTGGTACTTGGCACCAGTGAAGGGGTCGGTCACGCAAGGAGAGCCGCTGAAGATGGGAGTGAAGGAGGCGGCGCAGATGTCGAACTCGGCGAATTGGTCGAATTCGATATCGATCGCATCCTGAGGGTTGCGCTCGCACTGAGCCTTGATCTTCTTGGCCTGTAGAAGCATGTGTTAGTAAAAGCAGAGTCGACAGATATAAACGTTGGTGAGAGATCTTACCTGATCCAAAAGCTTGGCAGCGCCGCCGTTGGCCAGCATCCGGTTGGCAAAGCCCAGTGCAGAGTTGTAGTTCTTGTTGGCAAAGGCGAGCTTCATGGCTGCCATTAGGGCCAATTGTCGGTGAGCAACCTCCAGCTTAGGGATGGTGAAGTATGCAGACAACTCCAGACTGCGCTTGAGGCCCTCGGGGGTGTCAGTAGATAGAGATCGGCGCTCAAGCTCGATCGTCATGGCAAGGATGTATTCCCGGGCAGTGGTGATAATCTTCTTTGCTTGCTCAACCTCGCTTTCCGATGAAACAGTGTTGACAAGCAACGTGTTCAGAATGCGCTTGAAGACATTTACACCATCTTCGAGCTTGTTGGAGCGCATGGCAGCGTAACCTTCTTGGAGATCGACGCTGGCGACAGTCTCGAGATCACGAGGGATGATAGGGAGAACCTTGCGGCTGTCAGTCTCCTCGGTGGTCCTCCGCACATAGTTGACCAAAGGCGGGAGGCCAGTAGAGGCAGGGAGGTAGGTCTTGGAGCCCTTGTAGATCTCAAGGAAGCGGTCCTTGAGAGGAGCGAACTGGACAGCACCGACCTGACGGTTCAGGAGCTGCATAGCAGTGTCGAAGGAGCCAGCGGCAACGTGATCAGCTGCCAGAGGCGAGTTGCGAGCCCACAGGTCAGCCTCGGAGCTACCTGCACCAGCCTCAGTACTCTCGACGTTGACAAATTCAACATCCTCCTCCACATTGATATCATCTCCCATGTCCCAGCCAGAGGCGTCTTCCTCCTCGTCCTCCAGGGTGTCCTTGGCGAGAACAGCCTCCGTCTCGTCTTCCTCAACCTCAAAGCCATCAGCAGCAGCCTCCTCGTCGCCAGTACCGACCTCGCCGAGAAGGGCCTTCTCGAACGAAGAGTGACCAGCGGCCTTGGTGGGCCAATTGGACTTGAAGGTAGGAACGATGGGATGAGGGACCTTGAGGGGGTCCTCAAGAGAAGGCAGGGCAATCTGATCTTCGGTGAGACCACAGGCCTCTAGAATAGACTCGGCCTCCTCGGTCAAGCCATGCGACTTTGCGGTTAGATAAGCCAGGGGGTCTATGGAAAAGTTAGCATCTCAGTCGACAAAAACGGGTCTTGTAACACATACACAAATCGACTTCCTTGAACATCTGGATACGATCCTCGACGTCACCACGGTAGATGGCGTTCTGGAAGCGAGAAGTGAAATCACCTCGGTGCTCAGCGATCTTTGCCATGCGAGAAAGCTTCTCCTGGTCACCGGTGGCGAGGTAGAGGAAGGAGAGCTTCTCAAAGTTCCGCTGCTTCTGGTAGGTCATCTCGACGGTTTGGTGGTTACCATGAGCCAAGGCCTCGGCTCCCAGTCTGTTCCAGAAGTTGGGACGATCCAGCTCGCGAGCCATCTCGATAGCAACCTCAAGATTGCCACACTCAAGGGCCAAATCGAAACGGGTCTGCGGATCTTGGACGAACTGCAGAGCAATCTCGGGATATCCCTTCTTCTGCAGGTACGAAATGATGCTCTGACCCACCAAGCTCGAGGTCTTGATGATCTGGAGCATCTCATCGTAGTTCCGCTTGACCAGTGCCAACTTGAATCGGTATTCGGTGGGATCGATAGCGAGGATCTGAGGCTGGGCGTTACGGTCGAGGCAGTACACGTTGCGGCCCTTGACGCGGACGAGGTAGACGGTCTGGTCGAGGGTGCGAATAATACCATTGTCACTGTAGACACGAAGATCAATTGGTCAGCATAGCCATTGTATGAAATAGAGACTTGTGTTAACATACCCATTGAGTAGCGAATACTTGACGTGGTTAAGGGTCGAGTAGATAAGCACGCCGGAGTCATCCCAAGTCGCGCTCTTGATACGAATAGTCTCGTGTAGGGTGCTGACTTGCTCGAGAGTCTTGGTAACAATGGTGACATTGTGCTTGCTGAGAAGAGCACAGTAGAGACCATCATTGGACCAGACAACATACTTAACACCACTGACAGCAAGCTCGGCCAACTGCTTCTTCTGTTGGATATCGAAGAGGGTGACGGTAGTGGGGGTAATGAAGAGCAAGCAGCCAGTTCCGCCAAAGTAGATATCCGTGGTGCCAGCCGGAGGCTTAATGGTCTTGGTTGTAGAGTTGCTAAGGTCCTTGATATCGACCTGCTGGCTAGAGGGGTTGAAGACGGCAAAGCGATTGCGAGCAACGAAGACCGCGGAGGTGGCTTGGCCGCGCTTGACATCAGTGGGCTCGACGGCTCCTGTAGCGTCGCGAGGAAGGTGAATCAACTCGTAGGTTCCGCTGTCGGTGGGGGAGGTGACCAGGATGGCGCGCTCGGCAGGGTTGTAGGAAAGAGTGCGAGGAGGAACCCAGGGAGAGCCAAGCTTGCGCAGCGACAACATGGGAGGGGACTCGACGTTCTTGCCGAAATCGTATGACTTGACGTGCTTCTCCTTGGTGATATAGAAGAGCTGGTTCTGGTAAACGGCAGAGGCGGGGCGCTCGCGCTCCAGCTTGAAGACCATCACACCAGTGTCGTGACCGGCGGCGAACAAGTTCATCTCCGGATGGGCAGCAATAACCCAGAATCGGTCCTGGTCGCGCTTGAAAGACTGAACGGATGTCCGCTTGTTGAGATCCCACACACGAATCGTCTTATCTTCGCCGACGGAGAGGATGAGGTCTTGGTGGGGGTGGAAGAGACAGGCGGAAGCATTCTGGAAGTGGCCGCGGCAGGTATCGACTTCCCATGCCTTGGTATCTACATATGAAAAGTAATTAGTATGACCGAGAGCCAAGGAACTGTGATAAAACCCACCACTCATGCGCCAGAGCTTGATCAGCCGGTCGTCACCAGCGGAGACGATCAATGGCAAAGTTGGGTGGAACGACACCCAGTTGACACCGCGGTCATGTCCCTCCAGCACGAACTTGACAATGGCATCAGTATTACCGAACATATCAGCTTGGTTCGGGTTAGCGCGAGCCATTTGGTCTTCAAATGACACCGAGGTCGGGGCGGAGTGCTTCTTCCTCAGACCGGAGATGTCCCAGATGCGGACAGACTGGTCCAGGGAGGCGGAGGCGATGAGGTCCTCGGTGGGATGGAACTGGGCGCACATCACATAGTGGTTGTGGCCGGTCATAGTACAGACTATAAGACACACCCAACGTTAGCAATTGCCAAGCCTCACGATATGCCGGGCACGATTCAACTTACTCAAAGAGCGATTCTGCCAGTTCCAAATCCGAATGGTCTGGTCATCGGACGCCGAGAGAATCCATGGGAGCTCGGGGTGGAAGAATACTGTGCGCACGTAGTCCAAGTGGCCATTCAATGTGAACAGACACCTCCGAGTCTGATAATTCCAGACCTTGATCTTGTAATCATCACCACCGGAGACAAACAGGGGCTGGGTCGGGTGGAAATCGATTCCTCGAACGGGGCCATCGTGTTCTTCGAAGCGATCAATGAGAGTTCCCATGCGGTAATCCCAAAGCTGGATAGTGGAGGAGTGGAGGGAGACGAGAATCCATGGTCTGATATCTTGAGGTCAGTGCCGATGCTCCAACGTGTTGTTATGTCCCCGCGGGACCGACGTACCGTTTCGGGTGGAATGCGATTCCCTTGGCTCTGGAGGATTTTGACTCAAACTGTGCAGTAGATGATTGTTAGCAAGTCCAATTGAGTGAAAGCTGTGCGACCCAAGCCTGGAGAGATGGGGAGCTGAATGACGGCGGTGATCGAGGGGCGTACCTTGGTGAGCATGTTTGGAGAGGACTGCATCTTGACAGAGTTGGCCGGAGCCGCACCAAACAGTAGCAAGCTCCGCACAGGAAAGAAGAATAGGTGACAGAGGCAACCACTGCATCCACCAGGGACAAGAAAGGGCAGAGAAGGGCAAGGCGCAGTGGTCGTGGATGCCTGTGCTTGGAGAGCAGAGGAGGTAAACTAAACGTGGACTCAATTGTGGAAGCGAAAGGCGGTGGCCAATCAACCCGTGGGCGGTGAGCGGTCAGGGGTCTCTTAACTACAACAAAGTACTACGGAGTCCTAGAACTATACAGAACTTCAATCTACACACATCAGCAGATCTTTAGATTAAGTATAATTGTTAACCATGATATTTAGATCTTGATAGATTCATATCCAAAGCTTTGGCTCCTGGTAGTGGAGATTACCTGTGGTGGTGGTTCGCCAACTGCTAATTGGTGATCTGGGGAGCTCTTCCCCTTTCCCCGCTAGAAGCGTCTGGAATACTCCCTTCATGTCCTGGGCCAGCGACTCTTTCGTTCCTTCTTTTGATAATCATGGTCTCCATTTTTCCTGAATATCTTTTCTTGGGCCAAATTGTCTTTGTGTTTACACTTTTCCATTTGCAGCATTTCTGTGGTTCGCATTTCTTTGTTGCAGCTGGTGACGTGATGGAACCAAAGCCCAGAGCATCGAATACTCGGAGGATACATTGACTCGCTCAACTTGGCACCACATTACCGAAAAGCTTTCCATGTGCGAAATGGCCTCTCCTGGTCAGACAAATGAGCCAGCAGACCCTTTTTCATGTCACCCCGGCTCGTCGCCTGCCAACGGAGCAGGTGTCGCTACAGATAGTAGCAGTCATAGCGTGAATGTCTCGGGACCGACCACACCAACACATGAGAACCTACCAGAAAACATGTCAGGCATGTCGAAAATCAAGGCCCTACAACCATATGCAATCGAGGAACCGGATGACGACCCAGAACCTCCCGTGCAGCGGAGGCTTGAGTTACCCTGCCTTCCAGATTACTTCGAGGTATGGCAGCGCGAGCTGATCGATCGCATCGATGATATGGATGATGCGGATGACAAGGCCGTGACAAAATCAAGCGCTAAGCTTTCACCAATCCCGAAGAGAGGTCAGAAGCGAAAGCCACTTGGTGCAGCTAGCGCCGCCGATTACCATACAGGCTCTTATCGATCCAAATCTAGGGCCAAGCTAGACGATCCTGCATTGCCTATCTGTGGCATGAGTCCGAAGAGGCGCCGTAGACGCAGTAAGGTACCGGAAGAAAGTCCCAAAAGTCCTCATCCTATCTCTCTACATGATTTCCGTGATACCCGAGTCAACCAGAGCTCAAGTTCGGACTTGCTGTCAAGTAGTAGTACCGATTCCGTTGATGACTCTGCTCTTGTCGATGAGATGGACATTGACTGAGATCCGCCTTGCAAACCCTCTGCGATTCCACAGTACAACTCGCCCAGAGCTACATCTAGCGGTTCCGAGCTGAGAACCGATGCCATGACGTCATTAGTATCTCATGGCCACTCTCAAGCTTCGACCTGGAGATCTCGTCCAGCTTGAGGTTTCCAAATTTCTGCCTCGGTAACAACCTTTTGAATCTAGCTATCAATCAGACCGACTTGGAATTCAACCCAGAAATAATTGGACATTCATCATGGCCCGCACCTCTTCTCGCCAGGCTGCTCAGAAGGCCAAAGAAGCCATCTCGACAACAAGTGAAACGGGTGGCAAAGCGAGAGCGGGCGCAAAACGAAAATCCACGGAGCAAAAGGTACCCGCGCCCAAGAAAGAGAAGAAAGAAGTAAAGCCACATGAAGAAAAGGAGGTGAAGGTGGAAAAAAGGCCAGAGAAGAAGCTTGAACAGCCACAAGAACCAGAGAAAGGGCAGAAAGAGGAACAGCCACTGCAACCAGATGAAGAGAGAGGGCCAGATACGGAGGTTGACGGTGTTCCAGCCAAAACTCCCAAGGAGGAAGAGGAAGCTTCTCCTGCTGTTCCTGCAGCTCCGGCCCCAACCCCCGGCCCGTTGCTAAACTAGAACCAAACGTCGAGTCTGGTATCCGCAAGTCCGAAGAACGAGAAGACAAAGTCTCTTCCAATGTTCTAGAAAAGGGAATCATTTACTTCTTCTTCCGGCCACGCGTCAACATCGAGGACCCCCAAGGAGTGGAAGACGTTGCTCGCAGCTTCTTCGTTCTGCGTCCAACACCGCTAGGTGCGGAGCTCGATTCAGGACAAGGGCCAGTAGACAAAGATGCCCGATGTCGTTTATTGATGCTCCCGAAGAAGAAGTTTCCCACATCGGGTAGGGAGCGAGACATGGGATTCGTGGAAAAGGCCAACCAGTCGATGAAAGATCTACAGGAGAAATTCATCGCCGGTTCCACATATCAAACCTCTACTCGTGGCGAGCGCCATATTGAAGAGGCTCGTCCGTACGCGGAGGGAGTCTATGCACTTACATCGACTCGACGGGCAACTCATCTAGCTTACGTGTTGACTATTCCTCACGAAATTGGAGAAATCCAAGAGAACTTTGGACTACATCAGCGTGGGAGCTTCATCGTCCAATCCAAGAATCCGAAGTTTCCCGGTCCGTCATTTGCGAGGTTGCCAAAGGAACCTGAATATCCCGAGTCGTGAGTCTGACTTCAACACAAATCGCCGATTTGGATTTTTCACAGCCACTAACTTTGTTCTGCAGTGTTATGGAGAAGTTTGATGATCTTCGATGGGTGCCTCTACAACCCGAGTTCATAGAGTACCCCAATGCTCAATTCTTAATGATCGGCGAGGCGCAGGACTCTTTGGGCAAAGCCGCTACGGCCGAGGGTGGAAAGAAGGCACACGAGATAGAACCAGGAGAGGAGCTGGAGAAAATGGAACATGAAAATGAGGATCGGGTACACGCACTAGAGGGTAAGACAATAGATTTTCCTAAACATGTTGATATTGTATCCGTTGACTGAAACTCCCGACAGGCGATTCAACTATCTTCCGGGATCTTGGCTTGGATGCGAAGAAGTATGCCGCCGTGCCAACGACTTGGGGTGCTGAGGAGACTACTACTTGAGTGCCAAACGAGTCCTGGAAGAGATCGGCCACTTTCAATGCTCTCGATCAGGTTTTCCCTCGTCATTCAGGATTTTCTTTGAATAAAAATATCCAATTGAAGCCTAGTAAGGGGCTCAGTCCTTTCGAACAGCCACTGTAGTCTACGCGATTTCTTGGAAATCTTCCGAACAATTCTCAATCATTGAGTAATTTCTGACCTCGTATTTGATTCGATCGAGAATGTCACGAGTGACAATCCTCCATTTCAAGTCGCTTACTGGAATCGGGTGGGAGTATAGATCCCTTGGCGTAATCGTGGAGGCTACGCAGGCCGATGAAGGCAGGGATTGGCACTTTCCCCCTGCAGTCGCATCGTTTTCCTCTCCACGCCACCAACCCTCCGCACCAACCAGAAGAGTCGCTGACCTCTGCAATTAACCAGTTTGGAAGATTGATAACCGACACTCCACGATCCTTCTTGGCATGGGATGCAACGATCAGCGAATGACGATTGTCATTCTTTGCACGTTGAGTGGTTCATTCCCTAGTCCCGGTCTAGCGTCTTGGAAACCACGCAGCCGGCTGGGCATGCGACTTCGGAGTCGCAAGGTGCCGACAAAGTAGATAAAGCTGCGTCTGGCCTGCTTGATCGCGAACAGCTTGGAGAAAAGTAACTCGCATCTAGTTGCTTAGACGTCATGAAGTCAACTCTGGCGATTGCCCTGCTGGCTGCGGTCGCAAGGGCGGCGAACAACGTTGTCAACCAGACCACTTGCGCCGGGACTACCTACAAGTATACCGGGCTAGCCGGATATGGTTTCATTCCGTCCAACGCGACGGACAAGTACGGTGACACCATTGGTGGTATTGGTAGCTCCATTGCTATCGATCAATCGTCATGGCGCAAGTCGGACGACGATGTTTACTCGGGAACAATCTATACAATCCCGGATCGTGGATGGTAAGGACTCCTGCGCTAGAATATTCAAAACAATAGGCTTGACAACTCACAAATCATCCTAGGAACACCAATGGAACTCTCAACTTCCAGTCGCGTATTCACAAGTTTGCCTTGACTTTCAAGTTGGCCCCCCATGCTTCGGCCAAGAACCCTTCCGACCCCAATTTGCACTTGAAGTATCTCGATACTGTTCTTTTGACCGGGCCCGATGGTAATCCTACCACTGGCCTGGACGCCGATGCTACTGGAAATGCTTCCTACCCCGGCTTCCCGCCCCTGCCAGCGGCGACCTACACAGGCGATGGCTTCGGCGGTTCCGGCAAGGGTGGCAAGAGAATTTCCATCGACGCAGAGGGACTCGCCCTCGCAAAGGATGGTGGCTTTTGGGTCTCTGACGAGTATGGCCCGTACGTTTACAAGTTCAGTGCTTCGGGTCGCATGGAGCTTGCAATCCAGCCTCCGCAGGCCTACCTGCCTCGCCGAAACAATACTCTCAGCTTCAGCGCTAACTCTCCACCACTGTATGACCCGGCTGAGGTGCCTACCCCCGAAGACACGGACTCTGGTCGTGATAACAACCAGGGCTTTGAGGGTCTGACCGTCTCTCCTGATGGCAAGACCCTCTATACGCTGATTCAGAGCTCGCTTGATCAGGAAGGTGGGCCAAAGAAGCCAAACCGTGCCCCCGCTCGTCTGCTTGCGTATGATATCTCTGGCAAGACGCCTCGCTATATCCACGAGTGGGTGGTTATACTGCCGAAATACAATGACTACACTGAAGATGATGCGAGCAAAGCCAACAAGGTTGCCTCGCAGTCGGAGATCCACCAGCTTCCAAACGGTGACTTCCTGGTTCTGTCTCGTGACTCCGGCTTTGGCCATGGACAAGACGAGTCGCGGTCTGTGTATAGACAGGCAGATGTTTTCTCTGTGTTGAACAATTATTCTGTGACCGATTTCAAGGGACAAAGTGATTACGACACTGCTACTGGTGCGATTGCTTCGTCGAAGGGTGTCCTCAAGGATGGCATCACTCCGGCAGAGTACTGCTCATTCCTGGACTTCAATGTCAACTCGGAGCTGGCCAAGTTCCGTCTTCACAATGGAGGAGCCCAGGATCAATACTTGTTGAACGAGAAGTGGGAGAGTCTGGCCCTCGTTCCTGTGGACCCCTCTAAGAATGGTCACCACCGTAAGCGGGGCGAGCAGGAGTATTTCTTGTTCAGTCTCAGTGATAATGACTTTATTACTCAAGATGGTAAGTCATTCGATATACCGGTGCCTCCTTAATTACTAACGCTTTCATAGGACACATGAACTTTGGCAAGTTCTCTTACAAGGACGCGTCAGGATATGATCTAGATAATCAAGCCCTTGTGTTCAAGGTCAAGTTCTAGATTGCTTTGAACTCCATTCAAAGGCTTGAAACTTTATACAGCAAACTAGAAACCCAACACCAACCGAGACTGGTTTCTCAATTTGTAACTTGTACATAGCTTTAATACGACGAGAATCCGCCCCCAAACATGTGTAAAGCATCAATCATTCCATGAAATCAGACCACTCGTAAATTCTCAGATTCCCCACCCCACCAATCCCAGTGCAACTCCGATTATGGTCATTAGACTTGGCATCCGATCAGTCAAGCCAGTGCCTCCACTGACCCCACGACTTTCACAGTAATAACCCGTCGTGCTAGCAAAGGTGGCCTCGGTTTGTGGCAGACGGTTCATTTTCTGCAAATTGTTGAAAGTCGTACAATCAAGATGCGATCTATTCGTAGCTTCGAGGCTGAAATAACTCAGAGTGGAAGGAGTATCTCCAGTAGCATTCATGGAACCATTTTGTTGGGCCACAAACGTGTCACTGTATGTAAGTCAGCAACAGTCTAATTTTCTTTCTAAGAAGAACGCTGATAGGAAACTCAGCGTAGGCTGGACGTACAAGAATGAATTAGCAATGATAGCGTTGTAAATACCAACGGACGAGACATTGGTCGGCCAGTACCAAGTCTGAACACTGTTTCCCTGGTCATCTACCCCGTACATTGAGGAAAGGTTAAGCCCTGGGCTTTCATAGACACTGAGCTCGAAACCTCCTGTCCAATTTACGGCTTTCGGTGGAAGGCGAAGCGTCACCACATCAGAGTACGATCCTTCTTTGATATACACCAGTCGGAGATCATCGAATGGGAGGTATATCTCTGGCATGCTACCGCTAGGCTCGACAGTAATATTATTCGCTGTGAGTTTTTCCAAACTCGAGCTGCGCTGCAGTCCCGTCAAGTCGGCCAGCTCAACAGATCCCAGTGACATCTCCGTAGCTGACGAGCCACCCAGAATCACCGTCAGGTTCGAATACACGTTCAAGCGATCTACAGATCGCAGTCCAATTGTCACATTCTTCACATTTGGTAAAGTCTCAATTTCCGCCCCGGCCGTGATGTTCAGGGGGTTGTTGAACAAACTGTCGACCGAGTCTAGGAGATTATCATAGATCCATAATCCGGTAGCATTGCTCAATTTTGTATGGCGCAATGTTTTGAGGTTTTTGCCCGAGATTTCGAGGTCTCCGACGTACTCTAGACTCGTGATGTCCAGATAGGTCAAATTGCTGCACCAGATTCCCATGGAGAATGAGCCGCCGACGGTGGTTAGATTCGGCAGGGTGAGGTTATGCATGTTGCAGACGTCATCTCCGAAGACCAACGAGCCTCCGATTTTCGTCAGAGTCGACCAGGTGAGGGTGAATGGGGTCTCTTCAATCCAGAATTCGCTACTGCCGAAGTCATGTTTGATATTCCCCTTAACGGTTGTGATACCATCGAGATTGAGGTTTATCGTGCTTGTATTTTGAGCGAATGGGCCGATGGTCAGATCGCCCGTGATAACTTGACAACTCTGTCGTAGGGTTTCGGCGTCACTTTCGGATGCTACTGAGGCTGTGGTACAATTCGTTGCCAGAGCAGCTGTTGAATGATTAGCATGAAGAGAGATGGATCATAGTCGCCGACGACCAAAAATCAAATGTCAAGGTTTTTCTCACTTCTAGTAAAGAGTACAAGCCCCACTATGAGACTTTGCTCAACTCGCCAGATCATATTGCAGGTTCTCAAGCAATGTAATTCCCCAGAAAAAATCGAAGCACGACTCCCTTGCGGATCTCTCCGCGACTTATAATAACCAAACAAACCACAGCCCCTGAGTAGCGAGGGTATCATTCGCAGCATAGGGTATCTCTCCAGCTGACGACGCTCGAGGCTATAACCAGAGGCTAAACTCAAATTGACTAGCCATCACATCGCTTAGTGCTAAGCCCCTGGCGCCGTTAGCTGGCTATGATGGTTAGCACCCCCGATCGTCTAGGGCTGAGCGGGTCTTTGTGAAAAAGCTGCGACCTTGATTTACTATGACTTCATGTTATATCTAGTCATGCTGTTGTTACTTTGTCAAAAACGCTCCGATCGGCGTATAGATAGAGAGGCTGGGATTCTATGCTTGACTGTTCTTCTTTGACACTTGCAGATATCCTTTTTTTCAACGACTCTGCGGCAAATCTCATGGCAAAGTGCTTGTGTGGGCCCCACTATATCGACCATTGCTTGATTCAGTGGGTCAGGGTCGGTTGAGATCTGCCGAGACCCATCGAAGGGGAGAATGCAGCCTCCATATTAGCAGCCGCAGAAATTTCGGGCCTATTCATCTTCGTACTATGACACATATTTACGCACCAATCCGGAGTTATGAATCCTGGTGGTTGCACAAGTTTTCATAAAATCTCGGTTGTAGAGAAAGAACTGGCTTCAAATCGGGTGTCGTGGAGCAAGCGCCGCCATGGACTATTCCGAATAAGGTGAAAAAAGCATAAGGAGTGTTGTATGAACAGTGGTGTGAGTAGTCGTGAACAGTCGTGAACAGATATGGAGAGACAGACAGATATAATACAGGCTGTCTGGGACCTGAATGACAGCCTCAGGCTGCAACCCTATTATCCTAATAAGCTAAGGATTCGATGTGCAGGAATCGACACATTTATTACATCTCATCATTCCAAAAACAGAATATCTCCGGACTTTAGGGCTTCCCCGGACATAATTCTTTTCCCCGGACTTTGCTGAATTCGAACCAGTCTAGAAACTATCAGCATGGTAGACCCTTGGCCATCTTGGCATACGGTAAGTGGTCCCGAGTGGGGAAGCACTGAGCTGTTGTATGGTATATCTTGAAAATTATCTTCGCAAAGTTTAACAGAGAGAGAAAACTTTTAATCCCTCTTCTCAATGCTAGATACCATGGCAGATATATTAGATCCCACGGCTGATGAAAAGGGCACGTCAAACGATGTTGAACGACTCGAAACTCATACTTCCTTCGCGCCCCCTCCAATGCGGCCATGGCAGCGACGATTAATTGTTCTGTCACTTTGTTTATCTCTATTCTTGGGGGCTCTGGACATTACGATCATCTCGACAGCTCTTCCTAGCATTGCAGCGCATTTACATGTGACATCACGAGAATACGCGTGGATTGGAAGTGGCTATACCCTGGCCACAACTGCGTCAACTCCAGTCTGGGTTAAGCTTTCCGATATTTTCGGTAGGAAGCCTACTATCATGACTGCTGTGACCATTTTCATGGTAGGCAGTCTCGTTAGTGCATTGGCAAGCTCTAGCGTTTCGCTTCTTGCTGGGAGAGTTGTCCAGGGGTTAGGTGGTGGTGGTTCGATTGTTCTTGTGACTGTTATCATTGGTGATATTTTTGCCCTCGCCGACCGTGCTAAATACTACGGTATTACTGGAATTGCTTTTGCGATGGCCAGTGCTATTGGGCCGGTTCTTGGTGGTGCATTTACCGATGGTATCGGTTGGAGATGGTGTTGTAAGTTCTTTGAAATTTGTGTCGTGATTAATAGCCATTCAAGCATGCTGATACTAAAGCAGTCTATATCAATCTACCTTTTGATGGGATCGTTTTGGTTCTCCTATATTTCAATCTTAATGTTGAGATTGAGAAGGAATCACTGACTGATGGGCTGAACAGTATAGACTGGATGGGCTTCCTGCTCATCATTGGAGGAACCATTTGCTTTCTTTACGGACTTGAAACTGGGTCCAGTGGTCTCGTCCCATGGCATTCTCCCACCGTCATTCTCTTAATCGTTTTTGGCGCCGTCATCATGGCTCTGTTCATGGTCTGGGAGGCCAAGTTTGCCAAAAACCCACTGATTCCAGTTCGGATCTTCCAGAAAGGAACCTCCCTCGCCTCATTTACCGTTGCATGTCTTCATTCTTTCGTGTTCATCTCATTCGACTTCTTCCTACCCTTGTATTATCAGGTGGTTCTAGGCTTCAGACCTCTCATATCCGGGGTTACTCTATTTGCCCTGATCATCCCAATGTCATTTTCGACATTCTGTGGAGGTTTCTTTGTCAGAAAAACGGGGAATTACCTCGCTATGATATTTATAGGAACCAGCTTGTTGACATTGGGCACTGGACTATTCATCGACTTTGGCACTAGCATTTCGTGGCCGAGGATTATCGTCTTTGAAGTTGTTGCTGGCATAGGAGCCGGTCTACTTTTCCAGAGCCCTATGATTGCGTTACAGAGTCATCTACGACAGGGTGATATAGCGGCAGCTATGTCGGCGTTTACTTTTCTTCGAAATCTGTTCACTTCGATTTCGATTGTGATAGGGACAGTCATCATCCAACAGACCATTGGCAGTGGCAGTCTGACGACTGTAATCGATCATGGTAGTTCAGGCGCTACGAGGAGGAAGCAATATGTCTTAGGATTGCGAAATATGTGGATCCTTTACACCTGTACAGCGTCGGTGACGATTCTTGCCACTTTCTTCATCAAATCGAAAAAGATGAAGGCAAAGGATTCACAAGAGCAAGTTTCGGACAGCTGATCTTGCTCAAATGATTGTGTGATATATGCTGTGTTGTAATAGCCCTGATTTCTTGCTCTCGAACAATCTAAAAAAATCATTCAATCAGAATTGCACGTATTAGACACTCAATCTTCATCGATCTAGTAAACCAGCTATGTTTTTTTAAATCAGCAATATACTGTTTATAAAATAGATTATACCTGTCTATCTTAGGTTCTGCGGTCTCTAGAGTATATTTAGTTCCAGTGATGATGTTCCCCGCAATCTCCAATCTCCAATTCTCCAACGCGAACCTCCAACCACTTCAATGCGCCCAAGACGCGCAACGTCGCGCTCTCTCAATGGTGTTTAAATCTAAATAAATGCCTCCGCCCGTGGTAAGCCAAGCGATCAGCCTGATCTACTCAGCTATGCTCATAAACTCGATCATAGACTCCATCCCCCTTCCGCCTGTCCCGCCGCCATCCACCGACGCGTCGCAGCGCCGGGCCACAATTTGCAAATTCGCCTCGGTTCCTCTTATCGCAATCAACACCGCAGAAAGGCAGAAGTGATGTTGAGATTGTCGACGATGATGCGCCACCATCGACTGCCCCAGTCACACGCACCCCAGCTCAACCAAGACAAGCTGGTACTCAACCGCGCCGGCAGCGGGATGTGATCGAAGACTCGGATGACGGCGACTGGTTGGGCAATGCAGATACCCGTGACAACGGGGTCAATGAGCTGGCCGATGACTCTATCGCTAGCTCTCCACCTGTTGGTCCAGGGACACCGGGACCGCTGGACGCTGAGTTTGACGCACTCTTCGCGCCAACTAGAGATGGTAACAAACGACAGCGGCTCTCCGCGGGAGGGGTTCAGAATCTAGGTCAACCCTTGCCAAATACCCTAGAGCAAAGACATTCGTCGTCTCCAGAGCCGCAAGGTCCAGCATTCGATCCTCTCCAAACACCCGCTCCTCGATTATTACCGCGTCCAGCGGCGCAGGACCAGAGCACCCAAGCAACCCCAGTCACATCCGTAAAACCCTGGGCGCCACTAGAAGCAACACCTGGGAGCACACAAACGCCATTCCGCAGTCGCCCAAGATTTGTTCTTTCAACGCAAAAGCCGAGCAGCAGTCAGCCCGCGTTTCGAGCAGAGACACCATCCGCAACCCAGCCAACCTCGCCGCCAGAGCGACGCAAACCTGCTTTCGTACTTCCCCGTTCGCCGTCACCTAATGCTGCTTTGGAGGATATACCAGCGCCGTTCTCTCCCTCCTCGAGGACGCTTCATCGGCGTGGCAAGAACCGCTCCGGGGTGGGTTATGCGCCCGGCGGTATGGCCGCCGAGGTACGCAGTTGGATTCTTGAGATGGGATCTAAGCATGAGCCCTTGAATGCCACGAATCAGGCAGTTGGAACGACGGGTGATGTATCCACGGATCTCGGGCGATATCTCGTGGCTGCTCGAGTGCTCCAGGTAAGACCGGCAGTGCTGAGTAGCTCTGGTGCGCTGTCGTTTGTTCGAGCTGAGAAGGTGGCTAGTCTACCGACGGACGATAATGAGGAGAAAGAGCTTCTTAATATATTGATTATGGGGCCTTCGCGATATAAGCCTCAATTGCATGGACCATCATCAGGGGCCCATGGGCTGCGATCAGGCTACATCCTGGAAGGAGATGTATTGGGAATCCATCGGGGCCTGGCTTGGAACGTCACATTTGAAGAATATCAAGCCCTGGCTACTGCCAATGAGTTTCAGACAGAGGCGCCTCGCGATGATGAATCTAGTAAAGCAGAGCAATGGTTGATTGCTACGGAATGGGACCACGTCGAGCAGGCTACGTAACAGCTACACTATATCACACTTACGCCTGATGCCGGTATGAGCTATGTGCAACGAAACAGCTGATTGATATGTTCATTTGAATGCAGCCATGACATGTACGTCTAACAAGGGGTATATTTTAGATGAGAATCAAATCACAATGCCTCCATATCCACCCACAGTCGTCATTATTCCTTAATAGCCTTGAGAGCATCCACGGCCACATTACAACCCCAACGCACCAGCTTCTGCTCCTTCTCAGTGACAAGGTCGGTCTTTGCAACAACCTTGCGAATGAAAAAGATCAAGCCCTTGGCAGCTTGGGGTGCTTCTTGAACACGCAAGAAGATCTGCATGAGAGACTCTTCGTCCCTGGCATCGTCAGAGGTAGACTTGCTCTTCTTCTTTTTCTTAGTCTTCTGCGACTGTTGGATGATGCTGATGATCAAGAGCTCGACGAATGTCTTGGTCTTGGGTTGGAGATAAGCGAAGTTGAGGTTCTTCAGGACACCTAGTGATAGAGTGCCGTCGGCGATGAGCATGCCGTACATCTTGGCCAGATTGACGACAGCCTTCATGCTAACACCGGTTTCCTCGTCGTCAGCGTCGAACTCTGTCTCTTCTTCGTCATCGCCTTGTTCACCCATCCTTTTGAAGATGTTCCAGAGAGCAAACATAAATGACATCTTAAGACGGCGACCGGACTCTCCGCAAAGACGGCGTGCAATCAGAGTGTAATAGGGGTTATGAGCTTCTTCCTCCATCGCGCAATGCAAGAGAACACGAGGAATTTCGAATTCTTGCGCACGCTTGAGACGAAGCTTGAGAAGCCGAACATGGGCATCTTGGAAGTCTGTCGCAGACATGATAGCGACAAAGATCGAGCGACGCACATCCGTGTTCATACGGTGGGCTCTAGCCAGATCTCCCAAATCCGGCTCAGCTTCACTGTCATCCTCCATAGCATCGGCGCCCTTCGTCTGCATATCGGACAGCTCTTGGCGGGCAGAGACTAGGGGATCTTCCCTCCAGCTTGCACCGACAAGCCACCATTTACCCTTCTTGGAAGAGTCGTGAATATCCGAACGCGTGATGTTGATAGGCTCCGATGCACGGATCACTCGGGAGTTGTTCAGAGAGCCCAAGATCTTGCGCATTTTCGTAATGTGCTCCGAAGTCACGCTGGCGCCGATTCCAGACTTGACACGGTTGTTCTTGAGATCGGTAATAGTATCGATCATGAACTTGGTACGGACTGATAGATTTCCCTCGCCGACCTTTGCAATGGCAGGTTGGATTAGCAGGACGATGTCCTTGAGCGCGGATGGGTCGTCCTGGCGTAGTTGAGGACCCGCGTCTATTGGAACGTTAGATAAGTCATAAATCAGCACATAGGAAATCACGTACTCCGGATAATCTTGAGCAGGAGCTCGGTGTTGGTCTCGGTAATTTCTTGCAAAAAGAGACGAATGTAGTCAAACATCAAAGGGTGTCCAATTACATGGAAATTGTACAGCTGGCACAAGAGGGAAACAAGGTTGATGTACTCCTTGCCCTCAAACTTGCCACGTTCATCACCACCTGCGTCCATTGTCTCCACGATCTTCTGGACAATTTCAGCACCAAAGTCCATACCCATAATCTTGTACACCGCAGCAATGAAACCGGCATGCAGGACGATGAAAGTATCATTGAGAACGGATCGTTCACCAATGAGACCCATTAGCAAACTGATTAACGTAGAGGTAACATTTTGGCGCGGATGGTCCCGGTATAGCTTCTCAAACTCTGCAAGAATGGACACCAAGTTCGCCTCGGACAGCTTGTTCAGATGTCCCTGGGCCTGTCGGCGCAATCGGGTAAGGGCTTCGCTTTCGGGATCTCCGCGAGCTCGCAATGATGGCGGAATGTATTTTTGAGTCGCTGTAGCTTCCGACTTAGGAACGGGGGCCACATATGGATTTTCTCGTTTCTTTGGCGTTGCCTCCTCTTCCTTGTCGAAACCATCGAACTCGCTGTCCTCTGCATCCTCATCTTCCTCCTCCGAACCAAAGATTTCCTCGTCCAGATTGTCCATATCATCTTCACTATCAAATTCCTCCTCGTCTTCATCGTCATCATCTTCATCTTCAGAGACTTGAGCCTGGCGCTGTAAGGCTTTCTGTCTCTTGCTTTGGAGCCATTCATCGGCTTCACGCTTGCGCTTCTTGCTATCATCTTCTGACGCCTCCCCCAAGTCTCCCATCAGATCCTCCAATCCATCCTCAGCGAATGCCTTTGGAAGCTTCTTTCCCTTCTTGAGACCGAGCTTCTTCTCCAGTGCAGCAATTTCGGCATCATCCTGTGCCAGCTTGGACTTGACAGTTGCTGAAATATGGGCACCCTGTGGGATACTCTCATCACTGTTGTCTTGATCGCTCTCGTCTTCTTCGGATTGCCCATCATAATCATCACTGCTATCCTCCTCTTCATCCTTCATTTCGAGCGGCCGTTTCGGTTTGAGTTCCACGACCGACTTGGAGTCTGACTGAAGCTTTTGGGTTGAGGATCGCTTGTTGTCCGGCGCAACTGGTGTATCATCGCTGGATGATTCCTCATTCAAATCAAAGTCATCCTCATCCTCATCATCATCATCTTCTTCTTCCTTCTGCTGGGGTCGTCGTTGGAAAGGTTTCTTCACTGGCGCTGCAGCAGGTCTCCCCGACTTCTTATTGTTCCGCTCTGCTTGGCGGCGTTCTTTTCGGTTCGCAGGTCCATTGCGCTGGCGCTTCTTGTCACCATAAGTATCTCTGATCCCCAGCTCCGCACGCAAACCACGTGGGAGGGAGGTTGTATTGTGCTGGGGACGTGGCATGGTTGTTGTGTTCTACTATTGATGGCACCGTTCGGTCGAAGAAGAGACCGACAATCGGGCGGTGAGCGAACTTTTTCAAACTGCCGCATTTTCTGCCCGCCAAAACACAAGGCGGCGACCCACACACAGCGGAGTTTCCCCCACGAGAGACTCTTGGACGTTGCTGGCCGATTGCATCGTGACTACGGAGCTTCAGCTTGCACGATCCGTCAATTCTTGCGTGCCCTGCCATAACGCTCAATTTTCAAGATGGTGCCACACTTGAGCAACGAGGAGGTAAGCATTTGATACTTTCGGGAGCTAATGTGTATTCCGCACATTCAGCCACGAGACCACCTCCCGCAGTAGCCATGACAATGCTAATATTGCTACTATCACCAGTTCTTCACCTCTCTCGCCGATCTTCTCTCCAAAACTTCTCAAAAGGCTCGTGGCTCGGTGTTCCTCTCCCAGAAGCCTCTCATCGACGGCGTCTCTAACGCCCCGCCATCCATCCTCATCCGTGCCACAGACGGCAACACCAATGCCCCGAACCCCAAGTCCGAAAGCAAGGATGGCAAAATTACCAAGAAGGCTTCATCAAAGGACAAGATCAAGTTCTCTACAGTTGTGAATGCCAGTGACCTGGAAGCATTCTACACTCGTTATGCCGATATCTGCAAGGCCGGTATGACTGGCTTGAAGAAGCGGGACCGCAGCAAGCGCAAGGCGAAGGGCAAGGGTGGAGCTACAAAGGCTGCAAAGGCATAGATGTCATGATTCTCTTTTATTCACGACGGTGCTTAATGGCTGCGCGTGGTGTGATATCCGCCAATATGGCTCCGTTTATCTTGCATTTCCTGGCGTTTAGTGGTGGCCACTTGTTTCAAAAACCTTTGTGTTATGACCCTGTTACGAGATTATTCTCAGGTGTACATAAAATTCTTTCAACATACACTTGTGCTTTACAAGTCCAATTCACCGATTCTGTTGGTGGACATCCTGTTGGCGTGGTTGTATCTCGTAAAGTAATCTCCCTATTGCCTTATACTAATATCTACCCTATGACCAGTGGGAACTGCCCTTTTCCTTCCTCCACGTGGAATCCCCACTTGATTCCTGCGTATTCTTTCCTTGGTGTTGAATTAACCGGGAACTTCTCCTTGATGGGCCCCATGATTGAGACCATACTCGAAGTGTCCTTGCTCGGCTCTTTCCATACTCCACCAACGGGAACGATATCATACCGAAGGATAACCATGGCCACCAGGAGCAAAATCTCAGAGCTAGCAAAGTGGCGGCCAGGGCAGATGGTTGGCGATAGACCGAACGTCAGGAATCCACCAGCCCGTCGAGCCTCCTTTTTCTCGCCCGAGTTCATAAAACGACGCTCATCGAATGCCTCGGAGGTATCACCCCAGACTTCTTGGCGCCGTGCCATTGGAATCGATGGCATGCTGACCGTATTTCCAGCCTTGAGGAGATATTTATCTGCAAGGACCGTATCCTTTATAACCAGACGTGTTGGGGAGGAATTGGAGCGGGTGCGAAGAATTTCCTGGAAGGTGGAAAGCAAGAGAGGACACTGCTCCCGAATGGCAGTCAAGTCAATGCTGTGTGTCCCATCGGTAGCCACGGAAAGGGCATTCGCCTCGACTTCTTTTCGTAGTTCATCAAGAAGCTTTGGTCGATCGTACAGATCGAAGAGGCACCAGAACATGGCAGGCACGGTGTTCGAGACGAATGCAATTAGCATACCGACTTCCAGCTTGGAGTAGTCCTCGATGCTGAGGCCGCCTTCCATGGATGCCTTCCATCGCACAGCAGTAAGTTCAGATCCTTGGTTTTGGCCGCCCTCTTGCAAGTATTTCAGAATTGCATCGGCGACCTTCTGGCGACCCTTCCATGCTTTCCGAGCAGTGAGCCACGGTAGCGTATTAGCGATAAGTGCGCCAAGGCCAGTTTCGAAGTCCCTAAATCATGCTTAGTATTGGGATCATTCTCTTCTAAGTACAAGGTTTAACTTACCACCACGCATCTTGGATTTCCTTGTCCTTATAAGGGTTCATTGGGCCGTACGTAGCTTCCGTACTGGCAGCCATGGTGGCATCTTTACACCACTCGTATAGATCAAAAGTGGATGTCTCACCCATCTTCTCAATTAATGGTTGGATCAACCGGATCATCTGAACATTCATCAGATCCAGAGGTTTTCCCACGAGTGTCGGGGTCATGGCATGCATAATCTTGGAGCCCAGACCCTGGCCGCCAGCATCCGTCTCCCTGAGGATATCCAGAGTCTTTGGGTTCGAGATGCCGGAAATATTCCTGGCGCCGAATAACAGCAGCGGCTCAAAGCTGAGAGTTTTGGCATTGCGTTGCACAGCCTGCATCAAATCTGGCGAAGTGATTACATAGAACTTGGTGAAGAGCATATCCAGGCTAATGATGGGTTGCTCGGGGTGCTTCTTACTGTTGATATCATCAATATCTAGGCTCCACGATACCGCACAATCTGGAGGGAAGTACTCACGCTTGATTACCCCAGTGTCCGACTCCATGCCACATCATGCCGAACATGTGTCCTAAGATTGGGATACCACTGGTCACAAACGGTGGTTCACGAGGATCGTGTCGCGAGCCATTAAACATGAAATATCCCAGCGCCACGAGGGCGCCGATGACCAAAATATGAGTTATATCGATCATCGCGATCACTGGAACAGATGCTCAAAGTACAACAAGCTCCAGAGAAAGGGATAGAGCTTTAAACTTCCGATGCAGTTGATTAAGATCTGGATGTCTCCTGGATCAGCAAGCCCCACTATGCTTTGTGTTGGGGGAACCGAGATTGGTGGCTTGATCGGTGGGCCAATCAATCTTTGGGCAGTTCCTGGTCAAGAAATTCCCCCACTTTGAAACATGGAGACGCGATCCGTAAGAGGAAACCGCGAGGACACTCGCTAGGAGGCCCTTGCTGTCAACACTCGCTTAGATGAACCACCATCCATTCCATCCAAGATCTAAATGACTTATGGAATACTTGGGCCATAGGTAACCAAGTCATACGTATAATTTGAAGGTCAACAGCCAGGGATGGGTTCGAGAGTGAGCGTTCTTAGGAATAGGGGTGGAAATATATAATCTACTTCCTGTAAGTACAGCTCGCTGTCAGCTTCCCAAGATATATATAGAAAAAAACACATTCTGGAACCCACATTCATAGTGTTCTTAGGCTACAGCCGTGTCCACAAATATTTTGCACACTCTATAGGTACCGCAGGATGAATAGGTATGGTATACATCCCCAGCCGAGATTCGTAAAGGCATAGATGTCCATAACAGATGGACGTCTCAAAACTGGGCTATTTACAATCTGAGGCGGAAGTTCCATTCAGTGGGCTAACTGGAGGTTACAACTTCTTTATCAAAAGATTATATTATCAACTAATAGCTGTCGTAACATGCGGTGCCGGAGAATTCCTCCAAATGGTAATATGCAACGCTATAATACAGAAAAGGCTGCAGAAAAGAACAAACCCCATGCCCAAGATGTCCTCCTCGTAGGAACCATGCAAACAGCTTCAAGATAATCATCACACAATAGTACATAACACAGGGGGTAAATCGTGGTGTCACATGCAAAAGAAAGGGTACACATTAAATCAGGAGTAGCGTCAAGAAATCACAGAGAATGTAAGAATGATTAAGGGGGGTAGAGATCCGAGTCGAACTGAGTTGACAATGTTAGTCAAGATCCCAGGGATCCAGTTTCCTGGACATCTCGGCATCTTCATATTCGGAAGACGCCTCACGTTCCAAGGGGAAACTGAAGTCATCCTCAGTAAGGGGCTTTTTATTAGATGATTGGGATCCTGAGCTGGAATCACCAAGAGTAGAGTTGAGTGCGGGGCTGATGACGATGCGAGCCGCAACGTGGAGCAGAATAATGAAAAGGTGAATTGGTGGTACCAACACGAGCGACAACGCTTTTGTAAGGAGTGAAGAAGCGTGGTCGTTCGGGGGAGGTTGGTAAATGGTCGAGGATGGTGGCATAGGGGAGACATCACGTCGTCTGGTTGCCTGTGCCCGGCGACGGAATTCAGTGCTCATATGTTGGAAATCTGTGACCGGTGAGGTCGCACTAGTAACAGCCAATTTTTTGCCCGAAGGGATTCCCAACGACGGCTTCTTCGGTGGATCCTCTCGGACTATGTACTTTGGCATCTTCAGTTCCGGCTGCGGAGCATTGCTTTCAGCTTGCTTCGGCGAACAGCGGGCTTTGGCAACATCCATTCCTGAAGACAGGTTATTCTCGGATGATACGGCTATAGAAGCTTGCTTTGCAGAGAGCTCGGCCACAGAAGCAGCAACGGAAGTTCCTGGTTTGAGGGCATCGTCGTGAGTTTCCGTATAATTTATATGGGAAGAGGATACTCTTTGCAACGAAGGAAGATCGACGGAATGGAATGATTCCGGCGTAGACGAAAAAGAGCTGTCATGGTCTGCCTCTGAACCAGAATCTTCATCGGGAAGCGAGCAGCTTTCCGAGACGAGATCCTGTGGAATCAAAATCTGTTCAGGAGCGTCGGTTTCTGCCGAGGCTGGAGTTTCCGCTTGCACAGGAGCATCTTCAGATTCCTGAATGGCTTTGGGCCCAGGCTCATCTTCGGTCTCGTCAGAACGGGTGATGTGAACAGCACTTGATACATCCTCCCCGACAGTAGCCTCCACAGCTGTTGGGAGCACGGACCGGCATTGCAAGTCATCTGCGGAGGAGGTTTCTTCTCGCAACGTGGCTGGTAGCTCCGCGGTTTCTTCGGGAGACGAAGTATCCGGGGATTTGAGAGCGTCGCCCACTGCTGAAGCTACTGCGGGCTCGATAGGGTCTTCTAGGCTAGGAGATTCGTCCGTTTTGCTGGTCTCCTGAACCACTGGCTCCCTGGCAGGTACGGGTTCATCAAGTTTCCGAGCCTCTTCCTTAGTCTCCGGCTCATCAGAGACCGAAGATTCTTCGAGAACAGGAGTTGCGTCGAATTTCGCCCGCAGGCTAGTGAAAGTCTGCGGCGTTTCCGTTACGGAGCGTCTGGCTGGCGCGGGGTTAAGGGTTGTACCGTAATCATTGGTAAAAACTGGCGATTCATCACCACCCGGTACAGCCTCTGACGTCGTGCTGCGAGTTCTTTGGGGAGTCAACCCACTGTCGTCTGTAGCAGCTCCATCCGTGTCGTCGCCAGTACTAGCAGAATCTAGCCAGTCCGTCTTGCCATCGCAAAGGAAACCTTGGTTGGTTGCCGAGAGTAAAGGAACGCCATCTCTGCGTTCCTTGGGTCTCCATGCCTTCTTGCGCCGTGGTGCCGTGGCTTCCTCGGGCAAGTCAACAGTAAACGCGCGCTTAAAGGGGCATGGTGTGACTTCATATCGAAGCACAGTCGGCAACGCAGTCTTGAGATCCTCCACTAGCGCCATATCCTCCGCAGTCTCATGTGGTAACTCGATCCGATAATAGGTGAGAGGGCGAATGCGCAACACGAATTTCGAGACGCCATCCACACACCAGCATTGTGAGTTTTTCAAGATCGCATGAACGACATTTCCGCATTTCAAAAACACAGTCAACCCTCTTTCCAGCCTGAGGGGTGCAGTTGCGACGGTTCGTTCGGTGGCCGAGCGCCAGGGGAGGGTCTCGATCGTGTCAACGGGATAGTCGAAATCGGACGGCGCGGAACTTGACGGGATGGGTACGAGTGCCCTGGGCGCGAAATGAACGATCTTCGCGGAGGGATGATAGAAGATGACGTTTTCTGAGAGATTTGGCGCCGCCGAACCGCGTTGCGCCTGTGGGTTTAACTTCGTCGGAAGAGTAACCGTGCGGCGAATGGACTGTACTGGGCCCGAGGACTCTTTCAGAGGCCCGGGCATCGTCAAGACAGAATGCGGAAAGGTAGTAGATGACCGAGAGGTGGTATCATGAAGACCCGATCATCGGGAGGGCATGGTGGAGGGAGAAGCGCTCGGAGCTGAAGATCGCGGCTTATCTCTCCCCCATGTTCGTCGCGCGGCTTTGCGCCCGCGGGGGACATGTGAAGTCTGCCTCAGGCACGAAGTGTCAGGTGACTGTGCGTGACGCAACCATAAATGGCGGATGCCTGCATTATTGATAACCTGGTCCCTCTCACTCTCCGGGCTCGCCAAAGAACCGAAAAAAAAAAAAGAATACGCCTAGAGCTACATCTAGCATGGAGAAGGGCTTGACCATGTCCAATTTTGAGCCCAATGCGGTCATCCGCGGCTTTCAGCTCACTGTTGTAGGAAGTATGTTCCTCCTACTATCTCTGCGCAAGGTTGAATCTTCTGGAGTAGGGCTTTTTCTATCCAGAGGCCCAAACGAGGATTGAAATATATCATTCTCCCAAAGTCTCATGATCAATTCTTATTCAGCTTCTCTCTGCGCTGCCCAAAGAGTCTTCAATTGGAGCTCAATTTACATGATGAGATATTTGCATGGTACCGGAAGCTAACCTGACGAAATAGCTGTTCGGGCTTTGCAGAACCCTGATCTCTTCAAGTATGAGCATTTCCGTCAAGCGGCTCTCGCTGTGGGCGTGGGAGTTGTCATTCAGCTTATTGTCCAGATCCCGGTAAGTCCGGAAACTCGAATTTTCTCATGGTCATGGCTTGCTGATATGATATCCAAAGATAATTGTCTTAAAGCTTGCCCTGTATATACTCTCGTGGATCATCAATTTGGACCATGCTACATGGGACGATAAACTCTTGGGGGGCATGGAATTCATGTCCAAGTCTGTGCTTCAGGTGCCATTCCTCTTGATGACTCTGATGGGATACGTGACTCCCACACTGGATGAAATGTTGGTCATCACCGGCTTCAATACACCACGACTATAATAGCTGATTGGTATATTTAGTTTCATGCAATCGATCGAGTGGGTTGACACCACATACATCCAAAAGCACAAATCCGAGAACCCCGATACCCTGCGTGCCATGTACTACCCTAGCTTGGTCATGTACCCAACCAAGGGCAGCGCTCGATCCCCACGCCCTAAGACTGAGGCTATCATGATGTTCCTTCATCGATATGCTAAAAGAATGGGAATGCTTCTCGGACTCTACCTGCTTTCTCTGGTCCCTGTTATTGGTCGATTCGTGATGCCCGCAACAAGTTTCTACACGTTCCGCAGTCATGTCGGCACAGCTCCTGCTGCTGTCATCTTCGGCGTGGGGTTGATCCTTCCAAAGGCGTTTATCGTCAAATTCCTTCACACGTACTTTGCGTCGAGAAGTTTGATGCGCGAACTCGTGAGTCTATCGTTCACCATTGACTCCGTACTGGCTGCAATCTAACATAATCCTCAGCTTGAGCCGTACTTCCGCCGTATTAAATTCACGCCTGAACAAAAGCGCCGCTGGTTCCGTGACAGGGAAGGGGTATTGTTTGGATTTGCCTTTGCTTTTACGGTAGTGCTGAAGACTCCCTTTATCGGCGTGCTTATGTATGGAGTTGCCGAGGCCTCCACGGCCTACCTTATCACCAAAATCACCGACCCACCACCTACCCCTGCAGAAAGTGAAGGTTTCGCAGAGAGTCAAGTGACATGGAAGAACAAGCATGACTTCCTCCACTTGTCTCTTGAGAATATTGACAAGCTCAATGTTGTCACAGATGAAGCTGGAGCTAAGGAAAGCCCCTCCAGCCCTGGAAAAAAGTTCTCTTGAACTATTTTGACGGCCAATGAGAAAATACACTCAGCCTGTCAAGATCCATATCTGTGTTGATAGGTGTTTCACCAGCGAGCCGCGGTACCCATAGCCGGAGCTATCAATCGTAGCCCCTTGGAAGATCGCTTTGTAAAACCTCTTCATATTTCAATTTCCGCTCAAGTATTTGATCAGGGCCCCAAGGGCCTTTTTCGAAGCAGGAAGTTGAATCTCAAACTATCTAGATGCAAACAATGATAATGCATCTGTGATCAAATTCAAGGAGTCGCCTAGTATAACTGAATACGACAGGGTGGCACAAAGTAAATTATGTACGGTGATTTGAATATCTCATGCTGGGCAGTATGCCGGGAAATTATACTTCATTCGGGGACGAGAAGGCCGAAAGTCTTCGGCATCTAACCAGGGACCTTTGAATTGGCCGACGGGGAGCGCAGGACGGAAAAGAATAGGCCGCGTCATTCCGTACGTTGAAGAAAGCGAAAGTGGAGCCACGCTGCATGATGGGCAAAATCGAATGCGAACATGATTCTAAGCAATTATCTGACAGATCTCGGTAGCTTTCCGAATGCGTAGGGTATGAGAATCCCGGCGCTGATCTGATTATCACTTAATTGGAGTGGTTGATCAGGACTTGATTCCATCCAGATGTCTAATCTAAAATACACTCTTTTGTACCATCAACGCCACTAAGCAGATGCATCAAAGCTTAGACCATAGTGATAGCCATAGAAATACAATCCTAATGGTATGGGCATATCAGATTTTTTTTCTCGAAGGGGCTCCAGGCCACGAATCTCCCAGAGTGTTGAAGTCTTGGCACCTCTGAGTGACCAGCCAGACAGCCTATCTATAAGGTGAAACTAACTAACCGGAGGCTCTACTTGAATGATCGGAAAGTGGAACTCAGGGTAAAATGTTATCCGGTCAAGTCGTTGCCCTCCCGTAAGGCTGGTCTAGATTATCTAAAGATCCGCTCAGTCTATTGGACAGGAGCCAATGCCAAGACATCTAATATAGATTATAGCGTTCAGCCATGGAGCGGAACATGTTCACTTGGACTCCGTACTCGCCTGCGGATTACGCTTTACTGAGAACCAACCATCGTCAGAAATGAAGTATACTAGCCCCAGGGTCCCGCTTCAAGTCTAAGCTACCATCGAGTTCCCTGCCACGTCAGCTATCTTGATTATCTGCGGTGAGGCTAAACTTGATGGCTAAATTGGAAATTAAGACTTTTCAAAGTCTTCAACAGGCCCTATTGAACAGGGAAAGGAGGCATAACCACAGAGGGCTGGTAGATATTCAGTTTAAGGGTTTTAGATCTAACTTGCAGAACCCTTGCCCAAGTGAAGTCTGATTGCTTGAAGGGATTTAGCTGGACAGTAATACCGATGGCAAAGCGCCTGGTAATTGTACCCTTTGAAATATTCAGTCCCACCTACATGTCTAGTTCCGCATAACGCGTTTCATCACTCGTCATGCTTCATCTCGGGGGTCATTCGGAGGAAGTAAGCTATCTGACAGGGGAAAGGATTGAACCACGAGTCGTAGACCCTTCTAAATTCTAAAATTAATCAGGGATTTCCGGACCAAGAGCACTGTTATAAAACCTTGGCATCTCGCCATGCATTTAAATTTTAAAGATTCACTATCTTCATCACACTCTCAATCCATCATCGGGTTTCCCCCTTAACCATGCGTCTTTCGACTCTGAGCACGGCGTTTAGCGTGATAGCTTGTGCGGTTGCTACAACGCCCTCTCACTCCCACGCCAAATCCCATGTTCGACGTGGTGGGAATCATGAGACAGAGATTCCAGGCTATTTCACTGGAACTTGCACCCAGGAGAAGATGACCATTCGCAAAGAATGGCGGCATCTGTCCAAGGCGCAGCAGAACAAGTTCCTTGACGCTGTTCAGTGTCTGATGGACAGTCCTGCAAAGTCTGGACTCACGGCCACAACGAGCCGCTTCAGTGACCTTCAAGCTCTTCATCGTGGCATGACCAACACTGCCTATGCGGATATCATTCACCATGTCGTATGTTTCCTTCTATGATAATTCCATACCTATTGCTTACCACTCGACAAAGGGTCAATTCTTGCCGTGGCATCGCTACTACATGCATATCTATGAGACACTTCTCCGTGATGAGTGTGGCTACACCGGCGCTATTCCGTAAGTCATACACCCGAATCCTATGATTTTTGCGTCAGCTTGCATGAGTCTAATTCTTCATTTTCGTCAAGATGGTGGAACGAACAAAAGGATGCGGATAGTGGCGACATGTGGCAGTCTTCTATGTGGGGAGCTGATGCCTTTGGAGGAAATGGAACCGGCTCTGGAAACTGTGTCCCTGATGGCCGCTTTGCAAACTACACGCTTCACATTGGCCCCGGTGATGAAGACACCGACTACTGCCTGCGTCGCGCATGGGACACCGAGAATGCGGTTGTAAATGCTAACAGCACTGCCCTCGATATGTGCAATGCATACAACACGTACTCGCCTTGGTGGGATTGTATTTCGAACATTCCTCACAAGGGCGTTCACACCTACATTGGCGGAGTGGTAAGGATTTCCCTCCTCACTTTATACAGTACCCGATGGTCTTACTAACAATGACGCATCTTAGATGGCCGATATCAAGTCCTCTCCCGGTGACCCCATTTTCTTCATGCATCATATGTACATTGACCGGGTTTGGTGGTTGTGGCAGAAGCAAGACCCTGTCAACCGACTCTTCGACATCAGCGGCCCTACCTTGAACGAGACTGCCAATGTTGAACCGGCTGGTGGCTGGCAGAATGCTACTCTTCACTATGAGCTCTCGTCTTTCAACATCAAGCCAAACACGACGATTGCCCATGTGATGAACACCCAGGGTGGCTACTTGTGCTATGGATACGACTAGTCGAGCCTATCTGAGAAGCTGGGCCGAAGTCTGATCGCGTCGACAATTGCGATGAAGTTGAGCTGTGGAACTGTAATTTTAAGTGGAAGCTGAGGGTTTCCTACTATCAAGGGCGCAAATGGTCAGAGACTACGATGAGTGCGAACAAAAGTACCCGGAGACAGTTCCAAAAGCCCGACAGGATCGGGGTATATACTATGTGTCAAAAATTCTCCAATGTAACTATGATAGTCTAATAGTACCAAATCTAATTGGCTGAAAGGACAGAGTTCGAATAATGACGAGGACTGTGCGCTAAATTTGGAGAGATAAAGCTATCAGTTTTGGTGGTAATCGCTTCTTACGGGTTACCCCTCTGCGGAGAAGCAACATGTGCTGCGCCTTATCTATGCTCCTTCCCCAATTACCGCGTCCATATTCCTTGTCTTATCAACCCCTCAGTTATTCCTAATATACGGGCTCTCTTAATCAATCTGAACATCTTTATTCTCGCTTGATTATCCCTATCTGCTTTCAAACCGAAGAGATCCATTGTTTCTCAATATGGGCATTAAAGAAATTCGCACCGCGTTGAAAGTTGACCTTAACAAGCATGCTCGCGAGCAACCCGGTCTACATGTATGTTGAAACTTGACCTCAATCTTAAGACGAGGAACTAAGAACTCACTTTTGGTAGAACCGATGGCATCCTGACAGTACGTGAGGCTTGGAAGAATACTATCGCATTATCTTGTCTAATGATTACGTCCTCCGGTAGTTCCGGCATGCGGCAAGATTGCCAACAATGAAGTCGTCAAAATCGAGTGTCTAGACTGGACAGGCGGACAGATCAAAAACGACGACTCGGCCGAGGACGTTCGAACGGTTGATCTGACCGAAATTCACTACTTATCTGGACCTTTCGACATTGACACGGCTGAGCCGGGGGATGTTCTGCTTGTTGAGATTCAGGATGTTCAGCCATTCCAGGACCAGCCATGGGGGTTTACTGGAGTCTTTGCTAAAGAAAATGGAGGAGGCTTCTTGGACGAGATTTATCCCAAAGCGTTGGTTTAACATTCCCCTTCCCAAGTGAGCAGTTTGGTAATAGTTTGTACAGTGCAAAGGCAATTTGGGACTTTGAAGGCATTTTCTGTTCCAGTCGGCATATTCCTGGCGTCCGCTTCGCCGGGTTGATTCATCCTGGAATCTTAGGATGTGCGCCATCAGCCGAGGTTTTGGCTGAATGGAATAAGCGTGAGGGGGAGCTCATCGCAGCTAATACCGTTGCTGGCCGAATCGTTGCACAGCCACCTCAACCTGTGAATGCGCATGCAGGAAGTGCGACAGAAGATATCAAGGAAAAGGTGGCTAAGGAGGGTGCCAGAACCATTCCCGTAAGTGGATTATTGGATCAAAGCGGTTTACATTTACTGACCAGTCCCTAGGGCCGTCCTGAGCACGGCGGTAACTGCGACATCAAGAACCTCTCCCGTGGCTCAAAGGTTTATCTACCAGTTCACGTCCCAGGCGCCAAATTCTCCGTCGGAGATTTGCACTTTTCCCAGGGCGATGGAGAGATTTCCTTCTGCGGCGCTATCGAGATGGCCGGTGTTATTACACTCAAGTTCACCGTCATCAAGAACGGCATGGCAAAGATGGATATGAAATCACCAATCTTCTTGCCAGGTCCCGTTGAGCCACAGTTTGGACCTGGACGCTTCCTTACCTTTGAAGGATTCTCGGTTGATGAACATGGGAAACAGCACTTTTTGGATGCCACTGTCGCATACCGACAAACCTGCCTGCGTGCGATTGAGTATCTCAGACGTTATGGTTACTCGGACTATCAGATTTATCTTCTTCTCTCATGCGCTCCGGTACAGGGACACATTGCGGGGATTGTGGATATCCCGAATGCCTGTACCACACTTGGCGTGCCGATGGATATTTTTGACTTTGACATCAGACCTGAGGCTGACGTTGTGAAGAAAGATATGGGAAGTTGTGCCTTTGCAAGTGAGTAATTACTTATTTTAGTGAACTGTCTTTCGAGGTGAGAAATATGTCGTGTTCAGCTTCAAAGCTTGTATTCACCGGATCCAATGCAAGTCCACTCATTGTTCTTGACATCCTGGAAATCCATAACCCTGTCGGGACCACCGAACCGACCCTGTGTAGAGTTCCAATCTCGCTCAATGGCTGTCTCCGGTCGCCAGCGGACCACTGTTTTCAACTCCTCCTGTAATTTTCCTTCCAAAGCATCAGCAATAAAGCCACCGATGGATGGCATTTGCATTGCTCCGTTGCCAGAACCTCCCACCGCCACCAACAGAGAAGGATATTCGGGGTGTCGATCGATTAAGAACGCCCGATCAACCGTGTCTGTATCCCAGCAGATTCTAGCGAAGGAGAGAGGCCTCTCTGCGAGATGGGGCATTGTCTCACGCAAGAAACTCCTCGCGCGAGCTTCCGCTTCTAGCGGAATCTGGTGTTTGGCGAACGGTACACTCCTCTTTTCCCCTGCATGTTGTGGGTCTTTCACAAAATTGCAGTACCCAGGATGCTCATCGCATATCTTGAGTTCATGCTTGTCCTCATCAGGCTCCATGAAGAAACCCTTTGCGACATTGAAAAGTACTGGCAAGTTGCGATATTTTTGAGCTTCTTCCGGAGTCATGGAAATGTGACATAAAGTCCAAGCAGTGGGCCGCAACTGCTTCTTGAAGTCAAGCAGCTGATCAGACCCGGCACCGGCCGCTAAAATAGTGTAATCTGCACGGTGGATAGTACCATCTGCAGTTTGGGCACCGCTCACATCCCCATTTTGATGGATTAGAGATACGACTTTTCCGTGAGGAGTGCCTGTCGTGAATCTGACGCCGAGCCTTTTCGCCTCGGTATATGCCGAAACCATGGCCTTGCGAGCGTGTATCCATCCCGCATCTTTCGGACTGAACCATCCTTTCCATCCGGGGAATTCGCCAGTCAGGACACCGGATGGCATCGTTTTGCGAAAATCTTCTGCATTATCAAGGGCTATGAAATTGCCTTGCGCTGGGTCAATCTCTCCCTCTTTGATGTGCTGGATTATTTCGGGCGTACTCCCCGAGACTATGACGCCTGTCTCGTGGAAGAAGGGGGAGAAGACTGGGTCTGTTTTCCAGCCCTTTAGTGCTGCTCGAGTGCAGGTAGCAAAAGCAACGCTTTTAGGATCCTTGTGAGAGTCTATCTTAGTGTCAGTATTGGTTCCAGAAGGGAGCTGTAATGTACTAACCTTTGACCTCCTTATGCTCCATAATCTTATTGACATCATTGCCCGCAGCAATGGGTGATGGCACATCAAATGGATCGAGGACCTGAATATTTTCATATCCTCTACGGGCAAGATGGAGGGCAGCGGAGCAACCCCATGTCCCAGCTCCGATGATCAAAATCATAGATTTTGCAGTCAACACTGGTGGCGTCATTTCTGGCGAAGCGCGCGGGGAAGGAAAGCTTGAAACCTAATTAGAGATTGTCTTGGACAACGAGCCGAGTGTGAAAAACAAAATAAATGGTTCAACAGAGTGGCTTTCTCTTATAGATGCGCTAAATGCCTCGGATAAACCGACCAGTGGCCCTAGCTTATCGAGGATGGGGACATTTCCATCGCGTGGACCTTCCTACCCCTCAAACCCGGGGTAAGCTTCTCCGCACCGACCGCTTGGATCCCTGCGCCGTTATCACTGATACGGTTGACATGAATGCCTCGCTTCTGTGAAATTCAGTTAATTCAATGGTGGTATTCGGTAAGAGCCGTCGCTTGGAGCTTCCATGCCTCTGTTACTTTCGACTTTGGCGTTATCATTACCAATAGCAAAGCGGCGATCGCTAGCCAGGCGGCACAGGCCGACCAATCGGTAAAATCATGGTTGGCTTTCTAGATATCTACTGACAGGGTATACTACCTGTGAGTCAATCTATAAAAGCTCTCTAAAATCCCAGGAATCTTCCGAGCTCGCAAACACTCCTAAGCTTTGCCAATCTGGAGTGAACATGGCCTCTGGAGATGACCTCTATCTAGATGTCCCTGGGACAGTCTATCTAGTTGACGGTGAGAGTCTATATGGATGAACATGAAAATCATGCGAAGCCTGAGTTGTTGAACTTTATAGCATCACGTACCCTTCATGATGCCGCACATGCTGGAAATCAAGACATCCTACTTATACCGCAGCCATCTGCTTCTCTCGCAGATCCACTTGTAAGTAAAAGCTTGTTGTTCAACTTGGGGACTCCAAGCCAGGTCAATGCTAACAATACCTCAGAATTGGCCTCGTTTCAAGAAACTGTGGTCTTTGTTCCTAATTTCGGCTTACGCATGTGTATTCTCCTTCGGCGAGAATAACTGGGGAGCATCATGGACTCTAATCTCCGAAGATACCGGCGTCAGCTTGACCAACATGAATGGCGGAAGTGCATTGAACTATCTCCTCTTGGGATTCTTCAACATCATCTGGATCCCGACAGCAATGAAGTTGGGACGCAAGATTGTCTTCATCATGAGTCTGGTTATCCTTTTGGGCGGTAGTGTGTGGGGTGGTTTCTACCACGGCACTGCCCAGTACTACATCATGCTAGCAATCCAGGGTATCGGGACTGCGGCTTACCAGGCTTTGATTCAATTGACAGTATGCATTTTACCATCCCAAGATAAAAATCTTGAGCTAATCATGTACAGATCTTTGATATGTTCTTTACCCATGAGCGTGGCCGTATGGTTGCAATCTACATCTTCTTCCAACAGCTCGGTTCCATCCTGGGATTGATTCTGGGAGGATACATCAGCGATGGAATTGGCTGGCGATGGTCCTCGCCAATTGTGGCAATCGCATGTGTACGCACATCCGGGCATTCCTGATCAAGCACACGCAATCTAACAGTTCTAGGGTGTACTCATTTTACTATTCATCTTCACCTTCGACGACACCATGTTCCCTCGGTACCGATTCAATCAAACATCAAATCCTGACCCCATCCACTCAAGCAGCCAAGCTGAACCGAAAGAACAACTTGCAAAGGAGACTCAAAACGAGCCTCCGATCTCTGAAATTGACAGCCACGGTATCGGAGAGGATATCACTCCACGTTCATATAAACAGCAGGTTGCATTGGTCCATTACTTTGCCGACGACAAGACAACTTGGTTCCAATACTTCCGTCGACCATTCTATCTTTTCGCCTTTCCCAATATCGTGCTTGCCGGTATCCAATTTGCCTTTGGATGCACTGCGGGTATTGTCTCCTTCAATACTATCTCGGAGATCATGACGGATGCACCGTATAATTGGAGCGCGGGCTCGACTGGATTGATTTTCTTGGCTGCGCTTGTTGGCAATTTCCTAGGGTAAATTGAATGTTCCGAATTATGAGTACCTATCACCAACTGATTTCATTAGAATGGGCGTCGGGTCCCTTTCAGATTGGGTCGTTCTCGTTCTGGCTCGCCGGAATAAAGGCTACAAGGAACCTGAAATGCGTATCTGGGCGTATATATTCCCATTCTGCTTTGCTGCGGTTGGATACATGACCTATGGCTGGGCTGCCACGTACGGGGACCACTGGATGTCGATTGCTGTCGGGTTATGCTGTCTGATCGCGCAACAAGTCTCGATAACCACGTTGGCAACGACGTATGCTATGGAATGCTTCGACGGGGTACGTTCACTCCTTTCCTCTTTTTCTGTCCTATTGAATTCCGCGCTTCTAAACTTTGTATCTGTTTCTAGATTTCTGGTGAACTTGTCGTCGTACTCGCCATCTGCTCGTCTTTGATCAACTTCGCCATCTCGTATTCCGTACAGCCGTTTATTGACAGCACCTCTTATGGATGGACATTTACATGCTATGGTATCCTAGTCACCTTATCGGTCTTGATGGGTGTCCCAATGATGATTTGGGGGAAGAGTTGGCGCCGAAAGTGCAAAGCTCGATATGAGCTCTTCCTGGCCGAGACTCGGTCCAGTTCCCGCTAAGAAGTGAGATAGATGGGTTGGAGGAAATGTCCGCATAAACATGAATGGGTACTTACTGTTCATAATAGTGAAGAATGCTTTATGCTTTCTGTTATTCGACACTTCACTACCTTTATCAATCACGGCCTTGGTGTTTTACAGTGGATTATCTTACTCTTACTGGTTGTCCCTTTCTACGTCCCTTTCAAACAATCTAGATAGGTAACTGGGAAACTACCCACTGACGGGAGAAAGAAGAATGTTTGGAGTCTTAAATTTGTATCGATGATGTCGTTATCATACATCAAACAAGAGTCACGTCGTGAATCGTTAGAGAAAAACAGGGTTCTTCAGGAGAAGAACTTGCGAGCAGCGGCCTTGTCCTTGGCATCACGGTCCTTGATAGCCTTCTTGACCTTGGCAATCTCATTGGTGATGCCGACATCAGTAGGCGCCAGCTTGGTAGCCTCCTGGAGATCCTTGAGGGCACCCTCCTCTTCCTTCAGACCAACACGGGCAAGGGCGCGGCGGAAGTAGACCTTAGCAAGATCAGCATCCTTGGCCTTGGCAGCCTCGGCGACCTGGAGAGCGTAAGAGGCCCAGCTCTGAGCTTGCTGGTACTGCTGGAGCTTGTTGGCAAGCAGAGACGAGTTGGAGTGCAGGGTGAAGCGAAGGGCCTTCATCTGCTCACCCAGCTCCTTGGGGTCGCTATCGGCGGGCTCGGGGAACTCGTTCAAGTACCGCAGGCCCTTCTGGTACTTCTCCAGGCCAAGGTTAAGCTCGCCCTTCTTGAAAGCAGTGTTACCGAAGCCCTTGAGCTCGGTAGCGATCTTCAAGGCGAGAGGTGCGGTCAGCTCCTCGCCCTGGTGGTCCTCGGGGAAGTCCTCGTAGGGGTCACCCGTGGCATCCTGGACACGCTTGTCGGCATTGGCCCAGTCGTCACCCGAGAGCTCACCACAGTCCACCACGGTCACGTCGGTCTTGGGCTTGTCGGACTGAGTGGGCATGTTCTCGATCTTGCGAATGATGCTCTTGCCGTTGAGCACCTCACCGAAGACGACGTGCTTGCTGTCTAAGTGGGGAGTAGGGACGGTGGTCACGAAGAACTGGCTACCGTTGGTACCGGGGCCGGAGTTGGCCATGGAGAGGAGGAAGGGACGGTCATGCTTGAGATCGAAGTTCTCATCGGGGAACTTCTCGCCGTAAATAGACTCGCCGCCGGTGCCGTTGAATGCGGTGAAGTCACCACCCTGGATCATGAACTGCTTGATGACGCGGTGGAAGATGGAGCCTTTTTACGAGGTTGGTTAGCTTGGCGATTTCCCGTAGCAAAGCGCTATTTGCGACGTACCCTTGTATGTCAAAGGCTTGCCCTGGGTGCCAATGCCCTTCTCGCCAGTGCAGAGAGCACGGAAGTTGTCTGCGGTCTTGGGAACAACTGATCGAAGCAGGTAGAGTTAGCAAGAGATTTTCGGTTAGGTCTGTCACAGCGGGCGGAGTTCATTTCGTACCATCGTTGAACTGCGCGAGGAGAATGTCAGTTTATCAAGCCGTCTCGAACCACCGGAGTAAAGCTCAGCTTACCAGCTCAAAGGTGACACGACCAGCCTTCTCGTCGCCAATCTGAATGTCAAAGAAGACACGAGAACGCTCTATATGGGGGGCAGTCAGCAGCTGTCAACTCTCACTTGCAGAGCGCGCGGGCAGATCGGAGGACCCCGCACTGTGAGAGGAGGGGAACTCACGAGATTCAGCCATGTTGAGGGTCGTGGAGAGAGAATATAGGTTCGTGGAAATTGGAAAGGAGAGATGTGAAAAGGCAAGAGAGGATTGTAAGATTGAGATGAATGGATGAGGTGGAAGTGGAAGAAGGTGCTGTGGGGTTAGTTTTTTGGGCGGCTCACGGGCGGTTTTTCTTCAAGAAGCTTCCATGCTCGGCCCCGAAAATATACTAGAGTGATCTGTATGATCCTGTGGAATACCGTCGCTTGAATTTGATGCCACCTCTGGGTATATGCTAATATGCTAATATCTATGTACATGAACGCCAATGGACCGGTCTATGTGCTATTTCTATGCCAGCAGTTCCGCGGGCAGCTTAAACTCGAAGACGTGCCTGGTCTCCGAGTCATCTCCATCATCTTTCTTTTTCTCCTTGTCGCCCTCTTCCTTCTTAGGTTCCTTGGGCTCCTTTTTAGGAAGATTGGTATCGATCTCGATAGTAACCTGCAAAAGGAACAATGCCAGTCAGTATAACTTCGGTCGCGGCGCAAAGGTTGGAAGCCAGATAGGCAAATGTACCGCCGCATCTTCACTGCGGTAGTCGACACCCACCGGCCCATCATTCTTGAGCTCCACGTCCATCATGGCTTGGAACACTCCGTTCTTGACCCGATCCGCCACATAGGTCTCGCGCATCTTATTGTAGAAATGGTCGTAGAGCTTGCGTGCCGTTGAAGCGTCGGCCGCATCGTGGAAGTCGGGCTTGTTGCCTTTCTTCATCTTGCCGTAAAGAGTGAATTGGGAGACTAGTTGAACGTATAAGGATCAGATCGAGGGACTCTTCTCAAAGCGATCAACGTACCACAGAGCACTTCTCCTTCAATATCCTGTACGTTCCTCTTCCACTAGCAAAGAATCAGCACCGAATGCGCCGAGGATGGATATGCGAAGCACCACAGAGGTCCATACTTGTGCGCCATTCTCATCGGGCCAGAATTTCGCCTTCAAGACCTTGTTCACCAGATTCTCGGCTTCCTTCTCAGTGTCATCCTTGCCCACACCGGCGAATACTAGCAATCCCTTGCCGATGGACGAGATCAACTCCGAATCGACCGTGACCGACGCCGACTTCACTCTTTGAATGACAACTAAAGAGAGATTAGTTCCACATCACTTGATATCAATTGCAGTCACATAGGTGCGCACTCTTCATCTTGTCTTCGGCCGCTGGAGGTTGTCTGGAGTTTCGAAGTGATTAGCCACCGGAAGAACCCCACAGAAAGGCGCGTCCCTCGGAGAGCCGCCCGTGCACTTACCCTCCTCCGCACTTGGAACGATATCAGCAACTAGCCATCAATCAGCGTGTCAGGCGAGATCCGACTCAGTAAAGCAGTTTTACTAATTGTAAAATCACCAGAACAATCGTAGATTGTCAACGCGTAAGTACCCAGCTCCCTCACTTTACGCCGCAACCTTGCTTCTACGAGTCCGGTGCCCGACCGCCTTCCTTATCGGGGATCCTCGAAGCTTTCACTCGAAAGAACGACGAGAAGGCCATTCCACTTGCTTTCCGCCATTCTGAGCTCTCTTTCTCAGTGTGACACCCTGCGAAACACAACCTCCACTCCCACCTCGATCGATTGTGCTACGCCCTCCCCTCCCTGGCAGCACACGCACTCCAACTCCGCCCCCACCGCATCGACTCACTTCACACACTCGTGGACGGGAAACCCACCCCAGTCCACGCCCACCACGGGATCACCATGACGTCCCGAAAAACGCAGCAAGAGATTGATAAGACCTTCAAGAAGGTCGCCGAAGGAATCCAGACTTTCGAAAGCATTTACGAGAAGGTCAAGGCCGCCACAAACCCCACCCAGCGCGATAAGCTCGAGGAGAACCTCAAGCGCGAGATCAAGAAGCTACAAAGGTTCCGTGACCAGATCAAATCATGGGCGGCTGGCAATGAGGTCAAGGACAAGGCTCCACTGCTCGAGCAGCGGAAGGCCATTGAGACGGTAGGTCTTGGTCCATCTGCGGGGGGAAGGAAGGAAAACCGGGGTAGGTTCGGGCTAACGGTTTCCGAAATAGTGCATGGAGCAGTTCAAGGCCGTTGAGAAGGAGATGAAGACGAAAGCCTACTCCAAAGAGGGTCTCTCTGCCGCATCGCGACTCGATCCAAAGGAAAAGGAAAAGGTAGAAGCTTGCGACTTCCTATCGACCATGGTCGACGAGCTGCAGCAACGGATCGAGGCCATGGAGGCCGAGGAAGAGACATTGCAGGCACAAATGAAGAAGGGGAAAAAGGACGCGAACAAGACCAACCGTATGGCCGACATCTCGCGAGTAACGGAACGTCATAAGTGGCACGTCAACAAGCTCGAGTTCCTCAATCGATCGTTACAAAATGGCAACTTGGAAGTGAATCAAGTGTTAGACTTGAAGGAGAGTATCAAGTATTATGTCGACGAAGGGCATAACGTTGATTACTCCGGAGAGGATGAAACGCTGTACGATGACTTGGATATTGGAGAGGATGTCGAGGCCCAATTCGGCATGGGAGCAGAGAACGATCGTGTATCGTCTCATGATGCCCAATCCATTCAGGACGACGAACCAGAACCCAAACCGAAGGTCTCGAAACCAGATCCTACGTCACATCGCCGGCCATCTACACAGATGAAGTCGCCGCTCCCCGTTCTTGCTACTCTTCACCCGTCCGCCTCGTCCAGTGCCACCCCAGGCATGAAGCCTGCTCCGCTACCGACTCGTCTGCCTGGAGAAACGCTCAAGTATGCTTCCGCAGCCGCAGCCGCAGCTGCCAGCGACAAGAGCGGAGTGGGAATTCTGCCCCTGCCCCCACCACCAGGTGCCAGTCCTGCCTTTTCGCATGTTCTCCCGGTTTCCAAGGCGTCCTCTACAGCTTCGCCCGTCGTTTCTTCCGTACAACCCGTTGCTAAGCCGGTGACAGTAGCGGGGCCATCAGCACCCCCCGCAGTCTCTGCATCATCATCGGAAGAGGCAGTGCCATTGGCAGTGCGGTCCAAGACAGCTGCTGGCGCAGCTGCCTCCGGGACATCTTCACCTGCACCCGCTCCTACACCCAAGACAGAGAGCGTGAAGGGTAAAGCGACAACGAATGGCAAGACGACACCCAAGGAAGCAGCCGAGGGTGACGAGTCAATATTCCATTTGCCCCCAGGTCTCCAAGATCTGATTCACTCGTTCGAGGTGACCAAGGAACGCGCGACAGCCAATTCCACGCCGGCAGTGCAACGACTGCTTGCAACCTCACTCACGACGTGTCCCGAGCCCGGGGATGCAGAGAAGCCCCGGCATTACAAGCCGCAAAATCCCTACAACACCCCTCTTTACTACCCGCAAGAACCTCTCTCCATCTTTGACGACCCACGATTGTACGATACTGGCCGGATTGATACTGATACGTTGTTCTATCTCTTTTACTACCGACAAGGGACCTATCAACAGTACCTAGCTGCCAAGGCGTTGAAGAGCCAAAGTTGGCGCTTCCACAAGCAATACCAAACATGGTTCCAGCGTCACGAGGAGCCCAAGAACATCACAGAAGAATTCGAGCAAGGCACCTATCGATTCTTTGACTACGAGAGTACCTGGTTAGTTCTACTCCCCATTCCGTTATCTCCCTAGCTCCTTTATTTAGGCACGTGCTTACCATTTTTGCCCGATAGGATGAACCGGCGCAAGGCTGACTTCAAATTTGTGTACAAATATCTCGAGGACGAGTTATAATCCGTCCTTTGAACATGCGTGCCTCTTCCCCGTTGGCCCCATGTATCCAAGGCGTAGGCTTAGCAGCCTAGATCGAATCTACGAGCGACGGCAAGCCGCCAGCCTCCTCATCTTCTTCCTCCTTTTCTATCCTCCTTACCTTTTCTCCAATCCTTCCCGCCGGCGCTCTAACCGAATGGGGTCCTGGGGTCCCCTCTTGAAGATGGGTCCGTAGGAAAACGGGGCGAAACAAAAAGTGGACATGTCATAGAGTGACGATCTGGATCTACTGGGGCACCCGAGCTTTTGTGGAGTCTTATCCTTGGATTATAAGGGCATCTTGTGTTTTTTTGTCGTCATTGTTCTTGTTTTTTATTCTTTCCTCTACCTCTTTGTTTCGCAGGACCGGCATCGGGCAATGAGTACAATGAATGGGGGGCGGCCTCGGGGAGACCATGGGAGTTTTTTTTTCTGTGGTTTGAGTTATTCTTCACCTGGATTTCCTAGGTGTGTTTTGCGAAACTGAATGAATCACTACTGTTTGGGTGATGACATGCGGCTGATAAGGTCTATGTTTTGCGTGGTTTTTTAAACTCGTACTTTTGTAGTCTGCTTGGTATAGGGCACTAAGCTTGCCCTGTACTCTTGTGATCGGCAGTCGGAGTAGGATGGACAGCAGGATGTAGTATGTGAGTATCTGGGGTATTCAAGTGCAAACTGAGCTGACCTCGGTGTCCCTGCAGGCACGCGCCCGGGACGATGAGCCGCGGAGGAGTATAACCGAAGTACTCCGTATAGACTGCGTGAAATACTACAATCGTATATGGAGTAGATAGGGACAGGGACAGGGCACCACTACCCCGATCTAGACAAGCTATTACTGATTCGTGGCTCGGTCTGTACCGTTGTTCCTACAGTAGTGCGGAGTACAGTACACTGTAGTACTGCTACAAGATTGCTACAGGATGTACGTACAGCGAGTCCCGAGTCCCCAGTCCAGCGAGACCCACTAGATACCCGGTCGTGCATAGGCGTCTCGCTTGAGATGTACAAAGTCGTTTAGTCACAAACAAAACACTGACCTCATAAACCCACCAGCACCACAGAAAGCAGGTACACTACAAAGTACTATGCCACAGTAGGAAGTACTCCCCTCCCATTTAGTAAACACTTAGCGGCTCTAGGGGGGGGGCCTATGACGAAAGCCGGTTCATTACTATAGTGACTACGGAGTATACCGTAGCCCAGTCAATTCTAGTCTAGTCTAGTCGAATAGTCCACCCAAAGTACCCTACCCTACCCAAACAATTCAATCCGATCGGATCACAACGTCCCTCGTTCCCCGGGTCTCACCCATGCACTCATTTCAATTCCGTGCACTTCATGCACGTTGCGTTAGCGTGAGCGCTGCACAGCCAACGAGGAGGGTGGGACATGGACGAGGTGGGTTTAGACCGGGGACGCTAGCGTTGCGGGATTTTTTCTAGAAGGGACCGGGATTAGAGAAACACGAACAAAAGCAATGAGCCTGTGAGGAGATAGGAAGGGATCATTGGGGAGAATTGAGACAGGGCTGGGCTGGGCAGGGGGGCGCTAGACTAAACTGGAATACTGGATGGACAGACAGTTAACAAGTACGAGGTACTGTATTGAGGATGGTGGTGAATGGTGTGGGAGGGTTATTATTGGTAGGTTTTTTGGGATAATGACTTGTCTTTCGTATGGAATAGAGAAGGGCAGTACATTATACTCGAGACTGGTCGTAGTTAGGTGGGGTATTTACTACTGTAGTGATTATGATTATTTTTTCCCATTGATCTACGGAGTATAGTTATTTGTTTTTAATGGTTGGTGTTATTATATCATCGAAGAACGAGGGATCAACCCCAGTTCTGGGGGTCTGCCCTGTGGCACTCGGCGATCACCCAAGAGGGGCGATCGTGGATCTTGCACGGTGCGATGAGTGGTGGTTGGTGAGTTGCCGCTGGCCGATGGTTCACGCTCGGCACAGAGTTTCCGGGAGAGCCAAAGGAAAAGAATCAAGACGCCAAAACAAAACAATAGAAGTCATCGGGTGTGCTGTAGAGTTATTGGGTTTCCCATCAACCTTTGGTGTATACTGTAACTGGTTAGCATATAGTTAGCCAGTTCCCCCCAAGGCAGACCAGGCAGTTTCTGCTGAAGGACAGCACTACACTGCATCACCAACGCCACGCAGGAAACCTGAAACGAAGCCGCCATTTTTTTCTCTCTCATTCTTGCACTGGCCTGCGGTCTGATTCCAGATCTGGTCTGGTCTCTTTTAGCCAATGACGCCCAAAAAAAGACGAGGAGCACGGGGGCTGGGCTGGGGGCCGGAAGTAGGATCGACCACCCTCCGTCAGCCTTCTTTTCCGGGCGATTTTCTCTCATCCACGCTAGAAGCGTTCCAGAAGGGAGGACCTTTGGGAACCGCGCTAACCACCGACGATCGATTGCCAAGCGTGGTGAATGGTGAGTGGATGAGTGGTGGGATGGTGGGAGGATCGAGCGCAAGCACGTCTGACCGCAACAAGGATGATGCAGCTTATCGGGGATTAGGATTGGCTGGTCAATTTGGGTCGAGGGACTGCGGTCGGGAAGCTGGATTATGATTCGACTGGGGATCCTGCAAGTCCAGTAGGAAGATGTGACTTGCTTTTCTTCTTTAGTGTCCCCTCGTCTTCGATGACGCCAATCACACGGGGGCCAAGAATGCAAGTGGAGTTGTCGGGCCTGTCCGCTAAGACGCTAACACGACGCTAGAAGGCTTCCAGAAGGCGCAGGGAAGTCAGCACTTGAACTGGTCGAGGGATCCACTTTGTGTTTGCAGAAGAAATCCCGCAGGATGATCCTCCAGAATGACGAGGGCGGGGCTGTGTAGATAGAGAGAGAGCCAGTGACGAGGCGTGGAATGGGCGAAGTTTGGAAGCCAGTTCACTAGTTTTGACAGGCTGGTGAGCCGTGTTTGACCAGCTTTTCTGGTTTGGGTCTGGAGAGACCAGGTGATGGTCTTCGTGTTGGACTGGGGATGATGGTTGGTTGTGAATGGAGGGTTGACTGGAGGGTTGTGGAAGTGTACAGCGTGCATCTTTAGCGTTTCCTCGAGCCGCAGCCATTATGATGATGATTTATTATTTATTATTTAAATAAATACGGCCGGGGATATTCCAGATGAACTCATATTAACTCAAGACCTCCCTTTTTTTTCCTATCCTCTATCTATCTCTACTTTACTATGACCACCAACTAAAGCACCGACCCTCAGCTTCACGAAGGATTCGCACCAGCGTCTCACAATGGTAAGTCCTGCTGCTTCCTCACTAGTCTCTCACTAGTGGCCTTCTCCCGCTCTTCTAGAACCTCGTCTGATCATCCTTCCATTTAAAACTAGACTTCTTCCTCCTCCTTCGCCCCGTCCACCACCTCCACTCCCATCTACATCAACAACCCCAGAAACAACATGCAATCCCCCTTCAGTTACACAGACTCCTCCACTTCTTCCTCCTACTCTTCTTCCCCGGGCGGCATGGACTTCTTCTTCTACGGGCCTCCACAGCCCATCTATGAACCTGCCATGTGTGATCTCGACGCTGCTGCAAGTCCCTTTGCCGTCCCCGAGGTCGTCTCCGATGCGACATACTCTTTCACCAGCTCGCCCTACATGTACTCCCCCATGCACGATTTCCCGCCCGTCTATGAGAACCCAATTGCCACCAGCGTGCCCAGTTCGGCAAGCTCGACCTGTGGAAGTACCTGTGGTAGCTCAACTTGGAACAATGTCGCCGAAGAGGTGCCTATGCCCAACTACCCCCTCACCTCTGACGACTCGGGCCCGGACTCGCCGCCCGCTCAATCCAAGTACGTCAATCCATTCTATCCTACTCCTTTTATTGCTTCGACTAACCTATTCCCCCTCCAGACCAGCAAAGCCCTTTGGTTGCGACAACTGCGGCAAGTCCTTCACCCGCTTCGCAGACTTGAAGCGCCACCAGACGAGCGTGCACTTCCCCGTCTTCCGCAACTGCCCCGTCGAGCACTGCTCACGCAAGGGGAACAACGGCTTCCCCCGCCAGGACCACCTGGTCGAGCACCTGCGCTCTTATCACCACCTCGACGTGCCGAAGCGCCGAGCTCTGAAGCGGTCTGCCAAGGATGCTGCACTCTAAGTGCCTTGGCGGGTTACTCGCTTTCACTTTCCGTTTCCCCTTATCACTCGGTGGGGCACTACATATTACGATCTTACGATTTTGTTTTGGTTTGGTTTATTCGATTACCCCTCTGTTCTTTTTCCGCCGGATGGCGTTATCTTTATTCTTCTTCTTTGGCTGGTCGTATGATATATTGCGGCAGCCTTTTATGTTTACACTTGTCTCTATAGACTACAGTCTACATCTGTTTTGCTCTATTCTGTATACAAGATTCTTTTGTTTCTTTCTATTATTTGACTTTTCGCATGTTTTTTTGTCAATGATTCGAATGGAGGTATGCAATAGACGGGATCTTGTGGGTTTTTTAGACGGTGTTTTGTCTTTTTGAGTCCTATACTCCACGATGGAAACGATGATCAATGAACCAATTCATGAACTCAAACTTGGCACTTCCTACTGTAGAATGGTCCGATCCTGGTTGAGAATAACTAATTTCCATTTGTAATTGCCACTGTAATAGGGTATAGGTCGTAGTCAAAGTGGAGCTGCTGGTCATGTTTGCTTTTCTCATAAAATGAGGAGAATCCGTCGGTCGTTGCTTATTTCGGGCTTTTGTTTCTCAGTCTAGAATCTCGATGAAAATTCTGGAATCCATACTGCAGATTCAGCCGCTCATGCATGGAATGCCGAGGGTTACTGTCCTGCTTTGGTAGTAACCCCTTCTAATCAAAAACTACGAGAGTGCTAGTACTGCTAGATAGATGTTGCTAGCTAAATACATCCAAGGGAGATAAATTCCTTCGTCAAACCCAGTAACCTGAATCGCTACATCCTATTAGCTATACCCTATCTAGGAGCTGGAGAACCCTATCCTCAATCTAGTCCAAGCCAAGCATGCAAAAAACCCTACACGGCACCTACACCCCAGCCTCAAAACCCACATCAAATCTAGTTCGCTGGTCACATCCAATGGCATACTTCCGCCATGCTACCCTCCATGGACCTGGGTATCCGGTAGGCTGTTACTGTACCTTTTACCCCATCAGGATGGGACGCCTGTGCAACCAGACCTAGACCCGCGCCAAATGCGCTCCACAATCCTTCGGTCGGTTCCAGCTGGGATGGGAACGGTAAATCCTTCGGACGCTCAAGTCATAAATTTGAATTTTGCTATGCGTGATTCAGGGACAGGGACATAGCGCACACGGTGTCCCCGCTGCATCTCCATTTTTGAATAAACTTTATCCCCAGGCTACGGTGGTATGAACCTGGAGTCGTTGTCTCAGACTGCAAAAGCAAAGATTACTTCCTGATGTGTACACCGGGATGATGTATATCGGAGCCTAGCTGGAGAATCTGGGATCTAGAATCGTTCCACCCCCGGCTACCTAGGTCTAACTTTGCAGGTTTGTCATTAACTTCAGCTTTAACTTCACCCCCGCAATTACCAGTTCGAAAAAGAAAAAGTAGAAAACGCTCATAAAAAATCTCACATCTCAGACCCCAGACCCATTCTCTACCCCCTGCAAGCTCCCCTCATACTTCTCCCAAATAAGACAGTTCTCTTCGAGACTTCCAGCCCACTCGGCCCACCCTCTCTTGGTATCACCACTTAATAATTCGCAAACTTCCTCCCCTCGCTCAACAATTTGCACGGCAAACCCTTGCTCTAGATGCCATCCAACATGACAATGCAGCAGCCACACACCCGGGTTATCAGTGCGAAAGGCTAATACCAGGTGTCCCCCCGCCGAGAGTAGAGCTGTATCGCGTTTCGGCAGCGTGTCGGCAGGGTATGATATAGCCACAGATCCAGCCGTATGTTCAGGTCCAGCGTAAGAACCCGATCCCTGAGCCACAATGAGAAAATCATGCCCGTGCAGATGGATAGGATGGGAAACGGGAAGAGTACTCTCGATCAAAATGACAACCCACGTCTCAGGTTTGGGGGTGATGATACTATTCGTCGGCAGGGAAAGCTTATCCAAACAAGAAGTGGAACTTGATTTTCCTGTTGATGCGTGATTTGAATTTGAATTGTGTAGATATCGTAAACTTGGCTGGGTCCAGTTTTGGGAGAAAGATGTGCCGTTGAGGTGCCATCGGTAGAAAGAGTTTATCTTGGATATTGTAACAGGGAGACTTTCGTTGTAGAAGTAATCTGATGGGGTGAGGTCGAATGGTTGGGGGATGATTGGGATAAGATTGGAGGGGTCTTCGTCGCGGCAACTATCTGTGAAGTTGCGGGCCGTGGAATTGGGGATAATGGTTGGGTTGGTGTTTTCATCGTTGTAGTAGATTATACCGCGGACATTGTCTGCATTGAGGCTTTGGGAGCAGGATAGTTGGGGCGTGGCCCTGAGCCAGAAGGCATTGACTAGAGCAGACTGGTCGGCGTGAACGATGACATCGTATCTTTGTCCTAGAATGAGAAGCCGAGAGGTAAGAGTTAGATGCATCTCCGTCATCAAGATATTAACAAGATGTTAGTGCTTGAGGAGCTACCAACCAATCGCAATATCCAGCACGCTCGTGGTATACGGCTGAATAGGCACCAAATCCACCGCAATAACCATCAAAACATGATGATCAATACTAAACTTGAAATGCGTATCACAAGCCGCATTCCCCAATCTCAATCGATACGATTTCCCCCTCGTAAACGACATCGTAAATCGCCGTCCCACTTGATCCATCCCATCTTCACCAAAAACATTCGTCCCATTGATAAGCGCGTTATCCACCGTCGGCGGTCCGGATACTTGCACAGCATCCCAAAGTTCATCCACCGTCCTTACATCCCAATCATTCAACAAAATCACACCCTTGTCCTCGTCGTAGTTCGCACTGGCGGGCCCATTGATGATAATTCCGCCAAAGACACCCTCCCATGTCTGAAGTCCGATGTGAGAATGGTACCAGGTCGTTCCGTACTGCGTGGCTCGCCAGCGGTATGTCATGGTCTGGCCTGGTGCGATGGGGCATTGGGTGATGGAGACTGCGCCGTCCATAGGGTTCGTGTGTAGTTGGCGGATGCCGTGGAAGTGGAGGCTGGTGCCGTTGTGGACGGTGGAGGGTAGTTTATTTCGTAGGCGGATGACCACAGTGTCGCCCCAGTCGACTATTATGGTTGGGCCTGGGATTGTTCCGTTGATGGTGAGGGTCCATCGCTCGCGGCCGTCTGGTGCGAGGTTGGCTTGGGTTAGGTCGAACCAGAACTCTCGCACTATCCCTGTGTCGGGGACTGTGGTTGTGTAGTCTGTATAGAGGTCATGATTGCACCATTGCTGTCGATTATCCGGGGTATTTCCAGCGCAGGGCTGGTTCGTGGTTCTTTTTTCGGGGTTCGGAAATGATAGCACAGAGCTGGTCTCTTGATATACAGAGTTGGCGATGGTTGGTGGTTGGGCTTCGGGTAGACATGTACCACTCGCTATCAAAAAGCTCAGCAGGAAAGTAAAGGCCACACTCATGGTGGCAAACTCCGATAGACAAAAGAAGTATCGATGCCGACGTTTCGTGTACTTGAATACTCTTCGCATCTTTTCTACTACCACTCAATATGGTTGAAATCACTCAGACAGGCACTCAATTATGACACCTTCAATTAAATCCGATTCTGCTGACTCTGCATCAGGCCGAAGGTCCTTTGGACGCAACGTGGGCGAAGATACTCAGTCCTGGGAGCTATGCAGGTCCCCGACAATACATCCAGTCCGAGCGAATGAACATAGACCACGATGAGAACAATTGCAGATTGTCAAGTCTCTGAACTCGTGGGTAGCTCACATTATTCAGGAACAGACCAGGCACTCGTCTAGACGCGGTGTAATTCAAGTCCGAACGTCGTGTTTCACTCGTGGGTTGACTAGATCGATTGAGAATCTGTCTCTTGGTCAGACTCAACGCGAGTTCCGGCCCTGAAGGAGAACATCATTTGGAGTCATGGCAGCTTAGCTTCGGTTTTCAAATTGCGTAACAAGAGTCGGATATTATATCACAGAGAAAATAAGATAGAAAATACGGATAGGATATATGTACATAGTGTTATTCAAAAGTAACAAGATTTCAACCTTTAGATGAGTAACCCAGCCTGTTGACAAATTCTCCTACTTTCTCAGCACATTCTCGCGCTTCTTTTTCGAAACCCATGATCCAGCCAATCATGAATAAATCGTGTGGCGTTGTCTCAGACACGAAGAAATCCACCAGCGATTCATTCTGAGGCAACGCTTTGAAAATTTGGGCGAATTCCCGATGTTCCTGGCATAACACTTCTTTCCCCCCAGTGACTACCAGCATGGGTGACGGTAACGTGAATGGATGCTTGATTGGAGCAACATGTTCCTCAACGGCCTTGGTAATTTCCAGATCATGTAAGAATAGCGTTGCACCCCACGCAGGAAAAGACGCAGGAGTACACTCGGTTTTGTAGTTAGGACTGTTATTCCAAGCTGCCAAGTCTCTTGCTCCGGGGATATTTGTCCAAGGCGAGAAAAGCCAGGTGCATTTTGGCGCGGGAAGAAGAGATGAATTGTTGAATTTTGTTATGTACCGTAGCAGTCCCAAGGCAAGGTTAGCTCCGGAGCTATCGCCGCTGAGAATAATCTGTGAGGCTGGGATGTGAAGAGTGTTGAGTAGATATGCATACGCCGAGATGGCATCTTGCAGTTGAGCGGGGAATAGTCCATTCGGTGTACCCGCGAGTCGGTACTGAAGACAGATCACATATTTTGTAGGGGTATATGAGAGTAAATTCTTGGCGATGAAGCGACAGGTCACTGTCCGGCCGTCTCCTGATATGTAAGACCCGCCATGTAGGTGGAGTACGACGTGCTGGTCTTCGGGGAGAATGAAATCTGGGGAAGGTCGTTTGGGGTACCACGTGGCTCCGACAGTCTCTGGTTTGGTCTTCTCATCCAACGCAATGCCGGAGTAGAATTCGGGTCCCGCAGGCTCGATAAGGACGAACCGCTTCCTTTCAAATCCTGGCCTGAGGGAGAGGGATGGCGTTCGTTTCAAGGAGATGTACTTGTGTAGGCCAACCTTGATAATTGTATTTGTAAGGGCTTGACGGTATGTCCATTCTTGGAATTGACGATTCTTTGAGCGTAGGTAGGCGATAGTCGCCCATGGAAGAATCAGGAACGAGGTGTCTGGTGGTGGAGAAAGCATAGAGGTGGAGTTGCCAAGAAGATTGAAGTAGAGAAGGGAAGGAATGAGGAGGATTATTGGTGGCAAGGTAAGCCATAAAAGCCATGATCCTTGCTCCTTTTTTGCAGTGGGTTAGCTTTGATTTAACTTTTGAGGTTGTTTAGGCAGCACTCATTGGCTAACCATACCATGTCTTTGAAACGCCGATTGTTATCGTCCTTAATGATATTCTGCAAATTTCATCCGGGGAGCGAAAGCGTCACAATAGAGTTGTCCACTTGCTGTGTTCAATGCCCGTCTTAATGAATGACATCATGATTTTCTTTCGGAAGAGGAAGCTCGTGAGATAGGAGAGATCCTGATCATATTAACATCACGTGATACCTGGCCTAACATAATCATTGGCGCCCTTGTGTCTGCTAGACTAATGAAATAAGCTTTGACGAAGATAATCAATCAGATCTCCCTCCTGATGTGAGTACAGCCGTATATTGGATATAGAATCACCATTGTAGCGAGGACAAACGACACAAATCTGTCCGGAAAGACGAAAAAGGCCCCCAGGCTCAGCAAGTAAAGAACTAGGCTATCGATAGAACAGACAAGGTATCAAATCGCCCAATGTAAATTGGGAGATTCTTGAATGGCAGGAGGATCAGGCGAGAGCCTCTCGGCAAGTCCTTGGCATAACTGTCGGCGGGCCGGATGGGGGACTATTTGGAGTCAAACCAGTCGGGCCGGTTGAACATGATTTCTCTTACGGAAGAAGTTGACTTCTGAAGAGACTTGCATCTGGACTTCGGTTAAATGGAGCTTTCCGGGGGGCCAGAACTGGGGGATAAAAGGCTGGGGATGTTCGGCGAAACTCCGACTTGGAGATGGCTTCATGTCCCACTCCAAAGTCAATCCTTGGAGTACACCGTAGTCACTGGCCATCCTGGTTACGACCATGTGATGTGTTGAACGAGGGTCGAGAATGAGGTGTCTAAGAGCATCAAAACCTAAGTTGGTCGTGCTTTTCTTGCCCGGCGAGATTGATTTGCCATGTTTCGCAATTTCGATCAACTCCGAACTGGGCGGCTTGCCGAGGGATGGGCACAAGCGTAACAGAAATGAAAGTCTGGAGGTTCTCCACGGGGATACTTTGTTCTCCGTGTTTTCTCGGTGGTGGAGGTAGTGGAGTCCGACCGTGTGTTGTTTATTGGTTCTTCGGCGGATGGCTTGGAGGACCGAGTTCATCCCGTTACGCCCTTCCCTTCCGGCTGGCGTCGAAGACCCGATTGGGCTAGCTGATGGGGGTCAATGACGGCATTGCAAGAGGCACAGACTTGGATGCCCGGGTAATTCATATGCAGGGCGCCTTGGGATTGTACAAAAGAGACAGGAAGTCTTGAAAGATGGGCGGTCGCGCACTGGACAGGGGGAATCGCGCAGATGTACTTGATCCGGCCATGTCACGTTGGAGGCCAGCAGCAACGACAAAATGAGACTATTTAGCAGGAGACGGTCGATTGCAGACAAGCCAAAAAGTGAATAAAAACTTCGCAGAGCCCACTCTCGTATCCTCAAGTCCAGATACCATCCGGTTAAAAGCCCTGGAAACCACCTCTGCCGACTGAACGCCGGGACAGTTCCCTGCACGAGTGGGGAAGATGGAGAAAAGGCCGAGCCTATCGACGACTCCAAGTCGCTTTGTCCCGCATTGCAACCAAATCGGACCAGTTGCGACTCCTTGCTGTGCCTGGCGACTCTTGGCCGATCCTCGTGAGGAAGTTTCCTCGCTGGTCATGCAAGTATGTACTACTGAGCCTCGGACTCGCGCCGTGGTGAGGAGGCGAGCTTCCTTTAAATGGTGCGATGATCCCGCCAGGATGGTGCGCGACGTGCTGTTTTTTTTATTCTCTCATTTCCCCGCGGGTTTGGTATCTTGTGTCTGTCTAGAGCTGGGTCTATAGATCCGGTTCCTGCGTTCCCTTTTCTACCTCAACTGCGTCTACTTTCGCTGGTAGACTGAGCCCCCACTCGCACAGATTATGCCACTTTATACTACAGCGCACGCCCTACCGTCATCATGAGCGACAAAATCCCCTCGTGGAACATTGTCCACAAACTAGAGAAGCGTCAACTTCTCATCGCAATCAACTGCGTCGCCGCACTGTCAATTCTCTTCTTCGGATATGACCAAGGCATGATGTCCGGCGTTAACAACGCCAAAGACTACATCGACTTGATGGGATTCGGATACACGAAAGAAGTAGACGGCGAACTGACCCCGGTAGTGACCAATTCCTTGCTACAGGGTGGCATTGTCTCAGTATACTATCTGGGGACGTTGTTCGGTGGGCTGTTTGGTGGTTGGTTGGGTGATCGCATGGGGAGAATTAAGTCCATTGCTGTGGGTGCGGTTTGGGCTGTGGTGGGCGCGAGTCTGCAGTGCTCGGCGCAGAATCATAATTGGATGATTTGCGGTAAGTAGAGACAGGAAATACGGGAGATGGAAAGGGACGAGGACGAGTGGCTGATTCGATTACAGCACGCTTCATCAATGGCATTGGTACTGGTATTTTGAATGCAATTGTGCCTGTTTGGGCCACTGAGACCGCCGAGCATACTTCCCGTGGACAGTTCATCGCTATCGAGTTCACACTGAACATCTTTGGCGTCGTCCTGGCCTATTGGCTTGAGTTGTACGTCTTCCTGATTCCCCCATATCAGAGCGGATCTAACATTTCTCTCTTAATAGCGGCCTCTCCTTCATCGACGGTGGTAAATCCGCCTTCCGTTGGCGTTTCCCCATCGCCTTCCAGATCATCTTCCTTCTGATTCTCTTCGTCGCCGTCTGGTTCTTCCCCGAGTCCCCACGTTGGCTAGTCAAGGTCGGCCGCGAGCAGGAAGCACGATACATCCTACAACGGCTGCGTGGCAGCAGCCCAGAAGATCGGGTCCGCGCCGAAGCCGAGTTCCAGGATATCCAGAGCATTGCCGAGATGGAGAAGACTGTTGTCCACGGGAACTCTTACCTCTCGATGCTGTTTGGCTGGAAGTCTGGTGACCTACACATCGGTCGGAGAGTACAGTTGGTTATCTGGTTGCAGATTATGCAGGAGTGGGTTGGTATTGCCGGTGTGACTGTCTATGCGCCGACGATCTTCAGTATTGCGGGCTTTGACTCGATGAAGAGTCAGTGGATCAGTGGATTGAATAATATTTTCTACATGGTATGCTCGCACAATTCTGTTTCCGTGGTTCGACTGAACTAACTCATCTTTTCTAGTTCGCAACGCTTATCTGTGTGTTTACTTTGGATCGCATTGGACGACGCTGGACTCTATACTGGGGCTCTGTCGTGCAGGGTATTGCCATGTTCCTTGCTGGTGGATTCTCTCGCCTTGCCATCAACGCCAAGGCTGATGGCAACATGGGCACAGCGTCCTCGTATGGTGCAGCGGCTGCCTCGATGATTTTCATCTTTACCTCGACTTTTGGTGCCACCTGGCTTACTGTGCCATGGCTGTATCCGGCTGAGATTTTCCCATTGGCAGTGCGCGCCCGTGGTAATGCCTGGGGTGTCGTTGGCTGGAGTATCGGAAATGGATGGCTGGTAAGTAATTCGATTTGGAGTCTTCACATGGTTTAGCGTGTGGTTATACTAACATAACCCTTTCTAGACTCTACTCTGCCCGGTCATGTTCGATTCAATCGGCGAAAAGACCCTCTACGTGTTCGCGGCCAGCAACGTAATCACCATCCCTATGGTGTGGGCTCTGTATCCCGAAAGTAACCAGCGCACCCTGGAAGACATGGACCTTCTCTTCGCCGCCAAGACTCCCTGGACCTGGGATGCGGAAAAGACATTCGCCCGCCTCAAGGCCGAGAATCCCGGTATGGTGGACATTACTAGTCGCAAGAATAGTGTTGTGGATCCCGAGACTGGCAAGGTGATCCCCGTGGATGCGGTGACAGCGGCCAAGATTGATGATGCCACGGCTGCCGAGCATGTGGATCACCCTTGAGGGAAGAGTTTGGGGTGGAGATTCGATACTCTCCGTTTGGTGGAGATTGAAGTATAGAAGGTGAATTACTCCGTAGCTAGGAAAGCTTGAAGTTACGACTCGTCATGCCAAAAATGAAAGTGATGTCATATGTAGAGACTTGCTCATCCATAGGTTATTTTGATATCGTATCCATCTAAAAGTGGATTATAAATGAAGAGTCATACCTCCAGGCAGCCTCATGGGGAACCGTCGAGAGGCGCCAGTGGGGCACTCTGATTGGTCACATTGAAAATCACTTTACTTCCTCGTTCTCGCCTCGGCTTATACATAAAGGTAGTCCTGAAACTTTACTATTCTCTAATTCTACACCATCCTTCAAGCAACGAAACTAATATTTCAAGGCCTCTTCTCAAAGCATTTAGTAAGTTCAGTCGCGATCGACGCGTCGAGACGCGTCAACCTGGGGAACATCCATTCCAAGAAACTAACCAACTCCAAGGACCATAGCCAAAGCTTCAAATAAACAACGCCAACTCTGCAAGAGTCGCCTAAAAAATGGCAACTTCACCTACCATCTCCACGGATACCTCGCCAACTCTCTTAAAAGCCAACCTCAACCCTAGCCCCAAAGCCAAATCTAAATCCACTTCCACAACAACCACCACAACCACCACCACCACCACCTCAAACTCACCGACAACGATCCCCCCAACCCTCCAAAAGTCCCTCCACCGCATCTCCCTCCACCCGACCCTAACTCCCTACCGCAGACGTGTCTATCGTGTCCTCCTCTCTGTACCCCCCGGCCGCTGGACCACCTACTCCGCGCTAGCAACATACCTTAACTCCAGCGCGCGGGCTGTGGGTAACGCGATGCGCACGAACCCGTTCGCCCCTGAGGTGCCCTGTCACCGCGTGTTGGCGGCTGATGGCTCGTTGGGTGGGTATAAGGGGGAGTGGAGGGTTAGCAAGCATATTGCTGGAGGAGGGTTTCAGGAGGAGAAGATTGCTAGGTTGAAGGAGGAGGGGGTGGAGTTTGATGGGGCAGGGAAGGCAGAGGGGACTTGTTTTAGGGAGTTTCGAGATTTAGGTATTAAGGGGAAAGGGGAGGTAGTTTGATTGATGGTTTTTTGTAATATTGGTGGTGTTGCTAAGGATTAAGCAAGATATAAGAGAGAAGGGATCTTACTCTGAAGGGAAATGTTCAGGCTCTTGTAGACAAAGTGTTGTCTAATAGACATCAAGCGCCCGGGTGGTCTAGTGGTATGATTCGCGCTTAGGGTTCACCCAAAGCATTGACTGCGCGAGGTCCCCGGTTCGATCCCGGGCTCGGGCCTATCTTTTTTTTCTTTTTTTTCCCTCTAAGTTTTGTTACTGGCATGCATGTTATTTACTTAGCTTGCTTGACTTACAAAATTCTGGTAAGTAGCTCTATGATGTATCCAGAGCCATCATTTCTTTTGCCGCAACTCCCAGTCCAACAGGCCTTTTTTGTAATTCACCAGTGGAGAAAATCTACTTCTCAAGTTTTAATTTGGTAGAGTTCAAACAATATATTTAGTAGTGTAATGGGGAAGTGTTACCGGCTACAAAAAAAGGACATGCGTGGTATTCGAAGGCCGCTTGCTAGTTGCTTGCTTATTTATGCCTTGTGTGTAGACGCGCATTTTCAGACAGGGAGGGAGGCTGGAACTTATTTGCCAGATATTTAAATAGATCGGTGTGAGCTGTCTGTCAAGATCAAGAGCTTGTATGTTTCTATCTCACTAATACCCCCTCTATTTGCCGTGTATGAAAACCCGCTTCTCGAGTGGCTCGAATGTCTTCTCACGCGGGCCCCCAATCGGCTTGCCAAACACCAGTTGGGATTTCAAACTCCAATCAAGGGGAATATTCCATTGCTCGGAGACTCGTGCGTCGACCATTGGGCTATAATGCTGCAGGTTACAACCGAGTCCCTCGGCTTCTAGGAGTGTCCAAACTATAGCACGGCAACATTAGCACCAAGGTCATATCAGCAAACACTAAAGGTGACTTACGAGCAAACTGATGCATGCCACTCGAATGGTTGGACCCTATGAATGAATGTCAGTTCGGAATCTAGATAGGAAAGTCAAATAGCCAGTAGGGATGGCGTACACTCGGGGAACTTGTCAATCAGCATCGGCCATTTTTCTTCAAGAGGCTTCAGAGGAGCTGGGTCCTCGTAGAACAATACCTGATGAGAATACATGTCAGAATATAATCACCCAGCTGCTGTCGATTTCTAATGGACTTACTGTTCCATAACCCGCACGGAAACCAGCAATGCGAGGCTTATATAATTTTTCAAGTTGTTCAGCAGGAACAGTAGCAGTAGCAATCTCGAGTGCGATATCCCACAATTTCTCATGCTCCTCTTTGAGAAGAACCAGCAGACGAGCAGTCTGGCTGTTGAAAGGACTGGGAGTATGCTTGACAACCTCGGAAATAATTTCTTCGATGCGGTCATCTGAAATTGTCGATTTGTTGGTGAGGGCATAGAGAGACCGGCGGCCCTTCATTCCTTCGATGAAAGATGAAGTGATGGTAGACATGTTGGGTGAGATTTTGATATTCGGAGTATTTATTATGCTGTTGATTTCGATAGAGACTTGTTTGTCAATGGAATACGAATGCTATTCGAACAAGATATTTCACTTCTTATATAGGATTCAGTATGCTGACGAGTTTACTGTGATCGGAGACACGGAGCACCGACACGGAACGGCGATCCTCAGACACGGGAACGGACCTGGCCCCCAATGCTGACAGCCCCCAAAGCTTGGGAGCATCTTCTGATAAGCATTTCGGAGTCGATCAATCAAAGGATGAGTTCAGGGACAAACTTTAAGTTCGGTTTCGGTCAACGGGAGTGAAACGGACCGCGTCGAATAGCTAAGCCCCTCGCAGGGTAAAGGGTGGGCTATCTCAAGCTACAAACTATGAGAAGAGGCGGCATCGGAGGATTCCCGTTCGTCGGACTTGGGAGTAGAGCAAAAGGTCGCACTGCTTGATTATATCCTGGCTTCATGGAAATAACAGAGGCTCGAGTATTCTTGATAGAGAAGAGTTTGATTGTTGGTCAATCTCTTCCACTGAGCATGACCTTGAGATTATCGCCGAAGCCGCATCCTGTCAGTCGGGTCGGCGATGGAGGGGCTGAAACGTGGCAGTGCACATCAAATCTTGAACATCCATCAATTGGAATGAAGAGCAATTGGAGAGTACTTGTTTTCTTTTTTTTTCAGTAGTCAAAAGATTAGTAAGCTTATTTAGTGATCATGGCTTTCGATCGCAATAAGCTATATCAAGGATTACTTGATATAGGGATGACTATCGGCGAGATATCATAACGCCGACAACCTTCAATTAGTATATGAATCCCAGTGCTAACGTTATATATGGACATAATCTAGCGCTGGACAATAATGACATGTATACGGCTCTCAGTCCCCACGAAAGGGTGATCCTGAACAGTGTGGCCGCGTATAGCCGGGAGAGAGGCGGAGGCCCCGGTAAACCTGAACCCGCCGATCTCAAGCCCGCGGGCATTGGGGATCAGTCTGGGGCATCATCACTGGCGAGCTAACTCTAAATAGCGATGGGAGGTCAAAAAAGCTCCTTTCCCCGGAGTAGCAAAAGGTCTGGCCGGGTGGGTGGAGGGCGGAAAAGTTCTTTGGGATTTTCCCGAAACCCTTGTAGCAGCTGTGCTGTATAGAAGATTCATATCGCGGAGATTTTCTGGTAATTTTAGCGATAGATTTACATATCGAACATGCAAACCCCTTAAGTCTACTCTAACCTTCAGCACATCTGTCTCCCCAATCAAAATCCCAACAATTGCCCAGTTGAATCGGCATCACCGGTAAACGCAGCGCCTTACCGAGTCGACCCGAGCGCGGCTTACATAACCGCGACGGCGAATCTCAAAATACCGCAAAGCTCAGTCCTCACCTTTCCCGTACCTTTAAGCCACCTCTTCCCTCCCACCCCCCGTCCTCACCCCCTCCCTCCAAGCCGTTTATCTTGGAGGATTTAAACGGCTCTTGCGATTTTCCCCTCTGGTCTACGTTTTCCAATCGCCATGTTCCGCACCGTTATGCCCCGGGCTACGCCGCGGGCTGCGCTCCGCGCTGCCGGCCCGAAGGCTGTCCCTTCGACCTTCATCACTCCCCCTATGGTCTTCATTGGCCGCTCAAAACGCGGTTACGCCTCTGATGCTGGTGAGTTATTAACTAGAGTGAGGTGCTATCGTGGAATGGCTGGACCTGGTGGTCCGCGTTCCTAGGTTTTTGCGATTGCTAACTTTGCCGGTCTCCCCGGGTTTGTAACAGCCGAGCACGATCTGGTCATCATCGGTGGTGGTGTCGCTGGTTACGTCGCTGCTATCAAGGCCGGCCAGGAGGGCCTCAAGGTACGTTTTCAATCCGCCCCTAAGGGAAGGCCTCCGGAGAGGTTCCGGGGACCTTTCCGACAGAGCCAAAGCTTGGACACGTCGGTTTGCTAACCTTTATTCACGTTGAATTAGACCGCCTGTATCGAGAAGCGCGGTACCCTCGGTGGTACTTGCTTGAACGTCGGCTGCATTCCCTCCAAGTCCCTCCTCAACAACTCCCACCTCTACCACCAGATTCTCCACGATACCAAGAAGCGCGGTATCGAGGTCGGTGATGTCAAGCTCAACCTCGCCCAGATGCTCAAGGCCAAGGACCAGTCCGTCGAGGGCCTCACCAAGGGTGTTGAGTTCCTCCTGAAGAAGAACGGTGTCGACTACATCAAGGGTGCCGGTTCCTTCGTTGATGCCAACACTGTCAAGGTCGACCTGCTTGATGGTGGTGAGCAGACCATCCGCGGCAAGAACATTCTGATTGCTACCGGTTCCGAGGCCACTCCCTTCCCCGGCCTGAACATCGATGAGAAGCGCATCATCACCAGCACTGGCGCTCTTGCCATGCAGGAGGTTCCCAAGAAGATGGTTGTTATCGGTGGTGGTATCATCGGTCTGGAGATGGTATGTCATTTTTTTGGCTCGACCATTTGGAGAACATAATCACTGACGTCTTGTGCTCTTTTTTCTAGGCCTCTGTTTGGTCCCGTCTCGGTGCTGAGGTTACCGTTGTTGAGTTCCTCGGCCAGATCGGCGGTCCTGGTATGGACGCCGAGATCGCCAAGCAGGCCCAGAAGATCCTGGCCAAGCAGGGTATCAAGTTCAAGACCGGCACCAAGGTCGTCAAGGGTGATGACAGCGGTGCTCTTGTCTCCCTGAGCGTCGAGGCCGCCAAGGGTGGCAAGGAGGAGACTCTGGACGCTGATGTCGTTCTGGTCGCCATTGGCCGTCGCCCCTATACCGAGGGTCTCGGTCTCGAGAACATCGGCATTGACAAGGACGACCGCGGCCGTCTGGTCATTGACCAGGAGTACCGCACCAAGGTCCCCCACATCCGTGTCGTCGGTGACGTTACCTTCGGCCCCATGCTGGCCCACAAGGCCGAGGAGGAGGCTGTCGCCGCCATCGAGTACATCAAGAAGGGCCACGGCCACGTCAACTACGCCGCCATCCCCAGCGTCATGTACACCCACCCCGAGGTTGCCTGGGTCGGCCAGAACGAGGCTGAGATCAAGGCCTCCGGTGTCAAGTACAACGTCGGCACTTTCCCCTTCAGCGCCAACTCCCGCGCCAAGACCAACCTCGACACCGAGGGTATCGTCAAGTTCATTGCTGATGCCGAGACTGACCGCATTCTCGGTGTCCACATCATCGGCCCCGGTGCCGGTGAGATGATCGCCGAGGCCACCCTCGCCGTCGAGTACGGTGCCTCCAGCGAGGACGTTGCCCGGACGTGCCACGCTCACCCTACCCTCTCCGAGGCTTTCAAGGAGGCTGCCATGGCCACCTACTCCAAGCCCATCCACTTCTAGATTTATATTCGGTGACGCAGTGTTGTGATTCGATATCCTCCAAACCCCCTCCATGTACTACTTTTTGGATTTTAGTCTAGCTCGGCTAGCAAACTACATGTAGCATTTCATGTAATCATCTTCCTTTTGTTGTTATTCTCTTGTTGCAGAAAAATAGACATTTTTGAGCACTTTTGGTAGACCAATTCCGTAAAGTAGAAAACGTATGCACCTTACCTATTTGCTTCCATGGTGCTGCAGATGTAGGTACAGCTTTCTACACTGTATAGTTACGCCTTGGTTTAGGGTACTCATCATTCGCTCTCCCCATTAACATTCCAACCCATTTGGCAAAAACTGGCCAGTCATTAAGCACGTAAATATATGATCGACCTTCCAGCAAGGAAAAAAAAAGATACAAAATGATAACTCCGAATAGGGGAATCGAACCCCTGGCTGTCGTGTGAGAGACGACGATGTTAGCCACTACACCAATTCGGATGGGCTTGTTGAAGAGCCAGCAAATTATGGAACTATGGAGCTGCAGAGATTTCCATCACTCTAGGACCCACCAACCCGGATACTAGCACTAAACTTGATTAGATGCCTGAATGGAAACCTCTACCTTCATTCGATTTTTTTGTAATGGTTATTTAAAGGGACGATTAGGATGCGCGGATATATTTTCAATGTATGAAGTGCTCATCTAAGGGTTGAAGAGATGGTGTTGGAGTAGGTGGTTTCAACAGAAGTGTCGAGATATATATCTAGAACGGGTGTGGAGGTCCAGAGGTCATGACCGTAGCAGTAACTAGTTAGTTAGTTGATCTACTGGGTCCATTCATGTTTTTACAATATCCAGGAACCGGAAAACATCAACCCGCCACCTAGAATCATATGATCATAACTACCTATTGGGTACTAAAAGCGGAATACCGTATTGCGGCTCGGGCCAACCAAGCTATCTCTGCCTACTGCGCAAGAGACAGAGCGAGGTTAATGATCCTTGAATTTGCCAATCCTTGGCAAAATCACCAATACACTGCCTCATTACTCGGTGAGCTGCATGCTCCGCAAAGTAGACTAAATTCTTTAGTACTGTAGTAGGCCAGACGAAGACTTTACCCAATTCAGACTCCTCTGCGAGATTTGTAAATGATTCTTGGCAGAAATCCAGACTCTTATGACCCGGTCGCCTATCGACATATAGTATGGATCCCGATAGATACCTCGCGATGCGCACCTTGTTTGGGGTTAGCATATTTAAGGGTCCGCGACGTCACATCTTCTAAAGAATAGCAGGGAATCAAGCCAGCCCATTTGGGCAAGCGTTGCGAAAAAGCTTTGGTGGGCGCTTCGCCCCGATTGTTAGTCCCGCTAGCCCTATTTGGGTCAGATTTCACGACTTTGTTCAGCCCCACTCGATTAAGGGTCAGGGCTATGCTTGATTTGGTAGTTTCGTATTCCAGGGTAAGATTCCCAAGGGTCACGGTTGTGCTGATTATGGTATCTCGTATCGCAGGGCTGAGATTTACAAAAGTGACACATAGGTATAAAGATGTGGTCGGCCTCCCTATTTTTGTCGGGTTGTCTCACGGGCGCAGTCTCTTGTTCTCATAGTTACATTCGGCGTTTATTCGACAAGCACCATGATTCTGATTTACAAAAAGATCAAGAAGCACAATGAGAGGAAAAAGCTCGAGACGCAACAAACAGGGACGGCTAGTGCCAACAGAAATGAATTCTCGGAGCCCACTACATCCGCCATTTCGAAAGAGAAGAAGACTATCTCACCAGAGGAAGCAGCCGAAAAGAAACGACGACGCACTTACCGATGGAAAATTATCCTGGGCCTCTTTGCACCATTCTGTCTTCAGTCTTTGGATACAACAATTATTGCGTCGGCACTTCCCTATATTGCAGAGGACTTTGGTAAGCAGTCTAATTGATGTGCAAATAATTATAGCCCTCTAACCTTTCCACCACCTATAGATCAGATCAGCCAACTAAACTGGATCATCTCGTCTTTCAACTTGACCTCCGCCGCCTTCCTGTTCTTCTGGGCCCAGCTCACCGACCTATTCGGCAGACATAATACACTCCAAGCTGCTATCTTTGTTATGATCATTGGATCGGCGATCTGTACTGGTGCCCCAACATCTACCTTCAGCGTTCTCCTTCTCGGCCGTGCCCTGCAAGGCGTAGGTGCTGCGGGAGTCAATATCTCCATCCGCACAATTCTGGCAGATGGAATCTCGCTTTCAGAATACGCACTCAACTGGACTATTTTCGCCCTCGTCTCCGGAGTCGGATTCAGCGTTGGACCCGTCATTGGCGGTTACCTGACTACCACTTCGTGGCGATGGTGCTTCGCCATCAACCTGCCCATCGGTGTCGTAGCCATGATCGTGGTTGTTTTTGTCCTTCGAAGAGACCTTCAGGGTCCGCAGGAACTCACGCAACTCGAAGGTCGTGACATGTCGACAGGCCCTCGTCGCTTCCTCGCTCGTCTGTTGACCATTGACTATGGTGGACAACTACTTTTCCTCTGGGGATTCGGGTTGCTGATTCTGGCCCTAACTTGGGCTGGCGGCAATTACTCCTGGAAATCAGCAGCTGTGCTAGCTCCGATTATCATCGGTGGAATCCTGGCTATTGCCTGGGTTGTATATGAGCGCTGCATGGTGCCAGGATCTTTGATGGCTCGTGCCTTGCCGAAACAAAAGGCTATGATCCCATGGGATGTACTATCCCAGCGAGACATTGGCTTACTATTCGTCGTCAATTTCTCTATTGGCGTTGCCGAGTTTGCGGTGATGTATTTCATGGTCTTGTACTTTGCTCTCGTAGAGAAGCGAAGCTCAAGTGAAGCCGGAATCTCACTCCTCTACTTTTTGCCCGGCATAGGTGGTGAGTTGTGCCCTCTGTCTTGAAGGTACTAATGGATAACCTGAACTAATTACAAACACTCTACAGTCGGCGCCTACATGGCCATGTTCTCATCCAACGTCTGGCCACGCCAGACACTCCCAGCCCTCCTCTTAGGCAGTATCACCTCCTCAGTCGGTATAAGCGTCCTTGCCTGGGCCGTTCATGCCGGAAAGACTACCGTCATTTACGGCATGATGGCACTTGTCGGCCACGGCGTTGGAATAAGAATGAATCCGGCCTCGCTCCATGGACTAGCGTATTTCCCCACGATGACGGCTCAAATCTCATGTTTGGTGTCATTCGCCGTTCCATTTGGAGGTCTTGTGGGACTGACTATAATGTCAACGGTATTTACCAACAAGAGCGGATTGGATCAGGTGGATCCCCAGCGTGGAATTATGTGGGCTTTCATTGCGATGGTGCCTGTCATGTGGCTCTCAGTTTTGTTAACCACGTTCCTTGGAAATGTGTGGATTCGAAAAGACGGTGGACATGAAGTTGTCGATGGAGCTTATCTCTGGAGCTTCATCACAAGGAAGAAATTGGAACGGAAGAGAAGAGATCGGGAGCACCATGAACTGATAAATCTTGGCATTCAAAAGAATGGGGAAGGCTATGTCGAGATGGGACTGGAGCAGACTGCTGCGACTCGCTCTACGAATTGAGGATCTAATATGGGATAAAGGTCAAAGCTAGTGGTTTATCATATTATACTTCAAAGTTCTCAAATAATCCCAGTGATAATTTTGTAACAGAGCCCATAATATGAGAATCTCATGCCCATTTGATCCTTAGACATTGATGGATTATGAAATTCTTTAATTAGCCCATGTCGATGTGGTAAAAGTTTGACTTAAACGGCAATGTCTCCGTTGGTCTCGCCTGAATCGATAAGACAAATGTAGGATATACAATTTCTCAGGGTTCAACACGGAATGTCATATACACAGCCTCCGATATTTCATTGGGCTAGGCATTTACAATGAGTGCACACTATCGCTCATCTCCGGAATTTCTTGCGATACCATGGGACTTGATGCATCGCTAAACGCCAAGACATGTAAGGCCGCGACTAAGCGTTCCCCCACCAATGATGCCTATAGTCGATCGGCGTGTGGCTCATATGTGGCTAGTACCTGGATGGGGTGGATCCTGCTTGATGACAACGAAATGTGAGAGCCTAATCCGTCCAAAATTATTCTGTACAAGATGAGAGGTCACAGGTTGATCCACCAAGGGTCCAAAACTGGGTTGCCTTAGCTATCCCACATGGGTTTTCTTTGCCAAGACAATATTCTATTTGGACCGCGGTTCTGGCATCAACACCGCCCGTCAAACTAATGACAATCTATATGTGAAAACGTATCATTGGCCTGTTTGTCATATTGACAAAAACCGAGGGCAATGGGTTTATTAGGCATGTAGACACGGACTAGGGTGCGTCGTCGTTCGTCGCAATTTACTTCAAATCTTTTGCACTAAGTCCATCTAGATATCTTCCATCTAGAGGCATCGGTAATATCAACAACACATGGAAAATTAAATCGATGAACTGTCGGTTGAACGACTTTAAGTGGCGCAGCTAATTCTAGAAGGCAGATAGACTATCCCCGAGAGTACTGTATGCTACTTCTTGTGCGGGTCCTTAAGGCGTCATGAAACCGTGGTTCCTGACGATTACTACCAAGTTTAGCCACAGACGACAACACGGAGAACTGGAGAGGAAGAGGCGCTGGTTTTGCAGCTGAAGTAAGGTTTGGCAGGGGCTGTGGCGTTACATTCACAACCTCTCCATCATCCTTCATCTCTAACCGAACGTATCTGGCATATCGCCAAGGAAATCGATGGACAAAACTGCGCTGGTATGCCATAGGCAGCAGCAAGAATTTATCACAGCTCATGAAGACCCTGAGGTATAAAAGAACTGAGAATTATCAGTTCATTTCTCATAATATGTTTTGAGGATCCTCGGCAATCGCTTCTATGGGCTCGAAACTTTTCTTCGTTGCCATTCTTCAGCTTCAAGCTTTCTTCGCATCCGCCATGCACCGTCCAGCGGAGTGGGATCGTCACGACGAAATCATTATGGCTTGGCCATCGATCGAAAACGACGCCTACGCGGATAAGGGTGGGAGTCGTGATCTAGCGGATGCCACTCGGGACATTTCAGCCATTGCCGAGGCAGTTGCTGAATTTGAGCAAGTCACTTTGCTGGTCACCCCGGACCGCCTCCAGGAGGCAAAGAAACGGTTCAAGCACGACGCAGAAGAAATCCTCATCCAGCCTGTTCATGACTACCACAAGCTTGATCTCTGGATGCGCGACATGGCGCCTACTTTTGTCTTTGATGGATGCCACCTTGATGGAGTCGATTACAACTTCAATGGTTGGGGGAACAAGTTTCCGGTCAATGCCTCCGAATCCCTTGCTTCCCAAGTATGCGACAATATGAACCTCACTCGAGTTTCTACCTGGTTGGTGACCGAGGGTGGTTCACTTGAGACCGATGGAGAAGGTACCCTTTTGATCACCGATAGCTCGATTATCAACGAGAACCGCAACCCAGGAAAGAGCCAGCAACAGATCGAGGAAGAATTGCGGCGAACACTCGGTATCACCAAGATCATCTGGCTTCGTGGTGTTAAAGGTGGTGATATCACTGATGGCCATGTTGATGGTCTTGCACGTTTCATTGCGCCTGGAAAGGTCGTTATTAGCAGACCGAACACTCTAGATGACCGCAAGTTTTCTAAAGTGTTCAAGGACGCCCATTTCATTCTCTCTAACGCGACCGATGCTCGTGGCCGACGTCTTGAGGTCGTCGAAATGGTCGAGGCCGATTTGTACTCGCTTGGATTGGACAGACGAACTCTGAAGGATATCGAAAGTGAAAATGAGGATTATCCTTCATTGAGTTATGTCAACTGGTTACTTGTGAATGGCGGCGTCATCTTCCCCCAATTTGGAGACAAGAAGGCCGACGCTGCGGCCTTGAGTATCATTCGTGACTTATACAAGGATCGTCGGGTGAAGACTGTGCGGCTTGATCAGCTGCCATTTTTGGGTGGAGGTATTCACTGCTCCACGCAGGAAGTCCCAGCCTGAATGGTCGAAATATTGATTAACCTGAGTTGTCGTCTCCCGCAGCCAAGACTTATGTCGAAGCTGGTAAAGACGGAATCGCTTTGGTAGCTCAATTGACTGTATATTACGTCAAGGTGGAGATTTGATATATTTACTTCTTTTTTCCGGTGAGAAACATTATGCTTATTGTCATTCAACATGATGAAGGATTTCATTGAAGACGATCGAAGTCCCATTATTCAAAATAACTGTGCCAAATCATATCCAGGCTTTTACATGTAGATCAAGCGGGATCGAATGTCAGGTCCCCCGGTTTGGATTTCAGAAATTTTCGAGAGTTCGTGCTTTGAAAAATAACCAAAGAATTCGTATGATGAGGCTGTTTTCGCCGACGGGATAGTCATGGACCTATGATAATGCCTGGCCTTCTAAGGTCTGTGGGAAACCAAAGATGAATTAGAATACATATGTCGATATAAGTGATTAGAATATTGTAGCAATATAGCCGATACCATTTCGAACAAGTCATCATGTCTGATCCTGCCGACGCATGTATATGTGAATTTGTCCGGGAATTGTTTCGAGAGATTGACATATCAACGCTATATCATCCGTAAAGCTGCGTCTTATGCTTGGTTGCATAGTAATTTTCACGATTTGGGGTTGCGGGAGCGAGCGGCCGCGCTGTCGGGGATTACAATATCTCGGCTACCGCAGGCTGCCCCGATCTCAACTGTTCCGAAACGAATGTGGAACTTTTAAGTGAGGAATTTTGTTGAGATGTTTATTGTTGAAAGGTCTTTCCTATTAATTCGAAACTATCTTAAATACCATCGACCCTCCTTGTCTTCTCTGTCATTTTGAAAGCAATCCGAGAGCAATATCCGGCCAGGTTGTCATACACCGATTTTTGCACTCGGGAATCGCGATCTATAATCCAAAGCAATCATTTGAAACCACTTTTGCCTGTTAATCTCGAGCATCGAACCTTAGAGACCGAGGGAAATATGTTGGGGGCCGTTGATTTTATTTTGCAGATGCTCAACTGATATATTGGACCTAAATTAATTTAGTCACAATGGATAACCCATGGAGCTGTCAATCACATACTGGTTAGGATCAGCTAAGAATGCCACCGACGTCATGAATATCTATGCGCGAGGAGTATTAGAGGAGCGCTGAGTCAGTTACTATAAAATATGGGGATGATCCCGAAACTTTTGATTGATAGCATGGAATAGAAATATGGAGGTAAATACACGGCATCGGAAGCGCCGCTTTGCTTCTGCGACAGTGTGAGGTTCCCGATTATATGCAGCACTGGCAGGAGGTGGAGCTAACATCGAGCTAAAGATATTTCCTTCGGCACCGACAGGATTTGTTTTTGCTAGCGATAAATTAATGGAAAGTTTGAATCCGTTATTAGCCAAAATATGCCGAGTCAAACTACTGTATTATTAAGTTGAGATATGTACATTATATGCCGGGTTCTACAGACCCCTCACAGTCATATCAAGCATAGTTATTTTGTAACTAGGCCTGCTTGATTTGGCCTTGGAGTTCATCGCCTCGATCAGTGGTCTGAGAAGGAATCTGTCTCACGGCGCCAATCTCTTCGACTTCGGGAGGCATGATCAGGTTGAGAAGCATGGCAACACTATGCCAAAATGTTAGTTTTTCAGGCAGTAGAGTATGTCATTGAGGTGAGGAGAGAGCTTACAAAGCAGTAACAGCAAACCCTGTTTCCAAAACCAGCTCAATCGCATTTTCAAAGCCCTCCAGGTTCTTGTTATCGGTGGCTCCAAAAACGGAAGAGAACCAGGTAGGCACTAGAGTCGCACCGTACCCGAGAGCCATGGAGGCTGTCAGGATAAAGCGGTTACGGCGGTTAAAAGGCACCTTGGACACGATCGCCTGCCCACTAATCACCACTGAGGCGAATAGGAATGTCTTCATGCCGCCCATGACAGGATTCGGAATGGCAACGATAGCAGCGGCAAACTTTGCGAAAATGCCTGCGATAATAAGGAATATACAGCAGCAGTATCCAGCCGTTCGATTGGCACAGCGTGTCAAGGCGATGACTCCGTTATTTTGGGCGAAGGTTGTCATGGGTGTCATAGTTGCAAGTGCAGCGAAAATGGAGTTTAACCCGTCCGCAAGTACAGCACCCTGAAGACGAGACTCGAAAACCTCGCCTTCGACTTCCAGGCGAGAGACATCACAAGTTGCTGTCACATCTCCGATACATTCGCAGGTGCAGATAATGAAGACAGCAAGCAGAGGGAGAACCATTGGGCCGTATACCGTGAGGGGGAACGTCTTCACCCAAATGAAGGATGCGACGGGGGCCTAGAAATTTGTAAGTCGATGGAGAAAACACACAAGATACATTGGCAGAGAAGAAACATACAGCGTCAATTCCAGAACGATCAAAGTAGCCACATGCAGCAGCAACGATGCAGCCAACCAACAGTCCAATCACAACAGAGCAGGATTTCATGATCGGAGAACCGATTCTCTCGCAGATAAGAATAGAGACGAATACCAGGAAACCCAGTCCAATAAATTCCGCGCTTCCCCAGGGCATGGCTCGAGGAGCTGTAGCGGACGGACACAAACCAGTCGTGCATCCAGACCCACCAGCCCAATCTTCGAATGCGCTACTGATTAGATTGATTCCAATCAGCATAACGGTGGGGCCTGTAACAATGGGCGGGAAGATTTTCTGCATCGTTTTGGGGGGAACAAAAGCAAGAAGGACTTCAATCAAGGCGCAGCAGGCTGAGGTACCTAATAGCGCACCGTATGCTTCAGGGCAAGGGAGCTGAGTGCCATCATCGGCGACTGGACAAAATCCATTGGCATACATCTGGCTGAATGCTCCCGAAGCGACGGTTATAATGGCGAAGGAAACTCCCATGACGGAGAGGACGCCACTCCCGATGAAGTACCTAGATTGCGTTAGCCAGCAAGCTTTTTGTAAAAGGGAGGTATTTGGATCAACCCACGGAGTCTTGTAGATATGAAAGCGTGTAATTTGAACCATTGACAATAGTCCGCAAACAATCAGGGAGGTCGAGACCAGGTATTGTTTTAGCTCAGATGGGAGGTTCAAGGAACTCGACAGAATGATAGGGGGGGTGACGACACCCGCCAACATTGCCAGTGCATGTTGTAGGCCCAGAATGAAGGCAAGAAGGACAGGAATCTTTTCATTCAACCCGAAAAATGGAGCCGAACGGGGGTCTCTCTTCATGAAGGGGAGGTCGGGGCGAAACAGGAAGCCATAGTCATAGTCACCAACGAGACCTTCTTTGGTGGTGAATTTCTTGATTATGCCTCGCACACGCTGGCCGACCGTCAATCTAGGGTTAGAATCAGGGACGATGGTGTCGGGTCCATCCGTGGAGTGAATGGAGTTATCCATCTTTTACTTGGGTTGTGGTTGGTTGTCGGTGGTCCCTGGAGAGCAAGTACATATGCTTCTCCAAACTTGAAATCCAACTCACGATTTCCATGTTCCTAGTCTCTCTATAAAACACTTTCTCCTAAACTACATCGACTACGGCAATTACGGTTTATTATCGCACCAGGGAATCGAAGAAGCGCCAAGGCGCATTTGCTATCACTTCAAAATGATAACGATAAGCTGGAAACCAATCGCAGTGATAATATAAGTTACAGTGAGGTATAGTACAGTGACACGGCAAAAGTCTGGGGTTAGTTGGCTTAACTACATAACTACCTACCAATTATTGTGAACCAGGTACGCCCCATCTGATTACTCGTATTTTACGTGTCAAAATCCCGTCACATAATTAAGATTGAGGTCACTTATCTGTGACGCTCTTAGTGGCTGAAGTTGAGCTTATCAGTGGCTTGTGTAGTTGTCGGGGTTCGGCGGGGTCCGACGGTGACACGTGATAATAGTCAGTTGTTTGGAAGCTTGGAACTTGGGGAAAGTAGTGTATACATGCCAATCTCTACTATAACAGCTATTCTTGAGCCTCTTTACTTCTGACTATACGATCTATCAGCCGCATCTGAAAGTATGGAGGGTCGATCTCTCCAGAACCTACCGGTATGGGGCACAGTTCGTTGTTTGATATCGATATTGAATCATCTGTACTAGGAAGTCGATTGAATATCGGAGCGCCACATTAATTCGTATCTTCATCCGACAGTTGTGGCTCTGATATTATGTAAAAATTTAGGTGACTGCGATATCATCTCACATGTTATCCAGTTTCCGTACCCATCTTTTAATCACCCTAATTCTCTAGTTACTGAAGGTTGTTGATTAAACTAGTTCACTGTTTTCAACAACTCTTATGTTTACTTTGGGACTATGTAGAGCTTCGTACTAGCAATGTTGTAAGAAGTGGTGAGCAGGAATTTGTTTTCCGGTATATCGTCTCGGGAAATATCCCTACTTAGATATTTCGGAATCTTTTGAGACGGGACCCTTTTTGAGAGAACTCTCTTGAGAGGAAACTAGGGTCTCCGTAGATTCAGGAAAACAGTCTTCTGGCCCGTGTGGCTTACTAACAATACTAGACACATATCGAGAGCCGCATGGCCAGTCATGTAATAGATCTGTGGATCTGCGTCTAGGCAGGCTTTAAGTCTAGAGATGTGGGTCCGTGGTTGAGAAGCTGTGGCGGGAAGGCTTTGGCTTTCAGTGCTGTGACCTAGAACTGTTGATTCGAGACCTAGTCTGGCGGCTGTGGACGTGGATCCACTTTAGATGTACGTTCTCAGCTCTAGGTCTACCGGCGCCTTCAATATGTCAACTGGCCGCCACTATGGCTCCGTAGCCTCGAGGGCTCCAGGTCGTTTGACGACGGTTAATACGGGACATAAGTCTTCTGGTCTCACGAACCCAGGCATATTGGCTGGCTGGGCTGGGCGTCAGCTGGCGAAAACCCCCATTTTTTCGCTTTACTTTGAAAAATGCGCTTTGCATCACACATAGTGGAAACACCAGTAGTATAACGCCCGCCTGGTCTTCCTCCATTGTGTGTAAAATAGCAAGCTTGGCTGAATCAGGACGACTTGGTTACTGTATCTCTTGTTGTGTATGACTGCTCTTGATTTCCTGGCCAGCTGGGACTGTCGAGCCTACCATAACTTAGTACGATAAGACGCGTTGTGCACACTTAACGGTGATTGAATGTCGTACTTAAGGATCTTGATATTCTAGGCGTGTCAGAGGCTTTGCCTATTCAACCATTATATTGATGAGTTGTTTTAACCCTCGTTTAAGAGATCCAGTACGTAGCGGTTAAAAACCAAGATCTTTTACGACAGTTGATGCTCAGTGAATTAACTGTGAATGTTAATTGATCATGAGCCTAAATGACCGCTTATCTGTAGCTTTAACGCGGTCAACGGCGCGGTGAAACCGTACTTATTTCAATAATCCAGGTGTTGTAAAAGGAGTTTCTAAAATCTAGGTAAGAGCTATTAGTTAAATGTAGAATCATCCGTATTCAGTTTTGATTCGTAAACGATAGGGGTTTCTATATAAGTAGTGTTCTACTCTCTCCTTAGAGCCTGGTTAACGAAACCGTGACCTAATATAGGTATAAAAAACTAATAATATATAGCAAAATTAAGACTACTTAGCTAGCTAGCTCCCTTGTTTTATTCCTCTCCCCTTTACTTATCTAAAAGTGACCCTTAAGGTATCTCTTTCTTCCTCGAAGTGGCTACTTAGAAATGGCTACTGGACCACATACCCGACTAAGCCGGCTTGTTCGAGTAAAAAAGCAAAACGCTAGAAATAGTATCGTCGTAAATTAACTTTGATAACAAAGGTAAGCGAATACAGTAAGATATACGATACAGATGTCTGTCTAGGAACACGACTCCGTGAGACGGGCTAAGTATATTCTTTTTCGGCGGATAGTTCGGGATTTTGGGCATTTCTTGGCTCTTATCTAGTAAACCGCAAAGGTTATCTGATAGAAAGTCAACTAATGCCTCCAGAATTCATATTATCCAACCCCGAAGCTAGTAACTGATCGAGATCTTAGTGTAATTTGACGGGCAGTACTCGGGGATGTTATATATTCTGAGCAAGGTTAAGCGAATAGGAAGATTAAGGATTGATTGAACTGTATGATTATGATTACGTATCTGTCTATATCTTTTTTTGATAGAGTTATATAAAGTATTTATGTCAGATCTCGTACTGCCTTTCATCGGATGGATCGGCTTCTTAGTATAAACCTGATTTGTCAATATAGTCATTATATCATGACTTTATGATATATTGTATGAGTAATTTTAATCACTTTTGATTGATTGGGCCTTCGGCTCAATTAGTCTCTTTTAGTTTTGAATACGATATGATATCTTATAGAGCTATGTGGTATTGGTAGGATCTTTATGGAGATTATTTTTATGGTTTTCAGGTGGCTATTATTGGCTGGTATTAACCATATCATCACATATATGGATAAAGAGATCAGACAATAAGACTTAGGGACCCCTTCGGGCTGGAAGCTCGTCCAACCCTGATATCTACTTCCGTGATGACCTATGCTCTCTAAGTATCTCGTCTTCGCCGTGCTTATCGATAGAGAATACAGCTGTAATCTTTCTGCTTTCTTCTTGCGCCTGCTCATGATTTATTGAGAGGGTGCACTCGCTGTGCCCGTTCTTTTCTTGCAGATAGGCTACGTCAATAGGGTTATACGAACTTTAGCTCAGGCGCCTAATCTTTGTGTTAATCCCTCTTATACTTTCTTATTTACGTGAGAAGACTGTATATAAATTAGTAGTGTGAGGAGAACTCCCCAAGAAACAGTCTTGTCACGAATTTGATTCCGTGCTCTTTAACCTTACCTGATCAATAGGCTTTCTAACCTGTAAGTAGTTATCTTAACACTATATCACTAGGCTAGGATTTCAAAGATTCGTCGACCAGCTAAAGAGGAACTAGAGGAACCAGAGAAACCGACGATAACGATAACTAGGCACTATGGTATTCGCGACTAGGTAACCGTGAGCTTTTCCAAAACCACGCTCCTTCTCAGACATAATAAGACGGTTCCATATGCCGAGATCGAGGCAACTATCACCTACAAGGAGGAGACTGGCCATGGTCAACCTCGAGTGCTGACTGATACTCGGTCCCTCATCCTGATTCTTCCATGTGTGGAGTCCATCGAAATCAAGCAGGTCCACCTGGAGACTTCAAATGTATGTTTAGCTGCCTCTTGTTCATTCGCTCAAATCCTTGCAAGATCAAAGAGCTGACATCCTTGATATATCCAGTATCTGAAGGGCATGGATTTCAAGACACAACTGCTGACTTCCACCGAGGGAAGAGACGGCCTTTTGAGCAAGAAACTTTGGGGTTATGACCAAGAGAAAAACGCAGTCCTTCTTCCCGCACCACTGCGAGCCCTCCCCGACGTTGAGAATCGTCCAAAGAAGAGAACTGCATGTCGCAGTGATTAAGATGAAGGACGTTGAAACTCGCCTCCGCGTTGGTTTTAAGACACGCGAGGTCAAACATGACCAGGCTGAGAAGGTCCAATATGTCGAGAAATGTCCCAAGACTAACAATCCTATTTTCCTCCTCGTGGATGAACCAAATACGCCTCTTGAGAACATACAAGAGCTAGAGAGACTGTGTGCAGCACTAAGTCGTGCTAAGTCAGGCTTATATCTGATCGGAAACTTTTAAGGACATGAACCAGGTCGCTAATCCGAATCCTGGGTAATGAATAGTACCTGATCAGCATACTACAAGAAAGAGAGAGAGAGAGAGAGAGTTAAAAAGGTGTTGCTGTATTAGAGGTGACAGGACTGTAAGCTGCTCGAATGTGCGGGCTCGAACGACAGGATTCTCGCGGTTTATGTCCGCGAGCGAGTCCGAAAAGTGGGTCAGCGGCTCAAACATGCCAGGAGCGAGGATTTTGCGCCGCTAATTCGCCTGGCTGGGCGCTTGATCCGATGTCGACGACTGCATTTTTGGCTCTGGTAGCTGCGATTGCTGATTCTCGATGAAGCTATTCCGCCGCATTTTGCAGAGACTAGCGGATAAAGGCCTCTAAAAAGAGGTGTTAAAAGATACGTTCAAAAAGATGTTCAAAAAGATGTTCAAAAAGATGTTCAAAAAGATGTTCAAAAAGATGTTCAAAAAGATGTTCAAAAAGATGTTCAAAAAGATGTTCAAAAAGAGCAGTATAATAATAGTCTTAATGTAATTGTGTCGCTTAGCGGTTGGTTTTCTCTGATTCACTTTCATAAGAGTCCATAGTCGACCTACATCAAGGAGGGGATATTCCCCGTTGAAACAATTACACAGGAACCCAACATGGACGATCAAAGGAGCCTTCACCGTTTTGGATAAATTGCAAACTAGGTTGCTTATCTCAAAGATCAAAGCACAGCTCCAGGACTTATATCATCCTTACACTGGGGACGGCAGGTTTCGCTATAGACCCCGTCACGGACTAGGTAAATGCTCAACGGGGGCTGGTCCGACTCTGCCCAATGATCTGTAATGTGACAGTTGCTAAGCCTTGTATTTAGGCAGCCTAATACCATCGGATCGCGGGTATTCATGCGCTAGTCTGACTTGGGTATTTGCAGACCCTGGTAAGCGTGGCTTAGACAGGGATTGAGTTGCGGGCGGGATAACCGGGAACTCTAAGATGTGAGAAGTCAGACGAACCACAGCCCTTGCAGGCTTGAACTGTGCAGTTTGTGTTCCTAGCACGTCATCAGATTTTGTAAAATATGTAAGCACTAGGGCTGAATGCGTTATTGAAGCTGACTAGTTAGTATGAAAGCTTTAATAACGAGCACGGAAATTCGGCAACTATATTGCTTCTTTGGTTGTCTTTGGACTGGAGGAATTATAAATTCGAGGAATCCGGCACCAAATAGAGAGAGCAAATACTAGTGAATTAGGTTTCACCATGCGAACAAATTACAAGTCTGGGGGCATTTCCCTCCTGGCTTTGTCTGTCTTCGCTCTTACATCCACCGCCGCAACCTTACCAACAACGACAACAGGAGCGAGTATCTCTTTGCCAACTCTCAGTCCTGTTCATTATGCCCAAACTTCTACGCTCTCTATCGAGTACTATGATTCTGCGCCTAAGAACGACACTGCTCCCGTCGCCATACTTATCCACGGATTCCCCTACTCGATAGATACCTATGTTGACGTTGTTCCGAAGCTTAAGAATGAAGGATATCGCGTCATCGTCCCGTCTCTTCGAGGATTTGGAAATACAACATTCCTGTCGACAACAACACTACGTAGCGCAGAGCAAGCTGCTCTGGGGAAAGACGTCATCGACTTGATGGACGCTCTCAAAATCGAAAAGGCCATCTTTGCAGGTTACGACTGGGGCACGGTTGTGGTCAATGTTGCAGCCGCGCTGTGGCCGGACAGGTGCTCAGGAATGGTCGCAGCAAACTCCTATCTCATTCAAAATCGCGAGACAGCCTGGAATGTTGCTCCCGCCAGCTCGTACCCAGTCAAATGGTACTACTACGTGTTCCTCACTCCTCCCGGATACAGCTCACTGGCTAGCGACACGAAAGGCTGGGCCGAAGTACTCTGGTCGAAAAATAGCCCGAACTGGACTTACACTGAGGGGCAATTAGACGCTGCAGCTCTAGCTTTCCATAACCCGGACTACGTGGATATTGCAACCAACTTCTATCGCAATCGTCTGCTTTATGCTCCGGGGGATCCTAGCTATGCGGAGCTAGCAAATGCGCTAGATAAGCAGCCTGTTATCACTGTACCCTCTGTCACTCTGGATCCAGATCAAGCTGTCGTTTTCCCGGCTACGAATGGTAGCACCACGGCAAAGTATTTCTCAGGGCCAAGAAAGCATCATATTGTGAATGGCTGTGGCGAGAATATTCCACTGGAAAGGCCCGATGTTTTTGCGAATGCGGTACTGGAGGTCGCACAGCTGGGGAAAGGGCGTTCGTAGCAGGCGTGATGTGATGATTCAAGAATTTGGCGTTGATTTAAAATGAAATTTGAATTAAAAAGAATCAACTGCTTGGGGTTTACGGCTCAACGGACAGTGTTCAATAACCGTACACGACTGACACGACAAGTCTCACCGGACAGACAATCTTGCAAAAATCAAGATTCAAACATGTAGAGTAGCCAGGAGTCTTAGGTTAATCAGAGCTTAAGTAGAAACGCACTGCAGTGTGGGCAGCTGTTGAATTTAATTCCTGACTCTTTCCATTCTGTCAAAGTGGTATATTGTTTCGGGGCAACTTTGGAACCTAAGCCAATTACCGTGTAGTCTTCCGAAACTTGAACCAGTTTGCAGACTTCTTTACAGGCTCCCTCACGATAGGTAGACTTTCTAAGTCCATGAAGAACTGGTCAGCAAACTTCCTAGAACCCGGAATTACCTCCTGAGTTCCGTATCTATCTTTGAACGTCAAGTTGCCAAAGAGGTATCGTGCACCGGCAACACTAGCACCATGCATGACCACCCCCTCTACTATCGACCGGAGCTCGTCAGACAAAGAAGATATCTTTATCAGAGCAGAATGCGAAGCCTCAATCATACGAAGAAGTCTTTCCCATGGCGACTACTCCTTGAGGTAGGGCACGGGATAGTTTGGATCAGCTTCCAGGCTAAGAAGGCACTGTACTATATCGACTTCAAACGATTCTGCGTGAAGTGAGTCCATGAGCAGCGGCCATATCATCGACCTGCCTTCGTGACAGGGCTTTTGCACTAAACATGCAATTTTGGCTCGGGCTTTGACGTAGCCCGTCACGCCATGGATGACTTCCAACGAGACAAAGTTTTCTCCAAATGGGGCATTGCCTTCATCCAGACTCCAATTCATATTTAGATACCGGCAAGGCCTTAGAGTAGAGCTCATTTTAGGTGGTTTCCTCCCTAGATGAACGCTTTTGTTGATAGGCGTAGCATATATAGAGGGTAAGACCACTCCCATATGATCAAGGATTTCAAGAATATCTTTCTGGTTGCTTGGCAGAGTTCTGGCTGCATGCCAAAGGCAAGAGTGCACAGTCTCCGTTGGATTTTGCGGTTGAAAAGACTTCACATATGCACAGTGGTCAATACATAGGCTGATATGAGGGTCGAAAGGCTGCTTGAGGCAAGATTGCAGGTACTTGGTCACCTTTTTGCTCTTGACAAAATCCTTCACGGTCCTGTGAAGGTATTGGATCGTCTGGTGAGCGCGTTTCTGAGGACTGCAAGATTGTGAACCCCTGTTTATCTCAAGAAGGCCTTTCCAGCGGCTGTTGAGACGACGAGCCACGGAATCTAGACGAAGGAGTAGGATTTCGTCTTCTATCGGCCTCGTGGCCATTTGTTGCACCGATTCCGCGTTTTCTTCGTCCGCAAATGAAAAGAGTATCATAGACAACGGCCATATTGACGCTTCTATGAACAACAGCATTTGAGCAGCATGTTCCAAGTAGAAGGGGTTAAGACTTCGTAACAGCCTATCGTATAAATCCTCAAGATCAGGAGGTAGTTGATGAAGACGCTTAGGAGATCTGTGATACGATCGCCATAGCTCATCCCTGAAAGTAGGGAAGCGACAACAAGATGAACCCAAAGAAAAACGCCGGAAGCCTTGGATACTATTTCTTGTATGAGCTGGTCAGCAAAACTGGGATCTCTGACCGCAAGCTTTTGAAATTCTGTGTTGCCGTGAAAGTTTGACGATACATAATGCAAAATGTCGTCGTACGTGAGGGTTTCGAGTCGAAGGTGTGATGTAGTTTCGAATGCGTCCTCAAACACAACCCAAGGTCAGCTCGCCACACAAAGCTTGACGTTCTTGTTCTGACGGGTGAGATCTCTGGTCAGAGCCACAAGCCCCTCATGGTCGCCTTCAAATTCGTCCAAGCCGTCGATAAATAGACAAAGCTTGTTATCTCTTGTTACTGCTCTCACAGCTAAAGTGAGAGCCAATTGAAGCTCTGCATCCTTCCAAGACCCAGGATTGAGGTCCAACATGGACAAAGATTCCCATCGAGAAGGAAGGTATCGGGTATCAATTCAGGGGCCAGGGACAGAATTCCGTACAGCAGCGACCGAAAAAGTCCTGCACGAGTTCTCTGGAGTCGCGATCCAAAGTTCCAGAAGTAGAATGAGGCAATGACAAGTTTCTTGCCGCCAGCCCACTTGTCCAGATAAGGTTTGCATCCTGGACTACGCTGCTTGGCGTTATGATGTCTGGGGTAGGAGGCAGAATTTGAATTCGCGCTTGATACAGTGGGTTGACAAATGTATTTCATCAGGGTTGACTTTCCTGAGCCAGCTTTACCGGTAATCCAGTAGACCTGGTCATCACTTTCGAGCCAGCGCTTGAGATTATAGCCGGTCTTTCCTTCAGAAGTGGTATCACGGAATGCCCACTCAAAAGTAGACTCGTAGGCTTTGGGAATCCGAACCTCGCGTTCGTCAATTGTTTCATACCGGAGGGCAAACAAGATCCGATCTCGGAGTACTTGCCGTCTTCTTGGTGATAAGGAAATGAGAGACGCCATATTGCTTTTCAATCCGGGATCTTCGTGGTAAATTTCTGTGACGAGGCCAGTACGCAAAGTTTCGGCTATCTGTGACCTGTCGGAGAAGCTCGCCTTGGAAGCTAAATGCTCTGGAATGGTGTTTGCGATGCCTTCTAGGTTACTCGTGCTTTCCTTCAAAATGCCTAGAGCATGGCGAGTAGTCTCCTGCTGGGACGAGCTTTGCGAAGCATATTGCCTGGTATATGGATATTAGCTACCTGTAGAGGGGAGGACTCGAGTTTAAAAAGAACTGACCGCAAAGAGACAAGAAGATGAAGATTAAACTGATTCCGAAATCCATCTAGTCTGGTCCTAAGCGACTCTATCTCGCCTTCGTCCCATATGCTTTGGAAAGCAACCTTAAGTGCATCTCGCTTGTGATACTTTTTTTTCAGGAGAAAGTTTCCGAAGGAGTGTTAGTAGCCGGGCTGCAACTTCTTTACATTCGTCGGCAAGGTGCGGGAGGCCATCATGGTGATTCTGCCGGCTGTTATCGTTTGAGAATGATTCCAAGGTTTTTAAGATTTGATCAAAACTAGTTGTAAGCAGCACCAACTCGCGAGAATGCTTTGCGCTTGCAGGTTCGCCGCGATATAGGTGCCATGCATACGCAACGAAAGCAGAGCCTGAGTCAATAAACTGCAAGATCGTGCCCGCAAGGCTGAATGCGGATATTGGGTCCATTATCAATCTTGTTTAGTTTTCGGCGCAGCGTGACGTCGGCAACCACCCCGCTGCGTTCCTGGAGGAGGGTTGGTTTAATTCGGAAAACAGAGAGATCATACGAGGGCTTGATAGGACGGATATTAGGCGCAATACAGTATTAACAAAACTGATAGCGGGGGTTTGATGTGAGAGGTCCTTTGGTCTTGGGGCTGAAATACGCAGATGGTCAGGCGGTCAAGCCCCTGTCAACGTCAAGATAAACAAGCTATGATCGTCCAGCACTGCCCACATTTGTGGCAAGATGGGGAGGGCGCTAAATTCTTTTTCATTCAAGGCGTATAGACTAGTATGCATTAGGACCGAATTAGATCAAGAGGAATTGTTCGAGGGTCAAAAAGATCGGTTGTCTCGAATAGAAAGATGCAATCGAGGGCAGTTTGAAAGAACGTATGAATACTTGGTGGTTGCACAGTACAGAGGTTCTTGCCTAGGCTCTTAGAGCCCCAGGGGCTAAGACCGCAGCTTGATGTTTGGGGAATCCAAGGATCAAGAGTCGGTGAGACAGATCGACAGATTGGTCCACCAGCCTTTGAGCCTCACTCTGGCTGAGTAGCGTTGTAGCGACCCCCTTCATGTTACATGACCTAGTGCTAGATGTACTTCAAATTATCTCCCTTTGTTTTTACTAGCCCCTATTTATGCTATTGCCATCATCCATTGAAACGGTGGGTGCCTTGTGGCCTGACAGGCCATGAGCAACAATTCACCGCCTTTGTAGACCACAAGGCGGTGTGAATAACTCGGGCAGTACAGCTTGAATACCAAAAAAAAATCTCATGTCTGCCCAACCAACTGCACAAGACGAGTACATAAGTCTCCATCGAATGATCGAGTCATTCAAAAGAAAACCAAAAAGAAATGACTCCGAATAGGGGAATCGAACCCCTGGCTGTCGTGTGAGAGACGACGATGTTAGCCACTACACCAATTCGGATGGGCTTGTTAGAGAGACTCCATTTTGTGGAACTATGGAGCTGCGAAAAGTTTTTTCATCGCCTAATCCGGGAATATGGAACGCCACTTCTACACCATTGGATAGCGATGTATTGGTTACAGTACTAAGTTTATGCTTCAATTGAATAACAAGAACTAGCTTCAAGATTGGAACGAATTACATCCCTGTCTTTTTCGTGGAACCCTCAGCGAAAAGCCCAGTACCAGCTAGCACTATCCACATCGGTTGAACTTGCAACAGGTGTAATGAGGATATCTGTGGAAACAAAGATGCACGTTATGATTCGCTGGGCATCGAAGCGTGTAATCCAGACAGGAACAGCAAACTGGGCAGCGGGATCTAGGCGTCCGTCTTATCTCGCCGTGGCAATAGCAAAAAGCATTACGATCGCCGCCATGCGTACGTCTTGGGATGTGTTCATTTAGGCATGCAGACGTGCAGAGTGCAATATGAACGTCTTGTTTCTGGACTGGACAAGACGATTGAGACTGGGAGAGCCGATATGGTAGATGTAGATGGTCGTATTTTCTGTCCTTGCATCTCGTCGTCGGCGAGATACTGTACGGACAGGGGCATCTGTCGGCATATCGTATGCATTCGGAAGCTTTGCTATGACAGCAGTAGGCAAAGTACTTGGGATGATCCCATTCGTGGTGCCGAACATAGTTTGCGTAGTCAGCCTTGCTTTGGGCTTCGTGGGTCCTACTATAGGCCCCCAGAATAGGTCAGTTCGCCGACTAGCATGGAAAAATATATACTCCGCTGCACATACGACTTTTGACAGCAAGAGCTGCATGTACTGCAATCATGTAGGCAGCAATAACAAGTCTCCATTCTGGCTTCTTGCTGGTGCTGGGCTGGTCGCACCTGACAGCCTTTATTCCGACAAGGATCGTCATTATGGGCGCGGTGATAATGAGCTGAATCATACATGATTGAGAGAAGAAAGCATGTATGAGGCAAGACTAGGTTTGCGAAAATGAGCTGGCTGCAAGCTATTGAGAACTTGAGAGGAAAAGAAATGTTGGAATATTTGGCCAACTCGACCGAGCTATCTACCCTTATACCTCGATCGGGGAGTCTCGAACGAAAAGGACTAAAAAATGAGGCTTAAAAACTACATGCGGCAGAGGTGGTACTAAACACGGCATGAATGCAGTTTGTTCTTTCCCCCTGTATTACTTATTGCCTAATTTTCTATGACCGTGAGAAAGTGGTGATCTTGGCGGGGACCTGCAGAGTAAAGTCGCACTCGGGCAGAACTGCCTTCCTCACGTCTATCCCATGGGTCTAGTCGTTTTTTAAAGTAGTGGTCCGACGTTGCTCAGACTTCCAATGTAGCATTGTACCTATGATAGAGTCGTAAGATATTTTGACATGTATGATTGCCCTCGCCTTGTCACAAGCCCAGTTCGTGTACCTGTCAGGCAGACAGCGATTCTTTATTCACCAGCAGAACAGAGCCCGACGAGGTGGAAAGCTCATTACTGTAAGTCATGGAGGGGGTGTATCGTTGAACCCATTCCTTCAGAATTGCAAAGAAAGCATCGCAGACAGCCTTAACTGCGTCTTCGCGAGAGTCGCCACAGCATTCGATGTAGACTGGAAATTATTAGAAAGAGTTTCCAAAAAAATGTCGCAGAGGAAATAGAAGGATTAAAAACTTACATTTGACCTTTGGCTCGGTGCCTGAGCCGCGGAGCGTGAAGCGCAATCCACCTTCCAGCCACAACGTAATCATCTGACTGGTTGGGTCTTCGGGCAAATCAGGCTTATGATCAGCCGATGCAGTGTCATATCCTTCAGTCAAATCTCTCCATCGCAGAATCTTGAACTTGCCAAGCTGCATATCAGGAAGGAAAGAGCCACTCCTAATTCCACGGAACAGCTCAAGGGTAAGCTGGGGGCTTGGAGATCGGAAGTAGTTGTTCAAAGTTTCATGATGACCAAACTCTGCGAAGAGTTGTTGAAGCTTGCCGAATACGGTCAAACCCTGAGCCTTCCACTTTGCAGTTGCCATGGAGAAGACTGAAAGAGCGGTGATGCCATCTTTGTCATAACTGACCGCGGGGAACATGTAGCCAAGCGCTTCCTCATAAGCAAATGGCACTGTCTGTCCGGTCTTCTCGAGATCTTGGGCTACATTTCCCATCCACTTGAAGCCAGTCAAGGTCTCCTTGAATCGAATGCCTTTAGATTCAGCCATTTTCTCAAGCATTCCACTCGACACAGTCGTCGTAAGAACCGTAATTTTCGAGGTATCCACATTCGAGCCAATGGTATCGAAAAGATGGGATGCGAAAAGAACGCCAACATGGTTTCCTGTGAGGAGGAACCATTTACCACTGTCATAAAGTCAGTCTCCAGTACTTTCAAATAGAGCGGATTCGGGCTTCTTACTCGACTTTCTCGGCCACTGCAAAACGGTCTGCATCTGGGTCGTTGGCGAAGATCAAAGTTTTGTTTTGTTGATCGGCCACCTGGATTGCGAGATCTAGAGCTCCCGCCTCTTCAGGATTGGGGAACTTCACGGTTGAGAAGTCGGGATCTGGCTTTGCTTGCTGGGGCACAATGATGTACTCTTTGTCTTCTTTCATGCCCAATTCTGTCAAAAGGGAGCCAATTCGAATAGCGCCTACGCCATGCATGGGGGTATAAACAAATGGTCGGTGCGGATATATCTCTGAAACAGTTGATGTCTAGATCATGCTCATTAGTAACAGTTCTTGGGTCAAGACTCATATTTGACGACCAACCGCGTATTCTTTGACTCGACGTTGAAACGGAACGAGGATCTCCTGGAGGGCTTCTTCGTCGAAATACTCCCCAGAGCGTCGTCCTTCCTCCCAGGCATTTGGCCAAGGTTCCAGATTTTCAAGGATTGACCGCGCGATCTCGCCATCCTCGGGCCTGTTGATCTGTGCACCATTGCCGGAGTAGCTGAGAATCAGAATGTTAAGTCAGTCCTACAATATCTCCAGAGGGGTCCTCGAGGGACCTACACTTTATAGCCTAGCAAAAAGGTCAGCAACTCGGTTTTGACTCTACGCAAAGGGCATTTGTCTTACCATTATCTTGAGGCGGGTTCTGTTCAAGGGTTTCAAATTCTTTGTTAGCAAAACCATACAGTCTATGAGGTGGGCTGTCTATCAGGGCGTACGTGGCTTGCAGTTACTACTACGCCTGCGGCAGCTCCGAAGTGATACACTCCAAAGGCAACCAGAGGGGTTGGCGCCGACTCGTCAACGAACTTGACGGGAATTTGTAGCGCAACGAAGGCATTGGCAGCGAGTTGAGCAAACTTGTGGGAGTAATGGCGAGCATCATGTCCAATAATGACACCTTTGGAGGCGACTTCTGGACCTTTGCTTTGAATATGCTTGGCGAGTCCCTGTGAAGCTTGGATCACCGTCAAACAGTTCATGTAGGTGAACCCAGCAGCCATACGGCCGCGCAATCCCGCTGTGCCGAATTCAATTCCTAGAGATGGTTAAAGGATTTGCGCTAAGACAGCCACCGGGATCGACGTACGACTCCGGAGGCGCAGCTCCAGCTCTTTGGTGTGGTTGGCATCCCGCAGCTGTTCTATTTCCGCGCGAGTCGTGGGGTCCTATATCCGAGTCCAGGCCGGTGAGATCAGGCACCAAGAATTTATAGAAGAAGGACAAGATATCATCTACCTGGTCCCACTGGAGCCATGTTTCAACTAAAGATGAGAGCGATTCCTGTCTGAGTTAGATCTCACCATCAGACAAATGACCGAGGGGGAAATTACCTGAGCCATGTTGATCATACCATGCGTTGGTTGTAGAAAGTACTGTAGTTGGTGGGCGGGCGGTGCACGTTCTCTCGTTGTTGACTCGACAGTCACGGGCGACCGCGGCCGATCAGTCCCCGCTTGTTGACTCCACCTCCTCCGCCCCTGCTACATTTCTGGCTTTCGTCCACTTGGCGTCTTTGCATTTATTTTCTCTGTTCCCTGCAAGTCCTGCCATCAACTGCATCTCCTAGTTCAGAGCCATGTTTCCTTGAATTTATCGCCTGCAGTTTCGGACTCTGAGACCCGTTCCAACTCATCCGCTCCCACGTCGCAACTACCACCAACGATGGACAAGACCGCTTCCCGACCGTCCCGGAAGGACACTGTCCTGAGTCGCCGGTATATTGAGGGACAGATTGCGGAGGGAAAGCATGTTGTTATCTTCGAGGGCCGCGTCCTGAAAGTGGATGCTTACATGAAGTTCCACCCTGGTGGTGAGAAGCCCATGAAGCATATGGTGGGCAGGGATGCGACAGATGAGATCAATGCGTATGTCTATCCCCTGGTGGCCTACCTCCTACACATTCTAATTGAGTGGTTCTTTCTTCATTATAGACTTCACTCGAAAGAGGCCCGCCAAATCATGCTTTCGTATCAGATCGGTCGAATCGAAGGCACCTGGTCCAATTTCCTCCCTCCCATTCAAGGTGGCAAGTTCCGCCCTTACATCGAAGACGCCTGCTCGACCGAAGAGGACCTGTCCATACGAGACAACTCCAGCTCGGAAGGGTCTATTCCCCCATCGCCAATCTTCGATCCGGTCGACTCAAATACCACAATTCGTCGAAAGAATCCCTCTCCAGACACAGACAGTTCTGCCGTCTCAACACCTCCAAACGAAGATGACCAGCCGAGGCCACATTTCCTGGATGCTCGTACAAGAGAAGAGATTGTGTTTGATACGACCAAATACCCATCATTGGACACTGCGAGCCAAGAGAGTATCAAGCGGAAATATCGGGACCTGAATGAGCGTATGCTCGCCGAAGGGTTGTTCGACTGCAACTACATGTCCTATTTCATCGAATGCTGTCGCTACACTCTTTTCGCTTCTCTATCCTATATCTTCTTGCGCCTCGGCTGGTGGGCAATGTCTGGATTTTGGCTTGGTTGCTTGTGGCACCAACTTGTGTTTACTGCCCATGATGCTGGCCATATGGGTATCACACACAACTTCCACGTGGATACCATCATTGGTATCATTATCGCCGACTACATTGGTGGGTTGAGTCTGGGATGGTGGAAACGAAGCCATAACGTGCACCACATCGTGACCAACGAGCCCGAGCACGACCCGGATATTGAGCACATGCCCTTCTTTGCGATATCCCATCGGTTCTTTGACAGCCTTCAGAGTACCTACTATGACCGCAACATGACCTTCGATGCCTTTTGCAAAGTGATGCTGAAGATCCAGCATTATTCCTACTATCCTATCATGATGCTGGCTAGGTTCAACCTCTACCGTCTTAGCTGGGAGTACCTCATTAAACGCCAAGCTCCAAAGAAGGGTCCTGCTAGGTGGCATGTCTGGTTGGAGTATGGTGGTCAACTATTCTTCTGGTACTGGTACTGCTACCTCGTGGTATACAAGACCATCCCAGACTGGAGCAGCCGGCTTACGTTTATCATGGTCTCCCATATTATTTCGTCGCCGCTGCACGTCCAGATCACCCTATCCCATTTCGCTATGTCCACGGCCGACCTGGGTATTCACGAGTCCTTTGCCCAGAAGATGTTGCGTACTACCATGGACGTCGACTGCCCTACTTGGCTTGACTTCTTTCATGGTGGTCTGCAGTTCCAGGCCATCCATCACCTCTACCCTCGCATGCCGCGCCACAATCTCCGCCGCGCTCAGAAGTACGTTACCGAGTTCTGTCGCGACACTGGCATTCCATACGCCCTCTTTACTTTCTATGATGGCAACAAGCAGGTCATCGGCCGGCTTGGTGATGTGGCAAAGCAGCTCCGCATTCTCGAGGAGTGCCGCAAGTCGATTGCCAAGGAGGGTGTCTTCTCGCATCACCATTGAAATGTTTCCTAAAATGTATTGCACAAGCTGCATATGATGAACCAGCGCTTCTTAGCGCCTTAGACCACTATCTTATAGCTGTATGAGTGCTCCTCGATACGACAATGAATCAAATGTCTCTTTTATGTCTAGCAATGACGTATCGATTGTACACATGGATATCGCCACCGCTCTATAATGGATATGCAAATGTCGTAGATAGAAAACAAAGAGGATATCTGTATTCCACGCAAATCATGCCTCGATTACCGTAAATGCGTCTCCAGCTTCCTAATCATCAGCCTGGCAAGCCTCCTCCCCGCGCGATCTTCTTAGCTCGCTGCTGCCGGCGATTATGATTCGCCCGGCTGGCCTTATTTTGCTCCTTCCTTTGATGCGCCACAGCACTATTCTGCTGCCCCTGTTCACCCGATTGAGGCGGACGACCACCTCCCCGGCCACCCCTCCCACGTCCTCTTGCTCCTCCACCGCGTCCACCACCACCTCGTCCTCCACGACCGCTGGTGTAGCCCGAAGACTCCCCCTCGTCAGAATCAACCTCTGTGGGATGCGGTCTCCTATACGAGGTTGGAGCTAGTTCGGGTTGGTTCAATGCACCACTGCCCGCTCCGCTGATATCATCAGCGAGCTTGTTCTCCAATTTTGCGAGTCGCTTGGGGTCTCGCGATAACATGACTGCCCAGCCTTCGATAGCTTCGTCCGTCATGTTGGTCTCCTGCTTGAGCAAGGTGCGGGGCTGGGAGCGACGGGTTGTGGAGTCCCGAGCAAAGATGGCCGCATTTGACTTGTAGGCGCGGAGAAGGACGAGATCGATCTGCTCGGCTGCTGCGCGCTGATTCCGTGCAACTGCATCGGCCTCGGCGTCTGTGCCTGTCGTGGCGCTGTCAACGGTTCCGCCTACATCTGCAACGTCGTAGGTATCATCTCGTTCGTCATCGTCTGAGTCAAAGGTTGCTAGGGCTGATAGAATTGCCGCCTTGTTGATTGCGTGCTTGCTGCGGTCTGCGAGGACTTCGTCCGCAGTAAGCTCGGGATTGGCACGGCCAAATCGCAGTTTTCCTTCTGCATCCCCTGAGAGACTGAGCTCTGCAATGTCGACGTCATCGTCGAAGACATTCCTGCGAGACGGAATTGGTTCTGCGCGCGGCGAGGGGATGGCTGGGGGTGTTGGTCGGGGTTCTAGATGGGCATGACTGGGTTCGGCTGCTGAGGGAAGTTGTTCAGATCGATCCAGAGATTGGAGTTCTGGGGTGAGCGAGTCATCCAAGAGATGCGAGATGACTGTCTCCGGATTGTCGCCGTAGGTGTCAAGTAGTCTCACGACAAATGCAGAGCCGAGGTCCGGGAAGAGATCCTGCACCTGTGATACGAGCGACATCTTGTGTGCATGAAGCTCTTCTGGAATGACAGGGTCTGTTGCCAGTCCTTTGCCTTTATCCACCCTTTTCCGCCTTTGATATCGGTGATGGAAGGGGCTCGTTTCCATTTGATACAGTCGTAGACTGGCCAGAAGATCCTCGCCTCGTTTTTGAGGATGGCTTGCAAGGTGCTTCTCCAATCTCTGTAGCAGATCTGAGCTGCACACAAGGTCTGATAGCAGAGTTGCCTCCTTCTTCATTCCGGGAGTGCCTACTCCTGCACTGGCCTTGAGGCTGAATAATTGGTCCAGCAATAAAGACAAGTTGATAGTTGTCTCCTTCAGTAAAGACACCAGCCCGACATATACATTGGCAACCAAGATCTTGCGCAGCTCTTCCCGGGTAGCCTTTGCTCGATAGGCTTCGTAAAGAGTATCGAGATAATCTGATCCAGCCATGAGGATCTGGCCACAACTCGGTAAGACAGAGGCCAAAATCGTCAAGCGTCGAATATTGGAGATAACTTCAAGGGCTGCTGATTTTCCTGACATGGATATTTGCTTCATCACGAGTGATTTTGCCTTCTCTATGCTGGAAGATATCTTCTCATGATGCAAATCCCAGGCAGCTGATAATGACGTCTTCAACGCTGTGCTGGAAGGGTAGCAGCAACACAGATTGCTCAGAAGCTGCCAGCTTAAAAAACCTTCAGGTGGACTTGAAAGGCTCAGTAGATATCGTCTTGTGGTGAGAAAACAGAGCTTCCGTAATTGTCGAGCTTTAGGTCCAGATTGTAGACTCGAGTCTCCCGCCGCCGCATGTTGATAAAATGAGTCCAGGAACGAGACCACCGAGAGGTCATCGGGAGCTGTATCTTTAAATTTTTGATCCGTGACACTCAGTCGAATGCCGAGCAACGTCATCCATGCATCTAGGCAGGCATCCCAGTCGTTAGATGGAATGGTCCTCCGCACTGCGGGGGAGGGCACTGGGGCCAGCGGCGGGAACTCCGCCATTGACGTGATTAATATGTGGGACAAGATAGGTGAAATCGAGGCGATGGATGAGAAGTAAAAAAGAGAGGATCCAAAATCCGAAAATAATCAACACGAAGAGAACACAACACACATCCCACACGAGGCTTTGCCGCACCTTAACTGGTTACTGCATTTGGTCCCCGAACGGGCGCTGACTCAGCTTTAGATGAGTCAGCACATGCTCCCCAAAACGGACTAGCGTGCGATAACCGAAGCGCCAAGATTTCCCGCACTGAATCTTTTCGCTTCGCTCCACACACAATCTTTATCGGCCCATCATCACCTTACCGAACCCAGCAGTTCAGGTCTTGACCGGCATTCCGTCTAAATCACCCCATCAATCAACTCAAGATGTCTTTCCAGAAGCCCGAGAAGGAGTTCGGCGAGGGCCCTGTACGTTACACCCTACAATGACCGCCCGCCATATCGCATAGCACATACTTCGTCGCCGGCGCATTGTTGTGCGCGAGCATGTCGCTGTCGACAAGTACACACGAATTGCAGGCTTTCCAGATCACTAATGCCCTCTACAGAAGGTCCACAAGATCCGCATCACCCTCACCTCCCGCAAGGTTGCCTCCCTCGAGAAGGTCTGCCAGGAGCTGATCGACCGTGCTCGCTCCAAGTCCCTGCAGGTCAAGGGCCCCGTCCGTCTGCCCACCAAGACCCTGAACATCTCCACCCGTAAGACCCCCAACGGTGAGGGTTCCAAGACCTGGGACAAGTACGAGATGCGCATCCACAAGCGTCTCATCGAGTAAGTTTCCCCCGGACTCGTCAATATGGACATGGCGGGGCATTGAACCCGTCGCGTACCATCTACATGGTCAAGAATATCCTGGCTAATTGTTTTCCTCTAGTCTCCTCGCCCCCACCGAGACCGTCAAGCAGATCATCATCAACATCGAGGCTGGTGTTGAGGTTGAGGTCACCATTGCTGCTTAAATGCACTAGTTCCGCAATGGAATCAGGGAGGGTCTCGGGATCGATTGTCTATAGTGCCGAGCGAATTGCCGGCTCTCGAAAACGGTTGGTCGTTTACTACGAGCCGATATTGGAATATTGTGGTAGATACCCGCTACAACCTGAAAGACAAAAAAATGGAAACATCTTGAGAAAATAATGCTTTGTGCCATTGTAGAGGCTACCGGCCGTCGTAACTTTGCATTGTCATTCATAATAGCTAATTGTTATTGCACTTGCGAAATGCTACGGTATCTGCAATTCGCCTAACTCCGAGAACGCCCTCGCCATATCTGGTTCACTAAGAGACACGTCTCCCAGTGTTGTCCCTCGACGAAAGAAAAAGAAAGAAAGATGAAAAAGAAGATGAAACGAAAGGTGCAAATCATGCTTTGTTTGGTTAACCCGCATGGAAACCGTGTTTCATTGAAAGACGGCTAGAAGTCGAAACTGATCTGGTCTCTCCGTGGGGGGACAGGCGGAATGATACCGTCCTTGAAGTAGCCATTCTCATGGAAGAACCTGTACATCGCCTCAATTTCTGGAGAATAATCCCCAGGGTTCGGCTGAGAATCACGCAAGCTGGCCTCTTCTGGCGGACCATCCGGGAAATGGATAGGAACGTAGGTCTTGTTGTCCTGAGGGTGGAGGTAGCAGGGGGCATCGTTGATGTACTGCACCGGACGACCCTTCCACATGGTGAGGCGATTGCTGCTAGGATCACGTCGAGTCTCGCCCTTAAGTAGTGGGAGAGGATTTAGCGCATCGGGATCATCAATTTTGAGGAATGTAGGAGGGCCAGTATGAGGATGCTCGACGACCACGCCCTGCGGAGCCGCAGGTTGACCAAAGGCCGCGGGCTGCTGCTGCTGTGTAGAAGGGGCACCAAAGGGATTGGCTGGGGTAGATGGCTGTCCGAATGGAGTGGCCGCAGGGGGTTGCTGTTGCTGCTGTGGGACTTGGCCGAACGGCGATGCGGTCTGGGCAGGTTGCCCGAAGGGCGCAGCTGGTTGACCAAAGCCACCCGTTGCTGGTGCAGGCTGTTGCTGAGCAGATGGCTGTCCAAATGGCGAAGGTCCCGGGGGGGCACTGAAGCCCGTAGCAGGTTGGTTCTGTGGGACCTGTGTGAATGGAGAAGCACCCGAGGGCGCACCGAATGCACCAGTTGCCGGAGCAGCAGGCTGGCCAAAGGCAGGTTGGCCGAACGCAGACTGGGTATTTCCGGGTTGTGCGAGCCCTGGCTGGCCGAATGCTGGCTTTCCAAATGCGCTTTGTCCACCACCGATATTTGAAGGCTGGCCAAAAGCGGAACCCTGACCCAAGGTAGATGGCTGCCCGAAGCCCGAAGCCTGGCCCATGACCGAGGGCTGTCCGAAGGCCGATGACTGCCCGACAGTTGATGGCTGTCCGAAGGCAGACCCCTGCTGTCCGAGTGTAGATGGCTGACCAAAGGCCGAAGGCTGTCCGAAGCCCGAGGGGGCGTTAGCGGTTCCGAAAGTGCCAGTGGCTGGACCAGCTGAAGGTTGGCCAAACGGCGATTGTTGAGCTCCAAGTGTAATATCGATGCGGTTGGGGTGTTCATTGGCGCCGTCGATAATGTATTTCATAGCACCGTCGAGGTCATTGAAGGCGGAGTCCATTTGATTCACGGACTCTTGCCACAAGGCTTGTGCCTCCTGGACGGCCTGATCCATGCTCCCCGCGGCTGTCATTTCATAGTGGCGAAGGCGCATCTCTTCCATGCTCAGCTCTCGCTGAGGACCCCCGAACAGCTGACGCGGGACATTGCGAGTCGGCGCGTAGGAAGAGAAGACCCACTCTGGTCTCTTTCCAGCCATGAGGTCGGCTTTGATGTCGTCAGCGTTCATGCCATAGCTGTGCCTTGATATCAGTACAGTGAAACTTATTGTTGCATCATAGGGGATGCTCACTCTGAGGTTTTCTGGGTCGACCCTGCCGGCTGGCCTAGATAACGGCGTAGGTTAGCGAATCGCTTAGCGAACCAGGTCCAGATAGTACGCATGATGTTGGGGTCAAGTTGCTGAATTCCCGGATGGAAAAGCAGAGAGCCACAAGATCCAAGCAGATGCGAGACCAGAGAGAAGGATTGTGCATGTATAATGAATAAAGAGCTGGAGGTGATCGAGACTGAGCTTTAGACCTTGCCGGCGCGGAGTAAGGCAAACGTTTCCGCCATAGACTTGCACCGGCTCATCCACAATCGATCGTAGGTCTTTCTTCCGATTCAAAGGGTTCCTTACCTCCAAATCCTCCGCCAGAGAGTGCACCAAACCGGTTGCCAGATGTGCCGGCCGTGGCACGGCCAGGATGTTCATACTTGCAGCGATCTGACCAGACATCAGCAGCGTTCTTCTTAAGTAGCATACATTCCGAGGGATAACTCACCGCCAAACCTGCAGCGCCCTTGCTGGAAAAAGGAGCAGACCACCATCTTGATGCCGTCACCGCATCAAATCCCGCGTTTGTCGCGACGGACGTCGATTTGATATTGCGATCCTGTGGCGCACCACGGAATGTGAATCAAGAAGGGACTGTGTTAATCTCAGGTTTGAAGATCTCACGGTGAAATGAAGGGCAAAAAGGAGAGGGAGAGGAAGCAGGTGTGGTTGAGGAAGAGATGAGGTGTTGACAAAAGAACAACCGAAGCTGTTTTTTGGAGTTGTCGCGAATCTTATCGGCAGGCTTGTTATCAGTGCCTTATCGATACCGTTATCGAGAGCTACCTGTTTGAGTTAAGTAGTCTTTTCGTGTGGCCTAGAAACTGGTCTCTGGCGTCATTATTCGCTATGTCCTTCTAAGTATTCAGTAAAGGCATTGTTACTCATTTGCAACAGAGAGGAAATGGAAACGATCCAGCATTTCTTAGGTAAAGTTCATTGTGGTGCCAACGATCGTCGGATTCAATACATCGCGGGTAACCTCTAGCCAGTGGAAAAAGCCAAAATATATATGGAAACTGGAACCAGGGCTGCCCTATGGGAAGATGAAGGTTCCAGCGGGACAGTGACGGGCTTAAGTTGTTTAAAATGGATACAATAGTTAGGTTTTAGCAGGCCAGAAAAATTTGGAACTTCCGGTTCGCCATGATCAAAACCTAAATTCAGTGAATTTGGAACTCCAATTGATCGCTTATTCAATTCTTAAGATCATTAAAAAATTGTTCATGTCAAGAATCCTAGCGCACTAGGAAGGGTATACGTTTTGTGTTTGACGCATGCTCTCGCGCAGTGTATCCCAGTTCAACCCATCTACCTTCTTGCCGCCCAGGGATTCCAGCTCTGTCCCAAGGCCGCTCATCTGCCCAGTGGCCAGGCGTCGCATCATGACGGTATCCTTTGCCCCGGGGAAGGATTTGGCACCTCCATGCAGCAAGGTTTCCTCGAACCATTCTTCTTCATCCTCTCCCAATGGCAGGCCGACAAGCTCCATCGCACGCTTGCTTCGTGTCTGGCCCGCCGGTGTCTTGTGTACAAACTCGACTAGTTGCTCGAAGTAACTGCGACGTTGCAACTCGTCGTATTTTCGTGTAAAGTAGAATGCCTCAGTCACATTTGACCGACAAAGGGTGTCAAAGAAGGCCCGCTGGACCTTCTCAGTGGCGAGAGGAGGAGCGGCGGTGAGGTAGTAGGCGATGGCGAGACTATCGTCATGCTTGGGAAGTTGCGAGAGAGTCAAGACATAGAGAATCTCATCGGGGAAAGTTGGAATTAGGGAGGGTTCGGCAAGGAATTCGATTGCGCGCTGCAACTTGTTAGAATTATCATAGCAGTCCGGGGGGCGGAGTGGTGAACGAACTCTGAATTCAAGACGGTCCAAATTCCAGAGTCCCTCAATGAAGAGACGATATTTCTCCGGTAGGTGACAGTCTTGGGCAAAATGCGCCGCGGCGTCTGGCGCACTGCGACAGTCTTTGAGAATGTAATAAATCAAGGCCTGCTTGTGGTGGATATCTAGTTCCGAGGAGACAATGTGTTCGATGAGCGATCGGAGGTCGCCATTGGTCTTCGGCGGATAGACCTTGGTCACTGCGACAGAGAAGGAGTGAGTCAGTCCGTTTTCTCTTCATCTAGGAAGCTTTTTTTAGTGGCCGGACCTCCTTTGATGCCAGCTAGGGCAAGTAGTCGATCAGCGAAGAGCTGGTTCTCTAGTGCCTTGCGGTTCGAGATGATCTGGTCGACCACCTTGGTGTCGTATGAATATTTCTTGTTGAAGCTGAAAATGTGACTGAAATCCTCCCACTGCGCCATTTTTGATCTGTGATTCGGGACGAAGTTGGTGAAGCTCGCAAAGAGAAGTTGCAGAGCTCTCGAGGGCTTCCTCCGCGGAAGGGTAATATTACGATGGTAATCTTACCGGGCGGTGAGGGCTTTGTTATGAGCGAAAGACAGCACCTTGCCTGTTTGGGCGGAACGTAAACAACCCACTTTCCCGCCTGCACCTCTGCGATCCATCTTTTTCCCCTCATCTCATCACCCTCACCCCCCTCTTTCCGCCATTTACCCCTCGCGCCCATGAATCTGGCGCCGAACTGATCAATCTTTGCGACAAAACATGTCTTCGATCGCAAAGGGTCGGCCCTCGCGCCGCGCAGCCGCGCGCCGGAGCTATGTGGTCGAAGAGACCTCCGAATCAGAGGACCCCGGCAACGTCACGCCCACGGTATCGATGCAAGACGACGACGATGACGATGATGATGAGAGCGAGGAAGAGCAAGATTATACCCCCGTCCCCAATAAGTCGAAGCGCGCATCTGGGAAACGGTTGACTCTAGAACCCGTCACACCTGCCACCGTGAAACCGGCGCAAAAGTCACGACGGTCCAGAGCGTCCATCGCACCAGAATCGGAGGAGTCGGATGCCTCCCAGGCCGAAGAAACGGATGAAAATGACGAGAATGATGGGGAGGGACTCAGTATCGCCTCCGTGGTGGCCGACCCCGATTCTCCCTCAAATCAGGCAGCATTGAAGCGGAAGAGCATCGAGCCTGCAGAGGCCGATCCTGCTTCGCCTTTGAATAAGGCGGCACTAAAAAGACAAAGTATGACTCAACCCCTCAAGAGTCGTGGCTCGATCCCACCCAAGTCGACAAAGGGCTCACTTCCCACTCCAGAGCCGTCCGCGTCGCCAGAGCCCACTCCAGCGCGCGCTCATCGGGAAAGTGTGCCACCTCTGTCCGACATCACCGAGTCCGCTGTGAACAACCCGTCTCCGTCGAAACAACCCGAAGAGCCGAAATCCCAAATCTCGATCATCAACCCGAACTCGACTATCCTGGAGAAGCCAATGGACATCGTGATGAAGTCGAGGAACATGGCAATCCCTGCGGCAGCGGAGGAACCTGCGGAAGCGAAGCCTCGCATGATCATCCAAAATTTGATTCTGACAAACTTCAAGAGTTATGCCGGCAGGCAGGTTGTCGGCCCGTTCCATGCCTCTTTCTCCTCCGTGGTTGGTCCCAACGGTTCGGGAAAGTCCAATGTTATTGACTCGCTGCTATTCGTATTCGGTTTCCGTGCTAGCAAAATGCGCCAAGGCAAGATTTCTGCCCTGATCCATAATTCGGCACAGTACCCCGACCTCTCTTTCTGTGAAGTCGAAGTCCATTTCGAACAAGTCCTCGACCTCCCCGAAGGCAGCCACGAAGTCATTCCAGATTCCCACTTGGTTATTTCCCGACGAGCCTTCAAGAACAACAGCAGCAAGTATTATATGAACAAGAAGGAAACTAGCTTCACCGCCGTGACGACCTTCCTCAAGGATCGCGGCATTGATCTCGATCATAAGCGGTTCCTGATCTTGCAGGGTGAAGTCGAATCGATTGCGCAGATGAAGGCCAAGGCCGCAAACGAGCACGACGAGGGTCTTCTTGAATACCTGGAAGATATCATTGGAACTTCTAAGTACAAGACCCCCATCGACGAAGCTGCCACCGAATTGGAATCCTTGAACGACGTGTGTGTTGAGAAGAACAATCGTGTTCAGCACGTCGAAAAGGAGAAGACTGCGCTTGTGGATAAGAAGGACAAGGCTCTGGCTTACCTTCGCGATGAGAATGAACTCGCCGAGAAACAATCAGCCCTTTATCAAATCTACATCAACGAGTGTGCTGATAACGTGCGTGTCACCGAGGAGGCCATCCTTCAGATGCAAGAGCTTTTGAACATGGAGCTTGAAAAGCACGAGGGTAACGAGTCGGGTATCAAGGAGCTCGAAAAGGCCTACAAGCGCGGTGTTCGTGAATATGAAGGCATGGAGAAGGAGTCGCAAGCCCTGGTCAAAGAAATGGCCAAGTATGATAAGGAAAATGTCAAGTTTGAGGAGAAAAGGAAGTTCCTCCTTGGCAAGCACAAGAAGCTGGAGAAGACCATGCAGACCAGCCGCCTTGCTGCGTCCGAGTGTCAAAGCCTAGTTGAGAAGTTCTCTGACGATATCGAGAAAAAGACCAATGAAACGGCTCAACTCGAGAAAGAGATGAAGGCTGAAGAGGAAGAGCTGGACTCGATCCGCGAAAGCCTCAAGGGCAAGACCCAGGGCCTCTCCGAACAGATTGCAGTGAAGCAGAAATCTCTCGAGCCTTGGAATGAGAAAATTAATCAGAAGCAATCTGCCATGGCTGTTGCTCAGAGCGAGCTCGACATCCTGCACGAGAGAAGCAATGCCGGTGCTGTCCTGTTGGAGGAAGCTCAAGCCAAGATTGCGACCATCGAGGAAACGATTCAGACTAAGGAAAACGACCTCGAGGAACGACAGGCCCAGAAGGAGACCCTAGAGGCAGAGCTCGCGAAGCTCCAGAGCGACTTGAAAAAGTACGCTGCTCGTGAGCCAGAAGTTCGTGCCCACGTCTCCAGCGCTCGACAAAAGGCCGACGAGGCCCGGGTCAGCTTGGCGAGCACGCAGAACCGGGGCAGTGTCTTGACCGGTCTCATGCGACTTAAGGAGTCTGGTCGTATCGACGGATTCCATGGCCGCCTTGGTAACCTGGGAACTATCGACGAAAAGTACGACGTTGCCATTTCTACCGCGTGCCCTGCCCTTGACAACATGGTGGTGGAGACCGTAGAGGTCGGTCAACAATGTATCGACTACCTGCGCAAGAACAACCTTGGACGTGCCAACTTCATCCTTCTTGACCGCCTGCCTCGCCGTGACATGTCGACCATCTACACCCCTGAGAGTGTCCCCCGTCTCTTCGATCTCGTCAAGCCCAAAGATCCCAAGTTTGCACCTGCTTTCTACAGCGTAATGCAGAACACGCTCGTGGCTAAGGACCTCGAGCAGGCGAATCGCATTGCCTATGGTGCACGAAGATGGCGAGTGGTGACTCTGGATGGCCAGCTGATTGATGTTTCTGGTACGATGAGTGGTGGTGGCAACCGCGTTGCACGAGGTGGCATGTCCTCAAAGCAGGTTGCAGACACCACCAAGGAGCAAGTCGGACGCCTGGAAGCCGATCTCGAGGAGTTGGAGCGGAAGTTCCAGATCTTCCAGGAGAAGCAACGGAATGTCGAAGCCAACATGCGAGAGAAGACTGAAGAGATCCCTCGGGTTGACACCAAAATCCAGAAGATCATGATTGAGATCGACAGTGCCAAGCGCAGTCTCGCAGACGCCCAGCGACGAGTCAAAGAACTGCAAGTGGCGCACAAGCCCTCCAAGTCCGACGAAGCTCAGGTCGCCGCTCTTGAGAAGCAGATTGAGGCTATGAGCAACGAGATTGATGAGCTCAACAGCGAGAAGAGCGGCATTGAAGAGGAAATCCAAGAGTTGCAGAGCAAGATCATGGAAGTTGGTGGTGTCCGTCTCCGTGGACAGAAAGCCAAGGTGGACGGCTTGAAGGAGCAGATCAACATGCTCAACGATGAGATTTCCAATGCGGAAGTCCAGAAATCCAAGAACGAGAAGTTGATCGCCAAGCACTCGCAAGCTCGCGACAACTCCGAGAAGGAGATCGGCCAGATCACTGACGATCTGGAGAAGCTTGAGGAGGATGTCGAGAACCAGGCCAGCGATGCTTCTGGCTGGAGGCAAAAGGCCGACGAAGCCCAGGAGGCCCTCGAGACCAAGAAGGATGAACTGAAGTCTCTCAAGGCAGAGCTTGACGAGAAGGTTGCTGAACTCAACGAGACTCGTGCTACTGAGATCGAAATGCGCAACAAGCTGGAGGAAAACCAGAAAGCCTTGGGCGAAAACCAAAAACGGAGCCGTTATTGGGAGGAGAAGCTTTCCCGACTTTCCTTGCAGAATATTAGCGACCTGGGCGAGGAGCAGGAATCGACGGAGCTCCAAACATACACCAAGGACGAGCTGGATGCAATGAACAAGGAGTCTCTCAAGGCAGTTATCGCCGCTCTGGAGGAGAAGGTTCAGAATGCGTCCGTTGATCTCTCAGTCATTGAAGAGTACCGCCGCCGTGCTGCCGAGCACGAGTCTCGATCTGCAGATTTGGCTGAGGCGCTCTCGTCTCGCGATGCCGCTAAAGCTCGCCTTGACGGCCTGCGCTCAGCCCGTCTGAACGGCTTCATGGAAGGATTCGGCATCATCTCTCTTCGTCTGAAGGAAATGTACCAGATGATCACCATGGGTGGTAATGCCGAGCTCGAATTGGTCGACTCTTTGGACCCCTTCTCTGAGGGTATCTTGTTTTCAGTCATGCCCCCGAAGAAGAGCTGGAAGAATATTGGCAATCTCTCTGGTGGTGAGAAGACACTTTCCAGCTTGGCCCTTGTGTTTGCTCTGCATCACTACAAGCCGACTCCGCTCTATGTCATGGACGAGATTGATGCTGCTCTGGATTTCCGTAACGTGAGTTGTTTTCCCCTGTCTTTGTCTATCTAAGCTAGATACTAACGCGACACCTAGGTCTCAATTGTGGCGTCTTACATCAAGGAGCGGACCAAGAATGCACAGTTCATTGTCATTTCTCTAAGAAACAACATGGTATGTTCTCTGCTGAACCTGTAAACATTGAACATTGACTAACCTTTTGCAGTTCGAACTTGCTTCTCGTCTCGTTGGTGTGTATAAGGTCAACCACATGACCAAGAGTGTAACGATCGAGAACAGAGACTATATCGAGGGCCGGTAACGATTAGAGGGATGATTCTGCATGTTCTGTGACTATTTCTGCATCCATGGATATAGGTTTTCTGGCTGGATACGGTTGCCTCTTGCTTCTGATGATATCATGGGTTCGGAGTCTTTTTGGATTTTTCAATGAATTTCTTTTCAATTTTCACAGTCTTCGTTCGTCTTTCGCATCCGTAGAATCCAATCTGAGATCTAATTCCATCAATTGTTCGGACTACCATATTTGGCCTAACCCGCCTCACGACGGTTCTCCGCATTGATCACCAAGCAAACTTCGACCAAGCCCACTTTTCGGCTCTCTCATCTTCCAACCATGCCCATCGGCCTTTCGGGTGTTACATCGGTTATTACTCCGCCAGTAACCCTGCCGATCTATATGTCATTGTGTTCACTAAACCCCCACGAAGCACGGCTCGCCGCCACTCTCCATCGTCCCTGATGCCGCCTGCATTGATGCGGGGTAGGTCTGCAAGAAACAATTGGACTGACCTATCCAAGAGAAGGCCCTCTTGCTGATCCGTTATGTTGTATTTTCGGTCAATTCTAGAGCTTCAAGGTTACACTAATCAAAAGGCAGGAGACAAATGTCGGTCTTCGCTGCGCGCTGGAATGTAGCTGCTATAAGTAGGCTTGGAAGCGCGATCTTCACATTCCGCACACCGCATCTTCCTCTCTTACTGTTTGCGCCCGGATATTTGATCCGGAGAGAGGGTTGGCTTTTCTCGAAACTGGCTTGTCTCATCTAAGATGCACTTACATTCGAGACTTGCCCCTACCATAGGGGTGGTGTTGCTCGCGAGTACCACGTTAGCCACCAAGGTAGACCTGTCGCAATATGTGAATCCATTCATAGGCTCTGAAGGTCCTGTCGCAGGCTCTGGCTTTGGCGGCGGTGATATCTTCGTTGGCGGCGCCCGTCCATTTGGTGTCGCCAAGGTTGGGATTGATTCCACGGCGGCGAATTGGAGCACCGCTGTGCTTAATGGAGGCTGGACACCGGATGGAAATGTAACTGGTATCAGCATGATGCATGAGAGTGGGACTGGCGGTTCTCCCAAGTATGGGTTGATAGCGCAGATGCCTTTGATTTCTGTGGATGCTCCAGTCAATATCCTTGACAATACAACTTACAGCCAGCCAAGAGTAAGCTATCGAGTCATTCCTTTTTGAAGATGATACCTTATTTTGATCTTGTTGTTAGGTTGGTGAAGATATAGCTCGCGTGGGATATTATAAGACCCACTTGAAAAGTGGTGTCACTGTTGAGCTGTCTGCGTCGCGACATGCTGGCATCATGGAGTACTCCTTCCCGGAGGGCGAGAAGCATGTGCTTATTGATGTATCTCATGTATGTTGATTGAATGTGTGCAGTCGGCCTCGGATAACAACTGACACGGCTTTCACAGTACCTTCCTGGATCTCCTGGTGATGCGAATGGCCAATTCTTCACTGGAGGAGAGATTCAGATTGAGAACGACGGGAAATCATACAGTGGCTACGGCACGTACGTCGGTGGATGGAATAATGGTGAGCTTTTGTGACCATGCATGACAGTTGGATCTAACATTAGAATCTTAGGTGCCCCATTTACTGTCTACTTCTGGGGAGAATTCGCCAAAAATGCTGACAATTCGCGAACATTTTCTGGTGTCAATACGGATCCCATTCCCCGATACCACAACCTTGCAAACGGCGGTATAAGCGAGCCAATCTATGGGAACGACACAAAAAAGGTGGCCTCTGGGCCTATGAATAATCGCATCGGTGTCCTCTTCACCTGGAAAAACGGACCTGCCTCATCCATTACCTCTCGCGTTGGCATTTCTTCTATATCCATCGCAAAGGCTCGCTCGTACATTGAGAGGGAGATCCCATCCTGGAACCTGAATGACACAGTCACGGACTCTGTCAAAGAGTGGAACGATGATGTTTTCCAAAAGGTCCAGGTACCGCTGGATGACTCCGCCAACATGACCCATGTTCGCCTGCTTTACAGCTCGTTATACTTCATGCATTTGATGCCATCAGATCGAACGGGAGAAAACCCACTGTGGGATTCTGGAGAGCCATTCTGGGATGACTTCTATACAATGTGTGAGTACCACTCCCTTCAAATAATTCTGCTGATTTCTAACGACGGTGTAGGGGATATCTTCCGTTGCACGGTCAGCTTTTACCACATATTCCAGCCCCAATACTACGAGTCTATGATCCGAAGCCTGATTGATATTTGGAAGTATGTCAATTACCGTAAAAATTCTAATTCCTATTTGCTTACCCTGTACCAGACATGATGGCTACATGCCAGACGGCCGATCCGGCAACTGGAACGGACTCGTCCAGGGTGGATCAGATGCGGATAATGTCCTCGCTGACGCCTATGTTAAAGGCCTCCGCGGATCCATCAATTGGACCGAGGGATATTTTGCAATGAAGAAGGACGCTGAAGTGACACCCTATAACACTTTCGACCCCACGGACTTGACTGCCAGCACGAAAGAAGGCCGTGGTGCCCTCGATGACTGGAAGGAGCTGGGCTACGTGTCTCAGGATCACAATACGCGGTGTATCTCCCGCACTGTTGAGTACAGTCTGAATGATTTCGCGGTTAGTCAGGTAGCCGCTGGAGAGATGCCTGAAGACCGAGAAAAGTACCTCAACCGGTCTGCTGGGTGGCAAAACATTTGGGACTCAACTGTGGAGAGTCTCAACTTTACGGGCTTTTTGGCACCAAAGCTCTCTAATGGGAAGTTTAACAGTAGTAGTTATGACCCTCTGTACTGCTATGACTGTGAGTGGTCATCTTACACGTATGAGGGCATTCCGTGGGGTAAGTTGATCGAAGGAGAAGTGGAAGAGCAGCGATCCTAACTGCCTCTAGAATACTCATTCGTCATTCCTCACGATTGTGAAACACTTATCAAGTTGATGGGCGGGCCTGAGACTTTTGAGTCTCGTCTAGATTTGATGGTAAGTGCCGTCAAGCCATGATCGACTCAGAGACTGATAATGTGGTCTAGTTCAAACCCAACGTGTCCGTCCAAAATCTCGGGGCGAATGGCGCAGGCATCACAACTTTGATTAATATCGGGTGAGAATATCTGCAGTTCACTATTCAAGAAGCTTTGCTGATATTGAACTCAGAAATGAGCCTGACTTTGCAACCCCGTACCTGTACAACTACATTAACAAGCAGGCCAAGAGTGTGGAGCAATCTCGTAGCCTGGCTAACCAATAGTATGCTACCAATTAATACAAGACACGACAGTGGACATTGCTAATTATTCCTGACAGCTTCAAAGACGCCGCCTATGGAGTTCCTGGCAACAGTGATGCCGGTGCGATGAACTCCTGGCTATTGTGGCAGATGCTTGGAATCTATCCCATCGTCACACAGCCCGTGTATTTGATCTCGTCTCCTTGGTTCCCTGACCTGAATATGACAGTCAGTGGAAACAAGACGCTGCGCATTTCTGCGACTGGATTGGATGATGGATACTACGTCCAGAGTGTGAAAATCAACGGCAAACAATGGACCAAGAATTGGTTCGAGCATGACGACGTCATGACTAATGGCGGCCACATTGAGTTTGAACTCAGTCAGGATGCAAAGGCGTGGGAGTCTGGAGAAGTACCACCTTCGCCGGGACATGTCCGGTTGGAGTAGCGGTATTGTCGACCAGTTAATGTAGAATCGACAGATTGGTGCCTCGCCGATCACTTGAATCCTTCTGTGCGTATCCTAATTTTCGATGTAAGATTGGAATCGATACAATATTTAGCCTCAATTCACCGCAACGCGAAAGCAAAAGCCCCTTCTGGGCGTATGACCTGCATGAGTCTTGCATGGAGGCTTGTCCAGTCGTCCTTTCAATCGCCCCGCTCTTTACAATCCTCAGCCCCATCAGCCGTAGTTGTCCGAGTCAACCAGCCAGCATTGAGCGCCATTGAAGTAGTGCTGACAGGCAATGTTTAACAAAGGCAGTCGATACGGCCCGACAACCAATAGCCGCGAGTCCAGATGCGAATCTTCCAGGTTTGTGTCGCCAGCAGAGGGGTTGATCGCTGCTTTTCAAGGCGCCAAGACCGACGTTCCTTTGACGTCAGCGCGGGACAGACGGAGAAGGGTAGATATGTGCTTTGTTCCGTGAGGGGTTTTATTTGCGTGTTATAAGTTGTGAGACTCTTGGCCTGTTTTCGAGGTGATTCTTCCTCGCCCATTTTGCAACTGCTTTCGTGTGACTGCGGTTCAGTTGTTTCGCCATTGTCGCAAGGAGTTAATACTCTCTGTCTTGATCCAGATCTCGGGCATATCGTTAACCAGGTCTGTAGCACGGGAATAGAAGTTGTTTCTGATTCCCTTAAATATCTTAAGCCGTCACAAGTGGTTTTACTAGATCCGATGGTCAGTTCCTTGCATGCAATCCATGGCTCAATTCCCGGAGCTTTGGCGGGCCTTCGATCTCAGAACCACGGCTCCGGTCCGACCCCAGATCTTTCAAGTGATCAAATGCTGATTCATGTCTTGTGCATTATAGGCACCTATCATCTCTAACAATCTCGCCCCGCGTGACTCGAATGGCTGCCCGAGTACTCTGAGCGGCGGCGCGATCGCCGGAATCGTGATCGGCTCCATCTTCGGCACGCTGCTTCTTATTTGGCTCTGGCGCTTCTTGCAACTACCCTGGGGCAGCGATGACCTGTCGGATGTTGGATACCGGCCTCCTATCACTCGGACCGCAGCTGGCGACGAGCGAAGACGGAGAAGACGACCTTCTAATGTGGACTATTATGTTGAGAAACCTCGGAACAGTAGTTCGCGACGATATCGCGACGAGGTACGGCGACCGGCTAAGGTGTACTTGTCATGAGGCGCGCAAAGATGAATGAGGAGGGTGTGGGTATGGTAATAGATGGCCCAGAGTAACCATCTATCGATATCGAACGGCGTTTTGGTGAGTCCAAGTGGATTAGGTCTGGATATATCTGCCCTGAGACGGGATCGGGGAAACCTTCGACGTGGGATGAGAGACGACTTCACCTGATGAATACCTGATGACAAGTGATGTTTATGCATTGATGACTATAATTTATTGAATGGGATTTCTCTTTCTAAACCATCCGGGGCTATGAGTCCCTAGTTATCATCTGATTTGCTTTATGCACGACTGCCCAAGACCACGATCTCGGGTATTTCCCTGTGCAGGACGGACTTGAAATCCCCGGACATACTACAAATCCTGTAATGAATGAATAAAGTTCCTAAGATGAAGGATTTACAAATGCACAACAGCTGCACGGAGTACAAACATATTGCATAATGCGACCGGTTAATAACGCGGTGGACCGATTCAATTCCAAGCTGGCTCGGCAGTTTAAGATAAAATTGCACGCTGCGTCAACAGTCTTGGCCCGGGTGCGACGCCGCAAAGCTTCTTCCCCGGCATTTATTCTCGTTGGACGAATAAACGCGGCCAGTGGCGGTGCTTTAGGGTGGTTCGCTCAAATTGTTCGCTAGGACTGGACGAACAGGCTCCATAGCGACGACTAAACGAACGAGAACCAGCATCAGCAAACACCCAAACGCCAAACTGCTGGGGACTGGGAAATTTCCTGTAACTTTGACCTGTGGGTCTCCACAGGGTTGGACTTGGACTTGGGTTCGACACCCGCGATGATTGGTTTTCATGGTGAGTGGGGAGTACCCACAAAAAGGGGACAGTTGTTTCAATTGGAGAAAAAGGGTTTCTGCAGGGAATTGTCCTACGATACTGGCTCAAAATAGAAGATCTGGATGTACTTTCCATACATAAGGGGTGGTGGGAAAGGGGCAAATATTATGTATTGACTCTGTCTGAACGCGGATCATGCTACTGTATGTACTCCGTACTTACCCCTACTGATCGCACGAGAGGGAGCTTATGGTAAGATTATGGTAAAACTCCGGCGTCCTGCCAGATAAACCAATGGATTGTCATTCGTACAAAGGCGTTCACAAGATATGCATGATAGCGACGAATCTAATTTCTGTGTACTCGTGCACTCCCTATCTGTGCAGGCAGTGTTTTTTTTTCGAGCTGGCAGGTCATTTCTGGACGAGGCGTATTTTGCATTCACGCGCTCCTTGGCCTTTTCTTGGGGGGCAAGTCTAGACCGGATTAATCTCGGGGCTCGCCACTTGGCTGTTTTGGACTCCTGAAAACGTCTTGTGTCGAATATCAATCGACCAGAACGAACCGTCTTCTCTACAAGACACTAGAGACAGCATGGGGTAATTACGTTGAATTTAATCTATCACCCTATGGCGCTATCGCTCGGACGTGACACCACAGGGTTCAGTTATCTCCTGATCTGTCCGTTCAGGGTACTCCAGGGTACAATCCACTTTCCACGCCCATATCCCCTCTTCATCTCCACCTCTGTACCCAGCCGTGGATCCCCCTAGTCTTATCGGGGTCTTTCGACGAACCAATGAACACCACTAGACTTGTGCAGACTTGGCGGTCGCGTCCGCCCAAGCCTAAATGAAGGTGTAATTAGGCCCAATCGTTACTAGCGAACCCCTGAAATGGTCTACGGCCAGGCACGGGGCCGGTAGCTGCTTGCTCGATGCAGTTTAGGGGGCGACAGTTAGCGTCCAACCTGCTTCACCCTAACTAACGACAATTGGTTAGAAGCGAGGAAATCATCATAATCTGCGTGCAGCTTTCCCCTTACTGTCCACACAAAATACGCCAAAATACACTCGCCGTGCCCCCAGGGAAACGCTAGTCCATAATGCCGCACATCCACTTGCTCGTCTGGAGTGGCGTTTCCCTTTTCCCCCGGCCTTCTTCTCTGATGCACCTTCTTTTCTGTAACCTCCTCTCTCTCGATCTTTAGAGAAACCCTGCTGTTGGTGGCATTCCACCTTTCCGATCCTTTTCAGGCGTGTGATTCGAATCGCACATCCACTCATTGATATCTATCTCTCGAGGGCTGTATATACTCCCTCGTGTCCATTCATTATCGCTTTCCGGTTGGAATTGCCCCATTCAGCAGCCGTATTCGAGGGGGAACTATAATCTTGGTGTCTTTTTCTATATTCGACTACCGTTTCTTCTTCCACGATGAGGAACTTCTTCACCATCGCTGCTCTCGCAGCTCTGGCCGGCTCTGCCGCTGCCCAAACCTATACCGATTGCAATCCCCTTAACAAGACCTGTCCCGCGGACCCGGCCCTCGGAACTGAACACACTTGGTGGTTCAACTCGACACTCGACTCAACGATTTGGAATATGAGCACTGGGTCGATATCCTATACCAGCGACGCCGCGGAGTTTACCATCTCGAAGGAAGGCGAATCCACCCTTCTGCAATCCAACTTCTATATCTTCTTCGGCGTGGTGGAATCTTGGGTCAAGATGGCCAAGGGTGGGGGTGTCGTGAGCAGTGTGGTTCTGGAGTCGGATGATCTGGATGAGATCGACTGGGAATGGGTGGGATATAACACCAGTGAGGTGCAGACCAATTTCTTCGGCAAGGGTAACACCACCACCTACAACCGTGGCGGGACGCACTATGTCGCCAATGCAGACACCGAGTGGCACAACTACACAACTTGGTGGGATTCCGATAAGCTGGAATGGTGGATCGATGGCAATCTCGTGCGAACTCTGCTGTATACCGATGAGACCGCTTTGGGTGGTAGGAACTACCCGCAAACACCCTCCCAGGTCAAGATCAGCAACTGGCCTGCTGGTACGAAGAGTGCTGCCCAAGGTACCATTGAATGGGCTGGTGGTTTGGTAGATTATTCCAAAGGCCCATTCACCATGAGTGTTCAGCGTATCCGTGTCCAGGATTTCCATTCGGGCAAGGAGTACAGCTACGGCGACAAGACTGGTGACTGGAGCAGTATCAAGGTCACTGGGTGAGTGCTCTACTCGATATATTCTAGCTTACCGATCAGTTTCCTCTAACTACATCTTTTTTCATAGCGGAAACTCGACTGTCCTGGATGAGCTCAACAAGCCCCCTGCCAAGACTCTGGCCGAAAAATGGGCAGACCTTGGAACTGGTGCGCACATTGGAGTTTACGCTGGTGCTGCTGGCGCTGGTGTCCTGGCAATCGTTGCTTTGGCACTTGTGTGCTTGCGTCAGCGCCGGAAGGGTCGCCTTGAGCATGCTCTGGATGACTCGCGGTACGCTACTGAGCGAACAGAGATGCAGAACTTCCAGAACGACTGGAGGCAGACCGAGTGGAAGAACGGCGGCTACAGCAAGGTTAGCAACTAGTCATGCTAATACTGTGTGTACTTTTCCTTCTCCTCCTCGCGTGTCCTTTTTTTTTATTTTATGTTCTGTCCATCGTCATGAACGGTTCTGCGAACCCTGCTCCATCTCTCTCTGTGTACTGTCCCGGTTATCTCAGACCCCATCATGACTTCCCGATATGTTGATGAGTTAGCGCAACTCGTCCTGAGTGCTTTTTACTTCGTGAAGTCTGTGATTGCCGGGAAGAGTAACTCCCTAATGACCATTTCCATCTTGTCCCAGCGTGTTTTCGCTGTTTCCCACCTGCGCTCATTTTATAGGTGGTCCTTCTTTGTTGATATCCATTCTTCGGTTCTTTCTCTTGTTCAAGTTATCGGTCAAAAGCCGTGGGCACTGTACATCGTTGCCATATATTCCTGCCTTTCCTCATCCTCATTGTCCTCTATAGGTCACTATTCCATTCATACACGCATGATCTGTACATATTTCACCAAGACATTGGGTTTCCTCTTCAGATTTTGTTTACTAACCGTCAACATTGCCACCACTAAGTACTAATTGTAAGACAATGTCAAGGGATAGGCTCCCTTACATCAATAAATCGAATCCTTGAGACCGGGTTGCTAAAATTAGCTCTGGGGGGCCTCGGCGAGTCCTCGTCCTGTAAGATGACCTCATCAGTTGAACATTTAAATCACGATGGACTCAACGCTGTGAGATTAAGTAGCACTACTCCATATAGCCACATCGATCATCGCAAGCTGTTCTCTTCGGTCGGCCCGATCGGTGTCCACTCTCCGTCTCCGACCGTAGGCCTTCTTTTCCTGTCGGGCACCGTCAGACACGGCAGAGGCAATCTTGGCCCAGGCGAATCCTACAATTTCTACCAGAAGGACTTGGCAATTGCCGCGGCGGATCGCTCGATCGCGAGATGATTGGCTCTGCAGCAAGCCGAGGCTCCTGGGTGGATCCAGGCATCGACAAAAACGTTTCGCGTACTCCGTTCAATCCTCCCATTGCGAGGCAATTAAATGTCTTTTATGAATGGAATTCGAGCACAGTGACCGATGATATATGATATATGAACACAATGGCAATTAGTGGAATGGCGATCAAGAGTTCAAAAGCTTCGTGTTTTGTCGTTTATTCAACCAAGAGACCCAGCTCAGTTCTAAAAAGGCATCGGCCAACCACGAAACTCGTAAAATCAAACATTCCCCGCAGCTTCATCGACGAATCACTTGCCTGGACGAGCGATCGGAATTGACGACTCCCAACCCCGCCATCTACCTGATTTAACACTTGGATCGTCGCTCATCCTTTCTTCTCTATTCAAGACCTGGTACTTGTATCTTTACAATTGGCCTTGATATTCCTCGTCAAAGGCCTCGAAGATGAGTGTAACCAAGGAAATTCCCATTCCGGGGCCTAGGGGTGTCCCCATTCTGGGAAATATCTATGACATCGAGCCCGAAGTCCCATTGAACAGCATTGACTTGCTAGCTGATAATTATGGTGAGGTTCACAATGTTACCAGCAAACATAATCATCCACTAACTATTCTCCAGGCGAGATCTTTCGTCTCACCACCCTTGGCAGCCCCCGCGTCTTCATCAGCTCGCATGAGCTGGTCGACGAGGTTTGCAATGAAGAGCGGTTCGGCAAGATCGTCACTCAAGGTCTGAAGGAAATTCGCAACGGCACGCACGATGGTCTTTTCACGGCCAACTACCCCGGCGAGGAGAATTGGGCGATCGCGCATCGCATCCTTGTCCCTGCATTTGGCCCGTTGATGATTCGCGGCATGTTCGATGGTAAGAATAAGTGGGGATCCTTTTGCATAGTGGTCTTGACACTAATGCGCACTAGATATGTACGATATTGCGACTCAATTAGCGATGAAATGGGCGCGACAAGGCCCGAAGATGCCCATCACAGTGACTGATGACTTCACACGCCTAACGCTTGACACCATTGCTCTGTGTTCGATGGGTACCCGCTTTAACTCTTTCTATCATGACGACATGCATCCTTTCGTTGAGGCGATGGTGGGATTGCTTGGAGGTTCAGCTAATCGGGCTCGTCGACCGGCTCTTTTGAACAACTTGCCCACGAGTGAGAACAGCAAGTACTGGAATGACGTGGCTTATCTGCGGAATCTGTCCCAGGAGCTAGTAGATGCGCGAAAGAACAACCCCGAAGACAAGAAGGATCTGCTCAATGCGTTGATTCTGGGCCGTGACTCCCAGACGGGCAAGGGTATGACAGACGAATCGATCGTGGATAATATGATCACTTTCTTGATTGCTGGTATGGTCATATCTGAAATCAATTGTTGATACCTTTATACTGATCATGAAATAGGTCATGAGACGACCTCCGGCATGCTTTCGTTCCTCTTTTACTACCTGCTCAAAACCCCGCATGCATACAAGAAGGCCCAAGAAGAGGTCGACCGTGTCATTGGAAGACGCAAGATTACAGTGGAAGACATGTCCAAGTTGCCGTACATCACAGCCGTGATGCGCGAGACACTACGCCTGAAGCCAACAGCCCCTATGATTGCAGTTCATGCCCACCCAGAGAAGAACAAGGAAGAGCCCGTCACCCTCGGCGCTGGCAAATACGTCTTGCACAAGGATGAACCTATCGTTCTTTTGCTGGGTAAGATGCAACGCGATCCAAAGGTGTACGGCCCCGACGCCGACGAGTTCCGCCCGGAGAGAATGCTGGACGAACACTTTGAGAAGCTACCAAAGAATGCCTGGAAGCCATTTGGCAACGGCATGCGTGGATGCATTGGTCGTCCATTCGCTTGGCAGGAGGCACTTCTTGTCGTTGCAATGCTGCTTCAAAACTTCAATTTCCAGATGGACAACCCCAGCTACGATCTTCGTATCAAGCAAACGCTCACCATCAAGCCAAAGGACTTCCAGATCAAAGCATCCCTTCGCGAGGGCCTTGACCCTACTAAGCTCGGCTTGGCCCTGAGTGATTCTACCGGTGTGCACAAGGATTCGGGTGTTGCGGAACGGGAGAGAAAGCCCAAGGCTGCCCCTACCAATGGTAAAATGAAGCCTATGCACATTTTCTACGGAAGTAATACCGGTACTTGTGAGGCGTTTGCGCGGAGATTGGCGGATGATGCCATTGGATATGGATTTGCTGCGCAGACTAGCTCGCTGGACTCGGCCTTGCAGAACATTCCAAAGGAGGACCCGGTCGTCTTCATCAGCGCATCATATGAGGGCCAACCACCAGACAATGCGGCTCATTTCTTTGAATGGCTTAGCGAGCTAAAGGGTGATAGCCTGACGGGTGTGAATTATGCAGTATTTGGGTGTGGTCACCGTAAGTGCTCCAGATTAAACTGATTCTTGCCCTGCAGCTCAACTAATCTCCTTAATCTCTTAGACGACTGGGCATCCACGTTCCACCGCATCCCCAAGGCAGTGAATGAACTCGTTCGCGAAAATGGCGGAAACCGTCTCTGTGACATTGGCCTGGCAGATGCAGCCAATTCAGATATGTTCACCGACTTCGATGGCTGGGGCGAGACAGCGTTCTGGCCAGCTATCGTGGCCAAATTTGGTGGTGGTTCCGAACAGACCGTCAAGTCCAAATCCTCGCTGCAAGTCGAAGTGAGCTCAGGTGTCCGCGCATCTACTCTGGGCCTCCAGTTGGAAGAAGGATTTGTGGTAGAGAACAAGCTCTTGACCAAGCCTGGAGTGCCTGCCAAGCGACTTCTTCGATTCAAGTTGCCCTCAGACATGACCTACCAGTGCGGCGACTATCTCGCGGTTCTGCCCGTGAACCCAAGCACTGTCGTTCGCCGGGCCATTCGTCGCTTCGACCTGCCATGGGATGCTATATTGCGTGTTCAAAAGTCCTCGTCTGGATCGGCCCCGCCGTCGATTCCCCTGGACACGCCAATCTCAGCCTTTGAGCTCCTGTCGACATACGTCGAGCTTTCCCAGCCAGCATCTAAACGCGACGTGAAAGTCTTGGCCGACGCAGCCATTGAAGACGCCGAGGTTCAGGCGGAGCTCCAATACATCGCTTCAAGCCCCAGTCGATTCACAGCCGAGATTGTGCAGAAACGCATCAGCCCTCTGGACATCCTGATGCGTTACCCGTCAATTAAGCTCTCGATTGGCGATTTCTTAGCGATGCTCCCACCTATGCGTGTTCGCCAGTATTCCATCTCCTCATCCCCCCTTTCTGACCCCTCAGAATGTTCAATCACCTTCTCTGTCCTCAACGCTCCTGCTCTTTCAGGGATTTCCGAGCCAGGCAGCGAAATCCCCGAAGAGTATCTCGGAGTCGCCTCGAACTACCTTTCCGAGCTCCAACCCGGCGAGCGAGCTCATATTACCGTCCGCCCTTCGAACTCTGGATTCAAGCCCCCAGTCGACCTCCAAACGCCAATGATCATGGCTTGTGCCGGTAGCGGTCTCGCTCCCTTCCGGGGCTTTGTGATGGATCGCGCGGAAAGAATTCGTGGACGTCGCAGCTCCATCGACGCCGCTAATGTCCCGGAAAGCGACAAGCCCGCCAAGGCTGTGCTGTATATCGGCTGTCGCGCGGAGGGTAAGGATGATATTCATTCCGACGAGCTGGTTGAGTGGGCAGCACAGGGCGCTGTTGATGTTCGCTGGGCATTCAGCCGTCCAGCTGACGGCTCTGAGGGCAAGCATGTCCAAGATCTCATGCTTGAGGACCGTGAGGAGCTGGTTGATTTGTTTGAGAAGGGGGCGAACATCTATGTTTGTGGCAGCACTGGTGTGGGTAACGCGGTACGGGACGCTTCCAAGACAATGTATCTGGAGCGCCGAAGGGAGAAGATTCGTGAGGCAAAGGAGACTGGTACGGAATTGGGCCCGGATGCTGAATTGGATGAGGATACTGCTGCCGAGCGATTCTTTGATCAGTTGAGGACGAAATCGCGGTATGCCACTGACGTGTTCACTTAAATCGGGTCTTGCATGTTTGGTCTTGTCCTCTTTTCTGGTTGCCCCTGCTTACGATGGGGTTTGTCACTATATTCCTGATTCGATAAAGCTACCTATTCACCTTCCCCATTACAAATTTCCTTGCGGACGTATTAAATCGATGATCCACTGATTGTTCAAAGTTTGCTATGATTTAGCCCTCTTCCTTCTTCTTCTTGTCTTTTCCCATTCTGCTAAGAAATAGCCCCAGTTTGATCGTGTGGGGCCTGCCCCATCATCGACCTGAGCAAGTACCGAGAGCTACGCATGTCGCCCATAACATTGGACAGAATCCGGGGAAATGTGGAGGCAATGCGGGGAACACAGAGAATGGTCGATCCCTGCCCCATCTCTGGGCAGACGAGTGGGATGCAAAGCAAGCAGAGCTCTTAAGGGGGCTAACCTCGCCTAAACATTCTTGAAATCCAGCAATTGAGTCAGGTTTCTTGGGATATTTGACACCTCAATTTCTGCTACTCGCCTCCCGAAGATTGTGATTTCTTAAAGCCGAGCGACACACTTGCACTCCATCATGCCGAAGGAGGCAATAGCGGCTAAAAGGCCACATCTTGTGCACAGGTACCTTGTTGAATTACAAAAGTTGTATGGAGTCCATCTAATACCGTGAATCTAGCCATGCCCACGAGGGTGAGATTCCTGGCACCGTTGACCTCAGTGCTGCCGAGGGTGACGACACGGCATATGGACAGGCCTTATATCCTGTCCCAGCCGAAGATCCGAACGATCCACTGCAGGTAAGTATGGTTCAAATCAGAACTCGGCGGTTCTTATGTACTGATATCTTTCTCTCTCATTAGTGGCCAACCTGGAAGAAGAACGTCATCCTAGTCATCGTTGCCATCTACTCGTTTCTCGGAAATAGCTCCCTTACCGGCCCCTCGGTCTACATTGGACTCTATAGCAAGGAATTTGGGATATCTGAAGCAGAAGCCTCTGGACTGATATCTTATCCCAACCTTGCCTTTGGCTTTGGTAGGCCGGATTCCTAGGACCCTGGGGTTGATCTCACAGACTTCTGACATACTCCCTCTAGGGTCGTTGATCCTCGTGCCTCTGTACCTGAAAATTGGTCGGCGCCCGGTGGCGTTGTTGTCTATGATGACAGTATGTATAAGCACTTCCAACTTCCGTTTAGCATGCTAATGACCTGGCAGTTCTTGGCTGGATTGATTGGCGCTTCCCGATCAACAAGCTACACAGGATTGATGGTTGCTCGAGTGTTTCACGGATTTGGCAGGTTAGTTCGCAATTTCTCCACAATTGGATCTATTGGCTGACTTTCAACAGCGGTGTTTGCGAGAGTTTGCCCGTGCAGCTCGTGAATGACATTTTCTTCCTTCATGAACGAGGAAAGAAAATTGGGTACTACACCAGTGAGTTTTCCTGTTGATATCATAGAATTGCAAGAGCTGAAAGAGAGACAGTTTGTCTTTGCCTCGGGTCAACTGGTCCACTTTATGCTGGCTACATGCTTGCAGGAGGTTATTCGTGGCGACTCTTCTTCTACGTGGAAGCGGCCTTTGCGGGTGCCCTCTTCGTCATGGCTTTCTTCTTTGTTGAGGAGTCTACCTATCACCGCAAGGAGCAATCGCCAACGCCAAGCCCTGCGAATGAATCCTCGGCAGCACACAATGCCGACGAGAAATTGGAAGACCATGTTCAGTTGGAAAATGTGTCGTCTATATCTCTGCCTCCGCGAAAGAGCTTTTGGGTAACGCTCAAACCCTGGGGGACGATTGATCCGGAGGCCGAGTTTTTCATGACAATTCTCCGCTCGTTCACTTACTTCCTAGTGCCAGCCGTATTTTGGGTCATTGCAAGCTATGGTATGAGATACCCAAGGAAAAGAAAAGAAGTCAAGTCCTTTGCTAATATTTTCATTTAGGACTTTACATTGGTTTAGGTGCCCTGGCATTCAATTACACGTTTCCTCTCAAGATCACGGAGCCACCTTACAACTGGAGCGAGGTAATACATTTTGAAACTATTCCAAGTCATACAAAACTAACCTATTATAGACGAACTCCGGCCTCATTGCTGTCGCCAGCTTTGTCGGGTACTTGCTTGCCCTTCCATTCTCTTCCACCTCCGATCGACTGGCCGCGTACCGTACAAAGCGGAACAACGGGATCCGCGAGTCCGAGATGCGTCTCCCAGCACTATTCCCAGCCCTTCTTCTAGCCCCAGCTGGCTTGATTGTGTATGGCTTCACTGCTCAACGCAATCTTCATTGGGTGGGATTCTTTGCCGGAGTGGCCATGGACCAATTTGCATCGTACTTTTACTTTACGTTCACGTTGGCCTATGCTGTCGACTCCTATTATGCCAACACCTCGGAGATGTTGATTGCCATGAATTTGGGCAAACAGGCAATCTCGTTTGGGATGGGTTCTTATCTTTTGGATTGGATCTTGACTAGGGGGTATGCTGTGGTAATCTCGGGGATCTTTGGAGGAGTTCTCCTGGTGAATAATTTGATGGTTATTGTCTTCATCTTGTTTGGAAAGAGGATACGGAGATGGACTGCACAGTCATGGCTGGGTAGGCTGCATCAGCGAACTGCGACGAGAGATATGACGCAGTGACCGTAGATCAAGAATACGAACGAACCGTTTATCTTCGCAAATAGCCGCTCACGAATTTCAATCTCAAGAAACGTATGAGAGCTACAATGAATATGTAAATGGGGACATAGAAGATTGCCCTATCTTAAAGACTAACCTAGTCCTCGGTGTACTGCGAGCCAGTCTTGAAAAGATTTGCCATCTCCATGAATCGAACCCGAGACCTCTTGCTCCCTATATACTTGATGACGATGCTCCATGTACAGCCCGCGACTTCACATCGATGCTGCGCCGAATAATCAACACACAATATAACCACCAGACTACCCTTAAAATAATTTAAAAAAAAATTAATCTATTCTATGAAACGTAGTAATTAATTTGATATAGATAAAATATAATAAAAATAAGTTTAAAACGGCGAAATACTATATAGTAGTTCGATATAAAAAACCTCACCCGCCGGGGGCCGCACCTGCTCCACAGAAGCTTCCTCGCAGTTACGACCGCCGAACCCACCGAAGTGGCTACGGGTGCCTAGGGGTTAACCCACTAGACAACCGGGCAGGATCAGTTGCTGATTTCAACTTGAAGTAAATGATAACACCTCACGTCCTTCCCACCCAGTTATTGATTCAGTGATGTCTCCATAATCCTTGGACATTGAGATATCTACTGCGAAGGCCTGTCATCCCCATCGTTCAGCCCATCTCCCCGCAAATATTCAGGAACCGTTTCCCCTGCTTTCCACTTATATTTACTTCCTGGGTGATCCTGTGGCAACCTTTGGGATCCAATAAAAACTTCTCGTGCAGTCGCTCCTTCATGCTCCACCCCTGACCGGAACCGACCCCGTCGCCGCAATTCAGGCAGCAGGAACTCGATGATGTCTTCGAATGTGCCAGGGTTCGCAATATGGGCGAGATTAAACCCATCGACACCAGATACCTCAACCCATCGCTCTAATTCATCCGCGGCAGTCGTGGGACTACCGACCACCTTGGCCTGGAGCCCGCCAACACTGATGTACTCCACGATGCGTTTCTTCGTCCATGGCAGGTTATCTGTGCCTGGAACAGTGGCAGACCATCTCCGCACGATGGATTGTACCCGCGACGACTCCACGAACCGGAAATCTTCGTCGTCCGAATAACTCGACAAGTCGATACCAGTCCATCCACCGAATAGTGCCAGTGCACCCTCGGCATCAGCATACTGCAAGTACTCCTTCCATTTCGCTTCGGCTTCTGCATCTGTTGCCGCGACTATCACGTTGATTCCTACAATGATTTTCAAGTGATTTGGATCACGACCTTCCTGCTGGGCGATCTTTCGAATATTCTCCACAGTCCCACGGGTATTCTCTGGGGTCTGGCCGCCGATGAAGATGGCCTCTCCATGCTTGCCTCCAAACCTGTTGCCCGCTTCGGAGACCCCAGCCTGGAACAAAAATGGTGTTCGTTGAGGCGATGGTTCGCAGAAGTGGGGACCAGGAACCTCGAAATATTTGCCCTTGTGATTTATCGGGAGAACAGCGTCACTTGCGATGTATGTGCCCAGTTCGTGGTCGGCCAACACGGCATCATCTCGAAAGCTTCCTTCCCAAAGCTTGTAAACCACTTCCATATACTCATGTGCGATTGCATATCGCTCATCATGGGGGATTTGGTCTTTCAGTCCATGGTTTCGTGCAGCACTATCCAGATAAGATGTGACAATGTTCCATGCGACCCGACCTTCGCTGAGATGGTCAACAGTGGAGAGTCGGCGAGCCAGTGCATAGGGCTTTTCGTAAGTCAAGCTAGCAGTTACCCCGAATATCAAATTCTTTGTCACTGCTGCCATTGCCGGAACGAGATACAGTGGATCGTTCACTGGAAATTGCGCACCCGAAGCCAGCGCGGGAACCACATTGGCAGGGCCCTTGTACACATCGTAAGGGCCCAGTGTATCTGCTATGAACATCGCATGGAAGTTTGCCTTGTCTAGCAACTGAGCGAGGTCTGTCCAAAAGGAGAGTTTCTTGTACTGATCGGTCTTGTTTCTGGGGTGCTTCCAGAGCCCTGGTGCCAGATGACCAGGAGTGTTCATAACAAAGGCATTCAGAATGATCTGTTTCTTGGCCCCGGGAAGCTGTTCCCCATTGTTGGCTGTTTCAGGATTGTCGCCCATATTGTGTCGATATATTCCCGATGTGGATAATCGCAAGAAAATAATGACTCGGTCTCCAGGCCGTTAGGTTCCTGTTTCCGACTCGGGCATCGCGGGTATAACACTCCTCTTCCACGGTCGCCAAGGCTGCCACGACAGACATACTGAATGCCATCAGTCTCATATCGTTATTCCTGATTATGATTTCGAATATGTGTATTTAATTCTATCGGCCGACAAGATATGCTTGTTCGTACAGTTGTGGGGTAGATCTGTGGCTTTTAGTTGGCTCGTGATTCGATATCCACTTCTCACCATTGCGTCGTGATTGCACGCAATCTTGACAGAATTACTCCCCACGCTCGCATATTATTGGAAAGTCGAGACATGGTCTACTTCTTTTCTACTTATCGTCTAACTGCCTCGTGTCTAGGCCAGCAAGTCATATCATTGCCTTTCATCATTTGGCATAACGCAATTGAGTTTATGTACGACGTGACAGACGTTCAACACATGGCAGTCTCTAGTAGCCGGGCTGCACAGTTCCTTCTCGGGATTTGGACTAGACCCTGGACGATATATAAGAGTTTTCAATATGATGGGCTCGCGACTGATCATTAATTTCGCCCGCATAGCAGCCTGGTCTATGAATCAGTCAGGATGTCCACGGCCTCAACCAATACAATTGATACGGCCAAATTGGCCTTGATATCCCAGGGATCGGCATATGGCCTCCTTGTCGGCCTAAGTGTCGTCTTTTGCGGCGTGATTCTCATTGCCGTGAAGGTCCAGAAAGCCTATCTATCTGAGGACTCTGGCAAGTCCGAGATGTTCATGGTAGCTAATCGATCAGTTGGTACTGGTTTGACGGCGTCTGCGGTGTTCTCTTCATGGATGTGGATAAATGAAACAGTATTGGCTGCGGCAATGTGCTATCGTTATGGTCTGGCTCTTCCACTGGTATGTTTGTTATTATGAATACCAACGTATTGGTTGAAGCTAATATGCAAATAGTGGTGGGGCTCTGGTCTGTGTTTTCAAATTGCATTGATGGCAGCACTAGGGGTCATGGCAAAAATTCGAGTTCCATATGCGCATACTTCTCTGGAAGTTGTCCGCATGAGATATGGAAAGATTGGCCATCTTGTTTTCATCGTGCTAAATCTTGTCAACAATGTTTTTGGCTGCGCTTCGATGATCATGACAGGATCACAGCTGATTTACGGTGTCTCTGGAATGCATTTTGTTGCAGCTACTATTCTTATTCCCCTTGGAGGTACGACTTGAAATAGCCACTGATCATATAAATCAACCACTAACGAGATGCAGTGGTGCTCTATACCGCAGTGGGAGGCTTGAAGGCCACGTTCCTCACAGACTTCCTTCACACAGCCATTGCGCTGATTCTTATCATCTACTTTACGATTGCTGTCTTGACCAATTCTGCCGTCGGTGGCCTGGGTGGCCTATATGACAAGGTTGTGGCTACAGCAAGCGATAATTATGTCTCGGGAAACTATGAGGGATCACTCCTTACATTCAAGTCAAAGGGCGCAATCATCTGGGGCTTGATCTTGAAATTTGGAAACTTGGCCCTGGTTGTTATGGTGAGATGAGCTCGAGAGTCAATATGAGTTCGCAGCTAACATAAAAATCAGGATACCGCATTCTGGCAGAAGTCTTTCGCGACAGAGGTCCGGGCTACCGTACCGGGCTATAACATCGCTGCTATCGCAGTCTTTGGAATCCCATGGGGACTTGGAACCATCATTGGCTTGACGGCTCGAGCGATTCATAATACGCCCATCTTTCCAACATACCCCGGCCCACTCACTTCTACAGAGGTCAGTATGGGTATGGTGATGCCTTACACTCTGAAGGCACTCCTTGGAGACAAGGCTATTATCGGATTCTTCTTTCTACTTTTCATGGCCCTTACGAGCACTATCTCCTCGTCCATGATTGCGGTCAGCAGTATTCTGTCATATGATCTCTACAAGACCTACCTCAACCCCAAGGTGACTGATAAGCAACTTGTGCGAGTGAGCCATCTAACTGTAGTTATCCACGGGGTGTTCATTACCGGGATTTCAATTGCTTTGAACTATGGAGGTGCCAACATGACCTGGATCGGTTACTTAAGACCCATCATTTCTTGTCCCGGCATTATCCCGCTGATTCTCACCTTGTTTTGGTCCCGTCAAACTCGCCTGGCCGCGATCGTGTCGCCGATTCTCGGATTCCTCACTGGGCTTACTGTTTGGCTCGCAACCGCACAGTCCATGTATGGCGCCATCAATATCGGCACCACTTCGAGTATATACCCGGCGCTGTACGCAGCCATCGCGTCCTTCTTCTCACCTGCCCTCTACTCCGTCGTATTGTCGCTCTACAAGCCTTACAAATTTGATTGGCGCGAGTTCCTGCGCATCGAACTGGCGGACGAAGCTCAGCTTCATGCCGACTCCGACGTCAGTACTCTCAATGAAAGCAGCGACGACGAAAAATCAAGAGGTCGTAAGGGTGTTTCCGCAGCTATCAATGCAGTACCTGAGGGCCCTGATTCCGCGCTCACTAGCAAAAGCGATCTCGAGCAGCCTCCAAGCGAGAAGACTCCGGCGCAGACTCAGACATCGCCCTCAAGGTCTACGTCCAACCTTGATGATGTTCAGCACCCCTTCGATGAGCAAACCTTGAAAGAGCTCTACCGTTGGCTTAAAATTGCGTGTATCATGTTTGTGCTCATTGTTTTGGTTACGTTTGTCGCCTGGCCACTTCCGTTGTATCGCAATTACATCTTCACAAAGTCATTTTTCTCGGGCTGGACTACAGTGGCAATCATTTGGCAATTCGGTGCATTTGGTGCAGTGGTCATATTCCCTCTTTACGATGGAAGGCACGCAATTGCGACCGGTGCACGTGGGGTTTGGGGTTCTACAAAAGAGTTTTTCGGCAAAAAATAGTGTCGTGAATACGGGAGGCCAGGATCACTTCTATCAGGATGAGTTTTCTATATTAGTTAATGAAAGACTTATCCTTTATTCTTCTGTCTTAACTCCCTTCACTGTTGTTGTAGATTACTGTAAAGCTGATTTACTGTTCCCTTGATCGTACTGTCGGCGTCAATTCCACTGAACCAACACACGACACTTATTTTGATCAGTGATCGATTTTTTCCGATATCATCCAATCCACAAAGAGACGAAATGAAGCCTGATTTCTGAGGCCGGATGTGGAAAAGATCGCCGTCTCAGGCATGACCCTAATGCGTTTCGCAAGAGCGCGACAACAAAGCAGCCACCGGATTCGGCGGGAGGTCAATGAAGGAACAAGTCAATTTCTCTTGATTTTCTGAAGGTCTGATAATCAAAATCTGTTTCATACCAGAGGATCTCAACAAATCGATCACGACGTTCAGACACCAGGCTTGTTACAGGCGAGGATGAGAATCATCTTTCTCAGTTTGGCACTTGTATGCAGTATAACTACTGCCGCACCAACGTGGGGAAAGGAAGTTCTTGTTCAAAAATCAACCCAGTATCAAGTGAGACTCTCCAATAAGTACTAGATATCTCACCGAATATAGTCAAGGCTGATCAAGTTGCGATTAAAGGATGCTCTTGTTCGCAGACTGATGAGTTCCTGGGCGAATGGTGAGAGGGGACAAAATGGATACCATGTACGGTCATATTCATGGACATGACTACAATAGTTACTGACAGAGCGGAAGCAGCGAGACACCGGGAGATCATCATGCATCTATGATGATGCTTATTTAGGGTTTAAAACAGGAAGATGAAGTTCATTGACTACCTATACAACTCTACTTCACTACCTGGAAGAGGTTTTCTAAAAATGTAGTAACACGAAATGCGTATAACGTTCATAAAACGAGGGAAATAGGTGTGTAGACTAGGTCTTCAACGTGCCCTTACATATCTCTTCTTTTGTCAATCCAGTGCCGTCGTCCTCTCCAAAGGCCTTGCGTGAGAGCCAAGAAACAGCCCTTGCACATGGAGGGTCCACGTATATAGTCCACATATAGGAAGCATATATCAGTATCGCATAAAACATAGGTATAACGATGACGAAGGTGAAAACGCCCCCTCGCTCTAGGTATTTTGGATTACCCTTGTCGTCCACAGGATGAAATCCCTCTTTCATGGCCGAGTCTCGGTATATCAACCAAGAGAGAATTGTGCGAATTAGGGTATTGTGGATCAAATAAATTGGGAACGAAATTCGACCCAAGAAATTCATCACCGGTAGAGAAAGGAGGCGACGGGCATCTCGAGAGAAGAAGGCCCCGAAGGCGATAAATGCGGTTCCCACGGATATCACATAGCGGTTGATTTCGCCGCCACTAGGGACGAGGAGGCGCGCAACTGAGTTAACTGCATTACTCCACGGCATCCACTCTGCATGTTCCTCTGGAAAGGAGGCAAGAAATAGTCCGAAGAAGATCATGAGCGCAGAGATGGGCCTTGACAGCACAGATGTTGCTCGCGAGCCGTAGTCGGCGTTCAGCTCGGCCAAGAGCATTCCTGCATATATATTCAACTCCATAAGGGCTGTTGGATGTTAGAAATATTCAAGATCGTGGCACTGTGGATACTGCACTCACCTTGACCACCCGACCAGGCAAACAGATACAGAAAGACGATGATCAATTTCGTATAGCGCGGTTGAGTGAGAGTGGTACCCAAAAGTGTAAGGTAAACCAGCATTGACCCCTTCACAAAGAACGGAATAGTCCAATACGTGTGGTCGTATATACCCACGCCGCCATGCCAGAACAGAGTTAGATTTTGAAGAAGGCCGCCCACTGCACTCCCAAATGTAGGCCCTGGTGGCACTGCGCCCACCCTAATCCAGAATGAGTCTGTTAAAGCTGCCAATCTATATCCATGTAGTTGGCAGACTACCCATCCCATAAGCAAGGCGGCATTTGTTGGAGCAACAAGTCTGCCAGTCCGAGTAAAGGTGTTTTTGGACAGGTTCAGTAGCGCAAAACTAGCATCTCCATTACGGATATGTTTTCTCGTGCTGAAAGAATTCACGTATCCAGTAATCAGGAAGAAGAGCGCAACAGCCATGCGACCGCCAACTATGAGTCGAAGAAATGGATATTGGAACAGAGAGACCGAGCCGTTTTCCTCGATAGCGGGTGAGTTCAGCCAATTTGCAAAGCACGAGCATAGATGGTAGGTCACGACGGTCAAGGCAGCGATGCCTCGAAGGCCCTGGAACATATCAGCCAGATATTCTGCGTGAACTTCTAAATAGACGATACCCACATCCACCCAGTTATCAGCTCGTTTGTTGCTCGCCATCTCTCCGTCTCGCTTGAAATTGAAGAGACATGTGGTTGAGTGATCGAAACGTTTTCTTCAGTCGTGAAAGAGTAGGCAGAGGTCAGATGAGGGATGTCGGGTTAATTTCCGAACGCAACACACTCTGGGTGATCTTCTATGTATAGCTTGTTTGTATAATAACGAATCAGGAAAAAGAATTATTCGTCCGGATCCAGACTACGCTGATATTCCAAGAACAGTAAGAAGACACAAGACCAAGAAAACAGTGTCAAGAAAACGGTGCCCTGCCCTACTAAGTTCACGTGAATTTTGTGATAGCAAACAGGATTGAGTATTGAGGAAATATCCCGAGGGTAACCTGTACAGTGTCGAACGTCCAACAAGTCGTTCTAGGATAGAAGATCAACGACTTCAACCTTCAAATCCCCTTCAATTCATTGAGGCTGATTTTTGTTCGGATATTTCCCTATGACGTTTTCGATATCGTCAGCTGCAAGGCCGAGGAATGCTCCGTTTCTGCGTAAACCTCGAATCGCTCTAAATCACGATTCCACATTCCTGACGGTGGCCAGCATTCCAATAGTCACTACAGCACATGGAATAATCTAAAAATCTTTAAGATTGAATTCCATTGATGGGATACCGATAGCCTCAGACTTCGCTATTTACTCCATGATACTGAATGAAGAGTCATTGCACCAGTACTAAAAAAAGCATATTTACAGCGCTTGAAGCCTCATAAAAAACCCCTAGATAGCTCGATCTGATGGTTACAATCCGACATTACCCTGAACTGCCTCAATCTCAGCAGTACCATCGTCCAGTTTCCTTTTCACAGACGCCGGGACATCGACCTCCTCTCGCAAATTCCAGTACTTGGCCCACGCACTCTCACATATAGGATCACCGCCACAGCCTGCAAAATGAACGATATGATCTCCAGGTTGCCAGTGTTGCCCAAGGAAATTGTATTCCGGGTATGAATTCATCGAGCGCTGGTCCATGCAGGCTGTGTGGTTTTGAACGATCTCGTGGTACTGCCACATATGTGTCCATCCGTCATTTTCAGGGAACACCCAATTCTGGGATATATAGAGCGGCTCAATCCACAAGTCTAGCAGCCAGTCGCTCCATTCGCTTCGTCGCATAAGGAAATTTCCCACGTTCATGCCCCAATTGTCTAGTGAGATAACAAAATTGATGTCGTCGGGGTGGTATGCTGCCGGGGTACGGAAGCCAGTTTCACCCCCACCAGCTCCAGTCATTGGGTGATCAAGAAGGATGTTGCGAGCCATTCCCTCTGGCGATAAGACGTGATCATGAATACTGAGCGACATGTTCATGATGATAATATCGATATCCATCCACCAGACCCATTCAGCATCTGGGAAACGGGCGAAGGCATCTTTCAAAATGGGGATCTTATTCCAGTAGATTGGTGCGCCATTGGGTAGGTTATAGCTGGTCATGTTCGCCCACATAAACTCCAGCCCGTGTTTCTCAGCGTATGTCATGCGATTCTCGTATACCATCTCTTTGATATGTGGCATGCCCAACATTCGATTGTTGCCCGTACTGCCTGTCACCATGACAATTTTCTTTTTTGACTTTGAGTGAGAGCCTGATGAATGAACTGTGCCATCAGCCGAAATGGTGGTTTTGTCGTAGCCTCCACTACCTGGTGAGGTCCCCGGGTAGAGGTTTCCAACGCCTTTGGTCACCTTGTCGTAAAAGTTCGAAGACGGGCGCCAGGCTGGCCATTGAAGTGTAAATAGATTCCAAACAAGCTGCGCAGCTATGGTCAGCTAGATGTAGCTGAATATTGTATAGAGACTCACCACGCAACCGAGGATGAGAGTCACAGCCAACAAAGGCCTTGTTAGTGCCTTGAAACCCATTTCCAAAGGTCCGAGTGCATTACCTGAGAACTGTTAGTTTGAGATATTGTCTCGAATAAGTAGCTCTCTTACTCTTTGACTCCTGATGAATAGATTAGCTGTGAGCTAGATTCGCGTACTACAAGCCTCGACCTGGCGGACCTAGGCCTGCAGGATCGACTGAAGCCAGTAAAAATGAGGCGGTGATTGGAACTTCCACGAGGCGAGAAACAAAGTAAGTTATTAATCGTAACACATCTTGCGTCGATTGACCCGATTAAAGCTAACTGATGTTCTGGGCTTGGATTTACCCTGTTTGCCTTCCGCATCCGGGCGACAACCCAGGGACGCGTTAAGAGAGACTGTACTTGAGTAGTTTTTGAAGAAGAACGAATACAATGACAAAAGGTTGATATCTGCTATCGCCAACCTTTGTAAAATATTTCTCTATTTCCATAAGTCTCCTTTTCGTAGCCTGAAATCGAAAATTGCGTGTTTTCGAACGCACTTTGCTGGATAATCTCGCGGTCGGCGGGACCCAAGGGAGACGTAGAAGGGCCGCTTCCGGGCGATCATTGGAGCGTCCTTCAGAATCCAACCATTAGAATTTACCTGAGCCAGGAACAAATGCGAAAACAAATCAAGTCTAAATGCATCCGTTAAGCTTGTACCTGTAACGATCCCTTGTAAATTCTTCTACTTAGGGTGACTGGGACTCTTCTGTCTCCACAACACACTCCCTATCTCCATTCACCTTGTTTTGTCTCCTCTTCAGACCCAGATTCTTTTGTCCATGTTTTTGAAATTACCAAGATGAGCTTCGCACGAGTGACGCGCCGAGGCCGTCTCCTCCTTGTGCTGTCCCTCGCTGCTCTCTCTATCTGGTATTTGGCAACCCGGGCTGGGCTTCAGCAGAGAGCACCCCCAGTCAAGGACGTACAAGTGACGTACTCCCACCATACAAACGAGCATGTCGACTTCTGGCGCGACTTTCAGCCTCTGCTGTTGGCATATGAGCCGCAATGCAAGCCTCCACGACGCCTTGGAAATGCTCCGGCAAGTGGCTTCAAGCCATCCGACCCAATCGCCCGGCCGGAGCTCTTGAAGATGTCCGTCAAGGAGGTGCTGGGCATGAAGAATGCTCACAGCGACTTCGTGAGAGCAATCAGCACAGACGCACCCCAGCTGTCTTATATACCAGAAACTAAGGGCTTAGTGACAACTGCAGGAGGCTCATACCTACCAGTGCTGGTAGTTTCACTTCGCATGTTACGTCGCACGGGTTCAAAGCTCCCTGTGGAGGTCTTTCTAGCTACGCACGACGAGTACGAGGAAAATATATGTGATGAAGTCCTGCCTTCATTGAACGCCAAATGCATTGTCATGACAGATATCATCAACGCCGTCCCGGGATCGGTCAAGATTGAAAAATATCAGTTGAAGCCGTTCGCGATGATATTCTCTTCATTCGAGGAGATCTTGTTCCTTGATGCCGACGCCTTCCCGATCACTAAACCCGAGTCCCTTTTCGAGAATGAGCCTTTCAAGAGTACCAAAATGGTTACTTGGCCAGACTTCTGGGCTTCATCCGCGTCTCCGTTCTATTACGAGATTTCCTCCCAGGAGGTGGTATCGATGAATTCACGACCGTCAACGGAATCCGGTGAACTTCTGATTTCCAAGAAGACTCATCTGAAGACACTTCTGCTTTGCACCTACTACAATTTCTGGGGACCTACGCACTATTACCGTCTTCTTTCGCAGGGCGCAGCAGGCGAGGGCGATAAGGAGACTTTCATCACTGCCGCTGCTGCGCTAGGTGAACCATTCTACCAAGTCAGCGAACCTATTTGTGCTATGGGACATCGAACAGAAGGTGGGCTTGCTGGATCAGCAATGGTTCAGTTCAATCCCATTGAGGACTACAAGCTAGTCCAGAAGGGAGAATGGAGGGTGAATGGGTCAAAGGCGTCCCCTCCACATCCGTTCTTCATCCACGCGAATTTCCCAAAGTTCAACCCAGCAACCGTTTTCTCCAAGGAACACGCTGTCAAGCCGGCTTTTAACGATGACTGGTCATATACGCGGGCTTGGACAATCCCAGAAGAGACCATCAATGCCTTTGGTCGTGACGTCGAGAAACAGTTCTGGGCGGACATACTTTGGACTGGATGTGAGCTGGAAACACAGTTTGAAAGCTGGAAGAACAGTACTGGTGTTTGCAGCGGTGTGAAGAAATACTGGGAAGCACAATTTGGATCGGAAGACCCGGCTAGGGTATAGTAGGGTGTGCATCTCAGAGTGCGAAGTATTGATGAGCATGGGGATTAGTCTAACCAGCGATAGAACAAATAGGTCTCTGAGAAGGAGAGTCAAAGAAAAATCATATATCATGTCTTCATGTTGATCGGTCGTTGAAGTGCCTTTTTTGAGTGTCGCTTGTAATAAGTGATTGTAAGAGTACAATCATGCGTCATAAGGAGTCTCTTTCCGCATAACGTAGATCTGGCCGACGAGGACGGTACATCCAACGGCCATGGCGATGGCAATGATGGGGAGATTGACTCGGGCAAATTCGATACTCCCAACACGAATATGCTTTCTCTGTAGGATATCCCGCCATAGAAGACCGGCTAGCGATGCGCTGAACGCCGTGCTAAAGGCGCCGTAGTTAACCCCAATGGCCATGCTGTACACAGAAGCCCAGAATGTGCGATCACTAATAGGAATTCCGTTGTTGAGATGAATCTGTTGCCACGCTTGAATGACTCGAGACAGGAGAATAGTCGTGCCGATGTTTGTACCGGCAAACTGATGATCAGGAAAACAATGGTTAGCCCTTCAGGTCAATGGAAATGTTATCACATCACGGCAGTGCTTACATTGCAAAGAATCACCGACAAAAAGCCCATCCCGCCAATTGCCCCTACCGTCCCAGTCTTGTTGACCCAATGATCCCATCCATAAGCAAATACAGGCACCCATCCCTTGGTAACGAGTGCCTGGACGAGGACGAACATGGATAGCGCGAATGGAACAAGCGGAAATGGCATATGCGAGACCACCACGGTGACGGTGGGAAAAGTCTCCTGCAGCCACCGGTGGAGGTCCTTTGTAAGAGATACCAGGGTTTGGTGAGAATTTGTCTCTTTTAGGTCCATATTGTCCCTCTTCTCCTCGTCTACTGCGAAAGTTGGGGTCACTTCCAGAGGCTCGGGCGAAGCGCTGAGAGTGAGCTTATGAGAATTATCCATCACCCCAACCGACACGGGCATCCTTTGGAAAGTTTCATCTCCAGAGTATTCCAGGTCTGATAGACGCTTCTCGTAGTCATCAGGTAAAGCTCGCGTGCCGCTGCTACTTTCTGGGTCACCGTGAGAGACCTTACCACCGTCCACAGAGCTTTGGGAGGGGCTTTGCGAGGAAATATCCTGAGTGCCTGATCGCCTATGACGAACACTAGCATTATCAGCTTGTTCTTGCAAATTTCGAAGTGACTCTTGTCGTTCCCTCTCTGCCCTCGCAGCTTCCACTTCTCGACGTCCCTTGGCGGCAATTTCCCGCGTCTCGTGTCTATGGATCCAACCTGATGCAAGATCCCAACAGAACATAATGAAGGCAGCAGGCAAGGTGACCCAAAACACGGGACGATCCTGGCCAGACTGGCTTGAGGCGTTGATCGCAAGAAGGGTGATGAGCGTCGCAGCCATAATCACTGCTCCAAATGCAGCGCCTCCCTTATCCAAAAATGGATTCATGATTTCTTCGAGAGAAAGCAATTTGCCATTTTCATTGTTCATCTCTTCCTCTTCTTCAGCGTTGCCCCTTGCGTGGGGAATATTGGGGTTGACTGGTTTCCTAGCCTTTGCTTCCTCTGAGAGCTCATGCATTTGAATGGAGTATGGAATAAGAGACTCATCAGCAAAGATGATGTATAGTAGGAACGGGAACATGACGATAGCCGTGGCTACCACTGGGACGATCATGTTGGCAGTGTACACGATGAACTTGATCTCGAAGGCACCGGCAAGCACCAAATTCGTCGGATTGGAGGAGACCAAGATCGCCGATGCGATATTTGCGACGGCAAACTGACTGTGGATCCAGGCTCTCGGGTGTACAATATTGCTCGACACTCGAGTCATATAGGCGAGGAATGCTGTACCGGAGAGAATAATAGGATCATTGCCGATAAAACTGCCCAGTCCGAAGAAGAAGGCATAGAGGTAGAAAAATAGCCGGTGGCCTACTCCACCTCCTCTTTGGAGTACCTTGAACGCGAGCCATCGAATTAGACCAGAGGCGTCGATGGAGATAGCAATGTAGGCAAGCGTCAGGAAGAACGCCATGATATCAATCGGAGAAATGTTGTCGGCACCAAGTGTTCCATCATGTACCTCTTTCCGCCCGATAGCCAAGATAGCCAATAAGAAAAGATCGGCTGCCAAGGGCGCAGTGACGAAGTTGAGGGGTATGTTGAGTCGCACCAAGAAGCTGCGCTCATTTTGGTTATATGGGGAAAGTTTGCGAGAGGGTATTATGCGCAAAGCACTCAGGGTATCCAGCGTCGCATTGTAGAGCCATCGTGGGATATAAATCGGTACGCTGAACGGGAATAGCACGATAATATCTATGCGACGGAGAAAACGCGACGAGAATTAGCCTCAGATGATAACGAGCTTCGAACCCCATTCGAGCTTACTAGTTATCACGAAAACAATCAGAGTAATTATTGATCGCCAGTTTTTGATCTTGCTCGTGTCTAGATCCTCAGCCATTGTACGTAGGCCTATTCCCTCCGGCGCTGGAGAGTAGCGAAATGAAGTGTTTCGATCGGCTTCCGTGAAATTTCAATCGCGACCTAAAACGCGTTTCCACAACCCCTACTCATCACGACGTAAGGATCATAGTCAGACATTGCACTTTGCGCACTGTGGTTTGGTGTTCAAATACCAGCAAGTCAAGGAATTAAAAGCCTCGTACGTCAGAACACTTGCTCCCAATCAGTACCGCATTTTTTTGCCCACGATACAGTATTCCGAGCAGGGCGTCGCGTGGCCGTAAACGCTTCGCCTTCCGACTGAAGAATCCCCCTAGGATGATAGATGTTGACCTTGGTGTGGTATTGGGGTGATTGTGAAGAAAAATGGATCAACGCAGCGAGGGGAATGTGGGGGACTCGTGTGATAAATTTCCCATCTAGTCAGATTTGAGGACGATGTGGTAAGATTCTGTCGGGGCGATCTTGCTAGCGCATTCGAGAGCTCTTTAATAAACTCCCTCTGTCGGAACTATGAGGGGATCGTTGTCGTAGGCTGAGCCTTCAAAAATCTGTGTAGCCCACTGTCGTGGGTGTGACATGCAACTTGGCGCATCAACAAGAAAAAATCGTGGACGTTGACTGGAACTAAGCCTCTTGAAGACGGGCAATCAGGATTCCTAGACGGCCACGGGATGAAATTCACCGATTTCATTAGCCTAAGGCTGGATTTGAGCAAACTGCGCCCCATGGGAAAGGACGGTCAATGGTACTCCGATAAAAAGCGATAAAAGAGCACAGATCAACAGCCAAGGTAGTGTTAGCCTCTTTTAGCAGACTTTCAGCATCCTTTAGTATCGAAACCCCGCACTACACCGCATCTTCCGAATGTTACACTTCTACCCCAGCTGATATGTACAAGCAGTCAGTCAAGCCGCTAAGACACGACGGTCAGTCTCGATAAGTGCATCTCTGACAGATCTTTATGTATTATTGCTCTTTGCAACCTGGATTTTCTCGAACCTCAAAACAAACCTTCCTCTCAAAAACCCAAAGCAAAAAGAAGCGCTATGCAGACACAGCCCCGATGGGGGATGCATCCGTACCAATCAGCAAGGCAATAAGGCGCCCCGGTCTCGTATCCAACGCCCGAGCAGCGACGGGCGCCCGGACAACCATCACGGGGGCACTTCCCATATCGAGAGATCTGGTTGAGCACCAGTCGATCGCCCGACGATATCCAATCCGGCCTTACCGAGGCTCCTGAAGCAAGAAAAATGAGGCTCATGGCTGTTGCTGACCAACCGCCACGCAAGGAGGAACGTGCCGAATGGGCGTAATCATCGGCGATACTCAAACCCAGGTAAAAAACGACACATCACTACGATAAATCTCGCACCAAGAGATCCTTTGTTCTTCAACCCCCCAGTCATCATGCTATGGCAGATTGTGGAGGGCGAACTAGTGTCTTTGGAATATAGCTTATGACCTTTTATTTTACTTATTCTACTCCGTACCTTGATCCACAAGGGGACAAATGACAAGCAGCTAGCAATGCCAGCAGTCCCCTCCGCCATCGAGCTGCTAGGAAACTCCCTTGTGCATCGCAGCACCAACTTAACCTCTCCCAATGCGACGGCCAAGGTTCTTGAGGTTGTCTGCGCTTGGCCAGTTTCTGGGCAATATGGCCCGGGAACTCGAGTGCTGTATGGGCCCCTTACATGATGATAAAGCCCTGCTAGTTGAGTGAATAAATGCTAATTCGAGCGACAGTTACTATGCTTCGATGGCAGCCTGTATATTTGCACGTAAAGCAGAATGGATTCGCAGCGCTTGTCTAGCTGCCGCGTTGCTGTTCCCTGCCGTTGCAGCTCTTCATGGAATTGTCCTAGCGACTCTTCATCGAAGCGGTAAGTCGCTAGTTCTCAACGTATAAAGAAGCCTGGCGAGGCTTCGACTTCAGTGCCAATGTCCAGATCTAACTATCTGATAGGTGCTGTCGATATGGATGTTTACGGCGCTTTTCAGTTATGCGCAATTGGCATCCTCACTGCACCAGTAACTGTGCGACTGTCCAAGACATATTTCAACAATCCCGGTCGCGACATCATATTCCTGTGGACTGGCCTCCTTCTTGCTGGACTCCTCAGTTTGACCGTGGAGTTCATTCGTTTCGATGCTACAACCTGTCCTGCCGATGATCCGGCCACAATTGCTTGGAACTTAACTGGTAAATTCTTTTATAACAGTACCTGTGGCATGACCTGTGGCCAGGGGGGCCCCTATTCACCTTTACGACAAGGATCAGCCGACAATATATACGTGATCCCCGTACCCCATCAGCTTACATTCAACACGGCGACACTCCTCGCAGCAGCATGCTGCATTCCAGCCATCTTATCGCTTGTATCAATGTGGATTAAGATCCTGGAGAAGAATTGGGAGAAAATAGCTCTCAAAGATCGACCCAATGAGAAGCCTGATGAGCAACCTATTGAAGGCACCAATGGAGCAACTCCGAAGCAAATGACGGGCATTGCAAACAAAGTACGAGGCTGGTTGACACTGATTGAGATCCCGGTTTTTATTGCAGCGGTACTGGCAATATTGATCAAAGGCGAGATGAACTTCTTCAGCACGCCCGTGAAATATCAAACTGAGCCCATCCAAAGTATTGGTAATCGTTCCTTTACCCTTCTGTTCAAGTAAAAGCTGTCAACTTTGGGAAGTGACTATGAAACTAACAATGACTCGAAATTCTAGGCCAATGGGCACCAATTGTCGGTACTGGGCTTGCTGCAATCGGATCGCTGTATCTTCTACTCGCGGCCGATATGGAGGCTGAGGAGAACGAGGAGAACGAGGAGAACGCGGAGAACGAAAATCAGGAACCAGAGACTCAAGATCCGAATCAGCCAGATGGACCAGTTATAATACAATGTCAATCATGTGCAGGGTGTAATCATATCATCTCGAATGCAATCACAGACAAGGACTCAGACTCTCAACGAAGCTCCCAAAGTGAAAGGGACGGACCCAGCACCGAATTCGGGAGAACAGCCACTGAACCTTCAGTCTCGTCTGGAATGCGCCGTGCTACCACAAATCAATCCGAAAAGTCCATCGATACAGGCGGCAGACGACAAGTAGCCCGTCTTCTCAACTCGGCGAGTAGACGACTCGCTGCTAGAGCACACAGTCACATGGAAGATACTGGATTCAATGCTCAGGAGAAATTGAAATTCCCTGAAATCCCTGGTGAATTCCTGCGGAATGACAAATTGCCAGATATTCAGAGGGCATACAGCAACACTCCTTTGCCGCGGTCTAGAGCCACTAGCTTTGCTGGTAGCGTTGACTCGGACTCCTCTAATGGCGAAGGGAGCTCAAGGATCGTTCAGCGTCCCTTCCGACAATTATCGTTACAAGTTCCGGCTCCAGCACGAACAGCTGGTCACCGGCCACACTCAAATACTCTTCCATCAAGACGAAGCTCCTTCGAATACAGCGTCCAGCGCGACGGCACGATTACACCCATTAATCTATCTGCGGGACCAACTAGCCCGGACGAGCTGTCACGATTTGAACAACAACCTAGACAATCACCTGTAACTCCCTCGCCGAGTGCTTTGCAGGCTAACTTTAATGCGCCTTCTCTGCGAGCTCAAAGCCCGGCACCCCAGATTGTTGTTTCTTCCAGTAAAAAAGAGGAAACAGAGTCGGATTGAGTTGTCGGTGGTAAACTGGACTCGGGGTGTTGTGTCATGGGAGTCACACGGGTCCAAGAAATAAACGAATCTAACTACTTGTCCTGCGAGCTTGTTATGATACAACTGCGGACAGTATACGTGACAAGCGAAGCAATTCCAGATATAGACGTGGATGCACGAACTGCATGTAAAATTATGGTTTTTTGAAGACACGCACTAGCATGCATGGAACGGAAATAGGCGTTGTATCAACAATTTGCAATTTAACATCATTCTACCAAAGAAATCTTGTACACAGAAAAATAAAATTAAACAATACCAACTGCTTCCAGCCAGCTCTCTGCCATCTCATCAAAGTTAGGACTGTACAGCCACGCCAGGTCAAACGGTTTCGTATCCAAGTCCGAAGGGGCAGACTGGGGATTTTTCGGCATTCTTCGCGCATCAATCTGTGCATTGAGGTCGAGAACCCGGTCAACTCTTTCCTGGCGGCCCTTCTGCCAAACCTTCAGCCCCTGCTCCAAGTTGTGCTGTTGGCACTTGGAAAGGATCAAAGAGTAGATATAGACATCCTCAAAGGCCTGGTTGATACCCTGCCCAGCTGTTGGGGGAATTGCATGAGCTGCATCACCAAGAATTACCACTCGCGAGTGCTTTGACGCCCAAGTGTCAAGCTTAGGGACCACATAAAACGGCCAAAGATTGATCTTGTTCAACGGAATGTTGGAAACGGACGATTGCACGATTTCGGGGAAAGATTCTGCTCCTTCGCGCAGGAAGTCCACACACCATTGCTTGTCGTTCAGTAGTTTATTCCATCCTTCGCGGTCGAGTTGAGCAGCGCGTTTCTGTTTTCCGATAAGGACTTCAGAGCCATCGGGGAGCTGCTTTGCGATCACAAAGGCGCCATGTTTGGGGTGCATGATTGTCACGGGCATTTCATATGTATCCGTACCCGTGAGTTGACTTGTCGGAACGGCAGCAGTAACACCCACTGCATTGGTGAATTGCGGCTCCAGGTCTGGATAGAGATACTTCCGAACTCGCGAATGGATCCCGTCCGCTCCGACCAGGCAGGTTGCTCGACCAATCTGGCCGTCTTCAAATTCCCAAGTGACTTCCGTCTCAGACTCGGTCAGGACGCGAGTGAATTTCTTGCCGTACTCGATGGGAATGCCCTTCTCTTTGATCGCGGTAAGAAGCACATCAATCAGCTCGTACCGGTAGATTCGCAGTGCGTCGTACTGATATTTCTCCCGGTCTCCGAACTCGTATGAATCGAGTGGCTTGTCGGTGTAGAAGTATAGATTGGTGAACTCAAAACCACGCGGCTTGATCTTTTCGTAGACGTCGAGTGCGTCGAGGATACGCAAGGCGTTGGGGGACAGCATTATGGCGCCGCCGATATCGAGGGAGGCTGAGCGGGCTTCGTAGATAGTGCATGGGATAGATTGCTTGTGCAGAGCAAGTGCCAGTGCGAGGCCCGAGAGTCCAGCACCGATGATTGCAACGTTGTTTGAAGCCATTTTGTAGTATAATTTGTAAATGAAGCGTCTGATTTGGTTATTTTCGTGGTTGTTGAGGTTTTTATTTGTGGTAGTGCGATGATTTCTCTATCACAGATTGAAGAGAAGATTCAAAGCTTTTATAGAAACTTCTATGCTTATTTGAGTTCTTGTTCTTCATCGGGCATCACCATACAATCTGGAATTACATCTTGTTGCTATCCCCGAAGATGATAATTACTCGGATCCGGGAATCCGGATCCGAACCCCGGGTCCGGAGGCACATCTCCAGGTGGATGAACACGCGTGAATCACAGGAAGTAAGTATAGGATACGAATGATCCTGTTGTTTGCTAGAGAGGGTACTGAATTCCACCTTGTAATGGATTTGACTCTACGCAATATTTAGCCAGTGTGTCCGAATGACATAATTTACAATTACATTTCATATTCGTTACAGACAGGAGAGGTATCAAAAAGCAATATAAAACATCATCCCATGCGCAAGGATAACAACCACAGAGGGCATGCCTAGCATGGTAATAATCCTCGCGTATAGAAGTACTCGTCCAACTTGGACTCCAGGTCGGCACCCTCATATATTCCAGCAATATACTGATCCGGTCGCAACAGATATGCAGCACCTTTCTTGAATCCAGCTTTGCCATGCTGTTCATCCCACTCAAAGACAATTAACTGAACGTGTTTTGTCTTGCACCATTCCTCTAGCCCTACCGGAGAATCGCCATACACGTGGACCTGCCAGCTGATATCGTGCAAAGTTGAGAAGTTGTCGTCACGCTCCGTCTTGACCCATGGCAGACGATCACCGGGCTGTACTATCTCCGAGCCTTTTGTTGGCTCGCTGAGCATGCTGCTCCCCCTGTAGCAACAGACTAGTTGAGATCCACGTCGGAAAATCTCCGTACGGGTGGTATGGAAGCGGGCGACGAGAGGAATGAGAGAGGGAATCACCCACGCGCGCAGAAGGTGCGGGAAGAATCCCGAGCTGGTGAGAATAGTGAAGCCGTGATCGGTTGCGCCGACCACATCTAAAGCGAATGAACGCCGTTCAGGTTCATAGGTATCCAAAAGCGCCTCTTTGGCTTCTGGGGTCATTGAAGGCTGTTTGATCACAGTTGCGAGTTTCCACGCCAAGTTGATGGCATCCATAATGCCCGTGTTCATTCCTTGGCCGCCTACTGGGCTGTGAATGTGAGCAGCGTCGCCGACAAGAAAGGCTCTGTTGCTGCGGTACTTGTCTGCTACGCGGTGATGACTGCGATATGTGGAGAACCAGTTGACCTTTTGAATGTCGATATTCGTAGTTTTCTTGATCTCCGGGAGCACGTCCTCAAATGTCACTTCGGCTTGAGGTTCCGAGGTATTGGTTTGCTGACTCGGGGCAGTCTTTGGAATTGTCGTTCCAATTAAACGGACGTGGCGTTCTTCAACGTATGGTAGAATCAAATTGAAAGTTTCATCGACAAAGGTCAAGTGAGCTTCGCCGTTAAAAATAGGGCTGTCTTGCTCCTCCGCAACAATATCAGCAATGTAGAAGAGTGGCACATATGTGTCACCCTCGTATTTTGCCCCAATAACGTGTCGAACTGCCGAATGAGCGCCATCGCATCCAACGATATAGGCGGCTTCGCAGGTAGACTCGGCTCCGTTCGCACACGCCAGAGTTGCAGTGATGCTCGAGCCATTATCGACAAAATTTTGCAGCTTGGTTTTCCTCTCAACGAAGATACCAAAGGAGTTCAGCCGCTTCTCGAGCAGGCGTTCATGCTCGTCTTGAGGGAAAGAAAGCAGGTAGGGATATGGTGTCAACTCTGTGCCAAATTGCCGCAGGTTGATGTGGGCTCTGTGGCAACCATTTACCCACACATTGGTAGCAGGTAGCTGATATCCACGATCTATCAGCTCATCGGCTAGATCGAGTTGGCGGTATAGCTCCAGAATACGGGCATGCACAGCCAGCGCGCGCGAGTTGGGGGCGGGTCCACCTCCCTGGTCAACAATGCGGGTTCTGACACCCTGTGCGTGAAGCCAAAGAGCGAGAACAAGGCCAGTTGGCCCTGCTCCGGCTATCAAGACATCTGTTTCGATCATTTCTTGAGAACAGGATGCCAAATCAGGCGATGAAAATAGAGTTGATCGTACACGATCTGATAAGATTTATCGAGAGAAAATACAAGTAGTTTCGAAAGTCCGACGGGAGATCAATGAAGGATTTGGGAGATATGAGAAGGCATTTATGGTGGTCAGCTGCTGGAATATCGTCAGATATAGGCTACAGTGTCTGCGTGTCCATTTCGTATTCGGGCGGCCTAACCACCGACCCCGAGAGTTGGAATCGAGCAACGATCGGAGAAATGCCGGCCGATCGGCGCGAGGCTCCATGAACCCAAAACCGTTGTGCGCCTTAAATCTGTCATTTGTCGTGGTTACAACAATTGTCCTTGTGATACAGCAAATTTGCCGCCAAATGATTCATTGCTTAGATTGGGGTCCACCCGATTTTACCCGTCTTTAGTACGAGAAATGGCAGCCTTGCCACGATCACACTGAGCCCGGCATCAGCGTCATGTCGTCCACCAGCGATTCTTGAAACTGATTCAAGAGGTTGTCCCATTCGCTCCAGTCCATTGGACTATCACCAAGTAGGAAATCCATGTTCTCGGTCCCGCCGTCGAATGGGACGTTCGATGCATATTGGCCGGGTTCTTGAACTGGAGCATTATTCACCTCCATCTGGGCATTTTCGTGGGCAACCTGTGCTTCCGTGAAACCTTTGGAAGTATTGAATGAGCTGCTCACAACTGTCGGGCAAGGTCTCGGTGTGCGACCGTGCTGGTTACACTCGTCAACGTAGGCTCTCCACGCCTTGACAAACAAGTTTTGTAGAGCCTTATGAAGAGGCATCTGAGATTTCTTTCCCATCTGTCGGACATGACGGCCATAGATACTGCCAACAATTTCCCAGACTTTATCTTTCTCGTCCGGGTCGGTCCTGTTTCGCATCTCGGACAGCATGAAGATCATAGCATCCCATGGCATGTGATTGACCATGTGCCATGAAAAGCGCTGGACGTCAGGGTTTGTTTGAGCATAGTCGGCATACTCTGCCATCTTCAAACAATGACCAAAGATGACATCCTTCTCAGACTGGGGTATACGAGCACCCGAGTCGTGATAATGGCGAGGATGATGCGCCATCAGCCTGGTATAATGACTGGACGAGCGAACCATCATTGTAGTAGCCAGATGAAGAGGGATTGACTGATCACAATATTTCAGGAACTTTTGTTCCATGATATCTTCCAGCTCATCAATACACCTATCCTTCTCGCTCAGCGACAGCGTTGAGGATGACAGGAAAGCCCACGGAGAACCAGAGCCACCAGTGTTAGTGTTCCAGCGACGAAGCCATTTTCCAAACTCACTACGAGCAAGGCAGAAAATCATCTCAGACGGGCCCTCCTTTTCGCATGCGGGCTCTGTCATGCGCGGATCAAGGTCGCTGTCATTTGCATTCATTGGTGGTCTGGTATCAGCCGAGTCCACGAATGGACCTGCAGCGACTCCACAGAATTGCGCTGACGTTGCATCTAGAATCATGAGTTGGAACCAGATACGGCGTCGCATCTCGGTTTCGAAAATTGAAAGCCCATGACCAGAGCCATCGCGGTGAATGCCAATCCTCTGTGCCATTCGTAGTGCAACACCGCTCAATGACCAGATAGTATGTGGATCGGAGAAAGCCCTCATTGACAACTAGACCAACACCTGTCAGTCACTGAAGGGTGTTTAGCGTAGGATACAACTCACCAAGTATAATATGAACGCTTGAAGAACCACTGTACTTGATGTGCGAAGGAAAGAGGCATTTCTGAATGCTTGTTGTGCTCCTCGTCGGCATCTTGATAGAAGTTTCTTTTTACTCTCGCCAAATGCCTTCTCGACATCTCCAGCCTGAAGGGATATCAGGGAGATGCAATAGATGGAAAACATTAATGCTTCAAAGTCCTTGCTGACTTGTTTCAAGTCACTCATAGCTTCCAGTATCTGCTGCTGAACAGTTGGCGCATGCACGATCTTCGTCAATGGGTTGACTCTCTCAAGAAACGTCTGCCATAACTTAAATATGTGTAACGGGTTGGGGTGCAATTCGGCCAGGCCTTCTCGTGTTCCATGGCTGAGAAGCATGGACGAAACATTGTCTTCGTCCTGCGATGCATTATCGCTGTTGTCATCCGCTGCATCGCCCAGGACTTCCGCCGCATCTGGGAGCTACAAGCGAAAGTTAGAAGGGAAGGGAAAGCCCGAAAGATCCGAGAGTCACCAACCTCATGGCTCACGCTTGTCCAAAGAGTACTGTGTATTTCCTTATTAGCTATCTCATTCCAAGTTGATAGGCCGCAAGGTCACTAACTTATCAAGGTAGACTGAGTTGCCTTCCCTCATAATCATCCTTCCGGACCCGCTTCGGCTTGTTTCGGTACCATTGGACATATTTCTGGCTGGGGAGGCATGGTGTGCTGCATTACCTCCAGACGATGGCTCTCTGCTGTTCCGCCGAACTGACTTCTCTCGTTCTTGAGACGCGCCTCGGCTTCCATCGCGCTCTCTCTTGCGGCGCCTTGGAGGCGCCGGGGGGCGGTAGATACACTCAACACTGGCCTTAGCGCAGTTTGAACATGGCTCCTCGCGATTACATTTAACTTTCCTCTTGTGGCAGACCACGCAAGAGTAAGGTTTCAGTGCACTCGACGGCAATCCCAGGGGCGTCCGGGAAGGGACCGCAGCGCCATCGCGAGGATGAGCCATCTCTACACCAGATTCCCACGTTAAGATATGTACTTCATGTAGGAGAGACCAAGCACGATCGCATGCGTGTCAAGCTGAGATGCTTCGCCCGCTTGCTCGGTTGATGACACGCGATGTTCCGGCGCGCGGTGCTGAAAGGACCTTTAGGCCTGAGGCTGCAGGCATTCATGGGGAGATACTTTGATGCCTCGTTACTCAGGCTACGAGCCCCGGAGTTCGATAACACGGCCATCGATATTTGTCTTGGCCGCGCTTTTATTATTGATTATTCTAGTGGCCACATATAGTTATACGTTAAGCCTACCCTTCTATAAGGTAAGCTGGATCGACTGTTCCTTTTCAGCGGTCTCGGAAGGCATGGCCACAAGCGTACCCGAAGTTGCTATTCTGGACGGAGATCACCAACTGGTATTTGTACTTGACAAATCCTCGCAATGCGCAATATTAGATGTGTTACGGCAACATAAGTAGTTTGTGGTGCCCTAGGGCTACAAGAAATGTATCACATCTTGATGATTACAATCATGGTATGCGAAGAATGAGATTCGTCAATGTCGGAACCTAGAGCTTTAGGGTCTATTCTCCTCCATTATTTCTTATTGGACTTGCTTTTAGATTCTTCTGCTTTTTTATCTCACTATTTGACGAACCAGTAGCAAGGAGCCTTGGAGTACCTGCTCCACGAAAATGCTTAGCAAAATCATTTACAATCAAGTCGACAATGAGACTCGCACCCACGCTTCGCGAATGCTCAAACGGTTGTAACCTATTCAATTCCATGTCTAGGACGTATTTGCGCGTTTGCATAATCCTGTGACGTTTCTCGAATGGATTCTCTTGGCCTCTATAGTCCTGTGGCTAGTTTTTTACAGCTGTGTCATGGCACTCCACAACTCCGAATCTGCCCATCCCAGCGACGGCTGGTTATCAAACAACTCCCAAATCAGACTATCATCCCACCCCTCGACCGAGGGAGGCACGCCAAAAGCCTCGCTACTGGTTTGTGGGCTTGGAAGCGTATTGGGAAAATGGCCCGCATCTTGGTGTAGCACATCTGGATAGGAAGATCTCAATTGGCCAAGGGATCGCCGCTCTGTGTTATGATCTCCATTCTGGGAAGCATCTGGTTGCTCAACTGCACCAGCAGGATTAAGCTTGACCAACGGCGCACATAAATCAAGGAACTTTGCGAATAGCGCGCACAGTTTGCCGATGGACGCATTTGCTTTGGCGAACTGCCGAAGGTCATCTGTGATCTTCCTTATCATTTCGTAATCCCTGTGGTCTGACGTCGCAACAACATTGCAAAAGAGGACGAAGAACGGCGAGAGGGGAACAAGTAACATCGTCCTAGAATCAAATCAGTTCATTATTTGAAGAATTTTTAACATGGCGGATAAGTGCGAACCATGTGAGGAAATATGGATATGAATCCACGGACGTGGCGTTCCCAGAGAAGGCTTCTTGCAAAGCACGAAGTGTCATTAACGCCTTGCGAGCCGCGTAGAGGCACTCTTCGCAAACCAAGCGCGATTTCAGCACTGATGACCGTGCGCGGATAATAGTGGTCAAGATGGAATAATAGTTGAAGTCCATAGACAGCCATTCGCGGCTTAAGATTCTCCACGAGGCAGGAAACTCTAATTCCTGGCGGTTGCGATGCTGGAAAATAGCAGGTAAGCGGCGACTCTGACTTCGCGTAGAAACGAACCTACCATTTGGAGATTGGAATGAATTGCCTGGGCACGGACAACAAGATCAGACAAGGCATTGGCTTTTTCTATATCACCCATCTCTTTCGTATCCAGCAGGATGTTGGGCAAGGTATTTTTAAGACATGCGAATTCGACAATACCGGTTATCATGGGCGTAGTAGGTAAGTCTGGGTCCAAATGCATCAATCTTGTTGGCTCAACCTTCAGCTCAGGTAACGATGGTGGCCGAAGGAGAAGCAGACTGAGTGTCTTGTCGAAATAGTAACATGTGTATACACAGGCGTGTATCTCTTCTTCCACTTCATTCCGGGGTACAGTGTCGGTAATGTTATGATAGTTCAAGGCAATGATGACCTTGGATGCCAGAGCTGTGAACATCCAACAGCGGGACATGTTGCCCAAATACTGCATCAACCGTTTCTGTTATGCATTAGCATTAGCATTTAAGCAAGGAATTATGCTCTGAGAATATTGACTCACACCTGACAGGAGCGCCTGTAGCAGTGGTAGGCTTGGAGAAGCCGTTAGTGGAATTGAATTGAGCTCCTCGATAGCTCCAGCCTCATATTGTTTCTTCAATCTCCTGAAGTGAGCCTTCAAATGCTCGCTGGATATCAACGGTGCCAATTTTGATATGCAGGAAAAGGCTTTGATCCATACACTGATCCGATACAGCTGAAGCACCTGTTCACTCTCACTACGCTCCATAATAGCCAACCCCATTCTTTCAAGGGTTTTATCAGAGATATGGTCTGGCCACACAAGCGTTCCTTGAGAATTGGTTTTCCTATCCGGCCCTGCTACCGTGAGTATATGGGTTTCCATGTTATCAAAAAATCACTTACCAGGTAACATCATGTACAGTAATTCCGGTGTGAGATTTGGTCGTGCCAAATTCTCTTCAACATCTAGCTCTTCGCAGGTAGGATTTTCTTGGCGCTGCAAGCCCGGGTTGGATAGCTGACCGACAAACCTGCGCGCCATTTCGAGGGCAGTTCGCCTGTCCTGTGAAAGAGCGGGATTGCATTGCAGCTCGTTTTCAATATACTCTCTTGCCTCACTGGCGTGACGAGTTGACTCTGAAGAGTGGTGTTCAGCGTGGACTTGCGAATGAACACTCTGCGAGACTCGACGCTTTTTATCCTGTTGCCTGGATGGACTGGCTTCGCTAGGTATGGGCGCTACATAGAACTTTCTCTTGGTAGACGGGAACGGCCTAGAGGTATCATAATGAGTTGTTCCTGGAGACGATGGTGCAGTCGAAGTACCATCATGATTTGCATTCCCTGATGGAGGCGATGCAGAGGTTGCGGTTTCAGCTGTGTTTGATCTTTCCAACTTCGCAAGTCTCTCAGCTAATGCATCTAGACTATTCAATATCAGTTGGTCAATTGTCATGCGCAATCTCTGGTGTGGAACAAACCGAGAAACTCTCGGGCGATGGACTCTGGCGTGACGTGTGCGAAGACAATCAGCCTTTGCATCCACACAGTTCATACATGGATCCTGGCGATCGCATTTGACCTGAGCAACAATATAAACATCTTTGACATAAAATTATTGAGTGGGTCACAACCTAGGCGGCCTGACCTTTCTTATGTGACATAAGTCGCACTATTTATCCATTAGCTGTGCTTGGTAGACAAGGAAGCTCGAAGCAGGACCGGCGAACTTACTGCGGGTATTGTAGAGGTCATTTTTCTGCGATCGGCCTCCAGGCCGGTACTTCACCTTCAATGAATAATATCTTGATTTGAATGACAAATGACCCCTGTTCTCTGCTTGTGAGTATTATCCTTGGCCTTGCTGAAGCTATGTTGGAATCAGAGTATCCGGTGATTCCAGCCTCCTAATCTCTCGGGAGTCCGAAAAGCCGGTCGCCGGACCAGTTGGGTTTAGTGGTCGGAGGTTGCCGATACCCAACTACGTTCAAGTATGTGCCAGGCGACATAAATACCATCGCTAGAATTTATATTGATCGTGCTAGTTTATCACACAAACTACCGTTTGACAGATCGCCCCTATTAGACATCCGGAGCGTTCGAACCATCTCTCAGTCTTTAGGGAACTTTTCTCCTTCAGAAAGCCTGGTCGTAGGGCCGAGGGCAGTAGCGAGATTATTAACCCCAAGTTTGTGAAATCCTTTCATACAACTTTCTAATCAGTTAGAATCTGAAGGGGACTTGGAGGGAGGCCAGTCTAAGAGATGGTCAGCCTTCACCATAATTGTTCGCGGCCTCTATGGATCGCATCATGGACTGTTGGTTTCATAAATGATAAAATTGTTTATTCGTGTTGATTCAATTAGTACACAGTCCGTATTTACTTGAGTTTCTCTTCGTAAGGACACAGTCCCAGGATAGGAAGATAAGGAAAAGGAAGGGAGGAACGAGTGTATCAGACATCCCAGTCTAGCCAAGGACAAAGAAAAGACGGCACGCATGGTGAGTGTGGGGCATGCAGGGGAGCTGTTGTATGTCCCAAGGACTACAGACAGCGAGGTATTATAATACAATATCGAAAAGAAAGGGTTGACGAATCGAGTTTATCACGAGATCAAAACCCAAAGAAGGAAAAAAATCTGGAGAACGGTTAATGATGTGTGCCACTCGAGTAGAAAATGAATGTACTCACCATCAGGATACCAAACATCTTGGCAATAAGCCAGCGATTACCAGACACCCGAGTCCAATATTTCATGAGTTCTCGCTGAGCGCCTTGGACGTTGTCCACAACGTCCTCGGTATTTGCGTCGATACGTTGAATCATTTCAGACTGTTCGCTGACCATCTGTGCCAACTGGCCGAAAATGCCACCCAGTTCGCTAATAGTTCGCTCAATGGCTTCGATGGCCTCTCCACGGGCCTGGACGTAGGAATTGCTGGATTGGGCCTCCTCCATGACGAGGAGTTGCTGATCTGATTGCATTGACTGACCCAAGGGTGAGGGGTTTGAAGGATCCAAGGTCAAAAGGTCGGACGAGTTTCCTTGATACCCTGGCTGAGGAGTTCGGCGCCCCGAGGTGTTGTATAGAGGTGAATCAGAGCGTTGCGAGTCAAGAGCACTTTGTGATTTGGAGGAGACGGAGGAGACAAAATTCTCGGTTCTTGTTCGAGAGGCCTGGATGTTCTTTGTCCGGACTTCGAGGACATCCTTGAAAGAAGATCCGACGTCCGCAAGTTTTCCCTGCAACATAACGACGACCTAGGATGTAACTAGTCAGCGTATAGGCCGTGCGCTCTCGATACTAAATCGCCCACTCACATTGTCATTGTGTTCTCCTTCCTGGTCTGTCTTGGAGCGGCTTGACTTCGGATGTTGCGCTTGGGTCAACGCAGATAAGGAGGCGATCTGCTGGTTCAGCGAGGCCAGGTCTTGCTTGATCACGTATGTCAATTCGGAGATCTCGACGGGTCGGTCATCGAAGAGTGTTTTCCGCTTCGCCACTATAATCTCTCATATTAGACTCTATCCATTAACGAAACCTAGCCGAACCACTGAAGCGGTTCTGCTTTCCAAAAGCAAGCAACTCACACTCTGCCAAACGCTGCAATTTCGCGGTCGTTCCAGTAATGCCCTTTCCGATATCCCGCGCCCTCCGCGCAAACTCGGATCTACCTGTCTTACCATCTTGCGCACCAGAGGGCGACCCATTCGCTTGTCGCCTTTGGGCGTCCGTCAGGAGCGCTTGTCGCTGGGTTCCAACTTTCGAGGCGCTGAGTCGTTTTTGAGCGTGGCCCAGAATGGCGCTGAACTCGCTGGTGCGATCTTGAATGGACGGTCCGGTCATTTTGACAGGGCGAGGTAGGAAAGGCGACCCGGTGAATCAAAAAGCCGTTGTATTCGGAGATTAGAGGAGGCGTGGGTCAGGGTGGACTTGGCCGGTGTTTGGCAACGGGGCTGGTGGTTCAACTGGACTCTAATCGATAAGGGGGAGGCGTAGACGTGTCCGGTTGCAGCGATAGCGTTGGGAGAGAATATTCCAGGTGTATGGCGGGGGGTCAAGCAAACAAAAGCCAGTGTAGCCTTTGCATCAGTTGAATGTTCAGGAGAAAAACACCACGACTATTTGTTCCCTGATTGCAAGCCACCTAAATTGAAACACGTCGTGGATCGCGGCGACTTTGATGGCTGTCACGTGAGGGATGTCCGGATGGCTGTATCGTTACGTCAGCAGCACCGCCGCACCCAAATTTAGATCGGGCAGGCTGTAAAGTAACCCCAGACTTAAAATCAGGGGAACAGGATTCCTTGGAACACAGTTTCGGGGCTTCAAGTATATCAATGCTCCGACATTCTTCTTTCTTCCATTTCACTTCTTGACTTCCACTCAGTTGTGTTCATATTGCTCAATTCTAGTGGATACACGTCATCTTCTGCCCGTGTACATCAATCTTGTTTCCCGCCGCCCGCTTCCAGCTCTTCCAGCTAACCCATCTGATCTGATCGGCGTCCGCATTGGCATTCGCAACGTTGCTCGCGCCACACCGTCCTCCCTCAAATACCCGGCGGTCCCCTCCTGCACGAGCTCAGGAAAAGCATCAGGGGTCCGTCGACCTTGCGTATTAACGATCACAACGCGGAAACTTCTACAGTCTAGCCAGCCAGGCAGCAACCGATGCTAGAGCCGTAAGTCCGGTTGACCACACCACTCGACGCTATTATCTTGATGGCGGACCGTAATCCTCCATGGCATGGCCGGGGGGTCCAGAACCTGTGAGTATACTACCCGTTGCGCTACCACCTGTGCTTCGTCACACAAGTTCTGAGACAAACATCTTTTATTTAGTTCTTCCAACGCGAATAGTCCCCTCTCGCCCGCAAGTACGGGCAGAGCTGCCCCCTCCTTCGAACGGAACGTCAATCGCCAAAAGACCCAGCGCTGGGTGCAGGCGAAGCAGTATTCATACGATGGTGGCGACTGGGGTGACGATGACGACGAAGAAGAAGAGGAAGAGCCACCAGCGGCACCTGCGCCTCCCTACGCCACGCACAAGACGGGAAGCACCTCCGAGTTGAGCTCCAGGCGCTTGTCTGGACTTGGGTTTGGGACTGATGAGATCCGCGCAAGTCCCACTACCGAAACCAAGCCGCTTCCCAGCGCTGGCGATCAGAAGTCGCTGCCTTTCGTTAGACCTGCCGATATCTACAAGCGAATGCGCGAGGAGCGAACACCACAGGGTGAAGCAGCAAGTTCCGGACGTCCAGCAGAGCCCCAAGGCTCTATTCAGCCCAGTGCTGCCCCGAATCATCCTGCCATGGCTAGTGGCAACGGTACCGTGCCCGAAAATCTAAGCGCCTCAACTCAACATCCTCCCTCCATAGCGCTACCGGAGTTCAAAAGAATGTCAGGATTCGGTGCCGATTTCATCGGTTCCACTGATCCAAGCTTCCAGCAAAATGCAAGCGCCGAGTCCCCGGAGGCCTCCTTACGTCACAATCCGTCTCAAGCCTCCCAGGATTCCCAGGCCTCTCAGGGCTTCACATCGGTGGTACACCAAGCCTTCGACGTTCCAGAGACTCCCAACTCCACTGCCGGCAGTGTGGTGCGGTCAAACAGCGACGGGACCTCCGTCATCAGTCCAATTATCAGTCACCGTACCACTCAGGACGACAAAACACCCACAATTCCCGAGGAGCCTGCAGAGTCCAGTACCCCCACCAACGCGCCAAAGGAAGGTGCGGACCAGGCTCCATTCTTCAAGCCTGGTCATCGACGGGATATGAGCCTTCCCGAGAGTGACAATAGCCCTTCGAAAACACCTCTGATTACGAACAATCAGGCTCCCTCGGCGGGTCAAGCAGAGATGTCGTCGGTCTCTCCAGGCCAGTCCGGCTCACCAGAAAGACCCGTCGACATCCCAGACACTCAGAGCGCATTGATCCCATCGACTACGGCCGCCGATGCTTACGTCGCACCTCTCAAATTTGGCAGCAATGGCTCAGCCGCATCTGAAGGCTATCGAGGCGAGATTCCTACGATCATTCCTACTAGTGCAGGCAACTCGCCGCAGGATACTGACAACGATCGATTGAGAGAAGAGATTATGCGGTCCTTGAGCCGGGAGAACTCACAAGAGCCCGAGCCGCAGCCACAGCCAAACCCGGATGGGTCTATCCCGCAAGACTACGAGAAGTACTGGGATAGTTCGACCGGGCCCGGTCCCCACGAAGTCCCGAGGCCACTTGTTTCAGAAACCCACCCCGACTGGACTAGCACACATCCTCTGGCTGCTCAGGACCCATACGCAGCTACGCACACGCCTAGCGAAACAGTCCCACCAGCCGACGCTGAGCCGAAGAGACCTCGATTAGGACGGCGGTTCTCGTGGGAGTCGGCCTCGTCGGGTGGCGAGCCCGTCGCGCAGGCCCCTGCGGCGGATACCGTGGCTCCCTCTTTGAGCGCAGCTCTGGCTGTCCATGATCCCGAGGCCATCGCCGATGATCTGGAGCCCATGGCGGAGGACCTGTCAAGGGACCGGCCAGTGACTGCTGGTGAAATTTCAGACGACACTCAGCGCGTCGAGAAGCCCAGGCTCTCAATCGTACCTCCAATCCCACAGACCATCTCTCCACCGGAGGAAATTGTGGGCCCCATTGGTGGCCAGGCAGCTGAAAGGGAAGTGTCTTTGCCAGTTGGAATATCGAAGGTCGACGAAGGAAAACTGCAAGGGTTCCGCGACATTCTCAACAAGCCATCTCCCGTGGAGCGCATCCGAGCGTTTGATCAAACCCGAGATCAATTCGCGACTCTAGACACGGGTATCAAGACTTGGCTTGAGTTTACTGTCCATGCTCATCCAGAGCATGCTGATCTTGTTCACTCAAGTCAGACCCTATCTTCTGGATTCCCACGGACATCGCCTACGACCAGAAAGTTCCCCAAGCTCGCATCTCTCGGCAACATTGCCTCTAAGGAAGACGGCGCTCCAGCAGGCGCTGGCCACGCTAGACGTCCCTCTGGTCATATTGGAACGATTGTAAATCGGCAAAACGTCGAGCAGCGTGGCAAGGATCTCCTCCACACGGCTGGCACTTTCGGTGGAAAAGCAGGTGAAGCTGCCAAGGGTTTATTCGCCAAGGGCAGGAGCAAGTTCCGACCCAGCGGAGACAAGGTAGATACGTGATCTCATTTCCTTTATGTCATTCTTATTCCCTACTTGGACGGGGTGTCATTCTTTCAATTTTCGTCGTGGGACAGCGCGCTGGAAGCCAGCACTACAGTCTATATCCCTCGCCTTTTTCATACTTCATGTCTCCTTATCACTGTCGGATACCACGATGTAATTCCCATCGCTCTGGCATTGGATTCTAGAATGCGACACGATTGATGTATTTGATTCATCTTTCTTCTTTCGGCTCTCCACTCCTCCTTTCCCATTTTCATGATGACTTTTTTTTCGGGCCGGTTCTGATGTTGGTAATGTCTGTAGGTTGACCAATCGACTCCTGCTCCTCGCAGGAGTTTACAATTGCAGTTCTCTTCACTCTCCGAGTCTGGTAACTCGGATTCTTCCCATGGTAACTTTTCCCTACGCAACTCTGTGGTCTTTGGGAGCCTTCCCATCTTCAAGTCCAGTCGGAACGACAATCTCTCTGCTGCCCCTGCGACCACTATGGATCCTGCCTCGTCTCTAGAGGGCTCTGTCGACGATGAGCGTGCAGGCAAGCGTCTCAAATCCAATGGGTCGGTAGACTACATGCGGTCTGTAGACCAAGTCAATAGAGACTTGCCTAGTCAAACACCCATGACCTCGGAAGTCGACCACCGTAGAAGTGGAGATTTCTCGGAGTTTGCATTCGACTTTGAACGGGAAATGAATGCGGCTCTTGGGCTGTCACCCACCGAACCCCGTCCACAACAGGCATCGACCTTTGAGCCGCGTTTGAGCCCAAGTGCAACCATTGCTCTCCAGTCCGATGGCCCGCAGCACCAACCCGAAGAGGAGTTGAAGGAGGATACTAGTCATTGCGTGACTTGTGCCCCAACTGACGATGAGCAGAGCGAGAAGAGCTTGCCAGGTCTTGCTAGCCAACCCCCTGCGCCTTCCACCGTGTCGGATACGAAAGACGCATCACTGCCGAGTATCCCAGCTTCCGAGGCCATCATTCTGTCAATCCGTCCAGTGTCTGAAGAAGATGAAGCCCCTGTCTTACCACCAAAAGGACGCTTGTCGGTCGACCTCCCAACACAGGATGTGGTTGCAAGAGATATCCTTCCGGATGTTCCTCCAACGGATGTTTCCCCTACAAAGGAAGATGCACCAAGCCTTCCTCCGAAGGATTTGCCCCCCAGGGACGATCCTCCCAAGGGTCTTTTTTTGTCTCTGGAGTCAGAATTTACCCCACGACAACCGTCTGTCTCCACGCTCGGAATTGATGAGCATCAAGTCAGCCATCCGCGAGAGGAAGAAGTTGGGACACCCCCCTCGCCATTGCAGCAACCGGTGAACAGGGCCGAGGATGATATGTCAGAACGGCATGTGTACAACCAACCCAGCTCCAGAGCTCGGGTATCCGATATCACTCTGCCATCGCTCGACGATGTTGCGCCAGGCTTTGGCTCAGCTTACCCACTACGACCCCCCAGTTCGGCAGAAATCTTGGAGTCAAAGCGCAGGTCAATCAGCGGTCTCCCTCCATCAACCCCGGGTGTACAAAGCCCGCTCCGGAACGAAGTGAGATACTCGCCAGGCACTCGAAGCAGCATGTTGAGCTTTGGTAGCTTTGGTCGACAAAGCAATAACAGCAAGGGCACGCGTCCAAATACTCCGGCCAACGAGATGTCGCAACACGCTGCATCTGGTGATTCCAAGATGGACAAGTTGAAGAATTTTGGAAGACGGCGTCGTGCGTCGGTGGGCAATGCCCTCTCTGGATTCCAAGAGGGATTCTCGAAAGAAGTCCAGAGCCTTCAAACACGGAGCACTCAGAATGAACCGCAGCAGAAGGACGGTGGCCAGAAGAAGCGGGGATTTAGCAGAATTAGCGTATGTGATGTGATGTCCAACGGTTGATAAAAGTCTTTTCTAACCGATTGCAGGGATTCTTCGGTCGCCAACAAGATCCTCAGCCTGCACAGAGCAAGACCCCCGATATGAGTCACGGTAGACCGGCTCAGGCGAAAGCCCAGCCAGCAGCTCCTATGGGGTATCAAGCTCAAGACTCATTCAGGCACAACGGCCACTCTACACTCGACCCAGTTAGCAAGGACCTCCCGCCTCCGCCGGTCTCCAGGTCCTCATTCTCCTCTGTCGAATCGCCCTCTCAAACTCGCGACCCTCGTCAGCGGGCAAGCATGCCCCTTCCGCCTGTCGTTGCGACTACTTCTATGTTAACTGGACGGTTCTATTCATCGATGCAATCCGGGGAATCCTCTGCACCTCCCCAGCATACTCGCACGAAGAGTCAACCGATGCTGTCCCCACCACCATTGTCACCCATCGGGGGATCTGATTCTGGGAACAGCGGTATATCCCCTCCACTGTCCGATGTGAGCCAGGTAGAAGAACGAACTCCGTCCCAAGAACGCGCTGAGGAAGACTTTCACCCACCTGTACCACCCAAGTCGCCTGAAATCCAGCCCAAGCTCGAGCCAAGTCCCGATCTATCGATCGACGTCTCAAACGTCTCCGTCATGTCGACACATCCGCACCGTGGTGATGCGCGGTTGGTCAATGACACCCCCGAGCCTGTCGAGCTCGCAGTCACACGTGATGACTCCAGCGAGGAGATCATCATGTCTCCCACGTCTTACCCAGGACAAGAATGGACGCCGATGAATTATTACTAGCAAAAAGTGATACCTTCCGTTTGTCAAGCGATCATACGATACCCATTTTGATTTCTGGCTGTCTTTACTGATACCCATGTTATGGTCATTCCGGCCTATCATTTGATACCTATTCTGTTTCCAATTTATGGTTTCATTGATTGCAGCTGTATTTGGCGTGTCTTTGAGCTCTTTGAGCCTTGTGCTCAGCGTGTATTACCACTCGTTTAATGTATCTATTCTGTATCATAGTGCTTACCTCTGTTGAGTCTACCCCGGCGCTAGTATTCAAGCTAGCATTGTAGTCATGTACTCTTCTGACAACATAAGGACTTCCTACTTGCTTCGATCTTTTTCTCTAAAAAGAGGTTCTTCGTTCCTCAAACAACCCCTGCCCATCATACCAGATCCTTTGTAGTTTCCTTCATGCGCAATACTAACTTTATGGCATTCAATCTCAATGAAACTGTAGATTTAGCCTAAACCCAGCCCCGTAATTGTAGATTTTTGTCCATGGTCGATAAATAGGCAGTCCTGACTTCCCCATATCTTCCTTTCTCCTCAAATACCCCTGCAACTTAAACCTCCCGCTAGCTTCCTTCACCCCGCACTCTCACAGGTGGAAGCCCAATTCTCCGTCCCCCAATCTCCCTCCACTCTTCCCCAGCAAGATTTTCCACCATGCGGGGAAAGTCAAGCTTCGCCGGGACCCCAGCTTCATGGGGACTTTTGCGGAGAGCCTGAAGGGCAACGCCAATCCACGCGCGGACATCTCTACCATCTCGGGAATAGCCTCGTCAGGAACAATATAGGACAGGAGATTTTCCGTCTGTGTCGTGATGGCATTTCCCCAGGCCATTGGTGAGGAGCAATGGGCTCTGCAGGTGTATAAAAGGATCCTACCTTTTCTTCCTGGGGGTCTCATTCTTCTGGCTAGTGGATCCCACCCATAGCAGGAAGTTGGCCCGCCATGCTTCGCTTTTACATTGCAGCTCTCCTTGCGCTCCTGTGGCACGCAGCTAGCGTCCACAGTGTAGCTGTTAACAGCGTCTCTCGCCAGAAATGCCAGGCTTCGGGCACTCATTGTCCCAAGGGCACTATCAAGGTCTCGGCCTCGGACAAGCATGCAGACTTTACCACTATCCAGGCTGCCATTGAGTCCCTGCCCAATGACAATTCCTCTCAGACCATCCTCATCCTGGCTGGTACCTACAAGGAGCAAGTGAACGTCACCCGTGCGGGCCCAGTCACTCTGCTTGGCCAGACATCAGCTTCCACCGATGCCACCAAGAACCAGGTGACCATCACCTGGGCGGCCGCGAACCTCGACAGCACCGGCCAGAGCGTGGACAACGTCTACTCCAGTGTCCTAGTCGTTTCACCCACTCTCGACGCCAGCCTGACAGGCTCTGGCACAACGGGCTACCCCGTGCCGGCCGATACGCCCTTTGGCAACAAGAACTTCCGCGCCTACAACATCGACTTCACCAACACCTGGGCTGAGTATAGCGACGGCCCCGCCCACGCGTTGAGCTTCAGCCGCGCCAACGGTGGCTTCTACTACTGCGGTTTCTACTCCTACCAGGACACGGTACGTTCCAATCCAAACAAAACCACATACATCCCCATCTTCAATCCTTCCTAACACCATCTCTCTCCAGGTCTACGTCGGCAAGCTCGGCAACGCCTACTTCTACAAATCCATCCTGGCCGGCCAAACCGACTTCCTCTACGGCTTCGGCACAGCCTGGATCCAATCGTCCGACGTCCTCCTCCGCGGCTGCGGCGGCGGCATCACCGCCTGGAAGGGCACAAACACCACCTTCACCAACAAATACGGCGTCTACATCGTGGACAGCAACGTGCGCGCCGCAAACGCCTCCGTCGCGCCCAGTATCGTGGGTGCCTGCGCTCTAGGCCGGCCCTGGAACTCGCAGCACCGGTCTATCTTTGCTCGGTCGTACGAGGACGCTTCTATCAAGGCTAGTGGGTACATTGACTGGATTGTGTCCGGGGTGGCGCGGTACGAGAAGAATGTGACGTTCATGGCGGAGTATGATATTCGGGGGCCCGGATTTAATGCGACGGGGCGGGCGGATGGGAATGTTACTACTGTCCTGGATAAGAAAGGGTTTGAGCCGTATAGTGAGCCGGCTAAGGTTTTCCAGAATCAGGAGGGCGTGTTTGGGAATGTTGCCTGGATTGATTGGGAGACTGTTGGTGCGAAATAGAGATTGGTATTGCAGAGCTAGGTTACAAATTATCTAGAGAATAAAGAGATTCTTTACAATTCGTGCTGATATCCTTGCTAGAGCGACTGTAAGTAGTAACAGCTACCTAACTTAACCATAGTGAGGTTGAGCTGTGGACTTAGCCCATGTGGCAAAAAGTCAACGGCCTTAGTATAGCAGAAAAGGACTTCTGAAACAAGGGAAGCTCTCTCTCAACAGGCGCAGACCAAGGACCAGAAAAGTTACCAGGAAGGAACTACTACAGTGGAAATTTTACAATGCACAATAAATCATTAGAATCCCTCGATGACTTGACTAAGTACCACTATTAACGACATACATACACGTAGAGAAAGAAAACTTGAGATCTATCAACTCGAAAGCAAACAGATATCAAGGGGTAAAAACACACAAAAGTCTATAATACGGGGGGTAAATAAAGGAAAGGAAAAAAGGGCAAGAAACCCGGCCTTTTTTCCCACGGTATGCATGTCCACAGATGGTCGAGACAAAGAGACAGACAGTATCCGCGTGGCAGGATAGACCAAGAGGCACGACAGGGAGAAAAATGGATTGGGAAATAAGAGATAAAGGAAATTATTGACCTCGGACCAGGAGCGAGTCAGGAAAGATTATCCCGTTTTGCAAGGAAAGATAAACGGGTTAATAAGGTATTGTGCTAAAGGCGCACATCCTTTACTCGTCCTCCTCGACATCCTCGGCGCGGGCACCAAGGGTGTAGCGGGACTTGCCATCGCGGTCAACCTCGTGCTCAATGGCCAGCTTGGACAGGTGAGCGATCATGTTCTCGATCTTGGTGTCAGCCTTGGAGCGGGTCTTGCGGCCAAGGTTGTCAAGAGCGGGGATGATGGTGAGGATGTAGTAGACGACGGCAATGATGACGGTGACACCGATGGAGTAGGCCCAGATAACAACGACGGTAACGATGTCGACATCCTGGTTGGTGGAGAAGGTGGCAGGGTCGTGGGGGTGGGTGACGGGGTAGTCACCGGCGAGCCAGCCGAAGACACAGAACAGGGTAGCGAGGACATCGACAACGAAGATGGCGATGACCAGCTGCCACGAGGGCCAGGTCTTGCCACCACGGGTAACGAAGATGAGCCAGTTCTCGGTCAGGGCAACCTCAAGGAAGAGAATCTCCTGGGGAGAGCCGAAGTTCTGGATGATACCACCGTTCTCGAGGAAGAGAGTACCGCGGATGATCCAGGTGGCGGCAGCCAGCAGGATTCCAAGAACGACGGAGATGACCCAAATCTTAGGCAGCTGCCACTCGACGGGGCGGGCCTCGAAGTGAGCGTTATCGTAAGCGACGGCAATGGTGGCAAGATCGGCGAACAGAGCGATGAAGACAATCAGGTCGGAGCGGATGGTCTCGTCGATGATGATCATGGAGGTAACCAGGTAGATCTCAAGGTGCAGGCAAAGAGCGATACGGTACTGGATGTAGGCCTTCATGCGCTGGAAGATCTGACGGGCCAGCTTGATGGCATCGACAATGGTGGACAGACCGGGGGCAAGGAAAACAATATCGGCGGCAGCCTGGGCAGCCTCGGTGGAACCCTCGACGGCGATACCACAGTCGGCCTTCTTCAGGGAGGGAGCGTCGTTGACACCGTCACCAGTCATGGCAGTCAAGTGACCACGCTGCTGGAGCATCTCGACGACCTGGTACTTGTGCTCGGGGAAGACCTCAGCGAAACCATCAGCCTTCTCAACGAGGTCGTGCTGGGCAGAGCCGGCGAGACCACCGTGGATCAGACGCTCAGAGTCGTAAACCTTGGTACCAAGAGCAAGCATCTTGCAAGTCTCCTTGGCGATAGCGATGGCGTCACCAGTCAACATCTTGACGGACAGACCGAGAACCTGGGCCTCAGCGATGGTGTGGGCGGTATCCTCACGAGGGGGGTCGAACATGGGGTACATGCCCAGAAGCTGCCAGGGCTCACCCTCCTTCTGGACGGCGACACCGAGGGAACGGAAACCACGGCGAGCGAACTCGGCGGCCTTGTCACGGTAGAGCTTGGCCTCCTCCTCGGAGCACTCAGACATGTTGAGGATAGCCTTGGGGGCACCCTTGGCGCAAATGTAGCGGACACCGTCGCAAGTGCAGACAGTGGTGATACGCTTGGAGACGGGGTCGAAAGGAGAGTACTTCTCGGTAATCCAGTTACGGGCGAGAATCTCACGGGCCTTGGGGTAGCGGCGGAGAGTAAGGATAGTGACCTTGTCAATGGGGTCAAGGTTCTTGACGTTGTGAGACGAGGCAATGGCGGCGACAGCCATCATCCAGTTGACATCGACACCCTCGGCGACGTAGGGCTCACGGATAGAGAGCTGGTTGGCAGTGAGAGTACCAGTCTTGTCAGAGCACAGAATGTCGACACCAGCGAGGGACTCAATGGCAGTGAGCTTCTGGACGATAGCCTTCTGCTCAGCGAGGTAGGCGGCACCGACAGCGAGGGTAGTGGTGGTAACGACGGGCAGACCGACGGGGACACCGATGATGAGCAGAATAAGAGTGTAGTGGAGCAGGTTGTTGTCAGAGCCCTCGGGGGTAGCGATCTTCAAGTGACGGAAGAAACCACCGATCCAGGCAGCGAGAATCCAGAACATGACGAGAACGAGCAGAGAGGTACCGATGTTGTCCATGACAGCCTTGAAGTGACCGGAGTCCTTGGCACCCTGGACGAGAGCGGCAGTCTTACCGACGAAGGACTGGCGGGCAGTAGCAGTGACGATACCGTAGGCCTTGCCGCGCTTGCAACCGGTGGTGTAGTAGCAAGTGTCGGCCATGTACTTGTCGACGGCGAGAGACTCACCAGTGATGGCGGACTGATCGCAAGCAATCAGAGAAACACCCTGGTGGATCTCACGGTCATCCTCATCCTCATCCTCGTTCTTCTCCTTGAGGGTGTCGTCCTGGGAAGTAACGAGGTACTCCTTGTAGGCGTCGAACATCTCAGGCTTGGAGTAGTCACAGATCAGACGAACATCGGCGGGGATAACGTGACCCTCCTCAACGACGACAATATCACCAGTAACCAGCTCGCGAGCCAGGATCTCCTCCTCCTGACCGTTACGAACAACAATAGCGCGCATAGCAATGTCACCCTTGAGAGAGGCAACGACGTCGGCAGCCTGCTTCTCCTGGTACCAACCGACCAGGGCGTTGAGGAGCAGAATACCACAGATGACACCCAAATCGATCCAGTCACGCAGACCAGCAGCGAGGAGGACAGCAAGTTCCATAACTGTAGGAGGACCAACACGTTAGAGATTGCCCAATTGACGCGTCCAATTACCACTAGGTAGTTTCCTAGTGGTCCAGGAATCACTCACCATAGAGAATAGGACCACGGAAGTAACCAATGAACTGGATGAAGATGTTGGTCTTCTCGGTAACCAGCTCGTTCCAGCCGCACTTCTTACGGCGAGGCTCAATGTCGGAGGAGCTCAGACCAGAGCGAAGGTCGGTCTCGAGCCACTCGTCGGGGCATTGCCAGCCATCCTCGACACCATCACCCTGCTTGACCCAGAACTTCCAGAAGGGCTTCTTCTTGTCCTGAGTGCTGAGCGCGCCAGCACTGGAGGTGGAACCACGGCGGCCATCACGCGCAGTCGAGATGTAGCGGTTGAGAGCCGAGTACTCATCGAGGTTGCCGTCGTTCACATCGGCGTCGCGGTGACGGTCACCGTTTTCGACATCGGGAGCATAGGAAATCCTCCGCTCCGCCATTGTTGCTGCTGCTTCGGCTCACAAAGCCTTCGGAACCCAACGATATGAGCAGATGCAAGAACACCAACACACAATGGCAGGTATGGCGTGAGACGGAATAGTCCTATGAGAAAGGGGGAAAAAAAGAGAGGGTGGATGGAAGGGAGTGGACTACTTTATAATACCCTGGGGGGTGTGGGAGTAGTGTGGAAAGAGGCGCGCGAGAGTTGAGGGAACGGGAGTGGGTTGTGGATAATGGGCCAGCAAGTGTGAGGGAAATAAAAAAAAGAATTAATTGGGGAATATTCATGAAAAAAAAATCTGAGAGTTGAAAAAGGCAAAAAAAAATAAAAATCCAAAAAATAAAAGGCAAAAATAAGGAAATCATGAAAAAAAAAAATAAAAAACGGGGGGAATACGACTTAGGGGGACACTCTTAGTGAGTTGGTTACTATGGAGGAGACTCTGGTTGCTGGGGAAGAGCATGTATTTAATACGGTATGGTTACACCATACAATATATGTACAAGATACAACATTTGGTTATAGTACTCTGATCTTCCTCCCCTTGCTATTTAGCCAAGACTGGCCTCAAACTTAGTACTAGCATAGCAGCAATCACTAGTAGTAAGCTAGCTATACACTCTGGAGGATCATCTATCTGTACATCATCCCTCCTTAACCACCAATTCCAACGGGTTCAGCACGAGTCGCGCAAACTCGGGGAGGACTGGCCGAGAGCAGCCACTGACACCAACAATCCGTCTTATTGGGTTGATCCTGTGGAGCGAGTTGCCCCATCGAGTATAGCTAATACATGCATAACACAATCAATACATATCCCATACACGAAAAAAAAAAAAAGGCACCACGACGAGACCGAAAAAAAACTCTTCTCGCCGCTTCTGCGACCGGCACTGGTCTGCCGAGTGGCACTCCACACATGGCCTCGCTATGGAAATCGGTAAGGTCGGTACGGTCGGTACAATCGGTACACGGCCAACTCGCAACATCTCACCGTACGCTACTGTACTCACTATACCTGATTATTACCGAGTGTATCACTCCATCTTGGGGCGATACGCAACGATTTCCTAGCCTTACCGAGGGCGGTCCCCCAGCTGCTCCCAGCTTGACTATGCGCGATTTTCTCTGGGGGTGTGGGAGACAAAGATGAAGAGGGGGGGTAATTTCAATCCTTACTGAACCCCCCCGAGACTTTCCCAAGACAATGACAAGAACAAACTAGAGGATTTGGCACTGCTAATGCAATTGCCCCGAAAAAAATTCTGTATGCAGTCCAAAAACATGCCCGTTCTACCCGAGTTCTACCGTACCAAGTACAGTACGTTATGTCGGATGTTTGTGTTATGATATGCCCGAACTATGCGAGGCGGAGAATTCGCGAAGAATTCAAACTCCGACCAGACTGCGGACTATTGTAGTTATCGTATGTACTACTGACAATGTGACGATGTTAGTTTAATAGTACAGTAAGTAGCACTAGAAGGATCACCGATTACAGGAGTATCTTGCTCTTTTCAGCGAGATGGCCCGAATCAAGTAACCTTTTTCTTATGCTACCGCTCGAGTCGCCCTTATACTCCCGTATATTGCCCCTGGTACCAGACTGCATCCGGACATGGAACGAGGTCAATTCGAGTGTCTACACAACGAAGAAAATTTTTCTCTAATGACGGCATCGATATTTCTTTTTCCCCTTTGCTACTCTCGGGCACCGTGACAATCAAGTTCATCACGACTAGTTTTCCCGCCCAAAAGCATCGTCTTGTTTAGCAAGGGGCACCGGAAGCAGCCAAGACTATTCAGATATGTATGCCAATGCTGGAGGCATTCAGAGATAGCTCCTATACAGTAGAAGTCCGCTTCTCCCAAAGCTATTGGTGTTTGAACAACTATACACACTAGAGACAGTCCATACCGTACAAGCCCCGTATCTTATTGTCGCATCTGTATTATTCAGGAACACGACAGCGATCAGAGTGTCTCCTCTTCACATCATTAGATTACCATTATGTCACTGGGCTGACAAGTCGTCTTCCTCGTAGGACTAAGATAAACCCCCCAAGGAAGACTACTTTAGACCTCTTATCGACACATCCCCGTGGAGCTTAGCACCACCCACCCTCGCGCCAGCTGCCCCCTTTGTATCTCACCAACCATGGACGATCGCTACTCTCCACGAGCCAGGCCCGGTCCCCAGAAGCGTCATTTAATTCGGCCTCCGTGACTGGCCGACGCGACCGGCGAGGTCTCCGCCCACTAAAGCCCGGCTAGTCTCGAAGGGCCGGCCATGCAGCGAATCACAACGGCCCGGCGTGCCCGCGATGATTTCATCGCCTGTGCGGATCGGCGCCCCGGCGACTCAGTCGATACCTTTTTCTTGTTGTGCTGGTCTGAGAGGGAGAGGGGGGGGTTGTGCTTTCCCATAGGAGGGATCCCCATTGACAACATGGCCCTAACTATTACTGGAGTGATATGTAATGGCTAGCTCGCTGGCGTGGGAGGGCGCTCGGTTGGCCGTCGCCGTGACACCATAGATTGTGATACACTGGCTTTAGCCCCAGCACGGGAGGTCGTTCCTAATTGAGATGGTCTAGAGGACAATGGAAGTTGACCGAGGTGTTGCCATAGAGCTACCTCCCTCGTCATAGTATGATGATAATAACGAAAAATAGAGAAGGCTGGGAAAGATGCCGTACATCACACCCGACATAATGTCCCGAGTATATTGTACTATCTAATTGATCATCTGCTTCAGTGTCCACGCCAAACGCCAACAGGGAATAATCCCGGTTCGCAACAAGCCATCTCATACTAACTAACAAGATATCAACCTATCGTGACCACTAAAAAGATCCAAGTAATAACGCAGTTGAATGATCGTTCCGGGGATCCTCCAAAAGACCGTGACAAACGTTCGATCGGACCTCAAGCTTCCTGCATCCTGCATGCACGACGATTGGTCCATCCACCCAATCCCGCAGGGCCAGCTCAACTCAAAACTACACCACCACCCAACGGGATACTCGCAAAGGTAACACCCATGCACCCCGGGTTTGCGATTTACAACTGTATCATCTCGTTAGAGCCAGCAAAGCCATTCTGCTTGAGCCCAGTCCAGTCCAATTCAGTTTGCACAGCTCTACCTCGAAGGAGGGGGAGGGCTGGAGTTCAGACGCCAAACTGTAGAATCGAGATTGGCGTCGTGCACGAGCCGTCTATAGGGGTGGTGGCTGTAGGGATTGAGTAACTAAGGAGTAGATACCTAACTATCGTGAGTCGTGACATATCATATTGAGCTTGTTAGTCAAGGGTACCTCTACCAAAATGTTTAAACAACTCGGTACCAGCCAGCTCCAAGATAACTCATGCCTGAGAAATCAGGCTTTCAACGGTCGCATGTCCCAGCAACACAAAAAAATCACAATTCCTCGACGCGCCCTGTCGCTTTCGTATACTTCCTTCTTGACGTACATACGACGTGGCTCCTCCCCGTAAATACCCTCAATCCACTACGGAGAATTAACCATGTCGCGCCGCACATACTGGCTCGGGCTACCCGAGTTGGTATACCCCGGCGCTTTCCGCGGCTGACGTGCCGTGCCAGGCAGGACAAGCCAATTGCGGGTTAACTCGAACGAGAATTGAAACCGCAAAAGGGGCCGAAGCTCTGCGACAACTTACCAGACACAGCAAGACTGAAGCAGTCCAGACCATGGGCTTTTTTTTCATCTGCATCAAGCTAGCCATTGAGTATACGAATTCAAAAATGTACTTTGTAATATACGTCGCACAAGATCCCTCTTCAATAGCCTCGGATTGTATATCCAATACCCTTGTTCCTGGAACAGCTCGACAAAACAACACCTCCTGCACTGTGCTGCACTCCGTGTATAGCAGTCGCAAGCAGGGGGAACAGTTCCCTCTTCAAAGATCCGCTTTTTGAGAACTCACTTCTCCTGTAAGTAGATTAGCTCCAAGAAACTTAATAAGATTGCGAGGGTGTCCTCCGCACCGTCCCCCCAAACACCCACCCCCCTCCTAATAATAACCGCCCCCCATCATCTTCTTCCGGTGAGGGATGCGAGGACGAAAGTGTAGAGCTACCCTTAGCTCCTCGCAAGAGCAAAATGTGGGCCGAATCTCCCGAATCCGGCTGCAAGAGAAATTGGCCAACGCGGGATGTTCATGAACATACTGCATTGCTAGTGCTACTGCCCCTCCCTACAATCTACAATATGTACAACTAAGTACGGAGTACTTTGTACTGTAATCCGTAGGCCGTACTTTTTTACCATGGGGTGCAATGATTGCCAACGCTTCGTCCCCCTGCGACCCCGTGCGAGAAATTTACCAATTGAGTTACGATCATTTCCGGGGGATTCTCGCCGTTTGACGCGAGCTATGGACAGGATCCACGTCAGCCAAGCATTTATGTCTCGCGCGATTCTGGGGGAGAAACACGATGTAGTACGGAGTACTGTATTCTCTTTCTCTGGAGACGTGGGTATTTCAATATCCTACATACAGTAGTAAATCTAGAAAAGGGGGTAAGTTGGTTAGTTCGCGATAGTAGTAGAGGATTACGGAGTCTGCTTGACTCTCCGTGGTGGTCTGCAAATAAGAAATTTTCCCGGCGATAGGTAAAGCGGGCCCTCATCGTGGAGGTGCATAAGGAGAGCGAGAAAAGTGGGGAGCTCCTTGGAGAGCAGGCGGACTTTTTGGTACTGTAGAGTGTACACGCAGATATAGGAACTATAGACACATCCTAATGACAACGAAATATACTCAGATAAAGGGTATGAAAATCAATGACAGGGTGTCATTGACGTGTTGAATAAGTTTGTTCTAAGCCCTGGACCCGAGAAATGTATCGGTTGCTGTACCAATTGGAAAACATTGATTCCAAAAAATTGGCCAGTGGGTGCATCGAAGCGTCGAGAAAACATATTGTGAAAGTTATACCCCACGCCTGACCCGTGGAACGGGGGTGGGCAATGTTCCACAGGGCAGGATTTTTATGTTGGAGATAGATTACAAGGTTGAATTTGAGACGCTCTTGTGTGCCATGCTATGCGACCGTTGAAGCTGCAGTACAGGGCTATCCTAGGTGACGAGATTCTACGAGTATATAGCTTCGGTAAGAAGGTGATCGTGCGACCGTGACGGAGACCATGTCAACGATCAAGATAACCCCCCTGTACAAGTTGTCGGATCGGCAATAAACCCGTAAATCGCCTTACGGAAGTACACGGTAGATTAAACTCTGCCGTCAAAAATTAGAATATGTCTCGGCGTCGCTCGTTTTCGCCTCAGCAGCGACGAGCAGATAACCCACGAAAAAAGATGGTCGGTCGGACCTGCAATGTGATGAAGATCCAGTCCGATCAGTGCGTCACTACTTCCTCACGTGGGAAAAAAACTTTACCTATCCAGGAAGTATCCGGATGCTCCGACCAGGATGAGCAGCCCAGTTAGGGACGCCAGGATCGGATAGTGTATTCAGCCTTGGGGCGATCGCGCCGCTGATGTCGTGGATTGTGATATGTAGTTGTCACTCGTAAATCAAATCTGCACACCTTCGTAACTGGGTGCTTTCGAGTTTGTATGATATACATCCCGGGCCGGGGGGAGGAAGAAATCGGCACAGCACGGGCGCCAATATGCACCAGCAATGAAAATGCCTCAATTCTAACCTCCTCCAGCACATCCAAGACGGACGATGTCCTGTCGGGGCCCCGAACTGGGTGTGTGGGTTTGCCACGGCGAGGGTTTGACACCACGAAACTCCAAATTGATCCATTCAGGGCCAGGGCCAGGGCCCTTTGCCCTACAGAGTGGTCGAGAGGTACTACTACACTACAGTAAAGGTCTCGCTCATCCTATCCGTTGCCACCCGCATAAAGCAAAAAAAAAGGGCAAAGAAAAGACCAAGAGAATGGGGCAAACCAAACGACGGTGAAGAGACCATCCAACAATTTAGCCTCAATAGTTATCACAACTTCTCAAAGCCAGAGTAATCTGGAGGCCGGTTTCCCCAGTGGGGACTCCAGGACTCTCCAGGACTCGATGTCGGGGTGGAACTCTTCCATTTTCGCAAAGTCCATTGTTCGACGACCTCAACCACCTCACCGGCACCGAATCTGCCTTGGAACGAAACTGGAGTGGAGTCAACCTCTTTGTGCGTGCGCACAACAAACTCTCCAATGGAGATCGGGTGTTCTCGACGTCTTCTAGAAGCCTTCTGTCTCCGGATCCATGGATGAGCTGCATGGAGGCTGACAATTTTTTTTCTCTCACTACACTCCTGCTTGTTGCTGCCGTCCATTCCATACACACTATGATTTGCCGCTGCAAAAAGCTCGGCGAACTCGGAAATCGGCATTCGTCTCTTTTGGGGGGAGGGGGGACGTGCTCGAGATAAGAGTGAAACTCTCACGTCATGGGCTTATCGATGCCGTTTTTCGCGAGATGCGAGTTTGCGTTGGCCATCCCCAGGACTATGCCCAAGCTGGGTTGGATGATTCTCCCAAGCTTCCCAAAGAGGGCAGGATAAAATACGTTAGTTTACTAGGTACTATAGTTACACAGTATCCATACTGGATGTAGAATGACTGATTATGTCATGTTTTACGGTACCTACCTAATGACCTAAATGGTAAATTACAGAAATACAGTATTGTCACGATACAACACCCGGAAAGGAACGAAGTGCCCAATTAGGGAAAGCTCGGTTACAGACAGCCATTGACCAATCAGATCTCCGTAAATGAGCTGAGTCAGCCCTACACTCTGCCGTTTTTCCCGTTCGCGGGAGAAACAGGCACAGAAAAGGGAACAAGCTGCTTGCACCACAGCTTGGACATGCCTTATCCACCACCGGGCTAGGAAATTTGAAAAGGCTTTGGATCCTATCCGTCCAAAAAAACTCAATTGACACTCTAATCTCCCATGGGAAAACTGCCCATCACATTCTCCAACGACTTTCGGTGATAACTCATAGAAACCACAGAAAACTACAGCTCAAAATCATCATCGCCATCATAAAACAGCTCCCCCCAAGAGCTTCGACTACTCCCCCGTATTCGGTCCGGGCCAACCCTCCAATAATTAATGGAGACCGCGCATCAGCAAACTCCTCCCCCCAAGCGATTCTCGGACTAGGGTCAACACCATCGCTCTTGGCTCGCACCGCGCAGCCGTGTACCTACGTTAGCGGGAAACAGACTGGAGCTCCGATTCTAGCAATTCCAGCAATCAGACGCCCCAATTGCGGTCAAGAATGGGTCCTGGTCCCATCTGAATCAAACCCTCACCGGTGGGCCAGAGGAGCATCGTGAAGGGGGCGCCCCACTAGACGATCGCCCGCCTGCCAAATCGTTGCTTGGCTGACGCGAGCCCCGTCCTGTCGGCCTCCAGTCCGAGGGCTGCTTGCCGACCCTGCCCGTTTGGGAATCATCGTGAGGCATTTTTGGTCGGGGCGTTACCGTGTGCATGGACGAGGTGGCATTGCGCTACGACGGGGGATTAATTGGATGTTCATCGTGTCGAGTCTTGACTGATATGCAGAAAGAATATACAGAATTCGGTGACTTGAACCAACTAGGAGACGCGTTTAAGTGGTGAGTTCTAGAATTCGATGCTTGCTTTTTTGTCTGTCTCTTCCTGCGTGTAGTCGGCTAAATAACTACGAGCGCGGAACGGGCGCGAGATTGATTGAAGATTGGCGATTTTGACGCTTAAACATCGGTATTACTACATTAATTATGTAGTAGGCCCAGAGGCCGATAGATACACTAAATCCCTAATTCGAGAGGACGACACACAATAATGGCGTTCCCTACCTTTGGCTCGACCCTCAAAGTCTTCGAACTAGTCTGCGTTCACTACTGTGCACTATGCAAAGCGCATAACCCCTTCATCGTCGATAGCTATACATAGTACTCTAGCCAGGCACTAGATCCCAATCTACAATAGTAACCAGCACTAAAACCAGCCCATCATTAAACCACACTCCAAACAAGCACTTCCCCCCCTTTTCCCCCTCAGCATCGGGTTCGCCAAGCGATCCCAGCGTCTCCATCCCATGATTTTCCCCCAGGTTCACCATCCTCTGCCCATGGAGAAAAAAAAAGCAATAACGGTGCTAACTATTAAGAGCCGGTGAATAGAATCTAACAGGTTCTCGACTCAAGCCTCACGGCGTCTCGAATCATTACTATAGCGAGACACCGAGAATGCAAACAAATGCATACAATAATAATTGCCTTGATGACGGTGTACTTGTATCCCCGTAGTAAACTTTCCATTGCGGTTCCCGCGCCTGCAGGGAAGCTTTAAGGTTTGAGGGATCGGACCATCCCAGCGCTCCCGTTCTGCTCGTGGCTTTTGTAGACAGGGCACAGGCTGTACACTGTACAGGATGTATACAGTTTCCGTATGCTGGATGCTGCATGTCGCTTCTTTCGGGAGAACTGGACAATCACGGATCACCGACGCACATGCAGTATGCAAGGAGATGAACGTGGTTAGCGGACAGCGGTTGGCAGGCGGATCGGTGTACTGTACTGCGAGGACCGAGGCCGAGAATAATCACGGCCATGTTCATAATATCAGCCGTTCTAAGTACAGGGTATAATAATGACTACGGTATAGGGTAGGGATAGTATGGATAATTCGGATGAGAGATTTAAAATTTGATTGTCTAGCCGTTTTCGTGGCGTGAAGGATTTCGACAGCATATTCGTATCTGCGTCACTGCAGAGATTTGCTGCGTGACTTTTTACCGTAATCATCTATTTACCTCCGTGCTAACATGACTCGATAGATAGGGCAATGGTTAGGGTGAGTCAAATAGCGGACTCCATAGTTAGTACAGTACTTCGTATAGACCGCCTCCATCACCCATTTCTAGTAGTTGAACGGAATAATTGGAGCTTTCTGGCAAGAGGGGCTAAGAAATGGGGAACGGGGCAAAAGATGGACACGCCCTGTCCCAATCACCGCGTGGGTTGTCGAAGTTATTGGCTCACCAGCTCACCGCGACAATGTCCCCCCCTTCTGGAACCATCGACATGGCTCCTGCGTTGGCAACATCGTCATCGCACCAACGTGAGGAAATTCAATAATAGTCACTCTACAGAATACAATATACGAAGTTTCGTACCCTTGTAAGGCTTGTTTACGACTCCGGATATCGGCCGTCCGTGCTTCTGCGCCTTTTTTCCTACTAGTCGAGTCAACAAAATGGTTTCCCGATAATATCCAAGCCCTTTCTCCCTGTACCCTCCTTTGCCTATCTACACTTGGCCTTGCCACTATTGCCCCAGAAGATCCCCATCGGCGCCCCGGCGTCATCCTCTTCTCGGCAACTGTACCTCGGCCCAAATCCAGTCGTAGTGGGAAACGACGTGAGCGAAAAAAAAGGACTTCGGCCTTAATCGGCCGGAATGCCGAGTCTTTCAAAAGGCCGACGCGGCAACGCGGCAGCGCGGGAGTCGGCACCGGGTTTTGATATGCTAACAGCTTTACGACACGTTGCAGCATTCACGTCGTGAAGGGTTTTTCGTGTCTCTTTCTTCCTGAATGGAACCGTGGTTGCTAGTCGTTTTTGTGTCAGATTTTTTTTTCTAGGATTCGCTAGGAACACTATGCTCCTTCTGCACGGTAATTGCGTCGGGGTTTTTCCTAGGGTGTCGGCTAAATTATCGAGTCCACTGAAAAATTTTAATCGTTATCGGTGTTGCTCGCGTGAGGGACTTCCATCAGCCCTATGTAGCGTATGCCTTGTTTGGAATGGTAGAAGTTGGTTCGCTTTCGTACTCGTACCCCTGGCCTGCTAACTGTCCAGTTATACACTGTATCCAGGGAGTTTTTGGTAGCTTTGTTAGGGACCGAGGGACGGCGTCATCGTGCTGAGTGCTGACTGTAATGTGTTTGATTTGTGCTTGGCTGCATTAAACCCCTGCGCCGATCAGGAATAATCAGAGTCATCAATAAAGCACATTAACTATGTAAATATATACTGTCTGCTGTGTAGTGTGTATTGTTGTACAAGAATTTAATGCACAAAGTGCTCTATCGGTCCCTCTGTCCAGATTACGACGGATAATTCCGGCTCCTGATTATCTCGGCTAGCTTTGACACGCCAATCATCCATCCCCTTCTAGGTCTTCGGAGTATATACGCATGTCAATCTCCGAATGTTCTGCGCCAGCAGTTGCTTCATACGACCGCAAGGTCCAAACTACTGCAGGTACGGGAAAACACATGCCCAAGCAAGCCAATCTTCAAAATTGTGGACAATGGCCCGTCCCGCAGGGACTGCGAACTCGAACGTCAACCACAGAACACGTACCATAGACGTTTTGAGCCTCACGAGATAATCAGGATAACCTAATACGATGATGAAATCAATTCCCCAGAAAATCAGGTGTAGATCCAGGAACAGGGTCAGATTCAGAAACATGGCTATGATGACATCGCTGGAATGGCCCCAAAACAAAAACACGACACGTTTGGGGGGATAAATGAACCCTCCAATAGTAACCCGAGTAGGACATACCACGGTCAGACCACATGCTACAACATACTGCAGAGAGGTTAGCGTGTGACCCCTTTTTTTTCGGCCCTTGATCGACAGGAGAAAACCGAGTCTAGCAGTCACTCCAAGTTACAGCGGACCAACAGCTCTCTCTGCTGCCCTGCCCAGCTTCTGGAGGGGGCCATAGCTGCTAGCCACCCCCCACACGGCCCCCGACGCATGCTCGCAACGGGCAAGGAGTGAACTCTTTTTTCGGTGCGGGCGCTGTATAGCGCGCATCACTATTAAATCTGGGCGGATTGGCGTGGTTTGAGATTTGGAAACTGGTATTTTGGATTGGGCTGGGCGTTGTTCGGGGGTTTCGTGTCTTGCGCTATTTGGTTCCTTTTGTTTTAACTGGAGGATTATGGACAGACTCATAGTACAGTAAGATTATGATTAAATATTCCGTAGCTATACAGTGGAATGTACGAAGTAGTTGGTGGTTTAGGTAGCTCCATTATGCTTATGCAGGTACCAACTGTAAAAAGTCGCGTTTATCCATGGGAGAAAAACAGAGCCGCGGTGATCGGCGCGTCTTGCGAACTGCGCTGGTCTTTTGAGGTAGGTAGCCCGACCTGTACAGCGTATGTGGGGATAAATCTGGAGTGTTTGTTGACGTCAATTCGGTAGATCTAGTTCGTCATTCTCCAAAAACTATGTTTCAATAGTCATGGGATCTGATGGTATCAGATTTCTTTCAATTGGTAACTGTATGATTTTACAGTAACTATGTGTTTGCCGGCGTATATTCACTTCGGATGCCGACTGCTTGAAACGTGCCGTGACATGATATTCGGTCCTTCGTGAACGACCTGCCGATCTCATGTGTCCCCGGCTATTCGGGTCGAGCTTGGACGGGGTTATGACGAAATGATGCAGGAGGGATGTGTTTATGTTGCTATTGTTAGTTCTTCGAGATGAGCTTTGCTTTGCGGTGAATGATAGCTACGCGACTGCCTAGCAGGCTACGAGTTATCACTTCTACAGGAGGAGGCTGTGTCACTGCACAGCAGCTCTTGGCCTCGTAATTGCTCAAGCAGATCGAGGGATACGGATAGAGGTATTTGGACTTCGTATTATTTTTCATGTTCATTGTTTAGTATACGTATAGCGGATGCACTGCGTGTCTTGGGACTTGGCTTTATGCTCGTATGCCAAGCATAACAGGGATATATGCTCTAGGATCGCCAATGCTGCCGAGGAACTTACCAACCAAGGGTTCAATACATACTTTTATGCTCACCGAATCATATTCAAATTATGCTCGGCATTCTCGCGATAGGATATCTCGGATGAGACGGCCATGCTTAAACTAAACTAGCACATCTTGTATCTGAGCTATGAAGTCAACGTGAGCCTAATATTGAGTTCTCGATCCACTGCAACACTTGGCTGGGTGAAAGTAGGCATCACTTGATGACAATAAATTGAGTTTGTATCCAAAAAAGGCAGTCTCATGATCGACGGACTTTTCTTAGTCTACCCCAGATCTCCCAATTCGACTCCATACACCGGATAGTGCCTCGATCTGTTTCTTAGTATTGGATCTTGGCCGCAACTATATACGCCCGAAATATACCCCGGAAGAAGCAACGTCATAAGATATCCAATTACAAATGTCCGGCTTATCGCCATTGTCGCAACGAACTGCCCGATATTCTAAATCCCACTCTGCAAAGCACCGCTCCCCTCCGGGCAATCACTTCTTGGCGCCAATGCTGTCCAAAAAGAAGATCCTAGTCGACGATCGACTTTGCATCTTTCTTGGCTGTCCTCCGTGCACCGTATACATAGCTGTTGTATCTCGAGTTATGTATGTAAAAACTCGTAATACTCCCCGATTCGGCACCCGTGGGGTTACATACAATAAACACAATAGTCCAATGGAACTCTCTCCACCCCTTGATTGCATGTCAGCTTCATGCACGTACATACATAGCAAAGCTAATACAAGTCTGTATACTTATGTATTGCATTGTACTCATGCACTACAGTATCCTGGTACTGTATCTTTTCCGTCCCCTGACGAGTGACCATAACAGCGCCAAGAATCACACCGTGCTTCCCACCCGCATTATCGTCTTGGCGGGCATACACTTCTCGGCGCGCGCCTCACTCCTCCCCCCTTTGCTTTTTCCCCAGAAGATCGATGTTGCATAAGCACGGAGAAACTATTGTTTTTCCCCTGATCGTCCTGCAGCGGGGTGGAGTGTAGAGATTAAGCGAAACGAGTGCCAGTAAGGGTCGTCGAGATAAGGTCGGAAGTCTGATTACACTTATCTTTACGAGATATCTATACGTACTACTCATGTATGTTTCTTCTTATGATTGACACTTGGCGGGGGCTGTACACTGTGCTTAGTATGCAGTGTACGACGTCAGTTGCTACTTTGGGCGTGGACGTGGTCGGTATTGTAGACGCTGTATATGGTTGCCTCCTCGGCGTTGTATGGATGTCGAATACCGCGCCGAGAATGGTATTTTGTGGTTAGATTCTTTTGTTTGAATTGATCTGCGGTGCTGGAAACCTAGATGGCAGTATGCGTTGTTGTTGAGCTTCTGTATGGAGTGTTAGGCTGTGGGTGTTGTGAAAGGTCTTGGCTGAGTGTCGTGCCCGTGAGGATTACAACTCGGCAACTCAATCACTGGATTTGAGAGTGTCTCCAATTGTTTTGATGCCTTGACGCCGTGGCAGCTACCGTCGAAGTAGTCGAGTATAGTCTTCAACTTTTGATGCCCAGCAGCCGATACCGACTTGGAAATGGTTTTCCTTGGTTTAGCAGTCGATTCTAGAGTGAACGCATAGACTTTGAACCTGTGGATTATTTGATGTGTGTTTACAGCTCAGCCATCTTGCATTGGTCGCAGTCCTCGTTCACATTTGCATGTATATCCATCCCTATCTATGGACGCCCACATCTTCGGGATACCTTCACAAACCTCAGGTTTGGGTCTTCATCGTTCAAGATCATCTCTCAGTCACAGCTAATTGAAATGTAACTATCGTGTATTTCTCGAGACTAAATGTATTGTATACTATATCGGCAAATACCTGGATGTTGTTGACATATATCGTTTTCTTCGCAGCACTGAGGTGGTCGAGTATATATATATCTTGAAGCGGGTCGCGGGTTCTGTAACTGGATATTCACCCATCGAATGGAGACCACCTCATGTACCTCGATCTTTGATCCCATATCAAATCAAAAAACCATCATGAGTATCAAATTTATTCGCTATACCTCAAACAACGTCACTCTCCATCAACACAGCACAATCATGGAAACCCGTCAAGTGCACCAAACCCAAAACGGCAATCTAGATAACCAACACAACCTTAACCCAACCCCCTTCCCACATTCTCCCAATCGAGAGGACCAGTAATGCAGCAAGGGGGTAATAACAATGAGATAATTACACCAAAATTTGATCGAACAAAGAGCAAAGCAAGCCGAGCACCGTAATAATACAGTACGATCCGATCCATCCCTTGCAAGGAGCAACACCCGAGCATGCCACTTCGATACGGTAATTATATCGGTAATCGGACCCTGGATCTGATTGCGCACGTGGAGATTGTAGGTTATGTACATTGTATTGTACCGGGAAATACAAGGAACGGTCGTCCTGCATACCGTAGCTGAAGATTGAATTCGATCGGATCGGATTCAATCAGCGGGACGCTTCGCACAAGATCGGAGAAGAAGTGCATGACTCTATATGGATAGTAGGTCTAGAAAGTAATCTTAATGCCCACGGTACAGGGAACCAATGTACCAGGCATGTGTTTCTCGATCGCAAATTTAGCCCGCCAACCCGAGCAGTGTCCCGGCATGAGCACCGCAGGATCAAGGCGTTTCAGGTCTGACACAGTACTCTGAACCTGTGCATCGTCGCTCATGGCAAGATGGAAGCCACCGACTACTGCGTGGAGGGGGACATCGGTACCGATGAGTTCGAGGGCGTTCTTTGTGGTGTTGACGACGCCGGCGTGGCTGCAGCCTGTGAAGACGACTATTCCTTTTCCTGTGGAAGATGAGATGAGATGTGCTGAATAGGCATTCGCGATGACCACGGAGGATGTAATGCTTACCTTTGATGTTACAGGCGAGGAAGCGTTCGTCTGTGATAAGTTCATCTGAGAACCAGTCGTTTTCCTCGGGATCATACCGCACTGCATTTTTAAGACCGGTCTCGTATGGCGTGAGTCGTGGAATTTCTCCAGAGATCAAAAACATGTCGTCGAGGATTGTGTGTGCTTCACTTGACTTGCTCACGACGGCACCAGCGTCGGTTAGCTCGTCAAAGGTGGGATCAGCCTCGAGAGATATGATATGTTCGGGCAGAGCGATACCACGATACACTGGTCGATCTGGGTGTAGGTCCACTACCAGATCATCTGAGCGTCTACTGCTTTGTTTAGCGTCTTTAATCATGCGAATAGCTCGACCAAGACCACCTATACTAAGTTAGCACGAGGAATGATACATGTTGATGCTATCATGTCATGGCCAGTATTACCTGAGTGATCTCGATGCCAATGCGATAACTGAATCACCTCGACCGAAGCCAGATCCGGCCGTAATCGCTTCACATTCCTCTCCCACGCATCCTCTTCAGGACCAGCATCGAAGAGCACGGCATGCTTTTGATCTCCTTTGGTTGCAGTCTATACAATCACAGCACCACCCCATCGGGCTACGTATAAGCCAGGAGGTAGGGAAAAAGAGCACATATTCATCTTACCACCAAGATAGACAATCCATGTGCAGAACAACAGATATCCTCCATCCGCAACTCTTTGCAAGCACTACCGCGATCGGTCAGTTTATGCATCGAGTTCATTCCGATAGTGCCTAGATTTCCGGCAACCTGGACGGTATTAGGTGCCGGCGGGGATATTGGATCAAGCTCATTATCGATGATGACGATGGCCTCGAGGGAGTCCACTTCTTGAAGGTGGAGGGAGTTCATTTTCGAGATTCGAGATTCGACTGTGAAGATGTGGAATTCAGATGGGGTGAAGTGTTTTTGATGGTCAGAATTCGGGCTCAGCCTTGGACATAAATACGTCAGCTTGAAATGATTGCCGCGTGGTCGCGATGTACACTTTCCGCGTTGGGTTCTTCACAGCGAGGCTGAACAAGACTGTCAATGTTGATTATTCGGTGGTCTGTGGTTGGTGACTCTTTGATGATAGGCTGGAGATTGTTTGTGGCTCGAGTAGTGGGGCTGGCGATGACTGGATGTCCACTTAATATGAGTGTCAGATTGCGGTCGGTGGTTTCCTAAACCTGAGCTGAGTTCAATCCTGTATATTGCAAAGTGATCAACCACTAGACAGATCGAGCAGAGATCTGAAGGTCTGAAGATCGAATGTGATGAAAATGCATAAAACCCGGAGGCTCGGCCATCCGGTGGATCCCCAAGCCGAAAGACTAAAAAAAGGACCATCGCCTCGTCCTTTCCACTCCGCACTCTCTCCACTCGATCGCGGGGAATCAAAGTCGAGCTTCTTCGTTGACTGACAACAAGCTGGTCAAGAGACGCATCACTCATCCAGTCAATCCACGATCCTACCCCTGTCTATTCACCCTGAATCCTCCTCGCTCTCCCTCTACAGCCTACGCAGTCTTCAGTCAACAGTCGCCACCATGCGCATCTGCCTCGATCGCATCCTCCTCCTCCTCTTCCTCGCCCTCACCCCCGCCAACGCCGTCGGCCTGTCATGTATCAAAGTCGCATCCGCACTCGTCGGCCGACCAAGCCACCTATTCAACCTCTTCCAGACCGAAATCTGTGAACGGGGCTGTCAACCGACCGTCCCCCACTGGGACCTCTGGACTCGCAACAACAGCTTTGTCCCCGCGGTGCGCAGCATGATGAAGCGCATGAACGTCCCCCACAAAGAAGAGGCATTGCTCAAGATGGGCGACGATGTCGCGACTATCATCAAAGATCAATGCGGGCCGATGCTGGGGGGACGACACATTTGCTCTGATCCGGTGACGCTGGCGGATTTTGGCAACTGCTTTAAGCGCTACTTCTTTAAGGCGTCTATTAAGCATATCCCCATTCTACTGCCGATGGCTTCGGATGCGGCGTGCAAGGAGCAATATCAGTATTTACAGGGGGATGAGTTGTGGGATGTGACTATTCCGAATAACATGCGCGAGTATGCGAGCGTGTGCAATCAGTTGGAATCCAAGTCAATGCCGAGGCAGGAGGAGATACAGAAGGAGAAGGTACTGGAGGAAGAGGTGAAACATGAGGAATTGTAATTTATTTTTGAAATCTACTATATTAATCTCGATATCTTGTATACTCAAAATATCACTCTAATCTCCTTCTCGGACTCCTCGTTGGCCCGAGTCCGGTTTCTCCGAAATCTCCAAACTCCGCGGCGGAGGATGACGTCCAGATCGATCGCAATCGAAACTCCGCAACGCTGACTCTTTTCTCTTCCTCTTTCCCTTTCCTTCTATTTCCAACCACCCTCTTTTCCCTCAAGAGATAAATCTTCATACTCTCTTTTCATCCCATCAATTCCCCTACGCACCATGCGCTAATCGCATCCCCACCACCCACTTCATGGCCCACGCGACGCTCCTCCGCTCCGTGCGGCTGCCTCTTCCACCCCGACCTCACGGCCTCTGGCGCCCTCAACCTCGTCGCTTAGTCCACGCAGGCGAATTCCAACCCTTCCTCCCTCCATCACCAAGCTCACTTGGAAAACCCACCCCGGCAAAGACCTATACCCGCACACGAAAATGGCTGCGGCGACTATTCTACGTCTCCATCGCCACGGGAATCGCCTACGGGGTTGACTCGCAATTCTACGCCTCGTCGCTGACGAGAACGGTCCGGACGTTCTCGGTGGGTTTGCTCGTTGCACTAGACTACAAGGTTAATTTCCGGCCTCACCCACCGCTGGCGAGTTCCATTGCGGCCGTACATGCTCGTAATGCCGAGCGGTTATCGGATCTGCTACGTCACAATGGGGGGTTGTACTTGAAAATGGGACAGGCGATTGCCATGCAGTCTGCAATTTTGCCTCCGGAGTTCCAGGCCATGTTCTCGCGCATGTTTGACGATGCCCCGCAGAATGACTGGAAGGATGTTGAGAAGGTGATTCGGGAGGACTTTGGCAAGTCGCCTGAAGAGGTGTTTGGAGTCTCCTTTGACGGCGAGCCTGGAAAGGGCGTTATGGAACGGAGAGCACGGGCGAGTGCTAGTGTTGCGCAGGTACATTGGGCTCGTTTACAGGATGGCCGCGAGGTTGCGATCAAGATCCAGAAACATGAAATCGAACAGCAACTCGTTTGGGATCTGTGGGCATTCAAGTAAGTCTACGCACTTTGTCTATCAGTGGGTTGTCATTTGGCATTTGAAACTGACTGTTTTTATAGAGTTGTTACCTTTATCTACAGCAAGCTGTTTGATATCCCTTTCTACAGTCTGGTCCCTTATATCAGCGAGAGGCTCTCGCTGGAGACGGATTTTGAGAACGAGGCTACCAACTCCGAGACTATGGCTAGACTGATTGCCGCTGAGCCTCGTCTACGTGATCGCGTGTACATCCCTAAAGTGTACCGAGAGCTGAGCTCTAGGCGAGTCATGACTGCCGAGTGGATTGAGGGTGTGCGGCTCTGGGATAAAGAGTCCATCACTCGTCCCTGGCGTGGTGGCTGGCGACAGGGTAGTCCTGGATGCCACGGAACTCCGCTGGACTCTCCGCAGAGCACATCCGCACCACAAAATACCCGCAACGCCCGAAATGCCCAGGCAGCCAAGCTCAAGCCCGAGCGCAATCACTGGAAGGGCCCGAATAACCGTGGTGGATTAGGCGTCTCTCTTAAAGACGTGATGACGACTATGGTCGACCTCTTCTCCGCACAGATGTTCCTCTTTGGCTGGGTCCACTGCGATCCCCATCCAGGAAACATCTTCATCCGCCGAAAGCCCTCCGGCCAGCCAGAACTGGTCCTTATCGACCACGGGCTCTACATCCACATGGAGCCCACCTTCCGACACCAGTACGCCCGGTTCTGGAAAGCCCTGCTTACCTTTGACAACCGCACACTGAGCGAGATTGCCAAGGGCTGGGGGGTTAACAATGCCGATATCTTCGCCTCCGCAACACTACTACGCCCCTACCGCGGTGGCGACATGTCCACGCAGCGCGGTATCGAAGGACTCAGCAAACACGAGCGTGCCGAGCGCCACTACGAGATGCAACAAGCAGCCCGCAAGGCAATCCGCGAGATCCTCGGCGATGAGAACAAGTGGCCCCGCGAACTTATCTTCATCGGCCGTAACCTGCGCATCGTCCAGGGCAACAACCAGTTCCTGGGATCACCAGTGAACCGTGTAAAGATCACGGGAATCTGGGCATCCCGCGCACTCGTTGACGCGCCCGATTTGCCCTTATCCGAGAAGATCCGCAACTTGGGACGTCACGTTGTATTCCGCATCGTGCTTTTCTCGAGTGACGTGTTTTTCTGGTTCACCAAGATCCGGCAATTCCTGAGACTGGGCGGTGGAATGGAGGACGATATTGAAGCGCAGTTGCAGCATATGGCTAAGGATATGGGGGTGGAGTTGAATCACAATGTGTTTGAGGGGTAGGATCCCTCGCACTATTCGTGTTTCGCGGAGATGATTCGTCGGGTTTGGATCATTTATCGGCGTGGGAAGGGCGAGGGATTGCCACTGGAGGTGGATCTGGGATCTGCTTCTACGACGGTTTCTCTCTTCGGCCGGGGAGAGGAAGGGGGTGTTGATTAGACGGGATAGGAACTCCTCTCATAGAAGAATTGAAAGAATAATGATAGAGAATGATGCATACTCTTTGTTATGCATCTTGATCATCTGGAACACAATTATAGTGGAGTAGGCTGTAGAGTGGGGCTCGGTATCCAATCTTAGATTCCAGGTGCTCTTCATAGTAGAGAACACCACTTTATGCTGTGCATACTTATTGAAGCCTACCAAGAATGATACCACGCAATGCCCGAAATGTAGCCATGAATGAAAATTCATACCTATCTCGTAGCTCAACAAAGGAGGACGCTAACCGGAGGAGATACTGTATAAGGCTCAATGTGTCTAACTCTCTACTAGAAGAAGACTTTCTCGCCTGATAGAATGAAAGCATAAAGAACACGACAATAGTAACGGGGACCCTAGAATCAACCCCATCAATCTCTCTATCAATCTATAACGGCAACCCTCATAGTACCTCCCTCTATCTCACCCACAACTCCCATAAACATTCAACCCAGCCCCAAGAACATCCTCATACCCACTCCTCTTCCGATTCAACGAACTCTGCGTCTCCCTACCCACCATCTTCCTCTCCTCCATCTCCTTATCCCCAATAGCCTCCTCCCCATCCCCATCCCCATCCGCAAAATAAATCCCCTCCAGCCCCCCCTTCTCACCCATCAAATCCCCCAACTTGCCCATCCGCGCCAAATACGCCGCACCACTATCAGCCCAGACCTGATACTCAACGACCTTAAGCCTGCTCTTCCCTTTCCCATCGCCATCGCCGGCGGTAGCGGTACTAACCCCCGTCCTCGCCATATCAACACCACCACCAACATCACCCCCCTTCTCCTCCGCAAGCGCGATCCGATAAATAAACGTCTCATCCCACCCCTGCCCGGTACTCATCCACTTAAACTGCGCGCGGCCGCGCAGGACGACCGCCATACAGGCGTCGTCGACTAGCCAGGCCTCGTCGGGCTCGAAGGTCATATCGCAGATGGCGAGGGACTCGGCGAGTAGCTCGAAGTACCGGGCTATCCCGTCTGTGCCGGTGAAGGTGCGGCCGAGGAAAGGGGGCTAGTTGGGGGAGACCGTGTTCGTGGATGCAGGGGGGTGGATCGATTGTGAAGGTTGAGAGGAGGGTGGATATGTAGGTTGGGGATGTTGGGGGGGATGTTAGGGCTTTGAGGAAGGATTGGATTGGGGAGAGGAGGGTTGGGCGCGGGGTCATTTTGTAGAGGTGTGTTTGAGATTGTAGGTTTTAGTGTTTAGAATGTACTGGAGGTTCCAATATAGTGTATGAGATATAGGTTAATGTGTTTATCTTTGTAGAAGAGACGGAGCTATAAAAGACTGTAGTTGGTGGTGGAATGATGCAACTTACATAACCATGACGTTCGGAGGCTACACATACACAACAATTTATCATTCTCGGTTTTAGTTTCTTGTACAAGGAGAAAGGTATCTTTCAAAATAGATATCTCAATCTATGGCTAAGCCCGGTCGAGAGATATTCTCTCTCGTGCATACTCGGGGCTAACAATCCCCCCAGCAATAGACACATCAAATCACGTCCCCAAAAAAGCCCGCAAACTCCAGTGCCGGCCTTCATAGAGAAAGCAAGGGTCACGAAACGCATCGAATAGGAAACTCCATTAAGAGAGACACAAGGAAAAGATACAAAAAACACGTAGAGGGGGGTAGAAGAATAAGACCTTCCCCTTCTTTTGCTTGACACGAGCACTTCAGCCTTCTCTTAACAGAAAACTCGTAGATAAACTCTTGAACAAGCTTGAGACCGATAAGTCCCGCATCTCATTCAAATCACTGGCGCCAGGACTTGCCGCAGTTCAAACACGTACAGAACAGAGTCATCGGCTCATCAGCAGCGCGAGTCTGCGCCTCGGTGTAGGTCACCTTACGCTGGCCACACTTGCCGCACTGCAAGCTAGTACTGATACTGCGCTCAGGCTGACCCACCATAGCCTTGTCCATGTTCAACTTCTTGATCTTAGCATCGGCTTCGCGTTGCTCTGCAGACCGCAGCTCATCCGAGGTCATCCGCACGAAATCATCCGGAGTGATATCGCCCGCAAGCACGCGGGTACGCAAGTTCGGGTTCGACTTGTTCTTCAAGTTCTGGAACAAACTGCGTATCTTGGTCCGGTATTGCTCCTTAGTCTCCGGGCCCAGCAGCTTGAATGCCGCATTCTCAACGGCAGATGCCTTGGCGACCACGGTCTTGGGCGACTCGGTCGAGCCCAGACACAATCCATCGTACATCAATCCCGTGCAGCTGTCGCGCACTCGGTTCCCCGTCACAGCCGTGTCCACCCCATCGGCCTTCCATGTGCGCTTGTCTGGCGGCACGGACAATTTGGACGCCTTATCGGACGGGGTCGCTGCCGCGGGTGTGGATGTGCCGGTGCCATTCTGTGCTGGTCGAGGCGAACTCGAGCCGCGACTCGCTGCTGATGCGCCGCCCTGCTTCTGCTTGCTGACCTCAACCCGCCACTTTGAGACAATCTCACTCGATAGCCGTGCCACCTCGGGGGACTTGTGTTGCTTGAATTTGTTGACAATGATACCGATACGGGTCTGTCGCAACAGGTCCTCAGTCGCCTTGACACCTTGTTGGATCTCCTTGAGCATGTTGAGAATCGTGGGCGCGGGCTCATTCTGCGTAGCGGCCTTGGTCAAGGCTTTCGCCTTGGCCTCAATCTCTTTGGCATCCATGGCCGCGGCGTGGGGAGGTGGGTGGAGAGGACCGCTGTCGAGGCTAGTCGTGCAAATACCGTGTACGTTTGTGAAAGAGGAGGTTCAAGTCGGCTCAGCCTGTATAGTGAAACCGTTAGCGAGACGTTTCAATACCTTCACAACGTGATATCATTGTCGCGGGGTTTGCGGAAGCCCGGCCTTGATCACAGTCAAGTAATACTGCATGCGCAGTCCTGTAATGGCCATGGAAAGGAAGGATCCATTGCAAAAAGCTCCCATGAATAATTTTCTTGCTCGCCGCAGTCTGCAACACTGTCCAGACTGAAGTAGCCTGCAAATTCCAAGTGGCACGTGTCCACCTTCCCACTTTGTTTATAGGAGTCGCAAAGACAGAAGATTATCCAAGAAATGGGTCTTCGACAGAATGCGCTTCTTCAACGTGTTTGCGACCGCGGGAGAGTGGTTTATAGGCGAGGGCAGGGTGAAGAGGGGCGCTTTGCGCGGGCACTTACCCCAAGAGCACACTCGAGAGTAGTGTGACGAGGTAGCAAAACGAGTGCTTGTAAGCCGGTAAAGGAGTGAAGTGTCGAGAGAAGAGTCTGCGTTGCACGGGGAAGAGTTGAAAGAGTCTTGAGAGGTTCGAGGCGTGGGAAGCTCCGAGGTTTGAATGCCAAGACGAGGCTTCCCAATTCGGTAATTTCTCACTCCATCAACGTGGAAATCTACAAGCGGACAAATGATAGGGCAAACATAGTCTACAAAAGAAGCCGGAAAAACAATACTAAGCAGATGGTAATATTCAAGTAAGAGATGGTTGCTAGGCGAGGCTCGGAGGTGTATTCACATCTATATGGAGTTTGTTCCTGTATCCTGCCTAGACACCAGAGCTCAGAAGGGCTATGCATATGGTAAGGGTGATATCAATGGGGATTATGTGCAGTCGTCATCATCAACAGGGTATATGAAGTAAGGGGAAAGTTTTGGAGAGATGGCGTCGGGTCGTCAGAACATCATCGCGCTGATGGTGACGAGTCCTGTGAACCAGCGAAAACCGCTTCATGCGAAGAAAATCGGAGTTGTGCAGGACGCCGGAGTTGACACCTCAAGATGCAGAGATACTCGGCGACACCAGACTCAGTCTCTCATGGGAAAAAGGGAAATCAAGGGCAGTCCAGCAGTCCAAGTAGGATCTACAGACCGGTCTTGCCCAGAGCTTCGGCCAGCTCATCAACATCCTTGTCAACCTTCTGAGCCACCTTCTCTTGCTCGGCACGGTCGACATCCTCGAGCTCCTTCTCAGCCTTGGCCTCGAATTCCTCATCTTCCTCCTCCTCCTCCTCCTCGCCCTCATCTTCCTCTTCAGATTCCTCCTCCTCGAGCTCATCCAGCTCATCCACACCCCAGCTATCCTCGGGGTCCTCATCGGTACCGTGCTCCTCCTGACGGGCCTCCAAAAGCTCGCGCAGGTCGGCAATGTTGGTATCCTCATCCGAAAAGATGTTGCCGTTTAGCTCCACACGGCGCAGGTTGGGGAGTGCGGTCTTGGCGGCGTGGGCGAGAGCCTTGACACCGTCGGCCTTGATCTCGTTGAACTGCATGCGCAGAGTCTGAACCTTCGGGTTCTTGTTGGCGGCCAGAGCCTGGGCAACCTTAACACCACCACGAGCAGAGAGCAGGCAGTCACCGACACCCAGCTCGATCAGAGCGGGCCAGCCCTCCAAAACACTAGCCAGCGCAGTAGCTCCCATCACGGTGAAAGTGTTGTCCTGCAGATCCAAAACCTCCAGGGTGCTGCAGTGACGCAGACCATTCTTAAGCAGGTGCGAGGTACCCTCCTGGCGAATACCGTTTTGAGTCATCTTAACGGACTTCATGCCAGCGGCGTGCTTCTCGTAGGCACGTGCCCAAGCCTCCATACTACCATTCTCCAGGCGGTTACGTCCACAGACGATGCTCTCCAACTGAGCAACCTCCTTGCCCTCCTTACGAGCCTCCTCCTTGCGCTCGGCAAGCTTGCTCAGGGCATCGGCGATCAGGGTACCAGCGGCGGGGCCGAGGCCGTTGTTGTTCAGGATAAGGTGGCGGAGGGGAACGTGACGGGAGAGGAAATCGACCAGGGGCGCCTGAGTGTTGAGACCGAAGGCATTGTCGGACAAATTGACGGTGTGGACGGAGGGGATCTCGAGAAGGGCGTCCAGGAGCGACTTCAAAGCGGGAGGGATCTCGGACAAGAGGCGCGAGGTGAAGATATCGGCGAGCTCGGCAACCTCGAGGCTCTTTTGGGTCGCGAGGACGGCGGCGAGGCGCTCCGATGCACCAACACCCAGGGTGTTACCGGCGAAACGGATCTCAGTGTAGTCGGTGGACTCAACAAGAGGCTTGATGTGAGCATCAATGTCCTCCGCGGTGTCGAGCTTGAGACCCTTGCCCTCGAGGGAGAAGACCTTTGGAGGGGCCATGGCGGGGTAGTGTGAAGTTCAGGGGAAAACAAAAGAAAAAACGGATTGGAGGATTGGTAATGGGACTAGGACGGATATGAAACGTGAGAAGAAAAGGACGAGCAATGAAGAGCAAGCTCAAAGAGTGACGAAAGTCCAGATGTCCAGGGGGCAGAAGAGGGAGGCAAAAAAAAGAAGAACCACTGGGGATGTTTTTGTCGATAACAAAAAAATCGCTACGGCGGGCGGAGTGAACCACAGGCGCTGGATTATTAATGCTGCGATGAGACCATCGCCGTTGCTCCGACATCTTTCGTTCTCTCGCAAGCCGTTCCTTTTGTACACTCATTCGCTCACTCATTGTCTTCCTACCGCATCCATAAAACCTTCAAAATGTCGTGGCTCTTCGGTTCCTCCAGTGGTAAGTCCGAATGCCATCGTATATGCACACCCGCAGATCCGCTATTCAACGCCTACCGGTGCAATGCGCAAGGGCGAATTGCGCCAATGGACCAAGCAACCTATTCCGCTAACATTTGCCCCTGAAAGATAAAGCTGCCGCTCCTACCGAGACCAAGGCCCAGCCTGCCCAAACTGAGAAGCCCAAGGTAGGTTCCTCCAAGAGACATTGTCGCATAAAGCGAAGAGCGCGGTCATTGACTGACTCTACCATTTCTATATAGCCCTGCTGCGTTTGCAAAGACGAGAAGACCGCCCGCGATGACTGCATGCTTTTCTCCAAGTCCGATGATCCCGCCAAAGAGTGCAAGTCCATGATCGAGCAGTACAAGGCCTGCATGCTCGGCTATGGCTTCAAGGTCTAGACCGTGGCAGCGTCGATCGTTGGCTTGTTTAATACTACAACTGTACTATAGCATTTGGCATTTACGGGCTGGAGTTCTTCTCTTTTATATGACGGATATCATGGGACCTTTTGTACCTCAAGTGGTAGCATAAGAACCCGCGCTTACACTGTACTTTAAATTATGTTGGATAGAGACTAAGACTTCCAAAATATCATCTCATCTCCTTGACTAAAATTGTATTATCAACGAAGTAGTCTGACAGAATTATTCTAGCAACAAAAATTTTCCATGATAATACATTGATGAATGGGGGTATCACTGAAGGCACAAGCCTTCCAAGAACTTTCCTTACTGCTTCTTCTTCCGGTTTCCCTCCTCGGCTGCCCGAAGGTCGATTTCACGACATTGGACGATGAGATTCCACATACACCAGAGGTAGGCCAGACCAAAACCGGCCGCACCGATCAGGGCGTTGAGAACCACCCAGAGATCTGGCTTGCCGGCAGGCGGAGGCACAAACGCTTCCAGTATATGCCAGCCAATCATGGCCAAATAGAAGGCCAGATGTAAGAGCTTGCTAAAGATACGCGGCTCAAGAGGGGTCTCTTCGAGAGAGGCCCGGCTGCGGAAGATCTCGAATGAAGTGGGAGGAAGGCCCATCAGGTAGGCCCAAAGGAGAGTCATGACAATGTAGGGCAACCGCAGCTCTTCACGCTTCAAAAGCGGATACATGGTCCATGAGCCCAGAATGTTAGCCCAGCCAACCCACGCACGGTTCTGTTTGCTCAGCCCGCCATCACCAGCCAAGGTGAGGGTCATGGGGAGAAGAGGAAGCAGAACGCTCTTCTCGTGCACTTGGAAGGAGAAGAGGAAGAAGCCCCACGAGACACTAGAAAGAGCGGGAAGCAGGAGGGAGGCCCGGGGGTGGCGGAATATGATGGCACATGGGACAATGATCGAAGCCAGAGTCGCTCCGAGAGACGCCCGCTGTAGCAGCGAGGCCTCGAAGCGGTGAAGTTTGTAGAACGTGTGGATAGCACACCAGGCATTAGCCACTTTGTCCTCAAACAGACCACGAGCGAATGGGAATATACGGTGGATAGTTTGGGTCATCTGGAAGAGCACAGCATACGCCACGGACTTCTTATCGAGAGAGATTGGTAGCGATTGTAGTAGCGGAGGCTGTGGCGAGGACGCAAAGAGCTCTCGAGCCTCGGTGGTCGTAGCTCCATACAGAAGCGGGGCAAACAGCAGCGCAAATGCGGCCAGGGTAATGAGAGCAATGTTGAGGAGCCGCAGGATACGAATGCGAGGGAAGACACACACGCCCAACAGATAGGCGAACATGACGGGAGCATAGTATAATGCCATCTGCTTGAAGCCCAATGCGCCGACAAAGAAGAGGCAAGCCCAGAGCATCCGTCCGGCCAAGATGGCATCCAAACTGGCAACCATGAGGCCCAACATCACCGTATTGAACTGGAAGTGGCCATGATCAATCAAGATCGTGGCCGGTTGGAGGAGGATTGCAACGAGGGCGATCGAGGCGGACCATGCGTGCACCCCATGCATACGAGTATAACGACGGAGGAATGTGACGACGGCGGGGACGTAGATTAAATATTCGGAGATGAGGACGGTAGCCCGCATATAGACCTTCAAGTCCGGACCCTCGATTCCTCGGGACTCATCCAGGGCGAACCATGTAGGATCAAAGGCCGAACCACTTTGTTCGTTAGCAATTGCCCCGTTGTAAAAGACTAAGCATCTGGTAAAGAAAAGACTTACATCTTGCCACATAACCAACTGTGGTATGCAGTCAATGGGGGGTAATCCAGACCCCAGTATTGCAAGTCGTAGAGATACCATTTGGCCATTGGCAGATGGGTGGTGATTTCCATCCAATGCCTTTGCGCCTCGAAGTCACCGTGCATTGGAGGGACATTGAATCCTATAATCCGTCAGATATAAGCAGACTCATATAGCTATGCCAATTCCCATACCAGAGTAACCCCACAGACTGACAGCCCATCGGAACAAGCCAACGGCCATGAGCGTCAGAGGCAGGATCAGCCATTGCGAGACACCCGCCCGTGCAGCCCATAAAAATGAGACCAGGGGGAATGCAGGCGATTGTTTCCCATCGCCGAAATCCACGATCAAGCTGTTGTTGGAGCCCGGCGCAGTCGGGTTCTTTCTCTTCCTGCGGGGACGGTGTGAGGAGGGAGTAGGAGGGGCCATCACGATACTGGTCAGGTGGCTTCACGGCCCATTGACCTCGGGAGGCGAACAAAAAAAATGAAATTGCGCGACACGGAACAAGTCCGGAGGGCGAGAAGCTTGGATTTCAAAGGACGTTCCAAAGTATAGCGACGAATGGGGGGACCAACGGTCGATGCAGGAGGATCAGTACGGGAGACCACAAGTACCAAGTGACATGTCCTGTACCGGGTCGCAGGGCGAGTCGCGAGTGGAAGAGGAGATGCCCCGAGGTACCCGCCACGTCTCCACCGAGTGTCCACCGCATTTGCTGGGCAGTGCCTGGGTCTAACCTCCTGAGGAAGGCGGAGGGCTATTCTGCCAGCCGCTGATTTTTTTTTCTGCAGATTTTTTTTCTTATCAAGAGCTTCCCCCAGCCACGTATCACTTTTTTTCTTTCCTTCTTCATCCTCTTCATCCCTTCAAACCTCTCTGCTATCACTTCTCCCGTGTTAGCATTTTCTCTCTGAAGCATCGTATTACCGCTTCTATATCAATAAGTACATTTCTCCCTTCCCCCTCCCCCAACTAACTGACGCAGCTGCGTGGGTTCCGTACTTTCAAAGTACTTCAACAGACATTTTAAGTGGGCTTTTCACATTGAGGGCTGTGGGCTTCAAAATACTGCACATCTTGTGGGCTCTGTGGGACATTTTACATTCCTCGTGGGTTTCATATCAGATCAGTTGCGTATCTGTGCCGGTCTCTGTGGGCTTGAACTCTGTCGGTTGCGGGTTACTTGTTGGGTATCTACCAGCTGTGATCAGATCACTCCTGGCTGTTTCTATCTCCTGAGGGTTCATCACATTTTTTCCCCTTTTCACATTCAAAAAAAACTTACACGGGTGGCTATTGAGGGATTTGTTGGCTCTGCCGCACAAGAAAACAAAATACCAAACCACAAACTCACTTGATATTCTACCACTGTATGTGGGATGTGAAACAGACCCCAGGGCCTCGTTACACGATTGCTAACATGATTTCTTTTCTCTCTAGATCACAATGTCGAAGACCAAGGTTTCCTCCAAGGTTGACAAGAAGGCCTCCAAGGCTCTGTCCAAGGTCAAGGACGCTGGTGTCACCAAGGCTGCTGCCTCCCCCGCTGCCAAGTCCAAGGACGTTGCTCGCAAGGTCGCTGCCAAGGAGGCCAAGGCTTCCCGCAAGAACAAGAAGAAGGAGCCTACTCCCAGCTCCTCCGAGTCCGAGTCCGACAGCGATGAGGACATGAAGGATGCTTCCTCCTCTTCCGAGAGCGAGTCCGAGGATGAGAAGCCCGTCAAGAAGGAGTCCAAGAAGGTCGAGAAGAAGGAGGAGTCCTCTTCCGAGGAGTCTGACTCTTCCGACTCTTCCGAGTCCGAGTCCGAGGACGAGAAGCCCGCTGCCAAGAAGGCTGCTAAGAAGGAGGAGTCTTCCTCTGAGTCTGAGTCTGACTCCGAGTCCGAGTCCGAGGATGAGAAGCCTGCCCCCAAGAAGGCCGAGAAGGCCGCCAAGAAGGAGGAGAGCTCTGACTCTTCCGACTCTTCCGACTCCGAGTCTGAGTCCGAGGATGAGGCTCCCGCTAAGGCTGAGAAGGCCGAGAAGGTATGTCTATCTATTACTACACAAACACTGTCTCATTACTCGAACATATCACTAACTCTTCTTCTCATCATAGGAGTCCTCCTCCGATTCCGAGTCCGAGTCCGGCTCTGACAGCTCCGACAGCTCTGACTCCGAGTCCGAGGCTGAGGAGAAGCCCTCCAAGAAGCGCAAGGCCGAGGAGGAGCCCGTCGCTGCTGCCAAGAAGTCCAAGACCGAGGATGCCCCCGAGGGTGCTTCCGCCAACCTGTTCGTTGGTAACCTCTCCTGGAACGTTGATGAGGAGTGGCTCCAGCGCGAGTTCGCCGAGTTCGGTGAGCTCACTGGCTGCCGTATCGTCACTGACCGTGACTCTGGTCGCTCTCGTGGGTAAGTTATCACATGTTCTCGTCTTGCATGGTGCTTTGTATCAAATTGCTAATCCTCGTTTCCTTAATAGCTTCGGTTACGTCGAGTACTCCAGCGCTGCCGATGCCGCCAAGGCCTTCGAGGCCAAGAAGGGTGCCGAGATCGATGGCCGTCCCATCAACCTGGACTACGCCACTGGCCGCCAGAACAACCAGCAGCAGGGTGGCCGTGACCGTGCTCAGAGCCGTGCCAAGAGCTTCGGTGACTCTACCAGCCCCGAGAGCGACACTCTCTTCGTTGGCAACCTGCCCTTCAGCGCTTCCGAGGACGCTCTCCGTGACGTCTTCGGTGAGCAGGGTACCATTCTCGGTATCCGTCTGCCCACCAACCCCGACGATGGCCGCCCCAAGGGCTTCGGTTACGTCCAGTTCTCCTCCGTTGAGGAGGCTCGTGCCGCTCACTCCCAGCTCCAGGGTGTCGACGTTGAGGGCCGTCCTCTCCGTCTGGACTTCAGCACTCCCCGTCCTCCCCGTGAGGGTGGTGGTGGCTTCGGTGGCCGTGGCGGTGGTCGCGGCGGTTTCGGTGGTCGCGGTGGTGGCCGTGGCGGTCGTGGTGGCTTCGGCGGCCGCGGCGGCGGCCAGGGTGGCTACAACAAGGCCAAGGGCAGCATCCCTGAATTCAAGGGTACCAAGGTCACCTTCTAAGCTCGGAGCTTCCTTGCCTTTGCTTTTTGCTTGCTAACTGACATGATCATCATTTTGCACTTTTCTGCGTGTAATGTGGGCCAGGGTTTTAAAAAGTTTCTGTATTCTGGATAGTCTCTGCATAGGCTAAATTGTAATTTCATACATTTATTCATTCAATTTTTCTCTTCAAACAGTAGTCAATCCTTCTCGTATATGTAGTACAGGACAACCTATACCAAGGAGGATGTGCAGTCCGTGACGAAATCGAATACTGCCCCTTCCCACCGCCCACCCCGCAATTTGCCATTGTTATGTTTCCGTCATACTTCCATCGCAAAAGAAAAAGCATACCAGTAAAGTTTCCCTACCCCGATTCAAGTTAGATTTCCATCTCCCTTAACCTTTTTATTCCTTGCTTACTTTGACCGTTTTGATCTTGATTTTCCATTATATCATCACTTTTCCTGTTTGAATTCCTTGGGCTTCCCCTCGCATTATTCATCGGTGGTTCCCGTCACGGGCCACAAATCACCTGTTCCGTCTGCTGATCACCTCATCATCCACTCTTCAACCCACTTAACCCCCCTTTCTTCTCTCCCACTCAAGTCTTTGGATCCCGAGATTTGGACTTTGTGGGCTCTCTTCTCTTCTCGCCTTGTCCTCTGTTGTAACAACTCCTGTCTGCAAAGACAGCCAAACACGGTAGGGATCAGAGGCAGCCAAGGTCCAAGGGTTGGGCATCAGCGATGGGGGTGGATCGTCGCATCTCCACTCTGATAAGATAACTTCATTGTCCTCTTCCCCACGCTTGACCGCTCTTGTTCCTCGCACCGGGTGGCCTGACCCCATCATCATTTACTCCCCTTTCATCATCTCCTCTACTTATATACCCACTCTCCCCTCCTCTTCCCCTCCCCCCCTCCTCTATTTCCTCTCTCTGCGGCCATGCAACCGAATCACTGCGACCTCCTCGGTCAGGTGCGCGAGCCCAGAGCCGCAAGTCAACTGATGCGCGATGGCCAGCCGCGCGACCAACATGGCTACGCTGGTCAGCCCCGATCGTCTGGTGCGGTACCCATGAGGTCAGAGGGTATGTTTTAGTCCTTATTATACTCAGTTCCTGCATCAATTTATTCTTTGTTTCCCTCCCTGCCGATCTGACGTTCGTCATGTATAAACTGTTTCGCCTCGCCCCTATACTTCGCAATGTACTCACTACGATATTACATAGACTCTTGGATCGAAGTATCGTCCCAACCCTCCTCCTCATCTCTGTCCTCTGCAGCGACAAACGACGATATCATAACGACGGGCCTTCGAGTGGAACATCGTGAGGCAGGCATGTATCAGCATCGCAGTCGTCGACGGCGCATGCAGCATCTGGCTGCTGTGGCCACCGCCCAGGTGGATTACTCGTCGCGAGAGGCTAGTCTGGCGAGTAGCAGCCAGGAGGAATACGAAGAGAGCGAAAGCGAGTCAGACCCGCCGATGAGCAGCTCAAACGAAGATATCAACCGTCCCGCCCGGCCCAGTTTGCTGCCTATGCGCCCTTCACTCCACTCCGATGACGCCGATAGCGACGATGAAGACGATACATCTACAGCCTTGGGAATGGGCATTAGTCCATCACCATTTGTCCCACAACCCAACGTCTTCTCCCATCCACCTCCAACGTCCGACCCTTCATGGACTCGTCCCACCGAATCTCGTCGCTCCCAACCCAGCGTCTTGTCAAACTCCAGCCGGCGCACTGCGATCCGTCGAGAATCTTACCCCAGCACACGTGGATCTCGTCGATCCCAACAATCCCAGCACAGCCCTTATAACATGATTTCGCCTTCTCATCACGCCGACCACGACGCTGCGCTCCGCGCCAGTCTCTCCACTCTTTTATCCTGCGCAGCCGCTGCCCGAGGACTCCCCAAGACCGACTCTCCTCGCTTGCAAACCAGTCCTCCAACCGCAGCTCCTCCAGCATCTTTCAGGCTGGTCGGTGAATCTGTCGCTATGGGCGATGAAGACAGCAGCGAAGAAGGTCCGTCCTCACCCCGGTGCGTGGAGACCAGCCCCTCAGTGGGTCCGCCCCGCCGTAGACACCCCACGTCTCCATCCGGCCCGTCCGTGTCCAAAGCAAAACGTCGATCCGCCTCTCCCAAAGACCGCAGCGTTGCAAAGAAGAGTCGGCGGACTAGCTTGTCCGACTCGACAGCTCCCGTCAGTCCTACTGTCATGACGTGGGTGATCAGTGCGGGTGTCGTCGTTCTCTTCTCTGCCATCAGCTTTTCGGCGGGATACATGCTTGGCCGGGAAGTTGGACGGACTGAGATGGGCATGATGGGAGAGGGTGGTGTCCCAGGAGCACGGTCTTCAGCAGCTTGTGGACAAGAAGCAGTTCGAGGCGGTCTCAAGAGACTGCGATGGGGCACTGCTGCCGCTGGATCAGCCAGTTTGGCCTGAATAGTTCAGTGTAATCAGGTCATGCTCCAGCCTGGCCATACCAAAATGGCCCACGATTTAATATGTTGATGACGAGAACTGTTATGACAATGATCGGAGATGATGGCATGAAGGCTATACCCCCTGCTCTTGCCTTTTTATCTGATGATATCCTCTCTTTCTGTTTGATTTTGTGGAGGAACATGCACACGTTCCTATCTCACTTTCATTTTCTTCCATTTTTCCTTTCACTTTTTCTATCATTGATGCTCCGTATGATTCGACAGTCCTGTTTCTAGCAGCAAGTGTGTTCCAGGCATTTCATTTGAATACCTGATGAGCTACTACCTGCCAAAACTTGGGTGATACTTGTTGGTCTTGTCGTTGGGTGGTTTATCCTTCTCCCCCCCCCCCGGCGGTGTTCTGGCGTTCATTTTTTTAATTCATCGTTTACTGGTTTGGGGATGGTGAGTGGTGGCGGTGGTAAAGTTGTCAATGAAGTTGATATTATCTTGACTTGAATCTTATACCCTCTTTGAAGTGACTTCCTTCAGGCTCATCAGTGATATTAGTGTAGACAAGGATAGATTCTTGTGCTGGTATCATCTGCGTCCATTCTCCGATTAGGTAGGTCGGTGTCATCAGGCTAAGTAGGAGGGTGACCACGCTTTTGGTTACCGCTAGAGCCTCATATTTAGTGGGAAACGGTGGCCTCTATATGAAGGCCACGACTCCGCGCTTTCACATTGCCTCTTATATATACCTTTGTCACACCGTTCTTCTATGGTATGATGGCAGAAAAAGCCGCTCCTCTCAAAGAGGATTACCAAAGGATGTCCTCGACACTACTGTCTATTGTATGTGTAACCGGCGAGGCAAGAGAGGAATAGTTTCCGGCTCAAATGGAGTTATCATGGGATATCTCTTGTCCTTGGGGATTAACAGTGTATTGTAGCGCAGGACTCGGATCTGGATACTCCGCTGTACTATCTAGCCGGGGCGCGGTCGGTAATGAGGATGCGATTATGGTGCTTCGGGGGCGGTGCGGTGGGGAATTGGTATGGAGCGGAGAAGATTTGGAGTAGACTGTTCATGTTAGGGTACGGGGAGTAAATCGTTTGGAGGAATGAGGTATAAAGTGGCTGAAATGCCGAAGATGCCTTAGTGAGTGTTCAGAATGTGTAATTAGTATAGCAAAATCATTGCGAGATGGCGCGAGTGAGGTCTATCAACCTGCAGTTGACAAAAAGGAACTTATTCAGGCCAGAGCTGTGAAGTCTGTTTTCTGGACTCTCGTAATTCTGATAGATCAGTGTGAGGAAGAAATGCAATGCAACGGGACAGGCCGTGTACCTACTGCAGGCATACGGAGGTCGAGAAGTAGGTCCACGAGGTTCCCGAGTGCTTTTCCAAACACAGCAAAATATTTCCCACCCTTGATAGGTAGCTCACATTTACGCTTATCAAATGACGCAACCTCGAACTTCACGGCCGTTGAAAGGAAATAAGCCCCCCTAAGCTCGTTATACAAACAGGGGGGTTGCACCGCATCTTCGAATTGACTCTTGAACCGTTTCTGCAGGTACGTAGATCATTAGCGCAGTAAATACTACCTAATGCAGTTTGTAGTCTACTTACTTATCTGGGTAAGAGATAAAGCAGAAACGATAAATCTGGAGAAGCGATGAGCGAATAATCGAACGTGGACAGCGACATGACCATGGTCATCACTGTAGTTCATCCCGCCATTAAGCATGGTAGTCTAAATCCATGGCTGACTAGTCGCAGATAGAGTTATCTCAAATACCCTGCCTTGGTTCTGAATCAATTTCTACATGCTAACTACCGTATATTGGATCCGCCCTGATGGGGCCGCACTATTCAAGGTTGGATCTGCACGGGTCGGCCCTCGCACGTAACGGGGCGCACGGAGTCGGGGTTGGGGTTGGGTTTCTCCTGACGAGATGTGCGTTGATCTTTGAATCCGGTATTTGGTTCCAATTTCTACTACCGGGTTTATTTGGCACTAGCATGAGGGAGGTTATACAGTCGTACCCTTCAAATTGGAAATTCGAAATACCCAGGGCCCGTTACCACCAATCCTACTGTCGTCGCCAGCGGCCGCCGTAATGTTGTAAGATGCGCAGTTCTCGACCAACTGTTCTCCGCACTACGGTAGGTATCCTCAACCTGATTCCATTACTCGTAGATCGCATATCCCTCCCACCAATGAAATCCTTTCCCGTTGTAGATCCCACGCCCCTGGCAGTTTAAACCCGTGACCCTACACCGATATTAGGCCTGGTGGGAATCAGGCCACCAAGAACTAGACGTAATTCATTCAATTAATCAATTCATCCATCACTAATGTCCCCCCCATACATCACAAATATTTCAAGTTTTCGACAAACCCCCTCATCTCCAGGGAATATCACGCAACAACCTCTGACGTAGACGTGCATAGATAATGCAATCCCCCCTCTTTCCCCCTGATCACCTCTCCATCCGTGCGGCGCGCAGGGACCAACACGAGTCATGGGGACTCGCGAGATATTGCTTTTTTGTCTGGGGGAGGTCTATGGGCAATTACACAGTATTGTCGATCATGGCTCCCGGCTTCCGGGTTTGCAGGGTCTCCCTGTTAGGTTGCTACCGTAGCACTTGCGTGGGGCATGGGGCGAGCTAAGTTGCTCTAGGCTAGTTGAGGCTGGGGAAGGATCCGCGCTCGTGGAGGATACGGGACCCGGGGTTGAGGTTCGGGATTGAGGGGTAGTAATGTCGTGAGACGATGGATGTGTAGGGGTGAGTGTTGATTTGTGAGGAGGTTCTAATAGGTTACCGGCTTGGATGTAGTGTCAGTGAGGAACTACAGTAAGGAAGTGATATTCGAGGAGAGTACGAGAGATCATACTGTACGATAATGTAGATGATACCATGATCAAGTAAATTTGTATGTATTCAGAACGAGGCAGGAGTAAACAGACTCCCTATATTGCCATGACTATATACAGGATCTCCCAATTCCGCCATCCCATGAATGCAAAGCCCAATCCGAGCAATTGCTCATGCCCATAGTCAAACCGACTATATCCCAAATGTAAAAAACCCAAACTCCTCGCTAACCCACCGCTATAACAAAATGACAAATGGACTCAGAATGAGTCAATAATCAGAGAAAAAGCAAGACCACCCTCGTACAGTGTGGTCGAGTGACTCGCAGCCACCGATTAAACACATATGAAAAAAAAAAAAAAAAAGTCAAGTCAGGTGTTTCCCCCGCAGCAGTCGTTGGGGCCTGTAATGTCCATCATCGCATGGACGGGTCGTAGATCGACGAAGATTTGTAATTTGAACAGTAGAAGGAGAGTTGAAGGATCGTAGGTCGTGCATGGATGTTTCGATGGTCGAATGATGGTATCAGAATCAAATCAGACAAAATGAAAAAATTATAGAGAACGTAATTATATCGGATGATCCGATATTAAGTAGTCGCCTCCGACCGACGGCGATTCCTCAAATCTTCACCACTGAGGAAGCGACGCAGTTTTGACAGTTTGGAGACGAAGCGACAAGGGATTTCTGCAGGACCGTTAGTAAAAGTAAAACATAAAGTGAATTAAACAATGAAACGTACCACTACCTCGTCGCGGCGTAAAAGGCGGCTGTTCGAGCGGTTGTGTTGTATACGCGGAGGCCCAGTAGCCCGTGTGATGGTAGCCGGTGAAGGTGCAGCTATCCGGGTTGTACTGCGGCTGCAGCGCTGTAACATGCGGGTAGAGCGCTGCAAGCGGGGACAGGAGCTCGTCTGGGGGAGGCGAGCGTCGACTATCGATGCTGTCGCGAGTAGTCTGTGGATGTGTTAGGTCAGGCATTCATAGAAACGTTGGGTTAAGGGAGTTTCGGTGTTGTCCGAACGTACATAGAGTTCGTAGTTTGTCTTGTAAATCATTGTGGGTGTAGATGCGTGGAATGTATATTATAGGATGGTGGAATGCGGACGGGACGGAGACCGCCGAGACAGCAGGAGTCAAAATCGCGTGGATTGAGAACGGTGATGTACAGTATGTCGAGCCAAGGGCGGAATTGATGCACCGAAGGACAAGTTTGGAACAGGGCCAATGCAAATGCAGGCTGTGTTGCAGGCTTTCAAGTTGACTAGGTACTAGGATGCTAGACCTTGGGAAATCGGAACTTGCGATGCAGGTTGAAGTGGTTGGGATGCAAGATGCAAGCGCGGTGAAGCTACATTTAAAGAAGCGAGATCAGGTTAAAATGTCTGTGGCTAGGACTATGGGGGCCGTGATCAGGGATCCTCAGCCGCAGCCTCCAGAGCGGGGACTGGCAGGGATGTTGAAAGTGATTTGCATTTCTGAACGAGGCTAGTCTATATCGACGATAGTAAAATAAAATCCGTAAAAAAAAATATTCTACTAAGTGTCAGAGCGACCAGGTAACCGGGTCGAGACAAGCGAGATGCGACCATCGCGACATGGAGACAAGGGCCGATGATTGGATGGGCGGAAGGGGGCTTGGGCGTAAGCGTCGATTGGCAGCCGATCTGTCGGAGAGCCCGAGAATGGACGGGGATCAGGGAAGGTTGAATCATGAATGTCATTATTGGATGAGACTCGCGTGATTGGTTTATCATCCTGGTTCCTGGTGGTGCGAGTGGGGACTAATATAATTTAATCTGACGGCGTATAGTGGAAAGTGCTATTATTGGTGTTTTGGCCGGCAATACGAGATCTGATCGCATCTTCTGGAGTTCACCAGCCATTTGTAGAAGTGGGAGTTGGGTCAGCCTTGCTGGGAGATTTAAGTAGGGTATATCTACTGTAAGTACGGAGTAAGAAGTTAGGAATAGTATGGAGACAATAGCAAAGTAGGGACATCCCTGCTAGGACTCATCCTCTCTGGTTTGCAGCCCCCAACACACTCGTTTTCCCCTGCCCCCTTGCAGTATTTTGCAGCTGGCCACGTTATGGAGATGTGTTATCGTGGCTGCATGTTTCTCCCACGGGTCCCACGTCACAATGCCAGGATGATTTGAATTTGATCATGAGAATGACGAGGACAATTTTAGTCTTAGGACACGAATTAGGCCTGCTATTGTCACGATAGGATTAGGTTGCGCCAGATCACTATCATAGTTCAACAATTACTATATCGTGATTACGATTCTTATGATCTGATTTCATTGTGATTTCACCTTTTATTGTCTTCCCCTCGCGGCTGTGCCTGGATCCCAGGCATGTCATCGTTATCGCTGACGATCCCCCTAAGGCCACCCAATCTTGATACACACCACTTCTACTCCACAGTTACTTTCCAAAGGCCGAGCCCAATAATATTAGGTGAGACGTGCGATCGCCCGAACATATCCGTAGAGGGGTGGATTCTTGCCTCGTCGAAGAGTAGTCAAACTATGCCGGCTAGTTCTTCCTGAGTATAAAGTGGGGCTGCGTCAAGAATGTTGCACAGGTCAGTCGTAGCGAGGCGCCACAGAGCAAAGAGTTTATTCTTGACGCATTCCTTCCAATCCCCAGGGTGCCCCCCAGTCTCTAGAATGGTTCAAGGTATGCTGCAGCGACCGAGACTGAAATCTAGACTTTGCGGCAACGCCTAACCGGCATGACTAGGTGCCTGACACGAGGAAATGTCAAGATAAGAAGATGCACGGTAGATATGCGACCATGTCAATATGCAAACATGTACTTCGTACTCCTATTAGAGTATGATGTACTACTCCGCTCTCTGCATGGACCAGCCACGCGAGGCATGACAAGGGGGGATGGATAGAGTAGCCAAATTTCTCAAAGAGGCGGAGATCCCCCCGATCTCCACCTTTCAAAGTCTTCCAAATCATTCCTGATTCTTGATGCTAGTCATCACTCACTTTTCTTTTTCACTTTTACCATAGTTAGCTTAGTACTATAGTTAGTGAGCGTCTAACCCCGACTATTGGGGCGCTAATAGGCTCTGATCAGATTCTCGCGGCTGATTGGCGAGGATCTAAGGGGCCATCAATGCTGCTAGCCTACTAGAGCTCTAGTGCACAATCTCATTGTCAGTTTCCACTAGGGCAGATGGAAGTCTAACTAGGACAAGGATAGCGGTGGGTAAAGAGGAGTCAAGAATTGACCAAACTAACCAAATAGGGATAGATTCATCGGATTATTCTATCCGAAAGGGGAAAAGATAGCCATGACCCGGTTGACATCATCAGCCACACAGTCCGCACGGACCAAGTTCTGCCTCAGCCACACACCCCTTGCTATTTAGGGATAAGTGCACGAGCCACAGGCTCGGCCACACCGTGGCTAGTGACTCTAGATCCGGCCGAACCGGGGATCAAAACCGATAGTTTACTAAAACAAAAAAACTTATGGTTGATGATCCTTAAATTCTTAGAAGAAGCCAATAAAGACAAAAAAAAACTGTGGCTCATGCTGCTCCTGTGGCTTGACCATTTGTCGCCTTACTCGATAGTTTCCTCCTGCCCAGATCCACCGGCCGTCAACCCCGAACTAGTCCGCCCTTGATCTTCAGATGTGATCGTGTTTGGCATCACCCCTCCCTTCTCGGTCTGGCCGTCTCCATGTCCCCGGGGAGCTATAAGGCGTTGGTGGCCGCCACCCTGAACTTGATGTTTTTTTCGTCATCACAGAAGCTTCCCCTCCTTCTACTCCATTATCACTTGTCATAGCTTCAAGCTTAAAGCTATAGCAAGTTTCGAGTTTCAATTTTCACTACGAGTGACTTGTTTTCTCCAACACATGTCGAGTGCCGACCATGTCACTGAGCATGCAGGGTTCCGGAAGAGAGTATTGGGAAAGCTCTCCACGCATGGACGTACGCGATCACTGCTCGCGCGAGCAGCATCCTGCTACAAGTATGCTTTTTCCACTCTAAGTCATTGCTTTTATTGTCTTCTTCTATCGTTGCATTCTTTATTCCTTTTTAATTCATATCACATCTATATACAACACATCCCATTCTATATCCATGTCTATATCACACTCTTCACCTCCATGTATCCCCCACTCCCATGACAAGCATTCTGAGACCACTCTCCCCAGGATCCATCCCGCTCGACGCTGAACGCTCCTCCGATAGGCGCGAGCCCCGTCCCTTCATTCAAGATGAGGGCATGACCGATGCCGAATCGTCTCCTCCCCTCCCAGACACCGAATTCGGCCGCCTCGACACGACAGGCTGGTATCCACACTACAACCAATGCGTCCACTACTTCCTCGAAGCCGGCCAACACAATTCAACCGTCCAATCAATCGCCGCATTCATAAACATCCGTCTCCCCTTCCAACGCCCCGAAGACCACCAACAATCTACATCTACGTCTACATCTACCTCCTTCGTTTCTCTACGACCTTACGTCCGCCGCCTAATTATCACTGCGCAAGACTCCCCGCCCATTATGTCGGCCTTTTTCGGACCCGACTGGCTTACCGGCGTGGGAGTGCTTTACAAACAAGAGCGCACGAATTACCTCTTTACGGCGAAGAGTAGTGGTTGGGCGCAGACTAAGGCTGCCTACGATATTCTTCCGGATGAACAGGCGCCGTTTCTGCGGCCGCTGCGTGATCCGGAGGAAGAGGAGATTCGGGCTGCGGAGGCAAGGTGGAGTGAGTGGCTTGCTATGGAGGATTGGATGGTTGGTGCTAGGAGTCCTTGGTAAGCAAGAGACTTGGTACTTTTTTTTTTGATCAACCTGGTTCACCCTGGGATTGATGATGGTTTCCAGTGACCTGGTTCGTGGGGCTAGTTATGAGACATGACCTTTTTTCTTAATTTTCTTTTCTATTTTTTTTTTTTTTTCATTTGTCGCCCTTTTCATTTGTTCCTACTGGATGGTTGTGTGTTTTCCCTCTCCTATGTCATTTTCCTGGTTGTTTCCTTTGTTTTTCTTATTTTGTGACGGCTCCAAAAAGGGTTCGGCCTCGTGCTGTCTGGTGTATTTTCTCCGGCGTTGCAGATAGTCATTTTTTTTCTTCTCTATTGGCGTTGGATGTTTTATTTCCTCGTGGAGAATACTAGTCGTTTGATGAATTCGGATATTTTGCTATTACCATAGAACCTGTAGGTCGTGAGTTGTAGACCGACTAGACTGTATTCTGTTAGTTCTACTCTATATCCGACCGTATGGACCTTCATGATCGCCAGATTGACAAGTGATCGCCCGTGGATCGCCTGTCAAATTCAATAGTCGTGCACCGCCACAGGCACAGACCAGCCATGACAAATACCTACAAGTAGTATAGCGTTGACGAAGCAGATCTTAACAGAGTACTCCGAGGTTAATCTAGTTAATGGTTTTAATCTAATGGAATTGAATCTTGTTTCCATGGTATGCCCCTATTCTCCTCACTTGTACTCGATTAATTTGTGCTACTATACTTGGTTCGTACTACATTCTACAGGACTGTTCAGTACTACTCTCCCCCTTATCAATTGTGCCCGAAACTAGTGTCATTCAAGTCTATCGACTCCGTCAACATTTTACCCACAACGGTTTAGTCCGGGATCGTATCGCTCTCCACTTTTTCCTGCCTGACTCATTTAATTCCCAGGCCAAGACGTGTCAACCTGTCACGGTGGATTTTTGCTTTTCCCTACTATATTCTCATCACGGGTCTGGCATTATTGCACGCTATTCCTTTGTTTTTCCCCCTCGTACATCCTCCACCAGTCGCTTCGGCTCATCCTTGCGAATAGTTTCATTCTGGAAGCCCCCGGTCGCCGGGTTCTTGCGTCGTGACACATCCCACGACCAGGGAGTCGGGTTCGGTCAGAATCAGAATCAGCAGTTGAAGCTGAATGACAGGCACAGACACAAGCAAAAAAAATATACACATCTCATCCACAATGGCTGAGACCACACCCCCAGCAGCGTGTTTCTACGAGCACACAGCACAATCAATCATCCCCCATCTGGCCAAGCAAATGCCCTACTCAAGCTCCCTCCTCCGACGTATCCAACACACCCTCGCGTATCCCTCACCCACCGCCAAGATCCTAGCAACTTTCCCGCCAGGATCGACCCCTGGATCCCCTGGCCCCGATTCCGATCCCTCCACGCCGTGGCTGGCTGCACAGGTGGATCTCTTCCGCGGCCGCGAGACCCAGATCATCCTCTTCTCCAGCCTCGAAGCGGAGTGTACTTCTCTCCCGCTGATCGTCCCTGTCACGGGCTCTGCCACCCTCTCCCCGACCGACCTGTCCAGGTACTCGGGTCCAGCTTCAGCTGCAGGGCCCGCTGTCGCTAACGCCAACACTAATGCTAACGCTAACTCGCTTCCTCACGCGAGTACTAGTAATAATGACAATGTACCCGTCTCTGAGTCTGAGCAGGGACGATCGAGTCCGGACTACGCCGTGTCCACTATCACGGCCTCCCCGGCGGACCTGGAGACCGTCCGCGCCCAATTATTGGCTTTCCTCGCGTTTGTCAAGGCCCAGTTACTGCCCGAGTACCTGTCATCCCTGCCAGACACAAAGTCTGGATCTGGATTTGGATCTTCAGCAAACTCAACTTCAGCCCCTGCAGCGACTGGCGTCACCCTAATCCCACCACCAGACCCACACGCCTTCCTATTCGGCTCCCTCCATACAGGTCTCTTCGCGCTACTGCTGCGATCGGGAAAATTCCCTCGCGTGGATGCGGGCGTGAAGGCCCCCGTCGATCCTGGCCCGCTTCCCGGTCTACGGGTCCATCGCTTTGATAACCCGCCTTATTACAAGTACTTTTTCACGAGGGCTGTGTTTAGTCCCAGCGTTGCGGGTCAGACAGCTACTGAGATGGAGAATCCATTGCCGGCTGGGTATAGGTATCATGATCGGCGTGGCCGGGTCGGCGTTTTGTCGTCGCAGTTGGATCTTGTGCAGAGTCGGACACATATTCCCCGACCGCGCCGGCAGTTGCAGAGTCTACCTAGTGTTGCGGTTTACTGCGATTCCCAGTCCTCTGGTGCGAATTCCGCTGGTGAAGAGACTGAGCAGGAGGATGAGATGCCCATCGCATGGGCATTCCTGGGCGTAGACGGTGCCGTGGCGACATTACACGTTGAACCTGAGCATCGCGGACGCGGACTGGCGCTTTCGTTGTCGAAAGAAGTTATGCGACGCGGCATGGCGACGGAGGGAGTATTTGGGGCGAAGAAGGTTGGTCTTGTGGATACGGAGATGAGGGGATTTGTGGAGGATTGGGTTCATGCGGAGGTTGCGGGGTATAATAATGCGAGTAGGAGAGTTATGGAGAAGATTGGAGGCAAGGTCTTGACGACTGTTGTGTGGACGGTTATTGAGCTTCTTGATTGATGAGTTGAGGTGGTTGGGGGGTTGATTCTAGAATAGATTACGAGAGCATGAGGTTGCATTTAGATGATGAATATAAAGTAGATGACGATAATAGATGAGATAGTATCGGATTGTTCTAGATGAATGTCTGCTTGATATAATGATCCTCTGCTTAGAAGTATGCAGACGGGCAGTCGTAATTTGTGATTACTGATCAATAATTATCATCCCCCTCTGCCATCCATTTTACCCGAACAGACAAGGTGACAATGCAAGATTACAAATTAGGACATTGCTCCAATACCTTATTACGGAAAGCAAAGCGTCTGACAAACCAGACATACAGTCCAGCGGCTGGCATGGCGTTGGCCTCGGGAGGTCTTCCAATCAGTCGCGTTGATATAATCATCATCCTCCCGGCTCAACGCCCAAGTTGATCCTTCCTGCAATGCTCTGCATACCACCTGTCCGTGATGACTGAGGGGTCAACTTGTGTTCTCATTAACAAGCTCAAGGGTAATACATCATTGTTGTCGCTTATAAATGAGACAAGAAACTTCTATTAAATAATTCTCTATCATTCAATAGCAATATATAAAGGCAACGTATCTCGTCGCTACATCAATAGCATACCAAATCAAAATAAATCAATCGCCCCGCACTCAAAATGTCTCAATCTGTACTAGTCATCGGAGGTTCTGGAGCCCAAGGCACTCCAGTCGTGAAAGGTGAGCAGCGTACATCACCATATTCCCCCTACCCAGTTTCTGACGGATTCCAAAGCACTGTCGCAACAGCCACAATACTCAGAAATCAGAGTCTTGACTCGTGATACAACATCCGCAAGCTCCCAGTATCTCGCAACACTCCCCAAAGTGTCGCTGTATACGGGCCAAACCGACAACGAAGAAGATCTCAAGGGTGCATTTTCAGGAATCGACCTCGCCCACGTCAACTTGAACAGTTTCGCCCTCGGAATCAAAGAAGAACTTTACTGGGGAATCCGCATCTACGAAATTGCCGTCCAATCCGGCGTCAAACACTTCATCTGGTCCTCCCTGGACCGGTTCATGGCCGACACAAGGTACGACGATGAAACGCGAGCTATCCATTACTACGGCAAGGCATACGTCGAGCAGTGGCTCTCTGCTATCCCCCAGCGCAAAGATTCCACAAGATGGACCATCATGACCACGGGGCCGTACATCGAAATGCTCTCCCAACTACTCCAACCCCGCCAGGAAGATGACGGAACGTACGTCTTCGAAGTACCCCTCGGAGACGGCCTCGTCCCATTTATCCATCTCGATGATCTGGGTCACTACGTGAACTGGATATTCTCCAACGCGGACGAGTCTGCTGGGATGAATCTCAAGATCGCCATCGAGCATGTCTCGTATGAGTATCTCGTATCAACCTTTACAAAGGTTACCGGGAACCCGGCTAAATATCGCAATGTCTCGTTCGACGAGTGGTTCACTACTGGGCCTTTGAGTCCCGTTGCGGATGTTAAGCTTGGGAAGCCGCGTGATGATCCGACTTTGTCGACAAATCGGGAGAATTTCACGGCTTGGTGGAAACTTTATCAGCTTGCTGGGAGTGATCGGAATGTGCTAAAGCGCGATTATGAACTTTTGGATCGTATTTTCCCGGACAGAGTGCGGACTGTGGAGGAATGGATGCGGAAGGTTGGGTATACTGGTGAAGCTCGATTTGTGCTTAAGGCTTATTGAGAGGGTTGCGGTTGATCTTGGGACTGATGGATGCCGCTCACTTTTTACTCTAAAATAATAATTTATTTGATTTTGGTTTTGGATAGATGTTCAAATGACGCCGAAGCATATGCCAAGCATGCGTGCACGTGCACCCCATTCTGGTAAATTGGTAAATATAGGAAGCGAAATTTTGAGTACTGAACTCTCAAGAATCAAAAGCATTATGTCATGTCTGTAGTCATGTATCAAGCCGGGCTATCGTTTCGCATCGGCCGCGGTGGCCTACTTTCTTCTAAACCTCGAAAATAGGGCAAGGCTTCAGCGGCCGTCATCCGAGAATCTGGATCCACCTGCAACATAGCCAAAGCACACATATTCAGCGGCGAATCCGAATCCCGCAGAAAATCCTGGTGGCGAGTGAGATTGTGACCACGTAGAATCCTCGAGCCAACTACTTGGCCTCGAACGAGCTCCAATCCAACCATCCCACAGCTCCAGTAATCAACGGCTCGACCGTGCGTTTGTCCCTCAACCTGTTCCGGGGCAAGATATGGTATAGTACCTGGACTATCATATGGAATCCGGGTCTTGTCCGACGCACAACCAAAATCGGTCAACATGGCCTCGGGCGGGTCATAGCTTTTCACCAGGATATTGTCTGGTTTCACGTCCCTGTGGCATATACCATGCCCATGGAGGAACGCAATCCCTTCCAAAAGCTGACTGAAGAATATAGACCGGCCCACGTGCGACACGTTTGAGGTGTATAAGGAGCGGAATGTTGCATTCAATAGAGGTGATATGATGATGTATTCGTCTGTGATATTATCGACAGTCGGCATCCACTCGTCATCGAGGAAGTTTCGAATCCGTTGCTAGATAGGATTAGAATTGGACCATTCTTAGATAAACAGACGGTGATTTCCATACTAGCTCAACCGTTGTTCGTGCTTGTCGATGGCAAATCTCGATAGCGCTTGAAATTCGACGCTAGGTTCATGATCAGACTTATCCATCAAAGAAAGCCAAAGAAAGGGCGTGTGCCACTCACATGCGTCAATTTGGAGATACGGGATGTCATCTCAATCTCTTGATCCACAGCATATCCATTCTTAGGTGACTTCAAATTTCGTTTTGCGGCGGCTGATAGACCGGTTCGGCCATTGACTACCATGTAAACAACACCGTATGACCCTCACGAGATCGGATTCTGGAATATCCAATCCCCAAATCGCATTTAATTATCGCTAGGCAAAGGCAGTACTAATGGATTTGCATCGTCGTGGAACACGCGGAAGAATTCGGCCAGTTCCACCTGAAACTGTTCGTCTTCCTCGGGGTTTCGTGGGTAGTAACGTAAAGTGAAGACGCATTCTCCGATCATAATGCTGTTTTTGAGTTGGATGGAACGCTGGTTATTTCGGTATATCTCGCCGTCCATCATCACGGGCTCTCCTCTCCCGTTGTCAGCAATGAGAAAGAAACCTCCAGCTCCCTTGACCCAATTTAATCGGGCGTGAATACCGGCAACACGATTCTCATCCGAGTCTTGATCGATTCGGCGATCCTCAATAGTCAAGAGTAAGTCTACCCCTCTGTTTTTAAGTGTATCTCGACCCCTACCGATTCTCCATCCAATATGGGCAAATTCAGGCAATCTACCCAACGAAAGGGTAAAACATTTGGTGACCCTGTCGCCAACAAATGTCTGGCCGATAAATTGTTGGTGATAAGCTGATCCTGATCGTGAAGTTGCTTCTATAGCCGAGCGCGCAACCGCATTCATAGGTACGAGCATGGCAAAGCGGCCATAGTGATCGAGATCTTCATCTGGGCCAGGTTCCAGATGGTCGAGTTCCATCTGTACACCATAAGGGCCTTCCAGAAGCTGGGTTGCCTGAGTTAACATCGCTGTGATTGTCAAGCTCTTCTATCTGGGAGCGTGGATTAATAAATAGGACTCTTAGGTCAATAATAGATTGTATATAGCCGCCGTCAAAAGATGTGAAACATGGGGTTCCAGCGGTTTCTAACACTTATAGGTAAATGGGTTCTGCCTGTTTGCCGCACGCGAGAGAACTGCTTACTAGCCCCGCTCCAACAACAAGTGAGGCTCAAAATTAGCTGTATCGAGACCAATGAAATTCCGCTATTAATATCTACGGCCTATGATTCTCAGTCTAGACAAATATTTATGTGAAGTGAGATCATGGGTTCTTTGACTCCCGATACACACAAGACATTGACCGTCTGGAACGAGAAATTGGGTTGGACGAAGCAATGTTTATAATCATTCATTATCCTTCCAGTCTTCCCTTTCATCCTCGAATTCTTCAATCTCCTTCTCACAAAAGGTCGACACACTTCTCAGTTGTGTGAAGACATGATCAATTCGAGTTTCACTGGCGTCGTAGAAGACTCGTCGGTTCCGACTCTGACTGTCTTCAATAAGACGATTCAAAGTAACAAGTAGTTTGGATAACTCCCCTATCATCGTGCTCCTCTCTTGCTTGTCAAGAACCGGAGGTGAGATATGTAACTGTTCCGACAGATCCCCAAGCCTGGTGACCCAAGCCACAATATCAGTCTGTAAGTCATAGTTTGTTGTCATCCTATCCATTTCCGGCACATTCAGCGTTTGGAAGATATTCTCAATCTGGAGACTCAGTTTATCGACTGTTATAATGCCATTTCTGGGCGGAGAAGCCCGTGGTGAAGGAAGCTGGCGGTCCGATGAAACGAAAGGGAGCTGTCGCTTGCGCTCTTCGAACTGCTTCTGGCCCACGACTCGACGAGACTCATTGATGGCTTGAATATTTTCCGGCAATTTGAGGTACTGTCCGCTCCGCCATATCGTGCGTTCCGATACGGATATTTTTGCTTTATGTGATCCTGCTGCAGGTCGTAACGGGAGTGCCGTGAGAACTCGGGGCGTGGGATTGGGAATTTGAAAGGTATCAAGGACCGCGTTTTCAGACTTAGGCGCAGCCACTGGGACTTTAATAGAACCTGGTAGAGCTAGCTTTTTATGTATATGTGGCCAGCCATCATTTATTGGACCAAAGGGAGGCTGGGGTTGTGGTATGGTCATGTTGGCATATAGCGCCTGAACTAGTTGAAAAACGTTGTTGTTGAATTGAGACGCCTCTTGCAGGATTTCATCCAGCTTTTGAGATTGATGTGTATTGTCTTTTTCGATGCGATCGGTAGCGGTCCTGAGCAGAGTTAGCCCTAGACCCGGTAGTCAAGAATGCTCGAAGCGAGGCTTGCCATATAAAGGTACTGAGAAGTAGATTGATAGAATCTGTATGTGATTGCAGCTTCGTCCGATATTTACTCAACGAATCTCCACGTAGATCCCATAGTACCCTCTTCCATTGAATCTTCAATGACGTCTTGGCCGGTCGGGATGATGACGGTCCAGAGATACTGAGCTGATTGCCAACCACAGGACGTGCAGTTTCCGGTGCGGCTTCACGGTATTTACCTGTGACATTATCGAGTTCTTCTAATGTCTCGAGACATGACTTGATCATGTACCCCAGCTGCACATGGACCTGCCCCGAATTATCCATAGAGTTGGCAGTGGCCTTTGCTAGAATGACTTCATGATCTCTGTTGAGATGGTTGAGGGCACAGTAGAGGCCAAATAGAGTATCCTCGAGCTCTTTCAGATCACGGACGGCCTTCTTGCGCCCGTCAGTAACGGACGAGAATAAGCGATAGGCGATTTGAGTGCAGAGAATGATATCGCCCACTGAGAAGCCGAACGACATGATGGCTCGATACAATCACTCTAGTTGCGAAATTCGTACAAGAGTGAACTTCATATCTCACGCACTTGAGGAGTGGGGTTTCAAATGCGATGTCTCCTCCTAATCAGCCACACGCAAAGCTTGCATGGTGAAGGCGGGGGTCTTTGCGGGCGTCCTCTGACACTAGTCAATCGGTCGATACAGAAACCCGGGTTCAAACCTTTCGTTCAAAAAGTAGGATATTATAAACGAGGATCATCTTTCATTCGAGACGTCTAGCCGCCACCTCGTCCCTAATGCCAAGGAGGCTGACAGCTGAATGTGCCTGAAACAAAACGGGCAAAGACCAGCGTGGGCGCAGCCAATCACTTGGTTCATCCCTCGTATTTGGGCAAGGTTGCCCGAGCGCGTCAATTGAGCCCCTCATGTTGATGCACTGTCCCATAATAAACCCCAGACCTCCCTCACTCAAGTGCCACAGCAATAGTTGAAGCAGGTCCATCATGGCCGCCAAGCTACCAGGTGAAGACGAGTTCATAAAGATCGTGGTGGAGAATCTGAGGAAGAAGGAGAAGCATGATGGCGATGACAGTCAGAAACATGAACCAGTTGAGATCTATGTTACCAGCGATTATACACTCGAAGAGCTTTGGCGTACAATCGAGGAAGGTCTGGTCTTTGCCAATCTATACTTTCAAGCAAGCTGACTGACCCCAAAAATTGCTAGAACATGGATATTCTCCACCAGATCGCCTGAAAGAAAACGGAGATGGTAGATCCCGGCACAGATTTGAAACCAAGTCTGCTTTTCATTCATATACAGAGCTTGAGATTGTCAGCGACAAGTCTGCCGCTGATGAAACGCACATATACATTAACGAATCGCTCCATGCCGCCGCACATCGCGATCAGAGTGTCAAATTTGATATTGAGTATAATGACCAAGGCCAGACATCTCTGATTATTGACAATGCCCTTCAACTCGTCTTTCACCGAACTGTGCGCATGCCGGATGATGATCGGCTCCATTCTCTCCCCGGTTCTGTAGGGAATTTCCCTCTCTACAACACCGAGGACTATACGGACAGACTGCCGGAGAATATTCTGGAGAAAGGAGGACTGTTTTTGCCAATGTGGCAGCGGGAGGCTCTATGGATTGAACTCAGACGGTCAATAAGCTCTCACACCGTCGAGAATTCAAATCAAATCTACGCTATCCGAGTCTATGTCGGCCAGATCAATGCAGTCTCGGGTAAGAATATGATGGACGAGGGGGGTACTCAGCAGGAACAAGACTACCTTATATTCCCCGGGCAGCCGTGGATCGACGGCATCTGCGTCGCGCCGGGTGTTGTGAGGCAGTTTGTCGCCATGCCATGTAAGTGACGAGTGGACGACTTTGCCTATTATTCATGGATCGCTGATGTATGCAGTGGGCTCCGGATACACCGTTGAAGGCCAGAAGACCGGCGAGGAAAAGCACGGAGGACTCCAGATTGAAATTATCCCAGCATACTCCAAAAAGGCACAAAAGTGGCTCGCTGCAACAGAAGAAGAAGCTCTTCAGGACCCTGGACTGTATCTTGATGAATCAAAGACGCCAGCCCAGCTTAGACTAGAAGCTGGTAGCCAGGTCCGAGCGTATCCTTCACCACCCACTTATTGTAAACCAGTGGAGGTCGGTGATTTATACAGGGTCAAAAAGGACTCTTGCCTTGGTGTTGTAAACCTTGAGGTGAGACCCCACGCTCGAGCCAGGCACCGCAGAAATTTAACCAAGAGACCGACAGGCGTTCTATTATGACCATTGGGATCTTTCAGACTGGGGAGGTGCTCCTAGAGTCCGAGGGCCTGGTTCACGGGCAATGAGCGATATGCCTGAACTACGCCCGCCATCCAGGGGACTTTCTACGATTACTTTCCAAAGCCTTTCAAAAGACACTACTGCTGCATCATCTATGGGCGAAGCTTACCTAGATGAGCATAGCGGGGCAGAAGTGTCTCTAGGAATACCACCGCGAAGAAAACCCCCTCCGGCGAAGAGGAAGACGAAGGCTCGCGGCCCAGGCAGGGGGGCTCTTAAAGCGACACTTCAAACCTCAGAAGTAAAAAGCCCCCCACCCCAGGTTCTGAATGTCAAGGCCATGGGTTTGGCGGCTGGAGGAAAACTGGGTACATTACTTCCATCTTTTGATATCATTTCTTCTCTCCTCGCCCGGGAGTTGACGGCTACTAACATGATGCAAAGTCCAGGATATAATCGCTGATCACAATCCCCCAAATACATGGAATATCGACGCCGCTCGTCTGATCAATATCCATATCCTGGATCCAGTCAGCTGCGAGTCAGTTACTCACATTGTCCCGCCACCTATTCCTATGAGTGCCTATGAGGCCGTTCTTTCCAACCTGCCTTTCTTCGTTGTCGAGGAGCAAATCGACAACCGCCTGGAAGGTGGCGATTTCGACAATGTCAAGTCTGTCAGTAAGATGGATGAGACAAAGGGGATTGCATCGGAGCCTTCATTGGATCCCAATAAACCTGCTATGTGTAGCAGCTGTGAGAAGAGACTGTGTGATTGCGTGTATGTGACAGTTTCCTAGATGTCTGCTCCATCTTGCTGCAAAGGGATAAGCTAATCTGGACTTTTGTCATAGTGTTCGGCCTTGCGATCATCAATTTTGCAACATGTGCATCCGAGCAGTAGAGCCAGCTATGGAAGGCTCTGCTTCAAGTGTTGCATGTTGCCCTCATTGCAATGAAGAGATCTCTCGAGTGGCAGGGTTTTCTGCGCCTATGAATTTACCTGGAGAGGAATCGATTCGCATCAAGATGCCAGTGCGTGTCCTCAAGGTAGATGATGGACGGGCCAAGTTTCAATCTATCAGGCAGACTAGAGTTTGAGTAGTATTTTCTTTTGTTGATTGTCAATTACTGGTTTGTGTTATTGTTGTGTGGATGTTCTTTTTTTTCTCCACGATAAGGGCCCCGTATAGTTCCGACGTTTATGAAGCCAATTATCGCAGTAATAGTATCCCATTGAACAGCCACTTAATTTCCTCAAATGAAACCTTACATCTCAAGCAGTATATAATCACTCTATATCCTCCTAACAATACAATGCTTCTCAATATTCCCGTCAAGAGATTTGCTCGCTGTAAATCCCCACTGTCGATCCACCCCAAAGGGGATTAGCGCTCCGATAATCGGTTGAGCCACAGATAGCAGTCGAGTCGAGTCATACCCAATAATTGTCTCCCTCCTTCTTTCTACACCCACCTTACACTTAATCTCTACCCAATTGATCATTAAAAACCGCCAAAATGAGCAATTCCAAGGGAGTCGCCGAGAACATGCTCTGGGGAGGTCGTTTCACCCGTGAGAAATTCCCCTTGATACCCCGCCTACTCCCACCGCTCCATTCAAACCAACTGACTCACGATCAATTGAATCACAGAGGGCCTCGACCCCCTCATGGTCCAGTACAACCAGTCCCTCCCCTATGACCGCATCATGTGGAAGCAGGACATCGCCGGCTCGATCGCCTTCGCCCGCGCCAACATGAAGACCGGTATCCTCACCGCGCAAGAATTCGCCGAGATCGAGCGCGGCTTCAAGCAGATCGCCCAGGAGTGGAGCACCGACACCTTCGAGGCCAAGGAGAACGACGAGGATATTCACACTGCCAACGAGCGCCGTCTCAGCGAGATCATCGGCAAGGAGATTGGTGGAAAGTTGCACACTGGTCGCTCGCGTAATGAGCAGGTCGCTACCGATATGCGCCTGTGGCTGCGCGACGAGCTGCGCACCTTGGACGCTCAGCTCTCCGACCTGATCAAGGTCTCTATTGCACGTGCCGAGAAGGAGATTGATATCATCATGCCCGGTTACACTCACTTGCAGAAGGCCCAGCCCGTCCGCTGGTCTCACTGGATGCTGTCGCACGCGACCGCCTTTGCCAGCGAGCTGCAGCGCCTGCGCGAGGTTATCCGCCGTGTCAACCGCAGCCCGCTCGGCTGCGGTGCCCTCGCTGGTAACCCCTTCCAGATTGACCGTGAGGCCATGGCCAAGGAGCTCGGTTTCGACGACCTGCTGTACAACTCGATGAACACCGTCGGTGACCGTGACTTTGCTATGGAGACCATGCAGTGGGGTAGCTCGTTCATGCTCAAGATCTCTCGCTGGGCTGAGGACTTGATCATCTACAGCAGTCTGGAGTTCGGCTTCGTCCGTCTCTCCGACGCTTACTCCACCGGCTCCTCGCTCATGCCCCAGAAGAAGAACGCGGACAGCCTGGAGCTGCTCCGTGGTAAGTCTGGTCGTGCTTTCGGCCAGATGGCTGGTCTCATGATGACCATCAAGGGTCTGCCTACTACCTACAACAAGGATCTGCAGGAGAGCATTGAGCCCCTGCTCGACCACATCAAGACTGTCAGCGACAGCATTCTGATCGCCACCGGCGTTCTGTCCACCCTGACCACCATCCCCGAGAAGATGACCGCCGCCTTGGCTCCTGAGATGCTGGCCACCGAGATCGCGGACTACCTCGTCCGCAAGGGCGTTCCTTTCCGTGAGGGCCACCACATCTCCGGTCGCGTTGTCCAGCTCGCCGAGCAGACCAACGTCCCCATGGACACGCTGTCTCTGGAGCAGCTGAAGACTGTTGATGCTCGCTTCGATGAGGATGTTCAGGCCTGCCTTGACTACGAGCGTGCTGTCGAGCTGAAGGATGCCATTGGTGGTACCAGCAAGCGGGCTGTTTTGGAGCAGACTGCCGTGCTGAAGAAGCTGCTGTAAATATAAAAAAAAGTCTATGAGATATGAAGGACATGGAGGGTGTTCTAGTTGGATGGATATTATGAAGAAAATACCAGCGTTTCGGGTGTATGTTTTGGCTAGACAAAAATGACATTATTCTTTTTACTTCACTGCCAGACTGGTATATCTGCGAATAGCTTCCCACAAAGAAAACAGGGATTCATACGATAAGGGAAAAGATTATACAGCAAAGACCGTGCAACATCAATTTCTCATACATCTTCCAAAGGAAACCCTCCATTCCCAACCATCATCACCCCCTCCTATTAATACCCAATCCAATCGTCCCCGACGGAGATTTTTCATCCTGCTTCGGCGACACACCCCCAGCATCATAAGCAGGCGGAGCCTCCCGAATCGGCGAAGCACCAACATCCTGAAGAACATTCCCAGACACCAGCCTCTGCGCATTTACATTTTCTCCAGCATTACCCACTAACCCATTCACCTGCCCAGAACTAGGCACCCTCTGCACCATCTCAACCTCACTCCCACCAAAAGTCATAAAACTCATAACATGGTCTTGCCCAGAATCACTCTTTTCCCCCTTTTCCTTTCCCCCACGCTCAGGATCCCTAATCGTCGAGTATCGATCTAGATTCGCACCCATGACGACGCCGTCTCTAGTAACAACTCTCCGGGCAGTAGCTCGAGTAATAAGTGTCGAGCTGCCGTTCTTGTCAACCGCTGATCGGGGGCTCGACTCGCTGCTACCACTGCTATTACTCGACGAAGGTGAAGACTCCCATGAGTGACCAGCAGTATGGGCCTGTGCGAGGGTACTTTTATTGCGCCGTCTTCTTTCGGGAGGGATGTTTATAAGTTCGCTTTGTGAATGGGCTGCTAGTTCGGCGCGTTGTCTGTAGAAGCCCGTGTCTGAGAGTTCGGCGGCTTGGGATTCGGTTTTGGGGATAGGTGCTGGTATTTCGTTGGGTGGTGTTGGTATTGGGAGTGGCGATGGCATTCGTAGGGGTGGGAGTCGGACGAAGCCGCCTGATGAAGTAGTGAGGACTCCCGAGCTGAGAGTTGAGAATTCCGATGGGTCGGGTGAGAAGTTTGAGACATTCAGACTTAGGGCTGTAGTTGAGCCGGGAGTTGAGAGATTGGAGTTTGGGTTCGGGTTGGATGGTGGTGAAGTTGTTTGGCTGTTATGAGGAGACTCTGTTCGATAGTTAGTTTACATACTTCCTTGGACGATTTAAAGGTTCTTGAAATGCTCACCATTTGGCAGTTTAACCGAATTCGTCTCTAAAAGTGACAGCTCTGTCTTGGAGACAGAGGCCATTTCACGATTATGCAAGGACTTGGTCGATGGAGACCGCCGCAGGTGGAATGTATATGATTTTCCAAGTATCTTTCTCCGTCGCCTGCACAGCCAAAAGAGCAGGATAATGAGTATCAGGGCGGCGATCGCTGCGACTACTCCACCGATGATGGGTCCTTTGCTGGGCGAATGAGTACCGGTCGACGCCGCCGCAGCTACTGAAGATGTAGCCGTAGCAGTCGAAGTAGCAGTCGAAGATTCCGTGCTAGTGGTGGCTGCTGGGGCAGAGGTATCATTAGAAGAGACTGACGTTGAAGAAGAAGTATGTGAGTCCGTCGTGGAAGGTAGAGCAGAGACAGTGCTCGTAGTTATACCGGTGGTCGTGCTTGTGCTCTTGCTTGATGTTGTAGACGTCGTAGAACTCGCTGCACTCGTCAAATGCAAAAGGCTCACGTTATCGTCAAAGCAGATCCCCGAAGAGCAAGGATCGCTCGCACAGCAGCCGCGAAAATTCCCAGCTGAGCAGACATACCACTGTTTCGACCCCTCGCAAGTCGTATCATCACGACGAGCTAATGTGTCGTTCATCTTGACGAAAGCGGGTCCATCCAGTAGAGGGAATATAGCTGCGAACACGATCAACGTGCAGAGCGTGATGAGAGGCTGTGATCCGCTAGAATGGCAGTGTATGAATAAGATGGAAGCGAGGAAATCCTCGAGAGTCGAGGTAAAGTAGTAGTGCTCTCTAAGAATGTGCCCGCCATGGCCTTTGCAGGGACTGAGGACAGGGACAGTCTCAATGTAGTAATGTCACATCTCCAAAAATGGTCATCTCTTTGTTCATTCGAGTCCTGCCGGGGTTGTGGTGGCGGAGACTCCAAGAATAGAAGTTCGGGGATGAAGATTGGGTCAGGGCAGACGGTTCTTTGTGTGACGAGACCCTGTCAAGTCTACTGCTATTGGCTCGAGAGCAACAATATACTCTTTGGCTGGGTCCTCAAAACACGCTACCGGATTGAGAGACAAGAAATAGTACTCCGTATCGTGTTTGATGAAGTTTGAAAATTGTAAGAGATGTACTGGGCGGGCAGGGAGGCTGAGGCTCTTTGTTGCTCGCGGAGGCCAAAGCCTACACCCGAAGTGGAAGTCAGAGTAGGCAAATAGTGTTGAAGAGAAGATGAAGAGCAATGGAGGTATATTCCTTTTATGTAAGGTATAGTCTTGTCAGGTTGAGGACCGAATGGCAACTCACCTTACAGTATGGCCGAGGAATCCCTAGTTTTCCCTACAGTAAAGATCAAGACAAATCAAAGATTACTACAGTATGGAGGCACTGGACTGAGAACAAAAAGAAAATTTCAAGTGATATGAGACAAAACTGAGAGAAAAAAAACTCAGTACACCGACTCTTCGCCTGTAGGATAAAGGAAATCAAGAAATATGGCTATACAGGATGGTAAATAACACACAGTCAAATAAGAAACATGCTCTTTTCATGGACTCCTTCCTCGACGCCACGACGAGTCACCTCGCCTCATCACATTAGTCGCGCATGAGGTATAGGTATCCCTCGGTCGATCGTCTGAAACAAATCCGTGGTATTCTCGCCTCATCTTTAGAAAGACACCCGTTCAACGACAGGCTTAGTAGACACGCTTGAAGGGAGGAACGGGCTTGCACTCGTTCGCATCCAGGGTGTTGGCCTCAACGGCACGGTAGCCAAGCTCGACCTTGCCGTGAGCCTCCTTCTGCCAGGTGAGGGTGTGCTTCATCCAGTTCTCGTCGTCACGGTCGGGGAAGTCCTCACGGGCGTGAGCACCACGAGATTCCTTACGGTTGGAGGCAGCCAGAGCGGTTTGGGTACTATCAAAAATGAAAATGTTAGCAAGCTTTCCTTTGACTTTGTCAGTTCTTCAGGGTTGTACATACGCGCAAGTCAGCAGGTTGCGGAGCTCAAGGGTCTCAACAAGATCGGAGTTCCAGATCATGCTGCGGTCCTTGGTGCCAACCTGGCCATACCACTGGTCAATCTCGTTCACACGCTTGACACCATCGTCCAAGCTCTCCTGGGTACGGAAGACGGAGACATCAGTCTGCATGGCCTTCTGCATGGCGCTGCGGACCTCGTTGGTAGACTTGGGACCGTCGGCGGTACGGGCAAAGTCAAGGTCCTTGATGGACTGAGCACCAGCATCGGAAGCGAGCTCCTTGTGGGGCTTGCCGGGGGAGGCAATGTCGCGGACACGGTGGGACACGGCACGACCGAAGACAATCAGATCGAGCAGGGAGTTGGCACCCAGACGGTTAGCACCGTGGACGGACACACAGGCGGCCTCACCGCAAGCGTACAGACCGGGGACAACCTTGTCGTTGCCGTTCTCATCAACGTCGAGAACCTCACCAGTGTACTTGGTGGGGATACCACCCATGTTGTAGTGGACGGTGGGCAGGACGGGGATGGGCTGCTTGGTGACATCGACACCAGCGAAGATGGAAGCGGTCTCGGAGATACCGGGCAGACGCTCGTGGAGCAGCTCAGCGGGCAAGTGGCTCAGCTGGAGGTAGATGTGGTCCTTCTCGGGACCGACACCACGGCCCTCACGGATCTCAAGGGTCATGGAACGGGACACAACGTCACGAGAAGCCAGATCCTTAGCGGTAGGGGCGTAACGCTCCATGAAACGCTCACCCTCGGAGTTGAGCAGGTAACCACCCTCACCACGAGAACCCTCAGTGATCAGGCAACCGGCACCGTAGATACCGGTAGGGTGGAACTGGACGAACTCCAGATCCTGGTTGGGGAGACCGGCACGGGCAACCATGGCCATACCGTCACCAGTGCAAGTGTGGGCGGAGGTGCAGCTGAAGTAGGCACGTCCGTAGCCACCGGTGGCCAGGACGGTGTGGTGGGCCTTGAAACGGTGCAGAGTACCATCCTCCTGGTTGTAAGCAATGATACCACGGCACTCACCATCCTCCATCAGGAGATCGAGGGCGAAGTACTCGATGAAGTAGTTGGTGTTGTGGCGCAGAGACTGGCCGTAGAGAGTGTGCAGAAGAGCGTGACCGGTACGATCAGCGGCAGCGCAGCAACGGTAGGCCTGGCCACCCTTGCCGTACTCCTTGGACTGACCACCGAAAGCACGCTGGTAGATACGGCCATCCTCGGTACGAGAGAAGGGGCAACCGTAGCCCTCCAGCTCACGAACGGAGGCGGGAGCCTCACGGGTCATGTAGTGAATCGCATCCTGGTCACCCAGCCAATCCGAACCCTTCACGGTATCGTACATGTGCCATCTCCAGTCATCCTCGTGCATACTATTTCTCTGGTTAGTTGTATGCACTTTTATGAGGCAGAGCACGTGCCAAAGATCCAATTGAAGGGGGGCAACCTACTTTCCAAGAGCGGCATTGATACCACCCTGGGCGGCGACGGTGTGGGAACGAGTAGGGAAGAGCTTGGAGACACAAGCAGTGTTGAAGCCAGCCTCGGCCAGACCGAAGGCAGCACGCAGACCGGCACCACCGGCACCAACGACAACGGCATCGTACTCGTGGTCCTACTCCAGTTAAAATCCCATTCCAATCCAGTTATATTCAATGCAGGCGGTTTTCTGAGCTTACAATGACGGGATACTTGTCGGAAATCAAGCCTTCGGCGGCCTTTGCGCGCAGAGGGCCGGGGGTCCAGAGCCGAGCTACCGAGAGAAAGGTTGGTTAGTTGCGGGATTGAAAAAGCAATCAATCGGTTGGGCGACGTCAATGCGTACCAGCAGGTCGTGAAGAAGAGAACAGACGTCTCTGATCCCTCAAAATGCGGGAAACCTGAGACCAGAAAGATATTCGTCAGTGATCCATCGCGCCGGGCCGAAAATCGTTCACTCGTCGGCTACTCACCTTGTTGGCGGGAGCCAAGCTCCGCGAGCCCAGGAAGCTCATGATGACGGGTCAGAAGAAGAATAATTCGTCTAACCCAAGGAAAAGGAGAATAGCACCGGTCTTCGGTGGGAAGTAGGTTGGAGGGGGCAGGTGGAATTGGGGGAATAGTGCTCCTGCTAGGACGATTGCTCTGTGATCGGGTTGCGGTTGGCAGTTTGCGCTGACATAATCGTTTTCTCACTTGCCGACGGGGAGGACCGGGGCCGAGGGAACCAATCAGATCGTGCGCAATGGAAAGCAGCACCCCAAAGCCTCGGGCAGCCGGTCGCCCGTGATTGGCCCAATGCACGTGACTCGACATTCGTTTTGCCGGCCGTCGTAGTGGAGGATCGGGATGGAACGGCAGGGTGGGCGATATGCCGAGAGCACCAGCAGAGGACTGGAGGTGGAAATATGGGTGCCAAGCTCTTTTACTGTACTATGCGGATCATTTTACTCGGTCTATAAAGGTCCCTGAACCCCATTTCATCTTTTGTGAGGGTTGATACGACCCAAAAACCACATCCTAAATCACGTGTGGTCACATGATATGAAGACTGTTCTGTTCGTCATGTGGGAGCAATTCTATGGGGAAACTTGCTAGCCGCTTCCATCCAGTCAGGTGACGAGGTGATGGAAGCTAGCATCGATACGCTTCTCGCTGCAGCAATGCATATACTTACAATCCTAGGAGAAACCTAATGCTTCGTGCTCAACGAGCCTGTTGATTATAAATTCGTGCACATTGAGAGCTTAAGCTGCAAATGACAAAATAAGAGTGATCGTACAGCCCATCTGCCATGCCCATGCAAAGAAAACCAGTTCCCGTCTCTAGTTCTAGTTGTACTGCATGTACGTCGCCGTCGAGTTGAACTTGAGGTTGCCCTTGATGACCTTCTCCACCGATGCCAAAAAGTCCTTCTCCGTAGCCACCTTTCTCCGTGCCCGAATGGCAAACATACCAGCCTCGGTTGCGACACTGCGCAGCTCTGCACCGGTTGCGTTGGGGCAGAGGCGGGAGATCAGTTCCCATCGGATATCCCGCTCGACGGACATGCTCTTGGCGTGAATGCGCAGAATGTTGGCACGTCCCTCGACGTCGGGCAATGAGAACTCGATCTTACGATCGATACGACCGGGACGCATCAGCGCCGGGTCCAGAGTAGAAGGACGGTTAGTGGCGAACATCACCTTGATGTTACCACGAGCATCGAAACCGTCCAGCTGCGTAATCAGTTCCAGCATAGTACGCTGGACTTCGTTATCACCACCAGCACCGTCATCGAAACGAGCACCACCGACAGCATCAATTTCGTCGAAGAAGATAATGCAAGCCTTCTTCGTGCGAGCCATTTCGAACAACTCACGGACCATTCGAGCACCCTCTCCAACGTATTTCTGTACCAACTCGCTACCAATCACACGGATGAAAGTCGCGTCCGTCCGGTTGGCAACGGCACGGGCACAGAGAGTCTTACCGGTACCCGGAGGACCGTAGAGCAGAGCACCCTTGGGGGGATCAATACCGAGGTTCACGAATCGCTCTGGTGATAGCAATGGCATCTCGACGACTTCTCGTAGCTTTTCGATCTGCTCTTTGCATCCACCAACATCACCGTATGTAACATCTGGCTTATCCTCGACCGTCATCATCGTCACACTGGGGTCGATCTTAGGTGGGAGTGGTAGCATGATCTGGTACTTATTCCGGTCGACACTATACGGCGATATGTCAGGATGGGTATTCTAACAAAACCTCACTGGAAACGCTCGGGATTCAAGACTTACCCAACTCGCATGCCTTCCTCGATATCTGTCGGACTGACACGCTCTCCTAGGTTGACAACGAACTTGGCGATCTGTTTCACGTTGATGACATATTTGCTCTTGTCGGAGTCCTTCTCATCCTGAATAATCTTTGTGCAACGAGCAACCTGGAGAGGCTGCTCTTCGGCCATCCGTTGTCGGTCGGCGGCGACATCCCAAAGGTGTGGAGGTGCGAGACCGGTGTCGGATTCCTATGCGCGTGTGAGCTTCCGGGGAGTTCAAAGGGGGTCGAAACAGCTGGCTGCTTAATCACCTTCACGCCGATCTTCTCATTGACACTTGCTTGTTTGTCCTTGATGTCCTTCTCGAGCTTCTTGAGGGCGTTTGCGTAGGGGGCGGCACCGTAGGTTTTGAGTACTGCGATGTCACTGGGGAAGCCGTCAGCCACAACCTATCATCGCCAACCGGATTCGGCGTCCATCCGGATCGGACATGTTCTAGGAAACTGACCTCTCTGTGAGGGGTGTAATCTTCTTCTCCGGCTCTTCGTCATCCGCGAAGTTCTTCTGGTACTTCTCCCAGTTCGAGCCCGTGGCGCTAGGCATGATGCAGGTGTTGACAGCCCAGGGCTGAGGAGCTAGGGAAAGGACAAGGGCGAGGAACTCAAAGAAAAGAAGATGCCTAGATATAAACGGAGATTGGGCACTGCTGGATCTTCAAAAAATCGAAGAGCGACGGGCAGACAGGTAAAACGCGGATGGATGGGTTGGTGATGTAGCAGAGAGCTGTGGTGGCCGAAGCTCAACTCACTAATCAGTGCCAAGCTTCATCACCGCCCCAGAACCTCGCAGAATTTCCCTGTCTGTCCCTCCATCAACGCTACCCCGATCTCCCCTCTTAAATTAATCTACAGGTTCCATTTGGATTTTTGACAATCAAGATGGCGACCACAATGGCTCAGGGAGCCGTTGGTAACACTACCTTCAAGGTACAACTTGCAAAACCCTCATTTGTGTGGGCCAGTTGCTGAACAGCGCACAGGACAAGGAGAAGCCCATGGCGGTGCGGCAATCCAACATTCTCGCAGCTCGGGGTATGTCTATGAACTCTATATGCAACAGGAGCTTATGGCTAACAATTCTTAGCTGTCGCCGATGCCATCCGAACGGTATGCAGTTACACGATATTCGAAATCACGGAGATGAGGGGCTAACGGGGAAAATAGTCTTTGGGACCCAGGGGCATGGACAAGATGGTAAGTTGATCACGTTTCGTATCTACCACGATTGAATACAGTTTCTAACTAATTGCATAGATCCAAACTCCCAAGGGAAACACCATTATCGTATGCATCCTGCCTTTCTCCTGATACATCCGCTCCGACTAACCCCCCGCCGCAGACCAACGATGGAAACACTATGCTTCGGGATATGAGCGTTATGCATCCGGCTGCCCGCATGCTGGTCGACCTCAGTGCCGCACAGGATGTCGAGGCTGGTGATGGAACCACATCTGTTGTTGTCATCGCCGGTAGTCTGCTCGGTGCTGCTGAGAAGCTGCTCTCCAAGGGCATTCACCCCACCGTCATCTCCGAGTCCTTCCAGCGCGCAGCCGCCGCCGCCGTCGAGATCCTCCACAACATGTCCCGCCCTATCAACCTCACCGACCGTGCTACCCTCCTTCAAGCCGCCTCGACCTCCCTCTCCTCGAAGATTGTCTCCCAACACTCCAGTCTGCTGGGCCCCATGGCCGTCGACTCCGTGCTGAAGGTTGTGGACCCCAAGACTGCTGAGAATGTTGACCTGCGCAACATTCGAATTGTGAAGAAGGTTGGCGGTACCATTGAGGACAGTGAGATGATCGATGGCTTGGTGTTGAACCAGCCCGTTATCAAGAGCAGCGGTGGCCCCACAAGAATTGAGAAGGCTCGGATAGGTCTCATTCAGTTCCAGCTGAGCCCGCCCAAGCCAGACGTGCGTATTCATGTTTCGGACGATATACTGAGAAATTAGCTAACCCCCAATGTAGATGGAGAACCAGATCGTTGTGAACGACTACCGCCAGATGGACAAGATCCTCAAGGAGGAGCGTCAGTACCTGTTGAACATGGTCAAGAAGATTCAAAAGACCAAGTGTAATGTGCTGCTGATCCAGAAGTCCATCCTCCGTGACGCCGTGAACGACCTGTCCCTGCACTTCCTCTCCCGTCTGAAGATTCTAGCCATCAAGGATATCGAGCGTGATGAGGTCGAGTTCCTGTGCAAGACTCTTGGCTGCAAGCCCGTTGCCAACGTCGACTCTTTCACCGAGGACAAGCTCGGTACTGCCGACCTCGTTGAGGAGGTCCAGGCCTCCGGTGCCCGCTATGTCAAGGTGACCGGCATCAAGCAGCAGCCCAGCGCTGTTAACAACCAGACTGTCTCCATTGTTGCCCGCGGTGCCAACAGCCTCATTTTGGACGAGGCTGAGCGCTCGCTCCACGATGCTCTCTGCGTTATTCGCTGCCTGGTTAAGAAGCGTGCTCTGATTGCCGGTGGTGGTGCTCCGGAAGTTGAGGTTGCTCACACGCTCGCAATGCGCGCTCGCGAGCTGACTGGCACCGAGGCCATCTGCTGGAAGGCTTTCGCCGATGCTATGGAGGTTATTCCCACTACCCTTGCGGAGAACGCCGGTCTCAACTCTATCAAGGTTGTGACCGACTTGCGTCACCGTCACGCCCAGGGCCAGCACAACGCTGGTGTTAGCATCCGCAGCGGCGGTGTCAAGGACGACATCACCGAGGAGAACATCCTGCAGCCTCTGCTGGTTAGCACTAGCGCTATTGAACTGGCTGCTGAGACGGTGAAGATGATCATGAGAATTGACGACATTGCTCTGTCGCGGTAAATGGGTCAAGGGCCGCTGCTCTGAGCTGTATGATGAAACGCGATCCTTTCGCGACGAGTAATTATTATCAAAAAAATGGATCCAATTTTGCATAGACCATATACTGTACTTGGTTTTCACATATATGAGCTTTCCCTGTCCAGTCTATACTTTCAATTGAGAGTTGCGAGATGGCTGTCTCTATAACCTATCTCACGATTGTCGATATCTGCTATGGACAATGATAATCTCTAAGCTTTAGCAAGCTTTCCTAAAGTAGATTCCATAATTCTATACACAGAAGGCTAGTTAGCTTGTCGTATTAACATCCAGCTCATCCATGGATGCCTGGCTGAGTCAGCTTCAGGGGCCGTCGGATCCGACCAAAAAGCTGATTTGAATCTCGTGGAAGGCTGTGTCGATAGCTGACACATATTCTCCACCTCTGCATAATGGGGGCATCTCATCAGGTCATCTATCAAAATGCCCCGTCGTTGTCACACTAAATCCAGAAAAGGATGCGTTCAATGCAAAGAACGACACGTCAAGGTCAGCAAAACTAATGGCCGCCACAGTTCACAGTTGTGGCTCAGACCCTCGGCCCAGTAGCCGAACCAATCTACTGTAGAAGTATGACCACGACGATAGCTAACAGAGTCGGATAGTGTGATGAACAACGACCAACTTGCAGTCTCTGTGTGAAGCGGGAGCTAACATGCACCTATGTAACTCCTCTGCCCAGGCGAAAGCCTGCTGTAGATATCCCGGAAGAAGGGAAAGCGCAATCTACATCCGGCACATCGAGTCCTCCTACGGTCTCGCGTCTCCCGAGACTCGAGGAGATGAGGCTCTTTCACCATGCGTTTACGGTGACCAGTCTCAGTTTTGTCAAAGATGACATTGACCGGGAATTCTGGCAGTCGGTGCTTCCCCGGATTGCGACCAGTCATGACTACGTTATGGATGGAACTTTAGCGGTTGCTGCGCTTCATTTGGCTTCTTTGGAGCCTGGTCGCTCGTCTCATTGGCTTGAGACTGCTCTGACTTACCAGAATTCAGCGATAGCCGGGTTGAGTCGACATTTGGCGACTATCAAGCAGAATTATGAGGCGTTGTTTAGCTGCTCCATATTCAATCTGATTTTCGTGACTGCATATCCCGGCATCTATGGTGATGGGAATCCAGTTGAGCCGTTGGAAGAGATTTTGACCATGCGATCGTTCTTAAGCGGGACTGCATTTCTATTCTTGCAAATATATCACGGCGAAGAGAGGACATCCATCGATCCTTGGGTGCGGCGTGATAAGAAATCACCGGTATCTAAAGACAGGTATTCAACCCCATATTCTCTTTTCTCTTTCATGGCCTGTAATCTAACCATAGATATGATAGTGAGGATCCGAAAATGGTTGAGCTACACAAGTGAGTGTTCAGCAGCTATAGTCTTATGTGCTACGAAGACTGACATTGTTGATCGGGGCAGGAAAACCTTGGAGAAACTCCATTCATTACGCATTACTATCGACAAGCTTCAAAATCCCCATCAAGAGATCTACCGAAGTACTCATGATTTACTGCTCAAGGCCACTGAAGGCTGGCCGACCGAGGATAGCATATCGTGGCCTATTGAGATTGGCGATCCTTTCCTGGACTTGGTCAAACAAGGCGACTGGATGGCTCGTATCATGCTCTTGTTTCACGGGTTGGGCATGCATTTAATGTCAAGAAAATGGTTTGCAAGGGGCTCGGGAAGGAGGCTGGTCCTCGGTATTTTGCAACCGCTTGAGGGGAAAGTTCCACCTGAATGGCAGGACATAACCCAATGGATCAGAGAAGCAGTGGATATCTGATGATAAAACATGTATTTTTACGAAGTATATATGTGATTTAAGAAGGTTCCAAGCTTGCTGGTAGCAGGTATGGCCAGCACTTTGAGTCTGGTAACACTCAATAGCCTGATGTATATATTTGGTGAGGTTTGCCTTACACAGTAGGATACCCAGAAAACCAGACCCGAGACCCTGACAACGATAGAGACTCGGGATTCTTTTAATCGTCACATTTGTCAGGAGGGAATCCACTTTGCGATTAAATGGATCTCTCTTCGAGGTGCGTGCTTACCTCCAAACTGTAGCTTTGGGTGCGGAGTAGTGATGTAGGCTTCGTCAAAAAAGCATTCCTCAAGCGTAGCACTAGTTCCTACTTGCTGTTTTGAGAGAATTTTGGGCCGCTTGGCTTGAAGCAACTTCCTATGGATGAAAGAAAAGTGCCACTGCTAGGCCGGAAATGGGTTTGAATAGAGATAACTTCCCGTTTGGGGACTCAATAGCTGCTTTGTTTGACGCAAAGTTGTTGCCTCCGCCCGCTGAGGGATGCGATACAGGAGAGGGAAGGAAATGTAGTTCAGCATTTCCCTCAATCGTTCTGTTATACTTGGCCTGAATTCAATCATTTTAGTATAATCTCACAAATTTGTGTTGTATGCGCTATTGTCGATAGCTTGTTGACAGTATTGGTCCCATTGGCCCATTTACTGTATTCCTCGGCTCCACAGTTCCGCCGATAAGATCGTCCCCCGATCGGTACCTCAGCCAGCTTGCCCGTGAGACATTCGAAATAACTCACGATCATGGGGAAGCTCGACGATGAAGGGGTCCCCGAGGCTGTTCCGCTAACTCGACAGCGGTCGGCCTCCGTGGCATCGAACACATCCTCCGATTCGGGCCTCTCGGTCGCATCCGCAGCCTTCCTCGATGCTCACAAGGGCGAGTTCTCGGCCGGGGTAGATGGAGAGGGGGCAGGACAACGATACCGAGACTTAGAAGATGGGACAGAACCTGGGCTGGACGAGCCATTCCTCCCATCCAGGAAGACCAAGTCTTCGTCCGGCCGTCGCTGGTGGCTGTTCGGTCTGCTTATATGCGTGGTCATGGCCAGTGGCTGGATCGTTGCATTCGTCTTCTTCCTCGTACAGGGGCGGTCCAATGCAGCGGCGATTTCCTCCCCCTCCACGGTCGAAGTGCATGAGCCGGACTCTGCAACCGGCAGTACCAGCTATGGAAAGCCGGTGACACTCGAACAGGTGCTGACGGGCCATTGGTTGCCGCAGTCTCATGCGATTGCGTGGACCGCTGGCTCTAATGGCGAAGATGGGCTGTTGATCGAGCAAGGCGAGCACGGAGACGGATACCTGCGTATTGAAGATATTCGCAGTCGCAAGGCCGGATCGGGTGGCTCTGCTGCTAAAGTCTTGATGCAAAAGTCGCATTTCTGGGTTGGCACCCAGTTCGTCATGGCGTCCAAGATCTGGGTGAGCCCCAATCACGAGAAAGTTTTGGTGCTTTCTGATTATGCGTCGAACTGGCGGCATTCGTATTATGGCAATTATTGGATCTTTGATGTCGCAACCCAGACAGCCGAGGCGTTGGACCCGGATAATCATACCGGTCGCATTCAGTTGGCTTGGTGGTCGCCCGAGTCTGATGCTGTCGTATTTGTTTGGGAGAACAATGTTTACCTGCGCCAATTGTCTTCGTCCAAGGCCATTCCCGTCACCACGGATGGTGGCAAGGAGGTATTCAATGGCGTTCCGGACTGGGTGTACGAAGAGGAGGTTCTCTCTGGCAACGGGGCCACTTGGTGGTCGTTGGATGGCAAGTACCTTGCGATGCTGCGGACCAACGAAACCGACGTCCCCGAGTATCCTGTTCAGTACTTCCTCCACCGACCTTCTGGTACGGAAGCCCCGGCTGGGCTGGAGAACTACCCCGAGGTGCGGCAGATCAAGTATCCCAAGGCCGGCACCCCCAATCCCATTGTCAATCTTCGTTTTTATGACGTGGAGAAGCATGAACTTTTCTCCATCGAGATGCCGGAAGACTTTGAGGATGACGATCGAATCATTATTGAAGTCGTCTGGGCTCCCGAGGGCAAGGTTCTGATCCGCGAGACAAACCGTGAAAGCGACATCGTCAAGATATTCTTGGTTGATGCTAAATCTCGAACCGCCAAGCTCGTTCGCTCGACCGACATTGCTGCTTTGGATGGTGGCTGGGTCGAACCCTCTCAGTCGACGTGGATCATTCCGGCCGATCCCAACAATGGCCGACCGGAGGCCGGCTATATTGATACCGTGATACATGAAGGTTACGATCATCTTGCGTACTTCTCTCCACTGGATAGCGCCGAGCCTGTGATGCTCACTTCAGGAAAGTGGGAAGTCGTCCAGGCGCCCACCTCAGTTGACTTGAAAAAGAATTTGGTCTACTTCGTCGCTACCAAGGAGGGTCCAACACAACGCCATGTGTATCAGGTCAAACTTGATGGCTCTGATCTTCGCGCATTGACTGACACTTCGAAGCCGGGCTACTACGGCGTGTCGTTCTCGGACGGTGCAGGATACGCGCTCCTGAGTTACAAAGGACCCGCAGTTCCCTGGCAAGCTGTGGTCAGTACCCAAGACAGCACGATGAAGAAGGAGATTATCATCGAGGAGAATAAACAACTCGCCCAGAAAGTTGAAGACTTTGCGCTTCCTGCAGAGGTATATAGTACGGTGACTATTGATGGGTTCGAACTTCAGGTGGTTGAACGGCGACCTCCGCACTTCAACCCGAAGAAGAAGTACCCAGTACTCTTCCATTTATATGGCGGACCTGGTTCCCAAACGGTCGACCGCAAGTTCGCAGTAGACTTCCAATCCTACGTTGCCTCCAGCTTGGGGTATATCGTTGTCACGGTGGATGGTCGTGGAACCGGCTTTATCGGTCGCGAGGCTCGGTGCATCGTTCGCGACAACCTGGGTTACTATGAAGCGCGTGATCAAATCGAAACAGCCAAGATATGGGCCGACAAACCCTATGTCGACGAAAGCCGGTTGGCTATTTGGGGCTGGAGCTTTGGTGGTTTCATGACCCTGAAGGTCCTTGAACAGGATGCGGGACAGACGTTCCAGTATGGTATGGCCGTCGCACCGGTGACAGACTGGAGATTCTACGGTAAGTTCCTTTTGACGCAGTTCCTCGCTTGCAGATCACCAACGGTGGATTGACTAACCATCTCAATGTCTAACAGACTCCATTTACACCGAGCGTTATATGCATCGACCCCAGAATAACCCCGCTGGCTACGACAATTCAACAATCAGCGACGTCGCAGCAATGGGCGAAAATACTCGATTCCTCATCATGCATGGTGTGGCCGACGACAACGTCCACTACCAGAATACTCTCACATTGCTCGACAAACTGAACTTGCAAAACATTGACAACTGGGACATGGTGATGTACCCAGATTCAGATCACAGCATCTACTTCCACAATGCACACACCATCGTCTATGAACGTAAGTTTGAACCGAATGTGTTTTATGCAAAAGACAATAGACTAACATTCCACTTCAGGCTTGTCGAGCTGGCTCATCAATGCGTTCAATGGTGAGTGGCACCGCATTGCCAACCCCAAGCCTATTGAGTCGTCCTGGAAGCTGGCCAAGCGCTTTGTAGCCAGTAGACTATCCTTTACATCATGATTCTTGTTTATTCTTTCCCCCTCTTTCCCCCTCTTTCCCCCTAGTGTTGGGAGGCGTCATTCCGGGTCAGCATATATTTTATACAGTCAATTATTCTACATATACAATGGAAACTTGGGTTCTCAAAATATGAGTATGTTCAATTATGACTAGAGACGCTCGTATGCGAATGATTATGTTATGCAAACGCAGAACGCAAATCAAACTGGTATATAGACAGGGGCTCAAAGACGATGCTTTTTCGCAAACACATAGATGACAAAGATATAGATGATATGAACAATAGGAAATGGGGTAGAGAGTACGTATATGCAATGCCTAATGGCTGAAGACTTGACCAGACCGCAAAAAGTCCTCTCGCATGATCGTGCTGACATCCGAGTTGCGATACTGCATGAGATCTTCCCGATGCAGACCACGCACCTGTTCCCGACCAGCGGTCGAGATGGAGCGAGCATACGATTGCGGCCGGCGCTGTCCTCCTAGAGAGACACGGAAGTTTTGCGGGGGTACAAGGCCAGGGGAACGACTGCCAGGAGAACCTCCGGTGGAGAGCATAGAGTGGCGGGGTGCGAAGACGGGGAGACGAGCGTAGGATTCGGTGTCGGTGGAGAGATTGCTGAGGCTGAGGGCGGAAATGCTCGAGACGGCGCGATCGCGGCGGTCTCGCAGTGGGAAGTTGGAGACGGAGCTGTAGACGGTGGACATGTTTGAGGCTGCTGATGAACGCCAGGAGTAGACTGCGCTTGGTGGGATCGTGATGATTTCCTCGTCCACTGTCGCGGTGCGCTCGACGGCTGCTGCAATGTCCGTGGGCTCAACTGGGTCACCTGCGGCGCGGCTGGCCATCAGCTTGGCTGATTTTCCGATCCAGAGCATCTGCTCGTGTTCTCGGAGGTATCGGTCACCGCTGAAGGACTTTTGGACGATCTTGCGAGTCATCATGCCCAGCTTGCGTCGCTGCTCGCTCTTTGCATACATGCGGCAAGTGATGAGGTCCACCTCCTCGGGGGTTGGCGATGAGGTGAGAACCGGTGCTGGCTCATGGTCATCGCTGTATTGGCTCCATTCTCCGAGCATGGCTAGCATGGAAATTTGGGCCTTTGCGAGGGCTTGGGCATCATTGGGTGCGACGACGGCGCTGAAGCGTGAGAAGTCATCTGGGTCACTCAGCACACGAAGCGAAGCGCCGACGTCTGTACAGACGACGGGTGCTCCGGTGAGAGCTGCTTCACCCAAAGCGAGAGGAAGACCTTCGGACAGAGAGGAGTTCAGGAAGAGCCAGGTGTTTTCGAGGACCTTCATGGGATCGGCCGTTCCTCGCAATGTGACTCTGCCGCGGAGACCCTTGGAAGCGATGATTTCCTGACACTCGGTGGAGTATGTGGGAGCCTTGTCGATGGCACCGTAGATGTCAAGATGGTAGTCATCGAACTTCCATTGATTGATGATGATGTCGGCAGCCAGCAGTGCAGTCTTGATGTCCTTGGCATACCACACGTGAGAAAGCATGGTCACAGTTGGGCGCTCAGACTTGATTTCCTTCACGGGGGCAAACTTTTGCATGTCGGTGATACCATTGACGACAGGGTCGACCTTTCGACGGAACGTGTTGCGGTGCTCAATCGTTCCCTGGCAAGTGCCGATTTCAACTTCCCAGCCTGGGTTGAAGAAGTCCGCACACGGAAGAATGATATCCGCATGGTGGAGAGTCAGGACGGAGGTGATTCGCATTAATCCCAGGAGGGCATTCCGCACAAATGGCGAGAGCTTGCACAGGGCAGAAGAGAGACAGAGATTGGTCTCGCGCCAACTGATGGCATGATCCCAGATTTGCAAGGTGCAGTTGCGCTTGATCTTACATACGACACCGTAAGAGGCACTGACACTGTGGTGGGATGCCTGGAAGACATTCGGGATCTTGTCTGGCACAGGGATAGAGAAGATGAAGAGATAGCGGTACCACAGCTCCAGAGCAACGTCGAGAGTTGACAAGGTGGGAAGCTCAGTATCAAACCATTGGGACGATGGGATAGTGTTAGGCATTTCTTGAGTGAGCCACAGATCCCGCCAGCTCTGCTTGACCATCTCGCTGTTCCAGACTTGCGACCAGTGACGAGATTCCTGGAAGTACGTGTTGAGGTTTACCAGAGCTCGAGTTGCCTGGTGAATATCTGCCTTGGAGAGATCAACAGCTCGAGCACCCTTGACCAGCGCCGTGAGAATAGGAATGAAGTTCATCTTGATGTCGAACTCGCTTGCCGACGTGACATTGTCAACCTCAGAATCGAGCTTGTTGCTGAACAGGCCGTGGGTGGGTGTCAAGAAGTCCAAGCCCCAGAGGGGAATGACCTTCAGGGACTGAATGTTCCTCTCCGTCTGGTGCTTGGGGATACCAAAGTCGTTCGCGGACTCGCAAATCATATGCCACTTGATGGTACGCAGGGAGTTGATCATGTCTCGTCGACAGGCAGAGACACCACCACCCTCATTGGGCCAGGTACCGTTATCTGCAGCCATGACGTGGAGGTTCTTATCAGTATCGGAGCTGACTTCCTTGGAACGTGTAGTGACGACTGCATCACCTCCGGGACCGAAGTTGAAGAAATCACTGATCTTGACGGCGAGGGGTGTCCAGCTGGAGATGTTGTTGTCCAAGTCTGCGCTGGCCATGACTGCATCGGCACGAAGCTCCATGTACTTTCTTGCGGCTCTGAGATTTCCCCAATCACGACTGCGCCAGTAAGGAGAAAGAACCTCGTCCTTGCGGAGGATGCGGTCATCCATCCAGCGAACAATGATGCCGTCGAGATCATTTCGATCTTTCCAAGCCTTCCACATCAAAGAGCGAGAACGAGACGTCGACACGGCGAAGCGCTTCTTGTTCAGTCCGAGCAGACGAGTGACAAAATTCGAACGAAGGCTGTCGACGTAGAAGAAGGGATTGTCGTGCACGAAGCTGGTATAGTTCGGCTTAGCAAGAACTCCCAGGTAATCGTGTTCGATCATAGGTGGCGTTTGGACCTTCATTCCGTTGATGGTGGTGAAGATGGTCGGGTGGAATTTGTGGTCATAGAGCCAGCGACTCTCGTACACATCACCATTTGCCTGTTGGACAAAGGTAGCCTCGGTGACCTTGGTATGCGGGATCCAACGATGTTCCTTGTCACGATGACGGCGGGGAGGTGCACACCAGGAGACATTACAAGTGATGTGGGACAACGAGAACTCAGCGCGAAGCAGTTCATCTCCAAAGCGTGGGTTCTTGCGATAGTGATACTGGAAGCGGATAAGGTTACCATCCTTCATGTACGAACCCTTGTCGACAAGACCCTTGGAGTTGTACTGAATGCTTTGAAGGTGGTTCTCGCCCTGGACGCAGCGTCGTCCGAGTGGCATGCGTGGATGCGATGACTTGCTCAGCTTGAGACCCTTCTTCACCGGTGCTTGATAGTCATAGTGGTATTCATTGACCAGTTTGCCGTCCCTAAACTCTTGTTTGATGAGAAGCAGCATCTCGCTTGAATAGCTGCTGACATATTTGAGGGTCCTGGCTTCCTTGTCCTTGGGCTCGGTCTTGTGCTCGCCGGAGTACTGGTAGACCTTAAAGCCTCCATCTGTTTCCTGGTGCCTGAAAGCCGTGAACGTTCCGTCGAGTCCTTGAATGATGACTCGGCTCTTCTTGATGTGAATGGTCATTCCCTTGGTCTCCTCCCAAAGTCGCTTGACGTTCTTGCGGCCATGGAAGAGGAAGAAAGACAGTCCCACGTCTTGTACAATCTTGGCGTAGATCCAGACCATGTTGAGTAGGAACACACTTGGAACGCGAACCACCGTCGGCAGTGTCTTGGAGACGTGATCGAACTCTCTTTGGAATTCAGGATCAGCGACAAGAGCAATGAAGATGAACTTGACAATGGATCCCAGCTTGTGATAGACGTAGCTAAAGGGAGATCTCAACAAAGTCAAGGGCAAAGGCAATTTTCGAGGGACGTAGGAGATGAATTCGGCAGTCTCGGGCTCCTTGGGAATAGCGGCCTCGCCTGTTCCATAATGAGAATAGTCAAGGATACTGATAGCCATAGCTGCTCCAAGATTGCATCTCGCAACGTGAGTGTCAAGATCTTTGGTGTCAAACTGGCAAAGGCTTTGTTGAAGCCATTGGCGTTGGCTGTCCGAGAGGCTACACGGCTGTCCGACGCAGCGGCTCAGAAGGACATTGCGTACTTCCGCAGGCAGCTTGTCCCAGTGAATGTCTGCTTCGAACCCGAGGCACAATTGACGGAGAAGTTCTTTCTTGGCCCACTGCACAACCAGAGAAGTGTTGGCCTCCTCGCGCAGTAGCCGGGCCATGGTGTGAGTAACTCCACCTGAGACAATCGCTTCAGCCAGAGCCGCATACTCGTGAGGAACACCCATGACCATCTCAGCGACAGAGTGGACCAGAGTCTCCGCAATGATCTGACAATTGGCACTGATGTCAAGTCGCTCATCGTGCAAGCCTCTCACACTAATCGCCACCTTCAGCTGATTGCCCGTGGTGCAGCTCAAAGCGCGAATACCGGGTCCCATCGAGCCGTGTGGCACAAGCTCGAGACAGATATCACCATTCTCCCAAGATGCAAGAGCTTGATCAATGATCTCCTTGGAGTTGGGGAAGGCCTCTTCGATTCGAAGTTCTTGCCGGCGAGAAAGCATGACGTTCTTGATCTCAATGCCTGGGTGGACGGCGGGGTCAAGCTTGAAGCGGGAATCGGCTGGGAGGAGCGAGATGTTCTCAAAGTAGCTCTGAAGTTCTTGCTGAGACCATTCGGGGTCTGACCACGGCGTAGTGAAGGCATGGAAAGTTCTTCCCAATTCAACGGGAGAATCGACCTTGTGAGGCATGCCCATTTTCGCATTGAAAAGGGACAGAATGGCAACGATCCAAGTGGCCACTCCAAGACCAATCGTCTGAGAGTACAGGAAGCTAGGGAAGCTGACCTTGAGGGCGATTCCAATGGGCAGACCGACAAGGATACCAATCAAGAGAGGCTTCAAGGCATGAGGCCCCGTGAAGATCTTGGTGTATTGGTACCAGATGAGACCGCTGTAGGCAAGCACGTAAGAGAAGAAGACGATCATAGCTTCAATCGATGACTGGAATGTCCAGATGAGAGCGGTCGAGAGGGCAAGACTCCAGACATGCCACAGCAAAAACCGGAACAGGGTTCGCCAATAGACCTTTCGACGGAATTGAATGTTCTTCTTCTGCGAAAGACGAATGTCCTTGGCCGACTTAACAGCGGCTGGAGTATTATCACCGATCGCATCGTGGAGCTCCTGGGCCTTGGTGTCGATAAGTACGGCGCCAATAAGATAATAAGCGAGTGCAAAACCGACAGCCATGCGGTTCGCATCAGTCAAAGAAGATGTAAGTCCAAGGAGACGGTCACCACTCAGCAGTTGCACCCATTTGTCGAGCAGGGCAATGATAAAGTACAAGATACCACAACCAATCTCCTTGCTTGATTCACGCCAATGAACGAAAGCATTGTGTAGACGGAGGCCTTTTTGCGAGCTGCGCAAAACATCAAGCGCGACCTTGGTCTGGATGTTCCAGCCAGAGCTGAACGGAATTGGTCGTGGGACATCTGCATAGCGACAGTACCAGTCCAAAAGGAAGTTGGTAGAATCCCAGTCTCGAGCGAGTTCCTTGACCATCTGATCGGTGGTTGCCCTAGAGAAAATTCCACGAGACTTTTCAGCCATGATATCGCTCAAAAGAGCCTCCCGTGCCAGCTTGAGAGCAGCAGGATCACTCATTGTGCCGAAGACTTTCTCATTGTCGTTTCCATGGACGGAAATGTACCACTTGCGGATCTCGGTATCATCGGTGCGTCGAATAGACTGATACCATGTCACCCACTTGGCAGTCGTAGACCGCAGGCTGAGGAGCAAAACACCGATGAAGAGATAGATGACAGCCAAGTAAATGGCCGAATCATTTCCAGCGAAAGTAGTGATGATAGGCGACAAAGAGAGAATCGGAATGCAGAGAATAATCGCCTTGCGGCCCGACAGGAATGTGGAACCGGGGTAGCTGAAGCTTGCGAGGGAAGCAAAGGTAGAAAAGTAGATAGTCAGGGCAATGAGGTAAAGATAGAAAATAATACCCGCTCGAGGGCCTCTGACACTGGAGATAGCGATAAAACCAATCAAGCCTCCGGCGACTGTGAACGCAATGCCTGCAAGCAGACGAATCAAGACGAACATGTTGGCTGCAGCAAAAGCCATGGAGATGAGGTAGTATGGTCCACCGCATGCGATCCATGTGCCGATAGCACCAGAAAGCAGCAAAGAAATCATCAAAGCCATTGTCGCACTATCTTGCTCTTGATGCGTCATGTAGGCAGAAAGATACAGTCCTCGTCCGATGATGGTGAGAAGAATAATATCAATCAGGGCTGGAATAGCGAAGACGCTCAAGAACGTAAATCGCTGATATGGCCGCATGGCCTTAGCCTTGTCGTCAGGATTCACATCTATCTGAGCACCAGCATAGGCGGTGGCCAATTGTGGAGCGCCATTAATCCAGTTTGGAGGTTGATTCTTGGAGTAATAGGCTCGGAACCGATCAGATAGAAGTTTTCCAAACACGCTGGGGTTGACACCAAAGTATGCCTCACACCGTGAGCCCAAAGCGAAGGACTCTGCGAATGCGGCGGCTTGGTCGGAGTGCTGGTTGAACAAGGGATTCCTGTCGGTGACCTCGGCATAGATTTCATCGAAGGCATCTTTCCTCGCAGCGCAGAAAAGCGAGAGGGCCAGCATATCTGCATAGGCATCGACTTGACCTTCTTTCACCAGATCACAAAGACCAGCAGTGATAATTGCCAGATCTTCTTCAAGGTGCTGCTTCAGTACTCGCGTAAACACCTGATCGACCTGGTGGAATAAATCAAGAGACGCCGAGAGCGAAGGATAAGAACAACCCTGCTCCCCGTACCAACTGAGTCGCGATCGGATCAGTTCTTCGGGACTTGTGGAGCCTTCGAGATACCCGACAGTGTTGAGTTCTTTCAATTGAGCAAATGAGGGTGCGTCCACAAGCTGCTGGCGAATATAAGCGCAGATATTTTCCGACAACTCGCTGTGAGAATCGGTGAGTGACAGATGCTGCAGAAGCAGCAGTCGCTCCTCAGGGCTGAGAGCGTCAATATCCTGAACGAATCGGCGGGGAAGTTCGGTGTTTGGAGCCAAATCCTCAGACCAGCTTGCCAGCGCTACTTCCATTTCACAGCAGACATGTCGGGAGAATCCCTTTGCAGAAAGGAACGTGTGTAAGACGGTCCCTGCCAGACCCTGGGCATTTTTGGAAACAAAGATCTCGAACTTCTCGTCTTCTTGCTCGTAGACAGCCCAGAAGCGGGAATCCGAGGTCTTTCTGAGACCAGAGTCTAGAGCAAGGTTGATTTTCAATGAACCATCAGAAGCTAGATCGGACAGGTGTAGGATTGTAGATAACAGGTGCGTATCGTCGCTCGCTAGACCCAGGTTTTCGTGAAAATTGCGGAGAAGAAGACCAATGCTTTGAACTTTGGTTGCAGGCACAGGGTGTAGAAGTTCCAGGGATTTAAGACGTTGCTGAGATTGAAGAATCTCCGCGAAAGCCATTGGCGTGGGGTCTGATCCAAGAGGGAAGCATCCCATGTTGGTATACTCTTGCCCTGACATGGAGACAGACAAGGGGCTACCCTGTGACTTGACCTGTGCAACCCATTCTGGAGGATCTCGGAGGCGAAGGACGGGGCTTTCTGGCGACTTGGTCTCACTCTCCTCTGAATCAAGCAAGTTGTCGATAGCCGGGAAAATTGATCGAAGGGAATCCCAGCCAGTTTGGACGCCGGAAGATGTTGAGATTTCACGATTGGAGCGCCATGTATCGTGAGTCTTCATGATCTCGGCTTCCTTCAGCCAGCCGAAAGCCGGAAGAGGCTCTGTAATGGGGGTGTTCAGATCAGAATCCTTGAGAGAAGCCTCGGGGCCAATCCAAGAAATGGCACTGTAGAAGCTGCACCATTGAATGGATCTCCGGACGATGGCGTTTGACAAAGCAACATCGTTGTTAACAGTCTCCCAGGCCAGTACCACAAAGTCTCTCATGCATGCCTCGGAGACGAATGCCTTGATTGTCGATTGCAGAGATTCCATCTGGAAGTAGTCGCGCTTTTCACCGTTTGGCATGATGCTAGCATTGCGGACGACGAGTCCAGAAATAGCTCCATTTTGCAAGGCCTTTCGGTTTTTCAAGAAATTGGGTGGTTGCACTTCGACATAAACGGCCAGCCCAAGTGCACTGATCGTCTCGAAGAGCTTTGCTTGGACCGATGGGGTAAAAACGGGCTCCCAGTTCGCGAACAAGATTCCAGAAAATGCGCCATCATTGAAATTGTTGGCGAGAATGCCTTCGATCTTTTCAATTGCGCTCAAGACTGATTCCTTTGAAGAATGGATCTGTGCGAGATCAAGCCTACCCAGGACTTGGCTGCGATTGCACTTGAGAATTGCTTCCGCAACGCCATCCTGGAATGGATCCACAATCAACAAATCCCACTGGGCCAGCAACCTTTCTTGGGATACAGTTGGTCGCTGATTGAAGCTTCCCAGGTATACTCCAAATGAAGCGGGCTTTTGCGAATGTGTCGAAGTATGAACCAAATTGAGTTCTCGGTTCGCCAGTCTTTGAAGACGCTGGGAGACAGTCGAAGGAACTTTGTCTGGTAATGGTCGTGACTGAGGAACAAGCACAAGTGTTAGCAAGACTCGAACAGTAGTAACCCTTTCACACTTCAAACCTTCGAATCCAACTCACCTTATAGTATCTAATGATTCTCACGGTGATAGACCATAGAATGTTTGCCACTCCAATAGTAATGCACGCCAACAATACTCCAATCATGAACTGTATTTAATCAGCATTCTGGTTTCCAAATGAAAAGCAATGGAACACTTACAAACTGCCACCAGTGGTTTTTCATCCCCTCCCACTTGACGGGGTGAACGGAGAGAATTTCGGCCATCGTGAGGGGTCTGCGAAAAGCAGCAACCCTACAGGGCGATGGTCAGATGTATAGACAAAACGAATGAATGTGCCTAGGCAAGATAAGGCCCGTTGGTCATCGATTTCGTCTTCCCAGTGTGCTTTTACAACATAGTCAGGCTTTGGTTGCTGACATGAGTCTTTCGAAGCGAGTGACTAAAAGGTGAGGTAAAGTCCGTGAGACCCGAAGCAATGGGGGGATATGATATGAGGGGGGTTGGAATAGTCAAAGGTAAAGGAGTTGAGCGTTAAAGTTCGAGTCCCAGTTGGCGGCCAAGACCGACACACGACTCCTGTAATTTGCCTCCACCTAGGAGACAGCAAAGACGGGCAGATCTGCTGCTCGCTTTTTCTTGACGCTTTGAGACTCGTAAAGGAAGAAAGAAAGATGGCCCGTGACACCCTTGGTGGATTGTAAGGCAAAAGGATCCAGACTCAATGGGCAAAAATAGCAAGCCACCCAAAAGTTCTGTTTGATGCACGCCCAAAAGGGCACTAGGTTATGCACCAGGATGAACGATGAGACACGCAGTGGAGTCGACCGTGGAGCTGCAGCTAGCATGTCCCCGGTGCCATGTGTGTGAGTGGCAATGGGTCCCCAGTCTTCCCATGCGATTCAGTACCGTGGTAGTATTGCAGAGCCCGGTGTCTGTGCAGATCAGTCGATGTTGAGCCACGCCGAACTATACGGTGAATCAAGTTTTCGCTCTGTCACCCAAGTTTTTCAGACTCGTCCGAATCTCGTCAAGGCATTGGTCTACCTCTCTTCCTAGAAACAGATCTAAGAGTCCCTACATCATTCTCTAAACCCAAATTGACGCATGGCGAGAGCCACGGGCCAGGAGTGTCTCCACGACAGCTTCTGTGCTGGCTCGACCGATCCACTGAGCTCGGAGAGGAATAGTGGAATCTTTGTCGCTACGAGGCATCGTTTTTTTTTTTTTTTTTTTTTCTATCTGTCATTTTTTATGCGAATTGATTTTTACATTTTTTTAACCACTACATAAATCTTAGCGCCGGTGTTAGCTGGTAACCTGGTAGAAAAGCCGAACTTAGTACAAGGTTGAGTTATTGTGCTCGATTTGGAAAGGTGCGGTCGGTTTTTGGAAGGTAATTTTCAATATGCGAATACGAGGAGTATACTTACCGAACAGAACATACCGTACGATACCAGGCACTTTTTGCCATCCTGATCCACCTCATCATGACTTTTCCCCTTTCCCTTGGCCGTCTCCACTCTCAAATCTGGACCTGTTAGAACCCTGGTTGATGCATCCAAAAACCCCGCGCGGGCTGGATCCAGGTCCCATACGCCTTTCTTCTCATGAGCCCCAAAGTGGGCAGGGGCTAAGCAGGCCCCTAAGCCCTTCCCATCTACACTACTCCGTATACTGTACTGTCGGTGCCGAGCATTGGTAGCCTGTGGATAGTCACAAAGTCCGAGGTGCTATGCTCGGGGGTTTTTACCAGATAGACTTCGGCTTTTGCGATGTCTCAGATGGAAATAACTTCATTTTCATTTTTCTCCATCAGGACTTCCTATTTTAGGGCAATTTTTGGCTTATTGGTTTTCTTTTTTTTCCACATGGTCGAAATGCACCCAAGTGCGAGAATATCACAGAACTCTGCAGGTCCATCCCCACCTCGCACCATGAATGCCTTGACCCTTTGTAACATAGCCAATTGAATGACCAGGAAAAATTTGCTATCCTCATTCTCGCCATCTCTAGACCACCCCCAATGGGTAGGTTCCGCTTGACCCGGAACCGACATCCCACATTTCCTTCGGAAAGATCTCGATCTGCCCTATCAATCTCATGGCCAACACCATAGCACGCCACCTGCAATCCTGATAGAAATGTGCCGAGTAAGATGACTTGTATGTGGAGATTATCCTTCGTAGAAGCCCGTGGCCTCAGTTAGATCAACCGATAGGTTTTGACAAGTCTGACTCGGTGTTTCTTTGGTACATAAGGAGCCTGATGGGTCATACTTGAAGTCAGATGCAAGCTAAGTTCCTTCGTTCTGCATCCCGCCCCAGTTTAACTGTCAATCGTTTTCCGTGCATGGTGCGTTCTGTTCTCTCGTTTGTGCATCTGTACCCCTGGTTAATATTACCAACATGGTGCAACTTCCCGTGTGGGCCTTGAAAGTAGGCTGCTTCTACGGCCTTATAACTTGCGACTCTCGTCCAGGTGTTTGGCCTGACCACAAGCCTCAAGTTATTTCTTGGGAGCCTCCCCATTCTTCTCATACTACTACTACCACTGTTCACCATACTTCCATTCCAACTACCTCTGCCCATACAACCACTGCGCATACTACTACCACGAGTGTGCCAGAGGTCACTACTACATCTATTCCCTCGTTGACCACCTCCTCTACTACTTCAATTTCTGTGACTGTTTCTTCATCTTCTCCTGTTTCTTCCGGATCTAGTGGCATTGTTTCTTCTATTGAGACTGTTTCGCCTACTAGTACCTCTACCCCTTCGACCTTTGCCACCTCGACCTCTGCGTCTAGTGCATCCCCGAGTTCCTCGGTAGCGAGTTCTTCTTCGAGCTCACCCGTTAACTCGCCAAGCTCCACTCCTGGAAGTACTTCAGTGAGCTCCACCACTTCTCCGAGTGCCACTGCAGGTGGAAGCTCGACCTCGAACCCTACTTCGAGTCCCATTGCTTCTTCCAGCACAGTTGCTTCTTCGAGCCCCGCTAGCTCTTCTTCTGCCCCTGGAAGCTCTTCAAGTATTGGAAGTTCCTCCGTTCCTGGCAGTTCTTCCAGCCCTGCAAGCTCCTCGAGTCCTGGAAGTTCCTCGACTCCTATCGGGTCTTCATCTACCCCTGCATCAAGCCCCGCTAGCTCTGAAGCTTCGTCCTCTCCTGCATCGAGCACTCCTGTCTCCTCGAGCACTCCTGTCTCCTCGAGCACTCCTGTCTCCTCGAGCACTCCTGTCTCCTCGAGTACTCCTGTCTCCTCGAGCACTCCTGTCTCCTCGAGCACTCCTGTCTCCTCGAGCACTCCTGTCTCCTCGAGCACTCCTGTCTCCTCGAGCACTCCTGTCTCCTCGAGCACTCCTGTCTCCTCGAGCACTCCTGTCTCCTCGAGCACTCCTGTCTCCTCGAGCACTCCTGTCTCCTCGAGCACTCCTGTCTCCTCGAGCACTCCTGTCATCTCACCAACTATGTCTTCCACCGCTGTCTCAATCTCGGCGAGTGCCTCTGCTACTCCTGTCAGCCATGCCACCATTGCTGCCAATATCCTGATCATTGCTAGAGACACTGCGTCCGCTAACGTTGCCTCTTCTGGTCTGAATGCCTACGGTATTCCTTTCACGACTCTGGTTGTTCCTCAGGCGGGTGTTGCCCTTCCCGCCTTGAACACTAGCACTGGAGGAAACTTCGGTGGTATTGTGGTTGCATCCGAAGTCAGCTACGACTATGGCGCGACTGGCTACCAGAGTGCCCTGACTACTGACCAGTGGAATCAGCTGTACGCTTACCAGCTTGCGTATGGTGTCCGTATGGTTCAGTATGATGTTTACCCCGGCCCCAACTACGGTGCTACCGCTGTTGGAGGTGGTTGCTGCGACACTGGTGTTGAGCAAGAGATCTCCTTCACCGATATTAGCGATTTCCCCACCTCTGGTCTGCGCACTGGAGCTGGTGTGAGCACTGAGGGCCTGTGGCACTACCCGGCTACCATCAGCAACACCACCTCTACTAAGCAGATTGCTTCCTTTGCTGCCAACTCTGTTACCACGTCCGACACCACTGCTGCAGTCATCAACAACTTCGATGGCCGTGAGCAGATGGCTTTCTTCATTGGCTTTGACACCACCTGGAGTGCAACTTCCAACTACCTGCAGCACGCTTGGATTACTTGGATCACTCGCGGTCTCTACGCCGGATATCGTCGTGTCAACCTGAACACTCAGATCGATGATATGTTCCTGGAGTCCGACATCTACTATCCCAATGGCACCACTTTCCGTATTCGAAATGAAGATATGGACAACATCCGTGACTGGATCAAGACTATCAACGCCAAGATGAACGCCGGTAGTACCTACTTCCCTGAAGTTGGCCACAACGGAAATGGCAACATTGAGAACAGTTCTAACACCGATGCTGGCTACATTGCTTGCAACGACGGCGCCATTGAGTACGACTCTCCTGCTGACACCGCCTTGGAGTTCGAGAAGCCTCTGGGTACTGGTACCAACTTGTGGCCCACCTCCCCCACCAGCTACACCTGGACCACTGCCTGCACTCAGCGCGATCCTCTCTTGATCTGGTGGACTACCGCTGCCAACCTGAACAGCTTCGCCTCTATCTCTCACACCTTCACCCACGAGGAGCAGAACAACGCTACCTACTCCGATATCTACAAGGAGATCAGCTTCAACCAGGCCTGGCTCAAGCAGAATGGTATCGATCAGGCTACCCACTTCACTGCCAACGGTATCATTCCCCCTGCCATTACCGGTCTGCACAACGGCGATGCCCTTCAGGCCTGGTGGGACAACGGTATCAAGAACTGTGTCGGTGACAACACCCGTCCCGCCCTTCTCAACACCCAGAATGCTATGTGGCCCTACTTCACCGTTGTCTCCACTGATGGCTTCGCTGGTATGCAGGTCAACCCTCGCTGGGCTACTCGTATCTATTACAACTGTGATACTCCTACTTGCACCCTGAACGAGTGGATTGCCACCTCTGCCGGTAGCGGCACCTTCGATGACCTGCTCGCTACTGAGAAGGCCGATACCATGCGCCACCTGTTCGGTCTCTACCACGACCCGTACATGTTCCACCAGGCCAACCTGCGCAATGCCGACGTTGATGCTATCACCATCAATGGCGTCTCTGCCAAGTACTCCATCTTCCAGGCTTGGGTTGAGACTCAGGTCCAGGAGTTCGTCCGCCTTGTCGAGTGGCCCATAGTTACTCTCAAGCACGCCGACATGTCCGCTCAGTTCCTGGCTCGCTACAACCGTGATGCCTGTGGCTACTCGCTGAGCTACACCACCGCCAATGGAAAGATCACCGCTGTCACTGTCTCCGCTACTGGAAACACCTGCAGCGAGCCCATCCCTGTGACTTTCCCCACTGCCCCCTCCAACACCCAGGGCTTCACCACTGAGCAGCTGGGCAGCGACCCCACCACTGTCTGGGTCCAACTGTCCGGTTCTCCCGTCACCTTCACCCTCTCCTCTCCTATCACTCTGTAAGAGTGGATAAGATTGAGTTTGGTCTCATGTTCTCGTCGCGAAAATGTTCCATGTTGATTTGAAATCTATTTTTAGCTTATTTTATATTTTGTGATTGACTTTGTCCTAGACCTGTCTATAATGGCATTGAGTTTTGGTGGAAAGTAATATAATTCAAGCATGCTTTTTGTGTTCAAAACCTTCTCACCTAAAAAAGTAAAGTTCCTTGCAGCTAAAATGCACTCAGCATGACTTGCGAATACGAGGCGCCACTCATAGGTTTTCAAAGCTTAGTCTCAAGGCAAATCATAAAGTGTGATGGCTGGCCTAAATGTGGGTGAAGTGGCGGTCTGGTCAGCAGGTGTCAGCAGGTGTCAGCAGGGACAGAGTATGACTCTGCAGGTCCAAAGCATATTCTCTGTACGTTGTAGAACGTGTGACATTTCTTGGCTTGTCTGTGCTGCCCAGATTCCTGGAACTCAATTGCATCTATGATCATGATATTCCTTTTGAGTTTTGGTAAACGGTCAACCTTGATCTATACTAAGTTCTGATGTTTATAGTGAGCAAGTTAATTAAAGTATTGAGTCATTGATCAACACGGGAAGAAAAACTCAATTTGAGTCTCCTTCGTTGCCATCAATCTGACATCTTGAAGTTTGGTCCGAATTGCCTGTTTGGGGTTGACATGATGTAGTCTATAGCATCGTGAGCCGTTTCCCATCATCCACTAACGGCGACGCCGAAGGCCTTCCCCTCCTCTCGTGAGATTTCGATGGCCAGCCGCAAAGGATAGAAGCATTCTGACAATTTGTGCCTAAAGGCGTGGCCTTTCGTGATTGTACAACACAAAAGCCGTGCTTCTAGGCGAATGGTCGGCTGGGAGGACGCGGGCGATGATACGAACATCGACGATGCACCCCCAGCCTCGCGCGGCTCAAACCAGCAAGACGGCCGCGAGATGGAGACCACCGTCTTGAATGAGGCTAGTGAAAAGTCGCCTCGGGAGAATTAGAAGCATCTCGTGCGAATTTCATTGGCACTCGGATATATTCGCAGCCACCAGAGTATATCTAGGGCTGGGCGCTGGAAGTCTCCGACCCGCGATGATGCTGCAGGGGTGCAGGGCGGGGGAAGGGCAAAAGGGGAAAGTACTAGACTCTACAAAGGGGGAAGTTTGGCGAGCTGCTCACCATCGTGACATGGGGACATGGGGTTGGGAACAGAATTCATCCGCGTTAGAATGGAAAGGGGATGGCGTGAGTGAATTGTCCTCCATGAGGCTGCTATAGTCGTTCTTGGCACGCTATTCCAATCCCCGAGACCTCCCAACATACCCATTTTTGTCTCGTATCCAGAACGTACTATTTCTCGTGCCAAGTAGCTGCCACCTTAAGGAGCGGGTGTGGCGCTCGGGGATAACGGATGGGAGAGTCGGGCGATTGGGTTATCTAGAACAAGATCACAGTTGCGCACGGCTTATGAGAGGCAATTTTTTCCTTTAGTTGCATTTTAGTTCTTACTGCCAATTCAGCTACTATTCCATAGTTGCATTTTGCTCCTTTTACGGCCAGACGGCCGAGAACGTGCAGGGGAAGTTGGGGGTGTGTGGAGAGCAAATGTGGTGCATCTCGCAGGAGGCAAAAGCAAGCGAGAAAGCAAAGACCATCATCCTTCGAGCCTCATAACTGTCATAGACTAAGGAAAAAGTCAATCTAACTCAGCCACTTCCAAAATTGGATACAGCAGTTTGGCACAAGTATACGAAGTATGGAGTAAGTGCTCTTGAATACATTAATTGACCGGGATTCCTGGTCGGGGCTCTTGTCCGGCGAGTCAGGACCGAAAGCGATCTATTACTATACCCTAGTCTTTGTCAGTAAACTTGTTAATGGAACTGATCAACAAGGCACTCATGACATTAGCGTGATGAAAGACGGGCTGGATAGTGGGGAACTTCGGGCGGTATTAAGAGTATATTCGAAACCGTCCCGTACGGGTGTAATATTACAACTATCCTGTGGTGTTTTGCAAAATTCGCCAAGTTCCACTAGCAATTGCGTCGTCATAGCCTTCTCACTAAGGATGCAAATTCTGAACCGATCGGACGCTAAATCATTAGATCAACAAAATCAACCCACAGCGGCGGTCCCACCGGATCGAGAACCCAGCTTGGAACACTAGAAGTCCCTCAGGCTCAGGCGCTTGCCAGCGCATGCAGCGTGGGGGGCTCGGGTCATTGGTAGGGTTCCAGATTTCCCCGGCAAGAGGGGCGGCCGATGGCAATCATTCTGATTCTTCAGCAAAATTCAAGGATCACAGATTGATCCCTCTTCCAGGGACCAGGGGCGGGCCTAACGCTGTCCTGTCAAATTAAAGGTGGGCGTCCTCGGGGGGTACCGTTTGTCCCTGAAAAGGCTGGCTGAGAAGTGACTGCTCAACTGCACATTCTCCTGTGTAACCCCACCACTGGCGGGTTTGGGGAAGTTGGCTTCCTTAAATTCGACCTCATCGGCTATACAGACCTTTCGATGGTGTGATGGGTCTCGCCCGCCGCCAGCATCGGCGGCACCGGGCCCTATAGTCTTGGCAAACAGGGGTGGTGCTCTTGTGGTTGGTGTGTCTCTTCTTATTTTAGTGCCTTGAGCAAAGTTTGCAACCGTGGCTCGCCGTCTTTTGCTTTTTTTTTTTTTTTTTTCTTTTCTTTTTTTCTGCTTTGTTCTCTTATTCACTTATTGCAGTGTGTGTTGTGCACTGTTCACTGTGCACTTGTACTGCCCCAAGTTTGGACCGGTCCAAGACTCTTTTCTCTCGAGAACTGTGCTCTAACATGATACTACAGCGCTTCCAGCTGTAATTTACTTAGTATCTAAATAAATGTCTTGGTTCGATAGATAGTTTAAGCGCTTCGTATCCTCATAAGTGTTGCCTGATCATCGATCATCCAATTGATGGACAGCCACGATCGGTTCATAAACCTCGGTAGATCAACATTGGTTCCACCACCTTAATTCCTGCCCTACCCGGTCCGCGACTGGCCGAAATTTGTCTTCCCCCCCCCCCCCCCCAAGAAGACACCGATGATCATTGCTGTTTGTTTGAATTTGGTCGTAGTCGCTAACTGGCTCTGCCAGAAAAAGCTGCAGATGTGGCTCAGTTAGCTTGGCGCTGATCCCTAGGCTCCCGAGTTTCCCTTTGACTTTTTCCCTTTCTTTGTAGCCATCTACCACACTTCCACACCTGATTCAGGAGTCTTTTGAAGTACCTAAATTGGCATCACAGGCAGCTAAGGTATCAGGTCAGCCTCCACATGGTAGCATCTAGGGTCCTGCAATTGCGGTTCTTGTTTTAGTTGCAACTGGCTCTCTAGGATCGCCGCAACCTCAGCCCCAAAGCCCTGCGGTCTGGGCCCGCTTCCCCTAAGACCCTTCTTTTTTGCTCTCTTGAGCTTAAAGATGCCTATCGCCCACAAGGCTTCTTGATTTGTTTGGTATACATCGACTTTCTCCAGTGATCTACCTCCTGTCTTACACTTGGCCCCTCATTGATTATGCCAGTCGGCTGCTGACACTGGCCTCGGAATCTCATTAACCTCCGAGAAATCCACAACCTTCATTCCACCTTGACTGCTGCTCCTTTCCCCATAATACAAGCATGGACAAGATGACGACAACGACTGGCTGGGCGGCCTGGACCTCCAAAAAGAAGATCTTTGTCGCCTCTATCGTTGCCCTCATCATTGTCGCGATCGGTGTTGGACTCGGCGTTGGCCTGGGTGTTGGCTTGAACAACGGAGGCAGCGGAGAAGGTGAAGGCGAAGGCAGTGGAAGTGGTGGCACTGGTACCGGTGGAAACGGAACGACCAGCAGCAACACGACGGTGAAATGGCAGCCAGCCGTGGGTGTTAAGTGGCAGATCGAGCTTCTGTACGCTCTCAACGACACCTCTGTGGACGCCGAAGTCTACGATATCGACCTCTTCGACAACGACAAGTCGATGATCTCAAAGCTTCAGGGCCTCGGTCGCAAGGTCATCTGCTACTTCTCTGCTGGAACGTACGAGAAGTGGCGCTCCGATGCCAGTGACTTCGAGTCATCCGACCTGGGCAACAATCTCGCAGATTGGCCCGGTGAGAAATGGGTCGACACCAACTCCGACAATGTGCGCAAGATCATGCAAACCCGCCTGGACTTGGCAGTTACCAAGGGTTGCGATGGCGTTGATCCCGACAACATTGACGCCTATGACAACTCCAACGGTCTCAAGTTGACCGAGGATGACGCGATCAACTACGTGAATTGGCTCGCTGGCCAGGCACACAGCCGCAACCTGTCCATCGGTCTCAAGAATGGTGGCGCTATCATCGATTCCGTCCTGGCCAATATGCAGTGGTCCGTCAATGAGCAATGTGCCCAGTATACAGAGTGCGACACCTATGCGGCTTTCACCGACGCCAACAAGCCAGTCTTCCACATCGAATACCCCAAAGGCGATAACACCAACAACAACCAAGCTGTCACCACCTCCCAAAAGTCGTCGGCTTGCAATGCCGCCAGTGCCGGCAACTTCTCCACTGTCATCAAGAATATGGATTTGGACAATTGGGTAGAGTACTGTTGATGGATGATGTCATGACTCGCAATTATGTTTTCTGTACCTGCTTTTGCGACCATTGATCTCCCTGTATTGCATATACCACAATATGATAGTTTCCGCTCGGCTAATTTTAACCAAAATGTCTACTTAGTTCTGAGGCGCTTTCCATGAACCAAAGTACTAAAAAAGAGCACACACAATTAATTTTCTCATCGTGAAACCCCCTCGCGCTCAGGGCTCATAAGGAACACGCCCAAAGATTTAACTCCGCTTTCTTATACCTCCATTGCCGTGTCGGCTTTCAATAGTGCTATGAAGTGCTAAGCCCCCACGAACCCGCGTTCGAATCGCTTAACCACTTTAAACGAAGGGGAAATTATGAGGCGCTGGCCACGTCGTTAAGCCATCACAGTCCTAAGTAACGGTTTGGCGTCTCGCTTTTGACCGTAGTCACGACTTGTGGCTGATGGGGTCCAATAAACGAGGTTTTTCCGTTGGCGTGCCTAGCTTCCCAGCGTGACGGGATTCGGAGCTAGCAGTTGTTAGTCCGGAGAACCGGTGATAGAAATGCCGCCCAACGAAAAAACAAAGACTTCCGAGTGCCTCCGGTGGCCAAGCCCAAGCGACAAAAGACGACTTTTTTTCTCGCCAAAGCACTGCTCTCGCCTTGGATTCCTTGAATTCGATGGTCAACGGTTGACTAGTAGCTATAGCGTCTTGGTATAGTGAAGGTAGGTGCACCGGCTACCATCCGAAATATTGCCGATCGAAGCGGCAATACATCCGATGATGTTTGTCGTTCTTGGCATTTCTTGGCATATACGAGGCCCTATGAGTATCACAAACATTATTGGCCATGTTTTGCGGAGATGCTTGTCAAAGGGCAGTGGGGAGTGGACTAGTGTCGATGACAAATGGGCAGTGCGTTGGTAGCACGCAATAATATATCAATTTGGAAATATTGGAAACACGGGTGAAAGCGAAACTTACGGTAAATTACGCTAGAAAATTTCAAGATTCTGAATGTTTGTACAACAAGGAAAATACACTCCAAAAGGGCAACTTTGATGGCCGCTTACCTTTTGTGCTGTCGACCCGCAAAACACGAGCACTCACCGACCAATGGTATTGGACATATCAGAAATTCTATCTGCAAGAATCGGAATATTAACTTTCAATCTTTGGCCCTTGCATGTCGAGTTTGTGACACCAAATTGTCTCGAGAAGACAGCCATCAAAGCTTCACGAGCTGCAGGGGCCACAGAATCCCCAACCACTCAAAGTCTACTAAGTGGCGAACCATTGATCACCCAAGCCATCATGCTCATTGACTCTCTTTCAACTTAGCCACCGAAATCAGATCCGACTCTAATCAGATTTTTTTTATCCGAGCTAAAAATTCTAACTAACTAACTAAAGTCGAAGATCCGAAGAGAAATGGAGTCTTCGCCTCCACCTCATGCGATCGTTTGTCCCCCGAACATGGAAACCATGGCAAAGATCGGGGTCGGTTCGGGCGCTCGAACGCTCTAAGAGCCATAGCCGCTTCAGATATGACCCATCATTATTCCCACTTCTCCCATGCTCTAAGGGGCTGAGTGGGTACAGGAGAAAAAAAATCCGTCACCTCAGCCAACGAGCGTGAGCGCTAAGATCGGACCCTCAAGTGGCTCCCGAGTGGCTCCCGAGCGGATCTGCCCGGTTCCTGACGACGAACCATGGCTATCAGTGTTTATTGGTCCATGATGAAGGGTTGGGGGTTACCCATCGGTGAGTCTACTTCATACAAACTCCACTTTTACCGTGTCTATTGTACCAAGACGCCGATTCCTCCCTAAAAAGTGTTGGAGACGATCCTTGTGAAACGACGAAGTAGAAAATCCTCGGCTGGAGCCAGTCGCACGATTGGTTAGTTCACTATTCCACTTTTCTGCTTTGCCAAGCCGTTCCAGATGATTTGGCCGTGCGACCAAGATCGATCTTGATTTCTCGGGTGTTGCTCTACAGGATATGTTGCTATTCGTGATGTTTCAAGGGCGAGTACTTCTGGCACGATCTTCGTTTTCTGCGTCGTAATAAATTTAGTTTGAACAATTCTCTGCCAACCACGTTTTTTGTGTAACGTTAGCACATTGTTCCCAGGTTGGGTGTGGCTTAGAATACCCCTTGAAAGCATGCCGACTGCACGACCCCCATGTTATTCGATCCACCGACTAGACGCTTGCCGCTTTATGCTTTGTGATGCTTTGTGCTCTGGAAACCAGTTCACGCCATGCGGGCCATATGCCTCCCCCTTGCGCTACCGGGTTCGGCGGTTCGCTTTGTGAAATTCTCAAAGATCGACTGGCTTGCTGGCTTGAACAGGTCCATCCGGTCATGCATAGCCAAAGCTTCGACAAAGCGCTTCCCCTGTCTGTTCCTAGTCTCATCGGCATTGCGGCTGGCGCCATAGAGTTTTGTTCGGCCAAGAGATAGATCGAAAATCCTCTGGGATTTTCACCAGGGTTACTACTCCTGTCCGACGTACCTGACGGGTGCCACGAGGTAGAGGCTTCCGCTACTGGGGATCGAAGAACCAGGGGTCGGTGATGGACTGGGTCACTAGTTTACCATGCTCGCAAAGGAAATGGATTATTAATTCAGAATCTGAGTATGCACGACAGGGAATGGGATTTACATTGCAAATACACATGGTTTTGTCAACGACAGAGTTGCTCGAAAAGTGTGCCGTACTTGTAACTAAAACCACCATCTAGTTCCTTGGCCGTACTCCCAAAATCAATAAATTACATTTCAGTAAATGGCCCCCAGTGTAACTTTTGCGACAACATGGTCCTTTGACTATAACCATTTGTTCCTATGTGTGTCGGGAAATCTATTTCCAATTTGTCCAGGATATCTGGCAGCTCAGTTTCATCGCAGTGTGGTGCCGACCCGTCATTCCGGTCTCCACTACAAGAAACTCGGAGTAGAATCTTTGTCATGTACCACCGGAATGTCTCAGTCCATTCGAAAGTACATTCGTTGAAAGGAGTCGTGCCTTGGCCGGAGAAAAGCGTGCCCAGAGATGCTAATTGCAGGACTACTGTCTGTTGATATCATATCATGTATGTCTTAGCAAAGTCTCGAATTAAGGCATCCTATATGCAGCTCAAGTTAATATGTGATGTTGCAATCCCGTGTTATAGAGAAAGTTGCTATTTTAAGGTCGCCCCGAAGAACTTCAAAGCATTGGATACAACCGTACAGCACACCCCGCATGATCGAATCGCTTTCTTGAAAGAAAAACCTGCCAGGCCCAGTTCCAGTAAAGGAAGGTGACTTTCTATGCCCAACTACGAAATTACCTACTAGAAACATACAGACTTGCATCATTGTGACCTGATCCATAGTAATCAGAACAGACCATGTTTTCGGGCGACGCTGACCATAATCCCGAGAAATTTCACCCCAAGTTGATGCCGAGGCCCCAAATGGAACTCTGACAGTCTAACACGCCACGGGTATACCCTGTCGGAGTCAAGACCTGGTTGTTCCAGCCTTGACTATACTCGGAACCATGGTTGTATCAGGTATGGAACGAGATTGAAAATTACGAGAATTACCTACCCGACTCCACTTGACCAAAAGAGGTAGACGACATCCGTGCTTTGGTTTTTTTTTTTCGTTGTCGCAAATTTCTGAGCTACGAATGCCTATCCATCTAGATTCCATACAGAGCTTTGGCCTCTAATTTTCGGCTTTTAGTCGCTCGTAGTCTCGGTTCTTTCAATTTGGGATATGATGAAAAGAGGCGGTGAAATTTTTTGATCGTGGCGGGCATTAGCTCGCAAAGCCTATAGAAGGCAGTTTCTCTGAAAACAAATTCTAACGTGCATAAGAGCAAAATGAAAATGCAAACCATATGATACCTCGTTACGCAGGGTCATCACGATTCATGTTACCACAGGGCGAGCCTCAATCCGACATTAAATCAACAAACTCGGTCCACTTTGACCCAAAGCTAGCATAGTAATCGACGCTCAGGTGGGTGATGTAAAGTTCATCGACCACCTTACGGGCTTCTTTCACCAGACTGCGCAGCTTAGGATCCTCAACGGTATCAGGAACCGAGTGGATAACAGCGCACAACTGGGTACGGTTGCTATCCGGAATAGCCGTGAACAGCTTAGCTCCCTGTCGCTCTTGGAAGCTACTGTATGTCCCTTCGAAGACCACTGTGGAATCGGCCGATGCCAAGTAACGAGAGTCTGGGACGGCTCCAGGGTTGTGCACCACCTATGGATAGTAGTTAGCCACCATGAAGTTCGCTTGAAATGACCTGATGAAGTAACTGGGGAATCGATAGGGCTGGAAGCTAAAGTAGAGACACAATCATTCAATCTGGAAAGGGGGGAAATAAGATTCGGAGAACCAAAAAAAGACATTCAGGGTCTGATGAGAAAGCCACGCGGGTGGCATAGAGAGTCCCCAGATATGGAGTGGAATGAACGATTGGGGGATGTAAGGGGGATGGGGCATCAAGTGGAACAGTAGGTCATCATTAAGCAATCGGAAGTTAGGAGAATTTTTTTGCAACTTACAAAGCCATTGGACCCAAATCCGTTCAGCTCCTTGACCAGGTCTGTCAGATTCTGCAAATAATTGAGGGATTGGGCACTGTATTGCTGGGGTGCTTCATCGAAGAATATACCCCGAACGGCCAAGTCCGGGTTGGACGAGTTGGTCGGCCAAGCGGCATATGTTTCGATATCCTTGCGCACTAAGGATATGTTGCGCTGTGCATACGAAGTGTGGACATAGCCCAGAAGACGAACATTTGCGTAAGATGCAAGGACAGGTATTTCACGAGTATAATTCGCATCGGGCAACGAGTTTGGCCCTGGGCCGTTTCCTGGGTTGATTACGACGGTAAAATTGACATCTGGATAGGCAGAGACCCTTGGGCGTTTTAGCAAAACGACGTTCTGTTTCTGCAAAAAAAAAAACAACGAATTTTACTCGAATTGATTTAGAGCATCGCCAGAGGGGGGCCACCATGCGGGGGGCAGGCTTAACAGCAGCGCGGCACGACATCAACCATACCCATGTATGGTGGCGAGCTACCGGCTCCTTGGGATCGAATATTGTTTTTGAGGATCGGGGCAGTGGTCGTGGAGGGGGGCTGGGCTGAATGAGAAGGAAATCATGGAACCTACACATTTTCCAACGGAGTCCATGCTCCAGGAGCAGGGTAAACGTAAAGCGGCACGAATACTTTGGATTTGGGACCCATGCTGTTATTCTTGCGTAGAGTGGTGACGACAACAGCTGGTATGATAGCAGCACAAAGGACAATGAAAACGATTACGGCCAAGAGAATTCGAGCCCATTTGGACTTAAGGCACCCTCGCCTGCTCACGTGCTTTTCTTCGGGAGCCATGGTAGACATAGTCAAATTATGGGAATGGGTACGGAGAATCGATTCGAAGGGGAAAGGTGGTTTGAAATAACGAGAAGTGGATTCTCTAAAGACATTTTCTATGATACCATCGAGTCTGATGAGCATAAGACAAAAAAACCTTACACCCGGTAACCTTTTGTTGTCTTAGACAAAAAAAAAAGGTAAAAAAAAGGAAAAGAAAAAAAAAGAGTCACCCAGGCCCAGCCTTTAGTCTCGTTGCGCCGCCCCGAAATAGACCAGGGCGGGTCTCGACCATATGAGATGCAGTGTATGATATTAGATGAGATGTAGCGTTAAATCCATTTGTAGTATGATACGGTGACTAGCCCGAGCTGAGGGTCCTAGACGTGCCCTTCATGGTGGAGGCGCTTAGGACATTTATTCGGCCCTAAAAAGACGATATCCCAAGGCCCAGCCGCATGCCTGGCCCACTATCCACGGGGATCCTGCCTGACTATTCTTTGGTCTATCGCGAATTCTTCCTCCCGTTCGCCTCCTTCTGGATCCAAACCACAGTTTTGCTTCCGGGCTTATGCGAGCTCCTCCAGCTTCATTTCTTCCATTTTTGCCGGTGCTAAGGCGTCTCTGATTCCCCATTTGTTGACCAGGGTATGACACAATAGTTAGAGCTAAACGAGCATACTCTAAGGCAACGAGGCTACGCAGGGTCTTTCTTTCTCCCCGGTGTATAAATCTTGCTTTGTGGTCTCCGGGAGGGTCCAGGGCGGATCTCAGTCATTGTTTCAAAAAAGTTATAAAAAGCATAATACTTGGCTCTTCTGCATTCTATTGCTCGAGTGACAAGGCATTGACTTGTTGTTGTGCTTCCTGGTCACCTCATTCAGACCTTGACTGCTCAAACCCAATTTCACAATGGCCAGTCGTCGACGATCAGATGCTAGCACTCCGGTGGAGAGTGAATCGCCAAGCTCGGTGGACACTCCTGCCACAGAGTCTTCTGTGCTGTTCGACAATCTTGACGAGCTGTTGCGAAGACTCCCTCAGGAAAGTCAATATATTCTCGTCACCGGCGGTTTGGGATTCATCGGAAGTCACACCACATTGGAACTTCTCAAGGCTGGCTACAATGTGATCGTCATCGACAACCTCAGCAATTCTTTCGAAGTTGTGTTCGACCGCATCAATCTTTTGGCTCAAAAATTCCACGACAAGAATAGATCACCGATGCCATCACTGCGGCTGCACGCCCACGATTATCGTGACACATCAGCCCTTCAGGATCTTCTCCAGGAGTATCGACTTGCCTCGAGGTGGGGAACTCCAAAGTCAAAAATTGCCGGTGTTATTCACTTTGCAGCATACAAGGCTGTAGAGGAGAGCATCAGGCACCCACTGAAGTACTATGCAAACAACGTCAGTGGTTTGATCGACTTTGCATCCACACTTGGGGAGTTTGGCATCAAGACATTCATCTTCTCCTCTTCTGCCACTGTGTATGGCACCCTCGCAACTTCGGGTCTGCCCTTGAAAGAGGAGCTCTGTGTACACAGAGAAGAGGTCTATACAGACCACAAAGGAGAGACACAAACTGTCCAGCCCGGATGTACCGGTATCACAAACCCGTACGGACGCACCAAATGGATCTGCGAGACTATTCTTGCCGATCTTGCTGCATCTGATCCCGAGTGGACTATTGTCGCCCTTCGTTACTTCAACCCTGTGGGTTGTGATTCGTCTGGACTCCTGGGAGAAGACCCCCGACAAGCACCCACCAATCTGCTCCCAGTGGTCGTCAAAGTGATGACCGGTCAATATGCTGAACTTCAAATGTTCGGAACCGACTGGGACACGACAGATGGCACGGCCATCCGGGATTTCATCCACGTCACTGACCTCGCTCGGGGACACATCGCTGCGCTCAGCACTGCAAACGAGGGGAAGCTGGCTGAGAACTTCCGAACTTTCAACCTCGGTACAGGATCCGGCAACTCTGTTCTGGATGTGGTCACCACCATGGAGACAGTCATCTCCAAGCCAATTGCTCGAAAGGCCGCAGGTCGCCGCGAGGGTGACGTGGGTTCTTGTGTTGCGGTCGTTGACCGGTCCCAGGAAGAGCTGCAGTGGAAGACTCAGAAGTCACTAAAGGATGCTTGCGAGGATATATGCAACTTCCTAAATATCAGTGGACTGTCTTCATGACCGTATTAGGGCCGCTGCTGTTCGATTATTTTTTCCTATTTTCCTTTGTTCTTGTGTTCTTTTCATGACTGCGCCTGTTCTTAATATTCCCCTCGCAGAACCGGCGGTGACTTGGCAAGTGTGGTTTCGGCTGCGTGATTTTTGTGTCTTGGTATTAGCATTCTGACTAGAGATGCATTGTATGAGCAATCTTTGATCTGTACTTAGTTATCCCTTTTCCAATAAGCGATCTAGCGCATATATATATATAAGTCTTCCATGATCGAGCTGTTGCATGACCCATGTACATATAAAGTTGTCAAGTTGCATGCATAAATCCTATATTCCAGGACCTTTTAGAGCACAAATTTTGTTCAGCAGCTTTTTTCTCGATAAAAAATGACCCGGGTTCGGAGGACGAACAGCATAATTGCATCACAATTGCTCGCTGAAGATGTGAGTTCCGGAATTCTTGGCAACTGAAATGTGCGTCTGAGGCATGTGGATGACTGCTGAATGAATCACGTGATGTCAATAAATATGAATCGGTGATATCGTTAAAGCTGCTTGAAGAAATAAAAGATACCAGGAGGTACCCACTGATTTCAAGGATAAAGATTGTTTTTCTAGGGCCGTTCAAAGAAAACTAAATGATCTCTCGTGGCAACAACCGTATAACTAAGCATATCTTTACGCTGAAAGCACGTGACTACCTCCGGCTTGGCATCAAATCCGCGCCGCAGTTTTCTGCCATTTCGTGACGGTGTGATCCCCATCTTCAACTCCACGCAACTGGCTCGTCGAAAAGCCAAGTCGTCTACTCGAGTACCCAGCGAGGGAGCAGAAAATAATTGCTGGCTTTTTATACGGTCAGAACACCACGATGATTTGCAGAAGCTGCCGGACCACCATGCTGTCTCGGCTACAACAGACGCATGCCGTGTCATGGACCGCATCAACAGCTGCTCGCCAATTGCCTACTGTGCGCACTCAATTCCGATTCTACAGTGACAACGCTGCGACTCCTCCTCCATCCACCATCTCCTCCGCGACCCCCGGTGTCTCCCAGCCTTTGAGTACCCCAGAGGGTGTTCAAACCGATGCGAAACCCAGCAATTCTACCAAGCCCGTTCTCGAGCGCCCGCCGAGTAGCTGCCCGGCTGGCACAAAGATGAACGGTCTGAACTATTTCAAGAACAAGCCGGATATTGTTGCCAAGGAGGATTCGGAGTACCCAGACTGGCTCTGGGACCTCCTTGGGGACGCGAGCAAGCAGTCAAAGACCGACAAGGGTGGTGTTGACCCGAGCAGTATGTACTCCTACCCATTGATTGCGAAGGTTCTTTCAGCTAACATCTCTCTCCTCCATCACAGCTCTGAACAAGAAGCAACGAAAGCGCTACGAGAAGAAATTGGCTGCTCGCACCGGACCCCTTGCCCCTAAGATTCCCGCCCACCACCACTCTTACGATATCACACCCGCATCCTACAACCGCGATGCGCCCTCGGAAGATGCCTTCTCCGACGCCACCGCCGGTCTCGACAAGCGCCAAGAGGTTACCAAGAGCGCCCGAGAGGCGCGACGGAAGGCTATCAAGGAATCCAACTTCCTGCGTGGCCTGTAAAGAACAACTACTTAGGGTTGAAATATCCGTTGCACAGCGTTGCTTTCTTCTCACTTTTTTCAGATTGGTCGAGCTCTTTTGTGCGAGTCGCCATCTAGACCAGGACTGTGGATATCGGATCAAGCAGGCCCTGTAAAGGCATCCGACATGTATTACTATACTTCTTTGTTTTTTTCTCGAATGTGCTATATATACTGAAACGATCTTGATTTACATTATTTGTCGTACGGGGGAAATGGAAGGTCTTAAACCAAGGGTCAAGGCCACTACTATAAAGATGTATACATATTTTCAAGCCGCGGTCTTAGGACCAGTCCACTCCTTCTCTTCACCCTGGCCATCTATCCAAGGCTCACAAGCCTCCCAAAGGGCCTTGAATTCACCGTTACCGATAGCCATCAGACGGTCGAAAGCTTCCCGGTCAATGCGCTCGAAGAAGGCAAACTGACAGGCCAAGTATAGGTCTACATATCCCGGGGTCTCGCCCTCAAAGAACGGTCCCTTCTTGCCCTCCCGACCCTTAAGCATTTTAACCAGTGGACCTGCCTCAATCTCTACCTGCTTCCATAACTCATCGATGGTCCCTTGATCGGTCGGTCGCACCTCCGACAAAGGCTTTCCAAAGAACTTCGACCGGGTCTCGGTGAAATACTCCTTTCCTCGCGGATCCATATAGTCTGCCACTCTTGGAATGATCAGAGAGCGAACTGCCGGACCCATGCCGCTGGCGATCTTGCTCACGGCCACCAACAGCGCGTAGCTGGCGTCACCACTAGGGAAGAGCGGTCTTGAAGGGAACGCCTTGTCCAGGTGCATGACGATTGGCAGCGAGTCCATCATCGCACCGTGGGGGTTCGACGTCACTGACTTATGAATGATCACGGGCAAGGTATAAGGGATTCCAACCTCATTGGGGCCGAGACCGAGGCCCTTGGTGAGCGGGGCAATATCGGGATACGAGATCCAGCTTTGAGTGTAAGGGATGGCCTTGAAGTTCAAGACCGCGCGGACCTTGAGGGTATTGGGGGACCATGACTTCTGCGCTCCTGATAGATTTGGTTTCTGTTAGCGTGTTTACTCCAGAGAAGGCGGAGTGGGGGTAATAGCCGGCGTACCTGGAAGTGTGGAGATGATGTCAAGGAACTGAACGGGCTCCGAATCGGCCATTGTTGGAGATATCTGTCTTGCAGGGTGTATATTGACTGAGCTGATTGATGATAAAACAATTATCTTCGAACTTGTGTCTAGTCGAGGACGACAGCGGTTCTTATAACACGGTCGATCAAGTGGGGGCTAGTAGGTGGCCCGCTTGGATTTCTCAGCAAGTTGCGAAAGTCACCGAAGACGGCCAAATGTTCATGAATCGGACATTACGAGGCATTGTTAAGTCCTCTAGTCTCGAAATAACACTTTTATCATGGCCCGAGAGCTAAGCAAATACTGGTTTATCAGCAACTTGACACAGTTCAAACCAATTGGGTTGCTCTGTTCCCGCTGAAGCCTGAAGCCCGAGTTCCAGTGCTAGCTAGTGGATCTAGCGTGGTGGAAGGTTACCCAAAAGCGAGGAGGTTGGAAAAGGTTGGATTGGCTGCCAGCTATAAGTGCAAGCTATAAACGGCATGAAGAGCGAAAACTCTCCAGCTTAGCTAAAGCCAAGATCTCACCGATGGAGCCACGTCTGCCGCGAAAGTGGGGAGTCGATCATGACGGGACAACGCACGTGTCCACTCCCTTAATTTCTCGTCTTACACCTTGTGTTTACTTTTTGGAGTCCTCCTCTCTCTTGACTCACGCTGCCTATTCTCTCTAAACACCAAAAACCCTGGCTAACGAGGTCGCATTGCGTACATCAAGCCGCGAAGCGGGGCTCGCGCTATCCAATCGGCATAACCCGAGTCTCCGACATCCTTGCAACGGGGATATTGCAGCCTGTTAGGCGCCCCTTCCGGTTCCAAGTCGATCATTCTGATAGGCAGAGATTACGAGCTACGAGATGGAAAAAATTGACAGCCTTGTTGAGCGAGCACGGGACCTCACGCTGCGTCAGATCAAAGAGCATCATGTCGGCAAGCTGCACGAGACGGTAGATTCTCACATTCAGAAGATCTACCAAGCCATCTGTGCATCGGAGGCGTCGAAGAAGGACTATCTCAGCTTGGTTCAAAACGGGTCAGGTCCTAATGGACAACCGATTGCGGAAACTCTGGCCTCGCTGGATACCTTTCGAGCGTTCATGAAAGATGCCGCTTCTGGCGCCGAAACACCCATGAAAGATCTGGATGTGTCTGCTCCCATATCGGACTATTTCGTGTCTTCGAGCCATAACACATACTTGACGGGCAACCAGCTATATAGCGATGCCGCTGCCAGTGCATACACGTCTGTGAGTTGTACATCCTCAACCACCATTCCATGGTTGAAATTAAAGGCGCAGTGGCCCCTGGACACAGAATGCTCACATCGGGTATCATAGGTTCTTCTTCGCGGATGCCGCTCCGTTGAAATTGACGTCTGGGATGGAGAACCGAATGAGCCAGACTCCAGCGACAGTGAATCAAGCAGCGATAGCAGCAGCGACTTCGATAATGGAAAGGGCAAGTTGTCGGTAACCAAGATCAAAGAGAAGACCAAGTCCAGAACCGAAGCCCTACAGCAAAAGTCCAAAGGACTATCGAGGTCAGTTTCGACAAGATTGGGTGATGCTCTGCGCCGGAAAACGACCAAAAAGCCCGACTCATCTCCCCCAAGGCCACCGCAAATGATGCAAAGGCAACCGACGCTGAAATCGCTGGAGAGCCCAGAGTCCTCCACGGACATACGCTGACCAAGGGGACGTCGTTCCGAGAGATTTGCTACGCTATCCGTGACAGCGCCTTCGTCACTAGCGATCTACCGGTGATTGTCAGCTTTGAAGTGCATTGTTGCTTAGAGCAGCAGCAAATCATGGTCGATATCATGCGAGATGCCTGGAAAGGGCTTCTGGTTGAAGTTTCGCCTGACTTGGCAGCTGATAAGCTGCCAAAGTTGGCTGACCTGAAGAGGAAGATCCTGATCAAAACCAAATCTATGCCCTTGACCACCGCGGAAGCAGGCACTGAATCACCTGAAGCCACTACCCCAGAAGAGCCCGTCCAGGAACCTGTTCAGCAGCCTGTTCAGCAACCCGCGGCAGCCCAACAGCAAAAGCCGGCAAAACCAATCAAGGTTCTCGAAGCTCTTGCGAAGATGGCCATTTACACCCGAGCATATCACTTCAATCATTTCGACCAGCCAGGTAAGTAGTCAACTCAAGACAAGAGCACTGGAAGCGAATACTGACCCTCCCGGCAGAGGCCAAGGTCCCGGGACATATCTTCTCACTGTCTGAGAGAGCATGTCGGGATGCACACATCAACCATCGCGACAGACTTTTTGAGCACAACCGCTCATCTTTCATGCGCATTTATCCCTTTGCCTTCCGCGTGAACTCATCAAACCTCGACCCAGCTTTCTGCTGGCGACGAGGAGCTCAACTTGTAGCTCTTAACTGGCAAAACCTGGACAAAGGCATGATGCTCAACCATGGCATGTTTGCTGGCACGGCTGGTTGGGTACTGAAGCCGGACGGATATCGAAGCTCCAAACCTACTGCGGATCTCATTCACCGTCGTACCCTGAACTTAGTTTTGGAGGTCTTTGCTGCACAGGATCTATCACTGCCGCCTGGTGAACTCAAGGAGAAAGGATTCAAACCCTACGTGAACTGCCAATTACATGTTGAGGAACCGGATGGGCCGGTCGCTGCTGGTCGCGATGATGCTAGCTCTGACTCTGAGAAGAGCAGCTTCCGTCGCTGTACCAAGAGCTCGTCCGGTGTCAATCCCGATTTCAAGGGGCAGAAGCTAGTCTTCCCAACCGTGACAGGGGTGGTGGAGGAGCTAAGTTTCGTTCGGTTCGTACCCCCTTTGCTTTGCATGATCTCAAAACTACTACCCCTCCACACACCTGCTTTTCAACCTCACTTCTACTCGTCCTCCTGTCCTGAAATCCTTATTCACCCCCCTCACCCCGAGGTTCTGCCATACTCCCCCTTTTGCATTCGCATATCATTGCGCTATCTCTGCAAAATGCAAGTAGGGGTACCTGTATCACGCAGACCTCTCCCTACATCATTTTGCTTTTTCCCCGGCCCACCAAAAACTGCCATTTCTCAATAATATCCCAACGGTTTTGAGTCTGCAGAACCTATCTGCTCGGCATTTCCCTTCCAGGCCACAGCTGCATCGTTGCCCCGGAAATAGACGTGCAGCACCGTTCCCTTTCTCCACTACACTCCTTCAACTTGAAGAGATACGTTGCTCAAAATGCAGACTCCCATGCTAACTCACGTCACTCTGCATCTAGGTTCAAAATCAAGGACGATGAAATCGTCCGTGACTCGTTGGCTGCGTGGGCTTGCATTCGACTTGATCGATTGCGCGAAGGATATCGATTCGTGCACCTTTACGACTGTACCGGGGAAAAGAAAGGAGGTATCCTGTTGGTCCGTGTTACGAAGCAGGCTTTGTGATGAGCGGCGATAGTATGACAGATCATCTTTGTAAATTTCCGAATGCATCGTGCTCGCATCTGAGCTCGGGGTCTGATCGTATATTTTCTGCTGAGTTTAAGGCATCCATGCTGCGTGTTGCACAACATTGCTGGAAAGACTAATGGGCGTCACGGGGTCACTATCTTCAGACGTTGCATGCGCCTTCTGATGGGAATGTGGCAGTGCCAAGTATAGGCTTCAAATTTGGGACTGTTCTTTGTTAGCCAAGCATAGAAACGATGATCTAACGGCACGTCCGTACTTCGGAAGACAGTCTTTTGATAGTTCTTCTCGGCATCGGAGAAGTTCGCCTTCCCTCTGTGACCGGTCTATGTTCAATACAAACTGATACTCAGCGGGTCCTTAGCTATCATTTGAAAGTATATAGGAGTTTACAGATAGCCGATTGGTGTAGATCTAACCCAAGATGAAGCATGATTGGGTCGATAGACCTCTATCAGTGCAGGCTATTCCTCATCTGTTCCTTACGTGTTGTCGAGTATGCTGCTCATAACAGAGACATTTTATTATAGAACAGGTACGTGGCGATATGTCCAAGGTTCGACGGGTTGCCTAAATATGAGTGCCATTCAGTGGAATACATTAGAAATTTGACCGTTTTCTTCAAAGGGCAGCTTAAATGCTACTAGTATGAGGCTGCAGCGAATCGGCTTATACTACCACATTGAACATCCTTTAGACAAGATCATGTTGAGATACGTCATTCTGTTGGTTGTGCCGATGGTGGTCACAAGTTGGGTTAAAACACGCGAGTTAGATTCCCGTGGCCACCACGTTTCACACCAGCAAGTGCTAGATCGGAGAATCTGTACCCTGATGATGCAATTTGTTGAGTGTCAGACAACGTATGCACCTCCTTCTTACAGTTCCTTTGGCTTTTCCTGGTCATCTTCGTTCCGGTCCTTGAAGAAATATGTCCTACATGTTCAATGCACAATGATTCGATGAAGACTTGTCCTGTTATCTGATATCATGGCATGTGCACTATGGCGGCAGTATTCTGCAGGGAATTCTCTCGCATCAGAGTACGTACGATGGGACTTTGCTGGTCGCATCATTGATCGCCGATTCGGCAAACTGGGGTCATCGGGTTTGGGTATTCGACGCCTACGAAGCGAGACTCGCAGAGCGATTTCCTTACTGGATACGGAAATACAGTGCTCAAAGGGCATATAACACCATGATCAGAGAATGATCTCGCTGCACTCGAACGACTCGGGATATGACCTGATCCCGATGGAGTTCTCTACAGTGTCGTTGTGCATGAGGCTCATGTCTGTCTAAATGTCCATCGAGGTCTGAGGCAGATAAAATTGACGCTGAGACTTTGAAGTATGTGACATCAGACAAACTTCCCTCTTTCTGGACGTTATCCTGTTCGTCAATCGTTGAAGTAAGGAGGTTCCTTACCCGTATACACCTGGAGGTCACGCTATGCCACTGCCCCCCTGCGGAGGTCAATCGATCGCTGTACAACAGATGATGTGGTAGATATCCACACGATGCGTCGAGAAAATGGAGATGAGGCGAAGTAATATCCCAGGGTGCAGCCTTGTACGTATGCGGTTATTTGCATCGAGGCCTACCATTGAGGGTCCTGGCTGGCATGCGTCATGCGCAATCACCGTCGGTGTTAGCTTTTGCGCGCCGGAAGTTTCTGCCGGAATAGCACCCACGCAGTCAAAAAAGCATGTTCATCGAGGAAGGAAGATGTATGCAGCATTTTGAAATAGTCGAGTCGAGGACACCCCATAGCGGGATAAAGGAAGTAAGAACGTGGATAACCATGCGCTTGGTGTGACCTTGAATGAGCAATGCAGCCGTGTAGCATGCCTAGCTCTTGGACCAGAGGCAAACAAGAAAGTTATCCTGCATGACGCGCGCCATCAAGCCTCCACTGCGGTGCCATTCCCAATGTAGCGTGGACATGCAGTAGCTTTCAAAATCCGCTTCTTGCCCCAGCCCCCTGGCCGCGGGTGATAAGTGGGCCCCATTAGCCACATTTAGAGCTTGGTGGTTCAATCTGAGGGCTAGACAGATAGACTGGAGATGTGATCGAGTCCAACCCAGGTAGTCTGCGTTGCGACTGGCAACTTGTGAGCAGCTTGAGCCCCACCTGGGATAGTGCAAGGGCCAGTTGGGAGGGGAGATCAACATGCCAAGCAGCAATGCATCGGATGGGTCAACCTTGGTACATACTGTAGTGGGGAAAGCAGAGACAAGTGCATATCCCGTAAAGGTGATCAGTAAATGCTCCGATGACAGTAGCGTGATAAGGTTGGAGCGAGCGCAGAATGCAACACGACAGGACAGGAGGATACATCCACCAGGCGAAGGGATCTAAGTACCACTATCGCATCGCATACCTCTCAGGCTGGACCGATAACGATTCTCTCAGCCCGCGGTCAAGGCACCAGAACAAGCAACGCCGCAGCTCCATGGTCGCTCATCTGTAGTCTGTAGATCATAATCAAGTTTCCCTTTTGTCTGGGGAGAGGAGGGGTTCACGCAGAACAGCACTTGCTCTTGACAGCTAGAATTGGCATGCATAACCAGCGACTATTGGCCGATGGCGGGGCAATTAGCCAGTGGTGGGCGAACCAGGATACTCAAACCTGGCCGATAGACCAATGATCGGACTGCATCGAGTATTTGTGAGCTGTCGCAAGTGATTGGGCCCCTGTCAGACCCCCGCGGGCAAATCATCGACAGGCGCTAGGGCGCTCCTCCAGACTGGGCGCCCCGAGGTCGACCGAGCGTGACCCATTTGGCGATCTGCCCTGGGGTTGCAGGAACGATACATCAACTTTTGAGAGGGGCCCTAAACTCATTCGGATTCCATCCTGGTCGATTGCCGCACATTCTTGACTCGTTTTAGGATTTGGAATACCAACGAATCGACACCATACTGTCCGATGTCGCAAGGACCAAGCTCCTTTTGGCTTCGCCTACCGCGATGAGGAAGATCATGCCCCGCAGGATGGGAAAATCTATCACGTCAATGCTTGCAGGACAAACAATCAAAGAATGAACACCTTCAACCCGGACTGCTCGGGAGGAGCTGATTATACAGCGATGATTGGCTACTAGTAACCAGTGGCGTGGAACCAGGACCGATAGCCCTGTGTGCATCGGCCCTGAATCCCTGCGCAAGGTCAAGCCATCGGCCAGGAGAATGGGAGTCATCAAATGCTCTTGATTTTGATTGCTTTTGACTGGTCGATCGTTGAAAAAGGAGAAAGCTTTCCACATCGGAAGACACTGATGCTGCCCATCAACGGGAACTTCCGAATCCACATCGAAGCGATGTGCGCGAACCAGAGCTGAACTGATTTTTTTTGGTGGTTTTTTGGCCCAAACTAATAATTACCCGATAAGATTTTTTTTGGTTGCGATCGCGGGGCTTGAACCGGCTGTCTGTCCTCCCCTTTCTGTCGTCGTGCCTTTGTGCCTTATAAGGGCTCGTCTGTCCGGCTTGTCCAGGTAGAAAAGGTTGAATACACACCAGCCCCATCTCTGAAGCCAAAGTCGAGTTGCCTTGCCAAAAGTTTTAATCTCGACGTCCCTTTACCATCTCTCCTGGGACAGCTACCAACACAGAGCAACGCTATTGATCCGTTATCACTCACTCCACCTTCTCCCAAGATGACCGAGTCTTCTCAATGTGGCGCCTCGGCGTGCTCACCCTCCCCCATCGTTAACAAGGTGCGTTCCAGGAAAATAAGTCTTTGTAACACATATTGGTACTTTCGTGATCAATATTCTCTAACATATGCTCCTAGATGCCTGGCGTACGGTGTCCAAACTGCGCTGCTAGGGGCCAGGAGGTCTGGGTCATTCCTGGCAAAAGCTGCCACGTCTGTCATACTCCTTGCGCATGAACGAGCTATGCTTCTATTATAAGGGGCACGCGAAGACAGAGAGATCGCCCACGGCAAAGATTGCTTTCTTCGAGGAGTTTTGGTGGCGTTGACATGGCGTTTACACAGCATTTCATGTCTCTTTTTTTCGGGATTCTCGAACGAAGCGTCTTATTGACGAGGCAGATGGCGGGTTGGCTATATGTGCCACGGCCACCAAACATTAATCGGGATTTTGAATGAGCTGCCTGTAAGCTGACTTGCCTGTATAATGATCGGTGAATAGCTCTGGAATCGTGCTACTTTCAACTCATCATGAACTTTGGGATGTATTTGAACGACTGATGACTCGACTCTTGGGTGTTGCTTTTTATGTACCTTTCGATGACAGAATTCTTTTAATAAGACAATTCTATTCCTGTTTTAGCAAGGATCTCACAAAATAGAATTTAGATCGATCTAACACGGTGTCTGTCCATCATTCCTTCTAGAACCACCTGTTCGTACTTTTTTGTGTACTTTTGTCTTAATATATACTATGCCACGTGATGAGGGGTTGTCATGGTCTGGTGACATCACTCCTGCACCTGGAACGCCTTATGCATTACCAAGCCAGATCAACATAACAGTGGTCGAAATAGCTTGCTACAGCCTTTAAGAGCTTCCTAAGATGGCAGAGAAGTACCCTATCGGCTCTCGTGCCGAGAGCGAGCGTCTCGTAAGAAAGTGGGGTTTCCAACATGTGTATACCTGGTCAGACGGGAGGTTCGTCTAACAGTCCCCTTTCGTCGAAAAACGTACTGAGCGTTCTAGGAATGGATACTACTCGCCTCATAGTCATGGAGGTCTTACGACACATTTAATTCGTCAGGGTTCGTTTACAATTACTTATCCCGAAGACAACGCAAATCTGCACAACGGCGAGGTCAAGAAAGTGACATTCGGGCCTGGCGCGCGAATCGATGTCCCCGCAGGGAAAGTTCATGAAGTCTGGATTGGGGACGAAGGGTGCGAGTATGTTATTGGTGAATAGTTTTAACTCTCAAAGAGTGTCCATAATGTACATGGAAGCGAGCACTAGAGCCTTTCAGGGCTTGAATTACAAACATCTGAGTAGGGCCATCTATCGGTTTTGAAATGTTCATCTCTATTGTTTTGGCTCTATGATGAATATGTATCTAAGCTTGCAATAGTATCTTGGCCATTTCTAAACCACATCCAAATGCAGCTTGCCTTTTAATGTAAGAAGCGGAAATCAACTCTGTGGAAATAATGTCAGTAATGGGGACTTCGATCAGCGTCCAAACAGGAGGGTGGGTTACCTCTTATTTCCAAGGTGCTTATTCTCGACAACATAGCGCTCTCTTTCCTCGCTTGTCATGTTGTCCCAGATGGCAGCGTTTTTCCTATTTGGTGATAGTCAGAAACTGTTACAATGAACGACCATGCGGAGAGGTATAAACATACTTGTTGCGCCACACATAGTAGTACTTTGCAATGATGAACATCACCAAACTCCACGCAGCAAGGCCGATCAGCACCTTGTTGCCGGTACGGTAGTATGGCTTGTCTTTCTCACGGTAGATCTATTTAACACTCGATTAGCCCAAGCTCTCATAATTCTCACTGTCTGAATGGGCCAAAAACGCACGTTGTTTCCGACGATGTTGCTCACTTGCACCATCATGTTGTACAATGCTGTGGCAACGGTACGTGTTCTCACGGTACCGGCATTTCGAGACGTGATCGCCACAACGATTGCATGCACGTAAGGCATTCCGATCAATAGTGTCAGCAGAGTCCATCGGGTCCAAGCACTGGCATTATTGGGAAGCAGCTCCAGGGCAATGAGGAGAACCAAAGCCCAGATCTCGGTACCAACGCCAAGAAGCAGCCGCTGATTGAATCGCTCCGAGATCCAAGTCCACAGCAGCAGGTTGATAATGAAGATAACCGCCGCAGGGATAGTGAGCAGGTTGGTTTGGAAGGTACTGAAGCCCAGTGACTTGAGCTGCAGACTGATGTAGCTGGTTGCCGGAGTATTTGCGATCATCCAGGTTAGACCGAGGATATAAATGACCCACATGTCGTAGTCCTTCAGAGCATGCCAGAGCATGCGAGGCGTGACAGCCTGGCGATTGTGCATACCTCCTTTGCTGGGGTCATCTCGAAGAATGCGGTTGACCATGATCTTTTCCTCGTGTTCAGTGAACCAGCCCTCCTTGCCGCGGAACCTGCCAGCGGTCTGGGTTGGCGATGGGGGCATCCAGAATGCAGCGATAATACCGATGACACCGGTGATCAAACCTTCAAAGGCAAATAGATATCGCCAGCCTCCCGTGCCGTCTGCTTGGCGGATGTGCAGGAAGCCGAAAGCCAGGAAGGCGCTTACAATTGAAGTTCCTTGATAAGCGACCCAGAAGTAGCTGAGGCGAATTGGGAGCTCCTTAGACTTATACCAGAAGGAAAGGAAGAGGATCGTGTCGGGGATACTGTGTCATTATTAGTCTCTCTGAAGTTCTGAGGTTGGAATCAAATAGACGTACAATCCACCTTCGAGCAGACCAAGCAAAGCTCGAGTAACGAAATAGGTAGAGCGGTTCTTCACAAATGCCTGGCAAGCGGCAACCAAACTCCAGGAAACCATTTGAACTGGAATCCAACGGTCGGGTCCAAACCACTTGGAGAGTAGCTGCGAAGGGAGCTCCGCAAATAGGAATGTAAGCAGGAAAATAGTCTGACCAGTGTTGTAGTCGTTTGTGTTCATGCCCAGGTCACCCAGCATGTTATCAGACGTGGCTTGAACAACATTGCCACGGTCCAGCTGTAGGGCGAAAAATGTCACACAAGCAAATGTGCAAATACGCCAGTCAATCTAGGAATAACAAGGTCAGTTCCCTCATATCCTTCAGGAGGTGTTACCCATAGAGGCCAGTGCATCGCATACCTTCTTCACAACGGCCTTTTCTTCTTCCTCCGTCCATTCAAATTCCGGATCCCAGCGATGATAACCTTCATACTCTGGGATAGGTTTGTAGTACCTAGGGTCCTCGGTTGTGTCAAAGGCACAGTCAACAGGCTTGATGACTCCTTGGCGACCACCAAAAGACGAAGAAGAGTCCGAATCACTCGTCGAGGAGACTTGAGGCACAGCCTTCTTGTCATAATCCTCGGGGCCGGGCCCGGCCTTCTTGGTCTCCTCAATTGTCATCTTGAAGAAGACTTTGGATCAGGTATGAGATCTGCATTCACAGGCAGTCTCATCCACTGCGGATGCGGCGTTATAAAGGCGAACATTTTGACGAAGAAGCCATCACAGCCCTCTAGCACGCCATTCTGTGGCAGACTCAAATCGTCTTTATCTTCGCGATGACCCACTGAGGGGGACATGCCACGAGTCGGCTAGATCTGCTGCAGGATGTCGTAGCTCCCGGCGAGAACAGGAAGGTGTGCAACGGCTGGGTTCTATCGGAAGATTCAGCAACCACTGGTGCCTGTGGCGTTACATATCCACTGCACAAGCGAAGGCACAGAGTCAACCTAAGGGACATAAAATGATCGATCTGCTTCGGGCTGATGTCGCGACACGAGGCATACGGGGCGAATGCCGCGAAGTCCGGCTTTTACAAGGCAAAAGCGCGATCAGAAACGCAGAAGGACCACTCGGAAACAGTCGAGACTCAATGAGCCTACTGGGGGGTTGCCAGTGATCGTTGATCTTGGCCGAATCACGCAAGACGTGATAAAGTGACGTTAGGCTGGGCGAGTCGTGGGAGGACTAAAGAGGACCAACCCGCAATTCTCTTGTTTTAGCTCGGCCCCACTAAGCCTCCACCGTCTGAGCTGCGAGCAACTAATTCACGATCAACTCCAAATTCATGCGGAGGTTGAGTATGGCGAAGTGCTATAAATTGCGATTGGCAAATATGCTCCCTTCGATAGTAATTACTAGGGTTGACCCTGGTATTATGCTTATCTCCATTGTCTGGTCGAGAACTATAAGAATGCCTGGTCAGGTATATTTGAATCTATAGTTGAATGCGCCGTGCTAAATATCGTGAGCCGAAATCAAAGTCCAGTTTCTGTCTCTAGGTATTAAGTTATCCTGTCTTGAACATCCCAATCAAGTTGTTGAATGCGAATGCGCGAATGTCGCTCGCGTTGCGCAAAGGCAGTTGCGTATCACGCCATCCGAGGGGTAACAAACGTCCCAAACCAACAAATCAACACGTTCCCCCAAGTAGAACTGCGCGCCAGTTGGTGAAGACTTCCCAGCACCGGTCTTGTCCAAATACTACGCAATCCGATTATGCTTTTGTATTTCTTGTTCCGCATCCTAAGAAGCATTTTCGGTAGTCGTACATAATCAGATAAGCGACATCCGACTATCATCACGCCATTCACATCTCTCATAACGATGCTATACACCACACTGACACACTTCAACAGCCAATGTCAGCGTTTTCTTGCCGATAACCCGACAGCCGACATCCCCGGCGTGATGCTCTCAACGTATTTGGATTGCGACAGGGCCTTTTAGATGATCAAACGTCTATCGGACGAAAGAGCAACCCCGCACTCATGGCGCAATTCGTAGATCCCGGAATTACGGTGCCGGGACTATGTATATAGATATGATGCTTGTCGCATATTGTAGGGTATCTTGAAAGCAATACTAGAATAACCTACATTACCATTACTTGGTAGTACCGGTGTTCTAGTTAAAATCTGGCAAAAGGACAACGAGAATCAGCCTTGTTTAACTATTTATACAATGGCCCCGTCACTCTCAGAGACAGTCGCGCTCCGCGCTCCAACCTTCTCGGTACCCTTCAAGACTGATGCTGGGCACAACAAGGAGAATTTGATCGGATACAAGTACGAGAAAGAGGCCGAGCTGAAGGGCACAGACAAGTTGCCGCCAGCGTCATTTCCAAACTATCTGCCCGTCTGGGACAATGAGACTGCGAGGTAGTGTATACCCGCCCTCCTAGTGGATGATAGACAACGACTAACTTCTCCTCCATGACAGGTATCCTCCTCTCGAACACTTCGAGCACTATGATCATGGCAAGGACGCCGATGCCACATTCCCAGACCTACTGCCCAAGGGCCAAGCCGAGGTCGACGATATCACCCCGTTCATCGGCTCCGAGATCCACGGCGTGCAATTGAGCAAGCTTTCCAAGGCTGGCAAGGACCAGCTCGCTCTGTACGTCGCCCAGCGACGTGTTGTCGGTAAGTGACCACACAAATCTGACAGAAATTATACCAAAACCAATCGAACAAGGACTAACCACACGCCAATCCAGCCTTCCGTGACCAAGACTTCGCCTCCCTCCCTATCCAAGACGCCGTCGAATACGCCGGCTACTTCGGCCGTCACCACGTCCACCAAACCTCCGGTGCACCCAAGGGCTTCCCGGAGATCCACCTCGTCTTCCGCGGCGCCGACGACCGCACCGGCGCCAAGTTCCTCGAGCAACGCACTAACACTATCACCTGGCACTCCGACGTGACCTTTGAGAAGCAGCCCCCAGGCACAACCTTCCTGTACGTGCTGGACGGCCCTTCGACCGGCGGCGACACACTCTTCGCCGACATGGTTCAGGCGTATAAGCGACTGTCACCGGAGTTCAGGAAGAGACTGCATGGCCTGAAGGCGGTGCATTCGGGAGTTGAACAAGTCAATGCTAGTCTGAATGGAGGCGGTATTGCCCGTCGTGATCCTATTACCTCAGAGCATCCTATTGTTAGGACGCATCCCGTTACGGGCGAGAAGGCGCTTTATGTGAATCCGCAGTGTGAGTGAAGTCAATCTATGGATTTATGAGTGGAATAGACTAACGGGATGCTGCAGTTACTCGATACATTGTCGGGTATAAGAAGGAGGAATCTGATTACCTGCTGAAGTTCTTGTACGATCACATTGCTTTGTCGCAAGATCTTCAAGCTCGTATTCGTTGGAAGGCTGGCACAGTTGTTGTTTGGGATGTGAGTGCAATAACCACTTTCTTTGGATTTCATGATTGAGATAGCTGACTTGTCTAGAACCGTGTGGCCTGCCACTCCGCCGTCTTCGATTGGGAGGATGGTCAGAGACGACACATCGCCCGTCTCACACCACAGGCGGAGCCGCCCTTCGAGACGCCATTTGAAGGCTAGACGGGATTCTGTGAAAATATTGAATTTGTTTATGCCATATGACCGCCTTATATTCCCATATTTAGGATCCAGAATACTCAGATCCGATTCCCAGAATGCAAGAAAAGCGATTCCGTGATGAGAAGAGTCGACAAAGAAGATCGTAGTTTCATGTACGAAGTGTAATCGTATGAATGTGATGAGCAAACGACTCCCTGTCTTCAAGTTGCTTGAACTCGACTGAATCGACTGAGCAGTCCAACTTGCCATTCATTGAAATTTCTTGCCGTCAGAGGTAGCATCTGATTACTACCCTGAAGGGCTTCAGATAAAGCTTCGTACACCATCGAAGGCAATTCTAGCTCTTCCACAGACAAAGGCGAAGGATTCCCAATCTCAGGAGCAAGCAATTTGTCGATTTCAAGCGTTTTCTGGAAAAATACCTTCATGGCTTGTTGGGCGTTGACACTATGGCCCGAGCTAGAGTTAGAGTATCGAAGATCTGGGTTGAAGACCCAAAGCTAAAGACCGCGAATTAGTCACTAAGCGTGTCTAAAGGACAGACAACATCTCGTACCAGTAACCCGCTCTTTTGTCCACAGTGAACCACAAAACGCCGGGCACTTTCTCTTTCAATTAGCTCGAGCAGTTGTGCCGCGACGATCATTTGTGTGGGATGGCTCTGCCATTGTTCCTGGTCTAACCCAGAACTAGGGACGTTGGCGTTCAACGAAGCGTTCGCTTTGAGGAGTCGCCAGCCCCTTGCTGATGGGTCTTCCATGCCGATAATCGCTTTGCACTTTGTGCATTCCAAAGTTCTCTCCAGTGAGCCTTCAGCGGTAGAAGCTTGTGCCTCTTCCGTGTTACCCTGGAATGTACAACGTCAGCTTTTATGGTTCTGGATTGAAAAGAAGAAGGCAGATTGATGAATAGTAGGTCAATTTTCGGTGAAAATCCAAGTTCAAATTCCATTACAATAAGTAATAACAAGAAGGTAAGCGCAACGCGGGATGTACCTCTCCATAATCATGACAAGTCCACTGCTCTGGGAGAGGCTCGAAGAGCCAAACCTGTCATTGAAAACGAAGAGGGTGCGTGGAGAAGCTCATCAACCAGAGCAGCAGTTAGAACAACACACGACAGTCAGCAATCGAGGGCGAAATCCATCTGACGAGAGAGGATAACTGCCCTCTCCCACCCTGTGACATGAGCTGAACCACTTACCACCCTAGTCAATAAGCAAGCATGCACATTCATTGATCTAGGGCAATAGTATCGGAGGCCACAACATGGATACGAAATGGTCTCCTTCTGGTTGCCCCTGTCGGGAAAAATTGTAACAAGACCAGCTGTGGTCGAAAATAGACGGAATTCGAGTAAAGAGCGTTGGCTAAACAGCACCTGTAACATGCGAAAAGCTTACCTTTTTCAGTCCCACGCAATCTGCTTCCGAGAGCAAGAACGTGGCCACATCGATCAGGACAGTCCCTGAGATGGCTTCTACACGGCTGGAAGCTCCAAATCCCTTGATCTGGGCGTTTTGGTCTTCCAGCTTTAGAGCCGCCGCGGCTTCGGATTTGGGATCGTCTTCATGGGGATCAGGCTTGTGGCAGTGCCAAAAGTCCATCATTTCTGCCCAATTTCCACTCGGGAGGTCCTTCCAGAGCCATCCCGGTTGAAGAGACTGGTCACTCTTCCCGACTGCGTGATCGGGGCCTGGCTCTTTCAAGAAGGGCGTGCCGCATCCACGACATCGAATTCGTGTCAAAGATGACATATCTGCTGCGGTCCAGGGTACATAGTCATCGATTAGTTCATCCCGGGGTGCGAGTACCGGGTCACTAGGGTCAATATGCATTCTGACTGAGTAGTCATACCCGCCACTGGTGGGTTTTCCTGGGCTAGAGACAGCCGTGTTGATATTCAAGGTCCGCCTCGTCGCGTCCGTGACGCGAGCTGGTAGCTTAATAGTTTCTGCCACATGATCAAATGGCTTGGAAAGTGAGACGGTGACAAATTTGCATGATTCTGACAGCTGGATCTCCGGTCGGATCGCTTCTAAAGCAGGGATTTGGGGAAGCGAAACGTAGAGGGTGATTTGGCGGATGTTGGGGAGAAGCTCGGCATGCAGGTAAAGGGACACATCTGCATCTTGTGGCCCTGATGCTGTTGACATGTCCACTCCTGGTCAGCTCCAGAGCGTGGAGGATGCTCTTAATCCTCGGGATTTGGAAAGTGCCAGTGTTGATGAATGAGAGGTGATCGTTGAATGTGTCGGTTTGGATTTCAAACGCTGCAAACAAATCCCTGGTCACGTGCTCTACAGGCAGCCTACTGCCAAGACCCGTTCCTCATCGGCCGAGCAGCTCCCTGTCGCATCGCCTTGAGAATCCCTCAAGTGCCGGAATCAATCCCTTGTTTCTTGAACACGCGACTGCAAAAAAATACCCAATCGGACGTTCGTGACGGATCAGGATATTCCGTTTCATCCAAGAGCGTAACAGAACAAGATCGGCCTTTCGCGTCGGCTTTAGCTTTGATTACGGACCCGAGGCTCTTTCAGCTTCGAACTTCCAGAAGATTAGCTTCTACGTAACCCAATCCTGGCATATGACCGATTCGGTACCATGGGTACTTCGCAGATCCCAGCCCAACTTGCGCATGGGGTCAGAGCCGGGTTGATACATTAGCGTAAGTTTCGGATATCGGCCATATCCCGGACCCGGGAGAGTTCACTTCATAGCAAATGCGGGAGATGAGGTCGACGACACGGGCACTCATCTTATACATAGTCTCTCCCTTTGCGTAACCAACTACCCGGGAAGATTATCTGATCTCATAAGGCCCGACCTGATAAATACTCAAATCCGACCTGTGCCCATGCCCTCTACCATAATCTTAGCCAGCAGTCTATCTTCACCATACCACAAGTGCCGATCATAAAGGCTTTCTTGAGTTCAGATATACTGAAATATGGAACCATTACAACAGCAAAGTCCTTCATTCTTGGCGGTATTGGGCCCAACATCCTCCGTGGCGGCTATTGAGACTAAGTTAGTATGGAATAGGAAACAAGCCAGCAAAACAGCCCCGACCACCAGGGTATACACGATAGCTTCGACGGACTAGTTGAGGAAATTCAAACGTTAGGCGGAAGCCAGCCCGAATCTCAAGCACAAGCCGTAAGAGCGGTACAACAGTGTCGCTCTTTAGAAGCGATCATCTCCGAGCTTCTATGTGAGAAGCAGCGTCTAGAGGAAATGAACAGGCGGATGCAGATAGCGCTGTCCCGGGAGCGGAAGGATTATGACCAGCTACTTCAACGTTTTGTTGAGCAAGATGTCACACTATCTTGTTTTCAAAGAGCGTTTCCGGCCTTGCAAGAAGGGATGCGTGATCTTCTTGGTACTTGGGAGAATATTGGAACGCCAGGCGTTTATCATACTGTATAAGTAGCTTTGAATTTTGGGTTGTTCAAGGCTACTCTAATAATGGTTTTTTTTTTCATCTTAATAAATGTCATCATGCCAAAGCAGACTTTACACAGCTTCATGTGGGACAGATGCCCGAATAGCAGTATATACCAGTATTTGATCTGATGCCTAGATGAATGTATTTTGGTAGGTATGCTGACAACATTGCTCAAAGACGTCATGATTTAAAAGTAGTTGTAGGGCCGTACTCGCCCCGTCACTGTCGTTGTAGATGGAACCATGTTACAAAATATAAATTCTCTAAGGCCATGAAAGTCGCTACAGCATCGGCATATTGCAGTCATACTTGAACGTATGGAATCCGAGGTTTTGCCAAATTTGCTCACAAGGAACAAGATAACTACTGAAGCAGAGAGAGATTCAAAGTCTGACCTGTGCCATCCGAAATCGTGAGGTCACTCTGTCTAATGTAGGTAGTTGAGATGGTAGAATGTAACATTTCAGCGCTTGACATAAACTCCTTAGTCAGGACTTAACTCGCAATCAAATATGAAGGCGAGAATATGGGAACCTAAGAAGATCTTGGCAGTTCTTAACAGAATACTCTAGTATTAGCTTACTAACGGTAGTTATAAGCCAGTGGTCGTCCATGCGATGCAAGTTCTTAGCAAAGTATGTTCTATCTTCAATCTATCGCACCGCCGTGTATATTCTAGCCAGAAAGAATTTCCTCGCAGCTTCTATCCCCACATTAAGAATCTTCAGGGCCCGCCCTTACTCCACCTTACGATAGAAGTTCCCCAAGTGTTCCCTGATACTTTGCAACTCTTTCACCCGGGTCTCTTCATTTTCCTTGAGCAAGCGAAGGTGTTCGGTCTTAAGCTCTTTGAATTCATCCTCAAGCTTATGATGCCATGGGTATAAGACACAAACTTGGAAACAGAGGGCCGAACTGGCAATGACAAAGTTTGTCAGTGAGAATCCGCGCGTGATGATCATGATGCCTGGACAACTGTTAGCTAGGCAACCCTTTTGTGTATACGATAGGCTTTTGGGACAATACCTCTGGTTAAGTTTCACCTGATAGCTTATCTCTCTCGATTGTTGGATTTAGAGATTGTGTGTCCTTTTTCAAGCAATATTGGTTGTAACTCAAAGTTGATTGAGTTTGCGAAGTATGAGAGTGGGTCGGCCCTTGAGCGCAGTATGAGGTTTTAAGGAGTGTTCGCTCAACGAGCAGCTAAACATGAAAAAGAATATTCAACTACTGTAATATGTATAGCATATTTATGACTCGAAATGCGATATCTTCCAGTTTATCATTGAATCGGGCTCTGGTTCTCGGTGACATGCTCTGCTCGTTCCTGACCTCGGCGTCGGAAACCTCACGGAAAACCTGCCCCACAGCCATCTCTCGGATCCGACGGTGAGTCCTGATTCGCCATCACAAAGAATACGGCAATTTCTCGGCCTTCAACATCTACGTTGCGGAGTTCTGTCCAGTAAATGAGCTTCAAAGCGGGTCAAACAACGGCGAACTAGACCCCCACGCAGAAGGTTTGTCCAATCTGAGCGACCATTCGCATCTAAACATGGATTCGATTCTCCCAATAAGTGTTGTTAGACCCCACAATCATCGTTCTTGAAGTCCGGGTGAAGGCCCCCTTTCATCGATTTACCATTAAATACGAATCCCTCACGATGAAACTCGCGCCCCGGCATTCGCCGCCCTGAAGTTGCCCACCAAGCCGAAACCATCTCCCCCTTCGGCCGTATATACTGAGAGGATTCCCGGAGTTTTTCCTTCCATTATAAATGTTTTACCGTCAAGTTTTCAACACAGGCAGGCACTTCGTTTGTGTAAGCCCAAGAATCAAGATGCCGATCCGAATGTTCAATGACGCTGCTACCAACCCCGTCCCTTCTGAGACGGTGGATAATCAACGAAGCGTGAATTATGCGACGAGGACGATTGGTGCGAACTTCATACCGCGCCCGCAGCAATCAGAGAAACAGATTCTCTGGATAGGCTGCTCAGATAGCGACTGCAAAGAGACGACGATTCTGGACTTTCTTCCTGACGAGATGCTCGAGCATCGAAATCTCGGCAACATGATTATTGATGGTGATCTGTCCTGCGAGACCTCGGTGAAACATGCAGTCGTTGACCTGCGGGTCAAACACATCGTCGTATGTGGCCATTATGGTTGTGGTATTGTCAAAGCAACGTCGAGAAATGGCTTGCCAGGTCCGTGGTTGAGGTAAGTTTTGGTCTTTTTTGGGCCATAGATTCTGGGATTCAGCTAAAGGTTTTCAACAGGAAGCTTGATTCCCTCCACGCGAAACATCGGCACGATATCGACCGACTACCTATGATCGAACGGGACAGCGCCTTTGTCGAATTGAATATACTGGAACAATTGCGCTCTTTGCGCAATATCTCGGAAGTGGCTGATGCGACGAGGCGGGGACATTTGGATTTACATGGAATCGTTTACGATCCGACAATTGGGAGGGCGCTGTCAGTGAATGAAGCTACCGAGGAACCATAATTAGACTGGAGGGGGTTTGCTTTATTTCGCTTCATCGCATTTGTCTCGTTTCGATATACCGTTCAATATACCACTCTTTTTTGTTTCCTTGAATCCTTGAAGAGTTCTTATGCACCGCAAATCCCTGTATTGCATTCCACCCCGGCAACTGGCAGTGGGTTGATAAGGCTCTTCCACCAACGATCAAGCACCACCAGAAGTCTCCGAGTGACCAGAACCCGGAGACAAGTGGTAGATCTTCATCACATCCTCTAGCATATTCTCAAAATCAATGTGAAGATCCCTGAGAAGACCATCCCGTAGATCAAACACCCAACCATGAACGATCGGATACTTATTATCACGATAACTCTGTTGGACAGCAGCAGTTTTGATAACATTCCTGCAAGACTCAATGACATTGAGTTCGACCAGGCGGTTGTATCGCTTGGCTTCGTCTTCAATCTTATCCAATTCCTTCTCGTGCAGACGATACACGTCCCGGATGTTTCGGAGCCAGGGATTCAGCAAGCCCAGGTCGGTCGGTGTCAGGGCGGCTTTGACGCCCCCGCAATTGTAGTGGCCGCAAACGATGATATGCTTTACGTTTAGGTGTCGCACTGCATAATTGACTACCGACATCACATTGAGGTCGATGTTGGGCACGAGGTTGGCAATGTTGCGGTGAACGAAGACCTCGCCGGCCTCGAGGCCCATGATCTCGTTGGCGGGGACACGACTATCGCTGCAGCCGATATATCTGGTAGTTGTGAGCAATTGGACAAAGGGGTTGGTGTATGACGGTGACGCTAGGTTCGACCTACAGGTAATCCGGTGTCTGCCCCGCAGCGAGCTTCTCGAAGAAGGCCGGGTCTTCAACCTTTTTCGTGGATACCCATTTCTTGTTGTTCTCGAATATAGCTTCGATGGATTGGGGGATTTGCTGACTCATGTCGATCTCCGGCAATGGAATTGGGAGAATGAGGGTTGATTAGATCAAGAAGGGTGGGTGACTCGGCGAGGAAAGTTCTCGCTAGCAACTCGTGGGGCCCTCTGACGTACTTGAGTGGCCTGATTGTTTCAGCTGGTTGCGTATTGGTGAGCTCTCCACGAACTCGTTGGGAACGTTCGAATCGGATTACGGGGACTGTATTGTATTTTACGGCGGGGTCGCTCTGATATGACGGCATACTTCAAGGACAACTCATCATTACATGCCCATATAATACGGACTAGAGCACATCAATAATATGGAACAACTTGATAACTGAAAAATTGGTATATCTAATACCAGGCTTTGGATCGCAGACTTGACGTACAGCAGAGTTTCAAGTTCTCAAATCGTCTCGAAATACGCCCGTAATAATCGCCCATATTGTTCACGCGAACTAGAGACTTCATATTCCATCTGCAAGAATGTCCAGAAATGCTATACTTCTGTGTTTTATATTTATGGTCTAGCTTAAGAGGGCAGGTCGATGTGAGAAGTTCCCTAGAAAGGTGAACCTTGTCCGAATGTTATTGTAACATTTCTTCGCTACCATCATAGACGCAGAGCGATTCTTATATGCGAGCCAAATACATCACCTGCGATGCTTCGTTATCTAAAGAGTCTGCCTGGACTAACCTGACCTAAGCAACTGGGTTGCCCCTTCATCTATGCACATATGTCCACAAAATGCCTCAAATAGGCAAGTGCCGTATATCGGCGATATCTTCAAGGATCTGATACGACCCTACGAGAATACGAAGGCAAGCGATCACCGGCTGGAACCTATATATCTACAGCCAATAACTCAAGCTTCGATAGCCAACCCTCAAAAAGACGATCTCCAAGAACTAGATTTTGCCTTCACAAAATGACCCAATCATCCGCCTTCCTCTTTCCCATCCGCGAGGCCTCCAACGACCGCATCAAACTCATCCCCTTCAACCCAGACCACCACACCCACACATTCTTCAACCTCTCATCCGCCCACCCAGAACTATACACACACATGCCCATGGGGCCCTGGGACTCAGAAGAAGCCCTCAAAGCCGAGTTCTACTCAGAATCTCAAACATCACTCCTCTCATTCTCAAATCCCACCTCATTCGCCTTCGCCATAATCGACCGAACTCGCCCACCATCTATTGATGACCCCGAAGGCGAGCTCGCCGGTACTATCAGTCTAGTCCGGACATCAGATACACATCTCTGCACCGAAATCGGCTTTATTATCATTTTACCACCTTTCCAGCGTACGCACGTTGCAAAGAATGCCGTCGGGCTGGCTTTGCATTATAGTCTAGAGGCCTCTGAGAAAGGTGGTCTTGGTTTGCGCAGAGTTCATTGGCGAGCTAGTACGATGAATTTTGCGAGCGCGAGGCTTGCGGAGAAGATGGGGTTTGAAAGAGTTGGCGTTGTGCCTTGGCATATGAGGTTTGTGAAGGGGAGGATTAGGGCGAAGACTGGGAATGGGAAGGATTTACCTCCAGGGAGTGATCTGGATGACCTATGGAGGGATACTATTGATTACAGTCTTTCGTGGGAACGGTGGGAGAATTTCGCCAGGGAAGAGACTCGAAAACAGATAGCATTATGAGAGAGTTCACTATTTGCCTGAGGAGACATGACATCCAAAAGTCTCCATGATATAAATGTTGATAATGTTGCTTAGTTTTCATTGAATTCAACGCCAATAGATACAAAGATGCCCACTACCATTAGACAAAGCCACCCCACCCATTAAACTCATCCGCAAACTTCACAGCCGCCTTCAAGTAGAAGTTATCATGGTCAGCCCAGGTAGATGCACATTCCTGAAGCGCTCTAAGAGCCTTTGCATAATGCGAATCAGTCGAATTCTCTCCCTTGACAACTTTCTCCGCAATCCAGGTCCAATCCCTTCCCTTAAGATCGTAGTCACGAATCGTGTCCATATTTATCTCCGGGCGCATTTGGGCTATAAATGCTGTCAACGTAACAAGCCACCATTGACGAACGAGAGGGATTTGGAATTTGGCAGGAATCCAAGGAAGCATCACGCGCACTGCGTGGCTGGTGGTTAGTACGTGAACGAAGAAGAAATCGTAGGTCTCGCTTGAGTCTTTGTGTGTTGCAATAAACAGTGCGACGGCGAGCTCCTGGCTCTCGCGGAACTGCTCGACTGGATTTTCGATCTGCCATGCGTTCCAGTGGTCAAGGAGAAGAGCTTCATAGTTGTCGAAGAGCTTCTCGATGTTGTGGTCCCCTGGAGTAGCGAAGAGACCATCGAGCTTCTTGTCTGATCGGACTCTTTGGATGATCTCGAATAGTGATGTTGAGTGGTAGGATGCCTCGGCTTGTGATAGTACAGGGTTGTCCAGATAATTGTGTATCTTGTTGTAGCCGACCACCGCCATTCCCAGAGCTTCCATTGCAACCTCACGACTAGACATTTCATAGGCATAGGCAAGATGGATCAATGGATGACCAACTGGTTATTAAGGTTAGTAGTGCAAGGCATTTTACAAGAACGAGAGGATCAACATACGGTCAGCCATGATAGAATGGAAAACCGGCTCTTCGCCCGAGAAAAGATACTCTGCTACGACTTGTTTCCAGTCGTAGCCAAACCGAACTAATTCATCTTCAAAGAAGTCCACAAATGCCTTTTGATATCTATTCGTTATAGTTTAGCAAGCGCATGATCAGGCAAGCCTGGTGGAAACATACTCTCGTCGTCCCAAGTGATCTCTCCAATCCTCATCTGTTACTTCAGCAGGTGAATCATCCCATTCCTCGAGCAATTTAGACTCTGATTCGTAAAGCCGAGTGAGATCATCAGCGTCCGCACCGTGCAGATACGCGGCACTGAGAAGCTAGAGAGTAAGTCAGTCAGCACGCCCAGCCAATCAAAAAACATAGGGAAAGATCAATTAAATCTTACATGAGGGGCATGATTATGGAATTTTCGGTTGTTACATAGAATGGCATGATTGGCATGGTTGAGCTTGAGCAGGTGCTTCAACGCCCTTGCATTCTTTTCCTGGGCATTTTCAAGGTCATGGGCCTTGACGGGTGGCAAATCAATAGCCTGCTTCTCACCCCATGAGAAGAGTTTAAAAGATTTGAAGGACGGAACTTGGAACATCGTTGCGTTGGATCAATGGTGTTGCTGTGCTGCGTTGTTCGATGGTGGGGAAGTCCAATTTGATCCAAGGTGTAACTCCCCGCGTTGTGGTACACGCTTATTGAGCCTCGCCAGAAGGCAAATGTCGCGACCCCTAGAAGATTGGGGCTTGAGTCAATGGGAATCCGTGTGAGCTTGTGTCAAAATCAGCCCATTGCAAGTTCAACGGAGTCTCAGATCTGCTGTGGATTGTTGGGAAAGTGAAGCCTCAGGCATATTTTCCTTGACGTAATACAATATTGGAGGACTAAGGTATCACGTGCCATTCTCGGAGTATACACGTCTTGGCAATTTTTCAAAGGGCAATCTCAGTGCTAGATAACAGCTAACAGGTGAATATTTCATTCGCTAAAATTATTGCTACAGAAAGTACCCGAGGTATCTAAGCCTTCTGTTCAATCATGGGAATCGGCGGCTGATCCGCATGTTCACCAGCCTGACCAGAAAGCACTTCCACCTCGATTCGGGGCCCCACGTAGTTCTTGCGACCATCGACGATCCATGTAATGGTGGAAATGACGAAGACGATACCAAAGGCAGCGACACAGTAGTCTGGATCTCGATTAGTAGGGAACTGTGAGAATTATAAATTGGATGGTGCACTTACTCATGTTGCTGCCAGTAGCAGGAAGGTCGGGGGGGAAGAGGAAAAGGATGGTCGTCAAGGAGACATACGCGAGAGAGATCTAGAAGTCGTTAGTGAATCAGATAAAACAGTAGGAATGATTTTCTCTTACAATGTTCAGGATCCAGCCAAACCAGTTGGGGAGGACAAAGGCCCGCTCGGGGAGAGTGTTGCGTCCACGCAGGCAGTTGATGGCAATGGGAATACCATAGGCAAGGTCCAGCAAGACAACTGACGAAGACACAATGGCATTGAAAGCACTATTTGGTATTAGCTTTAATCCATGATGAAGGGGATATCCGAATCTTACCTGCTGGAGCCTAAGAAAATGAGGCCGAAAACAATGACGAGAACCAGGTTGAGGATGAGCGAGTTCAGAGGCACCTTCAACTTGGGGTGGACCTGGGAGAAGAAGCGCGAGAATGGTAGACCACCATCGCGGGCAAAAGCGTAGCACATACGACTACTAGTCGTCATGATGGCTGTTGTCGCAAACAGCATGCAAACGAGAGGGAAGCTTAGATTGGTCAGCATCAAAACTTGAGCGAATTTGGGGCCTGGTTACTTACATCAACAGGCAGATCGCGCCAGCATTGTTCTGGGTGGCGTTCTTCAGAATGGCCAGGAGAGGACCGGCCGAAGACTCGATGATATCGTTGATGTTACCAGCGACGAATAGCAGAACGACGAGGAAGATGGTTCCAGTGACGGTACCGATACCGACACAGGCAATCATGATCTTGGGGCCCTCCACTGATGGGTTGGGGATTTCCTCGATCATATGGGCAACGCCATCCTAGATCTTTGTTAGTTATGTCGTCAAGTCGCATGGCGCTAGAGAAATACTTACGAATCCAGTCACACCAAGACCACCTTGCAGAAGCTGTCGGTGGGTTAGCATGGTAAACACTAGTTGACTGGAAGAAACTTACTCCAAGCAGCCAGGCAATACCATCGGGCCAGCCAGTTTCATTAATGAACCCGCGGAAGACGAAGCTATTCTTGTTAGCCAACATACCCAGTAAACCTCTTTTTTGGTTAAGACCTACTCTCCGGAGTTGTAGTTCGGCGCGGCACATGCGAGAACCGTAATGCAAATAACGGCGAATCCAGTAAGCGACCAGATGACTGACGAACAATTAGTCGAGGGCTAGACGTATACCCTTGAAAGCCGAACTCACAGGCAGCCTTGTTGAAGTGAGGGAGTATTCTGTTCATGAGACTGTTGATCGCAAATCCGGCAATGTTGTAGGCAACGTAGATCAAGAACTGGTGCCAGCGCTGGGCCTCGTACTCCTGAAAGTAGACAGTAATTAGAGACTAGTCCATCGAATACGCACGCATAGTACCTACCGGGTTCATCAGGGAGATAACGCCCAGGACCAGCTGGGAGCCAAGCAATCCGCCGGTAGCTACCAAGGCGACCCAGCCAGAGCAGTTGACCCAGCCCGTGATCCAAGATAGAATTGGCATCCATCGCTCCCAAGAAACTGCAATCCGGTTAGTTCGGGCTCATTCCAGGGTCAATTCTCCAAGATGAATACTTACTGACTGTGAAAAAAAACCCAGTGTGAGTAAAATGCATCAGCTTGTCATATAAATTGGTTGTTTCCACTTACCAGCAACCCAATGGTATTGACCTCCAGCACTGTCACAGGGGTTAATTATGCTGATAAAATCTAAGCCTGCATGAAATATTTGAAAACTCACGTAGGATAGGCGGAAAGGAACTCGGCAAGAGAGGCAGCCATGCACAGATTGCAAATACCGGCAGTCACCAGACCTATGCGAGACAAGGTCAATATTTTGCTGAAATTTCCCCAGATTCAGGAGTACCTTACCCCAAACAACACTCACGCTACCTCCAGAGGGCAAACTGAGGGACAGACTGGCTGACAGCGCAGTCCATGACTGTGGAATAACGTTGTTAGTTGTCAATTCTTCATTCTCGTAGATCAATATCAGCCCAATACGTACGTTGAGAATGGCAAAAGCGAGACCAAGCATCGACCTAAAAAAATAAATCAAATTGATCAGCCCTGCTCTGAGGATCCAACGCATCCAAAACCGATACACATACAGCAAAGAGAAGTGCCGCTTCAGCTCCGCCTTGTGGCCCATCTGGGCCAACTGGGCATCATCATCGAGGTGTTTTTCGTCCATAATGACAGAGGTTTGCTCTGCAGAGATGTGTGCAGTGCAAGATGAGAAAGAAAAGGGACGATCTGAGACCTTTACAAAAAAAGAGAGGGACAGACATGGAAACAAATAAGCCGAGTTCGGTATGACCACCAGCCAATTCGAATCTTACCTTCCGCCCGAGTCTCTTTCCATCTCCACGACCCCCCGAACAAGTTACAACGCGGGGAGTTTAGCAATCAGGCGGCTGTTAGGTAATGGATTTGGGGTAAATGGATCATAGCATATTCAAAGAGATCCAGCCAAGTGCAGGAAAGTGTCCCGGAGGCCCCGTGGAGGCGATAACATGCCGGGGTCATGATTGGCCTTCGACACCGAATCGGCGGGTTTGGCCACTCACCGGCAGAGTCTGTCCATCGTTGTCGATCAGGGAGCGCGGTCCGACGAAACACGGAATCATTGCAAGCATCGCAAGCCCCAGAGCTTAACCTGACCGCCGAACCTTATTGGGTCTTGACTCTCGAAGGCTTACCCACCGGGCGCGGGGGAAGTCGCCATGTTCGGGGTACATCGACCGATTTTTTTCGCGCAACATGGGGAAAATGCTGGGATTTTCTGGAGAAGAGACTACGACTGGAGAGACGAGGTCATGATGCTCGCATTGATGATAATGGTTTCAACACTTCTCGCCACGTATTCACTGACTGGCTCGAATAGGAGGTTGCTCCTATCTACCTACAGATACGACTGGGTCACAGTGGAGCCGTGGGCCACGCCCAGAAAGGAATTGCTATCTCTCACTCAAATCTGACCAAATCTGCCTATGTAACAGATAATGGCACTTTCTCACCGGTGTACAAAGCAGCCTACTCAAGGGGTCAGCCTACCAAGGGGTGTACCGTCCTGCAGGTCCGGAATCTACCCGATATTTGCCCTCAGTGATGCGCCTCTCGGGCATCAAAAACCGTGCGATTCTCGGGAGCTAGACCCGTTTCTGTCCAAGACTGGTTGGCTAGGCTCTTGGTAACCGTGGACGAGCTTGTGGTAGACGTGCAAGGCCCCGGTGGTCAGTTTCTTCTAGAAGGGTTGCCTGGGCCTCCGATATCTTGGGACAAGCCACACGCCACAAGCCCCAAGCCCCCAACGCTGGTCGCAATAATTAAAGTTGGGCATGGCCAAGCTATGCCACGACCTTCCTGCCATGGTAAGGTGGAGCTTACAAAGTCCAAGCTTATATACTAGCAAGAGGGTTGAATATCGGAATCATTCTGATTGGTCTATGTCCCAGAATACTTGTGAATTTGTGCTGCTTAACGTGCTGCTGCGCGACAGATCAAGATCTACTGAGTTAAAAACCAAAGGAATCTTTCTTTGAGGTAGATTCTTATCTTTAGTGGGTAATGCTATGTGGTCTGATTTCGAAGGTGCGCGCTATGAGGGTAAAAGTAGCGAGCCGGAAGAATTTTTCAAAGCCAAAAGCTCGGAGCAACCCAAATATAGTACTCCATAGAAAACAAACGACCGCCATAAAGAAAGTGATGGTTCCATTCATCCGGCTTTCCTCCGATACCAAGCCCGAAAACACCAGCGAATTCGGCCCGCACACTTCGTCACTACGCAACGGTCGCGGCTAATAATCCCCAAAAAGATAACAGAGATACTATATCTGAAAATTGACTATGCTGCGATCGACATGTACAAAAACAATCTCCATCCGTGATACTGCTAACGTAGTCTCATCGTTATTGACCCGAACCTTCCGAGCTCAAGGCCCGAATACTTGGGCTCTAACCCACACCCCGGAAAAGTCGACCCGCCCCCATGGAGTATCGGTTAGTGATGGTTGGGGTCGGCGATGTCTAGCCAATTGATGCCCCTTTCCATCGCCGAGCTCCATCTTTAGAGTCGTCACTAGTTGATGCCTCTGCAGCACGATAATTGCGTGGCTTCATTCGGGCATCTGGGGAAATATGTCTCGCTTGGCGATGTTGCTATGCGGGGAGGGGAATATACTTGGCATTACATGATCCCCGATGTTTTCATTTGTGTTTGAATGGTAAAAGGTTGCTCATGTTTGGAGGAGGTTCTGGTTTGATATCTGGGTATAAAATGGGGGTGGTTCCCGGTGTATGTTTCACTAATAATACAGACAAGAAAGGAAATAATAAGCCTTGATCATTTGTATGAGATCAAGGGCTTAGAAAAGAGCGAGAAGAGCTGCGAACACTGCAGTGGTGATGCCCACGGAGCTGCTGGCGAGCACGTTACCGGCATTGCTGCCAGTCTTGGTAGCCGCTGCAGCACCCGAGCTCGTAGTGGTGCCATTTCCACCACTGCTCGTGACCGTGCTGTTCGAAGCAGTAGACTGCGTGGCAGGGGCGTGGGAGTTGAATGCAACCAGGTTAGACGTGAAGAGGCAGAGGGCAGCCACCTGATTCTCGATGTCGCCGTTATTCTCAAATGTTTCCTCGTACCAGCGAGCACCGCAAAGAGTCTTCGAGGTGCCTCCGGTGCAGGTTTTTGCCGCAGCGGTCGCGGAGCCTTGCAGCAGTGGGAGGATCTTTGACGAGGTGTAAGGGGCAACTACGGTAATCTGGGCAAGACCCTGAATAAAGGTGCCCTTCAGGATCTCCATGCTCCTATCGCACACCTTGGTGGGCTCGCAGGCGGTCTCGACCATGATCGTGCCGTCGTCGCCGTTGTAGCCGTGGGTTGGGAAGAACTTGGATGTTGAGTTCAGGAGACCGTCGAGTCCGGACTTCCACTTGGTGTTTCCATCTGTCTGCTTAATTGTTAGCTGGCGGTCTGGCACTATTGCTACCCGACTTTGGTAGTTAGCTTCTTCGAGAATCTTAGTTTCCTGACTTACCAGGTTGTACATGTATGCGGCGCCGGTCACGTAGACACCGTAATTGTAGGACCACTGAAGGCTGCCTTTGGTGGCGCAGTCGTTCTCACAAGAGGTTGAATCATAGATGGTCCAGGTGGCATTGTTCAACAGCGGGCTGGTGGCACTCCAATCCCAAATCTTCTCCGCCCAGTCGGAATAGGTCTGATTGTTGGTGAAGTGAGCCAGACGAGCGGCGAGTTCAAACAGGCCGCCATTGGTAATAGCGTTCTTTGTAGTGTAGCCAGCCTCGTAGGCCCAGATCTGCCAGCGCATGCCACCGTCGCAGTTATCCTCATCCCAACGACCAATTTGCTCGTTGAACACATTCTCCGCAAGGGTGATCCAGGACGGCATCGTCGATCGCTGAGGGTAATTCAACTCGGCCGCGGTCATGGCAGCAAGAGCCCACATCGCTTGGTCATCGTTTCCAAGATACTGGCTGTAATTCGAGGGGAAGAAGTCGTTGTCTCCGCGTTGCCAATACATTCCATCGCTCACGGCATCGTTGTTGGAAGAGTCACCAGTATAGTACCAGTACCTGATCAAGGCGTCGAACATAACGCCACCCTCGAACCAGCCGCCATCCAGTTTGCCGGGGATATTCGTCGCGCTTCGGTCGTCGTACAACGAGATGGTGTTTTTCGCAGCCACGCTAGCGGCATTTTTGACGGATGCTTTCTGACGTCAGCTTTGATTTTGGTGGTAAATATGGGATAAATCCAGGAGGCTACTCACTCTCATCGTTGACATTCAAGTCGATTGCAGACGCACTGCCAGTTAGCAGGGCGACTGCAATAGTCGCCTTCCAGTTAACCCCGCGCATGTTGGAGACCCAAGGCAATGTTTACGAGCCTCAAGGACCGATAGGGGAGAGCCATGTTTTTATGTGCCGGGCCATAAGCCCATAGCGCATCCTAGTGCTAAATTTAATGGGTCGGAGGCTTTTCCGGTCTGAAGGAGGGGGAAATTGCACTGTGCCAACGCAATGTCGCGCTCCGTACGGTCGGAAACCCTGAAATCGCGACTGAGGCTCTGCTAGTCAGTTTTTTCCTCCGTGGACAAAGCGAAAGCGCGTTCCTGACTGGCTGCAACATGAGGCTTCAGTTCGGTTATCCCCATTTAGTGCTCGCGATAGGTCCACTTAGGGTCAGGAACTGCCGCTTATTGGATAAATCATGGCCCCTGTCCGGTAATGAAGACGCTAGTGTCATAGCCTCGCAGTCGTTCCTGAAAGAGGCGTTGAAGGCCGGGGTTTCATGAACTGGAAGACCCTCTGCATCGAGTATGGCAGCATCGTGAGTGTTTCTTGATGGGTTTCAGTGCCAACTTCGGATTTTTGACCCCTGGCAGCGCGAACCATGTAATGAGTCAGTTCCATGTAGCGAGGTCGAGGGCCAGCAAGTAGCCATTCACTTGAATACAGATTCATAATAATCTGTCTCTTTTGACTCTTGTCCACTGTCGAGGGATACGGAGATGAGAAGAAAGAGAATAGCTGAGATGGAGAGGACGGAAGAGAATGGGAACACGTGTGGGATGCTTGAGGCGATTTCATCAACACGTTGACGGCCATGATTGAGATCGACGTTTACAGTAATAGCAGTATTTAAGTTCCATAATTATCACCACAGCTGAGAACCAAGTCCAAATCGGGAATGTGTACTGCTCTAATTATTGACCATCGGCACAACTCTATCTTCGGGGCTGAACATCAGCGTGGGGGCCAAATCGAACAAAACACTACAACATCTATCCAGACACATAGATAAAGGGAGAATTAGAATCAAATTTCAATTAGCAAATATCTACAATTCGTCAATTCCTCCATTGCCGCCATATTATCTTCTTGAATGGATTAGAAAAGTCCGATTCATTTAGAAACTGCGGCAATGGTCTCCACCTCACCACACGCCACGTTTTTGGCCCGTCAGACTAATTAAGGCGATGCTGTTCTATTGGGGGCAGATCATCAACAGCAGCCCATTTCCTAACCCTCCTTTAAAGGGATGAAGTTCCAAATTTCTTAATTAGATACTCTCGAAATCCAGCCGGCAGACCGATATACGGTCATTCACATATCGCCGACTATGGGACTAACAGCTCTTCAATCACGGTCCGCACGATGGATCGTATCGCTTATAGGTCTGGCCACATTTGCCTTCACATGTCTCAGGTTTTATTACCAGCGAGGACAGGAGGGTCAGTCAGTATGGAATGATGCTGAGGTCGTTGCTGAGCACAGGATACAAGAGCAGGAGGCCTTGAAGGAGCAACAGTTCCAGGAAAGCATTCAAGATATCATGAATGCTACACTAGGGGTACTAACCGCGAAAACTTATGGTCACTGTTCCTTTTGCTAACAAGCCTCTAGTTCAACAAAGTTTTGGCTATCAACATGCCGAGTCGGACAGACAAGCGCGACCAATTAGTTCTGGGATCGTCACTCACCGGCTTTGTGATTGATTTTATCGATGGAGTAGATGCTGAAGGCATCAATCCCAAGACATATCCATATGTTCGTTACCGATGGATCCTGTGGCTCAATTCGATTGCTAACACCTTCCTAGAATTGGAACCAGGAGCATTCTGCCACTGAGTATGCCTGTCTTCGGGCGCATCTCAATGCAGCTCAACGGTATGCATCTGATTCGAGATAATATCTTGGTCTTAACTAACAATATCCTAGAATCGTCCAGCAAGGACTACGTACAGCTCTCGTACTCGAGGACGACGTCGACTGGGACATAACCATCAAACCTCAACTACAAACCTTCGCACACGCCGTTCGAACCCTCCAAGACACAGTTCACACTCCTACCGAATCTCCATACGGTGACGAGTGGGATATCCTTTGGCTAGGACATTGCGGTGCCTCATGCAAGACCGAACAACCATTCTACATGATCCCAAACGACCCAACACTTCTTAAACCAACCCATCTCCCAACCTATTACCGTCAACCGCCAGAGAATGTGAGACCAGACACAACACGACTTGTATGCACCCTACAAGATGCTGCCTGCACACCTGCATACGCCATGAGCTACCGTGGCGCCCAGCGAGTTCTCGCCGCACTATCCGTGAACCCGTCCGGCTTTGCCGATAAGCTCAAGACCGGCGACCAGATTGACATCGAGCTTGGCCGCATGTGCGAGAGTGGCTTGCTTAAATGTTTTGCGCCGTTCCCGGCTTTGGCAGGAACATATCGATCTGCTGGGTTGTCCTCGAAGGGCACTGATCAAAGTGGACACGACGGTGCGGCTCATATGGAGCCTGCTACTAGCTGGGGTGTGGTGTATAGCACTATGCTTAATATCAAGCACATTCTGCAGGGCGAGCGGGTTGTCCATTCTACGTGGCCGGATGTTGATAGCCCTGTTATCAACCCGGAGGATATCCATTTCGAAAGAGGGTATTTGTATACCTTCCGACCGGAACACATGGATCTAATTCCAACGCCCGAAGAGGAAGCCGTTGATGAATCTGTCTTCGAAGATGAACCGAGTTTCACGGATGAGCCATATTCGACCAGTCGGCCGCATGCAACGAGGGAGCCGCATCCTGAAAGAGGACCGGAAATTCGAGATCCAGAATAAACTAATTGCGGTGCATGAAGTTTGAATATACCCATTTGTACGATATCTTATATTAGAATACCATCAGGTTATACACATTCGACCTTGTTCGAGACCAATGGTACCTTAAAAGACCCTGAGTGGGCCACCAGACCATAAGTAATTTGGCCCCCACTCGAGGCGCAAAGGTTGCGCTCCGTGGCTGAGTTTTTCAGATCGCCGAAACTCCGATGTTCTCTCTTCCTGCGAGAAGCACAGATTTGAACAATTTTTATGAATAGCCCACCCGAGCCTACTCTTTTCACTAACTTTGGTTCTAAAATTCTGAATGGTCATGTTTTGCGGCTATTGACTAGCGTATTTCGGAGTAGCCGGCATTGGCCCTGAGATCCACCAAGTTTGTCCGGCGTGGCTCGCGCTAAGGATAAAAGCCTCTTGGCCCGATGAAAAGTTTTAGCGAGACTCCTCTCGATTTACGGCTCATGATCTCTTGCCGAAAACTTTGCATCTGATCGCAGTACTACAGGTTGAGCGGTCTTGAGTATTTGTTACAGCGATGATAGGGGCGTGAAAAATGACTATGCGACTGTTCATCGACGAAAAAAGTCAGGGATCTTAGCGACCCCCGAACATACGGAGATAATTTCCAGTCCAGGAATACTCAGGACCAGGGCATAGCCAAGCAATCATGACTGTTGGCTCGTAGCGGGGCTCAAATACTACATTTGGATCAATTCTTCGCGGTTCACCCCGTTCTAGGGAAAGTTTTGGCTGAGGTCCTGGCTTACAGCCAATCAAAGCAGCCCAGCGAGATGAGTGGCTTGGTTCGCGTGGAAGCTTCACTTGTTAGCGCTTCTTTTGCAAAGACGATAATAGGGGTCTGAGGGTCTTACGCGAGGGTTCAAGAGAAAACATGCGGCTGAACGGACGAGATCTTCCCTTGTGATTTATTAGGTAGCGGCCACTTTCTTTGTTGTCAAAAACTCCAACCAGTCTACTATTTACACGAAGTACCTCCCTATACATAATTATACATCTCCTACCTCGCCAGCGCAACATCCACATCATGCGCCCCTCAGTATTCCTGGCTTCGGCACTTGCTGCCCTCGTCGCCGCCGACAGCAGCAGCACCACCGTGGGCATCGTATACCCAGACTGGACAATCCTCATCCCCCGCTACGAAAGCACCGCCGCCAGCGTCGCCGGGATCAACGCGCTCGCCACAACATACCAAATCAAGTGCATGGACGGCGCAGACAAACTCGACTGCGACATCAAGACTCCCTGGACCATCATTCAGGGACCCGCTACTGCCAGTTTCACGGGTGTCTACACTGCCGATGCTAGTGGGAAGGATGGTATTACCGTGACTCGGGAGTGGAAATGCGATTTGAAGTCTTATACCGAGTCTGCTTCTTGCACTGTGAGCTATTCGGCTAGCGGGACCGTTGACGGCACTGAGTATTCTACTTCGACGACGACTTCGAATAAGAATATGCCTACCGATCAGTTGACGACGGCTGGCATCCTTGTTACTGGCGGTATTGCGTCTTTCACTGCTTCCCAGGCGACACAGACTCCGTCTGGTGCTGCGGCTGGTCCGTTTAAGGCGATGGTTACCGCTGCGCCGCTTGGAGCTGCCGCTGCTATTGCCATTGCTGGTATGCTCTAAGTGCACAGGGACATTTTGGGGTTGGAAAATTGGGTTTGTATATAATGTTTGATAATGATTGGTCATATTTGGAGTCGGAATTGGATTTTGATTCACATTTACAACAACTTGAGCTTCGTGAGCCAATGAAATAATATAATTTAAGAACGTCTTGAGAAATCTCATTTTATCTCCAAATTTAGTGAACTAAGGCAGGCCGATCCTTCGATGGCATAAGTCTCATGGATCATGTCCTATTCCTGGTCCTGGGCTGGAGGTGAATTTCAGAGACTTAACCAAGTGGAAGGACTTTGTTTGAAAGTATGAGATTATCAAAGCACCCTAATGTAATGTTCTCGTACTTTTTCTTATCATTCCCCGCTAGGTCCTTGGAGACAAAGCCAGCACGGTAACCATTAAACTCACGTCATACCCCAAGGGGGATCAGCATCTGTAGCCCGATTCGCCCGGTTATTCCAAACTAAACTCCATCGAAATGCCGATCTCCCACGCAGAACCATACTCCAGCCACTAGGTAGCTGTCATGTCCATTTTACCCTTTTATGCCGTCTTCTCCATTCGTTAGACCTTTTAGCACAGCTGTAGTATATTGCTATCGCTAATATTTCCTTGGCCGTGCAAATACGGGTTGTCTCTTTTCGGGCGGAATATGATTCAAGTAAATCAACTGGTCTTGGCTTAATGTTCATACTTCGTGTCATGGATAATTCAATTTCAAATCTTCCGTCGGGATAGCCCCGCCGTTGAATTCTTGCCGCGCCCGATCGACGAGTTCCACATGCAATTGACATTAGATGAGGGGGATTATATTCATCTGAATGTATACTATAGTTACTTCTCAGTCAATATTATCTCTCATGAATCCTTAGTTCCTTATTCTATATGTAGAATCTCTACGGTATACATCATAGCTCATACATGCATCGACCCTGACTGATAACAAAAGTGGGTCTGATCTCTAATCTAGGATCTTTCCCAAAATAGTAAAAGCCGAGGCACAATTCTGGCCGGCGATTTGTCAACTCGTCAATCTTCTTCCCAACGACCCACTCACTGCAAAGGCATTGGCTCAGAAAATATCTACGGAGTACGAAGATCACCCCAACGCGCTGACGCCGACGGCGCACTGCCAAATGGAGACTTTTTTTTCTTCTTCGCATCCGGGGTCCAGCGGAAGAGTATCATTCTTATAAAGAAGAGCAACCAGGAACCCTAAATCAAAGATAATCGCTATCAACACTACTTTGACTTGTTTAGTCGACATCGCCAACACCTCCAGTATATTACTGCGCAACCCATTGAAGCTAGCTAGCTAGCTATTTGTACCTTCCTCTCCTTTCTCAATCCACCAAAAAAATACCCTCCGACACGATGCCACCCAAACCAGTCCCATTCCCAGGCTTCACCGCACTATCAGATCGAATCTACCTTCGCAATGGCAACGAAACCACCGACCCCCCACCCCCAACCCACCCAACAACAATCATAATCTTCGGCTGGGGCGACGGCATGCCCAAACACGTCTCCAAATACGCCGACGGCTTCCACGACCTCTACCCCTCCACCCGCATCCTAGTCGCAATCTCCAAAACCCTACACGCCTCAAACCAACCCCTCCCCGACCGCGTCGCAGCAATGATGCCCATAATCGACACCGTCTTCCCCACACCAACCGGTGACGGCGGCACCCAGGACGAACGCGTCCTGTTACACGCCATGTCCAACACGGGCGGGATCTTCGTCGCCGCAGCAATGGTCGCGTATCAACAGCGCCACGGCAAAGACAAAACCATGCCGCACGAGCTCCTAGTCTGCGACTCCACGCCCGGCGGCCTCGTTTTCTCCGCGCAGGTGGGCCGGTGGTCTCGCGCGATGGCGGTAGGCACGGCGAAGTTCTTCCCGTGGCCGTTTATCGTGACGCAAGCGTTGTGGTGGATGTTTTTGTGGGGGAATTATCTGCTCGAGAAGATGCGGGGGTCGGAGCCGTCGGGCGTGTGGGCGAATAGGGTTATGAATGAGGAGGATGTGACGAGTCGGGCGGCTAGTAGGTTGTATTTGTATTCGAAGGAGGATGAGATTATTGGGTTTGAGGATTTGGAGGAGAATGTGGCTGGTGTGAAGATGTTGGGGTATCGGGCTGTGGATTTGGAGTTGTTTGAGGGCTCGCCGCATGTTGGACATATGCGCTTGCATCCGGAGCAGTATTGGAATCGGATTTCGGGGTGTTGGAACGCTGCGGTGGCTGCGGAATGAGATGAGGAAGTATACCAGTTGAATTGCTCTGGGTGGTAGAGATGGGATTTTACATGGCGTTACAAGAAGGATTTAATCTGTACATAATCATATTGAATTAGACCGGCATGGGAATTTGAGATAACATGTTTTAGCTTGGTAGATATCTAAACCCCGAAGCAAGACCATGATCGCAATCTGAGAGCCCGTGACTGGATATTGATGGGCGTGAGAAGAAAAAGACAGAAGCTATCTTTCGGATAATGATATGTCGCTTCCCAGTTGAACTGCCAGCATTTAGAAATCATCGCCATGAAATCGCATGCATATCCTTCGGGATCGCCCATCCATGCGCCATACAAGCTCGAGTGTAAGCAGCAACCGCCTCACCAACGGAGTAATCATAATTCCGACCATGTGCCAGTCGTGCCGGATGGTCCTTGGTACTGATCGCAAGGCGCACCTGCAGCAAAAGGCTTTCAATCGAGGCCACGGCCGACCAGCCCGAGTTGGTAAGCAATTCCATACATATGGCCCCTCCAGCCGTGACGTGGCCACCACCGCCGTGGGCAAACTCGAGGAACCTTGGCCGGATAATGCGGACAAAGGGGGGATCCATTGGGAAATTTGGTGGGAAGCGAATTTCGAGGACGACGCTGGTGAGGTTGGCAGCTTTGAGATCCTTTGCGAGGGGAATGGTTGGATCGAAGGTGTGCAGTTCCACGATCCACTGATAGACCGTTCTAATCAGAGATGAATCCACATACCATCCCAGCTCATCGAGTGGCTCCTTATCTTGGATTTTGAGGGTTGACAGGAGATGTCGCTGAAGAAGCGCAGTGGCCGAGCTAGTCGCGTAGGCAGGTGGTGAAATGAGAGGCAAAGATGCCTCTTTCAATGTCCCTGGAATGAAGTCGGTTTTGGGAGCGGTCGCGACTTTCTTATTCTTGGAAGAAATATTTCCCATCTCATGCTCATCATCAGATAGAAGGATCATGAGATCTTCAACGTCAGTTGAAACGCTCGCCGTGTCATCAAAATAAACAACGTTTATTGGCGTGCCTGTGGAAATTCGTTTCTTCTTTCTGGGTGATTTACCGGGCGATGCTGCCAGAGCCGCTCGTCGCTTGCTGCTAAAAGCGGACATGGGGATCTGGATAGCTCGTGCCTGAGGACCATGCACTTCGTACTTGGGATCCTGTGCATAGAGCATAGGTGGCTCAGTCTGCTCATCCACTTCGAGGAAGGCAGGAATTTTCACCACTTGCACGAAAAGGTACCGGGGTTGAATCCAATCAAGATGTTGAACCACATAATGCGGGGTGGTTGCTACAAATTTGGCCGGGTTGTTGACAATCTCATTCAAGGAGATCATGGACTGGATTCTCAGCATGCTTTGAGGCCAGCTACCAGAAGCGTGGGCGCGGCCTCCATAACCTACCGATGTATGGTATTGATTCGATAGATACACCCCATTCCCATAAGAACGCCCATGTGCAACATCTTTGAAGTGCAGGCCTTGTCGGAGAATGCTATGCCAGTTGTACAATGGACTGCCATGCCATGCAAAAATGGTAGGGTACGCCGTTTTGCCATGCTGGTTGACGGCTTCCATGAACCGTTGCTCTTTGTCAGGTGCCCCTTGAACCAATCGGAACTGAAGAAACCCCTTCATTTCGGACACAAGGTCATTCTCTTGCGAGCCATCCTGCAAGATGCAGGATCGATTGGAGGCCACGATCCATCGAAGCAGATCCAAGGCAGCGGGGTTTATCATGTCGGACCAGGAAGAAAGCAACTTGCCCGAATCGTTACGACCCAGGAAATTTTTCATGGCATCAATACTGGGCAGATTGTCTAGCAGCATGACGATAGTGCTTTGTTTCTTTTCTGCCGGGAGCATGTCAAAGTTCATGTCGTAGATGACATACTCCACCGGTATCGAACTTGCGTACTTCTCGATGCCCTCACCTTCTTGCAGCTGCACACCATGACAGACTGGGCGTGAGAGAGCAACGTGTCCAGAGGTCTCCCAAACCTGCTGTACTCGACAATGCCATGTGACTGTGTTTTCTCCTCCTCCAGGCTTAGGCAGGTTGAGAATGGCAATCCAGTTGCCCTCCTTGACCCGGGGGCAAAATCGTGAGAGAGCTCCATTTTTGTCGTTGATAGTGTGGCTTCAAAGGATAATACGGGCGTCTCGTCGCTTTCTTCGGTCTTTTTGGTCCTGGGTGAGAGACCAGATTGACCGGTTCGATCAAGAGGCGGAGGACATGGTGTGCCGGCCACCCTCGCGCAAGGAACATTGAGTCCAAGCCCAGTCGGAAAGTCCGAGAGGCGGCCAGATTTGGCCCTTTCGTAGGCCAAGGAAATCAGCATATCCACTACATATGGCTGAGTGCGGATCTCGTATTCCAGGCTAGGTCCCATGCCCAGGGTCATATACTGAAACAGGCAAAGCCCGTTTGAGCACACGTAAGGCTTCAGCGCCTCGAACCCGTCATGGGTCTTGCAATGACAAACGAGACAAAACTCAGTGCACTTGACAAAGTGGCGTAGAAGAAACAGCTCGGCTACGAGAGGGAACGAGATGTTTGCTGGAGATAAACCCATGTCGGCCAAGTGATCTGCCTGCAGGAAATTGGGAGCAGGCGTGATCCAGATATCCTTCACGGCGAATTCTGGCGACCTGGTGTCATCGGGGCCGATAAACTTCCCTTGAGTAGTTTGGAAAAACAACTCTGCTCCAGTCCAGGTGAACCCGTGTCTCAATCGAAGCCTTGCAATATGAAGGAATCGCTCATTAAGGAGCTTGTCCAGTGACGCGCCAATAAACAATTCGCGAAAGAGTGGGCCGCGGTCCTTGGTTTCCTCCATTGGCGGCAAGTCATTATAGCTGACCTTCTCTTGAAAAGCGCTGATGGTACTCGTGAGCGAAGGTTTGTAGGAATCACATAGTCCAACCCGCATCTGTATCTTCGAATCACCGCCCAGGCTCAGATCCTCCATGGTCTGGTATCGGCCGTAGCGGATTAAAAGGACTAAGTAATCGGCAGGCCGCACATTCCATGCAGTCATGGCCTCGTCCGATAAACCCATTCTGGCGATACGCATGGCCACGGACACGACGATAAGGCCTGCGAGATCGCCATGATATCCTACCTTGAACCCGGCGAGCTTCACGGCACGTAGGTCACGGCGGATTGCCTCATGAAATTTGGTAGATCCTTGGGTCGAGGACAAGAAACTATCCTCATCCTCTGTCCAGTCGGTGGGTTCCAAGTCGTCTTCAAAGTCCTGGTCACTCGGGATTTCGACGTCGTCCACATCGCCGAAAGATTGCGGGGTAGAGCCCTGAATTACGCCTGAGACAACGCAGTCCAAGGTGGACAGTGCATCATGGATTGATAAGCCTTGCGACTGAGGGATAATCTCGTCGACAGCTTTGGTGATCTCGGCAGGGACATTGTCGGAGGTGGAGTAAACAAAGAAGGTATGGCTGGAGGGGTAATCGTGGGGATCTGCGACTGGTTAGTAGATGAAGACCCACCGATCCCGAGCCATTGTGGAACGGAACACATGGAAACGTACCAGCGACGATGGCTTCGAAGTGAAAGCTGTCCCCTTCTTCGGGGTTTGTGTAAGTAAAAGAAATCGATCCGTCACCTTCACCGGCCCTGACACGAGTGAGATGTGGGAATTGACCTGGGGTTTTGGCTTCGTTCAGATCCCTCTGGAAGTCTTTGGTCGGCATGGCGATCAATGGGATCTGAGGAGACCGAGAAGGGAATCAAAGCTTTGGCGAGAACATGGAGCTCAACAGGGGAGAATTAAAGTAACGGGAAACCGATAGATGGGCAAAAGGAAAAGAAAAGAGGATGTGGTGAGGTGGTGAGGGTGGAGGAAGAGTGAGAATAGACGAGGAAGTCAAGGTGTGAGATTCAAGGACAGCGAGGCTGTCCGCGCAACAGTGACGAGCATACAATCGTCCGCCGCACCAATGAAGATGATTTGGGTCGTTTGCATTTACTTTTGGACGGGCCGTGACTGAATTTAATTTTGTCTACTTTAAGAGAGATTCAGGGCAAGTACTAATACACAAGGACATAAGATGCAGGTTTCTTGTTGCATTGGCCCCCCAGTTCCAGGCAGCAGAGGAGGCTCTGAGTCAGGCCCCTGTAACTCTAACCAAGCTGGGCTATTGACAGGTCACACACCGCATTATCCCTTCTGGGGCTTCCAATGAGGGTCTGTCAACTCTCCGATTCTGGTTTAATGGCTGAGTTGGCTCAAATGGTTTAAGGTTGGACCCGCGCCAAATTCCATTCAAGCCATGGATCTACTTATTCTCGATCACGTGCAGTCAAAACGTATCATAGTCATCAATGTTGAACTTTAGCCTGTGACTCAACTAGAACGTATTGGTGATGACTTATTTATCATTGAATGCTACATGTGGGAAATAATTGCAGTTCTTGAGTGGATCTGGCTGGCTTCGGTGCTCTCCTGCTAATCCGCCAAGACGTCATACTCGACGACCCATAATATGACTATAGGACATTTCTGTAGAGCTACTGTATGATATGAATTCAAGGTTTAAAATCCCTAGCCAATTATAGCTACGACGATTTTTTGCTTATCATGAGGACATGGATCACTTGTCAGTCTTATAAACCATAGAATCACTATATTCAGTGGCCACCAGACGCAAGGGCAACAAACTATAAAGTGCATACCTCCCTCGGAGAGACCCTTATCGGACACTTTACGGCGAGTAAAAAGACAAGCTTTACTATACAAAACGCCTTCCGCTTTGGCATATTTGATATCCTATACATACCAACGCCTAACATTACAGTGACTAGCCCAAAGACGCGTTAGACGAGACTCGATCTATGACCCGTAATCATCTACTATATGGCCATGACTTTACTGCATACTGAGTATATACAATAGTGCCAGATCAATCAGGATTGTTAAGAACAAAGCCAGGACATTCTACCAGGCTTGTCTGTATCCACTCTCGTACTCTATCCGTGGATAGGGAATCCCGCATTCCCGAGGGTTCTTTGGATATACGTCAGCGAGGAATGTCGGATGATCGATTCTGCACTCTAGCAAAGAGTGATGAATAGATTGGACTAGTATATTAAGGTTGCTGAAGACTTGTTTCTTACAGACTTGATCGGGCCTTGGTCATTTGGCGACAGCCATAAATGAATTGAATCATTGTTGACGACTCCATACTTCATCCCTCTTATCCTCCACGAATCGCAAATTCCTCAACTACTTCTACACGTCCTAAATAACAATTATACGATTCGTCATCCCATCCCAGAAGGTCGACGAGTAGAGGGCCTACGTATCCAACTGCATATACTAACTAACATCTTCCGAGACGATAGTAAGTACATACAAATCTATCTACATCCATATACCAATCCTAACCAACTCAATACTAACATTCTCCCTAGAATCAAAATCTCAATATGTCCACCACATCAACATCAACACCGAAACCCCTCCACCAAGAACCAGAACCAATACCAACCTCAAAACCACACCCCTCCCCCCTAAAAGCCTTCCTCAACCAAGAAATCCGCGCAGACCTCCTCCTAGAAACCCAACTCCTCATCCTCACCTTCCTAACCGGCATCCAAGACGCCTCAACCTGGCTGGACTACACCTGCTTCGCCTCCAACCAAACAGGCAACACCATCTTCCTAGCCCTAAGCCTCGCCTCCTCCTCCTCCCTCTCCCCACCACCACCAACATCCCCATCCCCATCCCCAGACCAACCCCCACCCTACAGCTTCCCCAACATAACCACCAGCCTAACCCTCTTCATTACCGCAACCCTCACATTCGGCCAACTAGGAAACCACCTCGGCCCACATCGCCGTTCCTGGCTCCTCCTCTCCAACCTCCTCCAAACAATCCCCGTCCTCGCCGCCCTAGCACTCCAACTCTACTACCCGATAACGCGAGACGGCCCCGCCGCCAGGGCCGTCATCGGGTGTCTCGCGTTCTCGAGTGGAGGACAGGTTGCGATGGCAAGGGCGTTGGGGATGACGGAGATTACGACTGCCATGGCGACGGCGGCGCTTGTGGATGTTGGTATTGATGCTAGGCTTTGGAGGGCTAGGAATCGGGGGAGGAATCGGAGGCTGGCGTTTTTGGGGTGTTTGGTGCTTGGGTGTTTGGTTGGTGCTGTTTTGCGGCGGGTTGGGAGGGGGGTTCCTTTGTTGGTATGTGTGGTTGGGAAGGGGGGTGTTTTTGTGGGGGTTTTGTTTAATCGGGGGGTGGATGGGGAGGAGGGTAAGGAGAAGGAGAAGGATAAGGGGGAGGTTTAGAGTATAGATTTATAGATGTAGATGGAGGAATGGGTTTGGATATAGGACTAGGGCTGGGATGAAGGACTGTGGAAGCTGTTGATCTGTACATATTAAGCGTAGGATTTGATATAGTCCGTTTTCTGTCCTACTATTCTTTATTATGAAGAACTAAAAGACAAGGAAATAGACCTCATTCCAGAGGTTAGGGCACAGGGCAATTGAGCCTGTCTATATTAAATATCTATCCACCTAGTCCTCTTAGTTAGCTGGCAATACTGAATCAAGACTACAACAAGCAACAAGACCCCAAGGGTAGGAGTAATAAACATCAGATTGAATCATCCAATCCATAATATTGATACAGCCACCATGTACAACCCCAAATATACACCCACAAGAAACGCCGACATCCAAAACCCGCACCTAAATAATATGCAAATATGCAGCCCATCTCCCTCAAACAAACAACGAACTATTGGGCGACAACGTATCCAACCCAGACTCCCCCACCAAAACAGGGAAAATCCTTCGAATCCGATCCTCCAAGAGCGCCTCCTCCGCCTCCCAGCGCTTCACCTCCTCGTCCTTAGCCTGCGAGTCACGGCCACCAAACCAGGACTTTGACCGGCCAGCGCTCTTACCCTCGGCTTGCTCCTTGTGTGCCTGTGCCACACGCGTGGAGACCATCGTCTTCCAGTTCTCGAGACCGACCTTGAGACATTGCGCGCAGCGTGTGCGGGCGGGTTTGTCCTCGGGACTGGTGAGTTCGAGCATGGTTGATTCGGCGATCTCGACCGCGTCGCGGGTCCATGCGAGACCGTGCTCGCGGGACGAGGACGCGTACAGGATCTCGCCGATGTAGGTCATTAGGCCGGCTTCGTCGCAGGCGGATTCTGGGGTGCGGAGGGGAGGAGTGTCGCCCGATGGAAGGGCAGGAGGATATTCGGCTGGGTTGAAGATTTTCTTGAGAGACGTGACGAATCCAGTGATGGGGTCGTTTGAAGCCCGCGGTGGTGCGGGGAGGGAGAATTCAGAAGAAGAGGTTGAGGTGGGGAGGCTGCGTCTCGCCTTGAGGACGGATGTGAAGAGGGAGAGAGCAGTAGGCAGATTACCCTGACGGGCATTGTGAACCGCAAGCGCAGTGGAAACACGAAGGATATTCTCAGAAGGCAGATCGGAACCATTATTCTTCAGAACGCCCGTCTGAAGGTCCACGACCTTACTGGCATCGCCGTCAAGTCCACCCGCGGCAATATCCAGCGCCCACGTGTACATATCACCCGCGGTACGGCCCAGCCCCTTAAAATCAAGCCAATCCGCATACGCAAGCGCAGCGTCAAGCTTCTGCCTCGTATCAAAACCCCTCGTCGTCAAAACCTTCATATAAAAGGTCTCCGGCGGCGGGGACGCAGCCTCGCAATCTTCCTCCTGCGGGACCTTCTTCTGACCCGCAGGCATGGGTTTAGGCCGCGGGTTCGACGGGCCAACGACATACTCCGCCGGCGCAGAAATCTTCTGCTTACGATCCGTCAACCACCCGTCCAGATTCTCCGCAGCCTTGGCCGCGCCCATGAGAGCCTGGAAATAGCCACGACGCCAGTGCTCGCTCTTCGCGGAAACATCGAGGCCCGTGTGGCCGACGCCTTCGACGAGGAGCCCGCCTTCCTCTTGCTCGACGATACCCTTGCCTTCGCCGTCCGTGTTCTCCAGGCGCTCCAGCAGTTCACGGAAGTAACCCGCGACCAAGGGCCAATTGGTCATCAGCTTGCCGATTTGCTCGGGGTGCATCATAGCCTGGGCAGAACGCAGACACCAGCGACTCTTCCACGTCCATTCATCCGGCGTGGGCCACTCATGCTCGATATCCTCTTGGTAAAGGCCGAGCTTGATGATCTGGAAAAGGACCAAGATGGCGTAAAAAGAGAGGCCAAACTTCAAGCCCCGGGATAGACGCTGTTTAAAGTGTGCGCGGCTTTCGGTAGAAATTAAGCGTCCAAAGTGCTGGCGCAGGTGAATGGAGAGCGGGGGGAGAGAGCGAGTCGGTGTCAATGGTGATAGGAAGGGTAGTTGAGGGCGGCCTGGTGGTGGGGAGAGAAGAAGTCGACTGCGGTGGGTGAATGGTTGGAGCCGAACCTTTGGCCCGGGTGTCCGGGTTGGGAGCACCGGTCGTAGGTGGCCTGGTATTCGACCGATGGCTGTGCGTGGAGGCAGCATTGTTGCTGGATGGAGAGTTAAGATGCTCATTGACGAAGTTCATCGAGGACCTTGACCTTTCCCGTTTGCATTGTTTGCAAGGGTTACTGCCAAGAAATGTGGGGTCGGCCTAGTCCCTACTCTGCAGCATTGAAGGTTGAACACGAAACAACAAAAGACTGAGGAGCTATATCTACGCTATACAACTGCAATATCATCGGAATTCAGGATTTGTGGTTAAAATCTCGATTGTAAAATCTAATTTAGGGGAATCCAATTGCAATTAAAAAGCAAATAGACATCTCTATGGGAAATGTAGCTCCAAAAGAAAAAAAAAACAGGAAAAAAACAAGATCCATCAATCAATCATCCAGCAATACCAGTCAATATTTACTGACCCTTCTCGAAGAAGCCCTCGCTCTCGAGCACGAGGATAATCTCGTGGACGATGCTGCGAACAGACTGCTTGGAGCAGTCGACAACGAGGTCAGCCTTCTCAGGAGCCTCATAGGGGTCATCGACACCAGTGAAGCCCTTGATCTCGCCACGACGAGCGCTGGCGTAGATACCGCGCTTGTCGGTCTTCTCGCAGTACTCGAGGGGAGTAGCGACGTGGACGAGGAAGAAGTTGCCAGCCTGGGAGACGGCGTCACGGGCGTACTTCCGGGAGTGCTCGTAGGGGGCGATGGGGGCAGCGATAACGGCGGCACCGGCGCGGGTCAGCTCGGAGGCGACGAAAGCAATGCGCTGGACGTTGGTGTGGCGGTCCTCGCGGGTGAAGCCCAGCTCGGAGGACAGCTCGTGGCGGACGGTGTCACCCAGCAGCAGGGAGACGGAGCGACCACCCTGCTGGTTCAGGGTAACCTGGAGAGCACGGGCAATGGCGTCCTTGCCGGAGTTCATGTAACCGGTCAGGAAGATGGTGAAACCCTGGGCGTTGCGAGGGGGTTGGACTCGCGCAGGATCTTGACAACCTCGGGGTAGGAGAACCACTCGGGGATGTGGGCGCCGGTGCGCAGACGGCGGCGCAGCTCGGTACCGGAGATGTTCAGGGTCTTGACACCCTCGGGAACCTGGTCGACGGGGCGGTACTCGTCGGTGTCGGGGAGGTAGGTGACCATCTGGAACTCGACGACCTCGATGCCGAGCTCATCCTTGTACTTCTCGACGGCGTGCTGAGCATCGTAAGGGCCGTAGAAGTCGACACCCTTGGAGTTCTTACCGGGACCGGCGTGATCACGGCCGACAATGAAGTGAGTGGCACCGTGGTTCTTACGGATGATAGCGTGCCAGATAGCCTCACGGGGACCACCCATACGCATGGCCAGGCCGAGCAAACCCAGAACGGCCATGCCGTTGGGGTAGCGGGGGAGAAGGGCCTGGTAGGCGCGGACACGGGTGAAGTGGTCAATGTCACCGGGCTTGGTCAGACCGACGACGGGGTGGATCAGGACATTGGCCTGGCGGGAGCGAGCCGCGCGGACGGTCAGCTCACGGTGAGCACGGTGCATGGGGTTACGGGTCTGGAAAGCGACGACGCGGGACCAGCCCAGCTTGTCGAAGTGGACGCGCAGCTCAGCGGGGGTGTCTATAGAGAGCGATTGATGTTAGCATTTCCGCCATATTGATAGTTGATATGCTTGGCATGCCAATTCCGTCCCAATTGCAATGGTTCAGACCAATTGAGACGGGAGGGAGGGGGGGGAAAGCATACAGCGCAGACCGACATAGTCGTAGTGGTTGAGCTTGTTGACAGCCTCGATCTTGCCACCAATGTACAGCTCCTGGATAGTCTCGTTCAGGTAAACGATAGCGGGGTGCTCGGGGTCACCACCGAAGACGAGCTCGCCCTCCTTGGTCCTAAAATCAGGGGGGAAAAGAATACGTCAGCAACCAGACCCACTAAGAAGCACGAGCCGCCCGTGGGCGCCCTCATTGCGTAAGGAAATCGAGACATGCGACCGTGGACGTCACTCAATGCCAATGCCAATGCCAATGCCAGTCAATGTAGAATGGGAGGAAATAGTGATAGTAACCCATATCCCCTATCTAACAAAGTTGCATCTGGCGGGCCCGATAATAACCATTCTGCACGCCGAGCGTTGCAAGTTGTACCAGGGTAATTGCGGGGATCGGCAGCATGTGGGCGGACCTCCGAGCCAGCCAGGAAAAAAAAGAACAGCAACCACAATCCCCGACAAAAACCCCGGGCATTGACAAAAGACATTGGCGATTGGCGAAAACGGGAAGAATGAGTGGGAAAATTATGAAAACTCACTTGTCGGGGCGGTAGATGTCGTCAATGGTCAGGATGGCCAGGTTACGGTCATCACGGAAATCGCGCAGAGTAATGCGGGCACCAGCCTTGAGCTTGTTCTCGTCGACGACCTGCTGGGTAACGTCGAGGGTAATGGGCATAGAGAAGACATTGCCATCGGCGAGACGGCAGTCCTGGCAGACACTGGAAGAGAGAAAAAAAAGTATTAGTTGGATTTATTCGTGTGGGAAATAGGCAATGCATGTCGAATTCCATTCCAATCGCATCATCGTCTTGGCTCTTGGGCCTTGGAGGTGGGGGGTGACATACCGGTCATAGTCGGCCTGGTTCATGAAACCTGCGCGAGATCGGCGTTAGCAATTTACATTTTACATGGTACCCCTCTGTTCATCTCCGCCCGCGCCGCTTCCCCGAGAAATCAATTTCCCAGTAGAAAAGGGCTGACACAAAAAAAAGCAAAAAGCATTGAGGGGTAGTCGATGACGAATCAATTGGACTTGGCGAGCTTACCCTCGAGAGGAGAGAAACCACCGTTCATGATCAGCTCGAGATCGCAGAGCTGACGCTCGGTGAGGACGACGGCGGGGAGGGTCTCGGCCTCGGCGGCGAGCTGGTCGTGGCGGGGAGCATCGCGAGCGAGCAGGTCCTTGAGGACACCACCGTGAGGAGCGTTGGCCATGATGTTATATGGAAGGGGAATTGAAGTGGTAGAATGAACAAAAAAGAAGAGAAAAGAACTTTTGTGAGAATCTTCCCCAAGATAATATACAACCCTGTAAGAAACACGGGGAGGAGGAAGAAAAAGGATGAGAGGATGAGAGGGAAGAAAGAAGGAACAAAGAAACGAGAAGTCCAAGAGAAGAAGACGGGTCCAAGGGCCCTTAAAGGTGTGGTACACTGAGCACGACAGCGCAGAGAAGCTTCCACGCATTCCACCCCACCCTCCCTCGATTATTACCATACCCTGTACACTACTACAAGTACACTCATACACATACGTATTCCTCCCCGAAGATCCCACGATTTCCACAGGGCCCTGGAACCACGTAGTCGTCAACGGTGGAGCAACCAGAGTCTTGGCCGGGTCCATTTCATCCAGCCAGATGGCCCGCTGCCGGGGAACCCAGGGCACTGCGACGACTATCAAATTTCACGAAGGCCTACGTTTCGAATTGACGTCGGATGAGAGATTGGCTATCTTGCGTAGTAGATGTTTCAGCATAGCTAATGGATCTACTCTATGCATGGTTGTATATATAGACTCCCTACTCCATAGTTTATCCGTAGTCGACACATATACATCATTAACCAAACACTACATAGTTAATAACTACTGACGTCTACATACCAGGCCCGTACTCGTTTATGGCGGGGATTTTCAGGGGGCGGCATTTCCTCCGAGCGGAGTCCGTCATATATCCCTGAAGTACGTACTGCACTGCGCCCGAATCTGATAGCAATTAAATCATTCAGGGGGGGGAAGTCAATCGCAGTTTAAACATCTTCAAATCCAAGTATCTACATGTGTATTGATAATCTAGATCTATATTTTACAGCCTTGTGTACCGTAAAGTATACAACAATCATCCGCTCGACTGCCGAAATAACGTGATCGAGAAAAAAAAATTGAAACAAAATCGCCCCCCCAAATGCCGACTCGGTCGTCCTCACGTGACCATCACGCAACCTCCGCGCTGAATGTCGTGATTGACGGGGCTTAAAGGGGACTAGTGCGGCCTTGGCTAGTCAGGGCACTTGGCAAGTTGGCTGCGGTTATCCGGTTTGGTCTTTACTTTTTGGGGATTGCGGCTTTGAAATCGGACAGTTTTGGGGAAAGCTTGTTCTGGATTGGTAATACGTGTGGTGGAGATGGATGAGATGAGATGAAGATTTGGAGATGGAGGGCTCTGCAGTATAGTACGTGGATACTGTATCTCCGTGGAGATACTCGGAGATACATTTTACATCTGCTGTGTTCTTTAATATGTACGGGTATACTGTACGGAGTAGATATTGCCCGCTCTTGGAGATCTACTTTGGAGAAACACTGAAGATGATTTGCAAAGATTCGGCTGGACGCCCTGACTCCGTTGCATTAAAACGTTATGTACCCTGATGACGAGGTCCATCAGCGATATGTCCGAGCCCGAGTCCAAGCCCGATGTAGTCCTACACTATATACAAGTTTCCCAAATTCCCAAATAATTCCATCCATTCAAACCCCCATCACAGAGTAGTAGTAGTAATACTCTTAACTGTATACTGCACTGCTGCCCAGCAACGCAGCTCAGCTAACCACCGTCCCATTCTTCAACGTAATAGTCTTCTTCTCAAAGTCCAATCCATACGATCCCATCAACTCCAGCGATGGATGCGTGGCATTCGCATACGAGTCGGCCAGGTACGTCTCTATCTGGCCCTCGGACCACATCGCAGACGTCAAGGAACCGGTCTTCTGCAGGATATACAGAACTGCTACCTGGGAGAACTCGACGACCTCCGTTGGCACGCTGGTGTCGGTGCTGTCGCTGCTGCTAGTGCTGCTGGTGGTGTTGGACGATTTGGCGGGGATAGCCGTCGCCGTGGTCTTAGCCGCGGTGCCAGTTGTACTGGTTGCTGATGCGCCGTTGTTATCATAGAGGATTCCGTTGGAGGTGGCAACGGACCGTGGAGCCAGAACTGGAGTGGGTTCGGTTGAGTCGAATGCAGACGACGGGGTACCCTCCTCGTCTGAGGACTTGGGCAGGTCCACGGGAAGAGAGACGGCGCGGCGGGTTTTGCTGCTGCTAGTCTGAACGTTCAAGGTGACGAGAGCGTTCTCAGTCTTGCAGGAGACGTTGTTCATGCTGAACAGAGCCATGATAGTCACCGAGTCCAGCGTGATATTGAATTTACTCGACGACGCACTGAACACATCTGGCAGGTCACTACCCATCGTCGCGTTCTTGCTAATCGTACCATTAGCCACCTCCGAGGTCACGCAGCTGCTGTCACCAGCCACAGTGCACTGCGAGCCCGTGTACCCATCCGAGCACACGCATGAGCACTCCGAGCCACTGGACACGCTCACGCCGCCGTTTTGACAAGGGTTGGTGCTCGCGCAGGAACTCGAGTTGCCGTGGTTCTGATTCGGTACTGCAATGAGGAAGACCGGGAGCAGGATGGCGAGCACCACGATAATGAAAAGAACGATACATAGCAGGATGAACCATTTGCGGGGCATGCCGCAGCATTTCCGCGCAGCCTTTTTGGCGTTCGGGTCATCGTCGTTGGAGGGGAGGGGCTCCACGTTGCGCAGACCGGATCGACCGAAGAATACTGGCCATGAGCTGCGACCTTCTGGCGTCTGCAGGCCTGGTCGTGGGAAGGAGGTGAGGATATCGGAGATAGAGCCGGAGCCACGCCGGCGGCCTGGTTCACCTAGAGAGAAGAGGGTCAGTATGTTCTATGCAATGGCATGTGCAATTTAATGCCAAGATCAAGACTTACCCAATGCAGCTTTAAAGTCGGCATCTGTGGCCAGCATATCACATCGGCTGGCAGTCTTGCCCCGGTCAAGATTAGAGGCTAGCTTGGTAGCGCGTCGAATCAGATCAGACAGGCTGGACAAACTGCCACGCGCCTCAGCATCGCGGACAGCGTTCATGTCCAAACGAGGAGGCTTCTTGCCGCCGGGCCGCTTGTCACTCATGGTCGGTGCGGCCTTGGGCAGAACCTCAATCTCCTTCTCCAAAGCTGAATCAAAGGCGGGGTGGTCGTGCTGCTGCGCGAACCGTGGTTTCTCAGGGTCCACGCAGGACTCATCCGATCCTGTCGAGACAGATGTCCGGCGCCCCGTGCTGGGAGCGTGAAGAACCTGGCTGACTGCAGTGCCGATTGCAAGACCGCCAGCTGCCTCGGTGATTGGTTGCTGCCGGGCATGCTCCTCTTGGGGGTTGGAGGATGGCACGTCGGGAATGGGATCAACCTCAGAGTTGGGATTCGACTTCATGATTGTGCGCATAGTAGGCTTGCCACGCTTGCCGAGACTGGCGTTTCGGACAAGCGTAACATTCTCTTCTGGGTGGTGATGCTTGTTGTGCTCATCATCCGAGTCATCATCCAGATACGCGCCTAGGATTTCGGACTCGGGGGGACCAGAACCCCAGCTGGATGGAATCACCCGGCTGGAAGCTAGAGAACCTAGAGTCTGACGGGGGTTTGAGAGCTCCTCGGGAATTGGAGAAACGGCGGATTTGCGAACATGGGGTGGCGGTACAAGACCTGCAGCACGTTGCCGAGAGCTCTCTTGCGGGTAAGGTGGTTCAGGGAGTGGAATTGGCGGCACATCGGGAACAGAAGATGAGCCGGAAGCTGTCGATTGGCGGTGGAATAGCTCATCCGTAGCAATAGAAATGCGAGGGGTCAAATCCACAGTACTGGTCGGGCTCACGGGGCCGTCATTCGTAGATGGGCGTGGTTGCTGCTGGTGTTGGATGTAGAGTGGTTTGGGGTGCGAGAAAGAACGAGCTGGTAGAATGGGATAGACCGAGCTGGTCTCGGACTCCACGCCACTGCGTACCGAGTAGATTGAAGGAGAAGGAACTTGCGAAGGGACTTCGCTAGGACGGGGAGGCCGTGACGGAGGAGGACCACGAGGGATCAGATATCTAGGATGCTGAGGGTGTTGAGGGTGTTGAGGGTGCTGAGGATTCAGAGGCTGAGGCTGCATCGGACGAGGAGGCAGACCCGAATCGGGAAGAGGCCATTGCGTCTGATGGGCGAGATTTCTAGCAGCGGCAGATGGTCGAGATCCTGAAGGAGGGGGAGGCCGGGGCATAGGCGCCGGGACTGGGACTGTTGGCGAGGATCGAGTTGGACGAACGCCCGCTTCCAGCAACTCTCTAGCTCTCTTGACGGATCCTTTGCGATCGGGTCCTTTCGAGGGATTGGGGCTGGGCCCACTTCCAGGGGGTCTGGTACTCATTTGATCTGGATTCTGATGGTTCGATAATGCGAGTTGAAGATTATCCTCGTATCGAATAGTTCAGATGAGAGACTAGGGCTTTCCGTGGCATCAAGTAAAACGCAAAAGATCTTTTTTGGTCGGGGAAAAAGCAGCGAAGAGAATTCTCCTGGTGATGCACGATAGTAAATGCAGTGAGAAAAGTCGAAAGACTCGATACCCTGATCGAGATAGAAAAGAAGGTAGATGCGAAGATGCGAAACGAGAGAATGGAGTTGCGATATATCAAAAACAGCGGAGGCTATGCAGCGAATGCCTGGTCGAATGATAACCGAATGCGAATAGGCAGAAGCTGGAATCGAGCAGACAAGCTTGGAAACGACGAGTCCAGGCGAGTAATCAAAAGCACAAAAGAATGGAAGGGCATTCAATGCCTCTGTTATCAAAGTCAGGATCTTCTCCGGGTAGTGAACAAGATCAAGGCCTTGTATTCTGTCCCTTCGACTTTAGGATGAAAGGCTTACCACAAGTCAACGATGGAACGAGAGGAACAAAACAGAATCGCTGGTATCAAACCGGCGATGTTTCAAGCAGGGGCCTGGTGAAGGGTGTTATTCATTGTTTGCTACGTGTGTACAAAGTACCCCGTGACGAAAGCCGAGACTGGGAATAGAGATGTAGAGTGTTGGGGTGTACGGAGTAGGGGAAATCGATATCATCAACTTACAGCACCGAACCAGGAAGGAGAGAAGAGCCTCAAGCTCCTCGAAGGAAAAGAGAGCGACGCGCAGGGGGAGGAGGAGGAGAGAGAGAGAAAGAGAGGAACCAACAGACCAGTAGACCAGACCAGCACTGTCATTCCTAGTCTACAATAGTACCTCCACTGTAGTACTCTATCGACCCCAGAGTCACAGAGAAAAAAAAAAGAGTAACCCAAATGGCCCGCCTGACACAAAACTCGTCTCCTCAATTAGATTAATTCCTTCAATTTCCCACGAGGCGCCGCAACGCCAGTGGGGTCTCGCAAGCCAGAGCTCCAACTATCCCGTTCGGCCCATTTAATATCGCCAGATATTAATTCTCCCCCGTCTTCTCGTATCTGCTGTTTAATTATAACCACTGGAACCTTCTGGGAGATTGCCAATCTACCAATATACTGGAGGATTCAAATTTGACCATCCTGGTTGAAGTATCACAAAAAACCACTTCAAACCAATCCCTTCCCAGCCCCTCCCATCTCGCATTCTGATGGGTGCATTTTGGATAGCCCGTTCCTAGTCCCACCCCAGGGGTTAGTTTCAGGTCGCTTCACAAGTTCACGATAGCTCTCGGACTCTTCGGTAGGGGCTAGCTAGCCTAGCCTAGCAAAGAGCCCAGCCAGACCCGGACGACAGACCGGGATGGGTCCCCTTCCAATGTGAATGGATCAAGAAAAGAAACGAGACCCTGGGCCGAATCAGACGAGCGCATTGGGGAATTTTTCATGGGGACTTGGGGCCGAGCACAGTGCAAGATAGCGAATTGAAAGTCTCGGATGCGAATCTCGAGGGCGTTGCACGGTTGCACCAGTGGGGTGCGTTCCAGGAGTTAGTCTCCGACGCTACGTCTCACATTGAGAGGGGCCCTTCGCTTAATCTTGAAGAGGGACTTTGTTTACTTGGGAGTTTGAGTATTCTCTGTGTCGGCTATTTTATTGTCCATGAGATAGTGCACTACGGTCGGGGAGAAAACAATTCGATATCTACCTTGAATTCTGTAGGTCGACAAGCATTTCATCAAGATATTCTTTATCGCTTCGCTTCGACACTTAAATGCGCCTTCTCAACCTTCAACGCCACGCCTTGAACCCTCTCCTGGTTTGGCGTCGGAGCTGGTCACTTCGGGAAAGAGTCGGGACTGAAACATGGAAACTTGCTAACGTCCGGCTACTTTTACCCGGCAATGACTTCTCCTCATTCTTGACATATGGAGAACTTTCCAAATAGAAAAAGGAGTCGATGGCTAGAACGGCCCCGACTTCTTTTTATAGAGACAAACCCTTGCCATGACGGACCTTCAATAACCTCACTGCTACTAGTTTACGGAGCATATCATATATGGAGTCCATTCCCCGTTCACCCACCGTTCGTGACGGCGTGGACTCCGTGGAGCCTTTGGGCTTGACAGGATTTCTTCAACGCCTCAAGCGGGTCACACTGCATAATTATCAACATGCCGAAATTGAGACTATGTACCGTGTACAGTGTACGGAGTACACTAATCATTATTGTTCAGTTTGTTAGGGGGCTGGAAGCAGCTCATGCAACTAATACCCTGCTAAGGAGTTATTGTACTAAATATACCGGGTAGGGAGGCTCCGAAAAACGGTCGCCTTATCGCAACCTCGCTGTATATTGGGTTCATGAGATTCAACCCCAATTTTGAGTCACCCATTCCCTTCGACTACTCAATACTGGTTGTCTCGGAATTGTCGATCCCCAGCTTGCCCCGGACCTGAGTGATCTTCTGTTCCAACGCGCGCATTTCCACTATCGTGCCCGCCAAGTCAGGCACTTGGGTTTGTATAGCTTCCGTAAAGGACTTTTGGGCGGTGCGAAGTGAGGGCGGCACTAGGATGCCGTACCAGTAGATCGGGTCGTCGGAGCGGAACTTCTTGCGAACTTTCTTGGTCTCTTGAGGTGCTGGAGGTTCCGCATCTGAATCTTGAGAAGGTGGAGCGCCGGCTTCGCTTGCAGGCGTGGTAGCATCGTTTGTTGATACCTCGGGCTCTGTAGCTTCTGTCGAGGGTTTATCCTTTGCGTCTGTCGCGGTATCATCGGTATTCTCTTCAGCCGGACGGTTATCAACCTTCTCTAGGTTGAATTTATATTCGAGCTCGTCCGGGCGACAGCTGTCGACTTCATCCTGCTCCTCTGACGTGTGTTCGGGATCATCCACCTCGGATTGCGCATGAATAGATCTGTAAAACCGCAACCGATTAACGATTATCCAATGGCCTGGGTATCCGTAGATCCTGCTCACATCTTGCGGGTAGCTTTCATCCGTTCATCATAATAGTCTGCACCATATCGTCGGCCGGGAGGACAAGTGTAGTTTGCATGGGCCAGGGAAAGAAAGCCCTACCCGAAGCGTTAGCATCATGCCATATTGGGGCCAAGCCCCCGGGAACACAAAAAGAGTCCTACCGAAGATAACTGCTTCGCCAATCCTGACTGCAACTTCTGCTGTCGATCCAGCAGATGCAAATACTCCTCCAGCAGGACATCCAACGACTGCAACAACTCCGACGAAGCTTCCGCGGGCTTCGGTACAGGGTCCGGGGCCTCGGAGCCTGGACGTGACGGTGGTGGCGTTGGAATCTGGGCCATGATATGCTGGTAAAAAGCCGTAAGGAATCGCCCAACTTCGAATTGTCAAGCTGTGAATGCTAACGCGTTGACGCAGGTGTTGTGTGGGGAGCGACTGCGACTCAAGCAGAAGAACCGTGGAGCGCAGGAGCTCGGCCCCGGTAACTCCGTCATTGGCACCTCCGAAACGCAAAAGAATTTCCCGCCCTGCGCTTCGTCCGGGGAACGTAACTCTCGCTGCTCTTCGCCACTTTGTGTCTTCCAAGCCTGAAAGTGGTCTACGCTCTATCAGATATCGATCTGGTTATTATCGCCGTGATCTGAACATCTTCGCTTGATTCCAGAGCGCTACGTGACTGCGCGGGAATCCTGAACCGCCACCTCCGTTGACACGGTTTATGCCCGCGATTGCGCACTCAACCCCGTAACCTTCGAGTCTTGATCGGTGCTTCTCGACTCAACCTCTCAAGTTTATCCTCTGCCAACCTTCTTCATCGTTCATCATGTCTGTGGCCAACTTGCAACGTGATACCGCCTTCCAGGTGCGGTCTTTGGTACGTCTTGTCGGATTGAGATATTGGCTATCCCCCGGGCCATCCTCCCTAAGCCCTGCAAAGGCTACACATTTGCTTGTCATAGGAAGCTAATCCGGTCTTCGGTATCGTACAGTTCCGCTCTCTGCTGCGCCAATCGTCCCAGTTCTCCAACTTCAACTTCCGCGACTACGCCCGCCGCAAGACGCGAGACTCGTTCCGCGAGCACAAGAACGAGACTGAGGAGCGCCGGATACAGGAGTTGATCCAGGATGGTCTGCAGAACCTGCGCCTGCTCAAGGTTAGTGGTTGGGTTTATGTGTTGGGGTCGCCGTGAGGGGTTTCTTTGGTGGACCGGTGAGGGCCGCTCAGACGTGCGCTCTACCTGACATTCAAGGAACTCATCTCAATTAATCCTCAACACACCCTTTTGTCTACTTCGAGTCAGAGAGGCTAATTCATTTTACAGAGGCAAACGGTCATCAGCCAGTTCTACCAGTTGGACAAGTTGGTGGTGGAAGGCCAGAAGACTGTAAGCGCTTCTATCTAACCCCCAGGGTCCATCTGCTCGGCTAAGCCTTAATCCAGGGCAAGGAGACAGGAGACAAGGGGGGTATTGTCCGCCAGAAGGATACTGGGTATGTTCAATTGATAACCTGGATGACTGTACATCTACCTATCTTGCAACTGCTGACACTCCAACAGCTGGGACTAGTTCATCTATTGATTGATCAAATTGGACAATCTGAATGGAAGCGATTGGAGGAACTCCTATTATCACATCGCGTTGGGCGAATAGTCGACATACTTTGGCCACCACGTTCAACCGGATTCGTTTTTCTCTGTATTTATAGTGCGGGCGCAGCCACTGTGTGGCAAATCCATTTCTCCCGAGTACCCAAATAGAAAATCTCCCATTCCACCTTTGCATTACTCGTAATTTTCAGTATTAGCATTGCAGTTTGTTGTACTCCCCATGGCTTGATGCTGTCTGAGATAGCATCACGTGACCCCTTACGGGGCGGACAATCTGCGCCATCCGCAAAGCAACGCGACGGGACCATCGCTACGCTCCGCTCCGCTCATCTACTTTACAGCTCCCCACGGTATCGCGCCATTGTCCTGGTCGTAATTCGCTCTACGAGCGCAATTCATCGGCTCTGGAAGTACGTCAGGAACTATAGGGCCGCTCATCATGCCATCTACTGTATGTCCATTGCCCCATAACCATCCCGGTCCCTGTCCTGTCCGTCCACAAGCTACTTCAAGCTAGTGGATACTTGAGAACCGCAAACCCATTCAATTGACATGACCACTCATGCTTACTCTCTATACAGTTCAGAGCCTCGCGCTCAGGGCGACACCTTGAAAACGCCAACCGTTCCCGAACCGGCCAAATCGACCACGATGTCTTCGAGGGCCTACCCGTCCGCCGCTGGTCGCGCCAGCCACACACCGTCTCCCAAGCACCTAAAGCCGAAGACTCCGAGCTAGGCGAAGGTCCCGGCGGAAGCAATGCGCCGCCCGAGCTGGCCATGCCCCGAGACAGCCAACTCCTACCCGCCATGAGCCGTGCACTTTTGCGCGCCGCGCGCGCAGGCTGTATCTACATCCGCCCGACTGGGCGAGCTGCTGAAAATGAAAAGGAGGAAGGGACGGATGGGGAGGACCAGGGTGTAGCGGGTCATGTGGCGGACCGCAGCTTCACGAGCCGCAAGTGGACGACCCTACCTAAGCATTTGGAGCCTGCGGAGGTGGAATTCCTGGCTAAGAGACGGCCTGGCCTGATTTCGTTGTATGGTAATGGTGCGGAGGGTGGCGCCATGCCGGGTCCCATGCGCAAGACGAAGATCAAGCGGACTGATCCTGAGAATGGCAGCATCTCCATCTACGAGGTGTGGGTGCCGGAGGGACATCGTATTGAGGGCGAGATTACAGGTGACGTGCAGACTATCGCTGAGCAAAGTGAAGTCCCTGTGACGGCAGAAACGCCCGCTCCAGGAACGGTCGTGGAGGGTGTGGGTGTCGTCAATGCGGAAGGTGTAGTCGTTGCTGAGGCTGGCTCGGCTGCTGTCATGACTCCTCCTAAGCGTCGACCGCCTCCTCCCAAGCGCAAGGGTAAGGGTATTGGCAAGGGCCGGAAGAAGAAGGTTATGTTTGCACCTGGTGAGGGAGCTGATGCTGCAACGGTACACGGAGTTGCTCCTGCTGATGGGGCCGTTGCTGGCGTCAAGGAGGGAGAGGATCCCTCACGGATGTCTGTAGACCAGTCCGGTCAAGATGAGGATGAGGATGATGGTGAAGAAGGCGATGAGAGCGACGAGGGTGATGAGTCCATGATGGATGCAAAGACCCCAGAGACACCCCAGGCTCCGCCGAGCACTGATCTTGTCGAGCTACCTACAGCCGAAACTCCCACCGAAGAATCAAAGGATGTCGAGATGACTGATGCTCTTCCCGATACAAAACCTCCTGTTTCAGAGCCGGTTGTGGCTAGCCAAGAACCACTCCTGCAGCCACCGACGGCACCTACGACACATGCAGAGATCCCACAGGCAGACGCTGAGGTCTCTGCAGCTGCAACGCCCGCTCCTCCTGCTGAAGAAAGCAAGCCCTCCAGCGACCAACTCGGCCAGAGTGCATCATTAGAGCAGCCTGCTCCCACAGAGTCCGTCACATCCGCAATCCCATCAACAACCGAGACCATCCCCAAGGAAGAATCACAGGCCCCAGAGCTTATAATGGAGGAGAAGCCTGCTGAGGAAACCGCCGATATCACGCTAGTTGAGGTCAAGCCAGAGTCGACGCCACAGCCTGTCGAGGAGAGCCTCCCAGCTCCCGTCTCTGCAAGCCCTGAAAAGCACGAGGAAACACCATCAGAGCCTCCCAAGCAGCCAGAATTGCAGCAGTCAATTGGGGAAGTTCCGGCAGCACAGCCTGAGCCAGTCACCGAGGAATCAGCCCAGCCCCCAACCGAAGAATCAAAATCCTCAATTGAACCGGTTTCAGCTCCCGAGATCACGGAAACCGAACAGGCTCCAGCTGCTCTTGATGCTGTTCCAGCGCCAGCAGAGATCAAGAAAGATGTCGAAATGGGCGAGGCACCCCCCGCGGAGGAACCCGCCGCAGCTCAGCCTCCTGTCAAAGAACCTTCACCTACGCCAGCTATACCAGCTGAGACCGAGCCTGAAGCTAAGCCTGAGCCTGAACCCGCCACAGCTCAGACGTCCGAACCTCCTGTGCTAGACGCGACTACACCCGAAGTCTCTGAACCCGCGGTCCCCGAGCCAACTCCCATATCAGAGCCTCAACCCGAGGAACCGCTGGCACCAGTGCCAACCCCGGTTACCGAACCAACCCCTGCAACCGAGCCCGAGACGGTCTCTGCCGCCGAGCCCGTAACGGAAGAGCCCATGTCTGGGGTTGAGGGTGCAGCTGAGGAGAAGAAGGACGAGCCAGAACCTGCTCCTGCGGCACCTGCGTCTGAGTCTTGATAGTTTCTTTATTTCCCTCGTAGACCGATGACCTATCTTGTTTTTCTAACCGTTTACAATGAAGGCATGGATCTTGGTCTGCCTGTCTGGATTGTTTCTTATCTTTCGATCAGTGATGTACCTATTTGAATCTCTTTTGCGGGCTGGGCTGGCGTATGAGTCTGGAGTTTATCAATTGATCATGATCACATTTTGTTATTTTGCCAATCCTGCTTTGAATATCTACCCCTTCTCTAACCAAGGATACAGCTGCGGCATAGTATGGTCATCAACGCAATGGTAATGGGCAAGCACTGAAGCAGACAATCGTGGGCTTAGCCAAGCCGGAAGATTCCTCATGGATGGCCAGGGCTACGAGCACGGAAACAGCCAAACAAAGAGAGAAGGCTTGTCATAAATAACCATCACTTCCTCTTCTCTCTCCTTCAACCTCTATTTTACCCAGACTTCTCTTGATTCCCTCTACTGTATACTCTTCCGGGGTTCTTCGATATATATGTCGAGATCTCATTGGAACCACCCGGACGTTTATATATCTTACCAGACTCCAGTGCTGCAATCTGGTCAACAGAACTTGCGTTCGTTCCAACCCCGAACACCTAGGACATGACCAACTTCATCGACGACACCCCAGCTACACCTGTCTGGCCTATCGAATACCCTCCTTCACCAAAGGAATGGTGGGTTTCCTCCCCAAACGCATCTCAGACGTGAAACAAGCTAAACGATTATGACCAGGGTTGGCTGGGATCATTGTATCCAGTGTCTGCTACATCCGAGCAACGAATGTCCTTCGACGGTATCAAACGGTACTGTATCCCCCCATGCCGGTGGTGCCATGAATTGACGGCTGATTGTTTCAAGCTTAATACAAGCCTGGCCCGGTTAGCTGGGGGAGTGGATCGATGACCTTCCAGCAGTGATTGCTGATCACCCCAACGACTCCACGCTATCCGTTCGTCGGTTACACATTATAAGCCCTGGGCGCAACTGTGACTCTGAGCACGGTGGTGACGGGCTATCTGACCTAAACTGCGCGCTAAACTGTACACCTTCCTCGCTGGCTGGGGGTACGGCGAGGAATCGGGGTAACTGCATTGACTGGAGAAGTGGGAGACCACAACATGGCAGCCAGGTAAGCTGGTCTTCTTTCCGTAGGAATACGTCAAGCTCAACGGTCATTCTGTTTCTAACATGCCCCTAAGATACAGAATGGCCCGATTTCATGTCTGGAGTATGAACTCGAAGAGGGATTGTTACTACGCGTTCGCCACACCCGATGTGCTCGTCTCCGTCCCCCGACTGATACAGCATTCGATGATATATATACCCGGCCGAGAACGACAGCGATGCCGACCCTTCCCATTGCGAGGCTAGCGGGCGTCCTACGGTTCTGAGAAGATAGCAGTATAGGTGAATCCTTGTCCTTTGGATGCTTACGGGTGATGCAAAAGAAGGCTATACCCATGTGTCTTGATCGTGGCGTTTCTTGGAAGCAGTTCAGGGACCGTGTTAGATATACAGGCTGCCGCCGAGGATATATATCCTACTCCGGGTCTTGTTGCAGGATTGCACACTGCGAGAGTCGCTGTCACACTCGAGATCTGCAACGCGACACAAATGCGTGATCTTCACAATTTGTGAAAAACGAGACCCGTCAGTGTAGAGCATTCATGCTTGAAAAGTGACAATCTACCATTCAACTTTTTCTACTTCTCTGCAACTCTACAGATACACTGTCAAACTCCATCGGACTTGTCTGTACGCCACTATCTCGTCATGGGACATCCATGGGTGTATGAATGTACTTGCCCGACTACCAGAAACGACACTACGCTCAAGTGTCACATTCATTGGGTCACACTATTCACTCCACGAAGGGCCTTCGGAAATGGTGGAATATGACGGTTTGATACCTCCCGGAATCCCAATCTACAGCTTTCAAACCAGGCAATAACATTCCCCGAGGAGAACATCCACTGCCCGAGAAAGCTGTTCTTGTCACCAAGAGCCGATCGAGCGAATGAATACGGGAGCATATCTGCTAGACACACGGACTCTACCCCTATATCACCCGAGTGACCGAGGCCTGAAACAAAGGCAAAGGAGGAAGCGGAGAGTCTTTTCTCTCCAAAATTCCAGACTCTGGCTGGCTGGCCTAAGCATGGCATGACTTGCTACCATGTCTCCACCTTCAATGTGGGGGTTTCGCTATGTACAAGTCCTTCGAAAGAGCAGGATGCGAGCATAGAAGAAGGTCACCACTTAGCTGAGGCACAGTCAATCAGCTCGAATGACACATTGACCGTGCCACCGAGCACAGTCGTCATTTAATCCCCTAGACGAAGAGATTGTGAATGATGTTACCGGTCTATATCAAATAAAAAGGACATACTACAAGCAATCTCATAACCGGTCATATTCGAGGGGAAAACAATGCCATGCTTCTCGACAAAATTGTCTATGCCTCTCAGAGAGACGAAGGTACACTCGATGGACCAACCCATGAAACGTGGTGCGTGGACACTAGCAGTGTATGAATACCTTCTCGGATCCCTCAATGCTCAGGACCCAGGAAGAACTGTGATGTTCCTCATCATCCTTGACTTCAATTTGTCGTCTCCAGACTCTTTTCTTTGTCAGACAGTCCGACTATCCCCTTACTACCCTTGGACCCGACCAACTGGAGAGATATTCATGGCATGAGTATCGCTGTAGTCAATGTCCATACACGATTACAGTATGATCCCGAATTACTCTCACACCCAATTATACTGTCCTACACACTGTTCCATCACTTCACACTTTGATTTCAGACCTTGATTTCAAATTTCGAGATGCATGATTCGAACACCCAATTCAAACTTACACCGACTGTAACATGTCTTCATAAAACTATGGACCGACCTTTACTCGGCTTCCTCCAGTCAGTGTAGATCACAGAACCCCCGTTTCAAACATTTCCACTGGTGGACTTGTCGACGAGATTACTGATACTCCAAAGGAGTGGAGTACCAATTGAACCCAAGTGACACTTTGAACGACTCGTGCTTGATATGATTGCTCCCCTCGTTAGTGAGCGGTTCTACGTTAGATGCCATACAATCAAAACATTCCTCTAGAGACCTTCCAGTCTTGTTAAAAGAAAGTCATCTCGCCATATTAAACAGTCATCATAGAAATACAAGACCACAGAAGTAGGCAAGGTCCATGTACAGGGGAGTGCCAAGTACGTGGATCACTAGAAGCGAAGGAGTCAATGTAGACTAGGGTTCACCAGCCCAAAGATGTTGAATTTTCACGGCAATCTGCCCCAATTAGGTATTACCTACACACAAGGCCTGGCTTTACCAACGCCCAACCGACTCAGCATGACCTATCTTCATCCGCTCACAACAGTACATCACCCCGCAGCCTTCAATCATTCCACCATCGAGCCCGAAGCAAAGCATAAAGTATCACTCCTCATAGGCATGACTGCATACAAGGTCATAGAAGCAGAAGAGACATTGTAGAGAAAAGAAGAAAGGAAATGAAAAGCACAATATCAATTCAAGTTGAAGAAAACAAGGAGCCACGACGCAAGCAAAACGCCATTTCGGGCGCCGAGAAACAAGATGCCAGAAGGGGAATTAGCTAAATATGAGAGAAAGGGAAGGGGAGGGGAAGAAAATGGGGGTACATTGCCAAAGGGCAACGATTTGTGAAAGTTATGGTGTACAAAGCATAAAAAAAGGGCACAGCTCCATCTGTATGATCCGGCAGTCGACTCTAGCAAGACAGATTTCCTTGACTGGGAGTCTGGATTCGAAACCAGAAAGCAACAAGATAGAACAGCAGACCATTGAAGCACGGGGCATGGCAGATGGCAACAGCGTTGAAGGTGAAGCACTGAAGTAAACAGAGCCGAATTTTCAATATCATGATACGGCCGTCGCAGGACGTAACTGAGAGACACTAAAGAAAGACTTTAGTTCTTCTTCCCCCTCACAGTGCGAACAACGCTTTTCGCGGCCTTTTTCACACTGCCCGTCAAGGTCTTCTTCGCCTTAGGACCGGGCGCCGCGCTTGACTTCCTGGCTTTGGAAATGGGCATCCGAGCTTTGACCGGGCTCTTAGTGGATGCCTTTCTTCCGGCAGACTTGAGAGGAGATTTCACCTCAGTCTTCTTAGCCTTGGCAGGTGATTTCTTGGGAGATGGGCGGCTGCCACCCTTAGCACGCGCCAGGATCTTCTTCTTGGTCTCGGGGGACGGCCGCTTGAGCGGTGATGACCCCTTCACTGACGAGGCAGCCGCAGCCTTTGTCGGCTGTGCCTTTGACCGGGCTCCCTTTTGAACTGCAGCTTTGACCCTTGACGCGGTCTTGACCTTTGGCAATTTAATGTTCTTGGCAGCCTTCCCCCGACTAGTGGCTGCCGATGCTTTGGTCGTCTTTTTAGTCGCAGCTTTGCCGCGTGAGGTGGCCTTAGCCACAGCCTTCTTCACTCCGGCCTTGATCGACTTAGGGGTGAGCAGCTTGCGCTTCTTCCCCTTCTGCGAGGTCGTGCTCTCCGCATCGGTCATCTTTCGCTTTTTGCCGTTGACCTTCTTGGTCGCAGCCTGTGTCTTCTCCTCCAGTTTGGCTCGCTGGTCTTTATCCTTTGGCCGCGGACCAAGAATGCCTCGGCAGTTGTCTGATCCACAGCGACATTGCTGAACATTCTTGTTGGAGTATGGACTGATTGATTTGTGAGTCATGATCCCAAGGTACAATTAGAAGATGTAGAAGCTACTCACTCAAAGTTGTAATCATAACTCAGTTCCTCCCCAGTCATGATGCCACGATCACCAGCAAAGAGTGCCATGCGTGGCTTGCCAGCGACAGTCCACTTTTCCATGCGACAATTAGGTTCGCAAGAGTGGTTGACAAAGCGAGCAATGGATCCCCGAGTAGCGTCAATGATCATATTTTGATCAAAGTACATCAGATAGTAGCACTAGAAATACCCGCGTCAACATCCAGTTACAAAAGCGCCAATGAAAAGGACACTCACCTCATTATTCTTGTACACTGATCGCATCCTCCTCTCACACTCAAACTGTGTAATAATCTCACCAGTGTACTCAACGATAATCTGGTTTGGTTCAAAGGTACGATTGCTCCGTACACCATACCCACGATCGGTCGTCTTGATCACCTCGACACCGATGTTATACTTGCCCCCGGCCTTAGTTCTGTGCTTAAGCTCGTTGAAATTCCGGTTTCCACACTCCGGGCCCAGTCTGCAGTTGCCACTGTCGCACTCGTAGAACATGTAGCGGTTTTGACAGTTTTCGTCGCAGCCAGTCTCCTCCTCGCACATGCAAGTAGACAGCTCCAGCTTTTTGTTTGCCTTCCATTCGCTAGCAGCATCTCCGACGAAAACATCTGATACGGGTAAGTTTCATCCTAACTATGTTATGTTACGATAACTCACTTTTGTTTGTCTTCCGCCATTCATCCGGTTTTGGTTGACCTGGTGGGAGCGGCGAGAAAATGTCAAATGGTAGGACGTAATCTCTGCCATTGCTGACTATGCGGGACCCAGTGAACATGGGCATGGGAAGGAGGCGTCGCTGCGAGAGGCCAGTCGTAGTCTTTGCAGAGTTCTTGCTACGACGCTGCTTAGGAGGCGAGTCGGATGGTTCTTGTCCCGTGTATAACCCATGAGTTAGCCACCGCTTGGGCTTGTACCGAGGTGGGGGAGCTGGCGCAGCCGGCTCCTCTGAAGGGGTTTTGGTTTCCTCTTCGCGCAATTTGGATAAATCGCTCTCGGAGACGCGGCGCTTCTTTGCAGCAGGTTCAGGTGCGGGAGCAGGGGCATCTTCCTTGACAGGAACGGTTCGAGGCCGAAGGCTGGCACGCCGGCCAATTTCCTTGCCCTTATCGCCCAAGTCTCGCGAGCGCTTGCCCAACACACTGTTGGCGCGGTCCAACAGATCAGATGCTTTTTCCACAATACTCAAGCGAGTTGAGCGGCGCACAGAACTGCGAGAATTGCTCTTGGGAGTTGCTTTAGCCTTTGGTGTCTGTGCATCTTCGGCCAAGGCTTTTTCCACGCGCTTTCGCAAAGTTCGCTGTTGAAGCGAAGTAGCCATATCCTCAACTTGTGGTTCCTGCGAAGACTTCGAAACCGGTGTGTCGGGGGCCATTGGGTGGGAGTCGGTCATAATCGTGTCGTCTTTGGGGAGTGCCGTACCGGTGAAGATGGACGATTCCATCACGGCGATACTGTGACGCAGCGAGGAGCGGGATCGCTTAGCCTGGGCAAGGCTGTCGACATATGCCTGGCTCGTTGAGGCAGCAGCATCCTCGTTCTCGACGGGTGCAGCCTCCAGAGTCTCGGCCGCCTGCAACGATGCGCGTGCTACACGTGTTGACCTTCGGCGGGGCGCGGGTTTCTCCTCGGCTAACGCGTTTTCATTATTGCTAGACGTTTCGGAGCGGCTGTTCTCTGGTGTAAGAAGTTGTTCGGGTACGTCGAGGCTCATTGTGTCGTCGGGCTGGTCGTGTGTAGGAAGGTCGGTGATTGCGGCAGTCGCGGACGCGGAGACTTGGGTGGATAGGCGCGCCATGTTGGGAAAGAGTTGCCGATATCCGGCGAATCCCAGTTCCACAAGAGAAGACGACTGTCTTTCCTCGAGATGGGTGCCGTTGGCGAGGAGTTTTGGGAGGGTTCTCGGTGGTATCAGGGGTGGGTGAAGGTAGGAGGATCAGCAGCCGCGCGCTTCTTATCAATTTAGGGCGATGCGGATGTCTGACGCGTGCAACATCAACAGTCAACTCTGGTTTTCTACCAGCACAAGTAGAATGTTGCAAACGATGTCAATTTAGATCCCAGAGGTGCAATGTGAAAGGGGAGAAAGAGGCGGCATATACCATGACAGTCTGAAGTGGCTCGATGTGGAATGTCAAAACTCCCTCATAACTTTGCCATCCCCGCCGGACGGATTCTACGCGTGATTTTTTGCGCCGAGTTATGCAGAATTCAAATCTATTCAACTGGGTCACTTTGAGTATAGTAACCCATTCTATATTTCCATAGCCATGTATCAAGCGTGGAATATAAGAGACAAGAAAGAAAGAAAAAGATGTGAGTGTGGTTGTTCAGTGATAATTCAATAGGGTAAGGGCCCCGAGGGTAAGCAGAATATTATCATGAACAAAAGACCCGAGCAAAGAAAAGCAAGGATGATGTTGAAAAAAATAGATGAGAGAGAGAGAGAGAGAGAGAGAGCAAGACTATGATTAGCCTGTATGAAACGGTCATAATGACTCGAAGAGGTAGATAGAGTGGGAGACAATAGGAAATTCCAGAGAAGGTCAAGGGCAGCAGCGTAGTACAATCCGCCAGATAAGATCAACATAAAAAGAAAACATAACACGAAGGGTATGAAAGGTCAAGTGTGAACAATGAGCAATTAGAAAGCCGTATATGGGGAACACTCCCGAAATTAGTAGGAAGATGGACTTTAGATTGCCCAGAAATGAATGATCATGTCGTCGTTTTCACGGGTCGTTAGCACGGGAATTGAGGCAAAGATGCAAGAAACACTTTTTTTCGGTTGAATGAAGATTGTGGTGCATGCATTTATTAGTCCTACCGATGAGGACCGACAGTTTGCATCTCAATTCCCGCCTGAGACTCGACGTCGCGAGGAAGGTACTTGCGCTTTTGCATCGCATAGCGCTGGTCTCCTTCTTGATAGGGACGCTTGAATTGCATGTAGGTAGGAGGACGAGGTCGCCCCAAAACGGCAATCCAGTTGGTCAGGGCATTGCCTTGAGTAAACGGCCGATGACGATCCTGCTTTTGGAACTTGTGGGAATTGAGATATTCTCTCGTAGTCTCACCACGGCCAACCAGGAACAAGTGGTATGCCCACAACGAGGTCGGGTAGGGCACCGCAATGATGCCGTAGATAACCATTGCCCATGGTACGCGCCACTTGGAGATGGCCGCCCCAAAGGAGATTCCTTCGCGATTCATATAAAGCAGAATGTGCGCCAGACTGGCTCCGATCAAAAACAGAGCGAGAATCGTACACGAGCTCACAAAGGCAAAAAAGTAGCGGTAGTTGCGTCGGCCAACGCAATTGTTCAGCCAGACACAGTGGTGGTCGAGTGTCTCCACACAGTTGTCGCAGACACGACAGTGGTAGCAGCGAGGAGGACGCCAGATCGCACAGGTCTTGCAGTACTTGACAGGCACGTCCATAGCAGCAACATCAGACGTGGCCAGTTTGACCATAACCCAGTCGTTTGTGGGAGGGCCAACGGCCAATGGATCATCAGACCTATCCATAGGAGGCATCGGGTGAACATTTCGAGGCATAATTCCCGGATCAACCACAGAGGCATGTACAAATGAGGAGAAGCAGATATAAAAGACATATGCGAACAAGATGGGAATGGCTGGAGAGACATTGTTCCACAGCCAGGGAGCGGAGAATGCAAAGAACAAGGCTGACGGAACAACCAACAAGAAACCCGTTGCGATGTTGATAGGCTTATCCCTTGAGTTAAGGAATCGGCCACCAAAACAGAAGAGAGTATTGCCGACAAAGTACTCCCAATTCTTGCCTAGGTTAGCCCGTGGCAACTCTTTCTTGACATCCATTGGCCCTGGAGATGAGCCAGCAGAAGAAAGTCGCTCATGACCTCGGGCATCATGGTTGTTATGCGCGGAGCCCTTGTTCTGCAATGACAGGAAAGACAGGGGCGATTTGGGAGGCACCTCTTGACCATGATGTCCAGTATAGTTCGCGCCGAGGTTCAAATGGCCGGGGCGAGGCTTGTCCATTTGATCCCGATCACGTAGTAGCCTGACACTTTCACCTAAGCTTCGAATCGTAGTGTTGCCAGTTGGGCTTGCATTCGAGGTGTTTCGGTCGGGAATGATGGGGTCTGTGAACTCTGTGCCTCGTGATGGTGGAGCTTCCATATCCACCTGTGGGAGCGATCCTTGTTGAAGCGTGCTGTTCGAAATCAAGCTCCGCCGATTTTGACTATTTTGGTCGTTCCAATCATCAGTTGAAGATACCGTCCCCTTCGTCATTGGCCGTCCTCCTCGATGTGCCTGCAGTCGCTGCGAGCTCATCGGCCGAAAGAACGCTTGAGCCGTTAGAGACGGAATGTGTGTTCTGCTCAGCCGACTCCCTGAGCTACCGGGTCTCTGACTGGATGCAGCTATCGAGCTACGGGTTGGGGGCGGTGCACGTCTAGAGACGGAGGGACGAGGTTGGACCGAATGTGGTGGCGATGTGTAGGACACAGAGGGCTCTCCATCTTCCGAGGCCATATCCGTCACTCGGGATGAAATCCCTCCAACGGATGGAGGTCGAGGAATTCCCAGCACATGCTGATGTGTGGAGGATCGGTTCGCATCGTGGCTATCGGAGCGGTCTGCGGAGTTCGCCATGGTTTGAGGAACGAATGTATTTGGCTGTGCTAGGAGACGGTGCGCACTAGCATATTTCTTTCCAGCAAGTTGTCCTAGATAGGGGTAGCAGTGTAGCGAATTCGAGCTTGGGCGTAAGCTTCAGGGTAACTAGGCGGCGAGTTCAAGGAGCGGGAGAGCGAGGGTAAAAGGAGCGACGAGCGAGTGAAACACGGGTTGTGATGAGAGACTGGACGAATTATTCAAGGCCCTAGAGCAAGTATTAGCAAGGAGCTCCATACTACTCCGTACTTTGGGGAACAGTCAATTCCACGCGTCAAGAACTCGAAATCTGGGGTTCCAGATCCAGCCCCTGATCGGGAAATCGCAATATAGACCGCACTACCCACCTCTAGCATTGACGGAGATCCCAAGGTAAATTCCGTAAATCCAAAACAAGTCGAGGGATGCCAATTACATCACAGCCCACAGAAACAACCGTAGCAGAAGTCTGCCCGAGCGAGAAAGCAACACTGGAGCAGCAAACCAGAAGTTAGAACCACAGAAACGCAAGGCCCGTCGCGCATCCGCAAATTGCTCGAAGCGGCGGATGAGTCAGCCACCGAGGCGGGTAGGTCACATGACCTGGCAACATCATTCGATGCTCACGATTCTCTCCCACCAACCCCGTCTCCAGTTCTCCGCGAATTCCAACCTCCACGCACGACCAGCTGCAACCATGTCTTCGATCGCTGCTATGGCTTCCCGCCGGGCTCTGGCTCGCCAGCCCATCTTCCGCGCTCCCCCGCGCCGCTTCATGTCCTCCAAGGTCGAGGAGGCCAGCCTCGACAAGGCCCCCAAGAAGGACCCTGAGCTCTACGTACGACTTTCGAACTGCCATTGATCTCTATTCGACCTTTCAATCTAATAATTATGTGTCCAGGTTCTGCTCGGTGTCATGTCCGGTGCTTTCCTGCTCGCTGGCTGGTGAATATACCCCCTCCCACACCTATTACCCGACAGCCGCGCTTCATGTGACGTTATTCCCGCTTCCTGCGAAAACTTTCCGCCGAGAAAGCAGCCCTCGCGTTCATTGGAGCTCAAGCTTGTCGAACAAATGAAGATTCAATTGGCTAATTGGCGGTATTTTGCGATATCAGGTACTTCGGCAGCAAGCCCACCTCCGTCACCTCCGAGAGCAACGTCCGCATCGGCGAGTCCGCCATGCCCTGGCACGGCGAGGCTGCGGATGGCAAGGTCTACAAGTACCAGTACCACCCCCACGGCGACAAGAACCAGCCCCTCCGCGCTGCCCCCAGCGCCATGAACACCGTCATTGTTCCCAACGTCACCCTCCCCGAGGTATGCCGCTTCAATTCCCTCGCGAGCCAAGTCGCGATTGCCACACTTTTGATATTTATTCTATTCGGACGCCTGCCTTTGGGTCTTGCCAATTGGCCCAAATATGTGCTTTCCACAGTTGCTGACCATCTTGTGCTTTCTAATAGGACCTCCACGAGAAGTTCAACAAGTACGGCAAGGAGGAGTGGGACTACTAAACGGCTTCTGCGAAGCCCTTTAAAAGATGGTGTGAGAGCGAATGGTCACTTATATGTAAGTGGCCGGCTGCTGTATACTAGAGTTTGTGGTGATGACGGGGGAGAGTTGTGGGTGGACTTGCCATTGCGATTACCGAAGATTTGTGCATAGTATCCATTGTTCAGATAAAGAGTCAATTGGGAACCGGTCTCTTCATTTCATTTGTCATTTGTGGTCTCATTTTCCTCGTAGTGTTCTTTGTGGTCATACACTGTATGTTCTGATAATGGCCTGATCAGGAGGGTCGAGCTTTTCGGGAACTCTCGGGATCCACTTTGCCCCGAAGCCACCATACAAAAGCTAAGCTACAATACTGGAAAGGCTATTGGACCACTGCGATGATAGAAACGCTCATATCACAATTGATGTTGTGCAGTACTTTAAAGCAACTAATCACGACGAAGAGAGAAAAAATAGCTATAAGGTTTCATGATACATGGTGTGAAGGTTTCTCGTCCCCTTTTGAGCATCCCCAGCCTTGAAGCAATTTGCTTATTTAGTAGCTTCATTGCCTTCGCTGGCAGGCTTGGCCTCGGGGGAGCCAGAGCTCTCCACGGAACGGACGTTGCCTTCGGCCACTGAGGCAGGGCTCTCGGGTGGGATAGAGTCCTCGGGCTTTCCGGAGCCGGTCTCAGGGTTCTGTCCCTGGACATCCGGGTGTGGGGGAGCAAGCTGGCCATCCACGATGGGGATCTCCTGAGCGTGCTCAAGCTTGGAGCGGGACTCGTATCGGGTCTCGAACTTGACCTTGCCCTCCGCGCGAAGCGAAGCGACAACATCCTCGGGGAGAACGTTGCCATGCTGGTCGCGGTACTCAACACGGGCCACGGAGCCGGAGAGCTTGGGCTGGGTTACGGCAGCCTGATCTTCCGGCTGTTGTTGCTGAGGGATCTCGACAGCAGGTGCTTGTGCCTGCTGCTGGTGGTCCCCAGGCTTGTGGATCTGGGCTTGCTCGGTTGGAACGGTCTTCATGAAGTTGTCCACATCGGTAACGTATTGGCTCAGCTGTTGGTGAAGAATTCGTGTCAGCCAAGGTGATCGTCGTTTCAGTTCTAGTATCCTCGGCGTGGAGGCTTCCACTCCGGTACACTTACGTCGGTGTGAAAGGTGTTGCAGTCGAAATCCCAGCCATCCAGAAGCTTGACCTTCTGGCAGGCACTCTGGGTCCAGGGGTTACCGTAAATCAAAGGAGAGTAAAGGGTGAAAACTGCAATGCTGAGGATCAGGAATCCGGCCATCATGACCTTGCCAATTGCGGGTCTCGATGCTAGTCCGAGGCTCTTAATACGGTTGGTGATGAAATCGAATTCTTGGCAGAGAACCATGATGGCGAAGTAGAGAGCGGGGAGGTAGTGGTGCAGGAAAAGCTGACGGGCCATGAGGTAGAATGGGAAGTAGTGGAAGAACCATCCAAGAACGCTGGTGCCGACCTCATAGTCGAATCGCTTGAACGAGACATGACGGTAGTCATTGCAGCTGCGCTGCCAGCGGATAACCGCGATAGCCTTGAAAAGGAAGTAGATGCCAATGGCAGCGGTCGAAGACCACCAGATCAGTGGGTTACCTAGAAGGTAGATCTGGCGGTTGTCCTTGCCCCAGAAGTTGATACCACGGAGAAGAGTGGGCCACGAAGGAGGGCGAGAGTCCCAGGCGTGCGACTCAACCAAGCCGGCGTTGGTAGTCCACATGACCTTCTGCAGCTCCCAGAACTTGCCCAAGAAGCCGGGGTTGCGGTAGTTGACCTTCTCGGCATCCACAGGCATCATGGGGTGAGTGTTAGACTCAACATACCAGATACTGTTTGGCAGAGTACCACCACGAGCGCAGGTAACCTCTTGTTGCTCGAAACCCCACTCGGGAAGCTTGACCTTGTGGGAGAACAAAACACAGCCAGTCATGACGTGCACAAGCTTGAACTTGGTCTGAATGGTGCGGACGCGCTTCTTGGCTTCGGCACCCTCGGAGAGGGATTTCACAATCTCAATCTTGAACAAGTCATTGGCATCACCGGGGAATCCTTCGTAACCGTAGGCGGAGACCTCGTACTGCCAGTCAGCCTCAGTCACGGGCGGGCGCTCGTCGTGGGAGTGGATGCGTCGGTGGGTAATCTCATGGTAGAGGCGGACAACGGCTCCATCCTCGATGAAGCTCACAGAAGAGTTGTCCCAAGCGAAGGGGCCTTCGATCTCGCCATAAGGACCCAGAGGCTGAGTCTGGTTCTCCATGATGAACACATTGTTCTCATCCTTGTGGGGGTAGAGAGTAATCTGCTGCTGCTTGCTACCGGTGGGGTACATGTGATTGTGCGAGTGCAGGTAGCCACCCTGAGTATTGTGGTGACGAATGCTGACACGGGAGCCGAAAGAAACATCCGCTGGCACATCCTGCATGGACTTGGAGTTCAAGGTAGCTTGGAACTCGGACGACATGAAACCATCACCTTCACCGGGGTTAACCAGGCAGAGGAAGTGAATACCAAACATAGCCATATAGAAACCAAGGGGAATAACGATCAAACAGAAGACACGGGAGAAGAAGTGCTTGAACCACAATCGCTAATCCATCAATGTTAGAATCAGAATCAACAAATAGGTTTATTTAACAACATACCGGAGTCACAGTCTTAGAGTCACCGAGCACGACCCAAAGCTGGAGGGCCGTGAGGGATCCAACCCAAGCCATGGTGAAGAGACCAACCCACTTGACGCTGAGAGTAGCTCCAAGGGAAACACCTGTAGCGGCTAGCCAGAACCACCATGGGCCCTTGAAAGCAGAGGCGGGTCCCAGTTCCTGCTGGTTTGTGAAGCAGCTGAAGGTCAATGCAGTCAGAGCAGTGAAGAAAACGAGGGGCGAGTCCAACAAGATCAGGCGAGATTGGGTGGTCAGGGCGTTATCTATACATTCAGTTAGATGTGTTTGAAGGGGTAAATGGGGCATCGCCTCAAGAACCCACCGAAGATCACAAGCCCAGCACCCATGACAGCAGTCGAAGTTCGGCAACCAGTCGCCTTGAGAGTCAGGAACATCAGAGAGACCGTGAGAACACCGAGAATCGCGGGTAGCATTCGCATTGCCACGTAGGGCACGCCGGGCTCGAGATAGTCCTTGCCGATGTCCTTGAAATCAAACTCTCCATCGAAGCCGGCCAGCCAGCCAGCCAGCGTGATCAACAGCTTGGCGAGAGGGGGGTGAACATCCATGAAAAACTTTCCCTTGATGTACTTGCTTGCGAAGCCACCGAAACTGGAGAAACAGAGCGTTAGCCTCCATCTCTGGCCAATGGAATGGATTTTGCGACAAAACATACTGGACTTCATCGAATACAACACTGCTGGGCTGGTAGATACGAAACAAGCGGACAGCGGCCGCAATCAACGTCACCAGCACCAGCAGTTTGTAGTCGGAGGCGGGGAGGTTGAGAATGTCATTGTCTCGCACACCGTCCGAGGCGTAGCTGACAATCTTTGCAGGCTTCGCACCCTTAGGGTTTGGCGAGCGACTGCGAGAGCGCCGACCGCGACTCTGCGGCCGTACGGCCAATGTATCCTTCGATTTTTGACCCATTGTGGTTGTAGGTGATGTCCGCGGAGACGGGATCGGAGGAAGGTCGCAGGGGATGGGCGGAACAGGCGAGAATCGAACGATGGAATAAGGTCAAAAAAGAAAAGAGGATATAAGACTAGTGGGGTCGTGAATAAGTCGCCAAATTAGAGGAATCGAATCCAGAGGGCGCAATAGCTATTGAAAGCTGCTATGACGAAGCTGTCAACAGCGCGCAGCTCTTCACCACAACGGTAATAGTGGGATCGAGATTAATGATCGTAGAGAGTGAAAAGAAAAGTCCCCATAACAGGGCAAGGAAAAAGAAAAAGAAAAAGAGGATGAAGAGAGTGTCGAGAAGAATGGACGGAAGCGTGCAAAGGTTCCGTCTTGAGGCCAGATCGACGAGCGGAGCGGGCAAAGAGAGACAAAACCACAAGGTGAGAGAGCGCTAAACGGCCCCTTAGATTTCCAGCCCCAAGACCCGAGGCTGACATCGGCCCATTTGGGGGCGTTTACACGGGCCCTTTGATGCTATAGAAATTACTTTGCTAGAAAGATCTGCATTAAATATTCTAAAGTGAGGTCAATCCATCAATATTGAAAGCCAATGCTGCATCTAAACCCCTCGAAGTATAGAAGACCACCCAAATGAAAGCGGAGTAGGCAAGGAGTGTACACAAACTCGCCGCACGCGGGAGTGCTGCACCGCCACATCACGGGCCCAGAACTGTGGCTGGTGGGTAGCAAGCTGGTGTGGCGGGTGCCGTGGCGTAGTCAGCACCTCATTGAGCCTGGAGGTCGGGAAAAGGTGCTCTCCCTCTAGTCGCAACATCAACCAGCCATGGAGTCGTCGAATGGAAATACTCCCCTTCCGGAGGATATGAACAAGCCCCCGGAGGGTCTGGTCCTTCCTCCTAAGGATATTCGAGGTTCGTCCCTGACCTTTTACACGCGAGAGAATGCTGCTAACCATGTTTTCCAGCGATCGTCGAAAAGACCGCGGGCTATGTCGCGCGTAATGGATCCGTCTTCGAAGGTGAGAAGACCTACCATCATCCATCAGACGAATTGCGGGCTGACTGTGAAACTTTTCCATCCAGATCGTGTCCGTGATAAGGAAAAAAACAACCCTAAATTCTCCTTCTTGAACGCCGGCGACGCCTACGAGCCTTTCTACCAGTGGCGCCTCACCGAGATCAAGGAGGGTCGTGGAACCGCAGTTTCAGCAGGACGGCCTGGCGAAGCTGTCGCTGCCGCTGAACCCGAGAAGCCCAAGGGACCCCCCGAACCCCCCGCGTTTCATTTCTCCGCGCGCATGCCTATGATCAGTGCGCAGGATCTGGAAGTGGTCAACCTTACAGCGCTTTACGTCGCCAAACGAGGAAAGTCCTTCATGACGGCATTATCGCAACGTGAGGCTCGGAATGTCCAATTCGACTTCCTCCGGCCTCAACACAGGCTCTACCAATTCTTCACTCGCCTAGTTGATCAGTACACGATCTTGCTGCGGTCTGAAGGCATTGACGAGGCCACCACCCAGCAAAAGCGTATCGCCGAGCTTGAACACAACGTCAAGAACAAATATCATATTCTGGAGCGCGCGAACCAACGGGCGGAGTGGGTGAAGTACCAAGAGCAGCAGAAGCAACAAAAGGAGGAGCAAGAAGAACAAGAACGCATTGAGTATGCTCAGATCGATTGGCACGACTTTGTGGTGGTCGAGACGGTCTTGTTCACAGAAAGCGACGACCAAGCAGAGCTCCCGCCGCCAACGTCTCTCACGGACTTGCAATCCGCCTCCTTGGAGCAAAAAGCAGCCATGTCCCTCAACCCGCTGCGCATCGAAGAGGCCATGCCCACCGACCTCGACAACCCCACCTACTATAATGCCTATCCAGCTCAACCCGAACCTTCTTACCCCATCCCACAGCCCTCCGTCTCCCCCTACCCAGCCCAAGCAGCGGCTCCATACCCGCCCCCAGCCATGGACTATGGCAGGCAATACCCCCCGCAATCAGAGGTACCGCAAGCCCGCACAGAGTCGCCAGTGCCTGTACCGGGTCAACCTCCAATGCGCATTCGCTCGGACTACGTGCCCCGAGCCCAGGCCCGTCGCCAACAAGCCGCGGGTGCCACTGCACTTTGCCCGAACTGCCACCAGCAAATCCCTGTCGCCGAATTGGAGCATCACATGCGTGTGGAGCTGCTCGACCCGCGATGGAAGGAACAACGTGCCAAGGCCGAATCTCGCAGCGCCACGACCAACTTGTCTACTGTCGACGTCGTCAACAACCTCAAGCGGCTTGCTAGCCAGCGCAGCGATGTCTTTGACGCCTCGCTTGCGCCCGATCCCGAGGAGGAAGCGCGCCGCAAGCGCATGGCTATGGGCGCTGCCCCAGATGGTTCCCTTCCTCCTGGGGTGTCTGCACCACCGGGTCCGGCTGTTGGCCCTGGAGGAGTGCCCCGACCTCAAAATACGAATATTGAGGACCAGATTCGGCATTTCCACCAGCTTGCCAAGCAATGATCTGATAATTTAGATCGAGCAATTTGACGACAATCGAAATTTAGCTTATCAGCTAGAAGGTGTGCCTTGGCACGGTGTTTTTCTATGCCCTTTTCTCTTCACGTATTGGTTCGCATCTGGAGTTTCGGGGTGTACTTTTTTCTATACGTCTTTGCGAGTATTCGGATTGGAGAATGGATATGCTCGTTTGTATCATAGCTTTACCATTTCTAACGCTACTATCAAAAATTTTGTCTCTGATGAGCGTTATTATCAGTATTTGATGTAACATGCCCTTTATGATCCATCTTGAACTCTAAGTAGTAGTTCCAAAGACCGAAATGATACAGAAAGTCGCTCCTCTTGGCAGCTTTATGTTGCTGGCATAACTACGGACGACAACTACAACAACTGAGAAGTCTACATCGAGTAGAGTCTCATGCAGCCGGGTTGATCTGGGCGTCTAAGCTCGATAACAGACTATGCAGCTAGTTGAGTTGGTGGAAAGCGGCAATAACATCTCAGACAGCCGGCGCAGATTACGATCCGACTGAATTTGTAATTCCATGGTTGCTGGGTATCTATGAACTTCGTGATATACAAATTCTTGTAGAGCAGGCTGGTCTGTCCCGGGACGAAATGCCGTGGATAGCCACTGATCAAATCGCACCACGAGACATATACCATAAGCCCGTATCTATTTGGCCTCCCTGGCCTTGCGAGTCTCCTCCTTCTTCCGCCGCCTATCCTTCTTCTGCTGTCTGCGCTCCGTCTTGGTGGCCTTGCGACTAAGCATCTTGCCACTACTCCGAGACGTAGTCTTGTCTTCGTTTGACTTGTTCTTCTTCTTTTTCTTTTCCTTGTTGTCGAATTGGATGAACTCCTCACCTGTTTTGAATTCCTCAGCTGCGCCTTCTGCCTCCATCTCTTCGTCGGAATCATCGCCCTCGGCACTGGACTGGGCAGTAGATGGCACAGCGCTGGAGACAGCCTCAGATTGAGCTGGCGAATCCTGTACAGGCGTAGAAGCAGCCTTCTTAGCGAGCATGGCGGCTTTGATTTGAGCACGCGCCCGCTCTCTAGCTTCCCGTTCTGCTCGCTCCAAATCGATCTTCTCGTTGCCAGCCTGTTCATGTTCATCAGTATGCTGGTTTTTACGCCGCTTGCATCACAATATTACTCACCAGGCCATGTTTAATGAAGCGCCCCGCAGCTGCCTTATCGAGGACCATAGTGCGCTGCTCAGGTTCGGTTTCCAGCGCCTTGATCTTGTCGAAGTATTGCCTAACGCGGGTGATTTCCCGGAAGACCGGGTGCTGCTTTGCCTCCACACCCCGGAGCCGTAGATAAGCTGCAAAAAAGGTTAATAGATGTCTTTGATGATGATTTCAAAAGCCCAACTTACAGAAGATTAATGATTCGAGAGCATAGGTTATCAGCACGTGAATTTTGGCCTTGTCCATGATGGGCATATTCTTGGACATTTTGTTCAAAGAACCGGCCAACAGCGGCTCCAGGACATCCTGCAAATCGTCCACATTGTCGTCCAGCTGCTCCAGCAGCGGTAGCACATTTGCGGTATCCATGGTGATGTAGTTGTTGGTGTCGACGAAAAGTGCAGCAAGAAAAATTAAGACCGGTGTAAATGAGGCGGTGGGTCGGGCGGTGGAGATCAGCGGGTCCGATCATTCGCGCATGGCGCTGCTGCATTTCAATATTTCCTCGGCGCGCAACGAACAGAGCTACCAGGTCAACTTGAGAAGCTCCGAGGCTCGATTCGACAATACGAAGGACAAAATGTCAATTTAAAGACTCCGCGATCATCCGAATTCCTTACGAACCGGTTTTTTTTGAGCAGAACCTCCTCCTATCATCATCCGATTCGTCGCTCGGGGAGACATCTTCCCCGAAACACCTTCAAAGTGGTTTTACAAATACTCGGGCGCCGCCCGCTATGGCGGAGCGGAGTGGTCAACATTTGCATTCAATGTCGAGTACAATTAAGTGGAGGACCTACAACAAGATTCATGTCGACATGGGTGCAAGATGTCGAAGATATCTCTCGCGAGACCAAAACGCCCGGTCTCACGGGGCGAGTGCACATCATCGGTCTCGGAAATGCAGGGACATTCATTGCCCACTCGCTTGCGTCACGACAATCACCGCCTCCAATTACCCTCCTTATGCACCAAGCCTCATTCTACCATGCGTTCCGGCGGAAGAAGCGGAGCTTGGCTGTTAACTACAACGGCCTCGACGATAACAGGACGGGCTTCGATGTCGAAGTTTTGCACGATAAAGTGTGGCACAGGATACCTTCAAAGGATGAGCAACTCGAAGCCAATGAGGACCCTGATGTTCTCGAGAGTGCAGAGGATGTGCCTGAGGAGGAAGGACATATCGAATGCTTGATTGTCTGTTGCAAGTCATATATGACCGAAAAGGTTATCAGAGGGGTTCGTCACAGACTGAGCCCCGATTCGACTATCCTTTTCATTCAGAATGGTCTGGGCATTATCGAGAAGCTTAACAAAGAGATCTTCCCGGACGAGAAGAGTCGGCCGAACTACATGCAAGGCGTGCTCAGCCACGGTCTGAAGAAACAAGACTCCTACAAGGTCGGCCACGTGAATGTTGGGTCATTGATCCTCAGCCCGGTGGTCACTGGCCAGACCCCGCTGATCGAGGCCGAGAAGGACACACACTGGGCTCCTACAACAAAGTACCTCCTACGTCTTTTGACCCTCACACCTTCGCTTGTCGCTACTGCCGATACGCCCGCTGGCATTTTGCAATACCAGCTGGAAAGACTGGCCGTTGGCTGCGTTCTCGGCTCTCTCGGTGCGATCCATGATTGCAAGAATCGCGAACTTCTGCACAACTTCCCAGTCTCTCGCACCATGCGACTGCTTCTCTTGGAGATCTCCAGTGTGATCTGCGCTCTCCCCGAGCTGCGTGGCATTCCAGGCATTGAGGATCGGTTCTCACCAGAGCGCTTGCGCCGACTAATCCTCAACGTTGCCTCAAATCGCCCCGAGGACACCAGCTCAATCCGGAACGATTTGCACTACCAGCGAAACACGGAGATTGATTTCTTGAACGGATGGATTGTGAAGCGTGGCGAAGAGCTAGGCATGAAATGCGTGCTGAACTACATGATTCAACAGCTGGTTCTGAGCAGGATGTATATCATCAATCATAGGGAGGCCAGCGCCGTCCCGATCGATTTCGATAATGTCATTCTCTCCGGTGACAAGAGCAAAGATGATTAAGGCATCAGAGCTGCTTTGATTCTTTATGCCCTAACGGCATCATTTCTATTCTTCGTGAACATATCTTTTTCCAACTGCTGGAGGATACCAAGCCTCCTTGTCACAGGTCAATGGCCTTCAGGGCGCTCTCGCAGATCTCCTTGATCTGAGCCCATCGCCGCAACAGCGTCTCCCCCTTTTGGCGATGAGCTTGCACCACTGCATTCGATTGCATCGCCGATTGCAACGACTTCATAGTTGCGTCCGCCTCGGTAGCATACGTCCGAATCCATCCCTTGATGATGGTTTCCGACTTCTTCTCATCCACCCCCTCGGTCGAGCCCTCGAGAATGTGGTTCCTCCAATCCTCTTCATTCATGTACACTAGAGCTGCCGCAACTTCGGTGCGGTAGCAGACCCCTTGGGAAATCAGTTGGTAGTTACTGGCGAAATAATTAGCGGGAGCTTGAATATACCAAGCCTTGGATATACCAAATCGGACATGTTTTGCAGAATGTCTGATCACTTACCCGTAGTATTGGTTCAGCCACAGCTCCTCTTGCTTGTCGGCGGTGTTGAGGTCGCGGAAGATGACATCGTCAAGGTAAAGGCAGTCAGAGTCATTCTTCTCCAAGAAGAACCCATCTAGAGATGCGTATTGCCATTAGCTCAGTCTAGCAAAATCATGTATTGGTGTCTCACATTCTGCCAGAAGGAAGTCATTCGGGTGACCACCATAGCTCATGTACACCTCGTCGCCCTCCTCGTAGTCTTCGGTTGCTCGCAGGGTGTACCCATCTTGATCGAATTTGACATCACACTAGTTCCAAAGTCAATCCACAACCCTCTTTTAAAACCTCCCCAGGAGAGACGGGAAAAATGACATACCTCAACATCCGAATGATTGAAGTAATCAGCAAAAGGCAACATAGCCATAGCATCATTCCGATCTTCAGGTGGTTCCTGGCCCGCGCCAACCCAATAGAAACTTCTCGTGTTAAGAATGAGCCAATGATACGAGAAAGACCGCCAGTCAGTATCAGGCAGTGCAGTGGTGACATCTGCCCACGCCTTGCCTAGACGAAGTTCCTGGCCGAGCAGAAGATTCCGGTGCTCGCTTTCATACTGCTTGAAGGGGTTCCCCTTGTCAACCGAGTTCCACCGCCCAGAGATACAAGGAGTAAGGAAGTTAGATTGGCTTGTAGGACCGCTGTCTTGGCCACTTGCTTCACTGTCGGGCCAATGAAGACCACCGAGCACTTGGGGCCACAGAATTGGCAAGCTATCTTCAAAATCTTGACGGGTAGGCCAGGCTTTGCGCCATAGTTCGTATTCTGCCAGCTCTTCCTCACTTCCGTGGGTAAAGTAGGCTGCCAGGATAGTCTGCACGGCAGTGCCTTCGGGGAACTGGTCCTTGAAGGAGGAAGGGATCTTGTCCATTGTCAGGATCACGCTGGTGGGGACTTGGACAACGGCTTCTCCTTTCTTCAGGTAAAGATTTTTGTCAGCTTAGATATTCATATGATGCCTTGATTGGTGAGGATGATGTTCTTACCTTGATTTTTCGAGTGGCTATCATTCCCAGTCCGCGACCTGGGAAACGGGCTGGGGCGACGCCAAAGGCTTCGACACCGCGTTCCATAGCCCATTCTGTGAAGGCCTCGTGGTCCTCGCCGGGCCACCACTCTGGTCGTGACATTTTGATAGAGTAATTGCTTTTTATCAAGGGACGAGGTAAACCTTGTGCAGGTTAGCATCTGTAGCAAGGGCAGTGTTTGATAAAAACGAACAATAAGCAAGTTTGAGTTTATTAGATATGCTACGGTGATTCGAAAGTGATGTTATTGGAAAGAACTGGTCATGATTCAGGAACGGAGATGTTTCCTAGTTCTTCACTTCTTCACAGTAATAAGTTTGGTGCCGATCAACAAGTGAGGGCTGGCCAATGTGGAGCAACTTATCTGTTATCGATAAGAAATAATTTATCGCCGATTACGGCAGCCCACAGCGTCCACTGCCGCCCTCTTCCCGGATATCAGACCACTCCAGTACTCTACAACCGAATGATACTCGGTGGAATATCGGGTCTGAGAACACATCATGTCGGTTCTAGGGAGGCGCGGAGCTTGCGAGCTTCGAGCTTTGGCTTCTTCTAGCTCAACTTATACTGCGAGCGCTTTGCGGCCCTTTTCTAATCTCAACCGGCCACAGCCAAATTATCCCGGCCATGTCCCATTGACTACTATTGAGCGTGGTGCTCTAGCTGTTGGTTCAGCGATTGGGTCTCTGATTAACCCACGAAGAGCAGGTATGCTAACATCCTTCCAGCTGAAAATCGCAAGCTCCACGGTCATATTCGTGCCATTGGCAGCTCCCGGTTCTTCTAGATCTACAAATCATCGACTTAAACTAATCTCCCCACCCCAGACCTAATTGCAGCCCTCGGCGAAGCCACCGCAACTCCATACTTCATTTACCGTCTCCGAGACGCAATGCTCTCCGATCCAACCGGTCGACGCATCCTCCGCGATCGACCCCGCATCACCTCCGAAACTCTCCAAATGTCCTACCTCCGCACACTCCCCGAGAACTCCGTCGGCCGCACATACGCTACTTGGCTTGACCGCGAGGGCGTGTCCCCAGATACTCGCGACAACGTGCAATATATCGATGACGAGGAATGCGCCTACGTTATGCAGCGGTACCGCGAGTGCCACGACTTTTACCACGCGGTGACGGGGCTGCCGATCTTCGTGGAGGGCGAGCTTGCGCTGAAGGCGCTGGAGTTCTTGAATACACTTCTTCCCATGACGGGTCTGAGTTTGTTTGCGTTTATTCGGATGAAGCCTGCTGAGAAGGAGCGCTTTTTGACGTTACATTTGCCGTGGGCGGTGCGCAGTGGGCTGGGTAGTAAGGAGTTGATCAATGTTTATTGGGAAGAGGTGTTGGAGAAGGATGTGGATGAGCTCCGGGCTGAACTCCATATTGAGCGGCCGCCGGATTTGAGAGAGATTCGGAAAATGATCCGGCAGCAGCAGAAGCGGGAGAAGGAGAGACAGGGGCAGATGTCGAGCTAAGGCATTCTGCTTGCGACCTGTTGCGAGGGTCCTCCGTCCTAAGGAGAATGTGTACGATTATAGTTTGGCCTGTAGAGAATATCCCCCAGGTGCCAAATGGAACAACAGCAATATCAGAAAGAAGAATTCAATCCGTCCAGGACAAGAAACCAGACCACAAACGCCTGAGATATATTTTGAGGAAGACCCGGACAGGGTGATCCAAAATGCGATAAGAAAAAATCAGGGAATTATCCAAACATTCAAACACACAAGAAAATGAGCCAGGGCTAAGCGCGAATCATGATTATCACTCAACTCTTCTACAGGTCGAGCAAATCATCATCGTCATCCCAGCCGCCTTTGCGCCGGCTAATCACAATCTTGTGTTCCTCCTCTTCCTTGCGCTGGTTCTCGGCCACGGCGTTGAGGAGCTCCTTCAGCTGTTCCTCGGTCACCTTTTGGCGGATCTGGCCAGTCTGGGCTAGCATCATGAGTCGGTTCTCGATATCGACGGCACGCGATTCCTTGACGAGGCGGATACGGCCGAGACGATCGGCAGCGGCGGGGTCGAGGATTTGGCTCATGATGGCGGCGCGGCGGTCAGCTATGATAGCGATAGGTATTAGTTTTTCGTTCGGGTTATATGAGTTGTATATTATGCGGATGTGATCCAACAAAGCGAAGGGAGAGTCCCGAGGAGCTTGCGCCGCTCAAGTCTTGCGGGATGTGGACGGTCGGTGGGGTGAGAGTGTGGTCACATACATTCAGCTTGCCTGTATGGTAACCATTTTATTAGTCTCTTCGTAGTTCGCAAAAGCCGTGGGGCCGATAACTTACCTCCTCTGGTCTTCCTGGCCACCTTCTTGGCTGGGACCTCCGCGCTGGCCGCCCTGCTGCTGCTGGAGCTGCGCAAGGCGAGCTCGCCTGATCTATGTGATTGTCAGAAGATGAGCTGTGGCGATCATGGGGGGAGATGCGGACCTCTTCCAGCTCTGCGTCTGCCATGGTATCAGTTAGTGCACGTGGATTGGTGCTTGAAGTATGAAGTGGTTTATTGGAGGGGAACCGTTAAAGGCGTGGACGAAGATTGAATTGGTTCCAACCCCACTTCCAAGTTCCGCCTGAGGCTGCCACGCGGGGGCGTCATTAGTCCAACTATTTGTATACACTAGACTGCGATTCTAAGTTTCATAGCGACTATTGTACATGTAAAGAGAAATAAATACATAGAAGAAATTGATTCATGTCACATTCCCTATTCTAGACTCTAAGGAGTACCTGGGATACTAATACTAGCTCGCCGATTGTGAGAGTTTCTTGGCTACCGATGCCATGTCCCTGGAGATGGATATATATATTGGCAGACCTTATTTTAGGATACTAATGAGTAAACATAATTAGAACATAAAAACTACCTAAATTCATAATATATCTTACCGTATTACCAAGAAATATATTATCGTATGTGAGATTAAGCAGCTAATTCTATAGAATGGTGGAGTTCACTTCCTACCTACACGACCTAATTGACTTGGAATTCCATATTTGCGAAAGAGAATGACTTATTATCAGCGATGATCAAAGTTAACAAATGGCAACATGCGCAGCAGATTAAGTGAAAAGGCAGCCGAACGCATCGCTCGCGAGATGGGAGGCTACGGTATGGCAATTTTCCACTAACGAAAAGTATTTGATGGACTTTCATGCGCTACGATGGGGACAAAGCTCTAAGTTTGGCCACGAAGGTACACTCCTTGAGAATGCTATGAATCCTACGCCTTATGAGGACGAGTTTGCCATTTACAATAGGGTCATTTATAGGGGCCAGGTCTCGAATGATATCTCGTCGAGGGGGCGAGATGGCCGGTATCTTGAATATCTGCCATGATTCACTATTTTCTGGCCTCCGCTACAGCTAAGTAGATGCGGCGAAGATTCCAGGATTTTTTGCATCGCAGTTACAGTACTCTAGTTCTTTCTCTCACAACCCTCGAACCAACAGGAAATCATTATTCCAATACACAAGCTGCAGAGTCTGCAAAGAAGACTATTCTTAAAGTGCTGGAAGATGTCAAGATACTTTGCTCACAAGCGAGGCATTAAGAGAGCTTTATCACCGAGTATATTCTGTGGAAAAGGCGCTAGGTAGATTTGAATGACATTTGGGAGACCAGAATCTTCTACTCTCACTATTAGAGTTCAACATCATCTTGGGAGGGGAATTCAGAACAATCAACATGCCTATAGAAGATACCTAATGATCTAATCGCATGCTACCTGTTGTTCATTTCTGGTGATAATGTTTCATTCTCTTTGGCCAATCTAGGGCTGCTTCTTCATCAGAGATAGTCATCGAGGTGGAAGTAAATCTGGTGTAGCGGTCCAGTTAGCTGGTTGATCCAAGGATGGGAATTCAAAGTGAGAGTCACGGGGATTTCCATCGCCATACCCATGGGATTTTCCAATACATCCAGCCCCTCGCTCAAGAGCCGCATCTATATGTTCTACAAGACATCTCAGATATTCCAACCCGAGTTAATTGAATTACTGGTCCACTCTTTGAAAACAAATGAAAGGTTGTCAAACTCATCGCTCACAAAATTGAAGGATAGCATCACAATGCAAACCTGAAAGGGGTTGATAGACCTTTGCCCAATTGTTCCTGTCTAGGACCTGGAAAACGGCTAGTTGCAGGGACAACAATCAGCTTCCTATGACTGCTATCAATATTATGGATGGTGAAGCGCGACTTTTCCAAGAGATCAGGATTATCTTCGTGGTATTGCGAGTATTTCTATCTTAGATTTCTTTGTGCTGCATCCTTATATTCGTTAATGGCAGCTTAGTGAATGTGCTAATGGTTCTAACACGGTAGGCTAGCTAAGGCAGACATACGTTGAATTGAATGCTCTGTATCCATAGCCGGTGAATTTCACCTAGATCTAAACCAGGGTTCACCCACCGTCATAGAATTTCGAATATTAATTGTCCCACCCGGAAAAACTCCGAGTTCCTCATCCGGGCAGAGGATCTATCCTGGCGCGAGGTGAGATTTGCAATCTGCCAGTCAGCCCCATGGACCCTGAGTTTGGGGGCCAGAGGGGCGGAAAGTGGATGTTTGGTGTCGTGTTGGGCGAGTGGCGGACGTGTCGGCACGCCGCCTAGCAGAACTACAACAAGCCATCTTATAGTTGGTCTTGGCCCAAGCATCCGCGGAATTACTTCTCGATCGAGCTTAGAGCTCTCTTGGTACTCTTGGCGTCGGGCATGGACTTTCGGCCCTCCAACATAATAATGGTAATTACGCCCATTGCCGGTTGATTTGAGCATCCATAACGATCTTCCAGGCGATCCATCTGGTCCACTGTATAGTCTACAAACCGTCAAACCAAGTTTATACGCATGGTCCCTGTTCGGCCATGATAACTGGAGGATTGATGCCATAGATTGCAATTGATTCAGTGGCATAGAGCCCTCAGCCGCGGATTCAGGTTAGCACAATCAACTCCTTGAACACCCCACCGGCGCAGCCAGTCAGTCTCCAAAAGCATTTCGCACACCTACAGCTCAGCCACCGCCTCCTAATCACACGGCTACCCTGGACTACTGAAGAATTTTCAAATTGTGCTATCGCTTGGAGATTCGATGCTGTGGACTCCAGGAACTTGACAAATGAATGCGGTGTATTTCCTGCAGAGACATAAGCCAATTCTACTAGCTGCTTGAAATGCTTCATTTCGGTTAGAGTGCCGAGACTTCTTTAAGATTAAATGCCGAGACTTGGATATAATAGGCGGTCTTTGGACTGCCAGTTTTGTGTTTAATAATTTCGTCTACAGTTTTGAAACTGCGCAAGCAAGTCAATAGTTATTTACGCTACGTCAGGCTGCAAACATGGCGCTGGGTTGGCTTGGCCAACGTCGCATCGTGGCCAGACGGTGGAATGCGTGGGTGACTTTGTTCATGACGCTAATGCTTGGGGTAACGTCCAACGCAGCTGCGCTGGCAACGAAGACTCTGCAGCCACGCGCCCCAATTGCTGATGGTATTGAACTGAGAGTGCTTCCTATTGGAGAGTAAGCCTTAACCGTGATATTTCTTTGACCCAGCTAGACATTTTTGACACCTAGAACAGTTCGATTACCTGGGGAGCACAGAGCTCTGACGATGCAGGCTACCGCAAGTACCTCCATGATATGCTCGACGCTCGAGGGAACGAAGTGGACTTTGTGGGATCAGTCACGAGTGGAACTGACCTCGCTGATAATGAGCACGAGGGACATCGAGGCGAGACCATCGAGGGGATTACTCATGATAGCCTGACTGGGATCTACGCCGCCACCAACATTGTTCTGCTCCATGCCGGGACGAATGACATGAAGGGTGATGTTGATGTAGCAAATGCACCCAGCCGTCTAGGGGACTTGATTGATTTGATCTTCGAGCATTCTGAGGATGCAGTGCTCCTCGTTTGTCAGATCATTCCCTCGACAACAAGCGCGTACCAGACTCGGATTGACGACTTCAATGCAGCGCTGCCTGCCCTAGTGGAGGACTATACCGCCAAGGGCAAGAAGGTGGCTTTGGTGGCGATGAACAAGGCCCTCACTACTGCTGATCTGGCGGATAACCTGCATCCAAATGATGGAGGGTACAAGAAGATGGCAGATGCATATTATGCGGCCATTGAGGCTGTTGATGAAAAGGGTTGGATCTCGAAGCCAGGTGAGTATCTCAGCCCGCCAACGAATTCAACGTCTTCAGAGGGTTGCAAGGCAACACCATCGTGGTACAATGTCGGCCGGATCGCAACTGGCGCCAAAGTTGCTACTTCTGATGGTCTGTTCCAGCCTTCGTGGTATAAGAAGGGTGTTATCGCGGAGGGTGCCTGCCCCCGAGCTCAGCTCCACTTTATGGACCTTGATGGGGATGGGCTGAAGGATTACGCTTGTGTTGATCCGACAACGGGAGCAACGGACGTCTGGCTTAATATTCCAGATGCCGATGGAAAATCCTCTGGAAGCTGGAATAAGCTGGGGGAAGTGGCGACGGGTGCAAAGGGGCGAGATGGCAGGGGGGTGATGTTTGCCGAGTGAGCATTCGCAGTTCTCCTTGGGGAAAAAAGGTGTCCTGCTAACCGTATTCTAGTTTAAATGGCGATGGCAGGGATGACTATATTTATGCTGACCCAGATACTGGAGACGTTTCAGCGTGGATCAATCGGTTGAAGAGCGATTCGGGTGTGTGGCAGTGGCAGTCGCTCGGCCGCATTGCCGGGGGAGTTGGTGCTACCAACGACACTCTTCAAATGGTGGACATCGACGGTCAGCGATTTGAATACCCTCTTTGAGACTATAGCATTTACTGATTGACTGGACAACTGTAGGTGATGGAAGAGCTGATTTCTGTCTCGTTAATCAGAGCACTGGGGAAGTCACCGGTTGGTTGAATACCGGGGCGGATGTTATGCCTGATTACTATAAACTGGGTGTCATTGCCACTGGAGGCTCTGCTGCCCCGGGAACAACAGTGTACTTGGGTGACTTTACAGGCGAAGGAAGAGCCGACTATATGATTGCTGGCGAGGGGGGCAAGGTAAAGGCAATGACCAATCGGCTGCGGGAAACCACTCTCATCCCCCGGTGGTTGGACGCATTTGTTCTTGCAGAAGGGCCCGATGGTGCTGAACAAGACCAAGTCCGCCTGGTCGACATGACCGGTGATGGCAGGGTAGATTATTTGCTTGTGGATGAGACAACCGGAAAGGTCACTCTCTGGGAAAACAACGGCACTGGAGGGAAGTACCAACCTGGAGAAGGGGTTATCCTATGTGACTGTGAGTCTTGCAATCTCATTCCTGGTCGACGGGAGTTCTCTAACCCGGTGGTATCTTAGTGGATGGCGATGGCACTAGCGATTACTTCTGGGTTGATCATACTGGCAAAGGCTGGGGCTACCTCAACACAGGCAAAGGCACCGACAACTGGAATGACTTGGGGCAGATTGCGTACGGGGATCACAAGCGGGAGAATATTCGAATGGCACGCCTGACATCAAGCAAGCGTGCCGATTATGTGGTTCTTGATGAAACCACGGGGCAAGCCGAGTGGTTTGAGAACTTGGGCCCGGATCAAGGCTGGGGCTGGAGGTCTCGCGGGGAGATTGCAGCAGGTCCCAAAACCACCATCGAAACCCAGTTTGGCTGGCAGTTCAAGGCCAAGAACGTACGATTCGCCGAGTAAGTAGTTGATCTTTTGTTTGAACAGTTCGAGTTGGCTCATCAGATTTGTTTATTCAGTTTGGACGGAGATGGTCTCGATGACTACGTCTACGTAAATGACCAAGGAGCCACTGTCATGTGGCGGTTTCGGGGCCTTGAAGCACCGTTCTACGAACCGGCCAAGTTAGTTGCAGATGGAGTGGGTGTTCTCGCCCAGCAAGTCCAATTTGCCGATACCAATGGCGACGGTCTGCTGGATTACGTGGTAATAGGTAGCACCACTGGGAGTGCGCGGTCCTGGCACCATCTTGGCTTTCGAGATGATGGTTCCATCCGGTGGAATACGCCGCTCAGTTTCGCGGACGGGGTGGGTACCCCAGGACGGACGATCAGAATCACAGAGGCAAGTGAACTTTTGATATACCTATAACCTGTGATTTCTTCGCTAACCTCACGTCTTCTGTTCAGATGACCGGCGATAAGCGTGCAGATTATGTGTCCATCAACCCTGACAGCGGCAGCCTCAGGCTCTGGGAAAACCGCTGTTGGACCATCCCAGCTGGTCTTGACGATGGCTCCAATTATTCTGAAGATGACGACGGTGTTGATGCCTTATGGACATGGCTGCACTTTCAGGGCTGCAGTAAGGACCAGCAAAAGGCAATTAAAACAGCCCACGAGGATGCGGAGACCATGGCTGACCTGGTCAAATCGATTGACTTTGCCAACGACCACGGGGCTATGGAGTTTTTGGACCACCTGCGCTTAACAAGGACTACCAGGACAGCATCCAGGCTATCTTCAACCATATTTCCACCTTCAGACTAAGTGACGTGTGGCCGGGCTACAGGATGAATGCGCGATGCAGCACTGCCCTTGATGAAAAGTATCAAGATCGATGCCAAAACCCCGGCCTGGCTGCGTACACCTGGAATACGAAGACTGATGCTGAAGACCATAACACTGCCCCGAGGTACAACAAAGATGACGCCGTGTCCAATATGCATTTCTGCGACCAGTTCTTCGAATACAAGGCATTGGATACAGTCGTAAACAAAGAGAAGGATAAAGACGACTTCAAATGGAGATACAATGTTGACAAATACAGAAACCAAGGTAAACGCACCGTGCTGATACCCTTGCCTAGTCACCGAACTAATCTTACACATCTAGGATATATCATGCTGCACGAATTTATGCATGCCAGCGTTATGACCTACAAGCAGAACAAAAATCGCTGGATAGCAGATTACCGCATGCAGATGTATGAGTACGAAAAACAGACGGGTTCCCCACCCCGCTATAAGAGGAAAATAGTCGTGCACGATATCTATAAGCCGTACTACTGCAAAATCCTTGCCCGAAGTGCCAGAGAACATATTGTCCAAGACGCCATCACCTTAAACGGTTAGTTAGGATCATCCCATTCCCTGCAGTTGAAATTATCAACGCTAATACAAAATCCCCATCTCAGCTGATAATTATGCACAATACGCCTTGTGTTTGTTGATCCCCATCTTACTATCCAACCAACATGAATTAACCTATCTATAGCAAAATACGTCCAGTCAAAGCTGGCCGATAAGCAGTACCCATGGTTGCCTCTCGCCGATACGGAAGCATTGACCTGGTGGGAAAAAAGCAGCGCCGCCCTGTTTTATGACACCGACGGAACGTACGGAATCAACCTCGATGCTCTCCCTACTGATCTTACCACCAGCGATGATGGAGACTACTCGGCCCACGATCTAGGGGATGACGAAATCATCATCTCCTCAGACCAGCCTGATACAGACGTAATTACATCCCAGTCTGATTATACAGATTCATTCAATAGCCAACTCGCGCTATGGAGCTCCTTCGTTCATACCCCGGATCCCGATTGCGCCAAATCGGGAGACTCCGCCCCAGACGGTCGGTCGTCCTTCTCTGTGGATGACGCCGATGCCAGTATCAAGGATTTCTGCAGTGACACGAACCTGTACAACGTGGTTTTCACTCCACCTATTAGCCAGGGCACCGGGCAGACTAAGGATGGTAACACCAAGGCTCTCGGCGCGAGTGGGAGCTACGAAATAAATGGCGGTAAAGACAAGCTGTGGGTCGGTGCCTACTTTGCCAGTGGGAGTTGCACGGGAATGTATACCTGGCCACCAACTGGCGAGGGCCTCCGCGATACCGACCTCTGCCTGGATAGGTTTAGGGCCATCATGAATGGGGTATGTGATATTCTGATCAGAGAGTGATCACCCCACACTAACAAGCCCTGATAGTGCGATGAATCTACAACAAAGGCAAAGTACGGAGGAAGTCTGGATGAGACCTGTCTGGTCTACCAGGTCATGGCCGTGGGCAGTGATGAGTCTAATCCCACAGGCACCATCCCCAGCGGGAACCATGGCGACATCAAATGCGAAGACACGGACGGCTTGGTTGGAGGGAAGGAAACCTGCACCTGCTGGTACGAGAACCTTCCAGATCAAAGGGAAGTCTTTGGTCTCCCCAAGACTGGGGGTTGTGAAGATATTGACTTCAGGCCGGCATGGACCTATTCCGAAGACCCTGACTATCGGCCTGAGAATATTGTGCCGTCTTAGGCATACCTTTTTTTAATGTGTAGGTAGATTGATTGAGTAGGCTCCTTATGGGAATGAAGCTGAAGACATATAAATCCGATGGCCGAGGATGGCTTTTTTTCTGCGCGCCAGTGCATAGTAGATCACACCAAGTCCTCCATTATTGTGTAATCATGCTTGAGTGCGTTATTTTTGAGAGAGGGACGGGAAGATAGAGTACCTCAAAAAAAGAGGCACGGTAAACGAGGTCTATCTAAAAGTAAGTCGCAACGTAAATAGTATTATAGGGTAAAGTGCTCCGTGCTCCTTATGTTACGGATTGGTGCCTCAGGATTCTGCCAAAGCGGTGGCGGTTCGGCGTAATAGATCTTGCATAAGTAAGCATTTATGATTTCACTAACTAGTTAGTTAAATTGCTTTGCCGAGCAAGGCCATGTGCTGCGCCTCCGCTAAGCGGGGGCAGAGCTGTACTCCGTATAGTCCAGTCCGTACGTCCGTACTGTCCATACCCCGTCCTCTTAGCGTAGCGTATTGAATTCCTAGGGCCAGCTGGGCACATCATCAGCCGGGCCTAAGAACTCCGATCGTCCTAATTACCCGACTAACAAGGGATCGATGAACAGTGCGCGAGATCGGCTGCGAACTTCCGGCTTAGTCGCGACGGAATACGGAGAAGTAATGTCCATCGATACTCACTAGTATCGATTCAGGCGGAACCTTAGCTGCTTAGGCTCGCGGGTGGCCAAAAATGCCGATTGGGCTCCCGCCTGGACCTGGTGAATAGGAAGAAAATCAACATGATTATTGAACAATACACAATGAACTACAGTATATCTATGTCTATATTATTAAATTAGATATTTATTTAGATATCCCTAGCTATCTGTTGTGTCCAAAAAATAAACTGGATTCGTCGCTCTGCACGTTCGCGGGTCGATCACCTGCTTCCGGTGTGATAGCATGACTAAGCGCCCTGTTCGCCTCACGCTGCGACCCCCCGATCTCTCTTCGCCTCTTGCTCGCCATCGGTGGAGATAACACCCACCGGAGTCTTGAACTTGTCTATTCTCTTTCTCTACAATCCTTTCTGTCGGTCCTTTTCGCCCACATCTGACTCTCCCTCCTCGACCGCCGTCGTCCGGTCTCCTCAGCACGCAAACCTCCCCGATCCGAACGCTTGCGGGGGTTGCCTCTACTCTTCGATCCTTGGCTTCCATTCAGTGAATGGATTCGGAGACTCGGTATATTTCAGTGTGCCTTTGGGCTTGATATCGATTGTGGTGACAATTGGAGAACAAGACCCCGGCTATCGCAACCTACATTCCTTCAACGCCGTTTACGTCACTCAACAATGGCCGAGTAAGTCCTCCGAAGGAAAGGCGATTGCGATGCGATTAGGTTGCTAACCCGACATGTCAGTTTAATTGCCTTTCAAACATACCATCATAGTAATCTGCTTCCGCCGTCCTCGACCATGATCCCGCGACACGCCCATAAGCGGTCTCTGTCCTCCGAGCATCGGGCCCTCTCCCCGGACAGGACTGTGACCAAAGCCAAGTCCACGACCAATCTCTCCGACGCCGTGAACCAACAGCACCCCAAGTTCGAAGAAAACAACTTCAATACCTTGCAAGACCCGCGATTGGTCATTCCCTCGGAAGTTTCGTCTTCAACGTCATCGTCTCATCACCCCGACTTGAGCAATGAAGTGGCCGCCCTCAGCGTGAAGCTGATCCAAGCGATCAACAACCAGACCACTTTGGATGACAATCTAGTTGCCACGCGACAAGAGCTGGAGACCGCATTGGGGAAAATCCAGGCCCTGGAATTCCAGAATGAGAAATACCGAAAGGATATTGCCGAGAAGGTCTATGTCAAGAAAGCCGATGCAGATATCGAGCTTATGCGGTTAAGAGGTCTTCTTGCAGAGGAGTGTGCCCAGCGTTCGAATGCGGAAAAGGCGAAGAAGTCAATTGAACAGGAGCTGGAGACTCTCACGGCTGATCTCTTCGAGGAAGCCAACAAGGTACGTCTTGGTGATTGCACGTGTTTTGCGCTTGCCCGGAGGAGACGGAGCTGACCGTTTTCTAGATGGTTGCCGCAGCTAAGATCGAGCGTGAAGCGGTCGAGAAAAAGAACGAGCAATTGCGCTCGCAGATCAAAGACACAGAATCCCTTCTCGCATCGCATCAAGATCAATTAGCAGAGCTTAAATCGGTCATACAAGGAATGCACCTCTCCAGAGATGACTTGGATCTCCGAACCAATGCCTCCACCGCGCCTCCATCTCCGGCCGGTCCACCACAATTGTCAGGCTCTTCCAAGCAGGACCTCGAGTTTGAGAATGCTACTGCACCCATTTGCAACCCTGAAGAGTTGATTCCTGGGCCGACTTGCAACTTCCCCGACATGATTCGTTTGGTGTGCCGGACTGATCTGCTGGCCTACGAAGACTTCAAAGAGTTGATGACGCTTCCACGGAGCTCGAAGCCGCCAAGTCGGGCGGGCAGCGGCTCTTACGCTGGCCTGAATGTCATGAGCTTGGCGAGTTTTGCGACTGGTGGATCCGCCTCGACCACTTCCTCGCCTACTAAGGGCGTCACGCATTCTCCGAATGGAAGCCTCTCCTCGCAGACGGGCTCGCATATCCCATTGAAGGAAACACGCTTCTACAAGCGTGTCCTCATGGAAGATATCGAGCCGACATTGCGACTCGATCTTGCCCCCGGTATTTCATGGCTTACCCGGCGTACAGTTCTGAGTGGTATCTGTGAAGGTACCCTTGTTGTGGAGCCCATTCCCCCAGCGAGCAAGAAATTCGAGTTCCCATGCTCTGTTTGTGGTGAACGCAGGCCCGGTGCGGAGACCGAGCGTACTCACCGTTTCCGAACCTCAGATAGCGAGACGGCCCAGCGGTACTCTCTGTGCATTCAGTGTCTGGAACGTGTTCGTTCATGCTGTGAGTTCACTGGCTATCTGCGCCTGATCCTCGACGGCCATCTTCGCGCAGGTGATGTCGATGAGGAGAAGGAGATTTGGGAAGAGACTATCCGTTTACGGGAACGCATGTTCTGGTCTCGCATCGCAGGTGGCATCGTTCCGTTGGTCGCCGCACCCGTCGAATCGCGATCGGATCCAGAAATCACAGAGACGAGCATCAGTGTCCCCGATGATCACCATCTGCACCCAGATAACGCCGTCGTGGACTTGAACCCCGTTGATGTATCTCCAAGGTCGGAGATTCCTCATATTTCTCAACCTGTACCCCCCGAAACTGTTGTCCAAGATCACGAAGTGGCCAAACCTATGACACCTGAAATCCCCCATCTTGATCGGCATGGTGTCGATGACTCTGCTGATGAAGCGCTGCAAAGACGCGGCTCCGTTGACTCTGATGTCAGTATATATGAAGAGGCTAATGCGGAAGTCGCTGACGGCAGTGAGGAGACTGTCACTGGGCAGATTTCGGCTACCCATGAAAACGAAGACACCGAGGCGAGCTCTGAAACCATGACTCCTGTCAATGAGCCGCACACACCTACTCAAGAGCAGGAGCCCGAAGTCAAGGCTGACATTACGGAGCCTGTCGTCCAGCCACCGACGCCCACTCATGAAGTCGAAGGCACCGAAGCCAACGTCGACGCTGTGGAGACTATTGCTGAGCAGGCGTCGTCTACGCCCGAGCAAGGAAAGACCGAAGCCAACGGCCGAAGCAGCTCATAAGCTGTATTGATCTTGTTTCCAGGATCAACATGAGTACGACGATCACACGGCTAGCCCGGTGTTTCATGACCTATCTGACGCATTGCCTGCATATCTCATCAAAGACGCTGATAGACACACATTCTTCTTCTTTCGACGACGCTGCATACCCCCTTTAATCGTTCATGTTTCTTCAATTCCCTCGGATGCACTTTGCATCCATCTCATTTTCCTTCTCGTCGATATCCCATTTTCTCATATTGAGCAGCGCGCCTTTTCCTCTATACCTGTATTATTAACCCTACCTTTGCATTCACATCATTATTCTTATTGTGTATACATACTAATGTTGTTTCTTTTTTACACTCTGCACTTTTCTGTCTCGGGTTGGGTCCAGAGGCTTGTTTGAGTTTGTTTTTTTCTTCTACACTACTTGGTGAGATTTGTATTTTGGTTTGGAGTCTTTGAGTTGACCGACCAGTCGAGCTAGAGAAATGAAGTTTCGACTTTGAGTGTACCTAATACGGTTCCAACTGTATCATTTGTTCTTAGGGTAACTCTTACTTCAGAATTGGCCTAGGCGTTGCCCTTCTGAGGAGGCTTCAAGGATGCTATAGCTACTTTGCAATAGTCCTCGTAATGTTTACCACTCTCCATTAGTAAAAGCAGTAGAAATAACCAGCTTTAATTACTCTACTGACCATGTACATCCTCCATCTCTTCGCCCTCCAATGTCCATAACAATCCGGTCCACGTGACAGTATACATTGCCACCGCCAGGGGACAGCCAATCAGCACTCGGAAAATTTCCATCGGAGTTTGCCTGTTGGCCCCGACTGACTCAGCCATTTCTAGCTTCTTCCGAGTCTCCACCCCATACTTTTATCTACTCAATTCCTCCCTCTTCCTCCTGTTCACGTATACACCGTCTCTCACATACAACCCACACACTCCAAAATGCCTCGCCAACAACGCCGTGCCGCTCCCACCCCTGCGCGTAGCGCTCCCACCCCGCCCTACCGCGGCCCCTGCCCGCCCTGCCGCGCCTGCTCCCCAGCAGTCGCAGCCTCACTCGACCGCCGCGTATCCCCACCAGGCTGCTCCTCCCATGCAGCAGGCTGCCCCCGTCCAGCAGAGCTCTGGCGGTGGCTTCCTGAGCCAGGTCGCCTCGACCGCTGCGTAAGTGTCCTCTCCCGAGTCTACAAGACTCCGAACCCCGAACCTCGGGAATATCGCCTCATCCGAGAAAATCCGGGGTCGGGGAGACTTTTGCCTCACCCCCGGCTATTTTGAAAAACTTGCGCGCTAACGAAGGGTTTCTTTGTGTATTGTAGTGGTGTCGCTGCCGGTCACGTCGCTGCTACCGGTATCACCAACGCTCTCGGCTGGGGCTCTAGCTCCCACGCCGCCCCCGCTGAGCAGGCTGCTCCCGCCCAGAACCAGGCTATGGACAACGGTCTGTGGCAGGGCAACGCTACCCAGCAGTCCTGGGAGAACCCTGCTTGCGAGACTGATATCCGCAACTTCCGCCGGTGCATGGACGAGAACAAGGGTGATATGTCTATCTGTGGTTGGTACATGGACCAGCTGGTACGTGTTGAGAATCGAGAACCCCCTTTCCAGTCTACCCTTGACAGGATGGATGTAATTTTCTGGATCGATTGCTAACAACTTCTACAGAAGGCTTGCCAGGCTGCTGCTAAGCCCTACTAAGCGTTTTTTCCTAGCCTAGAGCTGGAAAATGGGCTTAAGGGGTTTCTTGAATACGGCCGCGCTATCTTCGTTTCCTTTTTTATCATTATTTAAAACTACGTGAGCGGGTTCTCTTCTGAGACGGCTCTTGGATGTAATCATCTTGCATTGCGACTTTGATATCGCACTCTGTACTCTATACCATCTCTCCTCGTTATTGAAATCAAATCATTCTCCGTGTTCTGCGTCTTGAGCTGATGGCAGGAATTGTCCACTCGGGGGCAGAACATGGAACAAACGAAGAATCTTAAGACAACATTTTGAATATCATTGTATCGACGTAGGAAGAAGTCAGAGAGCAAGGCCTATGGGAGCGAGCATGGTCGCTATTCCTACTACTCAGGTTCAGAAACCGACCTATGTTCATGATACAATATCCCATAAAGCTATTCATATTGAAATTCGAAACTCAAACCTCGCCAAAACACCTGTGCAAAGAGAAAAGACCAGAAACATGAGTAGAAGCGCTTGCTGGATCTGTGATCCACTGCCGAGCCTCTCATACAAATCCCCCAATATCAAACTCAGTCATCCTTGCGATTCTGATCCCGCGGCTCAAAGTTCAACTAGAAGAATATCAATTAGTAGGAGCCCAACCCAAACCTCATTCAACATGAATTAACCCACCTGATTCCCATTGTAAAATTGACTGTCATCACGTTCATTCTGTTGATCACGCAGCGTCCGAATATTCAATCCACCCGTTCGCGGTCGTCGAGTATTCTCACTCGGTGGAGGACTAGGCGGCGAAGGCTGCGGGCTACTTTCCGGTGCACTAGATCCATACCCAATAAACGAGCCAACTAGACTAGTAGCCGAGCTTGCAACGGACGAAACCACATTGTAGACTGCAGAAATACCACGCGCAGGCAAGCTGGCTGCCGCGGAGGTGTAAGCCTCCGTGTATGAAGCGACAGGGACCATGACCAGGGTTGCAGTTGAATCGAGGCCGATTTCTTGGAGGGCTTGGGATTCTTCGGCTACGGAGAGCGTGCGGCTGGGTAGCGGGGTGAGGATGTGTTTGAGGTTGTAAGGTCGTTTGTCCTCGGTCATTTGTTCGTCTAGCCATGGGCGGACGTCTTTGCGTATTGTTTGGGTCGGGGTGAAGCTTGATCGGATGGAACGGCCGTCGAATAGGCGTACTTGGAGTCGATACTGGCTGGGAGGTCCCTTCGGAGCTGGTGGTTGAGGTTTCGGTTCCTCATCTTCAACGGTAGGCGCGGGGGGCTTGCGAATTGCTGGCTTGGTCGATTTCTGAGATGTTGTGGCTGTCTTCTCTAGCACATGGGCCGGTGTCTTCCCTTTATCTTGTCTCACTGGTTGGGGCTTTGGAGGTGTAGGCTTTGCTGTTTCCTGCTTGGCTGGTTGCTTCGTCGGCTTCGCGCTTTCTTGTGGTCTTTGTGGAGCAGATGTGCTTTGCGATGGCCGCCTGTAGGCCGGGGCACTAATGGGGGCGAGGGGTATAGTAGCCTGGTCGGAAGAAGACGAGTTGGTATTCACGGCGGGTATGCTGGCTTGTAGTCGCTGAGCTGGAACGGGAGTATAGGCCTTCTGTTCACCCAATACTGCAATAATCCGGCTCTTGAATTCGTCCTTCGATACTCCTGGCAGCAGATACTCCTCCATCTTGCCATTCCTGCGGGGAAATCAATTAGATTTGGGAATTGTACAGCAAACGAACTGTATGCGCCACGAATCACATACTTGATAACAATTAGAGCCGGGAATTCGGCAATGGGACAGAATGAGCTCAGAAATCCGGCTTCCTGGGTTCCAGCAGTCAGGCGCAACAACACTGACTTATCGCCGAGAGCTTGCACAACCTAAAGAGTAGTCAGCACCGACAGGATCCAGGTCTAGGGGTCCTTTTGAATTATGAACATACCTCATTGTCTGAGAAGAACTCCTCCTCCCAAGTCGAGCTCAGCTGGGCATCATCTGCGCGCCGAACACGATTAGATGTGGCTGGAAGCTCAGGATGCGGGGAGATACCGACCTCGAACAAAACAAACCACCGCCTTTGCCTCCCTCACAGCGAGAGCAATGCCCTCCTGCAATGACCCTTCATAGAATATCGTCATGATAGCATACCACTGAATAGCAGGTTTGTCGTTGTGTTGTCAAAGCTTCAAGCTGGATTGGAGTGTAGCCAGATATACTGCGGAGAAGCAGCTCGGGGAAGCCGGAGAGGCGTGACCGCCCTCCGCTTGCCGAGTCCCAAATTCGCGAGCCTCCGCTCACTTTTGTCTTTTCTTGACTACGCCGATTCCCAATTACGCACCAAACGGGATCTCTCTCGCGATTATGCGGTCGTTATTTTCAGTCCTTCAAAGGACTGCCCCGACAGCCTGGACACTTCCAGTCCGCGGTGCGCAGAGTAGCGCCCCTGCATGGAAGGTGGACTCTATCTGCACCCGATGTCGTCTACAGCAGAAGCGCCAATTCTCGAAGTCGCGCCAACTGACCGAGAGTTTGCTGAATGTCGACCACCCGGCAAAGCTTGTACGAGTCAATCAGAAACATGGACCTGGCTTGATTATTCTTGGTCAGTGGTATTCAACTGCTGCGTCGAGGCGACGCTAACTTATAATCCTCTCTATACAGCTCTGATCCCGATTATCGCCTTCGGCCTGGGCACCTGGCAAGTTCAACGCTTGGACCGGAAGACAAAGATGATTGCCAGGTTTGAAGACCGCCTAATCAGACCTCCACTTCCGCTGCCGCCGCGGATTGACCCCGATGCGATTGCCGAGTTTGATTACCGCCGTGTCTACGCTACTGGCCACTACCTTCACGACAAGGAGATGCTAGTTGGACCTCGCATGAACGAGGGTGAAGATGGGTTCCTCGTTGTGACGCCTCTGGAACGTGGTGATGGTCAAAGTACCGTGCTGGTCAACCGGGGCTGGATTTCTCGGAAGTTGATGAACCAGAAGGACCGGCCGGAGGGACTGCCAACGGGAGAAGTTACCGTGGAAGGACTGCTACGAGAGCCGTGGAAGAAGAATATGTTTACGCCAGAGAACAAGCCCGAGGAGGGCAAGTTCTATTTCCCTGATATTGAGCAGATGGCTGAGTTGGCGGGCAGTCAGCCCGTTTGGATTGAAGAGACTATGAGTAAGATATATATGGTCCTCGGACTATTATCACATGCAGCTGACCCTTTTCTCAGTACCTGATCTGCTTGAGACGTACGATCGCATCGCCAAGGGACGGCCCCTTGGTCGCGCCGCGGAAGTCAACTTGAGGAACAATCACGCACAGTACATTTTCACATGGTAAGTCGAGCTCACTCGGATGGATAGCCCCGCGTGTGTTTGGACATTCGCTTATAGCGTTGCAGGTACGGCTTGTCCCTAGCCACATCCATCATGCTGTGGATGGTGGTGCGCAAGAAGCCCAATGATGCCCTGCGTCGGGTGCGCCAGAACCGCAACTGGGCATAGACTGCATATAGTCATCTTTTGCATCTTGCATCGGCGTTTCTGGGGTTTGTATGAGTATTTTTGTGTGTTGGCCTCAGGGCATTCATGGAGGCATGGCCAGTCTCATATCCTGTTGTAGCTCCTTGGGGAGATGCTTCTGAGCTAGGGAGAATACCGTTGTGGAGCTATTGATATGACGTTGCCTGAGAAAGTTAGCAAGATTCAAGGATACTGGACTTGGTGCGACATACCTCCTCATCAGGGTGGTCACATCACTCTCGTCGATGGTCTTACGACCAGCGTGCTTGGAATACGCGGCCAAATCCTGGCTGACTTGTTCAAAGTACCACGAGGATGCCTGCTCGATGGCAGCTAGCGTAGCTTTGTTGATCTTTGTCTTGGAACCAGCTCCCGTGCGGGCAAATTGAGTGGCCAACTTCTTGACCACTCCAGCGGGCAAATTTGGCACGGGGATTCCATGACGGGAAAACTTCTTCTGCTTTCCCTGCGTGGGGAACCCCTCGTCCCGCAGGCCACCTCCAATGATTCCAGGGCTTTGGCTTGGAGATGCGGCTGTTGGGAAGTCGAGACCAAACCCAAAGCCGCCAGTTGCGTCATTGCCATCGTCCGATGGCGTCGCAGGTACCGGCTGGATGTCGCCCGCAGACAGTTCAAATCCGTCCGTGTACCCGTCCTCCCCTTCCAATGGCTCATCATCCATTGGATTTGCATTCGGAGATGGGAAGTTCATGTCGAAATGGAACCCGCGCAAGTCCTCGGTCTCTCCACTATTTGTCAAATATTAGCCTCATATGTATCATAGAGAAATATCGAATATCCTGTTTTGTATAAACGTACCCTCGATCAAATTCACCTCCACTGATCATGGTATCATCTCCAAAACCGTCATCAATTATGATGCCAGTTTCTTCCCCAGCGTCAGAATCGCTCTCTAGTTGGGTTTCCCCAAAGTCCTCGCTTTCCCGCAGATGACGGCGCCTAAGTTCAATTTGTTCTTGATCTCGGATAGCTAGATCCCTTCGAGGAAACTCGACGGACTGATAGGTCATATCATCGTCGTCAAATGGAAGCGACAAGCGAGGCGGGGGTATATCAGGACTGCCCTCTTCGCTGCCCTCTGCACTTCCTTGCATGGGAAGAGAGACCCGTGGTCGCTCCAATTCGGGCTCATTATCCAGTTCTTCGATCTCATCTATCGGCTCCTCCACGGGCTTCACTTCTTCTTGAGGCGATGATTGAATTGGCTTTGAGACGGGTGCAAGCGCTAGTATCACCAAGTTTGTCAGCTAAACAACAAACACCAATGTAACCACTCTCGTGGAATGCGCATACTTCTTCCAAGGTTCCTCAAGATATCAAATGTAGTCTCGCGCTGAACTCGTCCACTCCGTCGTCGATCGCGACCGGGCGTGTTTGCGGCCTTTTGCTGTCGGGCACGAAGTCCATATGGAGTTGATGGAGCCATGGACGGTCTTCCCCGAGGCGTGAACCGAGAAATAGATCTTTGCGCAGACGGCGTCGTTGTCGTGATGAGGCGACTGGGCGTGAGCGGGTAGCGCGTATGACTCGGGAGGCGCTGGAGCTGCAGACTTCAGTTAGCGATGTCATTCATCGTATGAACAGGCTATTAACTTACCCCAGTCAATGTAGTCTCGCCAGAGGGAGTATTCGTCTCGGCCCCCGAGATGCCCATTGACCGGCGGTTGCGCGGGTTGGGAGTCGACATCTCCGCGGTTGGAAAGTGAACAGCTACTAGGCAATAAATTTCCGGTCCTCGGGTATGACTTGAATTTGAGATAGGTCTGTACGGAAGACAGAAATTGAGAGGATACCTCGCTGGATGATGAACCGCGGAGTTGGATGAGCGCGTCTTGCAATAACAATGCGGGCCCTCGTGTGATTGGCCACATCTTATCGATAAGCCCTGCTTAATCAGCCGCATTAATCGGGACTTTTTTTGCGACGCTCGACTTGAACGGCTTGAACATTGCCAATCGAGCTTAAAGGTTCTCTTGATCACGGAGAAACAAGGCCATCACACAATATGACCGAAGCAGAAGCCCCGAAAGGACTTGCAGCCAAGCTCGACAAGAAGCGCAAGCGCCAGGCCGAGGAATCTACCAAGCAAGACAAGCCTGAAACTGCGCCTGCAGCCGCCGGCGGGGATGAATCGAACAAGAAGAAGCGCAAGAAGAACAAGAATAAGAAGAAGCAGCCTGAGCAGGATGTCAAAACTCAAGAGCGCAAGGGTGGTGTTGACGAGTCTATCGGCAAGATGGATGGGCGGTTGTTGGCCGATTACTTTGCTCAGCGAGCGCAAAAGCTCGATAAAGAGCTTTCGGCGGTGGAATTGAGCGATCTTTCAGTGCCAGGTGTGTATCAATTCTCGTGGATGGCCTATCATTTGCTATTCGGATTACTGACCGGTGCAGACTCTGCTTTCCTCGACACCACATCGTTCTCCGACTCCAGGACCTTGGAGAAGCTCCCCGATTTCCTCAAGGCATTCAGCCCAAAGGGCGCCGACCTTTCAAAGGCGTCAGAGAAGAAGGGTACACCTCATACTTTGGTTGTTTCTGCCGCAGCGCTCAGAGCCGCAGACGTTGTTAGGTATGTGCAATGGATGCATGGCATGGCCCATCAGTCCATGTACACATTCACTGGTGCTGACAGTTGGATGATACAGGGCGCTCCGAGGCTTCCAAACAAAGGAAGCAATTGTCGGAAAACTTTTCGCCAAGCATATCAAGCTGGAGGAAGCGAAGCAGTTCCTCGAACGTGCACGGTAAGATCTTTCAAAAGTTTCGGCTGTGCAATACGGCTTTTTCTAACACGGCTTCTTAGGACTGGAATTGGCGCTGGAACACCTGCTAGGATATCTGATTTGATCGAGTGTGGTACGTATGCTGTAATGGATATTGATCTGATTCCATTTACTAATTTCGATGTCTAGGTTCGCTTAACGTGGACGAGCTTGAGCGCATTGTCATTGACGGCTCGCATATCGACCAGAAGCAGCGCGGTATCTTCGACATGAAGGAGACTCATCTCCCACTGTTGCAGCTGTTGACTCGTCCAGAGCTGCGCGACCGTTACGGCGCTTCAAAGAAGAAGGTGCAGATTCTGGTGTTCTGATTTGCTTTGCATGAATTTTCTTCGATAAAACATTCCATAGGGTGGGGCGTTATAGTGATTTAATTATTGATCAACAATGTACACCAATTTTCACCAGCCAAATTGCCATCACTTATGTTTTGAGCATAGAGACTAGATGCCACTTCGACCAGAGACATCAGGCGGGCTAAAGACGGTTTGACTGTTGGAGCAAGATGGGCAGCGACTCGGGTCTTATAGTGACGATCAGTCCAGAATACAGACCCAAAGAAGAGTGGGGGGCTCTTCCTTCCCAGACAGCACTGCCTTTTCCCATGATACACGGCACTAGATGTCATGAGAAGTATAGCAGTAATACCATTGAAAAAAGCCCATAAATAGCCCGAGGTTCCTCTGTCTTCAAGTCCAGATTATAAAGAGTGAAGTTAGTACTATAACAAGTCATTGGGCCGGTGATTTTGTCTCCTTGTAAATTGTTTCTACGTGTGCTTTCTACTCCCTTGGTTCCCTCCGCCCTACTCCGCCCATCCTTCAAGATATATGTCGTACAAAAAGGCTGGCTGTTAGAGGTGATACTTTTTGCGTCATTAAGTGCTTTGAAACTTTGATATAGAGATACAACTAAATAAAATCCTATACGAGTATATAGCGAGTAGACATCAAGAGTGGAGAATTGGCAGATCTCTTCCCCAGACAACAGATTACCCAATCAGGCAAGGATGTAATGCGACCTCACCGCCTCGGAAGCCTCCGGCAGAATCCAAATTTCTCCCGAGTCTCCGCCCAATTTTTTTCGGAGCGGAGCTTTCCATCAATTTGCGATATTTCGATTTTCCATTTATCCTGTGCTTTCGCAGAGGATCATTTAGGCTACAAACAAGCCGAATTCAACTACAACCCGAATTTTTATTTCTACCTACGACAATCCCAAAATGGGCGACAAGAAGCGCAAGCTCGCCGAGGACACCCCGGTCGACGAGGTCGCTCCCGAAGGCAAGAAGATAAAGAAGGAGAAGAAGGACAAGAAGGAAAAGAAGGAAAAGAAGGAAAAGAAGGAAAAGAAGAAGGAGAAGCGCAAGACCGAGCAGGAGGTCGAGGCTGTCCCCGAGATTACCGCAGAGGAGAAGAAGGAGAAGACGGATGAGGCTAAGACGACCGACTTCAGCTCGAAGGAGCAGTTGAAGGAGAAGCGGGAGCGCAAGAAGGCCGAGAAGAAGGAGAAGAGGGAACAGAAGGAGAAGCGCAGTGCTGACAAGGCCGATCTCGACGACGAGGCCAGAGCTGCTAAGAAGGCTGCTAAGAGAGCCAAGCACGACAAGAAGAAGGTTGCCAAGGAAGAGGCCGCTACTCAAGAGGAGTCTGCGACGAATGGAGAGGAGATGGAGGTTGATGCTGAGGCCGAGAACGAGGTTCAGCAGAAGAACTCCCGTTTCATTTGCTTTGTCGGTATGTCTATACATGGCGCTTTGTTGAATTGCGCTATACCCGTGGTTAGGGAATTGACAAGATGCTAATAATCCAATGTCTCGCAGGAAACCTCCCCTACTCTGCAAACCACGAGTCCCTCACCAAGCACTTTGAGAAGAACCCACCGGCCGAAATCCGCGTCGCAACCAAGAAAGAAGCCCCAACTAAATGCCGCGGTTTCGCCTTCATCGAGTTCGACAACTACGACCGCATGAAGACCTGCCTCAAGCTGTACCACCACTCCATGTTCGACGACGGCAAGTACCCGCCTCGCCGGATGAACGTTGAATTGACGTGAGTATCCTCCAAACCTTGCTCAACCTATTCTGTGTCTACTTGGGAGGTTTCCGCTAACAAGATGGATAATACAGTGCCGGCGGCGGTGGTGCCAACTCCGAGCACCGCAAGGCCAAGATCCAAGCTAAGAACGAGAAGCTCAACGAGGAGCGCCAGCGTCTCGCAAAGGATATCAAGAAGGACAAGAAGAAGCACGACAAGGCTAAGCCCGCTCATAACGGTGCCGCGGCCTCCGGCGCAAATGCCGTTGCCGTTGATGCCGCGCCCGAGGATGATCGGTTCGCCGGTATGCACCCCAGCCGTCGGGGCCGCATCTAAATTTCATCCATTTCTGATAAACTCTTCTCGGGATGGTCAATGGTTTGATGTTTTCGGGCCGTGGTCTTTGTTCTTGTTTTTTTCTTGTTTTGTCTGTACATCTTGGGATGGGACTGGAAAAGTCTGTGTCTTTTTATGATTTGATAGAAGATACCACTTGCTTGGCTTCTCTGCATAGTGAAATGCGAATATTATGAGCATATAAGCATGATAGCATACTCGATTCGAGTTCCGAATTTTGGGTTTAAGTGCGCGATTGCACCATATCCGGTAAACAATAGATCATAATCATAGCCTTGACTTATATTCAACTGTGCAGTGCGCATGTAATCAGTGAGCGAGGAGAATAGACACAATTTTTTACAGACTACCTAGCTCTATATGAAAATCAACAGGTCCAGAACAACTAACGTGGTGTGCAACTTGCAAGATTCCACCCAGATATCCACCCAAGGGTCTGGGTACCGCCGTACATACTGGGGCCATGGCCATAACGAGATCTCCCACGCAATCGGAGGACATGACCACAAATAAAAAGAATGAAAAAAACAGAATGAAATGAAAAAGGGGAAAAAAACGAGTCAATGGATTCATCAATCAAGTAAGGCCCAAAGAAAAGCCTCTGGCTACCCGGACGCCGTATTAACTATAGTATTATTCATTATAGCATACGCAAAAAGGAGGGTGATGGTCCCCATGCACACAGCACCTCTACAAGATCATGCATTTGTTCTTCCTCCCGGACTTTGCGAGGGGACGGGGGTTAAGAACGGCTCTGGAATGGGGGAGGGAAATGGTTAGCCTCTGGATTTGCAATCCTCAGGGGGCGACCAGTGCCGCGCAAAGGATGTGTTGGAAACTTTCGTGGAGATGTGCACGCTTACCGGATAGCCTCGTCAAAGACGCTCTTCAAGTTGCGCTGGGTCAGGGCCGAGCATTCGAGGTACTTATGTGCGCGAATCTCCTTGGCGACGGCCAAGGCTTGTTCGTACGAGACGGGCTCCATCTTTCGGGCGCGCAGGGCTTCGGTTGTTGCGCGGTCGTCGCGCAGGTCGAGCTTGGTGCCGACCAGGATAATGGGGACGCTGGGTGCGTGATGTTCGATTTCTGGGAACCACTGTAGATAAGACAGAGTGAGTTAGTCGTATGATTCGCGTAAAGTGTTTATAGGTGTTGAATTCCAAGCGCGGAGAGATAGATTGCACGCGAGATCAAGCTGTGCAGATTGGCGCCGTGGGTTCGGTCGTACCTTGGCTTTCACGTTATCAAAGGATGGCGGGCTGACGATGGAGAAGCAGATCAGGAAGACATCGGTTTGCGGGTAGGATAGGGGTCTGAGGCGGTCGTAATCTTCTTGTCCGGCGGTATCCCAGAGTCCCAGGCTGATCGGCCGGCCGTCAACCATCACACTGGCCGTGTAGTTGTCGAAGCTGCAGCGGGGACATCAGTAAGGGTACGGATTTCCCGCGAGGGGGGGGGAGGGGCATCTCATTGCTGAATGAGGAGAAGGGGGGGGGGGGGGGGTGAGGAGAGACGGACACGGTCGGGATGTATTCGCCCGGGAAAGCATTCGTTGTGTACGAGATGAGGAGACATGTCTGTAGAGAACCAAGAATCGCGTGTCAACGAAGGGGATCCCACTGTAATCGCATCATTTGTGTTTCGATCGGGAGGGACGACGATAGCAAATGGGAAGTTCGGGGACAGGACATGGCCCGGGGGAGGGCATTGCTTTGGAATACTGACTTTGCCGACAGCACCGTCACCAGTCACCACGCACTAGTAGAACTCTCATGTTAGCTGTGCGCAGTCCTTGGAACCTCGGATTATCACGAGCAATTGCTAACCTTGAGCGATTGAGTAGCCGGACCCGTCGCCATGGTTGTGAGAAGTTATGTACAGCGAGACAAGAAAAAGGGGGCCGATAAGGGGCGGTCCGAATGACAATTGATAAGCGGAAGGGAAACCCCCCAAAGGCTCTAGGGGATGGAAGAAGGAGAGAAGTGGTCGAAAGATTGGTGATTTTTCCTGGATGGAGGTGAGCTTCAGGAGAGTTGAGATTTGGGGAAAGCAGCTTGGAGCTAGGGGCAAAAGGGAAGAGGGGGAAAGGGTTAGGGGTGGAGACGAAGATCGGATTCAAAGAAAAAGGAGGGGCTGAGCTCACCCGAAAGCCTCAAAAGAAGGCGTGGGAGATGGAGAAGTTTGAGGAGGAGGAGAGGAAAAGGATAGAGAGAGAGAGAGAGGGTTAGTTGGAGAGAGTAAGAAGGAGAAACGAAAAGTGGTAGTCAAGTAGTCTAAGGCAGGATTCAGTTTAGCAGTTTAGTTAAACAGACGCAAGCTGATCGTTTGAATCGGTTTGATCGTTTGGAGTCGGGTCCCCACCTCCATATTGATCTTGTAGTTTGAACACGGCCATTCGCTGGCTCGGGAGATGAAGGGGGAGTCTTTTAGAGTGATTACTATATAACCCATCCACTGAATGATTGAAGACATCAATTCATGGACGAGAGTATACTACTCGCCCAGCCCCCGGGACCATCCCAACCACCCCTATACTACCACGAGACTAACTAACAGTCTCCAATGTATCTGATCCCCCAGACTAGCGTGCTAAGATTACATCCGTTGGCTACCATGGCTCCGTGCCAGATTCCCCCCTGCACCAATCGCATAACCATTCAATCACGGGCAGCTCCAAGGCGCCTGCACCGCGCCGGTTTGGAGTCCAACGTGTGATAGGGTGATCCCTCGTTCGTCTTTGCACGAACCGACTGTCAAAGCCTATTTATATATCTCGCACGGACTATCTTATCAAGTTATCATGGGGTTCTCCTTTCGAGTACTTCGTTAAAGACGGTATATATTTAGTAGAAAAGTACGGAGCATACTCGGGGTCAAAGTACCACGGCATTTTAGGAAATCTCTAATTGGTAGATTGCAAGTATATTCTCCATCACTCTCGACTTCGCTACCAAAAAACCCAGAGATCTGATGCATCAACTTCAAACGACGGAGACGGCAAAGTACAGCCTCGTCAAGACTCCCTATCTTTCTATCTCTACAGCCGCGACACTCCCCGCGCGCCGTTCAGGAATGCGCCCGCCCGCATCTCGGCAGGCTTCGCCATCAAGCCTGGTAGTTTGGAGGCAAACTCGCGGAAGTAGGAGCTCTTGGTGTGCGCCTTAATAGCCGCTTGGTCCTTGTACCTGGAGTAGAATGGTTTGTTAGGACTTTCTGGCTTGGTCATACCGTAGGAGAGCGGGTAGATGTGCCGAGGTACGGCGGGAGGGGAAAGAATCAGGATAATATGGGAGGACGGGGGTAATAGCGAGGAAAGGAGGAAGGGATACGAGTTTGATATTGATGGAGTGTGTTTGGGATGAACTGACCTCTCAATAATGACAATTTCGTTCTTGTCCTGCACTTTGATTGCGTAGTAGACCAGGGTATCGGGCTCGTGTTCTTGTACTTTCTTGACGACTTCGGTGACGAGGGCGGCGACCTATAGTATACAGATCAGATTGATTTCTAGTTATGTATTAGGTCAATCAAGTGAATTGCACCTCTTCAAATTTCTCCGGCTTGGGGTAGAGTACGGCAGCAACGTTGATTTCAGACATGGTGGCTGGTGCTGGTTTTAGTTGCTGGGTGTTGTTTAAGTCTGTTTATTTGGAGACTGACTGAAATAGGGATTCGTAGACTTGATAAAATAAGTACAATCGAGAATCTGTTTAGAATAAGAAGAGACTAGAAGGGTTCCTCAAGTACTTGAATTATAAGCAGATCCCTTAACCGGCAACCTCGGCCAGAAGCGAGTGGGTCCGAAATGATGAGGCGATCAGATCGGGTTCTCCAGATTTTCCCCTCTCTACTGCACGTCGGGGATTTTATGAAACATGACAGATATATTCTTTATATGAAGATATGGTTTGCACTGCAACTAAATCAAGAGCCTCTAATTAATCTTGTAGATCCTGCATATCTAATATGGATTCGAGATTACATGAAGCCACACGCCTTTGGAGAACCGCGGCATTGCTCCACATTGTTAAGGGAGCTAGGTCTTGAAACACGGACGATGCGCCCACCATAACCTTAATCAAGGTTTCATCCATGGATGCTGGTCTGCAAGTAAGCGTATTATGAGGGGCTTATCCATTATAGAGACTAAAGTACCAATTCAAAATGTGGAATACAGTGACATAGAGCATAGATCGAAGTTGATCAATTGGATTCGCATAGTTCAATAACTCTTGGTGTAAAGACTTACCATTTAAGAAGAAGATGAGCTCTATTATGCACGGCATAGTCATTCTCGCTGAGGACTTGAACATTATTATCCTTGAAATATTGTCAAGGGCTTCTCATCTACATCGAACGGTTACACTCGGCAAGTCTATACCAATGTCCCTGGACAGAATACTGGTCGTATTTCTAATTATGTCTGTCAGGAATCGCCCCAAAGAATGGGTTGGTTAGATTTCAATAGCCCCAAAATATCCGATTTCCTAGTTCTAGACATAGTTGGATAGACATTCTGTATCAATGTTCGAAATGTACCCTTGAAGGATAGATAATTGATCACCCAGAAGGGGTGCAACTATGTACTGTTTTAAAGTATATAATATGTATGGAGTTCAACTAAGATTCTCAAGCCCACAGATTTCTTGGCTACTGTGGAGAATATATGGACTACAATAGGACTACAATACAAAGTTTGCCTACCAATTTCACCACTACTTTGTACTAAAGGAACGTAGCCATCCTCCATTGCGGGATGATCGGATTGTGGCTGGGGTCCAATTACGTCTTCCGCCTTCAGGAACGGGCGGTCGGGTGCCCAACGTCCCTGAAGAACCTCTGTCCGCTTTCAAACTTATATAGACAGTGGTTCCAACCAGAACTCTGAACCCCTCAAACCGTTAGGACAGAGAGGCACAGTTAGCCGCACAGCACAGCCAGTCGACACAGTCACAAAAACGCAGGCTCCAGCATTCCATTCCGGACCCGCCGCAACGCTGTGACGACTGACCTCATTGATCGCCCCAACTGCCTCCCCACTGCCAAGCAATCGGTTTCCGGTGTCATTCGATAATAATAGCTCCAACCTGTGGTGGCTTTGTGGCTTGTGAATTTCCTCCCCTCCTCCCATATCCTCATTATCCCTCTCCTTGAGTGAAGAGCTCAGTGTCAACAATGTCCGACACGGCCCTTCCTGAACCAACTGCGCTCCCTGCGCTATCCGATGCGCCTCCATCTAGTGCCGGTCGCTCCTCCGGCACGGGAGCCGTCGACCAGCCCCCGCCACAGGCTGCAATTTCCGATGAGCTCAAGGCTCGTCTGGACAAAGTGATATACTCCGAGGTGAGTGCCTAATGGAGCCCAGGGATGAGCGATGCTAGTCGCATAGCAATCAAGAGTCATGCCCCTTATGCTAACGGTGTGGTGTTTCGCATGCAGATCGGTATCACCACTCTCCTGGCTCGATTGAAGCAGAGCGTGGCCTCTGCTAGGGTACGTCATTGTTGATAACACCGATATCGCCCCCTAGCGAAACGAAATTGGGATGCGCTAACGCGTCTGCAACAGGATTTCTCATCCTTCCTGAAGAAACGAGGCTCTCTTGAGGAGGAACATGCTCAGGGGTTGCGGAAGCTATCTCGTGCCGTTAATGATGCTGCGCAACGAACCGAGAACCGACAGGGCACTTACAGCTCCAGCTATAAAGATATACACCGCCTGCAAGAGCGCATGGCTGATCATGGCCTGCAATTCTCCGTTTCTCTCCAGCAGATGGCCGATGACCTGCACGAGCTGTCAACTAATATCGAACGTGGTCGCAAGCAGTGGAAACAGACTGGATTAGCCGCGGAGAAAAAGGTCATTGATGCTGAATCCCAGGCTGAAAAGGCAAAGGCCAAATACGAGTCATTGGCAGAGCAGTATGATCGTGTTCGAACGGGTGATAAGACTGGTGGAAAGTTTGGCTTGAAGGGTCACAAGTCGGCGGCTCAGCATGAAGAGGATCTTTTGCGCAAGGTCCAGAATGCTGATAGTGACTATGCATCCAAGGTTCTAGCGGCTCAGGCCGCGCGCAAGGAATTGGTGTCTACCCATCGTCCACAGGCAGTGCATAACCTTCAGCAGTTGATTGCAGAGTGTGACTCGGGGTTGACCCTGCAACAGCAAAAGTTTGGTAAGTTTGGGGCTTCTGATAGAGTCCTTACCTATCATTGTTCGGTCGGTTTGGTAGACAATAGGCTAACATATTGCAGCTACCTTCAGCGAGAAGCTGCTCCTTGGACAGGGTCTCTGTGTCAGTCCTATGAAGACGGAGAATGGAGCCCTTGTTCCGAAGAGTCTGGCCGAGGTGGTGCGCCAGGTTGATAATCAGAAGGATTTCCATGACTTTATCCTCGGTCACGAGGGGAACCCCGGCGCCGTCAGCGGGCCAGAGGTCCAATATGAGCGCCATCCAACCCTAGGCGGCGGCGCAGCCGCAGCACCAGCCGCAGGACCGCCGTCCCAAACCAGCACACAAGCTAAACGACAATCTACCTTGCCCCCGACCTTCTCTCAATCCAACATCGCTTCTCCTGCTAGTCAACCACCCCAGAGTAGCACAGATCGTTTCCAACCACTTCCATACCCAACCCAGGGAGAGCCTATCTCGGCACCTCCTTCACAACCTCCTTACCCTGTCTCTGGTCCTCCTGCTCACGAACCTGCACCAGCTCCAGTTCACGCTCCCGCGCCCATGATGGGTGGCTCCGCTCCACTGATGCAGGGTCCCCCTCCGATGGACCGGGCTGCTCTGCAGTCCAGCCTGCCGCCGCTGAAGCCCGTGTTCGGCGTGACCTTGAATGAGCTGTATGCTCGTGATGGAACCGCGGTGCCTTTCATCGTCTACCAGTGCTTCCAGGCCGTGGAGCTGTATGGTCTCGAGACCGAGGGCATCTACCGACTCTCCGGTAGCGCCAACCACATCAACCATATGAAGGCGGTCTTCGACAACGGTCAGTTTAACCTGCGTAGCATTCTCTTATTGACCTCTTTACTAATCGATCATGTATTTAGATGCCTCCAAGGTTGACTTTACCAGCCCGGAGAACTTCTACCACGATGTCAATAGTGTTGCAGGCCTGGTGAAGCAGTTCTTCCGTGACTTGCCCGAGCCGCTGTTCACGTCGCAGTTCTACTCCCAGTTCATTGATGCTGCTCGTAAGTTCCGAGTAATATGCTGTTTCTCATGTGTGAAGCTGACAAGATAACTCTACAGGCATCGAGGACGATACCCAGCGCCGTGACTCGTGCCACGCGCTCATCAACAGTCTGCCAGACGCCCACTACGCTACTCTGCGGGCAGTGATCCTGGTAAGTCGTCTCTCACTTTGATTAAAAATGAGCAATACTGACAGTCATACAGCATCTTAACAAGGTGCAGGAGCACTACACTTCGAACCGGATGAACGCCGGCAACCTGGCCATCTGCTTCGGGTAAGTAACCAATTCCCCTTTGACTGATGCTCAACGAGCTAACATTGCAATAGACCGACTCTGATGGGCGCCAACTCGGGCGGCAACATCGCCGACGCCGGCTGGCAAGTTCGAGTGATCGAAACGATCCTCAACAACACCTTCCAGATCTTCGATGATGACTAGATGCTTTATCCAGTCCTGATCTGATGATCAAACATATCTTTCCTCAGGGTCATCGTCTCTTCTCGCGCCGTGATATCCCAAAATCGGTATCACCTTCTAGTCTCTTGTTCCAGGAACCACCCCTAACTGTTTTTCCATCTTCCCCTATTCGATTCCCAATCCCGTTTGATCTCTTCCCCGTCGTCGTGTCTTCCTTCCCCCCTGAATAGCAGGTATCTATGCCGCTCGCCCGTTGGCCCATGCATATCGGATCGAGCTCAAGCTAGGACTCTTGCTTGGCTTGTCCTCTCTTCTGCCTCTGTACATAACATCCGTCTTTCTCTGCGTGTGGCGCTCGTGCCTGTGCAGGACTTGCTTAGTTTCCCCTTTCGCCATGTCAAATTTACGATGACCCTAGTTCCTGCTGTTTTTCTTGGTTGCTTTGTAATTGTAGGTATTAGAGGGGAGCTACAGTCAGTGTTCAAAAGTATTTGGAACATGGTACAAGCCCCACTTATTTTCTGCTGGTACTAACCTCCAAAATCATTTAATTCAATAACTAGTATGCCATCCTTCGTATCTAATTACCTCCTCAAACGATTAGGAAGAGGATTTGAAAGACGGCAGCAAAGAAGAAGCGAGAGTCCAAAAATATGTAACATCTTGGTGACACCGGATTTTTGGAACACGACATTGTCTTTTTCCTGAAAGGTTGCCAAGACGAGTTTATTGTTCAGGAACTAGCCGACTGATATCATTGATCCGCTCTTGAGAAGAGGTATACAAATCAGGCCAAGCCCATCGGAGACAGCGTGAACAGTAGGTTCAATATGACTATAATACATGAATTGGTAGATGCTCTATATGGACTGGCTAGATATGACAAATTCATAAATGAACACAAATAAAAAAACGCCCCAGGCAACATCAGACCGCGATCAAAGTTGCCAATCCCATCTCCATCAGGCACAACGACAGGTACTATACCCCGGAGAATGAGACAATTGATAACCGTTAACACAAGGTGGAGAAAAATAAGTAAGTTTTGTTGTCAAAAGGCAGTTTCTGCAAGTTATCCCAGTTTAGAGGCGACCGCCGGGTCCCATGTTCTTCATAGCCTCGAGACGCTCCAGGGCAGACAGACCCGGGGCAAAGGCTGGGTCGGTGTTCAGGGTATGCATATCGGTTTCCCGGGTAGTACCCCAGATCTGCCAGTCGGCGTACTTGCCGTGCCAGATGAGCTGCTGGATGACGACGTACTCGACACAGTCCTGGACCTTGGCGGCGGGGACGACCTCGTTAGAGGCGTTTCGGCCGATGGTAGTCTTGGTCATGGATTGTCTGGAACTCAGGCGGACAACGATCTGGCGGATACCGGAGTTGGGCATGTCGGGGATCTTGACGGCGCGGTCTGCCATGACGCGTGCGCTGCTGAACTTGTTGCCGACCAGATCCCAGGTCACCTTTTCGTTGGTGGGGCGGGTCTGGACTTGGCTGGTGAGCTTTTGGGCGAGCTTCTCGCAGCAGATGCGTCGGAGTTCAGTGGTGTTTCCCCTGGTGAATTATGTTAGAAGGAGTGGACGGGATCATGGAGGGTGTGTCTCGTCGAGGGTTGAAGGCTTACTCGGCAAGGTTGGTGTACATCTGGGTGTACAAGGTCTTGGCAATTGATCGTCGGGACACGCTGTGGAAGATCTTGAAGAAGGGCAGGGCGATAGATCCGATATGGGGCTTTTGCATTTGCTCTGCGATAAAGGGAACGTTGTTTAGGTCCTTCTTGCAGTAAACCAAAACACTGTCGTCTAGGTTAGCCAACCCATACTATACGATTGCCACCAATATCCGACTCTCCAGTCTTCGACAATGCAAGAGACAGCGATATATCCGCCCCAATAATGAGGGTAAACCCACCTGGCGTAACCCTGGAAAACGCTCTTCAACCAAGTCCATTCCATCCGGAGCCGGTCCCGCGGTTCCTGGAAGATCGAGGGCATGTCCCTCCACATCGGCCGCACAAAGGTACCCGGCAAAAGACCGATATCATTCGGTAGCTGGTGCTTCATCACATCCTTGGCGCGAGACTTCATCGACGGTTGTGCCGGGCTGGCGGGCTTGAAGTTTTGCGATCGGTAGGCCCATCGTTGCGCCGCCGCCGAGAAGGCACGGCACTGCTGTTGCTGCGAGCCGGAGGCGAAGGACTGGGCGATCAAGGAAATTGGGCGGGCATTGGGGAAAATGCTGCCCGCAGGAAGACGCAGTGAAGACGCCATTGCGAGCTGCGACTCGGAGTCGAAGATGTATTTCTTGATCGCATTTGGGCGGAGAAGGAGAATCCTGGAAAATCCGCGAATGGTCACGTGCCGTCTCCGCGATTTCGCGGGTCCAATTCGTGGATTATGAGCAGCTCGTCGACAGCGAAGGTCCTCGCTGAAACACCACACACACTCTCTCCACTCTTCATTCAAGAGCTTGAAAAAGTTCGCCAGTGATTTCCCAGAATCTCCCAAATTTTGCGATTCATCTCCCTGCTCTTCTCAGCCGAGCATTCTTGACTGCCGTCTCTACGGTCTTGAAATCATCCACCGATTAGGGGACTCGCCCAACTCGACACGTCCCCTCCCCCGTGCTTGGAATAAACCAACGACTCGCTCCTTTCTTTCTACACAACACTCACCCATAATTATACACCTCTCCAAGAACTTGCGCGGCGGCCGCATATGCCGCGCCCAAGTCTAAAGGCTGGCTCCTCTCCGTAATGCCTCACCACCACCATACTCACCCCCCGCCCAAACAACCAGCCCGCCAGACCTGAATCTCGCGCGAGCGGCCATCCCTCCCGAGCTCCTCCGACTACCCTTGCCCTCATTGCAGGGCCAATTCCTTAAAGAAGTGGCGTCTCACACGACACAGCCCGCCGTCCCGCCGTCCCCGACCTCCGATACATCCCACACCCCACTCGGCAGTGATGCTGGCCAGACTACGTCCTCACCGCTGCACCCGCGAGTAGCGGTCATCTTGGGTGTTGACCGCAGGTGGTACATCCCGCTGTTGGTATGCCGGGCGCTGAGCACGCTGCCTGCGGCGTGGTGGGGGCTGCGATGTGCGTTTACCTTTTTGGCTGAGCTGTTGCATATTAGGCCGGGGATGGGGCGGGAGGGCTGGGCGGCGGCCATCGTCGGGAGTGTGGGACAGGAGTGGGATGTTGAAAGGAGGTTTAGGGTTACGGAGGTTGCGCTGGCGATTATGTGGGTATGTAGAATATGCCCGTTGGTGTTGATGGTTATCGAGTTGGAGGCATGAGCTAACTTTTTGATCGATAGTGCTGTGCATCCGCATATCTTTCTTATTTCTTTGCTGATTGTATGATGTCTCGATGGTGAGTGATTTCTTGCTCTTTCTTGAGGCACTTTCAAGCTGTCTATACCTCCTTGATCTCAATTACTTACTGACCTTTTCTCATTGCAGGCTCTTGAATTACACCCCACCTGCCGTTGTAATCCGACTTTTGACAACGAACGGGCTAATTGCATATATCACCTCCTGGGTCCTCTACCTTTCTGGAGCATCCTCCGATCCACGCCTTCTCCTACCTGCCTGGATATCTATCACAACCGTACGCAACACCCTGATCCTACCAACATGACGAACCCCAAGCTTCCTATCTAACCTTCTCCCCAAAACAGACCCTAACATTCGTCTACCACGCCACACAAAACCACGCAACGATAAAACGTGAAACAGCAGCCTCTTTACTCGTCGTCTCCGTCGCCAGTTTCCTCAGCATGTCCTCCCTCCTCCTCCAACTCCATCTAACCCGTGAAAACGAACCCGAAGTCCCCGTCTTCGTCATCACCCGCAAACTATGGGACTGGGCCGTTGCTATCTTCCTACGAATGCGAGTCGCAGATGGTCGAGCCGTCGGCGAACTCTAACCTTTTCACCTTTTTTGCTTTCTATTTACTTCACCTTTCCCCCCGTTCCTACCTTTGCTGGTGCTATCTATCTTCTTCTACTACTTTTTGGAGTTACATTGCTATCATTCTTTTTGGCTCCCTCTTTTAGCTTCCTTTACTCGTGAAATGGACTTGCTGCAGACCTATTGCTTGTGTCTGTAACTCCAAACTTCCCAGAAAAGGGGGGTTATGAAACCGGGCTGGATTTTTTGTACATTTTCGGATCTGTTCTCTGATCCGATGTTTTGCTTGGATTTGGTGGAGCCCTGATTAACTTCTTAGCACTTTGCCCCCCTTTTTGTGTCCAGCTGGACTAGCTTCTTTGTGATTCATTGATCTTTGATAGATCATTCCATTACTTCAATTCCCCGTGAAGCGTATCCATCTGTGTACAAGACCCTCGAGAAGTCGAGTGACTACGCTGTTAGACTACTAGCTTGAGTTACTGTACTTACAAATACTACGAGCACTAGCATAGCGGCACTAAATGCATGAGCTGATCATGATCCCTCGATTCCAAGATAATACTGGCAGACATGCAAGATGCATGAAAAGAGCGAGAACAGTAGGAAGGAAAGGGAAGACGGTAGAGACCGACAAGCCTAGCGCAACCAGCAACAGAGCACATCCCGTATTCCAAAAGACTGCGATCTCCTCGAACAGCAGCCTGCCACCAAGTCCAAATCCAAGGTCCAACTAAAGAACCCCGATCGAACCAGTGAACATGGAGCTATCGCTCCAGAACAGCAAAATAAAGGAAAGGAAGAAGAGAAAATAATACCAAGCACACACGCAGGGTTGATGAAATGAAAAAATAACATCGAATAGAATGAGAAAAAAAGCATCGTCTGTCTATGCAGATATGGGTATCTACCAACGCCTCGTTCCGTCATGATCCCGTTCTTGGATTAAGAATAAAAGTCGAAAGGCAAATGAAACACGCTTGACCCTGTCAATCATGCTGAATTGAATCGCCGAGGATATCAGGGGGTGGAAAGCGGGAAAAGCGTGTCATAGCTTCCGACAAAGGCCCACGTCTAATACGCCAGGCACAAAGTGGTGGGGGGACAGAAAGCAAGAGATTTGACCAATGGATTGGGGCCGGCTTAGAGCACGGCCGGCGGTTTAAAGGGGACGCATGGCGTGCTTCCTATTCCCACCGCTCACAGGGCAACATAGACTGGGAAGAAGGGACCGGAACAAGGCATGGTGACGGGATTAGAACCCATGGACCTGGAGGGATGAGTTAGAGATTGGCCCGTATATGATAACAAAGAATATAGACATACCTTGATGGTCTTAGCATCCAGCTCGAGGCCTTCCTTCTTGTCGGTCAAGAACTCCTGGACATCCTTACGCTGATCTCCCTGAAGCTGAATCACCTCACCCATCTCAGTGTCAGCGACGATGGTGCCATTGCAAGCTGGACGATCATTAGTCTTTGTTTCGAGCGACCGACAAGCGGCAGTGATAAGAGGGGCAAGATAACATACCGAACTTCTTCTTGATGACCTTCAAGATCTTCTTCTGGTCAAATTTCTTGGGAAGACCCTGAACAGTAGTCAGAGTCTTACGACCATTGCGCTCTATATGACAAAAAGTTAGCATGTGGTTCAGTACTTTCTCTTGGCGGGCCTCCGTCTTGGCATCGACGCGCCCGACCGTGACGATCAGCGACCGCGGGGTAGGATTGTGCGACATACGCTGAATCCGTATATGGATGTAGTTCTGAGACTGTTTAGTCTCGCCGGTGTCTTCGTCGGCTTCGGCGAAGGGGTCTGTGAGACAAAAAAAGATAACATGTCAGCCTTGGTCCAATACTAAATCTCTACCCCGCCGCAGCGATCAAACAGTGAGGCTGAGCCACGAGACCCCCTCTGACCGGGCAACCCAACCTCACAGTCAACATGTAGAAGCCATGTCTGGAGATAGAATGTAGACTGTGGTGAAGGGACTAGCTTGGTCTGTAGGTCTTGTGTGTGTCTTCGAGGTATGCTCACGCGCCCCATAGGAGAGGGGAGGGGGAGGTGGCGACTCACCGAAGGTCTTGAGGTTTTCGATGGACATAAACTCGGCGTAGGTCCTTGACGGCTTAGAAGCGGTTTTCGGGTAAGAGAGCGAAGGGGTGAGATTCAATATCTCTGTAAAGACGAGCGATCGGAGCGTGTGGAGAGTGAAGAGTTGGAGTGAACTGGTTGAAGGTCGGAGAAGAATGAGAAGGAAGAGACCGGCAAAGCCTTTTGAGGCCTGTGGGGGAAGGCGGTGTGTGACTAAGCGACCCCTCCACGTTTCTTTGGCTCGAGACAATGAATCTCGATGTTTACGAGTGGCAGGTATCGGTACGAATAATTATAGAATATTGTAGAAAAAAAGGAGAATCAAGGAGCTCATGATCTTGAGGATTTACAGTACGACTTAAAGTAAATTGGGAGACAAGGGTGCAAAACATTGACCGTCCCGGAGATAGACAATGTTCCACCTCCTTCGATGTCTTATCACTGCCACGAGTATTTGCATAGGGATATATACTCTGTTAGGAAAATAAGACGATTGCCATCGCATTCAAATTGCCCTAGAATATTATTACACGAAGAAAGTCCACTCGAATATCGGTACAAAACGAGCCAACGAGTGCGCACGTGTACCTCGACTAGGCAGAGTCGGTCTGGGCCATTGCCCGTATCTCCAGTCAAGACTCGACTGCACACAAAACAAGATACAGAGGTATTAAGCTCGTTGTATTGGTAGTAAAAGGTATCACAAGAGAAGAGGGTGCTTAGGGCGAGGGCGAAGGAGCCGGGGGGAGTAGCAGCGGTGCCCTTGGCGACCTGCGGAGGCAGGAACATGGGGAAGTAGGTCTGCAAGGAACGGTCAGAGGACTGGTGGGTGGGTAAAGATAGCGTATGATAGTGGATGTACGTACAACGACCAGCGCCATCACTAAAGGAAGACCGCAATGATTAGTTTGGATATAACGGGGAGACTCGATGGTGGAACAGGACTGATTGGCACGTACAGGACATGAAGACCGACATGTAAGCTGGGGTAGCAGCAGTCTTCTTCTGCTCGGGGGACTCGGCGAGCCAGGTCTGGAGGGAAAAGACGAAGGAGACCCTAAGGAGGCATGGTTAGCGAGATCAGGGACCAGCCACTTGAAGGATGCAACATACCAGCCAATCATTCTGTATCGCAGTCGTCGTTAACGAGGTAGTTCTATGACGGTCAATTGGGCTTTCGAAGCTCACCTGTTCCGCATGAACATCTAAATATGATCGCATGTCAGCTTAAAATAGGGTCTCCAAGAGCTCGAAATCGCATCCACATACCGCAGCCATGGGCATCGTGCTCGACATGGTGCCTATCGCAGATAATTGTCAGAACATCATAACCCTGTTGTATTTTTCGCAGACCCCAGGCTCTCGCCTAGGGTGTTCGGAGTAGTCGCGTACTGGACATATCGGCATCGTTGGCACTCTTGGGCGGGTCGACGTAGGGGATCGCTGCGGCGTCATTCAAGGTTAGCCCGATGGGAATCGATAAAGAGGCAATTGGCAGATTAACTCACCGAGATCCGCACGTCGCATATCCTTGTTTGACGCCATGATTCAAGCTGTGGGACTGATGGTGGTGAATGGGAGAAGGAGAAGGTCTTGAAGCGGCAACCCCCAAATGCCAAGACCGTTCGCCCGCTTGGGCTAGACTCGACGCATGGGGAACTCCGAAGAACGGAATCGTGGGGGGAGATGATAGGAATAGAGATAGGAGAATGGAGCAGAGTACTGTAATCAACGCTGAGATCTTGCAAGATAATCTAGTGCTATGGTTATCTATAGGATACTGATCGTTGTAGAGTATAGTAGTCGGTACTATAGCCCGTGTTACGAATCTACGAGTCCAAAATGCCCGCGATCCGCTCAAATCTGGGGACGATCTCACATCTCACGGGGAGTCGGTGAGCGCAGAACCCGAATTCTCTGGGTCTTTTTAAGCCAGCCATGTCATGTAGATCGTGGATCAATGCACGATCTGTCGTCTCCTCCGCAGGCTTGCACTAAAGCGGCATGTACAGGTGTACAGGTGCACAGGTACCAACTAGCACAAAGAAAGCGATAGGCAACCCAACCCAGATCTAGGATACAGTAGCCCATACAGTATCAGGCCTTCTCTGTGATCTGATCCTTCTCCTTGCATTCGGCATGGCCAAGACAGACACGGCACACTGCATGCGACCACATCGCCAACCGACCCGGCATCTCCGACGGCAGTCTCCCGCCCGGTAGGATTTTCCGATGGGCTGGGATGGTCCACGGAGGAGATCAACGGATAAAAACAAAATTCACCGTATGATGGATTCGTCCATCACGTGTAGTGACTACGGATGGTGGGCCGATACGGAATGTGGACGTAAATAATATAGGGGATGGAGGAGAAAGTTAGTGCTACTGTAGTCTGTAGTACATATTTAGGTTAGTAGTACTCCGTACTGTGCTCCGTATGGAGTATTGTATGTCCGGGTCAAGGACTGATTCGCCCACTCGAAGAGTGCAAAAGCGAAGTTCTGTGATAAGCGAGCAAGCCCCCGGTAACTGGGGGACAACTGCAGCTGCATCAGGGGGCGTAAGCGGAGGAAAAGTGTACTCTGCCCAGTGCCCACGGACCATAAGTCGAGGGACCTAGCGACCGGGAGGCATCCCTAATGGCCGCGGGCCGGAACGTATCTGTAGTAGGGTACTAGGGAGTTGGATGATTGCTTGGTGCTTATGCTTCGGACACGGGGGTGTGACGGGGCTAAATCGGGGTTGCGTGCTGGAAAATATGGGTATTATGATTTGGCGGAGAGATGGCGAAATGTTAGAAGATGATGAGTGAATGTACAGTAGTAGGTGGATAGATTGTGAAGTCGTGATGGCGAGACTCTATAATGAGTTTGTCGGGTAAAGTATGGAGTAGGGTTCAGGGAGGAATTGGAAAGCAATTCCCGATTCTCCTTAGGTTTAGTACTTAAAGCCTCGCCGGAACTGAAAGTCTCGTTCTGGGTGTTCAAAGCCAGTTCGGGAAGGGAGATGCGACGGGGTTTGAGGATACCCACTCTGGGGAGGCATGGTTTAGAGTATTCACTATTCAGGGCTCTACAGAGTAGTGTCAATCATTTCGGCTTCTTCCTATGGAGTATGGAGTACAATATGATACGACTAGTCGATGAGGATAAGTATACTTTAATAATTGGTATCATTGTGCTACCCTCTTTTCCGTCGGGCGTCGGGTAAAAACGAGTGGAAGAAGGAATTTGCAGTAGGTCGTGCCACCCTCTATTGTACACTGCGAGCATACCTATCAGTGTCTCTGGTTCGACGGAGGAAGAAGTAAAGAGGAAAAAAGCAAACCAGGTCATGTATTATGAGTGGCCTAATCCATTCAAGATAGAAGGGTATCCCACAGAATAATACTGGATCAGTTGCCGTCGGTCTGGAGTGGAAACCCCGGTCTGACTGTTCCGAGGAAAGAAGTAGTAGTTCCGTAAAAGGATACCCAAAATTGATACATTAAGTCATAACATTTTCCAATCCACTCGCTAGTTAACTGGGCCCGCCCACAAGCGCGGTAGTTCGGTAATCCCTCGGCCCTAAAGGGGGAAAGGGGACCGATTGATAAAGTGGCCTTCTAATAGAGTACAGTATCCTGATTCCATCAATCATAAAATTGGATATAGCCGAGAAAGGAAGGGTGGAGAGAGAGAGAGGGAAATCTGGATTTACCGTGGAATCGAGTGTCAAGGATCCCCGGACTTAAACATGCCATAGAGATTGGGTCTATCTGCAGACCATGATTGTCTGATGCAGAAGAGGAGATCCAACGAGGGTTCATCAGACCATAGAGGTTAGTTTTAGACTACAGCCTTTAGCCCATGTAATCCCAAGAACATGTAAAAATCATACCCCGTCCAGCGCATTCGATTCCGCCCGTCGATCCCGAGGTGGATCCGGTGGACTGAGTTGTGGACTTGGGTGGACAGTGGACGGAGACTGACGGACTCTCGTGACTTACGTTATCGCGGCCCATCTCATCCCATAAACACCCTCGCCCCGATAACGTTCCCTTTCCTCCGATCTGAACCTTGAATCCTTGACTCTACTCTACTCTACTCGACCTCTCTACTTCTCTCCATTCATCTCGCCTTAGACTTATACCATTGACCCTCAGCCACCCATTCCTTTCCTTTGACTCCACCTCCGGCCTTTACCCGTCCCGTCTACCTGCCAACATCTCGCCTGGTTCGCCCCGTTGCCCAAACCATCCTGATCTATCCACCCTCGACCAATGTCGTGAAATAGATCCCAGTTCGAAATTCGGTCATTAAGATATTGAACCCATCGACATCGAGTATAACCCCGCCGATATCACATCCTCCCGCCGTTGCGGCCCCCCTTCCGAACCCATTCAAATGATACCTTTCGGCCGACTTTGTACACCATGAGCCTAAGATGATCCCCCATTCTTCCGCCGGCCAACCCTGGGGCCACCCGATGCGCGCCCTCAATGGAGGCCCCGGACGGGTTGACCTGGCTCAAATGGCCGGCCAGTACGATTCGCCCTCGGTCTCTTCGCAACATTCCATATCGCATTCGCAGTTACAGTCGCAACCGCCGCCGCCGCCACAACCGCCGATCCGCCAAACACCCGTGGTGGACTTGACAGCCGGCGGATTTGAGTCGCACGATCGAGAACCCCCGCCAAAACGACCGAGACTGGATGTATCGAGTGGATCGAATTTGGGTGATGCCGGCTCGACGATGAATAGTGCCGAGCCGCGGAGCACACCAGGCAGCGCTGGTTCGCGGCCGCAGCTTTCATGGCGTGGTCGACCGCTATGGTCTTTCCAGGCTGTCATGTCAGAGGTTCCTGGGAGCGAGAATCGAGGGGATGGTTCGACGGCATCGAAGCCATCGTCGCCGCCTCCGTTCCCTGCGCAGCCTTGGACTAGTGTTCCACCAGAGCGTCAGGGTAATGCAGATTCGAAGTCTCGTGATCCATCTCCAGTCAAGAAAGTTTCCACAACGCCATATCGTATTGAGACGCCATCTGCGGCTCCAATTATCAAGGGAGATAGTAAGTGGATTGATTCGTAGACCGCATCTCTTTTGGATGCTGCCACGGCTGATTGCTAACATACATATCAGAAGTCGCCGGTTTCGCCCCGTGGACTGGAAATCATCCGGAAGATATATTGAACGAGCAGACCGCGAAACAAGGTTATTATGATCGTACTCAGGTCTCCCAGAACGAATCAAACACCGCGCGCCCGGCTTTGTATGCACAGCTCAAGCACCGTACGGGTCTCCAGATGCTTTCGTCCGTATTCACTGCGGCCCTTGAGAAACGCCAGAACCACAACGCTGTCCACGCTCCATCGACTTTCAAACCACCACCACGAGTCACGCTGACCGATAATAAGCGAGAAGCATGGCTTCGCGACCTTGCCAACTCGGCCGTACCACTGCGCCGACTAAGCCGAACCATTCCCCATGGTATCCGTGGTAAGGTACTGCTGGATCAGTGCCTGGGTAAATGGATCCCGGTGGCTCGAGCCGTTTGGCTTGCAAAGTGTGTTGGTGCCAACGAGATTCGTGCATTTAAACGTAAAGGCACCAGCGGCGCTTTAGCAGTGGGTCTGGAGGCAAAGTGGGTTCGTGAATGGACTACCAACGTTCAACAATTCGTCGAGGGGGTCTTCAGTGCGCCCAAATCGAATGACTGGAAAGCCAAGATGACCTACGCCGTGGGGTTAACTGCTCGTCTCTTCTTCGAAAACCTTCTCGACCACGATCACTTCCTGGAATGGTTCTTGGCATCATTCGAAGCCGCTTCTCTGGCTACCGTGCCTGTCTGGCTCCTGATGCTCGGTATATACTGGAGTAACCTCATGCGGTATCGACGTCGAGGACGACGATTAGCAGAACTTTTACTCGAAAAGCTTCGACAGGCCACCGCCGCCAAACTCGATCCCCTGCAACCTCTCGTTGATCGCTTATCTCGTTTCATCAAAAAGTTGGTTCACGAACATACCTCATCGATGATTCTGCCAAATTCATGGGACACGTATAAAGATCAAGTCTCCTCATGCCTCAACCTCTCTAATAAAGTCGATCGGGCCTTGTACCAAAGTATTGCGGAACGAAACGTCCGAGTACAGCGACCTAGACACCCTAAACAATCCGCTCAGCGTTCTCCCCATCAACGCATCATCCGCCTGCTTGACTCTATTCGCTCCGCCCACGACATCGTCGCAATGTCTTCTGCTTGCCTGGATGCCATCGACGATCGGGCCATTCTCGTTTCAAAACTGCTAGAATGGCTTGCCACGCCGTTCCGTCATGGCATCTGCCGGATCTACGTCGGCGTCCGTCTGCTACGGAAGTGGAAGGCATCCGGTGTTGATGTCGACGAGCATATCCTTTCCTTCCTTACGCATGCCGGCATCAATAAGAAGCTCAGTATGGATAATGTGTACCACGCGATCTCCGAGCTTGTCAGGTCACAGACATTCTCGGTTGGTCGGTACCTCCAATGGTTGATGGCAAAGGGTGTGACGAATCGTCAGCCCAATGACACTCAGTCAACCATCGAAATTCCCGGCGACATTGGATTGATAGCACAGCTTCCCGTTGGCCGCCTCCCCGAACACGTCGGCAACCTGCGCAAAACCCTGATGGCGCGCACTGGATTCTCCGTCTCAGAAGAGGGCCAAATGGTTGCCAGCATCAAGATCTTAATCAGCCATCGCCTCCCGGGCCTGTTTCGTTCGGCAATGTTGTTGGATACCTCGCTCAACTCGTTGCCGCAGGATTTGACATGGGCTGTGAAGGCTGAGATTGCCCAGTGGCTTCGACGCGGTGTTGTTGAGCATACCCGTGTTAATGTCAATACTTTGCGAGCCATGCTTCCAGGTGAACTCGGTCATTCCGTATCTGCGCTCACGCCTGAAGAGTTCTACAACGTTCGTGATATCCTCGAGACCATTGGCGATGTCTCCATGTTGGCAGACGTGCTCAAGGTTGCGTCAAGCTCTGATGATAGCACCGTTCTCGCATCCGTTGCAGATACTACCAATTGCCATTTCGACTCGTTGTCTGTCATTGGCGCCACGATGGATCTGTTCCGCAAATTGGTTGACGCGTATGCCGGCATTAAACGATATGGCACGCCTAGCCTGGACTTGATGTTTTCACTCATCGAGCTTGGTCTCCGCATTCCAAACGAACTCAACACTGTCGCCATCCTTCGTCAAGATCTCTCACGCATGGAAAACAAATCTGTTGTCGCTGCTTGTTCGCCAGTCTCGGACCACATCCCGGACAGCTTTGGCGAAGCCGATCCCCTCTTCCGTGAAAAGCTGGACCAGCTCTTGCTCTTGGGCAATGTTATGGATGAGCCCACTCTGGACACTATTTTCAACATGCTGGCAAAGCATCTGGAATCTGGCGAAGGCAAGACGAGGCTGTCAGCTAATGATACCTGTAGATATCTAGCCCAGTTGCGGTCATTCCAGCCCAAGCACTTTGATGTGATTCTCGCCCGTTGGGTTTGTGGACACCTCAGGTCATCCGATCGCACGATACTGCTTCGCATCCTGCCGCCTCTCATCGGAGTGGGATGCGTGACTATTCGGTCATTCCTGTCACTCGCCAAAAGACTGTCCAATTCCGCAAACTCGATCCCCAACGCCACAGATCTGCCCGCAGATCTTGTCGAGCTTCTCGTGGCCCGCGATGATGATGGCAGATACCTCGATCTCGTCTCCTACCGCTTCCAACTCGCCCAGCAAGAATTCCTCTCCAGGAACACCGAGGAGGCTCTGGGGATTGTATGTGATGCCGCTGCCTGTCTCAAGTCTGGTGACCAGAAACCGGCTCTCAAGTATATCAACTTGGAGACGTCTATGGTCACATTGTTGCGGGAGCTGCTTGTGCGGAATCCTGAATGCGCAAGCAAATATTGCTTGCAAAAGATTGACAACCAGTCCCCGACTGCAATGGTCGTTTTCCAAAAAGCCCTCGACCTCTTGCTTGGGGTAGACCCACAGAAAGCAAATGACTCAGTCATTTCGGAAGTTGAGAAGCTTGCAAACACAACCGACGACTTTTCGCTTCCGCTGTGTCAGTTGAAGCTCCAGGTTCTGTTCCACGCCGACTCTGCAAATGAGGATCGAAGCAACCTTGTGGATGCGATGTTCAAGACTGTTGTGGCTGATTCGCGTGCGCGCAAACTCCACTGGGTTGACCTGGTCGCTTTGATGAGTCCCGATGCGGTGCGACAGATTCGTGAACGTGCCGAGAAAGAGTTCTTTGCCATTCCACTCCTCGAAGAGCCAGTGACTCCACAGAGTATGAGCTCGTTGGAGAATGCAAAGCTGTATCTCACTATTATTGAAGAACTTGCAAGCAGCATCCCTGATTCCGGGACGCCAACGATTGCGCCGCTTCTCGTGGAGAAGATGGATCTCCTCCTGCACAAGATTATTACCTTGCAGTCTAGTCTCAACAATACCGGGGAGAATCGCACCGCCGCATCGGCTGGTCAAGGACGCACCACTTTCGAGCGGTCTCTGGCCTTCTGGTTCTCAGCTCTGCTTCGGATGGTGGTCATCCATCGTGCCTCGTTCATTCAGCCATCGCCCACGCTGAAAATCGGTTCCTCTCACGAGCAGTCCCGTCTCCTCATTTCAATCTTCTGCATTGCACTATCCCGTCTTCCAGGCGATGTGCTCCGCCACTTCCCCGGCGCCGACTACTTCCCCCGTCAAGGCGCTGTAGAAGATTACCGCCCCTGCCCAGGAATCTTACTGCAGACGCATGCATTAGACGTGGCCGCCTCGCTCATCGATATCTTCCCCGACGAGATCCGTCACCAGTGCGCCCGCTTCCTGAAGGAAAAGTGTCCACCCTTTGTACCCCTCCAGAACGACTCGCGATTCCTCTACCTACTCGGTCCCATGTCGGATTCCCACCCGTCCAGCATCCTCCAGTCTGCATCCGCCCCGTCTCCCGCAGCATCTGCATCCACACCAACCCCGACATCAGCCAATTTCCCTACCGCTGGCGCCGCGGCCCAGCCCACGGTGTCTAGTCTGTGTGGTGGACTTTCTGAGAACTCGAATTGCATGGCGAATCGACTGCGCCTTCAGAATCGGGGCCGTATTGTTGGTCCATATCCGATTCGGCCGTGGGAGCTGCTCGAAGACGCGGCACCTTTCGTGGGCGTTAACGATACTGCGGTGAACCTGGGCTATTTCGACGCGAGGCGTGTGCGTGTCTAGATCGAGTTTGGATTTGAGTTGCAGGCTCAAGCTAAACTGCGGACTACAAACATCCCAACCTTATTCACAATTCCCTTCATCTCCTATACACCCTTACCTTATTCTTCTTCCATCTACACCGATCATGTCCATTGGTCCTTCAACCACACCAATTGTCACATTTCCTATGCATATTCATATTCCTTTTTACCAAACAAGCATCAACTTCGGGTTACGACGAATGCATGTTTATGAATCAAATATTCACCTGTCTTGTCTTGTCTTGTCTTGCCTTTTGTCGCCATTTGGACTATCCTGGCCTGGCCTGCCAAGGTCATGCCATTCTGCTTCTGGCTCGAGCGCTTTGCCTTGCCTTAGCATTGGGGGTATACACATACTTTTGATTCAAGATTTTCATGGTGTCATGTCATACTCGCATGGAGATGCATTGGGTTCTCGGGCTTTGACTTTTTACTTCGTTTGTATATACAGTTTTCCAGGCGTGTTTTGTTTCGTTTTCTTCTGCTTTTTCCCCATTCATATCCATATCCATATCCATATCCCGGCGTTGTTTGGACCTGGGATTACAATCCAACTGAATCTGATCTAGTTTCTCGGCATTCATGCTGTCTTCTATCTTTCTTCTCTGTGCATGTATCTGGTTCGTGGATGTGAATAACTGTATAGTATTGCATCTCCCCAGGTAGAATCTATCACAGTCAACCCTCTACTACTACAAAACCTTCACCTCATCTATACCCAACCACCACCCCTCCATCTGCATATCCAACCAACCCACAACACCTGTAACCCCTAAGTACAGCTATCACTCCCAGCAACAAACGTCCCATCCGAATTCTCACACCCACACTCCCCAGTATTCGGATCCTTAATACACCCAGTCCCATACCCACTACTCGTCCCCTCGTCCCCCCAATAAAACACCCAATAGTCCGAGTCAGCCTCTAACTCAGAGGATGTCGGCGCGGTGCAGGTGTACGCGCTGCAGGTTCCGTAGGGAGCGCCGTTGTACGAGTCGTATTGGTGGTCTGTTTCGAAGACGGCGAAGGTTTGGGTTCCTGAGACGCGGGTGTTGTGCGAGCATTCGGCGGCTTGGATTGCTGTTGAGACTTTTGATGCTGCGGGAGAGGATGGTGTTAGTATGGGATGAGATTGGATGTGTGGTTGGATTTAAGAGGGGAATTGGGTTGGTTTACCGCTGCAGTTTAGACTCTTGGGTTTGTAGCCTTTTGTGTTGGAGGTTGCTGGGTCCAGGGTGGCTGTCACGATGATCGGGGCTGCCAGGAGGGCGAGGATATTGGTGAAGTGCATTTTGGTTTGATTTTTGATGATTGTGCTTGAATAATCTCTGTCTTGTGAATGATTCAGTAGGATTGATGGATTAGACTGGTTTTTATACTTTGACGCGGTCTTGATGTATGCGGAGTCCGTTAAGAAGCTGTACGGAGTCCAAGTCCATCTATCTGATACCGGGCTCTGTGAACCGGGGAAATACCTTAATCGGTATACAAATAAATGAATGCTCTTCATACCCAGGGGAAGTATATGGATACCGCAAAGTCCAGACCCGTAATAAGCATGTTTTGTTTCAGGGTTAAGTTTTGAAACAACTATGAAGGATCTCCGATCTCCACTCTTGATGATCCACCAACGGAGTAAATTAAGCTTGTAGATCAGACAATTACAGAAGTATTTAGCGGTATGTTAACTAGTGTCTTATCTTTTGCGTCTTTCACATTTCCTGGAATTAATCGGAGACTAGTCGTGAATGAGATAAGTTTATCTCCCCCACAAGCACATTCACTGCTGGCCCCCATAATAGGGAATGATCGATGTCAACGTCAGCGTTTCATGCAAAATGATCTTGTTTGGGAATGTCTCCCCCCGATTCCCCGAGTCTATAGTACTACCCCTGCATAGTCACGGCATTAGGCCGAGGACAAGTCTAGGCCATGATCGACGGCTAGTTATATGTGGATAGTGGGATAGCACGTTTAGCTTGTCTATCCCCGTATTGCATAGTGGTGATACTTCGGATGTTCCGGACGGTTTAAGGTGGTCTGATCTATATGGAAGATTTTGTTTCGAGAAATACAAAAATAATAGGATCATTCCCATGGCACTAGGTGCTACTCGTAAGGTTCGGTCCTAATTAGTCTTAGTGTCGTAGTGCCACGAGAGCTTTTTGTAGTGCCGTGAGTATGATCCAAATAATATGCACCGGAAATTATAAGTATTATCATGCCAGCGCCGTTAGGCGAACTCCAAAGGTAATGACGGGAATGCTTTCAATGCTATTCACTCCGAGAGTGTCTATACTCAGGTAACTACCGACATCTACATAAAGAAAAGCCCACAGGAGCTCGTTGACCTCCAAGAATTCTCCAATCTAGTATTCGAATGTCCTACACAGGTGTTGTTGTGCATAACTATATCTCCCCCGGGTGATGGGCTTTCTCCTGCTCGTTCGCCAAAGGACCAGAGCATAGTACAGAAGGCCTGGTCTTGTTCCAAGCGTAGTCGGTATCGTTAAAGTATAAATCACCAATCCAAGGGGCATTGAATACTCTAGTAGGGCTGTCCTGTCTCCGGGCCAATCCGTCAGCATGCCAGACCATGGAGTGCCATTATATCGCCAGGTTCAAATATGCACTTACGCCTTCTTTTACGGGCTTCGTACCTCCCATTGCGAAATGCCAAGCTCCGAAAGAACAAACCATGTATCCCAAGACCGGCCGTACGAATAGCGTCGTATAGCGAACAAGCCCTGCATAGCCCACAGATATACCTGTGCTTGAGCCACTGCCAGAGGAAAATGCCACCCTTCCAACCAGCTTTCAGTGCTGTGTCTTCTTCGAAATAGATTCCTCTGGTGTACCGTCTACAAGATATAGCACAGCTCACAGCCCACTTGTAGAACTTTCGCGCTTGGTGTCTGCCTTTTTTCCCGGGGACGCAAATTATGAGAGCTTGGTGTTTGGTATTCACTCGGGTTCATTCTCGTTCTGGTGAGAAGAATGTCGAGAATTACTGGTGGACCGAGAAAGGTGACTCGTGTTTAAGGCGCTGAGAATAGAATATCGATTAGCAAGGGTTCTTTTGATCGTGATCTGCGGAGTGGAGAATGCACTGTACATATTCGTCAAGAGCTGAATCTTGCTGTGCTAAATCTGACAGATATCAACATCAGTATACTCGAACCAAACAGCCAATTATTCACTGAACGGACAAACCAAAGAAGAAGAAATAACATACCCGAAATGAATCCATCGCTTGTACGAGTAGCCCCAGTTTCCCCAAGCCAACCAACGCTTCCGAATTGCTGTGCACAAGCAAGACAGACAAAGTATCTGACCATTCCTCAAGAGATTGTTTAAAGCATGCAACCCCGCTGAGTAAGTGTGGCAAAGCCATCAGTTGTTCCCGACGTAAAGTACGATGACCAAGGGCTGCACGTACGTTTCTAGGAATCAATTCCAGGAAATACGCGGGGTTACAGTAGCTGGATCCGACTTTCTCAAAGCCCCTTATTGATGAAATCCGAGAGAATGCCAACTATCCAAGACAGTGGGAGATCGCGAACGCTCACGAGGGCCACGACCCAAGCACGATTGTAGAACTCCGCAACAGGAATCCACATTCATATTCTCATCGTCGACGGTCTTTTCGGTCGTGTTGGCATATGTATCGGTACGCCCAGCCAATTTGGCGCGATGAGTATTTATACCGGATATAGTGGAAGTTCTCGTAGAACAGAGTAGAAATTCTGTAGGCGTCTGCTTCAGGTCTGTCTAGAGGCGCGCAGGTTGACCCAGTCGTCCAGAATAGCTCGCTCGTAGTGCAACGAGGGGTGACATAGCATGTCGGACGGCATGATGCGTGGAGGTTGTCAGGTTGATGAACGAAAGTGTACAGGACTGTGATAGGATATAGGTATGCTTGAGAATATCAAGGATCATGAAGGAGTATTTGGGAGGGGTGTGATATATGATGGTGAAGATGTCGTACAGGTACTCATCGAGGTATATAGCCGGGTATAGGAATGGGGAAGAAGAGAAGTTGGTAGGAGGAGTATGGGTTTATGGAATTTATGGTAAATCCAGTGGGCTTGTTGGTTTGTTTACATTCATGGTTGTTTGGAGGGAAATTCCTTCAAACAACATGACATAGACCGCTGTACGTAGTGGTAGATACAATTATCATTGAATGTTACGCCTCCCTGGCCTACAGCAGGTCTTTATCTTACAGCTCCGTAGAATACATGGAAATAAATCACGAGGAAAAAAGGACACATTCGATGAAACCGACTGCCTCGGAGTCCCAGCCACCACGGATGAAAACTAGCTCAAACGAAAAGGAAAAAAAAGAAGAGACCTAGCAGGAACAAGATCCAAATGGATCAAAACCAGAAGAAATGAAGCCCAGAAAAAAGAGACCCATGAGAGAGGGGGCCCCGAAGAAACAGAAACCAGAAAAAAACAAACCCAGATTGGAAGAAAGCAGAAAATCCAGAATAAACAAAGTCAAGAAGAAGAGAAACCTGGGGAAAACAAAAAGGAGAAGGAAACAAAACGAGAACCAGTAGGTTGGAGAGCTCAAGTTGCCCTGAGCAATAGATCGAGATGCCATCAAAGTCTTTTCACACTTAGACGGACTTCACGGAGCAGTTGCGAGCCACAGATCCATTTTGAGAATCATCGGTATCAGTGCCAGTCTTGGGCTGGCAACCATCACTTTTGGCGAGGAGAGCTTCTTTCTCTTCTTCTTGTGCTTTCACCCTCCGTTCCTCCACCAGGTCCCGGATGATTTCCTGCAGGGTTTCTTCGCTGACTCCCGGGCTGAGGTGATGTTGACGCGCGTACTGCTCAACGGTGAGGCCGGTTAGGGTAACCGCGAAGGAATCAACGGGCTTTGAGGTGGGAGATGCGCAAGTATGGCTTGAATTGGTGCTGGCAATGGAGTTGATGGGACTCGGGGGCCTGGAGTCCTCCATAGGCGTGTCTTTGGCCCAAATGACGGTCTTCTTGCTCTTCTCCGAGTCAGAGGGAGGAGCCGAGTCGGAAGTTGAGCCCAGGCGGAGTCCAGTGGCGGACACAGAGCGAGAGCGAGATCCAGAGTGAGAATGCGAGCGGGAGCGAGAGGGAGATTGAGAGCGGGAACGACGGAGGGATTGAGAGAGGGTGCGGGAACGAGATCGAGAGCGAGAATCGGCTTCAATGGCGGAATCGTTGTCGGTGATCTCTTCGACAGAAACAACGACGGCGCTGCCAGCGGAGGTCTTCTTGGAGGCAGCCTTGATGTCCTCTTCCTCCTCATCATCGGCGTGATAGACACGAATGAGACGGGGAGCCTTCTCGGGCGTCTTGGGGTTCAATGGGACACCTCCCACGGTGTCGTTCTCGGAAGGCTGTTCGGCAACCTTCTCTTCTGGGATGCCATCCAGTTTGATATCCATCTGCTTCACCGGGCTTGGCGCCTTGTGAGGGGCGAAATGTTGGTCATTGATGTTGGGAGGGGAGTGGCCAAAGCCTCCATGTCCAGGGAAGGGCTCGACATAACCCATGTGGTCGACTGGACCGACTGGGCCAACAGGGCCAAAGTACCCGTTGGGGGGACCGTTCATGCCGGGTGGAGTGTTCACGGGGCCATGGTTAGGGATGAAACCGGGAGGATAGTAAGGGCCGGGTGGTGGTGGAGGAGGATAATGAGGTTGGCCGTAGGGGAGGTAGGGTGGATGCATGGGAGGAGGACCAAAGGGATCAGGATTTGTGTGAGGGCCCATGTAAGGCCGGGGACCAGTGATGGGAAGAGGACCAGGACCAGTGTAGACGTAGGGAGGAGGACCGGTGAAGCCATTGGGATCGGGAGGAGCATGCATTGCGTAGTGAGGGTTGAAGAGAGGTGGGTGCAGCTCATGGCTGTTGAAGGTTACCCCATGGACGGTGAAAGTTGGGTTGGGAACGTATCCGGCGTGGGGAGGCAGGTTCTCATTGCTCAGCTGAGAGTGATGGATCTTTGGGAAGCTGCTGCGATGAGGGTTCCGGGGGTTGAAGTTGCCATTACCGTTGCGGTGCTGGCGGGAGTGGTTGTTTCGCTGGAAATTTCCAGCACGAGGAGGGAAACGCCCATTGTAGGGCTTGGAGTGAGGAGCCCCGTTGCCGGGGCCCTGAACGGGGCCCTTGAGGAGAGGGCTGCCGTCCATGTCGAGCAGGTGCAGGTAGTACTTGTCGTCTTTTTGGAAGTACTGGGGAGTGTGAGAATCGAGTCAAAGGATGTGGGAGGAGGGAAGGTGTGATGGAGGAGAAGAGAGAAGGAGAGAGGAGGAATGAAGGAGAATAAAAAGGATGAGAGGGAGAGAGAGGAAAGGCAGAAGCTGAGGCAGACAAGATGAGGCAGAAGGCAGAAGGCAGCAAAGTGAGAGGAAGAAAGAGGAAGATCGTACCTTGATTGCGTCTCGACAGTCATCCACAAAAGCAAACGTCACTTTGGCCACGTCCGTCCAAGTCTGATATCCCGTCTGCTGCGGCTCGATAGTGTAGACTTCAAGAGATCCACGACCATCCAGTGCAGTCAGTACGTCTTGAGCTGTCACGGGCTGAAGAGAGCGCAGCCCAAGACACGCAGTTCCTGTCACTAGGTGTCAGCTCAGTTCACGGGAGAGATCCAAGAAGAGTAGATTACTTACTTCGTCCTTTAGCACGTTCAATTCTCAGCAATCGGTCATGAAGCACGGTAGATTCGTCGCTAGCCAGAGCTGCACTGGCATCCTCCACACGCTATAGAGAATAATGTCAGAATATAGAGACTCTTTATATCCCCATGCAAAGGGTCGGAATGGAAACTTACTTCAAACTGCACAAAAGCACCGGGCAATCCCTTCTTTTTATCTTGCTTGATTTTTACATGGCAAGCTCCATATTGTGTAAATACCGACTTCAAGTCTTCAGCCAGCGTCTCAGTGGGAACTTTTGTAGAGAGACTGTAATCTCCGTTAGTAGAGAATACCTTATAGCATCTGCAGATAGTTTCACAACTTACTTTCCAACGAAAATACAAGCTTCGGGTGGGAATAAGCCCTGGGCATTCTTCGCCGAAGGCTCCTCCTGCAGGCGATCCCCGCGAGGGCACTTGGCCTCTGCATTTGGAACCACGAGCTGGATAGTCATTTTGGAATATGTATCAGAGTGTGGTAGAGAGTGCGGTAGAATGGGTATAGCTATGTCTGTATGGGAATCACAGCGAGGTTGGACGAATGTATGCACATGGACGAAGGAGATGATGAGATTTGGACGGACTACGAAAAGGAGGAAAAGATATCCTCCCAATTTTTTTTCCACTCTACCGCACTGACAATTCTTCTCCGCAACAAATTGAGAGCCGTGATTCCATGGGGTTGCTACTAAGCCTCATTCTGGGGAGCAAAGCTTGGGAAATGCCAAACTAAACCATGGCTAGCTTCGGCGGTTGACTAGCATGACCTACAGCAGTTTGACTCAGAATCAAACTCTATTTGATACAGTAATAGCCGGACGAGAGTCATGAAAGTATCATACTTGTTCCTTGTGACTCGAGTATCCCAGGCAGAAGCTCCAGATCAACTTGGAGCTTGGATACTTCGCGGCCTGAACAGCTTCCATGGGTCTTGTATAACGGGATCACAGTGGCTGGATCATGCCCAGCATGTAAGGCAGAAGATTAACTTTCACGTTCCTGCAAATTGGCTGATCAAGGTTTCATTCGGCCGATTCGATTGCTATCGTGACGTGCAAGGTGCGTAAGGTACGGATGGCTTGGTGGTAGAGGATCTATGCCGCGGACAAAGTCATGCTAGCGAATCGAGTAACAGTCAAGAAGAAACTGACTAGGATAACCCTTTTCTAGCCTCCTGTTTTCAATGAGAATGTAAATCTCTTCGGCCGTCCATAATAGGTGAGCCGCCATCCTCCTCAGTACCGACACCCGATGGAGGTATGGAGTGGCCAGCACAAATCCCGAAAAGGTAATTTAGCGAGGATCGTGGTGTAAAGCAAAGAAGAAAGCAGAAATAGAGTACAGGATGCGAGTTCGGAGAAATAGCTCCTATAATCCAGCAGTTAATAACGGACGAGGCACACAAGTGCAAAGATGTTGATGTATAGTCACCATTATACTAGGTTCACGGGTGAACCCTAAATTCCAGAGACGCCACTTCCTGTCCCTGGATCTATTTTTACAATACATTCGGTTTCTCGAGCAAGATCTGCAGGTTAGTACCTAAGTTGAAAGTAAATCGGTCCTCTAATGACCGTAAAATACGATCTGAAACTATTAGACTGTAAAGCATCAAGGTCGCCCGACGATGATGTTCCAGATGTCCGTCCAGGGCTTTGAATATTCCAATTTTCTGACCACTTTTCCATCTTTTTCAAGCAATACCTGGCCTTTTATTCTGTGTATTTATTGCCCATACCCCGACTTGAATATATGGCCACTCTACAGGCTCACAAGCTTAAACCGAATACATAACGGTTGGAACAGGGTTGGATACAAGCTCCAAGCAGGGCACCGGTTATCTTATCGCGGCAGATCGGCGCGCAAGTCTTCACGCCACCTCGGGACGCCGACATCATCCAAAATCATCGCCAAGCAACCTCCAGCTATTCCCTCCTCCACACCCCATCCTCCTCCAGATCACACTCGCTCAGTTTAGCGATGATTCCAACTCGGAGGTTAGCTGCACAGGGCGGCTTCTTCAAGCGAAGCGCTGAAGAATTCAGCCGTCTCTCCAAGATAGGTCGGTGTCGCGCTCCGTTCTCCCCGTTCGGTCAACCAGCAAGCTAACCGCGCAACGTCTACAATCTCCAGCTTGGAACACCGAAGCCCTTCATACCCCGACCAAGCCCTACGTCCTCTTGGACTTCGAAGATGCGTCCTCGGTCGAGGGCTGCAAGACCATGGCCGACCGCGCCGTTGGCGGTTTCAGTACTGCGAGTCTGGACTTTGAGCCCGCGGAACCCGCATCGAATACCCCTGCACATGCGCGCTTCCACGGCAGCATCTCTACCAAGCTGCCGACGAACTGGCGCGTCGAGAGAACCGGTAAGTCTTCCGGTGTTGCATCAGAAAAGCTTCCAGAAACGGGGACCGGAAATACTGATTCCTGGGGGCTATGAATAGGATACGCCGCATTCCGCAACCGAGACCGTGGCTTTTGGCTTTTCGGCCGTCTTTTCTGGGACGTTGATCCCTACGCTTACCTTGCCCTCCGTATCAAGTCCGATGGTCGTCGGTATACCGTGAATATCCAGACCGATTCTATCGTGGAAACCGACATCCACCAACACAGATTGTACACCCGGCACCACCGCGTCCACGGCCAGACACCCATGCAAGAAGCCCTGCGCTCCAGATCTGCCGAGGAATCCGGTGCTGAAGGAGAGCTTTACCCACAGGGTATTCCGGACGCTCTGTCAGATTTCCCGCCCGAATCGACTATCATCTCCTCTTCCTCTAGCGCCACGACCTCCGGTACGACGGGGTGGGAGACAGTCTTGTTGCCGTTCAACTCGTTTGTCCGGACGAATCATGGATACGTGATGGAGCCGCAGACGTGTCTGCTTCGGTCGCGGGTGAAGAGTATTGGAATTGGTCTTACGGATCGTATTGAGGGACCGTTTGATCTGCGTATTCACAAGATTTGGGCGACGAATGGTATGGGTGAAGCTGATATTGAGGAGGAGCGGCGGATTTGTGGTGCGGATGCCTTGCCGATTGATGAGGGTGTCCGGACTGCTTGGACGAATAAGCAGGCGTCGAAGGAGGAGGATGGTCAGAAGAGCTCTACGACGAAAGAGAAGGGGTTGAAGGGATTGAAGTCGGAGTGGGACGAGTAATTTGTACGAGCAATCTTCCCTCAATCCGTTTGTATATTATCTTGCTATGTACTTTTCCCGTGTTCGGGACATTCGAACATGCAACAACCATTGGACATTCATGAATCCTTTTTCATTGTCTCATCCTCGATACCAATTCATAAACACATACACAGGTCCATACCCTCTTTCAAGTAACACAACTCCAAGATATATAATAGCCCCCAAATACCCACTCTAGTTACCACCAGTAATCTTCTCCCAGGCCTCTTTGTACTTCTCAGCAGTCTTCTGCACAACCTCCTCGCTCATACGAACACCATCCTTGCCCTTCAGGCCCTGCGAGACCAACCAATCACGCAGGTACTGCTTGTCAAAGCTCGACTGGCCCTGGCCAACAACGTACGAGTCCTTGGGCCAGAAGCGGGACGAGTCGGGAGTCAAGACCTCGTCAGCGAGGACAACCTCGTTCGTCTCCTCGTCAACACCGAACTCGAACTTGGTGTCGGCAATGATGACACCCCGCTCGAGGGCATAGGCGTGCGCAGCCTTGTACAGCTGCACGGCCAGCGAGGCAATGGTAGAAGCATAGGGCTCGCCGACGATAGCGGTAGCTGTGCATACTCCGTGATTAGCTATCACTGTTCATGCAGCTCATTATATTCGCGCGAGTACTTACCCTGGTCAGGATGGATGTTCTCATCGTGCTCGCCCAGCTCAGCCTTGGTGCTGGGGGTGTAGATAGGTCCATCGGGGAAGGCCTCGCTCTCCTTCAGACCCGCGGGGACCTTGATGCCGTGCACGGTACCGGACTTCTGATACTCCTTCCAGGCGGAGCCGGTGATGTATCCACGGACGATAGCCTCGATGGGGAGAATGCGGAGCTTGCGCACCTGCATGCTACGGTTCTGCAGCTTGGGACGGAGCGATTCGGGGATCTGGGGAGGAAGGTCGAGGGTGATGAAGTGGGTGCGGAGAGTAGGAATGGCCTCCGAGAGGATCTGGAACCAGGTCTTGGTGCAGAGAGTGAGCAAGACACCCTTTTCGGGAACGCCCTATTCATTACCGAATAGTTAGTAGTTGAACGATCGTGGTGGGAGTGACATCTTAGCCTTGTACATTCTCCATGATCACATCGTAGGCGGAGATGCGATCACTAGCGACGAAGAGCAGGGTCTTCTCGTCGACCTCGTACAGGTCGCGCACCTTACCCCGTGCAACGAGGGGGAGAGCACCCTGCAGGTCAAAGGACGTTATAGCTTCCGCCATGGTGAAATCGAGTCAATTGGGAGTTAGAAGAGAGTAAAAGAAGAGCCAATGCGTCATTCGCGGGATACATTTTTTGGCGGGGCATCGCCGATCGCGGCCTCGTAGCCTGAGGCAGTTATCGGGGACTTTATCAACATTAAACATTCGGAAACGCGCCCAGAACACGTCGAGAGCTCTCGGGAATTCAAAAACAGCTGGATGGTCCCGGAAAATGGGCCAATCCTCGCCAAAATGACGCACTATCTGACTCCGTGGAGGATCTCGCTGTTGTGCCTGATAACAGTGTACACCGATGGGCTCGTGCCTAACTCATCCGCCATCGATGTGCTCTCCTTCTTGACCGCGGGCCTATTCCCTTTAGATCCCGCCGATAAGCAATGGGAGAAACACTACCTACCACGCATCACCGAGATCGAGGAGGTGCTGTCGGGACATGAATCGTCCGTACCGGGCCGATCACTCTGGGATCTGTTTCTCAAGAAGATCTGGTCCCTGGACTCGCTTGATGCGCTGGAGGTGTTTTTCAACGACGACCTGCCCTCGTTGCTCACAAAGACACGTGAGCAGTTGATTCAAGACCGGGATAATGGCCTTGCACCGGAGAATGAGGGGATGCGATTGTCTCGGAGCTCGCCGCTGGGTGCGTTCGTGCGCAGGGCGTATTTGGAATACACGAGGTTGCAATTCCATGATTCGGTGACGCTCTGGTCTGCCTTTGTGAAGTATCGGCTGCCGACGTACAATATGTGGGCGAGGAGGAATGCCTCGGATAGACATGCACCTGTCGATATTAATCTGCAATTGCATGGCTTCAATTCCAGTGCCCACCTTACGCATGTGGTGTATGGCAATGTCGAGGACGAGGATGAGGATGAAGGCTTGGTCAGTGCTAAGGATGCGGAGCGATTGATTGAGTTCCAAGTTGGGGAGCTGCAGCGTACGTATCAGTATGGTTTGGATATGTATGTCTTTCATATACTGATGACATGTAGGACTGGGTGGCAGAGTTCCTGAGGAGATGAGAGCGCAACTCAAGCGTATCATGACCTCCGATTCAAATGCTCCAGTACTGATGTACTATCTTGAGTGAGTACACCCACAAATGACTCCACGCCTTGAACGAACTCTGGCTAAGAAGCTGCAGATATCTCGACGCCTGGCGAGCCGGCGACTACACATCAGCATTCGACAACCTCCACCGATATTTCGACTATACCATGCACAGCAACTCCGATCGAAGCGCCTATCAGTTTGCGCTCCTGAACTTAGCCATCATCCAGGCGGACTTTGAATGCTTTAGCGAAGCTATCTCTGCCGTGCAAGAAGCCGTCGCCATCGCTCGCGAGTCTCATGACATGAACTGCCTTAATTTCTGTATGAGCTGGCTGTACCACTTTGGCAAGGCATTTCCAGAGCAGATGCGGGAGGTTCAGAATAGTGGAATGTTGGGTGATGAAAAAGAGGGCCTCGCGTTTCTCAAGGCCAAGTCGAAGGAGACGGAAATGTGGTCTCTCATGAGCACAACGTTGCTCAGCGAGGCTAAGCTGGAGATGCAGCAGGTGGGTGCTCGGCCGTCGTCCTTTGCGAATCCGGTACACGGTGCTAACAACTCCCAGGGAGAGAGCCTTGCCACAATCGTCGAATCATTCGTTCGAGCATCCCATATCAATGTCACAAAGGGTCTTGCGAATCCCACCGGCGCGTACATATTGCTACAAAGTGCCATGTATGCTCGGATAGGTATGGTTTTGTGGGTTGATGAGACACTGGGAATGAAGCTGACCACCTGGTTATAGGCGCCACCCATCTCGCATGGTTGGACACCGAAGTCTTCCGCGAATGTTACGTGGAGGGCCATCCGTACGAGGACTTTGTGAAGCTCACATACAGAAACTGCCAATTCGTAAGTCACAGGCCTCTATGTCTGTCTGGATGCAGGAGCTAATCTGGCATAAATAGCTGGCACAAAAGGGGAACTACAAGGAAGCCTTTGCTCGCATGAACAAGGTCGAACCAGAAAGGCTACGAGCCTTCAAATACAACAACTCCTGGACATACTATTCAGGTCTCCTCCAACTAAGACGGCAAATCAACCGGTAAACATCCCCATGTTCCTATCCCTCGCCATTCACCTGCTAACATGCCCTCAGCGACGACAAGGTAGCCGTCGAACACATCCTGACTCAACTCCAAGCCATCCAACTCCTCGATTTTGACATGCGCCTCCTCCTCGCCTTCCACACCATCGAATACACCCTCCGCCAAGGCGACACCGGCCGTGCCCTACGCATGGTCGAACAAGCCGCAAACTCCATGCAACCCGAAAACTTCGACGTCCACTCCCAAATCAAACTCCTCTGCCTAAAAGCTCGTATCCTCGAGAAATCCGGTCACCCACAACGCGGCTTCTCCCTAGCCATGCGCGCTGCGAGCATCGCCCACCGCTCAAAGGTCCTCCTCGACCTGTGGGAAGCCATCTGCACTCTTGCAGCTGTCCTCCTATCTCTGCGTGAGTTCGAGGCCACCGCCGAGTTAGTCGAGAGTATCATGCCGCAGATCCTCGAGGCGGAGGACTCGGCTCTGACAGCGCGTGCGTATTCACTGCTCGTCGATGCCAATATGGGCGTTGCGGGGGGAACTGTGGTCCCAGCAGGGACCGGAACGTACGTTGGCTCGGAAGGAGTACGTTAACCGTGCGTTGGGGTATATTGACTCGGCGTATGATGCGTACGAGGAGATTGAGGATATTCTGGGCCAGACGGAGATGATGGCCAAGAAGGCTACTGTGATGCATTTGACGGGTGATCCGGTCTTGGCTAATGATTATGCGGCGAAATATTTGGATCTGCGGAAGCGACGGGGTGCGGAGATTTGATGGTGTTCTGTATGATTAGTTCGTGTGATTAGTATTGTGAAAGAGGCGAACTTGGTTTGTTGTGGCACGCGCTGGCGTATCTGGATACCGGGGTCTGCAATGAATGATATGCCCAATAACAACAACCCAGATGTTTTCATTACTAGGTGTTTAACTCGAGAAGCTCGGCAAGTAAGCTAGAACATCGTACAAGAGCAACTCGCATACTCGGCACATCACACTATGTGGATATATATTCCGCACACAACAGCCCTACAAATTTACACTACAGTCCAACCACCACCTGTACGAGAGTCTAAACCCAGTCAATTCCGACCTAGATAGATACTCAACAAAGGAAAAGAGCAAGAAGGATAGAATACGACAAGCTTCACTTCATTCCATCAAATGGATCTCTGTCATCCCCAATTTGCGAACTCGTATGACTCCGCGGAACACATCTGCGATAGATATACATTTGAACTGTGCACTCAAGACCAAAGAAACGATCTCCCAAACACGCATTGAGGCTCGCACACGAGGTTTTGGTGGGTTATTGTTGGTTGGAGAGCGATTGGCTTAGGTAGCCTTGTCCTTGTTGTGGTAGTTGACATCGGAGTTCCAGCTGTGTGGGTTGTTAGCGGTGATTCTTCCGGAGAGGGCAGTGATGAACCGGGATCGGATCTGGTGGGATGATGAGAGAGAAGAAGGGATTGCGGATATGTGTAGGCACAAGCTTGACGAGGGTCGTCGCATGCGCCCGGTGCGAAATTTGTGTGCTCTGAAGGTGCGGATTGGAAACTTACAAGATGGTCTGCAGGGGGAAAAAGTCAGCAATTGCGTTCTTAAGTAGCTCGATTGGCGGGATAGAGGATTTACTCACCTTGTCACCGTCGCCCCAGGGGAAGTTCTTCACGCGGATGTTCTGGTAGGGGTACTCGGTGCGCTCCTCCAAAGGAGGCATGTGGTCCCAGTGCTCCCAGTGCTCGTTCCACAGGTTGTAGGCGTTGAGGCCACCGCCGATCAGGCAGGGGATGACGGCACTGTAAGCATAGTGGTTAGTAGTGTCCTATGTGGCTCGCTGCACAAGAATTCGAGTCCGCAGTTCCGCCGAGAAAAACACATACAAGATCGACAGCTTGCGCCACAGGTCTGCAGAGCCATTGAGTCAGTACGAAGCACTTGTGAATATTCCAAGCCGGATAAAACAGAATTCCACCGGTCATGGGTTCAATTGGGATCTTCACGCACCGCTGGTGGAGGCGGCGTGGTGCTTGACGGCAGCACGCTCACGGTTGAACTCGTTGTCGACGATCCAAGAGGGCTTGGCCTCGGCAGAGTTGAAGCGGCGCTGGGCGACCGCGCGGGCCTGCTGGGAGGCACGCTGGGCAAAGCGGGCGATGTTGCGCTGGGCGAACATGGTGGTGATTGTGGGGGTGCAGGTGGTTTGCTGGAGGGGAGAGGAGGTCGAAGCACGTCGTACGTTGAAATCCGAGCCGCTTTAGTGGACTCCCGTGATCCCCCGGCTTATGTAACCTGATGTCACTCCACCCTCACGTGACCCGTAACCGGCAGCTTTGTGAGAGCTTCGTCAAGCTGTAGAAGACGCTGATATTGCTTTCAACGCGTCTAATTTGGTGGAAAACTCTCGCTGCAAGCGCTGCAGGGTATGCGCCGTTGCTGTGTGCCAGTCGCCGGCCATGGGGTTTCGCATCACGACGTGGAATGGTGAGTGGCTTGTCTCTGGTCGGAAGGAGTGGGCCTTGGCTGTAAATATTGGTGCTGACCAGGTCTCGCAGTTAATGGGATTCGGTATGTAGAGTTCCTGCAGAGAAGTCAATATCAAGGCTAAATGAGTGGTTAAGGAACCCATTCTCATACGAGCCATGGAGAGGGACTCGAACCTTTGAGGTCAGTTTTCCAGGTGCATTTCCACAGAATGTCTTCACTGACAAGACCATAGTCCATGTTCGATATCCTAGAATCGGACATCGTGGTATTCCAGGAAACCAAAATCCAACGAAAAGATCTCCGAGATGATATGGTCCTAGTCCCGGGATGGGACTGCTATTTCAGCCTGCCCAGGGTTAAGAAAGGTGCGTGCAGCTGTGTCGCAGTACTTCTCCACAGGAGCTAATACCGAGCAGGATACTCTGGGGTCGTGATATACACACGCAATGCGACATGCGCGCCAATTCGAGCCGAGGAAGGCATTTTTGGTGTTCTTTGCCCACCCAATTCATCAATCCCTTTCCGAGATCTCCCAGAAGACCAGCAGATTGGCGGGTACCCGACTTTCGAGCAGCTCAGAAGACCGGCTGCTGTCTTGGAAGATACTGATTCAAATGACGAGGAAGATGAGGAGAGACCAGCCGATGAGCCTATTGATCCAGCAACTCTGGACTCCGAAGGACGGTGTGTCGTCCTCGAATTCCCGGCCTTTGTGCTCATTGGCGTATATTGTCCTGCGAATCGCGACGAAAGCCGGGTTACATTCCGGCTCGGCTTTCTCAATGCTCTTGACGCTCGAATTCGGAATCTGGTCGCGATGGGGAAGCGAGTGTTTGTGACTGGCGACATCAACATTGCCAAGCAGGCCATCGACTCCGCTCATGTTCTCGAAGCCATTCGCAAGAACACTGCAACGGAGGACACGTATATCACCGTGCAATCCCGGAGGCTATTCAACCAGTTACTGGATGACGGGAAGGTCGTTGGGCCCCGCGAAGAAGGCAGGGAAAAGCCTGTGATGCACGATATATGCAGGTCCTTCCATGCTGACAGGGCTGGGATGTACACTTGCTGGGACACAAGGCTCAATACCCGACCGGGAAATTTCGGGGCACGTATCGATTACGTGCTCTGCAGCCTCGATATGAAGGACTGGTTTGCCGACTCGAACATTCAAGAGGGCTTGATGGTACGTTTGTAGGCTCGCGTTGTTGTCGGATACTCGCTAACTCTGTCATCGTTAGGGGTCGGATCATTGCCCTGTTTACGCGGTCTTCAAGGACAACGTACCTCACGATGGGAAAACGGTACACATTCGAGATATTATGAACCCACCGGGCGCGTTCAAAGATGGCGAGCGCCAGCGGGTGTACTCGTCCCAGTGGATGCTACCAGGATCAGGACGCCTGTTACCCGAGTTCGACGTCGACAAGCGTCGCAGCATCAAGGACATGTTCGCGCGCAAGCCGGCTCCTAGCCTCTCTCGCTCGCCATCCACGGCCAGTGCCCTGGGAAACACGACCGTGGCTCTGGACACGGAATCGACCGCATTACAGACAGCCGCACTCAGCGAAAAGCCTCCCATCCCACCCATCTCCAGTCAGAATCAGTCCTCGAATACCCTGTCCCGCAAGCGATCACAGCCTCTTCCAGCGACTTCCGTCAAGCGCTCCAAGTCCTCGGCCACACCCACATCTACGGCTACAGCGGGTCAGAAAACACTCAAAGGCTTCTTCAAGCCGAAGTCCGTCGAAGGCAGCGCATCCGTCAAGCCCTCTACAGCTTCGCCAAAGACCAAGATCCAGCCTAGCGACGACGGAACATCATCCCCTACAAAGACCGGTGCGAATGCCACTCTCACCACTAACACACCAGGAACTACCCCCCAGCCTTTCGAGCCCACCATCGATACCCAGTTCTCTGCATCAGAGACACGCTCTACACAATCCTCGCCCGGCAAGTCCCAAACAGAGACGATCATCGATCCCATCGTCAGCAAAGAAGACTGGAACAAGCTGTTCACCAAGAAACCCGCTCCCCGTTGTGACAGCCACCAAGAACCCTGCGTCAGTCTGACCACAAAGAAACCGGGCATGAATCGCGGCCGCGCATTCTGGATCTGCCCGCGGCCTCTCGGTCCCAGCGGCGAGAAGGAGAAGGGTACACAATGGCGTTGTCCGACGTTCATCTGGGCCAGTGATTGGAACTCGGCGTCGCAAGGAGAGTGATGGGGTTCATCTACGCCGTCTGCTAATTTACCAGATACCATTTCCATAGCCAATGCATTTAATATTTCCATTCATGCTGCGTATGTCCATTCTATTTCGTAGGGCTGGGCTGGCTGGGGGCCTCCGGCAAGGCTCCACGTTAAGGCACCAAGGCCATTGTTTGCTACGCGTGACGGTCTCTAGGCAACGAAGGTAGAGTGGGGCTGCTGCCTAGAGGAAGATTGGGGCCTGTATGCAGTGGGATGCGCGAGTTGGGCAAACAACATTGAGGACAAGTATCGTGGCATTCGATCATAGCGAACTTTGGCTACGAGGGGATGCTGGGGTACTTAAATAAGATGGAAGGAGCGTGGAGGGCTCCATTGTTTGCTTTTTACTATGGGGTCACATGCCATTTCCCAAACGGGCGATACGGCTGCTGCCTAGAGCCTGGGGGGTAGGAAGCGAGCATCGAGGTTGAGTCTGGAGGGCATCGAGATACATACAAATTAAGGTGCGTGGGGGTGCGGGGGGACTTTCCCGCTATGGCTGTCAGAAGGGTGGGTCCTGGAGTGGGTCCACGTGCCCGATTGATACCCCAAAAGGGTAATGGTTGCCTAGAGGGGAAGATGTTTGCTTGGGTTGCCATGCAGATTTTTTGCTTGTGGAAACTCGTAGAAAATGTAGCTGGGCATGGAAGGTGGGTGGATTTCGCGACGGGGGTATGGTCGGTCGATGCTCGTGAGCATTTTGCTCTAGTATGGGGGATTTTCGGGGACTTTGCAACAGAATGGGATTTAATACTATATTTTTGTGTGTAATTAATTATATTTACTTATTAAAAGTGCTAATTAGCAATTTTAAAGTATTGATAAGCACTATTAAAGCGGGTCCCATTATGCTGGGGATCCAGAATGCCATATGGCAATGTCGATCCCCCAGATCTACATGGCGGCGGCCCCTCTATGTGGGGTACCACGTTTACACTACTTTAAATCAGCCCCTGCATGAATAAGCTCAAATTTAGTTAATATCTAGTATTATCAAGTAGCGTCATCAATTCCTCGAATTAAAAAAATAAATTCAACATTAAAATGGGTTCTGGTCATCCTCGTACTGTGAATCAGGGGACTCTGTAGAAGGTGGATGGAGGCCGGCATTACACGGTCATAGTAGGGTCGCAACGGCTTCCCCAAAATTATGCCGGGTCACAACCACAGGCTCAAGGCTTCAAGGCAGCACCGTAAACAATGAATGACGCGTTCAATCTTCCATATTCTTCCGCCATTGTTTTGGCAATCTTCCTCACCAAAACACATCTTCGAAATCCTGCGCTCTGATTGGCTCTCTTAATTGACACTAGCGAACAAAGCGATTTCCAGGGCCCCCAGCAAACACTTAAATACTTCCTCCCCTACCACCGAACTCTTCTCCTCTCTCTTTCCCCCTGCCCCCCACCACCTCTTTCCATTCTCCCAATCCTACCCCAACTCTGCTTTCCTGACCACACTCTCTCTATTCATTTCATCTCTTCGTCAACATGGCAAGCCCGCCAGAAAGCCCGCCAGGCCTGGAACGCATAGCAGGCATGAAAAGCATGGAAGAAATTCTCGCCTCGCTTGGAGGGAACTTCCTTGCCAATCTGTCCCCTAAGCAGAAGGCACTTGAGCTTACTTGGCTGCATGGCCTCCTGAACCTCGGTAATACCAACAACGAGATCATTATTCCTGAGAATATTGTCAGGCTGTGGGGAGAGGATTTTCTTCACAGTCTCGCCGGCCGCCTTGAGTAAGTATGCGTCCAATATTACTCGAATTTACGCTAATATTTGATGATAGAAGCGAGCTCAAGAAGGAGGCCTGCATCATCATAGATCAAACGATTGACGCTTACCGAATTGGCATTTGCGATTCTTACCCCAAAAAGCTTCCTCGGTCTGCCTTTGTTTACGAAGATAAGAACGGCAACGACAGGATGGGCAACGACAAGAAGATCAATCGAGAGATCCGTGCGGCAATTGAAGAAGGAGTTAACGTTCCGCTTGCCTCCCCTCGTGTCCCCCGCCCCCCAAACTCCTTCATTCTCTACCGCCAACACCATCACCATGCAGTTACTGCTGAAAACCCTGGTATTCCGAACACTGAAATTTGTGAGTTGAGCCTGATTTATTCTATCGTTACAGTACTAATTCACGCAGCTCGCATCATTGCTCGAATGTGGCACCGTGAGCCTCTTGCAGTCCGGGCCCGCTTCAGGGCGCTTGCCGATGAAAAGAAACGACTCCATTCCGAGGCGCATCCCGACTACCAGTACACTCCACGACGTCCAGGCGACAAATTCAGCCGCCGGCGTGGCAGACTTCACACCAGCTCCGTCCCTTTCTTCAACCAGACGGCTGCTGGCCAAGTTCGAGTCAAAAATGCCGACGAGAACAACAGCGGCTGGATTGATGTGGACGGTGACTGCATTGACATCCTCGATGAGCTGGGTCTGATGTACGGTCCAAATGCCTTGACTCCACTCCCGAATCTCGACACCTCTGCCTTCAATGCTATGGTTAACATGCAAATGGATCAACGCGTTGCTTTGCAGACTGTCCGCTATCATGAACTGGAGGGCGATGAGTTCGACTCGGACTTCCCAATGCACACCATGCTCTCTCTTCCAGGCGCTTAGACCGGTCCCATTTGATTTAAAAGTCCATGGGACGAGGCATTGACGACATCACATAGTCCCGATGTGTCCAACTCGCGCGGTGGCTACGATTCCTACATTCTTTTCTCCCCTCTACAATCCCCCTTTAATGACGTTCGACCCCGACACACCATTCCGACACACCCTCGCCTGCGTCGTCTCTGCCTCCTTGGATTTCACGCCATATGTTCTGTTTGCGGGCAATTTCGAGTTTTCTGTTACTTGTTTGATTCTCCTAAAGGGGTTTCATGAGAGATGTTGTGTGTTCGACTGGGTTGAGGGAATATTGTAAGTCGTTCTTCGGAACGCGAGTAGGTACCTCCCCGCGAACACTGTACGTCACTTGTGCCGCCCCACAAAATCCAAAAAAAGTTAAAAAACAGATAGATTTCCTTTTTCCATCGTAGAAACTTGTAGGACTTGTTTACTTTGTAGATTTACAGTCTAGAACTTGGAGTATTCTGTGTAAGTTGTTACAGTGCGGAGGTGTTGTAGGACTTCATAGTGTAGACCCGAACTCGGAGTGGCTCTGCATGAAAGCATTGAGAGCGCATGACGTGAATGACTCGTATTCTCTGGCTTTGCAAATTACAGTTTCAGCGTCTACGTCGAGGATTTTGGGCATTCTTTGTTACGAGGGAACTGTGTGATGCGAATGAGCACATTAGTACAAGGGTTTCTTTGTTCGACGTCGACGCCAAGACTGTCAATCGGCGGGACGGTGGATCCGGTGGGCCCAGTGGAGACGTGGTTCATGCAGCCACCGGAAAGCCGCTTGGCTATTTCCGATCCGTGGCTTGCAGGGGTTCGGCTGACGGCATGGACTGTGCGTCAAGTGGGCGTGAAGGGTCCGAGGGTCGAGAACAAAGGGTTCAAGTATTTGTCCGGGGTCTACGGAAAGGAGAGCAGGATTCTAGGACTTGCTGTATGGGCTTGGGGTGTTCGATGGCATTGGTTGGGAGCTGGAGGAGGCCGACCGTGGAAAATGGCTGGTCGCATAGCTACCGTGGTCAGGGGCTGAGGGCACGGGCATAAGCTTGTGAGACTGACTCGGAGAGAGTGGGATACGAGGCCATGAGTTGTACAGGGATAGGGGGCTGTCGCAGGAGCTTCCTGCACGAGGTGTTACTGGATGGAGTCTACGGGGACAGAGTCTGGCCAAGGGGAGACTAACAGTCAAGAAGGACCTGGATACATTTCGCTAATCACTCAAGACAAGAGCTACTGACAAGCAGATGGAATGAACACTATTGAAAGATGGGAACAGACACGGCTCAAGATGGATTCCAGGATATACACAATTGGGGATGAAAAAGCCAAGCACAAGAGACAAATGGCAAAGAAGCAGAGGCAATGGGATAAGACACGATTATTCCTCCTGGTATGAGATCTTGCGCATCTCGCCGAGGCGTGTGCGGGCGCGGGCAAGGCTGTTTTCGAGTTGGAGGATCTCGACCTGTAAGACAAGTAAATGGTTAGCAAGTGTTGAGAACAGGGGATGTAAGGGCAATGGGAGGGTGATATGGATGCGTAAAGGCGATAAAGGGTGTAGGGAACGCGAAAAAACAAAACAAAAACATACCTGTTGCTCCATCTCGCGGACCTTGAACTCGTGGGAGCTCAGCTTCGCGTAGTCCTCCGCCTCGGCGTCTCCGCTGTGCTTCTCCTTGATGATATCTTGCACCTGTCGCACCAGAGCGCGGCATGCGGCACCAACAGCCTTGCTGGCGCCTTCCAGGCGATCCTGAGTCTTGCTCATGAAGGTAGCCTTGACACGGCTGGCAGCAACGAGTTGGGCGGTACTAGCGGCGACATCGTTGGAAGCGACAATGAGCTGTTCGGGAGAGTTGCGGCCAGAGATGACACCATCCGCAGTCTCGATCAAGGTGTTGGTGGACGTGGCGACAGCCTTGGCTGCAGAGATCAGACCCTCGGTCCAGCGGTTGTTCTTCTTGTAGAAGGCAGTGCGCGTGGAGCTGCCACGGCCCTCGCGAACAATCTCTTGCTGTGACTCTGTGGCGGCCTTGATCAGCTCGGCGATGGCGTTGGTCACGGCGATGGCGGCTGCCAGAATAGCATCGTTGATGCGCAGCTCGTACGTCGAGTAGCCATCACGGGGCTTGTTCTTGAGCTTGGCCAAGCGCTGGGCGGCGGCGTCGATAGCGTCGGCGGCCTTGAGCAATTCCTGGTCAACCAGGTCACCCAGATCACCGTTGGTGGCGATCTTGCTGCTCTTGGGCTGGAAGGACTCGACCATCTTCGACAGCGCCTGCAGGTCTCGCTGAACCTCCAGGTTGTTGTTAATGACCACATCAGTCTTCTGCAGGGGCTCCATGCCCTCGAGGCGGAAGGACTGCAGACCCCGGAAGAAGCGCACGGTGGCCTGGGCGGACTTGCGAGCGGCGTTGAACAGCTGGTCGGAGCTCTTGTCGTCATTAGCGAATCGAGACAGACCCTTGGTGTTGCTCAGAGTGTCGGCAATGGAGCCCGAGAACACGGACACGGTGCGAATAATCTCGGCGTGGGGACTGTTGGGACCATCGGCGATAAAGTTGTTGAACGCAGTTGAGAACTCGGTCGCAGAGGCCGAAGCCTTCTCGATCTGTGACAGTACATATGGTGGGGAAGCATTCTGGTTACCAGCCTGCATGGATGAGTCTAGCTCATAAAGGGCATCATCCACACGCTGCACACCGGTCTGCAGCACAGAGTCGATGATATCGTTGATCTTGGCCACAGTGCCGTGGAGCACCGTGTCGATTTGGCTGTCCAGAGCATGGTCGACATCGCCTTGGCTCTGCAGAAGAGCAATCATTGGTTAGTACCGCAACATGGCCCTGGTTTGAGACAACTACTTACCAGCTTCAGTTCCTCGAGCTCCATCAAAGCCTGCTCCATGCCAGACTTGTACACCTCAATCTCCTCATCCTTCTCGAGGAGGGCCAGATCATGGTCTTCCGAGCGTTCGTTGTTACGGCTCGAGATGTCCTCAAGAGCCCGAGTTTTGTTCTATACACATGTCAGCACAAGAAAGCCCACACACATCACGAATGGCGGATACTTACCCGAAGAGCCTCCTCGAGATCAGCCATCTCGCGGTTATACTTGGACAACATAGAGGAAATCTCTGTGCCCTTTGACCGCTCAGCATTCTCAGCACGCTCCAGAGCCATACGGAGCTCCCGCTTAATCTTCTCCAACTCATCCTTGTTGGTACCAGATACACGGTCCTTGTCGTGAAGAGCACGGTCACGCTCCCGGATCATATCGGCCAGCTCCAGGTTCTTGGTCTTGAGCTCACGCTCCAGCTTCTCACGGCGATCAATGGCCTCCTGTGCAGAGGCAGCCTTGAGCTTCAGGCTCTTGGTGGTCTGCAGAAGGTCCAGGTGCTCCTGTCGCAGCTGGGAGTACAGCTTGGCCAAGGCCTCGTACTTGGTTCGCCAAGTGTTGACTTGTTCCTGCAGAGCCCGGATCTGTTCATCCTTGGAGGCATTTTGCAAGTTCATGTTGGAGTTCAGCTGGTTCATCTGCTCCTCCAGATCCTTGACACGGCGGTCGTACTGTTGCAGCATGAGCTGATCACGCTCATACTGAGCACGGGCGTTCAGGTTCTCCTGCTCCAGTTCGGCGAGGCGACCCTGGGTCTGCGTCGAGTACTGATCCCGGAGAAGCTGCTCCTGCGCCAGACGCTGCTGCTCGGCTTGGAGGCGCTGCTGTTCCTCAAAGTCGCGCTGAGCCTGCTGCTGAGCAAGCATCTGTTGCCGTTGCTGTTCGTCCCATTGCTGCTGCAGACGGGCTTGCTCCGCCTCGTATTCTTCTTGCTGGCGCTTGGCCTCGTTGGTCCAGAAGTCACTGATGGGCTCTGGCTCGGCAGCCACCTTGGGTGGAGGCGAAGGTTGATGCTCGACCTCCTTCGTCGGACGCTTGGGAAGAGCTGGGCGATCCTCGTCCTCGCCAAGAAGGCTGGGCGGGTCCTGTGGTAACTTGGGGATGGTGATCAAGCTAGTCAGATAGCGCAGGTTGGAGCATTCGTAGTAGAACCGAACGAGGCGGTGGTGCTGGGCATCGTAACGGGCCCGAAGAGGCTCCAGAGCTTCATCATCTCCAGTCGCTATGAAATTGTTAGCGTGGATATCCTCAAAGCCATACCAATCAATCATCGGGTGGCCATACTTGTGTGCATTGCGCGCAGCATGCTTGTGATGAACTTGTAGATACCGTAGCTCTCCTGCACGAGCGGTACCAGCGCGGAAATTCGGCACTCATTGTTAGTACCCGACTGGAAATGCGAGAAGATCAACTTCTGGAAACCATCAATCTGGTCCTGCAGGGTCATGAGGTCGGTGATGGTCTCGTATCTATGCCTCTGTCAGCGGCCCATCTTTCCAACCCAGGAACGTGAAACTGTGCGCACCCCTCATTCGGATCATTGATCGTCTTCAAGCTGATGTATTCCTCGTACTCGAACAGGCCTGTGTTCCGTCAGCCACCTCATACTTCTCCTCCCACGTCCAATCGTCCAGTATCGGCGTACCATTGAATTCGGGGTGATTGCGGTGGAAGTTCAGCTTCGACTCGAGGAAGAAGACATATTCGCGAATAAGCGGCGCGTATCCTATCCCAGCATTGTCAACATTCATATCCACCATCTACACACATCTTCTCCTCGCGCAGACCAACAACGCCACCTTGCAAGGGACGCGCCGTACCTCGAACTCCATCTCCACCGACACCTCTCATCAAGCTATCAATCCAATTGGAATGCTGCTGCGCCTCGCGCACGACGATAGGGTGGCCTTCTTGGAGAACCTTGTGGATCGTGATGAGCGCCTTGAACGTCTGGACCTCGTCGGCGAGGACAGGTTGCCTACAACGAGGAAGCACACAAGTCAGCCATATATTCCAGCTACCTCCCACGCCCATCCACAAACCAGGACACCTACACTTTCATGCCCGCCCAAAAGGCCGCCGATGACTTGTGGTCCCACGTGTACACAATGCAGCTCCGCACATGCTTCCCTACAACCATCAAAGGATATCAGTCGACTCGAACGACGAGCGAACTCCGACGCAAAGCGATCGCCGCAGCGAACACAATCGAAAACACAACGGGGGCGAGACGTACGTTTAGGCGCGGTTTCCTCTATCGCAAGCCGAACAATTAGCCTCTCTCCAACTCTCTCCTGAACCACCCCCACCGGCAGCCCCCGGGAAACCAAGGACACTCACCAATGCTAGTAGCCTTTCGGATATTGATGGCCAAATCGGCCTCGGTCCTGCGCGATTGAAGTTAATCATCTGCATCTCGCAAGGCGACAAGGGGGTTGAAGGGGAGGGAGTCCCCGCCTTACCGACTCATGGTGGCAGTTGTGCGATGCGGGATCGCGGATTGCGGACTCAGGGGAGAACCAGGAATAGGTAAAGGGGGCGTGGTTCAAGGGCAGATCCCGAGTCCGGACAGCGCAGATAGGACCCAAGTTTGAAGCTTGCGCCGACCGGGAGGGAAGTGTAGGAGGGAGTGGACTTTGAAGTTCGCAGAATCCACTGCACGTGGAGAGCAATGACGTTGGGGGAAAGCTGGCGCCTGTCAGTCTTGGCGACGCCTAAGCCTCTCGGGTTGCTCCCATCTCATCCCTTGGCCCAGTCGCCGTGGCCACTTTACACTTTTACACTTTGGCTCGTGGCATGCGATGCCGCGTAATACTGCTATACACAGCAGGCAGCAGGAATCCTAATGAATTAATCCGTGCATACTTGCTTTTTTTTGTTGCAGAAGACAAGTCCTATGAGGGGAAGAGTGGAAATACATCTAGCACTATAAATAGTTGGATACTACAAGTCTTAGGGAACCCGAATTCTGTGGGTATAGATCAAGTCTTGTAATTGCTTCAAGCCATCGTTGCGTACTAGGCTAGGCATACTTGATCTCCGGGCGTTCATTCTCGCCCCGATAGCGAAGACTAGACTTGAACTGGTACAATAGTCAGAAATGCCTTGCCACTGTCCAGAGCAGACGAAGATCTGTTATTCACAATGTTTATGACTCGTGCAGTACATCTAGTTGGCTTTAAAATGGCGAAGACGAGAAAATCCCGCACTTGCTAATCCAGTCTTCTAGCTTACGATAGTGACTACGTTGAAGCAATAGATGACACTTACAACTCGAAGCATTGCTCATGGTGCATTGTTGGTCTAGCGGTCTCAGTACCCCCCGGTATCTGGTTGATTTCTATACTAATTCGAATATACGCATAGGCCAAGTCGCAAAGACTGAAGCACGGCGCCTTGACGACATACAATGAGACGATCTTTCCCCGCAGTGTGGATAGCAACAGACAATGGGTTCTGCAGTACTCTGCTGCGATCTTTACCAGCGATCCAGGAAGCCTTATCGGAGATCCAATGCCCATTTACCTTTCCCAGAGTTTGTATCAGGTCGCACTGTCAGACTAAGCAGACCCGGATTCATGGGTTGACATGGGGACCCAAGACCAGGACTGGACCGAGCGAACAGCTCTCATGAAGATGGTAAAGACTCGACATCTTGTCCATCTTCATCGTTCCATTTCAGTTCCGCTTCCGAGGTGTCCGCCTTGGAAGACGTCTCGCTCTCCAGAATAGACGGGGCTGTCGAAGTCTCGTCCAATTCCAGCTCCCCAGTAGCTGGACTGTCTGGTGCAGAGTCATGTGGCGCTTGAACAACTAGTAGGTCGTCGGTCACATTATCGGTGTGGATTTGCTGGGGAATGGGTTTCCTGCGAGGCAAAGGTGGAGGAGGGACGGGCCGAGGACCATTCGTGCTGGATTTCCTGCGAGGTAGAGGTGGAGCGGGGACAGGTCGAGTCTCGTTTGTGCTGGTCTTTTCGGGTAAAACTGATGGTACTCCCACAGGCTTGCGTTTGGGCAAAGTCCCCGAATTCCGCTTTAGAGCGTACTTGTCTGGCCGTGGTAGAGGTGCTCCGGGGGGAGGATGGGGATGGCCACGGCCGATGGGCTCGTTGAGAGGCGCTGTTGGAGTCCGGGATGGAGTCCGGGATGGCTCCTCGGAATTCAAGTCACCTTTGCCAAACACACTCCAACTCCATTTCTTCGCAGCCGCAGTTGCTGATCCAATAGTCATGTTCCCAAGGGGCTTCTCATCAGATTGCATGTTCGGCGTCAGCGATTTGGTCAAAGTCTCGATGGTGCTACGCCGCCGAGGCTTATCGTTACCAAGGGAAGTGGTCGAGCTTCCTCGAGAGTTCCGCGGTCCAGACAAGGAGTTATTGTCAAAACGAGCAGACGAGGGACTTTGAATGACATGGTCGCTGTAGATGCTGAGGCCATCGATGGAATCTGCAATGGAGGATCCTCGGCTATGGATGGCATTCTCCGGCATCATAATGCCTCCAGTAGGTGGAGAGTTACTTGGTGTCCGGTTCGGGGAAGCAGGCGGCGAGCGTTTTGAGATTTCAATCATGGCGCTGGTGGCACTGTTCTTCTCTTCACCCTTGGGCTCTGTCACCACTTGATTGGCATTATCTGTCGTGACCACTGGATCGGCAGCGTGGGAGAAGGTCTGTGATCGAATGGCACGGGGTAGTGGCATGCTTTCGGATCTCTCGACGCCGCTAGCAGCAGCGACTGAAACATTTGGCAAGTCTGAAACCGATGGCTTCAAGCCCTTGCGAGATTTAACTTTGGTTTTGGCGGGACTCGACTCGGGAAGAATAGGCATGCTCATTGTTCGGTCGTCTTTCGACTTGAGAGCTTCGAGTGACATTTCTCCACGAAGGCTCGTTGGCGGCGCCGGCGCGTCACCCGATTGATCAGGGATATCCATCTGGGGTTCGGGTTCGGGGGTCTCTCGCTCCCAGATACCTCCACGGAAGGCCTGACCATGGGTATCCATGAATGGGACGTCATCCCAGAACGGCAAAACGATGCTTTCGGCTACCACTTCTCGGATCTTACTCTCGATAGTGCGCAGAATAGGGCTGAAGGTAATCTGCTTCGAGCTGACGATAGGCTGCACGTCCATCTCAATCTTAGGCATGGTCTCAAAGGACATCCAGAATCGATTGCTAGGAGAAGGCTTGAACCGGATCAGCAGATGGCCCTCCAGCTTCTTCAATACCACGGCCAGCACGATATCGACCTCTCTCGCTTTGAACCGCTGGCCCAGATCGATACGCACGGTGGCCGAGATCTCCACCCGGAAATTTCCCGAGTATTGAACGTCTGCCTCGATGCAGCAATTGCCGTCGACAGTCAAGTCCTTCAACCGGGGGTTCGTGAGGAATGGTGCGCCTTCGCCCATATCTATCCTCTGCAGGCCAACCTTGCTGATAAAGTTCGGCTTGTTCACGCGCGAGATCTTCTTGGCAATCTTGCTTCGCACAAACTCCTCCAGCTCCGGTGTTCGATACAAGGCAAGGAACAGACGACCAAAGAAAGCATTGATCCACCTTGTCTGCAATTGTTCCTCCGAGGAATGCAGGCGTTGAACCAACGAGACAATATGCTTCGTCTCAAACTCCTGACGCTTTGGCGGCCGGTCCGCCGAATCCCAAAGCTTAGACTGATTGCGAAGCATTGCAAGATAGAAATCCTCCTTCTCCGACAGGTTCTCTGAAAACAAAAAGAACGGTGGTGTCGGACCTCCCAGGTCTCCTAGCGAATCCAGTCGCCGCGAGAGACAGATGGCATTCCGCTTGATCCACAGCTCGCCTTCTGGTATATCCCCTTCTCCGCTGTGAATGGTAACGTCGTGATGAGCGAGCGAGATGACATAGCGAACTTCGACTTGGTTTGCATCGTCGTAAAGCATTAAATGTCCATGTCTTGTAACAGCGCCAACCATCGTCAGTACATCCATTCAACTAGACTACAAGATCACAGCCCTCTAAGGAATGCTCACCGAAGGACAATATAGAACACATTCCGCGCACGTTTGATATTCTTCCCATTCGATTTCGCGGGCTCGATACTAGGCGCCTGCTTCCTGTCGAACAAACTCCGGTACATAGCCTGATAGACGCTGGGACTTTCGGCGGCAACAACCTCCCCCGCAGGCGTCGTCCTCTCCGGGGGCTTCCCATTTACTCCACCAGGGACATATTCACGACAGACAGCAAAGTATCCAGTAGCGACTTCGGAATCATGGGTGCGGTGGAACTTCTCAGCTAGCTGGTCAGTACCAGACTTCAAGCTATGCTCATCGTCGGTAGGCTGACGGAGCCCATCGGGAGCTCGTTCGTACGGTTGATCCGGAGAAGGCGCGTTTGGAAGGGTCAGATAGGCGTAGAGAATAATCAGCGAAAGGACCAGGGGGATGAATGTGAGGCCCCCGAAGACGTATACAACGAGGAAGCTGCCGAGCGAACCCATCGGGAACCAGTCGATTGGGAATAATCGATCAAAGCGGGAGACCCAATAGCTCCATAATTCAAGGGATACCTATGTCCCGATAAGAGAGAACAAGCTTGTGAGAGACAATGAGAGACCGGCTCTTGTAGAAAAACCAAAAACGAGTGCGTTGAAGGAGGCGCTGGACAGATCGCGCGGGCTGAGGAGAGCAGTTAAGAAGTGGAGTTGCAGCTTCCCAAGCACGCCGGGATGACGGAGGTGTTGGAGGGTCTGGTGATCATTAGAATACAGTTTGGTATTGGTATTCTGTGTATTTGTGACCCAAGAATATGCGGTTTCACTGTAAATACAGTGTACTGAGTAATCATAACGTAAGAGTACCCGCCCTGCCCCGCAGGATCCGACCAGCTGTCAGGAACGCCAGCCCTGCAGAAAACACTTTGATCGTCGGAGACTTGCAGCCACTGCTCATGCAAGAGTATGAGATTCGTAGAGTATTCTGGAAATTGAGATCCACCCAGTCATTGCTATCAAGGTCTAAAGCTGCGCATCTAAAAAAATTGTAGGTATACACGTGGAACTTTCAAAGTCGAAAGTAGCCAGAACAAAGGGGGCGTTCAACAGGTCGAAAAAAAAAGCAAAGATATGTTTACAAAATAGTACAAGAGAGATCTTCCTCGTTACTTCCGTCGCTTCATGGTCTTCTCGGCCATCTCGATCAGTCCAGCCTTAGCATCGCTGTCGGGGAAGTCACTGATGGCGGCCACGGCCTTGTCGGCGTAGTCTTGGGCCAGGGCACGGGTTTGCTCGACGCCATTGCTTTGGTAGACAAGCTCACGAGCCTATGATTGAGTTAGTACCAAACAGCCCAATAAAATGGGAATCATGCAAACATGAAAGGACTGCTTACCCGTTGAACATCACCCTCTCTGCTGAACTTACGGCCAACCATAGGACCAAGCTCAGGGTTGCTCTTCCACGCGAACAAGAGCGGAGCAGTAGCAAGACCCAACTCCAAATCGGCACCAGCGGGCTTGCCCAACTCAGCTGCCGTAATAGTATAATCCAACATGTCATCGACCAACTGGAACGCAAGACCGAGGTTACGACCATAGGCGTAAGCAGCCTCAACGACTTCGGGAGCACTGCAACCGAGAACTGCAGCAGAGCGGCAGGACTTGCTAATAAGACTGGCAGTCTTCAGATAGGTCTTCTGCAGGTAGTACTCCACGGTATTGTTGGTGTACACGGGCTTGGCCTCGTCCTTAGCAGTGTTCTTCAACTGCATGAACTCGCCCTGCACCAGGTTGTTGATCACAGTTGCCATAAGCTCAATCACTTGCGGGTCTAGCAGCCGGGCCAGTGCCACAGACGCCCGACCCAGCAGGAAATCGCCAGCCAACACCGCCATCTTGTTTCCAAACTCAATATTCGCCGAGGCGCTGCCACGACGGGTCTCCGCATTATCAATTACGTCGTCATGAAGGAGAGAGGCGGTATGAATAAGTTCCGTAATCTCCGCCAGCCGGCGCTGGTTCGGCAGGATGTTGTCATCGCCAATGAAGCTGTTCTGGACCTCGCCGGGCTTGGGTACGACGGGATCGGTGTCTGGGTTTGCGTCCTCGAGAATGGAGAGCGGGCTGAGAGAGATATCGACGGGCTTTGTGTTTGGCGTTCTGGTCAGGTCTTTGCGCGGGTCGAGAGCCGTGGCTTGGGACATGAGCAAAACCAGCAATGGCCGCATATGTTTTCCCTCGCTGCGAGTATAGTACTTGGCCACCTTATCCAGCGCTGGGTGTCCCGACCCCAATAATTGGCGAATATTATTACTCAAGAACTTCAATTCCTTGCCCACGATTCGCAACGGGTCAACCGAAACGCCCGGAGGTGCTTTCGGCAGGCCCTTGAAGATGGCCTGGGCCGCGGTGGCTGCTGCACCGAATGGAGAGGCATCTTGCCGGCGACCAGGGCGGTATTTGCGAGATTGGATGAAGGACTGGGTCAAACGGAGGTCATCGCGAAGGCATTGGGAGCACACGGAGGTTGAGGAAGTCCGCGTGATGGTCAGGCCGGCGGCCGAAAGTGTGCGAGCCCGCATGCTCAGAGCAGGGGAGGACTCTTATAATAGGTCAATTCAGCGGTATCAAGTATGGAACATAGATAGGTCAGAGAATTTTCCCGATCTGAATAGAGGTGGAAAATGGTCGAGGTAGGCTTGAGGTCTACAAGAAACAATCTTGCGGCCGGGAAGATTTCGAGCTCGGGACAGCACGGACCACGCGCAGCCCCGACTTGCAGCTCCGCCCGAACCCAGCGATAAGCCATCCGGCATGGACTTGTAGATATGCAGACATCTTAGAAGGAGACTCGAAGGGGGAATTAGGCTTGGAGAATTGGAAGCTTGAGTATTCACCACTAATAATAAGCACATGCCAACACACTTCTACTATCAATAATTCCTCTCTAATCTCCATATCAAGCAACCATGTGAGGCTTCCACGCATTGCAGAGTGGAGTATTTCCTACTTGCTATAGGCCGTTTACTCGTAACGTCGCATGACCTGCCCTACAGACTTGTGAATGCTATAGTCAGAAGAGCAATAAGTCCAGGCGCAGAAGTAGCACCAAGCATAATCCTACATGAGGATCTACCATCCATGTTTTCCAAAGCAGCAACTCGAGAATCTACACAAGTTTTCATGGGAATGAAAGAAAAATAATTCCAGTATAAAAGACACGGAAAAGATCGCGCCGGCCCTCTCGGTCCCGCATTTTCCCCCACCTCGTACACATTCAACAGAATAAGAAGAGCGAGATCGACGATTAACACATAAGTTGAAGGAAGGCCACTACGAAAAGGTAGCAGCCCATGCATGGGGCCAGCGCGACGAGGAACGAAATGCTGTATCAATTACCAAAGGACACCCCGTCTTTAAATGGCATCGAAATCGCCGCCAGCATCCTCATCATCCATGTCTCCTTCCTGGATCTCCTTGGCAAGCTCCCGCTCCCGCTCACGAGCTTCCTGGGCACTCTTCAGCTCCAGACGGTGCTGGTTCATCGGGAATCGCATGGCCTATGGAGGAGAAAAGAAGGGTGAGGTTAGCAATCATCCAATACGATCAACACTCGAGTCGAGAAACGGTTACATACCTTGACACTCTCGTCGTGGAGAGCCAGACAAGCGCGAATACGCTCGTGGAAAGCCTCACCCGGTTCCCGGGTGGCATAAATGTCACCGACCTCCTTGCTCTTCATGTAACCGTGCTCGTGATCCAACGTGGCCTCGATAACACCGTCTCGGATGGCCTTTGCCACAATGTACTCGGCAGACTCTTCGCTATCCAGGCCCAGGCGGAGACAGATATCCCGCAGGGAGATACGAGAGTAAGACAAGGACATCATGCGGATACCAGTCTTGATCACGTTCTGGCGCAGACGAAGGATCAGAGTGTAGGTACCATCCTTGCGGAAGGTCGAGCTGTGGGTGTTGACAATGTTCAAGAAACCATCCAGATCTCCGACACTGACAGCCTGAGCGAGCAGGAAGTATGGGTGCATAGCCTTCTCCAGGGCCGGTTGGCGGAAGATGGCACGATCAGGAATATCGCCCATGAGCAGCTCAACCACTACAAGGAGCTTATGAGAGGCCTGGTAGAATCCACGAGCGACATTGCTGGTAGGAGACTTGCGGGTGGCACCAATCAAATGGCTATGAGCCTCGGTGTACTGCAATTGAATGGCACGGATCCGGCCGAGATAGTAGAGGTATCGGGCAATCTGGTTGTTCGAGGCGGCAGCGGGGAAACGGTTGTGCGAGATCAAAAGATCAGCTTGGGTGATGTGGGAGGTAGAAAGGTAGTTGCGGAGGAGCAGGGTCATGACAGTGGCCTGCGTATCCACATCCTTTCGAAGGACAGCGGTCCGCAGTGCAGCCAGCAATGGCTGTCGGATGGTAGTCACGGTAGCTGCAGGCGAGGGGGGAAGTGGAGCAATCTGCTCGAAGAAGAGAGAGTAATAAAAGTACACACGAGCTGCGAGTGAATCCAGTGTCCGGCGGTTGACGGAGCGTAGACGCTCGATCAACTCAGTCGAGAACTTGGCACCCTTCTGAATCAGTCGCTGGTCGAACAGGTAGATCTGCACCAAGATGGCCAAGTATGTGTCCACCTCGGGTAGAATCTCCTTGGGGGCAGCCTTGGCCTTCTCCGAGTCCACCTCCATCTTTGAGCTCGAAGGGGCATTCTCGAAGGCATCGGGCTGGTTAAGGGCACCGAGCAGGAATGAAGCCGCTGAGCTGGAAGCAGGGTATGTGTCCACAATCACATCGGCGAGGACCTCGGGGGTGATGTATTTCCGCATCGACGATATCGACCGCAGGACGCGAAGGGTAAACCGGGGATCGAAGTGGGCGACGGCTCGCTCGAGCAGAGTGAAGTTGGTCTTGATGTCTGTGATGAGAACGAAAAGACAGAGTATTCGCAATCAGCAAGTGTATACTTCAAAGAGATGCACATCTCCCCCGAATTTGAACAGCAGCAACGGGTCAAACCAACCTTGGATTGCCTTGGTCGTTGGGTCGACCTCAGGCTCGGCCTTCTCCGCATCGTCGTCCTCCGCGCCCTCCATCGTCACATCCTCCTCCTTATCCTGACCGGGCTTGCCGGATGATCTGGAACCCTTGGTCGGAGGCACTACAACAGTCATCTTCTCGTCACCATTCCGTCCCTTTCTCGAGTTGAAGGAGGATGTAGGCGCACCTGCCGTATCCTCGCCCATCTCAACATCCTCGGAACCATTCACGCCATTCTCTGCCGACTTTGATCCATTCACGTGAGACTGATCATCCTCCCCCATTCCGTTGTTGGATGCGCCCTTGGCGGCGCCTTTCTTTGCCGGGGCCGACTTGGCCTTGCTGGCGGCGGCACGGGTCGTGGGCGCGGCTTTGTCTTTAGCACTCGAGCTCTGGGAGTTCGAGCTAGCCTTTTCACCGTTAGCAGATGAAGAGGTATCGGACTTGTTGTTTGATCGTAGAGAACGCCTCTCGGCAGGCATCTTTCTCAAGCTGTTAAGAGCTCAGCTGAGCAAGCACCGAAGCTTCGAGAAGTAGGGGGAGGGAAGAGGAGTGATCTAGAGCACGCAGCGATGATGAAAAGCAAAAGGGCAAGTTTCGACGGACCGAACTGCCTAGGAAGAAGGAAATGATGGGGTAAAACAGGCAGGGCGAGTGATTGATGAAGTGGATGGGTGATGTGATGTCAAGAGACGAGGACGGGCGCAAGACAGCAATGCTTAGTCAGGGGAAGCTTACCTAACACGTGAAGCAAACGGGATTACCGTAGACTAGGAATATACAATCGAACTTCCGACATACCTCAGACAATGCCAGTAATGGCTGATCATTTTAGTCCAGGCTCCAAAGCTCCACTGTACCAGCAAAAATGGGTTCATTCTGCCATGGCCGCTAATTGAAAAGGATAACCGCCTCAACCTCGCCCCTACCTCCTTGAAGAAGCTCTGTATTGCTAAGCCCGACATAAGCACAAGTATCTTTCGGAAGTCTTTTCAGATATCTTCTGATCTAAGTAGTGAACTCTCTTTCAAAGTATAACTAATAAGATGCTTTGAAGTTTAGTCGAGATTCTGAACTTATCATAAAACTCGCCATATAGGAGTGTGCAAGTTAGAAGGGGCTACCAGATAAGTCGACTTGGCGCCTGAGGCAGAAACTTAGCTTGATAAACAGGGCCAAAACAACACTGCGGGACCTACTATTGCGTCCTGGAGATTACAACTACAACACCACAGCCATGCCACTACTCAACTCTCACCTGGAGCAAATCGCTCTTTCATCAAGTGCTATCGCTGACCTACCGTCTGTTCCCTACCCAATTCCCCGGTATATATTCGTCCGTTGGCTCACAAAACATCTACACCCAGATTCCCTCCGCCCCGCATCTTCACGAACGCGCTATTAGGCTCGCACGATATCACCGCCTTGATTCGCGATACTGAGGTCCATGAAAGAGCACTTTTCCAGGTTGATCCTTCAGCGAAGGCTCAAGGCGCACAACGACGTGCCACCCGGCGCGGGACAACATTCCCTGCGGAGTCCGAGACCGAATCGATGGCTAGCCGTATCTACTCCGCCCGGAACAACCGCAACCAGTCAGCCGTTGCTCGAGTTTTGGGCTCTGATATGATGGAAGAAATCAAGCGGTCTGCAGGCACATCCTCCAGGGGACCACGAGGAGAAGTCAACATTGAAGTCTTGCTCCGGGGAGCAGAGATTCTATGCAATGTCTAGTAAGTCTGCCATACCACCTTCACGGCCCCCACTAACCGATTGATAGTCCTGTTGAAGGTGCACAGGAGAAGATCGCTAGCTTGCGGTACCGCCATGAGATTATTGCCGAGTCGATTGCGCGACTAGAAGACCGTGTTGCTGCCAATACCGCCGAGCTGGAGCAGATGCGCCACTCATACGGAGACAATGAGGATGACTATGCTTCCATGCCTGCTCCACAACTAGACACTCCCCATGTTACCGATGAGGACATTGAACGTGAACTGGCTGAGATCAGAGAACTGGAGCGGAGGAAACGTGTGCTGGAGGCGCGAGTCACTGGCATGGACCGCGATCTTGGAGGACTCATGGGCTGAAAGGAACCATGATTATGCTCTCTATTAAAAAGGCCGGAAAGGTCTTTGATTCATCGGCTGTCCTCTGAACCCTCGGCCCAGGGGATGAAATGGGCACAGGTCATCTGGGTGGCATCCCAGAGGATGCTTACCGATCGTGTCGTCGGCTTTCCTGAAAAGGCTCTCAGCCCCTCCCCATGATTCCCCATCTCCTCGACAGTATGGACTGTGCAATACTGTCTGTGCTTACAGGCTTGCTTCGATGACGGCCACGAGGGATGACTGAACCCCCGTGCAGGGTCATGGCTTTCTGAAGAAGCACCTCTGTCTATGACCATTCAGGCTCTATAGACTCGCTTTTGGAACATGATGTGCACTGGTTTCGGGGATTGGGTGTCCAGTTGTTCAGAAGTGTGCCTACTAATAGGCTCCCTTTCGGATGGGTCCTACGATGGCCTCGAATAGCCTGTGAATAAGGCAATTTTGCCTGGCTTTATTGACTATGAGGAGTGTAATCGATATATCCTCTAATCAAAATATATTCTTTACTCGAAACAAGCTCTCCGTAAGACTGATATCTGATGGGCATGGATTAATTAGGTCAACAAGTATCCAAGCTACTCCCGTGAATATTCCCACATAGTAGTACATACGCGACTTGGTGCAGTGCCTACCAAATATACAGCTTTTGTATCGACAAGTAAGACAAGTAGTTCTTTCTCAGAATGCTAGGCTAGTTCACGCACCGTCTTTCGTCGTTCCGCTAGGTTCTGTGCCACAGCCTCGGAGTATGGCAATTCTGTATAGCTCTTGGTCATAGTGGAAAATGGACCAAAATGTTTTGCATCAAAAGTGTGAACTGATTTACTGTAAAAGACACGGGCTTGCATAATCACTATGCATTAGATAACTTGGGTCTAGCCACACAATACTGTGTAGCCAACAGAGGTACCGACTGTCGCAAAGCGCGATGATGAGTCGCCCGGGCGGATGCCAAGACTGACCTCCCAACCTCATCTCTCCAGACCAAATTCCACCCTGCCATCAGTCCCAGTCATCCAGGCTTCGTTCGACCCCTCTGTGTGGTAAGGAAGGGAGATTTACCAGATTTTCTACTTTCGACTCGGACGAAAACTCGGATCGAACCGTACCAGTCCCTTCCTTCCGCGATCCATCGCGCCTGCCCTCGCGCCGACTCCCACACCCAACTCTGTGCCGCCAATATGGAAGGTGCTCAGGGCCAGCCAGGCCAGCAACCGCCGCAGCAGCCGATGGTGCAACCACAGCAGCACTCCAACCTGATTCGAACCGATCAAGTACAGAAACTCCCGCACCTGAATGACCAGCAGAAGGCCCAGCACACGCAGCTCGTGCGCAACCTGTGGGAGGCCCTCAACACCCGCGATCCACAGAGCCATGAATACCAGACTGCGCATGTGAAGCTGTCGCAGCTATCACAGAATTTGATGAAGGGCATGCGGATGTTCCAGCAGAACCGACAACAAGCGATCCAGCATCAACAAGCCGCTGCCGCCGCCGCGCAACAGGGCCAGCCTCAGCAAGGCCAGCCCGTTCAGCGTACCCAGTCGAACAACCCGCAAAACCTTACCCAGCTACTTCCCCAGATCCAAGCAAAAGTTAGCGCACTGAACTTCTACCTCCCTCCGAACGTGACCCAAGAACAGCTCCAAAACTGGATCCCCGAGGCTCGGCTTCGATATGGTATCGCCCTGCAGAAACAGGAGGTCGGGCGGGCTCGAATTGCAGACTTACGCCAGCAGTTTGCGCAGCGACAGGGCCAAGGCAATATGACACAGGATGAAATGCAAGAGTTCAAAAACCGACAGCTTGCGGCCGAGAAGCTTTTCCGGGAAGGTAGCGAATTCTTGACCAAGTTCAAGGAGCAGCAGGAAAGCTTCAAGGCACAGGCTCAGCCTGGTCAACCAATGAGTCAAGGACAGATGACCGGCGCACCTTCAACACAACAACCTGTGGTTTCCACAGGGGGAGCAGCGAATGTACCGGCGCCCCAAGCCGCACCTCCAAACCAGGCCGGTGTTGCGCCAAATGCTATGCCAGGCCAGGCTCCAACTCCAGCAGCCCATACCATTAACTCGGCTGTCAATGCGGCTCGTAACCAGGCTGGACAAGCAATGTCGCCGTCGACCTCGCAGCCAGGACAAGTGCCTGCCGTATCCTCAGCAGGCGCGACCCCGGCACCTTCCAATGTGCAACCTCCAGTCCAGCGACCTCAGCCACCATCCCAACAAGGAACGCCTGGCGCGCAAGTCAACTTTAGCCAAACACCCAACGCGGACGGATCAACACCCACCCCGACTGGACCACCACAACCTATGAACCAAGGGCCCCCTCGGCCTCTCTCACAACAAGCGGCGATGCAGCAAGCTGCCAACTACAACACCAACCAAGGTCAGCAGCAAAACCAGCAATTGAATCAGGCCGCAAACAACCAGCAGGCTCACCCTCCAGGCTACCTTGCCAATCGTCCAACAGACACTCCCAACCGCAACATCAACATGAACATCCCCAAGAATCTGAACGTCTCTACCCCGGAACCGGTCCCCATGCCTGGCTCTCGCCCTACCTTCTCTGGTGGCCCCAGCCACAACCAGATGGGTGTGATGGGCCAGCCGGCCATCCAGAAGCACCCAGGATACGTGCTGGAAGGTGAAGGACAGCACGTCCTGAGCAAGAAGATGCTCGACATCCTCGTTCGTCAGGTCACCGGTGGTGGTGAGGGCGAAATGCTGTCCCCTGATGCCGAAGAGGTAAGAAACGACGCTCAACCAAGTCTGAGGCGAGAGTAAGCCCAACCCAAAACAAAGACTAACCTCCATCCACAGTTCATGCTCCAAATGGCCGATGACTTTGTCGACGACGTGGTCACTCAAGCCTGCCGCCTCGCCAAGCTGCGTCCCTCTTCGACCCTCGAGCTCCGCGACATCCAACTCGTTCTGGAGCGCAACTACAACATGCGTATCTCTGGATTCGCAACCGATGACCTCCGCACCGTCAAGAAGCCCCAGCCTACCCAGGGCTGGCTGCAGAAGATGTCTGCCATCCAGGCCGCCAAGGTCACCCAGGGCCGGTCTGAGTGAGTGCGTTGCTGCCAACCACGACAACAGCCACCGAGATTCAAACAATGTTGTTACTTGCTTTTCCCCCGTTCCTCTCAGATTCACTCACCTTTCCTTATCTTCGTTTTGCTGGTCAACATTGTTTGCGGGTGGTTGCGTGCGGATCATCTCCATTTCCATTCTCGAGAAGTCCAGGCGTTCACAATAGGCAGACCAGGTTTGGGTTATCTTTTCACATAGTTTTCGCCCCCTCTTTCTTCGCTTCTTTCCAAATGGGGTTCTCGGTACTTTCTCGGTTCGACTACGGTGAACTATGAGATACCTTTTTCTGATTTAATTTTTCTGGGGCGGAGGGAGCGACTGGCGTTTTCTTTTTCCCCGTTCTACCTCTACTTTTTTTTCTAGGATGGTTTTCAAAATATGAGAATTTAGGGAATGGAGATACATAATCAAACATGGTCTCTTTATGTGGTAAATTATTTCGATTGGACTGCATGGATGAAGCGTAAACACTACTATTTCTATCGGACACGTTAGGTAGAGGTTATGGTTTTTTATGGTTTTAGGGAAATCTAGCATCATACTAACCCGATCCGATCTGTCTCCGATATCTAACACAGAGCATAACACGATTCTCTAACGAGGATACCAGCAACTTAAAAGCCGGACAGGTTCCAGCTTAAGCGGTCCGCTTAACACGTACATATGACCAGGAATAAGAACAAGCTAAGTGAAGACGGAGTCAAGAGGCATGAACAAAAAAGTGGTATAGTGAATTGGTACAGGGTATGGAGTAATTGTTTCACACGGAGATGAGTCCAAGCAAAAAGAATAATACGAGAAAAGAAAAAGAAGAAACCCGCCAGAATGGAAGGGTAGAAAAAAAAGAGAAAAGGGAAAGGAAAGGGGTTTGTATGTGGAAGACCACTAGATAGAGGGTAAAAAAAGGAGAAAGAAAAAAAGAAGGGCCGCGATGGAGCGGGTTTTGCCTCGAAGGGGCTGGCTGGCTGGAGAGAAAGACGGATGTTGAGACTTTGAAATTGCTCGATTGGAAATGCAAAACACAGGACAGGACAAGACGGTAGGAAAAGTGAGATAGGAAAGACGTGACAGCGACTGTCGGCATGTGATATATAGAGAGAACGTGGTTGATGGATATGCCGGGTTGGTCGGACATTCCATGACAATGACAGTGGAGGGTTTGGGGGGATTCGTTGGTGATACAGGGTGAATCTTGGAGTCGAGCAAGAGACATAGTGATAATGCGGGTGCCCGGGTCAAGGAGATCGCGGTAGTGAAACGAGAAACGAGGTACAGGGAACAAGAAAACAAGGTCATCTTGTATTCTGTTTCGTACTCGCTGCATTCCACTCGACGCAAAAGACCGCATGAGATGGATAACAGGGGATAGACAGACGGAGATGAGAGACGCTCAACAACAGGAAATATACACGTCACTCGTGAACATCAGCGGTTTTGAAGGGAAACACACTGGTTGCAAGTAGATCAATCGAGAGGGCAGGGCAGAGCACAGCATGGACAAGCAGATAACAAGGGTAGGGAGGGAAATAGCGACCCGTACAAGACTCATGCAGCCATGGAGAGACAGATTTAGAGACGGGAATAGGAGGGAAAACACAACAGGTCTATCGAGCAACATTGGGATATCTCGCTGAATGGGAAACAAAAAACAAGATGGGAGACGGAAAGACATGGAATGCATCGCTTGCGAGAACTGGATCGCTGACATTGCACTAGACAAGACACAGAGCTCGGAGGGCAGAGGAGGATTATCGCTGGCGCTTGTTCGCGAGGTAATCTTCACTCCGGTCAATTTCCTTGCCCTTGGTAGAGTTGGGTGGACGCTCGTCGGTTGGCACGGGAGGAAGATCCTTATCAGACAATCGCCGGCCCTGTCGGCTGTGTGAGCTGTGACCACCAACGCTGCTAGCTTCGCCGGCTTCTTCGACGATGGGTAGGGTAGAGGATGGGACTGGACCGGCTGCATCTGCAGGATCCCACATGGTGGCCAAAGTGCGAGGGTGGGTAACCGACACATCCTTCGCCGCCTCCTTCTCGGCTGCCTGCATGGTGCGCTCCACAGAGGAAGACCGGGATTGGCGTTTCTCATTCAAAACCGCACCTGAAGCCTGCGACTCACGTCGTCGCTCAGCCTCCTCCTTGGACATGGTGATGCCCTTGACAAAGTTCACAAATCGATCTCCATAGCTCTCCGGCGGAATCGGAGAGATTTGAGTTCGATCGTGGGAAAGACCCTTGAAGAAGTTCTCGATCTTCTTGACCATACCGTAGTGCGTGAGACAGTCAATGATACCGAGGTAGTAGATCTCGTCACTAAAGGTGCCGTCCTCGTGAGTGGCGCGGAACCCGCCGTCGTCAGAGTAGAATTTCAGATTCTGCTTCCGAGAGTCAAGAACCTCCTCAGGCATCTTCGCGGCTGCTTTGTCCAATGGCACTGGTCGCTCACGCTTGATCAGCATGCGCAACTCACGGGCCTTGCGTTCGTTCTCGAGTTTTGACGGCGTCCGCATCAGCATATTACCCTTGGCCTCTTCTTCACGATCACCACCGGGCTGGAAGACTTGAAGCGTCTTGTCACGGAGTTTCTCTTCGTTGCCGCGCTCCACGTCGTGGATGCCAACAAGTAGTGAATAATCCATGATCTTGAGCTTCTTGAGCAGCTCCACATCCTTGGTCAGTTGCTCGATAAAGTCGAATCGCTTCTCAGGTCCACACTGCAGATGACGATCCCTCCGCACCCAGTTCAAATCCTTCATAGTCGCCCGTGGGTTCCGCTCCAGATCAGACTCCTGCAAATCACGGCCAATCGTCGAGCCTTTCAGGTCGAACGTCTGGTGGATATCGCGGTGCGGCGGGAACAGGTTGTTCATAACGACGAAGTGGATCTTGCGGCCATACGCCATCTTCACTCGGTGCAGACCGTAGAACTGCGAGATCAAGGTGTTGGGGTTATCTTGCACGTGCTTGTAGTATAGTGGCAAGATCTTCCTTAGAAGCTTATGCTCAGAATGGTGGATAGTCTTGATGATGTACTTGTAGTCGCGCGAGAAGTAGAAGAAACTGCCACTCTTTCCAGGCGAGCCCAGTTCAGACAGAATGTACTTGCTAGTCAGAGACATCAGGTAGTCGGCGGGATCGAGGTTGAACTTGGCGCGCAAGTGACGGAACACCCAGGGCGCATAGTCCTTGAATTTGAAGTCGTATTTTGCGGAGGGGATCAATTCGTTGCCGGTTCTATCAGTGGTCAGTCATGAACATTGCGGGAGAATATCACAAGATTTCGGGGTTGGGTGTGACCATACATATCAAAGGAGAACTTGTGTTTAGCTTCAAAGTCTGCGGGGGTCAGTTCCCGGTCCATCTTTGCATTGATCCGAGAGACTGTAAACCGAATACCCGTCAACATGTTGTATGCGGTGACATAGTTGACGTGATTCTGGTCGACTTTGGTACCGACGATCACGCGTTCATCGTCATCGTCCTCGCGTCGTCGCCGTGATGCTCGTTTTTGTTTGATGGCTTCCGCCCAACGTGCCGCTTCCTCATCCGGTACCGCCTCATCCATGGGTTCTGACTGTGTTCTTGTTGTCCGTCGAATCAGGCTGAATGATGTGCGGCGTGGTCCAGCCGAGGTGGGGGAGAGTCGGCCGCTGGCGTATGCAGTATCTTCGCCTTGATCCCGGCTGTTTCGCCGACCGCTGGGGACCCTTGGAACTTGTAGCGAGTGTCGATGCCGCATACTTGATTGTTGTGATTCTGGCATAATGGTAGTGTCTGGAGATGAGGGGGCGGGAGGGGAAGAGTATCGGTGAGGGCTGGGTTTGGGTCCCGGGCTCAATCGATCCGGGTCTGGGGAGTGACGACCGGTGTCATCAGGATTGGGAATCTGCAGTAGCGAGGTCGATGGGCTGGTAGCCCGATCTGAGACTGGGGGTTCATCTGCAGAGGGGCGGTGAGAGTCACCATTGACCATCGTCTTCCCCTGGGCGGACCGGTGGCTCCAGGTCGTAGTGCCGCCATTGACCTGTTGGTTTGAAGCCGGCGCTATCGTGGAGCCGGCGCCAGGCCCAGCGTCTGATGATTTCCGATCTAACATGGCCGATGGCCTGCCAGAGTCTCGGGGATCCCTGACCGAGCCATTGCCCAGCGAGTGCATGCTGCCGTCCTTGGAGTGCGGCAGGTCGCGCGTATAGGAGCCGATGCTGGACCGAGTGCCATTCAGGGAATATGCGCTACCGTTCTTGAGGTTGGTGATCACCGGGCGGTCATTCGGGTGAGCGTCGTGGTTGGCGTCGCCGTTGGGCCAGTTGGTCCACAGGAAAGTGTTTCCGACGGAGCTTTTGTCGTGCGACTTGCGATGCGTAGAATCGAACGAGCGGGGAGCATGGGTTGTCGTGGTGGTTGCCGTAGCCGTCTGGTAAGATTCGCTCGAGAAAGACGGCATGATTGTTCTTTATGCCGGAGGTGCAAGAGCGTGGAGAGAATTGTTAAGGACACGGGGGTGACGTGAGCTCTGCGTGGGCCGGCAACCCGAAGTGACGGCAATGGCCCTTATTGGTGGAGGGGCCAAAAAAGTTGCGAACCGGACCGCGAGCCAGCGGATCAGAACGAGAGGAAAGAGCAGAGGGAGGAGGAGAAGGTGGACAGCTCGTGTCGGAGTCAGAGTTGATCTTAAACCGGAGATGGCGGCCAGGCCAAGGCGTGGCAAGATGGAGGGTTTTCAACGGATAAACATGATCGGGTTCACGGAGAGGCTCGAGCTTTTCGGGAGAGCGAAGACAGCACAAGTATGAAATTGCCGCAGTGTAGAAGAGACGTTTTCTGATGGGAAAGAGTTGTTGTTGGCGATGAGGAGGAGGGGGGCTGAAGTTGGGAAGTCGGGTGGCTTGGAGGAGGATTGAGGATTGAGGGTTGTCGGGGAGAGAGAAAAGAACCGGGGCCCAGGGGATCCGTAATTACGTTGCACCTCTCGTACGGAGTCTCCATACGATTCTTTTACCCTCGCTATTTACCACCACGGGCTCCGTGCTCCACTGTTCAGCTTGGCTGTTGCATCAACTAGTCAGACTGTGTATACTCCGTATTTCATACTGGCTAAGCACGTTATTTGACGAAGACTGGTACAAGCCTACAAGGTGGCTGACTATATTAGGTTTGGTTCGATAACCTCCGAAAGCCATCCCAAGTATGCGAAATAGTTTCTTATCTATGGAATACTTACTTACACTCCATAGCACCCTAAATCAGGTTTCTCTTAAATTCTATCTCCGGATCCAAATGCGACCGAGCCAAAATGAAGATCCCAAATACAGAGTAAGGCCTCCGTACCCAATGCACGGATTTCCTATCGCCGACTCGCCCTACTTATGCACATTACATTGTGCAAATGAAATCCACCCACGGGCCCCGACAACTCAGCAAGCGCTTGTTTGGGGGCTCTTTCGGGGGCACAAGTCGAGGCAATTGGATGTACCCCTCCAAACATCTGCAAGGAGGTTTTCTCGGTGACGTACTATACCATACTCCATTTCTAACTGGAGAAGGGCCACACATGCAAACCATAGGGCTACTTAGTCCTCTGGAGTTGACTCACGATGTGCTGCGCCAATGTCTATCCCAGATCCGGGAGAGGGATCGTGTCCACCTTGGATGTGGATAGCATAAGGAAACTAACCGTACCTGACCCAAAGTGTGGCGCAGCAGATTTTATTTCCTCGCGCCGAGATTCGACAGGAGGAGGATTGCGAAATGAGGTTTTTGAACTATTGAAATTTAGTACCGATCATCATCTTTAGGACGGTTTTTGAAAAATCCTCCGCTATGGGAGGATTGGAGAATTAGGCAGACATTGATTGGGTTCATTCTGGCTAGCAGTCACGACAATTTCCCATTTCATAATTACTATAGGAAGAAATACAGCAAAAGCAAATAGAAATCGGTTCTTAAAAGCCCCATCTTGGTCAAAATTACTCCGACAGCCTTTAATTGCATCGCCATCACGTGCACTACCAGACTCGGCCCGAAATAGTTCTAGTTCGAAGTCTGCTTGTTCACCTGACAACCTCTATATGTTTTAGGATTAGACTACTTTAGCTACTCAGACTAAGAATAATCTCCGATAGTAGTTTCATCCGGCTTCTAGAATAATATCCTCGGACTCCACGGAGTACTATGTATGTAGTAGCCTCCCGAGTAGAAGATCCGCCCCTGACTATCCTCAATTTATGCACTTTTATTCCAAAAATAACTTCCCCTGCTCCACATTAATATCCGTATACACGATAGTAGTCACGATGTAATCAGGGAGTTGAGGATGAATAGATGAATAAACCTACAAGAAAGAGGATGAAAAATAACCATATACAATCATCGAATAGAGACACACGATCACACCCTGTCGGTAGATCTATCCACCCTTACAGCATCCACTCCTTCAAACTGCAAAGCCAACAGGCTTCTTAGTACCTAATCCACCGACCAGCAATATAACTAACCTTTACCTTAATTCCCAACTCCTATATCCGTACTACGCTATCCAGCAAGCTAAATTACACCTACCAGAACCTCAGTCATCCAATACGTCTAACAGTATCAGCAACGGGGAACCCCACCAATAAAACCTCCCACCCTCCAACAACAGCTGTACAGATAAGGGAGTACATGCACAGCAGTCAGCACATTCTCAATGCCACATATGTAGGGCGGGCTGCTTATCACAGCGCGAGTTGAAACCCGCCAAGCTCTAGCGGTGATTAGCCCAGGTGTCGGGGGGAGTCAGGTGATTCAACTTCACCTTGGCGGTACTGTATTGTAATGGGTACTCTAATCTAGACTCAAAATCTAGATCAGGAGTAGGTCATCGGTATCGAGTCTACTAACAATCATCAAAATCCCACCATCAATTTCCAAAAAGTGTAGAATACAGGCACTGTACTTTAAAACGAATGTTCTTGATTCATAGAGTTTAACTACGGAATAATTTCATCCAACTACCCACACACCCCAAGAACCAGTATCACACTACCGATTCAGAACCCTCATAATCCATCCATCACGTGTATCAACATCACCTACAAAAGCAACAGCCACGAAGCAGGGATCAAAAGAGATTCCAATTCAACCAGTCTCCCACAGAATCCGAACGGACGTGAATCGAAACACTCAGATTCGACAGAGAGCAAAGGAGAAAACAAGAGAAAACAAAAAAAAGAGAACATTGGAACCAAAAAACGATTTCCCCATTGAGCACAACCCACCGCAAGACGCCATCCCTTCGACTTTGGAGTTAAACAAAAGACAAAGCCCATCATAACAAAGATATTCCCAGAAAAAAAAAAACAAGCACGAGAGTAAAAAGGGGGAAGAACAAAAGAAAGACCATCAAAACCATCAAGGCTATTCATAGTCAGAGCCAGAGGTAGAGTCGAGCCACCAATATTCGAGGATTGTCGAAAAATGGCAGGGAAAGAAATTACAGCGGAAGAGAAGAAAAACACCATAGGGAATCAAATCGCCCTCCCGAAAAGACAAAAGCGCACGTGAGAAAATGGGAGGACTACATCGAGTCAAGAAAACAAGACGCGATGTTGATCCTCTATTTCTTGGGGGTGGCACGCTTCTTGGTGGCGGGCTTGGGAGCCGCTGTGGTCTTGGTGACTCGGCCAGACTTGGTCTTGCCAATGACCTTGGGCTGCTCAACGATCGCCGGAGCCTGGAGCATGGAATGTTAGTAATTGGAAGGGTGAAGGGGGACAAGTCGACGTCACGGTTGGTGGTGAGTTCGAACAGGGCAATAGGGCTAACATACGGCAGCGGTCGTGGTCTTGCGGGCCTTACCAGAGTTGGCCTTGGGCTTAGCAGCGGTGGTCTTCTTGGTGGTGGTGGCCTTCTTGGCCGCAGAGGCCTTGGGGGTAGCGGCAGCCTTGGTGGCAGTCTTCTTGGGAGCAGAAGTAGTCTTCTTGGTGGCAGTGGCCTTGGCGGCAGGCTTCTATTCAGGTTGTGAGTAATGGGGCGACGATGATATGCGCCAGCGAGTTTGAGATTACTTACCTTGGCAGTGGTGGCCTTCTTAGCAGCAGGCTTAGCGGCGGGCTTGGGGGCAGGCTCCTTCTTAGCCAGCTTCACGGGACCAGAGGGACCTATGATAGGACGCGTCAGCAAACGATCATAACATTTAAGGACGAGCAAACTCCCGCGCACTATTACAAAAACAAAGACATTCACATGGGATGAGAATGATCTGATGCCAAGTAATGCGCGCAGGGAATCAGCCAGGATCAATTGACAACTTACCCTTGGGCTGGGTGAACTCGCCCTTCTCAACACCAGCCTTGATGGCCTTGTTGAACTGGGCATCGAAGGTGGCCTGAGACGCGACGTTGATCTTGTTGTTCGCCGACACATACTTCTTAATGGCCTGGCGGCTATAATGGGGGGCAGTTGAGTCAGTACATGGTCCTCAAGAAAAATCAAATCATCACGCGCTAGTCCAAGCTCCGGGTGGGCGACCAGAGAAGCGCGCCGACGAGATGTTGCGCACAACAGCAAACACATACCTGGAACCATTGCGCTCTTTCAGCTATTGACAGAAAGGCCAGTTAGCAAGGTAAAAAAATAAATAAAAGCCATCCCTATGGATGTGGTGGCTGGATGCAAGCCTTGGACCGGACGTGTCACGGTCGGGCGCGCGACCCGAGATCACAACAAGCCGGGCGGCGGCGGTGATCTACTCACGTTGACAATAGCATCCTTGATCATATCTATATGAATGGAATCAGCAGACGTTCGCGACACAAGCGATGTGCAATTTATTTCTACGCGATTTGGGACGCGTGCAGGATCAGAAGAAACATACCACGGTAGGAAGCGTGAGCCGGGGCGGCGGCCTTCTTGGTCACGCTGGTTGCTTTCTTGGGAGGCATGGTTGAAGATGGGGGAAGGTGTTGTGTGTAATGTAGATTGGAGAGATGGAAGGATGTATAGGCAGCAAGACCTAGACGAATGAAAATTGAAAAGTGGGTGGTGTGGTGGGAGAAAGGAAAAGAGGAAGAAGAAGCAGCAAGCGGAAGGGTGGGAAGAGCAGCGGGGCATCCGCGATTTATAGGCGGCTGGTGTTGACACAAGATCACCCACCCCCGGGCGCCTTCGCACGGGTCGTTTTCCCTTCGCGTTCTGATATTTTATACTCTTATCATACTGCTTGTTTTGATTGCTCTGCTAGCTACTGCTTTACTCTTCTTTTTTAAAAGGGTTATTGAACCTGTACCCAGCTCGTGCTCTGGTTTCTTGACTATCCTGTTACTGGCGATTCTCGCCTTGCGAAATGGTTGGCGCGCATTCCCCCCAGATGGCAGAGGCAAAGAGACGAGGGGGACACTCCATTCTCGCGCCTTTAACGACGATCGAGTCTGCAGTCTATTGTCTGCATTTTCTTCACCGTACAAATGTGCCTTCTCCACCCTCTGTGAAATAGGTCCTAGTCTCTCCCAAAATGACCAGAAATCGCGCACTCTATCTGCCAACTCAATCTACCGTACTTTGCAGCACGATGGACCAACTCTATATATTTCTCTCCTATAAGCACGTAGATCGCCTTATTCCCCCATGATCGCCAAGGGGCCGTTTGTCTTCTGCTTTTATTTCTCCCCCTAGAGCTTAATATGGCATGGACACATTCCACTGGAACCGGAGGGGAACGACCTGCCCGTGGAACTCCTTTCCGTCTACACGCAATACTGGGGGCAAGGCAATGGAATCTTCCTCCTGTGTGAACCTAAAAAGAAGGACAACCGGGAACAGTTATCCACTAGGAGTAAGGTAGTCACCATTCGTTGTTGCTCCCGAATCCATGCCTAGATACTGTAGGTACCCAACGGTCATGATTCGGTTTATCGGGTCAATATTAAGAGTGGCACACCAATAATCACGCTTTAAATAACTATATAGTATTACTATAGCATATGTATATTCTAGAGTTTCCACAGTCATGATATACTTCTCAGCTGCGTCCGATGTTGAAGCTTCCTCCTTGCGTGTGCCTCGAGGACCTGCAGCCGTCACGAGGCACATGCGTTGGCACCCCCGCCAACTGGGAAAAAAAAGCCTGGGCCACTTGGTCCATGGTACGCCGCTGTGACTCGATGATGTCGTGACTTGGACGGGTAGTACTGGGAGAGCTGATTGGGGATATGGGCGACTCCCGGAGATTTTGTCTGATATCGTGGTTGTCGGAGGATGCTGTGACCTGCTCTAACCCTAACTGCTGCCTTCTTGCTGACCGCTTGCTCTACTTACCCCGTGATCTCCATCTACCTCTATTGCCAACGTGATCACGATTACGGGGGATTTTTAGGCTTGATGATGCTAGTTAGGCTATCTATAAGCAATAATTATTGAATTATGATATTATATTCTCTATACCACCCTCTATCTATGTAAGCGGAGCTATACGCTTTGCAAGACCGTGTGGCAAATGGGGGACATCACGAAGGGGTAACCCGATATATATCTCGACGGACAACCAGGCATCACTACGAGTCGGCATGCTCCTCCCCTTAAATTCACTAGATCAATAATTTTAGACCAATAGAATCAAAGATTAATGTGTAATCACCGTTATTCTCCACTGATCGCTGTAACTGCTCACGCATCCACTACGTGCCCCGGGCCACCAGTTGATCTGGCGTCGGTCTTGAATCAACCCAACCACCAGCTCTACGATCTACGGGCCAAACACCCCAAACTACACTTACTATACAATATTGAACATTTACATCTGAATAAAGATCGCTGAACACTTTCTCCCATGTTCTGACCCGAATCAAGGCTGGAAATCAACCCGTAAGCACGCAGTGAGGGGGAGATCACGATGCCCGATCTGGCTGCTCGCCCGCATCGAATCAAGGGACTCGACGGATGAACAACTGATCCTACACCACACAATGATATTTTATCATTTGAAAATAGATCATAAGTTTCCCATGAATGATGAAAATACAAATTTATGGTCTTTTAATCATTTACAACATTTGTTGTTGAGATCGCTGGTGCTATGTTCTCGACCCATCCTCGGGTCTATCTCGCTTAGCCCGGCTCGATCTATACAACTGCACCACATTGAACTCCACCCTTACGACGACCACCAAGGTTGTATGCAATTAAAACCATGTAATTCAAACAAGAAATGACCATTTATTATGTATCTCATCATTTTTGTACAATATATGGGCCTGTGGGGGTAAGGATCAGTCTAAAGAGTAGGTGTCTTTTGTACCACGTCACAGACATGATCTTCTGATCCTACAAGCGCAACCATGAATAGACATATGTGGTATTTGCAGGTAGATGGAAAATTGCAAGAACTACCTGTTTATCTGAAAAATATTTCATTTTTCGCTGGTATGAGATGCTAGACTCCATGCCATGGATCAGGGTGATCGGAGTGGCCGGACGGAATCACTCGCTGCCCAGTGTCCACCCCCGGACCAAGATCATCAGAAAAAGAACCACCATAGAGGGAAAACACAAACCGGTAAACTCCAACGCCTAGCTCGTAGGAAGATCGAAAACATACACAAAATTTTTTTATCCGGTTGGACAAAGGGAGACGCTGTTGAGACATCTCTGAAAGGGCTCCCGCGTCGCAGCCCCCATGTCGCAAATCATCAACCGAGGACCGAGAATCTAATTCGCACCACGGGGCTTAGCCTTAGCCTCCTTCTTAGCTTTGGCCTCGTCCTTCTTGCGCTTCTTCTGCTCTTGCAGCTTCTCGTCATGTTTCCGCTTGAGATTAGCCTTCTCCGCCTCCGTGCGTGCGACCGGCTTGAAGAAACCCTCCAACCGGGACTGCTGCGCACTCTTGAGATTCTTGGTCAAGCGTGCGGCACCGTTACGCACGCGGTCCTCGTTGAAGCCCTTGTCTGTCACTAGGAATTCTACTAGAGCCTCTACGTCCGGTGCCTCCCACTTGAAGTCGCAGGCTGGGTCGTTCGCGTCGCGCACGTCCGGGTTGGCGAACAGCTCGCGTGCGTCCTGGTATGGCCAGTCTTCGGGGATCACGTATTTCTTCTTTGGGTCATTGTTCATGAACTCGGTTACCTTTTCGAGGCTGCCGTGTTCGCGGATCAGGGCGAGAGCGGTGCTCGGGCCCACCTTGGGGATGGGCTCGAGATAGTCGCAGCCGAGGAGGATGCAGAGGTCAATGAACTGGAGTAGTCGAATTCATGGTGTGGTTAGCACAAATTGGATAGGAGTTTCCACGTGAGACAGTCATTGGGGTCGCATTCAAAGCATACCTGATTGCGGTCCATGTCAAGCCCTTCCATCGCCTTGCTTAGGTGAATCTCTTGAATGGGCTCCTTCCGTTGCTCACTAAACGTCAAGTGGCGCAGCAGAATCGGTGCCTCGAAACACAAGGTATCCATATCCTCCGACGCAGCAGCGTAGACCTTGCCCGCGCGCGCCAGCACGGCGCACTGTGCCTCGGCCTCAGTGGGCGCATCGATGTAGGGAATGCCCATCAACTTCAGCAGCTTCTTGCACTCGGCGTTGTGCTCGCGGGTTACCCGCACCGTCCGCCGCGAGAACTTTTCGATTTCCTCAGCGGTACCGGTCTCCTTGGCCTCCTCGTGTGCCTCAGCTGCTTCCGCCTTGCGTGCGCCTCGCTTGGCCAGTTCGCCGGACTTGAGCTTGGGTGGGGCGCCGTCGAAGACGTAGAGGGGCTTGATGCCGTTGTCGACCATACGCAGGGTTCGGTAGAACATGCCCATCAGGTGCGAGGTTGTCTCGCCAGACTCACTCATGAGCTGCTGGCCTTCGGATCGCACGGCGATTAGGAAACTGTAGATGCTCATGGATCTGTGCTGGGTTAGCGGGACTGGTTCGTGGGACTATCGCATCGCAAATTGTAGACGTACGCATCCTAAATCGCACTGAAGTCAGTCATTTTGGGGGTCAAATAGGCTAGTTTTTTTTCTTGGAATTCGACTCACAATTGCGACCTTGCGGCCGAAGTGATTCTTGATCTCCCCCGTCTTGATCGCATCGGGGGCATTTTCGGAGATGACTTGGTAGAGATCTGGTACTTGTTCAGCAGGGATTCAGAACTGTAATTCATGGTGCACACTCACTCTTAATACCCATCTTGGCTGATTGTTGGGTGAATGCCGGTCGAAGTCGAGAGTTGCACGGGACGCAGTTCTCAAGCTACCGGACCTTCCTACCACGAGAGTGACGCGCTCGCCGCTCAGACGCGCGACGCCATTTAAACCTAATACGGACTAGCGTTGTTGATTACATGATCAAGGAACTGGACTCCACTTTTCCACGAGCCTTTCCACGTGACCGGCGCCGAACCAGGGCCATTGCTGCCTCAGGCCACAATTTAATCGGTCGAGAACCGGAGCCCCCCAACCCCGCCTTTCTGCTTTCCCCGGAGTCTACTTTGCGGGATGAGGTGCAACTTTTCAGCATGAAGCGGAATCGCATCCATTTCGAGGCCAATGGTGATGCGTCGCCCACTTCGCCGCCAGGGGGCTTCACGCCGGAGGACCAACGACAGGCGCATGTCCCGAAGATCTCCCGGAGGATACGCGCATGCACGGAATGCAAAAAGCACAAGGTTCGATGTGATATGAAGGCAGGCGAGTCGACATGCTCGCGGTGTCGGCGCATGGGTCTGGAGTGCGTGGTCAATAAGAGCCTGCAGACGTTGTTGGAGGATGAGGCCGAGTGAGTTAGCCCTAAGTGCCCATGTGTCTCCGGAATTCGTTTCTGCGGGATTCTGTGTATTGCTACGAGAATAATGCTAATGTCATTACTTGGTGAATTCTAGTTGGAAGACCATGATCGAGCTGGCGATGACCGACCTGCTTAGGAAGTCACAGCTCCCGGAACTATCGTACTATCAGGCCGGCGGCGGATCGATCGAGACGCCTTCGAAGAAACGGGGGCGCAAAGATTCAACGGTGTCGGTGGACGAATCTGGCCATGCCTTGGGGCATCACAGCAAGAATAACTCGGCAGATACTACGGCAGGCCGGTTGACGGGATCCAATTCGTCTAGTTATGCCTTTTCTCAACAACAGCCGCAATATAAGATCGACCGTGAGGAGACAAGTGCGACTTCGCTCGTGACCGCTCCTATGGGAAGTCTATATGAGGTGACACAGTTGAGTGAGAACCGTGAGAATTCACCGAGCGATGATTATGCGCCGGACCAGGCCCTGGTGACGGATTTCATCTCGCGCGGCGTGGTTGATCTCCAGGAGGCTGAGGAACTGTTCTACCACTTCGATCAGGTCCTCAACAGATACCTTTGGGACGGAGCATTGCTGGCACACAAGGATTTGACATCCGCTCGGAGATCATCTTCTATGCTGTCCGCTGCCATTCTTGCGGTGACGGCGCTTCACATGCCCACTAAGGAGCGAACATTCGATACTTGCTACACAGAGTTTGCAAAATTGGCGTCTGAATCGATGCTTGGACATCACCATACCATGGATGACATCCGGGCACTATGTATCGGGGCTTTTTGGCTTGCAGACGTGAGCTGGAAGCTCTCGGGCTACGCCGTTCGCATTGCGACCGAGCGCAATCTGCATCAATTCTTCCGCAAAGCTGTCCAGGGCTCTCCTGAACACAAGGAGCAAGCTAGATTATGGTACCTTCTATACGTATGCTTTCCTGATTTCGCACACAGTCTGTTCTAGATTGCTGACTACTACCGCAGACCCTCGAACACCACTTCTCCATCGCCTACGGCCGACCTCCCATCATCCACGAAGACCCAGCCATCACACAACACAATACATTCACGCAATCACCCACGATATCACAAGGAGATCTAAGGCTACACAGCCAGGTTGATCTGTTCATTGTCCTGACCCGTATATACTTTGCATTCGGTCCTGACGTGGACCTCGAGGTCCCCGAGAGCGAATTTCCAAAGATCGACCAGTATGACCAGGAGTTAGGAGATTGGAAGTCAGCATGGCTACCGCGTCTTGGTATGTCACTCAGATACCTGGTTTAAAGCATGTGCTAACTCGATATTAGCTGGGAGCCGGCACGTTGGCGCATACCCATACAAAGCCGTCTACATGCACTACCACTTTTCTCGACTTCAGTTGAACTCGGTTGCCCTCCGAACATATCATTCTTCTACCTCCTCCAAAGCGATGTCGCCCGAGCGCAGGAAACGTGCCAATATTGCCATTGAATCGTCGATCGCCACCCTCCAGGTGGTTCTAGATGAGCGAGACATTCAGCGTGCTCTGGTCGGTGTACCGCTATACCTCCACAGTATGATTACCTTTGCGGCGGTATTCCTCTTGAAAATCGCCGTCAAATCATGTTCCAACCAGTGTGGCCAGGGCCAAAGCACCTCTATCTCTTCAGCCGGCCTGATCATTGACATTCCCTACGTGCGGATCTTGGTTGGGCGCATCGTCGAGGTGATGGTGTCCTGTAGCCAACGAGCCAGCGAGCGTCATTTAAGCCATCACATTGCTCGCGGTCTGCGAAAGATGCTCACTGGCCTCGAAGAGTGGGAGAAGCGGAACGGTACCCAGCAGTCAGGCGGGCCCACTCCCCAGTCAGAGACCTCCTCGCTATTCAAGCCTGTCATTATCCCTGGAGCTCAAATACTCGGTGAGCGAGATACCATCCTGAACCATCCGCCTCCGTTGTTGGGTGTGGCACCACTATCAGCCGAACGCAGCAACGGGTTCGATCCGGGTCTTGGACTGGCCAAGGACGAGCCGGGGCTTTCAGAAGGCTCGATGGACCCGATGATGGCGGATCTGTGGGGATTCGATGAAGAGTATTTCCCCACGGGCGTGTTTGATTTCCTGCAGAGTCAGATGCCAGCGTAATGGAGAGCTGTACAGCTGCATGCTGGCTGGCACTTGTGACTCTCTTCTTGGATAATGTTCTTCTACTACCCCCTTGTACATAATACTTAGTACCGGCGTCGGAAAACCATAATTGTCTAGCTGAATATAGGCAAATACATACTCTAGAAATACATATGCCATCAGGGTCCCAGTTCCACTTGTATGCTTCCCGCCGCATGTACTTACCCTATGTGTGCTGGCACCGGTATCCCTCCGTATGCCGAGTCTACCGAGTACAGAAAAGCACACAAGCACCGAGAAAGTCCGAGCCGGGGACCAGACAAATAATCAAGGCACACAAACTCGGGCAATTGATCGAATCGTCTAGCGTAATACCACCCCCGCCCCGATTAAACTCGGCGCGAGCGACCCCGGATCTTTTCCACATTCCATAGCGGTCGGTGATTTGCAGGTCCCAGAATTGCCGAGGTTCTCCGGCGGCTAGCGCATATTTGATTGAGCTCCCCCGCAACAAACCGATCGATAACCTCGTTGCAGACCACTTTCTCCGCTCCCCTCTTTTCATTTTGTTTCTGCTTATAATTTTGTTCTTGTGAAAATGATGAATCGCTCTCTTCTTCGCGCGGCGACGCGCTCGCTCCAGGCTAGTCGTCCCGTCGCTGGTCGTCGGTATGCTTCCTCGGCGGTGTTTAACTGGGAGGACCCCCTCGCTGCGGAGGAGCTGTATACGGCAGAGGAGTTGGCTATTCAAGATACTGCGCGACAGTATTGTCAGGAACGATTGATGCCTCGTATTCTGGGTGAGTATCTTCAATTGATTGGCTGTTACTGTGCTCGTTCGGCATTGAAACTAACAGTGACTTCGCATGAATAGAGGCCTACCGTAACGAAGACTACGACCGCAAGATTTTGGAGGAGATGGGCGAGCTCGGCCTTCTGGGTGCCTCAATTGAGGGATACGAGTGTGCTGGCGTCAGCACCGTGGCCTCGGGCCTGATTACCAAGGAGGTTGAGCGCGTGGACTCCGGATACCGTTCAGGCATGTCGGTGCAGAGCTCATTGGCGATGACGGGTATCTACGAATTCGGTACAGAAGAGCAGAAGCAACGATTCCTCCCCGGTCTGGCCAAGGGCAAGCTGTCCGGTTGTTTCGGTCTGACCGAGCCAAATCATGGCTCCGACCCTGGCTCCATGGAAACCGTGGCCCGCGAGCACCCGACACAGAGGGGCACATACCTGTTGACCGGCAGCAAGACGTGGATCACCAACTCGCCCATCGCAGACCTGGCATTGGTTTGGGCCAAGCTGGAGACGACGGGCAAGATCAAGGGATTCATCGTTGAGCGCTCGCGCTGCCCGCCTGGTACCTTCGAGACCCCCGCTATTAAGAATAAGAGCGCCTTGCGTGCGTCCATCACCGGTATGATTCACATGGACAACTGCCCCGTTCCGGCGGAGAATATGTTCCCCGATGTCGAGGGTCTGACGGGCCCGTTCACTTGCCTGAACAGCGCTCGTTTGGGAATTGCTTTTGGTAGCATGGGTGCCCTGGAGGACTGTCTTGCCCGTGCTCGGGAGTACAGTCTCGAGCGCAAGCAGTTCAAGGGTAACCCGCTGGCTAAGTATCAGCTTGTTCAGAAGAAGCTGGCTGATGCGGCGACGGATGCTGCTTATGGCACGTTGGCTGCGGTTCAAGTCGCTCGTCTCAAGGATGCTGGCAAGGCTACGCCGGAGATGATTTCTATGATTAAGCGCCAGAACTGCGACCGGGCTTTGGCCAACTCAAGAATGTATGTTTTCTTTTTTCTTGCCTGTTTCAGGGATCCTTCGTTGCCTGGTCTTGAAACGAGATGCTAACTCTCTCATGCTTGACAGTCTCCAAGAAATCTTTGGTGGTAATGCTGCTAGCGACGAGTACCACATTGGTCGCCATGTGGCCAATCTGTTTGTGGTGCAGACCTACGAGGGTCAGAGCGATATTCACGGTATGTGCATTGCCATCCATGCCCAATCCTGAGGCTGGGGTTCTTTGGGCCGAAAGCTGATTATTTTCTTTTTTCCTCAGCGTTGATCCTAGGCCGGGCCATTACCGGCAAGCAGGCCTTTGTTTGAAGTGAGATTTGATTATATTGCACGGAGTACTACGTATTGCATCTCTTTTCCCTGTACTCAGGGCTATAAACTTGTATAGAATCATTTTCAGCATGGAAGAAACCGGAGCGCGGATGCCTTCCCCATCGGGACAAGACCAGCGCCTCACCCGCACGTGACATCATCGAGGGGCTAAAAATTCAGAAATTTGAGGCATCAACTTTTGAATACGAAAACCACATATGATCAAGCAAATATTTTATTCTGTAAATCCCAACTTCTGACGAGTATAAAGGCCATATGCAGTATATACATCGCAGATTACATCCCGTAAAAAGACCGAATACAGACCAAAACCCCATCGAGACCAGCCCCTAGGGTCCTCGTGAAAAATACAGCACTGGGCGGCATGTGTCATAGTGTGGCGCGTATTGGTAATACCCATCAGACACCCGCCCGCCCACATTTCCCCCTCTTTCTTCTTCTTTCTCTTCTTCTTTTCCACACAAAGACGTAACCGTACGTGGAAACGCCTGACTGATCCAGTCCCCCCCTCCTCCTCGCTGACCATCCCTTTCTCTCCCAAAGTCTTCCCTTCCTACTCTCATACAACCCTCGTCGTCATGGCTCTCAAGCGCATTAACAAGGAACTCACTGATCTCGGCCGGTAAGGATCTGCCCACCACCCACCCACCGTAACCAACACTTCCTCTCCGGGGGTATCACACGAGTGACGAGAGACTGACATTTTTTTCCTTCGTATAGGGATCCCCCCTCCTCCTGCTCTGCCGGCCCTGTTGGAGATGACCTGGTATGATTTCCTGTCGTTCTTCGTCCCCTCGTTCTTGTCGGTCGCTCGGTGCCAAGTGCAGCCTTATCGTGCCGCGGGGCTGAAACAAGAACCCCCCCCTCTCAAAAAAGCGGATAATCGGATTGATCGAGGGTTGACTTGAATATGTTGATGATGTGTACTGACCAATGTCTTCTTTTTCCTTTTACAGTTTCACTGGCAAGCAACCATCATGGGTCCTGTAAGTCGATTCATTCTATTCCTTGAAACGGCGGGCTGTGGAGGGGCAGTGCAGCCCCTCCCCCGTACAGAACGTCGGATCTTGATTTACATCAACTTTGCTGACATTTAATGCTGTAGGGAGATTCCCCATACTCCGGAGGTGTCTTCTTCCTCACCATTCACTTCCCCACGGACTACCCCTTCAAGCCGCCGAAGGTCAACTTCACCACCCGCATTTACCACCCCAACATCAACTCCAACGGCAGCATCTGTCTTGATATCTTGAGGGACCAATGGAGCCCTGCTCTCACCATCTCTAAAGGTGTGTCGAATCCATGTCCGCCGTGTCAATACATTATGCCACCATCAGCGTTTTCAAAGCGAGCCTTGTTGCTAAATGTATACCCCCTCCAGTGCTGCTCTCGATCTGCTCGATGCTCACAGATCCCAACCCGGATGACCCGTTGGTTCCCGAGATCGCACACGTTTACAAGTCGGACCGCCCACGGTACGAGGCGACGGCTCGTGAATGGACACGCAAGTACGCTATCTGATCGGCAATTATTCAACAAATCTGCCTTCCTCCTTCCTTCCGCGCGACCATGACTCGAGTCAAACCCCTGTCGCCTCTGCATGCTCTTTTATATTACTTCGTTAGATTCAGATCCTCGAAGCCTGGCGTACCGTGGTCGTAGAAACTTTGTGATGGTTCCAAATTCGTCTTCGTTGTTTTCTGCGTCTTCGCCGCTGTTTATGTTTCTCTTGCCTTGTGTGTGATGCGCGCGTACCGCTTTGCTACGTCTTAACCCATTTTTTGCGTATCTCTCGTCTGTGTGTGTTATTTAACTGGGACATGGCATATTCCAACGATCATTATGACCAAAAAACTCCTGCATATGGCATTTTTTCCTTCGTCCCTCGAGGCTTCGGGGGTATTGTGGCTTTCATGATATTTCTCCCCCGGGTTCGTCTATGCTTTTTTTTCTATTCCTATTTGAAAAGAAACAAAAAAAAGGAACCGGAACATTCACGAGAAGAGTCGTTACATTTCCTCGGTGATAATTGCTTAGAGGATCTTCTGCCTCATTCGACAGAATCTTTCTTCACGCGACTCGTTGATGAAATGATGGCTTACTTGCTGGAGTGAATCGTTGGGACGCTGAATTTTGGGATTGAATCGACAAAGTGATATTCGTGATGGTGTGGAGAGCTTCGTTTGGGCTTGGCTTGGTGTCCTGGTTACGCTGGATTAGGCTGGCAGAGGGGGGTTGTTACGATTTTCTTTCTTGTCGTCGATAGCAATTACTAGCACAATCCAGGCAGGCCCGTCTCTGTGTGATGAACATCTTTGGTCGTAGAATGTAGTTGATCTTGTAAGGAGATTGGAATAAATGGCTAGACTTCCGCGTGAATTATGCGTTAAAAAGATTCAAAAGGGAATCAAAATGGAGGTTTACAGTGAGGAGTAGTATCAAGAGTAGTATACGTTAACATTGTTCTGGCTGGGAGGGATACTGTCATAGATCGGGGTTATATGCCATTGATGACTCTGGAAAGAACTTCAATATGCTGAAATCTGTTGCCTACAACATAGTTAGTATGCTACGTTGATGTGACTAAGACTGAAAATATAAACTATGTTGATCAATAGACTATACTCAGTAGATGAACAAGTCCTACACGCTTGTTTAAAGCACTCAGATTCATAAATCTTCCCAAAAAGTTACATGAAGTCAATAAGGCGATCTTCGCAGGAAAAAACAGGGATATTCAGTGGGAAATTTGTAATCATCATCGCGTTTCGGTTAACTTCTGCGAAAGACAGACTTGATCACATTAAAGAACTTCATAGTCTCGTACCGGAAAATCAACCATTCTGAGGGCCCCGTCGTTCGTTGAGGCCATGAGTTCTCTAGATTACGGCCGAGCTGATTCAGATTTCCTCCCGGGTCATTCTTCATTTGTTGTACGACTCGAGTTCTCCAAACCTTGCACATATTTCTAAATATGCGAGAAGGTTTCCCATGTTGGCCACGACCATAAAATTGACCACACCAACGACCAGAGCTGTGACACTGAAAGCAGTATTTGTGCCGCTCATATCGATGTTCGGAGTTGCCCATACCGCCGCACAAAATGCCAATGGAAGATAGAATATGCTCACATACGTAAGAAGCTTCACATTCTAGCCGAGGCGATTTGAGTTCCGGGTCTCACTTAGAGCGCTGGGGTTGAATAGACCATCCCGGCGAGCTTTGACAGTTTCAACCGTGTCATCAATTTGGCGCTTGACACCTTCGAGGGTGCTGCATGACTCTTCGATCTGATCGACAAGAGCTTTCAATTCTGGAGCTTGATCATCGGGGAATGGCTCGATTCGAGCCTTGTAGTAGAGATTCCATTGAGCGACATTGTCCATGATACTGCTTCGGAATTCCTGCATACATGCAAGAACCCAGAAATATTTCTTGGAGGTAGATAGTTGGTCATCATCAAATATAAGATGATGTATTTTTCCAGATCCATAAAATCTTCTCGAAGAAGATCTGCGACTTGATCCATTAGAATTAACCATCGGGATGTGAGCATTAAATATGCCTCTTTGATCACTGCAACTTCGCCGACCTGAATCTGGCCAAAATCTAGAACAGATTTCCACTGCCGAGGGAAAGTATTGCGTTCTATGAACAAATTAAACCACCTGCGTGTTTCGGGTGGACATAGCACGAGTATCGTTCCCCACTGGGAGGATAAATTTGGGCGTGAGGCCTTTTCTCCACTGGCATATCCATCTTCCGTCGCCACAAGCGTGGTGATCGCACTGCGGCGAAACCATGGAGCGCCAGGACGTACATAAAAGGGACCATGCTTCCAAAACTCTTTCCTCGAAGAAGGGAACCTATGGACGATGATCTCGTAGAAAGTGATATGGAACGCCCGGGAGGCATCAAAATAAGGGTTGACTCGGTCGCCCTCTGTTCTTTTGGTGCAGTTCATATGAAGCTCGAGAAGGCACTTTTGATACCAAGGTGTTGAGGTCCAACGACGAGGTTGTCCCTTTCAACTCTGTAGGTGTTTCCGGGGGCACGTATCCGAGTACGTTTTTCTGAAAGACAGCTGTTCTGGGAGAGGTCGATCCGAACCTTGTATTATTAGGCACGCACCGCGCTTCCAATATCTGCTTATCACCGTCCTCGATCAAAGCAGTAAGTGAATCTCTCGGCAGGGTATCTGTAGACTCTACCCTGGGATCCGTCCTTGAATGATGGATTAGCAATGCGACCATACAAATCTGAGATCCAAATGCCCTACCTTGCAAGTCCGGTTATAGTTGCATCGGACTTAGGAGTCTGATATAATCTGGGGATGGGTCCTTTCTCATCTGCTACCGAAACGAATAATGGCATTGTTCTAACGGGCGCAGGTGCCCTCCAATCCTCCATGGACCGACGGATGATAGGGTTATGTTGAACCAGGTGTGGCTTATTTAGCATAGGCGAGGATTCCGTGGAGTGCCTTCGTGCGCTCCTTAGAGGCACTTCCATTGTCATTGACATGGCCAATGAGGGGGTTTTCAAGTCTCAGAGCTATGGGGCCTATGTGAATTTACATATAAGGTCAATGCAAGAACTCATTACTAAGGGTACTTTGGTCACCTCGTTTGGGGGCTATTTCGTCGCAACAAATCCAGTGTCGATGTGTGATTACTGTGCATGATCACGAGAAGCGCTAAGCTTGTGCTGATTTTGTTTACATTAGCGCCGGCCTCAGCCGCCTCTGTCAATCCAATCAGTGCAATTTGCTAGGCTTCCTGCAAGGCGCGTTTCAAGGAGATTTTAGGCTGGCAGACCCCGCCCTGTTCATTAATAACGGATTAGCGTGAATTAAGGAAAGAAACCGATATAAGTAGCGCTCTCGGTAAATGGGGTCTATGAACCACCTATTATATAAATTAGAATAGTATATAGTGATAGAAATACACATAGTAAAAAAGCTAATATTAATAGTCTAATCAAGACTAAATTTAGGAATGTACGTTATTTAATTAGCCGAGAACGGACGAATAATTTAGTGTACTAGTGCTACGATTATTATAAATAAATAGCGCTAAAAAAGGTAATAGCGGGAAGCTAAAATCAGTCGTGGTAGTATAGCGGTATAGAGAGTTTAATTTAAGTAGACTTAATAGCATAAGACCGGCGCTTAAACATAAGTCTAAGGAATAGCTATACCTAATTAGTGCGTATCTATATTACAGATAAAAGAGAAGCGTGTCTACTCGGACCTATAGGTATAACGGCTCGTAGAATCTCGATACCTATCGATAGCCTTACCTCCCCTCTTATAATTAGAGATCTATAACTAAGTTTCTAGTGAGTTTTTATTTTATTTAAAAAGGTAAAAACAAAAACATATAATAGCTATACTATAGCGATGTTCACCTATCTAAATATGCTTCACCGAGAGGGGTGAACCCCTACCCCAAAACGTGCCTAGCGAGGAGGTTCGGGCTATTCCTAACAATTATGGTTTCGCCCCATCATATCATCGGTCTGTCAGTGTCCACTTAAGGGTCTATGAATCCTTCGATTATAAAGACCAATGCGGCGTCTGGAAGACCTACGTGCGTTCGGCGTTCGGCTTTCTGAAATGAACATGGATGGGAGGTCCTTATCGTCACGTGATGTCATCCCGTATATGTGAGACACTATTCAAAATGGGGCACTATATGTATTATTAATGAAGATAGCCCAAGTGGATGCAGAGGGTTGTGCACTTGTCCCAACCGATACAGCGCCACCCTTGTCCACAGAAACCGACGGGCTGTGAGGACGGTTCTCTCCCGCGGTCATCAAGGAAACGATGGGACCAGCAGAGGGCGTATGAGACAGAAGCTCTGTCGGGCGATAATCAAACTTCCGCAAGATTGTCGTGGAATGCTTATACTATCTAAACTAACCTAATCGGGACAGTAATTTGTCATCATCTTTGATTAGTTAACTAGTTAACTAGCTAACTACAGTACTGTACCAAGAAATCACTCGAACCATGTACCATCTAGCCTCCAAGCTCAATGCATACTAGTATGTAATTTGTAGTGCGGACGCTAGCGCACTCTGAGGCTGAAAGTGACAATTAGATTCGTACATTAGTATCCAAGGTGACGGGACAGGCCAAGCTACAGATCGTAGCAGGCAATTTAGTGCTTACGATACTGCACGATTCATGCATCCAATAATTTGTCAACCCAGCCTACCAACTTTGAAGCTAATTTCCTACTGAGGGGTACAAATACTGCTGCAGTCCCAACCTCAACCCTTATTCCGACTGTCCAAGGAGAAGAGAAAGGTACAAATTCAATATGCGCGTGTCTTGGGCGAAACTGCTTGCTCTGAGCTGCCTTTACGAGGTCAGCCAGGGAAATCCCGTTCAATCGAAGGATGGATATCAGTTGCAGCCATTTCACATAGATCTGTCATCAAGGGTGCCTCGGATGCTGGACCAGATCAAGAGAACAGAGCTACCAGCACACCCTGTATACGTCAGTACGGGAACTTCAGCGGGCATCAGTTTGAGTCTCTTGGAAAGCTTCCGAACTGAATGGTTAACCAGCTTTAACTGGACTCGTGAGCAAAAGGACATGAACAAGTGTGTCTTTACATCCGACCCATGGTGCTTGTCCCAGGGAAGAGCATATTACTAAGACTTTCAACAGATTCAACCACTACACAGCCGTAATTGAAGGGCTGAAAATTCACTTTATCCATGAAAAGTCGAAGGCTCAAGATGCCATCCCCCTGCTTCTCGTCCATGGCTGGCCTGGTTCTTTCCTAGAGTTTGTGCCCATCATCAACGAACTTACCGAGGAGGCAATCACAGCGACCGGAAAGAAGGTCTCATTTAATGTGGTTGTGGCCTCTCTGCCCGGCTTTGCGTTCTCTTCTGTGCCGCCAGTGGATTGGACCGTGGCAGATACAGCCCGTGTTTTCAACACCCTGATGACGAAGGTCCTTCACTATGACACATATGCTACCTTTGGAACCGACTGGGGTGCAGGTATTGCGTACAGCATGTATGATCAGTTCAACAGTACTGTCCGCGCACTTTCTCTGGACTTCCTACCATTCTACCCTTATACTTCGGATCAGCTCGCTGCTGAGAACATCACTCTAGCGCCCTTGGAGGAATTCGAGCAGGCCGTTGCAGAGGAGTGGACCAATTCAGGCGAGGGTTATTTTATCGAACAGACTACCAAGGTAGGTACAATGGACCTCTGAAACGGTCACTACCGTTGTTTATTTTACAATGCACCGGTCATTAACATTCTGCCTAAAAATGACTAGGCCAACACAATCGGCCTCGCACTCTACGACAACCCAGTCGGCCAGCTTGCCTGGATAGGAGAGAAATTCGTCAACTGTGAGTTGATTCATTTATCCCTAGAACTATCCCTGTCGATCCAAAATGTAATGCGGTTGAATCGACTGACAATGATTTGTAGGGTCCGATCCAAACGCTGGAAAATCACCTTCAGTGCTCACCCACAATGAGATTCTTCGTGGTGTCTCTCTCTACTACCTCACTGAGAGCTTCGCCTCGTCTGTTATAATTTACCAACAGAACCCCAATGGTTTCGCAACTGTGTACACCAAAGCGAACAACGACGCCCCTTTACTCTTCAGTGCGTTCAAATATAACGTTGGGTTTTGGCCTCCCGCGGTGGTCGCAAAGACTGGAAACCTGGTCTTCTATAGCAGTGAGTAATCTCGCCTACTTGAGACTTTGAAAACGAACTGGCTGACTGAGATTTATGTGACAGACCACGAATCTGGTGGCCATTTCCCCGGTCTTGATAACCCTCCTGCGATGCTGGAGGATTTACGCGAGATTGCGACTTATTGGTCTGGATAAGTTGGATACAAAGCCACCAATAATAACGGCGCTGGTGGGGAAAATGAGGCGCACCATCTTGATATATGAAGGATACCTGCTTCTATAGTTTAATTCTCTGCGCCTTTAAAGGAAAGACGAGCGAAATACCGGGAGAAATTTTCTGTTGGGACAGGTGCATAGTAATTTGGGTTTGAGCAGCCCCGAACATAAGATGTATCAGAACACGTTCTACAATAACCAAAGCTAGTCGCAAGATTCATTGGCACCATACTGTAGATCCTAGCACTGACTGTGAAACCACAGTTCCTTCACACAACCAGTCTCGGTCTAGACTATCCGATAATAATAAATACCATGGTAGTTAGTCCAAGACCTTCATAATCACATATCCAAGGAAACTTGCTGCCAGTAGCTCTTTGAAACCTTCTCCGGATCCTCGCTATTTGCAACGTTGATCCAGATGGGTGGAAAGTATTTCATCCTATATGATGCATCCCGAATAGTGTGGTCCAAGACAAGCACAGCATTCCGTTGCAGCAACCAGTCGATATGGGCCCCAGACATTGCAATAACATGAACCCCCAGAGGGTCACCTTTCCTTCAACTTTTCTCTCTTAACCCGCTGCTTCTTTGAATTCCGATCCGTCTGGCCCATCCACTTGCGTAACATTTGCAGTGAGCGTACCCACGTAGGCCGAATACCCTTAAATCGGGTTGAACATGCCACGTCCATGACCTGCGCGAAGGCAATTTTCTCGTCGGCTGACACCAAGCCTGCGTTTTCCACTTGATTTCGGAGGAATGTCCACAGGAGCGTTCGGTCCCATCCACAGTCCTCTAGTAACGCGAAGAGACCGGCGGCGCAAAAGAACTGCCACTCACGAATGGCGACTACCAGAGGAACAATAAGTTGACTCGTTTCGCGAGGCCAAAACTTGAGCTTCCTCGGTGGACGCTTGTTAGTCCTTGCAGCATAGGCAGCTCGAACATATTCTATTAGCTCGGGATGAAGTCTCTCGAAATGGTGAAGATAAACCTCAGCAGGTTGCGTCTCGAAAGAAAGTAAAGACCAGTTGGAGGAGAAGTATTTAAGTGTATATGGGAGAGCCAGAAGATGGAGAATAGGATTGACGATAAAGTATGCGGGTAGGCCGATGACATTGCCATAAATTGACTCTATGAGAAAGCTTATGGTACTTAGAAATGTGTCGATGGCATCTCGCACCGAAGCCATGATTGGAAAATGCGGGAGTGTGCACTTCATCAAAAGGGTTGCGACCGGACAGCGAAACCAACGGAATCTATGTGACTTTTATTGATCAAAAGACAAGCAACAATACTAAAAAGGCATTGCTTCTCATCTGCACGGAGGAAGTGGAAATACGAGAAGGCGCAAGACACTTGTCTATTCTGACTTAGCAAAGATTAAAAGTCCAGCCAAATACGAGCGGCACGACCACAAGAAGAGAAGTAGGACCGAGCGTATAATATTCCGCAGGTTTGCTCAACCGTCCATTCCATCCGGTTCACTTGCTGCAACTGCAACGCTTTTTCTATCATGCCAATATCCACTCGGCTGAGAAACATCTTCTCCAAACTGAGGAGAAATAAAAGCAAGCAAAAGACCAAAACCCAATCTTCACTGACCAACAACGCCTCAGCAAACCTCGAAAGTTACGCAGATAAAGAAAACGCTATTCGAAGCTTCTCGTCAAGGCGATATAGTCTCTGTGACAGAGATTCTCCAAAATTCGGGAGCAACTCCAGACGGAGAATCATCCTTGCGCGCAGCAGCCTCCAACGGTCATGCAGATATCGTCGTCCTCCTCCTGCAGCATCGGGTAGATCCCGACAAACTCGACAGCGGTGGGCAAGCCGCTCTGCACAAGGCAGTTATCCACGGCCATGGCAAGGTTGTTCGTCTACTGGTCGAGAATGGCGCAGACCCGTTTATAGGTACTGCGCCCATTTTGCGTTTTGCGGAACTATTTTGGAATGAGCGGCCGTTGGAGTTGCTGCGAGAATTGGTCCGCAAACACCACCCCAAAAGATTTGAGCAGGAACATCCCACATCAGTAAAGCGGCCTACAGAGCCAGCAGTGAGGCCAAAAGACAAGAAGGCTCCAGTTTAACCATCCGAAAATTTTACCAGAATCTCCACCGCATCTCCAAGTGAAGATCGTTGGCCAGATCGGATTTTTATCTCAAGAGGGGAAAGGTTTAGCCTCGCGCCATCTGATCCAGCGTATTGGAATTGACTCTTTATAGCGAATACTATCAGGTGGATTTCAGTCTCGCAGCATAGTAAATTGGCCCAGTGATTTGCTGTTTGTGTCTTGTTATCTGATGCGGCAAGCATTTCTGAGATATGAGTTCCAGCACGGGTTTGGGCCCATCCCATTAGCCTTGTTTGGCGTAAGGACGGATTCTAGGATTGTGTGACAAATATTCAACAGTTTATAGAGGCTGGGCCCTTTTTGATCGAGCCAACTCTCCTGATATTACTCCCGACCTTTCAAGTAGATTAACGTGTTTTTCAAACGTACCAAATAGCGATACCTACAATTCTAGAGTTTACCCAGCATAAAGGCGCCCGACTACAGTAGCCCTTCGAGTCCACGTTCTCCTGCCTAGTCTCAAGTAACAGCTTGACAGCTACCTTATAGCCATAATAGCCAGCCCAGTATAATCGTGTGCAGCGGTTCGAGTCCTTTAAGTCTACATCCACCCACCCCGTCTCAAGCAGCAGCCTTACCACAGATTCATACCCACTCTCTGCGGCCAAACACCTTTAGCAGATATTTACCTCCCCACGCAAGGACTGGATCTTGAAAGATTGTAAAGCAAGAACTCTGATAGAACGCGGGTTCTAAATCGAAGACATTGCTTATGGTGCTGCTGGAAACCGATAATTCTGATCGTAAGGTGAAGAGCTGTAGGCGATGCAGAAATGGTATCGTAGGACTACTGCAGTACCGTTGTTTTTACACTACACCATTCCTGTAGCAAGAGCCATTGTCAGAAACGAAATCCTGGAGGAGCATATAGCAGACGGAAAGGTAACTATGAGCCGAAGACAGTGACAAAGGTAATCGTCCCAGCGAATGACAAGAAACTACAAAAATGGATAAAAACAAAAACATACAACAGCCAGGATTCGCATGTGGTCACCCACCATACTACTAACTGGCCGGCGTGTGGCTTAAGTACGGCTGAGCGGACGGGAAGCCCTGTTCTCCACACCCTATGGTCGTATGTATGAGCCAATCCTGTAATTGAATCTATATTGTTTCACAAACTTCAATGTGTCCAAACATGACTCCCTTCCCGGAATCGCTCAAGGTATGGCGTTCCCTCTGGCCTGAACATGAATCAGGGAATCGGAAAAACGAGTGGCATAGCTTGTCACTTTTAACCCAGAATGACTAACCTGATTATTAATTGAAATTGTGGTCCAATTCCTTGAATACATGCTTGAAAGAATTGTGTACTTCTCATCGATTGATCAGATAATAGCAAGAATCTTGTTAAACTCGTCAAACACCTCAGCATCAAATATCTCCGTAATATTTCCTCCATCAGGGTCCCAGAAATTGAGGCAGCTGCAAACGAGATTGGCCATAGCAAATCCGGCTTTCCGAGGAACGCAAGTCTTTGCAATAGCGATTAGAGTGCTCCGAACCTTTTCCGCATCCTGGATGTAAAGCTGAGCTACGGGTGTGTCGTCATCTTCGTCATCTCCCGTCGCGACAATTGCCTCGTGATATCCTAAGTTGATTTCCAATCAACTTGGAAATTCGTATAGATGGCACTGGAATTATTTCCGATGCTGCGGCTTCATTCTTGACTCGCTACAGCCTCATATCGCAACAGTATTAACGAGCCTTAATAATGTATCGGAGGACCAGGCTTAAATTCTACCTGTAATATAAGAACCACGACCTGCCTAGAACTTACCTTTTGCCCTTTGATCTTGCTTACGTATTTCAGGGGTTGTTGCTTATTTCTTTATCTTTTGCATGTAGTAATGATAGGCCGCAACTCGGCATCTGCGCCTTCTTGCCTGTACTTCATGAAGCTGAGCGAGCAATCTGATTTTTCATCGAAGTAGTCTTACCACTTGAGTGGTCAACCTAATCGGATTTTCGAGCATTAATCACGTTAATATCCGTCGTGGTATCAATACCTAAAGGCGGAGTGAATATATACATCTACGATGACTTCAGACGCTCGAATATCTCAGGGAACGCAGAAACGCCAATTACTCGGCGGGGGAGCACATTGAGAGCTTCATATTCTTATTATTGCCGATCAATCCACCCCTGGTGCTAATGCCAACATTTCTTGCTCTCTCCAGCCGGCTGCTTATACACAAACAATGTGTTTCAAGCTCGTCGTACTGTATTACCAGATGACTGTAAACAACGACGAATCGAGTATAGCGTCGCGGTCAAACTGAATTCGAAGACTACTGTATGATAGGAAACTGTATGCATCTGGTACCACAGTGGTATTGCGCAGAAAAAGGAGGATTGCGCCTAGATGCAAGACGTACAGTACAAGCGAAATCAATCGCAGCGTCTATGTCATCTTGGGGACAATCTCAAAATAGTTACTAAGGCTGATGAAATGGCCACAATGATCATGCAGTCGAAGGCTTGCTAGAAATCAACTTGACCCTCCTTCTTTTTCTTGGCCCCCATCTCAACGATCTCTTTTTCATCAAGATTGCAAATGATATCCAGGACATCAAGATGCCCATCGTTCTTACTAGTGCCGCGATAGAAGGACACAGCTGAGCAATATTCTTCTGGTGAAGAAACTCTGTACGACAGGGCATCCTCCTTGATGACCTCAAGTACTGTCATATTATCGGAGCCAACGATGTCATTTTCCACATCTGCACCCATATGGTATCGCGCCCACACAGCATCACCGTACCTCCCATCACGTAAAGCATTGACATACAAGTGAGCCCAAGGGTCATTTGCCGATTCAAAACGGCCTTGTTGAATATCACGGATTGAATAATCCAGGAATAGCTTCTCCGTCAGCCGATCTTCTGGAACTTTTGAACCCATAACTTAATCATGTCAGCTTGTCTTCAGGGACGAGAAGGCGTGTATAGATTGCTGTTACCTCTTCAGACTTGACACAGATTATGCGACAGGATATGAAATTAGTATCTGAATAGTGGGAGTGAAAGAAGGGAAAGTTGTGGAAGAGCCTCCTATGAGGGTGGGCTAACGCCATCTGACCGCTTGCACTTCAATCTGTCTCGTATCTGTGGCCCCCGATCCTGCCTACAGGGCGAGGCGCGCCGTGGGGCAACGAAAGATACCAGGACTAGAGGATTGGAGGGCAAAAATGCTCCTCTGAATAATTCTAAGCAGCCAACCCGGCGGCGGCGATAGAAGCACCCAGTTGTGCATCGACGATACGCCGTTCTGGTTCCTTCCGGGATAAGACCCAAACCCCGCTTCTTGAAGGCTTGAACACGGTCTCTCAAACTGTACGACGTAGTTTTGGGTCCCGGCGGCATTTTCTTCATGGTAGCTACTAGCAAAGGTAACGGTGGAGCCTGGAAGTGGAAGGCCACATCCTCCTTACGCGCCTCTGTCGCAAAATAGAGACATAGCGTAGGGCCTACTACGTTCGCCCTTGGGTAGGTATTATATAGCTTCCTGACAGTCCCTTTTGGTGGTCTCTAGTATATCCTCTTCTCTCTCTAGGTTGCCTATCTTCTGCGTGCCTCGACCTGGCTGTTTCGATCAGACTGCCATAGCGTATCCCCTTATTTACTAGGTGAGTTTAAGGTGAGCGCCGCTTTAGCGTCGCGCGAAGATTAAAGATATATCATCTATCCAACCCCCTCAAGGTCCGGACGATAGCAGCTTACACTGGGAACACAATGTTATCGACAATAAAGTTCTATTTATTTCCAGAAGAGCATTCTCAGTAGGCTCCTGGTTGTGCAGCCCATATGATCATTTTTACCATTTGGCAATGGTATGCCCATCAGCTGCGACGTCGCAATCTGCGCAGTGCGAATTCCATAGCTCATGTCCACACAACTATACCAGGGAATTTCCACAAACTGTCCCACTAAGGCAAGATGCGAAGTATTTGGAGGTATCACCTCAGGGCGGTCCGTCATAGAGCGGACCAGTAACGGAGAGCTCATTCGAGGCATGAGACGAGGAACGGAGATAGTATCATGAACCATGGAGTGGTAATCAAGATGCCCAAGTACTTCTGTGATAACTTGGGCACCGGAACAGGCTTCCATCGGTTTCTGTACATAGTTTCCACTGGCTTTGGGGAATAGGGCAAACCCCCAGATGACGCGAATGTTTTCAGGCTGTTGGCTGAAGACTGGCTGCATAGGTATGCATAAGCGGAGTTCCCAGTTGCTTTTAGGCAACAAAATATAGGTTCCGGCTTCTGAGTGAGTCGCTACCGAAGCTAGAAACTCCCAAAGACATGTGTCTGCGGTGGTAACTGTGAAAGAAGCTAAGGTCGAATCGTCCACGCGGGTACAAAAGTTATAGGGGTTACCGAATGCGTCGCCATGAGTAATGAGCTCTAGCCATATTGTCCAATTCTCATCATACTCTTCATCCGGCTCGATTGATCGAGTAGGAGGAGGGTAATCATCCGTCCCGGCCGATGAGCCCGAGGTAGTGGATCCCAGCGTTAGGATGACTATGTCGTGTGCACCCATTTCCATTGTGATATGAGATTTCTTTTCAAGAACATTCAATCTCGAAATTTTTTGCCGGCCGCCTTGCCCGGTGGTGGTATCAATATCTCTGACTTTGGTATCAAAGTGGAAGTCAACGCCGAGGTTTCGAAGGTAGAGGTATATAGGTAAATAAACCGACTCATTCTGATAGTATCCAGTGATATCTAGGCAAGTGAGGATGCTCAGATGATGAAAATCTCGTAGGTATTGTCGTAGAGCTCGTCTAAACTCGATGACACTGTGCCTGGGTTGGAAACCAAATCTAACAGCGTAGCGTGAGTTCAGCTCAATCAAGTCGGCAATTTACTTACTGAGCGGTCCATATAGTCCAAAAAACACTTCGGAAAAAGCTGTTGGGCATGAAGTCCTGTATATGGGTTCTTTCCAGGCCTTTCTCGCTTTTTAGCATCAACAGAGCCAATTTTATACGGCACTTGACACTCAAACCCAGGCCTTTCAGAGATATCAACTCTCTGCTGTTGGAATTTTGAACGAGAAACTTGGTTGGACAATGGTGGCCTGCAGGCATGTGATTGGATGATTTTTTTCTGATATCGTCCAGCACGGTGTACCCATGAGACTGTTCTGAGGGAATAGATGCAAGAAGCTTCAGTAAAGGTGCTCCTACTGGAACTGGCAAACATCCTGCGAATTGATCATATCCATGGACGGCGTCACCGATATGGTATAAAGCTGCTTCCAAGGAAACGTGCGAATCCAATATATGCACGTTGTGTGGTAGTAAATTGGCACGCTGTATCAAGTACACCGCGGATGCTAGAGATGTAGTTCCGCTTCCGAGGATCCAGGCCTCGACTGTAGGCTGAGACTCGTTATTCTGCGCGTATGTTTCATCCATTGTCCAGAGGTAACAAACGGAGGCGGCGGGAATTTGAAATGCTAAAGGCGTACTGATACTGTTGCTATTTCTTGTTCAATGGAGCGGGAATATCACTTTGGAAGGTAATATATGAACTCAAAGCTATTTCTTTAAGTGATTAAGAAATATAGAGGGGGCTCCTGCTGGGACAAATCCAGTATACAGCCAGTCTGCTATTATCATCACAGAGTGATGATTCGTCTCGGGTGCTATCGATCATTGGTGGCTAATACCAGAGGCCAACGAAAATTGCATGTGGCGTCGAGTGGTAACGTCAGCAGCCGCCACCCAACCGGGAGTTGTGATCCCAGTAAATATGGAGAACATTTGTCGCCTCGACATTTACATGGGATGTCCAGTTTATGGTATCGTGGAGGGTTAAATCATAGAAAGTCGGTCTCCGGTCTCTGTGGCTTGTTCTAGCTTTCCCGCATTTGGTCATCGTGATGTACCAGAACGCTCCATAAGTTGTTCGAAGACGCAATGGGTAGTGATTTTCGGTCGATCTAGACTTGCTTATCATCTGACACTTCATTAGGCCAGAATCATACAGATCTGAAGTAGTAGCCTACTGCAAATAACCGCGAGTTTTGATGTTCTCCTGGTAGAGCTCTCGAATTGCACAGTTCGAATTGAATCTCATAACACAGCTATCATCATGGATCTTCTGAAAGTGTTCGCACTGCTCCCTATAGTGACCATATGGCTCGGGGCGTACGGCCTCCTGGGTACTAATAGTTTTCCTAATGAAAGGTATATCCTGGGGGAGTCTACAAGTCCCGCAAGTAAATCACAGATCCTGACATCTCCATTGCTTTACAGGCGAGCACTCCCTAACGCACCTGATGCATACACGCCCAAAGGCGAAATCTGTCCCACAACTAGACCGTCTGTCCGCAATGGGTCGTCGATATCGACGAACGAAACAGCGTGGCTGGAACGACGACGAAACGTGACCGTGGATGCGATGATTGAATTCCTAGGACGACTGGACTTGGGCTCCTTAAACGCATCTTTATATATCGAGGAGAACGCTGCCAATGCATCTGCACTCCCCAATATCGGTATAGCCGCGTCCGGTGGCGGTTACCGAGCGCTGATGAACGGCGCAGGTGGCCTGCAGGCCTTTGATTCTCGAACTGTCAACTCCAGTCTCCCAGGCCACCTAGGAGGTATCCTACAGTCAGCAACATACCTCTCAGGGCTCAGTGGGGGTAGTTGGCTAGTAGGGTCCATCTATATTAACAATTTCACGGACGTCACGTCCCTGCGAGATAGCGGGACGGTTTGGCTATTCCAAGATTCCATCTTTGTCGGCCCAAAAGACAGTACGACCTTTGCGGTCAGGACGTCTGACTACTACTCGCAGATGCAGGATGCAGTGGCTGGAAAGACTGATGCTGGGTACAACACTTCCATCACGGATTACTGGTAAGAACGGACTCGCTATTGTGTTTTTTATCATACATGAACGCTGGGACTGATCTAACAAACAAGGGGCCGGGCGCTCGCCTACCAACTCCTCAATGCCACCCAAGGTGGTGTCGACTACACGTGGTCCTCTATTGCTCTAAGCCCGAACTTCCAAAGCGGAGGTATGCCCATGCCCATCGTCGTAGCGGACGGAAGGGCTCCCGGGCAGATTATCATCCCTGCTAATACGACCGTGTTCGAATTCAACCCATGGGAGCTCGGGACCTTTAATCCGCCCCTACAGGCAATGGTGCCCTTGGAGTTTCTCGGGTCAAACTTTTCCACCGGGACGCTTCCCACAGGTCAACAGTGCGTCCGTGGTTTCGACAACGCCGGGTTCGTTATGGGAACTTCGTCATCGCTCTTCAACCAAGCATTCCTGCAGGTAAACAACACGCAAGCACCTCAGATAGTGAAAAATTCGGTCAGTCAGATATTGAGCTCGCTCGGAGCGGCCAACCTAGATATCGCTGTGTATGAGCCAAACCCGTTCTATCTATACAACAACCAGTCCGAGTACGCCAATTCTTCCGTCTTGACCCTAGTAGACGGCGGAGAGGATCTTCAAAATATACCTCTGGAGCCTCTATTACAGCCACAGCGGAAAGTGGATATCATCCTAGCACTAGACTCCTCTGCCGATACGAGTACGCGGTGGCCTAACGGCACCGCCATGGTTGCCACATACCAGCGGAGCCTGAGCTCACTGGGCCAACAAAGTGGTCTCGCCTTCCCACCCGTGCCGGACCAGAACACTTTCATCAATCTGGGACTAAATAACCGCCCGACATTCTTCGGCTGCAACAGCTCCAATGCCAGCGGCTCGGTGCCGCTAGTCGTCTACATCCCAAACGCGCCGTACAGCTACCAGTCTAACGTGTCCACCTTCGACCTGCAATATAACACTACCGAGCGCGATGCCATCATCGAGAACGGTTACGACGTCGCCACACTAGGCAACGCAACGGCAGACTCCAAATGGCCGACCTGCCTGGGCTGTGCGATCTTGAGTCGGAGTCTGGAGCGCACCAACACCGCCGTCCCAGAAAGCTGCAGGGCATGTTTTCAGCAATATTGCTGGAACGGCACGACGAACAGCACCGACCCTGGCCCTTACTATCCCACCTATAAACTATCTCAGTTGCATGGCAGCACTAGTGGAGCGCGACGATCTATACTGTTTACTAGTCGACTTGAGTTGGAAGTAGTGGAAGCGGCCGTCTGCTATGCGCTAATTTGTTCCCTTTTGTGGTGAAAGTAGTATATTCAACATTAAGGTTGGTCTACAAGTTGGAAAAGGGCGGGCGGAGATTGCTAGTTTGGTTCATTTGTACTGGTAGTATGAAAAATGAAAAATAAAAAACATACAACAGCCAGGATTCGCATGTGGTCACCCACCATACTACTAACTGGCCGGCGTGTGGCTTAAGTACGGCTGAGCGGACGGGAAGCCCTGTTCTCCACACCCTATGGTCGTATGTATCAGGATAGATCCTATATTAAACTATAACCAAATATAACGTAAAGCTTGCTGCACTACTGAGATCAATCATGAGACTCGATCGCTGGCCTTGAAACACTAAACTCTTCCTTCATGCACCCACGTCAAAGAGTTTTTTTTGACTTATTGGTTAGTTACGCCTTACTGGGAAACCCTCGAAAAGGATACTGCCTCAACCATAGCTTCCTTGAAGATTCTCTTGAGTCCAGAAGAGAGCTTCAAATATTAAGTCATCCAATTTTGGTCAAGATGAGGGCATGCTATATCTATCAATGTATTTGATGGTGTCATCGACACCTGCGGAGAGGAAGCAGAAAAGGAGGGGAATCTGAATCAATGTCTCTATCTAGACTATGATGAAGATGGATCTAGAGAAGAAGAAGGAAAGGAAGAAGAGAAAGACCTAAATAGGTCTACAAGACAAAGAACAGCGTCGGTCCTGGAAAGAGCCATCAAACCTGCAGAGCAATCTATGCAGGTGTAAACGGGAGGACGCATGACCAAACGACCGAGTAGTCGAGGTCAATAGGGTCGAGTCATCAGTATTATATGAAGTAGAGTTGGAAGCCTGTCGTCATTATATGAAAGGACTAATATACTCTTAATTTATGCCTTCACTAATCCTAGCCCCTCTGTAAAGCCTACTATACTTAAAGAACTCGCGGCTACATAAAAAGATTAAATATAGCTATTCTAGATTAGTAACGCTCAATCTACCTTGTTTAGTGGCGTAGGCTACCTTATCTCGGCAATTCATATTTGGCGACGGCTGGCTAGAGCAGCAGAAGCCAATTCTTTTGCCATTTTAACCCCCAGTCCCAAATTCTTCTCTTCAAGATTCCTCTTTCCTTCCTAAAACCAAAATATTACCATGCAAGACTTCAATTATCCCTGAAAATGTCTAAACTCTCTTTTGAAGAAGACCAAGAATCGAAGGCTGTGCTCTACTACCAAGACCTGCCTCCACAATACAACTCATGCCAGCCAAGCCAAGATCTTCTCACCTCCGTCATTGAGAACGAGAATAATCGCCGGCATTAGTTGAACGGATGGATAGTCTATCGACAAAAGTTCTCAAAATGGCAGAGAGCATGCCTGACCCCTTTGACTACCCTCTCATGCAGGAGTTGTTTGTAGAGATGGGTCGATTCTATACAGAGGGGATGCAGGTATCTTCTGAGCTAGCGAATGTTTACCAGGAACGTATCGCTCAAAACACCGACCTTTACATCACCATGTCAAAACTCACTAATTGCGAGTTCTGTCCAACCTACGCTTCTTTACGGCGAGACCCAAATCCGCAGGAACGACATAAACTAGCTCAAGACCATAAGGACCGTGACAACAGCTATGATGGAGATCGTGGGAAAGCTTCTGACTGCTCTGTGGAGACCAAGAAAAAAGAAAGAGCTGGAGACTGTATGTACGACTCTCCATGCTCTTGTGAGCGGTTTTCCGAGCGCTCGGCACATACGGATGAGACTGATGAGAAACTTGACCAAAGTCTCGCATCCCATAATACAGCAACTATTTCGGTGACTGACGAGGCTACCGCAAAACTACCCAAGAGCCTTCGTAAGAGAATCGTGAAGTATTTCTCTCGCATTTCCTATATGCCCTATACAAAAGCGATTTACCACAGGAAATCAATTAAAATAGATTTAAATAAACCAACTAATAAGATTACTTAAGCTGAAATTTAAATATAATCTCCAGTTAACCTTATAGCTAATCTTAGACTAATCTCAAGGCCAATCTTAAGACCTAGGATATTAGCTATAGATAACGCTTTAGTAACTAGCTGTGTGATTTATGATATAAGCTATATCCTTAGACGTATGTACCTACCTAGGTAAGAGGATTTGGGATATTCGGGTAGAGCGTATAGGACGGTGGAAGAAGCGGTAAAGGCACTTGGTAGGATTTAGGAGTTTTGGGGAAGTCCCCTTTATCGTTCGCCGTAAGTATGGGGACTATAAATATTTTATCCTGACCTAATGTACAGAGACCCGGAATAGGGAAAAGCTCCACTTTATTATCTCCTTTCAACCCGCGTTATTTGCCCCAGAGCTAATAGTCATTTCTGCTGAACTACTCAGGGTTTCACTATTTCCCCCGGATTGTCCCTCTTTAACCATCGCCCCATCTCGGGCGTCTTTTGAGTCATCAGAATTTCTTAGTTGACTCATACATTCCTGTGCGAATTTTGCCAATTCAGTCATTTCAAGTTCCTTTGCTTCTTGTCGTGCTTGTTGACGTTTTGTGTGTGCGGCGGCTATCTCATCTATTCGACATTAGCATGCTAATTACACAGACGAGCCCGTGGATAGTAACGGAATACCTCGTGTTTTGCTCCGCCTAGCGAGAGCTAAAACAGGATTTGGAATTCGGAAATCGGCAGTGAAATCATGAACAAATCGTTTTGTTCCAATTAGAATGTCAAATGGTGGATCCCTCACAACTAAGAATTTGGATTTCCTCATTTTGAGCTCATTGCCCTGGTACCATGATAGCTGAATCTCAAATTCAGGTACACAGGTACTATCCAGCCCATCTAGTGCAATTTCGTGTTCCTCTGGTATAATGTTCAAGAGGCTCTCATGGACCTCGTTTGATTTGAGAAACTCCAAAGATACCAGGTTCTCTTCACAGCCAGTGTCCAGCTTTGCTCGAGCTGGAACATATTTGAACTGCCATAGGGTCTGTTCCGCTGATATTGGAATGACGAGTTTGATATCGCGCGTGAAATTTGTTTTGATGAGCTCAGAGAGTTCGTGCATAGCCGCCTTATATTTGGGCCTAGAGGTTGTATGGTTTTTGACATTCGAAGGATCATGGCGTGATTCGTCGGTAAATATTCCATGTTGATCTGGGTGTGCCGGGTGGCTATCCTCACAATGTTTCCCGGGCTCTTTGGGATCTTCAGAATATTCAGACATGATCTGCGCTATACCTGCACTAAGGACGAAAGTCAGACTTTCATTTTGAGTTCACCATAGATACCCCAGCTTGGAGCACTACCTACCTCATATCCCTGAGCTGCTGATTCAATCTCACCCTACAGCGAACTAAGCATGACGCGCAACCTATTCCCATAGACGAAATTTACATACTCTGAGCTCAGATCCCGCAGCAACAATACTGAATCTCGGAAAGCATGAAAAGCCGATATTCGCTCTTCTTGCAGGGGAATTATCCGTGTAATATGCAGAAATCCAAAGATTGAATTTCGTGCCCGGGAGCGGCAGTGTTCAATCCGGTCCATCAAGTTGAAAAGATTCTTATGCCTGCTCACGCACGCCTTCATAGCTCCCTCTGCAGCAAGAGGTATCTGTACCCCAGATACGAATAAGCTCTTACATTCCACAAGCACATCGAGAAGGACCGAAATATCCTCGAGTTGACTTTGAAGTTCAGGCGCTGTACCTCGGATTATGGCCGAAAAGGTGGCTGTCGTGGACAAAATCGAGAGAAAACCAGAGGTTATTGAAACAGGGTCTGCCATCTCCGGAGCCGTTGCAAGGAAAGACAATTGTAACTCAAAAATTTGGCAGCTGCCTATGTGCAGAACAGACATTTAAATTCAGAATTGGTTGATCACCCGGGTTTTCTTTGTCCATAATAGGGGTAGTTCAGGCGATACGCCGGGCGGTTCCTCTGTCTTCTGATTTGCTATGGTGTTTCAGCTCCTGCAAGCCCCGCGCATCACAAGGTGGCTGAAGCAATATGAAAATCACGTGTTTGAAGGGGCTGTGACAGCGAGCGTCAAAGATAACTATTACAGACGGCAGTTATGGAGTTATTCTTCTCCGCTGTGCAGCTAAACAAGATGGCTACGAAACAAGAACTCGACGTCATAGACGGCATAATGGCAAGCAAGCCCCAGGGTTATCACCGACTTGCAAATGTGATGAGCAAAGATGCCAGCTTTGCAATTTTCCGCAACTTTAATGAGGTCAACATCCTCAATCTGTTAAGTCTCCAGGCTGAACTTAACGATCTGCGACACAAATTCGGCTTCCTCTATCGTTCAGATGACGTCTCGAATGATGCCACAAGGAGGGAGTTTTCAAAGCGCTTCGTACTGTTACATCGGTGCGAAGAAGGCGAAAGTCGCCAATATAAAATGCTTCTAGAGCTGCGCGCAAAAATGAAAGAATATAGTATGTCCAGGTCCTTAGGTCTATCTGTTTTGGGGTTCTTATATTATAAGAACTGACACTGTCTATAGATGCTCTTGTGCTACAAGGTATGCTTAGAAAACCTCACAGTTGCTTTGGGTCATTTATCAACCAGGGATATAGCGAATGCGATGAACAGAATAGCAAGACCGCGAGAATCACATCTTTCTCTTCTTCGAGATTGGCTCCAAGATCCGAAAGGGGGCAATAACTTCCAAAAAGGCACCGAGGACCAACTTTGGGATGAGTTAGATCCTTCGTCTTATTTATCACTATATTCACCTACAGGCGAAATGGATATTTTCTCTCGCTGGATTACTCGTATTGTTGTTGGTGTGTTTCATCGCACATGGGGCGAGAAACGCGGACTTGGAAAGATCGTCGACGAAGAGAGCGGCTTGGTTTCCTACGAAGACTCGAAAGTCAACATGGCGAGCACTGTTTTTGCGACCATAATCTCCTCTGTCGTACCAGTTGTCGCGATCCTGGTTCTTTATGTGGTCAAGAATACGATCAATAGGATTTGTATCACCCTTGCCTTTACAGCTGCATTTGCCTGTGTTCTTGCAACCTGCAGCTCTGCTCGAAGAGTAGAAATTTTTGCTGCTACAGCAACGTATGTTTTGCCCTTTTATTCAACGCGCAGACTTCAATGTATCTGACAAGAAACTGACATCTTTGTGGCTTAGGTTTGCTGCCGTTGAGGTCGTATTCATTGGAAGTGCAATAACTAATTAATTTAATTCCGTATAGTGATTAAGGTCTGTAATACTCCAGTTTTGGTATGTAGTTAGATACGTGATTAGAAGCCCAGCGCAGTCACCATTCTAAAGCATTTCTCACTCTGATTGTCTATCGGATAGCAAAGGGCGGAGATTGATAGTCTATTTCATTCATAGTAGCAATAATTATGAAAAATAAAAACATACAACAGCCAGGATTCGCATGTGGTCACCCACCATATTACTAACTGGCCGGCGTGTGGCTTAAGTACGGCTGAGCGGACGGGAAGCCCTGTTCTCCACACCCTATGGTCGTATGTATCAGAATCATCTTTATATTGAATTATAACTAAAAAATCCAAATACACTACTAGGAACTGGTAAGCCGGCAAGCTTTCAGGGAAGGTTTACCAACCCTTCGCCGCCAACACGTGTACGAACCCCTGCAGGGAAGACCCATGTTTACCCCGCTTTCCCTTTCGTACCAAGGATATACCTCCTTCCTGTTTGAGTGACTGTATATAAATTGAGCCATGAGGAGGAGGTTTTATACTCCTCGAGAAACAGCCTTTGACTTCTTTGAACAATCTAATTTAGTTCCTTTCTCCTACCTAATTAACAGGCCACTATCCTGACTTGTAGAGTGTAAGAATATATGTAGGAGCTTGGCGCATCAAATTATTCAGAGTGTCCGGGGAGCGTGAATTGTGAAGGACTATAGCCAAATACTGACTAGGACACTCGCTGTGTACAAAAAGCTTGGAGAGAAAAGGCGTGAAACAAGCAGAACAGCAATAGAATATTGTGAGCGCCATGGTGCTTTCCCGTAGCATTTAAGCTAAAACAAAATAAGGACAATTTTCCCGCCAATAAGCGTTCCTCTTTACAAAGGATAGCCCAAGCAAGGAATCTATTCCCACCAGAGATTCTTTCTCGCGTTATAAAAATTAAATAATTAACTCCGCCTAGGCCATCAGAAATTGGTAGCCCCATCCATGACGCCCCCGGACGAAAGTTGTCCAGAAATTTCAACCATCGCGGATACCCACCACAATGAGTGAAATCGGTACGAATAATGATACCGGAGTTACCCACAAGAGGAACTACATGGATGATAATAATTACATGTTCTAGGAGCTGTGCATTATTCTGAAGAGCACAGAACGACGTGATGTCGTCAAAGAACGCGATGAGAGGGTCACAGAACTCAATTTAGTAAGTCTAAGCTAGCTTATTCAACTGCCCCATTCTCCCCCGCACGCAGTCGGTTAATCTCCAATGTCAGGGACATGAAAGATGCCATTAGAGGTGGAGAAAATTATTCCGACAGGGAGTGCTGGTCATCATTCACTGGACTCGACCTTGGGAGGAGTTGCTGGATGCGGAGGAAGGGATATCGACTATCATATAGCTAATGGTGAACCTGAAAAAGGAGACCTGCTGAGTTGATGCTCGACGAAGAACCCTGAGGAACATTCCATGGTCTCTGAAGACCACCAGTGTCTGCTATGCGTGTTTCATTCTCCTTCCTAGCACTCCTCGGCGCATCACTTGCCACAACGACCTCGACCACGATCACGACAACTACTGTCTCATCGAGGTCGTTTTCCGAGACGGCGACGGCGACATTGCCCTTGACAACAGGTATACACAGTCCTCAGATCATATGGGATCACTGAGTTAACCGGTTTCAATAGCCAGTACGACAGGAGCTCCCACGACTACTACTGCAGCAGCAACAACCGCCACCACTACGAGTGCGCCAGACTGCCACTGCACGGCCTGGTCCCAAATTGCCGCCGCCCAATCATTATGTCCACATCTCACCCTAGACAATATCGCGGTCCCCAGCGCTAAAGGGTTGTCTTTGACTAACCTCCAAGTCGGTGCTACTGTGACCTTCATAGGAAACACCAGCTTCGAGTATACGCCGAGATCAGGGTACAAAATGGTTCAAATTTCGGGGAACAATGTGGTCATCAAGGGCGCCCCGGGGAGCTTCTTCGACGGAGGTGGTCCCCTCTACTGGGACGGTCTTGGAAACAACGGTGGTGGCCAAAAGTAATAAACCCACTCCCAGGGGATCGATGGGTCGAGTGTGTCCGAGATGATTAACCGAGTTCTTTTTGTAGACCCGGAATTTTCATGAAACTTAGCCTTAAGAACGAATCCCTGGTGACGGACCTATACGTTCTCAACACCCCTACACACGCCATCGATGTCGACGGCGTCTACGACTCAACCATCCAGCGGATGATCGTCAATAACTCACTGGGAGATGCCCCCAATGCCATCAGTAACGGCCTTTCGGCTGGCCACAACACCGACGCCTTCGACGTTGGCAATGTGGAGAACTTGCTCATGCAAGACATCCAAGTGTGGAACCAGGATGACTGCGTTGCCTTGTCCGTCTCCAACAACGTCACCTTCCGGAATTTCTACTGTTCGGGCAGCCACGGCCTCTCTATTGCCGGGGGAGGAAGTGGACCGGGCAATAATGTCACCAATGTTCTGTGAGTGCCAGTACTGCTGAAGAGAGTTAGTGAATTTGATTGACTAATGGGACCCCAGTTTCACCGACTCGGTCGTCACCAACTCATCCTACGGCCTGCGCATCAAAACAGACTATAACGCGACGGGCAGCGTGGTCAACGTCACCTACTCCAACATTTTTGTGTCCAAAATCAAGACCCAGGGTATCGATATCGAGCAGGACTACCTCAACGGCGGGCCCAACGGCCTGCCAACGAATGGTGTCGCGGTGCATAACATCACTTACAGGAACGTTACGGGCTGGGTGGCCGAGGGAGCTGCGGATTACTATGTCCTCTGCGGAGTGGGCAGTTGTAAAAATTTCAAGTACGAGCATGTGAGGATCACGGGCGGCACGGTCGAGAGTAGTTGCAATTATCCATGGAGCGGATGTCCGGGGCCGTAGGAATGGCGTGGGATCGCCATGTTGCAGAAGAAGAATATCTCTAGGATTAACACAGTATTCAATTCATCTATTACTTAACCTGATTCCTCCATACAGCGATAGGTTCACGCAACACTCATTCAAACCCGCTTCTCCGCCATCAGCTGCCGATACTAGTCAACAATCGTACTTCTCTCCTTAACCAAGGCAAGGTGGGAATAACGAAAATCGGCAAGCTGCAGATCAACAGTGCCCAGGGCATTGGGGACATAATGTATGCCCTTCTTGTGCTTTCGAGTATGGTGGTCACTGGATGGGATGTCAGCGAGTTGGTACAAAAGCCTGCCGGCTAGGCCCTGTCGGCGGCTATTTTAGAGGAATGAACCCAACCCATCCCGGGTTTGGTCCGGGTTATATTGGGTCTTGCAGAAGTCTAAAGATAACCGAATCTCTATATCCCTCGAGAGTCGATACGCTCTGACGGGGGCTATATCCCAGATCCTAATTGTCTTATCATCAGACGGCGATGTAAGTCGGCTTCTATCCGGCGACCAGGAAATTAAGGTAACCTGGCCATCATGGCCCCTGAGAGTTGACAAGGTCTGACCTGTGGTTGAATAGCAGATCCTAATTATCTTATCATTAGACCCTAATACGAGCTTGCTTCCCTCTTAAGACTCTACAATCGAATAGACCGGACTAGTATGACCCCACAAGCCTTTGTATAGCTTAAATACTATGAGAGACGCTTTCTAGAATGCTGAGCGCCTTAAGCCAGTGAAGGTATCTTTGCTATAAAAAGACATCCACCCAATCCCTCTAATTAACTATCAAGCCACGGCTTTCATTATATACGACAGATTCGAGATGGTTACTCTAATAGACACATGCGTATTTTACAATTCCTCAGGGGGAAGGAATAGCTATGTGACATTCTTAGTCAAAAATATATGCAGCCCGATGAAGTACATCAGGTCGAAGTATCTTGAACATGGATCCAAGAGAGCGTTCTGCAATCTTATGGGTTTTAGCTCCTATACCTTCAGGAAATATATCATTCAGTGCTTCTCGGAGTAAAAATTCTTTTACAGACTGGTGGACAAAAATAATAGTCTCTTCTCGTAACGTAAGAAACGAGCCACAAATTGTGATAATATCCGACACACATACACGGCCATCGTAGTCATTATCCGAACCTTCAATAATAGAAATCCATTCGCTGAGTGTGAAAGGTAGATACATAATTAGTATGACGGGGACTATTTCAATCACAAAGATCATGTTCTCTTCAACATTAATCAAACAATCATCGCATAGTTCATTGATTCTGTTTAATCCCCAATTGCTCTGTGATGATAGTGTATTGATACTAATAAGGCTCGCTCTAAAGCTTGAAATGCACGACGAGGGAAAGTTTGCTGATTTGGTCGCATTTCCCTTTGTGACGCGGAGCCAGTACCTCATCTTTCTAGGGCTGGCCAGCCGAGACTAAAGGATTTTCCGCTTACCTCTAGCATTGCAGCATATGAGCAAGTAAGAGGACGCCTTACTGGCTGCTTTTGGGTTTCCTCGCGTCCTAAGTATCGAAGTTACTGCACTTAGCCTTAATCTGGCCGCGTTGGGAACGGCTTCACGTCAGGCCGTCCCTCCTCCACACGGATGCGTTTCCATTGATATACCAGCAGGAGCGGAGGAAGAATTCGTGTAAATAGCAGTGTTTCCCCCCTTTTCTTTTATCAAGAGGTCAGGACCATATTCTTCTCACTTTGTCTCTTTCAAGGTATCCTATCTTCCAACCTTACGGGGTATCTGAAAAGCTACCAAGTGCAGCCAGCCAAATAAACATCAGTCGTGATGGGAGTCCAGCGGTTTTTAGCTGCCACCATGTGTGGAGCTGCTCTGATCGCTCCCACCCTAGCAACCATTTATTGGGCAGGCATAGATGAGTCTGGAGGAGAATTCGCACCTGGTGTGCTGCCAGGGGCGTTTGGTGTCGACTACGCCTTCGTTAATAACTCGGCGGTTGATATCTACGTCGAAGAAAGCAAGGTATTCCTCACTCTCTATAACTCAATTAGCGAAAACAGAATCAAAGAGCTAACGTGGGACTTTCCATTTATCAAAGGTCAACCTCTTCCGTGTCGCCTTTCTGTTGGAGCGCATGTGCCCTCTGGAGTATGGATTAGGCAGTAAATTCAATGAGACCTACTTCATGCACTACAAAGAGGCAATTGACCATATTACTCTCACTAGGGGAGCCTGTCAGTTCACAGACATTCTCATTTTTTCCCCTATGGTTACTGAAACCCAGACTAGATGCAATTTTGGACCCCCACAACTATATGCGTTACAATGATGCCTCTGAACAGCCTCTTAGCGGTAGCATTATCGGTAACTGGTCAGATCCCAAGGCTGCGACAACGCAACAGTTCGGTGAATTTTGGGGCGAGCTTGCATCCCGGTTTAGGCACAATGAGAAAGTCATATTCGGACTCATGAACGAGCCGTGGGGTACTAATACATCCTTGGTGCTGAAGAATGACCAGTCGGCGATTGATCATATCCGGGCGGCAGGATGTGAGCAGCTGATTCTTGCCCCTGGAAACGACTGGACTGGGGGCCACTCGTGGCATGACAACGGCGAGGACTCAAATGCTAACTGGATGTGGAAGCTACGCGACCCCATCCACAACACAGCGTTTGATGTCCATGAATACCTCGATGTGGACTTTAGTGGTTCGCACGTGGATTGTGTGTCTGACCCACGTATCTTCCTGTCAAATTTGACATCTTGGCTGGAAGATCATAACTTTAAGGCCATGATTACTGAGTTTGGTGGGTCCAACACAACAGGCTGCTATGACATGCTGAAGGTTTTGATTGATTACATGGAAGAAAACCCGGTTTATATAGGGTGGTCCATGTGGGCTGCTGGTACGTACAAGATCGCGGTTCTTTACACTTGGTTTCTAGGTTGCAACCCTTCAGTACTGACAACTGTCTCTCTTCCCGCAAATAGGTCCGCTTTGGGGATCACAATCTGCTTGCTGTGAGAACTATGGTTTCTTGGGCAGCTTGGAGCCAGACAGCCTTGCTATTGATGGTAGCCCCGGCTTGTACGAACAGGTCTGGCTTGCTCATATGAAACCCGTAGTCCCCAAGGAGCTTGTATGGTCTGGTGTGAGCAGTGTTCGAGGAGGGAAAAAAACCCTCCCACCCCAGAAAAAGAGCCCTGGTGAGGAGTCGAGAGTTTGATAATGAACCCAATCATTCGATCAATGAAGGCCTTGGACTTGATCAATCATACGGCTTTGTTATTGACATGAGCTGTTATCTGTATCTCTGCGTGAACGAGCACATTCACGGGCAGTTCCAAAATAAGCTACAAGACCATGATGCAGCCTGGCTCAGACTCGGCAGGATGTAATGTTGGACAAGAAACGACGTGGCCGAGAGTCAAGGGTAGATCATCTATCAGAAAAAAAACATTGCCGTCGTGGTAGCATTCCCGTAAGGAACGCACATTTCTGTGTTCAAGCCGCCCGAATCTGCTGATCCGTTGGCGTGTGTCCTGTTTGGGATATTTTCGGATAGCTACCACACGAGATGGACGTGAGCGAGCAACGAGTGGCGATTGTGATTTGCTTGCACCCTCGTAAGTAAGCACTGACTGATAACTACGTATCCCACACTGATTCCCGCCTGACGATTAGGACGGACCCTATATCTCCAAGGCCACACAAGCAAAGAAGGTAAAGGGCTTTTGAGGGCCCTGTTATGACTTTTGGTGTGATCACTCGGCGTGTGGCTCGGGTTGTTTGCTGATGTTCAGTGACACCCATGGTTGCTGTGGGATCAGTGTTGAGCTTTGGCAAATGACTGAACTATGGCACTTGTATTGCACTTCATGTTACGATTCGTAGACGATTCGTAGATGCGGAAGCAAGTCCTGCGAACGAACTGGCGAGAAGTGTTTACATGGGAGTTGCCAAAACGGGAGGGCCCTATAAAGGCAATCCCTCCTGGCGGATTAGAATCTTCCTTCTCTTCTTTCTCTAGATTTAGTTGCTTCGTTGGATGCACCGATTTGAACCGCTTCATCTCGCCTGGCTGTAACACTTCAAATGAGAAATTCTCTAAAATATCTTCAGATTCTCCAGTATAATACTTGCAGAATGCTCTTTTTCTTTTCTTTTCTTTTCTTTTTTTTTTTTTTTTTTTTTTTTTTAAAAAAAAAGGATCTCGCTGGGGAGAGGGGGATAGCCCCTAAGTTGCTATCACTGTATTACCACCGTCCTTGATTCCAGTACCCTACCGGTTGGGTTCTCACAAATAAGGTATCGCGAGGTGAAGGGGATCGGTTTTCCTCCGCTTCTTCCAACATCTTTTTCTTTCTGTCTTCCACTTTTCCCGATCGCGCCGGACACCCACGTACTCAAGGACATCAGGAGCATGGGCAGGCGGATCCTTATTTTCAAATACCAGCTCTTTAGGGATACTCATCTTGATGTAATCCTTGCTGAAAAGCTTGATTCACACTTCACGCGGATCACTCGGGAAAAGTGATATCATGAAATCCGACCACTGAATTGCTCGGGCGGATCAAATGGTTTAAACTCGATGCCTTTGCTCGTGTTGATATAAACATGCCCGTAGATCCTCTTCGGGTCAGAATCTGGCGGTGGATTGGAACCAAAAATTTGCTCCACTGATAGGTGGTAAAATTCAAAATATCTCGGTTCCAATTCATTATAGAAATATCTAGGTTGGTCTCGGCAATGAATAAGGTAAGTGGTGGCATGAAGAGACGGCAAGGAGGTCAGTTTGTTCTCCTTTTGGGCGTTCATGAGAGAACGGAATGCCTGGTTGACCTTGTTTTCCATTTCGCTTTCGGACTGAATCATGTCGAGTATATCTTGTTGTTCCCGTGCAAACTCCCTTTCTCGTTCGCGTATTTCTTTGGATTCGTAGTAAACATCGGCCAAAGAATCAGCATGTGATCTCTCAGATGGACTGTCTTCATCCTCGTCTTCATCATTGTCGCTTGCCTTGTCACCGGCCCTAAATTTCGTTCTTTCCATCGGTAGCTGCTTTCCTTCGCTCTCTGTCTCTGTCGCTAAATCGGAAAGGTTCTCATCAAATTCGTAGCCGTAGGGCGAGCGGTCGCTAAGGACATAAGGACTAAGGACACGATAGAACCACTGAGTGTAAGGGCAAGCCTTGTTCTTTGGAGAGGTTTGAGCCTTTCCCCGAGCCATAAGCTGTTATTTTCCAGAGCGGTACCGCTGACTTGAGGTGTTCAAATGGACGGTGCCACCTGTGAGCGAGTTAGTCTTAGCGAATCATCAGGCTCTGGGCCATAGCATATCTTTCGTAGCGAAAAGAAGTCTCTCTCTATACCTTAGGAAAGTTGCGTTAAAATTTTGAGACTAGTTTAGAGAAAAGGATGGGACTTAAAGTAATGAGCGAAGGATAACTATATGGAAGGTCTACAGTGAAAGGGTAGAACCTCCATTTTGTACTTCAATGTTTAGGCACAGATCACGGGATTATTCAACACCAGAGACCAAAAAATGGCCTTTCTCCGGTGCGTTCCGTTTTTGCGACATATTTTATCCGACCTTTTCGTTTCCCTCAAAGTGTGTAACGACTCAAGAAATGGCTTCATGGCGGAACAGAGGGCTATTCCAATTCACCAACCTCATCAATCAACTACCTCATCAATCAACTACCTACTACTACCACCACCAACCATGTTTAAATCCACCAAATCAGGCGAGGATCTCACGAAAGAGGCCTTGGCCTACGCCCTTACCCAAAGGAAACCGAATATCTCGAAGATTGCCCTCGAATTCGGTGCGACTAGGCGCAACCTTGCCGACCGCTTCAAGAATCGCCATCAGGCGGCTAGTACTATCAAACCGGTCAATAAAGCCCTGGGGTGGAAAAAGCTTTGGTACACTGGACTCGGAGTATGAAGGATTGTAATATGGTTATTACCCCTACCTTAGTATCTGCGTGGGCAAATTGCGCGCTTACACACACTGGCTAGCCAGATCGGTAGGTAGGTGATAATTGGCCATATCGCTTTATAAATCGCCTAATAAAGAACCTTAGCCCTATGAAGTAATCTCTCAAGGAATCAAAGAGTATACAGGCAGAAGATATAGGCTTTCCTGCCCATTAGCACGATCAATTAGTACTATACTTTTAAAGAAATACCCACGTGCCTAGTCTATAACTTTGATGAATGCGACTTCCGCCCTAGCGAGGGTAAATCACGAAGGGTCATTAGTTCTAGACCATCAGATCTTACTGGATCGTCGCGAGATGAAAATATCACTCTAATTGAATATATTACCGCCGCTAGGTAGCTGATGGATCCCTATCCGATCTTCACTAGTAATAGGGTCTACATGGAAGGTTAGTTCTATATTAGCGAGGATCTACCACTAAATACAATTATTACGGTCTCACTATCTAGCTAGATTAACGATAGTCTAGCCCTTATATAGCTAGATACGTTTATTAAGGTAACTAATAATTAGCGATTAAATGGGGGCGAGAAGCGCTTCTTGATATATAATGGTTATGGGTCTCACCTTGCCCTCTAAGTTCTTACAAAAATATAAGGATAATCTGGTTATACCCTTTGGCATTCTACCTGTTACGACCTATCTTTATCAACCACTAGATAGTAAGCCCTTTCTTAGCTAGAAGAAGAACTTTTACTCATTCAATTATAAGATATCCTTCTAGATAGGGCAGCTAGTAGGGAAATCAGATTTCCTTCGCACAATCAGTCTAATTCGTGCGCGTATTGTATCGCGGAGCCTCGTAGTCACTGTGAGTTGGAACGTCCTGGGTTATATTTGCCTAGTCCCACTGTGGATCCCAAGAGCGTCTCGCAACCGTAGTCTCTGGTATCTCATAAAGCTTAGCTACTACGCGAAGAGATTGAATTCGGCCTTCTTTTAAATCTGATAGGGCTAATAGGATCTTGCCCTCTTGGTTGGCCAATTTATGGCTAGATTCAGTGCGAATTGGTGGCATGGTACGTGGTTGAATTCGAAGGGTTGGTAGGAGGACGCGATTTCTGGTGGGGGGCGCGGGTCAACCGGGAATTACGTTAAGCCTTTGTATTGAGAAATCTTCTGGGTAGTTGGTGAATTGGAAGAAATTGGCGGATCCGCTGGGGGCGCATCCATAGAGCAGAGCGATGTGGGGGCGCCGGAGGTAGGTTAGGCCGAAGAGCACAGTATCCTGACACTAATACTCCTATCCGCGCTAGAAACGGGAACCTAGATAGCTGCTACGCCGCGGGGGTATCAGCTGGTCCTCCTGAATCGATGAAAGCGGGAGGGACCCACACACATGGGTATTCCGACAGTAGTCGTGTAGGGTTTCGAGTATGAGTGGTGTGATCACACGAGGACGGCCAGCGGGAATTAACGGTGCTCGGGTATCACAAAATATTCGTAGCTTGGTACTAATGGTTACAATCGAACGTTTACGGTGGCTAGTCGCTTCGGCTATCTAGGAGGTAGTTAGTGATCTGTGGTCATTCATGTCGCGGATCATCATAAGCTAGGAGGGGGCGAGTCGAGGCGCCATGATGGTCTTTATCGCGCTGTTAACCGAAGGTGCTAAGGTGGCTTCTCCGTACAACGAAGGCAAAAGGCTTGGGTCGGTTCGAGCCGACAGTTCAGCTGAAGACCTACCCTAGCCGTTTGACCAGACCAGTAGAAACGCGTTTTCAGAACAGCCATACCTTCGCTGGCGCCTACCCCTCTTCCTCCTCAAGTTTCAAATTGAAGCATTCCCATATTCCACCTAAACTCATTTTCTTATCATCTGTCTCGAGACAAATTGAACTTCATCCAGCCAGCAAATTTTGTTTGACGTTGTCAAACAGTACCTCTCCTCCCTCCTGACACAATGAATCGACCTCAGCAACGAGACCCTGATTCAACGGACTCCTACACGGTAGCATGGATCTGTGCCCTAGAAGAAGAATATTTCTGTGCATGCCGTATGCTTGACGAAGAGTTCACCGGGCCGGAAACCAGTGAAGATAACGACGACAACATGTACGTCTACGGTCGTATCATGAGGCATTACGTGGTGATTGGTTGTCTTCCCGCCGGTCGGTACGGCACCAATTCAGCTGCCCGTGTTGCCCGAGATATGGTTCGAACGTTCCCACATCTACGGTTCGCACTAATGGTGGGAATTGGAGGCGGCGCTCCGACCGCTCGAAATGACATCCGATTAGGGGATGTTGTCGTCAGTCAACCGGGAGACGGGTTCGGCGGAGTGATACAATATGATCTGGGCAAGTTCAAAGACGGTCGGTTCCAGAGGACAGGCCAACTCAACGCGCCGCCTGAGAAACTTCTGGGAGTTATTCCGGAGATGCGCCGACTATTTAGTGACAAAAGGAAGCCAGACAGACTCGCGGAACATCTTAAGCGTCTTGATGATATGGAGGATTATCAACGGCCAGCGGTTGACCAGCTTTATGTTATCGAAGATCCGCCAGTGCATAGGAAAGCTTACGACAAAGGTGTTTTACACTCGGTCCGTCCAGAGCGCCTTAACAGCCGTGTATTCCATGTTCACTACGGAAATATTGCGTCAGGTAATACAGTGCTCAAGGACGCTATTGTGCGAGACAAATTTGCAAACGACCCAGAGCTAAATATCTTGTGCTTTGAGATGGAAGCTGCGGGTCTGATGAATACTATTCCATGTCTGGTAATACGCGGAATCTGCGACTACTGCGACTCTCAGAAAACTGACGAATGGCATAAATATGCTGCGGTCACTTCTGCTGCGTATGCACGAGAGCTACTCTTAGTCTTACGGCCGCAACGTGTGGATGCCATACCTCCTTGGGCCGAGCGAGTAGCTCAAGAACTTCAACAAGGTTAGGACCCTACATTTTGACTTTCTAGCTTCGTATGGTTTTTCGCGACTCAATATTATAGAAGGGGCTTATAATACTACATATTTCAAGTCATCCCATTCTTCATTCGACGCTGGTGTACTGACAACGTCTAGTTAGCCAGGAATTAAATACTCTCAAGAACACCCAAAGGTAGTATACAGTTCATTTAATCATGGCAAATTGTACTCTTACTAACTATGGATAGAACCGTCCTGAGGAGGGTTGAATGTTTAGACCAGAAGATCGATTGGGGCAAGTTGTCGGAAGTTCAAGCGGCAGCATTTGACTCCTTTGCCAATCAACATGAGGATGAATGTCTTCAAGGCACCAGAACCGAGCTTCTTTTCCAGATCACAGAATGGGCGAAATCGCCAGGAGGGAAACCTATTTTCTGGCTGAATGGTAGGGCTGGAACAGGAAAATCAACTATTGCCCGAACAGTGGCAAGATTTTTCCAACAGGCGAAGGCTCTAGGCGCTAGCTTCTTTTTTAAAAGAGGTGAAGGAGACCGAGGAAACGCCATAAAGCTTTTTCAAACAATTACTCGGCAACTCGTGATATCTATTCCTCAGTTGATCCCAGCTATCCAAAAAGCCATCAACGATGAACCTAAGATTGCGAGCAAATCACTCAAAGAGCAGTTCGATAAACTGATACTTCACCCATTACTGAGTTTAAGATTGGCCAGTCCTCAGACTCCAACTATGGTGATAGTAATTGACGCGTTAGACGAAAGCGAACGGGATGAGGAGATGCGAATCGTTGTCCAATTATTACCCCGTCTACGCGAATCAAAGGCTGTCAGTCTCCGAGTCTTTCTAACGAGTAGGCCTGAATGGCCCATTCTTCATGAATTCTCAAAGATCGCAAGTCATGAGCATGAAAATCTGATTCTTCATGAGGTTCCTAAACCAGTCGTACAGCGTGACATATCCTTATTCTTGGAATCCCGACTATCCGATATTCGTAAATCTCGCTCTCTGCCTAGCGGTTGGCCTGGAGATGCTGATTTCCGCAGTCTTGTGACTTTATCAGTTCCATTATTCATTTTCGCCGCTACTGCCTGCCGTATATTTGAGGACCCTCAATGGGACCCAAACGACAGTCTGGCAGAGATCCTTGCACAGGAGAACGATGGATCTGAGTTCAATGCGACATATTTCCCAGTGATTAATCGGCTTCTTCGAGGCCAAACCAAGAGGAAGGAGAGAATACTAGTTGATGATTTTCAAGAAATCGTTGGCACTATCGTGATGCTTGAGAGTCCACTCTCAGTGATCTCTCTTTCACAGTTAATTGGACTGCCTAAGGAACGTATTGACCGAAGACTGGAATTGCTACATTCAGTGCTTAATATATCAAAAGATTCTACTCAGCCAGTGCGACTGTTCCATCTATCTTTCAGAGACTTTCTCCTTGATCACGAGACCCGCGAGAAAACCCCCTTTGGGATGGATTCAAATGAGATGCACTATAAGTTGACCGTGAAATGCCTTTCTGTGTGTGAGAGTTTGCGAAAAAATATATGTATACTGCCAAGTGATGGAACACATCGTACAGAGATTGATCGTCGGAAAATCGATGACTATCTTCCTGCTACATTGCAGTACGCCTGCCAATATTGGGCTCATCATCTTGTTCAATGCCGAAATTTGAATAATGTGATGCATGATGCATTCTTGTTTCTTCAGACGCATTTTTTGCACTGGGTAGAAGCAATGAGTCTACTAGGCCTTACATCAGAAATGCTTGGTATTCTTGACAGGCTCCGGACGGGCATATCGGTAAGATCAGAAGATAGCCATAAATGACTTGAACTAACAGCTTTAGGCGAATGAGTCTTCCACAATGTTAGACTTCATTCACGATGCAAAGCGCTTCGTTCTGAAAAATCGTCAGATAGCTGACGAAGCACCACTTCAAATTTATTGCTCAGGGCTGGTATTTGCACCTCGAACATCAATAATCCGTCGAGAATTCCAGTCTGAGCTTCCTAGTTGGATACGCCAGTTTCCGCAAGTTGATGAAGGATGGAGTGCAGAATTACAGACTCTCGAAGGCCATTCCGCTTCGGTTTTGTCAGTGGCCTTCTCGCCCGACGGCCACGTACTAGCGTCTGCTTCTTTCGATACGACCGTCCGGCTCTGGGACCCAGCCACAGGTGCCCTACAGCAGACTCTCGAGGGCCATTCCGCTTCGGTATGGTCAGTGGCCTTCTCGCCTAGTAGCCGTCTACTAGCGTCTGCTTCCTACGATACAACCGTCCGGCTCTGGGACCCGGCTACGGGCGCTATACAACAGATCCTTAAAGGCCATTCCGCATCTGTTCAGTCAGTAGCCTTCTCGCCTAATGGCCACCTACTAGCGTCTACTTCCCGGGATAAAACTATCCGGCTCTGGGACCCGGCTACGGGCGCTCTACAACAGACTCTCGAAGGCCATTCTAGTTCAGTTTGGTCAGTAGCCTTTTCATCTAAAAGCAACCTTATTGCATCTTCTTCACAGGATAAGACTATTCGGCTCTGGGACCTAGCCACAGGCGCCCTACAGCAGATTCTTGAGGGCCACTCCGATGAGATTTGGTCAGTAGCCTTCTCACCTAACGGCCATCTACTAGCGTCTGCTTCCCACGATAAGACCGTCCGGCTCTGGGATCTAGCCACAGGTACCTCGCAGCGGACTCTCGATGGCGATTCTGATAGGGTTTTATCAGTAGCTTTCTCACCTAGCGGACGCCTACTAGCGTCTTCTTCCGACGATAAGACTATTCGGCTCTGGGACCCAGCTACGGGCGCTCTACAGCAGACTCTAAAAGGCCATTCTATTTCGGTTCATTCAGTGGCCTTCTCGTATAGCGGCCACCTACTAGTATCTGCTTCCTACGATACGACCGTCCGGCTCTGGGATCCGGCCACGGGTATTCTACAGCAGACACCCGAAGGCCATTCCGATAGGGTTAGGTTAGTAGCCTTCTCGCCTAACGGCTATCTTCTAGCGTCTGCTTCCCGGGATAAGACCGTGCGGCTCTGGGACCCAGCCACGGGTACCCTACAGCAGACTCTCAAAGGCCATTCCGGGTCGGTCCAGTCAGTAGCCTTCTCCTCTAACGGCTATCTACTAGCGTCTGCTTCCCGGGATACGACCGTACGGCTTTGGGACCTAACTAAAGGTACCCTACAGCGGACCCTAAAGGGCCATTTTAGTTACGTTGAGTCGGTAGCCTTCTCGCCTAGCGGAAGCCTACTAGCGTCTGCTTCCGATGATAAGACTATCCGGCTCTGGGACCCAGCTACGGGCGCTCTACAACAGACTCTCGAAGGCCATTCCGCTTCAGTTCAGTCAGTAGCCTTCTCGCCTAACGGCCGTATACTAGCGTCTGCTTCCCGGGACAAGACTATCCGGCTCTGGGACCCTGCTATAGGTACCCTACAACGGACCCTCGAGGGCCATTCCGATTGGGTTGAATCAGTTGCCTTCTCGCCTACCGGCCGCCTACTAGCATCTGCTTCCTACGACGAGACCGTCCGGCTCTGGGACCCGGCTATAGGCATCCTGCAGCAGACACTTGAGGGCAACGGATTCATTAATTGCCTTGAATTTGGTCAGGATGATTCATATCTAATCACTAACCAAGGTTCTCTCAATATTGAACCGAGGCATGACAGCCAAACTTCTAGTTCACATTATGGGAATCCTCGGATACTTATAGAGGAGGGGCAGTGGATAGTATTGAATGGCAGAAAAGTGCTATGGCTTCCCTCTGAGTCTCGGCCTTCCTGTTTAGCGATTCATAGCAGTTTAGTAGCCCTAGGTCTTCCGTCAGGGCGGGTCTCTTTTATTCAATTTCACGTCTAACAGGTGTTAATGAAGAATTATGTCGAAGAGTCATAGCAAGTCTTTCACTCTTATCCAGCTTAGGAATTATTATTCTAAGACCTGTACATGGGATCATTGGAAGCAAACTATTTTCTTCCACGTTACCTGCATGGTATTGTAAGCTATTTGTACTCCATCCATTGCCACATTAGTTAACGTAATTCCCGGCCGATATGGACACCTGGTCGTCCTAGACACCCCATCCAAAATCGCGCATCCTTATTAACCTACCTAATTCAACTACCCACCATGTCAGGACGAACTCATTGCAAGGAAACAACAGAAACACGCTGGAAAAGGCCATAGACCCTGACAATGTACACCACACCACATGTTGAGATCGGCATAGTGGGTGGGGGTATACCGAACAGTACGTACGGAGTAGATATCTTATAGACATATGTTCAAGCCGGTTACCTCACCTAGTCACTAAGTAAATTTTCAAATCCAATCAACAGCACAGGGAGGCAGGCTACTACTGTCCAGTAGCGTGGATAACTCAGCTGGCGGGGGAGGCGTTGCTCTTACACATATCCTACCCTATGTTCTATCGTCTCCCTGACCATAGGCAGGCAAACATCGATTGATAGAGTACCGTTGCAGCCCTGAAGATAAGCTTTGCCAACTTGAGTCAAAATCCTTCCATTGATTAAGGCTATCACATGGTTCATCGAGAGAGTCAACAATGACAGAGAAGATTCAAAGCACTGAGTGAGGTTGATTCAACGTAACCCGACCTTCCTTCGCCTGAGACAGAAGCATGCAGTTCAGCTTACTTGAAGGTAGCTGGAGAAGACATCTAGTCAGAATGGGCAGGCGAGATACGCGCTTTGACGGGTGCGTTAGCAAGACTCACCAATCTTTTCAATCGCCTCGCCCGGGGTGACTGGCAGGACCAATTTGGCATAGTGGACGGAGCATGACACCCAAGATGTTGGGCATGCTCTCGATAAGGTAGGCATGGCCTCCATACTCGGTTTTGATTCCCAGTCCAACGAGGATGGATGAATGGTGTTTGATGCCGGCATTGGAGACCTACGTGGCTGCGCTTTTGGATAAGGCGCTTCCGCCCCTGCAGGACAACTGGCCTGGCATGGAGCCCGAAATCGCATAAGCAATTGAAGGACTCGCTGAGATGACCATGGTAAGTCATCAAATTGCCCAAATTATTAGTATGATAAAGTTCATCGAATATCATCCAGGATCTACGCGACAATTTTCTATGGTGCCTATTTGAGGATACCGAGGTGGCAGCCGAGAAATCCGATCAAGATCACAGCGCGGAAGCAGTCCTGGAGGAGCTTCACGATCCTTCAAGATCCTTCGGGAAACTGTATCCGGAAAACGAGAAACTCCAAGTATGCACCTCCGTCAATTTGATAGTGACTCTCTGCGCGCATGTGTCGAAACCCCCTCCCCCTCCTCTCAAGGAGAGATCAGAAGAAATTGATCTCAATGAGGGTCAATTGGAATTCTTGACCTGTCCTCGCTCGATTGCCTTCTTTGCCGCTTTGGGTACGAGTGAGGCCATAGCCTTGGGAAGAGGTATGCTTTAAGGAGAAGCAATGGCAAATGCTGGACGGGACCACAGGATTCGGACTTTTAGATGCGCTAGTGATATGTGACAGTCCTCAGAATGGAGAGAGCCTATATAGCCTTCGCAGTGGTACCTTGTGTACTGAAACCAATCAACAGATTAATGCCTAGGTTACCCCGAACTGATTGGTTCTGCCCATTACATGCTGATACCGAAAATCGACGTTCCGACAGATCATAATAATATCTCCTATGATGAAGATTTGGTGACTTTATTGGGGTTCTGAACGCCTAGCTTGCTCGACTCAGCTGAAGTGCGAGCTAACACAGTCCGCCGCGTTTAGGCTAACTCCGAAGCCCAGCGCCCAGGTCACTCTGCCATAAACCCCCTGCCAGCAATTTTTAAACCGGCAGAATCTTGATTTTGGCTATTCGTTGTTACCAAATCTACCGCACCATCTCCCATACAATCTTTCTACCAAGTATAAAAGCTATTTCCCCCTGAAAACCCATTGAATTTGATGGAATTAACGGACCAATTATAGTACAAGAACTGAAATACAAACTGCAGTTTGATGTTGAGTCAAATCCTGCCACCCAATCCTACCAATCCTAGGCGGAAAGGCGGAAGTGGGTGAGAACGGGTAAGAGTGGGTAAAGAATCCGTACTCCGTTCTCACCCACATCACCCACACTCACCCTAAGATCAAATCCGACGCCATTTTAGAGCTCAGGGCGCATCGAAAATTGACTAGTACTATAATCGGCTTAAGTACGGCTAGGTGGACGGGAAGCCCTATTTTTCCACACCCTATGGTCGTATGTGCTAAACCAGTCATGAGCAAGAATAATATGGATCCCCAAATGTATACGAACATTATGAGGTGGCAAGGATCAATGTCAAATACTTCAAGGGAACGTCGATGGTCTGGCCTAGCCTCACACATACGCCGGCTTGGGAAGTGAATGTAAGTCTTGGCGGCGGGGCTGCTTTGAATTTGCTTCGTATAGCTGGGAACGCAAGTTCTAGCCCATTATAGAATTGAAGAATTTCTTTAGAGTGGAAGAAACTACGTACTGCAACAGACAACCCATGGTAAGAATCTCCGCTGGTCAAATAGCAAGTATTTGGCGTATTAGCAGCTATAAGTAGCACACTGTTTGGGGAGATGTATTCCCGACGGATTTGATGCTGGCCTTGCTCCTTGCTTTGTCTACTAAGTAGGTAGGCAATGAGCCTTCGGCCGAATTTCTGGAACTTGAGCCGACCGACAGAAGGACAATATCCAACCACCTAGGCCCCATTCTCAGCACTGAGAAAAAATGATGCTTAGATCATCACAGATATCACTACACCGCAGACATAAGCAGCCATGAGCAGCCAGGAGCCAACTTGAGGGGGCAAATTAGATTTGGAAGTTATTACTGCGGCATAAACGGGGGCTTTTGATTGGCGTAGTAGACTTGCCCTACGGCATATTCAACCTTTCTAAGTCCCTTCCTCGTAATCTACGCCCTTCCTCGTAATCTACGCCCTTCCTCGTAATCTACGGTGACTCCGATCGTTGGTAACAAGTGGCTTGATTGTAACATCATCGATATGAATTGAGAGATGTATTGGCTGCAGTAGATATACAGTTAATCTGGAAATTCATCGGTGACTCCGAAATATGGTGGCCACAACTTCAGAAAGCACTGCCATGAAGCTGAAAATTCGCTCAACATAAAAGGCCGAGTTTCCCAGCAGTGGTTGTTGCTCCAATCTCAAGACAAAAACGAGAACACTTTAAGTAGAAAAATCTTCTTCACATTTAACTTTTGACTCCGTTGCAATGGGCTACCTCGGTCAGATTTTTGTACGGAGTTCTTCCGCATCTGAGCTTGACGCATGCTGATTGAATCACGTAGCCTGTCATCCAGGATGCTCCCGGTCAACAGCCTGATAATACGATCGGAGTCGTTGATAACAACGGTGCAGACATAAACGGTGGATTTGGCGGAAAGTATGTCTGACCGCAGCATATGGCCATCTACATACAAAGTCATCGTGCTGATTAAATTACTACAGGTTTATCTGGCTTGTCGCAGACTTCCACAATTACAAGCCAAGTGCAATCTCTCAAATCCGAATCGACATCCAGGATGAGCCGGACAATGGCCGACAGGATCTTGCAGCTGGAACTGGAGGAAAATTCCGCTATCTGGCTTGGAAAACGGATGGCGACAAGAAGATCACCGAGGTCCAGCTTCTACGCCGCCAGAGCCCAGTCAGCTGGCAAACTCTGAGGGACTTGGGATTTGAGGGTATGTCAAATGACATCAATGCAGGCCGAGGTGGTGATTTCTTGCATCTTGTATGGAAGTATTGAGATTATTAGCTGTACAAGCCAAGCTTCAATGTACTGGAACCAAGTGGAGAGCAACTAGACTCGATATCCTTTTCACTACAATATTTTAGGCCTACATAGCGAAGTTCTATATAGAACAGAAGAAACCCACAATAAATCATGGATCGACGCGGACTATCATATACTTCCACCTCAGGTCCAAGCCATGAAGATCATTAAAATACTCGCTCCCAATAGCCCCCACGCAACTGGAAGCAACAGGGACTTAAAGAGCAGAGATGCTTCTTGGCTCATTGTTTTGGGCTTCAAGTATGCAAGCTTGGAATTATATTCAATTCGTATGTGTTACTTTAACATGGACCCCGCTCGAGTGAGCTTGGACACACAGTGTGATAAATACCGCCGTCAGCCCGCTCGTTCTGCAGTCCCATTTCCCATGGGGTTGATTAAGCACTACCAACTGATCTATTGGCTAATATCTCTTTCTTAGATGAGCACGTGCTCAGCTAAGGGTGTACATAAGGCAATGACTTGGAAGGATAATGTCTTACAGCTACCTAATGAAATCTCATTAAGCAAAGAAGCGACCGGAGAAAGCAAGCCCACAAAGCAAAATTGACAGCATTTGGTTATTTTATGTTATTTTTATGACCAAAACTCATCCGAATGATTGACAGAGGAAGAAAGCCACCACTATGTACTATAACTACTTCTGGTCCTCCGACCGTGTACCCGCTTAGGGAACCCCAGTCCGCAGTGGAAGCCGCCGTGAAGAAAGCGATCAACGCCCGAAAAAGAAAGACCCGAATCAGACTAAGAGAGAAGAAAGTTAGCGTAGTCGTCGCCTATTCCAATTCAAGAATGACAGTAAATCTAGCCAGCAGAAATCGCCCCTGAAAAAACCTTGTTTGCACCATCTTGGCACGACCGGCCTGTCAGTCATATTGACTCCATACTACTCTGGCCCGGAATGGACCAATCAACGATGCCCGATGTGGATCCCCATTGCAGATCAACAGGGATGGCAGATGAACCCTGCATAGTACAAATTAAACTATCGACGATCGCTCGGGATTGCTGCTTGAAACGGGTTAAACTCGAGCTGTCGGCGAGTGGAACCCCTCCAAAAAGTCCACGAGCGAGAGTCTCCCCGCAGCCGCGGCATCAACTTCAACGGATTTCAACGGCCGTCAACGGCGTTTAGTGAAAGTGGAGAGTTCAGAGTGGGCCAGAATGGACGATCAGAACTCCAATGTTTCAGGGGGGGAACCAAATTCCATCATGATATAAAAGCTTGCATGGAACCCTGGAACGTTGGATTCATCACTCACTCATAGTCCTTCTTTTCTTTGAATATGATTCTTCCTCATTTGGTTGGTCTCTTGGCCGCCACTGCCGGTGTTGCCAAGGCCGTCAATATCACCGGTTACGAGTATGTCGTGGTTGGTTCTGGTGCTGGTGGTGGTCCTCTCGCAGCTCGTCTCGCTCTGGCTGGCCACAAGACTCTGCTGCTCGAAGCTGGTGATGACCAGGGCGAAACCTTTAACTATAGCATCCCTGCCTACTCTGCCAGAGCTTCTGAGGATGAGAAGCTTTCATGGAACTTCTTCGTTCACCACTATGCCGACGACGAGCGCCAGGCTCGCGATTTCAAGACCACCTACGAAACGCCTAGTGGTGAACTGTACACTGGCCTGAGCCCTCCCGAGGGCTCGAAGCTGATGGGAACCCTCTACCCTCGTACTGGTTTGTATCATGCCTTTGATTTGGAAAATAGTTCCGGGAATTCTAATATTTTTTTTTTCAAAATTTAGGTACACTCGGAGGATGTACTGCCCACAACGCTCTAATCGCCGTTTACCCCCACCAATCTGACTTTGAATACATCTCAACCTTGACTGGCGATAGCTCTTGGTCGCCTGATAATATGCGAAAGTACTTCGCCAAGCTGGAGAGGAACCACTACCTGCTCCCCGGCATGGAGGGTCACGGTTACGATGGCTGGCTCCAGACCGAGACCGCTCCCCTGAGCATTGTCCTGGAGGACCCCCAGCTTCTCAGCATGCTTACCGGTGGTGCTTTTGCTCTTGGTAACTTGACCGATAATGTCATCAACATTGCCACCCTGCTGGCCGGCGATGCCAATGCTGATACTACAACCCGTGACACCGTCTCTGGCTACTATCAAATCCCAATCTCGACCGACGACGCTCACCGTAACGGTGCTCGTGAATTTATTATCGCCGTGCGAGACGCCAAGAACGCTGATGGCACTAAGAAGTACCCTCTTGATGTTCGCATGAACACCCATGTTACCAAGGTGACTTTCGACGAGTCTGTTGACCCTCCCCGTGCTACTGGTGTCGAGTTCCTCGATGGCGAGCACCTCTACAAGGCTAGCCCCTTGTCAAAGACAGCCTCTACCGGCATCCCTGGTTCTGCTTCTGCTTCCCGTGAGGTTATCGTTTCCGGTGGTGTCTACAACTCGCCCCAGCTCCTCAAGCTGAGTGGCATCGGTCCCGCCGATGAGCTGAACAAGTTTGGTATCAAGGTCATCAAGGATCTTCCTGGTGTCGGCACCAACCTCCAGGACCACTACGAGATTTCCGTCCAAGGCAAGATTGAAGAAGACTTCTCCTGCTTGAACGGCTGCACCTTCAGCATCCGCGACGAGGCTGATCCCTGCATTAACCGATGGGAGACCCCTGTCCTCGGCGACCGCGGTATCTACTCATCCCCCGGTCTCGCCGCTACTATGCTATACAAGAGCTCTGTTACTGCCGACGATAGCTTCGACATCTTCTGCTTTGGTGGCCCCGTCAACTTCCGTGGCTACTTCCCAGACTACAGCATCAATGCTACCGATGAGCACAACTGGTTCACCTGGGCTATCCTTAAGGCTCACCCCCGGAACACCGCTGGCAACGTTGTCCTGCAGTCTGCTGATCCCCTGGATGTCCCCAAGATTACCTTCAACTACTTCGACACTGGTGTTGGTGACTACGATGCTGATCTCACTGCTCTCTACGAAGCCATCGAGCTCGCCCGTGATGCCTTCAAGCGCCAGCTCGTTAACGTTACCGAGGTTCTCCCCGGTGCTGCTGTTACTTCCAAAGAAGATATCGAGACATATGTCAAGGACGGTGCTTGGGGCCACCACGCCTCCTGCACTTGTCCCATCGGTGCTGACGGTGACCCCATGGCCGTATTGGATTCTAAGTTCCATGTCCGTGGCGTCTCTGGTCTCCGTGTCGTTGATGCTTCCGTTTACCCCAAGATCCCGGGTACTTTCACGGCTGTGTCTACCTACATGGTTGCCGAGAAGGCGGCTGATGAGATTCTGAGTGAGCTTGCTGCTAGCTCTTGATGTAGATAATTTCTTTCAAGCATGATGTGGCATTCCTCACTGTGTGCTTTTAATAGATAATATGATCCAAGACATTGAATACGACTAAATGAATTGAAGATATGCATAAATATGTCTAAATAAAACACAAGATTATGGCCAAGTTGTTTCAATTCTCAACACCCGTTCTCTCATAGGTCTTCTTCCCCTTTAGACACCCAATAAGCCTCGACTTCAGCGATGAATGTTCTTGCCGGAATCGTGACCGCAATAGGAAAGCCCCCATAATCAGGTTCATCATTGGGCATAATCAAGAATTCTCCACTCCTAGTCTCATCCCCGTTCAAAGTTCGGAGCGTTTGAAGCTGCCCCTGACTATCAACTTCCTTTTCAACCGCTCGGAGTATACCGCAAAAAGTAGCTTCTTTCGATACTGCCTCAAATCTCACCTGGAAACCTCGTCCGACCAGGAGAAACCTCGAATCTCCCAAGTGAATAACAAGTCCAGCGCCAGTACCACGCTTGCCAAAGACAAATGCCCGCTCAACAATAACCTTGATATCTCCGAAGACGCGAGTCCAGCGCTCGGGAAGCTTCTCGGACGGCTCTTCGTCGAAGAAAAAGCCCATTCGGTCGCTTGGTGCCGCACTCAAGAGGTAAGGTGATACCTGAGCCAGGAGTTGAAACTCACGCCCCACAATCTCAGCACCAGTATCAATGCCAAAGGGACTCGTACCGAGTGCGCCGTACGTGCCATAAGCGAGCCACATCCTCCGGGCTCCTCTCTCGTCGCGTCGCTGCTCCGGGATGAAGAGCGCGTTTTGCTGTTCAGTGTATGCTTGACAAACGGTTTCATAGTCGTGGAGATACAGGTCCGGCGCGAGGAAGTCCAGATCGGGGGTATTGTAGCGCCATATGTCAAGAAGATGCGGACAAGGGCCACCCGATGGGTAGATTCCTGGTTCAGCACCCCCACCCACAACGATTGGAACTCCCTTCATATCGAGCTGAGATGGATCATCGAAATTCAGCCATGTGTTTGTGAACAGTGGAATTGGATATTCCTTCTTTCCAGCAGCGGCAACCCGTCCCACATAAGATGAAATGTGATAGGCCATGAAGGCCTCGTCAGCAGTCACACCTGAGCCAAAGACAGAGCACCAAGAAAGAGACTCAGAAGACGGTGGCAGAGAGAAGCGCTTTTTGAACTGCGAGTGGAGATCCGTATTTCTCAAATGAGCCAGTAGCTCGGTGGGAACAGGCTCTACAAACGCCTTCTCGGCTCTCCGTGAACGATCTCGTGAGTCACCCAATAACCCAGTCTCATTCTGAACCTGGACCATCAAGACTGTGCTATGTTCCGAATCAACTGTCGCAAGGTGTCTCATCAAAGCAGCGAATGCTCTTACATCGGCCTCACAAGCTTCATTACAAAGAGGCGTCACCATCTCAATAGACCGTCTCCTCCCCCCAGCCTCGAGAATCTGAACTCGAGGGAATCGCTTGGTATCGCGTTTCACCCATCCCGGCACATAAGTGGAGATCCCGTTTTTGTACGTGCCAAACCACAATAGCACAACATGCATGCTGTTCCTTCGTGCTCCAGCGAGTACGCGGTCAAGTTCAGAAAAATCGAACTTTCCCTCTTCTGGCTCAATCATTTCCCAAGTCACGGATCCGAGGAGTGTATTCACACCCCGAGCTTTCATGGCGGGCCAGACGGTCTCCATGTAGCGAGAGGAACTAAGAGAAGAATTGTGCAGTTCTCCAGGGAGCATGAGGAAGGCTCTTCCTTTGACTATCAATTGAATGTTGCCATTGTCAAGGCGACGGAGATGGGGCGGTTTGTGATTGGTTTGGAGCATAGCGAAAGTAGGATAAAGTCTGCAATAGAGCCGTCGGTGGTAGAAGTTGAAATGCTCAAATGTAGATTCTTAAATATGGGACCTTAGATACTAGATGTAAGGCCAAGTCACCTAAAAGTAGGCCGAAGAAGTCTCGCCTTCTTTAACCTCGGGAACGTGATAATTGCCTGACTTTGATAGGCGAGGCTTGACCTCCATTTTTTCGGAGTATCTCGTAGTTTATCCGAAGCCCCATAGTCTCGGAGTGGGAACTCGGACTTATAATCCCAGTTTTGGAAGATTCTCATTTCATGCATTGTGTTGCTAGTGTAATAATTTGATCTTTTCTGTTCGGCTCTACATTGGTTCGGTTGTTGAGGGGGTTTGATAAGCTCACACGCTCACTACCATAAAAGTATCTTTAAACATAGACCGACTAATCAATAACTTGCTGATAGTCAAGCTCATCCAGTTTCTGCAACAGACGCGTCAGCTTCCCTTGTGATTCGTCATCCCTATCACTTCTTTCCAACCCCGTCATCCGAATCTGTTCCAAATATGCTGCCCCCATGTCGCGAATCTTTGGGACCAAGCTGCTCCCGTTCGCATCGAATACGGCCTGTGGAAGATGATAAAGCACCTCAAGTAGATCGTCTATTATTTTGGGATGCTCTTTTAGTCTGATTTCCGGCGTACCAAATCGCTGGATCAAATTAGAGCGAATGTGTAAGCTAGTGACGAACAAATTTGCGACCTGGACATCATGGCCATAGGTCACATTAGAAGGTCGGGAAAGACCACCTCGCCAGCGAAGTTCGGGAGGGAAATTGTCCATGACGCGCTGGAGCCCTTTCAAGTACGTCTCTACCGGGTTGGAGCTGTTGGTAGATCGGGCTTCTTGCCAAATCAAGTAGAGATTACTGAGGCAATTTAGACCTGGGACATAGCTTGTATAGTTGCCATGCCATTCTTGGCAATCCTCTTGGGCGACTGGAGGATCCAACTGCTCGTCACTTTTCTCCAAAGGTCGAGCAAACGCATCCAGCTGATCCTGTGCTAAGATGCTGATCGGAAGCCTACCGAGTATATCTACGGTGCTGATAGATCAATGATGTCAGTTAAAGAAATAAGGATTGGGAAGTTATCCGGTGGGGGAGTAAAACATACCACGACCCAGCGAACAAGAGCCAAAATAGACGCTGTAGGAGCTGCCTTTCTGCCTCATCTAACCCTTGTTGATGATAGTACATCAAGTACCTCACCCCAGCTGTAGCCTCACTCATAGTATGATACGAGCGCACATCTATCAAGCCAATCTTTGAGCCGGAGTAAAATGCAGTACCCAGGTTGTACATGGTAATACACCAATCCAAGTTGTATGATGATTGAATATGACTTTTGGCCAGAAGCCGATTGCCATCGATATACTCCACGCATCTAGAAATGGTGATATGGTCGTAATCTTCGCATGGCAGTGTTGCCTTGGTAGCCGCGCACACACTGACGACGAGCGCACAGAAGAGAGGGTTGATATCTGCTTCTCCACTTTTTAATCGGCGCAGGAAGCGCCGTCGAAGAAGGATTGGGGCGACCGGGTGGATCCTGTCAAACCAATCTCTTAGAATACGGTTAATTAGGTCGAGAGATGCGAAAGTTGATAGCAGTTGGTTGGAACTTCTCCCCGAGGCCTCATGACTTGGGCTAATGGTTGGGATTGAGGGACAGGATTGACGTGATTGGGGAGATGAAGTAGAGTCATGTGTAGGTGAATCATAGCTGTATCTAGTTGGCAATTTTGTGGTACCAGGACTAGGCGCACTATTTCGAGAAGCATTTCTAGAGGTAATGGTTCAGCCAGGTCACTAAAGAGTTTACAACATCATTCGACTTTACCTTCCCTTTGGTCCACGTCTTTTTCTCGGCCGGTTGGCTGTGCATTCAATATCAAGGGTGAGGCATCCTCGGCATTTAGTATTATTAACATCGAAATAGCACTAGGGTTATAGTGTGTCAACGTCATGCGTTATGCCGGGGTCGTTAGACAGAGAATAACCTACTTTAGTCTTCCGTGAGCGACAGACGTCACAAGCTTTTTGATTTCGAAGTATGCTTGCTTCGTTCCCAGTTGACCCGATCATTCCCAGTCCCACACGCTGTGTTCGGATATTCCTCATCTCGGAGTAATGCGTGAAGGAATTATGGATTTGAGGGGGAGGAGAAGTTACGCGATCCGGCCGGAGTGGGCTCTTTATACCTCGCATAAACTTCGGCTAAACTTCCAAGCCACGTTCCCCCGCCCAGGCATCCTTCCAATTGGAGTTTTAGCAGCGGACCAGAATCCTGAATCATTTTTCCGAAAGTATTTCCGAGCTCCCCGAGGAACGAGTCAGACCCCCAAAGAGAATCGACTAGTGCACCCCGCACTCAATAATCTGGGGTGATCGAGTCTAGACTTGATGGAGAAGGGATTGCTCCGAATGACAGACAAGACACAAGTACAAAAGCTGCAGGGGAACATGATTTTCTGCTCTCAGAAAGAGGATTCTGCATTCGGCGAGTCAATTCATTAAGAATTATCTGATTATTGCGATATCTTGATAATGGACTCCAAAGAAGAGAGCGTTGTGAAACATGACCATGTTGAACTCGTTGACCGGGGCGACACTCCCAAAGGCTCCGATCTACCATTCTGGAAACAGAAACAGTTACGCAAACTATATGGCATGTTGATGTTTCTGTTTCTTGGATCGACGACCTTAGGATATGATGGCAGTCTTCTCAATGGTCTTCAAACCATGGATAATTGGCAAAATTGTAAGTTGTTCAAGCAAGTTTATAGCCCTGCAAACAGCTGACACAAAACAGTTTTCGGACATCCAACAGGATCCAGGCTCGGTATATTCGGTGCCATCCCAGGATTCGGTGGTCTTTTCGCCCTGCTTTTCGCCCCATACATTGCAGACGGCCTTGGGCGCAAGCGTGGAACCGCTATTGGCTGCATCTTCGTCGTTTTAGGTTCCCTTCTTCAAAGCTTCCCTCGCAACGGGAGTAGCTCACAGAGAGATGCCATGTATCTCTGCGGTCGTTTCATCATGGGATTTGGCTCCAATATCTCGAATGGAACGTGTCCGCTTCTCATCACGGAGATTGCGCACCCTCGTCACCGGGGCAAAATAACCACGATATACAATACCCTATGGTACGTGGGGAGCATCGTCGCGGCCTGGGTATGCTTTGGTACCTTGCAGCACCAGACTGGGAATACGCAATGGGTCCTTCCTACCGCTTTCCAGTGTCTAATGCCTGGGGTACAGCTTCTTGCCGTTTGGTTTGTCCCTGAAAGTCCACGATGGCTCATTAGCAAGGACCGAACAGAGGAAGCTCGAGAAATCCTGGTCAAGTATCATGGGAATGGTGACTCTGATGATGAGTTTGTCCGGTGGGAGTTCACTGAGATTGCGAATACATTGAGACTGGAACGTGAATTGTCGGGTAATGGTTGGGCAGAGATGATACGGACAAAGGGGAATCGGAAACGATGTGCCTTGATCATTGCCACCGCAATTTTCTCACAGTGCAGTGGGAACGGCCTGGTCTCTTACTATGTCGGTTCCATTTTTGAAGTCCCAGCATAGGCTTTGAAGGGTGATAGATGCTGACTATTGATACATAGCTTGCTACTATACTCAAGACGATTGGGATCACTGAGTAAGTCAAAGATTGCCTCTGCTTTGTTGATACTTGAAACGTATTGACTTCATTAGCTCGATCACCCAGTCTTACATCAACGGCGGTCTCACCATATGGTGCTGGCTTGTCTCACTTGGCGCCTCCTTCCTCGTTGACCGAGCTGGCCGTCGACTTCTCTTCCTCTTCGCTGGTGTCGGCATGCTGATAACATTCAGCATTTGGACCGCGTGCAGTGCCGTCTATGCAAATACTGAGTCCCTAGCCTCTGGAACTGCCGTGGTCGCAATGATATTCCCCTTTTATGGAATGGCAGGTGCAGCGTGGCCCGGACTGACGGTGTCGTATACGATCGAAATTTTGCCATATAATATTCGCGCCAAGGGTCTCACGCTGTGCTTTTGCTTCACAGCCCTCAGTGGCGTGTTCAACCAGTGGGTCAACCCTTTGGGGTTAGATAGTCTCCATTGGAAGTTCTACTTTGTCTATATCACCGTGTAAGTCTTTGGGACCTTCTCCTCGATGCAACCTATTGATGGACACTAACCTACCTTCCATGTTAGACTTGTGCTGGAGTGTTTGATAATATTCTTCTTCTTCCCGGAGACAAAGGGACCAACACTGGAGGAGATTGCCGTCATTTTCGATGGTGATAATTCTGCGGCGGGAATCGCTCAAGCCACGGCACATGAGAAGATGATCGAGTATCCGCGCACTGACCGTGATGTATGATGGGCTTCCAAGTGCTCGTGAGAGGATTGAACTAGCCCTGTGGCTTGGGATTGTAGTGGTGCTAAGTAGATAGTATATGCCCCTGTCATATTTTACTTACCTTGCGAAAAGAAATGAAGCGGTACGGCTAAATTCAATACATTTCATTCGGTTCATGAGTCGGCCTGTGTACCATGGACAGTAGGGAAAACGCTGGTATTGGTGAAGATTCTATCTCATATCACATAAAACATAACGTCGGTGAATGAATACGCTTAGGCAAGGAAAGTCTGCAACTTCGCCTTATCCAGGATCTCCGCCTCGATCAAGCGCGCGGTCTCGGAGATCTCTCCGTTGACGCGCTGATAGCGTACCAAGGCCGGCACGTTGTTGACCCTCCACTCCGTGCGGTAGACGTTCTTGGGCTCTTTCCACCTGGAGATAATATTAGCAAGTGCATTACTGAGAATGAATCCTGTATTCTGACGCGTACTTCAATTTATCTCCAACCGAGACGATAGCTACAGTTGGCGCATCGGGAGCGGCAAAAGCAGCATTGATATGCGGCAGCGCGGCACGAACATCAGGGCACCATGGTTGCTTGGTGATGGGATCATCTCCGGAGATGAAAGCAAGGAAGAGCTTGGAGTCGAGACCCTCGGACACTTCAAGGAGCTTTGCGGAGGCCGGCAGGGTGAAATTCTTGATGATAGGCATTTTGGTGGGGCGTTGGAGATGAAACAGGGATGTCGATTTTGGTGTTGATTCAGTTGAAGCGTGGTGCCAGGTGTCCTCAACTGTCCACTGCAGTCATAAAAGTGGGAGATCTTATGCGGTGTGAGTCTTCGGAGAAAATGATGCCATTCCAGTGCTTTGTTGGTTGATCGGCGATTCGGAGGTTTCGTGGAAAGTGGAAATTCTGCAACAACCCGCGGGTACGGCAGATAATAGCGTCTTATCGGGAAATGCATAATATGCCAAGCGTAACTTAGTTGCATCTGCATATCTAATCGCTTTCTACATATAGTCTCAGAATAATGACCATCGAATCTTTACATAAGAAGGCTGTAAGGACTTTTATACCATGTTAGAAGGATTTAACACAGAACATAGAACTTTTCCTGCGTGTTGATTTTTCTTGTGAATGTTTGTTACCGCTATTGTGTACACAAGGTGAGTATTCCCTAATGACCGCTATCAGCCGCGTATACGGGGCCACTCGACGGAGTTAGGTCTACACTGCACGATTTACACATAGCTAGTGAGAACCTGTGATGTCAACACCGAAGATAAGCGGCTTAGAGGCTGGAAAGGTCAAAATTTCCAGTCATAATTATCGAGATTGTATGCAATGAAGCGTGCTCCATTCTGTCCCGCTTATATATTTAAACAGACTAAGTCGTGGCAGTTATCTCCGGTCCTAAGAGGCTGAAGTCCTGATTACCACCAGATTCTAAAACTGCTGCTCATAAAAATGGCGTGGTATACCGAAATCTTGGATTTCTACCTGACTCAATCTTTCGTCTCATAGGTATCTACAGCCATTTCACGCAGGCCGAGTGCTTGTAGATGGCAGACGCCATAAGTAATCTGTTAAACACACTACGTCTATAGGCAAACCAGAGGTGAAAGAATATAAATGGCCTCGTTAACCGCCAGAGACCTTTAGTAGTTATCTAGGAAGTTGATCGTGTCCGTTTTTGTGTTTTTTATCTTCCCAAGATGCTCGATGAACCGCTATTTCGCCTGCAATTCTCAAGAAAGCATGCGATAACTTGAACACATAATGGTGAGGTTCTCGAGTTCTGAAATTTAGTGCTTAGAAGAGGGAACCTAGGGCGATTTAGGTGCCATCTCACGATGAGCTAGTCGCGGTGTCCGTATCGTAACTTTTGCACCCAATCACCAGCTCCAGGCGGGCTCGGCTAGCTGCCGATTTAACCGTTCCCTCCGTTGTAGCTACACTGTTCCCGCCTGATTCGAGTTATCTAGGCATTTTCTAATCCTGCAGTCGTATGTATTTATGCAAGTGTTCAACCGGGATGAACTCCTTTTTCGGCGCCCTTGGCAGAAATGCCGGCCTTTCTTGGCGCCTTGGCAGTGCTTAATATAGAAGGTGACAGGTTAACCCGCTTACCCTGTTGTATACACCAGGTTCCCATTGAGTCTTCCCCGCTTCCTGTTGTCCCAGAACCATCCTAGGGATGTGCCTGCAAACCATTTCTATTATTATCGTCTTGCTTGTTCTTCCCCTTCTTTCCTCTGAGCCTTTCATTCATTCCCGGGCTTAAGCAGATTGAATATGTTCTTGCTTCAGCCCCATGCAAGCATATTCTCGTATAGATACGTAGTCCGCCTCGTGGCTTTAGCACAGCCATCTAGGTAATCAATCTCTGCTGTTAACATCCTTTAGGTGTCTCATAACTTGTTAACCTCAGTTCATCCCACCCTGCCGACAAGCAACCTATAGCCGTAATGTAACCTCGTATACTAGTCTCTGCCCTAATGGCTTCCATTGCAACGACTTACCATTATCTACAAGAACCTGCATTTTTATTGGAGCGGAATACAATTGCATATGGTAATCCAAGGCTGGGAGAAGTTGAAGGGGATATGCATTTGTTGTTTTTGTAGCCAAATTTATCTATCTAGTCATTCCGAAGGTGTATATAAGGAGCATGAAATCCATTCTATTCCCAGATATTCTACAGTGCTTAAAAACATATTCAACCTCTTTACATTCTACCAATATGAAGGCAATCTCTACCATCCTCTGCCTCGCCCTGCCTCTGCTGGCGAGCGCCGCTCCGGGCCTCCAAAAAAGGACAATGTGCAACGTCTTCAATAACGACGGTGCTGTGAAGTGCAGAAGCAAGCCAAACTTTGATGCTCATATAGTCACTACCATTGGAGACGGAGATGCTTGGGACTTTTCTTGCTACAAGTCGGGAGATTGCTATGAGGGCGTCTGGTATGTATACAATCCAATGGTCAAGGAAATTACAGACAATTCTAACAGTGCTTAGCTCATGGGATTACAACTGGGAGTTGAAGTGCTATATCAACGGATATTATACTTCAGATCAATGCAATTCCAGTAAAGCCACCACCTCCTCGAGAATATGGGATTCCGAGACTGACAAGACTTCTATCACTACAGAGAATCTGCCAAAATGTTGAAGTGGGTAGATTTCTACTATTTGGACGAAAATTATTTCCCTATTACCCAGAGAACTAGAAATCTGCCAAGGAGCACAATAAGAAGCAGAGCAATAGCAATGCATTCTCTACGGCTGTGGGGTATGTCCAATATCACAAGAGTCAGCTTGATTTATCATTTATTTTGCACATATTTTCCAATGTACAAATGTTTCTTGTTCATACTGGTTCGGGTCAATAAAATCATTCCGAGATGCACATAACATTCCAACCCTAGCCTGTGGGATTACGGGTAACTCAATAGTGACCTCCTCTTTAATTCCGCAACAAATCATACGTTTTGGGTTTCTATCAATACTAGCCTATGATATTTCCGCGAGTCTACAGAATACATTCATCGGCTCGCCATGTCAGATAAAGTAGTTTGATCAGCCGCGAAAGCTGGTCTCAACCGGAGCAACTCACCATATGCGGAATATTTGTACGGATCCTTCATCGCGGCACATAATTAGAAAGCGAGAACTTAGTGGGGATCTCGTATTCAAGAACACGAGATACAATGATAGCAACCGTCGTGATTAGTGCAATCCTCAAACTAAAGCTCGTATTATTTTAGCGCGACGCCTCCCTCCGGGTACAGAATCAGTGTCAGCAATCTCAGGAACAGAGGTAGCGAGAATCAAAGGTATAAATCTTCTGGATTGAACTTGACCCTTATCATTCTTTGCCACATCCTTTTTCAATCTCAATATAAAGTTTCTGATACAATCGCAGACTCAAAATGTCTTCGCCCGACGGACTTGTCCCTATTATCATCAACCTCGCAGGTCAAACTAGGATCAATGAAGTGGTCCTAGCGGATGAGAACATTGAATCCTTTGAGGTTCTCGCCGCCGGCTTCTACCAGAGCTTGCGCCCCAATATTCCAGAGTTCTACTTGGAGCAGGGAGAACGAACCATCACCAAGATGTGGGTGGAATGGAATCAAGGAGGCGCCAACTTCCTCCCCATGGAGACGGAGATTACCGAGGTCAATCTCCGTGCAGTCCTTCGATTGCTCGCTGTGCGACGAGGCGTTGACATGATTCGCGTGTGGCTGAATGAGATTGATTAAGCTTGGGTACGTCTTAGAAAGCAAATGCATAATTGAAGTGATTTTCGTCTGACCTTTGCCAGTCTCCATTGTTCTTCCATCCGTGTTCGATGAGATACATCTCCACAAGGCTATTTGTCGACGTGAGGAGGTTCATTCCGTGATGGACCCAGCAGAATTGGTGTATTTTACAACTTATCCAAGTCGATGTGAGGGATAGTATTATTATGGAGATTGGGTAGATCCCTATTTTGTACAATTGGTGGATGGTTTCATGGGAATTCAGGTCAATCTAGAACACTTCGTAGGTAAAAGCTGCCACTAATAGACCCATAAGCTGGAGGCACCCCCAGGACTCGAACGAAGTACGCAATGTCTTGGATAAAATTTGAAAGCATAGAGCTACCATTTTTACTCTAATTAGTGACGCTTGCAGCAAAACCGGGTGGCTGAACTCTACTCACGAAGTCCTACTTCAGTAGGAAATATCGCGTGGTTATTTTCCTGAGGGCATCGGGCATCTTCCACCCGACCCAAACTTTCCTATTGACGTCCTAATAAGCTTATTGCCTGTGACTTAAGGAACCAGAATATACAGAATATCTTCGAGGTCAAGAATGAGTATAGGAATTCCTCCCATATTTAGCCACTGGCTTTGTTTTCATACTCCAGGAAAGGAACTGGGTCGAGTTCATGGCATTGGCTGAATTGCACAAATTCAGCGTCAGATAAAGTAGCACGTCTCTGAGTGATTCCAGTCAACGTTCATATGCAGTGGTAGAAGGCATGAGAAAGAAGAGTCTGGGAAAAAGCAAAAAGAGGAGAACAGAGAACAGAGTCTATACTACATACAGAACGGCCAGGGTAGCGATTTTATGTCAAGCATGTCTTGGAATTACGTCTTACTTGAACAGTACAGTTGAATCAAGGATGTAAACCTCTGGAAATTTATACCATTTAGGCAATATACAGTTCTCGATTATCATTAAAAACTCCCCCTCTTCTTCACACCCGATATTTGACATCCATTAGTAGATATTATCATCACTGCAAATGTGAACTCAGCGGCAAATCCCGACTCGACCGTCCAACATACACTCTCTTGGGCGATTTCGTAACCCGCCAGTTTTGCGCCTTGACATCCCAGTTGCTCAAATCACGACGCGTCAAGGTAGCACGGAATGTTGCGCTCTGACCAGGGAGCAGATGAATCCTGTCAAAGTTTCTCAACTGGCGAGGCGGGTTGTCACCCCCGAGATCCACGTAAAGTTGGACGACTTCGTCGCCGGCCACTTTGCCAGTGTTTGTGATCTTTGCGGTGACCTCGTATAGTTCGTCGTAGAGCATGTTGTTGCCACCACTGGCCACCTGGTCTCCGGCGGGATTGAGAGGCTGAGGGGATCCGTCGCGTGCGTGGGGAGGGATGAAGTCTGTACGACCGTATTCGGGATCCTTGGAGGCAGCGCGGAGAGAGACTGTGCTGTTGAGGTAGGGGTAAATGAAGGCCTTGATGTACTTGAATGTAGAAGGGAACTCGTAGGCATTCAGATCTTGGCTTGGTGGCTGTCCGACGGAAGGTGCTTGAGCAGTGGCACCGGTCGTGGGACTGTATGGTCGAGCATGCTTCTTGACAACACGGAGATCGGAGTATTGGAAGGTGGTATAGGAAAGGCCATATCCAAACTCGTAAATTGGCTCGATCCCAGCTTTGTCGAAATGGCGATAGTCAAGGTAGATCCCCTCGGTGAAATCCTGTTGGGGTGCTCTCTGTCCGTTGTTGGGCTCGTACATGATATCTGTGCCATAGTCCTCTCGACTTTTAGCCCAGGTGAACGGAGTGCGACCGGCAGGGTTGACCTCGCCCCAGAGAATGTCCACTAGGGCATTACCGGATTCTTCACCTGGCATGCCTGCCCAGACAATAGCTGTGATATTCGGGTGCTCATATAGATCATTCAGCAGCACTGGTCCGACAGAGTGAAGGACAACGATAGTGTTGTTGCACAGCGAGCTGACAGTGCTAATCACTTGATCGGCGTTTTGCCAGAGTGTCAAATTGTTACGGTCACCCCAATTATTGTCGACAGTGATGTAGCCTTCACCAGAGTCGGCATTTGCAAAGACGATGCAGGTTGCCTCAGGCTGCGAGACAAGGGAGGAAATAGCATTGTCGTCATAGTTGTCAAAGATGCTCTCGTAACGACCACCGTATTCGAGGACCTTGGACTGAATAGCAGAGTCAGGAGTGACCAGGTAAGGGAACTCGGTAGACCCAGATCCCCATCCCATTGCGAGAGTGCCTTGGTCACATCCGCGGTCTGCGCAGCCATTAGGACCCTTGGGGTTCGGCCCGGCATCCTCACCAATGACAGCAACAAACTTGGGCTGCTTCAGAGGAAGAGTGCCAAAGTTATTCTTTAGTAGAACTGTACCCTTCGCGGCAGTCTCACGAATGAGCTTATTATGGTCGCTACGGACATCAACGTGCCAGTTAACCTGCTCGTAATCTTCCTTGCCATAGGCGTATTTAAACCCGTAGGTGTCATGGGTCCAGGCATTGAAATTGACATCTGGTTGATCCTCAATTTTGAGGCCAACTTTAAAGTACGCAGCCATGATACGCATCGCCATGTCATCCAGGCGCCATTCGGGGACTGTGCCGTTCAGAATTGCGATAGTGAGATTAGAGCCCCAGAAGCTCAAGCCGGAATCAAACCCAGTGTCACCCGGCATACTCATGTCAAGTCCAGCCAGGGCTGACGACACTCCAGAGTGGTGGGCACCCCAATCGCTCATGACAAAACCTTGGAAGCCCAATTCGCTCTTTAAAAGCTTGTTGAGAGTCTGACTGTTCTGGCATCCGTAGGAGTTGTTGATCTGAGAGTAAGAGCACATGAAAGAACCCACACCAGCGCGGACGGCATCAGCAAATGGCCACAAGTATAACTCATGCATGGCACGGTCGTCGATATTAGATGAGATAGTATCGGAGATAGTGTATCCGTGACCTGCAGATTCACCAACTTGACGGAAATGCTCCTGCTCGTTTCCAATATAATGCTTAGCACAAGCAATTACTCCGGTATCCTGCATGCCCTTGATAGTCTCGGCCATGGCAATACCGGTCAAGACTGGATCTGGGGAAAACCCTTCCCAGTTACGCCCGCCCTCGGGACTGCGACCAAGGGGACCGGCAACCGGGCCCAATTGAACGGTGACACCCTTGCCCTTGTGTTCCTGTGCCATGGCACGGCCTCGTTGGTAAAGAATTGAGCGATCAAATGTGGCGGCAGCCATCTGGCTAGACGTGAAAGCGGAGGCATAATCCGCGAACCGAACACCTTGTGGTGAATCCTGGGCGCAAAAGCCCTTGAATCCTAGACGAGGAATTGATCCCGTGTTTCCTACACATGGTCCATTTTCCCAGCTTCATAAAGTCAGTGGCTCGTCGCGTTATAAACCAGCAGAGGCTAGAGAAACTTACCCAACACCCGTTGTCAGGTTGATTTTCTCCAAGACGGTGAGCTGCGAGACAAAATCATGGGCTTTCTGATATGCGGCTTCCCAGCCCTCAGCGTGAGGATTCATCCATGGCGATGGGTAGAAAGGCGCTGAGAACGATTCTTTAGCTTGAGGCCCGTGGAGAAAAGCGGGCTGTGAGTAAAACAATTAGTCAAGTCAAAACGCGTCTATTAGCGTGATAACATACCTCGTGCTCTTGCATGGGCTGCGCAGTTGCAGCAACCTGGCTCGCCCATGACGCGACGGCCAGAAAGATCGTAGAGCCTTGCATCTTTCAGGCACTGGGTTATTGTCGACGGAGAGTGTTAAGCCGACCTGGAGGTCCGTCTTGGGTCTCTTGTATTTCAAGTGCTGACAAGAGGGGGCGTGCGCAATGTAGCCATTGAGATCCCATCACATTCTTATATCGCGTCGAGTATTCTCGCGTCCTGGGTCACGTTGTCAAAGGGCGGGATAGGGTGTATCCGCGTGCCCCGAGCTGTTTTTTGTTGGAAGGAGCTTGGACCCTTCATACCTCATAGTGAGGGCTCTCATTCGCGATACTCCACAAGAGTAGGGTCGCAAGCGTCAATCAGTAACAATTCGTACCAGCTTGAGACCCTGATGGTCATCTCCCAGCGGAGCCCGCATAGCCGTACACCCGATTCATTCGAATTAAACAGTCAACTGGTTCAGCGGCTGTTGTGTTCTGTTGTGGTGGGTCGGCTAGCGATGGCGCAAGGTATGTAGATAGCCATCCCTTGTGCATCCCTGCCAAGAATTGTTCCTCGCAGCGTTGACAGGTATGATCGTGGAGATCATCCGATGAAGGAATATAATTCGATATCAGAAGGCAGTCGCTGTAACTTCGGGTAAACTCCGCCAGCGGCATGTTTTCTACTGGGACGAGAATCGTGAAGATGGAGATGTCCCTGCCGTTGATGCAAAAGTGCAGATGCTCCGCTCAAAGCTTGCGTACGCATGACTAGTGTTTCTCCGAGAGCTCATCCATTCTAACAAACATTTTTAAGCTCTTTGATTCGATATTAGGTTCAAATAGCGCACCGGCATCGATTTAACCTTGATATCTCGATACCCGAGTAGTAGTAGTCCAGTGTCAACAGAGGAGGTTCGGAATGTGGCTGCTCATTGGTTGTCGAGGTGGAAATGCGGGGACGGGCCCACATGCAAACAGCCCAAACAAAGGTATCACTATCAAATTATGCAGCATGAAATGGCTCGAAAGTATATTAAGGGTATATCAGATATAAAAAAGATTAGTTTGGTTAATTGTAGAGACAGGAGTTAGAAAAAGAGATCAAAACATCTGGGCTGGCTCAAGTAGAAGTAGTCCAAGCTTCAAGGGTAGAAGACCGAAGAAAGTGTCCATTGGAGTATGGAGGAGGCAAGGTAAAAGGTCTGAATAGCCTCATGGAGCAAATCTAGAGTGTACAGGGGTGTTGAGCAGTGAATATCGAGGAAAGGCAAGCACCTGCCTCTTTGCGCTCTCTTGACGATCCTTAGATCAGTTCCAGTAGTCCCCAAGCACCCAGAACCACCCGTGTCCAAGTGGTAATACTTCTCCACGGGGTGCTTCAAGATACGCTCTGTTGCGGTGGCTTCTTTGGGAGGCATCGGTTCGAACCCCCGGCGTGCTTTACCGGGTTGCTGTGGTGAAGCGATACCACTTGACTCAGGTGGATGAGAGCCCTCCCCAGAGGAAAGAGATGCGCAGGCGGTTTGGGGCCCTTCGGAGATTTTTTTGGCATTTATTAATTAATAATCGTGTTTATTTGCTGTGTATTTGTGCTGCTTTGATTATTCAGTGGATGGTGGTGGCGTGGATCAGCCTTGATATCCAAATCTGGGGCCCCGCACTTTTGATAGCTCCACCACCTTATTTGGTGACCTACCCACCCAAGTTGGATTACAACCTTTAAACACATAAAAACACTATCTCTTAATTGAATAATGTGGCAATGAAAAATACTTGATTCAATTTGAGCTACTTTCGCACCCAAAGCTCATCGTATTTCCGACTGAACACAGCTGCCATCGTCACATCGCGGACCCAAATAGTGACTATTTCTGCGGAGTGATGAAACCACAATTAAATAATTGGTTCCCCAGGTACTCCAGGTCTGATACCATTATAAGTCTATAAGCTGTCAGTCATAGTTATCATTCTTCGGACTTGGGATTTATACTTACAACAGATCCCATAATCTTGTTAGCATCCTTGGCGGTACCACTAACATTACCCAGAACAGTGCCCCCATGGTTTGTAATACCGCGATTGTCGACATTGCCTTGAGTTATAACAATGCTCTGCTCACTAGTCAGCAACTAACAGTAAGATGATTGTTTATCAGAGGAAAACAAACCTGTGCATCCAATCCCCTAACCCCTCCACTGGTCAAACTCTGAGCCTTATCCATTTCCTTAATCCACTGACACAACTTCCCCACAACATTCTTATAATCCGCACTATCCTCATCACGAAATTTGCACATGGCAATATGATCCTTCGAGATTGAGAGAGCATCAACGCCCAGCCAGCTCGCAGACTCCTTGGTCACAATCTTCCCAATCTTGATCCGGCCTCTATACAACGACTCGTCTTCAAAGAAACAGGCCACTTCGAGGAAGGGCTTGGTTCGCGAACGATCCCGCTCTTTCAGAAACTTTGCAAAAGTGTTGTTGATACTTATCAGCTTGGCGGAACTTTCTTCAAGATCGTGGATGTTTTGACTAGCTGTGGTTTTGAAGTAGGACAATATGTCTGCGGCGAAACGACCATATTTCGCTTTAGCGGAGCCGTGGAATGGGGTTCCAAGGAAGAGGGTTCCAATGGTTCTGTCGGCGATTTCTTTGGCGGCTTCGTCGGTGCCGTGTGGTCGGGAGAGGGCATTGGCTACGACGAGGCCGCCTAAGCTGTGTGCGACGAAGATGATGGGACGATCGGTCTAGGTTTGATGATTTCGTTAGAGTGGTCTTGGGTGGTATGAAAGATATTACTCACTGTGTTGGTCTTGCCTCGCAACCCGACTAGAGCATGCAGTAAAGATGACGAGTAGTTATCGATTGTCAAGTCAGTCGAAATGCCCTTCGCATTATCGGGTGGGAAGAAATATGCAAAGTCCGAGTTATATCCAAAGGACACAATTCGTGCCGTGGGACAATCCGTGGGTAGGAGAGTCTTGGGCCAGAACTGGGAGATGTCATCTTGTTTGTATGTCCCTAAGTTACTCAAATTTGATCAGAATATGCCTGATTCGGAAGTAATGGTACAGAGTAGAATAGTCTTGTATTCGAAGGATATGATCAGTGGATCAAATCACTTACATGTGTCGACTCTATCTCCAGAAAGGCCATGAACGAAGACAATACTATAATAGTTGTTAATTGAATTCCTAACTGCGGCACGTTCGCAACGTACTCTACTTTACCATTTTCCTTTGGATCGAAGAGAACATCCCCAAGACCTTCTCTGATAGGCCCGGTAGAGCTTGTGGATTCAGTCATATCGACTCGTATTGGCAAAAGGCCAAAGTTAAAATGACAATGACTCAAGCAAAAGCTAAGTTATCACTAAATATTACAGTTAGAAAGAGGAGTCAACCAGGCTCTAATAAACCTACATTTATGAGTCTCCCCCTCTCAGCCTCAGTCTGTACTAGAATTATGACGCATGCTATCATGCAACTCCTCACGAGGCGTTTATCAGCAACTGCAACCGACATGTGTAGAAAATCTACAATTGGCCGCCATCCCATCCAAACCTCGTGGCAGTCTGCACCTCAGCCCACCAAACATCCCCTCATCTTCAACGAGTCCCAATCCAGCCAATGCCGATGCCACATTAGCGATGCACGTATCTGCAGGATAGCCGTGTGGCTTCCGCAGGAAGGAATCAGCGAGGATTGATAGGCGCCCGGGCTTAGTGGCGGCAGGCTGACGGTCAGCTGCATGGTGATGGAGATGCGGGAAGAACGCCCTGCGCCCGGGTTGTCTGTTTGAGAGCGATCGACCATGCACGAACAGCGAGGAAACTTGAAGCGATGGCGGTGCTTGCGTTCTCTTGTTTTCCCACTGGTTCCAGCTGAGCCTCAGGGCCCTCGGTCGCGACTTGCATCGACTCGAGACGATTAACTCATCACTGTTGACTATCGAGCATGATGGCTAGTTCATACTTCTGTATGAACAATCTGTCGATGATATCTTTTTTCTTGGGTTTCAACATATCTTGATGGATGAGGGAGAAAGCTGATCTTGTCATCGCTTCCTCCCTCGGGTCCAACCTAGCTTGATCGCATGGCAGACCCGCCAACCCCTCCCCACACCCCCGCCAGCTCGTCCAAAGGCACATCAAATGTCAACCAGGGGAATGTAGATAACAGGGATATCGCGAACAACGGAGGGGTCGTCGCTGGAAATGTTAACGGGTTCAACACGATAGTCGGTAATCTTTGGGCCTGACGAATTACCTGCTGCATATAGTTACTGATCAGGCCAGGAACCTTGAATCTAACCGTTCATTCCGCGAATGAACTCACGAATAATATCCAAACGTTTACTGCTCGCGTTGCAACGGCTGCCGAGAGGTTAAGGGATGTTGAAACCCGGATTCTAGCGACATCTCATCTTCTGGGTAGCATTCGCGAGTTAGTTATTTCGCGAGCAGCGAAGGAGAATATCAAAATCGACAGAGATTTTCGACTTCAGGGTGGGGATGGAACAGGTACTGGAAGCGACATTCCATCAAATGAGGGAGCAACAGGTGGAAATGGAGCCGGTGAAGGTACCAGAGGGGGGGTTCAGCCTGTTCAACCTCCAGGAGGAAGTTCAAATGGACCAGAACCAAACATCTTGGACAAGGCCTGTTTTCGCGACTTGGTGAATGCGAGTAAAAGTGCGGCCGAGCGATTTGAGCGCATCAATACGAAGATTCAGGAGGCTTTCAACAATGTCGAGCATATGCAAAGAGGGCGGTCCAAGATTGAATTAAGCGATGACGACCGGGCAAAGTTCTTTTTGACGGAGACGGACATTGATCATATGGAAAGACAGATCGATAGTCACAGGCTGGAGGTCCAGATCGCCTTGACTGCCTTTGAAGCGACTATGTAAGTATACATCGAGAAGATGATCCGATGGATGGAAGATCAGTTGACTAACATTGACCCACAGGAGTGAAAAGCGTTCCGCGGATATTCAATCGACGATTCTGGAAATGTTCAAAGAAATCAAGAAAATTGCAGAGTACTTCTTGAATGGCGGCCGTGAACCTCCGGAAAGAACTCGAGGTCCAAACGAACCAGGACGACATCACCGAGAGCCAGGATTAGAGCCATACCCCTCCCACAGACCGTATCAATATAGACGGCCTTTCGTCTTCCCCGACCTCTCCAGATTGACATCCCTTTACCTGGGATGGACTTTTACCAAAGGAAGGCCACCATATGTCCACATAAATACAACATCCACGCAGCCGTCGTGGCGATGGGCTGTTTGCAGTCAAATGGCCCTTTCAACTGAAGAACTTTTCCTAAAGGTTCTGGCCCAGACTACTAGGCGCTCAAAGCTCCGGCGTTCCATCCAAGATGACTGCAAAGACTTGTTGAAGACGAGTGTTCAAAGGATGCTCGTTGACACTTTGCTGCGTGAGCAAAATAGGAATTTGTCCATGCAACATCCAGCTTTGGAGTTGAAATTGGCAGGCTTGTCGTGTAAGACGAAAAGGATTGGCTTTTTCAGCCATGAGACTAAGAGTATCGATGTCATCTTAAAGACGGAATGGGCTCCTGGACTTCCGCCACAAGGGCCGATACCAGCTGGAGGTGGAGGTGGAACACCTCCACCATCTGGTTTCGATTCTTACGGCCCTGGCAGGCCTCTTGGAGGAGGCGGAGGAGGAGGAGATGGTGGTGGCCCTAGATATCCCCCAGGTGGAGGCGATGGGGGCACCTTCTATCACCATGGCCCTAGTCGCACCAGTCACGGTACACACCATACTCCTGGAGGCACCAACAACATTCCTAGTCACACTAGACCATCTTCATCCAAGGCACATCAGCCACCGGGAGTTCACCATTCACATTCACACGCCCCATCAAAGTCCGCTCCCGAGATCGTCTCGAGTGACCGAATGTACCTCGTCAGAAAGAAAGCAAAGGGCAAACCCACAGCATCAGACAGCGAAGGGAGCCGCCGAGTATTCATCCGAGATAAAAGGGGCAATCTCACGATCTACCCCGAACATCGTCGTCCGACAAGCTCTCATGCTGATCACATCGATCGACCATCGACATCAGCTAAGGCAGATCATATCGTTTTTCCACAACCGTCTGGTCCACATGAAAGCTTTCACGACTCCAACGTCCGGAAGGAATATATCCCTGGTATTTTCCATCAAGCACGCACATACCCACCACGACCAGTCGCTGAAACAGTATACTCCTCCTCCTCTTCATCCTACTCATCCGACAACGAGCATGACGAGTACCACGAGTTCTACAGAATGCCACCCCCACACCAAGCAACAAGCATGCAAGTCTCCGCCCACGACATGACCCGCGAACAAGAAAAACGAATCATCGCCGAAATCTTGGCCGAATGGGAAGACGGCGTACACGGCAAACCAACCGCAAGACCAAACATCATCAACCTAGATCACGAGCAATCAAGGAAAGAAGAAGAACGCTCCAAAACCAGGCACTCATCAGCGATAGTCCCACACATTGGCCCTACACGCCGAATGATGATGGAAGTCGAACACGAAGCTCAGAGACAAGAAAAAATCGAAGAAAAAATTCGCGAGAGCCATCGCCTCGGGGGATCGTCTTTCCTGCACGCCCGTGAACCACATCACAAACACACGCGCAGCGGCTCGTATGAGAGATCGTCACACCACCGACGGAGACCGGAAGTGAAACTCTCGCACGGAGGCGCGGACCCATACACACAGTTCGAAATGGATACACGGTTCGCTAATGATGAGCGGCATTATCGTGCCTTCGCCGAACCTGGATTCGGTGCACCGGGACCGTCGAGGAGGTACGATGTACCCCTGAGGCCGGAGATACCGCATAGAGGACGAGAACGGTACGTGCATATAGACGAGGTAGAGCCGCGGATACATGTACGTGTGCCATCTAGGAGGCGGAGGGAGTATGATAGTTTGTCGTTCGTGGCACCTAGTGATTTGGTGGTGGAGGATTCTGAGAGTGTGAGAGTTATGCCTTCTCGGACAAGGGAGAGGGAACGTTCCCGAGTGGTTTTGGAGTCAGAGCCGGAACGATCCAGAGAACGCGGGAGGAGGAGGGTTGAGAGGAGGAGTCCTGGAGGGAAGTTGTATGATTCGGAGGAGGAGAGGGAGTTGGCTTCTACCTATAGCGGCTGAATGTTGTGGGTTGAAGCTGTCTTTTTACGTGATACCCAAGAATGCAATGTATACTTTGGAATGATTCTGATAGAAGTAAATGCGGTTCAATTGTATCGATCTATATATGCAATTTTCATTTCCATGCAAAGTATTATAGTGGGAAAAAGGTCCCACGTCCTCTGTCGTGTAGGCTGAATATCTGAAACAAGTGTCTGAGGTGGGTGAGAAAATGAAGAAGAATCTCAATGCCATGCAGCATAGCAAAAAGAACCACGAAAGAGAAAGAAAAGGTCAAAGACTGATCAAGAAGAAGAAAAAGAGAAGAGAAGAGAAATGAACAAAAAGACACATCCAGATATGCAATGCAATATTCAAGAATGCAGTCATGCAACCAATCACTTAAACCACAACCTCGCTCCCCCGTCGACTCCCAACCTTACTAGACCCAATCGCCTTAACAGTCCTCTGCGACGACCTCGACACCTGACTCACACTATCCGCGGGTCTAACAGGCTCCTCAAACTTAGACCTAGACGAATGCCTCGACGCCTTAGAATGCGAACGCGAGTGCTTCGAGTGTCTCGAATGATGCGAGTGATGCGAATGACTCGACCGTCCCGAGCGACTGCCACCAACCTGGCTAATCGAGTCATCAGGAGTAACATTCGAGTCGACATCGACATCAATCACGCTTTCGGGGAGTAGCACATGGCGAGCCGAGACGTGCGATTTAGGCGCTTGGCTGGGTGCAGGGCTGTAGAAGGAGTTTGCCGAGGATCCGGCGGGGAGGGGGATGTTGCGTGCGGATACGACGGATTTCCCGGATTGGCTGGGCATGGCGCTGTAGATTGAGCCAGCGGTGCCGGCGGGTAAGGGGATGTTTCGTGCTGAGCGGTATGAGGAGGCAGTGCTGCCGGCGCCGTCCTCGTGCTTGGACTGGGAATGGGATTTCACCGTGTGGACGCTGTGCGAGGATGATGCGCGGTAGACGGTACGGCTGTGCTCGGAGTATCCATCATCGGTGCTATGGCGGCGCTGTGTAGCTGATGCCTTGATAGTAGAAGCGGTGTGTACACTTCCGGCTCGTGGCTTGTCGGCTGCATAGCTGCTGATGAAGGTGCTGGGGTTGCATGGGTAGCGCTGCTGTGCGGCGTTGCTAGCGGGTTGGTACTCGATTGCGCGGAGTGGCAGGTCCTCTGGGATAGAAAAGACGCTGCCACCTTCCGAGGCGCGACGACCGTATTCATCTTGGTAGTACTCCGTAGCCTCGTAGATGGTGCTGGCGCGCGGGTTCTTGGACATAACGCTGCGCGACGTCGTGGAGCGGGCAGCAGAGGCAGAGGTGTAGACGCTGCGGGCGGGAGGTGCCTCGATGGCACGGAGGAGGGGTTGCACTTGTGATCTTGCCTCTGAGAATTGGGAGGCTGCGGCCATCAATTGTGGAAGATCGGGTGCGTATTGCTGCTGGAATTGCTGTGCCTGATATTGGGGTGGGGGTGCCTCTTTGGATTCAGACGTCGTCGATTGCGAGTCACCTTTCACCATGGCATAAGCAACAGCAGCACCGGCAGCGGCGCCGATGAGTGTGCCAATGATAGTTTTGGCGGCTTTACTGCCATCGTCGACCTTTTGGACCGGTGGTGGACCATAGGCGAGGGCTGAACCCGTCGACTTTTGGGAGACCACCGTCGGAGCGGGGGCGACCTTTTCGATGGCGCTTGGTGCTTTTGATATTGCACGCGACTTGGCGGCTTCTGACTTGGGCGGTGCGACGCTGACAGCCTTTGACACCACAGAGCGGTTCTCCAGCAGAGCTATTGTCGGACCTCCAGCTTCTGATGCCACGACGGACCCACTAGGACGGTAGACTGCCTCGATGCTGTTTCCGTCAAAGTCGATCACGGCGGCGCTGTGGTAACCGGAGACCGAGTCGCGGGTTCGTGGCTCGCCATGGAACTTGCCGCCGGCTTGGATGGCCTGGTGGAAGAATGCGGTGACGGCATCTTTGGATGGCGCGGGGAATGCTACATGCGCTGCGCTGGGGAGAACCCTGTAAGGTTGATGTTAGCAAGGTATACTCCAACTCCAGATGGGCCGGACCCCGCAATCCCAGATCAAGCGCTAACATACCCAGGCTTCTGCTCGGTAATCCAGAAATCCGCCGGCTCTCCCTGCTTTTGTCCAAAACCAATATAGTCATCGTGTCGACCGATAAACTGGTATCCCAAAGGCTGGAGGCAGGAGAGGAAGAATGAGGTGGAGGTGGGGAGATGCGAGACGGTCAGGGTCAGATGGGAGACGGGCATGTCGAGAAGTTGGTAGGAAGGAATCAAGCCAGCACGTGGAGGAAACTGGCTTAGAATATAAAGCTTGAATTGGCGTTTGCAAGAATAAGTGTAGAAGAAAGAAAAAAAGAAGCCCTGCACCTCGAAGCAAGGAATGAATATATACGGTGAAGCAGAGAGGAGTATAGAGAAACCGCAACTATGACACACCAGTCACGACACCGCGAATAATGAAAAAGGGGAAAAGTCTCCAGTTCCAGAAAAAGAAATCCAATTACAGTAGTAAGAAGACCACTTAGCTAGCCAACTAAGTTAGTCGTAGCTCTGGTTGTCAGTAGAGTAATCCACCTTCTGCCCAAAAAGCGCCCGCCAGTAATCGCCCGAATCGCCGTCCGCGCTGGCCACCGCAGTCGTCCGAGAAAGGCAAGCCACCAGCCTAACCGGGCCCCAGCAGTTACAGTACAGTAGTAGTACTGCGTCCAGTAGTTAATGTGGGACCCTGACTAGCCCTGGACTCGCCCTCGAGGCGGTCATGCATGAAAAAAAGCCCGTGGGAGGGCGGAAAAAGTGGACGGTGGATCACCGAAGACACTGGATGACTGGCTTTCGGAAGAGCCAAATCAAAAGCCGGGTTCTCATCCCGCCAGGGCAAGAGAACAATACTGTAATGCTCTTGAACCAAGATCACTAGGCCTTCTACCCGATCGAGCGATCTGCACCGGGAAAGCTAGTGGTGAAACGCCTGCCCCGCGGACTGGCTGTCAGGGCATCGCGGCGTGAGGCGGCCACCAGGCTCGGGCCTTGTTGGCCGTACCATAGACGAGAAGTCGTAGATCCTCATCCCACCTTCCTGCAAGTTGCTCATCCAGGAGGCAGTCCAGTCAACAGTATAACCGCCCAACCGAACCGACGAGGCAAAATACCAGACCAAAGCCCAACCCAATAAATCCAATTTCAATCAAATCACATCCTATTCCGACAACCGACAACCGAGACCCAGACCCTGCAAGCTTCACCTTCACCAAACCCAGTACAGTAGGTTCGCTATGTATTCCGAACACACCAGCGGGGCCCTCGCTCGGAGCCCAGGGTGGCCAAGTCAGCGCGGGGACAGCATGGAAGAGTGGAGCTTGGCAGAGGGGAGCAGAAATGCGTGGATGAGTACGAGTGGGCAGTAGAACTGGGTGTATTCTCGTGCTGGAAGGGAATGGACAAATGAAGGGACTAAAAACTGCTTTGGGTGGGTTTTTGGTCGGTGGAGACGGTGGAAATGTGCATTGGCCATTTGAAATGGAGGAGGACTTCGGAATTCGGTCGACGGGCTTGACCGCTACTGTACTGAGTACTGAGTACATACTACGGGAGGCTGGATGTGATTTTTTTAGACATGGATTTTGTAATTTTGTAGTCATTGGGAAGTTATTTGGAGATGAATGATTATTATCTTCTATTCTAGATGACTGTTGTAGGTGCTACCTGCACAAGAGTTCTATAGAAGTTCACTCTGCATCGATCGACTCGCTTATGCCAAGTGGATTCAAGAATACAGTAATCCTTGATTCTAACTACAGTCAGAGTAGACGTGTGCCCTGGGCAGATATGCAGAAAACCAGCATGAGGCTGGTACCTTAATTCCCTTCGAACATGCCATACCACCCTCGACTATACTCCGTCAACCATACTCCGTACAGTAAGTTCTACCATATATCAATAGAGTCGTAAAATCAATGACTCGTCTGGACAAAACATGCGCTCTTCCGATGAGCGGGTGCTCCGTATCTTAATTCGCCTCTGGGTACAATATTGTATTATGTTACTGAATCAGTGGATTTTTATGCTGTAGACTGTGGCGGGCCTTTGTGCAGGTAGGGTCAAAGTGAGGCGGACACTAAATACGTGCCACGTCGAGGATAACCGTTCGTACATACTAGCCAGGCCCGATTACAGTCTAACTATCTACTGTGCTACGTCTTACGTAGCTACTACTTGGACCTCACGTGTTGTTAGGCGTACAAAAGTCCGAAAGCTATTTACCAGATCCTGCTAGAAGCTACGTTTAGCTCGATGGAGCACTTCTAGCTCCACAGGTCACAGGACACAGACTACAAGCTACCTTACTATTTTAGTCGGCACATCTTAATACAATATGAAAATGTTACTGTATTCAAACACAATATGTGCCTAATCTCAGAAAGCCTTGTCAAGCAACAGGCTCCCGATATAATTTGCTGTTCACTTTTCTGGTCTCATCGCCACAGTCGAAGAGAAAGGGCTGCGCTGCGGAAAGAGAGGCTTTGAACGCTAGGGCTCTGGATCAGGACTGGATCGGCGAAAAGGAACCAAATGCCATCCAGTCCGAGTGTCTCTTTTTTTCGTTGGTTATTTCTGGATCTTGCCATGGGGGTTTCGTTCCAATGTCACGACGCTTTTCTGATCAAGCTCAAAAAAGTGTGCGACAATGGCAACAAACCCCCCACGAGAAGCTCTCCCCCAAAACTCAATTCCAGGGCAAAGGGGGAATCCCGATCCAGAAGAACAATTCGATATGATGTAATGCGACATGGCTGGCTAGGCCGTCCCGTCAAGACGCATTCTTCACGGGGTAATCAAGGATTCGATCAAAAACACAGGTAGAGATTAAAACATAGAATCAAGAGAAGAGAAGAGAGGGACGACAGCCAGCAAATGCAGAGAATAAACAAAACAAAAAAGGTAGAGGAATATTTGTTTCTTTCAATGTCGCATCCATGTCGAAATTGCTCCTCTCAGAATCGGGACTCCCCATCGGCCAGTCGGTCCAAGTCAAGACAAATCACGAAAACTCTCAAACTCAACAGAACCCGCCCGTGGTTCAGTCCCCCATCGCAAAGGAAATTCGTGGCGGTCATGGGCAACGCGGAGATGATGCCGGAAATCTGCGAACGGCAAGGCTCGAGGTGACGCGCGCGTAGCGCTGCGCGATTTTAGTTTTCCTCGATAGCCTCACTCACAGAATATCCCACACCTCCTCGGCGGCGTGGCAGAACTTGCTGCAAGCCACACTGGCACTCAGACTGTAGTTACTGATGGAGATGGTATCGTCCTTGAAGGAGTCGGCAAAGTCATCGTGACCCTTGGCCATGGCACCGACGAAAATGGCGATACTCTCGCGAGGACCCAGGGACTCGATGTAGTCCTTGGTACGGACGACGGGGGCCTCGAAACTCATGGTCACCTTACGGCAATTCGGGGGCAGGTGGTCGGTGATAGGGTTCTTGATAACCTTGAGCAGCTTCTCTTGGGAGTTGGTCGAGCGAATGGACAGGCGGTGCAGCAATTGAACCATCAGACCGGCGAAACGCTTGAATGTACGGGGAATGCGCACGGAGGGGTTAACTTCGATGAGGACACCCTTGGCGGTGTGGATGAAAATTTGCAGGCGGCCGGCCTTGTTGACGGGGGAATCGAGGAGGGTGAGAAGGCACTAAATGTAGAAGAGTATGTGTTAGGATAGATACAAGAAGAAAAATGTGTCTCCTGTGTCTGCTGCGTCTCCACATCACGCGACACTCGAGCGGGCCTAGAATCCATACCTGGTGGGTGATATCCGGACGAGCCTCGCTGATATCCCGGTTCATCTTACGCATGATACCAATGTGCTCGTCACTGTTCAACAGAGAATATTTCTCATCCTTGGCTCCAGCACGTCCGCTAGAGGCCCGGTAGGTCTCCAGACTGGCATTTGAGAGGATCACGATCAAACGCTGGGTGTCCTTGTCGTGCGACGGAATAGGCGCATGCTGCTCGGCCACGAGTTGCGGGAGCTCGGGCGGCGGGCACGACTGGGTCCCTGGCAAGTGTATGTCGTTAGCGGGTTGCACACTTGCGCCTGCGGGCTGGACCTTCCGGGCATGAGGAGGAGAAGGAGGAGATGACTGCTGCGGCCGCTGCTGGAGGTGATGGTGTTGCTGCTGGCCGGGCTGGAATGGAATAGCCGCGGCAAAAAGTTTCGACGGACTCAGTTGCACAGGCTCGGCTTCATCTTGCTTCGAAGCTAGCTTGTGCGAGTCTGTAGGGTCTGCCTGAAGGATCTGACTGGCAGAGTCCATGGTACAAGAATCCTCGTCGCGGGGAGATGAAAAATATTGGGGAGGGGGAAAGAGGGTAAAAAGCGGTAGATGGGGTGCAGGGAGAGGTGTAATAGAAAATTCCAAATAGCAACGAAAAAGAAGGGATCACTAACTCGCACGCTTTCGCTTTCCTGCCACTTGTGCGGTATCCGACATGATTTGGAGAGAGTTGATGAAGGTGAAGGTTTGGAGTGTCGAAGAGATTTTTGGAGGGTCCGCGCTGTCGGACGTTCCGCGGGTCAAAAGCGGGCCCGAAGGACTTTAGAGCAACTTATGGGGAACGACGTTGAACGGATTGATCAGCTTTGGATCTGGCCTCTATTTTTGTAGACTGCGATATTTGGGATTTGCGAGTTGAACACGTCGATGACTGATCACAAGCCTATTATGTAGGTACGGCATAACTAATTGCCTGACAGGCCTCCCCCCCCCTCTTCTTTACATAAGTCTAAGCTAAAGAAACTCCATAATAATCCCCGATCGGAGACTTTTCCAAGCACAGTAGGAGTAGCATACGGAGGTATGTTAGTTGATTGTTTTCTGTCAGTCTTACTGTCGGGGACTACACCGGACCGACTTCGGTGAAGATCCCCTCCTGAGATGCAGTCGGTGTCCGATCACCGAGCATATTTCTGCGCGCTACTGCAAATATACTGCAGTAGACTGGAAGCGACTAAGCTGTAGTCGGTGGTGTCAGAAATGGACACGGAGAGACAGAGTCTTTAGCAGCCCCCAGTTCAGCTATATAGTCAGCTACGCCCTTTATAACTACTCTGTTGGTCGCCTTTCACCAGCTTGACGAGGGCAGATCAGCTCTCAACCCTGAAGCATCCATCCCATCCCGCATTGGCGATGCGCCATGTGTAGCCAATAATCTGCACGAAAGTCGAGTCGCTGTCCATGCGAAAAAGAAAAGCTCTTCAGCTAAGCCATCACACCCCGCCCATATCGTACTCATCTCATGAGATGGAAGCGGGAGATCCATCGAAAACGATATAATCGAAGCATCGAGAATGTCGGTGAGATCCAGGGATCGGCCCCAATTCTGAGGTAATACGGGCGAACAATCAGCCTCGAGCACCATGCCCTTTCTAACGGTCCATTGGATTGCAAGAACCCTGCAGTGCTGACACCCGGATCGTCTTCCACTTGGATCAAGCTCAAACCCCCACTTTGCAGCTGGTGCCTGTCATTGCTCTTAGTTTCTTGATGTGGCGATCTGGCTTGTCATTATCTGGTCTGACGAAGCAATGGGACCCCGGTGCTTCGACTGGGGTAGCAGCATGGGATATGCATTCTGGCGTTTGTCCGTCTGGCCCATGACGAATCGAATCCAGAGCTCCATGGCATGTCCTGTAGAGTGCATAGATTCGCCACCCAAGTACCCCCGTGCTTCTGAAACTTTATGCTGTGCAAGCATACCCCCGGATCTCCGCGGTGGCCGGGGGTCAAAGGGGGGGCGCAGACCAAAAGTTGATGGAGGGCACTGCCGGCCTCTTGAGTTTCCTGCCCCTCTTCGTAATAGAGACAGGAGAAGACAAGAAGACGGATTGACAGGGAGAGTTTCGTAACGAGGAGCCAACGGTCAGGTCGAAGCCAATCAGTGTGCTGGATCAATGATCTTGCCCAGAGCTGTCTGGCCTGGGATCCAATCAGCAGTGACGGACGTGAGACGCCTCCCCGATAAAACCTCCGGTTTCTTCCTGAAGGAAAATAGTCGTAGGCGCCGTCCGGAGCCCCGGTGTGTCGTAAGGATTAGAGATCAGACCTCGACCCCAGACTGCCAGACTTTTGGGGCTAGATTTGGAGGAGTTGTCGAGGTGATTGATGATGGTGACGTTTGTTAATTTGAAGGGTTACCATTGGCGGGCTGGGAGATGCAACGGCGCTTCCTTGCACGATGCAACACGGGAACAGCCCAACACCAACTGGCTGGGCTGAGGCGTCCTTGGGTCTGTTTAGGCCTCTGGCCGTGTTAGTGTGGTTAGTCTTGGTCTCTCTGCCTGGCACTTGGTGGGATAACCTCATCCTTTTGTGGAAAACAGTCAGACTGTCAGAACAGCCCTGCCTAGCCTTAAGCCGTTGATCTTTCCAACTATAATTGTCATTGAATATAACCAAGCTGAAAAGACAATAGAATGGGGCTAAATCCTTTTAATTGCCTCCACGGTTGCCATCATTGGCCATATAGAAGAACCTGCTCCATCGTGTTTTGGACTGTATACGCGATGCGCGAGCTACTTGTCTCCTTGTTGGTTGGGGGCCCCATCCTTGAGGCTGGGATAACTCTCCCCCAAGCTCGCTGATTGCTCGAGCGAAACGAACCAAAAGGAAGAAATGAACAAATTAGCGACCTGGGCAAATCAGCGTCCAGTGTGGATGGTTCCTGGGCAGGAAAGGGGGGCGTAAAAGGAGGTCCCACCGAACATACCAGAGCGACGGGAATTTACAGCCATATAGGATTATGGAGAGGAATCATGGCCTGCCAACTATGACTCCAACCACGAGCAAATGAAGAGCATTGAAAATACGGCCTGGTGGAGAGAGAGAAGGAATAAGAAGACCTGGACAGGCAGCAGTTGGGGCTCAAACACTTTGAAAAAGTCTTTTGTTCTCAAAGACTTATTAGCCAGTAGCTTTTTTTCATCATCTTGCATACTCATCACCATTTTATGATTATACTGATTTTAATCTCTCATCCCTCCTCTCATCCTCCTCGTTCCGGTGGCGACTCTTGTGTCTTATTAAACTTATTAAACGCCCCATCGCAGCTCGTGTGGGCTCCTGTTGATCGCCCCGATTATTAAACTATCACTGTTCCCAAATCATCCATATTCTTGCTTTGCTCTTCTCATCCTAGCCGACTCTCTCTCCCCTCCGACCGGTATTCTTGATAACTGCTTCTCCCAGCAAGGGATACTGGCAAAGTAAGTGGCTGACCCGCGAAACTCACGAACCTGACCTGAACAATATGACCTAAACCAGTTAGCGCCACGCGTGCAGTGGAACCGGACGATCCGCCTATGTAAACTGGCAAAAATCCCCCCGTTGGAAAATAAACACCTTCTCCCCTCCCCTCCACAAAGATCAGACTTCCGGGGAGATGCCGTGGACTGTCACCAATTCTTTTAAGCGGTACGCGATTGCCCCAATCTCGCGACCCCGTCCGTCACTAACTCCCCTCCCCTTTTCTCCAGAGGCCTGATGAAAACATACGGAAGACCGACATGGCGCGTCTATGACGATGAACGGGCCGCGAAAAAAGACGCGTCCAAGATGAGTCCGACGAAGCAGAAACCAACCTTCAGTATGCGATTCGCGAGTCATCCGCCGCCGTCCTGTCCAGTCCCTCACGCCGCAACTCGGTCGTCTTGTCCGAAGGCACCCTCGACGATATCGACGATCTCACCACTCCTCCTTCCTCGCCACCGCCGCGTTTGACTCCTCCCCCCGCCAATACTCGCAAGCCAACCTTTGCCTTTCTCAAGCGCAAGCATAAAGAAGCCGCCGCCGGATCTCCTCTGACGGAAGTCAACTCCAACAGTGTGCGATCCTCAGCAGACCCGCCCAAGCAGCAGCAGCAACAGCAGCTCCATGCGCATCCACCACCTCCTCCGCAACCACAAAAGGCGACGCCGAAGCAGCCCGCGCTGCGTCAGATGCAGATTGACCTAGGCAGCGAGGTGCGCAAGACTTGTGCGACATGCGGGATGGAGTACATCCCCTCAAATACGGAAGATTCGGCATTGCACAAAAAATTCCACGAAATGAATTCGACGGGCGTCGACCTCGGCAAGGCTTTTATGCGCGCCAATGCTTCGCGCTGGGTTTACGAAGCTACCCGGTTTGATGAGGGTTACGTGGTTATTGTCGACCGCAAGGCCACGCCCAGTGCCAAGAACCAAGCGAAAAAGGTACTCGAGGTGGTCAATAAGGAGCTTTCATCGCCGGAGATTGAGGACGAGGTACTCTGGAGCCAGGCCGAACCTCCGAAACACCTACACACCGATAATACTGAGGAGAAGGTCGATCGATACCGAGTGTTTCTGCATATGAAGGACAGTCGCTGCGTGGGGCTATGTCTAACGGAGCGCATCTGGGAGGCGCGCCCGGTGGTCCAGGGTGAAACCAATGGCCACACGAACGGCTCGTCAGTGTCGGTCAAGGACGAGATTCATCCAGCGATCGTTGGAGTTTCACGAATTTGGACATCAGGCGCATCGCGACGAAAGGGCATTGCCTTGGATTTGTTGGATTGTGTTGTCAGCAATTTCATTTACGGCATGGAGATCCCCAAGGATAAGATTGCGTTCAGCCAACCCACGGAGAGTGGCAAGAAGCTGGCTCATAAATTCTTCGAGGATGATGAGACGTGGCATGTGTATAACGAGCGGTGATGGGTCTAACCAAACACCGCAATGGAGATCTGATGAAGACTATGGATGTGGCATCCATTTGTATGGGCAGTTTGCGGAGGTTGAGTGGTCTTTTTTTTCTTTCTGATCTTTTCAACCCGATCTTTATATTCTTACTGGGATTATTTTTTATGGCACACGGAGGGAGGGGGTCTTTTCTTTTTGTCTTTTTGGTTGGACTGGGGCTTGTTCGTTTTTTTTTTCTATTTCGTCTCTTGTTTCTTTGCGTTCTTCTAGCATTGTACCATACTATACGCCCCTGGTTGTCTCAGTCAAACCAAGAAGCCATTTCGTTTTCGATTTTCGATTTATTATTATCTATTTTCCAATCCTTCGATCGAATCTCCTAGTCCATTCGAGCAGTCACAGTTAGCCATGTGAGAAATGGAAGGATTGGGTTCGCGCCTGCAGCCTCTCGGGGCTCCCGGACACCCTCGGAGAGAGGGGGCGGATGGGATAAGAAGCGCGGGGGATCCTCCCCTCCTTCCAACCTTCTCTCCCACGAGACTGAGAGAGAGAGAAGAAACTCTCTCCGTCGCGATGTCTGGTTTCAATCCTTTCCGCGCGAGAAACCCAGACAGTAAGTTGAAAGAGCCCATCTCCCTTTCTCCCCTCGCCGATCCGCCACGTCCCGATAAGGCACGACCATGGGAATCCCCATTCAGCCAACATTCTTCCCCATCCTAGCGCGGCTTGATCTTGACCGCCATCCACGAGCGAAAATACTGATGGACTCGTCGGAATAATAGGTAGCTCCGCTGGTGCCACGGCATCACTCCCAATTCCCGACAATGCGTCGCTGGACCTGTTCTCCAAACCAGCTCCTTCGGTGCCTACCCAGCTGCCCAACGGTTACCCCAAGAAGCCTGCGTTATCCTTGGAACTCGAAACCGATGACTCGACTTCAACAGACGAACAGTCTGTGGATCCGTTCAATCCCGACCCTTCCGTGAGCGACATTGACAACGACCTTGGCTACGATGACAATACCCAGCGGAGAAGCTCCACGAGCTCGGCGCTCAATGATCGCCCGCGAGAATTCTTTGGGTCTGCTCCACATCCAGCTCCATCCGCCGATGGATCGACGACCACGCCATCATTCAACTTGCCATTTGTACCTGCTACACAAACCATGCGGTCAGGATCAGAGACTGGACTGACCTCGGACTCAAGCTCACCGCAAGAAAATGTCCCAATGCCGGTGACTCGCGATGGGGGCCAGACACAAACATCTCGATCTCCACCGGAGCTAGGCACCAGTACATCTCCGTCAAGTCGGTCCAACAAAGAAAAGAAGCCACCACCTCCCCCACGAAGTCATCATGGCAAACGTATTAGCACTGCTACGAATACTACGGCCAGCACCAGTGTCAATGCCGCTTCTTCGTCCTCTCACACCTCACCACCTCGATCTACTAACCGCCTCCCATACCATGCCTCCTCCCCGGAGAGCCAGATCTCTGCACGCCGGTCCGGTACCCCTAATGCCAGCTCGACAAGCCAGGCTCCGGGATCAGACTACTTCACCTTCTCGGTTTCTTCTGAAGACCAGCAGCGCGCACGAGCACCGGACCCGACCTATCCAGGCGAGTCCGTCCACCGCAGTACCTCTCAACATTCCCAGCACAAACGCCCCCCCACTCCCCCTCTAAGCCGCCGACATAGCCAGATGCGACGATCTAAGTCCATACAGTCCAAGTCAAGTGGCAGTCGTCTAACCATGTCCTCGCGTGATTCCGAGAGCACGGATAGCTCACAGCCTCCTAGCCCGGGTCCATCCACCCGCTCCCTGGCCTCTTCAATACCAGATCGCAAGCGTCTCAGCATGCCACCACCTGCCTCTAGGTCCAGGGAGAGGGAAGTTGAACTGCGTGCCGTGCCCGGGCATTCCCTACCCCCAGACTCCTTATCACCACCTCCCTCAACCAGCAGATCAAATCCTCCCCCGCCCGGTCGGCGTGCCTCTTCGCACGGCAGTATACTGTCCGGTGGCTCGTCCTCCTCCGTGGCACCTCCACCCCCGCCGCCTCCCGCGCCGCGCGCGAGACTCTGGTTCCCGTAGTAGCGAGGGGAGGCCGGTGTCACAGGTGATGGGGATGGAGGAAACACCTTTGCCGCAGCCATCTAATGCTCAGGATATCTTGGCTGATCTGTCCCGGCTGCAGAAGGAGGTGGATGATCTGCGTGGGCACTATGAGAGCCGCAAGGTTAGTCAATGATCCGGGGGCTTTGGGCGGGGCCAGGCCTGGGCCTGCGGGAGTCTGGTAGTCACTTGTACGAATGAACGAATCTATATTGAACTGTCTGTATTACTGGAGCTCTCTATATTCTATTTCTGCCTTTTAGCATATTATCAGATTGCACCGTGTAGTCAATCGCTTCTTAATAACTGCTCAATCTTGTGTAGTCCCTCAGCCAGTCAACGCAAACCGTCCCGCCAACTCCACTCTGATTGGCTTATCTCGCGGCCCGACATGACGTCGCCACAAAAGGCCCAATGGGTCCCTTTGCTCCCCGCAATTACCGTCGTCTTTTGACTTCAAGTCACTTTTTTAAATCCTCCTCACATCACGCCTCTTACTCTACAAGCTCTCTTGAACGACACCACAAGCTTTGCGATACCTTCTTTTTGGTCCAGATCTGGTGGTCAAATTCAACTCAACCTCAGACACAGCTCAAGATCCATCGAACAAGGAGATATAGATCGAATTAACCACCACGATGACCACGCCTACTCTGATCAACCTCCCCCCTCCTCCTTCTGACCCCGTCACTCCCTCGGACATGGGCCCGTAAGGATACCCCTCTTCCTCTGATTCCGTCAATTCCTTTCTACGGTCGCCCATACGATAAGACCTGCATCTACATTGAGCTAACGAATGATCCAGTGGCACCCCCAATTCCGGCCTCTCAGCGCTCTCCACGACCGCCATCAAAGATGGCCACCAGGGTGCTCCCTTCCCACATTCCCGCGGCCACGCACATCAATCCTCAACATCCTCCACAAACACCCTCGAAGCCGAGCGCGCAGACCGCATCTCCCGCCTCGCCGGCCTCGAGCGCGTCGCAACCGCCCGCGCCGGGGGCATCTACCCACCCGCCCATATCCCACCCGCACACATCCCAGGCTACTTCGACAGCCATGCATTTAAGGAGCGCAGCACCGTCGGCAGTGCCAGTGCAACTGGTAGCGTGGGTCACACGACCTGGGCATCGGGCAGCGAGGCCTTCTCGGCGGACAAAATGAGCGAGGACGTCGACGTGGATGACCGCGATAGTGTGGGGAATGTCAGTGATGAAGGAAATGCTAGTCTGGTTGGTTTTGGCGAGGGCGCTAATAGTACCATCTCCGGACCCACGAGTCGTCCGCCGCCCGGGCTGAATCGGATGTCTTCTGGTGGTGCCCGACCACCTAGTATGGGCAGTGCGGGTGTCAGCCCGAATGTGGCCCGTCCCGGGACGCTGGCTAGTTTCCTTCAGCAACAGCAGCAGTATGGGGCTGGGTATGGTGCTGGAGAGAACCCGATGGTCTCGTCTAGTCTGGCGGGCTCGATTACGCCTGAGCCTGTTCCTGAGGATGCCCGAATGGTCAATGGGATGACCTTTGATGAAGATGTTATTGATACCACGGTTCGCACACCGCGATTGGCTACGCCGAATCCTAATTCGGGTGGATTTGATACAGAGCATGAGTAGGGATCATGACCCTGAGCTGGTTCGAGAATAGCCATAAATTGGGTGGACGAGGTAATGGAGGGAGATTAAGAAGGGAGAACTCGGGTGGCGATTTCTTTGTTCTTTCGATCACACGTCAAAAATACTATGTGGTGGAATACTGAGATCCCCTTTACTGTTTCTTTGTCTCATGTTTACTGTTCTGTTTCTAGCCACTTGGATTTCTGGTGAATTTGGTTCGGATGTATTTCTATGGGAGGAGCTAGGTGGACTCGGACGAGGACTTGGGTGGCACTGGAACTGGGCCATGTATGGGGCTGGATATGAATGATGTGTATGTGATATGATAATTTCAAGCGTAGTTAGCAATTACTTTTGATTCTTTCGAAATATGTGGCTTGACTCGTATATCTGGTACAAAGATGGGGACCCGGCGCGAGTGGCGTAGCACATGTCCATTCTCAACAAATAGAGCAAGACGGTAGGCATGGATTTCTTATACAGACTATGACCTTTTTCTATATAGAATATCAAAGAAAAGCCCAATTCGTGGCCAATGACAGGGTACTCTCCAGTTCATACATCTCGGTAGATCCAGGGTGGCGTATATGGATCACGTGTAAAGGACAACAGGACAACATTCAAATCATTTCTACATAATATTTTCAATACGATCATCTAATTAATCCACGTAAACAATAAACGACTAGTCAACTCATATCATTCTAGATATATACAAAATTGCAAACATCAATCCCCATATAACGAATGGCTAGGCCCTTCGGCCCAGCCCGCAACGGCCAGCATGACGGCATGCCGCCTCCGAAAGGCCCCCAGTGACCGCACGCCAACACCCGAATTTTCATCTCTTTCATCCTCTTCCACCTTTCCCATCCCCCACTCCTCAACCACCTTAACTCCCTCTCCCTCCACACTCCCCCCTCCCCCTCCTCCCTTCTCCTCTTCGGACTCCGCCCCGCCCCCTGCTGGCATTGACTTGTCTAGCAATCCGACAGAGAGAAAAAAAGACTTCTGACCAACGTCTTTTCCCCCCGCGCCCACCGCTACGTGAATCTCCGCCACTTGCCTCGCTTCGCCCGCGCAATTGAGTTTCGCATCTCCAAGTCGAATCCTGCACGCCTCCCTTTGTGACTGCCTTCCCCTAAAGTCTTCGCCCGTATCCTCGCTGGTTTTGCTATCGTGCTTAACGCCGGTAGTCTTACTTTTTCACAACACTCTCGTCCTCGTTCGTCACGCGGGAAGAGTTTCTCGTGAGGCTCCGATCACATACGCCGACACCGCTGCCTGGGTGATTCCCGTTTTTTAAAACCCACTCTACGCTGCGTACTCGGACGCTTGCTCGTATACGGGATCTTTAAGATTTTTCTATCTTTGCGTGGTTCAAACTCGATCCTGCAAGTCGACTTCAAGATGGCGGCTCCTACACAGCTTGCTTGTATGTTTACCCTCCTTACTCCTACTGCTTTTCTCCTATTCCCTCGTGGTCGATGAACTGGTCGAATGGATTAGTGGAATGGCAGCTTTGTTTATATCTGGTTGGGCATCGGACTGATTAGGCCGCTAGACCGAACTCTCAAGGGGATTGGCATCATGGATGCTGCCCCCGTTTATGAGCCTCTGCCGGGATTTACACGGTAAGAATATACTTGCATTAATTAAAAGATAACATGGGTGGCCTTGCTGACTCGTGCTTTTTGCCACGTCTAGACCCGAGGGAAACCTCCGTTGCGGTGCTTACTCGCCGTGCGGCCGTTACTATGCATGGGCGTCGCCTGAAAAGTAAGCATGCCTATTCAGCCCTACCACTCCTTTGATCCGAAAGTCTAACTGATCCCCCGCCTGATAGGGTCACCATTGTGGATGCCTCCGTTGGCCACACTGTCTCGACCATCCTCGCCGACAATGTGTTTGAGCTGGGCTTCTCGCCACTCGGCACCTACGTGATCACCTGGCAACGACCTACCAAGGATGCCAACGGTGATGCTACGAAGAACCTCAAGGTCTGGCGCGCGGTCGAGGCCGGAGACGAGCACTCGGTTGTGGGCCAGTTTGTTCAGAAGTCGCAGACCGGCTGGAACTTGCAATATACCCCCGATGAGAAGCTGTGTGCCCGCGTCGTGACCAACGAGGTTCAGTTCTACCAGAGTGATAACCTGTCGTCGGTGTGGAATAAGCTACGTGTGGAGGGGGTGGCGGACTTTGCCCTTTCGCCGGGTCAGACCCAGTCCATTGCGGTCTTTATTCCCGAGCGTAAGGGTCAGCCCGCTGCCGTCAAGGTGTTTATCGTGCCGCAGTTCGGTGCTCCCGTCTCCCAGAAGAGCTTCTTCAAGGGCGACAAGGTCCAGTTGAAGTGGAACTCCTCCGGTACCACTTTGATTGTGCTTGCGCAGACTGAGGTCGATAAGACTGGTAAGAGCTACTACGGTGAGACTACGCTGTACTTGCTCAGTGCCAGCGGCGCCTTTGATTCTCGAATTGATCTCGGTATGTGGATTCCTTTGAATGCTATTGATCTTTACTCGGGCAAACAGGCTAACCGAAACGCCCCTACTTTACAGACAAAGAAGGCCCTATTCATGACGTGAGTTGGAACCCCAACTCCAAGGAGTTTGGTGTTGTCTATGGCTACATGCCCGCCAAGACCACCATCTTCAACGTGCGTGGCAAGCCCACACACACTTTCCCTCTAAGCCCGCGGAATACCATCCTGTTCTCGCCTCATGGACGTTTCGTTCTGGTTGCCGGATTCGGTAACCTGGCTGGCCAGATGGATTTGTACGACATGGAGCGGAACTTCCACAAGATCGCCACCGTGGAAGCCTCCAACGCCAGCGTGTGCAACTGGTCCCCCGATGGCCAGTACATTCTGACTGCCACCACCAGCCCTCGCCTGCGTGTCGACAACGGTATCCGTATCTGGCACCTTAGCGGTAGCCTTGTGTACAACGAGGAAATGACCGAGCTCTACGACGTCTTCTGGCGCCCACAGAGCATCATCCAGCACCCGCTGGGTGACCCCTTCACCAAGCTGCCCGTGCCCCACCCCTCCGCCACCGCGTACTTGGCCACCCGCAAAGCTCCCGTCAAGCCCGCCGGTGCCTACCGTCCCCCCGGTGCCCGTGGTCAATTGACCCCTCTTGCCTTCAAGCGCGAGGACCAGGGTGGCGCCGCCTTCATCCGCGAGGGCCTCCCCGGCGCTGGTGCCGCCGGCGTCAACGGCTTCGGCAAGCCCCGTCGCCGTGAGATTCCCGGTGCTGAGCCTGCTGAGGAGTACCTGCCCCCAGGTGCCGCGCCTGGCGGTGGTGTCGCACTCCCTCCTGGCGCAGACAACGAGAAACTCTCCAAGTCCGCTGCCAAGAACAAGAAGAAGCGCGAGGCCGCCAAGAAGGCTCGCGAGGACGGCGACAACGCTCCCCCCGCCAACGCCCCTACCGGCCCAAGCCCCAACCGTGGCCGTGGCAAGAACAACGGCTCCCCCGTGAACGGCTCCAACAAGGCTGCTCCCGCCCCCGCTCCTGCTCCTGCTGCTGCCCCCGCCCCCGTCGCGGACCCATCTGCACAGGATAAGAAGATCCGTGGTCTCCTCAAGAAGATCCGCGCCATCGACGAGCTGAAGATGCGTCTGGCTGGCGGTGAGAAGTTGGAAGATACTCAGATGAAGAAGATCCAGACCGAGGATGCTGTTCGCAAGGAGCTCGAGGCCGTTGGATTTAGCGGTTAGGGTGAGTTGCGGTTGTATCTGAGAGGTTTGAGATCGGGTTTCTAGTGCTGTTGGTGTCTGGTGTCTGGTGCTGGCTGTATGGACTGGAGGGCTGGGTGGTTGCATTTGTGTGGCTGTGTTATACGATTTTTGTGTATAGTGCTTTCTCTTCGTCTTTTGCATACACCCTTGTCGTCCGGGCCTGTATAGGTGCCTGAAAATAGAAAATTACGTCCAGATTGATTGAAATTGCTTTAACTTCGTAGTTATCAAGTAGTAAACCCCATACTTTCAATTATTCTAGGATCATACTTGTGGCACTAGAAGAAACTTTGGTGACACTACGACGCGGAGCCTACTTAGAAACGTGTTTATAAGTATTAATTACCGCCGAATTAGAGTCCTAAAAGGAATATAACGACCGCGGGGTAGATATACCCTTCACTGAACTCGTTATCTTCCTCCCTGGCACAGTCCTCTCACCAAACACCGGTGCTGACATCTACATCCAGCTCCCAGACCCAAACACGGCAACCCAATGCATTTCCCACTCTCACCCGGCTTTTACTTGAGAACCTGGCCAAAAAAAAATACCACAGGAGTACGATTTTCCCCTAGATTGATCGAATTTAGAACATCATCTACCCTAAGAATGTAATTCGATTCTCCTTTTTGACCAATATATTGTATAGGCTCACTTAGGTACAGATGTCTGTCAGACACGCCCATGCCCCTTCGATATCATAAGATACCGTGTTTTCCGAATCATACCAGGAATTTTCTTTAGGAAGAGCTGACTTCTTGCAAAGATATGAGCCATACTTGCTGACACTGCTCGAGCCATGCATTCTGGTCTCAATCTATATATCTTCCGATATGTCGAACTATAATCTCTGCCGTCTGCTTTTATTTGCATCTTCTTCGTGATCCTCTCTTCCTTCTCTCCAAAAGTTCAGCATGCACTGCCTTTCCTCTGCGATACCTTCCTTAGCGGCTTGGATGGCCCTAAGAAAAATTGACTAGTAAATTAACTAACAATAAGTCTATTCACAATCTGTTTGTCGTTCTGTAGCACTATTGGACGACCGTTAGTGCTACCCTGTGTAATCTGCTTCGTCGTTGCTTTTCGTCTATAATGAGACATCTAAGTCGTAGACTGGCAACCTATCTAAAAACTTCCTTCCTTCAGGATATTTAGGCCGTGGAGGCTCTGGCTCTGGTATATAGTTCTCCGGTATATAGTGAACAACCTCCACGAATTCAACATATAGGGATTCGTACCCGATCATCCCGAAATCTTTTAGGGCGTTAAAGAAATTTACCATAATATCCCAAGGTGGTCTCCCGCGTGGATTATACTACACTTTTTCTTTATAGATTCGTTCTCCTTCCTCGTTAACGAATCCGATAAAATAAGCTAACTGTCTCGTAGTTTGCCCTTGCTTTTTATAAGCCCCCTCTATCTATATAGGTATCTAGGACTTAAGAGCCGCTAAGGGATTTTGAGCTGGGTCTTCATTATCTATATGCTAGTAGCCTAGCCCTCTAAACCTTTTAATAGAGGATATAGCTTCTAGATCTAAATCTATAGGGAAATAGATTATTAGGATATTATAAAGCCTTTATGGAGGGAAAAGCGGGTTTACGCTTATAATCGTCCCTCTATGAGGAATTATCCACGTAACTTCGCGGATCTATAAGCGATGTATAAGGGCTTCGTTTAATCTAAGGGAAAGCTCTGGGGTTAGAAACTCTTCCCTCCCTCTACTACTTCCCTAATCTAGTGTTTAGTTAATTAATAGAGATTTAGAAGACGGTATAGGAGGGTAATACTACTTACCGATAATAAGTTACTTAATCTCGCTTAATTCACGTGGACGACCTCGGGCTATAACGATATAGTTATGGAGTTTATATATCTCTTGGAGGGTGGTAAAGAGTTCGTCGCTATATAGGATAGCACTAGGTGTATCTTTTAGCGATATCTAGTCTATCAATCTGCGGCTCTGAGGTGGCAATTTTGTGGTGCCGTTGTTGAAAGCGGGCAAGACTTTCTGTTGCTCTGAAGCGCGGTTTATCGTAGTCTTCTCGGCATCTATTTCCCTAGCGCGTGTGATTGATCGGGTGATAGGCATAGTGAGGCGAACTAATAAGGTAGGTGCCAAGGTAAAAAAGAGGTTGAGTGTCAAGGGAAACAGAAGTTAGGTCAGTAGGGGTCAACCCCATCCCTGAGCCAACACATGACTGTACTAGCCTAAGCATAAGCCCGTGCTGCGGCGGCCGATAGGCGCCATCTGCTCAAAGCCCATTTTACTAGCAGAATAACCTCTGCCTCAGACCAATTACCATACTGCAGATCTGATTTTAGCGAATCAAATACTAGTGGTACTATGTCGGAGCAGGACCAATTGTAGTGGGGACTCGGAGGAAGGAGATACTATAATTCCGCATGTATTAGTTAATTACCTAGTTATCTAGATTGCTAGATAACTTGGGGCTTCTTTAAAATTTAGACCTATTGAAATCCGATTGGTGCACCTAGATAAGCTTAGCAACCCGATTCCGATACATACGACCATGGAGGCGTGGATATCAGAAGATGCACGTGATAGCGCTAATGTAAGGCTCCGGGGGTTGGTTGGCCCTCGAATATCCTTCATTAAGCCGCGGCCCTCAGGTACTTTTCAGGTTTGTAATAATAGTGCGGCACAACGTGCATAGCCAGAGATATAGAGTCCACGGTCTTATAAGCTTGCTTGACACTGGCCCCGGCTCATAAGAGGGAGGCACAAATGCGTGGTCACTTAGTCTCAATTTGTTTAAACTAAGAAATCATACTGGCTTCGCTATCTGAGAATCGAGATAGTCGAATTCAAGGCGAGGTCTTCAAAAAGAATACCGTGAACGCATCACAATTCCAGCTTTCCATGCATGTTCGGGTCCCAGTCCATTGCATCCCAAGAATTTGTCTCGGGGTCACCTGGGATCTCAATAACGCCACTACCAGCGAGTCTGAACTCGAGGTGCGTGTAAAGAAGTTTCCCCATCGGACTCGCGATAAGCGTCAAGGCAACGTCATCCTCTCGCGCCTTGTCCATGCCCCAGCGGCACAGGGTTGAGCCATGGCCGTGACGCTGATAGTCTGGGTGGGTGCCGAGAATCTGAAGATGGATTTGACGAGGACCATAAAGCGGGTTGAAATATGTCTCCATGACCTCGTCTCCTGATTCTCGGAACGCTTTCATGCGCTCTGGGTTGGCGTCTCGGCGGGTTGCCCCTCCACGCTTGCTTACTTCACGCATTGCTGATGGCATAAGGTTAGAGTGAGGCTGGGCTCAAATGTAGGCAGGGTCTCGTACGGTTCTGTGGCTCATATTCCGGATTCTTGAGAACCCTAATGTATGATATGTCCCAGACGGAAAAGGCAACGATTTTGGAAACATCCGGGTCTTCATTTGAGGTCGCTTCAATCACCATTACCGTCCAGTCATCCCACTCTGGATCTAGGAAGTATTCGAACAGCATCTTGGTGTACTTGTAGTTGTCTTCGGGGTACTCATGTCGATACGGGAATCTCCAGTCCCACTGGGGGTCTAACGGCATCGCGGCCAGCACGACGTCCACGACTCCATCGATGTCGCTTGGGACACCTGGACGTAGAGTATTCGCTGCCAAGGTTGTGAAGAACAATTGATGCATAATACACAGTGCCCTAGAAAGGGTGGATGAGTTGAAGAACGGAAGCACCATGGAAGATAGGCGACATAAGGCGTTTTGTAACCATAGAACAAAAGACCTTGGTCCAAGCCTGGATCGTTATATAGGGAGGACGATGAGGAAAAGAAAAGCATCTGAGGTCATGGTCTTTGCTGTCAAACCACAGCATGGCGGGGGGGTTTAGGCGGCAGCTAGAGGATTAGCATGGGAAGTCGTTATGGGAACGCACCTGCCATAGCAAATCAATGTGGAGAGGTTCTGCGGCTTTCGTCGTTGGCCCAGCTTGATTCCCATTGTGGCTGACATTTGAGTCGGGTGCGCTGGCACCACTCAAGCAGATGCGAAGATCATTTCCAGAGTAGGAAATACGGTATGCCCACCGGAAGGCAGGGATGGAAGCCACCCTAGTCTTGCCTGGGCATAAAGCGTTGTCGTCTCACCTATAAGACTAGTCGGTGGAATGAGGCGCGTGGAAATAAACCTCGGCCTCAAAACCGGTCGCCTGTTTAGGAGATGGTTGGGGTGAGCGAGGCTGAGTCCGTATTTGAACTAGGGCGTTCAAGGCTCTCGAGACCGTCCCCCTGATGAGGCGCCATCTACCTCGCCCCACTAAAGCCTAGACCCCGTGTCTGCCTCGATTCAAAGATCATTCTCATCGCTTTCCAACCGAACCAGCAAAGAATAATTGGCGTTGCTGCTCCCAACCTAAGGCGACATAAAAAGAGTGAGATGGCGCCCCCTGCGTTTCCCCAGACTCTGTTCGAACAACAACCCTGCCAGTCAACATGCATCAGCGTGAGGAGGACTACCACCTACTGGACCCGATGACTGCTCAACTGCTGTACGAGCGAATCGAACGTGAATTCAGTACAACTGGTGTTTCAGCAGGAGATAATGACGATTTTCTTGCGTACGATTGGCTGGGCCATCTATTCGACGATGCTCAGTTTAGATCACCTGCAACTTCTTTTGGTATTGTGCCAGGTGGACCATGCCTGCAAGGACTGCCTGCGCAACCTGGTGAGTGAAAAAAAAAGAAAAGCACATGCCTTTGATTCTACTCGGCCGTCACTCACAAAATCCTGTCCTAGACCTGGCCTTCACACCCAGCGCCTCCTTGTTAGGAAATCAGACCAGTGGGTTTGAACCAGTATGGTCGCAACAACCCGACTTTCCGGTTGCTGGAACGTCCGGCGTTGGAACAGGTTACAATCCAGGCGCCGTCACAGCCCCGGCCTATGGATATCATCAGCCACTTGCAGTTCAGACACCGTTTCATCTTCCAGCCAACCATGCCATGCCGCCTGCAAACGCGGTATCGTCTGCGTCAACTATGGGCCCGCCGGTTCCTGTACCAACTATGCCGTTAGAAACCCAGACGCTCGCCATGTGTCCAAATATTCAGCAGGGGGGTATATTACGTGCAGCCGACGACGAAACCGCGGGCCTTCTGTCGGAGTTTCTTGCAAGGACGCCAATTCCTGTACACGATATGTCTGTTGGAATCGAACAAGGGTTTGTCATTCCGATGGACGACGACACATCTGTAGACTCGCCAGCAGGACCAGCATTGCCTCGAAAGCGACAAAAGACGAGCACGGACAGTATCTTTGACAGAGTAGGTCACACTACAATGCAAGTTTGGCAAAATTTACTAACGTCAAATCAGAGTTCTGTGAAGACTTTTGTTGATAAACACACGGGAGTCCTGCAGGGGGAACAGGCAGTCTATGGCCGGTCACAGAATGCCAGGGGTAGTTTGACCGAGGAAGGCCGCAAGAGTCAACAATTGACAAAGAAAATCGGGGCATGCCCGCGGTGCAGGAGGCTGAAGACAAAGGTATGAACCATATACCATGATAAGAAAAGCATTGGTAACATTATGCAAAGTGTGATATTGGCGAGGCGAGTCCGTATTCGCCTTGTCTCAAATGTAGCTCCGCGAAGCCTCGGATCTTGACATTTGTCTGTTGTCGATCGAGAGTCACCGAAGCAACATTCTTTAGACTGAGTACGATCTTTTATTCCGATACCCGTCTTGACTACGATTGCTGACGACCACTGACGAGATTAGAACCAATGTTCCAAAGCCCTCTCGACTCAACCTCCCGAGAGGAGGTCTTCTTGGTGCAGGATATTGAAGCCCAAGACCTTGACACCCGGACGCTTGAGCTAACCCAGGATGTTGGTGATTTGAAGTTGACGGTCACAGTTTCGAGGTTCACACCCCGAGATACCGACAAGACGGCTTTAGCATGGACCGATGAACAGGGACAGGAACATAGCTTTGAAATGGCTCCTTATTGCCTGAATAATGTTAAGCAAGATGTTCTCAACATGAGGAACTACGCATTTGAGGCACGGGGTCCTTATATTGATAGCATCCTGGCCAATGCGAACGATATCACCAGGAAATTTGTCGCAGCCGCCCAACAATACATTTCGACCAAAAAGGTAACCACACCCCCTTATCGCCTTTGCACAGATGGCCCTAATGCTATCTGCTCTTTAGAACACCCTTTTAGAACAGGCCATTGAGCTCTGGACTACAACGCGACTAACAGAACGAGTCTGGCGTATCTGCGGCAATGAGACTCTCGGCATGGACCCCATATCCGATAAGACATGTCCGGACTTTGGCATTATCCCTGTCACTCCTATCATGGACACGCAGCTCGACCAGATTGTTATCCGCGAGATACTGCTGCCTCTGCGAAACAGAATTCTCTACAAGCTAGACGGACGACTGAAGGAGCCCAAGCGTGACGAGTGGTTTGAGAATTTTCTCATAATTTTCATCCTGCTGAGTTCTATTGAGGCCTGCTCTGTTCACGGTGAGAAGTTTGCAAAGGAGTTTGGGCTTCGGGTACGGTTTATACATATCCCACCCTACACTCTAGAAGTCATTGATGATTTAACCGACTACCACAACAGCGCCGCTACGCAGACATGGAAGAATTCAACAGTTACTTCCACAGCTGCCGCATCTTGCTCGCACACTTCCATATCGCATTAAACGGCTCTACCCCGCTGACGATCGACTGGCTGAGCCCAAAGGCCGATAAACTGGCCGTTCTTACCCTCGAGCAGAAGCGCTTTCTCGAGGCTGCCAAGCCAATGATTGCAGAGGAAGGTATGTGATTACACGCTTCCCTTGAGTTTTCACAACTCTCTTCGTTCAAGTTAACAATGGTTGAAGAAAACAAGCTGCGACTCCTGAAAACGACCCACCGCTACGCCGCGCACCTACACTGGGGCCATCAATTGTTTTATAGCGGGTGGGAACCGGGTGTCATGCAAATTATGGATGAGATTATCCAACATCAATAGTTTCCTACCATTCCTATTGTTCCTCTTCTAGTGGAGCATAGCCAATGGCTTGGGGCTGGGGATGGGTATGTACGAAGTAAGATACAGGTGGTACATTGGGAAGCTCTATTGGAGTACATGTCCTTGAAACTCTCCTCTTAATTATTCTGGGTTTCTGCAGCTATCTTTGGAAGCGTTTTCTTGTTGTTCAAGATGAACTGTCTTTGAGTCCATGTATTGTACTTTCTTGTGTATCTATGCAGGAAGGAGCGCAGAAGGAGTTTGGAAATATAGGATATTGATTGATACGAGGCACACGAGCAATGCCAGCGTTGACATATATACCATGGCATGTAAGGGGCTGAAATGATATAATTCAAAAGGAATACGCATCATCGCGGGGCGGAAATGTCACTAAACATAAAACGAAGTAGCACGGCTCTTCCAAAGCTAAGCTCCTAGCCCCAGGGTAGCTGAGCCCCTAGCCCAAGCTGGTTTACCTCTTCCCCAACTCTCAGCTACGTCAAATGTTAGCGAGAGATTGAGAAGTTAAAAAAGAAATGACAGGAAATAAACTACGAGCACCGCATATGCCTCGTAATAACCCTCGGTACTGGCGGCGCATGATCAACATCCCACTTCGGTGGAGCATCGAGCCCCTTCTTCTCATATAATTCAGCCGTCTGGCTCCTCAGTGTCTCAGGAGTCTCCCATGCCATCTCCTCATTCTTCAACCATAGCCGCAAGAAGTGCCGTTTGTGCGATTCGTCGTCAACAAAGCCCTCGCGCCCGTGGAAGAGGGCTAGATTATTGAAGATCTCGATGTCACCCTTTTGCAGTGTAATCGAGATCTGGTGTTTCTTTGCTGTGAAATGCACCATGTCTAATGCTTCTGCTTGGATCTCTGTCATGGCGGGGACGCCTGGGGTGTGTGGTGAGAAGGGCGCGCCAGTTATGGGGCGACGAGAGTAACAGAAGCTGGGGCCGTGAGCGCCAAAGTCGAAGAGGAGAGCGCCGGTTTGCCATTTGGGGTAGGAGAGGAATCTAACAGAGGGGAGTAAGCAGATACCTTCTTATCTGAAAATGAGGACGTACTCATCAAAAATCCAGTCATCGTTGGCCAGGACGTGAATGATGTCTGGCCGGTTTGCAGCGATCTCGTTGTAGACCTTCCCTGACGAGGCCAGGAGGGATTCGCCGCCAACGGCGCCCACGCCGAGTGCGTACATGGCTAGAATGTCGCAGCGGTCGGTGTGGAAGGGCTAGAGCATTAGTTAAAGAACGATAGCGAGCCAAGGATAAGGCTCTTACCTGGGCTCGGCTAGAGTACGGCGACGGTCTACCTGTCTCTGGAGGGAGATTTTTCTCCATGTCTTTGATATGGACTTTGCCTCATGTCAGTTCGGTATAACAGTCCGAATAGACGACCATCTACTTACCAACCATTCGCCCGTCGTAGTCCTGTGCGCCACGAGTCTCGGCAATGTAGCTGGTGATGCCAAGATACAGGAGTATATTGTCGAGGGGAGAGTATCTGTCGGGATCCAGGCCACGCAGGACGGCAAAACCATGCCCAAAATGCAGGTCATATGCTATTTTTTTAAGTCTCTCTGCAAGTTCGGGTAATGGGAAGGTCTCTTTGGTCACATCGTCTGGACCATGATCACCGGGCAAGCCTAGACACAAAGAAGAATCTTAGCCAGATACCAAGGCCTTCGGACAAATCAGATGATAACCTTTGAAGTATGCAAGTCCGTTCTCGATTTCTTTGATGTCATCCTCGCTAAAGTTCAAGATATAACTTGATGGCTTCTCAAAGTCTGACCCAGACCAAACTCGTGCTGAATCTACAGAAGCAGGAAAGCCTTCTGGTAGACTAGTAGGACGATCGCTTGCTAGCACTGCCAGCCGGTCAACCCTCTTCACGAAGGTCACATAGGACGGGTTCCACTTGATGTCTGGCCGAGGCGCATCATCCACGATGGAGACCCTGCACGGCTTGAAGAAGTTCTTGTCAACCTGGGGCTGGTTGAACTCCGTCCCCAGGTACGAACGACGCAGACCACAGGAACTAGCAGTATCCTGCAGCTGCAGCATGGTGGCTTCCTCGGCAGTTGTGATAGTCGGCATTGTGATGGATGGCCGCTAAGACTAGAGCAGAATGAGGCTCGGTTTGGAAGGTTAACCAGAAAAGAATAAGGGTTAGGCACAGCGAGAGTGATGTGAGCACGATGGGCAATTCCGCTAAATATCCATCTTGCCAGAGCGCAGAGTGAATTCCCCGCCCATGAGGCTCTTAGTCCATTAGCACATGACATCAAACATGACCAAGTCATTTCCATAGTGTGATTCAGATGCATCTTGCCCGTCTCATGCAATTGCAATTGGGCCGTCACACCTTGCCGCGATCAGACCCATGGAGTGCCATTGGATGTTATGCGCTTAAAGCTGCTTATATTGACTGGGTTGTGACAATGAGTACTGCTATAATCAATGATTCTCGAATTCACCCGTGTCACATTACAGTCCTCCGTCTCTCCAACTCACCAGATGGCTTCTCAGGTAGTTGCCCCATTCGGTACGTGGACGTCTTCGATAACAACTGGAGACCTCATAGCTGGAAGGACGCCTATCGAGGACATTGACATTGATGTAAGACTGCCATCAAAAATCCATCATTGCATTTCTTCTCACTGTAACCGCTTCAAGCCAAACACGGGATACATATACTACACAGCACGCAGATCAGGCCGCTGCACGATCATCGAATATTCCCCAGAGAGCCGCCGTCTCCGCGATATCCTCCCGAAAGAATTCAGTGCACGAACATCTGTCCACGAATATGGCGGTGCAGCGCTGAGGTGCACCCCGTATGGTTGGCTGATCTTCACAGACTTCAAAACGAGCAGTGTCTGTAGCCTTGTACCCGGGACTGGCAGCGTGAAGATTCTCCTCCCGGGTAGGTTGAACACTCGATATGCAGACTTCGAGCCCCATCCGCTTTGCGCAGAATGGATGCTTGCTGTTAGAGAGACCCATAGCAACACAACAGTCAATGACCTTGTGGTCATTAATTGTACGCAGGGTACTTCAACGGTCATTGCGTCTAATTATGACTTTTACTCCAGCCCGCGATTCTCCCCTGATGGGAAACTAGTGTGCTTCCTCTCGTGGAATGAGCCGGACATGCCGTGGACAGGGTCTCTTCTTTCCATAGCTGACTGGCTGGAGAAAGGAGCGATACAGTACCCAAGGATCGTATCAGGGAAACTGAAGAGCGAAAGTGTCAGTCAGCCTCGCTGGGGGTTAGAAGGTAGGGAGTTATTTTTCGCCTCGGATGCGTCTGGTTTCTACCAGTTATACAAGACGTGGGGGGGCTTGGCCAATCGCCTTATCTTACCTGGTCTGGAAGATCGGGATTTCTCAAGGCCTGAATGGGTGCTAGGGTGGTAAGAGAAAGCCACCCACCCGGGTGAAGTTGTCTCCCCGCGCTAACAAGTGACCAGTCGTACATACGTCCAATTATCACAAGAAGTAATGGTTGCCTGCTGCACGTCCCTCGCAACCGATGCGGTAGTCTTAATCAATCTCAGAGACTGGACGCATCGCACCCTGGACTTACCGATTGTCGCCGTGGCAGATAATGGTCTGGTCAAAGTATCCGATAAATCATTCTTGGTGCTGGGTAAATCTCCAAGAGACCCATGGACGTTGTATGTCGTCGATGTATCCGATTCGCAAAAGCCCACATACGAGGCCCTACCCAGAGGTGATCATGATAAAACAATCCAGAAAGATTGGATCTCTATCTCCTCGCTGCTCTCTATACCCCGCACCCATGGAGCAGCTTGCGGGTTGATACATGCGATCTTTTACTCCCCCAAGAATCCCTACTACACAGGCCCATCAGACGCCCTTCCCCCACTCATCCTCTCTTTTCATGGCGGCCCAGCATGCCACAGCACTCCTGCCTTGGACCCCAAAGTGCAGTTCTGGACGAGCCGCGGGTTCGCCGTCACAGAGCTCAACTATGCTGGTTCAAGTGGATATGGCAGGGATTATCGTGATATGCTCGATGGACACTGGGGAGAGTATGAGGTTGATGATGCTGTATCTATTGTGTCGTATCTCGCACAAGAAAGCCTGATAGATGGCTCGCGTGTTGGTCTTACGGGGAAAAGCGCTGGGGGGTACGCAGTTCTACAGGCGCTAACGCGGGATCCAGATCTCTGGGCGGCAGGTGTGAGCATAGCGGGGGTGTCAGACTTGACGGAGCTCATGCGGACTATGCATAAGTTTGAAAAGCCTTATGTTGCTCGGTTGATCTCGGGTGAGGCTCGGTGTAGCAACACCGAATTAGAATCGATCGGGAAAGAGAGGAGTCCATTTGCGAGAGCGGCTTCGGTCAATTTCCCGCTTCTGCTCATCCATGGAACAAACGATAAAGTGATTGGCAAAGGGCACTCTGAGAAGATGAGGGATGCTGTCGTTTCTGCGGGTGGCTGCGTTAAGTTGGTGCTCTTTGACGAGGGCCATTCGTTTAGGATGCCAGAAAATATCGTAGCGGCCAAGCAGGAAGAAGAGAACTGGTGGGTCAAGTATCTCGTGACAAACGAGATGCAGTAAGGCGAAGCCACTTTACTCGGGATATATAAGCCATTGTTGAGGAACTGTTAGCTTTACTCACTCATATCTCTGACGAATATTTCACAATGAACTTCACCATCCTTCCGATTGACTATGATGCCGATATTTTACGCATAGCAACGATCGAGTTGGCATGCTATGCCGATTCAGACCAGGAGCTCGAAAAGATCTTGTTCCCGTACACTAATACCAATCCTTCAGCGGAGAAAGCTCTTGCGGGCTCAGTATCACGGCTGATCCACGACAGGGATGACCCCGCCCTCAGCTTTGTTAAACTGGTCGATCCCATAGCATCTGAGATCATCGCATATGCACGGTGGCAATTTTACACAACCGACGCTGTGAGTTGGATACGATATCCTGCAAAGGATGAATTACCTGATATATTCGGGCCCCAGTGTAATCCAGACGCGGTGAAGGATTACTTCGGGAGAATTGTCCAGGCGAAGGAGGGGCTGTATGGAAGGGCAGAACATGCACGTATGATTCTACCATTACTGTATCCGTCTTATATCCCTGCGTTCTGATGGATTGTTCAGACTTGGCCGGGATATGTTGCCATCCGGCACATCAGCATCGTGGGGCTGCTAGTGCGCTCATGGAGTGGGGATGTAAAAGAGCAGATGCGCTCGGTTTGGTGACGTACCTGGAGGCTGCGTCAACTGGGCTCTCGCTGTATCGCAAATTTGGATTTGAGCCTATCCAAGAAATTGATTTTGATCTGTCTAGGCACGACACAGAAATTGGTATTCGTACTACTGTGATAATGAAGAGGCTGCCTGTTGGGCATGTGGACGTGTGATGGCGGTTGGGGGGATAGCTTGGCTGATAGTGGGATATCTGAATTCAAATGCAGACAGTTTTGCCTGTCCATGTGAGAACAAGCGTAAGCAATCGCACACCAAAGGATGCCCGGTTTCTCTGGCTTGGTCGGCTGTTGTTCATCCCTCGCTGAGTCTTTCGTCTCATCCTCTCGACAATTTCTTGGCCGTAAAGTGGCCAAGTGGAAGACTCGCAAGATCACGAAGCTTTCGTTTTCAAGTAGGCGGGAAACGTGAAAAAATTGGCCGGCTCTGGTTCCGCGCGCCTGGGTCTTTGGTTAAAGAGGACAGGGGTTTATTTGAGAACGCAACGGAGAATGGGACGAGATAGACCAATAACTCTTGTATAACAGTTATACTTGCGCCCCGTATTCTGATACAGGAATAGAATAATCAAGGGAAATAAGAGGCACCGAAGTCACATACTTAATCCACACCTCAGTAGCGTGAGAACTGTGGCCCGAAGGGGAACCCGGGAGACCTAGGTCCATAGTTGAGTGTATAAGCATTAGCCTAATTTGTGTCTAATCTATATAGAACAGCACTAACAATTATATATATTCTCGTTAAGCTCTCTTGATCTGCAAATTCTATCATACCTTAGGATCTTTCTGGTCGACTACATTAACGAAGCTCGGTTGTGTCGCAGAAATTCTTTTGAATCCACAGCTGATTCTGACATGAATCGAGGCACTGAATGGAGTTCCAAATATCTCAAACATGGTGTAAAGGATGGAATGGCACTTAGATAGAAGGTCTGGCTTACTGAAAGTGTCTTTCAGAGTTTCAAGTAGTGGATATGTCATGTGTGGCTGCCTCTATTTTGTTCTCTAGTACTGGTCGTCCAGTATCAACCTGATCTTCTCTATGCTGGTGATCCAATTCTCAAATCGACACACAAGAGGTCGCTGAAGTGCATTGAAAGAAGAATCAAGATGCAGCCTTGGATTTTATGAAGACTTATTTCTGAGAGCCTGTTGAGCCACTGATGATGGCGCGTTTGGATGCAGCAGCTTCACTAAAAGCACCATTGTCTTTAGGGCTTAGGAATATGAAATCAAGGGTCACGGTGAGACTTAAAAGCCACAAGTAAATTGTAGCGTGACTTAACAAGTGGAGGGTACTAACACAGCTGGTTAGTCATACTATAATTGGACATCGATGGATTCATCGTACTCGAACCAAGAGCCGGAGGATGCACAATGAATGAAAATACCAGAGCTAGAGATGGGACTTGATTGTCGACGGAGAGAAGCCCTAATGCCACGGCCTAAGCACACGTGCGGTCACGTGATGATACAGACATCACTTTCAAGAATGTTGAGTCCTGTCATCGATTTCGCTTGTTCCTCGGTTGGAATGACAGGTATCTCATCTGAAGACCCGATAATCTTTAACGCAGTGCACTGTGAAGTCCGGGAGGACGCACCTTGAAGCTAGCTATTCAATAATCCGGCCTGGCGACCGATTTTCCTGTTCCGGTAATCGGTTTCAGGGGCCAAGCCACCAAAGGCTTAATACCACGCCTGAAAGAGGCGCATTGCTATGGTGCCTGGTCTCTGCCTCGATGCTACTCGCTCTCGCAAGGCATTACCCACGCCACATGGCCTTAGGTACGCAACCCAATCTTACCTAGGTAGGTACCTTACCTATGTCACACATATTCGGGGTGCATCCCGCATTTCCTCCATAGGACTAGTCAGGGAATAGGGTTGGCATATCTGGCGCTCGCAGCGTGCTAGACGTGCCAGCAAGTGACTCCGTGTCTACTAATAATACCAGAAGTTCCCACCCCGGAAATCTGGTCGCTACTCCGTGTGCCTGTTTTGGTTACGTGCGGGTTACGGAGAGCATCTGAAAGACTTGATGAGACTCAGCATCACTTCGCTACAATGCCAGCACCGAAGTGTTACTCATATCAGGTCAATTTTTCTCTGTCCTGGGTGTCTGGAGGGCATACCGGTTTTCTTTTTTAGGTCACCGGATTTTGACGCTGTACTCGCCGTATATACCATTATGGTTATCGGATTTGCCCTAATCGAGTCACTTGTCCTGGGCTAAACGTGGAACTATTCTAGGTAGTCATGGAGCAACATGTATCAGTGCTATAAATCAGATCATTGTGGTACACGAAAGGAAATGGCACAGCATAATCCAGTAACAGAATCGATATCAATATCCCCAGGAAAAAGCCGCATCGATGAATGACAAAGTCGATACCATCAATTCTTGCAAAGCTCCAGTTTGGAAAGAGCAGAGACCGTCTACTGAGTGAGTTAGAACCTAGGTAGCCCTGCAAAGGACATGACAAATCTTATTTTTGGCTAACGTACCGCACAGCCGTCAGCTAGAGGCAACTACCACCGCGATGGCGAGAAGGCGTCCAGCGAAGCCTTCCGCTACAAGTTACAAAACTGGCGCGAATTCCACCAAAGACAAGCCCTAGACCACATGAATATAGCGAGCGAATCGTTGTCGCTGCCTGGGCAGGGATTCTTCAATTCAAGTTGATGATGACTTTTCGCTGAAACGCGAACCATTTTGACCTGGGCTGTGCCCTGATATTTCTTCCGTGAAGACTTGTCCCGGAGTTGATGCTGGTAATATATCCTGGTGATAACATACTTCTTGTACCTACCTTTCCTCAAAATATGCATTGATATGTGTAGTTTGGTACATACAAAAACATCGGGCTCTTTCTGACGGAGGTGTATATTTGTAGAAATGATTAAATAAATCAGTGTATCGCAGGAGATCTTAGCAACACAAATAGCATCTCGGTGAAACCTACAGGATTTATAAGTACTCACGGTCAGCAAGGTTGTAACAAAGCGCAAGGCAGTCTTCCAGTGTGGATAGCCTTACGGGATGTAGGATTTTATGACCTAAGCCAGGTGCATGATCAGTCGGGCACGGGTGCTGCAGCCCGTCGTTTAACGTATATAAGCCCCCATAACCCCCTCGTCGTGCATCATTTCTTCTTGCTTAAACACTCCGACCTTTGAAAATCTGCCATTTATCGAAGATCAAATACTGTTGACCACCTTCAATGACTGGGCACCGAGTCCTTCATCACTATGACTACACCGTCGCATGGATCTGCGCACTCCCGATCGAGCTTGCAGCCTCGAAACTCATGCTCGACGAACAACACGAGCTTCCGTCAGCCTTAAGCCAATCTAACAGTCAAGATCAGAGTGTATTTACAGTCGGAAGCATTTGCAAACACAATCTGGTCATGACATGCCTGCCGTTGGGCACACACGGCACCGTATCCGCGGCTCTAGTAGTCCAGAACCTCCTCCTTGCGTTTCCATGCATTCAATACGGACTCCTCATCGGTATAGGCGGCGGTGTACCTAGTGTCGAGAAAGATATCCGACTTGGCGATGTAGTCGTCAGCACACCTTCCGATGGTTTTAGCGGCGTCATACCGTACGAGTCGGGCAAGATAGAAAGTGGCGGGCTGTTACAGTGTATCCGTACTCTGAATAAGCCGCCGCAGGTCCTACTCGCTACTCTTGCTAAGTTAAGGGCAGCACATTGCCTCAATGGTAGCCAGATGCTATCCATTCTAAACTCAGCCAAGGAAAAATCTCAGTCTCGAGCCCTAACATCGTATCTCACATATCCTGGCGAGGAAAACGATTTGCTTTTCGAAGCAACTTATGAGCATAAATCTTCAGATGGAACAAGTTGTCGTGGTAAATGTGACTCTACAAGCACTGTTCCGCGTTCTTCAAGGGTTTCAACAGACCCGCTAGTTCACTATGGTCTCATCGCTTCTGGGGACAAGGTTATGAAGCACGGCTGGACACGCGACGAAGTCGCACGAAGACATCACATCCTTTGTTTTGAGATGGAAGCAGCGGGAATCATGGACCTTCTCCCTTGCCTCGTCATCAGAGGTATTTCCGATTATGCTGACACGCATAAGAATAATGTGTGGCAAGGATATGCAGCGGCAATGGCAGCGGCATATGCTAAAGAGCTTCTTTCTTTCACTCCGCTGAGTCAGAGTGGTTTTATTTCCCAACCGCAACGACGATGGAATGTTCCCCTACAAAGAAATGAGTTCTTCACCGGGAGGGAATATGAGCTTACAGAGCTGATCAAGAGAATTACAATGAGCACCACTGTCACCACTGTCGCGTTAACGGGCCTCGGCGGAGTTGGGAAAACACAAATTGCAATAGAAGCGGCATACCGTGCGCGAGAAAAACGCCCGCAACTCTCAATATGCTGGATCTCTGCGAGCAGTGCGGAAACAATAGAGCAGGGATGGCTTGGCTTGTGTAAGACGCTGGAAATTCCGCTGGATAAATGTACGAGGGCTAGGGAACTTGTCTGCAGGAAGTTAGAGGAAGAAGGTTTTGGACCTTGGTTACTGATTATCGATAACATGGATGATATGGATACTTGGGCATCAGAGAAAAGCTGGCTTCCTACGAACGGTAATGGATTGATGCTCCTCACGACGCGAAATCGCAAAATAGCTGTGAATGCAGCATCGTCACGAGTGTACAACATCCCCGCGCTGGATTTGAGCGAGGCTGAAACGTTATTATCTCATCGTATCTTTGATCCAAAGCCCGTGGATTATGACTGGTGCTCCGTTCGCCAACTCGTGACAAAGCTCAATTGCTTGCCACTTGCGATTACCCAGGCTGCAACGTACATCAATTCCAATGGGGTGACGGTGGCAGAGTACCTCTCTTCTCTCAGCGGGAGTGAGCAAAGTCTAATGGAGACTCTGAGCGAAAGCTTTCCGGATGAAGGGAGGTATGCCGGTCAGGCAAATGCCATTGCATCAACCTGGACTATTTCCTTCAAAAAGATCCAAAATGTGGACAGCCTCGCGGGGCAGTATATGTCGATCATGTCTTGCCTATATACACAGGGTATCCCGTTATCCATCCTCCCTGCCTCAAAGTCAAAAAAGGCACTGATGGATGCAATTGGCACATTATCCGCATATTCGTTCGTCAATTATACTTACCTTCCAACGTCTAACTTGGGGACCACCATCCCAGGTCTAACCATCCACCCTCTCGTTCATGCAGCCATGCGAAACTGGCTACGGGAAGCCAAAGCGCTAACTCGGTCAACGGTCAAAGCTATACAGCACATTGATACCATATTCCCTGAACATGATGATCACATGCGCCAAAGTCAATTGTTCGGATCTTGGAGGTGCTACCTCCCTCACGTGGACTACCTCATGCGTACAACGACAGACAATATCTCCATAGAGCGTGTCGATCTTCTCGAAAAATACGGACTCTGCCTATACACTGATGGCCGGTACCGCGACGCAGAAGAACCATTGCACACAATTCTCCAGATCAGGACGAAACTTTTCGGGCAGCAAGACGCCCGCACACTAAACAGCATGAACAACCTCGCTCTAGTGTATAGCAATCAGTCTAAACTCTCGACAGCAGAGACGTTGCAAGGGCGCGCATGCAAGTATTCCAAGGAAGCTCTTGGACATGACCACCCGTGCTACATTAATGGAATAAATACGCTTTCGACTATATACCAGAGGCAGGCTCGGTGGGACGATGCCGAGGTCCTGGGGAAGAAGATAGTGGAATACCGACAGTCCCACTTGGGGCTTGAAAATCCCACGACCTTGAATAGTATGGAGTCTCTTGCATACACCTACACGGAACAGGAGCGTTGGAAGGAAGCAGAGGACATATTTCGCCATGTGTTTGACCTCCGTCGCTGGCGACAGGGAGATCGAGATCAAAGTGTGCTACGCAGCATGAACAATCTCGCTCACATCTCAATCAATCATGAGGACTGGGAACGTGCCATCGAGCTGTACAGACAAGCCGTGCATCTTGCAGAAGAGGTCTTAGGGCCTAAGCACTCAGACACTATTTCCTATTCCTGTAACCTGGGTTATGCCTACCAGGCAAACGGTATGCTTCTTGAAGCCGAAGAAATCTGCACGAGGTCTCTGGAGCTATCCAAAGAGGTGCTCGGAGACAACCATATAACGACTTTCTCCTCAATGGCAAATTTGGCTAGTGTCAGGAATGAGTTGGGGTATGAGCTCCACTCGCTCGACTTGATGGAGGACTGCGTGCAACGATGTCGGAAGGTTTTAGGTATCAATCATCCGATCACTAAAACGTATTCACAGATGCTGGATGAGTGGGAAATGGCGAAGGATGGATTTGACGCATGCGTGCTTGATGGAGAGTTCCCTGTCTAACGAGTAAGACTTGAGGGGGTTCCCGCTTTGTACTCGTCCAATAGAAGGGCCTTTCATCTCCCTTCTCCGTCTTCTCTCCCCTGAGATCGGTTACTTTCACTAGAGCTACCAAGATCATCAAGATTTCATCGGTTTCTTTGCTTCCTTGCGTAGACGGGTTGCATCTCCAAGGTCTTCTTTTCTGCTGTGAGATTCCATCGGAGTAACTTACATCCTGCCTTCGCCTATTATGCTGCATTCGATAAATAAACCAATATCAACATGACTTTGCGGGTGTGTGGACAAGAAGGAAACAGCTGTACTTTGGCTCAAGGCGACATTCAAGTCAGCCTCGTCATTGATTTGGCCAATCCTGCGTTGGAATTTGACGGTACATTCAAGTGCGAAGAGACCACGGTTTTAACCAGATCGACATGAAACAATAAGGATGTATCTGACACTAGGTGAGAGGGTCAATACGGTCACTTTGTCTATTACGCCCTCACCCCAGACTAGGTCACCCCGTAGGTTGGTCCGCACCTGCTGGATAATCAGGTTGATTTGTCTATTATCCTTATAACGTCAATATCTCTAAAGATTTACTTCGGTTTTTTTTAAATATTATATAGGATATAAAGATTACTTTCGTAATATTATCCTAGTTTCTCTATAAAAATAGATAGAGACGTAGATAACTTTATTAGCTTCCTTGGTATACCTAATAAGGTAAAGTTATATATCTAAGTTAAGAAGGAAGAAAGCCAGTCCGTTCGCTGTAATAGAACTTAGGTCTTAGTAGTTTAATAATAGGAGGATACTAATTTAATTATATTTATACTGGTTATTCCTATAACTAGGATATTATCTATATAAGTTACGTATTAGTAGATACTAAGCTCGATCTACTTAAAACGTCACTTATAGTCCTATTATTACTTATTATAATAACTTTACTTCACGGTTTAAAGACAGAGCGATTAATATATTATGTAGTATCTACTAGTCACTATAAGTAGCGCTAATAGGGTAATAGTCACCTTGTGGATTATGATAAATAGGTAGGAATATGGTATATCCGACGTCTATGCATAGTGGTGGTTCAAAAATTCGGAATAAGAGATAAGTCTAGCCAGAGATACTCCTATCTCTTGTGTTTCTAAAGATCTTTAGGGATTTTTTTGGTTTGTCCAACTATAGAGCCCTAGTGATATCTCTCTACGTATGATCCTTATTCTATTAGACTAATATCCATAAGGATAATCACACATAATGTCCCATCGCCGCCAATTCGCGCACTATATTCAACACCCGGCCCGCTCCCCGGACTACCACCCACGCCCACCGATGTAGATCGTCTGGACGGACAGATCGGCGGGAATCATGGAGGATAGCCAGAGAAGCAGGTGAATCCGGGATGTCAAACACAGGCGCCGCAACATAACATGTATATCGCGAGGACATGAAATGTTCATGTCCCATGGCTAGAAGCATGAAGCTTCCCTGTAGATTGATGGTTGTAGTTTGATATATCGCATCCGATACAGAGCTTATTCACTTTCCGGAGAAAGGAATTTCAAGGCATGGTCCTCGCCTTGCGCTCCACCTTACAGCGCGAATGGGTGGGATTCCTAGGAGAAGAAGAAAGATGGAGTAAGCTGGATAATGAAGTGGGATGAAATAGGTTAATATAATATTTTTCCCGTTGGTGCATGGGTATCATCTATGGTGGCGATGCCTGATGCCCCTTCGCCACATTTAAGTGAAGATGCGAGCTCGCTTCACCGGGCTTCCGCCCACTCGTAGAGACCCAGCGCCGCTTGCCATGCCGTTCAGGAGACGGCCCATACCCTCCACGTCCAATTCACCCCGTCGCAGCATCATCTGGTCTGCTTCTGCGTCTACTTCCTGCTTCGCGACTTGAGTTGTTGCGGCGATGTCTTCGGACTCAGTTAACCGGGGAGCGAGAATAACAATCTGGTGCTCGGCGGCTACGAGGATATCGAATTTCTGTGACTCGGCGGCTCGAGAACGGCGTGCTGGAGCGGGAAGATGGCCGATTGCTTGGAAGTTCTCTCCCATCAAGTTGACGACTTGGAATGGGGTCACGCGGCATCGGTTCGAGGCGTCAAAAGTGCCGGTGGTCTTGACTGCGTTGCGCCAGAGAGATAGCAAGCTTGGAATCACGGCGCTGTGCTGACCATGACGTAGAAGAATCGACTCGTCGGGTAACTCGTGGGATACGTTGGTCTGGCAGACAGAGATCTGACCACGGAGTGAGGGGCTGGGGGCAGTCGTCGATCCCTTGAGAAGTGTATCCTCACGGACCCGTCTGGTAGACGGAGTCATCGGAGCAAATCGAGATCGCTGCTCCGCGTCCGACTGAGTGTTGCCCAAGGGAGCCACGATACGGCCGCTGACCGCATATGTAGTCAAGGAACCTCCGGTGACACCTTGTACATTTGACTGGCGGTGCAGTGGGCCCTTTGTCGTTCCCGGGCCAGCACCCTCGATATCCCAGACCCCCCATTCACCATCTGCCAAGAGAACCATGATGGCTCGTCCACCCAAGACCCAGTCGGCATCGATGATGGTCTTGCGTCGAGTCAGGCCAGTCGGGCCTTGCTCAAACCCCGGGTACAAACTGATGAGCCACCGGCCTTCCATGTCGATGGTTTCGTACTCGTCCTGGGCGTTTGACCCACGTCGCCCAGTCTTAGAAACGGCTTTCTGAACTGAAAAACACGAGTAGACTTTCACGCAGCCACTGTGGAACGCCACCAATAGGCTCGAATGGCGCGCGGAAGGGTACGAAGAGGGGTTGAAAGCAATGGTCTGAGCGGGCGATGGCAAAGTCCGCCGTTGAGAGACGAGCTCCTCTTCTACTAGCCGATAAAGCACATCTTTGCCAGAAGACTCTTCTGAAAGAGGAACCCGATGGATCAAGAGGGCGCCTGATCCCTCTGCCGAGTGTGTGGCAACTAGAAGGTCCCATCTTCCAGATCCTTCAACTCGGCTTCGTGACTTTCGACGATCTTGTTCATCCTCAGACTCCTGGCAGCTGAATGTCAAGGAGACACCCCTTGGGATATCTTGGTGAGTCACACCTCCATTGAGTGTGACTTTTTGAATTTTCCAGCTCTTTGAATCCTTTTGAGCTGGGTGGGGGGGCATAAGCGGTAATGTCACAACCCGAGTTGAAAGATCTGAGCAGACTGCCGCCACAAAAATTGTGTCCTTCGCAACGGTTGGGAAAGGGTCGAGAGGAGAACGCGCCTCTTCGGGAAGCACACGGGGAACTGCCACGTCAAGAACACGGCTTCCCAAGGGGATGTCAATCTGACGCAAGATCGGTTCGAACGGAAATGCAGGGTCGACTTCGGATTCCTCTGTAGCGAAATCATAGGTGGGCTCTTCTTGAGATGTAGGCGCCGCGGGTGCGTCTTCTTCGTCTGAGTCGATGATCATTACGGCATCATCGCCATCGTTCTTTGCGCTCTTCGCCTGCGTTGAGGGCGCGGCCTCCTTCAATGCCGAAAATTCCCTTCCTCCTCTCCATACAATCTTCAACCCAGTCTCGTAGCCATAAACGATGATCGAAGAGCCGTTGGGTGACCGCAAGGGGTAGGCTTGGGCAGCATGGATGCGATGGGGGAGTCGGTAGCTAAAGATTCATCGAAATCATATTAGCCTTGATTAAGGCCCTCGCAGTGGAAGGAACATGGGAAGAATCAATACCAAAGTTGCAAGCCATCATCTCTGGGCCGCACGAGCGGCTCAACTGGAAACGAGGGCATCGCGCAAACGGTCTGACTGGCGTGCAAACGAGACCTTTAAGCACAGGCGCGCCGGGTGGCACGACGTAATTAACTGACAAGCTCGATCTCAGCGGTTCGGCCTAATCAGTCAAGAATTCTCAAAGAAATCACTAGTAGCGAAGTAGAAGTTGCGCTGGGAAAAAGGTAGTGGTGGTAGTTGCTGAGTGGAGGAGAAGTCAAAGTTGAGTTGTTTTGGTCCGCAACAAAAGAAAGTCGGCCGGGTCGATCTCTCTCCGCGTTCCTGCGCGTCTTCCAAACTTCCAACACCGCAACCATTCGACATGCCGTACTGGCAGCACGTCCTGGATTAATCTCGAATTCGAACATGGGTACGGCTTGTTCAGCAGCCTGCGCCGTCGGAAGACTATTTGTGAAGGCGCATTACGACCACAAGCTTGGTTGTTAAGCTACTACAATTCAGCCCACCATGGCCACCACTCGTTCGCTCGGCCTGCACGAGCCTTCAGCCGTCTCATACCTTGTCACGGAAGGATTCCTACCATCAGACCCCTCGGAAGATCAATACACATGGACAACGTGTGTGGACGAAAATGGTACGACCGGTCCGGCGGATGACGAGCTGGTTTGGACAAAGCATTGCGTGGTATGGTCTCGTGCGGGCGTCGTCAAACGAGTCTTTCGATTGGACCCAGAGAAGGAGGATATTCGACATGCGCTGTTCACTCAGTTTGCAGTGGGACATGTCAAGCGCTCTATACATGAAGGTACCGGCGTCACGGCTTCGAGTCGGAATCGCACGACTGGCACGGCAACAACTGCGCGGGCAGGAGGACAAAACAAGCGAAATGGAGGCAGCTCGACTCTGGCAAGCTCGGAGTCAACGTTGGATTTACATGGTGATGCTCGAGTCGCAGTAGTTGCTCCGCAGCAGCCCAACGAGAAGCTGTCTCGAGCTCTAGTCGTGGTCCTCAAATCCCAAGCACACATCTTCTTCGTCACGGGGAACAGCCACACCATTCCACTGCCATTTGAAGTCGAATCTGTGTTTGCCACTCCTCGTGGCCTGCTCTTTCAAAGAAAAATTCCCGACGAGGCCCCTAGACCTCAGAATCTAAGTGCGCCGCCCAATTCGTTCATGACTGCTGGCTCGTTATTCGACCCGGGCGCATCGCAGTCTTCTGGAATACCCCGACTACTTCCCAGCAAAGGAAAAAGACTATCATTGAAGCTACCCTCGCTCCATAGTTCCACATGGGGTCCAGATGCCAATGCCAACTCAGACCTCCCCCGAGTCTTTTCACTCGTGGACCCTCATTCAGAAATGGGCTTGGTGGTGACATCTCCAGCGTCGCGGGGTTTCCAGAGCAGTATCAGCAGTGCCACGCGGCGTCGACCATCGGGCTTGGATGTACTAGACCCTGCTGATGAAATTGTGTACATTTCACCCAAAGACGAGCTCTCAAGTCCAGGGCAACGAGAGACAAATGGCCCATTGATTCTAGTTCTTACTATGAACGCCAACACCGGACTATACACGGTCTGGACTGCAAGATACAGAGAGGATGACGTTGACGGCTCGACTCAAGATAAGTCTCGCCGGCACACTGAAGGCACGCGTTCTAAGAGGCGAAGCTCGCACTTTGGAATGAACACTGGTGCAACCACGCCAGCTGCTCGTCCACCTGCTGGTCGCGAAAGCTTTGGACCGTGGACTGAAAACTGGGCCTCTTCTCAGCAACCTGAAATCAAAGCTGATGCCGAGGACGACTTGGTCTCCAGAGTTGCCCAGGATTTCGGAGACGTCGGTGTGCCACTCAAAACATCTCGAAGAGTTAGCTCTCTACTTGCCCGGACAGATCTCGCCACTAGTCAAGATCGTATTACCTTCTCCGACCTTGCTACGGGTAGCCAATCCAACGCTGCGCCTCATCATGGCGGATTTCGACAATCTATCGGAGCTGCAAGTGCCCGAGGGAGCTTTGGTTTCAACCCCCGTGCCTCTCTCCCTCCTGCAACGGGTTCTGTTTACAGCACCGCAGGAAGTTTCGTGGATGTTCCGGTGGACAGGCTACTGGAAGAGCTCAACAACGGTGGTCTATCCGAGGGATTCGACAATATTGCCCTTCGTGAATCAGCATCGGGCTTGCCAGAAGAGCTTTTACTGTCCAAGGTAGAGAGTTTCTCTGCTATGTTTTCTGGCAGTTTCCGCGGATCTATCCAACACGTATCGTCTCGCCATCTGAGAGTCTGTACGCTAGCCTCGTCTGATTATACCAGTGCTCAGAATGGAAATGTCAGATCTGTGGCAATCTGCATTGTGGATCAAGACTCTCGGAACATGACGATTATGAACTTGAGAGCAGAGCGAGTGGCTACGTCAAAAAGCCGAAGGATGGCCAAAAAGAGCAAAACAGCAGAAAGACGTCCGTTATTGGTTCACGCAACTGGTGTACAGCACATTCCCAACGTTTGGGATGCATGCAGTGTCACAGATGGCGAGATTTCGCGGATTCTCACGTTGACTGTCCTTGAAAATGGCCAGCGAGAATTGTCTCTGCAGACTCTTTGGGGTAGTCCGGCCAAGATCGATATTCCTCGTCCACTGCAGCTTTTTGAGCCTCACGGAGTCTCCGCCAACAAGCTTGTGAACCGCCCGAGAGAAAGCGGCGTCAATCGAGTCATGGCAGACCCCGATCTCGAATTCAACGCATTTGACCATAGTTGCTCGCGAGGAAAGGTCGACTTGATTGATACGGAAAAGCAGCGCCATAGACTGCAAATCCACATGGAACCTCGCAATGAACTTGTCAGGAAAATCCTCAAGATCTGCAAGTTCGTTCTTCGTAATACCGAAAAAGCTGGAGATGGCATGCTGGTGGCCTGGTGGGAGGTCGTCAAGTGGCTTCAAGGGAGAGAGGATGTCGAGAATGACATTGAATGGACCGCCATTGTCATCGTTCTCTTCTCTCTGGCCGTGCCCTTCATTAAACAACCTCCACCTCAGACTCCAGCCAGACGAACGCGCCGAAAGAAGGGACTTCTACGGTCGAGCAGCGGCAGCTATATTGACTTGGAAAGCTGGGAAGCCATGCTTGACCTGGAGTCGGGAGCATCTGGGGTTGTCGCACCATGGATGAACAGCAGTGCTTGGGGCTGGATTGTTGAACAAGATGCAATCGCAGACTTGGCGACGCGGGAAGCAACCCGTACGCCAAAAAACGAACAGCCAAATGCAAGCCGGTCAACCTATCGCCACAACTCATACCTACTTCGATGTCTCTCTCTAAGTCGCGAATTCCTACAGAGCCCCGTGGGATCAAGAGCGACAGGCCGTGACGGATATTTGCCCATTTCTGGGGCCTTTGCCGAGAACACGAGATGTACAGCATTAGGTACAATCCTCGTCGGCCTTCATCTCCTACGAGAAGAGCAGAAGCTTTCCACATCCGACACCGAAGAGTCTCAGCAGCCTCTGGGCCTGCTCGCCCCTATCCTTGCACAGCTGGGTGGTTGGTTAGGCTGGGAGACCTGGAAATGGAGTGAAGACTCCTACTTTGGTACTGAGATGGCCAGTATGGAACGCTGGCAGTTTGAAGATACCCGTATCACTCAGCTCAATGTCCCTGGTGAACCATTCCCGCCTCCGTCTATATTTGCTTTCCTCCTCGAAGCTACGCGCCAATCTCCATCGCCATTCCTCACTCTTTTGGATATTGTAAACGCTTCTGATCGGGCCCCTAGGAAGGGCCGAATTTGGAAAGAGTGTTTCAGCATCACGCCCAGATCGCTTGCGTTGACTGGTTTCCTTTCTGACGTTCATCGTGTGTCGACACCCTTGGAGAAGATTCAGCTCCTTCATCGCTGGGGATTGACCAAGAGCATCATCGACACGTTCCCGGAAGGCGTCAGCGCCCCGTTGTACGAGGCCGTCATGCAATGCCAAAATGAGGCGTCGACCTCGTGGAATGCCACACTTCTGGAGCTCATTGACCGAGAAGACCTGTACATGTCAATGAACCCAGTGCAGGCGAAATCATTTGCTCCACCCCAACAACCAGTAGTCTCGCATGACGCCCTACGTGATTTCCACCACATCAGCATTTCCGCATTGGAAGCTGATGCCACCAACGCCTTCGAGGCCTCCGCGGAGGCTGATCGCCACTCTGTTACTAAACTCGTCTTCCGTGAGGACAAGCGTTACTTAGAGGCAACCCGACTCCTGAATCAGTCAAAAGCACCCGTGGCAGACTGTGTTCCCGAGCCAGAGTGGACGGATTCCGACCTTCTTGAAGCTCAAAAGGAGATCGTGCAGCTTGTCTCATTCCGCACATTGTCCACGCCTGCAGGTCGTGGTATGCTCTTGTTCAGTGGCCGCCTGCCGTTACTGACTGAAAAGCTTCCCATCCCGTCCTTCTCTTTGCAGTGCGTGATGAAGCCATCTAATGTCACCGTGAGTGCCGAAAGAAGTGCATTCACCGAGGAAAAGGTTTGCTGGGCCTTTTTCCACAACGGCGTTTCTACCGGGTTGGCTATCTCCAAGGCATCCAAGGGAATTGACACTTCGTGGATCCTGTTCAACAAGCCCCAAGAGCTTACCAATCGGCATGCTGGTTTCTTGCTCGCTCTCGGTCTGAATGGCCACCTCAAAAACTTGGCAAAATGGGTCGCTTTCAAGTACTTGACTCCCAAGCATACCATGACCTCTATTGGCCTTCTGGTCGGTCTTTCAGCCTCGTATCTAGGTACCATGGACACCTTGATCACCCGGCTTCTATCTGTTCATGTCTCGAGGATGCTGCCGATGGGTGCCGCTGAGTTGAACTTGTCATCCCTGACTCAAACTGCCGGTATCATGGGAATTGGCTTGCTCTACTGTGGTTCCCAACACCGGCGCATGAGTGAGGTCATGCTCTCAGAGATTGAAACCACCGAAGAGGATGAGCAGTCCGGATCTCAAGAAGACTTGCGAGATGAAGGATACCGCCTAGCTGCAGGATTTGCCCTAGGCATTATTAATCTCGCCAAGGGCAAAGACTTGCGCGGCATGCGGGACATGCACATTGTTGAACGTCTATTATCCATCGCCGTGGGCACCAAACACGTTGATCTCGCCCATGTGCTGGACCGTGCCACTGCTGGTGCGACAATTGCATTGGCTATCATCTTCATGAAGACAAATGATCAGGTCTTGGCTCAGAAGATCGATATCCCCGATACTACCGTTCGCTTTGACTATGTCCGTCCTGATCTCTTCCTTCTGCGGACTCTGGCCCGCCATCTTATCATGTGGGACAGCATCAAGCCGGAGACCAAGTGGATCAATGCCAGTCTGCCAAAGGTGTACCAACGAAGGGCTCGTCTTGGAGGTGTGACCCAATTGCAGAGTGAGGACATGCCTTTCTTCAACATCCTCGCCGGCCTTTGTTTTGCTCTGGGTCTTCGATTTGCCGGCTCGGGTAACTCTCAAGCCCGCGATCTTCTGCTCTTCTACCTGGACCAGTTCATTCGCATCTCACGTCTTCCGGTGCTCAACTATGATGCCAGACTTGCACGTAATTCAGTTAGGAACTGTCAAGATATCGTGTCTTTGTCTGCGGCAGCTGTTATGGCTGGCACCGGTGATTTGGCTTTATTCCGGCGACTGCGTGCTCTCCATGGGAGAGTCGATGCCGATACACCCTACGGCAGCCACATGGCCGCCCATATGGCCATTGGCATGCTCTTCCTTGGAGGCGGCAGCTATACCCTAGGCACGTCCGACTTAGGCGTGGCGGCACTTCTGTGCGCCTTCTATCCTATCTTCCCTACCACCGTTCTCGACAACAAATGCCATCTCCAAGCCTTCCGCCACCTCTGGGTACTCGCCGCAGAGCCACGTTGTCTCGTGCCTCGAGATCTCGACACCCGCCGACCCATCTCTATCCCTATCACCATTACTTCGGACGGCGGGTCGATGCGTACCCTCACCGCTCCTTGCCTTCTCCCCGATCCAAGTGAAATATGCCGTATTGAAGTCCGTGGTCCCGACCATTGGCCTCTCGTGCTGGACTTTAGCCAAGACGATGCCCTTCGCAATAAATTCCGCCAGGGCGACCCATCCGTCTACCTGCGCCGCAAGGCTACCTACAGCCCCTCGGATGCCTCGACCTCCATCTTCGCCTCGACACTCACCGGTCTCAGTGAAGCGCAAGATATTCTCCCAGCATCTGCAGCCGCAGGCGCGAACCCAGCAAAGGGTCTCCCGCCCTCAACACGGCCCAACCACACTGCCCTGCTCTCCGGCTCGCTGGCCACGGCCGCAACACCCTCCCAGTCTCCCTGGGACTGGATATTCACCCTCCCATCTCTCCAGGGGCTGGACATCCGCGAACGCTCCCTCGTGCTACCATCATCCTTCCCAACCCCCTCAACCCGCATCAACACGCAGCTCGTCACCGCGCCGCCATGGCTACGTACATCTGCCGTCGACACCCGCCTTGCTCTCGCCCACACAGTCCGCAATATCATCCAAGCTGCGCGCGGTCGCGGCGCAGACCCTGACGAAGTGCGTGACCGTGTCTGGCAACTTCGTCTCTTGTTTGATTGGCTGGATCGTGTGCAGGCTGGTGATGAGCGGGAAACATTGGCTGCTGGGCAGCAGTCACAGACTCAGAATCAGACGTCTGGATTGTGGTTGAGGAGGGATTTCGTGGAGGAGGCTAAGTGGCAGATTTGGGGGGTGCAGAGTGAGGATACTGGGGAGACCGTGGTTGGTGCTGCTTAAGGTGATGACGGGTGGTGGTGATTTGATTATTCTTCCTTTGGCGAATTCGTCTGGTGAAACTGGCCTCGCTTTGGTGTGGTACAAGCGTGTTTTTGTATGATATGATATCCATGATAATGCATGCAACTTTACCTTTACTGGTCTCTTGTAATGGATCGTAGAGATTATCCATATTGTAGCATCGACGAGAAGCTCCTTCTGTAGAACTTCTACACTAGTGGATATGATAATGAGATTGATCGTTCCATAGTATGGAAATATTTACTCGTATATATCCAAGACTGTCAATATACTACCGGGGTCGAGTCTGACCCTGCTTAAGGAGTCCTCGATCTCCTCCTCCACCCTTCTGCCATAACCATACACTTTCCATCGCCCAAGCAGCTGCACTCGCATGCCGTCCAATTCCAGATGCAACAGGCAGTGCCGGACGATCCTTGTCACCCTCTTTCTTCTCCTCTTCACCCTCCTCCTTCTTTCCATTGTCCCCCTTTCCACGAACTCGATCCTGTCCAGAAACACCCTCTGCTTCCGCCAACATCCCACCCACAACCCCCTCCTTCTCAATCACAAACCACAATCCCTCGGATAATTGACCCCCACGCTCCCCGAATTCCCCCTTGCCCAGCCGGAACAAAATCCGACCCAAAACCTGCCACGCAATGCACCGCTGCGCCGCGAACGTAGACCGCGACAAGATCGCCAGCTCCGGGATCGTATACCCCGCTGCCTGCGGATCATTACCATGATGATGCAAGCCCAGCGTCGTAGGCAACGTCAACGAAGTCGAAGGTCCGAGAATCGTCCCGCGGAGCGAGAATCGGATCTCAGAGGGGGACATCGAGACCGCGCTGCTGGCGGGGTGATATGGGGAGATTGAATCCGGGTCTTCGGGGTCGCTGGATGGGGGGCGCAGCCAGGAGAGGGCTGCGGGGTCAGTGGTCATTTCGGGGAAGTAGTGGGACTGGAGGTCTGTGAGGAAATCGGGCGATGAGGGGTCTAGGACTGGCATGGGTTGTTTCGGGCGGGGGAAGTGGAAGGTTTCGATGACGGCGGGGTCCATGATGGGGGGGTTTTCGGAGGCGGGGAGGAGGTCTTTTGGTGGGTGGGTTGGGGCGCGATCGTCGTTGGCTGGTGATTTTGATGGTTTGGAAGAAGGTTTTTGTGAGGGCTGTGCTCGTGCTGTGGTTGATGTTGGGGGAGGAATGTCGAAGGAGACTGATTTCTGGGGCTTGGATTCCGCTGGCTCTTCCTCTGTCGACGCCGGTGCCGGTGTGAGTGCAGCTTTGGGTGTCTCAGAGTGGGTTTTATCATCTTCGTCAATGCGAGCTCGTCGCAAGAATCGTTCCAATAGTCCCGGGTCCATCGATTCCATCAGCTCTTCCCGCTCCCGCTGTATCTGTGCCTCTGACATGGACGCCAGATGGCGTCTGTTCTCCTCCCCGATCGCGCGCTTGTCATCTTGAATCGTGGGTGGATTGTTCAACGAAGCAGGAGGCACACTCGCTGCTGCTTTCTGCTCAGCTCGTCGCTCTTTAAAGGAGGGGGTCTTATTGCGACGGCGGTGCGCGGGGAACCCGGTCGACGAGGCGGACGAAGGCGGTGCCGGGGCAGGCGGTGTGGCGGCGGTGGGCTCTCGTTCACGAATCTCGCCGATCAGAGAGAAGGGGGATGGGACGGGATCACTGGGGACGGTAATAGTGTCATCGTCCAGGTCGACGACGAACCGTTCGCCTCGAAACGCCATGGTTGTTGTGGACGGGTTGGAGAGAAAAAGATGCAAGTTATGTCAGCGCGGGGCCTGCGGCTCAAAAGGCTAAAACGGGGTTGCAGAGACTAACCCAATGGGGTTAGTGGCAGATGAGCGGGAGATCTAGTCCCAAAGAGGAAGTGTTTTACTGCCAAAGTGGATTTGCATACTTTTGGGATTCTGAGGGACTATCGAGAGTTCTTGTATAAATACAGAAGTAATGGAATTATTATTGAGGTGGGTAGTTGGATGCAAAAGAATAATTTGTCCTTGTGTGACTTGGAATATGTCAGATTATCCCTGGGTGGGTCATTAGACAAGACATGTTTAGACCTGGCCAGGGTGACTGTACCCGGCTAATCTTTCTAATGATAGAGTAGGAAAGGGAATACTGTGTGATTGAATATGTATCAGATAGATTATATATAGATTAGAATAAATAGTGAGAATGTCGACGGTTAGTAAAAGAAGACCCTATGTCTCCTAGACGAAGCTAGATAACTCCGCGGTCCTTGGAGCAGAGTCAAATTCAAATGCGCCAGGGAATCTCCACTAACGCCAGATCCGCGCGCATCGGAGAACATGGGAAGTGCATCAGAATCCAGTCTTGCGTAGAATGGGGGGGGATTAGACTAGGAATAAGATCGGATAGGTTATATCTTTGTCTCTACGTGGAACATACCTGTATAGGAACTAATATTCCATCGATAATCTCGTCTGATATCATATCAAATAATATAACCAGTACATACAGCAGCATATCAACCGGAAATCCTCCCAGCAAATACAAATCCAACTTGGAACTCCCAAAAACTAACGCTCCTTGTTCTTTCCCCTTTCCTAACCCTTTTCCCTTTTCCTTTTCCTTTTCCCTCCTCAATCCCATTCCTCTTCCTCTTCTTTTCTCTTCTCTCACTCTCTCCTCTTCATCCATCTCCCCCTCCCTTCATTTCCATCTCCTCTTTCTTATTTTCTCGGCCCGAATCATCTGGCCATCTCTATTTTCGTGTTCCTGTCTCCGCACCCGCGTCGTTTCTTCTCTTTCCCCCCCCCCCCAATTCGGTTGATCGAGTTTCTTATTTTCTGGATTTCCCCCCGACTTTTCTTCTGGTGATACCACCAACTTGGCAACCTGCCAACACATCCACCCACCCACCACTACACCCTCCACCTCCCCAACTGAACCTCGATGCCTATGCCCTAATTCAGAACTTCTCATCGACTGGAATTCTATACATCTTCCATCAATTTCTCATTGACTGCCATGTCCACGGAGGAATCGGGCATGCCGAAAGAAGAAGCGCCCGTAGAGGTGGTTGGGTCCAGACGTGCCTCTGCCGCCAGACGGTCGCGTCGCAAGAAGGACGACGATACCACCACCTCTGCCACCAATACCCCCGACACGCGAGCCAAGAAGAAGGAAGACAAGGAGAAAGAGAAGGAAAAGGAAAAACCTACTCGTGCCCCTCGTCGTCCTCGTGAAAAGTCCTCTGCAACGGCTGCTTCGCGGAAGAAGCCTAAGCTAGAGCAATCGGGTGACGAGACCGCTCCTCCTACTGCTCCTCCTCCTGCTGCTGCTGCCGCTCCCACGCCAACGCCCACACCCGCAGCCGCTCCTCCTTCAGCTCCAACGCCGCCTGCCCCAACTCCTCCAGCTCCTCCAGCCGATCCCAGTCCCCCTCCACAGGCAGCTCCAACTCCTCCTCAACCTACACCTTCTACATCTTACAAGCTTAGTCCGCGCCCTTCCCCCGCGGACCCTCGATACACTATTACACCAGACTACCCGTCGCGACCCCAATCGCAACCTCCGCCCCTCCAAGAGACCCAACCACCCCCAGCGCCCGCTCCGGCTCCAGCACCCGCGCCTCCACGTACTAGTGGTCGTAATTTCGACCCAATTCGCTCAGCGTTTGACAACCCCTCGCCAGCGCCAGCGTATAGTCCTCCGCAAACTGTCTCACCGCGAGCTAGTTATCGCGCTAGTGCTTCGCCTGCGATCTCCAGTATCATCGACCCTCCCTCTCACACACAACCCAGCTATGCTCAGCCGCCTCGCTCCTCCTCCGCTCATGTCTCGGCCGTGTCCTCCCCAGCGCCGCCTCCTATAGCGCATACACCTACACATCATGCGCTAGCTCCCTCCCCGATTCCTGCCTCTCCCTCTCACGGAGCTGTTCATACCCCTCAACAGCTATCGCATACTACCTCTCACTATACTCCCTATAGTGAACAGCGCCCCGTTCATTCGCAGCCACCTCAACTCGAGCTATCGCCACCAGCTCTGCAACAGCAACCGCCGGCACAATCGCAATCCCATGTCCAATCTCAAAAGCATGTTGAGCCTCCAGCTCAAGTGGCCACGCCTCAGCGGCCAGTCCAGCAGCCCGACGCCATGGAAATTGACTCCAAAGAGCCAGCTGCGTCGGCGAAGAAAGAAAAGGGTACGGCTACTGCTCCTTCTTCGAAAGCAGCCTCTCCCAAACCCGCTCGCGCAGCCAAGGAAGCACCTAAGATCCCTCAAGGATCAGGGCTGATCACGAATGCGCTCTTTGGTGGGGTCGATGAATCGTCCAAGTCCGACACGCGCAGCGCACCGAATATCATTGTGCACGTGCCCTTGCAAAAGGGTAACCAGATTGTCAATTTTGCGCAGCTTGCGGAAGAGCAGTATGGCTTTGCAGCGCTGCATCCACGCTTAGCTGCACACAAGGACCGTCTCGCGCGTGTAGCCGCTGCTGGTGCGGCGCTGGAGCGCAATGATAAGGGTCTCAAGGGTATCTCGGCCGGCGAGAGCGCGGACGAAGATCTGAGTCTTGATGTCGATCGCGACAGTGATCTAGACGGCGATATTTCCATGGGCGGTGCTGGCACCGGCACGAATGGCGTCCAGTCGGAGGCTAGTGAGGGAAAGAAGAAGCGCCGAAAGAAGGTTGAGGAGTATGATCGCGACGATCCCTTCGTTGACGACAGTGAGATGGCGTGGCAGGAACAGGCTGCCGCTAGTAAAGACGGGTTCTTTGTGTATAGCGGTCCCCTTGTGCCGGAGGGCGAAAAGGTTCAGGTGGAACGGTACGTACTGCAATTCTCCTCTGCTATTCTACCCATACTAATGATTATACAGTGCGGACGGTACCATCAAACGAGGTCGTGGTCGTGGCCGAGGAACAGGTCGAACCCGTTCGCTCGCTTCTCACCCCCACGTTCCAATCGCCGCTGCGGTCCCCATTTCTCAGGAGACCGGCCTGCCACTTCGTGGTCCGGGCTCACGTGGTGGAATTTCACGCCGTGGTCGCGGTGCAAAGAAAGCTGACGCCTCGGATAAGCACACCGATCGCGCTGGCACGTCGGCCTCAACTTCCCACGAAGGCCGAGGTGGTCGTGGCGGCGGTTCAGCAGGTCGTGGCGGTTCATCCTCTCGTGGTGGGAAGAACTCCGTGATGTCGATGCTGGACATCGCACCTGCTCCCAGCCCACAAGGTCATACGGGAAATATTGCCCCAGCACCGGGTCCGAGTCCACTTGCCGGACCGGAACCAGTCATGAAATGAACGTGTCGAGTGTGCTGGGTAATTTCATGATTCAATCCATGTTGTGTCCGTGGTCTGGTCAGGGTTTTATACGGTGTCGGGCGTGTGTCTTTTTTGCTATTCATATTCTTGTTTTTTACTTGGTCATCTCGCTTCCCTTGCTACTTCATTAATAATGGCTGGCTAGGCGTCAAGAGTGATTATACTGCGTTGTCGATTCGTCCTTTCCCGGTACACTCCAACATCACCGTGTCTCCGGGGAAGGTACCTTTTATCTTGCTCTATGTTTTGTCTGAGCTTTGTAAGGTGGATGATGGAATTACCCAGGTTTTAGGACTTATGGGTTGCATTCATTTGCGTTTTGTATCTATATGAGAGAGAAGTTTTCTCATACGTATTCCATGTCTGATGTTTGATGATGATCTTTTGGTGCTGTGTAAATGGGTGTTCCCTTTTTAGTTTGGAAGTAGACGTGCGTAGATGTAACTCACAATCCATCTCCGTCGACAGAATGGGTTCTAAGGAGCAGTGAATGGACCTCGGCCTAGAGCATTGGTTGAATATGAGCGAGGCTGCTGCCACCCCCTAAGGCCTTAGAATTCTGCCTGAGATAACAATTCGTAGTATACTATATAGTGGAGTTTCATGGTAGGTTTAGAATCTTGACTAAACTTCAAAATCAACTTATTATGTAGTCATACTTTTAAAGATAGTTACCTGCTTAGATCGAGAGATATCATGTGGGCTATCCGGGAAGATAACTTAAAAGACCTTCCTAAAAGATATCTCAATAGACATCTCAATAGACACTTCCATATACTCATGATAGGCTTAGCTTGGAAAATATAGCCCGTCGGGCAGAGATCTAGGAGGAGGAGCGCACGGGAAATCTCCAGGTGGCAGTAGCCTTACCCTTGAATATTAGGACCTCGTCCACCCTAACGTTATATACGCTACTTATATCGATCTCGACCACGTCAGAACACAGCCTTCTGGCATTTTAGGTCTTTTGGCCTGTTAGGTTAGCAGGACCGGGTGCGAATCGCAACATTTGATGTTTGGGCTCTGGAATAGGATCTGATTACACTGGCCAGCATATCCAAACTTCAACCTGGCGATCTTTCATGGTAAGATACAGCCGGAGACGCCTCAAAATTATGCGATGGTGATTTGCTGGTTTCTTAATATACCTAGGTCACCAGCACGATAGACTAACCCTATTGATAAGAGAGAGAGACATATCATCATTGTTCAATCAGTCGTATAAATCTAGGATCACAAACACAAAGCATTTGGCAACACAGTGGAATCAAAGTTAAAAAAAAAGCACTTTTCCAGAAACACAAATGTAACACATGGTTGACCCTGAGATCACTAGCCGTTGCCCTGAAGACGGTCAATACTCTGGTGGCAACCATAGCACTTCTTCATGGTTCCAAGCGATATATTCACAACGGGGATCAACGCGAAAGCCCCGAGTAAAAGAGTCATCAGTCGACGAAAAGGTAGGCAACTCATCAACGGGAAATGTAGAGGAGGCAGCAGTGCCATCAAATAGTTCGAAATCCGGGTTCGCCAAGAAGAATTCTTTCACGTCCTGGGAAGAGCTGAAATCTTGCCTGCATTCCCCACTGCGGACATCCCACACACGCACCATCTTCTTATTTGAATATGTTGCGATAAGTTTGAGATTCCGCGAGAATATCAAGGAGCGTATTGGCTCCTGAATATTGATATTCAGAATGCACTTTTGGTTTTGAACGTCCCATATCTTGATGAGACCTGTGGAAAGCAAAGGATCGGGAGCCGAAGCGAGGAGGGTGGAATCGTGGCTAAGATACAACTCGCTTTCACCGACATTGTTGTCAAATTCATGGGGTTTTTGCCTACTACTGGTATCCCATATCCTGATGTTGTGATCATTGAAGCCGAGGCGAGCAGTTTGGAATCATGCGAGAAGACGACCGAATTGACAAGTAAGTGATGACCTTGGAAAGTATGGAAGCACTGGCCGCTGCTAGTATCCCATAGCTTGATAGTATTATCACCTGAGCCTGATGCGAGAAGTCTGGAATCACGGGAGAAAGTGACTGACTCTACGGATTTGGTATGGCCGTTCAGAGTCTGAAGGCATTTCCATCTGCTAGTGTCCCACAGCTTGATAGTATGGTCTCTAGATCCGAAAGAGCCGGGCTTATGGAGCCGACAGCTTGAGGCGAGGATCCGAGAATTGAGGGATAAGGCAACTGTGCGAACTGGGAATTGATGATCAAGGGTCTGAAGACATTTTCCACTCTTCAATTCCCAGATTTTGCTGGTGTGGTCGTATGAAGAGGACGCGAGAAGTTGAGAATCATGAGATAAAGTGATTGCACAGACTTTATACAAATGTCCTTCTAGGCTCCTGAGGCATTGCCCGTTGCGGGCATTCCAAATCTTGATCATGCAATCTTCTGAGCCTGACGCGAGAAGATCGGAATGATATCCAGGAAACACTAGATTATAAATGTCACGTCGAAGCGTTTCGGCCATCGCGTCTAACGACCTTGAGAAGATGGAGTAATGCACAAATTCTTCTCCGCGGGGAAATATCTCATGAACTGCTTTTCGACGAAGGAAATCTTTGGCGGATTGATGAACTAGAGAGATTGTAGATCCTCGAAGAGTAAGGAACGAGCCACAGAGCCCTAGTATCTCTTCAAGGTCACAAAGCTCGACATCCTCGGGCATTTCAATGCAAGAACTTAGCTCTTCCAATGTAATTGGTCGATATACTGTCGTAATAATCCCGAGTATGGACCTGCAGAGCTCAGCATCGTCACTGTCGCCTATCTGCTTCAACATTCCGTGATAGAGCGGATCAAGGCCAGGAGGATACTCTACCAACTTCTTTCGAATATACCGTGTTAAAACTTTATAGTTGGCAAGTTCCTCACAGACCAAGGCCGCCCAAAGGAAGGTCCCTTGTGCATTTGCTAACAGGTGCTGAGAAACAGCATCGCGGATATCGTCAGAGAAGTTTTTCTTTTTGCTCTTCAAGATCTCAACCTTGAAGTGGATAAAAGAAGCAACGGCGTTAGAGATAGAAGCCTCGTTAATCTCAAGCCAGAGCCTTGCTTTTCGGGGTGCTGTTTCAAGGGCCTGTTCAATGGACGGCCGATTGCGGCTTGAGACGAGCCATTTAACATTCGGATACAAGCATGATTGATCAACAATGACATCAAGAGGACGACCCAATTCTAAAGTGCATTCGTCCAGGGCGTCAATTATCAAATATGTCGTCCTCAACAGTGCCTCCCAGGTATTTGGACCCTCAAAGGCCTGTGCCTCGGCAGTGTCATACTCGCGCCGCACATGGGAGATAAGACCTGGATGTTTTTCAACGAACATGAAGATCAAGCCGCGGAGAACAGCAGTACCATGGTTGATTCGGTCATTTCCTGCCTGGCAGAAGAAATAGACGACAGTGATCTCTGAAACCGGAGCAGACTTGCTCAATTCGTTTATACCTCCACACATGAGCATAGTTTTCCCCTTGCCAGGATCACCCTTGACCCAAAGAAGTTGACTCTCCTGCTCATGGCACCATCTTTTGAATTCATCATTGTCAAGAACCCAGTTGTACGCGTCTTCAAGCAATCCACCCTTGGTAGACTCGATCCGAGCTTTATCAAGGCGGGGATCAGTCGCATGTAAGGCCCGAATGCAGTTTCGATTTTCTGCTTTCGAATCATCTAAGGCTACAGTTAGTAAATACATAAAGCGGTGGCTTTCCCAGGCTTACCGGTCTGATGATAGTGATGCGTATGGATGGTGCCATTGTTTTGCCCTACTTGAAGCCCCGAGTTGTTGCTACCATCGAACGAGGCAGATGATCGATTCACAGTCCGGTCCTGGAGAGGCCTAGCCATTTGGCTTCGTGCCAAGTGCTCAGTCGTAGCCATCTAGCTATACGTTCTTTCTATCTCGGGTGATATCGCGCAGCCAGATTGTGTTTGTGGGAAAGACTTCATCCAAGAGCTGAAGACCTAGTGTTTACCATTTTAGCGCTCACTCACCCCGCCATCAGGTGACTGTTCAAGGGTGCATCGTTGGTGGATTACAATCACTAAGAGTTTAGTAAGAAGGGAGCTTAAATAGGCGTCTAAAGTGGCCATTTCGGGAGCCGGTTTACCATGAATTAGTGTTAAAGTGTAGTATCATCAAAAAACTTGCATTTATGTACGCCGGTTCATGCTGAAACATATCTGAGCAAGAGAAGAGTAGAAACAAATGAAGTAGAGTTGGGGGGAAAGGAAAAAGAAAATGTGGATGGAAAGGGGCACGGTCGTGATTGTCGTTGCCATGAATCAAGTCAAATCATTGGAAAGAAGGGAATTGGAAAGAGAAAGGTGAAGAAGTAAAAAAGGAGTCCACGGGCTGGGGGAATAGAAGTGAAAAAGGCAATGAAATGGGAAGAAAAGGGAATGATATAAACCCCAAGGGTAGAGGAGGAATCGGGAACATGCTCAGCCTGTCATTGCTTTCCGTATAAAGTTGCCAGGGACAGGAAAGTTGAGACCGAGTGGGCTACCCAGAACAACAGGTATGATGAAAATCAGATAAAGGTCACATCAAAACAGAGAATATCTGATTTTGAGACAAATCACAGGGGGAATGAACAAGATGACAACGGGCGCAAAAAATTCATGTGCATATGCAAACCACATTCTGATCGGATCATCGCCATAAGAGTTTCGTTTCAAAAGGATGACATATCGGCATCATGACTTCACTACGACTCTCATCATTCATGATGATGGTTGACCAGGGTAGCCGCGCCAGCTCCCACCAGCCGAGACGGGTGGAGGGGGAGGGGCATGTGAAGGTGGAGGAGCATGTGAGGGCGGAGGAGCAGCTCGGATAGGCAGGGTGGTTGAGGTCAAGTTAGTGCGAGACTTGGCATTGTGTGAGCTTACGGAGCGCGGGCTCATGAAAGGACGAGATGGAGCCTCGACGGCGGAAATGGGGTCGCCAAGATGACGCATTGGGCGACGGCCGTACCGGGCTTCGTCGTCCTTGGTTTCGAGGGAGAGATGTTCCAGAGACGGAGGAGTGGGGGATTGTGTGGAGCGAGAGTTGGAATTGGAGTAGTAGTGGTGTTGTTGAGCCTGTGCCTGGGAGGCGTAGTGGCGGTTAGGAGTGGGGAAGTCTTTGGCAATGTTCAGGGGGATTTCGCCCGAGGAGGGATGATATGGCGATTGCGCTTGCGGATGATATTGTAATTGAGGAGGGCGCGAGGATTTGCTGATGGGCGCGGGCTTGGGAGCTGGCGCAGGAGGTGCGGCCATAGGTGCCGGTGATGAGGAGGAATTTGATATGGAATTCGTGGTCTCCTTGAGCGACTTGGGAGCTGGGGGTGCTAGATAGGACTTGCGGTTATGTCGCTCCATCATGCTGATAGCCCATTCCTGCAGGTCCACCGGAGTGCGCTTAGCTGCTTGCAAGAAGGCATCCTTGTCCTGTATTGGGTGAACACAATGTTAGTTCGAGGTGTCTCAGAAAGCTTTTTCGAGGGCATATTGCACATACGTAAAGCTCTCGCGGTGTTGGCCGTTCCTCAGGCTTCTTGAGCAGACACTTGCCGACAAAGTCATGCAGAATGGGCGGGAAAGCGTCACTCTTGGGTAGCTTAGGAGCGGATTCGTGAACGATCTGCTGGAGCAGATCCAAAATACCCATAGGGCCGGCACTAGCCCGGTCCCCAGCGGCGGAGTCGGAAGTATCGAATGGGAAACGTCCAACGGCCAACTCCATGACCGTCAAACCCACACTCCACACATCCGAACGGACCGTATAGGCACCTCCCTGAATTCGCTCAGGTGCCATGTATGTGGAGGTACCGACAAAGGTATCAGCGATAGAATTGTTGACCGTCTCACTTGCAACGCCGAAATCGCAAAGCTTGATTTGACCGCGCGAGTTGACGACAACGTTGGACGGCTTAATATCGCGATGCATAATGCGGTGGGTTTCGTATAGGTAACAAAGGCCAGCAAGCACCGATTCGGTGATCTTACCAAGAACATCCACTCGAATGGGACCGAAATCCTTGGAGATACGATCAAGAGATCTAGTCAAGTGCATATCGCGTCAGTCACTCAAGTTGCACTCTCTTTCCCTTTCATCACCGTCTCCGACATACCCGCAATCCATATATTCCATGCACAAGACAATGTCTCCGGCCTCGTTCTGGAAGGCACCGTAGAAGGTCACAATATTTGGCGAGTTACATTCGTGTCCTACTCGAAGTTCTCGTAGAATCTGTTTCCGCACGTTCTCTTTGGCGTCGACTCGGATGACCTGGGAAGATAGGATTAGTTCAGGGCTTCAGCGTAGATCCTATAGGGGAGAGGTTTGTGCCCACCTTTCGAGCCATCACGACTTTGGTCGACGCGTGCATCACTTTGGAGACGGTGCCGCCATTACCGGCGCCGAGCTCCTTCAGCGTCACCAGGTCCTCACTCCGCAGATCCAACCGGAATTCCAGCCCAATCTCCAGGGTATCTGTGCGGTTGCTGTCGACATTTCCAATGGCGCCAGGGACCTGGGCGTCGCCGTCGGAAGGGTTTGAAGTCGCTTTGGGGGCCGCATTGAGGGCAAGGCCTTTGACGTTCTTCCGTTTTAACGTCCGAGCCTTGAACTGATCCGCCATGACGCTGAGAGGGGGGAGAGGGAGTTGCCGCGGGTTTTAGAAATCTGGAACAGGACGGAGTTCGGACGAGAGTATCAAGATATGGGGAAAAGGGGTTCGAAGCGACACAGCAGCCGACAAGAGGCAAGACCAGGGCCGGGCGAGCACGCTGATGGGAGAAGAAAGAAGCGCGAAGCTAAGCGGCGGGGAACCCGATATCACCTTGCGATGTGTGCTTGGCGGCGCTGATTGGGCCTTACGGGCGCATCGACTGGACCAACAATACCGAAGGATGCCGGTCGGCGGCAAAAGAAGAGATATTAGGGGAAGGGAAGATGAAGAGATGTTGGGCGTCGAAGTTCAGGGGAAGTTGGATTATTAGGAGAAGTCCAAAAAGATATGGCGATGGTTTCTGTGTCTCTACTCTCACTGAAACACAGGTGCTGCTGCTTCTCCACTAGTCTTTACCCCATAGGACTCTAAAGGAAAATCCCTCGCAGAATAATTTGGTATTTTTTGGAATTTGTAGATTATTTATATAGTCAAAAAAGTATATCTCGGACTTTGTCTTTGTCGATCCCTGCTAGTTGACGAGTGACTAGTTAATTATTAGAAGTTCAATTAACTAATGGAAGTTGACCAGTTGAAAGAGAAACGAGGATGCCTGTTCTCTGAGGCAACAGTTGATACGCATCACGTGGTCTTGATTCACTAGCCACATTATCTTCCCCTTTGAGCCTAGCTCTCATCAGCCACACAAGGCAGCTCCCACTGGCCAATCACCGCCACCGCGTCCTCCTTCGCCGACGGTCGTGGTCCGGTCCTTTCTTCTCTTGCTCGACTCTCTGTTGCCCCCAACTCAACCTTCATTCTATCTCCCTGAGTCGGGTACTGCTGGGTACTAGATCTGCCACCCATTGCAAATCTTCCCCTTTCCTCCCCGCAGCCCCAGTATTCTACTCTCCGCCGAGCAGAAGGAGCTTTCCGATCAGCCACGATGAGTCTCCGCGACCTGGTCGAGGGTGAGGCCATGCTGGACGATGAGGAGAATGACGAGGAGGTCTCCGGAGACTACGATGAGGATCGCCGCGACGGGCCGAGCAATGAACGCCACTACGATGACTCGAGCGAAGAAGATGAAGACGAGGACGACGATGAAGACGCCGCGCGCGCCGTAAGTATTGCTTGCGTCGTTTTGGCCGATAATCTCAGGCGCAACTAACCCGTGGTGAACAATCATAGGTTCGCGAAGGCTTTATTGTCGACGAAGATGAAGAGATTGAAGAGCGCAGCAGGCACAGGTCCGAGAAGAAACGGCCACGTGCTCGCGAAGAGGAACATCTCGATGAAGAAGATCTGGAATTGATTGGCGAGCATGTCCCAGGTCTTAGCCGGGGCACAACGTCTGATGTACGATACCTGAAAGCTTCCATTCCCATTGGGTTGCACTCTGTCGTGAATTGGCGGTTGTCCACCGAGCGGCAAACCCTCTACGATAATGAATATCTTTGCTAACAATGATTTGGCGCAAACAGCAATCCAAATTCAAGCGCCTCAAGCGAGGTCGAGATCGCGACCACCGCGGCCCGTCCCAAGGTATCGACGACATGTTCAATTCCGACGAGGAGGAGGAAGCGGCACCCCAATACAGCCGACCCAGCCACCGCGGTGGACGCAGACACGATGAGATGGACGATTTCATTGAAGAAGATACATTCTCCGACGAGGAGGCACAACGTGAACGTGATGACCTTGAAGTTGCAGCCCCCGTCCGAGCAACCGTGCCGGGTCTAGGAGCCACCGAGGCAGCGGGTCTGGATGAGAATGCGGTCGAAGATCTGCGCCTTGCCTTTGGTGACGGCGAAGACTACAGATTTGCTTTGGACATTGAAGAGCAGGAAGATGAAGAGAAGCAAGACGAGGACCGCCATCTTGACTTGAAGGACATCTTCGAGCCGTCCCAGTTGGCGGAGAAGATGTTGACGGAGGACGATAACCAGATCCGTCTTCGGGATGAGCCCGAACGCCACCAGATTGCTCGTGAACCGTATCGCCATGTCACATTGACGGAGGACCAATTCCGCGAGGAGGCTGTGTGGATTTCCCAACTCATGTTGCTCAAGAAGCGCATAGAGCCCGAGTTGCGTGAGCCATTCCAACGGTCAGTGTCCAAGATGCTCGAGTTTTTGATCACAGACGATTACGAGGTTCCTTTCATCTTCCAGCATCGCAAGGACTACATGATCCACGCGGTCAAGGAGCCGGTCAATGGGGCCAATCCGGACGATGAGTCTGCCCAGTACAACATCCGTGCCGAGAAACTGCTGAACATGACCGATCTGTGGGATATCTTCGACTATGACCTCAAATTCCGTGCGCTGGTCGACAAGCGCAACACTATTCAAAAGTCCTACGACAGTCTACAAAGTCTATCCAACGTCAATGACGCCATCGTGGATGACCTACTGGTTGCAGCAACATCCATGGAGGAGCTTCAGGATGTGCAGGACTACATTCATTTCCAATATGCTTCTCAGCTCCGTGACCTGTCCGCCGTTAATGGCGATGCCAATGGAGAAACCCAACGACGCAAGGCCAGCAGCAAGACGTTCTTCGAACGAGTCCGGAATGGAAATGCATACAGCCTTGTCCGTGCTTTCGGTCTCACTGCCGATGCATTTGCTCAAAATGCCTCCAAGGAGGGCCGCCGACAATATACCGAGGATCCCAGTGAGCGGCCGGAGGAGCTGGCTGATCAATTCGTGGATACCGACTTCTCCAACTCTGATCAGGTCCTCAAGGCCGCCAAGTCTATGTTTGCCGAGGAACTCGTGCTGAGCCCCAAGATGCGCAAGGTCCTCCGGCAGGCATACTACATGAATGGTGTGGTAGACTGCTTCCGCACTGAAAAGGGTTTGCGCCGAATTGATGAGCAACACCCATACTACGAATTCAAGTACTTGCGGAACCAGCAGCTCAGCGATATTGCGCGTCGACCTGAAATGTTCCTGCGAATGCTTAAGGCCGAAGAAGAAAATCTGGTGGAAGTGAAGGTTCGCTTTGAGAACTTCGACCAGTTCAAGCAGCGCATGTATGCCGATATCGAGTCTGATAACTACTCGGAAGTTGCGGACGCATGGAACCGTCTTCGTCGGGACGTGCTGGATCTGGCACTCAGCAAACTGGAGCGTTTAATCAATCGCAGTGTGAAGGAGAACATTCGACAAGAGTGCGAGAACCATGTGGCCAAGGAGTGCCGTGAGGCGTTCTCGCAACGGTTGGACCAGTCTCCTTACAAGCCAAAGGGTATGGTTCTGGGCACAGTACCACGGGTTCTCACGTTGTCTGTTGGAACTGGCGTTATTGGCCGAGACCCCATCCACTGGGCCTACATCGAGGAAGATGGTCGTGTTCTCGAAAATGGCAAATTCTCAGATCTATCTGTGGGAGACCAGACCCGCGGCATTAAGGATGGCGCGGATGTACCTGCTCTCTTGGATTTGATCGACCGCCGCAAGCCCGATGTTCTCGGTGTCTCCGGTATGACACCAGAGACTCGACGGCTCTATAAGATTCTGACCGAGTTCGTCGACTTGAAGGACATTCGGGGAGCGCCTTACACCGATGATCGCGATGAAGAAGTAAGCGACCGCCTTGAGGTTGTCATCGTCAATGATGAGGTTGCTCGGTTGTACCACAACAGCGCTCGCGCCCAGAATGACAACCCTGGCTTTGGGCCGTTAACCCATTACTGTGTGGCGCTGGGCCGGTATCTGCAAAGCCCTCTCAAGGAGTATGCCTCCTTGGGCCGCGATATTGTCTCTATTCAATTCAAGCCTGGTCAGCAGCTGGTGTCTCAGGAGCTTCTGATCAAGCAGCTCGAGACTGCTTTGGTCGATATGGTTAACTTGGTCGGCGTGGACCTTAATGACGCCGTCAATGACCCATTGACTGCAAACCTCGTTCCATACGTTTGTGGTCTTGGTGAGCGAAAGGCGGCTCACCTGCTGAAGATTGTCAACATGAACGGGGGCGTTGTAAACAACCGTCAAGAGCTGTTGGGTTTCAACGTACAGTACCCCGCCATGTCTCCTCAAGTATGGAGCAACTGTGCCAGCTTCCTTTTCATTGATTTCGAGAGTGTTGATTCGGATGCGGACCCGCTGGACAACACCCGTGTGCATCCTGAAGATTATGATATCGCTCGCAAAATGGCTGCTGATGCTCTGGAGCTAGATGAGGAAGATATCAAGGCTGAGACTGATGAGAACGGTGCTGGTGCCATTGTGCGCAAACTGTTCCGTGACGACCAACAAGACCGTGTCAACGATCTGATCCTGGAAGAGTATGCGGAGCAACTGGAGAAGAACCTCAACCAGCGGAAGCGTGCCACTCTGGAGACTATCCGCGCAGAATTGCAACAACCCTACGAGGAGCTCCGCAAGCAATTTGTTTTCCTCAGCACTGATGACGTCTTCACTATGCTTACCGGTGAGACACCCGAGTCTCTCAAGGCCGGCATGGTGGTCCCCATTGCACTTAAGCGGGTATTTGAGGACCATATCGATGCGAAGCTGGACTGTGGAATCGATGCGCTGGTCGCAGAGACTGAACTTGGGTTGCCCTATGACCTTCCCGTGCGAAATGTCTACACGCCCCACCAGACGGTGCCCGCCAAGATTATGTTCCTGAACCGCAAGAGTTTCACTTGCAACGTTTCTCTGCGTGAGGACCAGGTCACCAATCCCGTTCGTAACGTCCCTGATCATGGCTTTGGTGATTGGGATGAGGTGCAGGAGCGCAAGGACCGGGATTCCATGCAAGCGAAGGAGCAGCAAGGTGGACAGACTATGCGTGTGATCAAGCACCCGCTCTTCAAGCCATTCAACTCCACCCAGGCGGAGGAGTACTTGGGCTCTCGCAGCCGTGGCGATGTGGTCATCCGTCCCTCGTCTCGTGGTCCTGATCATCTGGCGGTTACCTGGAAGGTGGCGCAAGGTGTGTACCAGCATATCGACGTTCTCGAGCTGGACAAGGAGAACGAGTTCTCGGTTGGTCGTGTGTTGCGCGTTGGCGGCAAGTACAGCTACAGTGATCTGGACGACCTCATTGTCAACCACGTCAAGGCTATGGCAAAGAAGGTCGACGAGATGGTGTTGAACGAGAAGTACAAGGAGGTCAGCAAGGCCGAGACTGGTGAGTTTTTATTTCCTCGTTCTAGCATCGGAGAATACTTGATACTAACTACCCTTCCTAGACCAATGGCTTGAGACTTACACCAAGGCCAACCCTCGTCGCTCGGCTTATGCATTCTGTATCAACCCCAAATACCCCGGCTACTTCTTCCTTTGTTTCAAGGCGGGCGAGCACTCGCGTCTCCAGAACTGGCCCGTCAAGGTGATCCCCCAGGGTTACGAGTTGCAGAAGAACCCATACCCGGACATGCAAGCCCTGTGCAATGGGTTCAAGTTGATGTTCAGCAATATGCAACGCCGGAGATAAACGAGGAAACAAGACCGCCTGTACAGTGTACCATTTTCAATTTCTTTTTTTTTTCAATGCCCTTTTTTTCTGTCTGCTTGGGGAGTGGGTTTTTTATTAAAATGGAAAAAGCGCTTTGAGGAAAGAAACAAAACATCAGATGGGCATATTAGCATTGTTTTTTCTTCGATCTCTTGGATGTCTCTGCCCTCCCCTTTTTCATTCTCTTTTTTTTTCTGCCTTTAATTCGATACACCTTCTGGTCGTTTGGGGGGGGGGAGCATTGGGCATTTCTGTAACCATTAGGAAGTTTAACCAAATAAGAGCATTTTATGGATATTGCTGAGTAGAGGAGTGTATTGTTTATAGGTCTACAGTCATACAAGTAAATAATATTCGGTAGTTCTTGGTTGTAGGGCAGAGACTAGCGCGGGGCCATGGATCCTACCGGGGAAGCATAAGCAGGACGATCTTTACAAAACTACCGTAAACTACAGCCAGTAGGACTAGACTACTAGACTACGGACTACATGTGAACCATCGATTGGCCTCGGGACTGGCCCATTTGAACCGTTCCGCCGAGCCCCGGAGCCTTGGACTATTGATGTCCGAATGTTTTCGTCTTTCCCATATACTTATGTAAATATATGTCCTTTCTATTTATCTAGTCGTTAGCATATATTTGTTTTGGCATTTCGGAGTACTGTGTCCTGTCCAGCCTTGTCCAGCCTTGTCCAGCCCGCCCCGTCATTGTTCCACTTGCCTCCCCCTCAGCCGCAACTCCACCGGACCGCGACGGCTGTTCTCCTCGTGGAGCTCTTCTTGACACCTTTTCTCTCCTATCTGCGCAATCATGGCGGCAATGGAGGAGCTGGAGATCCATAGCAAGGTAAGGAGCAATCGCAATCGGTCCGCCTCAACATCTCGGCGCAAGCTAATCCCAAATCCTCTCTTCCACCACAGTCGTACTTTGTACGATGGATCAACGTCAGCGCCAACCACACCATCTCCTGGAGTATTCAACCGCACAAGAAGTCGGTGAACTTTGGAATCTTCAAGCACCCCGGCCAGTCCAGTCTGAGCTCCTATCTGCCCGCCTCCGATTCCCAAAGCACCGACTCGACCGAGAACCTACCCGCAACGGCCGCCAACGCGGGCGCCTCCCGGAACCAACAGTCCACCGTCATCGAGAAGCTGACTGCCATTGGTCTCAAGTCGATCAAGTGGATTGGCAAGTGTGAGGCGGATCGGATCTCCCAGGGCACTTACGATGTACCGGCCAGCGAGGCGGGCAATTACGCGCTCGTCTTCGACAATACCTTTTCCAAACAGATCTCCAAAACCGTCACCCTCGTGCTCCTGACCTACCCGACCGGTCTGCAACCGCATGGATCTGCGCCGCCGTCCATTGCACGCTCGCACGCGGGTGGCTCGTCCGATTCCCTGCCCCAGCCGCGAACGCGCCGACGCGGAAATAGCAAATCTACCCTGAGCGCGCAAGTGTCGGACTCGTCGATACACACGGGATTGCTGCAGAAGCGTCGGCGGAAGAGACACCAGGGTTGGGCACGTCGATTCTTCTCGTTGGATTTTACCTCGTCGACGTTGTCGTATTATCATGACCCCAACTCGTCTGCTCTGCGCGGTGCTATTCCGCTCTCGTTGGCGGCGGTAGCTACCAACGAAAAATCACGCGAGATTTCTATTGACTCGGGAACGGAGATTTGGCATCTTCGTGCGAGCAATGATCAGGACTTTGCGTCTTGGAAGCGCGCGTTGGAAAAGGCTTCGTCTAAGGACTCGCCGAGCCAGAATGAACTATCCGTTGTTGGAGGGCCACCACAGCTGCGCCTGACTACTCCGGGACACCCCTCGCCGGAAGAAGAGGCTGAGTGGGCGCAGGTTAAGAAGCTGGTCAGCAAGATCTCTGGTTCGCGAGATGCAGTGCGCCGTCTGGCTAGGGATACCGATCCCAAGTATATCGTATCTCCTGCTCCGTCTCCCATCGAGCCACGGGGTCGCGGTCGTTCGCCGAGTCCCGGTCCTGCTGGGCAAGATGCCTCTGTTTCAGACCCTAAACGGCCGTTCTGGAAGCGCAAGACCAGTGGGAACTCGCAGACTGGCTCTAAACGGCCCTCCGGTCCAGAGCAGAGCAATTCCAGCTCGTCCCAGCTAGTTGTGCCTAAACCAGACGGAACCGGCAGACCTGCGAGCATTGCTAGTCATGCCGATGGTATGGATGAGATTCATGACAATCTGATGGCCGTGCTGCGTGATCTGGATCACGCGGTGTCTGAGTTCTCGACGCTCATTGCTGAGAGTAAACAGCGCCGACACCGACACCCGCCACGGTCTACTATCGTTCCTCGGAAGAGTATGGAGTCGGATATCTCGCAGGAATTCTTCGATGCTATGGATGGAGGTGCGGCGTCACCTCTTTTGACTATCCAGGACAGCGACGAAGAGGCTGTGGACGCTGCCGAGAACGTAGAAGATGATGCACCTTCAGACAGCGAAGATGAGACTGAGGCTACGACTCCGCACGACACCAGTAGTGCTTCTCCCTTGTTCCCAGCTCGTCCGAAATCTCTCGCACCATTACCTCTTGACAAGATTCGTCGCCGTCAGAACATCGCAGCACCGACGGTCCTGCCTCCCAGTTTGATCGGCTTCCTACGCAAGAACGTCGGCAAGGATTTGTCTACGATATCCATGCCAGTCTCTGCAAACGAGCCTCTATCTTTACTCCAGCGTGCCGCAGAGATCCTAGAATACTCCTCCCTCCTAGACCAAGCAGCCCAATCCTCTGACCCCGTCGAACGACTCATGTACGTTACTGCATTCGCCCTCTCCTCGCTATCCAGCAACCGTGTCCGCGAGCGTTCCATCCGCAAACCCTTCAACCCTATGCTCGGCGAAACCTACGAGCTTATCCGCGAAGACCAAGGCTTCCGCTTCATCGCAGAAAAGGTCTCCCACCGACCCGTCCAACTCGCCTACCAAGCCGATAGCCGCGAATGGAGTCTCGCACAGTCCCCAATGCCCAGCCAGAAATTCTGGGGCAAATCTGCCGAAATCACGACAGAGGGTCGCGTGCGTATCACTCTACACGCCACGGGCGAACGCTTCAGCTGGACGCCCGCGACCTCGTTCCTGCGGAACATCATCGCTGGCGAGAAATACGTCGAGCCCGTCGGTGAACTAGCCGTCGCTAATGAAACCACCGGCCACCGCTCCATCTCTACCTTCAAGGCCGGCGGCATGTTCTCCGGCCGCAGCGAAGAAGTCACCACCCGCGCCGTCGACTCGTACAATCAGCCCATCGCCCTGGGTCTAGCGGGTACATGGCCTGCCTCTCTGAATCTCACCCGCGACGGCAGTCCCTCCGGCAAACCCATCTGGACAGCGGGACCCTTGGTCCCCAGCGCCCCCAAGCACTACGGTCTCACAGCCTTCGCCGCAGCCCTGAACGAAATTACATCTATCGAAGAGGGCCGTCTCCCAGTCACAGACTCCCGGTTGCGTCCTGACCAGCGCGCTTTGGAAGAAGGCGATCTCGATCGCGCGGAGGAAGTCAAAGTCCAACTTGAAGAGGGCCAACGTACCCGGAGACGGGAAATGGAAGCTGCTGGGGAGAATTGGACACCCAGGTGGTTTACCAAGGTGAGTGAGGATTCGGATGGGGAGGTTGTTTGGCGGTTGAAGGGTGGGAAGGATGGGTATTGGGATGAGAGGGCTAAGGGTAGTTGGAGTGGTGTTGTGCCTGTTTTTGAGGGTTGATTGGGTGGGACTGGACTTGGTAGATGTGTATATGTTTGGTTTTTGTGTTTTTTTTTATTCCCCCCATTCCCCCCATTTTTGGATCTTGGATATTTTGGTTTTTTGGTGGTGAGGGAAGCTGGGGAGGGCTTGTACAGAAACTTGGATTCTGCATTTCTCTTGGACCCTCCGTTGGGGAGGGTTATAGTGTTTGGCCCTGCTTCTATTCTAGGGTATCTAGAGTATAGTGTTGATTCTATAGAAGATATCTCTCCACTTGATCAATCACTCTGCTAGTATCTTTGATTGGGATTTGTAAATAGACTGCCATCCGAGGACGTGGTTGGTTTAGAAAATACTTCCTCTATCATTCTATTCAATACACGACTTGATTCAGAAGAATTTATACCTGATTCAAAGTCTAGATGATAGACATGTCGTTGCGTATACAAACATAGCTTCATCTACGCCCATCACGAAGCGCCTTTGGTCTAACCCAGCTACCATCCACTCGGTCGGCACTTCTATTACAACTCAATCACACAGATTACGTACATAGCTACTACCCCATTCCCTACTATATTCACTTTCATATCAAAAAAACACATCACCCGAGACTGGCCTGACAACCTTGCAGCGATGTCGTTGTACGAATCGGTAGACGACAAAAAAACAAACCAAGCTCCTTGCAAGATTCGAACTTGCGTTTTGGGAAGACTAATGGAGAGGAAAATATCAAAATCCCACGTGATAACCAACTACACGAAAGGAGCGACATGGAGGATAGAGAGTGGTGTATAGCGTCATGGTTCGTGGGGTGGGTCGACTAAGTCCGGTAGGAATATAACAACTTTGACTCGGTCACTATAGAATGTTCTCTTGTAGTAGGGAGTGTTGGGATAAAAAGAAATCATAAGATGAAAGCAAAACAGTGTCTATTTTCATTTTCCCCGCCAAGAAGAGCTATCTCCTATGGTGGGGACAAAAACAAAAAAGCAAAAGAATGAAGCTCCATCCAGGGTTCGAACCTGGGACTTGAGAAGATCGATGCTATCGGAGATAGGATGTAATCAAAATCTCACGTGCTAGACCACTACACTAATAGAGCTGCTTGATTGGATGTCTGGTGAACTTGTTGGTTTATATATGCCTTTTCTAATAGGCTTGGTGGTTGCGACCGGAACCTTCTACTTCTATGTGGTACCGGGGAACGAAGGTACTTATTATTTGAGAGAGTGCTGATTTTAGTAAGGATATTTGTAGGCCTTTTTGTGAGTAGCTAGGGGTCTTTTTCATGGTTGTGTCCGGGTTTATTTGGGATGAGAGGGAGGGTACTTGAGAGGAGTGGCTGTCGATATATATCCTCGCTATCACCCTCCGCAGGGGCCTCCAAGAAATATGGATGAGGTCCTGGTCTCCTCCAATCTACTGCGAGTTACTCAAATAACTAGGTAGCAAACCCTATGGAAGATACAACGATTACTTCTAGATTGAGTTAAAGATCAACATTAGATTTTTATCGACAGAGAGAAATATTCTCTCCATGTTCATTGCATCGTATACTGCACTCGGTATAAACAAGAGCTCTTAACTTCGACCTCGCCATCACAAGAGAAATAAGAAGACCACAGCAGTAAATTCAAACGAGTCTTGGGAGTGGGACCACCGTATGTAACACTGTATGGAATTTCCCTGTGCAGAGTAGAGATAGACATGCTGTAGACCAGTATCAAAAAGTCAAAAGAACAAATATCATCCTCCTCCTCGAGACACGTTTAAAAAAAGCAGACTGTCACTCCATATCCACATCGTCATCAGAATGAGCAGCCCAGCGCTTAGAATTGCGCATCCTAGCCGCCCGCCTGGCTGTCTGACGATCATCCGATCCGCTAGCCTCGGCCATTGTACGCATCATGACCGGCAAATTCTCCAGGACAGCCCTATTACCCTGGAAATAATGCTCGGCGAAACCACCTTGCAGGATTCGACGCAGTGACTGCAATCGCACCCACTTCCACCACCGGTCGATAGTCATGATCCCGTGGCGGCCGATCTTGACGGTCAGGGTGCTGCCGTAGTGTCGGTTGGTGTCCTGGTCGATGGCCATGTTGTATCGCGGTCCGCGACGAGGGTTCTCGACCGTGGTCAAGATTGAGGCGAAGTTTCCGTGCAGCGACTTCTTGTCTCGCTTGCTGATGCGCTTCGAGTGCACGGTCGCTAGGCTGGCAAGTTGGCGTTCCAGCTCCGGGGTATTGTGGTAGGCGTTGTACCGCTTGATCAGCTTACGCCCACCAGAAGGATGGATGTTGGCATGTTCATCACCCTCTTCCTCTTCCTCGCTATCCTCGTCATCATCGTCCTCTTGAGGTGTGTAGCTCTTCTCATAGAGGAGGGCAATGTTCTCACCCGCGGCGATCTGAACGCCCGAGTCGCTGCTGTCGAGCTGGTCGATGAAGATTTGAACAGCTTCTTCACTCTCGCTTTCAAAGTCATCGACTTCCGAGAGGAGGAAGCCCCAAACGTGAAGGGCAGCGGTGACGCTGATTGGGTCATCATTAGCGTCGATGGACTGTCCGTCCGAAGCGATGATATCCAAAAGGAACGTCATCTGCTCGAGGATTCCTTCCTCGCCTGCGCCGCCAAAATTCGTGCATGCGCCGAGGCAGTAGATCGCAGCCGCTTTGACCGCATTAGAAGTCGAGTCGCGAATGCAGCGGGTGAGCAGTGGCTCAGCATTCTCGTAGATCTTATCATCACACGAGGTAATTACCAGCAGCTCAATTGCACGGAGAGCCAAGGTCGTCTCGCGAGTGCTAGACTCGCTGCGAATGCTCCGTGCGAATGCACTCAGCAGATCGGTGATGTGGGGGCGAGTCTCTTCCTCTGCATAGTGGTACTTGATCAGACGGCAGAATGCAGCGAGCGCCTCTTCGCGGCCCTGAACGCTGCTTCGCTTGCGATCGAGGATCTCGGCCATACGGTCGGACAGCTCCTGGGGCCAGTCGACATTTTCAGTCTCGGGATTCTCGTCGTCGAGAGAGCCGATACTATAGTTTGGAAGTGGTCAGTGCTAGTTCGATCAGAAAAAAAGAAACCGGTGACATCATCCCGCCACGGGTGGGACCATGAGGGATGAACTTGAAATGCACAAAAAAAAGATAAAGCGACACACAAATGAAGCTAACAAGTAATGAAACAGAGTTAAGACTCACCTCAGAGCAGTGTCATCAGATAGGAAGCCCGAGTCCTCATCATCGGATGCCTGACGACTCGCATTTCGCGAGGACTGGCGAGAGGTTTGCTTGGAGCTTGCGCGGGAGTTAGTGCGGGAGGCCTCTCGAGAAGCAGCCTTCCGCGAGACGGTCTTGCCGCTCTCGAAGATTTGGCGACGAAGATCGGGCATGGTGAAAGAGAGGGATAAGAGGTTGTGGAGGTTGAGTTTTGAGAAGTTGAGAGAGATGGAAGTTTGACTGAGGGCTTAAGCCTCGAGCTCGAGAGTGGTTTGAAAGAAAGAAAGTTAGAGAGGATGAAATCAGGTGGCGAATTTATCCTATTGGAATGGAGCTCTGACGAAAGGAAATCTGGCGATGGAGAGAGTAAGATAGCACATCGTCTTGCAGGAGAAACATGGGGTGGTCTCGAGGGATGAGAGAGAGAGGATGGAGGAAAAGGAAGGAAAGGAAAGATCAAAGAGCCCAAGGGAAGGACGACTGCCAATAATGGACGAGATGATTAATGGATGGAGTTTGGTTACCAGGATTACCATACTTTACTTATACCGTATTTGATATTGTAGTCCATACCGAAAGTACCTTCTCCTTGGACTCGGGCAGAAACCGCGGTTCACCAGTTGTCCCGTGTATTTGTACCGTATTGACAGTGCGGGGATCACAAGCCGAAACTATAAAATGCCCGTTCCAGAGAATCAATGATACTTACAGTTGATCTGCACATATGGCAAGCATTATCTGGTCGGAGTTTTTACAGTCCATGTTCATACTGTAGATTACTCGTATTCAATCGAATCTTGTTTTTCGAGGGGTATCACCAACTCCGTCGTAATCATACATGGAATCAATCAAAGGGCCAGCTCCTAGCCAACCCGTTTAACGACCAGCTCCAAGATACGCCGTGACTTGGCACCCTCCAAGTATTCCCGTCCTTCATGCCTCGTCTCCTCATCCTCATCGTCATCATCGCCCACCTCTAGATCCACCTGCAAACTGGCCTCGTAGGCATCCATGACCGTCTCCTCATCCACACGGACACCTCCTTGTACCAGGACCTGGATACACTGTGCCAACCGAGCGATTTCCCGGCGGGTCTGTGGTGCGATCACATCATTCTGGCTGGAGTAAATCGATGTGGAAACCATCTCTTCCATGCGCGTGATAGACACGTTCTCCGTAGCCGACGAGGCCGCAGCCGCACCATCGGCATGCTTCGAAATCCAAATGTACCCATTCACTCCAAGAATAACGTCCACATCACCGCCGCCATTATGCGTGTTAACCGTCCACACCTGTCGCCGTGATCGCACAACACCACCCATTCCACTGCCAGCTCCAGGTCGCAAGGCTCCAGCACCCACGCCGCCCTTCGTGGTAGAGCTAGACGCCCCGCTACCACCGGTGCCCGTCACGGCGAGGAAGACGCCATTCCGCAGCTTACCGTACTTCAGCGAGCGAGTGTGAAGCGAGGCTGAGCCGTCTTGGTGCACGCTCTGCACCTCTGCAACCACCAGGTCGCCCTCGCTGAAGAAGGTCCGGATCTGCAGCTCGTCGGAGCTTGTTCGTCGCCGAAGGATACCACCGGGCAAGTTGATAGCGGAGAGAGGGAGCTGGGCGAGGAGTGGAGCGGCGACATCGACCTTCCACCGCTTGGACTGGACTTCGACGATGCGGCCCACGACGAGATCACCGATCTCGGGTGTGTAGCGGGCGCGTAGGGGGTGGACGGAGAGGAGCTTGTTGGTTTTTTGAACTGTACCGGCGACAGTGGCGATAATTGAGGTTGAGAGGGGGGTCACGTATGTGCCATGGCCTCTGCGAATGGGTTAGCCCTGTTGTAGAAATTCTAGTATCTAGATTGACGGGGCCAAGGTCTAGCTCAGAATGGGCGATCGCAGGTTGTAAAGCTGCGAAGAGCCTCTGCGCCGGGTTCGAACTACTAACCTCATCCATTGCGGATCGTCTGTGACCACTTCACCTGGCGTGACGACGCCTGTCGACACAGTCTCATTTCCTATGCGGGCCCGCTTCGGTGACCGCACGCCGCTCATTTCAACGTCTTCGTCCGAGTCGACGGACATGGAGTCGTCGGATTCTTCATGGCGAGGAACGATATCCTCCACCACGGGAGGAAGAATTATGATTCCCATCGTGTAGGGTTATGTGTCGATTGGGAGGAAAATGTGTATCGGAGAGGATATGAAGGTGCTGGATAAAGTCCGAGACTTTCTTGTATTCACGTGACCGTCCCCACTATGAGCCCAAGTATACTAAACTTGGAATTCGAACTTGGAATAAAAATGAGCTGTTGACTTTGAAACTAGAATTAGCTGATCCAAAACAAGGTAAGTTGGACAGAGAAGATACAGAATATATTGCTTTGGAGCTTTATTTCAGTAAACGGAGCTGTACTCCCAATATGATTGATTACAGCAATAGACGGTTCCATCAACGGCTAGTCCACCTTTCGTGTCTAGGCTATACGTAGTAATTGCCACAATAATTTGCTGATACCCCCTCTATAGTAGTTTATATCTGGACTGGACTATTTCCTTCTACCATGGAATGTTCACAATTGAGATTTGAAAGATTCTGTTCTCTAAAACACTCATCTGTTGATATTCATATCGTATACCCAGTCCAGTAAAAAGCCAATGCACATGCCATATTAATACATCAAAATCGAAAATGAAAGAAGAAGAGACACGTCACCACAAGCTGATGCTGTTCATGCCTTCTTAGCATTGCTCTTGGCAGCAGTAGGCTCATCCTTCTTTTTCTTTGAACGGTTGTTGCCTCCCTTGGGCCGGTACCCGGAATCCTCATCACGCTTACGCTTGTTCTTCGGTGTAGGTTCCACTTCCATCCCATCCTCATCAAAGGCCTCCTCTTCCTTGCGCTGTGCAGGGGCTCGCTTCGAGGAGCGCGCGTTAGATGGGCGTGACGTGGACTTCTCCGATGCAACCTCGTGATCCTGCAGGGCCTGCGGTTGATTGCGTCGCAGCCAGTTATACACTGAGGCGGGATTCCGCAGAACAGCCTCTCGCTCTCGCTCGGCAAATGTGGGTGGGTCGGGGATACGCGCGACTTGCGATATGGCCGTCTCATCGCCTAGTTTGGCATCCAGTGCTAGATAGTATTCTGTCTCACGCTCGGGTGTGAGATACCCGAGCGTGCGCCTGACACCATTGGATCCTTGTTCTTGATCTGGAGCACCGGCTGAGGTGTGGGGGACTTGAATCAATTTACGGTACTGCATCGCCGGAACAAAGTCCTTGTTCCGCTTCACGCTCTCTTCTACCTGTCGATAAGCACTTGTAGAGAGGTTGCCGTTGGCTAACTCGGATTTGGCCTCCTTCAATGCGGTTCGGGCGAGAGTCGCGTCATTGATCAGGGGCGCGATCTCTTGTTCGGCGGGTGGAAGGAAAGTGGCATCGTCGGGCATGGTCAAGTCGTATCGTAGAGATGGGGATACATGGAGACTGTCGTTGAACTCGAGGAGAATTTCAAGCAATTGGCTGCAGTTGAGTTAGCACTCTACTCAAAATGAATCTAAAACATGAACATGAGATGAGCTTACTCGTTCTGTTCTTGAATGCGCTTGGAAAGGTCTTCGATGCGGAGCTCTTCGCGGATCAAAGCCTCGCTTTCCAGCTCTTGCTTGGTGAATTTCATTTTCAACTTGGCATATTTCTTCCTAGAAACCACAGTTTAGCCAGAGAATTAGGGATCAATGCTGTCAGGACGTCGTACTTGAAAGAGTGCACCGACTGCTTAGCAGGGGCAGCTTCTGGGGCATCGGGCAAAGTCTCCGAGACGGGCTTGGAATCGGTCGTTTCGTCTGCCATGGCGAAAATTGGATCGTAGATGGCAAGATGGAAGCTGTCGGGAGGGGATGAAGCTGTTGAGGCTTTGAGGGAAAGGAAGGGCCGGGGCAAGTTGGAAGGCGCGCGCCAAGCACGGGCTGTCAGGCTTGCGCGATTAGTATCTCCCGGCCGCCGTAAAAAATTGATTAGCGGCGACCCGGAGATCTCTGTAAAGTGCAATTTTTTTTTGAACCGTTCAAAATCCTCGACAAATTCCCTGCCAATTTCCCACTGGTACGGATTTCGCCGAAAGAAAGCCACCATGACTGAAGTCGCCGACCCAAGCCAGAAGAAGCGCAAGCTTCAAGACGGCCCCGAACTCGAGATTGATATTTCTGCGCCGGAGCCGCCATCGAAAAAGGCCCTAAGAAAGGCAAAGAAGGAGAAGAAGTCTGAGGGAGAGGCCAAGGATACCGATAAGCCCAAGACTGAGAAGACCGAATCTAAAGACGCTGCCGAAAAGCGCTCTCAGTATGGAGTCTGGATCGGCAATTTGTCCTTCAACACCACCAAGGACGACCTGCGCCAATTCTTCATCGACAACTGCTCCTTCGACAATGATACGATTACACGAGTCCACATGCCCAAGGGCCCCGAGAAATTCGGGCGTCCTCAGAACAAGGGCTTTGCCTACGTCGACTTTTCCACCGAGAAGGCTCTGGAGGAGGCAATTGGCCTGAGCGAGCAATTGCTTACCGGTCGCCGCGTGCTGATCAAGAATGCGAACAGCTTCGAAGGTCGGCCCGAAAAGACTGCGGAGCAGGCCAACGCTGCCACCGCGGCCAAGCCCGGCCATCCTCCCTCCAAGCGTATCTTTGTGGGCAACCTCAGCTTCGACGTTACGAAAGAGTCTCTCGAGGAGCATTTCGCCCGATGTGGACCAGTGACCAATGTGCATATGGCGACCTTCCAGGACACAGGAAAATGCAAGGGGTATGCTTGGGTGGAGTTTGAAGAAATTGCATCCGCGGAAGCAGCGGTGAGAGGCTTCGTGATGGAGAAGGAGGATGATGAAGAAGAAGAGGAAGAGGAAGAGGAGTCCAGTGACAGCTCCGACTCGGATGAAGAGAGCAAGAAGCCAAAGAAAAAGTCCAAGAAGAAGTCGAAGAAGCCTTTCCAGCGCCGGATCTGGGTGAATCAGCTTCTGGGTCGCCGAATGAGAATGGAGTTTGCCGAGGACGCGACAACACGATACAAGAAGCGCTTTGGCAAGGATGGCGAAGGAAAGAAGAATGGCCAACCAGCAATCACCGAGGAGGGAGCTGAGCCATCCGAGGAGCAGCCCCGAGTCCGCAAGCAAAGGCGGCCATCCATTGACGAGTCACGATACTCCAAGGAGACTGTGCAACGACTCAGTGGTGCCATCGTTGAAGCCCAGGGTAAGAAGGTCACCTTTGACTAAATGTGTGACTAGCATTTTTTTCGAATCTTTTGCTGGACCATCCATGGGACTTTGGCTCGTTGGAAAATATTGTTTTCATTATGTACTTTTTTTTGCTGGTTCATTGCAGTTCTACTGCAGGCGTCTTCAGATGTGTTTAGAGACTCTATAAAGCAACGATCTGCTATGCGGTGTACAGTTCTGTTGACGTGGCATCGATATTCATCATGATTCCATTAGGGCTACTCATTGAGCTCACAGATACCCCTCGGTAAAAAAAGAATTTGTGTTTTATTGTGTGTATGATTTGAAGTTGTTCGTCCTTGCATGCGCCATAAGCGTTATCAATCAAGGGTGTCGCATGCGCTAGTAAACTCACGATCCACAACTGCAATTTATTTCGGGAACGGGTACATCAGCCTACATGAACCATATGGTGAGTTCCGGTCATGCTTTGAGAAACAAAAAGGCACAGTCGGGCTCACTCCGAAATGGTTCTGTAGAAACAAAGCAGCTTTGTTTTTGTCTAAGAAAAGTAAGACGAAACATGTAGATCTAGACTGGTCGGGCAGAAACCCCCTCACCGCCCTAAGCTAGCCCGATTGGGGGTGACGTCTCTTTGCGATGTCATGCCCTTTCGTGGAATATCTGCTTCACATCTCGCCCGGCTTGCATCTCCTTCTCTCATCCCCCTTGCTCTTTTCCTTCTCTTCACTCCATCATCCTGGTGAGGTGCCTTTTGAAACAATATTCTTCAATTTCTTCCCTCTGATCCCGTCATTTGATCATCACCTTGCTGTTACGCCCACTACACTTCGCCGCACTGCCTTCTTGCCCATCCCTTCCTGGTTGGCTGGCCCTGACGCCAACTCAGCACCAATAGGGCTGATCTTCGACCTCTTCAAGGCCTTCCCGTTCAAATCGAGACCATGGCTCCCGCTCGACGCCACATCGGGGCAAGCCGTAGGAAGAGACGGGACGATGAGGGCGAGGACGAGGGCTCACAGTTTGGAGAAGTGGACGATGACTCCTTGAGTGAGGGCTCGGTCGACAGTCACCAGGAAGATGAAGATGCCGATGGAGAAGTTAGCGAAAGTGACGGAGAAGCTTCGACCACGCTGGACACGGACAAGCTCAACGGTGGAAAGACCAACGGCCGGAACCCAAACCAGACAGACCAACACAGCTCTACAACCCCCAGAAAGCCCGGACTGAAGATGACTGTCTCCGACACGGAAGCGATGTTGAACGGGCTTAAACTATCTGACGATGGCGATGAGATCAGCTTCGACCAGATGGAGGAGCAGCGAGACCTTCAGACGGGCCGGACACCGTCTGCTCCGCCCACGGAACCGAAACGGGAGACCCTAGCTGCGAGGAAGCGCCGAGAGCATGAGAAATACGTGAAGGAGCGAGAGCAGAACCCGGCATTTGTACCCACCCGAGGCAGTTTCTTCTTACACGACAAGCGGACGTCAGAGGCTGGATCGAATAGTCACCGTGCCTTCAACAAGGGAAAGTCCAGGCCCGTCGGTCTCATCGTGGATGGGAATTCTCGCAAGTACGGGCTACCTAGCTTCATATATGACCTGTGTGGATATTTTGCTGATTTGTTTCTAGAAACTCTACCTCCAAGGACGCAAGTGAAGGACAGTGGACACACGACCTCCATGAGACAGTGGCCGGAGAGCACCCCGCGCCCAAGCAGGCCTCCACCACAGCTGGACCATATCCATCGGTTCAGAATGTGCCGACCGCCCCTCGATCTGACCCTCCGAATCGTTCGTTCTCTAGCACTACCTTGATCGGCAATGTTCCCGTCGTTGTTTTCCTGCCAGGCATGACACAGCCAAAGTCGTTCCCCGCAGTGCCTAAAAAGCAGCATACTCGCCTCCCCCAACATCGTCCTCCCTTGCGCCGTGACAAACCGGTGCGAATCTCGCTTCCTGGCCAGCCTCCTCGCTATATTTTCCCCTCTATTGAGCGTTCCTTCATCTTTATTCCCCGTGCATTGCGACCGAATCAACAAGGCTACCGAGGCCGGGGCCGAGGCGGTGGTTTCTACCCCGGCCGACGACCCAGCTATTACAACACCTACACCCCTAGCGTTCTCAGTGTCAGCAGAAGGTCCTCGCTTGGAATGTCGGTCTCCCAGGATGGCTATCCGTCGCCGGCAGGTTCGGTGTACTCGCGGCCAGCCATGGTTGTTCCCGATACAAGCAAGCCCGTCGTTCGTCTGCCTCCTCCGCCGCGTCCTCCCGTTGGTATGCCCCCGACCGGGCCTGGTGCGGGAATGCCACCAGGAGCTATGCCACCTATGCAATTCCCGCACTTTGCCTATCGTGAAAGTCGCCCGGCACCTATCCCCATGCATCAACCCCGTCCTCAAAAGGCTGTCTCCGTGGCCGATATCGAGAGCCCGGCCAGCTTCCCATTCAACCCACCCCAGCCTCAGCAGGAACAACCATTCCACCACCAGGTTCCCATGCCCGTTGCTGGACCTGGTCAAGAGCAGATGGTGCAGGGCCCGCCGAGCCAGGCTTCAGGAACTCCGCTTTCGCAGATTCCCGAGCGGGCAATCCACGCCCAGCCTTTCCAACCATACGGCTACCAACCGCCAGGCTATTACCCAGGCTACCCTCCTGGCGCCATGTACTATCCAGGATCTGGTCCTGAGTATGCCCCGTACAATGGACCGATGGGACCTGGTGTTTCGATGCCTAATTTCCCTCCGGGTCAACAACCTATGCCTTACGTTGTTCCCTCCTCGTCATCGGGAGAGCAGCCTTCTCAGCCCGGTACCGTTGCCCATGAATCGGGTGGCACGGTGTACTTCTATGATGCCAACCAGATGTACCCTGGCACTAATTATGGGGGTCAAGGTCCGGGGCAGGGGCCTGGAGGAGTTGTGGGCATGGGAGGTATGATGACGCCTCCTGGTACCACGTATTACTACCCACAACCACCTGGGGCCGGGGGAGGCATGTACTATGGACCTCAGTGATTGGACTGACTTAACTGATCTGGACTGGTTTCAGTTCGCTGATGGATGACACACGTCTTTTCTGTTCTTCCAATGGAGCATGGTCCCTTTTTTCCTCCCTTGTTCCTTTTTATTTTCTCCCATCTTATTTTCTTGGTTCCTCTCCGTCTTTTGTTCCCCTTAATTTTTCTTCTTTCTTCTTTTCTATTTTCGCTTCTTTTCTTTTTTTGATATCTTTCTTTTTTCTGCCCGTCACGTTAGACTTGGATTATTCGGATGCATTTGAGCGTTCTTCCCCCCTCATTTTTGATGTCCCCGCAAAACCCGCCCAGCTCCTCCTTTGCCCCCCTCATCTCTCTTTGACCACTTTGCATGATCTAGGCCCTGTTGCATGACCTCATTTCTTCGATGACACGGGGCTACGAAATACCAACAAAAAGTATCCTACTGCAGTTTACTCGTGTTCCTGTGCTTGTAACCGTATAATTCTGTGATCATGTAATTAATGTAGGCATATAGATGGGGAGGATACCCTATCTACTTGTATAGTGTATACAGTATGTTTGAGTTCCTTTTCCCGGCATACACTGCGTGACTGCTTACCCCAATAATCTCCCCAATAAACCAGTAGGGACACTGTATCGTTACGATAGTCTTCCCGTACCATACCTGTAAAGGCGTGACCCCCACCTAGCCTTACCTAATCTTACACCGCCCAGTGGCAGCTGACCTTCCCCCCATCGTACAAACCGCTTCCTCTCTGCCTGCTCGGATCCGTCAGTTTCCCTCGACACTCGTCACTTTCCATATCTTTCTGACTCGATTTTCTTTCTTACTCTCCTCTTTCCATCATCTCCCCTTCTTCCATCCCCTTCTCCCGTCGTACTTGTACCCCCCTATCCCCCTCCACGTATTGAAACGTTGCTTGCCTCGGCTTTCTTAAAGATTCCTTATCTCCCTCTTAGTGCCCTGTACTTCCCACCTCCACATCCTCTTCCATCTCCACCTGCATCATGGCTACTCCAGCCCTCCCATCACACCCAGGTCCAGATCATCAAGTTTCCGTCAAGGTTCTTTACAACGACAGCAACCGCCGCTTCAAATTACCTTTGAAGGACCTCCAGGCTCAGGTCCTGCCCCAAAAGGTAAGCTATCTTGTCTCCACTCAAGCTCCGACCGGACCTCCAGTCCGCCCCCCGTCCCCGTATCTCCATGATCCGCTCGGTGATCGCCGTGATCGATGACTCGATGGTGATTTGAAACACTTATTTGGCCTGTATCGATGCAAAATCGCTTCAAATTCCAAATAAGAAGAAGCCGATTGTGGTTACTTGTTGACTAATTGATGCCTTGGGTTTAGCTCCGCTTGCTTCTCGGCGTTCCGGCAAATGTCAACGTCATCTTCGAACGCTATTCTGACAGCGCCGGTAACTACATTCGCCTAGACGAAGCCAACCCCTCCGTCTACAAACAACTCTACCGTGCTGCCAAAGCCAAGTCCAAGCTTCGCATCAAGGCCACCGTGGTCGAGACCTCGGTGTCGGCACCTTCAGACTTCTCTATCCCGGCCCAGCCGTCCTCTCTAAGCCCTCCCCGTTACAGTTACCTTGAGACCGTCCTCAGCTCACCCATCCCCATGGCTCATCCCGAGTCTCTCCCTGCCACCTCTGAGCTGTCAACCACCTCGATCGAGGTCGATGCCTTCCCGCCTCAGTCGATGCAGACTTCCGTTCAACCTCCTCGCTACCGGGACTTTGAGGCTGAAGACAAGATCCGCTTCCCCGTTATCTCTCACAGCTCCCCCAACGGCATGTTCTGTATTGACTGCAACAACTGTGGTCGATCTATTGCCAACGAGCACTATCACTGCAGTATCTGCGAATATGGTGACTACGACGTGTGCCCACAGTGTATCGAGGCCGGTGCGTCGTGCCGTAGCGATGGTCACTGGCTGATCAAGCGGATGGTGGTGAACGGTGTCGTGACCAACAGCACCACCGAGACAATTCCACCTCGTCAGACTCAGGCCCAGGCCCAGACTGAGGTTAAGGCCCATGAGACCCCCGAGCTTACCGAAGAGGTTGCTCCTGTGCAGGAAGAGGAAGAGATCAAGCCCCATATTGCAGTGTGCCCGGCCTACGAGCCTTCCACCTCTGAACAGGTTCAGGAGATGGAGGCCTCTCTCAATCCTGGCCTTTCGACCCAGTCTGATATCGCTATTCAGGGCGATGAGCAGCCTATGTGCAATGGATGCTGCCGTGGTATGTTGTGTTCCATCCCCATCCCCATCCCCATCCCCTCATATAAGGAACAGCGCTAACATGAAAATATAGAGGTCGACGAGAGCAACCTCGTGCGTTGCAATGACTGCGAGGATTATGATCTCTGCCTTCGTTGCCTCCTGCGCAACAAGCATGGCCATCACCCTGCCCACACCTTCTCCCTTGGCTCGGACCGTAACTTCTGCTTGAAGAACCTCATCATGTCACGCTGCCTTCCTGGCCGTCAGTTCAAGCATGCTGCCATCTGTGATGGATGTGAGAAGGTAAGATACCTGCTGCCCCCAGGGAATTTAATCCATTCTGTCAGAACACATGCTAACCCCCTCTAGCGCATTATCGGTACTCGCCACAAGTGCCTGTCTTGCCCTGACTGGGACTACTGCACCAGCTGCATCCAGAAGGCCCACCAGAACCACCCCGGCCACCGCTTCGCTCCTATCTACGAAGCTATTGGTGAGCAGCCTCGTGAATCCGAGGTCCACTTTGGCATCTTCTGTGATGGCCCACTGTGCAAGGACAAGCCCGCTCAGAGCTACATCACCGGAGTTCGATACAAGTGTGCCGTCTGTGACGACGTTGACTTCTGCGCGAGCTGCGAGGCCCATCCCAACCACCAGCACAACCGCACCCACCCCCTGGTCAAGTTCAAGACTCCTGTCCGCACCGTGACGGTCAGCACTATTACCGAGGACGACGCTGTCCCTGGCCGACTTTCTCTGGGTGACCAGCCCCGTGGTACTTTCGACTCTCCCTCCGTTGCTCTGCATGAGGAGGTCGAGGAGAAGAAGCCTGTTGTTGTGGAGCAGGCTCCCGTAGAGGTGGAAGCCACCAAACCCGAGCCAGCTTGGCCCGCCCCTTACTCCCCCGTCCCTGCCGTTGAGGCGCCCGAGGTGACCGACAAGCAAGACTCGGACAACTACAAGGCTTACTTCGTTCGCGATGCTATCGCTGACGGTACCAAGCTTCCTCCCAACACTATTTTCCGCCAGACTTGGACCCTCTTCAACCCCGGCCCTCTTGCCTGGCCTGCTGGTAGTGACGTCCGCTTTGTCGGCGGAGACACCATGTTCAACGTTGACTCTAGCCACCCATCGAGTGTCGAGTCCATCCGCTGTGCGATGGAGAGCAACAAGCTCACTACCTCCCTCGGTCCCGGACAGAGTGCCGACTTTAGCGTGACCCTTCGCACCCCTCGCCGTGAGGGCACCGCTATCTCGTACTGGCGTCTGAAGCTCCCCAACGGTATTCCCATTGGTCACCGATTGTGGTGCGATATTCAGGTGCAGGGTGTTGTGTCCCCTACCCCCTCGGTCGCTGAGCCAATCAAGAAGGCTATTGAGGAGCTGGCCGAGACCGAGTCTTCCACTGAACCTTCCGGTAGTGGTATGATCTTCCCTAAGCTGGAGAAGGAATCTCCCGAGTCTAGTCTTCATGAAGCCGTGTCTTTGACCCGCCAGGCCCCGACTCTGTCGACCGCTTCGGAGGGAGATGTTTTGGAAGATGTGGAAAGCCTCACCTTGGACGAGGTCTCCACCGACGCTGGCTTCCTGACCGACGAAGAGTATGATGTCCTGGATGCTAGTGACCAGGAGTTCCTGGAGGCCAAGCAGTCTATTCACTAGACAACTCGCTCAACCACTATTTGTACCACAGGCATTGCCTGGCTTTATGACACGATATGGAATTGGGAATTTGCAAGCTGGAAGGTTTCGAAACTGGTCTCTTTTTTCTTTCTATTTCTTATCCTCAAACCCCAAACACACAAGCTTGGCCACTTCTGCCATGGTCAGCATTCATAATGACTTTTACTATCTCTTTTTTTCGATCTTTTGAATTTGACATTTCGAATCTTATTATTTTTTTCTTTTTCAGCTATTCTTCTGCAAGAGCTTCGACTTGACAAGTTCACAGGCCTTGACGCGGCTCCAGCTCCAGTTGCAACCAGAAAAGAATATCTCCACTGCATTACTCTTGCTTCAGATAGTCAAATTCATTGCTTCTTTTTCTACGTACTTTGACTTTGTACAGGCCAATAATAACTTAGTCCAAAGAACATTCACATCAATGTCTGTTGGGGTTTACCGGACCCACTCCGACTCCACCCCCGCGTAGCCAGCCATGACGATGTTGGTGTAACGTAACGCAGGGAAAAAAGACCGAGGCAATTCTTCATCTCGGTTCGACTCTCGCGTAAGGAGGAGCCAATTTAAGGTTAAGGTCCCCGCTTAGCCTCCCTCTCTTCCTTCCTTTGCTGTACTTTGCTGTACTATTACTACTAATTACTAGAATTCCCAGCCAGTCCAGCAATCGATTCTTTCTCCCCCATTCTGGCGACGGCAACACCCACGCCGCAATGGGACTCTTGAGTTCGGCCTTCTTAGGCCTATTCACCATGCTGGTGGCCATCCTGGGCCCAGCAGTTCTCCATATTATCAGAGTCAGCGGCCCTTTCTTAACGCCCAATCCAACTGTACTGGGCGCAGGCCAGGGCCCCATCGTCATTGAGGATACCGTCCATTGCGAAGATTTGCATTATCATCGCCCTGCTAATTTGCTATTCACCGCATGCGAAGACGTGAAAGAGACCCGCTTCGACTGGTTCCCCGGTCTGGGCCATTTGGATGCTAAAACTGTGGGCCGGGGATCTATCCATGTTGTCGATCCAAAGGTGCGTGCTAGAGTATCTTCTTCAAGATGCCGAGGTCCACATTATACAAAGCAATATACTGACAATACCCCATTTGTCAATGCCAGACCTTCAAATCTACCCGTCTGGCCTTTGAAAACTTCAACGGGCCCTTCGTCACACACGGCATCGACGTCATCGAAGACCCTCAAGACTCAGATGCAGTCTACATCTTCGCCGTCAATCACCTCCCAAACCCAGACTTCACCCCAGACTCCCCCAATAACCCCGCAGCACGTTCTCAAATCGAACTCTTCCACCACATCCTCCACTCAACGACAGTACAACACGTCCGCTCTATCCGACACCCACTCATCCAAACACCCAACGACATCTACGCCGCCAGCCCGACCTCCTTCTACGTAACAAACGACCACTTCTACCGCTCCGGTCTTTTGAGATTCATCGAAGACATCTGGCCCTCCGCAAAATGGACAAACGTCATCCACGTCCACCTCGAACAACTCCACAACGTGCCCTCCGCAACGGCATCGCTAACAGCTTCAATCGCCCACGAGGGACTATGGAATAACAACGGTCTTGGCCACGCCCGCTCCGAGTCTGAAGTCATTATTGCCAGCGCGATCGGTGGGGAGTTATACCTTGCGAGCCGGGAGAATAATACCTTGACCGTGCGTGATACGATCGTTTTCGACACGGTCACTGATAACCCGAGTTACTATGTGGATCCGTATAAGAGTGATGCGCATGACGCGAGCGGGTTCGTTATTGCGGGGATTTCGCAGGGCTTTTATCTCCCGCAGACGGGGACGGATCCGGATGCGTTGGATGCGGTGCAGGTTTGGTATGCGAAGGAGAAGGGTGGACAGGGGCATGGGTGGGAGAAGAGGTTGTTGTTTGAGGATGATGGGCGGAGGATTCGGACTGCTAGTGCGGCGGTTTTGGTTCCTGTTGAAATGGAGAAGGACGAGGGGGAGGGCAAGCAGGGGGTGAAGAAGGCTTGGTTGTTTGTGACCGGGTTTTTGTCGGAGAGTATGATTGCTGTTTTGGTTGAGTTGTAGATTGGTAGATTCTGATAAACTGGAATGAACGAGTTTTGTCATGAGTATTTGACCAGGAGACTTGGAAAAAACATACTACTTTGCGAAGAGTGTCTGAAAAAAGATAAGAAGGAAATCATACACTTGATGATGCTTATTACTACGGTAGTTGTACGTCGTTGACGATGGCGCATGTAGACAAACGCGCGTCTGGCGACAGCCATGTATGCCATCTCTGAATCGCTTTTATTCTTACAAAGGAGAGAAGCAGATGGATATCTTGACATTCTTCTTGTGATATCTGGTAAATGCAGTGTACGCAAACCATGGGCGCTGGTACTAGCATATCTCGTAGTCTCATGCGTAACGGTCGCCGACGACTCGATCGGGTTTTACATGTGTACTCAAAACCTATAGATTTGAGATCTAATAGAGGATTGGAGAAGACTTTTTGAAAACAAGATGATTCGTATTTCTATCTACAGTATTCTCAAGTCACATCGCCAAACAGGATGGGGAACAGTGTCGCGTCCGAGTCACAGCACCAACAGAAAACTTGGAATAAGACCCGACCGGAGCAAAACTAAACTGCTCGTCCCGAACATGGAGATGCAAACAAGAAAAAAGAGACGAAAGGGAATGAACAGTGAGTTCCTCTTGGCTTCATCCCCGTTGACCAAAGTCAAACGGGGACTACTAAGCCCCAGCACCGCGTCAAGGTGGGAACTCGTCGCTGGGGTAAATCGCGAAAGAATAAATGCAGTTTAGATCGCAAAAGAAAAAGAAGAAGAAGAAGAAAAGAAGAAGAGAAAGGAAAAGACAAAAGAAAACCCACCTGCTACGGACTTACCTTGCGCCTCGACGAGACGCGGAAGAGGGACGGAGAGGAGAGGAAAGAGGAGAGGAAGGGGAAGACAAAAGAAAACTCACCGTTGGACTCACCGTTCAATGGAGGGGAGAAGAGAGGAGAGAAGGAAAACCCACCGTTGGACTCACCTTTCGCCTTTGAGAGACGAGGAAGTAGAAAGGAAATAGGATGAGAACGGACAAAAGAGAATGGACAGAGGAGTATAGGCAGAGGAGGACGGACAGAAATGGAATAGGAAGAAGAGCATAGGAAGAAGAGCATAGGAAGAAGAGCACAGGAGGAAGAGCACAGGAGGAAGAGTATAGGAAGAAGAGTACAGGAAGAAGAGCACAGGAGGAAGAGCACAGGAAGAAGAGCATAGGAAGAAGAGCACAGGAAGAAGAGCACAGGAAGAAGAGCACAGGAGGAAGAGCACAGGAAGAAGAGCATAGGAAGAAGAGCACAGGAAGAAGAGCACAGGAAGAAGAGCACAGGAAGAAGAGCACAGGAAGAAGAGCACAGGAAGAAGAGCACAGGAAGAAGAGCACAGGAAGAAGAGCACAGGAAGAAGAGCACAGGAAGAATGGAGTAGACAGGATGGAGTATACAGGATGGAGTATACAGGATGGAGTAGACAGGATGGAGAGAGAGCAGACAGGACGACGGGTAAGAACAAGAGAGACGGAGAGTTGAGGAGGAAAAGAAAAAAAGAAGGACTTCGGGGGGAGGGAAGGGGGGTTTAACCCAGAACGCTAGTGAGATGCTGATGTCGTTTCGACGTGATGTTTGTTTGATTTTGATGATTTTGATGTCATTCAGGGTATACTTCTAGCCCTAATTAAGAAGGTACGCGGGTTCTGTTTTTGGGTATATCCATAGCCTCCTCGGGATAACTAGAGCTTTGACCGCTTGCGATGACGAAATTATACGGATGACGGGCGATGCAAAACAAAGAGTTGACATTATTTGCAATAGTCTGTAGGATTGACAGAAGGGGTACGAGTAGACATGAATGCGGTGTTGTTGTATATACTCTGAAGATAATACATCACTCTTGATATTGAAAGTACTGTGTAATTAAATGCCAAACCCAAGATTCAACCCGTATTCCATCAGAGTGGTGCATTCACTGACCACTCCGAGCCTTCAGCTTGCGGCTCAGTCATCCACTCCTGGCCAAGTGACAGATCGTAATATATCCCCGGGATAGCAGCAAATTCACTGAGCTCGTTCGGGAAAGATGAGAAGAACCCATCAAAAGAAGGAACAGAATTAGGAGTGTGCTGATCAAAGGACATCTCCAGGCCACTTGAAAATCCTAGATTCCCTCCCTCCAACGGTTCACTCTGCCAGAGTTTGGTCCATTCTCTGAACTGGTCATAGCCCGTTACAGCATCTGTAGATCCACTCTGCTCTGCCACTGAATGATTGTGCAGTCGCTGCCTGGCTCGTTCAAGCGCTTCGATAACAGCCACCTCAGACTGTGCAGATTCCAACCCCGTGCAGATCTGTCGAATAAGCGCCATGCCTTGATTCAGGCTTCGTGATATATTGCTTGACGGCCCGTTGATGCTATGCGCAATCAGTGCCAGCAAAGCAACGCGGCATCCATTGAATTCGGTGTATGAGACACGCGCCAGGCCAACGGTATCTTGCAAGAGTTGGCAAAGCTCAATCACTCTGAGCGCTGCATGAAGTGAGTCGCGGCGAAGAATGTTGACGATATCAGGGACTTCATGGGTCCTGCTACTGTCCACCGAGTCAAGCATGCCGGAAGATACTTGCGATATGATGAAGGGGCGACCCATGTATATCAAAGTCGTCTTGTAATAGATCTCAAGGTGCACATTGCAACGGAAGAATGCTCCTGTGGCGTCAAGATCTCGGCAGTGAATCTCACTGGTAAGGCTGTCCCACCATGAGCTGAGTTGATCGCGCGTGGAAGCAAGTTGTCGAAGGAATTGCTTCTTTCTGGGCTTTGGGCAATTTCTAAGTGACTTCATCGCTTCGGAAGCCTTTGCCAAGTGATCTGTCAAGACAATTGCAGCGGTGAAGTTGGGTAGATTGGTCGATCGGCCTATCGGTCTCAGAGCGGGTAGGTCGGTGGGCAATGGAGCATCGATCTCAGCAGGAGATACAGACACAGGGCGGCCGTGTAGAATACCGATTCGACTATATAAACGATGAGAATCCTTGTCAATTCGTCAATTACGAGGGAAACATCATACCGTTCCAACGAGTATGCAGACCACCAAAGCCGATTCCGCACTTCGACAATCTCCGGTGCCAAATTACCCTCAGGTAGCTTGCGATGCATCCCATTCTGAATCGCCATCTTGATCGCCAAACCGTAGTATACGTATGCCAAACCTGCCGTGTCGATCGGCAAGGTATAAACTCCCATCAACAAAAAGGCCTGGACAGTCTCCACACTTGCAACTGTTATGAGATCCGGAATGAGTCGACATGCAAACCGGTAAAGTTCCAACCCGATTTGATCATCGGGAGTCCTTTCCGTAGAAGAGTTGATACTACCAGGTGTTGAATTGGCTTGCATTTGTGCAAACTGTGTGCCAATTGCGAAAGTCATGAGAAGAGTACATATCCAACCGGCATCATTGATCGAGGGTGGATGTGGAGTGCTGTAGTAAAAGTCTAGTTTTTGGCGAAACGTAGACTCGTCAAAGTAAAAGTAGTTTGTTTGGCTGAACTTGATAAAGGCGTTTGTTAGGAATTCTGCGATGTGTTTTGGGGGGAAATATGACTTTGCCAGAGTGACACTGGAGCCCGACGAGTGCAGGTCGGTGGCTCGATGAAACCCCGTTGCGTGGGCAGAGTCCTGGAGAACCTAGTCAGTATGACAAGTCTTGAAACGCCCTCATATCTTCAGAGGAGATCACCATCATACCTCGGTTTGTCGTGTCTGGTCCCCAAAGGTTCGAAGCCGCCGCTCGAGCATTCTAGAGAAGTTCCAATGGGACAGCTCTCCTGAATAATCTATCAAGCCAGGTTAGCCAAGAAACGTCATTATCCGGATATTGAACACACGCATTGTGCTGGTCGAAAGCAGGTCGACCGAGTAATGATCTCCCAGAGCAGCGTCGTTTGAATTACTATCTGGTTGCTCCGGTGCCTGCTGTCCCTGTTCTAATGAATCGGCAATTTTCTGGAGAGCACTTGGTTCAAATGAAACATCTCCGAGGAAGTGTGTGATGATCCGCTTCATTTGAAGCTCAGTGGCATTCCGTTCCGAAGGCTCTCCATTCCTGTTACGAAGGTGAGTAGCCAATTTCGTCTGGAGGACTAAGAAGTTCAGAATAGACTTACTCTGAATAATCATATCGTAACCCTGGAACTTGCCGGCGGCTTGAACTCTCGAATCCGCATTTTCTCTGACGCTGCTGGCAACGATTACAAGGATTGCCGCCTCCACCTTTCGAGTCGAGTCAATTTGTGCAAAAACGAATGCAGGCCCCAGTCTGGCCATGGAACAGATGTATTACATTTTTCTTTATACTGACGACAAGGCAAGCATCTGGATCGTAGACAATTAGCACCAAGGGAAATTTATTGCTAAGTGTATGGCGTTTACTTACGCCTGTGCCGTCCTCTTTCGCTGTGCCTCGGGCACACGGGGTCTTCTTTGCCTGCCCTTTAGTGTCCTGGTTGTCTTGGCACCAGGCTCGGACATTGCAACGCAAGCCAACTCGGGCCCCGTTGAATTGTCAAATGCACGGAGATGAATTGTAGGAAAGACGGTCCATGAAGATCGGTGCATATTTTGGCCTGAGGCATGAATGACGTAAGCTATATGATAACCTTATCGATAAGCGACAAGCGATAAGAATCAACAGTATGAAGCGCTGCATAACAAGAGCTCATAGAATGGAGACAGACCGAAAAGAGTTAGAGGCCTAATTTCTTGGAAATTTCCAGCAGTTGTGAGCGCTTTCACTCGGAGGATGACCTGTTGAGCTTATTGGTAGGTTCAACCGGCTACGGCCTCTCACTCGGGTCTCAGTACCCGAACCGATTTGATATAAAAGCGCATGCATCCTTTGCCAGTTTCCATTCACACCTTCACTACTTCTTCAGTTATCCGACACTTACTTCAAACAAAACTTGACAATGTCTCAACTTTCCGACTTTCGTGTGCTGTCCTTCGACGTCTACGGCACTCTTGTCGACTGGGAAGGCGGTATCCTCGCTGCATTCCAGCCCACTCTAGACAAGAACGAAGCTCAGTTTACACGCAAGCGCCTACTCACTATCTACCATGAGCTTGAACGTGAACAACAGATCAAGACTCCCGATATGCCATACCATCAGTTGTTGACAACCATCCATCCCGAGTTCGCCAAGCGTCTGGGTCTGGAGACTCCCACTCAGGAGGAAAGCAGGCAGTTCGGAGAGTCAATCGGCAATTGGCCCGCTTTCCCAGACACGGTGGACGCCCTCAAGCGCCTTTCAAAGCATTACAAGCTAGTTGTCCTATCAAATGTCGATCGTGAATCCTTCGCAAAAACCAATGCGGGCAGTCTTGAAGGCTTCCCGTTCGATCTGATCATCACAGCTCAAGATGTGGGCTCGTATAAGCCAGATCTTCGCAACTTTGAATATATGCTCAAGACGGTGAAATCTACTTTCGGCATTGAGCCCTCTCAAGTTCTTCAAACTGCTCAGAGCCAGTTCCATGACCACCACCCTGCCAAGAAGATTGGAATCAAGTCTGCTTGGATTGTGCGGCCAGGTGCTACGATGGGAAATTTGTCCGATAATATCTATGACTGGCGTTTTGATGCCATGGGAGATATGGCTCGAGAAGTGGAGGCTGGACAATAATTTTAATCTGTGAAGGGATGTTCTGGCTTATGTGGTAGAAGAAGTTGACTTGTGATTTAAGTTAGTAACTATCATTCGCTACTTGTTTAGTCACACTCACCCAGATGAACATTTTCATTCAAACTTTTGCTCTATATTCTTATAATCCGCCGATATTTTACCTACAAAGGCACGTTTTTGACCTGGCCTTACTGGTGGTCAAGAATTCGTCTTGAAAAGGCAAGTACAGTGGGCTCCATTAGCTCGAAATTTAGATAAAACTTCCGATCATTTCCTCCGTCACGAGCTGAGCGATAGAATAAGATATTGTTTTTAAGCCATCAAGAAAGCCATTTCAAAAGAAATTCAAAAGACCTCATATATAAAAAGTTAAACATCCTTGGTGGTTTCATTTCTGTAATCTCAGGAAACAGACCTTTGAGCTGCTACAGTACTCGAAGCTTTCGATAGTCTTCGGCGCAATGCCATGTGGCAATTCCGAATAAAAATCTCTCCACGCAAAACTTCTCAGTCCAATGAACCTTGAGTCGTGCAGCTAACTGCCTAAATTTTTTGCCGACTGAATAAATTGGAATAGTTGGCCTAGGGGCATTCCCACTAATACCGGGTACATGTACCCGGTGCCCTGGGGCGAGTCTGTGATCACATCTGGCGAGAAGCAGGAAGAAGGAAATAAGTACTAAGACAAGCAGTCCGGTGTTATCGCCTTCGCTGCGAAGCAGTAGACGAGATAGGGGCGCCATAGGTAGTACTGCATCGGCGCCTAGTGCTCGCCGCATTTCGCCTCATAAACGGAGGTTGGGCGAGATTCTCCCAACATTTTAGTCAACCATATACGCATAAATCAATTCTTACCGACTCCAACATGCGACTACACCGCAAGGGTTCCGATGATGGTGGACACGCTGGGTAGATCGAACTTATGACAGTCACTAGCGAATCCTGCTTCCTCCTAAAGACTACTTCTTTATTCACGGAGCCCCACTGTCAAGGCTTTAGTGAAGATTCTTTATTGACCACTCGAGGGTAGCTAAACCGCCTGGCAACAGACCCTATATATTTTTCAGCCGGTTCTTACTTGGTAACCCACTAACTATTGAATCACTTAGGTAGCTGAAAGTCTTCACCGCCATTCCTTATATTTAGCGATCCCCCAAAACAGCACGATAAGATTAACAATCTATTAAACTCAAAATAAAGTCATTCCGATAGTCTCACAAAGGGCTTTAATAGTTTGATACAACCATTGAAAAATCGGCAGCCATGATATTCAAGTCCTTCTCCTCAAGCTTAAGAAGTTACAAGTCATCGATTATTGAATTCAACTTAGGACCCGTAAAGGCTATAAAAAGACGGGCACACCCTGCCATAATCTTTTTTTCTCAATCAGACTCAGTCACACCATTCTTATTTACGAATATATCTAAATTATTTCCTGCCGATACTCAACCATGCGGTTCTTTTGGCTCTCCTCATTGCTCATCACTGCCGCAATTGCAGCTCCGTTGACGCCAGAACAAATGGGCTGCCCTAAAGATGGTGGACTCTGCACAAATCCCAATGGTTACACGGAGGATCAACTTGCGGAAATAGCCACCACCGGTCAAATTATACGCATTGCGAAAGAGACAGGTACTAGCATTCGTGACCTCGTAAGTGGCACCAACAAATCATCCTTCAACTAGTTTGGGGGTACAAGGCTAACAAATACATTAAAAAAACCTAGTGTGCTCAACTTTACAAGGATAAAGAATTGGAGAAATTGAAGGCGGACCTTCCAGCCCTTGTCTCCCTATGCAAATGAGTCCTTGTCTCAAGATCTTCGAATAGCCCATGACCACGCCTGGAGTGTCTGGTGAATCGGGATAGAAACGGTGGCGAAGGAAAGAGGGGTGGCGATCACTTCATGTCAAATATTCCTGGAGACCCTTGATTATGTCTCCAATTTAGTCTTGTTTTAATTTAATTCGAGTCCGATTCACTTTTACTACATTTCTCTTGGCAGGTCACGTCCCGATTAGACCTCGTAGGATGTCGACTCGATCCGAGCTAGCACATGAGTCTTGGAGGCTCTAGGTTCCAGTCCTTAGGAGTCATGGTCCGGTTCTATTCCAACGGAATCGCAGGAGTGTTTGGTTATAATTAGTTAAGGTGTCCGCAACCTTATTTCCGGTAACGTACTTCACGGCCGAGCTACCGGCCGAGCTGGGTGCGCACCTGGTCGAGCTACGCACCCCAAAACATGTAGTAGATGTGACAAACCACCAATTCATATCCCAAGAGCCACATGTTATTTTAATTAAATATTAGAATATAGACTTTCATTGGCATATAAAATAACATATCTTATTTTGAGGTAATTAACTGATGGTTCCATTCGATGCCTTAGCAAAGTAATTTTAACATCGAGACATAAATATATATCTCTACCTAGTATCGATAATTTAACTGTCTTCCCTATACTTCCCTAGTACGTTGGAAATACTATCTAGATTATATACTGCTAATATCTCATCATAACCTAATAAATATGGTTGTTGAGATATGAATTCGGAATTTATCGCATTTACTATATATTTTGGGGTGCTCAGGTCGGCCGGAAATTACATTAATCAATACCTAAAGTCAATGACTGCTTAAGGATATTTCTACTGGCATTATCTAAGATGTAATGTGATTAGCACCACCGGTTTCGATTGCGATTGCGACATAAACCACGACCTGAACCTATGAACTGCATTTACAGCCATACAATATAACAATCTTACTCTAGCTAGGCCAGGGGATTAAGTCAAATAAACGGTAGAATACTGCCACCCATTCGTTGTTTAAAAGAAGGCTTGGTGGACTAGCAGGGCTGCATACCTGATATAATCTAGGATTAGATAATGTGCAATGTTTACAAAAGCATCTCATAGAAAAGATATACCGATTCAGTTTGAAGGTGAATTAAGGGCTTTCAGTCAAACAGTACCATGTAGCAAGCATAATTAACGGTGGTGCTTGATACCTCGACGAACAAGCTAAGATATCTCTACAATAACAGCGATGTACCCAAAGACACCCAGAGATATACAATTCAATCCAACTCAGCGAAATAAACAAAAAAGTCGAATACTCAAACAACCGAAGTGCCTGCACCTAAACACATGATCACCTACGTAGGTGGCCATTCTCTAGACCTGATTCCGACCTAGCCAGCCATCTCCATGTAACCATTCAATCGAGAACCCGATTTATCCAGACTAACAATCTAAGTCATAAGCATGAACGGCATGATTATAAATTCAATAATTACCGTACGAAAGCCAAACACAACAAGTACAGTATCCATACGGTATAGCATCCGCAGGAAAATAGAATTCCGTCCCTCGCCCAGACAGGAACCTCCAGCCTCCCCACGTCCCGAGTTCCGAATTCTTGCATCTCAAAATCCTGACTCAGGCAAAGTCTGCAGGTGTGGAGCTAGCCGCATTGCCGACTTCAGTTTTGGCATGGAACTACACTATGTATTAGTCTATGTATTACTTACAGAGTCACGGATGACAGTGCGTCCGCTATCCTGGAAGGAAGGGCACGAGGGCGCTTCTCGAAGGGCCCGCTAGTGGGGCGTGTGTGCAGGGGATCTGGATAAGTCGGCCCGTCTGGGGTGGGTTGCGTGAATTTTTTCTTTTTTCCCTTTGAGTTTGTGGGTTTGGGTTGGTTTAGGTTTGGGGCACGAGAATGGGTCGGGATTGATGTGTATAGTGGGTTTGAAGTTGAACTGTGCACGTTTAGGAGTACATACTGTAGATATGTAGAGGAGTGGATTCGGGAGTTGATTATTGGAGTGGCTTGCGTTCTATCATGATAGATCTACGGAGTGTATGCCCTGTTGATGATTTTCGTGGAGACTTTGGTTTATTTCGGTTTCGATGGTGTCATGTCAGGATTTCGTAGAAATACTATAGTTCAACTAGTTGTAAGATGTTGATGGAGGTGAGGGTCTGTAGTTCACTATGTACTGAACTACTAAGCGGGACCTCGGCATGTTCTCTGCATAGAAGGAAAATTTCAATGATGATAGATTCCGCAGTGGATCCAATATACGGAAGATGGACAATAGAGTACAATGACAAGCAAGAGATCTGGATATACGGAGTACTAAGCGGCTATCACCAGCATACAACCTTGGAAATAGTCTTATAGCCTACCAAGCAGGAAAATCTTTTCCCAATTTACTTGGCGTGGCTGGTGAATTACTATTTTACAAGTTACCAGCCATTCTACGCCCCGAGTTAGACCCGCCGAGTCTCGCAGGGCGGGCTGCCGAAACGAAAGATCCGCGGATCGGCTTGATGTCACGGAGATAACAGCGCGACTCGGCTCGGCACAGCGGGATTCGCCCACACGCGCCGGGTGCCGAGGTTAGAGACGAGGATCCGTAATCCATAGAGGTGGCAAGGTGTTTGCGCCCTATGGTCTGGTCTAGATCTAGGACGTAGAGTTGCCGCTGACTTCATACAGAAGTACATGTCCAAAAGGTTATCGATATGAGCAACGACCCGGGAGAAATACGGTAGTGTCATATTTCCTTAATTGGACTCAAGTCAAACTTTGTCTTCTATTGTGTTTTCCATCATACCAGTCGGCGATCTCTCGGTGCAAGTTCGGCATCAAAGACACTGCTCTCGATAGCTCCGAGAGTTCAGAACATTGGTACGACATCCTTTTTCACTTCCCACTTCACTCCTTCCACGCCTTATACACAGTCTTACAACCAAACACCTGTCCCTTCTTCAACAGAACCATATTCCGCCACTCAGGCTCATTAATCGCATTCACATACCGACTCGGTTCCACACAGAAGCCCGATCCCTCAGTCTGCGCCGGCCGACCGTCAATCTGGGGAATATCAATGTACTTGCCCGTGTAGAACTGGAAGGCCGGCTCAGTGCTGTGCACTTCCAGATGCAGGCCGGTGCTGCGGTGGTTGAACTGCGCGAGACGGCGCAGGGGCAAGCTACGCGTGTCGAGCGGGATCTTGGCTGGGTCGGTTTCCATGATGAAGACGTCGTCGATGTGCGGGCCTGTCGCGGCGAGTGTGAAGGGGGTTGTTACATCGCGGGGGAACTTGGAAACTCCTCCCGTGGGGATGCCGGTGTCGTCCAGAGGGAGATAGTCTGCTGTGGCGAGTTGGGCGGTTGTACCGGTGATGGTGGGACCGTCGCCGATGTTGAAGTAGCTGGTGGGTGAGTGTTAGCTTTGATGTAGATTGTAGACATTTTTAAGGAAGTGGTAACAAACCTGTGGTTTGTGATGTTGACAACTGTCTCCTCGGCTTCGTCGCCGACAAACTCGACTTCGTACTCGGATGTCAACAAGGTGGTCGCATCGCCTTCCTTGCTGGCCGTGTACCACACGCGCACCTCGACGGTACCGGGGTATCCCTCCTCACCGTGCTGGCAGAGGTACTTGAACAGGAGAGCATCGCGACCATGGCGCTGGACGGTGTGCGGGCCATCGAAGACGCGCTTACCCCAGCCCGTAGGGCCGCCGTGCAGGGCATTAGGTCCGTTGTTCTTGACCAGTTGGATCGATTGTCCATTCAGCTCATTGATGACGCCGTTCTTGATACGGTTGGCCACACGGCCAATGGTCGCGCCGTAGTGTGCAGTGTTGTACTTGACATATTGATCCTGCGTGGGGAAGCCCAACACGATGTTGTGGCCACCGACGCGGAATTCTTGGATAATAGCGCCGAGAGGCAGGAAAGTGAATTCGGCCTGTTCGGGGGCAGACATGGCGCTGGTGATATGTACAGAACGGTGATAAGTGATGGCGACGGAGATTTTACCAACGTCAATGAAGAAAAGGTGAATATGAAATACTTATGTTGGAGGGGTTCCCGGAGAAATTGTGGGATGTCGGGCCTGGCATGACGTTTGAACCCCGCAATAAGCACGGAATTGCTCAGCGGGGGGTAAATGCCAAAGGCTACGAGCCACTTTTAGGCTAAAGAGAGGCTGGGTGAGTGGCTAAGGTAGAGAAATTGTCTATATGAGAGCTTAGAATTCTTCCGTGAGGAGCTATCCGTTCCTCTCTTAGCCTGAGGTACAATCCACTAGTTAAAACTAACCTTCAAGCTGTCCTGAAGCTGTACTCAAGCTGGTTAGTCTCGTTGGTTCTGACGGGATCCCCTTTCTAGTCATCGACACCTGATTTATCAGGCATAAATGAAGGGTTCTGACATCCTCAGGCATCCTCAGGCACCCTCAGGCATCGCCGATGTATAAGCGGCGATGGAAGCAACTTTTCAGCCTCCGAGACCCTCGTTTTTCTCCCTCGCCACATGCACACACTATCTAACTTTCTAGACTAACTATCTCTTGGCGAGCACTAGCCATTCTTCTCGCCGATCAAACACCGTCATCACCCATACAGTGGGGATGATCCCTTACAATACGATAACTGCTCGATCCGCGCTGGTCTTGTCTCGTCCCTGACCGGGTGGAGGCCACGCCAGCATCCGGCGTCGGAGAGAACGGGGTTCCGGACGCCGAATGCTCTCTACCCCGGACTTGGCCCGCTAGCAAGTTAGCAGCAGAGTTCCTGGCCAACGGCGATCAGGCATTTGGAATACCGTAGTAACTGTAAAGGCCTGGCCACTCTCTTTATTCAGATGCCTAGCACAGCCAGCCTTGGAACGCGGCCAAACGAGGCCACAAGAGAAATCGGGGGCGGTGCTGCCCCTGAATTCCAATCTCAAAGCTAAGTGGACTAAACTTCAAAACGAGGCTGGAGAGGTATACGTAACGTGGGATGGATGTACTTCCGTGTTGTTATTGGATCTATACCCTGAAACGAGCAATGGAGACGAGGGGGTCACTATGTCGATTAAGGGAACTATCTCGCGGCAAGTGGGATGTTGCAAAAATAGGTCTCCATACTCCGTACAAGACTGCTCCATACACTAGAGAGGGGGACGCGAGCAACTGCCTCAAATGATCTGCAGGAGAGAACGCGCAGCGTCGCAGCCACAGTACTGAGTACAGTAGTAATGTTCAAAGTTGAACGTGTATCCACATAAGGTTTTCTTCGTGGCTCAGCTCAACCCAATATTGTGCCTAATATTGAAATCGTGATGCTTGGTCGCCAAGGGGATACTGCTTAATGGACTGCGAATCAGAATGGGTATTTGATCACATCAAAAAGTACAACGTGCATACTGTAATGACGAGACAGGGTCTGAGGATACATCATACTGCAGCTAAGAGCTTCATTGGTACGTACAGACTATTTACTACAATTTAACACGCTCGATCCTCTTAACCAGCTCATGCTGACTACAGTATATAATCACAGCTCACGACACAGTCATCTGCTGTATGTTGTCAAAATTCACGTAACTAAGCCTCGACTTGGTTAGTCTTTCGCGGAGCATTTGTCCCAAATCGGAAAGTCGGCATCTCGGCGACTTTTATCCGTTGGACGCACGATGAGCGAGTGGAGAAGCAAAAGACTTCGAAAAACTCTCCCATTCGGGCAACCAGCTCGCTCACGTAAGAGGAAATCCAGGAGAACAAGCCCGAGAAGGATGAAAGAAAAAGTCAAGACGGGGAGTTGTGGATCCAAAGTGATTTTAAATCCACCGTAAGGCGATAGATACGCATAGTATTCTAGTAGTGTATGTATTTAGTTGCTATCAGCATTAAGGGATCTCGGTATTGGTTTTCTGGCCGTCTATTTTGCATAGTGTATGGAGTATAGAATACTCCGACCGCTCGGTCGGGATCCACAGAGTCAAATAATTCCGCTTACTCAAGCTGCGGAATTTTGCACGGTGATTGTAAATCCGTAACTGTAGGCCTAAGGCAACAATCACAGTCATGCACACTATACGACATGATACTGCAGGATTATACGACAACCAGCTCCAGCTGCAGCTCTAACTTGGAAGGATTATGGACAAAGTTTAGCAAAACTGCTTACAACACGCACATAATGTAGGCTAATTCTTTACAAAGTACCTCTAGCTATACGGCGACTACTCTATACAGTAAGTGAATGGGTACATTAGCTCAGAAGCTCACCGATGGAAGAATAAAGGGAAAAAAACTCAAATTGCATGATCCTCGTATAGGTGGGATGGACTTAAGGCGCTGGTCCCGCGCGAAGGCTTATGTCCGAGCTGACGACTAGGCCAGCACAACAGACACTCGGTCCAGCCTCGTTGGTTAGGGTAGTTATCTCCATGCGCGTAGGTCTGACTGAGAACACAGAGAAATAAGAGATTACAGATCGAAGATAAAGTCATAGACGCATATTCTTTAATCCTTAGAATCTAGTTTGGTACTGTAGAAAATGACAAGAAATACCAAGAGATGAGCCACCGCCCCGATACGTGTATAACCTTGGTGAGTGAGGGTGAGGTACTGGAAGGGCAGTACAGTAAGTTACTGAAAATGTTACATCCGAATTTCTGATGTGTAATCGGTAGTCGGTAATTTATAATCGATGATCGAGGATCCATAATCCATTTTCTAACCCACAACCCGTCATCCATAAAATTCTCGAAGATGACAGATGACGGCGCATGAATCATTCTGGAAGCCGCATTAGTCAGGTGGAGCGATCTGGTCGGCACGTAGCTCCGGCGTTGCAACTCTGTACTGGAAGTACCATTGATTAATGATTCCACCACAAACTGTACCCTGAAAATGCGATTCGAAGTTGGGGATGGAATCTAGGCCTAGATCTGGGTCAGGGCTTTGGAGCCGTGAAGAAAAAAATGGGAGTGATATCATAGATTGCTTGTAGAGGATGTGTTGATGCATTCCAGTATCGTATTAGCGTGACGAGATAGCTTGTAGAGAAGAGAGATTTCAAGAATAGAAAATCCAGTGGATTCGTCAAGAATTTAGACCAACAACAAGTTAGAAAAAAGAACAGTGTCAAAAACGCCGCGATAACCCCGTTTTAACCAAAACTCCAGTTTGAAAGAGACCAGGACCAAAACCAGAAGAAACCAGAACCAGATCCCCTCCGAGCCCAACACTGTACAGGATGATTAGGATCGCAATTGCTCAAGTCCCACCGAATAAAAAATAGGTACAGCATGTTTATGAGGGATAATAGCCCCATACACGAACTGTAAAGAAGAAACCCCTGAAGAAGGGAAAAGAGAACATGTATAGTATACATGCATCACGTCATACGGCGTTAGGGTTTGAAGGTGAAGAGCTGCTGCTGCTGCTTAAGCAGATGCAGGAAGTAAACCCGACAAGCTGAGCTTGTTTCGTCTCTCACTCCATTAGATCGAAGTGATCTCCGTCGGATTCGGATTCAAAAACTCCTTGAAATCATCATAATCAGACGGCACACAATTCATGGGCATCTGACGATGAAACATAGGCGAAGGAATCGAGTCCTCAAAGTTGAAATTCGCATAATCCGCCGAACTCATCAAATCCATCTCATCAAACGGATTGAATCCCCCATTATTCGTCGGCCACTGCGGCGCACCTTGCAACGCAAGCGGATCGACAACGCCCTGCATCGACAGCGCATATTGAGACTGCGGCGTGGGCGCGGCGCTCATCGTGGTGTGCGGCTCGACCTTGATCTGTTGTTGCATGGGGGCGGTCCGGCTGCTGGGGCTGTAGGTTGGTGGTGTTGGGGGCATTGTTTGCTGCGAGTGCGAAGAGAAGGCGTCTGAGGAGAAGCGGGATCGGGCGACGGGGCTGTGTGGGCTGTCGGTTGAGCCGTCGGTGGAATCTTGACGGGTCATTCCGTTGCGCCAGAGGTCGTGTTGCATTACTTCGGGGTTTTCTTCGAAGCGTTCACCCTTGGAGTGGTCGAGGGCCCCGAGGCGGGTGAGGAGATCGTGAGTGAGTGGGTGGCCGTTGGGTTCGGGCTTGAGGAGGTCGCCTGGCCAGCCTTCGCCTTCGGTGCTGCGGCGGTATAGTTCTTGTAGGCCGTGGACGAGCCAGGCTTGTTGTTGCTCGAGCATTTCAACGTATCTAAACGAAGTAAAATGATTAGCCAAAAGGGTCCTTTGTTTTATGTTATATTGTTGCCATATGCTCACCCCTTGGGGTACACTTTATCATGGGCCTTCTTTCGCTCGCCGAAGACACAGATGGCATTGTCTGCTCGACAACGCGAGCATGGGCTGCTTCCATCGCACTTGGGGCCCGGTTAGTTTTGGCTGTTTTTCTTTTCTTCGCCATGTCTTTGCCATTGTTACATACCTTGGATTTCTTCAAGCGACAGCGGTCGCAAGCTTTACATACGCGCTTGCGGACATTATCTGAGTGCGAATGATCGGACGATGGCGTTGATTGTCGGGCAGCCATGGTGTGTGTGTATGTATGTATGGAGGAGAAGGAGGGAGTGTGGATGAATCCAGAAGACGGATGAGGTATAGAGAGAGAAAGAAGTATGAAGCAGATGAGATAGAGTCAGAAGAAGTCGAGTGTGGAGTGGTGACTTTGGCTTTTTTGTCTTTTTTTCCTGTTCGTGCAAGTCGAGCTATACTTCCAGATCCGGCCAGGAGGGCAAGCGAATGATCGACGTCAACCAGTCAATGATCTAATGACGATGTCGAGGGGACCACCAATAATTGACTTTGGGGGACAGGGAGGTGGACAAGGTTTTGAGAACAGAGTGAAGTAATAATCAAGGATCGTCTTTGACCGCTGGTCATATACTAGTCATCTGCGATGGGATGGTTGGTGGTGGGAGTAGTAAGGTGGTGAGGGTTTGGTGCTTCAAGGTGGTCGGAGAAGGCGCATGAAGGAGGGGGAGGGCCCTTTTTTAGTCTTCTTTGGATTTGAATCAAGAATCCAAAAAGGAAAGGAATTAAATTAATTTATTTTTTGATGAATTTCCTTTGGGATGGCAGTTCGAGGGATTTTAAGGTCGAAACGTTCTCATACACTGCGGTCATAAACGTGTATGGGGATTACCCAAAATTACGGGGATTACAGAGCACGGGAGAGGGACAGCATAATCAGAGGGAACCGCTTACTTTCCCGTACATAACGCATAATCCTAAATGGATTCTGAGACGAAAAGGATACCTGATCGGATCGAATCAGAATCTCTATGCAAGACTCCACTTAAGATAATCACAAGGCCCGGTTTCCTTTTTTTTCTTTTTTTTTTTTTCTCTCGTTTTTTTTTTCTTTCTTCCCTTTTCTCCTGATTACTCTATCGAAGTAGGGTGGAGACTGGAAGACTCGGCATTTCGCCCTTACCAGAGAGTTCGTTAGCTCGGAGGACGGAGCTTCCATCGGCCCTCGGAGACTTCTGAACGGCCCTGACGTATATCCGGCAGGACTGTACTTCCGGCCGCACAAGACCGTAGGTGACTGGAAGACCAGAGTTTTTTTCTTACCCTTTATAGTGTACTTGCTCCATATTACTTTATAGGGTAGAATTCGAGACGAAAACTCGTTATTGTACTACTTATCAACAAAAGTAAACAATAATCCTTCATCAGAGCTTAGCGAAAAACCGGGAAAGATACTATCCTGATCGATCGTGCCACCGATGCAGGTATGATGTGGCTGGATTTCTCTTTAATTCATATTCCCGTTTAGTCCCTTGATTCGTTTTCCCGTTTAGTTGATGATATACTCCTATATTGATCGTTAGCATAACTTCCAACGATTTATACGGAATATCCTCAGTATAAATCATAACTCAAAAGTCACCTGTTCTACTATGGGTTAGAGATCTGTGCCTGGAGTCTTGGCACAATGCATAATAATTCGTGTATAACCAGTGCATCACTCGGCAAGACCCTGCCGACTGGGGGCAAAGAGCGCGAAAACCACGCATTATATTGTTTAGTGCAAATTAGAAGCATTCTATGTTCTTTATTCATTAATGCATGGATATTCTTATGACATCGTCTTCCTCCTCACGTGCAAAAGTTCTTTATTGAACATACTCGGCTTGATTTACGAATAGCGCGAATAGCGTTTCCCGGTCGCAGGATAGTACATAAACAGAAAATGAACCAAGAGAACAAAGATTAAACTAACAAACGATTTCACCAATGATTGATCGACATCGAACTCGGTCGGCGTCTCAGACTGGCCGATTAATCAGATGCTGACAGCCTGACACAGTTCCTCCGTCGTCCGTCGTCCGTCGTCCGTACTCCGTTGGAGTTGGATGCACGTCCCTCTAACGGCCGTATCGCGTACGCCGTATCCGTATCACCGTATTCCCGGCGTTAAGAGCTGCCTGCTTGGCCATCAATATGCCTGTTATTGTTGTTCTTGGCTCTATTCATGGCTCTACCCCTATCTGATTCTTGTGATGCTCTATATTTAACTAATGACACACATACTCCTCGAAGCAGTTGCCAAAGTACAACGTAACGTATTCAAATAACCACTTTCAAGTAGATTACATGCCCCCCGCTCATAAGCAACTCACTACTGCACGTTTTCACCCCTCTCCACCTCGCATCCTAACGTTATGAACACCTTGCCAATCCCAAGTCTATGACTTAAGAATGAGAGGCCAGACCTCCTAAAGAGTTCGAAGACTCCAACATGGACGGAGTTGTAAATCCCCGCGCCGATCGCTCTTATTCGGCGACTCAGTACCAAACCATTCCCCAGTCTAGGTGAGTAGTTCATAGCTAAGAACGTGTAGATACATCTCATCTCGTTTACCAAATCGATTAAACGCCCCGGTGATTCATCACCGCCGACGGAGTCCAATAAACTCATCGGAAGCCCTGCGCCCAGCACAGTGGTGCAGTAATCGAAATCTCGCACACCCGCAACCTTACCAAAGTCCATGACGTGACCATCCCTCGATCGGCCGCGGCTCGCACTCGTTTTCGGGTTTCTCGCTCATAGCTCGGACAATTAAGTTACAGACCATACAGAGTACAGAGAACATTATTACTCTATTGTACTTCTTACCCTTGTCAGACCGTTAATTAGGTATTACTTACAGTTCATGGCTGACGCTTCTATTTTCCAATTACCATTAATTTTACTGGCCTTGTGGCGCAGGAAAAAGTCCCGCTAAATTTATAAGCTTCGCGTGGTTACGCAGCCTGCAGCTCGTTCTAACCTGGTAGGCCCCATAGACGGAGTTATTATTATCTGATTTCCTGAGGCAGACAGGATTTGGATTCCTTCGAGTGTGGACCACTACTAGTTAGTTAGTAGGTAAGGATAGTACTGTAGCCTGGTTGGGGAGTGGGTAATGCGGAAAAGAGATGATACTGATCCGCGGCAATAAGGCTTTAAGCTGCGCCGATCTGCCGAGTTGAATATGGAGATAGAGATACATAGTACTAGCATTAGGAATGTATGATGGTGATAATATGTATAAGAGTAATAAACAAGTTCTCGGCTCACGAAGAGGGGCATGTACGTACAGTGACGTTCCATAAGTTTTTAACCCCCCGGTCCACCGCCTAGCTCCATTCCTACCGCCTACTATATCCACTCAGCTAGAACACACGTCAGGTTGAGCACGTCGCTGTGAGGCGGGAAGTTTGCGTAATAAACTGCGCATAAATATTCTAATAGACAAACAGGTCCTTGGTTTTGATTGACGCGCTATCGGTTTATATGGAACGTAATTATCTAGACTCTAAGTGGAAACCTTTACAAGGCAGAATATTATGTAATAAGTGGTGTGGGGCTTGGGGTGCAAATACTTATGGAACCTGGCTGTAGACCCCTTTTAGGATGATGCTCCATAATTGGATACTTCGTACTCGGGAGTGATTCCGAGCTGTAGGTGAGGCGTGCCGGGTTCGTTGCAAGTTGCGACTAAACCCGATCGTGTCTGTGCTTATTCCGAATTGACGATATCACTAGAGCTGCCACGAATGTTCCTACGCTTAATATTCCGCCAGAATTAGTTTATAGCTCTAAATAGAGTGTCTACAATAATCGATACTATCCCACACTATCTTCTCAGCTATCTTCTTGGTACTTACTAGTCCTATTCAACGATTCCCATAGTATAAACCCATTTCGCATGATACTATTCGTAGAATACTCTTACTCCATCTATAACATCGTCCCGACTTCCCGATTCACAAACTGATGACTTCATCCCGCTGAAGTGCTAACCCACTGATTGCCCAACTAGGCAGAACTGCCCGAACGGGACGCTGCCGAATAAACGGGACCCAGAACCTTCAAGTCAGGCAGAGTAATGCAGTAATTGGATATCACAAAGTTAATGTCTGTACTTCGTCAACGATCCAGGCCCTTTAGACTTTGAAACACCGTCATTTTTTTGTTCGTATTTGAATGCTGACTGGATGGCGTTTACTTGGTGATCCATTCAGGGTCTCGCAAATGTTGATGCCGATTCCGATGAGATTGCCAGGGCTGATGTCAATGCTAATGCTAATTCTAAGGCTAATGTTATCCGCTATGCGCTGATCCGAATGGATCTACATACTATCCGTCTAGGTCTTTTCTCGGCTGTTAATTGTCGTGCCTGAAACCCTGCCGCTTAACCGTGGACGCGGTCTTTCCCGGTCCAGGTCACCATCAGGGTTCGATACATTGTTGTTGAACTCGGCGTGTTATTCCGGGGCCATTGCTCTCCGCTTGAGAACCGTGTCTACGTCGGGATGTAAAGGTTCGCGTGTATCTTCCCCCCGGGTCGATGTTGACTTGGCCAGGGATGCTATGGAGGTAATAGTCTTTCATACGTGCCACACATATTAGAATTGACAGTCATATTGACAAGGGTATAAACACGGTTGCGCTGAACGAAATCAGAGGCCTGAACGACAGTAATAAAGGGTATATCAAGGAAAAAACGGTATACGACGTATCTACAGTTCCACGCAATCTCAGCATCCCCGGCGGCAGCAGCACAGCCTTCTGAAAAAGCAGCCCCGTGGCTCAACATCCTCTTCGTCCTTGTTTGTCTCCTTCTCATTTATCTCTGCCCGCGAAGACCGACGCTTGCAAATATCGGTCGGACTTGTTGGTCTACTGAATTTCCGGCTGATACGAAGGCTGAAGAATCGACTGCGTCGGGAGCGAGTCTCGCGCGATCCTCCCACGCTGGCATCAGTCGTTGTCGGTGGCAATGCCGTCGTGTGCATTGATTGTCCCGCTCGTGACGGTGGGCGTCGATTTGGCGATGTACCTTGCTGATGGATACGACGTGCTTCAGTAACACGGCGGACCAGCACTAAAACACCATTAGCATTGAACAAGCTTATTCCAATATTTCGAATGTCACTGTCCAGAGAGCACATACGGGCAAACGTCTCCTCGATATTGACCATCTCCCTTGCACTCGTCTCCATAAACCCACAGCCATGCTTGCGCGCATACTCCAGTCCATCACGCGCCGTGACTGCACGCCCATCCTTCAAATCGCACTTGTTACCAGCTACGATCTTCACCGGTGGCGGCAGCCCAACCTGCTCCTTTATGTCCACACCCTTGTTCACCAATTCCTTGCGCAGCCGATCATTATCTTCCACGCGCTGTTCGGCTTCCAGGTTGATCATCTCCATAAAGTAGTCGAGTGTCTGCAAGCTGGATGGATTCGTGATATCGTAGACCAGCAGGAATGCGTCTGATTTGACCGTCGATGCGGTCCATAGCCCGCGGTATTCTTCTTGGCCGGCGGTGTCGGTGATTGAAAGAAAATATGGGAGTCCGTCGACGGTGCGGGTCACCGAGTATGAGTCCTCTGAAATGGTGTGTACATTAGATAGGAAATTCGATTGCCATTGAGATTGCGACTATTATGCCTGTTGTCGCAGTCGCAGTCGCAATCGCAATTGTGTTCAGGGAGGGTCAGGTACCGATGGTTGGGTCATATCTGAGACGATAGTAGTCAGCGATCTTTTTGTTCACAGTATGATGGATATAAATGAAGATAAGGGAAGTATTACTCATGGATCCATTGACTACGGACCAGCCGCAAGGTGATGGATGATTTGCCTAACCGATCCGATCAGATCTCGATCGCACGTTTCGCCGGCACCAAATCATATGCGTGTCATGATACCGGCAGATGAGAGAATGTTGAAGAAGGATGCAGGAACGTACCACAGCCGCCGTCACCGCAGATGGTAATTGAGATCTTGTCTGCCATCGTGTGGCCGACCACGATGATGCGCGGCCGGCTAGGAAGGCGGTCGGCGAGAGAATTGTATATAGGTCACACAAGGAAAGACACGGGATGAACCCGGGAGTGTTTGAAAGAGAGAAGAAAAGTACGAAAGTACGAAAAGGAGGGGAATGAAGAGTGGCCGAAGACAGGAGGAGAGAGAGAAGAAGGGAGGAAAGCTGAGGATGAGAGAAGCTTTGGGTCGCGCTCCTCCCGCGCGAAAAGTCGCGTGTCCCAACTGGCTGTTCTTTCATCTTTTAACTCTTCTTCTTCTTCTACTTCTTGTTCTTATCTTTTGATCCCCTCTTTCTTCGCTTGTAAGAAAAAAAAACTCCTTACTCTTTACAGTCTTGACAAGTTGACAAGTTGACAGGTTGACAGCATACTTTCTTACAGATCGTCGCCAGTTCCCGTCCTGTCAGTGGACTTCTGGGACACGAATGCGAGAAATGCGCCAATAGACGGGTCCCTGAGCCACGGGCCCATTGATCAATCATTTGTCACTTTGTGATGGATCCATTCTACTCCCGCGCCACCCTTCGGGGCCATCCCGCAGCTTCATTGACAAAGACACAATCCCTTTGATTGCTACCGGGGAGAAAACAAGGAACGACGAGGTGGGGAGATGCTATCAAGATTCCCATCAAGATATCACGACCAAGAACCTAATCGATTAACTGGAGGAACGATCTGACCTCGTTGTCATCCCTTGAAGATTCCCACAGGATACTTCCCCAGGCCCATCGACCCTCGGTTCATCGCCAGTTCATTGGCTCTCGGATGCCTGGCAGCGGGTCCACAATGACATCGGGTCACTGTACTTTTGAGTGAAGAGGAGAGAAAAACGGGGGGTGAGCCTGTAGAGGCCCATTATTTTCCTCCCCCTCAAAACGTCCTCTCAGCAGGAGACAAAAAAAGTACAGCAGTCTGTAGATTCGACCTTGCTTCGCTTCTCTTCTTCATCCTTCATACCTTGACCACCCCTGTTTGAAACCCTTCATCCTCGACAAAACTTGAAAATAGTGGAGTCGCCATCGTCTCCGATTACTGGATTCCATCCCGCTGGTCCCTCTTTCCCGAAGCTCTGGAACTCGTCCGGGCTTTGCATTCTGGACCCCACGCAGGCCGATGCCTGATTCTTCCTTGAAGCGTCATGGCAAACCGTATGAACAGCTTCGACCTCGAATACTCTGCCGCCGCCCGCGATGATGACTCTCAAGACGCGCGGGATGGGGTGCCGTCGCACCTACAGTCCTCCATATCCGCGCACGACCCCTCCCTGATGGGCTACCCGAACAGCCATGTCGCCAGCTACGCCTTCGACGATATGCTACCTCAAGACTTTGACCCCACTCTTCAATCCTTCGACCAGACCCAGAGACCCCAGGGAGACTTGGAGGGCCGCCTCTCCAATGTGATGTTGGCTTACGACACGCCCACAACGGGCGTGTCCATGGCCATGGGCCTCGAGTCCGGCAACGCGTTCGCCTACAATATCCCGACGACCTACCCGGCAACCACGATGAGCCTCGTTCCCTCGATGGATGACTCGCAACTTCAATCCGCCTTTTCGTTTCATCAGTCCATGTCCCAGCAAGGCCAGTACCTGTCACAGCACCAACAAGCGCCCCTGCCTCAACAGTCAACACAAGGAGACCCATATAACGGCCATACCGCCAACACTACAACAACTTCTACCGAGACATTTGATGATTCAGACTTTTCACGGGCAAGCGACCGTTCGCAGCAGTTGAGTTTGCAGCGGCCGGTGCAAGAGGCTCAGCGGTTCCCGCCATATGGCCAAGTACAGCAGACAGCCCCGGCCCTGTACCGCCCATCACAGCCGGTAGCAATTCAACCGAAGAAGCCTATTGCTGTAGTCAAAGGTGAGTTAACATCTTGTGGTGTAGCCTGCTCTACGGCATGCTTGCCGATAGAAAAAGAGCTGACGCCCCTCTGCGCCTCAGAGGACTTATCGCCAGGCCTGTCGACGCCCGATGCCGCCAGTACGGAGCATACGGGCATTTACTCGAGTAGTGGCTTTGATATTCTAGGTGTTCTCGTAAGTGGTATACACTGTTTGTTTCCTCTCATCACTTTATCCAGTCTAACGGTCATCTAGAGCCGAGTGGCGATGAGACCTAATCCTAAAATCAACATCGGCGCAGTGGACTTGTCTTGTGCCTTTGTCCTATGTGATATCACGCGGGACGATCATCCGATTGTCTACGTCTCTGAAGCATTCGAACGGTTGACTGGCTATACCAAAAATGAGATCGTCGGCCGTAATTGCCGGTTCCTGCAGGGCCCTGATGGTAAGATTAATGCCGGTGCGAAGCGTACTTTCGTCGATGGACAGACTGTGCATCGTCTGCGATCCACGATTCACGATCGTAGTGAAATCCAGGCTAGTATCATCAACTACCGTAAGGGTGGCCAGCCGTTCATGAACCTCATCACGATGATTCCCATTCAGTGGAATTCTGAAGATTATCGATTCTATGTCGGCTTCCAGGTCGATCTTGTTGAGAAGCCTGACGCGGTCAAGGCAAGGAATCCGGGTATGTCGCTTCGCTTACCCCTTGCCACTTCAATCACTGATGCTTTTTCCTAGACGGCACATATACCATCAACTACCAGCGTGACCAATTGCCACAATACGTGGTCCCGCCCGCTGATGCGTACAGATTAAGACCAGACCTTGCTACACATTTCGGTCACGATGAGGTTACTGCCATCCTCAATGCTGCCGGTGTTCCAGGCTCTGGCGTATCACGGCACTACTTGGATCGCATCTTGGTTGAAAACACCGACGACGTGATCCATGTGCTCTCATTCAACTGTGAATTCCTTTATGTTTCACCTTCGTGCAAGCGGATCCTTGAGTACGACCCGGTCGAACTCGTGGGCAAGACGCTATCAACCATCTGCCACCCCAGTGACATCGGACCAGTGATTCGTGATCTGCGAGCCAGCACGACGCCAGCCCCCGTCAGCGTTGTGTATCGTATTCGACAGAAGTACAAGGGTTACATCTGGTTCGAGAGCCATGGTTCCTGGCACATTGATCCAGCAGAGGGACGGAAGTATATGGTCATGACTGGTCGCCCCCGGCCCGTCTATTCCCTGGACCAGGTTGCTCAACTCGGGTCCAAGGCTGCACTCGCTGAGAACGATATCTGGGCCAAGGTCTCCCTGTCCGGTGTGATTTTGTTTGTGACGTCTAAAGTGAAGCCGGTCCTGGGCCGGTCCCCAGATGATCTGATCGGCAAGAGCATGCACGAGCTTATGGAGCCCGATAATGACCCCAACGCCATCATCGATGCTCTCGACGCAGCAGCCAACGGTCAAGGCCAGGAAGACGGCAATAATAAAACCGGAGAGCCACCCTCCTTCCGTCACCAGATGCGCCATAAAAAGGGCCACTCACTTTCCGCCCACACCACCCTCTACTCCGGCGACAACCACAATGCCCGCCCTTCCTTCCTCGTCGCTCAGATCCGCTTCGCCCGTGCATTCCCCCCTTCGTCAGCCGCTGCCTCCGCTGCCGAAGACGAAGAACTCGCAAACGTCCCCGGCTCGTCCAAGACAACGACCCTCACAACCTCAGATCCCAACCCACCCAGCCAGTACGGCGCTCTCGGCCAGCGTATGCCTTTCCTCTCCCCCCTCATCGGTCTCAACGGTCTACCCTCGGGCAACCGCAGCATCTCCCCCTCAGACGCTCCCGCTACCTTTTTCACGGAGCTCAACCCTACCCGTGGCTCTAGTTGGCAGATTGAGCTTCGCGAGCTGGAGAAGCAAAACCGGGGGTTGGCGGATGAACTGCAGCGTCTTTTGGCGCGCCGCAAGAAGCGCAAGCGCAAGCAGAGCGCTGTCTCGGTTGAGAAGGCTTGTGCTATGTGTAGTACGAAGAATACTCCCGAGTGGCGTCGTGGTCCGAGTGGTAATCGCGATCTTTGTAATAGTTGTGGTCTCCGCTGGGCGAAGCAAGTTCGGAATAAGGCGCAGGCTGCGGCATCCGGGGGTGGAAATGCGTCTGATCCTGCTGCTTCTAATGCTAGTGCCACCGCTACGACGCAGGGGTGAAAGCACAGGAGGTGCTCATCTCAGCGGTGAACATGGGAGTTGGCGTGGCGTTGTGTGTCGATGGTAAATTGACGTACCGTATTTGCGTGGTGCATTTCTTAACTTTTTTGACTTCTTTTTTTGACTGGTCAATGTTGGTTGAGTTTCTTGATTTTGATTTTTGGAATCTGACTTTGAGCGAGCGGGCCTGCTGGTTTGATATACCCTCTGTCTTGTCGTTGGCCATAAAGGCGATATTTTTTGAAGCCGGAAAAACGAGGGTGTTTTGAGTGCGTTGAGAAGCCTTTCACACATTCATTCTTTCTTATTCCTTGTCTTCTTTTCTAGTATACTTGATTTGATATTTGTTTTCATCTTGGATATGGTTCCTCCTTAATATGGGGTTTGATTTCTTTCGTTGCATATACTTTGCTACCAGAATGCTTATCATATTGATTCTAAGGGTTTGAATGATTGTTTTACCAGACTTCTGATTTGGCAGTGATTAAATGTCGGTTGCAAGGCAGTAGATTTGGTAAATGCCATCTCTGAAGGATACTCAATACCTAACTCGGTGACTTTATTTAATATCGCCACGCCCATGAATCGAGTCCTCGACCTCTGTCGACCATACAAACTAAACTCACGACATGCGGATTGCTGGGCCTCGGTCAAATCCTGTCTATATTGGTAGAATGCTGCATTGATTATATTCAGAACCCGTTCTTCGACGGATATACCATTTTTGAACGGCATTTGAACCAAGTTGAGTGTTGGCAGGTGGGATGGTAGATATTCTATTCTAAATATGGTACATGAGCCAGTCTATCTTCTGACTGGTACGCCTCTATGCGGTACTGTACAAACCAAAAGACAATCTTCTTGCTCATCTTGGTTCTCCACTCTTGATACACTCAAAGATGTATCCAGAATTCATCACTCAATCCGAGATCCCCTACTCTTGTACCTCTTTCAAGACCTCTCCTTCAACCACTTCTCCAGCCACTCACGCTCGACAGCCTCTGCTTTGGCACCCTGCAGCATCGCCGACACGTCACCCGCACCACGCTCTTCAACCGCAATGCGAACCTCCTCCGCACTCAACGCATCCACCCCAGCATCAATGATCATCCGATCATCAACATTGAGATAATGCAAGTGCCGTAGCAACCGAGGCCGGTACACAGGTCCTGCAAGCACTCCACCCAAGAACCGATCATGCTTCTTAACGAGTCCGAAAATCGCACATGCCTGCAACACCTTTTCGGCACTCGCCTCCCGAGCAGAAGCTATCGTCGCCAACTCTACCAACTGCGCGAGCTCTGCATCGCTGCCAGTCATGGGTACCGACCTCCCAGTCTTCGCCGTCAAAGCCTGCTGCGCGAGAACCTTTCGCTTGGATCCCGCTTCGCGCTCCTTGGCGACCTGCCCGGGCACCCGACACGTCGCCGGGGTAATCGCATTACCAAAGATAGGCACAATCAGCGGCGTGAACTCGCCGCAGATAATCAGGATCAGCGTGAAAGGAATCATCCGCTGCACATCGCGAGCGGATCGCCGAACGAGCTGGAACCGCCCGCGGCCTAGCTTGAGTTCTGGTGTGGATAGGGCGGGCCGAGCACGGAGGGCTTCATCGAATTTGGTGCTGCGAGGCGGCGAGACGGGGAGATATGCGGGGAGCCCGAGTTCGCGGCGTAGTGGGAGAGACGCGCGGTAATTGTGGTAGACGTTTTTGAGACCGGTTTTGTAGAAGGTCAAGTAGGCGCGGCCGACGGCGACGAGGCGCTTTAGCTTTTCTGGAGTCGGCGCTGAAGTGGGGAGTGGGGAGGGGATGTCGATGATTGCGGGGAAGGTGCTTATAGGGGCATTGATGTGGGTTTGGGAGAGGTCCTCTAGTGTTGGTGTTTGGGTGACTGGTGTGATTGATTTAGTTGCTTGGACTCGGGTTCTGGGTCGCTGTTGAGCAGTGTATGAGGCCGCGGAGGTTGAGAAGGGAGTGGTATGGTGGGGCGCTAGGGCCGCGGGGCGCAATGGTGTATACGAGTGATGGGATGACTTGAGGGGGACCCAGAGGGGGATTGGGCCCCGAGCTAGAGGCGCCATTGTCTGAGGTGAGGTGGTGAGGTTGATTGATGCAGGAGAAGGTCGTGTGTTCCTCGGTGTCTCGGCGTCGGAGGCGAGCGAGTCCTTGGCACCTGGTTTCTCAGGCAGCCAGGCACATGGATGGAGATTGACAACCGCGGTATATTGTTGTATGGAGATTACATTTTGTCTGTAATTCCTGTGCTAAATCACTAGAGCTGTGTCTAATATCAGTCTAGAGCTCTTGGTCAAGTGGTTTTAACTTTGAGCCGCCATTTTATGTGAAAATACCGCGCGGGTTGCCTAATGGGAAACGGCTTAAAATGCCTCATAAGATGTAGCTAACTGTACCGTGGTGGGTCTTTCCGATCATTAGGCAGAAATATCAGTTGCAGTGGGCTAGATGCCATCGGCTATTATCGTTAAATGACTTTGAGTATTATGTTCTAGAAGAATAGTGGTCATTTGATGTGTTCTCTCAAGGGAGCTAAGCGGAGATAAGAGAATAGAAACGGAGATAATTCAACCCAACGAATGAGAAGCCTGGTTGAATAGGTTACAGTCATCTCGCAGACGATTTCCTAAAATGGAATATACGTGATGCTTCCTATAATGAATAGCCTGAATCGTCCCTTCGAGTTATTTAAAGTTGGCTCTGCCATCTAGATATCTCTATCTTGTTGATTGCTCATCCAACCAGCTAGCTTTCGTTTATATCTTCATTATGACTTTTACCAACCGTGCAGCTTGGATACAGGGCGAGAAGGTGCATCCTGTTGTGGTAGAGGATGGGCCAACACCCAACCCTTCAGAGGACGAAGTGGTGATCAAGGTTTCCCATGCAGCAGTCAACCCGGCCGATTGGATGGTACGGTACTAGTGACCATGTTCGAAATCAAAAGTCTAATATTCTCTTCATCACAGTGCCAGGATAGTGCTCTGCCACCACACATCAAGTACCCATTTATTCTTGGATTGGATGTTGCTGGAACAATTGTCCAGTTGGGGTCCAATGTGACACGCTTCAAGATAGGGCAGCGAGTGATTGGGTATGTAAACCCTTATCTCAAATCAATATCTTAACAATGCAGCCTCGCTAACTATCCAGTCACTGCGATGGTCTTGGTACTGCCAAGGCCTCGAATATGGGGTTCCAACTCTACTCAACAACCCGGGAGATCTTTGTTTCGGCCATTCCTGACTCCCTGCCGCTCGAAAATGCCGCCGTTCTCCCCTGCTCTATATCAACTGCAGCTACTGCCCTATTTGTGCATCTGAAGGTTCCACTTCCATCCTTGAATCCAAAGCCAGTAGGACAGAGAATCTTGGTGTGGGGAGGAAGCTCATCGGTTGGATGTTCTATGATCCAACTTGCAGTTGCCGCTGGCCTTGAAGTGGTCACTACGGCTAGCGCCGCGAATCATGATCTCATGAAATATCTTGGGGCATCTCACGTGTTTGATTATCATGATGCTGATGTCTCAGAGAAGATTTCGAAAGTTCTTAGAACTGGAGATCTTGTTGTGGATGCTATCAGCACCGCAGGGACACAAACCCAATGCGGAGGGATACTTGGAAGACTCGGCGGTGGTACTCTTCCAGTGACGCTACCTCAGGCTGGCACATTCCCTGAGAATGTGAAGGCTACCTTTAGTAAGATTCTTCATTGACTGTGAAAGTAGTGTCTACTAACTATTTTGCAGTTATTTGCATTGATCCGGGCTTCACAGTACTTGATGTAGGAAATGCAGTATGGCGAGAATATATCCCTGAAGCCCTAGCTGCAGGAAAATTCCAAGCAAAGCCAGATCCCATCGTCATTGAGGGTGGACTGGAGAAAGTACAGGAAGGTATTGATCTTCTACGAAAGGGCGTTTCGGCTAAGAAGGTTGTGATAAACTTGTCCTAGAGTTGGGATGCATATCACCAATTTTATTCGTACTCAGCTCCAGGGTAGACGGAATTATTTGATTTGAACTCTTGACAACAGCTTGGTCACTACTAAATCAACATTTTCTGTTAGATAAATTGTGATATTCCGAGATCTGGTAGTAGTTTCATCGAGCAGTCAACAAGTGGAACAGAGGATAGAGCTTCGTTGAGGCCTTAGAGCCTTAGGCTGTCAGTGCTTATCGGAATTGGGTTGCTGAGCTCATCTAGGTGCACCAATCGGGTTTCAACAGGTCTGAATTGCTATGTAGCCCCTTTCTGGCAATTTGGATGGGCATAATAATGACTAATACATGCGGGTTTATAGTATCTCCTTTCTTCCGAGTATCCACTACTGGTCCTGCTCCGACACACCCCCTCAGCGCTTAGCGAGTGTTGAATAGCTTCGCCAGTGTTGAATTCAATCGAGATGAGCGCTGAACACCATCTAAAAGCTCTCTCTTTTCTCTCAATTACACCTCAAACCTCAATTAGGTGCTGTATATCCTGCATGCGCAAGATCTTGATAAAATCCTCATGTTTCTGGCGTGGCAGGATCTTTGTGAGCCCATCTGCTGCCATCTTGGCAGTAGGTACCCATTTGATTGTGATTCGACCTTCTCTAATCTCTTGTCTTAGCCAGTGCCCATGGATATCGACGTGACGAAGCTTTGTATCGATTTTGGCATGCTCCGAGGTCAACAGGTTGACTGTCTGCTGATTATCACATCTTAATGTGATTGGGTGGCTTGGTTTGAATGAGATTCGGTCGAGAAACCTCATCCACCATAGGAGAGATCTTCCTGCATCAGATAATCCAAGTAATTCGGCTTCGGTGGTTGACGTGGTAACCGTGGGTTGCTTGGTAGCCTTCCAATCCACTGGTCCGCCATAAACCTGGCAGATATACCCTGCAGAGCTTCTGCGATCTTGATTGTCAGCGAAGGATGCATCGCTTGCTAGCTCAACTGATTCTATATCTCCTTTATCCCCATACTGCAGTGCTAAGTACCGTGTGGTGTATAGATAGCAGATCACTCTATCAACCGCTCGTTGGTGCTGTGGACTTGGATTTCGAAGAAATTGCGATAGCTTTGCAGCTGCTTTCGCTGCATCTGGTCTGGTAATCGTGGTTGGATACTGCACTGAGCCAACCTTTCCTTGGTACAATTTGATCTCGGCAGGTGTCGCAGTGCCATCGTATGGCTTCATTTCTTCCACTGGTAACGGTGTGTAGACCGGCGGACGGTCTGTTAGATTGTATCGGGCTGCCATACTGCTGATATAGGCATCCTGGCATAACCAAAGCTTATATTCTCTGCGGTCACGGATGATTCGAATGTTTAAGAACCATTCAGCTTCCCCATGGTCTGTGAGTTCCCAGTGTGCCTCGAGATCCTTTTCTAGCTGCTTAGCTTTCTCGCGCACTGATGGGTGATTGGCAATGAGGATATCGTCAACATAGAAGAAGACGATGATTCCGTGTGAAACGAAGACACAGGGGTCTTCTGGTATTGGTGTGAGACCTAGTTTCTCGAGTACTCGAGATGCTTCTTGTTGCCATAGCTTTGGTGAGATGCGCAATCCATATAGCGCACGCTGTAGCTTCCAACACATCCCTGGTCTATCGAATCCTTCTGGCATTCTTGTGTAGGTCTCGGTAGGCAGTTTACTATTCAAGAACGCTGTAACTGCATCTCTCTGGCGGAGATCGAGGTTAAACGCTGCGACCAGTGCAAAGATCATCCTTGCAGACCTTGCTGCAAGTGTAACCGCCCTCTTATCCTCTGGGGATATCGTTTCGAGGTCACCTCGCACGCAGATTCGCGCTTTGAGCTTCTGGAGGTAACCGTCCTGGTCGAATTTATATGCAAAGACCCATCGGAGTGGTAGGATCTGCTTCGAAATATCTCTCGGTCGATTTATGGCGGTAAAGGTTGATTTCTCTTGCAGAGATCGTATCTCTTTCGCGCATGCAGCTAGGAAACCCTCTGCCATTGGATGCTTCATCATCTCTCTCCACCCATCAGGTACTGGTGGTAGATCGTCTCTGTGGCGTTGAATCGGCTTCTCGGTGTATAACGCTGCTGCGAACGTGCGAAGCAATTCAGGTGGTTCGTTTTCGACGGCTGGTTGGATAGTGGCGTATGCGTGGTAGTCAGGGTTTACCCTCGGTCTTCTTCTTCTGCTACCCTCGAGGATATTGGCAGTGTCGATTCCATCGCTTCTTCGTGTGTGTAGCTCAGTGTGTAGTTGCTGCTCGCTATCAGAAAGCGAATCTTCTTCTTCTTGGGTACTCTCTTCCGTGAGAGATTCAAGCGGTATCTCCGGCTCTGGCGGCTGGTCTTCATTAAGACAAGATCTCTGGTTGGTAGCCTGGGATATTGGCTGGTTGTCCACCCCCTGACCAGCTGCAGTAGGAGACGCAGTGGTACTTTGATCTCCGGCGGGACTCGGAGGCAAAATTGGAGGCTCTTCGATTGGAAATGAGCCTGGTAAGGTCTCAGTCTGGTGACCCTGATCTGCCTGTAGGCGGTCTCTCTCGTCAGGTTCCGGGGTAATGAGTGTAACCACCCCCTGAGGTTCAGCGGTAGCTTCTGTAGGATCCCCTTCTTCAACCCCAGACACTAGAGGGTCTTCCTGATGAGCTTCGTCATGATCTTGCTGCCGATCCTCCTCTGTATTTCGGTTTGTTGACGGCTCTTCAGGTATCCCGAGGTCCTCGCGTAGGACATCTAGGTGCTCTTCGTCGGTCAAGATCGTCGGTTCAGGCGCAGGCAATGCGATTTCTTGCCAGTACTGCATATCAGGTCTCCATCTTCTCGATTCATCGAAGCGTGCATCTCGTACAACCTCGACCTTTCCTCTCGATGGAAACCAGACCTTCCAGATATTCGAAGCGACGTATCCAACCAAGAATCCAACCTCTGCGCGGGGAGAGATCTTCTGTAGGCGTGGGATCTTTCGAATTCGGCAGTAGGTCAACGAGCCATATACGCGAAGATTAGCAAGGTTAGCCTTCTTCATCCTTTCGCTGCCGAAATCCTGTCGTGCTTCATCCCACGGTACAATCCAGCGGTTCTCGTCCTTCAGGTAGGTAGGGATTCGGTTCAAAATCCATGCTGCGGTACTAACCATCTCTGGCCAGAGTTCCTTCGGCAGTTTACTCTCGATATGCAGATGTCTCGATTTCGTCAAGATGACACCTCCTGAACGCTCTGCAGGCCCGTTCTGTTCCGAATGATATGGGATAATCTGTGAGACGACGATCCCTTCGTGGCTTAGGAAGCGTTCAGCTTCTGCACCCGCAGACAATTCGTTATCATAGTGAAATGCCTTGATTGGTAGATTCCACCAGTTCTTGACAAGGGCTATAAACCTCCGAACAGCTTCTCTGCACTCATATTTCCGTTCATGCGTGTACAACCAGTGGAATCTGATACCTTCCACATAGAAATGGGTCATCCATTGGTGGCCATTATACCCAGGCGGAAACTGCACCAAATCGAAGTGGATTCGACCGTATTTCCCGAAACTACGACCGATAGGTCGTCTTGAGATCTGGCGTGGTGCGCTTGCAAGGTTGCATATCTGGCAGAGTTCCCTTTCCTCTTCTTCTTGTGACGAATCTGGCAGATCTTCGTTGATTTGGATACCATCCACCATCTCAGTAGCCTTCTTAACCACACGTTTGGATACGTGGGCTAGTCGTCGGTGCCAGCGGTCTGCTGAAGCTTCTGCAACCAGTGGTTTTACCGAGGTCCTCGAGGTCGAGGTCCCTACTGCATACGCATGTGCAGTAGTGTCCGGTACAGATTGGTTTGGTTGATCGAATCCCCATATCTTCAGCGGTTTGATGAGACGTACGTTGACGATCGGTTCTCCAGCAGAATCCTTAATACACTCGTTGTCCTCGTCCCATCGAACACCCTTCTCTTTCAGCGCTGCATAAGACATCAAATTGGCATGGAATCCGGGCGAATACACGACGTTGCTTAGCTGAATCGGCCTAATAGACCCGTCGGGTCCTATCCCAGTCATGATGGCACTTCCGATTCCTTCCACAGCGGTAGACGAGTCTCCGGTCCTTAGGTTGTCTGCCTTCGGAGTGAATTTGGTGAATAGGTCCCTTTGGTTACACACATGCACTGATGATGCGGTATCTAGGAACCATCGCTTGCGAGTATCATCACTAGATCCTCCTGCAGCTTTCACGCTTTGGTACACCTGCTCGATTGGAAAACTAGTGAAGTACGAGCCCCAGAGCTGCGTTGAATTGGCCGTCTTGGTATTGTTGACCCCGTTCTTCTCATTATGATCCTTGACCATCTTGTCTATCCAGGTCTTCGACGCTTCATCTTTCGAAAGACGTTCCTCGACACGTTTGACCTTCCATCTCAGTACAGGTTTGTCTGGGAAAGCCTCTCGGTTGATGATCCAGCAGTCCCATGGTTTATGGGCCTTGTTACCACATGGGCACCAGCGCTTTGGAATCGGTGGTAAGGATCGTGGTTGCTGCGGTTGTAGCGCTTGCGCTTGCTGTTGATCTTCTTGCTTTGCTTCTTCGAATCCTTGCAGTGTTGAGAAAGAAGCTTTTGAGATCGTACTAACGGTCGATCTCTGTGGATGTATCTCACGATAGGTTCCTCTAAAATTTTCAATCAAATCGCGAGTATCCCACTCTTCTTGATGCAATACAATTGCCTCGAATTTGGATTGCCACCACATAGGAAGCAGATCCTTGACCGCACGAAGGAAATCCTTATTGGCGTTCTTTATTTCTGGCAGGTCTAGGCTGACACCCTGCTCTCTTAGTGAATCCCATTCGTTGATCCACTGGTCGATATCTGCACCTTTCCTTGGTGGTAATGCAGACACTCGCTTCCACTGCGTACGCACGTCTTCTTCTGCGGCTGTGGCTCTTCCGAATCGAGTATGGAGATATACAAGCCTTTCGTACGGAGTTTGGTAATTCAGCATGGAAGTATGGTGAATTGGATCCAAATTGGTGATGATCCACTCGTTAACAGCGTCTAGGCTCTTGCTCTGTTGTTCCCATTCGCTTAGGTCTAGTTTATAGATATCCATGCGGTCTCTCCACTCTCTCTTCGCCGATTCGTTGCCATCTTCTGGATATTGAGGTCTTCGAGGTCTTCTGATTGGTTCCTCGAGGTAACCTTCTTCGGTATGGGGGTCAATGAGGTCCCACACCCTTTTCTGGCGTGCATACAGCTTAATTCGTGCGAACCAGTTCCTCCATTGCAGAGGGTCTTTCAGCTTTTCGCCCTTCATGGCGGAGATCACTGTTGACTCCATATCGATCGGTTCTCAGCGGTGTACACTGCGATAGGAAGTTCAGGGGCAAGGTGAGATAGATCGTATGTGTGTGTGGACTACCGCAATCATCGGCGTATAGTCTCGAAATCGACGAATCTACCCTTCTCACTGGCGAATCGGGCTCATAACTATCGGAATTGGGTTGCTGAGCTCATCTAGGTGCACCAATCGGGTTTCAACAGGTCTGAATTGCTATGTAGCCCCTTTCTGGCAATTTGGATGGGCATAATAATGACTAATACATGCGGGTTTATAGTATCTCCTTTCTTCCGAGTATCCACTACTGGTCCTGCTCCGACAGTGCTGTATGTTTTGGCTAGGCATTCCTACTCTTCTTCTGTTCCTCTCTCTCTCATCCTTTACACCGCTCATCATTATCTCGTATTATATGCTCTCTATGACCCGTGTATATGATCAATCAATCGTGTTGGCTTGATCCTTTACCGCGTGAAGGTGCCAAGAGGGTTTGCTGGTAAGGTTTATGCTTAATTGGGATAAGCCTCACGCGCTCGTCAGCCTTCGGGCGAATGGCGCCACGCCCCAGTCTGTGGGGGAGCCGGACACTCACTTCTCGAGCACAAGATTTACTTGAAAGAGCACGAAGAAGGGAGAAAGAATATAGCATTTACTGAATTATTTGGCCGTTCCGGCAATTGGTAAAATAAATAGAGATTGACAGTTGTCCTGCCAGGGTTCCTCCTCTTCCCCTAGCGGGTCTCCTTGAGGACTGGATCCGATACAATCCTGTGAAGATCACCCTAGCCTGACAAACTATAATTCCATGAATATCTCCTCGAATCAATTGTTGTTGCTGTTTGACCAGTTTTTGCGGGGTGGTGCTTGGGTATTGGCAACAGCACGTGATATGATCGGCATTCGTCAGTCTCACCATCCACTGGCGGAAATTCTGTCCTCTAACGGAGTTATTAATTAGCCAGGGGCTGCTGTCGTGTTTAACTCCAACGTGGCTCCGTCGTCGTTCGCGCTATAGGTGGATTCAGGAGCTTTCGGAGTGGGGGGAATAATATAATCCATCGGAGTTATGCCCCCGATCGGGGCTGGGCAAGGCTTGTTGAGACAGTCTGTTCGGACGACTTCCATGGTATGATTAAGAAGAGATGAAGAGGGGGTAATGGTGGGCATGAAAGGGGATGCTGAAAGTATATATGAAGGAGTTGTTGCTCGCTCGAAGACGGCTAGACTCTGCACAGATTTCTTCTCTATCATTTGTTACTATATTCCTCAACCACGTATATCATGAGATTCATCGCTTTGGCGTCGTTTGCAGCCTCCGTGCTCGCAGCTAGCCGTACCACTGCTCCCTCTGGGTCGATTGTCGTGGCCAAATCTGGTGGTGACTACTCCACTGTATGATATCTTCTATGGAATAACGGTCGCAACGCATTCTAATCAGTCAACAGATCAGCGAAGCCATCGCGGCCTTGAGCACCACCACTACCTCCACCCAGACTATCTTCATTGAGGAGGGCACCTACAATGAGCAGGTGTATATCCCCAAGCTTGCTGGCGAGCTGATCATCTACGGGCAGACCGAGGAGTACGTCCAATTTCCCGATACCTACGATTATACTGGCTGACATTCCCTGATTAGTGACACCTCCTATTCCTCTAACACTGTCACCATCACCTACGGCTTGAGCTTGGCATCCGTCAGTGATGATGACGAGACTGGTAAGAATTATTCCGACTACCGGTCAGCCCGAAGAATGATGGTCACTAACGAATAACCTCAGCGACGCTGCGAAACTACGCCGCCAACTCCCGCGTCTACAACATCAATGTGAAGAACACCTACGGTGAAGGCCACCAGGCTCTCGCTCTCAGTGCCTACAACACTGAGCAGGGTTACTATGGCTGCCAGTTCACCGGTTTCCAGGGTCCGTTATCGTCAATCCCCATATACGAGCAGTCACTAATTGGCCATGCAGATACCGTCCTCGCTGAGACCGGCTACCAGGTCTACGGAAAGTGCTACATCGAGGGCGCCATCGATTTCATCTTCGGCCAGACCGGCAATGCTTGGTTTGACAGCTGTGACATCGGTGTCCTCGCCTACTCCGAGGGAACCATCACCGCGCAGGGTCGCCCCGCAAGCTCCGACTCTGGATACTTCGTCATCAACGAGAGCACTGTCAGTGCCGCCTCTGGCGAGGACGTCACCGAGGGAACTTACTATCTCGGCCGGCCCTGGACCGAGTATGCTCATGTGGTCTTCCAGAAGACCACTCTTAGCGATGTCATCAACTCTGCCGGCTGGATCGAGTGGTCGAGCAGTGAGCCCAACACTGAGGATGTCCTCTTCGGCGAGTATGATAACTCTGGTGATGGTGCCTCGGGTACCCGGGCTAGCTTTGCGGAGAAGCTCTCTTCTTCTGTCTCTATTAGCACTATCCTGGGCAGTGGATACGCCGACTGGGTTGACACTAGCTACCTCGCTTGAGGTAGGTCGAAGATGACTACTGTTGCGTTGAGTGCTGAATCGGTTGACTAGTACCTGTGGTATATGAGTAGGTAGATTGAAAATAGTTCATTCTGAAGGATAAGATCTTTTTTAGAATGACATTATAAAACATAGCTCAATGGAAGCGTGGTCTGCTGCCAATAAAAAAAGATGTTCCTGGCAGTTACGCTCCATCTGCCCCAATAAGATGATAGCCGCGACCTGCGTTACGCGTAAGCGCGCGGCAGACATTGGGATATCATTTCTATCTACCAATTAAATTAATCATAGATCAAGATATTGGACAGAGTTACGAGCTGGACTAAACAGCAGCTGGCTTTAAGAAACATAAATTGTTAGGAGCTTTTAGCCGAACGCCGAAAAGTGAACCTTCGCTTCAGTTGTTGATTCGCCGGGCCAAGAGTTCGAGGTACTGGTTCAGCAGGCACCATTAACTTCTCGTCGTTCTCAAAATATTTGCTGACATCTAGTATCCGAGTGGTACTAGTAATAAGCAATTTAACCGACGCGGGCGCTCCCAGGAGTTTCACCAGTTTTTTGACGAGTTTCTTCGTTTTCTGGCAAAATTCCTTGGTTTCATAGTAATTTATCCCATCGATGATGATGAAAATTGGCTGCCGATGGGGCAAGGCTCTTACCATCTTTGAAAAGATCGAGAAGAGGAAATCATCGGTAATACTTGGCCCAGACCTCTTAAATGTCTCTGCGTCGTCTGCACTGAGACATTTCAGTTCCCCGAATCTCCATTGGATGGCAAGTTGATAAATCAACATTCTGATTATTGACGAGCTGCCCAGCTCTTCATTCTCCACTGGGCTCCTCGACATATGTAACCCACAGAAGTGATGTAAAACGATGATAGGCTCCAGCTTCTGCAGACTTTCGATTAAGAGAGCGCAGAAAAATGAAAGTGAGCTGATTCGCTGTATGGAGCAATTGCCGTTTATTACAAGAGCGCGCGATCTTCGAGATTTGAACCACTCGTATACTTTGGGGTCAGATATGGTCCACGTCGTCCGGTTTTGATCCTCATCTATCATAGAAACCCCAGCCTGTAGAACTTGTTGTAGAGGAGGATGAGATAAACTGGCATGTGCGGACGGAAAAGGCGCGGCATTTTCCAGATATTTCAGGGTTTCCTTTGTAGTGACATATGCTCGCGGTGCTGGTGGCTGAACGATCAGCTCTTGTGTCTGTATTAAGACTTCTCGGAACCCTGTGTTTAGGCCAAATTAGCAGTCGCTTCAGAGAATTCCGGGCATGGACCGAGGCAGACATTTTGTGTTCATATATTGCTGAGCGAAGAGCTGTTTCAGCGCCGTTTTTATTTCGTGCATGGTGGCCTGTGAACTTTTGACCCCATTTGCCACTTGCGCTAATCTTCTTTGATTGCATAATTGAATTGTGCGCTCCACGTTTTCTGATGCCTTCCTCACATCATCAAGCTCAACCTGGAGAGGCGTATAGGTACTTTGGAGGAAGAGCGGTTTGAGAAACTCGACTAGAATCATCATTAGCAACTGAGTTCGTAGTATCCTCAAAATGGCAATCGCCTACATGATCGGTCCTTTGTCCAAAATGCAATTATATTTTCCATAGCCGTCAAAATTTTCACGTAAAGTTGACAGGTGGCCGTCTGTAGAATTGCTTCTGAGCTATAGAGCTCTGCGTATTGGGTGGCACTGTGAACTTTTTCTGGAAGCGACTCAACAAGGGCTATTATGTCTTGTCGCGATTTGTTTGCAGCGGAGCACGCCTGAATATCGTCAGATCAAAATAATTGGGAGATAAAAACAGGGCCTCTCTTTAGCAATACGTACCCCTAAGATCAATTTTATCCCTGCACAGATGACAGAGGTATACATGCTATCTGGAATCAGTCCAACGAATGGCTCCGCTGCCTCGGACTTGCTTGCGCCTCGTCGGAAGAATTTCCGAAACTTGCTGGAGTTGCTATAGTGATCTTCTGCTTCCTGCAGCGAGGAAAATACATCTTCCCAGTTGTGCATCTGGGAGATATTGGCCCGAACTTTGACGACGATCGGTTCTTTACTGCGTTTCCCTTTTGTACTGCCCTTTTCTCTGTCATGCTCCGCATCCCAGAACTGTAGTATTTCGGTGAATCTTGCCTTGGCTTTTTCAGCTTCGTATTGACTCTTTCTGCGAGAGACATTTTAGTATTGGAAACAATGAAACCCTATATACTGGAAACAGACTCAGCCTCTTCCTTGTTTTGTGATTCCAGCTCCAATCTCTTAGCATCCACATCAGCTGGGAGCCGAGTAGCGGGTTTGACAAAAAGACCCGACCATATTTGATCGACAAACTCGTCAGGTACTTCTGGGAAATTGTCGCCTGAGGACCATTGATCTGTCGCCATCTTGCCTCCTCAGAAAATGTAGAGTGCTGGGAGTTCTCTTCCGAATTATAACAATCAGCTTGTGGGTTGAGCCCTTACCCAAATTGTTTGTTAGTCGGGACTTATCTATTAACTACACCTTGAAAAAAAGAAAAACGACAGAAATAGGGGGCTGGGGCTGTAACTAAAAGTAAGCGTCGAGCGGACAAGTGAGGCATCTGTGCATAACAGCCGAGGTGCTACAGTTCTAATTGGACATATGCACAGCCCGGTCTTGTTAGCTTGCAGAAGCGCCGGAGGCTTGAAAGATGGTTGGAAAACGTGCACCTGGGTCCTGGTCCACAAGTTAATGACTTTCCTATTCTTAAATCCGCCGGTCACCCCTCCATTTTAATCGTCCTTAACCCGGCCAAGAATTCTCACACCCTTCTTGTCATTGAACCATCATGACACTTCCTCCTCAGGTAGAAACAGTCAGTCCTGACGAGGGGGTTGCTCAACCAACTCTCCATATCGCCCCCCAAAGCATTGCAGATCCTCAGAAATCATCCGTAACTCCCGAAGAAGACACTGTTCCTGATGGTCTTGCATCTGCCAAGGCACCTTCCCAGCCCGATGATGGTTCACCATCCGACCCTAAACTCGAGGCTCCGCCTGGAGCAGCTGAGCCAGGGGATCTCAGCGAGGCACTGTCAAAAGAGACCTACGACGAGGTGGAAAAAATATATGATTACCTGCTGAATTACATAAATGGGGATGTTTTGGAAGCCAACGAAAATCATCGTTGCATAGGAACTGGATCTTTTGTAATGCGGGCGCATGAGAAACGACTGCCGTTAAAATCAAGAATCAGGCATAACGAGACTTTTTCGTTCATGTTCCAAGAATACTTCCGCCTGGTAAACGACAGGTAAGCTCTTTACGTCGTTTTCATTATTATTCGAATTCATGTTAATCCAACTGGCCACAGACTGTCGGCCCTCGAAAGCAAAGCGTCGATGGATGAGAAAGATGTAGATGAGGATAAGACGAAGAACTCCTTAACAATGACGATTCCTAGAGAACGCCGGGTGACTTGGGTTGACTTTAAGCGAAAAGATGAGAAGAAACGTTCCGCCGACGTCCACGCACTTGATGTTCTGATAGGCGATGCGATTATTCCTCATAAAATCTGGGCAAGATTTCATTCGAGTGAAACCCTTCACCTTCGTGACATCCGACGGGCATGGTTTCTCCAGGACTTTATTAGGGTTGGGGATGAAGAAAACACGACAGATACTGCAGTTCCAGTCCATCCACCACAATCGACAGAAGGCGAATACCCCGCTCTCCCGGATCGCATTCGCATTAACGGAGGCCCCTTGTTGAAATTGCTAGAAAAGGTCTTGGAGGTTGAGTTGCACAAAGAGAACTCCCCTCTGGTCTTGCTCAGGCCGTTCAAGCTTTTAGTGCAATATGAGCAGGATATCCGCAGTGTTCACACGCAGCTGAGAAAGAAATTTGAACCGACCGCGGTGGCAGAGCAGGCCATGACGTCGAGTCCTGATGAAAACCCGGAGAGCTCACAGAACTCAGATCAGACTGGGATCTCTCTCGACGCGGACGAAGTGAAGTTGTTAGAAGAGTATGGCTCTGAACAAGCCTACAAAGAGTTATGCTGCTTGATCGAATTTATGGATCGGGACCTCAGACCCCTCGGGGCACTGAGAAGTGGGTTTGTCGAGAAAGTTTACTATTCTGAGCTCTGGCATATATTCACGCCAGGTGAGGTGGTGATAACAAGACAAGAGCCCGTCCATGCCTATAGGGTGCTCTACGTAACTGGTGGTCGTCCATATCTGTGCCCGCCAACGCCCAAAGAGAACCAAAATGAAGAGGTCGGCTACCAAGTCCCACCTAAAGAGAGCGATTTTGTCGTGCTCTGCTATCAGGTGCATTACGATGGCGAAAAGTTTGGTCCAGTCACACAAAACTTTACGGTTACATCATATAACGGACGACGAAGCGTTCGAGACCTTCCCATATACCCTCTACGACTTGCAGAAGATCCCAGCATCAAGGAGAAACTTCTTTCCAACGGTCGAAAATACCTGCGTGTTTCGAAAGGCACACATTTACAATATAGGGGGCCAAATCTACACGAGGGCGAGGAAATCGACAGCCAGGTAGTGATTGATTTCAAGACTGCTATCTGGGATAGCCGTGACAAAGACCAAGACTGGAAGTACAAGACAGAGTTTGGAGTAAGCCCACCGAATAGCGCAAGTCGACCAGAGGTTGTGATGGTATCTGCGGGAGGCTGCCAAATTCCTGACTGTTGTGAAAATGATCGAGTCTTCAACGACCTCGACCTCGACCATCGTCGGATGGAGGAATTCGTGGCGAAGAATGCTTTATTGACAACTAATACTCGAAATCTCGACGATGATCCGGACAAGGTTCCAGAGGAAGATATCATCATCCTCCCAAGCAAGATATTTGCCTTTGTGCTCAAGGATCGAAAATGGGGTGAGCATTCTCAACACCACCGCGTTGATTGAAGCGAAACTAAGATAAATACAGCTGTCATCGATATCAACCATGTTGAGTTCGCAGATACCACAGACCAACCGAGGGATCGCGGGTGGAACTCTTTGGTCTTACCGCATAGTCACAAGAAAATGGTCTATTCCTTGGTTCAGGCTCATTTTCGTCATCGCAGTGAAGAAACACAAGAGCGATATTCGCACTCGGACCTTATTAGAGGAAAAGGTAACATTTTACAGCCTCTTATTGCGTTTTTGTTTTCTGCTCCAAACTCACATCTTTCGCAACTATAGGCAAGGGACTCATCATCCTCCTGCATGGTGCACCAGGAGTGGGAAAGACTTCAACCGCCGGTAAGAGCCAAAGAAATACCAAACCCCAGAAAGCAACCTTTTGACCTTTTTGACCTTGTTAATTGAATTTAGAATGTGTTGCCGAACTTTGTGACCTGCCCCTCTATCCCATCACTTGTGGTGACCTTGGCATTACCGCCAGTGAAGTGGAGTCTCGCCTGAAGTATATTTTCACGCAGGCGCAAAAGTGGAAATGCGTCCTCCTTTTAGATGAGGCAAGTAGTAGTTTCCTTCAAAGTTCGTTACGAAAGCCAACCAAGGAACTAATACAAGGAGCAGGCCGATGTTTTTCTCAGCCAGAGGGAAAACAATGTACAGCACAACAGCTTAGTATCAGGTAGGGCTTTCCCACATACTCATGCAAGCATCTCTCACTAATTGAAAATAGTCTTCCTCCGAGTTCTCGAATATTACCAAGGAATTCTCTTCCTCACTACTAACCGCGTGGGAAAGATAGACGAGGCTTTTCGCTCGCGCGTTCACATCAGCCTCTACTACCCACCACTCGACAAGAGAACCACCCTTAAAATTTTCGCTGAAAACATGAAACTTGCCGAAATGCGGGGCAAAGATGCAATAGTAGTTAAGAAAGACGATATTTCCAGATTCGCCAATAATCATTACAAGGAAAACGATCCGCAGCACCGATGGAATGGCCGCCAGATTCGGAACGCCTTCCACATCGCTGTTGCAATGGCCGAAGACCATGCAGCAGAGAAGAATCGAAAGGCAGCTGAGGAAGGCAAGCCAAAGGAGCACACACCCGTCCTGAAGGCATCATATTTCCGGCTCGTGGAAGAAGCCTCGACGAGGTTCGACGATTATCTTCACGAGGTCCATGGCATGGGCAAGCAAGATCTCGCAAAGCAGAATTCCACTCGTCGGGACGATTGGAATAGAGACAGAAGGGATCGAAAGTCCCGACCCAAAGGTGGCAACCGCCGGCGACAGGTAGAGTCATCTGAATCCTCAGTGACCGATTCGAGCGAGGCCGATACCTACCAATATAGCTCCACTGCAAGTAGTGAAGAGAGCAGTGAGAATTCCGAGGAAGAATACGCAGTCCAGGTCCAGTCGTCCTACAGCTCAGATGAGGAGCTATCAATGCGAGAGAAGCAAAGGCGATTGGATCGGAAGAAAGGTTCAAGCAACAAAGAGCGTAAGTCTGGCTCGGGAGAGGCTCGCAAAGATGGTACCCGGACCTCAAGAAAGGGTAGAGACAGTCGTCGTTCGTAGGGCCTCATTTTTCTGTAATTTTTACTTCGGTGAGGTTTACAAATACAAGCAAGGCAATACCTATGTTACTTCCAAGCGCCGTTCCACTCAAAGCTTGTATACTGTAACCCGTGAATAGAACCAAATACGGACAATCGCTTCGTTTGAATAACCTCCATCCGAAACGTGCTATTTGAACAGCTAAGATGAATGCCCCGTAGCTGCCTATAAGATTCCGGTTTTTTGTTCAGCTGAAAGTCTCACCTTGTGTATTACCCTCTTCCCCACGGTGGACGATAGACGTGAATTCCCCCAAACTCCTAAATCCTACTACAGGAAGCCTTTACCGCTTCTTCTACCGGCCTATACGCTCTACCCGAATATCCTAAAATCCTCTTACCTAGGTAGATATATAGCTTGTATCATATCATACCGATATATAACTATATAACTTACTATAAGCTTGTTAGTAAAGCGTTATCTATAGCCCTATTTAATAGTATTATATATAATAACGTAGGTGATTCAGGAAATAGCTATACGATTATAGGTCTTGAGATTAGTCTTGAGATTAGCTATGGGGTTATAGATTATAATAAATTTCAGCTTAAGTAATCTTATTAGTTGGCCGATTTAAATCTATCTTAATCCGTTTCTTGTAGTAAAATCGCTTTTCTCTAAGGGACATAGGAAATCTATACATTATATGGGATAAAGAATGGCTGAAATGGAGATTCTACCGGGTTGAGAGTCGCTAACTAAGAGTTTTGGGGAAGTCCCCTCTGTCGTCCGCCGTACTTCCCCTTGCCGACGATCTAAGAGCTAGCAACCTGTTGGCGGCGCAACTGTCAAATTTGAAATAATAGAAGTTGCTTCAATTCTACAAATCGCTTCTGTCCGTCCCTGACAGTAAACTGCTGCTTAAAGAATGTACATGGAATCAAGACTCCTGTCTCCCTCCATATGATTCGTAGTGGCCCCTTCAGCGAGAAGTTTCTCCTTTTTCATGTTTCTGAGCCTAAGAAGGTACCAGCTCGCGGTGTAAAGAAGCCCAGCAACGCATGTTAAGCCCGCAGAGACCGCATTGCCTTGAATATATCGAGGCTTTTGTGTGCTAGGGTATAGTTGGGATGATACCATCGAAGATATATCGGCCATGGTATATACCATGGGCATGGCAATCGCACGTTTGGAATCAGGCGCAAAGGTATTAGTTGCCCAGGTGACAGCAAGCGTAGAAATAGGATAGAGACCTAGATCAGGTGTTAGATAAGGGCTAATCCATAAGTTGACCAATCAGATATGTCTTGCACTTCCTTACCAACGACAAGAATAAACATTCCTGCGTAACCAGCACCGGGACTCGATGTCCCTACACAAATTAAGTAGCCTACCGCCACCGGAAGACAACAACCGATGATAAACATGCTTCGTTGTTTGAGCTTATCGGAAAAGTAAACCTGAGTCAAAAGAGAGATGGCACCCAAAACATAGACCGGGATGGTCAGGTAGTTAGCCTGAAGGGAGGTATATCTAATCCATAAGTCAGGGTTGAACTCGAGCTTCTCGTCATATATCCAGTTACTCACCCAAGGCCATTGATGATCGAAGGCAGGAAGACATTGAAGCCGTTGATTGCGACGGATGAAGTGAAGAAAGCTGTGCCCAGGAGATAGACAAAAGGATCCATCAGTGATTCCTTAGCCCACTTCCACTCGAACTTTGGTTCGCCTCGAAGAAAGTAGTCTCGCTTCCTCTTCAGACGCATGGTCTCTTTCTCTTCTTCGCTGAGATACCACGCCGTTTCCGCTGAATCTGGGATGAAGATCCATCCGATTCCACCAATGAAAATGGTAACGCAGAACTCGATGATAAATAACCATCTCCAAGCGGCAAGGCCTCTTCTGGTTCCCATAGTTTGAATCGCATAGGCAAAAAGACCACCAAAAGCGCCAGAAATGCATTGGGCTAGGTTGGTCGTCATGATACGCTTTCCTGCCTGTTCTTGGGGGTAAATCGTGGAGTAGACAAACGCAAATCCAGGAGACAAGCCACCTTCACATGCGCATAGAATCATCCGGACGGCGATGGCTTGGCCATATGTGTGGATGAAGGCGGTTCCGAGGGTACAGATACTCCATAGGAGAAATGCAGTGCCCAGTGCCTTCCTAGCCCCAAAGCGTCGAACGACTAAGGTCCAAGGGAGCTCGCCTGCGAAACTACAAAAGCTGGACAGAGTTTGGATGTTGTTGAATTGGTTGCCCACAAGGCCCAAGTCTTGGTCAAAGCCAAAGACTACTGCATTTCCAATCTAGTCAACCGTTAGAGATGAGGGAATTCTCTAGACACCGGGTATTTCTGCATACATTGTTTCGGTCCAGGGCGGAAAGGACTATGAATATAAGCGAGACAGGTACGAGGTATTTGTCGAATTTCCTTCGAGCAGCAGCCTCCTTCTCTGGATCAATGTAGATAGATGAGCCGGCCTCGTTGGACCGAGTATCGATTCCGACCTCGGTGTCAACGATCGTGGTCTTTGTGTCTTCTGTTTTCATGTCAAACTCCATCGAGGCGGCTTTGACTAGGGACAAATCTGCGGTAATGTGGTCTTAGTCGTGCTCAATCCAGTTGCGGTCCTAAAAGAAGATCTTCGTCAACGTCGTCGAGTCGCCTTACTATATATTTCATCTTTGGAGATACCAGATTAACCGGCAAGCTCGAGGTCTACGCGTAGAAAATAGGGCCGTTCGCTAAAAGGCCTCTGTGGTTGGCAAGATAAGGCCTCAACCATGATTTACTAGTCCTTTTTTTCCCTTTCGGAAGAAACCTAATTTGAACTGATACCTAATCTTAGGTCTCTTCTTAGTGATAAATGATATCGGACAAATCCGATCCGACGAGAGATATCTTATCGCAAGCACGCTGATACGCCGGGATGGCTAGCGAATAGCATCAATGCGAGGTTGGCCCCAGCGGCTTCTTCCGAAGTTTGCCTTTTCGTTATAACCCCCACGAGAGAACTCTGGTTATTCTCCCATATCCGTCATTGATCCTAGAGTCTAGATAGTCGCTAATGCAGTCGTCATTGCCTTCGGGTCAAAGGCTCGCGAAAGGAGCGACGGCATGTCTGAGGTGAGCCCCAGAAGGCGATGCGATGATTCGAAGCTAAGTGAAATTCTCGTAGATGTCGTCGGAGAAAGCAGAAGGTCGGTATTGTATTTTCCACTCCACTGGAAGTCTTGTTACTTTGTTGCTGATGATGCGGCGAGCAGTGTGATCTGAGGTTTCCGAGTTGCTCCAACTGCGAAGGAGCCGGCGCGCAGTGCCTGACTTATCACTCAAGGAAACATTACGAGGTAAGTGCATCGAATACTAGTTACGATCATACCGCACTGAACTGACATGTTTGGAGGTTCCTCGTAACTACGTATCGGAGCTAGAGACGGAGATTGAAAAGTTAACCCGGGAGAACCGAGAATTGCGAGCAAGAGCCCAGTCCGCTTCGGCCAATGGGGATATCACCACTCCTCGTGAACACTCATCTCCAGGCAGTGTTGGTCCTAGCAACCATCCAACAGGAAGCCCGGCCAAGTCTGATGCAAGTTCGAACCACGTGCAAGACTTGGTGAAGAGTGTCAGGGACATTGTGGTTGAGCCGTCAAGACAGCCACGATTCTTGGGACAAAGTGGCGGCATCACCCTCGCCAGATTGGTCATATCAGCAATCCGCGTCGACGCCTTGCCTTCTCCCCTTCTGAGTGAGCCACGCTCGTATGACCCTTCTTCGTCTTCAATGGCAGCGGAGGCTTCTCTTCCACCGCGTCATGCCGCAGATCATCTGGTGGATGTCTACTTCCAGTACCATACACCTCATCTACCTGTCGTGGAGCGTTCGAAGGTGGAGGAGGCTATAGAGAGCGCATACCAGGCCATGAGTGGCCAGCAGCTCCCAGACCGCGCCGTAGAAAGGGACATTTTCATATCTTTTATGGTTCTCGCCATCGCCCTCTGCGATGTTTCAAACCCATCTGGAGGTCGACCGAGTCAGAGTGAGGGATGCTTCAGGTCAGCCATGAGTTGGTACGAAAAGGTCGTCGTGAACTCGAAAAGTGATGCCGAGACCCTCCGCACTATCCTCCTTTTGGCTCAATTTATTGCATTGTGTCCTTCTCAGGGGAGTCTATGGCATTTGACTGGTATCGCTTTACGCCTATGCATTGACATAGGCTTGCATTGGGAAAGCGAAGATCAGACCGCGAATCTTGATCCAGCCATATTATACGACCGCCGGCGTTTATGGTACTCCACATACCAATTTGACCGTATTTTGTGCATCACGCTCGGTCGCCCTTTTGGTATTATCGACGAAAGTATACGTGTGCCACTTCCAAATCCATGGGCTGTCTATCGAGGGGCATCTGGCACCGAAGCCATCGAACTGGACATCCATAGCCAAAGAGCTCACAACCACCTGTTTACTTTATCGAAACTTGAGTCTGAGATAAGACATGTGCACCATAGCCAAACTTGGGCTCCGAAGATAGCTTATCCCAGAGCAAACTACGCGGCCTGGGTTCAGGACATCAAGCCTCGTCTTGAAGAATGGTACGCTACAATTCCGCAGACCAACAGGGCTCACCAATCATCCATATTCGCGTATCAAGCGTATTGGGATTATATCTACAACAATACAATTCTCCTGCTGTATCGGCCCAACTCAACAGGATTGCAAACGTCCCCAGAAGCAACAGTGCTCTCTTTCCACGCCTCTTGTCGACTAATTGAAAGTATCAAAACATTACAGCGAGAAGGGAAGATTGATATACTCTGGAAGTCCAGCCATGACCTGTTTATGGCTGGCTTGGGAGTTATATATAGTCTTTGGCAGTCGAGAGCAGTGCGAGAGCGGAATTCTATCGGGAGTAGCATCTCTATATTACAATCCTGCGCCTCAACACTCTCTGCACTAGCTGAGAGCTTTCCAGGAGTTGCAGGTTGTCGTGACACCTTCGATACCCTTTCGTCAGCAACAGTTAACTGGCTAGTCGACGAGAACGCTGTGGAACAACAACATGGCCGTCAGCAGTTCGAGAAACAAGCAGAGAATCTTTTGCAGCAGCTGCAGCCATCTCGTAGAGCAAATGAGAATACCGGCATAGAAATTCCAGGCATTTTTTCTGCTGATAGCTTTTTATTTAGCGAGATGCTCAGCAGTGCTGCTCAATGGCCTGACCCCGAGGACAGAGGGCTTAGTGACATGAGCTCTGACCCCATGGCAAGAGGGGAGTCTCATATGTTCTTCTAATACTTCTTGGGCTAGTGACTCATCTCAATGAGAGGCCGTGGATCTCACAAATATTTACCCAAAAGTATTGTACACCCTCGGCGGCTCAATGCTTTTTTTTGTCCAACAATAACTTCACAACGATTAAACGACTAATTCCACCATCCACCTAAACCGGTTCTAGGTAACCAGAAAATTTAGACTATTCCTTCCATTACGGTCATATAGCCCAGTAGGATTGAAGTTAGAGACTTGGAATGACAGCGGTTGTCAAGATTGCTATCGTGTCTGTAGTTGAGTTATGTGCTATGAAGTAAAGTGAATTGCTTTATCTAGATGAAGTCACATGGCAATTTCATCCCAATTAACATATACTCTCCCATCGCAATCAATGTTTTAGTATTCTGGGTCATAATGAATTCCAACAGGCACATCACAATTCGGTCTGCTGCACGGCTTCCACTGCTGTCGTACTTATTGAGGACTTAGTCAAAGCCTGCGCGGCGGCTGAGGGTCCGTTGTTGATAAGGTCCTCATAAATGATTGGCTCTGTGATGAGGCGTGCATCACGCAGCCCTAGCTGCCAGCGTTCGTAACCATGGCGAGGCACAGAAGTGGTTGTCCACATCCCGCTCTGACGGAACTCGTTGGTAACGGTCACAAGGACGTCGACTGGAACATCTGGAAAAAGCTCGGCGAGCTCGTCCTGGAAAGATTCTGCCTCGTGCTCAAGAACCCAGTCTATCCCATTCTGAAGGGCAATGCAGAATCGCTTCTGTGCCTCGAGAATTTCTGGAGTGATTGTTGCAGTTTCCCGGTAATAAACGCTCCAAGGGATGTCTCCTTGAGTGACCATCTGCATTGCAATAGTCACGTCAGGATTACGCGCAACCATGACCTGGGCAGAAAGATTGTCTGTGACAAAATAATCGCCCATGCCGCCTTGGAACAAGTCACCCAGCATGACACCGTCTAGATCTTGGATGTAGTCAACAGATCTTGCATCGATGCCGTTCTCGCGAAGTAGCATCTTGAAGAAGAGGCCAACACTGGCCCCGCCACCGGACTTCATCAGGACAGTACGCCCAGCCACGTCGGCCAGCTTGAAACTTTTGTCGCTAGTACGTCGGATCAAGGCGAGAGGCGACCGATTCGCAACCTGCGCGAATACGGTGTAGTTCTGTACTCTTTCGCGGTACATCGACGGCACCCAGATTCCACCCAAGCACATCATTGCAGAACCGTCGGCGAGCGCGTTGAGTACTCCATCCCAGGGTGTAGGAATGCTGACTGTTACATCGAGTCCCTGTTTCCGGAAGAAGCCATGTCGAAGGGCGATATATTCCGGGAGATAGTTGAGGTTATAGCCAGTGGCGGTAAGGTGAAAGGGCTGCATGTTTAGCCTCTTTAAGTGTTGCGCGACAGATCTGGATAGGAAGTGCAGCCCAGACCGGGGTATATTATGTAGAAAACAGGTAACACAGAGCTTTGGCGGTGCGCGGCGAGGAACCGTGGACCAAAAAGTGAAGTCTTGAAATAGTCAAAGTTTGCTGCTGGACTTTTTTTGAGAAACAACTTCACTTAAATATTCGATTCCTGCATTTCAGAACTAGTATCATTGAAGAGTCTTTATCAGCGAAACTTCTCGATGCCGACTTTCCAAAATTTTCGGAGAACCCCGACGGTCCATCTTGGAGAATCCCGATTTCCCCAGTAGCCCCGATAACTTTCGGGCTGCGAAGCAATCTTTCTCATATATACCAATCAGTTCTGATTCCATTCGGAAGAACCTCACATTCTCCTATAATATGCCGTATTCTATTCTTCATTCTCCATGCTTCATTCAAATTTTGCGAATTCTCCTTACACAAGGCTTTAATCGATCTCAAATTGTCGATGCAAGCTATACAATGGTTACAATACAGCCGAAGGCAATGGATACATTAAATAATAGAGCTTCGAGCGTAAATTATACAGATAATGCTAGTCATGAAGCCTTCTCATCTTATGTGGTCATTGAAAATGATAGACTTTTACCACTCTAAGGGCATTTTTGTGCAAATTTGAGCTTACATAAAATCTTGTTACTCTGGCTGAGCCTTGCCCAGGGTTACTCACCTAAATCCACGGAATTATTTGCAGGAATACGACTCGAAAATGACAGCCATGAACTAAAATTAGAATAGTTGGGGGATCATGGATCCGATCCTACATGTCTGCCTCGGAGTGGTCATCATGCTAGGTCGGCACGACGGCTGGGGTATGATCCGGCGTTAATGACTTGTGAACCTTTGAGAGCTATGGTATCAAGCTTGAAAGTCACTTTCCACGAAGCATAGGCAAAGTCTATTCGCACTCGACCTAATGGTTGGCTCAGCTACAGAAGTTGTACATCCAGCTCTCCAGAAGCAATTCTGGCCTCCTAATATTAACTTCTAAACAATCTTGGTGATATTGCCAACAAGTATTCCATACATGGAACCTTGGCAATCAACGATGGATAATATCCCGATGATGGGAACTTAGCGTTCACGGCAGTTATTTCAGTGACGAACTTATGCCAAAGCACGAGCCTTCGCTCGTCGATCACGCATCTCAGCCGCACAGGCATCTGTGTTGTAGATGCTGTTTACAGATGGATGCTCCATGGTGGCCCGAGCCCACGCGTAGAAATTCGGCGCGCTTTCTTCCAGATTCGCTATCATGGATTTTGGCAGTGGTGCATTTTCAGTGAAGGGCAGTGTGAAAATGCGTATGATAAACGAGGCCGTCAAAACCTAGAAATTGTCTCAATCGCTCTGAATCTCAAGTGCCATTGTAATAGGAACGAAGCCAACATCTTCAAAGTAATTATAGTATACTTACCTCGGCCATAGTCAGCTTAGTGCTGCCGTTGAAGAACGGTTCCGCGTCCTGCAAGAGAGGCTCAACGTCTGTAACGATGGCATCAGAATAACGCTTGCCCAGGTCCTCGGCATCTTCATCAGTTTTGGCTTCTATCGCCCGATAGTAGTAGATGTTGGCTTTTGAAAAATAAGTTTCGACAAAGAAAGCGATTCTCTCACGCACGAGGGCTCCTTGGGCTTCTCCAGTCCGCGGAATCAAGTGCGTCGATGCCACTGAATCGGCCAGAAACTGCGCGATGATAGACGACTCAATGATGATGTGGCCGTTGTATATCATTGTGGGTACCCTTCCACTAGGATTGATTTTGAGATACTCAGGCGTCCTTGGCTTGCTGTAGTCGATAATCTTCTCCTCGAACGGAAGAGCCAATTCCGCCAACGCAATATGAACACGATGCGCCCCTGATTGACTTTGTCAGCACTTTGTAGTATAAAAGCGACCATTCCGTCAAGGACCTGGAGAACATACATGGACAGTTTCGGTTGGTATAGAGTATGACCGAAGCGGTAGCCATAGTTAATGTTGTCGGTCTTGGTGGCTAACAAACTATCAGGTAAGAGTTCAAGGTTGACTTCAATGGCGGTTGAGGGTAGCTCATATAGTCAATTGTGAGAGACACAGATTTGGAGCTTGAAGTTGAGATTCTGTTTAAATGGAGAAATAGAGTAGTCACGGTTCCCGGACTGATTCCCTCAAATCTGAGTATCTAGGATCACATCGGGTTTCTCCGAAAATGTTACTATCTATCAGCAGAATCATCCCCGAATTTTATCGGCAACTTCCGATCGAACTTTTCATCTCGTTTTCTGTTTGAGGAAGGTTCTTTTACGGCGAATTGCGGCTTGATATCGATTTATTGCCCCACGGATTTTAGTTATGCTGTATGCGCTACATAGCAGGGATTCCCTGGCAAGGAAATGCAACATGTTGGTGTCCACGTTATAGTGGTAGCCTGGACTAGAGACTAAGAACACACACCTAGGCCAAGTCGACAGTGGAGCCAGTCTCGCCGTTTGGCTAATGCTGGGTCTGAGTTCGATGGTATATATGAGTATAAAGATATCACAGCTTCAGCCAGGCCAAGGAGAACCAACAACCAAAGCTGGATCTAAGCCTAGGTGAGAGAAAGGCCAGCGCGGTGATCACCCGACAGAGGGTAAGAGCCACCCGCTCTCCCCCGGCTTCTTACTCTATTTACTGTATTGCGCACTCAGCGCTCTGTGCACTGTAGTTAGGAGTCTTAAGGCATACACTTTGCTTTTAGCAAGTAATCAGCATATATACGACTATTGGGTGTGGAGAATAGGGCGTCTAGTCGATGTCTAACTTGACTAGTAATAAGGCATTTATGACTATACTATTTCTATAGTCCCTTTCCATTATATGCTCCAATATTGGGCCTCACCGTTGATGACACCTTGTTATTCCAAAAGTCCCGGCCGCCATTATCAACAATGATGTTGCCTTGGTGCAAAGCAGGGCTCCCAGAACGCAGCTGATAGCCATTGACTGAGTTGAGATTGTCCTGGCCAGTACCCGGGTTTATAAATTCCGGATTCCCTGTGTTCCCAGCTGTATTCACCGGCATGTTCACCGTTTGGAACAGATTCGCGTGCCACTCGATTGAGCTTCCGCTGGGCAATGTCGAGTTTGCTGTTCCAACCCAAATGTTATTGGACAAGTTGGTATGAGGTGGCACTGCGATCTCAAACTCTTTGTCAGGGCAGTAGATGACATTATTGTAAAAGTTCAGTTGCACTCCATCTCCGTTGCTGTACATCCGGCAATCGTTCTGAAAGATGTTGTATCGGACAATCTGCGTGGCACCACCGGGCGTTCCACAGCCATCACAATTCAGGAAGATGCCGCCTGCATTATCATGACTGTAATTGTATTCGACAGTACAGGTACCCTCGTTGCCCCAGTCACAGTCAAATGCCTCACTATCAACGTCTGACATCAGTGTGTTGTGGACAACGTTGAATCGCATAACAGCATCCTGGCACCCGAGCACCCAGATTCCTGCAAAGTTACCACCCGTATATGGATAGGTTCCGTGACCGAGGAATCCACAGACGTTGTTCTCGATGAGCGGTGCTGCTCCGTAGGAGACAACAATACCATCACCTCCAGCGTAAGATATATTATTGCCCCAAATGTGCGCACCTTCTCCCCGGTTGTTCATCTGGCCAACACGGACTTTGATGCCGCCACCACCACAGTCATGGACTGTATTGCCGTAGATTTGCACGTCATCATAGCGACTAGCGTTCTCTGTGCCGTTCACAAGAATGCCAGCAGAGGCGATGAATGCGCTCGACTGAGTTGCCTTGTTTGTTTCACCGGCGACATTGTAAACCGTGACATCGTGAATATAAAGACCGTGGTGAACAGTGCCATCGTCTGCAGTCGCCGCGATTCCGCGCCGCCAGCCTATCGCTGGAGCAGGATTAATGACTGCAATGTTGCTTATGTCCCAATAATCCTGGTTCATCAGCCTAACAGCTTCTGCGGCCCCAGAACCGTTGATGATGGGCAGAGGACCGTGTCCATAGCTGGTCAGGGTGATAGGGTGGCCCTGCACACCACTGCCCTGTGGCGATAGAGTTCCTGTGCATGTCGTTCCAGCTTTGATGTTTAAATAGTCTCCGGCGTGTAAGATGACTCCGTTGACTTGCGCCAAGGAGTTGAACGGGTTGGACTTGGTGCCGTCACTCTTTGCTGTTGAGCTGCAATCGAGGTAAACGTCGCTTCCGAGAGAGAGCTGAATAAGGCCAGATAGAATTGCAGTGGCAGCGCCATAACGAAGAGCTCGAAGCGCCATTGCGATCAGACAGATATGTCTCTAGAGTATTGCGAGGTGTATCAATAGAGATTATGAACCTACTTCGCAGCGATACTCTGCATTAAATACAAACTCTGGCCCTTGGTGGGGAGATGTTACCCCATTTTTGAAACATTATAATACATTAAAGATTATAGAAGCGGATGATACTAGCCCCACTGGGTGGTTCCACTGACAAGTGCCGACGGGTCGGTCTGTTCATTGTGCCGGGTTACTGTGACCGGTCGAATGCTTCCTCCGCAACTCCTACGGCGGACGATAGAGGGGACTTCCCCAAGACCCTTAGTTAGCGATTTTCAAACCGGCAGAATTTCGATTTCAGCTATTCTTTATCCCATATAATCCTATATCCCCTATAGAAAAGCGATTTTACTATAGGCAACCGATTAAAATAGATTTAAATCAACCAACTAATAAGACTACTTAAGCTGAAATTTAAATATAATCTATAATCTCATAGCTAATCTCAAGACCAATCTCATGCTTTTTCTGAAGATCTTTCTATGCAGCATTGCATTGACAATCATAGCAATATATGGAGCTACTTTAAGCACAATAACCGCTATTACACCCTCGAAATGGAGAGCATCTTATCGTAGCATTCTCAGCTCTACTAGTCTCACAAACCAAGGCACTCGTATAGGTACAAAAAAACGTTTAGCAAAAGTTTATTTATCGTACTATATCAAACCAAACCCATATCCAGCAACCGATTCCCGAGTTCTAAAAAGTAGTAGTCCGCATAAACCAAACCATGATCCCAGTCTCGATCCGGATGGTTCTCGTTGAAGTTTGCAGTCGATCTTTCCAAAATCGCATCAAATCGACGACCATTAGCTCCCCCGGAAGGACCAACTCTGATCTTCCCACTCTCCTCATCAAATTTTAATCGCATTTCATCACGGTTATAGGCCAATGCAACAGTATCCTTTGCAATGGCCATTGCATGGTCCAAATAACGACCGGCAGACTCATATTCCCCAATCCCCATGAGCTGCCCATACAGAACAACCATTCCATTGGCAGCAATCATCCCAGCAGACACATCTCTCAATGGAACTTGTGCGCCATTGACAGTAGTGTACGTGATCGGTGCGTCAAAGTCCCACAGAGGCACGTATTGCCCATACCCTCCTGCCTCAACAACCTTGGCTGAAGATTCCACGCGGTAAGTAAAATAATCTGCCAGGCCCATCGCAGCGTCTAGGAATTTCCGCTTCTTCGTCCAGGAATATGTTTGGGCGTAGCCTAGAATTGCCCACGCTTGTCCCCGTGCCCATGTTGAGCTGTCCGAGTAACCCTGAGCAGTGAGCTTTCTTTTGACGGCGCCGTTTTTGGCTGGGGAGAAATTCGCTGCGTGATAGGTTGAATAGTATGTTCCTTTATTTGGTACGATTTCTTTGCGAAGATGTGTAGAAAGAAGGGTGGTAGCGTGTGTGGAAGCGATAGAAACGAGACGGGATGATCGCGTGTAGTTGCCGGCATAGAAGAGGAGATCAAGGTCTGAAATCGCAAATTAGTCCGAATAATGGTATCATATCGCCATATAGAGTTATCACTTACTACACAAGCTGTCGATGATCACAATGAAGTCATCTTCCGTGCTTGTAATGTTATGGTGCGCATTCGCGAAGCTGTCCCAGCTGCGGATGGCTCCAACTCGCTGATCATACCTGCTGGCAAGACTTTCAGCTGCAGAAAGGAGAGATTTCAAGCTCTCCTGCTGGCCAAAGAGCTCCCAGTCTCTTCGAAGAGCAGGCTGAATAATGAATCCAAGATCATGGGTGTCCTTCCGAGCCGACATAGGGTGTAAGGGTGCCGACCATTTGTGACAAAGATCCGTAAGATGGGAAAGCAGACGCTCATGGAAATTTTGGGGTACTAGCGAGTCCGAAGAGATCCCAAGCAAGCATAGTTTGGGGTGCTTTCTCAGTCTTTCCAGAAGGCAGTAAAGACTGCCTGGGAAGAACCCACACGTCCAGAACTCAGCATCCCTGCATTTGTATATTCCCTGATTCGGACCAGACTGGGGGACTGTTTCAGGAAACTGAATTGGAGGGTTCTGAGAAAGTACATGTCAGATGGCACTGAATGAACGCGATACAGTACTACATACGTTATTCTCCAGATACGCTTCGGCAGCACCTAGAAGTTTTGCAAGGATGTTCTCCTGGAATAATGGCGCAAGATTCGACCGTATTGGTGTCGTATTGCTTGTGTCAAGCGAAGCCACCGTTTCGATAACAACTTCTTTAACAAGCTTCTGGTCGATCGGAGGCGACACGCCTAGGATTTCAGGCGCCATGATAGCGAGCGAAACGGGAATAGAAGCGAATATTGCCGATAAATAACTGAAAGAAGTGCATTAAATTTAAATACCCCTCTGGAAAATGGGGATTTAAACCCAAGAAAGCTTTAGTCCAGGATGGAAGGCGGGCAATCGTGCCTCTGTCATCAAGCTGGCTCTCGGGTGGATCCCTCGCCCGACGTCCGAGCAGGCAACGATACATACCATGAGAGAATGACTGTGCCAAGAGTCAATATTGTGGGACTGCGTAGCAAGACTGTAATCAGCCTCAAATATTTAACCTATCTCTACATGGCTAGGGGATGGTCCTACATTGGCACGGTTGAAAGGGACGATTGGAGACCGCACGCAGAAACGTTGATTTTAATATATTATCCATCATCGCATGAAAGAGTCCTGGAAACTGATAATCCGGTCCATATCCATATATTGCGGGTCCGATAAAAAATTAGACAGTTGAACAAAACCATCTAGATTATCCGCTAGGTGTGGAGTAGAATGGGTGGCTGGGAATAGGTTGTTAAGCACCATATCCGCTCCTGCGTGTGAATGAGGAGCGGACAGGCCGCCTGGAGACGGTATTGAGGGATGAAGGTCGCCTCTTATTCTAGCATTCTGCAGGGATCCCGAGGACGGTGTGTGCAGCCTATGTATATCAAGGTTAGCGGGCGAAGGCGCCGAAAGAATGACGGCCTTACGTATGACTGGTGGGACTTGGCTGGTTGGATTCACGTCTCAGTCGACTGGTACTGATATAATGAGACTGTTTCTCGGTCACTGGTATTATGCTATGTCGTTGTTGGGCGCGACGCTCCTCAATCCACTGGCTCTCGCCGGGACTGGAGACCGGCGCTTGGATTCCAAGAGCAAAATTCACCTCTGCAACATAGCCTGACGCGGCTACATTAAAAGATGGAAATCTACATTTTTCTTGGAGATTCTGAAGCTGTGAAAGAAGACCTTCAGAAAAATTTGTTGACCCAGCGTTTAATTTCAACCCGGGGTTCATCGAGATCCAACGATCCGACATTTGCTGGAGGCTGGATAAGAGGATTTTATAAGAGTCGGGGATGGGGGCACGATGGATGTGTGAATGTACTGATAACCCCAAGGTCAGTTAAGGCTGACAGAACTGCTAAGAAAGAACTCACCGATCATGACACGGGCGCTAATGAATGCACAGAAAGCAAACTGTGCGTTAACTAAGCCGACAAATGGTGTATATTGTAAATACTTTCGGACAATGTTGGCAGTCTCTGATGCGGCGAGTTGGCAGGTTTCAGCACTTCCAGAGCTTGCTGATCTCAATTTATCCAGGATCGTGACATGTGGATATGCGATGCTTTGATGTAAGAGGATCATGGAGGTATTATGAGTGATATGTGCAAGGGTAAGATTTGGGTCCATATGCACAAACGCGGGCTCCTTGGATATATTAGAGTCTTTCCATCTCCGGGGGAGAAACATCTTCCAGCTGGGGCATCATCATGATTAGTTAACTGGTGATAGGAGTTTCAAACTAGCTTATTGTAAAACGTACTGAATAAGCTGGAGATCCAACTCCTTGAATCGCGTTAGCCAAGCACTGAATTGCTGCCTACTTTCAAAGTTGACAGGTCGTTGAAGGAAGAATTTGACGACGCGATTGAGGGACTCGGTGGCTTCAATGCAGTATGCAAATGAGCCTATAGTGGAAACATCCACTGTGGGATTTTTGGGCGCCTGGGCAACAGGGGAGACACGTTCGGATGTCGGGGCTGTAACAGCAGCTTCTTTATCTCGGTCTGCGAGAGAGGAGAAATGGCTAGGAAGAAAAGAAACAGACTTTCCTATCTTAGCCATAGAAGCATCCCAAATATTAAAGAACGGGGTAGTCACTGGCTCTTCTTTAGCCCAGTATAAGCCATCGCTAGGTAGTCGAACTTGGATATCCTCGCTTGACAGGTTTATGTTCCAGCTAATCTCTCACAACCTCATTTTAAGTGTGTGTCTCAAACGTTGTAGCAGACTTGACGTACCCTGTGATGGTTGAGCAGAATCTGAGAGCAGCTGAGTGTTAAAACTTTTCATTCAACTTGGAGGAGCTTCTTACCTATCAAGGAGGAAAACGTTCCAAAATACGCGTCGCCGTTCTTCCACTTCGGTCCACACCCGGGCTTGTGGCAGACAACCCAACGGCTTGAGGCAGAGTTCCCCCGGGTAATCTTCTTCCGGTTCCTTGTGTAGGCCCAAGTAGACGACAGCTCGAGTGAGGGTTCCTATTATCGGCCATGCCTTGTTGGCGTTCCCATCACCAACATGTACGAAGGCCACCATGATCAGAGCTTGGACGTTCTCTACAGAAAGATCATCCATCCCCGCTAAAAGGACAAAATCCCGAGACCTCTGCAGAGCGTCCGGGTGTAGTCCTAGCCATTCTCCCGCGAGCCGCTCATGTGCGACATACCGTAAGGCGCAGACCATCATAGCATGGAGCACAATGATAAGCTTAGGCCTCTCAGTTGGATCCCGTAGGCGAGATCGGAAGAGCAGTTCATGAATAATTGGAAGGAATGGATGAACCACGGAGAAGTAAGCGTCAATGATGGCGTTGATAAGATCATCTGGAGGGAGCTGAGCTGACGAGGCGCTGCATTCTCGACCTTCGGGCTCCGGACATCTTCTCTTATGGGATGGCTGGCAATCTGCTGCGGTCACGACAGGGTCCCTTGCTGGGGGGTATCATCCACTTCTATAGGATGATCTATAGTCCGTTGGTGACGCTGATCAGGGAGTGGATGGTTATCGCGCCACTCCTCCATCAAGGAAAAGACCAAGTTTCTTATTGAATTTGCATTGTAGCCCAAGTTTGATGGGCTTGAAACGCTGCCCGTGAGTTGTTGCTGGCCTCTTACAGCCTCTAACTGAGCTTCTAGTGTTTCTAACACATGGTCTGTATTAGCTCTATCCCATATAATATTAAGGGGGTCCACGATACTAATAGATTACATACCTACCCGCTGAGTTAGGGTCTGGATTATGCCAACCTTCACCCCTGGTTTGTTCCGAGTGTAGTCATAGTGGCAGTCGATTCCTGAAACAAGTTTAGTGCTTGAGTATCGCTAAGGCGAAAAAGTGGAGATCACCAAGACGTGTGCAGCGATTGCAAGATGGGAGCTCCCTTGAGCAGCGCAGCTTTCGGCTTCGACATGACTGGCAAGCGGGTGTTTCTGGATCGGCGTGCTGTGTTGTGTCCTCTCGGGCGTCGGAGGGTTCCATGTTGCGAAAAACTGTTCAGAATTCGGGTATCGGGGGAATGTAGGTTTTTGAGAACACGGGAAAAGCCGAATAATACGAGGGCCTGAGCTAAGACGCCACAGTTTTGTGGAGCGCATGTACCTTCGCGATTAGTATGGACAGGGTCCCGAATCGAAACAAACTGTGGGGAACTATGGGGAACCACGATGTTACTCTGCCATTTTCTCGGGGTAAGCAATCCCCCGAGCCTAGGCTTTACCCCTCCCATTGTTATCACGTCGCTAAGAGCTCAAGCGTACGGGCTTTTTGGGTCTATGGTCGTCCGAATAGCAAAATGTGGCTTGTTGGCATACAATCGGGATCGTAATGAGAGCACAACTACTCCGAGTCAAAAGTTATTCGAGGCTTAACTCCCAGCATTTATCAGCTAAGTCAGCAGATCAGCACGCTATCCAGTCACTGAAGAATGCCACCTCTTCGTGGATTTTCGGACAACAAGTTTCAGGATCGCAATGATGCCCTGACTGCGACCAAAGCCCTCATTCGGGCGCTTGTGCCCTACTTCTCTCCGGGGAAGGCCCGCGTCCAACTGCCTGTCTACTCAGGTGCACATTTTGACGAAACTGCGGCGCAACTTGAAGGCTTCGCACGGCCAATCTGGGCAGTAGCTACCGCCGTAGCCGAGTCATCAAATATCATCGACCCGGAAGTCACCAATTATGTTCAGCAGTTGATGGAAGGCCTTGCCAATGGACTTGATCCGGCTCATCCTGAGTACTGGGGAGCTATAGGAGATTGGGACCAACGCATGGTTGAAGCGGAGCCAATCTCATTTGCGCTTTTGATAGGACCCAAACTTTTCTATGAGCCGCTCTCGAAAGAGAGTCGCATGCACCTAGTCAAATGGCTATCTGGTCTCAATGGGAAAGTAATGCCTGAGAATAATTGGCGCTGGTTCCGCATCTTTTCAAATCTTGCTCTAAGTCGCGTATGTGGCGTTCCGCATGAAGATGTCAAGGATTATATCGAGACCGACTTTTCCATGCTTGATCGATTCGATATAGGGAATGGATGGTCCGCGGATGGGATCTGGAGGAAAGACATTCGGGAGGGAGAAGAGAGATACGGTCGCCAGGCAGACTATTACTCGGGAAGCTTTGCGATCCAGTTCAGCCAGTTGCTGTATTGTATCATCGCGGAGAAGTCCGACCCTGATCGAGTGGCACGCTACAAATACCAGGCGAGAGAGTTTGCCAGTCAATATTGGAGGTACTTCGACGAGGATGGTGCTTCCATCCCATTTGGGAGATCATTGACCTACCGATTTGCCATGGGTGCATTCTACGCAGCCTTTGCTCTTGCCAAATGCTATGATGAAACAAACCGCTACACATCCGCCGGCTTCGTGAAAGGCATGCTCTTCCGGCATCTCAGATGGTGGGCAAAGAATTCGTCGCACATGTTTGCAGTTGACGGGACCTTGACGATAGGGTATCTGTACCCGAATATGTTCATGTGCGAGGATTACAACTCTCCTCAGTCACCGTACTGGGCAATGAAGTCTTTGGTCATTCTGTCACTAGAGGAAGACGATGAGTTCTGGACTGCGGCTGAAATCCCCCACCCGTTGTCCTCAATCTCCATTGGCAGCGAGCCCGTCTCCGGAGTAGAGTTTCTGCCTGCGCCATCTCAGATCCTGTGTGACCATCCGAAAGGTCAGCATCACTTTATGCTCTCTGGTGGCCAATTCTGCGTGTGGCCCCTGAAAGCAACACAGGCAAAGTATAGCAAATTTGCCTACTCATCGGCATTTGGGTTCAGTGTCCCTACAGGCGGTCTATTGGCCCAACTTGCCCCCGACAATACGCTTGCTATTAGCCGGGATGATGGCAATACATGGGCTACAAGATGGGAGACCGTTGGCGGTCCCCGTGTGCTACCGATCACCTTTGCCGATACGAAAATACAGTGTCTCCAGTGCACTTGGAAGCCTTGGAAAACCGAGGAAACGGAAATCGAGACAACGCTCATACCGCCATGTGACACATGGCCTGACTGGCATGTCAGAATCCACCGCATTTGGAACCGGCGCAAAGATTCTTCCGTTTCAGAAAAGTTCACTATTGTTGAAGGAGGATTTGCAATTCAAGCGAAAGAACCACGACTGATGGGCGAGTTGGATCAAAACTGGGGAGGAGCATCCCCTCATGGATGGACTCTGGAAACCAGTACTGGCTCATTAATACTCAGCAGCGCTGGCGTGAGTGGTCTGAAGAGTATCATTGACACAGATACCATAGCTGAAGGCAAGGTATTGAAGTCGGATCCAAACACGAATCTAATGGAACCGAAAGCATTGATCCCGACAATCCAGCATAACGTCGAGATACAACCAGGGGAAAAGGCGGTGATAGCCACATCTGTTTTTGCTATTGCAAACGGAAAGAAACATTTTACCCACGAGGAAATGTTTCAAAGATGGTGCCAGCAGCCTCGTTTGGGAGAAGTGTTAAGTGAGATATAGTAGATGGAAACAGCTTTTTTACAGAAGGACAGAAATCCGTATTTCAAGCATATTGACCATTCGTTATTTTAGCAATTAAAAGTACACTGATCGTTCACTTTTTCCCCGTGGGCTTTTGCATATAAGATATCCATAGTTATTACTTTGTATTTTAAAGATGGCAGCATAGTGAAGTGGACGATAAGCGCCAATTGCTCAGAACTAATTTTCTCAGGCAGAAAATCCGGCAAAATTCACATGACCTATAAAAGATAAAAGACAAGAGAAAAGAGAAGGAAGGGGATAGTCAAATCGGTACTACATTAATAGCGTCACCCTGGCCTAAAGAAGAAGGCATCAAGGCAAAGTCGACAATTATGGGTTTTGAGCAACTGGCGTTTATCGTCCGCCTCGACCAAGCTGATGATGCAAGCCGCACGTTGATTGAAATATAAAGAAGCTTTAACAATAGTTCGCTTTGAACCTAATTGGAGGAAATATCCTGCCCAGAGTACATAGTAAATTTTCAATTAGCAAGGGTTCCCCCACATTTTGGCCAGAGGGTGATGTCGGAGGGATCGTTCGCCCGAGCAGCGGAGCTTTCCCCGCCCCGTAGCTACAGTAGCTACGGGTTGAGATTTAGTTGAGAAACGTGGTTTACGGGCCCACCCCTTGATGGCCCACGCTAAAGACTCATGCGGGTTCCCCGGATTGATTGTCGGTACGGTCGACCGAGAATGGAATAAATAGAGGCTGCTCAAGGCTTGCTCCCACGAGTTGGAGATTCCTAGCCAGTCCAAGGATCACTCGAACCCGCCGTTCCTGAATTGTTATCCTCAAGTGCCACGATGGGTTCCTTGCAATCCCCAGATAAAGAGGCCCAGTTCTCAAAGGAGCCATTTGAAAAGATCTCGAGCCATGACGAAGGGCTTCCAACACGACAGGCCTTACTCGAGGCCCTCAAGGCAGAGAAGCCCTCCCCTTGGTCGCCAAACCTGAGGAAACTATACGTCTTCTGCGTAATCGCGTTTCTTTGCTCGTCGATGAATGGCGAGTACACAACAGCTCAAATACAGAAAGAGATTATCAACTAACACTTGTTTAGGATATGATGGGTCTATCTTCGGATCTCTTCCTGCGCTGGATTCCTTCAGAAAACAGTTTGGAGTTCAGAAAAACGGTGCCAAAATTGGTTACATCTCGGCAATGTACACAGTTGGAGCAATCTGCTCATTGCCATTCAGTGGACCGGCCTGCGATATTCGTGGCAGGAAATGGGGAACCTTCATCGGTTGTGTTATTGTCGTCGCTTGCACTTTTGTTTCCGCCACAGCCCGAGGTGTACCGCAATTCGTTGCTGGTCGATTCTTCCTGGGCTTCGGAGTCAACATTATTCGATCTACAAGCTCTATTTGGTGTGCGGAGGTCTGCCCACCTGCTTACCGTGGAATCATCATGGCGTTTTATAACTGCACATACGCCGTCGGCTCCCTCATTGCTGCTGGCGTGACCAGAGGATCTGCTGGGTATGAAGGCAACAAGTCGTGGCAGATTCCGTTGTGGTGCCAAATGATATGTCCGGGAATTGTCCTGTTGACCGTCCTTTTCTTCCCCGAGTCCCCTCGATGGCTATTCTCACACGGCAAAGAGGAACAAGCCTGGGAATTCTTGGCTTACTACCACGGAGAAGGAAACCGTGATCACCCGTTGGTGCAATTGCAACTACAAGAGTATAGGGAATTTATCTCGCTTTCCGGCTCGGATAAGCGCTGGTGGGACTTTAGCGACTTCTACAAAACCAAGGCAGGGAGGTGGCGATTCATCAATGCTCTCATTACAGGAATATGGGGACAATGTAGTGGAAACGCAATAGTATCGTACTATTTGCCTGCAATGCTCCTCACCACCGGCATCACCGAGTCGGAGCAAGTGTTGAATGTCAATCTAGGCTATACCGTGGTCTCCACAGTGGCTTCATACTTGGGTGCTAGCCAGATTGAGAGAATGGGCCGTCGTCCAACCATCATTTGGACAGCAGTCGCCTGTTCGATATGCTTCGCATGCCTTACAATCGGCTCTGGGTTGTACGCTCACACTCATGCTCCTCCAGCGGCTTCCGCTGGTATTGCATTCATCTTCATCTTCGGATTCTGCTACAACTTTGGAATGACACCGCTACAGGCGTTATACCCAGTCGAAGCCTTGTCCTACGAAACTCGCGGCAAGGGCGTTGGTCTTACATTCTCCATCGCCCATGGATTCACGCTTCTCAACCAGTTTTGCTTCCCTGTGGCCCTCCAAAGGATTGGCTGGTATACTTATATCGTCTTCATCGTTTGGGATCTCTTTGAAGCCACCGTGAGCTACTTCATTTCAGTCGAAACTAAAAATCACACCTTGGAGGAATTGTCGGAGATTTTCGAGAGCCCAAACCCAGTCAAGGCTTCCCTGCAAAAACCGCTTGACTGAGTCGGCAATTTACCCATTTGGAGTTTCAAGGACAGAGCAAGAAATTGTCGGAGAAGGAACTATAATTGTACCGTCTAACATAAAGAACTCCCGTTGTCCTCATATGCTATGTCTGAGATCTATATCAAGTCAAAGTAGTAACCTAGGCGTGTTGGATGAGATGAGCTCTTGACGGGTAACTTTCTCCCAGCAGTGATCTCGTTGCGCTCATCATGATTATTTTTTTTAAAATTTCTCGCTGGAAACTTCATAGATGATATAATATCGGCTATCTGAAACCCTATGTATTTCTGCATGCAAAGGGCGTGAGCTTCTGTTGAGTCGGTGGACGGCTGAAATCTTGCGACAATACGTCTTACCTTCTAGCTGCTACCTACCGACAAAACGAGTTAAAAATAGAGATAAATGGGGAAGCACAGATCGTAATTCCTATTTTTTTTAAATTTTAGTTAATGCAATATCCAAAATCCCAAGGGTCCCTCGAGTGCTGGCCTTTGTTACCGGAAGTGTAGACGGGAGGAAAGGGGGGCTTGATGAAAAGCACCTGGATGACTGCAACGTGGTTGATGAAGATGGAGTATCCCACTTGCCGAGAGTAAAGTGGCCTTCGATGAACTTTAATTTGTTTTTATGAGGAGTTCGACTATGTCTGTCTGTCTAGAGGAGCAAGAGAACAACACGAAAAAGAGAACAGGAAAGGCCCTATCTGGGCTAACAAAGGACTCGTCCTGGAAACAACCAGCACATCAAACGGAGGGGGGATCATATAGGAAATCCCCGGCACAAGCGAAGGGAAGATCCTCAAGGGAGATACCATCATATTGTACTGGGGGTACGCGCAACGCACTATGGCCCTGAAACGATATGTATAGATAAAAAGGCGACAGGAAGCTGGATAGTAACCCAATTCCTCCTCAGAACTTCACACTCAGCCCAAAAAGTTGTGTCCCCTCGATTCAATGTTCCAAGCGAGAGACCTATGATTCACCAAGGAACCTCGAAGTTCGTTGGTTTTATAAAGCCACTTTTCCTAGCGGCGCTCTCCTTGAAACACTTTATAGCAGCGGATTTCAGTATGCGTAACAGTCTTTCCACTTGCTCAGTCGAAAGATTCGGCAATTCCTTCTTTACTGACGCTTCGATATTTTTAAGAATCCTTCTCGATCCAGCCGCGCCTCTTCCGCTCTCGAGATCCTCCCTTAGAAATTCCTTTTAATAATAGTTTCGAATTTTGCCAGTTCATCGGCAGAAAGCTCCCACTTCAGCGACTTCTACTTAGCGTTGTACTCGCTGAAATTTTTGTTTAGTTATACAGTAAACAATCTTTTGCTGCCGTATTGATGATTCTTGTGTATTGATTGTTGCGATGAGCACGAAAAGGCGGGGAAGAAGGAAAGAGCGGTGTATTATGTCTTGCGGCGTAGAGGAGGTAAAATATGGAGGTAGGGCACGAGAAAAGTTGATGGTGGAGGAGAAAGACTGAAGTTGGAGTTTAAGGCAATCAGCAACATGGAGCCACATTATATATGAGGAAGTAATGGATGATCTTCGGGGGCTATATCCATCATTGTATAGGTAAGAATATCAGCTATTAGATGATCTGCAATCCCAAGATCTAGTGACTGAATACACAGATATACCAGAAATGCCGATCTACGGCTGTTATTGATTACTATTGAAACTATTGAATACTAAGGTGATCTGCGCCAAACACGTTCTATACCAACCACGTGACCCTCCCGAGTCTACCCGAATCCCCCCGCGCGGGGAGAAAGAAGAATCCCGCAGATCTCCCCCACCTCCGATTAGCACAGCACTTTCCCTTCTATACTCTCCAATCTCATACACTACATCACAATGGCCGCCTCTCACGGAGACTTGCGCCACCTGCTTCCAATCAATTACAAGCGCCAGATCACTGACTGGCTCGAGGAGGACTGCCCCAGCCTGGACTATGGCGGTTTCGTCGTCGGCGAGTCGGAGGGTGAGGCCCGCTTGCTGGGTAAGAGCCAGGTGAGTCAACTATGCGGAGTGTCGCAACAACTACTATGCCCGTACCTGTGAAGTGATATTTACTAATGCGATTCACAGGGTATCATCGCCGGTGTCCCTTTCTTCGATGAGGTCTTTTCCCAACTCGGCTGCTCGTACGTCTTCGTTCCACTATTCCCCTCCATAACCATACTCCCCTTCTTCACAAGCAACCACTAACACCTTCTCCCAGAATTGAATGGCACATCAAAGAAGGCACCCCCATACCCGCAAACACAATAACCCACTGCGCCACTGTCCGCGGCCCCGTCCGCAAAATCCTCCTCGGCGAACGCGTAGCCCTAAACATCCTCGCCCGCTGTTCCGGCATCGCCTCCAAATCCGCCTCAATGCTCTCCGCCCTCCGATCCCAAGGCTGGACCGGCACACTAGCCGGAACCCGCAAGACAACGCCCGGCTTCCGCATCGTCGAGAAATACGGTATCCTAGTTGGCGGCGCGGACCCGCACCGTCACGATTTGAGTCATATGACCATGCTCAAGGATAATCATGTCTGGGCCTGTGCGAATAATGGAGCTGCAGCCGGGGGCAAGACGAATCCGGAGAGTATTGCGGCGGCGATTCCGAAGGCTGTTGCTGCTGCGAAGGCGGCGGGTGGGTTTGCGACGAAGGTTGAGGTTGAGGTTCGGAGTTTGGAGGAGGCGGATGCTGCTATTGGGGCTGGGGCGGATGTGGTTATGTTGGATAATTTTACGCCAGAGGGGGTGAGGGTTGCGGCGAAGACGTTGAAGGAGAGTTGGGCTGGGAAGGGGAGGTCTTTCTTGGTTGAGGTTAGTGGCGGGTTGACTGAGGAGAATGCTGCGGCGTATGCTTGCCCGGATGTGGATATTCTGTCCACCAGCTCGATTCACCAGGGTACGGGTATTGTGGACTTTTCGCTCAAGGTCTCTCTGCGGTAGAGGGTGATTTCTCGATCAGATAGGAGGGTGAAACAGATGTATCATAGTCCTACTTTGGACAGGACGGCATTATAGTACTTGCACCGGCACAAAACACATGTCATGAATAAAAGTCAAATAAAAGGTGTATTCAAATAAGATACAAGAGAATCGAAGGAAAATAATAATAAGAAAATGTAATCCAAAAAAAACGCCATCGTGACCATCGTGACTCACGCAAAGATGAAGGAAAGGGTATATAGTAGTACACAAGTACAAGAAAAGTCAAGAACCACCATTCAGACTCACACCTCAATATCCACCGTGATACCTTCCCCTTCACTCGAGCTAGTAGGCCCTTCATCCGTGGTATGCGTTCGACTACGGCTACTATCCATAATAGTGCCCGAGGGACCTCGTCGAACCCGCTCTCGCTGAAGTTGATCGCGCAGACGCTGGTTCTCGGCATCACGCTCTTCCAGACGCTTGCGGGCACCGCTGCGGTCTAGAAGACGGCCTTCTCGCTCAGCCTTGAGCCGTTTCTCCAACTCGTGCAATCGGTGAATCCACTTGTCATCGCTGCCCTCCCAGCCACTTGTTCCACTGCGTGAGCGAGGCAACATAGCACCAGCATTATTGGTGAGTGTGCTGCTGGACGAGGTGTGCGATGGCTGTGGGAGACCGGTGGAACTGCGCGTGAGACCTCGCTCGGAGCGCGGCTTCTCACTAGTACCGGGTGTAGAGTTATGCCGTGCCAATGAGCGCTCGGGGTCTGCTGTAGACGCAAGCGATGGGGATCGTGGACCAGAAGCCATCACGGCCGCGGCGGCTGCAGATGCAGATCCATGAGTCCGGGTGTTGGACTGGAGCAGGTTGATCTCAGCCTTGAGCAGCCGGTTTTCACCCCGGAGCTTGGAAACTTCAGAAGACGAGCTGGAAAATCCCCGTCCACTCCGCAGGTTCTTGACTGCCTCCTCGACACGCTCGAGTCGACGGACTCGTTGACCGAAAGAACTCTCCAGATTCTGGTACTGCTTGGTAAAGTCATGCTCAATACTCCTAATGCGAGTCTTGAAGCCTGAAATCACACTTTCAACAGTCTTGACGGCAAGTAACAGGTTTCGGCTAAACCCAGGCCAGAAGAGAATATTGCCAATAACCTCTTGACTCGGCAGGTTGCCATTGATAAGGCTGTTCGAGTGTGCCCAATCAGGACCGCAAATAGACGAGAGTCTCTTCCAGATTGTAAGGAACAGAGCATTGCGCTCGCTGAGTTGGTCTCGGAACTGCTGCTCAAGCGAGGTGAACCGCTTCCGATCCGAGTTGCGAGCATTCTCCAGATCCGTAATCCGCGAGTTGCTCTGGGTAATAGTTCGCGACGCCTGCTGGTGGTTCTTGAGGGCATGTTCAAAGGACTGCTTATCTGCTCGACGAGCTTGTCGCTCGCGCTCAAGAAGCTCAGAGAGCTTGCGGGACTCTAGACCGTGACTCTCCAAAAGGGCATCGCGATTCCGAAGAAGCGACTCCTTCTCGTCCAGTTGTTGTCGAACACTCTCCAACTCCAGCGCAGTCGACTCGAGTTCCTTTTGCAGCTTCATGATATTGGTGATCAGGCTAGACCGGCTGCCACTGAGATCTCCCAAGGTCTCACGAAGGTTGTTCTCAAGATCCATGAGACGCTCACGCCAGGTGGCAGTCTCAATCTCCTGGGTAGAAAGGCTCTTCTTCAACCGCCGGGCCTCTTCCTTAGCAGCTGACGCTTCCCGGTTGAGTTCGTTCATGATCCGCTGGACCTCCTGCTTCTCCTTGCTTCCGACTACCTCACGCTGGTGCCGCTCGTCCGCAAGCCGCTGCTCCAACTCCCGAGTCTTCTCCTTTTCACTATGCAGGCTCATCTGGTACGTCTTGAGCTCAGACTCTAGATCGCCAATGCGGATCTTATCGCCATCTTGCTCTTCTCGGAGGAAGGCAATCTCATTCTGGCTCGACTCGATCTGCACCGTCAGCCGCTGCACCTTGGCATTGGCTTCGAAGAGGCTCTTCTCCAGAGACTCCATCTCCCGATTGGTTTCTTCCAGCTCCAGCTGCACAGCCTTGTACCGCTCCAAGTTATTCTGAGCATCTTCCTCGAGGCGAATGATACCCTCACTGGCTGAGCGCATCTCGGCCTGCAGGACCCTCAGGCTCTCGTCCTGGTTTCGTAAATCTTCGCCCATGCGCTGACACTCAACGATCTTCTGATCAAGCTCCTCGCCAAGGGTATCAAGCTCCTCTTGTGCCTCAGCACGCAGATCTTGGAAGGCAGCGTCCCGCTCATCGGCCATTTGAATAGCCTGGTCTCGCTCATGCTGGAGGTTCGCCATTTCTTCCTCGGCTTGATCAACGTCGGCCTGGTAAGCTTTGTCAAGCGCCTCCAGTTCACGAATGTAGTCTTCCAATTGGTCACGAATAGCTTGGTTCTCCAGCTTGAGCGTCGACACTTGGTCACGCAGCTGGCCGTTTCGAGCTTCGAGCTCCTCGCGATCCATGTTATCCCGAGACCCAGTGCCGTCACTGACCTCTGAGCCAGTGCGCATCTGAGCACGAGACGCCGAGCGATCGAAAATGCTATCTCCAGCCACGGATCGGCTACCATCACGTCGCTGGCCGAGCTTGAGCTCCTCAATCTCTTGGTAGAGGCGCTCTTTCTCGCGGTTACGAGATGTAAGCATCGAGGTTTGTGCGCTGACTTCCTTCCTCAACTCAGCGTTCTCTTGCTTCAAGAGCTCAAGTTCGACCATAAGAGTGCTGCTGGAGGTGCTCATCAAACCACCACGGTGGCCATCCGATGCCGATGCATACGAGACAGTAGACCCGCTGCGGACCCGCTGCCCCGGCTTCAAAGAGCTAGTAGTTGTGTAAAGTTCACTCTTGAGGCGAATCGACTCATCCCGTAGCCTGCGGTTCTCTTCCTCAGCTTGTTCGCGAGCAGCAGTCTCAGCCTCCAACATGTCTTTCCACATGTCCTGTAAACAAAACGTTAGCACCCGTAAACCCAACTTCATACCAGGCTAAACATACCCTCTCTTCTCTAGCACCCGCCTCGGACTCTGTAGTTCGGTTCTCACTGAGAGACTTCACCATCTCAGCCAAGCGCCGCTTCTCACCCTCGCGAGCAATATTCTCAGACCGCATCCGCTCAATCTCAAGCTCATAAGTCTCAACTCGCTCCCGCAAGAAGATAAGCTCCTCATCGTGAGCCGAGTCACGATCGTCTTCCGACGCTTCAGGGTCGTGGTTAACCATAGAGTCCTTGTCAGATTGCTGATCCTTCAGCTGCTTCTCCAAATCCCGAACCTTGCGCTTCAGACCCTGGTTATCCTTTTGCAGCTTCAGCTTGTCCGATTTAAGCTCCACGTTCTCTGAGATCATCTCCTTGATTCCTTCCTCAGATCGCTTGTTCAAGGCCTCGTTGAGGAAATGAATGCGCATTTTGAGATCAAAGTTCTCCTTTGAGAGTCGGTCGATCGTGCTGCTTTGTTCCTTGAGGGTCATCGTGCGGCCACTTCGTCCAAATGCAGGGGTCGAAGCTCCAGGTCGTTTCTCAGGTGACGGTCCAGTGTGACCAAAGTCATCTCGGAATCTTTGAACAAAGGCTGTAGGAACCTGGATTCCCTTGACCCGTTCTGTGATGGCTGTATCAGTCGGGATAGTGTCTCGAGGCTTGGCTTTTGGTGTCATTGGCGCAGAGGCTTCATCAAAAGCCGCTACTTGTCGTGATGACTGGGGCGAGCTTTCTTCTTCCAGGGTATGCAGACCTCCATCAATTGGACCGCCGATGTTGCGTCTGTCCAATGAATTCTCTTCACTATAGCCCGAGACCCCAGAGGCCATACTACCCAGGCTAGTTGTCCGGGTCATATGAGAGCGCTGACCAGCATTGAGGCCGCCCCATTGCTCAGAGGCGGCGCCTCCCGATTGAAGGGCAAAGTCAGCACCCAAAGTCGCGTCACTGTGAGTTGTTTCGGTGGTATTGCTAGCAATGGAAGAGTGCGAAAGACGCTGTGCCGATTGACGACTTGTCAAATATTTCGGTCGGCTACCGCTTCTCCGGCTCCCACCAATGCTGCCGCTCTGATCACTGAATATCCTAGACTGTCCTGGCGAAAGGCTGCGGGACGAATGTCGAAGCTTGGAGGGAGTGAGCTGGGACTCGCCTTCTGCGATTGAGAGTTGGGATCTGAAGGGTCGTTCATCTTGGGATAGCAGGCTATTTTCACCAGGATTCTCGGATTGCTGATCGCGCTGCAGACTCCGTAGCATAGCCGCAGCCGACGGTGACGAAGTAAGCGAGTCAAGCATAGTGTCATTAGCGGAGTGTTGTGCGTGTGTCGCGCCAGTCACATTCTCCGTCTCTTCAGCACCACCATCGTGGTCTCCTTCGGTTTCCTGGTAGCTCTCGGATGGTGGAATAAACGAAAAAGTTGAGGACTGGGTCATATCGGGATCGTAGCCTCCGACTCCGACCAGGTAGGTATCGTCTGCGCCTGCAGTGCGGCCAGTCGTGGCGACGTCAATAGTCGAGGGTTCCGGTAGAAAACTCGACTCCATATCCATCAGCTTACGGCGCATCTCATGCTCCTCGATCAAAGTCTGGTTATTCACGCGTTCGCGATCGCCAATTTCACTCGACAAGAACAAACTGCTGTCATCGCGATCGGCCAAGGGAGGTAGGAGACTAATGTCTTCCTCAATGTGCGATTGAGCCGTCGGAGCGGGCGGTTCATCCTGCTCGTCCTTCTCATTCTCATCATGCACCGTGGTGGCGGCGTTGGTCGTCTCCGTCGTCGGTGCGGCCGGTGTTGTGGTGTCCGTTTGGGTAGAATCTTGCGCGCCGCTCGGGTTCCCATGCGTCACTGCGTTGTCGCTGGTACTCGGGGGTCAGCGCCCCGCGCGTCCTCGGCCATGAAGTAATCTGAGGCGCTAAAATCGGCATTCAGCGGGGAGAGGTCGTTGGGTGTGTGATATGGTCCAGATTCATGGGAGGAGGAGGGGATTGGCACCGAGGGCGGGCCTGGGGTGACGATCGGAGGTGTTGTAATTGGGGCCCTGGTCGACATGGTGACGGCGTCTAGGCGTGTTTTGGGTACCCACTTGCGCTGTGGTCTACCCACCACGATTGGCGAATTAGCGTTCGCCCGGTGCAGATGGCTTTGATAGCTCTCATTGGAGTCGCAGGGGATTTCGAGAGACGGTGTGAATTAGATATGATCTATCGAGGTCTACGGTAGAAGCCACGGGACTTGCGAACCAACAAAGGAGTCATGTGTACCAAGGTTGACTGTCGGGAGTATCGACACGGCCAGGCACGGGGTCTAATTGTTATTGCCACTGCGGTAACTGCTGGAATAAGCAAATGCCACAAACAGAACTACTCAACAACCACAGTCTACTACTTTCTATACTCTTTCCAGAATTTTGTATACTCCAGAGAAAAGACAGTTATTCACATTGACATTGCATTAAAAAAATAAAAACAATCATGGTATCCATAGAATCTTTCGTATCATAGCCCCAAGCATAAAAACAAAACAATCAAGCCCACATCCCGACAAAATAAGATACCAACAAGAGAAGAAAAATGGTCATAGAAAAAAGGGGAAAGAGATATACAGAAAAATAAAAGGAAAGAGGGAAAATAACCCAAAATGAAGAATGAAGAGAAAAAAAAGCCGTCAGTCGTTTTTGGGCAGTATGTATACCACAGTCCCCCAACCTGGGGGGGTATTTACAACGGTCTGCAATGAGGTGAATCCGTCAAGGAAGAAGAAAAAGAAGAGATGAGAATGGACAAGGGAAATGAAGGCCGCACTGGAATTACGCAGTCGTGGAAGCAGTTGAAGGAGCAACTTGCTGCGGTTCTTGCTGCTCGGCGTCCACATCATCCCCAGTCGCAGGAGAATTGTAGTAATTATTTGTCGAAGAATAAATCTCGCCCTTCTTGTTAATCGCGTTGCGAAGGGAATCAATGTACGTCCTGAACTTGACAATCTCACGCAGCAGATACGACGACTTCCGTTCCCAGTTAGCCATCGCCTTTGCAGAATTTGGATGCCGTGGGGAGAAGGCCAGGTTCATGGCAGGTCGAAGCTCGTTGTGCCGCTGGAGATCATCTTCAACGTTCTGCACATATGCCTGCAGAGCCTTGAGCTGGTCTTCCTCTGACTGGTGTGAGGCAACCATGCTCTGTTGTGGCGGACTCCAGTCACTAATGTGCACCCGATCCGCGGGCAACTTGGGCCGCACAACTCCTTGGTGGTCCAAGGAACTGCGAATGGAGCTTTGAATGCTGGGTCGTGGGGCACCAGAGGATGGAGGTGGAGAGCGGCTCTCGGCATTGATCAAAGCGCTGTTGATAACGGCGTCACTCCAACCATACTCGATGTTACTGATACCACCTACCAGGGGCTCCTTGGAGAGTCGCGCACTCCAATAGTTGGCTGTCGAGACAAACTCCCGCACGATCTCCGGTGTGCCGGCTTGGAAGAGGTGGACGGCGCCGGTTGGTAGGCTGAGAGCCCATACGTGAGGGCGAGATTTGGAGTAGCCTGGTGGTGGAAGGGCACTGGCAATAGTCTGACGGAGCATAAACTTCCAAATCTCTTCGGCGTTCTCGGTCCAGTTACCACCTCCAACCACGACGCCGCCACGTTGCTTGGTTTTCTGTCGCATGGACTTGGACGCGTTATTGAATGAGAAAAGCCGCATCCATCCCTGCTGGATAACAGCAAAACACTCGTTCCAATTGCGGTCTTTGGCGCGCTTGTCCACTGCGTCCAAGTGGTGCTTGTGCTTGACACTGCCTTCCTTGGCCCAAGGAGCACCGGCCAAAGCCAAAGTCTCATCTTCCAGAAGAGGGCCGGTCGGCTCCTCGTAGCTGTAGACGGATGTGGCAGAATCTTCACGGATGATAGCCTGGCTTAGAGCATTGGCGAAACCAATGGACTGCTGGTACTCGCCACGAGGATACTCGGAGCCGAAGGAGTCCACAGAGGCTGAAGTGAACTTGCCCAAAGAATATTTGCTCCAGGTACTCGACGCAGTCGGACTCCAAACGGAGGACTGGTCGTCCAGGCTAGTCCGGCTGGAGCCCATCATAGATGGAGGGTAGAGTCGTGCTCCTCGCGAACGGGGCTTGGATGACCATCTCGCGGCACCATGGCGGGAATCTGCTGAACGGCCGCGGGGGAAAATATCCGAGCCACTCTTGCTGATCGTGCTGGGACTCCGGCGAAGAGTACCCGAGGGAATCAAGAAATTGCTCGAGGCCATACGAGTCACCTCCTTCTCTGGTGGAGCACCGTGGAGAGGAAGTCTTTCCTTCTGGATGGAGGTATAGAAATCTTTCAGAACCGTCTCCACCTGTTGTTCCCATGCTCGCACGGTTCCTGTGAAGGGGGTGTTGACCAACGGACCAGCGTAAACGTCAGTGATATTGCGGTCGTTGTTATCATCCACGGAGTTACGGGCGACATCCGGGGGGAAGGTTGGCGAGCGAGCAGAGTTGGGTGCTGAGTGTGCAGACTCGGCGGTAGGCATAGTCTTAGCCTTTTGAGGCCGCAAAGTCTCGAAGCCCTCTGGTGCTGCATCCATGGCCACGCGATGGATCGTGGGCATGGTATTGCGAACGAACTGGGATTTCGTCATCTTCTGCTCGATGTCTGCCAAGTGCAAATCGGTGTTCAGCAGAAGAAGGGAGTAACAGATAGTATGGACAACATCTAGAAATCGTTAGCAACGGGCTTTCTCCAAGCAGCGTATGCTATAGTTTCAACACTTACCAGTAGCTTTGAAGCCATGACTCGGGTTGCAGTCACACCATCTGCATGAGAAAGCATCCAAGACTCTGTCGACTTGTTGAGTCTCTCCCTTGAGAACCAAGCGCTGACAGAGACTTCGGAGGGCTGCAAGAATGTTCATATTCGACCAGTTATAGAGTCGCATATAGGCCTCCCTAACCATCTCCCGGTCAGGCTCTCCAAGCCAAGCAGCCGCCGGCACGTTACCGACCACTTGGTTCTGACTATCGAAGAGGTTCTGCGCTTGCTCTCGATCAGTTGCGGTAGGGCCATCCTCGACGGCATCGCCGGGTCCATTGGTCGTGTCCTCTTTCCCGTCATCCTCAACCGCAGCTTTGGGTTCTTCTGATTCAATAACTGGCGTATTCGATGCGGTTAGATACTGCGATGCCTCCGAAGCAGCAGGCGACTCGGGAGCATTGCTGTCTGACGGCAGAGACAACTTCCTCGGGCCAGTCACGCTATCACGAGAAGGCTCCGTCGGTGGCGCCATTTTTGTTGACACCCTGATGGTGCGGGAGAAATCCTCTGCGACAGGTGACAGAGAGGTAGCGGGGTTGACATTAGAGTTCTTTTCCTGCAAGGGGGATTCTGTGGATGAAATAGACTCCACATCACTTGCTTTTTGGGCAGAATCATTGGTGCCGCGACTATTCTCTAATGGCAAACGAGAGTCCTGCTGGCCACGAGAAGTGCTGGGAGGTTGGATGTTCTGCTTCGGCTTGGAGCCACCGCCAGGAGCCGAGACACTTTCCCTTGGTTTTTGCGCCTGCAGCGAGGTTGACTCGATAGGCCGATGTTCCTCTCTGCGGGTCTCTTTGCGATCCACGTTTGCTGGTGCACCGGGTTCATCCAGATATTGATTCATGATCTCGCGCAAGCTGCTCACGGGACTAGCTTCTGGTTTCGCGGTATCCAGATTGTGAGGGGAGAGCTCTTGAGGCAGCTTGATCGGAGGTGGAACGTGTTCGGCCACGGACTTCTTACGCCGGCGGAAGAAGGAGGATTTTTGTTTCACCACTTGAGGAGGACCTCTTCGGGTAGCAGGCGTAGGTGTGGCGGCTACTGCACTCTTTGGAGGTTGCTGCTGCTGGGGCTGTTGTACCTGTTGCTGTTCTCGACTTTTGAGGGTGGCGTTCGAACCCGTGGAATCCTTAGTCTCGTTCTCCTGGAAATATGAAGTGTCGCCCATGTTAGAACGGAGAGATTCCGACGGAGACGAGGCCTTTGATACTCCGCCAAACACACGGCGGAAGAACCCCGGACGCGCTGTGGTAGCGGTATTGGTAGGGGCGGAAGATGTGTTCATATTGGCCGTGATTGTGGTTGTCGTGCTCGTGGTTGTCGGTTCCGGTGGAGGGAAAGCTGGCTTGTTGTATGATATCGTTGGACTGGGAGCAGGCGGGTCCAATGATGCCGATATGGCTGGCGGCAGATCAAGGTCCGTATCACCAAAGAAGTCGTTATCTCGGGTCTTGAGGGCCCCTGTACCGATATTTTCTGGACGATTCTTTCGGACCTGAGGGGCATTGGATGATTTCACGCTATTTCGACGCGATGCCACGGGTGTTCGAGATGCAGTGGTGTTGGGGGTCCTATAGTCGTAGAGTTTGCGTGGGCCAGCAGGCACACTGGGCGTTGGAGCGGCATCATCATCATCATATAATAGCGAATCCTGGCCCAAGCCGTGGTCTGTGTATGGATTGAAAGCCTTCTTCGGCCCACAATCGAAACTCTCCGAACGCCGGTCTCGGCCATCCGAGTCCGCGCGACCTCTGGGCATGGTATAGGAATAATCCGCGTTCGAGGCGCTTCCTTTACTTCCCTTGCGAACATCATTGGCCCTTGGCAGGGTGCCTCCTCTGGAACCCATTGCATCTCGGCCGCGGGCGCTGCTCATTCTCCTCGGGGCAGTCTGATGGTTCGAACTGCTGTTACTCCGTCGACCATTGGCGGTGATGGTCGCATAGCGACTGCTGCTGCCGTCATCGTAGCCAAAGTCCACTTCAGAAGACATTGAGGAGGAGAACGTGTGGCCGCGATATCGACCTTGTAGATCGGTTTCAAAGGCGGAGTTGAAGAGTCGATAATCGTCCAACACTGAAGATCCAGGTCCGTCGAATTGATCGAGCGAGAGGAGCATGTTGTCTACGATGGAGGTACGGGCAGCATGCTTAGGCGACAAAGACAAGTCATGAGGGTCGCGTTCGTCGCCCGACTCGCTGGCTCGGGGCGCATTGTCGGCGTCGGGGAAGGCATCGCGGATGGATGGACGTGTAGGGTAGCCACGCTTGGGCCGATATTTTGCGGTCTGAGAGGGAGGAGTTCGAGGTGGAGAATTGGAAGCGTAGGCGCCGCGCGGTTGGGACATTGTCACGCTGGCGAGGCAAGTTAGTTCCTGGCTGGGTTGTCGAGGTACGGGTCGATCAATTGAGTTGGTTTCAGGGTTCAGGAGAGCACGACTCGAAGCGAAACTTGGGACACGGGGGGGCGGGAAGGAAGTAGAAAAAAAGATCGTATTTGGTAGCCACGTACCAGTAATGCCCAAAGGCTCGAATGAAGCGTAGCGTTCGTTGCCCGAAAGGCCGGCGAGTGGGATGTGCCGGTCAACGAGCAAGAATGTCGTTGCTCGTTCGGATTGAAGCACGGAGGGTGTTCAGACGGTCATGGCATGTCCAGGGCCAGTCAGGGGAGTACAATTGCAGCGCGGCTGCGTACAGCGAGAAAAAGCGCGAGGCCGCCGATTGGCAATCGGACTGGGAGTGAGGTGGTGGTGGAAGACAAAATGCCCAGAAAAGTAAAGTAGTGGACGAGAGATCTCACGAGGAACCCGGGGGCGGGACGAACTCCTGAACGGGGGGGCTTTGACCTGCCAAAGTAGTGGAACGGTGGAACTTGACTACCGAACTGTCAATAATCCTTGGAGAGGTGACAGTCAAGTGTAGGAGATAAAGTAGTCAGGGTTCAAGTATTGATTAATGAATGATGTACGGAGTAGTACTCCATGAAAGAAAAAAAAAGAGTAGGTGGACTGAGGAATCGGGCCAACGTGAAGCAGATGCGAAACAGGGGCATCTTATGGATTACACTCCAGTCTGGATAAGCAGGAAGAGACTTAATTAATGTACAGGGTACTTGTTCTAAACAGGCCATTTGTCAGGGTTCTCCATATATAATTGTATTACTTTTAATTAATTTAATGTTCAATATACCCTGCTATGTACCCTCGCAGTATATTTTTCAGGGGCTAATTGATGCGCTGGCGGGCATCCTGTCAGGTACAATTTCGAGAACATTTACTCCGTAAGCCAACCAGATCCAAATTGAATTACAAAGTATCTTGTACATTTCTTGAAAAGACGGTGAAGGTCGACTTGGAAGCTTATCATACATTAGTACGGGGAGTAATATGGTCAACTTTGCCACCATCGTGCTTCTTCTGACCTCTCTCTCTCTCTTGATTCTTGCTGGTCGATCCGGTTGGCAAGACCCTCGGTGGATCCTCGTAGTGGAGAACCACCTCTTAGTTCGTTGGTCGTTGATGGTCAGTGCCGGGAATACTCAATGGTTATCTACTGCCGAGCCTCGCCATATTTTTCCCACTCTCACACTGTCGTAATTCTCATCCAACATAATGTTGCAAATTTGAGTTTTGTGTGTGCTGAATTCTGCAATGTAGTCCCTCCTGCAGGCCAAGCGATGTGATGCATCGGGTCGGAGGCCTAGGCGATCGACGGTCATGGTCGCTTTAACTCTGTTTCTCCGCAAATTCGGTAGATCGATCATATATGCCATACAGGATAGACTTGTTCTAGAGCAATTGTCAAGTGCTTTTCTATGTATTTGTCTACGTGGGGAACCTTCTTCTATTTTTGAGATGAGTAGAGAAATGTCCGCGCTGGATTTTATACTTCCGGGTCCAACCCCACGGTTCAGCCCTGCATCTCGCATCTCTTCCGTTGCTCGATCTATCATGCCATTCTATATTCCTTCGAACTCGACTCAACCTCTTTTTCGGAAGGATGCCGAAGGTTCAAGCCAAAATGAGATTCATCGATCGAGTGGGCGATCGACCGTGATGAACGATAGTATCCAGAGTACTTTGCATGCAAGCTGATGGATAATAATTACGTATCGTGACCATATGAGTAAAGTGATAATGGGATGGAAATAGAAGGATAGACGATGATAGATATCTTTTATCTCTAGTCTGTCAAATGGCTATTCCAATAGAATACTCTCGACAACTAGTCCCAACTACTAGACTTGTATACTGCCCCTTTATGCCTCAGGTGTCATCCACTCCACACCTCCACGTGATCTCAACGATGACATAACCGACCGACACGTCGACGAGTTACCTCCGTACGCCGAACCTCCCCATACAAGCTCCATGATCCCCGGCTCTCGACCAGTCTGACCAGTTCAGATATCGGGCTGAAGAAGAAAAACAAACAAAAAAGATGAACCCACATATCTCCGTCCCCCGCCAACATGCCGGTCCCGCCAATTTCGGGTCTACGCCCAGCCGCGGGTCCAACGTTCGCATGCCGCGCTTCTTCAAGAGGTAGGGTCCTGCCACACCGGAGGTGGAGATGACGATGTACCCCGCCAGGGTGTATAAGGGATGGATAGAGGTTGACAATATTGCGATGCATAGACTCTTCAAGTTCCCCCAGATGGACTTTGAAATGGCAATTTGGGAAATGACCTCCTTGTTGATTGCGCCGAAGAAGGTCTTCAAGTCCATATATTACCATGTAAGGCGACCCATTCCTGCTGGCCAGAACAGGTCAACTTGCTACTACTATTGATATGAAGGAGCAATATACTAACGACACTTTCTCACATTGACAGAAACGTGAGTCTTACCGTACTTCTGATCACAACTACTCAATCTCATTCCTCGGGATTGAATTATCTCGCTTCTTCCCCGCCCTCCAATTCCAAACTACAACCCACGCCCTCAATATCCCAATACCTCTACTAACCTCTTCTAGAAACAAAAAACACATGGCACCGTCCCGACCCATCCTTTACATACCTCCTCTCCTTCTTCCTCCTCCTCACCGCATTCGCCTGGGGTCTAGCATACACCCACTCCTTCGGCTCCATAATCCGCCTCTCCTTCCTCTTCATCTTCGTCCACTTCATCGGCTCCTCCCTCTTAATATCAACAATCGGCTACTTCGCCATCGGCCGACTCTTCGGTCCCAACGGCGCCGCCGCCTCTCTATCCGGTCTCCGCGGCTCACGAGCCCGTCGCCGTGGCGCAGCACAAGGTCTCTTCGCGCAACCGGGTGAAAAGGAACAACTCGAATTCGGATACTGCTTCGACGTGTCAAATCGAGCATTCTTCCCGCTGTATTTGCATCTCTATGTCGTACAGTTCTTGCTCCTCCCGTTGTTGACCCGCTCGCCGAGTGATTTCCTGGCGACTTTCTTGGGGAATTCGTTGTATCTTTCTGCGTTCATTTATTACACGTATATTACCTTTTTGGGATATAATGCGTTGCCGTTTTTGCATAATACGGAGCTTTTGTTGGTGCCTATTTTGGTTTTTGCTGTGTTGTGGTTGGTTACTTTGATTGCTGGGTGGGGGATTGTTATGCAGGGACATGGTGTCGAGGGGTTGTTCTGGGGTGTTCCTGATACGAAGGGTTGAGAGCATTGTCTAGCCGGTTGATGCTATTTTGACTGGGGGTTTGCTTGGTACGTTTCTCTTGCTAACCCCGTGTATGAATCTTTTTTTTTTTGTTCTCTTGGCTATGCATTGAAAATGCTTGCTTCTATTTTTCAAGGGAAGGCGTTTGTACATGATCGTGTCGTTCTCTGATTTCCTTTCTCCTATAAGACCGGGCATCTTAGCGTGTGATATAGACTCAAATATCAGATTTGCCGTTGGAAAAGTTAATATAATTCTACATTTTGAAGAATGCAGTACTATTCTCGAGTGCTGCAGCTTAACAGCCTATCTGATAAGATCTACATCTCAAGTGTATAGATCAGGCCTTGTCCTAACGACCAAGATCATCTCCAAGCAGCCATCTACCGAGACCGACACCAGCCATTCAATTGTAAATCATTCATCATGTATTGGTAATTCATCAAGATCTCTACACCATATACCCCTCCCACCCATTCCATCCATCCACCCCGTACTCCTAGATAAAAATCACCTCCTCTCCCCTCCTTCAATTCTTCTTCCCCCCCTTCTTCCCCTTCCCCATAGCAGCAGCCTTCAACTTCTCCTCCCTCTCCTTAACAGCCGCAGCCCTCTCCCTCGCTATCTCATCCTTCTCCTCCTTCTCCGCCAACTTCCTCAACCTCTCCGCCTCCCTCTGCTCCCGAATAATAGCCAACCGAGCCAAATCAGCCCGCGCCTCGTCAGTCTTCCCCTCAGCATGAAGCTTCAAATACCGCTCCCGCGCCTGCTGAGCTTCAATAGCCTCCCTCTCTCGCCGGGACAGCTGCGACATGTCCTTCACGCCGGAGCCAGAGCCGGCTTTCTTGGAAGCTGACGCTGACGCTCCGCCCTGCGACTCATCCGAGTCAGCCTTGGACAGCTGCGATCGTGATTTCGCGCTGTGGTTCGGGTTTGCGGGGAGGTCGGCGTCTTCTTCGTCGCTGGACGCTTCGTCTGAGGAGGGGAGGTCGCCTGGTTGGGCGGGGGCGCGGTCGCGTTTTGCGATTGCGGCGGCCTTTTTGGCTTTTGCGGCGGCGCGTCGGGCTTCGCGGGTTAGGTCAGAGGGGGTGCTGGGTTGGGTGTTGCTTGGGCCGGCGGTTGTGGTGGTGGTGGTTGGCTCGTCGTCGGAGCTTTCTTCTTGGGAGTCTTCCGAGGAGGATTCTTCTTCGCTTGAGGAGGGGATTTCATCTTCTTTGTCCTGGATATGGGAGGGGTATGTGTTAGTGTTGTGTGGATTGAGCTTGAGATTGAGCTTGGTCTAATTCTTCGGGGTAGACGTACGCGCCAGAGACCGACTGGGTTTCCATCTTTGTCGGTGGGTTGGAGATCACGGCTGAACTTCTTGCCTCCTGCAATCTATCGTGAGCTTCCTATGCCATAAAGTACTGTGATACAGCAATGTGCACGCGACCATACCTCCTCGTGTAGGCTTGGAGAACTTTCCTCCACGACCGCGGGGTGCCATATTGGATGTGGTAGAGATGTGTAGTCGATAAGTAAGAAGGTGAGTGGTAGCAGCGTGTATAAGCTGTCAAAGAGCAATTCGCTTCGCAAAGGGTTGCTGAGGTTCCAAGTCAGAAGCTGCCTTTTGAGTCACGGTAGAAGTCTTAGGGCGCTTGCAGGCATACACCGCAGAAATAGAGGGGCAAAGTGGGGGGAATCGCTCTGGAGCGGGTGATGTAGAAAGGCGATTGGATGGCGTGGATTATTTGGGCTGGGATGCCTCTAGTCTAGGGAGGGAATTGGAGAGGTGATCGGGGAGAGTAACTATAGGAATTGATGAGAGTCACTTACAGTCTTAGTTATCACCTATGGATTATGGTAGGTAGGAGGCAGAGACTGTAGAGTGGGTTGCTCTGTAGTTGAGTAAGGACGAGTCATCACGTTCGTATTAATCAGGTCCATCGATGATCCAGATTAGGGCTGTATTAGTATTACCAGGGCAAGTACGAAGGGGTGGTTAGAACATATTCTTTTCCCAACGGATCTTGGGCTCTTTAGAAGTACAGACAAAGGGACACTTAGGTTCACCTTTTAAAGAACCAAAATCAAAGCAATTGACGAACTGTGTCATTCTAGGTCGTGGTCTGGAATCCGCTCTTACATAATATTTACAATACCTTACATTACACATAGTAAATGTGCCTGGAGGTTAAACCTCCAACTTGCTGGACTTCATCAACCTAGTGTCTACTAATCAAATACAGCTATTTTGTTAGAATATGTCCATTAATTAGCATTAAACTCCCTAATGACACTATTTACAATATACATGCAAGGGGTATGATATCCTTTCCTTCTCTCCTCTCCCTCCCTCTACACCCTAGCAAGCCCCATCCCAACTTTACTAACTCTCGCCGCAATCAAAGTCAACGTCCCCGTAATGATCGCACTCCCCATAAACATCTGCGCATATAAATAACCCCCATCATCCCTCTGAATCAACGCCCCAGCAATCGGCGACCCAATCAACGCCGCAACAGCAACAACACTAAGAACCATCCCCATCCGCACCCCAATCTTCTTCAAGTCCGTCGTAAGCGTACTCAACGTCGCCGGAAACAATGACTGGATGCCTGCAGCAAAGAGGCCATACAACGCAGCAAATGCCCACAGACTGGACAAATCCTTGACGGGAGCCCAGCAGTATGCGACGATGGCGGTTGCTCCGCTGAAGGGGATCAACAGGTTGAGTGGACCAGTGAATTGATCTGCTAGCAGGTTGGGGACTAGACGGCCGACGAGTCCGACTCCGTTCATGACGAGGAGAAGATCTATCGAGACGGTCTCCGACACGCCAATGATGTTGCGGCTGAAACTGCCCACGTAAAAGAAGGCGACATACAAACCCCAGAAATTCAAGAACATGCCCACCGCAAAGAGCAGGTAAGGTAATTCCTTGAACGCGGCGAGCTCGAGCAACGGTCCACTCGTACGGGGCGGTAATCGCTGCTTGAAGAAGATCAAACACGGAATCAACGTAGCAAGCGAGATAAATCCCAGCGTGCGCATAGTCCATCCATATCCGATACGCGGTAACAAGCGCATCACGACAGCGGGGAAAACAAGCCCACCCGTCGCAGAACCAGACGCAACGATTCCAATCGCGATACCGCGCCTTTTAACAAAATAGGTCGAAATAAGCGCCAACGTCGGACAAAACATCAATCCACACCCAATCCCCTGGCCCAATCCCTGCGCCAGAAAGAGCTGCCAGTACTCCGTGCACAACGAAGTCATGAAAATGGAGAAGACTTCCAGCGTCGCTCCAATCGTCAGTGTGAACCGGAAGTATCCCGCGTCCGTGGCTCGCCCCGAGAACGTCCCGATGAAGAAGAGCAGGAAGATCTGGATACTGCCTACCCAGGAGATGTCGGATGGTGGACGGCCCAGCGTGGAGGTGTAGTATGTCTGGAAGACGCCGAAACTGTTGATATACCCCCACGTGTTGAAGATGATCATATGGCCCAGTGCGACTTGGAGCCAGGCTTGGAAGCCCCCGTCTGGTGGGGGGCCGAGGTCTTTGCCGGAGTCGCGTGTTCGTACGGCGGAGAGGGTGCGGGCGATGGCGCTTGCGTTTGTGGGCACTTGGGTGAGGGCATTGTGGGTGTGGTCGTGATGGTTGTCGTGGAGGTCGCCGAGGGTGGATTCCTCGTCGGAGGATGGGGTTCGTGGGGGGTGGTTTGCTTCGAGGGACCCCGGTTCGATGTATTGGTGGTCTTTTTCGTCCACCATTATCATGCTTGAAGGTTGGTTCTTCTCGGAGGAGGTGGTGGTTATGTAGTTGGCCATTGGATATCGGCCGATGCCTCCAGATCGGGTATGATAATGCCGTGTAAATAGTGTTGAGCTCTCTTTTTCTTTTAGAAGGAGGTCGTAGTCTCGTTATTCATATCTCCTTGTGTAAACCAGTACACAGAAACCACGGAGTTATAGGGGAGTATAACTGGTGAGTATAGAGGATGTCAATGCTCTGTAGAGTCGAGAAGTATCAACCAGGAACAAGAAGAACGGAGAATTAAAAAAAAGAACCAGAACCAGAACCGGGTAAACTCATAAATTCATATCCTGGACCCCAAGTCTGACCCCAAATTAATATTTACCTGACTCATACTAAAGGCTCCATAAACCGGAGACAGTCCGCTAGACTAAAAAATTTAAATCCCTAAGCTAAAAAAGCCCCCCAAGTTCAACGGGATTCATGCCGAATGCAGAGACAGTCGGTTATTCGCACAGATTGCCGAAAAATCCAACACGCCCTCCGATGACACTCGGGGATCCACTTGGAACCAGCCGAAATCACAGAAGTCAATGATCTTGAATAGATAACTACATACTTAAAGACGGATAATATTAGATTCTAAATAGGTATTTTAGAGTATAAGAACATGTTCAATTTCTTCAATCTTGATTCTGATCGTGGCTGATGTATCCCCGCGGGGAAAAGCCTCGTAACCCCCGCAGTTAAAGACGTGCTGTGCCGATTCCCGAGTCGGCGTGGATATCAAAAATTCGAATCCTGGTTCATCGGGTATTGCGGGCCGCGGCTTAATACATAGTAAGTGGGTTTCTAATCCGATGCTGATCCTTGGACTCTTTAACATAAAAACTAAAATTCATGCCATCGGCAATACCGATGGATTACTGTAATTCCATTGGTCTAACGCTCTCTTTACAATTCAAAAGGCTGAAATGCATCTATGCCCAGTTCATAAAAGGAAGAAAACCACCTCGGAAAGAACAAGAAACGAGAAATAAGGGGGAAAAGACAAGATCCAACTGCGCCAAACTTCCTCTGCATTTGAAAAAAAAGTAACGATCAAAAAAAGGTCAAGGCTGTACGAGGGAGTTAGAACACCATTTTTTTTCTCCGGCTTGTATGAATTCGTGTACGTGCATGATGCGATGTAGTGTAGGGCCACTAATCAGGAAGCAGAAACGCAGGCAAATGGAAAAGCAGAGCGGGGCGAAGCCACTGGGAAACTGGACCAGTATCGCGTGGCCTTGGCTCGAGGGTGAAGGATGATCAGGCGGTCAGCACTCAATGATCCTGGTGGGAATTGCTGTTGAGCATTTGCAAGGCACTGATGACGTCTGCCGGCTCGAGCAAGTGCCAGCTAGCATCCGTCTGCTTCGAGCTGGCACCGACGGTGACCGAGTACACATGGTCCTGTGGAAGGTCGAATTTCTTGAGAGCACGGAACATATCTATTCAAAAAACATGATTAGCGAGATTGATCTAATCGAGGATTAGATTTCAGTTGATCATTGTCATTGCATACCTTCGTCGGTAAAGTCATCACCCAGACACAGGATAAACTCCGGCGCCTTGCCAGGCTCCGTGCCATACTCGTTGACCAACCGGGTTGCAATGAATCCCTTGTTGACGAATGTCGGTCGCACTTCAAGATTGGCTTTGCCAGCCATAACCTCCACATCCCAGCGCTTGGCAACGGTATCCTCAAGGGCCTTGCGGCATTCACGTGCTTGGAAGGCTCCATACTCCGGGTCGGCCCGGCGATAGTGCCAGGTTAGTGCCACTCGTTTGCGCTCAATGAATGACCCCTGCGTGCGTTCGGTGTAATGCTGGAACACATCAATCACTTCCTTCTGCCAGCCCATATTGGTGCTCTCGGCCAGGTTCTCCCAGTCATCCGACCGGGGCTTGCGGATGAAGCATCCATGCTCGGCACTGAGACCGAGTTCGGGGAGATGGCCCATCCACTCATCCAAAAAGGCTTGGTCTCGTCCACTGATGATCCAGACGGCATTGCGTGGGTCGGCAGACAGGCTCTTCAAGGTGCGCAGGACACGATCAGACGGGATAGCTGCCTGCGGGTCTTTGACAATGGGCGTGAGAGTACCGTCGTAGTCGAACATGAACAGTCGTCTGCGTGCTTTGCGGTACTGCTTCAATAATTTCCCACGGTCCAAGGCGGGCGTGGCGACGGACTGGTCAAAGGAGGAAAGGTTGGTGAGGAGACGGTGGAGGAACAGCCGGGACCAGGTGCTGACGGTGTTGGTGATAACGTGCTTGTACAGCTTGAGATGCTGATCCTTGCGTTGATCGGCGGGCATGTCGAGAGCTTTGTCGATAGCGCGGGCGACACCCACCAAATCCCAAGGGTTGATATGAATGGCACTGGGCAGTGTGCCCGCAGTGCCCGAGAATTCCGAAAGGATGAGGGGACTGTGGTTTGTCTGTTGGCAGATAATGTATTCTAAACTCGTGGTGTTCATGCCGTCGCGCACGGTGGTGATCAGACCCACGTCGGCGACACGAAGAAGAGCAAAGTATTCCCTCTGGGACAGATACTGTGGGTAGTACTGAACCGGGGAGAAGCTGAGCGAACCAAAGCGACCATTGATCGTGGAAACAAGATTGGCAATCTGACCGGCAATCTTGTTCTCGGGATCTTCTTTCTCTTCTTCCACACTGGTCGGGCTCGTCACTTGAATGAGGACTACCTTGTCTCGCCATTTAGGGTACCTCTCCAAAAAGATCTCGAAAGCTTGCAACTTCTGAGCCACACCTCGAACGCTGTCCAGACGGTCACGACCGACGATGATCTTCTTTCCAGCATACAATTTGCGAATGCCTTGCACGGTCTTTTCAAGGTCTGGCGAACCAAAGGCCGCCTGCTGGATCGCACGAGCGTCGATTCCTATCGGGAAGACATCCACGGCGACGTGCGCACCATATGCGTCAACGCCGGCCGAATTGGACTCAAATCCCAGGACACGAGTGCAGCATGAAGAGAAGTGGCGCGAATAAGAAAAGGTCTGGAAACCAATCATGTTGGCGCCGAGTACCCCAGTCAACACTTCCTTGCGCTTGGCGAGGCATCGGACGAACTCGCTACTGGGGAACGGCGAATGAAGGAAGAAGCCGATGTAGATATTTGGGATGCGCTGTCGTAGCAGGCTGGGCAGCAGGAAAAGATGATAATCATGAATCCATACCACATCTCCGTCCTGGTAGTCCGCCGCAATGCGATCGGCAAAGAGTTGATTCAGGCGGGTATAATCAGCCCACCACCGCTGCTCAGAACGACCGTCGGTTGGACCATGCTGCTTGTAATGCAAGAGAGGATAAAGTTCTCTCTCTGCATATCGGCGCCACCTTCCTTGATCTTTGAGGACGATGGTATCTTCTGGCTCCTCTGACTCATCCGATAGCCAGACTGGCAAGATCCGGCCATAACGTCCTGTGGACAACTGCTCATCGAGTCTTTCCCGGTCCTCTTTCTCAACACTGATTCCATCAATCAGAGGATGCGGGGGCGCTTTTTGGCTCGCATTTACCGGGACTGGCGCCGTAGCCTTGTTGAGTGGGAGTGCGCCAGCAGCACTGGCACTGGTCGGTAGCTTGGTCGCCGCATTGACTGGAATTTGCTGCAGAGGGATCTTCGTATCGGACGCAGGCTCGACCTCTCCAGTCCATCCCACAAGAGTATGGGACCATTGGGTATCGTTCGAAGCTAGATGAGCGAATGAATCGAAGAGGGCCGAAGTTCCAGATCGTGGCTTGAGTTCCTACACAGAAGATAAGAAGCATTAATATCGATATCTTCGCCAACGTCCTGGAGTGTTCACAATAGCAACCACATACCCAGTCTGACCCAGCTTGATGTTGGAGCTTGTATGGGATACAAAAGGCCGCGCTTATCAGTCGACCACTCAACTTCAGCCCCGGATGCTGTGTGCGAGGGTCGACCTCGGGCGACATGGGCGATGCGTCCCCGGTAAGACTCAACCGGCGCAGGAGATCTTGTCCCGAAGACGTCCTCCTTCTGCCTGGGGGCGGAGGCCCATCCCCATCCGAGGAGCCCAGTCCCGCGGTATTCACACCCGGGATGCTGGCAAAGTAGGAAGGCGCATCACTATCCGTCTGGTGTTTCTTATCGGTGGCCAAGCTTGGCGTAGCATTAGTCGCATCTTTGTACGCTTCATCCTTTAGAGCTGTTAGGCCCGGTCCAACGAGGACTGGGTCTGGTTGTCCGTCAGGGACCTTCGCGGGGCTCCCTTGATCAGACATGATGATGATGATGATGATGTGTGTGGGGTTCGGGAAATCGGGGACGAGGACGATGCGTCACACCCGGCGATTAAACTGTAGAAAAGCCCTAGCTATTAGCACTGTTCAATTGTCACATGCACAGTCTCTGGTCTGTCTAGGCCATACAATTGGCTCTGACGGTGGATGAACTGAAGCAACGAGGCCTTGGATTGCATACCTCGGAGGAAGACGGGCGTCGAGGGGGGGTAGATCGACACGAGAGCGGAACTATGGGCGCGAGCTAGCCATGGATGACGAGACGAGGCAACACACCACGAAATTGGCAAGAGATAAAGAGTGGAGGGTTGAAGAAAGACGCGTTCAAAGGAGGGGAGAGTGCGAATGTCAATAAACAGAGAGATCGAGAGCAGTTTGAAAGGGGGAGATCCTGGTGGTGGTGGTTGGAGGGGCAAGCGGTGAATGAAGCCACCGGCCGAAACAGGACCTCTTTCGCTTCAGGGCAGCTCGGTGAATAATGTCTTCACTGCTACGTCATATAGAGTGTTGGGTTAAGAGAAAGAGTCAAGCCGATGAACAAGAAGCTGATGTTGACTGATTAGAGATCCTAGGCAGGATATCGAAGATTCTAGAGGAACCAGTTGTGATCAAACTAGTTGTTGGTAGATTCGTATAGTTCATGGGGATGCTGAAGCCGGACATTCCCTGGATGATAAAATACAGTCAGGATAGTACGGAGTATGTCAGGTACTGGTAATTAATGGCGAAAGGCTCGTTATTGTTACTCACCGCCTACTAGAAGAAGCTTATCATTGTGGTAAATACAACGACATACCAGCGATCTGTCACACTATAACTGAATATTCAATAGCATGTTCAATGATATTAGAAGAACACAAAAGGTTTGTACAATGATACCAAGTCCAATGATACAATGGTAGATTCCAGATTACACTCCTCAATTTCATCGTATTAGGGTTATCAAACCACTCCCTTTTTAAGTCACACGACTGATCCATACTATAATCCTGCCTCAGGCCTCGATCTCATACAACCTTCCCCCAAATCCTCATCCATCAATCTCCTCTTCCTCCACCAACATGCCGCCTCGGTGATCGCCCGGCGATGCGACTGTCCGGCATCAAATCCTCCCGCCTCTCCCAACTTCCCCGGCGGGTCCGCTCCATCCAACCCTCCCAGGATGACGACGTCTTTGCCAACAGCCTGCGCAAAACCCTAGAGGCGCACCGCGCCTCCAACCGCGCGCGTCTCATCCGCAAAACCTACCCCCGTGCTCCATCCCCGGGCCTCTTTCGACCCTATATTCGGCCTGAGAACCGTGCAGGATACCAGCCACCACCGCCGCCATCGCTGCAGCTGACGCCACCGGCAATTGGCCCCGAGAAGGCGGCGAGTGCTAGAAAGCGCTCACGCAGACGGACTCCGGAACCGAGCACCTACTCGACGGATGCTCGACCCGAGACGAATGCAATTCGGTCCGTGGATGTGGGCTCTGGTCGGCTGGGTCAAACTCCGTGGTTGAGCTATCTAACCAACGAAGGCGTTCCTGGTGATGCTTCTGCGTACTTGGATGCGGAGATTCAAGCGTTGCACCGCTATCTCGCTCCGAGCTCTGATGAACAAAATCGAGTCACCCAGCTAAGCGCAGAGGTCTCTGCACTCCTAGAATCTACCGTCCCGCATACACCGACACTCGTCGGATCCCGCCGTACAGGTCTTGCGCTGGCGCATTCAGACCTAGACTTTCTCCTTCCCTTTGAAGATCTCCCCCGCGCTTTGGACAAGAATCGCAGACCGAGTCCGACAAGACCTCAGATCCGAGATGCGCATTTGACTCTGCTCCGTCAAGTTGAGAAAACACTGCAAAATGCCCCAGCTTTCAGGAATGGTGTTAGGCTATCTGGGAAACGAAGTCTTGCCCTAGAAGCTCGACACCGTCCCACGGGCTTGCTGCTGCAATTTTACTGCGGCGAACGGGTACCCGCGTTTACTGAGTATCTACAGGATTACTTAGTGGAGTATCCATCTCTGCGGCTATTGTACACAACAACGAGAGCTCTTCTCGAGGCGGGCGCTCTCTTTGGATCCTCGCAAGCGGGTATCAGCCCCGATGCATTGGCCATGCTGTTAGTCGCCTTTTTAAAGATGAACCACGGCCGCTTCCCAGGCCCGCATCGCCTCGGTGACCAGTTGCTCGCATTCCTCCAGCTCTACGGCAGAGATGTTGACTTGCAGTCCGTCGGCGTTGCAGTCGATCCCCCTGGCTTTTTCGATGCGGGTATTCTGCGTATGAATAATGGGCCAGAGGACTCTGCGTATCTTCGTGGTCAACGCTCTCTTGTCGCTGCTAAGCGTACTGCTGCTGCAAGAGGGAATTTACCTGCTAGTCGCCGGTTATGCGTGCAGGATCCGACTCATTACATGAATGACCTGGGTCGGTCGTGTACGCGTACCCCCGAATTACAGAGCGTCTTTGCCACTGCGCATGAGCAGCTTCGTTCAGCTTGTGACAACTGGGAGGGTTCTCGGGAGGATAGCTCGATTCTAACAAAAGCCCTGCAAGCAAGGTTCGACGGGCTGGAGAAGATGCGGGAGCAAATAGTGCATCCACAGTCCTCATGAGTTGGGTCCAGATGGATATTAGATTAATAGTACGATACCCTGTATATAAACACGTCTCATCTCTTGTTTTGCAATCGATCAACTAAGTCTTCTAGCACTTGATTAAATACCACACGAAAAAGATGCCCGCCTAGTCAATAGGCTCGTAGCAACAACATAATATCAAGGAATCACGCCCTGCGTTTTTAAGGGATAGTGGTCTAATAAAACAGATCAAACGACATAGATGCATAGAACGAAGCAAGCAAAAGACAGCGGCGCTAAAATACACGAGAGGGAAACGAGAGAGGACGAGAGAGATGGATGATAAGCAAGTTCTTACGCCGTCCAGTGCAAGTTGATGACGAGAAATCAATTACTAGAATGGCATGTTAGTAACGAGGATACTTGTCGTGACGGGGCAAGAAGGAAACTTACTAAATTTCCAGAGGTGAGATCTGGTCCAAGGCATACAGCCAGTTTCCGCCCTGCTCTTCCTTTTCAAGCCTAGACAACTATGAGTCAGTATATATGCAAGATAATAGAAAACACTCGGATCGTACCAGTCGTATGGCCAGAGAATAAGATGGCCCTGGACCTTGTTAAGAAGGTCTTCAGCGCGCTGCTTGTCCATCACTTCGTCCATTCCATGGCCCTTGGATCCGATAGTGGTAGCCCGTCTTCTGCGTCTGCGGGATTGTGATGTGGACGACGCATTCAGATTCACAGCCTCGGAGTAATCAACATGAGCCGATGCAGGGCGTGGCTTCTCTGCATCCTCAACAGCAAGACTGTCCTCTTTGTTCTGCGCGGTACTCAGCAAGTGAGGGTCTGACGCGGTCTTCAGGGCTGCCTTTTCATCAATGGATGACAAGGTTTCTTGCTTCGCCAGGTCGGATTGTGGCCGTTCAAGTTCGTTCTTAGTCCCGTTGGCATCGGTCTTTGCAAGCTCGGCCTTCTCATTGATAGTTTGAGGAGCCTTCATGTGACCAGGGAATCCTTCAGATCTAGGACTGCCGAGCGATGTAGGGGAAGCAAGTCCACTGGCACTAGCACCAGGACTCAAGGGGCCAGTTGACTTTTGGTTGGCAGAAGGGGCCGGTTTGCCGCCCTGCTGACTCTGCATCTCTGCAAAGCGTTCACCGTATGTCGAATATTCCTTGTACTCCTTCCAGTTCTTGACCTCGCTGTCTGGCATGCAGCGGAAGACAGAGCGATAGATCTTTGTGTTCTTTTCCGCGAGGGCTTGCCACGTGTCCAGGTAAAAGGCATCATTGACCGGATCCTTCATACAATCCTTGTCAATAAAGATACGCTTCAAATCGGGGATGAGCGGGTTGCCGTATGTGGAGTTGTCCTGGGTTTCCTTAGACACGTATAGGCCGCCGCTTCCAATGCCGGACTCGCGGCTCGATGAACCAGAGGCTGCATGGCCCTGCGATGGGGTATCCGAGTTGGTGTTGGTTTCAGAGTCCCGGGCATTATCAGCCGACGAACTTTGCTTCCCGTCTTTGCGTGCCGATGTGGTCCGAGAAGGCTTTCGCTCCGAGGTCTGCTTAGGCTGCTCAATGGTGCCCTTTCCTTCGGAAGCAATTGGCGAGACGAGGGCCTCTCGTCCATCCGGTGACATTTGCGAATCACGGCCGACTCCAAGACCAGCCTTCTCAGCATCGATCAAGTGGTCGAAACCGTCGCCATCGACGTCTTTCTTGTGATCAGGGTTGTCTGTCACACGTGGATCGGCGGTAAGACGGCGATTACTCTTGAGGTTGGGGTTCTTGCCCTGCTCCCAGTCCACATCATGGTTGAAGCTGTGCATGTGTTCCGAGCGGGACAAGAACTCGTCTTGAACGCGATGACGGCGCTCCATCATCTCACGCTCATCCTGTCGTTCGATCATGGAAGACTCCGATTCGCGGCGGTCTCGCCCATTAGTCGGCTGGGTGCCTTCTTCGACAACCTGAATCTTGCGGAGTTCCTCTTCAGTCGAGAAGTCGTGCTCCAAAAGCTCATCGACGTCAATGCCAAGGTGCTCTCGCATCAGACGCATACGAAGAGTGTGTGGGAATCGACCAACAAGGAAAGGCTTTCCGGCCATGGTAGACGAGATCATGTCAGTATCGCGGACAATCGCAGCGACCTCGGAGTCGCGCGACCCCAGCATAGATCGCTCGTTAATGTTAGCTGATCCAATAATAGCAGCACGATCATCGACGACCATGCACTTTGCATGAATATACAGTTGCTCGGTCACCAACTGTTTCTGCGGGCCAATCTTGCCCCAGGCTCGCAAGCTGAAGAACTGGATATAGTCCTCGGGCTCGATGCCGAGCGCCCGGAGGCGCCCGAAGATGGACGTTTCGCCACGGCAAATACTGCGGTATTGACACTGCATGATGAGACGCACGCTAGTACCACCCTCACTATCCACGGTGTTTTGGAAGCCGGGGATTAGGGGGATCACAATAACCGCACGCCAGGCCTCCTCGTTCTTTGCTGCTCGGACAATTCTCTCGACCAAAGCATCGCCAATCAAGTTCTCGATCTTCCTGCCATCGATTTCACAAGTACTGATGAAGAACTGGTTCTCAATGTAGACAAAGTGCTCGGACTCTTCAATCATCTTGACATAGGCATTCATGATACTGTGTTCGACGACATCCGGTGTACCCGTTGACCACATGCTGCTGGACCGCAGGATTTGCACCTCGCAAGTTCCATCCAGACCCAGAGCCTCCAGGTCGGCAGGGTTGAAGTCGGGAGGAGGCAACAGGAAGGGGGTTGGTCGTGTTGGCTTGCGCTGACGGAGAATATAATTCCAGCGCTGGACAAAGTGGCGAGTCAAATCTCGTGCAGGCTGACCGACAACGTGCATCGAGATATCATGCCAGGGCATACGAGGCACGACAGAGCGATCATACATCTCCTCATAAGGTTTATCCAAATCGTAGAAATCCTGGATACGAGGGTTTGAGTAATCCTTTCCAGGCCAAAGCTGGCAGTGGTCTGCATCCTTGGGCATATCTGCAGTTTCAAAACCGGTGGGCTTATCATCGGTGAGAGAATGCTGTGGGGTATCCCAACGACCAAAACACAGATCAATTCCTCCCACGAAAGCCAGCGTGTGATCGATCAGACAAAGTTTCTCGTGATGAGCCCAGAAGAAAGTGTTCTGGCGGAACTGATTCGGCGATCTCTGAACGAAGATGTTTGGGTGGAGCTCAAGAAGAGAGAATTTGGAGTATTCAGAGTCAATGGGAATGGCAGAGTTGATGTTCCGGTACATGATCACAAAGACCTTGACGCCTTCGCGAGCCTTCTTCTGCAAGAGACGATCCAGTCGCCACTTTTGGCTAATGGCAGCAGGACGTCTCATATAAAGTTCTGGACTGAGCCACCAATCATGGATGTAAATAACATCCTTTGCCTGGTTGATGGCTCTGGATACAACCCACATGTGGTCTCGACCATCGACCAGCCACTGCGCAAAGCATTTTTGACGCACCGGGGCGAAACTGTCGAACCGGTTCGGCTGCATCCACGGGGTATTTTCGGCCATGAAACGAATCGACTCTTCAAACTGCAGAAGCTGGCGTTCGTTACGTGCCAGTAACTTCAACTTGCGCTCAGAGTTCTCAAGACGAAGAGTGTGGTGCTGGGGGTGCCTAGCCGAATCCTTTGCCGACTTTGCCAGATCCTTTGCCTTTTGATTGCGAAGGCTGATCTTTTGGGTCTGCATCTTGAAGGATGAGTCGATCAAGAAAACATCGTAAATGTTCATCTCCTCGGGCGAATCCACACAAACAACGTAGCTGTGGCGAACAAGGAACCACTTGGGCCAATGCCGCTTCTTGATCAGCGAAGGCGTCAGAGCTCGACGGAAGTCAAGACCCTTTGAGGATTGGATGATTAGGAAGCCCTCTTTGCCGTGGTAGCTCCCTTCGGCGGCGAGACGTACACCAAGAGCAGAAAGCTCGAGGAACTTGCAGAGGCGGTTGCTATCGGCTCGGAAGATTAAGAACCGAATCATCTTCTGCAGGTAGAGCTCCAACTTCTTGCGCTGTCTTTCAGGATATGTCTCCCGTTTACCGCCAGCTCCTTCGTGGGTGGATGAAGGTCCAGCAGCAGACTCCCCTTCCTGGTTGGTGATGCTAGACTTTCTGCGAGCAATACCCTGAGAAGGTCTGCGCTGATTCTGCGGGTTCTTGCCCTTCTTCTTTGCAGCCTTTTCCGTGCCACTCATGGCTTCGGGGCCAGTCTCGTATCCGCCATCCTCTTCCTCATCTTCAAACTCGCTTTCCAGCCCGCGAACGCCACGCATATAAGGGAAAGCACTTCTGGGGAAACGGGGCAGACTAGGGCTGTTCTCGCTCGTTCGTAGCTGAATGTACTTTTGTGTGCCGAGGTGAAGCTTGTACTTGAGGTGCAAATTGGCGAAATCCCTCAAAGTCCGGAAGATGATCCACTTCATTCGTGTCATGCCACTTCCGTACTCCAGTTCAATACGGAACACCAGGTGACGATCACCAGAGTGCGAGTCAATACGACTGTCGACAACACGGACCTTCAATTGCTCCAAGAGAATTGGAATTCGCTTGCTTCCGTGTTCATCTCGTTGGAAGGCACTGGCTAAGATCAGCGCAGCGGGCACGGCAGAGGACAATTCAGCGAGTAGCTCTGCTGATTTCTTGTTATCCACCGCATTTTCAGGCCGGCGCCGTTGACCGATCAGCTTGAGACCAGCTTTAATCTGCCTCCAACGCTGTGCACTAGCACTAGTGCCCCGCTCGTTTCGATGGCGTCTCCAGGTAGCCGCAAGGCTCTCATTATTTTCCGATGGGCCTCCAATGCCGGTAAAACGTCTTAGCTGACTGGGTCGCTGGGGTTCATCCTGGTTACCATCCTGCTGTTGCCTTCCAATATAAGAGAAGCCGCGAGTGGTCAACGCGCTTCTCTTGCGCCTGCTTAGCTGAGCACGACCTTCATCCTCGGACACGCCCTCTCGGGGCTGAGGCGTGAAGTCTGTAGTACTAGCTCTGCGGGGAAAGAGATTGGTCCGATAGTTCTCGAATGGAGCAAATGAGGACGCGAAATGGAATGACGGCCGGCGTGTAGTTTTGGGGGTCGTAGGGGCAGTGCGGTTTCCCATGTCTTCGTCCGTCTGTCGTCGACGTCGCAAGATTATCTTCCTTCTCGGGCGTTCGGCTTGTTGTTCACCTCCGCTCTCTTCGGCATCAGCGTCCGCATCACTCCCCTCCTCAGTCAGGGGCTCAGGGAAGCGGAACTCTCCACGCTCAGAGCCTGGTGTCATGTCGGCCGGGACTGGACGGAAGTCACCGATCGTGGCTCCGCTCGCAGACCTAGAATGTGATGCAAAGGGCGGAGATGCAGCCAGGGACTTTAATCTAGTCATGAATGACCTTCCCCTCGTTTGTTCTCCATCTTCTCCGTACATGGATGAGGGCCGGGATGGCCCCCGGGATGCGGGCGCATCAGGGGCTTCGTTGTCTGTATCACGGAATTGGACACTCGGGGCACGGGACGCAGGGGATATACCGGGGATCGAGGCTTGGTGTCTGTGACGATTCACTGAGGAGGCCCTATCGTTGTTCGGCAATCGAGTACCCGGGGAGGGATGCTCCTTTGGAGAGCCACGTTGTGTCGAGGAGGAACGCAAATTCTCCTTATTCGAAGCAACTGCTGCGCTCACCTTGAACGGTTCTTTCGTTTCCAACCCCTTCTCGTTTTCTGCAGCGTCTATCGCCGGAGGTTGTCTCAGAGAGGCGGGTCGGTTCGTGTCGGTGGGAGACGGAAAGGGTGAGGCCAGCTTTGAGCCATTCGGGACGGAGATCGGGTCGGGCTTCTTTAGTGTTTCATTTTCCAGACTCTGATCAGCCTTCCTCTGCGGAGGGGCCAACTGAGCGTCGGCCATACTGTGGTTGCGAGATAATCTTCAGTTGCAGCTCGTGGGGAAGTTGGCAGGTCAGGAACAAGGCGGCATACATGCGGGATCAATCGGGGCCCTGTCGAATGTAATTCGGATATCTCGCTGTCATTCTAGAATTGCATCTTCTTAATAGGTCGAGGCAGAGAATTGACGAGCAAGCAGCATGCCGCACGCGAGTGTTGACATTAAAGGAGCGCTGGTCGTTTGAATTAGTTCACGACAGCGGTGGAGTAGCTCCGCCCCATCAATCACTCCGACTGGAGAAGGCCCGCCAAGGCTTCAAGCTAGCCAAGAAGTGGGCGGTCAGTTCCTGAAACCAAAAAAAAATCCAGGGGATATCCAGGGGCTGATTCAATAAGGAGAAGGCCGTCGATCCGGAATCAATCTCTGGCAGGAGTATGAAGATCAAACGCAAAATACAAGGAGATCATTTATTCGTAACCTCCCAGTTTGTATTTTGCTATTTTCGGGTCAGTGTGGAGTTCTCTAGCCTCAGGCATAGGGTCACGTGGTATTCCCAAGACCAGTGCAACTATTTAAAACCAACTATTGACAATGAGGGGCTTCTATATATAGCTGGAACCATCGATCCGCAAAGATGGTGATTGAAATTTTGATTTTGAAGAAGGATGTTGAGATAGTCTAAGGCCAATATTTTTCTGAGTGACACCATTCACGCGGAGTATATATACCCACAACCTCAATCGCGCTTGAAAGCTACTACACTTCAAGGTTGGGTCATGAGACAAGCTTTCTAATAGATGATTACAGGGAGGATCAACATGAATGAATTAGGCTTGAGAAATTCGAACTTGTCTAGGTCTAGAGCTTTTGTCATTCACAACTCTTGTGATCTCTCTGTCCATAAAGCACCATCCACTCTCGTTACCCGCTAATCTGATCTGAACATCTCAACCATGATATCCTTCCAGAAGAAGCCTAAGCTTCTCAAGTGTGGAGGCTCCAGAGCCTCACATCAAAGGACCCTCCAAACGACTCCTCATCTCCTCAAATTTTTTTCAAGTCCTCATATTTCAGGATCTCCCAATACCGACCAGTGCTAGACGCTGTGTAGGCCGTCCGCATTATCGGATATACCAAGCTCCTGTCCAGCGTGGCCAGCATTCTTATCTTGATCTCCTCAGATATAACGGGGAACTTGTCTAGGTTTGGCCGTCAATTTGAGTGATCACTCTGCAGATATTAGTAAGTCATTTTCAGATCAGCTGCAAGGGTAGTAGTCACCTTGTATATTGAAAGGTAAACTTGTTGGCCGATTAGTTCTATCAGTGAAACAAAAGGAAGCAAAGGGGGATAGAGGTCCTGTCTGCCCTCTCCCAGTAATTTTCAGAAGTCGTTCGAAAGGGAAAGAACCCAATGACGGTCGAGTAGGTTGAGTAAACGACCAACACTGGCCCCGAAGATCTGCAGGGGGAAAGTTCCGCCAACCAGGAAGGGAATTCCCATACATTGCGCTGTGGTAAACCCTAAGGAACCCAAATTCTCGGTCGGCGAATAATATGTGGCAGTATCACGCTCGTATGTCTCCAGTGAAACATGGCCCGGCAGCTTCAGGCTTTGTGGCTGTAGGTGATCAACATATTATATAGTACCAAATCCCAAATAGGGACATGGAGATGAGGAGTATAACGTAAGTTATGTGTCCGGTGTTCGATGGTTATGTAGCTGGCTGGTACTCTCTGAAGGACGGAGAGGCAACCCAACGACAGGGTCAATCTTGACCTCATATATCTTTACGATAAGCTTAGTGGATCTATGATGATGAGAGCTTTGGTTAATGCATGTTCGGGATTAGATTGCTCATGAGTTTTCTCACAATAGCTTCATCAGACTCGCAGCTGTGAGAGGCTACCGAGTAATTAATTGGGGTAGACCTCTCATCCTTGGTGGTCGCTGGCTTCTTCGATACTATGTATCCCCATTCAGTGACGTTGATAGGTTCACTGTTCGGCTCCTCAAGCATAGTCTTCTGGCTCTGCTAGGCCTCATCCCGCATAGACCTGCCACCGACTCTCCGTGTTTGGAGATAAATGTCTATCAGCTTCCACCTTGCACATTCCACTTTGTCAAGTTGATGTCGAGCTATAGATGGGATATCTAGGTGTGAAATGAAGCCTAGAAGAAAGGAAGGTGGGTGTATATAGCTGAGATGTTGGCAACTGTGCAGTAGTGCGGGTTGTTTGATATTATAATAGCTCAGTGTAAGAACCAAGAAGCTAAATTATAGCAGCCCCAACATGGTAACTAAGAGTAGGGAAAGAAAGAAGAGCGACGGGGAGAGATCGATAAACGAGAGACATAAATAGCCACAGATGGCCTAACAAAAGGGGCATCCACCCATATATTCGTTGTTTGTATATGCAAATTATACTTAAGAAGCTCAAGCGAATATCATGTACAAAATTCCAACTTAAAGAGTCGCCCTCGCCATGAATCGAACCCGAGACTTCTCGCTCCCTATATACTTCATGATGATGCTCCAGGTACAGCCCGCGGCTTCAACACGATACAGCGCCGAGAAACAACACACAATATAACCACCAGATCACATTTTAATAATATCTAAAAGAAGGATTATATTCTATAAGATTTAGTGATTAATTTAATATAGATAAAGTATAATAAAAGGACTTTAAAGGGGGTAACTATACAGGGATGTTAGATATAAAAAAACCTCACCCGCCGGGGGCCGCACCTGCTCCACAGAAGCTTCCTCGCAGTTACGACCGCCGAACCCACCAAAGTGGCTACGGGCGCCTAGGGGTTAACCCACTAGACAACCGGGCAGGATCAGTTGCTGATTTCAACTGGAAGTAAATGATAACACCTCATGCCCTTCCTACCTCAGCCTACTATGCGCGGGTTTCCCTCTTGAGGTACACAGCGATATCAAATCTTCATGTTATTTAGAGCTTGTATTCCGCGATTCCTAGGGAAGATGACGAGGAAATCCAAGTCTAGCCTTATAGTTCTTCTTGAATCTAGGCAATAAGCTTAACTCCGTGGACGATATTGTACCCTGGGGCTAATCACTAAGCGCCTCGGCTCCTTCGCGATATACCCGAGTCGGCACGGCACTTCCCCGCCATAGCAGCAATTATTTCGGGGAACATCCCACCCAACGAACCTAGTTATAACCCACACTTTTACACCCTCTCCCTGACTCCCACCGCACACCAATTTCCCCCAATCCCCTCCAATTCACCCCCACAATGACCGACCCATTGAAATCCTACGACTCCTCCGGCCGCCCCAAGCCCGCCGCAGTCTCGCAAAACGTCTACAACATCGCCGGTATCTCCGTAACAGTCTACGGTCTGAACGAGCTCCGCTCCCAGGCTACAGGTGTCGCATGCCTGTGGCTGCTTCACCCTCGTCTTGCGACGCAGGAGCGTATGACTGGTATCGCGGAGGCGACTATCAATGACTGGAATGAGAAGACGCAGGCTACGCCGTCGGCGAAGGGGTTGATTGCGGTTTCTTTTGACCAGCGGAATCATGGGGCGAGGATGGTGGATCCGCTTGCCAATGAGGCTTGGAGGCAGGGGAATCCTCGGCATGCGCAGGATATGTTTTCTATTTTCCGTGAGTGTTGTCTATACTACGCATTACTACTACGATTGGGGGATTGTGGATGCAGATGGCTTTGAATGGTGCTAATCTGTTATTGTAGAGGGCACCGCGCGCGATACTTCGCTGCTGATGGACTACCTCGCTGCGTTTATCTTCCCTAATGGCGAGCACAAGATCTCGGAGAACCTGGTACTCGGCGTGTCACTGGGCGGACACGCCGCGTGGAGCTGCTTGTTGCACGAGCCTCGCATCAGCGCCGGTGTTGTCATCATCGGCTGCCCGGATTACCTCAATCTCATGGTTGACCGTGCCCGTCTATCCAAGCTACCCTCCTGGACCAAGACCAACCCTCCCGGCGCAGAGATCCTCGGCTCGGAGGCTTTCCCGACGTCCTTCGTGGATATCGTCAAGCGGTATGACCCCGCCAGTCTGATGCTGGGTTATATAGATACCGGCTCGTCCAGCCTGCAACGTGATGGACCCCTGCCCGAGCCGACGGAGCAACAGAAGCAGGAACTGCGTCCGCTGCTGACGCGGTTATTGGCCGGCAAGCGGATTCTGAACCTGTCCGGTGGCATTGATAAGTTGGTGCCGTATCACCGCGGAGAAGCGTTTTTGGATTGGTTTAAGAGTGCGGTTGGATCGAACGGGTGGTTTGGCGAGGGCGGTGTTTGCTTTGAGGATATCATTGACCGGTCTGCGGGCCACGAGGTGACGCCTAAAATGGTTGATGAGGCTGTTCGGTTCGTGAGCGAGACACTGGCGATCAGTGCGGATAAGACGGGGCGGAGAGGCTCGGTGCGGGAGTCGAAGATCTGAGTGGTGTCATGATAGCTAGACTACAATATGGGGGAGCCTGTAAATAGCATCGAATGTATTACCTTGGACGATAGTATGATATACGGGTAGACCTACAAAGACAGTTGAGTACTGTATCGTCATGCTCGTACGGCATAGCATCATAGACCAGACAGCCTATATTAGAATTGGCCTTGGATGGGCACTGGCATAGCAGATGAACCGCAAATCCCAGCCCAGATATTGAATACGATGCCTCGGGCCACACATACAATCGAGCAGATGGAAGAAAAAAAGTTTGAAAAAATCCTCCTTGTGGTATTTGTTTAACACAATGTGAAATCGTAAGGGCATTCGGAGGCCATGCTATGCTGATTTGCATACACAAAAACCCTTTTTCTTTTGGAACGCCCCCGAACCAAACCATACTCGGCTCGTGGCGGCCTTTTTTCGAGTTTTCCGATCGTCCTCCTCCGACAGGATAAGACAGTTGAAAAGATTTCCTCCACAAGACCGAACGCAGACCCCCATAATTCAAGTGGGCTACGCTTGCCCCGATTCACCCGCCTTCTCCCGGGAAAAAAACACCAATATTCAACGCTTATGCGACCAGCTCAACGACACCACCGGCCTCCTTGATCTTCTGCTCGGCATCACGGCTGAAGTAGCGGGCACGGACGACGAGGGGAATGTTGGGGAGACGGCCCTTGCCGAGGACCTTGGAGTAGCCGAGGGGCAGGAGGTCGATGACGGGGGCGGTGTCGGTCTTCTGGCCGCTCAGGTAGGCTTCACGCTTCTCAGCGGGGACGAGAGTCCACAGCTGTAGAGAAAAAATGACAGTCAGTGAGGCTGTTCAACGGGTATATCCAATTTTCACGATGCCGGTCCATTTTTTGCTTTCCCTTCCAATTGGCTCTTGAAACCACTTCCGAATGCACTTGTCGTAGATGTCGTTCTTCAAGCATACAAGGCGTGTATCCAGCCTGCTTCTCCTCTCCTGCGCCTATCCCACACCTTTTTTCCACGCTTCCCTTCAAACTGGACCGGCTCGTTCGAATTCACGATTTCACGTACCTTGTCGAGGTTGATGGTGGGCTTCCAGAACTTCTGCTGGGTCTTGTGGAAGTAACGCATACCGACCTTACCGAAGTAACCGGGGTGGTACTTGTCAATGTTGGTACGGTGGTGGTGCTGACCACCGGCCATACCACGACCACCAGGGGACTTGCGGTGCTTGCCGATACGACCGTAACCGGCGGAAACGTGGCCGCGGCTGTGAGAAAGAAGAGGAGGTTAGTATTCTGGTCGTATATTGTGCGTGTTTGAGGGTGTATCGTCGAGCGTCGTGCGATATGTACAAGAGGCGCCGGCGATATCGAAAAAGTTGCGCCGATCGCGAACTGAATGCCAGGAGGGTGGAAAGGGTCGACTCACTGCTTCCGGGTCTTCGACAAACGGGTAGGCATCTTGTCGGGTGGTGTGTTGGCGACAAGACCGGTCTGAGAATTGGGCGTTGAAGGGGGGAAGGGTCGTGATGCTACCGGCTCAGATGTTGAAATCCACGCTCGCAAAGCTAGACTGTGCGCTAAGCAATTCGCTTGTCCCGTGATAGGGTCAAACCCTGCCCTGGGGTTGCCGTTGGTCACGTGGATCAGTCTCCGTTCTGCCACCGCCTTGGCTTTAGGTGTGGGTCTAACCATATCGGGTAATATAGTAAAGACCGTTGAACGACATCATACTTCAACATCATTTGTCGATTCAGAGTCGAATGGTACAATCTTATTGACTAGTTTGATAAAGTGTCAATTTTGTAGAAAGATAACCTTGAGCCTAAAAAGACTCCGTCGGACTATGGGAAAGTACGGAGATCAGACACATTCTACAGACATCTTGGTTGTTCATGTACTGTATATGCTTCACGCAACTTGTCCGAGAATATGTACATCTCTTGATTGTATTCTTTCATAAGAATATATTTTCTCAAATCCTCAGCTCGGCTTCTATACCTCTATTATCATCACGATCCCCTCTTTATCCTGCCTTCTCAGCGAAAAACTTCGTCAACCGCTGGACAGTGGCCTGCGCCGGCCTCACACTCGGACTCGCAACCAAACTCCCCCTAATCCACCCAGGCAGCTTAGCCTGAATCCTCGGCGTCTCATACCGCCGATCAATCATCACGATAGCCGCATAATCATTAACATGCCGAATAGCCCGCCCGATACACTGGTTAACAGCTCTCATGCATGCATTCTCATAAAAGTCCCGCCCAGCCGCAGCTGCACTAGCTTTCTTCTCCGCCTCCGTGCCCGAGTGCTGCTTATGCGTCTTTTCTTCAATGTACTTGATTTTCGCTTGCCAGACTGCGCTGCGTATGTTGGGGAATGGTAGTCCGATGATGAAGACGCCGCGTCCCAGTTCGTCGGAGAAGTTGATTCCTTCGGAGAGTTTGCCGCCTACCACGGAGAGGAGGAGGGCGCCTTGGCCGGTTGAGACTGCGGAGGTGTATTCCTGGAGGAGAGTGTCTGTGGATGTGCTCGAGTCGCGGAATTCGTAAAGGATTTTCTTTTTGTTGGATATTAGGCTTAGGATTGTGGATCCGTTGCCGTTGGGTATGGGTTTTTGCCATACGCTGACTACTTGGCTTAGGTAGTCGTAGCTGGGGAAGAATGCGACAACACCGCCTGGGATGACCTGGCAGAGGGTTGCTATCGTTCTTCCAAGATCGGTTATCTAGGGATTTGTGGTTAGCACGTACAAAGATGGACCTTTGTGCAAGGGCTGCTTACCATTTTCTCGGAGTTACGAGATTCGTATGTGAAATCGAAATCTGAGCCCATGAGTCCCTTTGTGAGGGATTGTGCTACCAGGTTGGTATGAGGAATGACGTGGCCATAGCTGAATGTACCAAGTCGCTCGGGTGGGACGTAGGAGAATAGGTGGTTCATGTAATCGGACATCTGGTCGGGGTATTAGCAATGCACGAATTGGTGGGCTCAACCCGTTCTTTTTTTCCCATGACTTACCGGCGACATAGTACCACCCGCCAGGATCACGGCCCGGGCATCCTCGACAATTTCACGGAAGTGATTGGTCGGATCGAGAAGCATGTATTTCAGTTGTACATCATTCTTGTCCTTTTGGAAGAATAGCCTGCCTTCTTCTGACGGGTTCATCAGAGGCAACAGGAAACTCTGAATATGGAAAAGAACGGGCACGGTAGACCTATCCCTAGACCGAGAGCCTTGCGGCTCTTGCGATGATTCGACATACCCGTCGACTTTCCGGGCTAGCTTGCTCTCTTGCAGATACCGCGAGAGCTTGTACGGGTTGATCTGATCCACACCCTTGCCAGCCATGAGATCGGATGGCTGGATAGAGCCTTCGGCAGGCCCCTTCTGTTGGGAGATTTCGTGGAGGTGGCGAGCGATGGAGCTCACTAGTCTAATCACTTGAGCGACGTAGTTTCGATTCTTGCCCTTGAGACGGTTCTTGAATTTGCGAGCATACGTCGTTAATTGGGTGATTGCAGTTTGCAGTTGAGAGAGCGAAACGGTCACTGAGTGAATACCGGCAATAGCATCCATCAGATTGTGCGCCTCGTCGATGATGACTACATGGTCTTTGACGGACAAGTTAAGGGCCTCGCGGGCTGATCGCTGGAGAAGTAGTGGATATGGAAGAGTCACGATCTGTCAAGCAAGGGTCAGCATCACTCAATGTCCAGTAGCTCCGTTATGCATGTTTACTGACCTCGCTATGTTTGATGACGGAGCGGGACGCATAGTAGGGACAGATGCCGATCTCCTTTCCTACTTTCCCAATATCCTCAATGTCCTTCACCGTAGCCAAGGCATGGTCTCGAAATTGAAGAAGCAATGCGTCATCATCCTTAGAAGGAAGAAAAGAGCATTTCTTGTCAGCAGCAACGCCTGATTGTTGCAGATCTAAGCACCGCTCGTTGATCGCTGTGCTGTTCTCCAGCGCTCGGACCTTGGGGTTTATGCAAAGATTCTTTCTGGAGCCCAGCGAGAGGTGTTTCACGGCTTCCTCCAGCTTCGACAGATCGTCCTCCTTGCCATCCTTTTCCGGGTCAAGGGGAATGCTCGATGGGAATGTAACTCGACGCAGTTCACCCGCAAATTGACTGAGCTGGGAGTGGGTTCGTGAACAGTAGAAGATCTTGACCGTGTCATCTTCCTCATCCTCGTCCTTTTTCTTGGTTGAAAAGTTTCCCTTGAACTTTTCTAATAGAGCGAGAGTGCTAGCAGACAGGCCATCGACTCCTCCTGACTCGCTTGGCTTTTTTTGGGCTTCCAACTCGCTGTCATAGTCATCCAGGACAAATTGCTCCTCGTCGTCGTGACTTGACTGCGAATCCTGTTCATCCAATCGCTAAATGCAAGATTGTCAGCAGGGGGACTTGATCAGATACGTTTCAGACTGGGACGTGCATACCTGTTTCTTACGGGGCCGGTTTTGCGTCACTGATGCCTGCTTCAATCGCTCTTCTTCCCGTTTAATCTTGGCCAATCGCGCCTCAAACTCTTGCCTTTTCTCGGCAATGGCACGGCGTGAATCCTTTTTGGCAAATTCCACCATCCAATCTGGCTCGTCATCGTCACCTAGTGCAGAGATGAGCTATGACGTAAGACAAAGCGCTACAGGTTAGGACACATACATGCTGCCTGATCCAAGGTCTCCTGAAAGGCCTTGCGCTTGTGATCCCGTAGCCATGTGAGAGATCCGCAGATCAAGCTCAGTGATTTACCCTGATTGGAAAAAGGGCCTTAGTATGGTCGTAAAAGGTGGACGATCTCACCCAAGGTGGCATCTCATCCGATTCACCAGACTAGTGGAGACAAACTACTTACAGTGCCTACGGCCGTCAGATCGGAAGACACGGAGTAAACAAGGGGGCCTTGCTCGGGGAAGAGGGGCCTAGCGCGTACCGGTGGGGGACTCAAAGACGGCTACTTTTCCGTCTTCAAGGCAGCCGTATAGGGCCTGCATGAACTGGAGCTGAATGTCGTACGGGGTAAACGGATGGTGGAAATCCTGTGGCGTGGTTGCCATGTTGGTGGCCGTGGTGGCAGTGGCCACGGAATACACAGCCTGGAGTTTGTCTTTGACACCAAATGGTGTATTACCCAGCGAAACTCAAACGATCAGCAGCGGGTAGGGTTTTTTCTGGAAAGTCGCGGCTGATAAAAATAACACCCGAGCCCGTTGGTGGAGCCGGAGGAGGAGTCCAGGAGAGACATGCTCCAGTCGTGTTGCTGACTCGCTGCAACATCCAGGGGGAAAAGAAATTATGGGCGGGTCCGTTGGTATTTGACTCGGTGATGGGCCACGATACGTTTTGTTTTTTATGCCCAATGTGATATCTAGAGAAATAAATTGGATATTGAATACATTATAAACTAAATCATCTACTATGCTTTTCAGGAGGATGACTGCTCGGAAAATGCTAGTATTCCCGACTCAATGTGGGGATCTATATAAGAAGATAAGCGAAAAGACAACATCACAGTCGTATACCACCGAAAGCTTTTGATTATACTCTCTAGTTGATCATATTTCATCATCAAGCCTATAATAACCTCCATGTCAATTATTCGAACCTTGTTTACTTATTCACAAGCATCAGTCTAGTCATCATTGTCAGACTCTTAAACTTATTTTTGACTCTCGCTGCCATTTTAGATTTACCAAGACTATTAATATCCGCTCCAGCCTCAGCTGACTGTGGCAGGACATGTCCAGCAGTCCAGTGATATTTACATTAGTATCATGCTTAACGAACCCGTTGGTCACGACTATGAACTGCAGTACATTGCCTCTAATCAGTCATAACCTCGTTGGGAAAGTTATACGGCGATAGTACGTCGAGAGAGTGTGTATCCTTGTTGTAGTACAGCATGGATATACTAGCATACTAATGCCCATACTGGAATCAACTCTAGCATTGCAGAATGATAGACATCATGTAATTTCAAAACTCATAGACACCCAGTCCATCGGGTCCCGAGTTATGTATGTATTCCACTTTACACTGGGTCCTTGACTCCTCCACTACTTAAAAAAGGTCACCTAATTAGGCCCTGAGTTGCGCTAAAGTGGGTTGTGGTTCGGTCTGTTCGGTACGTCGGACATGTACATACTTAATTTGGTAATTATTATTACAATCGCTAGAATTTAGGAGTATTTAGTATACTGTAATTTTTTTTATATCTCGATAGCTTTTCTAATTACACTGGTATAGTGTTCCACGACCTATTAAGCTAGTCCTGAGACCCAGATAATCTCCGGAGGCCTCTTTCTTTTCGTTCCATCGCCTTCCTTTTAGCTCCTCTTTAGCTCCTAAACAGCCGGTTCGGCGTCTTCCCCCTCCCCATCTTTTTCTGTCTGGACGCCCCTCCTACTCCTCTTACTCTTCCTTTCCCCTCTTCCCCCCTCCACCCCTCTTCTAGTTTTCTCTTCAAAAATTTCTCGTGGGAAGTATTCGCGGATGCTGCCCCGCAACTGAGGGTATCCGGTACTTTCTCTGCAGCACCTGACAATTTCCCTTTTCCAATTTACCAAAACTACACACGAGATGAATCATCCTCCGCAACACGGCCAGGGTCGTGGTCAGCAAGGCCTGGGGCCGACTTGGTATCCAGGGGGGCAGGATGACTTTTACATGCCAGAGGTCATCTCCCCCTCCCCTCAAAGGTGCGATCTCCTCCCCTCCATTTTCTAGCCGTTGCATCTGTCAATGTCCCTACAACGATGCCGCGGGTTCGTGTGCTAATTCATCCGCGCAGGGTCATGCCCGAGGTCCCCGAGAACATGCAAGACAACATCGCGCAGATGGAACACCACTCCTATGACCCCCGCCGCGCTCAGCCGCAGTCGCCCGCGCAATACGCTCCCCGGTCCCAGTTTCCGGAGCGCTCCTCTTCTGCGGTTCAAAGCCAGCCTCAGCAAGCCCAGGCTCACGATCACGGTGCCTACGCGCAGTCCGCGACTTACGATAGCATGGACCACCCTAATTTCTCCCCGTTCCCCGTTTTGCGGAACCCCCGCCAAATGTCCCGCCCACCGATGAGCAGCGCGAAGCGAATCTTGAACGCGCCCGCATGGCCGTTCTGTCCACCACCGACCCGGAGATGCAATTGGCATGGGCGCAGGATGCGCTCGCCTTTGTCGAGGTCGCCGCCCAAAACGAGGCTCGTCTGTCGACCACTCAACCCCCACGGCCTCACACCCCCCAGGTCGAGCGTCAGCTGCGCACGGATGCGATGAACATTGTCAACTTTCTGGCGGGCCAGCAGCACCCCAAGGCCGAGTTTATCAAGGGTATGTGGCTGGAGTTTGGCAAGTTTGGCTACCGCATCGACCGAAAGGAAGCGTTCCGCTCTTACACGCGGGCGGCCGAGAAGGGATATGCGCGCGCCGAGTATCGCATTGGTATGCAGTTTGAGAGCTCCGGAGAGCCAGAGAAGGCTATTCGACACTATGAGCGCGGTGTTTCAATGTCGGATTCTGCCTCGTACTACGTATGTTTTGTCCCGGAGAAGGAAGATACGCGAAAATAACGACCGGGATCTCTAACTGTGTCTTCCAGCGCCTGGGAATGATGATTCTTCTCGGACAGCATGGCCAGCGTCAGGACTATCGGAGAGGTTTGGAGTATATTAGATTGGCCGCGCAATCATGCGACCAGAACGCGCCGCAGGGTGCCTATGTAAGTGAACGACACTGGTGGATGGGCGGTTATGTTGCGAATTCTAATCAAATCAAACTATAGGTCTACGGTATGCTGTTGGCTGGCGAGCTCCCTCAAGTCAGCGTTCCCGAGCCTTACCTCACTCCCGATCTCAATATTGCCCGTGTCAACATCGAAAAAGCTGCATACCATGGATTCGCCAAGGCCCAGGTTAAAATGGGTGCTGCATACGAGCTTTGTCAGTTGCAATGTGATTTCAACCCCGCGCTGTCCTTGCATTACAATGCGCTCGCCGCCCGCCAGGGCGAACCGGAAGCCGAGATGGCCATTAGCAAATGGTTCCTCTGTGGACACGAAGGTGTCTTTGAGAAGAACGACGAGCTCGCATTCACCTATGCCCAACGTGCAGCACAAAGTGGCCTCCCCACTGCCGAATTCGCCTTGGGCTACTTTTATGAGGTCGGCATCTTTGTTCCAGTTGATATTAGGGAAGCTCGGAGCTGGTATGCCAAATCCGCTGCCAGCGGCAACAAAGATGCGTCTTCGCGCATTGATAGCATCTCGCGATCAAAGACTTTGTCCAGGAAGGATCACGAAAAGGTTGCCATTTCCCGTATAAAATCGACCCGTTATGCCCACCAGCGTGGTAATTCGTTGGAAGCAACTCCTGAGAACATCGAGATGCCCGACCCTTCACGCATGAGCCTCAACGACCAACCCCCCTCCGCCGCTCCCTACCCTGATCGGACTGGGTCTGCTCGTCCTCGTCCTCCCGGTCAGCAGAACTACCAAATGCCCGATCCTCGCCCAAGCTCCGCCTTTGGTGTCAACCCGAACCTTCGCCAGAATGGTCCTCCCCCGGTCCTGGATATGGCGGAGGTCGCAATCCGTCCTACGGCGCTGGTGGCCCCGGTGGTCCTCCTGGCCCAATGAATTACCGCCAGCACAGCCCTGGTGGTCTCAGTGGTCCAACCAGCCCTCAGTCCGCGGGCATGATCAGCCCCAGCGGCACGCCCCGAGTGGACATTGGGTACTCCGCACCAGTTCCACCTCCAGGTGCGGACCGTCGTCGTCCTGCACGTCTTGACTCTGCACCGCCAGACCGCAAGCCTGTGCGAACACCTGTCTCCGGTCATGCCCCTGCTCCTGGACCTCTACCATCCCCTCGTAACCCTACATCACCTAGGCCGATGGGCTCCCCCCAATCTGCCAACTTCCCTCCACGCAACGAGTCACGCCAGCCCTCCAGAAGCTCGGCCTCGTCAACGCCGCAGCCGCCAGCAGGCCCTGCACAACAGCAGCAACCGGCTAAGCCTGCTGCTCCACCGCCATCTAAGGGTCCTAAGACGTTTGAGGAAATGGGTGTCCCCAGTGCGAAGAACGACAGCGATTGCGTACGTATTCCTATTCCATGCGGAGCCATCTACTTTATCTCAGGTGGAATCATTCTGAATTAAAGAGCTAACCATCTTCTTCACAGATTATAATGTAATTGATACCCCGGACGCTGTTCGTTCTCGATTAAAACCACTTTCCCTCCATGGCCATCCCATACATGTCTGTGGGCGTAACCATTTTGCATTTGGTCTTTTTACTTTCCAACATTACCTCTTCATTTTGATCTAGCTTTTTGTTTTCTCTCTCTTCGATTTCTTATACCTTCTTGTAATTTGGGGCCCTTTTCTCAAAATTACATTTGTTGGCTTGGGAGGTAAATCAGTTGACGATGCCCTCCCTTTTCTTCCATGTTGCCTTTTCCCCTTCCCCAATTCTCTCTCCCACATGTTTGCATTTACGCTCCGGATATCTTGGCTGCCCTGGGGCCTTTGGACATATGGTAGTTCGGCTGTTTAGATTTTCTAGATATGTAGTCTTTTATGAGAGCATTCAAAATGCATTTGTGTACTTGTGTGTTCCTATGCTTTTCAAGTATATGTGTAGTTTGTAGTGTGTAGAGGATTCAATTTTGGTGTGGTGTGTGATCTCTCTCTTCTCATCTTCAACTTCCACCTGAACTTTCACCTCGAATTCGAGTCCACTCCAGGCTTTCCCCAAACCGTCACCGCCATGGCACCTCGCAAGGAAAAGGGCGACAAAGGTGCCAGGACAGATGGTGTGTTTTTGACGCCTGAATGTCTTGTGAGGATTGGGTACTGACGAGGTGACAAGATGCCACTCTGGTTCTGGATTATCTACGTGAGTTCTTCCGATGCCTTGATATCCGATTGATCACCAGGATATTAATGCGTTTGCAGGTGAACAAAAGTATGCCATTCCGACCTCTTCGGTTGGAGGATTAACGCTGACTCGCTGATTGGTACAGTCGTCCCTACTCGGTATGTACCTTGGTCCTGACATACCTCGAGTCAGAACGCTGATGATGTTGACGGTAGGCGATCGATATCTCTGCAAATCTACACAACAAGGTCACCAAAAGTGAGTACAACTCATTTCACTCGCGCGGGTATATGTTTGTACTTCGCTGATCGCGTGATTCCAGCCCAAGCCGCAAAGGTACTAAAGGAATTGCACCAGAATGGCGAGATCGAAGGTCGAACTGCAGGTATGTGGATCCTCGACCCCGCATACGCAGTCTGAGGTCATCTACTGAATAAATGGGGGTTATCAACAGGAAAACAGATAGTCTATCATGCCCTCCAGAAAGCATCAGACAGTGCGAGTCCCGAAGTCCTTGTTGCTCTCAGTCAGCAGATCACGACACTTCAAGATGAACTCTCGACCATCAAGGCAAACGAGAAAAAGGCCCGAGCTGCCTTGTCCGCCCTTGAAGCTAAACCGCGACTGTCCACTCTGCGAGAGGATATCCGCCAGCTACAGGAGGAACGAGACGCCGCCCAAGCACGTATAGGCAAACTCTATGGCGACGATCAACCTCAGATCTCCCCCGAGGCGCGTGCTCAGCTGGAGCGCGACTGGAAGCAATGGCAACGACAGGCCACCGTCCGCCGTGGCATCTGTCGCGAGTTATGGGGGCGATGCTCTGAAGTTTTGCCGGAGGATACGACTGCGCCGGAGTTATGGGTAAGCCACACACTACTACTCATCGCCACTGGCACTTGAGTTTGTTGAGAGTAGGCGAAGGTACCGTACTGACGGGGCGAGCAGGAGTCTTTGGGGCTTGAAGGGACACTCCAATAAGAATCGGTCGGGTACGGACGCTTGATCTGCCTCGTTCTCCACTCGGTCACATCATTCGACAAGCGTGATTTGCGGCTCGGCCTGAGCGGAGCCTTGGAGCTTTCTGATTACGGGAAAATACTGGAATACTGAATAGTGAGCACGGGGCAACCAGGGCGTGACTGGGATGATTCGTCACGCTTTGATAGGTGACTATTTATTCAGGATGAGAGAGATTTCGGAGATATGCGAGCGGATCTTGCGGAATGGAGGCAACCCGGGAGGCGACTATTCTTTCTCCAGGCACATCAGATGAACAGAGCAGATGGTCTGGTCTTTCGGAGGGCGACCAACGAGAACCAGTGGAGAAGGACTTCCACTACGAAAAGAGCCCATCATCATCTGCACCCGCAGTTATCAGAAGTAGTCATGCTACTTTAGTATTCTTCTTCTGTTCTATTCTTCATACTCCTCTTTTATTCTTGAGAATCTATCTCTATCGCTATCTCTATTCCTATACTACTATACTATACTGTACTGTTTCGTACAAAAAAAAAAAGTACATTTAAACTTCGCTGAACTTCACCGCCCGCCACCCGCCCATTCCCCTCTCACTCCGATAACCACCCCTCCAGCCTCTTCCCCCTCACCATCCCAATTCTCACTCGGCGATGCTCTCGGCCTCTCGCCCTCCTGCCCGTTCCAATCGTCCTGAAATGAGAGGTCGTGCACCTCTGCCGGTGCCCTCGGGCCTTCAAAACGGCCATTCCCGCAATCCTTCTAGCCTCGACATGGCTCGCAGCCCGCCCAACCCGAGCAATAAGAGTATGTCTTCATGCAACCTCGCCCACCGATCCACCAGCACTCCATTCAACTCCCGTATATGTCGCTGTCTGTTGATCATAAGCTAATTAATGCCTCTCCGATTACTCCGCAGACACTAAGCATGTTCCTTGCAAATTCTTCCGTCAAGGCGCTTGTCAGGCCGGCCCCGCTTGTCCGTTCCTGCACTCGACCGATGCCGCAATCGACTATGCGCCATGCAAATACTTCACCAAGGTATGAGTTGACTCGCGCCTTCCAGTCCATTTTTCAATGCATTTCATCATTCCAATTTGATCTGGCGGCTGACCGTGATGGCACTTTTTTTGCCTTTTGTCTGGGTTTAGGGTAACTGCAAGTTCGGCGCAAAATGCGCTCTCGCGCATATCCTTCCTGACGGCCGTCGTGTGAATCGAGCTAGTGGTGGTGGCGGTGGTGGTATGGGTATGGGTGGTGGTAGTCACTTGAACCTGGGCGGCCGAGTCAACCCGCAGGCATATGTTAATCAGGACTCTGCCCTGACGAACTCGGTCCTCTCGCAGCAGCGTCTGAATGGTCACGAGCCAAGATACCCCCAGCAGCTTCCCCCGCAAGACGAGTCCGGCTTCGTGCAGGCTCAGCAGCAGCAGGCACCTTATGATGCGATCCCCACAATCGATACCGGACTCGCCTCCGATGCCGGCTCCAAGTACGGCTCCCCCGTGGATGATGTGCGCTTCCCCATGTCGCCTAGTGCCCGCCATCTAACGGCGTTGGATGCCCCGCTCCCCGCGTCATTTGATAGCCAGGGAATTTCTCATGCGGCTCGCTATGGCCCCGTCGCTGCTTCGGTGCCCTCCAAATTCGGCCTCGGGGAACTATCCTCCCCTCCGGCTCAGCGAATGGGCCCCTCGGATCCGTTCCGCAATATTCGTGATGTCGGCTACGACATGCGGAAGCCATCGTCAAACATTGGATCTTCTCCCCCAGCACCTGAAGATTCCGTCGGTCCCCGGTTCTTGCACTCTTCTCGCTCCGTCAAGCCCCGCATTCTATCTGCGAGTGTTCCTCGCCCAGCTTTGCTTGACGATTGGGATGAGAACTTCCCCATGGAGGAGGACTATCTGCCTATGAACCTGCACGATGATGTTCTCACACCACAGGAGAAACTCCGCCGTCTTTCCCGAACGGACCACGACCTCAGCTCGAGTCACCGCGAGATCGGGGGTCTTGGTATGACGAGCACCAGCTTCTCGAAGAATGGCTCGCCGCTCGCATCTAGTCCATCTCGCTTCGGTGCCTTGTTTGCCAAGCAACGACAGAAGAAGGAAGAGGATTCCATCGGCTCATCCTTCCCCCACATTGGCTCTCCGCTCCGCGAATCGTCATTGAACCCTATCGGTAGCCCCAGCTTGGGCCCAATTGGCAGCCGCACCTCGTACGATAACTCGCCATTTGTCTCCAGCCCTGGTCGCCAGTCTTCCATGTCCATGATCTCTGAACAGCTGAGTGGCCTTTCCCTCCACCCCGGTTCGGCCCGCCACTCTTCCGTCGGGCCGGGTCGCCTCGATCGCACCATTTCTTCAACAACCAGCAAGATCGAGGAGGAGGAACAGAGTGACTTGGTCTTCTCCATGGAGGAGGAAGAGGGAAACAAGCGCAACAGCTCTTCCTGGAACTCTGAGAGCAAGGAGAGCTCGAATGACTCTTAATTTTGTTCTGTACATGCAAGCAATTCTTGCAATCTGCATTTTCTGCACATTGCACTCATTCGCTACGATCACGACGACACGGGCCAAGCGGCGTCCACAGCTATGGACATACTCATTTTCCAAAAAAGAGGTTCATTGGAGTTTGTTTTTTCCTTCTTTTTCTTTCTACTTTGTTTCCCGTCTCGAGGGCACATTCAGCATCACGGAGCGTCAAAATATCTCGGAATCTAAAAGTGCACCAACCCCTTTCACTGATCTTCACCCTCGGCCTTTTCCATTGACTGGATTGAATGAATTCGTTGTGTTCCCCTATTCCTTTCTACTCAGGACTCATGAGTTCAGTCCTTCAATCACCGAGGCATACCAAGACTCATCGACCGACTCTGCTCGTCATTTCATAGACTGACTCTGCCGCTTTTCCTTTGAACTTGACTATGGGACAGACTTTTGTTGTTCTTTTTCTTCTTTGTGTCCCCTGTCCGTTTGGTTTACTTCCTTCTGGATCATTAGAGACTCGTCGCATTGTCTTTCCGTTTTCTAGTTCCTCCCTCTTTTTCCTTCCCATCCCCCTCGAGACTGGGCTTCTTCTTGTCTTTCAAAATCAAATCCGGGCACTTTGCCCTGCTCCTGTATTAATCCTCCTTCCCTTTTTTGTCTTTGTGATCTTCCGTGGTCGGGGAATGAGATCGAGAGGATTCCAAGCTTGACTGGGTGGTCTTAGACAATTATTCAACTATTCAACTGCCTACCTTGGTCGAGCTTGTTATTCTCTATGCGTCAACGATCTACCTTCCCTCTCTTTCTACCTCTTCCTCTCCCTTCCATACTCTTCTCCTTTCTTGTTTTTGCAAAGATTTTGGTGTTTTTGTTTCTACTTGAGGTGCTTTTCAAGATCCGATGCCCTTTCTTCGTCGCAGTCCAGTCTCGCTTGGCCTGGCCTGCCCGCGCTGTACAAAAGGCAATTGATAAACGGGAGATGTGCAAATATGCTGGTTCATCAATTGATTCCTACAAATGTTTAATGTTTCTACAAGATCGTATACTGTAGGTAGTCAGTAGTACTCTTGTATCTTGAGTAGGCCTTTTGGCTGCAGTATACCGTAAATATTGTTATTAACTTGAGGTTTGATTTCGATTTCGATTTCGATTTCGGTCTGATTCTCTGCTCTTCATCGTATACAATAAACTTCTACCAAAACGCCCCTGGCCTTCCATAGGATCCCACAAAAATCCAAAATCATCAATTTCAACGCTTAACCATGAACCGAGGATCAGAATTTCCTATTACTGATTCTCACTCTTCACTACCCCTAGATATCACCAAGATACATTGCACTCCCCTTCAAACTAACAAACCCCTCATCCTTAGTCTGCGCCTGAATCTGCGCAATCAACTGGCTCTTTGCGCGATCAGCCTGGATTCGACTTCCCCGCGCCCTTTCATCTGCGACACGCACGCTGTCCGCTTGATCGTCGTAGATAGCCTTGTACAATTCATCCGTGCCAGAAACAACTTGCTGCACCATACTCTCAATAGCCTTTGGTGTCAACGTAGCAATTTGACCGACAAGGGCGGTTTCCTCGTCGATACGCTTGCGCTTCGCTGCTTCTTCGCGTTCTCGCTGCTCCTCAGCGCGTTTGCGTTTGTTCTCGGCGACTTTCTTCGCTCGTTCTTCTTTCGAGGCGAGGTACTTTAGTGAGTGGCCCAGTTTCTGTTCTGAGTGCGGGATTAGGTCGAGTGGAGGCACTGCGAAGAAGAGGACGTGACCCTGAGCGTCGCAGTGGAATTGAGAACGGATATCGGCGGGGATTGCGCTGTTGGCCGCGTCGTTGAGGTGGTATACTTCAATTGGACGGGGTGCGTTGGGGTTGTAGACTGGTGCTGCGGTTGGGTGGACCCGATTTGGGGGGTAGTTGCCGTATGGCGATGGCTGTGCTGCCGAGTATGCTGGTGCTGCTGGAGAGGCCTGGTAGGCTGCGGTCGGGGTCTGCGGCACGAAATTGCTTGGGCGTCGCTGGTTAGGGCCTTGGTACATTTGCGGGTTCATTTGGGCCTGGTATGGGGCTTGATGGACGGGGACGGGCGATGTCTGGGCCACGGGTACTGCGGGTGATGGGGCTTGGAGCTGGGGAGTTGCCATAGCTCCTGCTGGAACTAGATTGGGATTTTGAATTGGTTGGCTCATGGGTTGACGGGGAGTGGCTACTGGCATGGCCTGTGGTGGTAGAGCTGGTGGTTGAGGGGGAGGCGAGGGTGTTGGCTCTGGAGGAGGAGATTCCTGATGGAGAAGTATGTTAGTTTGGGTTATTTGTGGAAAGACCTCGGGTGGTAACTCACATTCTCATCTCGAGGGCGACGGTGCACCGCACCCACCACTGGCGGCGCATTATCAGCACCCCAAGTTGGCCGGGGAAGATCATCGGTTTCCTTTGCATCGCTCTTCAACAAATGCTTGATCGGACTAGGAACCTTTTTGATCTTGCGCGGCACATCAAATAGATCCATTTCATAGTCCTTCTCGCGCACCTCATCCGGCAAGCAGCTAGCCCATGTCTTGATCTTATTGAGCTTGTGTTTCTCCTCATTGTATCGAGCCTCGCAGACATAGATCTCCTTGTCTGGAGGGAGATCGCGGGGGCGACCTCGGCTGTAGCGAGTGAAGAACATAACGAAGCAACGGTCGACAATCTCCTCGACCCGATGGTCGCGGTACTGGCCAGTCTTCACAACTTCGTTGGGGTAGAAATGCTTCTCGAAGTGATGAACAGTCTGCTCCGGCCGGTAATACCAGCAGGCGTTGATCCATTTCTGGTCCTCTGAGTCCTGCCATGTCCGGTAAATCTGGGCGACAATGGGCTTGGAGACATCGTTGGGATTCTGAATGTGGACCCAGTCACCAACCTTCCACAGCTCGTTGCGGTACAGGATGCCGTCGGGTAAGGGGAAGCGCCCGTCTTCCATCAGATACTCGCTGTCGGGCTTCTTCTTCTCCTGTTCTGCCAATTTGCGCGCCTCAACCTGTAGATCGACCGCATCCTTGTAGATCTGGCTCTCTGATTGGTTGTAGGCCTTGGCATTGTTGAACATAAGATCTAGATCCCGCATGAAGTGATCGACCGAATTGTACTTCTTGCGCTTCGCCTTGCGCTTGATAATATCAATAGCAATCGGCTCCTTGATCTCCATGTAGTAATCTGGATACGTGATCTTGTCCGGGAGGCGTTCAAAATGGGAGATTTTCAATTGGCCGCCTGGGCCCTTGTGCTTGCGGATTCCCTTGAGAATGGTCTTGATCCGGGTTTCCATCGGAGTGTCCACACGTGGGGGCCTCCCACGTTTCTTGCGCGTATCAGGCTCCTGTTTATGGCCTCCACGCTTGGACCCTGGTTTCGGGCCTGGCTTCTTCTTCCGACGCTCGTCGTCGCTGTCCTCCTCGTCGTCTTCGTCTTCATCCTCATCTTCTTCATCGTCATCGGGCAAGGGGTCTGCCTCTGGAATTTCGCCTAGGTCCGGTAGCTCAGCTTCTTCGGCGCTGAGTAGATCCTTCTCGACCAGCTTCTTCAACTCCGAGACGATAACATCCTAGACGCGCAGCAGTGTCAGTCTCGTTCCTTGTCTCTTGTCGACACTGGTCAACCCAGCTTTCGCCTTCATACCTTGATGACTAGCGCATCCTCATACGCTTGCGACTTAGGTCGGTTGTAGGTTTGCGCATTGTGGGGGATCTAGGAAACGAGAGATCGTCAGTCAACCGTAGGGAGGCCAGTTGAATTGCAAAGGGTGTCGCCTACCAAGGCAAAATCGCGCACGAAATCAGCGATTTGCTTGTATTCCCGCTTGTTGATTCTCTGCTTGATGATACTGAGCGCCATTGGCTCCTTGATAATATCGTAATAGTCCGGGACGATGCGTTTATTGACACTGCGATGGAAGAGTCGCGAGGGGTCATGTCCACTACAACGGCGCAGTTAGCTAGGCAATCCCAAACCACGATTCAGAGACCATTCAATGCCGGTACTTACTCCTGCTCGCGAAAATCGTAGATTGCCATGAGCATATCCCCCATGCCTTGCCACTGATCTTCAGAGACGGCGCCGTCATCCTCGATGGAGGTAACGGGCTCCTCGGGCTGAGGCGCAGACTGCTCACGCTCCGGCGACTCCATGCTGCTCATTATCTCCACAGTGCGCGTGGTGCGTATTCGAGGAGTCGAGATGATGAACTCGAGACAGCTTTGGAGAGGAGCTGGTTGCGTCTCGTGTAGGGGACGATGTTTTGCGCTTAGCTGAGTCAGCGGTATTATTACAGATCAAATACTGCCGTATTGTCAAGTGTCAGCCTCGTTTACCAGGCCATCAGAGTCCGGAGTAAAGGTTGGAAGGCTACGAAGGCACAAACAACTCCGAAATAATTCATATGTTGTGCAAATTTCTTGAAATGACTATAAATTATCGTCAAGAGTGGCCATTCATCTCGGTTGGAGTTTGGCATCGTAATGTCCAAACACGGTCATGTGTGGGGGAAATCCATGTTGATCTCCGCATCGTCCCCCTCGGAATCAACAGATCAGAGAATGCAGAGATATATCTAACCTCCTTTTCTTTGAATCTCCTTTGAATCTCTCTTTGAATGTATATACAGTCTGCTTTCTTCATTGCCCATGCATCGTCCCTTGCTTTATTGCTCAACTGGCCACTGATAAGATGATCTTAAATGGCTGTCGGGGTTGATTGAAAGGATCTTTTAAGATAAACCTTATGGCAGATGTACTCCTACTAACTCTGGTTCTGTTGAAATCAAGGGGCTAATATTTACCAGGGGTCTTCCAATCCCCATTCTCTATTTCTTCATGAACTGACTATATTTTGAAGAAGACGAGCTCCAAATGCTCTGATTTACCCCACACCAGACCCCCCGCGTCATAGCTCCCTCACTTATCGGGTGGGACTGTGACACGACTGTGTTGGTGTACCTGCCGGGATCCATCGCTTTCGTTGTCAACATCCGCGGACAGCCGTGAAGAGACCTGCATATCATCCAGTCAACCACCTCCTATGCGTTTGAGAGTGCGTGGGCCTTCGGGCCAGTCAACCGTCACGCTGGACGATTCGGCCACCGTCCAGGACCTTCGGGAACAGATCGCGGACAAGACAGGCCTCTCCTCCGGCTCCTTCGATGTCAAATATGGATATCCAGATCTCAAGCCTTTAGATCTTGACCATTTCCAAGCAACCCAACCACTAGCCGACATAGGCATCAATCTAAACGGGGAGCAGCTTATCGTCGCACAACGAGACTCTGCCGCGCCAACTAGCGAGACCACCACCAAGCCTTCTAGCTCTACCTCCCAAAAACCACCACAACTCCAACCACAGCCTTCGTCTTCCATGTCGCAACATCCAGAGAAAACCGCCGATGATCCACCGGAGATCGCCTCCCCGGAACACGGCGGCACCTTCGTGCTGCGCGTTATGCCTGACGACAACTCCTGTCTCTTCCGTGCGGTCGGAGCCGCGGTCATGGGCGATATGGATACGATGGTCGAGCTACGGTCCATCGTCGCAGGTGCCATTCAGTCAAATCCGACGGAATACACAGCCGCTATTTTAGGAAAGAAGCCGGACGAGTATTGCCAGTGGATCCAGAACGAGGATTCATGGGGCGGAGCCATCGAACTCAAGATTATAAGCGAGTATTTCAACATTGAGATCTGCTCCATCGATGTGCAAACCCTCCATATGTTCCAGTTCAATGAAGGAGCCCCGACTCGCTGTATAGTCGTGTATTCGGGCATTCATTATGACGTGCTCGCGCTCTGTCCTTCCGATCCACCTCATACACATGCCAACCTGTTTGCGCCAAATGATACCAAGATCTTTGATGCGGCTGATCCGGTTGTTGTGGAGAAGGCCAAAGAGATGTGTCGTGTCTTGCAAAGTAAGCACTATTATACGGATACGTCCGGGTTTTTGGTGCGCTGCAATACTTGTGGGGGCACTTTCACTGGAGAGAAAGGGGCTACTAAACATGCGGCGGAGACTGGCCACTACGATTTTGGAGAAGCGGCTTAGTCGATATCGTCCTCGAGGTTGGATCGAGGGTAGATCAAAGATCGTATTGTTCATATGGCATCTGGAGCGAGAACTTGGCCCGGGATGTTGAGCCGTCTCGGCGTGGCATGAACAAGAAGGCTCTCTATTATTACTTTTATTTTACTTTTGGGGAAACATTGGGCTTTACCCGAATACAATTGAATCATCAAGGGCGAGACTGCTGCCACCCTCTAGGGCCTTAGATGCATAATAATACATAGTATTCTATATAGTAGAGTCTTATGTCAAGTTCAGAATCTTGACTAAACTTCAAAATCATCTTATTAGCGATACTTTGAAAGACAGTTACCTACTTAGATCGAGAGATATTATGTGGGTTATCCGGAAAGACATGCTCATACTCATCTTAGTAACTTGGAAGCCCGTCGGGCAGAGATCTAAGGGGGAGCGCACGGGAAATTTAGCGGGTGGCAGCAGCCTTACCCTTCATCAAATGCCAAAAGATTCAAACATCCAGTAGAGTCAGAACTGCATCATATATCGTACAAATCTTGGATCTCATAGCATGGCGACCTCATCGGCCTCGTCTTCCCCTGCCTCGTCCTCTTCCTCTGAATCAACACTTCCCTCCTCCGGATTACCACCCCATTCCACATCATGGAGGACGGGGTCCGTAAAGAATTCATGATTCAGAGCCTCATCGGCACTCAAGCGCTTGGATGGGTCAAGTTCCATCAATCCTGCCAGCAGACGCGTCGCTTGAGACTCGCTTTCTGTCAAGTCTTCAACACAGCTGGACCATTTGACCAGCTTTTCCCAGCTGTATCCCTTTTCTCCTATGGTAGGCAGGTTGGTCTCAAAGATCTGGCCATGCATCGCGGCAGCCGTCTTCATCCTCCGAGTGCCAAAGATGCTTGACATTTCGATCATAGCATCGATATCATCTGCCGAGTTGAAGAAGGGAAAACGCCGTCCAAGCAAAGTGAGAAGAATCACGCCGACGGACCACATGTCAATCTTGGTGGTCTGTGATGTGCATTTGAATAGAACCTCTGGTGCTCGGAATCCTCGTGTTCCGGCCCGGTTAGCCCGCCTTGAGGGTCGAGAATCAGCCTTGGGGTAACCACCGGAGAGGCCGTTGGCTGGCGGGTTTTTGGAAAAGTAGCTAGACAATATCCGGCTGCGGCGAACGTAGTTCTGATGGGAGCAGAGGCATGGGCTGCTGTACTCGGAACCCTGGCGCTGTATAGGAGGACAAATTAGTCGAACGTTCAATCCCATTGAAGCGAGGGGATGATTGCACTGTACCTCTGCCAGACCAAAGTCAACAAGAACACCTTCTTTCAAGTCAGGATTGTAGAGGAAATTTCTATGAGACACATGTCAATATGAGAACAATTCGAGCGCGGTAATGATCCATACGTTGGCTTGATGTCTCGATGCAGAATTTCATGTTCATGGACCGACTTTAATGCCGTTATGAGGGACCTCAGATAGTGGCGCATGTCCGCTACCATGAAGGTGCGATATTGAATGCGAAAGTCGGTATGCGGGAAGTAGGGCAGAACTGCTACAACCTGATCCTGGTAACGGAAGGCTGTAATCAACGGACATACGGATTTGCATCCTCGAAGATCATGGAGAAGCTCCAATTCGTTCTGGATCCGGATTGGGCTGCTTGTGACATAGATCTTCTTCAGCGCCACGAAGCGCGCTTTCTTGCGTCCTCCAGAAGCCCCGTCCACTCTGCGCCGCTTGGATGGAGGGTTATCCCATTCTTCTTGTTCTTGTTCTCGTTCTTGCGCCTGGCCGAAAATGTCCCAGTCGTTGTGGTAGTGGTTGTAAAGTAGGTCCTCGGCCTTGTACACGGTAGAGAAAGTCCCTTGATTGGACCCAAATGTCAGTCATCACACCAACCAATCACCTATACAGTGAGATAGCGAGCTATACCTTCTCCGATCCGATTGATTAGTCGGAATCGTTCTGAAATACCCGGAAAGGTGTCTTCCAGTTTGCTCATGTCTTCCCGCACTGTCTCGTCCACCTCCTCTTCTTCCTCGTATTCGCTCTCTCCTTGTGGCAGGTCTCCAGCGGACGTCCTCCGATCATCTTCTTCAGACGTGTATCGTTCTTTGTCCACCTGTAGGCCTTGACCGGAGCTGCTGCGCTTGAGTTCAAAGACACCCGCGGGGGCCCCGCGCAGGGTGGACATGGCGACGGCAGGCTCGTCCCAAGTACAAAGGTCAGAAGTAAGGTATGCAAATCGCAATCGAGGGATTTGGTCGTATGTCGGAAAAAGACAGGCGTAAGAAGTACCGAGGGTATCGAAGGGGGAGGAAGAGAGGGCAGCGCAAACCAAACAAATGCCAACCAAAAGCAGCTCCGTTGTTTTTCTCCGAGAGCAACACGGCAATACGCGGTGGTGACAATACGGTCCCGCGGTGTCGGCGGGTGGAGAACGTCCAGCAACGTAATTTACGCGCGGTTACCTAAGAAAGCGGCCCAAAAGGGCAAAAGCCAAACACCCGCTTATCAACACTCCCGCCCACTCCTCCCCTCTTCATCTCATCCACCACACACACCACGCCCGCCGCCATGGAGGATAGAATACAGTTCGACATCAACGAGTCGCTCAAGTACTACTTGAGTGACCCGGCCTCCATTCCGACCCCGGAGGCTGATCCCGAGCTGCTGGACTGCGAGTCCGACCCGAATCAGCTGTCGACTGCGCTTGTTGACAATGTCTTGAACCCGATCGTCGATGCGGTAGCGGAAAATCCTGAAGGCTTGACGAGAGCGTCATTCTTCGAATCGCTTCAATTCCTGCTCAAGTGCGCTCCTATCCATTCCCAAGTTCCCCATAGAGGCTTCGGCTCGCCTGGACCCGATTCTGAACGTTTGAACCCTTGCAGATATACCACCTTTCTCCCCTCAAAATCCCTGAGCAAAGTCCTTGACTTGATCGTCTCCGGACTGTCAGTGGAAGCCGACATTATTCATAGCGACCTCGAATCCGACGAACAAGATGCGATTCAACACCACAAGCAACTTTTGGAGATGTACGGTTTTCTTCTCCAGTGGGCCTTGTCTGCCGTGGAGGTGAAAGCGGCGGAGAAACCTGCAGAATCTGCCCCTGCGCGCCGGGGAGGCCCCAAATCTAGGTCAAAGTCTACCAAGGATGGACAGTGGGATTGGACACCCCAGATCCAGATCTCCATGGAGACTATGTGCAAGGTGATGAAACTCAAGCTTGGCCGTATCTTCATGACTACCTCGGATCGCGACACATTCATTAATCTATTCACGCGCACTATCTACTTGATTCTTGAGAGCGAGCAACGAGTCAAGAGCATGGCTATTCGCATGCATGCCTTTAAGGTTCTTTGCATTGCGGTTAAGCACCATGGTCATGCTTTTGGTAGGCGTCGCGATATCCATCTTTGCGCTTGACCGTCTCACTGACCGATGCAATAGGTGCGCAAACCTCAATTGTACAGAGCTTGACATACTTTGAGCATCTTTCAGAGCCTATGGCCGAGTTCCTTCACATTCTCGCGGAGCAGTATGATTACCCGCAGCTTTCGGATGAGATTTTGAAGTATGTTTACTTGGTTTGATTCTGCAAGGTAAAAATCTGACTGACCTACGACTAGGGAGCTTGGAAACAAGGAGTTCAATTCAAATGATACCCGTGGGCCTAAATCTGTGTCTGCTTTTATCATCAAGTTGTCTGAGCTTGCGCCGAGATTGATCATCAAGCAAATGACTCTTCTCGCCAAACAGCTTGATAGTGAGGTAGGGAAAATTCGACTTTATTACTCCACCTTGACAGAATTGACAAGTTTTTGTCAGGCTTACACTCTTCGATGCGCGGTCATTGAAGTCTGCGGCAACCTCATCTCCGATTTGAGCCGACAAGAAGAGCCGAGCGAAAACTCCAAGACGCAAATCAATGCATTCTTCGATGTATTGGAAGAGCGTTTCCTCGACATTAACCCGTACTGCCGTTGCCGAGCGATCCAAGTTCTGATGCGGATCTGCGACTTGGAACAGAAGTTCCCCAAGAGGCGACAAGCTGCTGCGCAATTGGCTGCGAGAAGTCTGGAAGACAAGAGCAGCAACGTTCGGCGAAATGCAATCAAGCTGCTGTCCAAGCTGGTTGCCACCCACCCTTTCAGTGTTATGCACGGTGGCCAGCTCTCTCACAAGGAGTGGACTGAGAGACTTGATGGTGTCGATCAGGAGCTGAACTCACTACGACCCGCAGAGACTCCCGGGTTCGATGGAGATGCCACAAACGTCGATCCTGAATTACTGGATGATGCGACTCAATTGCCCGACGAGTCTCCTTCGAAGGCGCCCCGAATGACCGAAGAAGAAAAGGCAGAGGCCATGCAAAAGGCAGCTGAGGAAGCCGCCACCTCTGAACTGTTGACCCGGCTGCAACTTACGAGAAAGTACTACAATGAGGCCATCCGTTTCATTGAGGTTCTCCACTCGGCATCTACGATTGTTTCCCAGCTGCTGTCATCTCGAAACAAGAGCGAGGTCATTGAGGCCATGGACTTCTTCGTTATGCTTGATGCCTACAAGGTAGAGACGGCTCGCAGCGGTATCCGGCGTATGCTTCGTCTGATCTGGACTAAGGGCAACAGCGATGAAGGCAAGGGTGTCCAGACTCACTTGATTGATTGTTACAAGGGTCTCTTCTTCGACGCTCCCGACTCTTTCAGCTCGAATGATGCGGCGAATTACATTGCGCGAAACATGATCAGTTTGACCTTTGGAGCGACACCGGCCGAGCTCACCTGTCTAGAGCAGCTACTCAGCACGATGATGAAGGCTGGTCACATCTCAGAGGCGGTAATCGCGAAGTTGTGGCAGGTCTACAGCGTTCAGAGGAAGGAGATCTCGAAGACTCAGCGTCGTGGTTCTATCATTGTACTCGGCATGCTAGCGCTGGCAGATCCCGATGTGGTCGTGAAGGAAATTGAGGCGATGCTGCGCATTGGTCTGGGAGGTCTAGGACGATCTGACCTTGTGCTCGCAAAGTACACTTGTATCGCTCTGCGACGCATGGTTCCTGGTCGCCAGGCCAAGTCCAAGGATGTCGTCACCGTTCCTAAACTGGCCAATGATCACTCCGTTCTGATCAAACTCGCTGCTATCCTGGAGATCGTCTCGGAGAGCAAGGAATGGTACGGCGTTGCGGAGCAGGCAATCAGTGCCATTTACGCTCTGTCCAAGCACCCTGACGTTCTCTCCTCCGACATTCTTCGACGCAAGACGCGATTCGTTTTCCAGCCGCAACATGAACGCCCATCTTCCTCTCACACCACCGCCAGTGGCGAGGATCAAAGACCGGGAACTGCTTCTACTGAGGAGCAGAATGCAAAGCCGAAGCCCTCTTCGGCTGCTCTCTCTCAACTTTTGTACGTTGTTGGACACATTGCTATCAAACAAATCGTGCACCTTGAGTTGTGTGAGTTGGACTTTAAGCGACGCAAGGCCGAGCAGGAGAAGACCAAGACGGCAGAGGCTACTGCTTCAAAAGAGGGAGAAGCTGCCGACGCCGATGAACTGGATCTTATTGGAGGAACTACGGAGGATGATTTCCAGGACGCCATGGCCCACATTCGAGAGCGTGAGCTCCTGTATGGAGAGAACTCACTACTTGCCAAGTTTGGCCCATTGGTAGCCGAGATCTGTGCCAACAACAATTCCTATCCGGACCGTGATCTCCAAGCGTCCGCGACTCTGTGTATGGCGAAGCTTATGTGCGTGTCTGCCGAGTACTGCGAGAAGAACCTCCCGCTTCTGATTACAATCATGGAGCGCTCCGAAGACCCGATTGTGCGCAGCAATGCTGTGATCGCGCTCGGTGATATGGCTGTCTGCTTCAACCATCTCATCGACGAGAACACTGACTTCCTGTATCGCCGTCTAAATGACGACGAAGCCTCCGTCAAGCGGACTTGTCTTATGACTCTCACTTTCCTCATCCTTGCTGGTCAGGTCAAGGTCAAGGGTCAGCTTGGAGAGATGGCCAAGTGCTTGGAGGACGACGACAAGAAGATTGCCGATTTGGCTCGCATGTTCTTCACCGAGTTAGCCACCAAGGACAACGCTGTGTACAACCACTTCGTCGACATGTTCAGTCTGCTCAGTGCGGAGCGAAACTTGGAGGAAGCTTCTCTGCGCCGCATTGTCAAGTTCCTCATCGGCTTTGTCGAAAAGGTAAGCCGCTTAATCTTTCATAGTCTCAGCCTTTCGTTTTACTCACATCGTTCTACTAGGAAAAACATGCCCGTCAGCTCTCCGACAAGCTGGCTGCCCGTCTGCCACGTTGCGAGACCGAGCGCCAGTGGAACGATGTTGCCTACGCGCTGTCGTTGCTCCCTCATAAGAACGAGGAGATCACCAAGGTCGTCACTGCTGGGTTCAACAAGGTGGTGAGCGCATCGGCCTCGGCCCCTGCCAGCGTTCCCGCTAGCACACCCGCCAGCACGGCGCCGGTCAGCGCTTCAGCATAGTTGTCTTGCTCTGCCTGTCGGGTTTGATGTCTTAATGTTTCTTATGACTGTAATTTTTCTCTCTATATGTTCGCCTCTGGGTGGCTGGGGGTGTTGGTGGTTGGTTGGAGCATTATCGTCATTCGTGGAGTTTAAATCGTACATGAATCTTGATCTTCATCCTTGATGATTCCTTTACGTATAGTAGTATACAAAGTATCCGGATGACCATGATATTCGATCATCCTGTGGAGATTCTCAGAATTCTCAATACATATCACACGTTCCGTGAGCTGTCCGGGATATAAAAACCCATGCAACGCATATCTACAACGCCATCACTAACAATCCACTAAAGCCTGTGCAGAAGGTCTATATTCATTCTGATCGCACGGGGAGCCCTGTATGAAACTCCCACGAACAAAATCATCATTCGCCCGCAAGGAAATTATCCACAAAAATGGGGGTGTGTGTCCGGGAGAATGTGAAAAACGACACATCTCCCCAATATGAAATCTAAGTATGTGACGGGTAGAGAAAGAAAAATAAACATCAAAAGCCAGAAGCCAGCAACAATAAACAGATGATGGATGGGTGGATGGGTGGAGGGTAAAGGGGCAATAGAAGGGATGGAGAAGACGCCGTGTTGAATGGTCGCATGCCAGATACGCCAGGGTAGGGGAATGGGAGGTTGTTGGAATCCAAAAGAGCCGACATGATTAATATGGGGTTTCCCTTCTATGCACCCTGCACTGTACTCTCCTCCAGCACGTAATTACCACTCCGCACGCCTTCCAGAGCCTTCTGGCCTTCCTCGGTTAGCTCGGGCTTGCCTAGAGGCGTCACGGCGCCGGTGAAGAAGCGAGGCTTCCATTCCTCGTCTTTCTCTTTGCGATCGGCGGCTTTCTGGCGCTGGCGCTCCTCGATCTCCTGCTTGACCCGCGTGGCTTCCGTGAATTGCTTGTCCAGGATGGCGTCCGTGACGTGTCCCCAGAACTTGAGAGACTCGTTTGACAATTGCTGCTCGGCGGGAGGGAGAATCTTGTCTACCGGGTGCAGAGGCGTGATGTCGATGAGGAGACGAGGCTCCTTGGACCCCGTAGGAGTGTAGTAAATCTTGCCGTGCCAGGACCCGCTGATTCGGGCAAGAACGTCGCTTTCGGCTACATCTCTCAGCCTTGTGATGGTGTCGTTGTCGGGGTCGTAGCGGAAAACCACGCCTTCGAGCTTGTGTTGAGACCGGCCGATCCATCCTTCCTCCACATACTGCAAAATCGCCTTGATACGGGTCTTGGGGCATGTCATGAAGCAGGCGTCTGAAACGGTAATGGCCAGAGCACCGCGCAGCAGTCCTCCAAGATGAGCGTGGGGGTGGGTCAACTGATACTCCTCGTTGTCCCGTTTCTCGATGTTGACAAAGATACCCAGGTTGTGCTGACCGGGGCTAACACGAATGCTTGTACCGGTGAATTTGGCGCTGATCTGGTCGAACCCGCGCGCAGACACTCCACGCTCCGGGCAGTCAATGTAAAAGGCCGAGACTGGCGGGTGGTGGGAGGTCTGCTCGGTGAGATAGCAGACCTTGACTTTCTCATCGCCATCGTGGACGGTAGTACCGTTGGCAACGGCGTCGACTCCGGGGAGATTGGCCTCTTCGGGGACGAAGTCTTGCACCTCCCAGCTGCACTGTCAAAGTGGAGGAAATATGATCAGTCAAATGCCACGAAGAGGGTGCGTAGCTCTGATCATAACGAAACATACCCGGAAGAACTCGCCCAAAGTCGAATTATAAGGCTTGCATGGTTTTCCCTTGATGTATTTCTGTCAGATGTTCAGCACATCTTTCCTTTTTCATGGTATCCGCAAGTCAAAATATACCAGGTCCTTGGTGAACCAGAACCTCAACACCTCCAGCATCCGTCCCAGTTCATCGTCGGATTTACCAATGCTGTATAGTCTGGGTCAGCACATGTGTGGATGTCGCAGGCCGTGGGTTTATTAAGTTGCTGACCTGGCAAAGGTCTCGGGTCGATCCAAGTAGTTCCAGTATTCTATCCAGTCACTTGTATTAGCCGTTTGGTTTTCTGTCTTGACTCCCCTGGCCCCAGTAGAGCCCTCGGTCACTGTGTACATACCCAGATTCGGGCGAGGTTCCAACAGTTGAGCCGGCAACGAGAAGCGAACCGATGCGATATCTGTCACACCCACGAACCTAGTAGTTCGGAGATCGTTTGTTAGTATTTCCGAGCAAGTTGTTTGTTTGATTTTCGCGAGTGTGTTATTTTCAGCGCATCAACAGGACATACTTTCGCAGGATCGAGAGGAAAGTCTTCAGCTTGGAGGAGTCATCGGGAGTCTTCTCAGGCACGGCGGTGGCTGACATTGTCTCGAGTGGCGCGGGGGAGAAACCGGGAAGCTTTGTACTCCGAGGGGAAATATGTAGAGTGGCGGATGGGGTTGAGAGTAGGCAGTACTGTAGAGGTTGACGCTAAGGAAAGAAGAAAATGCCCGGGATCCCAAAGTCGTCCACCCAACGAAATCCAAAAAACAAAACGAAGGAGAGAAGAGAAAGTGAGAGGGGCATGAATAGTCAAGGGTTTCTGGGTCTTTGGAGAAACGGGGGGAAAGCAGGCGGTGACGTGGGAACTTCTTTTTGCCGAGTGGGGAATTCTTTTTTAGGTCACGATGACTTGGCAGGTACTTTTAGTATTACTTTAGTATTACCTAGTCCTTTGCTTTATTTGAGAGCATCTCGTTGGTTGGTTTTGATTAAAGATAGCGGAGACGGGATGGGTGGGAAAGGGGTAATTCAACCGGTGAGGGAGTCGACTCCAATATGGAAAAAAGGACTCGATTCGAGGATTGAAAGAATAGGGGAAGTTCAAAGGTACATAGTAGGAGACTAAAGTACCTCGCAGGTACCATCTACTTCCCTGCCAGCCTCCAAAAGTCACTCCGACACTTCAATCCTTAAGATGATCATAAAACCGCCCCAAAAAAACAGGCTCCCGGCCAATCGCTGCCCCACGAGGGTCTCGACCACCCTCGCTATTGAATCAACTCTGCCAGCACCTGCTTGCGCGCCAGGAATCGTAACCACGTTCGGACCGCAGGCCCGTAGTCATATCGCCGCCCGGTCGCATAGTCGTCGTCTGCGCGTTGCGACTGTTGCTCTTCCCGGACTCGGGACCGTAGCTCCCCCTGCGCCTGGCTAAGCGTCTGCCGATGCACTTGCAGCTGACTTGGCGAACAGCTCTGGTATTCCTTTTGAGTCCCCTCCGGTATCACGGCCTCATCGATCACAGCGCGGGTCAATCCAAGAGACGGATCCGGGCCGATCACCGTTCCCTCGAAGCTGGCAACGGTGGTGGCTGCCGTGGCGGTGTCACCGTCCGATTTGAGGCGCTCGTGGACCATGTCCAAGCTTTTAACATTAACGGCGAGCTGCCCAGTAAGGTCCGATAGAGGATCTTTCACCAGTCCCAGGATGGAAAATTCGATTTGATCTTCCTCGTATGCCGCCATCCGATCCAGGAGGTTTGGGCGGACTAGATCTAGCCAGTCGCCTTCGGAACATTGACCTTGGTTCTCAGTCAGTACCAGCTCGGTTTAGTACTATTCGGCCATTTGTCCTTACCGATTGACTGAGGCTGTCGCTCTAGACCGTCAAACTTCCAGACTTGGCCCATGACCGGCATGAACGCAATGAAATGGAAGGATGAGTCGGAATCATCGTCATCTTGACCCTGGGAGGACTTCTTCCGTGTTTTTGATTCCACTTGGAGTTGGAGATCAGAGTTGAGAATGTCCATCTTGCTGTAGAACCAAACAAAATCCAAGAGTCAGTAAGAAACGTAAATCACGCGGGGATGAGGAAGACAGGCGTACCGGGCGAAGGAGTTATGTACCCGCTTCACGAACTCGAAGTTGTTGATGGCATCTCCCCGCAAAGCCGGTGTAAATGGCATTGTGAACTCTTTAAAGTGTCGCAGATTCTCTCCAAGGTCAAGGTCAGGGATATTGTTCACAATATTTAGCAAGGCCACACTAGCACATGCATTGCTGGCAGTCTGAACCCGGATTAGTAGCTGCTCAAATCAGAGAGACTAATGGCGGATCACTGGGAGACGTACCTGGTTTGCAAACCAGATCCCATCGGGGCAGGTCGCTTCCTGCTTGTTGGCATCATCCTCCCGCCAGCGGAAGAGGAAGATTAAGCCGTAGATAGGTTTGCTATGCAACCGTTCGTTAGTCCTCCGATCATGGGAACAAGGCGGAAAATGGGCACCAAAATGCTCATACTTTAGGAAAGCCATCATTTCTTCGTCCAGGGAGACCACCTCCTGAACCTTGACCCCCTTTACTCCGAACTCACGGAGCATCACATTGAATAAGGCCTAACGGGAATTGTCAATATCTATCTTCACATTGGAGGCTGAAGTCACCGTACCGGCTCGGACTCGATCTCACAGAATCCATTCCAACTGTTCTTTTCCAGTGGAGTCGCTGGCTTGTAAATATCAGAGTCACTGAGCTCGTCTGAAGGGTCAGTGAGACGTCGCCGCTTGTTGCGAGGACCCATGGTGGGCAAGTCAAAGGTCAATTTTGAGGTGTTAAGCTTCAAGCTGCAGGGAAGTTGAGGAGGATGGAATTGATCTCGTTCCGTAGCGGGGGAAGAAAGAATCCTTTAGCGGTTCTGAAAGAAAAACAATGGCAAACGTCCAGGCAATATCTAGGCAAGCTATAAATTTCCAAAAAAAAGGGCACCACCGCCAAAGACGAAGCTGATGTAGCAGGTAAAGTGTATGGAGGAGTTGTGGAGTCGTCAGGGAGTAGAATGTATAGCGGCATTTCGGCGGTGGACCAAAGCTTCGACGCGCTTCCCGCGTCTCTTGGCCGCCTCCAACTTTTTCTCTTTCTTCTCATCTGCTTGTCTTTGGCCTCACCATCACCTCGCCCATTGACTCTTGCAGTCAATACGACCTCCTACGCTCATACACGAGCCCTGCGCTCAACTACGGGCCCCTCCTCGCCTTCGCCCTTCCCTCCCCGTGGGCTCAATACCTTGTTTCACGAAACTCTGGCGACCACAGCATGCCATGAACGGCACTCCCCGCCTTCCGTCTGCTTTCCCCCAGACGCCCACGACGATTCCAAGGAGAAGAAAGCTCTTTGAGACCCCCTCTCGCTCGCAACCTCGCGATGTTCGCGCTCCAAAGTCGCCTAGCAGGTCCCCCGCCAAGGCACCCAAGCCGCTCCCAAACACAAACACGCCGCTCGTTCCTACGGACGTGATCGATGCGCCCTCGCAACGTCTCTATGTGGTGGCTTTCTACTTTGCGCTCAACGCGTACCGGATATACGAATCCTGGAATGCCTCCGACGAGCTGGACTCGACGTGGTTGTTTTTGAAATGGGTGTCTCTGGATGGCATTTTCTTGTTTGGTCTGCAAGCTCTGCGCATACCTTGGCTAGAGTGGGCTTTCCCAACCACCTTGGCTCTGTTCTTATTGCACGTCGTGGGCAATGTCTTCCTTATGTTCCGTATCCCGGTGAGCTTTCTTTGCCTCTAAATTTTGAGGGACGAACTTCCCGCTGACCTCTAAATAGATTCCCTTGGGCGCATGGCTCGGAGGCTTGGTCAAGGTAGCTTACGATCGCGAACTGTCCATCTCCGAGCGTAAGGTGAAGCCTGGCGATATTATTCACAATGCATCGTTGATTTTGGGAAAGCAAATTGTGCACATCTTGCCAGAAGGGTCAGTCATTAGCTCCAATCCCCTAAGTCGCAAGCGCATAACCTTACTGACTCTCATAGCTCTGCTGTTCTCAACCCTGAACGTGAGCCACTCTGTCTCGATGCTCAGAAAAATACCGTCTTCCTCCCCATCCGAGTGAATCAGACCGACCCGATCCTCATTGAAGTGTTGCGCCTCGATCTACACACTGGCGAAAACGAGACCCTGACAATTCCGGCCAAACAGCTTAAGCAGCTCAAGCGTCAAGCCGAGAAGAGACATGCGACTTTGGACCCTGTCCCGCACCGGGATCTGTTCTTCCCCGTGCGCAAGACTGGTATCTATCGTCTTCAGCGTGTGGTGGATGAGTCTCAGCTGGATGTTCGCACACGTACCTCGGATGCGTTGGTGGTCACTTGCCCTCGTGCATTGATCAAGAACTCCTACACCGATAAATGCAGAGGAGAGCTTTCCAACATCCTTCTCGAGGTTGAAGGTACACCTCCCTTGAAGATCAAGTATAGTCGGGAAGTCAACTTCCACGACCGCGGAGTCTCTTTCCAGAACGTTCAACCAGACAACTTGCGCACTCCGTTGTTGAACCAGAAACCAACAGGTGCGCTCTTTAGCATCAACCAGCCGGACATCTCCTGGGCCCAAAGCCAGAAGATCGATGTCCCTTTGAACGAATCTTTGAATGTGAACGGTGAATGGTTCTACGCCATTGAAGAAGTTCATGATGCCCTTGGTAATGTCGCCAACTATTCTTCCATCTTCGAGGATGGGGAACGGCCATCTCCCAAGTCATCGTCTCAGTGGCATCAGTTGATGATCCATGAGCGTCCCAAGGTGACTTTGTCTGGCTGCAATGAGCAGCGCCCGCTGGAAGTTGCTCGTGGTGATAGCGTCAACTTGCCGATAAACTTCCAACAGACCACTAAGCCGTACGATCGCGACGGCCCCTTCACTGTTACGTACTCTTACAGCGCCACCGGTGCCGAGCAAAAGGAAGGAGATGCCAAGGATAGCATGACTGTCGTCCTGAAGACTCTGGATCAGCAAACTCCCATCAAAGAGCCAGGCTGGTACTCCTTGGCATCGGTGTCCAGCCAGTACTGTCCAGGTGAAGTTCTGGAGCCTTCGTCCTGCTACCTGCGCAACCCTCCTGAACCAGAGTTGTCCATCAAGTCTGAGAAGGTCTTCGACCGATGCGCTAATAATGCCGTCGGTCTTCTTGTCGATCTGGACCTCACTGGATCCCCTCCCTTCCGTATTCGGTACAGCACCGAAGGCCCGAAGGGGGTGCAGACCCAGACCAAGATCATCGATGGCCTGCGATCCCAGCTGGATTTCACGCCGTCCGAGGCTGGCTCCTACCGGTACCGTTTCCTGGATATTGAAGACTCCGTTTACTCTCCTCGGTCTCTCAAGGACAAGGTCTCAGTCCTCGAGCAGGATGTCAAGCCCCCAGCGTCAGCTCACTTCCTTGCTCCTAGGGACACCCGCAAGGCCTGCTTCGGCGAGTCTGTGTCCGTTGACCTGGCTTTCCTTGGAGAGGCTCCTTGGACACTCCAGTATGAGCTTGTCCACAATGGCAAGAGAACGAAACACACACTGGAGTCTGACACTGATGTTGCTACTATCACCACGGACAAGCTGGTCAGCGGCGGCGAGTACAGACTTGCACTGACTAGTATCAAGGATAAGTCTAACTGCAAACGCAACTTGAAGGATAGCATCAAGATTGATGCTCGATCCAAGCCACCGCATGTCTCGTTCGGCCAGATCGACAAGAAGAGAACTATCTCTGCCTTGGCGGGATCTAGAATCGAAATTCCCTTGCGATTGAGCGGTGAGAAGCCGTGGACTATCAAGTACAAGAACGTGGATGTCAATACTTCGCCTTTGACGAAGACTTTCTGGGATGAGAATAGCCGTTTGGCCGTGGATCGTGAGGGTCTCTACGAGCTCCTCGAAGTGTATGACAAGTCCTGCTCAGGATTTGTCGATCAATCTGCCAAGGAGTTCGAAGTATCCTGGATTCCCCGGCCCCAGGTTACCGCCGTGGACGGTTCTCCCGTGGTGAAGGGCGAATATGCCAAACCTGAAGTCTGCCAGGGTGACGATGATAGCCTTGAGCTCCGCCTGTCTGGCAGTCCTCCGTTCAGCCTTCAATACGAACAACGCCGGAAGTCAGACCGTGGACAGGCCTCTGCCCGCTCGAAGACTATCAAAACCGCTCTCAACTCGGCTTCCATGGAAATGGATACTTCCGAGCCAGGTCAATACACCTACAAGTTCAGTGAAGTGGGTGACAACCTTTATGACTACGACCCGAAGAGCAGTGGTCTCTTGGTCACTCAAAAGGTCAATTCGCTTCCATCCGCCAAGTTCGACTCCCCGGGACACATCTACGGCTTCTGCAAGGAGGATGCTACTGGCGAGGAGACTATTCCCATCACCTTGGAAGGTGTACCTCCGTTCTCGCTGGAGATTGTCATCAAGCACCACTCCAACGCTAAGCCAGAGATTGTCACCATTCCCAAGATCAACTCCAACCACCATAACCTGCCTCTTCCTCGTCGCCACCTCGATCTGGGCCAGCATGTGGTCAGTATCCACAAGGTTCGTGACTCTCGCGGCTGCCAGAGAACCACCGAGTTCGATGCCTCCTCTGTCCGTGTCGCTGTTTCGGACGTCCCTACGATCATCCCTCTCGAGTCCAAGGTAGACTACTGTGTTGGCGAACGTCTGTCGTTCTCCCTCTCCGGACACGCTCCCTTCGACGTTTTCTACACGTTCAACGGTGTGCAACGGAAGGCTACGTCTCCAAACACCAACTTCCGTCGTATTGCGGAGCGTCCTGGTGAGTTTACCATCACCGCCGTTGGTGACGGGGCTAGCGGCAAATGCAAGGCCCACAAGGATATCACCAAGGTTATTCACGAGATGCCCAGTGTGCGCATCAGCCAGGGTCAGGTGTCCGTGGTCGACATCCATGAGGGTGGAGAAGCTGAGCTGAGCTTTGAGTTCTGGGGCACGCCGCCATTTGAATTCACGTAAGTTATTACCCCTTCCTTCATGTCTCCTTTGGCGTCTATTTTTACTAACACGTCCTTTTACAGGTACATTCGCAGCACCAATGCCCGCAAGGGTAAGAAGTCGGAGGTTCTTGATATCAAGCACGATATCTCCTACGAGCACAAGAAGACGATCAAGACTTCGGACGAAGGTACCTACGAGGTCGTCGCCATCAAGGACAAGTTCTGTTCCTTTTCCTCTCAGGTACCGACGGGCAAGTCGGACCGGAGCAGTTCATGAATGTAAAATGACGTGATTTCGTGCGCTTTGATATGCTGATGCTGGCGCTGGCTTTTTTTTAACTTTTCTTTTCGTTTCTTTTTTTTATTCTACAATTCTCTGTTCGTTTGTTTATGTGTTGATGTGTTTATTTGTGAGACAGTTTGCATTGCAGCGGCGCTAGCAGGTAATGTACATTTCGCCAATAGGATAACAAAATTTAATTTTGAAATATAAACAAACCCCTCTTCCTCCTCGCTTATTGTTTGCTACCCGAAGTCTCGATCGTCTCGATAAGCCCCTCGCCCAGTCGAGCGATCTCGTTCAGAATCGCGGGCTTGTTGATGATCACGGTATCCTGCTTGTCTGCAGAAGCGGCTGGTGCGGTCGAATATGCCGTCTTCAAGTTCCAAGTTCGAGGCTTCAGCATCTGGGGGTTCCATAGACCTGCAATGACGCCGGAGCGCTCGTCGCCGTGGAAGAGGAGAATGCTCTGGTTGTAGCATGCCTGGACGTCATGAACGAATGACTTCACGACAGCCAGTTTGCTCGTGCGGCCGGGGACATTGGCCTCAGCCAGGTTCTTGTATTTAGACGCCGAGCCAGATCGGTCTTCAAGCAGCTTTGAGCGAAGGTGGATGACGAAGTCGTAAGGAGCGAGTGAGGTGTGGAACAAGTCGGCCACATCCAGCTCGTCGTGTTCCTTGCGGAGCAGGTTTACTGCTGCCTTGGCCAGCGCAGTCATGCGGCCGGCCACGACCTTCGAGGGCTTCTCGTACTGTGTCCAAGTCACACCCTCGGTATCGAGGTCTGAAGCCACGAACAGCGCAACGGTGTTCATCGCAGGGTCGATGTTGCGCCATGCGGTAAACCGGGTCTTAATGGTCTCAGTCACTTCCGGGTTGAGGTCGCCGCTGAGGTCGACGATAAAGGGTTCTTGCTGCCAGTCCCAGCGGGAGAGGAAGTGCAGAGTCCGCAGGAATCCGGTCATGATGCTTGAGGGGCACTCCCAGGGGTAGGGCTGTGTGAAAGCTCGGGTAGTCATGATTTCAATCAACTCTTCGCTGATCTGAGCAGAGAACAGGTGCGAATTGAACCAGTACTTGACTAGCCGGATGGTAGGCGACAGCAGTGGCAAGCGAGTGCACAGACTTCGGAGAGCTTGCGTCAAACGAGGAGTTTGGACGAAAACCTTCTTGTATGAGAAAAGCGCGTAGGCGATCTCCTCTCGCTCACGGGGGCTAATAGTCTTGTTCTTGAGCTGGCGCTCCAGCAGAGTTTGTTCACGGTCGTGATGGATTCTAAGGCGGAAAGTGAATCCGGAAGTGTGGAAGATGTCCAAATAGAAGCTGTTGAGCACCTTGCTAGACTCATTCTCCATACCAACGCGGCACGAAGATGCTGCGCCTGCGTCTTGAAGCGAGTCTCCAATCTTGACAAGGAAGGCCGCCTTGGTCATCTGGATAGCTGCAAAATCGTCGGGCCAGCGTGATGAGCTTTCAAACTGGAGGACAATGTCGGCTGCTTCGTTGTCTCCGTCCGCACCCTGGACGCGAAGGGCTGCATAACGAAGCAGAGGGCTGGCGGGAGCCACATGTCGAATTGACAATGGGACTTCCTCCATGTTTCGAAGTGACTGCTCCAGTTCACCAAAGGCGTCGTTGATTGACTGGAAATGTGAGTTGGAATAAGAGATGACTCCGTCGCCTTCATCGTAAAGCATGTCGTCATACTCATCACCGTGCAAGAAGAAATCCTCGTCCGCAATCTTGAAATGCCGTTGCAGGATATGGGCCAGGATCTGATGCACGATAGAGTCTTCGTCGGGTTGGTCGGACCAAACAAGACTTTCCACGATACTGCCATCCTTGAATCGACGCAGTTCAGCTTTGTCTCCCCAAAAGGCACGGAAAGACGCGGCTTCCTCCTTCTCCTCTGCAGCCGGTCCATGATCAACCGTCCTGCCGACGTTTTCACCGTGAAGCATTAATCCAACGGACAGATCGTGGCTCGCCTTCTTGTTCAGGGCCTTTGATTTGACAGGCCATGATTCAACAGAGCGGCTGGTCAGAGAAATGAGCTTGACTCGGTCCCCAAGAGCCCTAGACAACACTTGATACAAAGACTTTTGGTCGTGGAGAGACCGAAGAGTGTCACCACTGAACGACTTGGGGAAAGTGAGGAGACGATCAAACCTCAAGGCTGGCTCGTCGACCTTCACGATGAAGACTCTGTCAAAGTTGTCTTCACGAGACTCATTCAGCATCTTGAGTGTGACCGAAGCTTCTTGACGGAGAACTGAATAAGACCAGGGAGTCATCTTGTACAGAAGATTCAGTCCTCGGCGGCCATCGTACAGAACGGGCCCGCCATCAGGAACGGGAACATCCGAGGCGAAAAGGATCAAAGGGCTGGACAAGTCTCGGCCGGCAAGGAATTGCATGGTGGCCTTGAAAATCTGGTAACTGCTATAAGACCGCAGAAGAATCGGTTGACCAGAAGGTCCACCGCCTTCAAAGAGCAGTGAGATAAGGGCAGACCACTCGAAGCCTCCAAATCCTCCCTTCTGGAATGAGGTGTGGAATCCTCGTTGCTGCAGCCAAGTGCGTCCGAGAATACACGCGTCACGGAAGGAGTCGCATTTTTGAGAGGCAGAGTAGAGGTATTTGTGGTAGAGAGACACGGCGGCTTCGGATCGAAGGCTGGCATTATAGAATGGAGTCGGCTCACCAGCTTCCGCGGTATCGGTCGAGGAACCTTGGCGGATATTGTTCTTCATGGGGAGTGTTCGGGTAACCGGGAACAAAGTCGGGTCAATTGCAGTCAAGATCCGGATTTGGGGCTGCGACAGCGTTTTCTCATCTTTCGACGAACGAGGCTCCAAGAAAATCAGTGGGCGGAGACTGTCTCCGTCTTGGAAGCCAAACTTCACCTCTAGCCCAAGGCTATTGACAGTCTCTTGGATACCGGCTGCCAGGCAAGCGATGTAGTAGGCTCTCTTATGGAAATAGCGGTAGTTGACATAGTCCTTTTCTTGGAAGATGGAGCTGGGCATCGTCACAGCTAGATCAACTGGACGAGACTCGGCAGTCTTGGCTCCCGTTCTCAGGCCAAAACTTCCCACCACATTGATGTTGGTTGGCTTCGCATACGAAACGGTGTACTTCACATCCTTGCTTGGGCGCGGTTCGGGCCACGGCACCACGATTCCAGAAGCAGTGCGCAGCTCCTTTTCGGCGTCCACAATTGATTTCGGCGAGATTTCGGGTAGGCTTTCGATTGCGCTTTTCACCTTGTGCAGAGTATCCTGAACTTTCGAAATCCGCTTGTCGTAGTTGACTCTCAACCCGCTCACCAGTTCATCCACTTGCAGCTTGAAGAAGCCGGACTTGTAGAAGCCACTGGCCATTGCCAGCTCTGCAGTACGCTCATCCTTTGCCCGGTGGGCCGAGTTGGTCTTCGATGAGTGGTCATTTTTCCGCGCGGGGATATGAGCTGCTTTTTCGTTGGTTGCGCCGTTGGAAGATTTCGACTGGGTCGCTGAGGCGTCGTTTGTTGGCGAAGGACTCAATTTCCTTCGCTTAACTGCGTGTGCGGACATCCTTGCGTTGGCGAGGTCTGAACCAAGCAATATCAGGATGTAATGGTGCTATATGTAGAGCTTTGAGGTGCCAGAGCCAGTCTCGCGATAATCTCGAAATTTTTTTGAGCGGACGATAACAGACCGGCAGAACTTGGCGGGCGGTAGAGGCGGTAAGAGTACCTGCAGTCAACTGGCGAGTCCAACTGGTGAACTGGGAAGCTGCGGGATGCTGAGCAGTGCTGAGTCATGGCCGCCGAAGTCGCAATCTACGCGGATGAGTCGAAAAGTTGATTCAACTCCATCTTGATCTACACTTATCTATTTTACTTTTTCTTTTTGATCTGATTATTTTTTCTATCTTATTTTCAAATCCACAATGCTTCAAGCCCTTGGAGGCCCTGTGCCCCCGAACACTGACCATGTACGTCTTCTCCGATCCCCCGCAACATACCCCTCCATGGGTCTCTCTCCAGCATACATCAATACAGGAAACGCGAGCTGAAGAGTCGCGTGTCTAAATTAATAAACCTTACTGACAAAATACAAGGCCGTCAGTGTATCCCTACCGACATGGAGATCCAACATTGGATATGAGGAGGGAGAGGACTGGGTCATAGGCAAGATGGAATGCGGCTATCCTCGATTCTTCGTACACCCGAGCATTCAGAAACTCGCCCAAGAAATCGTTCGTCGCGTCGGAGACCCCGAGTCGGAGACTGCCACCCTTTTCGCATCCCTCAAGACCGCGCGCATCTGCCATTCGTTCGTCGTGTCCAAGGTCTCTCCCGAAGAGGCACAAAAGGTTCGGATCGTGACCTTCGTGCCCTCCCAGCAGGCTGATGAAGGATCCACCACAATTACGTCCTCGTTGGTGGCTGTCGTCTATAAGAAGGAATTTGCATCCATTGCCAAACAGGTCTGGCAACATTCTGGCAACGGTATCTCGAGTCGGCGGGGAGAGTTCTGTCTTCGCGCCCTGGAGGATGGGTTCTTGGTGGAGGAGAAGAAGTCTCCAGCTGCAGAGTCTCTCTCACAGCGGCCTTGCAAGGGACCCCGACGCTATCAGGGTAAAGGATCCATGAGTGGAATCTCACGGGGTTCCTCGGCCTCGACTCCCACGTCTACAGACACCCCTTCGGCAGCCAGTGGCGCTGAAGATGGCCGAGACTACCCCCAGTTTATTGAAGAGCGCTTTGGTCGTAATCTTAGCACTGCGTTGGCTGAGCAAGCCAAGGTTGCCGTGCGGAGGCGGATTGCTGGCGTGCTCACTGCTGATGTTGAGCTGCCCGAGGCCCTCGAAACCGCTTCGGCCGAAGGTCGAGTCTCCGGTATCTCGGAGGAGGACGTTTATCTCTATCCTTCTGGGATGAGTGCCATTTTCAACTCGCATCAGAACCTGCTGACAGCCCGTGGGCCTTTGAAGAGCATCTGTTTTGGCTTCCCTTACACCGACACCTTGAAGATTCTCCAGAAATGGGGACCTGGCTGCTTGTTCTATGGTCACGGTTCATCAGAGGATCTTGATGATCTGGAATCACGGCTGAAGAATGGCGAAAGATTCCTCGGTCTCTTCACCGAAGCCCCCGGTAACCCTTTGCTCAAGACTCCGGATCTCGTGCGGATCAGATCTTTGGCCGACCAGTATGGCTTCGCCGTAGTGGTTGATGAGACCATCAGCAATTTCCTCAATATCAACGTCCTCCGGTATGCCGATATCGTTGTCAGCAGTTTAACAAAGATTTTCAGTGGAGACAGCAATGTCATGGGTGGCAGTGCGGTACTAAACCCGCAAGCTCCCTACTATAAGCTGCTGAAGGACACTTTGAACCGCGAATATGAGGACCTTTACTGGGCAGAAGACGCAGTGTTCCTAGAGCGGAACAGCCGAGACTTCATCGGCAGAATTGACAAGATCAACGCCACCTCTGAAGAAATCACCGCCATGTTGAAGGCATCTCCCCTAGGTAAATCAGCGTCTGTCCTTTCCTGGCCTTGTTCGCACTAACGAAAACAAACTACAGTCAAAGAAGTTTACTATCCCAAATACAGCCCAACGAGGCCCCTGTACGACAGCCTCCGTACCCCCAACGGTGGCTACGGTGGTCTCTTTTCTGTCACATTCCACTCCACCCCGGAAGCTATCGCATTCTATGATACCCTCGAGGTGTTGAAGGGCCCTAGTCTCGGCACAAACTTCACCCTCAGGTGAGTGACGCCTCTCTTGAACACCCGATTAATCTTGGGATGGTGCTAATAAAACCACTATCAGCTCTCCATATGTCGTCCTTGCCCATTATCTCGAACTTGACTGGGTATGATTTCCTCTAATTTCCCTGCGACTGGGCATCTTCTACGTGATAACAAGCTAACATAGATTACCCTATAGGCGAGATCTTTCAATGTCGACCCCGACTTGGTGAGAATCAGCGTCGGTTTGGAGGAGGTATCCGATTTGCGAGGCCGATTCCAGCGGGCTCTGGATGCCGTGGAAAAAGTGGAAAAATAGAAACGATGACACGCCAGCGCTCCTACATCTTCAACAAAAACTCAATCTGCTCAACCTTCAGAGATATTTCTAATAGCCCCAGTGCCGTGTTCTGGGGCGGAACTGCATTCATAGAGATTTAGCCAGTATGAGCGCAGGCACAGTCACTTCCTACATTTCAAAAAGGGTATATACACAAAATGATATGAATGAACAAAAAACACCAAAAACACCAGGTGTTGAAGTAGCGCGTAATCAAGGATATCCAGATCCATAGATTTGAGTTATGTGAAACGCAATGATCAAGATAGACAGAGCACCATCGTCACGCTGTCCAACTATCGCCCGAGCCAAGGAGAATGCCTATTGAAAGAGACAACGGAAAAGGCCAGGTAGATATCACTACCTCGGTGTGAAACTCAGAAATGACGATCCAAGGGCTCATCGTTGCCAACGGCACTAGCCGGTTGGCTTGCAAAGCCACCAAGATCACCACTACCCGTTCGTCTCAGCGCCTGTCGCATAGTTTCAACATTCAGTTCACCACCAAAATTGGAAGAAACTGGGCTTTGGGCCAGTTGGAGTGGACTTGCCGCTCCGCGAGCGCCATGGCTGGGCGACATTTCGACACCTTTGAAGGAAGTCGCAATACTAGTTGGGGGCGATGTGCCCAGTCCATGCGAGGAAGTTGGAGATCGTAACGGGGACGGCGAACGATTGTGGTATCCTGCACCAATCGGATGACCTGAAGCTCCTCCAACCTGGGAGGGCTCTCGGCTGTACACTGACTCACCCGTCTCTGCATGTTCAGCATTGACGACATCGGCAAAAGAGATGAAACTCAACCGTCGGACGTCTGTCGAGTCTAGCGCGGCATGAGTGGACGAGCTTTCATCGGCCTCGATAGGGTGGAACCCCGCATGATCAACAAAGCCGGAGGACGCCAGTGAGTGTTCTGCTGTCGAGGAACCGGTCACACCCGCGGCAGCAGATTGATGCATACTATGGGTGATAATTTCCACTGAATCCGGGTCCAATTGCTCGTCGGTAATGGCGGCTGACGAGGCCTCTAGGACTGGAGGAATGTAGTTCTCGGTGCGAATATGTGCGGGTATAGATGGGGAAGCTTGCTGGGGGAGTATATCTTCTTGGACACTCCGCTCAAAGATTTGAGACGCCGGGGAGTGCAGGCGGGGAGGCAACTGGGATGTCCCACCGGGGGACGATGGTTGTCTGTACGCGTACTTCTGTCGGTCTGAAACACCTGGCGTTCGCAACGCTTCGGATGAGTCGACGGGTGATATCGGTGACACAGGGCCACTACTCAGGGCTCCAGATCCCATAGCTGTGCCCTCGGTGTGTTGGTCGTTGTCGACATGCTGCACCTGGGGCCAAGTTAGGTTGGCGGGCTTGGGAGCCCGTACATTGGTCACAGGCTTTCCGACCAGGAGAGCGTTCTTGTCGGCTGACTGCACTAGATCGCCTGGCAGCTGCGCAGAAGACGAGATAGTATTCTGCAGCTGCCCATCCATAGACTCATGTAGTACATTCCGAGGGTCCGCCATGGCGAAATGGGAGGGGAAGGCCAGTGGACACTGGCAAAGATAACGGGTATCGATGAACTATGGAAACCGGGGCCCAAAGGTTCTAGAAGACGATAGCCATGACCCAGAAATGTCTTCAGACGGTTCAGGGGTGTCCCGACGAAGGAGACAAAAAATATCGATCGTAGGACGGGTAGGAGTGTTTAGAAAAGGAGAGGATGGGATGGATCGTCATCTCGCTTTTTGGCTAGGAGACGATGATGACATGCGGTGATCCAGCTGATCCCATGTGTTATGACGGGGTAAAGTACCGAATACATGACTGGTTGAGGACCCGCCAGCCGATGGCTTCATGTACTGGAAATACCGCTCAATTACCAAACAGATTACCTAATATGGTATTACAGGCCATGCCCGATCGGGAACAAGTCACGAGACTCAAGACTCGGGGAAAAAAGTTCGGGCTCGACACGTCCACCCTGGCCTAGTCTACCCATCACGGCTCTATTGTCGACCTCCCTTCACCGTCTTATTCTGGTAGGCTTTCAACTTGGTCTAAGGCTTGTTGTCTTTGTACTTACTCCCATCAGTTCCCAGCCTAGCATTGGCCTGCAGTCCCAAAGATGGCCACCTCAATTGCGGCTTCCAAGCGGCCATTCCTCACGCTGCCTTTCCTCCTTCCTTCATGGTCAGATTCCCTTGCTCTGGGATCTCGACGTTATCAATCTTCATACCGTCGGACAAAGCAACGCCTCCGCGTTAAGCCGGATGCCATCTTTGGCGCATCGCACCAAGGCCGCGATCAGATCATCTACAACCCGCCCTCCAGCGCACCATCCGTCTATCACACTCCCAGCAAATTCTTGCCCTCCAACGATGCCCGCAGGTCGATGCGCATTGAAGATGCGGCGAATGCAAATCCGACGGACAAGGTTGAAGATCTCCCCAACGTCTACCGCAGCGACCCCGAGAGAAAGTACCACTTGACCCCCGAGGATGTTGAGGAAATCCGCAAGCTCCGACTGAGTGACCCAATGACCTGGAGCCGACACAAGCTGGCCAAGCGCTTCGAATGCTCGCCCCTCTTCATCGCAATGGTCTGCGAAGCCAGCCCGGAGAAGAAGCAAATTCAAAGGCAGGTGCTGGAGGCTGTGCAATCACAATGGGGTCCCAAGCGACGGATGGCCAGAGAGGACCGGAAGTTGCGCCGGGAGGCATGGGGCCGTGATGAGTGATTCAAGTACGCCTGTCTTCCTGGTTGACGTGTGTTGTTCTGGGGGGTGAAGGGCTCTCTATGGTTAAGGGGGGGGACCTCATCGCCATTAGGATGGTCTCCAGCCTTTAACCGTGTGATTAGCTGCGACTCGCAGCCTCGTGTAAAAACGACATGTATTCTAACTATAGCATTGTTCTCTGTATTCTCATATCCATACAATTTTCTTTCTTTTTATTCTTGATTGTTGCCCGACGGCTAGTATTCAGCCTCGTTAAGGAAGTGGGTCATTGTCAATAAATTACCGTGGTAGTAGTGCAGATGGGACTCGATACACATACATCGATCGTTACACGAATCTAGTCAAGACGATAAGCACGGGAAGTAATGCAACATAGCAATAATAATGGGTACAAATGGAGGATATAGTCGGCTATTAGGCGACCCAGTATTTCCCAAGAGAGCTAGCTTTTCCCTGTCACTGCCGTCTCGGCGTCTCCATTCCCACCGTACGCGTACTTGAGTCTGGTTAGTTCCATGGCCCAAGCGCCAATCGATAAGGCCGAGGTGTATCAATGGAACCAGAGAAAATAATCAACCACCCACTGATTTGGCGGTTACCGCCGGGACTCCCTGCAGGCCTAAAGTATTAATTACGTGATAAGATACTTTTGGGTGCGACTGGTGCCCTCACCTGCTGCAAATGCTGCCCCTCTTTCCCCTCCGCATCCCCTCGCTCGCAAGATCCGGGCAATCTCTTCTCTCCAAGTTTTCTCCCTCTACTCGTCCAATCGTCCCTCGCCGCTTCTTCTACGGACATATCAGTGATACCAAGATGGCGCCGCAGCTGGAGCCCTTTTTCAAGCAGTAAGTGCCTCTTGTGTTTTGGGCCTAACAAGAAAAGAAAAAAAAACACAGTCCATCCAACTCACGCGTGTTCTATAGGGTCGACGAGTCGTCCGAGACCTTCATCGATCGTATGTACCTCAAGTCTCACGCTTGCAGCGAGCTTGGATAGTTTCGCGGAAAAAAAAAAAGCTAGGCTAGAAAAATATTTCCACTTACTGATCAATCTATCTAGGTCTGCGCAAGGCCGTTGCGATCCCCTCCATCTCCGCCCAGGATGAGAACCGAAAGGATGTGTTCCGCGTGAGTTGAGCAAGCTACCCCTCACGAGGCCGAAGGAAGACTAATCTGTGTTCATCGCGCCAAAAGATGGCCCAATTCCTTGCGGACGAACTGACCGCGCTCGGTGCTGAGGTCGAGCAAAGGCCTCTGGGCAAGCAGCCCGGCAAGGAGCACCTCGATCTGCCCCCCGTTGTTGTTGCCCGCTACGGTAACGACAAGAACAAGAAGACTATCCTGGTCTACGGTCACTACGATGTGCAGCCCGCTCAGAAGGAGGATGGCTGGGCTACCGAGCCCTTCGAGTTGACCATCGATGAGAAGGGTCGCATGTATGGCCGTGGATCTACGGATGACAAGGGCCCCGTTCTTGGCTGGGTCAACGTGATTGAGGCTCACCGCAAGGCCGGTATTGAGCTGCCCGTCAACCTGCTCTGCTGCTTCGAGGGTATGGAGGAGTATGGATCCGAGGGTCTGGATGACTTCATCCAGGCTGAGGCCAAGAAGTACTTCAAGGATACCGATGCCGTTTGCATTTCTGATAACTACTGGCTGGGTACCGAGAAGCCTTGCCTGACCTACGGTCTTCGTGGCTGCAACTACTACTCCGTCAGTGTCTCTGGTCCTGCCCAGGATCTCCACAGCGGTGTCTTTGGTGGTTCTGCTCATGAGCCCATGACCGACCTGGTGACCGTCCTGTCCAAGCTGGTGGATCCTCAGGGTAACATCCTGATCCCTGGTCTGATGGACCTGGTTGCTCCCATGACTGAGGATGAGAAGTCTCTGTACGGAAACATTAGCTACACCATGGAGAACCTCCACGAGTCCTTGGGAAGTGAGACTGGTATCCACCCCAACAAGGAGCGCACTTTGATGGCCCGCTGGCGGTACCCGTCCCTCTCCATCCACGGTATTGAGGGCGCTTATTCCGCTCCTGGAGCTAAGACCGTCATCCCTGCCAAGGTGATCGGCAAGTTCTCCATTCGCACTGTTCCCAACATGGAGAGCGAGGATGTGAACAAGCTGGTGTTTGACCACATCAAGGCCGAGTTTGCCAAGCTCAACAGCAAGAACAAGCTGGATGTGTGGCTGCAGCATGACGGCAAGTGGTGGGTTGCCAGCCCCAAGCACTGGAACTTCTCTGCCGCCAGCAAGGCCGTGCAGCAGGTGTTCGGTGTCGAGCCCGACATGACCCGTGAGGGTGGAAGGTATGCTTTTTCTTTTCCTCATTTCCCGGGCCCTATTACTGTCCCTTTTATTCCCTTTTTTTCCTTTCCACGAGGCTAACTAGTTTGAATAGTATTCCCGTGACATTGACTTTCGAGCAAGCCACTGGCAAGAACGTCCTGCTTCTTCCCATGGGCAGCTCCACCGACGCCGCTCACTCGGCTAACGAGAAGCTGGACCGCCGGAATTATATTGAAGGAACCAAGCTGCTCGGCGCGTACCTGCACTACGTGGCCGAGGAGCCGGCCACGGAGTAAAATGTACATGTTCCTGTCCGACATGCTCCAAATCAAGCCAATCAACTAAAGTGTTAGCTTATGAATAATTTATGCCCCTTCCCTTTTAAAAAATCGTGTGAAGAGGAGCCAGAATGAACATTCTTCATGTAACTTAAAACAACGCTAAGTTGAAATAACCAATTACAAGCGGGTTTCTGTGCTAAGTAGACGAAGATAAACCTTCATACAATTCCGGGGGCGGACAGCGGGGGAGGCTCTGCTTACTCATCTCCCGCGTTTGACGCGAAAGAGCGCGCCGACGCGAGTCAGGACCTTCTTTGTTCGATAAGGTCATTATAGCCAGAGTGAGAGTCGTCGCTATGCGCTAGGGTTTTGTCTTTTACATACAACATCCTTGAGTCATGCCGTCCTTAAAGCGCGTACAGGTGCCCTCGGACTCAGACGACGGGAGTGACGGGGGTTCTGAGAGCGCCGCATCGAACTCCACGCCTTATTCGGTACGTTCTCTGTGTGATCAATGAATTCTTCAAAACAGAAGTTACTGATACAAGGGTAGAGGAAACGAGCTCGACTGTCCGATTCTTCCGACGCTTCTGATGGGTCAGAAGCGAACGAGCGACATACCGATTCCCCCTCCCCCTCCCCCTCCGCCTCCGCCGATGATGGGTTCCTCGACGAAGATGCAGATGAGGAAGAGCTCGAGCTCCGCCAGACACAGCTGATTCAGGACAAGTACGCCCATCTGATCGATGAAGCTAATGTGCCTGCCGAACATGGGGTCCTCGAACGTGTCGAATGCTACAACTTTATGTGCCACACTCAATTCTCCGTCGAGCTCGGGCCGTTGATCAATTTTATCATTGGAAAGAACGGCAGTGGGAAAAGTGCGGTCCTAACCGCAATCACGCTTTGTCTGGGAGGCAAAGCATCCGCCACCAACCGCGGTCAAAGCCTCAAGAGCTTCATTAAGGAAGGGAAGGAGAACGCTTCCATCATCGTTCGGATAAAAAATCAGGGCGAAGGCGCCTACCTCCCTGATGATTATGGCAAATCCATCATTGTCGAACGGCACTTCACGAAGAGCGGCTCAAGTGGTTTCAAAATTAAGAATGCGCAGGGGCGCATTGTCTCGACAAAGAAGGCCGAGCTAGACGCCATTACCGACTACTTCTCCCTTCAAATCGACAACCCCATGAACGTTCTCTCCCAGGATATGGCTCGCCAATTTCTAAGCACCTCCAGTCCGGCGGAGAAATACAAGTTCTTCATCAAGGGAGTTCAGTTGGAGCAACTCGACCAGGACTATCGTCTGATTGAGGAATCGGTGGATCAGATTGAGGAGAAGCTCAGAATCCAGGAGCCAAATCTTCGCTTTTTGGAGAACCAGAGGAATGTGGCGAAGAGGAAATTGGAACTTTCTGACAAACAAGATTTTGTGAGGGAACGTATCAGGAACCTGCGAAAACAACTGGCTTGGTCTCATGTGGAGGATTTAGAACGAGTCAGTAGCCCTCATGCAGTCCCTGTATTCGGCCTAGACTAATGATGAATCCAGGAAAGAGATTTAATCTCCGATGAGTTAGCCAAGGCGGATGAGGGCATTGCGAATGCTGAGGCCCAACTGGGCGAATTCGACGATAGGCTCCAGGGTGCCGACGTCGAGATGGAAACAGCAATAGAGCATTGCAATAGAGCAGACGGTGCGCTTGAAGAGTGTCAAAAAGAGAAAGAGCAATCGGCCGAGAAGGTGACCAAGGTGTCAACCAATATACATGAGTCCCAGGTATGCAAGCGCGATCTAAAATAAAGTACGAGGTGGAAAACATGGCTCACCAATCACAGGCCGATCAACGCAATATCAAGGGCCACCTCGACGGCGCAAGGAGCAGACTTGAAGTTGCACAGGAAAAGGTCAAGGAGGAAGAGCTTCGTCTCATCGAAGTAAGCAATGGGAGCTACGCTCGAAAGCAGGAGGAAGCCGATAATGCCCAAAATCGCGCTGCTACCGCGCGGACCAACTATGAGTCGCGCGAAGAAGGCCAACCCCCTTTACGGGAAGCAATAAAGACCGCAGAAATGAAGGCAACAGAGGCCCAAAAACTGTTGGAGATTAAACAACAGGACTTGGGCCAAGCCCAAAACCGGCTGCGCGAGCTCACAAGAGAAAACGCGCAAGTCAGAAATGGCTTTCACGAAAAAATGCCTGCATTGCTCAGGGCTATTCAGCAAGAACGCTCTAAATTCGCTACCCCTCCGGTCGGACCTATCGGGCATCACGTCACCTTGCTTAAGCCAAAATGGGCTTCCATCATCGAGAGCACACTTGGCAGCAGTCTGGAGAGCTTTGTGGTGAAGAGCCATGGTGATCAAAAGATTCTCAGCGCCATAATGAAGCGAGTAGGCTGGTAAGCTTCCAACCCGTAATAATTCCCAGCCGATATACCCTCTCTAACCGTAAGTGCAGTCAATGCCCGATTTTGGTCGGTTCTAACGAGAATATCGACACGACAAACCATGAGCCGGACAGTCAATATCTCACGGTTTTGAGAGCCTTGCAGGTAAGGCAACGTACTCATTCTTGGCGAGAAAATCTACTAATCTTGAGCTCATGTAGATTGACAGCGATCTAGTTCGGAGCCATCTGATTGTCAGACACTCCATCGAGAGAATGTTGCTGGTTGAAAATTTGGAAGAGGCTTCTTCCTTGATGTTCGACGGTCAAAAACTCAGGAATGTTGTACGATGCTACAGCCTTGACTCGAGGGATCACCGGCGAGGAGTCCATCTCGCTTATAACAGAGAGGGTGCTCCCAGTCAATCACCTGTACAGCCGTACAAAGGTGATCCCCGGATGAAGTCAGACTTGGCCTCTCAAACTAGGTATGAAGCCACACCAATTCTTGAAGGACTCCTTAAGATCCTAATTTCTACCCGCTTGCAGTCACCAGCGTGAGGTCGTCCAACTCCTAGAACGTCAACGACATACTCTCAAACAAGAACACGATGCTGCAGTCGCTCATGTGACATCATGCAAGCAAGATTGGACGGCATATCAACGGCAGACTGCAGAATTAAAGATTGAGATGCAGCAACTTGAAGATCATGCCGAGTCGCTCAAAGATGCTCTTGAAACTAACGAAGATGGGCAGCTCGACGCCTTGAAAACTACTCTACGAACCGCAGAAGTAGAAGTGGAAACGCACGAAGCGTCGTTCGAGGATGCCAAGATAGCTCACGCCGCTCTCATGGAGAACCTCAAGAATGCGCGACGAGAGCTTAAGGAAAAGGTCGAAAAGCTGACAGCTCAGCAACGCAATTGCGATGTTGTCAGGAAGGAGAAGGAGGGTGTTGAGAAAAAGCGCCGCCAAATCATCAGCGAAAAGAATGTTGCTATCGATCGTATTGACGCCAACAAAACACACAGGAACAACATCCGGGGAGAGTATGACCAAAAGGTTACTAAAACACTCGTGGAGACCGAGAAGGCCAGTCTAGTCTCAGAAAGAATCCGACTCGACGAGGGGGAGACTACCAGTAGTCTCGAGGCGAAGATGGTCAAACTCAAAAAGGATGAAGAACTGTATAATGCTGAGTACGTGTTTCCCGTGCGAGTTGAATCGACAAGGCTAATCAGAAATTATTTTAGACTGGGAGGTTCCAGAGAGCAAATTGCCAACGATGCTGCTGCAGCGGAGAACACGTATCAAGTCGCGAAAGCCCAGGTGGAAGAGTCGACTACGCTGGTCGAGGTAACTCCACCGATTCCAATGCCTCGTATTGGTTCTAACAGCATGCAGATACTCAAAAATACGCTGCATAATCGTAAGAAGCGGTGGGAGATCTTCAGATCACACATCTCGTCTCGTGCCAAGGCCCAGTTCACCTACTTGTTGAGTGAGCGAGGCTTCCGGGGTCGGCTACTTGCCAACCATCAAGAGAAACTGTTGGACCTCCAGGTTGAGCCCGATATCACAAAGGATGATAGCACGGGCCGTGGAGCCAAAACACTCTCCGGTGGTGAGAAGTCATTTTCCCAGATCTGCCTGCTGCTTGCCCTTTGGGAAGCTATGGGTTCGCCTATTCGATGCCTCGATGAGTTGTACGTAACATTCCCCCAGCAGTGGTTATGCTCGGTCCTTACTTACCCCCTCTCTCTCTAGTGACGTTTTCATGGACCATATAAACCGAAAACTTTCCATTGACATGCTCGTAAGTCTTTTCATGTTCGAGTCACACTAATATCTGATTGTTAATTATTCTTCTTTTTTCCCAGATGATCGCTGCCCGACGGTCGATTGGACGTCAATTCATCTTGATTACCCCAGGCACCAAGACTGATATCACTCTGGCTCCTGATGTCAGGGTGAAGGAGTTAGCAGAGCCGGAACGTGGTCAGACAACCTTGGCATTCCAAAGGTAAAGATGACGGCGGGAATGCATAACATGATTTGTGGGTGTACATAGCGTTTGGTTTTGCATATCGGGGTGTATCATGGTGTTCTTCAATAGCTTAATACCCCGTTCATTTTCTTGGCATGGCCTAGTTTCATCTTCATTCAGTAGACTTTATCATGATGTTTTTTTCAGTCGTCCTACGGATCATTAAATATAAGAGGCTGAATCCTGTGTATCTAAATCATTTAGTCTTCTCCAAAGCGCGACAGTAGATAAATATCACGTGATCACAGCAGGACCAACCTTGATGACCGCCCACGCAAGTCTTTTGGCTTCCCGTGAATCCCTTCACTCTTCTGAACCTCATCTTCCCATTCCAATCTCACTCTCCTTCTTACCTCCTACCCACGGGAATCTTACTCGATCTTATCTTCCAACAGAAATTCACTGGGTATCCGCTTTGACCTCTCTTCAACCCGATCTACCTCAATCTGAACAACTGCGGCTCTCTGACTGCAACATCCACCCTCGTCCTTTTCACCCCTCTGCTTTGAGCTCTGCAGGACTTTCCAAGACCCCTTCCGTCTTCCTCTCTCTCGCTGCTCCACCTCTAGTCAACTCTCATAGCCTCACCGACTCAACAATTTTGTGACTCGAACAATCGTCGTCTCCCACTAAACCGCACCGCTCTCAACTTCAAGCCCCGCATCTCTCGTGGACTTCCCTCCACAGCTCTCGCCTTGTTCCTTTCAATCATCTACAACAACCATGGCTGACGCCCTCGCTTCACAACTCAAAAACACTACCCTCGGGTCAGTCCGTTTGTGATTTTTGTCTTACAGCAGACCACTCACTAACCACATTCACCTTCGCAGGGACGGCGCCTCAGAAGTCAGACTCCAGGACACACTCAAGCTCCCTCCTAAAGATGCCCGACCCCAGACCGAGGTAGGTTCTTCATGCTTTTCATGTACATGTCCGCGGAAAACTGACTAGATTCAACAGGACGTCACGGCCACCAAAGGCCTCGAGTTCGAGGATTTCTACATTAAGCGTGAACTGATGATGGGTATCTTCGAGGCCGGATTCGAGAAGCCTTCCCCCATTCAAGAAGAAACGATACCCGTTGCGCTTACAGGCCGAGACATTCTTGCCCGTGCGAAGAACGGTACTGGCAAGACCGCTGCCTTCGTCATTCCTACCCTCGAACGTATCAACCCCAAAAGCACCAAGACCCAGGCTCTGATCCTGGTCCCCACACGAGAGCTGGCTCTTCAGACTTCCCAGGTCTGCAAGACCCTTGGAAAGCATCTGGGCATTAATGTCATGGTCACCACCGGTGGAACCGGTCTCATGGATGATATCATCCGGTTGAATGATGCCGTTCACATCCTGGTCGGTACCCCCGGTCGTGTCCTGGACCTTGCCAGCAAGGGCGTTGCCGATCTCTCCGAATGCCCTACTTTCGTGATGGATGAGGCAGACAAGCTCCTTTCCCCCGAATTCACCCCCGTCATTGAGCAACTGATGTCCTTCCACCCCAAGGATCGCCAGGTCATGCTCTTCAGTGCCACTTTCCCCCTCATTGTCAAGTCATTCAAGGACAAGCACATGCGCAACCCTTACGAGATCAACCTTATGGATGAGCTCACCTTGCGCGGTATTACACAGTACTACGCCTTCGTGGAGGAGAAGCAGAAGGTTCACTGCCTGAACACCCTCTTCTCGAAGCTCCAGATCAACCAGTCCATCATCTTCTGTAACTCCACGAACCGTGTTGAGCTCCTGGCCAAGAAGATTACAGAGCTAGGCTATTCTTGCTTCTACTCGCACGCTCGGATGCTCCAGCAGCACCGTAATCGTGTGTTCCATGATTTCCGCAACGGCGTGTGCCGTAACTTGGTCTGCTCGGACTTGCTGACCCGTGGTATTGATATCCAAGCGGTCAATGTTGTGATTAACTTTGATTTCCCTAAGAATGCCGAGACCTATCTTCACCGTATCGGTCGTTCCGGACGTTTTGGCCACTTGGGTCTGGCCATCAACCTGATCAACTGGGAAGATCGTTTCAATCTGTACAAGATTGAGCAGGAGCTGGGTACCGAGATTCAACCCATCCCTCAGATCATTGACAAGAAGCTTTACGTCTACGACTCTCCCGAGAATATCCCTCGTCCCATCTCCAACCCCGCGCAGCCCATGCTTTCGGGTCCCCAGCACCCTAGCAACGGAGATCGTCAGCCCCGTCGTCAGCACAACCACCAGAATAATGGGCAGTACTATAACAACAACCGCGGTCGGGGAGGCTCTTATCGTGGCGGCCGTGGACAAGGCCCGCGTCGTGGCCCCCAGCAACATGACCCCAACAAGCCCGCTCTTGCCCCCAGCCAGGTTGGCCCCAAGCCGCCAGCTCCTGTGTCTTAGAGCTCGCTCGTCATCATAGATGCGAGCCGGGTCTCTTGGGGGCCTCGCTATTTGACGTTGATGATCCATCCCACGGCTGTTTCGGTGCTTCATTCTTCAGAATCGTACGACGCATCGCTTCTTCCTTGTTTTTGTCTGATTCTTTACCCGTTCTTTCCCCGCTGCCTTTTTTTATCCTTATGTTTTGTCCTGTTCGAGATTTTTTTTCTCGTAACGGACTATGGCAGCTTCACTCAACGACTATTCTTCGAAGATGAAGTCTTCCATTGCTTTTTCTCGCAAACTCTTCTTTCGTCACGATGCTACGGTACTGGTGCGACATGTGTATCATAATTCCCCCGTTTTGTTCTCCATGGTTTCCCACTGATTTCATCGCCATGGATCGCTTTCGGGTTTCTTTTTTTGGTTTGAGCATGGTGCATTGTCCGGTGCCGCGAATGCTCTGCGATCCTGATTTTTTCCATCCTACAAGGTGTACATATGCTCCTTCACCACGGTTATGCTTCGAACAGGTTGCAGGGCGAGCGGCGTTCTCGGGGATTTTCGAATGACTCTGGCGTTCTGGCGGCCTCGGCGGATGCTGATTTTGTTGCGGCTTTCTTCGACCTTCATTTCCTATTCTTATCGCTGCTCGGAGAGAGCCACGACCCTTCTCCACGATGCCGTCGAATTTCACCAGCGGCAGTCTGGTTTTTCGATTTTCACTATGCATTTTTCTCTCCCCTCCTCGATTCAGCTTCGGATCTAGGGATCTGTCTACCAGCATCACTCCCAATTCCCATCATCCTCGGGTCAATCACACCTGGCCTCGATACCGCAATATCTCGACATCTCACCTATCTCCATATGGCATATCCTCACACCATGTCCGATGCCTTCCGATGTCGAACTCCTCACCTTCCCCCACAACACTACCAACTCGAAACCCATGAAACTGAAAAAAAGAAAAAAAAAAAAAAATCCGGAGGAGCACTAAGATGTGAAGGACCTAAATAGCATCCTAGTGAATTGACAAAGATTCCCTCTGATAGTTATCTACCTGCATTGAAGTAGACTAAGTAGACCAAGTATAGTAGGGATACTGGTATAGATCCAAGTAAACTCGAGACTTGATGCTAAGTTCAGACTAATCATATTACATCAACTATTACTCTAGACTGATCAAGTACAAGTATAAACTGGAAACCACCGACGTCGGAGTAAACGGAGCTGCGCAAAGTGGGGCTGCGGGCGACCGTAAATGGCGATCTACGAAGCCCGAGGTCCAGCACTTTCAACTCATCATCGTCGCTCCAAATGGCTACGGCGAGCAAGGATCCTACGACCAAGGTGAGCCCTCAATCATTGCGATTGAATCCTTTGAGACTAACTAGTTAACCCGGACAGCCCAGCGCTCTGCGCTCCATCATTGCGGGCTCCACTGCTGGAGCCGTGGAGATCGGTAAGGATCCCGCATGTGTCATTTCATAGAGTGTGCGCGCTAACCACCACATCTTGCTAGCAATTACCTATCCAGCTGAGTGTACGCTTCTTGCGACTTGCAGTCCTATACCTCTTCCTCGGCCAAACTAATTGACGCCCCTAGTTGCGAAAACCCGGACACAACTCAACCGCCGACTTGCGGAGGGCCAGAAACTCCCATTCCCACCATTCGGCAAGCAGTGGTACGCTGGATGTACCACGTTGATTATTGGAAACTCGTTGAAGGCTGGAATTCGTAGGTACACCCTACTCGGATTGCTAGGAATATTGGCTCATCGACATCTATACAGGCTTCGTTGCGTTCGACGCTATCAAGGCATCTCTCCAGGATGAGAACGGCAAGATTTCGGGCCCGAGGACGGTCGTGGCTGGATTCGGTGCGGGCTTCACCGAGTCTCTTCTCGCGGTGACTCCCTTTGAGAGTATCAAGACTCAATTGTCTGCAATCCCCTCCGTTCGCTTGGCCTTGACAATGCATTACTGACATGGCGTCGCTGGCAGGATTGACGACCGGAAGGCTGCCAAGCCACGCATGAATGGATTCATTCACGGTAGCAAAATTATCTGGCAGGAACGCGGAATTCGGGGCTTCTTCCAGGGCTTTGTTCCTACTACTGCTCGACAGGCCGCCAACTCGGCTACTCGTTTCACCAGTTATACTACTATCAAGCAGTTCGCCGAGGGCTATGTGGCTCCCGGGGAGAAGCTCGGGACACTCGCCACCTTTGGTATTGGTGGATTGGCGGGTATTATCACGGTGTATGTGCTGGCAGCTTGCTATAACGATTCATATTACTCGGCCTGCTAACCTAATAATTCTTATAGTTATGTGACCCAGCCTCTCGACACGGTGAAGACGAGGTTGGTTTCCCGGTTTAGCACGAACGGCGTTCTACAAAGGTTGCTGACCATCTCTACAGAATGCAATCACTTGAAGCCAGCAAGAACTACAAGAACAGCTTTGTCTGCGCCGCCAGAATCTTCAAGGATGAGGGCATCTTGACTTTCTGGTCCGGAGCCATGCCCAGACTGGCCCGATTGATCCTGAGTGGTGGAATTGTGTTTACCATGTGCGTCATTTCCAGTCCTTGCTCTCGAGTGATATACTAATAACGGCTGGCAGGTACGAAAAATCTATGGAGTTGATGGATCTCGCAGATCCCGAGCGCAAGTACCTTTAAAGGGTACCTAAACCGGAAGTATGTATGTGTCTTGTAGCATAGATGGGGTGCGAGGATTTATTTGCCGTTTGAATAGACTCAATATCCACGAGAATGCGTCGCTATAAAAGTACATGGTATCATTGTTTTTAGTGTACAATATGAGCAGCCTTGCGAGGGTTTGGTTCAGGCCTTGTGTTTTACTTCTTCTTCGTCTTCTCCTCCTTGAGCGTCTCCTCGGCTACCATGGCCTCAACCTCGCGGTCAGCCATCCAAGTGCGGACGCTTTCCATGACCGTCTCCAAGCCGTCACCGCCATCGAGGACACCGTCGAGGTTGTGAATCGTAGTACCGCTGCGGTGGTCGGTACAACGGCTCTGGCCATAGTTATAGGTTCGAATCTTGTCACCACGACCCATTCGAGCCACTCCACCCATCGCACCTCGGCGCAGCTGGACCAATTCCTGCTCGCGCGCTTCCTGGCGGGCCTCGGCGATTTTGGCTCGTAGCACCTGCCACGCCCTCCGTCGGTTGGACTGTTGAGACCGTTCATCTTGCATGGAGACAACGGTGCCCGTCGGGATATGGGTCAATCGAATGGCGGACTCGGTCTTGTTAACATGCTGTCCACCAGCACCGCTAGCTCGCATCTTCTCGACGCGCACTTCTTGTGGGTCAATGTAGTAGTCACTGTTGGGATCCTCAAAGTTCAGGGCATTGTCCGAGCCGCTGCCACTCTCTGGGAAACTTGGCAAGACCATCACGCTGACGGCGCTTGTATGTGTGCGACCTTTTGTTTCTGTCGCCGGTACTCTCTGGACTCGGTGTACCCCGGACTCGGTCCGCATGATATCGTATGCACCGTCCGCCTCGATCTCGATCACTGCTTCGCTCAGACGATCCTCTGAAGCTCCATCCTCAACATCCTGTTTCAAAATTGTCGGGCGAAGACCTCTCCGTGAACAGAATGACATGTACATCCGGAGCATCTCGAATGCAAAGAGACCCGCCTCATCTCCTCCTGCTCCAGGGCGAATCTCAACAAGACATGGTAAATCCGCGAACGGGTGTCGAGGGATCAGGGCCTTTTTCAGCCGGTCTGAAATCGTGGGCAAGGCCTCGCGGCTGGACTCCAGGTCCTCGATTGCGAGGGATCGCAGTTCTTCATCGGTATCGGGTTGCTCTAGGAGAGACTTTAGTTCGACTATAGACTCGTTGGCGCTGTCCCATTCTTTCAAGACTGCTGATACGGGAGCGATCTCGCCGGCTCGTTTAGCGACTTTCGCATCAAAGGCTTCTGCTAATTTGTCCGAGAGTTTCGCATGTTCGGCGGCGAGCAATCGCGCTCTCGTCAAAAGGACCGGTGACAGGCCGGAGTCTGCGGCGGGTGGGCTAATTAGCGGAGGTACAGCTTTGGAGGGATTGAGTACTACTTACCGGTATGCGCAGTTCGTAAGAACACATTCCGGCCCAGTCTAGCAGGGCGCCAGAATAATCGGGCGCATTGAAGCATCCTTCTTTTTGGAGGTTTAAAAAGGTCGAAAGGGCGTTCGAAGATAAGATCGGAGGAATTGCGGGCGTAATTTAATCGTACGGTACGCGTAAAGGCCACCAAACGGACTTGGACTTCGACTTGCATTCCATCGCTGACTTGTCCTCAAGTTCTCAACACCTTCGCTTTTGCATTTCTCTAAACCTCCCCCCAAATATTACCCAAGGCCATGTCCACGGGCCTCAACTAGAACCCCAACAATGCGCTTCTCGCTTGAAACCGTGACGGCCGTCCTGGCTTGCCTCTCCACCAGCTATGCGCTCCAGATCCCACCCGATACGCCGCTCTCCGAATTGATCTCCTCCGCCAAAGCGCATCTCGCAAAGGGCTCTCCGCGCGATGCTCTCGTTTACTTCGATGCTGCCGTCTCGCGCGATCCGACTAACTATATCACCATCTACCAGCGCGGCGCCGCTTATCTGTCCATTGGCAAGAACACCCAGGCTTCCGAGGACTTCAATCGGGTATTGGAACTAAAGCCCGATTTCGAGGGCGCGCTGCTCCAGCGATCTCGTCTTCAGGCTCGGTCTGCCCACTGGAAGGAGGCTCTGCAGGATTTGGAACGTGCGGGGAAGAAGGACTCGGTCGAATACCAGGAGATCCAGGCCGCGCGGGATGCAGCAGCACTAGCTCTTGCCGCTGAGAAGAAGGGAGACTGGGAGGCCTGTATCATGCAGGCGGGAGTGGCTATTATGAAGGCGAACACGGATCTGTCATTGCGACAGGCTCGCGCACACTGTCGCTTCGAGAGGGGCGAGGTGGAGGAAGGTGTGAGCGATCTCGCACATGTTCTACAGATCTCTCCGAACTTGGTGGAGCCTCATCTACAAATGTCCTCCATGCTGTTCTACGCTCTGGGTGATAGTGACCGTGGTCTCGCTCAAATTCGCAAGTGTCTACATACCGATCCCGACTCGAAGGCCTGCAATCGTCTCTATAAACGAGAACGCCAGCTTGCAAAGTCATTGGGGAAACTGCACAGTGCCCTGGAGGCGCGCAAGTTCAGTAATGCCGTGAAGTTGATGGTCGATGATGGGGAAGTCACTGGTTTGATCACCGACGTGAAGAATGATGTCGCCGAAGCGAGGGGAGCGGGTCATATTCACCCAGCGGCGTCTAACAATCTCTACGTCTTCCTTGTTGAAAAGACGTGCGAGTCCTACCGAGAGGTTTGTATCCTATCCTTTCTATGACCGGGTTCACCATGCTAACTCACGTTGATAGATGCGTATGGTCAAGAAGGCTGGTCCTTACTGCGCCGAGTCCCTCCAGCTAGTTCCACATTCTCTCCACGGTCTGCTATACCAGGCCCAGACTGAGCTGGACGGCGATCAATTTGAAGAGGCGGTGCGAACATTGAACGCTGCCCGGGAGCATCACCCGCATGCCCAGGAAGTCCAGACCCTTCTCCAGAAAGCGCAGGCCCTGTTGAAGCGGTCAAAGCAAAAGGATTATTACAAGGTCCTCGGTGTCAGCCGGGACGCAGACGAACGGACGATCAAGCGAGCATACCGTCAATTGATGAAGCAGCACCACCCCGACAAGGCTCACGCCCAGGGTATACCCAAAGAAGAGGCCGAGAAGAAGATGGCCTCCATCAACGAAGCATACGAAGTCCTGTCCGACTCTGAGCTGCGCACACGGTATGACAATGGAGACGATCCCAACGATCCCGAGTCGCAGCAGCGAGGCAATCCCTTCCAGGGCAGTCCCTTCGGCCATGGAGGCGGCCAGCAATTCTTCTTCCAGCAGGGTGGCCAGCAGTTCAAGTTTGGTGGTCAGGGCTTCGGAGGAGGCTTCCCCTTCCGCTGATTTTTTTTCTTGTTTTCATTCGAGTCACTTTTACCATTATAGAACATACCGCGGTGTTTCTAGGAGTATCTACGCCAGTTGTTCCGCTGCCCGATGGATGGGCATTCCGGACTAGGCGTCATTCTTTTCTTTCTTTTCGGAGTGTTTCTTCTTCTCCGTGGTTATTACCATTAACAGTAAATGGACAAAATTCAGCTGCAGGATTGTCTGGCTCTTTGACTATCAGAATGCGAGTAGGCCAATTTCCGCTCCTTGCCTGTAGCACCTTGCATCCTAGGAATAACCGTCACAAATTCACCCAGCCTCAGTTTCACGATCGGGGCGCATCCGTCAGCGGCACGTAGCTCACCTGGAACACTTTCTCCTTGTGAACTGACCCATCTGCCTTTTTATCCACAACCCAGATATACTGGCCACCACCGAACCCCAAGCTACTCAAGCTGGTCCCACTATTCTCCGACTCGACCGGGATAAACAGTCGTCCGGGGGCCCGCAGCTGCTCGATCAGCACTGGGTGGAGCTCCTCTGCCGCCGCGCCAACATGAATAGCATCGTACGGGGCATTTTCTTTCCAACCCAGACGTCCATCTCCTGTAATGAATTTCACTTGTCCAGAATCCTGGAGTTGGCGACCATCCTCTGATTTGTTCATGTTGGATCGAGCTAGCTCGACCAGTTCGGGGATGTGGTCGATGCCAATCACCTGGCCTGGTGTGGCGCTGCCGGGCCGGGCTGTTACCAGGTTGGCCAGGACGTGTGTAAGGTATCCCGAGCCAGAGCCGATGTCTAGGACTCTAGATCCGGGCTGGAGATGGTCAATTAGGTATTCACAGGCGTGGGAATGCATGTGTGGTGCGGAGATGGTGGCTCCGTGCCCGATGGGTTGGGGCGAGTCCGAGTATGGACGCGATGGCGCGTAGTGGGCGCGATCAACCTGGGAGGATGTGTTAGTACGCATTTGATGGCTTGGATTGTAGTGCTTTGAGGGGTGGATGGCAGCTTACGCCTAACATTGCTTCTTTGACGCGTTCATTTTTGATCACCTCGGCTTTGAATAGATTCTCGATCAGCTCGGTGTTAGTGGATCCGGAGCAGCGCCACGCCATGGTGAAGGTCCTTGTAGGGCGCCAGCTAAGTCTTTGGGATGGTCTTCGAAGTCTATGTAGCATGTAGGATTTAAGGTGTTAATAGAGGATGAGACTTGGAGTCGTCCTTGCGTTTGGTGATGACTGATGAGATCGTTGGAGGCGACCGACTTTGTGACGCCATGCTCTCCTCATCCTCCACGTGATGGCAACTCAACCATTCTTTTCGGCTTCTTTGGTGTGGTTCTCTTTACGTGTGGCTTATTTGGGGGGCATGTGTTGGCCATTTTAGTTGATTCGGTAGTATGTTGATTTATGATGGTGCATGGGTGCTACGACAAGGATGTTGTAGGAGTGTTTTAACAGGGTATAGGGTGGTAGATCTGTAGTAGATATATATGTATCCACTGGACAGGTACCCAGTACATAGACCGCATCCACCGTGTATAAGCTGCAATGTACACAAATAGTCAAAATTTGGGACTCTTGTAAATTGCGCTAAACCTAGGCATCTCAGGTAGCCATAATTATAATCTCTAATAGCGAAACAACCCTTATTACCATGATTTAATACCTAGAGGCAAGCCTAAAAGTACGGTGGGGGTAAAGGGTCACATGACAAGACGACTAAGCAATGACAACGGATGACTCATCAATAAGCGGTGGCAGTATTATTAAAAAACCCATCAACACGTGACCTCCAAACATCCTCAACATGCCACGTGACCAGACTTTCCCGTGACCATGCCACGTGATTCCACGACTATCTCCGACATCAACATCTTAACTCCGACCATCAGATCAAACTCGCATCTCGCCATGGCCAGTGTGGGAGCTGCCAACGTCCAAGATGACGTTGACCTCATGATGCTGGACCACCTGGCATGCGTGGCAATTGACAAGATAATCGATGCCGCCAATACCCCCTCACCCGGCTCCAAACTGGTAGATGAGGTGAATTGGACGATCACGCCTGTGAAATGTGAGTCCTAACCAGCCTTGATTGCCTTTATCTGCATTCGTTTCCCATGTCCGTGTTCTGACTATCGCAGCCCTGCAAGTTGTGATCGCCACCTACCAGCCCGAGAGCGCCTTGCCGCTGGACCTTGCCATCAAGGTGCGGATTTTCGACCTGGTCTGCCCTCTCTGGAACTACCCCCACCCGGACCTGACACGTCGCGTCGCGGGCGATAACTCCCCCTATCTAAAGGATATTGGGGAGCGCTTCCTGGGACTCTGCTCGCTCGCTGCTTCCAAGGTCTCCGAGACGCGTTGGTTCGACCTGGGCACCCGGTTCATGATCCAGGCCGCGCTGGAGGAGCACCTCATCGGAGTCACGCGCCGAGAGGCACTCCGCACCTTCTATTCCTGGCACCCGAATGGTGACCGGCGAATCGCCAGATGGTCGGATGTCCGTGAGCGCTACGCGGAAGACATCCCAGACTCCCCGGATGACGAGGCCGGGTGGGAGTTGCTCTACCAAGGGTACCCCTGGGTCCCGTTCAAGGCCATGGTGATGGACTTCCTTTACGAGCTCATGACCACCCTCGACGAGCCCATTTTCCTCCAGCTCGAACTAGGCCAGCTCGGTAGCCTGACCCCGGCTGAAACCCAGCAGCTGAAGCAGCGGATCGGCTGGCGCTGAACGAACCACGTGCTGCCAAGTGAGAGAAATGTATGTTCTTAGGTGAATCGGAAGGGAGGGGTGGGGAGGGAGGCGGGGGGTGATGAAAATCGCCCGAAAGCCTCTCCATTCCGATTTACCTTTGACACCCGCAACTCGAGTGGGCAGACAGGCCACAGTCTGCTGAGACTCGAGAGGACCTGCGTCGACCAGGAGTGCAGACACACGATACCTACGACCACCCATCACTACCATCACAACCACCCTTTGTTCACCTCGTCTGTCTACGAGAATCCCCTAGACCGAATCTAGATGTTCGAAGCACGACAACCGCGCAAAGAGGAGACTACGCCAAATGGGCTACTCCAAAACACTACACACTCAACGCCTTAACCGGTTTGGGTCAGTGACATGGCGGTTATATTTTAAAATTCGAATAATCTACAGAGGGTGACAATGGCGGCTCTAAGCACGACAAACGCAAATCAACCAACAGGGTTCCGAGGGTGGAATCGTTTAACCGAGGAGCATGCGGCGGGGGTCCTCGATGTACTCCTTGACCTGTGATCGGGGGATCAGAAGCTGGTTCAAACGTGAAGCATTCGGATTCGGATTTCCAACAACATACCTTGACAAGGAAAGTGACAGCCTCACGGCCATCCAGAAGACGGTGGTCGTAGGTGAGAGCGAGGTACATCATCTGTTGTTGGCGAAATATCAATATCCAGTGGTCACAATTGGGGAAAAGAAGAGGAGCGAGAGAGGGCTATCTTACCGGGCGAATTTCAACCTTGCCGTTCACAGCGACGGGCTTGTCCTTGATAGCGTGGAGACCCAGGACGGCTGAAGAAAAATTGTTTGTTAGAGTCACGATACATGGAAAGATCCTGGGATGAGAGAATGCCTACCAGTCTGGGGAAGGTTGATGATGGGAGTGCCCATCAGGGAGCCGAAGACACCACCCTGGAGGCTGTGTTAGCAAGAACAGTCATATCATTACAATAATCAAAGATCCAGACTCACGTTGCTGATGGTGAAAGTGCCACCGGCCATATCCTCAATAGTGAGCTTGTTGTCACGAGCCTATCGTTCCAGTGTTAGTAAAATTGTACTCGTGTTATCCCGTAGAGCAGCCTCAGCATTACCTTCTTGCCCAGCTCGGCGATCGACTGCTCAATGCCGACCAGGTCCATAGTCTCGGTGTTGCGAACAACCGGGGTGACCAGACCCTTCTCGGTAGCGACAGCAACACTGATGTCGACGTAGTCACGGTAGACGATGGTGTCGCCGCCGTTGGGGCCCTCAATGGAGGCATTGACGGCAGGGACATCCTTCATGGCCAAAACACAGGCGCGAGAGAAAGCGCTCATGAAGCCGAGCTTGACGCCGGTCTTCTTGAGAACATCATCCTTGTACAGCTTGCGGAACTCCATCAGCGAGGACATGTCAACCTCGTTGAAGGTGGTCAGAGAAGCAGCAGTGTTCTGGGACTGCTTCAGACGCTCGGCAATGCGCAGACGCATGCGGTTCATCTTGACCTATTTGATCGGAAATCGCGGGTTAGTCCTGCATAGATAGAAGTAAATTCAAGGGTCTGAACATACACGGCGCTCCTCGCGACCGCCCATGGCGGGCTTGGTCTCGGTAGCAGCAGGCTTGGGGGACTCGGCCTTAGCAGGGGCCGGCTTGGGGGGAGCAGGCTTGGTCTCCTTGGGCTTCTCAGCCTCGGCGGCAGTCTCCTTGGGCTTCTCGGCCTCCTTGGGCTGCTCGGGAGCGGCCTCCTTGGCCTCGGGGGCAGCACCGCCAACCTCCAGTCTGATGAGATCCTGGCCGACGGTAACGGTGTCCTCCTCGTTCACAAGAAGCTCCTTGATAGTACCGGCTTCCGGGGCGTTCACGGAAACATCGATCTAGTGCGCGAGGTACTACTGTCAGACTCTATAGATCAAGGGTAAAGGGTTATACTCGAGAGCAAATCTACCTTGTCGGTCTCAATAGTGGCAATCTCCTCATCACGCTCAACATAGTCGCCAACCTCTGGAAACGAATTGTCAACATTTCTTGGACGAAAACAAGTTTTTCTGGGTCGGAAGGCTGGGTGTGCGTACGTTTAGAGAACTGCTTAAGAGTACCCTCTGTGATCGACTCGGCCATCTGGGGGACCTTGACGATGGAATCGGCTATATCGCATGGACATTAGTCTCATGTTATGTTTTGGAAATGGAACGGGGGTTCGTCGTAGGTACCGTAGGTGCGAATCTGGGAGCCCACGAACGGGGCGAGGTTGCGCGAGACATTGATGCTGTTCGAATCGTTAATCAGTAAAGGGAATGCGATTCTGCAGGGCGCATATTCTTACCCCGAAGACACCTGCAGCAGACCAGAGGCTCTGGGGAAGGCATTGGAGCGCGTGAGGGTGGACAGGCTCTGGGCTCCGCTAAGCCGGCTGGGAGCCCGAGTGGCCCGGGTCAAAGTCGTCAGGCGCTGGCCGGAAAGGCGCGCGAGAGGGAGTCGAGCAGCCATGATGTGTAGAAAGACCGAGTTCACAAACAATTAAAAGTCACAAGATATCTCCCAAAGAGAATTTGGGGGAGGAGAGAAAGCGGAGAGTTGGGGTTAAGGAGAAAAAGAAAAAGGCCTCAAAAACGCCCTGTTGCTGTTACGTAGCCGAAGCCAAAAGCTCCCGAAGCCGAGATGCGGAAGAACCCCGGCAACGGAGTAATATTCTTACGCCTCGACTCCGGTTGCCCGCAGCGGCCTGAGTGGCACTTTGTAACGAATGGGGACGCCGAGAATAGTCAACCCGCAGCCCTTCCCATTCTCGGACGGTCTTGATCGAATTGACATTGGGGAGACTCTCGACTCTACGATCCTTACTCCTCGATTATCTCGCTCCAATTGAGCTTCCGAATACATCATGTCTACCACCACCGTGACGTGAGTGCCATGCGACCGCCCTCGGGCGCAATTCCACTCCATTAATGCACCTCCACCATCGTCACCACCACCACCCACTTCCCAGACATCAGGATGGTCTGACTGACTTGACGGTTTTAGGTCGCTCTACCGGCGGTCCTTGAAGCTGTCGCTGGACTGGGCTGTCCAGCGATCCATCTGGCGCGGCCAGGCCGTGTACATCCGCTCCCTCTTCGATGCCAACAAGGACGTCCGTGATCCTCGCCAGCAACAGGTACGCGACTACAATTGAGCTCGGACCAAAGGACCTACTGACGGGGGATAAACATTCAGATTCTGCTGCGCGAGACTGAGAAGCTGCTGAACGAGTGGAAGCACCCCGACCCCTACCGGGCTCCCACGGCCCCTGGTGGTACGTATCGACCGTTTGATATTGGCTTGTCGCGCGTATCGACTGACCGTATATTATAGGAAACAAATGGGAGCGCAACGTTCCCGCTCCGATTCTCCCATGTACGTTGAATTGCCGACCTTTCTCAATGTACGATTGCAGGCTGACCATATATTGCAGATGCGGCGCCCCCGCTGCCCACTAATCGGCTGGGTTTTGAGCATGGATGTCATTATATTGGGGGTTTGCGAATCAATTTCACACACTATTTTGTCGTTTTTCAAGTTACAGTCATGGGCACATGTAGATACAATGAAAAAAAGCCTATGTCACATTTCAAATACAGTCGCAGTTCAGACTTGCGCAATCTGATAGGAATTTAGAAGTTCAATGCACTCATAATTCTCGCGATTGATATAAGACTATCGAAGTGAAAACCATACGCTGCAAATATTACGTTGATATCAAAAGATAGAAATGCAAAGTATAATTGGAGGACCTAGAACCTTTTCATTGATTCGGGCTTTCGCCCGGGACTAGTTATCCGGGAAAAAAAAAGAACTTGAAATCCCTCGAACAAGCTTGAAGTTCGTCGGTATCATTCCATGCCCGTAGGCATAATGTACAACCTGGAGGAAACTGATGAAGAAAAGAGAAAACGCAGAGCCATAACGTGCCCGTCCCATAACCCCATTATCGTGTCAATGAACCAACCCACGCCGGAAAAAACAGAAAGAAACCCGCGAGAAGAAAAACCGTTTACAGCTCCTGGCTGCCCTTGCCGGCCTTGGGGGTCTTCTTGGGGAGGAGGTCTGAAAGGGAAAACGCGTCAGTAAATGATGATCCAAAAAGAAAGAGGTGCGGATGACGTACTCTGGTGGATGTTGGGAAGGACACCACCCTGGGCGATGGTGACGTGACCCAGGAGCTTGTTCAGCTCCTCATCGTTGCGGATGGCAAGCTGGAGGTGACGGGGGATGATACGGGTCTTCTTGTTGTCACGGGCGGCGTTACCAGCCAACTCGAGGATTTCAGCAGCGAGGTACTCGAGGACGGCAGCCAGGTAAACGGGAGCACCGGCACCGACACGCTGAGCGTAGTTGCCCTTGCGGAGCAGACGGTGGACACGACCAACGGGGAAGGCCAGACCGGCCTTGGAGGAACGGCTGTAAAAGTATTGATGTCAGAATGAGTCGTAGACAACACACACAAAATCTCCAAGTACAAAAGACTGGATTTTTTGACGCGATCGTCAAAACAAGGGAGTAAGAACTTACGACTGCGCGTTCTTGGAACCGCTAGCCTTGCCGCCAGACTTTCCGCCAGTCATTTTGAATGTGGGTTGTGAGGGTTGGGGGTTTTTGAAAAAAGGGTGTTGGTGGTTGGAGTGGGAGTTGGAAGATGGAGAGTTTGTCGTACGTGGTAATGGAGGGGAGGGGCGTCGAGATGGAAGTAGAGGGGATCTTTATAACAAACGCGGAGGGTGACGTTGGGCGGGCATCAACCAACGGGACTCCAGATCACGCTCTCGCTTAGCGGGATCGGCCAATGATACGGCGGGATCACGACCAATCCGCGTTGTGTTGATAGGCGGGTGCATTCCAAATCAGGAATGGCTCCGTATTAATTACACGTTACCGACCCTTACCGGTGGCCCGCGTGATCGCCCCTCCCATTTCACTATGTACCCCCCACAGTCGGACGCGTCGACCCCCCCTTAATCATACAGATCATACCACCCCCTTACCGTATTGAAATTCCGGCTCTTTTGTGCCCTTCTGGATCAACGACCCGTGGGCGGTCGCGTATATAAATCTTGTCCCCCCTCACCACCGCGCTTTACTTCCTCCCTCTTCATCTCTGCTTCCAACCCTTCACGCTCCATCCATCTTCCAACTTTTTCTACCAAAACCAAACCCCCTTTACCAACCCCATCATCAACAATGGCTCCCCCCAAGGCTGCTGAGAAGAAGCCCTCCACCGCCGGCAAGGCTCCCGTTGGCGGCAAGGCCCCCGCTGAGAAGAAGGAGGCTGGCAAGAAGACTTCCGCCGCCTCTGGTGAGAAGAAGAAGCGCGGCAAGACCCGCAAGGAGACCTACTCCTCCTACATCTACAAGGGTGAGTTTTCCGATCCAGTTTGGATGTTTTGGAGATGTCCATCCTTGACGCGACGCGTATCTGACTTTGTTGTTCTCCAGTCCTCAAGCAGGTCCACCCCGACACTGGTATCTCCACCCGTGCCATGTCCATCCTGAACTCCTTCGTCAACGGTATGTTTTTCGCGTCTTTTTGTTTCAACTTGGCGCGTTTTTTGCGTTTTAAATATTTCACCATTTTCTAACATTCTATCCTTACAGACATCTTCGAGCGCGTCGCCACCGAGGCCTCCAAGCTTGCCGCCTACAACAAGAAGTCCACCATCTCCTCCCGGGAGATCCAGACCTCCGTCCGTCTGATCCTCCCCGGTGAGCTGGCCAAGCACGCCGTCTCTGAGGGTACCAAGGCCGTCACCAAGTACTCCTCCTCCGCCAAATAAGCGGTTTCTTGTTCCTTTTCAATTTCTTGCGGCTTTGCTCTTGTTTTTTTTCTGCCTCCTGATCTTTTCCTGGGCTCTCGGAGGTGGTTCGGTTATGGGTGTTTTGCGGGTTTCTTAATGTGTCATGGGATGGTATCAATTTTCTTTTCCCCGATGGGCGACTTTTTCTGATGGTTACTACTCGATGCGCGTGGTGTAACATAACAACTCGGGTCTGGGGCTGGTTGAACGGTTTAACCTACTCCTAACTAGAACGCGAAATTCCAAATGCTTGATTGCATTAACACACTATTTCTTCGTGATGCTCTTTTTCTCTCTAGATTTCTGTGTACACGGTCGCGCCTAAAAATGGTTTCTTTGGTCTCCACATCTGGGGATGCTTTCTTCGATGATCGAGTGGCGCGTTTGCGGCTCCATGCGGCTCCAATCCGCAGCTATTGCAACTAACTACACCAGTACCTCTGCATCGGAATCAGAACTATCTAGAACTTCCACTTCATCCAGCGCTTCTTTCCGGCCCTGTCCTGCGTCGATGGGCGGCTCCCCCGTGATGAGGTGGACGACCGGCTTCACTGTTGTGGACTGGATTCGGGCTTTCCAATCAGCCCAATCAGCATCATTTTTGATCAAAAATCCAATGAGCATGCTGGGATCCATGTCCTTGATGTGAAGTCGTCGTAGTCGACGGGTGTGGTAAGAATCCAATTCTTCCGTGCTATATGGTTCATTCGGGCGATAAGGTACGGCTGGGCGTGTGGTGTGTGGGTCGAGGAAGAACAGGTGGGAGTTCTGCGACCCCACAAAGTAATGTGATGCGGATGGGCGACCTCTTTTTGGAACAAGTAACGATTGTTAGCATTCGCATTTTCCATGTAGCTTTCCCTTGTTGATATGTGTGGGTCTTGTACTTACCCAGCGATGCCCACGGATTGTGGATACTGCAACGCAGCCTGTAGTCCATCCCAATAGACCGAGGTGACATGGTCAATCCCCAGACGGACACCCATGAGGATCAGCGTTGGTTGGATTTGTCCGCTTTGGTCGCTGGCAAGTCGAATGAATTGATCTTCGTAGACGTCGGACGTATCCTTGGTCACGTAGACGCGGAGCATGGGTGGTTCTTGTGTATTTGATAGTAACCTGGTACATGTCTGGTCAGCTTTCTTCGATGTATGGGGGACGCGATTCGCGATGCTGGCTTGTGGCAGGAATACTAACTGGATGCATCGGGCAGTCGCTGATGGTCCAAACCATTCCCCGGGGTATTTGCCACACGACTCGGCTCCGCACTGAACAAAGCGATGTATAGAGAATGGGGCTTCGGGATGATCCGCAAACATGGCCAACAGCTTCGACTCTTCTTCGGGCCGTTGCCCTCTCCGCCATTCTAGGTTCATGGTTAGCATTTCCTGTCTCGGGCCTTACGACTTGAGGAGCGCTCTCACCTCGTCCAAACTGGAGGATGCACAGGGCATTCGCCAGTAGGCTCTGTCCTGAGCGAATCATACAACCCCACCCAGTGTCGGATGTGAAGCCCTGTGAGTCCATGAGCTGGCTACGCAGGCGGACTCCGAACGTCATCGAGGATGCGGCTTCGGGGTTATTGCTGCGCGGAATGGGAGCAAAGTGTGAGCGGTAGGTCATCCATGTCCGTGATTCGAAGTCAGCCAGGAAGGCCTCGGGCCAGGCACTGCCTGCGTCGTTCACACCGTCTGCTGTACGTTCGACGCGATCCGGCTGATCTAGCAGGCGGATGGGGGATATTAGTAGCTCTTCTTGAGTACCGTAGAGAGTGCTCAGTTTCTGTGTCCCTAGGTGTGACAGTTACATACCTGTATCATGAGAGTTCGTTGGCTGTGTGGGTGTGTATTGTTGGCCAAGACACCATATTGGGGTTTCTGGTGCAGTGTCATTCTTGGGTTCGGGGTCCCAGAAGTATTGTACGATACGCTTGCATTTCTCCAGGTCGACCCCTGTCATCTCCGCGGCTTTGTCTGTCACTTCGGAGACGAGAGTGGGGGGGGTTGGCAAGAGAGAAGGTTGAGGTGAGGAGGTCAATGAGGGGGAGGTTCACAAGATGTGGAGGATGTTGCGGGTAGTTTGAGATATATATAATCAGCGGAGTAGATTTCTCTCTACCCTCTCCATCACACGAGAAATCGCGAGAACCGATCGGAAAACTGTATATTCTAATAAAGAGATTATCGATAATCCCAAGTCTACGAGTCAAAGAAACAAATCGAATTCGAGACTACGAGAAGAGCCAAGAGACAAACAGAAGCGAAGGTCACAGGCACCCATCACGACGTCACTCCGTCGATCAGGCTAAGCTTCGAAAGCGATAGCAAGGATCATAGAGAGAAGACCGTAGAGATAGTTCAAGATTACATAGAGCGCTAAAAAAAGAGGAATCATCACCTTTCTATATTGTTTTTATTCCGACCTTTAATAACTTGTTATCATCCATCTGAGATATCTCCATACAATCCATCCAGTACTACTCAGTCTATCGTGTCTCCAAACGACGTGGTCCACCGCCCGGCCCCACTCCCGCAGAAAGTCCCAAAGTCCAAAAGATCCCGACATTCCCCTCTCCGACTTTCTTCCTCCTCCACCCTCCCCTCATCTTCATCTACCCCACGCCCTTATGGCCCGCCATGGGAAATCCAAGGCTCGGGCCAAAAGGCCGCCTCCGAGGGTCACCACCAGTAATACCTCCAAGCTCTCCAATTGTCCGCACCGCTGACTAACCATCGTTGCAAAACAGTGTCGCCACATCGGTTTACCATGCAGCAGGAGGCGCGCAACACCGAAACGCACACACGAGACTGGCTGAGTAGCAATCTCCGCCACAAGGCTGTGAAATTCGTCAAGGCTGGGGAATTGCAACGGAGTGAATTCGAGACGGTCGACCAAGCGGATCAAGAAAACAATGCCCCGGCGGGGAGACGACTCAAAGAAGGCATCACCCGCCGTGGCCAGCCCACCAGAGCCAACGCAAGAAGACCTCGAACGCGGATTCTTTTTCGATGCAACACCACAGGCTGTGACCGACACGGGGCTCCCAGACCCGGTCCTACGAACCCAATTGAGCGACCTCGATGACTCGAGCGAGGACGAAGTGGTATTCACAGGACGGAAGAAGCCGATCGTGATCGAGACCAGCCAGGAAGAGCTCGAAGTACTACTGCAGGTACCGCTGAAAGAGCCCCCAACGACACAACGTGGACCGGCCTCGGCAGAGGTTCCTGCGAGTCAAATTCACCGATCGGAGCCAAGCCAAGACCATGCGCAGTCATACGCAAAGGATATACGCAGATGGACACGAGAGGATGAGGACAACATGCTGGCAGATTATATTGCCAATATGGATTCTGACTACCACGAGGAAGCGTCTCGTATGCAGGTGGAGCTTGAAGGTGGCATTGACGTTGCCCAGGCGGCAACCGGTTCACAATCACCCCCTACTGGCCTAGACGAAGCCGGCGAACCTTTGTCGCAGTTGGATCGTACCACGCTGGACTCTGCTATGAAGGAGGCACAAGTTCAGAGCTCTATTGATGGTAAGTGACCACGCTCGGAGCTGGATCTCATATCGTCGCTAACGTAGAAGACCCAGTGTTGTCTCGGATGCGCCTAGATACAGAAACAGACCAAGTCCCCGACTCGAGTGATGATGACGATGGCGACTACGACGACGACGAGGACGAGGACGAAGGTGACGTGAATTTGGATTCGATGGATGAATTCTATGTGGATTCCGATGATGATGATCTGGACACGGAATTGCTGGAAGACCTGGCGATCAACTATCTTGCGGACAAGAAGAAAAGCGGACGTGCCGGGAAAATTTCATTTGCATCGGCCACGGCTTTCGCAGATGCTCTCGAGGCAGATCCCTACTACGGACTCGACATGATGGACTTCAATCGACCAAGCCTGCAGAAGAAGGGCAAGGGCAAGAAACCGCCTGCCTTGGACCTGATGTTCTCCGACAGCGACCTCGAAGCCCACCTTCACGAAGTGTGGCAAGCCGATCGCAGGACCAAGAAGGTAAAGAAGAAGGAACGAGAAGAGCTTCGGGCCCAGGGGTTGCTGGGTAGGAGCTCTGGAGAGGCAGATCTCAAAGTCAAGTATTCCAAGGGGATAAACCTGGAGGAGTTGATCACCGAGCTTCGATCCTTCTTATTGTCATCAAACACCAGGTGCGTTGGTTCTATTTCTACTTCTCCCTAAAAAATTACACCCCAGACGCACACCAGACGCTAATTTACATCTAGCCTTGCATTGCCAGCGATGACGAAGCACCGTCGAAAAACGATCCACGAGCTAGCAAACGCAATGCATCTCAAATCGCAATCCCGAGGCAATGGTCCTTCAAGGTTCCCCATGCTCATTAAGACCTCTCGCACACCCGCATATACTCGCAAGACTATCTCCCAAGTGGATGATTTGCTGTCCGGCAAAAAGCTCAATCGCCGACTCTTCCAGTCATGGGGCTCAGACGCATCCAAGTACAGCAAGCCGGTCAGGGCCAAGAGGGGCGCCGTTGGAGGCGCGGTCTCCTACATGGACGGCGATGTGGTCGGTGGCACTGCTCCGGAGATCGGGGTCGAAAACAAAGGACGCGCTATGCTGGAAAAGATGGGATGGAGTAGCGGCACCGCGCTCGGAGCTATTAACAACAAGGGTATTCTGCAACCCGTCGCGCACGTGGTGAAGAATTCTCGGACGGGTCTGGGATAAGACGAAGTTGTTCTGGCATCAATGTCGAGGATGGGCCTATTTTCTCTTTTCATTACCCTACTCTTGGCCCATGTTCACTCTCTTTCTTCGCTTCCATGCTTTTATTTCCAAAATACCTAGAAATGGTGCGCTCGAAGAGGAGTTAAGGGCTGCATTCCACATCACCCATTCATAGAGATACCAAGTCAAAACGATTCTCGCTAGAATAGATTGTCCTCATCTCTCCTCGTAGCGTACCCCCAGAGTTCATCGTTTCTTGCTCTTGCCACCCGCCTTTAGAAGCTGTGCATGACGTGGGTTCTCTCTAAGATGGTCAAACAACTTTGTCTTCGACGTGAAGCTAGCCTGGCAGCTTGTGCACGTGATACCCGTGGGTTGTCCAGAGTTACGAGCTGCTTTTTTGGCCCGTCTTTGCTTGGCTTTTCCAACCTGAGGAGTAACGGATGGTTCGTCACCAAGGTCGGCAAAAGATAATTGCTCGGTGAGCGGAGTGATAGGATCATTGCTGGGATTAAGATCGAAATCGGAGCGAATTCTGGTCTCGACAGATTCTCTTGAAGCATAGTCTTCATCAACAGAATCAAGGGAATCTCTTCTAGGTTGAGAGTCCCGGGATGATGGCTGATCATCGTGGTGATTCGAGATGGACGAGCCTTCCTCATCAGTCTGAGCTTCGACATCACTTTCGATCGATTCTCGATTAGGCTCATCCGGTTGTATCGTGATGGGAGAGCCTGCATGATGACCGTCATTGTCGTCATCGCTGGCGCTGCCTGCGGGAATATCCAAGTATGTTGGGACTGGCTCGGGGGAAATACTAGTAGTAACCGTCGGCTCCAAGTCTAGCTCGTCGTTCTGCATCCGCATATCCCGGCATAGCTGTTTGACAGCTTTGAGATGCTTCTTGCTTCGTTCGTGGGCTTCAAATTGCTTTTGGCTTTTGAATTGTTTGTTGCATGCAACACATTCAAAGCTCTCAATCTCACTCTCCGAACTTTCTTCATCCTCCTCGATTCCATGTTCCTCAGATCGTGCCCATTCCGGAATGACATAATCTCCCATCTTGGCTTGATTCTGAGCCCGTGATCTGGCTGCCTGAGCCGCCACGGACTGTCGAAGAGTCTCCTGACGCTGAACGTCATTCTGAGCATTGGCTTTATACCGGGGATCCCGTTTCTTGACAAAGGCCACGAGAGATCTGACTGCATCGTTGAACTCCCGAATGGCATCTTCTCGCAGGCGTCGGTTCTCCTTCTCCATCATCCTCCGAACTCGGCGATCAGGGGCCTCAGAGTATCGGTGGACATCCTTCCAAGCGAAGGACTTGCAGGTAGAGAACCCGCTCCATGCTGCGTAAAAGGGACGCACCACCGTCTCGAAGTCGTCGTCGCGCGATCCAAATGTTGGGTAATCCACCATATCCTGATCTTCCCATTGACAGGCCAGTCGCTCTTCCAGTGCCAGCTGGGCAAACTGCTCCTGCAGCCCTCCAAAGAATCCAGCTGGAGAGTCCGAGAACTCCATGCGAGGACTGAATTTTGAAAAGACCTTGAGAACATCATCCGCAGTGGTCAGGCGAATATTGTAAGAATGTTGATCTTCGGAAGCACCATTCGTGCCTAGGAACACGTCACTATGGGAATCGTACCATGCACGCTCCTGGGGGTCTGCAAGGACCTCGTATGCAGACTGGACCTCGGCGAATAGCCTGGTGGCTTCCTCAACGTTCCCATAGTTTCGGTCAGGGTGCAACTCTAGCGCTTTCTTTCGATATGCCTTTTTGATCCTACACAAAATTGTAAGCTCAGCCAGGTGAGCGCATAAACAGGGGAGATGGAAGGTGGAAGAAGCCTACTCGTCGTCGGTTGCCCCCCTAGTGATCCCTAGAAGCTCATAGTAATCTGTTTTTTGCTCCGACTGTTGTGCTTGGGTATCTTGGCCCTTGGAGCCTGTCGACTGAGACTGGCCCATGCTGAGTTGATGTACTTAATTGCCAGGTACAGTGTGTGTGCGCCCCGAGCCGCTTGTAGTAAATTACCCAAGGCTCTTCAAAGTATCTGCCGTCTTTTAGCGGATTCCAGATGATGCGAAGCTGGGTATTGAAGATAGATAGCCCTGCGACGGCATGAGACCAGGGACTTCTTTCTTCTTCCAACGTGTTAGTGTGTGTTTTCCTACGATCGAATTTCTCCGGAGGGGTACACATCTTCGTTTTTTTTGCCTTATCGATTAGGCGTGGCAGTTCTTCTCCGCCCTGCAATCCGCCCGTTCGCCCTCCCCGCCTTTGGGGCTGCCAACATGTTACTGCCAGTCGCCCGTTCCTTGCTCGTCTCCACTTCATCATCCGCGTCTTTTCAGGATCCATTCGTCTGCCAATTCACATACCCTTCACAGCTTTGTGTCAAGAGGAAAATATGCCTGATACTCGGAATCTCGACGTATGAGGGTTCAATACTGGCGTGGAAACCGTGTGCTGTATGCTTTGCACTCTGTGGGCCAAAGCTTCAACACTACGAGTCTGGGAGCAAGATTGCCACCAAGTGGTTAATCATATCCCCCTCCTCCAATTCCTGGGCACCTCGAGGGTGGCCTCACTCAGCCTGCAGGGATGGTCGTGTCTCTTGATCATCTTCCGGAGGAGATTCTTCATTCCATTTTATGCGATTTGCACCCTCGCTCTGCTGCCGCGCTTGAGCAAACCAGCCACCGATTCAAGAATGTGACCAGCGGACCACTACTATGGCGTCATTACTGTGCAGTTTACTTCAAGTCGTGGGACAAGAAGCATGAGATCCTGCAAAAGCTCACGGCTCCGGTGCCGTCCGTCGATTGGAAGGCGCTATTTGCAGCGAGATACCGCATTGACCGCGCAGTCACTCGACTTCTGGACAGTATCCTTGCCAGTCAAACAGGACGCATTGAGAAATTTCGCGCCGTTATTGATTACGGATACGATGCCAAAGATACCCTTCTGCGACATAGTCAAGTTGAATCCGGCGAGGATCATCTTGCAAGAAGGTGGGTTCCCTTTATTTTTACTTATGCCGATTATTGCGGTCTCTGACTTCCCGTTGAAGGTACTATGCGCGAGCACTCCTAACCTGTCTTCATCGGAGCATTGCGGTTCCAGAGTGGGCCAGGCTTCGACAGGGTGAACCGGTGTCGCTTGAGCGCGCCCTGGGAGCCTTCGACCTCTTTGTCCCTGAGAGCGGATACGGTCACCTAGACGAGGTGAGTTTGTGTGCCTTCGTCCTTTCCATTTTTTTTCTTTGGCTCGCTTCCTCGGTCCTCCAGCTACCCTAAGAATACTGACCAAAGTCCAGGTCAAAGGAACGCTAGATGGCCTCGTTGCCCAATTTGGTGCTTCTCATTCTGAAATGGATGATCTTAGCCCTCGCGACAAGGCCCTGTTGCTCGCATCTTGGCTACGCGATCATGACCTCACGGGAATAGAACCTGGTCGCCAATACCATGCCTTGGAGCACAACTTCCTGGGCCTGGCTTTGAACAGTCCAGGACATAATTCCCTTCCTCTGATTTCTGCCGCAATCTATTGCTACGTGGCGCAAGCAATCGGCTTGGATGCCCATCCTTGCGGCTTTCCATTCCATGTTCATGTCGTTATCACCCCACCGTCTGGCGTGGATATGAATGGAGAGGCTGTCTCCGGGGTGGATTCAGGCCCTCCTATGTACCTGGACCCATTCCGAGGTGCACGGGAAACCCCAGTGTCTGATTTACGAGATCAGCTTATCTTTCTGGGTGCTTCGGAGACGGAGCAGGTGGCGTTCTTAGGACCATCATTAACGTCAGAGATCGTCCAGCGGTGCAGCAGAAACATTTGGACCTCAATTAATTCGACACCCAACCCCCCTGACGGGCACGCCACATCCGTGGATGTGGTGAGTGCAAAGTATGCCTCATTATGGTCTTCGATGCTTCTCACGGGAGATTCGCGACCCATGGACCTGCGTCACCATCTTCCATTGCTCATGGAGATTTTCGCAACTGATTTCCCGTCCGACATCTTTTTGGTGGAACAATACATTGTTCCTCTATTCCAGGGCCTCTTCGAGCATGAGCATATCTTAGAAAGTCTCCACGTCATGCGCGCAGTGGACGAGATTCCCAAGCAGGTGCGGCGGCGGACTGGTGAGAATCAGAACATCCGATATTCTGTGGGTCAGGTTTTCCGACACCGGCGGTATCATTACCGCGCTATCATCACTGGCTGGGATCGGGAATGTGGTGCTGGTGAGCAATGGATGCGACGAATGGGCATCGATCGCCTCCAGGCTGGTCGTCATCAAAGTTTCTATCATGTTCTGTAAGTTTCACGGTTCTGGATTTTTTTTCTTCGTTCACGAGGGATATCAGACTGACTGGATTTTCCAATTTCGTAGCGTGGAGGATCGAAGCGTTCGATATGTGGCAGAAGAAAACATCGACTTGATTCTCCCGGAGTTTCGCGACTTGCCCTCGAGCCTGACGAGTATCGCTGGGAAGCATTTTAAGCGGTGGGATCAGTCGAGTCGGGCTTTTGTCAGCAACATGAGGGATGAATACCCCGACGATTAGTTTTTTAGTTGATCTTAGTATTTTCATTGAGTATCACGATAATATTAATTCTACTATTTTGTTGAATCAATGTGTACTGTAAGGACTTGTATACATACCCCCCAGGCTTAGTGTATTGATTTTGAGTGGGTCCCGAGAAGTTCTGCCCGTCGATCCCGTCAACTCAATTCCCGATTTCTCTTCAGGTACCCGCCCAAGTCCAGGATATCCATATTCCCACATACACCACTCGTGGCCCATAATGGCTTCTCCGCTGGCTAATGACCCTGAACGCGTCGCGCGTATTATGTTGTCCTGGCACTCGCTAGACCTTGTCTCGTGCAAGAAATTGCAGACCCTATGGGCTGGGTATGGAAGTATCTGCGCAATCACCGCGCGAGCTACCACCGAGGAAGCGACGAAGTACCTCGGCGAGCTGTGCGATATTGAGCCACGAGCCGTGGGGGCCACTTATCCCTTGATCTTGAAGCTGATATTGCCCCCAAGAAAAGGCGCGGCCCAACAGGACGAGGGCCACTTGCGGAAGATGCTCAGCTACGAGGTCGAACAAACCTTTTATAACGACGTGGCTCCGCTCTTGGGAGATGGAATCGCCGTAGCCAAGTGTTTGGCCTCGACGAGACAGATGAAAGGCAAAAGGGGCGAGGCGGAACTTAACGGTCTGTTGGCTACGCTCATGGTAGATTTGACCCCTAAATTTCCCGTTTCTGGAGGGAAGAGGGGTGCTCTCAACCGCACGCAGGTTCACGGCGCGTTAGAATGGCTGGCTTGCTTCCATCGTCGCTCATGGGGTTTGCGACCAGACAACCTCGACCGATACGTCTTGCCTCCCCTTCAAGAACAGGGTAGAAGACGCAGTTCGGGCAGCAACAATGACGGGCTCGGGCAAGGCCTGTGGCTCAATGGTGGGTATACGTATCTGGCAACACGACAGAGCGAGTACGCTTCCCTCACTCGAGATGCGTACTCGGAATGGTCCGATTCTATGTGCAAAGCGTGGCCCGGTTGCTCCATGTCCGTTGCTGAGATGGCTGCCAGCTTCTTAACCCCCCGTGGACGGCCCATCGAATCCTATATCCATGGCGATGTCAAGTCGGAGAACCTCTTTACAACAAGGGACGGCGACCGGGTGGCATTCTTTGATTTCCAATATGTTGGGCTGGGCTTAGGTGTCTGTGACCTTGCGAAACTATTCACCTGCTCGGTGCCTCTGGAGATGCTCGTGGAGTCCCAGGAGCATTTACCCGAGAGACTGATGCTGGGGGGTGGCGAGAGGCACCTTCTGAAACAGTACTATAACTCTCTCCTGCGTGATAGCAAGTCGGACTTTTACGAATGGGCGGAATTCGAGCGACACTGGGAGACGGCTCTAGTGGATTGGTGTAGATTCCAGGCCTCCTGGGGATTCTGGGGCAATACGGAGTGGCTTGGGGCCCGTGTAAGATCAATTCTCGACGATAATGAGTGGAGACACTGGATACTTGAAAACACGCTCGGTCAGGATCCTTGAAGAACAAAAAAAAAGAAAAACAAGATTGGGCTCCTGTCCCTTTTTATATAGCATGGTCCTAGGGAAATTTGGAGCATGATCTTTTGGCGATTCCTTCTATACCCGCTTCAGGCGCCCTCGGAAGGAGGAATGTACACCGATAACTTCAACGAGAGATGTGAAAAGACTCAAAACTACCGTGCTACTGTTTTTCTAACCGCCTCTTAGGAGGTGGGTGGGTTCTTGTGGGCTTGGCGCATTACCATGGCGCCTTAGGTTAGGAGTATCGAACTCAGCGCTAGTCGCTCAGAGTACTTCCTGGAGAATGGGAAGGTTATAAGTGTCGCTTTGATATTTCTGTAGGACCAAGTTGATATTATAGCGAACGGAAAGCCTATAGCATAGCTCATTAGTTAGTTAATTAAATTAGGGGATTGATAAAATGACCCCCCCCCCCGGCCTAAAGTTGCCAGAATTCTCGGGCATCTAGGCATCTAGGCCATAAACTTTTTTTCTGCCAAGAATTCTGCCACTACCCTCTCTCCGGCTAGCTTCTGCTACCCTTTCTGCCTATTACCCACTATCACCCTGCTACTTTAGTCTCTATAGTCTACCTTTCTAATTTATTTTAATAGATTTCTATCAATCAATCAATCAATCAATCAATCAATCAATCAATCAATCAATCAATCAATCAATCAATCAATCAATCAATCAATATTCATAGACCCGATCTAACTTCCTTTATCCATAGGTGTTATGCGGGGATTTGTAATCTTGCCTTTCCAGCGGCAGACACAGAAGAAAGATAGTGGCAGACCTAGGTAGCCTAATCTTATATCGACGGAGTGCCTAGAGATACTATATACTATATAAAACTACTACACCGGCCCTAGCCGATATTATACGCACGATAGAAGTTAAGAAGGACTAGTAGACCTAGTACTAGCCCTCTAGTGATAAGAGTTATCAGGATCCCGTCCCTACTATCTCTAGGAAACATGATAAAAGATCACATGAAATATCAAGAGATTAGAGTGTTAAATAGTCTCCTACCTAGGTAGGTAATTCAATACGAGATCGTTAAGGATTAATCTGATAGATCTTATAGAGAAGATCTAGATATAGAGAGGGGTTATATAAGTAGGTCCTTCGTTATATGACCCTATAACATCTATATATTAATATACCCCCTTAGTTCTCGATATAAGAGCAGAATAAGAGTAAAGTGAGAACTAAATAAGGGGAAAGAGAAAGAGAATAACTAGATAGGAGGTAGTATCTGTTAATATATAGATATTATAGGGTCACATAACGAAGAACCTACTTATATAACCCCTCTCTATATCTAGATCTTCTTCTCTATAAGATCTATCGAATTAATCCTTAATAATCTTATATTAAATTATATACTCGTATTAAATTGCCTACCTAGGTAGGAGACTATTTAATACTCTACTTTCTTACTATTTTATATAATCTTTTGCTATGCTTCTATGATATAAATACTGCCCTATTTCCTAGCTAGATTAAATCAAGTTTATTATCCCTTTTAATCTCTCTTCTAGATTAGTAATACTCTTCTATAATCGTGGTACTTCTCCTTTATAGAAGTACGTACGACTAATAGACTTATAACTATATATTTAGATACTACGTTAAGTATTTACCTACCTTTATATATACTATCTTCTTATATATATAATAATAACTTTAAAGTTACCGCCTAAAGTCTGATAGTTATAAGCCCGACGCCTCTACTCTAACTATTTAACTAATTTAATTGTCGGACTTTAGGCGGTGGCCACAAAGTCGTGGTTCTTGACAGTACGTACTAGCGAAAGCACCACGGTCGCGTAGTTTGATTATGCGTACTAGTCAAAGTACCACAATCGCGTAGGTGAAGATTGACCGACCAAGACAGGGCGTAGTGGCAGAAGAAGTGCCGAGGATTTCTGTCCTTGATCAACAACGGTGTTAAACTTGATTCAATTTAGCTAGGAAACATAGCAGTATTTATATCTTAGGAACATGGTAAAAGATCATATAAGAAAGGATAGAGTATTGGAGTGTTAGATAGTCTCCTGCCGAAGTAGGTAATTCAATACGAGTATGCAATTTAATGCAAGATCGTTGAAGATCAATCTGATAGATCTAGAAGTAATGAGGGGTAGTGGATCTTCTGTTACATGACCCTATAATATCTATATATTGATATTAATTTAATCTTCTCTTACTTTACTCTTACTTTCGCTCTACTTCTTATATAGAAGTAATAGATTTAACTACTTAATAAGCTACCTAGCTTAACTACCTATTAAAATCTTATATATACTAGGTTCCCTAGATTACTATAGTTAAAGACTATATAATCGTATACGATCTATAGAAATACGCTAATCCGGACTAAGCTACTCTATCTATCCTACCCTAGGAACTAATTAAACTATAGATCTCTAATATAATTAGGGTAACGCTATTAGCACGACCCGGGAAGTCTGCTTGCACGACCTAGGGCCTGAATTTAGCCTAAATTACCGCGTTTCTACCTAATTTCTACTAAGCCTATTAAGCCTATTAATTATAATTTTAACTACCTCCTTCCTTCTTACCTATACGTATCTTTTCCTCTAAATTTAATTTAACTAGCCCTATTATATAACCTTAGGCCTATCCTCCTAGATTTATATAACCTATACTAATCTAATTTAATTTAACTTTCCTCTTCTAAGACTAGCCTATATCTATCCTACTTCTTACTAACTATAGATTCTTCCGCTAATTTAGACTAAAATCCCCCTCTAAAATCTATTATACTACCTACTCTACTACCTAATCTAAAGCTTTTTTATAAATCCCGTAACCTCACGAAGAAGGCCCTCTAGTAATCTACTAAAGATAAGGGTTTTACCCTAGTTATAAGGAGATCTAATACTAAAAGGATTAAACTATCTTATTATCTTTAGCCTAATCCTACTATAAAGGGCCCTTCTATTATAAGTAAGGCTAAATAGCGAGAGATTAATAAGATTAGTACTAATTACCTATTCTAGATTTATATTTCTAAGTAGAAGGATAGGAAGAAGATTCTTCTGATTTAATATAAGGTTATAGTAAAATATAGTATATATAACTATAGCCTAATTCTACTAAATCTTCTAGTAAAACTTCGGTAAGAAGAGAGGGATTCTAAGGAAGATAGACTTCTTAATTACTTTAAAAAAGGCCTAAAATCTATAGTAGTTTTAATACTTTTAGAGTCTAAGAAAAGTCTACTAAACTTAAAAGATCTCTAAAACCTTCGCGCCTAAACTAGATTAGTTTTTCTTACTAGACGTATATCGATTAAAGTAGTAATTAAGAGCCTACTAAGCTAGACTATCTAGTATAAATTAGATAACTAATAGCGGCTAATTAGAATTATATTTCTCTCGAAGATTAGCCTCGAATTTCTTTAAATCTATCTAAATCTTCTATAGGTAGATACTATATATAAAACTAATTAGTAAGATAAGAGATTAGTATATAAATAATAAGAGTTTATAGCTAATTAGAATAGGTATAATATATTAATAATTAATATCGTCGGATAAATCTTAATAAGGAAAACCTTCTATATAGCTTATTACTTTATTAATAATAAATAATAATTATTATATCTTTAGATATTTTAAACTCTCTATAACTAGCTTATATAAATAAAGATCTAAGCCTTACGTATTATCTTCTCTAACGATATAGACGTTATTTTAAATATATATAGAGAGATCTTTAAGGATTTAACTAGCCTAATCTATCTCTAGTATATTATAAAGAATATTAAAATACGCGTTTAGCTAATAATTATAAAGTAGTTACTCTCTTAGGATCTTTATCTTCCTAATTTAGACTACTAAAAGCGGATAATTAAGGAATAGTAATTAATAAAGGCTAGATTTATATAAATCGTTCTCGAAGATACTAAGGATAGGATAGAAGTAAGAAAGGCCTCTTTTCTAGAAGCCCTAAGCGATCTAATCTACTAATTAGTAACTAAGTATATTAAAAAGTAGTAGTTTAGCGAGAGAATAAACTAATTTATACGCTACTATCTTAATAGAATTCCTTATTATAATAAGCTTACTTCTTTTTATATAGAAGGTACCTATATAAAGCTTAAGTAAGAAATTTATATCTTAACTAGCGATATTCTTACGACTATATAAATTATTTCTCGAGTCGTTTCCTATATAAATTTATAGGCTTTTTACTTAATTTAAGATTAAATCTATTATCGCCCTATCTTACTATAAGTCCTATTTTTACGTAATCTCCTTAGCTAGATCTTAAGAAATATAATTCGAAAGATTTATTATACCTAGTAAGATTTCCTTTAAGTAGAGAAGCTACTATCTCCTTATATCTAATATTAGATAAGATCTCTTAGTCTTCTATATAATTATATAATTAAAGATTATATAGATAGTAATAACTTCCTTCTCTTATCTAATTTTAACTAATAATATTAGCTTCGCCTACTAAATCGGGTAATTTAGGCTAATTAGCGACGAATTAGAAGGGTTTGAATTAATAAGCTAAATTATATAAAGAGGATTAGATAGCTAAAGTTACTAGAAACTATAAAGCGTTAGTAGAGATAGGGAGGAAAATATTACCCTAGTTAGAAGTTTAGGAAATTACGAAGTTAAGATACTTACGTTTCTATAGATAAAACTATAGGAATTATAGTACTACCGCCTTTAAAGAGAACTAATATATCGATAAGCGAATTCTATTATATTAGGAAATAAAACTTCGGTAAGGGCGTAGGGCTAACCGCGGTCGTAAGGCTAAAGAATTAGTAATAATAGAGAAGTAATTAAAGAGAAAGATAAGGCGGCTTAGTAAATAGCGAATTAGCTAACTAACTAAGGCCTAGTATTAGATTAGATTAGTATAGGTTATATAAATCTAGGAGGGTAGGCCTAAGGTTATATAATAGGGCTAGTTAAATTAAATTTAGAGGAAAAGATACGTATAGG